AAGGCATCTATCAAGGCGAGCATAAGCTGGGAGAATTGCTCTGCTTTAGAGAAAGGCTGATGATGAGGCTGTAATCTCTAGGCAATCTATAGCTTAGCATCAGCCCACTGATATTTACTTTAATTCTATATAATCTGATGTCCTCATAAGCCATGTGACATTTCCATTACGCACTTCTTCTATCATGGCGCTAATTACAGACACTACTACACCAAATTCACAGGATCAGCTGCTAACACCTAGTTTTCGATCGAAACTAATATTGTAAACATCATCAGTCTCATCTCTCGGTAATGCAACGAATAAGACCGGGCACCCCCGTGTTTTGCATAAGTCAAAGATCCGTTATTAAGCGAGGCTCGAACAGAGACACGAAGTCTTTCTGTCAGGGGGGGGGGAAACCTAATACCACCCAACACTACATTTCCGTGCACAGGGGATTCATCGCTATTGGCCGCTCGCGATATATTCAGGCATGGAGGGGACCGGGTTTCGCCTAGCTAAGTCGCATACATGACAACCACACCAGGATATTTTCGCAAGTCAAAGTGGCTTTAGAACGCAGCCTCAGCGGAGCTTTCGAGTCTACATCATAAAAAACACCAGCGTCTGGTTTCGCCCCATATTCTAGTATTTCAGTGGAAATGTTTTAATGCATAAAACCATCCTTGTGCTGGTAAGCCCGCAACGCAGCTCATGACTGTCCAAGAGAAGACCAAGATCAAATCAGTTGCAATCATCGGAGCCGGCGCAGCTGGACTGACTTCGTTATTTGAACTGCTGAACACCAACGAAGATGGATCAACCAATTTGAAATACAAAAGTGATGGTGTATTTGATGCTGCAAATACTCAGAGGCCAAAAATCGTAGCCTTTAATAAGGTTGTTGCATTTGAGCTCAACTCTGACATTGGCGGGATCTGGAAACCTGCCTTTGAAAAGCCTGACCTATTGGATCGGGCTACACTTGACACCGAGCGGTACAACGAACCGTTTGTGATTCGGCCAAGGACCGAGTTCCCGCTCCAGATTTTGGATCGCAAGTACAGTAGGGAAGACCCTCTGGTTACGAAAAAATCGGATTTTCCCAGTCCCCAAACATGGTCCAGCAGTGGCGTCTACCGTCAATTGTTTTCGGATGTGCCTCGACGGTACCTTCGCAATTCATTCATTCCGCTCAAAGACCAGGCTTCGGGTACCAAAAGTGACATAGGTCAATTCCTCACCAATTCTGAAGTCACTGCACAGCTTAAACAGTTTTCCGCGAATTTCAACCTAGCAGAAAATGTGCGCTTCAACACTGAAGTTATCAGGGCAAAAAAGCTGAACAATAGCAGAGGTTGGAAATTGTTTATCAAAGAAACTTCGCGGGATACTCAATCTGTGAGGTGGTACGAAGAAGAGTTTGATGGCTTAATAGTGAGCAACGGCCACTATTCGATTCCCTACATTCCTAAAATTGATGGTCTTTCCCAATGGAACGCTGCATTCCCGGGCTCGATTCAACATTCCAAGAGCTTTAGAGATCCAAAAGTTTTCAAGAGCAAGCGGGTTGTGTTTGTAGGTACTGGATTGAGTGGTGTTGATATCTTGCAGTACGTCTTTCCCATTGCCCACGAAGTCATAGTTTCAAGAACTCCGAATAAGGAGGAAACATTTCCTTGGCTGACGAAAGCTGCCACGTCGGAAGGTATCATTATCAAACCAAGAATCAAGAAGGTAATGCCTTCGAACAGAACAGTAGTGTTCGAAGACGGAACAGCAGTTTCTGGTGTAGACTACATCATTCTGTCCACTGGATATCACTGGCATTATCCATTCTTAGACGAGGAAGAAACCGGTGTCAGAGTAGCTCCGGCTCCCAACAAAAGCTTCCCAGATGGAACATCATTAGTTGATGGATTATACTTGAACTTAGTAGCCGTGAAAGACCCGTCTCTGGCTTTTGTAGGCGTCACTGTGACACCCGTCTTGTGGCCAAGTTTTGAACTTGAGGCATCAGCTATTGCTGGTCTATGGTCTAACAATTTCAGACTGCTCTCAAAGAAAGAGCAGCGTGATGCGAGTCTTGAAAGAAAGGCGAAAACTGGAGCCAACTTGCTCTTTCATTATTATCCGGGGGAAGTTTTTCAAGATTATGTTGACAGCCTCAGGCCATATCTCGTCAAGGACAGAGACTGGAAGAATATATTTGATAATCGTCACCTTGATGACCTAGCTAGATCCTACGTTACTGCAGAGAGGCTCTTTTATGGTCTAAAGCATGCTCACATAGCTGTAAAGGACACTTTTTAGGACAAGCTGAATTAATTTGTGGAATGCACTCATTTTTATAAGAGTCTGCGTCAGCCTTGAAATTGCTACAACGTCGGGGCATCTCATCTGTCTTCACTCACCAAGAGGTGTTTCGATCTCTATAGATGCTTCGGCAAGAGGTCCTAAAATACATCTGAATACAATATTAATTAGAGCTGATGAGGGCGAACTTAGAGATTATCCACAGATATAAATGCCTGATTATGTGTTTTCCTGGAGTGCACTGAGTGTATGGAACAATGATCCAATCTTTACTTCCAGACTTGCGATATCTTTCTCGAATTGAACAGCCAGCTTAGCTTCCTTTCAGTTTTTCAAGAGCGCTCGCAAGACGTTCCTCATACACGTCTCGACTTTCGTCACTTCTCCAGCTCAAGTCGTGAGCAGGATGGGTTACGTCCAAGAACCTACTGCCAAAAAGCTGTTCTCTGAAGGTTAAAACCTTGGATGTCTCGGCTGAGAATGGATAGTCGTCCCAAGATAATCCCAGCTTTCGCAACTCGGGCAAAAGCTTGTCTACAATCTCTTCAAAAGATTGAGGCAATACTGTATACGCAAAATTGAAACCGTCAATGTCGGAAATAGTGACCCATTGATCGATGGACTTAGCAATTTCACTAGCAGTCCCAATCATTACAGGACCACTTCCCCCAACCTTGATCTCCTCTATTATAGCCTTTTTAGTCCATTTCTCCACTCGTGGATACGCAGACTGCCATTTTTTTATCGACGAAGCAATTGCCACATTTTCTACGTTGGTCAACACCTCATCGTCCTCAAATTTGTCGATATCAACACCAGTCCACCCAGAAAACATTGCTTTAGCACCCTCTTCATCAGAATACGCGGCTTTATATTCCTCGTACCTCTTTTCAGCTAATTCATGAGTATCGCCTATAATCACAGTTAAAAGTGCAACGAATTTGATTTTTGAAGTGTCTCTCTGGTACTTTTCATGAGCTATTTTTTTGATGTCAATTATTGAAAGAGCCAAATCTTCAGGCGTCAGACTTGCCAGGAATATTAATTCTGCATTCTTGGCAGCCAGTTCCCGCCCTTTTGGTGAAGTGCCTGCTTGAATAATTACGGGCAGCTTTTGCTGGCTAGGGTGGGTAATGGCGGGGCCCGGAACATTGAAATGCTCACCAACGTGGTTAATATGTCTTATTCCATTGGGGTCGGTGAAAATTCCATTTTTCTTGTCCACTTTGAAGCTTTCGTCTTGCCATGAGCTCAAAAACAACTTGTACACAACATCGACATACTCCTCAGCACGATCGTATCGCTCTTTGTTGCTGGGTAAATTCTGCCCATTGAGAAGATTCCTTGAGGCGCTGTCTAAATACGAAGTCACAATGTTCCAGCCCACTCTACCGTTGCTGATTAAGTCCAAAGTACCAAGCCGTCTTGCCAAGTGATAAGGTTGTTCACTGATGGTCGAGATCGTTATGCCGAATGCAAGTTTTGAAGTAACAGACGCCATTAATGGAATAAAATAGCTAGGGTCAGAAATAGGCCACTGAGACCCCGCCTTCGCAACCGGCCCGATATTTCCAGGACCCTGATAGACATCGTAGGGCCCTAAGACATCTGCCAAGAAACAAGCATTGAATTTGCCTCGTTCAAGTAATTTTGCCATTTCTGTCCAGTATTTTGGAGATTGATAGAGCTCCGCTGATTTGTCATCAGGATGACTCCATATTCCTACCGATTGATTTCCTGCAGATCCCATCAAAAACGCATTGATAATTAAATTCTTCTTTTTTGTCAGTTTAGTCTTCTTCCCGCCTTCGACCTCAGCATCTAAATCACGTTTACCGCGTGTCATTTCAATGCCAAGAACAATGAAAGACTTTATTCCAGAGCACTAAGCACTAGCATTTTATTTCCAGTGTCATTCATATTGACCACCCTAGTCTTATATAGCCGATGGATACCTTGGAGGATGTTCTAGCTTAATTTTCATTCTTTCCCCGAGGTCCCAAAAACTGCTGTGTTTTCCGCTCGCGACACAATGTCTCAAAAATGTCTTTGGGCGTGCTATCGGCTCTTCACAAAAAAACTCAATAAAAGGCTGGCTGAGGATTGGTACATTAAGGCAACGTACATTTTGTAGTTTTTTAGGATCATGCCACTAAGTTGGTGCTCGCTTGTAATTTTGAGCCTACAACTTCTTCAAATGCTCAAGAGACACTTCAAAGGACTGGAAGCCATCACAGTCATAGAACCGAAAGAAGTTCCACAGCCCTTCAAAAAAATCAAGTCGAAGGGCAGTTCGTGTGGCGATTTGGCTGGCCAATTACCCCTACTACAGACAGCACTCGTCGTTAAATCTTTTGATGACGAGCTAGACGTTTCAAAAGATATCAGAATACCACATCAGCTTAATGATTTCGAGGTCCTAATCCAGAATAAATACGTAGGCCTAAACCATGTCGACTGGAAATCAAAGACTTACCGCTTTAACATCTACTCATTCCCGTGGATCAATGGAAGAGAATCCAGTGGTCTTGTCGTCAAAAGAGGCAAAAAAGTAGATGGCGTCAGATTTCCCATTGGCACCGAAGTGTTCATTGCCAGCACGTCTTATCGCAACCTAGAAAGCTCGACATTCCAAGAGTATACTGTTTTCGATTCACGGCTTGTTTGGAGGATACCTGAAGAAAGGGTAGCTGGAGGCACTTTCCGCAAAAAGTTTGGGCTGGACTTTGCAGGTGGCATAGGTGTAGGCCTTGTCACTGCTGGTTCTGCTCTTTCGCCTTTTATCAAATACGAGCGTACCACTTCAGAACCGATTGAGAAAAAAAACATCGTAATATGGGGAGGCTCAAGCTCGGTTGGTATTTACGCGATTCAGCTGGCTAGAAGTTCGGGTAGCTTCGATAAAATAATAGCAGTTTCAAGTGCCAAGTACACCTCTTACTTAGAAGAGCTGGGCGCTACGCATGTCATAGACCGAATGAAGGGTGAAAGTATCATCTCGAAAGAAGTTGGCGATCTTTGCGCCGAAGGAGTTCATTACGGGCTTGACACGATATCTAAATCAACCGCCACATCTCTGTTCAGAATTCTGCAGAATGGTCCAAACTACGAGAAAACCTTGGTATGTTTAGTTGATGGTCCAGATAGTGCACTAGCGTCTGAGCAAACAAATATTGCTGTCGAAAAGGTTAACGTCAAAAGATTTCACGAAGACATAAGTTACGGGGAGAGCTTTGTTCGGTACACCTCGCAGCTTTTGGAAAGTGACGCGCTGAAGCCCATTCGGGGTCTCAGAATATTCAAAGGCCTGGACAATTTTGGCCACAGCATTGCAATTGGACTTCGAGAACTGAAAGAGCACGGAGCTGGGGCAGAGAAATTTGTTGTCGGTATATAAATGTCCGAGATAATGACGTGTCAGGATAGTACAGAGTGACAAGATATCGCTTCGCAAATAATTATCTAAAGGCCTGGAGCCAATTTACACTACCTCACTATGTAAGTATTAACAGTAGGAAGCGTAACCCATCACCGCCGTTATACTAACCAATAGCCAAAGGTGTACGTAGGCATCTAAACAAGATGCAATATGAAATTCTCATTGTGTTTTAATGAGAGGTCAATATATTTGTGCTAGCATGGTGGCCAATGTCTATTTTCTATAACCTGTGACCTTCGCAACGCTAAGACACAGCCAAACTTCTCTGTCTGACAGTGTGCCAAAAAAAAAAGTCCACAACTATGTCACCACAAATTGTTCATCTTTAAAGACAATTGTGTTCAGAAATCTATCGGGCCTCTAGTGCCGGAAACGTGTTCGAACAAGAGTTTGACACATTTAGGTGGGAAGGTCAAGACCACGGCGGATCTCTTGAATACCGCCATTTTTCGAAGTTACTTTGGCATTTGCAATCTAGTTCTTGCTTGACTTCGCGGAGACCTTTTGGAGGCCTCAATGTCTTTCTCTCTCATCGAATTAAAAGTCACAGGACATCTTAATTTGTATAAAGGTCCTTGCTACTGCACGCAAATGCACCAACATCCCATTATGGTCCGTATCAGCGCTCAAAAATGACGAACAAAAGCGAGGAAAAGATCAGCGATAGTGTGGAAATTTTGGACGGTGTCTCTTCTACAGATGTCAACGACAAGGTTGCTGCCGTTTTCCAAGAGTATCTGCCCGAAGAACATGTTCTATCGGAAGTAGATTATATTGCGAAAGAAAACAACTTGGAGAGCTACAGAGAGCTTCTAAATCGAGGAGCTTTGTGGGCCAACAACCCGAAAATTATCGAAACCGATGAATACGCTGTTTCCGAAAGGAGAGCCTTCGAACGATCTAGAACACATCCCATGTTATCACTCTCCCCGCATATGAAATTAGCCGCTATCTGTACTTCATGTGCTGCAATTAACTTTGGTATGGACGAAAGTGCGATTGGTGGCGCGGTTTTGCAATACCAAACACAATTCAATATCACGGATGCGAATATTCAGGGTCTTACAGTGGCAGCCCCATACCTGGCGGCTGCTATAATTGGAGCACCACTCACGCTTTATCTAGACAAATACATGGGGCGCAAATGGATTATTTTATTGAGCTGTGTGATAGGTTTTGCTGGCTCATTAATTCAAGGTTTCTCAAACGGATTAGGGTGTCTTTTATTTGCACGTTTGTTTCTCGGGATTGGTATGGGCTTGAACTCTTCCACTGTGCCAATCTACACGGCTGAATGTTCTCCAGCTCATTCTCGTGGAGCCGTCCTTATGTTGTGGCAAACCTTTATTGCTTTGGGCGTGTGTTTAGGTTCGGTTTTCAATAGGGCCTTCGTTGGTATTAGCGGATCCTTGTCGTGGCGGTCGATGATTGGCTCATCTGCTGTGGCACCCTTTATCACCGGAATTCTGATCTTCTTCCCCCCTGAGTCCCCAAGATGGCTTATTGTTAATGGACGCGCCAGGGAATCATTGGACGCTTTGATCAAGCTCAGGCCAAACGACCTCACCGGCGCTAGGGATTTTTACATCTTACACCAGTCGTTGAAGTTTGAGGCAGAGTTGAAAAACCCACTTTCTTCTTGGACAGCAGTTTAAATCTTTATTTGGGAATGCAAGGAACAGATTTGCCATCATTGTTTCCTTTATTGGGATTTTGGGGCAACAATACGGTGGTGTTAACATTCTGGTTTCCTATACTACAACAATCTTAACTAAAGCTGGGGTTGACCCCGTCACAGCCATCGCTGGCTCGATTGGCATTGGTGGCGGATGTTTCCTGGCAACTTTTTTGTCAACTCAATTAATAGACCGCTACGGAAGAAGAAAGATGTTGCTATTCACTTTACCAGTGGAAGCCATATGTCTCTTTTGGCTGGGCGGTGTGCTTAACGTTCAAAACACGCAAAGCAGACTTGGTGCTGGGCTGGCATCGATGTATGTTTTTGTTTTGTTCTACGGGACAGGAATCGGGCCAGTAAGCTTTACTTTAGTTGCGGAAACATCTTCGATATCGGTGAGAATGGCTCACAGTGCAACTTGTATGTTTGTGAATTGGATTTTAGATTTTTGTCTAAGCATGACATGGCCCAAAATGAATGCGACGATGACTACTTCTGGAGGCTTATACTTCTACGGTGCTTTCAATATCCTAATTTGGGCTCTTGCGTACTTTTGTATCCCGGAAACAAAGCAATTCACTTTAGAGCAGCTCGACGAAATTTTCAAAGTTGGTATTCTCGCTCACATAAAGAAAACATCAAGGTACCTGACAACCTGGAAAGGTAGGCATAAGTGACTCTGAATACGAAGCCATAATTGTTTGACTTTAACAACATAGTTTCTTGAAACACTCTTCATTACCTGATATGAAAATTACAAAATTATAGTGATAGCCGCAAAGCTATAAAGCATATCTGAAGTTTGGATTCTCCTGGTCAGTCAAATCGGCAAACTCAAGATTTTCGATAGTATGCTTCTCATCTACACGTTCCGCGGCTACTTTATCTCTGCGCATGTTTTCCCTGGAGTTTATAAAGTAGAGCATAGTTAAAGTCACAACACAACCTGCATAACACACCAACATGGAAATCTTAGCACCAGTGTAAGTAGGAGCCTGGTTGGAGATGAATGTTTGTGGACCGGCCAGGTTGGATGCAGCATAAGAAACCAAGTTGATAGATGAAACAGTCCATTTTTTGGTGTAGCCCAAAGTGTTTGAACTGATAATCGACAGCACGCAAATGAACGCCAAAGGAGCAACGTATAATAAGTAGGCACCAGCCAGTTTTGCATGCTTGTTTTCCTTAGAAAATGCTAGCATACAAGTCGCAACCAAACTTAGTGCGGCTGCGATAATACCCCAGGCCAACCTATGTTGCAAGAAGGGAACATTCTTTCTGGCGCAAATAACGGAAATGTATCCAAATAGAGGACATACGACCAATTCAACAGCGTAACTGGGCATGGTCATTAGAATGGAATCCTGTGTGTTGTATCCAAAATCTTCTTTAATCAAAATGTTCATGAAGTTGGTGAGACCACCGTTTGGAATGTTAGAACCGATGGAAAATAAGAAATATAGCCATGTTCTGACATCTGTAAATGCTTCTTTCACTTGGTACCACTTGATGTTGTGGTTACCGAATCCTTGTTGATTGCTTCTAATTCTTTCAACAACCATTAACTTCTCACGCTCAGACAAAAACCAGGCTTTGGATGGATCATCTGGACGATGGAAGTAGACTGCGATACCAATTACGATCGTTATCAATCCGGTGACAATGAATAAAACTCTCCAGGCTTCGATGCTATAGGAATCCTTTCTGATGTAAAGCCCATAGGACAAAGCATTAGCCCAGATACCACCTAGGCCGTTGAAACCGAACCATAGACAAACTCTCATAAACTGCTCTTCTTTTTTCCAGTATTGCGCGGTGATCACTGTGAAAGTAGGAGTAACCATACTCTCAGCACAACCCAAGAGGACTCTCAAAACAATAAAGGATGGATACTTCACACTTGGGGCAGCGTGCAAAGCCAAAATCATGCCCCAGATAATCACAAAGACACCCAGCGTCTTCGCTAGCCATTTTGATTTCTGGAAGATAAATTGCCCGGGTCCCATATTGAAGAACAGGTAGCCGAAATAGAAAGCAGAGCCTACCCACGAGTATTGCGTACCGTGCATGTTAAGATCCTGTCTAAGGCCCATCACCGCCGCGGAACCGGTGGAAATTTTGTCCATGAATTGAATCGAATACAATATGCACATCAATGGAAACATGCAAAAATCTATTTTACGTACCAATCTCCGATCTTCTTCTGGTGTGAACGTGATATGCTGGGATTGCAAAGCCAAACGCATTGCCTCGTCCACATTGCCAGTCACTTTAACTTCTTTACCTCGAGAAGACACAATGGTCGTTATCACCTGATCGCCGTCACCTATTTGTTCTCGTCCAAAAGAGACGACTGGGTTGATCTGGTCGTCAGAGCGAGAGTCAATGGTATCAACACGGGCATTGCCGAAATTTTTAGCATCCGAGTTTTGGCTGCTCATGCTTAATTCGCGGTCAGTGTGGTCTTTCGAAACCTCGATTCATCTACTCAACGACTACCTTACTTCTATTTATTTGTTTAATAGCTGAAGAGAATTAATGTCTGCGACCTGAGATGTTCCTGCAAGGCATTACGCAATCTTCAAAACGTTGTTATCTTTCTCCGTTATCTTTTTATTACACTCTATAGGGCATCTCGCCTCCACGCCCGTTTCTAATGCTACAGGGTCCAATTTCAAATTTTTCTCTTTTTAAAAGATGCGATAACCCCCACCGACATTGGCCGAAGAAAACCCTGCATGGAGATCTCACAACATGTCAAAAAATAAATCAAAAAAGTGCGTTGCCCACAGATGAACTCGAGACTGGGGTGCTACAGAGTGATCACAGATAAGGTTAAAGACTCTGTGAAATGTGAAAATTGCGTGGAATTTCGGATTTCGCCGGACTCCATGTCTTGGACAGAGTAAGTGACGCTGGTATTGGAGTCTGCGATGTGGAGGTTGTGCAGAAAAAGAATGCATTTAAGTTTGCAAAGAAAGTAAGGTAGTTTGAATTTTCACGGTGAACAACAGACTGAAGATAGCTCTTTCTGTTTCTATAGATACTATGTAGACTTCGGGGGCAGGACAGGATGAGAAAAACACTTTAGAGGAACTTTTATCTAGTTATAGAATAGACAAATCACACAATTGAGGAGGCCACTAAAAGTGAAGAGAACAAGTGTTTTTGTCACTCACAAACTGATACAGTGAAAAAATTTGACGTACTGGTTAAACTTGCTAAACGTGATAATCTGGCTTGTTGAGCCAATAAAGCACCGGCACGAAGTAGATCATTGATACTAAATTATTGTACCTGAAAATGTTACAAATAATCTAGTTGTCGGTGACTTACTTCTAGAAAGTAAGTGACTAAAATTTCAGCGCGCGGTTTCCGTTGGGCGCGAGGATAGGAAGAGACAAGTCGTACTCTATCAAGCAGCATCACTACCGGCTAGATTTGTAGAGATAATCTTTGTGTTTGCCGTTCACATTGCCCGATGCAAAAATTTTGCATGAAGCTAAACTTTACGCTGAGATATCGTAGTTTCAGTATAAAAGCGTTGGGGTGTGAATGATTGGTAGTGCCAAGTTGGCTAATGACATAATAGTACAAAGTGATATGAAAAGGTCAAGGGCGCTAAATGATATCTCATATTTCCAGGCCCTGCCCCAAGAATTAACAAGTAATCTTTCCCTCACCGATTACTTATTGGGAGGCTTCAACCAAGAATTATGACAATCTCACTATTTTTGAATCAAACGCGCCTCATAAAACAGCTACATGGCTCCATCCTACAGCTAACTTGGTTGTGTTACTAACACTGTGGCTACGCAGAGCTCCACACTTTTGCGAGGAAGTTGATGCTATTTACTTCTTTATCATTAAAGTGAATCAAATGCCCTTCACTCTCATTTGGATCGTAGTATGCACACCATACGTAGCCACAGCATCCCATACTAAGACGCTTTTGAAATCCAGTTTTCGTTTCTCTCAATTTTTGAAAAAGGGAAAGACTAGAGCGACGTAGTATTATTGCCCCATTCGCTATTAGCGGAGATTCGTAGTATTTTTTCAATTCTTCCACAGACTTGTGTGTTTCTTTAAGAGGCTTGATTTTATGAAATTCTATCTCCCACGATGCCTTTTTGCAATTTCGTAGTCCCCCGTTAGCCCAAAGTAGTTTAAACTGCTCGTTGAAGTGAGTTGGTTGAGTTGAGCAAATGTAGTCTTTATTGCCCGCGCCATCTTGTTTCAAGATACCTAGCGCGCCAGCCGCATGTTTGTTAAAGCGATACTCTTCGCTGCCTGATATTGACTGTCCCAACCAGAATAGTTCTTTGTCGCCATAGACTGGCTCGCTTGTTTCTTTCCATAGCTGCATGGTAGAGGATATCAATAGACCAGGTAAATGGCTCTTTCTCTTCATTAGTACCACACCACTCTCCATTAGATGTTTATAGCCTAGTTTCAACATTTCATTTTGACTGGTGAACTTTGTTAAATGTGGCATTCTGAAAACAGAGCGCTCCTTTTCCAATGGTAACAGCTTTTTGTAGAATTTCACATCACTGGGTTTGATAAATTCGTCAAGTGGCCGGTCCCTAAAAAAGAATGCTCCCGTCTCTCTATATCCTACCTCATCGAAAGGAGTTTCTGGGTTGACAAATGGAACAGAATCCGAATCCATCAAAATCATTTCGTCAAAAGAATTAAACAAGGAAGCTATCCATTTGTTGGAAAAGCGTTCGAAGATGTTTAAGCTACCATCTGTTATCGACCTTTCCGCATTTACAAACCAAAATGTCTTGGGGATACCCAAGCTCGCCTACGCGATCCTCTTTTTCAACACTGACGCTGCCTCTTCCTACAGTTATAATATCTTGCATTGATGAGGCTGAAACGTCACCCTTGTGCACAAGTTGAATGGGCAGTGTGTTTTGCAAAACTCTTAAAACCTTGAGCAATCTTTTGACTTCGTCGACACCGCCTTCCCCTATACTAATGACAATTCCCTTCCTTCATGGTGTCTTTTACATGTCTCCAAAACGGTCTTAGCGACGTCCTCCTTCCGTCATAATCTTTGGTTCAGCCGTCCGGAGTTTGTCTAGATTGGGGAAACCTTCAACTGAGTAGCCGTCCCATCTGTTGAATGTCGGTAGCTCGCGTGTGAAAGCCGGAAATAGCCCTGCGTTCTAATTTGTCGAAATCTAAATCTCCGTGCGGTGCTGAATTTTTGATGAAACAATGGCTGTAGATCCCCAAATGCTTAATTGAGTTGATCACACGTTTCTTGGAAAAATAAGATGTTCTGCTATCCCCAAAGCCTCTGATTCCCCATTGATTATTTCTCGAAAATAGCGACTGGAAATATTCTGAACACACGTCATCATTGCTCAGTGTTATGGTCGAGTCGTTATCATTATCATGAACTTTCGCATATAGACTGTTGATTATCGCATCAGATGACTGTGACCTCAGAAACGCCAATTTTTCTGCAAACTGCAACGAAAAAACAAATAGTAAAATCGGGAGAGATATAATAACTAGGCGTTTCAGACGTTTGCCTCGATGAAAGCTCCTTATCAGGGCAAGCATGTTACTTGCTTCGAACTATGATGAACAAAATTAGGAATGCAGGAACGGTCAGGAAACACCAGAAGTCCTTGGTAAGATTTATGTCTATTACCTCGCGCCATGTGCCAAGACAACTTCTGGCCCCAACTACCTGAATGTAGATTATGAAGCTTTTTCTTTCTTCGACGTTTATAATTAGCACAGCTATCCCAAACCGATTCAGTCAAAAAACTCCGAGATTTGAACCTTGATGTTACCCGAGCTTTGCGTTCTTTAGGATCGTTTGTCTACCCAATTTGCGTGTCATGGATGGCTAGCAATGTTGTGCTGAAGAAGACATCAACTGGGAAAGGTCCGGACTTATGAAATCGCTCGTCATTCGTAAGGCTTGTCATATCCTGAATCTACAGCAGTATCTAACTTTACTACGCATGATAATTCTATCCCACTAGCGTCATCGTGAATCTCAAGTGTTCTTCTCACGATATTCTAAAAATATTAGCAGCTTGCAAATGTGTAATGAAACTAGGACTGCGTTCTGAATAGCGCGAAATAGCGAGGGCAAGCGAGTAGTTTTGGTTGCGAAGAGCTTAACGCACCTATGTTCGTCGGAAGATCAATGAGTGAGGAAGTTGTATGTCTATCATAACTTGTCTTGGTCCACCTGCGATAATGCTCCATAACATTGCCCTGTTCCTAACAAGACACCATCAGATCATCCTTAAGAACTTGTCGTTCTATCTGCCATCTAGTTGTCTCTTTCTGTAGTCTCGGCGACCGCCATTTGTCACGAGCGGCGGCTGTGGCTTTTCACGTTTAATATAAAGGGCAAGCGATGCTCGAATCCGAATCATCAATAGTTGTTCGGGATTCAATCAGGAACTTGACGATTGTTGACCACTGCACAGTAATGTCATTTAACGAGATTCCTATCATTGATCTCAGCAAAGCATTCAACCCCCAAACAAAACCTCAGTTTCTTATTGATCTACGTGATGCCCTAATAAATGTGGGATTCATGCTCTTGATCAATTACGAAAAATGCGGTCCCTCCCATCGAGATTTCGAGGACATCAAGCAGCAGGCAGTCGAGTTTTTTGCATGTCCCGACCATGTCAAGAAAAAATGCGAAATGATTCATTCTCCCAACTTTTTGGGTTATACTAGGTTTGCCAACGAGATTACGGCGGGGAAAGTCGATTTGAGAGAGCAGATTGACTTGGCAACAGAGCTACCCCCACCCAAGGATGGCGAACCGCTTTACAAGCAAATTGAAGGTCCAAACCTATGGCCCGACGAGAAAGAAGCGCCTAACTTCCGTCCTGTAGTAACCCACTACATTGATGCAATGACTCAACTCAGTACAATCTTTAGAAACCTGGTTTGTGAAGCAATTGGGCTGGAATCTAAAAGTTTTGATTCGCTCTTCAAGGAAAACCAGCAATGTAAGATGAAGCTTATAGCGTATCCAGAAGTGTCGTACAAAAAGTCGCCTGCGACACTAAATGAGAGCAAAACCGAGGTAGGTCAAGGTGTTGGACCCCACCGTGATTCTGATTTTTTGACATATATATACCAGGCCTCGGAACACAAAGGGTCGCTCCAGGTGCAGAATTTCCAGGGAAAGTGGGTCTCTGTTGACAACACCCCAGGTAGCCTCGTAGTAAATGTAGGGCAAACGCTTGAGGCCGTTACTGATGGTGTATGCAAAGCCACGATACATAGGGTGGTAAGTCCTGAGCAAGGTTCAGGGACAAGAATGTCCATTCCTTTTTTTCAAACTATAGATCTGGACTCTCACAAAAGTATAGTTCCTGACATACCTCCTGAGATTTTGGACATGAAAGATGAAAGAGATAAACACATTGGTGATTGGGGAGTGGACGTGGGGTTTCAATTCACACCCGATGTGAGCAAGTACCCTATTGGCTATACTGTATTTCGGAACAGTATCAAATCTCACAGGGATGTGGCTGCCAAGTGGTATCCCGAAATCCTCAAGCAGGTGCTCGGCAAGCTGTGAAACGGAGATATTCGAGTCTTTACGACTAGTGGCGAATAAAAAATTATGCGAATCAAGATTAAGGGTTTTCATGAGATTGCTCGCAAAAAGACGTTATGGGAAGCTGCAATTAAGGTAGCAATTTTTTAAGCAGCGCCATTATTCACTGGAAATGGCGGAAAAGAGTCTAGAGTCATGTAATACCTTTTTGGACTCCAACGCCCTGTTTGAGTGCTTAAAAACCCCCGTTGTTACTATGGCCGATCGTGAACGAGCAAAAATCTCTGTGATGGTCCTGCCCCAGTCTAATCAAACAATGTAAACAGAATAATTGCCACCATTGCGATAAGGCACAGCTTACTTTGTGCCATCGTAACGCATTGTGGATGGAATGTGTGCCATATACATATTCGAAACATTTAGCTTGGAGGTTCTCTTATCCTGAGACGGCATAAATTCCTACTGTAATAATCCATCAAGCAATGTTTACGTCCTTCGATGCTATTACGAACAGAATCATCGAACTCATGTTAGGTGATAGGGAGAAAAGAATCCAATGATTACGTTTGTGCCGGAACAATTGAAACTGGGTGATCTCATTAGTGGTTTCCTCCGATTTGCATAATATGGAGACTCCATTTCCGTACATCTTAGCTTTCTTCCACAGAAATCCAGAGGTAGGCTTGATAAGTCTCACTCGTGTCGCACTAGTACAGAGTGATACGGCCTACTTCGAGCTTGTAAATTTTGCTACAAATGTCGCCCCTAGGGTTTTAATATAGAAAAACATCAATTTTAGCTTCCGATTCCTCATATTCAAAGTGCTTTACAATTTCTCAATATTCATCATAACAAAAACGATTAACAATGACGTTGCCAACCATTCGAGTACACTGGTTGAACGAATCGAGAGCATTCAGGGTCTTATGGCTCCTAGATCACCTGAAACTCGACTATGAGATTATTCCTTATAAGAGGGACGAAGGCCACCGCGCTCCCGAATCCCTCAAGAAGATTCACCCGCTGGGAAGATCACCTTTAGTTGAAATTGAGGATAAGAGTACCGGTAAAAAGAAAATTCTGGCGGAATCAGGGTATATCTTTCAATATATCTTACAGCACTTCGATCAGTCGAATATACTGAACAATACAGATGCTGACATGTCTGAGAAGATTCAATACTATTTGCACTATGTCGAAGGCTCGCTGCAGCCACCCTTGATGATCGAATATCTTCTATCTATGGTACAGAAAGCGCCAATCCCCTTCCCAATTTCCTACCTAGCAGGCAAAATCACGGGCAAGATAAGTGAGAAATACTCCAGCGGTGAGCTAAAGAGCCAGCTGGATTTCGTCGAAGGTGAAATTTCAAAGAACCGAGGATATTTAGTCGACGGGAAACTGAGCGGGGCAGACATTTTGATGTCTTTTCCTTTGCAAATGGCTTTCCAGCGGGGATTCGCGAAACCAGCGGACTATCCTAACATACAAAGTTGGATGAAGATCATAACGTCTTTGGATTCATATTCAGTCTCCAAAGACAAGGCGAATGCCCTTGGTGGGAAGTTTTGAAAAGCTACGTGCTGTCCAAGCGAGAGCACAATGCTGGCCAATATCGCCTTTACTATTTTGGATTATCAAGTTTTATATTCGTTGCTAACTGGAGTACTTTAGTTCGGTGCAGTATGTAGGTACCAAAAAATACATCGTTTTATGACCAACCGTACTTGATGAGGCGGCATAAAGTTATAAAGAGTTCATATCTGCCCTCAACACTATCAACTTTCCTTCTTTGTGGGCTTAGCTTAGAAACACCGAGACGCTGCGTTTTGCGTCTCGGAAATTTTCTTATTTAGGTTGTTTGGAACTAACTAAACTGGCCATCACGCCATGAGTTTTTCTAAAAGTGGAATCTTGTTAGATCTTAACACCTGTTTATTTCCAATTTTCCGCCTCTCCGCATTGCGTTGAGGGATCTTGATTCAACCGCAAAACTAGCTGTTATCCTTTCTTGAGCGTATGTTTTACAAAATTAGAGATACTTAACCCTTAAGGTTTTCGAGCTAGCTAATCTTGAGGTGCAACCTTCTCCTTTTCGGAATAAAAACGAAATCAGATCCGTCTACATATTTTTTTAGCAAGCGTTCTTTCAAATCTTGCCTGGAAATTAATTAATATAATGAGTGCGTTGGACAAGATAGTGGTTGGCGAACTCTACGACGCTAATTTTGACCCAGACATTGTCGAATTGCGCAAACAGGCTAAAATAAAGTTACATGAATTCAATAACTTAAGCCCTGCGGAAGATATCAAGAAAGAACAGCTAATCAGAGGCCTATTGGGAAGCTGTGGGGAGAATCTTGTAGTCGAATCTCCCTTCTACTGCGATTACGGCAAAAACATACACATTGGTGACAACGTTGCGATTAATCACAATCTGGTTATTCTGGACGGTGCAGAAGTCCACATCGGAAACGATGTTTTTATAGCTCCCAATGTTGGTTTGTACACTGCGGGCCACCCAATAGATACATTAAGACGTGAAAAAGGGCTTGAGTATGCCATGCCTATAACTATTGAGAATAATGTGTGGATTGGAGCGGGCGTTTCTATTATTCCCGGAGTGACTGTTGGGAGAGGTTCCGTTTTAGCTGCAGGAAGTGTGGTGATAAGAGATATCCCTGCGATGGTTGTAGCAGGCGGCAATCCTTGTAAGATTATTCGGGAGATAACCGCCGAGGACAAAAACACTACAAACTTCTCTAAGAAATAACCCATTAAGTGTAGCGGAAAGTAGTTAAATAACCCAGTCTTTTAAAGAATGCAGGCAAGAGAGGTTCATATGGCAAGGTCACTAGATGACTTTGTATTTCTTATCACACAAATGCTCTAAGTGTGGATAGCTCAATGTCTTCAATACTTTTTGTCGTACAAGTTTGGCATTAGTACTTGCAACCTGCCAGGCGGATATAGTTTGCAATAAGGCATCTGTTGGGAAAATCACTTTCATCAAGCAACATACCCGTGCCACTTAAAGTGACTCTATGACTATAGCTGATTTTAGCTTGAAAGGCTTTTTGCAAGATGAAGCCAACTGGCATTTACGAGCCTGTATTCTTTTAAGTGCTAGTTGAAAACGGCGCATTCATTGAAATTACTAATAGAGGTTATTTAGCCCAACAGGCCACACCCTCATATTTAGAATGCTACCAAATACAGAAGCGCATTTATAGCACTCCACGAATAGCGACTCGGTCGAATTAAAGTCAATAATAGTCGAAAAACATTTTTTAATAGTGTTCCAGTGCCTAGCTGCGGAGAATCAAGCTGTCCGTGATGTTGTTTGAATTGATTTGTCAGATCACGGTTGCCACTCGTATCTATGTTGTTCAATGTATACCAGAAAAATCATCGGCTTGCAACATGCAAAGAATTGATTTTTATCAGCCCTTCTCAATATCGAAATTTGACATTACTCAATCGCCTCCTTCATAAGTAATTGAGAGGGGCGTCTCGATCTTTTTTTTACTCTCGCAAGCGCAACTAATATGTTTAGAGAGCAACAAACTGACCTTTGAATTTTTTTCTGATGCCCTCTTCTTGCACACTTTTTGATGGATTTATGTAACACCCAAATAATTCAAGTGTAAGACTTGCTGAAAAAACTATCATAGCATTTCTAGCAGCTTTTTCTTTTTATTCTTAGTGACATATGAGCTTCAATGATATTGTTACCTTCAATCAAACACAGCATGACATGGCTTGACATGTAAGATCCGAAATTGATGAAAATGTGGTAAAAACCTGACTTAATAACACCAATTTGCATTGGAGACTAATGCTATTAGCGGCGGATTGTGCGTCACTAAAAAGGAGCGGTTCAAAATACTGTTAGTAACGTCACTACAGCTTCTTTCTGTGATAAGAAGTGCTCATTCCATTGCCTGCGAAAAGTATAATGAGTCCGAAAATGCTGCAGTATATCAATATTATGCACCCATCTGTAAAACCCATAGGATACGTATCCAGCCAAAGCTTTTTAACCACTATTTCATAGCTTTTGTTTCTATTGACAACGTCACTTTCTACCCTAGGAGCCTATAGAAACTACACTCAATAGTTTTTTGAAGACATTTGGTTCATCTTAGGTCATCTGGTAGATTAATCAACGTTCCCTTCTCCATGCCCGTATAATGCCTCCAAATGTCAATTAGTAATTATCTAATTTGAATCCGAAGTCCCATAGATCGCATTTATTTTAATTTTCAGCACTTGCTAAGGAAATCCTTTTGAATCATCAATCAAAAACTCCCAAAAAGCTTCAATGTTGCTTCCTAGAATCCCACTAAAAACATCTTCTTCACTTTCATCAATTGGCTCAGCAGCTATCCGTTTTTTCGTGGGAATTTCTAAATACCCTTCGAACTTATGTGAAAGAACGGCGTTCTCTACCTGGACCATCAAATCGTAACTGAAACCTATGAGAGCTTGAGGTCCTTTCAATTTGTGCAGAATAGATCGACTATTTTCAGAATCTAGCCCCCATTTTAAATATACTTCTTCAATTATGCTTCGTGGTGAATATTTTCCTTGCAATCGCAATTGCCAAAAGGCGTTTGTCATAATATTCAAGTTTCCTTGATCGACTATGTGGACGATATACTTGAACATTGAGACCGCTGAGTAGGAAGACAAATAAGAATCTCCGTATGCGTTCTCTGCTAAATCAATCAGTGTTGTCATTTGATTTCGCAGATATTTGATATTCCGTGTTAAAACGTCGCTCAGATTATTGTACTTGGAATCTTCCTCTTGGATGCCGTTCAATTCTGCATTTTTGAATTGTTGCTGCATAATAGACTGCTTATAGGAAAGTCTCAATAGGAACCTGCATTGATAAATCCAAATCCGGACAAGTAAGAAGCAAACATGTTGGTCGACGGCGTAGCCATAACTCTGTCTAATATCGCCAAGACGTCCCGTAAGATAATCAGATATGACGGAAGACAAATTTAAGTATGCAACGAAAGACTGAAGAGTCAATTTACGAAAACGGGAATCATTTTCGTCCCAATCGGAATTCGAATTGTTCTCGAAATATAACGAGAGCATGTCATAGACATTCAAAATGCACAGGTGTCCCGCTAAATTACACAAGAGATTTTCAGTTCTTTTTATTAATTCAATGTTGACCAAAGCACCTCTTTCTAGTTCTAACATATTCAGGTCTTCGTCAGTCAACGCATTGCTTGTTTTGTAAAGTGGAAAAGCCTGATACATGAACTCCTCTGATCTGTTAATGTTCACCAAGATCTTGTGAAGCTGAGTGATTCCAGATGTTGGAGCACATACAGATATCAGTTTGCTTAACTGTAAATGAAATTGATACTTGTCATCCGAGGTCTCGCACAAAGACATTCTTAATTGGGCGGTTACACTTGTAACGTCTTCTGAAAATGCATGCGGCCCTTGCAGACCACGTAGAAATATTTGCATGTTCTCACGATTAACTGTATCGGAACCGCCATCTGGCAGAGCAATTTGGAAAGCCAAGGACTGCACGCCCCGCCATAAAGCACGTCGAGAAGCCAATGCTCGGGGGTCTCTATACCGCATGTATTGGGAAGGGTCATGCTGGAGACCAAGAGTTACTGCTAATCCTGTCAATTGCTTGATGTTCAAGAAGCTGGCATGGGCTGGGAAAATATCAGGGCTTTTGGGGTTGATATAACGGGAAATGAAATAATACAGAAGACAAGTGAACCCACCCTCGTTGGTATAATGAAAAACATTTAAAAGTTCAATTAACTTGTACGAGAAAGCAGAAAGCTGTTCTGCTAGTAGTGAATGATTCTCCTTCGCGGACGAGTTGAAACTTTTGCTTGAAGTCAGACTTTTTAATCCCATCGAAATTATTGTTAAAAATAGTGAAAGTGTCTCTATTCTTCTGCGCAAGTCATTCCCGCTCAGATTTATCTTCAAGCGATTGGCTTCATCAGTGACAAACAACGAGGCCAGATTATCCTCGAAAATAGAAATATCCATGAATGCATAAAAAGGGAAAATCTCAGCATAAAATTTTTTCAGCAAGTCGTTGCTCTCACTTTTACTTACGAGCAGGCTCTCAAGTTCGTCTACCAACGCTTGCAATGCAATCATTGAACCTTCGTCTTCCAACGACCGCAGCGAAAAACCGGTCAATGAATGCTGAGTTCCCGCTAGGCGCGAGTTTTCCATACACTTGAAGATAGCCTTTTCCAGAAATGGAAGAGGTCCGTGTAACCGCTGACTGGTTTCTTTATCGGGCTGTCCACTTCGGTGATTGCTTAAATCCAGCAGCGTTATGCCGTGTAAAGAGCCGCCTAGAGCTCGGGTGTATTGATCGTGCTGAACAAGGCTGTGTAACGAAAACGGATAGTCTAGAAAGGTCGTTGATCCCCTAATTACTAGCATATCTTTTGGTGAACACAGTGAAAACGTCACGTCGCTGCATTGCTCCGAAGTAGTGGAAGAAGTCTGGTTCCCCGTCCTCCCGTTAGCTGCTTCAACCTCTTCTTGATTATCTGGCGTTCTCTTCGAAGCTATCTCGGTACTTGCACTGCTCTCAGTGTCATCTTGATTAAAAGTTGAGTTGTCTCCATAAAAACATATCAGATGGTTTTGCCTACATCGTGTACAATTAGGCCTCTGCTTATCACACTTCAACTTTCTTTTTTTGCATTCAAAACACACTAGTGTTGGTCTATGTATTCTAATCGATTTGTTCTTCATGTAGATAACTCTGCCTCTTCTGAACTCTTTCACCGCTGTTATTCAATAATTTATAACCCTGCAGCTTGATAGCACTTGGGCTCGTTCTACATGATTCAAACTAGGAATTTGGCTGAGTGCGAGTGGGAATCAAGAGAATCCAGCTGTGGTAGTGAAATACAAAACCGAGCAAAGCCATACTCATATCCTTTTCAACTGGTCGACGCTCATGAATTGAGTCATATTTTGTGCACGGAAAAATTCATATCTTCGAAACATGGCGCCTTAATCCCTCTTCCTATATCTTATTGCATGATTCGATTCTTAGGGGTAGCCTTGGTATGATTCGGGCGCTGTTCATAACTCTCAATCATTGCGCCAAGTAAGTTGAAAGTAACTAAACCTGTAGAAAAGGAGCCTTGCTGGATAATTCGGCGTGTTGCGATTACGTAGTATACCGTACAAAGGTACTGATAGCGTTAGGTCGGCTGTCATCCCTAAACGCAAGATTAGTAAATCATGTTCCTCGAGGATTACAAAATGCGTTGATACGGGAGATCGGGATGAAAAAAAACCTAATTAAAGCCTGGAAGGAAGATGAGAATACTATTTTGAGAGTAAACTTAGAAGCAACGCGCTCAAAATGTATCTTCCTCAACCGAGAAATGGCTCAAAAATTTTGAGCACCCACCAGGCCTGTTCGCCTGGAAGCCACATGCTAGGATTGGCAACAGACGCCTGGGTATTGGGTTCACGAGCGGTGTCGTAGGAAACAAAACAGCTTGCTCTCAATAGCGCATAGGCGTGGGTCGTATATATTTACCTTCAAGTTTCCCAGTTTTTCCCTGTGATATTATTTCGGCGAAACGATAAAAAAATATCACACATTACTAATCTCTCGAGTTATTTAGAGCGCCCGTCGATACTTACTGCAGCTTTCGTGTTGAGAGAGTAGCAATTTTGTTTCAATTACTGATTTGAAGCATTTTGCATCATGTTACGTGTCATTGCCAGGACTGCATTCCAGCTAAGACCTTGCTAAATCCATCTATGGTGATATAGTATTATATGTAAAGTAATAGCTCGCGCCTGTTGACAGACATATATCAAGGTAAGCTATTTACACGCACACTTATTTGAAATACTCATCGTAACCATCGAAAACGTAGCGATATCTTACATCCCCATCCACCATCTTCTGCCAAACATCTGAAACATTCTCCTCGCTGATGTTGACCCGTTGCACCCAAGGTTTAATGTCTTTTTCGGATGCCAGCTTCAGCATATATTCTATGTCTTTTGGTGATCCAATACAGGAGCCGCCGACGTGATATTGGTTGAGGAGCATGGTAAATGGTGTTAAGATCAATTTTTCGTCAGCTGGGGGGGCGGTGATAAATATCAAACGGCCACCAGCCATCAATAAGGAGAGTGTTTTTTCAATGTCGTTCTGCGAAAACGAGGAGGTAGTCATCACGATGACATCCAAAGATTCTTCGTGTTTATCTAGCGACCCCTCTTTTGCAGTTGCTATATAATGATCGGCACCTAGCTTTTTCGCATCTTCATATTTGCGGTCCGACCTCGATATTGCAGTAACCTCAGCCCCCAGTGCTTTAGCAAACTGAATAGACATGTGGCCAATCCCACCAACACCGACAATGCCAACTCTTGTACCTTCCTTTACGCCAGCAGTCATTAAAGGTCTGAATCCAGTTATGCCACCACACAGTAAAGGAGCCGCAATGGCTGAATCCATGTTTTCTGGAATTTTGAAAACAAAGCCCGAATTTGCCCGAATGTGAGATGCGTATCCACCTTGAGTCTTAAATCCATTCTTTTTATCAATGGACATATAGGTGAGAACTGAATCTTTGCAGGACTGTTGTAAACCTCTCGAGCAACGGCGGCAATCCCCACAGGAGTCTGTTTGCGCTCCAACGCCAACCCTGTCTCCTATGTGAAATTTAGTTTTGTCTACTTTATCACCCATAGCTGTAATTTTACCTACAATTTCGTGCCCCACTGCGAGCGGTGTATACAGCTTTCCCCAGTGACCAGCTGCCGCGTGGATATCAGAGCCGCAGACACCGCAAACTTCAATTTTCAGCTCAATTGCATTTGAATCCAACGCCGGTGGAACGTAAGAAAACCGTTTGGCTTCTTTCCAGTGATCAAAATTGACAACTCCGACTGCCTCGAATTTTACTTCAGTGTTCATTGTTGTTTTTTTGTATTTCAAGCTTTGCTATACTTGAGATGTAGCTATTAAGTCCAACACGCAACATACTTCCTCATTATTTATACCAAATTGCGGGAGTAATCATCTTGATATTGTAAACAATGTATCGTATTTTAGTCAGTAAGGATTGCTAAAGACTATTAATGAAAAATCCTCGGCCGCACTCCTCGGCCGACCGCCTCGGCCGAGAAGACCTGCTAACAAGAAAAGAGTACGGAGTTTACTCAAAGCACTTAGAAGGAATTTTCAAAAGTTGCATCATAAAGGGTTCGGTAAAAGCTTCTTGCCGCAGCTGGTCAGAGAAGTTGTAGTAATTTTTCATAAACATCGATATCCAAGATGCCAAGCCTTTCTCAATGGTTTGATATAGAGATACTAGTTTCCTAGCAACGCTGTGAAGAATTAATGCACATATTACGTTAATTGGAAAGTTTTTTATCAACGTGCTGAATATGTTCAATTCAAGCTCTACGTTTGAGATTCGCAGACGCCATCCCTAGCAATCTGGAACAGTATATGGAAAGCCTTGTTTCTATTTTAGTGCTTTAGTTATGGCATCGACAAAATGCATTTTTTTGATCGGCGGGATGGGGCCTAATAGTCTTGTTCAGTCACACAGCAGGTTTATTTTTATCGCGCTTGACATTTAATGCTTGTCTGCACCACATACATGAAATATTATGTTTATAGACCTGCGCAAAGAACTTTTGAATTCAAATCTACAATTAAACACTGAGTGGGGACATCATCTATTGGTTTAATAAGGCTTTTTTGGCATGTGGATGACGACAGTGCTAACTTTCAAAATGACACAATGGTACAAAGTGATATGGGTAAGACAAGAGCGCTTAATGATATCTGGTAGCTACTGACTCAGAGTCAGCAGCTAAGAGTTTCAGCTGATGATCTAGACCTTAGTTACTTATAGCTGCTGTAATAATTGCACTGCATAAATGTGGTATATACCTGAGGGGTATTATCTAATTAATGATTAAACTGAAAACGAAGCTTTGGCGCCGGTCAGCATCAAGCCAACGTTAGAACAGGGCGGTTTGATCAGAAATTCGGACACAATGTGTTAGGAACAATTACAACCGCTAGCAATACACAAAACTAGTATGCTCCATGTGACATATGTAACTACACATTAAAATAACTGGACCCTGGATTTTTGAGGGTAAATGCAAGACGTAGGCGGGCTCGGTTTTTTTTGAAGCATGCTTCTCTTTAGATAAGCATCTCCAACTGCATTATTTTCATTTCGGCACTTACGCAGCAGAAACGGTAGTGACACCAATCATTATCGACACTGCTAATCTACGAGTTAACAAGGTAATGATAGCTAAAAAAAAATCAAAGGCATTGCACAAATAATATTAGCCTCAGACACAAAAAGTTCACTCAAGAGGAAGAGGCATAGCTAGAATGGGAGGAATATATTAGAGATTGCAATTATGAATGCTTCAGAGCCTCTTGTAAAATCCTTCTTACCGCCCTGCAGTAACCTGAGGCCAAAAAAGCAAGATACTCGACCTTGGACGACCGATGGTCTTGAGGAATAGCTGCGATGTTTTCGACTTCCTCAAAAATCTTTAATGCGACGAACGTTAGATGATCTTAAAGACGACAAAAGGGACACGGAAATCGATGGAAGTCGAAATTGATCTACCTGCTGTCGTATGACACTGTGTATCCCAAGGGCAATTGCCAAAGAATTCAGACGGCATTGAAAAATTAGATGTGCGAGGAGAACCATAAGCTCGCCTTCAAGTAGGCAAAGGAGTTCAACTATTCTAAGCGGGTTTGCCAGCGGCTTTTACTAGGAAATCCGTATAACACCCATGAAAATCACGGGTATTATATGGATGTAGATTAGCTCGTGATCAAAAATGAAGATCGACCAGCCCTAAATCTTGATTCCTCTACAACATTCATCACGAATACGAGAAGAGCTAAACTGTTAACAGGCTTACTAATTCGACAGAGGGCAACGTTACAGAAGCGTACTATATAAACTTCAGACTTGGGGCATTGACTTCCTTGCCGATTCTTGGGTTGATTGCCAAAAATTAAGTATTAACAGCATAATTATGCCTTTGCCAAAGCAAGTTCGATTGGGCGGTTCTGGGTTGAAGATATCGCCGATATTGGTGGGATGTATGTCGTATGGTTCAAAGAAGTGGGCAGACTGGATCATTGAAGATAAAGAGAAAGTGTTCGAGTTATTAAAGCATTGTTACGACAATGGGTTACGGACATTTGACACTGCAGATGTGTACAGTAACGGCATGAGCGAGCGGCTGGTGGGCGAATTTTTGCGGCGCTATAAGATAAACAGGGAAACTGTTGTGATCTTGACCAAGGTATTTTTCCCCGTCGATGAAAGCTTAGATTTGTTTCATGGCCAATCTGCCGGCGAATCAACAGCGCTAGCACTCACGAATCAAAGGGGACTATCTCGAAAGCATATCTTAGATGCGGCTGCCAATTCTGTGGAAAGATTAGGCACTTACATTGATGTTTTGCAAATTCACAGAGTGGATCCTGAAACCTCTATGGAAGAAACGATGAGGGCTCTTAACTCCGTTGTCGAGAAGGGTCATACTCGGTACATCGGGGCTTCATCAATGCTTGCTACCGAGTTTGCTGAAATGCAGTTCATCGCCGAAAAACACGGCTGGTTCAAATTCATCAGCTCACAGTCTTGCTATAACTTGCTTTACAGGGAAGATGAAAGAGAATTAATTCCTTTTGCCAAGAGGCATAATGTGGGCATGATTCCTTGGTCTCCTAACGCTAGAGGTGTTTTAACGAGACCTTATGGTACACAAACACATCGGTCAGGCACAGATAGCGGTTTGCAGAGAATCAACGTCGTAGAGCTGCCTGAAAATGAGCAAGTAATTCTTAATCGGGTGGAAGAGTTGGCAAATAAAAAAGGAGTCAGCATGGCTGCTATTTCAACGGCATGGGTACTGAGTAAAGGCTTTTATCCAATTGTAGGACTAAATTCTATTGAAAGGATTGATGATGCTCTGAAAGCTATTGATACGCAGCTTACTGCAGAAGAGGTACTTTACCTGGAAGAGCATTACAAACCTAAGGCGTATGTAGCCTAACTTTATCATTTCAGCTTTGAATAATGAATGATGTTGGGACTACAGTGGCATATGTTGACGGGTCCAGTATTGATTCTTGTCGTTCTTCGCGTCGAAATCGACCGCACAAGAAAAACAATAACATCATCTTTTTTATAAGGCGCATGCCGCGTACACATTTTATGATCAATTTTATCAACTTAATTGAACTTTGCAAAACAGAAATCGTTCGTCTTGGTGCCTTTCTTGAGCGGCTGAATGGCCGCTCTTTCAAGAAAAGAGGTATTTTTTGAGAGCCGCAACAAATCCATTTTCCTAGTAGTCCCACTTTGTGACTTGTCCGAGTGTCATTCGATCTTGAATTTGCTAATTGTTGATGTGTTGACAACACATATTTTGACTAAAGATATCGCATCGATTAGTTTTCAAGGTTGGCCATCTCGAATACTGGAAGTAACCAACGATTCCATGCAGCAGCAATGTCGAACGCCCAGTTATTGTCACCTACTCTACGCACTTGTCTGCACATTCACTGCATACGTACTAAAACTCCAAAGTGATGACATTTCTTTCCTCATCACGTCATATGTTTCATGAGTTTCTGGAACAATGATTGATGAAATATGTGCACTGATGCAACTGCCAATAAATTCACCCCATTTATATGAGACAATTTATAGTGCTTCAAACTTTTATACTTGCATCTTTTTATTAGCTAAATTGGAGGTACAATAAGCACATTTTCCTGCATATAATGTCGCGTTTCTATTCGTAGTATTCTCCTAAAACAGTAGCTATGTCCAGCTGAAAGTTGATTTTATGCCAAGCGCATTTTTTGTAAACCCTCGATTTGCAGTACTTGATAATTGTGCTTTCAGAGCGCTTCTAAATTTGCCCCTGCTTGACTGGCTAACACCATTTCTAATTTCATTAGTGAAAGACTTCAACTAAATTTCCTCAAAGATCATAGCCTCTTTACACAGAGTATAACACGTAGATGCTATCATGAATGAAAATGTTTCTGTGAGACAGGGTACTCACCAATTGCATAGTAAAGTCATCTGCTTCCGGATATCACTTTCGTAGGAAACTGTGCTCCCTTTTTTGATTTGACTATCTTGAGGAATGAGAAGCGTCTCATATCTATCGAATCCATTGACCTCGGGGATTTAGTTTAAAGACATTGTATGCTGCCATAATATTCTATTTTTATGTAGTAGTCCTGCTTACTATTTGGTTCAAGTTACATACCAGAGGTCTATAACACTGTACAGATTTTTACTCAATTTGTTTTCCTTTAAAGTGAGAGCGGAGTAAACATCTTCTGGCGTAAAGTGTAGAAATATCAACACGCCGTCTCTTGTCAGCCCAGTTGTGAGCTTGGATGAGGACGATCAAAAAGAATTCTTCAATAATCATAGTCGGGGTGTTCGCAATAAGTTGACCTGTAGTGCTCCAGTGTAACACTGATGCTATAATGATCAAAGCCAAAATAATGATAACCGAGACTAACACACTCCACTGTGAAGAGCAAATTCTGTTGATGAAATCTGATATTTTGAAGGAAACAGTTTTCTTGGCCTTACTTTCGTGGTCAACAAACAATTCATCTGGACAATGAATTCCAAGTACTTCAAATAATTCGGCATCGTCCTGGGCTACGGCGGAATAATTATCCTGCTCATGGCTGACAATCCGGAAGTATACTTGTCTCAACACAAACCCGTCCAAGAACCCTATTAAACCAGTATATGTGCCGATAATGAGCCACCAGTTCGAGTTCCAGTGCATCGTTGAACCCACACCTATCCATGCACCAACAGCTGCTATGGCAATACAGATTCCAATACCAGTGCCAATGACATCAGCATACCAGTCAATCATCTTTTCGCCGGCAGATCTCTCTATCTTGTGAATGGTTATAATTTCATTTGGCGTTGTGAAATCTCCGCACTCTGATCTGAGATGCTCCTCAATTTCAATGTCTACATCAAATACTGCAGAGAGAAGTTTGGTGATGTATTTGTCATGCCTTGCTCTAATATTTTGAAGAAACATTGTGCAAATGAGTAACGTCACAGCCGTGGCGGTGTTAATGCAGAGTTGCCAAAGATCGCTAAACTTTTTGTACTCAGGATTGCTACCTTCAAGCTTACCAGTGAAGGGGGGTGTGTTCCCGGTAGACAGAGGTAAAGCGCCGCAGCCGATCCAAACAAAAATACCGATCCAGAAAATGATAATTGCAGGCAATGATCCAATGATTTTTCCTGCATGTGTTGAAAGTCTGTCGTACCAGCTCTCGATGGGCAAGTCACCGTCCCCTGGATGGAAGGAAGAATCCACCTCGTAGGATGCTGCTGCGGCACCATTTTGTGATTTCTCACTCCCCAGGCTCGATGGCCTGTTTAGCGAAAGTGTTTTGAAGGTTTTGATCCGAGACCTTAGAAGAGCGCACACATTGATGTGCTCATGTGCACTGTTAAGTTGCTGTCTCATCAGCAATGTGTCCCAAAAGTAGCATTGCAAAGACTGACCATCTTGCATGACCACCTGCCAGTTCTCGGGGGCTTTGTAGACGATACCAATCACAATCCATATCACTAGGACCACCCACATCAAGAAAAACACAATTTGAGTACCCGCGTATCTCACAACTTTATCCAGGGTGCGATCCGAGAGATCTTTTTCCAGGCCTGTGAAGCCATGGCTGGTGGTGATCTGACCTTTTTTGGTGATGTTTACGTCTCCCATCTCGCCAACAGAGCTTTCGTCACTGCTCCATTCCAGTGTCGCCACGTCGTCATTTTCGGTTTTCTTCCCAGGAGCCGGTGCCGCAGCGTGGTTTTCTCCAGCCATTGGCGCCCGTTGCGAAACGCTTGGCCGGGAACCCGGATTTCCAAAAAACTTGCCAATTTTTCCCATCTAGTTCAGCTCTGTGTTGCTATCCACTAGGTTCAACCCTCCATTGGACAACAACAGGCAAATCTGGCATCACTGTCTGGCGCTATATGTACTTTGCCAGCTAAGCGGGTAGCGCCTCTAAACACTACCAGCTGTTAGTTCCTAGTGTCAAACCGCACCCTCTTTATAAGTTTCCACGCGGCGATACTAAGCCATCTGAAGGTAGTCTGCCCATGGCGAATCCTTCGTTAACGTCTCGCCTACCGTTCTATGAAACGTCCAAAATATCTCGCTATTTTGCTCAACACTTCCGGACTTTCTCGAGCCTGGACATCAATTTTTTTCAGAAGCGACGTTTTCTCAGCCAAGCTTTTTATTCCGTAAGCTCACCTGCGTCAAGTCAAGTGCCTAAGAAATTCAAATCGAAGAACGAGTAAGGCTCGATTGATTTTTTGGCTGGCTCGTAAGGCTCGACTGGCCCTGATACGAACGAAACACCTGCTGGTTAAGCTACACTGGCCCAGAGGCCTGTAGCTTCATGCGTTTCGTTCACGCAAAATTCCCGTAGCCTAGTTTGGGCACTCTTTTTTTCTGTTATACGTGGAATAACTACTGCGGAAGGGAAAAAATTTGCCGGCTTCGATGGTTGGCATTGGCATCTAACAGCGCGCTGCATTGGTGTGTTTGTCGTCGGGCTCCAACTTACGAGAAGACCAGACACGCGTATTCGGGAAACGAGAAGAATGAACGCTCGTGCTGTTTTCTGTGGGACGGCTATACGGTGAAAGCGTGAACGATCCCAGCTTCGCTGTACGTGCCTGGTTTGTGGAGGTCTGGTGATAAGTCGCGTGCGCCGGCGTAACGCTGGCGGAACGGCCCGAAAGACCAGGAGCCTCCCGAGCCCTCCCCACCCCGCCATATCTGGGCCTGGGAGAGAGAGAGAGAGCATAGGCGGAACCCATGGGCCCACGTGACCAAGGCGTGCACGTGACTACATTCTCTTCCTCTTCCCCGTGACGCTTTCGGTACCCGGGCAATCCACCTGCTCTGCCCTGCCCTGCCCAACAGATGCCGACCAAGCAGCCGGCCTGCTACACATTGTCCTCTCGCTAGCCGAAAACACCCGATGCAATCCATTTTTGCCCTACGCATACAAGAAATCTATTTTTTCTTGGCAAATGCTACAAGCTACTCTCATTCCTACCAAGACACACTACTGAAAGCTGCTGAGAACCTGCCCTCATTCAAGAAGCGTTCCTCCACGCTAACATCTTTCCTCGTCTTCCTTGATCGCTGTCATCTGACTTCCATTACGCTGGTGTTTGTCTTTTTGCCAGGAATTAATTGTTTCTCTTTTGAAAAGTCTTTCTGTCTCTAGGGCCTCTTAAGGGTGTGGTGTCAGTGCTGAAAGCAAGCTGAAAGCAAGCATGCTGAGAGGAAAGAAAGGAAAGAAAGGAAGTTAAAGTTTTCGCAATTTAAGCAACAATAATTGAAGGTTTGAAGGTTTGAAGGTTAATTACACTTTGAGAGCGTATATAACATCCAGCATTGTTGTGACAGCGTTTTTTCATCGAGACGATAGCGAAAATTAGTTGTGAGCTGTGAGATTAATCTTTTGAACGATGATGAGCCGTGAGAACTTGGACCGCATGTCTCTGACCGACTCCAAGGGTAATTATGGCAGCAGGACGCGAAATTCGAACGAGACGACGGGCCAGATCGTGATGCCACAGGTGGTGAAAACGGGCTCTGAGGACTCGTCCGACACGCTGCTGAAGGTGCTGGCGGACGAGGACGACCACGAGATCCAGTACAAAACGTGCTCGTGGGTGCACACCACGGGTCTGCTGCTGTCCGAATACATCGTGCTGGCGATCATGTCGTTCCCGTGGTCGTACTCGGTTCTGGGCATCGTGCCCGGCATCATCCTGACGCTGTTTGTGGCGTCCACAGTGCTGTACACGGGTTTGACAATCATCGACTACTGCGAAAAATTCCCACATTTGAAAAGCGTGTGCGACATCGGCCAACACCTGTTCTGGGGCCAGAGATGGGCCTGGTACGCCACGCTGGTGTGTTTCCTGGCCAACAACACTCTTATCCAGGGTCTCCACGTCTTGGTCGGAGCCAAGTACCTGAACACGGTGACAAACCATTCTCTGTGTACCGTTGACTTCGGGGTGATCGTGGCCTGCATATCGTTTGTGTTTTCGGTGCCAAGAACGTTTTCGTCTCTGTCGAAAGTGGCCTACTTTTCCGCTTGCACCATGTTTATTGCCGTGGTTTTGGCTATGATTTTTGCAGGTGTTCAAGATCATCCAGCTGGCTACGACGGAACCCCGGTGACGTTCCGTGCCTTTCCCGAAAAGGGCACAACCTTTGTCCAAGGAATGGGCGCTTTTTTGAACATTGTGTACACTTTTGTGGGTCAGATCACCTATCCACAGTTTATTTCTGAAATGAAAAGACCCGGAGAGTTTAGAAAAGTCCTTTACATTGTAACTCTGTGCGAAGTCATTATCTTCACACTTGCGGGCGTAATCATCTACGTCTACGTCGGGAACGAATACGTGACTGCGCCTGCGTTTGGATCCCTTACAAGAACATTCAAGATTATTTCCTTTTCTTTTGCGGTACCAACCTTAATTTTTGCGGGATCATTGTATTCCAATGTCTCGGGTCGTCTCCTGTTCTTCACGTTTTTTAAGCGTTCCAAGCATTTGTACTCCCATACTACTGTTGGCTGGGTGGCATGGGTTGCGATCCTTCTTGTTACTTGGATTTGCGCCTTCATCATAGCAGAGGTTGTGCCTTTTTTCTCAGATCTGCTGTCCTTAATGTCTTCATTGTTTGATTGCTGGTTCGGATTTGTTTTCTGGGGCATGGCTTACTTCAAGCTCAAGGAGGAGAAATACCACACCCCCAAATTTTACAAGCAGTTGAGCCCCTCTGAAAAGTTTCACTACTATATTTCCATTTTCCTAATCTTAACGGGTCTTTACATCTTAGGACCAGGGCTTTACGCAGCGATTGACAGTATTATTTTAAACTATCAAGATGATGCTTACGGAACAGTTTTCAGCTGTGCGTCCAATGGAAGTTGATTCCTCAGCAGAGAAGGGCCTTTTATAGAGTTTAAGGCTTGTCGCGAGACTTTCGTATTTAACATGTATAATAATTTCAATTAATTCGAACGATCAATATTCGTTTTTGCTAGATTATTGCACGGCATGATAATTGTCCAAAGAAAAGCTTGAACGCCCCAAATAAGAGAAATCTAATGAAAATAAAGTTACTTTACTAAAGCGGATAATACTCTACAGTTGTGGCTAATAAGCCTTAGATATTGTGACGTGCGTGGTGAAAATGCCTATATCAATCAAGCTGTGTAGAATAAATTAATAAAGTCGTAAAACTGGCACCAAAGACAGAGGTGCATCCTTCGCACTAGCTGAAAAGCGCTGATATTCCCCAGTGCTTTGATAGATAGTCTTAATTGCATAATGGAGTAGATCAAAATAGGATCATAACGGGACCAAAGAACAATGTCATAATAGTAAAAAGTGACAAAGCGACAAAGCTAGATATACAATCCAACATAGCCTTTCAGATAGTGAGTTAGAAAGCTGATGTCTAGACGTTGATATCGGTTAGTTCCTACAGAAACATTTTTTCTGCGTCATTGCGTCCAAGGAATAGAGGCTAAAACATTTGATAGTCCAGCCTAGAACACTTATCAGAATTAAACATCCAAATTATTGTATAAATACGGATTATTCTTGTCCGGGTTCCTGTACTATTGCTATATAGCGTCAATTGCATAACGGAGAGATAAAAAGAATCTCATATAATAATACGAATTAACGAGACACACCATGAACCACTTAAATTACCAGTTCAGCAAGCTATTTACTATTGACTCGGATAGGCCTCGATACCTCTCATTCCGACTTTAGCCAATTATTAGGAGATCTACAGCATTGAGTACCACTATTTAAATACTGTAATCTCCAGACAAGAATGGTATGGAACACGATGAAGGAAGCGGCTTGGGACGTCGTTCGAAAGTTCTTTTCACGGTAAAAGAAACTTCACCGAGCTTTGTATGTACAGCAGACAGCAGCGTAGTAGAGAGTGAGCCTTATTGTATTCGTCTCATCCAAAAAGATTTACGTGCCTTGAGGGAGCATTTTTGGGGTTGCATCGGCTTTCAATATATCGATCTTTGATCTGGCACGAACGTTACACATGCTGGTTGCTCGCTAATCAGGCCTGAAGCATAGTATTAACGTTGAAATCCATTGTGCGTATCAACGTTACTCGCATTTTGGGAAATATCGTGTTTACTAATATCCTATTGAAAAGTTAGTACGCACTTCCCATCAAACTGTTGACGACTGCGTTTATCATTTCATGAGATCCACAATTCTAGACGACGGAGCCAACGGGTAGAGAACTTTACCGGTTGTTGGCACGAAGAGTTTTTATCGCTCACCCAACGGTACAGGAACGAAATCACCCAGAAATAAAGGAACTTTTTGATGGAAACGGTCGGTCAGAAACTAAACAAACCGACTGGTTTCGAAATTGGGAGTAAACTGCTCGCAGGTGAAAGAAGATAGTTTTTGAACAACTTTGAGATGAAAGATGACTTGATGCTCCTTGTACAGTTGTCAGTTCCGGGGGCCTCTACAAATGTGCATTAGAGAAGCGCTAAGCTGAAAGAACAGATTATGGATTATTTCTTTTATTTGGGGAGTTTGATTGATTTAGAGACGAATGAGAGTGTAGCATGATCTAATTACGGTTGACAGTACACGGAAGTCCTTTAAGTGTTCAGCGTCTGTCACACTGTGTGAGCTCAAAAGAAGGACGATATCTTTGACTCTACAAAGTCCCATAGTTTCAAGTCTATCCCATTTTCGAGCCCAACCTTTATGTCACACCGCGGGTCATGGACTTCTCCGAATGGAACGATGTAAGCGCCTTGGTCAGTGCTTTTCAATTCTGGAGAGAGAGCAGCAAATAATTCACTATAGGCCCCATAATGGCTTTCAAAAAACATACAACTTATTAGCTTTCTAGCCAACGGAGATGTGATATCTCTTTGAAGATCGGTTTGTATTAACCCGGGAAAGCAGGAAACAGATACGCATCCAATCTTGTCGACGATTTCCTTGTGCTTTGTAGCCCAGGCTTTTGCTTGGAAAATATTAGCAGCTTTAGATTGACCATACAAAGTCGTGGCAGATGGTCTGTCCTTGATCTCGACATGTTCAAACGTTGGATTTTCCCAGTTAATCCCGTAGTCACTGAACCCATAAAAATGCGCACTAGATGAGACCCACACTATCCGCTTCATATCGTCGTCCTTCTTCAAAAACAATGGGTCCAGATAATGCTGCAAGAGTTGTGGGCCCATAACGTTGACTGCAAATATGTTCTCAAATCCATCTTCGGATGTTGCCGTGTTGGCACTAGGCATAATGCCTGCATTATGCACTATAAGGCATATTGGTCTTCCGTTAATAGCTTTGGCAATATCGTTTGATGCCGTTTTCACCTTTTCCAACGATCCCATTTCACATCCCCCTACAACCTGGATCGAACCAGAACTGTCTTTTACCTCGTCCAAAACACGCTTGCGAGCCGCGACGCCTTTTTCCTGGCTTCTGACAATGCATAAAACATTGCAGTTTTTCGAATACAGTAATTTCATCACTTGGAATCCAATGCCAGTATTTGCACCGGTGACAACGGCCAATTTACCATTAAGATCGGGATATTGTTCGGGAGTGTATGTTGCACTGCTCGGACGAAAAGCATAATACATCTCCTTGATCTTGTATAAGCTGCTGTAGCCCGGCCCTTTTACGCTCATGATTATCGATGGTATTCGTTATTCAACAAAGTAGAGCCGAGGTGAATCCTCAAATGAAATATCCAGGTGATTTTCTAAAGGCATTTGATTTTCTAAAGGCTGTTATATATACACTCATTACGTTGAATAACCTGGAAATGTATATATAGACAAAAGCATGATTCAACGTAGTAGTTCTTACGTCTGACTGTAGTTAACCAAGAACCTAGGGCACAATTGGCTATCATGTTTATTATCGCAATTCTTTATAACTTCCCCGGTTTACAGCCGCGCATGATAATGATTAGCAGACGAAAACATGCCTTTCTGCGTTAAAAGTCCGAATCAACAAATATTCATAACATAGCACTTGTGTTTGAAGACTTCTGGAATGAGGATACTACATTTTACTACAACCCACAGCTGAAAAGAATCTTGGCAGTTTACATTCAAGACATTCAAAACTTTGAACAAATCCGACCTACTCCTGACATGTTATCACCTCAGTGAATCAGACAAATACACCTCAATGCCAAATTTGGTTATGGTTCCATGGGTCTTACGTGGACACCAAATCCAGCGCGCAAGAAACAGGATTTTGCAGCCATAGACAAGGTCGCTGAAATGAGTAACTCTCAACTTGCGATTATTTTGTTAATATTTCGAGACTCACCCTGGGCTCCGCGAAAAGGCTATCCTCGGTTGCAAAGGCTGTGGGGACAATGCAACGCTTGCGCCTCGCGGAAACCGTGCGGGTGTTTTAATTTTTGCGGAAAACTGCGTTCGCGAGCTTGGAGGCCCCATCGACGTTTGAACCAGCCAGGATCGATACCCTGCTAGCTGGCTTGAAGTCCACCGCTTCGGGAACTTTTGATGCACTTCGAGAGTGTATCGGAAAGGGTCTCATCGGCGCTATTTCTTTAAGCGAAGTCACAGAAGAGCTATTCCGCGCCAATGCTGCCAAGTCCTGCCAGTATGTATGCTGTTGAGATCGAGCTATCGCTTTTCTCGCCCCACACATTGTCTAACGGGATTGGGGCCGTTCGTAACGTGCTGGCCCTACCGTATTGTGCTTCTCAACACTGTGTCTTTGTCTTCTAGCAGGCCATGCCACTTTCTCTGGTAACGTGCCAGACGGTGATTAAAGAAGTGTATAAAGAACTTCAACGGTGATGCGCTTTAACATAATTTGCTCTTGTCATGATTTTTACATTAGGAAGTTATTGCTAGACATGAGGCTTTCATTACGCTGCCTCAGGTCGCGCTTGCTTGACTACTTAAGGCTTTGAATACAAAATATCCAAGGACTGCTTTTGTTCCTAGTCCTGTTGAGTCCTCTGCCACGCGTGTCAAGGATAGCTTCATCTTAACAGAGCTGTCCAAACAGAAACTAGATAACATTGACGATTTTGTCAAGTATTTTTCAGGTGCAAGGCGTCTGTCAGGGTCGCCGAGCTACTCTTTAATAGTGTCAATCGCATTATGAAGCAGATCAGAACAGGATTATAAATTAACCACGAAGTCTGACAAAGTATTACGACGGGATAACAGCAAAACATAGTAGGTCGATGAAGTATTCAATGCATCATCTCGAAGTGAAGACAAGTATTAGACAATTCCCTAAAAAGGTCTGCTAGTCTGCTAATGACCAAATTGGGGATAACTTGCTGGGTCATACCATTATACAAGACTGAGAATGTTTACATTCAGTATGGATACCGACAAGTTCCAGCAGATCGATCAACTCCGTAGCTTCAAAAATCACGGAGAGATAGATAGAATCCCATATTCTGACACGAATTATTTAGGCCCGCCATGAACGACAAGAATGACCAGCATAGTAAGCTAACTATTATTGGTGCAGAGGTACCTCATTATCTATCTTCATCGTCTTCCTGAAAACTTATTACAGCGATACTTTTACTGCGAAATCTTGACGCTGGGATGACACTTAGGTATAAAGTGACAAATTTTGCATGCTAAATCAGACGTAGCTCAGCGATACAGGACAATTTAAAAATGCACAAGTTTGAAACCCGAATCAAGCAGTTGGTTGGGGGCATATTATTGCAATATTGCTGCACCCTCCCTCCCTTGCTGGGCTCGGTAAATGAAAACTTGTACAATCAAGACGTAAACTTGAGCACTCAACATCATCGTAACCTTTAACTGAAGGAACTGTAAAAGCATTGTGATTCTCCGCCTGGGTCGGTCCAATTCTTCATATCCAGAACAACTATGCAGAGATAAAAGTCGAGGTTTTCGTGAAGCGTAATACAAAGTAAATGAACATTAAATAATATCTATCGTAAACGCTACCGGTATTCCCAAGAAGCATTCTCCAGAAAAGCGAATGTAGAGAACCGAGAGGTACAAGATCCGTACTTTCGGCACACATTGCCAGTCTGAAGCATCATACGTACTAAATGCTATGACTATACACCGTTTGCTCATGTCATGGCGTTCGCCTTATTTGACCTTCCTTAAAGGAAACAAAGGCACAGCGAAGCACTGTTCATTAGACGCTACGTTATTGCATCTGTGGCCGTCGCTACGTCCCCCACACTCAACTCGGCGCTATGAGCCAATCATATTTGTGCATTCATGAGATCGTACCTAACGGCTTCTCGAAAAAATTTCCAGTCACTTTAAACGAGTTAGGAGATTTGGCCTGGCATACGGTTGTATCGGATCGAGTTATGCTCTATATAAAGTCAAAAAAGTTTGGCACACGATCCCGGTTGAAACAAAAGTTGTTCGTGTGCAAATAATACGCCAGGCCTGATATAATTATCTCATACACTCCCACACATAATGTCTGCTGCTCTTCCTCAATATTCCGTATCCGACTACGCTAAATTCGCTTTGGCTGGTGCCATCGGTTGCGGTGTGACCCACTCCGCCATGGTTCCAATCGATGTCGTCAAGACCAGAATCCAGTTGGAACCAACTGTGTACAACAAGGGTATGGTCAACTCCTTCAAGCAGATCGTCTCTGCTGAAGGTGCTGGCGCCCTTTTGACTGGTTTCGGTCCTACTTTGATCGGTTACTCGTTGCAGGGTTCTTTCAAGTTCGGTGGTTACGAAGTGTTCAAGAAGTTGTTCATCGACACCTTGGGTTACGACCAAGCTGTCAACTACAAGAACTCCATCTACATTGGTTCTGCCGCCATCGCTGAGTTCTTTGCCGATATCGCCTTGTGCCCATTGGAAGCCACCAGAATCAGACTTGTGTCGCAACCAACTTTCTCCAACGGTCTCGTTGGCGGTTTCTCTAGAATCATGAGAGAAGAAGGTCTCGGTTCTTTCTACAACGGTTTCACTCCAATCTTGTTCAAGCAAATTCCTTACAACATCGCTAAGTTCTTGGTCTTCGAACGTGCTGCCGAGGTCTACTACGGCATGGCCGGTGCTAAGGAAAATTTGTCAACCGCCACTACCACTGGTTTGAACTTGCTATCTGGTTTGACTGCCGGTTTGGCCGCTGCCATTGTTTCTCAACCAGCCGACACTTTGTTGTCCAAGGTCAACAAGACTAAGAAGGCTCCAGGTCAATCTACCATTGGGTTGTTGGGCCAACTTGCCAAGGAACTAGGTTTCGTTGGCTCTTTCGCTGGTCTACCTACTCGTTTGATCATGGTCGGTACCTTGACCTCGTTGCAATTCGGTATTTACGGTTCTTTGAAGAAAACTTTGGGTTGCGCTCCAGCTATCGAAATTGCTAGCGCTAAATAATTTCCTTGAAAGCTGCTTGCCTCCTACGATTCCACTTCTTTTGAGTTTCACTCATGGAAAATCTTGTACTCTAAATTTATGTGGTGAAATCTGTACTTCTAGTTGCGGTATAGAAAAGATGAATATATTCGAATGTCATGAACATACAACTTTTAACTATCTACTATTTAATTACTCCCTCATGTAAGCTTCTAGCTCCTGATCTAACTGATCAGCGGTGGGCTGCGCAAGCTTCTCTTTCCTCTCTCCACGTTGTGGGCGCCTGCCACCCCGCTGCCCTTTCCTTTGTGTCCGGCGTTCTTGGCGATTCTTTAACTCGTAAACCTCTACGGAGAGCTTGACGCCGTTGAGCTCTTTGTCAGTGAAAACTTTAGCTACTGCATCTATCTCCTCCTGTTTCGCAAACTCGAACACCCCAGTACGACTATCAGCATGGTCGTAAAAATTCGAGTACACTGGCAATGCAGTTTCTTTTACCATGTCTTCGATAACGAAGTCTGAAACATCCAAGGGAATATGGAGGATGCGCATTCTTTTTTTGGCTGGAACCGCTGGGCCTCTCACGCCGTCATCGTTGTATAGGCCATTGGACGTGTGATAAGACCTTGGTTCAAAGTCACGTCTTGCCGAGTCTCTTACGTCGCCGGAAACACGCCCGATTCTAGACGCTAATCCATTTCTTAAGTCACGACGACGATATTTCTCACCATACTGTTAATAAATATCGATTACCAGTTTTCTCAAGTCAAGAACATACTGTAATACCTTTGGCAGGCTTCTAAGTTGAAAGGCGTCATATGTTAGTAAAAATATTAATAAAGCAACTAGCCCTGCTCTTTTTGTTGAGGACGGCCCAATTACAAAAGCTCCGTATCTTCCAAAGGCTTCAGTGTTCGCAATTGATAAATCGATGATAACCGGGTCCTTTAAGTTTGTTTCCAAAAAGATATCGTACGTTTTCGCCAATGATACTATCTAATTCATCATTGATTGACATATTTTAGGCGTTGGTCCTGCGCCTAATTTCAAAGTCTAGGCTGCTGGGAAGTAGTTATAAATCTCAACTTATTGAAGTTTTCCTTCTCAATTATTATGTAATTTACCCTGCCTAATTCATTTTAAGGTCTCCTAGTACTTGATCGAATCTAGCAAGATAACCATAGCTGCTCTTGACCGATTTTATCCATGAGACTGACTGAGCGAATTGTAGCAGCGTGGGCTCGACAGTAGCTAAATTTCCGTACGCAATAAGTAATCTGTATGCAGCTTCTTCAGAATTTTGAACCATGGATGATGGGCCGAACTTGTTATTTAGAGCATCAGCCACAGAAGGCAGAATGTCCACGTTCTGATTCTCTAGCATCATAACACTGTAGTTGAGGGTCAGCGTTGCAATCGCTATAGCTAAATTTCCAGTTTTAGTAGACGCTTGAGGGCGATCAGCGTCTATAGTCTGAAAAATGGATTCATATACAGCAATCTTCGACATTAATTCCGTGCCCCAAATCTTGTTCGTGAAGCAGTTCGCCAATGCTCTAATTGTGAGCATTTCAAGCTGGGGATTAGCAGAGCCGAGCCCTTCTTCAATGAAGTCGCTCATTACATCTGCGTGGGGCAGGTAGTGAACAATCAAGCGCATAATGTCATACGCAGGAGTTTTGTTCGTCCATGTCGATCGCATCACACTAGCTTGGGCAAATAACAGCTCGGAATTATCCTCTAAGTTGTGCAAAGCGGCCCCAATGGCAGCCAAATCCTCATCGTCGAAAGTCTTTTCTATCTCATTCAACTTAGCAATACCACTAAAAATGGCATCCGGGTTGCAAGAATTAATTTCAAGATAGGTTTTAACAGGGAGAACGGACATGCTACTTGTCGCTTGTTCAGACTTTGGTAATTCGGGACCACTTTGCTGTTGGAGATCGACCCCCCCTGTGTTAGTAATCAGAAAACGAACAACCTCTTCTCTATATGACGCAGGAAGCTCATACCTTGCGAGGAAATCATCGGCAGCCTGGTAAGGATTGCCGTTGGCATTGAAAGGAATCTTTAATGGTGGTGCACCTTCCTGAACATCAACATCAAAAACGTAATCATACATTTTACCTTCAAATTCTTTTTTTTGATCGTTCCCTGCAGATCCTACAACATCTCCAACTTTAGTCCACTTACCTTGGGAGAACTGGTGAGCTTCATTTACTCCTGATGGGCTTTTAACCACTACGACTTGGCCTTCTTTCCCAGGCTTTTTAAGGGTGTCGCTGGGGGCGAGTTTAGATTCGTCAAATTCCATGGCTTGGGAACTAATTGCAGTTTCTTCTATATCCTTAGCAAACTGGTCTAGTTCATTTTGAGGTGCCAACCTGCTGTCATCACAGGTGAAGATACGAACCATTGTGTCACTACTACCAATAATGAGATCACCGTTAGGCAAGACGTCTAAATCCCAGACAGAAACAGCTGGAATTCTTATAACTTGCTTCACAGATCCATCTTGGTTCCAAATTCTCACAGAACGATCTTCACCACAGCTGACCAAATCCCCATTGGCCAAATATTTAACACAGTAAACAAAACTTTCATGTCCTACCAAAGTCTTGAGGGTGCGGCCGTCCATGTCGTTAATTTTAACTGTTCCGTCATTAGAACAACTGACGAATTGGTCACCGCTATGATTGACATCGAGATGCCTCACAACATCGCTATGAATGTTGTCAAAACTCTTCAATACCTTTTCGCCGTTCCACAATTTTATTGTCCCGTCGGCGGAGGCTGTTAGGTAAGTGCCCACTTGAGGCAACATTTTGACGTCCCAAACAGAAGCCTTATGGCCCTTTAATGTATGTTTTAAAGCACCCTTGAACCAAACTCGAGCAGTGGAGTCCCAGCTCCCACTCAAAATGTATCCCTGGGAGCTGTTTAGAGTGCACACATTACTCGCGTGGCCTACAAGCACGAATGTGGACTCCGTGTTCAAATGATCGAAACTGGGAGAAATGCTATTCACCAAAGAATCTTGGCCTCCGCAAAATAAAAGCTCGCTGTAAACATCGTAGCAAAGACTATTGACAAACTTATCGGACTGGTAAGCGATATTGTCTTGCCATAAATTTTCATACCCTTTTTTCCATATCCTCACTGTGCCATCTCTCGAACAGCTTGCCACTCTTTCATCGTCAATAGCCACTACTCCCTTGACGTCTTGTACATGACCTGACAGCACCGCGCTGAGCCTAAAGTTGCCACCAGTCATCGAAGAAGCTGTTAGTCGAGACTTGGGCGAAGATTGATAATTTGTGAAAGTAATGAAGATGTGTCAAACTCTGTCACTTCCTGTGTATCCTGTTGAATTTATAGATGTGCAAGAGAATTGGTGAATCTGCAATGCTTGCTACCTTCTTTCCTTTAGCGTAATACGATGGTAGAATTTGTTTACTATAGGAGGATATTCATGAACTTTCAAATCACGAATTTGGAAAATGTTTTACTACTGGTCTCAAAAGTTTAGACACCTTGTTATCAATACAGACCGGTATTCTTTCTTGCTGGGAATAGTTGAGTGTGCACTCAATTGGCATGAAGTTGATAACTTCGGTTAGGTATCTCATAAGGAACTATATATGAAAGTCTCAAGATGATCGCGCCGTTCAATTAAAGATCAGACCGAGCAGCAAATTGTGTGGTCTATCGGACGAATTACGAACTCACAAGGCAGTAATATATAGCCAGTGTATACTTAGGAGCTCACGGAAAAGGTCCCCTATCTCAATAAACCTCGGTTTCGAGACAGCTGGCGCTATGCACAATCATTAAGTTAAGCACTAACTCCCTTGTCCCCCACTAATCGTTGCCTACTCAAATGACTTACTGAAGGCCCCAGCGAGCAGTCTTTTGACCTACCGGTCATTTCTTGATGCTATTGTTTTCGCTGGGCTGGAAAAATTATTATCTTAACCACTGGGTTATCTACAGTAATTTCGTTACCACTAAGGTAAAATCTAAAAAACTCATCACAAAGAGCATGGCTGGTCCCTTGTTGTATGCTCATTTGAACAGCCGTGTGGTGTTCAAGTTGGCTTCTTCTTCTGACGAAAAGGATGCCGTTCTTTCACTGGGTCCAACGGAACAAGACATCAGCATTGAAAGTCTAGATTCTTTTCCTTCAAGGGGCGACATTCGCAAAATAGCTGCCCTTATTGGATGTATAAGGCTTAAGCACAACTCTTATGCAATCATAGCACATAGAGTCGAGGAATTTGGTTCACTGGCCGGCCATAAAGTATTCAAAGTTGTGGAGCATACTGTACTTCCCCTTAACAAGTTTGCCAAGAAAGACAAAGACGAACAGCATTACCTGGCTCTTTTAGAGTTGCAACTGTCAAACGCAACTTTATTCTACTCATACACATATGACTTAACCAATTCTGCTCAACGCAACGAAACGTTGGGTGCTAACTCGTGGGAGAAGGCTGATACACGTTTTTTCTGGAACCACTATGCCACAGAACCTCTAAGGGCCCTTGCTGCCAAGGACTCTCGTGCTGGACGTTTCATCCAACCCATGATTTTTGGTTATGCTCACTTTATTGATTCGATGATGCAACAAACTCCCATCACAATTGGCCTCGTCACTAGAAGAAGTATTTTTCGGGCCGGTACTAGATATTTCCGTCGTGGTATTGACGCTGATGGAAACGTTGCTAACTTCAATGAAACCGAGCAATTTCTTGTTGTTCAAGGAGGCGCTCACAGCGAGAACCTGGAACTCTTCTCCTTTTTACAGACCCGCGGTTCTGTCCCTGTATATTGGGGAGAGATTAACAATTTGAAATACAAGCCGAACCTGGTAGTGGGAGAGAATTCCTCATTGGATGCTACTGCTAAGCACTTTAACCAGCAAAAGGATCTCTACGGTGACAACTACTTGGTAAACTTGGTGAATCAAAAAGGTCACGAATTACCAGTCAAAAACTCATACGAGTCTTCTGTCAATGCTCTGAATGATCCCAAAATTCACTACGTTTATTTCGACTTCCATCACGAATGTCGGAATATGAAGTGGCATAGGGTCAAATTACTGATAGATCATTTGCAAAAAATGGGGCTTGATCCAAAGGATGTTTTTCATAAAATTATCGCACCAAATGGAAAAACCATCAAAATCTTAAGCGAGCAGCACTCGGTAGTAAGGACAAATTGTATGGACTGTTTGGATCGGACCAATGTTGTTCAATCTGTTTTAGCTCATTGGGTCTTGCAGCAAGAATTTGTGACCGCTAACGTTATTCCTGAGGATCAACTGTGGGAAAAGAATCTAAAACTCTTGGTTCAATTCCAAAGTTTCTGGGCGGATAATGCCGATGCAGTCAGTTTTGCTTATTCCGGAACAGGCGCTTTGAAAACGGACTTTACAAGAACAGGAAACCGTACTCGTGTTGGTGCATTCAATGATTTCTTGAATTCCGTGTCCCGCTATTATCAAAACAACCTAAGTGATGGGCCACGTCAGGATAGTTTTGATTTATTTTTGGGTACTTTTTCGCCATCCAATGTAGAATATCAGTCTCCATTTGCTGACAGGAGACCTTTTGTGATCCAAATTATGCCTACTATTATTTGCGCTGCCCTAACAGTCATTGCTGCGACCATTTTCTTCCCTAAGGGTCACTTCACGAGTAAGAAAAACTTGACCTTCTTATTTTTATCCAGCGCCGTCCTGAGTCTCTCTATCCGGTTCATTTATAGAAACGGCGAGCAGTTCGTTAATTGGCCCAAGTTCAACGATCTAGGCTTTTTGGTGGCCGTACAGACCCACAACAAAGAACGCACTTTCAAGGGTATCAAGTATGTGCAGAGTCCAAAGTATTCAAAACCTGAGGATTCGAAAAAGGACTAAGTAGATAAAACCAAATAGATTGAATTGGTTCATTTATTTTTTTACATCCAAGCTTGGCTTAGGAGTAAGTTTTGCCTACATACTTTTTTAAATGACAAGTTCTCCCATAACAGAGTTAATGTCGGTTGCTCTCATCAAGGCTTCTCCCACCAAGAAACCGCGCACACCTTCGCTTTTATATTTTTTCGCGTCAGTTCCGTTCGTGATCCCAGAAAGAGCAAGCAGTATTGTGTCAGCAGGGACAGCAGATACCAATGAGCTTGTGGTATTGAGATCAACAGAGAATGAATGTAAATCTCTGTTATTAACACCTATCACTTTGGCATCAAGCTCAATAGCCCTGTGCATTTCTTCCTTTGAGCTTACTTCAACTAATGGTACGATACCTACCTCAGTTCTGGCGTACTCGTACAGTTCACGCAACAAAGGCTGAGGCAGCATCTTGACGATCAGAAGGACTGTGTCTGCTCCTGCCAAACGACCTTCTAGAATTTGATATTTGCTGAAAATGAACTCCTTTCTTAACACGCATGGACGGTCCTGTGGATTGTGCTTGAACTCGTTATCAAGAGCCTTTCTAACATTAATCAAGTCTTGGATGCTTCCCTTGAACCAATGAGGTTCTGTCAAAACTGAGATTGCAGAAGCACCAGCTCTAGCGTACCTTAGACATTGTTCAGCAGCAATTGCGTTTATATCGATGTCTCCCTTGGAGGGGGATGCTCTCTTTATTTCAGCAATCACCACACTATTGGGACTTAGCTGAAGTCTTTCGTAGAAATTTTGTACCGGGGGAGCAAGCCCTAAATCGAAGTTGCTTTGTAGATCGCGTTGCGTAAATCCAGGAGTTGAAGATTGTTTATCTACATCTTCTTGTCTCTGAGCGTATATTTTATCCAAGATCGAAGAACCCCTTGGGTGCTTCAAACCGGATAGTCTTTCATTTTCTTCCCAAGTCCCACCTCTTAAGTTTAAAATGTTTTTGATCATGGTACGGCCAGCTTCAGAAAGTATTGATTCTGGGTGAAACTGCACACCTTCTACTACGTAGGTCTTGTGTCTAACCCCCATTATGACGTCAGACTCGGTTCTGGCACTGACTTCAAGTACATCGGGTAGAGTAGATTCTTGTCCAGCTAAAGAGTGGTAACGGGTCACTGCAACGCCTTGTGGTACGTTTTTGAATATTCCTCTACTGTCATGCGTGATCTGCGATGTTTTTCCGTGCACGATTTCTCCAGCATAAGCAACATCACCTCCGAATACTTCGAACATGCATTGTTGTCCCATACATACCCCCACAACAGGGATCTTACCAGTAAAGTGCCGTATACAATCTCTGGATATTCCGGAATCCGTCTTGGGATGACCAGGCCCTGGCGAGATGAACATTATTTCTGGTTTCAATGCAACTACCTCGTCCAGCGTTATTTTGTCATTACGGAACACTTGTACTTCGGCGCCTTCCCTGCATAAGTATTCGTAGAGATTCCAAGTGAAGGAATCGTAGTTGTCTATCAAAATCACTTTTCTGTTGTTAGGAACGCCCATCATGAAAAATTATAACTAAGTTTCTCGAAACAAATAAAGAGGGAGGAGTCTCTGAAGAGATATTCCAACTTCTAATACGTCTCTGCCGCCTGTCAATATACCATTTTAGAGTTTTGATTTAATGACTCAAGATTTCAGTTGCCAAAATTTTTCAGCTCGCTGGAACCATCACATGCCAACCTGGAAAAAGGTGATCTGTTTATTACTGAGTATAATGTCATCGCCGTTCAGATAATCAAGGCCCCATGCGCGAACTGCGAGAGGCTTTCGGATCATCAGCATGTTTGCGGAGCTTGCCGAATCGGCAAAATTTTTTAGGCTTATGACTCAGCTGCAATTTGCTAGGTCGATATCAATTATCGCTTATTCTGAATAAGGCATAGGTATGCGAACAAGCTATTGAAAACAACAGGTCGACTGAAGAAGGTATTGGATACCTGCAATGGCAGTATTAAGATTCGAAGGTAGCTTTGTGCATAGTTCGTCTCGTGCTTATATTAAGTGTTCGTGAATAGGGTTTTGTGCCGGTAGCTGTCGAATTTTAGGGTACGCTGGATGTTCTCTTCTCTTGCTGTAGTCGGAACTCATAACAACAATGATATACTCCCGGCACACTGTTCCAGCTACTCAAGTCGCTGTCGTAAAGACCTAAATTTCTCGAAGAAATGGCGAAGGTCGTTGTACAATGTTTATAATAATTGTGCCCCGAGGAATGTAAATATTTTGATGAGGCGCGCAGACAGCCAACTTTAAGTTTCAGATTTATTCGATGAACATACCAAAAAAACGTCGATGGCCTTCAAATTGACGAAAACCCTCTATCTGCCTGCTGATATGTACAAAATCAATGACATGATGGGCCCAAAACTGCCAAAACATGACATCTTCAATTCAGATTGTAGTTTCTGGATCTGCTCTCCGCCATTTTCGTTTTATGTTCTGTCTAATTCAAAATCAACGAGATGTGGTCATCCAGGGATGATTCGGGCCCCGAGTAGTTCTACGGTCATTTCGTGAATTACATTGGTACCAATATTCTTTCTAACATTCAGTAGAATTTAAAAAAAATTTCAAGCGTGTTCCTTAAGATCTTCCAAACAACAGCAAGATTTTATAGTATAGCTCGCGAACCTACTTCAATTGATCATGGCTAGTATTATAGAAGCATCTGCTGCTCTGAGAAAGCGGAAAAATCTGAAAAGGGGCATCAATTTCACCTTGATGGTGGTCGGAGAGTCTGGATGTGGTAGATCAACATTCGTGAACACATTGTGTGGCCAGCAAGTCGTGGATGTCTCCACTACAGTCATGCTACCAACAGACTCATCCACGCAGATTGACTTGCAATTAAGAGAAGAAACTGTGGAACTCGAGGACGACGAAGGCGTCAAAATTCAATTGAACATCATAGACACTCCTGGTTTCGGGGATTCTTTGGACAATTCTCAGAACTTCAACGTTATCTCCGACTATATAAGACACCAGTATGATGAGATTCTCCTGGAGGAAAGCCGCGTGCGGAGAAATCCACGTTTCAAGGATGGCAGAGTGCACTGTTGTCTGTATCTGATCAATCCCACAGGTCACGGTTTGAAGGAAACTGATGTCGAGTTGATGAAAACTTTGGGTCCTCTGGTGAACGTAATCCCAGTGATCAGCAAAGCGGACTCTCTCACTCCCGCAGAGCTCAAGCTTAATAAAAAACTGATCATGGAAGATATCGATTTCTACCATCTTCCCATCTACAATTTCCCGTTTGAAGAATCGGATATATCAGACGAGGATTACGAAACTAATATGCATTTGCGCTCATTGATGCCATTCTCAATCATCGGATCCAACGAGGTTTATGACTTGAGTGATGGTACCATAATCCGTGGTCGGCAATATCCATGGGGTACATTGGATGTCGAGGATTCCACAATATCCGATTTTGTACAGCTGAGAAATACGCTATTAATCTCACATTTGCACGATCTGAAAGACTATACGCACGAGATTCTTTACGAACGATACAGAACTGAAGCTCTTTCTGGAGATGTTCCCTCGCAAAACGGTCGTGGAGTTCATTCCGGGAATGAGCAAAGCACTTCTTCGCCAGTTGCATCGGGTAGATCTTTCCAAGCCGCTGAGACAGATTCCCTCCAATCATCCTCGAAACAGGCCGCTGGTAATCAAGACACCTATTTGGCGCGTGAGGAACAAATCCGACTAGAAGAAGAAAGGCTGAAGGCCTTCGAAGAGCGGGTTCAACAAGAGCTACTCATGAAGAGACAAGAACTTCTACAGAGAGAGCAAGAATTGAGGGAAATTGAGGAAAGAATTGAGAGAGAAACCAAGCTCAAAGGGGAAATGGGAAGCTTTCAGTAAATAAATTCACATCAAGAAAGAAGTCATAGGATTGGAGGAACCAGAAAGCAGCGGAACTAGAAAAAACCACACACTAGTGCTTTATGTATTTGTATTTTCAATAAAAATGCAAGCCCTATGCGCGTTCACCATGAAAATCATGAAATCATGGTAACGTGGAGCCGTGTGAAAAAAAAACTGGACTATAAAAGGAGACTCAACCATTATTTCGTAGAAAGCTTCTTATCGCATGAAGCCAAAGAGTAGTATAACTGTCGTCACCTCGGCCTAGATAAGTCAAAGAATACGGTAAATCCAGTTGGATTCAGCAGCGTTTCTATCTTTGAAAACTGTTTCACTCGTAGAACTGTAAAAAAATTTCAACCTGGACACTAAATGATGAGGAACCAGATAGGGACAACTGACTTCGTTGAATGACGAGGAACGTCTTTTATAGCCCAGTTTTTAGTAGAGCTTGGGCGCCTTTCCTGATTGGTCTTTAAGGTTGAAATTAATTTCTATATACACTTAAAACTTCTTGCAAGTAAACGAGATTCTCAGGTTATTTAGTTTTCTTCAGCTACTTTAGGAGCTGCTTTCCAGCTTTTTAGACCCGAGTGTCTGGCGAAGTGCAACGCCTTGTTTTTATCTTTAATATCCTTATCAGGGGCATTGAAAGAAGTTTGTGGGAACACCAGGACGTCGCCGACAAGCTTGGGTACGTCCAACTTGTGAAATTCTTTCCAAGTAATCTTACTGAGAATGCCACTTTGCACGTAGTCATTCATGTAAGTGAAAACGACATCAGTCCAGATACCAGACCCGGTCCATCCCATGATATTAAGGTCGTTTCTCAGATTCATACGCAGTTCTCCGTCTGAGCGACGTTGTAAAGTAATCTCAGTAATTCGCGCTACGACTTCACGTACCACCGGATGGCCAGGTTTGGCCTGGATTATCCAATTCCCGAATTGTAGTCTTCGCACGAAACTGCTTTTCCAATCAGGATTGTTGGCGTCGTTCTCTATGCCAATAATCAATCCAATTTCTTTGGGCGATACGTTTTCAGGAATCCAGTTGGGCACCGGCTGGAGGGGGTCCGTGTCGATATCGGCATAAACCCCACCACGCGCCAATAGTATCAAATATTTGAAGAAGTCTGCTTTCAGATTTGTGGAAGGCAGAATGTCATATGCGTCAAGCACTTCTGGGATGGACGCATACATGTAGTGTATTAGGGCAGAAGCTGTATCGTCATTAATTATCTCATGCACAAATCCTGGATTCTTATCGCCCCAGTGCCTCTCAAACGCCTGTAACGAGGAGTCCATACGGTCATCCGTGTCAGAGTAAGGCCAGGTTTGCCACACGAAAGCTGGAAAGCGCTGCGACGCGCGGTATTCAAACATGTGTGCGAGTTTTTCGCGCAGCGTAGCGTGGGTCGCCGGCTGTCTGAGGTCTTGAATACGCTTTTCTAGCGCTCTCCGCTCTTTCTCAAACTTCCGCAGCTGCTCGTCCTGCTTCTGTAGCAGGTCCACTGATAGTTTTTCGAACATTTCGACAATGGTGGCATCCTGTTTTTGCTGCGAAACACTGTCTATACTCTGTGAGACCTCTTTGGGTAGGTTTTGTAGTATCGTCTGCAGGTCTGTAGCCCCTGGGTTGTTCAGGAACCGCCATAGCCAAACGCCGAGTATGGCCAGTGGAAGCACCACGTATATGTAACGCTTTGACGACGGCCTACGTGCTTTTACCATATTAATACACTAAACGAGTATACGCACGTAACCTCAGCTCCAGTATTTCAATTGGTCAGATAACCCTGTGAAGCTGCACAGAAGATGATCAAAACTTTAAAGTTTTAAAATTATCAAAAATTCAGAGCGCGAAATAGAATTGGACAAACCGACAGACCCTCATCGAGAATTCATTTGTATCGTCTTATACGAACAGGCTATTGTCCACTACTTTAAAATTCGTAGCCATAGCCTGTAGCAAGGTATATGCGGCTTGGACTTGAGGAGGAGCAGCTATTAACGATGGACCTTGAGCCCATTGACGTAGTTGTTGAAGCGTCTGGTCCTGAGATACGGGCAAATTGACACTTAATATCACATCCGTTTGTACGTCTTCGAGTCGGATGAGCGCAGCGCAAAGCACCAGCGTTTCAGCGTGGTCTTCCTTGTCCCACTTGTATGCCGTCTCTAGAGCAATGCAAGTTTGATACGGTGTTGGTTGGGTAACTGTGTCAATTTGGACCACGGTCCAGTCACTACTGCCGTTGAGACCCGTGATCTCCTGTAAGTGTACACTTAGCGCGTCGCGATCATTCTCTGCATCGACGCGCTGCAGCAGATCGACAATGACACTTTCGTCGAGCCCCAGGCCATCCTTGAACTTGTCTTTTTCGCCTGCTTCTCGAGAGTTGACAAACACTTCCTGAGTATCAGGAACCTCTCGCAAAATCGAGGCATCCAGAAAGCCCTCTGGCATAACACAGGAAATAGCGCCACCGTACAAAGATTGAGTCTTGAACATCGTTGGTTTGGGTTATGTCTCGCTGCGTTGGGATAGCCAGAATTAAAGCTAGCGATGAGATTTGAAAGGCCCGTGTGACCGTATATAGAGACGGATGTTAATGGAAAGGTTCCATTGGATACCCCCATAAATAAACAAATCAAGGATAAGAGCTAAGGTAATGGAGATTGATCGCAACAAGATCCCAACGCTTCATGTTGTATACAAAGGATGAGCATTGGAGAGGACCTCTGCAACCAAAATCTATGTGTCATGGTGTACGAAAGAGACTCTCACCACATCATTTCGTGATGCTCCCGCACATCGCGTCTAAGTTCCAGCCAATTCATTGTTGAGGTTTCATTGCTTATGTTTTGCATATGTTCTATGGTCATCAAGCTGAAATCTGCTGCCGGGACAGTGCGCTAGTCATACCGTGAAGCACGTACGTCGCCTTCCTGTCCTGCTGATCGTAGATTGAAAACTGCGAAACGGGATAAACCTTTACGTTCTACAGTTTTCTAGACAACTATGAATAGCTCTTGGCAAAAACTGCCTCCGTCTGAGCGACGGATTCTCCTTTTTCATAAATTCTATCGCTTGCCCAGGCATGAAAAGCGAAAAGTCTGTAAGCAACCCATTGTTATGGAGAAAGACCCATTTGGAACCCATTTAGAACCCACTTTGGCGCAAGGGTCTTATTTCTAAAAAGTCATTACCGCTCCTTCGTTCGTCAATGATGAGCATACTGGTTAAGAGGATCCATTGGCGGGCACATGCTTTATAACAAAAGTGGTTGGAACGTGTAAAAGCATATGGGTTTGCTGATCGCGTGAGAATGAATCCTGGGGTTATAAAAGAAGGGCGGCTAATTTGTCAATACGGTGTCTGTTCGTTAATTTAGCTGTAGAGTCTTGATAATGATGGAGCAGCGTATTATCGCTGGCGGGACTGCTGCACAAAGCTCTGCTCTACCTAATTATGGACTCTGTTTGGCGAATCGCCTTCGTGATGAAACTGACGATGAAGCTCCTGAGGTTAGCGAGTCAACTTTGGTGGAGCCAAGATCGACAGGATGGATGCAACGGTCAAGTTTGCGAAAGCATTTTGAAGTCTCTGAATCTGATGGTGTGCGGATCGCTACCTGCATACACTGTGGAAGGACGTTCAAAGAACGAAAGTCAACGGGTAATCTTTCCAAACACGTCAAAAACCTACATCCGCGACATTGGAAAAGTCGAGAAGTGTCTAAAAATGAAGCTGGGACGGCAGTGAGTTTAAATAGTGCGAACACGGAAATTCAGCCCTTGCAGCTGCCCAATGTTATCTCGGAAGGCCGCTTGATTCCCTTGCCAGGACTCATTGCGACTGAATCTGCAGAAAGACCAGTCGAGTTTTTCGAGATTGCTTTATTGATCGAGAAACAATTGCCGTTCTCGATTGTCACGACAAAGGCATGGAAATGGCTCAGCAAAGCTTGCCCCGGTCTGAATTCAACTCAACCGTCCACGACTACTACAAATAAGCTCGCCACATATATAGCAAGTTTTGACGATACTCTCTTCACTGCAATGGCGTCCACCGATACTATTTCGTTAGTACTCGATATCCACTCAAGCAGCGCTCATGGAAAGACGTATCTTGCGATTTGGGCGTCTTTTGTTCCCAACTTGAATACTGAAGAACTGTTGCCGAATAACGCATATACTCGGTGCTTGTCAAAGAATATCCAGGAGCCCTTCAATACTCATTTGTTGGACTTGATAGACGTCGCGAAATTGCAAGAAAAAGGAGAGGTGGTTCTCAGTAAAGTCCTCGATGTATGCCGTCGATTCAATATCTCTCACAAAATAACCTCCGTCAGATGTTGCGAGGTCGAGCACAATCTTTTGAAGAGTTTACATTCGGCCGCCAACTTTATTAAAATACCCGATTCTGTACAAGCCTCTCAAATTGACAACGGAATGGGGAATTTTCACCTTGTTAAATGTGTTGATCACGTCCTGGAGGTTCTTCTTCGTTGCATAATCGATTTTCTCAAATCTGACGGCTTGTTTGAAACAGCACTGGACAAGATAGCCAACTTGGCTGAGTTATTAAAAGAAAGCACAATTTTAGCTTCGTCGTTATCAGAAGCTGGTATAGCATTGATTCCTCTCGTTTTTGAAGATAGCTCCCTGCATGTGTGGAAGCAGATTGATTTTTTTTTGAAACATCGCGATCAATATATGAGTTGGGTAATGTCTTTGAACACATTTCCGTGTTGTGAGTATCAAGCTTCTGAACTTGAACCATATTTTGAAATATCCTCTGAGACACAGAATCTCCTGCAGTATTTTGTCGATTGTTGTTCCATTTTCAGCTACCTCGGCGACAAACTACAAGTTGCAGATTTTAATCAGCTGTCCAATGCAGCTCCTATTCATTTCACATTGAAGGCATATTACGAATTTTGCCATTCGGCGGTTTTTGCACAAATTATAGCGCCTTGCGACAATAGCTTTGATTTTTCATTCATAAATGGTGACAGCAAACTTTCTGTCGAAACTAAAGGTAGAGTATTGAAAGCCGTCAATTACAGTCTGGTAGATTTTTCCAACTCTTTTGGTCTGCTCAAACAAAATATCATATACTTCGTTGCAACTTTTCTCGACCCAACTTTTGGACCGCACGGCTTTCACGATTTTATGACGAAAGAAGACGCAGATTATCATTTGCAAAGTGTCGAAACCTATGTTAAACGCTACTTGGAGAATTACCGGCCCGCCGAGAGCAGTAATGTTGGCCTAAAATCTCGCGGATCTCGCGGACAAAAAAGCTCCAAACTTCCAAGGTTGTGTTTGGGAACAGTCACTCAAACAAATGCGAAAGCCTTTTCGAGAGAAGAACGTTTTGGCGAGTGGGATAGGTATGTGGGTGAAAACCAAACTACGCTTGCAAATGCAGCCGATGCACTCAGCTGGTGGTGTGCACGGAGGACGGTATATTCAAGCTTATTCCCGCTAGCTGTATCGCTCTTAGTGACGAAAATTAGTTGTGTAGGAGTGAAAGACAAGTATCCCATTAGTGCTGGAAAATTGTGTCGAGAAGCCGGAAGATTTTGCAGCAAAAATGCAAAGCAAGAGGCCCTCCTCAAAGACCGTTTTTACAATTTTGGGCTTTGTGAGCCTGAATTGAACCCCTGCGATGGCGCGTCTCTTCAAGAGCTCTCTGACGCCAGTGAAGGGGAACTTGAGAATCTATCGGACCGCTAAGAGAAATATGTGGTATCACTTTACGTCTATCTCTATCAATTAACCTTGCCATGCAAGTTTAGTGAACTCAGTGGTGGGTTCAAATGCGTTGCTATTACTCTTGACAAACATTCATTCAAAGGTTCTGTCACAGTTCTCGAACAAACAGCAGAAGTCTGAAAACATCCTCAAAGGTTTTGGCGAGCTTTTGGGTGAACATTGTACTCTTCGATGACCTGCCTTGCTTGTAGATAGCTCAAAAGCTTGTACGCTCTACTAAACATATTATTTATCATTAATGACGGGTGTGTCGCTTTACTGGTGGCAAAAAAATCAATTTTCAATTCAGGCCACCCTTTGACAAATTCAAATTTATGTGTTTCTCGCTAGTTACACTTGTCTGTCATACTCGAGTGCTCTTGAAGCAAGACAAGAATAATATACAATTGAACACTCGGTGACTATAATGACAAAGCCAGGTGAGATTGATGAGAGCTTATACTCTCGTCAGCTATATGTCTTGGGAAAGGAAGCCATGCTCAAAATGCAGAACTCGACAGTACTTATTATCGGATTAAAAGGGTTGGGTGTGGAAATCTCTAAAAACATTGCACTTGCTGGTGTCAAATCTTTAACACTGCACGACCCAGAGCCTGTCCAGCTGCAGGATTTATCTACGCAGTTTTTCCTTTCGGAAAAAGATGTGGGTAAGCCCAGAGACGCGGTATCTCGAGCCAAATTGGCTGAGTTGAACTCGTATGTTCCAGTGGACGTAATGGCTTCTCTACAGGACCATAAACAGCTTTTAAACTACCAAGTTGTTGTGGCGACTGACACTCTATCGTTAGAGCGCAAGATTGAGCTTAACAACCTGTGCCACGCCAACGGCATTATGTTCATCGCCGCCGAAACGAGGGGTCTCTTCGGTAGCGTCTTTACAGATTTTGGTGACGAGTTCACTGTGGTTGATCCTACAGGTGAAGAGCCTTTGTCGGGCATCGTCTCTGACATCGAAACTGATGGTACTGTCACCATGCTTGACGACAACAGGCACAATCTCGAAGACGGCGACTACGTCAAGTTTTCTGAAATTGAGGGACTGGAAAGGCTGAACGATGGCAATGCCTACAAGGTAGAGGTTTTAGGGCCATTTGCGTTTAGAATAGGGTCAGTAAAGGAATTTGGTACCTATAAAAAGGGCGGTGTTTTCACTCAAGTCAAAATGCCAATGAAGCTATCTTTTAAAACTTTACAGGAATCATTGTCTGAACCAGAACATTTGTTTTGTGATTACGCTAAATTCGACAGAGCTGGGCAATTGCATCTTGCGTTCCAAGCTCTACAAACATTTCAAAATAGACACCAAGGCCAGCTGCCAAGAACATTGAATGAAGGAGATGCCTCCGAATTAATCAAGCTTGTTAAGGAGTTGGCTGTCGAACAGCCTCTAGTTCTGGGGGATGAAACTCCTGTTAACGAAAAACTAATAACAGAGCTCTCCTTCCAGGCGAGAGGTGATGTTCCCGCTGTCATTGCCTTCTTCGGTGGCCTGGTGGCTCAAGAAGCTTTAAAAGCGTGCTCGGGCAAATTCACCCCCTTGAAGCAATACATGTACTTCGATTCTCTAGAATCTTTGCCAGATTCCGATAAATTCCCCAGAACGGAGGAAACCACGCGCCCTATCAATTCTCGTTATGACTCGCAAATTGCAGTCTTCGGCATAGATTTTCAAAGAACACTAGCCAACTCTAAAGTATTCCTTGTTGGATCAGGGGCCATTGGTTGTGAAATGCTCAAGAACTGGGCTCTTATGGGTTTGGGCTCAGGTCCAGACGGTAAGATTATTATTACTGATAATGACTCGATTGAGAAATCTAACTTGAATCGTCAATTTCTTTTCCGTCCAAAAGACGTCGGCAGAAACAAATCAGAGGTTGCGTCTGAAGCTGTTTGCGCTATGAACCCTGACCTCAAGGGGAAGATTCAGTGGTTGATAGAAAAAGTTGGGCCAGAATCGGAAGATCTGTTCAATGACAATTTTTGGAGTAATTTGAATTTTGTTACTAACGCGTTGGACAATGTTGATGCCCGTACCTACGTTGATCGTCGTTGTGTTTTCTACAAGAAGCCACTGTTGGAATCAGGCACTTTGGGACCTAAGGGTAACACTCAAGTTGTTATCCCCAACCTCACAGAATCTTATTCCTCGTCAAGAGATCCTCCTGAAAAGTCGATTCCGCTGTGTACTCTGCGGTCATTTCCCAACAAGATTGATCACACCATTGCGTGGGCTAAATCCCTTTTCCAAGGCTACTTCACGGAAGCACCCGAGAATGTTAACCTATATTTGACTCAACCTAACTTTGTGGAGCAAACATTAAAGCAAGCAGGTGATGTCAAGGGGATTTTGGAATCTATTTCTGATTCGCTCGGCAACAGGCCTTATACGTTCGAAGATTGTATTGAATGGGCACGTCTCGAATTTGAAAAGAAATTTAACCACGAAATTCAGCAGCTACTTTACAACTTTCCCAAAGATGCCACAACTTCTAATGGTGCGCCATTTTGGTCGGGCCCTAAACGTGCACCCGAACCCTTGGTTTTCGACCTCGAAAATCCCGATCACTTCCATTTTGTAGTGGCAGGCGCTAATTTGAGGGCCTACAATTATGGCCTTACTGGCGATGAAGGCAAGCCAGATTTTGCCTACTACAAATCCACTTTATCTAAAATCGAGGTTCCAGCATTCTCACCCAGATCTGATGTGAAAATTCAGGCCAATGATGAGGAGCCCGATCCAAATGCCAATAACGGCGTAGGTGGTGATGCTCTGGAAGCCCTCGCAGCTGGCCTACCAGAACCTTCGTCTCTTGCGGGATTTAAGTTGGTTCCTGTTGAGTTTGAGAAGGATGACGATACTAATCACCATATAGAGTTTATCGCGGCGGCGTCCAATGATAGGGCTCTGAACTATTCGATCGAACCGGCTGATCTCCAAAAGACAAAGTTTATCGCTGGTCGCATCATTCCCGCCATCGCTACAACAACGGGTTTGGTTACCGGGTTGGTGAACCTCGAACTGTACAAGGTAGTGGCCGGCAAGACAGACATCGAATCCTACTCAAATGGATTCATTAACTTAGCTTTGCCCTTCTTCGGTTTTTCAGACCCCATTGCCTCTCCGCAGGGAAAATATAACGATAAAAGTTATGATAGAATATGGGACAGGTTTGATATCAAAGGTAATGTCTCCCTCAAGGAGCTAATTGAGCATTTCGACACGAAAGAAGGACTAGAAATAACTATGTTGTCTTATGGGGTATCCCTTCTCTATGCATCTTTCTTTCCGCCAAAGAAGCTGAAGGACAGGTTAAACCTGCCAATCACTGAAGTTGTAAAGCTGGTAACAAAGACAGAAGTGGCTCCACATGTGAAGACTATGATTTTGGAAATATGTGCTGACGACAAAAGCGGGGAGGACGTTGAGGTCCCTTACATAACAATCCATTTGTAAGCTTATATTATGTACAAATTTATTAGTTGTTAGATTATTATGCTTTTCAGTTAAAACCCGTCCTCGAAGGTTTCCAGGAGCAAATTTCCCATACTATATTTCACTACTAGATAAAATACTGTAGAGTTCACCTTTTTGCTGTATTAATTCTTCAAAGCATCCATCCTCTATAATTGCACCTTCAGAGAAGGTCACAATTCGACTACACGCCCTCATCATTTGCTCGCTGTGAGTTAAAATTAGTGCCGTTGTGCCGTTTAGGTTTTTTTTCACAAATTTAGACATTATGAAGCCATGCTTTGCGTCCAGGGCCGATGTGCACTCATCCAAAATTAGTATTTTAGGCTTACGCAAGAGAGCTCTGACTATCGCCAGTCTTTGCACTTGACCTCCGGATAACAGTTTTGTATCAATATCTGAATGTAATCGAGACGGAGTGGATGCCACAAACTCTTGCATCCCTACCATTCTCAACAGATTTTCAACTTCAAGACTACCGACTTCCCTATTCAAGCCATAGGTTAAATTATCAATGATGGACCCCAGAAAAAATTGTGGTTTCTGCTCAACAACAGCGATATGGTCTCTTAATATCCCTGCATTCCACAAGTTTATGTCTGTGCCGTCAATCCATATGCTGTTATTGGAAACGTCATACAAACGTGTAATTAAATGCCACAAAGTTGATTTACCTGAACCAGATCTTCCAACAAGACCGACAGCCCCCCCTTTGTATATCTCGAGATTAAGATCTTTGTAAATCAAAGCATTGTTTGCGTATGGATACGAGAAGCGCAGGTTTTTTAGCCGAATCAAGGGCTCCTTGTTCGTCAGGGAGAAGTTTGATGTACGAGATTTCAGACAAGAGTGTTCTGCTGGGCAATCCGCATTCACGACCTGGAAAATGTACGTCGCAGCTCGTTGGCCCCTACTAATTTCTGGAATTTGGGAAATCAGTGACATACATGTCATTATCGTGAAGAGCAAAAGGGTAAGGGTTTGGAGCATTTTCGCGGAGGAATATTCACCAGTAATCACCAATTTCATTCCAAAATACAGGAGTATTGCTTGTGTCATGAAGGTGAGTCCATTGGAAGCGCCGACGCCGAAGCCCGTTCCTAGTGCGCGTTTACGGCCGAGACTCCTCGCAACAAGTTCTAAAGTAGTGAATTCGCCGATTATAGACTCCTCGAACTGGAAGCACCTTGCCGTCTTAATATTTCTTACAGCATCATAAACTTTGTCTTCTAAGCTAGCAATGCTTGTTTTGTAGTCCGCTTCATATTTCTGCAGCATTCCTCCATAAAAGCCTGAGAAGAGAACAAAAATAGGTACTAGAGAGATGCAAACCAAGCTCAGTTTCCAGCCTGACGCTAGTGCCCATACCAAACCACAAATTGAAACCACCATCAGTGTTGTAATGGCGGCCAAAAATTCAGAAGCGAGCGCTCTCAAGTCTCGGAGATCATTCAGCAATAACGAAGAAAGTTTTGAGGTGCTATTGTGGCTATTACTAAACCAGTTCAAGTTTTGCCTCGCGATGTTCCTAAAAGCCAAATTCCGCAAAGTTTTAATCCAGGCCTCGCCACATCTTGAAAGCAGATAGCACTTTAAGAAAGTAAAACTTGAATCCAAAAATGCTACAAGCAATACAATGAGAGACCACTTTGTTGCATACCTCAAGGCCACTGACTTAGGCGAAGAAGAAGCAATGCCACCAAGTAGTCTTGAAAAGGTGTAAGAGAAGAGAGGATTTGCAACACCAGCGAGAAGGGCAGCCAAAACTCCAACAACTAAAAGTCCTTTTTTGTCTAATGTGCAAAGAAGTTTGCGCATTATCGATATCATTTTCATAAGCTTAGGTTCGGTAGTTGCTTTCTCAAGATCTTCAGAGGCTGATATTTCAACACCCAAAACACCATTCAAATCTATTCTAGTGGCCATATCAGCCCTTCTTTTCCGCTGTGACATCATGAGATTAGATTGAAGTAAGTCTGTTGAGTTCCTGATGAAAGTGGACGGCATCCTGAAATCTTCTGGACCAGATACGCTACAAGTTTTTTCTGTCGACGGTGATCCCATTTCCGAATACATTTCCTCTACATCCACGTTGATACCTTTACATCTGAGTTTTTGATCAAGCTGCTCATGACCGTTCAACGTTTTGACATCATCCAGCTCATCAGCACATACTTGGAACTTGTGCATTTGCGCAAATGCAGAGGATCCGGTCTGGAGCAGCTTCCCTTTAAAACCCTCTTCTCGCACTTCGCCATCTTCCATCAGGTAAACGTAGTCTGAATCCGCAATGTCGCTAAATTCGTGAGTCAAAATAATGGTTGTTTTTTCACTTCTCCAACGCCTTATGGCCTCCATCAGGAGACTTTTATGGACACGATCCTGTGCGCTTAAAGCCTCGTCGAGAACAAGTATAGGAGTGTCCCGTAGCCTAGCTCTAGCAATAGCCACTCTCTGCTGTTCGCCACCGCTCAAATCGACGCCGGAATTACCGATAGTTGTATCTAAACCTCTTGCCAAATCTCTTATTACATTTCCGAGCATGGCCATCTGGCAAGCGTGTTTAATTGAGTCTTCTTCATCTTCCGTAATATGAGTTCCCATCCGTATATTGTTCTTAAGCGAGTCATTAAAAAGTGCAGTGGTTTGTTCGACCAAAGTTATATTACCTAACAGCGACTGGTGATCAATTTGTCTCACATCAACGCCGTCAATTTCAACCTTCCCGCACACGTTGTCATACAGATTCAGCATTAAGTTTCCGATGGTTGATTTACCGGAGCCCGATTTGCCGACAATAAAAGTTAGCTTACCAGCTTTGAACTTCAAATTAACACCTTTTAATACCGTTTCATTTGGTCTTGTAGGATAAGCAAACTTGACATTGTAGAATTCAACCGACCCTCGGCGCCAGGATACCGGAACGCTTGGTAGGTCCAAGGTCCTTTTAAGCAGCAACCTGTTGGCGGGAGATACTTCTAGAAATTTCTGTATCTTTTGTAGTGCTATTGCCCCTTTTTGTAAAGTGACTACCTGGTGTAGAGTGTTGTTTAGTGTGCCTGCTAGTAGAATACAAGCCGAAAAACAGGTCATGACATCTCCCGGATTTAGGTCTCCGTTCTTAATTTGTACGTTCCCATACCAAAAACCTTGTACAAACATACAAAGTGTCAAGAACCTAAGTACGGAGTAATTGAGGGAAGAGAACAGAGCCGTTTTATTGAAATGTTCGCGACTTTTCCCAACGCTTTTCTGGAACCTTTTGACTTCGGTTTCCTGTGTGCCAAGCAACCTTATCATCTTAGCAGCGTTTACTGACCAAGCCATGATATCAGCGGAAGTTGAGGTTTCTTCATTTTCGAGCTTGCCGTATTTCTCTATCTTTCTGGAACAGCAAATGGCGAACAAGATAACAAGCGGGGAGCTTGCCATAATAATCAAAGTTAGAGACCAGGAAAAATACAGCGCCGTTCCAAGTAATGCAATTACAGTTACAACATTCTGAAATATTATTGCAGAAGCTTCAGCTGAACTGGACCTCAGTTCTTCTGAGCAGCGATTAAGCTGAGTAAACTCTCCTGATAGTTGTTCATTAGAATCATACCAGGCCATGCTTTTATTCAAATATGAATGAAGCAGTTTTCGTCGAATTCTGAATGCTTGTCTTTCGCCTAGTGTCATCCACGATGAAATTGATAGCCAACAAACAGGTACACTTGCCAGCCCAGTGATAAGAATTGCCATGCTTCTCAACGTTAGGTAATGCATCTGTTTGTTTATAGTATCGAATGAATTATTTGGTCTTCGTAAAAGATCAAAAACCTGACCCATCAAAACAGAAATGATAGCCGGTATGATCCCATATATGACAGTGCAGACGGTAATTATAGCCAAAAGTCCATAATCTTGGGAAAAATCAACATGTGTGTAAATATGAAAGCTATGAAAGCTCTTAAGCCTTTGTAGTATTCTCATGTTGGATGAGCTTAATGAGGTCATTACAAAACGAAGCTGTAGCCTTTGGGTTAGAAAACTCGGTATCGTCTTCTAGGATGAATCTCTTAAGTGAAATGAGAATCCGCCGTGTTTGGGTGTCTGAAGCTTTTGATGCTCAGCATCTCTTCAGCTTCGTTCAATCATATGGTAATAAATATGGCTTTTCCCCACTTGGGAGTGGTTTCAAGGTTCGCACCTCACATACAAAGACTTGAACCACTTGCTTCTTCAAAGATAGAACTTTAGGCCAAAATTACCTTATTAGTTCAGTTCAATTAGTAGTTAATCCACAAAATACGCAGAGTCGTAGATTAGTCGTAACAGAGGCCCCTCAAAACTGTTTCACGACCGATTAAACTTAAGGACATCCTTGAGTGTCCCAAATGCTGCATTTGTCGTCTTTTCTCAAGGATTCAGTGATTTTCGCCATGATCGTTGTTGTAAATCAAGAGTCAAACTGTCCAAAGCTCGTCTTCGAACAAAAGCACCAGACCTGTTCTTCAGTAAGCATACGAGGAGTAAGAGATGGCCCTTGGATGTACTTGCTCTTTGTAGCACGTACTTTCCCTTTTTTGTTGAGGTTTTGAGATTTGAATAAATGTTTCTAATGCTTCATAACAGAAAGAAGTATAAGCAGTTACTGAGTCGGAAAACGTAGAAAAGTAGCATGGCGATAACGAATGTTACTTCCGCAAGGCAATCCTAATCATCAACAGTAGATCATAGTTGAGCTAAGAGTCAGATTTTTGTTGATTCGCGACGACATCTTTAAAGGTTTTTGGGGCCAAGAAACGACGTAAGCTACATAGAATCGGTAAGTGGTATCACATTAATAAGTACAAAGCTACTTCGAAAAGCTGAGAGAGACATGTTTACTGTATTCCAATCGTCGATATCTCCCTCTGTTTCACGTGTGGCCGAAGCATTTAAATTATCGGTACTTTCACATGGTGTAGAAAACAGCTACCTGTCCCTAAGTTTATAAGAATTTGTTGATCTTCACCGAAAATTCATCACAATTGATTTGGATTGCTTGAGTAGTTTACGATCATTCAGCTGAGCTCAACTCATACACATACGGATTAACAACTCACAATGGACTACATGAAAGAAGTAACTCAGTTTGCTCACAAGGCTCAAGACATATACGTTGAATTGTTGTCAGACATCGATGGAAACGAAAAGAACTTGCAATTGGCACTGTTTTTCATCATCTTCAATCCAACTTTCTGGAACATTGTGGCGCGTTTGGAATACAACACCAAATTCATCACCAAGATCGCAGGATCTCCTAGACGTGGCTGCTACTTGCTAGCGATGACCATCTTCTCGTTGGGTATTGTTCGTGACTACTTCTTTCATCAAGCCTTGGGCTTGCAGAAGACCTCTGACCTCCTAGACAACGACACGATCAAAAAAGTTGGAATGGGTTTGATTGCCGCTGGCCAAATCCTTGTCATCACTTCGATGTATCAGCTGGGTGTAACTGGGACCTATTTGGGTGACTACTTCGGTATTTTGATGGACCACATTGTCACTTCCTTCCCATTCAACGTCAGCAACAACCCAATGTACCACGGCTCTACTCTTTCCTTCTTGGGAACCTCGCTCTACTACGGGAAAGCTGCAGGCGTTTTCTCTACTTTATTGGTCAATTTGATGTACAACGTTGCTCAACAATTTGAGGAGCCTTTCACTGCCAAGATTTACGCCAAAAGAGATGCTGAGAAGGCCACAAAGTCGCAGTAAATTGCTGAGGATAGCAAGAAGCAAGGAAATTGTGCGTAACAGCGCCTGCCAAGATACGCTGACAAAACCAACGAGTGCATAGCACTGCGTTAGTAAGCTGAGCACTTGTTGCCGATAATTGTACGTGTGGTTATATAGTTCTATTTAGTTATTGGATGCTATGCTTTAAAAATCCGGAGCTGGAGAACAGGTTCTCCTGTGCTAATGAGCATCTCAGCAGCTTTCTCAAGCGTATAGATACTGGAACAAAACGCGATGGACCGCTGTTCCTTTATCTGCGACTTGATGCGCTCAAACATCTCTACCACTCAGTTCAGTCGTATGGGTGGGAGACCTACGTTGAACTATTTTTACAGTGAGTTTTCTCTACAGAGTGCATAAAGTCATAAATATCTAGTCTTAGAGAAGCGAGTTCGGCAAGGTACTGTGTGCTATAGTCGTGGATAAAATCATGGCATGGTAGACAGAGACCTACTTTAACGTGGCCCATTGAATGTCTTCTATCTGAATACTCACACATTTACCAAATTTTTCTAAATGTCGGGCGCTTCTTGAAAGAAAGTTAAGCTTAAGTGCTGATCGAGTTGAATTCTCACCCATAAAAACATTGCGATAGAATGCCCAGGGATCCACTTATTGGTATTGTCGGTAAGCCTTCTTCAGGGAAATCGACTACTTTGAACTCTTTGACCGATGCAGCTGCTCAGGTAGGATCGTTTCCGTTCACGACAATCGAGCCTAACAGGGCTACTGGTTACTTGCAGATACAATGCGCCTGTAGCCGATACGGGCTCGAAAAACTGTGCAAACCGAATTATGGATGGTGTTCTGCAGGGAAAAGACACGTTCCAATTATGCTGTTGGATGTAGCGGGTCTGGTTCCAGGAGCGCATTCCGGCCGAGGTTTGGGGAACAAGTTTTTAGATGATTTAAGACACGCAGATGCATTGATACATGTTATAGACGTGAGCGGGACCACCGACTCAGAGGGCAAGAACACCCGCGGATATGATCCTCTTTACGACATCGAATGGCTACAAGATGAGATTCGACTTTGGATTGAAGGTAATTTGGAAAAAAGATGGGGTTCTATTGTTCGCAGACACACCGCAACGAAGGCGAGCGCAGTGGACACTCTGCAAGCTCAATTCGGTGGTTATGGGTCTCACGCGCCAATGATTCAACGTGCTTTACACAGGATTGAAGGGTTGCCTCCTTTAGAGAAGTGGGACCGTGAATGGATCACCAAGGTAGTCAAGTCATTTATGATCGAGAAGTTTCCAACGGTCTTAGCTCTAAACAAGATTGATCACCCTGACGCTGACAAAAATGTGTCAAAGATCATGTTGAAATACCCAGATACCAAGGCGGTGTTGGCCAGTGCCATCACAGAGGTCTTTTTAAGAAAACTGAAGAAACAAGGTTTCGTGCACTACGAAGAAGGTACGGAGTTTGTAGATACCTGTGAAGACGACCCTGACAATCTAAAAGCCCTGGACGACAAGTTGTTACAAAGAATTGAAAACATTCGGGACCTGGTGTTGTATCGCTTCGGGTCTACAGGTGTGGTACAGGTACTTCAGGCTGCCGCGGACACATTAGACTTGATACCCGTGTACACCGTGAGAAACATCCATACGTTCACCGGAAGTCATGGAGAGCAAGTTTTTCGGGATTGTTTCTTGATCAAGAAAGGCACAAGTGTGGGGAAAGTGGCACGGTTTGTAATGGGGGAGGTTACTATCGCAGCGGTCGAAACTATCAATGGTGTAAGGGTGAGTGAGGACGACGTCGTGGATAAGGGAAAAAACGACATCTTGACCTTCAAGCTGGCCCCGAAGAGTATGCACTGAGACATGCGTGTAGCAAAGGCGGCGTGCATAGATATAAGAGACAGCCGACGTGTGACTTTCAGTGAGTAATTGAAAATAGATCGTGCATTGTAGCGAATAATTTAATAGAATGTGTCGTGTCGGTCTTTACAAGACAGGGTATGGTAGCACAAGCTATGCGTATGTTCTCCAGAACAGACCTTGTGCTCGTGGAACATGACTAGCGCCTGCTACTTGTTTTTCGACCCGAACATCTACTCGGCGATATGCAAGGCATCACGCATGGCGAAACCCGTCGGCAGTAAAGAAACCAACACCAGGAGCACACACGGCGGCCGTCATAATGGTTTGCGCGCGCAAGCACTACACCCTTGTCTCGTCTTGGCTTACGTGTGTCCTTCAAACTCCAATTCATAGAATATACGGGTCTAAAAACTTGATTCAATTTTTACAGCCTTGCCTTGTTCATCCAAATTCAACCCGCCAAAAACAAAACAAGCAGGCATCCGTCGCCTACTTGTCCATTATCTCTCTATTTTTTTTGCTTCTTTTATTGCTAAATGGCATACACTCCAGCTGCTTTGCGGGTTTACATTAATTCCAACGTAGAATACAGGCGTTATTTGAGACTTAGCACTACTCGTCATCTCTTCTTCCTTCGTTCTTTGCCTGCGTTCGCCGCTATCATTTCTTCGAGATAAACATCTCGCTGCAAAAAAGGTCGTTATTTTTTCTTTTAGAGAACAAAAGATAAGCCGTACTTGAAAGACCCTGAGGCGACCCTGAGGGAGGGTGTGTGTGTAAGGCATTTAGTCTATCTTGTTGAACCCTCTCGTGTAGTTTTTTTTTAAAGCCGTAACGTGTAATCCAGGTGCCGTAACATGTCACACAGGTGCCGTAAATTCAGCAACACAACTGCTTGCGGGCTTGGGGCGGGTCGTGAAGCCTGTGGAAATTGCGTGGGCTGGCTGTTACCTGGCTACGAGAAGAAAACCCTGGTAGACGCTGTCCATTCGCATTAAACCTCATCTGCAATCATCTGTAATCATCTGTTATCTAAGTGCATCGGGCTCAAGATGGGCTGTCGGCGGTGAGTGGTGTAAGCTTTAGCAACATTATCGTAGCAAAGAGAACGACGGCAGATAGTTGGAGTTCAAGACAGCTTCATTTTAGAGTTCCGTGATAAGCGTCACGCCGGTGGAGCTGGGAGAAGTTGGTATATAACGGGCGTGAGTTAATTGTGTTCAATAGCTTGTGTCAGCGGAACTCTTTAATTAAGCTTCAAATAAGTATAAACTCCATAGTTAAATCAGTAATGTCTACGCTACCTCAGGACTTGGAGAAAAAAGGCAGCGCTGGGTTTGTGTACCGCGATGAGTCGTTAGGCGACGCCCAGATTTCAGTAACCACTATTGACAAAGAAGCCATTGGTGAGGATGGGAAACAAGAGGGCACACGGTTGAAAAAAGAATTAGACGCCCGCCATGTCTCGATGATTGCCATTGGTGGCTCTTTAGGTACCGGTCTGTTGATCGGTACAGGTGGGTCACTAGCAGCCGCCGGACCCGTGTCTATTTTAATTTCATATTCGTTCGTCGGTCTTCTCGTATACACCGTGATGAGCTGTCTTGGAGAAATGGCAGCCTTCATTCCATTGGATGGGTTCACCTCGTATGCCTCGCGCTACGTTGACCCAGCTCTAGGTTTTGCCGTCGGTTACTCGTACCTGTTCAAATATTTTATCGTGACGCCCAACCAGTTGACAGCGGGAGCCCTGGTAATGCAGTACTGGGTGAGCAGAGACAAAGTCAACCCAGGTATTTGGATCACCATCTTTCTAGTGCTCATAATCGTTATCAACACCGTAGGTGTCAGATTTTTTGGAGAATTCGAATTTTGGCTCTCGAGTATTAAAGTGGTGGTTATGCTTGCTCTCATCATTTTACTATTTGTCATTATGTTGGGTGGTGCTCCAAATCACGACCGTACAGGTTTCAGATACTGGAAAAACCCTGGTGCTTTCAAGCCATACACGGGTATCCCTGGCGACAAGGGTAAGTTTGTGTCGTTTGCATCGGTCTTTGCCCTAGCTCTATTTGCTTACACCGGTACCGAATTATGTGGTATTGTAGCAGCTGAAGCCAGAAACCCAAGAAGAAGTGTCCCAAGGGCTATCAAGTTGACCTTGTATCGTATCGTTGTCTTCTATGTGATTTCCATTTTCCTCTTGGGGATGACAGTGGCCTACAACGATCCACTACTATTGAAAGCAAAGACAATGTCTACGTCTGCAGCTGCATCTCCTTTTGTGGTAGCAATTGTCAATGCCCAGATTCCAGTATTGCCTCACATTTTCAATGCTTGTGTCTTGTTATTTGTTTTCAGTGCATGCAATTCGGATTTGTACGTTGCCTCTAGAACGCTATATGGTTTGGCAATCGACCGCAAGGCACCACAAATTTTCGCCAAGACCAACAGATGGGGTGTTCCATACTACTCTTTGCTACTTTCCGTTTTGTTCTGTTTGCTGGCATACATGAACGTTTCCTCTTCGTCTGGTCAAGTTTTCAACTACTTCGTCAATGTGGTGTCCATTTTTGGTCTATTGAGTTGGATCTCGATCTTGATCACTTACATTAGATTCGAAAAAGCGGTTAGAGTTCAATTCGGCGACAAATCGAGCTTGTCATACACAGCAGCCATGCAGCCTTGGTCTGCCTATGTGTGTCTCGGATTTTGTATTTTGATCGGTTTGATCAAAAACTATACCGTCTTCCTAGGTCACAAATTCGACTATAAGACTTTCATTTCCGGTTACATTGGGATTCCAGTATTTTTAATTTGTTACGTTGGCTACAAGGTGATTAAACGCACGAAGTTGATCAAACCCGAGGAAGTTGACCTTTACACTTTCAAGGCTGCGATTGATGCCGAAGAAGAAGAGGGTAAAATTGTGGACGAAGAGCGTAAACAAAGATTGAAGAACGGGAGGTACACTCTCGAATGGTTTTATGATAGGTGTTTGGGATGGGTCTTTTGAGCTGGGAGTGACAAAGTTGATGAAGTTCCCTCTGTACCATATTTAGCATTTATTTAAGGCACAAGGTATTAATTAGACAAAACTAATTGCTGTGTATTAATCATTCAGAACTGCGAATTTGCAAATGATATAGTTCTGGTGCTCTATGCAAACTCTCAAATTGCGCGACACACTGTGTTTTTAGTAGGAGGTAAAAGTGGGATTAAACAAGATCACTTTGTGCTTCACAGTCTTCGTTTCCACACATCGTAGTGTCACCGTAGTTCTTCCGATTCGATTCTTAATGCACTTTGTTGATTTAAAAGTTCGTCAATCATTTCTATAACAAACCTACTTGCTGGACATAATAATACTTACATAACAAAATGATTGCAGATAGCTGCTTGCCAAATTGTTGGTTCTTGCGAACTTCCTTAAGTAGACTTGGCGTTGGTAGCAGCAGTCAATTGAGCTTGCTTAACCAAAGACTCTGGGGCGTCCATGACAGGCAACATAACTTCGACCATTCTGATCTTAGAGTTCTTGTTGAACTCAGAGCACTCAGCCAATTTGTTCCATTCACCAGTGGTGGAAACTCTGACGGCTTCGTAGTCAGTGGCACCGAAGGTTGGCAACAAGTCCAAGTGCTTCCATGGTTGAATCTCGTTGTATTGAGCGGTTTCACCGTGAATCAACTTTTCGATGGTGTAACCGTGGTTGTTTAGAACAAACAAGTATGGCTTTAGACCCCATCTGATCATGGTGGAGATTTCTTGAACGGTCAATTGCAAAGAACCGTCACCGATGAACAAGATAACTCTCTTGGCCTTGTCCAATTCCTCGGCGGCGAAAGCAGCACCCAAACAGGCACCGGTGGTGAAACCGATGGAACCCCACAAGACTTGAGAGATACCGTAAGTGTTGTTAGGGAAGTGAGTTTGGTTGATACCGAAAGCAGAGGTACCGGTTTCGGTGATGACAACGTCACCTTCTTGCAAGAACTTACCGACTTGGTTCCACAACCATTGTTGCTTCAATGGGGTAGAGGACTCGACTTCGGCGTTCTCAGCTGGCAAAGTTGGGACGGCAACTGGCTTGTAGTCCTTGCAGACACTGCCGACAACGGACAATAGCTTTTGCAAGACGAATTTCATCTGGACACCTGGGAAAGTGGCGTTTCTGATCTTGATGTGGTCAGAGTGGAATTCGACAACGTTCTTGGTCTTGTAAGAGTAAGAGAAAGAACCGGTGTTGAAGTCGGACAATAGAGCACCGACGGACAAGACCAAATCGGCGGATTCGACGGCCTCCTTGACGGCTGGGGACGACAAGGTACCGACGTAAACACCACCGAAACGTGGGTGTTTCTCGTCGATGGAACCCTTACCCATTGGGGTAACGAAAGATGGGAATTGGGTAACGTCAATGAGCTTCTTGGTCTCGGCCTTGACATCGTGTCTGGAGGCACAAGCATCAGCCAAGATGACTGGGTTCTTGGCGTCCTTGATCAACTCAAGCAAAGTGGAAACAACTTCCTCTTCGGCTTGTGGGTCGTTTGGCTTTAGGGCCAAGTCAATTGGGGTGTCTAGCAACTTAGCTGGGACCATTTGGTCGACAACGTTGGCTGGCAAACCCAAGTAGACTGGTCTTTGACGGATGTAAGTGGTACGGATACAACGGTCAATCTCAGCTGGGGCGGTGGCCATGTCAGTGATCATGGCGGTGGTCTCAGAGATGTTGGCAGACATTCTGTGGAAGACGGTGAAGTCACCGTTACCTAGAGTGTGGTGCAACAACAATTGCTTGGCCTGGGCGGAGATCGATGGGACACCGACAACGTGTAGGACACCAACGTGCTCGGCGTAAGAACCGGCAATACCGTTAAGGGCGGACAATTCACCGACACCGAAGGTGGTGATCAAACACGACATACCCTTGATACGGGCGTAGGCATCGGCAGCGTAGGCGGCGTTCAACTCGTTGGCGTTACCGGCCCATCTCATACCAGAGACCTCGTAGATTTCATCTAGCAAACGCAAGTTGAAGTCACCTGGCAAACCGAAGATGGTGTTACAGTCCACTTGCTTTAATCTTTCGAACAAGTAGCGACCTAGAGTAATTTCAGACATGGTAGTGTGTGAGGGGATTGTTAGAATTGGTAGTTGTGAGTCCTGGTGATGGGAAATACAACTGCTGGAGAGTTAACAAAAAGAATAACTCTAAGGGAAAGGAGAACCCATCTACAAGTTCCAAGAGCTGCTACGCGCGTACTATTTATATACTTAGGGCTACCAGAAGCGGGCAGCCTGTAGTGCGCATTCGAATTCGGCTTTGCGAAATCAGGAAATCGTTGCATGGTGCCACTTGAGCCAACGATGTGAACCACGCCATGTGGACACGAGAAAGAGAAAGAGAAAGAGAAAGAGCAAGACGGAGACGAAGACGAAGTGAGAGATGGAGACGACCGTTTGGAATACGTGGCGGCTGGATAAGCGAATATGCGAGTAGCGGTGAGGAGAGAGAGAGAGAGAGAGAGATGCGATGAGATGAGATGCCATGCGAGCGATGAGCTGAGCAGAGAGAGAGAGAGGCAGAGAAAGAGAGAGAGAGAGAGAAAGGGATACAGATCAAGACGCAGAGCTGGTAACTACATTGGCGATTGTGTCAGGGCGACTGGCCCTACCAGCCGAGGATCCCAGCGCTACTTACTGCTGGTTTCCAGATATTTTCAATGAATGTTGAATATTTCAATTTTCATATCCAATATTCGAATATCTGAATACCTGATAACAGGATATTGGAAAAATATTTGCATATCTACCGTGCGAGGCGACCAGGGCGCGGTGCCCGCTAGTCGCATATGCATTATGCGACTAGCGGGAAGGGCGGAATTAATGCGAGTACGAGAAAGTAGAAAATGAGAAAGTAGCGCGCTACTGAACAATGATCGACGGAGAGAAGTAGGTGCCACACAATCGTAGACGAAGTGGTGCTACAGTCACTGGTATTCTTAGTACTATTTCCCAGCGTCGAGAACCGCGGCTTGAGGGGGCGAGAGGGGGTCGTTTTTCCCCGGGCAAAAGATTGCGCGGTGTGTGGGTTTCTTCTCGTGCGGTGTGTGGGTGCAGCAGGATGCGGTTCTGTACTCGAGTACCCGGGAAGTCGGCTTCCCGGATGACGTAAGCGAGCTTCCGAAGACGCGTCGGCAATAGCTTCCCTTCCCCCGACATGTGTGCGACACATTGGTCTAAAGTGACAAGTCAGAGGCTGCGGACTGGATACGTGAAGTAGCCGTCGTTCGTTGCGCGGGTTGGCTTGCTGTAACGCTTGCGCGGACCATTGTGCTTTCGCTTGTAATCTAGGGGAAGCCCGCTTCATGATCATCTCCCTGGCACCGGTCTCGTCGGGCTGCTGGCGCTTGGTTTACTTACTACGAAAACAGAGCTACTGGCATTCCAAAGCGCCTTTCGTGGCATTGCTTCGCAAAAGAGGTTAATTCATTGTATCATTTAGGAAAAGACCACATAAATAAATACCAAAAAGTCATCAACTGGGGGAATGGCCGTAGAAGGACGTTGGGATCCCTGTGCTATTGCACCAATTGCGTAGTTAGACAGATCAGGATGGGGACCAAGACCCATGGCAGAATCGGGACCAAGCACCATGCCAGGACCATGACAGCATAGTACAAAGTGATAAATTTGGTAACCAACCAATTAGTGAATAACAGTGCTGAGTGAGATCTAGACGTTGACACTGTGTAGTGCCTATAGTGACACGCTTCAGTCTCACTGCGCCCGAGGATTGTAGGCTGTTATGTTGATTTCAGGTCTCGAACACTTTCGTTACCATATCCTACTACAAATTTATTCTACCCACCAAACATCTCAGGCTATCTGCTACTGACTAGGATACGCCTCAATCTCACCACCTTGTACTTTCGTTAGATTACGCGTGCTGATCTGTGACGGTACCCCAAAACGGTATTCGTGCCTAGTATTTTGTTATAAAACAGCAAACTTGAAAACTACGTCCGATGGAGCTGAGTCTAAATATCAAGTCGCTCATTTCCATTGGGATCTGTGTAAATTGCGCTAAACTGAAGAAATACTATCAAATCGTCCAGAAAGCGACCAAGATTCCCACAAAAACATCATTGAATAGTCACGACCAACTATAAGCGCAATCTGGCCAAATTAATCGTTTTTTCGCCAAAGCGCCATTGAAAAGAGAAAACCACGGAACATAACCAAAGCACTACCATGAAGCCATAGATTACTAGCTTTCTCGTATTGCAAAGCTTCCTGTCGTTTTGCTCAACTTCGTACTCTGTCCCCTCTTAACTTCTTTCGTCATGTTTTTCTCACATGATCGATCTTCAACTCTACCGCTGAAAAATTACTAAACGCCTTTTATCATAAATCGAAAGTGTTGACGCATTGGCATCGCATTGAGATCTTCCATGCTACTTGATTTCACCTCTGAAGAATGGGGTAAACTCAAACGCTGGATAACTCAAGAACTCATTGAGCAAGAACCCGAGATTGCCTCTCAATTAGTAGATTTTGTCCTGGAAGTGCTAAAGAGCGAGCCCGACACTGGCAATGGGATCGATACTGCTCACGGCCGCAACCATTGGGTCTTGTCGCAGCTATCAGGAATTTTAAACAGCCCGACCCTATTTGTTGAGCAGTTGCCATCGAAAGTTCGAGACATCAAGGCCGCAAGGGATGCAGGTCAAAGTTCCGCGCCAACTTCTTCCGTCATCGTGGAGCATGTTCCCATTCGGTCTCTCAATGAGAAAGAAATTCGCTCAAGTTTCGAGCCCTATGGTGCCCTTCATTCCTGTAAAGCAAATATGCAGAACCGGCAAGTGGTGATAGACTTTCAGAATGCATCCTGTGCAATCCGTAGCACCAAAGCCGCGACGGTTTTCTTCAACAACAGGTTTGTCACAGTGCAGCTTTATCGCGGGAAAGCAGATGCTTTTGAAGGCTTGCAGCTCATAGCTCCGCTAACCAGTAATTTATCCCAAGCTGCAAAAAATTCCTCGTCTAGCGCGTCTTTATCAACATCCCCTCCGGAGATCGAAGTTAACAGACATATTCAAGAAGCGCAAACCGTCCAGCAAGCAACATTTGAGCAAAACCAGCGGACAAGAGAAAATTTTAAGAACAACCTAAATGAACGCTTTGACTCCAAGGAAACGCTGTTACGAAGTCAGCAATCAATGCTCCAAGAATTGCGACGCAAAGTAGCAGAGCTTCCAGAAGATGACAATGATGGCTACTTAGAGCAATTGTCCTCGGAGTTCAGAGAGCTTCGGAACAGTATGCAGAAGATGGGCATTGCACCCGATATCATGCTAGAAATCAAAGTGCAAAAGCTCAACATGGATCACCCTAGTGAATTAGTGATTGAAGATGCCCGAGCAACAGCTCTTAAGAAAAAGAGGGCCAAGAAATCGGCTTTACTAAAGAAGAAAGTCAAACGGAAAAGGTAAACATCAAATCCCCTCTTGAAAAATCCTATAGACTCAAATTACAACATCTCGAACAAGATCCACGGCATGCTATTCAATTATCAGCTCACATCATTATTAATTGCGGCTTTATGGGTTTCCCATGCCCCGTGTCTTGGCACGCATTCGTTCAATGCGTGCCTTGAGCTGAGACGTTACCTCTGCGGCTCGCTTCCAGCTTTCGTCGTTCAAAAAATTATTATTTGAACTTGAGAACCTGTCAGATGATGGTTCTGTAGTTCTTTCCGCTGACTTTGCCTCTGATCTCAGTTGCAAAGAGTTGACTCGAAGAGGCAAATCATCGCTACACTCGCTTGGTGATCTTACTCTGCCTTCAAGGCTCGATACCCGACTGTTTGAACGCCTCTCACGATTAATCTCAACCGAAGGAGAGCTCTGTCCATTGGAAGAGGAAGAAATTATTCTTCTCGCAGGCGGTGTTCCTGGTGGTGCTTGGGATAGCGGTGCAGAAGGCGGTTCGAAGGAGGATACAGATCTGACTCCGTAGTTTGAGGAAGCTAAGTTCGTCTTGGCCTCTAGCTCAGATTCTAAAATAGACACGCGATCTTGAAGTCGTGTTATTTGCATTTCTTTCGATCGCAGCTCAATGTTCCGCTCATGCAGGCTTGACTGCGAGCTGTTCAGTTGGTGCTGAAGAGATGAATTTTCAGAGTTTAATTGCGAAGACCGGTTTTGAAATTCGGTAATGGTGGTCAAGAATTCTTGACGCTCTTTAAGCCATTTTTGTTTTTGCTTGCGAAGTTCTTCTACTTCTGCATTAAAAGCTTGAGCTTTATTGGAGTTCATCGCCGAATCAGTTGTCAGCGCGCGTGTTGTAAGCCTTGATTTCATTGAAGGTAACCCATTTTGGTAGGGTTCAACCCTATTTCCAGTTTTAAGAGGTGAAGAAGGGCCCCTCTTTGACGGTAGCGTAGAAAGTGGCTTGCGAAGAGAAGGTGAGCTGTTGTTTGATAGTGGTGAATTCAGGTTAATTGAGGCCTTGCCACGATTAGTCTCTGGTGCGTATGACGCGGGCGATATCTTGTCTCTAATTGAAGCACTTGGCGCTTGTGGTCGCTGCTGCTGTAATCCTCCTATCACTTCCACTGTGGCAAATTGCTCGTAGACCTTTTTCTTTTTGATGTTATCAAGTTTATCGACAACATCTGAAACTTCTCTTTCACCCACTAATTTCATTAATACCGCTAGGCATTCAAATCCAGTGTCACGTATTGCGGGTTGTGTATCGTTCACAATCTTGAGCGATGCTTGAGAAATGTCGGGAACTAATTTTATTAGTAGCTCATCGTTTAAGTTGCGAGCTTGAGGTTTCCATATTTTAAGAAGACGTGTTAAAAACTTAGTGCTCTCCATCCGAACTTGTGGAATTTTATGGTTCATGAACCGCAGTGTCTCTTCAAGACATGTGTCAGTCCCACAACAGTTTGAGATGTCATTGAGTGCTTCACATATAGCTTCATTAACTGATTGTTTTTTTTCCTTAGATCTCTCCAGCAGCGAGGTCAATACTAATGAGCCATAAGTTCTATCAAAGTTAGACTTCAACTTGGTGCATAGCTGGTGAATACATTGTGCTGCCATAGTAACAGCTTGAACGTTCGCATCTTTTTCTATCACATGCGCCAAAGCTCTTAGGAAATCGCTGTAGTCTTGGTTCGTTACTTCTAGCTTTTTCGCAGGAACCAAAATTTGATTGAGCACTTCGTCAAGGACTTCCACGCGGTCCTTCCATTTTGCCGACGTAATTCTCTCTTGAAAGTCGTTTGGAAATTTCTCCAGAACTGCCGTACTGGGTACTAAGTCGAAAGGATCAATTTGTGGGGCCGACAAACCGCGTGAAGCATTGTTACTACTGGCTTGGGACTTGTTTTCTTGAAAAGCTCCGGCCATAAGCGTATCGCCATCTTTATCTTTTTCTTGTGCATTAGCTTCCTCTAGAGCGATTTGTTTTTGCCATTGAAACAGTCTTGCTTGTGACGAAGGTGGAATCTCACCTTCGTAACTTTGAAACGTTTTATCTAGGTCGCGTTGTTGTATTGGCTTTAGTTTTTCGAGAAGAAGTTCCTGCAATACATCGCGACCTAGCCATTTGTACAATTGCAGTATGAGATTCATGGTTTGAGATCTGACGTTTTTGTCGGCATGGCTTGAAAGCCGAGGGAGCGGCTCTAGAAGGACAGGGAGAAAAGCGGCTATATTAGGAATCTGTTGTAACCCGAAAGAATCAATTATCTGTGCCATGCATTCTACACAGCTCGCAACAAGGCGCGGTAGTTTATTCTTTAGTAAGGGTTCTAGGAGTTCGATGGCTGGCGCAACTGAATCGTCTAAGGACACCAAGATCAGCACACATTCCTGAGATTTTTGTTTCGTAGCCGCTCTTGAAGACGCAAGACCTTTTTCGGCAAGCAAGGGTAGCCAACAAGAGCGCATCATATCTGATCTGGGGGTCTCCGCCAGCTGGCACAGGTAGTCCAAGAGACTCAGAAGTGCAGCTATTGCCTGCTCTTGCGCTACAACGTTGGAGTCCACAATGTACGAGGCAAATAGATCTGGATTGGTCCAGTATTGCGAGACTTCACGAGGCGCCGACCTTACAGATGCTTTTTGGAAGATGCCATTCAACTCCTGATATCCATGCATACGAGCTTTCCATAGCTTGTGATTTAATCTCTCCGGTAGCGACAAGATGGTAAAGTCGCCATCCGCTGAATCCGTCATGGCGTAATGAGAGCCCAGCTGTGGTTCAAGCGTATAGATAGAGTTGAGTTAATGTTTACTTCACAAAGACGGTTAGTTGTATGTTCAAGAGATGCCCGAATCAATGTTGACATTTCGCGCTGGCCGGGTAAATGTGCGAGAAAGGCTCATAACAAAGAAATGGAGGGAAACATTGCGATGTTTGACCTATAGCGGGTTATATACAGGCTATTGTCTTCATGGCAATTGTGAATTATTCTACTGATCTTATTAGTGTTTTTCGATTTTTTTTGGGGCGGGTATAGTGGTCCCGAAGTTCGAAATTATAAAGCGATCGGTTAGGTTCAACTTTGGTCATTATTGGGTGAATTTGTCCCTGGAGCTGCAGAGTAAGCCAGGGATTGTAACTTGCCATGTTGCTTACTACAAATTTGATTGTTTTTTATCTATTTATTATTTATGAACTGAATCGGTGTATTTAGATTTTTTATGACAGCCTTCAAACCTAAACTCCTCAAAGAAACGGAGACAAATAATGAGTAAAACAATCTTTGTGCTTGATTGTAATCTACCTGCTTGACTGCGAAATCTGCTGGTCGACGATCGTTCTTTAGAGAATTAGAATCCTTTACGACAGATTAGTATGAAGTGATTATTGTATAAAGATGTTTGGTTAGAAGCCCTCTAAGATATTTCAGGTTGCGGCAACTAGGAGGGTGACAAGACTCTCAATATATTTATCTGCTTATACGAATCGATCAGTTGGACGGGATAAATTCCAATCAGATCCTCATTGGTGAAAGTGTCCATTGCAACAGCGTTTGGATTCCTTTTAGCTCAAGCTCGCTTACCGAGTACTGTGTGTCTGTTTCTTTCTGCTCTTTGACAATGGTAGCCAAAATTGGCACAAAATCTCGCTCTGTACATGTGTGCAACTGAACCAGAGAAAGTGATATGATAGTAACGATGAAACTGCAAGAGCCAATCTAGTTTTAGAGTCTTGGGGAAGTCCTAGATTGAGAACGCGACTGAACTCAAACGCGAAACTAAAAGCATTCACACCTATTATAATCGAACATTCATAGAGCTAAGCGGGAAGTAGAGAAGTGTGCCAAAGGGTCGACGCGCGATCCTGTGTCATCGTTATCCGTACTAGTAGTTTTACTTTTGCGCTATCTTTTAAATTAAGGCAACTTGGCCGAGTGGTTAAGGCGAAAGATTAGAAATCTTTTGGGCTCTGCCCGCGCAGGTTCAAATCCTGCAGTTGTCGTTATTTTTTGTTTTTTTGAACGTAATGCATTAATGACTTACTTGCGTTGAACTCCAGTCTACGTTTCTGCATACCGTGTCTTGCGCTGCGAAGAAGGCTATACACCCACATTGCTTCTGTCCAAGCTCCTCTTCATCTTCGTTCAAACACACAATGTTCTGATTCACAACGTGCTCATTTAATTGAATACAACTACAAGTAGTATGCTGTGGCATGCGTAGGCATCATGACACATGCTATAATTTTCCACAAATCCTCTTCTATCCCCTCATTCTTAGCTGAAATTGCGAAACTACCAGATAATACTAAACAGAATTCAACATTCAAGCTCTGATAACAGCTGTCTACAAATTACTCATATCACATCCCAATTACTAACACCCTCGACAATGTTCTCTTCTACTCTTGCTAATTCAACATTCAAGCTCTGATAACAGCTGTCTACAAATTACTCATATCACATCCCAATTACTAACACCCTCGACAATGTTCTCTTCTACTCTTGCTAATTCAACATAACCCGTGTCCAAGCTTAGTAACGTCGAGGTTCTAGTTCCTCGTCTCAACTTTCACAATTTACGAATATAAAAGACGTGAAAAATACCCTTCAAACTTCACACCTACAATAAAGTTGTGAAATTTAAGTTTTAGGTTAATTGCAACTATCAACTAACTATACTCAACACATTCACAATGGTCACTCAAATCTCTTCTTCCGCTGACTTCGATAAAGCCATCCAAGCCGACAAATTGGTCGTGGTAGACTTTTTTGCTACCTGGTGCGGTCCTTGCAAGATGATTGCTCCTATGTTGGAAAAATTCGCCGCTGAATACTCTTCCGCTGACTTCTACAAGCTGGACGTTGACGAAGTGCCAGAAGTGGCCCAGAAATCTGAAGTCTCAGCCATGCCTACCATTGTCTTATTCAAGAGCGGAAAGGTCGTTGACAAGATCGTTGGTGCCAACCCAGCGCTAATCAAGCAGAAGATTGCTGCCAACGCTTAAACAGCGCGTGGTATATTAGTGAAATAGCCTTATTCGGCTGTGCCGTCTCTATATACTTCTATCAATCACTTCAATTAATGAACTCTGAAAATTACTATAATCAATCTCAAACAACCGTTAGCGCGCAGGCGTGAGAGATTGGGCGCTCAGCCCATCTGGCGGTTGCTGGAGTTACTTCAACAGTTCAGCAATTTCGTCGTCTGTGTAGCCAAAAATGTAGAATGCGTCCTGAAGCGACTCTGTGTTCAGCTTCGAAGGCGCGGCCTGCTGCACCTTAGGTTTCGCGTTCCATGCGATACCGAATCCAGCGACTGCCATGGCTGGTAGGTCATTACCCCCGTCGCCAACCATCACGGTCGACTCAACAGAAACGCCATATTCACGAGCTAGATTCAGCAGAGTCTCGGCTTTACACTCACCATCCACAACGTCACCTAAAGTATATCCACTTAATACCTCGACTTGAGACTGAGAGTCGGTTTCTGTAGCCAACACGTTGGCCCGCGCATAATCCAATTCCAGATTGTCTCTCATGTAGTTTGCAAATGGAGTGAATCCCCCACTTAGCACAGCAAGCTTACAACCGGTCTTTTTTAGCCCGCGACACAGCTCAGGTACACCCTTGGTGACACGAAGCTTTGCCTTGATTTCGTCGTATAGCGTAGCAGTCTTGATACCCTTTAGCAACTTTACGCGCTCGGTAAGCGACTGTTTAAAATCAAGCTCGTTGTTCATTGCACGCTCAGTAATTTCGGCGACCCGGTCTTCGACTTGTGCATACGCCGCGATTAATTCGATCACTTCTTGGTAGATCAGCGTGGAGTCCATATCGAACACTACCAGTCCCTTTTCCTTGCGGAATTTAGAGTTTTCCTGAGCCACAATGTCCGCGCCATCAACGTTGAATGAATCCACTAGCTTGCGAATACTACTAGCGTCTTTGCTGGTGGTCAAGAAATAATCCTGAGCTCGAACAGAAAGAACGGATTCTGATTCAATTTTTACATCTTCTAATGCGTTTAGAAGCGTACAAATTTCGTCTTTCAATTCCTGGCTCAAGGTTGGACCACGGCCAATGACAGTTACCACAATCTCGGCCACCATCTCGTCTATATAATTCGTTTTATCTTCACCGTTTTTCAATCTGCATGATCGGGAGCATTAACATAATTTTTCATTGCATGGCAGAACTGAAAAAAAATTGAAGTTCGAATGCTAACGAATAGAGATTAAATCAAGTTGTGCTCAAATTGGACGCTCTAACTCATCTTTTGTACAAGTGCGCATACGTCACACTTGATAAAGGTATATTATAAACTTGAGGGAAAATCTTGTTCGAAAGTTTTTAGTTCTAGCATCGATTGCACACCTTTCTCGTCCACTCATTTTTGTTCACCACGTCGCAGCGCTGTGAAACATATATTCTTTGAGCGGTCAACCAACTAAGATAGCTATTCATCATGTCCAAATCTTTGCGTATTTTGGTACCCGTTAAGAGGGTTATCGACTATGCCATCAAGCCAAGAATAAACAAAGCCGGCACTGGTGTTGAAAAAACTGGTGTCAAGTTCAGCATGAACCCGTTTGACGATATTGCTGTGGAAGAAGCAGTACGCATCAAAGAGTCGCACAAAAAATTGGTGGAAAACATCCACGCAGTTTCCATCGGGCCTGCCAAAGCTCAGGACATTTTGAGAACTGCTTTGGCCAAGGGTGCCGACACCTGTACATTGATCGATGCTAAAGAGACCGAGCTGGAACCGCTGGCTGTGGCGAAGATTCTGAAACAGGTAGTCACCAAGCAAAACGCAAACCTGATCATTTTAGGTAAACAGAGTATCGATGATGACTGCAATAACACTGGGCAAATGCTAGCCGGTTTGTTGAACTGGCCACAAGCCACGAACGCAGCCAAAGTTGAAGTGGATGAGGCCTCCATGACAGTTAGAGTGACCAGAGAAATCGACGGTGGTGAGGAAACCATCAGCGCGCCACTGCCGCTTGTGATCACCACCGACCTGCGTTTGAACCAACCTCGTTACGCAACTCTACCAAACTTGATGAAGGCCAAAAAGAAGCCCATGGAGAAGCTAACACTCTCTGATTTCAGCGACGTTTCCACCGAACCAAGATTGAAAGTCTTGAAGGTCGAAGAGCCCGCCACCAGAGCCGCAGGTATCAAAGTTGCGTCTGTCGACGAACTGATCGAGAAGTTAAAGGCCGCTAAGGCTATTTAGGTGTATATATTCCCATGAAATAGATGAACTCAACGACTTTAAGGCCACAAGATATAAGCCTGGAGCCGCATACACTGCTGAATGGCCAAAAAACCAGCAATTTCCACTCAAGTGCCTAACGAATCCATTTTCTCACTGTCCGTCCCGCTTGGGCTTGCCTGGGGAAAGCACACCTCCAGTCGTCATTCCCGGCGGCCGTTTAGACAAACACGTTTCCTCAAACCACGTATCGAATTGAACAGTCTGATGCTGCCGAGTTTCAATTGCTTGTAGTAGCTGATCACACTCTTCTATCCAAGCTTGCAAATGCTGGTCCGCAACTGTCGGTTCCGGCAAAGTTATGGGTGACAGTTCTAATTTTCGCAATGCCTGCGGGAGATACGAGCTATGTGCATTGTGCAAAGGAATCTGGCGAAGCAGATCTTCAGCAGCGTAATTCATTTTTCCCCTTCTCTAGAGACTTAATACTATAATGGATAATTACATGACAAGTTCTATGATATCTGCAAGAAAGTGAAGATGCCCGCTCGAAACAAAGAAAATAAGATGAAATGAGATTCATTGTTTGAAGGGCTGGATCTCCAGCATCAAACTGCTACCGGTGAACCCAAACGTCCAGGTTCTCAAGTGCTCACCATGTTCTTTATCACCACGTGACCAAACTTCAATATTTGTCAGTGCTCTCGCTTTGTCGATTCTTTAATACCTGACAACTAAACGATAGTCATTTTAATTCATCCAATTGCCACTTACACAGGCTAAAAAGTGACTACGTAGACTTTGTATAATGCTTAATACGTCGCCGATTAATATTGACAAATGGCTAGTCGAAAATGGCCACCTATTGCAGCCTCCTGTTAACAATTATTGCCTTCACAGAGGTGGATTTACGGTTATGATTGTAGGAGGACCCAATGAACGCACAGACTATCATGTGAACCCTACGCCGGAGTGGTTCCACCAGAAAAAAGGCTATATGACCCTGCGGGTTGTGGATGAGAGTCTTGAAGGCCAAGCCAGGTTTAAAGACGTCACGATTCAGGAAGGTGATTCTTTTCTGCTGCCTGCTAATGTCCCGCACAATCCTGTTAGGTACGCCGACACGGTGGGAATTGTAGTCGAACAGGATAGACCGGAGGGCCAACACGATATGTTGCGGTGGTACTGCTCGCATTGCCAGGCCGTGGTGTGCCAGTTCGACTTCCAGATGGTGGACTTGGGCACCCAGGTCAAAGAGGGCATTCAAGCCTTTGACAGCGACCTGAAGTACAGAATGTGCAAGAATTGCGGCACCGAGAACTTTTCAAAACCTCAATAGGCGCGAAAACGTTTATGTTGTCAGCATATCTGCACCGTAACAGCTCTACAAGTACTATATATGTCTTTGAGCTGCGTTTCATGACATGACGAAATCAGGCAAATTGTAGCGACTGAAAGAAAGCGGCAGGACTACGGAAAAAGTAGCTGAGTTTTTACAGTTGATTAAACTGACATCTTGAAATTCCCACTAAATAAAGCGATTTTAAAAAAATTGACCTAAAGCATTGCAGCGCTAGAGAGGAATGCTAAGTATCTTCATGAAGCAGATCACTCATTCGTGCATTTCTCGAAAACCATAGCGCTACTACAATAAAAAAAATCAACCCGTCTAGTAATGCTTCAAAAATGAAAATGTAAGCATTCGATCAACTTGCAATCAACAATTACTAAAGGTTTCAAAAATGAGTTCATGTTTTTGTAGCAATGCGTCTAGCGCGTCAGAGCCTCAAATTGACGCTCAAGAGCCTGGTCTTTCGAAGGGCGATGCGTTAATAACGTCTACAGACCCTCGTCATCCGGCAAATCTCATTTGCTCGCTGTGCAAGATGTTTTACTACAACAACTGGGTTACTGGAACCGGGGGTGGTATTTCCATCAAGCATGCACAAACGGGGCACATCTACATTGCACCTTCTGGCGTGCAGAAAGAGCAGTTGAAACCCGAACACATGTTCGTGATGGATCCAAACAGCGGCAGTTACTTGCGCACTCCAGAAGTTTACAAACCAAGCGCATGCACTCCACTCTTCATGTCATGCTACTCGAAGCGTAGTGCTGGCGCCGTAATCCACACACACTCGCAGCACGCGGTTATGTGCTCTTTGATTTTCGACCGAGAGTTCAGAATCGCTAACATCGAGCAGATAAAGGCTATACCAAGTGGCCAGAAAGATCCTGGTAGTGGGAAAGATATAAATCTATCGTTTTTCGACACTTTGGTCATCCCGATTATTGACAACACAGCCCACGAAGAAGACTTGACTGACGGGCTACAGGAAGCCTTGCACAACTACCCAAATGCGACAGCTGTCATCGTGAGGAGGCATGGGATCTACGTATGGGGTCCCACAGTAGACAAGGCCAAAGTTTACAACGAGGCCATTGATTACCTGATGGAGCTTGCCTGCAAGATGCGCCAGCTCGGAATCCCACCCGATTGTGGTATCGGGGAAGAGAAGAAATACCTGATGTAGCCACCACGACGCATTGTTATCAAAGCGTGGCTACAGCCAAGGCAAATGATGTCGTCTCTGCGGCAGCTTTCTAGTATGGAAGAAATATTCTTATAGTGTACATAGTTGAGGATAGTTAGTGAGTGCTATTCAAGAGACGGCGAAGCCGCTTTTTGCTTGCTGGCCCAAACGCGCTGCCAAATGAGATGTTCATCGTGCACGACGTTCTTGGTGTCCTTGAGAGTTGGTGCCTCTGGTCCCACCAAAGCAGTATCGGAGCCATCGGTCTCATCCAAGAGACCACAGCAAACAATTTGATTGCCGCGCATCATGTAGGAAGTGGCTATGTGTGCTCCAGAAACCCGGTCTCGAACCTCTGAAACGAGCAAGTTGGTGCTCTTATCAAAACCTTCCAGCGTCGCACAGACACATTGCCCTTCAGTGGTGACCACTACAATGCGTTTGTTGAGGAAATCCTTCAACAACGGCGACATAGACGCTCTTCTTTCGAGTGAGAATATCGATTGGTGAAGTTCAGTTAAGATTTCAATTTGAAGATGGGAAATAATGCCTTCGTTCAGTGCGATATATGTTCAAATTCATAGTATCTAATCATTAGAATACCCGCCGAGCATCAAATTGATTCTTCAACTTAGCAATAATTAGGTGAAGCTGTTGATCAGTATGGCAGATAGCGATGTTTCAACGGATTGCTCATCTCCTAAAAGATATACAGATGAAGAAACTGACCAGCAGATCCTGAAATGGGCGGGAAAGCTGGAATTAGAGTCGATGGATCTACGCGACAAATCTTCGAAGCTTTTACAGGCTTTGCAGGTAAATTCGGAGCATCTGAAAGATTCTTGTGAGAAGATAAGCATAGCGACTTGTGGGCTCAAAAATGGGAAAGGTTTGTAAGCTAAGAGACACTTTTCGAGCGGGAGAATTCACATCCAGAGACATTTATTTCTAACAATAAACGATTAGAGGTGCAAGAACAGCTACAGGACGCGAAAGAACATTGGAAGTGCCTAGAAAAAGGTCAGAACGAGAGCGCAACAAATCTCGGAAAGTTCGAAAAACGACTGGAAGATAAAATCGCAAAATTCGTTTCATCGCACTCCACAGACTTCGCCAAAGCAGTTACAGATGTGCAGAGCGCATTGGTTATTCTGTCGCGACAATCCGAGACGCTATCAAAAGTAATGCTGTCTATGTCAAGTGACACACAACGGGTTTCAGAGCGTCAATTGCAGCTGGAGCAACAGGTACGCGGTTTAAAAACAAATCTCGTTACATGGCGGGAAGAAACAGCTAGGATAAAAAGCAGGGACATAGGTTATAAAAACTGTTGCAAAATAACGAAACCCGTATCACCAGTTTCGTCAAGAGAACAAATGCGCCGCAAGAGGACCCAAACGTCGGCCGCAACGCGTTGGATTATACCCTGGGAAGAAATCTCCGATTCAGAAACTTTACTGTCATCAGAGTTGTAGCGCCAACGGAATCGTCGTTTGGTTCGGTGAATATTACTATCGTAAATGCGATATTAACCTGTTGTGCAGCATATCGTAAAGGCCACCGAAAGGTAAACGGCCTGCTTGACAATATGGGATATAAATGATGGCTCCAAAATACGTGTGTCCCAAAAAAAAAGTGCTACAGTTAAGAAACATCTTATCAGCTCCAGATTGCACAATCGCCAGCTTCTAAACACATGTCATACAAGAAAGGGCTGGCGACACACCATTAATTCTAGGCGCCTTGTTTTTCCCGCAAACCCACAACATCCCTCTCTTTATCAATGCTCACAATCAAAGTTCCACGAGTACCAAAGTTGCCTCCTGTTTTCAGCAAGGGATAATAGATCTCATAGCAGGGCATGTATCGCAATACGAATGCCTTCACTTGCTCATTGCTCATTCCATGCCCACTTTCCGAGATCAAGTGAGTTTCCTGTTCTTGTCTCCATTCGTAAATGTTTTGAACATCCGCGGATATTACGACTCCAAGCGATGGTGACCTGGAATTATCCCACAGTGTCTGTGCATACTGATGAAAGGAGTTATTGATTTGAATAAAGTTCTGCAGAGAATGAGTCCGGAGAATTTCTCCTCGCCGTGTGTTTTTCTCGCTCCTCATAGCGGCAATCTTCTCCTCCGAAGTACTCTCAAAGCCAAGGAACCATCCTTCGATGATAACCAAATCGACGGGCAAGCTCACTTCGCGCAGAGAGTTTACTCTGTCTCCCTCGCCGCCGAATCGTGACTTGTCATATGTAGGTATATGCAGAGAACCTTCGTTTCTCTGCACACCATGCATAAAGTTAGCGAGAAGCTGCATGTCGTGCGTTCCCGGAAGTCCTCGACCTTGAAGCATGGTATTGTCGGCGAAGGTTCGAGCTAACTGGCACTGATCATCGTGTGTCAGATAAAAGTCATCGATTGACACAACGATCGTTTCCAACTTGGGTCTCGCAGATTTCAAAAGCTCTTTTATGGCTTTGGACGAGTAAGTTTTACCAGAGCCTTGTGGGCCGGAGACATAGATGACCAGAGGCGGACTGTTGGATTTGGGATTGGTTTTTGTTTCCGTAGCGTAACTGTCATAGTGACTGAGAATGAACGGAATTGCTTCTTGGGCTATGGATGGCATATTGGAGTTCGAAGGGAAAAAAACGGGTTAATCTTTAATTCAAGCTGACAGAATTGAAGATCGCAGGATAAGGGAAACGAAATATCGACTTGAAGGATTACCGTTTCTACAGGACTGGGATAGTATAGTACAACGTTGCCTCCTTTTAAGGTCTTATATTTCACGCAAGATAAAACTGCTCGGGTCACTTGAAAAATGTTGCAACGGCTACTTGCTTTAGCTCGAGTCTCAAATACAAAATTTGTATCCGCGTCACCAGGAAAAGCTCCGCCCGGCGCAAAAGCAACCTTTGGAGGAACCATAGTCGCTCAATCGTTATGGGCAGCTCTCAAGACCACTGCATCTGCCTTTGAGCCCTCGTCCTTACAGTGCTATTTCCTAATAGGCGGAGATCCCAAGGAGGGCATCGTGTACGAGGTAGAACTCTTGAGAGACGGTCGAAACTTTGCTCACCGCCAAGTGCGGGCCTACCAGTTTGAAAAGCTTATATTCGTGGCTACCATCCTGCTACACCATGCAGATCCCTCCAAGCCGGACCAGCAATCGCCTTCTACCGATGGTATACAGTACTTGAAGCGTGCCTCAGGTTTCCCAGATTTACAGCAGATGGTTCCAGCTTCGCAGCTGTTCAGGTCTGAAGTGGTTGGGAAACAAGATAGATACCATAATCTCAACGAATCCTGGAGCGACCCCCGTAAACTTGACCCTTTCATCGAGCGGTTTGAGACCGGCGTCATTGACTACCGATTTCCCCATGATCTTTTCAACTCCTCCGATTTCCACGATTGCGGCAAGCTATCACACCTTTCGCATTTAGACTACTATCAACGCGTGAGAGACTTAGCCAGCGAAAGTCCAGAGGAATATGACCCGCGGTTCCAATACGTGGAGTTTGCGTATTTATCAGATGCGTACTTGCTCCTCTGTTTGCCTTACTTTCACTTGCTGCCTCTTTATTGTCACAAGTTTAGTGTCTCATTGGACCACTCCATTTATTTCCATAAGCGTCCTAATGTGCACGATTGGTTAGCCGTCAGAGTCGCGAATCCACGATCGAACAAGAGCAGGCATCTTGTCCAGGGGGAATACTATGACACTAATAAGGATTTGGTAGCTTCGGTGAACCAAGAAGGGCTTGTCTTGTATGACAGCCCATCATCCATTCGGGCTCGATTTTGAAAATACCTTCAATGGCTATCGCCTTTCTTGAAACTGTTATTGATTCGCTATCGCTTTCGATATATTATTTAATATACATTACTCTTAAAACATGCCTTCGATTTCCCCATCGTCATTTACTTCCACATTCATGAATCCACAATGGGTTGGCAGGCCTGGGATTGTTTGAATCTCAGCTGCTAATGCGTACAAGTAACCAGCACCGACAGACGCACGAACATCACGAATTGGGAAAGTGAACCCGCTTGGCACACCCTTCAAATTGGCATCGTGGGATAACGAGTACTGGGTCTTAGCAATACAGATCGGTAAATTACCGAAGCCTTGCTTTGTGTACAGGTCAATTTTTTTCTGAGCTTCAGGTGAGAACTCAACGGAGCCAGCACCGTACATTTTCTTGGCAATTGCACCGATCTTATCTTCCACTGATATCCCTTCAGTTTCATAAAGAAATTTGAACTCATCATTTGGTTGTTCACACGCCTTGACAACTCCCTCTGCCAAATTGACTGCACCCTTTCCACCTTCTTCCCAGTGATTAGAGACGATTGCATCATAAGCACCTGCTTTCAAGGATTCCTCCTTCACAACTTCGTGTTCACGATCAGTGTCCGAGGACATCTTGTTGATTGCAATAACCACAGGAAGATTGTAAGCCTTAACATTAGCAATATGCTTGGCCAAGTTGGCACAACCCTTTCTCAGCAAGTCAACATTTTCATTCAAATATTCAGTAGGCAATGGAGCACCTGCCTTTACTTCAGGACCACCACCGTGTACTTTCAAAGCACGAATTGTGGCGACGATGACTACAGCATCAGGAACTAGACCTGATGAACGACACTTAATGTTCAAGAAACGTTCACCACCCATTGTAAAGTCAAAACCGGCTTCGGTCACAACGTAACCTTGTTTTTCCTTCTTGGTCTCTTCCGAAACACCTGGCTCAACGCCAGCGAGTTTCAAGGCGATCTTGTCAGCGATGGCCGAGTTTGCACCAATAGAAATGTTAGCGAATGGCCCAGCATGCACAAACACAGGAGTACCCTCCAAAGTTTGCATAATGTTGGGTTTGATAGCGTCTTTAAGAAGAGCTGTCATGGCACCTGCACATCCAATATCCTCGCATGTAATGGGGACCCCAGCTTTAGAAGCACCAATGACGATGTTTCCCAGCCTCTCCCTCATGTCGCCTAAAGAGTTTGCTAGGGCAAGAACGGCCATACACTCTGAAGCAACTGAAATGTCAAAGCCTGTCTTTCTCGTAAACCCACGCTCAGTTGGAGCTTCACCAATAGTGATACCTCTCAAAAATCTGTCGTTACAGTCAACCACCCTTCTCCATGTAATAGTCTCGGGGTCGATATCCAAACGAGCGAATTGAGTGATTTCTTCTGGAGTCAAAGTGTTTGGATCTTTTTTATCGATTCCTAGTTTTTTCAGTCTTCTCAACATGGTGGGGGAGAAAGTTCTGACACCGCGTTTAGCTGGAACCAATCTCTTGTATAGCGGCGCGTCTTTTTGTGTATCTTCGTGAAACATACGAGTGTCAATAGCGGCTGCTAATAAATTGTTAGCCATCGAGATAGCATGAATGTCACCGGTGACATGTAAGTTGAACTCATCCATTGGAATAACCTGAGAGTAGCCACCACCAGCAGCACCACCTTTGATACCGAAAGTTGGGCCCATAGAAGGTTGACGAACATTAGCAAAGACAGTTTTGTTCAAGTGTGCTCCCAGAGCTTGAGCCAAACCGACAGTAGTAGTCGACTTACCTTCACCTAGTGGAGTAGGAGTAATACCGGCCACTAACACGTACTTACCATTTTGTCTGGAAGCCAGACGGTCCAAAATCTCCAATTTAACTTTAGCTTTTGTGGATCCGTAGGGTTCTAGTTCTGTGGCCAAGATACCAGCCTCCGAAGCTACCTGTGTAATTTCTTTAGGCTTCTGGCTTCTTGAGATTTCGAAATCAGATGGGACTGGTGTTAGAAGATTTAATGGTAGTGGAGTAAAAGCTGGTTTATCTTCAGTGCTTAGAGAACGCTTAGCGGCGGTGAAAACGTTGCTCATTAACATAGCCACGGTCATGGGCCCAACACCGCCTGGAACTGGAGTAATAAGCTTGACGTTTTGACGAGCAGCCTCGAATTCCACATCACCAACACATCTGTAGCCGCTTTTCTTGGTGGAGTCATCAACATAGTTGGTACCAACGTCGATAACCACACAGTTGTTATTTCCTTTGAACCACTCACCTAAAACAAATTCTGGCCTACCAATAGCCACTACCACGATGTCTGCGTTGCCAACATAGGAGGAGATATCCTTAGTCTTGGAGTGCACAACGGTAACGGTGGCGTCTTTGGCCTTGAGTAGCTCGGCAACTGGTGCACCCACGATGTCGGATCTTCCAATCACTACGGCTTTGGACCCAGCAATGGTAACACCAGATCTCTCAAGAAGCTCGATGATACCCTCTGGAGTGCAGGGATGGAAGTATGGCTTCCCGTTCTTCTTGTTCAATTCTCCAATGTTGTGAGGTCCGAAGCCGTCAACGTCCTTGCGAGCCTCCACAGCCGAGGTGATCTTGTCTTCGTCGATGTGGGATGGCAAAGGCAATTGAACCAGGATACCGTGAACTTTGTTGTCCAGGTTCTTTTGCTGAATCTGCGCCAAGAGCTCACTTTCCAGAACGGATTCGTCGAGATGCACAAACTGGACCTCGACGCCAGCTTCTTCCGCAGCTTTACGCTTCATTCTTACATAAGTAGCAGAGTCTGGGCGATTGCCCACCTGGAAGATAGCCAAAGTTGGTTTGAAACCTGCGGATTTCGCGTTCAAAGCACAGATTTCTTGCGAAATCTCTTCCCGGATGCTCTTGGCAATGGATTTGCCGTCAATCAAAGAGGCCACCATTTCGATCTAGTACAATTGAATGCTTGAGTAGAACGAGGCAGCAAACGATACGCACTGTAGAAGAAGTGAGTTTAAAACGCTTGAAGATTTGGAAGACGTATCGCTCGTTTGGATATGCCTTTTTATATTTCCGTAAAACCGTCTAATCAAAGTTGACTCGGGTACAATATCACCGGAATATAGCATGTGAACGTAAAATGTACTAGTTGGAAAACTGACATAAAGTTTAGGCGCCGAGCTAGCCTGCATTTCTGAACAAGATAGGGTTTACATGAGTTCTGTATATGGATCAACGAAATTCTAGATTAACGCTTTGGAAGACTGGTGAAGAAATTGCATTCAGTTAGGGTGTGATAAGAAAGTTAAAGGGTATCTATGCGTGGGATTTACGAAACGAGCGCTTGAACGCTCAATGTGTGGATTGGAGTGTACTGGGTTTTCAATTTCGAAAACTGTTAACGACTCTTGATGAAAGAAATGTGGAAATTAGAAAACTGGAAAATTATGAATATGGATAATCACATGACTTAGGGTAGTGACAGTAATAGATATGGTGCGCGTTTGACGCTCGATGGAGCGTTTGAGGAGCAGTAGTGGGGCGTGTGAGGGCGAGTGGAATAAGAAGCACAAATTTGACTGGTTTGGAACTTATCGCTTGGGATGGTGACTGATAAATCGAAAATTCTCTGAGCATATAGGAAGACACAATCATTCGAGTTTAGGTACAGCTTTGAGATTTACTGGCGCTCACAGCGGTGGCTCAAGTGCGACAGCAGATATACGCGAGCGTTTCTGGAGGTAGGGCCACTAGTGTCAGGATAGTACAAAGTGACAAGACCCTGCTTCATGTTGGAAGAGAGCCGCGTCAAACGTAGCCAACGCAGCGTGTTGACCCGACTGGTGCGCACTGCATGATAAATTTGGGAGGGATTTATCTGGCCCAATCTTAAAAGCTCAAGTCTGACTGTCGACAGGTTGCGATGCTGGTATATGGTTTTCGTTGCAGAACCGAGAGCCGCAACCACTGACTGCAATTAAGCGGTCCACGATATTCATGACGGCAGCGGATGTACCGAGACCATGAGAGTTTGAGATGTAGCAGACAGTGGTGTTCCCGACTTACACGTATATATTGCCGTCCAGAGATCTGTATGTACCACTATGGCAGTACAATGGGGGTATTGAAAGGCACCGGGACTCTTCTAATGCAATGTGGCCGATTATCACGCAACGAGGTTGGTTTTGATGCTCGATATTCGTACCGCGATATTGTCAAAAAGGATGTTAATTTAGCATCGTTAGAAAATTGCACTGTCACATAGATTTCACCATTTACCATTGTTGCGAAAGTGCAGTGTCACATAGTTCTACACCCAGCTTCAACAGATAGTGTGGCAGCAAATTCTTCCACCTCCAGCATCAATAGCGCGCTGGGGCTCGCCTCTATTTTCAGATTTTATCATAAAATCGTGCAATATATTACAGTCACAGAGACATGCAAGGCTCCGGATAATTAATACACACCACAGAAAGATTAACAGAGGCCCACCGAGAGTTATATCGCGGCTTCAGTCTCTTAAAGGCCCCATTTGAATATTTATACCACGTGACCTATATCTTTTCCCGCACTGTATGAAGCTCTTAGTAAATTAATCAACCTTACGAATAGCACACTTTAAAATTCCCATCGCTAGAACTAATCACAACCCTGCAAACCATGTCTTCCACCGGGCTGCCAGAGCCATGGACCGTGCGTTTCAGTAAATCCAAAAGTAGACAATATTTCTTCAACCCACAGACCAAAGAATCGCAATGGGACGAGCCTGAAGGCACAGACCATGCGGCCCTCAAACAATATTTAGTTGACCATCCGCTTAGAGTGAGATGTCTGCATCTTCTGATCAAACACAAGGACTCGAAAAGACCTGCATCGCACCGTTGCGATCCAATCACCATCTCCAAAGAAGAAGCACTGGAGGAACTGTCCGTCTACCAGCACAAAATCGAACAAGGCGAGAAATTCGAGGACCTGGCCAAGTCGCGCAGTGATTGTTCGTCGTTCAAGCGCGGTGGTGACCTCGGGTCTTTCGCCAGTGGCGAAATGCAACCGCCCTTCGAGAAGGCCGCGTTTGCCTTAAAGGTAGGCGAAGTGTCTAAGCCCGTGGAAACCGCAAGCGGAGTCCATATCATCAAGCGAGTCGCCTAAAAAGGTGCAAAAGGCACACTTCCTTGACTTATATTTGTACGGCTACTTAAAGGCTCTAAATAGTTTACATCCAAAGATCCTTCTTGTATGACTCGGTGACGTCTTGGTTTTCGCCATAGAGGCTTTGCCAGTGACTGAACCCGCCCCGGAGAACATAGATGCGGAATCTGCTCAGGTCGTCATCACTCAAAGTACGAAGAAACTTCATCGCTGCGGAGGGCCCTCTTTGCTGCGACAGAGCGCAGTGAAAGACACAATTGATAACACCAAAACTGCCGCGTTCTTCGTCCAAACGTCCCCGAAGCTCATTACACTTGTCCAAATCGTCTCGAAGCTGCCGGTACGGATAGTTCCAACCCTTTGCTATATGTCCACCTATATAATCGCTGCCTCGCACATCTACAACTTGAAAGGGCTCATTGGAAGCGGAATGGCCCGCTTTAAGCCATTTGTAGAGCTCTTGTGCGTCCAGATACCGGATAGCAGCTACTGATCTAGATTCCATCCCAAAATCGGCCCTCGTTTTCGAGTGTAGCTTTTGGTAGGAAGAACATCAAGGAAATATATAATATATATACATATTTTAGCGAAATATGGAGTTATTGAATACGGAAAAAGCTCATTCTGAAACCCAAAATTCGTCGCTTGTGTGACTTAAGCCAGAATTGCTCAAAAAACCACACCCAATTGTTTGATTCTCTATTCAGTTATGAACTTTGAGTTTGCTCAAACGTTTATGGTATGTACCTTCAAAAAATCACCGTCAATATTCCATCTCAACTGGTCGAGAAACACAAAAATATCAGATCTTCGACAAAAGTAAGCCTTCTTGAACCGATTGTAGCCCAGTAAACTTATCCCCAACTGTGAAACATGGCCAAAGACTCGCATTTGGAGCCTGCAAAGTCCCGATTGAGCAGCGGATCGCTCACAAACCTGTTCAAACTGAATCGCAAACGTCCCTTGGAAGATGAGGAATCTGAATCGGCACAATCGCCATCCGATGGTTCTGGAAACGATGCGAATAGCAGTGAAACTGAAGAAAACCATGAAATTGTGGCCAAGAAGAGGCGCACGTTGTCAATGGCCGAAACCGAGGCACAGGAAGCGCGAGAACGAAAACTAGACGAATCCTTACCTGAAGAGTTGCGCAAGTTCAGACCCGTCGGTTTCAGTCTCAATTTGCCTCCAAAAGATCGGCCTGTGCGGGTTTATGCAGACGGTGTGTTCGATCTGTTCCATCTGGGCCACATGAAGCAGCTGGAACAGTGTAAAAAGTGCATGCCCAATGTGACGCTTATTTGTGGCGTTCCCTCCGATCGCGTTACCCACAAACTCAAAGGTTTGACTGTTTTGACCGATGTGCAGCGCTACGAGTCCCTAAGACATTGCAAATGGGTCGACGAGGTCGTCGAAGACGCGCCTTGGTGTGTTACGCCGGAGTTTCTCGAGAAACACAAGATCGACTACGTGGCGCACGACGACTTGCCCTACGCGGCAGCAGGCAGTGACGACATTTACCTTCCCATCAAGGAGAAAGGCATGTTCGTCGCCACACAGCGCACCAATGGTATTTCTACCAGCGACATCATTACTCGTATCATCCGCGACTACGACAAGTATCTGATGCGCAACTTCGCCCGCGGTGCCACCAGGCGCGAGCTCAATGTGTCGTGGCTCAAGAAGAACGAGCTCGATTTCAAGAAACATGTCCAAGAATTTCGTTCTTATTTCAAGAAGGGCCACGATTCCATCAACCACGCTTCCAAGGACCTGTACGTAGAAGTCCGCGAAATGCTTTTGCGCAAGACGCTGGGCAAGAAAGTCTACTCCAAACTGGCAGGCCAAGATCGGCCTCAGAAGAGAATTAGAGGTACATCGCCCGCTACAGAATTTGCACGCACTTACGGCGGCAATGATTACCAGGATTACGAGCAAGACGATGACGACGAAAATGACCAAAGCCAAGATCAAAATTCCATCGAATCAGCCGCGAAGGACCATGTTCGTGTGACAGAAGGTGAGTCAACTAACAGTTCAAGCTCTTAGGCCGGTACCGGCATTTTTTCAAATATGGCTTACTAGTCGGGTGCTGAAAATTTTTTTTAATGGTAATGATATAATAATGGCGATGAGCTTAACATTAGCGGATAAGATGCCCAAACAAAACCCTGAGTAAGAACAAGGTATAAATCAGTCTGTGACGCGTAATATAGTTATGCTGGGTAGATTGTCTAGTGCGGAAACCAGAAGGTATTTCTCAAGCTCTCAAAATGTTAGCAAGAAATTGAATAAGTTCTCTCACATCATCACTGAACCAAAGGACCAAGGTGCTTCGCAGGCCATGCTTTACGCCACTGGCTTCAAGGACGGCGACTTTGTTAAGCCACAGGTCGGTGTTGGATCTTGTTGGTGGTCTGGTAACCCATGTAACATGCATTTGATGGATTTCAATCATCGTATCACGGCTTCCGTGAACAAAGCCGGCTTGAAAGGTATGCAGTTCAACAGTATTGGTGTTTCTGACGGTATCTCTATGGGTACCAAGGGTATGCGCTACTCGTTGCAAAGTAGAGAAATCATCGCCGATTCTTTTGAAACCATCATGATGGCACAGCACTACGATGCCAATATCGCTATTCCATCGTGCGACAAGAACATGCCTGGTGTGCTAATGGCTTTCGGCAGACACAACAGACCTTCTATCATGGTCTACGGTGGTACTATCATGCCAGGCCACCCAACTTGCGGGTCGCAAAGCATCCCTAAAGACATTGACTTGGTCTCTGCGTTCCAATCGTACGGTCAATTCTTGTCGAAGTCTTTCACGGAACAGGAACGTTCGGACGTTGTCAAACACGCATGTCCCGGCCCAGGTTCGTGTGGTGGTATGTACACTGCTAACACCATGGCTTCGGTGGCTGAAGTCTTGGGTATGACCATGCCCAACTCCTCGGCTTTCCCTGCCGTATCCAAGGAAAAGTTGGCTGAATGTGACAATATTGGTGAAGCTATCAAGAATACCATGGAAATGGGAATTTTACCCCGCGACGTTATGACCAAAGAAGCTTTTGAAAACGCTATCACATATGTGGTTGCTACCGGTGGCTCCACCAACGCCGTGCTCCATTTGGTTGCAGTTGCCCACTCTGCCGGCGTCAAGATCACTCCTAATGATTTCCAACGTATCAGCGACAAGACTCCATTGTTGGGTGATTTCAAACCTTCCGGGAAATACATGATGTCAGATCTCATCAAGATTGGCGGTACTCAAGCTGTTATCAAGTTCTTGTACGAGCAAGGCCTCTTGAAAGGTAACACGATGACTGTCACTGGTGAAACTTTGGAACAACGTGCCGCCAAGACTCCAAGCCTACCTGAAGGCCAAGACATCATCAAATCTATGGCTCATCCTATCAAACCTCAAGGTCATCTACAAATCCTATACGGTTCTTTAGCTCCAGGCGGTTCTGTCGGTAAGATTACTGGTAAAGAAGGCACAATCTTCAAGGGTAAAGCTCGTGTTTTCGACGAAGAAGCAGGCTTCATTCGCGCTTTAGAAAACGGAGAAATCAAGCAAGGCGAGAAGACTGTCGTGGTTATCAGATACGAAGGTCCAAAGGGTGGCCCTGGTATGCCCGAGATGTTGAAGCCCTCCTCCGCCTTGATGGGCTACGGTTTGGGTAAAGATGTCGCGTTGCTAACCGATGGTAGATTTTCTGGTGGCTCTCACGGGTTCTTGATCGGCCACATCGTTCCAGAAGCCGCCGAAGGTGGTCCAATTGGTTTGGTCAAAGACGGTGATGTGATCACCGTCGATGCCGAGGAGAACAGGATCGATGTTGACGTCAGTGAAGAAGAAATGGCCCAACGTAAAGCGCAATGGGTTCCACCTGCTCCTCGTTACACTAGAGGTACACTATCCAAGTACGTGAAATTAGTTTCCAATGCCTCCCTTGGTTGTGTCACGGATAGTGACAAATAAGAAGATCGATAAGCAGGTGCTTACCATCTGTCACAGGAGAACTTACAGAACGAAATCCGAAAGTTCTCTATATTTATTCAACTCACTGATAATGTAGCAACGACGTAAACAAATTTAGTCCATTGAATGGACGGTTTATTTTTTAATAGAATATCAAGAAAATGGTTATAAATCGGCTCTAAGAGTTCTAAATTATACTTGTCGGTCTATCTGTCTTCGATTTTTCACAGGAATCGTTCTTTGTAGAACAATAACAAATTTTTTACAAATATTAAGCTCATCGCATATCTAGAACTCCACAACTGAAAGTAAAGCTGAGACCAGAGATGGTTGTTTCCGAGGCCATATTTGTTGGTGGTAACAGACAGACCCAGGTTAGTGATTACACCTCAGAATGGGGCATCTTGGCTTTTGGAGCCGGCAAGACTATAGCCCTGTGGAAGCCTTTGGACACAGCCAGCCGTGGGGTTTATAGAACACTGGAGGGCCACAATGCAGAAGTGACTTGTGTCAGGTTTGTCAGCGGGACAAACTTGATGATTTCCGCATCTGAAGACTCCCAAATAAGAGTTTGGGAGCACACCAGTGATGCGCAAGATGACACTTTTAATTGCATCCAGATATTAGACCATCACAAACATACAATTACAACGATCTCTGCGCTGAGCAATATTTTTGCCGTGGGCTGTGCTGATGGTTCAGTGTCTATGTGGAGTCTATCTGGCGACGTTGCCTCATTGGTGCACACTTTCGAACCAAAAAAGAACACTTTACCATTGTGCTTGGCTTTGAAAGAGGTTCAGGACAACAAGATCTTGCTGGCTGTTGGAGGAACAAACCCAAATGTCTTCATTTACTCTTTTGTCTGGGATTCTGAAACCCTAAACAATTTCCAACAGGCGGCTATTTTAGAGGGCCACGAAGATTGGATTAAAGCCATGGACTTTTATGAAGAATCATCAGGAAACATAATTCTTGCCACAGGCTCTCAGGATCGCTACATCAGGCTATGGAGAATACGAACAAATGAACTTATTGACAATTCAGACGAGGACGACTTCAAACTGAAACTTTTAAGCAACAAGCAGTCAAAATTCTCTATAAGTTCAGACTTGAGGGTCGCCATTAATTTCGAAGCCCTTATTGTTGGTCACGATGATTGGGTTTCATGTTTGAAATGGCACGAGGATCGACTTCAGCTACTGGCCTCAACGGCCGACACAGCTATAATGGTATGGGAACCTGACGAGGAATCCGGGGTTTGGGTTTGCGCTTCTCGCCTTGGCGAGCTGTCCTCTAAGGGTGCATCAACTGCGACTGGCTCAGCTGGTGGCTTCTGGTCGTGCAATTGGTTCACTCTAGGTGAAAGAGATTATATTCTAACCAATGGTAAAACAGGTTCATGGAGGATGTGGGAATCTGGCGACTTGGGAATCTGGGATCAACATTTGGCTATAACTGGTCCCACCAAGTCTGTCACTGATGCAGCGTGGTCGCCAAATGGTCGCTATCTTTTGTTCACATCTTTGGACCAGACCACGAGACTTATCGCTCAATACAGAAAGTCGGACAGCCAAAGTGGAAAGGCGGGGTCTTGGTTTGAGTTTTCTAGACCACAAATTCATGGATATGACATGATATGCGTAGAGCCAATTTCAAACACCAGGTTCATAAGTGGTGGTGACGAGAAGATTTTAAGATCTTTTGATGAGCCCAAAGGTGTTGCTCAAATTTTGAATAAGTTTGCTGATATTCCTATCGAAGATGAAAGTAGCATGCCAGAATCAGCATCTTTGCCAGCTCTAGGGTTGTCAAGCAAGGCTACTGCCGATGTTGACGAGGATGTGGATGAGGATCCCGATGTTCGAGAAACCAACGAAACTAAAAATATTTCCTTTGATGTCGTGGCTTCTCTAACAACCCCTCCTATTGAGGATCAACTTCAGAGACATACATTGTGGCCTGAAATTGAAAAACTATACGGACATGGCTACGAAATGTCTTGTCTAGACGTAAGTCCAGATGGTAACGTAATAGCATCAGCATGTAAATCCAACAACATGCAACATGCTGTTATTCGCTTTTTCGACGCTAACACTTGGCTGCAGCCCAAACCTGCAGAGCAGCTTCATAATTTGACAATTACAAGACTACGATTCTCCGGGGACAATATCCACTTGCTGAGTGTCAGCAGAGACAGACAGTGGGCGCTGTGGAAAAGAAACCTAGCCACAAATGACTTTGAGCTAGCCTACAAGAACGAAAAAGCACACACAAGAATTATCTGGGATTGTGATTGGGCGCCTCAAGAGTTTGGTCAGGTTTTCTTCACGGCTTCGAGAGATAAATGTGTCAAATCGTGGAGATTTTCCGCTCAGGAAAATACTTATACCCAAGAGAACTCTTTGAAACTCACCGAACCGGTCACAGCTGTATCTATTTTTCCGAAACTTTTGCATAGCAAGCTTGTCACGGCCGTAGGATTGGAAAGTGGATCTATTCACATTTATACTTATGACGGTGAATTTAGGAAGGTCACAGAGATTGGCAAAAACCTCGCGCCTTCTGATAGAATCAACAGGTTAAGGTGGTCGTCTTATCTTGAAGATGAAAAGCTTGTTTTTGCAGCAGCAAGCGCCGACCACTCTGCCCGTGTCTATTCTGTCAAGTCGAGCACTATAGAAGAAAATACTAAATAATATCGCAATCTTTGAAAGGTGAGATCAATCTTATAATATACCCAATCTAATATGTAATTGTCCAGGAACTCAGCCAGTTCAGGTATTTGTAGTCATTTGCCGGCCCCTTCATTCCCTGAGCGATTGGTGAAAACAGAATGTACACATAAATACATCCCGCTCCAAGTAGGCCGTAGATAATTTTGTTCAAAGAGAATCTTTTTGGGAGACATTTCTCGAGCATAAATCCAGAGACCAAAATGGCAAAGTATAATGCAGGAGCGTAATGGTGAACATATGTTACTCTTCCCATGAAGACAAACGGCAAGTAATGCAATAACCAAGCTAAAAATGGTAGAATGCCTTGTAGCCCAAGATCACACAAATCACTTGTTGTGAGATGTATAGACTGTCTTTGCCATTTGAAAGCAAGCCTTAAGAGGTAAAATGTGAACAGAACAAGCGAAAATGAAGAGAACCATGTTTGAAAAGGAGACCCCAACAGATAGTACTTGACAGCATCCTTACTCCAACCGCACATTCTTAGGCCTGTATGAAGGGTTGGCCACTCCCACGCTTTGGTTGCTAATGAGTCGTATTTGTCTTCATCAGGCACAAGAGCATTATTTGAGGAAGCCATGGCAAAATTAATCAAGATAAAATCGGCCCAAAATCTCGATTTCGGAGGAATATATCCTTCGGATTTCTCTAGATTAGCGTTCCAGTGGTCCTCTATGTTCCACCAAGTTGATTTATCGCGGCTCGTCCACGAGTTTTTACAGACTATTTCGGCCTGTTTGAACCCCCAAGCTGGATATGCTAGTCCTGTGGTAGCAAGGTAGCAGCCCAAATGCTTGTGTCTTAACCGAAAACTTGTTGAAATAGGATGCAGCAGTTTTGGATCTTCTTTGGGGAAAGATGAGTTCAAGGAGTCTAGCTGCTGTACAATTTCGACAACCCAGTCATCCTTGTCATCTCCTACCTCTCCATCACCATAGCCGGATACTTCATAGAAATTTTTAGAAACATGGGCTGGGATTTCATGCGAATGTAGATTTGCCTTTGTGCTTTTGTGAACTAGGCGAATTTCAGCGTTGTCACCCAATTTTAAAGACTTTCCATTCGACAATCCATACTCATCAATTTCCATGCCCGATTCTCTTGAAAAGTTGATTATCCAGTTATTGTTGTCGTCAGAATGTCCATAGCCGGTAACCTGATGCTGTCCCGACCCGAAAGGATACAGCTGTACATGGGAATGAAGTAGGTTGGGACTTAATCCATGTGATCTAATTGTCACTTCTGATCCATACGATATATCTCTTGGCCCAACTTCAATTTTATTTCCATCTAGATTAACTTGGAACAATGTGTTGGTAGAAGCATCGCCAGTGCCCGATTTATGTAAGATAGCAAAGTGGATTTTGAAGCAAAATAGGTAAATCATAAACGGTATAATGATCAAATTAATAACGCGAACCAACCAGTGTTTGTAATATTGTATCCTGCTTAAGCTTTTGTCATGATAAGCAGCGAACAAGTCGACAACGGTGTAAATACCAGCCACAACTGTGATAAAAAGACCCACCCATTTCACGGAACAAACAGAGCCAATCGATAGCCCAAGAAGAAGCATCCACAGAGACCACTTCCTAGTAAACTGCTGTTTACGCAATTTGTATATTTCAGTTATGCAAAGGAATGTTGTAGCGGTGAAGAATAGTAGGATCGAATCTAGAAGAATGAACTTCGAGAGCGCAATGTAAGAAAGCTCAAGTGCAACCATGAGCCCTAACAACATGGAACAAGAATAGCTTAACCCTACATTTTGAGCTGTCGAGACCATCAATGGCGCACACAGAGCTCCAAAAGTAGCGCTGAATTGTCGCATGAACTTGAAGTTAACATTTTCAGGGTATGGGTTGCCGGAGTCGAACTCAAAGTTGCCATCAAAGCCTGCTAGGTACTCGCTTAAAGCTATAAGCATCTTTCCTAAAGGTGGATGTACATCATGGTAAAATTCGTGTTTTATGTAATAAGAGCCGAATTTCCCGAAGTGCGCTTCATCCCACACCACAGCGTTATTGGCATCAATTTTCGAGAATCTCACATAAAAGGAAATCACCGTAATGATTACAATTCCCATATACTTGGTAACAGCTCCGTATGACGTCCTGCTGGATGAGTTTGCCGATAGCTTTTTGTTCAAGTCATCCTGCAAGTGCTCGCTTGCATCACCGGAAGGCTTCTCTTCTTCGAAGTTCTTCCGACGTTCTCGCAAATTCAGCTCAGAAGACTTTGGCAGGAAGCCAGAACTAGACATTCTCAGATCAAAGAAAGATCAAGCCCCAGGGAACCAATTCTTAACAGGTCTTGGGTCTGTTTGTATAAAATAAGTTCGCGCAGTAATTATATTCTTTTTTTTCGCGAAAAGCTCTAATGCCTAAAAGATTGTCTACAAAATAGTACAGAACTCTAGCTTGACTGGGTAGATCCTCGGTTAGCCCGTCAAGTGTTGGTGTGCGAGATGTAGCTTTAAATGTGCTGTATTCAGTCGCCCTTGGATTGAGCTCAGTGCTTAAAAATTGCATAATTTGAAGTCTCGGATGGGCTGTAGCTCTTGAAATTTAACGCAGTTCCAAAGAGAGATCTCTTCCCTATCAGAATCATCGTAATGCTCGTAGACCCGCGACAGGCACCACCATACTTCTGGAGAATGGCTGCCCTCAATGGATTTTTCCACCAATTCTTCTAATAGGAGCTTGAGCCTGGCGAAGGCCGCTGATCTGTCTTTTTCACCGATGAATCCGTCTTTGTTCAATTCATGTCTGGATTTTTCAACCAATTTATGATGCTCGTCTTCAAGTGTGTCGGGCATTAGACATTTTGCAAAACCGACGATTGCGTCAACATTCAGCTGGTCATAAAACAGCACCTTCTCAAAAGATTTTAAAGCATTTCCGTCGTTGATGCCGAGAGACATGTACCCGTCCGCGAGGTCATTGTTTAAATTCTGAAACTTCGCCGTTTGGTCGCGAGATTCTGCCAGAGCTTCGCGTGCGTCGTCGACAGAGCCGTTACTCATGTAAAGCTTTACCGCGAATAACCACACGCTCTGCTGTAAATACTCCTGACTTTTGTTGAACTCGGAGCTTAGGTTACAATCGTCCAACTCCTCAGGGAAGGCAAGGCTGAGAAGCTCAAAAACCTCCGGTAGAAGTTCAAGAGCATCTTCTACGCCAAACATTTCCTTTGTTATACTAAGCTGCGTCAGCTTCAATTGAATTAGCTGCCACCTATCCGATACAGATATCGATGTTCCCTCATGAAGAGCCAACTGCAAGGCTTGTAGAACAGAGCACACTATTCTAAAGGAGACATTTTTGTCCTCGTGCGTGGATTCACAAAGTGCGAGCAGATGCCAAGCTCGGTAATTTTCTGGCTCCTTCTCAAGGATGGCAGTCTTGATAAATTTGATGGCCTGTCCAACTTCTCTTTTTAGGGCCAATGTGTAAGCGTAATTGAAGTTTATTTGGTCACAACTCGAATCAGCGACAAAGGCGTTCGCCAAAAAAAAAGAGTGCTTGTCTTGTAGGAGGTCCAAATTCTCACGATCATGCTCATAAAGAGCATTCCATGATTGTGCTAAAATGATTAGTATTTTTTGGGGTAAAAAGAGCTTGATTCCATTAGAAATGAGGTCTAGAGATTTCTCCTTCTCGATCAAAGGCAGAGAGAGTTTCTCATAAAATTCACACAAAAGCAGTTCGAACTTGCGTACAACCTCACGATAATTAAAAATATGCGGTATGTCAAGAATTCCAACCTGAGCAGTAATAAACCTGTAGCTTTCAATAATAGAAACTATATCCAGCCATTCACCCCGATTGAGATCTCTGTGGTTTTCGTTGTAATTTAAGAAATTAATGAAATTCAAAGTCGATTCTTTTTGCTGCTTCTCGAGTCCAAAATATATCATTGCAGTTTTTGAGACTTGCATACTTTGGAAAGTATTGCCCATCGACTGTACGATTAAATCGTGCCATTGAGATGATTTCGATGACTTCGAGTTCAAAAAATAATATTGTAAAACTGTGTGGAACTGTTCTAAATTTGAGTCGTTGGTCTCTTCGGCTGTAGGGAATTTGGATGATTTGAGACATTGAGATCCTATTTTCAAAAGGTCATCGTCATGGTTTTCGGGATCGGACTTCACTGCGACATAATATGTGACGTTGCACGGCGCCAAGTTGCTCATGGTTTGATCCCAGCTCATGCTTAAGCGCGCTATGATTAGGTCAAGGTAGTGAAAGGTAAGCGCATGTGATTCCTTGGGAAGTTGATCAACAATGTGCAATAAGTTCTGAAGGTAAAACTCGGTCGCCTTCGCCTTTGGTTTCAAAAGACCCGTGTAATAAAGTGTTTCGAGCTTTAGAAATGTTTGGAATGGCCCCGAGCCGATTTCTGTCTGGCTTGCTTGCACTAATTTCTTCTGAGCCGATTCTGTATCAGACAAGTGAAAGTACAATATTCCGGCAAGATTCGACCCAATTCTTCTGGAACTTGGATTCGAACCTTCATAATCGTACTTGCCCAGCTCTTCCAACAGAACTCGGCACACGCTCGCGTTCACGGGAGCTGCGCCAAAAACGTGGTAGTGCGTTCTGTATTGTAAGCCTAAAAGCGCATTGAGTAGCTTGTCGCGACAGTTGAATACGCCAGAACCTAGCAAACGGTCCTCTAAGGCTGTTTCGGTATCTTCGAAGTCCTGGGTCATGCTTCAACCACCTGAAATACGTTTCCAAACGTCAGATAGAGCCAACGTTGGGAACTTAAACAAACTAACTAAACCCTCTGCAGCACTCCACACGAACAAAATTTAAACTCTTCCCCACGGCCTTTCAAGATGACACGAAATGGGCGGGGCGCTGGCTTCGAGAGGACCATGTTACAGCTCATGACTAAACTGCTTACCTTGTATGATAATCAATTAGCGAACCGAACGTGTCGGCAACATTTCATGTCATTATAGTACAAAGTGATAGACGTCGGACCTAGAGATAGAGGTTCGACCACAATTAGTCAAAGAGCCAGCATCAGATCTTTGTAACACAAGAGCTATAGAATTAACGGACAAATTTAGTCACGTTGAATATGTCTTAACTTATATGATTGGTTTCAAATTCTTTTTGGTAGAACAGGCCTCTTACTTCGACAATTTGTGCCTGTGAATTGTTGGCGTTTATTCAATTCAACACACCATAGTAGTCACGCTTATGATGCGTCAGTTTTTAATATGGCTGTTTTTTGCTTGATAGTTTTGTAGACGTTTGCACAATGTTTTTGTCGTGGTTCGTCCACGTATTGCCCTTTCACATCCTAAGCTGAAGGTTTCAAATCTTGACGCGACACACTGTTTATTCGAAAGTCGTCATATTTCCAAATCTAATTAAACTAATGTGTTTCTTTGGTTTCCATCAGATCTTGTTGACATCTCTGCTGAGGACAACCTTCTCTTTGAATGTTCCCATCATGTTCTACCATCACTGCTACCAAAGTCATTGCTGATACGTTGTCTTATACTCTCCATTGTTCGATCTGTTAATACCTTTTTGACCCGTTTTAACCCATATGACATAAGAGTACGAAGTGATATTCGGTAATCAAGCAGAGGAAACACTCATCGACCTAGTACATCAAACAGTAGCAAAGCTAAAAGCCGTTATCAGTTTATGTATCAACGCTTTAGTCCCAAGAATACTATACATAATCCGGGACACCAATCAATACGTCTAGTGGGGTGCACCTTCAAAACGCAGATGAGCACCGCCTAATGCCAAGTACTATACATGTGCATCGAATGAAAAAATGCTATTAGTTCGGTTTGATTGGATATATGGACTACAGAGTGGTCTCCACTACTATTTCATACCACACGACGCAAACAAGTCGAGTGATCACTACTCCTCATCAGCAGCAGGTGCCCCAGGAACCCCGGTAGGCTTCTTTTTCTTCTTGGTTTCAATCTGCTCAACCTTCACGTCTTTCATGCCCTTCTCCTCTAGCAGCTTGTGGATGTACGCCTCAGCTTCGTCGGCCACGTCACCTTGAATCACAATCTCTTCTTTTTTCTCGACATTTTTCGAGACCGAGCAGCCTGTGGCGAACTTCGAAGCAAAGGTCTTGGCCAGCTTCTTCATGTCAATCTCAAAGACCTCCAGCCCGGATATCGCAACCATGCATTTACGCTTCGTACGCGCTTCTCTTCTGATAATCACCTTCGACGAAAGCTTTTTCGCCAATTCTCTCTGTTCGCGATTCTCTTGTTTGGACTGGAGCCTCAGCAAATCTTTTTCAAGTTTCTCTTCACGCTCACCGCCAATGGAGCTAGCTGCTAGCTTTTCGGCCGCCTCGTCTGTCTCGACGTCTCCATATACCTGCTCAAATATGTCCCGATGATTTTCTGCTAGCCAGACTTTACAGCGTTTTAGTTTGCCTGTAAATTCGCAATATTCGGGAGGATAGGAGCAAACTCCACAGTATACGACGTCTCTCAGCGACATAGTTGTTTAAAGATGACTCAAAAGTGATCGATCTACTGAGTATTTCTTAAATTTTAACATGAAAAGATGAAAGGTGTGCTATGATGGTTTAAAGCTATTTCGTTAGATTGTCACTTTACACGCGTTGTATAAGAAAAGGTGCTAACTTCTTGATGAAGAGAGCGTACAATCGTTTGTAAAACGGTATATTCGGGACTCCAGCGCGATCCTAGAACTGCAAGACAATACAAACTGTGCTTTCATGAGCGACAGTGTAGGTAGGAAAAAATCACAGCGCTGGGTGAGCGCTTCGAAGGGCAATTATGACGGGCAGGAATGGGACAGCAGTGAAGATGAAATAGAGGATTACGAAGGCCACGACTCAGGGGTAGAGCGCCATGGGACTGTCACAAAACTGCCACCGCTACCGAAGCTGGGATACGGTAAAAGTTCAGAAGAAACAGTTCAAGCGAGGGACGAAACGGCTGAAAAAGCGCATGTCCCAAATGTGAACACTGTAGATAGGCTTGCCTTGCAAGAAAATAGTGGGAATTTTTCTGAGGAGAGCAATCGTCATTCGCAGATGTCTGGTTCAGTTTGTTCCGGATTTGGTTACTCCGAATCCGACGAGGAATGTCGCGTGTCTAAGACTGGGTATTTTGCGAGCATGATCGATGGACCAGGAAATTCAAACAGTGGCACTGACATATCTGAAAACGAAGGAGATCAAAGTCTAACTACTGATTCTAGTGAAGCTGACCAAAAGCGCTTGTCAGATTTGAAGAAAAATCAAACTAATCCGATGGAGGCTCATACAATTGCAGAAACACATAACCATTCGGGGGCGGAACAGTCTCAGGACTCGCTGCAAGGTCCTTTAAAAATCGACAAGATACGGGGCTCATCGCTGGAATCCGCAAAGAAGGAGCTGATTGAGCCACTACCTGAAACCTCTTCGAAGGCCGAAAAGGCTTTGGACTCACAAAATAAATACCCTGAGCCCGAGGAGACGGAGGACTCACCGCGTCGCTCTTCTGAAATAGGAAAGGAACAAGTTGAGCGTCGGCTCCCTTATCGCTTCGAGGAAGAGTCAAAATACATTCCGCAAATTTCCTCAAGATCAAGCAGTTTACCGCCAGCGGAATCAGAGGTCAATGAAGATAACTCCAATCTAACGGGGCAGCACCATTCCTTTGCATCCAGATCAGACCCTCATCGCTCCAAAAGATCATCTACAGAGGGACCAAAGTACACAGAAGGTGAAGTACAACAAAAACAAGAACAAGAACAAGAACAAGAACAAGAACAATTACAAGAACAAGAACAAGAACAATTACAAGAACAAGAACAAGAACAAGGACAAGGACAAGAACAAGAACAAGAACAAGAACAAGAACAAAAAGAAGAAGAAGCTATCACACGGTCGCAAATAATTCCCAAAGAATTCGTGTCAAACTCCACGGGAACGCGGCAGTCGTCTTCAAGTGTTGACGCAAACCCAGAGCCAATACGACGTCAAAAGCCCGATTTTATTTCGTCATCCGATGAATACGAAGATAATGCATCATTTTTCAATCAGTACGGCAACAATAGTATTCAATCGTCACCTGCAGATAACGCAGACAGATCCCCGTCAAAAGGGGAAGATTGGTCTCCAGTCAAATTAAGGCAGACATCGAAAACAAGATTGAAGCACTCAGAGGAGAATCTTAACCAGACAGGTGATGATGACAATCAAAGTTTCAAGTTTAAAAACCGCATGAGAGATTCGATACTGGATAGCTCAGATGATGATATCGATGATGACAGAAGTGTCTTGAGAGTGCCAAAAACTGGCTACTATGCACAAATTCTGAAAGAAACTTCTCAATCTGGAACTCACGACAAAAATGATGATACTGATACTGATACCGATGACATAAGTTCGGGCATGGGATCCATAACAAAGAGTTTTGGCAAATTCGATCAAAACTCATATAGAGATACAGACCATGAATCCAACGGTGTTGTAGAGACTTCTGATAGCGAAACGGCAACCATCAATGGTTCTGCAAACAGCGATCAATCAGTCAAAGCTGGGGAAGGATCGAGGAATCTCAATTCAAGACAGTCAATCAACTTGGGCAAATGGCAGCCAAATACTGATGCAACAAGGGCGGACTTCCTGGGCGAGGCGAGCCCACAAGTTCCAGAAGGATACGTCATAGACAGAGATGGGCAGATGGTTAACCTCAACCCAGCAAGTATAAGGGACACTCGCACCTTCTCGACTTATTCGGAAGCTGAAAGTGCATGGAATGCTTTCCCCACTTCTTCAAATATTACTGGCAATGAAGACCTGGACACCATCTATGACACCAAGACAATCTACGACAATCAGACAATTTACAATGTGCCTGGGATTGCAACAAATACTGATTCATTGCCTCCCCTGCCTCATGATATTACAGGTATGAATTCGAGCCAAGCTAACACAATTACAGATTCGGACTCAATCCTGAAGCATTTGAATGGAGAGAAAAGACAGCACTCTTCTAACTTGAGAGAGAATTTTTCGATTCACGCCCCTGGTTCTAAAGAAATCGCTGAGCTGAATAGCAAAGCAGTTCCCCAAATGAGTTTAGATGCTTTGCTGCAAGCGAAGAATAAACTCCACTACGCAAAGATAAAAGAGTTAGAGAACTTCTCAAGTGAATTGAAGGACTACGATAGTGGGCTACCAACTTGGATTAATTACGCATTGACAAACTCAACTTCTGATAAGGATTACATTTTCCAAGATTACAAAATTAGCAAACATGTCAAAGACGCATATGCTCAAGCTGATGAACTGAGTAAAAAAGTTTCAATGACCATCACTGTGTCCAATGTGAATCAAAATGTATCCCATTTGAAGCGGAAGGTCTTCTCTCAATCCATGAAGGAGAAATCTAAGGGACTTTTTTCGTCAATTGGTGGGAAGAAAAAAGCTTAGACATCAAATTTTTGAAGTTGACAGTTTGAAAGGTGTTGTTCAAATTGGCGTGGTTTATCTATTTAAATGCTGTAGGTAATGTAATGTACGGTGAAATATTAGGTTTTAAGTTCAGGAAGATATATTTGCAAATCTTCTCTCACCGTGTTTCCTTAGCTCCTTGTCCATTAGCTCTCTTATACGATGCGCACCGGCGATTCCGATCGCCAGCACACTTTCCATTCTGTCGAGAGGAATTTTGTCTTCCACCAAAAGAAGCGATAGCTTTTCTGTTTTTCCCATAACGCCCAACGTAACGCTGCTCATCGCACTTTCTTCTACTGTGTTGAGATCCAGCAGTGGCGTTGTATCGTAGAGACCAATAGAGACACCGCTAATGTAATCATACATAGCAATCCCTGCGTCGATTAGCGCCAGCGTTATCCCGTTGATTAAACTTCCCATGAGCCCACCATCTTGTTGTAGAACATGAATTTGAATGTCTATCTGGGTTCGCGGGTATAGATGCAGCAGTAGGTTTTTCTCGAACGTGCGCACAAGTGCAGTTTGCATTTCAAGTACTCTTCTTTCGTTCCTATGGCTTGATTTGCTTCTTTCGACTTTAGAAAACCTCGTGATGTTGACAGCCACTGAGAGCGTCGCCTTGTTGACATTAGTTTGCGAGCGCAATTTGGGCTCCTGGGGGCCGTTCACTAGTGTTATGATTTTGTTGTTTCCTTGTTCCAGATATGATGAGCCGTCGGAAGCATTAGCATGAGTATTGATCGAGCAATCCAGCCGGCGAAGCTCATTCCAACGACGACCATCTACCCTTAGTCCTTCAGGCGAGTAAATTTCCAACCTTGACATGTTTTAATAACTTCTTTGATAGTTTGAGAGCTTCAATGAGAGCTTCAATTAAAGCTTTCCAACCATGTTTGATAAATGTATTTTTTTTTTGAAAAATCTCAGCACTATTAGATGGATGTTCAAATTATCTGAAGAAATCAGAGAAATATTGGAAAAACAAGTAGTATACCTTCGCTTGGCTTTTTACTCACTTTAACTTCTTCTCATTAGTGTCAGAGGCTCTTTGATTCAAATCCTGGATAAATTGGCCCAAAATCCATACATTAGTGAGGAAGAACAACACACTTGAAAAGAAGAGCCCAGGGAAAAACACATTCCGACCCTGGAACTCCAGTAAGTAGCCTTGACTTAACCACAATGCTTGGGTAACAATCCAAGCTGTAGCCATGAGCAATCCTCTGGTCTTTGAAATCTTGGTCCTTGCTAGGTAGAAGGGCAAGAAGATGAGGTACCAGATGAAGTATTGTGACGTACAGACTTTGTTGAATGTAACAAATGCATATGTCTGAACAAAGAGGACGCTGAGCAAATTCTGAAAGCTCTGGTCACGCAGCACTAGCGGGACGACGCCCATTGTAACAATAGCTTGGGGCAAGAAAGCCAGTTGAGCACCAAGGGACTTCGCAGAAAATGCAGACTCGAAATATAACAGCATGTGGAAAATCGAGAAATTGTGTCTGTGATCTGTTCGGTACATGTGGTAAAAATACGCGTGCTCTAGAAATTCATAGCCATAGATGCGGTACATCCAATAACAACTCGATCCCAAGGACACCATTGTAGCTGCTCCAATCTTCAGAAGGGCACTAATGCCGCCCTTTTGCTGAAAGAAAATGTAAGTGGCCACAGGGGCGCTGTAAATGATTGGGTATATCTTCAAGTGAATTGCAATTCCCAGTATCAGGCCCGAGACGACGTACCATTTGTGGCGTAGACAGTACAATGAAAAAAGGATGAAGAAGCATAGAACGCTTTCCGCGTTCCCTCGTGTGCTAATTGTGATGACCATGAAATTGAGGAGCCATAATGATCCCAATGCGAGTCTCTTACGCTTGCTGCGGGTTTCCAAAAGAGCCAGAATTAGTATACCAGTAAGTAAGTCAAATAGAACAAATATCATTTTTCCAAAATGGACCCAATTCAGCTGATGGTTTGGCACCAGCAACCAGCTAAGAAGCGGCGTATACCGATAAGTATCTCTCAAATACGGAGAAAGCCCTTCAAAAACGTAATTGGCAGCATCGTGGAACACAAAGTAGTCGACATCTGTGTATTTTACATCAAAATGTTCATCTTGGTATATGCCATACAAGAAGAACCCAATTCTTAGCGCCAGAGCTAGCACAAACAGCCCAGCAGTCTCTAGGTCGAGCATTTTGATATATTGTGGCTTACCGGGTTCAGTAACAAACAAATTGACTCGCTAGCAAGGCTTTGAGAGGCACAAATCTTTGGGTGAAAACTGAAAGGGTTCTTTATTTTGACGCTTTAAAGTCAAATCATTAAAGCCTTAAAAGTTAAGTTTCAGCATAAAAACCTGAAGCTCATATTCTGAGCTGACTGAGCTGACTTTATCAAGTTGATATGGCTGGACGTCAACTGAGCTATGAAGAGTTGGTACACCATATTGTAAGCGGAACACCAGTTCCTAATATTTTGCATGTCCCTAATGTGACTCTAGACGCATCCCTTAGTAAAGAATCAAACATACGGCCGCGAGCTAAACCATGGGAAAAGCCTTGCACAGCAAGCATACCAGAAAAAGCTTCCAAAGAATCTTCCGCTGCAGTATTTCCAGATCAGGAGTACGTTCAGCGATCACAGAGCTTAGAGAGCCTTTCAAAATACTATTCAATGGAGACTGAGTTTGAGCAGCAAATGCAGCGGTTCTTGAGCGAAAACGAGGGCACAAATAGTAGCACAGTCTCGCGACAGCTGTGATTGCTTTGGTAACATTTGATATTCTGGTGGCTATAGGAGCATATGTGCGTATATACTATATATATTCTAAATCTCGGCATTTTGGGAACCTTATAAGTTCCATCCTTCATACTCGCATCTAAAACATTGAAACCGTAAAATTCATCCTTCAGCTTTATGTCTCTATAACCTCTACCCTATTTTGCCCCGCTTACTCTCAAAACAAATTCGAAAGATGCTAATGCAGCAGCGTTTGCTGGGAAACTTCTCAAGAAGCTGGGAACAAACCCTTTGAAGAATCCATGGATACCTTTGGCACGCCACAGATCAGCGACAGCGAGTCTCCAAGATCTGAAACTACCATCATACTTGTCACTGCACAGCACCACTTGTTTAATTACGTCACTTGGATAAGCTGTGGTCCAAAATCCAAAGGACGCACTGAAACCCCCCGCCCAGAAATTGATGGCTGTATCTGTCATATTCGTATTTTTCTTAAACCACCGAGTGAGCAATTCATAAGATCCCCACCAGTACACGAAGTGTGTCCTAAATATCAGAGTGCTTACCAAACCTTTGTAAAGTCCTCTTATCCCATCTGCAGTATACACCTTCCGGATAACATCTATTGGCCCTCTATACTTCGCGGTCTTGGCGTCATACTGCACCTGCAGCTTGGCTTTCGCTAGTTCAACCGGCGCAGCAATGAAACTTACTGACCATCCAGCCATAACACCACTCAAAATACATCCGGATAAAGGAAGCTTCTCTTCGTTGGTGTACACGTATTTTTTGAGCAGCATACGATAGTTATGAAGGCACCCCAGCATTACTGAGTCCATCATAATCCACCCTACTAAGGGCGGAGTGAAACCGAGGTAGAAACCACGGATTCCCTGCTGCCTCATAGTTTGGTAGACACAATCCAGAGGTCCTTTAAATCTCCCAGTATCCTGGGACGTTTGCAATCTCACCTTGATTGTGTCAAATGGATGTCCCACTGCATTTTTGACAACACCAGAAAACATACCGGAGACAAAGCCCATCAGCCGAGAGTATGTCTCGTGCGACACTGTAGCATTTTTGTCGACGGTACCACTCATTAGGAGCTGGCTTGCTGTTTCTAGTTCTTGAGCTTCAAACTTAATTTTTAAGTATGATCTCTATAGTAGTACTTCGAGCTCATCGCTGAAATTTTTCACGCCTAGTCAGTGTGAAAACCGGAAAGCTCTGTGTATCACACACCCTCACTTTTCAGGGTTCTTTGATTTACCGCTACATTCCTTAGGAACCAATTGGTTTCGAAACGACACCTTCGGGCTCTCTGGCTCTTATAGCTTGCTTTAACGAAGTCTTCGGCATTTCTCGAAATGTTTTAAATATTCATCTCTGATATGCAAATATATATCACAGCGTCAGTAAATATCAGCTGGGGTATCTGATATAAGCCGTCTCAAACGGTAATTGAAACTGACTTGTTGGAGTACTAGACATTAGATTTGCTCAGTAAGGCTAAATCTATCTCTAAAGGTCAACAATTGATACTAAGTTCACCTCAAACGTTTTCTCAATATCTTAATATGGACCTGGAATCTAAAAACTCAACTTTGGACGATGAACTCCAGAAATTCACGTTCCTGTTGGAGCGCTATCTGGTAACTCTGGTGAACGTGGCCTACTACGTGTATTTTCACAAGCAGAACGAGCCAAGCGTTCTGGAGAAACAAGCAGCTTTCAAAGAAGTTCGAGACAAGATTTATGTGCTGGCAGTGGAGACAGAGAAAGTGGGGCGTACCTCATGGCCAGATCTTGGTCGAGTTGGACTGAAATCACTTATGTCTCGGCACTTTCTGCAAGAGCTATGCTACTGCTCGCACAAAGTGAGTGACGAGCTTGAACATATCATTGAAAACAAGGTGCAGGATCACGACAACCACGAAACCCCAATGTCGCTAGAAACAATACCCAACCACTTGCGGAACTGTATACTCGGGTTCGTGCAGATATTCCATTTTATCAAAAAGCTGCCGGTCCAGCAGCAGTACCGGATCTCAGCGCTACAATTGCAGATACTTGAACGAGAACTTAAAAACGACTTGGTGAAACCGTGGACCCGCCAGGTCGAGACCTTGCATTCCACAATTGGCTGGGTGCTTCTGTCAGACACGCATTTCCGCGAAAAGCTAAATCAGTACAAATTGGAGAGAAAAGATCAGTCAGATCAGCCTGCTTTTAACTTGTGGCTCCGTGAGGAAATCCGTAAGTAGGAGCGCATGCTAGCAGCTGTTGAAGATGTGACACCAATAGCAAGTCATAACACCACTCACTTTTTTGTTCAATTATGAAGCTACAAATTGGGCAGAAATCGCATAATAATCCTTGAGTAGCCACGGGGACATCTCGCTATACTATTAGCATTGATTGAGTCCTTCGCGTACGGATTGGATGGACAAATCTGCGGTGTTCCAACTTTAGCACTTTTGGGTTCGGTCATAAATCACGGAGGATCTTGGAATTTCTCACTTCTGACAACCAGAACTGCAGATCCCAGGCGATGTCAGAACTACTACAAGAGATCCAAAAGAAGCTGGTCTTCCCCATCGACTTTGCCAGTCAGCGCAAAACAGATCAATTGGTGTTTAGGACCCTCTTTTTCGGGACGGTAACGGCCAGTTTGATCGGTTTTTTCACCCAGTCGTTGTTAAACTTGATAATATGCTTTGGTGTAACTTTCGCGCTGTGTCTGGTTGCAGTACTTCCTAGCTATCATGCATACAACAAGCAGCGTCCTGAATGGGTCAAGCCCAAGATTCGGGCCTAGTATAGGACACACGGATATTTTAGCCAAGAAATGTGCGGTGAACACATTCTCGCACAGCAAGCAAGCTGCGCAAGCATACTACATATATAATGAAACCCAAATACTTTACAAATCTGGTAGACTAGAGGCTACTGAATCAGACATTCTGGTGACGCTATCCAACGCGTTGGGTTGATAATGTCGGTTACCGCAAAGCATCTCGTGACAATACGTCAGCATTGTTGGTAAAGGACTCGAATATAAAAGAATTGGAAGTACAAGGGTCTATCTACCTCGAGAATTGATATCGAGAGCGCGACATAGCTAACAAACTAAGGTTCAAGAATGATTGCTATGAGTGACGAGACCGAAGCATTATATTTAGGCTTTGACTTATCAACACAGCAACTTAAATGTTTGGTGATCGACCAAAACCTAAAGCTGCTGCACTCCGAAACGATTGGATTTGACAAAGATCTATGCCACTACAAGACCGAAAAGGGCGTTTATTTCCGCGATGATGGTACTGCAGAGTGTCCTGTAGCCATGTGGCTGGAGGCTATCGATATGGTTTTCGATAGAATGAGCAAGCAAAAGCATATCGACTTAAGTCTCGTGAAGGCAATGAGTGGTTCATGCCAGCAACATGGGTCCGTTTATTGGACAAAGGAAGGTCCAAAGCTCTTGAAAAAGCTTGATGTGAAGGAGACTTTGAAGAACCAGCTGTCACCTCAAGCATTCTCGAGAAATGTAGCTCCAAACTGGCAAGACCACAGTACTGGTGAGGAGTGTCAAAAATTCGAAGATAGCTGTGGAGGGGCCGCGCAACTGGCCAACATTACAGGCTCCCGCGCTCATCACAGATTTACTGGCCCTCAAATGATGAAAATTTCGAAAAAGGAGCCCGAGACATATGCCAAGACGGACAAGATTTCTCTTGTGTCATCCTTTTTAGCGTCAATACTCGCTGGTGAATATACGCCTCTGGAGGAAGCCGATGCTTGTGGAATGAATCTTTACGATGTTGAGAAGCGCGACTATGATGAGGCTCTCCTGCAGAATGTGGATCAAGACACCAAGCGACTCAGGAAAAAGTTGGGTGGTAATCCGATACCTTCTGAACATCCTAAGCCAGTGGGCACATTATCCTCTTATTTTGTTGAGAAGTATGGATTGAATCCTAGCTGTCAAATATTTCCTTTCACGGGCGATAACTTAGCGACCATCTGCTCATTACCATTGAAGCCAAACGACGTTCTAGTGTCGCTCGGTACAAGCACAACAATTCTGCTTGTAACAGATCAGTACCATCCTTCTCCCAATTATCATTTGTTCCTGCATCCAACCATCCCGCATCATTACATGGGCATGATTTGTTATTGCAACGGTGCCCTGGCTAGGGAAAGCATACGCGACCAGCTAAGTAATAGCCACGACTTAGAGCTTTTCAATAAGGCGGTTAATTCCAGTATGCTCAACAACGATAATGAAATCGCTTGTTATTTTCCGTTGGGGGAAATTGTGCCTAACGTGCCAAGTTCGTACCGTAGGGCAACATTTTCAAAGTCTGCAGATGGAATGGGTGTTCAACTGAAGTTGAAGGATGCGTTTGATAGCGTCGAACATGATGCGAAAAACATTGTAGAGTCACAAGCACTGAGCTGCCGCGTCAGGATTAGTCCACTTCTGTCCAAAGACTGTGCCGATGTGAATTGCAAGATGGGCGATTCTGTGGTACACTTCGACTGTGACAACTTCCCCCTTTCTGAATACACCAAGCGCCCAAGAAGAGCATTCTTTGTGGGAGGAGCGTCCAAAAATGATGCCATTGTCAACCGCTTCGCACAGATCTTGGGCGCTACCGAGGGTAACTATAGACTGGAGACCCCAAACTCATGTGCCCTGGGTGGCTGCTACCGGGCTTTGTGGTCACATCTCTATTACGAGGGTGTGACATCCGCTGCATTTGACCAATTCTTAAACAAAGCGTTCAGATGGGAGACAGATGTTCAGTCGCTGGGAGTGACAGATGAAAAGAGCTGGCTGCACTACAACAGCAAAATACATGCATTGAGTGAACTCGAGAAGACTTTATAGTTTATGAGGTACATATCAGCAATAGACGGCCAAGATATCGATGATGATTGCACCATGACCTTTCATTTTGAACTTTGAGATTATTTTCACAGTATCGCAGACTTCTAACAAAAGAGACAGGCATATCGATGCGTTGCACAATTCAAGATAAGGCAGTATTCTAAAGGCTAGCTTGACGCTCTAAAATCGGCTTACTTGAGTGCAACAACAGCTTTACTCTTCATTATATGCGAAGGACGAATCGCTGCATCGACTTTTCGTAGTGCACGATTGGATTTCTAGTTCCAAAGAAAAGAGCTGGGCGGCTAAATATTGGAAACTAAGTTGCACAGTAATTTAACCTCGAATCACGGCCTTTTGCTGACAGAAAAGCGTTGGATCTTCTTCAAACTGTGTAGCAAGCGACTGGTAGCTAGAGATGAATATACAAGGAACTTTTGGCGTTCAAGTACTATTATGTTTTTAATTTGTGAGAGAATTTTTATCAGGATTGCATAGCGTTGGTAAGTACTTCTGCTGGTTCAGCAATCCCGGGTCCTTCCTGTAATTAGAGGAGATGATCTGGTCCCAAGTTTTTGGCAAAAAACCTGGGTCTTGAGCTCGAAGATATTGTCGAGCACTGAAATCGAAGAGCCTCCGTGAATGCAGCATTTATATTTGCCACGCAATCTCTTTTATGGTAATTAGAAAATTGCTGCATCGTTTGCGAATAACGCAAGCATGCACAGGTGAGGTTGTCTCACACTGAAGTCGTCTTTCCGAATGACGTTAAAATAAGATTTGGGCTTCGGGTTTCGAGAATTAGAAACAGCGATTTGAAATTGCAGAAAGGATTTTTATGATCCCAATGAGTGCTACTCTTTACTACTCGAGAACGAATTTGGGATGCAGCTGTAATGAATGCTTCCCCTTTGAAGACTATCTCCGAGGATTGAACAACTGAACAAGCTGCACTCTTGTTATTTTGTTTTCGGAAAGTTGAATATAAGCGGTTACCGAGAGAGACAGCATCATAGTTACTTCAAGTATTCGGCCCACAATGTGTTACATCAGTTTCGTACATTTACAAGAGTTGTATTGCCGCGTTGGTATTGGTCGATAAGAGACAATCAGATGTTTGCACACTACCTGCAAGTCCAGGTGATAAATTAACAGCTTAGAGATCTCCAGCTGGTCTCGAATTCTGGTAACTGATGGAAGGGCGAAAGCTCTATCCTCTGCAATGGCTTCCTTTCAATTGTTTCTCTATGAGTATTAACAATTCTCCATATTTCGCCTTTTGGTCAAATATTATTGATAAAAAAATAATGTGCTGAACAATAGGAAAAATACAAGATAGCTTGCTTAAACGACACAGAAAGGTGTTCTGATCCGATTTGATTAGCTCGAACACCCTGCAATGATTTTTCGTGGTACTTTGAAAGGCCATGTCGGTAGACTGGCCTATGTTAGAAGTCTACATGTTGGAAACACTCTTTACAAGGCTCAAGTATTCGCGATGCCTGCTATGTCCCCCACGATGGAGAAGGGTGGAGTTGTGGAATGGAAGTTCAAGGTTGGTGACTCCTTCTCCGCTGGCGATGTCCTCCTCGAAGTCGAGACTGACAAATCTCAGATCGACGTTGAGGCGCAAGATGATGGAAAATTGGCAAAGATTGTTGTCGACAATGGGGCTAAGGATGTTAATGTCGGCGAAGTTATAGCATATCTAGCCGATCCTGAGGATGACTTGGCAACTCTGGAGTTTCCAAAGCAGGACGCACCAAAGCAAGCTGCGAAAGAGGCCCCTAAGCAGGACGCACCTAAACAGGAAAAACCTAAATCAGCTCCAAAAGAAGGATCCAACAAACAGACAACCAATCCTTCTAAGGATGTGAAAGCCTCTGGCAAAGCAGACCCATCACAGGTTCTGCTGCCCTCCGTGCAGATCTTACTGCACGAAAATGGCATTTCCAATGAAGATGCGCTGAGTAAGATCGCTGCCTCAGGTCCCAAAGGTAGAATTTTGAAGGGTGACGTTCTTTCATTTTTGGGGAAAGTTCCACAAGACTCGGTAAGTAAAGTCACTGATTTTATACAAAAGTTTGAGAAACTCGATCTATCCAATATCGAATTGAGAAAACCTGAACCTAAACAGAAGCCTCAGGATGCTGGGCTCTCTAAGCCACAACCCGTTGTCTTGTCTGAACAACTGCACTTAAAGACTGCGCCTAATGTCACTATTGAACAATTCACCAACTCACTTAAGTCTTACGTCAATGAGGCAAAGTACTTATCTCATGAGCAGCCAGTTGAAAATTCCTTCTCGGACCATTACGATGCTCTTTTTGAAGAAATTATCACACCAGAGCCATTAGAACCAAGATTCCAAGTCTCGTACGATGTCGTTCCACTGTCTGGAGGACAATTGAATGGCCAACAACACGACGATATTTTTGACCTCCTTGCTGGATCGTCCAACACTTCGGTCAAATTACAGTCTACAACTCCGCCATCTAATGAGTTCCTGGTTAACTTAAATGTGAGTGTAAGTGACAAATTCGATGATTCCAAAATCAAGGCTCAAAGATTTGTGGAATACATCAAAGATTTAGAGATATCTCCAGAGAACTAATTAAATTGTATATTCTATAACGTAAATGTCTTTCATTTGGAAAGAGTGAGTGGTTCTCACAAATCTGAAGAGTTTAAATTTATTCTATTCACCATGTATAAAGTCATCTTCGCAAACTCAGAATGTAAAGAATCCGTTGTCTTCCAAAAACAACACCACTTTTTGCACAACATGCAATATAGTTTCGTCAACGCTACCGAGCTTAATGTCGGCATCGTCTTCTACGCCAACTACGAAAACATTAGTTTCGGATTGAGCATTTTCATACTCTGTGGCGATTAAACCAGTGCCACTTCTGATGAAGTCTGGGACCAGTTCCAGAACGTTGGAGTCGTTGTTGTGCTCCAAAACCTTGTAGTGTCTGCCACCACCGAATTGCAAGAAGGTGGACAGCAGAGCAATTGCTAGTTGTTTGTTGTTAGTCAAAGCATTGGACAGAACAATGGCGAAGCCCTGCTTTGGTCTTGGTGCGTTGGATTCTCTCAAAATCTTGACGACCTCAGGGTAAGAAAACCATTCTGGAATTGGGCCGCCGGATCTCAAACGATTCCTCAACTCGGTACCACTGATGTTTAGAGTAGCGGTTGTTGAAAGATCAATCTGATCAATTGGAGCGTAGCGGTCTTCTTCGGGCAAGTAAGTCACCATTCTGAAAGGCACCACCTCAATATCAAGCTCGTTCTTGTAGGATTCCACTAGTTCTTGAGCATCGTAGGCCCCGTAGAAATCAACGCCTGCGGAGTTCTTACCAGGTCCAGCATGGTCTCTACCAACAATGAAATGAGTAGCACCATAGTTCTTTCTGATAATCGCGTGCCACACGGCTTCACGATCACCACCCATACGCATGGCCAAAGGTAGAAGCGATAGTTCAGCCATACCGTTAGGGTATCTTTTAATGATCTCTTGATAGACGCGCACACGAGTGTGATGATCAATGTCACCAGGCTTGGTTAGACCAACAACTGGGTGAATCAATACTTTTGCGTTTTGTTCTCTAGCAGCTCTCACGGTAAGTTCTCTGTGAGCTCTGTGCATTGGGTTACGAGTTTGGAAAGCCACAATACGGTCCCATTGCTTAGATTCGAATTCTAATCTCAACTGAGCTGGAGTTTTACGAAGACCTGGGTAGTCGTAGTGTACAGGATATTGGATGGCTTGAATTTCACCACCAACGTAGTATTCACCAGCGATGGTGTCCAAGTACTTGACAGCAGGATGCTCGGGGTCGCCTCTGAACACTTGTTTCGCTTCGACTTTCTTGTCTGGCTTGTACACATCGGTAACGGTTAAGATGGCAACTGGGATCTCGTTGTCTTGCAACAAAGTAACTCTAGTCTGAGGCTTGAGCTGGGAAGCAAATTTTTCATCAACATCCAAGGTGATAGGCATCGTCCAGACCAACCCATTGGTCAATCTTGAGTTGTGAACTACGCTTTCGTAGTCCTTTTGGTTGAGGAAACCGGACAGAGGGGAAAACCCACCGTTCTGGATCAACTCCAAATCACAGATTTGTCTGCCGGTCAAAGCCCATTTCACTGAGGACTCGGAAGCTTCTTTCTGCAATTGAGTCTTGATGGAAGCATCGCGAGCGATCAAATCTTTTAATTCACCACCGTGTGGAGCAGGCATTGCGAATAGTTAACGAGTTAGAAACTGTAAAAAGCTAGTGATCAGTTGTAGAACAACGCAGGTTACATGTCGTTCGAGACCATGAAGCTTTACGAATATATACCTGGACCAGGAATGACAAACGAAAGCGATTCTCGAGCGTTGTGGCTGGCTTTGGGAAACTAATCAAATCATGTGCTCTTAGCTTACAGCGATGGGAACAAAACGAAGTTCACGTGCAAAGAGCACGAATTGAATAGCCATAGGAGCCAGGATAGCCTGTGGGGTTAGAGGGACGTGTTGAGCACTGACGGCTTGCATACGTACGAGCCTGTTTGGGTGTTCCACTGGAAATATAACGTTGAGATTTCGTGCAGGCACAACACTCTCGGGTGTGCGACTTTGGCGGGTTGTCAGATATCTACAAAAGTGTGTTTCGAATGAAGAGCTTTGGAAAACCCAAATGGCAGTCGTGGTTCGCCGTAGTTGCCCGTCGTAGCTGCATAAAAATCGAAGAGCTACGACGACTAAGATCTGAAAATTGCTGTGCGGCCTTTTGAGTTGATCGGAATGTTTTCGGTAGATTCTGTACAGTTTACTTGATGCTAGTTTAGCGGTGTGATGTTTTCTAATCCATTGATCTTGAAGTTATACCCGGTGTCGTCTTGTTTCTCGTGCAAGCAATGGTGTCAAAATGGTATAAAGTGATAATCTTAGATGAGAAAGATGTTGACAGCTGGCGCAAGGATGCAAGATTTTTTTGTTCAAGGCTGGGATCGATGAGCAAGCTTTTTGTTTGTGGGTCTGACGATACTCGTAGTCCTGTGGGTAGTGATAGCGCAGTCAAATGCTACTGTGCAGAAAGGTTTAAGTTTTCATAGAATATTCCAAGTTTGGCGCTGCTCGCAGTGCAATGGGTAGATATAACGGTGTCGTTGCCACTGTGCTGCTGGTAAAAGCGAGTTCGATAATGATTTGAGCGGAAAAGTCGGTAGAAGGGGCAGGAATTGAGTGGATTCTTAGTCAAAGCCGTGTAATGACAGAATAGTACGACGTGATGTAAATGGGGGACCTAAGATTCGATACACCCAAAGAGAGTGAGTGGGGCTTGACAGTAGGTCCAGGTTGTGCTGATACACCTGTGCCTCGACCACTCCTTCTTCCCATCGCCATTCCCACCTTAGACTTGTGATGATACCAACATTGGTTTTCTTTGAGAACAAAACATTGACCTTGTCCTCGAAAACCCGCGGAGAGACATTTATGCTTTGGCTTACTCAATCAATGACGGAACAGCTGAACAAAAACAGTTGCAGACATTCTTAGGAATGTCACGTCGTTGAGTGGCTTGTCCAATGATTTGAGTCCGGCGAAGCGTAATTGGGCTTTCCGATGAGTTATGGAGCCCAAAGCCTCGCGCCACGAATGCCACTATGGTACAAAGTGACACTGCGCGGTCCCCAAGTACAGACAGGAAGCCAAGGACGAGTAAAATGTCCCGCATTTTCCGAGACGATAAACGACACACACACACGCACGTTCGAGCTGGATGTATTACCCCCTTCGCAAGCACGTATATAAATCCTATAGATACGGGAATTTGAAACATCTGGCAACTACTCCCAGGAGTACTCATGCGATCTGCAGAAAGAAATCGTAGACGTGTTGAAAGCGCCAGCCATCCAAGATAAACACATGCTCCACTATGTGCCAACCTGCCAGACCCGGCCATTCAACTGTGTAACGTACTAGCTGTCCTGCTACTACCGGTGCACACGTGATCGGGCAGGCTTGAAACACACACACATCCCCCTCCCCTTTTTTTTTCCTGGGAAAAGTTGCACATTCCGTACGAACCTCGTTTTTGTGGTTGGTCCGCTCACTGTCGACGAGCTTCCTGACGCGCGTCAGCTTCCGCGCGTCAGCTTCCGTCGGCTTCCTCCGGCTTCCGTCAGCAGCGTGCAGCTTCTACAGTCTGCCGCCGACTTCCAACGTTTAAAATATTTTTTCGTCCAATCACATTTTGAATCACATTGACTCAACTTTTCACACACACACAGGCTCGCACCTATCTCACACACACCACTGATGGCATGGGAATCAAGTCAGGACCTTCAGGTTTCCCACGCGCGCTGTAAAAAACCACGTTTGACGGCGGTGGTTGACTAAGACCACTAGCAATGACGAGGATGATCCAAGAATTTTCGTTGTCGTTCTATGGTGAAGGCTGGGAGCCGGGCCTCAAAAGCTATAAAAGGGCTTGCGGCATGTAAGGAAGAATATTTGGAACTTAGGCTTATCTTGTTCTTTTCTGGTTCTTCCTTCTCCAGAATAAACTCCATATTCATCAAACATATCAAACACAATGGTTAAGGTTGCTATTAACGGATTCGGTAGAATCGGTAGACTCGTCATGAGAATTGCTTTGGCTAGAAAGGACGTCGAAGTCGTTGCTGTCAACGACCCTTTCATCTCTGTCGACTACGCTGCTTACATGTTCAAGTACGACTCCACCCACGGTAGATACGCTGGTGAAGTTTCCCACGAAGGTAACAACTTGATCGTCGACGGTCAAAAGATCGCCATCTTCCAAGAGAGAGACCCAGCTCAATTGCCATGGGGTAAGCTCGCCATCGACATCGCCATCGACTCCACCGGTGTCTTCAAGGAATTGGACACCGCCCAAAAGCACATCGATGCTGGTGCCAAGAAGTGTGTTATCACCGCTCCATCCTCCACCGCCCCAATGTTCGTCATGGGTGTCAACGAGAAGGAATACAAGGGTGAAAACATTGTTTCCAACGCCTCGTGCACCACCAACTGTTTGGCTCCATTGGCCAAGGTTATCAACGACAACTTCGGAATCGAGGAAGGTTTGATGACCACTGTCCACTCTTTGACCGCCACCCAGAAGACCGTTGACGGTCCATCCCAAAAGGACTGGAGAGGTGGTAGAACCGCTTCCGGTAACATCATCCCATCCTCCACCGGTGCCGCCAAGGCCGTCGGTAAGGTTTTGCCTGTCTTGCAAGGTAAGTTGACCGGTATGGCTTTCAGAGTCCCAACCGTCGACGTTTCCGTTGTTGACTTGACCGTTAAGTTGGCCAAGGAAACCACCTACGACGAGATCAAGGCTGCCGTCAAGAAGGCTTCCGAAGGCGAAATGAAGGGTGTTTTGGGATACACTGAAGAAGACGTTGTCTCCTCTGACTTCTTGGGTGACGCTCACTCTTCCATCTTCGACGCTTCTGCCGGTATTCAATTGTCTCCAAAGTTCGTCAAGTTGGTTTCCTGGTACGACAACGAGTACGGTTACTCTACCAGAGTTGTCGACTTGGTTCAACACGTTGCCAAGAACTAAGTTTCAGGCCACGCATAGAGTTATGAATTCTTTTAAATGTGTAATGCAACTAAGTAAAACGTTTTAATGATTTGTCATTGAAGATCTAACCAAGCTGGAGCTTGGTTTTGCTCTAGTACTGCCTTGCGCTGTTGGTACCATATATTGTTCTTGCCTATAAAAACTTCCCATTAAACATTCCTAAATCCTGCAGTATCCTGCCCCGTAGCTCACGCTCGAATCCATCACACTGGTGACCTGGCTGGATTGTGAGTACCCAGGCCACTCAAATTGAGCACCGCCAGGTGTTTTACTCAACGCGCACAACATAACACTGATGGCCTTTTCACCGCAAATTGTATTTCCAGTGACTTCCAGATAATGTTTCCACAACTCGTACTTATCGTGAGGTTCTTCTTGAGCTAGAATCGACATGGCATATCGATCTAGAATTTCGATACTTTTCCAAACTGGCACCTGATGGTGGGACAGCTTGCTTCTTGCGGTAAGAGACTCAATTTCGGTATCTTCAGCCAAGGCCTCTTGAACTTCGTTCTTGTCGCCCACGTACCCGGTGAAGTTGAACCGCCTACCCCAATGACAAAAGTCTGAGCTCAAGATAAACGCATTTTCCGGATCCTTCAGGTACTTGCTCAGGGTTTTGCCCAGATGGTAGTCCTTGAGCGCCGAATTATGAGATATCATAATGGGGACGACTTTAATGCTTTGAGGGCTTATTTTGCGCAGTTTCAACGTAGCGTAGAGCATCGGGAATTGCATCTCCAACGAATGCTCATCACCATCGGTCTCAGGCTCCATATAATCGAAACATTCATCTTGAATCAGAGTCTCCACCGCCTCAGTGTCGACCTTTAAAGGGCCCATTGGTGTTTCTAGCAGCTCGAAACCTGTCACCAAACCTTTATTCTTGAAGTAGACGTGGTGGGACGGTCCCAGAACGAAAACTCGTTTGACGCCAGTTAAGTCCAAAGCTCCATACGCTTTGCCCATGGTGCTTCCACAAAATGAATAGCCGGCATGCGGAGACACGATGATTCGTGCTCCACTCACCACTGCATTTGTTCCTAAAAATTGCTGCAGCTGTGTAGACAGCTTGCCTGGGTTTGAGCTATACCAGGACCCACTGTGAGAAGCTGGACGTGTGCTCATCTGCGGGTAGATACTAACGTTGACAATTGATACTTGTTACGCACGCTTTCGCAGCTGTTCAATAGTTTTTCTGATGTCCCTTAAACTTTTTAGCCTTATATTCTATATACAATTTCAAGTAGCAGCGTCCAAGGCTTTACTTCCTTAAAATGGATGGATCAAAGCTTACGACCCAGAAAGGAAACCAGGTATATGACTATTATAAAGTAAGACACCAAGATTGGAATCCAAGAAACAGCGAAGCGTGTTAGAGGTGTTCAGATATATGCCATTAATTTGAAGCGAAATTGCTCATTCTTCGTCGGACTCTTCCTCTTCGGAATCCGAACCGTTCTCCAGAGCCTTGTTTTCCAAAAGTGCTTGCAATTCGGCATCTTCGGTAGCAGTGACCGCCTTGGGAGGCATTGTGATGTTGCAGAAACCGTCATGCGCGGTGATGACCTCGGTAATCTTCTCGATGGCCTTGTCTAGCAGCTCTACACCTTGCTGTTTTTCCAGGGCTTGAGTGGTCAGCACATACAAAGGAGCGGCGACCAGTTTGACTTTGATTTGCATTTGTTCCGTGGACAAGTCCTCGGCGGCCTGTAGCGCAGCCTTGATGGCGTCTATGCCCTCGTAGCTGAAGCACGACACCTCGATGTCGGCTCTGATCTTGACGGCCTGAGGCGTCAATCTGCGAGAAATGTAGAGACGCAACTCATCGAAAATCTCCGGACTAGGGGGTTCTAGACCTTCAAACACGGTATCGTCCACGATCGACAACTTGAATGCATCGTAGGCATGGCCGTACTTTCGACTCAAAGGCCACGCCACAGACTTGTAGAGGTCTTCCAAGGGGAACGAGAACTTCTCGGCACAGTGTCTGACGATGGAGTGCACAGCCTTGGATTTCTGGTAGCGCTCTTCGCACTTAATGATGTCCTCAGATGATACACGACGCTTGGACAAGTCGATGTAGCCCTTTTCCTTGTCCACACGCAACACGACCACCACTTCGTTTCTGCCCACACGAATCAATTTTTGGATCGATCTGATACGTCTTCTCGACAGTTCGCTCAGCAGAACCATACCCTCGATGTTGTCGTATTCTAACAATTTGACGTACGCACCCATTTCGGCGATTTGCTGTACGTTGACCATCACCACATCGTCCACTTCGGGGTACTTGTTTTCGTAATAACGGCAATTGGATGTCGACATCTTGAGTGCTTAGTGTTTATTTGAGAGTGCACAGATCAGAATTCGTCGATTAAAGTGAAGAGTCTCAAAAAACGTCCTCTTACAGCTTCCAAAATGCTCGATTTTACTACTGATTTCACTTTGTCAAATACATTCATTTTCATATAGCGAGCTCATTAAAAAAAATTTTCATTTGTATGGAAGAGACGCTGTAAATCTCAAGCTTTGATATACACGTGATAAATGGTAAGCGACACATAATGAGAAGCGGCTGAGCTAGCATTACTTGGTAGAGTTCACCGGTGTATTTAGTTTGCTTCAGCTTTTAATTGGAGTTAAGTACGTCTGCTCATTTGGACCTAGGTTGGCGACTTTTGGAATTTCTTCTGGAAATCATTGGCCTTATTTAAAAATTCCAGCTCGCGTATGCTCTTCTTCAACTGGGTACGTGGTCTTGTTGAACATGGAGATGATGCTTGGTTTCTGACATGCCGCTGCTAAATTTTCGGTATCCGCTATATGTCAATGTTCCCTGCGCGACTTGTCGTGGGAGAAAATAAGCGGCCCTGACCTGGAAATGCCCTTAAGTAAAAATAAACCCTTGACATCACACTTGTTGTTACTCGGCTATGACAATGCTATTTCTGAGTCTATAGACCCGTGTCCTTGGTAAGCTTCCACACACAAGTTTACCATTAAAATGTCCTTGCTTTAGCGAGCTTGGAAAAGGTACTTTTGTTGGCCTCTTTAATAGCTACCAAAATTAGCTTCATCATTTCGACTGACCAAACGGCATATGGCATCTTCCTTTTTCGCCAGCTTCTCTTCCTATCACTTCGTGTCTGGCAAGTGTGCTCTGTCCATATGTAGTCCTCCTCGCAAAATACTCCATAACAATAGCCTGCATTTAAATGACCTTGCAACCTTTTTAATCTGCTCATATGGAAGTAGAGGCGACCCTTTTTAACAACAGAACCAAACATAGGTCTCATTGAAAAAGTCTTGGTTTGTCGATTGATTGCGGTTCTGAGGCTTTCTACAACTGGCGATAACGCTGTGCTTTTCGATGTGACTCACTTCACGAAGACCTATCGTTTTCTACCGCTAAGTCAGACTTTCATGCCTGGTCAAATTACGCTCGGTAAGGCCACCAATACTTTCCTACTGACGAAAGCTAATATTCTCGGGGGTGACAGCGACGGAAAAACATTACTTGCTCTGGGCCACGAGTCGATTCAATTAAACATATCTCGTGAAATCTAATGGGTTGCTCTGCGTCTCTTTCTCTCCGTAGTATTTCAGCATTCTGTCATTGATCCCTCGCAACTGCTTCGCTCGTCTTGCCCAGGTCGTGCAAACGTCGGGTGCACTACTGGCAAACCAACTTGCTGCAAATATGTCTGCTATGATTGATACTTGGCGAACATATTTGGCCAAGTTCCCCCCGCCTAAAATTTTGAAATGAGAGGATGAGAAAAATGCAGGGACACCCGATTTTCTGTACATACGCACCTTAAATTGTTCGTTGGGCTTTGAGCCCAACGGCTTGATCACAATGTTGATGAAATTGAATTGACTTCTGATCATATTGAAATCAAAACCTGGCAGACCAGATTCGTCATAGAAAATGCTCACGAAATCGTTGCCCACATGCCTTTTCTTCAGGGAAAACTGTGGATCTTCAGGATTGTTTGGCATTAGTGTTATCGTGTGAAAAACAACTTGCGTTCTTTCATCTCTCCAAACTAATGCAAATTGTCCATCAATTTCGGGTTCGAGCCCCCCTGTGTAGACTTTGTGTGAATTGTCGAGCTTGATTGTCTGGCCGAGTCGAGACAAAAATGCTGTGTACTGACGAGATCCACTAGTGTTCAATAATACTTCAGTTTCGCAGCACTGTTGGGGACCCATGTAAATTAGGCCAATCTTGTGGAAATCAGTAAATGGGATCTTATCAAATAATTGTATCGATTTCGAAACTGCACTGTCTTCTGGCACCTTCAGAGGTATTTTCTCAAACGAGCCCAAGCGCATCAATGTGTAGCTAGCCGTATAGAAGGGTTTTTCCTCATTCGCGATAATGGCAGAAGCAGTCTGACCTTCAGATATAGAAAAAACGTCATAGGTCCTAGGGGCTTCCGTATGATCCATTTGCATTTTGAAAACATTAACGCCCGAGCAGCTTCTGATAGTTACCGTGGAGTCTCCTGAGCATCTTTCAGTCTCAATACTTACGATCTTGTCGGGCAATAGCCATTTCCCAAAACTATACTTCTCATCATTTCCGTGTGGCCTGTCATCTAGTGCTCTGAAAATAGAGGCAGAATCATTTTGCGACGTAGTGAAACGCGAAACGACATCGAGGTACGCATGAGCATCGAAGTCGTGCTCCTCTGCGTCAGCATCAATGGCTATCAAGTTTCTCACAACAAATGGAGCCAGCTCTGTTCTGTTTGATGAATTCATTCGCAAGAACCAGCTCGGTATGACAGCGTATGACAAGGTAAGAAAAAAGTGTGCAATTGAAGGACTTATCGTAAATGACTGAGTTGAGGGCGAGAAATCAGCGTCTTGTTCTGCATACGAAATTTGTTGAATGACGTTTCTAATTTGTGCTCTCTTTTTCAAATCCCTGGCACTCTGTATCAGTTTGAAAGCAATTGCAAATACACGCTTAAACTCGTCCAATGTCAAGTGTGATATTATCAAGGGAGAATGCGGAAGTGCTAATAGAAACTCCAAAATGGCTGGGGTGCTAAAAGAGCTTGTGATTCGGGTCTGAAGTTGTACAAGGATCGGGGTCAAGTATCTCTTCACAGAAGACGAAATTTCTTGAGAACAAACAGTCAGTAGATGAAGAGAAGGGACTAGTGTCTTTTCTGTACCCTGTATTGCGTGAAGTAATGAATCAACGATGTCATCTGCAAATATTTTTGGTGCGCGACTATGGTATCCCAGTAAAGGTGAAAGACTTCGAATGTAAGCCACTTGCAGGTCGTCTGTATGAAGGCTTTTTGGCGTCTTCAGTTTAAGACTGGCACCTTGTCTTAGGTGGCGGCAAATGATCTCTCGGTACTTCGCCACTAAGTCGGTAATTGACCTTAGGGGTATTAAACTTGCAAACTGGGGGCACATGTATGTTAAAAGGTATGAGTAGATTTCCCAGTCAAATGGTTTTTCAAGAGCAGCAATTCCTAGAGATATCCATAGCCGAATATCAATATTTGAGGAATTTAAAACAGGCTCATCACTTCTGAACTTCGGAAGAGTAAAATTACCGCTGTATGCATTGTCTTGAGCTTCCCGTAGATAAGGGACATTTTCAGGGAATGACCATTTAGATTTTTCGCAAGACGGATTAAACTTGTGATTTTTCCCTAGCGCGGTTGTAATCCCCTCGACTTCAGTCGTCTCCACCATAACAACTTGATCTGAACCACGACAGTAAATTTTTGTTAATACCTTGGCTGATGTCAAAAATAAACCGACATGTTCCATTCTATGAGCATATTGAACAATCTCTATCAGCAGCCGGTAAAAAGACGCAAACATTTTTTCCGGTTTATACGCCAAACTCCATACTGAAAGTTTTGTAACGGCGTCAGCAAGCATCAAGAGCTTGTAATCAGGCCACGTAGAACTTGCTTGAGAACTGAGGCCCATTGGAATTAGACTCGAGCGCCTTCTATTAGGGCTTCTCGTAAACGCAATAATTATCGACTCCTCATTAATGGTATTTACAACATCGGAAGATAGCACTTTGCAACTCTCAAAGTAAAGATCCGAAAGCCTGGCAACAACAAGCTCATCTTTTTCTGCTTTCAGCTTGGAGATAAGTCGTCGGAGCAATTTTACAAATGACTCCTTGGCATATTGGTCTTGAGATGTGATTTCTTTTAGTATTTTCACCAAGAGATCAAGGGACTCACAGCGAACATCAGATGAGCCTTCGATCTCAAAAAAATTTGAAATTATTGCAATGGGTAGCAAGTCCCATGTCACAGCTATCGTCAAGTTTTGACTCAAATACTGAAATAGTTGGGAAGTTAATTTCGAGTCCAGATATTTTGAGAATGTGAAGAGAAAAGGAAATATTTCGGCACCACCCCTGAGTCCCAACAAATCGTGTTTGCCAGCAAACAACAGTTTCAATACTCGCTCAAAAATTAGTTTTACAAGCTCCTTATTTGAGCTGCTCAGCTCACTTTTGAGGGCTTGTGACAGCATATTGAAAGCGGTAGGTTTTGGATCGGCATCGGGGTGCAGCCAAAAGGCGGGAAAGTCACGCATGTGTACTAGAAACTCATCAGACTTGGTAATTCGCAGAAGAATGGTCAAAAAAAATTCTTGAGGCTCTACTGAACTTGCTTTTCTCTCGCACTGCCCTTCGGCTAGAAAATAAATGAGAGATGTGCCAATACTTTCAGCAGAAATGTTGCTTTGACGCCATAGAGGCTCGAACTCTTTAGTCACCAAAAGATCTGTAAGCACGTTCACAACGCCGGTAGAATTCTTGTTTGCGGTCGTTGGGACCAAAAGTAGCTTCGCCAGCTTGCTGGCATTGCATCCCTGGAAGATAACATTTAAAATGGGAGATACTTGACTGCTTAGGTTTGCTGTGATACTTTGTAATCCAGTAAGTAAAGAAATTGTGCCTTGCAAAACCTCTTCAGAATCTGAAGGTGATTTTCCAAGTTCCATGACCAAAACGTACAGCGAAATTCTTCGTACTTCATCGGAGTCCCTTCTATGTGCTGCCCTCAGAAGCTGAAGCATAAAGTTATCATTGATAGGGAGTCCGTTTTCAGCACATCTTGAAACAAACTCGAGAGTTCTTAGCAATGCTTCTGAGGAAAATGCCGGCTCATCATCTGTTGCTATGTTTGTCAGCGTGTTCTCTAGAAACTGATCTATCCCCAAAACGTCGTCTTCCGGCTTTATCAGTGTGTCAATTTTTTTACCATAGTCGGTCAAGGTGCTAAGACAGGCCACGAAAAGATTGAGTTCCGGCTCAATTATGTAACATTTCTCGCTGTTCACAGCTAAATTATCCATAAGATTGTAGTAGAAGGCTAGCCTTAGTGACTCGCTCATACTGGGCATCAGTCTCTCTAAACAGACGTGCAAAAGCTTCAAAGCAGCTCGCCTCGCATTTGGAGGAGCCGCTGTTCTGATGAGGTCGTTAGCACCATTCCATACATTCAACACCGTCTCACTTGAAAGGGTCTTAACCAGGTCCGAAAGTTCACGCGTAGCCTGTACGCGAGTTTCTAATGCATTTGATTGATCTGAAAGTAGGTCAATGAGTCTCTGTGCCTGTAGTGGTGCTGAGAGTCGATCTTCTTGATCCTTGATTGTAACGCTTTGTGCGTGCCCAAATGTAACCGCCAAAGTCCGAAAAAGGTCTTGTTTTAGTCCTCGTGAAGTATACTTGTAAAGCAATGGCGGTACCATGCCTCAGGTGTGTTTCCTTTAGTTTTTCAGTCACCTATTCAGTTGGAATGTTTTGCTTAAAATGTCGATTATTTCTAACGAAAGACTAAGGGAAAGAGGACAATTTTATTTATCAGCCAGTCCTGAAAGAGCTGATCAGTAGACTTGTGCGGTGGTTAGAAGCTCAAATGAGCATTATTATTAGAGGAAGGAGATTTATTGGCTTTAACATTTGAGGACAGAATTTATTTTATTTATCTCACTAAAGCAGTACGCTGGGTAAGAATTCTAAATGACCTTGACAAAATTGAATGAAATGGAATTTTATACGCTTTTATTTACAATCGATCTGTATTCAGCTTAGACCAAGCGACATGAATTTTATTCGAGGGGCGAATGGCTGGAAACGGCTAATTCTAGGAGTCCAAATTTAAAGAAGTTTATTTTGTCGTCGTGCAGCAGCCGCCGGCAGGGGAAGGCTAGCTCAAAAAGTTCATAGATCTGGTGGTTCAAGCTCGGGACAGACTTCGTTTTCCGATCCTTCAAACGACTGAAGGTAAATTGTTTGTATACTTAGGCTTAGGTTGGGTTTTCTGAAATTTGATACTGGGATCAAAACATAAAATAATACATCATCCTTGAAAAGTCAAAACACTGGCATTCTACACAGCTAGGACAGTCGTTGTTATGGTACTGAATAAAACCGTTCTTGTATCCGATTTACGAGAACCCCTGGACCATTGCATAACGAGATCAGAATGGGGGCGATGACGGTAATCAAGAGCTATGACATGATAGTACAAAGTGATGTCATCAAAGATGGGTCGACGGATTTTCCGGTGCATCATAGATAGAAGTGTCTGGTAGTTGACTGGGACCCATCGGTATTTTCCCGCCCTTTGTTGTAGTAGCAAACACACAATATAGAAGCACACAATAGCACGGCAATCCCCCTCGCCTGATAATTCTACGCTCAACCTACCGATCTACAACCCCTCGCCGTCGTCTTCTGAGCGGCAACTTCTACGCTCAATCAGTTTCACAGAAACGCCGGCCAGTCGCTCCACTCGATGATCAACAACATCGCAGAGAGTACTCCAGAGAGACAGCCCGCATAACTGCCACGTAGCAGGAGCTACGAGTTAGACTGCTCAGCCCACTACTGTCCTGTTGTGCAAACGTGTAGCAAGGCTCAAATGCGCATGTTCTTCTATTCCGTCCGTCATTTCAAATAATACCCACCACACACTAACCCTATTTCTTCCGGTGCTGATGAGCATATATGTATTGTGCTGGTCTTGTATATCCGTTGCCATTACTGATCTGGAAGCGCCGCAAGCTGGAAACAAATGAGAAACAAAATTAGGAATCTAAAAATGGCCCATAGTGGGAAGAAACGCCTCTGGAAGAGAAGCTACGTCACAACACTGTGCCGGGCTCTCGTTGCTCCCGAGACGTGACAAGGGCTCTATAAATAGCGCCATATCACATCGTTCGCAAATTACAGTCCATCAACAGTCACCAAGCCCTCAAGCACTCAAGAAAGCCCTCAAGCACTCAACCAAGCGCTCAAGCACTCAACCAAGCGCTCATCTAACACTCTACAGCCAACCCAACTAACAACAGCCCCTCCCACACTCACTCGCGCCTTACCCACTCCCGCTCCCCGCCACGTGCCGCCACACCCCCATCTATACCCTGCGTTCTCCCTCTTCTTTCAGAAATGAAGCGGTGGCTCAATGGTAGAGCTTTCGACTCCAATTAAATCTTGGTTTACTAGGAAATCAGTTGCAATCGAAGGGTTGCAGGTTCAATTCCTGTCCGTCTCATTTTTTTGCACTTTCTCCAACCACAAAAGTCAAAAATAGCCCAAATTCGCAGCCTCCTTCCTAAAGAGGAAATAGTTTCCCGTTCCGGCGTCCGCGGATAACATTACCCGATCCGGAAAAGGCTGAACTTTTCTCCTGCGTGCTGACGTGATCTCGAATTCTCGAAAAAATTTGGATTTTCCCGGTAAAATTAAATTTGACACAGATTTGACAGCCAAGATCTATAATTAAAAATAACCAGCATCGCGTAGTAGTAACAACTCCGTCACGAATTGGAAACCAATACCAAAATAACCGTTATTTGGCAGGTGCGAAAAATTTCGTGGTGAGGCGAGGCGCACGCGCGGATGGCTCACATATAAAAGTAGGCAGAGCACGGATGTTGGAATCAGAAAGTAGTTTGGGTCGATATACACATCGCTTTGGTCTTGCAGTAGTTTTGTTCACAGCCAATCCATCCATTTACGTATCGAAAACATGGTTTTACTCAAAAGTGTTCTAGTGGCAGTTGGCGCCGCTTCCGCGTTGGCACAATCGAGCGCGTCGGCTTCGGCGTCGGCTTCGGCGTCGGGAAGCAGCTGTAACCCACTAAAGACGTCTGGGTGTGCGCCAGACACCGCGCTGGGATCGTCGTTCGCAGAGTCGTTCAACTCGCAGCCTCAGCATTTCAGCAAGCCGGACGCGGCCACGGGCCAGATCAACTACACCGACAGCGGGATGTCCATGACCATCAGCAAACGGTACGACAACCCCAGCCTCAAATCGGACTTCTACCTGATGTTCGGGAAAATCGAGGTCGAGTTCAAGGCGGCCCCAGGCCAAGGTATCGTGTCGTCGTTCTATCTGCAGAGTGACGACCTCGACGAGATCGACCTGGAGTGGACCGGCGGCGACGTGACTCAATTCCAGTCCAACTACTTTTCCAAGGGAAATACCACGACTTTCGACAGAGGCGAGTTCCACGGCGTCGACGCTCCACAGGACACATTCCACAACTACACCATCGACTGGGCCATGGACAAGACCGTGTGGTCTCTCGACGGATCCGCCGTTAGAACTTTGGCAAACGACTCCAGCCAGGGCTACCCACAGTCTCCCATGTACCTGATGATGGGATGCTGGGCAGGCGGAGACTCCAGCAACGCTGCCGGCACCATCGAATGGGCTGGCGGTCTCACCGATTACACAAAGGCTCCATTCAGCATGTACGTGAAGCGCGTCATCGTCACCGACTACTCCTCGGGCGACCAGTACTCGTACAACGGCCAAGATGGAACTTGGGAATCCATCGAAGCCAAAAACGGTGAAGTTTACGGGAGATACGAAAAGGCTCAATCGGAATTTTCCGCTTTGGCTGAAGGCCAGACCGTGAGTTCCAGTTCCACTTCCAGCGCAACCTCCTCTGCCAGCTCCTCTGCCAGCTCGAGTTCTAGTGCAAGCTCTTCTGCCAGTGCCAGTTCATCTGCCAGTGCCTCAGCGAGCGCCTCGAAATCCTCCGCTAGTTCTTCATCTTCCAGCTCCACCAGCTCCGCCGAGTCTTCCACTGCTTCATCTTCCAGCTCCACCAGCTCCGCTGAGTCCTCCACGGCTTCGTCTCTAAGCTCATCGGCTCTATCCAGCTCGAACACTGCGTCAACAATTTCGAGCTCTGCTGCTAGCTCTAGTTCTGTTTCTGAGCTAAGCTCTGCCACTACTTCAATCTCAGGCTCAGCTGTTTCTACCTCCAACACTATTTCATCGAGATCTTCCACTTTGGCTACCTCGACAATCTCATCCTCTTCCTCCAGCAGCTCTTCCTCTCATTCTGTTCTCATTAATTCCAGCAACGCCGTCCAATCTTTACAGATGAGACTATCTCCTCTCTTGGCGGCATTGGCTTTCCTCATCTAAAATATTGCATATAACTTTGTACACTAGCGTCAAACAAAAGATCGATGTGACCGACTAATCTTCACTTTCATCAATTCAGCTTGACTCACTTATCATGAATAGCGTTCCCAACTTAGTTGTTGGGATGTGAGAGTGATGATAGCGCCAAATTCTATAATGCCAAAAGAGTACAAAGTGATATGACTATAATGAGAGCGCCAAATGATAGCTGGTAGCTCCAGAGATAGAATCAGAGACCAAAAAAACATGACATACGATTCAGACCTTACTCATTACTTATGGATAGTTAAAGAAACAAAATGACCGATATAACTGCGTCCCATTTGCACCCATCATTTTTCTACTTCAGATCTCACGATTTTGTCGAATCCGCTTTTTTGTTCCGGTAGCCAGGCACTAATATCATTCTTGAAAAAGCGACGGTGAGATATTCACAAGTGTCATCTACGAATTAGCTTACCCAACTAATGGTGAAAGCATCAAATACAAGAATAAGCAAGCTTTCTATTGCTGATGCGATCTCGCTTCACTCTCAATTAGCCTCCAAGACCCTGCAGCTGGCATAGGTTATTCACATCATTCATATCAACAGAACACTAACACACCTTCAACTTAAATATCAATGTTAATCCACTTGCGTTGAGTCCTTTCGTGATTGAAATCAAAAAAAGGATAGCATTTACTGCTGAGTTCAGGAAAGAACACCGCAAGCTATGGGCCGCAACTGGCCGGATTCGATGCGTGAGACATATTAGGTCAAAATTCTAACAAAAAAATAAGCCCTGTAGGGGGCTCGAACCCCTAACCTTATGATTAAGAGTCATACGCGCTACCGATTGCGCCAACAAGGCTCTTATTTGATGAAAAAATAGAAAGATCAGCACCAACATAGCAAAAGTTGCAAACCAGCTGACCGTTTCTATACTATTATTGAAAATTTTGGTCATCGAATGCTTATTCTGCTCATCTCGTCCAACATAAATTCGAAAGAGACTAAACATCACTAGTCAAGTGGGCACAGGATGAAGATCGATACTGTACGAGATGCTTTCTTAAGCGATTACGAGGTTCTGAAGTTTATGACGCATCTGGAGCGTAGACATGATTGGAGTCTGGACCAAGATGAAGACATGAGCGGAGGTAATAAGAAGCGGAAGAGAAGACCCTATAATCACCCAGAACTACAGGCAATCACCAAAGACACGATACGATATCTTTCGGAGGGCAAAGGAGCTGTAGAAGCGGACGAGTCGGAAAATGGTGGCAAGAAAGAAAGTAAGTCCCCACTTACGAAGCTCAACGACAATAAATTCGCAGAATTAATGCGCCAACTCAATCAGTTTGACCTGTTCAAGGCTGAAAAACTGCAAATTGTCAACCAGCTACCAACGAACTTGGTACATCTCTACGCCATTGTCGAAGAGTGTGATACGCGTTTCTCAGAAGAACAGACCGGTCAAATCATCGAGGCGGTGCAAGGCGTTTATTGAGAACAATAGTTGCATTTAAGGCGCGACAGCTCTTACCCTTGAGTTCCATGTAAACTAGTGGCGGCCAGCGTCCCGTCGAGACTGAGAAGGCTCTTTCATGCTAATATGATGGTGTTTACTGAGCATGACAAGTCATGTGCGAAGTCCTAGGTTCATGGTCATCATCCTTATTTCAAATGCCTATCAAGCATGGCACTTCCTATACAAAGTCTCAATCAGTCGAAGTCTCGTTTCTCATTAGCATCATACTCGAAAACAAATCGGATTATTCTTAGGTCTAGCATAGTTTACTATAAAGAAAGGATTAATGTAGAATTCCTAATATTCCCTGGCAGACGTTCGCATGTGTTTAATATTGCAGTCATCACCAAGGTGCAAAGCGAGGCTTGCAACTGTTGTGCGGTCTATCGCAAAAGAAAAGCCGATTCTATTCTCCGAGATGTGGCCTTTTTGACAGACTTGGCAAAACGCGGAACAACTATAGTCTAGTCTGTTACTCAAAAGTTTGAATTGTACATTTCGCTCGTGGACTCCCGGTCTTGGTAAGATTGTGATATTATCGCGTGATGATTTGAAAAGAAGCTCACTCTTAGGATACAGTTTTTTCATTTCAGCGCTGACGCCGGAGAAAATTACGACGAAGTCGAAAAGATGCATGATCATGCATAAACATGCATATACAGAGTAACAAATATCTTGGCAACGAAATTTTGAAGCGGAGCTGATGATCTGATACAGGAACTTACTGATTTATTTGAACTCATGTCTTTCTGCTTGACAATATCGTGCCCTCCCTTCCGTTTCTGTCGCTTATTCCATATGTTTCCATTAAAGTTGAACTGATTTTTATGGAAAGCTATTCCCATAGCACATGAAGCAAGAAAGTTAGAAAAGGAAGGTCCAGAGCTGTTGAACATTACGTTGTGCCTTCTCGGGGTCTTTATTTTTTTTCAGTTTGACAGAGCGTCGAATTTAACTTGTAAGTGTCGATAGAGACTCCCGAAGAAAATGGGCAAAACAAGAACAATTCAAGAGTAGGGTGCCAGGGTGATAGAGTTTGCTAGCTAGAGAGCTTAACCTGAGAGTTAGGACGAATTCTCATTCTTTGTATCCAAGTCACAAACACTATCGTACATGGGTACTACACGTGGAAATTATTGCACACGGTAATTTAAAAAATATAGGCCTGGTATAAAAGGATGATTAGTTCATGTTCATGTAGAATAAACGGTTGTCATTTTGATTTTTCGATTTTAGTTAACAACCTGTCTCTCAGTCTCTCATTATCTACTGTCTTGTTAAGTGCTTTGAAGCCATTACTTGGGACTAAGTAGATAAGCCGTGTTCAGTAACCAAATTTTCCTAGTCTGCAGCAGACCGTCTTTTTCAGATGAAATTCGGAGAACAGCTGAATCGTTCTCTTATCAGAGAGTACAGCTATTACTATATCTGCTATGATGACTTGAAAACCGAGTTAGAGGAGAACCTGGAAGGAAACCGTGGTTCGTGGAGCGAAAAACTAGAAACTCAATTTTTGGAATCTCTAGAAGTTGAACTGGACAAAGTCTACACTTTTTGCAAAGTTAAGCACAACGAGGTGGTCAGACGGGTGAAGGAGGCCCAAGAGCAAGTTCAAACTACGGTCCGGTCGTTAGACTCCAATGTACCCCCATCGGAACTGGATTTCGAAATCTTGGAGGAAGAATTATCCGACATCATTGCTGATGTCCATGATCTAGCCAAATTCTCCCGCTTGAACTATACCGGGTTTCAAAAAATTATAAAGAAGCACGACAAAAAGACTAAGTTTGTACTAAGACCTATATTTCAGGTTCGTTTAAACTCCAAGCCTTTCTTCAAAGAGAATTACGATGACTTGGTGGTCAAAATCTCACAGCTGTATGACGTAGTCAGGACCAGAGGTAATCCTATCCGTGGTGACTCTTCCTCCGGCGGCAAACAACAAAATTTTGTTAGACAAACTACCAAGTATTGGGTCCATCCAGACAATATTACTGAGCTGAAGCTTATTATTTTGAAGCATTTGCCCGTTCTAGTTTTCAATTCCAACAAAGAATTTGAACAGGAAGACTCGGCTATTACTTCCATATATTACGATAACGAGGACCTAGATCTTTATTACGGCCGTCTCAAGAAGGACGAAGGTGCAGAGGCCCATCGTTTGAGATGGTACGGCGGTATGGGTTCCGACACCATTTTTGTGGAAAGAAAAACCCACAGAGAGGATTGGACTGGTGAAAAGTCTGTCAAGGCTAGATTTGCTCTGAAAGAGCGTTACATCAATGACTTTCTACACGGTAAGTATACTGTGGAGCAAGCATTTCATAAAATGCGCAAAGAAGGTAAAAAAAGTTTGAAAGAAATCGAGAATTTGGAGGCTCTAGCTGTCGAAGTCCAGTACACTATGCTCAAAAAGAAGTTGAGACCTGTTGTGCGATCATTTTACAACAGAACTGCCTTCCAATTGCCTGGCGATGCTCGTGTTCGTATCTCATTGGATACAGAACTAACAATGGTGAGAGAAGATAATTTTGACGGTCAAAATAGAACTAACAATAATTGGAGAAGAATGGATATCGGTGTTGATTGGCCATTCAAACAATTGCCTGATAAAGATGTCTGCAGATTTCCCTACGCGGTCCTTGAGGTTAAATTACAGACACAATTGGGCCAAGAGCCTCCAGGATGGGTTCGCGAGCTTGTGGGTTCTCATTTGGTCGAGCCAGTTCCTAAGTTCTCTAAGTTCATTCACGGTGTAGCTTCATTGTTGGGTGACAAGACGGAATCTATACCGTTCTGGTTGCCACAAATGGATGTCGACATCAGGAAACCCGCCATTCCTACCCACATCAACATTAGCAGACCAGGAAGAAGTGATAACGAAAGTGAAGACGACATTTACACTAATGAATCTCATCCCGCTGGGAATTTATTGGACGCCGAAGAAAGTGTTGGATATGGTGCTATTGGAGATAGCCCTCAAAACGGCACTGACAATGGAAGAGCACCAAATGCTAGACATGGATCCGACGCTTACAAAGCCTCTACAAATACGGTTGTCAATGCTTTTCACAAATTTTCTGCCGCTATTGATCACTATCTTCATGGTGATCAGATTACCAAAGTTCCGGAAGGCACGGTATTTGACACCGAGGTACGCGCCCCGGCAGGTAAGACTTTATGTGTCCCTGTCCGTGTGGAACCTAAAGTGTATTTTGCTACCGAGAGAACATTTTTGTCGTGGATGTCAATTGGTCTGACGCTGAATGCGGTCGCAATTTCGATGCTTAACTACGGTACAGGGGCCACCATGGTGGCCTCAGTAGGATTCTTTTGCACAGCACTGGTAACTATTGTGTACAATCTCTTCGTGTATTGCAAGAGAGTTGTCAACATCCGTATGAAGCGCGCGATCGATTACCATGACAAAGTAGGCCCCCCATTGGTTTGCGGATTCTTGATTCTGTCTACCATGTTCAGCTTTTACTGCAAATGGGCCTCGTAGTGTCCAGAGAATTAGACGAACATTACTCAACAAGTGTTTTTTAGACCACATAATGCCAAACTAACCCTAGACTGTATAATCAAGTAATCAACTAATCGCGTTCTGCCAATAAGTAATTGCCACACACTAGCGCGCAGGTAGCAAAAGCGGTTTAGGTAAAATCCGAGTTGGATCTTTCTAGCGATTCATCGGATAATTGATATACTCGACATTGATTGATGATATCATGTATCACGAAACATCTTGGTCCCATCTAAACAAAAACACCAAATCATCATATCACACATGTCAGTGTATAAAAACAGTGTGGAATCCCTTTCAAAAGGATTTACGCAATCATTCAGGGGCGAGATGTCTACTTGGGAAGCCCCAGTGACTAACTTTGAGGTCATTGAGGGCGAAAAAGAGAACATAGTGCCACTGCGTTCTGGAAGATCTGCAACGGCACTTTCTAAATCAATTTCTGACAAAACAGAGCTTACAAGTGGAAGTCGAATACCTGAAAAAAGACTGGAGTTTGAAAAGCGACTGCTACAAGAACTTGAGGATCTAGATGACCCGCTGGAGCTGTTTCTGGAGTATATCACATGGATAAATGTGGCCTATCCACAGGGGGGACAATCCAAGCAAAGTGGGATGTTGGAAACCCTGGAGCGGTGTCTCATGTACTTCCGGGACTTTGATACGTATAAAAATGACCCCAGATACCTGAAGATGTGGATGTGGTATATTGAGCTTTTTGCAGGATCACAAAATGAAAAGCAGAGCCTCTACGTTTATATGACGAGAAAACAAATTGGCTCAAGGCTTTCACTTTTTTATGAGAGTCTGGCGGACTTCTTGAAGCTGCAGTCGGATTATTCGCAAGCTAGAGACGTCTTACAAAAAGGAATCGAAAACGGTGCAAGACCCCTTGCAAGACTGCGAAAAACTGTGCAGAACTTTGATGATTTAATGGATACCCTGAATATAAAGGTAAAAAACGTGGCGGCTGGAGAAAGTGTGCTAGATCAGAGTATCAACCATATGATTTTGGGAAAAGAAAAGGGTCGAATACAAGAATCGTCCCCAGCTTCGCTTCCTTCACAATCTTCTTTAAAACGAATGATTTTCAGAGACGTAAAAAAAGAGGATCAGTTCGAAACTCTGCGAAAAGATGGTTGGGATAGTTTAGATTCCAAAGTACATCGAAATAAGGAAAACGAACACACTATACATCCTCTGGAACCTGGTACAAACGTTGGTGTACTTAGACAAGAAGAAGCTTCCAAGATGTCTGTGAGTAGACTACCGATTTTCAAGGATTCTATTGGTAGAAGTGGACCCATCTATAAGATTTTGGAAATCTCCGGTAGGAAAGCTGAAAAGATCGATTGTAATTTTGATCTCATATACCCAAGCAAAGATCAAGAATTTTGCATTGAAGAGCTTCTCGCAATTTCTCGAAACATATATCACAGAAAAAGACCTAGAAAACGACATCAGGAGACGGAAAATAACGATCAACTGCTCCAGCAAAATCCCCCCAAGAAATCAAAGCAGATTCTACGAGAAGTCACTTCCATTGCGACAACTTCGCCGTCTTCTCGCGAAAGCCCCACTTCTTCGCAGAAAGAAAATGCGCAGGAGTTTAGAAAAGTTGAACGGACTTCGATTTTGCCTTTGAAAGATGATCCATCCGAACAAAATGGTGCTTACAAGAAAAGTACTCCCAGCTCACCGACAGTAACTTTCTTCTCCAAAGATGCCATAAATGAAGTTTATTCGATGTTTAATCAAAACTACACAGCACCTCAAGAAGTGATAGACAATGATGACACCACAAGTAAATTTGCCATGTTTGAAAACTTTACTCAGGACTTTACTCGTAAAACGATGGATGACTTAACAGAGGTGAAAACGACAAATGAGTCAGAACAGACAGAGAAGACTCCTCGCAAGAATCAAGACTTGGATTCCGATCAAAGGGCACCAAAGGAATCTATGACCCCATCTTACAAGAGCAAACTTCAAGAATATATGACACCAATCCAGGAAAGAACAGAAGCCAATTTCAATATCAAATTGGCTTCTGGTCAAAATAATGAGGATGCTTTCGAAGGCAAAAAGAACGAAACATCGATAACAAACACTGCAGAGAGTTCTCCTTTTCTCACACAACCTCAAAATGTGGACAATCATGAAGGTCACGGGCATTCAGTAATATCCAATCCACTGGGCGAAGAAACGAGAATGAAGCAATTGATGACCATTAAACCACCACTTTCTTCATATGCTACATTTTATCAGTACAATCAATCCCTGAAAATGAGCGCACTACTGAGAAAAATACATACGGCTTCCAAGAACGCTAACAAAAATCCTATTGTCGACTTCAAGAAAACGAACGACTTGTACTGCATAAGATCTCAATTGGGAGAAGGAGGCTATGCCACGGTATATTTGGCAGAATCAAGCACTGGATCGCTCAAGGCTCTTAAAGTGGAGAAGCCTGCGAGTATCTGGGAATTTTACATTTTGAAACAAGTCCAAAAGAGGCTAGCCGGGCAGACTATTTTGGACTCAATCATCAATGTCGATTCTTTACACTGCTTTGAGGACGAGAGTTATTTAGTCTTGAACTATGCAAGTCAAGGGACCGTTCTTGATTTGATTAACTTGGAGAAAGAACGCAATGGAGGACCTTTAGATGAACTTTTGGTTATGTACTTCGCTGTCGAACTAATGAAAGTGATGGAATGCATTCACGATGTTGGGATCATCCATGGGGACTTAAAACCTGATAATTGCATGATAAGGTTCGAAGAGAGCTCAGAATCACTCCCAGACTATGATGCCAATGGTGAAAATGGTTGGAATCGTAAGGGTGTGTACTTGATCGATTTTGGAAGGTCTTTTGATCTTACTCTAGTGCCAACGGGAACCAAATTTAAAGCAAATTGGAAAACAGATCAACAGGATTGTTCTGAGATGCGAGAAGGCCGAACCTGGACTTACGAAGCAGATTACTACGGTTTAGCTGGAATAATTCATGCAATGTTGTTTGGTAGGTTCATCGAAACACGAACTCTACCGAATCAGACCTATACTTTGATCAATAGCTTCAAAAGATACTGGAGATTAGATATCTGGCCGCCTTTATTTGATATGTTGCTGAACAGTGGGAGAAACAAGACATTACCAATCACTGCGAAGCTCAGGGAGTTTCGCACAAAGTTGGAAAGTGCTTTAGAAGATGACGGGCATCGGCTAAGAGCACAAGTATTGAGTTTACAATCGGATTTGTTAAAACTAAAAAAGTAAGTGAAACATGATTCATGAGACATGTCTGGATCGGAAACATTCAATAGATAGAGTATATATGTGCTAGAGGGTAAAGACGAGTGGAGTTCTATCAAAGTTACTCTGTTAGCATATGGACTGCTTAGTTATGTACAATGTAGGGGAGGAGGGCGTTCACGATGAATATCAGCACGAGCGCGAACATACTGTTAACGAGAGTGCCGAACTATTACTCGCAAAACACTAAGTAACCACTTTCTAATAATTCCTTCTTAATTCTAGCCTTACTCTTGCTTCCTCACACCACTAACAATATCGTCAACTCTCAGGAGTAGACATGCACTTTCAATGGCGGTCTTGATACTTTGTTGTTTGATAACTTCAGGCTCCCAAACACCATATTCGACCATGTCTGTTACTTTACCGGTATCGCCATCAATACCAGCGGTGGACTTGCCTTGTGCGTGTTGGGATCTAAGTTGCGAGAGCACTCTTATGGGGTTACCACCAGCATTTTGGATCAATGTACGGGGAATACACTCCATTGCGTCTGCAACGGCTTGATAAGGCCATTGTTGGATACCCTCTAGTTGTTTAGCTTTTTCAGCAAGCTTCACGGAAACGGCCATCTCGGTGGCACCTCCACCTGGCGAGAGGGAGGGAGAAAGCATAACATTACGGGCCACAGCCATTGCGTCATGAAGATTACGTTCAATTTCGTTCAAAATATCTTTGGAGGCACCCCGCAAAATGACGGTGCAGGCTTTTGGGTCAGTGCAATTGTCCAAGAATGTGAAATATTCGTCTCCGATCAATTCAACTTTAAAAACACCACAACGTGTACCCACGTCAGATTCCTTTAGGTCTTCAACACGGTTTACAATTGTAGCGCCTGTGACTCGCGAAATACGGTTGTTATCAGATTTTTTGGTACGTCTTAAGACACTGCAGCCGCCTTTCAACAAGTAGTGCTGAGCAAGGTCAGACACACCCTTTTCGGTGATGACCAGAGTAGGTTTGACAGAGAGGATTTGTTCGCAAAGTATTCTGACCTGTTCCTCTTCAATTTGCAAAATCCTGTTCCAGTCTTCTTCACGAGTAATTTCAATGTTAGTTTGAGATTCACCTTTCTTATACTCCAAAGGACAATCCAGTAGTACAACCCTGGGGTTTTCAATGTAACGAGACATCTTGGGGTGGACAACGTCTTTGTTAAGCATAACACCACGTAATACCCGTGATTCGCTCACGTCGCCACCTGGAATCTTTTCGATACGTACGTAACGTTTGGTATCAATTTCAACAGGCACAGAGGAGTCGTAGATGCCAGCATCACTAGAAGTAGCAGTGTTGCTCGTATTTTCGGCGTTGCCAGAAGGGCTGCCAGAACTCAACCCACCACCGACGCGGACAGAACGCACGGCATCTAGTGCCAAACGGCACATTAGTTCACTCCATTGAGCAACGTACTTGGTTCCAATGGCTGCTCCAATGAGTCGTAGCATTGCTGGTGTGTTTTCCACGTCAACAGGCTTCGACACGCGCTCGACCTCATCGAGCGCATCGCTTAGTGCGCGTTTCAGCGCTTGAATCACCACTACAGGATGGATGTTCTTTTCTACAATGTATGGTGCACATTGCGCCAAGATTTCACCAGCCAAAATGATTACGGTCGTGGTTCCGTCACCGACCTCTTCATCTTGCGTGCGCGACAGCTCCAGCATTGATTTGGCAGCGGGGTGTGCAACGTCAATCTCCCGTAGAATTGCGTGTCCATCATTGGTCAAGACCAATCCACCCATGGGATCTAGAAGCATCTTAAGCATGGCTTTTGGGCCCAAACATGTCCGAATCACATCTGCAACGGCTTTGGCGGCGGTGATGTTCGAGATTTGCGCCTCACGTCCAGTCGTACGTTCTTGCGATGTGTTCATAAACACAACGGGAGCTTGCATGGCGTTGTGGAGAGCGGTAGTTCGATTAGGTGACAAAAGGTAAGTAGTGTTGAGAAGCGATTGAATATTGACTATGTTAAGATGAAGTGGCAATTTTTTATGGGAAATTCCGATTTTCACGAGTACACATATACTCGAGTACAAGTACAAGTACAAAAGAATTCAAGAGTATTTTAGTACTCGGGTACACATTTATCCGAACTGCGATGTGATGAATATCACTTAGTACTATTATGTCCTTGAATCATTGGCAATGGCTAAGGAGTATGTGCTCCTAGTCGAGGCCGTTTTCCCGCTTGCCCAACTGCCATTTTGCTTGAGTTTAGTACTCACTGAATACTGTAGCACTATGCGTGTGTTGATTGCGATAGTTTTCTTCATTGCATGTACATTCACCGACGTTTCACCGACCAAAGTCTAAGACAGCAACACAACATATTTCTGGTTTGAACTTCGTGAATACAGACTATACAGTGAGAAATACGGCATGTGAGGCGCAGCTCAACGCATATATCCCATTTTTCGAATTTGACAGCAAATGTCTATACTCGCAAACCAATATTGACACTGATTAGTTTCATCGAAATGTAACAAAAGCACATATATGATTGGCGAGAGTGTCGTGGGCTATTGATGTTTCCTTATCCCCAGTGAATTTATGGCGAGACGGCAAAGCACTGTAGAGACATCGAAGAAGAAAAGTTGAAGCGCGCTCCACTAAACTGCCTCAGGTTGTTTGGACATTTTCATCAACACATATAGCACGCTAGTATCACAGCAAGATGCTTGGCGTCACTTACCAGTAGGGACTAAAATTAGAAAACAAATACTGGAAGGTATTGCGACCATCATAGCCTATACCACACAATTATAGTGTTGTTTTCGGCAGCTTTTGAAAACTTGGCACTCATTCGTGAAGCTTTGTTGTTCTCTCCCCTAGCTCAAGCCGTACTAATTAATTGATTAGGCTTTGCATATAAGAATTTAATTTTTCAAGACGACATATGCTATATCATAGGTGAATTGCTCATCGAGCCTGAAGAGTTTGTGAGAAGAGAAAAAGTCGACCCCGTTTGAACCATGTCTGACAGGGTTGTGAAAGTTTTTTTGTCGCGGCCAGGCTCCACAAGCTTCTGAGCGAGAAACTGTTTATACGCCGACAAAGTCTTATTGATAGAAACAGATCCATCGACGGTTGCTGCTGTATACTCGAATAAAGGTTGCAGTTCTTGAACTGCGAAAAAATCAACTGCAGGAAGCTTCGGTAGACCAAAAAGAAGAGACTCGGGATCCTCACGAGAGTTTTTGAAATGTACGGGCCTGCCGTACAAGCTCAGACAACCCATCATGGGTAGCGCACAGCGGATCAGAGACTCCAGGTGATGTACACCGCTATGTGGTATAGGCTTTATTAAAATCTCAGATGTTTTAAACTCGAATTCATCGGCGTCGGGATGAAAAACAGTTGAATTCATTGAGACGGCAGATTTGCTACGCCTGTGCTGAGCAGCATTTCCGTTTGCTGAGTTAGATGGGGTAGAAATGGATTTGGTCCGTTTTTTAATAGGGGATAACAGCACTGAGGACCTACTTTTACTAGAGCCTGAAGATACATCAGGCCAAAATATATCACCCACTAGACGCAGAGTTGTGAGCCTCGATAGCATAGCGTCCAAGGAATTTTCGAATGATCCTGTATCGTCACGAGCGTTATCCATATGGTCCCGAAAGCGTAAACGATCAAACCCATCGCTTGGTGCGCTTTCTACGATGTTAGGGTCCTGGTCTTCAACAAAGAACAAATCTTCAACATCACCACAATCTGGAATGAAACATAGCAAATTCTTGCTGGTAAGCGACTTATCATCCCGGAAAAACTTAATTTGATGGTGGCCTTTATGAGAGCCAGCGTGTTTAGGACTGCGGTCTACATGGCACCAAGCTTTAACCCATTCTCCACCTATGCTAATGTAGCACCAGTCTTTGTAGCTGTGCTGTGCGAGTAGGACAGCAGATATGTCAGAAATTCGACTTCCATAAGTAGATATGACTGTCGCGGTTAGCGCTTTGAACAGAGACATATATTCGAAACGTGCGAGCATGCACATGTCGTATAGTAAACGTAATTGCGATTGCGCCTCGGGAGAGCGACACCAAAGGGTCATTGCGCCATCATTAAGCACTAGCGAGGTTTGCTCCAGTTTCCAGCTCATAGGCGATATCCCGTTGGCAACATCAAGCTCAACGCAGTTGTCGTACTCGTTGGCCTCGGGCTCTACAATCAGCTGCACCACGGTCCCGCGAAGGCCAAGATTGACAACCGGAACAACATCCGCCTGGCCTCGTACTTGCAGCAGCAAATTGCTGCTGCTGGTCCACGACAGGTATGATTTGCGCTGTTGGCAGTCCAACAATATCAGCAGAGGTTTTAAAGGTTCACGGTCCTTGCCGTGGACTGCGTCCACCCCTGACTTGACATGCCTAAACTCGTCCTCAGACGTAACTTTACTTCGCTCAGAATTTCCGGGAAATTTGAGACCTAATAGAGACTTCATCTGTTGACGAATAGTGAATACTTCCTTGTTTTACTAATTCCTTGGGTTTCAGGAAATTCAAGTTTTGTAGATAGCTTACTGTTTTTTACAGTTCTCAATTGCACCGCTTCAACTGCTGGAAAGCTTTTGTATGAGACTCGCAATATGTCTAGCACTGAAGATGGCACTTTTATCAACGGTTCAGAAATGACATTGCGCATTCAGAAAATCAGCCGCCTTTAATATTTCACTTGATATAGTAAATGCATTTACAATTTTTTCTGCATTAATAAGTTGCTACCAAAGCTGAGCTAATTGATTATGATCGGCGTGTTACCAGAACTGTCAAGTGGGTCTGTTGCAACTCGTTTGAGCACATTGTAGAAATTATGATAGTGGCTCAGTTCGGCTGAAATTTTCTGCCGCAAGATTTCACCCTTTTCCTAAATTAGTTTTCGTCGAATTCATCTTGTCCAAACGAAGGTACGTCAGCGTTCGTTCCGGGATGGGCCGGATTGTTTCGTTGTTGCCAAGCTGCTACCTGTGAAGCACGTACTCTCTCTGTATCTTCCAAGGGAGACGAATACTCGGGGATTTCGAATTGGCGAGACTGGACGTAAGTGGAGCTCAACTGTAGGTCTTGTGCCGTGACAGCATTGACTACGAATTTTCGCAATGCAGTATAGTGCGCATTTCCGTTGTTGGATCTGACCACTAATGCCAGACTTCGAACCTGAGGCTTGCACTGAATGAACCACGGAGGCAGTGGAAAATTTTGGCGGATACGTGGGTCACTGTTATCGTAGTTCCAGGATCCAATTTCGATGAAGGAACGGTCTTGAGCCCATGTAGCACCGTGGCCGTTTCTGGCCGCGGTGCGGCGAAACTCCGAATCTGAGGAGGACTGTAATTTGACGTAGACCGAGATGGTACTAGGGGCGGAATTCATCAGGTGCAAATTGTTCGTAAAACGACCATGAACGTAAGCTATCCGAGTCAAATATAACGGCTGCGCAAATCGTACGGCCCAAGCGCATTGTTTGGAGTTTTTGTCACTGCACAACCAATACGTGGACGGTGCGGGTTGCGCGTCTGCCAAGAGATCCAATGGAGTAACCCCGTTAGGTGGGATACCTTGCAGACCTTGAAAAGTTGTCGAGCAGAGATGATTTAACAAACGAGTGCCTTGAGCCACAGTGGCGAAATCCACGTCGTCTTGCCATTGATGTTGATTGGCATTGTAGATCTTGTGTATGAGCTTCCGTTGGAGTACGTTGGAATATTGCTGCGGCACGTTCTCCAGCGTGGAGATGCGCGATTCCATCTCGCGCAAGATGTCTTCCTTACTGGATTTAAGCGCCAAATCTAGCTCCTTGAGAAAGAAAGACTTGTCTACATATTGGTACTCGTCTCGCAATATTTCACGCACATATTGACCGGTATCATATTGGAAAGGTTTTGTTGATTCGATGGACACCGTCTTGTTCACTACTTGCGGAATTATTTGTGCCAAATATCGATGCAGCTCTGGCACTACCATTAGCGCCTGGGTAGAATTATTTAGCACGACCGGAATTTGCTCGGGCAACAGATGCTCCAATTCGAACACGAGCGAATCTTGCCATTCGGTCACATTGTTGAGACTAAAAGTGCGGGACAAATCTTGAACTTGGGTATCGAGGCGTTGCAGCTGAGACTGCACAGACCCTAAATCGCGCGGTAACAATTTCTTTAGGTTCTTTTCCACTTGTAAAATGACAAGTCGTATCGCATTGTCTAGTTCCTTCTTCGCGGTCTTGCGATCATCCTGGAGCTCGCGATATAAACTATTCAATTGGGCGCGTAACTGGGCATTACTAGAAGCCACTGGAGTATCTAGACTGGAGTGCATAGACCCACCAGAGCTAAAACCAGGTCTCCAAATGAAACTTAAAAACAGTACGACAAATGCGATAAGCGCCCAAATATTACGAGCTTTCGGTACCGCTGTTTGCCAACTTCTGGTATTATCCTCCATCCATACGTCCACCTCAGGCTCATCGTTTTCCATTATGAAACTTCGGTCCGCTTCTTCCGTATAGTCTTTATCCTCGTCGTCCTCCTCTTCTCCCAGTTCTAGCCACTCGTCGCGCATCAGAGAGGTCTTAAACTGTTCGTAATCGTCGTTAACCTCAGATCTGCCATGGCTCGATCGATCACTTAGTTCCATGATATCATTGGAGAAATCCTCGCTGATATCATCACTAAACTCGTCCTCGTCCTCCTCGCTCCCCGCAACGCTAAATTGAACCGATCTGTCATCGTCGCGCTCTGACAGTAGCTGGTTGTAGGCGTCCTGCATTTTAGCATTGTAGAAGCTTCGCGAATGGATGCTGGTCTCCATTTGGTCCAGAGACTTTGATATAGATTGTGTTTTTAGCCGCTGTCAAAGACCTGTGTCAAGATGAGCTTGATCTTATGAAACGCGTAGCCATTTAATGGTTTGGTGTCTCGTGAAAGATGATATCATATGCTGTTAAATATTTAAGAACAGGTGGACTAGTTAACGTTGATGGAAATTGAGCAGTAGCGCGGCCAGTACTATCATTAAGCTGCCCAAGAATTGAGTTCGTATTTAAAGGCCTCTTTTTAGGCCTTTTCAAGCATTTTTGTGAATTCTAAGCAGATGCGACTGTGAGAAGTATTTTAGTACACGTATCAAGACAAGCGGGGGCTTGTTGTTGGCTTCGATGATGGTTGGAACTTTGCATTCTAATAGCAATTGAGCTCTACGAGTCTGCACTACTGCGTTGCTCGCAAATAATAATTATAATGATATTTATCATTTCACACTATTCTGTCTTGATTGTAGAAATATGAGATACTCAGCCAATTGTTTCGATAAGTGATCAGTTGGATACATCTCAAGACCCTATTTCTGTTTCTTTACTAGCTGAAGACACTAATGGGTTGAAGGAAGAGAAAAATAAACGTAAGACCTTGATCCACGATTCTCGTCACCATATTTAGTGAGAGTTACAGAGAAAATTGGCAAGGTATGATGATTCAAAGTATCGACCTATATTTGCTAAGAAAAGTGGGTGAAATTGTTGCTGTAACTGATCATAACCTCTTTAAGTTTATTTGAAAACACTAAATGCTTTTAGACCGCCTCTCAGTGCCATTGTGCATGTTACAGGTCAGCTTTTGACAACACCACCATGGTACAGTGGCAAAAGCTGTGCCTTGTTCAACTCGGCAAGGAGCACACAAACACGCAATAGCCTTAGGTATTCTTAAAATCATATTATAAAAGGATGAAGGTACAGTCGACAACTAGCTAGATCTCTACTGAACAATCATGATGCGCTAGAGAATGATTGTGAAAAGTGAGAGAAGTAACCGCATGGCAATTACTTACATCAACAAAGGATTGTTTTATGAACAATTGAGCATAATGACAATTGTGAGCACTAGCAAGTGATCGATCGACGAAGTTGGAGTCAACTGCTAACCTTTGAAAATCAAGGACAGACCAGGAATAGATTGGGATATGCTACATCTCACAAGCTTTCATTTGTAAATTCAACGTCATTGATTGTTGAGATGTGAGTGATGATGCTGCCAAGTTGCATAATGACATAATAGTGCGAAGTGTTATAAATAAAGCAAGAGCACTAAATGACATCGGGTAGTTCCAGACCACAGAGGCTTAACAAGTGGTCTATGCATGATTGACTAGTTATTGGTGCTCGGTTGAATTCAGAAGCATCATAACCATACCCCATTCATTTCTTATTCACATATCAGAACTATATGAATATCCTTACTTATTCTAACCAATTTTCGTCGATGAATTAGTGTCTTCGACGGAAGAGCTTCCTGTCGCTGAATAAAATCTGCCTCAAATAGAAACGCTTTAATCAAGAACAGTTGCTATCTACTAATCTCAGAATTAGAAGCTAACAATGCCTATGCAATACATCCTACGATTTCAGAGCAAATTGTAAGGTCTTCAACCACCTTCGAAACACTATCTGGCATAACTCATCCAAGTCTGAGCTATAAAAGTATGAAGAGTGGATAATTCCATTTTTCGGTGTCGTCCAGCATTTTTGGAACCCTTTGACCACTTATTTCAATGCTACTTCATACTAATCCGCACATCAAAAACTTGACTACCTATCAAACTGACGCGTAAATAACTTCCCAGCCACCAGCTCACCATAGCAAGTGTTCTCAGGTATTTACATTCAAGAGAAGACAATGTGACCAAAATGGGCATTTCAAGAAATTTCAGAGGTAGACTTGCAATCTGCCAATTTCGCCTGTCATTGCACTGCGTCGAGTCAAACCTATCACACAATTCACTAACGATGTCAAGGTATTGAAGTCGTTAGGTCTTGTTAGAATGTCTTGAAGTCGTAAAATTGTTACCCGTCTCCTCGTTAACAGTGCCTCGATAATTTTTCACTTTCTTGAAAAATCTTTTGTAGCGGTAAAGAAAGTTTGAAATCTACAAAAGCTGGTAGTATTTGGATTCCGCCACTATTGGAGCGCTATGTTCAGCTCTGCTCGCACTGGTCCAGCTGTACATCAGCTGCAGACACAACAGGTACGGTTTATATCTAGGCGTAAGGTCGCGTATCCATTCTATCCATTCAAAAGACTGGGCAAGCAGAATCCTAAGAAGCATGACAGCAACCTGAAGTACGCAATGCGTCAGTTCTTGGGTCCCAGGAACTTCAAAGGTGAGCATGTCTCGAACAAGTATTTTCGGGTGCCTCAGAATCATGAACCCAACTACATAACGCCGGAGATCGAGCGGGGCCAGGCGCTTCAGCACCACGTGACCGGCGAACCCTTGACGCTTCAGGCAGATGGGTCGGTGACGATAGCACGTTCTACAGGGTCACAGGGGTCTCGCGACCGTGGTCGTGATCCCAACTCGAGCCTTCGTAAGCTTCAGCCCTTTCCAGGCAACAAACACTGCATCACAAATCGGATTCTCTCCGATGAGCTGAAACTCCAAATACACGACGATATTCAAAATAAACACCTTTCGGCACAGGACGTATCTCAAAGATACGGCCTCAAGATTCCCAGAGTCGAAGCCGTGGTAAAGCTTATGGATGTTGAACGGAAATGGGAAAAACACGTATGTTAACGATTTAATGAGAATTACGATTTGGCAGAAACCAATTTGGCTTTCACATTCTTTCTCTGCTTTTGGCAACTTTTATGATGAGTTTAAATGAAAAAATATTCGATTAGTCTTGAAGACATTACCAAATGGTTAAAAATTCATACTATTTCTGACAAAAAAAGTGCCATTTTTAGGTTAAAAAGAATTAGGGAGGCCACTGTTTCGGTTTTTTTCGAGTTTCCATCGCATCAATTACTAACAATTACATTTCAATAGAATCGCATCGCTCATGGCTTGAAATCCATGTCATCTACATTGTACAAAATGTTCCCGCTTTTTGTGCCTAGAGCTGATATCTCGAGAGAAAATTTGTCAGAAATTCCAATTCCAGCCAAGGCGCTGCAGTCTCGTTTCGTTACAATCGCGGAATCCGAACCATTTGGTCCCGTTGACGCTGCTAAAGTGTTGGAATTAGAGCCTGCTGCCGACACCTTGGAAAAACTGGCAACGCTAGGCGAGCATTCGGCACACCACGCACAAACTTCAGCATCAACTAACAAGAAAAAGGTCATCTACGGTGAATTGAACAAAGGCGAGAGGTCCTTGTTCAAATTTGAGAGCTCTCGTGTTGGTAAAGTCGGGTTCCGTTACGGTTCTGGCAATCGCGACAGCAAAAAAGATCGCAAAATTGGGTTCAATGAACTCGGCAAGATGGTGTATTTATAACAGCGAAGCTTTAACGAAATAATAGTCTTGTAAATAATCTGTTGTTCTCTTTTATACATATGGCATTTAAAGTCGATAAAAAATCAATTGATACGCATCAAGAATTTAAGGCTAAAACAACCCTCTTTTGCACTTCCAGGCGTGTTGCCAGTAGCTTTACAATGAAAATACTGATACCTCTGGATAAGACGCTTGCTGGCGATGCGCAAAAGCTACTGGAATCACATCTGGACCGCAAGTTTGTTGTGTTCGATGAAGATTTGAGAATATTCTTCCAATTGGAGCAACATGACTTCCTTGAATCAATCCAGATTTATATCAACGAGGCCTGCGTTTACAAGTGTGACAAAAGTGAAGACTGTATAGACAAGCACGAAAGTGGATTGTTGGAACTTCGAAAATCAGTCCTAAGGGATTATATTTTCCGCTCGAACATAGTGATGAACAATGGGCACAAGAATACCTGGCAAATAAAAGCAGTAACTACTCTTCGAAAACCCCCTGAATGGGGACAAGAGAATGGGAATGATGTTGCAGAAGATGAAGAATTGTATTTGCCTAGTTTCGAGCCTCTAGGGGCAGTACTCTCTTCAAAAACGAGTCTAGAAAAGCCAGAACAGCCTGAGATTAGCACCGTCGAAGTGAAGTACCCGATACACACTTTACTGAATGTGAGGCTGCGGAACGTTGCAGTACCCGCAAAACGATGCATATACTCGTCATTGGATCTGCAAACAGCCCAGTCTTGCCATAACCTCATCAGTGAGTATAAGCTTTCGAATTTCAAAATCTCGATAGATGAGATCGACTACCGTTTGATTCGCAACTATTCAAGTGCTCCAGTGCACCCAGTGCGTCCTATAAGCGCGGCTTTGGAGCTTGGTCTGTGGGATAGTTACAGCGTTAACTACCAGTTGCCGCAAACGAAAAATCTCGAGTCTCATCGAGTCGTCGTGTCACTTCGATATACAGTGCATGCCGCTCCCTACGCGTTTGTTATCAAAACCAACTGGGAAACAGATGTCACGCTGCGAAAACAGAACACAATGATGGGTCTCCCGTCTCAGCCCACGTCCGTGCTCTCAACTACCCCGATGCTGACGCCGTCAATGAAGTTTGCGTCTTCAATGACTTCTCTAGTGACGCCCAGTAAGCTCAACAACGTTAAATTTGAGTTCCTGGTCAGTCAGTTGACGTGTCAGAAAGGTGTTAAGTTTTCTTTGCCGTTACAAATAGTGAACCACTCCCAGGCGCCTTTAGATATTGTGGTCTACTGTACCAACTCTGCCCTTGAACCTCAAGGACAATTTCCCGTTGAGAAAGAATACATGCTACACAAACGATGGATGAAAAACACAGAAGCCATTATTCTATTATCTAACGATCACAGACTACCCACCATACCGGTCTCTGAGACTTTCTGTGCCGACCTGGAGTTTTTTGCAATTTTGTCCGGTTATTATCAGGGCATTCCGGGACTCAGAATCCTCGACTTGAATTCTCAAGAAATCACCAATATTGGAGCTGGTGTAAAGATACTTATAGAGTGAATAGAAAAGTCTCAAGGAGCTATGTAATATTAGATTCGTGTACTTGATGCTTCCATCTGTGACGATGAACTTTGTCACGTGTACTTTTAGTACTGACTTTTTTGATAGGGGAATATAAGTTAATTCTAACATGTTCAACTGAAGCTCGAAACCGAATTGAATATCCAAAGCTCAATCTTTTGTGACTATAGTGAACTATGTCTGAGAAATTTCCCCCATTGGAAAATGAAAACTTCGAATCAGAAGCTGGTGCTTCTCAAGAAGAGACGGATTTCTTGAAAAGAGAAGCTGAGCTTTTGGGCGACGAATTTAAGACCGAACAGGACTCAGAATTCCTGCAAGATGAGGACGATGACGAATTCGGCAACTTTGAGGAAGTGCCTGCGGTTTCTCAATCGAATGCCGCTGCGAACAAGACCCAGGATGACGAAATGTCAGAAGAGTCCCAGACAATCGAAACACAGCACAGCAAGGATGAAGCTTCAAGCCCTACCGATTCCAAAGCTGTCTCTAACTGGAGAGAAGCTCGTGACAGAGAAGTAAGTGAAAGAGACGTCGCCCAGGGAGAGGCCAAGACCAAACTACAAGACGACGCCGTCAAACACATGGACGATTTCTACGATAACTACAACAGAAAGAAGGAGCAGCAGTTGAATACCTCCAGATCTGATGCCGAAAAGTTTCTGAAAGAAAGGGATGGCTTTCTAGCTCAAAAAAATACGACCTGGGACCGTGTTTTGCAACTTATAAACGTCGATGACGCTGATCTTGTAAATGGCAGAGACAGATCTAAGTTTAAAGAAATATTGGTCAAGCTCAAGGGCAATCCAAATGCCCCTGGAGCTTAGCTTGTGTAAATGGTAACCTTAAATAAAACGCCGAATTAAAATTATGTCGGTAAGCCGATCAACGCGACACAACACAATAAACAAAGTATAAAATTGCACATGCTCTAGCTCTGTTCTGGCAAATTTATGATCTGCCGCTGACGGCTCTGGTTTTGATACGATAAATTGGATCCAATCCAAAATGCAATAGTTTGCCAATGCGGCTTAGCCCGCATCTTATCGGTGATCAAAAATCTCACCATGTACCGGAGGACTCCCGGTCGTACAAACATCTGGTTGTTCTCACTATCCAGCACATAGAACCCGAGCATCAGCATAGCCGACATTTGTAGATTGGAGCACACTTTCTGATTGGTACCAAGTAATGACCAGAGCAGTTGCCTCCAGGCGGCCCATTTGATAGAAACCTGAAGGTTTTCGCCGAAACAGCAACTGATTACTTTTTCTCGCAGACTTCTGGATGTGGTGATCTCATTGATTTCTTTTAGCTTATCTTTGAAAAGGCGAGAGTTCAATGTGTAGGAGTCGCGAACGCGTTCTTCGTCGATACTTTGACGTTTCTGCTGGCGCTGCTTTCGATACAGAGAAGACTTGAAGAATTGGTATAGCGATATGGAATTCCAAAGTAAAAAAAGGCTGGCGAAATCTCTCCACAGCGGTTTGCGTTCAAACATAATAGACTGGATGCGCGACGAACGACCGTAGCGCAACCAGGGTATCACCAGCGATAGAAGCACTTGTCTTATCGTATTCGATGTGGGTTCACTTAGCTGGAGCAAAAAATGCTGTACAAAGCTCAAACTCTTTGTCCAGTCCGCCAGGGACTCGACCAAAACGTAGGTGCTTAGCCATGGTGGTATCTCCAGTTGCGTGGTAGTCAGCAACGCAGCATTGAACGAAATGCGTTTGTTTCGGAAGATTCGGCGCGCTAACGGAAACACACTAATCAAACCGCACACCCACGATGCATTTTGAAATCCTCGCAGTAACAACCGGACCCTTTTTTGGCTGGACGACTCAATGAAAACCTTCCATTTCAAGAGCGCCATCACTCCAGAAACTCCGTATACGGCTAGCAGACGTCTAGCCAACTGTCTCCACACAATGGCATCTGTCGTCACCACGTCTAGCGTCTTTGAAATCGCATTATTCATCCTGTACTTCTCTCAATTGGCTTAGTCTTGCGACCAGTTTTGCACTTGTGGCCTCAAGCTCAGAACACCCGCCGACTATCCCTCAAGATGCTAGCTGTTCCAAACACGTATCGATCCAGGATCCGGACTTTGATCTTGATATGGTCGATGTCGAGAAGTGTTTGAAAGAGGATGATCAAGTAGATGTTACAGCCGCTTAATTTCGCGACCCATAGCACTTCGTACGTCAAATGTGTCAGGAATCCAGTTTAGTTTCAGCCGTGAATCTGTTCAAGAGCGCACTTTTCCCAATAAACTCTGACTTTCATGCCATTGATGTTCATAATTCACTTATTCCAAGCTTTTCCCCATACGCACACCGATTCTTTTGACATCGGCGGCTAGTTTCACAGAATCTTGAGGAGATCTCGAGTTGCCCCGAGTGGAAAGGCCCAGATCAAGTCCAACGCAGCTGAGTACTCCAGCTAGTAGTTTGCGGCGCTATAGATGGGCTTCTTCTCATTTTGTTTCTCGATTCCCATATTTTCAAGCATGGAAACTATCGAAAACGCTACAATCGCGACAATGGACGTTTTGGAAAGCGAATTTTCTCTGAGATGGTGTGCAGCAGTATCTCGTGGCTTCAGGATCTATCCTCTGGACATATCAGGATGCTGAAGTAAAGATTTTGCAGATCTTGACATAAAGTCGTGTTCGTGTGTGATGCTTCTATGGTATAAGATCAGGAAGCTTCCCGAAAGGGGCGCTCTCATATACCAACTTCAACTTGTGTCAATAAGAACAAACGCAACGATGAGCGACCGGAATCCACCGTTCGAGGCAGTTGCGCTGTTTGCTTATAGTTCTGAACACGATGACGATTTGAATTTCGAGAAAGGAGCGACTATCACAGTACAATCGGTAGAAGACGAGGAATGGTATTTTGGTACTTTACAAGACGACCAGGGCGTTTGGAAAGAGGGCATCTTTCCCAGAAGCTTTGTCAGCGTATCTGGACAGGGTGGGGAGACTGGCGAAGGTGCCAGCTCGAAAGTAGCCTCGACAGGTATCGAGAAACCAGCGCATATCGAGATTCCGTCGGACGAGCAGAATGAGAAGCCGGAAACTAAAGGTGGAAGCAGCACGCGCACGGAAATTGATCCAAGCAAGTCGGAGCCAACTTTCAGATCTGAGGTAGCGCCCGAGCCTGTTGATAGAAATTCATTGGAAGAGGTAGCCGAAATCAACAACGCGAGATCGGTAGATGATGTGAAACCAACCGCATTCCCTAAAAAGTTGTCGCAGGCGACTCCTGAGACTCCACAAAGTCCGATGGCGTTTGCCGAATCAAAGGTGTCCTCCGCCCCGACACAATCGTTCGTCCCAAATCCAATCGGACATAATCGTCACCACGACAACGACAACGACAAAGGCGGCTACAGCAACGAAGTCAAGGAACAACCCAAGATGAGTCTTAAGGAACGAATTACCATGCTTCAAGAACAACAACGCTTGAACCAAGAGCGGGAGCGCGAAATGGTGCAGAAGAAACTTGACAAAGTGAAGAAACAGGAACGTCACGAAGCCGCTGTAGTTCAAGAAAGTCCAGAACTACCATACTCAGACGCTATCGACCAAAATGACGGCAGTTTGATCCAGGAAGGCGTCTCTAGAAAAGCCACGATTCCAGAAATACCGCACATTGAAAAGCCTGGTGATCATCAGGTCGCTGTAGATACTGAAAAGGAGGCCGTGGCTAAAGATTCTGCTGTAGCTGCACCTGTTGAACGTTCAAAAGAAACTGAAGACGCGAGTGATGAGGAAAGTGACGAGGATGACGAAGAAACCCGCCGAGCAGCTCTCAGAGATCGTATGGCCAAATTGGCAGGCGCCGGAAGAATGGGGATGCCTGGATCTTTCAACCCGTTCGGAATCCCAGCAGCCCCAAGTAAGACAACTCCTGCTAAACATAAGAAAGTCGATACAAAGGTTATTCCTGAGGAGAAGCATGATGAAATGCCCCGAGCAATTCCGATTTTCCCCTTTGCTGATCCTAAGGCGCTACAGAAGGACCAAAAACATTTGCCAGATACGGTTACAAATACGCAGCATAAAGAAGAGCAACAGCGCCAAGATGATATTCATAAACAAGAAAATTCTGCGGAGAAACCCAAAACCTCTAAGGTTGCTCACGAATATGCGAAGCTAGCCAACTCGTCGACTCCACTAGATACCCCAGGAATGCTGGCAGATGCTGAGGAAGAGGCGGGACAGGTTGAGGACAACTATTTTGGGAAGGATGTTGATCGACAAAATCACTCGTCTGTACAGAGCGACACATCTTCGCTTAAAGCAGAGAATTTTGTGAGTCAAGATACACCAATGGAAATTGAAATGCCAGTGTCGAGAAGTGGGCAAGTAACCGACTCTACTGGGTATGAATCTTCAGCAGAAGAAACCACCGAAGTTGGAAACAAGTCTTTTAAAGATACCGGGGCTGTTCAGAACGCAGCATCTGAGGTGGCTGGAATAGGCGTGGTTCTTTCTACTGAGAATGACGACGCGGAGTCCAAGCCCGACACGTTTCAGGGTCGTGGAAGCGATGACGGTAACGATCCGCTGCTTGCGTCTTCACAATCGCCGGAGGTCTCAAAAGATTATGAACTACCAACTAAGCTTCAAACTAAGCCACGTTCTCACAAATCTACTTTCGAAGAACATGCCAAAAATGATGAGTTTTTGGCTAGTGATGCTTCAAGTGAAACGGACGATGCGCCATCGGTACCACGTCTTTCTAAGCACGTACCAGTACCTCCTAGTGAGCCAGTCTTCAGATCCTCTCTAGACCCGGCTTCGAAAGAAGCTCCACCTATACCTTCTATTTCACCGGTCCCTCCTAGGGCGGCAGCTCCTCCGGTACCCTCAACAGCGCCCGAACACACCACAGACAGCGTTCCCGATGTTATTGACACACCTAAAGTCGCTACGGATTCAACTAGATCGGGAAGCGCTAGCTCAAAGGATGGGTCATCGCCTAAATATATGCACAAGCCACCGGCATTTATACCACCTTTGCCAAACCTGCCAGCGCAATCTTCTACCCCAAAGGTTGCACCACCTCCGCCACCACACATTATGACAGATAAGTCGGACCTCGCCAAAGCTGGGCCAAAGTCACCACCCCCACCTCCTCCTCCCGCTTCGAACTTAACGGACTTTGGGAAAGAGAAGAGGTTGGGCAAGACTTTACCCGACAAGGTGCAAACTGAGACAGCAAGTATACCACCAGTCCCCGTGAGCACTGGCCGGTCAGATGATTTACCATCTTCCCCAGCAATCAGCTTAATGCAAAGATCAAAGTCTCAGAAAAATCACAATGCAAAGGCATCTTCGCGAAGTGAGCAAACATCCTCAACGTCTCATGTTAGTCCCATCGATAAGCAAATCAGAAGAACACAGACTTTTGAGGCTAATTATGATAATCAAAAACCCTACATTAATTTCGACAGCTCAGAGGAATGGTGGATGACAAAGTCATTACCAGCAAGTCTCATTACTAGCAATCGTCTTAAGTATATATGGGAAGTGGATGAACATCTCATACCAAAGAGGGGCAACGAGGAGTGGGTGATGAGAGACTTCTACATTTTATTCGAGGACTATTCTCAATTGCATGCTACGGTGACATTCAAGGCAAAGAACCCAATTTTGACGGTCAAGTTTTGGCAAGAGTTTGAAGTAAGCCCCGCACCAGTCCATAAACTAGACGAATATGCGTCGCGGATAGGTTATGAGATCTTTGAAAAGGCAAACAAATCCATCAACAAGCCTTCACAGAATTTTGTTGTCAACTTGATTGCAAGCTTAGAGAAATCTGTTGTTCCACCAATTGCGTCGCGGACTTACGGTGTACCATTGCTAACATTTTCACCAGACTCCGCACTTGATGAAACCGCCCTAAAAGCAGTTAGACCGGGAGATATCCTGGTGGTGAGAAGAGGGAAGTTTCAATCACATGGAAAATTGCTACAAAAGACTACTCATGAAGTGGGCATGGACGCTGTGCCGTTTGCGGGTGTGATTACAGAATACGACTTTTCGAAAAACAAGTTCAGAGTGATCGAAGAGCACGACGGCAAGACAAGACAATCTAGTTATCGTATACACGACATGAAAAGCGGCAAGCTCAAGGTCTTTAGGGTGGTGGCCAGAAACTATGTCGGATGGTGACCCATGCATATCACCACAATTACGTAAACAATCATTAAAAAATGCTACACTTTTTTAAGAGTCCTCAAATACCTCTTGCTTCTCTAGTACCCAGCCTGGCATATCAGATTCAAAGCTCAAATGGCCTTCTGAGTCGGAGTATTTCCATGCGTGTAAGCACAGTTCCAGGTCTTTGAGATCTGGATCTGGAAAGAGCGTGGTACCGCACTCAAAGCAATTTCCATTAGCATCAACAGAATCTACAGCGCGTTGTACTAACCTAGACTCCCGGTCAAAATCATGAAAATGCGATTCCAACTCTCCCGTGGTAAGCTTGCCATCGCTCCAGTTGTGAGTATCAAGAATAAATCGGAGTCTCTTCGGGTACTTTGTCTTTTTGGCGTTGTAGAATGGGTCGTTCGATATAGGAAATCCCATTCTCGCTAGGTGTATTCTGATCTGATGAGTCCTGCCAGTAACTGGTTGGCACGCGACAAGCGTCTCATTTGAAGCAGGATAATATTTCAAAGGATAGAATTTCGTAATGGCTTCGCGAGCAACCGAGAACGCAGCTGGAAACTGCTTTTTCAATTCTACCGTGTAAATCGCTGAGTTTTCTATTGTTATTTTGGCTGGATCCTCAAACGCTTTAAAAGATCTCAGTGCTTCCGCTTTGGGGAAACAGCCCTCAACTTTTGCCAAATATATCTTTTGCATATTTCGTTGCCGGATTTGCTGCTGTATTTTGTTCGCCATATGTGGATTTTTGGTCAAGATTAGCACTCCTGAGGTTATCTTGTCCAGCCGATGACTTGGGAAAACATGTTTCCCGTGCATTTTTAGAACTTCTACCAAAGTGTTCTGGTAGTATTGGCCAGTTGGGTGAATTGGCACCCCACTCGGCTTGTTAATAACCAAGAGATCGTTGCACTCGTGTACAATCTGTATTCCGCCGATGGTTTTTTCACTTTGGCTTCTTTCGTCTGAGCTCCATTGTCGCACTGGTGGCTCGTGCTTGTGAAAAGTAGTCCTAATGACGTCTTTATTTTGAATTTCCGTGACAAGAGTATGTGCCGAACTTAGAGCACAATCATCGCGGATTATCTGAAATTCCCCACGCTCGATTCCTTTGGCGTATTCTTCCCGAGAGTGAGATTTGAATTCGTCGGCTAACACATCCAATAGTCTTCGCTTCAACCAGCGCCCTTTGGCAAAAGATGTTCGCGAATGATAATAAGGTTGGATTTTACGCAAACCATGAGCGAAATACACCTCAACACCCATATGCTGAGCCACAATAGGCTCTTTTATGGTCATTGCATTATACATATCTAAAGCTCATCGCTTGTATAATTTGACATTGAAAAATTTCAGGTTTTGGACACTTTCCTAAGAAGCGATGACTTAAAAAACGTATATTCCCGAGGGCTTAACGCTAGTGTAGAGGTTCCGAGATTTGTAATGCGCCATTGGCTAGGCAATCGGCATATTGGAGGACTATCGGCTAGCGAAACAAATGTCTGGCAGATTGGTTTTAAAGGAACTAAAAGCTGGTTTGAACGCCAGCGGTAAGTTCCCTGTGACAGATCAGACTCTACCTATCTCGAGATACGCGAGAAGAATAGGAAGCCCAAATGAAGCAGCAACGATTGGGTCTCTCAGCAAAGAAAACGGGTTTTGCAAGCCGAACAAGCGCCTTTTGAGATACGGGAATGCCCAGAATACGCTTTTGGAAGCGCGTTCGGGGCTTCGCGGGACAAGCAGCACTGCCCAAGTGTACCAAAACACGTTTCGAGTCTTTTCAGCACAGAGTAAAGTGTATCAATGCGATTTTTTCAGGCTCTTGTATTTCCCTCCAGACCATTTTCTGTCTGTGTTTCGCAAGAGCAAACCAGCGAGCAACGTGCGGATTGTGGGCGAGGTTTTCCTAAACGGAAATGTTTCCAGAAGCGAGGGCCGTAGTGTCACCAATACCGCGGTTTTTGAGAAAGGGTCTCGTATCGACAAATATGGCAAGAGCCAAGATATGAGCAATTTGAAGCGCTTGCAATCCATTTTCGCCAATGACGGTTCGAATGTGCCTCGCAATTACGCGTATTTGAGGCGTTCATTGCGCACGTTTCTAAATAAGTGCTTTGTTAAGAACTGGCTCGAATTACAAGGCCATCAAGCAGTGGAAGAACAGATTAGTCACTCTACACAGTCCACAGAAACGAACTCGAGCACGCAATGGAAGTTTTTGGACTCACAAGGCCGCAGTAAATCTGGAGTGTCCAAAGACGGATTCTACCTCTTCCAAGTTTTGGTCTTTCCAGATCCCACCACAAAGCACGAATTTGAAATGAACATTTCGCACGCGGTGAAAGCGGTGGCCGATTTGCACTGGGATAGCTTTCTGCGGGGAAAAACGAAGTCTCGGACTTGGGTCCAGGATGCAAACGACCGTGTACGAGTTTCGACCATGAACGGATACCTGGCCCATGACCAAGTGCCACGGACGCTCCGGAAAGTCAAGTGAGAGATGATGCGTTCCCTCCGCTCTTTCTCGCTCAGTCTTTAGACTATAGAAGGGCACTACAGAAACTAAAAATTAATACTATAACTCTATCAAAGAGGGAGGGAGACGACGGACCCGGACACGAGCTCGCAGCTCGTGTCCTTGACCGGATGCTATGCCGAAGAGAAAAACCATCTCAACCTGTACCGAATTACTTGTCTCATCATTTGCCCTTTCCTCCTCTTCCGAGCGCCTCCTCTTCTGCTGCCAGAAGTTCTTCGCGCTCCTGTTTGGCCCTCAGCTTCTCCTGCTTTTTCTCCTCCTCCTGTACCTTTTTAGGGTTGGCTTTTCTGGAGCCTTCGTCCCACTTCGACGACTCTTCAGCCTCCAGCGCTTCTCTTTGCGCCCTGTCCTTGGCGTGTGCTTGTTCTTTCTTGCGCTGGTTTCCAGCTATCTTCTTGGCAGCGGATTCTGTAAACCGTTTACCCATGTTATTCTATCTAGAGCTGATTTAGTGGTGGTACTTGAAAATAATTTTGAGAAACTCCACCCTATGCTGTCAAACTTCTTTATATATCACAGTCTTCAGACTCTTGCAAATAATCAAGAGCTTATATATAGCGTCTTCGCAATTATGTTACCACTCACAAGTATTAGATAAGATGATGAGATGATGTTCTTAAATTATTAGAAATTTTTCACCAACGTATATCTTCTCTAATTCGAAAGCAAAAAGGGTGTAGATGAGGTGCTCCACGAGTTCAATCCAACTGTGCTGGGCACACTGAAATACGCTGTGTGGGGGTGTATAAAGCGCAGAAACTGGAGCGTGCTCTCTAGGCTGGAGGACCAGGAAATGAAAACGAATTAATTTTTTTTTGAAAAAGCACCCGGGTGGCATCAAGACAGAATCCGAAACAGAGGTTCCAATGCACATTCTCCAGATATGTAGTGGCGACCGTCCAAGGCTGGTATTTCTCGAGCTTTGGACCTTGCTTCTTGAAAAGTTGTAATTAGATATCACGTTCGACGGTTATGTTACTGTAGCTCGGAGTGTAGTGGCTATCAAGGGCGATTAGTGCTAGCGTGCTGGAAAGCAGTTTACAGGCGCTTCCAGACCGTTCTAATCGAGTGAAACTGCGGTTGACATGAGTATCACTATGTACGTTGTGCCCTTTATGTTTAAATTGGTATTCGGACTCGCTAATATACAAAATTCTAGTACTTGGCAAGTGAAGAGATGGTTCTCGAGAAACCAGGCCGATAAACGCTTACTTCGGTCTCTGGCACGTACCTGTGATTGTTGATTTGTTGAGTAATTTACCGCTGCAGAGAAGAGAATGGGCATTATACGTCGTCGGAAAACGAGACGGCCGCGACTGACGCTGAAAGTCCATGCTTTGCAGGCGCACAATGTGACCATTGACAAGTCCGGCTGCAACCCTATATGTCTGGCCATGAGCAACGGAGTTTTCAGCCGCACTGCGAAACAGAAGAACACCAGTTCACCGACCTGGAACCAGGTTCTGAAGCTGAAACTTCCGCAAACGCCAACGTCCGAGTACCTCCGAATTGTGGTGTACGACGCTCTCAACAATGCCGTTGATGGAAGCGCTATCGAGAACATCCACTCACGCGGAGGAGCCTCCCACAACTACGACAGCTCCAATAGATACCTCTACTTGGGTGAAGTTCGGCTCTCCCTTCGAGACCTATTTCGCCGTAAAGACCAGCCAACCAGCTATAAGTTCCTGAAAAACTCCAGTTGGTACCCGCTGTTCAATAGAAATGCACTCAAATCCATGCACTACAGTATTCAGAATGCACCAGCTTCCCTGGCAGTAGGTGGAATCCAATTGGCCATTTCCATTACATGCCCGCGAGGAAGCAGCTTGTTCAAAGTGTTCAACGAATGGCAAAGCGCTCTAGCAAATCACGACAGCCCTTCATCAAAAAATAGTCACGGCGGCAACACGAGCAAAAGCAGCAATTCGGAATTACCTTCGAGCTCCACAACCGTGAACCATGTTAATAGATTCGGTCGTGAAGATGACGAAGATGATGAAGATGAAGATGACATAACGGACTTTGAAGGAATTGTTCCCGCCACTTCGGGCACTGATGAAGACCTCGAAACGCCAGATGATGACTTAATAAGTTTACGATACCTTCACGAGCAATTAGACAATGACGATGACGATGACGATGAGAACGATGACGATGAGAATGATGACGTCGATGATTTAAGCTCCATTGAAGATGGATTGGATAGTCGGTCGGAACTCAACTTGGTCAAAATGGCTACGGCACTAGACGAATACGATGTGGCCCTTTACAAGTGGGATTACGATTCTTCCACGGAACCATCAAGAGTTGGTACCCCGCCCGTGATATCTGAAGAAAGTAACTTTTACGATGAAGATGGTAGTTCTAGCGATGGCAAAGAAAGTAAATACATGTCCCTTATGAAGACTCCGAGAAGACCGCATCGGCGTCGTCGTGGGTTTGTCGACACAAACTTCGAAGTTTCCAGGCATGGACATGCAATGGGGGTTGCTTTCATGGACATTGACAATATCAATGATCTCCCTGTCCTCAAGAATAAATTTTCCAAGAGATACCTCATGGATCCTTTCATAGTAATAACTTTTGGTCGCAGGGTTTTCAAAACTTCGTGTAAGAAGCATTCTCTTGATCCGGTTTTCAACGAACGTCTAGCCTTCGAAATATTTGCCAACGAGACTAACTTTAATTTCCACTTCCGAGTCATCGATAAGGACTCGTTTTCGTACCACGACAATGTCGCTAGTGCTGATGTGTCCTTGAGTGATGTAATGCAAAGGCAGCAACAGGTTGGAAAAGATGACGAATGGGCACAAATGTGCATCCCGTTACATTTCAGTGATTCTATTGATTCCTCTGCATCTCAACCTGTACTCAACATCAGGTTCAAATTCGCCTCTTATCAAGATTTAAAAAAACATTTTTGGGAAAAAGCGCTCAATAGAACGAGTAGGCTGGAAAGTTTTGACGTTGTGGACGTGACCCTATTGATGGAAAAATTGGGTACGTTTTCTATCGAGGAGATCCATGATTTCTTTTACTTTTTTAACAAATCCCCTTGGTCTCACGATAAACTTTGCAGAAGAGAGGTAGTTGACTATCTACAGTCTTCTAAAGGCTTTTTGGGTTTTAAGGGCCTAAAAAGATGTCCTCTATGCTCCCGCCGTTGTAAAAGTTCAAGAAACGCTGCCAATTCCAAGTTAATACCAGAAAATGATCTAATCACCCACTTGTCAATATGTTCCGCTGCTGATGACAAAAAAAGGATGCTCAAGCCTTCATATGTATCATCAGATTTTGCAACAAAACGATGGTTTTCGAAGTTTTTGATCAAGCTCACCTACGGCAAATACGCACTGGGATCCAACAATGCCAATATCTTGGTTCAAGATAGAGACTCAGGTATCGTACTTGAAGAGAAAATTAGCGCTCATGTGAGGCTCGGTATAAGAATTATCTATAATGCCAGAGGAACTGAGTCCAAAAAATTCAAGAATTTGCTAAAGAACCTATCAGTTAAACAAGGTAAAAAATTTGACAGCCCAGCATCTGTTAGACAAATCGTGCCTTTTATCAAATTTCACTCTCTAGACATCTCACAGTGCGAAGAAACCGAATACAAGACCTTCAACGAATTTTTTTACAGAAAGCTCAAACCCGGCAGCCGGTCTCCAGAAGTTGATGATCCACAGATTTTACTATCCCCAGCAGATAGCAGGTGTACAGTTTTCTCTAGCGTGAAGTCCTCGAAGGAAATTTGGATAAAAGGCCGGAGTTTCACCCTTACCAAACTTGCAGGATCGTATCGCCCCGAAGTTTATAACGACTCCTCGTGCAGTATAGGTATTTTCAGATTGGCGCCCCAGGACTACCATCGATTCCATTGTCCCTGTGACGGTGTCATAGGGAAACCGCAGAGAATATCTGGGGAATACTATACTGTGAATCCCATGGCAGTGAGAACGGAATTGGATGTTTTCGGGGAAAACGTTCGAGTTGTGGTACCGATTCACTCTCCGGAGTTTGGGACCATTCTATACATCGCCGTGGGCGCAATGATGGTCGGCTCCATAATTCTCACCTGCAAGGAAGGTGACAGTGTTCAAAGAGGGCAAGAGCTTGGATACTTCAAGTTTGGTGGCTCTACCATTCTTCTTGTTATACCTACTCAAAATGTTTTGTTCGACACAGATCTGCTGCAAAATTCCAATGAACGGATCGAGACATTGGTCAAAGTCGGTATGAGCATCGGGCATACACGTTCAGTCAAAGAGCACAAACGTGAAAAACATGTTCTTACGAATAAGGCAGAAATTGATAAAATCAAAAGAATAATATCTGTCTCCGACGAAGCTGCTGATCATATCGGGAATGTGACCTGGGAATTTCGCAACCTCCAAAGAAGACTTGCAGCTCAACGTAATGTGTTAGATACAACAGAAATCTCAGACTCCAATGAAACTGCTAAGGACCTCGAGTTAATGAGCATACTCTCCGGGTAGACAACCGACATTGAACCAAGACACGGTCATCACGTGTATATATTTATTGTCAATGATTGAAGTTAAGTAACTTTTCATGATATTTAACTTGGCGCGAAATTTAAGACCTACCAAATCAAGAATTCTCTGGAATTGATCATGGACTCAATCCTAAGTCGTTTCAAGTATGTGCATTGTTCTACTGAGCCAACTCATTAACGCTCTTAGTGCTTACTGAAAATATACTAACTTTGAGCTGTTCAATTCCAGTGACTCTCGAACAGAGGAAGACAGCGACCCTGTCAAAAGAGAGAAGTTGTCCATTGAGTCAGGAACCAATCCATTTTTTCTGAAATATGAAGAAAGGAAATATGACGGACAGTATTTTGCCATGTATCAATATAGACTCAAGGTTTTACGGGAAAGGGTAACTCAAAGCTGTGAGGAAAAGTGGGATTCGCACTTCGAATTGAACAACCGTAGGATCGTGAAGAAGAACAAAGTTCTAGATATTCAGGCTAATGAGCCATGCTGGTGCGTAGGAACCATTTACTGTGAGATGAGGTATAAACCAAATGTTCTGGAGGAAGTTGTGAACGATGTTTACGGTGCGCCTGACTTGGTCAAGAGTTACACAGATGCCGAAGGTTCTGACGAAATAATGCTTGAGGATGAAAGCGGACGCGTATTACTAGTCGGGGATATCGTGCAGTCGAAGCCCTTTATCAGCGGAACCGTCGTGGGCATCTTAGGCATGGAAGCGGATGCTGGAGCCTTCCAAGTCCTGGACATATGTTATCCCTACGCGCTCCCTCAGAGTAAACTTCCTCAGAATCCAACTGCAGGAAAAATAGCTTTGGTTTCGGGTCTCAACATAAATACAGAAAATCCCAAACTCTCTCTAAAGTTACAATTGCTGCAAGAGTATCTAACTGGGGACTTGATCGATATTGATTCAGTTTCTAAAATCAATAGACTTATTGTTTGCGGAAATTCAATAAACCCTACAGAGGCAACGGCACTGGGAGGCTGCCTGAAGGAGCTTGGTACGTTTCTAGGTAACACGCTGCAATCTATGCCTATAGATTTGATGCCAGGAGCTAATGATCTCAGTGATCAAAGTCTACCTCAACAGCCACTTCACAAGGCTCTCTTCGAAGGTACAATAAAACCGTTTTTCAAAGACATCGAAAATGAGCTTTTCTCACCAACCACCAATCCGGTTTGGTTTAAATTTAATGGTATTGAAATGCTTGGGACGAGTGGTCAAAATATTGACGATATATGCAAGTATATCATTCCCAATCTATCAACTTCCGAGCCAGACTCTAGTGGAGAAGGAGACATGAACGTCAGATTAAATATGATGGAAGGTTGTCTTAAATGGCAAAATATAGCGCCAACTGCGCCTGACACCCTTTGGTGCTACCCTTATAAATCAGATGACCCTTTCATTTTGAACAAACTGCCGCATGTGTACTTTGTGGGTAATCAGCCCGCGTATATGTCAAGGGATGTGAAGCTAGAAGGTGGCCTCAATGTTAAGATTATGACAATACCCAAATTCAGCGAAACTGGTGAAATCGTCATTCTGGATTTAAAAACATTGGAAGCGGAAGTTGTAACAATTCAAGTATAGTATTTACATGCATAGTCTAAGGAATGATACTTGACATTCCAATTCTGGGTGGTATTCTTTTGATGGGGACTGAACGTCCTTTTTTATTAGCTTCTGCACCATATGCGGCGTCCAGACCCAATAAGGCGTGTGACAAGGACCTTTTGTTCCTAGAAACATCAATACGATCGAGCAAATCTCCCGATAGTGCTGGGATAATTGGTTGAGAAATGATAGCTGTTATTCTCACAACCTCAACAGCTGTGAAAATTACAAGGTCTTGTTCCTTACCTGATTTGAGCCAAGGTGTGGTATTCTGTACAAAAGCATTTGCTTCGCCAATAATTTCCCAAAGAAGTTTTAGGGCGGATCGTGTGTCCAGCTTCAGCATGTGTTTGTTAAACGATTCTGGAAGAGCTCCCAATAGTGTTACAAGATTTAAATACGATGTTTTCGTTTGTTGGTCTTGAAAATTATGAGAAAGCTCTTCTGAATTTTTGGAGTTGACAGCAAATGTTTCGACTGCTCTTGATATATTGAACTTGTTGCCACAACAGCGATTTAATAAGTTTCCCCATTTTGAAACAAGCTGCTCCCTTGTAGCATGTAAACGTTCCTCGCGAAAGTCTCCGTCTGCCTCAATATGAGAATTTTCGAGAATATACCATCTCACTGGGTCACAGCCGTAGTGTGAAATAATGTCTATCGGATCAACAACGTTACCTACGGACTTGCTCATCTTGGTACCTCCTGAAAGCCAGTGGCCATGAATTATAATCTGCTTAGGTAAAGGAAGACCGGCAGCCATTAGGAAGCTTGGCCAATAAATGGTATGGAACTTAGAGATGTCTTTGCCGATCAAGTGACTAGTGCTGCCCCACCAATCGCGAGGGTTTTGAAGAGTTGTGTAGCCTTTATGTTTCAGCCTTACAGGAGTGTTGGATATCACAGCTTCTAGACCACCAATTGAGGTTATGTAGTTGCAGAGCGCATCGAACCAGACGTAGATTTTTTGGGTAGGATCTTGGGGTACGTCTATTCCCCACTTGATTCTTGAACAGGGCCTTGAAATGGAGAGATCGCGAAGCTTGAACTCCCGTAGTTCATTGATAATTTGATCCCGCCTTGAAGGTGGGTAGATAAACTGCGGGTTTTCGACTTCTAATAATGACGTCAAGCGGTCTTGGAACGCTGAAAGCTTGAAAAAATAGTTGGTCTCAGAATGATAGACGACTTCGTTCCTGGTCTCTGTATTTATGAATTTGGCGTCTCGGTCGATGTCAAGGTCGCTAAGGCTTAGTTCGCTTCCATCTTCTTTGATTTGTACGACTTTTGAATCTGGGTAGAAACACTCATCCGAGATAGAGTACCACCCTTGATGCTCTCCCTTATAAATGTATCCGCGATCCCAACACCTTTTCCACAAGTCTTGAACAGATTTCGCGTGATCATCGTCAGTAGTCCTAATAAATCGCGTATAATCAATTTGGGCCATTTCATCTAATTTAACAAAATCGCGGTAAAGCGTGTCCACGAATTGCATTGGAGTCTTGTATCCGTTTTTTTCGCTTGCGGTTTGAATCTTCAAGCCATGCTCATCGGTTCCCGTTGTCAACAGTGTTTTTTGATCTAGCAAGCCATGCCATCTCTTACTAGCATCACATAGTAAACTTGAGTACAAGTGGCCCAAATGCGGCTTAGCGTTAGGGTAGAATATTGGTGTGGTTATATGATACAGCTGATTTTTCGCGAGTGCATTGCAAGCTCTCGGAAGGGCTTGTTTCATGTCAGTAGCATTCAATTTCTTATTCTATTTTACAGTTCTGCGATGCCCAAATTATACCGTAATTTTCAAAATCTTTAACAGAACACTACAATTACATAGATGGATTCTTTGCTTTAACGCCCTGGTGAAGTACTACTTACGCTAGCCTCATGAAGAAATTGGTCGAGGTTTGGTTGCAAAGGATCCATCAAATAACTTATGTTTCTTATGTTTCTCATATATATATACGACGGCTTACACAAATATAGCCATAAGTGCAAAAACACTGTAAAATATCGAGAGTGGGTAGGCAATTAAAACTCTGGTGTTGTGTAGATGCAAAGCTACAGTGAAAAATCCGGAGGATGACCAAGTGCACCAACACACAAACAACAAAGCCAGTACGTAGCCAAGGACGTTATTGAGCGGGATAAAAACGCCAACGAGCGACAAAAGACACAGCGGTAGGAAGCAATACCCAAGTATTGAAGCTGTTCTTAGAAAAAGTTGGTCAGTTTTAGGTTTGTTTTCCTCGCTGCCCATAAGTCGAAGCAGGGTGTGTAGAGAGATCGTGCCAAAAAGTGCCACGCCGTAGATGTAACCAAAATGAACTTTACCCGCTGCTAGCAGCAGAGTGCCAAAAAGAAGACAGAATATCAGCGGACCTGCGAGGTCGCAATCTGCGATGACTTCGGCCGACAAAGAATCGGCTCGCTGCAAGGGTTGCAAAACAACTTTAGTCTTGGCTAGAATGTGGTTGAAATTGATCCCAATCTCTTCCAAAAGTGGCAGTTCGTGTGGGTGACCTTTGGTAGACAATGCATTGAGCAATCCCTGGGGAAGAGGATCTTGCGAGAACGCTTGTGCTGTGGGTTGCTGTGTGAAAGACATGGAGCCTTGGGGGACTTGGAACTGCGCTGAAGGCTGGTAAAAGCCAGACCCTTCGTTTGGTATGCCAGGATTGTAGAAGGACATATTTGGACTGGCTAAAGTTCTCCTTTTTTTTAGGAAGAGTTGACAGATGGAGAAGCTTTTTGTTGATCAATTGAAGGCAGATCTCGCGCGTCAACAGCTTTATTAAACCCTGAGCTTTTCGATTGAGGTGGAAGTAGTCTAAGGTAGCTAAAAGTGCTTGCAAAGAGTCTCGAAGTTAGGTTTTCGAATAATCTTTAACTCTTGAATTATTGATGGGAAAAATGTCAAAAGTAGGATGAAGATATATTTTTGAAACTTGAAAATTATGATACTGATCAGCTCTTTAACATCAAAACCTCTTCAAAAAGCATTTGACACTCAATAGGGCGATTAAGATGGGTGTAATCGAAAAGATCAAGGCGGTGGAGGAGGAGATGGCTCGGACGCAGAAAAATAAGGCGACCGAGTACCATTTGGGACTTCTAAAGGGTAAACTGGCTCGCTTTAGGCAACAGCTGTTGGCCGAAGAAACAGCGCCCAGCGGTGGTGGTGGTACTGGTTTCGAGGTGGCCAAGTCGGGAGATGCACGTGCGGTCCTAATTGGATACCCCTCTGTAGGTAAGTCCTCACTGTTAGGTAAGATAACCACTACTAAGTCTGAAATTGCCCATTATGCATTTACCACCTTAACGTCAGTTCCTGGGGTGTTGAAATACCAAGGTGCCGAGGTGCAGATTGTCGATTTGCCCGGTATCATTCATGGAGCGTCTCAAGGCAAAGGTAGAGGTAGACAAGTTGTTTCTACTGCGAGGACCGCAGATTTAATTTTGATGGTCTTAGACGCTACGAAGGGCGCGCATCAACGTGAATCCTTAGAAAAAGAACTCGAAGCCGTAGGGATTCGTTTGAATAAGGAGAGGCCCAATATCTATTACAAGAAGAAGGAAACTGGTGGTGTCAAAGTCACTTTCACATCTCCGTCTAGAGCAAACTTAACCGAAGAAGCCATCAAGGGTATCTTAAAGGACTATAAAATCCACAATGCTGATGTCTTGGTGCGTGACGACCAATGCACAATCGACGATTTCATTGACATCCTAAATGACCAGCATTGCAATTACATTAAATGTTTGTATGCATACAACAAGATCGATGCAGTTTCGCTGGAAGAGGTAGATCGTTTGGCTCGTGAGCCCAACACCGTAGTAATGTCATGTGAGAGCGACCTGGGGCTTGACGACGTAGTGGAGGAAATTTGGTACCAGCTAAATTTGAGTCGCGTTTACACCAAGAAAAGAGGTATAAGACCAGATTTTTCAGATCCGCTAGTTGTGAGAAATAAGTCCTCAATCGGCGATCTGTGCCATTCGGTTCACAGAGACTTCAAGGACAAATTTAAATACGCATTGGTTTGGGGGTCTTCTGCCAAACATTCGCCACAAAAATGTGGTTTAACGCATAAGATTCGCGACGAAGACGTTGTGAGTCTTTTCACTAAATAGATATTGTAATTGTGAGAGGTTTAAGAGTAATATAGAAATGAAGAAAGCTTACGGGCGGCTGGGCGAGTGCCATACCGCTATACAGTTGATGTTTATCTGACACTGTCATACAAATTAAAACCATTCACGCTCTAGTAAATTCGAAACGATTGTTTGACTACGAGGCATAAACATAAACATTAATCTAAAATTACAAATATCGCCGCTCAGTGCAAATTCTCTGATTATTAACTAAGATGTAACTGAGCATACTATAACGTCAGCCGCAGCCGACTCCAGCAAAGCGCAGATGTTTGGTGAGACAAAAATATTCACAGGTCCAGAGAAGACAGCTATAATCTTCAAAGACATAATACTCATTATAAAAAGGCAACTTGGCCGAGTGGTTAAGGCGAAAGATTAGAAATCTTTTGGGCTCTGCCCGCGCAGGTTCAAATCCTGCAGTTGTCGTTATTTTTTTGGCTGGTGAAAAGTGATAGAGATAGTAAGTTTTATTGGGATTGCTCGTCATTCTCTGGGAATTTACAAAAGGCTGCTCCTCTATATGATTAACACATTACTCGCCTGTTTCGAATGCAAGATAAAAACACTTGAAATTTGACCTATTGATCAATTTTTATTAACATCTTCTGTAAAACTCTAAACTAGTAATTGCGCTACAGTTAAATGTATGAGCTTGGCATAAAAATAATTCGTTCAAGTTAGCACTTAGGCTTTGAGGACAACATCGAGTCTCTTGAAACCACCCTTGTCTCTGCAGTTTTCTTGGTGAATGGCCATCAATCTTTGGGCTTCCAAAGGATCCTCGGCCTCATTTGGCTCGTCCCAAGACAAGTACTCGTTGGTGTAGTTGGCCTTGTAGTCGACTGGCAAGATCTCTAGTCTCTTACCGTAACCGGTAACCTTGTTCCAGTCACGGTGGACGTTGAACAAGGAAGAGGAGAAGTAAGCGTAACATCTCTGGTACTGCTTGAAGTTCATGTCGTTGTCAAGCTCTGGCTTGAAGTCGACGTACTCCTTCCAGGCAGCGATTGGGCTTTCCAAGACGTAGTCAGTGGCCTTCTTGACGGCGGTCAAGAATTTTCTAACCTTCTCTGGGTTGGCGGCCAAGAATTCATCGTTGCAAATGTACAAGATGGTACAGAAACAACAGCAGCCTAGACAAGCCAACTTGTCGATTCTCAACATCTTGGCGTCGGTAACAGGCTTACCTTCTTTCTTCAAGTACTCTTCCAATTCAACTTGTTGCATACATTCGATACCAATACCGGCGTGAATCTTACCTTCAATGATGTACTTGGCGACGTTCATACCGCATCTAACAGCAGTGTAGTCGGAAGGAGTCATACCGTAGTGCTTGGTCAACTCATCCAATTGGATTTTGCCGAACTCACCGACGTATCCGATCTTCTTACCCTTTAGGGATTGGAAGTCTTCAGTGATACCGCTGCCGTTCATGTACAACAAACCGGTGAATGGTTCATCCAAAAGCGAACCGACGGAGGTCACTGGGAAACCTCTGGCCTTGGCGGCCAAGGTGTGGATCATAGCCTTTAGACCCATGTCAACCTTACCGGAACCGATCAATTCAGTAACATCGGAAGGGTTGGTTGGCTCCAAAAGAGCGACATCCAAACCCTGCTCCTTGAAGAAGCCCTTAGTTTGGGCCAAAAAGAGAGGGATGTGGTATGGGGCAGGTTGCCAGTTCAATAGAAAAGTGATCTTATCGGTAGACATTGTTGAGATATTGTGCACTGATGAGTTGAGGGTATAAAACAATAGAACTGATGCTAAACCTGATATAACTCTCCATTTTAGTCCCCTTATATACCCTTTTTCCAATTGATCCTATCTAACTTCCTTTCCAAGTTTCTCATTCAAATCTCTAACACCTGCTCGACTCCTCATCGTAACGTTCACTCACCAAAATAGCTCAGCTCATTCTCGAGTCCCATGCGTGTCTCAACCCTTTAAAAAAACGCCTAGACTTGCTTCAACACTACTATCCATCCGTGGTATGGGCTCATTTCATCGCGCTCTGAACTTCAATTGATGTTTTTATCTGATTTTTCATACTATGCAATGTCAAGTCCGAACCAACATGCAGCTTTGAATATTTTAACGTAGATTTTATAAAACTCTAACAACTTCAAGAATTATTTTGGAAAAAAAGGATAAGGTGCGTTGGACCAGCCAGCCAATTGTCATAGCAGCATGTGCGAATGAGCTTGATTGTGGTAGATATGGGACAGGCGCAGCTGTTAGCCGCGAAAAACAGTGCAGTCATGGGGTTGGACCGGTTACGAATCATAGGGCAGTGTATTGGAATAGAGTTGATATCTGGCGATGCATTTAAGGTCAAACTGGTAGTACAAAGCGTTCAAGAGCTCATCACGAGAGAAAGCTTCGACAACGGAAGCAGCCTGGAAATTTTGGTAGGAGAACAGATTTATCGCCGGTGCCTAGGAGCGCTTGTAGAAGGCAGCGTGTGCGATTCGATGTGTTGCGTGGTGGAAGGTGAAATTGAAGCCATGGACGTGCGGATTTGGACGTTGTCAGACCTCAAAGCATTTAGAGAATTCTGGAACAGCTCTACCGGAAGGCAATGGAGATCGATTAATGCGACATATGGCTAGGCGATATATCCGTACCGGTGAAAATATGAAGGATCTGAAACCGGTTTGGCGGAGGCGCGAGAAAAGGCTTATCTCCCGTGCTGCGGATCTTTACGGTTTCAGATGAAGGATGCCACAGGCGTAAGTTCTATGATTTGCAACGGGATACACACCATTGCCACAAATACAGCACGTTTTTTGAGGCGTGGTTAGAAGCCCTTCCTCGTTGCTTGAGCGAAGACTCCAAGATTGGAACTGCACAACAATGCTTCAAGTGTATGCAAAAGTGGATAACAAAAATTCCCCATCATTTGATGATCAAAGAAAGCGTTCACTAATCTAGCTTGGACTGTCGAGCCAGACTCAGTATAAAACGACCTTATTAGCTGCACTCAATGGACCAGACATATTATAGAAGAATCTGATCACATGCTTTGAGTAATTGAATCTGATCATGGTACTGTGGGTACTTGAATCTGATTCCATATCCAAGTACTCGGATCCGATCACAATACTCTAAGTACTTGAACCTGGTCACAAAACTCCAAGTAGTCGAATCTGATTACAGTACTCTAAGTTACCGAATCCAGACCCAGACATACTGTAAGAGAATGTGACTATCTACACTCACATTCCGTTAATCACAGTCCAGACATACTGCAAGTAAACCTGGTTATCTGGATTTCATTTCTACAATGTTCTGCATGTTTGCTTATACCGCTTTTCTATGAGTACAACTAGTGCCCAAAAAAAAGCAAGAGATTGCGAGCTCTTTCGCTGCCCAACAACGCTGGACCAAAAAACTGGGCTGAAACTGCCGTGACACAGTAATATGTAAAGTTGTCGATGTTCAAATGCTTAATTTCAGGGCTGCGAATTGCCCTCTATCTAATATACAAATATTCACCTAGTATACGACGACCCCAGATACCCTGCTTAAAAAGCGATTTTCTTGCCGTTTCTACGCTTGTTGGTGAGTAGGACTTTTTGTTTTTGAGCCTCTTCTTCCTCTTCGACCTCACTTTCCATTTCGCTGTCGACATCCATTTCTTCGCTCTCCTCGCCCTCGGCGGCCTCAGCCTGTTTGGCTTCAGCACGCTGTAGTTCGACGGTTCTGATGTTCAGTAGCTCAGGGTTCGACTCCACGAGCCTCTTGTCTCTTAAGAAGTCCCGTTCCTTGTTGCCCCGCATACGGTTCTTGTAGAACGCACGTTCTCTCTTCAGCCTGATCTCCTCGACTCTGGCCATGGCCCTCAAGGTAGTGGCCACGAGTTCACGGTTGTAACGCACTGGAACGTTTCTACGCTGAGCGAACGCCAGCGTGCTGTCCACGGCGAGTTCCTTACCAGCGGCCTTGCGGAACGCTTTAGTCCAGCGTAGCTTTCTGGGGTTTCTACGCTGCTTGAAGTTCTTGTGGCACTTGGACCTGCAAAACCGGAACTCCTTGGCGTCGTTTCTCACAAACATGATACCATGACTGGGATACACCGGCGACGAACAAAAATGACAACTGTAAACTCTCATTTCTGGTATGCTTCAACGATCGCTGCTCTTTTAGAAATTCCAAACGTGTCTCTTTGACTTCCGACACAAGACCAACAGCTAATGATGGTACCCAAAGATAATGCTTTCAACTTTCTTTCAAAAGTTTTGCCGATGAGATGAGATGAGATGAGATGGGATGAGCTACTAAAAATTTTTTTCATTCTTTTTTTGAACATGAAGAAATCAGAACTTGATAATAATGATCAATTTCGGCAAATAGAATTTGAAGTACGTCAAGTCAGTTCTCCAGCAAAAATGGCACCTATCGAGGCCCCACAACTGGCTATACCTGGAGGAGGCAACTATGGAAACTCAGGGCCCTCTATGGATCAATCAGTGGCTCAAAATGGTCCAGTATTGACGGAGCAAGCGGCGCAGAAAAAAGGAATGGACCAGATCTTCGACGATTGTCTGAATTACATGGGTCAACATCCGATTTTGAGTGGAGTAGGTGGATTTTTGGGGCTGTACTTTACCGCCGGCGCCTACAAAAGCGTTTCAAAAATTCTTGGGGGTGGGAAAACAGCCGTGCAGTTTGCGAAAGGAGGATTCGACAACAAGATGAATATCAAAGAAGCACTCCAAATCCTGAACTTAACGGAGGCTAACTTGAATCGCAAGAAGCTGAAAGAGGTCCACAGACGCATTATGCTTGCAAACCACCCGGATAAGGGCGGAAGTCCATATGTAGCCACTAAGATTAACGAGGCTAAAGATTTTCTAGAAAAGAGAGGGTTGAAAAAGTAGCCTGAGCAGTACGCCAGGAGCAGCTGTTAGTTTTGTCTGTAATGCGAAGAAGACATGTGGCTACTTGTGAAATATGACATGTAGATAGTAACATTTTTAACGATTAAAGAGGCACTTTAGAGTCCCACGCTGAGAGCAGTGGTCAAACTGCGAACTTTACAGTTTCCGTATCGTGAAAATGTTGAGTACGATGCGGATAATCTAGCCGAAGCATACTTCATTAGTTTATTGAGAAACTTCAATTGTCTGTTTAATTGTCATCGGCTGAATACAAGAATGTCATCGCAAGTGCATAATGCGACACATATTTATCTTGTAGCAATTGTGTGCTTGGCAGAAGCCTGGAAAGGATATAATAGGGGTTATGTTTGCACGCAATTGAATCAGCTCTACGTATCGTTTAAGAGCGCGCCGTCAAAACATGCGTTTAGTAGCTCTTGAGTCTTAAATCAGCGAACGGCCTCTAATTTATGACATGTAAACTGCTTGTTGGACCTTTTCCCCACAATGAGCACACGAGCTTCCCACATGCGTCACGAAATGTCGAAAACAAGAAACATGCCACGCACTCTCCCCACACTGACATTTGGCACCTTGCAATGCAATTTCGTGGCATACAACGCATACAGGTACCTCAAATCTGGCTTGAATGTACTCTTGGAGCTCTGCGAGTGCTCTGACATCCAGACCAATTCGGCCTTGATCGGTCATATAGAACCACCGCAACTGACATAGATGAACCAAAAGTCCTTCCACCTCGAGTGCGTTTAGTTCTTCATACTGACAGAGCTCAGTGGACCCGCAAGTGTAATCAACTTTAAGTTTTAGACCGTCAAATTCGGATGTGCTAAATTTCTCGCTCAACACATTGTCTACAGCGGTCTCTACATTGCTCTTGACGGCATTTACTTCCTGTGCTGACTTGTCGTCTTCCAAGCAGCGTTGGATTGCCCATTGTACAAATGTTAGGTCGTCCGGCTTGAGAGAAGTAGCGGATTTCGTATCATCTGCTGGCGCCAGGTCGACATACACGTAGTTCCACTCTCCCAAACGACCCATCTGTCGTACTATTTTAAAATCAATTACATTAAGAGCCAAATTAATGCGTGTCACCCAGCTCTTCAACATTTGGCTCGAGTCATTATGGCTTAAAGTTGTCGGATCTAGCGCTTCCAAAGCCTTAACTAGTTGTGTTCCTTCGCATGATCCGCGATGCAAAAGAAGATACTGCAGCAAAAGTTTGTCTCTAGTGTCTTCGCTTAAGACATTGTCCAGTTGCGAGCCTATCGTAAGCGATTCTTCCATCGCTAGTGTCTTGATATTATATAAATTATCGACATAAAATCGTAATGAAATGACAATACGAGATCTTCAAATTCTTGCAATTAAAAGCTAACAAGAAATAGTCATATAATGATCAGCAAGAATGGGGGTCGGAGCTCTATCTCTAGCACACCGAGCTTAACAAGCTTGGTTGTGTCTAAGGAACATCTCCTGAAAGTATGGGTAAAGCTGGACCCTTCTAAAATGGAACTTGACGTGACCAACCAACCTACAGCAATAGTATACGAAAAGACGGATACTGTGGACGATCTGAAGGACCGTATATTTGCTAAATTCAGAAACACAAGGTGGGCTATGGAAAACGACAGTTTTGGAATCGGCATAGGGTGTCTTTGCGAATGTGGACTCGAGGATAACATTCTCAATCTCCAACAAGAACAAAATGAAGTTTCCAAGTCCGATCCCATGAAAGATCAGCTCTTGCATCCCGTGCCAAATTCAGCAGCGAGAAATGTTCAAGTAGAATTTAGCCGAGCACCATCGACATCATGGCACACACCGAAAACCTGCAGCCCAAGAGTGTCCAATCTTGGGTCGCCATTGCCATTGCATGCAAATAAACTCCATAGTTGCACACCAGGCTCAACGCCATTGGCTCAACTGCGACTTGGAAGCAAGGATCCACATGCCGCAGAGCCTTGTTCGTTATCTCCAGTGAAGCGTGGCGAATCGACGATGCTTTCGCGCAGTCTTAATGCCGCGTCTGTTATAGCCCCCAAACCCAACGACCTGCCCCGAGCACAGCTACATCAATCTCTTCTCGAACCCGACGAGCTGCTGATAAACGTTTGCAAGATTTTATTTGGAGGAATCGCAACGCAAAAAGCTGCCGATGCTTTGATAATATTCTCTAATGCCGAAGACGCATACATTTTTGATGACGAAAACATTCAGAATGATGATGACGGACCTTTGATAGAGGATATGGCTGATTACAAACTAATAGTAGACGAGGAACAGCTACGCAAACTCAGTTTAAGTAATGACGAAGAAAGCACAGATCACAAGCAAGCGATATTGCTTTTGCCTCGAGGATTCGAGGGTGACGTTAATCTACCTTCTCCGAATGTGATTTCACCGTCTACGACAATGAGTACCCATGGACCTTCGGGGTTCACATCGCCTACTATCACAAATGCCCCTTTAGTGGAGGAAGGAATCGGGCTGGTACCGTGTAGAGACCCTATGGTTCAAAGAGAAGGATCTCCGTTTCTTCAGAGTGCCATGGAGGCAGTGACAACGGAGTCTATCACTAGAGACAAGGTTTTCCCTAAAATCAACGTCCTGGTGGTAGAAGACAATATGATAAATCAAGCAATTTTATCGTCGTTCTTGCGCAAGCACAAGATTTCCTATAAAGCTGCAAAAAACGGCCTAGAGGCCGTGGAAAAGTGGAAAGAGGGTGGCATACATTTAATACTAATGGATTTAGGACTACCGATATTATCCGGGATAGACGCGGCTAAAGAAATACGGAAACTTGAGAAAGTAAATGGCATTGGTACCACTGTAAGGTCCAACACTGGTTCACAAAATGAATTAGGCTTAGAGCCGCGTAGAAGTTTCAGCTCGAAGGCTCCGGTAATAATCGTCGCTCTCACGGCCTCCAATTCCCAAAGTGACAAAACGGAAGCTCTCTTGGCTGGATGCAATGACTACTTGACCAAGCCAGTAAATCTTGACTGGCTAACACGAAAGATTACCGAGTGGGGCTGCATGCAAGCTCTCATCGACTTTAATGATTGGAAAGAGGCTAATGACAGAATAACATCTGGTCCAGATCGTGATCTTTCTCACAAAGTGGATAAATCTTCTTTCTCAGAGGCAAAAAAAGGCAATGCGAAACAAGAAGTGTCACATCTGAGTAACTTGATCAACGGAAAACACCGGTAGTTGTCTTAAGGATGCGAGGAAGGTATAGATGAATTTATAGGTACGTTTAATGAGTGTCGTGAAACACGGGTCATTCTGCTCGAAATGAAGGTCGCGTGCGAACCTAAAAGTTGACATACTCACATTAACCATTCTCCGCAAACAACGCATTCATGATCAACTCCGTCCGACATGTCTGATCAACGAATCTTCTCTAAGTATAAGGCACATGAAATTCGAAGTGAGCTTCAGCAGGGAAATTCGAAGAAGCACCGAGCTTCTGCAATCAAGCGAAAGAATGCATTGAAAAAAATTGTTGTTAACCTGTCCATGGGATTCTCCTCCGAGATGGCTCTCTTGTTTCCCGAGATCTTGCAGTATTGGCATATCGATGATGATATGGAGGTGAAGCGTATCTGCCATCATTTCCTTGTCGCTATGGCTCCAACAAAGTCGGCAAATTTCCAAGAAGCCTTGCGACTAGTCACAGAGGACTTCAACTCGGGGAACGAGCCACTTCGAGTTCTGGCATTGAGGACGCTTTCCTCGGTGCCAATTAGCACTTATTTCGATGAATGCCGCAAGTCTGTCTATATGGTGCTGAATAAAGGCTCTGAGTCGGAACAATTGAAGAAAACGGCTCTTTACGCGGCTCGAAAACTAACTCAGATGGAAGACAAACAATCTGGTGCAATCATAAACTTCTTACACCAAATTATGGAAAATCAGAAGGAAAAACCAGGCATACGAGCAAATGCACTCTACGTTCTTTATGAGATTCAAGAGACCACCAAAACCCTTCAAACCCTCACTCTGGACTTTGATACATGTATGGACATGTTAGAATTACTACCAGCACTAAATGAATGGGATAATTCTCGACTTTTGGATTCCTTGACTGGAAACTACATTCCTCAAAATCATTCAGATGCACATTACATGATCGAAAAAACGATCCCGCAATTACAGCACGCTAATACATCTGTGGTTCTAAATGCTTTCAAATTTGTTATTTATTTGACAAATTACGTCGACTTTTTGATGGAGAGTTTGGTTAAGCAGTTGTCCGCATCCATAATATCGTTACTTAACAAACCACCAGAATTGGAGTTTTTGGTTCTAAGGAACATTATTCTACTACTAATCGGTAGAGAAAAACCTATTTTAAGCGTGGATGTATCATACTTTTTCGTTGAGTTTAACGACCCCATTTACATTAAGGATACGAAGTTAGAAATCTTGTACCTTCTAGCTAAAGAAGATAATCTCTCTCAAATATTGCAAGAACTTAAAGAATATGCTACTGATATCGACATACAGATGTCACGGAAAGCTATCAGAGCAGTGGGAAACTTGGCGGTCAAGCTGGAACGGTGCGTCGATGAGTGCATGAATCTTTTACTTGAACTTCTGGACTTTGAAGTGGAGTACATTGTTCAAGAGATCGTATCTGTTTTCAAGAACGTCCTGAGACGGTATCCTGAAAAATACGAAATCTGCTTATTCAAGCTAATACATTTCACTGATTCCGTACAGGAACCAGAGTCACGCGGTTCTATGATTTGGATTATTACGCAATATTCAGATCATTTACGCAATTACTTGGAATTATTTCAATCGTTCACTGATAACTTTTTGAATGAAGCACTGGAAGTCCAATTTTCCATACTAAGCTCTGTGATAAAGCTATTTACAAGGAATCCGACACCTGCCACTGAAAAACTGTGCATAGATATACTGAAGTGTTCCACAGAAAAGTCAGACTGTCCCGACCTAAGAGATAGAGCATTCATGTATTGGAGACTCTTATCTTCTGCGCAGCAATCGCAAGGCAGCTTGATAGACATGAACGCTGTTAGAGAAATAGTGGATGGTGCGTTGCCGGTCATCGCCTTGAATTCACATTTGGATCCGCAGATTGTTGAAGAGCTAGAGCTCAACATAGGAACGATTGCTTCCATATACTTGAAACCGGTTGGCCAAGTATTCCGGCTGAATAAGCCAAGGCGCCTTCCTAGAAGCCCTGCTTTCAATTCAAATCGTGATGGTATTGAGGTCATAAGCGAGAACTCGCGAAGCCATTCCTCAAGCTTAACAGAGAAAAGCAGCGGGTCGAGACCTCGGAGGAAGTCTTCGCCTGTTAAGAAGATGGAGGACTATGATAGACCAGCAGAGACGATCAATCAATTGAAGTTAAAGAAAAAAACCAGTAGTGCTGCGATGAATTTAACACGAAAACCTTCCATTCTAGCACGAAAGCTTTCGATGAGAAAGCCATTTGCATGAGACTTCGAGTTTCGCCAGAAGCTCACTATCACTTGATTTTCAAATGTCTAATATATATGAACCTAACGAACTTAAAACAACAAAATCTTTACTGAACTTTTTTTGTTCAAAAAGTCCCTCAAGACTTTAAATAGTGCAGCGCAGTCTTCGCTTGTGAATAACGTGTTAGTTTTTGGATCCAAGTAGCTAGCATCTAAGAAGATATCCAGTTTCTCTTTACCTTCAAAAAAAGAATCTGTCGCTTCCGTAATTTTGGCCATTCGCGCAGGTGTCGAGATGTAGTACTTCACTTCTTTCTCCTTCTTCTTGTCTTTGGCTTTTGATTTACCTGTCTTGCCATCTTTCGAGTCAGAACCTTTCAAAAGCTGGTCAACTCGTGCCACATCGTCTTTCAATTTAGTCTTTGAAAACAGTTTGACAGCAGTTTGGGAACCACCTAAGCTTCTGAAAACATCTGCCACTCTAATATTCGAAGCTGAGAGAACCACGGCTCTAGGAGACTTCGAGAAAGTGTTAACAAAGTCTTGCAAGTTATCCAAATTTCTTTCCTTTTCATACCTCTCGGTAGAAATAAAATTAGTTTTCTTGAAATACTGTTCCTCGAGCTCCAAAGCACTCAGATCTGGATTTTTCTCCCGAATGAGAGTTGCTAGGTATTCGGAAATACGCTCTGAGCTGGACCTTGGCAGTAGTTTTTTCTGTTCCGCGTCGTGTTCCATCTTCTCCAGTTTCTTTTGATGCAGTTTGGAATTGGCCAGCTTCTTTTGACGTTTACTTTGCGATTTATTTGAATCATCTGTCTCGCTGCTTCTTCGGCTTCTTTTCACGGTCTCCGACTCGATTGGACTTCCAGGAACTTCAACAGCAGCTTCAGAGTCACTTTCCTGAACCTCATACTCCAAGCCGTCATCCAAGTCATCTCCTAGTGACATCTTGATATTCTATAAAGACTATTTGTCCTGCATTAAATTAAAATCATCAAAGTTAAAAGCTGATCGCAGCGCTAATTTTCAAATTACATTAAAAACTATTATTCTAAAAACTATTATTTTATATTAAGAAAATATAATACAGGGCTACATACTAATAGAAGTACCTGAAGCTTCTGTTTTCAATATCAGTGAGGTCCAGAAATTGGGCTTCAGATTTTTGCTCACCCTCTTGTTCCTTGTCTCTAGCTCGGTTTTCCTTCCTGCAAAGGTATCCGACGTACAATTGCAATGGTACACAAACGCATTGGGTCACCAAGAGTGCAATCTTGGCAGGAACATATCTTGGGTAAGAGCTGGCTCTAAACATTTGTGGTGCCACAATGCAGGCAACATTGTAAACAATCATGGTGATTGCATTACGGTAAACACGTTTGGAATAGCCGGATGTGTTACAGCTATTCCAAATGTAGATATTGGTGATAACACAGGAACCACTGTAAAGCAAATAAAGTGCAAACAAGTTGCCGATCTTGTGAGACAGCGGGAGAGCTAGCATGACGATGCAACCGATAATCGCTGGTATATACATTGAGGTAGTGATCAGCGTGAAGTTACCAAAATATGCCAGCATCTGAGTGGTGATGAGGATGATCATAGCAGTAATGGTACCAATTGGTAACTGCAGAAGCGCGGATTGATAATTATCAAATCCGAACGTCTGTGTAATAGTGACGGAAAAAGTACCAATAGCGCCGGTAGATATCTGTGAACAGGCAGTAATAAGGAGCATTGGGTAAGTGAATTTGTCGTGCAAAAAAAGTTCCTTCAGTTGGTGTTTCTTGAATTTCTTGTTTTCGTGCCCCGTTTGGTTAGCTTTGATGTGGCGGAGCACTTCAATCTTTTCGGTGTCAGTCAAGAACCAAGCGTTGGTGACGTTATTTGGTAGGTAAATGAACGTAGCAATTCCAAAGACCACCGTAATGAGCCCCACCACCAGAAACATGATTTGCCAAGAGGTAAAGACAGTACCATGGTAGTGAAGAAACCCGAAGGAAATGAGGCCTCCTACAATGTAGCCAGTACCTGCCTGTGTGGCCCAAAACCCAATTCTGGCAGACTGCTCAGACTTGGTGTAATACATACCACTGATGGCAATGCAGCCGACGGCACTACTGGATTCAAACATACCCAGCAACACTCTGACGATCATAAGCGACGCATACGACTTGCAGGCCGAGTGGCATGCCAGGACAATGCCCCACAGGGTGATTAACGTACCCATGACCTTGGAAATGGGCCAGCGCTGGATGCAGTACGTGACAAAGGGCTCTGCGAAGATGTATGCGGCCGAAAAGATGGTACCGAGATTCGAAAACTCGTTGCCCTTCAAGTGTTGCTTGATGCCCATTGTGGCCGCGTAGTTGAGCAGCGCCTTGTCCAGAAACATGAAAAAGTACGTGCAGCAGAGAAACGGCAAAATGTAGCAGTCCACTTTGCGAAGCAAGCGTGGTTCCAAAGTGTGTGTACCATAGTAGGTCTGGTGTTCGCCGTTCGTGACTTGCTCACCAGTCCCGTCTTTGCCCAGCGCCACGTCTTCTGCATGTACATTTTTGAGATACCGCAGCGCGACATCGGCGTCTTCGTCCGTGGAAACGTCAACTGCCTCTGTTGAGACTCGCTTTTTCTCGTTGATAGATTCTAGCGACGACATCGGATTTGTGATGCTAGTTTTTTATGCCAGGGACCAACTGGACTGAAAAATCTGCAATTCCTAGAAGCCATTACTTATATACCATTGTCCTCAATTTTATGTACTTATCATTCTCTGTCCACTATTCCTACATTATTCCACAACGCTGAGAACGAGGTCTCTTACTCACTGCTGGGAAACCGTAAGCGTAGTAAGGAAAAAAACTAAGAAGCTGATCTCTATTCTCGACCGAGATGTAGCTGATGCATACTTTGACAGACCGTGTGTATGTTGTAAAGCGAGATCAAGGTCTCGAGAGCGTATTGCTTCACAAAGTTTGGAAAACTGGTAAACTGCAATACCTGGCGGTAATGCACTCAGGGTCTGAAGATCGAGCGAGTTTCCTATATAGGATATTTTCCGAAAAAGGAAAAACTGTCGTGAGGTGTTATGTAATAACGCATAGGCGTCAGCGTCAGACGCAGTGACAGGAAACACAGAAGTGATAAAAAAATAGTAATATATAAGATCTCTTTTGGCTTCTCCAGGACGTGTCGCTACTCAAGCCTTGGCCACAACAAACAAGCCGCATACACACACGGCATGCGCGGAACGACAGTTTTCTTTGCACTAGTGGTTTCAGCTAGAGCAGCCCCCAACCGCCTTTTGGAGGCGCAATGGACGCAAGAATTGCGAGAAAACGCACAAGAGCGTGAGGTTCTGACGCCCTGCACGAGCCAAAATTTGGCGCCGGTGTCCATCTCGGGAAATTCGGCGCGGCTGTCACAGATTTACCCGTTTCTAAATTACGTGGACGTCTTTTATGGCACCCAGGCTCACGGGCATATGTTTCCCGGGACCACAGTGCCCTTTGGAATGTGCAAGATGGGCGTCGATGTGATTGGCCCATATTTCTCCGACTCCTTCGCTGGATACCAGAAGGACGGTGACGTCTGCGGAGTCTCCATGGTCCACGAGTCCGGCATAGATACTACGCCCAGCTACGGCGTGGTTTCGCAACTGCCGATGATGGCAAAGTCACTTTCCGCGGTCGACACGACTCGCCAAATTTCATTTCCCAGGGCCAAGCCTGATGTCGGACACATAGGCTACTACAAAGTATGCTTGGATAACCACATCGACATTGAGTTCTCTTCAAGTAATCGTTCTGGGGTTTACAAATACACATTTCCAGTGAGTTCTCACTTGCGTAACCACAAAAATCCCGAGTCTCCCGTTATAATGGTCAACGTCACCCAACATCTCCATTCATTCAAGAAGCCTTGGTGGTCTCAAAACTTTCAAAGCGGTTTCATCAAAGTCTCAAAAGATTTGAAGTCTTACCGCGGCTTGGCTTATTTTTCTAGCGGTCCTAGCAAAACAATGACCTGGAGTGTCAGTTTCTTTGGAATTTTCGATAAACCAGCAAAGAGAGTTCGAGCTTTCAAAGGAAATCGAACTCACAGCCGACTACGAGTCAACATGGCTGAAGAATTGAATCTGAACATGGGGATACTGTTTGAATTCGAGCCCAACACCCGAATCCTTCATTCTCATGTTGGAGTCAGCTTCAATGACATACCTACGGCAATGGAGAATATTAACCTCAATTACTCTCCTGACCATATGTTCGATCTCAACTGGAGTGTACAAAATGCAGTCGAGACTTGGAACACGGAAGTCTTTTCTAAGGTGTTGCTTGACCCTTTTAATGAAAACCCAGTCATGGTTCGAAACTTTTACAATTCTTTGTACGGTTCTCATTTGATGCCCACGGATAGATCTGGGCTTGAGGCACCCTGGCCGACTAAAGAGCCTTATTATGACGATTGGTCTTCGCTGTGGAAGACGTTTCGATGCTTAATGCCAATGTTCAACATCTTGAATCGTCCCCGTTCTTCTCAGATGATTCGAAGTTTGATTGAGATTTGGAGACACGAAGGGTTTATGCCTGATGGAAGAATAGGAGGCCTTAACACCAGAGCCATTGGTGGGAGCAGTGCCGATATAGTTCTCGCAGATGGATTTGTTAAGGGCATCAATGCAGGCATAAATTGGCCTGACGGGTTTAGAGCCATGCAATCAAATGCAGAACAGCACCCGAGCCATGAATTACACGTCGGCGAAAGACAGGGCAGGGTTGCCATTTCTGATTGGTTGAAATTCGGGTATGTTACTCGAAACTTTCCACGTTCTATGACAAGAACCATGGAGTATGCTTACAATGATTTTGCGCTCTCTGTGGTAGCCAAAGGCCTTGGTTTGATCAGTTTGAGTCAAAAGTACTTGAGCAGGTCTTCAAACTGGCAGAATATTTGGAATTTTAAAGCCATGATACCCGAGTATGCCTATGGCGGTTTCATCCAACCCAAGGACTCGCGGAAAGATTTCATTTCTAAAAGGTATGATCCTTTGTCGTGCTTTGGATGTTATTGGCGGGATGATGCATATATGGGGCTACCCATAGAATACGGTTGGGCTGTTCCGCGTGATGTTGAGACTTTAAAGTCTTTTATTGGGTCTGATGAAACTTTCAAACAGAGGTTGGATGACATGTTTGGCCTCTACGGTGACGGTTACGCCGATTCCTTAAATGAACCAAGTCTTATGACACCGTTTTTGTACAATTTCATTAACCAACAGTTCAGAACTTCTGAGACCTTGGACTACTTGATTGATAAGAAGTTTTCAGTAGGCCCTAAGGGTTTACCACGAGATTCAGGAGCAGGTTCAATGCAAGCATGGCTATGGTTTGCAATCTCAGGTTTTTACCCAATTGCAGGGACCGATGTGTACTTAATGACAAGCCCTAAATTATCGAAAGTCGAAATCAAACTTGAAGGGCATGCCAAGGCCATTGTCTTGGCCCGCAATCTGTACCCAGATGGTCTCAATTCCAAAGTTCGGTTTCAGAGAAGGAACAACTATATTGAGAGCGTGAAACTTAACGGTATCTCACTGAATCGCAGTTGGTTCACTCATGACGAACTCTTTGGTCTGCAAGGCGGCACGCTTGAGTTCAAAATGACCGATAACCCTGTCTTTTGGGACAAAGATGGCGATCTTCCACCAAGTCCTGGGCATTACAGGCGAAATGATATTTCTGTACCGAATCATAACAACGTTCAGAAGGCGACGGACAGACAGGGCCTAATACGAGGGCCCAAAGAGCATCAAAGAGTCGCCGTCAAGAGCAAAAGCATTAGTAGATAAGTATCGCAAATTCATGAAATTTAAAGTAGACAGCTGCATTCCTAGGCGTACAGATTGTGATTTAATGTGGTTCATAAATATAGTAGCTATATACCTTTTTACTTTACTCAACTTTTCCATAAAAAATAATGATCAATTTTAGAAGACCTCATATTTTGATTGGTGCCGAGCTCAAACTATCTGAAGTCCATGGCGCCTATCGACGACTCAGATTCTGATGAAGATGCGCTGAAGAGACCTAGAAACACGAACGCCAAGCGCAAGGTTGGGAAGGTCAAGAAACATGTTCGCATTGAGGAAGATTACAATGAGGACGGAAATTCGATAAGTGAGGGCGACGAAAACATCTTCAGCGATGATGACGATGACGTTGGGCCGTCTAGTGGCAAGAAGAAGAAGAAAAAGCCGGCCAACAAGGTTCTACAAGGCGCCAATGGAGGGTACGCATGGGAAGAAGATATTCAGAGAAGTTGGGATCTGGTAAAAGTTGATGATGAGGGAAACATGGCCGCTCTGGTATCAAGCATCATCGAAGCTCGTAAGAAGCGTGCTAGCAATAAGAATATGACACCATTTCAGCGCGGAATCATCAGAACTATGGTCCTGGTGCTTGACTGCAGCGATGCCATGATGGAGAAAGATTTGCGACCCAATCGACATGCAATGACTATTCAGTATGCCATTAATTTCGTACATGAGTTTTTCGATCAGAATCCAATATCACAAATGGGAATCGTTTGCATGAGAAATGATTTGGCCCAGCTGGTGAGTCAAGTCAGCGGTAACCCTCAGGATCATATCGATGCCTTAAAAGTCATTCGCAAGCAAGACCCATCGGGAAATAGCTCTTTACAGAATGCATTAGAGATGGCGCGAGGACTTTTGTTACACGTACCTGCGCATTGCACTCGGGAAGTGCTCATTGTATTTGGCGCCCTGTCAAGTACAGATCCTGGCGATATACACCAAACCATGGGGTCGCTGGTACAAGAGAGAATAAGAGTGCGAGTTATCGGACTTTCTGCTCAGGTTGCTGTTTGCAAGGAACTTTGTAAGCAAACTAATTACGGCGACAACTCATTTTACGGTGTAATATTGAATGAAGCTCATTTCAAGGATTTATTTACGGAGGCTGTAACACCTCTTCCGGTTAATAAGATTAACAAGGGATTTACGTTGGTAAAGATGGGGTTTCCCACAAGAGTATACGAGGAAATGCCATCGTTTTGTACATGTCATTCGAAGTTGATGTATGGTGGGTATTTTTGTCCCAACTGCAAAAGCAAAGTCTGTTCGCTGCCGACTGTATGTCCTTGTTGTGATTTGATGCTTATCTTGTCAACCCATCTCGCTCGGTCCTACCACCACTTGATGCCTCTGAGGACATTTCAGGAGGTCGACGTATCCGAGAATTTTCCAACCGAAAACTGCTATAGCTGTCAAAAGAAGTTTCCACGACTGAAAAATATGAAAACTCAGGAACTTTTGACGAGCTCCCGGTATCGCTGTAATGATTGTCATCAAGACTTTTGCATCGATTGTGACGTTTTCATCCACGAAATTCTTCATAACTGTCCCGGTTGTGAGTCTCAGCCCGATATTTGAAGGTTTGTCAAACAAGAACTCAGCTGTTCCTCTCGGCGTTTTCTTTGAAGCCGACAATTCGATGAAGATCAAACATTTGATCCTTAAGTTCGCAATATGCGTTCAGTTTATTAGTACAGTTTCATTCTTGGAATACGACACTTCAGTGACTTGTACGTGATTAGTGTTTCTGAGCAAACGCACACCTTGATACCAGGACCGTCGCTGTAAAACAAGAGTCACTTGAAATGTTTCTATTCAGGCGTAATGGTGCCCTTTCTTGAAGTTTCCGGCTGGGCAGCTCCACAAAAACTCAACCCAAAGATAGCTGGGCGAAAGCGTCGGTGATTTTGTCGTTCACATTACTGCAAAGACTCGCTGTCGGCTTTTTATCCCTTGCATGTACATAACTCGGAAACATCTTACGATAATCTCCAGACTGTCGTATAGCATTTGAAACTATATAAAAGTTCACAAGAAATCCAAAAACTAATATCATATTTTCATGACATTGTTACCTCACTAAGTGCGCTTGTCAGTTTCTTCTGGCGCTTGGCGACAACGCCAAGACTGATTTTTCTCGAGCGCTATCATGAGAAAAATTTGATAACTGACAATTTTAAGCGAACAAACAGACCGAGGATCAGACGATAAAGCATTAGGGTATTCGCTCTTAACGCTTAAAAGAGACACAGTTCTTGCCAATAGTGGTCTGAGAAATTTGATAAGAAAGAACTAGTTCGCGAAGTTTAGTTGTGAATTCGGAGTGGTAAAACTCTCATAAAATCGAAAGCCAAGAAGGCGAAGAACAATACTGCTCCTGTAATGGACAAATACACTAATATCCATCATCCGGACTATGTACCGGGAACCTTCAACATCTATTCATCTAATAGCATTGAAAATGGTGTTATTTACGAATCCAGCCTTCGCAAGACAAAAAACGATATTGTGTTGATTCCACAACCGTCGGAATCTCCAAACGACCCTCTTAACTGGTCCAAATCGCGCAAAATGTTGCATTTTGCTTTGATGGCTTTCATAACAGCATTCACGGCAGCAACCAGTAATGATGCCGGTGCCGCTCAGGATTCCTTAAATGAGGACTATGACATATCTTACGACTCTATGAACACCGGCGCAGGCGTTCTATTTCTGGGTATCGGCTGGGCTACGCTTTTCCTGGCGCCACTTGCTAATCTGTATGGTCGCAAAATCACTTACATCATTTGTACCGTTTTAGGCTTGATCGGCGCTATATGGTTTGCGAATGCCACTAAAACTACAGACACTATTTGGTCTCAACTTTTTGTAGGGATCAGCGAATCATGCGCGGAAGCTCAAGTTCAGTTGTCGCTCAGTGACATTTTTTTCCAGCACCAGCTGGGCTCGGTATTGACCGTTTATATCTTGTCCACTAGTGTTGGTACCTTTTTGGGTCCCTTAATTGCCGGATACATTTCGGCACTTACTAGCTTTCGTTGGGTTGGTTGGGTAGCAGCTATCATCTCTGGTGCGCTATTAATTTTTATTATTTTTGGCTGCGAAGAAACATATTTTGATCGTAATAAGTACATGACACCCGTTTCGAGAAAGGAGTTGGATCATCGTGGCCATTACGAGTCCCAAGTCCAAAGGCAGCCGTTGATTGAAAGTTCCGAAAATAGTGACGATTCGGATCCACAAAACGATGTTAAAATTGCCATGAAGCACAAGACAGAGAAAGCGAGCGACATCGATCAAAGCATCAACGCATCCATTGAAGACTTCAAATTAGTAGATGGATCTGACGAAAAACTAAAGCCTTTATATAAGAGAGTCTCAATTATTACCAAGGCAACTAATTTGCAAGGATGGGGGTTCAAACAATATTTCCAATATTTGGCTTTGAACATGAGGATGTTCTTGTTTCCGCCTGTATGGCTATCGGGGATGTTTTGGGGCATCCAGGACGTTTTCCTGACTTTCTATTTGACCACGGAGGAAACCCTGTTTTACGACGCGCCCTGGAATTACAGTGACTATGCGGTAGCCATTATGAACGTTCCTACACTCATCGGCGCTGTTATCGGCTGTATTTATGCTGGCATAATCAGCGACTATTTTGTGTTATGGATGGCTCGTAGGAACAACGGTATCTTGGAGGCTGAGTACAGGCTATACTTCTCTTTTGCGACCGGCATCATAGGACCTGCTGGACTGTTAATGTTTGGAATCGGTGCAGCTCGAGAACTACCTTGGCAAGTGATATATGTCGGCTTAGGTTTTATCGGGTTCAGTTGGGGTTGCTCGGGAGACATAGCGATGGCCTACTTGATGGATTGCTACCCAGATATGATTCTGGAAGGTATGGTATGCACTGCTATCATCAACAACTCAATCTCGTGCATTTTCACATTTGTGTGTTCTGATTGGCTGGACGCCTCCGGGACTGAAAACACTTACATCGCGCTGGCAATCATCAACCTAGGAATAACGCTCTTTGCCGTGCCTATGTACATCTGGGGCAAAAAGATTAGAATTGGCACCAAAAAATGGTACATCAGTTCTATTGCGTTGAGGGACGGTGTGTGAGTGAATGTCATCGAACTCAAGTCATTGGGATGTTTTATATTCCTAGCGAAGTAGCAGATATATCTGGCAGGCTAATTATAAAATTAATATGCGATCAAATCTTGCATCGGCTATTGGCGAGTGTAGTTTAACGTCCATCAACATCTACAAAGTCAAATCGAGAGATGATCGTCGGTACAAATTGGTTCAAATAACTTTAGAGGGTACCAGACTGTCGAAATATATACCACGTCATAATATTACGAAGTGATCTTTAAAGTATTTTTATTCTTGACTCCACTCACAACGCGATGTAACGACAACAAGCCAGCTAAATTTTATGTGAATAGCCACAATTAGTATTTTTTAACATGGATCGATGAGAAGCTTGCACCCGGCCGACCAAGAGATATATAAACACCTATGATTTTTAGTGCAGCGAGATTATGTGTCCATACAGAAGATCCCGGCTAAATTTATCCAGCAAACGCTGATTTACTAGTATAAATCTTGATTTTGTCTTCTAAAAAAGACATTGCAAGAAATCTCAAAGACTTGAACCTGGTCGATAGAGACCTATGTAATCTATTAAGTGATATAATGATCAACATATATCTGCGTCAGTCGTGAAAAACTTGCTGACCTGATCTCTTAAGTCGTTCATAGTGTGTCTGAAGAAGTAAAATAGGACATTTGACTCTATTCGTCTCTCCGTGGTTCTCTCAAGTATGACGTTGATCCATCGAGTGGAACGACTACTCGGTGCCCATATAAAAAATTACTGAGCCTGAAAATTCTCACAAACTCGTGAAAAATGGTACGGTACTTCAGGTCATGCTAGAAATACGATCAGTCGATTACCTGACCACTTTAGGTTGTCGTCTGATACTTGTCTTCACTTCGAGATCATTTTCCTTCCACCGACTATTTTTGATGACATCACTTGGTACTATTATGTCAAAGCTCGTGGCTCCCGATATGATCCTATTCTGGCCTACTTTATTATGCGACTGACGCTACCTAACAAAAGCACATAGGTCATGATGATGTCTCGTCCATTGACGCTATCAAGGGTGCCTCGAAACTCACATTGGGTGATAGAAATCACTTGTTGCCGACTCTCAAATATACAATACTAGAGCGCTGTTGCCATCAGATGTTACATTTCACCCCAACAAACCCAATTTACATAATATAGATAGCCCATATTTGCATCGTTAAGTCGGTGGATATGTAACAAAGACGTCCATTGCCTGCGATACATCTGCGTGGTGTTCGTGTGGTCTAAAAACGATCATGCACTTCCACTATCACAGCATATATGGTTTTGTGGTTGCTTTGAGGGATTTCTGTCAGTTAGCTGCTCTTGTTTATACTGGTCGTAGGTCTTTGAAAGTCCAAACCTCTGTATGCGTGCGAATTTAAAACACTAGCCTCCAAACACGGGCGATGCGAATCATCTGTAGTTTTTAACCAAGGTTTGCGGACTTTCCGTAGCGGCTACTACTCTAGCAGCGATATACTTTGAAACAAAGTGCAGTGCAGATACAATACTTCAAGCATAAAGAAATTAGGGCGCAAACCTCCTGCGACAAAAGAACTTGTGTTTTCGATGGGTTGTGATACTAAAGCTGTCTGATCTTGTCCGAAGACCAAAAAATGATTGACATACGCAGGCAAGAGCTACACAAATCAAGAATAAAAAAGCAGACAAATGGCCTCACCTTTGAATCGGCAATGCCGCTTAATCACATCGCCGGTTAAACAACAATATTAACTTCTGCAAGTAAGCGCCCGTGAGAATCCACTTTCTTGTCCAATGTTTAAACGTCTCAGACCTATAGGAAACTAAGAAGTGTAGTTTTCAACAAATAAGAGCCTTGTTGGCGCAATCGGTAGCGCGTATGACTCTTAATCATAAGGTTAGGGGTTCGAGCCCCCTACAGGGCTTCATTATTTTTTCGATTTTTTTGGGTAATCAATGCACAGTTGTAAGAACATTCGGAAACCTGATTTACTTCTAATTCAAACCCACAAGAGGAAGGTTAATTTGGACAACAAACACATTCGAAGTGCAAGAAATGATGCTGGCCGTCCGGCTTTGGAGTACGAAAGATGAGGCTTACTTGCCTCTTCGGGGAATCAATGAATTCTAAACTCAATCAGACGCCTCGAGTAGTAAGCGCCCTCGGTTTGTTTCGAAATTGACTATGTATTCCACTTCGGGCAGTAATAAATAGTTTTTGGGAATCTGTTCTGAGAAGAGGCTAGATAATGTCGCAGATTCTTTGAAATGTCAACCATTTACCTGCCAACTCTGCGACAAACAGTGTCATCGCTTATGTTTTCCTGCTTGGAAAAAAGAGGGTATTATGGGGTTTGCTATCCAGACAAGAGCATGGTTCAACTTCTTTCGGCTGACTCAAACATTTCTGCCACAACTGTATAAATGAGATATGTGTCGGACGTGTTTTGGTAACGCTATTTGTCTTGGAAAGGTATCAGCAAGAAGTAATCACTTAATGAATTAAACCTTTCCACCTTTCGTAATATAGCAATGTTTGATCTAATTGCTTTGCTCTCGTTGTTGTTGTTGGGTACCGCGCTTGCCATTCAGATTTCCACTATTAGCTTCAGTGACCTTTCAATTGAATCTCTCAGCTCTCAAAAACTTCCACAGAAAATTTGGAAGCTTTCTTTCAATTTCAAGTTAGAGGCTGCCAATACTGTTTCTCAAGATGACTATTTCCTGCTCAATTTGCCTCATGTTTACAGAATCAAATTCGGCGATAACAACGACTATCAATACATTACTATGGCTGACGGTTCACAAGCCTTCAGATGCTATGCTTCGCAACAAGCGGCCTACAAATTTGAGGATACGATTTTAAGGTGCGACGCGGTTACTAATCTCACTTTTTTCTCTTCGTTGACTGGAAGTTTGACTGTGGGCATCGTTTTCAGCAATGGCGGCTCTTCTTACCAATATGAATTGAGCAACGCCAAATACTTCGCTGGTGGACAGCAAACCATTGATTTTGGAAACGGGATGAGTGCTTCAACAAACTTTGGTTCTGCTCCAGCTTTCGATGGGTACTACTACGAAGGCCATACTACGACCTATGGTACTATGGAGTCATATTATCTTGGGTTCACCTGCCCCGATGGTTACATTCTAGGGGGAAGTCAAATTATCGATTATAATCCAGACGGTGCGACTGGAGGCTTTGATTGTGCCAGCGCTCAGGTGCAAGTAGCCGAGGACTTCAATGATTGGTTTTTCCCAACTAGCTTCCAAGAATTTGAGGGCGACTTTTTTTGCAACGGAGCCACTCTTTCCCTCTCCTTCGAAAAGATCGATCCCAGCTACCGAATTTGGGTCAATAACTTGCAATCTCTCGATGATTCCGCATCAAGGGTAGTGCACAGTGTTTCCCTCGACTATACATGCACCAATACAATGTCAAATAAGACTTACACTACCACTGCTAATCAGTCCCCTGTTTTTGTTATCAAAGACGGAACTTTCACAGGCAATGGAACAGCTACAGGATATGCCAACTCAATATCTACTACTACGACTACGACTACAACTGTTTGGACAGAAAGCTATACTACTACAACAACGGGGTCCATAGGCTCGGGAGCCACTGTTGTAACTATTCATATAGATTTCCCAAGCTCCTTGACTAATTCCAGCTTGTCTGTGGTGTCCTCAAGCCTCTCGACTATCTCTGGCTTATCGGTGGTACCATCAAGCCCCTCAACTAGGTCAGTGGCAGGATCTTCGCAACCGTTAAGCTCTCTATTCAAATCAACGACTACCTCAACTGTTGAATCCTGTTCTGATCGGGCATGTTCATTGCTCCGCAGCTCATCATCAGCATCTTCATCCTCTCTTCCCAGCGCGCTGACAGCGAACTCTTCCACAACTATCATTTCTTCATTGACGTCAGCATCTCCTATGTCACTACCAGCGTCGATGGCCACTCCATGCTCCACATTCATATCATCCTTTGTTTCGTCGCTGAAACCCACCACGCCTTCAATTTCCATGACTTTAACTTCTTCATCCTCTTCGCATGATTCAAAGAACACGAATAGAGCTTCATCGGCATCAAACAGCGCATTTCCAAGCTCGAACAGCAATTCTTCTGTATTCACCGCCTCTTGCTCCGACTCGTTTTGTTCGTCTTCCACGTTATCCCTGGTTAGTTCAACACCAAGAGCGCCCTTGCATACTGAGGCAACGACTACACACACCTTAACGTCATGTTCAAATGGCATTCACTCCTCGTCTAAAGCAACTTCATCAGTCTCTTCCATCGCGACAATGTCGTCACTTTCAGTTTCACATCCAGGATTATCGAGCCTCTCCTCTCAAACGTCAAGTTCCAGGTCATCGTCATCACATCCTAGTGAATTAAATCCAAATTCTTTTACTTCAAGTATCTTTTCTTTCACATCAAGTTCCAGCAGGTCATCATCAATGTCAACTTCTTCAACGCCAGACAGATCTTCAACTACGCTGGTAAAGCTTCCATCGGGCTCATCGCTGATGTCGGGGTTGTCGTCTTCACCTGCGGCATCATCAATGTTGCTACTCGTGCAAAGTTCGCCTGTCTCATTAGATACCACCTCCAGTATTCCTTCTTCAACGTTAACCGTACCAAGTACACCGGCATCTGCGAATTTGTCAGCAGGCACATATCAGCCTTCAGTCTCGGCCGGCAATTCAGCAGCATTGGTTTCAAGCAGCGGATACACATCGTCAGGTCAACAGTCTTCCGTACTTACTGAAAGTTTGTCATCAACTACTGTGCCGCCATCTCAGATAAGAACACAGCCGCTACCCAGTATCGAATTGTCTTCCAGTTCGTTATACAACACGAAAAGATTGGATTCGGCACCAGCTGTGATCATACCATCAACTTCCATCACCTCCTCCAGTTCCTTGGCAACGAGTATACAGACCACAGCTCTACCTGTTTCGGAAGCCGGAACTTTAAGTGCAAGAAACACGACAATAGATGGGACCGCAACCGTCTCTGTTAACATGACTATGGTATCTTCGAGTCTTTCAAGGCCTAGCTCTGTAAGTCTACCAGTGTCAGCTCCCAAGGGGGCTGTACCTGACTCAACTTCAACCTCAACACCGGAGTGTGCCGCCACTTCCAGATTTCTAGGAACTGTAGCCGCTTCTGAGAATTCGTTTTCTACCACCTTGAGTACAATCCCACAGCATATCAATGGCTATACCTCATCAAACGGTCAGGCTGTATCCTCCTCGCTAAGCTTATATTTGATACCGTATCAGTCAACTTATGAAGGTTCGGGAAGCCGGAGAAGCGCTGAAGGTGTAAGCATCACATTACTAACTATGATGCTTTACCTCTTGGTTTGAAACCCATCTGCGAATAAAAACTATAATAACGAAACAATCTTTAGCATTACGGGTGAATGCTTTACGTGCCAAGATCAGCCCACACCAATTTCTAAATTGTTTTACTCACGAATAAACAAAATGTAGTATATTATTTAGCTATTGTTTTTTATTGGACGTTTTCCATATAGTCAAAAAAGTATGCTTAAACGAATGCTTAGCACAAACCAGCGTTTCTTGAGCCACCTCAGACGCTTAGGTTCCTATCACAATGGTCTAAAAGGCGTCTACTCTAAGCTTTTGAACGAGCCATCTTTCAGCACTTTGGACAAGAATGAATTTCTAGGCAGGCAACTAACACCTTACGACTTTTCAGCATCTATCTTGAAAGAGTTGGCTGCGAGAGATGTACTTAACGCTAATCTGATTCACAATCAATTGATAGAATCGTTGACAGGCTATGAATACGCAGTAGGTGCGATACATGCCCGAGAATTGAACAAAAACGGTGGAAAACTAAGTCTGGATAGCTTTATTCAGATAGTTAAACACAACCCTGGAAGAGTCAAAAGCTCGTGGGAACTCTTTTTGGATAATTTCGAACACGTTAGGTACTCACACGATGCTCTCATAGCCGTCTTAGACAAGCTATTGGCTTTCGATCCAATTGATGTCGCTGATGGCAAGACAGATCTTACGATAAAAGACCTCGCACGTTGTTTTTCAGTCATAGCTTGCATCAAGAACGCTGGTAAAATTCCGAAAAGCTATTGGGAGACGCTGCTCACCGCATGTTTAGCCACCAATGTGTCGACCTTGATTCCAACGATCACAACATATCTAACACCATCGGTACAACTTACAGAAAGCAATAATCTCAAGCTTACTAGCTATCAATTATACCAACTTTTTCACAGGTATCCAAAGACTCTATTAGAAGAGAGCTTAACATGTTTTGAGGAAGTCTTTTCCACTTTCGGAAGAAGCACTATGATCAAGCTAACCGACGACGAGATGGAGGCTGACGCAAAGTTTCGAAATTGTCTTGCCGAGATATCTGTTAAAGCTGATAAAGCTCTCACCATCCCTCCTCCTACGGATGTTCCCACAAATATTGTTTTTGACAATTTTTTGAAGATTGTTGAAAGCTCAAGTAGACGCTTGAAAGAAAGAAATGAATTGAGTAGAATTGCAATCCGTTCCCTAGGAATTTATAGGAGCAATTTACCTAGAGCTCTCTCCTTTTTTGAGAGGGACCTAAGGCCATCGGAAGAAATGAAGTATGAACTGTTTTTGGCTTATATTTACAATGCTGTAAAACATGGCGATAAAAAGTTACTGGATCGGTCTCTGGAGATTATTCCACATCCATGCCGCAAAGAAACTTCGTTATCCATAAAGAGAGCATTAATTGCATCATTTTCTGCTTTTGACATTGAAAAGTCTCTCCAATTATACAATGACAGTATTCAAGACTCGGATAAAAAAGAGGTTCAGAACCGCCCTATGTCTGAAGCTTGTTTACTAACGGAATCGTTAATAGTGGCCTACCTGGGTGTCGAGGATAGAGATTTCGCGCAAGTAGTTTTTGATGGGGCAGCGCGAGAAAAGGTTATCTCGGGTCCTACTGCTATAAAGCAAATCAAAAAGCACTTTACCGCTTATGGAAGTATCCTCGAGGAACACGACTTCAAGCAAAAACTTAAAGAAACCGTTCTACTGTATATAAGATGTTTATAATTGACGTTCAGCTCCTGCACCACTAACCTCATGAAACCGATCAGTCTACAAGTATTTAAATAAGGAAAGATCTACCTTCAATACTTCATGAAGAGAAGGAGAAAAAAGAGGTAAGGTCTATGAAGCAAAGTTGGCAAATGCCGAATAATTCAAGTTATTACCATCGAAATGATAGGTCATTCAATGAATCAAGAAGTTATGCGGATTCTTGAATTTTTTAAAGGGGAAACACTAGATATCTGATAGGAATATGGTAATTAATGCAATTTGTTACGAATGTGACAGTCATATTCCTACAAGCAATTGTTTCATGCTGATATGAACTGCGTATGATATGCGAATAATGGCTCTTCAGATCTAAGAAGACCAAGTCGGTACGTTACCGGTCATTAAGAGAGATCCTGAAAACTGGATTTGTATTGAACGTCATTGGCGGTTGTTTTCCATTCTTCCTTACATTTCCGTTAAGTGAATTGTGCGAGAAAGTGAAATTTGGGTCTATGACGTTGGAAGGCTCTACAGAGCCGTGGTGCTTTGTTGAAGCCTTCCGAAATCTAGGGTTCTTTATGCGAAACAAGGGCCGTTGAGGCTTTTTGCCATCAAACTCGAACGACGATTGCCACGTATTAGCATATTCCAGATGGTAATCGTTGACCACTGAGCTCACGAAAGTGAACGGCTTGTGCGGACAGGACTGGATTTTTTTGGCTCCCGAGACTGGCTGTCGCAATAAAGGTGACTTTAAGCCTGAAGTTTTGGTCCCTACTGAGGAATTCTGAGGTTTAACGATTTTCAAGGGCTTCTTTCTAGCTCTTCTGGATTCATGGCACGAGGAACCTTTTTCTGCCTCGCCTGAGTCAAATGTTTGCATTATAACGGGCAGCTCCTTTTGCTCTTGCCAGGGTGAGATTTTATCTCGACGACCCGATGGATGTTTCGTTTCTTTGCTGGGAACAATTTTCTTTGAAGGCCGTGGATCAACCATTATCAATCTGAAAACCATAGTGGTGGTCTACCAGCTCTACTCTTCAGGGTTCGAGGATCACTTCATGTACTTTTCGGTAATTTTTAGCTTTCAAGGCACTATCAAAACCACTTTTGTAGATGTTTTCTGAAAAATTTTAAGAAGTATTTCAACTCATCTCATCTCATCTCATTTCATGATAACTCGAGGTTCAAAGTTTCAGTTACAGATCTAGACGCAGCTACTAGACGAAAACAGATAATGGGTTCTAAAAAGAGATCGCAGAAAGCTGCCGAGGATAGAGCTTCTAAAAGGAGAAAAGAGCAGGATGCCTTGCTCGAAAATGGACTCTTCACTAGAGAAGATGTGGAAGACATTGACGATTCGATACCCAATAAAAAGTCCTGGGATGATGAGGAGCAAGATTACGAAATGAAGCCCAGAAACTTAGGTCAATCCCAGGACCATGTTGAGGGACTACCTATCAAGGTCAAGGGTAAAGTGGAACGGAGAATGATGCTACCCGAAGTAAAAGATGACATCACAAAAGAGGAAGCAAAGCCAGATCCCGAGCAAAGCCCTGCGGAAATTGAGGAAGAAGAGCAGCCATCCGTCGACACCGTCGAGAGCGTCCTCAAGCTGAAAGAAGAATTAGCAGAGTTAGTAGAAAACTTGATGGAAGATGCAGAAGAAAATATTGGAAGTCTCACTCGTCTACGAAAGATGGCTCAGTCGAAAAACTCTAACACATGCAAGTTCTCCATGCTGGCTTTGATTCCCGTTTTCAAAAGCATCATCCCGAGCTACAAGATTAGGCCGCTGTCTGATCTTGAAAAGAGGGAAAGAGTTACCAAAGAAGTTGCCAAACAGCGTAACTTTGAGGAAATGTTGGTTCATAATTACAAAGAATATGTGGACTTGCTAGGAGTACTTGCAAAGACCCCTAATGGTGCAGATCCAATTCAAGTGTCTTTAGGAAATTTAGCGACGAGCGCAGCAGTCGAATTACTTCCAACAGCGTCTCAGTTCAACTTCAGCTCTGAAGTTTTCACAATTCTCATCCGCAGAATTTGCAAACCCAACCCTCTAGCAGATCCAATCTACACTAATATGGTCAAGGCTATCGAAACCTTACTGAGTGATGATGATGAGGGCAGAATTTCTTTTGATATCGTACGAATCCTTTCTAAAACTATTAAGACAAGATCTTACATGGTTGAAGAATCAGCATTGAATATTTTGCTATCCTTAGAAGTGTTACAGGATTACGATCCTAACACGAAAGTGGATGGACCTTCAAAAATGAAAGTTAAGAAAAAGGATAGGGTCCACATTTCTAAGAAACAAAGAAAAGTACGGAAAGAGATGAAGAAAGTCGAAGAGGAGATGCGCAGAGCGGAAGAAACGGTTTTTGCTGAAGAACGAGAAAGAAACCAAGCCGAACTTTTGAAGCTGACTCTTTCTCTTTACTTGAATATTTTGAAAAACAACAATTCTCAACTAATCGGTGCCGTATTAGAAGGATTATCAAAATACGGGCATATGTCAAACTTCGATCTCTTGGGTGACTTTCTTGAAGTTATGAGAGAACTCATAGCTACCAGTGAGCTTGATAACCTTTCGTCCACCGAGACTCGAAAAGTTCTTTTATGCATTGTCACGGCATTCTCCCTGGTGTGTCGTCATAGTGAGATGAAAGTTAATATGGATCTTTCGTCTTTCGTGGATGCTCTCTACGCAATAATACCAAATCTTTCTCTAGACGCCGATATTGAATACTCACATAAAACATTGAGATTGGCAGACCCCCTTAATAGCGAGTATTGCAAACCTTCCGTCAACGTATCAACAAAGGCCGAACTGCTGCTGAGAGCTTTGGACTACGTTTTCTTTAGGTCTAAATCTGGTACAAAGACTCGCGCGGCAGCTTTCACTAAGAGGCTTTATATTGCGATGTCTAGCACCCCTGAAAAAACTGGTGTAGCGCTGCTCAAATTTCTAGACAAGTTGATGAGCAAGTATCCGGAAGTTGGTGGTCTTTATTCAACTGAAGATCGAATTGGTAATGGAGCTTTCCAGCTAGAGGCTGAAACACCAGCAAGAAGTAACGCGGAAGCAGCTACTATATGGGAGAACTCGCTCTTGCTGAAACATTATAGTCCTTTAGTTGTGAAAGGTACTAAATCTATGCTAGAGAAATCGAGAGAATCACTTAAGTAGTTTGTATTATATCTAGTAAATTATCGAAAAACGAACTGCAAGAGAGTGTAATTAATATATTTGATGTTTACTAAATGATGTTTTTAAAGTTTGAAATTTTGAGTTCCTGAAGGGGCTTTCTTAACATTACCTCTTACATCTCTCATCTCACCCTTCTTGTCAATGATTGTAACATTTCTAGCTTGAGACAAGGTCTCTATCACTTCACTCTTTTTGCTCTTCTTCTTTGATGACTCTATATGAGAAGCCGAGTGTTTGGACCTCTTCCTCTTTAGCGCTCGTCTTAACCTATTCTTTTCTTCCCTAGATAATTCGTCTCTCGACATCACTACTCCGTTCTTAAGCGATATTTCATTAGACCCACGACTTGCACCAGGAGCATAAACTTCTTGAGGAGCCAAAGTAGGAGCTGTTGACATGGTTAGCGGTTGCGCATCTTCCATATTAATCGCTGCGCTTTGTACCTTCACCTCTAGCTGCTTTTGGGCTGGTTTAGGAATGAAGTGTGCGGAAGACAAAGCATCCAGTTTATACATTAGGTCTTTGTAGAGTTCCGAAATTTCGTCATGAGCTTGGCTGAGCTCTTCAGAGACTGGTGCTTCTCCGGAGGGGCTATTATAGTCGCCTTCATACAGTTCAGATAGAGATTTTGTTGATTTAGCGTCACTCAGCTCGAACTTAGGCCTTGGGGTTGAAAATGAAGTGTTTGTCAAAACTCGTTTAGCAAGGTCGTCAAATTCATAATGAAGAACTCTTCGACGGATCAAATCTTCTAAAGACTCTGTAACTTCCGAAGTAATAACGGGAACTGGCTTGGAGGTTCTTTCAAACTCAATCTCCTCTGTTAGCAAAGCATCTTCGGGCCTATCTTTAGCTTTGACTTCACCCTTCAGAGCCCATTTCTTTTCAGCTACAGCCTCCTTTTCCAGCTGGGAGATTTGTCTCTGTATATCAACTTGCTGACGCTGAAATGTGGAAAGCTTTTCCTTGTCATTCTTTTTGACCTCTTGAACATCTACATCAGCGAACAAGTCGAGTTTAGCAGATTCCATGGCACGATCATATTCCTCCTCTGAATCATTATTAAGATCTCCGATACTGTCTATATCTCCCTCAGAAGGTTGTGTTCCGCTTGTCGAGTTAAGATGGCGTTTCAAAGTGTTGGGCTTATCAAAGAAATCATCGTAAAACTCTGCTTCTTCTTCTTCTTCGGAAGGAATATCCTCAAAGTAATTGATATCATCATCCCCACCGTTCTCATTTTCAGCTTCCAGAGTTTGCTTGTTGAATTCGTCAAGGTCAAAAAAGTCATCATTCACACCAAACGAGTCTCCTGTTCTTACTGGCAGATCGTTCACCTTAAGCTTGCCTTGTGATTCGGCACTAACAACATCCTCCTTGACATTCCTCGCATTCTCTTCATCCCCTTCTTCTTCTTCTGCTGCTTGTTCTTCCAGTTCTTCCTCTTGTTCCAGTTCTTCCTCTTGTTCCTCTTGCTCCTCTTCTTCCTCTTCTTCCTCCTCTTCCTCTTCTTCCTCTTCTTCTGCTTCTTGCTCCTCTTCAGAATAGTTCGCTTGAGAAGTGTGCAGCTGTTTCGCACTCACATGCTGGTCTCCAAGATGATCTTGACTTTCTTTATCTTCACTTTCCATTTCATCATCAACAGAATCCTCGCTTTCACTACCGCTGAACTTCTCAGTTGTAGACCGCAGACTTCCTATCTTCTCTAGAAGTTTCGACCCACTGCTTTCTAGAACTAGCTTTACCTGTTGCCAAACTTGATTAGCATCCAGCCCATCAACAATGATCTCATCTAGCAACGCCTTGCTGCCTTCTTGGTCTTTCTGATTTTGAATCACATCGTCAACAAATGCTTTCACTAAGGATAAACTAGAGACAGTAAAGTCGGAATTTTCGTTTAGGATCCCGAGTGGGTTGTCATTTATTGTTTTTATAAATGGGGATGCCATGGTTGTCTCTGTTCGACTCAAGCTGGTTTGTAGGTCTTTGGGTTCCTAGCTCATCGCATCTATTTTTCTAAAAATTTTAAGAAGTTGAAAAAGAATTTGTAGAGGAGAGGTACCTGATTACGAAACCATGAAAAGCAGCAGAGATGTGTACCTCGCAACGCGTTGCATTGCATTGTTTAGGATATCACAGCTGCCCCCACTCCGAGGATGGAGAAGATAGTACTTACAATGATAGTAACGACGCAAGCGATTTTCTCCCATCTTTTGACGGTTTTGGCGCAGATACTCATATAGAAGATGCATGGTAAAATCAAACAAATGGCAAAACATAAGCCCGCCCCCAGAAACGCAATAAATTTATCAAATTGTGGAAGCAGGATACTAATGATGACCATAACCATGTTGACGAAGATTCCATTGAATGTTCTAATTATGCGTTTCGATCCCGATCTTCCCTCTGCATCATCGTCTTCTTTTGGGCTAGCTCCGGTGGCTGAATCCATTACAGAGGCGATAGGACGCGCACTTAGCGGTGCCTTAGCAATCGGGATAAGCGTCATAAGAACAGATATCAGAACGTAAACAATCTGCGGATACCCTTCAGTAAGCTGTATACTCTTGGTCACTTCGTCCCGCACATTAATACCGAACATAAAAACTCCGAATAATGCTGTCGAAATATCAGCCGTCGTAGTGATGGAATACGTTGTTACCAAACATTTCTTGAATTTTCCCGGGTGTCTCATGTCACTTTTTAAATTTGGAAATACTGCGTGGCCACCCCAGCACGCGCTAAGAAGTCCAATAGATAGACATAAACCTTTGAAGCTCTCAGGCCACATTGGGGGAAAAACAGGATCCAATAAAGAACCTGGCGATGTTGTCTTGTACAGCCCACAGAAGGCAATACTAAACACTGTACCTAGCGTGCACATTATTCCTAATAGCGAAAAGTTTGATTGGATGCTCAAAGGCATGCATGCTTGAGGTGTTACAGCGAAAAACGCAATCACTTTAAAAAATGTGACTGAATATTGGGGAAATAAAGCGTTTAAAGAGTCTCCAAAGATAATAATCAGCGCGACACCCGATCCCAACAGGTCCAAAGTAAATAATATGGAAATGAGAGCTCGACCTTTGGGACCGAAAGTAGCGTATGCTAAGTCACCATACGAAATCATCGTAGGGTCCACATCCTGGCAACGAGAAAGCAGCTCGGCACTGCAAAATGTTGATGCTGCAAAAAGGGCTAGCAGCAGAATACCTATAACGCAACCCGCAAATCTCAGTCCCAAGGGCAAGGCAAATAAACCGATGCCAATAAGCACATTTACAGCATTGAAAATTGTTTGAGGCGCGGTCGATTGCCCTGCGAGTAGTGTCACGACTTGGCCGTTTTTCATCTCAACCTGTTTAAGCATGATAGAGTGACTATCGGGATCCGTCGCATTGTTCAGATCTTGAAAGCATAGCGTTGGTCGTCTTAAAGATCCCTGTTCGTTAGATGCCACGCTCCCAACGGCTGAAAAGCTCTCCTGGTCATCATAAAGTGCGCTTCCATCTGCTCTACTGTTCGGAGAGATGTAGAGGTCCCCCATGGAAGGTCTCACAGATACTCCACCACGAGAGGTCACCGCAACAGAGATTCTTCTTCCATCTGCGGAAGGTGCCAGGGTATAAGGATCAAACAGAGCATCTTGTCCGTCTTTGAAATAAGTACGTTCCTTCTCTGTTCCAACCTCAATATTCATAAAGGAATTGGCTCTTCTCAGAGATGAAGCAAATCTTCCCAATGAATTAACACCTTTGAAAGAGCCTATCGGCTGATCTAGTAAGTGCCTCCTATAGGTATTTTCGGCGTGCATCTGATCATCAGAGTAGCTGCTGACGGATGCCCTCTTTATGGGAATGGACATGTAGTGGACATTTTGAGAATCTCTAGTCTTTAAACGCGAGTTTTCGCCTTCGAGCGGCATTCAGAAGTCTATCAGACGCGAACCTTGAGCTTCGAAGATGCGGATCGATGTCTCAACAATATTCAGGTGGTGTTTGTTACGCATGTATCGAAAGTCTTAAGTAACTAAATCTTATCTCGAACTTTTTTGTTTAAGATTGGTCGCACCCGACGGGTAACCAGATTAAGCAAGACACTTGTTTTGACCATGAGGTATCGACAACCTTTTCCGACCATAAGAAAGATTGTGTTCTCTACAGCATATAGCAGGAGGGGAAGTACTACTCACAATCGTAAGAAGGTAAGTTCGTCTTTGAGTACTTTTCTCACTGTATTCTCGCTGACTGCCGTGTCGTTGAGCTCCGTCGCAACAACGATAATTAAATGTCTGGTGGCCACGAAATGTTCATGTGCTTGGAGGTATTGCGGGCAGTATGGACGCCGCCCGTGTTTACGCGGCGCAATTTGTCTCACCATCTTTCCCAAACCTGTCAGTAGCTTCTGCCTCCTATCGGGGATCTGAACTGCTCACAAAAGCCTTTTCAGGAGTAATCTCTAATGGAAACTATATGTGCCGAAGTTTATTTGCATACTTCCTGAAGTTGGCCACGAGACATTTCTATCAAATCTACGTTAGTCGCAACTTTTCTTCAATAGTTAGACACAAAGCGACTCTTGACCCGAAGTTATTCAGAGAACCATTAGAATTGAGCTGCGAAACCATTTTACCTTATCGTCGTCTTACAATTACAACGCGCATCTTTGAATAAGGACATGTTTCAGATCTCAGCGTAAAGTTTTGAAATCAAAGAATATTATTTAATCTTTTACTGATAAAGCCATGAATAATAGATAAACGCCGGCAATGTTCTCGAACACCGATGATAGATAGATAGCCTATGCTTCAACTTCTCTACGTTGTCTTCTCATTTAGCATACGGGTTTGATCATCGATTACGAAACAGACTTTTAAAAGACCGAATGTAATAAAGGGAAATCTCTCTGAGCTGGCTCTCCAACGACACAGTGAAATGAAGTATGATTGCTTACAAGGTTTGGCTTCCATTCTGGATTTTGGGTGTGGAAGCGCTCCATGCATCGGAGAACGTACCGAGAGGTCAAGATGAGAAAGAAGACTTTCCATTCACTACAGTCGTTGATCTACTATGGCAGAATGTGGAATTCTCTACATTTTTAAGAAAGGTCCAAAAATGTGGAAAGATAAATTATCTGAATGAGCTGGACAACTTTACGCTATTTGCCCCCATCAACTCCGCATTCTCGCAGAATCTGGAGCAATTCGAGGTAGATGATTTTGTGCTTCACGACTGCGTGTTAGATCCTAGACAGTTTGATGTCGGAATTCATGTCCTTGCGACAAATGACAGTACTCCGCATTTGGTGGATGTGAGAAGTGATGGTTCTTGGCTGATCAATGACACTCCTGTTCTTAAGGACGTCCTAAGACCTAACATGCAAAACGCTACCCTTCACGGCGTCGTGGCTACTGTTCCAAGGGCGCCAACTTTTGTTGGCATACTGCACAGTTTGTCACAACTGTCGTACTTTTCAAAGCTTGTTGCCGTGACAGAATCGCACAATGCCCTAACTCTTTTTGAGCATAAAACAGTCTTCATACCTGACAACATTGCTTTCAATAACCAGTTTAGCGATTTAGAAATTGCCTATCTGTTGGGCGACAAGAATTCAGTACACGAAAACCTTAGAACTCTAAGCACAATCGATAATCTGAAGAAAGACCGAGTTTTTGTGCTGAACAAGCTGGTAGTCGATGGCCTTTTCGGTGGCAGGCTCCATCAAACCAATATTACTAACTTGAATGGTGATCTTATGATAATTGATTCGCACGCCAATGGCTCAGCTATAAGTGTGAACGGTACGATTGCTTCGGGAAGTAATCAGCTATACAATGCTGGTATAGCTCATATTTTTTCGGAACTTGACTTCCTTTCTCACGATCTTCGTTTCACGGCCGAAAAATATCTTCTGGGGCTAGGAGCAGACCGTTTTGTCGAAGAAGTGCACATGAGAGGTCTAGCTCATTTGATTAATGGGGAATTTGAAGGACCATTGACAATATTTGTACCTGTCGAGACCAGTAATGATAGCCCCGGATACTCGAAAAGTAGCCTCCTTTATCACTTCACCGATACTAGCGTCAATCTAACTCGCGATTTTTCCGATGAAACCGAAACCAGGCTATATGATTCGATGTTTTGTTCATCTAATAAACGACTAGGGGGTCAATGCCAACGCCAAAAAATTCAGAGGCTGAAAAAACATGGTGACACGGAATACTTATTAAACAAAAAATATCGTTTGAAAAGTGATGACTATACTACAATTGGTAACACAACCATATTTTCCGTAGAAGAGGAAATTTCGCTCCCAGGTGACCTTTTATCTTCAGTTAATCCCTTTTCTGGCTGCTCCAAATCACTTTCTTTCCTACGTGACCTGAATCTTTTAGACCTCCGGCCCAATAGTAAAGGCTATACAGTATTTCTTCCATGTTTCGATTCGTGGGAATACTTCGACTTGAACCTGGACTATCTCGAACACAATATTTCAGCTCTAAATTTGATCATGAAAAATTACATCTTAAATGATCTGATTTATACTGATACAGAAGAGCAGTCATTCATGACATCCAATCTTTATGACGAGAACATCACTATCTCGGTTCTCCAGAGCGAAACTGATAGTGAACAAATTGCGCTAAGCTTTAACACTATAGATGAACCGGTCATGCTAACTAAAAATTTTGATACGTTTTTTGATCAAGGTGTAATCCATCCAATGGAAAACGTTTACTTTCCGGACTCTTTGAATATCACCCTTCAGAATCTTATGGACACAGCTAATTCATTCGACTTCATAGAGTATCTCAAAAGCTTCGATAGTCTCAAAATGATTTTTGATCAAAATCAGGAATTCTCGCTTTTAGTACCAACTTCTCAGTCACTATTATTGGAAGATATTAGCTTGAATTCGACCACATTGGAAGAGTTCCTAAAATTACACATAATCCTCGCAAATTCTACACAAGCTCTTCTTGATTGTGATAGCGACATTAGTACACTTTACGGGGAAAAGCTGAGCTGCCGAGAAAGTTTGTCTAATGCCCACTTGCTGCGGTTGAAAGACGGCGTGGACAAGGAAGTACGAATTATGAAAAAGGGCTGCTCTTCTTCTAATGAGCGGGCATGCGTTTTTGTCATTGATAGACCAATCTCCTTGTCTTGGCTGGACCAAGACAGATATAAAATACGACTACCGGGCACTGCTATTGCTATGGGGGCCCTTCTCGGAATCTTGTTGATTTTTGGGGTTTTGGCCTGCACACTAGTAGTTGTTGTGAGAAAAAGAGGTACCGAAGGACATCAATCAGTGGAGAGATCGGGCGAACAAGATCCCTTGCTCCGCTCGCCAAAAATTGCGAAACGGGGAGGTTACTCATCATCTCTAGGTAGAGATCCCGCTGCTTTCACAGACCGCAGTAATCAGGTCATGGGGAACCCTGGACCATCTCCATTCGCAAAGTCGTACTCAGAAAATTCGTCGCGTAACCCAGTTTCGATCAATCAAGGATCATCGCACACTTAAACTTTTCAAATATCTATTTCCAGTTAATTCTTTAAAACTCATACGCTATTTACGAGTCCTTTACAATTCATTTGAAAACTCAGAGGGATTTTGATTTTGGAAGTGAGCTTCCCAACTGATAATCAAAAAAGTATTTTCGGAATACTCAAACATGTTAAAATTTTTTAATCTTTTTTAACAAATATAGATGTACAATTACTCTTTTTTTACTTTGTTTTTTTATGTTGTTTCTTAAGTTATCTGAGCCACCTGACCTAAATATAAAATAACTTTTTTAATCTTTAAGCTGGATTTTTATTTGTTTATTTTTTGGGATGTTAAAAAAGCACAGAAAGATCAAAACAGGTGTTTTTTTTTAAAATCATTTTGTTATGTACCGTACTACTATAGTCCATTTATAGAATATCTCCAATGATATTAGAAGCCTCCTTGTATGTTTCAAGAAGCTTGACACATTTCTGTCTATCTTGAGCCAAATTCTGGTCTTCCATGAGCAAATCCTCGAAAAGGGAATCCTTATACAATTTTGTCACCAAGCGATTTTGTATGATTTCTTTTGAGAAATTCACAAGTAAGCACATTACTGCTTTCGGAATCTGATCTTGAATCATTTCTCTCACAATTCCAAAGTATGAGACAATCAACCTTCTAATTAGCTCGCATTCAAGCTCCTCTCTTTCCGTTAATTGAGGTTTGTTATCCATGTTTTGTTGAGCAGTTTCTTGAATTTGGAGATTGTCGAAATCTGCCAATTCATTATGGTTATCAATACTCGGGCTTAATGCGTAATGGTCTGATAGTGCATTGAACTGATTTGGTCTTTGTTGGTCCTTTCCGAAAAAATAATTCAAGAATGAATCCTTCGACTGCTTTGTGGTATCATTTTCATCGTCATCAGAAGAAGTCTCGCTTGCTCCAATGTCATCGGCATCGGATTGAAGAGTACTGTGCGGACTGTGAATATCGTTATTCTTCTTGGATAACTCCTTTGAGAGTGATTGTTTGGCATATTCTAAATCAGTCCTTTTATATTCTTGATCCTTTTTCTTCTTCTTCTTCATGTCGATAATGTCTGACATGGCGTCGGTTGCAATCAAGAAGTTAGGATGATTGGTGTTGATATAAGCTCTATGAATTTCGATCAAGCTTTCAACGTAAGAGCGAGTTGGTCCTAATCGTTCTCTCAAAAGCTCACTCACAACCTCGATGAGTTTTGCTTGCAGCTTTGGATATCGCGCCAATTCCGGTGACCCACAGTTGTGGCATATCTTCATGAGTTCCTCGTAAACCAACTCCACACAACGCTCTGAGGGTTCCAGAAGAAGTTGGATCTGAGGCTTGACGAGCAAATCAAAAGCTAGTTCAGGGACAAACAACGATGGGCGTGGCCCTGTAGAATTGCGGATAGCTGTCTGAATGTCTATAGTGGAAAGGTCTGCGGTCGGGTTTATAGACTCCAATGAGTGACCAAAAATGTTGTTGTAGATATAGTAGATTCTAGCCCCCCCACATAATTCCTTTGTGCTAATATCAGAGGAAGTACCTTCTATCGAAGATACAAAACGAGCGGCAAATTTGTTCATAAGTTGTAGCACTAATCCAGCACGGTTTTCTTTTGTAATAATGCCCAAGCCACCGTACGTTGCCAACTCTTGCTCAGTTTGTCCCATCAAAGTGTTTAGTCTAGCCTTGATGTCGGGTAGTTTATCGCGTATGTGATTCATCAAAATTTGGTTTAGGAGTTTTGCAAGGTATCTCGTGCCGCATCTAGTCGATATCGTTCTGTAGACTGGATGACGAGCAAAGAACGCTTCTTCATTATTCAGTGCTTCTTCTACCCCTCTGTTCGACTGTATATCCTGTTGTGATCTATTGACAACCCCAACAAAGCCTAGTTTCAGTGGGTACAGTTTGCCGGATAAAATGTCTAGAGCATTAGTGCCACTGTCCATAAGGTCCATCTTGGTAACAACACCTATGGTTCTCCTTCCGTGAGGATCGACATCTCTCGCCAACTTCAGCGATTCGGAGTTTACCAAATCGACATTGGCAGGAGAAACGGCCAAAATGATGCAATTGGGCTTAGCCACGTATTCTAGAATCAAGTTTTTTATTTGCTTTTCAATGTCAGCCGGTTGCTCTCCAATTGGAACTTTTGTTATTCCTGGAAGGTCAACCAACGTCAGGTTTAGTACCCGAGGTGAGAAAACTTTCAAATTAATAGGAATGCGGCTGATGCCCTTGTTCTTGCCAGCAATTCTCGCAGTTTCGCTTTCGATTTCTCTTCTGATCTCAGCAAAATCATAAAAGCGACGACCGGGCAAGTGCAGAAATTCACCCCATTCTTCTCTTCTTTGCGGTTCAAAGCTTTGATTCTTGCGCAGATGATCTTCAAGGGTCAGCTCGCCACCACCAGTGCGGTCGTCAGGCGAAGTTTCTGTTTCGGTAAGATCATCATTAATCAGAGGCGAGTTAGGCGCTATGTTATTGAGCTGCAAAACCAATGGCCGCCTGGTAACAATTCCAGTCCCTCTGGGCAAAAAGTCTTTGCCAACCAAAGTCTCCAATATTGATGATTTTCCTGAAGATTGCGATCCAATTACTGCTAATACAGGAAGATCAAGCGTATCAATGCCGGCATCATACATAACATCTTGCAACTTGTTCACCGTTGGTATCAAATCTTCCAAACTCGCCATGGTTGTTGTTCGTGATCTGGCACACCAAGCTTGTCACACTGTAGAGTAGTACAGGTCTGTTAATTTTTTTCATAAACAAAGCGAAATAAATAGATCGAAGAAAAGTGGGACTAATTAGAAGTTTGAGAGACTGGCCTTTCGTTGCGGGCCAATCATAAAGTAATCGTCTTGGATGACCTTGAGTGATAATGTGTAGATACTTACTTCTTAGGCCTCTTGCGCACTAGCGTGGTGCTGAGTGTTTGTGCTTCGAAAGGAAGTGGTTGATTATTCAATCCTGATGAAGGTAGCAAATTCGAAACTACTCGTTTTGAAATCTTCTTTCCCTGTATGCATGTCAGTGTTCTATTAAATCTCAGACGGAGAAAGTCAGTTATGTTGGCGTAAGCATCAAAAGCCCCCTCCTCGGTATCGTATTCTTCTCCAGTTATGTAGCATTTGATCATGTTAAAGAGCTTTTTACTGCCGGGTGAGATTATTTCATTGTCCCGTGCGGGATGGGATGTGAATGGTTTCAAATTTCCATCCACGCCAATAACCGAGACAGTCGCCCCCAGTCTGAACTCTTGTTGGATTTGTAACTCCGTCCAGAAATCTGTGAGATGAACTTTTTTCGCCCTTCCTTCATCAACCAGCTGTTCAAGGAATCTCCCCTTTGGATCATCAGGCAAAACAGGAAGTCTGAAAATGGCTAAATCTTCACGCTCACCATTGAATATGTCTCCCACCTCCCAATTTGGTGATTTACAATTTCGAAGATATTTATCAATGACAGATGTTTCTTCGCCCGGAATTTGAATTCGTGCATGCGCAAAGCTGTCGAATTTGTCTGTGATTGCTTGATCAACAACCGATAGCCACCACTTGAGGAGCAGATTTCCTGGTAAGACATGCTTTTTCGGATTTTGGGATGATTCTGAAAACAAGTACTGGGGTTCCGATCTTGTGAAAAGACAGAGTCTGCAAGACCACTGCGGTGAGATTCTATCAAAACGGCTGAATAGAAGTTCTGTTGGGGGAGTATACCTCTGACAAATACTTACTCTATTCTTCAGTATGCGAAGTGCTCTTCTGGTGGTTGTATGCTGGGTAATGGCCTTGGTATAATCTCTTTGCGGCTTTGAAAGTTTCAACACCTTCGAAAGGTAATGTAAAGGATCAATTGACAAAACATATTCTAACAAAACTCGAGTCAACTCCTTTATTGACACATTATGGTCGCAATAGCCATTGGTATCTGCCTTTGAAACGAAAACTAATTTATCTACCACTTCTGAGAGCTTGACGGTGACGTAGACATAAATCTCCAAAGCGTAGAAAACCTTTTTGTTACTGCATAAAACAAAGAAGTGTTGCGACTTAATCACGTTGTTGACTGCAGTTGTTTGGTGTCTTTTAAGTACTATGGGATGCGTTTCTCTTGGTGGGCTCTGAAGATGCAAAAGCTCAAATTCAATTGTATCAGGTAGAGCATGCGATAATAACTCTTGCAAGAGACACATGATGGCAACGAGCTATTATTTCCATCCCTGATAGCGGGGCATTAAGCGGTTGCAAATGTGACTTTAAATAGTCAACGCGCCTGTTCTCAGCTCAAGAAAAAGCCCTATCTTTTTATACGTAGATCGCACTATATAATCTACAAGGTTTCATAATCCTCAGGATAGAAGATCAGACGTTCGGGCCCATCTTTGGTCAAAACCACCATTCTGATGACACCACCAGACGATCCGTCCCATTTGATTGCTTGGGCTAGGGAGTTTTTCATGAAATTTATCGTCTCTTCTTTAGTCATGTCTTCTTTGAAATTCTTGTCACAGTATCCATAGATGAAAGTAGAGCCCGAACCCGCAATTGCGTACTTCTGTTTGTGTATGGACCCTCCAAGCGGTATGCTGTATACCTCGCCCTTATTTTTATCGTCATAGCCCGCGACGATGATACCTGCTGTCAAGTTGTCTTTGTTTTCGTAGCACAGGGTCTTGAAGATGGAGGCTGCCGTTTTCGTAGATGGCTCGCCGAATTGAGCTGTGTATAGTTCCAAATAGTGTTGTACAATATCAGTGACGGCTTGAGTGTCGGCTGCCGAGCCGGATCTACAACACCAAACCTTGTCATGTACTCTCGTCAGCTTATCAGTGACACGGTTGGCTATGTAAGCACCAGTTGTGGTTCGTGAATCTGCACCCAAAATCACACCGTCTTTGAAAGTAACAGCCATACTGGACAGTTCACATTGTTAGTATGTTGCGCATTATACATCTTAATATATCTTAGTTCAGCTTAGTTTCAACATACATAGAAGTACCCAGGCTTACTTCTCCCTTTTTCAAATGGTTTATATCAACTTGAATGCCGTTCATTTTCAACAGTGATGTTAGCTCGCGGTATGTGTGCGAATTATCGTTTGTCTATCTAACCAGTCTGAAGGTCAGTTTTGCCACCTTTTTGTATTTGAAGATTGTATTGTCTTGAAAGTCTCGTGACCGAAGCAGCTGACCATTAAGGCTGGTCAAGATTTCATTGCAAATGATCTGTAAAAACTATACTAGCTTTACATGGTTTAAACGCTATCGTATACTGGGTGACCGTTCCAGTCCCCTACTATGCTGCGAAAGAAGGGATCTGTCCACCACAGGAAGTGGGGAGTACTGTGGTGAAGTAAGAGGGCTTAATTTGGCATCCGGTATGCTTTTGAAGCTAATAGTAGATTTTCTAGAAGCCAACTTTTTGTTTATCTTCTCCAGATCCATTATCGGTGGCGGAGAAATCTCCCGGTTTTCAAGGCTTGAGGCACTCACCTCTAATCTTCTCTTTGTCACAGTGTCTAGCTTCTCCGAAAATCTTATGGGACTTGGGATTGCTTTCCGAGCTCGCCTGTAGTGATTTCTCATTGCCTCCATTCTGTTTTGTTTCATTCTTTCAGAGCCAGGTATCGTTATGCGCCCGCTGTTTTTGATCCTAGTGGGGGTGATTAAGCTTTGATCTTGTTCCTGGTTATCGGGTGACTTTTTGACAATGGATGCAGGCTGTTCGGAGTTGAACGAATCCAATTTTTCCTTCCATAATAAGAGAATAGCTCGCAAGCTTGCCCTATTCCACCTATTCTTGAAAATATCGACTGTCTCACTATTTCTTGAACATTTTAGCTCCTTCATAGTCCACATGTTCATGCACTTGACCAGCGTTGATAGATCCTTTTCTGATACCACTCGGTCTAGCTGTTTTCGCATAGCAGAAATGCGCGTATACTTAAGCTTAAGGTCGCCAAGGCAGTTTGACATTTTCGATTGATTGTCAAGTTCAATCGACACCAATCTCCAATTTTCATGGAGCTGCAACTTATCTAGCGCCTTCTGCAAAACCATTGAAGCCACGTTCTGGTACCTTTGACGGTCTGCCACTATCGTACAGTCTAATGAGAAGTAGCGGAAACGCGAGCTCCACAAGGCCATATAATCTTTCAAAGCTGCTTTCTCTCTCAACGTTAAATATTGATCTAAGACAATCTCCTGTTTCAATCTTCTCTGAATCTGCACGCTTGACTTCCAAAGTGAAAGATACTTTTTTTTGTGCTTATGGTTGATTTGCGTTGCAATTTCCAACGAAAATAGATTCAATCTTTCACTATGAGGAAGGGTTCTCTTCATTTTAGAAATAGCCCTCAGTTTAGCAAAAATATTGGCTTTTCGTTTCAACTCTTCAGCTTGCTTGTACTTCCGGATCCACTTCTCAAGATGCTCTTTCACTAGAAAAGAATCTCGACATTTAACGGTAATAGTAGATAGGTCCTTGAAGGATTTGTATTTTCTTTTCCACTCATGGTTCCAAAAAGAGAGCACGACCTGTATTTGATATCTCTTTAGCAATTTTTCGAGTTTAGCTTGATTGCTCCATCGTAAAAGAAGCACCCGCGCCCAAGTCTCACTTCTGGTTCGTCTAATTTCCAAATCTCTCTGTTTGAATCGCATTCCACGTAAGGCTTTACGCGCGAGAACACGTTCATAATGGGAGAACGCTTTGAATGTTTTGCAATATCGGGCCCTCCATATCGAGAAATATCTCCCGCTCAGTGCTGCTTTCCGCTTTGAGCGATACTCGTGGAGTGAAAACTTTTCCCTTAGCCTCTTTAGCCAAACTTTGCGAAACACAAACTTTACGAGAATTGTGTCAAGAGACTTCACCGCGAATGCCTCCCTTTCCTTCCAATCGGTAACATCTTTAAGGACTTTAAGAGCCATCTTTTCTCGAAAAATTGTCTCTAGCTCCACCAGATCCTTCATCTTGTTCTGCTTTTCGGTCAAATTGGCTCTCCATATTTTCACGACCGGAGTTAACAAGAGAACTCTCTCAAGAAGTAAAGCTTTGTCAGCGAGTGATCGAACGTATGCAGACCTGGTCACTACTTTCTTGAAGAATAACCTTACACTCTTCGCCCCTAGCTGAGGCCGTGAATGTTGATATCGAGTTTCGAGTCTCCATGTTGAAAAGGCCCGCTTTACGCATCTCGCTTCGTAGTCGTGATCCGCTAACTTGAGATGGTTTCTTTGGAACAGGCTGATTTTCTCAATGAGCTTTAAATGTTTCTGGAGAAAGAAGGCATCTGCTAAGTCCTGTTTTACTTTCTGAGCGTCGGTACGTTTCATCCACTGATCTAACGTATTGGACTGACTTTTGAAGTTGATCAAGCAATCAGCTTCTGATCTCAAATCTTTACACTTGAATCTCACTTTTTCTTGCCAGACCCGTAAGTACTTTCTCTGGACGTAATTGTCCCATATCAGGCCCAGTTGCTTCAAACTTAGATTCAGTTCTGTTTGTAGCCTCCATCTACTAAAAATTGATTGAAAGGTAGCCCTTCGGTTTCTTTGTTCAAGGGATGCTAGCATCATCCATGGATTTGCGGGACAAGTAAGAAAAGTGTCCACTAATTCCAAAAATGCTTGAGTAAGCTCCCACCCTTTGTCTAATTCATTTTGTAATTCTAGCACATATTGATCCAACATTGGATCCTGCCCTTCCTCTAGCAATAATGATATATACCTTTTCAATATAACTAGAAAATCGAGAGAAAAGTTTCTTCGGAGTAAGAGGACCTGGGTCTTGTTGAAGAGCATCCGAAAATATGGATCATCATCGAGTGATGGTATAGAATGGAACGCATGTTGTTTATTCGAAGTTTGAGAACTAGGAGATAGTGTTCTCTTCTCTCCACTAGTTTCAGGATGATGAAAGAGGTGTTCGAAATGTTCACTCGTTATTGAATCAGCGTCATTGTCGGTCACTGGACTTTTGGCGTCCTGTAGCAAATCCTTAATGTCCTTTCTTACCAACGAACTTGTCGAGTGCTTAAGGTTGTAGCTCATAAGAGAAGAGGTCAATGGGTCGTTCGGATCATAGTAAGAATACTGATGGTCTATCCGATATTCGCTATGATCCATTCAAAGGACTTCCTTGTGTTTTTGAAATAGTGTTATGTTCTTTCGTTTGATTTGATTTTTCCTACCTGGCCTTTCGTGCCAACTTGTCCAAACAGAAAGTAACTTTCCGAACCTTTGAAGCCTATTGAAAGCTGACGAATTTGACACGATATTGAAGATGCTGGTAGCAAAAAGAGCCTTTACCCTTTTGTTCTTGTGTCTACGGTTCGTCGTAAGCCAAAGTGACACTAGTCTTTTACCCACTTCCTGGGAAAATGTCCAGTATTCGCGAACTGTCGACGTGAGCAGATCTTACACCCAAGAAAGCATCGATTTACAGATCAAGAATGTTGATGATAAGCCTATTAGTGAGTACTACTTTGTGCTCCCTGAAGACGTGTTTGAAAAGATCTCGCTCTTCTCTGCAAAGTTGAGGAAAGTCGATGCTATTTTAGACAGCGCCATCCTTCCTCAACAAACCTTCACAGCAAATGGGAAGGCTGTTAAAGTTGGAGTTGTTCAGCTGCCCTCCCCAATTGAGCCTGGCCAGGAGGCTAAAATAGTTGTGAATATAGCGTACAATTGCAATCGTCAGCCTTATCCGGGCCACGTGGAGCTTGGAGAGAAGCAGTCTCTCCGTCTGAGCACCAATAAGTATCCCATATCGGCCTACAACACGAAAACTTATAGTCTAGGATTCAAAGGAAGCTTATCGTTTTCAGAGCAAGAGTCTGTGGGTAGTGATGCAATGGCGTGCCAAATGAAAGGTAACACTTTTTCTTGTGTTTCTCAGGAATCTGTAGCGGCTTACCGAGACCCAGTGCCTATTAGCGTTGTTTTTGAACACAATCTTCCTTTAACCAGAGTTACAAACTTAGAGAGGGCTGTCTGGATTTCGCATTGGGCCTCTACTTTGCAGTTCGAAGAGTATTACGAATTGATTAACGATGCTGCGCCACTAAAGAGTGGGTTTTCCAGAGCTGAATACATGAGAGGTCAGCATGCTTTGAAACAAAGTGGGCATTTAACTGCGCTAGAAATGGTTCTTCCTGAAGACTCGGAAGAGCATTACTTTACTGATTTAGTTGGAGCAGTGTCAACATTCAAGGTCTTAAAAAACCATCTCTTCTTGAAACCAAGATATCCACTTTTTGGTGGGTGGAAGTATAATTTTACCATTGGTTGGACAAATCAGCTTTCGCAGTTTTTACGGGTTGAAGATGCCACCCAGGAGTCATATGTCTTATCTGTGCCAGCCTTGAACGGGCCAGACGACACATTTTACGACAGAATGAATCTTTCCGTATATTTGCCAGAAGAAGCTGAAGTTCTTGATGTTTGGTGCCCGTTACCAATTACATCAACAGAAGTCACCACAGAGAAGTCATACTTTGACCTCAATAAAGGACACACCAAGGTTAGTCTCGAATTGAAAAACGTCGTTGACACGGTCGCCAGAAGTGAGGTCTTCATTAGGTATAAGTTTTCGTCAACCTCTTTTTACAAGAAACCATTTTCAATCGCGACTTCGGTTTTCGTGGTCTTGATGGCGTATTATCTTCTCAAGCAAACTACTTATATGATAGAAGAATGAGTGATCCCGCACAAACGTATTAGAAAAATAAGTAAAATTAATACCATTTAGTCGTATGTGCGCTTTTTCCCTCTTTCTCCTACCAACTACAAACCTCTCCATATGCATTTTTCGACGACTTCGTAAGAGCTGTTGTTATTCGTCTTTAAAAGTCCTATCTGTTGGAATTCAGATACAGATTGAATGAACCAAACCAAGATCATCTTGTCTACCAAATTGCTTAAATCGTCGTCTTTTGCCATGGCTAATAGTCTAGTCCTTTGTTCTTCAGTCAGCTCGAACATTTTAAGATCGAGAATGCTCTTGACATAGTTCAGTAACTGATCTTTAGGAAGAGTTTCCTTGAAAGCACAATAAAAGTCGAAAAGATTGATCAGTGAGCTCGCTTCCCGGTATAGACCAAAAAGCTGGCACAAAGGTAAATCGATTAGCGTCCCAAAATCTTCCTGTGGCGTCTTTGGTTTATGCGTGCGCTTTGAAGGGGGTGGCATGATTCGATCGGAGTTGATCAAATTGTCCTCAAGGTTTGTTCGCAAGTACGGAAATAAGGACTGAGAAAACAACTCCTTGCTGTTATCCAATGTAAATAGCTCCTGGAATACAATATCCACCGGCTCGAATTTGAGAATATCGTCAAACTCCTGACACTCTGGCCATCTAGACAGAAAGGTACTAAGTTTGCCGGTCAGCATGTGGAAATAGAGATCAATAAGGTTATAATTGAAGACACCAAGCTGATTTTCAAGGACTTCCACAACTAACTTTAAGTGACCATTAATCGGATTCTCTCTTACCAGAAACTCTGCAAAAAACTCTTCAAGATTGGAATCTTCATTCTCTAGCAAGCACATTATCTCTTCGGAAGGAGCGTGGTTCCGAACCATACCCTCGATGAATGTCATGAATGTGGGGCATTTGACAAGAGGAGGAAGATAATTCTCGTCAAAGTGTCTCACATTTGTTTGGTCAATGAACACTGAGAAAGGATTCTGGAAAAAGTAAGACATCAAGGAGTAGTCCAATATTTTTGTGAGCAATTGAAGATTGTGTGTCGAGTTATTTGACATCTTATCAAGAATAAACTCCACGAATTCCGACGACAGGTTTAACTTTCCATCAACGGTATTCAAAAAGCTTTGAAATGTTTGATTTGCATATTTGAAGCCTTTGTTATGAGAGAGGTCTATGACCGAAAAGTTCTTTTTTAATAGCCTAATGGTTGATTGTCTCAAATTCTTTTGTATATTTGATAAGTTTGTATTGATATTGAGCACAAGGCAAATTTCAATATCTTCATAGTTTAAAGAAGATTTCAAAAGATTTATGAAATCATCAAGGACTTGAGAATTGAAAGAGTCCACTTCCTTAAAATTGAAAACGAGCTTGAGTCCCTTTCTGAAAATCTTTCGAAAATTCTGCACCAGAGAGAGATCGTAAGAAACTCCCAGGTCTGGGGATGACGCTAGATCAAGCCCATCCCCAACCTCTACCAAATCCTCTGAGTGTTCAGTTTTGAGCACGTTCTTTGTAGTTTGATTTGGCGACTCCGCAGCACTCAATAATCTGAACATTGATCTCCTTAACATCATTCTTACGTTCGGCGATTCCTTCGGCGTCAAGTCTATGATTACGTTCATTTTATTTGCATCATCATTTGGCAGCTCTATGCTAGTAGTGCTGTCTGAACCCAAGAGAAATAGGCAGTTGAAGCAAGGTGATAGTAGATTTGTTTCTTTGGCCAATACACTCGAGATTTCTCTACGCATATCTAGTTCAATCCTCTCCACTATATCATCAACTTGAGCATAAAATTGAGAATGAAGTTGATGGTATAGCGTCCACCTCTTATGAACCATCTCGAGTGATTCTTTACCAGACAAAAGTTTGACGAAAGGGTCAACACCCTTTAGGCAACTAACCTTACGTCTTTTTACTTTAGGATAAACGGTATAATGCGGTTTCTGAGCTTCTGCGAATTCGTTGAGGTTCATTTTGCGGACTAAATGCTTGTCATATGCATGTGTTCTGTGGTATATATATAAAGAACTGTATACTGTTTGTAAAGATCAATTAATTCACGTGTTGAAAGGTAGATAGAATATCATGCATTTTAGCGCCAGGAAACAGCTGCCTCTCTTATAGTTCTCGTAAAGCAGACCATTCGGTACTTTGCATCTTATTGGTGTTAGTTTTCCATAGCAGTAAAGAAAATAAATGACTCGTTGAAGCCTTGTGGCTATGAAGTTATATGTCACTACTTACAAACACAACAGCTGTATATGTAAAACTCAGCCTTCAGGACTAAAACATTAAAAATGAAAAACTTCATTCCTCTAAAAGCCAGATCTTTCAGTTGACTGTCATTACCCTCAAAATGGCCAGCTGAAGATTATTTGTGATCTAAATACTCATTCGCCTATGTAAACTACTTCACCACGATTACAAACCTCTTGCATCGTTCGGGTATTTTGTAATCACCAAGAACTCCCTTGTCCTGAAGAACCCACTATTGGAATATGTATGACAGAAGCAAATCATACAGTTGATGACTTCTTTTGCACCCAAATGTAATCTTCGATTTTTTTTGGAGATTGAAGTCAACCTTTCACCAAACATTTTCGGACTCTCCTTTCATTCTAGGTACACGTACTGGCTCCCAATCTTGCTCTCCAAGGCCCTGCAACCTATAGTATTCTTCCTTAAGGTCGAATTGCCTCTTGTTACTTTTCATTTTTATGAGATCGTCCTCGCTTACCTCTTGGACCTTGCGGTCTTTTCGCTCGTATCTTACAGCTGTGAAGCCAGCTAGCCAGTAAGATCCAAGAACAATGATGGAACAAAACGGCAAGCCAAAATAAAGAAAAGGATTCTTCTTTAGTCTAGCCTGATACTTCCCCGCAAGAGACGCCTCATAAGCGATTTGCCCCTTCCTTGATCTGAATCTGTGCCCTCCAAACGACATTCCTAATGAAGTGGCAATGTTCTATTTTACCTGCGAGTGCTGGCGCTCACGGCTAAATGAGAGTACGTAATTGGGAATATACTGAACTTGGAAATCAATACCTCTGCTTTCCTTAGTCACGTGGTATCAATTGTGAATGATAATGGCACACCTTAAAGACTTCAAGCGAAGGGTCTTCCTAACTCAAACAATCTCTAGCCCCATTGTATGATGCTATTAGAATTCACTGGATATTTACAAAAATTCGGTCCAAAATGATTAATTGTCGTCGTAAACCAAAGAGTTAAGAAAAGTATAGAAATTGAGACACCAGCAAGCCGGCAGGACTCATTTGAGGCTAATAACATCGCCGAGAGCTCCTACCATCAAAGTTCGCAATTTTTTCAAGAGCTATTAGCTAGGGGCCCAACGTACGTTTGAATGATATGCGCTTCGATAGACTAACTCCGTCCGCCACTGCCACTGCCACTGGCCGCAAATTACATGAAGACATTGAGAGGAATCTTTTGAAATTTGAAAAGCTGTCCTTTCGAAGCAAAGCGTCGTATCAGAAGGGAATAGAGCAATAATATAAGCTTACACCAGAAAGGCATAGGTCTGCGTTAAAACCAGAGTAAAAAGTTAATAAAAGAATGGCCTGCCGCCGTTGACAACGAATTTAATTATTTTGAAATTCTGTTGATTTCGTTGAAGCATCGTCGTTTTCTGCCTTTTCTTCTCTGGTATTCTTACTTCTGGGCCATAAACTGGGCAATCTTATAAATTGGAAACGAGGCTCGACACATCTCTCTACAAACCACTTCTTGATCTGATATTCAATCAAGCTGCCTATTTTAGGAATGTTTTGAAGCTTTGATCTCGCACCTATCAGAGACTTGACATCGAACTCTAAGCGATATTCAGGAGAGAACGAAAACATTAGAAAATAGCCGCTGCCGCCGTCAGTACCGTAGGACGTGGGAACGAACTCTTCAGCAGTGGTCAAAGAAACAGTAAGACAAGCTTGAAATCGTACTATCGAGACAGTTAGTTGGACAGGTAAAGCTGCAGCAAAAGGTTTGGGGTAGTTGATTAGCAGCTTGGTCTCAATACCAAGTGCAATCCGGTCGCTAAGATCAATGTCTATCTTTGCTTCAAGCCTTTGTTTATTCGAGTTGGGCGAATATTGTATGCGACAATTAGAAAAAATAGGAAAGTCCTCTCCAATGTCGAGCTCTGTAATTTTAATTGAATCCAGGTATTGCGGTAATTCTTGGGACTTTCTCGAGATGAAGTCGTTTAAGGAATGAACAATGTTGTCTTTTTGAAGCGCTTCCTCTCTGAACTGTTGAATAGTTTGAGCGATCAAGACATTGAACCAATCCAGAGTTTCTGAGGAGTGTGTATCAACGTTATAATAGGTTTTCTCCAATATGGTGTTAATCTGGGAGAATTTGCGATCATGGTCTGCGTCTTCTGAGTTTTCTGTTCCATCTTCTCCACGTCTTCGTATAATAGATGAGAGCAAGTGCGACGTTGATGAAGAAAGTAGAGGCGCCGTTGCAAAATCTGGGTCTCCACTGGCATTGGACTTACTACCTTTGGGCCCACCCGACTTGAGAGAGCCTTCGCTGAACACGAAGAATTTAATGAAAAAGATGAAAACCAGAATGACACTTAATTGCCCCAGAACGAGTCCTTGAGCGAATGACCAAGACGAGAAAGACGAGCTGCGGGAAGAGCCATAGTCTGGTTTCATAGACAAGTGAAGTCCATGTTGCAATTGCTGCTGAGATGAGTCGCTCACTGCGTCAATCAGCGACTTAGATGCACTGTCTAGTATTTCTTGTTGCCTTGTCTCTAGATTATCCAAGAACAGCCGCTGCAAATGGCGTGGTAAAGTGTTGCTCAGGTACTCATCCAACGAAACTAAAGACTCATTTTGATTTGACGGGTAGTCTGCAGATACATTGAGCACATCTTGCGCAGTCGCATTGCTCGACTCGATCTGTGTGTCGTCGTCCATTGCTCATCGACTCAAGGCCTGGAAATAATGGCCTGAAGGATTTCAATGTTCTGATAGATTGCCAATATCAAGACGTAGTAAGGAAATGCTCCTGTTCGAATCTCTCTTTGCTCATTTTGAGCTTTAATTTATCATGCGTTCGAATCTGTAAAGAAATAGATTTATCAATTCCCAGTTTTCCAATTTTTGAAGACCGCGACATCGAAATTGAACCGTTTGACGAACCGAAAAAAAGAATCTGAGCTACATTAAGCCTTCTCAGTTGAATTCTGGCGACACTGCGGTAACATTTTTCAAATCGCTGGCGTTTTCTTAGGTGTTGCTCGATTTAGTGATTAATTTTGAAAGTATGACGGACGAACTTTCAGTTCAGTCAAACTACGTGGATCAGCTAACAAAGATGCTAAATCATACCAAGGATGACAAGACAGCGCTACTTACATTACACCGCTCGCTAGCATCCAGCGACGACAAGGCTTTCGCGGAGTGTCTGGTGAAGAGGCCAGACAGATGGACGAGCATCTTTGCGGCAACAAGAGAACACACGGAAGACCAGGAAGTCGTTACGGCCGCAGACTTTTTCATGGAAAGAGGCTCTTCGATTTTGAGTGGTACCAACGACGAGGTATTGGACCTTAAGAGCTTTTGCGGAGCAGTACACACACACTTGGTTGTTGACACAGTTGTGAGCCAACTGCTGTGGCGCCAGTGCGATGCAGAGCTCGAAGCACAAGTCGTAAAGTCGATCAGCGGTTTTCTGAAGTGCTTGATGTTACTCAACGAAAGCGACCCCCATTCAGCGAACGCGATCATGTGCGATAGTTTCCTGACGCTTAAATCGGGCGGATACTTTACCATCTTGACTACGGTACTTGAAAGTGGAGCCCAGTACAAAGGGGATATTGAGGAAATAGCCCATAGCTGTGTTATGGATCTTGCAACCATGGACAGGTCTCTGAACTCTCGTAATGTGGACAAATTACCTAGCTCCCTCATGAGGAGCATGGTGGACCTTTTGGATAAGCATTTCAAAGTAAGTGAGTGGGAAAAAGAAAAATATCCTTCTGTTAACGAAGGTGGCAAACAGATATCCGAGCTTTCGTTAACCAATGCAATTGACATGATTACGTTTTCCACAGATAGCAACCTTTCGTTTCGCAAAAAGTTTTTAGAGCGTTTACTTTTCGAAGACGATGCTTTCCCAATAATCAAGGGCCTATCTTGGCTTTCGGACCAATTATCAGAATGCTTTAATCAATACTTCACTGAAAAAGACGTGTCTGTCTTTATTATGCAATGTTTTTTGAACAAAGACATATTGATTTTCAGCCTTGTGGATAAGCTCATGGAGCTCTGGATTGAGTCAAAAGCTCAAAGTTTTGACGATTTTAAATCTGTCTTGGAAACCTTTAAAGTTGCCTTTTTCCAACATGACTGTTTCCTTGGTGCAAAAGAACCTGATGTTGGCTCATGTTTGGTTAATATCAGGTCGCTCACTTATACAGACCTCAGAAGTCTACAGCTGAAACAAATAAGAACTACGCATTACGAAAAATGGGAAAAACAGATTTCGCAATTTGACTCTATGCTTTCCAATCAAGTTCTGGAGTATGTGCGTCACCAGCGTCTCCTTCAATTACAGAAAGGCTCTTGGGTTTATAGCGAGAATCCACTGGACCGCAGCGTAAAGCAACCAAAGGTTTACTTCGTTGTCCTCTCTGATAACCAAATGAATCTTCTAGCCAGAGAATTCAGAGCTAGAAGCGAAGAAAATCCTACTGTTCATGGAAACGAAATATATAATGCTACAGACGCATCGGCTCCTAAATCTAAAACCATGGTCATTCCTTTAAGGCGCGTGAATAAATTTCAGCATTGGAGGGTTCAATCTGAAAGCAAAGTTCCCGACAATGCGAAGCTGATTAATATTCTGAACAAAGCTGTATACACAGAGATCCACCTTTTAGATAAAGAAGCATCTGTTCTACTCAGATTTTTTTTGGATACCAAAGAAGCCTCCTATATCTGGCTAGATGGTCTGCAGTTGATAGTTGCTGCGGCGCTGGGCAAAAAACCTGCTCTGTCGGATGACATGAAGTCTCAAATAGCCAATCTTATCGATTTGAGGAAGAATGTCCAAATTATAGGGTTGGACGATAACGCGGATTTAGATTATGATGACGAAGGCTCCGAGGCCGAAGAGCAGTATTATGATTTGAAAACGCTACAGAATTTAACGGTGGATTTTCACTACGATTGAAGGCTGGATGGCAACTAATTTACACTTGTTCTTTATCCTGTTACATATTAATTTTGAATTATTAACCTGCAGTTGTAAGCTTATTTTCGGGCTAACTTTTTTTTCTTGGCGTCGACTTTCGCCTTTTGTTTGGCATAAGTTCTCTGCTGGTCAGTACTCCGGTCATTTTTGGTCTTCTTATATGAACGGGAGCGGTCTTCAGTGGCCTCCATGCGCTTTCTCTTTTTGCTGTTAACAGTCTTCTTATTCTTGGATAAAGCTTGAATAACCTTAGAATTTTTCTTCTCCGCTTCTGATTGAAACCAGGTTCTTCTTGGCCTAGAATTGATTTCGTCTTTATGTTTCAGCATGTTCTGGCCTTTACGAACTTCCATTTCCGCTCTCAGAATTTCTTTCTCCTCTTTTTCTTCTTCTAGAATCTCGCTAATGGTTTCATCCTTATTCGAGATGAGACTGTTGATCTCCTCAACTCTGATCCAGTCAATCATTCTACCAACAACCGTATCTTGTTTTTTGTTCTCCTCGGCAGATTTTATGGCACTCTTTACCACGTTTCTATCTTGCGAGGATTCACCCACAAAGGTGATAGACCGACCTTCTCTACCAGCTCTAGCGGTACGACCGACTCTGTGAAGATAAATATCGTAGGACTTTGGCATATCAAAATTTATCACGTACTCGATTTTGGGAATATCTAAACCTCTGGAAGCCAAATCTGTACATATCAGTACTGGAACATCGAGAGATTTGAAGCCATTGACGGCCTGCAATCTTTGCTCCTGAGACAAAGAACCATGAAGCTCTGCAACCTTCATTCCCAAAAGACCCAAAATGATTCTTAATTTGTGTGCCATTTCTTTTCTTGCAACGAATACAACAATTCTCTTTTGTCCATAATCGTCAAGTTTTCTTATTAGGTGAAACAGCAAAGCTGGTTTGAGATCTTCTCTCTTACGGATACGAACGAATTCTTGCGTAAGCTCTGCGGCTGCTTGTCTGGGAGGATCTATCATGATCTTGACTGGCTTCTTCAGTGATAGTGATATTAACTGATTGATCTTAGCATTCATGGTGGCAGAAAACAATAAAGTTTGCCTTTTGCTTGGGATTAACGACATAATTTCATTTAGTTCTTCTTGGAACCCCTCTTCTAACATACGATCGGCTTCGTCAATGACCAAAATTTCCACAGAGTCAACATTAAAACTGGCAGAGTTTCTGATGTGGTCAATCAATCTACCGGGGGTCGCAATTACAACATCTGGCCGAGACCTCAAAGTTTGTTCCTGTTGTCTTAGATTCAGACCACCGACTGCAAGGCCAAAATTGATGTTGCTTACAAACTTGGACAGTTTGCTACCCACATCTGAGACCTGAATGGCCAATTCACGGGTTGGGGCAAGGACAATCACGCGAGTGGAGGCAATTTGTGCTGGCTTGTATAGAAGACGCTCAATGATGGGGATCATGTAGGCGGCAGTCTTACCAGAACCTGTAACGGCACCAGCAATAATGTCTTTTCCCAAGAGAGCGATTGGAATCGTCGCACTTTGAATCGGAGAGGGCTTCACATAGTTGAGGGCTCCTAGACCTTTCAGAACAGGGCGCGACAGCGAAAGTGAATTGAAATTTGTATGAACGTTTTTCCTAGCCTCTGTACTCTCCTCATCAGGAGCGTAGAATTCGGCTTTAGCTTCTTCAGTATCATCTTCACCTCCAGCCTCAGCTTCTGAATCGTTTTCTGGCTCATTAGCATGAGCATTGTTGCTCTCGGCAGAATCATTACTTTCAGACTCGGCGTCGCTTGTCTCTTCTTCTTCTTCTTGCGCTGCTTTCACATTCTCGGGGACGCCCATCCCAAATCCGTCCATAGCCAAGTCCTCCTCATCACTTTCGCTAGCTTCTTCGCCATCTGTTCCCTCTTCACTCTCGGCTTCGCTTTCGCCATTCTCAGTACCCGCTATTTGAATCAGTCCACCCTTACGTCTAATGATACCATCCAGATCGACATCCTTAGTCTCGTCAGAGCTTTTTTTATCACCCTCGAAATTCCAGCCTTCGAACCCAGATGTTACTTCAGAACCGTCGAGATCAAATTTGAAGCCTGGATTTAGATCTTCGTGAACGTCTTCATCGAGTTCCTTATTCTCAACCTTCTGTTTGCTCTTTTTAGTCTTCTTAGCCTTCTTAACGTTTTCCAGTGGCTTCTGGACAGTCTCATCATCAGAATCGTCTAGGTCAGGGACCTCGTTTTCGCTGTCGCTGATAGTTGGAACAAAATTATCCATATCCTTGAACTTGCGGCCCACCATGTCAATTAATCTAGAAGTCGATGCAGTCGTAATAGTTACTTGGGTTGAATTATTAGCAGTCAACTCGAACTCTTCCAGCTCATCTCATCTCATCTCATCATGCCTCATCGTCTAAAATTTTTCATAGTCATTTTGAACGCTTGGTAATTTTCTGATATGTAAGTGTCATTATTCTTACAGAGCTAGTATTCTCGTGGAGTATGGGCCGATCCTCACTTCGTAGCCTTGTCTACTTTGTTACTTCTTAGGATTTGTACGTTTGTTCCCACGAAAATGCCGAGGCTCGTCCCGCAAGGAGGTATTGGTTTAGACAGGGGCCGTACATTACAATGCTATTTTTAACAAATTCTAATTTGGAGCTCGAATTTCAAGTCAATTGATCTCCTCTTGAAATGCTCGCTTAATCTACCGCCATCCAGTTTCTCAAGTCTCACCTTTCAGATATCAGCACAAAATTTTAGTTGCACTGCAAATCAATCCACACAACACGATAGCTCGCTATTGATGAGCACTAATCAGTGCTGCTATGACGATTTTTTGACCAGTACTTTCGCGATTGGACGATAAAGAACATACGGATATCGGCACGTAGGAAAACGTGAGTTTCGCAATCGTTTATAAACAATCTCAAAAGTTTCGCAGTGCAATTACTATCTCTGTGGTCCAATGCGCGCCAATGTGTTCTGCTGCTACCAAATGCATTTGCGATGGCAAAAACTCTAGCTTGGTGTATGGCCACAAAATCGATGTGGGCCTTCAGTCTAAAGACTGCCCGACCACAATGGGTCAAGACTCAAGAACAGCATTGAAAGTAATCAACGTCTGCCAAAGTGGATATTGTATCGGATGATACAGTCTGACTCATCTCTTCTCCGAACACATTCTAATTTTCGGCGTGGCGGCTAGCGTAATTTATTTCCAGTTTCTATTAATATGTTGTCATGCTTAAGTGTTGAACTAGATCCCAAGTCTCTCCTCCTTGACTCTACAAGTCTCTTAGTCGTAAGCATTTATAGGCCCGCGTGTGCAGTGATATACCAGTATATTCCGTTTACACACAAGATGGATCACTGCACTTGCAATCCTGAAAAGTGATATGTAAATCTTCCAAATAAAGATAGCAGTTTCATGGCTTGGTTCCGCAGATACTTGAGGATACCGCAAGAGCTGCGGCCTTCTGAAGTTTTCAAGCAGGACTCGTTATCTCCTCTGAAGATCACGCTTCAAATTGTTCTGCTACAGCTATTCTACTATGCCACAGCTTATGTGTTGTTCTATGTCTGGGCTAATTTGGGTGGGTACGACGTACCACTAAGCCAGTGGCTGTTTTCATGGGAGCCTATTGAATTTTCCAACTCGCTTGGACTCACGTTGTCACTTCTTTGGCTGTTGGACTCGCTTATATGTGTGCTTTTCCTAACAGTGATCGTGGGTCGCAGCAAGTTGGCCTGGGATTTTGGTATCACAATTCATGCTGTGAACTTGTTGATTGTATTGATCAAAACAGGAAAGTGGCCGAGCCTAGCGTGGTTCGTGGTCCAGTTCCTGTCATCTCTGATTTTGGTATTTCTGGGTACTTGGTCCACTCGTTGGAGGGAGCTCAGAGATACCTTTTTTGAGGGACTCGTCGATCCTCAAACAGCAACGGCGACGATGTCTCAACATGAGGTTTCCGCGGAGGACAACCTGGAACTGAAAGATTTAGAAGCTCAAAAATGACGCAACATTAAGGCAAGACTTGTGATGTGGTCGACAATTAATGTTAAGGCTTTATAGCTATGCGAGAAAGCTTATAGAGAGCTTGGTCACATTTTAAGAATGCCAGGACTACACTTGCACTAGCATTTGCTAATTACGTGATCTTTTTTAACAGGTATTAAGATTATTCGTCACGCGTCCTGCACGATTTACTATCAATTCAAACATACATAGGTTTGCGAAACGCGTGAAATACGGCTTATTTAACTTTGCTTACCCGCCGCTTCAAGTAATTGGTCCACCAGTTCAAAGATGGATTTTGCCGCATTGGTGTCACTTCCTTTCGCTAACTTTAACGACCCCTCCATCCGCTGGCGAATTTGAAGAGTTGCGACTACGGCCTCCAACCTAGTAATTACGTGATCCAGAAGCGATATACGATCCATCTCTGTAGAAGCTTGGACTACTGCCATGGTTGTCTTCTTGTCAAAGTTCACATAACATCCCAATTTACCGATTTCTTCCTTTTCAATGAGTGAACCGTTAAGCACAGACGTCAGGCTTTCAAGTTTATTGGATACCGACCGCAATTGGAACAAAGTTTCGTCATCTATGATGCTTGCTTCGGTTTGTTGGGTTCCGAATTCATGACGGGCCGCCAATGCCTTAGGGTAAGCTATTGTGATAAACTCAATAGATTCCAAACCTTTTAATTTTTTCTCACCAAGTTCTTGAAATACACATCCTATGCCTTCCAGCAAGTGAATTTCTCTCTCCATAACTTCACCAACAAGAGTCTCTCCATAAGCCTCTTTTAATGAACATTGGTCGTTCACCACGCGATTGTGCAGTGCCATTAACTTGTGATATTCAGAGCAGAAGTCACTACTGAGAGTTATTTGACCACCATCGGCAACGCCGGATACTCTTGAAGCCTTGTTAACGACCGGTCCTAAATAGTCCATACGTTGAGTCACAACATCTAGTTCAGGCACGGGACAGCCCCAGTGAATACCCATTCTGACAGATAAACCCAGGTACATTTTTCTATTTTCAGCATCACTAATGAGGCATCCACCTTGAATCGAGGTGATTTCCTCAGGCCATTCAGCGTCCAATAGCTTTAACTGGACGCTCATGCACCATACTAATGCGCTTATTGGAGTAGGAAACGCCACCATAAATGCATCACCCTCTGTTTTAACTTCATATCCACCGAAAATACGCAGGTTTCTACGCATAACATCATTATGGGTCTTAATTGCACTTCTCATCGCATTTGGGAAAAGTTCCCAAAGGAATGTTGAGTTTTTTATGTCGGTAAAAACCATGGCCAGGTTTCCTGTTGGAGGGGCAATTTCTGGTTGCAATCTTCTTAATGTGGAATCTTCGAAAGTGCTTCTCCTTGAAATTAAATCTTGTTTGTTTAGCATGAAATTTGTTTGCCCAGTACTAGACTTATCCAAAGATAAACACATAATAGTCATGTTATCAGTACAACCGTATGATATGGCATAATCCTTCATTTTTTCTGCCCCACGAATAGGGTCCCCTTTGTTTTCTCTGCAAATGTCACAAGCAGTCTGGTAATCCAAGTAATCCCATAGTTTACAAGTTGCAATGATCACAAGATCATCGGTTGTAGACAGGCGATACTCCGAAATGTCAGGAGAAGCATGGATATGTGGCAACAAGTCAAAAAACCCAACTGCTCTCGAAACATCTGACACTCCATCTAGCTTATGATTGTTCACATAACCTCCGGAAATCCGAATGCGTTCATACTCTTCTCGTCTCGAGGGAACATGAAGCTTAGTCAAGGGCGCGAAGTCTCCATTGTTTTTGGACAAGATTGCCATCGTATCCCCAATATTTGCTGTGTAAAGAACTTTACCTTTCATGTATAGTACAGTGGCTGAAGATCCACTCAACAGGTCGGCATATGTCAAATCTTTGCTGACAAGTTCGTTATCAACGGAGTTAAGCGTGCTGTTGATTTCCTTATTCAACTGCAAAAAACTGAACCGCAGCGCGTTTTTGATGCCATCGGAAGTCTCTCCATATTTTTCGAGCTGGCGGATAAATATCTTGTGAAAATTGTCTCTTATTATCTTGGAAATATTGTGACCCGTACGAGGATTTTCGTTTTTTCCATCATAAAGGCATACCAGACACTCATCTTCATTACCTCGAAATCTTTCAAAAGTCACATCTCTTGAGGTCACGGAGTCTTTTTGGCCCAAGGTGTCGGCAATGCCGTATTTCATTCCATTCAAAACTGAAGCAGTCGTTCTCAAACGGATATTCACACCTTCATCAGGTACCTTAGAAGTCTTTAAAGTGACATCCATTAAGCCCAAAACTCTTAAGTCTTTCAATACAGTCAAATCAGACAAGTCCATCTTACTTTCTGAGTCCGAAGCAGATTTGATTTCGAACCTCTTATTTCCTGAGAAATTGAGATATTTCAAGTCTTTGTTATTGGCCCAGTTCCAGTCATAGTGATAATTAGAGATATTGTACTTCAGTTGATTTGATCCGACGTCCAAGACGCTCAACTGCGTGAGTTGAGATAACTCAGATGGCAATGAAAGGAGGTTGTTACCATTTAGCAAAAGCACTTTGAGATACTTCCATCTCAGCACCGTGTCACCTTGTAAGGTGATGAAGTTGTTACCAGATAGGTAAAGCTCTGTGAGATTTTCTAATTTGAAAATGGAAAGGTCGCTGAGGTTATTGTACGATAAATTCAGTGTTTTCAGATTTTCATACATGTTGAAAAGAGCCCAAAATTGATCCCCCAAATTATTGTCCGCCATGCTCAGGAATAGCAAATTTTTGGCGAGAGCAGAGTCTCGTCTATTGAGGAAAATTTCTTGAATATCTATGGTGTTTCCGAGCAAATTAGATGAGACATTAAAACTGGTTAGTTCCATTTTTCCCAGGCCCTTAACGAGATTGCTTAGATTGTTGGAATGAATATCAAGGGTTTTTAGACACTTTAACTCGCAAATATCCTCCGGAATGCTTTCAAGTTTGTTTTTGGCCGCTGAGAAATATACCAGTTTCGTTAACTTGCTGATCTCAGGAGGAATTTGCGTTAAGTTATTTCCGTTCAATTCGAGCTTTTCAAGTCGAGGGAGAGTGCACAATAACTCGGGCGGCAAGCTTGCCAGTTTCGCCTTATTCAATGACAGCGTGACTATATTAACGAGATATTGCCCTTCGTATGCGATTGAAGTGATGGGATTTTCGTGAATTTCCAAAATCTTAAGTTTTGATAACTTATCATCGAAGACACTGATGCGGTTGTTGGAAAGGGCCAAGTTTTGTAAGTTACCGTTATTCAGCCTCAAGGTTGTTATCCTATTATGCTTCAGATTGAGTGTTCGTAGATTGGACATACCAGACAAGTCACCTACGTCGGTAAGCTTGTTCTGCGCAAGATTCATTTTCGCTAACTTTGTTAATTGGTTAACCGACTCTGGAATACTCTGGATTTTGTTGTAAGACAAGTCAACTTGAAGCAGATTCGTGCAGTTAGTTATCACCTCTGGAAATTTCGAAAAGTTGTTCGAGGAAATATCCAAAAGTCGTAGGTTTTTCAATTCAGTAAAGCCTGCAGGTAGCCTGTCTAGTTCGTTACATTGTAAATTTAGCATCGTGAGTTCGCCCAGATTGGAAATTGAAGGAGGAATTCTTTTGATGAAATTTCTCTCTAGGTCTAAAGAGACCAACTTATGAGCCTCTGTAATGTTAAGAGGAAACCTTGATGCTCTAATATTGACCATTCTCAGACTGGAGAGCTTAATTGCACTTTCGATGAAATCGAGAGGCAAGAATATATTTGCGCTGTTTGAACAGTCTAAACTTTCGATATTTGGAGTATACTGGTAAAAGATGATGGGAGGTGTAGTCAAATTCATATTTCTCAGATCGACGTGCACGAAGCCCCCTCTCGAAAGTCTCTGCTCTTGTTCTGTTGTTAATTGTGAAGTTGCCACAGGGTGGAAGACAAAGTTGAAAACGTAACTCAAATCTTCAATTCCCATTATGTGGAGTGGATCACTTTTCAAATAGCCATTGAGAAGCAGCAGTTTGCGCTGAATCAAAATTGGACGTGCAGTTGGCGATAAAACCTTTAGGACTTTGGCAACCTTTAGAGAAACCTGATAATTTCCTTGGCCTATATTGAACTTTCTTTTCAGTTGTGGTATCATCTCCTGTACAGAAGTGTTGGGTGGTAGTGACAGTGTCGTGAAAGTGTCATCCGTATTAAAGATTCTAATCGCGTACCGCCTTGAAGAATCCAAGTCGCTATAATCGTTATAATATTTCTCCAATTCATATCCGGCCTTATCGAAAGCCTCATCATTCTTCGTAGAATCAAATTCATTCGTTAGCACCGAATCTAATGAATCGGCACGCATCCGATCGTCATCAGCATCATCGTCTTCATAATCACTCGTAGAGAGGGTAGCTTCGCTTAATTCCTGCGATTTGCTGTTATTACTTGTAAGACTGGCCATCGAGGCAGCAGAACTTTTCGGGGGTTCTGGAGATAGCTTTGTGCTGGCATGTTCTTGATCAGCTGCCTCTTCCAACGAATCGAGTTTCGGCGTGAGCTCTTTTCTCTTGGGATGTGTTGGCTTTGCAGCTAATCCGCCTGCTCGATCTCGATCAATCTTGGAGCCCGTTGGGCCATGGTGACGATGCGCTTTGCGTTTAGATCTCGAGGGTAATGGTTTCCCAACCTCTTCGTCGATATCCCAACTCTCTGGAGGTATCCACTGCACCTTTGAGTGTGAAATATCGTGGGGAGCATTTTTCTCGGTATCAACCAAGGGAGCTCTCGTGACCTCCTTGGATTTGCTTCTAACCGTAGGTCCATTTTTTCTTTGCGCAGGCTTCGGCGGTTCTTTAGCCGACTTGTCAGTAATATTAGTAATATCCGAAACATTATTGAGATCTGTGTCTAATAGGAAATAGCTGGTACTTCTACTCAAGTCGTTTCTAGGATTACGTTCAGGGCTTTCGGAGGAATCGGAGAATTGATTACGCGAGATCACTTTTTGGTCTTCTGACGCGCTATTTGTCGTAGTGGAAGTTGCGGGCACTGACCCTGCATGCATATGAAGAATTTTGGGGGAGTTATTACCACTGGCGGCGGCCATACCACTTGCAGCAGAACCACGCCTGCTATTTGCCGTTGAGGGGAGAAGTACACCTCTATTTGCTTTAAGGTACGTGTCAGAATTTATCGATTCGGTTTCGCCAGTGTTGTGAGAATGATCGTGCGCAGGAGCTTGTCCGTTATTACCATGAATGAAGGTGCTCATTTTGCGCCGAATACCAGGTGGTTGCGCAGTTAAATTGTTAACAGTTGATTCTTGGTCGGAAGGTTCAGATGTATTGGCTGAAGTCATCTTTATTCCCGCCAACCTTTTGAACAATGACCCAGCACGCGATCCCTTACGCTGCTGCAAAGAAGCCACCGGTTGTTGCGACGAAGAAGAAAACAGCGAGTTATTACTCGTAGTCCGACTAATTCCAGGAATGCGGGGTCTAATCGGATGCGAAAAGGGAGGAATTGGATCGTCTGGCGAATGTAGGGACACAGGGTTGTGGAAACCCTTGTGTCGACTTTTAGACACATCTTTAGACCGTTCAGACCCCACGTGTGCCTGCACACCTGGGCTGAGTGAACCAAATCCTCCCATGGAGTACTGCTTTCTAAAGTGAGGCCTGCCTCGTGCTCCACTGTTCTTGTTGGCATGAACATTATCGGTAGCACTAGAGTTAGCAGGCCCGGATGCATCAGGGTAAAAAGACCCGGGGTCATCCTCAGAGATGTTAGGCGCATTTTGCGCCTCCAACGAACTGGCTCTCCGAAGTGTTTGCTCGCCCATACTGCACTTTGGTTAGCAGTTAGGTATAGTTGGGAACTATCATAGATTTTGATTGCTTTGATTTACTTTCTCCAGAACATTACATACGAAGGTCGTCAGATAGTCAATATATTGACAATCTGAATGGAGAGCACCCGAGGCTTCATGTGAGGTCTTATAATAGTTGCTCGTGCTATAAAGCTAGTAACCATACTAAATAAGGTTATGGAAAGAGAGCACCAAACTCGCAATTTGCTTAAAAATTTGTGGAGACTGTCGCAGGATTAGTTTCGTCGAGAGCCTTGCTTGCTGATGCTGCCGAGTGGCTCACACATGATACTTGACGTTGCTATCAGGCACTTCCAGTCAAACCAAGTGAAGGAGAATTTGCTATAATGTAGCCATTATTTATTGTGGTTGGGCATGATAAAAATGCGCAAGAAATAAAGATATTGGAGATGTGTACTTTTTGACTTGAACTAGTTAATTTTCAATCTGCGGACCTTTTCCAAGTAGTGCAGTACTATACTTCGACAATGTCCCGTTATTGTGTTCCCCTTTAGTGCTTGCAAACAATTTTGAGATCTATGCTGAAACTATGAGGAGTCCTGCGCTGGATGAACTTTTTGTTTCAAATATACTAGTAAAGATCAAAATTCACCTGTGGCATTTAAACGTATCATTGCTCTACTCGAGGGTACCGGCCCTGATGGTAATAATAAAGAACTCGATATTACGTTTTGGAGTTTTTGACTCGAAAATCAATGCAATCAGACCTGGAATGGACCGGCTAGCCTAGTAAATTGAGTTTGGTTTCGTGTTTGATGGTTGTAGTGTATCGGCGTCTTACGACAAGAGGGACGTCCAAGGTAACGACGAGCCCGACTTCTGAATATTCAGGTGCTGAAGTGTGGCCCCAGGGAAGGAGCTTTGCCTCAATTTCAAAAGTTGAGACGGAACCTATGTATTTCAATTACGGCTGCGAAGATCGGAGAGACTTTGAGAAGGGAATGAGGGTATTCACCGAAATAAAAGAATGAACAGAGAGGAGATATGTCTCAGCCGACTCAGGAAGCATCTGCGGTATATGAACTTATACACCACAAAGAGTGCGACAGGCTCACAGTGTGTCGACTCCAGACCCAATTAAACATGCCGAACTACTATCACCCCGTGCGCAAAAGCTTGAAGTCCACGCCACGCCGTAAAGTCGATCATCTGCGGCCCCACTCAAATAAACTAGTCCAGTCCCCATACTTGCTCCAGTACTGTTTGACCTACCGGAAAATTTATGTCATCCTTCAAGAAGCATTATTTGCACACTTCGTCTCATGTATCTTTAGTAGAATCTGGTAACCAAAGCACTTCTTGTTACTTTCTCACCGCCAGCCGTCTCCTGGATTGTGGTATTCTAAGAACCGAGGTGACGCTTGAGCAACCTTTTTCTCTTTACCACATTTACATTATGGATTTGAACTTCACAGAAGCTGGTCGATGAAGCTCAGCTGTTCCTCCGTTACTGGTATTTGTGATCATGCAATATCGTCACTTTTTAATTCGTGCCTACCCCAGATGTCATGAAGACTTGGATAATTTTATGCCTGCTCAAACAGACGTAACGATTTGAACGTTGATGTTAATCGTCCCGCGCGTTTTCCAGACATCATGCATTTACACATTTTTAAACAACAATCTTGTTCACACAGAAAGTCGTCTACATTGGCCTTCGAGTTATATCCTAGTCTACTGTTCGCTCCGTAAAGAAATGCAGGACCGTCGTTTCACGTCGCTAACAACAACTGAACCAAATAAGAGTCTACATTCATGTTCCAACAGACGAAAGAGCTCATGCGCGTATAACATTATGTCGGTTCGTGACCGCTTGCAAGAATCCTACACAAGAAGCATATTCGGCACAGGTATTTTCGTGGAAAACCGCACATCTGGCAAGAATGATTGTGTGGCTATCCCCAGATGATAGTCGAGATCTACTCAGGACCGCGAACCTCGTTATGTGTGCTGATATGGCCCACATCACTCTGTACCACATTGGCACAGCCGGGCGTCCGACTTTTCCAAGACAATGAACAGTCGCGAACTAGCACGACAGGCAAAATGATGACGATTTCATACTTCGAAGAGAAGCCGAACTCCACAGACATGATAGTAGTCACAGGAGGAGCGATACTACAACCTCGCCGCGCCGATTGAATATCAAGTGACTGGTGCGGCAACCAGACAACTCAGCAAGCAAGCGAGACAGGCGTGGACCATGGGCCGTCGACGTCAGAAGCTCCTTATCATCTGCTCTGATACGAAATATTCGTTCAACTCGTTCCTCTGATCGATTACCGTCCCCCTCAATAGCTTAATTTTTATTTTTTTTGTTCATTCTTTTTTTCCAATTAGGTTTCGTTTCTTTAGCCTCGATATTCTTTTTTTTTTATTTTTTTATCTCGTTAACATTCCTCCCTTGTTCGGAAATTATTTCGAGAGAGGTTGAAATATAAACTCAGATTGGAACAGTAAAACTTGAGGTTTAACATCTTCAGAACTACCACTCAGCCATCATCAGCAGTCATCTTTAGTTAAAGATAGGCCGACAGTTCAACGTGAGAGCTTCTGACAGCATTTTAGTCGCACTCCTAAGGACAAATTAGCCCATAGACGTGCATTTGAGAGGTTTTTTTTGACCAGAGTTTTCCAGCACTGAACGGAACAAAAGCCCGAAACACACAGCGTATTATAGGGTTTGATAAGTGTTTATAAGAGCCTGGAATTTACCAGAAAAAACAGACATCACAGCTTGGGAACTTCAGTGTCTCTCATCTGAGCTTTCCGCACTTTCAGTCTCAAATACCCGCAAGCATATATGTCAACGGTTCAGGACCCACAACTCAACAGCGTGGCACTCAACCGGCTGGAAAAGTTTCTGAACTCGGTTGAAACTAAAATGGAAAGGCTGGAGGCGCTTCTGCCCGGCGAACCGTCATTGTGTTCAAGTTCGGGGGTCGTCGCATCTTCGCACAAGCCACGCCTGCAAAAGCTTAGAAACCGTGGCAAGCAAATATTCAAGTGGAGCAAGTCGCAAGTCGCTGGCGCACCTGGCTACGCGATGCGCAAAATGTCGCACGCAGGCCCTGTCGATCCGCATGCCATTGACGATACTGGTGCCATTATGCATTTGTACAAGTTTCTCAAAAGCACCGTTGAAGAGTTTGGCTCCCAGTCCAGCGGACCTGTAGCCGAAACGAGAGAAACTACACCGGTCGCCCAAGACTCGGATGCAATTACCATGGTTGATACACCTCCACCTCAACCACCAAGCGTCAAGCGTTTCAAGGAGATATACGATGAACATTTTCAAAACTCGTCCTCTGCTGGTACAACGGGCTTCTCGTATAATTCGTCTGCCGCAACACTTGTGTCGTCGTCTTCTTCCGATAGTATCCCACTTCACAAAAACATAGTCTCTTCGACTACCTACACCAGCTCTGCATGCGATGGCCCTGTCAGCCAGTCTATCTCGTCATCGCCGTCCACTGAACAGTTTTTGCAAAACCTGGAATTGTTGGATCAAAAAATTGAAGTTCTTATCGACGATCCGGAAACAGTGGCGGCATCTATTAAATTTCACAACTACCAGACAGCTCTTCAGCATGGTAAAGAACGTCACCTGCACTATTACGAGTTGCCATTCCCCTGGAGGGAAAATCGTTTTATTGTTAATGGATACAGATTTTACGACTCGTATTTTAAGTCTTTGCTATCCATCATTAATTGGTACGGATGGCACAACGAGACTGTTAACATTTGGACTCATTTGTGCGGAGCTCTTTACTTTGCATACATCATCTTCAAAGGTTTTCCTCAAACGTTGGTCTATCAATCTGATCTCGTCCCTACGGCTGCCAAAGTGATGGCTTTCGTCTTTTTATTTGCCGGGGTGGAATGCTTTATCTTCTCGGTGATATGGCATACTTTCAATGGTATTTGCCACTTAAAATCGAGATCTAATTGCGCCTGCGTCGACTATACGGGAATAACAATATTGGTTACTGCGTCAATTCTCACAACTGAATTCGTCACCCTTTCGGGTGGCTCAGGTTCACCTTACACATGGTCGTTACTGTTTTACACAAGTGTAACGACACTGCTTGGCGGAGTTGGATTTTTCATGAACTGGTCTCCCAAATTCGATCGGCCCGAATCGCGGCCTTTGCGTATCGCATTTTACCTTCTATTGGCCAGTTTGGGTGTTCTATCATTTGTGCACTCTAGTCTTTTTCATCCGAACATAAACTCCGCCCAGATCATCAAACCTGTTTTAAGCAAGTCGCTGGGTTGGTACCTTATTGGTGTGGTTTTTTATGGAGCTTTCATTCCGGAGCGCTGGAGATCGGATGTTCAAGTAGCCGACAAGATTCCATCCGAGGAAGAGCTAAGCACAGACCTCGGTATCATTACCAAAGACAGACATATACACTTTCGTGTGCAGCCGGCCGATCATCACAGGTGTGTCTCCGACAAACACAAAAATTCCTTTCTATCTCTATGGTGGGTCGACTATTTCGGCTGTTCGCACACTATATGGCATCTCTTCGTACTTTTTGGCGTCTTTGGTCATTACTCTGCCATGCTTGAAATGTATGAAAAAAGATGGCTGATTAACTGAACAAGGCTTGATCGACGCGTTCAGAGCATATTGAATCAACAAAGGTTCACTTCAAAATTTTCTATACAGCTCTTCATTTCCAGGTTCTCATGTACTTTTCTTAATATAAATTCAGGTGTTACAAGTTATTAAATTGGTGAATCTGTTAAATTAACAATTACTAGCGTTTCGGACTGAGCCGTTTGAACTCGGACTTCGTGCTCATCCAACATTCAAGTTTACAGCCCCCAGTAGTTTAATTGAGTTGATCCCATTACATCACGTTACGATGCCACAGAAAATCTATAAAGTTTGCAAGCACGTTAAACTCATCTATTTGGCATGCAAAAGATTTAAATAAAGTACCAGCGATGATAAATCAGCCATCGGGGCAGATTAAGCTCACCAATGTTTCTATCGTGAAGCTGAAGAAAGGCAAGAAGAAGTTCGAAATTGCATGCTACCAGAATAAAGTCCAAGATTTCAGAAAGGGTATTGAAAAAGACTTAGACGAAGTTCTGCAAATCCATCAAGTCTTCATTAACGTTTCCAAAGGTCAAGTAGCGTCGAAAGATGACCTCGCCAAGTCTTTTGATTCGGACGATCTCGATACGATAATCAAGGAAATACTCACGCGAGGAGAAATGCCACTATCCGACAAAGAAAGGCAACTAATGACGAATAAGGTAAATAACGAAATGCTGACTATCATCAGTGCTAAATGCATCAATCCAAAGTCAAAGAAAAGATACCCTCCTTCGATGATTCACAAAGCGTTAATCGAATTGAAGTTTAGCGTGGTCATCAATAAGCCTGCCAAACTTCAGGCTTTAGAAGCGATCAAAGCTTTGGTTGCCAGCCAGATCATTCCTATTGCTCGGGCGAGGATGAGAGTCAAAGTTGATTTGAACAAAAGCGGCAATAGTGAGGTAATCGAAAAGCTGTCAATGCTTATGAAAGCACCTGTTGTAGAAGAAACTGACTCAACATGGTCTTGCAGCGCCTTGATAGATCCTGTTGCATATCGCACTATCGTAGAGCTGTGTAACAACAAGGGTGTACTGCAGGTTCTAGATATGGCAGTCGTCGAGAGTAAGTAGAGCCCCGCGAAAATATGTTCAGTAATGAAGATTTAATCAATAGTCCAATGACTCAATTGCACGTCTTTATATGGCTAAGTATACATATCCTTAATCGTTTGCAAGATGAATAGGAGCACGGCAAAGTCCTTTTCGGATGATTCTCTTCTCCACATTTTGGCACTCAGGGATATAACGAAACCTCTCGTCAATGAAATGTCTCGCAGCTTATCCACGTTAGAAGGAAACACCACTTTTTGGTAAAGTTCTGCAATTTGAGAACAGACAATCGGCAGTTTCATGTCGTTTGAATCGCCCAGTCTTGTTGCAATGTGGAAATTGGAAAGAACGTCCTCCATGGGCTTGTAGTCTTCGAAGTCGCTATCGCTGTCTTCGTCATCAAGATCTTTGGAGTTTGATTCGAACTGGTCTTGGTGTAGAGTTTTGCTACCAAGTGGGGTATTACCTATACTATCGGCAGGAATTCCTTTCCAATTTACTTCGAGACATGTATCAAGCTCTCCATTGAATCTTATCTGCAGTACAATATTGTTGCTGAAATGAACGGCGGATATTTCCAGACAGCTGTTAGTGCCTAGATGAAGTTCATTTGGGATAATTTTGCGAGCTTCTCTTGCAAACATTTTTGGATCCAAAGATTCTGTATCATTAACAGTCAAGATGCACAATAATTAAAATCAATGAAAAATACGAAGCTCGTCACTTTCCGGGATTTATGAATTTTTGTTAAAGTGACATTTTCTTGAAGTCTGGATAAGATCAAGATAAATGGCTTTGAATGCTGTTTACACTTTAGTATCTGCCGTGGTTACGACTTGTTTTCTCACAGTACTCTTCGTGCTATCACTATGGCATAACCTAGTTGTAGCGCACTTCAAGAGGAAAGATCCTAGAGACACCAGAAGCTCAAAATCAAACATTAATTATAGAAATCGCTCCAGAAATTGCTCGGCTGCCTCTTGCATACCGCTTGTTATCGAAGTCGACGATGTGAACAATATCGAATACGATCATCATATCACCAGTCCTGATACGAGACCTGAAACAACGACCTCTAGCAATCCAGATTCGAGCCTCAACAACAAGGAACAGAATAACGAGAATGAGAATCCTTTTAGCAATGTGCTGAACGCTGAAGACATGAAACTAGTAGCAGATCTGAAATACTACTACAAAGGATACGGCATTTCCATAGAAGAATTCAAAGTTGAGACAGAGGATGGCTTTGTCTTGGATCTTTGGCACTTCAAGCCTGCAGAAGAAGACCGGCCAATTAATACAGAAAGGCATCCGATGCTGCTTTTACATGGGCTCTTGCAAAGCGCGGGGTCGTTTGCGTCGGGCGGAAGAAAATCCCTTGCTCACTACTTTTATGAGTCTCGCTTTGACGTTTGGTTAGGTAATAACCGTTGCGGCCTCAATCCGCAGTGGAACGAAAAATTAATCAAAGGTGAAGATAAATGGAATTGGGACATGCGGAAAATGGCGCAATACGACTTACAAGCACTTGTCTCATCCGTTCTACAAAAGTCACAAAAAGAGAAATTGACGCTCGTGGCACATTCTCAAGGAACTACGCAGGGATTTATGGGACTAATTAACAGCGAAACAATTTACGGGAATGACTTTCGCTTGATTGACAAGGTGGAAAACTTTGTAGCTCTGGCACCTGCGGTATACCCTGGTCCGTTGCTCGAGGAGAAGTATTTTGTCAGATTTATGTCCAAGTTTATTGACACTCCTTTTGTTTTTGGCAAATCCTCCTTCATGCCTCAAATGATGGCGATGAGGTCTCTGTTAGTGGGCTCGAAAGTGTTTTCCTTCCTGTCATACGTTATGTTCAACTATCTCTTCGACTGGAACGATACGTTATGGGATAGGCCTTTAAGAGATCGTCACTTTCTTTTTTCACCGGTCAGTATATCTGTAAAACTCATGGAGTGGTGGCTAAGCCAAGACCCTCGAAAACAAAGTTTTAAGACATATGCTAATAACATTTTCCCAGAGAGGAAAACCTGGTTTCCCACTCAACAAGATCCCTTGCGACAAGAAAGCTTGCATCACGCGAACTATGAGAGGCAGTCAACAAGCGATTTTCCACGCATTCTTATGTTTATTCCGCGGCAAGATCGACTTGTTGATGGGGAACGTCTCATCAACCATTTTGCTAATTTTGAACCCCACTCTCTTTACAAGATCTGGTATATTGATGAATACTCACATCTCGATGTCTTGTGGGCACATGATGTTATAGATAGAATCGGAAAGCCTATTTTGGAGAACATTCGTTTGCCAGGAACTATCCATTAGCTGTCACCTCATGCTGATTCTGTCACTGTCTGTGTATTTTTCGGGTTTTTGTTTTTTTTTTGTAATGAAAAATTTCAGCTCATCGACTAGCTCATCGCCTTAACATTGTACAAACGGCCAGAGCTGAAGATCAAGCAACCACCATATTAGTGACAATCATCCATCACAAATGAAGATCAAAACGATAAGCAGGAGCACTGACGATTATGTCCCTGTTAAGAGCACCCAAGAATCGCAGCTTCCACGCAACTTAGATCCCGCACTGCATCCATTTGAGAGAGCTCGTGAATACACCAAAGCTCTGAACGCCACAAAGATGGAAAGAATGTTTGCAAAGCCGTTCGTTGGTCAACTGGGATATGGCCATAGAGACGGGATCTACACAATTGCCAAAAACTACAATGCGCTTAACAAATTGGCCACGGCATCTGCTGATGGTGTCGTCAAGTACTGGAATATGTCTACCAGAGAGGAGTTATGCTCATTCAAAGCACACTATGGACTTATTCATGGCTTATGTGTCACTCCTCAACAGTTCTCTCCCAACAAGAATGAAAATTACATGCTTTCTTGTGGTGATGACAGAACTGTCAAATTGTGGTCTGTGAACACTGACGATTTTTCGTCCATCAAAAACGATGAAGAAATAGTTGATTCTGGCAACGGTATAAAAAAGACGTACCATGGCGACCACGCGTTTTTAGGTATCGATCACCACAGATCAAAACCCACATTCGTCACAGGTGGCGCTCAAATTAATCTATGGGACACATCAAGATCTAGACCAATTTCAAACTTGTCTTGGGGTGCAGATAACGTTTCCACGGTTAAATTCAATCAAAATGAGACCGATATTTTTGCAAGTGCAGGGAGTGATAACTCGGTTGTTCTTTATGACTTGAGGACCAACTCGCCCACCCAGAAGTTTGTACAAAGAATGAGGACAAATGCCATTTGTTGGAATCCCATGGAGGCTTATAATTTTGTGGTTGCAAATGAAGATCATAATGCTTATTATTACGATATGAGAAACTTATCGCGTGCTGTGCATGTTTTCAAAGATCACGTAAGTGCTGTTATGGATGTTGATTTTTCGCCAACCGGTGATGAAATCGTAACAGGGTCTTACGATAAGACCATCAGAATATACCAGGTGAAACATGGTCACTCTAGAGAAATTTACCATACCAAGAGAATGCAGCATGTGTTCCAAGTCAAATACACCATGGATAGTCGCTACATCGTGAGCGGTTCTGATGATGGTAATGTGAGACTGTGGAGAGCAAAGGCATGGGATAGGTCTTCTGTGAAATCTACCCGTGAGAAGAATAAACTGGAATACGACGACAAATTGAAGGATAGATTCAAGAATATGCCTGAAATTAAAAGGATCAGTAGGCACAGGCATGTTCCTAAGGTAGTGATGAAAGCCGGGGAGATTAAAAAGGTGGAACTTGATAGTTTGAAGAGAAGAGACATGAATGAGCGTAGAACTAATAGAGACTTATCCTTCGTTCCTGAAAGAAAGAAACAAATTGTTGGGGTTGTGCATGAGTACAAGAACGACAAAAATAACAAAGGTGAAGAGACACATCAAGAGTAGACAAGGTTAGCATACGATATAAAGCGGACACAATATTAAATGGATATAATAATGTCGGCTAGCTTGTTTATAGTATATACTGGGAAAGTGTAATATTAAAAATCAAGAAAAGACAGCTCGAAACCTGCGGGGGTAAACAATTTGTTGGGTGCTTAGCGTCTCAATTTATCATGTGTATGATTTAAATTAGGTATTTCGAAGAGAAGAAAATAATAATTGAGAAAATACAAAAAGGGAGATCCAGCTTCCTTATAGATGTGATCTATCAAACTTAAGAAACGCGCGCGCTTTTTAATCTTTTTTTGTTTTGTCTTTTTTGTTAGTTTTTCGCAGGATTTTGAAATCATGTCTTGAGGGGGGTTATGGTTGCGGCGGCAAGAGATTACAATATCATATTGTAACATCCAAAATCTTACCAACATCTTGAACATTTTCTTGTGCCAAATCCTCTAGTAACGGCATGATATCTAGCAGTTCATTATCGTGTATATCAGAGAACCAAGATGATATAGGAATTGCATGTTGTGGATGAAAAATGTAAGATGCTGGAGAATTATCGAGAATGATCAAGTCACTCAAAGGCCTTCCGATTTGAGATAAGTTCTTGATATAGTTTCCGTCGTAATTGTAGCATGAATCTCTGAAAAGACGATGATGTATGCAATGATTCTGATCCAGTACGTCTAACAAAGGGTCTCCATACCGCGATACACTCGCAGTGAAAACGACGACCTCATAGATTTGCCCTACAAGCTTCAAAAAGTCGTCCACACCAGGTCTCTTAATCACATAGACATTGTGAACCTGGTTATCAATGTCGACAGGAATCACAAAGTCTGCCGTCCTCAAAAATTTGAACGACGAATGTACAAGAGTCTCATCCAAGTCAAGAACTAGACATTTTTTGCCTGCAAACTGAGGTGTGCGAGGAGGCAACAGGGTAGTGAACCCGGGGGCATGCGCTTGTTCCGGTTGAAGCATCGTAAGATCGACAATTTCTTGCGAGCCGTCTTGTTCAGGATCGTATTCGTAGGAAGGTGCTGGTAGAAGCTCTCCACCAGTGTCGTCAGCACTACTAGCCTGATCAGCTTCGTTGGTCACCATCACAGCTGTTTCTTCGCCCACCGCTGTCTTCTGCCCAGCCGGCAGCAGCGGCAGCACTGCTGTCACTACATTGTGTTCGTCTGCAGTACCTGTGCTGGACTCCGTCTCACCGTTGTACACCGAAACCATCTGCTTGTCCTCCTTGTTTTGCGTTTCAACCTCGTCAAGATCCTCGTCCTTGTGGGCATTGCCCAAGCCCACTACAGGTGCCTTGGAGCCCATATCTGACACCGCAGGCCCTGCTGCGGCAGCGCTTTCTGGTGTGTTTCTCCCTGCCCCCGCTGTTATTGCTCCGGGACGTGTAGAACCGGCCCGCGTGCTCTCCGGCCGCACCTGCAACTGGCGCGCCGAGTTCGACAGCGTGGCGTGAATTTTCGACTGCTGCGGTGACAATGGTCGCTGTTTTGTGCTTCGTTTCTCCCCGGGCTTACTTGAGGAAGACGACGATGATGAACAGCACAATAGTGAGGAAATAAACCCCATCTCTCTGCTCTGCTCTGAGTGTCTGAGTAAAAGGCGTTGATTTCTCAAACAACACTCCGGCTCCTGGGCGTGTCAATACCCTGTGTCCTAATATACCGCACGTAAACGCAAACGTTTGGATGTTCGCTTAGCGTTAATAGTCAACTCGAACTTGTAGATGAACAAGTTCAGAAAAACCTTTTTTCGTCTAACGATCGCTTCAATACAGTTACCCGGGGCAAGAGAATGGAAGAAGAACAGATTCCGTTGGGTGAGCAAACAGTAGCTGGAGGTAGATGGGGCAGATCATTGGCGGGAGAGTGTAGGATCAGGAATACTGGCTACTGGTGTGCTAGAAAATCCAAGCTTCAGAAATCGTTAAATGGGTCGCAAATTGATATTTATTGAAAAGTGATTACCTAGCGCGAAACACCGGTATAGCAACCGTTCAGAGGTAACTGTAATCAAAAGTTTCAGATCTGTTTGCCAAAGGTTGAAGGCTAGGTCTGGAAGGCAATCCCCCGTGCCTGCATACCTAGTGTCAGAATAGTACACAGTGATATAATTGGTATAGTTAGAGTGTGAAGAAGGCATGCTCAGCTTGCCAACATGTTACAGCACTCACGACTGCATTGATCTTGGATCCAATCAAGTATATAGCGGTGGTAGTAAAGCTTTTGCGAGATTCCTTTTTCCCAAATCGACTTTGTGAGATTCGCATCACCTAGACGATTTATTTGAGTATCGAAGGTAAGATGATAAGTATCGGGCGCCAAGACTGCGTTTAATTATGTGAAGCCAGCTGCTCATCGAAGAGTATGAAGTGATTACCGCTGGTTTTTCTCATAGATACTGCGGGAAAAAGAACATCTCAGGCAACCGGTAAGGTTAGTGCTGTTCCGAACACGGTAAACCGCCTCAAATAGTGATTTATACGAAGATGCATCAACGTGTTAGCACGTATCGGCGTTACTTACCGTATCTCAAAATTAAGCCACTGTAACTTGCGTGATTGACTTCTGTTGAGACCTTAGTGATGGTGGTGCCTAGCTGAATAATGACAGTATAGTACGAAGTGATATGAAAGAACTAGATCGCTAAACGATATCTGGCAGTTCAAGAGAGCTTTAGTTGGAGACCGAGGATAATCAATGAGCGGTGCAGAACTGCCGACAGCTTATTAATGTTTTGAAAGAACGAAATGGCAATTACAAACAGTACCCCACATGCTCCCTTCTCATTTCCAACTCAAATATATCATTATAAACATTGGCTTGCTCTGGACGCAAAAAGTTAATCTTATATTTGTAAGGAACATGGTGACATAATTACAGCCTTCATCTAAAAAAGTGACGCGGTCAATGAAATATAGAAGAACCAAACAAAGGTATTAACAAGCTTTGTACTGCTAGATCGGACTCGCCTCTGTGATACCCTTCACTTGTGGAAATAAATGGAAAGCTCGTGAATGGACAGTTTCTAATTTGAGGGCACAGATAAAATGCCCATCGATTGTATAACCTCAAGAAGGTTAATTATAGAGGAAATAGCTATCAGCCTGCTCCAAGTGATGTTCCTAGGGGACTAGTATCCCAATATGAATTTTAGGAAGTCTCTGGATAGTCGAAAAGCCGAACTTCAAAGATGCTATGTGATAATCTATTATTTAGGGGAGTGAAGGAAATTCAATACTGGATATTTCCATGCTTTAGCTATCTGGCATTTGCGAGAGAAGCATCAAAACTACCGCTTTGGTGAGTATATGATTTTGAACAATCATATGTATCTTTTTATGGTGGAAACTTTTTTGACTCTCATAGAATCCCTTGACTGGTATGTTTTGCCCCTTTTGCAAACGACACTATGGTATAAAATGATATAAGCTAAGTACCGATCAACAAATTGAAATTGTAGATAAGACGATATGGTATGCGAGGAGCACAAGAACAGGCCCCCCCCTTTACCGCTTCACTTGCTAACACTGACACTGACAAAAATATATAAGCAGGGCCAGTAGTCGATTCAAATTATTGTGCAGTTGCCGAGAAATCTCTGCGAATCAACGCCTTATACAAAGAGCCTATGAGCGGATTGAAAGCGCTATTTCCAGAGCCAGTCTCATAGCCATTACCTTTCATAGATTACCATTGGTGAAATTATAACACTAACATGCGTTACTTGAGAAGCCAAAAAAAAAAAGAATACGAACCAAACAGCAATTGAATCGCCAACCAGCCTAAACAAGTGCTTCATGGCTTATATTTGCCGGCAGGCTAGCAAGTATAACAAGTATAACCACTGGAAGTACCATTTTATTTACATCACTCACTACGTATTGTCATCTTTAAATTGAAAAAGTGGATTCGAGCCCAATCTCGAAAACTGCAATGAGATGATGATGCACTACCGCTGGCATTCAGATCAGACGTTCAAATTTGAAGAGAAAGGCTAGAACACAAAGCTGAGTTTGTTGGCTTGAAGACACCTCAACTAAGAAACATGAGCGTTACTGGTGTAGATTCAAAACTCTTCTCGACGCCTGTGAAAAACGTCTCTGGAGAAAAGTTCAGAAACGTACGAGAGAAAATAGGGAGAGAATCGCCATACCTGTACCGCAGCAAACACTTATCGGAGGTCGGCAAAGACAATGAAGGGAATTCCGGGTCAGGGCCTCAACCTGGACCCAATAAAGTCTCCAATGATATACCTCAAAATGACAGACCCGCGGAGAGCGCAGTAACTTCTTTTGCGTTTGAAAACCCAGTTCTGGAACAATACTCACGCCGTATCGTCAACAAAGAGCTAGAAACTAGGCGAATCATTTCAAATTTCCTGGCGCTGTTGCTGTGGAATTTAGGCGTCAAATTTCTTGAATTGTTTTTGCATCACACATCACACGGCATTGGACTCCAACGAAAGCTTTCTAAATGGGTTCAAGAACTGCTTATATACCGCCTGTACCCTCACGCGGATTTGGACAACTCGCAATGGGTCCGCAATGCCACGCTCACCAATGTATCTCATGTTTTTCATTTGGTTATCTTCTATAACGTCATTGTTTCGCTTTGGCGCTTGCTTGTGAAATCTCAAAACGTCAAGATCGATGACTTACGTTTGAATCATCGTCAAAAACAGCTTTTGGGTGTCTCGGATACTCCTGTCACCAACAAACTGCTCCCGCAAGTGACTCTGGCTAATAGAGACCATCCCAAGTCACAAGTTCCACATTTGGCATCAAACTCTGGTACCTCTGAGTCGCATGTTTCTCCCTCGACTTCTACGTTTTTGTTCAAGTCGCTACAAACACCCATGAAATCTAGAGAGCAAAACTCTGCTTCTGTAGGAGTCAGAAGTGAGTATGTGAAGAAGATAAATGCATTCGGTGAGTTGAGGAATCCTCTTTTAAAGAAGACAAGTTTAACCCCTAGTCAAAACTCAACAAATCCTTTGATGACCCCAATAAATCGTAACGGATATATTCCAAGCAGCAAATATGCATATATGCGTGATTCTCCAAGCCCTAGGAAGAGACTTTAAGAACAACGTTAGAATTTATCTGAATATATATGTATATATATTTTGTGTACTACCAATAACCGGGAAACAAAAACTCTAATTTGCTCAACGTTTCCTTCGACATAGCGGATGGTTTGGTCGATATGCTCATTTTGACTGAACCCTTGAGTCCATCCCCAGTGAGCATGAAATTGGGGATTTCGTTGGACATGTGGGTAATGATGGTTGATGCCAATGCATTAGCATTTGCACTGTTGTTTTGCAAATTACCAATGACAGTCTCCACTGTGACTGGCTCAGCTTCATCTCTCCAAGCATCGTAATCAGTTGACATACACACCATTTGGTAAGGAAGCTCACACTCACGAGCCAATTTAGCCTCTGGCAATACACTCATGTTGATTACGTCGCCACCTAGCATACGGTACATTTTAGACTCAGCGCGCGTGGAAAACTGGGGTCCCTCCATACAAACCACTGTGGTGTCATCATCAACATGAAGTTCACAAGGTTCTTCCGAATCTGAATTTTTCAAAACGTCTCCAAACTGCCCGATGTATTGGGCAAAAGATTTTGAGAAGGGTTCTCCAAACCCAACATGACCCACGAGCCCAATGTCGTTGAAATATGACGATTCTCGAATACCTTTGGTTCTATCAATGATTTGTTGCGGCAAAACAAAATCGCGTGGTTTGATCTGTTGCTGCAAAGATCCAACTGCGCTGAAAGACATAACAGCCTTGCATTGCAAGTGTTTCAAAGCGGCCATGTTAGCTCTGAAAGGAACGGACGATGGCGAATACTGATGGTGGAGGCCATGTCTCGAGATAAAGGCCACATGAAAGTGCTCCTGCGAGTCTCCAATCACCTTGGATATGGTAATAGGTGAGGATGTCACACCCCAAGGTGTTACCATTGCTGGCAGAATGGCGATAGCTTTCAGGCAATCTAGTTGATAGAGACCAGTACCTCCGATAATACCGAGGTCCACAGAGCCCTCAAAAGTCTTGGGAAGTTCAGAAGAATTCTTCATGTTGCAGCAGCGAAGTGAGGTGGAATTGAAACGCTTTTTGACTATTTTGTTGGTCTAAATCAACCTAAAGCTCTTCAACATGCCCCATCCTGTATCGTTTTTAATTTTTTGAATAAAAAAGTACATGATTTTCGGTCAGCCTAGCTAGCAGTTTCGATCCCAGGCAAAGAAATGAAGGAAGGTAAAGAAGTATATATGGCTACTCGAGCCTTGGTTATTATTTACAGTTTCTTTGAGATGCATCCAGCGCAAGATTCGCTATTTATTTACATGAGCACGTAACAAATTTCAAAGTTTTTGGTTAGTCGAGTTAGCTTCGAGGTCCGTAAACTCCCAACTTTTGTTGCTTTATGTTGAAAATCCGTATCCCTCCATGCACTTCTTGTACTTGGCAATGAGCTCATCACATTTACCCGAGTCTTGACCGTTGAAGAGCAGGCAAGTATCTCTAGCTTCCTTCTCAGGCTTGCATACGCAGCAAGGTTTGGGCTTGGCTTCTTGGGGGTTTTTGGTATCAGCAGGGCTGGACATTATGCTAACTTTGGTCGATTGATGCTTTAACTGCAGAGTGTTATGTGTTGGGCTAAGTAAGACCTTCCTTATTAATTGCTCATTAAAAAAAAGCGCATGCTTGAAAATGCGACACTAAATAAACAAGTGACATGATATAAGATCAGCGGATACATGGCATGGGGGTACCAATACTGATTGGTTCTTGGAAGCGGTACTTTGGCCTGGCCTCCTCAACAGAAATATTACATTCGATCACCACCTTTTCAATATTCATGCTTAAATAACAAATCCGATGTAGCCATCGCCACATACTGCTTCAAGCTGGGGAATGAAATTTCCAAAAGACCCTGCTCCGAGGGTCCTTCGATTCGAGAGTGCAACAGTTGTGCATTTAGTGATTTTCATACATGAAGCCCGCGGCAATGACTATACGTCGAGGTGTCGCAAATTCCAGAGAGTAGCTTTTTTATGATCAAAAAAAGTGTTATAGGTACGGGTGCCACTTTTCGAATTACTAGCTTGTATACCAAGGACTGTTGAAGAACAAATTTCGTCCAAATCCCTTAAGCTCAAAGTGGTCGTGAGTATTGACGTATTCAATAAATGTCAAGAGATGACTTGCTTCTTCGGAATAACAAACCAAGTATTTTCCAGCACACCTTTTATGTGGTAATGTGTTTAGCTAGTTCCATAAGAAAATCATCAAGAGCCTGCTCGCCTTTGGGACTCAAAACTACATCAAACCAAAACACCCGACACTACAACAAATGTATTTGTGAGGCAACTTAAGGTATATTATATATTTCTGCCACAACTGGTAGAAAAGACCCACTACGGCAGAGACAGTGTCTCAGTTATAAACGCTACTCACTTGTGTCACTTTTCACGCATTGTTCTTCTCGACATTTGTAGTAGAAATTAGACCGTGTGTTATGAACTATCAGGAAAATATTCAATAATCCTTGAAGTCCGACAAACGGGATCCGGCGATACAGTGTTATTACGAGGCTTCTCGACAAATCACCAAAGGGCTTATAGGCTAAGTGGCCAACATTCGAGTTCTTGTGCGTTTATTTTCCGCTCAAAATCATATTGCGGGCTTGTTAGCGCTTCATCAGATTGTTCGAGACAAACATACCCAAAGGTGCTTTTAAACCGCTTGTAAAAGGTGGTTAGTTTGCCCAATGTCTACTACAGAAAATCAAAGAGGCCTGCGGATAGTCCAAGAAAGTGGGAATGGCGCTGCAAACGTTCATGGTGCAAATATGGACTCAGAGCTGGCCTCAATTGTATCATCACTCTCGGCGCTTTCCAACGTCTCCGCCCACCAGCAACACGGCCAAATCGGCAGTTTTCGCCGCAGCTCATTTCATAGCAACCAGAGCAGCGACGCGGAGTCCGAGTCTCTGTTTCAAAGTCAACATTCGCCCAACATCAAACGCACTACGCTTTCAGTTGGCGGTGTATCTCTTGGAGGGGCGCCATCGGGCGTTAAAAACCGGCTTTCGAAGCTCGGTAACTACTCTGCAAGTCTGGCAGGGGGAAGCTCGATGCACCAGCAGCAACAAATGCAGAGTGGGTTTTTTGAGCGATTTGGTCGTAGCTTAGCCGAAGGAACTCGTGAAGTTGAGCTCAATTTGGGAACTTCTTCAGGCAGAGCTTCACGCAGAGAGAGCATGAATGCCATAGATACTCTCTCACGGGTCACAACAAAATCTGCGTTCCAAGGAGTCCCTGCAGAGGGAAGAAGACCATCGGCGTCATCTGATGCACTGGAGTCTCTAAGTGAGAACCTTAGTTTGCAACATGAGGAAGCTAAGTTTGACCATCGAAACATCTGGAAGGTTGCCGAGGCACCTGTGTTTAGACCCGAAGCACCTTCCTCTGGCCCCAGTGATCCTCAGTTCCAACCCCCTCCCATGGATATCTTTGGCAGTCCCTACGGATTTCCTGCTTATCCAAATTACTGGAAGATGGCAGGGCCAATGATGACCCAGGCAATTCCATCCTCGAACGATGGGGATGCCGGCACAACAAACCGACCCATCGATACTACAAAAGAACAGAATTTTGAACCTCAAAGTCAACAGTTTCCACCATTTGTCTTTCCAGGAAATCCATATATGTTTTTCCCACCAGGAGTGAGGCCACCATCTCCGCCACAGTCATTTCAAGCATCAGTCAACCCTCTTAAAGATTCTCCACAGAATGACCATTCGAAGCCTCATAGCAACCCTTACTTGTACAATAACCGAAACCATAAATCCAATAATGGAAGCCCAGGCGCCTCAAGTTTTTCGCCTACGCCGAACCCATCGTCGTCCGCTTCAAACGGGGGTTCTAGGCCAAAAGGTAAGAATAATGTTGCCAGGTCGCCACTTCTGGAAGAATTTAGAAACAACACATCTGGGAAAACGTACAAGCTTCCTGATATTTACGGCTTTGTCTTGGAATTCTGCAAGGATCAACATGGTTCACGATTTATCCAACAGGAACTGGTGAAGGCCACGAACACAGAAAAAGACACCATATTTAGTGAAATCAGGGATGATGCAATTACGCTGGCAGACGACGTGTTTGGTAATTACGTCATTCAAAAGTACTTTGAATACGGTTTGAAATCTCATAAGGATGTCCTCTTCGAAAAATTCACTGGGAAGATGGAAAAACTGTCACTGCAAATGTACGCATGTCGCGTTATTCAGAGAGCTCTCGAATGCATTGAAGATGAACAAAAGGTTATGCTCGTAAATGAGCTTTCTGGTTGCGTGTTGCAAATGATCGAGGACCAGAACGGTAATCATGTGATACAAAAGGCTGTTGAACGAATTCCTATGACGAAGCTTCCATTTATTTTGGAAAGCTTGCAGGGGCAAATCTATCATCTTTCCACCCATTCTTATGGGTGCCGGGTCGTTCAAAGGCTGCTGGAGTATGGCTCGCCTGAGGACCAAGACACCATTCTGGATGATCTCGACCCATTTCTCTCGTTCTTGATTCAAGATCAATATGGTAATTATGTCATACAGCACATCTTGCAACATGGTCCTGGAAACACAGATGTGCATATCGGAATGACCAAGCAGGCCATTGTGGACGCTGTTTCTAAGAATGTCGTCGAATACTCGAAACACAAGTTCGCGTCCAACGTTGTGGAGAAGACGATGCTATTTGGCTCTCCCTCACAAAAAAAACAATTTCTGGAGAGGGTCTTGCCGAAAAATGCAGAACACGCTACACATTTAGAGGATAACGCGCCTCTGATCCTCATGATGCGCGACCAATATGCTAATTACGTCGTTCAAAAACTGGTAGGTGTGACACAAGGCTCGGATAAAAAGCTCACGGTTATCGCAATCCGCTCCTACTTAGATAAACTCAACAAGGCGAACGCTCTTGGCAATCGGCATCTTGCATCTGTCGAAAAACTCGCAGCAATTGTGCAGAATGTTCAAGTATGAGGTTGCTCACCGCGCAATGTTCCAAATTCCGGTTTCATTTTCTATATATCCTATTAATTTCTCTTGTTTATACTAGTTAGCATTTAAAGATATTCATCTACCCGATTAAAGCATAGACGAAGGTCCATGCCATGACAAATCCTGCAAGCTCTCTGAAAAATGGATCTACAATAATCTCCTGCGTAGGAGCTTGGTAATATTTTGCAGGCTTGAAGTCACAGAACCATCCAACATACAAAGCCATCACTGTAAAATATGATAATATAAAAAACCCAAACCCTTGGAACCCTTCCAATTGAAGAATACCGGCCCCACAACCGAAGGCCAATGAAGTACCATCTTGAACATACAAAAGTGTCTTCTTGTTAGATTGTATGCTCTCTTGAGCCTTGATATCGGCAAAAACTTCTTGTGAGTTCATGGATGATATAGCAGGTGTATACTAATGTGGAGTCAGGTCTGACTAGATAGGCGGAGGGGAACGTTCTATTGCCTTGCTAAACTTTGAATATTTAAGATAAATAGAGAACCTTGAATTTGTTTAAGAGGATCACATGAAGCCTGCGATGAGTTTAGTGAAAAAATTTTGGACTAAGATTCAGCTTTTAGCTTGCAACAAAGTTATACTATTTTGATCTGCCGCCCAACGCATTATGCCGTCACAACTGGAGGAACTAGTGTCTTTTCTGCACTCTTCGCAGCCTGCCGTGAAACAGATAGCTTTGGACAATCTCGTGGGCTTTAGCACTGGACCCAATGCTGCCATCTTTAAATATGACAACTACAGAGCCATACAAGACTTGAAAGACCTCGCCAGGGAAAACTCAAAGCTTTTGGTACAGCAATCAGTGACGATTCTGGCGAATTTGTCTGATGATCCTACGATGAGGAGATTGACCGCAGAGGACACTGACTTTGTGGAATATTTGACGTGGAAGATCTGCGACCTTAAAAACACTAGTGCTGACATTATGTGTATTTTGCTTGCGAATTTGGCGAAAGAAGATTGTATCACTAAAGTTTTCTCCTTTACCAAAAAAAGCGGCAACGACGCTAGTATAGACGGAACCGTTTTCAAAAGCAGCAAGGTGATGGACTGCCTCATGGACTGTTTCGTTAAAGGGTTTGATAGAACGCTCAACAAGTTTGCAAATTACGATTACTTGGCCTACTTTTTCTCTGACATATCTCGTTTTAGACCAGGAAGGGAGTATTTCATCGAAAAACAGGAGTATGACGGTGTTATACCGATTTCTAAGTTGCTAGTTTTCACCGAAAAATACGATTGCAAAACTAGAAGAGAAGGCGTTGCTTCCACAATCAAAAACTCTCTATTTGATTCCGAGAAACATGAGGAACTTTTGACAAATGAGAGTATAAACTTGCTACCTTACATTCTCCTTCCCATTGCAAGTGCTAAGGACTCTGAAATAGACGATGAGGACATGTTCAATTTACCAGACGAGTTGCAGCTTTTGCCAGAAGACAAACAGAGAGACCCTGTCCCTGAGATCATATGCGTTCATTTGGAGAGCATACTGCTGCTTTGTACAACTAAAGCTGGCAGAGAATATCTTAGAAGCAAATCAGTTTACCCACTTATTAGGGAGCTCGAGAAGAATGTGAATAACGAAGAAATCAGCGAGCTGTGTGACCGTGTTGTCAACATGCTAATGAGAGGAGAGGTCGGCAACGATCAGGTGGAAGACCTACCCGCAAGAAACGCTGAAGATGAAAGAGATATAGAAAGCTCCGACGAGGAAAGTGATGGCGACAATGCGATAGTAGAGGTCGCATGATGGTCGAATGATGGTAGCATAGTGGCAGAACGCCAATCCATTAAGAACACTCTGTAAGTTATAGAAACTAAATTAAAAAAAGTTGTGACAATATAATGCTTCCTCATATGGTATGATCTTTAGAAATTGTTTCTCAACTCCCATTGCTTATATTCAGCTCTAAGTATCCTTCGTTGAGTTTTACCAATTTCTTTACTAAGTGCTTCATCCTATCCTTGTTGGAAGGATGTTTCGCAACTTTTTCCTTCAATTCTTTGATCAGTTGTTTCAAAGTCATTTTGCGACCCGATACTACGTTGATAATGTCCTCTTCCTTTAATAAGTCTTGATGCTCCGCATTATCTTCGATTTTAATTACTGGTGAGGATGCCCCACTGGATGCGTTCGAATTGCTTTTCTTAGCATGTGGATTCCACGATCCTTCGGGAAAGTTCTTCAAAATAGATTTATCAGCCTTCAGAACAACTTGAAAGTCTTTGATGCTCTTAACGTGTACACGAGGCCCTGAAAGCGTACTTCTTGGTGACTTCTTCCGGGGAGATGTCTTTCTACTAGACTTGCCATTTTCTTGGCTATCTTCTTTTTCTTTATCCTCTTCAAGCTTTTCAGCTTCTGATTCAGATAAGTACGGATTTAATTTCGATTCGTCATCCGAATCGTATAGCGCAGCCATGTCTGACTTTTGAAGTGCTTTCATTGTTTTTTCACCCTCATCGTCAAACTTCTTCTCTCCGAATAAATCCTCATCCATTTCATCATCGTCACGTAGACCCATTGCATTGGCTTGGAGCATTTCTTTTTTAATTCTTTGTTCGGACTCTTTATTCTCCTTCTCATCACCATCAATAATTGGAGCTTCTTCATCGTCGGCAAACTCTTCATCAAAATCAAGTTCAACTTCTGAGTTATCATTCCTATCATCCTCCTCACCCTGACGAGCATCTACTGCACGTAATCGTCTTTGTGTTCTATCATATCTTGTCGTTGTCGTACCAATGTCATCAAGGTGCTTCATTAGCCAACGAGGAATACCTTTTCCACTTTTTTCCATACGCTTTTCAGCTTCATCAATAGTAAGTGTAGCATATTTGTTTCTCGCAGTGAACTTATATACCTTGTCTGCGGGTATCATAGTAAAACTACCATCATTTTCAACACTTAAAAGAACATATGAGTCCGAATTACCTGCTTCATAGGACCCCACCCAGGTATTAAGCCCATCGAAATCTTCCAATACCCATGGATAGAACTCCTCAAACCTTAATCGTTTAGCATTTTCATCTAACAATTTCAGTGACCGAGTTTTCCTCTTTACATTACCTCTTTTATAGCGCCCGCCTCCATCAGGGGCCACATCCGCAAATGGATCCTCCTTTCCATCAGTTTCTATTGGCTTTTCCTTCCCATCGTATTTTACCATACCAGCCTTGGTCGGATCATCGGCAATCCCTGCTTCTTCTAATCTAGTTACTGGCGGCACTACAGGTTTTGCTTCGTTTATATCGCTTTTGTTGCTTTCGTCAACATTGTTAGCAGAAGCTGAAAGGCCACCTTCCCGTTCGTGAAACTCTGTTTTCATGGGTGTTTGCTCGGGTGTGCCCGCCAGCGTCTCGGCTGGTGTCCCGGTTGACGTTTGAGGAGTAGGTGAAGCAACTCCAGAATCCGTAGGAACTGGGGTGGATATAGCTACACTACTTTGTCCGGTTTCGCTAGCGCTTCTTTCTGCCTCTGCCTTCCTCTTGTAATCTGCAATCTCTTTTTGTCTCTGTACAATTTCGGCCCTGGTCAATTGAAATTGCAAGTTTCGCGTATCTTTACGATGCAATCTGACTGGAAGATGCAAGTCTTTTTTCGGGTCGATTTTCTTCTTGCTTTGAAACTTTAAAATGTGTGTTCTGATGTTTTCCAAATGCTCGTGGGAAACCGCCCGCAATGGGAATTCGTTGTATTGAGTTGCAGTTTCTTGTTTAATACCTCGGTGGGAGCTTGAGCTGCCCCCGCTATTGTTGCCATTCAAAAGCTGGTTGGTGCGCTCATCATAAGCTTCGGGATCCTCCTTCTTGACGTAGGGTTTAGGAGTCCCAGTTTTCTTGAGCCGCGACTTTAAAAAGTCTCGTCTCAATTGTTCTCGCTTGATGAAGGGAGACGCACTATTGGAGGACTTGAGGGGATTGGACATCGTAGCAAATAAGTCCTGGATCTGGAAATGCCGCTATGATCTCAAATTGAGCCCTGTTTCGACAAATTATTCTAAACAATTTATCTTTGACGATTTTGCCACATCTTATTGAATTCAGAAAAGACGTCCCGTGATTAGTGATGATATTCGTCGACTTTCAAATTTCCAGGCCCTGACATTCTGGGATATTAAATTGGTGCACTAGCTTCGTGATTGAAGTTCGAAGTAGATTTATTGGACAATAAGTGTATCTCTGACTGACCAGGATCTTGAGGAAGTTACTAAGTATCCTTGCCTCATCGTTGTTTTGCAAATAGTAATTTCGAGCACAACCGTTTCCGTAGATTTATGATAAGTTTCCCACTATTGAGACGCGACTCCTGACAATATATGTAAATTCCGATAGAGGCTTTCATCATGGTCAGTAATCTGCAAGAATACACGTTCTGCTTGCGAGCCTCAACACTTCATCAAGTCTGTCATTGCTGACGGATCACTTTGTCCTTCTTTGACGAAAATTTTATTTCGCCAACTTGATTCAAAAGTCAATCTCTTCTCGAACATTCATTAGGTTTACGCAGACACCGAGTATATCAACCTAGAGAAAGATGACAGGTGAATCACAGTCTGCTGTGGATCCACAAGAAGCGTTCGAGCTTATCACGAAAAATTTACAAGAGGTTTTAAATGCGCAAATCATCAAGGAAGTGCTTGAAGTTCAAAAGAGACCTCTAAAGCTATACTGGGGCACTGCACCTACTGGACGTCCTCATTGTGGGTACTTTGTTCCCATGACGAAGCTAGCGCACTTTTTGAAGGCGGGTTGTGAGGTTCGTGTGCTTTTGGCTGACTTGCACGCGTTTTTAGACAATATGAAGGCCCCTCTAGAAGTTGTGCAATACAGAGCTAAATATTACGAATGTGTGATAAAGTCTTTGCTGCGCAGCATCAACGTCCCTATCGAAAAGTTAAATTTTGTCGTAGGAAGCTCTTACCAGCTCTCCGCGGAATACACGATGGATTTATTTAGGTTGTCAAATGCTGTCTCCCAGAATGATGCCAAAAGAGCTGGTGCGGACGTTGTCAAACAAGTTGCTAATCCATTGTTGAGTGGCCTGATTTATCCACTAATGCAAGCTTTGGATGAGGAGCACTTGGGCTGTGACGCTCAATTTGGTGGTGTCGATCAAAGAAAAATCTTTGTTTTGGCAGAGGAAAACTTGCCTTCTCTTGGTTACAAAAAAAGAGCTCATTTAATGAATCCAATGGTCCCAGGTTTGACTCAGGGCGGCAAAATGTCGGCTTCTGATCCTAACTCCAAGATTGATATTTTAGAAGAACCCAAACAAGTTAAAAAGAAGATCAACACTGCGTTTTGTGCTCCTGGCTTAGTAGAAGACAATGGCCTTTTATCTTTCGTTGAATACGTCGTAGCTCCCATTCAAGAACTAAAGTTCGGTGCTAACTACTTCAAATTTCACATTGACCGCCCTGATAAATTTGGTGGTCCCATTACCTACACATCGTTTTCTGATTTAGTTCAGGATTTTAAAGTGGAGAAATTGGCTCCTCCTGACTTGAAAACTGGTGTCGCTGACATAATAAATGAACTTCTGGCTCCGATTAGAGAGGACTTTTCTAAAAATCCTGAGTTTCAAGAAGCTCAAGCTAAAGGCTACCCAGTCATTGTTCCAGAGAAAGCTAAGAAGCAAAAGAAGCCAAAGAATAAAGGCAGCCGTTACCCTGGTTCTCAAAGTGCTGCTACTGATTCGGTTGCTGTTGTCGCTGACAAGCTAGCACAGACGGACATCAAAGAGTCGCCTTAAATCCGAAGCGTCTCCTTGCCTTCGTTTCATTTGCGTGGTACTAGAATAGATGTATTGAGAACTTCTCTTAGTTCACTAAACAAATAAATGAGTTTGATGCTATAATTCTCTACATGCTTTCCCAACCTCCCAGGTCAGAATTATTGTCCGTTAGTCTGAATACTAGATGCGGCACCATGTTGCCCAGTATTATGTCCTGGCTCAAATACAAATACCGTTCTTTATTCAAGAACACCGGGCTTCCACTTCGGTAATCCTCGTCTGTCTCGCCATGACTGTTCATGAATGGCGCTTGGTAGAAGGTGCCCCTGTAGCCGTATGATAAATAAACTGTGTTGCTCATGACCATTAGGAAGCAACCGTAGATCGACTTAACAGGGCAATTGTAAAGACAGTGGTCTGTACACTCCCCGATTGTATAATTTTGCAAAGCGACCGCATTTTGTACATGGACGCGGTCTCCACAAAACAAACAAACTGCGAGTTCCTCCTTTTTAGATTTCATTTGATTATAATTGTTATCGACGTCCATCAGTTCAGAATACGATTTGGGCAACTCAATCAATGAATTTTCTTCAAAAATATAAAGTCCTCGATTATCGACTTTCCGCATGAAAGAGTCTTTCCTGCCCATTGACATCTCATGCTCCAATACGTCTACCACCTTTCTCATGGTATTCTCGCTGTATTCATTTAACACCTCCGCAAAATTAGGCATACCGCAAAATTTTAGTAAAAAGTCTAAGTTGTTAAAGTTGGTTAATTGATCTCTCACAATTATTTGCGTTAGGCCCTCTGAATACAGAAGAGCCGCTAATCTCCTCATGCGCACCGTCATTGAGTTGCGTAGAAGTCTCATTGCGGGGCCAAGAGTAGTGCCAATATTTTTGGGAAATTCGACTCCGATCGCGGAAAAATAGCATTTTAGTAGATATGCGATAAGATTGGCTTCTTCGTCAGTAACTGATTCTGATAGCATGGCCCTGCTTTTTTCACAACGAAAAATATCGTGGTCCTTCTTTTTCAATAATGAGATGCTAGTGAGACCCCTCACTGTAGCGATTATGTCTTGATGTAAACTTTTCTTCACGTATTCTGAGATGCAAAAACTTTCGCTAAATTGAGAGATTGGAGAGTATTTCGACAATTGCATGATGGCAGCTTCAAAAAGGTCAGTATCTTGATGTTTTCCAATAAATTTCTCCCAGCTAACAAAGTCGACTGCTGTCGGTAGTGCGGCATAAGGATATTTCAATACAGCACTTAAGAAATCGTAGTTGTGAACAAAGAAATTTCTCATTTGCGAGAGCAGCTTTAAGGTTATCAAGTGGTGGTTATTCAGATAGGTTGCTCGAGTAAATTCGGATTCGAGTCCTTTTCGCTCTTTTCGAGATGCAACCTCCGCATTTTTGACAGTGTTCGCATAAATTTTGCATAAAACTTCAATTGGACGCATGTTTTTATCGCCGTCTTTATTTATTAGGTGATGCAAAATTGTCATTGCTTTGTTGCAAACATTAAAACCATTTTTCTGTGAATTTCTTCTCAGATCGTTGAGCGCAAAGGACGCACTGGAAGGCTGGTCATGAATGTATCTGAGACGCGGTAAGAAGGAATTTGTCAAGGCCGAACATAACGGGCAAAACATCAAAGAGAATCCAAAAGATCTGGGGACATTCTTTGTTATGTGATTGTGCACAGCTCTCATTGACTTCATGTGGCTAGTTAAACAGCTTTCGTGCGATCCATGCCCGCATGTGCGAAGAACCGGCTGCACACTAACTCCTTCTCTAATTTGCTGTTTCTCACCAAGCCTCTTAAGTGCAACATCTGAACACAATTCCTTAGGATTAAGGCTCTTGCCGCATATGTTCTTTTCCAGATAACTGAAATACACAAAGGTATCGTCACCTTTCTCCATCTTACAAAAGACACAAGCAGCTTCGGGCAGAATCCAGTCTTCCTCAATTGATTCTTTGTCATAACTTTTGCATGGTTCTTCTTCAAGTGGCAGCTTGTTATTGGCGAGGAACTTCCTTTGTTGCTTAGCGATACGCTTCATAAGTTTGAGCCTCTTACTCTTAGCCAGTCGTTTTCTCTTCTCAAACTCCTCGTCTTTCTTGTCACCGCAATAATTAGGTTTCGTCAGTAAAGTGAAATTGAGGGAGGGGGTCTGCTCGCTTAAGAAACCTTCGACGTCATTATGGGGAGCTTTTTCGGAGATATATCGGAATATCTCACGAATTTTACCATGTTCATTCACGAACTCGTCTTTGGAAAGGAATGAATACAGAAGAGAGCCAATGCTGCTATAGTGAAGATATTCCGAACTTGAGCTGCCATATTCCCTCCAAAATACTGTCGAGAATTCAATGACGTTGTTTAAGACGCACAAATGGATCAAGTGTGTAACCTTTCCAAGCATCACTTCATGCTTAAGTTTACCGATATGATCTAGTGTATTCTTGATAAAGTTCCCAAAAAGCTCTGTTCCTGAGATTTGATAAAGATTACTAAACGGCGTGCCTCTCAATTTTGAGGTACATTCTCTAGCAGTGACAAAGGTTTGATCATACTCGCAGTGTAAGCTGGAAGCCATGTTATTTCGAACTAATTTTTCCGCTTCATATCTTTTGCTTGAAGAGTACCCAACAAAATAAGGATCAACAGAGGAAAAGTGCTCTTTCTTTAACGTGTAGATGCCAGCATCCATTAGCTCGTTAGGTGGGGTATAGGTCGCGATCTCATGCAAATAAAGTTCGAATGCGGGATGCTTTGTGACGTGTTCTGGTATCGAATTTAGCAAATCACTATGAGTCGAGTTTTTGAAACACAAAGCATGTACAATTTCTGCTTGCATTGTTTTCTCGAATCCTTCAATTGACGATTTCATTGCTAAGCTTCTTACCTCACTAAAAAGCTGAATTAAGAGCAATAAAGACTGGTCTGCCATTGAGGTAGTAATCTCAGTTTCTGGATAGTCACCAATGGGTATGCCTTGTGCCCAGCTCTTCAACCCCCACCGAGTTAAGTAAGTGACTAAGAAGTTGTTTGGATCAGCGATGCTCATGGCCAATTGCACCATATATATATCACTGAAGTACGTGAACTCCCGCATGCTATACTTCGTGTACATCCTTGCTTGGTGTTGAATGGGTGACCCATTTCTAACCCAGAATCCGGCATTGACTTGAGCCAATAGTACCAAAGTAGATAATGCAGATTCACACATCCAATTAATTTGCCTCTTATCGTCAAAGACATTTTCAGGTTGAAGGTAGTCATTGAACGCATACGGTAAAGGCTCATACCTGCCGCACTGGCTCCAAAGTGTTACAAACTTGAAAAAGTAAGACATCGGATTGAAAAAACTTTGGCATGCCACGCCAACCTTAAAGTCGATAACATCTGATACGGTATTACAGATAGTTTCTTGAAACACTCGTAGACCTCCAATATTCTCGTTTACAACCGAAAACGGCGCGCATTCTTTGAAAACCTGTCTTGAAGTCCTCAATAGCTCAAATTCCTTTATCATTGAAGTTTCCAAAAAGTGGCGTACTATTCTCGTTCTTTCTTCTGCATTGCGGAGAAGACATATGTTTCTGGTATAGCCGTCTACCATCACAAGAATAGAAGAGAAGTAAAAGTAGTAGGAGGAAAACTCGAAATTTTCAAATTCGACGTGCTCAGAAGTTTCTCGTCTTAAAGAAAGTACGTTGTTAAAAGCAGCGAAGCAATTGACCACACACCTTAGTATTGATTCTGAGGAAAGTAATACTTCGGGCACAGTATTAGTGGACATCACGAGGTACACATCTTTGAAGCAAATGACACTGCGTTTGTTCTTAATAGCATCGTTGGGGAGCTTAAAATCGCGATAAAGTGGCACGGGCGGGCATTCCACCAAGTCCTCAGGAGAAAAAGCCATCAGCGTAAACGCAACCTGAATTACGCGCTCAATGAAGCCGGAGGGAATAATTAAGTTTGCAATTTTAGGTATCTGAAAAATAAGCTGAGATAGTGAACTCATGAGAGAAAGTTTGTAGCCAATGGAGTCTGAAGCAACAGTATTGTAAAGTAGGTTAGGGTAAATGTCAATGTACTGAGCAGCCATACAGTTGCGCGAATCGTCAACTATCGTGAATATACAGCTCACTATCTTGAGTAATCGACACCTCCAGATTTTAGGCAGTAGCGTTGTGCCCTGAACTAGCAGATTCTGAAATCTAGATCCTTCGAGTGAACTAAATCTAGGAGATGTATCTTTCGTGTTAGTATTTTTCAGATGCCCATCGTAGTGTTGCATTATTCGCAAAATGTTCGGATCATGAGCTTCTTCATTGGGGTGGGGGAAAAGCCAGGGCTTAGGCCAAGGAAAAGTATCGCGTTGCTCAAAAGGCACTACGAAACCGCCTAGCAATGCGATTTTTGTAGCAAAAGGAGTCAGTATTCCCGGAGAATATTTCGTAGATAAAAGTCCCGGTCTCCATATTCCACACATTGCGACTCTCAGCGACATTTTTAGGCACAAAGACGGATTGTTAAGACAGAGCTTATATAACCAGTTTGTAAGCTCATCGACCAAGTACTCCTTGAAAACATCCGTTGTAGTTTTTAACTGTAAATTGATATTTTCCATCGCAAATCCCTCGCGAATACTTTCCAATTTAGCAGCATCGCTAGACTTTGCTAGTATGATGAATGGGTCTCCTTTTTGTAAACATTCTGTCATCATCAAACTAAATTCAATGGGCTTGTCGAGAACAAGGCTGATCTTGGAAACCAAATCTTTTACGTGTAGATTGCTGTCGTTGTCATATAGCTGAAGCACGTATTCATCTTTGATGATCTCTGGAGTTTCATCGTCATGAGCCAATACGGTCTTATTAGAAGCTTCGGAAAGCTCCTTCAAAAATACAGTTGTATCAATGATATAGTCCAAAACCTGTTCAAAAACATCGATCAAATTAGAATCCGAGTCTCGAAGGTAGTCCAAATGTCTCGGTACGTTGTTAGCAGCGTTGCGACACTTGTTGGTGATTGCGTAGTCCGTGCTAGAGGCAGCAAGTCCACTTGAATCACCACAATGGCAAACACGGCCTTCCGGTCGTGTAACCACCCGCGAAGTATATCGATGGCCTGTGTGCCGGAGAGGGTCGAAACATCGACCGCAGAGCTCGTACAGCGGATTTCGTGTACAGTCAAAACAGTAAAACACAGTCTCGGTCGGCTTACAGATCCTGCTGCAACTTGAGCCCCTATGACCGTATTCAACACCATCTATTATAATGTCAGTCAGGTTGAAGAACGCATCGCGCCAATCAGATGGCAGTCGTACAGTATCATACACACCCCGTTGCCAATTTGGGGACTGGAAAAATGCTCTCTGGCTTTGCCAATTAATATTCCCAACGCCTTGTGTTACGCATTGTTCTAGTGTCTGCCACACAGTAAAACTCACCGCTTCATTATAAACATCGTTGGCCAAGCGCGGCAAAGACACCAAAAATTCTCGCACAGAACGCTCTTCCTGGGCCATACCATTAATGCCACGGCGTAATCAAATTCGCAACTAATGTCTGGGATCGCTGCTTATAGCCTGTAAAAATAACACTATGTGATATGATGGACTTCTTCGAATAATCCTGAACCGTTTAAAATACGATTGTTTTGCCACCAAATCTTCCATTTTTAGGGACCAAGATTATGGTCGTGGACAAGATAATTGAGCAGAAAAACGAGTGACTGTCTGAAAAAAATTCTGGCTCAAGTTAGAAAAAAGCCGATCATCTGAAACTGTGAAGACTGAAAGAGCATTGAAGTGCTCTTGAAAATCATCCGGTATTTGATGAATGCGTCTTAGCTTTTGAATTTGTCACTTTGCAGTCTTTAGTAAAGAGAAGCGCAGATCTAAGGAGAGATGAGAAATTTTGTCAATTAATGTAGCAAGCATGAAGGCCGTGATTTCTCAACATTCAAAAAACCAGTGCTCTAATTTTGGAGAGTGAGGTAGCTAAGACAAACAACAGTGTCCGCGTCAAGGTTTGTAAATTCCAAAAACTGGCACGAGCAAATTAAAGACTTTCGAAGAACCCTCTCTCAATGTAAGCTGCGTTCAACTGATTTTTATATAGCGATGCTGCCCGAGCGGCGAAAAGGCTACCGCTATCAAGATATGAATTCAGGAGTAGCGAGGGTGTCAAAGTATTAAGGCTCGTGCTCTTTAGAAATTTGGAGGCCTTCAAGATGTGGCTCTCAATATCATCGGCTTGTTAAGCTTGAATGTCTAAAGCGCATGATTGAGTATTATAATTGGGGCATAAATTTGAAGCAAGACCCATTAGTTTAATAAGTGACTTCAGGCTATCATTTGGTTCCTCAGATTTCGGAAGTATGCAAGCAGTCTTATGCCTCCAAATTGACGAGGCGGTAATGTACGTAACACCATGCCGGCCTGTAGAGCGACAGCGCTTATTTTAACGCAGCTGGGCTAACCTTCCCTCTTACCTCGTCTTTGGTGATATGATCTGTGGCGAAATTTCAAGGAGCAAACTAGAGCACAGTTAGTTATCTTGACGAATGAGAGCTATTTTGATCAATCACTCATCAAAAGCGGTGGTTAACAGTTAAGCGTCACATCCACGTTCTCTAGAAATTCATGCAGTGCTGAGATGATTAGAGGAGAAACTAGCAAAATGCAGGAGCATTTGAGTGCTGTACTACAGTCTGTTCACGACGAGCCGTATTTCCAAAGCGCCAAGGTTCCGAAAGAACGGGCAGATTTGGACAAGACCCTGAAAAGTTTTGTCTTCCGCTACCTTTACTACGTATTTTCAGGCCATGGTCGCCTTCTGCCGCTTTTATTTCCAGGTGCTCCACCTGAGAAGTTTCCGCGGAACTTAGACGAAGCACTGAGCTTGGACTTGGCTATGCAACGTAAAAGCGATCCGTTTTACACAGTGGACGAAGTCGCAGCAAGCCACCAGCATCGTCACTCAGGTCGCAACTGTGGTCGTAAGTTCCAGCCTGGGGAACCCATTTATCGCTGTAAAGAGTGCAGCTTTGACGACACATGTGTACTTTGCATCCAGTGCTTCAATCCACAGGACCACGACGGCCATCACGTTTATACTAGCATATGCTCTCAACTCAATACAGGGATCTGCGATTGTGGTGATGTTGAGGCTTGGAACTTGCCTTTACATTGTCAAGCTGAATGTGCTGACACCGATAGCGAGGACCTGGAAGATTTTGATCAGGAAGATGGATTTGAGTCAGAAGAAATGCGACAGCTTTTTGAGAGTGCGCTCACTGAGATTTTAGATCATTTTCTTGACGTTTTTAATCAAAATGTTGAGCCTCTCCCTACTATTCAAAAAGAGATTACTATTAAACTTAGGGAAATGGAGCAACAAAATAGATTTAGCGAGAAATTAGAGCTCCTTCGCGACTTGGAGTATAAAAATGAGTACATGCAGGAGCGCAGAGGTGACAAGAGCGCCCGCAATGACGACCATAACGAAGACAACAATAACGAAGCCGGATTGCCTGAGTACGCAGTCATGGTCTATAACGATGAATATCATAATTATTCCCAAGCTATTGCAGCTTTAAAGCAAGGTGTTCCTGACGACAAGCACACGGATAAACTGACAGCATGCATTGATGGAGAAGGACGTGCCATGTTGAAATGCTCACGAGACTTGACAAATGTTCTAAGTGGATTTTTTGCCATAAGGACTAATGGTCTCAGTGCCACCCTTACCACTTGGTCAGAATTCATTCATCAAGAGGCTTGTAAGTATATGATAGGGTGGATCGGGCATTGTTTGACCATTCCTAATTCAGAATTCCAACAAATTTTCAGAGACGCCTTGGGCACTGTTCTTTGCTCTGAAGTGACAACTTTCTCGGAGAAGCCTGATGTTAGCCTCATGTTGGATAAACACTTCCCCGCGAAGCCTGGGGCTGATAACACATATAGGTACGCTGATTTATCGGTACTGGATAGAGGTAACGTAATACCTATGAGTCACCACAAAGTGCTAGCATCGGGGGAAACAGGATATATCTCGCTAACGCTTAATGGAACAGAGTCTCCTACTCATAAAAAGTATGTGAACTCGAGACTGCAACACTTTCTATTCTTCGATAATAGGTTCTGGAAGAGACTGCGGAAAGATATCCAAGATGTCATAATTCCAACAATGTCATCAAGTCTCAAGTTCAAACCAATTTTTTGTACACATTTGGTTCAAATTTTCAATCATATGACAAGGTCACTTGCGTATATGGATCGAGAACCTCAACTCAGTGCGTTGCGGGAAAGCGTTGTACAACTCTTCACTTGCCCAACTAATGCACTAACCATATTCCAAAGCGGCAGTTTCTGTGACATGATGTGGTCAGTGATCGACATATTTACGGAATTTTCTAAGAAAGACGCCGGCTTGTTGGTATGGCAAAAAGTTCAAAAAACCAACCCAACTAAAAGCTATAGATTCTCTTTCAAACAAGGGTTTTACGCCGTGGAGACTATATTGAGCAAAATTAGCGATCCGAATTTGTTACTGCGCGCTCCAGAGTTTATTGCGATCGCTACGTTAAGTAAACTTTTCAACGGTGCTTGGAAAATTAAGCGCAAAGAAGGTGAGCACGTTCTTAGAGAAGATCAGAACTTTATTCCGTATGTTGAGTATACCACCTCCATTTTCAGCATAGTTCAAACTATCGATAGAACACTCGAGAAAAAGCGCAATGAAATTGATGAAGATTTACTTTTAAATGCAATTAGATTGCTGAGTACATTTTTAGGGCACAGATCACTACCTTATAAGGTAGTTCATGAGACACATGAAATTATAAAATTTAAGGTTAGCAAGCAAAGAGTTGCGTTCATGAATCCGGTTCATACATTGTTGTCGTTTTTAATGGAGAAAGTCCCATTAAATAAAGCATTTGAAGCAGTCGCTAATTGTAATGACTTCCTTACTATATCAGATTTTTCTCTGAGATCAGTGGTTCTTTGTTCACAAATCGATGTTGGGTTTTGGGTGCGGAACGGTGTTTCTGTTCTTCGTCAATCTTCATATTATAAGCGTACTCCGGATATGGATTCCTACAACAGGGACATATATCTCAACCAGCTCGCGTTTCTGGGTGAAAAGGACAACTTGGTGAGACTCATCTATAACATTCTAGAGAGGTGGGAGTTATTGGCGTGGCTTGATGGGGAAGAAGAATTTTCTCACACAGTATATGAAGATAAGGTGGTTCTCATCCTTCAGCAATTCGTTGCCTTCATATATCAATTACTTGCTGAAAGGCAGTCATTTAGAAAATTTCAAAACTCTGATGAGAAAGAGTATTTCCAGATTAAGAAAGCCATAATGTACAACCTATTCATGGAGCCCGTCTCTTACTCAAATCTTTTCGCTGCTATGCCTGAATACCTCACCGAAAGCTCTATGCTATTTGACAAAGCTCTGAAGGACGTTTCGATATATGTGGAACCTAAGGGTCTAGAAGATAACGGTGTTTTCAAGCTTAAACCGGAATTGTACAAAAAGATCGACCCTCTGCAGCTACTCAACATGGGCAATGACTTTGAGCATAGTGCCTCCGTCGTTACCACACACTTAGCTGACCTAGGAACTGATCCAAAGAAACTCGTTTTGGAGCCTCAGCTGACCCACCCCAAGTACATGGATGAAGCTGCTAAACACCTAGGTGCGTTTACACGCACGAATGCGTTTGCTAAGGTCATCTTCAATCTTTTGCAAGTTTGTCTTGATCGAAATGAGAGCTCTTTCATCTACGATCTTCTGCACTTAGTTCACGGTATATTCAAGGACGATGAACTCGTAAATGGCAAAAATTCTATCCCAGAGGCTTACCTATCGAAGCCTGTATGCAATTTATTTCTCACCATATTGGATTCCAAGTCTACTGTTTTCTCGGAAAGCGTAATGGCCAAAGCTGATCACCTACTAGAAATAATGATTCGAAAAGATCCAGAAGCTATTCTTGGCTCACTGGTGTCTTGTTTTGGAAAAGAAACTGTTGAGCTGTATAAAACTAAGAAACTGCGTCAAGGTGTTAATTTCGAAGAAAGTGAAAAAGACCGAAAGAAAGGACTGGCGAAGGCACGTCAGGAGAAAATTCTATCAAAGTTTTCAAAGCAGCATACAAAATTCATGAAGGAAAATGAGTTTAAGCTTGGTGGGGGTAATGAGGACGTAGAAATGGCAGGGGTTAATCTGATGAGTAAAGAAGAAGACCATACGTGTGCATTGTGTCAAGATGCTACCTCAACAGATTCTTTTGTCATTCCAGTTTACCACGAAAATTCACCCGTTTTTAGGGGGGGCGATATTCACAATGTTAAAGAATTCGCGGCTTCCTGGGAAAGCTTTACCAATAATGATCATCAGCCTACAATTCATACCGAAGAAACATTGGATAGCTACAAAGAAGACGGTTCAAGAGGTTCTAGAAAGGTTTTTGTTTCTTGTAATCATTACATCCATTACAAGTGTTTCAAGCGGTATGCCCAGAAGAAAAGGTTTTCGACCAATTCCTTTATATGCCCTCTATGCCAGACTTTCTCTAACTGTGTCGTTCCGGTCTCTGGAAAGTCACAAAATTCAAGCGGAACTTCCTTAGAGGATCTACTAGAATATAATGTTGCGAAGCCAGCTATAAGCTACTTACATGAAACAGACTCTAGTGAAGATTTCAATAGCGTTTTCAACATGTTCGTCGAAATTAACAAGAAGAACATGTATTACGATCGTCACTGGGCTACGACCCCCAAATTTCAGCGACCAGACGTAGCGCACATTTTATCAGTACACTGGGCAAACACAGCATCAATGCTCGAAATTTCTTTGAGATCATCTACCAATGCCAATGAAACATTGTTGCAAGGAAAAGAGCAAAAGTTCAGAACTTTGAAGAACATCCTTTCTTCGATTGCTTGGTTGTATAGGGTTTTGGGTCCTCCTTCTCTTGAACACATTCCTTATGTCAACAGGGAGGGTATTGTTTGGAATCAAAATCAACTTTTCCAATATATTGTACGCCATGCTCTTTTCACTCCAATTCCGATATCGGATACCGTTAGTAAAGCCCTATCGCTCTATGCTCGACAGTTTCTCGTTGATTTTGTGAAAGGACAAGCTCCCAATGCAGTTGAAGAAATGTATGATGAATACAAGACTTCAGGGGGCACATATGAAATAAGCGAGAGCCTTTTGCTGGCTATGCGCAATGTTTGTGACATTGGCATCACCGATGAAGTATTATGCCTGAAGCTTTATAAGCTTGCATACGCCAGTTTGATTAAAAATCTTCTACCAACTATCAGAAGATGCTTGATCTTGTTGAAAGTTCTCAATGATCTGCTTATGTCGACAGATACCCCAAAACTAGTCATAAAAGAAATGGAGTTAGAAGACACAAGCCGGACTTATCAAAGCATGGGAGATTACGTCGAAGTTATGATCAGACAAATCACCTTTTGTGATTCTTTGGAATCACTTTTGAAGTATCCCTGTGGTACTCAGAAGGACGATCCTTACTTGAGCAACTTTCCTTATGAGTACACGGGCGTTGTGAAGTTGGTGGATCTGGCTCCGCATTTGAATACGTACCTCACAAACTCGCAGGTCGTGAAACTGCGAAATGAACATCCTGCGCACATGAAAAACGCTGGTAATCGTTTGGACTTTAAGATTTGCCTAGTTTGTGGTGTGAAGGTACACGCCAGAAAGGATCACACCGAGTTAGTGAGGCATTTAACTAATCATTGTTTCAAACCTTTTGGTCTTTTCCTTGTTCCTAATTTAAGCGAGGTGTGTTTAATATTGACAAATCCTAGGTCTTCGATTGCTATTTCAGCGCCTTATCTAAACTCGCATGGCGAAGCAGGCCGTAACGCAATTCAAAGAGGTGACTTGACATCTCTGAACTTGCGCCGGTACGAGCACCTATGTAATGTGTGGCTCAATAACGAGATCCCCGGGCTAATAAGTAGAGTTTTGGGTGATGAGTTTAGAGTGTTGATAATATCAAACGGAGTCGTCCTGAATTTCAACAGGAACGTGCTGCGTCCGCGGCGCGCAAATACTGATGAACTTGGTGGTGACAGTAGTACTAGTGAGTCAGAGGATGACGACGCAGAAGGTGGTGAAACTCGATGGGAGATTCGTCCCGAAGAGTTTTTTGAGGAGGCTGGTGTTAGACTTGAAGGAGCAGATCCTGTTCCCGGCGGCGACATAAGAGATTTTTTCCAGTTCATTAACAACTTGAGGACAGATACGGATGCTTTAGAAGAAGGCGAAGAAGTTGAGGGCAATGAAGGTGGAGCTGGGACCGTCTTTGTGCCCCGCTTTGATTTCATTCCTAATTTCAGAAATATGAATGCTCCTACAGAAGATACACAAGACGGTGACGAAGACATGGAAGAAGATGATGATTAAGACTTAAATCATGAATTGGCAATATTTTCGATGATTAGCCACATTGTGTGTCAGCTGCCAATCGAGCAAAAGAGCAAGTACTTGACTTATAACATATCCGGGAATGCTCCTCCATCATTAATATGTGCTTTTCCGTACATTCGCGATGAGCATCTTCACTGTCCTTCACACTTGAGGTCAAAGGTGCATTGTATATATATATATAATGTTATACGAGCCAATGGAATTGTTAGAATTGGTTAACAAAAAATTTTGGATATGGCTTAATTAATGAATCCTTTGCAGTCCGATTAAAATTCTTAAAAGTTAAAGAACAATTTGGGATTACGAGCACACTGAAGCACCTGCATATCAAAAGGCACTGACATGGTATGTGAAGTTGAGTTCATATCTCGAAACTCTGAAGTTACCAGTTTTGGTTTGAAATGGCTTGTTTCTCGCAAGAGTAGGGAATTGTTGACATCGATGAAGTTAAAGTAAATTGTTGGTTCAACCACCGAAATGGTTGAGATAACTCGTACTGCGCAATCTCAGGCAAAAGGATTCCTAAAATCCTGGATCCGCAATTGTTTTGAAAAAGCGATATCTCCATGGGGCCTTAATGCTTTGATATTTTCAAAGGCATACGTCCTTTGAGAAACAATGGTGGTAAAGACCTCTTGCGAAAACACCAGCTTCATAATAGCTTTGCAGATAAACATATTGTTGCCTTTTACTAACATCTAATTTTCAGGCTTTCTCTACAATCTACAACGTCTTTTTCAAGAGAAACTCAGTCTTCGTTGGAACCGTTTTCGCAGCCTCGTTTGTATTTCAGGCCGCTTTCGATACCAGCGTAACTTCGTGGTATGAAGCTCATAACAAAGGCAAAATGTGGAAAGACGTTAAGTTGAAGCTCAGTCAAGCCGGCGAAGATGACGAAGACGATGACGACGAATGAGCGTGTCGCTTTTAAACTCATGATCATGCACACTTTTGTATTGGCATATTTATTTCACCAACATTGGACGAGAGAGTATCACAATTTCAAGTAACTTATCCAAATACTAATCGGAACTCGACGTACAACGGAATGACCCTGCGGCAGACATTGGATGCACAGGAGCAATCAATCACGACTTTTACGGTATACTCATTTATATTCACCTCACAATACAGTATTGTTATTTAACAATTCCAAACAGTTTTTTTAAGTACAACATATGCATAGTATATTTACACGGTTCAACATTAAATCTCGCCAGAGGTTGACGCTTGCTGAATGCGTGCAACATATGCTTTAGAAACTACATTCCAGCTTCTCATGTACTTAGCCAGGCATTGGTCGATGCAGCCTTCTTCGCCATTTGAGTAAGGACTAATCAAGCATTTTTCAAAGCAATTTTCCGTTACTTTGCTAACTAGCTCGCTAGCGTTTGCCACTGCAAGTTCTTGAGCTATTTGAGTCTTCAGCTGGTCTTTAACATTAGAGGCCTTGGCAGATGGAACTGCTGTAGTTTGCTGTTGCGAGGGAGAAGCACCGCCAAAAATTGAAGAAAGGGCCATTTGGGCAATTTGATCTTATGCAATCGGGATGATCTGGAGCAAGGAAAGGATAGATGAAAACAAGTAAACACAATCTGCTAGGCGATTGCTCGTGAACATGAGATGGCTCAAACTTTATTTGTTAACCAAACCAAATAGAAAAAAAGTATGAAAAAGGGCAACTTGGTGAAAAGTACTTTCGATTATAACGATTCAGAGTTTAGGACCAATAACAAAGTCGCGCAAGTGGTTTAGTGGTAAAATCCAACGTTGCCATCGTTGGGCCCCCGGTTCGATTCCGGGCTTGCGCATATTTTTTGGACATCTTATGTCCAAGAATAATCGAAATGTGTATACCCATTTCTGGCTTTATTGAGTCTAAATCTCTAACTGAATGGGTTGATCCGTTTCGAGTACCTATTAATTTGACTTTACCGATCTGAAAATTGCCAAGCTAGCAGTCATCATGATTCACTCAGTACTGATATGTAAGTACAACGTTTTAGGCACACTCTACAAACCTCGACTAACATGAGGCCATTTAAACAGTTAATAAAAAGGCTCAGCCAAGATTAGTCAAGTTCTACACACCTGTGGACCTTCCTAAGCAGAAATTGCTAATAGAGCAAGTCTACGAATTGATCTCACAGAGAAACAGTGATTTTCAAAGCTCTTTCTTGACCACTCCACCTTCGCTACTACGTGCAGGCGCCGACGAACTAGGAGATGATCAAGGAATCCAAGTAATCTACAAGAACTATGCCACCTTGTACTTCACGTTTATAGTGGATGACCAAGAATCAGAACTTGCTATCCTGGACCTTATTCAGACTTTCGTGGAATCACTCGACCGTTGTTTTTCTGAAGTGAATGAGCTGGATCTGATCTTCAACTGGCAAACACTAGAGAGTGTTCTTGAAGAGATCATTCAAGGCGGTATGGTCATTGAAACTAGTGTGCCTAAGATCGTCGCAGCCATTGATCAGCTTAACAGAAGCTCCAATGGTGAAAGCAGAGTGAACCGCTTTTCAGGAGCGGGTATCGGAAGTGCATTGCAGGCATTCGCCCAGACCGGATTTTCAAGTTGGGCATCCAGCCAGTAAGACCAGCAAACCTTACCAAAGAATAATAAATATAAGATCTGCACATGCTATATACAATAATAGGTTGGGGAAATTTCGTCGAAACCGGCTAGAGCCAGATTATAGGCTACCAGAACTTCCACCAATTTTGTTTCTGTACACTCTCGTGCGTTTTCACCACACTTTCCTGTCTTATTTGTTGAAGCTCCCCTCTGATGCGCTGTAGTTCCTCGCGCTGTATCTCCTCGGCTTTGAGACGCTGGAACTGCTCACGAGATTGCTGACTACTGTTTCTTTCCCATGGCGAATCTATGGAACCTGTTTTCCAAATTGGATCGTCGCTTTTGGCGGTCTCCCTAACAATCTTCATCAACTCTTGCTGCTCGGCTTGACGTAGTTGCCGTTCACGTTCGAACTGTAATCTCAGCTCCGGAGATAGCGCCTTGATGAGCTCTTCATCCGTTGGTGTGGTATATTTGAATAGAACTGCACCTGTTGCAATTATAGCACCACCAAACGCATAGACTCTTAGCCAACGAAGCCACAGGGGTCTCTCCATTATCTAGCTAAACTGGTATTGAAGCTGATAAGGCTCAGTCTTTGTCCTCCTCAAACTTTAGAATACTGAGTGATACAATTAATCCTTTTTCCATATCGTGTTGAATCACCATCTACACCACTAATACCCAAACCAAACCGCTGTCAGGGTAAGAAAAGAGTTTAAATGAAGTTCCAGATATGGGTATCACATTTTGTATCCAGTGTACACTTTAATTACAGTATTCTTTGGTATTGGTTTTTCCACCAATGACTTTTGTATCGTTAAATAGGTTTATCATAAATATATGGAGAGCTAGAATTAAAATCTAACCGATCATTTCAGCATACAGGTATGGAGTGAAGACTCTAGCGGCAGTAACTAAAATCGCAATACCCTCCAAAAGGGCCACAGGAAATCCGAGGGCACCTCTTTTCTCGAAATTCACATAAACGGCATACAGAGCCACAGAAAAGAAAACTTTGGTGAGAAGGAAAGGTCTTGGCATCACACCAGATAAGAAAGACACTGGTAGCCTTACACAGTCACCACCTCTCTTGAAATATTTGAAGCACCCCTTCTGCAGAGCTCTTAGATTGTCGTTGTCAGCAGCGAAAAGTGAATATAACGCAATTGACAATACATTGATAACAGAGTCGTAGCTTTTTCTTTCATAATGATAGTCAAGCAACTCGTCTAGAACCACCTCACGATCGCTGAAATCTAGATCACCGATTTTTTTCATCAAGAGCACGACGTCATTCAATCCAACGGTCATACCACCCCCGGTCAGTGGGTGCCTCATGTTCAATGCATCTCCGATGACACACATCCCAAGAACATCGTTTTGTCGTCCGGAGAGGTATGAGTTTGGCATTGATTTAAATTTTCCTTCAGCAATTGCATTGTCGAACGAGGGACGCAGGGATTCAGGAATAAAAGGCTGGACGTCCTTGATCATCCAATCCTTGATACTTGAAGGTAGCTTGGGAGAGTTGTAAGCACACAATATACGAGTCTCTTCGGGGGAAATCTGGTACACCAAGATGGGCAAATGTTCAGTTCCCAGGATAACATGACCGTGATTCTGAGAAGGCATTTTGGCATTGTACAAACTCATTCCCACAAAGGAAGATCCAACTTTGGGGACATGGTCTGGAGAAAGCTCCTTTCTGAATCTAGAAAAGATCCCATCGCAGATAAATGTGATGTGAGCACGGAACTCTACTTTCCCGCGGCCGTTGATGTCAACCTTGGCACCTACGACCTCATTATGTTTATTCTTCGAGATTTCAATAACGTTACCTTGTAATCTGGTAATATTGGGTTCCTGGGCCACAATTGTTCTCAAATTTTGTAAGAACTTACCGTGCACAAACCCTACGCCTCTTTCACGGTCGCTGTCTTCAAAATCTTTGACTTTGATAGTCTCATCGTCAGAAACTTTGTCGTTGCCACCACGCACCAAGTCACCTATTTTCTCGACAGGCCCAGCGTCCGCTCTGTATGGGTATGGAATAGCAACCTTTTCGCCGTTGTAGAAAACTGTGTAACCAGTCACTGGAATAGCTTCGATGTCGTTAATGGACTGGACCATCCCCAAGCTTTTCAAAGCTCTGACACCACCGGGCTGCATCAACTCACCGACGATACGGTCTGGCATCGCCCAATCCCTTTCCACTATCAACACTTTCTTACCCTTTCTCGCCAAACCCGTGGCGACGCAAGGTCCGATAACACCGCATCCCACAACAATGGCATCGTACGTAAGGGATTCATCCGCATTAGTCAACTCGACTGGAACCTGGAAGCTAGACATTTCGACTACGACTTGTGGTTATTTCTTCTATCTTCAGTACCGCAGTTTTCGATAAAAAAAATCTGTTAAATTTCGTACAAATTCCCAAAGACGAGCTTAAACGTACTTATATAGCTTTAATAATTGACAACTGTGAAGGAGCCCCGTTTAACACTTGTAAAGCGATATAAAACAGGCTCAGTTCTTGACTAAATGTGAAATCTCGAAAGCGAGTGAAGAAGATGGTTCGATTCTGGTGAAAATTTATTATACGAAGGTGTCACTAAATAGGCTAAACGACAAAAGTTTTAGGTGAAATCGCGGGTCTTGAACGTTATGATTGTTTGTATACGGTCTCCGTGTGGGCGGTTCGCTGGTGATGGTGAATGAAGATGATAATGAAGATGGCGATGCAGATGATGAATTTTTTTTTAACAATCGAACGGTTGTGATGGTATTATTGTTTATATTTGGAGTGAGGTGAGTGTGAGAAGTGGTAGTGGATAAATAGTTAAAAGGCAATCGTAGCACTAAATGGCTCGAGAAGTAGCAATACTTGAAGCTAATCTTCCATCCAACAGAATAGATCAATCCCGACGGTTTGTGCTTTGAAAGGAGCATATAATCGGGGAAGTAGCAATCGTAGCACTAATTGGCTCTATAAATAGCTTTACTCGAGGCTGATCTTCCATTCAATAAAATAGATCAACCCAGGCAGGTTGTGGATTGTCTGAAACTTGGAGCGCCAAAGTTCGAGCAGTGAAGGCAGTAGATTAAATTTCAGGCAGCTTGTGTGCTGTGTGAAACTTGGAGCATATAATTCGGGATGTGATCATTGCTGACCAAGTTTCAGGCAGCTTGTGCTTTGAAAAGAATATAGGATCCGCGAAGGGGCAACCTTAGCATTAAATTGGTTCTAGTAATAGTCTATAATTGAAGCTAATCTTCCAAGTTATTGAATAGATCAAACCAGACAGTTTGCGCATTATATGGCAAAAGCAGCACCGTTATCCAAGGCAAGTTGTGCATTATGTAGCAAACCTAGTACCGTTATTCCAGCCAGGTTGTGCAATACGTGACTAATGCACCGCCGTTATTCCAGCCAGGTTGTGCAATACGTGACTAATGCAGCACTGAAATGCGAAGCAGGCTGTGCATTGTGTAAAAATGGTAACATTGAATCCGAGACGTGACATCTTTAGCATGGAAACTTGAGGCAGTTTGTGGTTCACGCGCTGGGTACTTCGAGAAAGAGATCTTGGTTGCTCGCGCTAGTCCTGGCACTCCAGTAAGAGACCTTGGTTGTTTTAAACTTGGCACCCTTATTGAAGATCTTGGTTGTTCGCTACCCGGCACCCCGATTACAGATCTTGGCTGTTTGCACCAAGCCTAGTACCCGTATTAGAGCTCGGGTCGGGTTGTCTTAGATACTTTAAATTATATATTAAAAAAGTTTCTTATTGTCACTAGACGGTAATAGAATCCGTAGTTGTAAGTGGAAACCCAATAAAGGGATCAAATCCGTTCAAAAAGAATAGCTGTAGACCGGCTTATGGGTTGTCTATCAATGCTCTTTACGGCGAGCGATGAAAAAAAAACTTGTCACTTTTTACCAACGTGCCGTTGTCGAACGCCGTTCTCTTCTGTAAAGTCCATGAGCTCGCTCTCAAACGTCAACCATTGCACCACACGTTTCCGCCGGCCTCAAAGCTCCACCACCCGCTTCCGCCGGCCTCAAAACTCCAACATAATACTCTTGAACAGCTCGCACACTTGGTTCCAGTCCTCGCGGCATGCAACCGCACCCTCTGCAATGCAAAGCACCAAATTGAGACCCCCGACATCCGTGGCACAGCAATTTATGTCAAACGTGTACCGGAAACTGCCGGTGGTCTGGGCAAAGATAAGGTCCCGGATCTGGTACTGGTACTGGTGCTGGTCGCTCGCTTGCGGGAAATACCCCAGGTTGCTCAGCATGGTTCCCAGACGTGGCTTGCCCAGAATCCCGCTAACAATGGCCCGATCCACGTTGCGCGACTCGTACAGGCTGTCCTGCATCAGCGCGCCCAGCGGATACAGATAGTGACGCTTGCGCTGGGCCTCTTGGAAAACGTCCCGGTAGTATTCCACCAGTCTGCACAGCGCCGGTGGGTCGTCTGCCACGTCGAACGACGAGATCGAATAGTTGTAATGGGACCCGCCCACGTTGCAGCCGTATCGGTAATCGCGCACCAGCTTGGCATCGTCGTGGGGCACCAACTTCGCGGTGTTCATGGCCACGACGATATTGGTGAGCTGTTGCGAGAACGAGTGCGTGAATACTTTGTGCGACTTGTGCAGCGCGGCAAACCAGCATGCCTGCATGAATGGCGTAAGCGTGCATTTGGAGTGCAGCCGATGCTTCAGCCGTGCCTTCACGTGCTGGGTCTGTTGCGGGGACAACTTGAGGAAGTAGCTGTAGAACTGGTTACCGTGCGGTTGGGAAACCCGTTGGATCGGGGGACCCGCGGACTTGTAGCCCACGTACTCGCGAAGCAGCTGGTTGGCGACCATTCGCGCGAAGTAGGACTTGGGGGTGACGTAATCAACGTTAGTTTCGATGGGGGCGGGGAGGCGGGGTAACTGCGCGTGGTCCCGGGAGTAGCGGAAGAGAACTGGGTTGTTCCCGACGCCGGGGCCGAGATCGGTGTTGTCTTCGGCGCGGAGCCGGGCACGCACGTCGTGCACGAAGTTGGCGGCAGAGGTGCCGTCGCTGCAGCAGTGGTTGGCCATGAACAGAAAGTGGCGGCTGGCGCCGGCGTCGGCGCCGTCGGGAAACAACAGCACGCGCCAGTTGGGCCGCGACACGTGACTGTACGGGATGCGCACGTGACTGAGCGGCTCGAAGACGGTGCTGGAGTAGTTGCCGCCGTTACGGGCAAACTCCGCGAGTACTTGGGCGACAACGTCGGCGTACTCGGCCTGGCCATTGAGCAGGACGTCCTGGAGACACACCTGTTCCAGAACGCGGATGTAGTCGTGGTCCGGCCACGTTTGGGAGAGATACTCGTCGGTCTGGTAGAAGTTGGAGGGCCCGGTGGGCAGATGTCCGTCGGCCTGGTCGAGTTCCTTCGCCGACTGGCTCCCGGTCTTCTCCACCACTGTGTGGAGCAGCAACGGGTGTTCCAGACACAAAGACCTTAACGCCGCAGCCAGCTGGCGCGGGGAAAAACTGCGGTCCAGCTCGCAGAACAGCCCGAAATTCGTGTACAGGTCCTGGCGCTGAGCAAGCGCGAAATAGTTCTCCAAATGGCCCAATTTCCGGGCGTGACCCCGTGCGCATAACGGTTCCATAACGGCCTCGGAAGACATATGAGGACTGGTGGTGGAGAAACTGAGGATCTTCCAAAACCAACTTCTCTCCCTCGCAAGTTTCCAATTTATCTGGAATATGGTTCCAGCCTTAGCGGGATCTCGCCCGCTGGCTCCCCTTTAACAAACGCTAAGGCCAGAGAGCGAGCGCGCGAACCCACAACAAACGCGCACGCAGGCAAGCGCAAGCCATATTCAACGGTTCAAGTTTTGGGATCGAGTATTTTTGACTTGATCCCAAGCAAAACAAAAGATGCCTCGGCGGAAACGAGCGGCGCGCGCGCTCATGCAGGCCCGGCGCACCTGTATGCATGTTCGATGCAGCGACGCATTTGGGCCTCGGTAATGGCAAGTAGGGGGCATGTCCAAATCACCAGTTGCGTTTCCACGCGCGACGCCAGTTCCTCGGCGTCGCCCGCGACGTTGGCCGCTGCAGCATCCTGACATATTGCACGGTACGCGTCCCGGACGTCGGAGGTGGAAGCCGGAGCCGGAGCCGGAGCCGGAGCCGGAGCCGCCGACGAAACGCCGACGCGTTCCAGCGGGAACAGCGCGTGCAACTTACGGTCCGCAATACGCTGGTCGATACTGCGGGGCTGCGAGCCCGGCTCCGTGGACTCGTCGCCGCCGCCGCCGCCGCCGCGAGTACTGGCAGGCAAAAAGCGGGTCTCGAGCCATTCCAGGTATTGGTCCGTTGCGGCCAGGGAAGCCGTTGAGGTGGAGGTTGTGGACGAAAGCTGCGTCACGAGGTCGCCGGCGTTTGCCAGCAACCAGCCGGCGCAGTAGCGCGTCAGAAACTTATCCTCGCCCTGCAGCAGCCGGAACCGCAGCGTCACGATCAGACACGCCACGGCGCCGAGCTCGGGCTGTAGGTGAAGCAGGTCCCGTTCCGGGAGTTCGTCGCCCGGGAACGGTTCGGCAGAGGTGTTTTGTCGGATTCTTTGTACCAGGTCCAGTACGTGGAAGAACAGCGGTTGTGGCGGCAGTCGCAGCGCCAGCAGCAGCTTCAGCAGCAGCGGCTCGAGCGCTACTGCGCGGCTAAAAAAGCTCGGCGGCTGCACGGCCCGGCACGTGCGCGCGAGTTTGTGGTAGAACTGGCCTTCGGCCGGCACTTTGCCGCCTTCCAGCAACTGCAGGTAGTAATTCGGCAGCTGTCTGCGCCATACGGCCGGGAGGTGCAGACCGGCTTTGAAATACGGCAGTTGCAGGTTGCACATCCAGCGCAGGTAGTCGAACCAGAACACCGGCAGTCGCAAATGGGTGCCGGCCATGTGCAGGAGACACACCGAGGACAGCAGCGACAGCCGGTACCGGCCTGGCGGCCGGGTGCGCGTGGCGGTCGGGACGCCGGTACCGGCGTGGTTGTCGTCGTTGTGTACGGCGGGCAGCAGCCGCGCCCACAGCAGCTTGACCACGTGCGGGAACACCGGCGGGAAGTGCTCGTGCTGCACGAGCCAGCCACACTGCAGGCGCAGCACGTGCTGGAAACATTTCAGAAATAGTCGATCGCCCTCAGGGCCATAGGTTTTGGTAAATTCGGCCGGGTTTGACTGGCCCAGCGTTTGTGACTGCGAGCTGGCGCGGAAACTGCCCGTGGCGTTGGTGGTGAGGTTCAAACGGCGGGTCACCACGCCCATGCTGTTGATGTTGTCTTCGTCGTCGTTGAACTCGACGTCGCCGTCCATAACGTGCCCGTACTGACAGGTTCGGCGGCCGTCGATGATACGCCACAGCCGCGACCGGCAATTGTCAGTGCCGCAGACAGGGCCTCTGAAGAACGTCGACATGCGGAGGAATGAGCTTGTGAGCTTGCGATGAGCTTGCGATGAGCTTGCGATGAGCTTGTGAGCTTGCGAGCGATGAGCTGGTGAGTGATGAGATCGTGAAATTTGAGTCTTGCGTAGCGTGTACTCGAGTACGAATGGCGAGGGACCCGCGCGCGCGCACGTGAAACTAGAGCCGAGATGCGATGCTGGAAATTGAGCTTTCGTCCTCCCACTTTCCTACTATATATATATATATATACACATATATCTCTCTCTCTCTCTCTCTCTCTCTCTCTCTCTCTTCCTAGTGTTGCTTGCGTCTCGCCTCCTCTCTCTCACTGCCTAGCGTTGCGTGCTTGCGTCTCGTTCCCCTCTCCCGACTCGGTGTCGGTTGTGAAAATCCGGCCTGTAAGTCCCAGATCCCATCATGGGTTGGAACTGCATTGCTTGCGTATAATTGAACGGCGACCCGACATTGGCCGGTGGACTAGCCGCGCCGCGGTCCTCTCCCATCCCCATCATTTGCATTACCGGCGGATAGAATCCCGGAGGCTGGAAGGGCATATACATACCTCCCATGTTGTTGCCGCCATTTGGCGCCATCATATACGGGTTGTGGGAATTATTAGGACCCATAGGAACCCCCATCATCATACCAGGCATTCCCATCATTTGCGGGCTACCCGCTGCTGCGTTCGGCATCCCATTCATATTGCGTTGCTGCATCCTCATCTGGGACCGTTGCATTGCACTACGTTCATCCGGGAACAATGCTTTGTACGACTGTTCCACCGTACTCATCCACGTTGGGGCTGTAAAATATGGCTTTTCAATCACAAACACCATTCCCGGTTTCTTGACCTCCTCAAACGTTTCTTTGCCCTTGAGGAACATATTAAAGCTACTTGCAAAATCCTTCTTGCAAGCCTGGGGTCCTTTAGAACCCAAAAACGACCCTTGGCTGATGTTGCGTCTTCTTGGAATATTAGAGTGTCTACCAGACGAAGGCGAAGAAATAGGTGTTTGTCCTTGAACCACTCGTCCACTCACCTTTTTCAAATCCGCTTTCCCGATCGAAGGAGTCGATCCTCTAGAGGCTCTACCATTTCTCGAAGTTCCCGTAGCAGCAGTTGCACCTACCGGTGACGTGCTAACCGGCTTGGGTGGTAGTGATGGGTTGAGCTTCAAAGCGGCTTGTGCACTTTGAGGTGAGTTTTCATTACTTTTCTTGAACATTGACTTGACTTCTTCCGGCATATCGTAAGGAACTTTGAACTTTTCGGAGAACTCCTTCAACTCATCCAGTTGATTACGTTTGGGCGCCGGCTGTGATGGTTGCTTGATCTCACTGCTGACGGTTTCCTGTGGTTTGGACGTGTTACTAGGTGGTGGAACACCTGCTGCTCTTGACGAGATAATAGCAGGATCATTATTATGAGGTTGATTTCTCAATGTGGGTGGCACGTATTTTCTAGCCTTTGTTGGCATACTTTTAGCATTTAACTTCAATTGAGCAAGTAGCTCGTCCCCTCTCCGATCGACACCAGAGTATTTGTCTTCCTCATCTATACCGGAATCGTCCACCACTAGACCTCTCTCTTCAGCCAGATGAATATTACCTGAACTTCCCTGCGATTCAATATCTTTGGCAATTTTGTCGGCCTCCTTCAAACGTTGATTGTAGTTTGGATTACTTTTGTTGATCCGAGTGGTATAAAGATGCTCATCGAACGTTGACTTGATACCGAACTTTTCCTCGTTAACAGCAAATTGGTTCCAGCTTTCTTTACTATCTTCTAGGCCTTCGTCGATATCAAATGCTTCTTGACCATCTGGAACCCATTTTTGTAGTTTTCGTTCTTTAATCTCGGTTTTGTTTCCAGAAATGTCCGTATCCGTCTTGAACTCTGAGTTAGATGTAGTGCGAACCGGAGCAACTGTGAAATCCTCGGACCGCTCCACTTTAGGCGTCGCGCGAGATTCATTTGATGTTTCGACTTTTGTCTCTGGCTTCACGTCAACTTCTGGCTTCTTGTCTTCTATGGTCTCGCTAGCTGTCTCTAATGTAAAGCCGCTTCTCTCATCATTGCCAAACTCAACGTTAGGCAATCCTAATTCGGCCACATCTTCGCCCTTGATCACTAGATTTTCAGACAATTCGGCAGTCACTTGGTCTACTGCAAAGTTCTTGTCAATGACCTTGGCGTTTTTGAGAACCACATCAATCCCGTTTGCACTATCTGGGTTGCACGCCGTCAATAACCCTTTATACTTGACTCCCGTGGTGACTGTTACTACGGCTTCGGACCCAATACTATTGACGAGCAAATAGTTTAAACGATCATTAAATGCCTTGGTTGTTTCTTCAGTCTCAAAAAAGCCGCTCCCCGCATGGTTCCCAGTACCATTTCGGTTCGCGCCGTTGGAAGGAGTTGTATTACCTTCTCTTTTCTTGCCACCATATGGACCCTTCATTATTCCGTTTACTACTGAGCTTTAGAGTAAAATCGCAAGCCGGTCGTCTATCAGGCAAATTCGGCTGCTAAACAGGACCCGCAAATGAGCTAAATGCGCCTTTCAATTCGGCGATTGGTCCGTTTTGAGTGTTTTTTTTAAAGTTATCTTGATGATTCTATATTTGACCTTTACCCATAAGTTGTTCACAACTTTACATGAATATCCGTTTATAATGATTATAGAACCTACCTCACTTATATGAGCGCTTACGATGAATGACTGAATATGATCAACACCCGATCTCTTGCCAAGCGATTCGTTGCAATTCTTGAATAACTGGGTACTCGCGCTTATACTTTGCTTTGAGTACTGAGGTTCGTTACCCGTTCCAGTTGAAAAAACGACACATGTGTCAGATAGTCTTGATCTATGAGCACGATTCCGTGATATGATCAAGTCGCTTATCTCACAGAGCTTCACTGACCTTAATATTGGTGATTGTGTCTCGCCAGTAGTATCCTTCGCCACATGTTATGCCACTTAGCTAGGTGTTCCGGCACCTGGGTATTGTTGTTCTGGTTCTTTGAACAGCCTTTGACAGGAATCTCGCAACTTTTGAACAGAGGCGCGGTATTCTCGAATCGCCGGGAAATGGTCTTGTAGCCCGAGCAATGAGTCCTGCGATACTGATTCTTCCAACTTTAGATTCAAATCGTCGACATCTTGGTGATATCGATCTCTGTTGGCAGCATTGTCACGTAACAGTCCAAAGGAATTGATCATCGCCTTACTAAGTGCCGGGTGTAAGTTGTTCGACAGTTGCTCTGTAAGTTCTTTGGATCTCCGCGCACTGCGATCCGTATGCCTTGACTGCGATGCCTTAAGCTCATCCAACGTGTTTTGTTCCCGCTGAATCTGATGTTCGACGAGCTCTAAGTGGTTTGATTCGCGCGAAAAGCGGTCCTGTATAAATTTTCGTTTTGCATAGATGTACTCGATATCCAAATCGCGATCTGTAGCACGCGACGGGAACCGCGACCTGCGCAAACGATGCTCAATTTTGCCTATTAGATGAAAAAGCATCTGTTCCTTTTCCTTTCGGACGCCTTTTACGCTTCGATCGAGTATAGCGCGGTTGCATTCGTCTGTGTATTTCGCAAAAGTTTGTTCCAAAGCCATAGTTACGTTATTCTCCAAAATGTCCACCATATTAGACACCAACTTCCTAGATGGACGTCTCCAATTTCTCAAATCGTAGCCTTCCGGCAGGCGTTCCTCGAATTGCTCCAGGATGAGAGTCTTAAAATCCCAAGGGTCTGCTGGTAATCGCTTTACTCCATGTTGTGTGTCAAACTGGACTTTTCTTAGTGGGCTTTGCGTTGGAGAATGTCCTAGTAAACCGCTTTTCACTGGGCTTTCCGCGAAACTTTCGTCATCCACGAACAAGGTCTTTTTCTTTGGACTTTGGTGCCGCTTTGCTTGATTTCTGTCCAGGCGGAACGCATCTCCATCCAATTGCGCGAAACTTTCGTCTTCATCAGATCCTACTACGTCTAATTCGCGACTGTCATCATTTTCAGAGCTGACTATCTTATCAAGTATAGGTGTTTTGAAGCTCATGCTAATTCATTGTTTATTGTGTTTTGCTCGTTTGTTTATATGTCAGGGTATTGTATTTGCTTGCTAACAATTGAGCACTAATTCTGGAAAGTACATCAGGATAAGAAAATCAATAATTCTCATAAAAGTAACAAGCATTCTTAACGGCAAAGCGAATGCTGATTCATATGGTTCATCGACTATCTGCGTCGACTTAGCAATGCTTTCAGCATAGATCTTTGAGTGATACTTAGGCCACTGCAGAGAGACAGTTGAAGCGATTCCTCAATTCTTATGGTGGCTAGCCGTACCGTGTCAGGATAGTGTATAGTGACATAATGCGTGATACCTTAGATATGATTAAGATAGTGTCCTCGTGTCACTTGCCAGTGATGATCAATTGTGTAACACAATATGCCCAATGAAGTTATTACCAACACAGCCTCACCGAACTCACTTCAGGCTGTAGAGTCCCAGAAAGCCAATAGAGAATGCTAACGTTAACATATGGAAAAACTGTACAGTTAATTATACGTGACAGCAAGGCCACTTTTGGTGAAGAATATCCTGCCTTACACAGTAATTAAGTGGGGTGTTATTTAGACTCGATGCGGACGTTACAAAATTATAAACTCCGCAGAAGGCCCAGTTGTGACCACAGCACAGTCGCATGTGCTACCTAGTCTTAAGCTGTCGTAGTGCACTCATCCGATTTGAGTGCAGAAGGATGTGACTCCATGTCTGGTGCAACGTTAGGATCGAGTATGGGTGAATAAGCGTACTTTGATCTTTGTCTGATGCGAGCCCCATAAAAATAGAAGAGAAATGGGATTGCACAACAAGCCAGTGATATAAACGCCATTAAAGAGCTGGCCCATTCGAGACCCAGTTTATGGTACATCTGGATAGTGAAAAGTGGCACTGCCCCACCCCAGATGGATCTTACGAAAGTCTTGGCAGCAAGGCCAGATGCCGCGTAATGCTGATATGAATCCACAATATAATTGTTTGCAGGGTTGTAAAGCATGAGAAAGCCAAAGCCACAGCCGAACCCGCTAAAGCAAGGCCCTGCCCAAGAAACATGTGGGAAAGAAGACCACGCAAAACAGAAGAGGCCAACTGGGATAAACCAACACCCAATCATCATAGGTATGAGTCTGAGTTCGGCTGGAGGTATCTCACCTTGGCTAAGATATCTTTGAGCTCTTTTGTTGTAGTCTCTATTGAGAAACGGCGATATAGCTGTCGCAACAATGACGCCAGCTCCTACTGGGATGAACATAATGCTAGTCTTTATAGGACTAAAATGTTTACCCTCAGTATAAACCATCGGAAATGCAAAGAAGAACATGTACAGTAGCCCATAGATTACTGCCATGTACATGGTAATGAGGAACACAATAAGCTCTTTTAGTAAGACTATTGGACGTAGAAGTGTTTCTTCGGCTATTTTCTTGAATGTCCTGATTTCAATTTCAGAAATGGCTCTATATGTCGAATCCCCGGTGCGTTTGCGTAAGGCTCTTGCTCTTTTCTTGAGAATCGTTTGGTGGTGGGTCTCAGGAAGGAAAATAGCCAATACCACGTACAGGCAAGCGCTTAAAATCAGCATGAACCAGTATACCCATCTCCATGAGCATTTAACAGATAGTAATGAGCCCACAATGGGTCCCATTACAGGTCCAAGGAAAGGAGCAGCCGAAAATAAACTCATTGCTACGCCTCGCTCGTCATTCCTCCACATGTCACTCAAAGACCCACCAATCAAACACATAGGTGCACTGAAAGCTAATCCATCGAGGAATCTGAAAGCCAACAAGGTGCCGAAATTTTGAGCCGCGCCACAAGGAATAATGAAAATGACAGCGATGAATAAAGTTACGAGGTATACTGGATTCCTACCAGTTTCTTCGGACAGGGGTGCAAATAAAAGGGGTCCTAGACCAAAGCCCCAAACCATGAGGGAAACGGTGAGACACATTGCCTCTGTTGAAACTCCAAAGTGTCGGCCAGGGGCATCGAGATCCCCAGTAACGACGGCAGACATCATTGCGACATCAAAGCAAATGATGCCTAGAAGTACAGTGTAATTCCATTTACTACGAGTACTCCAATTTCTAGGATCTTCAAAATCGTCACTGATGAACTCCACAATTCTCATTCTTGTCTCTTGGTCTACTGGATACTTCCATTTGTCTTCTTTGTGGTAAGTAGAATCGAACGCCGGATGGCTCTCCACTTTTTCGAAATCTAATGCAGGTTCCGGCGGACCTAGCCCCTGTGTCGTAGATTCATAACGAGTTAGCGTTTCTTCGATTCCAACACTGTTTTGTGCAATAATCCTTTGAAAATCCTCGTCGTCTGGGAAATGATGAGAAGCTGCATCTAAGTTTGCATTGTCCGAAGAGTCTTCATGCTCAGAATTTTTCTCGTCTGAGGCACGCCTGATTTCCTCCGATTTTCTGCTGTACAGATCAGAAGAATGTGATGAACTCATTGTTTATATGCTGTTGTATACCTGGAAAGGAGAATTTAAAAACATTTAACATACTAGAGATTGACCTGAGAATACCGAAGGGCCGAGGGTTCATATACTCTCAATTCTGTATATTCTGTATAAGACCGGTTCTTGAAAGTTACTTTTTGTGTGGTGACTACCATTGTTCGGCTCATAACATGAGGATGTTCGGCTCTTGTCCAGGGTTCGGCTGATAACTAAATACGAACCGACATTGCGTTGCAAGTGATGAGGTAAGCGATTAACAGCCGAAACTATAAATTGCATATGAGAGGAAATACGAGACATCTGAGGTTCAATGCAAGAAAAACGTAGAGCATCTGGGTATACAGAAAACCTGGGCGTTGCGAAGAATATGATCTCACCATCTTAGTTTATCAAGTTGCGCAGGTGCGGGAGCTGCTCTCACCATTACAGCTTAAGCAGAGCTTTGACACTATATGAAGCGTACATTCGCAGACAGGCAACTTTTCAAGGCACACAATCACTCAGCAACAGAAGTACCTGCTGCAGAATTTACTGATTGACATGGGACTTTCAGTATATGCTGAATGGTGAATTTCGTAGCTTTTGAGCAGGTGGAGGAAGGATGTTTGACGATTTCATGCAGGCCGCGCCCAAAGGCGGACGTTATGTGATACAAGCCAAAGATTAAGCGTGAAAACAACTCAAGCCTAGAGATATCACTGCAATACACTCTGTAAAGTGCCTTTAGATCTGGATATTCTCCAAATAAATGTCACATACTCGCAAAAAGCTTGCGCTTGCACACATGGTAACACGAGCAGGTGAGTGTCGCCTTTAAACATCGAAACGAGGACTCGTGAGCCGCCGGCCGAGATCCAAATCGAAGCTTTCGATCAACGGGTCACCACACACGAATAAGTGTGAGGGAGGATGTTCACCTTCTTCTCGGCCGAAAAAATTGTAGCAAGAGATAGCCAGCCAAAGTGAAGAGGATGCCAGTCTTTTTCCTTTAGATACATCAATACCCTGTTTGCGTAAAAGATGAGTCTCATGATTCATTTCGTTTTAAGCTCGTCGTTTCTAGTGCGTTGAATTGTTTAGCCCGAGACGCTCTCTCAATTTCCAGTTGTTAGTGACCGCTGAATCATTCAAGACTGTACTGGATAAGATAATTGTTCATTGAACGAGCCGTCCACTAGTCGAATTATAGATTTTCGCTGGTAAGTCGTTAAGCCATTGGAAGATGGTAAACTGAATTTAAGGGACCACATGTATAGTAAGCAGCAAAAGGCACGAGGCTGTGTCGTCAAATTTAATGTATTGTTTCGAATGGTGTTGCTTTAGTGGTGATTCAATAATGGAATTGAAGATATTTGTTGCTGGCGTTAAGATATATTGCACACAGACCGTGTATGTTCAGTACCCGTTCAGTCTTGGCTCGATTTCACTTGCTGCCCATTTATCAGTGCAGAAAGCTTTTAGAAGAGTGCTAAACTCCTCATCGTGCACTTTTCCATTTCGGTAATATTTCACCAGACATGAACTGAACACCTTGCGTTTGTGTCCCATTGTGTACAAGTTATTGATAACAGGGCGCTAACTAGGGGCCATTTGTATTTGTCTCGATCTCACTTCAAAAAGCCGATGTTATTCATATCATACATCGAAAGATGCAATGTTGGCAAACAACATATTCTTCCCGGTTCGGACGGACGGCATCCTTCATAATATGGGTAATGAATGCCACCTTCGGTATTGTGAGCAGCCAAGCCTACGGATTTGTGATTGCAAAGTGTTTGTTATTGGTCATCTTGTTCAATTTGGTCCCCGAATTATCAGTCAAGGCTTCCTATAGTGCAGGAACGGTCGGCTAATGGTGTACTATCTTCAAAAGTTTTCTTGCTCACTTAGTTTCCAAATACCGGTCTCCAACATCGAACGCTAAGTCGTCCTCAGAGGATCAGATTACTAACAACCAGGCTCTTGACCACTAACGCAAATCGTAACGGGCCGGAACATGAATTTGTAACGCGAAAAAAAATCCCACGTATTTCGAGAAGCTTGGCTTGGGCCCATCCTCATGCGAGGTCCGAGATATCCCTGCGTGGCAGCTAATGCTGATTTCGGGATGCTTCTTCACTTGCCCATGTTTTTTTCTCGAATGTGTAATATGGAGAAGCGAGATACCAGCTCAAAACCATCGTCAAGGCTTTTCAGGAACCTTTTGTTTTAGGTGGTAACGTATTCGCCAGTCTCGAAGCTGCTACTGACTAGCTATATCGGAAGAGCACATGCCCAAAGACGTCTTGACAAAATCAGCGCATGCTCTAAAACGTCTCGACAAAATCAGCACCCTCAAGCGGATCATGTAACGAAGTTACTACGCTCATACTATTTCCACATATAGTTTTCATGAAGACTCTGCCCTAGCATCGTCAGAATACATGATCCAAATTTATATAAAAGTTGCCAATAATTGCCCGCAAATATCCAGCCTTTAAACGTGTCGCCACATCACGGCTTGCAGCATTCAAAACAGAACCTTGATATATATTACACATCTCACCATCGTAATCCTCTCGGCTGTGGACAACTCACACTTCTTGGTGTGTTAGCCGCCGAAGTCCACACTATCCTGATGAATCTTCTCATAACAGAATACGAACTCCGGGCCGTCAAACAATTTTTTTTATGGGAAATCAACGTTTTTTCTCTCGGCCGAAAACCATGCAGTGTAAAGTAGCACATATATATGCATCCTGAATATCTTACCTTGTCCTACGAATGCATATCGTTTGAAGACCTTAATGAATATCATATCATGATCTGAGAGCACATTTTCAGTAATTTAAGTTTCAGGTGGCTATGGTGGAAAGGTCGTTTCCTTGATAGTGAACAGTTTCGACCGAGACGCGGCGAGAGTTCCAAAACCCTTCCCTAAAAAGTGAAGGGTGGTGCTGCGACCAGGCTGTTTGTAGTTAGACGTCCTACTAGGTGAATATGGTTCTTCAGCCTGTAATTCATCGACAACTGTAGCCAAACAATGAATAGTTTTTGTGGTGGCAATGCAATCTCAAGCGCAGTACGAATACACAGATACACAGGCCAGTGAAAAGTATATAAAGGCCAGCCAAATCATCAATTGTTTGGATGGGATTAGTTGTGATTTGAATATTTGTTTTATATTGTAAGCCCAAGCTAAAACAACATCAACAATGGCCTCCACTACTCAATCCGCTACACAATCCGCAACTGACAACCTTTCTCAGTTGCAATTGAACGCAACCCCTATCAGACACGCCCTTTCGGATGTTGTCAAGGAGGAGGACTGGTCCGACTTCAAGTTCACTCCCATCAGAGAGTCCACTGTGTCACGTGCCATGACTTCTCGTTACTTCAAAGATCTTGACAAGCACGCCGTTAGCGACGTTATCATTGTCGGTGCTGGATCCAGTGGTCTAGTTGCAGCCTATGTCATTGCCAAGAACAGACCAGACCTAACGATCACCTGTATCGAGGCCAACGTGTCCCCAGGTGGTGGTGCTTGGTTGGGTGGTCAACTTTTCAGCGCTATGATCATGCGTAAGCCTGCTCATTTGTTCTTGGACGAATTGGAAATCCCATACGAAGATGAAGGTGACTACGTCGTGGTAAAGCACGCTGCTTTGTTCACTTCCACAGTGTTGAGCAAAGTTCTACAATTCCCTAACTTTAAGCTATTCAACGCTACCGCCGTCGAGGACTTGGTCACCAGACCAGCTGACAACGGTTCCGGTGTTCAAGTTGCCGGTGTCGTCACAAACTGGACCCTAGTTACCCAAGCACACAACCTACAAAGTTGCATGGACCCTAATGTCATCGAATTGAGTGGATACCAAAACGATGGTACTCGTGATGTCAGCAAGAAGCACGGTGTTGTCTTGTCTACTACTGGCCACGATGGTCCATTCGGTGCATTCTCTGCCAAGCGTATTGTTTCTATTGACAACAACAAGAAGTTGGGTGGTATGAAGGGTCTAGACATGAACAACGCCGAAGCTGGTGTTGTCAAGGGTGCTGGTGCCTACTCCGGTGTCGACCACATGTACTTTGCCGGTATGGAAGTTGCTGAACTTGAAGGCTGCAACAGAATGGGCCCAACTTTCGGTGCCATGGCTGTTAGTGGTATCAAGGCTGCTGAAGAGATCTTGAGACACTTTGCTGCTTAAGCAAGAGGTTAGATTAGTTTTCTATAACGTTATTTCGTCAAATGATATGTCTTTATGTTAAATCGAGAGATTACAAAACTACTCAAAGTAAAGTTCCTTCTCCATCGCATAACGGTTGGACCGTGCCTGAAAAGCGACAACAAAACAAACAATTCAAACAAAATTTCATTATCCATGAATATCAATTGAAGCATGCTTGAAAACACAACGTAGCTCCTCCGTAATTTACTGCAAACGTATCTTTGATCCTAAGGACCTTTATTTTCCTATTACAAACAATACTCCTTTAAAAATCCTCATCGAATGTGAATGCACCACCTTCAGTTTCAGTCTTCGAAGACTTAGCGATGACACCAGCTTTTTGGTAATCTGAGACTCTCTTCTCGAAGAAATTGGTCTTTCCGGCCAAAGAAATGTTTTCCATGAAGTCAAATGGATTCGTTACGTTGAAGAACTTATCATTACCCAAAGCTACCAATAGTCTATCAGCAACAAATTCCACATATTGGTTCATCAAGTCCGCGTTCATTCCCAGCAGTGATACCGGCAAAGCATCTCTGAAATATCTTTGCTCGATCTCTACAGCCTCTGTGATAATCCTCTCTACGATTTTTGGATCAGGTTTGTTTTTCAAATGAGCAAACAACAAGCATGCAAAATCGGTGTGCAAACCTTCGTCCCTACAAATCAATTCATTAGAAAACGTCAAACCAGGCATGAGACCTTTCTTCTTCAACCAAAAGATAGCTGCAAAAGAACCTGAGAAGAAAACACCTTCTACGGCAGCAAATGCTATTAGTCTTTCAGCGAAAAGAGCATCTTCATCCTGGATCCATCTTATAGCCCATTCTGCCTTTTCTTTAATTTGTGGGATATTTTCGATAGCGTTGAAGAGAAAATCGTTTTCCTTGGGGTCCTTAATGTAAGTGTCAATTAGTAATGAATAGGTTTCAGAGTGGATGTTCTCCATCATGATCTGGAATCCGTAAAAACACTTGGCTTCGGGACTCTGTACTTCTGCAGAAAAGTTTTCCACCAAGTTTTCATTAACAATCCCATCTGAGGCGGCGAAGAATGCCAATATTCTGGAAATAAAGAATCTTTCGTTATCGTTCAAGCGGTTGTTCCAATCGTGTGTGTCTTTGGACAAATCAATCTCTTCAGCGGTCCAAAATGAAGCCTCAGCACGCTTGTACGCTTGCCAAATCTCATGGTACCTGATGGGAAAAAGCACAAATCTGCGTTTGTTTTCCATAAGTAGGGGTTCATGTTGCTCCATTTCCTTCAGCTTGTGACGGTGCACCTGGTGCGATCTCAAGAACTGATGGTGGTCTGCAGCAGCCTTACTCATCTTTGAGTCGAATTCAGGATCATCTTGTTCGTTCACGGAGTCTAGCTTGCTAGCCAAGTTGTTCTTGGAATCTTTCAATTCCAAGTCGGACAAGGCGCTAGCCGCGACTTTAGAGGGGGTTTCTTTAGGGTTCACCATAGTAGCGTATAGACTTCCAGCGTCGATAGTTAGTGAATGTGTGTAAAATTGTACACGAAAGGAATCGGGTTGCAAAGCAGCGTTTTTTAGCTTTTTGACCTTCATATATATATATATATTACCGAACTGCCAAACACGAGATAAAATTTTTTAATTTTTTACGCGTCTCGTTTATCAATACGCTAGGTGCAAGGGCACGAAGAGATTGCGTGCAGATCAACGGAATTTGTCATGAAGGCAAACTCGGTCTACAAACCTATCGAGCCTCTCAAATATCGTAAAAATGGTAAGAACTTAAGCTTCGAATCTAACTTCTAAGAATTCAGATAATCATCAGTGGTGTAAAAAAATAATGGTTGCTAAGAGATTCGAACTCTTGCATCTTACGATACCTGAGGATTCCACTGTGTGACAGCGTTAAGAAGTAAACTTCTTGAATCAGGCGCCTTAGACCGCTCGGCCAAACAACCTTTTTTAAAAGATGGGCTCCATATTATCAATATGACGTCGTAGATTGTACAGGTGTGCTGATCAATCCTACCAGTGCCTCTGCTTGATTATATGTAGAGACGTGTAGACCATTTGTTTGAAGCTGGGTGTAGTGATACTTGGCTCAAATTGCACCATCTCTATCACAGAGTGTGCACACACTTTGCGGAACGTCGCCATATCAACAGGGTTGCTTCCTTTGCTCAAAATGAACGATATTAAAAGAGGACGCTATATCAAGGAGTCTTGCGCAAGCAGATTACGTCAATTTTTCTCGAAAGTAGCTCTGTCACGAATAAGCTTGTGAGGAGATCCTATGAAGATACCTTCGAATGCCAGAAAAAGCCTTCCCTGTTAGTCTAGATTTTCTTACCGTGATTCCTTCTGTGTGGACTTGATTTGACTGTCCGCATGATTTATTGGTTGGAAAACATTCTAAGTATCCAGGAAGTGCCAACATGACGCGAGGAAAAGCCATCCAAAATACTGTCTCCACTTAATTTCCAATAATTGCAGACGTCTCCGTTTTTAAAAACCCCCGACTAACAAAATTAGAACAAGTCAATTGTTCACCATGAGTCATTCCCATATAGCTCCTTCAAAGGCCATAAGCGCTTCCCGTTTACTCCTTTAAATTCGCTGCCCGACCTATCCGGTCGCACAAAATCTTAGCACATTTTTTTGATCATAATTCGCTACATAGTGATAAATACAGCCCCGGTAGCTCGTAGGCTACATCATGCGCCCTTCAGTTTCTTCTCTTCCGCCAGCGTATGCCCTTGGTTCCTATCTTTCTTCCAAATGCCTTCCATTTCCGAATCTCTATAGAGATATTTCAAAACTCCTCCACCAAAGACCATCAGTGCGGTGAAGCCACAGGCGTAGCCGATAAACTGATTCATGGGAGTGAAGGCTCTTGCCTCATCGTTCTTAGGTCTTGAAATATTCCCCAGCCTTCTAACAAAAATTCTGGCGTATGCGGCTTTCATTTTTCTTGTGTCTATATAGCTTGTAGCAATCTTCAAGGTAACAACGGTCCTCACATTATATTCTTCTTTTATATACAAAATTCATCTGGGGATTAAAGAGGCATTGTGGTATCCCTAACTTTGCCCCATAGCGATGGTTAAGTCAAGTGATTTCTGAGTACAGTACTCGACCGACACTATCGGTGTTTTTACGAATGCACAGCTACTTACTCGTAGATCCAGGACATCTGGTTCAATTTCCAGTCGACCAATTCCTCGGCCTTGAACCACAGGCTGATCTCGCGGTTGGCAGACTCAACGGAGTCGGACCCGTGACACACGTTTCTGCCCATATCGATGGCGAAGTCGCCTCTGATGGTCCCTGGCGCAGAGTTGAGAGGGTTGGTAGCGCCCAAAATGGTACGGCCTTGACGAATCACGTCCTTGCCTTCCCAGACAGTGGCCAAAACTGGGCCAGAGGTCATGAACGACAACATTTTTGGGAAAAATGGCTTGTCGACGTGTTCGGAATAGTGTTGCTTTAGCAAGTTTTCCGTAGGAGTCATCAACTTGATGCCAACGAGTTTGAAACCTCTGTCTTCAAAACGGCCGATAATCTTGGAGATGAGGCCTCTTTGGACACCATCGGGTTTGATAGCAATGAAAGTTCTTTCGTTTTGGGACATATTGTAGCGTGTTCAAGGGATAGAAGACTATAAGTTTACTGAGTCGCTTGAACAGAGGTCAACAATGGGGACTGTGTTCATCTCAAATCTAAGTTTTTTCATTCTTCAGGCATGATCGCTTCCTCATCACAGTCGCGTAAACGAACCAATGTGATTGGATGTGAGGCAGAACAATTTGAAAAAAATCAAGTGTTTAAAATGCATCATCGCGGGGTTGATCGATGAGATGAGATGAGATGAGATGGAATTGGACGATGAGACGGACGAACTGAACGCTAATTGGGTGCATGGTTGGGTGAGACATTAGATTTAGTGAATATCAGAGCGTTGAATGCTGGTTAATTATTGGAGTCCAGATAGAGCAGCAACAACGACAATCAAGGAATACGTTGGCTACATATTGACGTCGTCGTCAAGACGTTTTGATATCAAAACTGACGCGCTCAAGATGCTTTGTGAGGTCACGCAGTGGCACGGACTAGTTGTGTCAAAACTCTCGAAGCATAATAGACCTCTCAGAAAATATGTAAACGATTAAGTTTCGACCAACAGCTGGTAATTAGAATGGACGGGGTGCGAAAAGTTACTCGGGAGACTCGTAATGAGGTCTCAATAGTCTTGAGAACTGCATAGATGTATTTTTATCTGCCGATCTTCGATTTAAACGACACGTTGTTATAATGCGACGCAGGTTGTATTACCCACCGAGCTAACAATGACATGCGGGCTCTGGTAGACCGCCAGAGCCACGATTTGAACGCCCGGATACGTGATGCAGCCGCGGCTCATTGCACATCCCTATTACTGAGCTCAGTAGTACGGCCGGTGCTATACAGGCGAGATAATCTCCAGTGGTCAGAACTGTTCAACCGAATAATGTTGTGAACCATGGAAAGATATATACCGGCCAGTGCACAAAAAAGGGAGTGCCGTTTTAATTGTGGCCGCAAGCTACAATTTTACACGGTGTTGACTTCACGTCGAGTGAAAATATCATTGAATGTGAATGTTTCCCCAAAACCATATTTATCAATTTCAACCCCAAAGCAAAGAACCTAAGGCCGGGAAGCTGATTAAGAAATCGTGACATATTCAATGATGCTCTACAGGATACGTGGAGAAGACTTGGATTAAAGTCTGTTGTGCTCGACGTCCGTACCAAATCGGCTACCATGGTGGACATGAATGTGAAGAATGCTCCAAATCAGATTTCAACAAATTAAAATACCACTGATGACTGCAACAGATATATTTCTGTGCTTCGCAGTCCCTCCTTGGCTAGGAGAAGTCGCAACCGTTTGAAAATCTGAGGATAGTCTTAAGCAAGTGCCCAAAAATGTTTGTTGCGTCCAATTAAAATCACAGACAAGACGTTTCACGACGTTGGATCTAAGAACAGCTAATTTGACCCATTCACAGAATCTGGAGCACGTATATGAGAGAACTTGAGCTACCCACACGCTGTTTCGCAGGAGATTATCGTTGGAAATGAGTCACCCACAAAATTACGTACTGAATGCTTATGAGGCTTACGCACCTTACCGAGTTGAGAAACTTTTTACTTTATAAGGAATACATATCCTAGAGCAGAAGTAATTGCCAATACTAAAAGTCTTCGATATCCGGAGTTCTTAGCCGTTCATCACTTGCAGGTGCATAGTCTCAATCGAATACGATCGTTCCGTATTGTTCGAGCTGTGTCTTATTCCAGCTAGTTCCAATTATCCCGCAGTCAAGTTTTAAGGATGTCGGATGTCAACGAAGATAAAGAGCTGAGCGCTGGGGCGCCAGGATCGTCACAACCACAGCAGAAAGAGCGTCGCAAGATCGAAATCAAGTTCATCCAAGACAAGACACGGCGTCACATCACTTTCTCCAAGCGTAAACATGGGATCATGAAAAAAGCATACGAGCTGTCGGTGCTGACCGGGACACAGGTGCTGTTGCTGGTGGTCTCGGAGACTGGGCTGGTGTACACGTTCACGACGCCGAAGTTCCAGCCGATCGTGACGCAGCCCGAGGGTAAGAACTTGATTCAAGCGTGTCTGAACGCTCCGGAGGATGAGGAAGAGGCAGAGGATGAGGAAGACGAGGCGGAAGACGAAGAGGACGAGAACGTGTCGGTGGATTCGACAAAGATCCCCGACCCTCGTGCTGTTGCATCTGCTCAGCAACAACAGCAACAGCAGCAGCAACAACAACAACAGCATCAACAACAGCAACAAATGCCGCCACAGATGCCGCCACAGATGCCGCATCAACAACTTCCACATCAACATCCACATGCTCATGGCCTTCCACAAGCACACCAGCAGCAGCAGCAGCCGCCGCAGCAACAACCCCAACCATCTGCTTTTGGGAATCCTGCGGCGTATTTGAATGCAGAGCAAGCTGCTGTTTACCACCAGTACTTCAACGGCGTCAACTCTCAGCAGGGACAATATTGAAAAGCTGAGGAGACGACAACGACAACAACGATGACAATGACGTCGAGGGCTTGTGGCAACTACGCTTAAGCACCTTCGAAAATGCGCTTCTGTACGATTTTAAAGCTATTTAGGACTCACTCAGAAAAATACTACGGTTTAAGAGAAGACTCGACAACTGCCTGGCCGAAATGCTGGTTGCTAGCAGCGCCGCCGTGGCACTGATGGATGGACGCATGCGAAAACTGATGTTTGATTGTCATTTTTTCCTAAAGTGTCATCAATATCTTGAGATGATTTATGAGCCCTGCAAAAATCACCAATGAGAAAAGCGACTAAGACCAAGCGATACTTCAACACTTAGTAGTTTGAAGCTTGTGAAGAAAATAACGCCAGGTTGTTATAGTATTTCATTCCCACAATAGCACTTCCAAGAGAAAACCACGAATGAATTCTGCCTCCAGTGCATACATATAAAACAAGTGTACCATATCGAGTCTTGTGATCCAACTTGTATTTTGTGTGCGAAAGGTCCTAACGCTTTGTTAGTTCGGTATTTCAAGATCATGTCCCTCAACTCGTCGAAGATGTTGCAGAGACAGCATATTGATTTAGATCGCGACCATAGTACAGTAAATTTTACTGAGCTCAGAGGTCTAGCCGAGCGCTCTCATTTAATCAAATCATTACTTTGGAGCCTTGTGATCGTGCCACAGAGGGCTGACGCCAAAGTGCTGGTGGATAGAAAAGCACGTATGATATTTCGTTTGTGGTGATATGATTATCAAGTCACATTTTCAATATTTACCTATACCTGGAAATGTAGATGAAGCAGACGCATGCCAAAGCATTACCGTCGTTTCTCGAATTCGAGCGGTACACTACAGTTACAAACCACGGGTGCAGTACTTTTGACATTTCCTACATTCTTAGGTACAATCCATTCGATTTTTAACAGATAAGAATGGCCAAAACTCGTATCATCTACCAACCGACTGATATCGTTTTGGCGAAAGTGAAGGGCTTTCCAGCTTGGCCTGCCATGATCGTTCCTGAAGAGATAATCCCGACTAATGTTCTGAAAGGCAGGCCAGGAAGACCCACAATGGACGAAGTTGAAGACGTAAATGATCCAGAAAACTTCATTGTCTATAGCGAAGCTCTCAGGTTTCGCAAGAACTTCAAACCACACGCATCTTACTGCATCAAGTTCTTCTGTGACGACTCTTACATTTGGCTCAAGCCGGTAGATTTCAAACCTTTAACGCCAGAACAATGCAGCAATTGGTTACAAAACTCAAAGAAGCAGACTAAAAAACTGATTCCGGCATATGAAATGGCCCAGAAGGGCTCTCAAGGTATTGATGTGTGGGAATTTATCGAATATGGATCCAAAGGTAAACCGGATCAAGAAGAATACGTTCAAGCACCGGTAGAAGAACCACAGGAGGAAGAACTCGAAGATGACATACTAGACGAACCTTTGTTGAGTTCTGTTTCCGAATCCGATTACGAAGAAGGCGATAGTATTCGCAAAGGCAGCCGAGCCAGTAAACGGCAAGCAAAGGCAAAAGCTAGAGAATCAAGGCCTAAGACTCGAAAACGTGGTGTTTCATATGATGAAGAAAATGAAGAAGGTTCTTTCGAAGAGCTTATGACAGACGAACCTAAAGCAACATCGCGATCTAAGAAAAAGAAGCCTTCTCTGAAAATAAAAATCGAAATTAAAAAGTACAAGTTCGAAGATGATGGAGATTGGTCAATAGTCGGGCTGGGTCCGCAAGAGCATTCCCTTTCGACAGTAAATTCTCTTGTAAACAAGCTCTCACAAAAGAAAAATTTGGAACTTCACAACGAGATTAAGATGGACTTACGAGATAAATTGAGTTTCGTGAATAAATTAATAAGCGACCTTATTTTCAAGGCCACAGAATCAGAGGATGCAGAGGAATATCATATGCTTGTGGATGAACTGGAACAGTGTGCCGCTCTTCGAGGTTCTCAAGACGAGTTAGTCACGGTTTTTCTGTCCGATCACGAGCTTGTCATTAATATGATCGCATTATTCAATCTAAAGCAAGATTTTCTACGTCAGATAGGTCTCTATGAAAAGTTGCAATTGTGGTTCTCCAGTATTTTTGGGTATCAATTTGTACCGGATCCTGTGAAATGGTCGCTAGACAAAATCGACGACACTTTCCCGCCATCGAAAGAGGAATCGCAAACAGCAAGCAATGTACAAATGCCTGCGGTAAATGCATGAAAGCCATTTTCATCAAGAATTGCAACATCTGTAATTAGAATACAACAAGCAAAATAACTTGAAATATGCTATAAATGATACAGTACAGTCTTTAATTTTGTTTCATACAGAATGCTTATATACAAGGCAGCTGGCTGAAACTTATTTATGCAGTTGTGTTAACAATTTAGTTTCCAACGGGGCTTTCAACAGTAAAAACCCAAGTACCCGTTTGGGGATTGTAACTGTCAAATTTGGTGCACGAAATCGCCTTCAATTTGTTCACATGTCTCTTGATGATTGGGTGGTTTGGATCTTTGATTGGATCCCTGGTTGACTTATCAAGTGGGTAGCATCCGTAGTTGCTGATACGTGCGCGAACGTTTAACCCTTCGCCGTGAGCAGGAACAACAGATGCATTAGGGTAAACTGAGCAAGCGCGAGGTTCAAATACTACTATTTGGCCACAAAGCGCTGGCAAAGAAATATTGGATAAATCAACAGGCTCTAGAAATTCAATCTTCCCATAATCTTTTTGCCCGATAGTGAGGCCGCTCACTTTACGAAGCTGTAATAAGGTCATAGAAGATAGCGTTTCCAGAGATGGAGACATGTAATAGCCATCGTCATTGAAAGAAACGTCGTCTCCTAAAACGCCGAGGGACCTTTCGATACCATCAATTTTGGTGCTCGAAGCACCTGCTATTCCCGCTGTTTTTGTTGGATTTTCAGCGGATAGAGTAGACGCTACTTTAGATTTGAAAGACCCTTCAGGCCTCACCTCTCGATGAAGCGGTGTCCTTTGAATATCCTCGAAAAACGATTCATTTTTACCACTATCCAGGGACGCAGTAGGGGTAGCGGCATCCTCAGCGCGACATTTGTCCTCATCTGCGGCAAAAGTAATGCGTAGAACTTGATCGTCGTCTTTGGCCGTAGTATCCTCCATCTTCTTCCTATTGATGATCAAGTTTTTAAAAGACTTCTTGTCAGGATTGAACAAGACATCATTGGACGCCAGAAGAAGGTCGTCACTCTCATTCGTAAATATCGAAGATGATCCGGTGTTTGCTGGCAGAATTTCTCTCCCGAGGGAGTCAGTCGATGACGCCATAGACGAAATGCGGCCACCACTCTTAGTAGGAGCAGTCAGGCCCAGTTGTGCAACGGGGCTAGAGGAAGAACTTCTTGGAGCAAATAGTGGTTTTGGAGCCAGTCTATAAGCACCGGAGAGACTCGCTTTTTTCTTTAAGTCAGCGTTCAACTTGGTGGCACTAGGTTTACTAGGCTGAGTGATAGAATTTGGTACAATCACGCGTGAAAACAACTCGTTCGTGCCATAAGGATTTATATTGCCTTGTTGAGGTGCCGGTTGAGATGCTTGCAAAGAAGGTTGTTGGTTTTGTTGGTTACCGAACAAGCCGCCAGAAAGCCCTGAACTCGTTCCCCCAACGTTATTATTATTGGAGCCCCCGCTGTTGAAATTCAAGCCACTACCGGCGGGTTTGGACCCAAACAAGCCGCCACTACCGGAAGACATACCAGGTTTGGAACCGAAGAGACCGCCCGTTGTACCAGTCGTTCCAGAAGGCTTGGCACCGAAAAGACCACCTCCTGAATTACCGTTATCAGCTGGCTTAGCACCGAACAATCCACCAGTGCCAGTTGAGTTGGAAGGGTTTTGATTGTTTTGTCCGAATAGCCCACCGGTTCCCGCTGCCGCGTTAGCATTATTTTGCCCAAATAGGCTGCCCCCAGTCGAACCTGTTGGTTTGTTCCCAAATAGCCCACCAGTGTTTGACGCATTAGCATTACTATTTTGCCCGAAAAGACCCCCACTTGGTTGTTGCTGGTTATTGTTCTGACCGAAAAGACCACCAGACCCCGCGGCATTGTTTGCAGGCTTTGAACCGAACAGACCTCCACCTGTTGGTGGCTGACTGGAGTTTTGTCCAAATAAACCTCCTCCCGTACTACTGGAGTTTTGGCCAAACATGCCTCCCTGAGGCGGTTGCGTATTATTCTGACCAAATAATCCACCTGCTTGTTGTTGTGGTTGTTGCTGTTGTGGTTGCTGCTGTTGGTTCGGATTTTGGCCAAACAATCCACCTCCCGCATTATTTTGTCCAAATAGCCCACCTGAATTACCAGTTGAGTTATTACTAGTATTGTTTTGTCCAAACAAACCCCCGCTGGGATTGCCTTGACCGAAACCTGTGGATGCGGTATTGCCGCTCTGTCCAAACAATCCGCCGCCTGTTGTGCCAGCTGGCTTGTTACCAAAAAACGAGTTACTCTGTTGTGCCTGTGGCTGAGGTTGTTGCTGTGGCTGACCGAAAGATGAGAATCCTGAAGTATTTTGGCCAAATGTGGAATTAGAGGCGGTATTCTGTCCAAATAAACCACCACTGTTGTTGGGAGGATTATTGCCAAACAACCCGCTTCCCGTGTTAGTGTTAGTGGTATTAGTTTGACCAAAGGGGCCACCTGCGTTAGTATTATTGCTAGATTGTCCAAACAGGCCGCCACCAGCATTGTTTGGTGGATTTTGGTTTTGGTTTTGACCAAAGAGTCCGCCACCAGTTGAATTGGCTTGGCCAAATGGGGTGCTTGAAGCATTGTTTTGACCAAAAAGCCCGTTCGAAGCCCCGCCAGTTGTATTGCTGGCACCGAATAAACCACCGGTAGCGCCACTCTTGTTGCCGAAAAGACCCCCACCTGCTTGTTGCGGTGTTTGACCAAAAGGAGAATTGGCGGCATTATTATTATTCTGACCAAACAGTCCACCTCCAGTGGTATTATTATTAGTACCGCCAAAAGAAGGATTTTGAGTTTGATTGGCTTGACCAAAAAGACCCCCGCCTGTATTAGTATTAGCGGTGTTATTTCCAAATAGGCCACCAGAAGGTTGGCCAGCATTTGAAGCTCCAAACAAGCCACCACCAGTGCCACCCGCGTTGGTGTTGTTTTGACCGAAAAGGCCACCACTGCCACCTTGAGTTTGAGTGCTTGGATTTTGACCGAAAAGCCCTCCCGAGTTGCCACCTGGTGCATTATTGTTTTGACCGAACAAGCCACCAGCAGAAGCAGGCTTGTTCATACCAAATGGAGAATTCACAGCATTATTTTGAGCGGTGCCTCCAAACATGGAATTAGCTGGCTGGCCAAATGACGACGTTGCACCAGGGCCAGCAGCCCCATTATTTTGACCGAAAAGTCCACCGCCCGAGTTTGTATTGGAGTTGTTGCCTACCATACCAAAAGAGGACGACGAGTTAGTATTATTGAAAGGGGAATTGGTCTGGTTTGCACCAAAAGGCGAGGCAACACCGACTGCAGCATTGGAGGAGTTGGAGGGAAATCTCCGGTTGGCTTGGTAATCCTGGAGTCGAAGTTCTTCGAAGGAAAAATTCCTGTACTCGGGCATGCACGAGATGGATTGGAAAATATTGTTCATGCCCGTCGTGGCATCTTTTTCGGTGTATGGGGTGAACGGCTTTATAGCGGTCCCTGAACCCTGTTGAGGGTTAGAAACCGGGTTTGAAGCTGCCGAAGAAGAGCCGAACAAAGAGGGTGGATTGCTGGTCGCTGGTGTTGCCTGGCCAAAAGGCCCTGAGTTGCCCGCAGTGCCTGTAAGGTTGCTACTACTAGATCCAATATTATTGTTGTTGTTGTTGTTGTTGGACATACCAAATAGACCCGCTCCGCCAGTTGACCCGACAGCAGCACCATTGGCATTGTTGTTCTGGTTCATTGCGCCAAATCCCCCAAAGCCGGAAGCCGCGTTGTTAGACGTCTGTGAGGATCCAGTACCAAACGGGGAAGTACCTGTTTGAGCGGTTGTGTTTGCGCCAAAAGCAGGTGCTGTAGAGCCAAACATTGCCCGTCACTTATGTGAAATGCAATAAGAATGGTTGAGAAACTGTTTCAAGACCGTTTAAAGCAGCAATGACCGGCCAATGACTCTTTATGACAGTTTTAGTTCGCTCTTTGATGCTAAAATGTCGATGATATTATATTAAGATCAAAATAAACTGTGAAAGTAGTATCAAAAAAATTTTAGACAAAACGTGCAACGCGAGCTAGGTATACGGGAGTTTAAGATGAGCGACAGTGAATAATTGTTAGCTGAAAACTGTGGATGGAAAGCCAATTGTTGCCGGAGAGAACATGCTGAAACTTGCGCACTTTACGGGGATGTTTGGAAATCGAATTAGGAGCCCGAGAGGTATAATAACGAAGCTCAAGAAATGACTAGATAAATGCACTCTAAGCTGTAGCTGGTTGAGGAAAGGGTCAATACATAGCGCTGATCGGAAACGAAGGAAGAGATGCTGGGAAGAAACTTTAGATCTCTGGATATCGATGGAGACTCTTGGGGTGTTTGGATGACGCTTTTGGGGGCAGAATCCAGAATTGGCATTGATGAATAGTGGTTTTTTTGAATGCGCTCGGGTCAAAAGAATTGGCAATTGCCAAAGAAGAAGAATATTGTTGTAACACACGGTGTCACTGCGGATTGTCAAGAATTTTCCTTTTTCGGCATAGAAGCCAGGTTTTGGAAGTTGCGCTGTGCGAATGGCATGAGGAGGTACCCCGGACCTAGGGCTGTGTGCATCGCTTTAGAGTAAGTTTGATCGCGCTGTATGTAATGATAGTGCCAGGTTGCATAATGACACAATAGTACAAAGTGATGTGAATAAAGGTAGAGCTTTCTGATGCCTGGTAGTGCCAGACCCTGGCCAAAGAGACTTGACAAGTGACTCGGGGTTTTCTAACGGCCCAACGCTCAAAGCGAACGAGGTGGCGGATACAATTGCATCCCACGGAGAAAGCTGCAAAATTCAACTACGAATTGACGTGATCCAACAATCATGGAAGATCTGAAAAAAATTGCGAGCATGGCTCTCCATTGCAGAACCGAAGCCGCCTCGATAACGTCGATCGCTGTGGCAGTCAGTGAAGTACCGTCGTCTCACCGAAACAATTTTTACCGCATGCCCAACGCTGTGGCAGTCAGCAAAGTGCACCAATCCCGATACCAATACCTATACCTATTCCATTAAAATTTCTATATCCCTGTCCTATTTAATGCAGGAGAACACAGGCAGGAACCCTGTGTTCCGCCCGCCCTCACACAATCCGCGTCACTAGAGACGGCCGCTTTTTGGTCTGCAGCCCTGCTGCGCCAGCGACTTCCAAACCCCGTGTGCGCTGCACTTCTGGCGGTGCCCGCTACTACAGGTTTTCCAGCTGCTTCATCACCCCGGCCATCAGCCTCCAGTTTTGCAGACTCGTCGCTTCCAGAGACCCGGTGCTCAAATCCACCATCAGATCGTCCTCTTCGTCTGCAGGCTCCAGCTTGACGTACACACACGGCTCTGCCACGCCAATATCGTTTTTCTTCTCGCAGTATTGCAGTTTTTCAGACTCTTGTGCTCTTGATTTTTGCTCCATGCTCATCGATAATTCTTTCAGTAGTTGTTGAGGCCTAGCAAACAATAATAAAATGAGACGGCTACACTGATTCCTTGTGGCAAGTAACCTTCCATCCAATTCATACCTTCTCATCTTATTATATATACATCCATTGTGGTTTAAGGCATCACTATCGTGAGGGCCCTTCCAGTATGTTTGTTCGGTGCTAGATGCCACACTTTTCCCAATAGTAGACCATTTTCTCTGCAGGCGGTATTTCGGTATTGGAAAAAAAACACACTTCATAACAAAGATTTTGAGCCGTGGAGCCTTTCTCAAAGAACAAAAAAGCACGTGAGTGAGCGATGGAAGACAAGCAGAAAGAGCTGAAGGTGTGTCTGAGGTGATGCCTGAGGTGTCGAAGGTGTGTTGAAGGTGTGTCGAAGTAGTGTTTTGGTAGCCGGAGACAAGCTGGGGATGGTCTTAGCGTTCTATAGAGGCATGTGTTGTTGTGGCGGCGAAAACCAGGGAGGTCGCAGATCGAAGCGATGCCAGAAGTACTGAGGGCGATAGCGAGCTCGTTGATAGGCAAGGTTGTCGGGCCATTGAAACCAGGAGCAGGGGCCGAAAAGCGTGCAAAAGGGGAAGGGGATGTTTTCCGGCACCAATCGCCAGTCAAGGCAGAGATGGTCTTCCAGGCTACTGAGCGGCAGGTGGGGAGGCAGCCATAACGTGTGCACACAACTGTTGAAGTACAGACGTGAGCCATCCGAGATCGCCTTCTCTGGAGCCGGTGTAGACATCACTCTGTACTAGGAGGCGTACGTCGCAGTCTCTTCGGATACCAAGAGTCTCACACGTTCACCGTCAAGTAGCGCGTTGATTCTCGACGTGGCTGTTGCTCATATTCTTGTTCCAGCGCCCATTGTTGGTGCAGTTTCCGCCAATAGTTTCTTCGTATCCTTCACTTACAAGTTAACTTTTTTTTCTGGCTACCTTTACGCGTAGTACTTGACGCTCATTAAAACTCATCGCCATTCTTCAACAAGTTGGCCATTCGCCTTTTCTCCCTGGTCGCAAGCCACTGCCAGCTTATTTTCCTTTACCAATGTCACAGCAACTGTTGGAACGTTTCTCTCAAGGAAGCCAAGATCCAGATACCTCACTTCCTTTGGATCCAACGGCCATTAACTCCACGGGTCTTGACGACGCGCAATTGCAAGATCCAACCGCAATTGTCACCACAACCAGACGCCCGCAGGTCAAACTTACCGCTGAAAAACTGCTGTTGCCAAAAGGGCTTCCCAAAATCATGAAAGAAGCTCCCAAACGAATCCGGATCTCCAAACGTCGTTCTTCGTATGATAATCTAGCGCATTTCTTGCAATATTACCAGCTTTGGGCCCACGAGTTATTCCCCAAGGCAAAATTCCATGATTTCGTAGCCCTGAGTCGAGCTCTGGGCAAGTCCGACAGGGAGCTACGAGAGTACAGAATCGAGCTTCTGCGGCAAGAACTGGGTATTTCTTCCATAGGCGAAAATGATATAGAGCACGAAACACTCGTTACACCTACGCCAACGGGAGAAGTAATTGCGCCAGCTATGCCTCCTTCAGAACCGCCTTCACTCTCAAGGCCATATCCCGATGAAACCCAAAACTCAGCAACTGCTCTACCTTCAGATGACGAATTGATCTACGACACACTACACAATACACCACAAGAACCCATCAAGAACTCTCAGCAACCGAATTCGACTGCTCAGTCTCAACCTACATCCAGCAATGTCGCAACTATGGAAATTACAGATGTTGAAATGGACATAGCTCAAGATCAAGTAACACAAGGGGCACAAGATGTGGGCTCGGATGAGGATGAAGACGAAATGGCGCTGATGCGTGAATTAGGAATGTAATAGTAGGAAGCCGCCTTTTGGGTTGAGCTAAGCCTCATATCTAAGATGCGTCTGATCTAGTGCACTTACAGATTTCGACAGACAGAAACCTTTCATGTGTCTTTTGTTTAATATGACAGGAACAAATGCCTTGAACAAGTCCATTAGGAAAGCAAGGGTAGGTAAAAGCACCTTCATCAACGAATGTTATAAAACTCAATAGTATCTGTGGGCCTGCAGAGAAGCTTGCGCCGCTATCAACACATAAAGACAATTCCATTTCCCATGAAAGAACTTCAAGAGGTAAAGAAGGATGGCAACAAAACACGTTCGGAACCATCGCATATCCCGGCTAATATGAAACTAAATACAAGAGCTATATGAATTTGTCAAACAACAATCTCAAATCGAGACCTGCGTGGATGTGAGAGGGTAAAGCACAATTTTTGATTATCTGCATTGCCTGTTGGTCACATCGCAGAACGCACGAGAACAATAATTCGCTCACTAGACTTATGATCTGAGTGCTAGATTATTCAAGTGACATATTTAAGAGTAATGCTCAAGGCTTACCAATATCCCCAAGAAACATAAAGCCCGTCCAAATCTTTAAAGTGGCTCGTCGCGGGCAATGCTCTGTTGTTTAGTAAAACTCAACGCTACCAAGTTAGCAAATTATAGTACGCTGGAGATAGACATGCGGCAATTTCATAGTGTTGCAAAAAATATAGATGTGGACTGTCGCTTAACTTATATATGTACACAGTGCGAAACTCTCGCATCATAGCAAGAAGTTGAATACAGCGATTACGTGCGTGATGCCTTGATTGTAAATACAACAATATTCATCATTAATCTAAAAGCTGTGAAAAGTTGCAAACCTTCAAAGATTTCTATTTGTGTAGTCCTTTCTCTATTTATTGTACAAGACTTCTCCCGAATTTTTCAGCTAGTCCACAGGCGGGCTGTGTGATCAGCACCGGCAGAGAATAGCCAGGCTTCTCTTGGGTGCCACACCAAGTCTAGAACACCAAGACTGTTGACAGTCTTGTGGCCTTCCAACTTTTTGAGTGGTACTAATAAAGGATTCTTCAACATATCGTCGTAAACTGTAGCGTGGAAAACGTGAATAATACTATCATCGGAGGCCGAACAGAATAACGGTAGTTTTTTGTGGAAGGTAACGCTTCTGACAGCCATTTCGTGATATCTCAAGGTTTTGTAAGGCGTGCTTGCCAAGTCCAAATCATGCCATAGAACACGCTTGTCAAAGGACGATGCGAGCAAGTTATCACCTCTTGGGTGGATATCAATAGTGGATAACCAACGCGCACCAGGCATTAGTTTCTTCACCAGTGCCTGCTGCGACAAGTCGTAAATTCTCACATATCTTTGAGAACAAACAAATAGCTGGGGCTTAAAAGGATGAAACTTAGCATCCATCACAATACCCTTAGATTTCTTGAAAGGTGATTGCGACAAATGCTTGGAGAGTTGATGTATGAGCACAGAGGTGTGGCCAGATTTGGGTTGAACAGTAACAAAGTAGTCACCCTTTCTATGCCATGAGAGTTTCTTAACAGTGTGCTTGCAAGTGATGACGACAGCTATGTCTTTCTCGGCCTGCTTCTGACTTGGCTTATTCCATTGCGCTACTTGACTCTTTACCGCAGATGTTTCTGTTTGCTCGGTCTCATCATCGCTATTAACATTGAGGTTTGACTTCTTAACATTGCCGAAAGTGTCGAATCCGAAACCGTCTTCAATCTTCGTTTTGCCGTTGTTTTCAATTTCAAATCCAAAAATAGGTGGAATAACCAAATAGATGTTATCTCCAGCTGCAATTGCAAGAATTCCAGTGGATTGATCCGGGTTCCACTCCACGACATCAACATTGTCGTCTTTGTTTTCTTTAGTGTCTACAATTTCAACTTTGTAAACTTCTCTCCCACTCAAAATCTCCCAAATTCTCACAGTTCCATCATCGGAACCCGTGGCAAGCCACAACCCACTGGGATCAATCGAAAGCGTCCTGATTCTTCCCTCATGACCGCGATATATCGTTGAGCAACGAGTTGGAAATGGCCGTAGATCCTTAGGAGAGGGCAACTCAGGAATTAAAGACTCTGGATCGATGTTAAGCTTGTTCTTGCGCACTCTTGGGGCCAGATACAGGTCTAAAGACCTTTCAAATCTCTCTCTTACAGATTCACCATATCCAGGAACCTTTCTTAAGGCACCGTACTTCTGGGGAATGAAATTCTTTTCCCTTTCACTTGGTTCTAGTTTCTCCCACTCATCTTTTTCCTCTTTGGACATTAGGTATTCCTCAGGAGGGTTATAACTCTCTTCGTTTGTTGGAGGAGGAAGTTTTGGCGCTCTCAAATTCATGACATGATCGTCCATCTCGTTGCTAGCTCCCCATAGATCGTAATCACGAGCCTCTTCTTCTTGAGCTCTCATTTCCTTTAATTTATTTGGAGGGATAATACGACCTTCTCTAATGGCTCTTACAATCTTCATGATTTTCTTAGCTTCATTCTTTGAAGGAACAAATCTCCTCTTTGGTTCTGGGACTGCAGTTAATGGAGTGTTTTCGGTATGTCTCGTAAACCAGTCAACATAAGGTTGGTATGGATCTACAGAATCATCAGTCTTTTCGTTCTGCTGGATCTTTGAGATTAGCTCCAACTCCTCTTGGCTTAAGTTAAGACTTTCCCCGGTGTCTTTGTCCAAAAGGCCAGTCCATCCCTCTGGAAGTTCGATGGTGTCAAGCAGTTGATCCAAAGCAGAACCTTTAGCTGGCCTCATTATTCTTTTACCGTTAATGCTGTATCCGATGTGGGGCATCTCATCATACGCGGATAATGGAATGTTACCGATGGTGTTGCGAGTCTCAACGTCACTATCGTCGCTATCATAGATCGGATTAATCTCTGGTTTTATGACACGAGGCCTGCCGTCTGAGAATTCCGTGTGTACACCATCTGGAATGGTATTTAGTTTGATGCTGGAGAGTTTGTCGATCATGGAAGTCGAGTCGCTGTCTTCAGAAAATTCCAAGGACTCGTTGGCATCCAAGCCACCGTTCTCGGGCTCTTGCTCGGCTAGAAGTGTGTTGAACTCTTCATCAGAGTCCTCTTCCTCTTCGTCCTCGTATCCCTCCTCAGCAGATTGGAACTGAGCAGTTTCGTCTGCGTCACTATCTTCCTCTTCTTCTTCATCCTGTTCATCAGATTCGTCGGCTTCATCATCAATGATGCCTTCCACCATAAGTTCATCATCGCTGGGTTCTTCGGCTTCGACTAACGTCCGTTTCTTGTCAACATTGTTAGCTTTACTAGCTTGTCTGCCGGCGCGTGTCCCTGACACACGTTTAGTGTCCTGATTTTTGACCATAGCTGTGCAATTAACAACTGGTTCTAGCTATAATAAAATCCGAACTGGGGCGGGCTTTGTTTGGATCTAAATCGAGCAGAATAATATAACAATCAACCAGTCGTTCAAATGTCAAGTTGTAGCAGTTGACCTCATCGGGCATCGCATCTCATCTCATCAAAATTTTCCACTGTAGACCATTCGTTTCTTTTGACATGAAAAATGAAAAATAAAGTACATATGTACATATTCTTCTATATTATTTAGCTAAATCGTTTCATATCTCAACAATTGGTTCCGTGGTCTAGTCGGTTATGGCATCTGCTTAACACGCAGAACGTCCCCAGTTCGATCCTGGGCGAAATCAATTTTTTTTGTCGATTTTCAAATGGCGAAAATCGATGCAAGCGTTATGAATGAATGAACAGTAGTCTGTATATAGAGCTCACATTAATTGAATTTACATGTTTGAACTATAGCAGCAGCCAGCTTCTCTAAATAGTGCTGATCGATTTCACTGAAACCATTGTAAGCGAGACAATCGATGTCGATGACACCTAAACAATGGCCAGCAGAACTTACGATTGGAACAACAATCTCACTCTTGGTCTCACCATCGCAAGCGATATGGCCCGGAAATTGATTAACGTTAGCTACCAACTGAGTTTCTTTTTTTAGAAGAGCCGTTCCACAGACTCCAGACCCACTTTTAATCAACTGACAGGCCACTTTACCTTGAAATGGACCAAGAATTAATTCACGGGATTGGGGGTCTTTAGTCACGTAAAACCCAGCCCAATTGATGTCCAAGGGCATTGATCTGTAAGCGTGCCACAATAAAGATGATGCATTAGCCAAGTTACAGACCCAGTTATCTTGACCATCTGCCAATGCGAGATACGAATCCACAACCCTTTGTAGAGTCTCCTCTCGGGCTAGATTTTCGAACTGAGTGTAATTGGCATGATGGATCTCTTCTGAGCTCATTTTGGGTTTCTGTAGGGCAAACGGCTGGCCAGCAACAATGGAAACGGGAAGATTTTCTTGTCAGCATCAAAAAATTGGTCACTTTTTCCCAATGTGTGGCTTAAAGTAAGGGAGAAGGCGAATTAGTTTAGATCACCACTAAGACTACTCAATTTCATGGTTGTATACACCTTCGCATCATATCCATTGCGACATTTTTCCTTGCATTTGACGTGCTGCATTCGCTGTTACTTCGTAAGCAATGTACTAAGGCGATAATCTCTCAGCGGCATTGCAGTCGAAATCGCAGACGACTCTTAGATTTCTCCATATTTTCTCCGGTTAGATGTACTTAACGCTTTTACAATTGAAGTTATATTTAGAGATCTGATTCTTCGTGGACTTCAGTGACTTCGTTATCAGTGGATTTGACAAAGTAAGTGTTTTTACCCACTTCCCCAGTCTTCAACTGTAGCTCACGATGAGTCAACTTTTCTCAGCCGTAAAGTTCCGTACATAACATTTCCTGGTGTTTGTAGTACCTTTTTGTGGCCTCAGAGGAGAACCAAACGGCTTCACCATCAGAAACGTTGGACAATCAGGGTTATCACAAATAGCGAATTTGCTTCGCAACGTGTGAGCGCTATAATCTCACTTCCGAGCACATTGTTGCTCGAGTCGTTGGGCGGCAAGGAAACTACGCATTCCTGGTCCGAGAAATGGTGACATATCGTGCTGCCACTTTTTGGAAGCATGGATCTTGACTCGCTGAGAATTACAAAAGGTGCCTTGCGCTAAGTCTACAATGGGTTGTGAAGACCATGAACATTTAGCAGCGGCATTACCGTGTTTACAATATAATCTCAAATTTAAATACCACATAAGGATCTGATCATGTTGAGGCCCCACATGAATTTGTGACAAGCAACAATTTTTAATGTAAAATAGCTAGCGATCTTTTAATTGAAATCTCATAGACACTCATGTTATTTTACTTATTACAGTCGATGTGAAGCCGTGGATTAAAAATATTTACTTTAAATATTTACTTTAAGAGGAAGTGAGATAGTTGGCAGACAGTTAAGTAACGTCAACTTTAAAGATCCCAATTGATTTAAAAACAATAACACAAAACACTTGCTCCCCCCGACCTACTACCACGTGATCTTAAATAATGATTCAAAAAATAACAAAAAATGAGACGGACAGGAATTGAACCTGCAACCCTTCGATTGCAACTGATTTCCTAGTAAACCAAGATTTAATTGGAGTCGAAAGCTCTACCATTGAGCCACCGCTTCATTTCTGAAAGAAGGACGAGAACGCTGGGTATAGATGGGGGAGGCTGTTATTTTGTTAACAAACTACTCATGAATACAGTAGTAGTGACTTACGCTTCCGATTAATCGCGTTACAAATCTTACTCTTCAGATTAGTAGCCAGCAGCATGGAGCACTCAGGTGATAGCTTTGAGTACCTGTTGCATTTAACCAAGGTATTGAGCACAGAGTGTCGAACGACAAGACAAGGTACCGAGAGAATAGAGCACTCAGTAAAAAGACTGGCCAAAATCAGCCAAGTATCATACGAAGAGCTATCTAAGACACCAGAACCGGAAGTCTGGCAAAAATACCGCGTACTGAGTGCCGAAAACGAAAAGGACAGACTAATAAGGGAAAACTACGCTATCATATACCAGATAGAACGCCAGGAATACGTCTGCCGACGGATATGGGCCCTCATCGATCAGATCGAAGATCTCCTTGAGTCGATCAAACAATTTGTTGTCGAACAAAGAGCACATAGGGTCCGTACCGAGTCTCAATTTGTTGAAAGTGTCGTACAATCGCGTATCGCAGTGGTACAGGCCAATTCGCAAGACTTGACTACGTCACAACTTTCATCTCAAACTAAGCTGAATATGTTAGTACGAGAGCTGCGAGAAGTATGCGACCAAGTAGACTGGGCGCAACTTCCCGCTTCAAGGGATGCCCACTCTTTACACAGCAAACTTCTCAAGGCACAGGAAAAATACAAACTAGATCTCATAAAAAATTAAAGCATTATGGAAGTGGGGAGTATGGCTGTCATCACAATGACTCTGGAACTGCCACTTAAAGTTTCAGTATATCCTTCCTCTATTATTTTGATTGCCTTTTGGTTTCTCAATCGGTAATTTTTGACTGATACTCTCCAGAGAGTTTCTGAGGCTTCATTCTTTTACGTAAAGTAGTCCAGAGTCGATGAAGTTCCGTCAAGAAAGGTGACGACACATCTCTGATATGCTTCCAAAGATTTAGAATAACGCCTTTTGATTTGAACTTGTCAGCCTTCTCTAGAATTTCCCGAGCATATCGATCAAGTTTTTTTGGATTGTTGTAAAGCGAGGAAGTCATTAACTGGCTAGCGTGATTATTCTCCATGAACCATGCCATACTATTTGTTTTAGAACGGAACTGCGTCACTCTTTCGTCTACATCTCTCATGCGGGTCTCTAGACTCCTCAAGTCATATTTCAATTTCGAGGCCAGAGATTCCAATTCTGATATGTCGCTCAACACAATTGCGTGTTTATTACCTAAGAAACCACGTAACTGTTCCAGTTCCTCGAGTTTAGTGTGCATTTGGTGAAATGTTTGTCGGAGCGGTTGATATTGAGTCGCTGTCGTTGAGCGTTTGATCTCCTGTGCTTCGTGGAAAGCATCATTTTCCCACTTCATGCTTTTCTCCAATTTGAGGGTGTTGCGCGCGGCTTGCACGATGGATGGCTCAAAAGGATATACCCACAGCTCTATCGCGTCTTGAACAATGGAATAGCTATGGCGGCGAGCCTTATAAACACAAGAAGGCGGATATTCACGTGGAATGTTTTCGTAGTCGATTTGAGTCAAGTTCACATCCTCAGAGAGGTAGGGTATAGATGACCTTCTGTGTAGTTCTGCCTGGAAAACTATTTCGTCTCTTTTGGCCTTAATGCCGAGCCTATTGCATTTCAAATTGTCTTCCTTATGTTTGATTGGTGATACACCTTTTGTAGACAATGAATCAAATCGATAGTCGGAGCTACCACTTCCTTGAGCGAGATTTCCCTCTGAGCCTTCCCAGTGATTGTTATCTAGTTTTGTTGCTAAAATGTTGGATTTCAAGATCTCGTCAGTCGGATCTCCTTTATTGAAAACAAAGTTACTAAACTTGTGTTTTGACTTTCTTTTCTGGTTTGAATGTTTAGTGCTTTTGCCTCGCCATAGAAAACATAGAATGCCTCCAGGGACATTTCTAGCTAGATGATCTAAATCTGTTGTCAATATCCCGTTTGACAATTGCATGGGATTACCTTTTCCAGCAATATCTTGTACCGTCGACTTGACAACTTTTTTGATTTTGAAGATGTCTGTGTTGGAAGCTTTTGGTGTCACTTCAAATAATTTCGATATGACCACTGGATCTAAAACGGAGACAGTTTTGACGTTAGATTTCAGAAGACCATATTTTTTTTGAAAGAGGTAAACACCGCCATGGAAGGCTTCCTCATCAAAGGGTTCCTTTGATGAAATACAGTTTAAAACTGTTAATTTGAAGAAGACGGTCAGCACAAGACTTATTAATCCTGCAACAGTAGTTGGGCCCAGAGGACCTTCATGCCTTGGCCGATCACAGCCCAAGTAGAGAGTTCCATATACGGCCCACCAAGTTTTGATTGCCTTTTCCGTGAACATACAAAGAATACCGTCTTTGTATTGCGAATCAAGCAAGTCGAAGTAAGTTAATGATATCTGTACCAAAGTGATAAGTTCTACCACTGCATGAGTCGAAGGTATACTTCCTTGTTCATGTGAGCCCATGGTTGGTGCAGCCACTTTGTACAACTGTGCGAATTTTTCGCAAGATGCACCAGAAGGCTCGCATAAGAGAAGTGCCGATCTTCCACCACATTGGATTCTCTTGAGGTCTATGTTGACCTTAAAGACGTCCCATATTTTGCGCAAATCACCACACTCTAGGTGGAGCAGGTTGAGAGTTGACGGGATTTGAGATGACGTACTAACGAATAAAGTACCATCTTCAGTCAGCTTCGGAGCAGAATAAGTTATAAGCTCTTCGTAGTAATGTTTGAAAGCAGGAGGCCAATGGAGAGGAGATTCTGGGAGTGCAAATTTGACTGCGTGCACAATATCGTGCGAATTTCCGGTGTAGGAAGTAATAATCGTGGAGTGTTTTCGCTCAAGAGTCCATTGTTCCACTATATAGATTTCGAACCCGAAAAGCGTTACCTCGTTGAAAGTCAAGCTTGGTATTTCGTGTAGATTCAGAGCATAAATGGCTCTTAAATCAGGAAATAGGAATCCAGCTAAAAGATGCGATTCAGGTTGCGGCAAAGGGGATGTTTGCGAATATTTCTTTTCTCTCTGAGGAGTTTCGGGGCTTTTTAGAGTATCATCATTCATCGAGGATGCAGAAATAACCGAGAAAAGTCAAGATGCTCTTGAAAGCTTATCGAAGATTTGGTGCTTTTGAAGTTTATCAGAATGCGGTACCGTACCTTTCAACTCTCCAATTTGGTTTCTTACCGCTATTTCGAGATTTCGCCTGTGCAAAGAAAAGCGTATGATGTATGTCAGATGCGTGAGCTAAGAATTCTTTGCTGTAAGTAGTAGTGGCTATTGCCAATATTCAAGCAGAACAGTAATGACAAACACACTGTACTTTTTGGTACCGAAGTGTACTGTGGTAAGTTTCAAACCGGTGAAAATCGGATAGAATCGGAGTTGCGCAAGATTCCCTCAAACAAACTCTCTTCTAGCCTGCGTATCCGCTGACTTCAAGTGCTTGCGCTTTACTCAACACGTATATAATTGTAGTAGCCAGCTGTTCGTGCGTTTGTCAACCAGCCTTGAGGCGTAAGCTTTTTCCTTCTCTTGCACCACCAATAATGTCGTTGCTGATCAGCAAAGAGATCTGCCAAAACTTGGGCGCAAAGATATGGGTAAGTCTTTAAACCTCTTGGTTTGTTTTTTCAACGTGACGATTTCCTAACTTTATTATTGAATAGTAGATTTATCGAATTCTGGAATTATAAAGGGGACTTTATAACAACGAGGCGTTAAGAGTATTCACATATTGGGAAGCGAAAGGCTTTTTACTATCAGATAAGTACCAACAAGATGCGAGAGGAAGCAATTTTCAGTACGTTTTACATTAAAATACTTTTCAAGATATGCCAAGCGACACCGTCGCCCGATAATGAACTTGGTGTATTAACTCGACAAACCTGTCAGGATCTGCGGACATGACTTATGTGCAGCTATACATTCCTTTGGAACTATCTAGAGAGATAGTGTGCCTTCTTGGGAACCTTGGAAATGTGATGTTCCGGGACTTGAATGTAGATTTGAGTGCATTCCAGCGTGGCTACATTACCCAAATTCGTAAGTTCGACGATCTTGAAAGACTGATAAACTATATGGACGAGGTGACCCAGAAATATAGCCAAGAAACTTGGAAATACACGGTACACAGTGATATTGATAACTCAACCCAACATCCGAGTTTGAGCCTACTTATGTCTACGATGCAAACTCATTCTCTTGACACCATAAGCGATCTGGCGTCTGAAATTACGGAATTCGAGACACGAGTTCGTCAATTGGATGACTCGCTGAAGAATTTGCATAGAAGGTTGAATCTCCTCATAGAGCATCGGCATACCGCTTATGAGTGCCAAAGGTACTTGGAGGTGAATCCTGGGGTTTCAGGGCGAGCTGCAAGGGAGCAAGAAGGGTCGCGACTCAGTGTCGATGAATTCCAGCTTGACTCCGATGAGATAAGCGAAACGCTGAGCAGCACATTTTCTTTTGATGATGGCGCAAATGGTGATAGCAACCTAATTTCGCTGAACGCGGCGCCAAGAGCCGAATTGACGTCTGCAGAACTAGAAGAGGGTTTTCGTATTCGGACTACAATTATCGGCTCCATCAGTAGGATTAAGGTCGAAACTTTAAATAAAATCCTATTCAGGATTTTAAGAGGCAATTTGTTTTTTCACAATATTCCCATTACTGAGCCACTGTTAGAGAACGACCAACCGGTAGAGAAAGATTGCTTTATAGTTTTCACTCATGGCGAAGTGCTTCTTGGAAAGGTTCGGAAGGTAGTTGAGTCCTTGAATGGTACTATTTTCCCTACCAACGAAGCAAGCTCCACAGTCCAAAACCTCAATGCTCAAATCACTGATCTGCAACAAATTTGTCAAACGACAGAGCAAACTCTCTACACCGAGCTTCTGATAGTTTCTGACCAACTTCCAATGTGGAAAGCGGTCGCCCGAAGGGAAAAGCTCATTTACGCATCGCTAAATCTATTCCGCGAAGAATCACAGGGGCTGGTAGCAGAGGGCTGGATTCCGTCCAGCGATTTGGTTGCTGTTTCGAATGCTTTGAAGAATCATAGTGAAAGTATTGGATCTGAAAATAGCGCCGTGGTGAGTGTAATAAAAACCAATAGAAAGCCACCGACTTACCACAGAACCAACAAATTCACTTATTCTTTTCAGGCAATTGTGGACGCCTATGGGGTGGCAACCTACAAGGAAGTAAATCCAGGCCTTGCGACCGTTGTGACATTCCCCTTCATGTTCGCGATCATGTTTGGAGACGCAGGCCACGGAGCAATCCTGTTTATGATTGCTCTATACTTGATCTTCAATGAACGAGAATTTTCGAGAAGCCAAAACGGCGAGATTTTTGACATGGCGTTTTCAGGACGCTACGTTATACTATTGATGGGCTTTTTTTCAATATACACAGGTCTACTCTACAATGACATCTTTTCTCTATCAATGACGTTTTTTAAATCAGGATGGGAATGGCCGTCAGACTTTAAGGCCGGAGATGCTATCGAGGCAGTTAAATCAGGAGTATATCCATTTGGTATTGATTATGCTTGGCATGGCACGGAAAACAACCTGATCTTTACCAACTCTTATAAAATGAAGTTGTCGGTTTTGATGGGATTTATTCATATGACGTATTCGCTTCTATTTTCTTTGGTGAACTTCAGGTACTTCCACTCAAGAGTTGATATAGTCGGGAACTTTTTACCAGGACTAATTTTTATGCAATCCATATTTGGCTACCTTACTTGGTCGATTATCTATAAGTGGACGAAGGATTGGGTAAAGGACGAGAAGGTGGCACCAGGACTTCTAAACATGCTAATCAATATGTTTCTAGCTCCAGGAGTTGTTGACGAACCTCTTTTCCGTGGCCAAGCATTTTTGCAGGTTCTCTTCCTATTAGCAGCTCTTGTTTGTGTGCCTTGGTTGCTTCTTTACAAACCTTTAAAATTAAGAGCTCAAAACAGAAATGCCATTTCCCAAGGCTACCAAAACATTCACGAGCAGACAGTGACAGAGAGTATACTGGTGTCTCAGGAAAATGCAGGCGAAGATGTGGTCGTAACAGACTACCATGAAGAGCATTCCGGCTCCTTTGAATTCGGAGATGTTATGATACATCAAGTGATACATACGATTGAGTTTTGTTTGAACAGCATATCTCACACAGCATCCTACTTACGATTGTGGGCCTTGTCTCTTGCACATGCCCAACTGTCTAGCGTCTTGTGGTCAATGACGATTGCTAATTCTTTTAGCTCGAAGAACCCAGGGTCTCCACTTGCTGTCATCAAGGTTGTTTTCTTGTTTGGGATGTGGTTTGTGTTGACAGTGTGCATCTTAGTACTCATGGAAGGAACTTCGGCCATGTTACACTCTTTACGCTTACACTGGGTCGAGGCAATGTCCAAGTTTTTTGAGGGTGAGGGCTATCCATATGAACCTTTTACTTTCCAACACGTCGATCAAGTAGAACCTTGATCAATTACGAGAAAACAAATAGACTGTACATATTATAAAAAGTTGTTATGAGCTAGTGTATTCTATTCTGTATAAGACTATTGGCTAAGGAGCACAAATTACACTATGCTAAGTAGTTTGCGGCACAATCAATGCGCTGCATCCAATGCGAACAGATATGCAAAGTCTATTTACAGTTCATCGTGTTCAAGTGGTGTTGTCGTTGAAGACTCTTGAGAGCTATGTGTGAGTGTAGAATTTGAGTCTTTTTCGAGTATGCTTGATTCTTGATTCTTTCTGCGCTCTTCCCGTTTTTTAATTACCCTTTGGCGCCTGCTAAAAAGTGATACCAGTTCATTAAGCTTGAACTTTTGAATGCTTTGCTCCAGTTCCAAGCATCTGTTGAGTTCTGTGAAGCAGGAATCGAATTGTAATTTGAGGGCAAATAAGTTTTCGCGGGTCGCTGCGCTAAAAGTATCGTCGTTCAGTATTTTATTGACATCGCCGAGCGCGTTTTCCATATCCCTCACGGCATCCTTAATTTTATAGCCGGGCAGGGACAAGTGACGTGGAGCCTTTAGCTTCTTGAACTCTTTCACAACGTCTAAGTCGACTTCCGCAAAGCTTTCACGCAATGCCTCTAAAGTCGTGTTTTCCGTCGATCTGTATTCCTCCAACTGTCTTATCAAATCAGTCCCGTTGGCGTAAAACTGCGAGAATTGACTCAAATTTAGTGGCTCATCTACAGAATCCACATAAAGCTCAATTCTTTCCTTCAACGATGATACCTTTCTAGACCTTTCCGTCAAATCTTTGATAGAAGCGTCATCGGACTCGTAATCGAGCCATTCTAAGTAAGCATTTACCAACTCGTTCAAAGCTTCAACTTCTTGCTGAGGGCCATTGGAAATAACGTCTTCCTCCTCTAAATAACTTCTCGTTTCATAGAGAGTGCTCTCCAGCGCATTTATTTTTTCTTGAATCTCCAAGCGCTTGGCATCTCGTTCGTTCATGTCCTCCATGTGATCTTTCAGAACCAATCTCTCAACAGGCGTGATGGGCTTTAATTGAGAATATACTTCTTTAGTTTTGAGCCTTTTGATTTTATCATTCGTTTTATCCTTCGATTTATCGTCTTCAGTCACATAATTGTTTTCCTCAGGATTTGACCCTGCAAAGAGTTTCTGGATCAGTCCTGAGGCAGACTTCGAATTTTGCACGCAAATGGCCTCAACAATGTCAAGGTCGAACAATCTATCTTGCGAAAGGGAAAATGTAGCATTGTAAGCGATTCCGTAAGGGCATGCTTCCTCTGAAAATTTTTGAGCGATAGGCTCTGTATCAACTAGATGACTTTTGAATATCTCACCATTTTCTTGCAAGTCAATTGAAAAGCTGCTAACATTCATTTGAGGCGAGATCAAGTAGGATGTTCTGTTTGGATATTCCGATCCACGTTCAAAAAGTTCAACAGGTAAACCGCTGTCGTTAAAAGCAGCGCTGTAGCTGAAAATGGAGCGATCAACAACGTTAAGAGCTTTTGTTTGAAAAGATTTGAAAAGCTGGATACCTCTTATGGTAACTCCGTTAACGGAGGACTCGTCGGCATTGACATTTTTAGCAATGAGCTCGTCGCCGAAATAGTCAGCGAGCTGTCTTTGCACCATAGGCGTCCTAGTAGAACCACCAGTGAGAATTAAGGACTTAATGTCCTTCAAACTTATTTGTGTTGAGAAAAACTGGTTGTCAAGAGCATTTAGGATGGGTAAAGTAATCCTGCTGGTTAGATCTTCTGAAAAGTCCTCAAACTCCTGTCTGGTGATAGTGGCCTTAAAATCAACATCAGCATGCAAAGACTCGATATTAACAGAGGCGTCCGCGTTCGCACTCAAAATCAACTTGGCCTTTTCTGCCGCTTGGTGAATCCTGACCAAAGCTCGGGCGTCCATCTCCAAAGTCTCAGTCCTAATTCCTTGATGTTGCTCTAGAAATTTGTTTTTTATGAGCTCAGCTATGTTCTGAGTGAATTGAGTGCCACCCAAACCGTTGTCGTAGCCATATCCATTGAATTCGACAATCAAAGGTTCGGATAAATTCTTCGGCTGCTCAATAGAAATCAAAGAGGCTCTGGTGGACCCGCTGCCCATGTCATAGAAAACATAATGGTGCTTTTCGCCAGCTGGAAAATTTCTTTGTTTGAGTGCAAAGTCAATAGCCACTGTCATTCCATCATTGACCAAGTGAGCTTTGATGTTACGCGGCAATTCGGCAGCAGCAGACAGCGCAAGTCTTTGGTTTTGTGTGAAGAACTCGGGAACAGTAATTGCGATAGAGTCCACTGTATCCATTGCAGATTTGTCTCGTAACAACATGGCGTTGGCTCTGGTGATAGTTTCGTCCAGATTCATAGCCAGAATTTCCTCCACGGGGTATGCGTGATCAAGACTCTTGATTGCCACCGAATCACGCTGTGTTGAACTAAATACAACGCCTGGATGGGCCTTGTGGTACAAACTGAAGTGTTCGTCAATCGTTTTACCTAACAGCGATTTTACATGCAAAAGCGCACTCTTGGGGTTTTTTACCTGCGCAGAATGTACGCCACTGCCGTAAATTCGCTCTATATCTGACTTCCAACTCTTGAGAGCCAATCCTGAGACATCTTTACGCTTAGAATCTGCAGTAAGTACTAATTCTAATGGCGCATGTGGTGATACCAACATCGCTTTGCTGAATTCCTGACCATAATCAAACCCTAGTAAGGCGCCTTGAACAGCGCTCACTAGCGTAGAGATGCCGAATACAGCAATTGAGATTCTCATTTTCCTCTCTGTTATAAAGTGTCCTCTTTTGACAGGTGTCAAGTAGGAAGGAATATTACAAATTTCAAACAACATTACATTTTTCAAGTTGCAAATGAACTAGCTCATCGCGTCCACTAGTTTCAAACGCTAAGAAAACTAAAAAAGGTACGATCTCGAGAGTTGTTGACGGACTGACCACATTGTTTGTTCTGAACAGACTATAACTAAGTTTTATGAGCTATAATAGCAGAAACGAGCGGTTTCCTGCTGGCCCAGCTGGTAATGTTGATAATAGAGGCTACAGAAGCAGAGAAAGCAGAGGAAATAGAAGGGTAAACAATGGAAGCAGATTTCAGGGAGACTCAGGGTCAAGATATGGAGGAGCTAGAGAAGGGTTTAGAAGTGGATCCGGAAGTTATAGGAATGGTAGTGGACGCTTTCAACAAGACGACTTAAGGCGGTCTGGAAACAATTATAATAATTGGAATGAGTCGGATGTGGACCGAACCCAAGTGTTACCTCTAAGCCAACGTCGGCGGCTTCGCTCGACGCTTTGGGATAGAGCGCCCAAAGGTTTTGAGAAAGTGCCTGCAGAAAGAGCTAAACTATCTGGGCTTTTTCCGCTGCCTGGGCAGCCCCAGGACTTAGACCACTCTAAGCTCGAAGGTATCGTTTCTAGTGGAGTATTGACTCGTCGTACAAGAATTTTGTTTGAGGACCCTACCAAGGTCAACATGAGCAAAACCAAGTACAATCAAATTTTGATATTGACTGCTGTAGGATCTAGCAAGCCTGAAATGAACGAGGTGGTGAGATATATTGAGACTTTTATCAAAAGCCTCGATGAGACTCAGGAGCTTAAGAAGCATAAGCTACTACAAGACAACAGGTTGTTCCTACACCTCAGCAGTGAAGAGATCACTACTTTAATCCTGAGTTGTCAAAAGTACATTGAAGCTAAGACCCATTGCAAGTTCATTTGGCAACGACCAGGCGAGTGTATACGTAAGGCTGAACAAGAAGACGTCATTTGTGGTGGCCAAGTAATAGCGCTACTAGATTTGGACGTTTCTGACGAGAATATCCTCAAGGACAACTTGAACAAGAACGGCATAGAGTTCGAATGGCTGAAGCTTATTCACCTTGAAAAAACTCAAGAGTTTACCGGTACCGCACTTTTGGATCCGAAAAGCTGGAAAAATGACTTTTCTAAGTACAAATGGATACGACCCAATGATTCTAAGCTACATCAAAACTTTACCGAAATTACTTTTCAGCAACTCCCTCAATTGGTAGCACGTCAGGATCATGGAGCTTCGAAGGTTGTAGTCCTACTAAACTGCGTAGATGGCAAAGATCTTAAGAACGAAGACTTTGTTAAAGAACTTTATGACTGCATGACCAAATCGGAGACTATGACATCTTTGGGTGAGATCGAAAGTGTCAAAATTCCCAAACCAGGTGCTGATTACCGAACAACTTTCGAAACGATAGAGGAAAGTATCGGCAAGATATTTGTCAAATTCAAAGACGTAGAAAGCGCTCGCTCTGCTATGCAGAAACTTCCAGGCCGACAATTTAATGATAGGTCTGTGATGTGTGCATATTTTAGCGAACGGGACTATAATATGGATATATTGTGAGGAAAGCGACATGAATTCTTTTTAGTTGCTTGCCGTCGGTTGTAGAATACTCGTTCATTAGAGCGATATTTAAACATCCTCTACTCAACAGTCAGATTCGAGTCTTCAAGGTGTTGTACAAGCAAGTCATACATATGGGAGGGTAGTTTAGCCACAAACCCGACTCCGAGTCTTATGATCTCTTCGGCATCAAACTCAGGAAACACGCGCAACAGGTTCATGGGAGAGTTACTCTTCAAAATACGGCTTCTTATGACAACCAATTGTGCAACGATAAATAAAATGTTCATATGAAATCCATAAGCAAACATGAAGTCCCACAGTTTGCAAACCTGGTCCAGAGGTTTAGTACAACTAGAGAGGGTTAAAATCGAAGGTATGCCATAAATTTCTGCGGTCAGTAGATTGTCCGCCAAAAATTTGCTGAGCTTAGGGTCAATAACTTTAAGGCACATATCTAGCAGTTTGGCGCCGTTGTGTACGCCTGTTAGACTTTGATTCAAATACGTCTTTATGTGATCGTGGCACAGAGATCGAAACAATTGGTAGGCCATAGGTTCTGAGGGGCAGGTATACAAAATTGGAGCGAGCAAAACGTTCATACCTTGCACATAAGTGCTTAACTCGCAGTCACCGCTGGAGTCATCCAGGACTGACCAAGCGAAGCAGGAAAGACATCTAGTGATGGCATCTTCAGATACACATGCCACGAATTGTGGATCCGTGTTCAAGGTTCGAAAAGTGTCGTTCTTTATTTTTGAGTATATGGAATGTGGCGGAGGTCCGCGTCGTACCAGCGAAACGTAGTCTGACGTAGCCCCATCCATTGAGCACCGGGTTAAGACTGACCATACATTACACCTCAACCTATTAGCTGCTGGTTTCTCCTTAGAAAGCGGGATCCCTTCGCTAAGGACTAAATATCGAAGTTGAGACAGCGAAGAGTGGACAATCAACGGCTGTTGGCTCACAAACTTCTCGAGGGAACTCATATTTTTCGCTCAAAAATTAATATTTCGGCTGAATCACAGATTCCAAAATTCGATGTTGATCATTCATATACAATTAGGTCGGGATTAATGATTCAGTAAACAATTCATAAACCTTCGAGTAGATATTTTGTACCCTCGGCTTGCTGAGAACTAGTTGAGAGACATGCCAAGAATGCTGTTTTTTGTATGTGATCCATAACTCAGCGCTTTTGGCGGCTCACGGGTCTCGACAAATACGTGTTTATTTAGATACCAAGTGACTAACTGCAAGCGTTAAGCAAACGCGGCACTGAAGAGACATGCTTACTCGATGAGACATGCTTACTCGTTGAGACATCTGAGAAGCATTGGTAAGTAGACTGTCAACTCTAAAGCCCAGGAGCAGCCGAAGCATCCGTCAATAGAAAGATTGGCTCTAAATTGGTAATAATACAGGGATACTAAAGTGGTATTAGCCTGCTTCATCGTTACGCATCTCTGAAGGCGAAGGCTTGTTCTTACGCAGTAAGGCGCTATGGGTGCCACGATTCTACGAAACGACTTGTGCGGAATCGATGTTACTACAAATTCAGCTAGCTGAAGACCGGTAACTCTTTCAAAAAATGTCAGAGTGAAGAAGGAGCAGAAATACTTTGGAATTAGAGTCCCCAGTGCAACAACAGCTTGACCATCTCTCGGAGGCTTCACTGCGAGCACAACGCTCAAATTTGTTCAGCTGGCTGTGCTCGTCCACTCAACTGCCGCTTTTAAAACCACTGTACTCTTTTAGCAGCGGGTAAAAGATGTTACGAAACAACATTCCACCACTCGAGTACAATATGGCAAATATTTGCGGAGTCTACGTCTTCTACTTGCACTCTGGGAGATTACATCTCTATCGCCGTGAGAATCTTTCCTGAACAAGCCATGTTTGGGGCAAAAAGACAATCACACAACGTCCAACTCCGATTCCGTTCCCTTGCTCTCCCCTGATTAAATTTACTACAGCTTCTGAGACTGGAGTCGCATTTCACATCTGGCTACACTGGCACGCAACTTTTCTTCCCAGCTTTAGCTGTGGGGGCTGCTTTTATCGCCTAAGCTTACGCTTGGCACTTACGATCATCTCACTTCAGCATCCTTTCAGCATCCTTTCGGCATCTTTTCCACACTCTTCAACAGCCTTTCAGCACCGATCGAAAATACACCCAGAAGTTTGCACGCACCCAGCTCCTCCGTACGCCAATCAAAACTTTTGTTCACCCCAGGGTGCAATTAAATAACAGGCCCCAAGAAAAAAAATCTCTTAACAACCAACCATTATCGGCTAACTACTGTCCAGATCGCTACCATTTACATACACCCGGCCAGTATTCTTCGCTCAATCAATCTGCAGGGCTTTCGATGCTCTTAGGCTTGATGCGTAAAATACAGTAATTGCAACCCAGGAAAAAAAAGCAGGTAAAATAAATGAAAAATTCGCAGAAATCGCACCTAGGAATTTAGTCTGCATGGAGGGCAAATAATGCTCGAGGGGGTCTTATATAACTGCGAGAGGTATTTGTTGACCAGCAGTACGACACACGAGGCGAGCATATTATTCTGGAGATAGAAAGGTTGTTCAGTACCCCAGTCAAAAAACAACCGATAAGAATATGAACAAGCTCGGCTGGCTCGTGCTGACGATCGCCGTCGCGGCACAATCAGTGCTCGCAGAAACACGAGTTTACAACTGGACCACCGGTTGGGGCACATACAACGTAGATGGTGGGATGGAAAGACCCGTGATCACGTGTAACGGCGAATATCCATGGCCAGACGTCAGGGTGAAGAAAGGTGACAGACTCGAGGTATACTTGAACAACGGGTTCGACGACCGGAACACTTCGCTGCATTTCCACGGGCTGTTCCAGAATGGCACCAACCAGATGGACGGCCCTCCAATGGTCGTGCAATGCCCACTTGGGCCTGGCGACACCTTCCTATACAACTTCACCGTGGACGACAACGTGGGAACGTACTGGTACCATTCTCACTCGAAGGGGCAATACCAAGACGGTATGCGCGCCGCTTTTGTGATCGAAGACGATGATATCCCTTACGACTATGATGAAGACGTTGTGCTGCAGATCGGTGAATGGTACCACGAGGTTGCGGATGAGCTTAACGAAGCATTCATGAGTCTCTACAATCCTACTGGTGCCGAACCCATCCCACAGAATTTGATTATGAACAGTACGCGTAACATGACCTGGGAAGTGAAACCCGACACTACGTATTTGCTGCGTATTGCAAACACTGGTGGATTTGTGTCGCAATATATCTGGATTGAGGACCACGAAATGGAAGTTGTCGAGGTCGACGGTATTTACACCGAAAAAAACACTACCAATATGCTGTACATTACTACCGCCCAACGGTATGCTGTTTTGATCCACACCAAAAATGATACCTCCAAGAATTTCGCCATTATGCAAAAGTTTGATGACACCATGCTGGATTTGATCCCTGACGACTTACAGTTGAACACCACGAACTACATGGTTTACAACTCGAGTGCGCCACTGCCGGAGCAAAACGTTGTTGATGAGCTGGACTTCTTGGATGATTTCTACTTGGTTCCATACAGCAAGCAAGAATTGCTAGGTGACCCCGATTATCAAATTGTCATTAACGTTACCATGGACAACTTAGCTAGTGGTATCAACTACGCTTTCTTCAACAACTTGACCTACACAGAGCCTAAAGTGCCCGCTTTATTGACCGCATTATCCGCGGGCGAAGACGCCGTAAATGCAGAGGTTTACGGTAGTAACACACACACGTATGTGTTGGGTAAAGATGAAATTATTGAAATTGTCTTAAACAACCTGGATACGGGTACTCACCCCTTCCACTTGCACGGTCATGCTTTCCAAACATTGGTGCGCGACATTGGGTATGACGACGCGTTAGGTGAAGTACCACATCCATACGATGACAACGACCATCCTGATTTCCCCGAATATCCTATGATTAGAGACACCTTGTATGTGAGACCTCAGTCAAACTTTGTTATCCGTTTCAAGGCAGACAACCCTGGTGTGTGGATGTTTCATTGCCATATTGAGTGGCACTTGACCCAAGGTTTAGCGCTCATCTTGGTCGAAGACCCTCTATCGATTCAGGAGTCACAGTCCCAGCAACTCACAGACAATCACAAGAATGTTTGTAAGGGCGTAGGTATTTCAACTGAAGGTAACGCCGCGGGTAACTCCACCGACTACCTCAATCTATTCGGTGAGAACGTTCAAGAGAAATTTATTGCGACAGGCTTCACTGCTAAAGGTATTGTCGCCTTTGTATTCTCATGCATAGCCGCTGTTTTGGGTCTCATTTCGATCGCAGTTTATGGTCTCATGGACCTATCCAACATTGAGGAAAAAGTCATGGACGAACTTGATCTTGACATTAGTGAAGTAGAGGCAGTGAATTCTAGCAGTGATTTGACCTCCGAGCCAAAGGAACTCATCAAATAATATACATAATGTAAACTATCAACTAATATACTACTAGATTTTAAACAAAGGCGCTTAGCTCTGATAATCTTTGTGGAGCGAAGATAAAGTTCCAGCAAGCCATTAATCGACATTAACCTGGCATTTGCATCGATTTCTCGCTCTCAAGAAATCGTAAGACTTCAGCGTACGCAAGCCAATTGATTCGTATTCACGAAAATGTGACTATAGAAAGGAGTAGTAACTCGAGTCGAAGAATAACAATGAAAAATTTCAATATACTCTCGTAAGATCATTGATCTTGACAAGGAAATCAGGAAAACAAAACTTCTTGGGCATCACTAGCGTGCGAGAATTAGTTCATTTGTTTATACCAAGCTATAATATTGATGGTCAAGACAAGGGACGGCGTTTCTTCTGGGAAATGCAGTTGCGATAAGTGCAGGCCGACGAAAAAGCCCGTAAGATACAGATTCAACTTCCTGAAGCACATGAACCTTCGCCACGGAAACTACGAGACTATCACTTCAATTTCATATTTGACAGAGAAGTACGGCGAGAAGCGCGCGGAAAACATTTTCCGTTTTGTTAAGTGCATTCACAAACAAATCAATAGTGGAGTCAATAGGATCAGCGATCTGCAAGCTAGCAGTATCCTTCCGTGGACTAGGGTAAGACTTTTTCTGCTCTTAGTGACACTCTCACAGAGAGGTGGCTCGGACTATTGGATGGAAAAAGATGGTGAAGTCAGAGACCCACCTAAATTAAAAGTTAAGGAGAAAGATGTTAGTAGGGTAGATTCTGAGGAACCCAAACCTTATGGCACGCTAATAGAAGAGGTTATGCGACAGAACATCAACGAAAACTTTAACGAATCTGAGCATGATGAAAATTACGTTTTTAGCTCAATTTGGGCTAACTTCATGGAAGGTCTAATTAATCACTTTTTGGAGAAAGTAATCATACCAAATAGCGAGAAGAAAGTGTGCCAGCAACTGTACAAACCAATGATGAAGATAATTTCACTTTACAACGAATATAACGAGCTCATGGAAAAAAGTGAGCGGAATGGGTTTTTGCCAGCCAATCAGGATCCATCTGCTTCAATAAATTCAGATGTAGAGAACTGTGTCGAGAATGGAAAACTACAGACAGCTCAGAGGCTTCTATGGCAGGCTCGCCAGGATATTCCGAAAACTATCAGCAAGGAGTTGACGCTCTTGTCGGAGATGTACGCCACTTTGTCTGCAGATGAACAAGACTTCGAGTTGGATGAGTTTGTGTGCAGCGCAGAAGAGTATATTGAACTTGAATATTTACCGTGCCTGATAGATGTCCTCTTTGATAATTGCGGGACTATTTACTTTTGGAAAATTATGATCGTGCTGGAACCATTCTTTTACTATATCGAAGAAGTTGTAGACGAGGATAGTGCTAGTTTGCAGGAAGAATCGGCCAAACCGGATCCAAGAGTCGTAACATTGGAGAAAATTTGTCAAGTTGCTGCAGAACAAGATTGGATATAACTTTTTAATCAAAACTTTAGGGCTTATGTAACAATAGCGCGGCTAATCGGCACAGCGATTTCTTCTCATAGTACTTACGGACATTATTTCGTAACGGATAATCAGCCTTGCTTACTACTCTTTTTGCTGTGGGTTGGAAGCTCACTGTATGGGCGATTATTGATTTTTTTGTATTTTTTGAAGTCTTTGAAACTGCCGAGAACGCGGCGCCTTTGGTTAACGGCGAATAACCTAACATCGCGAATGTCACGGTGTTTTTTGTTGAGGAAGAGGAAAAAGTACATGGCAACGCATGCAATAACAACTACAGTTGGGGTCGACAGAGCCACATAATACCATGTATCATCTGAAATGCCAGCATCCTGAAGTGCTAGTTGCTCCTTTGTATTTTTAGCCACTCTGGCTCCCTTGATTATCTTCAGTAAGATACCGTTACTCCAAGGATCAAATGCTTCATCAGAAATGTACTCAGGTTGAATGGCTAATAATACTCGTTTTTCTTGCTTTTCCTGAAACCATTCCTCGTCAACTTTTATAGGGTATAATCCATCAACATTTTTTACCGTTTCCGAGCTGAAAAATGCTGCTCTAAGACTTCTCTTCTTGAAACCTTTTTCGTGAGGATTTTCTTTAACGTAAAACAAATGAAGCCTTACTCTTTCGGCAACCTTTTCAGTTTCCGGATCTTCGAAGAACTTGGTATACCAAGTAACAAAATAGGTTTCATGAAGTTTCCACTCTACGTTTTCGAAAGGAGTGCAAAACGGTTCACTTGAAATGTCTTTCGCCAAACCTTTGTTGCGGTAACGGTTAGGTGTACAACGTATGATAGGATTTAACGATACATACGTCTCGTCTTCTTCCTCAAAGAATTCTTCTGTATAAAGTTCGTCAGTTTCCAAATTGTGAGCCTTCAACTCTTCAGGTGAGAAAGTTGTTGTGTGAACAGTTTTGAAGTAGGTGCTGTAGTCCGGATGCCCGTCAACTGTGCGTCCCTTCTCAATTTTGGGCTTGATGGTCTTTGGATTACCTAATTTGTCCAACGAGACCCATGGTTCTAAGGGGTCCGAGCTTGCAGGGGGTTTAGCAGACAGTGTTACTCCAGCAATAACTATTGGAGTTACGATTTCCCGTTGAGTTGAATAGATGGTTCTGCGCCATGGTTTGACAACCTCCGACGTCGTAGTAGTTGGTCTTGGCTTGATAGCTTGTCTGTAGCCCTCGACGAGGGGCAGCAAAAGCAAAAGCAGATAAACAATGGGTTTAAAGTAAGCCATTTGGCACTCTTAAGGTAAGCTTAGTTGCGATATTTAGTGATTAAAATTTATGGAATCAAAATATTGAAAAAATTCTATACTAACTGACGTTATTTAATCTGAGCTTGAAAAAGTGGTCATAAATGAACAACAGCTCTATTGTCAGTCTTGTAAAAGCCAACCTAGCCCAACAACAGCTGTGGGATTTCGTTGAGGAGTCTCAACTGAACGATTTGGACGCTTGGGTGATCAGCGGAGTTCCTCCTCATAAACTGAGCAACGATGACAAAGACTTAGAGCGCGAGTGGATTTTGCCCGTAGACCTGAAACAGTATAGTGCGAGCGATTTGACATTAGAGATTGCGGATAAATTATTTGCAGAGCTGATTTGTAGAAGAATTATTTTGGGTATTGCCAATGATGACGGAACTGTGGTGTATTATTTTATGTACAAAGGCCTTCACAAACCAAAAAAGAATTAATGATGTGATGACGTGAAGAAGGTCTCGGTTAGACTTGCAAGCTTTCCTAGCATCCGAAAAAAAGAGATCTTAATGTGATACAATAAAGCTGATAATATATTGCCTCTGTATTTGTATCGCATGTGTTTTGCCGCCTTGCGCACCATTTTAAAGGGCTACCAGTCGACACATGGCTTGATACGCGCTCATTACGACGTTCCCGCGTTCCTCGAACGTTGGACCCCTCTGATAAAGCCTAGAAGTTGATTGGGAGCAGTTCTCCAAGTTTGCGGCCAACACTTCATACTTATCCTTGCCTAATGTTCTTTGGAGGTGTTCTCGCACCAAGTTACCGTCCGGAAGTTCTAACTGCACAAACAAGTTTGCCCATACCAAGTAGTCCGATGCCAAAACAGGTTGGGGCTCTAGCTTTTCACGAGCCTCGAGCCAGCACTTAATCTGATCCCCTAAACGATTCATATACTGTAAGTTGAACCGGGCAGATTTGAGTAAATCTTCTTTGCGCGCCTTTGAGGCTTTCGTGAGCTTAAAAGCTTTGGACTGTACGAGTTCGTCAATCTGTTCGGCATCAAATTCGAAGTGATCCTCATCATCCGCATGGCCAAAATAGCCTAGCGCTTCGCACCTTTTCCGCGCCAGGCTTCGATTTGTTAAAGGTGTGTTATACCACATGGGCCACTGCAGCAGATACGCAAAAACCTTGCGTGTGAACTGGTCGTAATTGTTTCGGTTCAAGTATAGTTGATATTGGGTCAACGCTCCAATGTGATCCTGTGCAAACTGCAGCAAAGCCGTTTCTAGTGCAGATTTGGGGGCGCAAAAGAACGAGGCAATGTTAGCAAATCCGGACAATCTTGAAACACCATTTACCAGTAAGGGAAGCTCCTGGGTGGGAGATAAGTCGGTATTATTTGAGAAGACAACTGTTATTCTGGATTTCAAATCCAGTTCATTCAGTAGCCAGAACAGTGCAACACTTTCCGGTGAGACGACGCTCGGCTTACCATCTAAACCCCACAAATGTAATACAATGTCCATGGCCAGATTATTCGAACAAGTCCCAAGTTTTGAGTAGTTAGCTCAATTATGATGGTATGAGCATGAATCATTGTTTTCAATAGATTAGTTAGCGGGTATCGAAGTTTAGTACACAATGACATAAAAATGAATTTATCAGAAAAGTTGTCGAATATTTCCAACCTCAGCCAAAATCCAAACGAAGTAAATTCATTGCAATTGTTGACTTAGGTCGTTCAGTGGGTGTATCATCTGTAAATAGCTGTTCGGAAATATGTCTGCAACCCCAGAATTGGCTAAGAACAGCTCGGGAGCGTTTGTACGGCCCAGCAAGCGGCAAAGCAGACCGGACGACGACGTTCGCGGTAGACTGGAAGACAGTATAGAAGAATCTCCGAGCGATATCTGTACATATTTAGAGCTCGTAAAGCTGCTGCATGACCAAGAACAGCCACAGGACGCACGCCAAGTGCTTGATAAGCTACACGAGCGGTTCCCGCTGTTCGCGCCTCTGTGGACTGCCGAACTCAGTTATGATCTCGAGCGCGATGAATTTGAGTATGCAGAGGCTCTACTAACGCGTAGTTTGTCCGGGACACTAGAGAATAACGATCTAGGACTGTGGTTTATGTACTTGGACTTTGTCCGTAGAAAGAACAATATTATTACTGGTGGTGAAGAAGCACGAAGCGTCGTGCTAAAGGCTTTCGACGCTGTTGCAACGAAGTGTGCTAGCTGGGAGCCACGCTCATCGACTTTTTGGACGGAATATCTGTCATTTTTGGAGCATTGGAAGCCGGTAAGCAAATGGGAAGAACAACAAAGGGTGGATCTCACTCGAACACTATACAAGCGAATGCTTTGCATTCCGTTTGATGGGCTTGAGCGCTCGTGGAACAAATACACCCAATGGGAACAAGAGGTAAATTCTTTGACCGCTCGTAAGTTCATTGGCGAACTTTCCGCCAATTACATGAAAGCACGATCCCTGTACCAGGAATGGACTAATGTAACCAAGGGGTTGAGAAGAGTATTACCCTCTCGATTTTCACAATGCTCTCGACAGACTATTCCGCAACCAGGGGAATACGAGGTTGAACAATTGCACTTGTGGACAGATTGGATTAGATGGGAACTTGAAAACAAGCTAGATTTATCCGAATCACAACATGCGCAACGAGTCGACTACGTTTACAAACAATCCGTACAGCATTTGCTCTTTTCTCCTGAGATATGGTACAATTACTCCATGTTTACAAATGTAAGTTCGACTGTTAAATCCAGTGAGATTTTAGCTCAGGGACTCAAAGCTAGTCCTGGTTCATGTACTTTAGCTTTCAAACTTGCGGAGCATTATGAATTACAACATGAAGTGGATCAAATGCAGCGCTGTTTCGAAGAGTGCCTCGATCATTTGGTGCTACAATATCACATATTGAGTGACGACAATAGAGACACGTACAGTAAAAGACAGAAAATCACCTTTGTCTACAGCATATACATGAACGCTATGAAAAGGGTATCGGGACTCTCGTCGGCTCGTAAAGTTTTTGGTAAGTGCCGTAAGCTTAAGGATTTACTGACACATGAAATCTACGTGGAAAACGCGTATCTTGAATTTCATAATCAAAACGATCACAAAACTGCGTGCAAAGTATTGGAGCTAGGCATGAAGTATTTTGCCGATAATGGTGAGTATGTGAACAAGTATCTGGACTTCCTGATTTTGATAAATCAAGATGGCCTCATCAAAACCCTTTTCGAGACTTCAATCGATAAGGTAGTCGACACAGACGAGCTTCAGATCTTTTACAAAAAGGTGATCAATTATGAATCCAAATTCGGTAATTTAAGCAGTGCTTATTCTATTGAAAGTAGATTTTTCGAGAAGTTTCCACAGTTGGAGAAAATCGAAGTGTTCACTGATAGATATCAAATTCAAAACAACAACCTCATCAAAAAATTAGAGCTCAACTACCTGTACAAGGCTGAATTACCAGCTGACTCATTCGTAACAGGCCAAAAAAGAACTAGAGAATTATCAAGTGCGGACGAAAGTAAGAACTCAAAAAAACAGAAATCTCAAGACTTCATCTCTGATAAAGTCATCGAGCTGCTTAAAGTTCTACCAAAGCGTCAATACTTCAAGACAGCAGTCCTGGACGCAGAGAAGCTAACTCGATATTTGTCTGAAAACGTGAGTATACCGTCTAGCACGGAACAAAAATAGAGACTTTTTTTTCCGTATTCTACTAATCTAAATTCTATATACAATGTAAAATTCACCTTCAGGAACGGTAATCACCATTGATAGTCACATACTCATGACTCAAGTCACAAGTCCAAAATTGACACTCTTCAGAGCCTGTACCCAAATCGACCAAAATTTCAAGATCTGGTAAACTCAAGATTTCAGAGGCTCTTGCCTCATCGATGTCGAATTGCGGGACGCCATTGGAGACAAGTTTGAGTTCACGGGGTGTGGAAGTATCCGTGGCAATGAAACTTACGTTGATCTTAGACTCGTCTAAGGAAGCCAAGTTGTCGAGCTTGGAGTAACCGATAGCACACAAGATTCTGCCCCAATTAGCATCTTGACCATACAGGGCACTCTTCACCAACATGCTGTTCGAAATTGTTTCCGCAATAATTTTTGCGTCTTTAAACTTAGCGCTGTTCTTAACATTCACCGTAACAAACTTAGTAGCACCTTCACCGTCACGCACAACCAACTGAGCCAGTTGTTTGGCAAACTCTGTGACTTGCGCACTCACTTTTGCGAAATCCTCAGAGTTTTCGTCAATTTTTGTGGCGTTAATGGCACCATTGGCGAGCATACAAATCGTGTCGTTAGTACTCATATCACCGTCTACTGAGATACAGTTAAAAGAACGGTTCACAGCACCGGACAACATTGTTTGCAAAGCGGTTGTTTCAATAGGGAGATCTGTAACAATGAAGCCTAGCAGCGTAGCCATGTTAGGACAAATCATACCTGCACCTTTGGACATCCCTGTAAGTGTGTATTCTGTTCCGTCAGATAATTTGAATTTGGAAGTAATTAGTTTGGGGAAAGTGTCGGTAGTACAGATAGATTTTGCGAGATTCAGCCAACCGTCAAAGTCGGCAGAAAACTTCTGCTCCTGAAATATAGTGTCGATACCTTTGGAGATTTTGTCCAGTTGTAGTCTTTGGCCAATGACACCAGTGGACATGAGAAGAGTACCGTCGCTCCTTCCAATAAGTCTGTTAACTTGATTAGCTACTTTTCCTGCGTCCTGCATACCGAGTTCACCAGTTACAGAATTGGCACAGCCCGAATTCACAACGATGGCATCAACGCCTTCGCCAGAACCGGTCTCCAGAACCTTCTTAGAAAATAGGACAGGCGCAGCTTTAAATCTGTTGGTGGTGAAAACCGCAGCTGCACTAGATTTTTGGGACTTGTTAACATTGCGGATAATACCTAAATCGACGGCTCCACTTTTCTTCACGCCTGATGCCAGGGAAGCGACTTCGTAGCCTTTGGGAAAGACACCGGATTTCGGAACGAATTGAGCATACTTGTCTAGCGTTTTGCTTGCAGACTGCAAAATGGAGCTCGAGACTTTCATGTTATGGATGAATTATTTGGGGATCTAAACTTGATCAGAAAGATGAGTCGATCATTGAATTATTTTTTGTAGATAGCGAGCGCCGTTATCAGCTTGCAGTGACTATTGACATGCCGCCGCCCACTTGAGCATTAAAAACGAAGATAAACAAGAACGTACGTAGTCTTCAATCAAGTTGCCAGCCAAAAAGAACCCAGCCGATCATAACAGGAACTTAGATGAGTGGCAAAGCTCAGAAAAAAACTGGTATTGAAAGTCATCTACCACTCTCTTTCTGATCAGACTCCGCAGTGAAATTTAATGCCCTGAAAATGTCAGCCCTTCAAAAAACTTCGCCAGCAAATCGCTAGGAAGTGTTGTACAGCGCTGCTTGAGCACTTGGTTCTTGTTCAGTATGTCGCCTAGTTTTATACGCATTTTTTGCACACTGATGGATGGCACAAATCAGGTAATCTTCTCATATTTCATTATCTTGTGGTAGAAAAACTCTACACGTTCGGCATGGACAACAAAGGAATTGCTGATGAGAGTAGTGTGCTGCTGTGCATATGCGGTTGAAACCGACTTATGCTGAAGATGGAAGTAAAGCACAATATGACTTCTGAGTTGCAAAATTGACGGAATACTTCTTTTGTGCTAGATATGTAGAACATTTCATACAAACTACGCACTTTCTAAAAGTGCGGCCGTTATGAGACCATATTCTGTTCAACTTGGCTATGTCACTTTGCACTTTATTGTCATGATGAGAGTGAGTTTCCGCAGCTCAACAACGACATCGATAAGAGAGCCGGCGTCTCCTGCCTATCTTACGGAATCCAAGAATCCCGTTTCGCAACGACTGACTACATTTTAACACCCCCACGAATTATCATATACGACTTTCAATAAAATAGGTAGAGCGGTTGAGGGCGCTCATAAAATCATGCAAATTCGTATACCAGTTTTTTATTCGTTTCCGCCATGTTACTGTTAAGCGTGCACTTTCGCTTCTGAGTAAGCAAACAATTGTACAAGTGGGCGACAAGGCGAAGCGCTTAAATATGCATAACCAATTGTTATAGGTGAATAGTATGTGGTAGAAACTAATTTGAAAACAGCAGATGCTTGCCTATCTTTTGACAAATATATATGTAAAAAACAGTATTAGTATAGTAGTATATTAGTGAGGTCTCACAGATTCGGATGCAAGAAGGAATGGAATAATAAATGGAGCCGACGCGAGAACCGAGAGGAATATGTTTGAGAGCGGATAGGCGTTAAAGTGTCAAGTGTTCGATTCTTGGAAAAAATGATCACTCGGACTTTTGAGAAGAGGAAGAGCCGTCAACTGGCGGCTGGGGGGAGGCCCCATTAGCACCAGCGGCGGCGTTATCTTCTTGGTCCTTCTTTTCGAACAAAGTGTAACCAGCAGCACCACCATTAGTGTGACGGTTGGTCAATTCATTTTCATTGTCAGCAGCTCCATCAACGTCGAGATCTTGTTTTTCCAAATCGTCATCGTACAGACCCAAGGCGTTGGCTTGATCGTCGACTTCGGCCAAGGAAAGTTTTGGCAAGTTAGCGGCGACTCTCCAGGCTTGGGTACCGTCGATGTGGGCTTTGGCGAAAATGATGTCGATTTCCTCCAAAGATCTACCAGCGGTTTCTGGGTAGAAAAAGAAGATAACTGGGATGTACAAGTAGTTGATGGCGGCGAAAAATAGGTAACAGCCCCATCTGGCGTCGTGCACGAAAACTGGAGTAAACATAACAACTGCGAAGTTACAGAGCCAATTGGTACAAGTGGACAAAGCATTTGTAGCGGAACGAACACGCATGGAGGCGATCTCGGGTGGGTAGATCCAAGGAAGTGACAGCATGGACATACCAAAGAAAATAATGAACAAGAATAAACCGACTGCAGCACCTTTTGCGGTTTGGGTCTTACCATCAATCAGACACGCAAATGTAATAGTGAAGGAAAGGGCTTGACCTGTAACACCCAATAAAAACAACTTACGTCTGCCCAAAGATTCAACTAGGAAAAATGAAGGAATAGTGGATAGAGCGTAAATGGTTGCGAAAACACCACCCAAGATGAGTGGTAATTTGCCAGTTAGATGAATGGAATCTTCAAACAACACGGTACTGTAGTAAATAGCAGCGTTACAACCGGTAAATTGCTGGAAAAACTGGGTGGAAGAGGCGATGAGGGCACGTTGAAGGTTTTGGGAGTTACCACCGGTGAACAGATCTTTGATGGAACGTTTTTCGTGACGGAAACGGTTGACGGTATCTTGGATAGCGGTGGCCTCGGCAACAATGGCGTCATCGTCAATTGGTAGATCGTCGAGCGCAGCCAAGATATGGATAGCCTCTTGGTTGCGACCCCGAGACATGAGCCAACGTGGAGAATCCGGTAGCTCCCAAATGCCGATCAGCAGCATGATTGCGAAGAAAATCTGCATGGCAACGGGGAAACGCCATTGTACGGAGGAATCGACGTAGGAAAGACCGAAATCGATCCAGTAAGCGATCATGGTGCCGACAGCGATGACGGAACCTTCGAGATTGACGAGAAGACCACGGTTTTCGGGCTTGGACATTTCGGATTGCCACACGGGGATGGTGGAGGTGTTGAGACCGGTACCCACGCCGGTGATGACACGGCCCACGACAAACTGGCCGAGCCCCCAGTGGGGGCCGAAAGCGGACGTGGAGATGACGGTGCCCACGATGGTGGCGATGGCGCCCATGATGACCATGGGCTTACGGCCCAAACGCTCGCCGCTGAACATGACGAACAGCGAGCCGAAGAAACAGCCGATCTCGTAGCACGCGGTGACAGCGCCCTGCACCAGGGTGGCTTTCCGGTCGTCGGCGTCGACCCTGTAGGTAGCGGGGAACTCGCTGTTGAATTGTTTTCCGGTGATGAGGCCGGACATCAGCCCTTGGTCGTAGCCAAAGAGCGAGAAACCGGTCACAGCGGTGATGGTGATGGCCACTCGCAGCGAGTTACCACGCAGCCCCAGCGTGCTGGTTCTGCTGCCCATGGAGAGTTTCATGGCGGCACGTGATCTGCTTCGAGAGAGCTGGGAGAGCTGGGAATGTAGACGATGCGATGCGATGCGATGCGATGTGAACTTGGCGATGTGAACTTGGCGATGTTGCTACAAGTCCTGGTCGATGGTGCTACTAATCCTGGTCGAGGCTGGCTGCGGCTGATCCAACTGCGATCGAAGCCCTCGTCGCTTTTCCGGCTCTCTTATATACCCACCCACTCTGCGCTGGCCCATCGTCCAGCGTTGGCCCAGCGTTCGCCCGTGCCCGCTCCGATGCCCGCTCCGCCACAACACGTCTGCTTGGACTACGTTCATTGGCTGCAACAAGGCCCTTTGCCATAAAGTTTCGCTTTTCGTGTGGTCGATGACGTGGAAAGCGAAAATCGGAGCGCTTTCTATCGCCTCAGCTGTGCGCTAGTGCCTTACGCCTATGCCCTAGTCTGCCGTACTACTACTACTACTACTCTACCGTGCTACTAATACTCTACCGTGCTACTCTGCGCTACTGTTGTCCTGAGCTTTTCTTCCACTGTGACGTTTTCTACTCTGTTCTGCTCCCACGCCTTCTCTCGAAGAAGCCCGAGTTCTCTCACTGCAACAAAACCCACGTCGCCGCGTATGCGGTTCAACCCTGCGCCAAGCACTGGGCAAAAAAGCCGAGGAGGGAGACGAAGAAGACAGAAGAGGAGGGAGACGAAAAAAGAGAGGGAGCCGCAAGGAAAAGAAAACAGCGGAACAGACAAGAGAGGGTCAAAGGAGAGAGAAGAGGAGAGGAGAGGAGAGGAGAGGAGAGGAGAGAGGAAGGGGTAGTTGGATGAGTTCGGAGGGGCGTGTTTGTGTGGGGAGAGGGAGAGAAAAACGATTCCGGGAGGAGCACGTGACGCGGAGGTCACGTGGGAGGGAGGGGAAAGGCGGAACGGGAGAGAGCGTTGGCGAGGTGGGCGAGAGGTGGGCGAGAGGCGGGTGTCGTTTCAGCGAGAAGTCGTGCGCCGAAGATGTGTAGAGCTGCCGGTTTCTCACGCTGTCACTGTGTCACTCTGTACTATTCTGTCACCAGAACCGTCACTCTGTACTCTTGTGTCACCGCAGCACGTATAGTTCCATACCCACTACATGGCCTCTGTGATCCCGGACGCAGCCAAGTATCCCTACTGTGCAAATCCCTCTCCCATGAGACTGGGTAAGAATCTCGAGCGTGAATTGCATAAGGAAGCAGGTCCGTGGGATCAGACGCATTATTCGATGCATCTGCGCGAACCGAAGACAAGCACAGACGGTGCTCCAAAGATCTGGTAACCGGCCGATGAAGCACTGGGAACTACTGGTGTATCGTACGACTATCCTAGTCCGATTGAAACTCCAAGGCGCTCTTTCTAATATATACACCGACCGGTTGTTCCGCTCGATGAAAGTGTCCTGGAGATGTAAGTATTTCCCCAGGCCCTGATCCGAATTAGTTAGACACACCACGAACGACAGTTCAGCGCGCTAGCCACTACCGACGTATATAAGCCCAACAAATCTTGCGGCTTATAATAAAAGAGCGAACGCTCTACCAATGGGGCTGATACAACTCCTTTGGGGCTCCCACCTTTTGAGATTCATACGTATATTAGCCCCCTCTTCGGGCTTCGTGTTGAGCGCAATTGTCGTATCACAACGCTTGACCAATCCTCACTATCAACTCAATTACTCGGATTCCTGCGCTACATTTGCAGAATGAAGGTCCATGACAGAATAGTACAAAGTGACCGCGCTCAATCCAGCATATCCACCCAGAGAGTGAGTAAAACTGCAGAGGTCTAGACGGCGTTGACAACTGCCCATGGTCACACTTCTCATCACTGGTGCCCATCATCGATTGTATAAGTACCGATAGTTTGATATACAAGTCGAGAACCTCGATCTTCACATCGGGAAAGACTACGAACAAGTACAATCCCAGAGCCTAACGAATTGATCAAATACACCTTGAACAACCACTTCAGCAAGCTAGCTCCTAACGGCCAAAGCCTCAATAGAAATAGCACTTTGATCATAATGATACCAAGCTCACATTTAGCGCTGTCACTTTCTTCACTACATCCTGCAGGCTATAAACAATGAAGAGTCTGCGAGCACCAGAGATCTACTCTCTTTCTTCATCTCTAGTTGACTGAAAGATATCTTAATACAATACTACTGCATATTGGAAAGACAAACTCTTGACGACAGGAAAAGCTTGTATGCCCATGGGCTCGTAATAATTTAGGTCAAATAGGTCATTCTTGCAGAGTAGTCAGGATTACTTTCGCCGGTTGCTCTCGACACCACGGGCTCCACAGCCGTGGGCTCCATAACCGTCGTCTCCGAAACCATATGCTACGCAACCGCATGCGAAGTAGACTCCTGTGCCAATGCCTCGATATCAGTTGCAGCACGGCTGATTGCAAAGTTGAAATTTCTTAGTAGCCACGCAGTAACATCGCTACTCTCCAACTCAACGCCCAAAGCGCGGCCAATTGGTGCCACCACGTTTACTCGATACAGAATCGACGAACACGGAGATGAATCAAAGGCTAGTTTAAACACCCCAATAGATGCCTGAGCAGCTTCGCAAGGCACACGATAAACCCAGAATCAATGAAAGTAATTGCCATGATCGTCATTAAAGGTTTCATGTGAAAACTCTCCGAAGCACAGACGAAACTGCCATCGTCGAAACCCAGCTCAATTCATGCTGTGAGCATGAGGGTGGTCATGACTACCTCAAATGCAAACACAACAAGAGCACCGATATTGACATGAACTGAGACTATGATCATAATGATCAAGTAGAATGCTGAAATACTGCCCAGGTTAAGTCCTTATGTTGAATAATACTCTCCGTCGTAGGTCAAATATCCTAAAAGCCCAACGTGTGTAAGCAACGGCAAAGGCTGCACCATACGAAAAACACGCAAAAACGTAGGGTTGGAATACCATGCCAGTGAGCTCCTGATTGAACCTTTCTCAGTGTTACCGCCACCTTAATAAACTAGTGTGCATTTTGTGTTGCTTGTCCGATTGATTTATCTACCTCCAACTGAAAATTTACGCCTACCTTTGAATTCACTTCGAATCCCTGGATTTGCCACATCGGCGCTAGCGGTGCAGACGGGACTTTTTTGGATTTGGTAGAGCGAGTTTTCTCGCTCGAGCCTTGCATCGAAACTTGCCGCGCATTTCCTCAAATAAATGCTACGTAATTTATCAAAGGGCTCTTGGTTCCTGCATTCACTGGCAGGAAAGATTATCAGATTAAGAAAGCGATTGATACCTGCATTGCGAGGGCTTCGGGGTTTAGGCAAATTTAAATTTGTCAAGATTAACACCGATGACCGTTAAATAGCATGTACAGTTACATACTCGTCAGTAGTAGTTAGCTTGCTTAAATGGCCAAGCTGTTCATTTTGTCTAATTAATCCTTCGCGTATGGCCTGATGTCATCTGTGGACTGGCTGTCACTGGAAAAAGGCCTTTCTCTGTTATATTTACTGCGTCTGATTCATTGTTTGCATCTTTCGTTGTGTCATCGGGTGTTTTCCTCTCTCACTCTTCCTTCAAGCTCTTACCATAACACCGTTTTGGCAATATATGGGAGATGCAAGGTTTTCAAAACTATCAAGTTAAGTTTCCTCACCGTTACGTAACAATGGAGATATTCATTATCCTCTTTTGATGGCGTTTTGTGCATTGAGCCTAAAGCTTTCATGGCGATCGGTTCGACTCGTACTTCTGGTAGGTGCGTTAGCAGAATATGACAAGCCAGCTATTTTCTGAATAAGCCTACTGAAATAGTATGCCAAAACCCTCATTTCGCGTTTTCCTCTTGACATTTTGCTCAAGTTGGGATTACAAATATGCCGTTTCCCTTGCTCGATGGGCGTCATTCACATTGGAAGTTGTCCATATCACTCAAGTCTCGTAATCCACGCAGGTATTAGCCAAATGAGCAATTGCTCTCTTTTTTCCTGCAGTGGGCTCTCTTGTAGAATCACCATCAGAATCGAGAATAATTTCTTCGAAATTTAATGTCCGTAACATGTCCAGGACCTTTGTAATAAATGGCACAAATGTTACCACTTTCGGAACCTGATGGAAGGCATTGTGTCGTCGTTATATCTGGGGGTTGACATTTTTTCTAGCCTTCTGGCTTACTTCAGGTCGAACGATTCTCATTCAGTCATCAAATAAATTACTTTCAGATCCTGACTGCTCGGTGTCAGTTTTAGACTCAGTGATCCGGTACGTAGAGATATCCCTTCTTCAAAGAAGTTTTTACCCGAAGGTTAATAGTCGGACGCGAAATGCTTTGACGATTTCCTCTTTGAGATCTTTTGGTGCTTATTGTCCTTCTCGACAATTTTGTCATCCTTAGCGGCGCTGCCATATTGGGACATACCTGCGTCAACACTAAACTTGCTGAACTGGTTATTTAAGTCGTTTTTGAAGTGTCGGATTAATTCGTATCCGAAACTGGTATTCTACTTTGGTTAAAACTTTCTTTGCACGTAATTTGGTAATACGTCTTACAGTTCGTCATTGCTTGTCATTGCTATAAAACATCGACGAACAAACCTGCCACTATGGTATGATTGTTCTTTTTTCTCACCAGAACACAGAGCAGAGTTAATTGCTTTGTCCTACCACCCGCCTTCGACACTTAAAGTCACACCGGATGATTGGCGCTTAAGAAATCATGAATGTACTCTAACGTTGCTACATTATGCGGAAAGAATGCTCACACAGTAACTTAACACAATTTGTCTACTAATCATCTGACAGCACATAAACAGCAGGATGTGAGGCGGAGTTTGCAATAACTTATGAATGGATCTACTTTGAGAATACAGACAGTATTTCAGCTCAAATCATATCAGGTCAGATCACGTGCTCGGCTGATCAAGAAAAAAGACACGCGTAATGCCTTTTAAAAACTATGATCAGGGTCATCACAGCTTCGCAGTACCCTATTCTATCCGATATCTGACGACATGAAGCGATCATTCTGTGACGACCAACACATTTTTGAGACCAAAAAGACCCAACTATATACATCGGGATCTGGGGTAGATGCCTTCAGAACTATGTTAATGTCTGCAAGACATGTTTCGCGTTCTGCTTTTCAAGAACAAGAAAATCATCAAAACTGCTACTATTGTGACTCCCACAAGACCTGTGCAACCTGTGAGACTTGTCACCAAGTTATATGCTCCATGTGCAGCCTAGGAGGAACAGATACCTGTCTAAACTGCAGCGTTAGTTGCTGAAACAAGTGCAAACCGAAGCCCTAAAACGTGTCACATGATCGATCACACTTCACGTCCAAAGCATTTCATTTTCATAAAGTATTTGGCCCCTATTCGCATCTCACTTTACTGAAACCTGCTCTTCACGCATAGAATTTAACTTGATCGGTTGTTTCAAAGCTGGGGATCCACCATAATAATACACCATATAGGATTCCGGTCATGACTACCTATCAAAAGTTGGTAAAAGGCGCCACAAAAATCAAGATGGCGCCTCCCAAGGCCAAATACGTTGATCCAATCCTAATGGGAACCTCGGAGCCTCATGACTTTCGAGAAATTATACATGCTTTGGAGAGCAGAGTCATGGATACAGCATGGACTGTCGTTTATAAATCGCTAATTTTGGCGCATATCATGATTCGAGAAGGTGAAGCTAACGTGACAATAAAGTACCTTTCCAATCACTTGGAGTTTTTCCAGCTCAAGGACATATTTCAATCCAAACTCTCTTCAGGGGATCTACAAGCATTACGGCGGTACAAAGACTACTTAAAATGCAGGTGCGAGCAGTACGCTGAGACAGGAATAGATTACGTACGGGATGGAAATTCCAGCTTGAAAGGACCTGTGGCTGACGATCCTAAAAAGTCACTAGATCGCGTGCAGTCTTTGGAGCTACAGGTGACGGCTCTTATCAAGAACCGGTATTCGCAGTACGATTTAGGCAACGACTTGCTCATGACTGCTTTTCGTCTTATGGTGCAAGATTTGTTGGTCCTTTACAACTCTTTGAACGAGGGTATTATTACACTGCTGGAGAGTTTCTTTGAACTGACTCATCAAAATGCCGAGCGGACTTTGAAGCTATATAAGAGATTTGTGGAATTGACCGAGATTGTTGTAAAATATTTGAAAACAGGGAAAGCGGTCGGTTTGAAGATTCCAGTAATCAAGCATATTACTACAAAATTGATAAAATCATTGGAAGAACATCTGCGCGATGACGCAAATAAGGGTCAAACATTTTCTGCAGACGATTCCAGAACTCCTGCGCAGCGGGAATTGGAACAGATTCGGGAACAAAAGAGGCTTCTCGAACAACAGATTAATTCGCAACAACAGATGATAATATCCCCAACTATTCCTCAGCAGCAAACGGGCTACAACCCATTTTCGGAGGGTTTTAGCTTTGAGCAGGGACCGGTAACAGTGCAGCCAACAAGCAATCCTTTCATGGCGCAAGCGCAGCAGCAACAGTCACAGGTGGCCGCCCCGCAAGTTCCGCAGACCTTACAATATCAAAATACTCAACCACAGGGTCTTCAAATTCAAAACACCCAACCACAAGGTCTTCAAATTCAGAACACGCAAGGATTACAATACCAGAACACTCAACCACAGGGTCTTCAAGCTCAAAATACTCAGGGATTACAGTACCAGAACACCCAACCACAAGGGTTTCAAACCCAAAACACTCAGGGATTACAGTACCAAAACACCCAAATGCAGCAGCAGCAGCAGCAGCAGCAAATGCCCGCTCAAGGTATGCAATACCAACAAACCCAATTGCCGCAGGTAGCATCTCCCCAGGCGCCTGCTGTGCAGTTCCAACATGCCCAGGCCAATCAGCAATCGCCTCAACTACAATCTGCCCACACGGGCTACTACAGCACCAATACCCAAGTGACGCCAAATTTCACAGGCGCTGGGTTCGGTGGTTACAGCTCTCCTCCTCCTGCTGGTGGTGCCGCTGGTGGTGCTGCTCACCCAGTGCAGATATCTTCGCCCACGGGATCGAACAATCCGTTCTCGCTCGACAACATAGCAAAAGTCAACGATGAGCGCGAGAGAGTCAATCCCTTCTCACAGACCAGCCAGAACGTGGGTGTGGGCGTGAACGCTACCGGGAACGCTAATCCGTTCGGCGCACAACCACAAGTCCTCAACCAACACACGTTCGGAGGACTGGAAAACTTGCCCACGGTGCCAGTCTTCCCCCAGGCCCAGCAGTACCCTCAACAATACGCCCAGCAGCAGCAGCAGCAACAGCAGCAGCAACCTGGCCGGCACCCGTACCGCGGCGAAGGCCCTAATCTCATCGACATCTGAATTGTATAATAGAAAAACACACGCACCAAAACCCCCTGCATTCTGAGGCCGCGAGGAACTGGAGCTGCCGACGTAATACACACACCTTTCGATTCCGCCCGTTCGAACCGCAGAGCACGTGTATATCACGTGAATGTCACATGCCACCAACCCACGTGAGAGTCACGCCCTTGTCGCGTGACTTTTGCGTCACCAAGCTTTTGACTTTCTTTTTTTTCTTTTTTTCTTCTGTTAGATTCGTTTTTTAACTCAGCTGGCTTCCGGTAGCTTCGCCTGCACGACGCCGGTTAGGACGCTGAGCAAGAACACGTATTTTGAGCCTAAAAAACAGGAAGCCGGCCACGAGATGGCGCTACTGCCTGATTTTTAATAACCTGGTGATGGACAACATCAGCGCATTATGGAAAGGGAAGAATTGCTGGAGCCCATATAAGAAGTGGAGATGCAGGATCAGGCTAGTAAAGCAGGAGTTTAGGGTTCCGGTTTGCGGATCTTTTGCAATCAATTTCGCGATAGTTTTTAAACATTTGGCGCAGACGAAAATCGCATATTCAAATTGTGGATTTTACTTCTGTTGGGCCTTTAATTTAGACTTGAACTGTTACTCGAAGGACTCTTAAGCGACTGTTACAGCTCGTTTTGGTGTGCGTACGTTCGGAAAAACAATTCTCGAAAGTTGACTGCTGGTAAGAAAATCTAGGAAACACCTTTTTTTTCCCGCTCTCGCTGTGCTTTCTGCCATAAACATCTCCCCACACCAATGACTCAGGACTCGGTGTACGGGGTCGCGTTCAGATCTGTCGCCACGGCAGACGAGGTGGCTTACAGAAACGCTATCAAATTCTACCACAAGCTGGGCTTTTTCACTGTCAAGACCTACGACAAGTTCAGAGGCACCAAGCAAGGTGCTCTTTCGTCCGGCACCGCCCAAGGATCCGTCAAGGAAACCTGGTTGGAAAGTTTCAAGCTTTCCGAGGTCGACAGCAACGGGTTCCGTATCCCACAGCAAGAGGCCTCGAACCACGAACAGAGCGACGGTGCTTTGCTGAAAATCAGACTTGTGTCGGAAAAACCCTTCACAGCCGGCGATGCCCGCGTCACGTACTACTCTGCTGAAGAGGACCACGTCTCGAAAGCCCTCCCGGACGCCAAGAAGCTTGAAAACGGCGAGTTCGCCGTAGAGGACCCTCTTGGCAACGAAATTCGCTTCTCCCCATACGTGAGAGCCGGTGACAAAAAGCCTGTCGGCAAGGACTTCTTTTTGGACGAATCCAAGTCTCCAAGCGACTACCTAAAGCCAGAAAGCGCCGCATCGGCTAACTCAAAAGACTCGCCTGCCTCTGCCGGCAACGGCGCTGTCAAAAGAAAAATTGCTGTCATGACTTCTGGTGGTGATTCGCCTGGTATGAACTCTGCGGTGCGTGCCGTGGTTAGAACCGGTATCTATTACGGATGCGACGTTTACGCCGTTTACGAAGGTTACGAAGGTTTGTTAAAAGGTGGAGACCTACTGCGTAAGATGGAATGGCAAGATGTCAGAGGCTGGCTCAGCGAAGGTGGTACTTTGATTGGTACTGCTCGTTGTATGGAGTTCAGAGAACGTTGGGGCCGTAAACAAGCCGCTGCTAACTTGATTTCAGAAGGTATCGATGCGCTTGTGGTTTGCGGTGGTGACGGTTCTCTTACTGGTGCCGATCTGTTCAGATCTGAATGGCCATCTTTGGTCGCAGAGTTGGTCGCAGACGGTGCTTTCACCCCTGAGCAAGTCGAGCCCTTCAAGAACTTGAAAATTGTCGGTTTAGTAGGCTCCATTGACAATGACATGTCTGGTACAGACTCCACCATTGGTGCTTACTCTGCTCTAGAAAGAATCTGTGAAATGGTGGACTACATTGATGCTACCGCCAAATCTCACTCTAGAGCTTTCGTGGTCGAAGTCATGGGTAGACATTGCGGTTGGTTAGCTTTGATGGCTGGTATTGCCACTGGTGCCGACTATATTTTTGTTCCAGAAAGAGCTGCTCCAGCTGGAAAATGGCAAGAAGAACTAAAACAAGTATGCCAGGCTCACAGGAAAAAGGGACGCAGAAATAATACTGTTATTGTGGCTGAGGGTGCGCTTGATAACAATTTGAATTCAATCACGGCCGAGCAAGTTAAAGACGCTTTGGTCGACTTGGGTCTCGACACAAAAATTACACAACTGGGCCACGTTCAAAGAGGTGGTACTGCTGTGGCACACGATAGATGGTTGGCCACTTTGCAGGGTGTTGATGCAGTGAAAGCTGTTCTGGAGATGACGCCCGAAACTCCTTCTCCCTTAATTGGTATTTTGGAGAATAAAATCATTAGGATGCCATTAATGGAATCTGTCAAGCTTACCAAAAGCGTTGCTGAGGCCATTGAAAATAAAGACTTCGACAAAGCTATCTCGCTACGTGATACAGAGTTCATTGAATTATATGAAAACTTTATCTCCACCACTATCAAAGACGACGGTTCCGAAGTGCTACCAGAGAATGAAAGACTCAATGTGGCCATTGTCCACGTTGGTGCTCCATCTGCAGCTTTAAACGCTGCCACTCGTGCTGCTACTCTATACTGTTTATCTCGTGGTCACACTCCATCGGCCATCCTAAATGGCTTCAGCGGGTTGATTCAAACAGGCGAGGTAAAAGAGCTCTCTTGGATCGATGTTGAAAACTGGCATAACCTGGGAGGTTCCGAGATTGGTACGAACAGATCTGTTGCTAGCAGCGACATGGGGTCCATCGCTTATCACTTCCAGAAGAACAAGTTCGACGGTGTTATCATTCTTGGTGGTTTCGAAGGTTTCAAGTCTTTGAAGGAGTTGCGTGACGCTCGTGCACAATATCCAATCTTCAACATTCCAATGGTGCTAATTCCTTCCACTGTTTCCAATAACGTTCCAGGTACTGAGTACTCATTGGGTGTTGATACCTGCCTCAACTCGTTGGTCAACTACACTGACGCTATTAAACAATCTGCTTCTGCTACTAGAAGAAGAGTTTTCGTAGTAGAAGTTCAAGGTGGCCACTCTGGTTACATTGCCTCCTTCACTGGCCTGGTAACCGGTGCCGTCTCTGTTTACACCCCTGAAGACCAAATTGACTTGAAAAGTATCAAGGAAGATTTGACTCTGCTAAAGGAAAATTTCCGCCACGACCAAGGTGAAACTCGCAACGGTAAGCTTGTGATCAGAAATGAGCAGGCATCGTCCATTTACACGACCGAGTTGCTAGCTGATATTATTGCCGAAGCCTCGGGCGACAAGTTCGGCGTTAGAACCGCAATCCCTGGTCATGTCCAACAAGGTGGTGTGCCCTCATCGAAGGATCGTGTGACTGGCTCTAGATACGCAGTCAAGTGTGTCAAATTTATTGAAGCCTGGAACAGGAAGAACTCTGATGAACAAAACGAGGATTTCAAGATTTTAAGATTCAAATATATTAACGGCGTTAAGGAATTTACAGTCCAAGATGAAGATGCCTCAGCGGCTATCATTGCCGTCAACGGATCTCGTATTTCTTTCAAACCTATCGCTCACTTGTGGGCTGAAGAGACCAATGTTACGTTGAGAAAGGGTCACGAAATTCACTGGGAAGAGTTCAATAAGGTCGGCGACATGCTTTCCGGTAGATGCAACCTCAGAAAAGAGGTTGGCGCTGAAGACAGTGCGTAAATTTAATGCCACTCCACTTATATTAACATTAGGTGTACGATATAGAGTATGATGAATTTAAACGACAAATTAAGGATAAAGTTCGCTTGGGATATTCAGGAAAACGAGTAGAAGCCGAATAGTGAACCTGAAACTAAAGCTCCCAAGATGGGCAAACACCCTCCTAGTAACGACATCCTCGTGGTTGTTAATGACGGCATGTAGTTACCAACTATCGAAATAGCTCTAAGGAGAAACATCACAATGAGCGACCTGGTGGTAGCTGAAAAAGAGCCGAAGAGATGAGATATTGGGGCGATGACCATTGAAAGGCTCCCTTTGATTAATCTTAGCGCGCTCATAAAATTTCCCAGCTCCAGCTTGAAACTCTCCAAGCTGATGTCTAGCTGGCGTACACTAGCAACCGTACGATTGAGATTTGTATTAATGATTCCGAAAGTGCTGTCCAAATTATCGCTCCAAGAATTTGTCTTGTTGATGACTACGTTGTCAATCTCCTGTAGATCGGCCAATAACTTTTGTGAAAACTGCTCCAGATGTGGGCCCATCTCATCTTGCACCAAAGGAATCATCGAGTTCTGTATTAAGTTCTTGAAGTCTTGAAAGGCTACTATGATATCCATGTAAGAATTATTAACGTCCTCATCAAGCTTGTACAAGTTGTCTGAAGACTTAGAGCTAAATCGATCGAGGACCGCGTTCACCTCTCGCAACTGAGAGATACTGTTTAGGCTCGCGGCTTCCGCGTTTTCTGCCACGGTTTGCAGCTGTTCCAAACTTGTGTCTTTCAATAACCTTATCTGTTCCTCATAGTCATCAGTGTTTAATTCAATGTTTATTTTCTCAATGTATTGCTTTAGAGTTTTCAGCTCAAGCCAAAGGTCAGTTTCAACATCTAAGACTTGGGTCTGGACTGCCACGACGCTGTCATTTAGACCACTGAAGGCTTCATCCTCAAATTGTTCAAATTTGTGCAAAAACGACTCTAAGTTATCGGAGTAGGTTTGACCCATTGCTTCAACTTGCTTCTCGAAGGCTTCCTGAAACTTTTGAATGTTACTAGTAGTTAGATTTTCTAAAATCTTAAACTTATCCGTTAAGTGGGCTTCAAGCATCTCATTGAAAGTGGAATAAACATCGGTGATATTAAGAAAAAGGGCGAGTAGCTGTTCTTTCTCGAAAGGGAGTGAATTCTCGTAACACAGAGTTGACAGACGTTGATAGTTGCCACTATAGGTCGTCCACCACTGAGGAGAGCTCTTCATTTCATCAACACATTCTTTGATTCCATTGAAACTTGAGTCGGTGCAAGATTTGGGCTTCATCTCAAGACCGGACTCTTCAAATTCACAAAAAGACAGCTTGACTGCCGCCTGGACCCTAAGTTTAGGATCTATTGTTTCGATTCCATGTTGCATACACTGTGGTAAAAAGTCCTTCAAAGCTTGGCCTGCACAAAACCCTTTGTAGAAAGGAAAACTCGTTTCGATGATTCGACTCAGATCATTCAGGTCGGGTGAAGACTTGTGCAATGAAGATGACAGATGGTCGGCGTGGCCCAGCATTTTAAAACTTTGCGATCTGACAATTGCCAGTAACAATGCAAAAATCCATGGCTTAGCACCCATGCTGACCGACTCCTTCCCGTTCCAACATTGCTAGTCCCCGATCGAAGAAAGCTGAAGGTCAGCTCTTTCTATACTTGTAATGGCTGAAACTAATATGAAACATCTCAAGTAACGGCCCACGACCTGTAGAAGCTGTTACAATCGTAGACCACAATGATTATCTGCTGTATTCGTGCTGCGTCGTGAATTTCTGAGGTTTGATCAAGTTTGTGCCGACGGCTGCCTTCATTCAATCACTTTCTTTCTGAGCTGTTCGTTTCTGAGCAGCTTTCAAATAACCTCTTTGGATCCTCATACATCTGCTATGCAAAATCGGATGTGCTCGTGATATTTAACATCAGGCTATAACTTTCCATCCATCAAATTGATATTCTACCGGATGTATACACCCTATCTATAAGCCCCTTGGCCTGGCTAGCCGGTGTTTGGTCAAAAACTACACCTCAAGGGCGACTGGTCGTAGTGTAAGTGAGGTTCACTTCACAACTTGATCTGGACTGAGAGAAAGATTGACCAAGTCAAAGAAATATAGAAACCTCGACAACGCTAGTTTTCAAACGTGATAACATCCAGGTGTCCCGTTTTCTCCTTTTGACAAAAAGGAATTGAACGAAAGGTTGGATGTAAACTCAAAAGATGTGTAATCTAAAGCTGGGTGGAATCTTCATTAAACTCCTCAAAATAACATGATCATCAAGTGCGATCAAGGTCCGGCCACGTCTTAAATTCAATGATGTTAAAAATGCATTTTTTTGCTCTTGTTCTCGTTCCAGCCAGCTGGCTCTCCGAATATTTACATGTTTGTTTTAAAAAGATGCTGTTAGGTTCTTCGTCTCTTAGACTATGCATTTCAAATTCATCATGCGGCGTACCTAGTTAAGAGAGAGGTCATACCACGGTCTTTGGCCCTGGCTAAGATTTCTGAAATCATGGACTTGCCATCATTTGTTTGGGAGTTTGATTCAGATCTCAAAAGTGCCTCAAAGAGATCTTCTGTTTCTGCTTGCTCCAAAAAGATGAATTTCGCCGTCACCGACAGTCTGTTATAGTGCGGGATGAGAACCGATTCAATAAAATATCGTTTATCCTCGGGACGAAAACCTGGCAGTGGAGACGATTGCTCATCAACTTTTTGAGTTTGTGCGTTAAGTAGACTGGCATAAAAATTAGGATTGAGCTGCTGTTCTTGCCCGTTTATTAAATTTGTTACCACCGAGAAATTTTGATTTGCAGCGTACTGAACAATGAAAGCTCGATTAACTTTATTAGATAGCATTAGACCATAAAATCCCTTCGCTCTTTGCAAAAGCACCGACAGGTTGCATGAATTGACGACAGGTCTTGTATCTAAAAGGTTGACTCTCCGAATAAAATCCGGCAAAGTTTGATCCCAAATTTGTTTCCTTAGCTTAGATTGATCTATCATGTCGAGTAAAGATATTAACTCGTCAAAATGTCTGCAATATGTGATCAAGAACTCAACCATTCTTGGAGTCATGGCTGTTTCGAAGACAGGTTTGAAGTCAGAGATATATGCGAATCTTTTCAGGTAACTGTCGTGCGAGTCAAAGAGATCTACTTTCTGGTCAACAAGAGCTAGGTACCTTTCCACCAGCACCGGCTCTGGGCAAAGCCGTTTATTAATCAGATCAGTGAACAGTATTTTACTTTCATTCAATAGGCCAGAAGCGAGATAGAACTCTAAGATGGCTTGAACAACAGCAGGTGAAAAATCAAAAATGCAGTTTTGCCTATGAAACCTTTCAGAAATAGCATCTGTCAGGCTTAAAAGAGCAGATGTAACTTGTGGATCTGCTGGAATATTTTTTTCTTTGATGGTTGTCAACACTTGCAAAAGGAGAACTTCTGCAACGGACATATCATCGATATCTTTTTGCAGAAAATTGACTATAGATTGAACCACACCAATTATGCCATGTCTAGAATTGCAATAATGTTGCAAAATGTACAAGAATACCTCTTCACTAAACAATTTTGTTTCATGACAAAACATCATACTTTCTACCATGTTTGTGATCATGACGCAGTTCAGAGCATCAGCGTCCTTTTTCATAAAGAGAGAGGCAAATTGTTTGATTTGGGGAACTTGTGATTGATTCAGGTGACTGCGTCTGAGGACTTTGTCAGCGTCATGAAATCGAAGCACAGTAATATTCTTTTGATTCAGAGACTTCCCAGTTCTGTAAGCATTTAACCACTCATTGGCTTCTACGACGCTGTCGAACAGCCATCTGGCGTTGACAAGCGCTGACTTTTGATCCCGCGGACGCTTAATGATACTAGGAACGATTTTTCGACCTTCCAGCAATTGTGGGGTACTTTCCGAGGCACAGAGCAGCGCTCTCTCTATCGAATTAGGCAGATAAAAGGGGTGTATGCTCTCGTCATATTCTGGGATGATTCTCGGAAATCGTCTAAACGTTCCATTGTCTAAATTTTTGTGCGGGTTCTTCGCTATGATGCTCTCATTCAGCGTAGAAAATAACCTTTTGGGCGGCAGTTTTCTAATACTCATATCAGGCCTGTTAAGAAGACGAAACTTCCCTCCCGATATATGTTCAAGATGCACTTGCTGTCTCTAATGCAGCTAATTCATGGAAATCGATCAAAAATTTTCCCGTATTTCCAGGTTAAGTTGTGTCACGTGTGTGGTGGGACGGCATGTATTCCTTAGTCACACAGACCTATGAACCAATTCTGGTCTCTCTAATAATGTCTGAACAGGCGTAGAAGATTCTTCTGATCTGCGCCGAGACCCTTGCAGATCTTCGGAGCGAGCTTTTTCAAATTGTAATGGAAACAAGTCAATATGTTCCCCGTTACGCAATTTTTCATACTTTTGAAGAGACACTGACCTACGCACTCCACACATCATGAAGGAAGCGACACCCATTAGAACTGTACTGACCAAAAGAAGCCAGCCAGGCCAAGCCAAGAAAGGGACGAATAGCAGAATATCAACCAAAAAGCTTAGCAGTGACAAAAACACCGCAGGTAATGACCAAAGCACGGTGCAAGTAAGGATCTTGCGAGACTGTCCCAACCTTCGAGAGTTGATGGCTACCATAAGAAGCCAGAGCAGGAATGTAAAGAATAGAGAAATTGGATGTACGATTAAAAGCTTCGAAATATCGCGTTTCGCTCGTGACGGCAAAAATTCGCCTGGCGATTCTAGTTCCGCACATTCAAAGTCGTTTAAGTCGACGGTGTCACTACCGTTTTCGCAGCTGGTCACATACCCGATACGTCTGGCGGCGCAAACATTCGTCGATGTAGAACACCAGCCGAAAACCCCAAAAGCTCGTCCATTGTAATGTGACAAGTAAATACTATGAACCACTGGAATGGAGATGACAGGGATGATCTGGAAAATCAAAGCAATACTAGTCAGCCCACATATCAGCAATCGTAAGCTCGATGCCATTTTCCGATTCTGTATTAAGGGTACTAGAGCCAAGGCATTGGCATGTACGTGATAGGTGCTCTTTGAATCCTAAAGCTGGTCAAAGTCACTACCAGATTCCACCTCTATATGAGTTTCCTGCCATGATCGTTCATGACTTCAATTATATAGTTATTCGGTGTTCATCTTTAACGAATAAGCTGAAAAAAATTCGAGATGAGCAGATGAGCACGATGAGATGAGTTGATTGAGCCTAAGTAATCTAACCCTCGCTTCTTTCATACCTTGCTGAAGGCCTGTAACTTAATGACAAAAGGTAAAAGCTTTAGTGGCGCTGAAAGAAATGCATCACAAGCGGTTAAAACTGTAAAGTTTTATTCGAGAGGGAGATCCGACGATGAGAGTTTGCAAGGTGAGCATGTCGAAGCAGAGCGCCTATCGAAGCACGATCTTAAGCGCATTTCTAACAACTTGCTGAAAACTCGAATTACATTACCAGTTTTCAAATACAAAGACTCGATAATGGAGCATCTACTTTCAAATCAAGTGACCATCTTGATTGGTGAGACAGGATCTGGTAAATCAACGCAGCTTCCTCAGTTTCTATTGGAGAAACTAACCGCAGCTCACGGCAATAAACGTATAGCGGTAACTCAACCTCGTAGAGTTGCAGCCATCAATTTGGCTACGCGTGTTGCTCAAGAATATGGCTGCCGCGTAGGTGACCGAGTTGGATACGCAGTACGTTTTGACAATAAGACCAACAGCAAAACGAGGCTTAAGTATCTCACCGATGGTATGCTTTTGCGCGAAATCATGCTTGACCGGAACTTGTCTGATTACACCTGTGTGATCATCGATGAAGCGCATGAACGTACTATACTCACAGATTTGATTTTAGGTTTTTTGAAAGAGCTAATCCACGGCCTTAGACCCGATCTGAAGGTTGTTGTTATGTCTGCCACTCTACAAGCCGAGAAATTTAGCGCCTTCTTTAACGATGCTCCAATATTGTTTGTGGAAGGCCGTAAATATCCAGTACAACGAAACTATTTGAAAGAACCTTGTGATGATGTAGTAGATGCTATAATAAGGTGCTGTGTACAAATCAACCAAGGAGAGCAACTTGGTGATATTCTGTGCTTTATGCCAGGTCAGGAGGAAATTGACAAGGCCGTTGTTGTTCTGAACAAGATTAGTGAACACCTGGGAACCTCGGTGCCGCGTTTGATAGCACTCCCTCTCTATGCAGCACTCCCGCCATCAGAGCAAGCAAAGGTATTTTTGCCACTCAAAGGCTTCAAGCGAAAGGTCGTCTTTTCCACCAATTTGGCCGAAACGTCCGTCACTATCTCTGGTGTTAAGTTTGTCGTTGATTCTGGTTTGCGCAAAGTGAAAGTATGGCGGCACAACTTGGGGTTGGCCACACTGCTTACTGTTCCTATCTCAAAGGCAAGTGCTTCTCAAAGGACTGGGCGTGCCGGTAGAGAGAATCCGGGAAAGTGCTACAGACTTTACCGAGAACAGGACTATCAAAAGCTCCCCATGCAGACTGAACCGGAAATTGCGCGAAGCGAGATTACATCTCCAGTACTTATGTTAAAGAAAATTGGTGTTCAAGACATAGTAAACTGGTCGTGGTTAGAAAACCCTGGTAAACAAGCAATATTGCTGGCTTTACAAGAGCTGTATCAGCTAAAAGCACTTGACGACCAAGGCAAAATCACTAGTAAAGGTCAGCAGATGGCCCTACTTCCTCTAGCACCGCACTTAAGTTGCGTTCTATTACAAGCTCGTGACTCAGGCTGTCTCCTCCCTGTCATTGATATTGTCTCATGTCTCAGTGTAGAAAATTTGCTTCTTAATCCATTGCCAGAACTCCGAGATGAAATAAATGAGAAGCGTTTTTCCATTGCCACTCGCGGAGCTAAGTTTGGAGACCTTATTATGATGAAGGAACTCTATAATGCATACGTCTCATTACGAAGCAGCGCTGAAAAGGATGAATGGTGTAAGGACCTCTGCGTATCAAAAAGAGGTTTCAGAAATGTTGTAAAAGTTCGTTCTCAGCTTATATCGTACATGGAGAAGCTTTTCAATGAGAAAATAGATGTTAGTGAAACAGGAATGGATAACGACAGCTTCGACGTTAAATCTGTTATTCAATGCTTTTTGGCTGGATTCATGAAAAACAGTGCCATTGGAATGCCTGATAGATCATTCAGGACTAGCACCACTGGGGAGACCATTTCTGTGCATCCTTCGTCGATGTTATTTATGGACAGAAGTTGTCCAGCCATTCTGTACACTGAGTACATTTTTACCACAAAGGGATATGCCAGAAATGTGAGCCGCTTGGAACTGTCCTGGCTGCAAGAGATCGTAGGTATGTCCAATGTTAAAATCAGTGCGAGATAATAGAACTACCGTTTTCCGCTACAGAGCAAATTTAGTAGCAAAATACTCTGCAAATGCGCTTGTCTTTTTACAGTAGTCGATACGTAAAGAATAAGGATAGGGTGCTACTTGAATACCAATGTATTTCTGTTTCCTCTCTCGTTGACTTTACAACGATATCTTAACCTTCAGAACGAAGTATAACTTTCGGTGGCTAAATTTGATTGTGGGCGTCGCCTTATTGCTATAGCCCTTCGACGAGCTCCATGAAGTTACTCAATTTTAAAGCTAAACCTTAGCAGCCACTAAAATGAAAATATGATAAACAGGAGGGTTGTGCGACGTTGTTGAACTTCAATATTTTGGTATGTCCAAGATAAAATAAGCGATCGCCTTCAAATATAAAACTTCCTTTATCCTGGAGGTTTCTACAATAGTTGACGGTTATCTTGGGTTGATTCTTCTTTTGCAAGTAGCGGTCGTTGTAAGCTCATGTGCCTCCAACATGCATATTACGTTACATCTGGACACTTGTACTGTTTAACATACCAATTGAGCAAAGAAATTGTTTGAATTCGCCTTTTTAAAAATTCATCGAAGGTTGTTTGCATGTACGCACTAGTCTGTTAATTTTCTCGATTGATCACTTCCTTCTCAACGTAACATTCCACAATTTTGGGTGTTTCTCACTTCTTTGTTCTCCCACCGACGAACTGAGTAAGGTCCGACATTCGGACGTTTTTGAAAACCGTATCATCAACGTTGAGGACCATTACTCCAATATGTCTGCAAAATTAGCCGTGTATTCACTTGAAGTCATCACATTTACGGTATGTATAGTTTCGAATGCAGTATTGGTGCTTTCGAACAGTAAGCTAAAGCACGCTGTTAAGTAATTACAAAATGATTGTAGTCGTGGATTTTCCACTCACTGTGCAGGCGATTGAAAGGATGCTTACGTTGAGTAGCTTTGCATGGAAGTACTACAAGAATTTATACGTGTTTGATCAGACAACTATTTGGAGCTTCTTCGAGTGTAATTCAACATTAGAGATGCTGTGTTTTAAGTAATTTTTGTGAGGAATGGCGCTCGCCTATGTTCAATATCGATATCTCGGGAAAGTCCCCCCACATGTCCAAAACTTAAAAAAAGAACGACAGAGACTAATGAAATAACCTCAAGCCAATTCTTCAGCAGGTCATGAGAAGGAGGGACAGCTAGCTACTACACTACAAAAAGCTAAGCAGGCTATGTCGGTTATAGATGATTGGGCAAATAGCTACTTTGTCACACCAAATCTTCTTTGTTTTTCATGTCACTTTTTCAGCGGCTAATTCACTTCTAAAAAATAATCTGGAGACAAAAACTTGCCACTCTCTTTACTTACCATCAAGTGCGTCTGAGATTATGATCAAGCTAGTTGTTCTTATGGTTTAAGCAGCCAAACGCACATGAATCGCTGCGTCTGAGCAAGAGATGATAATCCTAATACTGGTCATGTCTTTAACACCTCTCATCATGAGATATTTCCTCTAAAATGAGAGTTCCATACAGAGGTTGCAGAGCCTTATCACTCACTTCCCGAAAGCCTCTTTCCGGGACGCATTAGGAGCAGCTGATAATCCAAAAAACTGATGCTTTTCAAACTGTGCCTTACTGTGTAGTGAGAGTATTCGCTAGTTCTGTCGGCTGCATTCTGTTAGACCCTGTATGGGAAGCTTACATCGATTGATACTGCGTCGATACTCAGACGTCGGTCGTAAGGAGATCAGATATTGTTACCAAACTAAGGCGTTGAACGTCGAATGGTGCATTTACTGGGCCCCTTACAGCCTTAGGGCCCTCAACCATCCAAAAAATCAAACGCAGCTGTTTTTGAGCGGAGGCTAGTTCTCCAAAGAGCTGTTGATGAACCTTTTGCCATGTGGCCTGCGCTTCATTCGAGATACAAGGTGATGAAACTAAAATCTCCGTAAAGCTACCTCCAAACTGAACATCATGTACTATGAAGAGGCCATCCTGGCGCTGCAATCGTAACTTTGAGAAAGATGGAAGCTCCCTAATTTCAACCTTTTCAACTCCCAAGAGAGTTCCGAGTTGGACGAAGCAAGAAGCTAATAAGAAGCTGCATAAGAAGCGGAACGTGTACTCGTGTGCGGTACGCTCTACTGGAAATACCAAGATCAAGAAATTGACATTGAAAGTATCTCACTCCCACTCTCGACACTCAACTTGTGAGAGATGAATCTTTTAGTATTCACTGTGCGGGACCCTAGTACCACTTTCCGGACAAAGCCGAACTGTGATCCGTAACCTTTCACGTTACCATGTGTGTTAAAGCATCGCCGCTTTTTTCTTTCACTCAACGTTCAAGATTACTAAATGTCGCACAACCACTGGCCCGCACCCCTTACAATGCATCGTTATCTTCTATCGTCTTTTTTATCCCACGCTTTAGTGCACGCGCCGAGTCAGCGATAGACCCCGAATACGTGACTACCATCTACCAGAAAGGTCCTTCTCGGCGATGAATTGAGACGCAAGTTCATTACGCGGTTCTCTAGGGTGCGGCCATCTGATTGGTAGAAAAATTGCGGACCTCTCGCTATCAACTGGCAGGGTACCATTTCTGCAGTCCGGGTATGCCTCCGATCAATAGTTTATCCTTATATGAACGGGAATGAAATACAGATGATGGAATTTCAGAGCACTGGCGGGATATCATACGATCGTGGTAAAATTTTTACGAGTAGGGGAATTCTTGGAAAAGGCGATCTCAGCGCTTGAAGAAATAATCCATTGCTAAGCGCAGTTGATTTAGCGTTAGCACCCAGCCTTTGTTAGTGTGTTTCTCGAGTTTGAGGACCTCTAATAGGGTATCACAGTTAGGAGAGAGCTCCCAAGACTTTAAGAGCGCCTACAACAAGCAACTCTTGCTTGCACAGACCAAGACAAGCTCATATATATATAATCACACACGGGCACCCGCTCTAGCTTGCTCATTAAATGTTACACTCAGAAAAGTTCGATCCGCAAGAAGAGGCATATGAGGGTGGCTCACCGCTAGGAAACGACATCGCTGGCTTTGGGGCTTCCTCTAACAAGACCAAGTTCTGGGCCGATGCAATCCCGCAGAAACAGGGTCTGTATGACCCTGAATACGAGCGTGACGCCTGCGGTGTCGGTTTTGTCGCGAACATCAAAGGTAATGTCTCGCACAAGATCGTATCGGACGCTCGATACTTGCTTTGCAACATGACACACAGAGGTGCCGTGTCTTCAGGTGGTAATGGTGATGGTGCTGGTATTCTGGTAGGAATTCCTCACGAGTTCATGAGACGTGAGTTCAAATTAGAGCTTGACATAGATCTCCCAGCGAAAGGTCAATACGCTGTGGGAAACTTCTTTTTCAAAAAGGACGCACCAGAGACCCTGGACGTTGGCAAACGCGCATTCGAGGACATTGCTCAATCTTTGGGACTTTCTGTTCTTGGATGGCGTTCGGTACCCCACGATTCCTCGCTACTAGGTGCCGTGGCTCTATCACGCGAGCCTGCTATTTTGCAACCCTTGGTTGTTCTCACTGCCGCGCACCAAGAATCGCAAGCTATCTCCGGAGAAGGTTTCAAATCCAAATACGACGTAGAGTTTCAAACTCAACTTTACATCCTACGGAAGAAAGCTTCTTCCACTATAGGCATTCAGAATTGGTTCTACGCCTGTTCTTTAAACACTAAAACTATCGTTTACAAAGGTCAATTGACTCCAACTCAGGTGTATCAATACTACCATGACTTGACCAATGCTCATTTCGAGTCCCACATGGCTCTTGTTCATTCTCGTTTCTCTACAAACACATTCCCTTCGTGGGACAGAGCTCAACCGCTTAGATGGATTGCCCATAATGGTGAAATCAACACTTTGCGCGGTAATAAAAATTGGATGCGTTCCCGTGAAGGTATAATGGCTTCGGACACTTTCAAAGAAAATCTGGAGCAACTATACCCAATTATTGAAGAAGGTGGCTCAGACTCTGCAGCTCTTGACAATGTCTTAGAGCTGCTGGTCATAAATGGTGCATTATCTCTTCCAGAGGCTATTATGATGATGGTCCCCGAAGCTTATCATAAGGATATGGACTCGAACTTGAAAGCTTGGTTCGACTGGGCTGCTTGTCTGATGGAACCTTGGGATGGCCCTGCTTTACTCAACTTCACAGATGGTCGTTACTGCGGTGCTATGCTAGACAGGAATGGGTTGAGGCCTTGCCGTTATTACATAACCTCCGATGATCGTGTTATTTGTGCTTCCGAAGTGGGTGTTATTCAAGTCGATAACTCCTTGGTTGTTCAAAAGGGTAAATTGAAGCCAGGCGAAATGCTTCTGGTCGATACAGAGCTAGGGGAAATGGTCGACACGAAGAAAATGAAGGCCAAATTCTCTAAAAAGCAAGACTTCAAGTCTTGGCTATCTAAGTTGATCAAGCTAGAGGATCTACTAGTCAAGACCGAAAAATTCACCCCTAAGAAGTTTTTGAATGATCGTCATGCTTCGCTGAAGGCTCAACAAGACCCAAGACTCTTGGCTCTGGGATATACATTTGAACAAGTTTCCATGGTACTCGCGCCAATGGCTCTTGGCAGCAAAGAGGCTCTTGGCTCTATGGGTAACGATGCTCCGTTGGCTTGTCTCAATGAAGACCCTGTTTTGCTCTATGACTACTTCAGACAACTATTTGCACAGGTAACAAATCCTCCCATTGATCCTATTCGGGAAGCGAATGTTATGTCTTTGGAATGTCACGTCGGTCCTCAAGGTAACCTTTTGGAAGTGCACTCATCTCAATGCGATCGCTTACTGCTGCGCTCACCAATCCTACAATGGAGGGAATTTGAGGCTATAAAAAACATCGAGAAGGCACACCCTACCTGGTCGGCTGCAGACATCGATATAACCTTCGAAAAGTCTCAAGGACTGCTAGGTTACACAGCAGCACTCGAACGCATCACTCAAGAAGCATCAGATGCCATCGATCAAGGTAAGCGAATCTTGATGATATCTGACCGCAAAATGGGCGCAGATCGCGTTCCTTTGTCTTCTCTAATTGCTGTCGGTGCTATTCATCATCACTTAATCAGAAACAAACAGCGCTCCCAGGTGGCATTGATTTTGGAAACAGGTGAAGCTAGGGAAGTGCACCATTTCTGTGTTCTTCTAGGCTATGGTTGTGATGGTATCTTTCCATATCTTGCCATGGAAACCCTAGTGAGAATGAACCAAGAGGGCTTGGTGCGTAATGTTGAGAACGATGAAATCACTATCGATGATGCTACCCTTCTAGATAATTATAAGCATGCAGTGGACGGTGGTATTCTAAAGGTTATGTCGAAAATGGGTATCTCGACGCTGGCTTCTTATAAGGGTGCTCAAATTTTCGAGTCACTAGGTATCGATAATACTGTAGTTGATCTATGCTTTGCCGGTACAGCTTCGAGAATTCAGGGTGTGACTTTTGAATATATTGCCCAGGACGCTTTTTCAATGCACGAACGTGGTTTCCCAAGTAGAAAGACCATTTCCAAATCTGTCAACTTGCCAGAAAGTGGAGAATACCATTGGAGAGATGGTGGTGCCAAGCACATTAATGATCCAACAGCGATCGCTTCTCTACAAGATTCTGTCAGGAACAAAAATGAAGGTGCTTGGGAAATGTACGTGAAGAAAGAAATGGAATCAATAAGAGACTGTACGTTGAGAGGTTTGCTAGAACTGAACTTCGAGGATTCGGAGCCCATTCCACTCGAACAAGTTGAACCTTGGACAGAAATAGCCAGAAGATTCGCCACTGGTGCTATGTCCTATGGATCTATATCGATGGAGGCTCATTCGACTTTGGCTGTGGCAATGAATAGACTAGGAGCAAAATCTAACTGCGGTGAAGGTGGTGAGGACTCTGAGCGTTCCATTGTTCATGCAAACGGCGACACAATGAGATCTGCTATTAAGCAAGTTGCTTCCGCTCGGTTCGGTGTTACTTCTCATTACTTATCGGATGCTGACGAAATTCAAATCAAAATAGCGCAAGGTGCTAAGCCTGGTGAAGGTGGTGAACTTCCAGCGCATAAAGTTTCACCTGATATTGGAAAAACTAGACATTCTACTCCATATGTCGGTTTGATTTCTCCTCCTCCTCATCACGATATTTACTCTATTGAAGATTTGAAGCAATTGATCTATGACCTTAAGTGCGCTAACCCCAGAGCGGGTATTTCAGTGAAGTTGGTTTCCGAAGTTGGCGTGGGTATTGTGGCATCTGGTGTAGCTAAGGCAAAGGCCGACCATATTTTGGTATCTGGCCACGACGGTGGTACTGGTGCCTCAAGATGGACCGGTATTAAGTACGCTGGATTGCCTTGGGAATTGGGTCTTGCTGAGACTCATCAGACCCTAGTTTTGAACGATCTAAGACGTAACGTCGTTGTGCAAACTGACGGTCAATTGAGAACTGGTTTCGATATTGCCGTAGCCGTTTTGTTGGGAGCTGAATCCTTTACTTTGGCCACTGTGCCACTAATCGCCATGGGATGTATCATGCTGAGAAAGTGTCACCTGAACGCGTGCGCTGTGGGTATTGCTACGCAGGATCCATTATTAAGAGAGAAGTTCAAGGGTCAACCAGAACATGTTATCAACTTCTTTTACTATTTAATTCAAGACTTGAGAAAAATAATGGCTAAATTGGGTTTCCGCACTATTGATGAGATGGTTGGTCACTCTGAAAAGCTTAGAAAAAGAGAAAATGTTAATACGAAAGCAATTAACATTGACTTGTCACCCATTCTGACTCCAGCTCATGTTATTCGTCCAGGCGTCGCAACAAAGTTCACCAAGAAACAGGATCACAAGTTGCACACACGTTTGGATAACAAGTTAATCGACGAAGCTGAGATAACCTTAGATCGGGGACTTCCTGTCAATATTGACGCTTCTATCATCAACACTGATCGTGCTTTGGGTGCTACTTTGTCTTACAGAATATCAAAAAAGTTCGGTGAGGAAGGTTTGCCTCAAGACACAGTCGTGGTGAATATCGAGGGTTCTGCAGGCCAAACATTTGGCGCTTTCTTGGCCTCTGGTGTAACATTTATTTTGGATGGTGATGCCAATGATTATGTCGGGAAGGGTCTCTCTGGCGGTAGATTAGTCATTAGACCTCCCGCCAACTCGAAGTTTAAGAGTGACGAAAACGTCATTGTCGGAAACACTTGCTTCTATGGTGCAACATCAGGTACTGCGTTCATTTCAGGTGTTGCTGGTGAACGTTTCGGTGTCCGTAACTCTGGTGCCACTATTGTCGTCGAAAGAATCAAGGGTAACAATGCCTTTGAATATATGACAGGTGGTCGCGCTGTCGTTTTGTCTCAAATGGAGTCTTTAAATGCCTTCTCTGGTGCAACTGGTGGTATTGCCTATTGTTTGACATCCGATCATGATGACTTTGTAGGGAAAATCAACTTGGAAACTGTTGAATTGCAGAACTTGGTTGATCCAGTTGAAATTGCCTTTGTCAAGAATTTGATTCAAGAGCATTTCAACTATACGAAGTCGGAACTAGCTGCGAGAATCTTGGGTAATTTCAATCACTATTTGAAGAATTTCGTTAAGGTTATCCCCACCGATTATAAAAAGGTTCTGGAAAAAGCCGCCGCTGAGGAGTCTAAGATGAAGAAGGTGAACACTGCAAACTTCTTGAAGAAATTTAGCTCAAGCACAGATCTAAAATCCGATGCAACCAACGGCGAGGTCGATGGAATTAGAAATTCAAGACTAAAACCCGCTAACAGTGTAAGCCACAGAGCAACACTTGCGGAACCCAAAGTTCAGGACCTAGAAGACGCTGTTCAGGACGTTGAACAAGTTGAAAAGAAGGCTGAAAAAATTGAAAAGGTTCGTGGCTTTATGTTATACAAAGTACGCCATGAAAAGTACCGCGCCACTAAATCGCGTACAAAAGATTGGAAAGAACTATCCAACAGTATCAGCAAGACTGATGCCAAGTATCAGACTGCTAGGTGTATGGACTGCGGTGTTCCTTTCTGCACAGCTGATACGGGGTGCCCAATTTCAAACGTAATTCCCAAATTCAATGAATTGGTTTTCAAAAACCAGTGGAAACTAGCTCTGGACAAATTGTTAGAAACCAACAATTTCCCGGAGTTTACCGGTAGAGTGTGCCCTGCTCCATGCCAAGGTTCTTGCACTCTGGGAATTATTGACGACCCTGTTGGCATCAAATCTATTGAGAGACTGATCATTGATAATGGTTTCAAGGAAGGATGGATCACACCTCAAATACCAGAATTCAGAACTGGCCGCACTGTTGCCATCATTGGTTCAGGACCTGCTGGCCTAGCATGCGCTGATCAATTAAACAGAGCAGGACACTCAGTCACTGTTTATGAGAGAGCTGACCGTTGCGGTGGGCTTCTGATGTACGGTATCCCCAACATGAAGTTAGATAAGAAAATTGTCCAGCGTCGTGTTGATCTAATGGCTGCAGAAGGCGTTCAGTTTGTCACAAGCGTTGAAATTGGCAAAGACGTTACGACCGAAGAATTGAAATCACAACATGATGCGGTTGTTTACGCTATTGGCTCAACTATTCCAAGAGATCTAAGAATTCCCGGGCGCGATTTGAAGAACATAGATTTTGCTATGTCTCTGCTAACGGCTAATACACAAGCCTTGCTCAACAAGGACTTGGAGACTGTACGGCAGCAAATTGAAGGAAAGAAAGTCATTGTCATCGGTGGTGGTGATACTGGTAACGACTGTCTTGGTACGTCTGTCAGACATGGGGCCGCTTCGGTCTTGAACTTTGAACTTTTGCCTCAACCTCCCAATGAGCGTACTAAAGACAATCCTTGGCCTCAATGGCCTCGTGTCATGAGAATCGATTACGGACATGCTGAAGTCAAAGAACATTATGGACGGGATCCTCGTGAATACTGCATTTTATCCAAGGAATTTATTGGTAATGAAGAGGGCGAAGTAAAAGCTATCAAGACTGTACGTGTGGAATGGAAGAAATCCGAATCAGGGGTTTGGCAAATGGTGGAGATTCCAGGCAGTGAAGAAATATTCGAGGCAGATGTTGTATTATTGTCTATGGGATTTGTCGGCCCAGAATTATTTGAAGACTTAAGTGTAGTGAAGACCAAGAGAGGAACCATCGAGACTTTGTCCGATTCATCGTACTCAGTTGATGGCAGCAAGACGTTCGCCGCAGGTGACTGCAGACGCGGTCAGTCTTTGATCGTGTGGGCTATCCAGGAAGGTAGAAAATGTGCTAACCTAGTTGACAATTTCTTGATGGGGTCCACTAACTTGCCTGGGAACGGTGGTATCGTGAAGCGTGATTATAAGCTCTTGGAGGAATTAGCCTCTACTGTTGGAGCTTGAAGACGTGTGATCCTTACAGGTTGTCGAACTTCCTATTTGTTATTTATTATTTATTATTTATTGTGATTGTTATTTATTAAAACTGTAACTACTATTTACTCTGGTGTTTCCTCGTAGGAGGATTACTTGCGCCGCTCAACTAGCAAAGAGCGAGTTGTTCTAAACATGAATTGATTGATCGTTAAAGTATATATGCGTTGCATGAGGTTCTTCTGCCTAGTTTGAAATTATTACAAGTGTAAGTGAATATGATGTGTAGTGTGATCTGATCTGTTCTACGAGGAAAATATCTTCTTGACGTTTCCCCAGATACTAGACGGCTTCTTGGCTTTCTTTTCGCTTTCTGACCTTTTGCTGTTGGAAGGCGAAAGTATGTTTCCGGCACCACCTCTACCAATACTCACCGTTTGTGGAGTTTCATGCCTGCTTCTCTTTGGTTTGAGTGAGCTTTTGGCGCTTTGCGGTGCTTGTCTGCCTCGGGAGCTTTGAGACGTTGCATTTTGTAAGTCGTTTGCGGGACTTGCCGGCTGGATCTCGTCCTCTGCGGGTGAAATGAAATCCTCGTCCACGTCCTGTGCCTTCCGGGTGAGCTTGTAGTCCACGTTCTTGCACATGTTGCCTGCCCCTCCTCTGCCAGTGCTAAATACCGGCTGCAGAAGGTTTGGAGTTTGAGAGCCCTGAGGCACAACTTTAGGCGATGGCTTTTCTGATGAGGCTACTACATTTCCAGCGCCGCCTCTGCCAGTATAAACGTTATAACTCTGACCCATGATAATCGTGTGAGGAAAGAAAAAGAAGCCCTATCAAAGCCGTTTACTACCTCTTTGTGGTGCTTCCTGGTATCTTGAAACTCGTCAGACAATCTGAAGAATTGAGCTAAATTTAGTTGTGGCTCGAGTGTGCTGACCGAGATTTGTGAATATCCGAGATAAAAATGCAAGAAACCGGAAAATTTGGACCCTGAGCAATCAGTTCGTATATGGGGATCTGTCATTGAAATGAAGATAATGGGATGAGTCGTTGATGTGATGACAATGATGAAAGTAGCTTTAGAACGGTGCAGATACTGTAAGGATGACATTTTCTGATTTTTATTCTCGACAATGGTCTTCAGAGTATTTTTTTACAAAAAAGATGCAAGCAAATCGATTTACTTATTATGAGTCAAAATTAAGCTAGTTGTTTCGTAGATACTAACTGAAAGGAAAACGATCCTACCTGGCAGATTTAATACTCATGTATCCGATTTATTTATTGAACGTTTTGGGCACCAACATTTTCTCGTTGTTGGACTATAGACCTTTGTTGTTCTTGCGACACGAGTTGAGGACAATTGAAGTAGCTTTTGAAGTTTGATGTGTGCGTGGGATGAGTTTTGATTAAGCACTTTGAATTTGTGGTCATTTGTGTCATGTAAGTGCATAACATTATCAAATCCGGAAGAGAGGCTCTTATAGAAAACAAGTAATTAAAGCGAAAGCCATCACCGCAACATATGATCCTTTCACACTGACTTAAGAAAATCTTCCGAAAAGCTACCGGAAACAACGAAGAAGCCTGAGACTCAAGGAGAAAAAAGCCCACTTGTAAACTGAATTCCCAGTAGGCGAAGCAAGCGTTCATCTGTTAGAACAAACTACTTTATCAACAAAAAGAGAGAAGCCTACGGTGCTTTCAATTCTTCTCGATCTTGGACGGCGTCATGGGTGACTATGAATATTTAATCAAGCTAATGATGGTCGTATTACACATCGTGTCAGAATAGTACAAAGTGACAGTACTTTAGATATTACTACCTATACTCAGAGCACGAGTAAAGGCTCAGAAGGAGATATGCTTTCGTGTTTATGGAAGCTATTCCCATCCTCAAAGACTTGTACTCTACCAATATAAACTGGCGTAGTCGTTTCGGATAAGGCCAAAATAAATTTCATCAAAAACACGCTCGAAAGACTGAATTGGTTACAAAGTTGATGCCTAGTAATCCCTGGCACTTATCTTCGTTCTGGTTAACCACTTTTGCTTCCCAAGTTTTAGAGTGACGCGCCCTTTGCCAAGGTCTACAAGCCTAAGGATATATCTAGCAAACGCAGGGCAGCACTTCGAGGCTTTCTTACGTTAACGCTAAGTTCATGACAGAAAAAAGCGGTTCATGGCTGAATAAAACATACCGTAGATTGGCCCTGTTTAACGTGATGTCCATTATAACCAAGCGGGACAATAAATCCATTTTCACTTTTATTGTTACGCAACATATCATTTAGAGATCACAAAAAAGAAGCCGTAATCTCTTGGCGTAATGGAATGATCAGCAATTAGGCTGTCCTAATGAGCATGTCAATGTAGATGTGGTGCCTGATCGTGGAGTAGTATATTGCGCCAACAAAAGCGTATCACGCGACAGATGCCATACCGTGTACAAAGATACATTATTTCTGGGTGTCGTAATGAATGACACAATATCATCAAACTTAAAAAAAACCACTTACTCGATTTCTCAGGCATCTTTTGGAAATCGTCACCCAGTAACTGATTATTAGCGCATTCTACTAGCTTCACTTGAAGTTTGTGGTTTTTTATTTCAAAGCTTACCAAATAATACAGGTGATTGTATTGGCGATCTGAAAATTATGTCCTGGGACGACGAAGATTTTGAAGTTCCAACATCTGCGAAAAACCAACCGGTTCCGGCCTCTTGGGACGACGAGTTCGCCGCTGTTGACAACGATGATGAGGCTGTGCTAGAGTCTTGGGACGCGGAACCTAGCGTGAAGCCTGCTGCTAGCAAAAAACCGAGCTCCAAAGGTACTGCTAGCGGCAAAAAAGACGACAAGAAGAAATCCGGCAACGACAAGGTTCTTTTGGAAATCGACACCCTGGATGAAAAAACCAGAAAGGAGCTTTTGAAGCAAGCCGAAGTTGACGCCGATCTCAATAACGCTGCGCAGCTGTTCGAAGGCCTTGGTGTCGCTGAGGAGCACCCTAGAGCTCGAGCTCTACGCAAACAGAATGAGCAAGAGAGTCTACTACGTCCTGCGTCGTTCACTAAAGATACTCCTATTGAGTCCCATCCGCTGTTCACCGCCGCTGAAACTAAGATGGACTTCCAAGAATTGAGAAAAGCTCTGGCTACCGCGGTCACGTCGATGAACGAGAAATCGCAATTGAATTATGCATCCGGTTTGGCTATTGATCTCATTCGTGATGTTGCATCTCCCATGTCTATCGAATCCATCAGACAAACTATTGCTACTTTGAATGTTCTCATGAAAGACAAAGAAAGACAAGAAAGACAGGCACGTTTGGCAAAGGTTAGAGGTGGAACTGCCACGGGCGGTGCTGGTAAGAAGAAGGCCAAAGCTGCTCAAGCTAACCTCGGTGGTGCTTTCAAGAAAGACCAGGAATTTGATCTCGAGAATGCCGATTTCGACAACTTTGCGGAGGATGATTTCATGTAATAGATTATGATGAATTTGCCGCCTGGTGAACGCTCATTTGATCCAATTCATGTATGTAAACTATTGCATTTTTTAAAACCTAATCAGATAAGAGAGGGTGTTGTAGTGAACCGACCTTCTTACGAAGTTGGGCTACAAGAGAAGAAAAAATCCTTTACTACATTGTCACAAGGCATTGTGTAGTATTACTATGTTCTTCTGATGTTACTAGATCCTTTGTCTGCTTTTCTGTCTTCTTTCCAGAGATATCTAGATTTGTAATAACATCTCCATTATGAACCTTAGTGCAGTTGAAATTTTTTTGTTGTTATAATCCCTGCGTCTCCACCGCCACAGTAATATTATGATCAGCAGCGCTCACCAAGACTCGTAGACGAGCCCTTCCTTGAACTGCGGGAATTGAAATAATAAAATGTAGAGCGGAAATAATTCGAAATCGGATCACTAGGTCGAACGAACAGTCCATTACAAATTTTCAAGATATTTAAGAATTGCTTAGGCTCCTCATCGTTTATGTCAGACTTCGAATTATCCAAGTGATCCTTTCGAGTTGACACACCATTATGGCTGGCATTGATTACAAAAAGCTTAGAGAATCCAACCCTCGCGACATCACTCTTTACTTCCGCGAGGCTATTAAACGGCAAAGTGATACAGAGGTGGCCCGTCATGTTTTCGAAGGCATCGAAAAAGGCCTTCTTCCAACTGGTTTAGCGCGTGATTTGTTGAGGGCGACTAAATGCCCTCTGATCACAAAAGATGCCATCGTCCAGAAACACTCACTTAGCGTGCGTAAGTTTGGCCTTAATTTTCTCGAGCGGCTACTCAGCCGCTCAGATCCTATCGAAACTTTAAAAGTATTAGGGGGAGAAGAATGGCTATCACAACTATTTCACAATCTGTCCGTTGATGATGTTAAGATTCTATCGAAAGCTCTCTGCCTCGGCACACGCAAACGTTCCGAGGAAATGGAAGGACTATTCGACAGCTTGCATGCATCTCTTGTCGCTACCAGCGCTTTGGAAAACAGGCGTTTATTCAATTCGGTTTCTGATCTGCTCCCAGCGTGTTCTGCTGGATATGTCGAGGTTAATTTGAGCGATGATCAGAAACTAAGCTCGGCATGCACTCGGCGATTAATCATACGTCACACTACATTTTGTCGCCAAAAAGTGCTGAACGCAGTCAATTTTCCTAAAGTTTCTTTGCCATATTATGCCTCCGAGCTGGTCAAAAATTTGCCTAGCTTGCCCACAGATGCTCGTGGATTAACTCCATCAAAAGAGTTTGCGTTGGAAGTTCTTTCTAATATTGCAGATAAGTACAACATAACTGCAGACGTTTCAGATAATTTCACTCGCGACACTTTGATACTTCCATTAGCACGTCGAGTATACAATAAAGATGGCGAAAGTGACCAACACGGAACTATGCTAGAAATACTCCACTACACAGCTGCCATAATGGAACGCGGATCAAACTTTGTCGACGTAAAGTTGTCCTTCAAAAAAGGTTATTTGGGATGGTTCGCAGTCAAGTGCTGGTCTAGTAATGCTTCGAAATTTGATCAAAAATTACGCACACTCTTGAAAAACTTGAGAGCTCCTTTAGAAGAGTTGCTCAATCGCCTTCCAGATTGCTTTGCACATATACCGGTCTGCTGTCGTAAGCAACTTTTAGATCTGATTTTTCAATGTTATTCTCCTAAGTTCAAAGATCTGTTTAGCTCCGAGAGTCTGAAAGAGATCAACCTGCTCGAATGGCCCAAGTGGATTTTTCGTACCTTGCCGAGAGTAGACGCGCTGCGGGTTTTCAATAATCTGAGAGGTATATACCAAGAAAGAGACAAGCCCTTTCTGAAGCCGATCTATCCAATCATCACTAGTCCGGAAACGAATGTAGGTATTCTCCACACATGCTTAGAAAGAGGTGAAATAGGTGCCTTGGAAAGAGCTGCAGTAGCGATTCAACACCTGCAGAAACATGCAGAGAAAGCCCGCAATCAAATACACCGTGAAACACATACAAGCGAGGCTATTTGTTATGCAATTGAAAGCGGATCCTTAGAACTTCTTCTCGGCGTTATTAAGTGGACAAGACGATTCGTCAAAGACACGCTGACAGTCCCAACAATTTTCATTAGGACGTTAGTGAACAATCAAGATGTTGTAGATATGCTGGCGGTTTTGCCTTCCTTTCGCTACTCGCAAGGTGTTCCTTACTTGAAATTTCGTCAGCTCGCAATTCACGCAAAAGAAGACTTGGATGTGAATGTTGCCATAGCAAATGAGATTTTGCGCACTATCTTTTCCTTTGCCGTGTCAACGCTTCAGGAACCCTCTTCTGACATCTTCAGATGGCTCCCGCTTTTCAGACTTTCTGCGAAGATCTCTATCCAGCGAATTAGAGAGATTGAGATGCACTACAGTGCCGACTGCTCTCAAATAAGATCGGTTTTCGAAAGCACAAAAGTTCTTCTACTAGAGACCGAAAGCAGACTCCTTGACCTTGGCGAAGAGCATGTCTTTAACACAAACCCCACAAAAATGGATCGCTATCCACTGCCGCTCACCAAGCGTGCGCAACCTCTTACTCTGGAATTTTTGGATGACCTTGCAAAATGTAGAGACAAGATATGGTACCAGCTTCGTGTCAGTGAAAGACCCGAAATTAGTAACTTACCTTCGCCTTTCTCACACGGCTTACCACTCATCAAACTTCTTCAATCAGTTTCCGGCCCAAACAATAACATGTTAGATCTCGGGCTGGACTGCGCCAGCCCAAATGTGCCATTTCTAAAATCCCGAGCACATGAGCTGGTGTTCATGCCTGCAGAGATAGCCTTATCCAATTTACAGTTGGATAAGGATTCAGCAAACGCTGTAACTTGCTTCTTGGACAGTTACGCTATCGCTCTACGATTCTACGCTTTGAGCTACAGTGTAGAAGAACAACCAGACGCCATTCAGAGGGCCTGGAAACACTGCCTTGCAAATTTCAATGGCTCCCGAATGACGAACGAAGAGAGTCGCATGCACTGGATGGGCATTTTCCAGGGGGCGCTAAGTAATCTCGCTTTAGATTCATTTGATACACAAAAGCTCTCAGCCAATACCCTCATAGTACCGACCGTAACATCTTCCCCAACCCCCATAAAGTGGTCTCCTGAAATCCCTTACCAAGAATTCACCAAGAAAAGAAAAACAGCCTTCAGAAACATCGACTTCCTGACAAATGGATACCTTCAAATTAGAAATAGTGGTATCTATTATGCTATTCGCGATCGAGGTTTGAAAATTGGTGCAGACAGCGAAAAAAGTTTCGACGTTGGCGCTGAAAATGACCGATTATGGTCCCTGTCTCGAAAAGACAATTCGCCCCTCAAGAATGAAGTGGCCGCACTCTCAGCAATGCTTTTCTTGGATTGTCACTTCAAATCTTCTGAGAGCATTTTGGCATGCCCATTTCCCTCACAGGCTGAAATACGATATCCCTGTATGATTCTTGATGAAGGTTTTCTTTCTGACAAGAACCGTACCTGCGACAAAGCCCTAGACGTTATCCAGAAATCGATTGGTCAAGTATCACCTGCATTACTTAGTGATTTGGTGCGAAATGCGTTTAAGTCGCTGCTCTCTCATATGGGGACATCCGTCTTTGCAGAGAGAAAGCGGCAAGCGTTTAGCTTACTCAAACTTTTGATTGAGAGTGATCGGCCATCCCTGGCTTCACAGCTAGTACTAGAGGCTGTCTTAAATTATCCCGAGGATACGGCATGGCATCGACAGATCTTGACGCAGAAAATCCTAAGAAGAATGGATCCTGTCGACGCTCAACATCTCATAATACAGTTCGTGAGTGAAATATCATCCAGGTTAGGCTCTCCAACATCTCTTCAGTATAAGCAGCACCAGTCAGCTCCCGAATCTTTTGTCAAGGTGAGTACTGTTAAACTTTTAATTGGGCTTTTAAGTAACACAGAGACATTACCACCATCGTTGACACTCACAGCCGTGAAACACTTGATTACAAGCCAATGTCACGTTGACATTCGTATCTTCAGTCTTCAATGCTTACTCCAGACAATGTGTGATTGTAAAGACAACAAAAGTAAACCAATTCGTGAGGCCATATTCACAACGTTAGAATCTCTAACTAATGTCGTTGGTGCCATCAGTGAGAACTGTTCGTCCGTGAGTACCGCTGGTTCTGGAAGGCCAGAGTGCGAGTATGAGCTTCCTTTGGCTTCATCAGCTATGTTACAGCAACTGCTTCTGACCCCATCGTATCGTGGAAGTAACAACGCTTCAGATCTTCAAGAATTTTTCGACCGAGTGGCCCTGCCTGCTTTGACCTATTCTCGAGAATCGAATATTTGTTGGATGCGTCAATTCTGTCGCAAGTACGACCTAGTAGACGTATTAGAGTCGCTTCCTATCGTGCCTGTCGATCCAAGTGTATGGTTCACTCTTTTCTCGAGCTACCTTGCATATCTACCCAAGTCTTGGCTAATTCTATTTCATGAATATTTCTTGTTCACCCTTTCCCCACCCGATAAGGTTACGGCGGTCAACTTGTTGATCAAACATGATATAGAGCTAGCAAACGGCAGCGAAAGTCACTGGCTGAGGCATTACGGCGAAGTGCCATCTTTCAAAATTGAAAGTCTGCTTGAGGAAGAATTCCCCACAGGAAGCAGGGTACAAATTGATCTGAAGATGATTCAGGACCTTACCGTAGAAAAGGCAAAAGCTATCATTGAAAAATCAACCTGGACGCTAGAAACCTGGCAAAAATTCGCGTATACGTTCACTCTGAAACATAGAGGGAATCATTCGCAAAAGATATGGCTTGAACAATCGCGCCCTGTGCTGGTGAGTATAATTTCTTACATTGAGGCGGCGCGTAAATCTTCGAGGCTCATTGCCCCAAATAAAAAGCCGCTTATTCTTCCACCAACATTCCCGCTGTATATGGCACTGATTGATTTCCCTAACTCTGATTCGGATAAAGAGCTTGACGAAAGGAGCTGTCGCCGGTTTGCTGGGCAGTTGCAACAGTTCATCGAGACCCATGTTATTGGATGCGCAGAAACTCCATACCACAAGCGTTTCGAACAACTCTCTTCAAAGGTTCTCGCAGGACTCAGAGAATGGGAAATTGTACATGTTGTGTGCGACTTAGACTACTTGATCAACTTTAAAAATATCAAGCTTTGTGACTATCTCCTGGTGGACCTTGCAGATTATTTGCTCAACAAAGCACATGGGATAAGCAAGGCGCGGCCGGAACTACTTGACCAAGTCGTCAACATGGTGACAAAGTGGATTCAGTGCGACGACGAACTTGTTTGTGATCTTGGTCTGGGATGGCTGAAAAAATCTGACGTGCCCTGGCTTGCAAACCAGCGCGAAGTGATGCTCAACGCAGAGGGTGTTCTGAGCGCCAAATCCATATCTAAATGAAGAGCATATTTCTTGGCGTCAAATATGACATTTCGGAGTTTGTTTGTGACTGGCTTGAGATGATCAGTTGTTCGGCAATTCTACCATGGAAAACACGTAGGCATGCTATATCTATGGGCCGTCTATATTGTATCTAGTGGAATAGTCGTTATCTCTCTTGGCCGCAATCTTTATTTTTATGGGCCACAATAGCTGTTTCGCTGCATACCGTGCCACCTTCTGTCCCTTAGTATAGTTGTGTACTTGTTTTTGGTATCAGGAAGGTAAAGCAAGGTAGCTACAAGTCCATTGATTTCCTGTCCTCTTGGAACATCTGTTACCAACAATCATTTGCGTTCGGCTCTAATTGAAAACCTAAGTATGAGAGAAGTGCCAAGATCATTACTTGCTATGCCAAGCTATTGCTAATTACGCTAAATATCAGCCGACAAGTTAGCCGAGATATTTTTTACAATTGCTTCCAAGGAAACAGGTTCTATAAAAGATTTGTTAAATTATTAGCAGCCGTCAGAATGCGATAACCGAAAAATCCATTGTGGCCATGTGGCGTTTGAATGTTGGTTGTTCACAGGCTTTGAAACGCTCTGTCAGACGATTGCCCAAAGAATCCCGATTTTTCAATTCTTATGCGAAGCCCTTGGCTCATGGCAAACCCAGCTGGAAAAGCTGGGCCCCGATTGGTGGTTTGATCATTGGATCTGCGGCTGGTGCATCCCTAGGACTGTTTGGATGGGATATTCGAAATGACGAGTTTGCGTCAGTCACGACGCTTGGCGAACTAGAATCGCCCCGCTACTGTCAAGATAAAGGGAAGTTCGACGAAGCGATTACCAAACTAAAGGAAATTCTGAAAAACGACCCCGAGTGTTATTCAATTTCGAAAGCGGATCTCGATTCCCACTCTGATTCATATTTCGGTACTCACCATGCCACAGAGGAACAAAGACCACGGATAGTCCTTTTTCCACACAATACACAAGACGTTTCTGAAATCCTCAAGATATGCCACGAATACAGCATCCCAGTGATCCCTTTTTCCGGCGGAACTTCCCTGGAGGGCCATTTCTTGCCCACGAGGATAGGTTGCACTGTTATGGTGGATCTATCTAAATATATGAACAAAATTCTCCAATTGGACAAGTTAGACTTGGATGTGGAAGTGCAAGCCGGAGTTCCTTGGGAAGACTTGAACGATTACTTGAATGAGCAAAACTTGTTGTTTGGATGTGATCCCGGTCCAGGAGCTCAAATAGGTGGGTGCATTGCAAACTCATGCTCCGGAACTAATGCGTACCGCTACGGGACGATGAAAGAAAACGTGGTGAACATAACCGCAGTGCTAGCGGACGGAACTATTATCAAGACCAAGAAAAGACCCCGTAAGTCTTCTGCTGGCTACAACTTGAACGGACTTTTGATCGGATCGGAGGGTACTTTGGCTGTTGTTACTGAGGCAACCGTCAAATGCCATGTCAGACCTGTGAAGGAAACAGTTGCCGTTGGCTCTTTCCCAAGTGTTGGGGCCGCCGCGGCCTGTACTTCCAGAATCATTCAAGAGGGTATACAACTTAATGCGATGGAACTGTTAGATGATAATATGATGCAAATTGTGAACAAGAGCGGAGCGACTTACAAAACCGATTGGGTCGAGGCGCCTACGTTGTTCTTCAAGATTGGCGGACGTAACGATAACATTATATCTGAGGTTGTGGGTGAAGTGAAACGCATTGCCGAAAAACACGGGTGCCACAAGTTCGAATTTGCCAAAGACGACGACGAGAAGTTGGAATTGTGGGAAGCGCGCAAAGTGGCTCTGTGGTCTGTGATCAATGAGGGCAAGGCCAAAGATAGCAATATCAACGTATGGACTACGGATGTTGCCGTGCCGCTGTCGCAGTTCTCGAAAGTCATCGAAGCTACGAAAAAGGAATTGAAGGACAGTGGCTTGCAAAGTGCTATAGTAGGACATGCTGGGGACGGTAATTTCCATTCATTCATTCTGTACAACAACCAAGAGCGCAGCAAGACGTCGAAGATTGTGGACAATATGGTGCAGCGCGCGATCGATGCCGAGGGAACCTGCACGGGTGAGCATGGTGTTGGTATTGGCAAGCGCAAGTTTTTGTTGGAAGAGCTGGGCGAAGCTCCAGTGGATCTGATGAGACGTTTGAAAATGGCAATGGATCCGAAAAGAATCCTGAACCCCGACAAGATTTTCAAGATCGATCCCGAGGATCGCGAGGAATGAGGGAGCGCTGTATTTAGTCGCCGTTTATATATATTCCAATGAGAGATTTCAATAGAGATGATATTATTCTTGACAAGATTCAGCTTTTGCTTGAGCGACAAAGCGAGCTCTTCGGGATTTCTACCAGCTCGGAATCCTAGCAATCTGGCTTTCCACCGCTACTTCGAAATCCTAGCAATCTGGCTTTCTCCTACTACTTCGATATCTTCACAACTTCGAAATCTTCACAATCTGGCTTTCTCCTACTCATTCGGAATCTTCGCAATCTGGCTTTCTTCTACTACGTCGTAATCATCATAATCTGGCTTTCTACTACACCTACCACCACAAGTCTTCACAGATTACATCACTTTTCTTGCAAGAGCAACTTACTTACCACCGCCGTTTCGACAAACTTTCCCCATTCCCTTCCTTAGCTCAAATTGACACACTTTTCAACACGATTCACCGCATGAACACAGTGTTTTCGACTAACTTGATAAAAAAATACATACCCAACCAAGTATCAACAATTAACCCTCCCATCTTTGCCAAACCTTCTTTATTCTACCAACCACCGCTACCGTAAAATCTTCACCACACCTTGCTGGTCCCGTTTTCCTCTATCTTCCAGCAATCGCAAGTTCGTTCGCTATTGCTACAAGCAAACGGCTCAGCCAGCTGACCACAACGTTACGCAAACATTTGTCGTAAATGACCCTACCGCAAGAGCAATAGCCGTGAGGGATACCTCCTCATGGCACAACTATAAGAAGGCCCCGTAAACATGGTCTTGAAGACATTGAAGATTCTAAGATAGTCATCAACAGCTCACTACAATACTACAGGTATAGTATTATAGTTCCTTAGCCAAGACCTTAATTCCAACCCAATTAGATAATATTCAATATGCTCAGATCCGTTGCTTCCCATGCCATCAGAACACCTTCTCGTGTAGTAGCGCCCTCCAGAGTGATTACGTCGTCGCTACACTCCTCAGCATTGACGCAACAGTCGATCACAGACAAAGTCCGCCACACGCTGGGCGATCTCAACAAGAAGATCGGCGAAGCCGCTGCCACAGGCATCGACAAGGCTCAAGAAGCGTCACACACCGTGGAGGAAAAGACACACAATGCTACAGACGCTACCAAGCAAGGACTGGATGCGCTCAACAAGAAGACCGGCCAGGCTGCCGCTTCGGGCATCGACAAGGCCCAGCACATGTCTGAAAATGCGGGCGACAAGGCCGAGGACTTGAAGTACCAAGCCAAGGACAAGGCCCAAGACCTGAAGCATGATGCCAAGGACAAGGCCCAGGACATGAAGCATGTGGCCAAGGACAAGGCACACCAGGGCAAAGCCAAGGCCAAGGACGCAGCCGACGAGTACACTAACTGAGAAAGCTGAGCGAGCGCGCACAGTACACGCATCCCACGCATTCTAGCATCAGGAGTAAATAGTCCTTCGCTCTTCATTCAGTGCAGTTTTAATATAGTATGTACGAGTAACGAAACGAATATGCATGATTATGACTATGGCGAAAGCTAGAAAAGAATTGAGCGACCTCTGAGCAGGCGGCGCCATTTTGGTGTTTCTACTGGTCGTTGTCTTCCGCTTGCTCGACAGCAGCGGCGGCCGGCGCTGCTTTCCGCCTTATAAGCTCGAGGTAATTGTAAGGCACGTAACCTACATCGCCCTTCTTGGTGCGAACTTTCCACCACTCGCTGGCGCGGCCCAGAGCATCTGTCTTGCTGATAACCGCCATGAGATCGCCCTTCTTGAGTAGAACCTCCACCTGTGGGTCTTCGGGCGTGAAATCAAAAATGGCCCGCGCAAACTCCAGGTTTCTCGGATCCAAGCCCAGCGGCAGCGCACTAGTGACCGCCCCACTGTTTCCCAATTTCCGCTGCTGGATCTCGGCTAGTTTGGCAATGAACTTTCGCAGCAGAAATGGGAAGCCGAATACCGCGGCCAAAAATATCACTAGCGGTTTCCAGGATATCCGGCGTTTGCCCCGTTTCTCGCGCTCCAAGTCTTGATACTTTTCAAAGTCCTTGGCCATCTTGCTCTTGGGCCCGCTGGAGATAGCTTTCCTCGGTGCGGAGCCTAATTTACCATTGCTAACCTTGTAGAGTAACCGTTTGAGCATCTTCATAGCGGCAAATATACCAAAAATCGACCCGAGCATCTCTTTCAAAGAAGAGATTTGCTCAGCCATCGATACCATGGTGAAAAAGGAGTTATGGGTGGCCATGTAGGTGGCCTCCAACATCTGTGCAAATCCTGCTACGGCTCCAATTAGACTTTCGATTAGCTGGAATGTCGCCTGTGTAGATTCTGTCAGACTCTGCGGTCCACCATTGTTCATTCCACCCATTCCGCCCATTCCGCCCATACCGTACATGTTTCCAGTTCCATAGCCTCCCATCATTGAGCCATACCCACCACCAGCACCGCCATACATTGAATTATATCCTCCGCCGTACATGGATCCATATCCTCCTCCGGCTCCATAAATCGAGCCCAAACCACCACCGTAAGGTGAGCCTCCAAACCCACCATTCATAGAGCCCCCATTTTGCCCGTAGAAGCTGTTTTGGTTCCCTAAACCATTTCGCACATTGTTCCCATTGTCAGATCCCAGAGTCTCCGGCCGCTGGGGTATTTCTGGCACCGCATCCTCACCGGGATTTTCAGTGCGTATGTTATTCGATTTGGTTGGCCCTACTATCGCATTGTCAATAACCGTTGTGGCATCTAAAGGCTGTGATTCCCACGGCTTTGCCCTTGGTTTCTTGACAGATGAAGACATTATTCGAATTCACTAGGTTGAACTCACAAACGACTTGATAATGACAGCCAAAAACAACCCGGAACCGAGAGCCTACGAAAATGCCAAATCAACTATCTTCGGTCGTGGCAAGTCGAGAATCCTCTTCGCAATTAAAATTCCATCTCACGTCTTGAACATGACTTGGCTATTATGCAGTAAAAGCTAGCTTGAATGACATGAATAAAGAAACAAGTAGCACACTCACTTCTAGCCTTTCATACAATTACTACGGGCGTGTGGCGTAGTTGGTAGCGCGCTCCCTTAGCATGGGAGAGGTCATCGGTTCGACTCCGGTCTCGTCCAATTTTTTTGATTATCCCGAAAACTTCTTGAAGCTTCACTAGTCAAACTCATCCAATCTCTTCTGCTACGTCTCTCATCTACCGAACGATTGAGCTGATACCCTCGGAATGTTTTTCTCATACGTTTGCCAGAATTCAAGATTGATATCTGGAACGCTCGAAAAGAAGCCAATTGAGTTTATGCATATGATACCGCGCTGGTTTTGTTATTGTTATCTGCCTTATATATATATTACATTGAAAGAATAATGTCTGGTAATCATTTCTCGAACGTCAACCCGAGCCTTATCCCTGCGGGCCTTTTGCGCGGAGATTCTGACATTTGCCGACTATGTTCGTCATTATTGAAGTTCGTAATGGTTGTAGTCTTGTCGAGTATGTTCTCGTTGATATTATCGTGGTCTTCGTTCTCGGTGTCGTCACCGCTGCTAGAGTTTGCCTCTGATAATTCGTTCAACGTTAGCGCGTCTACCAATGGAATTCTTGGTTTAGACGTGGTTGGAACAACTTTCGTAGGTGCGGTTAATTTCTTGATAACCCGTCTGTAATTGTCTATTTGTTTTTCCAGTTGTTTTGTCTTGCGATCCATATCTCTATAAGCATTCTCCTTTTCCCGTTGTACGTCATGCAATGCATCAAACATACATTTATCCTGCACCGTCCGATGTGCAGTCATTGTGTGTCTAAGTTGTTCATTCTGTAACCGCAATTCCGCAATTTGTAGCTCGAGTTGTTTAGCTCGCAAAGAGAAATGCTCCGTTTGAAACGTTCTCTCTCTTAATGTGTCAACGTGTTGTCGGTTATTTTGAGCATCGCTTATATTTAACGTCGCAACTTGTCTCTCGTCCGTAGACTGCGCAAACCATCCGTTCAGATCATCGTCATTCGTGGATCCTACGCTAGACATATAAGAACTTCTTTTACTCTGTGTTGCCAGAACAAATTCATCTTTGTCTATTGCCGCAACTTCGAAGTTTAAGCTCTCTGGAAACTCTTTGAAATCTAGGGTAGAACCCGATGAAGCAGTCGAAGTGGCAGAGGGAAACCTATATCCTGGAGTCTTGACTCTAGGCTCAGCCAGTTTGACCTCCGGTATCGTTTCAGGCTTGGATTGTGGAGCACATATAACCTGACTTTCGCATGCAGTGGCACCGTTTATTACGGTGCTTGTATTTGATAGCCCTTTTGAATGCTTGTTATGTGCTTTCGGTTGTGATACAGGTTCTGGTTTTTCGTTGAAGTGTACTGGAGGCTGTTCCTGTTCCTTGTTTGATTGCTGATGCGGTTGCTGCGATACATTTTTGAAAATGAGTTTAGAAGATGTGAGAATCATCGAGGGCGTTGTTGCCGGTGCTACTGGGACGCCTCTCGTGTTATTTAAAAGTCTCGATACGCTCATGTACTCCGGTTTAAGCATCTTGGGCGCGTTATTAAGCATGGCACGTATTGGGGAGTTTGAACGTAGAATTTTGTTTGGAGTCTTGGGATCTGCGGTCCGGCCTCGGCTCTTGCGCTCTGTGAGCTTTGAAAGCGAAGTCCGGTATGCAGCAGGATAGCTGGCTTTTTTGTTATCGTCGAGATGCATGAACGACGGGTTCGTTAGCGAGGAGGACAAGTTGTCATCCAAATGCATCATTATGGGCGACATTTTTGGCGTGAGCTGCTCTGCGCTCATGGGAGGCGTATTCATGTTGGGAATGGCCAAGGTGATTATCGATAGCGAGTGACAATGATGTTGGTAATTAAGGGAGAAGAGCAAACGAAAATCAAACAAAATTGATCAGATATGAGCGAATTAGCCACTCAACTGCTAACTTCAGTACTTTCGAGTTCTAGCTCAATTAGTTATTCTTGTGGTTTTGCTTAAACGTAGGAATGTTGGAAAGCTCAACTGACAATGGTTTTGATCTGCCAGCAAATATGAAAGAACAGTTGCGTGTAAGTTTCCCTATCTTTTTTGGAAAAGCCCTCTTTCTCTGAACGACTGCCACAAACGTAGTATTCTCTGTATTTCCACCCTCTTCGTGTTTTAAAATATGTATTCTCCTCCTTAATTTGCCTCCAGATTTGCAGAACTTGGGCGATTTTGGCTCTTTTGGCCCAAATACTTTACAGGATGAATAGGCCGGGTTTTGTGAGAGTGAAAAGTTCCTGGGCAGGTATCCAAAAGTTTCACAGGGATTCAGGCTTGGAAATTAAATGAAAAGTGTTGATATTTACATTTGCCTTTTTCAGGCATATTATATGGATCGACAAATCTGGAAGTCGATTTTCCCAAGTAGGCAATTTGGAAAATAAGAGCAGTGCAATTGGACATCGGGTCAGAGCTTGTACTGGAGACCAACCAGATGATGCGAGAACAGTTTCTGATTTTAGCTTGGACCTCCTAAAGTTTTTTCAGTTGTTGTGTTAAATCAAAGAATGAAGTGCACTAACGGAAAACCGGGAGTAGCTCGGGGGAAATGTCTTAGTGGACATTATCAACTAAGTAGCTAAAATAAACTTCTTGATGTTTCCTTCTTATAAGGACAGCTTCGGGGAGCTTCGAGCCAAGCGCGGCCATCATATCATACAATTTGCTGAGAGACGACACATACGTATAAAGTGAGTATACGTATGTTGGGCTGCTACCTTTATGTTTGCCGGTTGAATGAGCAGCTAGTTGAGCATCCATAGGGAACGATACTGCAGCTCGGATAAATGTGCAAGTGAACGGCGAACCTGTGCCAGAGCTTTGGAAGCTTCCTTTCTTTCTACGCACACTTTGTTATTGCGATTACTTACTGAGCAGTCGAAATACGTTGACCATCTTTGCTAAGCTCAGCCCTAGCTTATGGAGCAGCTTATTCGTAGATGACGGTTGTTAGCATCTATCCCTAGATTTTCCAGCACAAGATCAACGTTTTGGTCGCAAAATTAACTAATAGTGTTCGTGGAACTCTGATAAATGAGTGGAAAAAGTTAAGTGAGAAGGTGTGCAAGTAGGGTGCTAGTGCGGTGCAATTGTTTCAGTTATTTAGCGCCCTCGTTATATTATTGTCACTTTGTACCATCATGTCATCTTGCAACTTAGCACTTGTCGTCCCTCACGTACTTGTCAGACATCAAACCAACCGCAGTCGTAACCACATGGTATTCTGCAAGAGCTTGAATTTTCTGCTACTGATTCACACAAGCTAGCTACTATTCACAACTCATCCCTTCAAAGTTCTTGCACTGAATAACTCTTCGGTACTCAGCCGATTGACTCTTATATTTTTCATAATATTTTACATGTTGAAAAATTCCAAGTATGTAGTTTCCAGATCTTAACTCCATCTTGCTTTCGGAGAAACACACACAACTCACGTTTCCGTCCCATCAATGTCGGCAACTCTTTTGGCTCGTCCAAGAATGGCTCTGGCTGCCAGGTTTCTACTGCGCAGCCAGTCAGGCGTAGCACCCGCGTTGCAGAAACTACATGCTACACTAAAACCAGATGAACTTCAAGCTGACAACACCCCGGACTACGTGCGGTTGATCTTGAGATCATCCGTTTACGATGTTATCGGAGAGTCACCCATAACACGAGGCGTAGGCTTGTCTTCCCGTCTGAACACGAACGTACAGTTGAAAAGAGAGGATCTGCTACCAGTTTTTTCATTCAAATTACGTGGTGCCTACAATATGATGGCCAAAATATCAGAGGGACAGAAGAAAACACAAGGTGTCATTGCATGCTCTGCCGGAAACCACGCCCAAGGTGTTGCGTTCGCTTCAAGACACCTTAACATACCAGCGATCATCGTTATGCCTGTGAATACCCCATCTATAAAATACCAAAATGTGTCAAGACTCGGTGGACAGGTAGTTCTCTTCGGCAATGACTTTGATGAGGCCAAGGTAGAATGCAGCAGGATTGCGGAGGAAAGAGGTTTGACTAACATTCCACCTTTCGATCACCCCTACGTCATAGCTGGTCAAGGTACTGTGGCCATGGAAATTCTAAGGCAAGTTCACAACGCATCTAAGATAAGCGCCGTTTTCGTTCCTGTTGGTGGTGGCGGTCTTGTAGCCGGTGTCGCAGCATACCTGAAGAGAATAGCACCTCATATAAGGGTCATCGGTGTCGAAACTTACGATTCGGCTACACTGCAGACATCCTTAGTCGCTGGTCATCGCACTGAATTGCCAACTGTTGGTACCTTTGCAGACGGCACCTCAGTCCGCATGATTGGTGAGGAAACCTTCCGCATTTGCCAGGACTTCGTTGACGAAGTTGTACTTGTAAACACTGATGAGATCTGTGCTGCAGTAAAAGACATTTTCGAAGATACCAGAAGTATTGTCGAACCTTCTGGTGCTCTAGCAGTGGCTGGACTCAAAAAATATGTCACTCAGCTACATCCAGATGTTGACCACTCGAAAAAAACTTACGTGCCGATCTTATCTGGTGCCAACATGAACTTCGACAGACTTAGATTTGTCTCTGAGCGTGCTGTCCTAGGTGAAGGCAAAGAAGTGTTTATGCTTGTGACTATTCCAGATGTTCCCGGATCTTTCAAAAAATTGCAAAGAGTCATTCATCCAAGAGCTGTCACAGAGTTTTCTTATCGTTACAATGAACATGGCCATGACAGCGTTTCCCACTCTCCAAAAGCCTATATCTATACTTCTTTCAGTGTAGTGAATCGCGAAAAAGAGATCAAACAAGTGCTACAGCAGCTAAACGCCTTGGGTTTCGAAGCTGTTGACATTTCTGACAACGAGATGGCTAAGAGTCATGGCAGATATCTGGTCGGAGGCGCATCTAAAGTATCGAACGAGAAGATCTTATCTTTTGAGTTCCCCGAAAGACCAGGGGCACTCACTAAATTTTTGGACGGTATGAGCGAATCCTGGAATTTGACTTTGTTCCATTATAGAAACAATGGTTCAGATATCGGCAAGGTTTTGGCTGGTATTTCGGTGCCTCCCAATGATCATGATGTATTTCAAAAGTTCTTAGATGACCTGGGATACAAATATCACGACGAAACTAGCAACATGGTATATCAAAAGTTCTTGAAATACTAAGCATGATATTTGGCAGACACTGACACTGAAACGCATATTTCCGTCACGGAGAAATTTTATAGAGCCTGAAATATATATAATGTTAACGATTAACCAAGTCATTTTAGTATCTGAGCTAATCTAATAGAACCACCATAGATAAGGGCTAATCATGAGAAAATTTTAATACCTGTAGGGATTTTTTTCGGGGTTTCCTATCTTTTCAACTTCTATATTGTTCGTAGAGGGTTGACCAAATTTCGTATTTTTCAAAATCAATTGCGGATCTCGAGACCTATTACCATCATGAACTAGATGAAATATAGCCATGAAGCTATGCGTGAAGACAATAGTACGCCAAGTCCACATATACCAATCCAAAAACTTAACTAGAGATGCTATAAAGACGCTCAATACACATGATCTTTTGCAATCCCTTGGTTTTGTTAAACAAACCCAAAGCGGTTTAGTTCATTGGCTGCCGCTGGGTCTTCGAACATTGAATAAAATAAGCAGGATCATCAGAAACCGTCTAGAAAAAGATGCAAAAGCTCAAGAGCTATCTTTGAGCTTGCTGTCTCCACAAGCGCTTTGGGAGAGCACGGGGCGTTGGAACAATGGCGAGCTATTCAAACTGAAGGATTCGAAAGGATCTGCATATTGCCTTGCACCTACTTGCGAAGAGGAGGTAACGTCACTGATGGGCAACTTTATCACAAGCCACAAAGATTTGCCGTTAACAGTATATCAAATTGGAAGAAAGTACAGAGATGAAAAAAGACCTAGAGGTGGATTGTTAAGAGGTCGTGAGTTTTTGATGAAGGACGCATACTCATTTGATAAGACAAAAGGAGATGCAATTAAGACCTTTGCACAAATGAATGAGACATATGGCCTAATATTTCAAGATCTAAGAGTTCCGTTCGTAAGCGCTTGGGCGGATTCCGGAGATATTGGAGGTGACATGAGCAAAGAATACCATTTTCTACATGAATCAGGAGAGGATACAGTCTTCAAATGCGGTTCTTGCGATCATGTTTCCAACGTGGAGAAGGCTAATTCATATCCACAGAAGTTCAATGACTATGAGGGTGACGTGAATGTACGATACGCTCTAACTATCGACCATGATACGCTTATCTGCTTGTACTATCCCAAAGATAGGTCGCTGAACTGGAACTTGGTTCTAGCAGCTATAGAAAACGACGTAGACACTTCTTTGGCAGGCATGAGTAACGAAGAGGTCTTGGGTCTTTTCAATGCTGGCAAAAACGAGGATGACATGATGCTCTCTTCTGTAATTCGGGTTATGGATTGTAGACTCAATCCCAGGTCAAATTATCCTGATTTCCCATTAAAGCAGTACTTGAAAAACAACTTTTCGCAACTGGACGATGTGAGTTTGGTCGATGCCGAAGAAGGCGAAATATGCGGTGCTTGCGAACAGGGCAAACTGAGCAGTGCAAAAAGTATCGAGGTAGGCCACACCTTTTATTTGGGACAAAAGTACTCCAAATCGCTTAACGCCAAATTCACGACAAGAAATAATACTGAAGAGTTCTGCGAAATGGGTTGCTATGGTATCGGCGTTAGCCGTCTAGTAGGCGCCATTGCACAGGTGACACGCGATAGTTTAGGATTAAGGTGGCCCAAGTCCGTGGCTCCGTATGAGATCTCTATCTGTGCTGCCAAGCATGACGGACTCTCAGAGGAAATTGAGACCTTGTTACAAGATTGGGAGTCCGAGACGTTGGTAAATCAAGATGATAAAGCTAGCCTTGGGCGTAAAATAGCCATGAGCCATAGTCTGGGTATTCCAGTCTGCATTATTGTAGGCAAGAAACAATGGCCATTTGTAGAAATAGAAATCAGGGCTCCCTACATGAGTGGAAAATGGCACGCCGAGTTTGATCAATTCGGTAAGGAGTGGGGCTGGACTGTGGAAAATGCCGATACAGATTCCCCGCAGAAACACAGGGCACACAAAGACCATTTGATAGACGTGATACGCGTGATATTAACAGATATGTAGGTTGACAAAGTACACGAACGTAGAGAAATATGGGATAAGTCTGCAAGGCCGATAGTGAGTTAGGCCTATTTATCTCGCAATGCTCAGCTTCAGCTCCTGGCTTAAGCAATTCTTTGTTGGTTGTCTGCAGCTCTATTGGCGTTCAGAACAGCTTACCGGTGACCTTGGCCACAACGTGTAAGGCCACGACTGAGAAGATGAAGCCGACAGCTAAAAACAATACGACGAGAGGGTCCACTCTGAGACCATTGGCCTCGTCTGTGTAGAGCTTCAACACGCTGTTAGAGGAGCCACCAAAGCCTGCCTGTCTAGTGGAAGCTGGAGTCTGCTTTTGTTGCTTGTCCTTGGCTGTTTGCGCCTGTCTTCTTTTTTGCAACGTACGTTGGCCACCAGGTGGAGTAGGAGTAGACATGCTGAAAGTTATATAAGCGCTTGAGAGGTCTAAGAACAATCAATTGTCAACCAAACAAGATTCTACTATTCAAGGTGTTAAGTTCTAGATCTGTTCTGTACACGTTAACGAAATAATTTTTCAAAAATTTACCCGGAGAATTCTGTCACTTCGAGAGATAGTGCCTGAGTAACAAATAGAAGCCTGAGAAGATGGAAGCAGTAGATAGCTAGAAGCAGGGGACCAGTTAGCCACAGTTAGCTATGAGAGATTATATGGCAAGCTGTAAAGATCCAAAGTGTTGCCTTGTTTGATGAATTTGCTCCAAAAATTAGGAAGCTAATTTGAGGGATCCGAGAGATACAGCATCATTCATGAGGAGCTTAAGTCTTCTTCATGCCGTTCTTGACCTTCAACAGCTTCGATGCAGGCTTCGACCTTAGGAGGGTTGAAAGGAGTAGTTAGTAATCTCACACAGTACGGTTGTGTCGTTGTTGTTGTACTCAAGTAATTGAGAAAGAGTAAATTATTTAAAGCCAGGTTGTTCAGTTTGACTGGATATAACCTGCCAGTGAGCTTTGAATGTTGTTTTAAAAGAAAACTGTCGATGTTTTTAGTCGGAAATTTAGACGCAAAACAGCAAAAGATGATAAAATGGGCTAGAATGCTAAATTGGCCGCCCTCCATTGCAGAGCGTGCGATGAGCTTCGCACGTCCGAAAATGCAACGAACAAGGTATTTGACCAGCAAAGAATTTGACACATTGTAAGAATCACCGGCTTTCTGAATGGGTGCTACTTAATATTATTTCGTTGAGGTATGTGTGACAGCTGCAACAGACATGATTACAAAGGGGTCTTAGCGTCACTAGACCCTGAACTTAATGATATCCATTACTATGTATTCTTTCCAACTGTGTTGAAATAAAATTTTGACTCAGGGAATAAATTTCCAGGATCTATACATTTGTTCTGGCCGACGAGCTCTTGTAACATGAATTGTTCGAAACTGGAACCAATGCTTGGACGTATCAAAACAAAAAAAGCGTTATTAAAAACACTACATAGTATTAACATCTTGGCATCAGCGCTTTGATTAGTTGTGTGTATCGGCGTGCTGAGTCTAAGTTCAATTTTTTGTCACTTTATACCAACGTGTCATAGACAAAAGCTGACAGTACGCCATCATCTATGGGCTCATTTAAGACTTCAATGCTAGTTTCAAATACTAAAAGTCAGAGCCGCAAGCTGATATAAATTCAGGCAAGAAAAACAACGCACCAAGTTTGCCAGTATCTCTTCTTACCCACTATGCATGTGCAACGTTATCGTTCGCTAAAAATTCCGCTCGGTCCAAGCCAAACCACCCCCGCTCCATATTATGATTTCGCAACCTCCTTGATTTCTTACATGCTTCCATTGACTTCAACAGCGTTCGCTGTGAATTGCAACGCCAAAATATTATGCTTTCGGTCATTGGCCAATGACAACACAATTAGTATATCACTTCCTACCATTCTTTCACCCTCATCAAAGTTTTAAAAACCGTGTTAGAAAGGCTTTGCGCGATCCAAATTAGCTTCCAGCATACATATTAGTCTTGCAAGCCATGACAAGCATATGTGTAATGGGTTCAACAGCTTTTAAGAGTTAGAAACATAAGAAAATCGCCATTGACGACACAAAACCGAACACGGCCTTGTCGCCTATTGTTAATAGGATGCATTGCCCAAGTGTCACATCTTCGGTACTGTGATTTCGTTTGCTATTCCGGCTGAGTTCTCTGTACTTCAAAGCAAATAGAGCGTCCTCACATACCACTCATTTCGACTCATTATTACCCTACCTTTAAACCAAGTATTCTTTATTGAAAATCTCAGCAGCGTAAATCTCCTTCGTCATGTTAGATCCAAGAACTCCTTGGAAAGCCATCGGTCTTCGTTACTAGTTAGAACTACGCTTTTTGAGTCATCTAGTCAAGCCTTAGTTAACTGGATAAGTCTTCTAAAGGTCCAAATTCGTTTGAAATTGGCGCTCAACTAAAGATAGTGTCTCGTTTCTTTTGTTTTTAACGTTTAGATTAAAAATTTGGACTACTGGGAGTATTACACCATCGTAATATAACCAAGCTTCCCACAATGTCGGAGATGTCCGCATCTACAATTCCAGAGTCTGTTTTGGCCGGCTCTGGGAGTATGGGGCCTGCATCTTACGCTACTAGGTCTCCAGAAGATGATGTGATTCCCACAGCCATTGTGATAAAAAACATTCCGTTCGCAATCAAAAAAGAGCAATTACTCGAAGTCATTTCCAAGATGAATTTGCCGCTGCCTTATGCGTTCAACTACCACTTTGATAACGGGGTTTTTCGCGGTCTGGCATTTGCTAATTTCGCTACCACTGACGAGACGACCCAAGTCGTACACTCGCTGAATGGGAAAGAAATAGGTGGTAGGAAACTACGCGTCGAGTACAAGAAAATGCTACCACAGATGGAGCGTGAACGGATCGAGCGTGAAAAGCGAGAGAAACGCGGTCAACTGGAGGAGCAACATCGCACCACTTCTGCCCTCTCACTTCAATCTTTGAACAAGTCCTCGAGTGGCGGAAACCCAAATGCCAATAGTCCTGGAAATTCTTTAGCACAGCTATCTACCAATGACGGTTCTAATGCCACTGTCCAACGTCCTCAAACACCATCCGAGGGTCTTTCAAATATCGCAAACCAGAACATACCACCACCACTATCCTCCAACGCAAGCTCTCAAATGTTTCATAACTTTGTTAGCGGAGGGAGCAGCAATGCCACAGGTGCTCCTACAAATCCTTTAATGTCACCTCAACCTTCAATGACCCCACAACCGCTTTTATCTGCCCAGAACACTGCAACGTCCATGGCTTTACCATCTAATTCTCTAGCTGCAAGCTCCTCAGAACGTTATTATGCTCCTCTTCCAGCCTCGACTAATTTGCCCTTGCCTCCACAGCAGTTGGATTTCAATGACCCTGACATTTTGGAAATATACTCCCAACTATTACTTTTCAAAGATCGCGAAAGAGCATTCCATGAGTTGGCATACCCAGTTGGACTTTCCGCCACCCACAAGCGTGTCATCAACGTGCTGTGCTCGTTTCTGGGATTAGTCGAAGTCTATGATCCTAGCTTCATAATTATTCGTCGCAAAATTTTGGACCACGCTGCTTTGCAATCACACTTGCAGCAAGAGGGTCAATTATCTTTGATGCAACCTTTGCAACCCAGCTCTACAGGCGGTTCTGGAATGTCCCGTTCCCACTCGTACACCTCCCTGCTACAAGCCCATGCTACAGCAGCAGCAGCAGCAGTAAACAATAATAATGTCGGACAAGGTGTTCACATTCCACCACCTTCTCAATCCCCTCTTCTTCAGCCCACCGCGGTGCATCAACTAGACTCGCAAAACCAGCAGCAGCAATCAATCTTGAGACCACCGTCTACACAGACGCCATCGTCTTCGATCCTACAGAACAGAATTCCCACTGGATATGCGAACAAACACACAACACCATCTGCTTCGAACAATCCTTTGCTGAGAAATGCAGGTGTGTCTCCTACCACTGGACAAGTACAACCTAATACTACTCAACGGATGCCATCTTTCTATTCTCAAACGCCTTCTACGCCTAATTTGAACGAGAATCGTTACAACAGTACACAAAATCTGGTTCCACAACACACCAACAGCAGTTTTCATTCCAACTACTCTGTACACTCGTTTCACGATCCTTCGTCTGCAGCTGCAGACTCCCAGAACCACGGAATGATGTACGGTTCTGCGTCGCAGTTAGGACTAGGTCCTGAATTGGAAGGCGATCTAAGCCGGTCGCTAAGTGGACTTGACATTCAGGGAAAGAGGAACTTGTGGGGATAAGCGAAGAGAAGTGAATCCCCAGTATTCATTCCCATTTTTTTTATTTTTATTTTTCCTACTTTCCTCCATTTCACTGAAAAGTTGAGCGTTCTGTCGCTGCGGATAGACGATCACCAACAGTTTCTGTTTGAGTTGCTCACGAAGTTACGAAGATTGAACGAATTATCAAGAAGTTATATGAACGCCATGCAAAGCGGTTACGAAAACCGGCGAGGCCTGCCTTAAGTAAATCACAGTTGGTCTCGCTGACGACTTACATGAACAAAACTCATTGCCTATACGAGTTTCCCCCAATTGATAGAAATGTGCCACTGTGCTTAATTGCGACCTGCGGGTCCTGGCTCTTTTTAGTCCATTTATAAACAATGCACGATTGCTAAAACAAGATCTTTTAATTATCGCCCAGTAATAGCTAAGTCTGTCGTAGTTCTTGCCGAATATGCCGCATGTCTCTTGTATCGGAAATAGAAGTTGTCAATTAAAAACTCATGTCATTGAATTTTTGCATTGCAGCTGGATAGTGCTACTATAATCAACGTGGTCTCGTACTGTTAGAAGTGCCTTTTCATCCATTGAGCATGAGGTAAGTCCCCAATGTGCACCTAAAGAGCGTAGCGAGTAATGATTCTCTGCAAAATGCAAATTTAATGCTGAAGTTCGCGATTTGCCAGGTTCCTCGTCATATCAAGATTGAAATGTGGTTTCGAAACAGTCCCCTTTCTTATCTCAATCATGTTGCAGTTTAAGTCATATTAGTCAAGAGAGTACGTAATCTTGATTTAAAAAAACAAGCTCATCACTTTGTTAGTTTTTGCAAGCTCCAATCAAAACTCGACGAGAAATACAGATGTAGTACTGGTGCGCTTGTCAAATCAAAGCCTAGGATCCTCGCAAAGTACCTAGGCTAGACCTCTAGCTTCTTTCATGCTACGCGGATTGAAGAGTAAGGAGAGAACTTTTTAATTTCATAGCTTCATAGGCTCTAAGCACACCAAAGCTGTGCTGTACACGCTCGCCTACTTTTTAAGCGTAGTATCAAGCCATCCATGTCAAGTAAACTAAAGTTACTATATTGGTAAATGAATATCAGTAAACGTGATATTCACCCATCCTATGTATTATTTATATATTTATTTATGTAATTATTTTACGAAAATGGCCGTCTGTCAGCGTTTGCATTATAACACTGTCAATTGAGGAACCAACAGCGCTCCCAACGCTCTAAGCACATATCATATATTGACCTTTGAAGCCCAGTTGTCCCGAGAAAGCTATTTTTTCTCGCTAAGTAGGCCTTCGAATTGGTCAATTGAGGTCGAGAGGATTCGTGTCATGAACCCTACAGATGCCCATGCCCAACGACATCTGCGTTTGTTGCGCAACATAGAGCTTAATGATAACTTACACGCGTCACTTGCTAACGAAATAGCCAAAAACCCTGACAAATTCTCTCGTCAAACTCGAGCAAGGCATGCATATGATGAACCCTTGAAAACAGAGACTATCGCCGTTGTCATAGAACCACCGAAGCCCAAATCAGTACAGCGAGTCATTGAGCATATATCCGAATGGCGTCTTCCGGAACAGGCAGAAGAGGCTAATGTTCTGAGTCCTTTCGTGGAATTTCCCAAGATCGATCCATTTCGTGGAACTTATAAGAAACATGTCATCAGACTGCGATACGACCCAAAAAAGCTTCTTGATTTTGACAATCTCATCACCAACTCAACTGTCGAACCCCACAGGTATGAGGTAGACTTTGACGTACACGAAACCCAAACTCTTCTCGATAAGATCGATAACGACTGTTCCAAACCATATCGCTGCGCGATCGCGGACAAAAAAGACTTCTCTACACAATATACCACACCATCCATCAAAGATCGAGAGTTTTTTCAAGCACTGCTGTATAATGCAAGCCCTGCCTCTTTCTATAACGGAAATTTGCTTTTGGCCTTCAGTGAAGCCGAAGACCGAGAAATGACTCATCCAAAGAGAAACAAGACGATCAGAGAGGCTTCCAGGATCGAATATGTTCAATTAAGGGACTACGAAATCAAAACATGGTATACTGCGCCCTACCCAGAAGAGTTCAACAAAAACAAGATTCTATACATATGCGAGTACTGCCTGAAGTACATGAAATCAAGGTACGTCTTCCACCGTCACCAACTAAAATGCTCATTACGTCATCCGCCCGGAAATGAAATATATAGGGATCAGAAAGTTTCAATTTGGGAGGTTGATGGTCGGGAGAATGTCATCTATTGTCAAAGCTTATGTTTATTAGCCAAATTATTCCTGAATTCTAAGACACTCTACTATGACGTCGAGCCTTTCATATTTTACGTCCTCACCGAGCGTGAAGATGTGGGTGGAGAGTGTCAGTTCCACTTTGTGGGTTACTTCTCGAAAGAAAAACTGACTTCCACTGACTACAACTTAAGCTGCATTTTAACATTACCAATCTACCAGAGAAAAGGATACGGCCATCTATTAGTCGACTTTTCTTACCTTTTGACAAGAAGAGAATATAAGTGGGGGACGCCAGAGAAACCGTTATCTGATCTTGGATTGTTATCATACCGCAATTATTGGAAAATTAAACTCTGTGAGGTAATAATTTCACTCAAAAATGAGATTCTCAAAGTTCAGGAGGAAGGCTCGACATTTCAATGCAGTATCGAAGATTTCTCAAACCTTACTGGTATGATTCCAACAGACGTTGTATTTGCTTTAGAGCAGCTACAAATGCTTCATCATTATGAAGTGAAAAATGAGATAAAATATGCTCTAAAAATTAGTGACTGGTCACTTATAGAGAATATCGTCCAATCCTGGAGTTCCAAGGCTTCTTGTTTTTTGCGTCCAGAGAAATTGGTTTGGAAACCAATGATATTTGGTCCTTCCTGCGGAATCAACGCAATGGGCACGATGGTAGAAACCACGGGTGCAACGAGGACAACGGGTAAAGGACAAAACAAAAACGGAATCGATACATTCAAGAATAGTATTTCCGTCTTGGTAAATTTTTTGCAAGATGACATTTCTGATCCAAGAAGCATAGAGGAAACATCCCGTCAAAAGATTCATGATCAACAGGAAGTAAAGTTTAACCCTGTAAATCCAGATCACATGACGCTGTCCCACAGCGCGACGCACCACGATAGGTCTAAAAGTGCCAATGGAACGGCAGATTCTGTTACTAGTCATGTCAATGATGTATACACGAACGGGAACGACAAAGCTGGAAATGGTCACGGCGCAAAAGCAAAACGGCTCAGAGCTTCCGCTTCTGAATTTCAAGATGGAGCTCACGATATTATCCTAGAGGAGGCAATAAGTGGAAAGGCAGTTATCGATGGACATGCGGCTGAGGACGAGGAACCCAAGCTCTCGAGTCTTTCAGCTGATGAAGATGAGGTCCTGGGGGACGAAGAGGGTTCTACTGGCTCGTCCGATACTCATCATGATGTAACGAGAAGTAAAAGGGGCCGTTTAATCAAAAAGGTCATTGATAGTAGCGATGAGCCAGATGATTATCCTTACGCTACCAGACAACTGCGAAGTAGGGATCATGTGTAATTTATTCTGTAACAATAAAACAAAGCTTAATGGGCATGGACTTGCCAAAACAAAGGAAACAGATTACTACCAATATAACAAAATCTAGATAATACATGGTTCCAAGCTTGTCTTACTTCCCAAATAAACAATGAAATAACCCGAAGACAAAACATTCCAGATGTGAAAACGTTGAATTAAAGGAAACGATAACAAAAGCCAGCCTGTAAATCGTTAACTCGTTGTAAAACTTTTAAGGATGTGTGAAACTTCAAAGTTGTGAAGTTTCAATTTTATATCGCCTCAATGATATCCCTAGAGTATGTTTTTAAAAAGACTATTGAGGCTGGGCAATGGAGCTCCATGCCCAGTGCTAGCCCCATGATCATTGATGGTAGAATATGAATGGCTACGATGACCATCAAGGTCACTCAGACAGTTATAGTTCGATCCATCGAGAGGCTTACTCACCCCAGGTTTCGTAGAGCTATCAAAAGTTGCTGGTGATTGATCTCTGTTAATAGGATGAGGAGAGAAAACGGGCGAGTGTTCTCTATCATTGGAATCGGAGGAGAGCGACAACGACGGGGACACTTCTTTTTTTACATCGAAAATGCCTTGAGATGGTTGCCGTGGACCACCATCATTTGCCGCAGTAATTTCTTCTTCTATCGCTGTATCTTCGGTGAGTGATCTTTCAGGAGTATCCAAAGGAGAGCTAGACGATGAAGACGTTCTGCGGTCTAAAGCGCCTATTCTCCATTGAATTTCTTCCTCTGATCTATGAGGCAGCAAAATACTCAGTTCGTCCAAAGACAAATGCTTTTCTTGTCTCTTATATAGCAGTTTGTCCTCATCTAGAGACCAGCTCAATACGTCCTTGGAGAAGACGGTTTGATTCAACGATGTGCCCGTAGCGGGCGCGAAACTATGAAAGTTTGGTCTTGGTACATCGGTATAATTTGACACCGATTCTCGTCTGTCAAAAGGCGCCTGTACGAAACTTTCTCTTCTCGATTGAATTGCAGATCCCCGCCGAGAATTAGTGTTGTTAAAACTCTCGCGCCGAGTAACGGAAGCTACCGAGGGAGGTGCTTGAACAACTGAACCTCTCCGTGATGGACTTGAAAAAATACGGTCAGGAGGCGCCATGTTGAAAGATGAACGTCTTGGCCGTGAAGAAAACGAATTCTTACGAAGCTTGGACGTGTTCAATGTCGTGTTCAATGCGACGGAAAGGTTGCTTGTGTTCGAGCCGGAAGACAAAGTTGGCATTGACGACACCATGTGTGGTGGTTGCTGAGCAACAGAGGCGCGCCTGGAACGGACCAGTACTTTAGGTATCAGACCAAGGTTCTCGTCTTCGTTGGCTTTACTTACTTCAATAGGCAAATGACTAGCAGAGGAGGAATGTAAGAAGCCTGATGGCGGAGCCACCGTATGGGAATAGGATCTGGGTTTAATGAATTTGTCTGAGCTCGCACTAGAATGAGACTGGGATCTTGGTTGCATTGCTGGCTGTGGTGCCAAGTGCTGGTGTGGGATGTATCCGAGCGCAGGTTGCGATAGATTGACGGCAGGGGGTTTGAATGCCACAGGCAAACCGGCAGCAGGTGAGGTACTAACGAAAGAGCTCACAACTGGTACTGGCCCTGCTAAAGAAGCCGTAGATTGACTTGAAGCCGAAGCTGGAGCTGGGACTGGTAGCGCTTGACCTGCGGTACCAGCTACTGTAGCAGGTGCTGTTTGTGTTATTTGAACGGTCTGGGATGCTTGAAGATTTGCTCCCGGAGTGCCAACAATCGTGTCATCGGAGTTTTCCGGCGATTTGCCGACCGTTTTGAGGTTTCCGGACCTCAGTCTTCGCCAGCGAAACTGACACGCGTTAGGCGTTCGATTTTTGAAGTATTGGGCGATCTCTTTCCAGCCCAGCTTTTTAATCTCTTTTAGGTGCCTCAAGAGCACGTCGTCTTGTGGGTCCCACGACGACGGGTTTTTGGTTTGCGCCGCGGCAAGACCCGTTCCGGGCGTCACTGCAGATTTCGGAACTGTCATAGCTGCTATTCAGAGTGAGTCACGGAACTCCACGCACCGATCGATATCAAACCTCTGATTGCGCTTTCAAGAAAGCAAGGCGTTTTTCAAAAAAAACTTCTCTTCAGACCACTATAACACAGTTTCCAATAGCTTGTAACTTTACTAGCACGTTTCTCGTCGTTATCAAGCTTTAAACTGTAAGTTTGACCAGTCTAAGTCGCCGTTTTGTCTTGTATTGGGACTTTTTCCAATTGCGATGAGCTATATCTTTGTCCGTCGAGTCTTTTGAAATATTCGCGATGAGCTTTGAAAAATTTTGATGAAAAATCGATGAGATGAGCCGACTGCGATGAGTTGGTCGAAAAATAGATAAAAGACCGGAGCGAAATGGAAACATGTGCAATTTCAGAAGGGAGGCAAGAGCTGATGCAGAACTGGAATTTATGTAGTTGTATCGGTACCAAATTTTCGAGATTTGCGAAGCAAAGTCAATAAATTTTGTGGAGATTTGGCGTGGAATGACAATTTAGGCTGCCTGTGCTTTCTCCGAAAGTTCCGCTGCCTTTTCAGTCATTTCTGGCAATTTTCTGGACCTTGGGTATGCTTTCTGCGTTTGGTTTCCACTCTGTGGGATCTTGACGTAGTGTTCAATCTGAATTATCAAGCCTTGTAAGTCAAGACTAATATGCTTCTCTGTGACCCGCATGGGCTACAACGAGCGCGAAGTGAGATCTTATACACTCTCATAGCGCTTGGTACAGCTTTGTTATAAGGAACCCATTAGTAAAGACTTCATAGTCGTTTTCATCAAGTATTAGAATACTTGAACGCTTGTTGTAAGGTTTTTCAATTCCTTTGAAGTTAGAAGAGGCCATAAGCCGTATATTCCTTGTATTTGTTGTTCTAGGGTTGCGTAGCGTTAAGTGAGTCATTGGCATGATTTTCTCTGTATTTGGCTCTACAAGGAACGAGCTGGCCTATCTTGATAGGATTAACTTGATCTGGTTATGTCTTAGTGCCAAATAGCTGAGCAGAAAAACAAACGTGGTATTCATGCTATGCTGCGACCAAAGCCAACGTAACACGACGTTCTCGAGACTCAGAATTCTACGTTTCGACATCTATTCTTCAAACTGAAGATCTAACAGCTATGCCACTATGCACCATGCTTCAATACTGAGCTACTAAACACTATGATATGTTGAATCCCGAAAAGGATCGCATTCTAGTGCGGTAGGTAATGCAGAGGAGCGTTGCAGTGCAACGCTACGTTTCAAGCAGGTTTACCTCGGCAGATCCCACTCCTTGGTTTGCTTATCGCGTTGATCACAATAACGCTGAGTGGCTCAGTAGTCGCTGTCTGTGACCACATAATTTAGATAAATTAATAAGCGCAGTGTGTTTCGCTACAGGTGCAGCGCTTGCTGATAGTTTTTTTTCATTACTTGAAATGCCGTTAGCTATATTTACTTATATTCGTTAGCTTGTAAGCTTTCAGGAGGTTAGAGTACCATCCCGCATGTTGTCCTCAACTACCATTTCGTCTTTGTTTTCCAGAACGTTTGCAGTGGTTAATATGTGCAGTGTTCCGGTAACTACACCGTGCAAATCGTTGATTTCACCACAGTCAGTGTGATATTTGACGGTTTTGAACCAGTTGGCAGCATCCTCATGAGAGTATCCAAAATTCTCTGTGATAACATCAAGGGCTTCTTCCTTGTTCTTGTTAAAGTAGTCGATCCCCTTATTCAAAGCGTTGATGAATCCCTTAAAAGGCTTCATGTCCACGTCAGTGCGTTTGACCACCACCCATGATGGCCATGGCGATGCAACATGACCGAGCATTTTGATCTCACCAGAGTCCAGGTACTTTTTGGATGTATAGTATTCCCACATGAAAGCGTCGGACTCGCCAGAGTTGACGCTTTCCCGTAGTTTGTCAAAAGTGTTGCATACCGGGAAGTCCGCAAATGGCTTTTCGAAGTCCAGCTGCAAAGCCATCACATAGCTCATGACATGAGACCCGCTGCCAATTCTCGACACACCTATCTTCTTGCCCTCCAGACTCTTCAAGTCTGTTAGATCGTCGCGCTTGCTGCCGGTAGAGACACACCATTCAAGGGAAGACTTCACAAACGTGCCTGCTATCTGGTACTTTGGTTTGGTGTTCTTTTCGGTATCCGCGATACCACGCACAAACGCTTCCGTGAGGCCAATGGCGACGTCAATCTCACCAGCGTTGAGCGATTGGATCAAGTGGCCGGACCCGCTAGGGAATGGAACCAGCTCGACTTCGACATTTTGGTCTTTGAAGAAACCCTTCTTTTCGCCAAACACCAAAGGAGTGGCAAAGTGCTCTGGAATGTAACCTACTTTTAGAGACATGTTCTGGAGATATTAATATTGACTAGTAGTACTTGAAGTTGCTAGCCTGAGTTTATGCTAGTGTAGTGGAAGTAACAATTTTTCAAATCTAAAAGTTAGGGCCTTCACAGATATCGAAACTCTTGTATTTATATTGAAGAGCGTTGAACATTCCGAGCGTGTCACATTGTCAAATGCTTTGCTGTTGAGGACAGTGTTACCTGGCCAAGGTTTTTTGCTGATCCTTTCTACAAGCTCGTTTGCTATTGTCACAACTACTAACACATGGCCAGCTGCCTGGTTGTAAAGGACGACAATCCGGGTTAGAAAGGCTGGCAAAAGAAGCGAGTAGGAAACGGAAAAACAGATATGAGCAGTGGGTATTAGCAATTAAATTGGCTGTCTAAAGGTTGCCCGAACAATCAACAACGAATTTCTGGCCACCGCATGCGTCGTTTCGAGGTGCGACCAATCGTTAAAAATATCAGAGGCGTCTGTCAGCCTAAGAGCGAAAGTGACGAATCTTAGAATGGATGGCGGCGAACAGAAGATCGTTTCCTAACACAGCCTAATTTCATTCAAATTGATATGCAATGGATGGATGAGCGCGACTCAGCGTGTCTCAGAAAATCTACTATGTGTGTAGGGAGCATTAGCGACTGATCGTGAAGAGTGTGAGGGGCCTACTACGACTCTTCAGCTTCTAGATGACTAGACAAGAAAGCAAAAGTATTGAGCAAATGCCTAGAAAACCGATTTCTACCATGACATCAATTGTGGAAACAATTGCTGATAAAAACTATCTACTGGCTATATCTCGCGCATGTTATTATCTTGTTCTCTTTGGTGGCTCCAAACGTAGGTGTTCTCGGGAGGACATTAACAGTGACAGAATGGTATATAGTGATCATTTACATCTGAATCTCATCCTAAGCCGCGTAGATCCTCGTAGATGGGAAAATCGACTACGAGCAATTGTGTAGCTCAGTAAAAGTGATTGGTGGCCAAGCTTAGATGTTTTTCGCGGCCGATACAAGCCGCTCAGAATTTTGCATATTTTCGGGAACGGCAGACATGTTCAACACTTGCATAAAGCTTGACATTAGCCGGCAGCCATTAAACTGTCGTAAGCTGCGTAGCCGACATGCTTGCCAATCTCACACAATAAGACGAGCTTCAAGTTGTACTTCGCGTTTTTTGGAGTTTCGGTACCTTCTTCGTACACCAAGCTTTTGCCCTATTAAAAAATATTTTACTTAAAGTACACACTTTTGCAGACAACAGATATATCTAAAATAAGTATATCTTAATAACCATATTCAAGAGACACCCTTTCTTATCAGTATTCTCTTTTCGGCTGCTAGTATCCATACTCCCTACCTGAAACTATGTCATTGCCGCTACGACACCCTTTGGACACCGCAGCGTCTTTAGACAGGGTCCTGGAAGACCTTATTGTCAGATTCATTATAAACTGTCCACCCGAGGACTTCTCCTCTGTGGAGCGAGAACTTTTCCACGTAGAGGAGGCAACTTGGTTCTACACCGATTTTGTGAAGATTTTGAACCCTAACTTACCAAACATGAAGATTAAATCGTTCGCACAACAGGTTATCAAGCTGTGTCCTATGGTGTGGAAATGGGACGTTAGGGCAGAGCAGGCGCTTCAAAAGTTTTCGCAGTATAAGAGAAGTATTCCAGTTCGCGGTGCTGCTATTTTCAACAAGAAGATGTCGAAATTGCTCCTTGTAAAGGGAACCGAATCGGACTCGTGGTCTTTTCCCAGAGGCAAAATTTCGAAAGACGAAAACGACGTCGATTGTTGTGTTCGCGAAGTGCTTGAAGAGATCGGATTTGATATCACTGATTACATTGACGAAGAACAATTTATCGAGCGAACCATTGGCGGCAAAAACTACAAAATTTTTTTAGTTAGTGGGGTCCCCGAAGACTTCAAATTTGAGCCTCAAGTGCGTAACGAAATTGAAAAGATACAATGGCATGATTTCAAAAAGCTGTCTAAGAGCTGCAATTCTAAAACCTCACACATCAAAATCTATTTGGTCAATAATCTCATGCGACCCTTGACCATGTGGGCGAAAAGCCACCGGCAGATTGATGATGATGAAAAGCTCAAGGCTCATGTTGAAACTCAACTGAAGCTCTTGCTTGGCATCAAAAAGGAAGATACTCCTGATCCAGGCAGAGAATTACTTAACATGCTCCAGAATACTGTGTCGGCAGGCTCGACGGCTACCCAAAACCCTAATTCAGGTCAACCTATCACTGCTGAGAACGGCTTAACTTCCGCTGCTGCTGAATCAACACATGCTGCTATTCCAGCTCCTACATTCGTTGCGCCTCCTCCGCAATTTCAAAACAATTTCCCTTTCATGGCATTTCAGCCTTTTGCACCATTTCCTTTTATGAATGGCAATAGTCATCAAATCGGCACCGCACCGGTCCCCGACTCTTCCAGCTCTGGTTCTGAGTATACTCAGCCTCCTCCAACTCCAAACATGAACACTCTGGCTAAACCTACCGTAGTTGAAGAAGATGAACAGCAAGAACTGGAAAGAGGACAGGGTGGAGATTCAAATCCACAACTTGCTTCCTCTAAGCAGCTTCTTGATCTGCTCAACAAAAAGGCTTTAGATGCCGCTGCGACGAAGCAGGCTCAGTCGCCTACGCAACAAAGAAATGTTGCTTTTCAGCATGGCGAGAGTATTCAGACTTCTCCAGCGAACTCGGAATCTACTGCTAAATCTTTACTGGATATTTTGAAAAAACCACATGAAGCGAGTCAATCAGACAACACAAACCTGTTGAATATGATAAAGAAACCTGCGAAAATTAATATTGCCTCACCTGTAATATCAAATCGTGGTTTAGTTTCGAATCCGAGCTCACCAGCTACTGAAGGTTCAGAATATGAAGACTTCGAGAGTAGTTCAGAAGGCGACCATGACGAGAACGTGGTTGATCCACTAGAATTATTTTCTGATAGATATGACACTGAGAAAATAAACCAGAGATACGAACAACGTGCACCCTTGGAGAGCGAGGCGGGTCATGCCCTCCCAGCCTCCTTTATCGAGGTCTCTCGTACACCATCTGGTAATCCGGAAAACAAACATGCTGGATTGTCTTACTCAAAAACCAAAAAAGACTCTACGCCAAACTCAAGATCAGTAAATGCTGACGTCGAACATAGTGGCGTTTCAAGCGTTGGCGAAGAGTCAACTACAGCGACTCAAGATAATCAAGGCCCTAAGAGTCAAGTTAAACCAAAATTCAAGTTGCTTAAACGTGGCGAAATTTTGGCTAACATATCCGAACCAACTAAACCCGAAGTAGTGGCAAATCTGTCTCCGGACTTTTCTGAGCCCTTGCATCGTGAAGAGCCCAATATTTTATTAAGTATGCTGAAAAAGCCATCCAAACCTACATCAAGTCACGTCACAGAAGACAGTTCAGTGACAATTGGTAATATTCCGGCCGTTGAGGCTATTACAATTTCAAAGTCAAGCGAAAAAAAAGGTACTGTAGAAATGACATCAAGTAACGAGGATTCCAAGAGTTTGCTAGGTCTCTTAAAACAAAGTGAGACTGCTAATGAGACTGAGGTCAACCACAATGGCGAAAATAAAGCAGCGGCAGAACTTTTAGATATGCTTCATGGACATTCCTACAGAAACAGCAGTACGAACACAGAAAAATACATGCCTGGCCTAGAAGTTCAAATTCAGCATTCTTTCCATGGTCAGAGTCCATTACCAGGTGTGAAAGCAGACGAACAATCGTCTTGCTCTCCTAATCAAACTTACGAAGTTCCGATTGCAAAGAACCAAAGTGCATCTCAAGAGCTATTGGGAATGTTAAAAAAGCCTAAGGCTTAAACAGAACAACCAATAAATCAAATCAACCATAAATGAAATGCCCCCGATGCCTATATATTAGACGCGGCTCCTAAATAAGCTTTCCTGCACATCTCACGACCCATTGAATGAAGATGATCGCGGTAAACAATAAACAACAATATATAGAATCTCACATAGAGATTGTAACTCTACTCGTCATCGTCACTTAGTACAAAATCTCTTAAAGTTTCCTTCAGGATATCTGGCGGGCTCTCTGGCCAGTAAATGTTCTTGAATTTTACTTCACCGAGTGTCAGTATGCAACCGTAGCACGTAGGCAAGACCTGGCCCCTGTTTTCCATATCTGCGGTCAATCTCAAATATTCCCCTCGTATTTTACCTTGTTCAGACAGTGCCCAAGCATCATGTAGGCTTTCATCGTCATCATTTTCCAATGGATGACTGCTTGTCACAGTTATTTGCCTTAACCAATTTGATCCGTCTTTGTACAGCTTGCTATTACAAATCTCACACCTCGTACTTGTAGACAGTGTATTTGAAGGATCGTCTAATTTAGCACCCGTCCTTACTACTGTGGAAATAATATTGGCATAATTTCCCTCTATGTTATCGAAATATTGGCGCGCCAATTCGTTAATTGTCATGTTTCTGGTAAGTTTACTTCCTATCGTCTCCGTATTAAGCACCTTTTTGGTGAGTAAAGTATCCTGTGGAATATAATTGTGGGTATACTGAACAAGTTCTGATATGTGGCAGTATGCGTCAATTTCAGATAATAAAATGTCACGCATTGGATGCAAGTTTTTGAAAGACCCTTCGAACTCGCAATCGAAATTTGAGTCATTTAGAGAGTTTGCGATATCGGACGCGCGGCCCTTAACAACAAGTGATATGATCTCATCGGCAAGCCTTGTCATTGAGTGGCCCCATAAGATAGCTTTATATCCACCTTGCGTAGCGAAGAGCTTAATTATAGCCGTCCTAATGATATTAAGCAGGTCTTCTCGGGCCGAGCGGTTCAAACAAGAGCTCAAGAGTTCTTTGACGGTGTATTCGTTTTGTAGGTCTGCAGCAGCACTTACTTTTCTGACGGTATAGCTTGAGTCTTGTAAATGAACTCGCAATAGTTGAGAAGATTTGTAGAACGACTCTACGTTCACCATATGAATTTTGTACCTGTGCTTGTTTTCTCGCAACCTGCCATTGAGAATCGCACCTAGTTTTTCCTCCAAAAGTTGTAGCTCTGTGTCAAAGTAACACACTATTATGTCGACGTGGAAACCAACCTTACCGCGATGCACATCCAGCTGTTCTTGCAAAGTGTCATTCAACACATCTAGCATTACGATTGAAGCTGATCCAAAGGAAAGAGGAACCAAGACTCTAGATTCCACATTAAGTTTTTCTGCTTCTTCAGCACTTTTCAGCTTGTCTTGATACATCACCTTGAAGATATCCTGAAAGTATTGATCGGACATCATCTGCTTTCGTTGCTTCAGAGATATAAACTTACGAAAACAAATAGCACAAAATGGCTCTTTTCTGGAAACCACAACTGCCGGCTCCGAAGAGCAGCGTTTACAAAGTTGAACCTCAGTCATTTCAAGTCTGAGGTTACCGAGACTTTGTATGTATTTCTCACAATATTGGTAAACTATGAGCGATGAGATGCGATGAGCTTAAATTTTTCAAGGCAGCTTTCAGTACTGCGAATGCGAAAGACGAGGAGGCTCTCATGATTGAAACAAACTACGTCGCAGACTGAAATTAATAAGAGCTCTCGATAGCTTGCATTGTGAACAGTTAGCTCGTTTGCTGCATATTTTTTATGGTGCCAATTATTGAAGGTGTATTGACATACATCTTTAGGAATTGAAAAATGTCATGGCCGGAGGCCCCACGAAAGTTTCACAAACGTAGGCAAAGCTGCGCAAAGCCATGGATGAGAACCAATGTGCTAATCGTGAACTCTAGTAGGGACTGGCATCTTGCTTAAGCATCTTAATAACGAAGAAACAACAACTTCGGCACGTGAAGTGCACGCGAATTTGCCTACCTTATGTTCCTCTGGATGAAAAGGCTTGTACGTGTATAAATATAATACATGTAGACTCTCAGAAGATTAGGACTCAAGTAGAACTATGCCAGATCCTAAAACTACTCCTGCTGAAAATGCAGATCCTCAGTTACAATTAGACAAGCATAAAGTGGACTACGCGCCCAAGGATAGCGGTACAGGTAATTTCAAATTCTACCCCGACAATCCGGAATCTAGCTTCAACAAGTATAGGTTCGCTGCTAAAGATGCCAGCCAGTTTTATGATCCATGTCAGGAATCTTCAAAGATGAGCATGAAATGTTTGGAGCTGAACAATTACGACAAGTCAATGTGTCAGGAATATTTCGATGCGTACAGAGAGTGTAAGAAACAATGGCTAAACGCCAGAAGGAATAACAGGAACCAGTGGGAGTGAGGGGATCCTGAAGTCTTTCTTCAAGAGGCAAAACTGTTGGGCGCAATATCGATGTAGCAAAGTGATCATAAAATGAATTGAGCTTGTTGACGCTTACCCAGCATGACTTGCATGACTTGCATCTGGATAATCACTCAACGATACGTTATATCGATGTCGTGAAAGGACCATGATATCCACCTTTATATCTAAGACCTGTATATAGCAGCGCTAAAATGTGGCGCAAGAAGGGAACAGCGACATGGTCGTTTGCGGTTGGAAAGTACTAAGAAGTGAGAAGAAGAAGTAGGAAAAAGAAGCAGACGGTACAAAGCCTTCCGCACCAAAGTTCAGTTACTCATTTCACCAATTATAACTCCGCATAAGACTACATTCCATAACATCTACATTCAATCAAAAGTGGTCAGAATTGACAGAATTTTTCGCCAAGACTTTCGAGACCCAACTTCGCCCTCTGGATTGGAGCTTAAGGGGCCAAGAATAAAGCATTCGCCTTGTACTGAGCTTAATTGGCATTGTTTTGAAAAATTTTCTAAATTTCCTACGTATGTTAATCAAAAATATTTCCCAGATCTTGTTTTGCACAAAACCAAACACTTCAGGACAGTTTAGTATTTGGCAAATTGAACGCTAGCAATGTCCTCCGAAAATTCGTTTGGACAGTTTGTCGCCAGGAATAAGACTGCTATCGCGGCTTCGGTTGCGGCCGGAGCTACAGCTGTAGGAGCATACTACTACTATCAGCAACTTCAAGACGCTAAAAAACCACCGGTAGAAAGCAAGAAGGAGGCCGAATCCGAATTGAAGAGCAGCAAGAAGAAGAAGAAGAGCAAGAAAAAGACACAAGGATCGACTCCTAGCTACCCAGTGGATGCTAACGGCGAGCCAGACTTAACCAATGTAGCGAATTTAACCTCGGAACAGAAAGACAAGATCGCAATGGGCCTGAAAGATAAGGGTAATGAGTTCTTCAAGGGCCAGAAGTTCGAAGAGGCCATCAAATTCTACAGCATGGCAATCGAAGTCAAGGAAGATCCCGTTTTCTACTCCAACAGGTCTGCCTGTTACGTCTCTTTAGGTCAACAGGCAAAAGTTGTCGAAGACACAACCGCGGCTTTGAAACTGAAGCCGGACTACTCCAAATGTCTGCTACGCAGAGCTTCTGCTAATGAGAGCCTTGGCAACTTTGCGGATGCCATGTTTGACTTGTCAGCGGTGAGTTTGTACGGTGACTTTAATGGCTCATCGATCGAACCATTGTTAGAAAGAAACATGAACAAACAGTCTATGCTTGTACTTAAGGAAAAACTGGAAAAACAACAAAGTTACAAACTACCTTCCAACACTTCCTTGGCCTCTTTCTTCGGTATTTTCCAATCCGAAACCTCTTTTGACAACTATGACGAATCGTCTGAAGCAGACCAAGCATTGCTAAATGGGTTGAAGAGCTTATACAAGAGAACTGCTGGTGGATACGATGAAGCTGATGAATTTTTCTCCAAGGCCAGAGACGCTTACAAAACTTTATTGGAGCAAACACCGGAAAATGCGGAATTGAAGAAGAAGGCTGCCATTGCTTTAGAGCATGTTGGTATCTTCAAATTTTTGAAGAATGACCCACTCGCTGCTCACGAAGACTTGAAAAAGGCCGTAGAATATTTCCCCAGACCTAATTCTTACATCTACATCGCGTTGATCATGGCTGACAAGGGCCAAAGCACTGAGTACTTCGACAATTTCGAAAAAGCTCTTGAGCTAGATCCTAATTGTGCTGCAGTATACTACCATCGTGGTCAAATGTATTTCATCACTCAACAATTCGAACAAGCCGGCAAAGACTTTGAAAAAGCTAAAGAACTGAATAACTCCAACATCTTCCCTTACATCCAGCTGGCATGTCTAACTTACCGTGAAGGTAATTTAGAGGACAGCGATACTTTGTTTAGCGAGGCTAGGAGAAAGTTCCCTACGGCCCCCGAAGTTCCAAACTTTTATGCCGAGACTTTGTCTGACCAGGGCGATTTAGCTGGCGCCAGAAAACAATACGATATCGCTGCCAAGTTAGAGGAAGTCTTGGAAGGAATTCATGTCGGTGTCTCTCCACTAATTGGCAAAGCTACCTTATTGTCTAGAGAACCAAGCGTAGAGAACTTTGTTGAAGCAACAGAATTGTTTGAAAAGGCTTGCCAAATGGACCCAAGATCTGAACAAGCTAAAATCGGTTTGGCTCAATTAAAGCTTCAGCAAGAAGATATTGACGAAGCCATTGCTTTGTTTGAGGAAGCTGCAGACTTGGCTAGAAGCTTTGATGAAAAATTGCAAGCTACAACCTTCGCAGAGGCTACTAAGATCCAGAAGAAGATTAGAGCAGACCCCATTGTGAGCGCCAAGATTGAGGAAACCTTGGCAGCTTACCGTGCCCAAGGCATGATCTAGGCCAAGATGAACTCGGCCTGCGTCAATTATATTTTTGATCCTACATTCCTGCCCTACTATTAGAGACCATCATCCATTCGAACTCGAACTCATTCACTATAATAAATTCGCATTTTATTAACTCATCTTTTTCTCATATATGTATCTGTAAATACCTCTAGTACAAAGGAACTTATAGCAATCGAATCTTGCAAACATACTAATCAGGTGGACCTAAGGTTCTAACTGAACAGAGCGAAATCTAAGTTTTTTCGGACGAGAGATGCATTCCTCAGTCTCACTGTGATCTTCAAGCTTACGTTTGCGTGTAATTTCACAAATTGCGGGAGAAATACCACAGACTTCTGTTCCAGCTATTTCACTGAGAGCGACAAGACCGCCTCTATCCGTTCCAAACTTATAATTAGAGCTGCTTCGGTACTCATCTCCGTCATAACAAATATGGGTCATCTCTCGGGGATAAGTCCATAGTTGAAACGCACGATTAAAAAACTCAGAAGACTTGGGACTACCTGATGAGCTTGAGCTCCAGTCCATGGCGTCGTCGATATTTTTAAGTGATAAGCCCATATTTAGCGTTCTCAAAGTGACGATGACAAAATAATTGGTAGTTGGCTTGTGAAGTTGTAATCAATGCGTAAGAAGCCAGGTTCTTCGAAAATTATATAGTTCCACAAAAGAGAAACCAGAAGAATATCAGAACCCAATGTTGACATATAGGAAATGACACTGTCATTTAGACGTCGCTGACGCTGATGAAGTTAGCTCATATCATTTTAGACTAAGTGAAAAATTCAGATCTGTTGAAGTTATTCTAGCAGTAGAAGCTGTTAAAAACAATCAGCTCTGTCGAACTTGAGGCCATCAGTCATAACTAGCTGCTATGCTTTCCTACTTGATGCGGTCTATCGCTAACTGTGGTAATTTCATGTCCCAAATACGACAACCAGTTTTGGTTCAGAGTAGGTCGTTAATGAAAACACATAAAGGAGCAGCTAAAAGATGGAGGAAAACGTCCACCAGCTACAAAAGAGGCCGTGCTGGCAGAAACCACGGTAATGCTGGGTGGGGTAAATCGACACTGAAAGCGCTGGATGGCAAAACTTTTGCACACTCCACCCACATAAAGCACCTGAAGAGGCTACTGCCCTATCATTAAGGCGATGAGCAGTTGGTTGTTTCCAGCCTTCTGTAACGGCAAATGAAAAATGCAATATTATGTATATGTATATATACATATATGATATATCCAATGTTGAAATGTTCCTGTATATACGTCAGTGCGAATAGCTCGGCGGCTTAGAGTGATTAACTTGGCTCTAAAGCTTAATCGGTTTTTTCCTCAGTTTTGTTCAGCTCGTCTTCGATCCATTTACCAGTCGCAGAGTCCTTCTTGAGCTGAGCAGTTGGAAAGTAATGATAGTTAGTTTTCAGCGAAATGGCGAAGGGAACGTTGTCGAACGTCACCAAACGAATCTTACAATATGTGTTATCCGGAATGTTTTTTACTACCTCCAAGAAAGTATCGAGATCCGGAGTCTCAATCTCGTTGATGTGAGTAATAAAATTAGTCGCAGCGATGCCGTACTGAGTGGCAGGGGAAGATTGACCTCGGAACGTACAGTAGACGCTACTAGGAATGCTAGACATTGCCTGTAGCACAGCATGATGTGGCGCCTGCAAAATACAGCCCGCAAAAACCGCAAAGTGCGAAGTCTCATTGACTTCGACAGTTTTCACCGATATGTCAACTATTTTACCATTCCGAACGACCTTGAAGTTCAAAATTTGCTCCTCGTTTGGTCCATCGCCCGAAGTAACAATTCCATCGAGATCTCGCATCTCTTTGACCAATTTTCCTTCTACGCATAGAATGACATCGCCAGGAAGAAGCTTCTCTTCTTCTTTTGAAAATGATACTCTAGTAACTTGCATAAATTGCAGTCTGTTTTCCGACTCACGTTCCATCCGCGCAATCCACTCCTCAGGAATACCACGGATTCTAGCTTGTGCAATAGAAATGGAACCAAAGCCTGCGTCAACAATATTAATTCTTGGCCTTTTCCCAATCTGCAGCAAGTCAATGACTGCTTTAAGATCTGTCATGTCCAAACCCAGTAAGTAAACCTTTTCCTTTCCATCGTGAATTTCTCCCAGAAATGGCAGCCACAGTGCTCTTACGGTTCCGTCATCATCAGCTATAATCCCCGAGTTGCACCTTGAGCTCACGTTACAATCAATCCCTATGGCCTCAAGATTCGTGGCTCTGTATCTAGGAATTAAATTGCTTGGTATACTCAAGGAAGAAATATCGGTCACTTTGGTGTCAGAAGAGACAAGTCTGTTGTTGTGTGTGTATCCAATGAAATGAGCCCTATCGCCGCGCTTCATTCTTTCGAAAGACAAGCGAGGAGTCTCTACCGGAGCTTTGACAAGAGATGGGTCGTATTTGACCACGGCGTAATTTTGGGTTGGGTGCAGAAATATCACTTCAGCGGGCACTATAACCGAATCAGCTATAGTCACGAACACATCCAGACAATCATGAAGAACAGCGCGGCGTGATACTATAACGTAACCCTGTTGAGCGTCGATAACGAGACCAGAAGTTTTGCGAGATTCTGCAGACATTGAGTCCAGAGGAATTGGTGAGATGGTAGTTACCGTCACTAGACTTCTTGAAAGTTTTGCAAGCTGCTTGTTCTCAATTGACAAGTCAATGAATTTAGCTTCGTGGGGAACTTCCGGCAGCGGTTTTAGTGGCTCTGCAACATTTTTGTAATCCCAGATACCGGTCTTGTCATTTCTTTGATAGATGCGAAATTCACTACACCAATGACGATCGATGTAAATGCTTGAAACATTGGGTGAGTGTTGATCAGTCAAGTGATGGTATCTCACAGTCACTCGCTTTTTATCCGGCACCGTCTTCATAACTTCAATAAATGTCTCCAAGTTAGGAGTTTCTTGGTTGTCAATTGCATCTACAATCCAGCCGACTTTCTCCTTGGAGTCGAAATTGAAAGATCCCGTAGCGCTACTTAAAAACACACCTCTTACCGGGATAGCATAAAACCTAGCCATTTGGTAAGATAATTCATTGAATGTTGCACCACAAACCTCCAGGTAAGAGGATGGTGTTATGGCATGAAGATCACCAACTTCACACTCGACAGTGATGTCTTTACCACCACGTTGGATTAGAAGCTCAACATTTTCTCCGACACTTTTATCAAAAATATCGTCGACCTGCATGAAAGAAGCAATCAGTTCGCCATTGATAGAAATAAGAGTATCACCTTCTTTGATCTTGGTGTCACTGGGACCTTCCCTTAGAACAGTTTCCGCCACTAGTAGACCGATCCTTTCTGGAAACTGATTGCGAGCTTCGAGTTCGCGATCAGAAGTGAGTCCTAATCTTCTACATTCGTCATACGGCCTTAAGATCCACTGAGTTTGAATCGTTCCTCTAGTGACTGGCTTATCTTCTCTTATGCAATTGAGGGCTCTTAGAATTCTGTTAACTGGTAAAAAGAAGTCAGTGGAGGCCTCGGTTGAGCCACCAGCCTGTAGCGCCACGGCATGGCCATCAATATTAACTACAGGCGATCCAGAGGACCCCCCAGATGCGGAGGCGGCTGCCTGGATGTATTCGGTATTGAAGTCATTGTAAGTGAGCTCTCCATAATCTGGAGCATTTCTATCAATTCTGCTAATGAAACCAGCCAGGATACTTAGTTTCTCACCAGCATCGTTACCAATCACTCTGATTTCTGAACCAACTTTTGCCAGCGACGGTTTTAGTTCCAGCGCTTGGATGTTCATGTACTTGATTTTCTTAGGGTCGAACTTCAGGAACCCGAAGTCATGAACTGGGTCACGATAGATTGGTAAAACATCGCATTCTTCGTGGTTATCGAAAACCGCATATCCTACAAAAGGGCCCGCTCCAACAACATGTCTGTTCGTGAGAATGATACCCAACTCCGAATCAACCACAAACCCGGTAGCTTCTGAGACTAGTGCTGGATCACAGTCAAACGGTGCAACTTGCGCGAAATGTATCGACACTACAGACCCCACAACTTTTGAGATAGTATTTTGCCATTTTGCGTTATTGAAGTGCTCCTCAGGCATTTGTATCTCCTCTTCTTCCACAAATGACATTTCGTCGTCTGATGACGACTCTAATGTTTCTCCATGAATGGCTTGACGTTTAATGACCTGATCGTTAAACTCGGTATCGCTCAACTCTTCCTGAAGTCTTTTCGTGGATGAAAAAGTCATTGAATTGAGTAGATTATGAGAACTTGTCTTAGCTTTCAGCAATCACTTGATTTTTATATTCTCTTGTAGTTAAGACACTAACTTCAAATGGTACACTTCCGGTGAAGCGTTTGAATTAGTTGTCTTTGATCAAATTTCTGAATGAATATTATGGTGATGACTTCAAATTTTTTCAAAGAAAGTTGAGAAACGATTCAAAGTTTAAGCCAACTGTAAAGATCATCTGCAACTAACGTCGATCGAAGAATCACATGATGGTGTCGGCGGGCATTAATAAGACCCTGGCGTAATTCTGTCCTCAACATATCCGGTGATAACTCAACTCGGTTCAAGCTCCATCTCTTAAGGAAATATCCGTCACTAAACGGTTCTTCCAGATTCCAAATTGCTCATCAGAGGCAATATTTGTAGGTCTTTGGAGCATATTGCCCAGCCTGATGGCAATGGCCTCCTCGTAAGCAACTCCATCGTAGTAATCGTGCTGTACCTTTAGGTTACGGAACCACTTTTCACAATCGATGAGTTCTCGTACTATGCGCATAGATTCTTTGATCTCGGAAAGCTCAGTTGTCTGCATAAGTAGACACATTTTCTGATAGAGATATTCGGTCACCCTAGGGTCTTTACGACGCTGTTCATTGAAAACTACTTGGCAACAATTGAGAACGAGTCCGCATACCAGTTGAAACGGGAATACGAGATACGTCGCATGTTCGAAAAATTGATCTAGAATCCGATAGGTAACGTCGCGTGGCAGCTCGAAATGATTGCATAGTTCTACTATCTCTGCGGCAGTTACTTTATAATACTTTTTGTAAAGCAAACAGCTGCGCTGATTTGCCGATGTTGTGGATGCATCTAAATCTGGAGCCTGGAAGCGTCTTTTGGGGGACGTAGTTCTCTTACTAGGGCTAGATTGCGTAGATGCAGGCTCGAAATCTTCGTCCGGTTCATCGATTTTATCGGGTTCATCAGGTACAACAGACACCAACGTAGGATCTTGAGCTATTGTGACGTCCCGCTGGTCCTCCGCTTCATCCATTTCGAATACTAGCTTTCTTCTTGCAGTGCGCTTGGGACTTAAGGTGATATCTTGGACAGCTGTATCCTTCGAAGCGCCCTGTTTTGGCGCTCCAGAGTTGCCATTGGGAACTTCTTTGTCTCTGCCCCCTTTGGTAGGGGTTCCGAATAGTTGTTTACGCATTTCATTTGGGTGGATCGCAGTGAAACGTCCTCCATTTTTCACAGGGCTACGTTGCATTTTCTTCGGACTGGGTGACCAGCTAAGGTTTTTGACAGGAGACGCGGTCAAGAGTGTGTTTCTCAGAATATCGAGCATTTTAGAGGTTTGTCGAGGGTCGAGCGGAATCTTGTCGCTTCTGTATCGTAAGTCCGGTTCATATTTTTCGGATAGCTTTTCGGCTGCCAGAAAGGCGCACAGGTGCGCCCTTGCCACCTCTTCGTGCTGTTTCAGCATTACCTTGCTTAGTGAAACGTTATACAAGGTGGATGTGGTGTTTTGCAGTTTCTTTAGGCGACCTTGGGTCCAATCGTGCGCTGTGTTCTCCAAGTCTTCTCCCAAAACATCACATATACATCTGCGTACTTGTTGAGTAGACATCTGGAATATCTCTAGCAATTGTGACCTCTCTAAAGCCTACAATCTGTATTCAAAATGTTTAATTTTATTGATGATGATTTGATGAGATGCCCTGCTGCGTCAGATAGATTTTCAACCATTAAAAACAAAAACAAAGCAGAATCCGCACCTGCACTATTTCTATAAGCATTTGAACAGCACAACTGATACACATAATCTAGGTAACCAACATGACAACTCAAGGAAGTTGAAGTGCCAAACATAGAGTTCATTACAGCTTATGATGTAATTAAGTCACTTTTGACGATGTTGTTTGGCACTCTCTACAGTTTCGTAGTTAAAACGCGGTATAGTTCTTTAACTATTAAGGCTAATCGATACCAGCTTGCCGCGAAACTTATTAGAGTGAGAGGCCTTTTGAATCATTTGGAATTATCAGGGGCGTCTTTCGTGTAATGGATTACCACGGACGTGGCTATGACGCGTCTTATGATCGGTATGCGAGCCGATACCAAAGCGACAGCGTTGGTTCTGAAAAGCGACACAATGGCCGCTCATACCGCAGGGAAAAAAGGCCCCACGGCTATAGTCGCAGAAATGAGCTTTTCCAAGGCGAGACTTACTACCCACAGAGCTCCAGGCTTTCTCAGCCTACTACAGTGGAAAGCAAAACGCGGAGGCCTGCTCCTCAGTTGCGATACAAAACTGCGCGTTTCCAAGAGCAGTATCATTACTTCGACCCAATATTGAAAAGACTAGTGCACCGGGATGTCATGAAGTCGTGGGTTTCTGACAAACTGCCAAAATCTGGCTACGTAATTATCCAGGAGACTCAGCCTAATGGGAAGCCTAAACCAATGTTAAAAACGAGGTATCCGGACGAAAAATCAACAGACCCAAGGAGTAATAATGAGTCCGAACCGAAAAGTACCAAGATATCACACCGAAAGCCACGCTCTCATCTTCTGCGATTACCGCGGATTGTGTACGACAAGCACTCGATAGGTGCTCCTCCGCCAAACGAAATAGTGGTATATCCAGTAGTCAGAGACCCACACAATTCTGTCCTCGATGCTACCATCAAAAATTACTTTGGCACTTTTGGTGAAATTTCTCACTTTGAAAGCTTTAATGATCCCAACAATGCATTACCACTTTATGTTTATGTCATACGGTTCACAGGGCCACCAGAAAAACTGGACGCCCCATACAGATCTGCATACAAAGCAGCCAAGACATTCGAAAACACTCACTATTTCGTTTCAGGTTTCAAATTTGTCGTGGTCATCAACCGTAATAACCAATCTCGCAAGATCATCGATGGGATCATACAAGACAATTTAGACCAAGCTGCAAAAATGCAAAAGCAAGCGGAACGACAACAAAACCAAAAGCCCTTACCATCGGGACCTCAGCCGAAAATGCTGCCGCAAGATCTTGAAAGGGTCGTGCAAGGAAGACCGTCACTCTTTGTATCTAAGAAAGTTATTTCAGTACATGGTCTCGCAATTGAAGATTTCAAAATTAAGTTGGCAAAATACAAGTTTTCAAGAATTATAGGACACGCTTCAGGCTTTTACATTGTTTTCAATGATGTCTCGGATGCGAAAGCATGCATGTACGTGGAATCTGATATTTTAACTATCAATTCTAGAAGAAGGCGGAAACCTGTCAATATCAGATTTACCTTGCTGGAAGGAAAGTCACCTTTAGTAGCAATAGCCAAGCAAGAGACTAATAAGTGCGTCAAAAAGGAATACGGCACCATCGCTGAACTGATTGACGCAGCTGCCGAACTTGTCATTCAAGATTTAGGCCGCGCTTTAGAGAGGGACATCAAGAGGAGAATCGTAGGGCCCACGGTTTTCGACGCACTGAATCCACACAACTATCCCGAAGTAATGGCCAAACGAGACGAGGAAGAAAAGAAGAAGCTTGAGCTACGACGCATCGCTGCCGAGACGAAACAAGAGCAGCAATCGAAATCTACTAGTTTCAATATATTCAACTTGTATGGTCCTCGTTTCAAGCAAAAAGTCAAGTCAAATGGGCAACCATCTACCGGAGATCACAAGAACACCAAAGCAGAAAACGGACTCGACTTCACAAAAACAACAGTTGACCAAGAATTGGCGAAGCCTATGGCACATTTACTCAACGAAAACTCAAGAAGTAACACACCATCGGCATCGGAATTACAAATTGACGAAGATGAAACCATGCTGTCTTCAGCCGACGAAGAGATGGATGATCAGGATGAACATGATGAAGAAGGTGAACAAGATGATCAAGATGACCAAGAAGATGAGCTATCAGATTCTTTTGAACACGCAGGGAAAAGGGCTAAGTTCGGATCATCTGAAGCAACAACTCCAGAGTCGGAAACAGAAAAATATGTCCTAACTAGCGCCAGGGCGGAAGAGATGATGAAAATCTCTGAAAAATACCGCCCCACTGCATCGGAAAGTCCAACGCCAGTCTACCCGGCAGACCTGCTTGACAGCTTAAGACGACTGTCTATTGTGGATCTGAGGGATGCTGTGAAAGACGAAGAAGATTTTGATATGCTCCAGAAAATTTCGAACCCTCCTATGACTTCTTTGAGTGATAAAGAGGAATTCATGATATCCTCACTATTAGCAGAGTTAAACCTAGACTATCAAGAAAACCGCAAAGTGATAGCTTTACAAAGTAACACCAACGAGGTTCCATTCGATGAATCTCTCAGAAGCATCTCTGGTAACTTCAAGGCAGAGGGCTTCAAGAAGGTTCCCGACAAACTGAAAATATGCTATTTGCCGCATCGTCGAAAATTGCATCAACCCTTAAACACCGTTTGCAATCATCAAGACGCCGCCGAAATAAGTAGCGAGACACACAAATTAGACTCTGAAAAGCCTGAGGCAGACACGCACACTTCTGAGATCACGTCGTCTAGAGTCAATCGGGCCATCAACAGACGTTTCCAACAAGACATTGAAGCGCAAAAGGCAATCATCGGTTCTGAATCTGAACTTTTAACACTCAACCAGCTGACGAAACGTAAGAAGCCTGTAACATTTGCGCGTTCGGCAATTCATAACTGGGGCTTATATGCCCTGGAACCTATTGCTGCGAAAGAAATGATTATCGAGTACGTTGGCGAAATGCTGCGGCAGCCCGTGGCTGAAATGAGGGAAAGGACGTATTTGAAATGTGGCATCGGGTCCAGTTATTTATTTCGGGTTGATGAGGCGACTGTAATCGACGCCACAAAGAAGGGAGGAATTGCCAGGTTTATCAACCACTGCTGCGAACCGAGCTGTACCGCCAAGATCATAAGAGTAGGAGGAAAAAAGAGGATTGTCATATACGCGCTAAGAGATATAGCCGCTAACGAGGAACTTACTTATGATTACAAATTTGAAAGGGAAACTGACGACGAAGAAAGACTAACATGTCTCTGTGGTGCACCATCCTGCAAGGGCTACCTGAACTAAACACACATATTTTGTAGCTGCTAAGCAGTCAACTGATACTAATTACCAACTCGCATTTAAATCTATAATAGTAATTTCATTTAATGTAAATATTACGGCGTTCATCTAATTCGATTCTAAAAGGCCATACAGACAAGAGAAGAGCTCTTTCGCAGCGAGTAAGTTATCCCTCATGCTCGTTTGTTTTGTTTTTTGGCCGAAAAGACATTTATGCGTACTTCGAACTTAAAATTAAAGCAAATAAAAACCTACTCAATATTATTGTAAGCTAACTCTACAAAGTTTACTAAACTGGCCAAGCTATAGTTTTCTAATGGCATGTACTTGTGTTATGCATTGAGATGTGCGCGAAGAAGTAAGCTTCCTGTGAGCTTTTCACGGCGGATTTATAGAAAGACTCCCGAAACTGCGTCAACTCCACTAATACAAAAGTTCACGATACCTTTCGAATCTAGCGGAGAAATCCAAGAAGAGCTAGGCGTTGACACTGAAGAGCCAGTGGCTCGAAATGAAGCCAGAAGTGGAATAAACCGAGGAGCCCGTACCGTGAAAAATTCTTTGCCGCCTTCCTTACAATACGTGCGAGACACCATGGACAAGCACAAGGATTATGTTGTCATTACGCAGATGGGTTCATTCTATGAGTTTTATTTTGAACACGCAGAGATTTACGCCCCCAAGCTGAATCTGACGCTAACCAGTCGTGACTACGTTTACGGGAAAGTCGCATTCGCAGGCTTTCCCGTGCACCAAATTGAGCGTCATTTGAAAGTATTGGTCAAAGAACTCGGATATAGCGTAGCAATTGCGGATCAGTTTAAAAAGGATGTTGTGGTCACAAATGAGACCAATAAATTTCTGCGAAGAGTTACTAGAATTGTCACGCCGGGGACGTTCATTGACGAAGCGTTTGAGAACCTTCAAGAAAACACCTACCTTCTGAGTCTCGAGTTTCCTGAAAATTGCATGCTTAAGGCAGCTGATATCGACACAAAGGTAGGCCTTTGTTGGTGCGACATTTCAACAGGCGAGATTTTTGTTCAGCAGGTCTTGTTGAAGGATGTTGTTTCAGCAGTAGCGAGAATAAATCCTCGCGAAATTTTGCTGGACGAAGAATTATTGCAGTACTCGTTAGAAAGTGGCCAATGGTATTCCGAATTCGTGGAATTAAAGAAATTCTTTATCAAATATCAACGTCTCCCATCCGGTCATCGAGAAATCAGAAGCTTTTACAGTTTATTCAATGTTGGTGGAGAAACCGAACATAGTCTGCTTGAATTGGACATGACTTTACGCGACTTTACTCAAAAAGAGGTAGCGGCACTGAGAAATACATTACTATATATCGAGGAGCACCTACCGAACACCACTGTCAATTTACAGGCGCCTCAAAGACAGCTGGCCAGCTCCATCATGCAGATAGACCCACGAACCAGCTCTTTGCTTGAGCTAAACACCACACTCCGAACCAACACCAAAAAAGGCTCTTTGCTTTCTGTGATTCGCCGTACTGTGACGCCATCTGGGAGCAGACTTCTGTCACAGTGGCTTTCTGCGCCTTCTCTGGATATAATCGAGATTCAACAGCGGCAAAAGCTCGTGAAATTATTCCAAGATAATTTTGATTTGACGGAGGTACTTATCAGAACATTGAAACAAACCTACGACATGCCCCGTATTTTACAGAAGTTCTCTTTTGGTAAGGGGGATGCAACTGAATTATTACAAATGTCACATTCCATGCAGAGAGCAGAATTGATTGGTGATTTTATCCAAAAAGAATTTACGGCGAATAAAGGTGGGTTGAATAAATTACTCAAGTCTTTTATAAATCTGCTGAAATGTGATGAGACTCTAGTGACGCGCGTTTTCAAGTCTCTTGATGAAGAGCAGCTCGCCAAGTTTTCAAGGGCACAAGCTGAACAAGAAAATCCGAATGCAATTGCAAGTGAGGGAGATCAGGATAGAGTATTAGATCCACTCGGAGAATCAGGCCCTTGGGTAGTAAGGCCACAGGCTAACGGTAAGCTCCAAGCTCTTCATGAGGCTCGTGCAAATTGCTTCAAAGATCGCAGACACTTGCACGAGGAGCTCAAATCTTTTTTTGTTGGCGAGATTCAAGCTCGCTCTGTACAGCTAAAGACCAAGCAAACGAGTGAGTATGCGGTACATATCTCGGCTACCTCCTCGACCATTGCTGAGATTCTGAAAAGAGTAAAAGGCGGACTTTTGTTTCAAGGGGACAGCTTCCGTGTCATACAGAAGTCAGCTCAAAGTTGCTGGCTGAGTCTCAGACCTTGGACAGATTTGGGGCAAGAACTTGAATACACAGTCATGAAAATAAGAAAGGAGGAAAATGCCTTTATTAACGAGCTAAAGAAAGACTTTGTTCAAAGAAGTACATCTATCAGAAACGTCGCTCATATTTTAGATTACCTAGATGTCTTGACATCTTTCGCCAAGCTTTCTTTAGAAAAAAATTTGGTGAATCCGTTAGTCAACACGACCGCAAACCTTGATATTAAAGGTGGGCGCCATATAGTTGTTGAAGACGGGTTGATTACTAGATCCTTAGAACAATTCACACCTAACAGCTGTAACATAAACGCAGGTAATTTGTGGGTTATTACCGGACCTAACATGGGCGGCAAGTCCACATTTTTGAGACAAAATGCGATCATTGTCATTTTAGCACAAATTGGGTGCCCCGTGCCTTGTGAAGCTGCAACGATCGGTCTAGTGGATAAGATTTTTAGTCGCGTAGGTTCAGCCGATGACTTGTACAATGAAATGAGCACCTTTATGGTAGAAATGATTGAAACAAGCTATATCCTTAAAGGTGCAACTTCGAAATCCTTGGCCATCTTGGATGAAATTGGAAGAGGAACAAGCGGCAAAGAAGGTGTAAGTATTGCGTATGCTACGTTAAAGCATCTAATTGAGAAAAATAGTTGCAGATCACTTTTCGCAACGCACTTCGGCAAAGAACTACAAATGCTCATAAATTCACATTGCAGTCCATGTCTTCAACAGAACGTCTCATATTATCAAAGCGCAGTATATGATGTAGATGACAGTTTTTGTTATGATCACAAATTAACTCCTGGAGTTTGTGCTAAGTCAGATGCAATCAGAGTAGCATTAAAGGCAGGCTTCCCGAAGGATGCTCTAAAAAATGCTGAGGAAGTCTTAAAAATTTACAATTGATATAGGGTTATAGCGCGATTAGTGATAATTGCTGACTGCTTTAGCGCTGCATGTCTTGGTGTTGTTTTTGTTGGTTCATGAGTATCTGCTGTAGTTGCATCACTTGTTGCATATCTGGGGTTTGAGGAACAGAACCCATTTGTGGAGAACCCATTTGTGGGGCAGCGTGAGGCTGAACAAAGCCTGCAGTGGGGGACATTTGGGGCTGCGAAAATCCTGGATTGAAAGACATTTGAGGCTGCGCAAATCCTGCATTAGGAGAAGGCTGTATTTGTGTGTAAGGCGTTTGAGCAAGTCCAGAATGATGTTGAGGGTAATTACTACCGGGAAAGCCCTGTGCGTATTGACCCGTGTGAACCTGGGAACTGTGCTGATTGTAGTGCGGAGTGAAACTCGTAGTTTGATATGGATATGCTTGTGGATATTGATAACCTTGAGGTGGAAAGTTCGATGATTGCTGAGAACCATACGGGGATTGTGCCACCTGCTGGAATGGTACATTGTGTTGCTGTTGTTGTTGTTGTTGATGATGATGTAGCTGTGGTTGCTGCGGTTGATATTGACTTTGATAATGCTGAGGTTGTGGTTTCTGTTCATACTGCTGCTGTTCATAGACTTCTGTATGATGAGAAATTCGTACTTCGGGGGAGCGCGCTTCACTTTGACGGGTGCTACGCGGCTTGTAAGACCTCGTGGTCGTTGCGTCATCAACTGTTGACAAGTTGTTATTGCTCTTCACCTTTGAGCGAACCTGGTATTCAGCAGGGGCAGTGTGAGAAGACCGCCCAGTGTCGCCAGTTTGAACATCGCTTTTACGCTTCTTAGATTGTTTTTTCATTTTCTTGAACATTGCTTCCTTCTCATCATCTGAGAACTCTTGTTCTTCTTCTGGTAGCTCTTCGTCAAACCCGTTCGAGGCGTCAGTACCACGTAGACGTTTCAGCTCGAAGGTGTCGTGCCAGTGAGCTTCTGGGGCAACGTAAAATACTTTTTGACCTACCTTCTTCGATAATTCCTGGAAAAGCTCAGATTTGGATTTAGGAACGGCAACTCTATAGAATGGCGCCTGCAACGGACCAAAAACCTCGCAGAGAGGACCTAAAATTTGTCGATCTTGAAGGCATAAGACTGAATTTTCTTTAAGCACTCGTTGCTCAGCCGAACTAGATGACTGAACGATGATATTGAAATCAAATGATGACTTTATACTTCCTATTTCGTGAATTGGCGTGTTTGAGCTTATCTGGAAATCTTCTGGCAAGTTGAATACCGCTTCTTCTCCAAGCTCATTTTTTGATTTTATGGGACCTTGGTTTGATGGTTCTTCATCCTCTGCTTCTTCTTCCATCACGTTGATTTCGTCGCCACTGGAGGTGTCTGAGTCATCGTCTGAAGAAGAATCATTCGACGAAGAGTCCGAAGACTGTCTATGGACGACATCAGCAGAGCCATCTTTAGTACTCGTGGACCATTCAGAATTCACAGCTTCACCGTTTTCTGGTTTTGTTTCGTCCATATCTATTGGTGCTACTCCCTGCTGAGGCTCCTCCTTCATCACCTCTGCATCTGCGCTGTCTTCAATTTCATCTGCTTTTGCTTCAGTTCCGTTCTCTGTCTCCTCATCGCTACTGATATTCTCAACATCAATGTCGTCTTCCACACGTTGTAATTCTGCATTTGGGTTCTCCAACGCTTCACCGAAAAGATCAGCGCTCATTGCTACACTTCGCTAATTTAATCAAGCAGATGCGACACAACCAGGTTGTAAATACAAACTTCAAAAGCTCCGTTGATTTGAGATGTGATGTGATGAGCTTTCTTTCTTCAGAGCATCGCTAAAAAATTACTTGATGAAAAGACGTCAGGCGTCATGCGTTTATTTATCAAGTCGACAAAGAGGAAGAGATGAGAGACCAACAGCTATTGAATTATTAAGGCTAATTGTCTTCGTATAGTACTAAAAGCGGATTTCAACGTTTGCATAAGCTGTGAATGACTTTGTTTCTTCCGGTTATTGAAATATTCTCTTGACAAAATATATTGGAACCGCTACTTCGCGACGACCTTGGTCAATCGATGCCATCATCTAGATATTCTACGAACTGCATGTGGCACTTCCGTTAGAGGCATGCTAATGCCAACTTAAATAAAGCTTCAGTCTGTTTTGCTCCAAAATGACATTTTCTAGCTAAATGAAGTCGGCGCACGATACATCGAAAGAGATGGACCAATTAATTAAATCACTTGACGTTCGTTGCCATTTCCAGCCAGTTCTGCTACGCAAATGAAGGCTTCAATTAGGATCGTTTCGCAACTCAATATGTATGCGCCTACTCAGCAAATCGGACAATTTTCCTAGAGTTGATGTCAATAATGCATAACTTTTACTATATTATCTTAAAATTTTACTAAGACTTAGCAACTCTGTGTCACCGTCAGCTTTCAGGTCTTTGATAAGATAATACGAGGTCTTTTGAATCCATCTGTAATGTGCCACGATCTTACTTAATAGGTCGTTTAATTTCTTTAGAAGCTCTGACACCTCATCACTGCTCTGTAAGCTCAAGTGAATTAAAAGATCGTGAATGACATCGTTGAACTCGGAATATCGCAAAATGAACTCAAAAAGATCGTTCAACATCAGTATAAGTGTGGAAGGATAATACTGCTTTGAAAACGTACCCGGTCTTCTGTTAGGTGAAGCAGAGTCCAGCAATTTATTGCAAACAACTTTTTGCAAGTATTCATCATGTATTTGTCTGAGCTCATCTATACTTGGAGTATGCTTTTGATAGCTTACACGGGCCTTCATCCCTATCTTTTGCATAAGTAGATTTTGAGGTCGCAATATCCCTTGCGCCACGACTAGACCATTCTTTATTTTGGTTTTTTTAATTGTACCTTCTAAGTCTCGTCGTTCGTCTGATATTTTGGTGCGCAAATTCACGTAGTTCTTCTCGATGATTGACTGAAAACAGTAACTTTCAATTTTGCGATTGAAGTGTTGTACATTGCTTTTCAATGCATTGACTTTATACATTTTTTTCAAGATATCTCTCACAAGTGGTTTATTTCGACGTAATCGCCTAAAGTCTCGCGCCAGAGTGTTATTCCTTGACCATTGCTCTTGAAAAAAAAAGTTGTTTTTCTTTATCCTCCAAAGGAAGTTGAAAATTCGAAGATATACCTTCCTCCCTCCGGAGCGATCGAACTCTAAAATGGTGGCAAGCGGTTGCTCGGCCAAGTAGTCTAATGTGAACACATCCCAACCGATCGACCCGTGCCCGAGTTCCAAAACGCGTGCATCGATCCCATCGACGATCTTTCTAGTGTGTTGTGTTGCAAGCATGTATCGTAAGGACGATTGCTTTATCGACTCTTGTAAACATCTTGTCAGTTTATAGCTAGGCAATATCGCAGATGATTGCTGTAAAAAATCTGCAGAGTTGCATATCATTTGATCTATGAAATCTCCTCTCCCCATTAAAAGGACATCTTTCAACATGTCCAGTACTCTCGAAAAGCTGTATTTGCTTTCCAAAGTGCTCTTACAGAATGAATTAATTTCTGAGTGGTGAGAACGCACAGCATCGCAAAATTCTAAGGAAACTGCATTGCCTTTCATAGCGCCGTATACCTTAAAATATTTTTGATTGCAGTCATTTATCCATTGAATCTCCATGCATTCCTTTTCCAGAAAGAGTGAGGTTTTTCCAATCATGTAAATTTCCTTGGCTGTTGGCGCCGAGATGAAGGTTGGTACTTTGTCCATGTTAAGCTTTAGCGAGGTTGGGCCATGATCAGGAGAAAGAACTGTTTCAACAAAAAACTCTTGATGCGTGTCTAGTTGACTACGAGTAAGCCAGTTTACCAAATATTGGTAGTAAATTTGGTCCAGAGATCCATACAATGAGTTTGACACACGCTTTACTAAAAGATCGCCATGGTCCTTGAGGTCATGGACGCGAGAGAGCAAATGATCTCCCCTCAATTGCTGGAAATCAATCATCAAGTTGTAATATATTCTGAACTCTAAAATCCAGTCCTTGATGTCAATATACAGAGCCTTTAAAGAGCGGATATGTGGACTATTGGATATGCGATTTACAACCGCCATGTACTCATGTAACTGTTGATTTACAAATGTCAAAAACGCAGTCTTGAGGGGAGAAAGCGCGTTTGTTGTGCGGTATGTGTCGATTTGTTTTTGAATAAAGCGATATAGAAGTCCAGCTTCAAAAAGGATGTGAAGCATCCCGCTTTCTCCGTTTGGAATGTTTTCCGGAATATGCACACCACGTTTATCAAATGTAAACATTTGTGATGTTGTCGCAAGAAGCGTGAAGGGCAGGTAATTCATAATTTCCTTTTCATTGACCACGCAGCTGTAATAGGGATCTGACAAGCTAGAGAGTGTTACTGAGCTGTTACGGTCACGCGCCATACCACCGTAGTTGGATGACACGATAGACCGTCGATCAGAGTAGCGATCAATATTTTCAAACGACTCCGCATACACAGGCGAGCTTCTAGAGTTTTTGATGGGCGTCATCATGTTATCATGGCTTTCCAGAAGATGTGTGCTGAGTGAAGACTCGTGTAGTTTAAGGGAGGGGCGCTTTTGCTGACCTGTAGATTCCATCATGTTTTTCATTAATCGCAGATATGCCGATGCCTCTTCTTGATTTGGGGAAGCAGCTACTAGTTGCAAAAGGTTTTCTAACTTCTGCCATCGCGCATAGCTGTCCGCATCTTGAACAGTACTGCTCTTATATTTGTGCACCAACCTGTTTATTCGTTCAATGTTTACAGGCGAGGACGTTAATAAGTTGTTAAGCTCATCTTCCAAAGTCCCCATCAGAACACCCGGCAAAACTGGAGCCATCAATTCATTCACTATGAGTGAAAGATTGTTCCTCAGATCCATAAATCTATCAATTCACTTTCGTACTCAACTTTTACCTTTGAGAAGATCATTGGCTTTCGCAAGTGATATGGTAAACAAGATCCACAAGTTCAGCATCGAAAACAGTCACGTTTTACGGTAAAAATATCACACTTCACTGTAAATAGTTCAAGTACGACTTGGAAGGCGCCACAAGATCTGGTAATGTTAATGGGCACTCGTCAAAATTTCGGCCTCCTTACTAAAAAAAGATGAGTCGCTTTTGTCGAAATATCCCAAGTGCTCTACAGATGTTTTGTAGTGCAGGAAATTGTAGAATTGCAGCAGTGCTCTCAAAGCGATTTCCTGACCACATGCATCATTCAATTCCCCTGCAATATCTTTTCCAGTGACCCAATTGTCATTGAGTTTTAGCTTTTTGTACAAGTACACTCCAGAAATGAGATCCATGTGCTCGGATTTCCACTTCTTGTTTTTGAAAGGCGTGAGTTCCTGAGTGATCTTCAATATCGGATTGTATATCTCAAGGTTGAAGACTTGGTAGAGTTTCTTGAGGAGAGCTCCGATAGAAAGAGGGAGCTCTTTGAGTCTCTGAGTTTTATTGCCCGTGACCTGACTCAATACCCGCAACAAGTAAACCTCGGTGTTCAGGAACCGTAGATTCACATTGGGGTCGATAATTGTATGATTCACTTTGTAGTCCTCGCAATATGCTGGATTAAACTCGGAGCACGCCTTCCAGAAAGAATGTTTTGACTGTACTATCTTTCCAAATACCCGTTCGGGGTATCGGTCTGTACAGTTATTCAACAACCCCGTGGCAACGTTGATGAACTTGCAGTCGTGAAGAATAACGCATAAATGCTCGTATTTGAGAATATGACTCAGTTTAAACCATTTGTTTAGAAGAAAGAGAATAGAGGACGCAGACTTGAGCGCGACTTCCTTCGACCTTATTATTTCTAGCTGAGGACCAGCTTTCAGCTCTGCTGCTTCGTTGGGAAGATCCTCGGAAGTGAAGGCGCGATTATTAACATTAGATTCAATTGTTTGTAAAAGCACATAAACAATGGAGCTAAAACTTGGTAAACATTTCTCGTAAAAGTCTTCCACACGGGCCATAGTTTGTGCCTCTGCCGTATCATCGTCTTTATAGTAGTAAGAAAGGTTTGAATCCAGTTTCTCATCTTTAGAACCCCAGCCACGTTCTTGAGCCATGAATAACTCACGCTCGTGCCACAGCTGCCTTGTTGACAATTTCACTTCCACACTGTTGTGAAGAATACGAGTAGCCTCCCCAACGCTAAAAGGGACCTGGCCATCCCCACTCATGTTTTCAACTGACGGCAGTATTTCTGTGAGCGGGTCATATGCACCATTTTCATCATCAGATGGATACATGGATGGATACGCTAGGTTAGTTTGGAATGATTTTCGGGACTTAGAGCCTCCTCGTGTTTGCTGGGTAGGAGATGATGACGGGGATGGCATTGGTGTGGCAATGTGGTACTCTGGCGCGCCTATATTCAAGTTTAAAGTACTTTTAGATTTTGGCCTTGGAATTTCCAAAAACTGAGAAAGAGAGTTGGAGCTGTCAAAGCAAGCTGGAACATCAGACGCGGGTGGTATAAATGTTGGGAACCTAGCCGAGATATCTTCTCGGAATGCATGGTAGTCCAACGGGCTAATTATAAGCTTGTTGGATCGATCGCCTTTCGGCTTTATGCTGTGCTTTTGATGGACATATGTCTTAACCTTTTCATAATGTCGCATGTCGCCAAACTGAAGTAGTAAGAGTCGGTGAAGAAGCAGAATGGCGCTTCGCACCCTCATGCTCAAACGACTGTTCCATCTCCAATGTTCGATATATTTCACAATGAACTCAAGTAGATTGGCTTTGTTTATTTCAGCGATAGCTGTTGCTCTTTGCGAGCTCGATGAGCTATCCTCTTGACTCTCGATCAAAACATTTATGAAGAAGAACATCAAGGTACCAGAATAGAAGAAGAGTTTTGTATAATGTCTCAAATGAGAATTCTCGTCCCTACACAGAGTAGCATGAGTAATGAATGCCTTTAGTAAAACAGGCATGAAGGGCGTCAGTAAAAGGTTGTAATCTCTTATGCTCTGAACATGATCGTTTTTACTTTGGTGGCTACCGAAAAGCCCCATAGAAATATATGTTAATGCCTCAAAACGAGAAGTCTTGGTAATGTCGGTGGTCAGTTCTTCTACCAGCATATTAGTAGTTTTATTAGCGTAGGCTGCCTCTCCTAGAAATTTTGAGGAATCGAACCGTTTTTCGAAGCTGTTCTTAGCCTCGGCTAAAGCTCTGTAGTCTGCAAAACAAAACCAATCTGGAAGCTCATCCTGCAACGTGTAGAAGTCTTGCATTGACCATTGTAGAGATGCTTTGGAAGGCTGATATATGTAGAAATCATTCTCAATCTCCTGTGCTCGCTTATTGAGCTGGCTCTGAAGTTCTTTGTCCACGGGGAGATTGAAGTCGACGTCCCGGTTTAAGGTCTCATCCACGCTCTTGTGTAAATGGCTTTTGGTGAGATCTTTGAGGCTTCCAGAGCTGGAAGAAGGCGAAATTGGGCCATCTATTTCATCAACATTTGCGAAATCCTCGTCCTCTTCTTCCTGTTGAGCATCTGAGTCTAGCACGTTTGAATCCACTTCAGTGTCTGTCTGGTCATTTGGCGATCTGGGAGGCGAAAGAGAGATAGGGGATCCGCGCAAGCTGCCACTATTGGGACTAGATTCCCCTAAGTGCAGTTTCTTGTACAGTATATTGTCTAGATCTTGCAACAAATGCTCCTCTGCCCCGCTGGTCATATCATTTCCGTCTTCACGGCTTCCAGAATTGTCAGCATTCAAGAAGCCCGCTCTGTGAGAACCTCTCCGGCGCAAATCTTTTGAAGATAATGATTTTATCAGAGGAGATTTACTCTTGACGCCGTCTGGCATATCGAATTGCACTAGATTCAGCCTTCTTGATCTTACTTGCGTACTAAACTTAGACTTGAATAGGCATTTTCATCCATTGTGACATGGATATATTTGCACGTGTATCTCACGTGGGGCTACGTTGAACGTGCGACCATAAACAGCTTCATAATGGTTGCACTAACAGATCTTTCCTTCATTGTAATTTTATTTCAGAAAACAGCGCCAACTTCTTCTATCTGTGATACTTTTCTCTATCGAGGTTGTACTTGATATTATGGCGACCATATCCGAATTTCGGCAAAACGAAAGAGAATTCCTAGAATACTAACTTTGGGAATAGCTGGCGCTGAGTATTTCCATTTAAATTCTACCTCAATCTCCGGGGGTTTCAAGAAAACTGGATAGATGATGGCTTTAAGTTCATAATCATATACTCGGTTGCTGCGAAGTATATCCATGCTTTCCATTTAAAGGCGCTAAAGTTAAAAGTAATAACCGCAGGCCACTTACTGAGGCTGAATTGTCGATGCCGGCACCGTCACTTGCCTGGTTTAAACGATTTTGGCGAAGACACATTGGTAAAAAGTGACAATGATTATATATATTAGATAGTGGATGAAGATGCAGAGACCTGTACCACTGATATTGAGTATTGTTTAGTTCCTTACGGTTTCTGTGCCACTGCTTGCGAGAAACAGAGGTTGGTGCGATCATATCTGATTCCGTTCATTCAATCTCATCATAAATGCTCAACTCAAACGAATTTTAAATATTAGGAAACCATGATGAGAAAAGATGAACAAAGCTCAAAAGATCGTGAAAGTTACAAATCCTAAAAAGTAGATCATCAAAAGTCAATGAGCATCAGCTTAGAACATGTATTAGGCTTCAAAGTTAGAGTCACCAACAACCTCGACGCGGTGACCTTGGGGCGCATTTATTCATACAACTCGTCAAACAACACAATAACACTGCAAGAGTCTAAGAAACCCAATCAGTCGCATCAGTTTAAAATAATTAAGCTATCATTTGTGAAAAATCTGGAGGTAGTTGGGGAAAAGCCACTGAAGAACAGCTTTAGAAGAGACCCTATTCGGCCCTCGGCAGTGAGCATAACGGGGGTCCAAGAAACTCTTCGGAAAAGAGTAGAAGAAGCTCGAGAAGCCAACAAGTGAAGAAACTCAATTTGCAATTTCAGCCGCCATACTTTCACGTATGAAGTTAATCTCTGTACGCTTGTCCACGGTTGCTACAGCATCATCATTTCGCACAATCTTTGCAATCCCCTGTTACTTACTAAGTATTGACGTTCTACTTTTTTATAAGAGCTGCCACCTTAACGTCACATATTCGAAAAGCTTTAAACCTTTATTTTGAGTGCCCTTGACGCCATCCAATTCATCCCATTTTATGGTGAACAGCGCAAAACTTTTGCCGTCACGGCACTGTATCTGTTCTTTCCGGAGCTCCTCTAGCGTATAGCTTGACAAAGATGCGTTTCTGCTACAAATCAGAGTTTCCCAGTACAAATTTAGCCAACAATGGGAAACAGATGTCATTTTTGTTAAACTGTCGATGAACTCGTTACTTTTAAATCTGAGCCCAAAAGAGAATCGTATATCGCTCTCGGCAACACATGTTCCAACATCTATTGCCGCCAGCCGCTGGTGGGATCTGTCGTCAAATAAAACGTCATTGTAATCGGTATCAAATACTTCCAGCAACCCATTTCGTGCTCGGTTGTAAACGTGCATTTTTATGAAAATACTGCAGGCCTTTGTATCTAAATTCAAGTGTGGCAATGGGTTTGTAATCTCAATAGTGGTGATTTTAAAACGAGATCTGGCCACTCCATTAAGGACTTTGGGCCTGTGAATAGGCTTCTCAAGTTGTAGAAAGAGCTCATGGTATCCAAGATACCTCAGTTGCGATCGAATTGTGACGCCACGCGTTATACCAGCTCTGAACCTACCGTTCATGAAGATGTCACGGCTTTCTTGCAACGAACAGTTCATAAATTTCATAAGGTAGGCGACGACCACACACCCGGATCGTCCCTTCCCAATTTTGCAGTGCAGTAGAGCTACTCTGTGGTTGTCTTCTGTGAGATAGCTATGCATATCGTCCAGAATATGCTGCAATAACAAAAAAGGAGGGGGAGAGTGATCGAGCCAGCCATACCGCTCAATGTACTGGTGTATTTCTGCCAGGGGCGTTCCTTGACTTAGCAGGCCAGAAGATGATAAGTTGGAGTTCTCGAGTGGAGAGAGAGAGTTTATTTGGTTACCGTGGAGATTCAGGGACGTGTATAATGCTTCTGGCCCACTCAACGTGTCTTCTTTTGAGATCAAAGCAGCTAAGTTTTCATCGCTATAATCGGAATTTCCACGCTCGACTTTGAAGTTGTATATCTTCCAGTTTCCGGCGCCATGGTGTGAATTCAGGTATAAAATTAAGTCTCGGAGGCTATTCCTGTAAATAAGCTGTGGGTAGTTGACAACGGGGTATGAGCACACGATGAGCTGTTGAGTTACGTAGGACAAATCAAGTGTCAGTCCTAAGTCGTTTTTGTGAACATTGATTGGGGACGAGTAAATGGATCTTATAATACTCTCGGGTGTCAAGTTTGAAAAAGATAGTGGCATGGCAGTGATTAGTGAGTCGAACCCAGAAACAGTTAGACTTGCTGCATGTATCTCTCTCGAAAGTGTCAAGCAGATATGTGATTTATCTGACGCTGCTTCACAAAGTGCAGGTTATGAAAAAGTTAAAAACACTAAAGATTTCCAAGCGAAGCAATTAGCTCGCTGAGCCAGAGCAAGGCCGTGTTAATGTCAGTACCATCATCGTTTATAAAATCGTGAATCCCTGCGCCCTTTTTCAAGGCACCTTCAACATTGCCACCCTCGAAAAACTGTGAATGGCACTCCCGATATGTTTTGTAGACAAATTCGTCGAAATAGAATGGTGGGTCGATCCAAAAAGATTCTAAAGTCTGATATCCGCTTCTAGCGGCACGTCTTTTTTTCAACGTAGCGTAGGGAGCTCTTATTAGGATTTTGAGGTCGAACTTGGCAGCAAGTTCGGGATCATTGTACATCAAAAATCCATCAACTATAATAATCTTGGCATCTGAATCGTGAAAGCCAGCCGCGAATTTCTGTTTGATAGCGTTTTCAGTCTCGGTTCTTACCTCAATAGTTTTGGTACTATCATGATTATCATTGTGTATTAACTTTGAAGATATCTCGCCTGTTTTCTTAATGTGATCTAATTCCTTGCGAAACAATGGCAGATCCAATGCATCGGGTGAGTCCCAGTTGCTGACATTATATTTTTCATCAAACGGAATCTCTTCATCATGTTTGAAGAAATCGTCTTCGTGAAGTAGAATCGCCGAAGGCAGTAAATTTGCTGTGATCTTAGCTAAAGTCTAAAAGCTTTCAGTTAACAAGTGAACTTGGCGACGCCGTGGACTTTACACATACTGTCTTCCCGCTTGAAGAGCACCCACTGATTCCTACTAACAGTACTTTAGGAGATGTCATTGAGGTAGACACGATATTAAATTTTGTCTTATCTTCATTACTGAAAAGCATCTATGCGTACCTACTTGACAAATTCTAATCGTCAAAACTAATTATTCATACAGTTCGAAAACCAGGACAAAATAAGGCCTGAAGAACTGTCCGAACAAACCAGAGGCAGACTGAAGCATATTCAAATCTGAATATGAGTGAGTTCATCAATGAAAACCCAGATATCCTGGACGAAAGCTTGCTTCCTTCCCGTTTGGAGGATAAAAACGATGCTATTTGGGATAAAAATCTAAATGTCGGTAACTTACAGCGTCGGCTGCATTTGCTCAATATTCATCAGACAACAGACTGCAAGGTGTATCGCAACATAGAGCTCGTAGATAAACTACTATCTCAGAGAACTGCCTCTAACAACTTGCATACTCCAGACCTGACCGATGCCGAAACTGAAGAATCGGAATACGAAGAGGCCGAAGATCCAATCGACGCTCAGGAAATCTACGACATGATTGCACACATTTCGGATCCAGAGCACCCACTCACGTTAGGTCAGCTGGCTGTTGTTAATCTCTCAGACATCGAAGTGCGTGAAAAATGCGACAAGACCAAAATTTCTGAAGTTGTGGTGAAAATTACCCCTACAATTACACATTGTTCATTGGCTACGCTGATAGGTCTCGGTATCCGCGTGAGACTTGAAAGATCGCTTCCCTCTCGCTACAGAATCAACATATTGCTCAAAGAAGGCTCCCACCAAAGCGAAAATCAGGTGAATAAACAGCTCAATGATAAGGAACGAGTCGCCGCAGCTTGTGAGAACGACCAGCTTCTTGGAGTTGTATCCAAGATGCTAAGCACATGCAAATAGCCGAAAAGAACATGCCTCTTTGACTGATCATAATTTGAGTTCGATGTGTCAGTCACAGTGTACGTGAGAATGGTTTCCTGCTGAGACGTTTTTCCAAGCAGCCTTTAGTTAAACAGCAAACCTGAATCGTAAAGCTGATCGAGAGCGTTAGATAAAGTCACACCTAAGAAAATAACTGAGCCCAGCACGCACATTCAATGGGTATTTTCATTCCACATTCTAAGCTAGAGAACCTGTCGGCGTATAAGTATGTTGCAATCACCGTTTTTTTTTTTGACCGTCCCTTAGCTCAAGGTTGTCGCATTAGAAGACTAACAACTAATGTTCAATCGCAGATACCAAAGTGAAGATCGCTCGCTAGTTACCAAGTATGTGCTGAAGCCGTTCTGGGTCCGTTTCGTGAAGATCTTCCCATTGTGGATGGCTCCGAACCTTGTGACGTTATCCGGATTAGGTTTTATCATCCTTAATGTCCTGACAGTGTTGTATTATGATCCGACTCTTTCTGAAGAGTCCCCTAGATGGACATACTTCACGTACGCGATTGGTCTCTTTTTATACCAGACTTTCGATGCTTGTGACGGCCAGCACGCTCGTCGGACGGGTCAAAGTGGGCCATTGGGTGAACTTTTTGATCACTGCATTGACTCTCTCAATACCACACTGTCGATGATGGTTTTTTGTTCCGCCATCGGCTCTGGGATGAAATTTATGACCGTTCTGTCTCAGTTCGCGTTGCTCTGTAACTTTTATCTCAGCACATGGGAGGAGTACCACACCCACAAGTTATTCTTGAGCGAGTTTTCGGGACCAGTAGAGGGAATCCTCATGATTGTGGGCGCGTTCATTCTCACAGGCATTTTCGGGCCACATGTCTTATGGCACAAGTTAATTGGGGAATTCAAGTTGGGAAACAACCTGTTCAGGGTTGAAAGCATACATGTCGTCTACGCATTATGTAGTGTTGGCCTTGCTTTCAATATTTTGTCGTCGAGGAGAAACGTAGTCGAGCACTATGAGAAAAATAGCCAAAACACGAAAGATGCACAATCGAAGGTGAAAGTTGCTACCCTTGGGCTCGCACCATTTTTCACGTACTTTGCAACAATCTTTGTCTTGGTGACAATCGACCCAGAAATCATTTCCTTACCTTTTATTTTGTCTGTTGGACTGACAATAGCTTTTACTGTGGGAAGAATCATCGTTTGTCATTTAACTATGCAGAGCTTCCCCATGATCAACCCACCAATGCTGATTCCCTTATTGCAATTTTTGTTAAAGACCCTGTTGGTGCGCGTTCTAAAATACGAACGCCTGACTGTCTTGCCGGCGCTAAACTGGTTCGGTTTTGGCCTTGCCTTGGGGATTCACGCCATGTTTGTCACTGAAGTTATTTACGAGTTTACCTCATTTTTGGACATCTATGCTTTGTCTATCAAGCATCCAAAGAAATCAGCTTGAAACTACTATTTCCTAACTAATAAACCTCAATGTTTTCGTGAAACAAGCAAATTACTTGCTACATAGTTATATACAAGGCTAGAAAACTGGACTAAATACCAATGACTGATATACAAATCGATGAGATTTTTCCCTCCCAGCGCCTAAGTTTGTCATGAATTAATGTTAGTGCTAAGTAGGGAAAAACTTGCGTTGTACATTCATGAAACAACATATCAGGCGGTGGCTATGGCTCCCACTGGAGCAGCGTTGGCTCCGTCACCCTGCACCAAGATGTCGTTAGCGTCTTTCTGCAGATCAAAGCTCTTTTCCATCTCGATCAACTGCTGTTCAGCAAGAATAGACAGCGATAGAGGAACTCCGAGAAGTAGCGCAGATGTTGTGACAGCCCATGCAATGTTCCCGCTCTTGGAAAAAGCACCCCTCACTACGGAAACCGTGGTGTCGAACACTTTGTTGATAGTCTGTCTCTGTCTGGGAGGAATGATGTCTTTTAGAGCGCTCAGTCTTTCCATGAACGTCTCTTCTTCGTCGTATTCATCATCGCTGGAGTATTCATCGGAAGAGTCCTGCTCTGGCACGCTTTCGTCTCTGTTAGAAGACCCAGCTGGGAAGTCTGCTTCTTTTTCAAAGACCTTGGTGTTGTCTTCCCTAACTTCTGTCAATTCAACCATTGCAATTGAGTGTTATGTAAAGTGCGTGGTAGTTCCTCAAAAGACTCTGATTGGTGCCACACAATTGAAATCTTTATTAAGAGATTTCTTTAACAGAAGATGAATTATTCTGCAATTAATTACATTAAAAATTTTTAGCGCCTAGCATCATCAGATACGTAAAATGATATTTGGTGAATGATATTCTGGACGTTAGAGGCAACTAACGACAAGCTAGGTGGACCTGTGCTTTCAAAAACAGCTTATAGGTTTATCTAATGTACAGTTAGTGGTGTATATGCAGCTGTAGTTTTGTTAGAATTTGCATAGTTGGAGATGTCTCGACGAGATAACTGTCTCCTTATTTCTTAGACTTCTTTTTGGTCTTTTTCAATGCATTCAACTCCTCTTTATAAATGTCCTGAGCATTTTCGGTTTTTCTCTTTTTGTTGGATTTCACGGATGCTGTTCCATTCACCTTGGCAGCACGCTCGAGATCTTGTTTAGATTGCGCCCATTCCTCTGTGTTGTCGTCTATGGCATACTTGTCTAAGTTTAACGAATTGATTAATTCGCGTTGTTTCTCACGCATTTCTGAGTGCACACGGGTCCCAGCCTCCTCTAGCTCGTCGTCCATCTTGTCCATTGCTCCTGCGGCGTCTAAAGACTGGATTGTCTTACCGTCCATCTCATCCACGTTTTGATCCCTCATCTCGGGTAGAGATTGTTCAATTGAAGTGCTCAAAACGTCGCGGAAATAAATCGAAAATTTACGAACAATTTTAGCAAACATAGCGATTGTTTGGTTGAAAGGTAGGTTCAACTCTTTGGAAATGTCGTCCAAACTCTTGTGTTGCAGTCCGACTGCCAACAAAATAGCGCCTTGAACGCTGGACAAGCTTACGGCGCCTTGCATTTTTCCGCTGAAATACAGCGACGACAACAGAGGCAAAAGATCGACAATAACATGGTAGTCCAACAAGTTGTTGGCATAACTGTCGAGTCGCTTTAGGTCGAACGGTGAGAAAACAGCATCTACATCGTCCTTACTCAAAGCACGAACTGTCTCGGAATCGCCATTGAGAATTTTAGCTTTCTCAGCACTTTCCATGAGGTTTAAGGCCTGTACCGCAGTAAACTTCTTGAAATCATACGATAAAAGTGACAAAAATCTTCTCCGAAAGTCTTTGGCATATTCCGAAAGCCAGTGAGACTCTCTTCCCTCTAAGACATTAAGCATAACACAAGTGTTTTCGCCCGTTAGGTCATTTGCCGTTTGACGTAAGTATACTGGAACGAAACGATTTTTTTTCCAGAACTTGTGTAAGCTACTTGTCAGCCCATAGGAAACACCTAAGTAATGCAAATAATGTGGTGGCTGCTCTGAGAGTTTGAGAAGCAGGGGGGGCAAAGTCTTAGCATCTCTGAGTTTGACATCATCTTTTAGCAGACTTGCCTTGGCAAGAGCCTTGTCGTCTACTCTTTTGATTTCATAAGATTTGGAGACCCCATCTTCATTCAAATCAGTGAACTTGCCCTCGTAATAGTCTCTTAAGAGCTCAACAGCGCGAGAACCATATCCCATAGACGAATATTCTGGGTTAGTGGCAACACGGACTACACGAGCGCCACTCAAACTTGGAAACTCATCGTCCTGAAATTGTTGTGATATTAGCCATGGGATCAAGTCACCGCCTGCTCTTTGCCCACGCGAAAGCGAGCTTCTTACGCTTTCTTTAGAAATCTCACCCTCTAAGGCCACCTGAACCACAACCAAGGGGTCTGGGATTCTCACGCCATCTTTTGGATTTATAGGTGGAAGTAAGACAAACAATTGGTGTGCAGGAGCGTCACTCATTAGTTGTAAATCGTTTGGAGAGTTCTTGTAATGAGAGGCCACATATAAGGCCATCATTTTCTCCAAGAAAGATTCAGACACAGGATGGTACGAAAATAGGGTGTCTCTGTTGACTAAAAACAGGTTGCACTCGGAAGGGTGGGGTGTGCCTCTCGCGGCAAATCTAGGATTTTTCATCAGTGTAACATCCAGACATAAAAGCTTGTTCAGCCACTTCTCCATTGGGTCACCAGGAGCATATCTGATAGGTTCATCCAGCACAACTTCCCTGAGAGTCCGGCCGGAAGCATGCGATTCTTGTTTTCTATTATCTCTTGAAACAACTGTGGTCTCGGAGGATTCTCTCCCGGAGGAGTTAGCTTGATCTCTCAGCTGTTTAATAAGCTTCAACGATAAGGATCTACCAGTACCTTCGTAACCGTTAATCGTGGACGCCATGAACACTAGGTACGGACCCAGAAGATTTTTCACCACTGGCAATGGAATTGCAGCTGCTTCGTCGATGACCACAAGCTCGGCTTGTCCCAAGACGTGATGATCGTTTGGTACAATGTATTGAATGGTTTGGCGGTGACTTTTCTTGATGTCTACTCTCACAATAGCCTTATTAAAGCTTGGGTTAGTGGATTGAATGATGTCGTAATCCATATGCTCCTGGTAACCTAGGGCATCAAAACCCTTGAAGATAAATTCGAACAAAGTTCTCAAGTTCTCGGGCGATGGGGAAGTAACAAAGATGTTGGAGTACCCATGCGATACAGCAGCAGCAATAGCTATACCAAGTGCTGCAGATTTACCTCTACCTCTTCCAGCTGTCAGGGCTACTGTCGAACTGAGATTCTTCTCCGAGATAGCATCTATAAAGTTGAGGATTGCCTGGGCCTGGTTCACAGTTTTCGAAAGCGCTACTAACGAACCCGCTGGTTGCACATCTTCTAACGATTCTTTAAGATCAGAAAGTTCTTGATCTCTTGGTAAAATCTCATCCTCATCTTTAGGAGGTAAAGGCTGGACGTTCTTACCGCCTGAGATTGGTAAAACGTTTAACTCATCGTCCACCACCAAGCAGTTCTCGTTGGAGCCTAGCGACAGAATAAAACGCTCGTTAAAACGTGCCACCACATCGCTATGGGCCTCGGTACGGTATCTTGAGTGAATGTCCATGCTCATGGTGTACAACTGTTTGAGAGACGACATCGATTTCAACATAATCACCACGATACCGCCACCTTCCACAGTTTCAACAGTTCTTGCTAGTAAGTTTGGTGTCAACGCTTCAAAATCCTGCAATATGCACATACCATAGGTGTTACCCAGGATTTTTTCGGTCTCTTTGTAGTAAACGTACCTAATGTTCTGATTAGAAATAAATGTCTCGAATGGGTCCTGATCATTCACTTCACGGGTTCCTCTTTTGATCTCCTTCTTAATCTTGGCTTCTCTCTTCTTGCGATGTGAGGTAAAGCCTAAAAGTTTCTTTTTGTAAGCCCAGAGCACCGATTTGTTCATTTTAAGATCAGCACTCATCATTAAGTAGTGCAAATTGGGCAGTTGGTTACGAGCTCTGTCGCCTACAATGACAAAGAAGCTTCTCTGCTTAGTCTGGGCACCATTCCTGATGAGTGCAGGAATTCTTGAATCGATCGCCTTCTTAGCCATGATGATATATTGGCGTTTATTACTCGAGCGACGCAGTTACAAGTACTGAAAGTGGGGTTCTTCGTACTGTAGAGCTAATTCTAATCAGTCTGAATTCAAAATTGGTTCCCTGAGTTGTAAAAGGAAACTATTTGGAGTCCTAATAACTTGTCTCTAACGTATTTCTTAAGTTGAATTAGCCGAGCTCATCGCAGAAACCATCTCATCTCATCTCATCGACTTAAAATTTTCAAAAGAATCAGTTCTACCTGGCACTATATACGACGTAGTGGATAATAAATATCGAATAGCATCTTGAAAAAAGTCTCTATGTCACTATCGTCACACCCTAGGCTTTTGAATGGTTTTCGAACTGTGCAATTGAGCTATCGTCTTTTCTTTAAGCTGAGGCGATTATAACTTTTGTGTTATGCTTGTAACTGGTGCCTTTTCAAAACAAAAAAAGCGAGAAGAATACTATCCAAAGGCTCAGAAATCACAATGGGACCATTATAATTCAGCGTTGCCTGTCGACAAAACTGGGTGAGATCTTACAAACCCATTTATGGAGCAGAGGAATAACCAGTATAGTATTCGCCCTCATTGGAGAGAAGGTACAGAAAAATTTAGCAGGAACCACCCAACAATCTATAAATGGTTGTTGTAAGAAGCCACAGCATGATGCAACCCGAAAACATGTATTCGCTATGATCCAAAGGTTCTTCAATCGTGTTCTTCTGGTACGTACTTTTTAACGGCTGTTCTGACGAGCCATTTCGTCGTACGTGATCTGTGATGAGACTCGGCGGCTAATGATTATACTGAGAGATATAAGTAAAAATGAAGAGGTTGGACGTGGTAAACGGTACCGCATATCTGTAGCAGCAAGCTCTGAAGTACTAGAGTTCCGGCTTCAGCAATGACTAGTTTTCATAGTTCGGGAGAAGATTGGAATAGTTGTGCCGTTTTACTTATTTATTGTTTGTTTACCTATTTTCTGACATTAAAAAATCCTTGGCAACGCCACAAAACCATGAAATATCGTACTTCCTCGACTATAACGTCTTCCTATAAAATACTCTACAGTAGGCAGGTACTTTAGGTATTCCACGCCAGTGAAGGTTACGTTCCTACACTTGCGGACGCCTAGTGGATGATATCTCTTCGTCGTAAGTAAATCACAAAGCAGTTTTTATTATTTCTAAATACATTTCGGTTATTTATGTCTCCTGAACCTCACAAAGCATCTGAAGAGCCGCGAACACGTTCCCGAGTGCAACCAGGAACCCAGCGGAAACCGCCTGGTCGAAAAGCTAGCAAGCGTGCTGTTAAACGGCTACACTCGACCTGTGACGACGAAAACGAGCTTGATGATTCTGGCTTTGTCACACACTCTTCACAAAATGAAGACCAAGTTCATTCCAGTCGGGACGAAAACATCGAAAGAGTCATACACGAAGACGGCAGTACCAGTAACTATTTTGACAAACGGAAGCTGAAAATCGCACCGCGGTCCACTTTGCAATTCAAAGTAGGACCAACGTTTACTAAGGGTAACTCATACTGTAAAGTCATATGCACTGAAGGCAGTAAACCTGTGAATTTTGCTCTAACTCCGCGCATCGATCGTGGTTTTGACCTCATTGAAAATGATTGGATTGGCTATAAACGCAATTATTTTACTCTCGTTACCTCTTTCGAAATCAACGGGATCCGAGATGAAAATTTCCTGCACAATTCCTATCAAGTGGCAGGTCGTTGGGGTACGGACAGGGTACTAGACGCCAAGTATTTTGCAGTTCGCCTCGTTGCAATTTGTACAGAAGATCAATCCTCGGTTAGTCTAGTGCAACACACTGCAAAGCGCGACAAAGGCCCTCAATTTGAGCCTCCAGTTTTACCTCTCGTACCAGCACCACTTCCAACACATCAAATTATAAGAGAAGCCTCCAATGTCAGGAATGAAACCAAAATGAAGAAATATGATCATTTATTTTACTTCAACCGCAGTTCAGATTCACAGGATCAATCAACAAGCAGCGTAGTATCAACATACCCACATAATCGCATCAAGAAAGTGGCTCGTTACGAGAGAGTTCAGTTTTCCTCCTCTATCAACGCAAAGAAACAAACCAATCAGATCAAGCACTTCCAACTTAGAGTGGTCCTGGGCTGTGTCGTTGATGGAAAGCATATAAACTCTGGGTTCTGTAGTACATATGGAGGGCTGGATTGTCTAGTGGATAACGATACCAGCACATTCGTGCCGATCACGGATATGGTAACACCACCTTTGGTGATTCGTGGAAGGTCACCATCAAATTACTGTGTCACTAACAACACAAGTTTTGTTAGCGATAAGGCTCGCACTAATTTGAACGCAAAGTTTCCCAAGCTCAAAAATGTTGTAGCGGAGTCATTGCATGAATTATCCTTGATACCGTGTCGAACCACGTTTAAGGTATCGGAGTTTCAAGAAACAAGTGAAAAACGCGCACCGACGCTCCGTGACATTACCAACAGACGTGATATCATAGGAAGGGCCGGTTCCTTCAAGGATCTTAAGCCTCTTCCTCAGCTCCCACTGCGTTCTTACATCAAAGCAAGCATGCAAACTATGTCGTGCATTGAAGCCGTTATGCTTAAAACTTCGCCAGAGTACCTTAACAATGAAAAGATTCGGAAGGAACTGAGCAAGCTCTCTAAAAGCATAACAAATGACAACAATGAGCAGCCCATCGTTGGGATGAAAGACATTGAGTTGAATCCATTGATAAGGTTGTCATCGTCACATTATGACGGTTCGGGATTTAGGAACGAGCATTTCGATCTAGGTATGAGCCCCGTAAGCACCACTTTTTCCCCACCTCGCAGCGTCACTGTGAACTCAAATTTCAAGAAATTGCGACGCCTTGAGAACAAAGCGTTTTATGCTAGCAACTCGTTTACTGAGAAAGCTTTGGCCACATCCCATGGTGACAGTACTGACTCGTCATTTGCTGATCACACTTTCCATACCGACAATCGCATTCCGTTTAGAGACATACGAGGAACTTTTCCTAAGCCGCGGTCTATGGGTCGTGTTAATCCAATGGATATATCCTTCTGTCTAAACGTGAGCAGCAATCAAAGTAACAAAATATCCTTCAGGCCCACGTCCAGGAAATGCATGGTGTCGAGACAAGAATTAAAATCTAGTGCTAAACCGTCAGATGTGTTCGGATCAAGTGAATTGTTTGATGAGCCTAGCTTCTACCGTCACTAGATGGATGTAAGATCCATCTACAAAAAAACAAATGCGAATTCTGTGGATCGAACACAGGACCTCCAGATATCTTAAAGACCGAAGTTGACTTCAGTCTGGCGCTCTCCCAACTGAGCTAAATCCGCGATTTCTTGAAAGCTAGCCCCTTGTTAGTATTCAAGTGTTGGTAGACCACATCGGTGGCAAGCGATATGAGCAAGGGAAGTGCATAAGGTAGGTACTTACTTGGCGTATGCCTGATTTTCCCAGTCGTTAGATAATGTATGTTGGGTAATTACAGAGCCTAGAGCTTTAATAAGTCTGATCTTTTAGCCTTGGCAACTTATAAGGAGTTTTAATTTGGCTCTGATCTGGCGTGGCAGCCAGATCACAAATTGGTGAAACGAAGCCCATATCATCTAGCGCGGTAGATGCATCGGCCGCGGGAAAATGCTAGCGTTTCGACGTTCTTTCCCCTCTAAAAGGTCCGTTTGGGTCATTTTTCTCTATGAGCGGCAGAAAGTCATCTTTTTGATGTTTAAGTCAGTTGGATTGGATTGGTAATTTATTGCCGTTCAGCATAGGACATCGAAGATGCCAAAGGACAAGACTGAAAAGGCCAGTAGCCTAAGTTTCGTCAAGGAAGGCGATGCAGACATTGAAGTTCAATTGTTACGAGAAAAACAGGAACGAGCTAGGCTTGACACCGATTACAAGACTAAAGAACGACTCACGCTTCAAGATCAGCTGAGACTGAATGCGATCACGAAGCAGGAAGAATTTGGAGCACTCGTAAAGGACCGCAATAGTTTTAACCGGCTAAGCTCAGAGGACATAGAGTTTTATGAAAATCTGCGGAAGAAAGCAGACCTGGCACACCGAGATATGGAGCAGTTCTTAGATCGCCAAGCTCGAGAATTCGAACAGAAGAAAGTGCGGGAACTAGCGCAGTCCAAAATGGATTCGCTCGGGAGGCCCACTCGGCCCATTGACGTTCAAAAAAGAATAAAAATGCCAGCCAAGGTTTCGAAACAAAAGTCTAATACGAAGCCTGGGCTAAAAGGCATAATCAAGAAGAAGCATACCAAAACTCCAAAGCCGTCGACCGAGTCCGAAGAAGGCCATAGTTGAGTGGTTTTTTTTTTGTCTTTTTGACATCAAGAAACCAATTAAGGACCTGCTCAGTATGGCAACTCAACAGCACATTCAAGACATTTGTCCGCCAACTTTAAAACTTGTGAATACTACACAGAACAAACGTTATGGCTTGAGAAGAACCGCGGTTACTTGTTGCACTCGGCTTTCGCTATTTTGCCGGTTTCTGGTAGCAAAACGAAATTAATTCAACTCGCTTATTATTCTGACAAATAAGTAGGGGAACGCCATCAGACACAACGGAACGGATAAACACCAAGAGCTGGATTTCTAATACGACGCTGTAGTAGAAAGTATAAAAACGACTCACTGAATAGTAATATATGGGTACACCAGTTTCAACAAATTGAACTTTATACGCTGAGTGCAGATAATACGTTCGGTTCACACTAAAAGATAAGATTAAAAAATGGCAATTCCCCAAACAATGAAAGCTGTGGTGGTTGAAGGCGACAAGGCGATTGTCAAAAACGATGTTGCCGTTCCAAAGGTTTTCGGAACGCAGTTTTTGGTCAAGGTTAAGGCTGCAGCTGCTAACCCAACCGACTGGAAACACGTCGACTTTAAAATCGCTCCTCAAGGCTCAATCCTGGGCTGTGATTCTGCCGGGGAGATCGTCGAACTGGGTCCAGATGTTGACAGAACCCGCTTCGCTGTGGGTCAAACGGTTGTTGGGGTCGTTCACGGCGGGTCTGTGAAATTTCCCGAAAACGGCGGATTTGCCGAGTACGCTCTGTTAGACTCTCTTCTTTCTTACCAATTGGATCTAACTCCAAGCAAAGCCAAGCACATTCCAGAAGGTCCCGTCAAAAACTTTGAATCTGCTGCCTCGCTGCCAGTTTCGCTTCTTACCGCGTCCGCGGTTCTGGATGTCCACCTCGGAAGTAAATGGGAATGGGAGCCCAAGTCTCCTCAACATGACTTTCCGCTCTTGATTTGGGGTGGTGCCACCGGCGTCGGACAACTGCTCATTCAGGTGGCCAAGCAGATCCACGCTTATTCCAAGATTGTAGTTGTTGCCTCCAAGAAACACGACTCGGTTTTGAAGCAGTACGGGGCCGATGACACCTTCGACTACCACGACAGCGACGTTATCGAGCAACTTCACAACAAATACGGTGGCTTCAAGCACTTGGTAGACTGTGTCTCCAATCCGGGAACTTTCGAGCAGGTTTACGAGTGCGCATCCTCCAACGCTACTATAGTACCATTGATGTTATTTTCCGAGGACGCAATTCCCGAAGCCAAAAGAAAACAGGGCATCAAGGTCGACCCCGCTCTGCTATACTTAGTATCGGGTCAAGAAATTCCGTTTGGATCTGTCACCGTTCCCGCTAGACCTGAATACCGCACCGAAACAGCCAAATTCATTAAGTTTTCGGAACCCAGACTTAAGAATGGTAAATTGCACCACATCCCGATCAAAATCTCCGACGGTATAGTAAGCGTTCCTAAGATCATGGAAGATGTGAAGCAGGGAGTAAATTCGGGCGAAAAGTTGGTAGCTTCGTTCTAAACTTTGCCCCCTTCACATGAATATCAATATAGGTTTTTCCCCATGTAGACGTTCGCTAAATAGCAGTAATGGAAACGAGAACACTCGATGCTTTCTTTCGTCTCTATAAATTGTGAACCGTTCTCAACAGTTACTAGAAAGAATATGGTGCTATTTGCTCGAGTAGTAATAGCTTTTTCAGCTATTCGTTATGAGAGAATACTATGCTTTGGACTATATAAAAAAGATTGCCCTTGTTCAGCAAGGCTTTAAACATTGAAATGCGTAACTTGGTATATTGTCTTGCGAACAGTGAAAGAAAGAACTCAAAGTGTTTAATAGCTAGAAAATGTATGAGGACTAACCAGAATAAAAATATTTAGAAGTAGCAGCGTCGCTTAGATCAACAAAGCACCGGCAGCGACCAAACCAGCCATGGCAACAGCACCGGAACCAAGGTTGGCAGCACCGTTACCAGTCTGAGTGCTGATGGTGGTGTTGTAGCTGTAAGTTGGCATGCTTGTGGAAGCGGTGGTGGAACTGCTGGTGACAGCTGGAGTAGAGGCGGAAGAAGTAGCTTGGATCTGACCGTCACCAATCTGGGAGATGGCAGCGGCAGAGGATTGGGCCAAGGCGACGGCGCCGGAGACGGCAACAAATGAGGCGAAAGTAGAGAATTGCATTTCTTGATGAGCGAGGGACTGTGAGTTGTAGAGCTACTGAAAGAAAAGAGACGTAAGGGAATCACTCAATCGTAATTTCCAGCCGAGAATGAGCGAGCATACTTATACCTCCAGCTTGTCGAGGCCGCGAGCTAAACTTTTTCGGACCTCATCCGGCGCGGAAGCCTTTCATTCCCTGAATGCCCGTTCTGAGCTGAACCGCGCTCGTGGATTTAGCGAGGATCGCCGGGTCTAGAACAGCAATGTTCTTTTGTGTGCTACGACGCTGCGGCTCACGACTTCGCGACTTCACAGTTGCGATTAATCGTGGCTGCTGCTGCGGCTACTACTACTACAACTGCTTCTACTACTGCTTCCACTGCTTTTCCTGTCGTGGTTCTCGTTCCTCCGTCCTCTGAACCTGAAACAGGCATACGCACGACAAGAGGCACACCATATGCAACGGATTTCTGCAACTCGTCCCTCTGCTGTGTTTACTACCCTCCTCGCACCTGTAAGACTGTGCGTAGGTTGTTCAATCAACTACTCCATTGGGTCAAAGACAAGTCTTCTCCTGACTCATGTTGTTGACAGCTACGGATGTGGTTACTGCGTGAGACAAGAATAGCAGTTATCAGAAACATGCCCAGGCTAGCCATGCGACGAGCCAAGAATTCGCGAATGGTTGTCAAGTTACCAATAGCAGTAAAAAAGCTTACTCGATGAAAAAAGATTGCCGTAAATCCTAGGTGAAAAATATTATCATCAAGTCGGCGTTACACACTATGAAATTGAAAAAAAATATGTATCGCGACGGACGGGCGGTAGCGAAAGGCAACGAACGAGCAAGCCATAATAGCATTCTCGCGGGTGGTAATGGCAATTGCAGATCCTGGCCCTGGATTTGCCACACAGAGACAGGGCGGCCGTGGCCGTGAAAAGTTGGGCGCTGGTCTGTGCAAGTCAGGGCGAGAAAAACGGTAGGGTTCGGGCGTGGGGGTGAAATTTGCAGTGTTTGGGGCGCGTGTGACGTAGCGAAATGGGTGATTTTGACAGAGAAACATCGAGAATGTGTGTGGTGCGCGAGAGAGAGGCAAATCCGATGACGGAAGGGTTTTCCAAGTGGTCATTATGTACGCTGGCGTCGTGCAGTCGCTTCGGCGGGGCGACTGGAGAACCGACTAGAGATATGGCTAGGGAATGCGCCTTTTCCGCGGTTGTGTCTTGTTAGATGGCGCTGGCTTTCGAGCGGTGGAGGTGGACAAGCGAGTGTGGATCATGGCACTAGCGTGTGTCTTTCGGGCGTCGCAGAGTTTCTAGATCAAGACAAAAAACGTATCGCATGGTGAACACATTGCTAGTCAGACCCCGCAGCTAACTTGGCACCGGGCCACGCACGCTCGGATTGGTGGGAGCGGTTGCATGGAACGGCTTCGCTTTTATATAGGATGGATGTCGGAATGCTATTCACGAAGATAATTAGTTCTTGTCGGAATACTGTTCAAGAAGGTGAGGACTTATGATGGCGGATCCGAACTTGGTTGATTCATCATTGGTAGCTTTGAAGTGTTTCCATCTACCATGCATTACGCGTCGGAGAGTACTGGAGCTTCTTTCGTAGCATAAGTATCGACAGATATCACCGTATGGTCAAGTACTCGAGCAATATGTACAGTCCTGGCTCGTTTATGTTTGACGTATTTGAGTTTACTTTGTGTCCGCTGAGTTGGTCAAATAATAGTTGAACATGCTTTTCTGTAGCTGTTGGTCTTAACATGGGTGAGACTTTTTAAAGTCCATTTTTGTCAACTAAAACATAAATTTCAGCGTGATATATATTCCAATGTAAACATTTAACACAACTTGAAATACTTCAACATTGTGATTGTAGCTTAGAATGCACTCTGCAAGCGGTGGTACTGGGGCCTAAGCTTTTCTAGTCAACGTTGCCCGCGCCAATTGCGGCATATAAATACGAACAAAATTACTTATGCACCCGCTCATGCTGTTTGCTTCATCATGTTTCAACACGGTACTGTTACAATCGGCAACTTCAGAAGCGCCTGGTCGCTCGGCATTTAGGTCGCATTGGCATATAAAAAACACTTTCAATACCACCAAGCTGAGGACTTTCAGTATATTGACAAGAACACATCAATTTCAGGAGTTCAAACTTCAAATCGAGAGTCAGTATTGGCTCTCAAAGTATTCTGCGATGCAATAGACGCTATCTGTGTGTGAATAGTGAATGCTATATCATTTTGCCGGTTGAAAAGCAGCGCGTCTTCGCCAGGAATGCATACTCTACATTCAAGCCCGTGCTAGCTCTTGAGACAATTTTTCCATGCCACCATATAATGCCAGTATGGTGGAGTGGGAGCCAGGCACCTTTACCTTTCGAGTGTTTAGATTGTCAAAACCAACATCACTTTTTCCAAATCAGACCTTTTTACTGCGTTACCCTATTTATCCCAGAATGCAGGTTGAAAAACGATTCACAATCAAACCCTGCTCAAGATTATTGCCAACTTTATATTCCATTCGCTTGAACTCTACCAAAACAATTAGCAATGTCTGAAACTATTGAAGGTAACGTTAAAATCGACAGATTGTCCCCAGGTAATGGCTCGTCTTTCCCTAAGACCGGAGACTTGGTTACCATCCACTACACAGGTACTCTAGAGAACGGCCAAAAATTCGACTCTTCTGTGGACAGAGGTTCCCCATTCCAGTGTAACATTGGCGTTGGCCAAGTGATCAAAGGTTGGGATGCAGGTATTCCTAAGCTATCCGTCGGTGAAAAGGCTAGATTGACCATCCCAGGTCCATACGCCTACGGTCCTCGTGGTTTCCCAGGTCTAATCCCACCAAATGCCACTTTGGTGTTCGACGTCGAGTTGTTGAAGATCAACTAAGCGAAGTCGGATCACCCCACTTACTATTATGTATAGCTTTTAAATCGTCAATCGCACGCTATCCTTCAATTTATTGTCTGATTTTATATTATAGTTTTACAAAATTCATCATTTACGGGTCTTGCGTCTATTTGCCACACGAGAGCTCGATCGAACGATCGCTTGGCCCTGCGGTTGCGTTGGTGCGCTCGAATCTTCCAATGTTTTGACCGAATCTGCCGTTTCCGTGGTCGAGTCAGCAGGATGACTTCTAGTGGTTCTTGTTCTCTTTGAAGGTGGAGATCCATGTGTCTGAGGATCGCGTTGATCAGATAATACTGACGGCTCAGAAACCAATTCCTCCGGTTCATCTTCCATATCCTCAACGGCATCCTTTTGCGACATTGGGGCATCATCAACAGTTGCACCATCCTCGCGATCACTGGTCGTGGGATTTTCATTTTCAAGACCATTGTTGCTGTCTGCTATCAACTCGACTTCCTCGGGCTCCTCACTCTGTGAAAGGCCATTGTTGGAAGGCTCTAGAGACTCGTCATCCCCAGGGGTTTCCTGTGCTTTATCGACACCTCTCGGCAGCTGAGCAGGGCCTTGAGACCGAGTCACCCTTCCTTGCGGTTTAGTGGAAGCAGTAGATCGCGTAAATCTTCTGGACATTCTCTCTGCATACAACGTGTCGTCCTGAGAAGTTTTGTCGTCCAAGTCGTCATCAGACTTTTGCTCTTCATCTTCCTGATTTTCCTCTGTTCGAGCATTCTCCAAGATCAATTCTCCGTACTCTTCCCAAGGTAGATGGAATTCCTGCGGCTGTTTGAAGACACGTCGCAGTGCTTGAAAAGCAGAAGGGTCTCTATGCTCTTCTTCATCTTCCTCAGAATCCTCTATTTTTTGTTCATCCTCATTATTCGTGTCGTTTTCTCTTTCATCCAGCTTCTTCAAGTCGTAGTGCTGTGCCAGCTTCGTCCAAATTTCGTCTGCAGTAAAATGTCCCTTTCCTTCGCTCTTGAGCTTATCAAATAGTAAAACAACGGGGAACTGATCTGGCTTGTTCATTCTTCCTAAAATACTGATCATATGGAAATGTTTGTGTAAACCTGCTGGTTTAAAATCCGTTATCCATCGGAAAAGTCGAATATCATCCTCAATACTCCACGGCTCAGTCATAGTGGGAACCCGGATTGCATCGAACTCACTTAGTGGAGATCGTTTCTAAAAGTTCAAGGAAATGATTGATGTCTGATCAAACATTAACCATCAAATATGTGTATTTTTGCACGAAAAAGTCAATGATTTGAAACTCGTTAAGAGAAGCCGGGAATAAGATCTCGACAGTATTTCGAGATGAAAGTAATTCGGTGATTGGCACTGAATATGTGCAGCCTTATAAAGAAAAATTCGCTTAACATTCTGACCTTCGCTTCCTTACAAGTTGTTATCACTATGTACTATTTTGTCACGTCCCCACATATGCTACATAACTTGTCTAGGCCTATCAATGGACTATACCTTCTCCTCCGAACCCATAAGCTAAGCGACAAATACCATGAGTCGGACCGCACGACTTAACTGAAATATTGGGAAATGTGAAGATATCGCTACCGACGGGCAATTAATGAGGGTGCCGTTAAATTAAATCTCCTATACCCGTCAACAGCAACGGTTCTGCTCTTAAAATGGATGAAATATCTTCTCAGTTTGAACTAAACAGATGCCAAGTTCTAAAGGATAACCTAAGGCTCGGTTCATGGCCGTCCAGTTCCATGACGTAAATAGCGATATTTTGAAAAATTTTTAACACTATACCCATCCCAAATGAGTACAACGGAAGTGCTTAATATCTGAAGACATTGCGAGCCTTAACATCGATTGTGGACCTTGCAAAGTGGTTCAATATTCTGTATAAGCTATGCCCAGGAAAGCGGTTTTACTGAAATCGCTGGCCCGAGGCCGAATCAGATCAAGTTTCAACAAATACAATCTGTTCAATCTTTACAAGAAAGGTGACGTGGATTTCAGATCAAAGACACTTTATCAGCAGAAATGGACCGCCAAACAGGAAACGAGGGCATATCATGGCGAACACTTAACTGAAAGCCGTTGGCAGACAAATTTCACTCAAAAACTGGACTCTGTCGCCCAATTAGATGCATCTTTGAAAGGTAGGGAAACGCAACAAACACCCATTCTACTACAAACGTTTGGCGTGCTCGAAAAGAGACTAGACATTTCATTATTCCGCGCTATGTTTGCGTCATCTGTTAGGCAAGCCAGACAATTCATTTTGCATAATAGCGTTTTTGTCAATGGGATCAAGATTTCACAGCCAAACTATACTTTGCGTCCAGGCGACGTTTTTCATGTCAAACCAGAAAAAGTGTTGCAGGCACTAGGTGCTAAGAAACCTTCTCTTGCCGAGGCTCTCAAAGTCGACAAACGTCAAATCGCCATTTGGAACAGATATATCAAAGCCATTAAGGAAAATCCAAGGGAAAAGTGGGCCGAGAGACAAGACACGTACCGTCGTATGGACGACTCTCATCCCAAAAAACAAGAATGGGTTGAATTTGTTCAAAATTACAACAAGACTTTGAACTCTCAAATGGAAGCTGAGATCAAATCTCAAACAAAGGAAGCTATTTTGGCAAAAGTTATGCTTGCAGGCTCTTCTACAACTGAGCCAACAGCTAAAGATTTTCTACCGCATTTTTACGAGGACACACCACTTGCCACCAAGGCCCAAGAGTGTTTCAACCAGCTTCAAATGTCGGCATCAGTTCCTGAAGATTCTAAGACCATGCCCCTTACTCAGTTGATTGACCACGCCAAGACCTTGATTAACTTGTCTGAGGAAAGGAAAAAAGCCATGTCCGACGGTTCGAAGAAGTCACTACGCGCCGCTAAAAACCTGTGCTCGGAACTCCTTACCGCTCAAGATGACACAATACGTAAGGTTTACGAGAGCAAAAAGGGTAGTGAACAAACTTTGGCCATTCCGTTTGATACACAATGGGCACAAAAATTTCAAGGGCACAAACCGATTGACATCAGTGAGCTGGCAGAAGACGAAGCCAAGGCTTCTAAAGCCGTCAATTTACCTTGGCAAAAAGGTGTCTACGGTCGGGAAGATCCTTCGAAACCATACTTCACACCTTGGAAGCCAAGACCTTTCCTATCTCCCTTCGCCATTCTACCGCATCACATCGAAGTTTCATTCAAGACTTGCCACGCTGTTTACTTGAGAGACCCTGTAGCTCGCCCTGGCCAATCGGAGGTGATATCTCCGTTCGGGCTGCCAGTTCACGAACGCGCTTACATGTATTACGTTAGAAACGGAAAATGATCTTCATTCTTGTTAATAGAAAAATAAATGTATAATAAATTAGAACATTCAGCGTTTTTGGACTCAAGTAAGTCCCTTGGCATATCAGCCTGCATGCTCATATATACCGCTACTCAATTTACCATTGGCAAAACTATGCTTGAGTTGTTCCGGGACTGGAAATTCCACGAAATCGCCGTCCTCGCCAATGGGGAAGTTGACGTTAAGAGATGTAGAACAGGACGTGAAAATTTCAGTGTTCAAAGAGTCCTTGCTGAGGTAAATGGTACCGTCGTCACTTTTGTCAATGCTGATTTGGGGAAGCGGTTGTTCCACTTGAATGGCGAACTTGACAGACTTAATGATATCTAAACCTGAAATGCTGCTTTCTAAAACCAAGTTACAGCGTTCTGTCTCACTCACAGAGATTGCATTAACTTTACCTTTAACCTGAATGAAAACGCTACTGCAATTTCCGATGTAAATGGATTCATCTCTGGTAACCTCGACCACGATTGGCTGTTCTTCATTCTCAAACCCTTCAATAAACCATTTATTGCCTACTAGCTCCTTTCTAGCGGGCTTCTTGGTTTTTAAGGTGGTAGGCTTCTTTGGTTTGGGAGGTGGAGTTCTTAACGATGGCGTAATTGCTGATGCCCGAAGGGTGGGGTTTTTATGGGTTTGTTGAGACTTGTCCACTTTTTTCAATGACTTCGTGATGTTTTCGCCTTGATTCAGTTCGCTAAAGACCGCGTCAATACCTCCTGAATTTGATGGAGGCTCGTCTTGTGACTGGAAAACCGAGGCCGGTGGAGGAGGAGGAGGAGGTGGTGGTGCAGATGTAGACGAAGGAGAGTCGCTCGTGTCCGAAACAATTGGAGCTCCTTCGCCACCATATTTAGCTAAAGCATCTTCAAAATCCATACCCTGGGCGTTCCACGATGGGCCCGTGGTATGAAACTCTTTTACGTAACTTTTGAGGCCATCAAAAAGGCCAAGGAATTGTTTGACCCATTCGACGCTGTTAGGGTCAGACTCCTTGAAATCCTTCAGAACTCTATTGGTCCAGAACTGGGCCGCATCTTTAAAATCACCAATCATCGACACTGGAGCTTCCCCACCAATCCACCCCAAGAGAGGAGCACCCTCTGCTACCGCATTGAGATGTGCGAAATGACTGCTTTGGCGATTTTGATCTTTCAGGTAGCCTATAGCCATAATTTGTTCGTTCAAAGGTTGTAAGGATTTTGCAAAGGCTGCAGAGCCAAAATCTGGCTTCTTTGCGGCAACGGCGACTCTCAAGAACCGGGCTTGCGCCTCAAACGCTTTCTGCAAGTATTCAATGGCCGCTTTCACCGCGGGATCAATTTTCCCAGAATTTTCGAGCAGTGGTTTCAAATGTGTATCTAGGAATTCGCGGAACGCAACGATGCTGGCGGGCTCAGGTTCCGCTGTGGACTCGGCTATAATGGGCTCCGCAGGACTTACAGCTCTAGCCTCTTTTGCCTCAATCTCGTCATTTTGGCCCTTGGAAAGCGCATCAATCTTGGTTTGAACGTATCCTTCCTGGTATAAAGTGACGTCCTCCAAACGCGCCGTTGCGTCTTCCAATCGTTTCAAAAGCTTGGACAAGTTATATCCTTGAATAGCGAATGTATTGGCTTCCGACATAGTGTTCTTTTGAGCCAGTCCAAATCTGGAGTATAGAGTTGTATCAAAAATCGATTCAAAATCAGTGGTAAACAGTATGGACCCCTTTAGTATGTGTCGAATTTCTTGAAATATCGAGTAATCTAAGACGACATTAAAAAATCAGGCTAAATAGATTGGAAAAATAACGATGAAAGGCAAATCTCAAAAGATCTGACGGGAAACGGTGACAAAAAGGTTTGGAAAGTGTTCAATGGCGGTCAACCGAAGCGGGAGCGATCCTAAGAAATCGAAGAAAAGAAACGGACGCGAAAAAGCGGCGAAAAATCAGTTTCTGGGCAAAAGTTTGGTTGAACGACTAGGTATTTTGAAGACATCTGAAAAACCAAGAAATAATAGCAGGAAGTCCAGCAATGTAGGTCTTCGTGTGGTGGATGGACGGCTTTTGCATGCCAACGATGTCGGAGTTCTTTTGCGCGAGGCTGCAGCTCGGACAGAGTCGCATAATGGGGAAACACGCGGGCAGAAGAGTATTAGAATGGCCAAAGCGAAGTTACACAAACCATTTGCCAAGGATGCGCCACTAACGACGACAATCGGAACCGGCAAGCGTGTTGAGAAAATCGTGCGGAGACGCGAAACCGCTAGGAATCGCGATCAAACGGCACTACAGCCTTATGGAAAAGATCTATATCTATCGGTTGGCACGACTCCCGATTCACGGTTTTTAAGGCTTCGAAACCTGCCACTGGGATCTGACTCCAGTTCGCTCACCCGTATTGTTGAGAAAGTAGCAGGCGTGGTAGTACAGAGAGCATCGATTATGGATCTGCCTTCTGGGTCTGTTACAGCGGAATTGTGGCTCCAGAATTCTGACACACAAGCACTCAACGAAGCGCAAAGACGTCTGGATCGCGCCAACGTGAACAACAGGGTTATTTCTGCTGAAATTGCGTCTTCGTAAGTTTCCAGATAGTCCCCGAAAGACCACCGCCGCCTAAATGCCCAAACAAAACGTTGTAGTATAGTATGTATGTCATTAGTATGTCATCAAGATTTAACTTGGAGTGATCAGTCGTCAGTATGCTTTCGTTTATTGCGCAGATCGTTGCACATTTTCTCAAGGAGCCGTAACTCTGTGACACGCTTGCTTGAATTGTGCTGCGCAAGCGTCAGATATTCCAACATTGAGCTATGGGCGGCCATACTATAGTACGTGTCCTTGTGAACATTTGTCATCCACTCATCTGCGGTAGTGTTTTCGGTGCCTAACCCCAAATGCTTCTGCTTCATCACTTGGAATAGCTGCTGTTGACGATTCTTGTCTGACTGTTCAAGGTTAGTATAATTGCTGAGCTTTAGGTGCAGGCCATCTACATTTAACATACCATGATGATAGATATGAATGCTTTACTTTGATTGATCAATTATTTTCAATGTGTCTACTAGACAGTATCGAAATTTCATTCGATCATTTAACTTTTGAAAATGTAAAATCGAAGAAACTTAAGGTCTTTAGAGATTTGAACGTCTCCAACAATGAGCTCTATATGCTCCCAAATTAACGAGTTATCGAGTGACTGCTCGATAAACTTCGTCGAGGGTCTATCTCTCTCCGCGGAAGCTTGCAATGACTGGGACTCGCTTACACAAGGCATCGTGGACAAATTGACGAATTGCAACGTCGCAAAGGAACGAAAGAAACATACTCAGCTGGTGTTCTATGAGATTTTACTGCTTCTATCGGACCACAATGTTGCTCGACCGCTGGATGTTGAAAAAGCATGCCGCTTGATTCAAAAGGTATATTCTGTGGAAGGAACTAAAACTGCACGAATTTTCACAGCCTTGGTGAACAGCTTTCCAGAAAAGTCAGAGCGCTTACTAGCACTAATTCGGAGCCTCAAAATGATGGATGAAGAGTTTTGTACTCACATCGCCGATGACAAGCTTTTGGAGAAAACGGGCAAGTTTAGCGTGAAACAGCGCGCTCTTTTCAAGAAGAGTTTGCTTGATAGCAGATACATTATCCAAAAGTACAATTTACTCAGTGAACACCCTGTAGCGTTCTCAGAGTTACTGACTCTATTATTGATTGCTTACAATGATCCTACAAACGTTGAACGTGCCTCGATGTATTGGCAGGAGACACAATGCATTATCGGAAAGTACGCACTCGATCCTCTTCGTGCTCTCGATGTGATTTTAGTCGTTTCCTCTCATCACATTACTGAGAACTATGCGTTCCTCATTCGCTTTCTTCAAGTTTCAAGCTATTGGCCTGCGGTCAAGGCCGATTGTCAGTCGGCAGAAGGTCTAAGCAAGGGTGGCAACATTATAGCGGCACAGATCTTGACTATGCATTTGAACGAAGCCGCTGTAGGTGTCAAGTTCTACGACATGACTTGCGTTCTGATCAAAGCTGGCTTAGTGTCCTTTCTGTCAATATTCGATAATTTAGGGCCCGATGATGACACCATTCAACAGTTTGCTGACTGCTTCTACGCAGACTTAGAAGCTGATAGCATGAAGGGGAGCACGAATCCACTAGCGCTGGCGGCAGCGCTTACAGATGATCCAGAAGAAGATGGGGGTCTACTGCCGAAGGACCAGGCAAAACCAAGTTCTTCCGAACAGGAGCCTTCTCAAGAAGATTTGGAAGCTGAAAAAGAACGTGAAAAAAAGCAAATTTTGGAGGGAGGAAAAATGATGCTTCTTCATCGACTTCTTGCTCATGGTTCCATAACACCATTCTTGTATGCCTTCCAAAATTATTCTCGATTTCTGTTGGTGAGTGACCTGACTTCACAACTTTATCTAAGGCTTTTCGAATTCTCGATTAATCCACTTTACAAAACAACGGTGTTACGCGAGCCGACAACCAAGGACCCGCCAAAAGGTCTAATTCGCAATCACAATGCCGTTCCACCGCTGCATGGACATACTAATTCAACCTTCTATTATCAAGAAAGCCTGGACGATGTTCCCACTGTAGCAACTATTGAACAGCTTTTTGAGTCCTGTCACCAATGGCTTACGATCATGGGCCCTCAACTCGCTCTAAATGTATGCGTCGTTGCCAAGCTGTGTAGAATTGGGTTGAAAGACATTGAAAGTAATGAAAATAAGGCAGCCACGCTAGAGGCTTGGCTGAACTTCACCAGGAAGTTTCTGCTACCTGCATTCCCTCTTCTATATGATAATGTTATTGTCCTTAATGAAGCTTACGAGCTCTTGAGGTGTTTTGGGTTCGAAAGACGATACTTTCTTTACAATGAACTATGCTCTAAGTTATCTCAAGACAATATCTTCGTTAAAGTGGGGTGGAATAAGTCTGCCAGAGATGCCAAAACTGAACTCAAGTCGCTCAGCATTGACAATGTGAATAAAAAGGGCAAAAATTTTGCGAAGCTCGTTTCGAGAAACCCACTAAGTGCTTTAGAACCTGTTATGAACCAGTTGGAAAACTATGACAAGCTTTCTGACTTAGTGGTCGAGACGAGTTTGTACTTTAGCCCATTTGCGTATGACGTCTTGCAATATCATATTCTTCTTAGATTGACGTCAGGAAGACAATCTTTACAAGAGAGTGGCGTTCACGTAACAATGTGGGTACAAAGGATTGCGGTCTTTGTCGCGAGCTTAGCGAAACATTCTCCCAAGATGGACATCGGCAACATTGTACGTTTTGTCATTAAAAAGCTTCATGGAAATGATATGATAGCAGTGACTGTAATTCGAGAGTTGATCTCCAGAGTTTGTGGTGTAAAGGCCATGAACGATCTAAGTCCGAAACAGTTATTAATGCTTCACTCAGGCCGGCCACTACAGGAAGCAGCAAGAACTGTCATTAGAGATACCAGAGATGATAATCAAACTGCGGCATTGAAACTGCTCAATATTTTCATTGAGCAGAACGCCCTTTCTGAGGTGATTATTTTATTGGACCATATGAAAAGCGCCATGATGAGACATGACTCTCACTACAAGGTTCTTTCCTCCAGGATAGATGAAATTGGGCTTCTGTTGTGGTCTTTCATTGACATGAGCAAGTATTTCTTGGGCCCCAAAAAATTTACAGATAATATTGTTCCCTTTGATCAACTAGTCAGCAAATACGCACTGTCAGTCGAGTGGGCATTTTTCATCTGGAGAGAGTACTACGATAATTGTGCGAATGAAAAATCGAAGCTCAAAGAAGAATTCGACGCAGCAATTGATAACGCTAAATTAATTCCCGATGAGTTCAAAGGCGAATACAGAGAGCTCTTCGCCAATTTTTGGAAGCTCTCGTTGTATGATGTTTGCTTTCGAAAAGAGCTTTACGACGAGGAAAAGAGCTTTCTACAGAGATCACTGGCTGTTACCAAATCAATCAGTAAAAAACGCGAAATCTCGAAGCAACTGGAGAGCATCATGGCTAGCCGCATTGCACACCAGAGAGCACACACAAAATGTCAGGATTTAATTAGGGGTTGTTCACTAAACATGGATCATCTGAAAGCTACAGGAATGGTCAAGTCATTTCTGCAATATTGTGTTCTTCCACGAGCATTGTTTTCTCCCGCTGACGCCCTTTACGTTGTTGATTTTATTTGGGAAACTTTCCACTTTGCTGGCGCTCTACGAGTTTTCGAGGAGCTTGTTTCAGCAAGGTTACTTGTATCTTTACTGTTTAGCTCTACGAGCTCTGAGGCTAGCAACCTTGGTTTATTCTTCACCACTTACCTTGAAAAGCTAGAAGAACTACGAAAGGCAGATGAATTATCGAATGAAAACCTCAGAAGACTTTTCAAAATACAAAGCCTGATTGCAGAGGACGTCATAAACTTGATAATGGAAAAGAATTATATGTCAATTCGCAATGGTATAGAATTTATGAAATACCTGTCAACAGTATTCCCCGTTGTTGAATTCGACATTTTGCAAATGATTCAGGCGATGGAGAATCTGATTGCAATTGATAAAAGGGAGGACATCTTGTTACCTAGCAATGCCCTAGTAGGTCATTTGAAAGCGCGCTTGAAAAATGCTTTGGCTCTTGACGTATTTTATAAAATGAGCCCAGAAGACCAGGTGGACTTTCGGTTTGGCGAGAAAGAGCTGATCATGAAGCACCATAAAGCTTTGTTGAAAGAAGGAGAGGAAAAGAGACTTCGTCTGAATTCTGAAAGAGAGGCTGAAGAAAGACAGAGTACTGAGGAACTTAAGAATCAAACAGGAGAAGAGAGGAACGTGACGTCGAGTCCTTACACAAGATTCGGACGGCTCCCGCCATTACCCATGTATGAGATTCTCAACGAAATGCGGGACGTTATCAAGTGTCTAGAAGCAAACCGCTCAGAATATTTGAACCGCCATGTGAGGAATAAAGCTCTCTTGACAGAGTTACGCGAAATTGAAAGAGACACGGTTCAAAAGCCTAAAGAGTACAAAGACAGACTTGCGGAGGTTCTAGAAGCCTATTTTACAAAGCTGGTAACTTCTCCAAACCATGAAAAGTTTCAACAACGACTAAACGGCATCATAGTAGCTTGTAAATCTGTGACAAACCCATATGGTGCAGAGAAAATTCAAAAAGGGAGGTCTCTTACTCAGGCTATTGCGTATGATGACGAGCCTATACCAATTGCTAGTCGGGTGCCTACTAATCGTTCAACAGAATCAAGAACTACAAAGGGAAGTTTCGAAGATAGCAAACGAACTTCAAGGTACAGTGGCGCAAAGGGCACAGAGCAAGACAAGGATCTGCATAACAAAGCAGCAAACTTTGAAAAGCGCCCTGTGTTTCGTAACGATAAAGATCAAAATGAAGCTGAGCGTTCGGTCAACAAAGGACGTTCTACCGGTACATCAGAAATTAAGATACCTAAAGGGCCTAGCTTAGGCGCGGAAAACAGGTTAGCCAAGGCGGGATCTCGATACGTGCGAAAGCCGGTCACAACATCAAATGCCACTGCCAATGAGTTCTCCAAGAAAGAATACTCACCAATTCCTCGTGGCCCGGCCCGGTCATCCTCTAACATCCGAACAAAGGCTGTTTCCGAAAGTCGGTTTGGAGATATGTCAACAAACAAGACCAAGATAAGCGAGCGCTCTCGTACAGCTAGCGCCAGGCCAAGCTCTACCAAACGCCTTAGAGAGGAGCCAGCCGATACATTTCCGTCCAAAAGGAACAAGCCAGAATCTAGCACAATTCGCCCAAGATACGCTAGTCGCGAGCGAGGCGATCGTGAGCGACCAGCTTCAAGACAAGAATCCAGTTATGGAGGAAGGTACGAAAATAAACCGCGCGGTGACTCGCGGCCAGAGAACATTACCGCCAACTTGCCGTCAGGCCCCAAGGTCCAGACTGGCCGGCCCCAGCGTGGGGGCAACAATAGCCAGGGCCAAAAACCTTCTTCAACTCCGCAGTCTAGCAGATATCAGAAATAATGATACCCGCAGAAGACTGACTAGCGATAGGGTGTTAAAAAAAAAGCTTAAGTACACTTTTTATTATTTTTCAAATTCAGTGTTCTAGCATACAGAGCAGATCTCATCATCACCGTGTTCATTCTCTCGAATTTGCTTGGCAAAAAGGCACTTTCCCATGAATTTTATTAATTGGAGTGGAGAAACGACTAAGGTAAGGACTGGGCATCCGTGTCATACATGTATAACGTTGCACGCAATAAAAAACTGAAGTAGCAACATGGTACTGGATGTATAGTCTGTCGCTAGTAATAACAGTGTCAACTCAACCAACATTTCTCCGCGCTAGTAAATCAAATATGATTACTATCTTATCTTTGTCCAAGTCCATTTAGTATTTGCTAGAGGTATGCATGTCGGGCTGAGTTTTACATTCCTAATATAAGAGGTTTACAAAGCTCTCTGACGACAGAACATATTCTTCTGATCGATAAAGAAGACTCTAGAGCTAGTGGCAATATTGACAAGCGTGAGACTATAAAATTATCAAATAATTAGTGAACTTTGATTACTACAACAGTACATGGAGGCCTGTATTGTGGAATTGATAATATTTTAATACTTTTACTTTATTAGAAAGTACTGATTATTGGCAAGCGTCGGATGCATTTTTTTAGCTCTCTTGTGAAACTGTCGCTGGCACTCTAGTCAGAGTGAAAGGTGCAGAAATACAGTAATGTTATTAATGCTAAAATTCGTGTTAGGACCATGGAAAGCAGTAGGTCAACTATTTGTATCTTGTGCAAAGTACAAATAGTGGAAATCAGTAGCTCTATAAGGTCAGAGTTAGCATTTATTGCGAGACGCCAGAAGCAAAAGGACTAGTATAACGAAGGCTGCTGAACTCTGATATCAAGAGAACACATAGTCCTTACTTTTTCTCAAACCAGCAAAGAACTAAAGGCCATTATTTTAAGGAATTAGGGATCATTGAGAACCGAAAGCGGGATGCAAGTTTCCTACACATTCAATGACGAATTTTTGTGACAGCTCTGTGACCGTACGTGACGAATCTTACCTGGTGCTATGCCATATATATAACAAAAAGATATTTTAGTCTTGTATAATGACTTTGAAAGGACTCTTACCTCTTTGGATGGCCCATATAGAAACTCGGCCAAAAATTTGTAGAAATTTGAGCTAAATTGGCATATTGAAGCATAATTTGACGCTTACATAGGTCACATATATATGCTCCAGACTTTTTCTATAGTCCATTTTATTTAGTCGCTAATTCCTTTCCAGTCGAAATCGAACTCATGTTATCATTTCAAATGTCAAGAAATCAACATTGAAAGCGTTCGGCCTTGAAATCATCTCACGGCCCTCTACAGATACCGCTTGGTCCAGAAAAAGATATTAAACATGTCGAGCTCTTCTGGGAGTGCATTCGGCGGTGCCAATGGCCTTCTAGAAGTCTATATCAGTCGAGCCCGAGATTTACCAAACTTACGAAAACTCGACAAACAAAGTCCCTTCGTGCGATTGCGCGTTGCGCATATGATAGAAACATCCGATGTCGCTTTCCGAGGCGGGCAAACGCCGAAGTTTGATTTCTACTCGAAGTTTGATCTGACGCCGGACGTAAAACCACTTTTACTTGTAGAATTGTTTGACGACCGATCACCTCCGAAATTGATCGGGCAATGCAGCATTGACTTGACGCCTGCATTGTACAAAGACCCTGAGGATGGTCATGATGATTGGTTTCAGCTCCGATTAGGCAGCGAAGAAGCAGGTCAGGTTTATGTGGAACTTACTTTTCATCCTTTGATACCTACCTCAAGACTTCAAAGAAGCAGAGCAGACGATACAACAGGCCTCGAGTTTGCTCTTGAAAGCAGGCCTGCACCACCCCTCCCCTCTAAAGTACCCTCCTTTCAGCTGGACAACGAATCCTACCGGAAATTCTCAAGATCCCATGATTACTCCCATGCATCCAAGCTGCGAGAGAGCTCTACGACATCTGGGCTAGAAGAAAATTTACTTGGGCAAAGCTCAAGTTTGAGGAACTCAATCTTCAACTCGTCTGTAGCTTCAAATGATACCTTCAGCTCTCATTTAACGACCGATTCCCACCAAAGTCATGCTACGGTAAACACAGCGGGAACTAGTGGGTCTGCAGGAACCACAGAGCCATTATTTGCGAAGCTAAAACAGCTCAAAGAGAAATGGAGGTCCATCAAGAATCCGGCTTCAGATCAAACAGAAAATGAGAACAAAGTAGATTTGAAAGCACTGCAGAAAGTTGTAGGTGTTGAACCGGAGGAATATCATAATGACAACTTTGCCGCAACTAGAAGTCCTAGTCGAATTTATGCTGAGTCGAAATTGGTTTCTCAACCACCGCTCCCTCGCTTACCTGCAGATCACTCACGCAGAACCAGCAATGAAAGTAGCCCACGCGCTGATAGCCGGTTCAGTTCAAGTGCAAACGAACATTCACCTCGCTTACCACCTCTTCCTTCTAGTCCAACGTTCAGACCAGGAATGAGGTCAAGAAATGCATCTAATTCGCCTGTTAGGCGAAGACCGCCACCTTTGGGTTAGTTCAAGAAAGAGACAGAGCAACAATACAAAATATAGCAGATGCTACTAGGCAAATTATCTAGGTTGTGCAAGCTACCAACTAAGGCGGGCACATGATAAAGAGGGGGATCCATATGATGCAGGTGGAAATTATAGAATAACGGAAGTGAGAACGAATCCTCATTATTGAGGTGTGGAGGCCTTATATCAAGTTCTTTACTGAGCGGACCGGATGGTCTAAAATTGGCACACAGCGGCTATCGTCAGTCTCGTGCGGCTCTGTTCCACGATCGTCAAGCAGTTCGCCTTTCCTGCGACATTATACAACGCGCTTGAAAGCACCAGCATCTTTAGAAATGTGAAAAGTGCGCAAAGGTATGCCTAATCGCTCACAATGTGCCAAATGACTCCTTGTTAATACTTAATATACAGATTTAATGTAATGAACTCACCCTCTAAAACGCCGGCTCGTCACCGTAGTCGTCCTCGTCACCTGCGTCATCATCGCCGTCGTCGAAATACTTTTCGGCGTTGTAATCGTCGTCTTCATCACTGTCGAACTCATCGTCCATGTCTTCGACGTCATTAGTTTCCTCCTTGGCTTCAGCATTGCCCGTCTCGTCCTCGTCGTCCGCCAGGTTTTTCAATTTTTCTAACATTGACAAACCTTCGGCATCATCGTCCTTAGCTCCAGACCCTGTAAACACATCGGACCGCTTGTTGAGCTGCGAAAGAGCCAATAGCTTTTTTTGTTAATCCCCATCACTTGATAGAGCTCGTTTGGGAAGAATTCCAAATGGAACGGATGCTCATCGATCGAGACGCCGATCTTGCGTTTTTTCAGGTAGCGATCTGAGTAGCGTTCAATGCCATCGTTAAGTCCGTCTTCATCCACCAACTTCTGATGCTTGCCTTGACCGTCGACCGAAAGTGCCATGGACCCAGTGTAAAACGGACCTCCACGAACCGCGGCAACAAAGTTCATGTATTGAACAGATGTAGTTCGTTCTTTGGCCGAAATTATCCCATTGAGAGGAAGCGGTATGGTCGGAAGTTCCGTGTTCTCGTTGACGCCCACATCGTTGTAGCTAAGTCCAAACGGCAGATTCTTAGCAAACGAATTGCCGTCTCTTCCACCACGCTGGAAACTCATGATCCAAAGATGATACTTTTACAGCACGTTTCTCACAGTTCAAAGATTGCAGAACGTTTGACAAAGCTCTGTATCCTTGCTTGTAGCCCACTAGAACCCACAGCTTTGTAGCTCATCGCGATTCATTTTTTAACATACTATAAGTTAAATTTTTATATGAGCCCTTCGTCGTGAGTAGATAATTTGGTAGTGAAAAATCAATATATACAATATACATGGCACTCATACACACAACTAGCAGCTGATTGCATTGCGATCTAATCTTCCAGCAGGTCCTCGATGTCTTTATCGTCATCTAAAGAGCCCTGGTTTTTTTTGAGTTCATCGATTTTTTCTTCGAGTAGCTTATGCTGTGTCTTGACTCTCTTGCGGGTCTTGTTTCCCCAGCCAAAGGCGTTATCGCTGGCCGATTCTGCACCTTCTGGGTCCGCCACAAGGTCCTTTTGCCTTTGTTCAGCCTTGTCGGCTTGGCCTTCGCGAACCTTGCGTTCCAAATGTTTCTTGGCAAGATGTCTCTGTGCCAAATTTCTCATAAGAGCATAACCTCCAATGACAATCACTAAGCGGACAACATGTTGGAAGTCAAGGCTGGCGATCGAGTCGTAGACGTTGTGGTAGGCGTTATCTAAGAGATCCATTGTGAGTGACGGTGTCTGAGTGCTGGCACGGTTAGTGAGTTGCGCCATTTGTAATAATAATGGGAAAGCTCTTATTATCTTGAAATCCCAGTGAAGGTGATCACGTGAGCCGATGAGTTCAATGGCTATCTTTGGCCAAACGCAAGCTTTACAGTTCATCGTCATCAGAAAGCCCTTCAAACTCGTCAATGGGCTGGTACTCGGCAGAGGTCTTGACGCAGCTGGGCTTGACAAACCCACCGTAGCGAGGGTTCACAGGCCCAAACAATACGCGGCCCTCGAAAGACCCATCGTTCTTGCCACAAGGCTCGTCAAACTCCACACCACACCATGTTCCGCGATTCCTTGGGGCTGGCAGTGGTCCCAGGTACCTTAACCACCCTCTTCTTTCCGCTGGACCACCAGTCACAAGACACCGCTCGTTCACGGTGAGCTCACTGGCACAGTGTTGTTGTCGCACCAGATCCTGTTGCAGCTTCAAGCGGTACTGCGGGTCGAATTCGCCGAGCTTGGATTGTTTCTTCCACTGCAGTGCGGAATCTGCCCTCCTCTGGTAATCTTCTTCGGAAAGCTGAAACCCTGGGCCTGTTTCGTCAGTGTTCGCGAACTCCTGGGCCAATTCGCTGGCCACAGAGTTCTTGTTGTTATCTACGACCACGATCGATACGGGGGCCTTGGGCATATCTTGCTTAAGAGTTCCGGTGCGGTTTTGAGGCTTATCAACGGTTTCCTTGGAGCCGTCTTGGTATTCAATTTCTAAATGCATGTCCTCTGCCAATATACCACTCAATTCGCTCAATCTTTCGCACAAGTGACCCCAATCCCATTGTAGGCTGATTTCTCGGCTCGTCGAGCACAAACTTGATGTGATCTGTACCTGGGGCATTTGTACTTCTCCGTTTTCCAATTCTACGCGATGAGATGCAGGAACTAATAAATTCCTAAGAAACACCAATTAATTGAAATTTTTCATTTCAGAAATGAGAACAGCTTTATTTCTCGAAAAGCACACCAATAAGAGCGACTCAAACTCTCTCAATGATCGAATCCGTATGTTCCTAAGTAAGAGCTTGCTTATCTGGCTTTTCAGCCGCGAAAGCAGACTGACTTACACCTAGTTTTGGAACCTAATTTTAATTGATACCAAGCAAAGAAGAACTTAATTGACTAACTCTGTCCCATCCAGGACAAACAACAAAGCAAACGCAAATTTGAAGGTCCTAAGCGTGAGGCTATTATCAACCTATCGAAATATGCCGACTCAAAAATTAGGGTGAAGTTGATGGGTGGAAGACTTGTTATAGGTACTCTAAAAGGCTACGATCAGTTGATGAATTTAGTACTGGATGAGACCACCGAACATTTGAGGGACCCGGAGGACGATACCAAGATTTTGAAAGGCGAAACGAGAGAACTGGGGCTTGTAGTTATCAGAGGCACGATGTTGCTCACTTTGAGTCCTCTCGATGGCTCCGAAATTATTAGTGGTCCCTCTTTCGAATAGATTAGAGGGAGGTAGGAAGCACATGTGAGCATCGAGCACCTTGTACCATACTGCAACTGAGCGCGGAAAGTGAAAGGCGCTTCCTTTCATCGAGGTTTCCTCTGTAAATTATTGATTATAATGAACGAAGTATTTGAATCAGAGGCAATGCAGGTAGTATACCAAGAGTCGTTTGAGCTGAGAGAAAACACCGGCTCGCACCATCGGATATGAGCTTATCGCCCTCTGGTCACGCGCTAGCGCAATTAATAAACGGTCCTTTCTCTCACTGCTGCGCAAGCGCGAAGTTGATATTGTATAGCTGATTCAACAAGACTTAGAAGTTGTCATGAGCTACATCATCACATAGCGCTTTCCATTCCCTATGGTGAGCCCGAATACGCAGTATTGTGTCGTATATAGTGATAACAACCGAAAAGTCAATCAGCAGGTGCTCACAAGACTCAAAGGTACAGTACTACTTTGTAGCGCGATTGAAGTTCATCTTTGAGAAAATATAGGTTTCTCCAAACGGTATGGAATCAGAACAAACCTGGAATGCACGGCGTCGTTTTTATTTCGTACACAATGACCAAACTGTCAAGGAGTTAACACTTTTAGCACGATTTACTCAACTACAGCAACACGCTCCGATTTTTGATTTGTACTACATCGTACCATCAGATTTGTGTTCGTTATCCAAATGCTTCTTTCTAGTATTTTTGTCATATATCAACGACCCTTTCTTATCTCTGCTCCGACGGAGATCAGTATGACATTTTATCAGTTTTTCCGCTAACTAAAAAATTGAATATAAGTTTAGTGATGAGATGATCCTTCGATGCAATAGTAGAACTAACTACACATCAGTACAATATCCATCAAAGCTAATCTAACTCACAGGTTGGTAAACTCGCTCAACACAGAGTTAACTCAGTTAAAATTGGCAATTTTTGGATCTTGTCTCCTTTAATCAAGTTCCTTTATACAGCTGTTGAACAAAAAGTGAACGCAGTAATGTCCACTGAGCCTTTCAAAAATGTGGTCTTGCTTCCACAAACTAACCAGCTTTTGGGTCTCTACACGATAATCAGAGACCAAGATACCCGCAGACCAGATTTCATTTTTTACGCAGACAGAATCATCCGTCTGCTAGTGGAAGAAGGCCTAAACCATCTGCCAGTAACACCCCGTACGGTAGAAACTTCAACGAACCAGAAGTTCGATGGTGTGTCATTTATGGGCAAAATCTGTGGTGTTTCAATTGTCAGAGCTGGTGAGTCCATGGAACAGGGGCTTAGAGAATGCTGTCGTTCAGTGCGGATTGGCAAAATTCTAATTCAAAGAGACGAGGAAACTGCTTTGCCCAAACTTTTCTTTGAAAAACTGCCCGAAGACATCTCCGAGAGATTTGTGTTTTTGCTAGATCCTATGCTGGCCACCGGCGGTAGCGCTGCTATGGCCACTGAGGTGTTGATTAATAGAGGGGTTAAACAGGAACGAATTTTCTTCCTTAACTTGATCTGCAGCAAAGAGGGAGTTGACCTTTACCATTCGAAATTCCCAGATGTCAAGATTGTTACTGGTGCCGTTGACTCCGGACTCGACGAGAATAGATACTTGACCCCAGGTTTGGGAGACTTTGGCGATAGATATTACTGCATATAGCCGCCACTATCTAAACCGATGAGTTATTCGATATAGTGTTTTTAACTTTAAACAATAAACTTGCATTTACAGTGTTGGTTTTACATAAATCGCGAATGCACACACTGAGGATTTTCTTGCCATTCTGATTTTGTTACCCAAATCCTCTCAAAAGTCGATAGCCCCGCTAGGATTGAACCTCCAATCCACGTACTGAATTTCCTTTCAGGAGGGGCAAATATTTTAATCTTGGTATTAGGTTCGCACTTTCCTCGAAGCTCATTCAATAATCTGTCACCAAAACCGGGGAACATTGTAGTTCCTCCACTTAAAACCACGTTTGAGTACAAAGACGTCCTTAAATCGCGATCCACTCTCAAAATACTTTGATGACACATGTCTTGAACCCCATCGAACTCGGATCCTATAAGCTGTGGTTGGAACAAAATCTCTGCGGCTCTAAATTTCTCCGCTCCTATTGATAAAACTTTACCATCTGGTAATTTAAATTTGGTCAATGAATCCGAGCCATTGAGTCCACTGTATTTCTGCTCCTCACTTGCAATATTAGTAGCCACGTAACATGATTTCTCCTTGATCATACGTACAATTTCTCGTTCTGAACTTGACAAAAGTGTAACACCGGCGGATTTCCGTAGTAATAGTTGTAAGAACTCTGTAATATCTCTACCCGCCACATCAATTCGTCGTACTGCCGAAGGCAATGTGAACCCGTCGTAAACTGGAACGCTATGGCATACTCCGTCGCCGCAATCTATTACACAGCCTGTGGTTCTCCCGCCAGCGTACAGAGCCAAGACAGCCTGGATCGAAACATAAACTGCAGGAATGTTGAAAGTATCAAACAACATCTCGCACATTTTTTCCCGGTTCTCTAAAGGATTGAGCGGAGCCTCAGTGACCAACACAGGGTGATCCTCAGCACTGTTCAATTTCAAGCTGTTTTGAAATACGTGCGACCATAGAAGCTCGAGACCTTGCCAGTCCTTTACCACACCATGTTCTATTGGGTACTGTAATTTTAGCAGCCCTCGCAGTTTTTGAGCCTCGTTGCCAACCAATTGGGCATCGCTAGACAGGCCTCCCGCCATAATCTTGCTATATTTTGGTGTTCCAATTAAAGAGTACTCGAAGCATTTGGGCTTTTCCTCACCGCTAAAACCAGCTTTAACAATCCCTGAACCATTATCTAATACTATTGGTTGGTTGTACAGCCCATGCGGTTCGCTCATGAACCAGATGCAGTGTTTTGATTCTCAATTAACACATTTTAAAATAAACTTAATATTTAATCTCAGAACGGTGCACTTAAAATATTATTTACACGTAACAAAAATGTATCAACCGAGTGCTAAAATCCATCTTGACCGTTGAACCCAATGAATCCGGTCATCAAAAAGATTTTATAATACTTCTTTTTAGCGATGGCATTGGTGTGGTTCCAAGCTGAAGTCAGCCTGCCGTCTATGCACGAACCGCTCATGTAGAAGTTGTCTGCGCCCGATCCGTCGAACATGTGGGCAAAGGCATCCTGCAAAATGGTTAACTTCAAGTCCTCGGTGGAACCGTATTCTGATTCAATGTATTGTAGGAGGGCCGGATCTTCTTTAACCAGATCATTTATCTTCAGCAATGCCTGGTCGAACGGGATCAAAATGTTAGGCACCTGGGTATATTTATCGAGAAAAAATAGAGCATTAGGCACAGCGTCATCGCCCAGATGAACTACCGAGGATCCAACCCAGGTGTCGCACTTCGAGCGACACTCGTTTAGTATTTTATGCATTTCCCGGTAAAGTGCAGGACAGGCCTTGATCCGATTGAGCCCTTGCCCCGTCGATGCTAGTCTGTATTCCTGAGGGCTGTATAGGTCCTGGTCGGCAATATACCACAGATGTATCATTTCTCGTTGAATGCAAGACCACAAGGTGAGTGATTGTTGCACGTACTGCATTTGACGAAAGTGATCGTGGGTCAAACGAGCTCCATTTCTTCCGTATTGAATTCCGATTGAGTACTGAGAGGCGATGTCTGGATTCTGGAAGGCCTCAAGCCTTTCAAGCATTCTTATCACGGGCCTGCGATTCATATTGATGTATGCATTGTAATCACCTATGGAGTAAAGAACTTGACGGATATCATCTTTGCTGTAGTACTTGTTGCTGTATCTGGAGGCTAGCTTTTCGATTGCCGTTTCTTTCTGTCTGATTAGGCGGTTGATTTCGCCTCTCGCCTTGCCCACCGGGGATACTTGAGAGGTAGCATACAAGATCAGCTTATCTTCGAACAACTTTAGAGCTTGACCATCTTCTGTTCTCGAGTTTAGAAAATCATATACTGTGCTTATAGGCTTGAAAAGATGGAATTCCATGTGGTCTTCGATCTGAGGTAACCGCGAATCCATGATCATGTAACACAGTTTGCCGTAGGTGTCTCTCATTTTTTCAGGATTCATGATTTTGTAACGTCTGCCAATCTCGAAGACATCTTGAAACCACGAAGAGTTGTCAGAGAAGTTTTTCATCTCCAGCAGCTTTTTACCAATCTTCAAATTGGATGCTATGACCAACCCACACAAAACGGAGCACATTTCCTTGAGTTGCTCGACGATTCGCTTAGCCTTGGACTTGTAGGATATTATGTCAACGCGATCTGTGTATTCAGACACATGCAGAGCGGCTTCAAGAAGCCTCAAGACATGCCTCTCCTCGGATGTTAGCCTCATGGGAATATACTTGGCATGCTTTATCAACATAGCGAGCATTTTTTGATCCATAGAATTATCTGAGTTCGACATTTCACGCACATTATTTTTTTGACCAGCTTCCTCAGTATCTATACCGGCAGCCTCATTGCGAGAGTCTTGTATTTGCTGTTGTTCCTGCTCGTCTGACGCTGATGAGGGTTGCTCTAAACTTGTTTTCACGTATTCATGCTTCTTTCTACGCCCACTGCGATGAATCATTTCGAAGCAAACAACACAGTACTGTTCTTCGCAATCTCTGCAGATGATCTCTGTTTTCATGTCCTTGCAGTCTATGCAATAGTCTCGATCTACAGTTTCCTCTTCCGTGTCAAGTGTTGCCGAGTTTGTAGCGTCTTGTGCCGATTTTCCATCGTCGTCGCTATCCTCGACATACTCTGAATCTAGAATCTCTTTCAAGGTTTTCTTCGAAGCCATATTGGCTTATTATGATCTTGCTTGTCTGCCCTTTCTGAAGCACAAAAGGCGATGCGTTGCAATGAGTTCAAGAACGTTATCAGCAATTGCGCCCAGCGAAATAAAACGTAGCTTGTTAAAATAACCCCTGGTGAGATCGAGCCCGATGGAGTCTTTTACTATTCTTACCATATTTTGATATATCTATTAGAGCTCTCATCAGTTCTTCGAGAACGGTATCCAAACCGTGAAACATGACATGAATAATAAGAGTAGAATGGCGAACATTTCGGAAGGCACTCCGAACTTTGCAAGCACTCTATTTCTTCTACAAAACTGCGGCCGAGGACACAATTTTATAATCCTGTAGTTCAATTCTTTAAAACACTTAGTTCCATTTTTCAAAGCACTTAGTTCCAGTTATTATGGATTCCAGTCTGCGTCGGCCAGTTATATATCTATGTACAACAGACAAGTCAAACTTATCATGGTATTCTGGCGACAACCTCTAGACCGGCCAGCTTTAGAACAGCAGATGTGTTTAAATAAACAAGCCGGACTATTTGAAGTTACATCACTTACCACGTATGCTTAAATTAAGCTTTATCGCGAACTTACTCAAGTTCATCATATACCATGTATTTAGCGAACTGAGCAATACCACAGGCTCCCAAAGGTTCATATATCTCGCTAAATAATAGCTAATGCTGCGGAAACCAGACGAGAGGAATGCCGCTGGTCTGAGGGCAAATAAAAACCTGTGGCCGTTGATCAAATTGGCACTAAGCCTCATGCTTCTTGTGCTCATAGCGAAGAGAGCAACAGGATACTTTGGTGTAGGTATGTTGAAATCCGGCTACACTGTGTGAATTTTGAAATTCTGTACTAACAAAATGAGCTCTGATCAGATTATGGTGGTTCGTCTGTAAGGGACCTGATCTATAGAAAGTTAAGGTATCGCAATAACGTCGAAAGCGAACTGCCGATGTTTGCCGCAATTGAGTACTCACCAGAAGACGCCAATCCTCTATATGTTACACGTACCGTGGCGTTCAGTGTTTTGTCTGTCCTTCTGGCATCGGTCTTAATTCTCTAATACCTATTTTCCGGAGTATCGAGACTTAAAGCACCCAAGAATAGGAAGGAATTCGCTGTTCATTTCGTGGTCTGGTACCCCGATAATTGCGGCGATATAGTTACAACACAGTAGGGAATTCAGTTCCGCTCTTTCCACTTCCGAACCTAAAATCTGTTCGCACAGTAACAGACTCTCTGCACTGTGAAACAATACCGAGTTCTTAACAGATTTGAAAAAAAACATATCTGTACTTTTTGAATGCATTATTAGTTATATCTGGTAATTTCTGAACGCTTCTTACATTTATATTCTACCTTACATACATAAAAGCTCCAGGTTGCTGGTCCTTCATGGAAGTTTAACACCTCGCGTTTGTTTTCAGAAGTCCCACGGGACCCACTACGTAAGGTTTCACAAAGTGGTTCACGCACTTGTTCAGCACGATGCCATTCTCTATCCTTAGAGATTTTATTTTAGAAGCCTTTGGCCTTCCGGTCTTGCCATTTTCGAAAATAAAGCCCGAAATAGGTGGGTTGTTGGTCTCATAAGCAGGAGCTGAAACCGGCCGAACTATGACCTTTCCAAGCCACTCTTCATCCTCGGGAAGTGGTTTGATGCAGCGCAACGAGTCTCGAATGTATCTTCTTCTTGACATTTCTTTCCGGGGCGGATGCCATTTGACACCCTCGCTTCCATATGGAGTGCTGCTTAGGTTACTTGTCACCGACGAAGCTCTGCGCCGAAATGCGTCGCTTCGGTCCATAACATAATAGTAATCGTCCTCACTGTCGTGAAAAATACCTTCGTCCTGATAGATAGAAGACGTAGTAGTAGTTGTGTTGTGACGTATACTATCAATGTCATCATCGCCATCTTCTGCCTCATCTTCGAGCTCATGATCTTGGGAAGTCGGTGATTCTTGGTCTTCCTCGTCTTCTTCTTCTTCTTCCTCTATCACAGCTTCGCCATCTTCGTTGTGCTCACGAATTATTTCATTGAGTTCATTTAAGTCATCTTGCAAACCAACATTGTTATGAAAACCCGTCTGAGTTTGTAGCCCACCAGACCCAATTGTAACACCACCAATTGAGCACATACTTCCAGGGGAGCCCGGTGTTGTAACCGGTACATCACTGTGTTCGTGTTCTCCGCCATGCATCAATCCAAAATAGTCTTCCGATTGAGGGTTGCCGTTATTGTTCGGCATAGGCCCCATTGACTGGGAGCGTTTATCTAAAGCAGGTCTTCTGGGAGCTTCTTGTTTTCCTGGTGTGTTTGATGCAGATGCAGACGCAATTGGTGCGGAATCTTCCTCTTCGTCTTCAACAACAGAATTCAAACCTGTGACACTCATTGTTCTGTTATGAAAGCTTTTATAAGAGGAAACCCCCGCTCTCTTATCAGACCCAAAAAGGCTTTTGAGTTTAGATTTGATCGACTCATTACTGCCACGCCTGCTACTAGCGGCCGAATGCGACGAGAAAAAATCTTCAGTGCAATTTGAGTTAGCACTTGAGGTGGCAGAGTTTGATCGTTTCTTAGAGGGGGAGTAAACTTCTAAAATTGCGTTTCTTGGGGAAGCGCTTGAGCCATTTCTAGTAACACTGTTGCTCACGCTCATTGTGCCTTCGTTTCTTTTACGTCTTCTGCGTCTCCGCCTCCGCGGAACTGTTCTATAAGTGGGAAGCTCTCTAAAATCCAAATCCAGAGCAACTCCAATGCCAATGCTAAGATGTACGCCCCACATAATCATATCGTCAACGTGCGAAAAGCTCAGCATGAACTGCTCTGTTTCACACCTTAGACGTAACACAAAAGTCTTTCTATTATAATCTGTAGGGATACCAAATTTCGCGAATTGCAACGAATAACTTCTGAACAACTTCTTGTGCGCAAGGAATTTTGTTTCATCCTTTCTAATCCGTTGCGTGATGGACTCTCGATCAGATTTATTGAATTGGTAAGTGCTTTTGGAACCCAAAGAGTTGAAAATAGAATGGTGGTTATCATACTCGAGTATTGGGTCAATATTTTCACCGCCAAATTGAGACCTCCCGTTACAATAATTTTTGATACCCTTCGTCAAAAGTGGATCGATATGGTAGAAATTCAATTGCGTAGAGTTGATCTCCATAATGAAGTTCTTCCAGCCTCGAGACGGGGAGCAGTTATAAGGATCGAGCCACTCCATTTTCACTGAAACAAGTGTAATTTCTTCCACTGCAGGCGAGTAAGGAGGTAAGAATCCCGATTCTGGAGTATCGTATACAGGGAAAAAAACGCGTCTATTTGGATTAGCAGACCTATAACTTGGCGGTTTGGCAGGGTGCGGATCAACCCACTCGAGGTAGTCCTTCTCAAATGCGTAAGCTTTGTTCTGCTCTTTTTCATGCTGTTTCTTCCCAGCCATCGACGTTTCTTGCGGCTGTTTGACCGTTGTTTCGCGATGCTTTTTATCCTGACCCTCCGTGCTGTTATAATGCCCTTCTGATGAAGAGACAGACGTGCTGGAACACGAAGATTTGGTTTTCCCTATGGTGCCCATTTTTCTTGAATTGGCCACAGCACTCATTCTGAGCTCGATATCGTCCGCGATAAGCAGTTGTCAATTTCGCGCGCCAGTGGGGCAACTTTTGAGGCCTCTTCCAGCTGCTAGAAAGCTACCAAAGAGCTCTTTCTCAACTTTTAAGATACTTGAACCTTTTTTTGCTTGTTTGTTCATTGTCTGGGCTACTTGACACTATTAAAAGAGTAACACAATACGAAAATCTCATTCGAACCAACCAATTTTTAAACCTGCTTTCTCCTCGAAGCACATCCTTAACATTCGATTAGATATTACAGTGTTTATTTCGTGGGTACAATAACTTGTACTTCTTGAGTCGCGAATTTGACAATTCATTGTCTTAATGTTTATATGTGGTACGGTGAATTCCGGACTTCGAAATCTACTATTATGAATTATCTGAGTTGCAACCTCTTGACCCAAGTATCCGCTAACCTTTCTTAGTTTATATCATGACTTCTTGACTTGCTGTAGTAATTACTCACATAGTTTGGTGGGCAGGTTCGAGGAAAATTTGCTCTCTTGCGCTGGCAATACCAGCCAGCTTCTTTTTTGGCATAATACTGGGATCAACAGGCCCTCCTTTAACCATATTAGTAATGAGCTCGTAAACAATCTGGGATGCAGCCAAAGATGTAATTTCAGCGTGATCGTATGCAGGCGATACTTCTACAACGTCTGCGCCTACAATGGGTAGATCCTCCAGCTTCCGAATAATGTGGATGAGCTCACGCGTTAGCATACCGCCAACTTCAACTGTTCCGGTACCGGGAGCAGCGCTAGGATCCAAGACATCGATGTCCACACTTATATACACTGGCCTGTCTTTGGCTACCACATCCAAGATCTTCTGTGCTATCCCATCGGCACCGATCTTCAGAATCTCATCACATTCAATACGGTGGAACCCGACGTCGTCGTCTTCTTCATAGTCGTCCCAACCCGTTCCACTTAAGCGGGTCCTTAATCCCGCGTGGACGTTGGAGTCTTCCGACAACAAACCTTCTTGTTTTGCAAGCCATAGCATAGAACCATGAGTAAACTCGGATTCGTCACTGTGCCAATACGAAGGATACTTGGTGGGCGCCCAAGTGTCTAGATGTGAATCGAAATGGATGACAGAAATAGGGCCATAAACTTTGTACAGCTGGCGCAAGATAGGTAGAATGACACTGTGGTCACCACCTAATGTCACAAACCTTGGAGGCATTTCGGATTTTTGAAGCGTGCTGTTCCTGTCTAGCAAGTTTTCAAATGCAGCATCCATCATTTCCAAAGCCAGTTTATTGTCCATTGGAGTCACAGGAACGTCACCACAGTCCATAATTTTAGCCCAGTTCTGGTATGGGTTGATCCCCGCGCGAAAATTAAATCCTCTCATTGAAGTCTGTCTCTGAGAAGCTTTCCTGATAGCCTGGGGACCAAATCGGGCACCTGGTCGAAAAGTTACGGCAGTGTCAAACGGCATTCCAATAATACCAATATCGAAATCCAAGCTTTTGTCTATAAGACATCTTTCGTGCGGTAAGTGCGCATAGGTCTGGATTCCAGAGAATGGCCAATCTTGACCCCACATTTGTTCTAGGTCTTGATCATTATGCTGTACAGAACTTGCAAAGCTCCAATTAGCGCATAAGAAAGAGTAGCCGAAGTTGCGTAACTTCATATCTATCAGCTTTAATTGACAAAGATGGCTAATGAAAGACTAGCGCAAATCTCCTGAATTGTAGAAGCCGGCGTTTATTAAATTGTGAAGAATGTCAAGAACGCAACTAAACTCACTTCTTATCGTCAGGTCTTTTATTCTTAAAAGAGTGGTTATCTTAGATAACGGATACAAGTACGTATCACGCGATAGATACCAAGCTTGCCATTTGCGAACACTTTTATTGCACCTTTAGAATTCCCATGAGCTCCGCTCCACGTCTTAATTTGTTCTTCATTCATTGCATTGCCCTGTCGATTCAATTGTTGACTAATACTAGCTCACCGGGCCGTGTTGTCATTAATCTTTTGACTAATGAGTCAAAAGACGCCAACTGTGGTGCGATACAAATGCCCCATAATTCTAACAATTCCTTTGTAGCGTCTGAATCCAGTCATAAGTAAGCAAAGTGTGAAGAAGAATGTAGCAAAGCACACGTAAGTGCTAGTTCCAACTCCATAAGCAGTATAGAGAAGAACTGTGGTCATTTTGATCGCAGAGGCATATATTTTGATAATCCACGGGCCAATAGTGGCCTTTGTAGAGGCCCACCTCACCATTGGAGCAGAGTTATAAACTATGATGTTGTGAAACTTGCCCAATAAACCAAACCCACTCTTGAAAAATACAACCGACTTGCCATCTTCGCTCAAAACGTTAGAATAGCGACAGTAATTAGCAATTTCAGCAATAAAATCGTTGTCTGAAAATGTCACTTCGGTGAGCAGAATCTTGAGAACGTTGTAAACAGAAAACGGGAAAAGAATCATCATTAAAAGATGATCCAACAACAGCAAATTGCGCAAAAAGAGTCTTAAATACCTTCTTCTTTGAACGCCTGGCGGCCATCGTAAGTTTCTATCTTGCTGTAGTCTCCGTTGGACTCTTGCCCCTCCCCTGTTTTGAAGTTCCTCATATTGTTGCCCTCTTTGATTGCTATGCCCCGTCACATCAAGGCCTGGTCCTGTAGAATCTATAGTTGAGCTCCGGCTTCGTAGCTGTCCTTGACTATTTCGGCTTCGGTCCTGTAAGTTTTGTACTAGTTCGCTGATATCATCTAATTCTTCGGCTATATCATCCTCTGCAGCTCTGATCGATCTCAGGTGCAATTCGTCAGGAGTCTCGGTATCCCTTGAGCCCAAAGGCATTGTTAAATGTTTTTAATTGGCTTCCGCTTTGGAAATTTATCTGAACTTAGAAGTGTGCAGGCTATTCTTTAAATTTTGAATCTATTAATGCATTGAGATGCCTCAACCGACCTTTGAGAATTGAAGAAAGCGACAATGAGAAGTCCACCGCTCCAGTCGCTTATTATAGCGTTGGTTTTCTTCTGCAGCCACGTAGTTGCCAACACTGAATCAATCATGTTTCAAGTTCCTGATGGGTTTTCTGAAGATAAAGAAGCTTGGAGGAAGAGTGGACTGCCTATCCTGTCTTTGACAGGGTCAAACAGAGCAATAGACAAATTTGACGTTCCAGTCGATTCCCGGTACGAGGTAGAAATACAAGGAATTCACGCCGGTGATACTTACCAAGCAAAAATTTGCTGGACTGCTGCGAACCCAATCAATATCCATACAATGGGCTACATGGTCCAAAAGAGTTCCGTTTCATCAAGAGAAAAAGACTTGAGACTGATAGTTCATTTTGAAGTATCTGCTAACTCATATCCTGCTTTAAAGTATTCTACAGTTCCAATTAATGTATCAGTTGCAGCTGTTAGAATGGGAATACCGGTTGATTTATATGCTACGATACTCTACATTGCTTTATTAATGGTCGCTGTCTATTTTGTCAACAGTCGTTATGACCTATACACTCGACTTAAGACGTGTTAATGGCCGTGCATTTTACAATTCGGGGTTTAATATAAAGTCGCAGAAATACTTGAGCGCTCCGTATGCTTCTTTGCCAACAGGATTAATGTATTTGGCAGGCAACAAAAACCCGTGGTTCCCCGTGTCTCGAAGCTTTAATTGCACACCCCAATGGGCCCTGTGATGGTACATATAATCTAGAGCAGAACCTGAACCCAAGCCTGGGGTCAGGTCAGAACCACGATCTTCACAGGAAGACAGAACTTTATAATTTTTACCACTTTTGCGTCTTATAGCTTTTGCTAAACCGTAAGATAGTTCCAGTAAATTTTCTAGGTCTCTAGGAAGCGCGTCGCAAGAGTACGCATATGGATATAACACTTCTTGCGAATAGGAATGAAGATCGAGATATCCATGAATAGTATACTCACTCTTGGACTCGTTAATGTAGTTATTCCAAGACTCGGACTCTAGAGCCTCGAAAGGTGCCTCCCCGCTGTAGTCCTCGCTGCATGGGAAGTCTTGAATTCCTGTCCAATGGAAGTCAAACGAATGGTCGATGTCAATACCAAAACATCTGGGGTAATATGTTTGCTGTCTATTTTTCCGCCACAGGCGATCGTGGCTCCAGGTGTAAACGTACCCATCAGGATTGAATACTGGAACAATCAAGAAATCCAGATGATTCAAATACTTTGTTTCTCTCTTATTGGCGCCATAGCCTGTTAAAAGCTCGTAGATGAAATAGCAAGCGGTACTGACACCAATCCATTCTCTAGCGTGCACGCCTCCAGTAATGATAATAGTCTTCTTTTCTGGGTTGAGGGCTTGGTTGTTGGCACTAATATGCAATGCCTTCATATCGCGTCCTTCATAAGTTTGACCTACGAGCTCGATCTTTACCAGCTCCGGGAACGTGAGTTCCATAAGGTCAAGCCATGTATATATAGTGTCCAGGTCGCGGAATTGATCAAAGAAAATATCGTGACGGCCTTTCAGTACTGAAAAAGGATCCTGGGTTTGCAAAAGCTGTTGAACTTCTTCGAAATGCTTCTCTAAGGATTGCGCTTCAGCACTCGGGTATGTCTGGGCTATGGTATCTTTGAGATCACCAATTATCACTTCACAGCCTTCCAGTTCAGCCACTATGTTTGCCGGCACTCTTACATCCACAAACTGTGAGCTGCGGGTCCATATATCTGTTGAAACATCTTGATATTTTTGTAGTTTTAGTTTTACTTCGGTAACGTTCTTGGTGTGAAACCTGCACACTTTCTGATCCGAATAATCACTCAGAGCATTTGCCGTGGCCGTCACTCCAACTAGAAAGGTAAAAACCCCTCTCATGCTTGTGAAATGAGAGACTTTGCTGCTGCTTGTGTGTTAAAAATCCGTCGATGCCGTCTATTTGGCGATTAAGAGTGCAATAATTGAAGGACCTGCGTTTCGTTACCCACGATATAGAGTTTAGACGAAAAGTTGGCAAGTGTCTCAAAGGTAACATGAGTCGAGGATGGGTAGGAAGGAAGAAATAAGAGCCAGCTTGTTGAAAGCTGATGGGGACGTTTGTTCTCATTACAGAAGTAAATAGCGCAGAATCGTCTACAAATGTTCAATCACGTATAAAATGACTATTTATTCATGCTATGCTTCAAATGTATGTTTGGGGATGAGCGGCTGACATAGGCTCGGCTTAGGCCGATTTGTTGTATTCGACATACCAGACAAATACGACAGACAGCCAAAACTTAGTACAGCAGTGGGACCAGCTTTTTAACAAAGCGATCTGAAGTCTGAGCTTCCAAACGGCCCTAAAGCATGGGCTGACCACTAAATTCCAAAAGAGCGTGGCTGCGAGCAACATTCAACGAGGCACTGCACAAATTGTTCACAGAATATGTCCCAGTTATGGCACCCTGGTGTCATTTACGTATATAGCGACACAGTATACTTCAGTTCTTATTCGCACTTCTTGACTTCCAAATAACACTTTGAACTACTAGCATAGACCACAAGATACCGGTAGTTCTCATTCAACCTCTACACTGGTAATAATAATCATCGACACAACAAATTCTGACTTCCTAGCTCTTTCGTCCAAAAGTATCTTTTTTCGTAATTAATTCAGACAATATATATAGCAACCTTAAATCCCATTCTACATGATAAGCAATGCAAAGAGTTACACAAGTTTGAACCTCCCAGAGCACCTTTCTGCCATCTAATTCAAGTAGCCATGAGTAAAGAAAATGATTTATCGCCCACCTCGAGCAGTGTGGAGCTAAATGAGAAAGCTGACACTTCCAAAATGACGCCACAAGAGGTTAAACTGTACAAGCTGTATGGCAAATTGCCATCGAAAAAAGACCTATTCAAACACAAGCTGCAAGAGCGAAAATACTTCGATAGTGGCGATTACGCTCTGAATAAAGCGGGTGTGAAGTCTGATGATCTACAATCAGCTTCGATAAGCAATAGCCATTTGCCGGTAACGAACCCTAGCGGGCTCAGAGAGAGTATTATAAAAAGAAGACTCAGCAGCAGTGCTGGAAGCATGGATGCCCAAGAATTGCGTAGACAGGGAAGCATATCCAGTGGGCCTCCGCCAAGATCGCCCAATAAGTGATACAAACCGGACCTTGACGTCAAGGACGGATCGACTGTACAAAAGATCTACGCCGCATCGTTGACAAGAAATCCTAAGCTGCAATCAGTATTGCGTATCAGAAAATTTGCGAAGCAAGTACGTCTCGATCTCTCCCGAGTTCATAGCTGAGGAGGGTGTTAGCCTCTGTTAAAATTTTATTTTTTTTCGTTTGGATTGGTTTGGTATGTACAGTACACTAGCTCACGATGCGAGGATATAACCATTGCTTAGCCCGTTTTTTTTAGGCTCTTTGTCCGTATAGATATCTACCGAGTTTACCAAATAGCAGTAGTCCAAGGAAGTAGAAATCCATGAAATACAACATTTGCGAATAGTCTGTGACGTCGCGGTAGCACGTAATAGAGGCAATTGTTCCGATACCGAGGCAGCCCAAAAGCATTGACGGGGTGCCGTCGAAAAACATCCAAAGCACGATGTTCAGGAGGAACCAAGCTCCGCTGGCTTGCAGTGATGAACTCCATTGTATTTTCCGGATGCCAAATGCAACTCCGAGCATTGCATTCATAGAACGCAAGAACGACGCAAATGTGGTTGTTTGAACCGGATGTCCCCAGAGGGTCTCAATCAGTGGCAACAACGCCCCGAAAATGACACCTTCCAAAGCATATGCGAGCCAAGTGGGCACCATGCCAAAGCTCAACTTCCGACATATTTCCACGCCTAGCGCCAGCGGCCTGGACGCTAGCTCAGCGTGCAATTCGTGATTGTCGTGAAGTTGTTTGCTGAGCTCGTTGTAGGAGATGCCAGCCAAGCCCAGTAGGGCAAGCGAAAACAGTACATGCGTAGTCTTTTGAACCACAGAGCGGTTTTCAGAGCTTCTATGAGTCCAGTTTCTTGGGAACCGACCCACAGATTTCTTGGCTTCTTCGTAGACCTCGTTATCTTCGCTGTTGGTGATGTCAGCGTCGTAAATTCCGTACAACTGTGGTCGCGTCAGACTGCTGATCGACTCAGTGCTACGACTGTAGCGACCATTGGCCATGTTTCCCGCTTTTTTAGCCATTGTTGAAGCTGGAGAGACCCTGGATTACTGTCTTTACGATAATTTAGAAGTATTTGAATGAACTACATTTCAACAGTAAATTAAAAATTCAATTAAGCGAAACCTCGATACTCGTACAACTTTTCGAAGGAAGGCGTGAAAATTCATCAAAACACGAGTTTCAAGACCGCAGATAAGCAGGTGATTGAAGTCTAGCATAGTGAGTGCTCTGAATCTCTCTTGTGTGAGTAGTTTGATAGAGAAGACATTACCGTTAAGTATAATCAAGTTGATTAATGCAACTGGGTATTGAGGATGTATTATGGTGGTGATTCAGAAAAATGCACACATTAATCAAGTGGCAGTGATGCAACGGAAACCTAAGCGGGAATACGCGTTGGCGATTCTGAAGGACATAGCGCATCAGGTATCGCTTTTGATGCGAGAAAACAAGTTCAAAGTAGGTCAGCTGGTGGAGTTTTACCCTAAGAACAAGCAGCTTCTGGGGATGAACGTGAATGGCGGTGCCAAGATAATGCTGCGACTACGACAGCCGTTTGACGAGGACCAGTTTCTGGCTCGTGAACAGATCTTAGGCACTATGCTGCACGAGTTGACGCATAACTTACACGGCCCGCACAATGCTATTTTTTACAAGAAACTGGATGAGCTGATGGCACGCCAGTGGGTCATCGAGCAGCGTGGGCTCTTTGACGGATTTATAGGGCGTGGGCGTAAATTGGGGGTACAACCTAAGGCCAAGATCCCACCTCAAAGACTGGGAGGAAATGTGCTCAACGGTGGATCAAGACTGGTCCCAGGGCGCAAATCCGCGAAAGAAATGGCCTCGGAAGCAGCCGAGAAACGCGCCAAAGATGCCCAGTGGTGTGGCAGGTCCAAAGTGGACGAGGAGCCCGCGGTACAGGAACTGGCATTCATCGAAATCGACAGTGAATGCGAGGAAGTGGAGCAAAGAGTCAGCAGTGAACAAGTCACTCACAATGCAGACGCTGGACAACAAAATACCACTCAATGTTGGTCAAGTACAGCGGAAGGTCCGCATCCAGATGGTGATAACAGCGATGCCGCACAAGAGCCCGAGGTAATAGACTTGACCTAGGTCAGACCTCTTCAGGAGCCCACAGAGGGATGATAGTTGTCGTTACAGTATGCTCGTCTCTAGTGACATAACATATTTCCAACTTAATGAACTAATCAGACACGACCAGGACATAAAAAGACTAGCCTGGAGACCGGTACATTCTGGTTGTACGCATGCGGTTCAGCGATGCCTTGTTAAACGTTGTCGTTTGACCTTTGTAGCTATATCACCATTCACGAATAGGATCGAATTCGACGGAATATCATAGCACTGACATTAACAGACAGCATTACAAATGGGATGCTGGAAGGGGAATGTGAGAGCAGTAGCAACGCCACCCAGGACATGTATAAAGGGCTTGGTCAAGTAGTGTTTTGACGGGTTACACAAGATATTAGATTTGATAGAGAGTGTCGAGATTGCCAAATTTTGATTTAGGAAAAGCACACGATGACCAACATGGAAACCGGCATGCTGGACGTGGGGACCCATTGCGCATTCTGCAGACAACTAGACTTCCTGCCGTTCCATTGCAAGCACTGCGACGGCGATTTTTGCGGGACCCACAGGACCCCTCAAACACATCGATGCAAGAAATGGCGAGAAAGCGACCAGGAACAGGACGAAGACCGCGAACCAGGAAAAGCTCCCACCAACAGTAACGGCAAGTATTTTGCGTCTCTGCTGCCCGAAAAAGGTCACGTACGAGTGCAGCAAGCCTCACAACCGAAGCCGCAGGCTCCTCTGGCCAATCTCAGCGTCCGCGACCGTCTCGAGGCCGCAGGACAGGGCAGTGCGCTCGCAAAGCTCAAGTCGTTTTTTGGACGTCGAACTGCCAAGTCGCAGTCCACTTCCCGAAGATCCGCGAAATCTGGACCTGCCCAAAGGCTCATTGAAATCGCCCAGCTCAAAAAGACTGCCAAGGGCGATCCCAACATCCCTCTACCCAACCGGGTCTACGTCTACTGTTACGTGGTCGAGTCCCGCGACGAGAATCTACGGCACGAGCTCTTTGTGAACAAACTCTGGCCCGTTGGCCGTGCTCTTGACTCCATAGCTCATCTGCTTGATGTGCCCAACAAAAATGCCCAAGATCTGTCATCCACCGGTGACAAATTATTTCTCTACCGCGATAACAATGGCATGCCGCATCCGTTGGATCCGTCTAGCAGGGTTGTATCCGCTATCAATGATGTTGACGTGTTGTTCTTGGTACGTGGCCAGCAGTTTCCCAAATCTTCCATCGCTAGCTCGGTATAACAACGAAACTTTAATTTGTAATATTTTTATTAGTAAAGAGCAAACCGTCAGGAACCACTTTGCTATTGAAAAAGTATATAAGAAGGGAACTCATCCGCCCTTATAATGTTGAAAATAAGCAGTCTCCAGTATCACTAGGAAATTCCATCTCTACATCGCTAGAGACTAATATCCATATCTGACGAAAACCAAGTCTAACGAAAATTACAATGAGTGAAAAAGTGCTAGTTACCGGATGCAACGGATTCGTTGCACTCCATGTTTTGGACGTTTTGTTGTCCGAAAACTTCCATGTTGTTGGGACTGTGCGTTCCGAAAGCAAGGGCGCCAGGGTCAAGGAATCGTTTGCCAGCTTGTATCCCAAAGGAAAGCTAGATATTGAAGTGGTGGAAGACATTACCAAGGCCGGGAGTTTCGACGCTGTCTTCCAGAAATATCCCGATTTGCAACATGTCGTGCACATGGCAGCAAACTTCTCGTTCGGTTCGGACAAGAGCACCGAGGAAACGTATCTAATCCCAGCCACCAAGGGTACGACGAACATTCTGCAAGCCATACTGGCATCAGGCAAAAACGTCAAAACTTTTGTGCAGACATCGTCATTTGCGTCGATCATGAACATGGAGAAGGCTGGAGACAGTTCGTTCGTGCACACCGAGGCGACCTGGAACCCAATCACCTGGGACAAGGCCAAGGACAACCAATACAGCTCGTACATCGCATCCAAGAAGCTTGCGGAGGTCGCAGCCTGGGACTTTGTGAAGGAAAACAAGAAGGACGTCAAGTTCACGGTCACCACCGTTTGTCCCCCATTCATCTTGGGCCCACAGATGTTCGACTGGGCTTTGGAGTCTGACTCGTTGAACACGTCTGCTGAGATTGTCAACAACGCTTTAAAATCTACTCCTGACTTTAAGGGACCCTTTGACGAGCCCAGCGGTTTGTCTTGTGACGTTCGCGACGTTGCCTCTCTCCACATGCTACCTCTCCGTAACAAAGAACTAGCTGGCCAAAGACTGTTCCCAGTGAACGGTGTCGGCAAAGATTCCGAGAACCAAGACGGCAAATTCAACTTGCAACGCATACTGAACGTTTTGAACGCAAAGATCCCAGAGCTCCAAGGAAAGATTTCGGCCGGCAATATCAAGGACAACAAGCCTTACATGGACAAGCTTTTGAACTACAACTGCGAATTGACCGCCAAACTTTCAGGTGTTCAGTTCAAGACTTTTGAGCAAACTATTTGTGACGGAGCCAAGCAAATCTTGGACTTTCGCGCTGCTCACAATTAGGCCAATGAATTGTATAGAGTTCGTAGGATATTCAATGATATAAAGACACATTCTAGTCTTAAAATTTCCAAGTTTATACGATCGCTCGAGGAAATTGGGGCCCGAAAGCAAATGTCCATCTCAAAATGTGATTCTGAGTAGGCAAGCACTCGTGTATTTCAAATATCGGTTTTCGAATTAAGTTAACCTAAGTTTACAAAATACATCAATCGCTTGGACTGGCTGCTCTATTCAGTTCAGTTGATCTCATGAAGGCTATTAAAGTCATGAGTTGTTTAAAAAAAAGCTCAGCAACATCCCAACTTCGAGAAAAAACCTTTGCCAGATGTTAAGGAATGTCCATCTGCAGCTGCCGCTTTACCAGATGGATGGGCATTCTGTTTTACAACAGGTTGTGGTTGGGCACCGTACTGGTTGGGCGTCTGCTGTACGGCATGCTGATTATAGCCGTGAACACGGCTTTGTTGTTGAGTCTTCTGTTGCTGTTGTGCGTACTTTTGCTGAGTCTGTTGTTGATAAGCTTCGTACGACGTTGGATCGAGTCTGTTCTGCTGCAAAGCCTGTTGCTGTTGCTGCTGTTGCTGCTGTTGCTGTTGCTGTAGTTGTTGTTGTTGTTGTTGTTGTTGTTGTAATTGTTGCTGTTGTAATTGTTGTTGCTGCTGCTGCTGCTGTTGCAATTGCTGTTGCTGTTGTTGTTGCTGTAGCAATTGCTGTTGTTGGTAGCGCAATTGTTGTTGAGGGTCGGCTGTTTGTCCTTGAGTGTACTTGTTTCTGTGTCTTCTATTTTTGTCGTTAGGTGGGTTTGGATGGCCGTAACCGTGTAAGTTAGGTTTCTTGTTGATATTCAAATCCCAACCACGTCCACCATTCAACTTCATCCAATCGTATTCACCATCTGCTTCTGTGCCCATGTCGTCTAAAATTGATAGGAAAAGCTTTCTATATCCTTCGTAATCTGGAGTTTCTTCGAAAGCCAAGTTTCTCACAACTTCCAAATAGCGACCGAATTGAACTGGCAATCCTTGAGCAAGGTCATAGACGTTTGTGACCCTTTTCTTTTCGCCAATCTTTTCGTATTTCTGTTTGTTGTTGGGCGCTTTCAAACCTTGCCAAGGCAATTGGCCTCTCAAGAAGTAGAAAAATACATGACCCATTGCTTCCATATCGTCTCTACGAGATTGTTCGCGTCCCAAATGCGTGTTGATCGACATGTAACGAGCAGTACCGCTTAGGGATTTCTTCTCGCGATATGGAATGTGCTGTTTTGTCTTAGGATCCCGATACTGTTTTGCCATTCCGAAATCGATAAGGTGCACTTTGTTTTCGTCTACAGTAGCGGGACGTCCGATCAGGAAGTTGTCGGGCTTGATATCGCGGTAAATTAAGTCGTGTGCATGTAGATCTTCGATCAACGTGATCATTTGCACCGCAACCTGGACCACGGTCTTCACAGAAAATCTGCGACCGCACCAGTCAAAGAGGTCTTCAAGCGAGGGTCCCAACAAATCAATAACGAGGATGTTGTGGAGGCCTTCTTGCCCAAAATAATAGGCCTGCGGGATGCCGGAAGTTCCGGCTAAGATCTTGTACGTGCGATATTCGTCCTTGAGCTGCGGAGCCTCAGACTTGCGGGGCTCGAACTTGATAGCCACTGGGACACCGTTGATCATGTTGGTTCCTTCAAATAAAACACCGAACGAACCTTCACCGATTTTCTTGCCAATACGATAGTGTAGACCAACAATGGTCGAATCGTCCCGGGCGCTCGACGACGCCGAGGATCCCAGCTGGTGCTGCGAGGCCGAAGTACTGTTCATAATGAGTTATTGATGACGGTAGGATTCCAACGCGAGCGTGTATCTCTTAACCTGCCTCCAATAATGTACTACAACGAGGCTACTTTTTGTGTTCAAACACAGAAGGCAATTTGTAAAAGCTTTTGTTTGTTTTGTCGGTATCGAACACTTCGATTTGACGACCCACTCAATCCAAGAGCTATTGGCAGTTCCAGCTCCAACTCTCTGGTCTCGAATTCACAAAAAGAAGCCCTTAGTCTTTGTTTTGTGTTAAGAACCCACTAAAAATGCAGGACTTCGAATAAATTTATCACTTATCCGTCGATAATGTCGGTGTGGGTAAAATATGGCCACAGAATTTTGACAAGCCTTTCTCTTTCGACAGTTTATGTGGAAAATCTGGAAACGAGCGTGAGAAAAAAAAAAAAAATTGTAGGTAGCGAGCGTGTGAGTAAAAGGGACGGTGACACGCAGAAGTGAATTGTTTCGATTGCGAAGGGGAAGTACTTCGAGGCGAGATCGGAAAGATGAAAGCCTTTTGGGGAAACGTCTGAATTTCAAGATTTTCGCAAATTCAAAGAAGTTTTGATTTTCCCTCGGTGCTTTAGGAATTCTCCTCGTAGCGGTGTTTTCGGGCTTTCAAATTGCTCAGCTAGGGATACCTATTTTATTGTGCGCCTGTGCTAAACTTTTGTTAACGGTTGACTTTTAATGGCAATGTTGGCGGAGAGCGCGATTTGCGTATGGTATAGTCATGTTCCTATTTGATATTAGGCGTAGTCTTTAGCTCGTGATCTGGCCGAGCAAATTCAATCACGGCTTTTTACGCTCGTCGCGCCGCGGAGGAAGTAAACAAATAGCCGAATAAGCTCCGATGGCGAATGATGCTGGATCTTCGTCGAAAGAGACGGTGCGAGAAAGGTTGAACACCTGTCGAGAAACTTCAGTGCGCCTGTCTTGCGTAAGTCGTAGAACATCCTATAAAATGGTGGAGTATTTCCGGGAGAAGGTTCTGAGCTGAGTAACGCCTTCCGCCTGCCAACATGGCCTTGTCTGTCTCACTTATCGATAAACAATGACAATTTGTATGTGTTTCTTGAGCTCTTCAGTTCCCTTGATAATTCCTCGCTGGAATAGCTAGCGATGCTTCTTGAATGTTCAGTATGTGCCTCGCTCTCTTGACTAAAGTCGTTTCTTTATACAAACCGATTGAAACCTTGGGACGATAAAAAACGGCACGTTTAATTCACTCAGCCCACTAGCGCATCTCTTCCATCCAAACTGCCTGTTTGCTCGGTATTTATACAGCTTAACAGCCGCTAAATGAAACAGATTAGTAGCGAGCCCCTTGCTCTTCTAATCACGAACTTCGAGTCGTATACTTACATGTTTCCACCTATAATCCCTCGCACAGCATACCTCACCTACCTCCAATCAAATGGTGCAGATTCGGAGTGAACTGAACACTTCCATTCTCTCAGCTCTGTTGTTCAAGTGGTGAGTCTAAAGATTGCCGCCGAGCATATTTGTTAACGGATATATGTCACTTAGTACGTAACAATACTACAGAATCCAGCAGCGAGTCGTGAGGGACATCGCAGAGCCACAACGCCCTTCTGCCGTCTCAAATCCGTCACTTGGAGTGCTAAAATCAACAAGAAACTTTCTCCGAATCTTCTCCAGAGCTTCTCCATCACTGCCTACGTGTCAGTAACTTCTGTATCTACAACTGTAACTCTGAGTCACCTCGAGTTCTTTCGAATTGATAAGGTCTTTCTTATACCATGTCTTTCCCCGCTAAGTGCTGCAAAAACTGCCGCTAAAACTTCAACTCTCACGGTCATTGTCCAAGAAATTGTGAACAGAGAAAGCACGCCAGGCCATTACTAACGATTCTACTCTCGACAATAGCATTGTGCTTGGCCTTCTATTGCACAAATCACAAGGTTTTCATTCGTAATGCCTTAATTCCAGCAAGTTTACATTTTGTTATCTCGCTAACCGCTAAATTTGATGATTACACTGTTTTTATGAACATCTCCATTTCTTTTTTTTTTTCTTGGCTCATCGCTTACTTCCCTGCATTAGATCTCGACCATAAGTAAAAGTATAAATCTGTAGGCTTATTCACAACAAAGACTGGAGTGATAGCCAAGTTTATCGTCGTCATCCATATTACCAACAGACTAAAACAGTGGAAAAATGGCAGTGTACGAGTGTAACGATACTATGCGCAACTTTTTGCGCGACCTACCCAAGTGTGAACACCATTTGCATCTGGAAGGTACCTTGGAGCCTGACTTATTGTATCCGTTAGCACAGAGAAATAACGTGAAGCTGCCCGAACAGTTCCCAAAGACTGTAGCGGAGCTGGAGGAGAGATACTCCAGATTCAAAGACTTGCAAGACTTTCTGGACTTCTACTACATCGGGTGCGAAGTGCTGCTTAAGGAAGAAGACTTCTTCGACTTGGCCTGGGCTTATTTCACGCGCGCTCACTCGCAAGGCTTGAAGCATGCTGAGGTGTTTTTCGATCCCCAGAGTCACACTGCGCGCGGCGTCTCCATCGAAACTGTCGTGGGCGGGTTCCAAAGGGCTTGCGTGAAAGCTCGTTTGGAATTGCAAATCTCGTCGAAGCTCATCATGTGTTTGCTACGCCACACCCCAGTCGAGGAATGCATGGCTACTTTGGAGAGCTCGCGTGTATTGTTCGAGACCAAACAGCTGCACGCACTAGGGCTAGATTCCGCAGAAAAGCCATTTCCCCCAGAGATTTTCACCGAATGTTACGAGAAAGCCAGTGAGTTTCACCCGGACATCAAGCTCACAGCCCACGCTGGTGAGGAAGGAGATGCCAGCTATGTCACAAACTCTCTAGACCTGTTGAGAGTTACGCGTATTGATCACGGTGTGAATTCGGTTCAAGATCCAGAGCTCATGGAGCGCTTGGCCCGCGAGAAAGTCATGTTGACAGTGTGCCCATTGTCTAATGTCAAACTACAAGTGGTCAAAGATGTTCGCGAAATTCCATTGAACAAACTTCTGGATGCAGGCGTTCCGTTTTCGTTAAACTCGGATGATCCTGCTTATTTCGGTGGCTACATTTTGGACAACTACGTCGCAGTGCATAGCAGATTTAACTGGAGCTTGGAAATTTGGCAGAAAGTGGTGCTTCAATCCATTGAAGGTTCGTGGTGTGATGATAAGCGCAAGAACGAATTGTCAGATGAACTTTCAGCGGTTGTGAAGAAATATAAGAATCTTGTATAGAGAGGGAGATTGAAAACAGAAATCGTGTAGGTAGAGAACTCAGATAGAATAATGCAAAAATGTCATTCATGGCTAGTCCAACTTTTTTTTCAATTAAACTTGAAAGCTAATTCAATGAATAGGTGTACTCAGCACGATTTGGATCGGTATTCGAACTGAAGTGCACTTTGATTGGGACAAAAATATGCCGATACCCAGTGGAAGCAGTAGCTCACATCTTGAGATGCTGCTGGTCAACTACCTCTAGCGATACGATTGTCACCTTGCACCATATTAATTCGTATATGATCGTAGTTCAATTATTATATAGTATCCGCAATTGCGCGATCAGCTTGCTGTACATGTTTTATTTATCGAGCGCTCGCCTGCGAAACGCTTCCCGTCAAGACGAAAAAAGGCCTACGCCTCTTCGTCCGACGAATCTTCGAACATATCCTCTGTAAGCATCGAATCGCGCATCCAGAACTCATCCACCATGCGCTCAATATGCTGCTGCTGCTGTGGCGACAATGACTGGTTCAACACGTTGTTGAACTGAGAGAGGGTCCTGACGTTGTTGGCGAGCTTTGGTGCAACACGCGGGTCACGTGCGCGTGCGTTTCGACTCGTTTCTGCGTGCGCTACCACTGGTCGCAGGCTTTGCGATGGCAGGGCCACGCTGGTAGCGTACAAGGTCTCCGTATCGTCGTCCATCAAGGCGCCGTCATTATCGTTGAGCGTCTCTGAATCTTCGACGCTCGAGACAGGCACCTGATGCTGCTGTGACTGCAGCTGTAGAGATGCATCACGTGGGACGAACAACCCATCGAAATCCGTTTGAGTCCAGGATGGCGCTCCTGCGTCTCTAATATTACTACCATTGGCGCCCGTAGTCATACCGGGTTGTCTTGTGAGTGGCGAGCTGAACTGGAACAACAATTCTGGGTCTTCAGTACCAAATCTATAATCCACCGAAGTCATGTAGCTCGTTTTTTAATAATCGAGATCCTTGTGGTCTAAAGAAAATTCTCATTCACACGTTAGAGCTGGCTTAGTTTGCTGAGATTCCACTTCTGTCCTTATATATACTACAGATTTCGACACCAATACGCACGTTTTTCAAATTTGTGTAGTTTAGCATTTTACGCCCTGCTAATTTAGCACCCTGACTATCTGCCACGTGTGGGGAGAATGATGGAAAATAAAGCTTCTGCATATCATCAACGGAAGAAAACGAAAATGGCACTGTGTTGTCAAACGCGAGCATTAAGAGGGCATGCATTCAATTCGAGGCAAATTGTCGAGATTATGTTAGTGGAAAGAGATAAGATTGGCAAGGAAGATGGAATGTGAGGTGGATATGCAGAGTTGCCAGAAGTAAAATGAGTAGAGGACAGGTTAGGAATCTGAGAGATAGGCTTGAAAGAAACGACAAGGTCTTGGAAGACATGGTCTTGAGTCCTCTGGCCGAAATTAATGTGTTTGGGGAGAGATGGGGCATAGTCGGAGCCGTAGACTAGAAAGTAGCGCAGGGTCTTGAAATGCGCCGTAGTATTTACATGGGAAATTAGATAATGAGGCGTTTCGGTGCCGTTGAGGCGCAGTCAAATATCCGCCTCTATACGGGCCACTGGGTGCTTAGCATCATAAAAAGTTTCTAGTTCCTCCATAACTGCGGAGATGGCGCAAGTCCTCTGAAGATGACAAACGCTGGGATGTGAGTGATGATAGTGCTCGGTTGACTGATGACACAATGGTACAAAGTGATATGAGCAAAACAAAGCGCTAAGACCTTCACCGAAGAGCCGGACCTTACTGGCGGCTTGCCGGTGCACAAAGCAGCGCTTCGTTCACCTCCCTTTCTCATTTGCATTTCAGAAACTGTATAAACCGCGAGGCGGTTGTAAAGGTTTGTAGTAAGCAGAGAGCATTGAGTTCGAGATTTCTTCGTGAGCTATATACCATCGGTGTGTTTTGAGATATCCCCACTCCTCATCTACGACTCAATTGTGGGACAGCTTGAAGAACATTTGCAAGCTTGCTATTGATATACCAAACCCGCCTTGTTAGAAAGAGGCAAACAGAACATTTGCAAGCTCTCCTCGCTGGATCACTCGCTTCGATTGTCACGGAAGACCAAAACAGATATGCAAGCTTTCTGTCGCCGGGCCAGACTAAAAAAGGTATGCAAGAGCTGAACAGATTTTTAGCAAGCTTTTTTGCCCCGTCAGCCAGACCTAAACAAGAATGTCACAAAGCTTTCTGGCCTCAACTCTCGTGTCAGTATAGTACAAAACGACACATACATATGATATGTAGGCTATATTATTTCTGCGGCCCTCAAGCGAGTTTGCAGCAAAAATTACCATACGGAGTGCAAATATGCCATAAGGCGGTGTCGTTCTGTTCCGATCAAAAATACGTCATATCTTCACACGAGCACATCCACCACCTCCGTAGAGACTCTTACAAAGGATAAAAGGCCCATGAAACTTACTTTAACCTCCCGCACATAGCCGATATGAACCAGTCATAGCAAAAGGTGCCACATTTTTACAGAGCCCGTGCCAAGACCACTGAGCCACCCAATAGCCCCTCCCTTACCAATTGCTACTCTTTTCTAGTCACTTGACACGTACATCAGTCCTGAAATTTCTCAAAAACAACAACCACGACAAGGGTAATGAAGTCTCTCGAAATCCCCACCGCTCTTCCGCTCCCATAACCACAAATCCGAACACATAAGCTTCGCACTGTTTGCTTCACACTCAGGGTCCAGACCCCGCATCACTACACACGGAATAGATGTTCCGCTATGTTGATTTTTTTCCCCACATCATTGTGATGGTGATGAAGCGATGGCCCGGTTACCATTATTGAAGGTGAATGAGGTTCAAGGGGTATAAAAGGAGAACAGAACCACGGCGCTTAAAGCGGTAAACCAAGGACACAATCGCATAAGAAAGCTCATAAGGAAGCCATTGTCACTGTGAAACATAATATTCGAAAGCACCTGGGTGTTGATAAGAGTGTTAAGTACTATTTCATAGCTTTTTACAGTATAATAGCGTATTTAGACACGCGCTTTCTCACACTTCCCCACACAGAATACCGGAATTCAAGAAAATGAGCGGCTCGCTATTGCGCAAGATAACGCGTCAAATATCGCCTCACCACAATCCAGAGGGAATCACGTTTGGAAAGTCTAAGACATCGTTGGAGAAATCTCGAACCTCTGCGAAACCGATTTCCGCAGCAGAATTATACGCCGCGACGCTGGTGACAAAACTCACGGACGAGCTCAAATATGAGGTGGAGCATGTCGAAAAAACAGCAATACTGCCTGTGGCGCCCAAACGTGAGAAAAAACAGGACAAGAAGGCCGAACCGGCCAAACAACGCTCCAAGGCGCGCCTGACGGGCGCCCGCGTTGCTGAATTGGTGGAGGCCGCTGGTGCTATGCCAGAAGGTATGTTCAATTGTTACTAACACATCGAAGCAGAGAGAGAGAGAGAAAGAAAGAGAGAGAGAGAATATATTCCGACCTATTGCAAGATCCAAGTGCGCGCTGTGAGTACCCATCCACCACAAGTACATTGGTACTCGTACTCCTACTTTGGATTTTTTTCCCCCCTCACGAGTACTTTGCGCATTCGGCCCGTCTCAACACCACCTCGTGAGACCCTCGTCACTAAGTGCCGTATCCCACTCACACACGGCCACTCCCTTGACCAGCGTCTTCCGGCTTCCACTGCCGGAGAAACGGGCCATACTCGTTTCAGTTCTCACTTATTGCAGTTAAGGGCCACAAAGGTCGCGTGGGATCCGGGAAAATTTTGTGGGAGAAGGACACGCGCACTCGCACACTACGGATTCAGAAGAGATACTCAAGTTGAACGGGCCCCTAGGACACACCGAATTCTGGATTTTTGCAACAAATATAAGTCACAGAGAGTGATTGAAGGCTCAGGTCCAATTATCGGAATAGAATTGTTACAGAAAGTCAGTCGACGTTTTCTTGAGAGCAGCTGACGAAAAACTGATAGCCCAAATCGTCGCCTAATTTTGAAACAAACCCTGTGTGACACACCGTGGTTTATATGTTGTTGATCGGCAAAAGGGTAATATTTTTCCAGAGCCTTCAATAACAGCTAATCCTAGATTCGCACTAGACTTTGTGGTTTGCCGAGCCGAGTGTGAGTTGTGAGTGTGAGCGAGTGTAAGCGTGTGTGTCTGTTTCGGTTTCTGTGTGTTGTGCGTGCTGACAGGGCTCCCTTCTTTTGTTTTCTCGTACGTGTGTGCCTCCAGCAGCGGGTGTCTCAGATTTGTCCCGCTATCGAAGTGCCCTTGCACACCATTGACTCTCGTCGTTTCCCCCTCGTTCTCTCTGCATGGAAATCCAAGCAATCACTAACGGCGGTTTAGTCCACAAACAGGTCTTTCTTGGCCACCCCAGTAATGCGAGCGGATCCCAGGACCGTGAAGAAGACTCCGTCTCGATATCGTACCCTGCCACAGAAGTGGTAGGCCATGGTTCGTTCGGCGTTGTTTTCACTACCCAGATTAACGAAACTGGCCATCGCGTCGCCATCAAAAAAGTGCTTCAAGATCGAAGGTTCAAGAATCGAGAACTCGAAATCATGAAACAGCTAATCCATCCGCAAGTTGTGGACCTCAAATACTACTTCTATGAGACTGACCCTCAAGGGGAAGTGTATCTGAATCTGATTCTCGAATATATGCCGCAATCGCTATACCAGCGACTGCGTCATTTCGTCACGCAACGCTCCAACATGCCGCGTATTGAGATCAAATTCTACATTTATCAATTGGCAAAGTGTCTCAATTACTTGCACACCCATGCTAAAGTATGCCATCGCGACATCAAACCCCAAAACCTATTAGTGGACCCACAGACATTTGCGCTCAAACTTTGCGATTTCGGTAGTGCCAAACAACTCAAGCCCTCAGAGCCCAATGTGTCCTACATTTGCTCACGCTACTACAGAGCCCCGGAGTTGATCTTCGGCGCCACCAACTACACTGTGCAGATCGACATTTGGTCCAGTGGATGTGTGATGGCCGAGTTGATCTTGGGCCAACCAATGTTTCCAGGAGAAAGTGGTATAGACCAGCTGGTTGAGATCATCAAGATTTTGGGAACGCCTACAAAGCAAGAAATATGCTCCATGAATCCCAACTACATGGAACATAAGTTTCCACAGATCCGTCCGATCCCACTAGCTAAAGTGTTTAAGCGCGAGGACGACGAAACCATACAATTTCTGTCCGACATGCTACGATACGATCCAACCGAGAGATTTAATGCTTTACAGTGTTTATGCTCTCCGTACTTCGACGAATTGCGGCAAACTGACGGCCAGGATCCAGAAGTGGCATCTGTGGTGCAAAATCTAAACCTCATGGATTTCAGTGATCAGCTAGAGTTTGACTCTCTAACCTTAGAGGAAAGTCAAGCGGTCAAACAACGGCTTCTGTCGTGATTGCCTCCATCAATTCTGAAAGTGATAAAGTATTCTCCATCACTTTTTAATGACGTCCACGAACAATGAACCCTTCATGACAGTATCGCATACCACACAAGTTTTTGCATCGCTTTTGACTGCCCCCTCAATGCACATGCCCGGTAACGATCTGGAAAAAAGATATGTAAAAATAGCGTCCACCTCACAGCTACTTAATGAAGCAACTAAAGTTGCATCAAAAGAATGAGCAAATCAACTACAGCTGTAGTTGCCGTTGCTGTTTACATACTTCAAAAAGGCATAACAAAAGTAAGGTCATCTGCGCTGTAACATTTAAAAACTTTGTACTCTGGAGATATTCTAAAACTATCATTACTAGGATACCGAGACCTAAATCAACATCAATCAGCCTGACTCCGAGCCGCATTCATGTACGCACAGATTAATTTTTCATTATGATTCGACCGTTTATGGTGATATCATCGGTTTTTAGCATCTTCTATAATAGCATATTTAAGAACTCTGCAGATGCCGTACTTTTGATCCTCAAACCTAGTGAACGAAAAGATCATATCGGGACCGTAGAATTGACAACGAAGCTTCTAAAGTGTAACGTCTACCACTGGAAAGTTCCCCTTTTCGTTTTCGCGTTTTAGCACTGGCATTGATTGTCTCTCAGTATCTGAAACCTTTCCCGCAAAGCATTCCACTGTCTTTTTCGCAGCTTTCAATAACTTGAGACCATCAAGGCTACCTAGCTTGTTTCTTCGGTACCCACATATTTCTGGAGAACTTAGGTAACTGCTATGGCCATAAACTATGTTTATCAATGTGCGCTGCCGCCGGAAATCACGTTGGGCCATTATATACTTCACAGACTTCGGCAATTAGGCATTCACACAATATTTGGACTACCCGGTGAGTTCAACATGCCGCTACTAGACAAAATATACACAATTCCCCAAATGGTTTGGGCTGGCAACACTAACGAGTTGAACGCTGCATATGCCGCCGATGGGTATTCTCGAATCAAACGACTTGGCTGTTTGGTGACAACTTTTGGAGTGGGTGAGCTGTCTGCTATCAATGGTGTCGCCGGTTCTTTTGCAGAGCATGTCGGACTCATACATATCGTTGGAATGCCTCCAATTTCCGCTCAAGTTAGACAGTTGCTGTTGCATCACACTTTGGGCAACGGTGACTTCAAGGTTTTCTACAGGCTAGCTAGCGATGTGGCTGCATACACGTCCATTTTGAACGACATGGAGACGCTTGCTTCGGAGGTGGATAAATGTTTGACCATCGCATTCACAAAACAACGTCCCGTTTATCTAGGAATTCCGGTAAACATGGTAGATGTGATTTTGAGCTCTTCTCTACTTAATTTTCCTCTAAACCTTGACATTCAAAACCGAAATGTAGAAGTCGAAGAAGAATTTGTCGCCGCGGTGCTGAGCGCCATGTATAAGAGTCAGAATCCCGCAATTATTGTAGACGCTTGCGTTACAAGACATGGTCTGATAGAAGAAACGAAACAGTTGGTAGAGCGTACCCCATTTCCGGTCTTTTGCACCCCAATGGGGAAAGGTGCACTAGACGAGCAGCATCCCCATTTTGGTGGTACTTTCGTTGGCTCGATGTCATCTCCACAGGTACGAGAAGTTGTAGATTTTAGCGATTTCATTTTAGTGGTGGGTGCCTTACTATCAGACTTCAATACAAGCTCATTCCATTTCGCATACAGAGCAAAGAACACCGTATTGCTGTTTTCCAATCACGCAAAACTCAAGAATGCAGTGTACCCAGACCTGGAACTGAAAGTAGCATTGAATTTAATTCTAGCAAGGCTAGATTCTTCCAAGATTCGATATCGGCCTCAAAAAATTTCTGACGTTATCAAGCCAAAACTTAGATTAATGAACAATGTACCACTGAGACAGGAATGGGTCTGGAGCCAGATCACCAACTGGTTCAGAGCTGGTGACATTGTTATTACGGAAACTGGTACGTCTGCATTTGGTATTAATCAAAGCAAATTTCCTAGTCGTACGCGGTGTATCTCACAAGCACTATGGGGGTCCGTGGGTTATTCTGTAGGTGCCTGTCTAGGTGCCTCTTTTGCTGCAAGAGAGGAAGGTAGCGATCCTCGGGTTATTTTATTTGTTGGCGATGGTGCTTTGCAATTAACGGTCCAGGAAGTATCTACAATGATTCGATGGGGGCTAAAGCCCATAATATTTTTAATGAATAATAATGGTTATACCATTGACAGGCTTTTGCACAAAAAGTCAAACGCTGGCTATCATGATATTCAGTCATGGGATAATCTGCGAATTTTACCTACGTTTGGAGCATCTCATTATGATGCTAGGAAAGTCAAGACAGTTGGTGATTTTTTGGCACTGATAGAAGACCCCAAGTTTGCAATTAATGATAAAATCAAGATGGTTGAGGTCTTGTTGCCACCAATGGATGCCCCTCCGGCATTGATGGAGAAATGGCTTTTAACTGACAAAGCTGACAGCGAGATAGATGGTAGGGTCGACGATTTGCATGCGGAGGACAACGACGCCTTCATAACGAAACGAATCAAACTGAATGATAATCGCCGGTCGATTGTTGACTATAATATGTCCTATGACAACATGGATTCTGTGTGATAAGTAATTTATTTAAACAGCATTTAATGAGTTTTGATGATGAAATGCTTGATAGTGCAAACCAATAAGAGATAGATTATATGTCAGGAGTCACACCTGTGTTGAAAAGTTTTGTTAGACTACAAAGCCGATTGATCTCTCTATCGTGGATATGTTTTCATCAATGCTTTGTGTATCTCTCCCATCTTGAAGGGTGTATAGTTTGTCAAGATTTCAGTTAAATATACACTCTGAAGTATTGAACAATGCAAAGTGTTGCTAGAAAGAAATTGCTTCTGGTCTCCAAGAGTGCAACTGCTTTCATCAGTGTTTTCAGCAAGCCACGTTCGTTGAAGGTATTTGTAATTCCATCAACTAGAAAGTTGCTTTGCTTGCATGTTTGTCAACAACTATTAAGTAGGTATTTTAGATAGCCGCGTAGCTTTTCCAGATAATAAGAAATGTGCCTCGGAGGCCGAATAAAGTAAAAAGTTCTTGGTACATATATCGTTTTGCTCTTCGACCAAAAAATAGTCTTGACTGAACATTGTCGGTATATATCAGGTCGGGTTATCAGGTCGGGTTATCAGGTCGGGAAGGTAAAAGTGACGTCTGGAATATGCGCACAATAAGTATCTGCAGCACATTGCTTGGCACCATTTAAGCTTTTTACTTAGCAAAAGTGTCAACGACACTTTGGTATAAAGTGACAAGGGTAACAACAGGCTGAATATACAAAAATGGCATGCGGGTTCGGTTACCGAAAAGAACATTGAATCAAAACGTACACGGCTGCCTTCTTCAAGCATCCTCAACACCGAGAATGCTGCCTTTAAAGAACTAGTCTCGTAAACCGAAACAAATGTAAACGGATGGTATTCCCTGTGTCGAGGGTATACCTCAATGAAAAATTAACGTAGGATGTAGATCACTGAGTATATAGATCTCTGAGGGTACAGATCTCTGAGGATACAGATCACTTGGTTTAAAAATAGCAGATACCATCATTTCGACACTACGGAAAACTTCAATGGCTCAGCTCAGGCGGTAAAAATCCAGAATGCCCGTGAAAATTATTATCATCAGTTTCGACCTTGGGAATCGAGCTGTCGCGATCCTCCATGTTGTGGCTCAACAAAATATTCGGCCAAACAACCATCAACACGGTGTAATTTGCCAAGCATATACTTATCATGTCACTTAATTTAACTTTCTTGTTCTCTATCAAACGCCCGCAGATCTTTGGATATCACTATCTACCAAACTGACAAACAATTTTGGCAGCTATAAATCCAATATTCGAAAGCAACAGACTACTTTAAGGCGTACTGAGTAATTGATTTCCATACACTGAGCTTGAGAAACTAAGCTACGATATTTCTCCAGACCCCGCAGATTAAATTTTCAGAAGACTCACTCCAGGTTTTTTTGCTGAGCAACAGTCTAAAAATTCTCAATTGGCGTAAATCGGTTCCTAACAAATGAACCCAGTTACGTATTGGAACGTACGGTATCGTCAGTGGCTCCCCGCGCTCCTCCATTTCAATGTCAAAACTCTTTACCTTGTCATATTCCTCTGATATTCTTTACCCGGCCAAGCTGGTTTTACGCAGGGGGTATAGCAAATGATTGAAAAAGTTAACGTTCGCATTTATTAGCCTGGGGCTAAAATAATGATAAACACAAGTTCAAAGAAAATAGCGGTACATCAAAGCAACGAATTAGGTGACTAAAAGGGGTAAAAATCGTTACAATCAGCTTGGAAGTTTGGTACAGGTGGTTATAGGAGCTGCACGCACATTTTGGGCCACAATTTAGGCGTTTTAACAGGTAGATTCGAGACGCTACTGAGCGGTTTCTAGCGGTAAAACCAAGGCAAGGGAAACGGGCGATAGAGCGTTTTATCCTCCATAATGGAAAAACAGGATAGCGAGGCCACAGGACACAGCCGAGCAGCACCAGCCATGCCACCACCACCGGCTCTAGTCTCTGGAGCCGCTGGATTGGCACCCAGGGCAGACTCGATCTCCATGTACACGAATTTTAACGCACCGCGATTGTCGACCGATGCATCGTTGTCATCGTTCCTGAACATTGCGGAGGCGCAGAATCAGGGGTTGGGAGTCTCTCAAATTTCGCAACAGCAGCAACATCAACAACAAGCACAGCCCCTCCAACAGCAACAGCAAGCACAATCCCTTCAACAACAACAACAACAGCAACAACAACAACAACAACAACAACAACAACAACAACAGCAGCAGCAGCAGCAGCAGCAGCAGCAACAACTACAACAGCAACAGCCACAAGCTCCCACAAGACCGGACTTTGGACCTTATAGTCGAGGCTACTCGATCATCAACAGTTTTTGGCCTGGCAACGCTGGAAGTCAGCCTCAAGTGCCACAGCAACATGACGCCGGTAGCCAATTCACTACTATGCGTCGCCAAAGTGAACAACTTGAACCCTTTATGCCTCGTTTCAAAACACCTAGTTTTTCGTCCGGAAAATCTGGTCCCAATCAACTCCAGCAGCAACAACAAATTCCGCCTCCCAGTGGAGGCAACAGGGGATCTGATCTTCTGATACCAGGCTCCAAACGCAACTCTATATTTTTCGGTGGGGCAGATCCACCGGATTTGGATTTCTTCAACACGGGTAAACGCGACTCTCAGGTTATGATGCGACCACCACATATTCTGCCGCAACGTAATAGCTCATCGGCCGGAGTTCCCTCTTTGAGTCGCCCTGGTTTGGCCGCTAATTACTCGAACGTAAGCAACAATGCTGGTGATCTAAATGCGAACACAACCAACGGCAACCCTGAAAACAACAACAATGCTGTTGCAATGCCCAATAATGACCCCACTCGCGTTGGAAACAATCCTTTGAACGCTAACATACCCACCGGCTCGGTACCTCCACCTACAACACAAGATTCTGATTTGGAAGCTATCTTTAATCAAGGTCTCTCCTCGCGGAAAAACTCTCTTAGATTTTCTGCCGACGATTTTGATTTCGATTTCAGACGGCGCGATTCTTCCTTAAGAGGAACGTTAGATAACCAGAATTACGTTCCTGCAGCGCCACTTGGACCTAATGGACCAAATAAACTGGGATTGCATGATCTGCAGACCAGAGCGAAGTCTCACTCTGCGTCACCCATGCACAAGAATGCCGTGGACGAGGATGAGGAGGCTCGCAATCCAATACACTTAACCCCCATGATAAGGCAAGGTGAATCCAGTAACGAAGTGAAGGAAGAACCGCAAGAACCTGATTCGAAAATGAGGCGCAAGAATGACGAAGGGAAGAGCCCGGCGATCAAAACCGAATCTATGAAAAGTCTATTGAATTACTTGGAACCATCAAAAGATCCACTGTTGGTATCCGATGACGGCCGGCCGCTCCTAGGTGCCACTAAAGTAGACCAGTTGATGCTTATGATCCAAGCACGCAAAAAAGGTGTGACAGATCGCATTCCCAGACGTGCAGACGGCTCATTACTATTGGAAGATGCTCCCTCCATAATTCCGCCAGCAAGCGAACTAGTAGGTGGTGTAGAGAAGCCCAAGGGCCGCGGCGCAAAGCAGCACGAATGTCCTTATTGCCACAAATGTTTTACGCAATCCACGCACTTGGAGGTGCACGTAAGATCACATATTGGTTATAAGCCCTTTCAATGTGAGTATTGTGGCAAGAGATTCACGCAAGGCGGTAATCTTCGCACTCATGTTCGTTTGCATACAGGTGAGAAACCATACGAATGTGAAAAGTGCGGGAGGAGGTTCTCGCGGAAGGGAAATCTTGCGGCTCATAGGTTGACCCACGACAATTTAAGACCTTTTCATTGTAAACTCGATGGATGTAACAAGAGTTTTACACAGTTGGGAAACATGAAGGCGCATCAAAATCGCTTTCACTTACAAACTTTGAATGCTTTAACACAAAGGCTGGCAGAAATGGATCCCAACGAAAATACTGCGTCCAGCGAAAAAGAGCTACTCGATTATTTCGCTGACCTTTACAAAAACTCCAACAGAGGCATCAAAGGACGCGGAAAGGGCAATACTCGTGTCGTAACTAGCTCTTATTCTGGAGAAATAAGCTCTCCACATTCTGCGCCGGCGCACCACGACTCAAATACCAAGCCAGCAGACGACCATGATAGCCCGACGGCTGCACCTAAACCGGTGAGCCTTGCACAGCCTTTGGATCCTACAGATCGATCAGACATAGCTTACAATATCGTTTCACCAAACAATGACCCTGCGGGATCGTCTCTCCCGCAGGTCGGGCCTGATCCAATCAACCACGTATCAGTGACGGATCAAAATGAGTTCCCATTTGGGCTAAGTTCGCACGTTAAAATGGAGCCCAACGAGCGGTATCAATCTCACACAAACAGGAATACAGACATGCACTTCAAAAATATCCCATATCACAACTAGAGCGGGAAAATTCATCACAAAGCTGTTCTATTACGACCCACCTTATACAGCTTTCACCTCTTTCAATTCACGATGCATTCAACAGACCGTCCAACTAAGGCAAACTCTCTTCAGGCCGAAGGGTTGCTTAGCCAACCCTCATACAACAAGTACCAAGACAGAAACTATTTAATGATAATATCTATGGGCCAATCGCGCCTGCTCGATTTGTAATATATAAACCAAAATCTTTATGTTGACTGAGCATTTTGTAGTTATATCCTTATTGAACGCGTGAAATAATATAACGCGAAAATTGATCGGTGTTGAGAGATCATCAACAAACCGTGATTTGGCCTTCCCCCTTAAAAAGAGGTGAACAGAGGTGAACAGAGGTGAACAGGGCCAACAATATCTGAAATTATACAAATGAGACCTAATCTGGTTGTTAATGCTAGTGTTTCGCGAACTACCTTTACCAGTCGAAGGTCATTCGAAAAGCTCGACACAATGCCTTCGACGGTTTTCCAGTATTACTTTCAATTACAGTTGAAAGAACTCCATCATAACTCGCCTCAGTCTGAAATTACCGACTTTGTCAATAAGAATAACTCCTTTAAACGCTACAAACGAAAAGAATGGGACTCGCTTTCTCTCACTAAGAAGAGGGTATATCATGCACTGTACTTCCATTTCACAAAGGTGAACTACCGAAGGCTAGGACACGAGGAATTAGCCAGAAGACTAGAGCTACAGGTCCCTGCGGCCAGTGAATATTTGTTGTTTAGAAATCGTTTTAAAGCGAGATTCGACGCTGCATGGGAAGAACAGCGCAAAAATGATAGAACTGGACGTTCGCACAAGATTCAGCTCCGAAGTGGGACTTCAGGTAGTCTGAAAGTCTCACGTATATTCGCGATGAGGCCTGCAGAACTCGAATTCAATTCGACAAGGCGATTTCAAGATATGTGTCGTGAGTGTAGACGAGCGTGGCGGGAAGGAGTGGATGACGACCAAAGAGCCGAAATTGCAACAAAATTGAGTGTCGAACGACAGAAATTTGAAAACAGCGTGAAGCGAGAGCTCGACATATTAGATGGACTTCAGGCGATGCTGACGAAGTACTTGACCAGCGTTGATGTTTCTAACCTCAAGGCGCTGGATTTCGAGAGACGCATCACCCACACGAGCAATCAGGATCCACTCGTATTTTTAATGACGGATTTGAAGAAAAGTTGACAACGAATAAACAACATGTATGTACTTCTCTGATTTCTATGCATTTTGATTGAACAGCGGATGATATGCGAAAAAGACCATCAAATTTATCCTACTGGGTGGACAAGACCTGGACGTTGAAACTGATCGCCGGCGGCGTGCCAGTTATGGTTGTGCCGCTCGATTCGGGTGGTTCTACTATCGTGGCATTGCAGACAACTTGACCCTCTTCCTGGAAACCGAGGGATTCCAACACCCCGCGAATAACTCCACAAGGTATTTCTAAATAGGGCTCAATCAACGTATGCTCTTGGGCGGAGAGGTTTTCTTCGAGAGCAAACGACTCGATGGGCTTGTAATTGTAATCTAGCAAATAAAATGTTCCTCTGTGGTTGGTTTTCAGGTTGTCAATCTGTTTGCCATACATCTGTCTCCAAACATCGCGACACACAAATTTCATCACTGTGAGCAGATCCATGTTTTTGAAGCTTATGTTAGGGTTATTGCTAAAGATAAGCAACTGCGACAGTTTCTGGCCCAGTAGAAATCCAGTGTTAGAAAGTCGCTGTTTGATCTTAGCTTGTTTCTCTTCATCTGCGGTCAGATACTGTTGTAAAAGCTTATGAGACGGTAGGTCGTTAGTGGGGCTCAGGGTCAACTTAGAGTCGAGTTCCCTTTCCAGCGATTGACTTGCTTCGGGCTCACTTGTCGAGCTTTTAGATAAATTATTCTCAACACTAATGGCTAGGGGCACTGTTTCATTCAAAAGCATCCAATATACCATTTCGTTCACTTTAGGAAGCGACTCTTGAAAAAGTTGAAATTGCAATTGCTGCCTCTGATGCTCTGACATTTCGGGCGTTTGATTAGAATCCATTTTGGAAGTAATAGCTGCTAAAATTCGATGGCTTTTGAGTGATCTCTGTAGGTCTTTGAGAATAGTGTATTTTGTTTTCGAATAAAACCTATGAAATTAATTACTCCTAAAGAGGTGCCTTGAACGGAAGTTCAAACAAAAAAACGAAGCCAACTAACCAACGGGGTCTCTTTCGACAGCATCGTAATTTAGTCGTGGTTCTCTTACACTAATGAGCTCGGAACTGTCAATTGGAAATGAAATTAAAGATGGTCATAAGGAAACCTACAAGTGGGTTCTTAATAACATCAAATGGCTATCTGAATTAGAAGCTTTTTACAGAGATCGGGCCAAACTTGAGAAAGAGTACAGTAGTAAGCTCGCAAATATGACTGGGGAGTATTTCAGTAAAAAGAGCGCTGGAACTGTTGCCCTGTCTGTAGGAGATACCCCAACCACTACGCCCGGATCCTTGGAGGCGGCTTCTTTGGTGGCATGGAATGAGATTTTGTCCCAAACAGAAAAGGTATCTCAAGATCATGCTCAATTGGCACAGGAGTTAGAGTTTCAGGTGGCAGATCCGATTGTAGCCCTCAGTAAAAAATGCGAATTTCTGTTGACCACGATTAATGGTTTCAACACAGAACTGACCGAGAAGCGGGACCACGCTTATGCGACTCTGGAGAAAGCAAAAAAGACATACGACGATAAATGCGTTCAAATGGAAAATGCAAGAGCCAAACAGACAAAATCGTCTAGCGATAGAGCACAACGTAAGGCTGGCGATAGGGAACATGAAATGAATGTTGCGAAGAATCACTACCTCATCAAAATCAACCAGGCCAATCGAATTAAAGACAAATATTACTTTCAGGATGTGCCGGAGGCTTTGGATCTTCTGCAAGATCTGAACGAGTCTCGCACCCGGGTTCTAAACTCAATCTGGATTTCGGCCAGCACTGTGGAAAGAGACATGTGCAAAAGAATCGACTCTCGACTAGTCACTGCGGATTCTGTAGTCTTACAAAACAAGTCCAATCTAGACACCGCTATGTTCATTAAGCACAATATGAAAGAATGGAAAGAGCCAGCCGACTTTCAATATACTCCCTCTTCTGTATGGCACGATGATGAGCAATTTGTGGTTTCATCAAATGGTGAATTACAGGACTTGAAGGTAAGGCTAGCAAAAGCTCAGCAGGCTTACGAACAGATGAACAATTACGCAAATTCAGAAATTGGTGAATTGACCTCCTTGAATAAGCAAAAACAGGAAGCGAAATCTCAAGACAGTCTCAATGGTCAACAAGTTTTGGCACTGCTCTCCAAATATTCTAAAGTGATTTCGTCCTACACGTCTCATGAGACCGCCAAACTGGAGGCCGAGGTAGAGATCGAAAGTATTCAAAACAACGTTGCAAACGAACACGATTTAAACACCGATGACATTGATCTCGCAAAACTGGGTAAAAAGTCGGGAGTTTTCAATAGATTCAAAAAGAGCCTAACCATATCTTCGGAAAAAAAGCCAAGCCGCAGTGACAAGGCAGATGCGTCCTCAGTAGTTTCTGCCGACTCTAAAGGGGGCCATCACAATCGCTTGTCTTTGTTTCGTGGTAGGGACCGTGCAGAAAGCGATGTTTCAAGAATGTCAGGGAGTGTTGATACCCATGATGCTTCTGTAATCGGGTCCGTAGATCCCAATAAGAACCGCGTTCTATATTCCTACCAAAAACAGGATGTTGACGAAGTCAATGTTACTGTCGGTGACAACATCACGCTGTTAACGGCTGACTCCGGTACCGGATGGACGAAGATAAAAAATGAGACCACAGGCAATGCTGGTCTTGTTCCGACATCTTACGTAGAGATTCGTGAAAAAGCTCGCACGAACGCGCCACCTGCTCCTCTGCCAAGGAAAGCAGCTGCTAACCACACGATGGAAGCCCTATACAATTACGAGGCTCAAGAAGATGGTGAATTGTCGATTCTCGAAGGAGATTTTGTTACAATCCTTCGGGGTGACGACGGTAGCGGCTGGACTTACGGCGAGGTGCATGGTCAAAAAGGTTTATTTCCAACCAGTTATTGCAAGTAGGAACAAAAACTTAGTCTCTTTAGTTTCCGACTAATATTAGGTACTTGACCTACTTAGCCAAATTTTCACCATCACTGACTAAGCAGTGATGTGTTTTCAACAGACGTGTAAGAGTCTCGCTTCTTCATTTTCTAGACAATTCGGATCAAACAACGAGCGAGGCTTGAGCACAACATACCGGCTGGCTGGTGACTGTCGTTTGCTACCCTGTTGAATTGAGCTCATAATCTCAAAGAGTGAGTATCGCGACTTTGGTGTTTTAAGCAACGATATTTGCGAGTTACCAGCACATTGGCAAGCATCGGTAAGCATTTTTCAATGAAGTTGAATTGTGAAAAGCTCTATCTGCCAACATTACAGCTCTAAACAATCTTACAGTCAACGAGCAAATTGTACACATAAAATTCCGCGATGAGCATAGAGCACGCTCCCTACTTGCCGTACTGATGGTCTATTTCATTTCTTAAAGCAAGACTGTAGCCAACAGAAACAAGTTGCAATGTGAAATTCCTCTAACACAGTAATGAAGTCGCCCAATACAAACGATAAAAACGACAGAAACTGATGAAGCCATGCGTAGTTAGCTGTCTACTACAAGGTAGGTAAATAATGAATAAGACGACTGTTTCTCCAGTTTATCACTATATACGATTGTGTCACTACTGAGATCAGAGCTCTACTCACAGCAATTACTTGAACTGTTGAAATCCAGGAGAAACGACTAGTGTTCGGCCATATAGACTTAGTTGTTCATTGGATGTACTGCCAAAGGAGTAAAATTCCTCATTTCCAAAATTCGTGTGTAGTGTTACAACTTTCAAAGGGTTGCTCTCATAAAGGTGCAAAAGATAATTACATATTTACTCCGTGACACATTTCTTGACCAACAGTCAGCGAAGGGTCTGTGTGTTTCAACACTGGTAAATCTATCTCATCTAGTACCAAGTCTCTCAAGAGTTCTGCTAAGTCTGGAAGTATGCCGAATGAAAATTCCACAGCAGAGGGAAGCAGGAGCATGAATGCTGATGGAAGTCCCTTAGATGTTGGGAAATCTCAAGACTCACGGGTCCAGCACGGTAAAAAAGAAGGCCTTCCGGGAGCCTACGCTCCTGGCTCACCCGAGAGTCAGCCACTACTTAATGGAGATCGCGCGCGGGCGTCGCATAGATCGATCGGCCAAAATGCTGCAGAAGGTAATTTGGTGGAAGAAGTGGAGAGTTTGCAGGGACGGATGTACAAAACACGCCAGAGGTATCACATCTTTGTGCAAGATTCCAAAATAGTGCTGAACACACTCATCGGCATCAATTTGGTATGGCTTGTAACCACCTTCATTGTCGACTTTTTCTTCAACATTGGTCTGTTGCACTTTAGCAACAGACTCACAAGTTTCAATGATTTGTGTTTGATTTTTATATCCATTGTGGCGAATACGTTGAATCTATGGTCTAATAAGGTGGGCTTGTATTCTAGGCTCGATCAGGGCCTCAACATCGTCCTTTGTCTGATGACTTTATTCAATCTGTTCTTGACCCTCATTATTAGCTACACGAGAAGAAGAATAGGTTTTATTGGAGCGTTCACATACTTGTGGGCTTCTCTAACATTTTTTGCTGGAGCTGTCTTGGACTGGTACTTGTATTATTATTTCAAGGAATTCAACGCCTCTAGCGAGGATTACGACGAGACGCCAACTTCTGAAGGCAACTCCAGACACACCATCAAGGAATGGGTATCTATTGGCGTCAGAAATTCTGTGAAATGCCTCATATTCGTGTTTTACGTTTTTTTCACGTTAAACACCCTTCTTTTCACAATTGATGTTGGCAGTCTTACTCGTGGAGTGAAAGACGTCACCACGGAGGCGTCGGCGTCTTACGATGCATTTCATTGGGTAGACAAGGAACACACGTACCAATTGCATATTACATGTTATGGTGATCTCTTCGCTAAAGAAAAGGATGCGCAGCCTATTGTGCTCTTTGATCATGGCAGCCTTGATACTGCCTTCCTTTCGGCTACCTGGATTCAAGAGCTTTACCATCTGAATAGGGTTGACCGGTACTGTACTTACGAAAGACCAGGATACGGTCTTTCTGATTCGGCTCCTGCTCCAGTATCAATTGCAATGGTCGCTGATGCCTTGACTTACGCTTTAGTTGAGGATGCCAAAATAAAAGGGCCTTTCAGTGTTGTTGGATACGACATAGGTGGATTATATGCTCAAGTCTTTACGGCCAAAAACCTCGACAAGGTAGAGTCTATGCTTCTTGTAGAGTCGTGGCATGAAGACATTTTGTTAAAGAACTATCTACAAAGACTTCTTCCTCCTGACAAGGATAACAAGGATCCAGACGATGTCAGCAATTTGCCCGTGGAAATTAAGAGACACAACGGTTTCAAATTATGGTGGCAAGGAATTTGGTCTACTTTAGGTATTAAGCTTCAAACCTCTTGGCTCTTAGCACACCATGGCTCCAAGGAGAGGCTTTTTGGACGCGATTTACAGTATCAGGGCAAGTTTATCAGATCCAAGTTTTTAGAGAGCGTCACCAGCTCTTTATTGAGCTACAAGGATGTTCTGAACGGCAAAGAAAAGCTTCGTGACATTAAACTAAGTGTTGCAAGTTCTAATCAATTGATCAAAAAGTCTCCGCAATGGGGAAACTGGCAGAGAGATTTAACAAAATTATCAGCCAAGACCCAAGAATGGAAAATTTTGAATGGTGGACATGAAGTCTACAAATATGGAAGCGCCAGAAAGGAGCTTCAGGATGTTCTACTGAGATTATTGGGTGATAAGGACAGGTATTAATTCAAATTCAGTCAGAAAGGACCAAAATATGAGAGCAAGTATTAAACGTGTATAGTTAGTAGTATACGTGGATTGTAAAAGTATCGTTCTAGAACTGACATGCCCTGATGAGCAGTATGCGAAATATGGCCATTATTAAAAAGGTGATTAGTACCGTTAAACTCTAGATAGTTGACGACTTAGTCGCTATCCTGTTGCATATCCATATCCTTGATCTCATCTGAAACGACGTCAAATTCGTTTTCATCACTATCCATGTCACTGTCCAGTGATGCCTCTAAGTCGCAGCTCGACCTGCAATTTGGACAAACAAACTGTGGGTATGTGGTCATAACTAAGCGACGAACACACTGGTAGTGCCAGCTATGAGAGCATGGGGATATGAAAATTGCTTGGCATGGTTTTATCTTAGAGAGACAAATTGAACAATCTTCTTCTTCTAATCCAGTGGTCATTCTTTGCAGATTTTTGAGTCTTTGCAGAGCTTCGCGATTGAATCTCATCGCACGCCTTTTCCAGGATTTGTTTAACTCAATTCTCATCTTTACGCTTCGATAGATTTCTTCCGTACCCCCTCTAAAATCTAAACCCAGTTGAACAACGTCGCCGTCTTGAAGCAAAGTGTCTTTAGACATTGTCGAAGCAGGCGCCAGCCTATGGTGATTCAGAAATGTACCGGATGAAGATTTGACGTCTCTAATGTACCAATTGCCGAATTGATCCACTTTGAAGCAGCCGTGTGTCCTGGAGACCACCTTGCTCTTAAATACGACAGGATGAAAATGTTCCGGGATTCGATTTATGGATTCCCTGACCCTTTCTGTGTATCTTCCAATAACCAATTGTGAACATGGACCAGCCGTTCTCACAATTGGCTCGAAGTAAAGGCCCGGATTCGTGGACGCAGATTGGTCCAAAAACGGTGTAAGCCTCAGACTAAACAACCCATTTTTGTCCTTGCGGGACTGTACTGTATCAGGGCTTACGGGCTCCGGAACAGGTGCGTTCCTGGGAAGGTCCAAAGCTAGCAGCTCAAGAGCGCTCTCTGGGTGCGTATTACCATACACGAAATGCCGCAAGGGCTTCGGAACCAAATGTGCTTCGCCCGGCGTAAGCGTAGTCGGCTGCTGGCCCGGTCCAGAAGGTGTATCATTCTGGCCCAACGTGAGCGTAATAGGCAGTTCATCCACGATACGATTCGCCAAGTTGGGAACAGGACTATTCTGGAATGCGTGGTCAAACGGGGTTGTGCCCAGCATGTTAGCGGATACAGAGACGCCGTTTTCCTCGTTGCCACCGAGTCTAGCCATACCATTATTCGGGTCGTCGTCCACTACGACACGGTCGTCTTCGTCGTCCGAACTTAACACGTTAATTGGGTTTGAGTGGGCCACGTCCTCCAAGCCAACATCGCTGGTTTGGTTGAAGTTTTGAGGCGTTATGTTGCCCTGAAGCCCCTCTTCTCGGATTGCCGTTCCATTAAAGGCCGGAGCAGATTCCATCGCGCCTGACGCGGGGTTGTTTGAGCCTTGTCTGATACCCATGGAGTTGAGCAGATTGTTGATGGTAGAGCCACGCCTACTTCTCGAGGCCATACTGCTCCTAGGAGACACGTTCACAACCATGTTCTGCCGTGTATGTGATACTAATGCTACTATTCGAGCCTTAGGAGATTCCTGATCTTTGCCAGATCTGTTGCTATTGTCGCGGTCCTAATTCAACGTTAGGGCCACCTTTCTGCAACCTAATACTTGAGTACCGACAAAAATTTTCACCAACGTAGTTTTCACTGACAGTCTTACGTCCGATCACTTACTTCAATGCAGAGAAATCAATCCGAAATCGTTTGAAAACCCACTAATGTGACAGATAGAAGCAGCGACACGAAAATACGGATTCCACAAATAAATAGCAGCTTTGGTACCCTGACTTAAGTGCGGTTAAAGGCCCCGTTTACCAGATTTTTTTGGTTTTATAGACCTTGATATGATGATCGGTCCCTCTTGTAAATTTTTATTAATTAAAAATCGTATTTTGTGGTGGGCAAGGAAAACGAAAGGGCAATGAAAAAAGGGCATGAGAGTGCACGTGGGTTGGTGATAGTGTCATAGACTGTGAACCCTTAAAAGAAACATAAACATTGGGAAACTTTCAAGGACATGGAACTCAGACGCGATTTAGGAGACCTATACACGTTTTAGAGACCGTGAATGGGCGATTATTATGAGAGTACAGAAGCTAGGGTACAAACTCGACCCTTGGTAGAAAAATCTGGGATCCGGTATGAGGTCGGTAGTACAGAGTGATTATTGAAGAGGTTGAAGCGAGCGCGGATAGCAAATGCTAGATTTTCGGGGCAAATACCATAGCAGATCTGCCTGTATTGACACAAAATCATTTTCATAGCTCTGTTGAAGCCATTACGAGGTGCATGCGACACACACACACACACACACACACAATCGTTTACGCCAAGATTGGTTGTAGAGAATGTTGACATTCTCACGCCACATTTGTGAGCGACAAACAGGATAAACTGAATAATAACAGGCTTACTTACGTGCAATAATTCAAAAATTAAACATATTAGAGATGTCAATATATCCTACAAACGCGAGGTCTTGACAGTGACAATTTCATCGTACAGCAGAGTGGTTAAAAACTCGCTAAATTTCTCGCCTCTGATCTCGGGCAAGAAGTACTTGGCGGCAAGCGCAAACTTATTTTTGTCGCCTAGCGGGCTTTTTGCAGAGAGCTCGGCCACTTGTTCTTCCAAAATGCTTTGTGTCAAGTCTGGAGTCACTATATCACCGGTATCTGACAATTTAACCCGGTGTCTCACCCATTGGTATAGCTGACACCTAGACACTTCTGCGGTAGCGGCATCTTCCATGAGGTTGTTGATAGGCACACAGCCCGATCCGCGTAGCCACGCTTCCATGTACTGCAATCCTATCGACAAGTTTTGACGAATACCGGCGATAGTGACACCGCCGTGCGAAATGCGCGTATTCAACAAATCTTGGGCAGTAACGTTACTTTCTGGAATGTTGTGAATTTGGTTAGCGGTTCCCATGCTGTCAAAAACCTCATTGCAAATAGGCGCAAGTGCGGGATGCGCAACCCATGAACCGTCGTGACCCTTGGCAAGCTCACGTTCTTTGTCAGACCGAACTTTGGCCATTGCGGCGTTGTTGGCCTGGACGTCGTTCTTGATGGGGATCTGGGCAGCCATCCCACCCATTGCGTGCACACCACGACGGTGACAAATCTCGATGAGACGGCGCACGTAGGCATCCATGAATGGCGCGGCCATCGTCACGTGGTCGCGGTCCGGTAGCACATGTTCCGGCTTGTTGCGGAGACGCTTGATGGTGCTGAAGATGTAATCCCAACGACCGCAGTTGAGGCCTGCGCAATGGTTGCGAAGCTCAAAGATGAATTCTTCCATTTGGAACGCAGCGGGTAGCGTTTCGATGAGTGAAGTAGCACGGATCGTGCCGCGCGACATGCCGATGAAGTCCTGGGCCACGTTGAACACGTCGTTCCACAGGCGCGCCTCGAGATGGTGTTCCATCTTGGGCAGATAGAAGTAAGGGCCCTTACCCAGCTCCACTAATGTGCGCGCGTTGTGGAAGAAATACAGCCCGAAATCGAACAGCGAGGCGGAGATGGGTCTGCCGTCGACAATCACGTGCTTCTCTTCCATGTGCCACCCACGTGGTCTGACGAGGATCGTGGGAAGTGATGCAAAGGGTCCGTTCAGTTTGTACTCTTTGCGCGGGGTGCGAAAGTCGATTTGGTCGCGAATCGCGTCGTAGAGGTTCACCTGCCCGTACACACAGTTGTCCCAAGTGGGGGCGGCCGAGTCCTCGAAATCGGTCATGTACGTTGACACGGGCGCGTTCAGCGCGGTCACCAGCATGTTGCGCAGCGGCGGGCCTGTGATTTCCGAGTGACGCTCGGCTAGCCCGGGCCCGGGCACGGCGCCCTGCCATGCCACGTTGTCGCGGATCTGCTGCGTGGACTCCAGAAACCCAAACTCGTACGTGCCCTTGTCCAGCGCATCTTGCACGGCGGCGCGGTTTCCAAGTAGTTTCCGACGGCGCTCGTCGAAAGTGCGATGGAGCAGAACCACGAACCCCAGCGCTTCGGGCGTGAGAATGTCCTCGACGGTCGTCGATGACGGCGCGAACTGCGCCTTGGAGTCGATTTCCCCTAGAACTTGCACGTTGTCTAGCATTGGCATTCAGATATGTGGTGATCCCAGGTGTCCAGAGCTTGTTCTTGAAAACACCTACTTTCTGAATCAGCATCTCCATACAGTACAGATATATATATATATATATATATATATACACAGCACACAAACCGCATAGTGCACGCCGGGTTCGTCATCGCAGCATGCTGAAAAGCTGTCTCTAATCCCTCGCTATCTGATCGCGGTGGACCAAAGCGGGATCATTGTTTTAGGACCTTTCAACGGGCAGCTGTGAGAGTAGATTAGGCATATACGCGTACGTAAGCAGCAGGGGACACTAAATTGGCCTTCCTTTTCGTTTTTTTTTTTAGGTTCTCACAAAACTGGAATTTTTCGCATTCGGCCATCTCCGGCGCTCCACCGGGGAAGTCCGGCGCGGGCGAAATGGCGTTGAAGCTCCGGCGAGCCGCGCATTTGGCCGAAGGCGGGACGCGGAGTACTCGAGGAGAGCAGGGCCGTACTCGCGCAAGCTCGCGAGCGTGGGAGTGTAGTGTCGTCTTCTACGGCGTCTTGCGGGCGGTGGGGGTGATTGCTGGATCCACAGAGCAGAGCAGAGCAGAGCAGAGCAGAGCAGAAGCCGTTGGCTCTTGAGTGATGCCACTGTATTGGGGCACAAATTGCCCGTCGTCGACCGATGTGCTGAAGCACGGAGCGTGGATTGTGCTGTTCTGACACACACATACCTCGTAACGTGCGCGCGCAGTGGTACGAAAACCCGTGTGTTTTCTTGGCTTTGTCGCTCGCCAGTCTTGGATATCGGGAAACCTCGCTTTGTTATCGTGTCGCTGTAGACAGATTGGGATACGCAAATAACTAGCGCACTTTGTACGATCGACCAGTCGTCGTGTGTCAGACGACGGAGACACAGGGAGATGATTACTGCCCTAATCTACATATTAGCTTGCTAAATGGACCATGGAGGATCCTAAAGGTACTACTAGCAAGCTTGCCAGCAGAAAACTTCCTGAAAGCAGTTGAATGCGACAGAGTATTCTGTCATCAGGAAAACATACGTCGCAGCGAGCAAGCCATGCGAATGCTATAGATACTACAAGCGCGTGCGATAAGCCACGAAACGTGCCACCTCAGTCTTGGCGCTTTGTTCAAAAGTTCAGCTTGCCCCAACCGTCTCTTAATACAACTTAACTACCACCATTGGCGTCCTAAACCATAGCTTACCCGCTCAATTAATTAAAGCTTGCCCCTTTTTATAGCTCAGTCACATTCGCCTCGATATTTACAATACTTGCGGTCCTTATGATCTCTATAGCTTATCCTTCGTGGTTTCACTATAGCTGGTCCATCTGGATAGTTACACGATTGAAGACCCGCAACAAAAAAGATCCCCTGGGTCGAAACTTTCAGTTGCATCTCGCACAACCGACTAGCCACCGGCCCCTGACCAAGACGTGAAACAGGGTGATAACAACCGCTCTCGACGACAAAGCCAAGGTAGCATTTCCAATTAAGCTCTCCAAACATCGTTTTTTTACCCGCCGTGTCAAGCCTTCAGATACTGATGATACTGCCAAGTTGCATGATGACACATTAGTACGAAGTGATGTGGAGAAACCGTGGAGATATATTTACATGCTCCAGATACATAATAACAAACTTGCTCACACAATTCTGGAAAGACGAAACAAAGACAAGACATTTGCGTACTCTTTCTTGTTGAACCACGCACGCCGCAACAAAACTCCGTTGGCTTGCTCATGCGCGCCATATGACTATCGCATCCCTAAACAGGCTCCAGGCATCTTCTTTTTTCATACTTTAGCGCCCTAAATTTTTCGGCAAGGTAGTCATCCTGCAATGACTACAACCAAGAATGATCTCTAAACCAGAATGGTCTCACAAGTATTAGCTTGACTCGCACTTTTTGTTGGGCCCGGTTTTCAAAGGTATTTAAGTGCCCCCGACTGTTCCTCTTTATGAGACCTGAGTTGATCGGAAACCAGCGCCCAATATCATCCCAATGAACACCATTATCACCCAAGCAGATTTAGAATTTGATCAGAAGCATATCTGGCATCCTTATGCGTCACTTACCAATCCTTTAAAGGTTTATCCTGTCACTAAAGCCAATGGTGTTTACCTCCATCTGCAGGACGGACGCGAGATAGTCGATGGTATGGCAAGCTGGTGGTGTATCCAACATGGCTACAATAATCCGAGGCTTAACGCAGCAGCTATTGATCAAATCAACTCCGTATCTCACGTAATGTTCGGAGGAATTGCTCATAAGCCCAGCATCGAACTGTGCAAAAAATTGGTACAGATGTTGCCAGATCCATTGGATTGTGTCGTCTTGGCTGATTCTGGTTCTATTTCCATCGATGTGGGTATGAAAATGGCACTTCAATACTACAATGCCATTGGAAAGACCTCTAAAAACACGTTTCTTACTATCGAGAAAGGATTCCACGGTGATGCATTTGGAGCTTTGTCTATTTGCGATCCTAAAAACTCAATGCATACATTGTACGGTGGTTTTGTTCCACAGAACCTTTTCAGTAAGGCACCTGAGGTTTACTTCCACAATGATGATCCTAATGTCGAACAATTAGTCGAAGAGCTGGACGTAGCTCCATTTGCTAAACTCTTGAGAGAGAATCATGAATCCCTAGCGGGCGTCGTTATGGAATCTATAGTTCAAGGTGCTGGAGGACTACGTATTTATCATCCGCATTTTTTGAAAAGAGTTCGCCAACTGTGTACGGAATATGACATTCTTTTGATTCTGGACGAAGTTGCAACGGGCCTTGGAAGAACCGGTAAACTGTTTGCATTTGAACATGCCGATATTATCCCAGACATTGTCTGCCTGGGAAAAGCCCTCACTGGTGGATATATGACTCTCTCTGCCACTATAAGTACTCGGAAAGTCAGTGAGGGCATTTGCCATGGTCCGGCTGGAAGATTAATGCATGGGCAGACTTTCATGGGCAATCCACTTGCTTGTGCAGTAGCAAATGAAAACATGGCAATATTGATGGAAGGAAAATGGGAACAACAAGTTTCCCGCATTGAAAAACAGCTATTTGAAGAGCTCGCACCTTTAGAAAAACACCCTAATGTCAGTGAGGTAAGAATCTTGGGTGCTATCGGTATTGTTGAGGTCAATCGCTTCCCGGTTAAAGTCGAAGAGTTACAGAAACGCTTTATCGAGGCTGGGGCCTGGATCAGACCATTTAACAAGTGGATCTACATTTACCCTATTTTTACAACTACCGCTGCTGAGCTGAGAGTTCTCATCAAGGCAATTGCTTCGGTATTAGATGACCTCTAATCACTTAGTCTATATAATAAATGGCATTTTTTTTTACTCAACCTTGAGAAAACGGCTTTATGATGTGTATTTGGTTTAGAAAGCTACCAATGCAAAGTTCTTGAGCGTTTTACTTTAATAACTCGATTGGAACCTAACGCAAAAGTCGTGACCGACTTTGAATTGTGTGGCGGTCAGGAAGTCTCTCTCCACTAAATCAGCAGGAAGTTCTTTCAGGATGGTCTAGACGAAGGATTCCCAACAACACCGTTTCAGAATGACGCTCCAGATTTTAACTCCGAACTACTTGGTGAGTCGTTGTTGGACCAGTCGCACACTCATCCTTAATTTTCTTAATTTTCGAGCATGACTCGGAGTCATGGCCTATACAAAAATAAACATATTTAAGAGGAACAAAAGTCGACATTTGGAAGCCTTTTCGATTCAATCTACAATCTCTGTCAGCAACCTGCACTATGGCTACTAAAAATCTTCATCTAGTCGATACTTTCGAGGAAAACGGCAAAACTTTTGTGAGAATCCCAAAAAAAGACCTTGTTTCTCAAGGTCCGCTAAAGTTTGAAGATTTCACGGCCAAAGACAAAGCTGATTTTAATGACATTGTGGAGAAGCTAGAAAAATACGGTCTCTGCATTGTCAAGAACTACTTAGACGTTAAGGACTGCGAGGAAATAAAAGAACAGTTACTTCCTCATTACTACCGCGACGAATCTTGGAATGGGTCCCCTTTTCCACGGCAAACAACCGTTGCCGCTAGAGCTGCCTTGAAATCAAAGTGTTGTCGTGACAAAATTGTTTGCGACGATATGTACTCTGCCTTGTGTGACAAGTTTTTAACGGAGTCAAACATGTTTTGGATTGGCGAAGGTTTGCGCCGCGGACAATCCGGCTTTCATCTGGCATCTGGTATTGCTTATAGAGTAGGCCCTGGAGCTGGTGATCAAATGTATCATCGCGAAGATATGGTTCACCACAATGTTCATCCTAAGCGTAAGACATACCACTACGGCGACGACTCGCATCTCGGCTTCGCTGTTGCTTTGACCAAGATGAACAAAGCCAACGGTGCAACGAGGGCAATCGTGGGCTCGCATTTGTGGGGTCCGCTTGACGGACCTGGCGATTTCGACAAGAACATGGAGGTACATTTAGAGATGGAGGAAGGCGATGCCATGTTTATGCTTGGCAGTGTATATCATGCTGCTAGTGCCAACAGCAGTGACAGCGAGCGCATTGCCGCTTTCTTTTTCATGAACAAAAGCTACATGAAACAGGAGGAAAATTACCATATCGATCAAGCGCCCGATTTTTTCAAGGGCATGTCTTTGAAAACGTTGTCCTTATTGGGCCTGCACATCAGCGAGCCCTTCTGCGGACACGTCGATTACAAGAGTCCCGCTTTTCACATCAATCCGGAGCTCGAGAAAAGTGAAGGCGTGCGCAAGGAGAAGTACTCGCAAGTGTTGTACCCCGCCTTCGAATAAAAATTTGATTATCTATAGAACGAATACATAAACGGCGTGCTTAGATCTTAGTACTGTGCCCGCGCCAGCAGAATAATGGTCTTCCATCACAATCACTTTTCCTCGAACAGTCGCTGACATCTTGTCTGCTTATGTAATGCGACGTAGTGCAGCATGGAGTTCTCCGGCCACCCTGAAGCAACAGTGAGGCTTGTATCAGACACTATTTCAATGACCAGCATTGCCACAATCTCCTGGTTTCTGTAACGCCTTTCATAGCTACGTCTCTGCAGTTTTACGAAGGCCCTCTGTCCTAGCGTCACAATCGTATGTAGTGATTTTTGTTCTGCAAACCAAAATCAGTGCGTCTGGCACCGGTTCAACTTCAGCAAACTGTCGAACAGACTTTCGTACTACCTAATATGTTCTTAGGACTGTGAAGCGGGACTTGGCTTCACCGTGCATCCTAGGCATCGAACACGCGTACTGAACCTCTCGTAATCCCAAAATATTCAGAGCGTGAAAACTCAGTCTACAAATACTCTTCAACAGATAAATCACTGTTAATCTCACATAGATTTGTGCTTCTCTCTGTCCTTGATTCCAATTCACTTCAAATAGTTGTGTTCCTTGAGTCACAACTAACGGACAGCTTTGGCATCTCCTCCGCTTTTTTTTTTGATTTTTTCCCCACACAAGGGGCGATACATATATTTATCTTATTTAAAAAACGGTCATTCAAGACTTTGAATAAAGATGGTTCTCCCTCTTGTCCTCCAGTTCCAAGGATAATTCAGTGTCTGGAACCTTTTTGGCACATATATAAAGGCAGCATACAACAGATGAGACCGGAAACTTAGTCTGCGTTAATCTGAATCACTTTTCGGCGGCTAATTTAACTTTTCGCAGACTCGAAACAATATAAGTCAGGATCATAAGGAAAAGTACAAAAGGGCGAAAAGACGCCGTAATCGGGAGTTTAATTTGCACTATAGGAACCGACTGGCGCCTTTGGTGATTTGGCGATAAAGTGCGGTTTGAACGGCTTTCATATTGAGGTAAATTAGACCCTCTTCTTCTTCACACCATGGCCACAGCGGAAACTCAGGCGCTCGGCAGCCGCGAAGGCGACGAAAACAGCGCACCATCACTCAAAACAGAAGAGACACGTGAACTTCAATTCTCTGCATCACTATCACCGCCTGTCACAGCTGCAATTGGCGGCGTTGTCACGTCTAGTAATAACATGAACTCAAAAATCAACAAGCGGTTTCGGGATCTGCCGGACAATCTCCGGTTTCAAGGCCAAACGCCAAGTGGGAAGCCTCGGCTGTTTGTGTGCAAAGTGTGTACCAGGGCATTTGCGCGACAAGAACATCTCGTTCGGCACGAGCGTTCGCACACCAAGGAAAAACCGTATCATTGCGGAGTATGTGAGCGCAAGTTTACCCGCCGAGACCTACTGCTGCGACATGCGCAGAAGGCCCACAACGGAAACTGTGGAGACTCATTAAATTCATCACGCCGTAAACGCAAAAGTGTGTCTCTCGCAGATACACAATCTCCTCAGACGGATGCAGCAGATCCCAGCAATGCTACAGAGGCCGAGACCGGCAAAACCCGCAAGAAGCCTCGGGCAGTGCGAAGGAGAGCCTCTTTCTCTGCACAGTCCGCCGAAAAATATGCCGGTTTGTCGAGACACCGCCAAGACGGCGCAGACATGGGACGGGTAGAGTTTTCCACACCACAACTACTACCTATTGACTTGACCACTGATGAAGCGTGTTCGGGCAGTACAAAACAAACCGTGGGGAGCACAGTGGGTTCAAGCTTTAATCTCTTAGACCGTAATACGTGGATCAGCGAAATGAACTCACTACCAATGTTAGAAGAGTCAAGTGACTCTGGAGACTCTCCATTGACAGGCACTAACATCGTTAGTAGAAGTAGCGACTGGAGCAGAAGAAGCAGTCGCGGAAGCAGTAATAACGGCAACCTGTCTAGTTTATTTTCGAGCGGTATTGCTAATCTCATGGGAACAAAGAGTAAAAGCGGCAGGCGCAACTCCTCGTCGTGGAAGTTTGAAGGAAAGAATTTAGTGGTAAACTCTCTGTTTGATTCTAATATTCATCAAAAACAAGGCGCTGTTTCGAAAGGAAACCTAAAGCCTGGAGACCCAGTACCTTCGCTTTTCGGTACGACACAATCAGAAATAACTCAGCCGCGCAAACTTGATCCAACCCACGACATCATATCTCGGTTTAATGAATTCCAATTTGCTATCAAAACTAATACAGGACTTCACTCTATTGAAGCTGCGGTGGCACTAGAGAGTGTTTCGTCTATGGCTGAACATCCTCGCCTAGATCCTGCTGCCGTTTTTCAAGCCCCTCATTATTCACATTCTGCAATCAGAGTTGAAGACTCGGGAAAGTTTGATTTATCCCCTGATGCAGAACAATTGTCAAGTAAGCCAACTGCGGAGGGGCATAATTTTCTGGGCTTGGCAAATCTACAAACAACACCACCTATCGTACATGAAAACCCAACTACAACATGCCAATTCTTCACCAAAGAAGTACGAGACATGTGCGTTGAGACTCTTCAATTCTACTATGATAACTGTTCGGATAGGCATTCTGCGGCCGCTAAAAAATCAGGTTCAGATCTTCCTTCTTGTCAAGAGCTTAACACCTACGCAACGTACTTTGAAACTTCCTTTTTGGTGCATTATCCCTTCATCCATCCGCGCCTACTCTCTCTAGGACTAGAAGATTTTAAGAAATATATTCATGAGGGACAGACAAAATTCACAGAAGATGAGATGTTCTGTAATTCTAACATTGTATGCTTACCTTTGTTCATTGCAACTATAGGATCATTATACAAGCCAGGGGCGCGCGTTCAAAGTCTGGAGCTGTACGAGAAAAGTCGTCGAGCTCTGCATGTTTACTTGACTACGCGGAAAAGGCAAGAAGAGAGAATGGCTGAAAAGAAAGAGACTCGGGGAAAGTTATGGCTTATTCAATCACTTTGTTTAAGTGTTGTATTTGCAATGTTTGCAGACCCGCTCGAGCGAATTAATGCAGAAATGGTGGTAAAGCAAGTATCAGCACTTTGTTCCCTAGTAAGAACTAGTCTTCTTCCAACTGCATCAACGCCTGTGTTCTTTTTCGAGTCTCTGACTCAATATGTTCTTTATGAATCGACAGTGCGCACCGTTCTCATGACTTATAAGGTGTGTCAATTTCTAAGGGTTTTTTGTAACATTGATGCCCCCCTGTTTCTGAATGACTTACAGATTAACGGAACTGTAATTCCAGATAGCGAACATATATGGCAGTCTGCTTCATTCCAAGAGAACCCCAAGCGATGTCATAAGCAGTACACCACAAACTTTGAGAAATTCTATCGAAGTTTTGCTTTCAGCAATGTGGGAATGCATCTCATTCCTGAATTTGTTTGTAGCGCAATGCTATTTTATGAATTTAACAACATCAAAAAGAACAGGTCTTCTATTCCGCTTCAAGTCTTTCTAACGAAAATCGATACCAAAAAGTTGGAGATGAATTTGCCTCATTCGAATTCCCTCATACCAAGCTCTCTAATTTTAATCGAAAGTGCTATTGATATGCGAAATTCCTTGACATGCATGGTCTTTTTTTGCAAAATTGACCCTCTATTCTCTCAGAAGGTATGGAATAACGCCATACTGGAGCTGTACGAAAGCTTCTTGATTTCTAAGGAAACTAACATCCTGGCACATGGATCATACGGGATTATCACTGATTTTCTCGTTGCCCTCAATTTCTCTATTAAGAACATCTCTAAACTATTCAAAAGCAAGGATGAGTCAATTGAATTCAATCGATCGAAACTGTCGGTTCTTAATTTAGAGGGCTATTATTATAACTTTTTGGTTGTTATTAAATTCATCATGGATTTTGAGGCAACTCCCAATTTCAAACTACTTTGCATTTACAATGAATTGAAGAAACTGGCGAATCAGCTGCTTATCCCAAAACTTGCATCGGTTTGTCCGGAGGAGTTCACAAAGTTTGCTCCTGAGAGCAACGCATTGCATAAAAAAATACCACCATCCTCCATAGACATGGACCATTTGGAAAAATTGATAAATAATGTCCTTGTTTATTCATTCAATGATGCCAATTTCCTTAAAATGCCCGAACAATCCTCTACTGAGTTCGCCTTTAGAAACCAAAAATCATTTCAAGCACCACAACAAGAAGAAAATTCTTTGGGGCCCTCAGATTCGTTTGCGACTATTCCAGGCGAACGAGGCATGGACGAGGTCGGAGAGAACAAAAGGAGAGAAGGCTTTGCCGATCATTATCATCTATCTGAAAAATATGTTGTTGTGGCGAAGTGCTTCTTCTATTATATCTTTGAAAGATTTGCTCATGCCCACTTCCTCGAAAAACTGTCGCTGGACTTTCTAGCTTTGGAAAGGCAATTGGACCGAAGCGACGTTAACGCTTTTACGAGTAAAATCGCGAAGGATTTCCAAAATATTGATTTTTCGAACGTGACGTCGGGAGCAGAAATTGGTGACAAAGTTCTTCCTTCCAATAACTAAATATATCATACACACCTAGTTTTCTTCATGCCCGGGGTCCTCATTAATAATTGTTTGTATAAGCCATTCTTTGTCTTCCACATATATTCTGTGCCCACTGGACTTCTCTTTGATACATTTAGACAATGCATTTGTCCAGGGCGCTTGGTCGTTTTTGGAATTGATGTAGATCAAGAACTTAAAATTCTGAGGATGTAACGCTTGCGTCCCCTCAATAGAATCAAAGACAGAACTCATATAGTCTTCGCACCAATCTTCTAATTCAACAGCATTTTTTATTGCGGGGCTGTCAACTTTTTGGAATTCAAGGGAAGCCACGCCTAATGCTCGGAACGCAAAACTGACAAATTCATCTAACTCGGACTTTCCACATACAAATATGTGGTAGTCGGCAAGCTTAAGTGGCCTGGATCGTATTTGATCCCTGAGAGAAGAATCAGCCAGCAAGTTTGAGTAAAAATGGAATATATTACTGGACTTCACGACGCCTGACTTCGTGCTGGAGTTGACATGCAATCTGAAGCTTTCTCCTGCAGGAAGAAGAAACTGGAAAACGCTGTGTTCGTCTAACTTCCCACAGTTCAGGCAGTGCTCTATAAACTTGTAATGCAAAGCGGGCCAGCCCATTGCCATAGTCTCCAAGTACTTGAGGCTTCTTGAGTACTTTTCTGTTATCAAACCCACAAATCTGAGCGCTGCGAAATCTACAATTTTTGAGAAAGCATCTACTTGTGAATTTAGCTCGATGATGCTTGAAAAACTCGTCTTAGAAATGAAGCCGCCCGCACGCTCAATTTTCAATGATAGTTCATGCCTTTTGCGATCAGCCAAGCCACTCAAAACAAATAAACAGCCCGTTAACACCCCATCATTACTTCCGTTTTCAAAAACGCTGATCTTAGGTTTCTCGTCTGACTTGGCCAACTCAGTAAATACGTGACTTGTTTTGTAATCTGGTGAAGATTCCAGTGCGTCAATAGATTTTGGTAAGTCAAGGCATGGTGTTATTCGAGTGATTGTCTTCGTGGAATTGCGACCCCTTATAGGATGTTTCAGATCATCGAAAGCCTTTTCACGATCTTGAAAGTCGCCCGATAAAATAATCTTTGCTCTTTTGGTCCACAGTACAGTAGATAAGGTAATCGAAGAGATCGGTTTGATCAATATTCGTTTGCCAAGCTCGCCATTTTTCGTTTTCTTTCTCAGGTGTACCGTATCGTAGCCTCGCACACATCTGATCACATTAGCATCGTAAGTTTTACATTCCAACCCTGTCACTACGTAAGGCTTATCCTCCCAGATGACCATCTCTCCCACTATCAAGTCTAGATAGAGCAAGTCGTCCCGCTTTACAGTTGAAAAGCCCGACCCAAATAGAACCTCTACTTTATCTGAGCAAGATTCTGCCGTCGTTACCTCTCCTGGATAATACACGCAATTAAAATCGTAATAAAACCAAACAGCATTGGGAAATAAAATATCTTTTCGAGTCAAAAACCCCTCATCCAGTGTTCGGACGCCTTTCGGAAGCTGGCTCAAATTGAGCTTCGTGCTGGCTATAAAACGATCAGACCCGGGTTTTGAAAGTATGGGATGAAGATCAGCATCGCGAGATGGGCTTTGAACGCCTTCGTCGATGGCCTCGGCCTTTTTCTGTGCACCCGACTCTTTGCACCATTCCTCTTCTTGATTTTGTTTGGGTTTCTTTAGTGGCGAACCTGTAAGCTTTTCTTCAACTTGCTCTGTCCCATCGAAAGAGTCTGGAAGTTTGATAAGCCCTTGCCGTCGCCTACGTAGGACTCTTCTATTCTTCAACACCTCTTGTGAAGCTTCGAATGAGCCTTGTAAGGCGCTATTTTCCTTGGTTTTGAGTTCATCAGGGCCCACTTGGGCTACGGAAAGAGAGTTACTCTGGGATGTGAAATAGGTCTTTGTTCCAGTATTAAATTCTTGTTGAGCACCCTCCTCAACCTCGGGTAGTTCCTGTGTTTTTTCAATATCACTGTATATGACGCAGTCCTTTGAGGTTTTCTTACCCACAACATCATTATCTTTCTGATAATCGTGAAGATTTGAAAATCGCAGTTGAATGCGCTTTTCACTGTCGTTCGAATCTGTGGCCTCACCATCTATGAATGTCTCGTCCATGAGGTCAATAATCTTCCGCTCGTCCTCATCTTGGCATTTGAATGGAGTGCTAGTTGCCTGACGGGACGTCTTGAGCTCTCGCTTATTGTCTAAGGGCGACCTCTTTATACTAGAAAGTGCCATTCCTTCAGTTTGTGGAGATACTATCAGCTGAATTGGCGTTGTTTTTTGGTCAAGCCCGGTGAACTTTGTCTGCAAACTGTTTATAGAAGTAAACCTCCCTATTATTGGCGACTGGGATTCATTGAGAGGTTTCGTCGTGTCAGTTATCAACGCAGGTAGCGGGAAGATATCATCTATTTGTGTCGCGGAGCCGTCAGCTTTGGCCAGCGTTGTTGATCTTTCATCTGATGTGTCAATCGGTTGTGTAGTGATGTCTGCGATCGGCACAACATTAGACTTTGATAATGACGGAACACTATCCGATCTTTGCGATGTTTGTTCCGATGTGTCTAGGAAAGCTGCTTGTGAATTCCCTCCGTTAAGCTCAAGAGCCTCGCCACCATTTCTAGCACGAATTGCACTGGAATTTGTGGCAGGCACTAAGACGTCGCGTGTTTCTTGCGATACATAGAAATTGTTATGTTTGGCATTTGCTTTCGTAGGAGTGTGGTTCATCATTGTCATTGGTGAGCCTTTGCGAGATGAAAGGGTGTTATTGTGAGGTCTCTGGTTGAGTTTCTGCGACTGCGAAACAGGCGGCAGTCTTATATCTCTAGTAAAGCCAGTTTCACTTGTAATGGTTTTATTATCAAGACTTCCATTCAGATCATAAATCCCACTGTTGTTCCTTTCCAGATCCGTGGCTTGATTATCATGCATTTTACGTATAATTGCATCTGGTGGGGTTTCACGTATTCCAAAATCTGGCTCTCGGCGCTGGGACTGAGGAGTGTCTTCTGGTGAGCTTCGGAAGTTTAGCTTGTTTTGACCTAAGTTTGGAGAGCTATTATGATTGTTGTTACAGAAAAACGCTCGCACTCTGTCTAAATTAGGTGTCTTTGTATTCGAGTAACGTTTCATCTTCGTAGGAGAATTCTCACCAGAAGCTTCAAAGTTTGTATTTGCATGCATCATGTTGGTACCTCCTCGTGTTTCGGTAAAAACATCAGTATCATTCGTCTTCTGTTGACCTACAGCACTTTCGGTCCGAATTGTTCCATTGCTAATTTGGTCGCGAGTAGAAACCAGCCTACGATCAGTTTCCCCGGTTCTGTTAGAGTTTATACTGACCAGTTGAGCTCTTGGAGTATCGCGGACAACCTTATCCCGCTCACTTCCGGTATCATCGCTGTTCATCACTTTGTCTTTGTAAACGTTACTTTCCTAGATAATATTTACGTTTTTCTAAAGTTCACCACCACACACAGCTACATTTTAGCCTGAGCATCACATTTAAATTCAGAACTTCGCAACAAGTCCGTAATGAGGGAAGGTTAGTTATCGCGGGAATACCCTTATCCAGGGTGCTTTCAGCAACGCCTAATGACACATTAGTGTTCTAACCACAGAAGCTAAAGATCAATGTGCTGTGAAAAAACCCAGTTTTGAGAATCTCATCAATTATTTTGACCGACAAGTCTCGGCAGCGGTTGTTTCGATTGGTCAACGGCCTTTTGTAGACCTGTCTTTTTCCATTTTCGAATTGGTGGTGAGCCTATGTCCCGCAGATTGTTTTAGTCCTATGTTGGGAGACCGTTGCGACAGCCGAATTGCACTCGAAACAGAACTCGAAAGAGAGATCATAAGCCATCCGGAGTTGGACCTAGAAGTGGAACCCCGCTTTTTGTTAAAAAGTATCTCCAGAACTCAACTTTACGATCAATCTGCTCTTGAATTTAAGATCAAGCTGATTGTTCTTTCCAAGACGCTCATTGCCTTGTTCGATTACTTCGACGAGGATTTTTCAGAGGCTTTTTTTAAATTTCGGTGGATCCTTCAGTTTTTGCATGAGGCTCGTAAGGTTCCTGGGATCTTCAACTTAGAAATAATTTTATCTCTGGACTACGAGCGTTCCTTATCACTCTTGTGTGCCAGGTCACTCATAAAAGACTTTAGAAACTTTGATGCGTCAAGAGTGAAAAGTGGAGCAGGATTTAAGGTGAATCGCCTTGATATTTTTGAGGGCTTGCTTGCAAATATTTTGGATTGTACGGAGCCCAGTATATTGACATGTGTCGACGAGCTGGATTACTATATGATGGACCAGCTATTCACAGTTTTAGGAGAAATGGAAAAATGTATAGCGTTTTTGAAAGGACCCCTGTGCGATGTGGATGGTATCACAAAATCAGAAATCTATGCTGTTAGGCCTCAAAGAAGTCACATTGATGGCATGATCCGCAAATACATTCTTGCCTCTACTTTCAAATTACCAGGTGATCCTACTTTTTCGTGTTGTTTTGATAAAGTGCTAGAGGGGGTTATACTCTATGGTGGTATCCATTTGTGTGTAATAGCATTTTTTCACAAGCTAAAAACATTTCACGAAGTTGAGTGCAGGAAGGTTTGTAGTTCACAGCCATCTGAAGTTGTTGAGTCGTCTTATGTGGCTCTCACCACTGAGATTATAAGAGATTGGGATTATCTGAACACCGGCAGCCAAGATTTGAAATTCATTCAATGTCCTCAAGTTTTAATGAAAGCTAATAGCAACGAAATTATAATGGTTGATTCTGTTTACGAGGAGTCCGAAAAAGATCATAATCACGATATCACCCTTTTACTTAGCGCTGCTAAAATAAGAGCGAAGCGAAAGTTTTACGGAGACTCACAGCTTCACCAGCAGTTTTCGGAAAGCCAGTGGCATATGGGTCTTTCATGGGTACAATTTTGGAAAAATTGTTATTTGGACAACAAGGGAGACATGGCACCAGAACTCAGCGATTTAGTAGAGAAAATGTACGACTACTCCTCATCTCCGGTGTAGTTAATCAAATCAATTGACACTTTCTCGGAACTTCATATTTTCTTGAAGCTTGAACTCAAGATAGCTTTAACAATCATTCAGGCGATGGCCATGTTTTTTTAATCAAGAGCTATTGTTGTTTTGGACACTTTCGTTCATCAGTTTCTGGGCTACGTTAGCGTCTTGACTCTTCAATGTCGCTTTAAGGAGATTTATCGTTAGCCGTCAATTTGCACAAAGATGCGGGGTCAAGAGGTTACCTTAGAGTAGTGTCTATAGCCACGGATTTAAAAACACTCCTTTTGAGTATGCACGCTTGTACGATAAATGATTCATTCTAGTACAAGTTACCAGAGCTCGTAAATAAAATTTATTGTGGAACTAGCGATAGTTTCTTCTCAATGTCGAAATTATGCACCTCGCATCTGCAAAAGATTGAGGTCGATTTACATCACCGAGTTTATAGCTCTTCATGGTCAACTAAGCGTTATAGTTGGTTTAATGACACTGTTACCAACAGCTCACCGGGATAGAGCTATTTCCGGTTGTTCAAAAATTCCCAGGAGAGCCCAGCAAATGAAATCGAAGAAACAATTGTTGACCGGGCCGCATCCACGTTGTTTCTTAATATTATTATAATAGCATTTATACTCAAATCTCAAGTTCAATCGTCAGTAAATAGACGTTCTCACAGTGTTGGGTTTTGTCAATCTCATTACTTCGAACACCCATTTTATGGGGAAAAACAGTAAGAAGAACATTAAGCCTTAATTCACTGGAAGGGAACAGCCTTCTTTACCTTTGGAGGGTGATGAGATACAAGATCCATAATCTATCATACTAGTCCACACTATCCTTGTTATTGTATAATTGAATTTCCCTCAAATTTGGCACATGTGTCGCCCGAAGTTACTTCGGATTATGCCAGGTACTACATTAGGTCGAGCATTACTTTTACCGACAGTCATTACTAGACATTGATGTTAACACCTTACACCAAAACGGTAGGATGCTTTGGCGTGGGAACAGCGAGCTCTCTTTGAGTTCTCATCACCACTTTCATTTCTCTCAACCAGAGTTCGCTGTGAGTTAGTCAGAGCAACAGCTAGAGCAAATACATGACGTTCCTTTCGAAAGGCAAAACGTGTCTAGCAAACACCCACTAGTACTACTAGAGTTGATAGCAACAAAAATATGGGCATGCTATGCTTCTATCCTTTCTGCTTGAAGTATTTTTGGGTAAATGCTAGAGTTTTCTCGATATATCTCTTTAGTGATGTTGTACGTTCCATAGGTTCAGTCCGTTATACTTATTGTTTCCTCTTTTTCGCGGCACTACTAGCTATTTCTGTGTCAGCAGCTGCCCTTTTTTCGCTCGCTTCACTTTGCGTTTTTATTTTTGCTGTCAACTCCTCAATGCGACCCTCGATGCTTTTCAGTAATTCCTCTCTTACAATACCATCCTTGATATTCTCATAAACAAAAACGTTGTGATCTTTTTCCATGCTTTCTTCAGATTGTTCATCTTCATCAATTAAATTGTTCATTTCTTCCAATGACACTTGCAGTTTATCTCCCTTGTTACTTTTCAAGTCAAAGAAATTGTCCTCTAAAACCCTGTAATCAGTAAGCAGCTCCACGAATTGAAGAGGTGTTGCTTTGAAAGGAAATCGTTGGGAAAAGAAGTTTTTTGGAAATCTAAAGGACGAATCCATATTCTTTTTGAACTGCAGTCCACAGAACACCAATGACAAGGCTGTAAAAGTAAAACCATCGCACAGTAGAGACACTGGTTGCGTACCTGCTTGTATTATAAAATTTCGTGCATCTTGAATAATTTTAGGAAGGGCCTTTGTAAATTCCTCACTCAACTCAAAGTCTCTGTTGTAACGGAAATACCCACTGAAGATCTCTTCTATGAGTTCTTTGGGGTTGTTGAGATTCAAGTCAAATCCCAGCTGGCACAAAACTTGCTTTTCACAAGCGACCAGCCTGTCTCGCAGCTCCCACCTGAGTTTCTCAACATTTTGTCTACCACGGGACGTAGGGACGTCTTTCAACATAAAGTCTGAAGTACCTTTAACATATACATCAATCGGTCTATTGTTTTCAACGGTCTTGCAGGCTGTAACAAGCATAGCTTGGGACAGATGTATGCACTCTGTCAAAGTTGGTGGCAGGCCGTAGACGAACCAGTATCTGAAAAATAGAATACAAGCTGCTGTGTACGTGTGATCAAACAATTTGAGCTGTTTCTTCATCACATAGAAATACATGAGACATTTTTCCATCCTCCTTTTCAGTTCGTTCGCTATGTGCGGATCAGTGCCCAACCGATCAACGATTTCCTTACATGTATAGACCCACTTGTTTGTTGGTGTCCTTATCATATCAGGCCACAGGGTACGTGCGTTAAAGCCATCTGTCGTCGTAGCAGGAGAATTGATATTTGTTTGAGACATGTTCGCACACCGACTTGCAACGATTACCCACTTAGATACTTCGGATCGTCCTAGAGAAGCATGTTCGTGATCTGGTTTTCGATAAAAATATTAGTCGTATTTTTATTTATGAGCGTTAACGACGACAACAATCAGTAAAAAAACATGTACACCAGTCGCCGTCTTGGGCATACTACTGTTTAAGCCATCCGTTATGTTATGTAAATTAGTTCGTAAGTATCATTAGCATTTCTCGTAAGAAATTCTGTTTTTGTCTGTAATCTTAGCAATTAGAGTTCTTCTGTGAGGGGCTTGGTTTTGCCGCCTTTGTTTGTTTCTTTTGCGGGTTGTTTCATGGGATGTGAGATTCATTCCGTTTGCAAGATGCTCTTCGTATCTAGTAAGAAATCCCAGCGAGCTCTTGGAAGCTTCTAAAGGCATGCCTGACGGCAAGTGCGAATTGCAACGCTCCACTTCGACAAGGTAACCCTGCGATAAACTCCTAGTGGTGATGGACGCCGGTCGCAGTGCAGGCGCTAAATCTTTCTTTTCGCAACCATCTTTAGAATTTAAGGGATCGTTGATCTTTTGAATCCGCGTGTTAAGCCGCTCAAATAGATATTTCTTGTCACTGACCTTTGTAGAACGCTGTAGCTCCCTCAAGTACTTGGTAGAAGAGCTAGAATCTGAGCTATGTTCACTTTCTGAGTCTGTTGAGCCATTGTCGAGATTTTTGAGCTCATCTGAATATGACCAAGCCAAATCTGAAAGTTTCGGTACTTCGGAGAAGATAGAGCTGGTCGACCGGGAGTGATACGACGAATCCGGAGAGTGGTCATCACAATGTACTCCCTCTGTGAAGCCTTTTGAATTCGAAGGGTAAGTCTGGAATTCAAAGGGCGTGAGAGCAACGTTGATATTTGCCCTCTTAGTTGGGGTTTCAGGCCGATCAGTGGCGTCCTCGGATTTAGACGCTGTTGCGCTACCAGATTTATGGCTAGATTTTTCTTTTGATAATTTGTGACTGTTTGTGGCGATTCGTTGAAACCCTTGAAGGATTTTGAGATAGGCAAGTCCATCTTTGTCGATAAGAGCGCTATTTCTCCTCACTGTTACTGAGCATTGTACTCCCGATTCTTGAAGGCTGATATCCGCTGTAGGAGATTCACTTTCTATCGCTACGTCTGTCAGTTCTTGAGGTTGAGAATGTTCTGATTGACCGAGCAATGGGACTTGAGTTCCGAGTTCAAAGCGGGCTTGCAAGTCGCGAATAGCGTTAACGATCGAGGTTTTCTCGGTAGCCACCAGGTTCAACAAATGTTCTTTTTGGTTGATGACGTGCAGAAAATCGAATAACAGTCGCTTGGTCCATTGGGCAGCAGTACTTTTTCCATTGACCGATCTATGGTAGGTGACGCTTTCATTGCTCAACACTCGCAATGTTTTGCATGTTTTCGACAAACTTTCCAGATCTTGAAAGGGGAGGTAGAATAAAATCTCCATGATAATGTCCAGTGGCAGGTCAGCCAATGACCGATTTTCGGATCGCGGCATTTGGTATCACAGCGTGTGAACCTTACGGCCTACCTTAAAGCTCGGTAATAGCACTTCGCCTTTATGCCTTGAGTGTAGACTTGCACACACCTAGATGTCCGCTTTAGCAAACGATTTCTACTGGTTTTCCCACTCTCCTGTATAGATCGAAACTCAACATTGATTGATTCCAGTTGATTTTTTTTTGAGTGTTGTTGCCATTACCAAAAAGAGAAAAACTGACACCAGCCTATATATCATAGAGAAACCAATTGAGCTCAATAAGAACGACTTTCCACAAATGAAATGAAGTAGTCATTTGAACGATGCCCAAACAGATTTCAATAATAGATAGCTTATTTATTTTGGTTTTATTATTTAATTTTGCTTATTTGCAGCAAAACTTTCGGTGTTTTCGTAGCACGCAAATGGCATCGTGAGTTCTAAACATTGTAGGCTTGCTGTGAACAGCCTTATCTAGTACGTGTTACTACTGCTCATAGTTGTTAATATCGTTGCACTTGGAGCTTGGCGTCCGGTACCACCGTATCACGGCACAAGCTATTCAATATATTCAGCTGAGATTCGATCTTTAATTAACAGATGTAGAAAATTTGATTTGGTTTATTTGCCCTGAGAGCCCAAATGTTGTCCATTCTGCGCTATACGTTGTTTTTACATTCAGTGTATGCAATTGCGAATTCGGTCCACGGTGTTCCGGATTCCTTGCAACACTTATACCAACCCTTGGAATCCGATCGCACGAAGTGGGCGTGTTTGAGCGATCCATCCGTGATCTTGAACTACTCTCAGATCAATGACGACTACTGTGACTGCCCAGATGGCTCGGACGAACCTGGTACAGGTGCCTGTGGGTCGCTGTCAAGATTTTACTGTCCTAATGAAGGCTTTGCTCCAAGGTACGTTTCGGGATTCAAAGTGGGTGACGGAGTATGTGACTGTTGCGATTGTTCTGACGAAACCGATGGTCTGCATACTCCTGAATTAAGCTGTTCTCAATTGCGCGATAAGTTTGATCTACTAGTGAAACGCGAATTGCAACAACACGAACGTGGTGCCCGTTCTTTACTTAAGCTCGAGCACAAGTACGATGTAGACATCCAGCAAGATCCCGTGAGTGAGCAACTTGAGAACCTCAACCATTTAGAGCATAGATCAAGTGAGTTGTCGCAACAGTTGAAGGCCTGCGTCGCTGATTTGGCTTCACTGAAGAAAGACTACCATGCTAAATTGCAACAAGAAAATCCATTAATGCTTCGTTTAGAACAAATAGATGTACCTCACATTTCAGCTGTCATTGGCCAAATATTCGCGCAGGCTGAAACCCAATCGGAAAATTATCAGAAACTCGTCAAGATCATGGATTCACTTCGGGAATCTTACAATAGAAACCTGAACGACGATGTTGTGAATTCCAATGTGGAAAAGTACATCGAATTCATGAAAAGTAATCGGAAAGATGTTACTGTCAGTTCAAGCTTGGATCGAACTCAGCGCGAACAAATAGAAATTTATCTCAACGAAGAACTACCTAGTATGGTTTTGAAAGGCTCCAGCCGCTTACCATCGGCAGCAATAGAAGGAAAGTTCTCAATGGCGAAAACTCTAGTTGCAGTTAAAGTCAAATATTGCCAAAGACTTCACAACGTTCTTAAAGTGCTGACAGCGATTATGGATGACATCTCTGAAAACTACAACGTCAATTTCCAGGATTCTGCCGTAAAACAGACAGTTGCAGCATATAGGGAATTCTTGGCTCAACAATCTCACATTTCGGAGCCCTCAAGTTTGCCCTCGGAAAGTTTACAAAAACTCGGTGAACTTGAAGGTTTGGTTAAACTAGCCTCAGCAAAATTAATCACCCCCTCCTGGGAGGAAAAGAGCTCTTTTTTTACCAATTTTAATGGTTTGTTTCACAATCTGGTGAGTACTTTCGGCACGCGAAAGATAAGTTTAGAAACACTCAAGTCAAAAATTTTGGTCATGGAACAGAAATGTGCGGCGTTGAGAAAAGAATCCAGAACCAAACGTGAAGAACTCAGACAATTAGAGGAGCACTTATCGAAAAGTAATGCTGATTTAGATAGTGTTCACTTTGCTAACAATGCGGTTGATCAGCTTTTAACCAAATTGTCTCCTGGTTGCATTGAGGAAAAGATCGACAATTACATCTACCAAATCTGTTTCAATAAGGAAAATGGCATGATTGTTCAAAAAGAGGATAAATCTGGTGGTAATGAAGTATCCATTGGCCGGTTCGAATCATTTACTTTCGATCAAAAGCAATCCTATAATCGCTACGCAGATGATCTAAGAATAGAGTTTTCAGAGTCTGATTTGGTAACGCATTTAGAAAATGATTTGGATAACTTTAATTCCGAACTGCTAATTGGCAATTTGCCAGAAGGAAATAGTGGTTTGTCTATAGAGTATTCGCATGGTGACAAGTGTTGGAATGGTCCTGAAAGATCGGCGAAAATTTACTTCAAGTGCGCAGAAAACTTCAAAATTCATGGAGTACAGGAGCCTACGAGATGTCATTACAGTTTTGATGTCAGTGGTCCTTTGGGCTGCTCTACCGACTTTAACTTCAAAGCACCAACTTGGTATTAAAGTAATTATTCCGTTGTCATTGACGCAAAACGACAAAAAGTTCAAAGTACAAGTCTTTGAACGCGGGTGTAAGTGGTGGCCATTCTTTTCTAGTTTGCCCATCAATCTCATTTGAACGAACATTACCACAAGCCATGGGTCTCAGCTCACGCTTCAGTCCCGTTAAGGACTGCACACCTCATGAACAAAATTACACTGTTTTGAACGACGTTTCAGAACTTTGGTGGCAAACAGCCGATGGGAACAAAGCTGAATCGAATAAGCCTAAACATTCCTTCTTGTCACTGAAACCTCAGAAATTACTTAGTAGGCAGAGAAATACTACTGTGGAGACGCAAACTCTTTATTTCACGGACCTCGAGAGTAAGAAGTGTGGATTTGTGCAGCTTTTGTTGTCGAGTGTTCTGGGAGGGATAAGTACGAACATTCAGCTGAATTTGAAGCTATTCGATTGTGATAACGAAGGTGAATTGGGGTCGTGGGAAACCTTCAAAATCGATGACGTTACAAAATTTTCGCAAGATGGGATGAAGTCCAGGCATTCTAGCTTCCAGCTTATACCTTCTCAAGGCCAAGAAATTGGAAATCTTCTTATTTGTGCCATCAACTTGAAATCACAGAAAGGAAGGTACTTGAATGCAAACTTGTCAACAACACTTAGAACCGGTTTCAAAGTTGATCCTGATGGGTCGAGTTTTTATTCTGACGAAGGTTCTTCGAAGCCGCCTAGAATTATGAGACATGTCTTTGTGCCTCAAGGTCTATGTACTGGTTCGATTTGCATTGAAGGAGGTGGTCAACCAAGAAGCACCGTCAACTTGGAGAAAGTTCCGGCGATGTTTATAGAAGCTCTACAAGGTATAAGTCCCCACAAAGCTGCCAGCTGCTGGAACTTCTCATGCTTTCAAAACTACGAGATAGGTGCAGTCTGCATGGAGTACACCACCACGTCGGAGTTCCAGAAAACTGTAGTGACCGTTACAGGGATCGCCCGCAATGGTAAGATATCAGCCGTGTACGCGTCAAGTGAAAATGAAAGCTCTGTGAGTGCTCGGAAACATGTAAAATTTCTACAAACTTCGAAAGATCCGCAAAATAAATGGTGCTACCCTAGCTCGATTTCCTTTCCGTTAGACGGCCCAAACAATGTATTAAAGCTTGATCCTTTGCGCCTAGTCAACAAATACGACATACTGGATGAATTGCCAGCTATAATCAAACGTGTTGTCGAAAGCATTGCTGGAATAAAGCCCTTTATCTACCAATACTGTCAAATAGCTGAATTCGACGGAGAGAGTGGAGTGGCAATTGCTGAAAGTACCTTCATTTCCGAAAGCTGATTCGAAACTCTTTGTCATCGGAATTGCAATAGAAACTAAGTATAAGAAATAGAAATTTTTGTGGCTAACAGCGTTTATATCAAGCCACTGTGTCTGTCATTTTGCCTGCTGCTGACCTTTCTTACGCAGCGGCGAGCTTTAAACTCATGTCATTAACCTTTAAAGGCCAGACAGCATTGTAAACAGCTCCAGAAGATAGGTATTTATCAAGCGAAGATGGTGTTAAACCATGTGCATACCCTGACATCCCCTCGTGTGTTAATCGCTTTGTACGAAATTAGCCGCTTAACTTGGGATATTTTGGAAATATCACATTTACAAGAATCCCGGAATTACCGAGGCTTGTCTGTAATAAAACTAGTATCAGTTTTCGCTTTGAAGAGGGGAGGTGAAGTGCCCTCTGACCTTGGACTTCTCCAACAGATCGCAAACTATCGAATAGTTATTTCACAATCGCGACGCTACAAGCTGGTAGCTATCTCTGATGTTTTGCAAAGGTACTGTTAACACTTGAAAGGAAAACAAAAGTCCATCTATCCTATGACTATTCAGCAAATTGCGGCAGGTTTCATGCCGCGTTGGCGACTTTTCATTAACGCAGTGTAGAACATTTCATATTGTCAAAACTCGTCAACCATATCGCTATACTGATCCCGACGGTTTATTCGCCATGTTGAGATTCAACTGTTCGCATGACCAAATCTACTGAGCCTTTACAACCCCGAGCTCATAATCAGCAGTAATGGATTAAGTGGTATTATACACCCATTGACCCTTCAACCAATAACCTCACGGAAATCATCTTAGGAAATAGACGTCCAGAAAATTAATGATCACCTTCACCTACATTGGCCAAGAGCGGAATTCAAACGCTGCAAAACCGTGCAGATGCTCACCTCTAGTACTCCCTAACAGTGGTTTTTGAGTTTCTGAGATTGAAAAGGCTCACGCTTATTGCAATTTGTGGATACTGCTACTTTTCAAGCAGGGCAATGGAACCTGCAGCATTTGAATTGTTGTCACCTCGACGAGGACGGGAGAGTGAGCGCAGCTATCACATGTTATCAAGCCTTTAAGACTTCTGACGGCTGTATGAAAGACTCCATTTGGTTGTATATGGATAGTCTAACCTCGTCCTTAGATCATTCTCTCACCAGATACAGAAAATTTTACGTATGCAAAGGTGTCACCTAGTAAACGGTGAGCTCGGCTATTCTTGTGAGATAAACCCATCAAGTCCTCATGCAAACAGCAATTTATTCACGAATATTACACTTTCAATCTCTTACCGTTAGTGGTCCAAGGCGTTCTTTTGAAAGACAGGCATCCCTTGTCTAAAGCTGCTTCTTTCACCTTTCAGGTTTTTCTACCCGCCAATGCTTACCTCAGCGTTGTTTACTGGAGCACCTTCGAATTTCTCAAAAGAAAAAGTCGAGATGAGAAGAACATGATTCCTAGCAAAAAAATTTTAAAGCTGAGAGCCCTATTTTGAAGTTATAATAGTGAATAACGGCTTTTTAAAGACGATAAGTGACCTTCTCAGCGACTCTGAAACGGTTCAAGAGCTCTGTTTGATATTGAGCATACCCGCTGCCAAAAAATCACAATCTGAAGGCATAAGACTGTTACGAGAGGTGATTTCCGTTAAGCTACTAAAGGAACGGCGGAATTGATAGTAGCCGCTTTTGAGAGCACTGTATCAACTGCAGAGAGCACTGTATCAACTGCAGAGAGACAAAGTTGAGACTTTCTAGGTGTTCGAAAGTGAATCATTTGTACAGGCCAAGACGTTGGGGAAATGGCCGGGAAAAGTCCCGTGAAGACAGGAGCTGTGGCTGGCAAACAGCCGTCTAATCTTAAGAAACTGAAAAATCGGAATGTTGGTGGCAAGTCAGCCCCAGTACTTTCAAACATGGGTTTGCTCGCCAGACCAAGGCGGTTCAGTCTCATATACTCTTCGGATTCGTCATTAAGTGCATTGTCGGACCTAGAGGGCAACCGGAAAACCAGCTTCAAGAACCCAAAAATGAGCAAGAAATCCAAGCGAGGCGTAAGTAATGAGATGGGCAAGAACGGCAAACTGATACCAGAAAACGCTGTAGATTCCGACAGCGATTCGTCTTCCGATGTCGGTGCGATCGACGAGGAAAGCGATAATCAAGACAGCAGTAGCGATGATGACAACGAGGAAGACGATGACGACGATGACGAAGGTGCCGGTAAAAGTGGGAACGGCGATTCTAGCTCCGCTTCCAGCTCAGATGATGACGATGTAGATTTTGTCAAACTGAGCGCGGAAAGGAAAAAAAGGGCCATGCGGGCCATGAGCGCTATAAAGCGGGGCAAATCACCTAAGAAGAGCGACGTATCTCATAAATACAACAGCAAGGATGGTAAAGCTGGTAAAAATATTAAAGTAGAATCTCTTGGCAAGGATAAACCCAAGGTCGAAAGTTCCGATGAAGATGCTTTGGCGTTCACCTTCAAAAACGATGGCGGCATTAAGTTTGGGGACGAGACAAAAGATACAGCAAGCGATGAAGATTTGGGTGAGGAAATCAACGATGGTAGAAACTCTTCAACAAAGACTCCTGCATCCAAGACCGCAGCAGTGGACCGACTGAACGTTCCACAAATATCTGAGAGTGAAGAATCTGACTATGAAATCGACCACGACGCATACCTCAAAAGCATACAGCACGACGAAGAGGATATTGTGGGGCTGGACAATGGTTTAGATACTGGTGAAGACGATGTCCCTATGTTAGACGAGGAAGAGAATCATATCGTAATGGAATTAGAAAACGATGATGAGCTCTCATTCAACGGAAGCATACACGAAGAAGGTGAAGATCCTGTAGAAATTGAGGCACAAAATGGTAAAAGCGCCAAATTCAGTAGTCAGACATACAAAGATTATGACGATGAAGATGAGGACGAAATCATGAGTGATTTTGATGAACCATTCTACGAGGATCCAAAGTTCGCTAATCTATACTACTGTGCTGGAAGTGACCAACCGCTTTCACTGAGCACGTCACTACCTTTGATATTGGATGATGAGAAGCGGAGAAATTTGGACAAAAAACAAACAAAGAAAATGGAACGTGAAGAGCTAATACGTCGTCGAAAGCTTTCCAGAAAACTCGACAAAGAGCGGAGACAGAAGTCTGCTGCTACCGATTTGGATAATGAGGAATACCTTTTTGGTGTGTACTTCAGAAGCGACGGGGAGGAGGAAAAAATCCATAGCTTGGAGTCACCTTTGCGCCAGTTGGGTTCAGCAGCTGCTTCTGAAACAGACTACTCTAGCGATGAAGAATATGAAAATATTTTACTTGATATCGCCCACATGCCAACAGATGAAGAAAGTTTGGGGGTTTCTGCTGGCGGTTTAGATCACGATGATGATGAAGACGATGACGACGATGATGACGATGATGACGTTAGTATGTCTAATGTCTTTATCGATATTGATGACCTCGACCCCGACTCATTTTACTTCCAGTATGAAAGCTCTGATGGTGAGGATCTAAACGAAAATAGCAAAGGCCTGGAGAGATCCGACCTCGGAAAGTTGGGTGAACCTGAAGACAAGGATTATGTGGAGACCGTTGTTTACATTGATGGCGAGTCTACAGACGAAGATGAAACTTTGCCCCCACCTGATACAAGAAACAAAATTGGGTCAAAGGCCAAGGAAGTCGTCAGCGCCAACGTTGTAGGGTTGAAACCTCCCAAGCTGGGAACTTGGGAAACCGACAATAAGCCTTTTAGTATCATCGATGGTTTATCTACCAAATCGTTGTATCCTTTAGCGCAGGATCAGCAATTATTAGAGCAGCAACAACTCCAACAGCAGCCGCTATCTGCTAGTGAACTCAGTGGAGCTGGAGAGAAGGAGGAGCTTACGCTCAACGAACTTTTGAATATGAGTGAGTTGGACGATGAGGACGGAACTTCTAATGCTAACAACAATAACGGCGCTGCATCCGAATGGTACAACAAACCAAAAGTGCCACTTTCCGCTTTCAGAAATAAGGGGGTGGATGTGACGCAAGATGAAGAATACATGCTCCCGGTTTTCTCTGCAAGGAAATGTCCAATTGGTTATGTCGGAAGTGAAAGAACGAGACGGAAGATTGATAGAATGAAAGAGTTGCAGAAAAAAAAGAGTGAAGAGAGAAGGAAGGTCAAGAAGAAGAAAAAGCTGCTCAAGCTCAAAAGAGAGCGCGACCGGCTGGAAAAAGAAAGTCTTACAGAAGCTACTGCTCCAATTGAAGCTGAAAACGAAGAAGGGCTAGGCGCTGTGATCCAAACTGATTCACTTAGCGCGTCGGACAAAAAGCCGGATTACGATGCAATCGGAGACGCTAATAGTTCCAAAAACTCTATTGAGAGCATGGATTTGGATGATATCAACAACCTCCTGAGTCATGCCGACAGTGATCTCGTGGCGCATGAAGGTCACGACATGGATATCATTGGAACAGAAGATGCTGATATTTTGGCCACTCTGACAGCTCCAGTCAACGTGGATACCATAGACCATAAAAATATGACTACTGGCGCTGCATGGAGAAGGCGTCAAAGTGTCGTGGAAGCCGCGGCTGAGAACTTGCGGTTTACAAAGAGCGGCTTGTTTAGTGAGAGCGCATTAGCTGATCTTGAACAAATCATTGGAGGTTCTGCGGGCTCCGTGATCGAGTTCAGTGACGTTTTGCAGTAAAAAGAAGACAGGTTTACACTCTTCATCGTCTCTTATCAAGAGAGACGTTTAGTTTTACATTTCGACATTTTATTTTATTATTAGGCTGGGACAGGGATTGCATTTCCCTGGGCTTCAACCAACGGGAGTATTTTTCAGCGCGATCGCAACCAATAGAGGTGGGACCTCAAGCATGTATAACAGCATTTTTAACATTAACTAAACTAGGCGTGATTTTTAGGCTGTAGAAGCCTGTATTAGATTTTTGAACCAAGAAATATATAACTTGTGCGATTTCAAAAATGAGGCATGAAGTTGGTATTGGTAGGAGACGCTTTGACTTTTCGGCGGTAAGTGATGTCTAAAAAATATTCGCCGCGAGTACTTGACAGCTATTCCGAGTACCGTGATAAGGATCACTCACCACGCTAGCTCATCGAAAAATTAATTGAAAAGTTTGAAGTGCTCATCGGCAAAAGCTGATCAGTGCATAAGACACTGTACTGGATCAAATCTAGCATCAATATGGATTTAAAGAGTCGATACACAAACTACGAATTACGGCCATTCTATGCTGGAAGTGGCGCTGTCGCTTCTGTCTCGGAAGATGGCCAACTTCTAGCAACATCTGTCGTTGATGAGGTAAACATCATGGACCTTGGTTCTACTAAAAAAATCCTACACAAGATTGAGAATGACGATGAACAAGAAATCACGGCTCTTAAGCTTACTCCCGATGGTAATTATCTATGTTTTGTGTCACAGGCCCAACTACTACGAATTTACGACTTGAATGCGAAGAAAGTCGTGAGATCCATGAAGGTGTCCTCTCCGGTCTACGTCATGGACTGTGACGCTAGCTCCACTTTGGTAGCCCTAGGTGGTACTGATGGTAGTGTAACTGTGGTTGATGTGGAAAATGGATACGTGACGCATTCGTTAAAAGGTCATGGTGGTACTATCTCCAGCTTGAAATTCTACGGCGAACTCAACAGCACAACTTGGAGATTAGCTTCAGGTGATACCAATGGTATGGTGAAGGTCTGGGATCTTGTGCGCAGGAACTGTTTGCACACCATTCAAGAGCACGCCGCTGCAGTTAGAGGCCTAGATTTCAGAGTATCTGACGCATCTGAAGGCACATTGGAACTTCTGTCTGGTGGTAGAGACGACATTGTGAATCTTCATCAGCTGGATGCAAGCAAGAAGGTAAAACTTTTACAAACCATTCCCGTAAATCAACAAATCGAGTCATGCGGATTTATTCAAGGTGCAAAAAAAGAGAACTTGTTCTACACCGCTGGAGGCGAAGCAGTTTTCCAGGTCATGTCACTAGACTCGGGATTCATAATCAAGAAAAGTAAGAAACCAGTGGAAGAGCTTTTTATAATAGGAGTTTTGCCCATCTTAGAAGGATCCAAAATGTATCTCGTGCTATCAGACCAGACTCTATTTTTGGTTGACATGCATGGCTCCTTCCAGGAACTTGATGATAGTATCATTATAGAGCACAAGATCGCGGGTAACCATGGTACTGTGGCCGATATGAGATTTGTGGGGCCAGGTCTTACCATGCTAGCCCTCGCGACCAATTCTCCCGCTCTCAGAATAATTCCTACCACCGATTTCTTACCACAGCAAGAAGACACCGCAGGTGAGAGCATAGGTAATGATGTAACTTCCAGAAGTTTACCCCTGGAAGTAGAACTTTACGAAGGCCATACTGATTTACTAAATGCAGTCGACTCAACCGAGGATGGGAAATGGTTGGCTACTTGCTCCAAAGATCACACCGCCCTTCTTTGGAGATATAATTCCGATCTTTCGAAATTTGAAATATATGCAAAATACACTGGGCATGCTGGATCCGTCACGGCCGTTGGTTTACCTAACGTTGTGCGGAAAGATTGGCCTGAATTTATCATCACTGCTTCAAATGATCTAACGATCAAAAAGTGGACTGTTCCTAAGCCAGACCGCGAAAACAGAGAAGTACACGTTATCAAAGTATCTGACTACACGCGAAGGGCTCATGAGAAGGATATAAATGCATTGTCACTCTCGCCTAACGACTCTGTCTTTGCTACTGCCTCTTACGACAAGACCTGTAAGGTATGGAACGTTGACAGCGGAGAGCTTGAAGGCACGTTGGCAAATCATAAACGTGGTCTATGGGACGTATCGTTTTGCCAATACGATAAGCTTTTAGCTACAGCCTCGGGAGACAAGACTATAAAAGTTTGGTCTTTAGACACATTCTCGGTGGTCAAGACGCTGGAGGGACATACCAATGCCGTTCAAAAATGCTCTTTTATCAACAAAAACAAACAACTCATTAGTACGGGAGCCGACGGACTAGTCAAGATATGGGATCTTTCGACTGGGGAGTGCATTCGTACTCTCGATGCGCACGAAAATAGAATTTGGGCCCTGAGTGTGTTGCAAGATGGAGAAGAGTTTGCAACGGCTGACGCAGACGGTGTATTCCAGTTTTGGAGAGACTCTAGCGAAGAAGAATCAAAGCAGAACCTCGAAAACGAAAAGTTGCGCGTCGAACAGGAGCAATCGTTGCAAAACTACCTTTCGCGAGGAGATTGGACAAATGCATTTTTACTAGCCATGACTCTTGATCACCCTATGCGGCTGTACCGAGTTCTGGAGAACTCTGCATCCGCAAACAATGAAAGCTCCACTTTTGTATTCAACGAAGAACTAGACAAAGTCATTGCCTCTCTAGACAACGAGCAAATTTTGACTTTAATGAAAAGAAGCAGAGACTGGAACACTAATGCGTCTACTCACTCAATTGCTCAGAAGGTCATTCGGTGTATTTTAATGCGTCACAATATTGCTACTCTCAGCGATGTACCAGGCATCATGAACATCATCGACGCAGTCATACCATATACACAAAGACACTTGACCCGGATTGATGATCTGGTCGAACAAAGTTATATTTTGGACTATTCGTTGGTTCAACTAGATAAAATAATGTAATAATATGAGGTCTTAGGTCACATTACATAAGTGAACATCAGAAATTTAACCAAAAAAAAGATTATATCGCGATGAGCATCAAAGTAGATGTGACGATTGAACTCGCTTTTGATCTAAACTAAGTAAATATGGCTGTTACAGATAACAATCTTGCGAAAGTCGCGAGCAGGAAGACCAGAAGAAGCAAGAAGAGAAGAACTGCCGAAGTTTCGGATTCCGACTCGTCCTCATCTTCCTCATCGTCTGACGCTGAGTCTGAGAAGGAAAATAATGAAGGAAGCGCTATTAATGGCGCCAGCGAGTCGCAACCTATGGAAGAGCACTCGGATTTGGAAATTTCAGAGGAAGGGGTAATGGAGGACATTAAACTCGACGACGACGAAACCCTAGGAGATGCTACCCGGCAGATACTAAATGATATTCCACTTACTAGCACTGAACTGTCCGAGAATCCTCGCAAGAATATCAACAATATAGACCTCTCTCAAATACAGCAAACGCTGCAGGAAGCTCAAAACAAGGTATCAAGCACAAAGGACGAAGGACAACTGAAGAACTCGTATTTAAGTGTTGTTTTCAAACACTACGGAGAAGATGTTAATTCGTTAAGAGAAGCACCAGACTTCACACCCAAGTCGCTCGTGTTACTGGCAAATGTTTTGAAAGATGGCGGTCATATGTTTGATATAGACACTTTGAGAACCGTAGTGGAGTCCGAACTTTAAAAGATACCTTGATTGGTCTGGCCCTTTTTAAGAGCAGTGGTTCTTATAGCTCTGAATTCATTTATAGTTATGTAATATACAGCATCTCGAAGATTTCACGGATAGGAGGCAATGTCAAGAATGAAATTGAACATATGAGACCTCCCGGTTCAGGGAGGTTTGAATGAAAGTGTTCCCAAAAATGTTCAGTTTAAAAGTGTTGATTGACTATTTTCCATTCGTTTTATCTCATTGGTCAATAACTCTGACCATAAACCAGGCAGCTCCAGCAGCCATACCTCCAACCGCTAACATTTGTACACCCTCACTTATCTTTCTCCCCACCGTACAGCTGTCGCTCATGGATATGGACGCCTTGACATAACCGAACAAAAATAACGTTATGGACATGAGAATGATGGAAATTGCGAGTCCGGAGCCTACTTCCTCAACGAAAAAATATGGAATTAATGGCACGAATCCACCAGCAAAATAGCCCCCGCCTATGGTTAGTGCACTAATCAGTTGTCGGTTTTCAGCAGGTTCGTCTAAGCCGCGACCATACCTGATAATGAAATCCACCATTAATTCTGGACTTCTTTGTAAATCTTTGATAAAAGATACAACTGTTTCGTCTGAGAAATTCGGATTAATTTCCAGCAGAATATCCTCGATTTCGTGATTTATCAGATTCATATTGTTGTAGAATTTGCGTTTTTCCTGTTTCACCTCCGCATGATAGTAATCGGATTCACTCTTGGCCCCGAGGTAACCCCCTAGGCCCATGGAAATCGAGCCGGAAACCAACTCGGCGAATCCACCAGTAATGACCAATTTGGAGTTTCCAAGGGATGACAGACCAGCTGTGAGTGCAAACGGCACCGTAAGACCGTCACTCAACCCTATGATCAGATCGCTCATTAGTCGTGGATCTACAGACCCGAAAAGTCCGCCTCTACGCTCCTCGCGCTTGTCTTCGAGTTTCCCGCGTTCTTCGTCGCTAACATTTGACGATCCGTAAGAGATATCTGCATTTGGCTGGGAGGGAGAGCCATCGTTGGTCAAAAGAGGAGCATCTTCCGAATTTTTGGTTACAAGCTTAACGACTGCGTTTTTGATAGCAACGATCGACATGATGAAATACTTGGAAATCTTGGTGGGGTTGTTTGTAGCAATGACACAAGTAGAGTCCTATATTCGTGATTTGCGTTGCTGTTTGTTGTATCTCGCTTGCAAGCTATTGTAGGATTTGCAACTTAATCGCACAAAAAACACAACAAGCGGGTTTAATGTGAGCTGTTTCCTAAGCACTTATGATTCCAGCAAAAGTCAGACCTAAAGCCGTCTACTGAATACTAGAAATCTGTTTCCGCACGGAACTGTACGGGGGTTGATCTCCACAAAACACAAACTACCAATGGCTGGTACAAATCGTAAGTGATTTATTTGTTTGAGCTCAAGCTTTCACTGAGTCTTCGAAATTGAATATACAGCTGTTTGCCTATTCTAATTATCCAATTGCGTCCCGTAACGCGATTTCCAAAGATCTGACAGATGTATTTCCTTAGAATGACACTTCTCCATGTCAACTTCACATAGATGTCTCCCATTTTTATGAGGGCGCGCTTTCTGGTCTAAAAATCAGGTGCCGCTGTACGGCCAATCAGATCGAAGCTCATTAGTAAAAACGGCGGCTGGTAACGATTATGAAAGTCTGTATTCTTGGATTAGATGCTTCACTGAGAATGAATAGTTGTGACGACGACGAATCGATACGTTTGCTTTGAATTGATGGAGACGACTAGTGCGATTATCGAAAAATGAAACTCATAATTCTTTGTTAAAAGATAGATCCTACACTGGTTATAATTCAAGCTGTAAGTAAGAGGCCTGAAGGAGAGTATGATACGCCTTTTTTGGTGAACTCGTGTTTCTACAAGTTGTCTTAATTTTTTTGTTTATGTTTACTACATAAAATCAGATATTGGGAATTTATTAAATAATATGAACCTAAACTAATTAGCCTTGACTTTGTTTACAAATAGTAATATTGGTTTTTAGACTGGATAAAATGGTTGCAGTAACTACATCTTAGCAAACATTGACTGGAAACATTGTTTTCATGCATTCGTATATGATCTGGATATACTTATTGATCATCAATATTTATATATTAGTGGGACGGCCGAAAAGTGCACATTTTTATCAAGAAACTCAAGCAACGTATGAATTGCTCTTCTGGTAGTAGAGAGCCTGCCTAGTACCGTGAAAACAAATCGCGAATAGAATCTTGCCGTGTGTATATTTGTTGTATTTTGCATTATGTCACTTCATACCATCATGACACAGGCTGAAATCCGACAGGTTGTGCCGAGCATAAACATGTAACTAGCGAGGTAATAAAACTCAAAGTTACCATATGTGTAACAGCATGACTTGAGACCTGATACCCATCAAGCACCAGTTGTTTTTGAGACATGGGTGCTGGCCCAACAACCAAAACACATGTAGCTCCTGAGATAATCATTGTTGAGTTATCAACTTGGGAAATGTATAGATATGTATGGCTTTTGTTGAGGACAACTAACAATTCAAAATGTCAGGTCAACTCAAGGGTTTGCAGCGGCAATCAATTCATGGTTTTTTGAGTAAAACAAACAAACGAGTACCATTATCTAATATCTGTTTCGTCCGAAAACAGATAGTTCCGTTGTACAATCTTCAGGCTTTGTGAGCGAATGAGAGCTTAATAGAGGATGGTATCATGGGACCATAACATGGCTGTTGTCGACAGCCGATACGTATGTGTGATTGGGTTATCTACCACTTTCAACCGGTAGCAATTTCAATAGCGGAGAATCGGTATTGAGAATTATTGGTGGCTCTGCTTAATAACAACGAGCCTTGTCCAAATACTGGATTTTCATAACAGCGCTGAGCGACGCCAAAATAGAGCAAACGGGTAGAATGTGTTCCTAATTGTTCTAACAATATATATAATTAAGAGCAAGGATGACTAAGAATGATCGAGCTCTCGTAGTACAGTGCCAATTGTGTACAAGCATGGTTAAGTGTCATGCGCCACCTGAATACTTTCCACTGGATAATAGTAAGTCGTTTTCAAGTGACACTTAACGTTCAAGAGCAAGCTTAATATCTGGCAGCGAGTACCACTTGTTAGTGTTCAAGAGTTAAAACTCGACGCAATAGCATTCAGCCATGCCCTGCTGTCACAACTCTCGTTACCGCACTTGACTATAGCACTCCTTTTTATTCTCATATTCCCATTACTATTATACATAACTACATTCTAAAAATGTACGGTCCGTGGCGTATGCTCCTCCGCTCAAACCTGGGTGGAAGACGAGTACTTGGTCACGGCTCTGGTACCTTCAGAAACAGCGTGTTTGGCCAACTCACCGGGCAGAATCAATCTGACAGCGGTCTGGATTTCTCTAGCAGAAATGGTAGATTTCTTGTTGTAAGCAGCCAACTTGGAAGCTTCTGTGGCGATTCTCTCGAAAATGTCGTTGACGAACGAGTTCAAAATCGACATGGATTTTTGCGAGATACCAGTGTCTGGATGTGTTTGCTTCAACACCTTGTAGATGTACGACGAGTAGGTCTCCTTTCTCACCTTTGTTCTCTTCTTACCGGTCTCCATGGAAGACGAGGTCTTCTTGGCGGCTGGTTTCTTCTCAGCTGGGGCTTTAGATGCTGGCTTCTTTTCGGCTTTGGCAGACATAATTATGGTGTTGGGTGTGTGTTGTGTTATAGAAGTATGAACAATTGCTTGAGTTTGTCTTCTCCTTGTAAGCTCACAAACCTTCCCCTTATATACAATTTTCCGGGTCCCACGCCACCAGACCCGCATACCGCGCAACCTAGCAAAATTGACCTGCAAATGCCCAATTTAAAAGGGCCCAGTTTGTTCGCATTTGCTGATGCCTCATGCGCGAATACCTGGGTCCGCTTATAGCTCGTAGATTAATTTTTTCTCCAAAATTGCCCTTTTCGGCAGCAACCACGGTACGCCATAATGAGACTGGCGGTCGCGTTTGTGGGAAAATTAATTTTCTGGCAGCTCAAAGGAGCGCGACTTCAGCGTTCCAGAGTGTTCGCAGTAGGGGCGAAGAAACAGGAACAGCGTATCCGAATGTAGGGAGCGAATTGGCAACTATGCTCGGCCTGCTGTTGAGACAAAGCAAAACAGATAGCATAGCAAAACGACATATATAAAGCAGAGGTTTTCTTCATTTGAGAAAGGGTTTTGGGAAATAAGTTTAGAAACTCATACGCAATCTTAAGAAGGCGCATAATACAAACAAGAATACTATAATACAATGTCAGGAAAAGGTGGTAAAGCTGGTTCCGCTGCTAAGGCTTCGCAATCTAGATCGGCCAAAGCTGGTTTGACTTTCCCAGTCGGTAGAGTCCACAGACTCTTGAGAAGAGGTAACTACGCACAGAGAGTCGGTTCAGGTGCTCCAGTGTACATGACCGCGGTTTTGGAATACTTGGCCGCCGAAATTCTAGAATTGGCTGGTAATGCCGCCAGAGACAACAAGAAGACCAGAATCATCCCACGTCACTTGCAATTAGCCATCAGAAACGATGACGAGTTGAACAAGCTGCTGGGAAATGTTACAATCGCCCAAGGTGGTGTTTTGCCCAACATTCACCAGAATCTATTGCCAAAGAAGTCCGGCAAGCCTGGAAAGGCCTCTCAAGAACTATGAGCACCGGCAAATGTGGTGCTGGTTGGGACACGAATACGAATACGAATACAAAAAACGAAAAGAGCCATCGGTGGTTTCTACGCTTTTTTTTGGGCTCACTGGAATGTGTTTAACAATGGTGTAGAACTTGTGTATATTAGGAATTGAAAGAATTATATTTTTGATGAACTGAAAGAGAAGTATAGAATTTAACATATTAGCTGGGTTGCGTTAGTTAGTGGTGCTTGGCATTTTTGCGCGACCGCTTGAACAGTTTTTGAAAGAAATTGAGTTTCCGTGCTTTCAGTGGTTGTTCGGATGGTGAAGTCTCTGGCACCTCTTTAATACTGTCATTGTTATTGCTGGGCCTTAGTGTGTCCTCCAATTGGCCTAGTACAGATCCTCTAACGCTCTGTCTTGAGAAATTGGCTTGCGAACTCGACACCGAAGACGCAAGGGCAGCGGGTGGCTGAAGCTCAGCTGAAAACGCCGGGCTTTGCGCATTGTTGCCGTTCGTAGCTTTCGATGAAGATTTCGAATCAGGAAGAGGAATTTGAGCAGATTCAGAATTGTGATTCCGCACCGCGTTGGCGGTGCCTTTAGATGAACGCACTAACACTGCGTCCACGCCAGCTGGTTTGGAAACCACTAGTTTACCATCCACTGGCGCGACTTGAACTGGCTCAACAAGTGCTGGTTCAACCTCCGCAACTTCGGATTTAACAAGTTTAGCTTTTACAGGCTCAACATGTACCGGCTCAGCATGTACCGGCTCAGCATGTATCGGCTCAGCATGTACCGGCTCAGCATGTACCGGCTCAGCATGTACCGGCTCAACATGTGCCAGTGCGACATGTGCCGGCTCGACATGGGCTGGATCAACATGCACATGCCCAACTTTATCTGACCAAGCGTCATCATTTCTCTCAAAAGCAGAAGCATCGTCTTTCTTGGCATGTGGTTTGTCCTGAACGACATTATTTACCTTAGCTTGAAATCTCTTGTCACTTGTGGAGTCCTCGATACCTTTATCTTGACGAATGTCATTGAAATCTAGCGGCTCCCGATTCCTCTTTTCGGATTCGTCGAATGATGCGCTCTCCCTAGCCGCACCATTTTGCCAATTCTTCTTATTTTGGTATCCATAATTGTCCTGACTAAATTGTGCAACTCTATTGAAGAAATTCTTTACCTTTGAATTGGAACCGCTGGGTTTACCAGCTGGAGTAAAATCGGTTTGCTGAGTAGACCATTGATCAGGTTTTTGTTTGGGTTGTTGCGCATCATTCGATGCTGCTTCCACATTGTATTTCCTGCGTGCAATTTCCAGCGCTTTCGCATACATTTCACTATCACTCATACGTCGAGCTTTGGGAGAGACTCCTAAATTGGCAGATTGGTTTTTGTGTGTTGTTGGTGTTCTTTCTGGCCGTCTCACATCGCTTATAGAGTTTGACTGGTCCCGCTTTGGTGACGCAAACACTTTCCGCGAAGAATTCTTGCGATTAACGTCAGAAATCGGTGGCGCAGCAGGCGGAGGGCTCCGGAGAGAACTCATTCTTCTTGTAGAGCGTGGTAGCGTAGGCGATCCCATATTGTCTAAGGGCCTGTCGCCATACACTTTTTTCTGTGCCGCCGCTAGAGCCTTTGCGTATTGTTCTTCCTCGCTTAATACCTGCCTTGGTTTGGAACTTTTCTTCAATCTGCTCGTTGCTGGGGCATTGCGAGGGCTGGAAGTCTTCGGCTGAGGTATGTAGTCCATTGCATCACTAAAGTTTGCGTCGTCAGCATCTTCATCTTCGTCTTCTTCTCTAAGGATGTCTGAAACCCCGGAGTTTATGCGGGAATCTGTAATCACTGGCTCAACGTCGAGATCCATCGGTTCTTGATGGTTTTCAAAGTCCTGTGAAAAATCACTTGTAAATTCGTTAAAGTGCTTCTCAGGGTCTTGCGGCCCTCCCGTGGTGGTGGTTGTTCTCGTCTCTACGTATTCGTAGCCATTGACACGCCGGACCGTCCTCTTGGTGATTGATTGTGTCCTGCCCATAGAATCCTTGATTTCAGTCGTCTGCACCGTCACCATCGAGTTGCTCCTAGACGACGGGTTTACCGGGGGACGCTTTTTCGTAAGGGAGCCGAGTCGCTCGGAACTATTATAGTTTGGCCGAGAGAGCCCTGCATTTCCACCATGTCGAAGACTGTAGCTGCGGCCTTGTACGCCTTGAGGCCTTGTTTGAGGTTTGGCTGACGATGAGTTAATTAATGACTTGCTTCTGCCAGCCGAGGCAGCTGCAGCTGCAGATAGCTCATTGCCAGGGCCCGAGTTCGCCTTTTGCTGGTAATGATAGTCGTAGCGCGACAGGTCAGGCACCTTTTGACTTTTTCTATGGATTCCTAGGCCCATCTCCACTAACTATAAACCCTTTGAGTTACTGAATATTGTAGGGATGTCTGCTGTCCTGTTTTAAAATCAAATATACATTAAGTTTCCACTGGTCACATGATGAGAAGCAAAGAGAATGATCGGTGCGCCAAACTCTTCTTTTAAAATGGTGGAACGCATCAAGAATTCTCAACTGAAATCCAGTGATCGTGTATGACAGATGGTTAATTTCGTATTTTTGTTACAGCAAGAAAAAGGTTCGGAACTCCAGAAGTAGTCTGATGAAATCTTGATGTCGCGAAATCCTGACGTCGTGAAAGCCTGACGTCGTGAAATCATGACATTGTGCAATGCTGGGCGCGTTCGATTCTCTGGCTGTCCCTCACTGCGAACCTATTGCAAGAGCGCGTTGATATGGGTAGTTGAATATACAGCTGTATCAAGAGGAGGAACTTTCCAATGTCTTTAATTTATCGATTAGGAGCTCGCGTAATGGAAATGGACGTGACCAGAAATTCTGATCGTAATACAACATCCAGAGCATTTGCCAGCTTTCCATCAGTATATGTCGAATAGGTGAGCAAAGGTAGGAGCAATAGGTAAGCCCCAATTACTTCCTATCTAGATGCTATAAGCTACTTAAAGCTAGTATAGAATTCAGGCCTCATGGGAAGCGTTATAAGCCACCCACATATCTAGCAGATTGGAATATTTAATTGGATCGCCATGGAAAGTAAATTAGTTTTAATTCGTCACTCGAAACAATATTACTTGGCAACAGAAAATCACTCGTAGGTTGCCCTTCTCTTAGTTATTCGAAAATAATCCATATCCTAATTACATCTTTGCGTGAAAGCAGTCAATGCAATGACTACTACAGATGTCATGACATCCACTCACTTTCTTTACCAAATAGAAAGTTGAGAATTTGACCGGCATCTGAAATCACTGTTGATCATGAAACAAACCACTTTAGGATTGAAAGCAGAATACGTATGAAATAATGAGAGCTGTAGAAGAGCGTCAAGATCTAATTTTCTAAGCATTAAGTTCAGTAGATTGAAAACAACAGCCCATGGCATATCGTAACTTTCACCTCGACGTTTGTTATGGCTCAGAGAAGCTATGAAGTCTTAACGTCAACAGGTTTCCAGTGAATGGTTGTTATTGTTTTTCTGTTCTTACTTGAGACTCAACTCCGTTGAATTATTTCTTCTTTGCATGATCTTGTCGAGATGCTTACTATTGACGTCTAAACCTTGATTGCTCTCACGTATCATTCTTTTATGACGACAGCTCAACTTCAACTACCAACACTGTAAACCCCTCGTTCGACTTTACTATTATATTTTTATATGTTGTTATCACTTAAAGTAGTACTCCTTACTCAGATGATAATGTAAAGAAGGATCCACGTAACTCTAGTCCGGTACCTTCCCATCTTCAAAATTGATAGGCAATATTTGAATGGGCCAAAATGCTCAGCACAACTCGTCCTTGTTAGCTCAGTTGGTAGAGCGTTCGGCTTTTAAGCGTTGCTTGCAAGGAACCGAAATGTCAGGGGTTCGAGCCCCCTATGAGGAGTTGTAAATATTTTTTTGGATTCGTTACATAATGATAAGATGACTTTCAATGGAAGAATAGGCTAGATCGGAACAACTATTTATAATAGGATCGAACAAAAATGCTGCCTTCGAAGCCGTATCCACAAAGCTCCGTAGCTTTTTTAGCCCTTCTTTTAACACTAAGAACTCAATTTTTTAGCGTTGGACCTACTCGTCAGAGAGAGCGCCATTATTAGATTTAGCATGGTTTTCCGTGTTGAGAGACTGGCCAGCTTAACATACGCGATCACCGTGTTTAATTGATACACTAGCAGTGGGCGGGTCACACTGCTTTTATTCTCAAGCGACTACGTCTTGGTTCCATCGCAGCAAATATTTGAAAGGATTTGAAGCTTTCTATTCCACTACGCTCCGCGCAACAGGAGTGCGGGAGATTAACTTGCTCTTATTGCCCACAATAGTTGGCCGAAAGTGAAAATTTTGATTAAATTAATCCTTCCCGTCATTTTGTTGAATCAAGTTTAGACTGAGTCAAGGTGTTACCTTAGATGGCCAGGTCATTTTTGCTAGTCTTGGCTTTCTTCAGAATGGCCTATGTACTTGAATAACCAGACAGGCACGACAACTAATTGGTCACTGCTGCCAGTTGTCCTTGTTGAACAATATGTAAGTCAGTGGTTCCACAAAATTTCAATTGAAACGAACTACGATTGGTTCAGTGGTCCCATCATTTGGGACAGTCCCCGGTTCGAACCCGGCAGTCCACTATTCATGAAAAATAAACGTCAGTTTGGCCGAGTGGTTAAGGCGATAGACTCGAATCTTCTAATCGTTGAGATTGAGGTATCTATTGGGCTCTGCCCGCGTCGGTTCAAATCCGACAGCTGACGATAAATTTAAATTTTTAGTGCGGGCTTGTAAAGTTTTTTTTTGGTTTTTTTTTATTTTTATTGTCACCCAATATTTTAGGACAGGGTCAGCTAGCGTAGCTGATTAGGCACACCTTGTACATGTTGTATGCTGCAATTCATATTGTCAGGATAGTATGGAGTGACATAATGCCTAATATTACGAGTATGCACACCGCCCTAAGAAGTATCAGAAAAGATGTGCTTAGGTCTCCCAAGCTATTTGGTAAGACGGGCTTTTCTTTTCCGGCCGTCCAGAAGCTAATGGGGTGAATCTGGTTCAGCGATGAAAAAGTTGCTTATTTTCTCATTCAGCTCTTCCATTGTTATTTGAGTAACTTATTTCGTAGATGAAGATTTTTAACATCACCTTTTCAATACAGGATAACTGTCTTGTTACCAGAATATATTGAGGCACGTCAGTAGTGGTTAACTTGCTGAACTGGTCATTTAGGTCGTTAATGATGTATTAAACAATTTGTATTGAATCTGGGATTTTATTCATCTCCGTTGTTCTCTCGGATTTGAGGATAACTTTTGAAGTGGAGTAACTGGCGGGTACTTATATAAAAACTGGCTAAAAATAAAGGTATTACTCAGCTTATACTAATCATACGATACATCGTATGATATATATTGGTAATATCCAATCAACTTTATCAGACCACTATAGGGTATCGTCTGGTACTTGTCTTCAGTTTGAGGGGACGTATCGAATAGTTCATTGACTGATCGATGTTTGATGATATCACTTTGTACTAATATGTCATTATTCTCCATCATGCAATTGACGCTATCTTAGCAGTAGCACATAAATCCTGACAGAATAAATAAGTGGTGTTAATATAATTCCGAGTTGTGAATGTGACCTTATTGAGGCGTAATCGTCTCCGCCACTTCGTCCCTTTCAAGATCTGATAAAAAATCGACGTCTAAACTATCTTTCAAGCCTCTTTGATCTTTAAATCTCAATGTTGAGCTACTAATAATTTTTACCGCTCTTATATTATTCATATCACTTCGTACTACTATGTCATTATTTCAATAATTAAATCAGAGTTTCATCGATAAGGATCCGTTTTATATAAGAACGGACCCTATAATTGAGCCGGATTGTGGGTATTAGCGGTTCAGCCAACAACTTGCTTTCGTCACGTTATTACCTACGTATCATATCTCCAAGGTGACAGCAAAAGATTCAGTACGTCTGTCGATTTTGGTACCAGCAACTTCAAAAAGCTCACATTTGACGAAAGAGAAGAAAAAAGCTGATAGGTAAAATCGTGCCTTAGGAATATTCGTAATAGATAGCAAGTCCCTTTGTGTTGCCATGACACGATCCGAGCTCCAACAATACTTACAAACGCTAGGGTGTGATATTTTAGAGAAAGTCTTTGTCTAACTATGCCTCTTTTTTATTCATTGGACATGGGAAGTGAGAGTTTGACATTATTTTCTCCACTACCGAGTCGTTGTCCCAGCAACTAGAATGTCTGGGTCCCAAGTTATGTAATCATATTATACCTGAGCGAAAAATGAGTGGCGAGGCAAGCTCTGTCTTACTTAGAAGCTGAATCATAAGATTTTCGATTTAAGCATTTTGGTTTCTTACGCGCGCCAAAAAACCGGACAATGTTGAGATTTGTCTCTGTCGACTACTTTGAAATTGTTGAGGTCCCTGTTATTGTTGTAATCATTCACAATAAGTATCTACAGCAATGAATTTGGTCTGATAAGATTTCCCATAGGTTCCTGCATAAGAATATTGACAGATCCAGACTGCGCCAGGATAGTACGAAGTGACAAGTAGTATCTCATGAGGTCTCACACGGTATTGATAACACTCGAAATGTGATGTTACGACAATAAAAGGCTCTTTTAATAGAATATCCACGGTTGTTTTGTTTACTCCGGTAAATCGGTCAGGCGATTTCGACCGGCCCCAGTTGTATATAAACATCAGTGTCTTCTGGTATGGCAAGCTCATACTTCAAGTCAGAAAAGTGACGGAGAAAAAGCAAGGGTCATTAGGCACTTACTACTTAGAACTGTTGGGGCGTAAGTGATGGACAAAAACGTGAGCAAAATTTTTATCGCGGAATGAGACTCGCCTCAACAAGAATTACTTAACGATGCAACCTCAAAGACTTGGACCTGGTGGATAGAGACCACCGCCAACAGCTACAGAAAGCCTAAAAGAGTTTTTGTTGAATGATAGAGGTCCAGAAAGCAATTACTGTCAGGATTTATGTGCTACTGCTAAGATAGCGTCAATTGCGTGATGGAGAATAATGACATATTAGTACAAAGTGATATCATCAAACATCGATCAGTCAATGAACTATTCGATACGTCCCCTCAAACTGAAGACAAGTACCAGACGATACCCTATAGTGGTCTGATAAAGTTGATTGGATATTACTAATATATCATACGATATATCGTATGATTAGTATAAGCTGAGTGATACCTTTATTTTTAGCCAGTTTTTGTATAAGTACCCGCCAGTTACTCCACTCGAGGATTATCCTCATATTTCAGAGAACGTCGAAGAGACAAGTAGTATTCAAGATTCCAATAAGAAATGTTTGATATATCATAAAAGATTTAATGACCAGTTCAGCCATTAACTGCTACAGACGCAGATGTTCCTCAATAATTAGAAAAAGTGCTGCCAATTGCCCTCTTGCCCAGTAGTTCTTCTCAATTATAGGTGTCACTTTGTACAATTATGGCGTAGATCTAGCAAGAGAATCATATGTAAAGTACCAATCGTAAATTCAATTTGGAGAAAATTTCTTTACCCTTCATGAATAAACCTTTGTTAGTTAGGTATACATATTGTGGCATCATCCATTCGTCGGCTTTTTGCTCTGTGACAATTTGGTATAAAATGACAAAAGCTTGATATGAGGCCAGCACTACGATTACACATAGTAGTCAGCAAAAATGCTGAGGTCTATACATTAATCTTAAGTATTGTCTACAGTCATACAGTTTCGTTATCGTTTAGTCCGAGGAGTGGTGCTAGTGAAATCAATGATCCACTCGATGGCATCTCATGCTATTAAAGTTCGTTGACCAAAAAACTGTTGTATATATAACGATGTTTTATTCCCTGTGTCGAGGATCTCCTTTTCATTAGGAGAGCCAGGATTGCCGTGCTGTTGCTTAGATGGCGTCAACAGGACAGTGAATTAGATCACATTAGGATCAAAATAAGATCACAACGGAAAACCTAGGATCAAGACAGAATAGTACAAAGTGACAAAGCTGAATATTTTATCCAGCATTATCAAGATAATGAACATGAATGCCCAGATCGAGGTATTGACCTTAAGCAGTGCTTATAGTCACACTCTTTTGGTGTCACTGAGTCCGAGGAATGGCGGCTGCTACATCTAGTGTTGGTCTAGAACAATTCTCGTTACTGGCACCCGGCATGCAAATCATTGTAAAAATACCGATGGTCCACTCTATGAGTCAAGATCCCAAATGATCACATTTTGAGAGACTACGAGGAAACGAGTAGAGCCTTAGAGGCTAAATACGAATTTATTGAGCACACCATGATCGACTCGAAAAGGCCAGTACAGCAAGCTAGTTACCACTAACACAGATAAGCCTCAACGATCAAACACTTTGCCGGGGTTCATTACTAGTGCTTGGTAAAGTCATTTATATAATGAAACAATTTCAAATATATGAAAATAAGGGGGACCAAGAACTATGACCGAATAGTACAAAGTGATGTCAGTTAAACAGAGTCGGTCAAAAGATTATTTGAGGCATCATCTCCAACCGAAGACAAGTGTCAGATAATGTTCTAAAGTATTCTGATAATCGACGGAGTAACAATTTTCTCCACTCATTCTGTTTTTAAAAAAATACCGACTAATGATGCCACCAAATGAACCAAGAATATAGCTGAAAGTAACAGGGAGACATAAATAGACCTTAGATATTAATGCGAATAAACTGACACGCCATGAACGACTCGAGTGACCTGTTCAGCAAGCTAACTGCTACTGATGCAGTTGTTTCATTTTTTGATATTGTTCTAAATTTCCTTGTTGAGAGTAGCACCTTGTATGTTCACCACAGCTGTCATTCTAGGGCTCCACGAATGCTCGGGAAATCGCTTAAAACACAAGCAAGCAGGAGAATTATAAAATGCCTCATTTGTTACGTTAGCAGGATTTTTTCGCATCAGCTCCTTCCCCTATTTCGTCTCACATGATGTCGGATGATAAGGTGAGGGGCTGTTTAATATTGCAGTTTGTTTCCCAGCACCAACACGATAATACAGTTTACCTATGAAGATACAAGCAGCCGTAACATGTTATTCAGTAGTTACTATGATAAGTCATTGATTAAGTTGCATTCAGTTCTTCTTCTCGCTCTTTATGCTACTACTCAGAACAGTGTCTCTCTAGCGGCATAACATAAGTCCCCGCCTATCGAGGATCTATTTTCCGAGTAGAGGCTGAATAAAGCCATGAAGCTTTCAATGCAAGAGGTTATCGCCCCACGCTATAATCAAGTCACTTTGTACTATTATGTCGTTAATCGAATAATGGTGTATGTTATTCGTTCAGTGAGGGGGTACTACTCCTGTTCTGAACATGGTGCACCTAGGCTACTAAAGAGCAAACCGAGATTCAGAATACATGTAGATACGATTCAATCTTTGAGACAAACGGGGAAGAAAAAGTCGTACGTAGCAAGCCGCTATTGGTGTATGGGTTGTTAGATAGAATGGAGATTTCGGTGTTAGTGTTAAAGTCTCATCAGATTTTATTTATCCGATTGCTTCATCTTTTCGGATTATGATTATTCTTTAGCACCTTCTTTTTGTTGAGGGGCTCTGGCAACTTGTGCCAGAATTTTGCTAAAATTTTCAAAATGAAGGGTAGTACATTAGCCAAAAGTATTAACAAAAGTTTTATTTATAATTACATTTCTATCGCCTTAAAGTGGTGCCATCTGTTAAGATACAGTGTACACGACCCTTAAAATTCGACCGGTCCCGATGTATAGTTTGTAACCATTTCTCAGTAAAAAGGCTCAAATTGCCGGCGAAAAAACATTCACAAGACTTTAAAAATCATAATGTGTCTGCTGGGCTAAGCAAGCACCAAGTTATTCACTTTTCTCCTCGCTCCCTCGTTTTGGGCTTTTTGGCCTTTACTTGTTGAACCTGATACTTTCGGCCAATAACGCGACTCCTCGAATTCAATCACAAGACGAGATTGTTGTTGGTACCGGAAAAAAAATTTGATGAAGTGAAATGAGAAATCATAAAGAAAACGATATCGTTTTAAAATCCCTATATTCTCCCCCAATTGACTCCAGTTGTCACGACCTTACGACCTTACGAGAATCATGACCCAACAAGACTTGAAACATGTTCCTGAATCGATCAGAATGGTTCTGATTGGACCTCCAGGTGCCGGTAAAGGTACTCAAGCCCCCAACTTGAAAGAGCGCTTCTGCGCTTGCCATTTGGCCACTGGAGATATGTTGAGATCGCAGGTCTCCAAGAAGACCGACCTGGGTTTGGAAGCAAAGAAAATCATGGACCAAGGTGGTTTGGTTTCGGACGAAATCATGGTTAGCATGATCAAGCACGAATTGTTAACTAACCCAGAATGTAAGGACGGATTCATTTTGGACGGGTTCCCTAGAACCATTCCACAAGCTGAGAAATTGGACCAGATGTTGGTCGAGCAAGGCAGACCTTTGCAAAAGGCCGTCGAGTTGAAAATTGACGACGAATTGTTGGTCTCTAGAATTACTGGTAGACTTGTTCACCAGGCTTCTGGAAGATCTTACCACAAGATTTTCAACCCTCCTAAGGTGGACATGAAAGATGATGTCACCGGTGATGACTTAGTTCAGAGATCTGACGACAACGCCGAAGCTTTGAAAAAAAGACTTGGTGCCTATCACCAGCAGACCGAACCTATCGTCGACTTTTACAAGAAGACTGGTATTTGGTCCGGTGTTGACGCTTCTCAGCCTCCCAAGACCGTGTGGTCTGACATCTTGAAGTGTTTAGGTAAATAGTTGATATCTATGTATACTCTATGTTGTTAAAACACAGCAATACAGCCTGAAATCCATTTTTGAGAGCATCAAGTAGTACATACGTCCTCAAGATGTACTCAAAATCTGCAGCGCTCAAGTACTGGTAGCTAATTTGTATTTTTCGGATTTTATCAACTCATAGTTTTTAGCTAATTTGAAAGTTGTACCAAAAACAATCAATCGCAGTTTCAAAAATTAGAATCTCCCCTTTGTGAGGAAATACATTGTGCGGACTCTGCGTCCTAGTTTCAAACTCTAGCTGTCTTAAAATAAGCTATAGCCGATGCCCAGTGTAGGTGGATCTCCTTCACACTACAGAGCTGACAGCGAACTCAGCGATGGATTTTCGGCGCCCATGGACCCAGCTAGGATACAAATATTCAAATCCACGCCAACGAAAGGCAGCAGTTTAGACCCGAAATCCACACCTTCGCCAACCATGCCGACCAAAGTCCATTCTGAAGCTAATAGACTGATGCGACTGCTAAAGTCGAAGACCGTGAAAAGCGAACCGTTACCAAATGACTTTGGTGCATCTGTTGACCTATCACCAGCAAACAAAGCGTCCAATGAGCTTGTCATGAAAACTCTCAGTCAAGAGCAGCATCCTGATACGAGTTCTGGCAAAAGTTTCCACGGAAAGGTGTCACAATGGATCTCCCACACGTTGTCTGCATCCAATTCGCCAATTCCAATGCGCAATTTAGTCAAGACATCCGAAGTACACAGCTCTTCGAGTCAATCATTGACGAAAGCTACATTGATGCCATCAAGCAAAATAGAGCAAGGTGCAGAACCAGCTTTAGCAACTGAACCAGCTCCAGTTGCAGAACCAGCTTTAGTAGCAGAACCAACGCAGCCAGCTCTAGCAACAGAACCAACAGAAACAGCTCTAGCAACAAAACCAGCTTTAGCAACAGAATCGATGGAACCTGCTCTAGCAACTAAATCAGTTCTAGCAACAGAACCAGTAGAACCGACTCTAGCAACAAAAGCAGCTCTGGAAACAAAAGCAGCTCTGGCAACAAGACCGGGAAGATCAGAAGAATCAGCTCAAGCTACAGAGCCAGTTCAAGCTACAAAACGAGTTCCAGTGCCAATACCAGTTCAAGAAGCAGCGCTAGTACCCGGCCAAGGATCAGTACCAGAACCAGGCCAATCTGCCAATCCAGCCCGAGCCGCTGCATTACCATCTGAAAAACCTACGCAATCTGTCGAAGCAGTACAAGCGTCAGTTTTTGGAACACCAACTACAGGAGCACAGAATCAATCTTCACAATACTCAACATCACTAAGGACAGGTTCAGCTCTTGCAAGACCGCTAACGCAAGAGGGCTCACCACCTATGTCAAGAACAGAGGTTGCATCTTCAAGCGGGGACGCGACATCAGTTTCCCAGAGCTTTTCGCCGAGTTATCTTCCACGGGAGTCACCAAATGGTCAGAGATATAGATCGGTAGTATCTTCAAATCCGCTGAAGCATGTCCCAAGCTCATCAGCACAGTCAAATGATACAGCATCAGCTGAAGGCCCCACGAGTTCCCAGAAAATTCTGGCGCAATCTCATGAGTTGGGTGATCAGGCTTTATTGAGACTGAAGGCCTCAAATTATGACGCCTCTCGGGACAAAAATAAATCTACTCTCCATCAGACTCCATTCGAGAGTCCAGAGCTAAGCTCGCACAATGATAAACAGGCCATAAAAGACTCGCAACGAATTACGAGCAAAAGGAAAGAGCCAGATTCAGTTATGCCGAAGGCCGTAAAAGAGGCTGTTTATACGGAGGATGCCAGAAGAAAGAAACTATCAACGTGGCCCGAGGCCAGATCAGCGAAGCTGGATCCGCAAACTCCTGATAAAGACTCGATTTCTACTAATACAGAGTACAGATTCCCTTTAGGTCTAAAAAATTCGTCCTCTCTGCGACCTACACACGCCGAACTTTCTTCTAGTGTTATATGCGCCAAAGATTCTCAATTAAAATCTACACCCTCGCAAACATCCAACCCAATCCAAGGTGGCACAAATGATGGAAGAACATCACATCCAATTCCAGGTCTTGTCGTTCAATCAATGCCTCTGCGTCAGTCCGCGCTTTTTCAGTCATCATCACCACGTACTGATGGCGAAAGAGCTACCTTGAAAAGCGTTCAGAAAAAAAAGAAAGCTTCTCAAAGTATCAGCCATAAAATAATATCCTCAACGCAAATAGCCGTAAGCATATCCAAGGCACCTCAATTACGAAATGGCGGTCAAGTTTCTACTGAGAAAGACGACGCCACCGGAATTGAGGGTCAATTTGCCGATAAGAATATCGGTGACGCAAGTTCAAAATCTCAAGCGAAGCCAGCTCCAAAGATAGCGGCGATCGCAGTGGAAACGGGAAAAGTGGATTATGGAAGATCGCAAGATAATTCTTCAAAACCATCTGGAAAAAGGCCCAGTGAAAATGCTTTGGAGGACAATATTACGCCGAAAAGACCCACGCAGGTACCTGTTGGAAGCACTAATAACATCGACAAACCTACAATACCAATTGCTAAATCTTCCGATCAAAAGATCATACACTCTGAGACCTTAGTTTCACCTCCCTCTCAATCGACTTTTGCCAAAACAAGCGATCATGACCCTCGCCCGGAAGCCTCAAGTAACGCTCCTTCGACTACTTCATCGTCAAGCTCCAAAGGTAAACGAGGAGGTACAAAGACTCAAAAAGTTACAGGCGGTCTTAGAGTTAAGCTCAGATCCCTTGGCGACCAAAATCCCATGAGCATTGGATTTACTGAGAATATGTTAATCCTTCCGGAGGTGGTTATTGGCTGTGGAGATACTATGAAAGCTGGATCTAAAAGAATTAAGAGGCCTTCAGTTGAAGATCCGAACAAGGAGTCAAACGTAGAAGGAGCTCCTTTGTTAAGGACAGGATCCGATCACGAGATCGATGATCTCTCGGCTGGGATTTCTGACGCTTCATCGGACTCTTTCGACGTAGACAAAGAGCTTTTCTCCAGAAACAAAGAGATATCAGGTAAAGTTCGTGGGGATACCAAAACTGTGAAGGGGATAGATACAGCCTCTTCAAATGGAGATGGAAAGCTGATGAATCATCCAGCTAAAGACCAAGCGGCCAGTGCAAACTCCTCATCAAAGAATGCAAGTTCCCTGAGTGTACCCGACGATGCTTCGCCGACTGAAGAAAAATCCGCTCAATCATCAACGAAGCTCCATCCTGATCCTGAGACCGATCGCAAGAAATATGAACGCATCGTGGCGCGTTATCTCAATAACAAGATATCAAAATACAATCGCTTGGATGAATATCTTTTGAAGGGTTTGATACAGGCTGGCATTGTAAAACATAAACCCCTAAAAGAGGGACCTTTGGTCACCAGCAGCAATGATATATGCAATATCAACAACTATGAAACAAGCCCAGTTCTCTACCTCCAGCATATTTCAAAAAGAAGCAGAATCGAACCCGTTCAACTCAGTAAACTTCAGCTTCCGATAATGCGTAGTCAAGAGGGTCACTTAGATTGCGAAACAAGAAAGGAGCTGATGAGAAAATTGAAGGTATCTAAATTTTTGATCGACATGCGTGGCCTCGAGAACCTAGCTGCTCAAGAGAAAGCTTTAGTCCGCGAGCGCGTTGCTCACTTGAAAAGTTCTTTTTCAAAACTACAGATTGAGCTTTGCGACACAATGTCATCGGAAATTAATGTCATAGTGACACTTGGCCTTTCGAGTGAGGATGATTCTCAGAAATTTGAGGCCTCTGAAACACTTGAAGCATTTGGGACCCAGATCTGGAGTTACGCATACGCAATAAAGTTTTTTGAGCTTCTACTATACGAAGAGACTTTATTCATTCAGGACGAAGATGAGTCTGGACGTGCGACTCCAACTCTACCATTAGGACAGCAGGACTCAGCTTTTGTAGCTGGTGGAAACGAAAGCTCAATAGCTGGACCACAGGAGTCTAACAACGGCAACCACGTGATACCGAGCAAGGTTCTCGATATCAGCTTGCTGGAGCATTCTCTAAAAGCTGACAAGGCAAAAGGCGATCAAGCAGCCAGGCGCTTAAAAAAGTTGGTGGAAAAGCTCTACCGCGAGCTGAAAGGAGAAAGGTTGGAGGACGCCATCCTCGAGATCACAAAATGTGCCGAAACCTTATTTGAAGAAAGAGCTCTTGACAAAATGAATGTTGAGATTTCAAATATGAAGGACCGTGAGCTCCATCTTTTGACAAAAGAAGTAATGGAAAATCAGGTCAAGTTTTCCTCCCTGCACGGCCAGATTTCTTGCAAAAGCAAAGAAATCGAACAGCTGAATCAGGAATTGCAAGAAGAACGATTGAAAGGTGAAAACTGGCGATTTGTTTTCCGCTCTTTGATAGATAAAACTGAAGATGAACTGTTTACCGCGAATCCTGATCGTCAAATAACTACGGAACTGCCCTCTGAAGCAAAACATGGATTGAAATTGGTTAAAAAAGGGCTTCCGCTGTTGACTGCTGACCAAGTTCTGGACAAGAAAATTGTCGAAAACATCCACTTAATAAAAGACGCTCTTCACAAAAGACGCGATATGCCAGCCGGCTCGAACTCACTACAATCTAGTGCACCATTTGCAAAGCCTAAGGCCACCATCACTCACGCAAGCATTGACCTGAGTAAAAATACAGAAACACCTGGAAATACTGAAATTGGAAAAGGCAGCACCGAAGTGTCATATAAAGAAAGCTCTTCTCAAAACTATGCCTTGCTGAAAGAGGAGCTTAGAAAAAGCTCTGAGAAGCTGGAGGAGAATTTTGCAGCACAAGAGGAACTAAAAAGACTTGTTGCCACTTTGGAGGCTAATCGAAAATTTTTAGACCAATCTTTAATGTCCAAGACGTTGCTGTTGAGAGAGGAGCAAGTCCAACACAGAAAACATTTCGCCCAATATGTTGCAGTCGTTGAAGATCAGCGACAAATAATCATGAAAATGGAGAATGATCTGAAAATCGAGGTGTCAAAGAGGGAGTCTCTGAGTTCGAGAGTGAGAGCATTAGTTAGTAATTTGGCTTCAGAAGACGTACGGTGAAAAATTGATAATTGTTGACACAACGGTATCGTGTAATATTAAAAGGCTTTGCCGGTCACAAGGTGTGACTTGGTATTCATAGAAATACTGATAACATTAGGAAGCTGCTGAAACAGGTAAGCTTAAGCGCCGCGGTTCGCATTAGAGTGGCTTTATAAGGAACATGTAATTGATGGTAAAATAATTAATTTATAAACAAAGAAAAAACCAACACGAAGACGCCTTATGCGCGATGCTGCTGGCTTTGACGATCAAGAATCAGGGACTCTTCGAATCACAACTTGAAAGGCTTCTTCAAATAATGCTGATATAATTGCGTCAATCATCCCGCTAAGCCCTTCAAGCGTTCCAAATCTTGATGTAGAGCTTGCCGTGGGGCATCTTTGATTGTCTCGTGAAAGCAGGTAGAATGAAAGTATTTGCCTTGTGATTCAACACAGTTAGGCCAGATCCATTCACCAATATCGTCATCATATACGGCAGATTGAACTTCTCGGCAGATTGGGCATTGAAATGACATTTCCTCTGATGACTCAGGTACGACAACAGACTTTTTAATTAAGTTTGCTTCATTATCGGCGGGCTCAATGTTTTTATTCTGTTGATTCTTGCTAAATCCATCATGTGCCGAACTGGCATCTAGCTTAGCCAACGTTACTGAATCATTCTCGGATCTCGTAGTGGACACAATTTCTTCATCGTTGAAATTTTGCCATTGTGTATCGTCCAGATACCAATTTCTAGATTGTATATTTTTGATTGCGGCTCCGTTTGCACCTGAGGTACCTTTGATCCTTTTGTTGATCCTGAAATGCCAGTCCAAATGGTCGCGTTCCTCTTTTTTCTCGTCTTCCGATGTACCGAATCTCTTTCCACAAGAGCTGCACTTGTTGGGTTTGTACCTATATAACATGTGTCTCAATTGGATAATAGCTGAGTTTTCCTGAATAACGGTTTGTTGACAAAGTTGTAAATTAGATGTGTTCAAAATATCTACGCCGTAGACTGAGAAGTGAGACTTGACATCTCCCAAAATGTCCTTCAATAAGCTCAATGGCGGTAGGGTAGTCTTTTGAGAGTCATTTGAGCTCTGCAATAGGATTCGATCCAGGGTTACCACAGATTGGTCTGCTATGGGATGAATGAGACCCTCCTTGCTCAAAGCTTCGTATAAAGACTGGACGCGAGATAATTGTCGTGAGGGTTCTGAAGGGGGAGCCACATTGCCAGCGTTGAGAAAAAAAGAGGATGATATGGACGCGGATCCAAATAACGGGACAGACTCAATGTCCTTAGGGGTGGGAGTTTGCTCTTGAGAGGAAGGTGTACTGGATGGCTGTGAATGTTGCAAGAGGTGTTTTTGCGCCTTTTGTAGCTGTAGCTGCTGCTGTTGTTTTTGTAATACTTGCTGTTCTTGAGCAAAGATTTTGCGCAGCTGGGACTGCACCTGTTGCAAAGCCTGTGGAGCCATCGATTCGCGTTGCAACTCCTGTTTGAGCTGCTTGAGCACCATTATCTTGGTGTTTAACCTAGGATCTTGAGGACTTTGAGAGATCCGCTCCCTTGTGAGCATGGTGAGCTTATCAATTTCACGTAGTAGCCCCGGAACAGTAGGCGGCGCGACTTTCTTTTGATGCAATGAACTAGCCTTTATCAAAAATTGTTCAATGGCGTCCAGAGCTTCTTTGCCGAACAAATGATCGCCCATGGAATTAGCGCTGTGCTGGAGCCATGTCTGGAAAAGTCGAATAAGGCTCGAACGGGTTTGATTATCGACTAAAAGATAGGTACGTTTGTACAGTTTGGCAAGATTTCGGCTGAAGTAAATGGTATAGGGCGATCCTGCGTTTTTGCAGATCGAATCGAGGACATAGAAGGCATACAGCTTCTGGTTCGGTACGCATCGCTCAATGCGCTTCTCTATAGCATCCACGATTTTTTGGGCGCAGGAAATGTTTTCCTCCGCTGTCTTGGTAAGTGTGGTGATGATGGGTCTCGAATTGCAAGTTAACTCCTCCAGTATACTGGCGAAATCCTGCGCGACTTTCTCGCACTCCATGTACGAAAGAGGAGTGGAGATGGTTTGATATATAAGTAGGCTACTAGAAAGCTATTGAAGGCTGGTAGTTTGTCTTTATGAAGGATTAAATGTGTGGAATGAGTTGATTGAAGTTTAATTCAATTTTTGAATATGTCATAACTTTTAACGATAAGTTAAACAATATTATAAGGCAGCTCCTTCCACCAGGAAGATAGAACTTAGCGGCAACGTTAGTTGGCGGGGTGTTTGCTGTATTGTATGGATGCTAGGCTAAACTAATCTTATGTTAATTACCAGAAAAGAGCTTCTCAGATTCTTGCCAATCGCTGTCACTTATCCTGGAGTTAAGGGCCAGAAGGTTGATTGCTCGTGAAAGAGTCAAATGCTATGAGTTCCTTCAAAAATGTGGCTTTGATCACTTCCTTTAGGTAGATCAAATCCTGAGAATGGTCGGCGAAGAAGCTTTTACCTGTGACATAAAAGATCGAAAATGTTGAGGGTGCGGCAGATATATCGCGAGTTGTGACTGATATATTCGTTTGCTCAGACTAGCAAGATATTTGCCCTTGGCAGGCTAGAACTTTTAGCTATTGATAAATCTGGTTTCTTGTATGGTGGTACTTGGTAGTTAGATAACCGCTTCTGGGCGGAGTGGCATCCTGAACTGTAAGAGCAAGCTATTTTTGAGTTCGGATTCAGACTAGTCTAATTTAGAACTAACGTGTTCCCGATAATTCTCAAATGCCGCTTTATGAAGACTTCTGAATACCTGGCATGGCACACATGTCATGACCGAGGAAATCGATGCTTTCGTCAAATTCTAATCTCGATATGTCCAAGAAAATTCGCAGGAGATGTCCTATGACGCCGCTTTATGGAGGGCATGGAAAGAAGATTTTTCTTAGGAAACCGAAAGAAAGTTGTCAACTCACTGTGACGCAAAGCCTATAGCTTCTAAATGATATTTCAAACCATTGTGCCGCTCACACCCAGAGAGCACGCAAACTTGTAGATGGTCGTATACGAATCCCATTGGCGGACTGGCATGTGTGTATAACAAGTTCCAAGACACGTAGGCGCATGTTTGATTTCCATCAAAATCAGTCCGGAGGCTAGCAAGGGATCGCTTGGCAAGCGAAGCACGACCCGGGTTAACCATACGTGCTGGTATGCAGGGGTGGCAGCTCAATGGCTTCTGTCGCATATTACGGTAAAACCTTATGTTTTGCCTTACAAGGCTCTCCGTTACACATACACAACACACACTTTCTGCCAGGAGCCGATCGAAAGTGGCCCGGCCTCGCTCCATTCCAAAATGAGCCGTTCGCATATCAAGAATTCTGTAGTATCTGGTCCCGTTCTATCCTCAAACACTACCTATGTGAAAATATGTGATTTTCTCATCTTTCTCAAAACCGCGAGGCGAGCTATTGAATGCTGGTGGCTCATCGTCAGCTACATTAAATCTACTTGATCTACAAACACTAAAAACTTGTGAGAATTGTTATCTATTCCTTGCGATGTAAAATATCACCGATAACTGACTATGAAGCGTGAAAAAAAATTCTCGATATTCAATACCAAAAAACGATTTAACACTCATCGCCGACTCAAAGTCATTTATACAACCTCTTTTCTGTCCCAACAATCGCTGTCTAGATGTCTAACGACAAGAAACAATCAGGTACGGCCCGCGTGCTAGGTTCTGCCTCGGCAGGTATTTTGGAAATCGGTGTTTTCCACCCTGTTGATACTATCTCGAAGAGATTGATGTCGAACCACACCAGAATTGAATCAAGTGCCCAACTGAACTCTGTCATTTTCCGTGAGCACAGTGCCGAGGCATTTGGAAAGCGTCTCTTTACTCTTTTCCCCGGGTTGGGCTACGCTGCCACTTACAAGATTTTGCAGAGAGTGTACAAGTACGGTGGTCAGCCGTTTGCCAACGAATTTCTTAATCAGAATTTCAAGTCAGACTTCGACAACGCGTTTGGCGAGAAGACCGGTAAGGCCCTGCGCTCAGCCACCGCCGGTTCTCTGATTGGGATCGGTGAGATCGTGCTATTGCCGCTCGACGTCTTGAAGATCAAACGACAAACAAACCCGGAGTCTTTCAAAGGTAGAGGCTTCATCAAAATTCTACAGGACGAGGGGCTTGGTCTATACAGAGGCTGGGGCTGGACTGCTGCGAGAAACGCGCCTGGTTCGTTCGCTTTGTTCGGTGGTAACGCTTTTGCCAAAGAATACATCTTGGGGCTCAAGGACTACTCTTCGGCAACCTGGGGTCAAAATTTCGTCTCTTCCATCGTAGGTGCAAGTGCTTCTTTGATCGTGTCTGCTCCTCTCGACGTGATCAAAACCAGAATTCAAAACAAAAACTTTGACAACCCCGAAAGTGGTCTTAAAATCATCAAGAATACTTTGAAGAACGAAGGCTTTTCTGCTTTCTTCAAGGGTTTAACTCCCAAGCTTCTCACAACCGGTCCCAAATTGGTGTTCTCGTTTGCCTTAGCGCAATCTTTGATCCCAGCCTTTGATAATCTACTTGGACACTAAATATCCCGGAGTTCTCTCTAATGGACTTCGATAGATTCTCATAAGAACCATGTAAATAGGAAAAGCTTGATCCAATAAATAATGTATGAACGCCGGCGCAGAGCGCTGGCGACTAAAGCCTTATTCTCGTGAAAATATTGTAGTGTAATGGAAATGAATTTATACAGAGTTGAAAATATATGTAATGAAACAATTCTGGTATACCAGAGGAAATGCAGTTTGTTTAATCTGGGATCTCGAGTGGATCCCTGAATGCAGTTGGTCGTTTATGCTTCTCTTGCGCTAAGGTGATAATAATGATCCCTGACTAGGGTGTGCTTTCGTGGTTGACATGTTCGCGATGCAAAATGGATTAATCCTCCGCAGTTTTAGCCGTGCCCCTCGTTAGGTGGCGGGAAACCGCTTGGCTGGAAAGGATTACTATTATACATACCTGGCATAAGTCTGTTGTGATAAGGTGGTTCGTGAATATTATCTAATCTCATTTGAATGAATTTGACTTGATCTGATAGTTGCGTGAATCTTTCCGAGAGGTCTTGAAAATCAGTGGCCAAGCTTTGAGTACTGGCCATCAAAGAGCTAACCGAATCTGAGATATGGGTCAGCTCAGATGGCTCGGGAAATTTCGTTGTTTCGGGCGATACCGAATCAGCGGTATCAATTGTTGCGGGGCCTAAGCCAAACCCTGAATATGCATTGTGATCTGGTACGTGGGCTTGAGCAAAAGGTAAACCTTGGTACAACAGTTGAGATGTGTCCTGTCGTGGCTGTTTGGAATACGCACGGCTGAGTCGATAATGACCTCGACCTGTCGAATCGAATACTTGCGCTATTTTCAGTATGAGAGCATCGCGATGAGAACCGGGCTCAACGTTGCAAGCTGCATTTCGCACCCCACGCGTATACAGAAGATTGAACCTGTCGCGACATTGGCGAGTGTTTCGCTGAAGAGAATGCTCTTGAAGCAACTGAAAACTGACGAATTCCCAAAAGCGTCGTACATTTGAGGAAACGGGCAGAGCGTGCTTATGTGTGAGGACCAGGGTAAGCAGGAACAGGTCCTCCATGGGGCTCCAAAGTCTGCGGGACGGTTTCTGGCTCGATCCAGAACTTGCGCTTGACGTGGGCGATGTTTCCAGCATGCCGGCATGATACAACGACGAGTTAGGTGTGCTGCGTTGGGACTGTTGTGGTGGATGTGACAAAAGGGGAAGAGGAGGAGGCGGCGCCGGCGGCGGCAGTGGTGCTGGTGGTGGAGCGCGTGCGCCACGGAATGCGTCGCATCCATCGTCGTGACTGCTTTCAAACGGGTCTGCCATTGCGATGAAAATGCCACCTGTGTGTGCGTTTGTGTGTGTGTGTGTGTGTGTGTGTGTCGATAGCGCGAAGCCGAGTTTTGGTACGAATGTGACAGTACAACCCGTTTTCTCAGTCCGGAGTTTTTGTACAGGTGTGTTCAGACGCTCCCTCTGTATATGGGTGCTAGTGCGAGAGTGGGAGACTAATCGTGTGTGTGTTTTTGCGTTAGCATGCAAACCCACAATCAAAGAAACACGACAGTAGTCAAAAATCTGCGTATTAGGCTGCGATCGGAGTTCATCCCGAAACGATCTCCTTTCGCAAAAGAGCTCCCAAGCAAGACCACTATTTATCTTTATATATGTAGGTCGGTCGGGGACCCGTACTATAGTAGCCGTCGTGCATTGCAAAAAACGGTTGTGAAAAAACAAGATTGAGATATCGCAGCGATTCGCATGGAGCTCGCACTGGTAATTGCTTCGATGGCCTGGGTTTTCCTGCTCCCTGGCATTTATTTCAGCTTGGTGTGGACGACGAAAACTGCACCGAAATTGCATCACTCGCATATATATGAGAATAGCCCGTCCATTTCCAAGCCAATCCGCCTGCAGTCTCTGAAGCTGACACCGGAAGCACTCGAGTTGACAGGACCTACAGACAGTGATATTGCAACCTCTTTTCGGCCCGCATTGCCTGCCACTCTAACTGGAAGGTAGCCACGTCTAACGCTCGCCGTCCCCGTCCTTCGTCTCTCGCAGCCCAAAACGTATTGCAATCTTCTTCTTCTTCTGCTTCCCAGAGTCCCACGCAAGCGGGCCAACAACACCCCCAGGAACGAGCTGACGAACGGCTCGCGCAGCAACCCGCGCGGTATTCCACCAGCCGGATCGTTCTGAGCTCAAGCCCCGCTGGAGTGACGACGACTCGACCAACACAGCCCAGGGCGATCCCAGCTCGCAAAGTAGCCAGCGAAAATTTTTTCCAAGCGCCCGAAACGCTCGCGCGCTGCCGATCTGCGTCAATCTGTCAGTGCCGCATCGAGAAGCATTTGCTTTGCGCAATCGAACGCCAACAATCGAACGTTGAGAAACCGGGCGACGACCGAAAGTCCAATTACGAACCACGAACCCCGAAGGCCTCCTCCTATAGCTAAGGTCCCGCATCCCGCATCCCGCATCCCGCATCCCGCATCTCCAGGTCCCAACCCAAACCGTAACCCAACCTGGCCCAGCCCACCCCATGCCACACGCCAGCGCCATGGCTGCCCATGTCCTCCACACAGCAATATTGGGTTACCAGCGATGCCCAACGCTCCCATGACGCACCGAACATCACGACGACCTTCCCTGCAGCTTCCATGCACGCTCGAGGAAAAATAGATATGCACGATATTTTTCCGGTGTGCATATTTTTCCGAATCTCGGAATATCCCCGTTTTTCTTCTTTTTGTTTTGTTTTCTTTTTCCTTCCTTCTTTCTTTCTCTCCCAGCCACGTTTCGTCATCCGTCATCAGCAGCTCAGCCGTCGACGAACGGGTGGTTGATCTGCGTAGCAACTGGGGCGTGTCCCCAGGCGATCGATGAGTAAGCGTTCGAATTGGGACTCAGCGTAGCCGTGCGTGCCTTTATGGGAATATTGAGATTTTCCGTTTGCATGCTTGGTCGTCGGGAGGGCAGCGCTGGGATCTTGAGAGTTCCTGGAAGGGAAGTGGCCCCGTATCGGGTGGGCTCTCCGGTCGAGAAGGGGCCAGGTGTGTTTTTTTTTGCTGGGGGAAAGAGGATTTGCGGGCCACAACGTCTGGGTGGTGCTGAACAAACGAACGCAAGAACGAACGAACGAACGCGCACGCACGAAAAGAGCGAACAGACCGGACTCGCGGCGACCGTACGTATGCGCATGGAACGTCCCAGCGCGAGCTGCAGGCGGCGCACGCCACCAGGGCTGTCAAATCAAATTTTGGAATTCCATATCACTTTGTCCCCGCGTGACACGGACGACACAAAATGGCGCGAGAAGGACAGTACCAGAAAACAAACTGCAGCCGTAATGGTTGTTGTTCTACACACACAGGAGCTTGCGGGCGATGAGCATGGCACGCTATGACGGCGAGGCGTTCTCGAAACTTTGCGACAACGCGATTGTGGTCACAACCAGCCAGAACTTTTTTGGGCTTCAAATGCGACGGTTCTATGCGAAGGCGTCCTGCAGCCACGGGGGCTTGCCGCACGAGATACCAACCGAAAGCCAAAGCTACGAAACGTGGCGGAAATTCCACGCACGTACACTGCACCCACAGCACGATCATCTTCTCCTCCCACACCGCATTGTGAGATGGTGACGGGAATTCGCGCGCCTACTGCATGCCCACCTTCTCCTCTCACACCGCATTGTGATTTGCCCACACAGTCGGCATTTGCCTTCCCTGCATTATGCCCATCACTTACGAATTCAGCACGCACTGCAAACACGCCATTTTCTTCATATCGCAACGTGCTTGTCACATTGTCAGATATGCAGACGCTTCAAGAAACTCAAATCCCATCAAATTTCGTACCGCAGCCCCAAGTCAAAACTGTCGCCCAACGTGACCGTTGACTGGGAATCTCTCATCGTACACATGCTCACAGAGATGAAGCCGCGCTCTCGTTCCTCGAGGAATTTTTAGCGGACCCAATGTGGACGACGGCGCTACAAATTTCCATCGCCAAGAAAACTTCACAGCTGCGCTTCAACAAATTAGGCAGCTGGCTTTTGCAAGCATGCACTTCGAGCGCTGGTGCCCGGTTGGTCCCCAGGTTTTGGAATCAATTGTCTTGAAATTACAGTCTACAATTGTGTCCGCCAGTTTTAATGCTTTTGGAATCCGTGTAATAACAGCACTCATAACGCACGCTACCGAAAAACAACGCAGCAGGATCCCAGAGCCAAAGCGTGGATAGAACCCTCTCAGACAAGTTTACGCCGTGTGTGTGGATAACGCTCGTGGAGTGCATGTCAGCGGAAGACACTAAAAACCCAGATCTTACCGGCCTTCGCCCAACAAGTGAACAGCTCTAAATGTGTTCCACTGGCTCTAGAAGGTTCCAGCAGCCTTCAGGTTAAGCGGCTGTTATAGAGCTGTGAGCCGAAATAACTAGCTGCCTTGACTCGAGCGCTCACAACTTGTCTTCTGGTTTTATGTCTCGACAAGACTGGAGGCGGAGTTATACACCAAATCCTCACCTTGGATATTTCCGAGATGGACACCGACCCGGAGTCGCACGAGCCGTTGAGAAGCCAGCAATTGAAACGAAATTACACTTTAAATAATTGCGTAAAGATAAGCTTGAGCTTACGCGGGCAGCGGCTGGTCGCTAAGCTGATTCGAAGTGGCAACCTAAAAGGGTAGATCTACCACTCGCTACCTTGCTCACCTGCTTGAGCATATTGAACATGGGCTCATAGATATTGTCACAGAATCATACGGCCTGCACTTCATTTTATCACTCATCGGTTATGCTTACGCGAGGCATCGAGCAGTTCTGAAAAAGATCCTCAAGAGTTAAAATACTCGCGTCCTACAAACCACGCAAATTGATCGAGCATTTAGAGCTACTTCAAGATCATTTGAAGTCCTGGAGGTCTCCCAACTAAACCTGACGAGTCTTTTAACGATTACAATAAAGTGCAATTGATATTTGAGCAATCAAGTCGGCACGTCGAGAAATGACTAAGAAACTATTCATGTCTGGAAGCTTGGGCCTAAGATCCTTGCACAGTAATTTTTCTTCCACTGGCTTTACTGTGCGAACGAACGGACGCAAAAATTTAGTAGCGAGCTTCCAAACAGCCAATTTGCGTAAATCACAGCCCATCAATTGCCTCCTTTCTGCCAAGAAAACCTATGGGACCATATTTTATCTATCTGCGAGGGCAACGACATTTGCACTTGCCAAAAGTTCTTCATCAGCCCTTGCTACACAAAACAGATCTTGAACTCATACTACTCAAGTCCATAATAGTCTAATATCAACACGTTAAGATTGCCAGAATCCCGAACTTGTTATTCACTTGTGATTCGACCAATATTCATTTTTGTTGCAATAGCACATCTTGAAAAAAATCTTGGTCATTATTTCCTCAAGACCGAAAAAAGTTTAACTACAACATAAAACCTTATCCAAGGTGTGCTTTTGTATTACAAGTTGCTTCAATCATATTTACACAGCATTCTGTTTAGACTGTTATAAAGTATATCGATAATGACGGGCCGTGAAAGAAGTCCCAGCCCCAAATCTAAGGGCAAATCCCCCCCTGTGGTTCACGAGGGGAACATAAAAGCTCAGAATTTCAATGACCAGAATCGAGACATGAACCTGACCTCGCTGCCACACAAGAACCCAGATGTATACCAGTACGACACGGGAAAACCAGCTGCGGAGCATGGAGGCTCTGGAAACGTTGGCATGTTATACCAGGACAGCAAGGCATCCGTTCACCATAACGGCACAGACCGGCATCTGGACAACCACGGTCACTCGCAGATCATCCCCCCCGGTTTCGATGGCCATCTTCAGGTCAAGGACTCTTATTTGACGGGCCGACCTCTGCTATATTTCACTTCGGTTTTCGTCTCGCTCGGCGTGTTTTTGTTTGGATACGACCAAGGTGTCATGTCAGGCGTTATCACAGGTCCCATCTTTAAGGACTACTTTGACGATCCATCTCGCGCAGCGATCGGTAACATGGTATCAATTCTGGAAATCGGCGCTCTAATAAGCTCGCTAATGGTCGGGCGCTTGGGCGAGAAATGGGGTCGTAGACGCACCATCAGGTATGGTTCATTTATATTCATTGTTGGAGGGCTTATTCAAACATCTGCTTTGCGTATGTCCCATTTAATTGTTGGCAGAGTCATTAGTGGTTTAGGAGTTGGGCTCCTAAGTACAATCGTGCCAATTTATCAGTCCGAAATCTCCCCACCACACAACAGAGGTAAGCTGGCTTGCATCGAATTCACCGGTAACATTGTGGGCTATTGTACTAGCGTTTGGGTTGATTACGGGTGTTCTTTCATCGAAAACAATACATCTTGGAGATTACCCTTGTTTATTCAGTGTGTTATGGGCCTCGGTTTGATGATGGGTAGTTTTGTTATAGTTGAAACACCTAGATGGCTTTTGAATCATGATCACGATGTCGAAGGTTTGATTGTGATTGCCGATTTGCATAGTGATGGTGATGTACAGGACTCGAGAGCTCATGAAGAATTTCAAACTATTAAGGAAACTGTTCTAGTGTCTAGGCTTGAAGGTGAAAAAAAATCATACAGCTACGTTTTCAAGCGTTACAGAGCTAGAATGCTGATTGCCATGAGTTCACAGATGTTCGCACAACTCAACGGTATCAATGTTATTTCATACTACGCACCCATGGTTTTTGAACAGGCCGGTTGGGTAGGAAGGGATGCGATTTTGATGACCGGTATTAATAGTATCATTTACGTGCTTTCAACCGTTCCGCCATGGCATTTGGTCGACAAATGGGGCCGCAAGCCCATTTTACTGATGGGTGGTATGGTCATGGGCCTGTCCTTGGTAGCAATCTCCGCTTCTCTTTACATCAATGTTTCGTTCACTCCTAACCTGGTTGTCATATTTGTGATAATTTTCAATGCATTTTTTGGCTTTAGCTGGGGCCCCATTCCATGGCTCTATCCTGTCGAAATTGCTCCTCTATCAGCAAGGTCGGCAATGGCATCTGCATCTACTGCTACTAATTGGCTATGCAACTGGCTTGTAGGGATCATGACTCCAATACTACAGGAGAAAATTGAATGGAGGTTATACTTGATTCATGCAACATCGTGCTTCATCTCCTTTTGGTGTGTCTTAAGAGTATACCCAGAAACAGCCGGACTGCGTTTGGAGGACATGGGTTCTGTATTTGATGATAAGGCTTCAACTTTCAGTTTCCATGGCTCCGTAACCGGTGTCGACGTTGATGCATCTCATTCTACCGCGTCTAATCTAAATCCATCTGTAGCCCGGAAACCATTGGCTGCTCATCCAACACATTTAGATGGTACTAATTCGGGCGCAAACCAACTGCATCCAGCGTACAGCCAGCATGACTCAATGCTGAACCAGCCAGCTGGCAACAGCAGTGCTCAAAGTGTTATATCTAAAAAGAGTATCGCAAGCACTAACATGCTTTCTGCTGAAGCACTTGATCCACCATCGCTACAACAAGTGTTGGAATTCAAAAGAGGTCAACAAGAACGTGGAAACCTGAAAAAAATCGTACGGAGAGGTTCAGAGACTGTCAATCTGATCTACGATAAAGTCGTTGGATTAGGAAAGCCATCCAGTAGCAGCGGAGAATATGGAACTTTGTCAACAAACGATCCATCAAACTCTAGAACTTGAGTAGCTACAGCGATTGCCGAAAAAAGTGACATATTATTAGAAGTTGTTTGAATAGTATACAATATAATTGAAAATGTCGCTGTTCAGTCAGTAACCATCATCGGCTTTGGAGTCATACAATCTCCGGGTTGGGTATCCTGACAAAACATGCAACGTATTTATCGCCTTTCTTTCTTTCCACTTTTTTACCCTCTTCGGTGGCATTTCTCATAATCTGTACGCACTTGTCCTGATCTTCCCAATCTGAAGATAGCCTTTCGAATAGTGGATGTTCCTCCAGATGCTTAGCCATCCATTGATGTAAATCTAAAACGTCAGTAATGGTGTAAATGATACCACCCTCCTTAAGGGCATAAGCATATTCAGATAGCAAAGTGTTGGTTATGATTCTAGCTTTATGCTTCCTTTGCTTGAAATGAGGATCTGGAAAACAAAAAAACATCTTTTCAAGCTGAGATTTGTGGAAGAAATTTGGCAAGAACTTCATCGCGTTTCCTCTTAGAACATTGATGTTTTGGAAAGAATTGTTATCAGCGTGATTTGTTCGCAGAGCAATAATGCGGTCCTCCACGTAGTTAGTCACTTGGACGCGGATTTCCATCCCGAGTATTAAGTTTTCTGGAAACTCTGGCGACAGGTCAATCAGCAAGCCCCCAAATCCACACCCGATGTCAGCAATTGTCACCTGCTTGGTCATCCTATTCGTTGCTTCATCAAAAAAATGTGGGTAGAGCTTCTGCCAGTCCATTTCATCAGGATTCACGGGGTACTCTAACTGATGGTCTGAGAACGGGTTTGAGTGTGCTCTCTGACGGTAGAATCTCTTTCTGGGAAGATCCATTTTCTCTGTTTTAGCACTTGCATCGATCCGAACATGTTTCAATTCTTCCCGATTCTCTTGCTTCTTCAAGCGATAAGCTTGCCGTTTGCTTGAAGGATCATCTAGTGACATCCCTGCTTTCATATTGGGCAGATTCAAGGTTCTTGATGGTGCCAAAGGGGCTTAAGCTTTCGAATATGGGAATTCGCGATGAGCTTGACTTGATTGAGATTTTAAAATTTTTCAAAAATAAGCGATGAGCACAATTGGAACGCTTCCCATTGCTGACGCGCTCATGCCCTTCCGATAGTAAACATGTAGCTATTCAACGCTTTGATCGTAGTATTCAATTTTGATAATGACTTTTTTAAGATATATACAAGGCTATGATTTGTAGTGAAGGTCTCGATTGCCCACCTGGAGAATCCTATTCACTCGGACTTCTTGTTTTCAGGGTCGATATTGTCGTGATGCGATTGTAAAGTGAGGTATAGAGAGTGGGAGCCTGCCTCCAAAGTCCTGACCAGACCTGCACCGCTGAGCACGGTAAGCAGACCCAAGAGCTGACCTTGCAAAGCATTCTTCGACGGAAGCGTTTTGAAGTCGTGAATGCTGGGCACGTCCAACACTTGTCCTTCGATTTTCGCGCCCACAACAAACATCTTATCGGAGCTCTTATCCAGAAGCTTCAGTAGCTTTGCGATTTTGTCGGGTTCTGTTTCGGAAAAGGTTATAGCCGCAGTCGGGCCTTTGAAAAGAGGCATTAGTGGATGCTGTCTGTTCTGCTCTAATTTTTCAGAAGGAGCACATGGATCTTCAAGATGTGAATTCCGTAGGTACACTTGAAACAGCTGGTTCCTCACCACTGTCATTTTGCCGCCTAATTGCTGGATTTGTGAGCGGAAAAACGCATTTTCTTGCTTCAACAGGTTGTTATGGTGTGCAAAAAGTACAACAGGATTTTTATCCATCATATCTTTATAAGAATCGATCAGAAATGTTTTCCTCGAGTGCAAAGGCTTTACAGTGACTCTGGCTTCAGAGGCCAAAAATCTGACGTTCCTCAAAGCTGCCACATTAAACCGTGGCCATGACGATAGCCCAATCGAGTATTTAAACATCTCGTGGATGCACGAAACTGAGTCTATAACTTGCTTAAATCCTGGAATGGATTTGTCGATTTTAACATTGATGCGTAAATTTTTAAAGTGGTAGACACATCGTGGCAAATGATAAACAAAGGTTGACACCTTGAATTACTGCCAAAACGTATCTACAGCAGGATAGAACTAAGTAGATTATAAGATACGCCAACGCTTCACTAAATCAGCAATGTATGCTAATTACTGGGATACTTATTGTGTATTTTTACGGTAATTTCACATGTGCCAAGATCCCGTTTGGCGTTAATTCCCAAGAAGTGCATAGTATCAGAATGAAACTAATGAGACTCCGTCTGGTCTTTTCTAGAAATTATCGTCACCGCTTCATGCTGGCTTGCAAGAATCGAAAATGCAATTGCTAATGTCGCTAAAGTATAAAGTGATAATATATTTGAGCAGTCTGGGCGATAATTCGACGAAAGATGTATTTGATATAGCGAGAGCCACTGTCAGTAATATAAAGCTAATAATATTTCAGTCAACTAGCAAATATGTAATTTTGCGAGATTTCTGTCATTACAAGTGAGAGATGTGGTGGAAAATCTCTTAAATTAGCTTTATATAGAGCTTGGTGATGACATGAAATGATGTGTCGATGAGTGATTTATTTGAATCTGCAGTGGCTGCCTTCCTTCTCTTATCTCAGTAAGAAAAACAACAAAAAGCTTTGATCTTTCCTACTACAAGTTCAAGTAAAGATTCAATACTCAAAAACAGGCAGCAATCATAACAATTTTAAGCAACGTAATGAAGCCCTATCACACCCAAAATTGATATATATATAACATCAGCCGCTCTATTTCACCTTAATAGCAAACATCGCTTCACACGACGGGTTAGTCCAAATGTAGAAACGAGTTCATTCTCAACTTATCGTATCTATTGCCCATTGCCCTGTTGAATGAAAGCCGTCAAATCCAAACTCTTCTTATTATAAGTGGAACTGTTACAGACATGGCGACTGGGGAATCTGAAGCCAAAATCCCCTCGGAAAGGTTTGCTCCTCATTTATCCGAGTTTTATCCTCTGGTTAATAATTCAACACAGAAGGCTCAACACATGAACACGTCGCAAATAGAATCACCTGTGCCAGTCGACAGGCTACAGTCTCCATTGAGGTCCACTGCAAATTCTAGTGTCTTTAGAATCCGTCGTCCGTCGTCTTTGAGGTCGGGTTTCAGCTCCATTAACGATTTACAGAATTTGGTAACGAACAAGGACATGACACAAACTGTCGATACTATGTGCCAATTGCTGAACAATGCTGAAAGTTATGCCGAAGAGCTAGTAGCGACATCACAAAGAGCAAGCTTATTGGCGCTTTCTTTGGAGCAAATGGCTCGATTGAAGGGTTGCAATGATGATACAGCTGACAAGTTTTTAAGTTCAAGTGGACTCTTCCACCTGATAGCCAACCACCAACGCATTATGTCCGATTGCATCAAATCATCACTGATCGAGAGCTTAACAAGCCGCATCGATGAATTTCAGTATAAAAGAAGGGTTCACGAATCTCGATTCAGGAAAGAATATAATGACGAGGCCAAGAAACTAAAGCTGCAAGAAAAGTACAATGCTCAGTTCTCCAAGCGCAAGACTCGAAACTTGGTTTCCTATCGAGAAAACCTAGCTAATCTACAGTTACAGTTGGATGAGCTAGAATCATTAAAGCACCACTACTACCAGGATTCTTACGAAATGGTAGAATCTTGCTGCTTTGAAGTTTTAAAAGATACAGCTACCGTGTCAAGGGCGCAAGTGGAGATAAGTGAGAATATTGCCCGTAAAGGTTGGTCCGGAGGAGGCTTGGATGAGTTATTAGTAAACGCCGATGATCCTTTCAACAGTACCTCGGGGAAATCGAATGAGGAGCAGGACGATTACGAACACAACAGCGACAACTTGAACTCGCCTGAAAGCCCTCTTGTGAGTCGAAACGGAACGCCTCTTACCGCTAAACATAAGTCCACGCCAATTCGCAACAGCGTAGACGCTGGCTCTTCGACAAGCGTTCCTACTACAAACTATTCCGGTGATAATGACGCATATGACAACTCATTCTCTTTGCCTATACCTCCGTCCCAGAATTCCTCGAGGCTTCAGGATAAAGAAGATTCCGATACGGAAGGCCAAGACGAGCTGGACGATAACAATAGCGGCGGGGACAATAAGAAAATACTGAGCGGCTTAGAAGACTTGCATCTCGACAATACGAACTCCTCGAGCGTGGCTGGATAGCGCTCTTCATCTTGAGAATGCCGCATGTAACTCTACATAAAATGGGTCGAGCCTTAATCTGGGGAAGCTACAATCACTAGAATCAATGATCGGAAGCCGACAAATCGACACGAACAAAAAAAAATACGAGTATTCGTTACTTTATATACATTACCACAGCTTATACCACGGTTTCTTGGCTGTTGTGTCTGATGTGTGGCCTATCCAGTCTTCCTTGACACGGTCGTCGTTTACCACAGGTTTCAGCATAGGTTTTTCCTTGTTTGCTACGGTGTTTTTGGCCATCTGTGCTGTCTGAAAGCTTTTTTTTCGCCTCAAACGGCACTGCTCCCACCCGACTATACTCCCAAGCATGAATCCTCCAACGGCCCAATTAGCAGCTCTGCCAGGGTTCTTGTGGTACAAGAACATCACGCTTCCGAGCACGAACATGCTTGTGAACCCACTCATTCCTGCGTCCCGGAAGCACGGTATCTGTGTCAGCCGTTGTAAAGAGAAGTCATTCCAACCCACTGTATCCCACGCTGTCCGTAGTGAAGCCTGTTCCTGAGCGCTGGCATAATGACTTTGAGACTCATTGGCGAATCGCGGTTCAGTATCTTCTAAAAGATATTTTTTACCGGCGCTGGAATTTTGAGAAGCCGGTACGGCTTGTTTTTGCCCATCCTCGGGGCCGCTATGTTTTCTGCCAAAAGGCCAGACCATCAAAACGTTTGTAGGTGTCTGGTAATCTCCTAAAATCGTTGCTCATCGACACTACTGAACTGAATAGAAAGTCTGAATTTTAGGAGGATTTCCCCGTGATGAAAAATTAATGTCAAATATGACAAATAACAGAAGCGAGGAATTTCGAACGTGGGAATACATATCGCTACCTCACCAACAGGGCTATCAATGCTCAAAAAAGCAGCATATATGTCTTCAAATACTGACGGCACCGGTAGGGTATGACTTTGAGCAAAGTAAGAGGAAATATAGTGCTTCTCGAAAGTACTGGCAAGACATCGCTCTTCATTATGTTTTCAAATATTTTGAGCGGTATTTTGATGCCTTACTGCATTGTCTGCGCTTTCGGTTGTTTAGTTCATACTTGCTAACGGTTAAACTTTGGCCGCGCTTAACGGTAAATATTATCAGTATATGAAAAATTGGTGATTTGATTTATACGCACGAGCAACCAACACAGCAGTGGAAAACACGTAAAGAGCCGCTTCAAATGTCTGGCAGAAGCAAGCAGACGCTTTACGACACACATATTAACATGTACCCGCCATCCAGGGGCGGTGCTGGGGCTCAGGTGACCACCATGGACAGTCCATCGCGATCAGTACCGTATCCAGTAGATGACGTCCAACAACCCATGAGCCCGATACCGCTGCAATCTGCGATGACTTCCCAGTCTATTAGGTCGAATTCGACGCTTGGGGAGATTAGCAAGGCTGGCACGCCGACCAATACGCGCTACGACCAGCCGTTTACATTCAACAGCCCCTCAGGACTTCAGCACTCCACAGATTCGTTCACCAATTTTGTGCACAACAATAGCTCCGTGGACACCTTCCAGAGTGCCTCAGACTCGTCCGCGCAGTTAGCGGCCCCACCTCCACCCTATAACGAAACGGAGCTAAGATCTAGAAACTTGCCAGACGAATCACAGAATTTTCTGCAAGAGAAAGCGTATCGCAAACCGAGCGATCTAGCCGAGCTGGAGGAGACTCGTGAAAAGCCCGCAGCTACTGGTGAAAAGCCTATTCTAAAACGCGACTTGTCGCAATATAATGAACGTGCTAAACGTTTCCATGAGGTCTACGAGATAACGGTAAATGACTCGCCTAATTTTACTCCGAATAAGCAAATGAAATGGTGCGAGACGCTTTTTGAATACGCTTTCATCGACGAGTTTATAGGTAATTACAACATCAACGGTGATAAGCTAAAAAGAACCCTGACGCCAGACGAAACGTTGAAAAATCAAAAAATTATCCTGGAGCACGCTTTAAAAGTATTAACGAAACTAATCACACTCCAATACGGACCTGCACTATATCTGATGGCCACTTTGTATTCTCATCAGCCTTACATTCAGGTCAAAATACAATCAGTCATTGCCCGTAATGATGTCAAGGCACTAGATTACTATTCCCGCGCCGCGGTTCTCGATTTGAGTGACGCTTGCTATAGGGCTGGTGTATGCTATGAGTATGAGAGGGGAACACCCGCCGATTGGAACAAGACGCGATGCTTACAAAAAGCAATCTATTTCTACGAGAAAGGAGCTTTGAGCTGTCAAAACGTTGCGTGCATGTATAAGTTGGGCATGTTCTGCCTTCACGGCGTTATAGATCCTGCCAGCGGACAGGCCATTGTTCATCAAGACATCAAAGCAGCCCTATCTTGGTTTGGAAGAGCAATTCGTCGAGACGAAAAAGTTGGCCAGACAAGGAAAGATAACAAGCCAGCCGAGGCAAGCGACAAACCGCTTGGCGATCTTGTATCCCCTCAGGCAATGTACGAGCTAGCAAAAATCTACGAGTTTGAAGGTTTGGCGCCACAACTACAGCAAGGTCTGGCCGCAGTCGGGATCATACAGGACACAGTGCGAGCCCTGCGATACTACCACCGGTGTGCCACTCGGTTTTCGTATCCGCTGGCACAGTGGCGTCTAGGCCAGTGCTATGAGTTCGGACACCTCAACTTGCCGGTGATAGCCAACAAATCGATCGCGTGGTATGCCAAGGCTGCGACTGCCAAACCTCGCGGCAACCCAATTGCCATGATGGCGCTGAGCGGCTGGTATCTCACGGGAGCTACCGGTGTGCTGAAGTCTAACAATAAAGAGGCCTACAGCTGGGCCCGCAAGGCGTGCCAGGCGTCTGAGGGCAAACTGGCGAGGGCTGAATACGCACTTGGATTTTACTACGAAAAGGGGATCGGCTGTAAACCAAACGCTGATTCTGCGCGCGATCACTACACAAAAGCTGCCCAAGCAGGCCATCAGAAGGCGCAAGAACGACTCCGCGGTGGCAATGAATGGAGAGTAGGATGAGTTCATGAAGTCACCTGCTCTGTCATGTACTTGCGTCACAAATGATACAAAATACCTCCTTAGGAAACTAACCCGTTCAAGGAACAAAAATCTTCTTTTGGAAACGAAATTCCGCTTTAGGCAACGTTCTTTTTTCCAACTTTTCCCAAATTTTTTTTTCTCTTTCTTTACGAAACTGTCCAAGCTGAAATTTGAAAAAACTCAATGGACCGTTTTTTTATTATAATCACATCAGTTCATCGAAGCTCATCATAAATCTTTGACCTTGAAAGTCAGTTCAAAAAGACCGAGAACGGTTATAAGCGGTTTAAACTAGCAGATTATTATTGCTGCTCGAAAGTTGGTTAAGCGTCCCACAGAAGTGTTTATTTCGCGTCGCTTTGTTTGATTCTGAATTTCAATCTTTATAATTGGTCAGTCGAGCAAAATGGACTCCATTGCCAAGCAATCTGTGAGGATCTGCCCATTTATAAACAAGGCTGCATCGTCGCTGAGAAATGTCAAGACGCTAAAGCAATCGAATGTGCCGCTGATGGCGCAGAAATGCCCCTTCATGGGTCAAGCAATGCAAAAAGCCCACTTGGCCACGTCCGCGGCGCCAGAAGTGGCTAAGATGTCTCAAAGAGCCACATCGGCCAGTGAGTCGGCGCAGGACTCTGTGATGGTGGACCACGCGACCCAGGATTCTAAGTTTGATTACGATGGACTTTTTGAGCATGAGGTCCGCAAGAAACGGGTCGACAAGTCATATCGGTTTTTCAATAACATCAACAGGCTTGCCAAGGAGTTTCCTATGGCCCATCGCCAAACAGAGGAGGACAAAGTAACTGTCTGGTGCTCTAATGACTATTTGGCACTGTCCAAGAACCAGCAGGTCGTGGACGTTATGAAGCGAATCTTGGACAAATACGGAGCTGGTGCAGGCGGCACGAGAAACATTGCTGGCCACAACCAACACGCACTGAGACTTGAAGCTGAGGTTGCTGCCTTACACAAAAAAGAGGGTGCTTTGGTTTTCTCGTCCTGCTTTGTGGCGAACGATGCGGTCATTTCGCTATTGGGCCAAAAACTAAAAGATCTCGTAATTTTCTCCGATGAATTAAATCATGCCTCTATGATCGTTGGTATCAAGCACGCATCCACTACTAAACACATTTTTAAACACAACGACCTGGACCACTTGGAGCAGCTGCTAGCAAGCTACCCCAGATCCACTCCCAAATTGATTGCCTTCGAGTCTGTTTATTCTATGTCAGGGTCCGTAGCGGACATTGGAAAGATTTGTGACTTGGCCGAGAAGTACGGAGCTTTAACCTTTTTGGACGAAGTTCACGCTGTCGGACTATATGGCCCCCACGGAGCAGGTGTCGCCGAACATTGCGATTTTGAATCTCATCGTAAAGCTGGTATTGCCTCGCCTAACTATAGAACTGTCATGGATCGTGTCGATATGATCACAGGTACACTCGGTAAATCTTTTGGTACTGTTGGCGGTTACGTTGCCGGCTCACTACGCCTTATCGATTGGTTAAGATCCTATGCCCCTGGGTTCATTTTCACTACATCTTTACCCCCTGCAGTAATGGCTGGTGCAGCTGAAGCAATAAGATTTCAGCGTTCGCACTTAGATTTGAGACAAGCTCAGCAAAGGCACACTGCCTATGTCAAAAAAGGGTTGGCGGACCTCGACATCCCAGTCATACCTAACCCATCTCACATCGTACCCATATTGATCGGTAATCCAGACTTAGCCAGACAAGCATCTGAAATTTTGATGGACAAACATCGTATTTACGTGCAAGCAATTAACTTCCCTACCGTTGCCAGAGGCACCGAGAGACTCCGTATCACACCTACTCCAGGACATACCGACGACTTATCCGACATTTTGTTGGAAGCGGTGGATGATGTCTTTAATACTCTGCAATTGCCTCGTGTAAGGGATTGGGAAATGCAAGGTGGTTTATTGGGAGTCGGCCAGGCCGAATACGATGCAGCACCTAATTTGTGGACACAAGAACAGTTGCAACTAACTAATGGCGATTTACAACCCAATGTCAAAGAACCTATCATTGATCTACTTGAAGTCTCGTCCGGCATTCGGTACTAATTACTTCTAGGCAGCTGCTGAGAATTTTAGAACATTTTGTCTCACTACTTTGGGCATTGACCCAGTGACAAATCACGATTGCGAGACGCATGGGTTTTTTTCCCATTAGTGGATTGTGCACTTTCTCCTAATTTGTTTTTTATAACCACATGCTAGATCGTATTAAATAAAATATTGAAGATATCATTCTTATTTAAGGGAGGTCCAGCTTCAAATTACTTAAAGGTAGCTCCACTTATACGTAGCGTGCCAAATACGGCTTTAGTCCTTGAAATGTTATTCCTTATACAAGAGATACTAGCATGCAATTATCTGCTATTTACACAGGCAAAAGACGATGCCAGCTGAAAAAAAATACGTTCATACAATAAAAGACAGTTCATCGAAACGAAAGAAAATACTATCGATGTTTGCCGTGGTGCAATCGTCCATGACTTTCCAGTTGGGCGTAGGAGTTGAGCACAAAATGGTGCATCAAAGCGGAAAAACAGCTCAATGAAACTCCCTCACTGTTTAAATGGCTCGTTCAACTCCTGAGTGATACCTGTGGTGTGATCCACCTTGGTTGAAGGAGCGCTTGGGAAATCGGAGACAGCGTGGTCCAATTTGACGGAAGGAGTGGTTGGGAAATCGGAGACAGTGTGGTCCAATTTGACCGAAGTAGTGGTTGGAATATCGGAGACAGCGTGATCCAATCTGACGGAAGGAGCGGCTGGGAAATCGGCAGAGGAGGTCTTGGCCACGGCTGGTTCTTCAAAAGGAACCTGAGCAGCAAGCTTAGCGGTAGAAGATTCAGCTGTGACGTTGGAACCAGCAACTCTGGTGGCAGGCAACTTAGACTTGATAAACCCTGACACAGGACCCATTTTTTCGTCAAGTTGTTTTACGTATGGCGAGGTCTTTTCAGCAACGGTAGATTGCAACGCAGATGCGTGGTGTTTTCCGGCTTCAACACCTTGAGCAACAGTGGCATCAATCTCTTTCTGGAAAGTTTTGTACACGACTGGCAAGGTGAAAGTTGCGATAGTACCGACGAATAGTGCCGTCCACAGAGACATAATGCTGAAAACCATGTGGAGCACGTAGAAGACACCGGCAGCCTTGAAGGTACGCTTGGGCGACTGGGCCATTACCACCCTGCGGAATTCGGCCTGGTATGAAGGGTATTTTGTCAAAAAGGCATCAATGCGGGGTTTCAAGAAACCCACAGTGTCGGGACAGCTTTGTAGGCCATAGCGGGTCACCAAGCCTTGGCCCAAAAAGAGTTTGGACAAAAACTCGACGGAAGCTGTGGTTAGCATTGCTGTGTAGAAGGCACGGAGCATGAATGTGATTAGGTTGACCTTTTTGAGCACCAACAACGCCACTAGCGCGCCACCAAACACCTTACCAGTTTCCACTGGGTTTCTCCAGTACAACAATTCGCAGCTGGACATATTTTGATTCTTTTTTGGTTTTGATTTCCCTTAATTTAAGTCAAACGGACTAAGTCTGTTTGCTATTGCTCGTGCTTTTGGTTTTATGAGTTATCAGCCAAATACAGTACTTTAATAATTAAAATAACTGTAGAATAGACAATAGGAGCGGTTTGAGTTGTGATTCCTTAAAACTTTAGTGTTTTATAGTAATCGCAAATCTTGGTCGTTAGAAAGGGATCAACTAATCTTTAGGGTTAATGTGTCTTTCAAATATCGGCCCCTTTTATAATCTCACGGTTAAAGAAAAATTTTATAAAACTTGTGGTCGCAGCAAACGATAAAGCCGCTGGCGCCAGTAAACGCAAGGAAAAAACGGCTCTGGAAGGACTCGTTGAAATACTATAGCAGTGATTAATGATATTGAGACATCAAAGACAATATGATGGGTTTTCATGAGAGTTTTTCTGAAGCTTCAAAGCTAAGGTTTATAAAATGCCAATTGTTTCTGATTCACAAGTATGTGGGCGAAATGTAATGACCCGCGCAGACGACTAGTGTCCTTGGCTTGTGATAGTAAAGTCAGAATTAATGGCGAGATTCATGGCGTCAGAACATTGCCCGCTGTAACTCTTGAAAGATATTGCTCGAAATCACTCTGTACAATAGTGTCGTCATACACAATGGTATTAAAATCGCATTGTCTCGCAAATATCGGAAGTTCTGATTTACTTGTGTGTTACTGGGAGTGGCTGCTGTCATGCAGTAGCCATGCTACTATGTCTGCTTATTGATGAAACGGTCATCATAAATGTGCGCATGTCTGAAATAATTTCAGTTTGCTGGAACTGCCGCGGTAGCTTTGAAAAAAGCGTCGTGTAGCGCCTATTTGAACAGCAAAGGTATCTGAAATATTCTTTTCCTTCACTGATTACGACCCACAAAAAAATCTCTCTCGTAGCAAGTTTGCCGACATGGCACTACGTGTCAGCGTTGAGGCATTGTAATTTGAGAATGAGCGCCGGCCTCGTTAGAAACACAAGGCTTTACACGGGCTGCTCAACAAGGTTTAAGAAAAATGTGCAAAACCTATTCTGCTAGCGAATATGTCTTGTAGTGCCTCTCAGACTAAGGGTGTCCTGAATCAAAGCACCTTTTGATCCTGAAAAACTACACCGGTTTGATTTCCGTCGCTTAGGAATACATCTTAACAGCCCCAAATCCCATTGCTATTAATAAGAACAGGGAAATGTCATGCTCATGCCCATCATCAATTGTGAGACTTTATCGATAAGTAAGATTCAGGTTGGTCTGAGCAAAAGCTTCAGTGATATAAAAGCAAACACATACTTACACCCAATCTGGACGAATTTGAGGGAAAGAAACAATACAAACATAGGCTGCTAGTACATATTCTCGCTGTTACGTACGGACAACATAATGGGCGAAAGAGCTACATTTCCTAAACATTGAAAAGATCACTACGTACTTGCCAGTCATTAGTAAAACATAATCGGGAACCGGGAAAACAAACTGTGAAGTTTTGGTTGGCTTGATCACTTACCACTTTGACCACCAGTTTTCCATTACTACAGTGGGTCAACAGACGCCTGCGTGAAAGTCAGCACATTCTTTGTTAATTTAATGAAATTCTTCAGCAAACACCGAAAATTGTGCTAATTTCTCGAAGGCGCGATAAACTTCAGCCGATAATTCTCAGAGAAAGGACCAAAAGCCTCGGTGAAACATAGAAACTGCCAGTTTTTAGGCCCTTCCACGAAACACGTAGATACTGAAGAAGCGCGCTTAATAGTTCTGCTTGGGAATTGTACGTAGTAACAGAAGCAAATAAAAGACTTTGCCATATCGGCGTTAGTGAAAATTAAGAACTCAAATGCCTTTGTTTACGAAAGCCGGCTGATGCTCTTTAAGCTTGCTGCACTCGGTCGTATTTTTACTGATGGCTCGAAGGGTACGATAAAAAAACCTAAGTGCACGGCTAACGTCATAAGCCGTTCGCAATGTAACAGACAAGCCCCACTTAATGGGAACGGTAGCATCTTGTGGATATTCTATAACTCTTGCGAATACCATATGCAATGGTGAGGATTTCGAATGGATGTTAACTCTTTTACTTCGATCTCGTAATTGAAAAATGCGCCAAATCGTTCATTGCCTTCATTACGTTAGAGCCGAGAACGATTGTCGCGATCGAAAGAGATGGACAAAGTGACAGGATGTAATTAACAAGGTTACAAAGCGCTCAGTAGCTACGATGGATAGATAACAAAAAGCGAATGACGTACATTGGATTCAGTATGCATTTCAAAATAATCACAAACTGCAATCTGCGGTACCAATGCTGGCATTGATATGAACTTCAAGTAATGAAAAAAACCCAAGAGAATGGAGAGGTGTAGCCCGCCATTTTCTTTCAAAACTGTTCTTCGACTGATGAAGGTCTAACAGCAGACTACCCCGGGCACACGACGTAACCTTAGCGTGAATTACTCGCGATTTCAATCTTCTACCTATACTAAAAATTTTTCTAGCGTCAGTTTTCCGTGGGAATTAATCAACTTGACGAATTGAAAGCTGGTGAGCCAGTATAAAAATGAGTTTGTTTAATCATGACCCTGAAACAAGCGCTGAAGCTATCGTTGTCAAAAGGAAACAGACGCTGAGATTGAATCTTCATTTTCAACTGGAAGTTAAAAGCCATGTTAAGATTCGCCCGTCAGTTCTCGTCTACTAGACATGTTCTAAGAGGTCAAAATTTGACTGAGAAAATCGTACAAACCTATGCAGTTGGTTTGGCAGACGGTAAGAAGGTCGCCTCTGGAGATTATGTTTCTATCCAGCCAGCGCACTGTATGTCGCATGACAATTCATGGCCAGTAGCCTTAAAGTTTATGGGCCTTGGAGCATCCAAGGTGAAGGATCGCAAGCAGATCGTCAATACGCTAGATCATGACGTTCAAAATACCTCTGAGACGAACTTGACTAAATACAAGAACATAGAGAACTTCGCCAAGAAACAGGGAATTGATTTTTACCCGGCAGGCCGCGGTATTGGTCACCAGATCATGATCGAGGAAGGGTATGCTTTCCCACTCAACTTAACTGTGGCCTCTGACTCTCATTCGAATACTTACGGTGGTATCGGGTGTCTCGGTACTCCTGTAGTACGTACGGATGCTGCAGCCATCTGGGCAACGGGCCAAACTTGGTGGCAGATTCCTCCAGTAGCTCAAGTGGAACTCAAGGGCGAGTTGCCTCACGGAGTTTCAGGTAAAGACATCATTGTAGCCCTGTGTGGTGTGTTTAACAAAGATCAGGTTCTAAACCACGCTATCGAGTTTACTGGACAGTCACTGGAGAAAATTCCTGTTGATTATAGACTAACTATCGCTAACATGACCACCGAATGGGGCGCTTTATCCGGTTTATTTCCTGTAGATCAAACTTTGGTTAACTGGTATAGCGAAAGGCTACAGAAGGTTGGTCCCGACCACCCAAGAATCAATCAAAGTCGTATCGACGAGTTGACGCAGAAATCTCATGTTTTGAAAGCTGACGATGATGCGGTATACGCCAAAAAACTGACTATTGATCTAAACACTTTGACTCATTACGTTTCGGGTCCAAACAGTGTCAAGACATCTGCTACCGTGCAAGAATTATCCGAACAAGACATCAAAGTCAACAAAGCTTACCTAGTGTCTTGTACGAACTCGCGTTTGAGCGATCTAGAATCAGCTGCTCATGTCGTGTGCCCTAGTGGCGATTTGAACAAAATCCATAAAGTTGCGCCAGGTGTGGAATTCTACGTCGCGGCAGCCTCATCAGAGGTTGAGAGAGATGCCAAGGCCTCTGGAGCATGGGAGAAATTAATACGTGCTGGTTGTAAGACCTTACCTGCTGGCTGTGGTCCTTGTATTGGCTTAGGTACAGGTCTGCTGGAACCAGGCGAAGTTGGCATTAGCGCCACCAACCGTAACTTCAAGGGTAGAATGGGTTCTAAGGACGCTCTAGCCTACCTTGCCTCTCCCTCTGTGGTCACTGCCTCTGCCGTTTTAGGTAAAATAGGATCCCCAGCTGAGGTACTGGGCCAGAAAGATCCTGCATTTAGCGGTGTCCAAGCCTCGGTCGAGGACGTTCCCCAAAAAGCTGCGGAAGCAGCAGTTGCTGAAACGGGTCCAGTTGAGATGTTAAAAGGGTTCCCATCGCAAATAACCGGAGAATTAGTACTTTGTGACGCCGACAACATCAATACTGATGGTATCTATCCAGGCAAATACACATATCAGGACGACGTGTCACGCGAAAAGATGGCTCAAGTTTGCATGGAGAACTATGATGGGGAATTTCAGAGCAAGGTCAATGCTGGTGATATCATTATCAGCGGTTACAACTTTGGTACCGGATCATCAAGAGAACAAGCTGCTACTGCTCTGCTGGCTAAGGGTATCGACCTCGTGGTGTCGGGATCGTTCGGTAACATCTTTTCCAGAAACTCTATCAACAATGCGCTTTTGACGCTAGAGATCCCAACGTTGATTGACATGCTCAGAGAGAAATACAAAGATAGTCCTAAAGAACTTACCAGAAGAACCGGGTGGTTTTTGAAATGGGACCTGCCCAACAGTAAAGTCACAGTCACCGAGAATTCAGCGAATGGCCCAGTTGTACTAGAGCAAAAGGTGGGCGAACTTGGGAAGAACTTGCAAGAAATAATTGTCAAGGGCGGCCTCGAAGGATGGGTCAAATCTCAACTGTGAAAAACCACGTTTAATGTGGCACTAAGGCTCGGCCCAGGATAGAAGAGCTTTCATATTTATTTGTTAACATAATTTGATCAATCTAAGAGATAAATTTTTGGTTATTTGAAATGTTTAGTAATACCGCGGTTTGGTATTTAATAGTTCATGAATCAAGGACTTGGTATTAATAATGATAGAGATGTTGTCCAGGACGCCATCACAAAAAAGATAGTGTATGATAGAAATTTACACAAATCGATTTTGCTTAACGAACGAGCCCCATACAGCTTAAGTGCAGAAGTTGCTCAAGTAGTAGATGATATGCTCGAATGTAGAATATTTTATATTCGCAGAATTCGACGGGAAGTTGACCAAGGCGAATTATAATTATTTCGGGTGTGAAGATCGAAAAGCGCATCTCCCAGCTTAAAGAACAATTGACTTGTTCATTGGTAGTAGGCACAGCCGAATGGCGGGCGACGTTTTGATTTTCACATCTTAAAATTGTAATAGTATCGACTAAAACTAATTGCTATATACAGGTTCAGAAATTCTTGGTTCGTGGTAACGCCAAATATAATGTCGGGAATGTGTTTTGACAAATTTCGGCGATAGTACCGATTCTTAGCATCCTCTTATTTTGATCATCTCGGACTTCAAAGAAGAGAAAAAAAATTATTTGACTTGAGAAGAGGAATCGGTTACACTTTTTCGACAGAATTTTGGTCTCCAGCACATTTCTTCTGGATCGTAACCAGGCTATTCCTGGCTACAGTTAATTGGCTAAAAGAGGCTTCATAAGACTCGTTTCTGGGATGCGATCAAGGGTACTAGGTCACTTAATGAGAAAATAAGGCGCGAGGAATAATAATTAATCCGACGTGCCTTTTGCGAAAAGTCAGAATGTTGACAGCATGTGTTGTGTCAAGCTATTTACCTTGAGAATTTGCACTCGTGCCATAGTTTTTTGGGCAGCGTTACGATCAATATATATATATTGCGACGCGTATAATTACTTTCTCAACTCCAGAGGATACGGGGAACGTTTGGTTTCGCGAGGCACAAACGAGCATAACACTGCTTGTAGTGAGAATAGCACCTTAGATCCCAGCAATATTCTCAAGTTTTTAACTACATTCAACTTGGCAATCGTATTGATTCGACGATCAGTTGTAGCTTGCATACCTTCAGCGGCTACGAAAAAGGCAGATCGACATTTACAGCGCGTTTTTTGTTTTATCTACATTGGCAGCTTTCTATCCAAAAGAACCCTATAAGACCCTTTCTCAGGCGTGGGAAGTGCCGATACGCAATCCAGGAATTTTTGCGGAGCTCATGGAAATCCAATCTGCCCTCATCCTGCCAGTAATCGCCACAGCCGTTGCGGTCCGTTCACGTAACAAGTTGGAACAAACGCCATTTAAACAGACTTTTTTCGAACGCAGATTCGAACGTCTTCGATACTTTCCAAGAAAGTAAAACCAGCCAACAGAAAGAACACTTCTAAACAGGCTTCCAACCAACAGCGGCCTTTCGCGGTCTTTCGCAGCTCTTCTCAAATCTGAAACGTGCGTTTGCCACATCCATACTTCTTTCCTCAGCAGTGATACCTGGACTCGAATAGCACAGGCCATTGAAAGACTACCGCATGATTAAGTCCTTGGTAGCACCCCACACATTCAAACACAGTTCAATGTTTCCATGTCTTCTTCCCTAGTTAGCTCCCATTTCAACGCTGACTACCTTGTATGAAATAGTCAGGCTCTCAAAGCGAACAAACCGTTGCACTCAGCAGCTTTGACGAACGAGCCAACTTTAAATGTACTTCAGACCGCACAAAGCCGCTCTTGCATCACGGAGAGATCTCGCCATTACAAATATTTGACACTTTCACGCTTCTGTATGCCAGTATTATCGTATCTCCAGGCTTCGTTGTGGTTGTGTGAAAAAAAATTTTTCTGCTCATTTAACAATTCATGTAAACTCACGGTGAACAATTAGAAAGAACTGTTCGTCAAGAAGTTACGAGTTGTGGTTTCTCGTCTTGCTAACGTGCTATTTCCATCGCAAAGAGTTGCGGTCGAGTGAATTCTAGTCGGAACCTACGGACCAAGGTTTCACTTAGCATCATTAACCTTTTTCCTGGATTTGAATCTTGTGTGCCGCTCAATTCAAGCACCTTACTATAGCTCTTGCGAGGGCTCAGAAACGTTTCAATTTAACGTGTAACATATTGCGATTGAACCCTTAAATCAAGATAGGCGTTGATTAATACATTACTGTCTTAGAGTGCTTTCAAGGAGATCGTTTAGCTTTCCACAATGCAAGACCAACATCATATTGTAAAGATCGGCGGCAGGAAGTCGAAGCTGGCCGTGATCCAGTCTCACGATGTGAAAGCATTGATTGAAGATGCTTTCCCTCAATACAACTGCACAGTGCGCGCTCTCAAGACGTTGGGCGACCAAGTTCAGTCAAAGCCATTGTACTCGTTTGGCGGAAAAGCCGTTTGGACAAAAGAACTGGAAGACCTGCTCTACGAAAAAGATAAGGAGAAGAGGATTGATTTAATTGTCCACTCTTTGAAGGACATGCCCACTTCTCTTCCAGAAGGATTTGAGATTGGTGGTATCACAAAGCGGGTTGACCCAAGCGACTGTCTGATAATGGCAAAAGGAAGTCCCTACAAAAACCTGGACGATTTGCCAGATGGCAGCGTTGTGGGAACATCCTCCATCAGAAGATCTGCACAATTGAGACGCAAATACCCCAAACTCAAATTTGAGAGTGTCAGAGGTAATATCGAAACCAGACTCAGTAAGTTGGACGACCCGGTTACTCCATTTTCTTGCATCGTTTTAGCTTCCGCTGGGCTACTGAGGGTCAAGTTACAACACAGAATTACTCAACGTCTAGATTCGTCCGTTATGTACCATGCGGTTGGTCAAGGTGCTCTAGGGATTGAAATACGGTCGAAAGATCCTTGGGTCACATCGATTTTGGAAAAGATCAACGACAAAGAAACAACAATCTGTTGCTTGGCGGAGAGGTCACTGATGAGGACTTTAGAGGGAGGCTGTTCTGTACCTATCGGGGTTGAGTCTCGTTATGATGACGTCACCAAGACATTATCTTTGAAAGGTGTAGTCGTGAGCGTTGACGGTTCTGAGGCTGTCGAAGATGAAATATCTATGGTCATAGAAGATATGCGACAAGATTCAATCATCTGTGGCCAGCAATTAGCGCAAAGCATGATCAAGAAAGGCGCGAAGACAATTCTTGATCATATCAATCTGGATAAAGTTGTGCAATAAGCAAATCCAAAAAAAAAATATAAAACAGCAGCTCAATAATTTGAAGGGCTCGGGTACCAGCGGTTTAAAATCAAGAAGCGTATGCTTTACTATATCTCTACTTCCAACTGATTTGCCAACTCAACAACAAAAGATAAACCACATATATTTATTTGTTTATAACGACCTTGTAAATAATGGCTAATTACGATTCATACACGAAGTACCAACCGACGTGCTAGCGAAATGAACCATATCTATAATACATTCAAATTCCGCGACGTGCTTGGAAGGACGAACTCAACGATGGGAAAAGTCTCTCGAAGTATCACGTGAAAAACTATTTCCAGTCCTCAATATCTAAGCTGCTCATCGCTAATTTAAAGTAATGCGTTTAATAGGTCAACAAGTTACTTAACCCTCATTGCCGGAATCTTACTATGGATGATCCGCTAGATGATGTTCTGGACGAAAACTTTGCTAAGTTTTCTTTGAATGTTTCAAGGTTACCTCTAGCTTTAAGTCATTGGGAAGATCTGCTCAATTATCTTATAGAGAAGGCCAGTCCCTTGAAGAAAACAATCAACAAAGAGCTCTTGAAGCTGATAAGAAACACTTATGGATCTTTTTTTACTTACTTCCCCTTTTTAGAAAATTACAGTGTGGACTATGGTCTTTTGGAATACAAACTGGGCAATATCAAGGAAATGCATGCAGCCTTTGTCTCAGCGCTGCAAAGACATAACAACACGTCTCTTTTGCTGTGGCTCGAGTACTTGAAAATATGCAATGAGGTAGTAATTGATAACAAGCAGCTGTTTCGCAAGTACGAACTGGCGGAGTCCTGCATAGGATTGCACTTTTACAGCGGAGAATTTTGGGAGATGTATCTGGACCAGATCAAGCTACGCTGTACAAGCAACAGCAGATACTTGGTAATTTTAAGAAAGACTCTAGAGTTACCAATTTACTCTTATAGCAAATTCTACGCACTTTGGCTACAAGCAATTGATGAGATGAATGATGTTAAGCAACTCACCATGATGGTCCCTGAGCTTGAAGTGAGCCGCAAAATGAAAATAGCGGTGCGAGGATCCGGAAGAAAGGGACCACAACTTCAAGAAGCAAAAAAACACCTGCGGAAGTTTACAAAAGAACTTTACATGGTGAATCAGCATCGTACATTAGAAATTTACAATTTATTTGAGGCGAACATTAAGACACAATTTTACTGCTCAGCCGAGACTTTGATAGAGAAAAGCGAGATAGCCGCATGGTGGAAGTATCTGGACTATTCCATAAACAATGGAGTAGATAAATTGATTCATGTAAACTTCCAAAGGGCATTGTTGCCGTTAGCGCACTACGAAATGGTTTGGATAAAATATTCCCTTTGGTTAATAGAAAGCTCTCAGGATTTTGTTTCAGCAAAAAGTGTATTATCTTTGGGCTTAAGACTATCCCATAAAAAGGCAAAAATCATGGAGAGGTTGAGCGTTTTATCGATAAAACTAGGTCATTTTGATGATTTGTTGACTCTATTCAAGCAAGCATTGGAAGCATTCGACAATAGAATCGAAGAGACAGATGACTTCGAACTGTTTACAGATTATCTCCATTTCACATTGTTCATGGAAAAATGCATCAACGATAATTTTCAGGCGCGTTCAGTCTGCTATGAAAATAACCCATTAAAGATCGTCATGGGCCGTTTGAGCTATGGAGGAAATAAAAAGGGACAGGAAGAGTTGCTACACATGGTTTGTCAAATGTATACCAGATTTTCCAAGAATGACCTAGAGGAGCAGATTTTTCAACCTATCATCGACCAAGGATGGTCGTATTATCTGGACAATGCCAAATTTTGGTACGAGTATTGTCACAGGATTTGGATCGATCAGGATACGTCGTATCTGGACAAAAGAAGACACATTGTGGAAAAAATATTACCCATCGGGGCAAAGCAGAAATCATCGGCGAATCAAGGAATAATTTCTTTCTGCGAAACTTACCTGCCAGAGGACCTTGATTCATGCTATGAACACTGTCAAAAAACTAATTAATTTCTTAAGTCGCTTCTAAATAGACGTTCACTGTTGTAATAATTCCATAAAGAGTCAAAAACACAATACCAATTTTTTTATCAATCCGCCAATTGTTCATTGGAATGAGCAACATATATGTGGCAAAGATCGCCAAAAGACCAATGCAGCTTATAATGAGCAGCGAATTCACTTGAAAATCGATTGATTCAAGCCATAATGAATTTTCTTCAACTCTTGTGCCATTCCTGCGAAAAAACATGACGAGCATGCCGTCGATTCCAACTCCGAACAGGAAATATAGTAATGGCCCCCCAAAGCATGCACCCAGCGCGATGTCTAATACGCCCATTTTAGTGAAAGTTATTGTAGTTGCTAAGTCTCCAATGGAATTACCCCACGCAAAGATAGTAAGTCCTAGCATGGCCTGAGAAATATTAAGCATAAGCGCACACTCTTCCAAGACGCCAACAACAATTTTGACAACAAAAGAGATGGTAAAAAGTGATAAAAGAAATGCCACGACGCAAACGCATCTTATGGCCAAATCATGCCAGGCTTTCCTATTGAAAAACCACAAAATTCCTGTTAATGACATTGAAGTCAGTAAGCCCCATATCTGCAGCGATTCCATCATCATGTAGTTGATAGCTAGTGGTGCCATGAAAACTTGCAGTGCTTCAAGTTTCAGTGGCCTCTTTTTTCTTTTCTCAACGTCATAACATATTGGAATAAAGGTTCGAAGAACGAGTACAACGGGTGAAACAGCCAAGACAGTAAAAAGCTCAACGAATCCAACGTCAACTTTCTGTTCGTTCCAACATTGCAGTATTACAGATTGTATGATGGGTTTGTCCAAGGACACAACTTTCGTAATTAAGGGCTCTGTTAATATTTGTTCATCGTCGTCAGAATCGGAACACTCTGTTGACAAGGATGTTCCCAAAAAAGAGCTATTGGTGCTTTGAATACGATTGTCCAAGTACAGCAGATAGTCTGCACTCACAGATCTTGAGCTTGCTCGTAGCGGGGGTTTAAGAAAATCCTGACCGTTCCTTGAGCAAGGAATGTCAGACGGAAAGCGTTCCTCATGATGATTATTTGGCGTATCGTCAACAGGCGACGGCTGAATAATCGCTACTTTTGGCCTCAATTCTTGGTGCGAAGTGCTCTTGGTTAGACGCGGGCTTGAAACTTCAGGTTCAAAGATATCTTTGTTATCCCAAATGTTTAGAATTTCATTCAAAGACATTTTCATGCAGCTAGAATAGCTAGATCTTAGATGGTGTTTGATCTTGGCTCGCAGATGAGCCTTGCGGAGCTCCAACTCTTGCAAAAATATTGCTGGATCCCGCGGACATGGTGTGCTCGCCGGCTGGAACTCTTGGGATTCTATATCGTCCTCTATACTAGTTGCAGCCTGGTCTGAAAACGAAGTGCCATTTTCATCGCCCTCAAAAGCTACTTGATAGAGCACATAGCACAGATAAACAACAACCATAAGAAAACATTCCCAAAACATGAGCCTCCCATCGCATAGGAAACAGAGCGCCAATGCTATCATAATGGCGAACATTATAAGATCCTTTAAAAACCGGCGTCTGCTATAAAAAAGGGCGTTATCTGAGTTTTCCTCTGTACCGGCACTAAGATTGCTGAAATCGATCGTTCGCACCATAGGCATTATTCCTACTATGACGCTAAGCAGAAACACAATAGCACCCAAAAGTTCGCCCAGTGCTAGCGGAGTGGCATCCGATTTCATCGAATGGTAAGTGCTTGTGATATCAGGCACCGAATTTCCTAAAGCTAGTAGCGTCATTCCTGAAACACGTTCAGAAATATGTAGTAGCTCTTTTGATATGATTGAGAGATTCGGTGTCAAAAAATCCGAAGTTATTAAGCCTAATGCTGTAAAACTGTATCCCAGCACCACAGGTGCTGTTAAAAAGGGCCAAAGCCGCGCTTTGTAGCAGCCTACAAGCACTGCAAGGCCCTGGACCAAATAAAAACCTACGATGAAAGTTCTTCTTTGCCAGAGACCCATTTTGTCATTTTGGAGAACTACTGATTGTCAAACTAGTTCATGGCAATTATATCTAATTTATTAACGACATCCCAGCAAAGAAAAAGGTGTATATAGTAAGAATGCGTCTAATGTGTATCAAAGCTCAAAAAGAGCTGTGTTTAGCATATTGAGGTTTCGATAGCACACTTTTTGCAATATCGATGTCTGTGTGTATATCATCGATCAAAGCCTCCCTAGTAGTGTAGTCCAATTCAGGCCTAATGTAGCCCAGGATGCTGAACTTTACTTTAGCGCCGTAAAAATCATGCTTGAACTCATGCATGATATGCAATTCTACGGTCTTGGCCTTGTTGTGATAAAATGGATTAAGACCTATGGACAATACCACAGGCAAAACATTCAGGTCTGATTCTGCCAATCTCTGACCAAAGTTGAAGTGAACTCTGGTTCCATCGGGTCTTTGGCAATTCTTGACATCTCCCGGCCCAGATTCTGCAAGTTGCGCAAAGCCAAAAAACACTCCTAGGGGCAAATTCTCAATGGCATCCGGTAATTCATTGAACTGTACATTGGCAGTGGGTATTCCCAACTCAGAAGAACCGCGCCCAAATCCACACACGATCTCACAATAATCGGTTATGATGGGATACGGATACTGCGGGGAGTCAGGAATAGGCACGTCTGCGGGTCTTGGCATAGTGTTCGACTTCAAAGATTTTGGCAGTTGATGAATTAATTGACTTTTGATGTATCTAGAGAGTAAGTCAAAGAAATATAAAAAAGCACTCTTGAAGAATTCCTCTGTAATAGTTCTGAAGCGTTTTTATATAGTTTGAAGACTACGTACTAATATCCAGGCCCTCATGCTGACATTTCTGGGAAAGACTTTATTAATCCTCCGATCTCATACTCTTCCCATAGAATTCGGAGTCTGGCAGCTCCTACGTACCTGCGGTCAGCGACGCTGTTGGTGAGATCCGCTGTTAAAAGGACGAGTAGTTTGTGCGCTTGTTTTCCGAATGCTTGAAGAAACTGCGCAGCCGCAGCATCCCACCAAGATCCGAGAACAACAAAGTGGGTATTGGTCAAAAGCTGTGATGATGTGTTCGCTGTACGAGCCAGCAGTTGCCATGAATGCGAAATTGGGAGAGGGTGTTTGTGAGTTGTTATGAGCTCCTGGGGTAAGGGCAGTCGAGATATGGTGGCAAAGAATGTTACGATTCCTCCCATTCTCTCGTCGTAAGATGTTTCATCCTCCCACGCGTCATCTCGAGCACGCTTCCACCCCATTTTGTACCGGCCTTCTTCTGAATCGATATTGCAAGTGTATCCTATTACGAAGGGACACTTCTTGATAAACCGTGCCATCAGAAACTCCAACAATTCAGAATAGCGAGCCAACAGATATAGCGCCAGCTTTGCCAATGGAAGTGCACTTTCGGGTTTGACGCGGACCTCCGTCTCGGCCTGCGATACGAGGGCCTTTGCGATAAAGTTGAGAATCCACTCGTAGCCTAATTTGTTAGGTTTAGTTTGGTCAACTAGAGTCGTGAGCTCTGAGACAATAGTTCTTAAATGCTGTTCACTGTTGGTCAGCTGGCCGAATTTGGGGTTTATTCTTCTCTTGTGTTTGGATAATATGGACTTTAGAGCTGTATCCTTTTTTACCGGCTCAACAACTTCCATTTTTATGTGTTTGATCTTGTGCTTGTAGTGTTTAAACGTGGTTTCAACTTCATGAAAATTTGTCAATCCCTTTCCCTTGGCGGCTTCCTCTTGAGCCTTGCGTTGAGCCTCTAAAGATTCCTGCTTCTCTTTCTCCTTTTTGAGTAGCAGTTTTTCTTCTTCTCTTTGCTTCGCTTCCTGCAGGGCCTTTTGTCGCAGTTGTTCTTCTTCCTCACGCTTTTTGCGTTCTTCTTCCTGCTGCTTGCGTCTGTCTGCTTCCTCACGCTGCTTCTGCAGCATCTCCTGTCTTTTCTGTTCTTCTTTACGTCTCTTCTCCTCCTCCAGAATCCGCTGCTTTTCGGTCTTCACCATGCGAACCTGTTCTTCATTACAATTTTCGAGCAAAGCCAGCTTTTTCATGTAGTTCTTGACCATCTTAGCTTGCAATTGCGCAAACATTGTATTTTTAATGTGATTGTCGCCAATTTGAACACAAGCACTTGGCTCTGTTGAAATGTCATCTCTATCCACATTTTTCCTCCAATTCCCGATTCTCGTAATCTTTGCAGGACCTGGTATTTTCGCACTCAGATTCAGCTTGGCAAGCATATGCTCCAGTTCTGGATCTAGTTTATCTAGTTTATCTTCTTCATTCTTGCTTGCTGGCTTCGTACCTTTATACCGGGGAATTCGCAAACGTGGTATATCTTCGTCATCACTTTCAATGATCGTGTATTCATCATCGTCAAGCAATTCTGGCTCGTCAACGGCGTAGAGTTCGTCGAAGCTGAATCGCATCTATCCCGAAGAGCTCGACAAAACTAAAAGCAGAAAATTATTATAGAAGTAGGCATAACAATTGGTCTGCATATATAAATCAAAAGCTTTTGTCTTCGTATTTAACGAAAGCGTCACTTTATACGCATTCCTATTTTCAAAGAATAGAAGCTCTGGACGAGCTAAGTTCTTCAAAAGTCCCTGCAACAGTTCTGCTCTGAGCGTTATCCCTTTAACTAGATTAGCCATTCAAATATGCAGCTATATTCGCATTTAGGTCAAGATACATTGCACTAAGAACATGACCCGATAACGGCGGCTAATACATGAAATACACCAATGAGTCGAACCGCGTAAGTAAGTCTCAAAACAAGTGCCCTGACGTTCAAGTTTTCGCTAGAACTAATGCTTCTAGTTGTTTTACTGGTCCAAGCTTTGTTGAGTGGATAAACAAATATCTACCATCAGACTTGTTACGGGACGAGTGTTGTTACGCTTGTAGCCCTTGAAAAAGTGAGATCTCTGTTGCAACGTGCTGCACAAGTGTTTTAGAAGATGCTCGCAATAGCTGATCATCTCTCATGCCCATCGAAACAGTTGAAATACACATAGGATAGTCCAAGTTGCAAAAATCGAACTGATCCGCAAGTTGAGTGTGTATACCAAAGCTGTAACACGCCGTCGGCTGCGGAATCTGAGTTTGATGAGATACTGTGATTTACAAATGTCGTGATATTTGCTATTTAAGACGGCGTCTGTGCTCGTGGACGTTGTAACAGCATAGGCCCCTCACTAGCGGCAGATTAAGCGTTAAGTCCACCAGTGGTATCAACTATAGATTAAGAAGGCGAGGAAACATCACACATATTGAGCGGAGAAGCTTTGAAATAATACCAACACTCTTTAAGAACTATCCCAAGCGTTTGTTCATGTCGATCGACGTCGGCGGCTAATATATCGGGGGCAGGAAAATAATTAGAGATTGACTACTAAAAACCAGTAGACATGATTTTTGGACCTTTACATGTTTTAGCGGTCAGGCGTCATTATTCGTTAACCAGCTCTCGTGGGATACAGTCTGCGATTTTGATCGAAACTAATAAAACACGACTTCAAAATACTGTTCACTGATAAAATTACTCCAGATGGACTTGGGATGCAAAGATGCACTGAAAGCCAGTCTATATCTGAAAATAGCGCAAGGATCAATATCCATTCCCCCACCAGCTAAGCGTTATATTCGCTTCAACAAAGAAACAAAGTTACCCAGCGTTAGCTTGCGAATTGTTGAGACACACCTTGGGCTTGACTATGAGTAATATGATTTTGCTTCTTCGATATGCGAGAGATAAAAAGGTTGCCCGCGTTCTCTCGAGCAAACAGCGGCCTATAGTTTTCTGGACTCCACGAACAAAATTCAAATCACTCTATTTATTCGCAAGCCGGTGGAGACCAGAAAGCTTCTCAATAGGTTATTAGAAGTGTGATTGGGATGCAGCGCTGCATTAATACCTGCACATGTATGAGAAGTAACTTTTCACAGCTCATGAACCGAACTTTAACTTTCCAGACACGACTGGAAAAGGTTGTGGAAGAGAAAACATGCTAAAATTTGCATCTAGAGAGAGAGAGAGAGAGAGAGAGAGAAGAGAAAGAGAGGCAGGGAGTTGGACATTTGGAACCCGACCATTTATCTAGAACGTATTTGGTGTTGAATGGTTGATTATGTCTTATTTCATGTCGTTGATCAAAAAGCATTGCGTACGTCATCGTATAAGGTGCTTAAGATTATCCTGCAATAGTGTTTCTCAAATTCAAACTCGACCCAAGTGCTTTCAGACAGCATCAATTTTTTGAGATGAGTATTGAAAATAACTTCACTCATAAACCGAGTGAGCATACTTAGTTTTGAAAAAGCACAATGCGTTTTTTTCGTGGGTTTTCTACCAGCCAGAAGTCGTGCAAAGCTGCATGCTCTCTGGTGAAGCCAGTGCATCACTTGGTGAAAGTGGACAAATCTAAGCTTTCACCAAGATTTGAAGAGCTCAAGTATGCGAAAAACGACGTCAGATCGCCAGGATTCAGACCTGTTGCCACTCACCAAGACAGAATTAGTGAGCATTATCACAGGACAGTACAGCCAGACCTGCTGCTCATTAACTACTCGCACAACGCACAAATCAAGAAAGGTGCCAAGAATAGAGAATGGGATTACTCCAGTCCTTACCACCTAAACAGACAGCCCAGAAAACCCAAGGGGTCTGAGGTGCAGCTTCCAGATATGAAACCGATCAAGTGGCACAACATTCCAGAGCTAGAGTCAATTGTGGTGAATTGCTACGTTAAGGAGTCTAAGGAAAACCAGTTATTGCCCGTCAGTGCAGCTTTGCAGTTGCAGCAGCTCACGGGTTGCAAACCTCAAGCAGTGTACGCAAAAACGGATGTTCCATCTTGGAAAGTAAGAAGGGGAACGCATATGGGCGCCAAAGTTGAAATTAGAGGCCGTCCAATGGCTCAGTTCTTGAGCACATTAACCGAAATTGTACTCCCTAGAATAAGAGAATATAAAGGTATCAGCAACAAGTCCGGCAATCGTTTTGGTGGTCTGTCTTTTGGTTTGACTTCCGAAGACGTCAAATTTTTTCCAGAGATTGAATCAAATCAAGACCTATGGCCTAAGACATTTGGGATGCACATTAACATTAACTCGTCTGCACAAAATGACATCCAAGCCAGAACTCTTGTGAGTGGTTTTGGATTCCCTTTCAATGGTCCTGAAAAACTTAAATGATTAACCACTACAAATAACTGTAAATACTAAGATTGGCTTTAGAAAGAACCCGTTCATTTCTTTTATTTCTCTATTCACATTGTAACATAGTTTTTTTGGTTCGGCTCTTACATCCGATCCAATTTTAGCTTGTTCATTTCTCTAGCTATCAAGGCGACTCTGTCACCTAAAGATAGTGCGAGTCCTTGGCCCTTAGAGCGAATACGTACATGACCGACGACCTCACCCGAAACTGGGTCCTTTTCGATGCAAAGGTTGGCTAGAGCGTCCTCTCCAAAAGTCGATTTAGAGTATAAATTGCAACTCAAAAACCTACAGTCTCTTTCTCCCAATGCTTCTTCAGATGTAAGAATCCCCATGCGAGTACCTTTGACCAGCTCTTCCAAATATGCATGTAGTGTTGGAAGTTTGGACTTCACTGTTATTTTATTTTCCCATTCAAACGCGTTCCACATTTTACGGAACGTGGCATCGTCCGTCTTTGCTGGCTTGATATAATCCATGATATCAACGTGGATGTCATTCATAATGACATACCGAGCGTCCTCGCCATGTCCACCATCATAAATGATGTTACCAAAAATCACACCGGTGTCAGCTGACGACACTTTTACAGTGACAGTGAGCTTGTGGAATCCATGCGCCACAACATTAGTGCTGGGTGGGTTGTCGATAATTTTAAGATCTCCCAAAGTGGCAAATTGAACGTGCAAATTTCTCAGCGTTTCCTTCGTTTGGTTCACCAACAAGACCTCGAGAACAACATCAAACTGGTGATTTGTGATGTACGCTTCTCCGTAGATGGGGTCCGAGAAACCAGTCAGCGGCACCACCTTCCTTAACTTGGACATTATTGATGACGAACTCCTTGAATTTACCGAATCACCAGAAATAGCCATTTCCAAATCCTCATTAATAGTGTCGACTGGGGTATTGTGAATATCCTTTGCAGCAAACTGTCTAAACAAAATGGCCTTATCGATTGGGTCAGCAGTGCGAGCTAAGACTGAGGCCGATTTTTTTGCTGACTCACGTTCAGCGCTTGCTACCTTGGTTTCAAACGAATTTTTGGTAGCCTCTAAATAAGCCATTTCAAGTAGTCTCTTACTATCTGAGCCACTCGTATCAGAATCACTCATGAGCACTGACAAGGCAATCATTATCCTTTCTGAGGAGTCCTCGTCGATTTTCTTTTCCACTAGTGTACTTTGGCCAGCTCTCAAAACACTCACGAGGATAAGCATAGCTTCAGCTTTCAAAGCATTGAGAACAGTGCTATCCGCAGAAGTTTTCTCGAATCTTAGAACACACTTCACGATAGTAGTCGCTAAAACAGATGTAGTGTAGAAGTCTCCTTTCAGAATGAAACGACGTAGTGGTGGTCTCGACTCTTTTTCCTCCTTTGTTGAGGTTTTGTTATGCTCAGTGGAGAAAGCTGACTCAGTGGCATATGTGCCATCTGGCAAAACAACCGGACCAGAGGAAGGCGCCTCTTCAGTCGCAGCGGGTTCTTCCGAAGTATCACCACCTTCAAGTTGCTTAACTTCAGATTGCACAATAGGTAATTCACCTATGCTACTACGAATATGCTTCCATGAGCTTTGGACATCGGCAGCATCCAAAGAATACTCTCCCAGTATCCACAACGCCCCGCGATAGGCTTTTGCAGAGGACACGTATGGTAGTGCGCCAAGCAAATGCTGCAAAATTTCTTTCCTGAGCTGAGGGTATTTCTCTATCACTTCTTTTATGAAAGCTATCACACCGCTTGCAGCATTAGAACTTAAATCACCAATGAACTCCAAAAACAGTGAAACTACATCCGCAGAAACCTCCACGAATCGAATGGCTACTTTGTGAATATTCTCGATCAGAATCTGTCTATAATCAACAGCCTTTTCGTCATTCTGGGCATTTGTGATCGTAATTTGTAGTTCTTTTTTTAATAGCTTTATGACGTCATCCACGTTTCTCGACGACACCAACTCCAAACCTATGTTCAAGGCTTTAGCACGAACGTCCAGATCTTGAGCACTCAAAACACGCAGAATGTCCAAGGTTAGCTCCTCCAAAAATCCTGGGGCTCTCTTATGAATATCCTGAATCCTTTCCAGTACAATCAATTTAATGTTGTTGTCAGACTCCTTGACGGCGACGTCGATGAGCTTCGAAGCTACTTGGCATAGTTCCTTGGGGTCACTTGTAAGTACTGTTAATGCTAAAGATGCCTCGAAAACAACTTCATGGGAGGTTGTAGCGTTAAGTAGGTCTTGCAATAGATCAACGTACTGAGGCTTCAAAGAAGGAGTTTGGATTGCATCTTTCCGAATGAAGTCAATGAATGCGTCTTGCAGTAATGAATCAAGACTTTCGATGGTAGCAATGTTCTCTTGTAGGTAGTTAAGGGCAGATTCTCTATCAAGCTCTGCCAAGCCCAAAAACGCGTTCCTTTTACAGATCGGGTCGGTTTCCGCAACCAAAAAAGAGTTAATGATCTCGCATGCATCTGGAATTAAATGATCGCTAACCTTGTAGATAGAGTAAACGGCTAAAATCGCGTATTTGCGAATGTATGCGTGACGGTACTCTAGACAGCTGCGAACAGCAGGGACCATTTGTTCTAACAGATCTGCCTCCCGCAATTTAGTCAAAAATCGCAAAGTATTACCACGAATATATTCGTTAGGGTGTTGTAGATCGTGCTGGATTGCATTGCACACCAGAATCATCTCCTGTTTCAATTTCCCCTCCGCGTCCAATTTGGGTACGATTTCCCAGTAGAAGTACAGCAGCTTCTTCAATTGCTTGTTCTTCGATGGCATAACGAACCGGATAACATGCATTAGCATATCAGATAATGGATTGCCGTCCAGCATCATCACGAGCATTCTTTTCATTGTGTGGACCTTTTCTTCATCAGACCCCTTTTCCAGTGATTTTTGTAACTCCGCGTTCGTGTACCCAACTAAATTCGGACTGGGATCATACACCAGAGTGTAAGCCGATTGTTGGAGTGTGGCACTCATTTTGGACTTTTCTGGACCCTCGATTTTCACCTAATATTCTTCCTTTAGGATTGTTTACCGAGATTTCATATTTCCAAATGTCTTGCCACCTAAACAACAAATTTTTTAAACAATATTTAAAATATGGCCGGGTGACTCTTTATTGGATTCTGTATGCCTTACATATATTAAACAAATAAGACTAGCAATGATGACCGACGGTACACCCTTGGGCCAGTATTGATCTTTATATGTAGTGTTGACTAAACTTTTCATTCTGATACAGGATCCTCGTTCGTCACGCGAAGACCACCATTGAATGTAGACTGATAGTAGGCAGAATTAGAAGTCTGAACAGAAATGCCATCATCTGAAGAGTCCTCGGTGTATGAATGCTCCTTTTGCGGCTGAGAGAATGCTGACTTATCAGCCTTGTAGCGATAGTCAACATCCAATGTCCCGCTTCGAGCGCGGTTGTTAGTTTTGCGCGTGAAGTAGCTAGTGACAGTGTCACTACGGTTGATTCGACTCTTGGCACCTTGGGAAGGATATGTCCCAGAAGCAGCATTTTCAGCAAACTGTAGTACAGAACCCGCCACATTTCGTTCACGCAAGGGCGCCATCACGTCGTCACTGTCGTAAGCCTCGTCACCCGGAATGTTACGAAGATAGAGTTCATCTTCGTCTTCCTGACGTTCGTCGTCATGCTCGTCATTCACATCATGATCCTTTCCAGCGAGCATATTAACACCAGTCGAGCTCTTGTTCAAAAGATCGTGGAACTCGCGGGTGTGATCCACCTGAGTAGAAACTGGGTTGCCCTTCGCACGAAGCATTCCAGACTTATCAGCATCCTCATCCTCTTCCTTTGCAGTCTCTAAAGACAAGAGCTTCTGCTTAGCTTTTCCATGTTTGATACCAATTTGTTTCGAGCTTGTACGAATTCTCACCTTGATGTTTTGCGGTTGCTCGAGATTATTCTTGGTTTTCAATATGAAGGGCAAATCTGGAGGCGGTTGAAGTGAGTTAGATGTTGGGAAATACTTGAGTCTCAGTTCCTCAACGTAGCTCGAAACAAGTCGTACGGACTTATCCGTTCCACTTCTGTGCGGACTATGCGACTTGAATATAGTTGGTGGATCATCGAATGGTTGGCGTACCGTGAATTCGGAGTCGGTACCGCTTTTCGGACTCAGATTACCACCTAAGGCAGGCGTAGAGCTCGAGCTTGAGATATTACGTCTTGGAGTAGTGTCCACTTGGAACAAATCTGACTCTGATGTTATGGGCGGCCCAGAAAGAAAAGGAGGTTGGGGCGTAAGCATTGCGTCTTGAACTGGCAAAACGTGGCTTTCAGTTTTAAAAGAAATGCTTTCGTTATCTGTAGTACTGCTTTCGTCATTCATAGTAAAATTAGGTCGGTGCTCATTAACAACTCTGAATTGCCGAGGTTTTTCTAATAGAGATTGATCATCGTCGTAGGCCAAATCGTCAGTCATAGCCTCTTCTGCAAAAGACTGTTCTTCTAATAGATTGTGTTGAGAGTTGCCATTGAAAGAAACTTGCTGAAGGTCTTGGACGGATTCTACCTGCGAATCGGCAAAAGAAAACCGGTCGTCATCACGGTCATTCGGCTGGTTGGCCGCCTTTAGTTGCGGACTACTTGGATACTTGAATGAATCATTTGCTTCCCTTGAACTCAGGCTAAGTTTGGACTTCGAGAGATTAAGAGATTTGACAAAAAAACTGTTAGTGTCGGCATCAGTATCTTCTACAGGCAGATCCAAACTAGGAGTTTGAAAATGCTCACTAGACGACGATCTCCCTACCGAGGTATCATCACCCAACGTTTGCTGGCCTTCATCACCAAAATGATCCAAATGTTCCATCAACTCATCAATTTCCGACTTTTTACGTGAATGTCCTTTACCTGCCGCCTCTGTACTCACTTTGGCTTTATTTAGTCCCTCCACTGAATCCTCTACTTTTGTCGGACTTGAAATATGGAGATCAGCTAAGAATTCTGGAGGTGGTGGACGTCTTGCTCTGCTTGGTTTGCTGGGACCAAGCTTCGAGCTGGGAGTGGTCTCTTTGAAAGTGCTCGATGAATCAGGTGAAGTACGCGGTTGGATTACGGGACTTGTAGCGGCGGGTGCGGAGGCAGGAGCAGGAGCTGGCGCAGGACTTGGTGGGGAACGAAACTCGCTCGTAACCCGTTCAGATTGCGCGTTCACGGACTTCCTCAGCGGATATTTGCCTACATGCTTGACACTGCTAACATTTGCCTCGAGCTTTGGTCCACTGCTTTTGCTTCCACTTGAGAAGAAGAAAAACGAGTTCCTTTTCGACTTTGGCTCGCTCATTATTAGGCTACAGCATTCGTATTGATACAACTAGTTTAGAACTGAGGTGAATGCACATCATGGTATACTAAAGACTTGCGTATACGATGATCGCGGCTGAAAAATTGAAGAGATGTCAATTTGATGCCTAAAAGCATCATGCATTGGTTTCCAGCAATTCTAGAAGCAATTGTAGTGCCTTCACATTGTGCTCTCCAATACCACCAATGCTCACAGCTCTAACGGTACTCGGGTGAGGTACTGATATGATTGCAGTGCCTTTTGTGTGCTTCGCCACATCCAGTGAATCAAACCACGACGCAGATTCGTGAACATTGTTCAAGTTCATTACTACAATATTGCAGTTTGTCTCAGACCTCAAACGGTTTAAATTGTCGTAAACCAGGTCAACGTAGTGCTGGCGCGGGCACTTAATGTAAGTTTTTAAAATCTGATACGGGGATTTAGCCTTCACAGCCTCTATAGACGCCCTCACACTTGCCACACAGTAGTCTCTGATCTGATCTTGAGTAAGATAATTGGCATTCATGCCACGAGACTGAGTGTCAAGTGTTCTCCCATTGGTGTTGCGGTTGGTATTCTCTCTGGTAGATGTCTGGCTGGGAACGCTGGAAGTGTTACCGCTATATCGCGATGTGTTTCCAGTTGTTCTTCTAGGTATCTCAGGTTCTTGTGCGACTTGTTGGAAGCCATCCGTCGTTTCCTTTTCTGTGCTCGGCACAATTTCATTATGATTAATTAAGGATTCAACAAAGTTGGTGAGTGAAGCTTTACTCTTTTCTAATATTACAGCATTGCCAGTTGAGAGCTCCTCGGCATTTGTTAAGATGTCTTTGTCTAAAAACGGTAGCGTAGTCATTGCAATCTTGTTCTTCAATTTCAATGCTTTCAGACTGTTTGAGAACTCTTCCTTGACAATGTGATGGGGTTTCCGAAAGTTGATACTACTCGAAAAGCTGCTAATTGCCTCTACCATGCTAGTAAGCCCATATGTGTTTACCGAAACTTCTGTAAAGTCAGCGAGATCGATGAACTTTGATACAGTTATTCCGACTTGAGCTTTGTCGTAGCCGCTGTGAAGCTTGCAGGACTTGTGTACGTAAAAGCTGCCTCTCAAAGGGATCTCACGCGGCACATACCAGGGGTCTTTTGTGGTCTTCCCCAGCCATTGTTTGCCCTTGTTACCAAACACGAATCCCAAGATCAATGCTAGTTCTAATGCACGGAAATTCCAGGCGCAGAGATAAGAAAGACCATCTTCCTGCAGCACGAAATCCAAATTCTTGCTTTTGAGCTCTTGAGTGAGCTGTGAATTCTGGATGAATTGAACGTCTTCATTTGTCAATGATACCAAAACTACACTCTTCCGGATAACTTTATCAACACTAGTGTTTTTGCGACTCATGAACTTGTATGTGCTCAGAAGAGAGCATGCGTCGTAATTGTCTGCTCGTTTGGCTCTTACTCTCGACCCACTTCCACCTGAGAGGGGCCTTTTCTTGACTCCCATCCTTGAACCTTTATAGTTTGGTTTACCGCTTAGTGTTTAACTTTTTGGCTATAATGTAATTAAACTATGAACTGAAAACCGTCGAGCACGAGTGGAGGCAAAAGAACGATGTTCGTTTATCCCTTCGAGAACTCGAATAATGGATGCCGTTGGATTCTAATATTTTATTTTACAAAATTCTGTGACATTATAAAACGCAGCTTTTTACCCAGTTCGTCGAGGGCGCACGCGCATGCAGACGACATCCCCGTGAACTGTCTGAAAAGCTCCTGTGTAATTGATGCATTGTATCCTTCGCTTCTCACAAAGACTTGACCTCCTTGACGACGTCATCGAACGCTTCTTTGTACTCCTCTTCCTTGGCCTTGCCGTCCTTCTTCTTGCTGCTTCCTGGCACCACGAAGACAACAGAAGTTGGTCTCTTGGTAGCACCGGCAGACCCAAGGTCCTGTTTGGAAGGCACAAAAACATAAGGCACTGATTGGTCTTCACATAGCACGGGGATGTGAGAAATGACGTCTGGAGGCGAGATGTCACCGGCAATTACTACCAAACCCTTTTCACCTTTTCTGAGTGCTTTGACAACTTCCTTAACACCTCTTTTCACGTTCTTGGCTTTGGAAGCCTTCTTGACGGTTTTGAGTACCTTCTTGTTTAGTTTCTTAGAAGCTAGCGGTAGAGCGAAAGGCAGAACTGCAGGAAGTCTGGCTTCATAGTTATCTTCGCTTGTCGCGGACTTGTCCTTGGCCATTGTTTTTGTATTGGAGTTAACTGTCTGGGATGCAACGTCCTGTATCTGCTTCACAATCTTCAGATGCGAATGAAATATCTTCCAAGTTAACTAATTCCCATATGTTCAGCTAGCTCATCGCATCAAAAACATTGAAAAATTTTTACTGAGTACAAATAAAAAGTAAGCTGCTATAAGAGTCATGGCCATAGTATTCTGGTATATCCAGCAAGCAAATAAATCTTTCAATCAAATCCTCTCGGTGGCCAAGTTGGTTTAAGGCGCAAGACTGTAATTTAACACGTAATCTTGATATCGGGCGTTCGAATCGCCCCCGGGAGATTTTTTTTATATTTTTGTTTGTTTAATAATTGTAACTTGAATTCAAACTAACTACTCATCAACGGCTGGTTGATGGCGGCTTCTTCGCTTAGTTACGTGACAGGCAACTATCCAAGATGGCTCAAGATTCAATAGAGAATGTGGAATACTGGAAGAAACGCCCAGCTCCGATTCAAGTTTCCGAAAAAGACCTGCCGTCTTCGATTCCGCCTCAGACCGGCCTCACGTTCAACCTATGGTATAACAAATGGTCGCAAGGAAATAGCGGCCAGAGTAGGTTTGTTAGTCCGTACAGACTGGATGTTAGGGCACATGAAGGAAGAACAAGAGGCGACAAGGCCAAGCAGTTACTATTTTGCCTATATTTCAGCAAGGGCATGTGTTGCCTGGGCAGAAAGTGTGAGTACTTGCATCATGTTCCCACAGCGGACGACATAGCGAAACTGTCTCTACAATCAGACGTAATGGATTGTTTTGGGCGCGAAAAACACGCCAACTATCGAGAAGACATGGGAGGTGTTGGAACCTTTCGCAAGAAAAACAGGACAGTATACGTTGGAGGCATCACCGGCGCTCTCAATAATGTCCCTTTCAAATCGAGCCAGATTGAGAACCGCATAAGGTTTACATTTGCAAAATTGGGACCCTTGGAGAGAATACGGTATGTGGAGACCAAAAATTGCGCATTTGTTAAGTACAAACATCAAACTAGTGCTGAATTTTCCAAAGAGGCCATGAGCAACCAGACTTTACTGATACCATCCGATAAAGAATGGTCTGACAGAAGCGATGGTACGGGATTGCTTGTCAAGTGGGCAAATGATGACCCCAACCCTGAAGCGCAGCGGCGCGAGAAGGAGCAACAAGATCAGGAATCTCTTAATGTTATGTTGGAATTAATACGTAAAAATGATGCGAAAGAGCAGCCGTCATTGGAGAACACATCAAGCTCAGGCAAACGGCTGCTTGAAGGCGCAGAATCAGAAGACCGCTCTCTTCAAAGCTCTATCTTCAGCGGGCTTTCTTCTTTCAATTTGCGTAAACTTAAAAAATTGAAGGTTGACAAAGCTGATGACGTACAGTTGAAGGAGATCCCAACCGCCGGTCTGGTCGAATATCCGTCCTCCGATGACGACTAGTTATATATACAATGTCAGACTTGAACCCAATTGTTACTCCGCTACTCAAAACAAAATGGGCTTCAACTGATTTTGTTCCAGCTTAAATTTTTGGCGTACAGATAATTTAATTTCGTTGATCTTTTCCCGGTCAGTTCTTCTGACGTACTTGCAAAGCTCGTCTATTACCTTTTCGTCTTCGTGGTCGCCTAAGAAGGTGACCGATGTGCCGCTTTTCCCTGCTCTGCCCGTCCTTCCGATACGATGAACATAATTTTCAAAGGATGTAGACATCTGAAAGTTGACCACTAAGGACACGTTTGGTATGTCGATACCTCTACCGGCAACATCAGTCGCTATCATGATATCAGCCTTTCCGGTGCGTAATAAATTCAAGGAGAACTCTCTTTGTTCCTGGGATTTTGATCCATGCAGTGTTGTGACTCTATACTTCGTTTCGGACGCAAATTTCGTTGCTAGCCAGTCAGCGGTCCGCTTGTAGTTGATGAAAATCATTATAGGTGCTCTGAAAGCTGGCAAAATTGCTCGCGAGAGTTTTATAAATCTTTGTTCCTCGCTTGGAATGTAGTCAATAACCTGTTTGACTTGTGAGTTGGTATCTTGGGATCCAACGCGCACATAAGCTGGCTTATTGAGATATCCATTAGCAATTCTTTCCACAGAAGAAGACATAGTAGCCGTGAACATCATAGTTTGTCTCTTCCTTCCAGTCTCGACCCTTGATAAGATCGTGGTCAACTGGCTTTCGAACCCCAAATCTATCATCCGATCAGCTTCGTCTAGTACTAGCGTTCTCACTTGTTTCAATACCAGCATATGAGATTCCAAACAATCAATAAGTCGGCCAGGGGTGGCAACCAAAATGTCGCAACCGTCTTTCAGCGCAAAAGCGATCTCTTCTACTGAATGCCCACCAACTATGCTTGCGACTTCTGTGGGCCGCGTCCAGTGTCGTAAAACTTTGTTGGCCTCTGCCTCGATCTGTTGCGCCAACTCTCGTGTAGGTGCCAAAACCAAGACTAGAGGCCCATCAAGTTTCGTAACATCATTCATAGGCGGCAGCTCATTGAGTTGACAAAGTGAAGGTATTAAAAACGCTAGCGTTTTGCCTGATCCTGTTGCTGCTACACCCAAAAAATCGCGACCTTTCACGGCATTCGGAATTGTAATCCTCTGAATAGGCGACGGGTCTAAATAGTTTAGCTTTCGCTGAATAATCTCGACGATTTCTTCAGGTATCAAACCAGTTTCGCTCCAGTTTCGCAGTGGGTGCTGGATAGTGCCACCTTTAGTTTCAATATGGAAATCTTCTCTTAATATCCTCCAGTCGCGCTCCGTCATATCTTTGAGGCTCTTCTGGCCCCAATGTTTGCCCATATACACCTCCTCCGTGGACTTCGGCACTCTTTTTCGCAGTTCTGTCGCTTTGGAGTTCACTATGGGCATATCTCCATTCATGGTGTCTTCCTCCGGTTTCCAATCGAACTGGAATTTGCCGCGATGATTCCGTTCAGAACTCCTTGACTTGAAGTCAGAGTGAGTTTTCCTCAGAGTCTCAGTCTCGGACGTCGATACAGATCCATTTTTGCGCCATTTCAATTGTTTGAGGCTCTCGGGCTCTTGTTTCGATGACGGTGATGATTCGAGCAACGAAGCTGCCTCAGTTCGTCTTTTCTTGCTTAAAAAAGTGGGTTTTACTACATTCAAAGAAGGTCGACTGGCACTCTTCGAATCAAGGAGCTCCGTTATGTCGACTGGTCGCTTCATATCGAAGGCTTCGTTATAACTTATACTCCTCCATTTTCTGTCATGCTATTTTGATAATATCATTTTTAAAACAGACATAAGGGCGGACCACTCTCTTTTGTCAGGTAGTTACAAGGCTGTAAAATTCTAAAGTTACAAGGTTCGTAGGCGCAATGAGTGCTGACTGTTCTGTAGGAAGTAATCCTTTGTCGGGTTTGAGCAAGCATGCTCAACAAGACAGAAGCTTACATCATGGAGGTAACTTTGGACAAAATCAGAGCTCTAATAAGCAGTTCAAGTTGAACGAAAATAAGATCAGTGATGCCAATAAGATGCGTATGGAAGCCTTCATGGGTAATGACCGTGTGGAAAACCATATGATGATGGGTAATGGGCGTGCTATGCTGCCACCGACACTCCCTGATCTTCAGCGCCATCAGCAGCCCCAACAAGTCCGGCAACATCAATACCCATCGAACGATTGGAGCCAGCAGTTCAATCGTGGATCCCCGGAAATTAGTAGTGTGAGCCAACATTCAAATGTAAGTGCTCACTCGCCTCAGATAGTTTCAGCGATCCCACAGGAAGGAGGTCAAATGATGCGGTCGCGAACAACTATGTCTCGGTTCGGACCAGGGTCAACATCTGCAATGTTTTCACCAGGGGTTCAAAACCAAGCGCTGAACCGCCAGCAATTTTCATCGCCTCAAAACCTGAGTGAGAGCATTAATCAAGAGTCGTGGGATGAACAGTTCAAGGAATTGGAGAAGGAAGTTGCCGAGAAATTAGCGCTTCATGAAGAGGTGGTAGCTCAACAAGAAAGTGAAACAGTTAATGCAGAGCAGACGGTTGCAGATGATCAATACCAAGCCGAATTTCAGGAAGTATGGGACAATCTACATGAGGAAGCTGTGGACAACAACACACAAGATGACTGGCAAAGAGACTACCAGCAGTACACATCTGGGCGCCCTTTAGAGAGCATACCATACAAGTTCGAATCTGAAAATCAGTATCTTCACAACTCCAATGCATACGAAATTGGGTGTATATTGATGGAAAATGGGGCGAAATTAAGCGAAGCTGCTCTAGCCTTCGAAGCAGCAGTACAGGAGAATCCCAAGCATGTGGACGCGTGGCTTAAATTGGGAATGGTTCATACCCAAAACGAAATGGAGTATAGTGGTATCAGCGCATTGGAGGAGTGTCTAGGGCTTGATCCTCATAATCTGGATGGAATGGTAACATTGGCAATCAGCTACATCAACGAGGGCTACGATGTGAGTGCTTTCAAGATGCTTAATAGGTGGCTAGAAACCAAGTATCCAAATTTGGTCTCTCCTAATGAAGCTTTGGACTCCAGCATTGACCGCTACAGCATGAGTCAAGCGATAACGCTTCGGTTTTTGCAAGTGGTCAACAAGCTTCCAGAGGTTGACGCTAGCCTTCAGCTAGGCCTCGGAATTCTTTTTTACTCCAACGATGATTACGACAAGACAGTCGATTGTTTTAAAGCTGCGCTAGCAGTCAGCCCAAACGACGAATTGATGTGGAATCGCTTAGGCGCATCGCTGGCCAACTCAAACCGGTCTGAGGAAGCAGTTCAGGCTTATCGGAAGGCGCTTCAGTTGAAACCCACATTTGTAAGAGCCCGTTGCAATCTGGCCGTGTCGTGCATGAACATGGGTTGCTACAAGGAGGCGGCTGAATACTTGCTTACTGCGTTATCGATGCACGAGGTGGAAGGCTTGTTGCCATCAGAAACAAATGCTAGTCAAAACCTGCTGGAGACATTGAAAAGAGCTTTCATAGGCATGGAAAGGCGCGATTTATTAGAAGAAGTCCGTCCTAACATGAATTTAAGCTCATTCCGGAAGGAGTTTACCTTTTGAGCTGAGAGCTATTTTTGGTAAATTGAAACTTTTCATTTTGATAATAGGGTAAAAGCGCCAAAACTAATTAGGGCCTTTGTCTTCTCTATGCTTCAAGTGGGAACTAAATAATGAATTTCTGCAAGGAAAAGTGTTTCCCGTGGCTCCTAACCAGCAACCCAAGCTTTCATCCAAGCGACTTTTTGTCCAAGCTATTTCCTGTGCACACTTGTTTATACCGCATTGTCATACTAATTCGACTTTTGCTTGAGGCTGCTTTATAATGCTACTGTCGTTGGCCTTTTGAGTTAAAAGTTTAGTATCGTGACACGTTATGAAGCCTTGCGAGGAATACTGCTTGGGCTCCCCTCGAAACGGGAGACGCAAGAAGAGCATTGCTAACCAGACTTTTTAGAGAGTACTTCTGCCCGTTAGCTGGCGAAAAACTGCGAGCTTTTCATCTGTTGTACAGACCAGAACCTCCTCACGCATACATGATTGTTGTCATCATGCTTTTTACAAAGCAATAGGTGCCGAAATTTCTAGCCAGTTTGTCCAAATGGATCTTAATATTAAGCACTCTGAGCTACTGGCTTTGTTACCATCGTCCGGGCGGCATTCGATATAGTAGTATTCACATTCTTCGATCTCTCGATCTTCATTCCAGGCTGGGTAACGTGCTTCTCAAGTATATGGTCAAAACATCTAAAGTTTAATAAAAAAGTGATTCGCCAAAAATTTAGTAGTGGTGGAATCGAAGAATACACGACAGTGGTCGAGGAATGAGCTCCAGTATGCCGTATAGTCCTCTATATGAGGAAGATAAAAAGAGGCAATTCAACTACAGGCGTCGATCGCTGCTGGACCGGCTGGGAAATGCCATTGCACAGCACAGAAAGATAGTTTTGGTGATCTTCTGTTCGCTTTTCGTCATGTTCTGGTTTGGATCCTCCAAGCTACCGCCTTTTTCTAAGGATCCAAAGATCGTGCTTATACTGGCGGTCAACGATGGGGGTGGTGTCCATAAATGGAAGGGAGAACAAGAGTGGGCTAGTGAACGTATTTCGATTCAAAACAAACGTGCGTACGCCAAGAGGCACGGGTATGGTTTGACCTTAAAGGACATGCGTACTGCCAAGCGTTATTCGCACGAGTACCGTGAAGGGTGGCAGAAAGTGGAGGTTTTGCGCCAAACCATGCGCGAATTCCCCAATGCAGAATGGTTCTGGTGGCTAGACCCTGAAACTTTGATCATGGAGCCCCAGATGTCGCTTGAGAAACACTTGTTTAGTCGACTCGACACCCTTTCGTACCGGATTCCAGATGAGTTCAACCCCTTGCAGCTGCCACTGGACATTCCTTATGTCGACTACTCCCAGGAACCCGAGCTTTTCATTACCCAGGACTGCGGAGGCTTCAACCTAGGTTCATTCCTCATCAAAAACTCCGAATGGACAAAACTACTGCTCGACGTCTGGTGGGACCCTGTATGCTATGAGCAGAAGCACATGATGTGGGAACACCGCGAGCAAGATGCACTGGAGGCACTATATGCACAAGAGCCATGGATCCGCGAAAAGACTGCTTTTTTGCCTCTAAGAAGCATCAATGCCTTTCCACCCGGTGCGTGCTCAGAGTTTTCTGACGACGCTCGTTTTTTCTACAATGAAGAAGATCGCGATTTCGTTGTCAACATGGCGGGTTGCAGCTTTGGAAGAGACTGTTGGGCCGAAATGCAACATTACGGGTCTCTTATGGAGACACACAACCAAAGGTGGTGGCGCCGCTTCTATTGAATTTGAAACCCGCGATTCGATCACGGTCGTCACCATCTTACTGTATTCTTACCATATTCTGAAGAGGAAATCCAGCTTAAGCCTTCATAAACAACTACAGTTGCTTCTCACATTGCAGTAAACACTGTTCAGATACCATTTCATACCTCCAACGCAGCGTTATGATGGACCTACCATTGCGTTAGTCTTCGTCGTCTCGTTTTGAACTTCGTCCATCGCGATCCGCTTTCAACATAGGTATGTTTTTTGAAAGTTAACTAGCTACTCTTCCTAAATAATCACGAAACCTTTCAATAAATCAAAACAACATAAGGCGGGTCGAATTGGGGTCCTAGATGATGGAAAACCAGTTTCCTGCAAGCTCGGAAAACCCAGAACAAGATGAATACCTTAATTTTCTGGATACGCGACCGCTACAAGAAAGCAATAGCGCTGCAATAACTCCGCAGGCTATTTTAGCACGGTCAAGCATTCATTCGTCAACCAACCTACAATCGGTCTCGCCCGCATCAGTGCTATCGCCCATGACTCAGACACATACAATGCACACGGCGTCACCGCAGCAGGTGTTGAATTCTGGACCTACACCACAGCAGGTATTGACGCATTCGGTTTCGTCCCAGCAGCTTCAAAATCAAGCACAGAGCCAGGTTCCTGTCCCAACTCAGAGTCAAACCCCTACCCAGTCTCAAATCCAAGCTCAGGCGCCGACGCCTCAAGCTATTTTGAGTAATACTAACTCCGTTCAAGACCCACAATTGAGCAATACCAACACAAGGTCCAATTCTGCTTTCGCAGACAGAACAGCTATGTTTGCTGCATTGCAACAAAGGCAGCAGCAACAGAGGCAAAAATTACAGATGATGCAACAAACAGCATCGCGTACTGGATCACCTCAGGATTCCACTGTTAAAAGACCATCTGCGGAACCACAGTCTCAATCCTCGTCCACGGGACAAATTCAGCAAATTCAAGGAAATTCGCCAAATCCTGATAGCCTTCAGCAACAACCGCAACAGCGACAAGCGATTCAGAATCTAGACCCTGATGTACAGCGGCGTGTAAGCAGCGAGCTGAACAATAAGCAGTTCGAGCTATTTATGAAGTCACTCGTAGAGAATTGTAAGAGGCGAAATGCTCCACTGCATTCATTTCCTGAGATTCAAGGTCGGAGAGTAAATCTATTTGTCTTGTACACTATGGTTCAAAAATTAGGTGGAGGCGAAAGCGTCACTCGGTTTCAACAATGGCCAATGCTTACGCAAAAACTACGGCTTCCAGATGATTCTTCTCAACAGTTGGCAACGTTGTATTACCATCTCTTGCTGCCTTACGAACAGTACTTGGCGTCACCAGAGGGAATAAAGGAAACACAATCTAAAAGGTTGTTTCTGCAACAATTCTTGCAGGAACTACTCAAAAAAATATTGGGAACGCCAGCAATTGCTCCGCCTGCTAATGAAACGAGGCCAAGTAATTATGCAAGTGCCTCGCATAGCAATTCTCCAGACCCTAATAAGGTGAAGAAACCACGTAAACCTAAAACGAAAAAGAAGTCTAAGAAGGACCTTGAGAGAGAAATGAAATATCAACAAGAACAGCTTCAGAGACAGCATCAAATCCAACAAGAGCAACAGAGTAAACTCTTGATGGAGCAAAAGGCGAAGCAACAACTGGAACAATTGCGGCTGCAACAACAACAGGCTCTTCAGCATAGTATTGAATATCAAAAACTGCCTAAGTTTTACAAGCGCTCGTTCGCTCGAAACTATGTGCCTTCAAGTAGGCCTATAGAAACATCCAATGGATACGACATGAGGGCAGTTTCCCAAATAGGCGAAAAAATTGATGCAAACAAACCGGTCTTTCTATTTGCACCTGAATTGGGTACTATTAATTTACATGCATTATCGATGTCCCTTTTATCTGGTTGTTTGTCGGAGGTAAATGTGGCATTGAACACCCTATTAGTAACAAGTGCCGACTCTGTGCTAAGTATACCTCTGGATCGTTTCAATGGGCTCATAGATTCATTGACCATTTTAGGATGTCAACTGCTAAATAAGTTATGCTTGTCCACTGACTTATCTGGCCCATCTAATGAACACCATTTGAAAGATTACGACGTGGATATCTTATTGCGAGAAGATACGAAATATTCAAGAGCGAGCGATATGTTGGACGCAGTGTTCGAGGCAAAGTTGAGAAGTGGTAATAACGAAGACCTAACAATACGAGTTGATTCTTTGACAGGTGTGGATCTGCAGCAGGTGCATCCGGCGCAGGAACAGATACCTGTTAGCATATCTAACTTGGGCGATGATGAAGAGGAAAAAGACGAGGAGAAACCGCAAAAAAGAAGGTATGAATTTTCTAAATGTTGGCATTATCTACCTGAAGCCCTCTGTGTCGCAGACGATATGAGTACATGTAAATTGAATGTTACAGATTATCTGAGCTCGTTGAGAACTGTTCGAGACGAAGTTGATAGTCTTTCCACAAAGGTCACCACTCGAGGTGCAGAGAATCATCAACTCATGATGGTTGATCAGTTATCAACCATTTCTATGATAATTAGAAATCTGTCTTTCAATGAAGTCAACACATCTCCCATCGCAACTAGCCAGTCTTTCAAGCGCTTCCTCAGTGATTTGACATGGGCTCTTTTCCTTCACAGCGATAAATTTCTTTTTCACCGGAAGTGCTTTAACTTTAGGAAAGACATTATAATTACTTTGACCAACATTGCACATTTGTTCAAAATAGAAGATCACGTTTGCGCTTGCTTGCTGATATTTTTGATTCTAAGCTTTGCAGAGGGGAGAAATCAATTGAGGAGCTCGGAATCGCCCTCTTTCTTGGAATACTCTGTTAAAATCAGTAACTACCAAAGCTTTGGAGTTGATGTTCTTGCGAAACTCCTATCATTGGGATATCCTAACAGAGTTTTGCTCAAAGCTGTTTTGTTGCAGCAATTCAAGGTTGAACCCCAAATGCAAGATGTCAAAACATGCCAAAAGTTGATTTCTCTTTATGAAGCTAGTGCGCCGCAGGAATTCAAAGGTCTCGTTATGCTGCATGACACTTTTGCCTCACTTGTCTCGACAATTCCTTTTCAACAACTGAACACGTCTCCGGCGCTGGTCGAAGATGCTGGACCCATCATATCACAAAGTATTACCGCTCTACTCTCGCTAACGCGAATGTGTCAAAAAGAGACTATTCCAAGAGGAGCGGTAAACCTGCCATTGCTATGGTTGACATCTGAGGAGAACGTGGGTTCCAGTTTGCGACGTCTAAGTGAGGCTTTATCAAACTTAGGCATTCACACCAACGGCAATTTGAAGCATCTAAAGTACCTCTTCAATTCGATAAGTATCAAGACTCTTCGACTGGTCAACTTGTTGATAGAGCGAGCCCTAGATATTGCAGATCACAGTGATGATGATATCCAAATCGACTACCACACAGCCGTTCGAAAGCTGAACAGTGTTCCGAACCTCTTGCCCTCAGAAGCAAACGCTTTTTCTCTACTCACCAATCCCATGGCCGATTTTGCAGTGGCAAAGGAAATGGAAGAGTTGTATCGGATAAGAAGTCGGCTTATTGCTGAAGACAATGACTTCCCTATCTTTTCTCAAGCAAAAAAAGCAGTGACTTCAAGTGATGCAATTCAAAATTGACTAAGTATCAACTTTGCCCCATGTTCGTAGGATGTTCGAGTTCATGTATTTGCATTGTGAATAGTAGTATTAATTAATGTTTAATTTTTGATTTTTAAAGTAAGGTGTCAGAGTTTTCCTCGCTTTCCATCAATATGTAGTTCAATATACGATCAGCTAAATCACTGTCATTCACTATGTCATTGAGCTGTGCCTTGCTGAGCTTTTGTAAGTTTCCAAAATTCTTCACTCGCTTTGTTAGATTGTAATAATCGATGTTAGAGAAGCCTGGAATTCCAAGAAGCTCTTTCATTTTACCCTGAGAATTCTTTTCATTCTTCTTGTCGTGAGCATTACTTTTTCTGGTCATACCAATTTCAACACAATGAGTGGGATCTGGCTGCTCCCTACCCAGTTTGAGGTCCAGAATTAGATTCACAGTTTGTAATGGAGAAGACGACCACAGAATTCTAATCGACGGAAATTTCAACACTAGCTGCGCTAATTGCATTTGAATCTCATCTTGCATCAACTTGCCGCCAATGGGATGAGCCGTTGAAGAATTTGATCCGTATCTTCTCTCGCTGAAAGGCTCTAAAGAAAAAGAGTCGGTATCGTCAAACTCTATGAGAAGTGCCGGAACTTCATAATACTTCGACATCTTTTTGCACTGATCGCTCAATCTTCCATTTTTAAAACTTCCAATCAAATCTGGAATAGACTTTCTTTCTAAACAAATCTGTGGAGATAGGATGTAATCGCCAACTGTTAGCATACAGGGCACTACTCGCACACCGTATCGATAAAGTAAACCTGGTAGAGGGGCCCGAAACTCTCGCATGTCCACTACAACAACATCACTTGTTAAAACGTCTAGAGACCTTAGTCCACCGGCTATTCTTGAATTCCTCAGATTTTGAGATAGCTGAAGTTTGCGTTGCGTCAAGTTTTTATACCTCGAAAGATCTTCATCCGCCTCAAAATGCTGTGCTAAGCTTGAATGCTCTCTTATCATCCTAGTAAAGGCATCCTTCTCCTTCTTTATGGCTGTCAGGTGACTCTGCTCTTCAACGCTATCTCCATAGTACATGAAGTACACCTTGAGAGGCAAATCCTTGTGCAGCGCTTTGAACATTTCGACTCTCCTTATGAATGATAGATCAGGCTCATACATTATGATATGCGACGGCATGAGTTCCTGCAGTAGTAAGTCATTAGTTTTATTGTAAAATTTCTCAATTACAATTTGATCACTTCTATCAATGTATTCGAAGAACATGTCACTTTTACCCCACACATCCTCACTCTCAATCATGGGGTCAAATTGCAGAGTATTTATTTCGTTTTCATCAGTCATTATTTCATTGGCTTCGCCAGCTTCCTCTTCAACAATATCATCCACGTCCTCATCTGCTATAAGAGGATCGTCGGTGCTCTCGATAATCTGAGAGAGATGCTGTTCTATATCATCAACGTTCATCATGGTGTCTATGTCTTCTCCCCCATTCACTGAAGCAGTTTTCAGTTTCGTTACTGCTGCAACAGCCGCAGCGCCCCTCGTTCTTCGGCGCCTAGAGGTTGTATCTTCTTTGGCAAACGTCCTAGAAACATTGATCTCGCCAGTATTGTGATCTGCTGTAGAGTGCTCACTTATATCTTTAGCTGCTTTTTTTAACGCATCTCTTCTATCCATATAGGCTCTTAATTTCCGTAGCATATATTTGCGCGCGCCCTCTTGTCGGTTAGAATAGCTTACAATCTTTCTCAGTTGGCGGTACGTACGGTCTTCTGAACAAATGATCAACGTTGGGCCCTTTGAAATAGCAGAATGAGCTTGTTCAAGCGCAATATCGTCTAAAATCGCTGTCAATTGTTCCCATTTTGGCAATTCTTCAAGTTCGTAATTACCATCCGTAAAAACCCGCTTTTTGGCATAAGAAAGAACCGCCTGAGATTCTTCTGCCATCAGCCAAGGTGATTCGGAGTACTTTCTCGTTACTGAAGGCTTGTTGGCATCCAAAATCATTTGTATGATTTCATAGAAGTCAACTGCATCGTAGCTAATCAAAGCATGCAACAACTTTTTCAAAGTTCCAATATCTTTGACGAGCTGCTTAGATTCGAAGGATATTCGATGCCAGTTGGGTGACAGTACCGTGTGTATAGATTTTAAGAAATTGGGGTGCAAGCAATTATCGGCGTTCCAAGACTCCAGCGCCAACGATGGATTTTTTCTATTGAGCTCTTCAATGCATTTTTTGAGACACTCGAAGAGTCCAAACTGGATTTGTGACATTGAGTTGGTCAGGGAAACCTTAACTTCGATCACTTTATTATCGTTGCGTAAATTTAAGCTTGAAGAGATATCAGCGTGGAAACGAGGCCATAGTAAGGTCTTCTTCAAATGTAAGTCTCGCAATTTGCGCTGGAGAGGGGAAAATTCACTCATGAAGGCTTCTGGCTGATCTGAGACAGCTTTTATGAAACCCCATTTGTTCACTGAGCGATACATCTCCGTGATGAAGGATTCATTTGAATAGTTGTGGAGAGACTCTACGTGTAAAATCAACAGCCCCGTGATGCTGTCTGGGTGTATAATGTTTGACAGCAAATCGACGATTAAAATTCGAGATGTGACGGACACAATTCCGCCGCGCAAGTAAAGCCTCCTTCTGCGGTCTACGGTCAGCGTGTCTGCAGTGACAACACTGAACGGTCGCTGCCCTCTTTCCACTGCTCTTGTGTCCAAGTCTATTTCTTCCATCTCAAGTCCTGCATTTTCCTCCTGGTCATCTTCGGCAGCCCACGACAGCTCTAGAAGCTCTTCTTGAATCTTCTCATTGTCCTCGTCGCTAGCGTTTAACACCAAAACCAAGGAACGTTTGTCCTGCCCATCAATTCTTGTGGGGGTAGCCAGAACATGAAGCAAGTTTGCAACTATTGGCTCCAGTCCTAGACCTTTGCCCAGGATCAGTAGACTGTCTTCAGACACCAAAAGATCTTCCACAATTTGCTGCTGAAATGGTAACGGTAACGACAACTGCAGGTCCACCGGCCGAATTTCCTCAATATTTGGTCTGATGCGGGAATGGCCATCATCTACGATCAGAGGATATAGGGTTTCCTCTCTCTCCTGGTCATTACTCGGTTTGAATTCTTGACTTTGACGCTCATCTTCTTGCCTGGAAAGCTCTAAAACAAGATCTTCATCGTCTGATTCGTCTCTGATAAATAGAGACATAGCTCAAGAGCGATAGTCGACAGGTCACTGAGGTCATTTTGTTTAGATGTTTTAACAATTTAGATGAATATCAGAAAAAATGGTAAGCTGAAATAGTTCTTATGTGGAAAGTGAAATAACCGAAAAAGCGTTCAATATCTGTTCATTAGCAGAGGTGAAGACCGTAAACAAAAATTAGGATGTCCACAATTAAGGAAAAGTATCTTTCTGCGCCGGGACCGTTCATTTCGTTGGAGTTTTTCCCGCCCAAAACGCAACCGGGGAAACAAAACCTTATGGCACGTATGGGCCGTATGACGGCGCTGAATCCTCTGTTTCTTACTATTACGTGGGGTGCCGGAGGTACCACAGCACGTAAAACACTGGAATTGGCCGCTCTGGCTCAACGAGAGCTCAATATACCTGTTTGCATGCACCTAACCTGCACCAACACCGACAAAGAAGTAATCGATCAGGCTTTGAGAGAAGCGCGGGACGCCGATATCCGTAACATTTTAGCACTCAGGGGTGATCCTCCCGTAGGAGAAGAGTGGGATAAAACCGCTAACTCATCGGACTTTCAGCACGCCGTAGACCTAGTGCGATACATTAAGAGAGAATACAAGGATGATTTCTGTGTGGGTGTAGCGGCGTATCCAGAAGGTCATTGTGAAGGTGAAGCCGACGGTGTCGATCACAACCCACTTAGAGATTTACCTTTTCTGAAAGAAAAGGTTGACGCTGGCGCAGATTTCGTCATTACGCAATTGTTCTACGACGTTGAGAAATTCTTAGATTTTGAGAAAATGTTCAGAGACCAAGTCTCGGCCACGCTGCCATTGTTTCCAGGTCTCATGCCCATAAATTCTTATTTGTTGTTCAACAGAGCTTCGAAGCTTTCGCACGCTTCCATTCCACAGTCTATTCTTGATCGGTTCCCACCCGAATATCGGGCCGACGACAACAAAGTCAGAGCCATTGGAGTTGACGTTCTTTTAGAAATTGTGGACACAATTTATGCTAGAACGAATGGAAGGGTGAAGGGTTTTCACTTTTACACCCTAAACTTGGAGAAGGCCGTTGCTCAAATCGTAGCCAATTCGCGCTGCCTGTCTAAGATATTGGAAGAAGACAAGGATGAAGAGCTAGTAGATGGAATTGAAGAAATAGCTCTGGAGGACAGCGATGAGCTTCGGGAAGACAATATGAAGAAAAGAAGAAGGCAATCGTCTACACACAATGCTGATCAAACATGTAATCGCGTACTGCTTGATGAAGACGATAAAAACGTTGTAAGTGGGAGACAAGCCTCTGGAGCACCATCTAGGAAAGTCGTCATTTCTATTTCTCAGGGTTCCGGTAGTCTAGGTAAGGACGCCACATGGGATGAGTTCACTAACGGTAGATTTGGGGACTCGCGCTCGCCTGCTTTCGGTGAGATTGATGGTTATGGTCCTTCACTCAAAGTTAGCCACCAGAAGGCGTACAAGATTTGGGGACAACCACAAAACTTCAATGATATAAAGACGTTATTCATCAGGTACTTGGAAGGCGCTTTAGATGCACTGCCTTGGTCTGACTTGGGCTTATCTCCGGAAACGGCGTTGATTCAAGAAGAGCTGATTCAAGTGAACGAACGAGGCTACCTAACTTTGGCATCGCAGCCGGCTACCAATTCGACCTCTAGTACTGACAAAATATTTGGATGGGGTCCTCGAGGAGGATACGTTTATCAAAAGTCGTTTGTGGAAATGTTCGTACATAAGCAACAATGGGAAAACGAGCTGAAGCCAAAACTTGAGCCCTTGTCTCCAAATGTGAGTTTCTACGTGGGAGATTCTAATGAAGCTTTCTACAGTAACCTGGAAAGCAATTGTTCAAGTGTGGTGACGTGGGGTGTATTTCCAAATTCTGAAATTTTGCAGACCACAATCGTTGAGGAAGAGTCTTTCAAGGCATGGAGAGATGAAGCTTTTAGCATATGGCTGGAATGGAGCAAATTATTCCCAAGAGGTTCTACACCTAATACGCTTTTAAGACAAATTCACAGAGATTATTACCTGGTTTCAATTGTTCACCACGACTTCAGCAAATGCGACGCACTATGGGATCTGCTGTTGAGCTAGTGCGAAGGATTTTTTTTAAGCGTTTTATAGTTCCTGTAGTTAATAAAGATTTTTTGGCTTTATAATGTCATCATCCTGCTGGAGCTTTGCGCTTTCTGGTGGTCGCAACATTCTGCGGATCCAATTGCGCCTCCAGGTACTCACAAAGCTTGTAGTCTCGCCCCCGATTCCACGACTGTATCATTCCGCCCATGAATGTTACGGTGCTGTCTCGCAGTGTAAACATCCCGCGGTTGAAGACGGCTCCTGGCAAAATCACAAGTTTGGACCCTAGAATACAAGAATTGCCATCGTTTTTGAGGAAGTTGAGCGAAGACAAGTTTATCGCAAAATACATGGCTCCCGATTTGTCCTGCAAAGTAAGCTTAAACACCGACTTGTCACGCACTGGCACTGGTGTGGGCTCTAGATCCGCTGGCACATCTGCCTCTATGTCCATTGTCGTAATGAGCTGTCTTCCCGAGTCTGTGTTACCGTCAGTCGTTCCGGGCCCATTCTTCGATGTGCTGACACGGTCAATCCGCTGCGTTTTGGGGTCGATGCGCATCTTGAGATCGTCCAGCTGGCTTAGTTTAGATTTTCCTATATTTTCTACCATGCATACTTGAAACAGCAAAGGCTTCTGGACTGTTACCAGCTTTTGATCGCCAATGTTTTGGGGCGACCAAACTGCATTCGTCAATGCCTCATTCATCAGCCGCATTCGATCATTACCAGCTGCATTTGAAGGCACCAAATCAAGGCACTGGGTAATGTCGGCGGTTAAAATCGCGCTCGACATATCAAAAGTTTTGAACCAGCCAATTACCCCAGAGTCCTGGCCTGCTTTTCGCCTTTCAAATGCTCATCGTCATCTGTTAATCATTTTCAGAAAATGAAATCATAAGAGCTTTTAGCATAAACAAAATAAATAATACGGAACCCTCAAATGGCGATTCAGACTATCCTGGTAATCAACAGGTCCGGTGGACTAGTATACCAGCGTGACTTCCTGCCGTCAGCAGCGAAATTGACCAGTAATGAGTACCTTATTCTAGCAGGAACGCTGCAGGGTGTCGTGGCTATTGCCAGTCAGATCGCTCCTAAATCGCTGCAAATTTCGGCCAAACAAGGCGCAAAAACCGGCTCTGAACTGGGCGATGCCACTCAGACAGTACCATATGTCGGCAGTCTGGGCTCCTCGGCAGCCTCAGCCGCCGACTTGGGCAGTTTTTTGGGTCCCGACTTCTTCAACGAGTCATTCACCAGTTGGAACACCAAGGGTCTGAAACACGTGACTACTGATCAAAACTCACTATTCCTGTATCAAACGCTGACCGGGCTCAAGTTTGTTGCTGTTAGCACCCAAAATACGACCAATGCAATGGCCGTGTCTATCGCCGAGAATCTGCTCCGCAAGGCTTACTGTTTGTACGCTGACTACGTTATGAAAAACCCGTTCTACGAGCCCGAAATGCCGATACGATGTGAGCTCTTTGATAAGAAATTGGGTGAATTGGTGGCGCAACTCTAATTGGACAAGGGCGCTGTTGTTGGAGTCGTCGCACTTTAAACTTTTCTGGGTAATTCCTGTGCGCTTTTCTTTGTTGTGTTTTTTTCACTTCTAATCATCATCATCGCCTATCATATCTGAAAAATCGTTCAGCAAATTTCTTCTCGAAGACCCTCTCTGCAGGTGAGTCTAATCAAGCTTTTTTCTCTTACATTTGAGCGCGGTATCGGTACTGGGAGATATGTGCGGCACTGCCGGCGGCGCGATCCGATTCATTGGCATTGTCGGTTCCTAATCTTGACGAAGAAAAAATGCTTCTGCGTATCTAATGTCGCTGTTTTTATCTGCACCGAATAGGTAATACCAACATCTGGCACAGCGGCCTATAAAGCCAGACAAGAAGAGCGTCAATGGAGTGATAGAATTGATTTGGTTTTTGTGAAATATTCTCTAAAAACAAGCTAACATTATCTTGCATACGTCCTTGTGTTTCCCAAATGAAGTTTAGCTCAACAATTAGCGCCTTATGGGCCGCCTCGGCGTTCGTGACTGCCAATCCGTTATTGCGCAGAGACACAAACGCATCAGTCTCCACTGCCAGCAACTACACGCAGACCGCCACAATTTCCGATGCGGCATCGACCACAGACTCGATCTTGACTGTGACACAAGGCAGTTTCGGCGCTTTGTTCAAACCCAAGGTGATGATCGTCAATATGTTTTACAAGGAAGAGTCCGCTTGGATTCAAAACCTAGAGCTCATGTACAACATCTCAGTTCCAATGTTGTCACCAGAATACCCATATGTGCACGCAAACTCGAACTACTCCATCATGTCCATCACTACGGGTGAAGGTGAGATCAACGCTGCCTCTACCATAACTGCCTTGTCGATGTCTCCACTTTTCGATTTGACCGACACTTACTTCTTGATCTCCGGTATTGGTGGTGGGTCTCCCGACAAGACCACCATTGGCTCTGTGACGTTTGCAAAGTACGCCGTGCAAGTGGGTTTGCAGTACGAAATTGATTCTCGTGAAATTCCAGCCAACTGGACTTACGGTTATGTTAATTTGAAAACTAACCAGCCAAATGTGTACCCAGCCACCATCTACGGTACCGAAATCTTTGAGCTAAACGAAAACTTGATGAAGAGAGCCATGCACTTGGCCTCTAATGTGACTTTGAACAACGGTACCTCTGGTAACGTTGCTTTCCGTCAACAATACAACTCGTCTCAGGCCGCCTACGGTGGTCCTAAGATCCTTGCTTGTGACACGGCCACCTCGGACGTCTACTGGTCGGGCGCTGTCTTGGAGCAAGCCTTCAGTGACTACGTTTCTACCGTCTCAAACAACTCTGCCACCTACTGTTCAACACAACAAGAAGACAATGCATCTTTGGAAGCTTTCGTGCGTGCCGCTAAGCACGGCCTGATCGATTATTCACGTATCACTATCATGCCTGGTATTTCAGACTTTGACAGAGCACCAGAAGGATACAGCGCTACTGACTTCTTCTTTGCTAAGAGTTTACAGGGTGGATCCAGTAGCGCTTTCACCAATTTGTACATTGCCGGTCTGCCATTCGTGAAAGACATTATTGCACAGTGGGACACTCTATACAAAGTTAATCAATTTGAGCCAAAGAACTACATCGGCGACTACTTTGAAACTTTGGGAGGTGTAAAGAACTTTGGTTTGGAGGATTAGAACTTTGGTTTGAGAACAAAGTTGAAATAATTTATAGAGTTTTATAAATGTTGTAACAAAAGATACCTAAGAAATTGCGGGACGATCTTGGTCAATTATTGAATTGATTACTCTACTATAATAGTACCGTGTTCCGAAAGGAGGTTGCGGTTTGTACAATAAGGGCACTGTATTGAAGTTTTAGTTGTGTGGATTGATGTTGAAATGATCAGTTTGAGCTCAAAATATAAAATGACCAAATAAAATTTATTTGACTACACACACAGATGAGGAGGTGATAGTGCACAGTGCGCAAGGTAAATCGATGAAAGTTGGATTAATTTTTATATCTGCTCAAACCAAGACAAGGCACAAGAATATTCATCGAAAACGTGAGCTAACATAACTAATTTTGATGAGGCTTTGAAGACGGGAGTCCCTCTAGACGAATACTGTCGTCCTGGATAGTACATATACCAGATTCAGACTGTGTAACTCGTCTAAATCTTGTTATCGCCTCCTGCAATATTTTAAGAGTGCTTGAGCTCGGAAAAACGGGTGCTCCTACTTCAACCCAGAGCTTTGTTCCTTAAATTTTATTTTGAAAAGGACTTTGACGAAGCGGAGCGCCCCTGTAGACCTGTGAGTCTTACTTTTGTTATGATTAAGACTTGTAAGTTACTACTGACACCGAACGTATGTGATCGACTCATAGATCACTTTGTACTATAATGTCGTGGGTACGCCCATCTATCAACACGATCCAGGAAAGCTACTCACAAGAGCACCTCCGACATGTTGCAGATCACCCACAGCACGTTGAAGGCCCCTACTATCGTCAGCCCGTAAAAGATTGAACCCCATTCTCGTACAAGAGGGGACCTGATGTTCCGTGGATTTTTGGCGGGATCTGTAAAGAGTGCCAAGAGTTTCTAGCGAGTAAGACAGCAGGCCCACCAAAAAAACACTCTATTCGCGGTGGAGGTAGGAGCTAAACGTGCTCATTCGGGCGATCTACAGAGCGCACGTGACCGAAACTCTCGAGCTCGCTCAAACCTTGGACGATCTTCAAACTGCGCATCGGAATGGATGCCAGCCGACCGACCGCGCTCAGGAAATCTGCCCATCGCTCCAGGCCGAACCAGCGTTTCACGGCACACGACCAGTTCTTTCCATCACGTGACAGCCTCCCCATATTCATCCCGGATGTTTCCCAGCTCCCATCCCACACTCCCTGCTTATCTGCCTAAGCCAGTTCTGTTATCAACCAGACCCTGCTGCTCTTCTCTGCCTGAGCTGCAAATTTGCTCGTGTTGGCTCATTCTCGTCTGATAATTATTTTTCAAGCTGGCTGTTCTCGCCCAAAGCCCGTTCTCTTAAATTTCTCTACTAACAACGCTCGAAGTGCTGCCACTCGGTCTTTAAATCTCTCCGACCATTTTCATCTAGAATGAATCGTCTGGTGACACTCACTTACAAGAAGCCCAAGTTGTAAAGCAGAACTTCCCGGCGTGGTGAAAAAAAAAATTGACACACTTTATGGAGTGATCGATGGCCGGCTAGAAAGGTCAGATTACGTAGCGAGCAAGGGTGTCGTGCTTTTTCGAAGCCCACAAAGCTTGAAGCCCAATAAAATCAGCATATGCTTACGGGAAACGGGGTGATTTTTTGAGACATCTAGCTCATATGGGTGGGAACATCTGCGGTGTGTCCAGTATATAACCTCTCGCTCGTCGATGCGGTAGAAAATACGAAAATTAAGTGGCTCTGGAAAACAAGAATTTCTAAAAAGTAGCCGACAATTTTGCCATAGTGCTCCTGTACCATGCTTACGAACTGTCAAATCAATAATTTCAAGCTAAACCGGCAGATAGGATCCGGAGCGTATGGCCTGGTATTCCACGCTGTGGACCTTATCACCGAGAACGAATACGCTATCAAAGCCGTGGTCAAAGGCACTGCGCAGCTGGATAGCTCGGCTGGCGACGCTGCTCCGGGCGCCTCGCCAGAGATCAAGCGCTCAACGATGCTTCAAACCCAGCTTTACTACTACTTCAAGTCGTTCCAAAACCGTCTTTTTCTGCCCACAGTCGACTTGGACTCGATTCGCGACCTGTCAGACTCCCAGCTCGAAGGAGCGCCGCATTTCCGCGAAATCGCGATGCACTTGCGTGTCCACGCCCATCCCAATATCGTCACAGTCCACCAGGTGTTGGAATCGCCGCTGGCAACGTTTATGGTGCTGGACTACTGCTCACGTGACCTGTTCACCTCCATAGTGGACCACCAGTACTTTGCCAAGAACGGTATGCTCGTCAAGCAAGTGTTCCTGCAACTGTGCTCTGTGATCCAGCATTGCCACGCGCGAGGAATCTACCACTGCGACATCAAGCCAGAAAACATCCTTTTGGATGAGCACGATAATGTGTGCATGTGTGATTTCGGACTCAGCACGCAAGCCGAAAAACTTCCGGCTAACGTTTGCGTAGGCTCTAGCTACTACATGGCACCAGAGCGGATTTCGTGCCCTTCTTCGGTTCAGAATGCAGACAATTTGACTCCAGCATTGTTCCCTACTTGGGCCGGCGACATTTGGTCTCTCGGCATTATTCTCGTGAATCTAACTTGCATTCGAAATCCTTGGCTCAAGGCTCACCAAGTAGAGGATAATACGTTCAGCTATTTTGTTAAGGACTCTAAAGTTTTGCTCAAAATACTACCGGTGTCACAACAGCTTTATGAGATTTTGAGCGATATCTTGAAACTCGAGCCTACAGCGAGGGCTTCATTGACTGATATCATGGAGCGTGTCGCAGATTGTACGTCGTTCACCAACTCAGGACCATTGTCCGAAGTCGCTTCGCTTAGTGATCCCCAAAGGCAGCGATTTCTTATTAACCACAGAGGACTTAGCATTAAACAAATGCTCCACAACTACCACTCCGACGACGAATGCGATCGGTCCTATTCCCAAGGCGAAAGCGACACCGAAGTTACCAGCGAAGAAGAGTCTTACCGCCAAACTTGCCTCGTGGACAGCGCCTCGACTAGATCTGTTGACGCTGAACCCACCAAGCAACAGTCACACGTTGGGAAACAATTGCCCTTTCCCGTCGACTTCCAAATGAACTTGCTAACCAAGAACATGTCTGTGGTGACCAATTATTCATCACACAGCAGGTGGCTCCCACAATACTAATGTCAACATTGGTAAGGAGCCATCAAGAAACGATAATTTACGAGAAATGAGAATGAACGAGTTTATATATAGGTGGATTGTTCGGGCTTCGAACACACTTAATTTAATGATAGAAATGGAGAGCTCGCGCCGGCGTAATTGCGGGAGCGTATAATATAGCAAATAGCTTAATGTTTTAAACTGTAACTGATACCAATGGTGTATATTATGAGCACAGAGTCTTTGACAGACGCCCTTTTATCTAACAAATCTACTCTCAGTTGGCTACGAATGCCCTCAGGTCTTTGTGGCACTCTTGTACGACTTGTTCAATCGATTTGCCATCCACATCGATGGTAGACTCCAGTTTTTCGCTAGCGTCAGGAAGCTCTAGGTCGCTGAATTGCGAATTGATCATGTTCGCCTTCATAAAGTGGCCCTCACGTTTGGTAATCCGATCTAAAATCAGCATCCTGTCGGCAAATAGGAACAAGAAATAGAAGTCCGTACCTGAATTGCAATTACGAATGTGGTCGCGGTATTTTTTCTTGAGACTCGAGCATGTCACAATACACAAGCCAGAGCGTGCTTCCGCCGAATCTGTACCCAATTTGCCAACTTTAGACAACCAATCCCATCTATCATCATCGGTCAATGGAATACCATGGCTCATTTTAGCTACATTTTCAGGAGGGTGAACCACATCGCCTTCCAAGAATTCTAAGCCTGGATAAGACGAACAATAGAGGTCAACCAACTTGGCAGCGATGGTTGATTTCCCGGTGCCTGCTGTTCCAGCCAGGACAATTACTTTTGGTCTTTCGGTTCTTACTGTCATCCTGGCTATGAACAGAATAATAATCTGAGTTGTGAGCACGAAATTGAGAAAATTCGAATGTTTATTGTGCGATCTTATCTTCGACAGCTAGTACATGGAAGTTGATGTACTTTGTCTAAATTTTTGCCAAGAAACAAGAACTTCCGAGGAATTTAAGACCTCTTGTGACAATAAATCCGGGGCAGTCGTTAGTGTGGAGTGACAGGCTAAGATCGTGAGATATATGAGACTTTTAACGTTGAGATAGCTAGCTATGTAGGCGCTCTGGCAGAGCTAGCGATAAATTCTAAAAGTAGGAACGCTTATAGAGTTTCAATGACGATGGATGAGGCACCACCACCACCGTTGCAGATAGCAGCGGCACCAATTTTACCATTTTCCTGAGTCAAAACGGATAGTAAAGTGACAACAATTCTGGCACCAGAACAGCCGAGTGGATGACCGATGGCAACGGCGCCACCGTAGGCATTGACTTTGTCGAGCGGGATCCCAAGAATCTTTGGGTTTGCAAGGCCAACGACGGAAAACGCTTCGTTGAACTCGAAAAAATCTACTTGGTCCAACTCAATGCCTGAGTGTTTCATAGCCTTTGGAATTGCCAAAGCTGGCGCCCAGGTGAAATCAGCAGGCTCGTGCGCGGCTTCACCCCAGCCTTTGATGACCGCGAGCGGTTTCAAACCCAATTCCTGCAATTTGCGCTCCGAGACCAAGATCACAGCAGCACCACCATCGTTGATTGGGGATGCATTTGGCGCGGTAACAGTACCATTTTCTCTTTGGAAAACGGTTCTGGCAGATCTTAGTTTCTCCACGTTCAGTTTTGAGGGTTCCTCATCCTTGGTAACAAGGGTGTCAGGTTTACCTCTGAAGCCTTTGATCGTCACGGGCACAACCTCGCGTTCGAATTTGCCCTCTGCTTGAGCCTTTTGAGCCTTTTGATATGATGCAACAGCATAATCGTCCTGTTGCTCACGCGTGAACTGGTAGTCGCGAGCGCACTTTTCGGCATGCACACCCATGGCTTGGTTGTCATAAGCGTCGTTAAGGCCATCTCTCTGGATGCCGTCCACTAAGGTCGTGGCGCCGAACTTGGCGCCCGCACGAGCCGCTGGCATGTAGTAGGGAGTGTTGGTCATCGATTCAGCTCCGCCTGCTACTACTACGTCTGCATTCCCACACTTGATGGTCTGAGCGCCGCAAATGATAGCTTTCATACCCGAGGCGCACACTTTGTTCACAGTGGTAGCCACGATGCTGTTGCTCAACCCTGCAGAAAGGGCAACTTGTCTCGCTGGTGCCTGACCGACATTGCCACTCAAAACATTACCGAAGAAGATTTCCTCGACGTCCGAAGCTTTCAAGTTTGGCACTTGAGCCAAGGCTCCAGCAACTGCTGTAGACCCAAGCTCCACATACGTCTTCGACGAGAGACTGCCTTGGAAACAGCCAATTGGTGTTCTGGCAGCTGCCACAATGTAAACTTTGTCTGACATGCCTATTTATATTAACTTTGAAATGTTTGGAGTGTTCGAGAGGTTCAATTGGCTCGATGCTTCAACGGTTCCCAGAATAGTGTTTGGGAGATGAGATAATTCGCTTCTACGTATCTGGGTTTTTTTTCACGGTACGAGTAATAAACGAGAGCGACGCTAGCGTACAAGGTGAGGCATATAAGAACATATGGCCCTAGCATGCTATCGCTGATGCGTAGCTAGCTTTGCTAACCCTTGAAGTGCTAGGTCTCAGATGCACAGACATTGTAAAATCTGGAGAAATGTAAGTCTGAAAATATTTGACAGCTCGGAAAGACAGTACTGTCGGTGCACTTCTTACATAGAGTTTGACGAGAAGTTTCGTCCGTGTTCCTTGGTTTTGGCCATGATTTTCTATTGAACAAGGTAAGGTGAGTCAAGATTCGCAGATATTCGCATCTGCTCAGCTTCCAACGTCGGGTTATGCTTGAATCAGAAAACAAAAAACCTCGAGCGATCACCAGTTTTGTTCGATAACTGAGATTGTCACGATGAAATTGTTGCTTTAATCCCGTTACAATACGATGTCGTATTGTTGTAATTCGACGAAACGTCTCTCGATCGTTCGGTTCTCAAGGCCGCTGCCACAACGGACTCAAACTGCCCTATTATGCTTGACAAATGAAGGTCTCGGTATACCGCGAAGCCCTCCCGGTGGCCCTTTTCTGATGTAGGGATTCTTTTTTAGTCTATCAAGTTTTTCGAAGATAATCATCTCGCAGATGTCCTTCAGCTGTCTAGCACTCTGTTGGTCAATGAAATAATTAGGATAGCGGTTGCTGAGCCAAAAATAAAGCATGATAATATTGTGCAGCGACTCATAGTGCTCTAAGGAATACTTGTCACTGTTGATGTACTTTGGATCGAGAATATCAAAAGAAAACGGGTAACTGAATAGCGATCTTGTTTGGCGCTGCTCTATGGTGGTGCAAAATTGTATGTATGCTTTCTTGACCAGAGGAAAATCTTTTACAGGTGCATTGCTGAGCCGCATTTTATCAAAGAAAGGGATTCCATCCATGTGCTCAAACATTTCTATATTAGTGAGCCTGTTCTTCAGCTCGCTAAGGGTAAACACTTTTGCAGACCTTTTCTCGACTTCCTTGGCTAATGTTAGGAGTAAAGTGGACACTCGAGCGCCCGGTGGTAGATGGGTCATTAGCTTCCCACAAATTTCATCAGTGGGCCAAACTATGGCAGACTTTAGATACTCAACAGGTGCAGTCATACCATCTTTGATGGCGGCTAAAACGTCTGAGTCTACACCTGTGACATATCCCACAGATGCCTTCTTGCCCTCATCTGGACCACTCGTAGAGACATTCGCTACTTTATATCTGCCTGCACGACCACCAATCTGCTTCACGTTTGATGATGTGAGCCCTACCATTTCTTGCCCATTAAACTTCATGTGAGTCGTGAAAATAACCCTTTCAATGGAGAGGTTAAGACCCATACCAACAGCATCAGATGCAACAAGAACATCGTAGTCTCCTTTGTTGAACATGTTCGCTTGCTGAATTCTCGTTTCTGGTGGAAGGGAGCCATAAATCACTGCAACTTTAAGATCAGTCATTTTCTCTATCTTTAACTTCAAATCTAGAATTTTCTTTTTGGAGAAAGCTACAACGCAATCGCCTTTCCTCAAACCCTTCAAACCACCTTTTAGAGATGTATCTTCTATTTTGAGCTCTCCTAATCTCTCATACTCGTTTACTATTAGTTCATCACCCGTCATTTTAACGATCTTTTCGACTAAGGGTAGAGCACTTTTTTCACCACACAAATGAACTTCTCTCGCAATGGCGCCCATTAAAGCATTGGTCCATGCCCAGCCACGATCAGAGTCGCCCATCATCTGGATTTCGTCCAGTACTACCACATCAAATTTTTGGGATAGTGGTACCATTTCTACAGTACCAGAGGTTATTCCAGCTGGATTTCCCATTTCATCAAGCTCTTCTATTACTTCCTCGCCGGTCAGCAGGTTGCAACGTATATTTTCACCTTTAAACCTCTCGTAAACTTCTCTAGCCAGCAATCTTAAAGGTCCTGCGTAATATCCGCGATCACATTGTTTCAAGCGCTGCAATGCTTGATATGTTTTCCCCGAGTTTGTGGAACCAATGTGCATTATGATACGTCTTCTCCATTTTCTTGCTTCAGGAAACCATTCGGCTGGATTTGATATATCTACGTCTTCGGCACTATTTGTGCTTGATCTGATTGGAGCTACCAGCGGCAAAATCTCCTGCTGGAATATGTGATCGTATATCCCTCCAACAATATATTTACATTTTTGCTCCTCTGAAACTTGTTGGGTATTTAGTATTGCTTCCCAACTCTCATTCGATATTTTGTTTCGATTTGAAAGTTGAGCCAGCAAGGACTTGGGATCGGAAGGGCGAATAAAGTTAGCAATGGATATATCGTAATCTTTGACTTGTTGCTCTAAGTCCTTATCTCTTAGTTGCACATATAGATGTTCTTTGATCTTAAGCCAAGCATAGTTTTTGGCTTCTCTCTCCAGCGGCTCAAGCGCTAGTAGCTTCGTATCAAAAACCCATCTCAAAGAACTGTCAAGAAGGCGCCGCATCTCAGGATCAGTTGTATATAGATTCTTGGCTTTGTTTGGAAAGTTGAGCTGTAAGACGTTCAAATCTTTGCGCTCGTCTGGTGGAAGACGGTTAAAAGAAGGCTTACCCCAAGGCCACTCGGCAAATTTAGTTGCGTGACGCTCATTTAGTTGGTGCAAAGGCCTGATAAACTTTCTATAAAGTGGCACATAAGCTCTATAAGTGCTGCAGAGAGCGTAGTGTCTCATCATTGCCGCTGAGCGTACAAATTCAAATCATGTAAGATCCACGATGAGCTAGAAATATGAAGTACCTTTTGTTGCACGTGAAGAAAAATTGAAGTTGACGAAGAATAATAATTCGCTTCCTGGACACAGTTGCCACCAAACAACACTACCGTAGTACAAGTTCAGATTTCCGACCTCTATTTAGTTTTGTGACAGGCCAAATTATTTAAAATACATTTCACTTCAATGACTCCGTGGCGACTTTTTAGTCAAAGCCATCGTATTTTCGATCCACCCATCAGCGCCCCCACCTTCTAAGATAGTGTCGTAAACTTCTTGGGTCGGCCACTGATCCAATTTAGAATTTTTAGTTCCCACAATTGCAGCATTCCTGGTACTTGGAATCCGAAGCATTTCCTTCTCTACGTCCCATCCGACCCGTGTTGCTAAAGCATCTACACGATCCACGAGGCCAGCATACATGCTATTGCCATTCTTAACATGTCCCTTTCTTACACAATAGCGGGCCCTCTGGCCGGAAAAATTGTGAGAGCAGCAGGGAATTACGACGAAGGGGTATCCCAAGAGTGGAATCCAGCATGTGAGTTCGTCAGAATGATTACCGATTATGAATGTCTCAGGTGGAAATTCTGTAACATTGACGCTCGTTGATTTTAGAAGATCCTCACTCGAATAAACAACAGTAGCAGGCCCAATTTTATCTTGTATCTTGATGGGAAAGTACCTGCCATTGTGCTCTAGTTCTGGTGCCCTCTTCTTAACTTCAGGATGTGGTCGCAGGAGAATGGAAGGTATGATAACTTGTTCTTGCAAGCACTTTTGTACTTCCTTCGGGTAAATTTTCCATGACTTTCGTTGCCGGGCGTCAATGCCAATTCCTTTAATGCCTTCCAGGATGAGAACATAGCATAATGCCCCATTGCCACATCCGAGGTCCCTGAATTGCATCTTACTTTTGAAATCGTTTCCATAAATTTTGACCCAAAGTTCTATCAAAAATGCCGCGATCGCTATATCTTCGAAGACATGTTTCTTTGGATCTGTGCTTTCTGCCCAATTATCAACCAAAAAGCGAGAGTGCTTTTTTTTTAACGCAATATATCGGTCCTGGAACAATACCTTATCTACGACCACGTCGTGTGCAACTTTCTTCTCGTATCCAAGTTTCACGCCGGTTGAGTGTTTGTGAGCGGTCTGCAGAAGGCGACGAGCAGTTCTTACGACCCTCTCTCCCTCATCTTTGAGCTCCACTACGTCCTGTTCCGCGAAGGGTACATAGTGAACCGAAAGGTGGCCTTCATGCAACAAGATAGCCACAGCCTTGACATGTGGGATGTAAAAAGGGCACTCTATTTTCTGATCAAAATGCGGCGTGTAAACAATGAGTGAAGTTTCAGGAGTTGTCGCTGAATTTAGCACCAAGCACGTCTGGTTTATTATGGCATCTTTGTATGGGTTACGAGGAATTATTCGACGTACCATGGCGACTTTAACGGACAGATTCAGATCTGCAGAAATCTCAATGTTGCGGACTTCGAGGTCGTCTACGTTCACGACCTGAGATTCTGGATCTGCCACATGGTGTTCCTCTCTCTCGAAGGATATTTCTTTGCCGGTTTCGACATCGTATTCCCATTCTTTCAGCATATCAGCTCGCAGAATCACGGTTGAATTAATATTTGGGTGTCGAACAACGTTAAGCATGGCGAGTTCGAAATCTTTCTTCGCAAAGTCGACCTTATCATTTGTTTTGTACATGCAGTACCAGCCATTTCCCAGTAAGCTGGGCTCCTCGATCCCATATTGGAGCGACATAACCTTCCAGATCTGTGAAGTATTATTTTAGCTCATCGGCAGAAATCTACTCTAATGCAAGTATATTCTTTTTCATCAATTGAGACATGAAGGCATGTTCACATGATATTCACGTGCGTCTGCTCTTTTAATAGTTAGCAATGGCATTCACGAGTTTGCTCAGAATTTGCCAGGTTTTTCATGGTAGCACGACCGCGGAGTCGTTGACAAGCTTGAAGATCTTTGATTGTTTTGTGTTCAATTTCATTTACGGTTTTACTGTTAGAATAGTAAGCAAAGTGAGCAAGTCTGGTAAGCGTAAATCAAAAACATGACTCATAGCATTGCTCACTTTCGTAAGTTCGGCCCTTGTTCAAAGGGTATACAGACGTAGGATTCATTAGATTTACAAATTATATGTCAAGCGCAAGCTAGTAGCAGCAAAACGCCCGAAAATCGCAAAAATAACCAATAAACCAAACACTTTGTGAAAGAATGATCAGAATGAAACCACGCACGGTTGTGTTGCAAGCAAGTATTATTTTTGTGAAATAGCCAGTTGCCAAACAGTGTAATAAACTGACAGTTCTGGGAAATAGCTCGAGAATAAGTTTCATTTGGACAATACCATTGTTAGCAGTCCCCTTGTCATGTAAAGCCTCACTCATGGTATATTTCAGACGATTAATGAAGAATTGCAGCGTTTCCGTATATACTGTCACTGCTAGCATTTCCTTAATACTTTGTGACGCTTGATCAACTCTTAGATGCAGATGAACTCTCGTGACACAATCAAGCAGGAGTACCGCGTGCGAAATAATTTCCTACTAAGTGTACGACAACGCGTCCCATTTTGCAATTCAGCTCATCGCGTTTGGTGACTGGTGTATTCCACTCTTTCTGCGCTCATGTTTATTACAAAATGAGCCAAAGGTACGCGGTTCAATAAGACAAACTCCAGAGTTATATGTTTTTCCTTGTTTTCTAAAAGAGGAGAATGAGCAGCCAGCAGCACTGATTGGTTCTATCTTCCCTAAATAATGGGGGTTACAATCCATCAGTCGAATAAAAATCTACCATGCAACTTCTTGGTGAAATGTTGGCGGCACCATTTACTGACCATAGATCAATGTATGAACGTAACACTCTCAATAACAGTCTTCATTTAAAGCATGCCTAAAAGAGTGCTTAATTGATGATTTCTTTACCCATGACTTTTTTCGGGAAATGTTTCAGGCTTGTGAGTAAGTAAATACTTTTTGATCGTACACCTTCGATAATGTGAGGTTCAAAGAACTGTATGCACTAAAATCTCTTGATAGTACTGAAGCCATCAAAGTAGCCCATTAATTCTTTTCATTTGGCCCTGCTTCTTCGTTCAAATTCACCAAAGTAGTCAAATGCCTGCACTGCGGAAAATCAACTGAAACGCTGCCCACTGCGCTTACTGCACTACTTAATCGTTCTTAAGTTGTCTTCGTACCTTGATAGACCTGCGGAATTATATTGTTGGGATCTGAACGTGATCAATATTAAACTTCTAAATAATTTAAAAAGGTAGTTTACCTTTTTACCAAGTAATTCAAGGTAAATCTACTGAAAAAGGGACATTATTAGACGGTTGCACATCCTTGGCTTATTGAAGATGGCAGCGTCATCGCAGTATGTTTTTTGTTTTCGCCTTTGTCATTAGGTCGATGGGTTTGGCGAATTTTTGAATTGGAAGGATTGCAAAGAGTATCTTTGGAGGAATTTTAGCATTGAGTTCACAACATACTATGTCAAGGTTTTGAACCTTCATAGAAGAAACACTTCAGCCTCAGCCGCCTTTGGATTCTCAAGCCACGCTCTGCTCTCATGAGATTTCATCGTTTTCTTTGCGGACTGGTCATAGATGTATGAGGTTGAGATTTGCAAACTTTCCTATCTTGGTGACTACTCTCGAGTGGAAGAGAGATGGTACTCAAGATATGCCCAAGACTCGCACGCATCTTCGCAACCCACTTCAGATCTTATCGCCCACTCCTGTCAATTGATGCCATCAAGAGCAATCTATTGCGGATCAAATTGAATTCTCCTTATTGTGTTTAAAGCATTAGAAGTTGTTAATGCTGACTCGACTTTAGAAATCGCTTCTGAAATCAGTTCCCAGAGCTCATTTTGGTACCTCACCTCTTCCCCCACCACACTTATAGACTAACACCTCTAGATTCAAACAACTAGAGAAACTCGGCAATGGTACATATGCCACCGTGTACAAGGGTTTGAATAAGACTACTGGCGTTTATGTGGCCCTCAAAGAGGTCAAACTTGACTCCGAAGAGGGGACACCATCTACAGCAGTGCGTGAAATTTCTTTAATGAAAGAACTAAAGCATGAAAATATCGTAAGGCTTTACGATGTTATTCACACCGAAAACAAATTGACACTAGTTTTCGAATTCATGGATAACGATTTAAAAAAATATATGGATTCTCGTATCGTGGGCAATACCCCTTACGGATTTGAAATGAGCTTGGTAAAGTACTTCGAATGGCAATTACTACAGGGCGTGGCATTTTGTCACGAAAATCGTATCCTTCATCGCGACTTGAAGCCCCAAAATCTCCTAATCAATAACAAGGGACAGTTGAAGCTGGGGGACTTTGGTCTAGCAAGAGCATTTGGAATCCCCGTCAACACGTTTTCAAGCGAGGTAGTAACGCTGTGGTACAGAGCACCTGATGTGCTAATGGGGTCCCGTACTTATTCCACATCAATCGATATCTGGTCTTGTGGTTGCATCTTAGCAGAAATGATCACCGGGAGACCATTATTTCCAGGAACGAATGATGAAGAGCAATTGAAACTGATATTTGAAACTATGGGAACGCCCACAGAACGTACTTGGCCAGGAATCTCAAATCTGCCCAAGTACAATCCTCAATTGCCACAACACCTACCCAAGGATTTGGGAGCTCTATTGCAAAGCCAAACAAGAGAGAAGATGGATCTCACTCTTATCGATCTTTTATATGGTCTCTTACAATCAAATCCGGACCGTAGGTTGAGTGCCAAGCAAGCATTAAATCATCCGTGGTTTGCAGAATACTACCAGTGAGGTTTCTTTGAAAGATGAGAAAACTTGAGCGGACGAAGTAAAGAATGTTGTATGTCTATGTAAACTAGAAGGAAGGAGCGTCACTATTTGACCACGTTGAAACTGGGCTTACCACCATACTCTGTGACAGTTTCAAGTAGCCGCCGGTCTTTAACTTTATTCAGTAACAACCAAAGATCGTCGTGAGATAGAGTCTCAGGGCAATCCCTATAGAATTTGCGAATGAACTTTTTGACGATTTTGGCTTTGCGAGCACTAATGAGATCAGCGGCCTCTAGCTTCTCACACAACAATAAGCGCGATAACCACGGGGTGATTGTCACGTATATATGAGTGACAAATTGGATCAAAGGATGAGGGTCTGTGAAGCTACGCATTTCCTGTACAGAAATATGCAGTATGAAGTTAACAGCGTAGAACAAATGGTTTATGTCTAAATGTGGGACGCGCTCTTCGTTTTGTTTGAAAAACCATTGCATGGCCGATTCCGCGACCAGTGAGGGATGCTGAACGGCATAGAAAGAGTGAAGACACAACAGGAGCTCGTTGTAAACTGGCGGCACCACTGTAATGTCATTCCGGAAGAAAATTGCGGGCCAGTCATAAATCGCTGGCGGATAGTCTCGCAACGGCTTTCCAGTTTGTGGATCCAAATCAAATGGTGTCAGAGGCGTTCGAGGATCCTGTAGCTGTCCTTGGCTAAACTCCTCTAGTCTTTGCTGCTGAGCTTGTGCTAAACTTTCAACATTAGTCACCTCATCCACGGAATCCAATATCGATGGGTTTGCTTCGAGGTATTGCAAAAACGTTCGGTTGCGGAAAACAGATTCAGCCAAAACTATCCATGAGGAGCAAGGCGAATCTGGGAGATCATGTATCGCACCGTTGACATCTGAAATGTAATTTGAGCGCAAGAAACAATTAATTAAAAATCGTGTTGGCTTCAGACAACGATGGAAGCGCCGGTTCAGTATTGGCAGAGCGTTGTTCCGACCGGAAAACACGAAGATTCTTTCCAGCACGTCTTGTGGTAGATCAACAAGTTTCATATGCCGCTCTTCATTGCGCCCCGGATGTCTTTCAAGCGCAGTCCTGCTGACCTTTACAGCTTTGTTGACACGTTCATAGTAGACCTTTCTCAGAACCTTTTTAGCGCGTTTATTTGGCCGCGTCGCATACCCGCTTGTCACATAACCCATAGAAATTTCTAACTCGTTACGAGACGCTTTCTGTCGCCCACAACAGGCCGTTTCACTCTTTTTTTGAATAGATTGACAGTCTTCTCTAGTAACGCTTTGGGAATTTTTCAGTACATGAAATCCGGAAAAGGAATCGAGCTTTGACAAAGTGGTGTTTGAAAAATGGAGAAAACAGAATAATACTGGCGCGACCTATAACAAGAACGTTCTTGGTGTACCACAACTCAAGAGTGAGATTCACCGCAGTTGGAGCAATGACCACCAAAAATTCGTTTTTCTTATGCATGTGTTTAACATTTTCGACTGCTAGTTGACAATACCTGAGAAATTCATAAATTTAGAAAAGTGCTACTAGTCAAGGGTATTGACTAACTAATGCTAACCGGCTCCTGGCCTTTTTGTCCCCCGACGAACTGCCTTGTCACCACAATGTTCGATAAATGCATGTCCGGAAATATATTATCTGTCGGAATTCTATACCACGTCAGAATACTACGATGTGATATGAATGTATTCTACATATTCTATACTGCATTGGTTTTACTCGAAACGCGATGCAAAGACAGTAAACCGGCTAAATCTCATCAGCATAGCCACAATTGGTTTGTTTACAAGGGCTGATAAGTCGGGTACATACAGTTAATCAAGAATTGTATAAATACCAATGATTTGACAATGTATCGAGAGCTCATTCTCATACAGAAAATCACGAAGAGATTTATCCAGCTAACGCTCATGAACTCGTTGATATGTCCAATGAGAACATTACGAGCAATCTCAAAGTTTCGAGCTTGGTCGATAGAAACCAATCTCATTATTATTCATGTGTGCATATGAGTACATTGAATGTGGTCAAAACCGAAAATTGGGAAACGCCTTTCATGATAGCTATGATCAGCTATTGTGTTACGCTCTTGCTAAACATTTGAGACAACTTAATGACGGTTGAGTGAAAAGTGACCTCATGTTAAAGAAGGCTCCATTGATCGCAGCAATGGTAACCAGACAGTCTCTTCAGCTCTGAATAACAAAGCACCTACATTACGGCGACATTAGTAGTACACACAATAATAAACACAGGTCTTTTGTCACATCGCAAGACTCAATAGACCTTCCATCACTCGAGACGAAAATAGCCGCTGAAAATCATATATGTAAGAGAACAGATTGAGGACCTTTCTTCTCTCCCCTCAACCTTTGTATATGTTCAATCAGCAAGAGATCTATGCTGAAAGGAAAGGAGACCGATGATTCTGGACATGGGAACCGTATTGACGTGTCCAGATAACAAGCGGCAAGCGGTATATTCCGCGTCGAGATATTGCCTTTGCTCCCTAGACGTCCGGAACGCCACTTGAAACAAGAACTTCTAGCTATTTATGTTCAACGCGTGCCAGACTCAAGACATGTAGTTTATGGAACGTGAGGAACTTCATCAGCAACGATGACACTTGCGAACCCCAGGAAAGGACGCTAACGGCCCCTCCAGTTCAAGTTCTGCCAGCATAGGTGCTCAGTTCCAGCCAGCGTCCAAAAAGTCTTTGCCAAATGCGGCGACCAACTACGCACGCCGATATCACCTATTGTTAAAGGCTTAGAGCACGGTCACCCAAGATGAGTAAGCTTACGTGGGAAGATCAAGCACTTGGTACGTGCGTTGCGAAGGAGATCCTCCGGTGTGCCGCATATCTGCAAATTTGAGGCTAAGGACAAGATGCAAGCACATCTGTTCCAAGCGCAAAAGGTCAAAGGCGCATCCAGAGCCATAAATCGCAGCCTTTGCACAAAAATCCACGAATACTAGCCCACCTATAAATGATCCACGAGCGTATCCCCGACTGAGCACTTGCAACAGCGTACGGGTCCATGGCAGAGAGTTCTTTTTTCGCAGATCCGCGTCTTATCTCCGGCTTGCTAAAGATCTTCCCCATGAAGATTCATCAACACCATTGAAAAATGCCCTTCCAGCTCTTCCTTGTTGACCTTGTTTTTTCCCCGGTCCCGGAACGCTTACTAAACCATCGAGTTTGGGTATAAGACAACCAAGAACAAGCAACAGTTGCCCGGCAGAAAGCCGCTGCAACTATTGTATTAATCACCCTCGCTGTGTTCGTTCCACGGTAAAGTTTCTCCTTCCGCTGACTTCCGGATACGTCGCTTGATCATATTTAGCTTGGCTGGGCTTGCTTGTTTATTTCTTCGCTCTTGGTTTCCTGCCAATTTTCTACCCAGTACTCTAGTTGACTTACAGCTATTCTTCAAGTCATACGAGAGCGTAAAAGGTGACGGGTTACGTATTCTTTTTTTACATTTTCCCTCAACCTGTTTGAAAGGCGAAAAAGTTGGTTTTTTGGAAAGCAAGGCTTACCATTCCCTCCCGCGCATCTAGAAACATTTAAGCACGGAAAGCGACAACACACGGTGAAGAAAAAAAGACAGTTCAATCGCTCATAGATGTCAGCTTTGAGAGTTCTGGCGGTTGGAGACAACAGCAATGTGCTGCTGTATGCGTGGAGGATTCAGCAGTCGAAAAGTGTGAGTCTGACGCATGTCAGCGGCGCCAAGTCCGCGGAGTTTCGGATGGAAACCGCGCAGTATGGCAGCGACTCTTTCCGGTTCGAAGAGCACTACGAGAGCGTGGAGGCAATGCTTGATGGGTGCGAGAAAGGCCAGGCAACGCCCGGCGCCAGGGTTTTTGATCTTGTGATTCTCAGCGCCGCGTCTCTCCAGGAAATGTCGAGTCTCGCGGCGAAGCTGAACCCAGTACTGAACCTCAACACCAAAATACTCGTGGAGAGCTCCGGATTCGTGCATCTCGAGCCGTTCGTCAAGATGTCGATTGAGTTCGGACAGCTGAAGGTGTTCTCGGTCATGTGCGATTTTGACATCCGGCAGGCATCCGCGTCGCGTTTCGCTCAAGCCACCCACCAGACAGGACCCTGCAACCTGTATTTGGGCGAATCTGGCGTGAAGGGTGCTACCAAGTATTCTGCCGACAACATCGCGCTCTTAGAGACTTTCAAAAGATTGTTCGTCAAGCTGTTTCCGCGCGACAGCGTGCATGTGTGCAATTTTTCGTATTTGGACTTTCTGTCACAACAATGGAAGCTTGCGTTACCTCGTATCTGCTTTGACCCGCTTTTCATACTCCTAGAGAATTCGCGTCCAGAACAGCTCAACGAGCAGATCCTTGCGAAACCTCTTATTTCCGGCCTAGTCACCGAGATCATTACGGTAACGAAGACCATGGGTACTAAATTACCTGCTGGGTTTGACAACGAAAAGGATTTGCTAACGCAATGGCTGAAAACCACCAACAACGAGCTGCCGCAACTGGCATATCATTTCTTGCAAAACACTGCACCTTTAAACATCGATATGCTACTCTTGCAACCAATTTTACTGGCTGATGACTACGGTATCAAGACCCCGTATCTTGAATTTCTGTATTCAATGATGTGCCAGTATCAAAAAATAAATGATGGAGAATCTCAATGGTTTGTTCGCGCAGATACTCAATCGGGACTGACCGAAAAACTTTCCATGCTTGAGCAAGAACATACCACCCTTAAGTCTCAGTTGAAATCTGTTCAGAGTACTTTAATCACGGCAAAGCAAGAACATGCCACTCAATTGGACGACAAAAGTAATCGGGAACAAACTTATAAAATTGAAATCGCAGATCTTCAACGCCAGATCGCGAGACTTGGCAGTAATTTAGCAAATGAACAACGGAAAGCGATGGCTCTCGAGTCCGCTCAGAAACAACAACAACAACAGCAACATATACTACAACAACACCAGATACAACAGCAACACCAGATACAACAGCAACAAGAGCAGTTACAAAAACATTCACAAGAACAGCCAGAACAGTCACAAAGACAAAAAAATGGGGAAGTCTCTCAGGCAAAGGCAACTCCTCGAGAATCTGTTCTTTACTCCTCCACTGGAACCCCAAACTTGCGTGACATTGAAGACATTGCTTTATATGGCGTTCAATTTGAGACGTCCCCATCACAACAGGCACCTGTGAGAAGTGAATTGGCCTCCACTAACGTAAGAGACGGTATAACATCTAAAGGGGATACCGCTTCAGGTCCTCAGATTTCAAACGACAGTAACAGCAGCGAAGGTGACACAACCTTGCGCGAACGCGAGTTAGAATTACGCAGAAGAGAACTTGAGTTGCAAGAAAAGGAGATAGAGCTTCAAAAAAGAGCTGCGTCAAGACCTAGACCTACCAAATTTCACAGTGGTCCCCCACAGCTTCAACACATAGGTCAAGGGCCTATTCCAAATGGTCAAGGGCCTATTTCAAATGGTCAAGGGCCTATTTCAAATGGTCAAGGGCCTATCTTAAATGGTCAAGGGCCTATCTTAAATGGTCAAGGGCCTATTTTAAATGGCCACGGGTCTATTCCAAATGGACATGCGCCAAGGAAACCATCATATGCACAAATATCGTCTCGAAACAACAGGCAAATGCACGGTGCTGCCCAAGTTGGCAGTAACAACATGGCTGATCCCATGAGCACGCAAAGTTTCAATGGATCGAACACTGGAATCCCAAGTTCTTTAGGACCCGCAATGGGTTCTCCAGTGGGCCCTCAAAGCCATCATTCACACCAGTTTAAAACAACCAGTCGTAAGAACAGACGGAGCAACATGCCTAATTTACGACATGCGTCGAGCGTGGACGTATTGTCAATGGCAGGAACTGGAGCGCCGCCACCTAATGCTGCCCAGCCGGCTGCTGGAAACAATTCAGGAACGAGACTAAGCTCAATGATGGGTAATGGACAACCGCCTCAAATGATGTCCAATAGATTTCAAAATGGGAGTGGGTTGCAATTGAGCAGTCCAACAAACTCTTCTGCCCCAGGATTTAAGTCAGCAGGTCCACAATCAGCTGGCTCTGGATCTTTTGTGCCTAATCAACAGAGACAAATAAGCTCCAGTACTGTCATTGCCGACGGCCACACACCGCATGCTAATACATCCTCGCATACCGTGTTACATAACCCTGTTGCGCAGCATGTTTCTCAAGGCAATTCTAGCGACTCGTCACTGTCAAACGATTCGCCTTCTGCTATGTCGCCAGATGACAACACTAATGTCAGCGATCCATCTCCGATATCTGCTGTTCAGAATGAAGGGTTTGATCTTGCTGCTAGTGAATCGGGGAAGAAGAAATCCAAATTTGGTTTATTCGGTAAAAAGAAGGAAAAGAAGGAAAAGAAGGCCAAGAACTGATCTGCATAGACGCTACTTTAGTAATAGAAAGATGTGAAAGTCAGGAACCTACAAGTCTTTCCAGAGTTCAGTTGTGCACTGTATAGTTTGGACATATGCATCACGTTACATAGACAAATAAGATGGAAAATGCTGATGGGGATGTGATTCAGTTAATGGTAGTACAGTAAGGAAGCGAACATTATGCAGTGCTGGTATTGCAAAAAAATGGTCTCTAGCGGGATCGAACCGCTGATCCCCGCGTTATTAGCACGGTGCCTTAACCAACTGGGCCAAGAGACCATTAATGAGAATTGAAGAGGGTTTCACCCTTTGTATTCTACACAATAAAAAGTGTTCGAACAAGCAAGCTGAAACGATGAAAAATGGCAATGCTGTCGGTAGCTTATTCTTCCAAAACCCTGCCACGAGTTCAACCTTTAGCGAAATATTAAAAAATGGACGGTTATACGAGCACCCTGCTTTACTGAAAATAATTTGAACTTCTAAGAGACGCTGCCTCGAACTGACATAGCATCAATATTAGTAAAAACAGAGCTTCCATATGTCTTTGAAAGTCCAATTGTTGTCCAGGAAACATAACTTTAGATTTCTTGTATGTGAATTACTCTACGCGCTAAAAGTGCGCTTCGTAGCTCCATAAAATATTGAAATCTATTTTCGTGAATGCTAAAATCCTGTACAAAACATTTTAGAGTCGTCGACATTGTTTCTCTCACAAATCCGTCTCCCTTAGTCTTCGCTTGTATCACTTCTTCCCAAAGTGACGGCTTTCAGTGAAAATTTTTTTGAAATAAGATGGGCTCTCTCTCATTCAAAATTTTGAAGAATGAACTTTGAAGCTGTCCACTGTACCTAATCAAGCCCCAATCAAACAAGTTAACATGCCAATTGATCAAGAAAAACTAGCTAAATTGCAGAAGCTCTCTGCTACCAACAAGGTTGGTGGTATCCGTAGAAAGTTCGCCAAGAAGACCGGTTCTTCTGCTGGTGGAAACAAAGATGACACTCAGTTGCAAGCTCAATTGGCCAAGTTGCGTGCCGTGACTATTGACCAAGTCGAAGAGGCCAACTTTTTCAAGGAGGACGGCAAAGTCTTGCACTTCAGCAAGGTTGGTGTCCAAAACGCTCCTCAACACAACACCTCTGTGTTCTACGGTATTCCTCAGGAAAAGACTCTGAACGAATTGTTCCCATCTATCATCCCTCAACTCGGTGAGGAGTCTATCAACGCTTTGACCCAGCTAGCCTCGCAAATGAAGGGCGCTGAAGGTGCACAAGGCGCTCCAGGTGCCGACGAGAAAGTCGACGCTGACATCCCAGAGCTAACTGGTCAAAACTTTGACGCCGACGTCGAGTAAGGTTTTCGAAGTCTAGCATGAACCCTTGCCATATTGTTCCTTGAGAACTTGAGTAAATAGATACAAAAGACCACGAATTAGTTTCTAGCCGTTTTAATACAACAAATTGGAGAAGAATATCATTATCTAATTATTATTGTTCCGTATTTAAAGACGCCTGCACAATGGGCAGATGCATTCCTTCGTTTGCAAACACTTTATCATCAATCACAGGCCCTGCTATGTCATACATTTGCTCCGTTAAGTCTAGCTTTTTCCAGTATTTCGTTGATATCACCTCCTATACTGAGAAGCTTTTCCCGATTTCTCTTACATGTCATTGTGTCAAAATGCCTCTTCAAAGCATCCTTACGAGCAAAACCCTTCCCGCATAGCGAGCAAATATTGGGCAAGATCGGCAGGTGTGCTCTCTCGTGCCTCCTAAGATCGCTAGAGCGTCTAAATACTAATTCGCACTTGGCGCATGGGAACTTCTTGGCCGCGGATTCGTCATCCGCGGAAGTGTTGTCCTTAGTGTCATCTTTTTGAACGGAGTCCCCGGTCTCCGAGGTTTTCCTCTTTTTAATTCCTGAGTATCGTACTGTGCTCGACATTTGCTCGTCAGTTCCAGATGAGGTGCTTTCGACGTTATTCAAAAGCTGATCGAAATAGTTTAGGACAGACTTATTTTCCGACGGTATTTGCTGTGGCATGCGAGTTGCAGACTTATTATGATCCACGTATTTCAGTCGAGTCAATAACTCTCTTATGGTTGGGTCCACACTTGAGCTCTTTAAGCTGGTCGCTACTATGGCCTCTGCGGCCTGTTGGAAAAATACGGTGTCTTCGCTCATGATTTTGACCTTTGATATGATGCACCTTTTTCAATCCAAGAATGAAGCCTTATGAATATCCAAAGCCACCAACTTTTGTCAACTGCGATTGTCCAGATGGTATATCTCCGATGTCTTCGTGATGACTCTGCCAATGATTAACGAACCAAAAATTTTAAGCCAAAAACCAGCTCGCACGTGAACAGAACTTGGAACAGCGAAAACTAACCCATAAAGGTGAATTGAGACCCTTGGCTAGTGGAGCCTTGTCTTGGAATTTCGCCTGATACATTAAAGTGCGTTGCAAACAAGGTGGCATTTCCTGACGTTTTCTTTTTATTCTTAGCTGAATTCTGAGCAGGTCGCAGGCTCCGATGCGCATGGGCACGGACTCATTCATTCCTCACTAACATCAAACACTTCACAATGTATCCTTTTCATTCTAGGGTGGCAGAACAACTTGTGATGGAGACTACAGATGCCATCACCATATCCGCCAGCAATTTTATGCTTGCTTTCTTCAAATCGATGCCAAGTACTGACTTTCGCTTCAATGTCATCACTAGGAGATAAAGATAGGTGTTTCCGGATTGCGGATTTGAGAACAAGCCATAAGAAAGAGCATTGCCGCGACGGTGTCGTCCTTTTCGTTGATAGATTCCGGTTGTAGATCAGATTATTGACATCTCGAATATTTTAAAAAATTAAAAGTATTTAGCGCTCAACGATATGAATACACTGACAAAAATTGCAAAAGAGACAGTCGGTAAGTCCAACCAAGCTTTTTAATGGTAAGTTCTGGCCTTAGACTTTGCTCGCGACATGTTTATCAAAAATCGCTATGTCTTCCTAAGACCAAATTCCCCAATAGATCAAATTTGCAAAAAACTATGGATCAATTAATTCCTAAATCTTCGCAAATTCTATATGAAGAACAATTTCAGATGTTTCTGCGACAAGCCCAGGCTTTAAATCCACATGACCGACTTGAATTTGTTCAGGAAAAGCTGTTTGTGCTTCACGATGGTCCCCCTTATGCCAATGGGGATTTGCACCTTGGACACGCTATGAACAAGATACTGAAGGATATTATCAATCGCTTTCAATTACTTCAGGGTAAATATATATATTACAAAACTGGATGGGACTGCCATGGCTTACCCATTGAACTAAAGGCGTTGCAGAAGTTGACAGAGGATCAGGATAAATTATCACCCATCAAAATTCGGCGTCTGGCCTCTCAGCATGCTCAAAAAACTATCAAGAGCCAACGAAATCAGTTCCAAAAATACGCTATTGCTACCAATTGGGATGACCATTACGAAACTATGCAAAAAAAATTCGAACTTGATCAATTGACCAGTTTAAAGAAGATGATTCATACCGGGTTGATCAAAAGGCAAAACAAACCTGTTTACTGGGGTACTGAGACTAAAACAGCTCTTGCAGAGAGTGAACTTGAGTATAAAGATGACCATATATCGACCTCGGTATACGTCAAGTTTCCTTTAAGTAACAAATCATCCGATTCCCTCAGAAATACCACCTCTTTAAATCCACACAACGATATAAAGGTTGTTATTTGGACCACCACTCCGTGGACTATTTTTGCTAATGAAGCTATTTGTTTCAACAAGAATCTCAGGTACGGAATATACGATTGTGGTGATGAATACCTTTTAGTTCAGACGGATTTGAAGGGCAAGGTCTTACAGGACAGCTCTGTAAACCTAGTGTCAGAACTTTCAGGAGAAGCACTGATGAATTTGAGATACATAACCCCTTTTTCCCATGAAAGCAACGATAAAAGTTTTATTCATGGTGACCACGTTAGTAACTCTACGGGTACCGGCTTCGTTCATACAGCTCCAGGTCATGGGTTTGACGATTACATTATTGGAATAAAGAATGGCCTAAGGATATTCTCTCCAGTGGATAATGAGGGGAGATACAAACTAGATGAGCTTCCACCGAATCTTATGAGGTATTTACAAGAACCAGATAAGGGTAAAGCCAGGAAAGTATTGTCAAAACAAACGGTGGATCAAGTTTTACAAGTTCTAAAGGATTATCAAATGCTTTTGAAGGCTGAAGAATACGTTCACTCTTATCCATATGATTGGAGATCTAAAAAACCAGTTATAATACGAGCAACTCCACAGTGGTTTGCCGATCTAACAGACGTAAAGGAGCTGGCATTACGTAGCTTGGAAAAAGTGAAGTTTTATCCTGAAAGGGGCCGTACTCGCCTAACTTCTTTTATCAAGGCCAGGAATGAATGGTGCATCTCCAGACAAAGGTCTTGGGGTGTGCCCATCCCTGCATTCTACAAAACCGACAATTGCGATGAAGTTTTAATGAATGAAGATATAGTTGATCATGTTATAAGTGTGATTGATAAAAAAGGGATTGATGCTTGGTTTAAAGACGACAACAGTGATATCAAGGAATGGCTACCTCCAAAATACCACCACAAAGCTCACCAGTATTCGCGAGGTAAAGATACGGTAGATGTATGGTTTGACAGCGGAAGCACTTGGAAGGTTTTGGAAGACTTTTACCTAAACCAGTTGGGCTTACACAAGACTCCAACACCGCTTGCCCAAATATACTTGGAGGGTTCTGATCAGCATAGAGGGTGGTTTCAGAGCTCTTTGCTTACGAAAGTAGCGACGACCAGCCAACCTGATGCTCCTTACGGAACTGTAATCACGCATGGTTTCACTTTGGATGAGAAGGGACTTAAGATGTCTAAGTCAATTGGGAATACTGTTCCTCCTGAGAGCGTGATAGCCGGAGACGAAAAGCAGGGTATTCCTCCACTTGGCGTTGATGGACTGAGGCTTCTGATAGCACAAGCAGATTTCACTACTGATGTGGTAATTGGACCAACTGTCACGAAACATGTTGCAGAATCTTTGAAAAAGCTGAGACTCACATTCAAATTCCTATTAGGCAACTTGCAGAAGTCTGACTCAGAATGCGAACTACTTGCTTTTGACAAGTTGAGACCCGTAGACCAATATGTTTTGTGCAAACTGAAGGAATTGAGTGGTGAGACCTTACGGAACTACACCGCTTATAACTTTTCTAAAGTTTTAACGACTGCATTTTACCACATGAACAATCAACTCTCAGCCTTTTATCTGGACATTGTAAAGGATTCTTTATATGCGGATGCGGCTGGAAGCTTAAAGAGAAGACAGATACAGACCACACTATTCCACATTCTGGACACATACCGCTGTATTTTCGGTCCTATAATACCCATTATGATACAAGAGGCTTGGGATTATCTACCGAAAGAATGGTTACAGGACAAATCTGAGTTCCACGATATGCTCCCCAGCGCGTCTCCGCTGACGCGCCCTTGGAAACATCTTAATATCCTTGACCCAAACGGCATCATTGATAATTTCGAGCAAAATCAGCTAGTGCTTTTGAAAAAGTACAATCAAGCCTTCAAAGCACTTCCCGAAATCACTAAAACTATTCAAACTCAGGTGACGATAATAACTCCAGAAGGCACTAGTCTACCATTCTCCGAGGATTCTCTCGCGGACGTTCTTCAAGTTGGTCGTGTGTTGACCAAGACCTCATCAAAAGAGCACGGAACTCGGATCACCCTTGGATCTGGATTGAAATTGGATATGATCTTAGAGCCCAGTTCCTTACACGAATGTCCCAGATGCTGGAAAGCCAATTCGCGGACGCCCGAATCACTGTGCGATCGTTGCTGTAAAACAATCACGTGACAGTACATACAAATAATAAACGAGTACGAGAAATAATCACATTATTCACTTCCAGCAAATACCTTACCAGATCAGTCAAATATTTAATGTCATCTAGCAAATGGACTTTGAATTTGTATTCCTCGCAGCTACGCTGCAGTCGAAGCGCACTGAGTGCTGTGAATTTAGTGCATCCTAATATAACTAGAATTGTGCAATGTCGGTACCACTCCATCCAAGAAGAGCCTGAGAAGCCTCTAAAATTAGATAAATTGCACAAGTTTATAGCCAAATCCCGTTTGCTTACGAAGCTCAGTAAAAAACCCAGGTTTCGTGCGTATTTCGACAAACTATCGCAGACTAATCCGGTGAGCACCATAACCTCATTCTTGATCCTCCACGAGATAACGGCTATTGTACCACTGTTCACACTTTGGTGGGCACTTTACACATTGAACCTTGACGACCAGTACGATTTACCTGTTTATTTCAAAGATTTGCTGGATCGCTGCGGGGATTCCATCGAAAAGCTTGTTGGAGATCACTGCCAGGGATTTGATCGCAACCGTCTCGTGCTGTCTGGGGCTGTGTCTTACGCCATTGTTAAAGTTCTTTACCCGGCTAGAGTTCTTGTAAGCCTTTGGGCAGCACCATTCTTCTTTAAATGGCTCCTGAATCCTTTCCAAAGGTTGGCCCGGACCTTCAAACGCAAAAATACTGGCAAGCCACCCAGTTCAAGCAAATAAATAATAAAACTGTTCTTTAAAGTAGTTGAACTTTGCCAAACTAGCCCGTTTAGATCTTGCCATCACAGTCAAACTTTGCATTTATCATTTTTATTGATGAATGCAAGTGATTTAATATCGAATAGTTCTTGTAAATTGACCAATCATGAATCGAGACATGTACAGCGCTCAAAACCAGGCGTCAAACCTGTACCAGCAATCCCAGCCAACGTCTCAAACCATCTGGCAGCAGCAGATGGCCGACAGCAAAGGATGTAACTCCAACAGTAGCAAACCTTTACTAATGGCTAATAACAATGTCTTCTCGATAGGGCCCTACAAAAAACGGAAAGATGCGAACCGAGTATCAGTAGTAGAGAAGTATGAAATCATCGGGTACATTGCAGCAGGTACGTACGGAAAAGTTTACAAGGCTAGAAAGAAGAACCTTACTCCAAACGGATCTACTTCGTCGTCAACCGATAGCGAGGTCTCATCCGTACCGGTATCAAAAAATCCTCCACCAAATGGCCATGAAGCCCTTGACGTTAACTCAATCAACAAGTCTACAAGAGTTCAGGATCCTAGCACGTCATCGATGTCAATCAATGCTCAACAAGAAATGCATTCTGATCACAAAGTCCAGAGTTCAAAGAAATCCCACGATAATAACACTTCTGGATCCATTATGATTGGCCCTCCCCTCATGAAGTTACCGTCCCTTTATGCCATCAAGAAGTTTAAGACTGAACGGGAAGGCGTGGAACAGTTACATTATACAGGCATTTCGCAAAGCGCATGCCGAGAGATGTCATTGTGTCGAGAACTGCGAAATAAACATCTCACACATCTTGTGGAGATTTTCCTTGAACACAAGAGCATTTATATGGTATCCGAGTTTGCTGAACATGACCTACTGCAAATTATACATTTCCACTCTCATCCCGAAAAGCGGCTCATCCCGCCCAGGATGCTGAAATCGATTCTCTGGCAAATCTTAGACGGTGTATCATATCTTCATCAAAACTGGATTCTACATAGAGATTTGAAGCCTGCAAATATCATGGTTACAGTAGACGGGTGTGTCAAGATTGGTGACTTAGGTCTCGCGAGAAAATTTCACAATATGGTTCAGACATTGTATACTGGGGATAAAGTTGTTGTTACTATTTGGTACCGAGCACCTGAACTATTACTCGGTGCACGTCACTATACTCCAGCAATTGACCTCTGGGCTGTAGGATGTATTTTCGCAGAACTTATTGGGCTTCGACCCATCTTCAAAGGGGAAGAAGCGAAGATGGACTCAAAAAAAAGTGTCCCATTCCAAGCAAATCAATTACAAAGGATATTAGAGGTTCTTGGATCACCTACGGAAAAGTCCTGGCCGGACATATACAAGTACCCTGAATGCGAACAATTATCTAAATTTCCGCGTTATAGAGATAACTTGCCAGTGTGGTACCACTCAGCTGGTGGCCGGAACAAAGAAGCTTTGGAACTTCTGTACCAACTGCTGCGATATGACCCAATTACCAGAATAGATGCTGTTGATGCTTTAGAACATCCATACTTCACAAATGAAGCTCCCACCGTGTGCGAAAACGTCTTTGAAGGATTGAATTACAAGTACCCACCGAGACGAATTCACACGAATGATAATGATATAATGAACATTTCCAACACCAAGGCCAAAGCCACTGCAACGAACCCTCAGGCGATCGCATCTAAGAACGCTGCCAACGCTTCATTAGGGGGGCTAGGCGTAAACAGAAGAATACTGGCAGCAGCAGCAGCAGCAGCAGCAGCGGTATCCGGAACCAACTCTTCAACTCGACCAGGCTCGTCAACTAATGTGACCGGACCATTAAGGAAGAAAAGAAGATGATATGGGTGATATTTGTTAGTCGCCAGCTTAGCAATCTATTATGTTGCACACTGCGTATATATATATACATATATATATATATATATATATATCGGGGCGGCATTTGTCGTAGGTCTATTATACAATAATGAATGCAAAAATCACCAAAACAAAGATTAACTTGTTAAAAATGCTTTTGGAAAGAGATTCTCATGCTATTGAGCACATTAGTGTTCACCAAACCATCTACTTCCTGCTTTGTTTTCTTTTACGCTTGAAGCCTATCAGCCTTTTTGTGTCTTCGTCAACACCAGATTTAGTTGGCTTATCTTCAGCCTTTTCCTGTGAAGTTTCAGGATCACTTTTTTTAGGTCTTTTATCAGAACCACCTTTTCCTTCACCTTTATAGTTTCCACCTTCCAGTTTTCTCTTTCTTGTCTCTTTCGCTCCATTAGTAGCCTCTCTTCTTCTCTTGACTACATTAGCATTTTCAATGGCAAACTCCACGCAAAGACGTCTACGAGTAAGCCCTTCGATATCTACACTCTTCTTTTCCTCATCGTCGAGTCCTTCCAAAACCTCGGCCTTCGTTACCTCATGGGCGTTGAGCCATCTTAAACCCATAAGGGCTGCTTTATGATCTCTAAACTCAACAAATCCATAACCTCTACTTCTACCACTCGATGAGCCTTTGACTTCCATGATGACTTTAGCTTGCCTGACGACACCTTGTTTTTTGTCTTTTTTCTTTCTTGCTGCAATATCATCTTCGTCCATGAACTTGTACTTCTCTTTGGTGGATCTCTGAATCTCTTCTTTACTCAATGGGTGTCTCTTTTTCAAATTGACCTCTGTGGCAAATTCAACGATAGATTTGCGCGCTAGCCCCTTCAAAGTTTTGTCAGTCATAGCTCTTGGAAGATTTCTAACAGCCAATCTTGTCAGCGATAAATGCAAACTTGGATTTTTCTTTAGCTGTTCGACTCTCAGTTTATAAGAGCTTTCTCTGATCTCCATATCTTTAGAGCTCAAAAGTTGAGAAAGTTTAGAACCATCCGTAATTCTTCCCTCGTTAAGCAAGTATAGATTACGCTTATCTCTTAAAGTGGGTGCTTTACCGAATGTTTCTTTCCTTTTAGATGCGTTACTGTCCGCGTACTTTTCAGCAGTTTCTCTATCCAGAGAAGGCGTAATAGACAGAATACGGCCCTCATAAACGTACTTGTAAGGTACGTCGTCACTAATCAAGAGCGACGTGGTTCCGGAGGCTGGCGCATTTTTAACACAGTCGTCGAAGCTGTCTTGATTCCAGAAGGCGACGAAAGCAGAACCTTTCGCAAGACCAGTCTCCTTGTCTTGGACTGGTAATGCGTATTTGACAGGGCCAAATTGGCTGAAATGTTCTTGGAGAGACTCATTTGTAGCATCGTAAGGCACGTTACGAACGAAAATAGACCAATTCTCTTTTTTGTTTTGTTTAGGACGATTTTCAAACTCTCTTTCTTGTTCATTATCAAGATCAAGCTCTTCCTCACCTTCAATCTCATCTTCCTCTTCGCTATCGTCAAGATTAGCAGCGTCTTCTGAACTGTTATCGTCTCGCTTCTCTTCCTCTTCTTCTTCCTCCTCTACGTCATCATCAGCCTCGCTTTCTGATCCAGACTGCTCCGCTGATTCAACTGCAGCTTCTTGCTTATGCTCCTCCCACTTATTCTTCTGAATGGCGAAATCCACTGCAACTGGTCTACCATCAATTTTCAAATCTTTGGAATCCTCTATAGCTTTCTTACAGGCGGCCAGTTTCTTCATGGTCACAAAGGCAAAGCCACAGAGCTTTCCATCGCGCTTCTTTGGAATTTTGGCCTCCACGACTGTACCGAAACGCATAAATATTTTTTTCAGTTCCTCTGGATTACGCACGCTCCATGGCATGTTTCTCACAATGAGCTTTGGCTTACCGCCCATTAGCGCATTTTCTTTCTCCTCAGCAGTCCTTGAAGGCTCTGCTTTAGCTGTGCCAGCTCTGTCTCTTCTCTTTGCGATATCTACTCGCAGTAGCCGGCCCTTGAACTTGGCCTTTCTAGCCTTATTCAATGCTTCTTTGGTGTCGTCTTCAACTGCGAAACTTACAAAACCAAAGCCCCTTGATTTTTTCTGGTCATCCTTGACTATCACCGCGTGCTTGATGGGTGCCAGATCCGCAAAATACGTGGACAACTCCTCATCCGTGGCGTCAAATGGGATTGAACGCACAAAGAGCGTTTTCATGTCCAGAAAATCAGTTCTAGAACTCGCATTCCTCACAGTGCCGTTATCGCCTGCTCCAGAAGACATAGTGCGGACTCTTGATAACAAATTACTACTGTTAAACTCAGTGTTCGAAATTTTAATTCTTATATTTGAAGGCGATGAGCTACTTCATAAACTCATATGCTGTAGTTAGCGCTAGAAAATTTTCTTGGAATAAATCGATGATCACATTTTGTACGAAACTACTTCTCGAATTTAAATTTCAGATTCCATGGGCCGCCGAAGTGAATGTAAACAAAGGCTAATCGCTGTGTGGAATTCGAAGGTTATCAAGCTTCTGACAATATCCATACTGATAGAAGATAGGATAAATCTGGTTATCATCGAAAAGCCTGGATTTGATTTTGAATTTTCGACGAAATTTGTGAGAGTAATCAAAATGAAGGACGGCTTCGTTTCTGATATTGACGAGGCAGTTGTCTTCAGAAAGCTTCAGAAACTGTCCGACAGCTCGCTTTGTGATTTGGCTCGCGATTGGCTTCCAAAGAGTAAAAAGAAGCGTCAGCTGGCCCAGTTGCTAGCTAGGGCACATGAACAAAAAGTCGCCAAAAACACCATGTGTAAGTTTCTCGCAGCTAGGCTTCACGCTCTGGGCCTTGACTTGAAACAGCTTGCAGAACTCGATTGTCTATGTCTTTTTCAAAATCCCAACCTTTACAAGTGGACAGCAATGACTACAAGAAACAACAAAAGGCAGGCCATTTCGCAGCAAATTCTTCCAGAAAAACTGATCGCCTCCCTTAAAAACGATCTGCATGGGATCTTTAGACTACACACCTATTTTTGTGCGCATCCCAATCTACCACTATACATCATTCGGATCCAATTGTTCGACCCGGAGGAGCTTAGCAGTTATTCTAAGCTTGCTAATAGAGCTCCCTTTTACATTGCAATACCTTACAATTCAGCAACCATTATTTTCTCTGCCGGCAGTGACGTATATGCTAAGCTCATTATAAATAGCGTTTCGAGGTCAGTATGTCACAGAAAGAACATCGCCCTAGAAAGGTGTGAGAAATTGCCTGTGCGAAATTTAAACACAATGGCTGTTCTTCGGAGTCTTACTCGGGATTCAAATGCCATGGGACCTTGGAGCCCTTATGCTGAAAACTCAGTCGAATCGCCACCCATAATAAAGGCGCGATCTTGTAAAACGAGCAATGCGTATACCAATCTTCCTTGTTCATTTGAGAAATCCATGATGAGATTTACTGGCAAAGCACATCAATTTTCAAAACCTGTTACTTCTAGTCAAACTACTGAAGCACGTCTTTCTGAATGTAACTCCTTGATGAAAGTACCCAGAGCTGATTTCATAATCACAAACAAGTCTTCAAATGATCAAAACATTACGTTTAAGGTGAAACTTTTTGGAACAGATATTTTTGGTGGGTTACATGAGCTCTGCGATCAAGGTTACATAGACATCGCCAAGGTTCCAGGTTGGGCAACGGGAGAGAATGGTCCAAAGTCTGGAACCATTCTGAATGGTGATTTTCAGGAGCATGAAACAGCGAGGCGCCTCGATGAAAGCATTTAGAGCTTATTCACCGTTTCATTCACCAGCGTTCTCAATTGCGCTTCATTAGGAGGAATTTGCTTGTAAATTCTCTTTAAGTTTGGAACGTCCTTCTCCTTAGATGCCAACTGTATTGCATCAAAGTAAGAGCCACATTGCAAATACATCTCAAATCTTTTTTCGTAAGAGATTCCTGATATCATTTGCACATATACCGATGCTTCTTTCTTCCTCTTCTGCTGCAGCAACGATTTATAAAACGGCATGTAGCCTATTGGTGATTTCCTTTCTTGTGCAAATTTGTAAAGGTCATCAAACCTTTGCTCCCGAGCGAGCGCTTTACATTTAATATGGTAATACTTCTGGTCTGGCACCTTGAATTTTCTTAAAAAGACAACCAGCTGTTTGTCGAGGCGATTTACTATCAAGATTCTTATCGTATCATCTAAGGTTGCGTTGACCACGTTTATCTGTTGGACTTGAGCCAGAGATTTTTGAAATTCAAGAAGCTGAACTTGTCTTTCCAGAGTTCCCTGATCATTTCTGATCAAAGAGTCATGAGTAAGTCTGCTGTAAAGCTCCTTCACCTGCGGTAAGAATTCGCCTGACGTTCCATCTTTTAGACCTTCGCTCCACAGATGATATGCAAGCTCAGCCAGCTGATCGGTTTGACGGTAAAAGTCAAAAAGAAACGTCCCATCATGTCTAGAGTAATAAGTGAATAGCTGATCATCGCGCATTGTTAGCATAATGATCTTCGTAAATTGTGCGGTATTTAGTTGTTCGCGCAATTTCAACAGCACTGATAGAGTCATTTCCGGTATTCCCAGTTTGTTCCCCTCCTTTAGCGCAAGTTCGTGTTCATCAAGCTCCAATAGAGCCGAAAGCTCCATTGCCGGCATTCGTTCCATAATAATTAGGTCCTTGGCCATACGTGGTCTGCCTTCATTGAATGCAGTTAGTCCAACTTCGGCCATAGGAACTTTGACCGTAATGCTTTGTGCAAGCTTTGCGATGGCTTTAAAGATCTCATCGTCGTCTATCTCGGAGGAAGAAACAATCTTGGCATTGGCCCAAGCTGCAAAGATCTTTGGAATCTTCCCTCGCACCTTCAAAAACTTACAAACTAAAATGCATTCATAAAAATCCCCAGTCTTCATGAGTCGCGATATTAGTTTATCCAAACCGAAATACTCTAGGTGCCTCGCCGTTAGTATTATGCCTTTTTCGGTTAGCATATTCAAAACCCTGAGCTTATCGCAGGTATCTACGAAGCGTTTTGAATTCTGAGACTCTCTGGGTAAAGAACTTTTACCGAAGACAGCTGCGGAAAGTAGTTTTTTTTGCCAATATGGCACAAGTTCATCAAGTGCCGCATCTAAGCATCCAGCCACACCTTGATCTAAGTTTATAATCTTCAAATTTTCAACAGCGCGTGGCGCTTGAGTGGAAAGAAAATTGACTGAATCTAGTAGAATGGAGCTTGGCTCAGTTGATCCCATCAAAAAAACGTCTGTTGTATGACGCCCGACTCTCGATATAAGCCAAATTTTATCGTTCGTGACCACTTTAAGACCATCTATTTCAGTGTTCAGCGTTATAATCTCTTCGGGAAACCAGAAAGTAATGCTGCAGGAATCGGGCCCGAAAAGTTTGATTTCCTCGTTATTAAATAAACACGCTATAGTGTCATCTCCACACCAAGCAATGTCCTTCGCGTGTGAGTCTAGATTGATTTCCATAAGTCGTACGTCGCCGTTTTTGTAGATTTTGAGATCATACGTTTTAGCGTTATACAAACACACTAATCCCTGAGGGGAGACGACAACTGAATGCCATATTTCATTACTGGCTTCTTCGCTAAGTATCCCTGATTCGATGTAAAGATGAAAAACGTGTTTCACGTCCAATAAGACCAAAACGTCTTTGTTACAATGCCAATGTTTTTTAGTTAGGAGTGCGAATCGCTCGTTGTTCTCGCAGATCCTAACTAGCGAGTTTCCGTCGAAATGGTAAACGTCTTGTGATGACAGCATCACAGCCACCCGATTCTTGAAGCTCCAGATTGTATCATCAACTGCATCAGGCAAAAAGTAATCTTTAAACAGTACCGGACGCCAGTTGTGATAGATCCTCAATCGATCCGCCATAGCGATTATTAGCGAGCCTTCGTCTTCTTTGTCAAATTCATAGCCCACGACCTCACTAGGCAGGCTAGTTAAATCGATTTTAGCCACGCATTGGCCTCGGTAGTGGCAAATCTCAATACTATTGTCAGATTCTACTGCGAGTAAAGTAGTAGTTACAGAGAATTTGAAGCCGGCTTCCGAAGGCACACTAAGTTGGCATAGCTCTCGGTCTCTATAAAACACATCCTGCAACTTTTCCCACCCGAGACTAGGATTTTTCAGGCTCATGAATAGCAGTTATTTTCCAACTCTGAAACTAAAATTAGTTTACCTTTAATATATCTTTTGAACAGTCTTTTCAAGTAATTAATATACTATGCAATAGATATATACAGGTAAAAATAATCCAAAAGCATCATCGCCATGTCAGAGGTCCTTCTTGTCTCTAAAGATGATCTAGAAATACCCGTTTCTTATGAAGCTGCTATCATATCGCCAGTGCTCAAAGGCATGCTATCAGGTCCGTTTTTAGAAGAGCATCCGATCAAGATAGAATTGAAAGATATCGAGCCCCAAGTACTGGCAAAGGTAGTTGAGTATCTCGAGTACTGCAGCACTTATCGTAACGTTGGAGAAAACGACGATATTCCTGAGTTTGATGTTCCTACAGAGATGTCGTTGGAGCTACTGCTTGTTGCCGATTACCTGAACATTTGAATCTAAAAACTGTTGCTATAAAATTACAAAATTGACTTTGCTTGTTTTAGACCGTGCCGCCGTAACAGGACAGTAGGGGCATTTGAAATTGCAGGTGCCATTTTTACTCAGTTTGTCGAGACTGAATTTAGAGATGATGTGATGACAGGGCAGGGCGTAAGGTGGATTCTCTTTGGTGGTCTCTTCTTTAAGAACGGGGCATATGAAAATTGGATGAAAGTTGGTTAAGAAATCAGGCAGCTTGACGTTGAAAGGCAATTCGTTTTCAGTTGTCCAATCGACATGCCTAGCTGCTTGTAATGTTCTGTACTTGATAAAAAACTGGAATGACATGATACCGCTCATTACCACCAAAAACAGTGAGGAATCAAATGGCAGACTGTTCCGGGCGCAGTACTCACGGGTAAACAACTCAATGCATTTGTTTCGTTGTTCCTCCAGCTTGAGGCCAGTTTCTGAAGAGATCACTAATTGCGCAAGTAAGGGAGCAACTCGGTGCCGCAGGAAGGATTTTTTGGTCTTGGTCATAAAGTCAGGTATAGACTTTAACAGATATAGATAAGTGGCAGATTTGTCACCGCTTTGAAGCAAAAACATGGCCTTTAGGAGGTGAAGTTCAAATTCCAGATTTGACCCTTCCGAACACCAAGCCATACACGAGTCTAAGTTGTCTTGACGTAGCTGTCGCACCATTTGCGCCATTTCAACAAAATTGGTCGAAATTTTAGAATTGACGCCGTAAACATTTTCCAAGTACCGCACCATGCCTTCAGAGTCCTGTTCGGGAATTTCGCACAAATTGTAGCGCGAGATATGAAGCCCTATGGCACTTTCGACATGTTTCCGTGCACTTGGCGGAAACTGGTTGGTATACACCTGGTCTAGCTCGAAATCGTAGATTTTGTTTATTGCATTTTTTTGAAATTTAGAGTATTGCTGTATAGCAAGTTTGCTGCTCTTTCTCGCACCGCTGTCCCACTGCTTGTGTAGTTTGTTGAGCTTTTCAACGGCCAATTGCCTCCTTTTCATAAACTTGGCGGGATTTTGACTATCTTCTCCAGCTGCGTCCTGTGCTTGTTTGGCCAAGTAGCCTTTCAGCTTTTTTATATTCATTTTGAAATTATGGGTATCATCTAAGCATTTCTTTAGATGTGTCTGTCCGGCAGCCGCTCCGTCTGTAAGTTTCTGATACTCGCATTCTAGATTTCCTAAGAGTTCCGACATGCCAAGTCTGGGTCAATATTTGACACTTTTATTGATCTAGTTTGGTGCTCACGTTCAGCTCAGAAGTTATTATATAGCAACGTTTAGAGAACGCCAGCAATACTATTGAGAATCCACTATTGTAGATTGCGTCCAAAACTTGAAATGGACCATCAATTAATATCCCTTAGCTGATCGTTGATCATCATGAACCTGGAATCGCGAAACACGGCGGTTTGGATACGAACGAAGAACGCTAATGCTACGATTAAGGCATTAGTCGACGCTGCTTTGATAGCTGGGTATCGTTAAGTGGCCCGAAAAATTACTTTCAGTGCTCTCGTTACGATTTCAACCTCTTCTACCTCGGCTCAGACATCTTTCAATGTGAGCAGCAAACCGATTTGCAGAGACGTCTCTGTTACAATTGTCACAGTGAAAGTAAATAGTGCTATCTTGTTGCTTTGGCATACCATGTATATCCAAATTGCCAGATTTATCGTAGTAATATGGCTCGGGATTGTCGCCATATCGCGAACGCAGGGTCTGCGCTTGAGTGGTTGTCCTTGCCACAACGTCTTGAATCATTGAAGTGATGAGGTTTTCGTAGATTGAACGAGACGTTGTCTCTATAGTAATTTGTGACATTGGCAAGTGGGCCCTAGTGCTTGCGTTCCTTATATTTCAACTTCGTTAATGAAAAGGCCAAATAACCGCTTTTTCCAATAAATTAAATCAAGATCATAACAAAAATAATCAAACAAGGTTATAAATAAACGATAAATAATGATGCTAGCTATGCAGCCCATACCTAAATGGACCGTATGAATTTGTGGTCCTATTGAAATCTCTGAAATAAATAATGGCGCGTTTCACTAAACCGCATCGCCCAATATGAAAGCATCAGAGCTTCGCTTGAGCGTTAGACGCGGAGCGTGGGGATAGAGACAACGCTTCGCGCTTGATGCTGTCGCCAAGTGACTTGTCCACCCGCGAAAACATGGCAAACACGCGATCTTGAATGACCGAACATGCGTTAGCCACATGAACGGCTACATTGTGTGCTAATGCCTCCTGCTGCCCAGGAGTTTGGCCTAGGACTTTGTAAAGCCCACGGGCCTGGACGAAATCAGCGTCACCGGGACTTGTAGACCAGTGATAAGGCATGGCTGGTCCGTGCCATACCTCCTGGTGCTGTTGAATAGGTTTGGTGGCCTGAATGTAGTTGTAACTCTTGGCACTGGCTAAGTAGTTTGGTTCGGAGCCTAAGTTGCCATCCACATTCATAGGTCCATCTCTGATGGAAGGATTAAACACTTTTGATGCGTATGGACAATTGACCGGAATTTGGTGATAATTAGCTCCCAACCTGTGCCTATGAGCGTCTGGGTATGCAAATAGTCGCGACTGCAAAACAGGATCGGCACTGGCCTCTTGGTAAGGCACTGTGTGACTGGGCGAAAACGCCACTTGTTCCACTTGTGCAAAATAGTTTTGTGGGTTTTCATTCAGCACCATTTTACCGATGCGACGTAATGGGAACTGCTTGTGGGGCCAGATTTTAGTCAAATCGAAAACGGAGAAGGATTGTTTCTGGGCCTCCGCTTCGGTCATAGTTTGGATATAGACAGTCCAGCTTGGAAATTTACCCTGTTTTATATTCTTGAACAGATCCTGTCCACAGTAATCTGGATTCTGACCCGCGAGTTTTACGGCCTCTTCATTGCTGAGGTTTTTGATGCCCTGGTCGGTCTTAATATGAACTTGAACGTAGAACCATTCACCCTTCTTATTGGACCACTTGTAGGTGTGTCCGGAATATCCGTTCATGTTGCGGTAGCTAGCCGGAGTGCCACGGTCGCTGAACAATATCATGACCTGGTGAATGGCAACTTGATTTTCCGGTGTGGTTAAAAAGTCCCAAAACATGTCAGCATCCTTCAAATTAGTCTGTGGATTACGTTTCTGCGTGTGGATAAAATGCGGAAACTTTGCTGGATCTCTAATGAAGAACACAGGCGTGTTGTTGTAGACCCAGTCGAGGTTTCCTTCCTCGGTGTAGAATTTCGTGGAGAACCCACGAGGATCTCTGGCTGTATCTGCCGAACCCTTTTCGCCACCAACGGTGGAGAACCGCACGTTACAGCGCGTCCGCTTCCCAATTTCACTGAACATGGCCGATCCACACACGTCTGTGATGTCGTCAGTGACTTCGAAGTAGCCAAATGCGCCGGATCCGTGCGCGTGAGGGTTTCTTTCGGGGATTCTCTCACGATTGAAATGCGCCAGCGAATCCAAAAGCGTGAAGTCCTGCAGGAGGAGCGGTCCATGCTGTCCCACACGTTGCGTGGCGAATGGCTCGTTGATCGGATTGCCCTGCGAGTTTGTTACAATTCGGTCTTTTCTGACATTTGCAGCGTTTGTAGGATCCTCTTTGCCCATGGTAGCACTCTTGGTCAACACTTGTTTCAGAACACACACGAAAGAATTGTGTTTCTGAAGTGGTTCATCGAAGTGATCCCTTCCTGGTGCCTAGAGTTTGAAGACGCCAGCTTATATACTTGAGGACCTCAGGTCATCAATCGTGATCAGGCTTATCTACCATCTCCAATATTCTGAAACCAAGACGTGGAGAGTGATAAAGTTACCGCATCGGGGCCTTTGAGCCGAGAAGGTCAACAAATATATTCAACTTTATAAAGTTCAAGATTTGGAGAGTTACGAGGCGTGTGGCAGGTAGCGTTAGCGGTGCATCCAGTGTCATTGAGCTGTGATTTGAACGATGGGTTGTTAGAACAAAATTAGTTTTCATTAAGTTTCGGAGTTTGGGATATAGTCACGATACACGAATGACGGACTTCGTAAATTTCCGTACTTCGTAAATTTGCGACAGCTTGGAAAGCTCATGGTATCGATGCGACTAATCTGGCAATACTCAGTCTGCTATTAGCCATCATCTAGTGTGGGTATGTGTGCTTATCCTGCCATGCCGATCTACAAGTTGGTGATTAGTAGGTAAAAAAGTTGGCTACGGTGCTAGCATGTTCTGATGATGGCTACTAAAGCGCAATTCTTAGAGTTGAGACTAACAGATGGCCGCAGAATTCCCAAAACTCCTACGTTGAATACTGCCCTATGATTTATGCTCGCGGCATTGCTCGCACAACTCCATCTCTCTGGACACGTGACTGTATCGTATTGTAATATTGTGTCACTGCCAGTGTCAGCTACTGAAAGTCCCGCAGTATAAGCAGTTGTGAACACAGGAGATCAATTAACTCGTCGAGACTTTTCAGTTACCACTAACGCAACGAGAGTATATGTTCGGGTTTCGCATTTGATCTCGCACCACTAAATCCGCGTTCTTAGCTTTGCAACCGCATACGATATGCATCGACATGAGGAAATCGTTATATGCCTAAGGTAGTATTCAATTCAAAGAGTAGCGCATGCTGATCACTCAAAACTGAACTTGTGCTCAAATTTCTTTCCTCGCTTCCTTCTTCCATCAAAAGCTAATTTGCCCTAAAACTTCGACGATAGTACAGGCAAGTATTATGTTAGGTTTTGTATGTATTACACATACGTGAAAGTTTCAGGCTTTTCATTGAACCCAGACGTGTCGTTTTTTTTCAACATGAGAAGTATAACTTCAGCCAAGGATTGGTAAAGTATCAGAGCGCGGCGCATCGTTAACTCATCAAAAATATGCGCTTCCAAATGAAATGTGCAATCTGTGTCATAACGTCAGTGAAATGATCGTTAATAACTTAATTGAAGTTCCGAAATATATATAAAAAAAACGTAACCCTTACGAAGAATCAATCCTCGCTTCCTCAAATTGAAGCCAGCACTCATCGTGAAGAGGGTGGGTTGTATACACATCTGCCATTGACATTTTATCAATATCGGTGATACAATTTTGCTTTCCCATTTTGACATCAGAATTCTTTTCGATGACGACGGGACACCAATCTGGGCTTATGCGAGTTTGGAACTGAGTGTACAATAGCGCAACGCAAAGTTTCATTTGACAGATTGCCAAATGCATTCCAATACACATACGGTTTCCTTGGCCAAACGTAAAAAGTGCCGAATTCATTGCCTGAATTCTCTTAGAGAACATTTGTTCGGGCTCCCCATCTTCCTTCAGCCACCGTTCAGGTTTAAACTTATCAGGCTCTGATCCAAACACTGGCAAGCGGTGCAGAGTCCAAGGTTGACAAGATACGATTGTGCCCTCTGGAATTTTACAATTTTTCTGACCCAGGGCACACTCAAGGCTATTACCGGGAGGTACAAAACGTGGCTCTAAACCAGGAATCGCCGGATGAAGACGATATATTTCTTGGAGAATCGCATTCAGGATTAATTTTGATTCCAAATCTTTGAATTCTTTGAATCCATCGACGTCCTTTCTCAAGAGTGCTTGCCAATGTGCGTTTGCTGGACGAGATAATTCCCAAAATAGGTACGCTAATGTAGTTCCTGTGGTTTCATGTCCAGCAACAACTTGGTCTGCAATTTCACTTGCAATTGCATTCATTTGCCTTTGGTGTACGGTGTTATTTGAACTCGGATCCTTTATCTCTGGGTCATTTGTAACCCTTGCCTTCGCCTTATCAAACATTAGCTCTATTACTGTTGGAACCGGAAAACCCTCCAAATTTACGTCCTCACCATTTGCTATTGCCTCAGCTGATTGTTCAAACTTATCATACATCCAACCGTAAGCGTTCTCTGTGGAAGACTTTAAACCTTTCAATGTTGATATAATTGGCAAAGCTGTTGGTAATAAGGTAACGTAAAACCATAATGTGTTACTCTGTTGGAAGTCATTGAAAATACTGTGATCCAGGGTTAAATTCTTGGAGCTATGGCTCAATTCTTTCACGAGATCAGTGCTGAACTTGGTTCCATATTCGAACCCTGTAACCACGTCCATTGCCAATGATATAAAAAGAGAGTAGACATCGACGTTCGAATTAGGGCCAATTTTCTTAACGGTTTCACTTACAGCGTCAACTTTACTTCTTATGAAGTTCTCGGAGGATAAAATGGAAGTTTTCGAAAACAATTTTTGAAGGGGACGCTTCTTTGAAAGGTGTGTCGCATTGTCACCAGTACTGAACATGTTATGTTCACCGTAGACTGAAAATTGGGAATAGAACCCAGTTGTACGAATACCATTCTTGATGTATTCCTTAGGAAAGTTTCTCAAATAAACCTTTTTCATCAAGTCTTGAGAGTTGAGTGATACCTCTTTAGGCCCGATCATAACCACTGGTCCATATTTTGCATGAAGCTGCTGGAGCTTGGTGCTCCGTCTCTCAAGGCGAGTATCATTCAAAATGAGTACGCTAGAAAGCTTGTAAAGCCAGGGCCCGGGGACTTTCTGTCTAATAAGCTTATTAAACAATAAGGGGTATAAAACATAATTGTACAGGAAGATGCTGATACTAAAAGCTGCAACTAAAATCACAATCATCGCAGTGTGCTTGGGCAGTTTTTGAGATGGATGACATTGTTTGACTCAAGAATTTTGTTCTTCTTTTATTTGAGTCTAAGAATTACCTAGGTTGCATAAGTTTACAAATGAAATATGAATCAGCTTTGATAAAAAAACCGCATATGATCGTGCGCCAACATAGTGCTCGTACAATATATATTTTATCGGAATTTGATCTACTTACAAGTATCAGACACCAGATACCGGTGAGGCTTCCAAAGTGCTTGCAATCGAGATGCGGATACGTGCTTTTTATGTAAATCTATGTGTTTAAGAGGCATCTAAGATCAAGGGTCAGAGCAAATCTCGTTAACAGATGAAGGAAACAAAATCAGTAATCTGGACTGAAGATTAATACCAATTTATAAATGTCGTTCCGAGGTTCACACGAGACAATAACGTCGTTGTAATAATTTACTGATATGTTTTACCATTGGAAGACGTCGTTAAACAAAGAATTTAATGTCGTATGTTGAGAAAAAACTTGGCTTGTCACATAGCTACCGTCAGACCTTCCTCTTAAACATTTTAGTATTATCGAAAGAGTAATCAAGTCATATGTCGCCCTGGTACACTTTAGCATGCCCAACAAATTTTGAAGTTGCGAGGGTCGAAAAATTTTGAGATAATAGATGTTTTGATATTATGCACCTGTTCTTATTTAATCATTATCAAGGGTTCATATAGTTGTGAAGCTTATTTGAGAACCTTACCGTCTGCAATTTCATGTTCTTTGCCTCCAATGACGACAGGCTTGTCCCAACTCCACATATTCTCGATAAAATCCTTGTCTTCTTGCTTGGAAGAGTCTAATTTGGTGTACTCGTAGGATTCCCAGTCGGGAGCGACATCAAAGGCAGGAACGGGGTCTTGGCCTCTGAGCAAGACAGCACCGGTGATACCGTTGTTGTTGTTTTCTCCGTAGACGACTAAACAGCCGAACATGTACTTGATGGATCCGCTCAGTCTGTTGAAAAAACCCGCGATTTGGTTGTTGGACATGAAGGTCAACGTCAACTCATCGTTGTACTTGAAGTCCACTTTCCAAATGGTGTATTCTTCGGGATTGTAGTGTTCCCAAAACCAAGGCAACGCAACAGCTCTTGTATCCTCATTGGAATATTTGCGCTTCCAGTCATCTAATGGAAAGGTAGCTTTGCCGAGAGTTTCTAGAGGGTGTTTTGGCTTCTTTTGCTCAGCTGCCTGTTCTGGAACCGCTGGTGCTGGAGTCGCTTTAGTCTTCTCCGCAGGTGCTGGAGCCTTAGCATCCTTTTTTGGATGTTTTTTCTTGTTGTTCTGAGGAGGTTGTAAAGGAGTGTCACATTCCTTGTGATCAACGAAAAACTCCTTCAAGTAGGGACTAGCCTTTACTGTATTATACCACCTCATAATTATTGGGTGGGCAGCACGCCACTCAGAACCAAATACGTACTGGAATCCTCTCGCAAAAATACTAGTAGCGAAAAGATCAGCCAGCGTAATATCTTCGGTAACCAAATAAGTGTGCTCAGAGAGTCTCTCCTCAAAAACCGAGACTATTGTGGCGACCTTTGCAGCAGCAGCATCTACAGAAGGCTTCACATATGGTGTTTGGCCTAACAAGGGTCTGAATTGCTTCACTAATTCGACTAACAAATCATTATTAGCGAACGACAACCATCTCAAAACTTGAGCTTTTTGTTGTATATCGGCGCCGGCCAATTGTTCCTTGGCCTCAACATCAGGAAGCAAATTCACCAAGTAGGTCATAATGGCAATGGTCTCAGTCAACTTAGAGCCATCAGGTAGAATAAACCCTGGAACTTTCTTTAGGGGAAAGTCACGAGCAAATAATTCCGGGTCATCTTCTGGAGCCACAATCTTGATATCAAGCTTGAATTGTTTGATAATAGCCTGGGGAACCCAGGTTCTAATTCTAAAGTTTCCGTATAAAGTACCTTGAGACATATTTATCTGGTGATATACGAAAATAGTGAAGTTATTCCAATTAACTCTTTTTTAAATAAGTGATTCATTTATAAGATTATCGAGAATTAGAATTCCAGCTTTTACGTTTACAGTGATAAATTTGTTTTGCGTGTCTCAGTTAGACAGAGTGACATGAAATAGACTTTGATCGTTAATCAACGATTCAGCAGTTGATACACATTCCGAAGATTGTCAGCTTTACGTCAGCTTTCACAATGATGAGGCAAAAGGCCAAGATTTTTTTTTGTCCCTACATGTTGCTCCAGGCCGTGAACTGCACATATACCAAGCGAATTCTGCCCAACTTTTTAAGCACCCTTGTACCCTCTGTCCTGTAACTGCAAATTCGTATAGAGGTTAAAGTGATGCACATTATCATAATATTAGGTATTCAGATTAATGACGCGATATATCGCATGTGCTGGTTGAAGGCATCTCTGAGCTCAAATCCATCGATGAGAACATTATTTAGTCGCTTTAATCAATTAAAGTCTGGAATTTGACAACAGTGACAACTCATTGAAAGAAACACACGAGCCCCCGCATGCAATTACAACTATAACATCATCTTCAGTCAGGTCGCTGCCAAGAGCAGTCTGCAGTTGATTTGGATGGTAGCATAGATGTAAAGAAGCACCACACGCCGGCTCGGTAATAATACCAGAGTCGTCAGTAAACTTCATGCACGTCTCCAATACTTCGCTGTCCTGAAGAACAACTGACTTGCTTTCATATTTCTTTGCGCTATCAAACGCAAAAGATGCTATGTATGGAGAACCCAAAGAGGAAGCAATGCTGGTTATCTTATCTAGTGTGACAGGACTACCATTCGCCAGTGATTTAGCAAGCACGTCGCATCCTTCTGTTTCAACCGCAACGATCGGAACTGTTTCTGCCAAATGCTTGTTTTCCAAGCCTTTCACAATACCACTGAAGAGACCACCACCCCCTACGCTGCATACTATGCCTTTTAATCTGGACAAAGGTATCTCCTGCTGTTCTAATTGCTGCACAATTTCATCCACAATTGACGAGTGGCCCTCCCACACTGTTTCATCATCGAATGGATGAACGTACAACGTTTCGAGACCACACGCTCTTGCTTCCACCATTACCTTTTCTCGAAGGTACAGGTCTGCAAGGCCCCAGTGATCTCCATGTACGATTACCGTTGCACCTGCGCTTTTGATCTTCTCAATCATTCTATGTTTCGTTAGTTTAGGCACAACTACAGTGCAGCCGAGTCCTATCGATTTAGCCGCAGTAGCTGCTGCTAGACCTGCATTACCGCCAGAGCTGGTGTAAACTGCCAACTTGTTCTCGCCATTCTTTTCCAAATCGTTTTTTCTCTTGGCCTTCGCAATTAAATGACTGATACCTCGAGACTTAAAGCTGCCACCCGGTTGTAGCATTTCGTACTTGAGGTACATCTTTGGCCCCTTTTCTTTATTATTGAATTCGCGATGGATAAGGGGCGTCCTCACGTAACTCATTTGGCTTATGACTTTGTAGGGAATTTGAAATGGGTATCGTGATGATATTGCAAAACGTCAGGTCAATGTTTCCGGCTTTTTGAAAGGTTCTCCGACTATGACACCACGCATAGATGCTTGCTCAATAATTCACTTCCGTGTCCAATTGTCAAAGAGCTTGTCTGATAGGCTTGAATTAAACTGTTCGTATGTCGTGCTATTTTTGTTAAAGATAAGACCTCGAAGTTTAATCGGAAGCGAAGGTGTCTCAGAATGTGAGTCTGTCAAATTAAGTCATCGACAGTTGAAGTGAACGAAACCCAATCAAACGGATCTCGCTACCATCTGGTAGAGAGACGTAGGCTTCTCAAAGCAGTGCCGTGCGAGATGTAGCTCAAGACTGATTTAGCCCTCGTTTCTCTCAAACGCTCAAGAACAAAACATACACAGCGACCTCTTGCAATAAATTTGCTTCGGTCATTTGCGCAATGCGAGTCATTAAGGACATTTAGATTGAGTACATTTTAATCAGCGGAAATGTAAAACCAACTTCGAGGGCTGCGGCTCACGAATCCACGCTCACCGCTAGTCTCTCCACAGCCATCATTAAAAATTGTGTTCTTCATCACTGTGAACATTTTCGGCCATACAATAGCATTCCTGACTTGCCACATTTTGACATTCAAAGGCCGTCCATATAAATTCACAGCGCCGCCTAACTTACTTCATCAACGAAGCTCCCGTTACATCGAAAGAAGTAATGAAACACAACCTGAAAGAAAGAAAATTGCCAGATTGTTTCTGGAGGTCCGCAATAAAGAAGACATAACGGAACCTTTCTTTCCAAACTCAATTCACGCTCCGTTACCTCTTGCGCAAGACGCTACACACGCTACACACGAAATACACGATAATGACCATCACCAAGGTGGTAGCCGCAGTTACGAGCCGAGCAGATAAGAGTAAACCAAGTATGTCAAGTTCAACAATCTTAGACAAAGAGGGATATATACCTAAGTGGGAGATATTAAAGATGCTTTGTTGTAGGTTAACCTCAAGAGGGCGACGCTCGTTTTGCTTTGATCGTACATAGGTATGTCAAATACTAACATCAACCGTTTTCCTAACTGTAGATAAACTATCGACAGTTTGAATCACTCAGGAGACGTTGCATTGTTCGTTAACTAGTCCTCTAACAACATTTGCTAAAATTGGTGTTTTTGTTAGTTGCCTTGATATACAACTATTTGCAATCTCGACGCGAAAGTTTTGAGGCTCGAACAATACAAAGGAAATTGACACCTGCTTATAAGAATAGAGCGTTGGTCTAGCTCCTTGAAGAGCCCTGAGTTCATATCCGATCATGAGTTCGAAACCTGGTTCCACAAAGGTTACCGAATCGGAGCCCACTGATAAAGAAAATCGCGAAAGACTGAGGAGATTGGGAATGCAGTGTGTGTCTCCAGGGTTTGGAAAAATGGACAATCGGATGTTCTCCACAATCCAACTGTCCAAGGACATCGCTAAAGAGCAGAAAGAAGTAATTCAGAAGCTCAGCACTCGTCAAAGCGACGTTTTCAAAAACTCCGAATCCGGCGACGAAGCTACAGTTAAACAAGTGGTCGAATCTAATCAGGAATCGGAGCCCTCAAGCGTAGGAAATTTCCAGGATTCTTCCAGCAAAAAGAGTTCGAAATCGTTAAAACGCTCTCGAATCCCGCCACCACTCGATATCGATTCAAGCGCCACTAACGAGGACTACACCAAGTCCAGGAACAATGCCACATCTGCACGAGGCACTAGTAATCGCTTCATGGGTGCTAGAAGCGCCCCAGCCCATATTACACGCTACCCAAGAGGAAAGTCCAAGGTACAATACCTAGGTCGAGTCAACGATTTGGAATCGCACCTTAGGAAAAAACCTAAGGTGCAACCAAGTTGGCAGCCCATGGCAAACGCGCCTTTTACCCCATATGCATACTACCCGCCCCCAAACACTGCTATGCCCTACCATATGGGCTATGCGCCATACCAAAATGCATACCAAACTCCATACATGATGGCTCCAGTTCCATACGCCATGATGCAGCAATCATCTTACGCAGACCCACCAACACGTTCAACTTTGCAGCGAGATTTTGAGGCCTACCGTAGTCAAAACCCTGGCGTTGGTACTCGTGATTTATTTGGTAACAACGAAAGCCGCTGGGCTCCAATTCAAGCCCAACCCCAAAGTGCTAGAGACGAATTCTTTGGGTCTCGTGTGCGACAGCCACCAGCTCGAAGTTCCGCCGGAAACAAACGCTCAGAGGCTTCCAAAAGCTTTGACTCGCCCAACCGTAGATGCGATAGTGACAACGAAGAGGTAGACTTGGCTATCGAAGACGGTGCTGAACCCACAAATGGTCTTACTGATACACCCACCGATCGTGTGACATGTGCGAGTGCGAACAAGAACCCACTCGAGGCTACCATGGCAGGGGAACTACGGCTGCAGCAAGAGTCTTTCGCTTTCTCCTTCTCGCTGCTGGAATCCGCTACAGACAAGAAAATGTTCATGTCAATTTGCGACAAGGTGTGGGATGAATATCAGGTCTTGGCGCAGCGCGAGAAGCCTTAAAAATGGCATTTGTAACTGCATATAACGTTGCTAACCACGCAATGAAATCGAGCTTCCATAAATACTGGATAAACGTCCAGTACAATGCTTTACGTGGACATTGGATTCTGGCGCCGTCTGGTTCAATTGTATCACTATTGACGAAATAAACAGCCAAGTCCAATTTTTCAAGTTTCCCGAATCAAGAGTATCAAGAACCCAACCTGAGAACAACACGGCGGAAGCGAAGCAATATCTGCTCAGAAAAAGTCGAATTAGACATTTTGTCAGCACTGAAAGGCAGTTATCTTGAGCCAGTTTTAGTTGAAGGGTCTTCAGCAATCATTTCAGTTCTGCCAACGACTTTATTCATCGAGCCATGACTCTCGCTATGTGGTCGTACCGGCTTCGCAAAACACCGATGTTCGCTTTAGTACTGCCCATAGGACTGCTGGTGGTGTTGTTTTGGGTATTCTTCAGCAAGGAGGAGTCTTTGCTGGGGCTAGAGGGCTCTTCTATTGCCACGCACAAGTGGGCACACGAAAACGAAAAGACATTTTATTTCCCATATGCTCGGAAGTTTAAGAATGCTAAGTATTCCTACAAGAAGAAGTCGAATTGGCTATTTAGTGACACTGTCGAGGATAACATTCCAGCGGGCCACATCACGCATTTCGATCTCAACAAGTTGGAGTCCACCGCTAACGCGGCTGTCAATAAAGAGCAAGTTTTGATCTTGACACCAATGCAGACTTTCCACGAAGAATATTGGAGCAACCTTCTACAGATGACCTATCCCCGTGAGTTGGTCGAGCTTGGATTCATTATTCCAAGGACTAAAAGTGGAGATAACGCGCTTCGCAAGCTCGAGACAGCCGTCAAACAGGTTCAGGTAGGTAAAAAAGAGCAACGTTTTGCCAAGATCACCATTCTCAGACAAGATTCACAAAGTTTCGATTCGCTATTAGAGAAAGAAAGACATGCCCTTAAGGTTCAGAAGGAAAGGCGTGCTGCTATGGCGCTGGCTCGTAACGAGCTCCTGTTTTCAACTATCGGCCCACATACCGCATGGATCTTGTGGATGGATGCCGACATTATCGAAACTCCTCCCACTGTAATTCAGGACATGACGGCTCATGATAAAGCCATTTTGGCTGCCAACGTTTACCAGAGGTACGAGGATGACAAGACTGGTACTAAGCAAATCCGTGCCTACGATTTTAACAATTGGGCTGAAAGTGATATTGCTCTGCAAATGGCTGCTAACATGGCCGATGACGAGGTCATTTTTGAAGGTTATTCCGACATCGCTACTTACAGACCTTTGATGGCATATCAGTATGATGCTAATGGCGCGGCCAACACCGAGACCAAGCTTGATGGTGTTGGTGGTGGATGCACGCTAGTAAAGGCGGAAGTCCATAGAGATGGTGCCATGTTCCCAAGTTTCCCATTTTATCATCTAATCGAAACTGAAGGATTTGCTAAAATGGCGAAAAGATTAGGATACGAAGTTTTTGGTTTACCAAACTACTTGGTATATCATATTGAGGAGCACAATTAGATACGCTTTGAGATTGTGGAGATTGTTTTGCATATATAAAAGATCGTAGCTCTCTCGACAACAAAGGTCAAACAAACTGTTGTATGTATATAACCTACGTTTCTCTCTATTATTATAATGATACAGAAGATTAATCCCCTTGGTAGAGCTAATTGTAAATTCCTCTGTGATACTCATCCATATCAAGAGTTGCAGAAACGCGTACTCCCACGTTTGGTGAGTGTTTCGTTTTCTTGATCATTTGAGTCACTTTCTCTAGATCTAATTCTAGGTAGTCAGCCATGAATTGACCAATTTCAGTGTTTTCGTGGTTTCCTTGCAAATGATCTATAATATTGTACCAAGTTTTTTGGCGATTCGCATAAGCATATATGTTGACATCCACAGCACTATGGCCATGGGTTGTCCAACCAACCCGAGCTCTCGTAGATATCATCCCATTCAGTTTATCGTTAATCTCGCCAGTTGATGTGAGCTTGAGAAGCTCATTCGTGTCTTTCTCAGTGTAGTCGCTGATACCCAAATACTGTTCGAAAATAGCCTTTTCAATAAACTCTGACTTGTTGTCACCCTTGAACTCCAAGAGCTCTTTGCTCAAAAACTCACCAGAATGGTGCGCGTCACTCAAGACTTGAGGGTACCAAACATACTCGGGATACGCTTTAGAGACTTGCTTAGCAGTAACAAGACCACCAGTTTCGTGGTCGGACGTTGATATCAAAATAGTCTCAACATCACTGTCTTCAGCGTATTTCAATACTGCCTCGAACGCCTTATCAAAAGCTAACACTTCACGTACTTGCGCAGCTGGGTCGTTTTGATGGCCCGCATGATCAATTCTCGAACCTTCCACCAAGAGAAAAAATCCCTTGTCTGAATCTTTAGTAGCTTCTGACAACGCATTGATTGCTGTCATAGCTTCTTCCTCTAATGAGGGATATTCCGAGTCTTCGCGGTCCAAATCGAACGGGATATCGTAATCCGCTAGTAGTGCGAGCAAAGGCAAACTAACATTGTGTCCTTGATCCAAAGAATCAAATTCTTTACGGTTACCCACATAGCTCCAGCCATCAGCCACAGCTTCTTTTATGAGATTACGGCCGTCAGCACGACTACCACGCGAGCCATAAACAGCATCTTGATCTGAATAGAAGTGCGTTCTACCGCCACCAATAATTAAATCCACCATTCGGCCAAGGGGATAGTCGCCTAATTGCTGCTGAGCAATTAAGTCTTCCTGAAAGCGATAATCGACGTGAGAGCTGAAGGCTGCCGGGGTAGCGTCGGTGATTCTGGTAGTTACTACCAGCCCAGTTAGATACCCTTGAAGCTTGGCAGCTTCCAACACTGTGCCACAAGGTTGCTTCTCAGGATCGACTCCAATGGCACCATTGTAACTTTTCAAAGCGCACGAGAAAGCTGTAGCACCCGCCGCAGAATCCGTGATCAAGGAACTAGATGACATTGTTCTCGAAGATCCGACTAGATGATGATCCAACACCAAAATGTCATCTCTCGTAAGATTCTGAGTAAACTGTCTGAAAGATCTTGTGAGCGAGAGAGACGCAGGGCCCATTCCGTCTGTGACGAAGAAGATGACGTTCTTCTTGGATGGCTTCCTCGACCAAAGTCGGTCCCAGGAGCTTTGAACAGGAGACAATGAAGCCAAAATCAAACTGGTAAGCACTAGTGCGAACAAGATGTGGACTATGTTGCGTACTTTTTTATTTGATGTTTTCAAGCCATTTTGTTTGGAGATATGTTTTTCCATGGCTAGCGACGAGCGTGTACTCAACACAATTGAGGTTGCCAATAGTCGTTTGAGCTGTTAATTTGTGAAATCGACAAATTGATAGGAAATATAGTCTTTTAAATTAAGACAGTCCGCGATGGTCGCGGGAGACGGGAAGCTCAAAGACAAATACGCAGGTTGTGTTCCAACAAGTCTAGCATCAGCGTCTTCCTTGTAGCAATCTTAAGCACTATGAAATGAGTATTGCAGTTCTACAGTAGGCCACTTCTCCTAATATTTTTCACTTGTACAGGGGTGGCTTGTTAGCTTTATTTCTTCTGAGTCGTACCAAAATCCACTCTGCAGCCTCTTTAACACCGTCCCGCGTCAAAGCACTGATCGGGAGCACGCGGCTGTCCCTGGCGCCCAGATGCTCTGCGATTTTGTTGAATACCTCTTTTATGTCCTGCACCTCCATTCTATCTTCTCGATCTTGCTTGTTCGCCAGCATAAGTATAGGTATGCCCTCCACATCTTCATTGGTCACAATGGTCCTCAGCGTCTGATAGCACTCTTCAAGTCGTTCGCGGTCGGTGCTATCGATTACAAATATGATTCCGTGTGCTTGGCGAAAGTACTCTGGCCAAAGCGCCCTCAATGATTCTTGCCCCCCAACGTCCCAGAATTTCAATACGCTTGACTCTACCGGTATGGTCGCAACGTTTTGGCCCACGGTGGGCGTTATTTTCTCGGGCGCTTTTGAACTCTTGGAGTATTCCTTCTTAAGCATCTCTAAAAAAGTAGTCTTTCCAGCATTGTCAAGACCCAGTATAAGAATTGAGTACTGCTCCCTTCGATTCCAGTTAGCGTATAGTCCTTTTGCAAGGTGGAACATTATTTAGAAGGTGTATTAGCTGCGTTTATACTGCTTATCGGGCTTTTCTAGTAGTAAACAATTTAGCGCGATGAGATCAATTTTCTCGATGGCTTTTACTATAATGATATATATCGCTAACGCTAACAGAAACCATCTAGTGGCGATGTAAACTGATCGTGACCCATCAAAGCATTGTCCAGCAACTGTGGGTAAACAGTAGATCATTTACAACAATCAATTGTGTCCAAGAAGTTTCTCGTTAAAGTGAGAGGGCCAGGAGCGCGACACTCAACAAGACCGAACGTGCCAGAAGTTCTGAGTTCTATCTAGCAGAACCAAAAAGCCGATTTATTCGGTAGCGTGCCGGGCATAGTGACTCTCAATGAAAACTAGTAGTGCCCGATTTTCAGGACATGCCTAAATCACGCTTGTTGTGCAATATTTCAGCTGGCATTCTAGTACCCTCAAGCCGGTTGTAAGCATGAGTGGTTAAATGCCCTTTTGGAGTCTTTCTGAATTTGCTTGAGGGGCTTTTTTAACGTTTTTCAGCTTCTTTCTCTTTGTCATCGTTTTTATGTCTTTTTCTTCGGGACACATAGGCTCCTCGCACTTTCTCATCTTCTTGCTCCTTCTTCCATTCCGCTGCTAGCTTTTCCCGATATTCGTGGCACTTAGCATCAATTGCAGCGTCATCCAGCTCATCGTTGTCCTCTAACTTATCGCGATACTCAGACACACGTAGTTCCACTTCTCGCTGACTCAAATGCTCCAAGATGCTCTTATCCTTGCGGATCGGTTTAAACTTACTCTTGGTGTGATCTTTGGATTTCTCTATGCGATTTTGAAAGTTCTTGACGTTCTTTCGGTCTTTGTTCAATGCCAATGACTGCTGAATATGACCGGACGTTGACGAACCCTTGGCGCTTTTGAGCCCTATACCGTTGAAAGACATAAGCGCAACGAGCCCACGTTGATACCTGACAAGATAACAGCTGATTCAGAGGTGATGAGATCTTCGATCACTTTCAAACTTGAGTAGAGTCGTACATTGTTGCAGAGATACGGCACGTGAGAGATTCCATTTTAGATTCCATGAAATAAATACAAGATGTCGATTTATATGACCCCCAATAAACTTTCCTTATCGCAACAGTAATATTGCTCGATATTTCAACTTTATATATTATGTATTTCGTCGTCATTCCACATCGATTTTTGAGGTTCTGATGTGCTCCATTAATTTTTCAAATTGTACGGGATAGAATTTTGCGATGCCCGCAGCTGGCGTTCGCAAGCCTGTTTAGTGCATAGTTACTACCAAAAATCAATGATGTGCACCGCTTTCGTTTCTTCCAATTTTGTGGGTCAAGAATTTCTTTTGCTTGAACCCTCAACCGAATTTGCAGGAAACTGCACAATGCTATCTATATTGAATTCTCTTTCAACATTCAAATTCGACGACGACGTATCTTTCGTCAGAAAACATGGTACATTCCACCGATGTCAAGGACTCTAAGGCCTTGAACCTATCTTCGTTTGGTACAACTCGTCCCCCCAGCCAATTCAAATTTCGGAGCAGCTCTCTAATCCCCTGCACATCCCGCGATAAATTCAATCGCAGCCATACGAGCCCCAAAGTCGAGGCATACTCCATCAGGGCCATGAGCAGCGGCTTCACTCCATCCCGAATATCTTGCATTAACACGACTTGCAGCCGCGTCGCGTCATTTTTGCACCATATACAACCTGTGTACCAGTCCGGGAAATAAAGAAGCGTGTATGAAAGCCCTATAAGTCGCCAAGGTGCCTTTTGGGCCCAGGTGGATTGCATCTTATGTCCTCCATCGTGAATGGTGAGCGTTTTACCCACCTCTCGTACCACGAGCCTCTGGAAGCTGGTGTAATCTTGGTAACTTGGGTCGAGAAACCCACTTTCCGTTAGCAATATTGCATCCCAATAGAGCTCCCTGAGCTGCGCTCTGTCAGCTGTGATTTTCAAAGCGGTGTCACGGACACCACTCGTCACAGCCCTCCAGCAAAGTGTAATAGTAGAATGTGGGGTCTATCGTCGGTTGACGTTTGATTAGACTCTGAATGTCAAACTTAACCGCAACGCATTTCGTATGCGGTTGTTCTAGAAGGTTGCGCACGCGTTTCGTGGCCAATAACTGTAGCAGTCGGGACTCTTTTTTGCTTAGATTCTGCATTGGATATAGTTGATAAGTAGTGTGTAGACCGAATCCCAAATTGACACATCCCGCATTAAATTTCGTGTGGAGGCAGCTGTGCCAAAATTCTAAGAAACTTACAATAAAGAACGTTTGAAGACTACCTCATCTTTACAATGGCTACTGCGATGTCGAAGGGGGATTGTAGTTTACTTTGGGGCCCTTTCTGCAAAATTGTTTCCGCGGTGGAATAGCGATATTTTTAGCAGGTCGAGTCTCCCAATATTTGTTCACAAGTGCTACTGTTTTATGTACGCTTGTTGTATTGAGCCCTGGAGACACACAAATTTCTTGACTACAAAAGTTTTCTTTGCCAAAGACTCTCGATTGCATGTCAGATTAACCTTTGATTAATCATATCTGCTGTCGATAACCCAATCCTTCAACAGATTACGCGAGAGCAGAGGCCCTTAATGGATAAGCATATGTGAATCACCGACATATCCCATGTCCGAAGGCGTCTCAGACCCCGAAATTATCTTGGCATCTATATAATCGATACTTTCTCAGAATAAAATTGAGCGGTCGGAAACCCATTGAGTTATGTCGCTTGGCTTTCGCTTGGCTTTCGCTTGGCTTTCGCGTAGCCCAGTAACTTTTTTTATCATCTCGAGGCATCACATCTTTACTGAAACAAACTGCATTCTTGTGCCTTTGCTGCTATTCTTGACTCATTAAGGGCGCGATTTCACTACCAGGTACACTTATCTACGAGAGCTTGAGAGCAACTGCCTAGTCGCATTTCATCGATGCATTGTTAGGTCTGGATGCCATAAGTCAATCGATAAACTTACTCTCTTCTTTCTCCATCTATGTATTTTCGCGTTCGGACATTTGATAATGCCAATTTTTTTTCAAAAGCCAAGTGGACAATTTCCCAATTCTCCTGAACAAACTTCACTTGGTCAGTTCAAGATCCTTTGCAAAACTCCGACAAATACCCCCTGGCAATTCTTTGTTAGAACGCACATATTGAGCCTGGCTAGCGGTTTGAAAAAATGGCGATCAGAATCAGCAAGAGGCTGTTGAAGGTAGTTTTATTGGTGAGTTTGGTGCTAGGAATTTTTGGGCTGGTGCTTCATACCACGGAAAATGAAAGCGCACTTTACTATGCTGACAAGGCCAAAGATATAGTAGATAACCAGGTGAACAAATGGACGACTGACGCGGCCAAGAAGGAAGAAAACGAAAGGAAACAGGCTGAGCACGAGGCTGAAGATGGTAAACACCGGGAAGAGGTGCCCTTGGACGCTTCAGCAAAACAACTCTTGAGCGCTGCGGACGCCGCTAAAGAGCAAGAAGTTGTAGGTGACACATCAGCGTCAGAAGATACTAAAAACGCCACGATTAAAGCAGCTTTCGTGTCTCTCGTTAGAAACACCGACTTACCGTCGATCATTGAGACAATCCGGAACTTGGAAGACCGCTTCAATAAAAAATTTAACTACCCGTACGTCTTTTTGAACAACGAACTGTTTACTGACGATTTCAAATCGGCCATTAAGAATGTTATCTCATCTGAAGCCCACTTCGGACTTATCCCCAAGGAACACTGGTCATATCCAGACTGGATTAGTGAAGAGAAAGCTGCCTACGTAAGAGAAACTGCTGACTACATTTATGGTGACAGTGAGAGCTATAGGCACATGTGCCGCTTTGAGTCTGGGTTTTTTTGGCAAAATGAATTGCTAGATGATTTTGACTGGTACTGGAGGGTTGAGCCGGACACCAAATTGCATTGCGACGTCGACTATGACGTTTTCAAGTTTATGCGTGACAACAATAAGCAGTATGGTTTCACGGTCTCCATCAAGGAGTTTGAAGTTACAATTAAAAGTTTGTGGGACACTACTAAAGCTTTTATCCAGAAACACCCCGAATATGTCGACAAAAATAACATGATGGACTTCATCTCGAACGACAAAGGTAAAAGCTATAACCTGTGTCATTTTTGGTCCAACTTTGAAGTTGCTAATCTCAATTTCTGGAGATCTGATGCGTACAGGAAATATTTTGACTATCTAGACAGAGCTGGTGGCTTTTTCTACGAGCGCTGGGGTGACGCTCCAGTTCACTCGATTGCTGCTGCACTCTTCCTGCCCAGGGACCAGATCCATTATTTCCCAGACATAGGCTATTTTCACGCCCCGTACAATAATTGCCCATTGGACAATGACATCTGGAAAAAAGGTAAGTGCTCGTGCGAACAGGACATGGACTTTTCATTTCAACCATACTCTTGTACCAACGAGTATTACGAAGTAAACAAGATGAAGAAACCTGCGGGATGGAAAAAGTTCAGAACTTGAACGGAACTATATTCAAATCCAAAACTCTATTTTGCTGGTGCAAAAGAGAGTGCTCAATAATAGCACATTATTATCTGCTGATATATCAGGAAAAAATCTATGTTCGTTAACGTATCATAACAACAAGTGTGTAGCTAAGTAGTCCTGTGTAACCAGAATGGCTGGTTTGACTTCTAGTACTTCAAGCTTTCACGTGATATCAAACGATTGAAACATACAAATTTGTTAAACATTGGAAGACTTAAGCGCCTTCATCGACAACAAGCTTGAAAAGTAATTTTTGACTTTGACTAGTTTTTTTGTTGATCACAATGTATGAAAAGCCGAAGAGATACGTTCCGGGACCTGGCGAGCCTGCTTTGCCTCCGCAGCTGTCAGAATTTCAAAATAAAACTACCGACGAAGTGCTCGATGAGCTGAATCGTATGCCGTTTTTCATGAAAACACTAGACGATACCGATGGTGAAGGTGGCGAGAATGTGAAACTGGAAGCGCTCAAAGCTTTAGCTTACGATGGTGAGCCACACGAAGTTGCCGAAAATTTCAAAAACCAAGGCAATGACCTTTACAAAGTAAAACGCTATCGCGAAGCTCGGGAACTTTACAACAAAGGTGTCGAAATCGAATGCAATGTCGCCGGAATCAATGAATCACTATATTCCAACCGTGCAGCTTGCGAACTGGAATTGAACAACTTCAGGCGTTGCATTAACGATTGTAAGCTGGCCCTTCAAATCAATCCGCAAAATATCAAGTGTTACTATCGTGTAGCCCGAGCATTCCACAGTCTCGGTAATTACGATGAAGCCAAGCAAACCTTGGAATTTGGACTGCAATTGGACCCTGGAAATGCAGCCCTGAATGCTCTGCAAGCGAAAATCATACAACGTGAGGAAGAACGCAAAGCATATGAAGCTAACAAACTCAAAGAGCAAAAGGAAAGAGAACGTTTGAAAACCTTGCTAGACGCTTCTTTGATTCTTCGAAACTTCAAAAACATCGATACTGTTAGCCCGCCAGAACTGCTTAACGAAGCAAAACTATACTTGGAGGATAAGCAAGACGTGCAGTCCCAGCTCATATTCCCAGCTATGGTGTTCTATCCCACAAGCGATGAATTCGATTTCATTGCGACGGTTGGAGAGCTAAGTACGCCAGAAGACCTTCTGGGCGTTCTACTGCAAAGGCCCAAAGAGTGGTTTGATCAACCAATTCACAAAGATTTTACTCCCAAAAAGTTAGTCGGCTACATGGAAACCGAAGCTGGGGGACTAATAAAGATAGGTAAGAAGGTGAATTTTCATGAAGTCTTGAAAATGCAAAAACCTGTTGTTCCATTGTTTGATAGATCCTTGAGAATATATTTTGTCCCCAAAAATCAAAGTGAAGACTGGCTATCAAGGTGGGATAAAACTGAGGCTTTAAAAAAACGTTAATAGTAGAATTGATTCATTTTATTTTTTTTCTTTTATGTAGTATATAAAGTATGCCCGATTTTAGTAGACTAATTATTCCAAGCTTTCGACTCAGGAGCTGTACCTTGAATTGATCTCGACAACGATTGACGAGATTTTAACTTAGAAAGTCTCGAGTTTTGGAAAATTTCGTCTGTATGCAAAGGTGGTATTGGTCCGAAAATCTTTTCGGGGTCCCAATTTTGTTGAGCGAGTAATTGCTCCTGTAAGAATGGTGATTGAGCCCATGGTGCCAAAATGGATTTCTCCTCGGCGTCCGAATCAGAGTCAATGTCAGGAAGAGTAGTGTCTCCTGCGTTTGTTTCTTCTTGTGCCCCGTTAATCATTTGTCTGTGATCTGTGGAGTTCAAGTCGTAGAGAATGGTATTTCTAGGTTTATTGGCACTATTATTTTCTGCACTATCAAACCCAGAGTAAAAGCTTTTCGTAGTTTTGTATATGTCACAGTCTTGTATTATACGCGACTTTCGCTTTTTTAGGTCCTCCTCGATATTTGATTTTCTCTTCAGGATCTCATGGTGTCTTTTCTGATGTTCTTTTTGGCTTCGCATAACTTCAGATAACCTCTTATCCAACTTCTTCTTGACATCTTGTTTTTCCGATCCCGCCAGCGGGGGAAGTTGAAATTTGGTTAATCTGTCTTGTGCTTGTTTAGGTTTTAAACTATTACCTTGCATGTTATCATCCGATTCCTCCATCACACAGTCGACAAGTGAGATTCTTTTACGTCCTACAGCATTTAATTGCTTGTCGGGCTGTGATGCTTTTGCTTTCTGTGGATTAGCGTTAGGAATCGGAAGCTCGCCGTTCAAACTGTCGTGGCGAGAAACGCGTGTTTTCTTGTGATTTGCATTAAGGTCATTGAAAGGTTCAGAGGGTGTTGTACTATGATTTTCATTGAGCCTTTTCGTTCTTGCGTATGACGAGCTTGTAACTTTCTTGGAAGGCGAGCTTTCAAAATTGTTATTTGAAGCACCATGACCGAAATTACCGAGGAGCCCTCCTACAGTGGAATTTGGGGACACAGCTGTGCGACCACTTAGTTTTGGTATCAGAGAGCTTCTTTTAGTTGCAGATACAGGTGGTATTGAGGCACTCTCAGGGTCATTATGTGACTTCTTGCTTTGCGGCAACATTGGTATTTGCGAATCGAAGATATTTTTCAATGTTTCTTGAATGCTACGATTAGTGTGATCCACTTTCGGGGACTTTCGTTCCTTCGGAGAGCCGGTGATGTCCCTGTAACTTAACCTGCTCGGTTTCATTTTTTTCGACTCTCTGATAGGACTTCTGCTGGAAGCTTTGTTGTCAAAGGACCTGGTGGATTTGGAAGAAAGGCGATCAAATACATTATTAAAGGTAGGCCTAGTACTTTTGGTTGCGGAATGTGTATTGCTGACCGTGAGGTCTAGGTTCTTAGTGCTGTAGCCATCATCAGGTTTTTTCAATGTACCAGAGTTGCCCTTGGGCGGGAAGGACGTACTTGTTGTAGAATGAAGTATTAGGGGGTCTTTGTCAGGCAAAGGCACAAACATATTAGATCTTCTCTGGGACCGATCGCGAAGGAAAGATTTATCAGTTTTGACAGCTTCAGATACACTAGTTAACTGCTTTCCTCGAGCCTTCCCGATAGTAGTAGGCTCTGAGCTGATCGACAGTGGTGCGGTGTGGCTTTGCGTAGGCAAAGGGGATTGAGATACGTTTTGTGATTCATTTCTCGAACCGAAATTTTGGTAAGTTTCAGTGTTATTGCCACTATTCAGTCTTAATTCCAAGCTACCTGCAGTCTTGGTAGAAGTTTGGGGTGGGGCAATATCTCGTGCAAGTGTTGCCCTTTCAGACTTGTAAGGTGACCAAGGCGATGACTTAAGGGTCCCACTATGATTTTTGGTAATTGTTTCGGCAGCGCTTATTTCAGCAGCGATGTCCTCGAGTTTCTCTTGGCCTTCGCTGTTGTTTACCGGGTTAGATAGTATTTTTTTGACGCTGGACTTTGATTCAGGCGTTCTGTGTAGAATGGCAACGCTTGATTTTCGTGGCGTCGACTCTTCTAATGCAATTTTGGCGTTACTATCGATTTTCTCGCTACTTACCAAATCAATGTGCTGCTTTGCGCCAAACCCCATATTGAGCATCTCGTTATCAAGCCATTTGGTGCTTGCCAAACACGCGGCGCTTATAGCATCTTGTCCCTCGGTTAGTACCTCATTAAACCGATTCAGAGACTCTACAATCGACCTGGAGCCTCCCTGAATAAACCTTGTTTTTTTCCTGGCAGATTTGACTGCCCAATCCATGCCAACAGAGCCACTAACTCTTTAGATGTACGCGATTTAAACACTGATCTTAGTAGTTTTGGGTTTATTTGGTAATTACGAAAAAGTGTTGATGTCACTTCATACAAAGGTCCTTAAGTTTTGGAACTTAGAATAAAACTAAATCTTTGGTAATGGATTAATCTGCTATAGTCGGCCTGTATTGTGGAAAGGGCGAGAAGAATTACAGTTGACGCGAACTTTGCGCCTAAGCGTATTCATAACTGGATGGCATTTGTGGCTCACTTTGATGAATATTGATACCAGCAACAAAGCGGCCCCTGGACTCTTCCCAGATCTGGACTTTGCGGGGCATGGGTCGCAGCTAGGAGATCCCAGAAATTCTACGACAGGAAAAAGTGGTGTCGAATTAGAGGCCTTCAGCCAAATGGTCAGCGAGCTTCCAAGAGGCTACAAAAGTGCTATGAAGCAGGACAACTTTTATTTATTAAAACAATACAACAAAAGAGCACAATTCCAGGATTCTGACAATGAAATCTCATATCGTGACTTCAAAGAATATGATGCAACACTACAGAGGGAGAATGAAATGCGACAGAAGCTGCAAGACCTTGAAAAAGCACTCTCCAACAACGGTATGAAAATACAGAAACTAGACAATCTACATGCACTGTACACAAGAGATACATCAAGTACAACTGTACGTAGGACACGATATAGAACGAGGGTCTCGTCTTTTATGCGCAAGCTGAAGCCATCGCCAATGAAAAACTTGGTGAACAGCCGTTTGCGCAATCAGAATTCAAGTTTGCGTCCACAAGGTTCCAATGTTACCGTCATTATTGACAACGGTAAACCCGAGTGTGATTTTATCGATGATCCTGAAGTTGCGCCGAAGAAGCTCACTATTATTCAGGAGGAACTCGCACCTATCTCCACTATTTCGTTTGATGAGTCGAGCAGTATACATATGAGGGAGTTGCCCCATCAAGTTACAATTCAGCGTAAATTGCAAGTTCGGCATTTGCAAATGATATCTCTTGGCGCCACTATAGGTGTAGGGCTGTTTCTTAGCTCTGGTAAAGCATTCTCCATAGCTGGTCCTATGGGAGCTTTCATAGGGTTTGCTATAGGTGGATCTCTGATCCTCGCAACATTGTTTTCATTTGCCGAAATGGTTGCGCTTATACCGTTAATCACAGGAATATCAGGTCTCTGCTCTAGGTTTGTTGGCGATGCGTTTGGGTTCAGCGTTGGATGGTGTCATTGGTTATCCTATGCAATAGGGTTTGCCTCTGAAGTCATCGCTTCTACCATAATGCTGTCTTACTACAAAAATTTAGAGCAAATTGCTACAAATAAGTCCATGATGGCCCTTACGATAACAATGATTGTTGCGGGACTGACTCTGGTTAATCTTATGGATGTCAGAGTCTATGGTGAATTTGAGTATTTCTCTAGTGCTTTCAAGCTGCTGATCGTTGTACTATTGATAATTCTCATGATTGTCTTAAACGTGGGAGGCCTAAAAAATGATTACATTGGGTTTCGTTATTGGAATTCAAACAAATCTCCATTGAAAGAAATGAGCTTTGGGCCGTTTAGACCAACCTTCGATTTGAGAGATCGAGGTTATGGAGCCACAGAGGGCATCCCCGGGCTTGGTGGGATCATCCTTAGCTGTATTGCATCCACCCTTACTTCGGTATTTGCTTACGTTGGTTCCGAAATCGGCTTTATTGCTGCAGGAGAAGCAAGGAATCCAAGAAAGGCTGTACCATCAGTAACGAAAAGGATATTTACGAGGGTAATTATATTCTATTTGCTGTCCATTTTTGTGGTGGGACTAAATGTTTACTCAGGCGATCCAAGATTACTGCGTTACAATACTTCCAACGATATCTCAGCACTGATCAAAGGGGTCTCTAATTACCAGGAAATCATCAATGCTTTGGGCGGGTCAAATTGTCAGCAAGAAAACTCCGATAAAATTCTTCCGGTTGATAACCCCAATCAGTCGCCATGGGTCATAGCGATGCAGTCTTTCAACCAATGTACTCTTTCTGCTTTCATCAATGGTGTGTTTGTGGCCATCGGAATATCTGCAGCAAGCTCGCAGCTTTATGCCTCTAGCAGAACACTGTATTCCATGGCAACTCAGCAAAAGGCTCCATCATTTTTTGCAAAATGTAGCAGAAATGGAGTTCCATACATAGCAGTCTTATTCTGTGGAGCATTGGGATTTTTGAGTCTGTTATGTTTAAATATGAACAGTTCGGAAGTGTTCTTCACTTTTGTCAGTATTGGAGCGCTAGGAAGCGTAATAATGTGGTTGGGTATGAATATCTCATACTTGCGCTTCTATTACGCGTTGAAACAACGTCCCGATATCATTTCACGAGATGCTCGCGAGTACCCTTACAAATCGCCGTTTCAGCCCTTCTTGTCAATATATGGAGCTGTTCTTGCGATATTGCTAATAATTCTGAATGGCTTCCAAAATTTCTTCCTGTGGAATACCAAAAACTTCATAACAAGTTACATTACTTTAGTCCTGTTCGTGCTGTTGTATTTAGCTTATGGTTGGATGAAGGGATCAAAGATTGATAAAATCGAACAGTTGGATCTAGATTCAGGAAGAAGAGAGATGGACCGCGTAATTTGGAAAGAGGATTTGGATTATTCTCTTAACCTAAAGGAAGCCTTCAACAAGTTGCTGACCTATTTATAAATTGTCGAACCAACCATCTAATGTCTTTTAATAAACTAAACTGAAAAAACTCGATAAATCATAACATATAAATTCTTTAGCGGTCAGGAATTTATCAAGAAATCTTTAAGTGAAAGAAGTTCCGTTTCTTCCTTCTCATTTGTCTCAATTCCAATTTGATCCGTATCATGTTCATCTTCGGGAGAACTTTTATCAGAACATTGGAATTGTGGCAGATGGCTATTGTAATATTTTGGCATTCGGGGGGTGGTGTTTGCGTGAGATTGGCGACTTTGAGAAAATGAGATTGGTTGCGCTAGGTCTATGTTAATAGATTTCGGGGATTGATCGCCAGTTTCAGGGAAGCCCGCATAAACTGCTGAGTTGAGTTTGCTTTGTCCACGACGATAGAGCTCTGCCTCTATCTGAAAATAAGATTCCGAATTTCTTCTCAGTTGCTGAGATGTATCAGCCATGACCAGAAATGGTGACAATGATCCTTGCGACTTGTGAGAATGGACACTGCTGCGACTGTCCTCGAGTTGTCTCATTTTCTGCCGCATAGACATGCTTCCAAGGACCCTTGGACCATGCTTTGCAGTACCAGCCTGCCTAACGATGGGCCTATCTATTGACATTGCGCTGCTTCGCCTGTGACAATGCTTCCGACTTGTAGGGGAAGCTGTCTCGCTCTTGCCGCTGCTAGCTGAATATGTGGAAAGCCAACTGCTGCGTCTATTTTGCAAAAGCGTGGGCCTTTGCGTTATGAACTCCGTTGTATTCTCGTTTTGCCAACAAAGTGTATTCTCAAACTGCGTTGCGAGCACGTCTACTTCATCTCCAGACGATTTGCAGAGGCTTTCGTCAGGAGATGCCGCGAACGAGGATATCTCTGTGTATGTGTGATCGGTGAGTAGCGATGGGGGAGAAGTAAATTGGAAAGCCGACTTCTCTGTCTTGGGACTTGTGCCATAATCCTCTGTCGCCATCGTTTTCCATTTGGCATGAGTCTCTAAAAAAACTGGAAAAGTATATGCTCGCAGCTTTTCATCCTGCTTGTGACATTCTTCTACGTATTGGTCCTGTGATGACCGGCGTTGCTGTTTAGTATTAGCGTCGCCTTCCATAGCTTGTGGAAATGTGGCCATTTTGATGTTTTCAAAGCCAAGTGGGGGGACGACCTTGGTCAGCGGTATATATGTATGATATATGTACCTTTGGCAGGAACCTGACAGACTGCTCGTCGACGATGGCTACCTCCACCAATCTTATATTCAACAGATACTTTCTTCTGCAAGGCCTTGCCAGTTCTGAACAAGTGTTGCTAAAGAGTGCTTTTTGACAGCGGCCCAGAATGGGCTTACTGGGTATTTGGTGCCAATATGTAAGATAATAAGGAACCTGGCGCGACTGCTGTGAAAAATGACTTTGGCTAAGATAATCAGCTCAATTACACAATGACACTTTGAATTCGCTGCCTGCCGAGACAAAGATACTAAAAACGACACTTTGATCTACCGCGCCAGACTTTCTGTCATTATCTTGCTGTATCAAGTGGAGATGACAGGCGTAAAATGAAAAATTTCTTTATCTTTCGTTACTTTGCAAAATTTCAATCAACTTTGGTTGCACTCAGACAGGCTGGCTGAGCGGATATCACTACAGCAAATATTGGTTGGTCGCGTGAACTTATTATTGTATTGATCAATCTGCCCTCGTGTTTGTCCCGAGGTAACAAGCGTTAAGTCAGTTTTGATAGCTGCACGCCAGCGTCAGGGTGCCAAAATTGAATTGAAAGTATAAGCGAACAAGACGTGCCTCGGAGTCTGGTACTTGGGTATTGTGGAGCTATTTATCCGGAGCTCAGTGCTTTATTCTTTTTACATTCTTTGCACACTAGCTTGTCTACTTTACTTGCAATTTTCTGTAGAAGAGGCCATGGATTGGAGCAATCCAAACATAAACGATAGTATCTATTGGCAGTTCTTGCGCGCTAGGAGTCAAAGTAATAAATGCTTGGAAATTTGCCTGTTTTAGAGGACCGGCTCAACTTCTGTGAGAGTTGCTCGCTAGAGCACTAAGTGCTTGGCTAATGGCCTGGTCCAAAATACAGCAAGTTTTTCGCCAGAGGTCTACGTATAATAAGGAGAGCGTTTCAACTGCAGCTCTGAGACTTGGTCAGTAGAGTGAAAGAAGCATGCGGATCAAATAGCGAACAAAGTGACGGCCAATGAAAGCCTTCAAGTGAATTATAAAGTGTCCAAGCCGATTTTCTTGTAATTTTTGACTAAACAAAGTTCCAATTGTTTTCCATAGTATATATCCTTAAAAAAAAGTTGCATCATAGTGCAATCAATTGCCATACGGCCCCATAATACTCAGTGATTTTCTACACCCGTTGATGTAAGTCGCCCAGATAATACTGGTGCATGTCTCGCCCATCTTCCACTGCCACAGGTCTTATATTACCCTTTCCCTCTTTTTCTTCGTGAATTTTAACACGGGTCAGATCAAGACTCAGTTGATTGACATTGGCATTCGAGCTTGGCCATGCGTCAGAAGGGCCCCACATAGATTTCATTTGACGCTGGTCCTGTTGGTAGGTGTAGTTGAACGCAGGAGCAGCGTACCCGAAAGTCGCAGCGCTTGCAGAGGGTGAATATTCGGTTGACGCTGTAGACGAAAGTCCGGAATAAGAGTTGGCTGTCGAAGGCAACGGCTCGTAGCCGTACAGCTGTTCAGTGGTTGAGCCAAATAGTGTAGTTGTAGCAGAAGGGACATTGGAGGAGTGATCTGTGAAACTGAGCTTTCGGGTAAGAGATGACCTAGAATTACGACGTTCGAGCTCCTTGGGTGTAAGTAAGTCCGACAACTCGCCAGGGATAAAGTCCTCACCGTCAATGTCTTGGTATAAATCTTCCTCCTCATCTATGGCAGAGTCGCTAGCCAAATTTGGTTGTTGCGGAGTGAAGGTAGAGAAAAATGGCCCCTGGGAATTTAGGTTGGGGGTGCGGAGTGCGGATGACATTGCAGCAGTAGGAGAGGTATATGACATAGCTTGAGGGCTTTGTCCCTGGTGACCATTTTTAGAACGAGTGCTCTGCAAGAGGCTTGAGTCACGCATGGGTATTGGGACCGCATTCTGTTCTCTGTTGATGTTGAACTGCCTGACTGGGTTGACACGGGTACCATTGGCCAATATATGGGCGTTCGCGCATTTTGTTCCAAAACGACAATGGCCACGCTCGAAATACTTGCATGGGGTGGCGTCAGCCGCAAGTAAGTTGAGAGAGTGTGAGAAAGGACAGGATTCGCCCGCCTGGCAGGTTCCCTGCCGGAAAAACCGACATGGGACATGGGAGTAGTTTTTCTGGGGAGCCGAGTTTTTGGTGATGAGCCGATGCTCGAAGATAGCTCTCTGCTGGTTCAAGGAGAACGCCTGCTGTTCGAGCGGCGAGGTCGGGGAACCCGTCAAGTCGGAGGACGACGATGGCGATCCTTCGTCGCCAGACGACGAGTGGTCTGGTGTGCGCTTGTGGCCAGCAGAGCTAGGGTGCGGTTTGCCCTGCTCGATACCAGTACTGCTGCCATTGGCATTCCGCTGGGAGCTGGCTTTGGTCTTGCTCGGGGTTCCAAACACAAACGGCCGGTTGTTGCTCTTGTTTTTCGACGCACGGTGAGCCATCTGTTGGGTTGTCGTCGTTGTACGACTGATTAGCACTAATGTCAGTGATCGTAGTACCCTAGAAAGTTTTCTGTAAATTGTACAACGAACTCAGCACCTCCAAATTGAATGTCAACTTGACAATGATCGTAGCGTCAGTTCTCTTCGGTTCTTGGTAGTCTTGGATCTAAGTTATTCTCAATTCTGTTCCACTCTTTCCACTTTTTTGACCTCGTTATCAACACGCCCGCCTGATAGCCTCTGCCCTTAAACTGATTTCTGGCCAAACCTGTCCGCATCGATCCGGCCCCTCAGGTATTCGCTCAACTTGATTCCGAATCGTGATTTGCAGCTTATCAGGTGTAGAATACTTAACGTTAAGGGAGCACCCACACCATGCTTGGTTGCAACGAATACTTCGAGACAATATGGGTGTCTCGTGAGAATACACGGCTGAGGACAGAGAGGGAAACGGATATGGTAACTGAGGGAACAATCACGAGCTCAATCAAGTGACTTTGTAGTCAGCGAGACATTTGGCAAGCAGTTTCCAAGCTACTGAAGCGTTATTGCCTGGTTGGGACTAATTAGCAAGAGATAATAGCATAGCAAGCAGTTTTGACCCACTAAAGGGTCAGTGATTAGCCGTGACTAGGTTACTACCAAAAGAGATAGCAGGCCATGGTTTAAGTTGTGCGATAAAATAGCGCTTCCTTCTGATAGGGCAGCAGCAGTAGTGAGGGCGCAGAGCGTCGAAGGTACAGCTTGTGGTTTTGAGACTATCAAGAAATGATACCAATCTCTCTATCTCAAGTGATTAATTAAAAGAGAGCGCCTAATATCACTATACACGTAGATTGCAGTTTCCGTGCTTGGTGATATGTACGGGCTGCGTACGTAATAATATTGCTTTTCCTAACAGCCGTGAGCTGTGACAGATTGGGTAAGCATATGCCGTATATGGTGATCTCATTCTCACTGGGTGTGCTACAAGAGCGAATAGGTCGGTTGTTGAGAGCTTTGAGGAAGTGTACGAGGCCTTACTAGGCGCCTGTAGATATACTTTGTACAGTGCTACGTCCCAGTGCACTTTTCTTAAAAAAAAAGTAACCACTATTGATTGCGCATATTTTGTTTCTTGTTGTGCTACCACTCTGAGCTCTCCAAGCAGTGTCGTATAGGTCTAAATTCCTAGCTATCCCACAGTGCACTTTAAATTCGTCTTGCGTGTGGTATAAACTTTCAGAACAGCTCAACGGTGTTCAGGCGTTAATACATAAACAACCGTGGCCCTGCGTTTACCACTAGCTCACCGGATCTGCAGTTTTATCAATACCAGAATTCTATTCTTTCTTATCGCATCAGCCCTCTCGAATTCCTCCAATTGGTTTCGAGTTCGCTCGATTCTTGTTTAAAACCCAAGCCCCAAATCACTTGTTTGAAGACGAAGCTACCAATATTCGCATTCTGGAAACGAGATCAGGTACCGTATTTGGATTTGCAAGCGTTTCGAAGCACGATATTAACCTCAACAGCTCATAATCAATCGCGTGAGAGACCGATGCGAAAATTGTTCGATCTTGCCAAACTATTGATCAAGTAAAATAAGAGAATCTGAGGAAACGCCTGTGGAACAAACAACAGTGAGCCGCGTAAAGCCCCTATGCTGTCCTACACTTGGTCCACGTCTAGTAGAATGTCCCTTTAGGCATTTGGCCAGCAAGGGCCCCGTAAGACGACGCGCTCGTTTGTAATGATTAGATTCATACCATCGGCTACCACTCACTACCATGGTCTCAACTTCGACAGTGCTACGAAACCGCAAAGCTTGCCATTTGCCGCTGGCTATTGTTGCAAACGCTCGACGTTACCATTTTCTTCCCACGCCCCCAACAAGAACGCGCTGAAAAGAGCTGGGAGGCAGCGAGCCGTTCCAAGCCCGATTTTCGTAACCATTACCCCCACCGGCCGAGCAGCTGGTTTCTACACAGTGCACAACAGACCTCTGGCGCTCGCCAAACCTTGATCATATTTCCAGCTCGTCCTGATTACCCGGCATTACATACGACCCGCAATCGAGTCCTTTTGAGGTTCAACCTCACGCAGCTTACAAGCGCAGGCTGGCTAACGCTCGAAGTGATACACAATACAAGTGTATCAAAACATCCATGTCAATTCGCCAAGCAATCGATGTTGACTTTTGAGCCTTTATCCTTTGTTAATAGTTCCGAGAGTGTTTATTTTATCGGTGACCATACTTTTCAGAAAGGCTGGTTAGCATCTATCTGGCACACTTGAAATTAATTAAATATCAATACTGATAAAACAAGTAGAGAACCAGCAGCAGCAGCACCAGCGGCAGCAGCACCAGCTAGATCGAAGAGTGTGCCTCAAACACACCGGTACATACGTGAAATCTGGAAACCTGCGAGCCATAATGCAAAGAACACACCATTACTTCCACAGCGACAAGCTTGCGGCTACGATATTTTGCAGCGGGACAGAGTTGGGATGCACATTTGGAAAGGATGAGATGCGGCAAGCAACTTAGAAGCTTTCTCCAGATTGGGTATTTCCTGCGTCGAACGAACGGTTCAGCAGCATAACGGCGAACGCTACATACCCGACCGCTAAGATAGCCAGCATGAAAAAAATTTTGGCATGAGCATGAGCATGAAGATGGGCGTAAGTTCAGAATAGCCAGTTGAACTACATGGTGCAACAGCACGGTTTTAGTGGCTGGAGCGGGTTTGTGTTCTCAATTGCTTGCGATGCTTGCAGTGTATGCCATGCCTGCCTTTGCTTGCTGTGCATCTTGAAGAATGCAAATTTCAATCGAAGCCGAGGATGTTAGCTGCTAGAGCCATTGTTGTGGTGACAGCGCCCAGCCTGATAGATTGGTAGGAGTTTTGTTTTTCCACCTGTGTGGTGAGATAGCTTGATCTCTGTTGTTGTTCAAGAATTCGAAATCGTGGCTGCTGTTGAGAGCGATGTGTTCGCCAGCAAGATTTCCGCAGATCTAGTGCCCGTGGCAGTACGAGTGCTGGTGGCAACGGGCGGGCACTAGGTCTGTTCTGTTTTGAGGTACCTGCGTTGACGCTTGCCTAACGGAATGTGGCATACCTGTCTCAGCGACGCTTTAGTCCTGTTTTAAGCTAGTACTTAAGACCAGAGCCTTTTTTGTGCCTTTGGCACTGCTACTGAGTTCTATATCGACCATCCGCGAGACGCTGCTTGTTCGTCTTCTCGTTGAGCATCCAATCCTCTTTCATGTACCTGGGCCTTTGAGAATCCAGCCCCCCCCTGATATTTTTCGAACTAGTCATACTTTGCTTGACGTCCACTCATTCCTCTACTTTGCCCCTAGCATTTGTACCCTGCTCAAGCCTTTGTTCCTTCAGGCTTTCGTCATATGCTGTCTTCAAAACCCTCACGATCCGGTTCTTTCAAAAGGTCAAGAGACATTTCAGACTCAGCTGTCGTTTCCAGTCCTCCGTGCAAAAAACACACCAACGACGATACTCAGAATTTATTACTACGAGATCAATCGAGATCGCCTCTTAAACAATTTAATTTGGATAATCTCACGCCCTTAGCCACTCCAACTAAGGCACCCAACCCGCAATCCTTTACCTTTGGCGAAGCCAACACACCCCGTTCGAAAAGTCCATCGCTAGAAAATCATTTCTCTGACCTAAAGTTATGGGTCCCCGGAAAAGTCTCTAACGTCACAAACAAATTCAAAATCACCACTTTTACTCATCCTATCTTCACAACTCCAGAAATCGTCGAACGAATTCTGAGGTTTGTAGATGCCCAATCTATTATTCCGCGTGAGAAGCCCCGTCACCGGCGGAAACCTCAATCGTTGTCTCACGCGCTTGTGATATGCGAGGGCGATGAAGAAAAGGCCCAAAAGCTATGGACTGAATCTACGAAATCTGATATTCGCAACGCCGTGACGAAAGACGCAGCCCTTCATAATTGCTTATCAGTGAACAAACTATGGCACGATATTGCATTGAGTATTGTAACCGAAAATTTGTACTTTACGGATTCCAAAAAGGTTCGCAAACTTGCCACTAGTCCGTCAAGATCCCGAACTATGTTTTCGAAGCCTTCGGCATTCGTCTTACACAAGCTAAGTAAACTAACCCAGGACGACTTGAATGCCGTTGCGCCCATCGTATCATCCGAACGCTTGAAATGGATCGAACTTTACATTTGCCCGAAAATATTACCCCCAGTACCTATATTCCAACAATCACGAAACGTAGAGAAATTGGTGCTTCCTGGTAACCGATATGTCGACGACGAGTTCCTCATGAAGATCGCGCCACATTTGACAAAATTGAAGGTACTGGATTTGCGAGCTTGTGACAAGGTCTCCGATGGAGGGGTTTTATCAATCACCACCAACTGTCCTTTGCTTGAAGTGTGCAATTTAGGCAGACATCGCAACGGGGAGGCTATTACCAGTGTTTCACTTATTGCACTTGCTCGAAACACCCGAGTGGATACCGTGGGAGCCGCGGGGTGCCATATAACGGATGCTGGCATCTGGGAACTTGCTATGCATCGAGGCCCACGCATCAAAAGACTCTCGCTCAATAATTGCAAGCTGCTTACGAACAACTCTGTTCCTACTTTACTTGCGCTAAAGTATTTTCCGCAACTTTCTGTCCTGGAGATCAGAGACGTGAAGCATCTTACCAATGTACAGCCGATTGTTGCGTACGTTAGAGCTAAGCGGGCTCGTGGTATTCCCGTACTCGTCGAAGGCGGTGAGAGGATTGATCTACTGATGAAAGAAGTAGAGTTTAGAATGGAACAGGAACATTCAGCGAGAGTACTTGCCGCTTTCACGGAATGGGTAAATGACGAAGAATTACAGTAGATTGTATGACTCGAACTTTCATGATGATGTTTCTCTGCATGTAAGGATACTACTTACTTCCCTCATAAATTAAATAACCACTGCTCTTATAAATTAAATAACTACTGCTCTTTTCAAGTTTAATGATAATGTTAATAATTTCAGAATTAAACTCTTTGAGATTGTTACTAGAGAGGAATACAAGTGTACGTTGGGATTCGCTACATTAATGAACTACCAAGGAGGAAGGTATGATGCTTTGGACAACTAGTACAAGTGGCAGAAGATTGTCTGTCTTCTGCTCTGGTTTTGATTTCCATACTAACCGCTACGCAATCTTTCAGTTCTGGGAACAGACAGCACTACAACAGCAGCAATAGCTACCGAGGCTCATCTTATCGAGGCAAATCCCATCGTGGTGGGCGTGGCGGCTACAGCTCAACTCGGTATAATAACACACAAGCATATGAAGAGAACGCAGGCCGATTTCCAAGCCCAACCAGCCAATATCGAGGAAACTACCGAGGTGAACACTACACTCCTCAGCGAGGAGGCTACCAAAGTGGGAGTAGAGGAAGCTACAGTGAGAGCTTTCCTCGATACGGCGATAAAAGGCATAGCTCAGCCGGTTATGACAGCAGGCCTTCACTGTCACAAGCTGAGCGGCCTCAAGAATTCTCGGCCGCGCCCTCTCCGCCCATCGAGAGTCCACAAACGCCGCTATCCAGAATATATTCAACAGATTCACCGTTTTATCATTTGACAGGGCTGGACGAGTTTACAGATGATGAGTTGGAGCGGTCAAGAATACGCGCGCTTTTTAGAGAAGACGGTGACATCGATACGAAGCTTCAGGAACAGAAACTCCAGCTTTGTAAGATTGAGCTAGAACTAGGTTTGCTGAGCACACAGTCGGAGAAAGACGCTTTAAATGTGCGTTTGACACAGGATAATTTAGATGCGCTTCTGCTGATGCAGTGAAGAAGAGATTGAACGTAGGGAACACAGTCTACATAAATGTATAGCTAGCGGGCATGAGATAGCATAAATGGCAGGGTATTTAATCAAACACAGGTTGTGCTAATGTCTGTCGTCTGAACTCTTTGTGATGAGTTGAGATTAGCTGTAAATTTGTCATTTTCCACTTTAATTGTTAAAGCTACAAATTTTGAATATTGAAGGTTCAAAAGAGCAAAACCCTAAACAACTTAACTACAGTATCACGCAAAGATGACTTTCACATCTCAATTTTCCGCGTTGGGTTCTGATAGCAAAGCGCTCGAAGCTCTACTGTGGACAGTCTTTGCCTTAGGAGTTCTGAAAGCTACGACTTTCGTTCTAAGCTTTTCTAGCTTGGTGCTTGATTTATTTGTGCTACCAGGAGTGAACTTCCGCAAATATGGAGCCAAAAAGGGTCAGTACTGTGTGATAACCGGTGCTAGTGATGGTATCGGGAAAGAGTATGCTAGTCAGTTGGCCAAGCGTGGCTTCAATTTGATCTTAATATCTCGGACACAGTCTAAACTTGTAACGTTGAAATCTGAATTCGAGTCCAAATATGACGTCAAGGTTCGCATCCTGGCAATTGACATTGCAGAGGACGTCTCTGAAAATTACATCAAGATTCAAGAAGCTTGCTCTGGATTACCCATTACGATTCTAATCAACAATGTTGGCCAAAGTCACAGCATTCCTGTTCCATTCTTAGAAACCGAAGAGCATGAATTGCGCAACATCATCACTATCAATACTACAGCCACTTTGAAGATCACACAGCTAGTGGCACCATTGATTGTTAAATCAGCCAAAGAAGCGCGTTGTAAGGGCCTCATCTTAACCATGGGCTCTTTCGGTGGTCTTTTGCCCACCCCCTATTTGGCGACCTACTCTGGGTCCAAAGCATTCCTTCAGAGCTGGTCGGCTGCTCTTGCTGGCGAAATGAAATCTCAAAACGTCGATGTTGAAATCGTACTCTCGTACTTGGTCACCAGTGCTATGTCCAAAATTCGCAGAACCTCTATGATGATCCCCAACCCAACTCAATTCGTGGCCGCTACGCTAAAGACTGTCGGAAGGCGCTCGGGAGCTCAGGAACGGTACGCTACAATGACGCCATACTGGTCGCACGCGTTATATCACTTCGTGATTGAAAATACCATCGGGGTGTATTCCAAACTTGCAAACTCTATCAATTACACGATGCACAAAAGCATCAGAAGCAGGGCTCTGCGTAAGGCTGCTAGGCAGGCTAAACAGCAGTAAAACAGGTTCATTGGCCTGGATTTTTGTTCGTACACTGTGTTCTGGGCATTTTTTCGAGTATTTATTTATCCAAATCTGATCTGTTTAGCTTTAAATCTTAAAACCTATGACTTCAGATCTGACCATCTAGAGACCCATTGTCCAGTACATTGACTTCCACTATGACGGAGCTAGCGAATTACAAAAGACTAGAGAAAGTTGGAGAAGGTACCTACGGTGTTGTATACAAGGCGTTGGACCTGAGACACGGTCAAAGAGTAGTTGCGCTAAAGAAGATCAGGCTCGAGAGCGAAGATGAAGGAGTTCCAAGTACTGCCATTCGGGAGATCTCGCTTCTCAAGGAACTAAAGGATGATAACATCGTTCGTCTTTACGACATTGTGCATTCGGACGCCCACAAGCTTTACCTGGTGTTCGAGTTTCTAGACCTGGATCTGAAAAGATACATGGAATCCATACCAAAGGAACAGCCCCTGGGAGATAACATCATCAAGAAATTCATGATGCAGCTGTGCAAGGGAATAGCTTACTGCCATTCACACCGTATTTTGCATCGCGATCTTAAACCTCAGAACCTGCTGATCAATCGCGATGGCAACATGAAGCTTGCCGATTTTGGTCTCGCGCGCGCCTTTGGTGTCCCATTGCGTGCTTACACGCACGAAATTGTCACCCTATGGTATCGGGCCCCAGAAGTGCTGCTGGGTGGTAAACAATACTCTACAGGGGTGGACATTTGGTCCATCGGATGCATCTTCGCCGAGATGTGCAATAGAAAGCCTATCTTCAGTGGTGATAGCGAGATTGACCAAATTTTTAAAATATTCCGCATCCTCGGCACACCTAGCGAAACCATCTGGCCGGATATCGTGTATCTACCCGATTTCAAGCCCAAATTTCCTAAATGGCAACCGAAAGACCTAACTCAAGTGGTGCCATCTCTCGACGAGCAAGGTATCGACCTCTTACGGAAGCTCTTGACCTACGATCCTATAAACCGATTGAGTGCCAAGAGGGCCGTCATGCATCCGTATTTTCAAGGGCACACCGGGGAATAAATACATACATATCGGTGGAGATCATAGAATCTCAGTAGCGAGTTATCCACGACTGGTCAAAAGTTCCCAGCGGCAAGGTTTAGAATTACGATTTCCTTTTCCGGAAGGTGTTCCAAAGTAGATATTACTCTATCTAGTCTTTATCTCCATTGGGTAAAAATACTCATCAGGGCCGATATACTTCTTTGGGAATTCTTGTCACCTTCAAAACTGCAATTCGGACTTTTCATAGTGGCTTTTGAGCTCTTTCAACATCGTATTCGAAGCAGATGTATGACTGATGAAGAGCTCGGTTTGGACTGTTGCGATCGATATCGAATTATAGAGCCTTCTCAGCACTAAAGTCTTGCTACGGGTCCGTGTTTACGAAAAATTCCGCAAGCATAGATAAAAGCAGCATTTGGACTGTCAAATTAGAAACAATGGTTAGCATCCGGGATATATCTTTAGGATTTGTGACTTGAGACCACGTCGCAACATTTGCTAGGGATCATCACAATCAACGTTGCTAGCACATCTTTGCCAGCAAAAGTCAGAAATAATACAGGGTCTAATGACGACAGCAAGCTGCTGTGAGATCAGGGATTGTGAAATATAAAAAGGCTTTGAAACTTTTGCCCTTTAGTTGGCATGACCCCTGAAAGCTTGGCACCAAATATTATTCCGCGATGAGCAAAGTTGCTAATAAAGCTGTTGCCTTTATCAACAGGAACACTCTTCCCACTATTGTATCCGAGGAGCTGGACCTCGACGCATGCTACAAGGACGACGAAATAGTGGTTAAGATTCACGCAGCAGGACTGAATCCAGTGGATTTCGCTCTTCAGTTTTTTGCCTACCCTTGGCTTGTCAATAAACAGCCCAAGGCGTATGGAAGAGATTACAGCGGTGAAATTGTCAGAGCTGGCAAAAATGTGAAAAACTTTGAGGTTGGTGAAAGGATTACTGGCATGTTCAATCACTTCTTTGGTAAACAGGGCTCCTTGAGCAATTATCTCGTTTTCAGTCCTGACAAGCACCCCGCAACCGTCAAGATGCCTGCGTTCAACGATGCGAAATACGACGACTACGTGTTGAACGCGGCATGGCCGTTGGTTTTTAGCACTGCGCACCAGGTCTTGATGGGCGGGTCTCGTCCAAAACTGGGGCCCAAGTCCAACATCCTTGTGATCGGAGCCAGCACGGCGGTCTCCAATTCTTTTGTTCAAATTGCCAAAAATCATTTGGAAGTTGGTAACGTGGTTGGTATTTGCTCTGCGAAATCCTTTGAACACAACCAAGCTCTTGGGTTTGATCATTTGGTCGCGTATGATGAGGGAAACACGGTGTCCCAAGTCAAAGAACTGATCAAAAATGAACTCAACAACGAGAAATTCGATCTAATATTTGACTCGGTTGGTAGCAGTGACTTTTTCGGGTCCATTGACGACGTTCTGAAGCATAAAAGTGAAAACTCCTATTACCTGACCATTGTGGGCGACCATAAAATGGACTACAACAATCTCAATTTTATGAATGCTATGCCTGGGTGGGAGAGCTTGAAAAGGTTGGGCCCTTTCCGGAGGTACAACTTCCAAAGTATCTTGTGTAAAGAGGATTCCGATAGTGTAAAGCTCGCTTCTCAATTAATCGCGGAGAAGAAATTTAAGCCTGCCATTGATTCGGTTTACGACTTTGATCAGTACTCAGAGGCGTTGAAAAAACTCAAGTCGAATAAGACCAAGGGCAAAGTTGTGGTCAAAGTAACTTGAGGATAGGGCAGGGCGGCCATTATGTTCGCCTAAGAATGGGGCTATTGCGTCCGGGGCTCTCGTGAAGAATGAGTGAATGTCACATACACACGGTGCTCACATGGGGGAGCGGTAGGCGCTCGCATGTTGTGGTGGCCCGTGCTCTGAAAACGGGATCTATTCAGATTTCAAATAAGGGTTCGGCCTTCCCACTTAGTTTTGACATTACATAGGATATTTTTGGATTTTAACCTCTTGTTGGCTTTTTAGCGAAGTACATGCGAGACCGGTGGTGTTTCACGCAGCTAGCTGATAAACACTGGCGCTTGCACCGCTCTACAAGTGTGTGTTAAGCCAAGGTTCGCTCGCCTTGGGTCCAATCCCCAATTGCAACGTCCGCTGCCACCGACCCATTCTTCTACCCTCTTTTCGACTCCTTTTTTCGTCTAGCGCTACCTCTACTCCCTCTTTAGGCAGCTGTTGCCAAGGTTATGTAAAAGGTCGGGTAACCTTGCCTCTCAGAAAATTTTGAGATATTTATTTATTTATTTAAGAACTAAATTCCCAGCGTTTGCCATACTAAGGTGTATACCGTCCTGATTACACACCAACCCTGTAATCTGCGGGCATCTCTCCATGTGTGTTCCTCGTCAACAGAGGCTGTGAAGGCTTTTCTTAATCGTATCCGTTGAGTTTCTATAAAAAAACAAATTTCTAATCTAATATCTCATCACGACGGACGTTAGTTGATCCGACTAAAAAAATTTAAAAATCCCAACTTCTCCGTCCGCATCTATATAATTCAGGATGTTTTCCTCAAAATTACAATAACACGGCTTAGCCAAAAATTCAGCAGTAGTGAAAAGATTTACAGAAGCCTAGCAACAGGTTTGTCGGTGTTTTCCACAGTCTTTAACAGCTATTATTGAGTGCTGCCACAGTGTTTTGTGTTCTGAAATTGACGCTACGTTTCGTGGCTCGCTAGTTTCCCCGCATCCCGCCGTTTTCTCTTCTGGGTTTTCCGCAGCCAAATAGCTACCAGGCACTGACTAGAAGTGTGTTGCGTGCGCTAAAAACACATTCTTTCAAGCCTCTCGCCTTGTCTCGCTGAAGTTATCTTTCCCAGCTGGTCCATGCGACAAGAGCTCAAATATCTGGTGTACTCGCACGTCGCGGTCATCGTTGTGCTGCTGTACCTCACGTTCGACCTGCTGACGCTGGCCATCGACGATGCCTTCCACGATGCCCTTACGGACGCGGAACTGAACCCTCCAGCCGACGCTGCGCCTCAAACGCAGCTCATTCCCAAAATTATCCACCAGACTTACAAAACCACGGATATCCCGGAACAGTGGCGTGAAGGACAACAGCGCTGTATCGACCTCCATCCGGACTACGAGTACAATCTTTGGACGGACGAAACAGCCCGCGAATTTATCAAGGAACAGTATGGCTGGTTTCTGGATACCTTCGACGGCTACCGGTACCCAATTGAACGTGCAGACGCCGTACGCTACTTTCTGCTCTCGCATTATGGAGGTGTATACATCGACCTTGATGATGGCTGCAGACGCAAACTTGATCCACTGCTTACAGTCCCGGCATTTGTGAGAAAAACCAGTCCCACCGGTATTTCCAATGACGTTATGGGATCTGTGCCTGGCCATCCATTTTTTGCCAAAGTTATGAAATCTTTAAAGAAATACGACCGGAATTGGCTCGTACCCTATATCACCATTATGTTTTCTACCGGTCCACTTTTCGTAAGTGTTATTTGGAAACAGTACAAAAGATGGGGAGTCTCTGAGAATGATGTCGTGAGAATCTTACAACCCGCAGATTACAAACAGCACGATAACTCTTTTTTCCTAATCTCTCAAGGATCTTCTTGGCACTTAGACGATGCAAACTTTATTAAATCCTTGGCTCACCACATTTTGGCGTGCGTGGTCTTGGGATTCATAGTGGCCTTCATCGTGTTATATGCTGAGTATTGTTTCTACTGTTGGTTGTGCTCAGGAGGTGGTGCACGGCGCATCAGCAGGACCCTCAAACGCGGTTTGGTCTGGGTAGGAATTCTATCCAAAGATCAGTCACAACCCGAATCCATGGAAATGAGCTCTAAATACAGACGCCTACGGAAGGATTCCAATCTTCCTGTCAATCTCATATCACCGGATCTGGAAGAAAACTCTTCTGATCAATACGCTGATTTAAGCGATGACTGAAAACATCGATCATGGTGACGACGCAGATGACGGCTGAAAGAAAACATACATGCACACATCTACTCCTGAGAAAACTTAAAAAGACAGAAGATTCTTGATTGACGCAGATAAACATTTGATTTTAAGAGGTTTGAGTTTTATTTCCCTAGCAAGCATGGAAATGAGATCAAAAAAGTATTTCATTTCCCCCATCACAACACTGCGGTGCATCCACCAATTGACCTCATTCTGCTTCTCCGGTTGAGAATGGTTTATGATGTCGAACGCGGCAACGTTGTACATACCCGTTTTTTTTTGTTGACTTCTGTTGGTGATTCTTCTAAACCTTCACCGAACCATCTGCTGACTTTCATCGAGGCCAACTTTTGTGTTCAAATTATAACTCTTTTTTTAAGCATATCATGTACTATATCTAGATTTGAATCATCTCTTATTGCCTTTACATTTGCAAGAGGATCGAATCGAAATCGCATGGCAGTTTTTAAGAACTGACGATCAGCGCTCAACCAATTCGATTCTTACCCTTCTCAATAGCCTTAATAGCATAACCAATGCTGCCGAATAGAAAGAATCAATCATGGTAGAAACATTGCTCCGTTCATGTGAAAAAAAAAAAACTTGGCTCAATGTTTGACTTTACTGTCTTTCATCATTTGCAGAGGGGGGAATTCTATATCTTAAAGAATTTGATAGCTTAACATTCAATACAAAGTAAAAGTATCGCTGTTTCGAAAGATTTTGAACGAGTCTTCCTTCTTACCGCGTCAAATTCAATCTCGTCATAAAAAAAAGGCAGCTGCATTACCAACTCTTTCTTTAATTAATACACGCGCAGTAAGATAAAGGACATCGATTTCTACAGAATCGGTACATAGTGTTCATTTAACTAATTGCATTTCAAGTGAATTAATTGCAAATCAAAAAAAAATATCCAGATAATAATAATACATTGCCAGCGGCAGAGAAAAGTGGGTTCGATTTTGTAGGTTTCTTCTTGGTCGGTTAGGCTAGGTTAGCAACGGAACCGCTTTTGTTCAACCATTCTTGAACGGTACTGGCGCTCAAAGTAGAGCCGAAGTCACCGTCAACGCTCACAACATGCAAAGTCTTGTCAGCACCATTGAAGATAACAGCAGCCTTCAAACTGTTGGAGGTAGGTCTCTGGAAGTAGTCCTGAGTACCGCCACCACCTTGGCTGTTACCGTTGTTACCTTGGCCGTCGTGCAAGTGAGTAATCAAATTCTCGCTGCCGGAGCTCAAAATTTCGAACAAATCCAATTCACCGCAGCCAGTACCCCAGCAAGAACACTCGGAGTTACCGTATTGCAGCGTACGTGGAATCTTAGCGTTCAGCATCCAGACAGCTGGCATATCTTGATTGTAAGAAGAAGAATAGTCGTGGGGCATCTTGAACTCGAAAACAAACATCTTGGTATCACCGCCAAAACCGTGGTGAGCTGGGATATCATTTCTGTAAGTACCACAAGAGCCAGAAGATGTGTCGGAGCAATCGACACCAGAGAAGATCATGTATTCACTGTTGGAGGCCAAAGTAACTTGGTCCAAGGCTTGCGGAGAGCTAGCACCAGAGACACCATCGGCAGCACAGTAAGAAATGGAGTTACCGAAACAAGAGGACCAGGTACCAGAGCCGGCAGTACCACCTTGGTGGTTCATGAAGGTCAAGTTGGAGGCAGAACCTGGAGTGTAGTAAGAGACTCTGTTCCAGCCAGAGCCAGAGGTGGAGCCGGAAGAGCTCGAGGATGAAGACGCTGGAGCGGAAGAGCTTGACGAAGAGCCAGAAGAAGGAGCGACAGATGAAGAAGCAGGAGATGAAGAGGCAGGAGCAGCAGCTGAGGTTTGCGCGGACTGGGCTTGCGAAGTGGTAGCTGGAGCCAAAGACGAAGAAGTGGAGTACACGGCAGTGGCAGATGGGTTAGACGAAGCAACTTGGTTGCCGCTACCGTCTACGTACATGGTGGAAGTGACATGAACAACAGCGACGGCAGCCTCACGTTTGTGGTCATGATGGCGCTTGGCGACATCGCAATCTTCTCTTTTCTTGAGAGAGCTGGATCCCGAGCTAGGGTAGTAAACACCGAATTGTAGAAGCTCGAGGGGACCTCTGAAGTGAACGGACAGTTCTTCGTCCAATGGAGACATGGAGCCTTCAAAAGAGACCGACTCTTGCGAGCACGAGCACGAGGTCTCGTCCATACTGGTCACGTCCATGTACGACCCGGAGTAGCCAACGTTCTGGTACACAACGGCATCAGTTTCGGAGCAGTAGTAGTTTCCACTAACATAGTCGCACGTAGCAGCGACTAAAGGGGCCAGCGAAACAGCGGCAGCACAGGCTTGAGCGAATTTCATGGAAGTGGTCGAGGGCTCAGAAAAACGAGTTCTGATTCAAAGGAAAGACAATGATGGGAGTTCCAAAAGCTGATCGGAGAAAGCAAGCGAGAAAACTCGAAAGGAAAGAATGAGTGGGCGAGTTTTATCGATCTTGCGGTGAGCTTTCAGAGGCTACCAACAGGGAAAGTTAGATTTTAAAGGAGTGTGAGATAGAAGTAACTACCGTAGCTTTTAGCTGGGAAATGAAAGGCTTAGTTCTGACTTGGGATTTACAGGAAAGGAAAGACTACAGAAATGGCTGGTGCAATATTGAAACCGTTCTGCGAAATAAATCCCACAAAACCTCCCGCTTTAAAAACCATGATTTCGTATCGCGGTCGGACACGAGCCTCGTGGCTTTCCGCACCGGCTTTCTTGACTTGACTGCACCAAACACTAAACTTGCATTGCTTGCGTTGCACTGACCAGCCGTGGCAAGCTGACTTGCAATTTTCGCAGCTGTGGCAACTTCGGCAACTTTATCGTGCACATTACCACTTCCAAACGCGTTTCATACCGTCCACGTCGCGATCTGTCCCGTTTGTTGATGCGTTTCTCAAACAGGTTTGCAAGCCGTGTCAATTTTTTTTCACTATTTTTTTCACTATTTTTCATTATTGATGCAACGAACAGTAATTTTTCGCGCTTTATTCACAGTAGCTTGTTTCGAGCTGAGAAGTGCCAGTAGTCGACATCAGCATTGCAAGGTATGCTGCTGCTGGTTTGTCGCAAGTCTGCGGGTTCTTTTGCATAAAATAGCACGCCGCCCGGCCCACTTTTGATGGTTGAGGGAGAAAAGAACAGAGTTTGGCTGGCCGTGGTTCGAGCACCAGAGGCGCACGGGATTGTTGCCTGGTGATGGTGATTATGCGTCTGGTTAATCGATTGTTGCGAGAAATTGGTCAGAGAGGTTGCAGGCTGCGAAGATATGCAGGGCCCAGGTGGTCGGTGTGGGTGTGGTTTGGTGAGAGATGAGAGATGAGAGTCGAGAGTCGAGAGTCGAGGGCTGAATTACCAAGCGGAAGTGGAGTGGCCCGGTAGATTGTGGACTGCCAGGACCTGTGCAGATACGGCTGCATGTGTGTGTCTGTGCGTACCTTACGGGAATGGTTCGGATGGTCGCGGGCCAATAACTTTGGTAATATTTTCATCGCTCCGCTTATGGAAGCTTGCGGGTTTTCGAACCACACATCCATTGTGTCGGCAGTAATGCATTCCACTTCGAGGTCTCTGCGAACAGGTGGCACATCGCATCTCATCTCATCTCATCTGATCTCGTTAGGCCTCGGACCTTGAACTTTCCAGTTTCGTGTCAAGCGATGTTTAAGATCTGGGAAAATAACACGAAAGCGTTAAGGAAAGCTGAAACTTGATCCAAATTCACAAGTCCGTAACCAAGCTTCCGCGTCGCATCTACTAACCCAATGGCCGTCCAGACTCCTAAGCAACGCATAGCCAACGAAAAGTTTGCCAAGCGCAACGAACAGAAGCTGGGTAAGGCCAGAAAGACCACAGCCAAAAAGGGGCCAGCTCTGTCCAAGACCTGGGTTTACGTGCTTCTATTTCTGCTGATAGGTGGTGGTATCCTGGAGCTTATGACCCTATTCATGTGAGTCGCCCAGACGAGTGGCGGATCGACGTAAGTAAATAGTTTAATCGATAGTTTGTTTCATAGCGTTCAGGCGGGCCGTCTTCAGCGGGGTAGCAGAAGAATTGGCTCTGCGTTAGTGCATTTAGAGTTGGGATTTTGTGGTACTTGTCAATAGTTGTAGTGGCTGAATCTTACTCCCGGTTGCTGGTGACTCGAATGAAGGAGGTCGATTATAGTTTTGGGCCCCATAAGAGACATTCGGTTGTGTAGGTATTAAAATTTAGATGAAAATTGGTGCTTCGTATTTCAAGGATGGGAGCCTGTGCAGATTTACATAAGTGACCTGATGATTGTCCTCTCACCCAATCTTGACGTCTGGTCGCTGGGCGCTTTACCACTGACACGCTATATCTCTCTTACATGTGATGTTCGCTGAACTTTAGATTATTATCCTAGTGCTCAAAAACTCATCGGGCTTCCTGTTTCTCTCAAAAAGTGGCTCCCCTTTGAGCTAGAAACATGCATCTGTCGGACTCCTACAATGCGCTTTGGACCTCTTGCTACTGCTCGAAGATTCATCCAGATACCAAGAATCTCAAGGCTGACGGGACTGAATATACCCGATGAGAGATTGGCGCCCACTAAAGAGGAACTCGATATCATCGACCAACTACCTTTCTTTCAAAAGGAATTTAAACCCACCAATCGGAGTATCACAAAGGCTAAAAGGGCTTATTTGGACAAGAAACTACCAATTGTACGGCAACTGTTTCCAAACCCACAAGACGAAGACTACCTTTCTTATAAAATCCCAGAAAATCTGCCGAACCCGTTTCTGGATGCCTATGCCAGGGCCACGACGAATCCAGTGACTGGAACTGTCGAGTATGACGGCACGCCCAGACTTTCTGTGACCAAATTGCTCACTAAAAGATGGTGCGAACTTCGGGAAACTTACGATATCTATTCCCAAGTCCCAATCTTTGAACATGGCCGAATCTCACGGGGCCGCCGTGAACACCAAAAGCTTGAAGATGATGTTCATTTGCCGCTCCAGAGTGTCGAAGAGTTTAAGGCCGAATTTGAGATAGATATACCGGACGACGCATTTCATACACTTGTGGAGGACTGGTTTCAGACCATGACACGGCTTTTAACGCTTTTCCAAAAGGGCCAAGCCAGAGAAATTCTGTGCCACGGATACTTGAGCTCGAAAGCTTGTCGACTGCTTGACGGAAGCGTCAAGGACGAAGAAGATGTTTTGATCAGCGGCATTATCGATCATTTGATTCTAAAAAAGCGGGATGCCGCGACACTCTCACCTACACCTTTGAAACTGAATTTGAGTAGCGCAGCAAGCTACGACTTGAGGCAAATTTTAGAGGTCTTGCCTCAGCTGGTTCAAGACGCAAGCCAGGAATTGGAGGTTATTGTCAGTGACGTGAAGACAAGGTCCACAAAGACTATTCCGCAGCAACAGACTGTCATAAGTGCTTCAAAAACCCAAGTTATGTATTACAGGTACTTTTTGGAGAACCTCAGCTCGAATGCCGATCGGACTTATCAAAAACTTCTCATAAATGCCGGAAGGCGTGGGTTCGATGTAGACGCCCCTATCAACCCCGCGAAAGTCATTTACTTGATGGAAGTCGATTCGGTGATTGAGCAAGATATGTTAAGATTACAGAGTGGTGTCCCGATCGGCTTTGCGCCTTTCGATAGTTACATCGAGAGCTGTGATACTCAGATGCAATACACGCTGGAGGATTTTGACGATCTAATTCAAGACTTGCGAACGCGACAAAAATACGGTCACTTGTTCACCAAATGGACTACCCCGGTGACGCTGCGATATTTTGCGGCCCGCCTTGCACAAATGTATACTAATCTGAGTCCACTGCTTTCTACAAATTTGATGGTGGAGTATTATTCAGGGGACGTGAACTTTCATAACATTCTCTTCAAATACGACCCTAAGGAGCTTGAGCGTGAGAGCGTCGATAGTGCAATGTTCTGGTTTGGAAAACGAAACATTGAACCCATCAAGCCCACGTTGAGAAATTTCCTGACCTATTGCAAGTATTGCGATTATGAGAGCGTATGCTTATGGAAAAAAGAGGGCAAAGATGCATGTCGAAGCCTGGGTGACGACCTCACCGATCTTGACCAAAAAGTAGAAGGAAATGACTCAACGACGACAAATTAATGCGTGTCTGAACTTCGCATTGTTGAACTGAAAAAAATCATTTGTGCCGTGTCTGCTGCAAACTCCAGCCCATTACCCATATTTATTATAAACACATGTTACTCTCAGTTTGAAGAACCTCCGCAGAGCCGTGCCCTAGAAACAGTCTACGACTATGATTCGGAGCTAAAAGGTAAATCATATATCAATCACCAACCGGATTATAAATCTGACACTATGGTTCGGAGGGCAGCAGCTCGTATCCTCAATAAGTGCTTGAAAAAAAAAGCATAACGAACAAAAGCCAAATATCTCCATTTTCTCACGATCGACATTAGAGACTTCTTCGATTTATTGCAGAGGAATGATGGAAAATGAGATTTTACGAGATGAAACAAGAACGACAGCAAAATCTGTCACTCTAGAGTTTGAGGGTAGGCGCGCAGAGTAGAATCTACAAAAGCGTGTCTTGATCTTGTGGGTCAAAAAATAAACTTTTTCTGGATCTTCGCTCCTCGTAACATGAAAGCGGCCAAGTACTTGAGAGATTTTTAGACTTCCAGTTGAATTGGTGCGCTAGTATATGACCACACTTTAGAGAAGTTGAGTGCCAAGTTTACAGAGATGAGCGACACCATAGCTTCACAAAAATTAGCAACATCACGAGTTTACTTTTTTTGATCAGGGATTGAGAACTTTCTGGCTACTTACCTAGCTGGAAGTTGGAAACAATGCTATTACAAGCTGCGAATCTTGTAAAGCTACAAAACTACTTTGCAATTTCGCGACGTGCAAATGATGAATCTCAGTCGTGATGTTGCTACGAAGACAACGCAATATCTGTACTTCCTCACTAACCGCCATGACTATGGAGAACTGTCTAACACACAAACAGCGTGGGATCATCAAGCAGAACAGACTTACGAACGCAACGACTGTGTAGTTGTTCCAGGTCGCGACATCATCAACTCCACCACGTGAGATCCACGTGCGTAAAGAATCATTGAAGCGAAAAAAAAATATATATTTAACGGCTACGTAGAATAACTTTTCTGTCCATTAACACCTCTCATAGACTACAAGTTTGCTCTCTATTCAACGCTGGTGTCGATAAAACACCCATTGTATCCAAGTTTGGATGCATTGCAAGCCGTTATTTACAGAAATGAGAGTGCTCTTCCTGTTGGTGCGAGTCAGTGCCACATGGGTGTACTTTTTTCTGCATATAAAATAACGAAGAACATACGACTCCCACTATTACCAAGACTTGTGACTGGCAAGCTTCGGCAGCCCTTACCAGTCACAGATCCAAAGAAATTGGGAGCACATTTTTGAAAGACAGAACAATTGTTTCTGCAAGTAAAACGTCTCGTCGTGGTTGGCAAACGCGATTCTTCTTCCTACAGTTCTACCCCTTCAAGTATGAATGGCAGATGATTGTGGGTCTCTTGTTAATCTTGACAATCGTCGATTCTGCTTTGGCATTCGATCTGCTTGGGCAATCGAACTAGCTAGCACTCTGCTGTTTCAATGAGAGCTGCTTGCTTAAAGAAGCGACGAAGAAAAGCCTGCAATTGGGAGTTCTCGCTTTACATAGAGCGGAGTTTGTAATCAAAGATCCATTATTTACAAGTCTAAAGGCACGAGAACACAGATAAGTATAAATAGGTAGGAAAGCACCGCGAATAGCGTGAAAGTAATCATTATTCTACTTCTTCCTCTGGAACCAAAGCCTTGGCATCCTCCAAAAGTTTGGCTAGCTCGCCTGACTGAGCCATGCTCATGACAATATCGCAACCTCCAACAAATTCTTCGTTCACGTACAGTTGTGGAATTGTGGGCCACTCACTGAGCTCCTTCACGCCCTCGCGTAACTCTGGATCTTCCAATACGTTATAAGCGGCAAATTTTAGTGGGTCCACGCCTTGTTGGCCCAACATACCAACCGTGGCCCGAGAAAACCCACACTGTGGGAATTCAGGCGTACCTTTCATGAAGAGTACTACTGGTGCCGATTTGATAGCTGATGTGATAGCCTGTCTGGTTTCAGTGCTGATGAGTCTGACCCATGACGAGGGCTGTTTGTTAATGGTTCTATGAGCAAGTCTTGCGAACATCTTTTGGCTATTCTTGGGTTCGATGTGTAGCAATAGGATGAACTGTATGGGTAATGATGATTACTATTATGGATGTTTTCAACACAATTATCCGGTCACGTGGAAGATTACGATACTGCGGTCGTCGCTTCTGGCTGAGTTGCTGGGCTCCGAGCTGTCCCGAGTTGAATCATTGCAACGTGGTGGCTCTTAATTTGTGTGTGCGTGAGCGTATTGTGATGTGGCGAGGTAAGCTCGAAATATCGTTTCACTAAGTTATATTTGCGTCCGTAGTAGTTGACTTGCGGAAGTGGTCTTTTAAGTTGTTCATGGTGAGTCTGATTCGTGTTAAGATTTGGGGTTTAATTCATCTTTCGGTGGTATTTCTAGAGTTGAAGAGTATGAGTTTCAAGGTGAGGAATAAGCCATATATATGCATACAATTATTTGAATGTCGGGTATTGGGAACGAAGAGTGTTAGGTTTACTAGACCGATGCTTAACGTATCGGCCACCATTTGATCGGAGCAATGAGACTAGAACAACGCGACTGTAGGCGCTATTTAACATCATTGTCGAGACCTCAGCGTTCTTATTCACTACAGATACGCTCGATTGAATATCTGGCTTTGTCACCTTGTACTGTTCCGTCATTTTTTTTCTTTCTTTATGATCCTATTCTTATCTGCTTTGTTATGCAATTGACGCTATCTAGCAATAGCACAGGAATCCTGACAAAGTATGAGCTCTCGGCCACTGGTATTTACAAACTTATTTGAAAAACGAGTTTCAATAGCGAGAAGTTTTCTAGACCGGTCCCGACCTCAATTACTCTGGCACAACGCAACTGGAGCCGTGTGACTGTTGGCACTGCTCAAGTTGAATGTCTGAACTTCAGCATTCTTGCACTATCAAAGTACATCACTTTGTACTATTCTGTCACATCTCTTGGTTTTCTTATGATGCTCTTCTGATCTACTGCCTTGCGCAATTGAGGCTATCTCGCAACACAGGGATTCTGGCATGTCCAAGAACAAGTTCCAAAATCTAGTGTACTTGTGAGTAGTATATTCGCACGTACACTATTTGCACCCAGAATATTTAAGACAGAACATGTCTGGACGAACACTCACCACAAGAAACAGAATCCACGAACACCATAAAATTCGGAAACAATCCAAGACCTACTAGCATTCGCTGGCGCTTTTGCCCGCCAAGGCTTCCTCACGTGCAACGCTCGCTTCATCGACGCCGGTCATATCCGAGAAGATCTGCTCAAACGAAACTGTCTGAGTTATTGCCGGTGAAATCCAGCACTCTAGCGAATATGGCGGACGGCGATTGCTGAAACAAAGTGCTCTGCACAATGATGCTACATTACAATGACGGAAGAGTTACCACAGGTTGAACGGTTCGAGCGCTCGTGTAAAAGTACTGATAAGCCGGCGAAAATTTGTGATGATCGGACAACGGCGGTTCCGGGGAACCACGATGCCATATCCGGCTGCACGAGCAAGCACCCAAGCCAAGCTGCGCAGGCAACTACATAGGACTGGTGGGTGCAAAGTGTCAGCGAAACCGCTTGAAGGTACACGTTCGTATGAAACGATAAACCGACAAAAGCTCTTTTCCTCTCTTTTTCTGCATTGTCAACTACCACACGCATAAAACGCTCGCGCTGGTCCTTCCTTGGCGATCCAGCGACCCGCACTAAATTGTAGACTTGCCATCCTCTCTCGCTCTCGCTTTCTTTCGCTCTCGCTATCTGAAAAAAGTACATCACCATTCACGAAACATTCGAGGTTTATCATCACCCCATACGAACTTGGGAAAAAACGCAAATTTGCGTTTTGTTCTAATCTAAATTGTATCTGATTTCGATAAAACTAATCACAGGCTTAAGATGGTTTTTATAAAAGGCGCCTGAGCAAGGGCCAAAACCAGATCAACTAAGTCGTTTTTTGGATCATTTCGAAACCCATTGCTTCGTGCATTGTGCATATATCCCATTCTACACACGTCAGCATGAGTTCTGAAACCCAATCTCTCGGCTGGAGCGTCCAGGACTGGCGCGCTTTCCACGCGCGTGCTACGCCTCAGCAGGCGCTGGACCGACTCCAGGCGCTGCTGCGATCCCAGCAAACAGCTCCACAGGATCCCGCGTGGATCTCCCTCGTGTCGCCAGAGCACCTGGAGCACCAATGGCGCGTGGTCCAGAGTAAGCGCGACAAACAGTTGCTGCCTTTGTACGGTGTCCCTGTGGCCGTGAAAGATAACATCGACGTGGCCGGGTGTCAGACCACAGCGGCGTGCCCCAGCTACGCCTACGCGCCAGAACGCGACTCTACCTGTGTGGCGCTGCTACGCAACGCCGGAGCCATCATTCTAGGAAAGACCAATCTCGACCAGTTCGCAACTGGTCTCGTGGGAACCCGCTCGCCGTACGGAAAGACACCTTGTGTTTTCAGCGACAAGCACGTTTCGGGCGGCTCTTCCGCGGGCTCTGCCTCTGTTGTTGGGCGTGGAATTGTCCCACTAGCGCTCGGGACCGACACTGCTGGCTCGGGCCGTGTCCCGGCGGCGCTCAATAATTTGGTTGGGCTCAAACCTACAAAAGGTCTATTTTCATGTGCAGGCGTCGTTCCAGCATGCAAATCGCTAGACTGCGTCTCGGTATTTGCGCAAAACCTGGGCGATGCTCAAACTGGGTTCAAAGTCATGGCCCAACCAGACATCACTAACGACGAATACTCACGTGCCATGCCTTCCAATCCATTACAACGCTTTAGTGCTAACTGTACCATTGCCATCCCACGCGACGTGCTTTGGTACTCTGCTGCCACCTCGGAAAATCCAGGTTTGTACCAGCAAGCGCTAGACAATTTGCGCGCTACGGGCGCCAAGATTGTCGAGATTGATTTCGAACCTCTCTTGGAGCTTGCCCGGTGCTTATACGAAGGCGCTTGGGTTGCCGAGCGCTACGAAGCTACCCGCGATTTCTTCAAGTCTAACCCAGATCCGAAAACGCTCGACCCAACCGTTTCTAAAATCATCAACACCGCTACCAGCTTCGACGCTGCTGATGCTTTTAGCGACGAATACAAGCGTCAAGGCATACTGCAGAAAGTTTCGGTCCTACTTCGCGACATTGACGTACTTTGTGTCCCCACATGTCCTTTAAACCCCACATTTGAGCAAGTTGCTGCCGAACCTATAAAAGTTAACTCCCAACAGGGGACCTGGACAAACTTCGTAAATCTAGCAGACCTCGCGGCACTCGCCGTACCTGCCGGCTTTAGAAGCGATGGGCTATCTACTGGTATTACTTTGGTGGGTAAAAAATTCACCGACTACGCACTCTTGGATCTAGCTCAGCGTTATTTCAAAGAGGCTTTCCCTAACAACTCCAGAACCTTCGGCCAGTTTAAGAATCGTACCGTTACTGTCGAAGACGAACTCGCACCAGTGCCTTTCAGCCCTGAAGATTCAATTAAGCTGGCAGTTGTAGGCGCGCATCTGAAGGGATTGCCCCTCCACTGGCAACTCGAAAAGGTCAATGCCTCATATTTAGCGAGCCCCAAGACTTCGCCCAATTACAAACTTTACGCGCTACCAAAGGCCGGGCCTGTATTGAAGCCAGGGCTCAGAAGAGTAACTAACGACTCCACAGGTGCTCAGATTCAATTGGAAGTTTACAGCGTACCCAAAGACTTATTTGGCACATTCATTTCCATGGTCCCAGAACCATTGGGAATTGGGTCGGTAGAATTAGAATCTGGCGAATGGGTCAAATCTTTTATTTGCGAAGAATTCGGATATCAGCAAAAGGGTACCGTGGACATCACTGCATATGGCAGTTTCAAAACTTACGTTGACGAGTTGGCCGTTGAAGAGGCCAAAAATGCAAAGCCATTTGATACCGTCTTGGTTGCCAACAGAGGTGAAATTGCTGTGCGTATCATGAAGACTTTGAAAAAACTGAAAATAAAAGCCGTTGCAGTTTATTCAGACCCCGACAAGTACTCACAACATGTTACCGATGCTGATGTTGCCATTCCGCTTAAAGGTGCCACCGCTGCTCAAACTTACTTGGACATTGACAAGATAATCGCTGCGGCCCATGAAACTGGTTCTCAAGCTATCATTCCAGGCTATGGGTTCTTATCTGAGAATGCTACATTCTCTGATAGATGTGCAGCCGAGGGTATCGTTTTTGTTGGTCCCGATGGTGATGCCATTAGAAAGTTAGGTCTAAAGCACTCCGCCAGAGAAATTGCGCAAAAAGCTGGTGTACCTTTGGTTCCTGGGTCCGGCTTAGTCTCGTCTCCACAAGAAGCTAAGGAAATAGCAAGAAAGCTGGAGTATCCAATCATGGTAAAGTCTACTGCCGGAGGTGGTGGTATTGGCCTACAAAAGGTTGACTCTGAAGAAGATATTGAAAGAGTTTTCGAAACTGTACAGCATCAAGGTAAAGCATACTTTGGCGACTCTGGTGTCTTTTTGGAAAGATTTGTTGAAAACGCTAGACACGTCGAAATTCAAATGATGGGCGACGGCAATGGTAAAGCGATTGCAATTGGCGAACGTGACTGCTCTTTACAACGTCGTAACCAAAAGGTGATAGAAGAAACCCCTGCCCCGAACTTGAGTGAAAAAACTAGGCAAAGAATGCGCAGCGCTTCGGAAAATTTAGGCGCTTTGTTGAAATACAAATGTGCTGGTACCGTGGAATTTATTTATGACGAAAAGAGAGACGAATTTTACTTCTTGGAGGTAAACGCTAGATTGCAAGTGGAGCATCCAATTACGGAAATGGTCACCGGTTTGGACTTGGTCGAATGGATGCTGAAAATCGCTGCTGGTAATCCTCCAGATTTCGATAATGCTAACATTACCGTGACAGGAGCTTCTATTGAAGCTCGTCTGTACGCCGAAAACCCAGTTAAGGACTTTAGGCCGTCTCCAGGTCAACTCACCGATGTTCGCTTCCCAAATTGGGCTAGAGTTGATACTTGGATTTCAAAGGGTACTACCATATCCGCGGAATATGATCCCACTTTGGCTAAGATTATTGTCCATGGTAAAGATCGCAATGACGCCATTCAAAAACTTAACCAAGCCTTGAATGAAACTGCCATATATGGTTGCATCACGAACATTGACTATCTCAGATCTATTGCTTCTTCCGAAATGTTCAAGACTGCAAAAGTCGCAACTAAAGTGTTAGATTCCTACGACTACAAGCCTCGTGCATTCGAAGTTGTTGCCCCAGGCGCTTACACCACTGTTCAGGATTACCCAGGTAGAGTTGGTCACTGGAGAATTGGTGTACCCCCATCGGGTCCAATGGACGCGTACTCTTTTAGGCTTGCTAACAGAATTGTCGGTAATCACTACAAAGCACCAGCCATCGAAATAACTCTAAATGGCCCTAAGATTATTTTTCACACCGACGTGATTATTGCTCTCACAGGTGGTATCGCTTCGTGTACCTTGAATGACAAGGTCATCGAGCAAAATAAGCCAATTCACGTCAAGAGAGGTGAGCAACTTGCCGTTGGCAAGTTGAGTCAAGGATGCAGAGCTTACTTGGCCATCAGAGGTGGTATTGATGTTCCTGAGTACTTAGGATCTAGATCTACTTTCGCTCTTGGTAACATGGGCGGTTTCAACGGAAGGGTATTAAAGTTGGGTGACGTTCTATTTTTGAACCAACCTGAACTTGCATCTTCTGATATGCCAGCTCCATCTTACGCACCAAGCGAGCCTCCCGCTAGTCTAATTCCAGTCTTGGCTGATAACAAAGTATGGAAAATAGGCGTTACTTGTGGACCACATGGCTCTCCAGACTTTTTTAAGCCTGAATCTATTGAAGAATTCTTCACCGAGAAATGGAAAGTTCACTACAACTCGAACAGATTTGGCGTGAGGTTAATTGGACCAAAGCCCAAGTGGGCAAGAAAAGACGGTGGAGAAGGTGGTCTTCACCCATCTAATGCTCACGATTACGTTTACTCTCTCGGTGCCATCAATTTCACTGGTGATGAGCCTGTAATTATTACTGCCGATGGTCCATCTCTGGGCGGCTTCGTTTGCCAGGCTGTCGTTCCTGAAGGCGAACTGTGGAAAGTCGGTCAAGTTAAGCCTGGTGATTCTATTCAATTTGTTCCCGTGTCATATGAATCGGCTAGACTATTGAAAGAATCTCAAGATGAAGCAATCGAGTCGTTTTCTGATCACAGTTTGAGAACGCTGACACCAGACTTAGTGCTACCTAGCTACGAAAACCCTATCTTAGAGCAGCTTGCAAAGACGTCCGATTTCTGTCCAAAGGTCACTTACCGTCAAGCTGGTGATCGCTACATTTTGGTTGAATACGGTGAAAACGAAATGGACCTCAATATTTCCTACCGTGTCAACAGGTTGATCACTCTCGTCAACAATCACAAGACCGTGGGCATTGTTGAGATGTCTCAGGGTGTTCGTTCAGTTTTGATAGAATACAATGGATACGAGATAAACCAGAAGAGCTTACTACAAACTCTAATCGCTTATGAGAAAGAAATAAAATTCGACAGCCACTGGACTATTAAGTCCAAGATTTTCAAGTTGCCGCTCGCCTTCGAAGACTCCGAGACTTTGGGTTGTGTCAAACGTTATCAAGAAACAATTCGTTCCAAGGCTCCTTGGCTGCCAAACAATGTCGACTTTGTTGCAGACATCAATGGTATCACTCATAAGGACGTCGAAAAAATGCTCTACACTGCGAGATTTATGGTCTTAGGTCTTGGTGATGTGTTCTTAGGTGCCCCATGTGCAGTTCCGTTAGACCCTCGTCACAGACTCTTAGGATCCAAGTACAACCCTTCCAGAACCTATACTAAGGCAGGAACGGTCGGTATTGGAGGCATGTACATGTGTATCTATGCTATGGATTCGCCAGGTGGTTACCAACTGGTTGGTAGAACGATCCCAATTTGGGACAAGCTAAAACTTGGTGCTCACTCCACTGACCATCCATGGCTACTGACTCCTTTCGATCAAGTGGAATTCTACCCTGTCAGTGAAGAAGAACTTAACAAATTTACTGACGAGTGCGAAAACGGTCAGTTCCCAGTTCAGGTCGAAGAAAGTGTCTTCGATCACAAAAAGTACTTGGAATGGATCCAAGAAAACAGCGAGTCTATTGAAAAATTCCAGAAAACCATTGGTGGAGAAAAAGCTGAGGAGTTTTCGAGGCTCATGCAAGAATCTAATGCTGAACTGGAAAACTCCGCATCTAGTGCGCCCATCGAGGAAGAAGAGTTCCCCGAAGGCGCTGAAATGGTTTACTCTGAGTATTCTGGTAGATTTTGGAAACCCATGGTTTCTGTCGGTGATTCGGTAAAGGCTGGTGATGGTTTGATTGTGGTGGAAGCAATGAAGACTGAAATGTTAGTCGCTGCACCAAAAGACGGTAAAGTTTTGAAAGTTATACACAAAAACGGTGACATGGTCGAAGCCGGTGATGTTGTTGTTGTTCTTCAATGAAGACACTTGAAATTTGTAAAATAGAAATGTAAATGATGTTAAATTTTGAAAATGGTTTTATTTATTCACCTATGCATGAGAACCTTTATTGGGACCCTTATTGATATTGTCAGGAATGAGCGGAGATGAACTTGTCTGGCTATCTTTTGAAATTCTTCTGTCAGATGAATCTGATATCACAGGAGAGGCAGTTGTAGGCTGTGAAAGTTGTTTGAAATCTATGGCTTTCTTAGAAGCACGCATCCTGTTTTGGATACGACGCTTCTGTAATTTTAATGGTACGAATGGGATGTATCCCAGCTTTTCTTCGACCAGCAATGTCTTGATAGCGCCGATTATTACCAACCAGTAGACGTTATAGGCGATGACGGAACTGTACGTAGCACTGTTAGTCCACCCAAAGATTGCGGTGAAAATCATCCACAAGCCGTCTCTTTCACCATTGCAACAGTTCACATGCCAGATAGACCTGCTGATATCATATGACCCTGGCCCATTGCCCACTTCGGCCATGTCCTGCCCGTTACAAAGGTTGACATAGCGTTGAACATCAAATTGCCAAATACCTTTGGAGAATAGTCCGGCTGCAATTAAATATAGGAAGCACGTTGTAACGACCAGACTCACCTGCAAAGAGAAGGATTTGGATGACTTGAAGAAAAAGTAACCAAAAATTGAACTTATCAGAGTGGCGGCTAACATGGACAAAGGAATTGACGAGAGTGGCTGATCTATTCCAACGCCTCCCACGAAAACGACAGCTTCAAGTCCCTCTCTAAGAGCCGTTACGAAAGGTAGGATAAATAAAGCGTATTTTTCGCTAAATTTCACCGCTTTCTGACCATTGTCCTGCAAGATCTTGCTACGATCGGAATAGATGATTGTCGCCAACTTGATTCTGAATTTCTCTCTCAGTTTGCCCATTCTCAGGAAAAACAGCCCCATAACGGAAATGATCACCGATGCCACGGTACTTAACACTCCTTCATAATAATGCTCACTTGCGGACCACAAGTCGGTCCCGATGATGTAGAACGCCACGATAAACGCTCCTCCAACCAAAAGACAGCACAATAGTCCCAAAGCGCCTCCGGAAAGAATCTGGATTTTGAGTTTTTTGTACAACTGTCTGTTGTCAATTTCCGTACTGGATTGGTCTGTAGACGTATCCTGCATCTCCTCCTCTTCTATGGTAAGCCTTGCAGTCTCGGATGCATCGCCAGCACACTCCTCATTCGAAAGTAGCGCCTGTTTGACAACCGTCAGCAGGATAGAAACAATCACAATGATTTCTAACGATTCTCGCAAGAATATAAAGAAGATTTGGAACGAAAACACTTTATCCAGCTCTACCATTTTTTAAATCTCAGTTGCTCGGTTCTAGAAGCTCAAGCTTGCTCACAGGTAGTTGTCCTCAGGTCACCTCTTATATAGACCCATGCTTTCTAACACAAGTCGGATGCACTCTGACATGACACCTTCATTGTGTTGATAAATGACGGGTGCAGTCGCTGTATACGAGCAGTGAGAAATCCTGAATCTAAGATGTCTTGTCATATCCAAATCTGAAGTCTCTGAACCAGGTACGAGGCTGATTCATGCCTATATTCTAGGCTTTGCCCTTGCTGCTCTCCGTAAGCGTCATCTTTTGTAGTCTGTGAAGCTGTCTTATGCTGTAGATGAAAATCAGCGACATAGAAAAGACACACACGGTCGTGACAAGCAGAAATCCGATGTTGCCGTCCTCGATGTAGTTTTCGAGGTTCATACCGTAGAGCGAGGCAACGTAGAGAGCGCCACCCATTGACAAAAGTCCGATACTGAAGCGTAAGCCTAGCAACATCAGTTGATTTCGATTGGAATCCAAAATAATATTTATAATCTCTTCAGTGGTGCGCACGTCGGAAATGGTGCTTCCTATGGTCTGTACAATCTCTTCCACGTGTGCGTAGTAGGTTTCAAGCAGCATCTCGATTTCGGCGTGGTCCTTTTCGTCGCGAAACTTGCCGGCACGCTTGCTAGACAAATACATCTCGCACAGGTCGTCGTCCTGGTCCAACAAATCATCAATCATTTCGCCCATCAGCGATGTTTTCTTATAGAACTGACTCAACTTTTTGTTTTGAACCAGCAGAAAGCGTAGCTTGTCTCGAGTTATACTGTACTCCAAGTCTTGTAGGATGCCCCGCGTTACGGTGAGATGAACTTTCATTTCAGCGGTCAAGTTCGACAGTGCACAGACGAAAATGGATTCTAGCGCACGAAATTCGTACGGAAGGGGGTCCCTAGTCATTCCGTTCACATCCTGGTTGCGCAATCTTAGGGATAAGTCGTTTAAGAAAGTCCGATGAGCTCTTGATTCCAGAGAAAGACCCACGGAATCGAAAAGAATAACCGTATCACACTTGACCAGCGCACGTATCGTCAGCAGACTGATGAAAATACTGTTTTCACGGACTAAAAGGATGGGGACCAGGTCCTTTTTGCGAGACTTCTCTATCTTCCGCAAATCTCGAGGTAACATCCCATGCATTGAAATCAGGTCCTCTCTCTTAACCTCCAAAGAAGGGGTCCCGACATTACCTTGAGAGTCTAAAATGGTGCATCGTAGCGTGTCGTTACTGTCATTGTAGAGGGCGTTATTTCTTTGGGCTAGGTTTTTCTGTAGTAGAACTGCAGTATTGGAAGTGGATTCGAACCTTCGGGGCCAGCTAAAGGATCGGGGAATACACGATGCACGTTTGTAGAGAAATGGAGCTCGTCTCAACACGCTATGTAAAAGCATAAGCTTTTATTCTGGTCAGGCTTTCAAGATCTGCTATACAAAATCTCTTGTTTGAGGACAATTAACGTAATTATGTATGTATGTATACATATATATATGTATGCCTTCATTTCAACACGACAAAATATAAAAGTTTATTTTAATGCGCTTGAATATGGTACAAATGACTACTAGTATTGACTGTCGAGCTGTTGGGCTAAACTATTCTAATGACTTTTTCAAACCTCTTTAACACCTGGTGGTAGAGGAAACTTCTGCGCTTCGAAATACTTTCTAGTACAGAAAAAGTAATCCCACCAAGTGTTATCATCGGCAGGGTTGCAAACACACTGATTCTGTATTCTAATGTTTTCTTCGGCAGGGCAAGAGTAGAAATTTGGATGATAGTAGCCAACGCCATCAAAGAAATGTACCTCACTTTTGTCAAGGAAAAGTGCCGCAGCAATCGAATGCACCGGCGCATCGCCCCATCTTTCGTAGAAAAATCCACCAGCCTGGTCGAGATAGTTGAAATATGCCTGGTAGGCATCAGACCTCCAAAAATCAAGAGACCCTATTTCAAAGTTGGACCAGAAATGGCACATGTTGTAGGTCTCACCTTGGTCATCTGAAATAAAGTCCATCAGATTATTCTCTTTCACATATTTGGGATACTTCTTTATGAATTCTTTGGTAGTTTTCCAAAGCGTTGGAATGGTTTGTTCGTATTCGCTCATAGACAAAATGAACCCGTACTTCTTTTTGTTGAGCCTCATGAATTTGAATACATCGTAATGAATGTCGCAGAACAAGCGGATCTCAGGCTCCACACGCCAGTAATACTCGTAATCATTTAGTAGTTCATTCTGAAAGAAAAACCCTGATTCAAAACGGCACATGTGGCGGTATGGCACCGAGTCTCCGTAAATCACCTTATCGTCTATCATTTTCTGACGACCTTTTGCAGCTTTGTCCTCGTCAATCCAATCAGGGACAGACCAGTGCTTTGGGGATATATGCCCATATTTAGTCTTGCCTGAGGTTAGAGCCGACGTCACTCTGATAAACTCATCATCAAAGGGTTTGTCATTTAGAAAGACCCAGTCGTAATGAAATCTGCGATTGAAGCGGTCTTCGACGTGTCTAATGGACGATGCAAGTTCCCACAAATCGGAATTTCTGGCTAAAGTGACGAATGCAGCTTTTTCGCGTTTCCCATCGTTCACTGGATACTCAACCTTTTGAACTTTGTCGGCGTGCGGTTTTTGCAGTGTTTGTGGGTCGATTGGTGTGATGTTGTTGGCAATGGAGCTATGCTTTTCCCCCGTTTTACTTTCTAACCCAGCATGACGTGAAGGAGGTGTGTGTAAAAGAAAGAGAAGACAGAGTGTTGCCACAACACTCACGAAAACAATCCGGATCGGACGCTGATATTTCTTCACCAAGATCGCAGATTTTGGCGTGAGCTTCTTCCTTGTCGATGGAGCCATTTTTTGAACCCTTAAGTGCACTCAATGTGTATGCCAGAAAGGTCAGAAGCTTTGTCAAGGTCACCTTTAGATTTATTTTCTTGACGGTTCAACTATAAAAGTATGTTATTTATTTAACGTCTGACTTCAAGAAATTCAAGATTTCATCAGAGGCTTGTCCGTTAAAAATAAGCGTGTCACAATGAACTCCTCGAAGTTGTGAAACTAATTTTACCTGATCTTCATCAATTTTTATTAGTTTCTGGCCAAATCTGGATATTTCTGGATATAGGATCTCATCTTGACCGCATACAATTAATATCTTAGTAGATTCAAGCACCTGAGCCCACAGACCAGGGTTGAAATTGGTTTCTAAATTCAAGTAGGGATCGAGATGGTTTCCATTAGGAGCATATACGTTTTTGAACATTGCCAGCTGGTCCCAGGTGAGAAAATCGATTGCGTCAGTACGAGATATGCTGGATTCGGTTTTCGTTACGTTGAGCCAGGGGCTAATTGTCACACACTTCTCCGGCAATACCTGGCTTTCGACCACACACTGCTGTAGTATGTTTAGACAGATATTGGCACCTGCAGAGTCGCCAAATAGCCATACACGGTGGCCCTTTGCAACCAAGCTTCTATATTCCGCCCAAACCTCGTCGATGGCTGTGGGATAACGTTCGCACAATGAGTAATCAACGTAAGCAACGGAAAGATGACCAATTTCTTGTTTGAGGCATCGTATATACTTCAAACTGCTCGCTATCAAGTCAATGCACATCCCGCCGCCATGGACGTACAGCAAGACAGGAGCATTCGGTTCTTCGTAGATCCACCTCAGCAAACCTTTTTGAGGCCCTGCACCTAACCACCAAAACGCTACCAGGTTTACTGCTCGCAACGTGGGGTTCACAATCCACTTTAGCGTGACTGGATCTAGGTTGTTTGCCGCTTCCATTAGGAAAACTATGATCAACATTTTGGCAAAACTCAGGTCATGAAAGTTGCCACTCAGCCAACTTTTGGCAAGCACATAGGGCAATCGTATGGCCAATTTGCCAAAATATATAACAGGTTCTATCATTGCTCACTCTATCTTTTGGTTCTTAAATGAATTTAGTTATTTGCAGAAATAAGTTGCAATCTTTGAAATGCCATCTAAAAACAACATATTTTAAACATAATGAGCCGTGAACGAATTGTGAGCGACGCTACCAGACTCCTGACGCCTAGTTCCGGCCTTTCTCTCGACGATGTGGTGCAGAAGTATGCCACCAAAACGAATTTGAGTCGTCAGATTTTGCAAGATCCACAGGATTTCAGTAATGAATTTTGGACTCAGTTTCAACAGTATTTAGTAGTTGATGGAAGTCGACTTCGAGTCTGTCACAACCTTCCGATTCAGCATGGAGATGGTCCCGTGTATGTTTTCATTCATGGCTTGGGTGGAAATATGACACAATTCGAACCTCTACTGAGGCTTCTCAACGAACTCAATGAGGGATTCCTTGCAATTGACTTACCAGGGTTTGGGTATAGTGAGGAATGGCCCAAATATGATATGCTAGAAATTACCAAAGTTGTTGAACGCGTAGTGCACAAGCTTACTGAGCGTAAGAAGCTGGTAGTAGTAGGCCATTCTATGGGCTGCCATGTCGCCATGCATTTTATTCTGAACTTCGATACGGAATACAGCATAAGAGACATGGTCTTTCTGTCTCCACCAGCACCAAATTTGCCACAATTGAACACACTAACAGCTCGCTTGGGGCTTTTCGTGCTTGGAAATTTGCCTGTCTTGTTTGACTGGTACAGAATATATTTTGATCAAAGCAAAGGGCTCCAAAGCTCCGGTATTATGCAGTTCTTCCACAATGATGAACCGTATCGCAAGCTTTGGCAGTTTTTCTACAACGTCCAAATCAAGAGCCGATCCATAGTTCAGTATTTGAGGGGCTGGGCCCCAATAGACTGGTCAAGTAAAAGTTTTGAACGATTGAATAGCACGGTTATCATAACAGGAGATGTAGATCCTGTTACTCCACTTGCTACCACAAAGTCATTTTACGCAGCTCTCGAGTCTGTCAGGAACAGAAATCTTATAATTCTTGAAGGCTGCTCTCACAACATTTGCTTTGATAGTCCGAAAGAAGTTGCGCAACAATTCTTGACTGCAGTGGTAGATCGTCACGGTTAGAGTTTCAAGCAATGATCATTTTTATATAAGATTACAAATGCTTGGTTAATTTGATAATGTATATGCAGGAGAGAGCTTCAAATTTACTCAATTTTTATTCTAACGGCTTTGACAGAAGTGTAAGACTCAAAAGCTTCAATGCCCATTTCACTACCATACCCAGATTGCTTGCAACCACCAAATGGAACAGAGGCATGGAAATCGTTGTAAGTGTTTACCCATACGGTACCGGCCTTGAGCATTTTAGAGACTTTCAACGCGGTAGAAACGTTTTCCGTTTCAATACCAGCACCTAGACCAAATTCGGAGTCGTTGGCCATAGCAACAACTTCGTCGATGTCTTTGAATTTAGAGATGGTGACGACAGGGCCGAAAATTTCTTCCTTTACGATTCTCATGTCCTCGTTAACATCGTAAAAGATGGTGGGTCTGATGAAGTAACCTTCTTCACCAACTCTTTTGCCACCAGTCAAAACTTTAGCGCCTTCTTCCTTACCAATGGCGATGTAGTTCATGATGGTATCGAATTGCATTTTGTTGTTGATAGCACCTTGAAAGTTGCTTTCTACAAATGGTGAACCCACGCTGATGTTTTCTTCAACGTATTTCTTGAATGCAGGTAGCAGTTTGTCGTAAATGCCTTCTTGAACATATATTCTGGAGCCAGAGGAGCAAATTTGGCCAGCATTCAAGAAAATACCGTTCACTAAATTAGGCAAGGTCTTCTCCAAGTTAGCGTCGTTGAAAACCAAATGAGCAGACTTACCTCCCAATTCCAAAGTCACTTTCTTCAAGTTTGATTCGGCAGCCTTGATTGCAATACCTTTACCGGTACCAGTGGAACCAGTGAATGCAATTTTTCTTATTTTAGGATGGGTGGTCAACGTCTCACCGACAGCTCTACCAGGTCCGGGTATGATGTTCACAACACCCGCTGGAATGCCAGCTTCTTTGCAGAGCGATGCAAAGTAAAGAGCGTTCAATGGGGTAGGAGAGGCAGGTTTCAAAATGACAGTGTTACCAGCGGCAATAGCAGGTGCAATCTTCCAAGAAAGCATCATGAGGGGAAAGTTCCATGGAATAATTTGACCACAAACACCGACTGGCTCTCTAATTGTGTAGTTAACGTAACCATCGCCTGTGTTGATGGCTCTTCCGTCCAATTTGTCGGCATACCCGGCAGAAGAGCGGAGGAAATCAATGACGATACCTACGTCGCCTCTCGCTAGCCTGAGTGCTTTACCATTGTCCATCGACTCGATAGAGGCAATAAGTTCTTTTCTTTGTTCGACAAGGTCGGCTAGCTTGAGCAAAACCCGAGACCTTTCCTTGGGGTCACACGTTGACCACGAAGACTTGAATGCTTTCTCAGCACAGTCGACAGCATAGTTGACATCTTCCTTAGTACCAGACTGCACTTCTACAATCTTCTTTGCGGTGGCGGGGTCTTCGACCAAGATGGTCTCGCCGCCGTGCGCCTTGACGAATTCATTGTTGATGAACAAACCTGTGGGCTGTTCGTATGTGAAGCCGTTAGGAGTAGTCAATTTAACAAAATCCGCTTTAACCCTGCTAGACGCGTATCTGGTTCCAAGCGCTAGACTGCGGGCATTCTTTGCCATGCTCAGGACCGAGCTAGCATTTCTAAAGCACACTGCAGTCATGTTTTTCCACGATGCTCTAACTTTTCAGTGTATCAAAATCGAGACGACCTTGTAAGGAAATCTGGCAAAGGGCCCACCAAGCACTTTTATAGAATATGAAGTCATGTTCACAGGACGCCAAAGATTACTCACTACCGAACCGCTCTCAGCGTTTTTTTTTCTTCTTTTGCTTCACCCACTTGACCTAATCGATAAATGTTAGTCGTTCCCGCACTGTCGTGACTCGAAAATTTGAATTGGCGGCCCCGCAGCGGCTCGACGGATATGCGTCACTTCACATGATTCGAATCTGGACAATTTGGCACCGCTTTCTAATTCAATTGCCTGTAGGTTGGTTTTGATAATATTCCTCAGAAAACATTGCCAACTTACTGGCTTCATCAACGACTGGGACATCGTCATGTCTTGTTGTGAAAAAATTTGTGCAAAAAAAAAAAAAGCCGGTACCGGCGCTAACCAATAATGTCAGAGTGGGTTTTGATAATGCGCAGTAAAACGCTACAAGCAGGGTTCAAATGTACAATTAGTCTTGATGTCAAGCGGATTTAAGCTCTTGTTGAATATCATTCTTTTTCTTACAACGAGAAGAGTGCCTTATCATGCGCGATGGGGATGAAGGTTCAGCTGGAGGCCGTGAAGTGGAGTTCAAGTTGATATGCGAGATCAATCGTCTTGGAGTTTATAGCTCAAATGTGTGGTGAAATAAGTTAGGTCTTTTAAGCCACTTTGGTAAAAGTGATGTAGCACGAGCAGCCCTGTCAGCTAATGTATAGTGTACTGGTTCTCTCCGATATGCCTGCGTAGTTCTGCCATGCGCAGACCTTCAAGGCGCCCTATGAGGTTGTGGGCAAGATCCTCGATTCTTGCCATGCCCGCGTCGCATGGCACGGGCCTGGCACCAAGCGATATGTCACAGACAATGGTAGATTCCAAATCGGCACTAGTCTCCAGCTGGAGTAGCGAGCCACGACCCACTTGCAATTTGCAGTTGATAATTTTATTTCCATAAGTGCGCGCCGCGAGCTTGTTCGAACGACCCAAAAGTGAGTAATCGTGATTGGTGTCGCAATTGAAACGCTCGGTGCGAACATTGAACAGGTCTTCCAAATACAAGTCGTCTCGGTCTAAAATTTCTCCAAGCAGCACGATTGCAGCAAACTGACGGACGTGACCGCTGGAAGCCCACGACAAATTTCTACCCATGCCGGCATGGAGGAAGCTCACATGTAGATCAGGGTTGTGTTCCAACGAGGAGAAGACGAAACCCTTTACGTCTGGCTGGTTGCACCACACGACATTATCCATATTTAACCGCGACAGATCGGTCAATCTGTCATGTATGAGCTCGAGAAGCTGTCGTACCTCCAGCTTGCTTAGGCTGTAATTATGTTGCCTTTGATTTAGGGTTCTTTGGCCTCTGATCTTGGTGCGTCTGTCGATCGGGGGTGGGTAGTTTGATGAAATCCACGACTCCCCCAGCATGGTATATGGAGAAACGAAATGCAAGTCGTCTAGCTTTTTTGACAGAATACCGCCTGTATTTTCGTAGGAGCCATGGCCTTTGCTGGAGTCGGTAAAATAGACCGACTCTAGATTTCGTCCCACAAGCGCATCAGCATCAGACGTAGTCACTTGTACATCTGGTAAAAGGGACGTTGCATGATTCCAGTTGGAATCTTTCTTCGTGTGCAAGCGAAAATCTGTCGAAATACTCAAATCGGCGAGATTGAGAGCAGTGATATTCGGGCAAAGCTTTACAACATGGAAAAGGTAGCCAAGCGGAATGTCCTTTGAGAGGGCGTACTTCAGCAGGAATTTGTTGGTCATTGGGTGTCGCTCATGGAAAGGTTGATCTTTTAAACTGGTTTGTACAGAGAACTTCACGGACGTCCTGTTATTTGCTTTGTCCTGAGTGCCGTCAGCACATACTTCGTCAATATTATTGGCATTTTTGAACTTGGCTTCGACAAATCTTTCATATTGCTGTTTTGCACTTTTCTTTGAGCTGAAGAGTTTATTGAACCACTTTCCCGTAGCAGCTCCCTTCGCATTATCGTAGGATGACGTTAAACTAATTGAAGACAACGAAGGTGAATTGTAGAAAGATGACATGATGGTAGTTGTAAAGGAGGTCACGGAACTATTCGAGCGATGCGATCTACGACAACCTGGACCTATGCCAGTGCTGCCGGTTCCATTAGAATTAATGGAAGAAGGTCTGGAGTTTACCTTACGCATAGCATTGTTACAGGTTAGCATTTGATTTCCGTAGAGTGGATCAAATCTATACCTCCAGTCCCTCCATCCAGCCAAAGCAATGTCCGGAAGATCGTCTTCAATCGGGGTCAATGCCCTCTCCGGGTCTGCCACCCCCGAATCCTCTTCCATGTCCTCTGTTTCATCTTCATCGGCCTCTTCCAAGATGTCCCGAGCCGAAGTCCTTCTACGCGCAGGTATACGCTCGTCACCAGAGCGGCAATGTTTATCAGCTTTGGACTTACAGCCTTCTTCTATGAGACCGTTTTTTAGCATCGACAGGTCTAGCTGTCTAACTAGCAATCCGTTCTGAGGATGTAGTCTAAGCGTGGTAACAAATTGCGCAAAACGGTAGGTTGAAGTGAACGTTGGAGCCTTGTACAACTCAGTCTTGGTCGCCTCGTAAAGCTTCTTGTTAACATACAAGCATCTTACAAGCGTTCTAGAGTCTTCAAAACACGCACCCTGAGTGAACTGCTCAATCACCATAGCCATGATTTCCATCGGAAGTTCATTTATGTCATCGTATGGGCGATAATCTTCAAAAATCGCATTGTGTTGTCCTCCAGAGCTGGCTAAAGCAGTTCTTGAGTGAGCCGTCGGTAAATTGCGATTAGAGTAGGAACTTCTCAAGGAGAAGATAGAAAACGATTCGCTAGAGCTATGGTCGTGGAATTTCCCAATAAATTTTTTGGCCCTGAATGGTGAATTTCCGCTGTAGTTCTGGATTAAAGACTTGTATTTGCGCTTGAATTTGGACTTTGTATTGTCAGAATCCATTCTTATGCTATTGTCATCGGAATTAGACCCCCCAGTGGCATCATGCCGCGAATTTTCGGTTGACCCACGGCCGTCAGCACTATACAGCGTTTGGTACACTGATGTACCATAGCGTGAGTAATTTGAGCTCAATATATTGATATGTGGATTTCCCGTCATCCGCCCTTGCTCCTAGTTTTAGGATTAACGAGAAAACTTTACTTTCTTTGAGAAGACAAGAAACTGGATTTGAAGACACTTCCAGAGTAAGTGATTGTTGATGACGTCCACAGCAAACTTGGACCCTATGTGACACTTCTGAAACGCCTTGATTGTATCCCCTTATAAGTCGAAAAATTCTAAATGATGTGGTGAGACCAAAAAAAGAACAACTTTGAAAATCAAACGCTATCTAAGAAAACGCAATACCTATTCACATTTCATTTAGAAAAGCTAGCCTTTACATTCTATGTACAGTATTTTAATTGGGGTCATTTCAGATGGTCGTGAGCATTAGTGTTAGGTTATGATGGGAAATATTACTATTTCTTGGGTGTAGATGCCTCTGCGGCCTTGGTCTGTTCATACTGAGTTTCGAACTCCTTTTGTTTCTCCATCTGAATCTTCATTTGTTCTTCTGGTGATGGCAAATTTCCCTCCACGTAATCCTTGAGCGTGAAAGTTTGGCCACCAATTTGTTCTTGCTGGAGCCTGATCTTCTCTTTCTCCTCCTCAATCAACTGCATGAAACGAACGTAGTTCTTCTCTCCTTCCTCTCTCAGCAGATCAAGCGGGAACTTGACCTTCTGGGTTCCGACAGCACCAACACCAAGGGCTTTTAGGGCCCAATTGCCATTGGCTTTGGATTCCTGCTCCTTGTAGAACTTCTCCTTGAGGATCGCAACACGACGTTCGAATTCTTGTGGAATAAGGTATTTATCGTTGTAGCTGTTCAAAACAGGTCTTACGTCGTCCGTTTGTTGTGTAGCCAGGTACTCTAGGAATGGAATTAGTTTCAGCAAACCGTCATCAGCCTTACCATCCCAAGGTTTCATAGGCAAGGCATTTTCAGGCTGCAGCTTGTAAGCGTTAGGGTCGCTGTCGATAATAATAATCTTTCCCAAATCTCTGTTCAACTTAGATAAGTCCTTCACATGAACACCGTCTTTGTACAGGCAATGTTCTTTGTACAAGTTGTAAGTGATAAAGGCATGGATAGGGTCTAATTTCTCTGCAACCTTGTCGGAGTACATCATGTAGTTAGAGGAAAAGAGGACAATTTCGTAGTATTGTGAAAGATAGCCCAGAAAGTAGTCAAGACCGGGTCTTTTGGCGGTTCTCCAGCCGTGTTCTTTAGTCCACTCGGAGTGTACTAACAGGTCTTCAAGTGTCAGGACCAAGGTCAAAGGTCTTTGGTATGGGGGAGGAGGTGGTGGTGGTAGCAAATCTGGGAAAGGGGGCTCCTGAAAGTAGGAGAAAAGAGAGTTGAAACGTAGTTTCAAACGTTTGTACATCAAATCAGGTGTGTAACCATTGGCGGCTTCCTTCTTCAACTCCTCGTCCTCGTCGTCTTCCCAATCACGCGCCATGTACATACCAGCACCGGCAAGAACAGCAAAAGATCCAAGGTAGAACCAATTGGCATAGCGCTCGCGCTTAATGTCGGTAGATGTTTGACGCTTTCTTCTGCGTTTTCCCGATCCATCTTTGGCCTGGGACTCTTCGGGTTCGCTCTTTTCACTTTGCTGCTTCCCTTCCTTGTCTGCAGCCGTTTCATCAATATCCACACCAGCTTTAACCAACAAATCATCAGTCAAGATCGAGTTTGTCTTTTGCTCTTTCTTAGTATTTAAGGCGCATTTCCCACTAGTGAAAGATCTTGTAACGGTAACTTTTGGAAATAGGCTATTTCTCAAAGGAACTTTTGCAGTGGCACGGACAGTGCGCCCCAAAATTGCCAGCATTGGTCTCTTTACTGCTCTTGAAACCTAATTCCAATTTTTGTCATCTCAATCTTAAAAAGTGAATATTTCGATTTTCACATCTCTTGACCTGAAAAAATTTTCGAGCTCTTAGATTTACCCGGAAGCCTGCATAGGCTATCATTAAGACATGGCACACGGACTTGAACCTCGAACTAGCGCCAAGTGTACAATTTGGACTTCTCTGGGCCCACTTAAAGTCGAACTCTGGGCCAAGGAATGCCCCAAAACCGTATTCAGATTCTTGAAAAATTGTGTAGACGGCGAATATGACGGTGTAAGTTTCAAAAGGAAGGTCTTTGACGTTGCTGTACAAACAGCAGATGCCGGCAATGAGCCCTGGGAAACTATGGAGATGGATACTCGAATCAAAATGAATTGCCGAGGGTTGCTTGCTGTGTCCCCAGGATCAAAAGGAGCGTTTTTCGTGACGCTGAGGGATGCGACTGAACTAGACGGTAAGGTGACAGTATTTGGGAAGCTAGTTGACAATTCGTACTACACACTGCTCCGCGTTGCTGAAAAGGAATTGAAGCCTGAGCCGCATAGTACCGAATACTTATATCCGGCTACCATCGAAAGGATCGAGATAGAAGAGCCGTATTTTGAGAAACTGGATGCAAACAAAAGGCCCATCCAGCAGCTGGTGGCCCATACCCCGAAACCAAAGCGTGCTAAGAGAGCAGCAAAGATACGCCTAGATTATGAAGACGAAGGGGACGCAGAAGAAGCCGTTGATGTTAAAATCGCTGCTGCTCACGATTTGTCGATCGATGAAAGTCTCGTTCGTCAAACGACTAAATTATCCCCAAACCCTGACTCTGAAGAGAGTCAGAAAAGAATGGAAGGGTTTGAAACACCACAAGAGGGCGTGGTAGACGAGCCGGTTGAACAGAAAGCTAGTAGCCTATCTTCTTTTTTACAATCATCTGGAAGTGCGTCCGGCAACATCTCCGAGCGAGAACTCAAGACGATGGAGCTTCTTGCAAAATTCAAGCAAAAGTCGGCGCACTCCAATCCGATCACATCTCATGAACTTAACTTCAGCAAGAAGGGACAGTAGCGTACAAGGAACCGTGGCGTGCAACCCTGTTATTCCAAGAGTGTATAGAAGGTCTTGTAAGCTGCATCTAGACTGAATAATAGTTCACTAGCCTCATCCTCTGATATTTTCTCCGCAGCTTTCATCTTGTTAATCTTTACAATCCATTCAACTAGGGTTTTGCGGTGCTCGAAGTCCTGTGAGCTGACTCTGTTGACGCTTAAGAGGAGTTCAGACATCAAGGGGTGCAATTGGTCCTTTGCACGGTAATTTAGCTTCAAAGCATCCATCACAGTAATGAAATTACCCGTGGCCTCTGCGACAGCTTTCCCGCTGAATTTGTTCCCACTACTCATGTGCGAGGCATCCTGGTCCTTGTCGCTTCTAATTGCATGCTCCACAGTAACAGGCATCCCGCGCTCTATCCTAGTCATAGCATTGGAAGCGCTGATATTATATCTCTCCTTAAAGCTTTGTAGATTTCCAAATTCCTTGCATACCTCATCATTTGAAAGGTACGTCTGATATTGAGCCAAAAGTTTGTTGACGGTCACCGTATAATCTTCACCAGATAGGCAGTCCCTTAAGTAAGCCTTCTCAATCTGATCTAAGGCAATGATCAGTGAGTATATTTCAGCTAAAGTTTCTGTCGTTTCCCGCTGTTGTGAGGTAGTAAAATGATCAAAAAGTGGAACTTCGTCGCGAAGATTTTCGATGGTTGATTCAGCACCTTCCATGGCCAACCCGTTCATTCGTAATTATAAGACAGCTTGGCTCCTAGGTGATGCCTATAGAGCATAGACTTACTTCCATTAAGGTACAGCTATTAGTTCTGCACTGTAATTGAAAATGGTCATCTTTCGTAAAAGTCACATCAAACGTTTCTACATGTCAATAAACTACTTTGTTCCTAGGATAGTTTTTGAGGTTATTATAGATGACCAAATGCATACTGGTGATCTCTACTCAATCACCAATATCCTTTTTGGTGTTTTAAAGCTTGTGTCGTATTGTATTCCTAGTTGCTTTAAGGTTTGCTTGTCTGCCAAGTAAACTACCGGAGGTAAGGGCGGATACTCCAGTTCTCCGGAGCTTTTGCGCCTTCTTATCCCACCAAAGGACTCGTAAAATGACCTAGCGTTTTTCGCTATTTCCCTTTCTCGAGCCACAACATTTTCAATATGTTTCAGCTGGGGCAGGACCCATGGAGATATATCAATGGGCTGGTGAATCTCGAAATCCTTTGCATTGCCTATTTTAAATTTAATTGTGACACCATGTGTAATGGAAAAGAGTTTTCCTCTAGTAGTTATCGAGCTATGGTAATGAAACGGCTCTAATTCTTTTTTACTCTTCAATAGTACGGTCTCCGGTGGAGGCTCTGCCAATACAGGTGGATGAGCGGGCAATTTAAATAGCACTGCTGGCTCATTAAGGGACATTTCATACTGCTTAAATTGCAAGTTCTTAGTCATTACTCGAACATTTGTTTCAAACTGGGTCCCTGACTTTGTTATCACTTCGTTGAAACTTTTCACCACGGTGTGTATGATGTTTTCTTTTGAATCGTGATGGGAATCATAAGTTTCTAGGAGTTCTTTGATCTCAAATGTCACGGCCTTAAGTTTGAGCTTTTTGTTGATCTTCATTGGTGAGCTCTTAAAGGCGCCCGAGGATAAGCTTGGAATGATGTTCAATTTAAGATGAAGGAGATCATCGGAAGTGATGCAAGGATTTCGGACTTCGTACTTGACTTGAACTTTTTTGTCCGGTGAGTGATAAGTTCGACTTAATGGCTGTGAATGTTTTGAAGACGCCAGAATATCGTATCGTTCTACATTTACTGCAGTTGTGAATGTTTCCATAAGCGGGTTTCCCGCGATCGTGAAGTAAGTAGCTCGACATTCCAAAGTAGTAAAACAGTGTCCAAACCGCGGATTGTAGTTTGTTTCCTTAATGTCATCGGGAACACTAATTGTAAGTGGAATGTCTATCCCGACCAGCTTTTTGCTAGAAACCTTTACGTTCTTCTTATAATGAACGACAGTTTTTTCAATTTTAGTCCTTGAACTGAAGGTGTGTCCTGAGCTATTAAGAGCCTCTGTAGTTTTTAAAACTACCTCCATACCCTCAATGTAAAACTCTCCACCATCACTAGATCTCACTCTGAGTTCGCACTCCAATCTAGGCTGGAATAATTGATGTTAGTCGTGTACGCGATATCTTCAAACTTTCAAAGGACATACCAAAGTTTCAGGTAATCCAGGGCAACCTCTTATGATTGAGTTGTAGCTTGGCTTTAATGATATCACTGGATGCGTCATAAAATCTAAGCTATCGAGTTTTGAGGATCATTAATCTTAACCAATATGTACTACATGCGATTGATGATCAACTTCAAAGCGCTTATAGCCGTGAACTGCGATCTACTATCTCACGGTTCCAGCTGAGCTCAAGTGGAACCCGTAACACGTAAGTTAAATATTATTATACTACAATATACGTTAATTCCTCGTTGTGTATATAGTGTCACTAAGCAAGTGTGATTCAAAATGATCACGCTCGTCCGATATCGAACCTCAAGCCAGCATCGGAACGGGACGAGCGATACAGTCTTTTTAACTAAGCGTTACTCATGTCCGTGTCGTCGCCGCCAAGATCATTTGACGGCAAAGGCGTTGAAGCTAACGGTGCCTGTGAGCTGAATTCACCCGCGGCTTCCACTCCCTGATTCAAAAAGTGTAACGTTGCACCTTCGTTGACCAAATTCCAGATCCCAAGATAAGCATACTCTTCGATACAGTTGTTCAGTTGTAGCATTGTAAACCCTCTGGACCTAGCGGTCTTCACTATCATATCAAAGGGCAAACTTTGCTGCACTTGCGATCCATCTCGCGCCATGTTTTTGATAATGGTGTATATCTTGGTAGTAGGATTTTCTTCCTCCATGTTCTTGCGACTGTCTTGGTACAAGGACTCCTTTGAAACTTGTAGTAATCTTATCGCTTCTTCTATGTCGTCGAACTCCACCTTGTCGCTGAACCGAAGTTTAGCAAGGCCCTGTGATATTCTGATCATAGCTAAAAGAGTTCTTGGCGTTGCTTGGCCAAATGAAAACCTGGAGTCCATGGCCTTTTTGGAGTCTTGTCTCATCCTAATATATGACTGTACCACATATTCGTTCACCTCTCGGCTGATTGTAGGCCTCTTTGTCTTTGCATAGGCGATGAACTCTCTCATTTGACTTTGGTCAAGTGGAACAAAGCCTAAATCTGGCTGTTTGTTGTGCATGTGAACAAAAGCTACGTGCTCCGCAAGCTTCTCATCATCCTCACGATTTGGCAAATCCAGCAGCAAGAATAAAATATCAAACCTGGTTAGAAGAGCAGCCGGTAGATTGATATTTTCCAGGGGTGATAATCTTGGGTTGTATCTACCATACAATGGGTTGGCAGCTGCTAAGATTGATGTTCTTGCATTCAAAGTGGTATTTATCCCAGCTTTAGAAATGGAGATGGTTTGTTGTTCCATAACTTCGTGAATTGCAGTTCTATCACCTTCGTCCATCTTGTCAAACTCGTCGATGCAGCATATTCCGTTATCGGACAACACCAATGCACCTCCTTCTAAAACCATTTCATCAGTGACGGGATCCTTCATTACAGCTGCGGTTAAACCTACACCCGAAGAACCTTTACCAGTAGTATAGATACCTCTAGGTGAGATTTTGCAAATAGATTTCAGTAGTTGAGATTTAGCTACACCAGGGTCACCCATCAAACAAACGTTAATATCACCTCTGATTTTCATTCCATCGCCAACCCTTTTGTCTACACCGCCAACAAGTAGCAATAAAAGAGCTTTCTTAACATCGAGATTTCCATAAATCTCAGGCGCGATTGATTTGGCGAGTCTGTTATAAACATCACCTTGGGATGCAATATTCATAACCCTCGCTTCTGTCTCCGGTGTAATTTCGAATGCAGCAAACTTCTTCTTGTGCTGAAAAATGTATTGGGTTTCCAAATATGTCTCCGTTAGGAGACCTGCTTTCAAAGCTTTGAATCCAGTGTAAGGGGCAGGCATGTAGATACCTGTTACATCAACAACATCGCCAGGGCTCAAAGACCTAACTAGAGCACCGTTAATGTGTATTGTCAAGCTTCGAGGAATATGGCCAATTGGCACTTGTTCAGACATTTCTTGAATTTTGCATTCTTGAAAAGCGCTAAATTTTGATGCTCTTGTGCTCATGAACAACTGACCCTTAGTTTGGTTTTGAGTACATTGCTCTGAAGTGCAGTCAGCCAGTGGTGTAAATGTTCGCGAGTTAACCTCTTGAAAGACTTCATACCCACACTGGTCGCATGTATAAGCGTTTACCAAAACGGACGGCTTTACATCGGAGACTCTAGTAACGATACCACTCACCGTGATCAATTGGCCTAAACAGTCACCTTTGATTTCTCTAACGGGCAAAGGCGCCTGCCACTTATGGCTGTATGCAGAGCTAATAGGTTTGAAATAGAGGTTGTAACGTCTTATTAGCTTCGCAGGAAACAAGTCAGATTCTTGTTCAGCGATTTCCCGCATAAGGTTTTCATCTTGAAATTCGCCTGGAGCTTCTGCAGCAAGCTCGCTACGCCTTTCGGTTAAGAGTCTGTCATTTCGCAGCTTACGCTGGTAGAGAATTACGTCTAGAACGTCGTCCCTATAGTTAATTTCCTTAGTTGGTTGAGGAAGCAGCTTGTCGACTGCACGGCTGAAAAGCTCAATGAAATGGTAGCAGTTATGAACCACAGTTTTGACGAGTCCCGTGGAGCCCGCAAACGCGCTGGAACCATCAGGATCGGATGTCAGTAATTTTTCATTTTCGTATTTCTGTAGGTCGTCCAACTCGATTTCAAGTGTTTGAAGTTCGCGATTGGCGACTTTCTGTAACAATGCCATGTATTTGGGGCCCTCCCCAATCTCCATTTCATCTTCACCAAATATATCACGGTCAGCGGCATTAGCTAAGGAATCATTCTTGAAGTGAAGAAGAAAGTCCTCGACTGTTGTTTGGATCTGAGCGTAATCCACTGGAATTTGAATTGACGGTAATGCAGCACTCATTTGCGATTTTCTACCAGCTAGTGTTGTAGTTTAGTTTATCGGATGGGCACTGACCGAGCAGATTGTGAGATAGCACAGCTTTTGTCTCGAGCTTTCCACGATTTCCAAGAGATGAGTTTTCTGTTTACTGTTTAGTATTTTCCTAGTGCGAAGTGATGCAACAAAGATTTACACGTTTCACGAGATCTAATAGACGCGTCTCATTGTAAAACATGGCTACTCAGCGTATTTCGTTTTGAACTAGAGCCGGACTAGAAGGCAAGGCTTGAATATAATCCAGTATAATTGTAGGTCTCACGAATTTGGGGCTTAGGTCCCAGAGAATGCGACGCCTGGCCCGGGTGCTTCTTCTTCGTCGAACCTCCGAAAGGCTCGCTCGCAGAAGTGACGTACTTCTAGATATAAATTATTCTAGAGGAAGCCTTTTGACTTTGAAATGGTTGACTTTGGGAACATCGGTGTGCACAATACTTTGTGCAAATCATATTGATTTGCATACTGATTAATGAAATATGGAAGTGGCAAACCAAGAATTTCTCAGGCCTGTGATTTGAGTACTGAACACAAGGCGAAGACTAGATTCACTGTCGAGACTGTTTGGAAATTTTTGGGATCTTGAAAAGTACACTACTTGATTTATGATAACAGAAAAGCACTTCGTGACGAAAGCAGTTATGCTCGCTGAACAACAATCCACGGGAGGCCCAACTCGATTCGATTAGGAGAACATCTAACTTGGAGCGAGATCGAGTTCAAGCAGGCTCATTATAGTACAAAGTGATAAGGGACGCAAGATGCAATCCACTTAGATAGCGCCATTAGATCTAGGCCTCGATTGAATATGTGACTTCCGGTAACTCTCCGGTATATTGAGATGTTGTCTGTATCCAGAAAAATATCGGAAATATCCAGCTAACGCTTATTTACGGCTAAGACATATTTTTGAAGTCCATTTAAGGTAATGCCGACCATCTCAAAAAAAAATGGGCTAGTTCGACGGAGAACCGCGAAAGCCACCGCGAAAGGTACTCTGCATTTGAAATGCGTCTGGGCTCTTGACCGATGGTATTGTCACAAATGGTAGCGCCAAAGCGGACATGACAGATATTCACAAAGTGATATGAGGGATACAAGGGCGCTGAACATATTGTGACAGTTGCAGAGCCAGAACCAGTGAATGCATTGCTGTCTAGACTGCAATGGTAGCTTGAAGCGAACGATATCTGCGCCGGTTCATATCTAATGACCATCTCTTTTTCACGTCTGAGAATTGTATAAATATTATCGGTGTGTTCTGGAGCAAGACATTGACCTGGAGCTTGAAAATATTATCGGTGTGTTCTGGAGCAAGACATTGACTTGGTGCTTGTAAACGTTATCGGAGTGTTCTGGAGCAAGACACTGACCTAGAGCTTGTAAACACTACAGGTGTGTTGTGGGAGCAAGAGATCGATCTAGTACTTGAAAACACCACTGAGAGAGATTTTTCCCACCTTTATCTACAAATTGACTTACAATTATGGAAGAACTCAACAAAGATATCAGCAAGCTTGCTGGATCAGACTCGCGTCGATCAAAATTCATTCAAATAAACCTACTCATGGCGCTGAGGTGCTTTGTTCGTTGATAGTAACTGACTTCACGGACACCTCAACTACGCTCATCATAACTGACTACACGAACATCTCAATTACTGACTACACGGCACATCAACTACGCTCATCATAACTGACTACACGAACATCTCAATTACTGACTACACGGCACATCAACTACGCTCATCATAACTAACTGAATGAACACCTCAAGCTGTATCCCCGTGAAACATTGCCACTCCTCTCTTGGCCTATCCTGAGTTCTAGAGATTACCATCCTAGCGACTCGGCTACCGTCTCCGTGATCCCGGCTTATCGTTATCCCCATTGATCTTTTTCCCCCCCGAAGAATGTCGTGTTACCCGGCCATCGTTATTTGGACGGCGTCACACTGGTACAGAGTGATCTCCCGCACCACAGTCTCGTCCAGGATCCAGGAATCGCAGCGCCCACTCGCACTCGCACTTGGGCTCGCCCACGTATGCGTCCACCACGGCCGCCCACGCCTGTTGCGGAGCACCAGCACGACCAGCATGCCAAACATGAACACCACACGTGTCTAGTGATATCCACATTGTCCATCCTCCATTCAAAGCTCTCCCGCTCTCAACGCTCCAGCCTGAAAGCCCATTATTCGCACCGTTTGTTCTCCGCTCTCTCGCTGCTGTTCCCCTGCTCACTCCCACTCACTTCACACGTCCTGTTCATGCGCTGAGGCTTTCCTCGTTCCAACTGTTGCAATTTTTAGCACATATTATGGTGTGAGATCTGCTCAACAAACTATACGGCCCGTAAGGTTATTGGGCTCGAAGAAAAGCGATGCGATGCATATATGAAGGGTTTGGCAGCGTGGGCGGAGATCGGGCACGTATATATAAAAAGAGGGCGAGAGATAGCTGTAGCTAGCAAGAAGTGATCCACACGCACTAGGTACTCCACTGACAGCTTATTGTGTGCGTAGACTACGGAATACGAGCGACTATCACAAAAATCTACACACTAATGAACGCACTACGGCTGAGCTGGAGAAGCTCTTCCAGACTGAATTCGAGCATAACAAGACGCACCTTCGCTACGTACGAATCGTCGGCGTCTGCCACCAGATGCCCGCTCAACACATCGTCCAAAGTGTACATGTTCTATCTCACGCTTGGGTTTGTGTTGCCGTTCGCGCTACCTTGGCGTGAAAGCAGTCGAGACCCGGACGCAGGCGTCAAGGGCAGGAGCAACCCGAGAAGCGCGTTCCAGCGGCAGATTTAGCACAGTGCGTGCAGATCATCACTATTTATTACCGGAGCCTATATATATTATTTACGTTTGTATCGCATAATTGCAGGATGTTAATTGTGGACTTAGCTTCAGAAAAAGCGCTCAGGCTCGAGCAACTACACACACCATGCACTCCTGGACCGAGATCGTCGAGCTCATCGCGTCGGGCGAGCTTCAGCTACTTAAGCGGACTCAAAAGACCACGGAAGCGTACCATTCCTACAAGCAGGCCTTGGCATTGCGAGGAACCACTGTGGTGGACCTCGTCGTCAATGACAAGCTATGCTGGGACCGTCAAGAACTCGCGAAACTGGCGGTCAAGTATCCTGATGCCCAAACGCAGGCCCATGTGCTGTTGACAGACCGCGCGCTGTTCAGTTTGCTACCCAACGATTTCCCCTACGATTTTCCGGCGACCGTTCACCATCTGGTGCTGTGGAGCAAAATCCAGATCCCGCTGTATCGTGAGAATTCGCGCGAAATGGTTCCGGAAGTGCGCGAAACGATCGAGCAGTTCTTGGCCAGCAATCTCGCAGGCTACGATCTGCAAGGCTATGCCTGGTTCGTCAACTATCCGTATTTACAAAGCATCAAGGCGATTTCACATATTCACGTGCTCTTGAATACCAACGACTCGCCAAGCATTGACGCCATGTTGTCGCGTGGGTTTTGGCCGATTGGCGCGGGGGGGAAAGCGTAGCGGTTCACGCTCGCGAAGCGCATGATTATGTGCATGTCATTTTCCTGATGTCGAGCACACGATGACTTGGTGCCTCCTTGCAAGTGTAAAGCCTTCTCGAAAATTCAATTTGGCTCAATTTAATTAACAGATATATAGTTACACACCATCAAACTCGAGACGATTCAAGATCATTGATAATGAATGCCTAAAATTTTGGTGCAGCCGCCTTGGAATCAAAAAGTGACTTGTTTGGGACCTTGGTAGTACGTCCGAGGCCAATACCAAAATTTCACTAAACTCAAAAGACTCGTTGGAGCCTAAAGATCAACACCGAGACTTTAGTGAGCAGGCCTTTCTATCGCGCAATTGTTCTCTCATACCCAAGGCGATAACGCTACTGAACAGGTCAGGCAGTTCTTGGCCGTTGCGCTAAAATAAAAAACCAGAGCATTCCCCTGGGCCGGCTCACAGTCCAATAGACACCCCCACATCATCTGAGTTGACTTTTGAATTCCCCAACACAAGACGTACCTCAACTTTTTTATTCTCGACAAGAGTTCTCGGTATTGACTCGCCAGAATGCGGGACGTACACGACCTCTGATTTTAATGTATTTTCTCCTTTCTTGTTAACACCTTGAACTCTACTAGGCAACCAATATATGATTTTCCTGTCGCCTTGTATTTTGCAAACCGCCAGCACATCATTGCTGGCCTATCTGGAGTTCTGGGAAATAATGACATTTTCGTAAACACAAGATGATTATCGTCTGTTGAAAGTCCATCGGGCTAAATGCGTTCCACATGTAATCAAATCGTGTACATCTTATCAGCCTTCAGACCGCCTCATTATATCTCGTTCATTCGTTTCCCTAGTCGATTCTCTCACCGTTTCTCCTCTCACGCCAATTTGGGTCATTATATACGTGTCGACGGCATCTCATCGTTTCTTTTGTCCTTTTTTCACTTTAAACTTTCCCGCCCATCGCGATGTGCTCATGTTAGACATTTATTCTGCTCCCAAGTGATCTTGCTTCATATCTGCCGTTAGCAGGGTACTGTCACTTCCTTTACTGTAGAATCAGCCCCGAGATACATGACACGCACTCAATGGAATTAAGACGCTCGTCCAGACGCAAACCGCTGGGTAAACCAGTGGACAAACCCACTGTCACCCCATCGCAAGCCAAACTGGTTCCTCGCAAAGTGAAAAAGATTCAGGGAACGCGGCCCTTGCAAAAAAATGTCCCAGCGGCTATACTTCGAAGGCCACCATTTCGACCCAGTTCTGAACAAGCCGCAAGAAAAAGCAGCAACAATTTATTAAAACTAGTTGACTTCGAGATCGTGCAATCTTGCAACAAAAAGGTCTCTACCATAGCCAAGGATAGAAATCATCTCAAAGACTCCGCATTGCACAAGTTAGCTCAACAATTGCATTCATTTATAGAGGCCGCGAATGAGCTCAACTCGCATGAAGTCACCAGCCACGCACAGTTGCTGGAACGTATCAAAAAGGAGGTTGCCAACTCTGAGTCGAAATCGTCAGCAGCACACGCTGATCTTTTGTTTGCCAAGGTCCTGACGGACACTAAAATCACAGAAGAACAAAGCCTCACTCTTTTGAGCAAATGGCACGGTATCGACATGCAGGACGTGGCCGACATCGCCTTTCTCCGTGAAAAACTCAAGCCGAAAGCAGATCGCAATGCTCGACATCGTCTCGAATTGCAATGTGTAAACAAAAAGGTTAGCAAGTCGCTTCTACAGGAGCGAGATAACTCGCTTGGGTGGCCCGAGAAAAAAAGAGGCTGCTTGCATCCGCACCGACCGCAAATATTGACGATACTTTTGCCAACGTTGCGCTTTTGTCCTGATCATGGGATAAACTGTGTCTAATGTTTTTCTTTAATTTCCATCCAACTAGAAGATATTTTATTAGGATGATATATTTCTCCTTTGCATGTTAGTCAGGATTTATTCTTGAAGCTGTTCAACTCCCTCATCGGTTTCTACGTCGGTTTCATGTAGTGATTTTTTAAACCATAGGTTTGGAGGCTTGCACAGATTCACTCCGTAAACTTTACTCACCACCTCCTCCAAGAAATAAAACAATTGCCCCGGCAGGTATGTGAGCATCATCCCCCAGACGCTATATATATTTTTAAGCTCCAGAATATCAGAACACATGTATATCATCAATGGAGAAGCAAATCCTCCGCCGAGGTGGTCATCCAACTGAATATCTTTACGAATTTTGTAATAGATCAAAGTTCTGTGCAGAACGTGGGCAAGAGATCCGTACGGCTGAACCCACTTGCTTACTCCGATAACTATGCTAGACATGACAAAAATCATCCATAGAAAGTGGCCTCGCGTTTGAGCGGCCTTCTCCACTGCTGCCAGCCGCATTATCATGAATGCCACCCCCACGAAGAACATAACGCTCAGGTTGCCGTAGTTGAAAAAAGAATAAACGATTCTCATATACTGACCTCTTTTGAAGACCAGATCAAAATTGTAAAGCGCCTCGCCAGCATCCACTATTGTTGTGCTCATAAGCACAGACATGATAACAATGCCAGCCACCCATGTCTTCGTCACGGCCGGCACGTCACCTACCAAATTGAATAGTAAAGCGTCCATGGTGGTATTCGAAGCCTTTTCAGTACGTTATCGTCGTTTATTAACAATTGAAATAACTTTACGATTAAACTTTACGAATCAACTTTATTAATTTAAGGCTATACCTATCTTTATCATTTATGGAAATTCACGTATCACCATAGCGAAAACATATATAGGGTATGATGAATATAAAACAAATTGAAAAGCTTGCCAACGAACCACCAGCATGGAGCAAGCAAGAGGAGAAAACTTTAAGACGTCCTTTTGACTATTTAGCGTCAAGTCCGGGCAAAAACTTTAGATCAGAACTCATCATGATCTTCAACTCGTTCTACAAGTTGCCAAACCAAAAAGTTGCCGTGATTTCCAAACTGGTTGAAATACTGCATACATCTAGTTTGTTAATTGATGACATTGAGGACAGCTCCGAGTGGAGGCGTGGTCTGAAAGCATCGCACCTGGTTCACGGGATTCCGATGACCATCAACACGGCTAACTATATGTATTTTTACGCCATGGAGTCTCTTCAAGAGCTTGCACAAGACTATGATCAATGTGTACTGAATCAGCTTTTGATAATTTTCAATCAGGAAATGATGAACCTTCATAGAGGCCAGGGTCTGGATATTTACTGGAGAGACGACTTTGTTGTACCAGACGAGCAGCAATATCTCAATATGGTCATGAACAAAACTGGTGGTCTATTCAGGCTCACCGTGCGACTAATGGAGGCTTTTTCCGCGCAGTTCAGTGGTGAGACGTCTCTGGTGCCGCTCAGCAATCTACTGGGGATTCTTTATCAGATACGAGACGATTACATGAATTTACAAGACGCCACCATGATTAAAAACAAAGGTTTCGCAGAGGATGTCTCGGAGGGAAAGCTCTCTTTTCCAATAATACACGGCATCCGTCACGGTAAAGCCGAGGGCAACAGTCTAGTGTGGGAAATTCTTCAAACTCGAACCCAGGACATCGAGCTCAAGAAACAATTGGTTCACTACCTGGAGCATACTAGTGGTTCCATGCAGTACGCACGCAATAAAGTTTTACAGCTAGGGATTCTCATTAAAGAGGGTTATTTTCCATTAATTCAAAGGTGCGGGCACGACACATTTGCATTAAATGCTGCTGTCAACTCCTTGTGTGACATCTGAACATGAACCTGAAAACGCGAGAAGGCAACCATTGTCGTCTGCATCTGCATCGCAATTATCGTCATCATCATTATAATCATCAAAGTCATACGTATCTGTCTACTGGCTATCTAATGCATCTAAAAGTTTTTGATAGTTTTCAAAAACCTGTCTCATTTCACTCAACTTCAAATCCTCAAATTCACGATTTCGTAAACTTTTCCAAGAATCTTCTATTGGCAATCTTTTCTTGCTCAGATCTATATCAGAAGATGCTGGCAAGTTCAATACACCATTAGGCAATTTATCTTGAGTAGCCGGGGGCTGGGGAGCTACCGGAGGTGTGTAAGATCTTATTTTTCCAAAAATATTACGCAATGAGGAGTCGAAAGCTGTCCTCAAACCCTCGAACTCCTTGTATGAGTTTGACCTAGGTAGTCCCGAATATCTTTGGGAGCTGTCATTGGAGGAAACTTGTACCTCGGGCAACGCGATCTTTTGAGAGATAGGTGTTTGCAACAAAATCAGCTCATCCCCTGCCAATTCTTTTTGGGCTTCGACAGGTAAAGACTCGAAAGTAAGTCCCTCTATAAAAGTCAAGGCGGCTTCTAAGTTAGTGAGAGCATAAAGATCCTTTTCAACCAACTTTTTGTTGTAGCGGAATAGTTTAATGAATTGCAAATCCAAGAAAATATGCTTGACTGGGGTTTGTATTATCAAGTAAATGAGCGTCGAGAGAAAATCATCATTACTCAAATGATTTAAGGATTTGGTCATCTCGTCATGCAATTTTATCACGTTCAGAAGTTTTTCGTATGGAGCAAGAGGTCCATAAACCATCTTGTCCAAATGCGCTGTCAGCTTGCTACTGTCCAGATTTTGTTGTGGTACCGATAAGAAATCCATCATATCAATTTTACCACTTTTAGTGATCTCCGATAGCACCACAATTTTCTCGAACACAGCTCTATCAAATTCCAGAAACTCTGGACTGTTTTTGAATAAATTTGTGACTTTCAAATCTCGCTGGGGCTTACCAAGTTTTGATACGTTGTTAGGAACTGAAGTTCCCACCTCCAGGATCTTTTTAAACATGTCGTGCTCGCACAATTCCAACAATTTCTCGATTCTGTAGTTGTTCAACTCCGTCATTCTTAGATGCTTGTTTATTTCTTCTGGTGAGAGCATGGGTTGGATGCCGCTGGTTGAGTCCGTGCTGAAGAGCGATGACGATCTTTTTCTCGCTGTATCGCTGCTACTTCTGCTCCTATTGAAAATGCCACTAATCCCGCTGCTCAAAGTCTCACGGGCTGTGAAGAACGTAGAATTGAGCATATCGGGGGCCTTGTTTAGACATTGAAACGACGCTTTGTCGAATCTAGCGTAAAACGTTTGGAAGAGCCCCGATAGCTGTACAGCGTTCAACGGTTTCAGGTATTTCGGCTGCTTGAGATCATCGATGAAGTTATCAACCAGGCGCGACAGGTCCATTGGTAGTTCTGTGATTTGTTCTATTTCCGATGCTATTTCTTCTTTCGTCAGCGAGCCGTTGCCGTTACTTGACGAATTTGATAAGTCAGGGGACGAGCCTTCTACTTGAATCCGATACGATTCTCGGATGGCTTGAGACCCATCAAAGTTCGACTCATTGATCGGAGGGGTATGGAACATTTTTTTAGCCCCAAATTCGCCTATAGCTCTGCGTAGAAGTATTGTTTGTGTATTTGCAATTAATTTACTATATTTGTTTAGATTGATTTTATTCAATACCCTGTAAAAGATCCACAAATTACTGATCTACGAAAGCTTTGATTCGATTCAATCAACGACCTTGTCACTTGATCTGTTCACTTTCTTTTACTGGTATTAGCATTGAATAAACGGAGGCACGACTTGCTATGGTTGTGTAAAAGATATGCCCATATTTCCTATGAAACGAGCTCGCAGTACGGATGCCGTAGGAATATCAAACTACAAGCGCCAACGATTAATAGAGGATTTGCAGAATTTGAGGATATCTGAAAATGCCACTACCACTAAAGTTATTTCAGATAAGTCGATAAACGATAAAGTCTGGAAAGCTATCAGTGGGCGAAGGTCAATGGACAGCGATGTCTATGATGACATCTGGGACACTTTCCGCAGTAGAAACTTACAGGTTATCAAGTGGTACGATAGCGCGAAATTGCTTTATTTATCGTGGCTCGCCTGGTACCAGGTGCAACATGGAGAATTAGGATCGGGTGTTATCCATCAAGCCCCCCTTCAAGGACAAGAACATGAAGACTACCGTGGTTATGGCTACGAACCTATGCTCATAGATAATTGATAAATTATTAAATCATTAATGGCAATATTATTACATGTACTAGGCATCTTCAACTAGTATTTTCAACTTATCCTGGATCACCTCTGAGACTTGAGCGTCACCCGTCACTTCTTCGCCTACAGAATTCTCCAATTTTACGTACAGCTTGAAAGATGGGCTCTCGATCCGTGGTGCGATCTTAGTGCGTAATTCGGTATAAGTTATGTTGGAGTCCAATAAAAGCGCGAAAATGTCATCTTTGTAGTAAAACTTAATTTTCGTAGGCTTCATCTGTGGAGGTGATACACTTGGCGGACGAGAATGTGGTTTGGAGTTCTTTAGCGAAAGGCCGTTCATCATTTCGTAGACTTTTAGATCGTCGCCTGTAAGGGTTGAGTCCTCGGCCTTTTTGGACAAAGATGACGTGTTTTGGGAACTTTCAGTTGTGTTGGTCGGTTGATTTAGAGTCATCGTTGGCTCTTGAGTATATTCCTTGTCAAAATTATTGTTTCGAACGCTAAAAAGCGACCTGACCAAATCACATTGTGATATGTGCATTGGTAGAGCAATCAAGTCGCGGACATAAATGTTGAGATCATCTTTTCTCTTTTTCGTGATCGAGTCTGTGATATAAGGTACAGGGCCAGGGATGTAAGGCATAATCCTTTTAGTCCATTGACCTCTCACGTCCCTGAGCTTTCCAGCCTCAGCAGGAAATGTGTCTAAAAGTTTTACTTGGAGGTCGTAAAAGTCTTCATAATATCTTTTCAAAGTACGAGTTCTACCATCTGGTAGCTCACATACCACATTGAACCAAAACTTGTCGCCTTCCAGCGAAAACGAGTCCACAGCTGCATGAGTTATTGCAGACTTGAAATAAGAATCGTGATTCGGTACGTTGGCTTGGCTTAGAGAGTTTCTGTGCGAACTCATCCGCTGTTGTCGCTTATTTTCAGGTGAGCTTAAAGATATATTGCTGGCTTTGTATTTCGCCACATTGTTTTTCCACTCTTGAACTGTGGGCAAGTTGGCAGAGTGTATATCGTCACTGATTTCGTTACCTGTCGCGTACCCAGTATCGATATCGATGATGCTCACATAACCTACTGGAACAAGACCTGGGCCTCCTAGGCGACCTATGGGCTTAGCGATAAACCACTCGAAATTGTGATGAGCGCAGATGAACAAATTTTCGCCAGCATAAGTTGTAAGTTCGTCAGATTTTTCTGCGCGGAAATCATATAAGACTATAGCGTATAAGGATCCAGATCTTTGTGCCATTGCCATAGCCATGGAGTTTTCGCGAATTTGCTGTGGTTGTTGCTGCGGCTGCGTTAGTGGAAACCCGTTTCCTGTATGTGAATCCGAGCTCCTTCTGGAAAAGCTTTCAAAGTAACTCTTTGGTACCATTCCTCTCCGTTGGTCATTGGGATTCGCGGCATCGTACCACTCTTTGTCCTCAGCTTGAACAATGAAAAACTCTCCTTTCACAAATGAAAGTTCTTTCGGCGACTGAGCCTGATAATTGTACAGAGCTTTGATAACTTTTTCTTGTGGAAGCATTGACTTGCTCGTTCCTTCTGACTGGCTCGAAGCTAATGATCCTGACCGTATTGGTACCGTCTTCATTTGTTTTACCACATTGCTGTGGTCTGCAGTTGGGCCAGATATGTCTGCAGATGTAATTCTACTCTTACCGCCACTGTCTCGGCCAGATCGTTTGAATCCCTGTTATTGCAATATTCGTGTTAGTTTCAAGTTTCTAAATCTAAATCGGGATACCTCTCCCCATGTTCTGTGACAGCTCTCATCTGTAAGATGCTTAAGCTCTTTGAATCCAATAATTCGCAATTTTTGTGCTAGAAAAATTGGAATATTCGCCTAAAAATTGCGTGAGCTCCGTTAGCTGTATTAAAACATACTTTGAGCATCTTTTAACACCCTTTTGCCTTGTAGTACGCGTTGTTCCAGTTTAGGTCCTTAAATTCTTTCAGACATGGCTTTTAGGTTTGAAACTTTTAAGTTACACACTAACTACGAAGACAAATATCCCAGCGCACCAGGTTTAACGCGGCATACTCAAAAGACTGAATATTGCCTTTCCGTTCGACTAAGGAGCACGTTGTAATCTTCATTGCGTGCCCTCCTAACTATATTGACACAATTTACCTCGCAGTTTGTTACAATGCTATTGGTAGGCTAGGTCGAAATGCTAAAATATTGCCAGTCTACGCTTTCTCAACCTCATCGACGCGGTCATAATAAAGAATGTAAACATATTTGGTATCATTCAAAACCTCGTCGGTTTTTGCTTCGCGGACAGCGGCATCAGAGAGTTTCCAGAAGGGATAGTTGATGACACTCTTAATTTTCTTTAGCTTTCTCTTGATAGCAGACGCTGGCTCATCGCATTCGCTAGCACTGGTCTCGGTCATATCTGCACCAGATGAAGAGCCCCATGCTGAGGATTCCAGAGAGGCAACACTGTTCACTCTACTGCGTCTAGGAGTCGGGCCCGCATCCGACGCGGCCACAGAATCGCCTTTGTTTCCATCAGAAGCTGTAGAGGCAACAGAGGAGCGTCTTGAAAGAAATCCTGTGAGCTTTTGCAGCGTAGATGGTTTCCTACTTGGACCAGTTGAAGACCCAGATTCTGCCTGCCCTACAATGTAGTCATCGTCGTCGACAACAGGTGCTGCCAAAGGCATGCCCTGGGTAGATTCTGGGAAAACAGTTCTGAACGGGACGGTAGGTGAGTTCTCGGACTCCTGAGATGACACCGAGGACAGATCTGAACCAGGCATATTAGCTGTCTGGTTCCAGGCGATGGCGGCATTCCGGTTTGAGGCGAGGCCGAAATCAATCGTTGGGGATCTGTTGACAACCTGGCCTGACAAAGCGTCTTTGATGAGGTCTGGCTTGCGTCTGTAACATTCATAGTGACCTTGGGAATGCGTGCCTTGGTGTTTGACCATAGCCTTCAGTTTGTATTTGACAGGTTTTACGCCGACACATCTGTTGTTTTGAATGTCTTGTTCTTGAGTATGCAATTCATCTTCAAAATTGACGTAGCATGCGTTTCTCGTGTATGTCGTGCCATTAAAGACTGACCGCGACAAATGCAAAATGAGTATATCTGGTGATTCCGTCACCACAGTCTTCTTGATTATGCGAGACTTTATGCTACTAGCGTCACAACCATCTTTCTTGTAGTTGTTGATGTAGTTCATCAGATCTTCAGATAGATCTTCGTTTATGAATATATCCGACACAACGTCGGACAGAGTCTTTAATATCATAGTTTCCTCCTTGGAGTCAGCTGCGTTATCCCGTTGCTCCTCATTTGCCAAAATTGCCTTGATCTTACAGGATAGGCATGCGTACCCTTCAATAGTTTCAGTTTGATTGTCAGCTATCATAGCCGACAGGTTCGCCGACACCTCTTGTGGTACTGGTAATGGATACATTGTGAATGGATGCACGTTAACTTTCGAAGAACCTTGGCAACTCAAGCAAATCAAATGGTCCGCTAGGGATCCTTTGACGGGAAAGTCTGGAATTATGACATTTAAATTCTGTTCCTTCACGAACTTCTTGACTTTCATGTTCTCCTGCTCTAGAGTTTCTAAAATTACCTGCGTCAGCTCGTGAGCGTCATTCTGTCCCGCTGAGATTTTGGCGTCAAAGATCACTTCCAGAACATGCAAAAAAGGCCACACCGAAATGTACTTGCTTGTAGTGATGACTTGCTGAAGCTGGTAAATAACTTGTGCCAAACCCTCATGCAAGGGTACCTCGGGGATCTGTTCGCTCGATGCTGTGGATATTCCATTCTCTTTAGAAACGGAGCTTTCGCAAGTGCTTTGAGCCGCAGACGTGTCCCCTGTCGTAGTTCCATGGCCCTGGCCGTGGCGTGCCTCCTCGAGTGTGGACATTGTGGTGATGGTTGCCGTCGAGGAGAAAGATTGCAAATCGCCGTGCGGACGATGCGCATGCAAATTGGGCCTTGAGTCTTCCGGTGCCAGCGAACTTTCGAACGGGTTTGGCTTTTCCAGATGCGGCGTCTTGAGCGATAAGGCTGCTACTGCGTCAGAGCCGTCGCCGTCCTTCGCATCTGTGTTGCCACCGTCACTGCGATCGAGCAAAGATCTTAAAAACAAAACTTGTTTTAGCAAGTCGTTCATGTACGTGGTTAGTTTGGGGAGTGCCGAAAGCGCTTGCACTGACGAGTTTGCAAAGCAATCATTGCGATTATTGATGAGGCCTGTCGTGAACTTGTCACTTCTCTTTGAACTGGAAAACATTTTGCTGCTTTCCCTATTTCCGAACAAGCTTGGTGTTAAAATGTATATGGATAACGCTGTAAATGCGGCAAGCCCAAAATACTTTAACTGTTTGTGTTCCTTTTGCAGTAAGTTGCTAATCCAATCAGTATTCCCGTTGTTGTAGTATCCTGTGCTGCTGTAAATCAAGTAAGACATCAACAAGACAAATGGATTGGGCTTTAGTTGTTTTTGTCTCACTAAATCTGGAGAATCCGAACTGTTACGATGAATACTATAATTACGATGACGTACAAGTCACATGATAACTGTAAAAGTGGAAATCGAGATGACTTTATCCAATCCAGTCGTCCGTTGCGTAGTAAGCTGTCGTCTATATGCGCAGTATGTCTTAGATGATTGCCAGACTTTATCCTATCTATATAGTTCATTTCATGAATCCTCCTAGGAGCCTTGGCTTCCGAAATTGGCCGCCCATTCTTCAAATTTTGACAAGGATTCTGGAGAGACACTCTTCTTGACCGTCAGCAGAGCATTTTGGAAGTCTTGTAGATTGATCCCCCTTATTTTGCCGAAATCTACGTCTATCAGCTTATCGCCCAGTTCTCGTATGGGCTCCATAGCAGCGTCTTTTGCCAATGCCGTTATATCGGAACCCGAATATCCATCGGTGAGCGTACCTATGATTTCGAAGTCTCGCTCCGTCAAGAGGTTCTTATGATGCAACAGTAGCTTCTTAAGATGTGCAATCCTTGTTTCGTACTCGGGGAGAGGGATGTGTAGTCGCCTTGTGAAACGACGACGGGCAGCCTCGTCGATGGCCCAAGGTAAATTAGTGGCAGCCAAAACCAGCACGCGGCCACTTTCTAGATGACCCTCTTCCCTTTCTCTCGCTGTGGCACTTGAAAGTGAAGACCATTGGATGAGCACCTCGGTTTTAATTCTTCTCGACGATTCGTTCTCATTATCTGAGCGGGACGTCAGCAGTGAATCAATCTCATCAACAAAAATTATCGAGGGTGAAAGTCTTTTGGCCAAGTAGAAAAGTGCTCTAACCAATTTCTCGGATTCTCCTAGATATTTGGACAGTAAAGATGAAGCACTTATGCTGAAAAACGTAGATTGCGACTCTGTAGCCACAGCTTTAGCTATCATGCTCTTGCCTGTACCCGGAGGACCGAACAGAAGCATTCCGGAGACCGGCTCTCGAAGACCCTTGAAGAGATCTGGCCTTAGAAATGGATAGACCACTGTCTCTTTAAGTGAGTTTTTAGCATTGTTTAAACCAACAATGTCATCCCAATAAACCTTTTCACCAAGGACTAGAATGTCATTGAGAATATGCTGGCAAGCGTCTTCATCCACGCCTTCCAAAGTTTGCATAACATGCTTTATTTTCTTCTCCTGAGGAGACAACTCAACTTCCGGAGTCACCGATCTTGGTGATCTGAGGCCTGGTGAAAATGACCTAGATGGTGGCGACATTGGAGATTTCGGAGAACGGACACGGTTGCCTCTATCCTGTGGCTTGGATTTATCTAGCTTTTCCTCAGGGGTGTGCTTTTTCAGTATTGTGGTTTTTCCTGGTATTTTGATGCTGGGTCGCTTAATCGTAGGCTGGACATACTCGTATTTGGGCTTCGAAGCGTAAGGCAGTCCCGAATCTGCTAACAAAACAGGTTTCCTCGTTCTATACTCAGGTTTCTCCGTGGGGGGATTCATTTGAGACCAGGCCAAATTGGCTGCTTTGCTGACACTTCCTGCGTGGGCAAGATTGGTTTCTGAGCCCTGTCGACTGTGTGCGGTTCCACTGGAACTTTTAGATCTAGCACCTCCGTCCAAGCTTCTCCTGCGCATTTGGTCTGCTGACCTACGTGGAGATCTTCTTACCTCTAAAGACGAACGTTCAAAATTACCCTTTGGTTTCTCGAAAGTGCCCATGTGAGCTTTCTTCTCTTTTTGTATTGGCTCTTTAGGCTCTCTAGTAGCTCGGCTAGCAATTTCTCGTTCGACTTGCCTCTTTACAGCCTGTTCCAGCATTCGTGCTTGTTCTTTCTCCAACATCCTATCTTGAGCGTTCTTCTCCATAAGCAAGCGCTCTTCCTCCTGTATCTTAAGCTTTTTAAGTTCTTCGACCTCTTGCGCTTCTCTCTTTTCCTTAGTCCTTCTGATGTCTTCTTTGCGAGCCGAAATCTTGGTCTTTTTTAGCAAGCTTGAGAGCGAAAAGTGGCTGTTGGACCCCGAGGTGGACATCGGTTTCCCAGAACCTTCAGATGTGATCTGTTTCTCGACTGCATCACGACTCCTCTTTATGTCGTGGTCCAGGATCCGTAATTCATTGACAACCTCAAGAACTTCAGGATTCTTCAAGGAAAATACGTCTCTGAGCTTATAGTAGTTTTCCACCTGGGCTAAACCTTCTTCTAGATACCATAGAACTTCAGAAAGTGCTTTGGGGAGTGCTCTCAGCAGACTCGTGTCATTTCCGGCCGTCTTTATCTTTTCTTGACAGTTTTTGAACTGGCTTTCGACGATCGAAAACAACAAATTGAGTGATTGTCGCAGCGTTAAGTTGGTTGGAACCACAAACTTTGCGTGTGCCATCCTTGAAAGCTTGGAGAAGGTATCAAAAAGCTCAAAGATACTCAAAGCGTCTTATCACTTGTTATTCTTAACTACATTTCTCTCCCAGCAGTAATTTGCTGTATCGAACAAATTTACTATAGCACACAATTAGGTCAGAAAAACAAAAGAGATCATTTTCTGATAAAATATTCATAAGCTTATAGCTATAGATAGTGTTTGACACTCTTATTGGTAAGCTTAAAGGTAAATTAGTGCTTTCTGGGCATGTGCCGTCCAGTGAATTGAGGCTATATGCATTGTAACTATTCAACAATTTCGGGTACACTTGATGTCACTGTCATCAAACATATTTCAACTCGAGAAGCACTTTTCGTCATTTGTATAAGTCACCTTAGTTGATTCGGTGGCTCTTCGTGGTCTGAGTTGGTTCATGAATGTTGACTGTGTATATAATCTTATCGTAGTCTACTATTACGTTTTTGGCATGCAATCATAACTCATCGACAGCCACAGTACTAATCAAGAGTTGCTGTTATGCTGTCGTTTGCAGTATTTATTCTTTTCATCTTCATCAATTAGAAGTACCGACCAGTCTTGGAAATTCTCGTAAATACAAATTTCCGTATTTTTCCGCGTCAAGTTTCGGAAATACATTGATATGCTGTTGAGAGTGAGCCCATTTGCCGCCCGAAATTTCTCGAGGTCGTCGGTAATCATCTTGCGCATTGAATCGCGGTCTGTATTCAGGAACCTGCCTGTTCGCAAGCCGCGATCAATTTCTCGCTCGATGTAGTCAATTATAATTCTACGCGTAGGAAAAAAATGTGAGTCCTCACCCACTTTCCATCTCCGCCAACCGTAAGTGTCTATAAGTGATTTTATGGAGGGTTCTCCATTTAAGCCAACGTACCACTCGTTGTATAGATCCCAAATAGTTTTGTTTTCTCTGGACAGCTTGTATTTGAACACTTCATGGGAGGAATTACCATTGGGTGATGTTGTTGACGACGTCTTTTTTAACAGGAGCTGGGACGGTAGGCCCGAATTGCTGTATTGTGGCGATAGTTGCGATGATGTGGGTACGCTATTGAGGGAAGGAATTCCTATCCTAGGGCTTACTGCATTACGGGACAGCATTGAGTCTAACGTTGCATTGAGATTATTTTGTTGAGCCTGTTGCTGTTGAGTTGGTTGTTGGTTAGGCTGGTTGGATTTCAATTCATCAAATTTAAATCGCTTAAATGGGGAGTCTATTGAAGAAGGTGAAAATCCAGATTGATTGGGCAACGGCAGTTTTCTCTTTTGAGAATCTGGAACTCCTGAACTGCTCAATGAATGAAACATGTTGATAGGGGCTAATGAGGGTGTGGTTTGCGTTGCCTCTTCTCCTGAACTTACCAAGCTGTTGAATAGGTTGGTGGGCAATCCATTTTTGTCTATCGAAGTAAGAGGTCCGTTGTTATTAAACCCGTTTGGCAAGGTCGAGCCATTGGATGAGTTCGCGGAAATTAGCACGCGCTGTGATTGTAAAACCTCCGCAATAAGCTGTTTCATGGACCCTAATTCCGATCTTAAAGACCTTATCTCCTCTTGGAGAGATTGATTGTGCAGTGCAAATCTTCTCGAGATATCAATGTAGCCTTCTTCAACTTTTGATAGCACTTGGTCATTCCAATCGTTCTGCTTGGAGTGAGAATTTATCAGCTTTTGCATCTCGCTCTTGAATTGTTTGTAAGAAACCAGTGTATCTAGTCTCGGTACATATTCCATCACGTTTGATAAAAGATAGGGGAGTTCATTGGTGCAGCTCAAGTAGGCTATATCTTGCACCAGCACACGAGCCAAATATTCAAAGAGCTCACAGAGCGAATGGAGATTGTAGTTGGTACGGTCCTTGGCCTCGAGGTCCTGTTGCAACTCATTGAGCCATGGAAAAACGGCGTATATCAATTCTTCTGGTGGTTCTATCGCGCGCAGCATCTTGCCCTTGGCCCAATTGGAGCTGCTGTGCGGTTCGTCTTCGAGCGACGGAGAGACGTCGACGGCCTGGCTTGCGGCCAATGCTTCGAAGCTGCTGGTGTCTCCGAGCAACGGCACGTTCTGGAAACCCTCAAAGTGTATCGACATCCCGCCTTGATACCCGCCCCAGCGGCTGGCCGCGTACACTGCCACGCAAAAAACAGGGCAGTTCGACAGCTGCCTATTGCGTGAAACAGTGTTGAAGTAGCGGTACTGTTTGTTCGAAAACGAGTCGTTCAATTGGCGCAGCGTTAGCGACTCGGCGTACGTCTGGTCCACTATAAGATCCACTGCACGCAGCGACGGCGCCAGTTGAGGGTCCTGCATTTCGAAAAACCGTTGCAGGACGTAGTTCATCGCCACGTTGACATCCAGCTGCGCGCAAGTGAACAGCTGCGGCAGCAAACTGCTCCTCCCGATCGAATTCTTCCCGCTCTCGCTCAGCTGCGACGTGCTGGAGCCCGGCGACGGCGTCTGTTGTCTGTTTCCGCCCATCATGGGCGAGTTCGGCCCGCTTTTGGCTTTCGATGAGCTGTTCATCACTTGGTACTAAACTTTCTGCGGCTTGGCGTCTGTCACCTCTATTGGACCCGCTCTTTCGTCACTTCCCATTAAAAATTTAGCCCCAGTCCCTGGTAACACCAATTCTCTCACCATATAAGTGATGATTGACCCAACACTTAATACTAATATTCACTGACGTTGCTCCAGTCCTTTGACTATTAATTTCAGCACCTGGTGATTGAATTTCCTAGTGTCGATGCCCATGGTTTATATTTGTTTTTTTTTCCAATAGCAACAGGAAGCCGGCATTTTCACCGGATGCCAGCTTCTAGATATTGACGCACATCCTAAATCGATGGGAAGCCCATAGTGAAGTAGCCTCGGACAGCGATAGCGGGTTGATCCCCCCGCCATCATGGGGCGGGAAGTTTGAGCGGAAAGGAACTCTGGTCGGGTCCTGAAGAGGTTGAAAGCCTCTTGCAGATGCCATAACGGGTACTTGAATTGCAGGCTGGAACTTGAAGATGCGTTGGTATTTTCCGGACGAGAAATGTTAATTTGTAGATGCGTGGGAATTTCCCGGACGAGAAATGTAAACTTTAGAGGATGTTAGAGATGTTAGTATAGGACAGCCGATGTGGGAGTGCTTGGGCTTGGTGGATGAGTTTGTCTTGGTGAGTTTTTCCTGGTGTGTTTGTCCTGGTGTGTTTGTCCTGGTGTGTTTGGTCTTGGTGTATTCAGTATTGGTGTGTGCTGAGACAAGTTCGTTGCGGCGTGTGATTATCAGTCTGTCTGATATTGCTAAAGTTTGTGGTAGGTAGTTGTGGGTGTCTTTGCTATTGGTGGCGTGTTCGATACAATTCCGTTGCGCCGTGTGATCATTCAGTCTTTCTTCAACACAGTCAGTCTTCAACACAGTCTGTCTTCAACACAGATTCATTGCTAAGAACGAAGAACATTCCTGTGATTATCCGCTCGCTGGTCGACGTGGAAACATTGTTTTGCGAGGGTGTTCCGTTGACTATCTCCCTTCGATGTTGCGGGGTGGATATGCCTGTTGAGTCTGTCTTTGGTCTGTTTTGCTAATTTTATGTGATATTGCGGGATATCTCGTTGAATCTCGAGATTTCTAGAGATCGCCAAGTCTTGAGTTCGCAATTATTGCGTGGTCTCTTTCTGCTTTGCACAAGGTTGCTTTGCACATCCAGTAGCTTTGTAAAATCGGAGGTGGCAATTACGGCTCCCTATTCCCGTCGTATTAAAAAACTGCGTTATTCTGGTCCATCAGTTGCCCCTTGTAGCACAAAATAGTGATATATGCGACGCGATACATGGTTCAACTCTAGCTTTTCGGTAAGCAACATCGCACGTTCGTGGCGCCGTAAACATTTTGGGCGGCTAGATCCGTTGGGGATGATGTAGCCACGAACTCAAGGGATTCTTGGCCTTTTGTAAGCAATAGCGTGTTGACTTTTGATTTCACTGGGTTTCTAAGTCTTCTAGGATTAATTGGTTGTGATGTGTGTAGTTATTTCTCTTCCTCTTTCTTTCTCACTTTTCATGACTTGTTTGCTTCATTCCACTTTTGAAATAATGCCATCAATACCCTGAATTTTAAAGTAAATGATGTTTAGGCTCAAACACAGAGGTCATACGGATCACCCAACTGTACAGCTAGGGGTTTGGTTCATTCTCTGCTGTCCTAATTTTGAATCTCGCTCACATTAACGTCATCTCGTAGCTATAGATAGCGTGTCACGAAACAGTCGGCGGCTAATTGTAAATAGCTCGAACAATCTTATATAAATGGGTCCAAATGAACGCGAAGGAACCTTTTAAGACAAAATGCCTGTTTCACTATAGAAATCTGTTAAAAGAGCTGACAGTAACAGCATTCTAAAAACATGATGGCGCTCAAGCGCTCAAGCGGTACAAAGCAAGGTTGCAGCTTGAGATAGTTTTTCTCCTTTATGCAGCAGCTCGTGAGAGATAGTTGTTAGTTTCGTTGTCTTTGAGTGGCGGTTCTCATGACACCTCACCGTAAATCTAGGTAGTTCCCTAATAAGAGTTTAGAGAATAATTGCTAATTCTCAAGGTATGAAAACAGTTGCACACTACGAATCTTTCAATCGCTCCCAGCATGTACGCCCAATTAGCTCAATGATACATCTCTCGTAATACTGATCTAATTAATGCCGCCAGCTAGTGTTTCTTCTGCTTTCGTCAACAACAAGAATTGAGAATTTATGATATGACATTGGTCTCCGTTTCATAAAGAATGCCGAAGTAGGGTTTCGAAGTTTAAGATTGTGTGAGTTTCTTCGCTATCCAGCAACCTGGTATTTGCACCACTGTTTTCGATTTTGAGCTAAATATCCGTGACAGCCGCTGAGAAGCTAACATTCAAGAAACACTACTACAGAAACAGAGTTTTGTTAGGACACTGACAGTCAAGTAACGATTGCTGCCACCCCTTTTCCAATGTTGAAACCTACTCTATAACGAATTTATTTCAAAACGCGCTAATGAGAACAACCCAAAGAGAGTCAAAAGAGTCTGGAATTGGTGAAGTAAACACTCCAAACTTCAGAACCTCCTCACTAAAGGGCGGGCGAGTACCCACAATATGGAAAACTACATTCAAAGCGTAAAGTCACTAATTATTGTTACTAAAGTATCATAAGTCACCATAAACGAGCACTTCTAACTTCTTTAAACTAAAACTAAACTTAGTGATATGTACTATCGCGGCACTGACATACGTTCGAGAAACGGGCAAAACAAGCGTCAAGATGTCTCAGAAAGGTCAAAAGCAACCGCCAAAGACGACGCCTGCCAGTACGGTACGACCTCAGGCGACCAACGGCAATGCTAAGACTCCACCAAGTGCTAACAGCACGAGAGCAGGCTCGTTTTCAGCTGCCGATCTCAATCGCATTGTCTTGGAATACCTGAACAAAAAAGGCTATCATCGGACCGAACAAATGCTTAGAGTAGAGAGCTCGCGTACTTTAACTCCCCAGAATAAACAGTCGCCCGGGAACCCTGCAACAGGGTCGTTCCCAGAACCTGGTCAAGAGCCCAGTTACCAAGGTACTAGACCCGTGTCGAACCCAGTGAACGTGAAGCGCGATTCTGATGGCAACTTGATATCACAACAGGCTAACAGTTCACCAAGGCACTACTTTCTAGCTTACTCAATGTTGAAGAATTGGGTCGATTCTTCGCTGGACATGTACAAACCAGAGCTTACGCGAATAATTTACCCAATTTTCATATACGTCTTCCTGACTTTGGTTGCAAAGAACGCGATTCAAGCACGCCGATTTTTCGACAAATTCTCAGTGGACTATAAAGCGTTTCACGCGTCGGAAATCAACAAACTCTTCTCTGTTAACTCAATCGATCATATCAAGGAAAATGAGTTAGCTCAGGGATTTCAATCCAACAAATACCGAGTAACCATTTCACGTACAACGTTGAATCTACTTCTATACTTCTTGAACGAAAACGAAAGTATCGGAGGCTCTTTACTTATTAGTATCATTAACCAAAATCTGGATCCAAACATTGTGGAGACCATAACCTCTCAAGAAACTTTGACAGATGGCATAAAAGACGTTTCGGCAGGTGCTGTTGACGTGGAGACACACAACTCCGTCCCCGTGAAATTGGGGAAGTTTCCTGTAGATGAAGAATTCGCCAAAGAGGTGGAGACTGAGCTACAACGGAAGGATGATCAAGCTAAATCGCAAGACGAAGAGAGCAATCAGAAGGGTCTTATCGAAGAATATAGAGAGTTGAACAAGTTCGCGAAGGATGAAAAATCTACTAATGATGATGACAAAACAGAGCCTGGCACCATGCTCGTGGATTCCGACAAAAAGGATGACCGCAAACAAGATTTGTTTATGGAGTCGCCTTCTCGAGATATTTTGCCTTTGCCTTCAAAGACAGCACTCGACTTGAAGTTGGAAATTCAAAAAGTTCGCGAATCCCGGGATGCTATGCGTCTAGAGAATTTACAATCTTCAGCGCCCAGTGTTTGCATGTACACATTTCACAACACAAATTCGGAGATGACCTCTCTCGAATTCAGTGATGATGTTAGGTTGGCTTCAGCTGGTTTCCAGGATAGTATAATCAAAATTTGGTCATTGGATGGTACGCCTTTACAGAACAAGCTACCATCAAAACAAGGAGATCGGGCGAATAATGCTACTCTTGTTGGTCACAGTGGAACAGTTTACTCGACTTCCTTCAGTCCTGATAATCGCTATCTGATATCGGCATCCGAGGACAAAACCGTAAGGCTGTGGTCCACTGACACATTTACATCTTTGGTTAGCTACAAAGGTCATAATCATCCAATATGGGATGTGGCGTTTTCTCCCCTAGGCCACTATTTCGCAACTGCTTCACACGACCAAACTGCCAGGCTGTGGTCTTGCGACCATATTTACCCACTAAGAATATTTGCTGGCCATTTGAATGATGTCGATACTGTGTCTTTTCATCCAAATGGTACCTACGTTTTCACAGGGTCCAGTGATAAGACTTGTCGTATGTGGGATATGAGCACCGGTGATTCAGTTCGTTTATTTCTAGGCCATACAGCTCCAGTTACATCAACGGCAGTTTCACCTGATGGAAGATGGCTGTCGACTGGTAGTGAAGATGGTATCATCAACGTTTGGGATATTGGTACAGGCAAAAGGCTGAAACAAATGAGAGGTCATGGAAAGAACGCGATTTATTCTCTATCTTATAGTAAAGAGGGGAACGTTCTGATGTCTGGCGGTGCTGATCAATCAGTCAGAGTTTGGGATGCTAAAAAGTCCTCAGCGGAGCCTGGCGCAGAACCAGAACAGCCTTTCACAAGCTATTCGGGCGACGTGACGACATCCGTTAATCAGGACATTAAAGAGTATGGTCGTAGGAGAACAATCGTGCCTACAAGTGACCTGCTGGCGTCGTTCTACACTAAAAAAACACCTGTGTACAAAGTCAAGTTTACAAGGAGTAATCTGGTTCTTGCAGGAGGTGCTTTCAGGGAATGAATTGTAAATATATTACATATAAAAAAAAGTGTTAACTTGAATGCATTGTTGATTGTAGTAATAAAAATAGAGTTTGTTAAACTCAGTCTAGAATGGGTGTTTTAGCATCCCATTTTGATAGTAACTCGCCCCCTTTGTAGTAGTTTTGTTGCCAATAGATAAAATAGCGAGGCAAGCCGAAGACGAAGGATAAAGAGCTGGATGCAAAAATAATGGTGTACATCCAGCCTCGGCAACTGGTAATAAAATAATAAACCACTGCATTGTTGGCCATGAATGCAATCGCGTAGCATGTGTGAAAATGCCGTGCCCGCAGTGACTTCTCGAGGTATGGCAGCAGGACGTTAAGCTCCATGCAAATGAGCAGGAAACAAAATACATCAGTTGTGGATTGTAGTCTGGAAGCGAGAACAGCAACGTTGGAGACCAAGATGTTGGTAGAAACGATCGATTCTGTGTGCAGAAAGATAGATAGGATGTAACACGCAGTAAGCCAGCACGAAATGGTCCAGATTGAATCTGATGACATAGTTCTAGATAACGACTTCAAGACAGGTGACAGAACCAGCATTGTGAAGATTATAATTAGTGGTGACTTCACTGGGACCGCCGCATGGTGGAAAAGTACAGCAACGATGAATGCCAAACAAGTCAGCGCCCCAGTGAAGTAAATCGGATCGAGCCGATAGTGATTCAGCAGTGCGAAAGTAACATACATCAATCCCGTATTCATGACCCGATGATAAAACAGTAGAAAATCTCTCACAACCTTGCAATAAGAAGAAGTACTGCGCGGGCTTGATTGCACTTTTCGAAGCTCCAGAACTTCATCTAAGAAGTCAGGATCAGTGTAATTATCGGGATAGTCCTGTTTTAGCCAAAGCAGTCGGTTCCATCGTTGCTTCATGTGCTGTTTCTTGTTGTCATTCAGAGTTCAGCCTGGTAAGTGCGATGAGCTAAAAGTTCGATAAATCTGAGCGCCAAAAATATTAAATTTGAAAGAAAGTTCACTGGAAAGTTATCGAAGGATATAACGTAGGTGCCTCCAATGACCAACTCGACCTCTGAATCGAACTTGTCGACAGCAACTATACATGAGAAGAAACGTAGCGTAGATTTAGACCCCGAGGTGCCCTCATTACCGCCTATAAGAACGCTACCGCGCCAAACGGAGCAGACTGAAGCAAGACCCCAGGTGGACTACCAGGATAAACTATGGACACAGATTGATGTCTTGGATGATGTTAGACGTATGGCCCGCGAGCAAGACGCATACGATGGATTTCCGCCAGGTTTCGAGTCGCAATTGAAAGAACTACGCGAAGCTCACATCACTTTATTGCATACGATGAATAAAAGACGCGACGAACAAGAGGAAGGCAAAAACACCGAGGACGGGAATGAACTGGAACGTAGATTAGTTGACGAAGTGACGGAATGTCTGCAAGGATTGAGAAAATAAGCTGGAAAAGAGGCGAGCGCCCAAAGACGTGGAGGGCGCCTACAAACAAAACTGGGCAAGTCATAAGGCTGGGCCCGTTTCAAAAATAAGTGAATAGGTGAATGTGAACCTAGAAAACCGCTTTATATGGCAGATTGCAGGGACAAGGGCAGAGTCACGTGGCATCGGATCAGCCCCAGCTGTGCTCATTGACACAATTTTCAAGAAAGCCCAGCGAGCGCATGCCCTTCACCGTGCGGTCACCAAGTGTCAAACAAACATGCGTGCCAGCGCTTTCAGCTTTCGATGAGCTATTACGCGCTATTCAGTGTGAATCACGTTCTACGAATACGTGACACTACGCTTCCCGCTCTTCAATACCATTGCCGCTTCGCTGTCCCCCAGCCATTTCAACACACCCCTGTCTGCAAGAAGCAGCATCATTGGTGCTTGAAACGAACGGCTGTCAATCAAATCGTTTCTCAGGCGAAAATTGAATTTGGTGCAAATCCACAGAGAAGAAGGGCAAACACGCACGCACAGTCATACTCACGTTCATTCACTCAAACTGCAGGAATAAACGTGTCGTCCATCTCAACAGTCAAGGTGTGCGTGAAATTTGTATCCCAGGCTGAACTCGAGTCTAAAGGATTGGACACTTTACGTCAGCTCATACTAATTCAATTTTTTTTCACTACAGCGTCCACTGGCTTCTTGTATAGAGCAAAGGACGGTAACTCAACAGGTGACGTGAAGTGGAAGCTGAGGTTGATGGCGTCTGAGCTTGCTGAAGATGATATGATGTGATTTTAAAATTCAAGGTTTAAAATCAGCTGAATTTGGGTCGCAATTTAGCTTCTCTGATTAATCTTCCGTGATTTGGATTACTTATTCTGTTGATTTTGGCAAAAGTTGGTACATCAATTGAACTATCTGTTGATATTACCAAAGCTACACTTCTCTATTCTAAAATCAAGTAATGGCATCCACAAACACCTTTTCGGACTTCAAATTGGCCTCTGAGCTTCCAGCCTGGGCTAAATTGCAACAAATCTTTGACAACAAGGGCAAGACGCTAAACGTCAAGGAAGAATTCTCCAAGGACAGCAAGCGTTACGCTAAATGGTCCAAGACTTTTAAGAACTACGATGGTTCTGAGATTCTGTTTGACTTTTCCAAGAACTTGGTGGACGATGAAATTTTGGCTGCTTTGATCGAATTGGCCAAGCAGGCTAAGGTGACCGACTTGAGAGACGCTATGTTCAAAGGTGAACACATCAACTTCACTGAAGACCGTGCTGTGTTCCACGTTGCCTTGAGAAACAGATCCAACAAGCCAATGTACGTTGACGGCAAGAATGTGGCTCCTGAAGTGGACGCTGTGTTGCAGCACATGAAGGAATTCTCGGAGCAAGTGCGTTCCGGTGAATGGAAAGGTTACACCGGCAAGAAGATCACCGATGTTGTCAACATCGGTATCGGTGGCTCCGACTTGGGTCCTGTAATGGTCACTGAGTCTCTAAAACACTACGCTGGCGACCTAAAGGCTCACTTCGTTTCCAATATCGACGGTACTCACATTGCTGAGACCTTGAAGTTGTGCGACCCAGAGACCACCTTGTTTTTGATTGCCTCTAAGACTTTTACGACTGCCGAGACCATCACAAACGCTACCACTGCCAAGAACTGGTTCTTGGCCAACACTAACGGTGACTCTAAGAACATTGCTAAGCATTTCGCCGCTTTGTCTACCAATGCTGAGGAAGTGTCCAAGTTTGGCATTGACACCAAGAACATGTTTGGCTTTGACAGCTGGGTTGGTGGACGTTACTCCGTGTGGTCCGCTATCGGTCTTTCCGTCGCTTTGTACATTGGCTTCGACAACTTCGACGCCTTCTTGAAGGGTGCCGAGGCCGTCGACAAGCACTTCGTCGAAACTCCTATTGAAGACAACATCCCATTGTTGGGTGGTCTATTGTCGGTGTGGTACAACAACTTTTACGACGCTCAAACCCACTTGGTGTCTCCTTTCGACCAATACTTGCACAGATTCCCAGCCTACTTGCAACAACTTTCTATGGAATCTAACGGTAAGAGCGTAACTCGCGGTAACGTTTTCACCAACTACTCCACCGGTTCGATTTTGTTCGGTGAACCAGCCACCAATGCTCAACACTCCTTCTTCCAATTGGTTCACCAAGGTACCAAGGTTATTCCAGCTGACTTCATCCTTGCTGCTCAATCTCACAACCCTCTAGAGAACAACTTGCACCAAAAGATGTTGGCATCCAACTTCTTCGCTCAAGCCGAAGCTTTGATGGTCGGAAAGGACGAAGCTCAAGTCGAAGCTGAAGGCGCCACTGGCGGTCTAGTTCCACACAAAGTCTTCTCTGGTAACAGACCAACCACCTCTATCTTGGCTCAAAAGATCACTCCTGCGGCTCTAGGTGCTTTGATTGCGTACTACGAGCATTTGACTTTCACCGAGGGTGCCATCTGGAACATCAACTCTTTCGACCAATGGGGTGTTGAGCTCGGAAAAGTCTTGGCCAAGGCTATTGGCAAGGAATTGGAGGGCTCCGAAAAAGTTGCAGCCCACGATGCTTCCACCAATGGTCTCATCAACCAATTCAAGACCTGGTTGTAAACCTAAGGTTGATCCTGAAAAAAAGGGAGATAGGACATACGAACTATCAAATATACGATACAAATGAGCTTTCGATAACGAATATATTAGTCTAAAACGCTATTTTATGAATATGTAATTTCAACTATTCAAGTTTTAAAACCTGATTGCGAAACGGCGCTTGGTAGGTCGCCAACTTTCAATTGAAGCCTGCTGAGTTTTATACATTCAAGTACCTAATTTTGTTGACAAAAGACAACCGAAACGTTTTATAGATCTACGAACAAATGAGCGCGGATGCCGATGAGCAAGCAAATGTTGTAATGGTTGACTCCATTGATGAACTGAGACAGCAGCGTTATACACGTTGGAAGAAGAATTCAAAGCTCCACTATGACTACCTGAACACCAACAGCACGAAATGGCCATCTTTAACGTGTCAAATATTTCCAGATCTGGATTTGGCGGGCGACGTGCACAGAATTTTACTCTCGTCGTTCACCTCTTCACAGCTCCCCGAGGATGAATCGCTATACGTCGGCAAGCTCTCATCTATGAAGCATTTGGATTGGAGTTCACTCAACAACTTCGACGCTGATGAAATGGAGTTCAAAATAGACAATTCGGTAAAACTGCCGCCCAAGAATATAGTAGAAGACTTGCGCATCAAGTTTCCGGCTGGTGATTGCAATAGGGCTCGATACTGTCCCTCAAATCCAGACGTAATAGGTGCTGCTTCCTCTAACGGATCGGTATACATTTTCGACAAAACGAAACACGGAACTGCACGTCAGAAACTGATTTCTGGCTCTGGCACTGATGCTGACTACCAGATCCATTGCCAGCTAACGACGTCTGTAGATGCTTCTTCCAATGAAGCGGTAAGCTTGGCGTGGAATTGGCAACAACAAAATTTGCTCGCGACAAGCTATTCTCGCGGACAAGTATGCGTCTGGGATCTCGAAAAGTTTCAAAAGGCATCCCCAACACTCTTGGAGACACGCTTTAAAACCAGTGTCGATCCCGAGGGCGCCAATGACGTCTCGTGGATGATAAATCACGATTCCTTACTAGCATGCTGTGGAGAGAGCAATACAATTAGTGTTCTCGATATCAGAACGGGCCAAGTCCCAACCCAACATTCCCAAACCAATGAGCATCATACAAGTGGTGTCAATGCCTGCCAGTTCAGTTATCAAAACGATATGCTATTATGTTCTGCAGATTCTGACGGTAGAGTCAATTTATGGGATATACGAGACTTCACACAGCCTGTGAAGTCGTGGAATCACGGCGGACCTGTCTCAACTCTACAGTGGAACCCACACTTTGCAACCGTCGTGGCTACTGCAGGCCAGGAAGACGGGTTGGTTAAGCTATGGGATCTGGCCCAGCCGGAAGAACATCAGCTCATCTTCACCCACGGCGGCCATATGTTGGGTGTCAATGACATTTCGTGGGACCATCACGATGCGTGGATGATGTGTAGTGTGGCCAACGATAACTCGATTCAGCTGTGGAGACCGTCCAGTAACCTGGTCGCGACCAGTAACCGCTAGGCATATGGTATAGCCATCATTAATCACGCCATAATCACGCCATAATCACGCGATCTCAATCCAATCAAATTAATGAATTTCTGTAGTAGTAAAAGAATACAACACTTTCTACGAAGGCCGTCGTTAATATCTAAAATTTTTAATGTGCTCCAGCTAACACCCTTCTAGTGTTTTTGGTAGTGATATCGGTATTTGAGCGCTATACAGGTGTTAATTGACCGGCATTGGACCATTTTAACAATATGAGTTTGCGCGCTTTGACTACAAAGGCGTCTGCCCGGTCTTTGATGACTTTGGGCATCCGTCAGGCCCCGTATGTGAATGATAATTTTAAAGCAGGAAGGTCGAAAGAAAACGCAGGACAACGAGAAAAGTGAGCGGACTATGCATTTTGAGCGCGAATAATAGCATTTCAGAAGTGAATGTCATTTCAAAATTGAGCGAGCTGCTTGATTAGCGGTGAAATCTGATCGTTTGATCAATACCGATTGAGTTCGCTTAGCAGGACGGGCAGTTTATCCATGGTGCTTTTGGACTGCACTTCTTCCGCCAACGTTGTCGACCTTCTCCTGACCCGCAATTATTTGTAAACTCTACTAACAATCTGCTCAGAACTGGTGTCCGTTACATGTCTACTCCAGCCCCCCAAGATCCAAAGGAGAAGGCTTCTTCTATCTTGAGTGCTCTACCAGGCAACAGTGCGCTGTCCAAAACTGGTATTTTGGCTACTTCCACTGCCGCTGCCATCTACGCTATTTCTAATGAACTCTACGTGATTAACGACGAAACCATCTTGTTAGGTACTTTCACTGGGTTTGTGGCTATCGCTGTCAAATTCTTGGCCCCAGCTTACAAAGACTACGCTGACGCCAGAGTTAAGCAAGTTTCTGAAGTTTTGAACGCCTCCAGAGTCAAGCATGTCGATGCTGTCAAACAGAGAATCGACTCCGTTTCTGAATTGAAAACCGTGTCTGAAACCACTCAAGTTTTGTTTGATGTTTCCAAGGAGACTGTTGAATTGGAAGCTAAGGCTTTTGAATTGAAGCAAAAGGTTGATTTGGCTTCGGAAGCCAAGTCTGTTTTGGACTCGTGGGTCAGATATGAAGCCTCTGTCCGCCAGCTACAACAGCAGCAACTTGCTGAAACTGTCATCAGCAAAGTTACTGCCGAACTCGGTAACCCTAAGTTCCAAGATAAAGTTTTGCAACAATCGGTTACGGACGTCGAGAAATTGTTTGCCAGCTTGAAATAAACAGTCCATAAGCAAGTTTCGGGGAATGCCCTCTTCTTAAAAGAGAAACAGCACAAAAGGCAGCCATGCAAGCCTAACGAATTAGATATTCCATTTACAAACCTTAATTCAAATTCATCATGAGAGGATTTGTTGTCACGAAAGAAATTGATCCAAACTTTAAAGACTTTTGAGTTGTATGACTACAAAAGCGCAAGTTTATATTGATACATATATTGAAAGAGTCTACAAATAGACATCGAACATCTCTTCTAGCTTTTCTGACGACGTACTGGAAGGCGACAATATAGATCGAACTAAGGATTTCAATCTTGACGCATGTCAAAAAGTCATTTTGTCACCTTCTATAGCTATTCAAAGCGCCTCAAATGTCTCAAAGATCACCTTCAGATGCTGATGTTGGTGTCCCGAGCTCCAGGGACGAATTCAACTTTCAACATGTGCCGGCCCAAGCATTGGACGCTGTGAGAATGCGCTTTGCACAACTTACACATTCTTTGGCGAAACTAAAGGACGAGATGTCCAGAGCCGACCTGCCGCAATGGTACTCCTTGCAAGCTCAAGTGAGTGTCATTCTAACTCAGCTGCAATCTGTGACGACCACAATTCACCACTTTGAAGAACTGCTGGATTCAACAGTGGTATACCCTTTGGCAAACTTCCCCACAACTGCGCACGAAGGTCTGTTGACCACCTTACTGCGAAAGAAAAATATTCCAGAGACTGATGCCTGGATTAATGATGCCAAGGAAACAGTCGGTATAGACCTCAACACAACGTCCCCAGAGGATGTTAATAAATTGTTAAAAAGTGATGAGCAGGTTACAAAATGGGCCCTTGGTTTCTTGAAAGAAGAGCACAGCAATTATGCATTTCAAGGCCTTCACACAGCCCAAGAGCTGTCCAACAGTCCCCAACTCGCCAACTACGATGAATACAGGCCTTCGACGGGTAAGAATGTACCAAAGAAACCATTTGACGTTGATACTGTTTTAAAAGTCGTTCACCAGGGTCCGGCTTAAGTCATGAAATATTCTATATGCTTTTGAGTATATACAGGAAAATGCATTATTCATAGTTTGGTTGGGGTCATGTCGTGAAGAAGGTTCATCTTAAACGTTGGAAAGAAGTTTGATTATAAGTTCCCAAGTACCGAACATTATGATGCTGTTGGGTACCGTTCTTAGGAGATGTGGTGTCAATCCACTGTACATGGATACTAGTCCTTCTTCTTTTATGATGACTCTAAACGATTGAAGTAGGCCAGTGTATTTGAGCTTCCCATCCTCCAAAGGTGCTTGTCTTAGTCTCGTCCTGACTACTTCATGAGGGTACGTCACTATGCTAGCCATAAATTTTGCGAGTCCCGCGCTACCAGATCTTTGACACCATTCTTTGATCTTTTCAGACTTGCTCTTTTCCCCTTCACTAATATGACCAAATTTTTCAATGGAGCGCATTTTGATTACTTGTTTCATTTGTTCATACAGTAGCCACTGAAGAATCCCTTCGACAGATCCCAAATAAGATGCACTCAGACCTTTATAGAGACCAAAGAAACCTTCCCTTTGTAAAATATGTCTTAAACAATCCCACGAACCTTTGTATTGTTTAGTTTGTCCCGCTTTGTCTAATTGTAGTCTGGTCTTAATCAGCCAAATAGGGTTCGTTGCAGTGGAGGTTGCCCAACCAGCCGTCGCTGCAGATATGAGGTGAATCCATGGAGCTTCCTCTCCATTATTAAATGCCCGAGAGTAAATTTGCTTAGTGGTTCCGTAGGTGAAGAAGTTTATACTTCTGGCAGGAATGACACCAACGAGATTTGGCCCTAGACCTTTAAACAAACTCCTAAATCCTTCCTGTCTGTAAACATTAGAAATGATGCCAAAAGTTTCTCTGAAATGCCGAGCTCCACTCGCTATAAAATTCGAGGAATTGTTGGGGCTCACAGAGGTAAACTTGTACACATTTTGAAAGACGTCGCTTTGCAGCCGGGTCTTCACTACATCAAATGGGCATGTAACAATTGCTCCGGCCATTCCACCAGCACCGCCCGCCACGAAATGTACCCACGGCTTGACTTCTGGCTGCGCACTAGCAGCTATGCTACTCGCGCGTTCTGGGGGAAAATTGGCATTTTTTAAATTCGAAGCATCCTCGTCACTCCCAAGATACGGAACAGACTCTCTAGCTTCTTGTTGGATCTGTTCCAGCGATTTTTTTACCATTTTAACGCTGCTTCCAATTTTTGAGATCTATGAATGACTTTCACAGTACGGGTTCAACAAGCCAGATTTCGCAAAGTTTCAGTCAATTAGCACAATTCTGACCATTCACAGCAAATGTGAAAACCAGACCTGATGCAATCCCTTTCGTTGACAGAACATATCAAGGTGAATCCAATTTAGCTCATCTCGGCACTATCAAAATTTTTACTGACACCATTAAAATTTACTTTAAGGCTTGTCAGTCACTATACACGTGGTTAGAGAAACAAAGAGGACGATGCCAGTTCGCCCCGATTGCTAGTTGAATGAACGATAGCAGTCCCGCCGCCATTTCGGTATGTAACCTTGCTTAGCCTGACCTTTCAGGTTAATCGCCCAGACCTCGGCACTAACTTGCGATTCAATTCATGTCGTTTTGAGTGACCATGCTTCTCCTTTAGTAGGCCTCTACATCACCAGTAGACAATAGCTCATTATGTCCACTGTCTCTTAGTGGAATGCATCCGCTTCTGTTGATTGGAACCGAATCTTTAGCCGTACTTCTTTTCTTTATTTTTATCCTCTCTTAGTAGAAGTGCTGTTCTCCAAGGATCAGACAACTAAGTAGGCGCATTTTTGATTGAGATTCTAGCCACTCTGCTGATCTCTCCATTAGACGCGTTGGACTTAGTCATTTATTAATAAGGTTTCACGGAGCTCCAGATTGCTAAGGACGGCTGTGATTAACATTGTTATCTGAAATTAGCCGCCGAAGGACAGGAGTTGGGATTCATTTTTTGATTTTATAGAGAATAGCCAGGGTGGCAGTATAGCTTGACAGCTTGGCTCGAATCAAAATGATAATCTCAGATGATTTTACTAGTTTTCTTCGTAAGATCTTGATTTATTCAGATTTTTTTTGTTCAAGAGCTACGACCATACGCCGAATTTTTAAAAACTAAATAAGAGAACTCCGAGCGAGTGATGAACGTCTCATAATCTAGACCATAAGATGCGGCTTGAGCAAAAAAAATCGAATTTGGTACCTCTCTCTCAACGATGCTGGCAAATACCTGTTGGAGCTGTCTGGCGACCCGTTTGGAATCAAGATGCACTTTAGCGTCACATATTTCTTAGATATTACAAGACAAGTGTTTCTAGCCTTGGTTAAAAGAATAATACATTTATGAAATCCACACCTTTTTGTTACGGTACGTGTACAATCGTTTTACATTAGACACAGTATATATGTTGAAACTAGAAGGCTAGCTCCATGGTAAAAAACTCGCATGCCAAAGAAACAGATAGATTAGATGAAAGTCTCGTATGGAACTGGGGCCAAAGTCTTTGGGATGTTACCTTCGGTAGAGATAACACGGGAGCCTCTTGGTTGAGCTGGTTGTCTCTTCAATTGGACAGCAATACCTTGAGCCTTGGCTTCGTGACGCTTAGCGGCGTTGGACTTAACTCTGTCCAAAAACTCTTGTCTACACTTGGAGTGCTTGATGTGTTCGACTCTCAAGTTGACTCTCTTTTCGAGGTATCTGTAACCAACAACCTTGTTGATAATAACACCAACAGCGGACTTGGTCACGTTGTAAACAACACCGGTCTTACCTTGGTAGAACTTGTGAGGCATACCCTTTTGGATGGCACCGTTAGCCTTGATGTCAACAATGTCACCAACTTTGTAGATCTTCAGGTAAGTGGACAATGCTGGAGCACCGTTCTTCCTGAAGTCACGTTGGAACATGTAACGAGTACGAGATCTGTAACCGTGACTGTATAAAACGAGTTAGTACATGCTGGTGGTGAGATAGCGAGCGCCAAAAGACGAGCTTCGAAGTGAGCATAATGAAGATTCTAAGGAAACCGGGGAAAATTGCCGTGTTCATGCCCTCTTTAATTTCTGTCCTCAATTTTACCAACTGGTGTTCGGCTTTGTCGCCACTATTGGATTGCTCGGCATCCCCACTGCCGCCCTAGGTATAAGTCATTCTCTCCCGAAACTTGGAGATCCAGTTCAAAATCTCATATCTCAGTTCAAAGTCCGTCTCATTTGTTCGCACTACTTTTGTCGTAATTCTAATCCTCTCAAAAACGCTTTTCCACATACGATTTACCCATTTTTGCTTATTGACCTTGTTGTTTACTGATCCTGATCCTGACTGTGACAGAGCTGTGCTCAAAAGTTTTAATGAACTTTTCAAACTTGGTCCTTCCACTGCTTCCGGGTCCCAGTACTCGCGGAGACTCAGTAGCAGATGCTGGAGCTAGACGGGAGTTTGGGACAGGTTAGGCAGACGCTCTGTCTGGAGAGCCGAAGCTAGGCAGGGGAGCAACAACCCTCTCAGCCTAGCAGCCGGTTGCGTAGCGGCACCAGCTACTGGAACGAGCCCACGCATCCAACGATTGAGGGTAGCTTTCTGCGGGCCACCATGAGGGAGCATCCAAGTTTCTACCCACGCAAACTTATAATAAGACGCAACTTTCGGATTTTGAATAGTTTTGAAACTTTTCATAGAAATTTTCAGCCTTGAAAATTCGATTTTTTTATGTTGTGTGGGTTTTTAAGAGGATGTGACTGCTTGTAGACTAAAATGCTTATAACATGCGGCGATGATAAACTGAATGCTGTGCGATGTGATTGGAAATGCAATATGTAGAGAGGAAGTAGCAAATGCCAAGGACATTTGATCGTTGCTAGGTCAAAAGGTTACAGACTATACTCTTAGCGCATTGGGCATAACCACTTCTGTTCACGCTTCTCTTGCTTGGTCTGCGCTTCTCGCTGTGAACTGAGGCTTACTATTTCTAACAAGTTCGTTTCATTTCTTATTATACACAACCGTTGCGTGCTAATCACAGATCAGCACGACTTTTAAACATTAAAACCAAAAATAACTTTACAATTACAGATCCTTTGTGAGCAATCGTGCTTTTGGATTTTACATAGCTTAAACATTAGTTTGAGACATGGCAAAACCACTAGAAAAAGACGATGCGAGTAACTGTTAGTTAGTCCAGTCAGCCCAGAAAAAGGGTAAACAAAGAATAAGCAGAATAAAACATAGAGTACATCGTGGCGGAAGCCTTAGATGCAACTAGTTTACTCGGCGTCTTCCTCAGCGTTACCAGCGGCCTCGGCTCTTCTGGCAGCGTTCTTTCTGGCGACTCTACCTGGTCTGGCACCACCGAATGGAGAGGTTCTGGCGAAGTCGACGTGCTTCTCAGATTCCAATCTAACCATGAAAGATGGGATGTTGACCAATTGCTTACCAACAGCAATGTGTCTTTGGGAGATCAAGACTCTGGCGTGGTGGACAGACTTGGCCAAACCCAACTTGTAGACTTGAGTTTGCAATCTTCTCTCCAAGAAATCTTCGACCTTCAAAGCCAAGACGTAATCCAACTTCTTCTTGTCCTCGGACAAGACACCAAGTCTCACCAATCTTCTGATCATGGCATTACCCTCGAACAATCTTCTTGGGTCCTTTTCATCTCTGGTCAACAAGTCTCTGGCGGCACGACGGATCTTAGACAATTGGAAAGAAATTCTGTAAATTTCCTTCTTGTTCTTCAAACCGTATTCACCGGCAAGTTTCAACTCAGCGTCCAAACGAGCAGACTCGTAAGGTCTCTTTGGGGTAGCGTAAGTCTTGGAGTAAGTTCTTGGGGCTCCTGAAGAAGGATGTTAGTGATGGGATTCTATGGAAAAGGGCTACGAGGGGTGTTACGGGTCTACTCATGAATAATATCTTTCAGAATAACAATCTCGAAGACAAAACTGAGGGCATGACGCCTCGTAAGTCTTAAGTGATAAACGATAGCTCAAAAAGCACAGAGCACATTAGTGCGCACTGCGTCCAAATCACGCTTCAATGACCGTCTTATAAAAGACGGCCACGTAAGCGCCAGGAGCCGATGTTCTTGTTGTCTGAAGTGTCGGGTTTTCAGTACAAAAGAATTTCAGCTGACTTGAAGTTTTGAGCTATGCTATTTCACTAGAGAAAGTTTTGAGAGATAATATTCATGAGGACCCGATCCTCGAAAAGTGGAGTTCTAGTTTCTGAGAAACCAGAGTTCCGACTTCCGACATCTTGTCTTGGCTCAAAGAGCTAGACATGACATCTAATTAGAATAATAGCACGTACTTGGCATTATGAATTTGACTTGTTGATGGTCTTCGAAAGTGGTGACGATAGATATTATCTATCCAGAAATCTTATTTTATACTACCTTAATCATTGATGAAAAATTCCAGCTAAGGAATCGACAAATATTTGCGTCCTTTTCGTGGGCGGCAAAAAGAGTTTGATTTTTTTGAGTTTTTGTGCTTTTCTGGAATTTTTTGAAGTTTTTTTCAAACCTTTAAATTTGTCTTTTCAATAGTGTGGTGTATGGGTTCGTAACAGTCTCCTGCCAAGATCAACCTAGCCGCTGAGAAATGGAATAGTCGGACAATACGTAAACCATTGTGCTTCAAAATAATGGCAGGAACTTCGGGCAAGCAAGTTGCATACACTAATAGCTACTGTAATTTTGAAGCGATAAGTGTGCACGTACGTGTGAAACCCATTGGCTATTGGGTGTTTCCTATTTTTTTTTCCAATATTTTCTTAAATTACATGAAAAGTCCTAGTTACCTGACTACTGAAGGTCGGAATGGAATTCCTTAATGATGCTGTCGACGTCGTCAATGCTTAATTGTCTGACGTCACCTATTTTCTTGATCTTCAAAGTCACGTCCTTGACTTGGTCGTCGGTCAGTTGCAAGTTCAATTGCTCGACTCTGGATTTGATAGCATTCCATCCGGTCAATCTGTTGGCAAAGTGGATGTATCTCTTCATACCGAAATCGTGAGGGTCCAAGATCTCGTAGGTGGATGGGTTGGCCAAGATGGCTTTGGCGTGAATACCGGCCTTGTGGGTGAAGGCACAGAAACCAGTGATCGGGTTATTGAAGGGAACGTTGACTTCGACGGCCTCGGCAACCAAGTTCTCAAGATCTCTTAGCTTGCGCAACTTGTATTTGGATTTAACGTAGTCGGGGGCCGCAACGATCATTCTGGCCATGAACCCGCCCAATGGCGTGATTCCGTTTCTCTCACCAATACCGAGCACAGACACGTCGATAAGTTTGGCACCACCTTCTAGAGCAGAATAGGCGTTACCGATGGCACAGCCAGTATCGTCGTGGAAGTGACACTCGATGTCGCACGACACAACGCTCTTCAAAGTCCGGACCAGGTCGTAAACCTGTCTGGGGTTGGCACATCCAACAGTGTCAGCAATACCGACTCTGTCGACACCGATGGCGCTGACGGTCTTGTAGATGTTCATGAGATCGACGATATCGGATCTGAAGGAGTCCTCGGAAGAGAAACGGATTTCCAAACCCTTGGACTTGACAAATTCGATCACCTCGATGGCGCTCTTGGAAATGTAGTTCATGTCCTTACCGTGCGAGAACTGTCTGAGAAACTGGGAGGTGCCGATAACGACGTCGACACCGTCAACACCAGTCTCAACGGCGACTTTAGCGTCGTCCATGTGACAGCGAATGTGGGTCAGAATTTTGGCCTTGAGACCCAGCTTGCAGATGGTCTCGCAGTCGGTTCTGCTCTGCTCGGAAGCCACGGGCGACGTCAATTCGATGTAGTCGACGCCAAAGTCGTCGAGAGCTCTGGCTATCTCGATTTTCTTTTCGGTGCTGAAGAACGCATTGGCGAACTGCTCGCCTTCTCTCAGCGTCGACTCGATCAGCTGGAACTTGTTGACGTTCGACACCAGGTCGAGCGGACTGGGAGCGTAAGGGTTGGAGGAGACAGACATGGGGTGTGGTTGGCGTGTTTATGGGACTGGAGGGTCAAGACAGTGAAAACGGGACTTTTTTTTTGGCTAGCGAGACCGGGAGGTTCGAACGTGAAGGTACCAACAGGTTTGAAGTCTGGTCAATCGAGAGTTGATCACACGCAAACGCACACACACACACTCACAATCAATCAATCAATCAGGACACCTGCGACACCTGTTCTTTGAGCACTAGTTTTCCAGTTGGCTTTTTTTTCCAATTCCCACGGGAAAACCACCGCTCTCTTTCTTTTAGAGAGGGAGAGAGGGAGACGCGCGGTCACATGAGAGATGTGGGAAAGAAAGAAAAAAAAAACCAAAAAAGAAGAAGAAGAAGAAGATGGGAGAGACGCGCGGTCACGTGCTACCACGATGCGCCGTCCCGCTAACCGCATCCCAACTGCGTCCCGCTACGCGCATCGCCACACGTGCCCCTTTCTGTCACTCCGCACGCTTATCACTCTCTACGCTCTCCAGGGGAAAAAAATTAAAATAAAAACTAAAAATTTTTGCCATGTATAACGGGGGCGTCCCAGGTCTTTGTTTTTTCCCACTTGAGCGATGACGGCGTTGTTATATATATAAAGAGGTTTAGAGACCAAGAAAATAGTGAGGTTGCTGCTGAGAAGATGAAAATGACCACTAGAGAAGGAAAAGCGGTATAAAAAAGTGTATTTTAGAGAAGTGGGAGCAGAAGGCACACAGCAAGATCCAGAGGTCGAGTGAATTAGTTTTGGTGACTAGTTATCGAAGTTTGCCGGATACCTTGTTCTGAGGAAGAAAAAAAGGAGATCTGGATTTGCAGATTAGCCGCCGAGGTAGGACACAAGACGGCGGAAAGACAAAAAAGCGCGTCTGTGGCAAGGCTGGCGCTAGCATCCAGGAAGCGCGAACGAGACGGAATTGCCGCCTCCACACGCTCAAGCGCTCACACGCACTCGCACATACATAGCGCGTAACACCCAAGTCACATGACCGTCCAGGTGTCACGTCTGGACCGCCAGGTGGTGCTGCTGGAGACCGGGTCCACCCAGGTGGTGCGAAACATGGCCGCGGACCAGCTCGGAGACCTTGCGAAACAACATCCAGAAGACACGCTCTCGCTGCTGTCACGTGTGTACCCGTTCCTGATGGCCAAAAAGTGGGAAACGCGGACCACGACCGCGCGTGCCGTGGGTGGGATAGTGTCGCACTCGCCCGCGTGGGACCCCAACGAGGACGACGCCGACGAGGCTCGCGAGGCCGAGCTGGAACTCAAGGCGGAAAACGGCGACGAGACGCTGTCGCTCGACACGATCTCCCCGGCGTCCGCCAAAGTGAAGCTCGAGCACGAGATTCGGCTCAAGCTCGAAGAAGTGGACCATACCGCCGAGTGGAGGTCGCTCCAGGACGACAGCAAGCTGTTCTCGCTCAGCGACTGGAGCCTCCACGACGTGCTCAAGTCTGGCAAGACGCTGCTGGCGACCAGCATCGATGACTTCCCACAAACGGTGCCCGCAGCATCGCTGCTGGCTTCAGACACCCGCGATTCAAAAACCAAGCTTCCCAAAGTAGAATATCCGCCCACCGGAACGGACTTTCTGCCGACGGGTCATCCAGATGGCTCCGACGCGGCGGCAGTAGCCGCCGCCGCCGCCGAGAGCTCCAAGAAAAGCGCAAGGATGATGGCAATGGCCAAACGTAAGCGCAAAATCAAGGCCAAAACCACCATCAAGAAGCCAGTCGATATTTCCCAGAGCTCTATATCGCGCAACCTGATGGCGCAAGACGATTCCAGCCAGAGTCCCACGCCTTCGCCAACAATGCTAAACAACCCGAAACTTGAGATCACCGAACAGTCTGATTCCAAGCGAATTATGGTCGAGTCCATGGTCAATCCAATTCTCGAGAAACACGACAGCATTGCGGGGCTTGTATGGCAATTTCAAGGCATATACGAGCTCTTGTTGGACAATTTGGTGAGTGAAGCATGGGAAATACGACACGCCGCCGCACTGGGCCTTCGAGAAATCATCAAAAAACATGCCAAGAGCGTTGCCAGAATAAAGGGCAAATCCAAGCAAGAGAATGACCGTCGAAACCGCAAAGCGTTGGAAGACTTAGCAACTCGGCTATTAACCGTATTTGCACTCGACAGGTTCGGGGATTTCGTGTATGATACCGTAGTAGCACCAGTGCGAGAATCGGTAGCTCAAACTTTGGCTGCTCTTCTAATTCATCTTGACGACGACCTGTGTATCCAGATATTCGGCGCATTGGAACAGCTGGTATTGCAAGACCCTAAAATTGTTGGTTTACCGCATAAGATTTGGGAAGCCACCCACGGCGGGCTGTTAGGTATCCGCTATTTTGTCGGAATCAAAACAGATTTTCTTTTCCAGAACAATTTATTGGATAACGTGGTCAACATTGTCCTTTATGGTTTGAAAGAGCACAATGACGATGTGCAAAGTGTTGCTGCCGCGATACTGACTCCCATTGCGGTAGAATTTGTCAAATTAGAGGCTAACACAATAGACCTCGTCTTGAGTACCATTTGGAGTTTATTGACACATCTGGAAGACGATTTATCATCGAGTGTAGGGTCCGTGATGGATCTATTAGCCAAATTATGTGAGCAGCAACAAGTCCTTGATGTCTTGAAAGCCAAAGCTCTTACACATCCCCAGGAATGGTCTTTCAAATGTTTAGTTCCTAAGCTTTACCCGTTCCTGCGGCATTCTATCACAAATGTGAGGAAATCTGTATTGAACCTGCTCAGTGCATTCTTATCTATTAAGGATGATTTTATCAAGCATTGGATAAACGGTAAGATTTTCAGGCTGGTATTTCAGAACATTTTACTGGAACAAAATCCTCAAGTCTTGAGCTTATCCTTCGACGTTTACACTTCGATGCTTTTTGAGTACAAGAACAAAAACCCTGATAAAACTTTGGATCATCTATTTGGCAAGCATCTGGCTCCTATTTTACATTTGCTCATAACTCCTATAGGTGAACACGGCAAGAGTTATAACATGGAGTTGCAATATATACTAAAGCCATCTCCGCATTATCAACTCATTTCTGAAAGAAAAAGAAACACTCATTCAGACATACAATCTGACATTCCGCCTCCTGCTAACAGCGAACGTGTCAACATTGACGCACCTATGATTGCAGGCGATGTAACACTTTTGGGCACAGAAGTCATTTTTAACACTAGGGTAACTGGTGCAAAAGCACTGGGAATCACTTTGTCAATGTTTCAAGAGTCTACTCTCAAATCTTTTTTCACAAATGTGTTATTGGATTGTCTTAAGCTTCCTTATGCAACACCACGCATGCTTGTCGCAATTATAATATCCGAGCTATGCTCCAACCTATCAAACCAATCAACTTCAGAAGATAGCGAAAGATTGAAACATTTTATTTCGGAAAGTTTTGGATCAACGTTCATCGAAAATTTGACCGATCCGTTGACCTTGCCCACTTTTAGGGAACTTGTGCCTAGTCTCAAAGCACTGCGGACTCAATGCCAGAGCTTGCTCTCAACTTTCGTTGACGTCGGAATGCTTTCTCCTCAACGGCTACCGCAGCTAGCTATAATTGTCCAAGGCGAATCAGAAGCCGGGACAGAAGCGTTTGGTATAGAAACTGCTGAAAAGGCATATAAAGAAACAAGTGACAAGCTTTTCCGCCACTTGAGTAACTCGCACAAAATACTGGCGAAGAAGCCAATTGACGATGCAAAGTACCGCGTCTTGCAAGCGATTGAAACGGCCAAGGAGGCCAGAAGGTCGCGAGTTTGCAACGTTCTCGCCAATTACGCGTCTGCTACATTACTATTTGACGGCCTTCCAACGAAGTTGAATCCATTTATCAGAACTTTAATGGATAGCATTAAAGAAGAACGCTATGAAATATTACAGAGAAGATCTGGTGATGCGATTTTGAATCTGGTAGTTGAGCTTGTTAAGCAGAACAAAGGCAACGTAGCGAACAAAATAGTAAAGAACCTGTGCGGTTTCTTATGTGTTGACACTTCTGAAGTCCCAGAGTTCGCACCAAACTCACAGTACAAAGAGAACATTTTGACTTTGATAAGAGAGCAAACTGCACTTGCATTTCAAGATGATGCAGATGCCAAGAAATCAGCTCATGAAGCACAGATCAAGCGGAAGGGTGCCATGTACACTTTGAGCGAATTTCTGCTTCGCCTTGGTCCAAGCGTCCTTGAAGTTGTACCACAAGTGAAGCACATAATATTCGACCCCTTGGAAAAAGTCATTAATGACCATAACGGAGACCCTCCTGATTCAAAGACAGGACAAGAGGTGGTTGATGCATTAGGTGTTTTGAGAGCACTGATCGTTTACATGAGCAAAGAAGTACAAACGAATGAAATCCTGCCCCGCCTTCCATACCTACTGAAATATTTGACATCCGATCTTGCTGTTCTCAGATATTCAGCTGCTAGAACTTTTGCAGATTTAGCCAATACACTGACTATCCAAGTCATTCCATTTGTTATTCAGAAGGCACTGCCGCTAATGAACAATTCTTCTTCAGTGACAGACCGGCAAGGTGCAACGGAATTGGTATATCACCTAGCTTTATGCATGGGCAGTGGCATTTTACCATACGTTGTATTTCTCATTGTTCCACTCTTGGGCCGCATGAGCGATTCTAATCAAGACATTAGAACTTTGGCCACCTCCACATTTGCATCAATCATAAAGCTCGTACCTCTAGAGGCTGGCATTCCCGATCCTGAGGGTTTGCCCCAAGAATTGATGGAAGGTCGTGAAAAGGAGCGTGACTTCATTCAACAGATGATGGACCCTTCTAAAGCCAAGCCTTTCCAATGTCCCGTGGCTATAAAAGCTACCTTAAGAAAATATCAACAGGATGGTGTCAATTGGCTAGCTTTCCTGAACCAGTACCATTTACATGGTATTCTTTGTGATGATATGGGTTTAGGCAAAACTTTACAAACTATTTGCATCATCGCCAGTGATCAATACTTGAGAAACGAGGACTTCGAAAAAACGAAAGCTAGAGAATCAAGACCTTTACCCTCTTTGATTGTTTGTCCACCATCTCTGACCGGTCATTGGGAGCAAGAATTTGAGCAATATGCGCCATTCCTGAAAGTGCTTGTGTTTGCTGGAGGTCCCTCAACAAGATTTCCCCTGAGAGACAAACTAGGCGAGGCTGACATTGTCGTAACATCATATGATGTTGCTAGAAATGATATTGATGTTATAATGAACTATGACTACAACTACTGCGTTTTGGATGAGGGTCATATTATAAAAAATGCACAGTCCAAGCTAGCTAAAGCTGTCAAACTTGTCAGAGCAAACCACAGATTAATCTTGACTGGTACCCCCATTCAAAACAACGTTGTAGAGCTCTGGTCTTTGTTTGACTTTTTGATGCCGGGCTTTTTGGGAACAGAAAAAATGTTTCACGAGAGATTTGCGAAACCGGTCGCGGCCTCCAGAAACAGTAAGACATCTTCCAAAGAGCAAGAAGCTGGGGCATTGGCTCTAGATGCCTTGCACAAACAAGTTCTTCCTTTCATGTTGCGGAGATTGAAGGAGGACGTGCTATCAGACCTTCCCCCAAAGATTATTCAAGACTATTACTGTGAATTAAGCGATCTACAAAAACAGCTTTACAAAGATTTCGCCAAGAAGCAGAAAAACACTGTTGAACAGGATATCGAGCAGGTCGCTGAAGTCGATAACAAGCAGCATATTTTCCAAGCTCTTCAGTACATGAGGAAATTATGTAATCATCCTTCTTTGGTTGTTTCCAAAGATCACCCACAATGGCTTCAAGTCCAAAATTACCTAAAGCAGACCGGCTTTAGCTTACATGACATTACCCATGCTCCCAAGCTGGGAGCACTCAGAAATTTGTTACTAGAGTGTGGCATCGGTACGCAAGACGTTGACGTAAAGTCCAAATATTCTCTTCCTCCTACGGAGAGTGTCATCAGCCAGCATCGGGCCTTGATCTTCTGTCAGTTAAAGGACATGTTAGATATGGTCGAGAACGACCTTTTCAAAAAATACATGCCAACTGTAACATATATGAGACTTGATGGTAGCATCGAATCTCGTGATAGACAGGCCGTTGTCCGCAAATTTAATGAAGACCCCTCCATCGATTGCCTCTTACTGACTACAAAAGTTGGTGGTTTGGGATTAAATCTCACAGGTGCCGATACAGTGATTTTCATCGAACATGATTGGAATCCCATGAACGATCTTCAAGCCATGGATAGAGCCCATCGTCTGGGTCAGAAGAAAGTTGTAAACGTTTACAGAATTATCACCAGAGGAACCTTGGAAGAAAAGATCATGGGGCTTCAAAAGTTCAAAATGAATATTGCATCTACGGTCATCAACCAGCAAAACTCGGGCTTGGCCTCGATGGACACGCATCAATTGCTGGACCTTTTCGATACGGATAATGTTCCTTCGCAAGAAAAGGAAACCAAGAATAGTAGCGACGGCAAAATTGACGAAATTGTCAACGAAACTGGGTTGACTGGGAAAGCCAAAGAGGCTGTAGGTGAACTCACCGAGCTCTGGGACCCCACTCAGTATGATGAGGAATACAATTTGGACAACTTCATCAAGACTTTACGCTGAAACACTCCACTGCATTGCATATAGATTCATACTTTCATAAATAGCGGGAGGTTGTAATACTATTCAGTTTTCATGACGTTCAATATTAAATAACGATAATTTATTTCGGCAAAACTACCTCTATGTTTTCACCGACAAAAGAGCGTAGGAATAGCTCTGATAATTTCAGGTAGTCGTGCTTTGCTAGCAATTAGCGAAAGGTTCAAGCAACTGGGGTGCTTGCTCAATTAAACACGATCGAATATTTTAATATCAATCTGTCCCGAATATTACATGCAAAGGGAATGGCTTCGTTAAATGAACAGATTTTGGAACGAAAGAAGAGACTGCAAGCTCTGGCGCAAAAGGCATCTATCGCGCATGGTGAAACCCTTGGTACACCTTCTGAAAGAGTAGAGACAAGTGCAGCATCGGAGTTCAAGAGAATAAAAAAGGATGCTGAGGTTCCTAACATCGAACTAAGTGCAAGCGCTCAAGAGCCCGCCTCAGTCAAACCCGAGACAATGGCGTCTGTTGGAAATGAAAGATTTGACATAGCTCGTAAACCAACGAGTGATTTGGAAGACAAGCTGCGGCCCGATCTTGAAGAGCTGGAAGAACGTACCCAAGAAGCAATCAAAAGGTTAGTACGACAAAGGCTCTTGACACAAGACGTTGAAGCCGAAAATAACTAGATTTGACTGTATAGAATTGATTCGCAATCAGTTTATAAATAATTCCTAATCTTTAATTAGGGTTGAGGAATGCTTCGCGGACGTACAAGACGGCGAATATGAAAAATGAGAAAGCACCTCCCAAGGTCACAGTTCTCATGCTAATCTTTGAGGCAAGCATTTTCCCACCGACAACGGCGATACCAGTGCAAATTGCATGGCCCACAATAGCACCCCATATCACAGACCAGTAGTCACTCCCGGATGCCATGGCGATAGTGCTGATTTGGGAGCGATCCCCAAACTCACCAAGGAAAACCATGGTGAATATTTGAATCCATACCGGAGTGAAGATAAACGCGCTCAATTCCGTTGCCTTAGTGAAAAATCTATTCAAAAAGGGATACTTTTTGAGAGGATTCTTAGTCATATCCATGGCTTGAGAGCCGCCGCTTTCGGCCTGGTTGTTGTTCTTATTTATGTCTTTCACAGCGATTTCTTCTTCCACTTCAGCTAACTCTTCTTCAACTCCCATATCTTTGGGCATAGCAAGTCCTTCGAGAGTTAGCTTATACCCGAAGACAAGAAATAATATACCGGCCATGAACTGTGTGTAACGCTGAGGGACCATCGAGGTAAAAGTCCTACCAACGATGCCCGAAAGAATGGTCATTATGAAAAGAGCGGTAGCTGACGCACTAAAAACGAGCAATCTGGTGTAACGCATGGCCATTAGAGCAGCTATCAAAAACGTCTTGTCACCAATTTCGGACACTCCGATCATCGAGATTGAAAGCAGGAAGGACTTCATTGGGTGATGAGCCTCATCCTCTCCATCGCTAGCATCTTCATTAGTGGTAGCTAAAACCAAAGCGGAAAAGAAAAGTAACGGAACAGCAGTCCTTCTCAGCAGGCCCATGTTTTTGAATTGGTATTTGTGCAGTGATACTTGACCTATGGGTCTTGAGTATTCGATGACTTTTGAAATATCAAGCCTTTATTTTAACAGTCTTAAATTTTTTTTGTCGTTATTGATAGATTCCGAGAAATAGCTGTCATGCCCACGAGGCTCCAGTGACAGAGTACTAAATTGATTCTCGACATTGCTGATTGTCAGCTGAAGAAGTTCTCTAAGCATCAGTTCGTCGACCGCTGATCGAGTCTTGAGTTTGATGAGCTTTCTGCTTCACAGTAAACGCCAACGCAAGCATGAAATCTCTGATTGTTACTGGAAGTGATGATAGTTGCTCCGATAGGCTTATAAGTGGTAGTTTACGGAGTGTTCTGCCACTGACACCGGCGTCCTGAAAATTTGGTAGATGTTAGTAAACCTGGCCTTGCAACAAATGTCGGGGACAAAAGCTAAATATGGGTGTTAGTTTCAAAATTTGCATACCACGCATCTTCGAGCTATATGCCGAACTGATTCTTGTACATCAGTGTCCTCCAGAATTGAGATGCCCTCTTTGCAAGATATAACACCAGTCTTAATCAACTCGCTAATTGTGGACGACAATATCATGCTTGTGCCGTTTTCAGAAGGGTTCCCTGCGTAAAACACCCCGTCAGCACGATCCAAGAACGCCTCATCTAATGAACTGACCAAATTTGATGTTGCTAGTATAAGTAGGTTGTGGTATTTTTTCAGGCTGTCCAGCTTGGTGAGCAAGGTGTTCACTACCCGAATACCATCTGTCGTCTCGTTCTTGTTCATGAGAGATGATCTCGATGAGGCCAATGTTTCCACCTCGTCCATTAGCAAACACACAAACCTGTCTTTGTTGGAAACATTTGTCAAAAGATTCTCAACGTCTTGAAATATCTTGTCGAGATTTTTGGCCGATTCTCCAAACCACCTCGAAAAGATGCGAGAGCACGACAGTTCAATCATTATGGCCTGGTAATCGTCTGACTGAAAAACTTTGTGCGATTGATTATTAAAACGAATAGCCAATTTTTGACACAGAGCCTTACAAACGGTAGTTTTTCCGGTCCCGGGTGGGCCATGTACCAGTAGGATTTTGTTGTTAGACACAAGTGCTTGTGATACCCTCTGCTGAGAGAATCTCGATAGCTTGAGAGATATTGTTGCGTATGAAAACAGCCTTTGTTTGATATTGTCGTCAAATTGGAGAGACTCCCATAGCCCTTCGTAGTCGGACGATGGCAGTAGATGGATTTTACTCTGTGCTAGAGTATCCTGAGAAATGGAGATGCCAGATAGTAACGGATGTGCTGCAACCAGCGTTTCATCGTCATCAGCACAATCTTCCACGTCTTGAATATCAATTTTGTCGAACTCTTCGGATATATTCGAAAAGTCTGGTTTTGCAGCATAGTCTTCCAAACAGCAGTAGCAGTTAATGAAAAATGTTTTACGCGTCAACAGGCTACTTTTTTCGCCAGCTTTCATAATACTCGAGTCTGGCGACTCAAAAACATTTAAAACTTCTTTGGCAGTCGACTTACATGCTTGCTGGAATGACATCTTTTGCGCAACTGGCTCGATTTGCAAGCTTTCGACACATAATGACACTAACAAGTTTTCTTGGCCTTCAGTCAAATTGTAGCGTCCCGAGGTACCTATCTGGTGTAGCACCACTTTGATTAGGCTTCTAACGATGCTAGCTTGGGCTTCGGTTGGCGTCGAACTGATTTCAATCGATCCTTGCCCTTCTAGCAGAAAGCTTCTGGAACTCACATGCATCGCGTTGTTGTTGTGAGGCTCAAGTGGCATTTTCCGAAGCTTATTCTCAACGGCTCTAATTATTGCGTTTGAAATGGTAGCTTGGCAGTGACAGCCATGCTGTCCGGAGAGCTCTCGTAGCGTTTGTCGTATGATCACGAACGTAGAGCCCTTTAAACGCACCTCTGCTATATACTTCATATTTTTAGATATGTTACCAATAACTATACACTGAGTACCTAGTATACGCGAAGGGTCCCTTGCAGAAGATTTGGTGATTTGTCCTCAACTGGAAAGTCTGGCAATAGTGGTGGAAAGGGAATAGCCGCCGAGCATCTTGTCATTTATTGATTTATATCCAATGTTTTATCGTCGTGTACGGCTGTCCATATCTGTTATCAGACTTAGTTGCCCGATTCGGCATATCTAAGCACGTCGATAAAATGAGGAATATAAGGAAAATGGTATATAAAGTCAGATGTATATCAGTAGAAGCCTTCATATCATACAGCTTGCTTTAAAATGTTAACAACCTGAGGAAATCCAGAAAAACATGCCCTGCTGCTCGTCTTCTACTAATAAAAGTTGTTGTACCTCGACTGCAGGTTCTTCCGCGGTTCAAAATATCGCTTCCCCTTCCACAAATTCTACTGTTAGGAAAGCATCATGCTGTGGTTCAAATAGCTCGAGCAGATGCAAATGCGGAACAACTTGCGCTTGTGAAGGCTGTAATACCACCAAGCTATGAACTCGATAGCGAACTAGCATGCTATCGTCCCTAAGTAAACAACAATACATGATGAATTGACTTCTTGCCTATCACAAAGATGGTTAAGCATCCGACAAACACGAGCCCTTCACTATCTCCTATGAATAGTAAGTTCTCTTTCAATCTCATTCATCATCCGATATGGTGTAACGGCTATCACACTCCGCTTTCACCGGGGAGACCGGGGTTCGACTCCCCGTATCGGAGTCTATTTTTTTATTTTTTCGATTAAATCTACGACTTTGTTCATTTTACAGCTCATCAAATCTTTGAATCATGCATTAATTTGGTTTCTCTCTATTTGGACCACTTTGAAGCTCGATCATTGCACCCAATATGATCTCTGCTTCAGGGGAACAAGACGAGGAATCGTTTATACCATCTACTTTGCTAGACTCGGACGACGACGCGGATGAATTGTCTCGAGACTGGTCGCACATAGCTAAGCTCTGTAAGAGCCAGGTGGTGGTCCCCAAAAGAGGCGAAAAGGACTATGAGCCAGATGGAACGGATGCGCAAGAAATGCTACTGTATAGAGCGAAAAAAGCGATGTTCGACTCGCTTTCAGACGCTGCCAGAGGTGCAGTGGTGAAAAACTTGATCAAAGCATACTATGTTCCTGAGCTCCACCGAGGGTTCGTGTCTCATCCCAAGGGCAGTTTTATGCACACTATGGGTAGAGTCGACAGAGATGGTGTATGTTGGCTGACATTCCATGAATTCGTGTATTTGGCGGAAAGAGGCACTATCTCCCCTTACTTCAAGCGAGCCGATCGCCAGGACCACGAATTAGACCCGCCGATGAGCATACAAGACTTGTATTTGCTTTTCAAATCCCCACAAGAATGTGATGACTTTTTAATTTATGCGCATTTGAAAAGGCTGGGCTTTATTGTCATGAACACTCCAGAGGCAACCCTAGCAGTTGGTGAACCTAGCTCAAAACTGCGACCACGGACAACGCAAACTTTAAGCTCTTTAGCAAAGGAAGCGCTACAATTTCTTCGCATACCCACGTATCACCCCTTGCAATTTCATTTGACTAGATATACGACTTCCGGGCAAATCTACGAAGCTTTAAACAAATTGGTGCCATTTTATGCAGCTACTAAAACTAGCCAAAGTACAAGCTACGAAGAGTGTAACAAATCAGAGGTTGTCAAATATCCCAAATTCACATTCGATGTATGGAAACCACGAGGTAGTTTTAAGAAGAAAACGCCTGGTTTACCGGATTTCCAGATATTAATATTGAATAAAAACAGCAGCGATTACAAGTTTCCTACATACTCTGAAATGAAGCTTATATTTGCGAACCTGAGCTATGATGCAGAAGAACTCACTGGCGCATCAAAAAATGGGAAGCCGACTGAGGGTCTTTCTGGAAGTAAAAAGGACAAGAGGTTTGCTAAGCAAGTTCCGCCTCATATAGAGCAACAAAGGCGCCTAAAAAAAGGATACAGGAGCTTCGTATTGGCTGTTATGGATGACGGTCTGACAAGCTTTGTCAAAATAACAGAGGCAGACTTCGGCTCAGAGAATGTTTGGTTTAAACCAAGTTCTCAGTTACCGAAAGCTCGACCAAAAATCGCTAGAGGGAAGATGTCTGATGCAAGTCGCCGCTCCAACATCTAGGTTCTCTTGAGCAGTTCGAGCTTAGAAAACTAGCTGCTGTAACGTGAATATAAACTTTCATCGAATACCGATGGATTGTTATAAAATGAAGTTGGATTTTGCTCTGAGGTTTGGTTCGGTGATGGAGTTGAGCCTACCAGCCCGGTTAGACCAGATGGTGGTTGCTTTGGTGGAATTGGCGGCACCACAGGTTCTTTAACGTTGTAATTTCGATCTTGATTGTCATATGTTCGAGGAGGCAAGGGCGGAATGCCATATTTCAAGGCCTCCTCTGGTCCTTTTACGGGCGCATTGGATGATATGTTTAGTTGCTCAAAGCTTTGATTAAATTGCCCGGGCAAAGCAGGAGTGGATCTTTGTGCCGCGTCGTTTGAGGCAGTGCCGTACGATTGCAAATCATGGGCCATTTTGAGCAACGAATCATAAAAGTTTAATCCTTTGGGCAGATCATTAGCAAAGACGGAGAAGTTTGTGAATGCCTGGTTGAGTGCGTTGTAGAACTCATTCCTTTTACTCAAATTGGGATCATTCTTAGATGACTCATCTTCAACACCTGTAAGCTTAAATACTTCATCCAAACTGATCTTAATTGCATTGATAAGACTTCTTTGTTTGAATATAGTTGCCTCTATCCTGGTACTCAATGGCTTAAATTTATCCAGTTCCTTTTCGAAAAGTTGTTTCAACTCAGCATCAGTTATTCCGCGGTTAAGTATAATAACTCTTGAGATATCATCTTCATTTACCGCTCTCTTCAGATCTTGTACTATTCTATGCCGTTCGTCTTTCAGAACTTTGAGGTCCTCATGCTGGTTTGCAACATTGTTTATCTTGGATTTAATCTCGTCGTTTCTGGAGTCATCTAAATCCAGTAGATCCGGTTCTTCAATTTGGAATGCTGTGAGCTCATTCCAATACTTTCTTAAAGCTTGCGGGTTTTTGAGCAAATTTATTTCCTTTTTATGAGATTCAACGAACGAGAAAAGTTTCTCGTCAGATTTAGAAGCTGCAATTAAAGAGGACTTTAGCTTCACAGCATTTTCTTTGTTCTCCGGTGTAATCGAGGTCAAAGAGTCCAGTATTTGTTTTCGTTTGTTAACAATCGACTTTATTTGAGACTCAACATCTTTGTATGAGCTCGTCATGACATAGTTTGACCAAGAGTCTAATTGTTCTTTCATCATTGTCAGTTGCGGATTATCTGTGGAATTTTTTTTGCCGTTGCTGGTATACCTGTCGTTAAGACCTCTCAAGATTTTGGGAAGAGTTGTGAATTCGACAAATGAAGTATATTCCCAATCTGCAGTATCAGCAACTTCTAGCTCTTTTCGCAAGAGATCTGACTTTTGCTCTGAGTAAATGCTCTCTTTTTCATAGACTTCCACTGGTATGATCCCTTTAAAGAGAACATCTGATGCTTCCGCTACTTTGTCCATGTAAGGCTCCAATTGCTGAGCCAAAGGTTGTAGCTTTATAGCGTCCATACTTTTTATTGATTCCATAGACGCGTCCGACGGTACAAAGTCATGATAGATGTAGTCGTTATCCTTAACTAAAGTCCTCCGTTTCGCTGTGATTAAAGATTTCACGGAATCTAGGTCAAGGACGTCTTTGACGTACTGTTTTTGGGCCATCGCAGAAACTAAGGAATCCTGAGCAATATCGAGGAACGCTATCGCGTCTCCGAACTTGTGTTGTTGTTCAAGAGCCAGTGCGTTGTTGTAAGCCGAAATACTTCTATAAAAGTGAAACTTACAGGTAATAATGCTCTTCCACTTAGCCTCACCGTAGGGGACTTCGGTCTTGGAATCACCATCAGATTCCGTACCATAAAAAGCCTGAGTTTTCTGATATAACGACGACGTCATGAGCGCTAATTTAGCCACCAGCGACGCATGTTTGGCTACATCAGGTCCATTTACAATCCTCAATAAGAAAAGTTCTTGAGCCTCTGCGTGGCACATATTGGCCAAAAACTTGGTGTTTTCAGCATGGAGGTCCCCGGACGGCGAGTTCAAGAAATTCTCGCTCAAAAATTGAAAGCAAGCGTATGCGCGAGATAAAAGCCCAATTGAGCTTTTGACGTCGCTGTCGACCTGTTCCTGGGCCACTAGGGTCATGATCGTAGCCATATTATACAGCACACTGGACTTCTCAAAAGCCACAGTCCTCTGAGTGTACTTTTGCGACACGTTGTTCGTCGCATACGCTGCATCATACCATGTATAGTCGATGTTCAACTGACCAGAGTTCGCGCCCAATCGCAGGTACAACTGCTCCAAAAACGCATAGTACAGCAGGTTCTGCTCCAATAGCACTTCAGGAGCCAAGCTGCCATTCGCGTTGTTGCGCAAACGATCTAAGTTCTCGGCTAACTTCACATCGAAGAATTGGCTCCAGGTGGAAGATCCGTACGATTTTTTAAGGTACGACGCCAAAGCTTTAGACCAGTTCACCGGCTCCGTATCCTTTACCTTCAATGTCAACAAAAGCGTTTTCATTTCGATGTAGTGACAATATATAATCGTAATGCTCTAATAGTATCGATCGAGTACCGACGAATATACTTGATCTTGATTGTGTATGATTCCCCTTACCAATAAAAGTGCTAATTAAACTAGCGGTTCTTTTAATTTGAATATTGAAAAAAATTTGGATGTATGATTTCAGTAAATATTCTTAAAATTAAGTGGATTAACATAAGACATTCAGAGCGTTCTTGTACTGAAACATGATTCTCAATGGTATCTCTCGAGCAAGATTATCGATTCCAAGAGGCTCCCTGAATTTCACGCGGTCTGTATCGCGTTCAACTCCGCTATGGCAGCAAATGTCTGGCAACGACAGCACTGGCTCCAAGAAAAACTCAAAACCCACTGATTTCAATCCTAGACATCTTGGAATTTCTGCAGATGTCTACATCCCGCCCTCATTTAAAAACCTGCCCAGCGCTTTCAGCCACCCTATCGTCTTCAGCAACGCTGTGATCAGACGTATTTATACGTTTGGGTTGAATACCGTTCAAGTGGCATTATTTCGATATCAATCCGGTCTCAAGCCCAACTTTCTGCTGTGGAAGAACAGAGCAATTGAGACTTACGTGGGTGTCAATAAGGCGTTTGCAGCGCGCCAACTAGATTCTGTCAAGCCACAAATGTCGCTGTGGGTCGACGAAGCGTTAACAGCGAGAGCTAAACAATTACCAAAAAATGTGGAACTAGACTGGCAGCTGCTTAAGTTTCATAAGGTACCGAAGTTAGTTTCCGTCCAGGTCATGATGATTCCCGGACGGCCCTTAGAACATATTCAGTTGATCTACAAGTTCGAAACGAAGCAAAGACTAATCAAGCTGAATAAAAATACACATGAAACTAATAAACTCGACCGTGATGTAACGGATTACGTGGCATTTTTGTGTGATGCCTCCACTAACGAGCTAATTTTGATTGGATCTGTATTCGAAAGCGAGCCAACTGCCAAACTTCCAAAAAATTACGAAGATAACATGCAAACCGCAATTCAAAGAATGAAAACGAGTGGGGATCTTTATCGCATAAACTCTAAGTGATAAAACATAAGAGCTTAATACATGTACATAGTTCATTTTGATTTTTTTTGTTTTGATACAAATATTGAACATTGAGTTTAATGGAGATTTATGGCTCAGGCCGGCCTCACATAAGAAGTTAAGTAGTAAACTTATAAAAACTTTTTGGAACTAGTAAACTACATATTGTTCATAACGTTGACGTAACCTCTCGTACCCTTCTTCTTTCTTCTTGTCCCAGTTTGGCTACCTGCATTTCCCACTAGGGACATCAAATCTTCAAGACCATTGGCCTTTTTACCAGAGAGACTAACGCTAGGGCTTACAGAAGGCGACCCACTATTTGAAGTATCTTTTTCTAAACCAGCAGCGCTAATTGGGTCTTTGCTTAGAGGGTTCGTTGGAGGAACGAATGCTGCAGTTCTGGCAGCTGCTCCTCCAGCAATAGAGCCTGTACGAGGCTTAACCTTGGGTGAGCCTTCAGCCTTCTTTTTTATAATGGGGGGCGGAGGAGGAGGTGTGGAAACTTGCTGTTTCTCCTCCTCAGTGGCGTTTTTATTGATCCACCTTTGTAGCTTATCATCATAATAAAAAGTATTTTGATGTCCCAATTTGGCCTTCACTGGCTTTTTCTCATTGGTTTCCTTACGCAACCAACCAAACCACGAAGGGCCATGTTGGCTTTTATCGCGCTCGTCCTTATCCCTTTCTTCCCTTTTCTTAGCTTTCGCTTCTGCCTTTTTCGCCTCCTCTGCCTTCTTCACTTTCGCTGCTTCAGTAGCTTCCTCATCTTCATCCGATTCGTTTTCCACAATATCGTCGTAGTATTCTTCTGCTGCTGGGGCTGCAGGAGTGAAGGGCTTGAAACTGGGGTTGGAAGAAGGCCTAATAACTGGGGCACTAATAGAGCTGAACAATTTGTCCCCTTCTTCTGAACTTATACTTAGACTCAACTTTTTGCTTGAAACTGGTTGAAATCGAGGTTCAAGAGCGGGCGTCGGTATCTTCTCCTCAATGGGCGTCAAGTCTTGCACAGGACATATTGAATGTTCCAAGTTTGAGGTGCCCTCAACGTTATACTGATTGAAATGCTTAGCTGCTTTGCCGTCATCAAATTTATCTGCTTGTGCCTCAGGTGCAAACGTCTCCTGGACATTATATCCACCATATGAGAACATGTTCAATTCTTCCTGCGAAGCCTCTTGATTAGTATCGTCCATGAGTTTGAGCGTACCATGATTATCCAAGTCTGATTGTGACTTTGTCGGGGCATACGGATTATGAGAGGATTTTGTTGTTCTCCCACTTTGCGCTGGCGCGTAAGGATTATTGCCGTTATTAGAGCCCAAATTAGACTGCTTAGGGGCTGAAGATACCGCCTGCATTTCCCTGCGCTCATTCTTTGATATTTCAATGTCAAAGTAACTGGCATGAGCATTTGAGACTGGCTCAGTACCTACAGACAGTTTACGAGCAACACCCAGCTTCTCATTGACAGTTTCAGCATCGCTGATTTGAGAAGTAACAATGTCTGTTTCTCTCACCTCGGATACGCTCTCAGGAGCTGAACTATTGTTTTGCAAAGGTTGAAAGCCATTTGTGCCTTCTTCATTGGTAGCCTCTGATTCATCGTACAGGTCACGGATGTGGCCTTGTGAAGCTTCTCCATCCAAGTCTCCCTTCAATGTTTGTAGCGTATTAGTAGCTGAATTTTCAACGTCCAAACATTTTTCCTGACTCAATCCCTCTGATGAAAGATAGCCGCCAGTCGAGGTATTGTCCCTAACGCTTAGCTGCTGCGCCTGATATGATTCAGCTCTTGCAAGATCGGGTGAGTAGCTAGGGCCTGATGAAGCCAGCGAAATGGGTACGTGTTTTGGGGAGGATAGGTTGGAATACTGTGATTGGGCGCTACTTCGAGACTGAGCAGAATTCCTTCTGCTCTTGTAAATACTTGAGCTTCCAAAAATGGGAGGAGGAGCAACCTGTAAATCTGCGAGCAAGGCTGCATTTGCAGGGGTTTCTCCCTTAATCGATCTCTTTAGTCCAGAATGGGGCTGTGAAGTTAGCAAATTATCTGTAGCTGCCACTTTCATCTCGAAAGGATTAGTCTCTCCGGTGTTATGGCCTTTTCTATTCGTGTACTTCTTAGACGAAGTAGAAAATAATGGAGGGGGAGTCATGGCCGTGATAAGCTGATCTTTTGACCGCATAGGAGAATTTTGATAGATTGTCTGAATGGGCGAGTCGAACGAGCTTGTAGCATCCATCGATGGCTTATGGTTTGGTGTTGAACCCCATTGTTTTTGGCTTTGAGAGGGCTCATACTTAGACTCGTGAGCTGCGGAGCCATTAGGGTTTCTTCCTTTCGACAACGCTCCCGACGAGGACACATTGGTGTGTAGTGGGGGTCTTCCCAAATTTGGCACAAAGTTGGGTGGATTGCAGTTGTTAAGTGAGGCAGCAGGATTGAAGGAAGACGATGGCTGACTTAAATCAATCTTTGAACTGTTTCTCGAGCCATTGGGAGTAAAATTCTCAAAAATTTTTCCCGATTCATCTGCGTTGTTCTCCTCATTATCGCCGCCTATGAATTTGTTGAAGGATTTGTCGAGCTGGCCCCACACTTGACTTAACTTGGGTTTGCCTAGCCAGCTGGCATTCGTTCCAATCAATTTAGAGGAAACGAAATTCAAACGTAAGTCAACGGTGCAGGCCAGTGAGCTATTTCTTGGCAATGATCTTAAAGCTAGTGCGACATAGTCAGCATATCTTGTGCCGTCTGCGTTCATGCCACACTCAATCAAGGCTGAAGAATGGGCTAGCTTTTGAAGCAGCAAATAATCGAATCCGGTATACTTTGGATCTTTGGTACCGCAGTAAAATTCGTAGATTTCGGATAGAATGATGCCCTCGCTTGAGTTTTCACTACCGAGAGACTTAAATTTCAATCCTGATCCTGGTACCATTTCATGATCTGATAAGGGAACGTCAGCAATTACAAAGGATGTTATACCCTCTATGATCATACCTCTTTGGTGCAAAAAGATACCGAACTCGACCAAAAATTCTAGAGCAAGTGGTGGTACCTCATGAGAATTGTTCGAGGAATCGCTTGACTGATGTTTCACGTTGTTCAAAACTGCTGAGATAATGATCTTCCAGTTGTTCATCGCCCAATTTTCTTTGGATGCATTTGTGCTGATTTCTTTCACAACATGCTTGCTGTTTCCAACAGAAACTTGGAAAATGAGGGCAAGTAAATTTGCAGAGAAATCATTGGAATTATCATTAATAGAGTGAAATTCCTCACGTAAATAAATGTCAACAACCTCGGACCATTTTTCTTTTCCAACCAAGCTACTCAGTATTAGAGCGAGAGCAAAATCCCCTTCAGAGAGGGCCAATTCAAGCGCTTGGCTATGATTACCTGTTTGCAGCGCAGCCAAAACTTTCAATTGATCATTTTCAATCAGTTTATGAGAGTTGAAGGAACCCTTTTTCCTCATGGATGGTTGAGACAAGAAAGGAAGTAATTCATCAGAGTTGTATAGAGTCTGGGATATACTCCTTAAAGCCGTTTGAGGAGAAAGTTTTAAGCTTAAGACTTTGTGCAGTGTCAAGTCTCTCAAGGGTTGTTGCTTGCTGAGGTAGGCGCAGGTATCTTCAATCCATTTTTGAATTTCCTTGTTTTTGTTCTTGTTCTTCATTAGCGGACCCGGGAAATTTTTGAGAAGTATGGACGGTTCTACAATAGCATCATAGCCGCTCACATGAATCTTTTGTCCAAGGTTTGTTGACGACAAGTAATCGTCAGATTCTGCTTTTGATGGCAAAGCGTAGACGACCTTTGATGACTTTCCCCAATGAAAAATAGGAAACTGTTTGTGAAAAGCAATATGTGGATCAACTGGCTGCTCGTTGATGACATCCGCAATCAGATTCGCTTGATTTGTCTTGGGTTTGAAAGAATTCGAAGCAGCTGAAGGTCCAGAATGTGCGCTGGCGTAATAATTGGTATTCATGCCATCATGCGAGGGCAACTGAAACTGCGGTTGAACAGTTGGTGCATATTTGGACGAATATGCCGGAGCATAAACGCTAGAATTCGAACGTGCATGGCTTCTTCTCTGAGTATTAGGCGATAAGGCTGCCTGACCGATTGTGGAGAGGCCTGCTGTCTTTAAAGCAGGAACCAATGGTGCTTGATGTTCGATACGAGCATAAGGATCCTGTTGAAGGCCTTTATCAGCATATGAGACTTGAACATAGGGTCTCGAAGTTGGGGGAACGTTGGATTGACTATTTGAGCTGCCAAAAGATCCAATACTCCCATTAGAAACGTTACTAAACGCTCTTATCCGAGCACTTTGTGATGGATACTGGTACATAGCATTAACATTTTTCGGGGGCTCAGGATTAGTTGACGAAGGGGCATATCTGTTTGATGCTGGTGCATCTTTTGCCACCGAAGTTGTCCTCAAATTTACGGTTGGCTCGTAAGAGTTCTGTTGCTTCTGTGGTAGGGATGCGGCTGTCGTTAAATAAGGGGGAGCATGGGTGTTAACGTGGGGGTATCCAACTTGTTCAATTGAAGTTGGAGCATTCGGCAAGGTCGGATTTATTTTGGCACCATGACACTCTGCGTGCGCTCTATATGGTGGGTTAACCGCACTCTGATTAACTGAAATAGGAGGACCACCATGAGTGGTTTTGATTTTTGAAGGTAGCGGCGTGCCATGCTGATTAGGAGGCAGGGCCGCGACTGAGTTACTGGAAGATAGGGTAGAGCTCGAAGCACCGAAAGGTTTCGCTTGATTAACCTTTTTGGGTTTACGTGGGGCAATCTCCAGTGGTATGTCGTATGCGTCGGACCTTTTCTTTTCTTCATCCAACTGTTTATGGATGCTTTCAATAGGTTTTACATTTGCAGCAAAGCCTGTACGTAATGATGGGTTGACGGTGGCAAAAGAAGAGATCGGGCTTACGTTTGAAGTTGTGCTCTGGTTCTGAGTGGAGGGTTCATATTTGGAAATTTTTTTATCAGGCGACGGCTGTCTTTCCGCTCCTGATATGATGCGGGCAATGGGCTGAACATATGCATTCTTTGGTGGTACAGCTGGTGTTGAGGTAGGCACGTAGCTTTTAGAAAGGTCTCTTTGCTGCAAAGAAGAGCCCAAGGGTGCAATTTTTGGGTCTGAAGCCTCGTGTGGGGCCTCCGTAGTTACCTGAACCGCAAGCCCCTCCGCCAGATCTTCATCTGAATCCAAAAAGCTGTCATCATCATCGAGGAGGTCGTCATCATTCTCTAAAAATGAAAACTTTTTAGGCTCTTCAGCAGCGTTAATAGAATGTTGAATAACAGAAGAATCGCCGTCTTCATTTTCAACACCTTCCCATGGTAGCAAACCATTTTGACTGTCCCGATCACTAGAAAGCCGCTCGGGCGAATAGTTACATTCACCGTGTTTCGGTTCTTTGGTGAAAAGATCGGGCGAGGATATCAAATCCTCGGTTTTCGCTAGACTTGGCGAACGTTGATTGCTCTGCCATGGGAGCTCCTCATCAACAACCTCGGAGTCATCTGGGAACATGTTGCCGATTGAGGCGTCTGTCTGGGCTGGGAAAGTTATATCTCCAGGAGTTTCCAAGACGCGCGAACGATCAGCACTCAACAAAGATTCCTGTAAATTTGAAATATCTGGCGTTTCTTCGGTAGCCTTCGTAGAGACTTCATTTTGTTCTTCCCATGGTAAAGGCTCGCGATCTGGCTCCTGAGTGAATAAAAGTTCCTGTTCCTGACTGGGTTCAGTACTTTGTTCAACAGGCAGCTCTTTTGGCTGGGCAGTATGCATCTCCATAGCAACATGGTTTTTATTGTACTCGAAATCTGCGTTTATACTTTCTGTAGAAGCTGTAAGATCAACAAAATTCTCTGAAGCAAGAACATTTTGTTGAGTATCTTCATGAGTAGACTTACTGGACTTTAACTCAGAATTCAAGTGGGGGACAGGAGCACGCTCCCAATTTTGCTCAGGCTCCGGGGTAGATACTGTACTTTCAGAAAATACTCTCAGATTGCCCAAATCTGATGACTTTACTGCCTCAGTTTCGAGGGTAGGATTGAGAACCTGTGATTGCGAAACGACTGAAGATTCAGCATCGCCCTCATGCTCATGCACCGTGTGAACATTGTCCTCAGCCAGGTGCGAATTGCCAGGTCTGCTAGATTCGTGCTTGTCAGCGGAGGAAACACCTTGGTTGTCGAAACTCTCCTCACGGCCGGGCGAAGACAAACTCTGCCTTGAAGAAATAGGAATGTTCGTGCCTGAGATGACTTGCGTATCGTGTTTCGGTAGTGGCTCTTTATCGTGGGTGGAAACTTTATAGTCATTTCTTGACCAATCATCAGATGATACTTCAAAGTTTATGACTTGATCTTCTCGTGGACTTGGTGGTTCTTTCAGCCCGACAACGTCCTCGCTTTGTACATTTTCAAGTTCAATTGCTCCGCTTGATGAAAAGCCACCATTTATAGGTGGAGCCATGGATAAGTCGAGTTGGGTAGAGAAGCCTTCATCTTTATGCTTTTCACTGTTTTGCTTCAATTCTAACGAAACACTGGGGGCAAACACCTCTCCTTGTCCAAATACATCAATATCTGTTTTCAAGCCAGTTGCAGAACTATCAGAGTTAGCTAAGTTGACTTGTGAATCCGGATCAAGAGGCGGCTCCCTAATTGACGAAATTGGCGATTTTGGTCTCATTTCCGAATTAGCAGTTGCGTTCAAATCTTGTTCGTTATTGGCTTGCGATGCTGTTTCTAATGTATTTCTTTCAGCGGCGGTTTCGGCCTCCATTTCGCCGTCCTGCAACGCTGCGAATTCTGGGCTGTCTGCAATGGTGTTATTGGCAGCACTCTGGTTCGCCGAATTTGAAACAGGCTTTTCTCCAAGACCCAGGCCTTCTTCACTCGCAGATGGTGGGTTTGGTGCCTTGGCAGCACCAGGCCCCACAGAAGATTCTGTTACGCCTAACTCACCCTGCACCTTATGCGTTACTGTAAGTTCGTTGTCATTTTGTGAGCCTTCTTGAAATTGTTCGGAATCGTCCCTACCTTCTGAAATACTTTCAATTGGAGCATCCGCATTCACAGCATGCTTTTCGGTTGCTTCGTGAGATTCCACATCTTTTAGAGAATCCTTCTTCTGCTTCTGCTTCTGCTTCTTTTTTTGGTTCTTCTTCTTTTTTGCCTCTGGTCCCATTATTCAAAGGCGGAAAGGCGCTTATAATCTAGCTTATGTCAAGTGTTTATAGTTGCAGCGCAACAAAGCCCCAATGAATGCTTTTCACTCGCACAGTCAGCCGTTCGAGGTTGTTGATATCTATTTGTATGTGTCGATCCAGTTTTAAACACTCGCCACCTTTTTTCCCATCAGGACAAAACAAAAGTTTTACACGTGCCAATTTGTCAGTTGTTGACGAGCGATCAACACATATAACGCTTCAGATAGTTTGTGCGAGGCAGCTCGAGGTTGAGCTCGTATCTAGATCTGACATATGAGATTGAGCAACGGTCTTGTACCGGGGAAACATCTAGAAACATTCAGGCTGTGAGACTATTTACCCGAGTAGCTACTCGAGTAAATAGTAGAGAAACGCTTAGATGACTTCTCGTATTGGTCGTTCCGTCGAAAGGAATCTACAATTGGCTCCCGACAAGAGGCAAAAACCCAACTTAGCGCAAGGAAGTCTATATTTTGAGACTAATCGGCTCTACCGCGACCTAAAGTTTCATCTTGTGAGGCCTGAAAATAAGAACAAAGATCTCACAGAAAGATAGCACAAGTTTGGTTACGCCGTAAGCTGAGAAGTCTATACACATGATAAGAAAACTGAAGCTCTTTTCATTACTGATTGATCAGGTTTTGAGGCTAATGGTAAGTATCAAACGAACGCTGGCAGAACTTACTTCTAATCCCAATTTAAAAAGAAGACAGGGAGTAATGAACGCAACCAAATTGACATGGACGTGGTAGAGATTCGGAAAGCGCCACTGCGACTTGCGAGCTCTAGGTTTAGATCGTTTAAAAGGATCATCGTGTATGTGCTACTGTTATTGACTAGCTTCTGTTCAGCACTTACAATTTTGAAAAATTTTAGATTGAAGAGATGCGATGAGCTAGTTGACAATACAGTTTAAACCCAGAACGCACACCTTTTAGAGTCTAACATAGCTGTATACAAACATGGGAAGACGCGGTAATGGCCCTAAAAATAACAAACAGAAACTAGCTCCTGAAAAGGAGCGTTTCATTCAATGTTGTTCAGACATTACTTTGGAATTGACTAGCTCGCTAACATCTGGATCTTCCAGAGAAATAAACCTCAATGGGCTCATCACAAAGTACTCTAAAAAATACAAGCTCAAACAACAACCCCGCTTAACGGACATCATCAATTCGATTCCAGATCAGTATAAAAAATATCTGCTGCCGAAACTCAAAGCCAAGCCCGTCAGAACGGCGTCTGGTATTGCCGTCGTGGCTGTTATGTGCAAACCTCATCGTTGTCCGCATATTGCATACACTGGTAATATCTGTGTGTACTGTCCAGGTGGTCCAGATTCCGATTTCGAATACTCTACACAATCCTACACGGGATATGAACCTACATCCATGCGAGCCATCAGGGCACGTTATGACCCTTACGAGCAAGCCCGCGGTAGAGTCGAGCAGCTCAAACAACTGGGTCACTCTATCGACAAGGTCGAGTACATTATCATGGGGGGCACTTTCATGTCATTGCCCAAGGACTACCGTGAAGACTTCATAGTTAAGCTACACAATGCGCTTTCGGGGTTTAACGGTAACAATATTGACGAAGCCATTCAATACTCACAGCAGAGTTTGACGAAATGTGTTGGTATCACAATAGAAACCAGGCCTGACTATTGCACTCAAACGCACCTTGATGATATGCTGAAGTATGGATGCACCAGACTAGAAATCGGTGTACAGTCACTTTACGAGGATGTGGCCCGCGACACAAACCGTGGTCATACGGTTCGGTCGGTTGCAGAAACGTTCTGTGTAGCCAAGGACGCAGGTTACAAGATTGTTTCTCACATGATGCCTGATTTACCTAACGTGGGTATGGAAAGAGACATAGAACAGTTCAAGGAATACTTTGAAAATCCAGCATTTCGTACCGACGGGTTAAAAATTTACCCCACTCTGGTGATTAGAGGAACAGGTCTTTACGAGTTGTGGAAAACGGGTCGTTATAAGTCTTATAACGCAAATGCATTAGTCGACCTAGTGGCCAGAATTATGGCCCTTGTTCCACCTTGGACTAGAATCTACCGTGTACAAAGAGATATTCCAATGCCTTTAGTCACTTCTGGTGTAGACAATGGTAATCTAAGGGAGTTGGCTCTGGCTAGAATGAAAGACTTTGGCACTACATGCAGGGACGTGCGTACTAGAGAGGTCGGTATCCAAGAAGTTCATCATAAGGTTCAGCCAGATCAGGTTGAGCTGATAAGAAGAGACTACTACGCTAATGGCGGGTGGGAAACGTTCTTGTCGTATGAGGATCCAAAACAAGATATTCTAATTGGACTGCTGAGACTGAGAAAAGCCTCTAAGAAGTTTACTTATAGGAAGGAATTCACTTCTCAAAGAACTTCCATTGTTAGAGAACTTCATGTCTATGGATCTGTGGTTCCTTTGCATTCTAGAGATCCTCGTAAGTTTCAACATCAAGGTTTCGGTACTCTTCTGATGGAAGAAGCTGCCAGAATCTCAAAGGAAGAGCATGGGTCGGAGAAAATATCGGTTATATCTGGTGTTGGTGTAAGGAACTATTACGCTAAATTGGGCTACGAACTTGATGGCCCATACATGTCCAAACAACTATAGGTGGGTATGAGAAAGGATTTTTCATCGGTACTTTTATGACGTGCTTAGGCGTAATGACAGCAAATGAAGCAGCGAAGCTTGCAATGTGAATCAATCGAGCTCATTAGCGACGTAGCTTACATAGCAGTTTGACATCGTCGAGCTTTAGCATTACGAAAATTCAGGGCTTTCAGTTTTTTAAATCATTAGAGAATCTTAGTTAGGGGACTGCTCACGACTCATATCACGTTAAAGCCCTTTGATGTCAGTGCTAGAAGACCACTAAAGTAGAGCAGCTTCATATGAATATTCAATAAATTCTTGCGGATCTTTCATCTGGTGTATATTCATTCTGTTGATAGTAGGATGCAACATCAATAAAAGTTCTTTTTAGCGTAGAAAGGCTGACGGAGCTAATATTCTGATAATGAAAGGCAAGTCTTCCGTCAAATAATTTGACATTATTGGCTTGTCCAATTTCTAAAAACTTGTTTAAGTTGATGCCTGATCTCGCCAAATCCACAAAAATAAAGTTGGTCTCAACGGGATGCGCCAACTGAAGTTCCATTCCATAATCTCTTTTGAGCGTCGCATGTAAATCAAACCAGAACTCGATTGTTCGGCGCGAAACTTCAGTGACTGTAGCAGGAAAATTGATACTCAAACAGTAATTGGCAATACGGGCAATGAACCCGGCTTGCCTGATGCCTCCTCCCTGTTGTTTTTGTAGATGACGTGCCTTTTTCCTAAAATTGGGGTTGCCGATCAGCATGGATCCAATAGGAGCTCCTAATGATTTCGAGAAACAGACAGACGCTGAGTCTACAAGAGCTGCAATATCTTGCATGTACTGCTTAGGGTCACGGTCGCTGGAAGCACAGGCAGCATTCCACAATCGAGCTCCATCCAAATGCAACTTGATTCCCTCCTCATGGCACCAATCACTGATACGCTTGAGTTCATCATACGGAAAGCACATACCATGCAGAGTGTTTTCCACGCAAATTAGTTTGGTTGGCGCCAGGTGAATGTCACCGTCATCAGGGATATAGTTATCTTTGATATCTTGCAAGGTAAGAAAACGCTCGTTTGACGCTGTTACTGGTATTACCAGGGCTTGCGAAAGGACTGCTATCCCAGCACATTCGTCGACATAAACATGTGCTCTCTTGTCGCACAAAACGCTATATGGAGGAGCGAAATTTAGATGTGTTCGAATAGCTAATTGATTTGACATGGTCGTAGACATGCAGAAAAGACCCCTAGCTTCAGCATTTGCGCATAGCTTGCCACCCAAATATTCTTGTGCCACTCGTTGTTCCAGCAAGCTAGTGTCTCTGTCCTCTTCATAGATAGAATCACCAAGTGAAGCTTCGGCCACGGTTTGCCATATTTCAGGTGTGGGGATCGTGAATGTATCCGAACGGAAATCGTTCGAGGACGTGGTATACTCAGGAACAGAAGCCATATTCGAATTATTTACACTTAGATTCTAGCTAAGCTTCCGAGCCTTTTGACAACTTAAATCCCTTTTTCTCGGATTCGATAAGTTGATAAAGGTTTCGCGAACAGACAAATGCCTAGTAGATAACTAAACAAGAGTTACAATTCATTATCTTCAAACACATAGTAGGAATTTCGCTAGCGTAATACGGTTTCGTGAAATTTATCTTCCCATGTCTTGTTAGTCTTAACTATGACTCACCGTTAAAACTATTCAGTTATGGTTGACATTGTATATGTTAATTTAGGGGGGATATACCTGTATAATTTCAGACCGAGAGTTATGAACCTGGTTAGTTGCACAGAAAACCAAGGCTGTATACGGTAATATTCCTGGCCGTACCATACTATTGCCAGAAGCCAGAGGTCACTGTCACTTCCCGGGCATTTTCATCTTCTAGACTCATTCTTTAGATAGTGTCTTGGAATGTATAAAAAGCAGCTATGTTCGTAGCCAAAGGCCTGCGACACTATTTCAATCTCTCTTGGAGCGGTCCAGCTTAGAGCTGGATTCTGGCCCGACGTAAGGACCGCAAAACTCTAAGGAGTACTTGGTGTTAACGGTATGTGACGAATGAATCAACTCTGGGAAAACTTTCCATCTCCAGATCAAAGTGTAGTCTTCTGCTTGTCCGTGGGTCAAAATACGCAGGTATTCGAGATGGACAATGTAGAAGTAGACACCAGACCCGGTCAACAGATGCCACCACGAATGGAGTTCGAGGAAAACTCCCAAGGGCAAGTGCAGGAAGGTTCTCCGGATGAATATCCAGAACGAGCAGAAGTGTACATCCAGTTGCCACAGAAAGTAGCCCAATAAGAAGATGGAGATGCTCAAGGCCATGGTGTTGCGCAAGTTGCGCTTGGCCAAGGGATCGCGCACGTATTTCGAAGCCATCGCGCCTGCGGAGAACACCACTATGACGTTCAGGATGGCATATGCCGTCTGATGGATTGTAGGGTCCCGATACACCAAATATACCACGGTAAGTATGGCTGCGGCCGAAAACACGATAGCTCCGATGATACTCTGTCTCAGCAGCGACGGAGCCCGGTTGCGGTTACGCAAAATGTCTTTTTCCTCGGAAAAGATGCTCCAGGCAGGTATGCAGGTAGCGTATATCATTGGCAACTCGTCCAGCAGCTGGTATTCGTACCGCAGCGTCATGTGGAACAGCCACGAACCGACGCCCACGGTGCCCAGACCAATCCCGATCATCACAAACCGTTTTTCCAGACGGTGGTAGTATGCCGACCATGTTACGTACATTGCCAGCGCCACGAACGCACTGTTAGTGATTGTGTTTGACCATTCTGCCACAAACGGCGAAACCACGTAGTTCTCCTCGCACCAATCAATCGTCGAGGTGGGTTTTCCCCAATAGCCTGCCTGCTGAGGCTCTGGATACCTCCTAAATATAGACTTCAGCATTGTCTAATGTTCCTCGATGCTTTAAATACAACTGCCAGCTGTAGTATGCTCTTATAATACCTTGATTTTATAGGCAAATATACTGATGACGGATGAGTATAAATACGGATACTCAGGACTATTACAGATTATATACAAATATATATATATATATATACATGTATTTATATAGATGGATATAGATACGAGAACAACTCCGAAATATCCAATTGTTTCCGTGGACCCACCTTATATAGCAAGGAGAGGGATTAAATTTCGAAAAAGAGGTGAGGACGTTAACGCCAGCGTGCGCAATAGTGATGTAACGAGCGAAACCTCCGAAGTGTCCTCCAGAGTGGATATATAGTTGGCGAGCGTTCAGAGATGCTTGAAAAGGAACCGCCGAGGATCTTAGGTGTTTCGCGTGCCTCTGCCACCCCTTTCTTGTTGATAGAACGATTATCGCAGTGCTAAACGAAAAAACAGGCGATGCGGAAACTTGCTTTGCAGGATGAACTTCTCGCACCGTATTGCATCTGATTAGCATTATTGAAGCTGGTACTTGAACCTGAGGAAGTTGGGTTTAGAGCTTACATCACCGGAATGTTTGGATGGAGCTTAACTTCGTGAAGATTATTGATTTGCGCCCTGCAGAAGCAATGGCCATGAGACCATTTGTGTTGACTGAGAAGGACTAGTATTGGCGATTTGTTCTTTTTGAATACTCTAAAATGCGTGGATTAACGGCCAAGAACGGATAGGCGTAGATTACACATTGCATTCGTGGGTGACAGGGCGAAAATGAGCTAGTTTTTTGTTCCTTAGCGCTGAGACCGCGGTACTTCACCTTCAGCTGCGTACGGTGTGTCGGCACAATCGTGGAAAAGAAATCAGCATCTGAGCTGCCTTGTGGAAATACGAAATGGATCCCAGCATTCCTGGCGTTTTTGCAAAAAATGCGGTCTTGGCAAAAGCACACTTGGCGTACTTTATTGTATATGACGAGAACGCCTGTTGGTTTTAGCCGCAGTGAAACAAGTCTTGATTACTTGACATAAAACGGTTTAGCGTTTCAAACTACCTCTCACACAACAACTCCGGAGTTTTAAAGTCTTGGCAGGCACTGAGAAACCCAAAAAAAAAATAGTGGTAAGTTCAAAAAAGAGCCGGACTGGTCGTGGCATAACACAGTCCAAATTACCATTGGCGCAGTTCGTACCTTTGGTTTCATTATCTACAAAACTTCGCTACACACTATGCACACGGGCGTGCTGTTGACTGCCGTCCAAACCCTGTCTACATGCAACAGTAACCTCCGTCCACGATAATGTCGGTGCCGGTGGTAAAAGTCGAGGCATCGGAGGCCAAGTACAAATACGCTCCCACCAACTCCTCTGGCAAACCTTCTCTACCCAGAGGTGTCATTTCCAGCCACTTCTGCTTAGTGTCGTCCACGGCAAACTCGCTGATGGGAGTAGATATATAGCCTGGCGAAACAGAGTTGACACGCGCGAATCCAGACCATTCGACAGCTAGCGATTTCGACATGTGGATAACTCCTGCTTTCACGGCATTGTAGCACGTCTGTAACTGAGGGACGTTGACAACGTGGCCAGACATCGACGCTGTGATGACGAGCGACCCATGGCCTTGTTTCTTGAAAACTGTTCCGATAAACTTACTGCAGTAATACACGCCCTGAAAATCGGTTTGTAAGATCCTGTCCCACTCCTTGGACGCCGCGCCGCGCTCCTGCGCCTCCACTAGCGGACCCTCGGACCACGCCACGCCTGCGTTGGCGACGAACACATCGATCTTGCCTCCAAAGTCCTTCTGAACCTGCTGGATTGTCTCCTGGACTTTTTGCTCGTCCGTGACAGGACACTTGTAGGCGATGGCCTTGACGTTGTATTTTTCCGCTAGTTCTTTGGCCGTTTTGACTAGTCCGTCGTGCGAGTTGTACCAAACCGCGATATCGGCGCCTGCTTGTGCAAAGGCCACGGCTACTGCACCTCCAATTCCAGACGATGCTCCCGATATACATGCCACTTTGCCCTTAAGCGAGAACATGTCCATGACATGTGAAGGCAGTTTTGGTCTGGGTTGAGGCACTTCCAGTCCTGTCGCGATAGTCTTTGCCATTGATAGTTTTCTTTGTAGTGAAAACTTCAGTACGTCTCCGCTCTTCAGTCTACTGAGAGCATTTTCTGTCTACGTCCCTTAACCTGAAAACTGCTACCGCTATTTATACGTAGCTGTGTATGGAGAGGGGTCATGTCTACCTTTACTCGACCTGGTTTCCTTCGTCACATTACCGACCCTGCGAGCTTGACCGAAATGGGACTTGTGGGTCCCGGCTGCAATTCGGATCACGCAACGAGAGGAAATGGCCGACTTTCTCCAGTTAGTTTCAACCGGCATCAACTCAGTACCAACCCAGCGTAAGTACGGTAAACTCGGAAGCCTGCGCATCGTGCGTACCCTGAGAGCGAACATGATGAACAAGGGTAACGCTACCTAAGCGACCTTACAACAAGAGTTGTTGTTAATCATTTATCACCTGGTAAGCACGGTAAAATGACGCAACGAGCGTCAAGCACGAAGTGAGAAACGCTGTGAACGCAACTGGGACTGATAGCTCCGCAGATATGTGTCTGTGGCATGAAAGAAGAGAGGATATTGAGTCTGCAAAAGAGCACCGTGCTACGGCCAGAAGTTTCTACGAGGCGATGGTGTGGACAGTAGTATTCGTTAGTAGTCAAAGAGCTTGCAATATGTCAATTTAGATAATTCATATGCATAAGTTAATACTCTGGGGGAGAAATTGCAAGTCGTGAAAAGGTATATGAGATGAGGCTTTCGTCAGGTGTGATGATGTGCTAGAAGCTCGGATTACCGCAAAACAATTGGAGTAGGCCGAGCTGGCTGGTTAAAGGATATATCAGAAAACGCATTTATCAACCAGACTTTTCCCAGTTCATTTGGGCTGGTTAACAAAAGATACTTTTATACGGAATTTCTTTTGGAAGGGAAAAGCGCTCTGGTAGCGTCCTGGACCGCACAATTATACTCAAGGAAGTCAAGGCCACAAGATATGCTGGTAAAGTTGCGGTTTTGGAAGCGCTTGCTACTACAAATCGCCACGAAGGGCGATATAGTTTTGAACGTACATTATCTCTACTCATTTATGACGGCTGGGCTCTGGCGGCCCTCGGTCTCCAAAGAACCAGTTTCCTCTATTCTACCACTTGTGACAATGGACCTGTCGTTATATGTATATTATATATGGACAAGTACGAATGCTGACGCTAAGAAGTCTTTAACCAAACGTGTACAGCTCCTATAATTTCCCACTATTTTTAATGACGTTCATGCATTTCCTTACAAGCATTGTCGAGTAGAAATTATTTTCCTGACGCCTGATAGTTGCCCATTAGAAACGAGGTTGTCTCTTAGCAACGAGGTTCCAAGCGCGAGGTTCCAACCGCTTGATACAAAAAACTCTGTCATAGGCGCAAACCAAAAGAATATTAATATTTACTTACAGCGGAGTTGCCGATTTAGATTTACGGATGGAACAAGAAGTACAGTAAAATCCGTCATCGAATCATCGGCTCCATCATAAAAGCCATTCGACAAACTTTTCAAATTTGCCGGTCGGAGGCTGCCTCTTGGCGTCCAATTCTTTCGTCTCTTCCTCGATTTCAACCAACCCTGTGGTGACATCAATTTCAGCTACTGGATAGGCCCAGCAATCCCATGTTCTAGTGCACAGCTTATGACCAACCCATAATGCCACGAAGATGGGCAGAGTGATGTATGCTGCTACAAAATCGGCAGCATTCCAAAACTTTGGAATGAACGAGACATAGCCATTTGTTAGACAAATGACAGATACCACAACAATGAAGAAGTAAGTAGAATATGGTTGAAAAGGAGTTTTGAAAGGGACTCTATCAAATAATCCGCGGAAGAAAATAGCTTCGCGGAATCTCAAGTATGCCACGCCAATACAGATCCAACCGATGAACCCAGAGATTGTGGAGATGTTAGAAAACCAGGCGAAAACGTTAGCAGCACCAGACGATACGTTCAAAAATGCCAAACACGATAGCAACCCGCTTAATCCAACCGCGTTGTAAGGAACACCAAATCTGTTGATCTTGGCAAAAACTTTGGGAGCTGTGCCGTCTTCTGCCATGGAAAGGAGAGACCTCGAGGCTGCGAACAAATACGAATTTCCCGACGACCATGCTGAGGTTAGGATACAAGCGTTGATGATATGTGGGAGACCCTTAATGCCGGCGTTTTGGATGCCGATCACAAATGGGGAAGACGCAGCGCCCGATTTACCCTGTGAGAGTGCACTGGCTAAATTTTTGTCATTGTAAGCCACGATAACACCAATGGCTAACGACGAAGTAACGTAGAAGAATATCAATCGGTAAACAAAACGCTTAGAGGCTTTGGCAATGTTTCTTCTGGAGTCTAGGGCTTCTGCAGACGTTAGGGCAACCAATTCAGGTCCCAGAATAAACGCAAAACCACCTTTGATCACCCCAGTCCAAATGTCCAAGAACTGTCCCGTGCTTCCAGATGTGATGTGGTAAGTAAAAGCACCGGGATGCTTCCAGTATCTAAAACCCAATCTGTCATGATTAGGACCGCCGCCCCAAAATAGAATAAATGACACTATAAGAAGACCCACGATACACAAGATCTTGATGATGGCAAACCAAAACTCACTCTCACCGTAGTACTTCACGGGGCCAAAATTTAAGAGAGTGCAGACCACAAGGAAAATAGCGATCCATACGCCTGAGGGTACTGCGGTGGTCCAGTACGTGACGACACCTGACGCAGCAGTGCATTCCGCAGCGACCAGGATCACGTACGTGTAGTAGTAATTCCAACCCGTGGCGAACCCCAAGGATGGATCCACGTATCTTGACACGATCTTCGAGATCGATCCGCCCGTGTCGTTGCCGGATCCAGGCAGATAACACACCATTTCTCCGAGCGCATTCATGACAGCGTATATTACCACCGAGATGATCAAGTATGCTGTAAACAGCCCCGCTGGTCCACACGTATGGAGCGTCGACGATGTTCCGACGAAAAGTCCAGTTCCGATGCACCCTCCAAGCGCAATCAATTGGATGTGACGGGCGTTGAGACCCTTTTTCAATTTGTGCGCGGACGGATCGCCGCTTGACGCATCGACAATTGACAAAGACTCGGCATCCAACTCGTAGACTTGGCCCGTCTGTTTGTCGATGATGCTGGTTTCCCCAGCGTCTTTCAGATCGCGAGCGCTAGCCATGTCTTGCAATGAACTTATTACCTTTTTGGTCCGCGGATTGTTAGCAAACTATTCAGGAAACATATCGGTTCCCTTCGAGACTAGTCTTATGTATTGTTTCTTATACTAACTTAGCGCCCAGGATCTATATCATCGTGCATTGTAAATAACAACCGATATGCTAGTCTGTTAGCACCTCGCGGTTCGAACCCCGTCTTTCACTTAATCAGTCAAGCGCGGTAAACGAACTCCGGGAAAACCAGATGTGCCGTGAAGTTGTAGAAAATTTCCGCCGAGTTGGTTGATAACACCATCTGTCCAAAAGTCCGGACAGTTCTGGGCACCGGTTAGAATTGATCAAGACAGATGCAAGAATTTGGATACCATGACCCGCACGGGTCGGTTTTCCATTTGCTAGGTTCGCAGTCGGCCAAGAGTTATCATTACTATCAATTTATTATTTGGACTACTTCCCGCGCCAGATAGTGGTCAAGATTATGGCTTTGAACAATCAAATGCCGTGCAGGCACCAGTTTGCTCAGCAACGAGTTCCTTGGTGTGAAAATTTTTGTTATGGATGTAAGCGAAGTTAGAATCGCTTGTCAGCGGAGATGTATACCAGTTATCGCTTGCTTCGCTGGGGAAAAGAAGAGTAGAAGCTTAGGTACCGGTGCCCTTGTGGCCAAGTTGGAGGAAGCGGAACAAGACTTGTTGGGATATAAAAGAAGATAGTGCCAAGTCGAACAATGACAGACCGGTACAAAGTGATATGAACATGGGCGTGGAATAAAATCTGGTACTTCGGGACCGTGACCAGAGAGGCTCATCAGTTGGTCTGAACTTCACCGAATACTTATCAAACAAAATGGCTGGTACGCTGGTCGTCGCTTTTTTTCTCGTATTTTCACTCATTCCCACTTCAGGATTATATATACACCACCGAAAATGTTCCAATAACAAGACCACTATCTTGTTGCCGCAAAAACCGCGGGGAGACATTCACAAAATTCATCTTCGGATCAACGTAACCCAAGAACAAAGATCCCATCGACAGGCATACACGATTGTGAGTGGACCCTGGCGCTTTTCTCACAATATCACTATGTACTAGTATGGCACGTAGCCGTACAGTGCGATCACCGCCCCATTCAAGTCCGGGACGCCATCCCACCCTCTTCGCTGCAGCTCAAGCCGTCCACTACTTTATGAACATGTTATTTTCATCCTTTCCAGCATAGGCAAAAAGAGCGCGTGGCCCGACAGATGCACAGGCGCCACAACTTTCGTTATCGTAGCTGCAACGTTTAAATTTACACTGCCCACAAATGTAATTTATCCTCTTCTTTATTATACTGGCTCTCTTCCAGCCTTTCCAGGCGTGTTCAGTAGTCCCTGTTGTTTTAATTATCTGGATTTGCTATTATTTCACTCTATTTCAAACTGGCACTTCTCATAAGTAGTGGTCATTTATTTTTAGTACCATCTTCAACGGCAACAATAATAGCCAGCTGGAAAAACAAAAACGCCAATGGGACGTAGAAAAATAGCCATCGAACCCATCGTTGATGAGCGAAACCGTACCGTGTATGTTCTGACAACCTTGAGCGTCAATTTCCCAGAGATTGGCCTCAGTTGCAAGCCACTTTGTGCCTGCATTGGCGAACGTTTGGCATATACTAACTACAAATGAATACAGAACTTTTATCAAGCGTAAAGCTGGGCTTTTCAAGAAGGCGCACGAGCTGGCAGTGTTGTGCCAAGTGGACGTAGCTGTCATCATCCTCGGGGCCAACAACACGTTCTACGAATTCTCATCAGTCGATACCGATGACTTGATCGACCATTACCAGCATTCACAGCTGCCCCACGACGTGAAAGGGCCAGCAAACTACGGGAGTTTCCGCAAGAAAGAACGCGTGGTGATCCACGACAGGTCCAAGAAACGTGCCAACCATCGCGATAGTCCCGACACGAACGACGCTGACAGCACAAGCCTCAATGATGACAATGCAGACGAAAATGATGACGATGACGATAATGAAAACGAACTCGAAAGGCACGACGACAATGGCGACGATGATGATGACGATGGTGATTCTCGAAATGCCACCGAAGGTGCTCAAAATGATTCTGAGGACTCTGGGGGTGGGGTTAAGCAAGAACTTTCAGGAAAGCCTGCTAAAAAAAAGCTCCGAAAGTCCGTGTCCAACGTTCGCGCCAGCGCCAAGTCCTCCAAAAACCCGACTTTCAACCCACTCCAGCAACAGGTGCAGCGTCAATTTCACAATTTGTACGCCGTGGCCTCGAATCCAGAGGCTTCGTCCACGAATTTCACACATTTTGGTACGCAGCCAAATTCATCGTTTTCTAGGGCTACGCTGTCTAATGTGTACGATTCTCGCAGTAATCGAGGACTCGCATCTGGGTTCAATTCGATTTCTGGTAACAGCTTCATCGGCGCTCCACTTGCAAATTCAAATCTAGGGTTGCGTTCGGCGTCAATTCCACTTGCAAATAGAGAAAATACAAAAGTTGTTGAGACGAATTCCCAAACAACACGACCAGAAGAGCCGCGGTCGAGATCTAGTACACATTCACGTTCGCGGTCGAGCGTTAACAACGGAAGCAGTTCGAGGCCCGCCTTGAGAGTTCAAATTCCTTCAAGTTCAGGAACTGCAATCAAAAGTGAGCCTTCGTCCGCGTCTTCGCCAAGTCGTAGTATAACCAGCACATCTCAATTTGCGCGCAGTAACGCAGGCCACATCGAGCTGCCGCACCCGACACATTCGAAGAATAGCACACCGCAATCAGCACATGCACCGATTTCAGGTACTGGTTTGGATCGGGTGGACAAATCCCATGGGTTTTTGCCATCGGCAAACGCTATGGGCGCGGGCAACGCGGGGAATGGGTTTTTGTTTAACGGATTACCGTCTGCTTTGAATGCTTCACCGTCAATTCAACAATATTTCGCGACACCACTGCAACCGAACCATATTGGTTCTGGTACAAATAGCACAGGATCTAATGTACCGCAAGTTTCCCATCCGCATGGGTATCTGATGCAGAAACATATCCACTTGGCTCAACAACAACAACAACAACAACAACAACAACAACATCAACAACATCAACAGCATCAACAACAACAACAGCATCAACATCAACAGCTGCGATCTCACAATCCAGCGGTTGTAGGCCAGGTAACAGATACAGGGTCCGGCCCGTTGACTGGATCTCTGCCGTCGAAATTTGCCAACGATTTAATGGTAGCATCACCAGGTTCCTCAATGTCAATGTTTCAAGACTGGGGCTATGGGCGGGCAGTTGGTGCGAACGGGTCCGGGGCCCAGACAGCGGGAGCCGCCGAGACAAACCCAAACGCACCTCCAAATGTTTCGAACGGCAGCAGTGGATTAACGCCGTACATCAATGCGAATCAAACCCCGTTATCAAGCAAATATTTTATTTTTGGAGACCCCAATGACGATAAAGACAAGAAGGCTTAAGAGTAGATTTCTAATACATAGGTTAAAGGATAAACAATGTGACTTTAGAGACGTTATCTTTGATGGTTTGAGCCGGGAGCAAGGATGAATCTCACTTTATCTCTTAAGTTTGAACGAGGCGACTAGCTTGAGTAATAAAAAGTAATAAAGACGGTGACGGAAAGCCAATTGGTCAGATAAGAGTGTAGCTTGCGATCAGCCGCTGAGTGTAGTGGTGGGGAAGATTAGGTTGTGATAAAAGGAGGAGAGAATACGGGGTGATTCAATGTGCCATGATTCGAGATGGAATAGTTCACTATTGAAGAAGATTCAGGAAGAAAGACGGCATGGACCTTCATACCACTACAGGTGTGAAAAGCAAAATCCAGGCACTGATATGAGAACCCAAACAATGAATTAAAGGGAAAATTGTGGTAATAAGAGCGGACACCAGAGAAAATACCTCAAAAGTACGGGCGAGGTGCACCTACAGACTGTTTGTAGCTAGATTAAACGTGATACAAAGTGAAACCCAAGGTACTAGAACATCCTGACCCACAACGTCGCGGCGGGAAAGAAATACATTGTACAAAAAAAAAGTCAGGCCCTCGAGAAGTCCCGTAGTTGGTTTGTCCTACAAAAACTGACAGCATCAAAACCGACAGTAATCAAACTACTCATCACTTCCCGACAGTTTACACAAAAAGCTGCCCCAGTGCACCCGCTCTACGTACGAGCTGTCCAGGCATATAAGGTAGTTACCTGCATCTTAAATCGCCCATTTCTACACTCACCCTACCCGTATAAACCACGATCTTGTTAGCACCCCCAGCAGTGTCAGCACTAGTCCTAGTGCTGAGGCTACTCTTACATACAAAAAGATTACACATCACGTGCATGGCTTATATGTGACTGCTTCGAAACACCCATGCAGTTTTTAACAACCCACACCCCGTGAAATTTTTGAAGAAAAACAAAAATTGATGAAAAGCTACAAAAACTCCGAAACATTTTTTATTGCGTTGTTGAAATTGAACTGGGAGTTCCCCCCTGCGATCACATTGGGTTCCTAGGCTGACTCCCACGAACTCTCACTAGCTTCTACGGGCTCCAGCGAGCTCCCGCTCCTTTGCGCTCCGCCTAGCTTCGGCTCACTGCCAGTGTCTCCTGCCTAGCTCCTGCGGGACAGGCTCTGCCTGGAGGATGCCGGACCTTCTGCCTGGCTCTCGGCAAGTGTCCCATGGGCTCCTCACTGGCGTGTGGAATTCCTCCAGCCTAGGATCGAGCCCAGCTGCTGCGTCTGCCCGGGAAAAATTATTCAGACTAGTGGATATTCAATATCGTGAATAATTTCAGAAGTTCCACCGTTGGAACCCTATCAGAAGACTAAGGACAAGTAAGCCAAGATGAAGGTATGTGACGCCGCGAAGCGTTGGAAACACAAGGAGCGGTGAGAGCGCGAGACTCGTTACAGTGGGTGCGGCCAGTTTCAGAGCTATATGGAACCTACAAACATCACGGAGAGATGAGCAGTCTGCTAAGTGGGAAACAGGATTGCGACACTAGGAGCACGCAACCGAGACGAGAGAACGGAGTTATCGACGAACAAACCACGGCGATGATATAACGATCCCAGACCCCGGAAAAAAACGCTACTTTTTGTAGACGATCTACGTGCGTACTACCGTCAGCATCGCACGCAATGGTTCGCCTATTCACCGCTCTAATCCACTATAAACCCACCCAATAATCCCGTACTAACCCTTTGTCCAGTTGAACATTTCTTACCCAGTCAACGGTACTCAAAAGTGCATTGAAATCGACGACGAGCACCGCGTTCGTGTCTTCTACGACAAGCGTATCGGTCAAGAAGTTGACGGTGACTCCGTCGGTGACGAATTCAAGGGCTACGTCTTCAAGATCGCCGGTGGTAACGACAAGCAAGGTTTCCCAATGAAGCAAGGTGTCTTGTTGCCAACCAGAGTTAAGTTGTTGCTCGCCAAAGGTCACTCTTGTTACAGACCAAGACGTGAGGGTGAAAGAAAGAGAAAGTCCGTCAGAGGTGCCATTGTCGGCCCAGATTTGGCTGTCTTGTCTTTGATCATCACCAAGAAGGGTGAACAAGAATTGGAAGGTGTCACCAACGGCTCTGTTCCAAAGAGATTGGGTCCAAAGAGAGCCAACCACATCAGAAAATTCTTTGGTTTGACCAAGGAAGACGATGTTCGTGACTTTGTCATCAGAAGAGAGGTCTCCAAGAACGACAAGACCTACACTAAGGCTCCAAAGATCCAAAGATTGGTCACTCCTCAAAGATTGCAAAGAAAGAGACAGCAAAGATCCTTGAAGGTCAAGAACGCTCAAGCTCAAAGAGAGGCTGCTGCCGACTACGCCCAATTGTTGGCCAAGAGATTGTCCGAAAGAAAGGCTGAGAAGGCTGAAGTCAGAAAGAGAAGAGCTTCTTCTTTGAAGGCTTAAGTGGATTAATAGAAAGCTCAAAAAAATATTAATTTTAATTTTGAGCACCTACAATAACTCTTTGGCGCACGCGCCACCAAATTCATTACCTCAATACAAATATCTATATTTGTTTTAACTCAAACCAAAAAATGATGTACTTATCTCGGAAAGGTGTGTATATTTCTTGATAGTTAAAAATCACTGTGAACTTATTACATCTGTTATATTTGCATCGTGCATTGGGTGGTAACCGCAATTGCGACCATTATGATAACTCAAAATACGTTCTTGTATTATGGCCTTACTTTAAATCTATCTATGTCATTGTAACCAATTCTTCGGCACTAGTTGGATGGATGGCTACACAGGAATCAAAATCAGCTTTTGTGGCACCCATCTTGATTGCAACCCCAAATCCTTGCAAGATTTCCGCAGAAGAATCACCAACAATATGCAGACCAACGACTTTTTCGTTGTCACCCGCGCAAACCAATTTGTAACAGGTTGGCGATTTATGTTCCAGCATAGCATAGTACATGGCGGTAAATTTGCTGTTGTAAATCTTGACATTATCTTGACCGTACTTCTCCACGGCCTCTTTCTCGGTCAAACCGATTGTGCCGGCTTCTGGATGAGAAAATACTACACTTGGAACATTCTCGTAGTCTTGCTTTTGATTAGCAAATTGTTTTGGTCCAAACAATCTGTTAGATAGCTTTCTGCCCGCAGCGATAGCGACGGGCGTCAATTCAACTTCACCAACAACATCACCCAAGGAGTAGATATTAGCGGCCGAGGTATTTTGATATTCATCGACAATGACTTGGTGTTTGTCATTGAGCTTCACGCCAACATGATTACAGCCAATGCCTAGTAAGGACTTACGACCTATGGTCCATAACAAACTGTCCACTTCTGAAATCACGTCCCCATTGTCTAAATGAACACTTAGCTTACCGGAACTCTCGTTCTTCTCGACTTTAGTGATTTGCGCAGTCTTATGGATGTCGATACCTTCTTTGACGTAGTGGTCGGTGATAGTGTTCTGGATGGAATCATCAAATTTACGCAACAAAGTTTCACCTCTGATTACCATGTGAGTTTCAGAGCCTAAACCGTGGAAGACTCCGGCCAATTCCACACCAATATAACCTGCACCGGAAACCACAACCTTTTTGGGTTGTTTTTCTAATTTGAAAAAGTCATCAGAGTCGATACCCAAGTTGTAGCCCTCGATTCCATCAGGCATAATAGGAGTACCACCAGTGGCGATCAAGATCTTGTCTGCAGTGAAAACCTCTTTGGAGCTATCGTGCTTAGTAACTTCGACCTGACCCTGAGAGTTGAACTTGGCCCATCCGTAGAGAAAATCTACGCCTTCTTTGGCTAGATTACGCTCGTATATGCCGTTAAGTCTTTCGATATAAGCGTCCCTCTTCTGCTTAAATTGACCCCAGTTGAAACTCAACTTTTCACGCGTCAAATCAGTACCCTGGAAAAGGCCATACTCGTTAGCATGGCCCAAACGAGTAGCGAGGTCAGATGCATACCACATAACCTTCTTCGGGACACAACCAACGTTAACGCAAGTACCGCCCATGGCTTTACCCTCGATTAGCAATGTTTTAGCTCCATAAGAAGCTGCTCTTCTGCTGGAGGCAACACCACCTGAACCTCCTCCGATAACTAAATATTCGTAATGTTTAACACTGGATGACATATTTCTAATTCCAATTAACCTGCTAATTTGCTTGCTTAATGGCATACAACGAGTAGTCAGAAGAGTAGTAATACGTATTGTATGTTCAGTAAACCTATTTTCTGCATTAGTCAAATTAACTCGAGATTCATTAGCTCGTTCAAGTTGACCCAAAAATCGTCATTTGATTCTCGTAGTACCCATTCGACGAATACCTGATAAATAGGGAGAGCTTGAATTGGAAGTCAGATCCAGGAATACACCATATCTCAGTAGTAAACAGTACAGTACTTTTGAATACTAAAAATTTTTGAGTTTGAAAATAAGGCGGTCTACATGCTAGTTTTGTCTCGGCAACGAGCCAGCATAGCACTAACGTGCTATTAAGCTCCGATGATTATTCTTTTCCTTTTTCATGGAATACTAGAACTTCATGTGCTGTATGTTCGATCTACTTCAAGGCGTAGGGCTCCAAACCGAATATTGGAATTTAAATTGATAAAGTGTCTCGAACACAGAGTTCTCTGAAGTATGCACGTTTGAGGAAGAGAATAGAGTTAAATCTCCGGTGTTTAGTAGAGCGACCATTTGCTTTTTGCTCACATTTAGTAAAGGTAGATGTTTCGATGTGTTCGGTCAAAGTTCAAAAGTAGACAATAATCATTAATACACATTAGGTTCAACAATAATCGATCATTTTAAAACTAGTTTACGGACTAGTTTAAAAGTCAGGTTGTTGCATTATAATACGCATGTTATAGAAGTTGTCAGCGATGATAAGCGTCCCTAGGCCAAAGTATCTGCTCACTCAGAGATCAAGTAGAAAAATGAGTAGCATAACGACTGGAAGACGCGTCATGAAGGTTTTTTATACGATACACGCAGCAACCATTTATGAAGCATGCAAAGCCAAATCTTAGTCTTCGAGATTGTTCCTTTGATTATTGTAATTCCTGTTGTTTTTACAATTCTTCCAGGAAACCTCAAGTATAAATGCAAAATTAGTGAATGTATATACGCAGGACAGCTGGACCAAGTTCGCGAGTTTATAAATGTATAAAGGAGATGTCTCGAATGCAAGGGCTGAGTTCCTAATATCAAAGTTTCTGCGATTTCGACGGTTTATTGATCAAGCAACAACTTTTCGAAGTGTCCTTCCCGCAGATTATTTTTGTGACAAAAGATGATCAAGTCTTGTGTCACACTAAAACTGAATTTGAAAGTTGAGGCACTTGAAACAGGTTTTGTGCGTGACAAAATATTAGGTAAATGTGATTTTCCGTCGTGAATAATATTGGCGTCAGACTTCCGCGTCAAACTTGTGGGATGTAGACCTTTTGCGACGAATTCACGTATGAATCGGAACCGTCGCTTTCTGGAATGCCGTGCTGCGATCCGCGCTGAGGTGATAAAAAGGCTAAAACTGGTCTGTGATACAGCCAGATACACCCCAATATACAAATGATGGTGGATCCTATACACAGCACCGCATATATTGCACTGACAACGCGAAAAGCTGATATTTGAACGTAAGGATTATACTGTTGAAACAGTTCGTTAGTTCCTAAAGCCATGGTACCCATGGGAAAAGTTATGGCCCACCAACCTTTGTGAAAATCAGAGATCCTGAAACCGGCATTGGAAGTTTTCAAGGTGTTAGCGTATGATATAATCGCAGCAAATGATAATAAAGTGAAGAAAATACCATTAGAAATTAGTAACAAACCCAAAATGATGCCGCAAACTTTGAAAGACCACTGCACGGCCACGCTAATCAAGTGAATTTCGCCATCAGCGAGCACAGAAGGATAGTATTGTTCGATGTACTTTTTGATGTTATCAGTAAAGAGTAAAATTCCGTAAGAACCTTGGCCCATGGGACCCACCACCAGGAACATAGTGAAAATCATTCTAACAGGTGGGATTTTGTTAACGTAAAGGTTCCAAGTGTAAGTGCTTAGGATCAAGACTGTAAGTAGTAAAGCGTTAAACCATATCAACGCAGTAACACCCAGTGTGAGAAGCTGCACATTGCGGTTTGTATTCGCAAGGAACAGGTCCGACATTGTGAAAATTCCACTGCTAGATGACAACACCACTAAAGGTACTACAGGGAGAAGTAGCACACTTTGGAGTTGCTGGCGCATGGCTTTCTTGACGGGATCGGCATCCTCGTTAGCCCAGTAGCGACTGTGTTTAAGCCACAAGCAAAATGATATACCCCATGCTGATGAAAGTGACAATGCAGCGTTCACCCACCACAAAACGTACACCAGAATAACCAAATGATTGGCAACGGGCTTGCCCTTAAATTCACGCTCTGCGAGCTGGAAAATGTAATTAATGATCGTAATGAATCCCATCGGCAACGTGCCCCAAAAAACGTTGTGAGTATTGTCAAAGAAGTACTCTCTCGCGAAATCACGCAAGGTGCGCTTGTGGATTCGAAACGCTAGGTTTAGCGCCAAAGCTGATAGCAGTGATATGAATAAAAGGCACGCAATAGCAAACATAATATAAGAACAAATTCGCAGCCACCTTGCACTGTATGGAAATGAATGCAGGATACAAGACGATATGCCAGTGCCCATCACCGTAACGAACCAAAACGGTCCAAACTCATCCACTAAATTTCGCTTTAGAGTGTTGATTTTCGTTCGGCTTGACATAGGTCTTCTCAAGCACTGTCCAGTGAGCTACCAATGTAATACAAATCCTTTGATAAAACACTGCTTCATCCAAGGACAAATAAACAAAGAACACTTAACTGCCGCCTTTTGTAGAAACTTGTCTTCAGACATAAATCATCTCTTAATCCTAACGACATTGCAATATTTCATTTTTATAAAGTTACGTGGGGCTAGCCACTATGCCAAATAGAAGAAAAGTGTCATCAGAGGGTGCTCTGGAAGAAGTTTCCATTTGCTGACCGTGGCAACAGTTTGAAGCCAGGAGCCTGGCCTTAATGATCGTATAGCCTGGCAACTCAACGTTCTGCGCCTCGTAAAGACCAACGCTACAAAATCTTGGCATTTAATTTTAGTCCCGGCAGAAAATCAGCAACACATTCGTGAACGAGCGATATGATCGGACTTTGCTATGTGGTAACCACCAGACAAACTCGTTCCATAAGGGACTTATCAAAGTGCATATACCAACGAATGCTAATTACTTAGAACCTATAATCGTATTCGAACTAGTGAATTGCTGGCCCCCACTTGCGTCCGTTTGTGATCAGATACACGATGCCTGCGAGTGATGCCAGATCGCAAAATGCCAAACCAGTGAAGCACCAGCCAACGCCCATCTCGTCGCAGAGTTTCATGATAATAACAGAACTGATTCCCGCAGCCAAATTCCTGAAAAAACTACCAACTGCTACGGTGCCTGCTGCTCTTCGTGGAATGCACTCCGTCAAGTAAGTCATGCTAGTGTTCGAGCACCAGGTCATTCCGAAAGCCGTGAAAAACGAAAATACCAAGACAACAGCTAGGTGATACTGGAACTGGATACTCCAGCCGTAGCCAATGCATCCGCAGATGTTCAACAGCAAACCCCAAATCTGCAAAAGTAATCTTTTCTCGCCCGGAAAGCTTTCACCTGGGTGACTTTTTAACCATACGTGCCGGAAATAATCCGACAGATGTCCTCCGGTCACAGATCCCAATAATAGAGCTAATCCTGGACATACATAGCATGCGCCAATTTGCAGATTTGTTAAATGGTACTTTTCTCTCAAGAAATGCGAAAAAGTGACGCTAAAAGCATAGTAAGCAGCAAAAAGAATGGCCGTTGTTATGGAGCATAACAGAACTGGAGGAAACTTGACGAGGCTCCAGTAAACGGTCAAGCTAGGCTTTGGTGGTCTTGGGTACAGCTCGAGGAACTCTGGTGCTTGAGAAACTGGTTTCAAAAAACCGATGTCACTAAAGATCCTTATTCCCGCTTTGGAAAAGCCATTCGTCCAAGAATCTGGCTTTTTAAGCTCTTCGTCAACCCACTTGGGATCGCCATTGCCTACGACGCAACGCAGTGTTTCCGGGAGAAAAAATATGACCACAAAGAGGCCAATGCCCGATAAAATACAAGTGAATCCAAATAACCATCTCCAGTACGATCCGTTCATCAGAATAAGACCAGCGATAATTGGCGCTAAGATTGGCCCCATATTTGGGCCCAACATAAAATATGCTATTGCTTTGCCTCTAACTCTAGGCGGTTTAATATCACTAACCGTCCCAGCACCCAATGCCATGACCGAACTGGAAGCGAAAGCTTGCATTATTCGCAGAAAAAACAAAGCACCGGTGTTGACAGGGACTGCAGCAAGCAATATGTTCACAATAACAGTCAACAGTAAAGAGATCATGTACAATATTTTGCGACCGCCAAAATCTGCAAAGCTTGCCCAAATCAAAGGACCAACAGCAAATACTGCCATGAAAACAGAAACAGTTGCATTTATTGCAGTAGTAGAGAGTCCAAAAACGTTCTGCATGATAGGCAAAGCTGGGATGTAAATGTTTCCTGACAGAGGTCCCAAAAAGCCGATATACACAATGATAATGAAAATAAGTATCACTTGCTTATTTGAAAAAGCAGTATAAGGTTGTTCTTTCTCGTCGTTTCCACCATCGTTTCCAACATCCTTTACGGGAAATACTAAAATTTCCTGCTCCTTGGTCGTAACCTCGCTAATGTGACAAGATTGGTCTTCTGATTGTTTCGCTTTTGCCTCTGTCGCTGGCGCCAGGGACCTTTCCACCTCTCGATGAACAATATCATTTGAGTCGAACTCACCTTGGGCCTTTAACTCAGAGTCGGCCAAATCAGGCTCGATAACTTCCCAATCGGCAATCGGCTCGCTGTCGCGGTTTGTGTCATCTAATGTAGGTTTGCTTGGCATAGTTATAATTTAGCAATGAGCTGCTTGCTAGCAAATAATAATCTTTTAGATTAACAGCAATGCAGGTGAAGCTCCTATAGTTCTCTGATTAAGGTTCTGTAATACAGTTTGACGTTTCTTATAAAGTTATTTTTGTGAGAGACCGACGTCAGTATTAAAAAATTGACTTAACCAGACAGGCTGAAATTCAAACAAGATAGCCCTTTGATCAAAACAAGAGCGCTTGCGTAAGGTTTCATATTGTATTATGATATTTAGGCCCATATTGGACCCCGGAAATAGTATACATAGTTAAAGATAATGCCGTGTTAATTGTACCCACCAGGAAAAATGGAATGTCAGAGTTTTAAGGCCAAACAGAAACAAACCAAGATCAACGGAAATCAGTCTTACCATTACCACGCTTACCACTAAACAAGTGCTTAGCAAGGGAGGCAGTTGAGTGTCTATCAGATTCACCTTGTCTTGCGTCTCTGTTTCTGTCTCTTCTTTGAAGTTTGTTCAACCTGTCGGCCTTAGATCTCATAGAGCCATCAGCAACACCATCCAGCAGTCTATCAGATTGTCTCAATTTACCACCGTTGGAAGAAGTAGTAGCAGATTCGACGCCACCAAACACGACGTCGGCACCAGTTTCCACATATTTGTTCTTTTGAGTAGCGTTTCTGTGCTTGTCTGCTAAAGTTGACATTTCGTGACCCAAAGAAGACATGTGCTTTTCCATGTCCCCGTAGGATTTCGAAAGTTTGGAGCGAGGCATAATTGCACGATTCTTGAGAGCTTTACGGTTTCTAGCACTCAAGATCATCTTCTTTTGTCTGTCTCTAATCCACTCAGCTTTTTCCTTGATGTCAGAAACTTCCTCAGTTTCAAGGCCTGCGTAGGTTTCTTCCTCCTCATCAGAATTATAGAAACCCTCGGCTTCAAGCTTTTCTTCTTCTTCTTCTAAAGCTTGTAATTTAGCTGCGATCTCAGGGTCCATGAAATCGTAAACGTTCTTACCATCCAAAATTTCTGGCATAACGTCATTCTTCCACTCATCATCTTCCAAAAGATATTTGTCCTTCAAGTTGACATTGAAAACACCAGCACCACCATTTTCGGCTTCGATCTCTCTGGCCAACTTTCTTCTGTTAGGATCTTCATCGTCGTATTTTTTCAAGTTCTTCACAGCTTCAGGGATATATGGCGATCTGTCAACACCATCGTCTCTTGCCTGAGGCTTAGCAACGTGGATCTTATTCAAAACGTTGTTGATTCTCGAGGTAGATTTGAGTTTGTTTTCAATTCTAGAAGCCAAGAGCTTCTCACAAGCTTTGTTTCTGACGTCCATGACATTGTCCTCTTCAGTGCAAGACGTGGCCATAACCTCAACACCAGGCATCTCTGAGATAGTTTTCAGCATGGCGGCACGTTCTTCATCAAGGTCCTCTGGGCCAATGATATCGGTCTTGTTCATCACCACCATGACAGACTTGTTAGCAAACAATGGCTTGATAGAGTGGAAAAGTTTGACCTGCGCTTCGATTGTGAAACCACACTGTTCGGATAGATCCATGAAATACATGACACACGAACGCAAGTGGGCAATTGCATAGATAGATTGCATTTCAATGTTGTTCATCTCTTCAGTTGGTCTATCTAAAATACCAGGAGTATCGATAGCTTGGAATCTCAGATATTTGTAGTCGAAATGACCAACGTACAAAGACTTTGTAGTGAAAGCGTATGGTTGTACCTCGACATCCGCCTTGGTGATACAGCGCAAGAACGAAGACTTACCAACGTTGGGGTAACCACAGATAAGCAACGTTCTGGTGTTGGGGTCGATAGATGGGAGTCTGCCCAAATGTTGACGAACCTGCTCCAAATACACAAGTGGGTCTTTAAGCTTCTTGACAATAGTAGCCATTCTACCCAGGGCAGCTCTTTTCAATTGTTTACATTGAAACAATGATTGACCGAATTTCAGCAAACGCAGGTAATCGCGCGAGACTTGTTCGATTAGAGTTTTGGCGCGCGATACGGCAGCCAACGACACTTTGTAATGGTTTTTCTCGTATAGTGTATCCATAAGATCTCTGTGAAATGGGTGAACGTCGTTGATGTTGGGAAACCCTTTCAACAGATGCTCGAACTTCTCTTCAAAACCTTCTGCCGTGTACTTCACTTTACGCATGTAAAAGGCACGGATTCTGGTAATCTTAAACCCAGGTCTGATAACGGTGGGAGTCTTTCTTTGAGTTCTGTTAAGGACAATGTCCAACAGATCGTTGGCCGTCGAGACCGTTGGGATGTCTTTCCAGGAGAGCTGCATCGTTAACTTCTTAGGGAACAGATACTGGAGTGTGACTTAACAAAGAGATTGCACTGATTGATAGCTTTAGATCAAATCTCTGTATATCAGCAACGTCACGAACAACAACGAATTGGACTAGTCAGTTATTATACAAGTTGATTAATTTTCAAGCTCATCTCATCTCATCGCCATAGCTCATCGCTAAAAATTTTTCAGTAAAAAGAAGCCGCGCAAAAAAGAAAAAAAAGTTGGAGGCAATGTCAAAAGATCGTGTTTGTCAATTCTGTCGCCGACAATCTTACACGCTCTCGAAAACCAAATGGACCCATAGGAGCAGCAATGAGAACATTGTGCTTATACTACACACATGTACCAAGATATTGCGTGGTTTGATGGATTCCAAAAATATGTACGCCATGCCGAGGCCCAACAATTCTGCGGACAATTTCAGGATAGGGACTGGATTCTGCCAATGCCAGCCAAGAGAGTGGCTAGAGTCACTGAAAGCCGAGTGCTTCAGTGCATAGCATGGCTTGATATATGAATATTTTACAATAACCTTTAACGATAAAAGAAGCACTGCGAGCAAATGATTCCGAACCTCAAATAACCTTCACACATCATAGTTATGAGAATATCTCACTTTATCCTGATTGGAACTCCCATTTCTCAGACATCATTCTGTACAATAGTGTCGTTGTGTTCCTCTGAGAGAATTTCTGGCCGAAAAAGCGCAAAGGAACTCATGTCCAAAGAATGCTGCCGTAGTAAGCCATAAAGCTCTCACACTCCTCTCCGAATTACTAGCACTATACAAATATACACTTTGTGAGCATTCGAAAAGCACAGTAATTCGAGACCCTCAGCTAGAGTGAACATTTGGTTTTCCTTGCCGCGCTAACAACAAAGAGGTACCAAACAGCGCTTGTATAAGAACAGAAATGTCATGAATATCAGCCTTCTTTCAGAGCTGAACGGGTACGTTCAAAGCTTCAACGCGTAATTCGTGAAAATATTTCGTTTACCCCGGTGTCGCTGGAATCGTCGGAAAAAGACCGAAGAGACTGGAGATTTATCTCGCGCCCAGTGCAGCAGTACAAACATGATGTGACCTCACTAGAAGGGTTTATTTTGACTATATTATGGTATTTTGTTTGCTTACGGGTTACTGCGTATATAGTGACATTAAAATGAACAGAGTTACACAAATAATCAATTAGTTGTTTGATGTCACCAAACACAAGCTACAAGCTGCTACGAATTTGCGTCTACTCAGTTTCTGATGTCCAATCCGCAAACACCTGTGGCTGTAGCGTCGCTACTGCGTCGCCACAAGCTCTTGAAACAAAGACAAGGCTTATTCCAGGCAAGACATGTTGATTTCTTCCGTTACAAGCGCTTTGTAAGGGCCCTTAATTCCACGGAGTACAAATCGAAATCTGGCAACCAGCCAGATCTGTACCCCGCTGTTGATGATGAAGACGATGCTCGGAAATTGTTCATCGAACTAATCAAGGCACAATTGGTGGTGCCTTGCAAGAAATTGCACAGTGCAGAATGCAAAGACCACGGCCTAAAAGCCAACAAGGATTACCCAAATCTGTTGCTTTCGGAGAAAGCCACGTTGCAACCGGACGAATACTATACCTGGAATTATAACCCCAAGACTTTGACCGACTATTTGCTAGTCGCGGGCATCGTGGTGGGCATCTTGGCATTTGTGTGCTACCCTCTATGGCCAGCGTCTATGAGGCGGGTGGTATATTATGTATCGCTGGCACTTCTAGCACTTATCGGGCTGTTTTTCGCGGTTGCCATTCTGCGATTCTTCGTGTACTTGCTGTCGTTGGCAACGTATAGTGAAAAGGGCGGGTTCTGGCTGTTCCCTAATCTCTTTGAGGACTGTGGGGTGCTCGAGAGTTTCAAGCCACTCTATGGGTTTGGCGAGATCGACTGCTACAGCTATATCAAGAAAATGAAAAAGAGAAAGCGCAAATCAGATAAGAAGACTCAATAATGGGGCGGATCCATATAAAGTCATTGACAAAATTTCATTCCGAATTTTCCTGTCCTTAAAATAAAGAATCAATGTACCTCAAAATACTGACGCTCCTTAATCACCACTCATTTTCAGGTATTGTAACATCTTTGCAAGCGTCGTTGGGTAGCCGAAGAGCACATTACGATTCAATCGTTTCCGACGGCAACCTTATATATGTATGTTTTTGTAGTAATCCGATATGATGAGCTTCAACTCCCACCCGATTCTAATAAACCACTTTGCTTATGTCTCAAAAGGAGTTATTCTCTAACTCTCAAGATCACGAAACGAACTTCGAAGATGACTACAATGAAGAGCTAGTTGACGACGATGAATCAACAGTTGTTTCGTCTAATCCACAACAATTGATCTATTCGCGATCAACCCGCAATCTCACGGATGACGCTGCAACAACAGTAGCAGATGATATCAACCATCTTGCAGTTCATGATTCTAGCCATAAACGTCGTCATTCAAACGATAGAATGCTTTCTTTGCATCTGAGCCAGTGGAATTACAATAACAACCGAGTTGGCCTAAATCGAGGCATTCAAAGCACAGAGGAACTGATCCTGCTTTTGATGCGCGAAAATGAGTCTAGACCAATCTATGTGCCAGTAAATCCAGAAGAAATCAGTCTGAACATTTTGGAACTTGACTTCAAACTCAAGGGCCACGATAAGAAAAATGTCAACTTGGACAAAAACGCAATATCCAAGCTGTTTACGGTACGAACAACTACGGCTTTAAATCATTTAAAGTCATTGCAGAAACGTGTTGACGACACATCTTCCAAGGTGTTTATCACGGGTGATTTAAACGCTGGAAAATCCACGTTCTGCAACGCTCTGCTAAGGCGCAGGATAATGCCAGTAGACCAGCTGCCATGTACAAACGTTTTTTGCGAAATCCTTGAGGCTCGAGAGTATACCGATACTGAGGAAGTACATGCCATACCCTTAGGAGTAGCACCTACGGTTAAAGAGGCTACGGACGTCTATAACATCCAAGATAAGTCAACTTATAGGGTATACCCTATTGGCCAGCTTTCCGATTTGGTATATCGGTCGGACCTATATTCATTGCTAAAAGTCTATATCAAGGATGACAAAAGGCCTGCTGAGCTTAGCCTTTTACGCAATGGTACTGTGGATATCTCTTTGATAGATTCCCCGGGTTTAAACATGGACTCTATACAAACCACAGAAGTGTTGTCTCGTCAAGAAGAGATAGATATGGTAATATTCGTGGTGAACTCTGAAAACCAGCTCACACTTTCTGGCCAAGAGTTTATTCAAGTGGCCTCCAGGGAGAAAAAGCTCATGTTTTTTGTCGTTAATAAGTTTGATCAGATTAGAGACAAGGGAAGATGCAAGAAGCTGATCTTGGATCAGATAAAAAAAATGTCTCCAGAGACTCACAAGCAAGCCAACGAGTTTGTTCATTTCGTCTCTAGTGGTTCGAGACCAGAGCCTTCTGGCGATAGCGGACCGGACGATGGCGATGACGATGATAATTTCGATTCAAACGACCCAGATTTTGACAAGCTTGAGACCGCATTGCGTAATTTTGTCCTCAAGAAAAGAATGCTTTCGAAACTGCTTCCCGCCAAAACCTACGTAACCAAGCTTCTAGGAGATATTGCGGATATTGCAAAGTGGAACTTAACGCAATACAATTCAGAAAACGGAGAGCTGAACTCAGAACTTCGAGAGATGAATCCTGAAATTAAGTCAACGAACGCTCAGTGCCAAAAGCTAACCGATCGTGCTGACAAGATCGTCGAAGGCACCGTAGGGGAGGTGTACGAATTCACGAAGCATAAAATTAACATGGCTCTCGAGCTATCAGCCCAAGAATTCCCCGAATACGAGGGACTATCAAACATTTATGACTACGTTTTGCGCGCCAGAAAATTCATCTTGGACCAAATCAAGGAAAGTGTCGAGACAAGTGAATTCAAGGCTAAAAATGATACTGCAATTAGTGTCAAAATTATCAACGATCTAGGAAAGTCAGAATTGGGAGAAGAGTTTATGTCCGATCGGAAATTTAAGAGCGACTTAATGTTCACCAAAAAAAAACATTTTTCTTTAAAAGTTCTCAACGTTCCTTTCAATGCCACGGATCTTTTTTCACCAACATGGGAAGGATTCTTGGGTTATTTGAGCTGGGGTTTGTTTGGCAACAGAGTTGCTGATGATGTAACAGTGGATGCAGAGGACAAGAACTGGTATGCAAGTCTTGGTCTCGGACATTACTCCGTCACCAAATACTGGACCAATCCGTCTTTGTTATTTACGTCCAAAATACCAGCATTAGCCGTGTACTCTTGGGGAGGTGCCCGGGTTATTACCACGGTCGTATTCTATGGGTCGAGGTTTTTCTCATGGCAGGCCCTCAGGCGCATATCGTCCTCCTTACTACTGGTGGGCTCAATTCTTGGAACTGCGTACCTGATTCACGATCTACCACGAGCTTTGCCCATTAATTTGTCCAACAAATACAGGTCTAAACTGCAAGAAATAGACTATTCTCACAGAAACGCCAAACGAGTTTCGGACGAAGTACGCGATGTTCTAAGATTTCCATCCCGTGAGATTGTTAAGTCCTGCGAAACCGTACTGGGCAAGAAACAAGCTGCCAGGCGGGATATTGAAACAAAGCTCCATAATAATACGCTGTCGCTTAAATTCTTCAAGACTTTAGCAGAGCGTGCTAGTACACAAGTCCAAGTCATCGAGCAAATCAATCTCGACGTAGATTGATCGACATTGCTCCATGCTCTTTATTGACTTCACAAGACTAAATTAAGCTGTATATATTGATTGATTGATTCTATTATCGAATTCTCGTGGGTAGCAACATCTTGTTATGCTCGAGCCCAGTGAATTCGAAAAACAAACGGATATGAAAAATACAGAAATGAACCAAAAGGCTTTAATGGAATAAGTCCGAGTTTTTATATAAGGGAAACAAACACTCGTAAGATCGGATTGCTTTATCTTTCATCTCTCGGATTGTGTCGCGTAGCTGCGTAACAAACAAAAGCTCAGAAAAGACTATGCATATACCTTTATTGAATCCCTTTCATTGGGGATACCACGGCACCGTTGAACAAGTGTCAAATCCACAGGGAACTACTGCTCTCAAATTGAAAAACAAGAAGGATAATGTTGAACTGCATGATTTCATTAATCAAGAAGTTCCGGGCTTGAAAGACGGATCAAAATTTGAGCTCCACCCAGCACTATTCACTGGTTATCTACAGACTTTGTACCTGGGAGGAGCAGACTTTTCCAAGAACTTCCCGGTCTTCTACGGTCGGGAAACGGTCAATTTCTCTGATGGTGGTATTTGCACAGCCGATTGGGTCATGCCAACCTGGAAAATTAGGTACGCCTTGGATCCCAAAACCCAGAAATTCGACTTGACCAAATTCAAATCTGATGAACAAGCTACACACCCTGACAACTGGCCAAGGTTGCATCCCAGAACCCGCTTTTTAGATAAACAGGAAAAAGTGGAGGTTCAGACGAGTGAAAAGCCACTCGTGGTGGTCATTCATGGCCTCGCGGGTGGATCTCACGAGCCGATAATCAGATCTCTGACTCAAGACTTGTCCAACGTAGCTAATAGCAAGTTTGATGTCGTAGTCTTAAACTGCAGAGGTTGTGCGCGGTCCAAAATTACAACTCGTAAACTATTTTATGCGCTCTTCACTAGTGATATCCGCGACTTCATCAATAGAGAGAAAAGTCGCCATCCATCTAGGAAAATATTTGCAGTCGGTTTCTCTTTCGGCGGGACGATGTTAGGGAATTATTTGGGTGAAGAAGGTGATCAAGCTCCAATAGAGGCTGCAGCCTTCTTATGCACACCTTGGGATTTGTACCATTCCGCTTTGAAAATGAATGATGATTGGTGGTCCCGAACTCTATTCTCTAAGAGCATTGCTCAGTTTCTCACGAGGCTCGTGAAAGTCAACATCGAGGAATTAGAATTCAAAGATGGTGACGAAAAACCTACTGAACCACCAACTATGAAAAACCCTTCATTCTGTGTTTTTACGAAAGAGAATTTGAAGAAAGCACACAATTTTTCCTCTACCATGGAGTTCGACAACACTTTCACAGCACCTTGTCTAGGATTTAGCAATGCTATTGATTACTATAAGGCTTGTGGATCGATTCACGAACTTCCCAATGTTAAGGTTCCAACTTTAATTATCAACTCTAAAGACGATCCAGTGGTTGGCGAAGATTCCATTCCTTACCAGTATGCTAGAGAAAACAAGAACCTCACTCTCTGTGTTTCGGACCTTGGTGGTCATTTAGCATATTTGAATAAGAACTACGAGTCATGGGCGACCACCCAAATAACAGAATATTTCAGTAAATTTGAAGAACTCATTCAATGATTGCTGCCATTTAAAATCCTTCTTTAGACATTATAATTCATGATTTTCCATCTTCACCACGTTGTTTTTTCCAACTTGCTGCACCACTCACCCTTCCCATAAATGCAGATCGCGTCTTTGTTGCCATCAAGGTATTACCACCCACCCATTCCAGAAGCTCGCGTTCATCTCTAAAAGCAAGCTTACAGATTTCATTGTCGTTCAAAGTGGAACGCAACCGTTTTGTAATAGTTTTCAGTAAATACCGAAGATCACCTTCAGAAATTTGATCCCTAGGTAGCTGGTTTTTAACAATGTATCTGTTGCTGACATCATTGGTTCCATTGTTACTGAAGGCTATCGTATAACTCATTTGCTTATTCCAATTCACGGAATAAATGTGAGGCTCGTCAAAGCTCTGCTCGCAGGAATCTAAATGAACCCAACGGTTGAGATTAGTAGAATAAAATTCGCACCATACATGGTCCTCACGGTTCCATATATACCGCGACTCAATACCGAAAGATTTCAAAAACAGCATGAACAGATTACACCACTCTCCACAGCGACCCTGACGGGTGTCCAGGAGTTTCAATGGATCATTGTAGCGTGGAAATCTTGTCATTTTCTGACACTTCGGACACTTGTAGACTTCAACTATACCGCAATCAAATTGACGCTCGACAGAATTAGGACCCTCGTGGCCAGCCCCCATCATCTCCTCACCGGAGTTGCCGCAGTGTACGCAATCAGGTTTGTTACACCATTTGAAGAAATCGTTTTTGAAATATCGTAGTAATTCCTTGACAAGTCTATCCACATAATCATCTTCTGATCCTTCCATCGAGTCCACATTTGCATATATGCTCTCTAAATCGATGGTGTCTAACACCTTAGCCTGCCATACATCAGAATCATATCGAGTGCACAAAGTTTGGCTTAGTCCAAACAACGTCCGAGCGAATTCATTGTTTTGAAGCAGTGCATCCAATTGCCGAGTGTCTGACGCTTCTCTGAATTTCTTGACCACTCGTTCCTTGTATAGAGCCATGAACTTAGAGGCCACGCTGCTGAACATCTCTTGCTCTGCCATTGATAATTAATCAAGCCTGCTATCACTAAATCGAGACTGATTATACCGTCGATGTAACTTTCTTAAGTAGCATTTCTAAATTAGCCAAACACATATCCTTCAGAAATCAATGAAACTCGAGAAGGCATACGTGGCCGTCGTTGTAACAGCATATGTGTATATAACGCTAGCCGTGGTTGCCTTATGGAGGTTTCGTAATGACTCGTCGGGGTTGTACTATTGTTGTACAGCACTACTTGCACCAGTTGCATTTTGGCTCTGGAGCGTAATGTCTTGGTGCGGAGCTCAAGTATTTGCCAGCGCCAAGCGCAAATGATCGTTTCCGCAGTTTTAAGCCCAACTTAAACAAGACTGTATATAGTGCGCAGATCATTCAAGTGCTGGCGATTTCCCTTGTAAGTAAAGTCCACGCGATATCCAAGAGGATTCGTATATACAAGATTAAGAACTATTTACATTACTTCAGCAACGAAGCACTTTTGTTTTCCTACTCGCAAAACCAAGACTTGGTCATCAATGTAAAACTGTTCGAGATTGTCAGTGTTTCGAACAACTTTCACCCTCTCAGGACCTACGTAAATACTCCCTTGTGTAACTTTCCGACGAGCTTCAGACTTTGAGCACCCGGTCAGATCGACTATTAGTTGCTCTAGCGACAAGGTTCTCGAGCATGTAGCTAGTATATTGGCTTCTCGAAAAATTCTGATGAGCTCAACTGCCGCGAGCTGCAGTTTTCGACTTCCGAACAGAACCTCAGAAACAGTTTCAGCATCCTGTCCCTTTCCAACGCCGTGGACCAAATCAACAACTTCACGCGCCAACAATTTCTGTGCCAAGCGCTCTTTAGAATTTTTAGTATGTGATAGAATCGCTTTCTCAATGTGTTCAACTGGCAACAAGGTGAACATTTTAAGATATTTGCCTACATCTTCGTCTGTTGTGTGCATGAAGTATTGATACATTTCAAACGGAGTGGTGGCCTGTGGGTCTATAAAAACAGCATTCCCCGCAGACTTGCCAAATTTTTCGCCTGTCGAAGTTGTCAGAAGAGGAACTGTTAAACCAAATGGTTGGTTAGTAGCCTTAGAGGAAGTCCTACGGATCAAATCAATTCCAGCAGTAATGTTGCCCCACTGGTCGTTACCACCAACTTGAATTGTAACTCCGTGTGTCTTGTTCAAATGGTAAAAATCGTAAGCTTGTAAAATCTGATACGTGAACTCGTTAAACCCAATTCCATCTTGACCATTAAGCCTCGAAGATACGGAGTCTCGCGATAACATAGATTGCACTCGAATGTGTTTACCATACATGGCCAGAAAATCAAGCATTTTCATATCATGCCACCAGTCAAAGTTATTAGTGTGAGTCGTTCGGCCACTGCTAGTTTTGCCAACTTTGTGCCTGTAATAAGCTAAGCCAGAATCGAAAAAGGCTCGAAGCTGGCCTTGAATTTGGGCAACATTGTCTAATCTTTGCGACTCTTCCATCGCACTTCTCTCGGTACTCCGGCCGCTTGGATCGCCCACCTTACCCGTAGCACCTCCTACTAGCGTAAAAACATCATGGCCTGCAAGATAGAAGTGCAGCATTACCATCAGAGGAAGTAAATTTCCCAAATGGAGAGATCTGGCGGTAGGGTCTGCACCGCAGTACAAGCCAAGTTTTTCGCCACTGATCAGTTTCTGCACCAGTGCTGATTCCGGCTGAGATACTTGTGCCACCAGACCTCTCTCTTTCAAACTGTCCAGGATATTAGCAGTACAAATTGTGGTTTCGAAACGTCTAAGACCACTTCTCAAAAGCTGCCATCGTTGTAGTGGCTTTCTTAGGTGAACTCGCAAGCATTGCATGGAAGATGGTATGTTGATAGGTATGGGGCACACGCCGTTATTATTTATTATCTAGTTGACTAGAAACTTGACGCTTGCACATATACGTTTAATGTGATATGATTTGTTTAATTTGGTATATGGAGCTTAACAGCTCTGCTTGTTGACGTTTGATGAATTCAGCGCATGAAATCTCTTTATTAATTGAATAGCTGGTGTCTTCGTACCACTAGTTAGTGAATTTCAGAACGTGTAGAGCCTTCGAAATTATTTATTATATTAACAGGCAAGCCTAATAAATAAGGGACGCACAAATGAAAGCAGTATATGGATTGCCATACCATTATCCCATGTTTTTTATTGTTGTGAAGAAATTGGTAGCACCAGTGAGTATTTGATAGACGCTCAATGTAAAACCAAAATTGCAAATTACCGAGCCTGTCAGGGCGCCGTGGCATCGAAAGTCCCTTGCTTCAGGAAATCAGCCGCTGTGCGCCTGAAATTTATATCCAAAACTTAGATCTGTCGCACGTTAATCAAGCATGAAGCTATCGTTTTTTCCTTTTTAGATTTCTGCTAGCGATTTGACAGTGTGGTAGATTCCACTTCGAGATAATGCTGGCTCAGTAATTCTACACATTGTGCGAAGCGCTTGGGTTGATCCGCGCTACCTATTCCATTTTCATCGTCACAAGTGTTTATTCTAAAAATTTGTCATCTGTCACAGCATCAGCATGTTCCATCTACATAGTTTCAAGTTGGCATTCATCTTAAGATGCCAATGCAGGGCTGCAAAAATTGTGACATCGATAACGAACGTTTTCTTACACGGTTGGAAAGGTCAAGCCAATGATAAAAACCAATGACACAAGTCACTGGCACAAGTCGAAATAATTTCAGAGCTGAGATTTCTTCTCAGAAGAGCTTCAAATTTGTGACATAGAGTTGAGAAAGGCTTACCAAAGAGTTCTGTGACTTTCACCTTAGGACTAATCAATTGCCATCAAGTGCAATTGGTGCGTTAAACATTTGCAGATACATCCACCAGCCGTGAACAAGATCGTGTTCAAATTGGTTCGGTGTTGAGATCTAAGCGTTTGTAGTCCTTTCAAGCTTCAAGTTCAATATCGCATCATTAAATAGACATCCCTTTTTGCAAGCATCAGTGCGAATGCAGGAAATTTTACAAACAATACAGCTGAATTACAAAAAGACTCTCCCGTATTACAGCAGAAGCTACGTAACACATATCAGTTAGACACAATCTGTCTTGCTTTGAGCCTCTTTACTGATAATTCTTTCTTACAAGCCTGCCATCGCCGGTAAAGATCTAACACATACGGAAATTTTTCAGAAACTAACACACATTGACATACAAGAAACTTTAACTAAATCGTACCTCTCGTTAACCCCTATCACCCTCAACATCGAGCCTTACAAATGCCTCCAGTCAAGCAAGTATACAGTCAACAACAGCAGCCATCAAATTGGGACAAATTCAAGATGGGCTTGATGATGGGCACTTCGGTTGGAGTGTGTACCGGTATTCTTTTCGGCGGTGTTGCCATCATAACGCAAGGGCCCGGCCCCAACGGTTACATCAGAACCCTTGGCCAGTACATTGCTGGTTCTGCGGCTACTTTCGGTTTATTTATGAGTATTGGGTCAATTATTCGTAGCGAAGAGCAGGTTAGTCGCCAGTACAGGGCTAATTCTATCTCGATGCAGCAGAGAGCCAAATTCGAGATGTGGAAAGCCAGAGAAACGTACGGGCTATTTAAAAAAGAGTTCAGAGAGCTTTGAGCTACCGAATATATAGTATTCAATCTCACAACATGTATATATATATATTTCATTTAATCCAGTCGAGACTTTAACTACCTAACAAGAACAGCCTGAAATATTTCTCAGCTCCTTCTACCAAAAGAATCATGCTCAGAGTTCGTCCGTGGAAGTGTGCAGTTCTCCGCATTGCTGCTCGTCGTTGTAAAGCCTATGACACTAATGTCAAGTCGCTGGAGGACTTGGCTAAGCTTAAATCTTTAGATGATGTGGACCCAGAATTGGTGAGAAGACTTATAAACGAAAGAACCGATCAACTGAATACACAGGGCGAGCTCGACATGCTCAAACAAATTCAGTCTGAGGAAAAGCAACAGCGACAGGTTACTTTAAAAAAATTTGTGAGGCCTATGTGGATTTTCCTGTTGATGAGTTCGTTTTTCTACTTGGCTGGCCATTATGTATGGTGGAGACTGGAATACGACGAACGTGAGATTGAACTCCACAAACAGGTGCAAGCTCTTCAGCAAGAACTAGACGAAGTCATTGCAAACAAGGACTCCATGTTGGCATCTACATCGAATGATTCGGCTGGGGGTTCGAAAAAGCTCAAGAAATGGTACTTTGCTTGGTTTTGGTAGCCGCGTTGTATATCCTGTAATATCAAAACGTTTTAATGATGAATTAGCCTATGTATGTAGAAGAACACCTTGCTCAAAATTTGCTATTTTTCAGAAGTATGCATTCGCCGTGTTCCGTCGGCAGTTCGTAGATCTGGAGAACCCCATCGTTCCCTGCAACATAAACCTGGTTGGGAAACTCTTCCGGAAACCCAATACAATGTTTGACACCCTCGTCAACTTTCATGAAGGCAAAGTCTCGCGCCATGCTTTGACTAGGAATCCTGGAGATGACTTTCTTCGACAGAAAACTCGCAAGTTGTTTGGGGGAGTCTTTGGCCAGGCGGGATTCCATCCATGTGTCTCTACTATCCGAACTTCTTACTGTGTCAATTTCCAATCCTTGTGACAATTTAAACACATGTATCGTGTCCGTGTCTCCGACACACCCCAAGAGTGTCGAACCCTGGTTGAACTTCATTTCATAAATTACTGTAGGTCGTGTGCCTCGCCGAAATTCTCGAAATAATGGTTCGTTGCCGTCATATTCTGTATCTGCGCCGGTCTGAAATATCCTTACTATGGTGCCTCTCTCTGACGCAGTAGCTACAAGTTTACCGTGGTGCGTAACAGCTAGACAGCTGACACTGTTCTTGTGTACTGAATTCAAATAGTTAATAGGTGTTACATTCAGGGCGTCGAACACCACAATGTCGTTAAAAACACCATTTTCCTTCGCGGAGCGTGAAAACGTGCTGTAGCACAGCGTGCTGCTGTCGTCACTACTTAGTGCCATTCTAACGCTTGAACTTGATGTTCCCATTCCATGGGTGTTTGACTTGCCGCTGGAACTGCGTAGGTCGAGTTTGCCTTCAAGTACGTCGATCGTTTGTAGAAGCTTCATGCATGAGATGTCGTAAATAAAAATCTGGTCACTCGATAACAGAACGCACATGCGCTTGCGGTTCATAACCACGTCTTCAATCTCATGAGGAAAGGTGAGCTCGCAAATAGTTGATTTGCGCTTTGTGTTAACAATCTTCAATTTGCGGCTCTTCTGGGAGCCTAGATTTTTGTCCACCACAACTATAAGACTTGTTGAAAAGAGCATTTCCACTATGAAGTTGGATTCAGTCGCACTTTGGAAACCTGATAAATCGTCCCGGCTACTTGTTCTACTCCCGTTTTCAAGTTCAAAACATTTGCCGAAGGGATCGCAATTGTAGATACATAACGAGCTCGACGACATTGCCACCGAGCAACATGTCGCATCCTGATTGAACCGTAGAGCCCGCATGAAGCTTGGATCAAGCGAAGTTCTTTCCCAGGCTTAGGTCCTCAGAGGTTATTTATGTTTTTATATCTCTGTAGGTTTATCTCAAAAAAGACCGATATAACGAGAGACGAGTGACAATCGATAATTCCACAATATTTCAATTCCAGTCGTCATTTAGAAGTCTATAGATACGCTCGTCTGTCCTTGTTGCCCAGAGGGCGGATCGGCAGTGCTATTAGACTCAGATGTCTCTGAGTCATCAACTGGAATACCCCAAGGCTCAATCTCGAACTTCTTTTTACCGTTTCTAAAGGCGTATTCAGATCTCATGACATGCATTTCACCCCTGTCACTAAGCAGTGGAAGCTTAAAAACATGTACCAGTCCGTGTTGAATCTTATTGGGTTGTGATTTGTAGACACGTTCCAGAAATTGTGACATTTCTTGGGGAAACGGCTCTAGGCTTATTACAGAGTCGAACATATTCTCGACCATTGGAAGCACCTGGCATCCACTGTTGGAGTAGAGATCTGAAGACAGGGTGCTCAATAGCACAGCGCGGTCGCCGTTTTCCTTGATTATTGATCTTATCCCGTGCAGCAGAGGTAACAATTCCGATAACTGGGAGTATTTTGGAGGATACATGGCCGGATGTAATAAGTTTGGTATCACAACACGAATGACTTTCCTTTCGTGTTTTTTGAATACTGCTTTCAATTGCGCTAAGACCATGGACAAAGTTTGGACTGGAGATATCAGAGTTAATTCAGCTGACGTGGGCGCAGGTACCAAGCGCGACGTAATATCAAAGGTATGCGAGTAGTTAGGGAAAGTATCAAGATCTGAATTTTGTTTTTGGTTGCCTTTACTTTTAGAGCCGTCTTTCAAACCGTATCTCCAGGCGATTTTCAAATCTTTCGGGGCAACCGATTGCTTCAACGCGACTGACTCTAGCGTGTTTTGTACTGTAACTTCTGATTCAGCTGTAGAGACTTTGGTCCGTTTAACGTCCTTTCTTGAACCCTGATAAACGCCCGGCAATTCTTTAGCGAAAGACTGGTTCAATGTTAATACCACAAGGTGCGTGTTGCCCTTGGTAAACGCATTAGAACCCTCTATTCTGTTATGTACAATTCCTTGCGCTGCGAAGGTTTTGACGATGACAGAGCTAAAATCCGTAGCACTTTGTTCTTGCACAAGGAGCAGTTGACCCAAAGGAAGTCCCATATGGCTCAAGAGCTTATCCAGATCGTGACAACCCGTAGCTGCAGTTGGTTGTGATGTCGCTGGAGATGGTCGTATCCCTGGGTGTGATGCATCGATTTGAGAACTTTTGGGAGTTGCTAAGGCTGGTTCGGGTTCATCTCGCATTGACAAGCCACCAATTCGACTTGTTACATTGCGGATGTCATTGCGCAAAGGATTTCTTTGTGGAGGCATGCCTCTCTCGGGAAGCGGAGCCCGTGTCTGGATTCTTGGAACGTTAGGATTACCAAGGACTTCACTTCTTTTCCTAAATGACATGATTAATGATGAACGAAGGTGAGATTGGTTCGCTAGTAGAAAAACTTTGTTTATTAACAACTTATACTTCAATGACCGAGATCAAACAACACTGCTGAACATATGCTTGCAGATGTATGGATTAGCCGCTGAAGCGTTGTAGTCAAGCTCGTTTAACTTAACTCTAAATGTTGAAAGATGACGATGAGTTTTCATAAATTATGATATATTATATTTGGATAAGCCGTCGAAAAATAATTGAGCATCAAATAGAAGAGCCTATTACAGGCTTGATACTCTGTGGAGTGGTTGAAGTTCTCACTATTTGCTTCTTTTGCGCTTGTAAGACTAAATAAAGATTCTTTCAGCTATATTCCGCGATCATGACGACTGTTTTGAAGAGTAGTCTGAGAATCGGGCGGCTAAGAAGCATACTAGAGAGATCAGTTCCTAACGCAAGCTTAGCACGACATTCCTGGGTGGTCAAAAGATATCAAAGTACTACAGACCAAAAAGAAGTTAACAAGACAAAGGAAAAATCGAGCAATGGCGGATATTTCAAAAAGGCGCTTTTAACCTTTTTAGTTCCGTACACTGGGTACGCACTTTACATCATTACTCAGGCTAACGCTGAAATAAATGAGCGGGAAAAGCAAGTAAAGCAACACAAAGATGATAAGCACTTCAACGCAACATTGGTCAAGTACTCAACGCTTGAAGTACTGGGTCGTTTTGCCAATCCTTTCAAAGAATATCGTGTTCTCACGGCTTTTGAGTTTTCGCTTAACCGCGTTCTTGAACTTTTCGAGCGAAATCGTGGTGGAATTCCTACCTGTGAGCATTCTATGGATGAACTCATGCCCATTCACTCGCCCACATGGGTTAATAATGACCAATGGAACAGGAATGATTCCACGGAACTAACAGTCCAGATACTGGACGCAAATCAGAATCTCGGCTCGCAAACTACTGACGGTTCACAAGATCTACCTGTACACTCCACATGGCTAGGACAATCGTGCAATTTCGTGGTATACAATGACTTTAAGATTCTTACTGATCCACTATTTACCGAACATCTAATCCATGAGACACTAGGCCCTAAGAGAATCACTAAAATGCCCTCAGATATAGACCAGGTTCCAACTCCCGACATTATACTGGTTTCGCATAATCATCCTGACCATTTGGATTTCAAGAGCATGGAATTTTGGGGTTCAAATGGGAAATACCACCCGCTATGGGTCGTACCTCAAGGAATGGCCCAGTTCATGAGGGATCACGATGTAAATAATGTAATCGAGCTCTCCTGGTGGGAAACTGCGCAAATTGAGAAAGGTGGCTCGGTTTACAATGTTTCGTGCACACCGGCGATGCATTGGTCAGGCAGGTCACTCGTTGATACCAACCGGTCTCTTTGGTGTTCATTCTTATTTTCGCATAATGCAAAACCTATCATGTTTCATGCGGGGGACACCGGATATGTTTGGGATTTATTTAAAAGAATAAGCAATCGCTACGGAAGAGGAGTCAAACTGGCCTTACTTCCCTGCGGTCAATATTGCCCTGCGTGGCATCAAAAACCAAGGCACATAAATCCAGAAGAGGTGCTGAAAATCAAAAAGGATCTTGAAGCTCAAAATGTGCTTGGTGTTCATTGGGGCACATTTGTGTTAAGCGGTGAGTATTTTCGCGAGCCCAAGGAAAAGCTTGAAATGTTGGCAGAATGGGAAGGGGTAAGAGATACATGTTACTGCCCAGAATTGGGGAAAACCGTTACCTTCAAATAATGCATTAAGGATATTTATAAATGAGCAGAATGAGAAATTATTTCGCCTCTTGCGCTAAACGCTCGAGAAATTCGTACCATATATCTTCTTTGATCTTGAACCCATTCTTATCATTGTTTGGAAAGCTTTGTGCCGTGACGTCGTTTGTATACTGTTGAATCATCCCAACGCTCTGAGCGTGCAAATCGCCAAATTTTTGGGCTAATTTAGGAACTTTTCCAGGCATCATGCCCAACACATCTGATTGCACCAAGACCTGACCGCTCACACCTGCGCCTGCTCCTATACCAATTGTTGGAATGTGCAGCTTCTCGGCAATGAAATTGGATACCTTATGCGGGACGCACTCAAGGAGCACCGAAAAACAACCAGCGTCTTGCAAATTCTGCGCCGTCCGGTAGATCCCCACAGCATCTTTCGCAGACTTACTGCCCTGTACTTTGAATCCGCTCAAGGCATGCATTCGTTGTGGCGTAAGCCCTATGTGGCCCATCACAGGAATACCTCGAGAACAAAGCTCCGTAGCCAACTTGAGAGAGTAGTCCTGTTCGCAGGAGTCTCCTTGGGGAGTCCCAACCTCGATCTTAACACCTCCAACCCGTGGCGAGCACTTCATAAGAGAAATCGCAGTTTCCACGCCTTTTTCTATACTCGATTCAAAGGTTCCAAATGGCATGTCAACCATCACGAAAGCAGGACCGCGGGAACGGCAGACCGCCTGTACGTGGTACCTGAATTCGTCGAGCCCAATCTCAGTCGTGGATTCGTACCCTAGAGCACACATCGCTAATGAGTCGCCCACGAGGATCACATCGCAGTTGGCTTCTTGCGCCCAACTAGCGGTTATGAAGTCGTAGGCGGTGATCATCGTTATTGGTTCTTTGGCCATATATTTGGCATAGAGATCAGATATAGTTTTCGGCTGAGTGTTTCCAATGGGATAGCTTGAATAGCATCTCTGAAGCAGCCGCAGTGGATTCCGAGCAATTCGATGCATTCTAGTTCTTCGAGATGCAGCTTGCTAAAGTATGGGCCATTGTCATTGTCTGAGTAAGACGATGCCAACTTCGTTGGTGAACACGAAAAAGTACCTTCAATCTTGTCACGTTACCTCGAGCCAGGATTGGTGCCAAATCATCGGAGAGCTGGGGCTGGGGAGAGGATCGCTAGTACATGGATCACGGACCCAATAGATATTTTGTAACTGTTGGCGTGGTTAGTTTGTCAATTCTGAGCTTTGAAGCTCAAGATTCCAAGTGCAGGAGTTTCTTGTGTTAAACCATTTTGCAAGCGCATCTTCTGATAGAATCCTGGGCGATGATGGTTTGAGACGCAGCGAGAATACACCGTCTTGTTCCGTCAAGAAGCAAAAAAACCTCTTTTATTCAAGCTTGAGGCCTGAGGATCCCGAACTGATCGCACCTGATGCCTCGTTAGCGTCTCCCGAGGGACAGTTCAAATGCTTGCATAGAACTGTATGTATTGCCAATTTTTCAACAATAGTGAAGTTCCTTCTTCTAAAGCCCATTATGTGCCACTGCTTGCAAAAGCTTTATTCAACGCCAATTTCGAGATACTAAAATAACCAACATCTGGCTATCGAGATGTGGATAGATTTTGGAGTTGATGCCGCTCCAACCATGAGGTGTTGCTCGCAGCTCTGCATATAATCGGGGGCTGCAACTACAAATATTCCAAGTTGCAAGTGCCAACAGAAATGAGCTCACCGGAACGCGCTAAAAGCGAACAAGTGTTATCAAAGAACATACAAACCATGAAGAAAAGTCATGGTTTCGAAACAACTCACCAACCATGCACGAAAATAAGGAGGGAAGTAATTATGCAATGCAGCAATTTCCCTAGAACAATGCTCAATCACTTACGTACCCGATCTTCACACTTTCGAAAAAAACAAAGCCCTGTGAGTCTGTTGACACTGTACTCAACGTGGTGTAATGAGACACCCATCTTTCATCACGAGTACTACCTTCTTCCCATATTTTTGTTTGTTTGACTTTTAGTATCGTTATCGGTTACTGAAATATTTATCGCGCTAATATAGATAAGGGAATTAATCAAAGCAGTTATCAATCGATGTCCGGAGAAGCACTTCCAGAGTAATAGTGTCCTCTGTCAGGCTAAACGAGTCAAAGATCAGCAAATATCCTCGTTATAATTTCTCCAAAAAGCACGGCATAGTTCTCGAGAGAGCCATGGCGGACAAGGTAACTGACCATGTCCAAACTACAGGTAGCGAGAGCGGTGATCAAGAAGACAAAAGCTCCATCCAGATTCTCCGGCTCGACGAAGAATTGCAATTTGCAGACGGTGGTGCAAAAGCATACTCAGTGGTAGCAGGATGCTGTATGGGACTTGTTTCCGTTTTTGGAATGCTTAACTCGGTAGGTGCGATCCAGACCTACATTTCTACACACCAGCTTATATCTGTCAAGCCATCGACTATTTCTTGGATCTTCGCACTCTACATTTTTGCCATTTATGCCTCTAGTATATTTTGCGGCTGTTATTTTGACAGAAACGGGTGCAAAGCTGCTAAGTATGTGGGATATGTGCTCTCAGTTGTGGGCGCTTTCTGCTTAGCCGAATGCGAGCAAGTCTACCAGTTCATCATATGCCTTAGTCTCTTGTACGGTGTTGGTTCCGGTGTTTTGATGACTTGCTATGTTTCCAGCGTTGCTACTTGGTTCAAAGAGAAGCGAGCACATGCTCAATCGATTGCTAGCATAGGTGGGTCTTTGGGAGGAATCATATTTCCCGTGATGCTTCGAAAGCTGTATTCACAAGTAGGCTACAAATGGGCCATCAGAATTCTGGCTTTCATTTTAACGGCCTGTTTAACCCCATCGGTGGTACTTGCGCAGGAAAATGCCGCCGTGATGAAGTATCAGACAAAGAAGCTACGATGGGGCGAAACAGCCCGCATATACTGCAAATACAGTGTCGATTTGAGGTTTTTGAAAGATTGGAAATTTCTGTTTTGCGCGTTAGGCTGTTGTTTTGCAGAAAACGGGCTCATGGTTACTGCGACCTACTTCCCAACGTACGCGATTGCCACCGGAGTTTCAGAAACTACATCGTATACTCTAATTACCGTCATGAACACTGCTGGAATTCTAGGCCGGGCCTCTGGTTACATAGCCGATCGTTTCACTGGCAGAATCATGATCCTAATGATCTGTCTATCTATCATGACACTCTTATCGCTAGTGATGTGGCTTCCCTTTGGCCATAGCCTCAAAGTCTTATATGCTTTTTCTGCGCTCTACGGCGTGGTGTGTTCCTCCATCCTTTCCCTAGTGCCCGTGGCCATAGGTCAAGTTTGTAAAATTGAAGAATTCGGAAGGAAATACAGCATGATGTATTTTATGACAGCACTGACAAGTTTAGCCGTTTTACCCATCGCTGGTGTTATTATTGGTACCGGAACAACGAAAAGCTATAACAATTTCATTATTTACTGTTCGATGCTGACATTAGCAGGCTCTGCCTGTTACGGTATAACTCGCTACTGTGCCATTGGCGTGAGAAAAATAAAGTTCTAAAGTTATGTGAATTGAGTTCCGATTACGATCAAGAACAGCATCCATCATAGCAAAAAAACTCCGATACGGGGAGTCGAACCCCGGTCTCCCCGGTGAAAGCGGAGTGTGATAGCCGTTACACCATATCGGATACTTATAGAGATTGACAAAATTTTAAGATACCTGCCAAGGTTGAAAGAGCACATGAGCTTGTTTAAGTCTCACAAAGGCGTTTTAGCTCAATCGGTGGTCAATAACAACTGTTTGAAAGCTCCATAAGCAGATTACAGAGAAACGAAAAAACAAAGTAGAGAGAAAATTCATCTACTCTCAGAGAGACTAAGATACAATAGAAACAATTGTATTTGGTTCTTCAGCTCGTGTATAGATGTACAAATAGAGATGCATAAAATTTTAGTTTTACTTAATTCTCTAGGATATTTCTAGATCATGTGTGTCATTGGGAGTTGACAAGCGCCAGTAAAACAACAAATACGCACAAAGATTATTAGAAGAAGCTGTCTAATTATAATTCTCGCTAGCTCAACACATCTACCACAGTTGTTGCTTTTTAAACATTTGAGAACCATTCAAAGAGACAGTCAGAAAAGAATAGCTAATTGTCAAAACGTCACAAGAGTTGAAAAGTATAGTTGTATGTCTTTCCTTCCAGATCGTGAAGTTATTCCAACAATATGACAACACTAATAATTGTAAATGGTTGAAAATTACCGAGTAAGAGGCTAGCCACATATTCTGGAGTTTTGCTTCTTCAAGATATAATCCTCACCTGATAAACAATTTTGCTCAACGTTGCCTAGGCGCGTATCAGACCCATCAGTTCACTACACTACATTGCCTTGTGATTCATCATCAGATTTCAGTCATATGTTTCTCGTTATCGGAAAGCTGAGCTTTTTTGGGATAAGCTTACAAAATAGCTTGGAGTTAAAGCGCAAAGAATCTATACAGGTTTCCATTTTAACATTTTAGGGCGAAGTACTTATGCAAAATTACGTGCCCCTATGTGGTAACTTTCACGTTGGTTGTGTGTTAACAGGGATTTATTTCTGAGAATCATCAGCAAACTCCAAATTATACTCTTCCAAAATTTCCTTTGGTACATTGCTGGGGCTTCCTACTAGTAGGTCACATCCGCTTATGCTCTTCGGGAAAGCTATGACGTCTCGTATATTATTAGTTCCACATAGCATAGCACACATGCGGTCAAAACCGATAGCAAACCCAGCATGTGGAGGGGTGCCACTTTCAAATGCAGTGAGCAAATGACCAAACAGCTTTTCAGGTTCTTGGATCTTGAGTATTGACTTGAAGATGAAATTTTGCAATACCGGATCGTGAATTCTGGTAGACCCCCCGCCGAGTTCAACCCCGTTTATTACAAAATCGTAATGCTGTCCTAAACATGCTGATGGGTTAGACTGTAATTTGTGAAGATCTTGAAGTTGAACCATCGTGAATGGATGATGCGTAGATGAATACACCTCAGCATTGTAATGAGGATAATCGGGCTTCTTGCTCCCTAAACTGGGCTCGTACTCTGCAGGAGAAAATAATGGAAAGTCTATAACCCAAACAGCAACTGCGTTCTCAGTTTGTTGATAAAGTTCCGAACCCCTCTTTGATTGAGTAACCAGTTGCCTCAATCTACCGAGAGGTGTGGGATTCTCAAATAAGGCTCCACTCGGCTCCCTTGTCGCGCCGCATATAATATCACCTTGCTTAAGATTCAAAAATCGATTCATCAGTGTTGGATTTTCGAAGTTGGCTATCGACATGAACTTTTCAAACCATAATTGTTCCATCTCCTCTGAATCGATTGGCACCACTATAGGAGATCTGAATTTATATTGATGTTCGTCAGAAAGGAAAGACCAGTTTTCTTTGTAGTCTTCCGAAGTCCGGAAAGCATTGCGCAAAACAATGATTTCAAATATTGGAAATCCGTTGTTCTCGATGCCGAAGGCTTTAAATTCTGACATGTCAACTATCTTGATACTTGGAAACCTAAGATCTGGTTTATCTATCCCGTACTGGGTCATTGCCTCCCTGTAGGTAATCTTAGTGACTGGGTGAGATTGAGTAACAGGAACAATTTCGTTGGATCGAGTCAATGTATGTAAATTCCCACTGGACGACATCGTATTCCATGTCTTTGTAATTGTGCTTTCAATAATTTGCATGACTTGAGAGCCATTAGCGAACGCCATTTCCAAATCAATTTGAGTAAATTCAGGTTGTCTGTCGCTTCTTAAGTCTTCGTCACGAAAACAACGAGCCAATTGGTAATAACGTTCAACACCACTTGCCATAAGTAGCTGTTTGTACTGCTGGGGACTTTGCGGCAGCGCATAAAAGGCAGGTTTCTGATTTTGTTTGTTTCTTGAAGGAACCAGAAACTCTCGAGCTCCCTCTGGGGTCGATTTGAATAAAATTGGCGTTTCTATCTCAGTGAAGTTAAAACCATTTAGATGCTCTCTTACTCGACTTGCTATTTCATGACGTTTTTTCAAAAACGCTTGATATTTAGGTAGTCGAAGTTGAAGATATCTGAACTCTGGCGGAAAGTTACCTTGATTCTTAAAAACAGAGAGCTGAGAGGGCTTCTTTCCGGATTTGTTCAGTGTGTTTACCTTTAAAAGTTTGATTTCAAACTGGGGTACATCAGTTTCCTCATTTGCTGCTTTCCTAATATTTAGTTGTCCTTCAATTTGTACGACATCTTCGACGTTGGCAGCTTTCAAGAAGGAATCCGAGTCAACCAATTGTATGACATCCCCTTTGGTATCCCTTAAAGTTCCAAATATCAAACTCTTGCCAACCTTCTTAGGTTTCTTGTCAATCCAACCATTAATGACGACTTTGGATGACACATCGGAACTTAACAAATCGCGGATACAATGCGAGCTTTCGGAAAAACTAAACTTCTGTTTAATGACATCTGACGCTGTCGTGATGCTATATTTCCTGCCAATGCGGCTTGCTGATATCAATTGATGCCCGAACATAGCAAGCTACTCATTTCTTCTCTTTAGATTTACTAATACATTAATTATTAGTTTTTCCATGAGAAATGATGGAAAGCATTTAATTATAATGCAGTTGATGACGCGGCAAAGGCCTGATGCCATCACTTATTGCCCAAACAGAAAGGCAAGTCTATTGCATGTTACTAAATACTCTATAAAGCTTTCATAAGAAATCAGTCGGTATTGACCCAAATCCAAAGATTACATTCTCCATTCAAAGATAAGGAGCACATCAAAGAACCTTTACAACTTATATCCATGACGGGACTGTCTAAATGCTTGCTTTGGATCCTCTGCACAACATTTTTTGTCTGGGAATCCCAGCAAACAATGTTCCCATTCTCCGTCCCACTTACAACGATAGGATCAAGGGCTTCGTCTTGCGAGTAAAGAAAATCCATTCCACAAGAGTATCGCAGTGAATTGGATTCGCCTGATATAAAGGTGCGGACAACTTTTCCTCGAACAAAATCCCATATTTTCAGTACTCCATCTAGCGATTTTACTAGCAGATATTTACCATTTGCCGAAAACTTGACCTGTGAAATAGGAACTACTCCGTTTTCACTTTGCCAATCTTTGTCGTAAGTTAAAGTCTTCAAACAATGGCCTGTAGCAGTGTCAAATATTCGGATTAGCCCATCATAAGAACCTGAACTCAATATACTTGAATCGAACAGCGGTATATCTATGGACACCACGGGCTCAGAATGTGCCGATAACGTGCGCAGTAGACTACCCGTGAGAGTATCCCAGATTCTTATGCTTTCATCCATTGAGCATGAGCACAGTAAATTACCTTTCGAGGTGAATTTCACAGCTGTTACTGGTGCAGTGTGACCCACTAGCCGGTACAGCTCGCCAAAAATGATGTGGGTAATTATGATAGTAAAGTCGTCGGAGGCAGTGGCGATGCATTGGGAGTCCGGTGACCAGCACAGGTCTGATGATGCTTGAGAGTGCAAAGTTGGGATTAATGTGGTGCTTTTACTGTTGATGTTGTGTATCTCAATATCGGTACCATCGCAGAAAGCAACATTTTGACCATCTGGAGAAATTTTGGCGGCAGTGCAGGGCCAGTTAGAACCTTGGGACTTCTTAAGAGTAGTTAGGAATTGGAATTGAGCCATAGGAGCCTTTACAGAAACCCAAGAAGCGGATACCTCTTTAATGAGATGCACTTTCAAGAGATGAGTTCGATAGATCGTGATCACGTGTGGGGAAATAACCAATTCGGCAGACATGAGTGACAACAAAAGACTGAGACAAGCAAAGCAGAATGCTCAACATGCCAACTACTGTGGTTTTGAATGCAAATTTTCTGCTGTTTTAGAGCACGCCTCCACCCAATTTACTTTGTTCACTGGCATTTTGTTTGTCAACTTTTTCAATCGGGAACCGAAGCTCAACATGAAGTCAAGCTAGCACAGAAAACTTATCTTGGCCATTAGTATATGTACAACGGTTCATAAGCAGGCGCCTTGTAGTAACAACAGTCACAGTATTAAAATTCCAGAAATACATTTGTACTCGAGGCATTCGAATTATATCTTATTCTAAGAATAGTACATGCTGGAAATATTAGAAGCTCTTTGAGGGCGCGCAAGACCGATTCGTTTTCATCAAATACTCTTCAATCAAGACCTAGATCATCTAATACTGAACTCTTTAGATCGCTATGATCTGTAAATACTCCGCCTCGTACAAAGGCACCTCTGCTCCATACTGGGTGGCAAAAATCTAAATTCAATGCTTCCCTACTTTGCCTTACTGAAATACCTTTAACACAACGATTCACACAAAACACACACCGAAAAATGAGCATTGTGCCAAACAAGAACTACAGATCCGCCGTATCATCTACGTCCAGCCATCACAAGACTTCGAATGCCGCTCCTGCGCTTCCAGACAGCCTAAGAAACCAAAACGGGGGCGCTACGCCGCTCAGCACTCAGACCAACGGAAAGCACCCATTGGAAACAAAACTGCAGAGTTGGGATCAGACCCAGCGCAACAGAGATCTCGAACAGTACCGCAGGGTTTTTGGCCTTGCTGAGCCTATGAAACGCGAGATGGAACTCGCCATCGTACAAAACTCTGATTTCAACCCTTTGTCACAGTCCACAGACTCTGGGTTCTCAACTAGTTTACATCGCGATATATTGCTGAACCGTGAGGCCAGTGTTGATTGGGAAGACGTATACCAGGGATCGGGCATTGTTGGAGGTGTCTCGATGGGCCCGGACGTGCATGGCGCCATCGAAAAGTCTTTAGGTATTTGAAAGCGACAATTGGTCCCAGTCGAGCTAATTGGCAAAAGATTTGTCCATAGCTATAATCGATTATAAAAACCAATATCTCAATCAGTCTACTCTCACAAATCAGCCACATTCAGTTTTCGAGCCATGCTCAACCGCTCACAACGAGATCCTTATCACTATACACGCATACTTCAATTTTTTTCAGATGCGAAAAAATCACAGCTGCCAGAAAATTTTTTAAACCCACTTTGCACAGTGTGTATGAATTTTTGAAGGATCTGAAGTTAGCTATATCTTGTTTGCGCTAATAGCGATATAAGACAAGCTAAAGAACAGGCTAAAAAACATTGATAGACTTACTTAGAAGATGAATTCGAATCAGCAGACACAGCAGGACGTGCTAGGCTCAATCGTGCCGCAATTGCAAGGAATGTCGTTGAGTGGAGCGTCCACTCCTATGATGGATACAAGTAGCACACCTTTACACAAGCCCGGATCCTTGTTGGGCACTTTGGGCATACAAAGGGCCAATTCGCCTTTTGTTGGTGGTGGTGTTGATGGTGTGAAGTTCGGGCGGCAGCCGCATGATTTACAGTACGCTCAGCATGGTCAGCAAACGCCACACCAGGCATATTCCGGTCTGCGAGAAACGCCCTCATCGTCGTCACTGGCGGCCGACTGGGCTCAACAAAGTTCCGTAGGAAATGCTGCTGTGCCTAATAGCAATAGTGGTTTATCTGGGACCTCTATTGATGGCCACTCGTCATTCGGACTTTCAATGGTGGATGCCTTGGGCGTTCCTTCTAATGTGCCGCCACCGCCTGGGGTATTTGCACCTCATATGCCAATCCTTGAGTCGCAATGGAAATACGTGGACTTCCAGAATATTGTGCAAGGGCCCTTTCCGTCGCAATCTATGACCAATTGGTACCAAGCTGGATACTTACAAGCTTCTTTACAAATTGCGCGTGTTGCTACATCCCCGGAACCCTTTGGTGTCAATGAGAAGTTTGCGTCATTAGGGGACCTCATGGCCAAAGTTGGTGACTTTGCAGATCCATTTTCTAAATTTGATTTAATTGTGGCTCAAGCCCAAGCACAAGTCCAAATGCAACCTCAATTAAATCCTCGTTTGCCACAACAATTGTCTCTTGATTCGTTGCAGGTGGCTAATGGCACGTCCGGTAATGCTTCGGATCCTATAACATTCCACCTTGAAGCATCTTCTGCTCCTGTCAATGATGCTGTCTCATCAGGGCCACAAATTGAATCTCTTGACTATACGCATGACCAGCTTTTGGAACTTCGCGATAGCGATGGCGGGTATTTTCACGAAACTATCTCCCAGATTCCTGTTCATAAATTTGTGGAAAACGATGCTGCGCCCAAAAGCTACGATACTAAAACTAGGCAGACGATCGATCAAGATGCGCTGCAAAGAAGACGCGAATATGAAACCCTTGCCAAGCAAAGGAAGGAACAACAATTAGCTCAGGAGAAGCTCCAAAAATACGAACAGCTAAAGCAGCAACAAGACGCGGTTGCAGCGGCGGAAGTGGAGAGAAGGCGAGTTTTGGTGTCGGAAACTGAAGGTATTGCCAAACAAAGACAAAAGCAGCGTGAAGAAGAAGCAGAACGTCGTAAAAAGGCCGATGAATCGGCGCGCCGGCTACTGGAAGAAGAACATCAACGTTTTGTACGTGAGCAGCAAGAAACTGAAGATCGTAACAAACGCGATGAGCTTGAAAAGTTGCGTAGAGAAAGCTCAACACCTTCTGGCGCTTCCTCCCCGGCATTGCTGTCTGCAAAGCCTGCACCCTGGGCGAATAAGACCAAAGCGTCATTTGCGGGCCCTTCTCTAGCCGAAATTCAACAAAAGGAGGCAGCTCAAAGAGCCAAACGCAAGCAAGAGCAAGAGCATCAAACACGCGAAATCGCTGCCAAACTTCAACAACAAGTCTTCAATGAAGAAGCTAGCAAACCAAGAATAGACTCCATCGCTACTTGGGCCAGCAAAAAATTGCCTAATCAACCTTTAGATGAACACATGGCTCCTGTCAAGACAATTGAACAAATTCAAAAAGAACAAGCGGAGCAAAAAAAGTTCTTAGCTGAACAGAAGAGGTTATGGGAAGAAGTCCAAAAAAATGCTAAAGTAAATGTTGCACCTTCTAGCACCGATGTGAACGAATGGACGACGGTCACTAAGAAACAAGTCATCCCTCTCAAGGCAAGCAGCACTAAGAATCCAAATCAAGCAAACTCTTACTTAAGTCCCGACAAATTGCGTTCTATGAGCGCGAACTCTAGTAAGCAAATCGGATCGTCCACCAGCATTCCTACCTTGAAGACAAAAGTAGCGACAAAAGCGCCAGTAGCCTACTCAGGCAATGCATCTACCTCTTTGCGTCAAGAATTTCTAAAGTGGTGCAAGTCTCAAATGAAGTTGTCCCAAGAGGTGAATGTCAACGGTGTTTTAGAATTTTTGCTCAGCTTACCCGCTGGCCCCGAGTCCAAAGAAATCATTGCAGACACGATTTATTCCAACAGTTCGTCAATGGATGGCAGAAGATTTGCCGCAGAATTCATCAAACGTCGCATTGATTGCGAAGCCAAGCTTACCGATTCGCTATCCTGGAGCGAAGCCCTTTCCATGCCTGAAGGCGACGTTGAGGATTGGGAATTTCAGGTTGTGGGTAAGAAAAAGAACAGAAAGCATTGATCTGTTTGTACACCTCACGAACATACGTTTAAAAAGCCAGTTTCATGTATAGTAAAAGAACTTGATTTCAATTTTCTGTTAAAACTCTATGTACCTATTTTCTTCTACCTCATGACGTTGGCTACTCAATCAATTTTCCGACGCTGTCAAACTTGAGCTGCCATTGTTCCGAATACACTTCCTTGCGAAGCAAAATTGCTTGAAAGCGTCTCTTCAAAGCTTGATTAAAGCATATTTCTTTGCTAACAGCCACGAACAGCTGAGGCCAGCCAGGCTGCATCTGTTCTGCTTCTTGAATCGCTTCCTTGAATTCCAAATCAACTAGCTTTACCTCGTTCTGGTACCGCTTCCAATATTCTTCACCAACGCATCCATTTTTGTACAGCATGGTTATTTGAGGTTCAGATTCCTTTAATTTCAGAGTTCTTCTAATGGCCTCGGCACCGCGGTTAAGAAGGGCAGCCTTCAGCACTTTTTCGTGCACTTTGGCTTCCCCCAATTCATTCATCTGTTTAAGCTCAAAAAAAAGGTCTCTAGCCACAGATTCATCAAACATTGAGGGTAGCTCACTTAGCTCTTGAACAGTTTTCTTCCTATACTGCGAAGCAAATACAATAAGTGATATAATCAATATGGACACATAGATCAGAGGGGTGTAGAAGGATACGGCTTTTGTTTCAACATTCCCAGCATCGTTCTCATTGAATGTGCTGTTGAACTGCGTATCATTGAAGGACATTTGGTATTGTTTGTGCTTCTTGTGAATGACGATACACCTACTCTTACCTTTAATTTCATTATATCGAAAACACTATTTCTCGACATATCGTATGTAGTGCTAAAATCATGTTCATCAATAATTAAGTATTCACTATTACAGTACATCGCCACTGTCTTTCAGACTTTAACACCTTAACGAGCTGTTAGGCATATAGCATCTTTTTGAATACACAATGATTCTTAGATTTAAATCTAGAGATGGGATGCACCGCGTTGAGTGCGTGGAAGCAGAAAAGTTCGGCCAAATTTTGGAGAAGCTGCTCCCCAGACTTAGCCCGAACGTTGATGTGAATACTTTGAAGATTGGCTTGCAGCCGACGGAAATGGTAGCAGCCCGCAGTGTCCATGATAAAAGCGTGGCAGAACTGGGTTTTAAGCACGGAACGCTTGTTACTGTGACCTATGAAGTGAAAGAGCAAGAACAAGCTCCACTTGGAGACAAGACAGATTTGCCACAGGCTACTGTGAAAATCACACCAGTAAAGGTTGCAGGTCCTCTAGAAGTTGAAGAGCTGCCTGTAGATGACCTGCTGGAGAAATTGGATGGACTTATACCCAGGAAGCGCTCTTATTTATGCAAGCATGGCGATAGAGGGATGTGCGAGTATTGCAGCCCTTTGCCACCCTGGGACCGTGAACATCAAAAGGAGAAGAACATTAAGCACATTTCATTCCACTCGCATTTGAAGCAACTTAGTGAGCAAACCAACAAAAAATCCAGCGGAGGCTCTTATATACCGCCACTTTCACAGCCAGACTTCCGGATAAACAAGAATTGTTCTGGTGGGCATGAACCTTGGCCTCGTGGTATTTGCTCCAAGTGCCAACCTTCTGCTATCACCCTCAAACAACAGGATTTCAGAATGGTGGACCACGTAGAGTTCCAAAAAAGTGAACTTATTAACAGTTTCATAGATAGCTGGAGAAATACTGGCACGCAGCGTTTTGGATATATCTATGGTAACTACGCTGCATACGATGCAACACCGCTAGGAATAATTGCAAAAGCCGAAGCCATTTACGAGCCCCCTCAACATGACGAGCAAGACGGATTGACAATGGATGTGGAAATGGTAAGAAAGGAAATGCAGAATGTAGATGAACTTGCTAAGCAAATGGGTCTCATACGTATAGGAATGATCTTTACAGATTTGACCGATGCTGGAAATGGAGACGGTTCAGTATTTTGCAAGCGTCACAAAGACTCATTTTTTCTGTCATCGTTAGAAGTCATAATGGCTGCCGACCACCAACTAAAGCATCCTAATGTTTCCAGGTTTAGCGAGCAAGGCGTTTTCTCTTCCAAGTTCGTGACCTGTGTCGTCTCAGGGAATGTCAAGGGGGAGATTGACATTTCTACGTATCAAGTTTCCACGGATGCTGAAGCCTTGGTTCAGGCAGATATGATAACTGCGTCAACTCATCCATCTATGTCATATATCAACGAGACGAACAAGGACCGGTATGTCCCGGAGCTTTTTTACATGCGAACCAACGAATATGGGCTTCTCGTCAAAGAGAACGCCAAACCTGCATTCCCCGTCGATTATCTGCTAGTGTCATTGACGCACGGCTTCCCAACTGAAGAAGCTCCTTCACGGCCCATGTTTGCCAGCGCTACCGGATTTCCTTGGACAAATCGGCAGATCTTGGGGCAATCTCAAGACTACATGCAACTGAAGAAGTATCTATTTGAGGCTGCTACATCAGGAGATTTTGAGCTTTTGCAAAAAAAACTCTCGAACTTTCACTTGTTGTTGTATATTAACTCGCTACAGATACTGAGTCCTAAAGAATGGCAGCTAATATGCTCAGCCATAAAAACTGGGGATCAAAGCTCTCTGTATCAGCTTGTTGACTCGCCGGAATGGCAAACATTAATTATGATTCTTCAAGAGTCCGTCTAGCTCTCAGGAAGCACAAGCCTGGCTTTGGAGTTCTCAAAGATAGCATGATCACATTCTGGTTGTGCAAGCTGACACCGAAGCACAGAGTGTAAAGCACGTCTTTTTCACCTTTTGCATTCGATCTGTGTATAGTTTTCCACAGTTTAGTATAGATGCGCGATGTTTGAAGAGCGTGCGGACCTTAAAAATATTTGCATAAATGAACAATAAAAACTAGCAGACCAAGAAGCTAGGTTGAAGATGACACAACACCACTGACCATGTTTTCGATGTTGATTTGAATAGCATGGAAAAACTGTTGGGTAACCGTAGTTAAAGCGTAATTTGCAACTGGCCGACGAAACATCACCATTTTTGACTATGAACTTCTTTGTTTCACCGAGCACTTTGCCTCGTGCTTACGCCGAGCAAATTCTGACTTAGGACTGCTTAGTTTGCATGCTCACTAAATGCTCGATTAAATACAAGTTGGCATTGGGATTTTCACGCTCACGAACTTCGTGGTGAGCCTATCGCCAGAAAAGGCTATTAAATTGTACTTGTGAGGTAACAAATTCTTCCTTTTGCATGAAGGTAGCATTACCAAAGTATCAGCTTGCTTTCTTGAAAGTTGTTGGGTTGCTCTTGAGAGGGTTTTTTTGACCGAATGTCTGCAGTACTCTAGATCCCAACTTGACCGATCGACCTTCATCTCAAGGACAGGAGGATGTTCAAAGCCTTGGACGTTTGTTGATAAAGAGGATACGCACAACTGGTCAAGAATTCCAAAGTTAAGATACCACACTGCCAAAGTGCGGATTTTTGTTTGACTTGCGGGACGACCAGATGTAGACTTGTTGAGCTGAATATGCGCGTTCAAGCGTTCTTTTTGCACAAAGATAACCAATACGCCTGGATACCGTTTTGCGTCGCCATACCAAGTTTCGAATGCCTCTACGAGATGATGTATGTAGTCACTGAAGTAAAGCGTTGAATGCAGCGTTAGCTTGACAAGCTACACAAGCATACCATTTAAGAGCCCGAGACGTCTTTACTCCAGTACTTGCGCAGTTCAAACGTGCGCTTTTCGGTGAGTATACTATACTTTGCCTTCGAAGAGATTTTCATTCCAAAAAGCTGATAGGAGGCAAACCTTCTGCCATTGTGGTATTTCATTCATTTGCCGTAGGGTGGTTCAAGACCAAAGTTTTTTGCACGGTGCTTATTCTGGGTCAGCCCTCGGAAATATATTGTGTATCCAGTTGAGCAGGAATGGTGCTGAGTACCAACATAGTAGACGCTGTAGGGACTTGGTGTCGACGCCCAATACTCTTTTTTGATTCATACTGTGTGGAGCGCTTTATCTAAGAGGTAGAATCTTTTAAAACAAAATGCAACCCCCAACTCTGGTAGGCTTGCGATAATCCTAAGGTAAATCAAGTAAGCGGGTGGCTCTATTAATTATGTTGGTCCATAGCCAATCTTTCTTGTGCGCCGATTTTTCTTGAAATAATAAGATACTATTGATGTACGCAGACGTGCCGCTGATTGCCGAGCGCCGCTGATTTCAACGAAGTGTAGTCCCAAGAAAGCGTACTCCCAAAGACGCGGGGAAAGGAAAGGTGATGCTGCCGCCTGATCATCTCTCTCGAGATGTTGAATTGTTCCAAACAAAAGGTGTGGAGCCAGCGCTTTACCTGCGTAACCTTTCATTCACACATTTCAAGCCTTTCAAGTGGGTTCCATCATACCTTGCGATCAAGAATCTCTGTATTTCAAGCGTTCCACACCTAAAAAGCTTCAAATTGCATCGTTGGAGCTGCCTGAAAGACCCGACTATTGATGAGTGCCATGAATACTCAAGAGATGCATTTGATGTGAGAGTCACCGTCGTTGGCCATGCTGTTCATGATTTTACGATACCTAGTCTTTCTTGTCCCAGAACTTTCTAGAATTTCATCATCACTTTGACCCAATGGGCCTTATTAGCCTTTATAATGAGCAAAAAAATTTTATATTGCAGTGATGAAAGTAGCTCATACGTCTAAAATCGTCAGTACATTGAGAGATCTGATACATCAAGAAGACTTTCACAATGAGTACACCATTTGGTTTAGATTTAGGTAACAACAACACTGTTTTGGCTGTGGCCAGAAACAGAGGTATCGACATTGTCGTCAATGAAGTGTCCAACCGTGCCACGCCATCTTTAGTTGGATTTGGCCAAAAGAACAGATTCTTGGGTGAGTCCGGAAAGAACAAGCAGACTTCAAACATTAAGAACACCGTTGAGAGTTTGAAGCGTATTGTCGGTATGGACTACGATGATGCTGACTTCGAGACCGAAAACAAATACTTCTACTCAAAATTAGTGAAGCTCGAAGACGGCAAGATCGGTGCACAGGTTAGACTCGGCGGCGAACAAGCTGTGTTCTCTGCCACGCAACTTGTGGCCATGTTCATCAACAAGGTCAAGAACACAGTCATCGACGAAACTAAGAGCAACATCACCGACGTTGCCATTGCCGTTCCAGCTTGGTACACCGAAGAACAGCGCTACGCTGTCGCAGATGCCGCCAGAATTGCTGGTCTCAATCCCGTCAGAGTTGTTAACGATGTCACTGCTGCCGCCGTCGCTTACGGTGTTTTCAAGAGTGAGATGCCTGAAGGCGAGCAGAAGCCCAGAATCGTGGCTTTCGTCGACATTGGTCACTCCTCATACACTTGTAGCATTGGTGCCTTCAAGAGAGGTGAAATGAAGATTTTGGGTACCGCGTACGACAAGCACTTCGGTGGTAGAGATTTCGACCGTGCCATCACAGAGCACTTCGCCGATGAGTTCAAGACTAAGTACAAGATTGACATTAGAGAAAACGCCAAAGCCTACAACAGAGTTATGGCCGGTGCAGAAAGATTAAAGAAAGTCCTGTCTGCTAACACATCTGCTCCTTTCTCCGTGGAGTCTGTGATGAATGACGTTGATGTCTCTTCTCAAATGAGCCGTGAAGAACTAGAAAGCTTGGTTCAACCACTACTTGAGCGCGTCACAGAGCCAGTGACCAGAGCTTTGGCTCAAGCCCAATTGAAGGCCGAAGATGTCGATTTCGTTGAAATCATCGGTGGTACCACACGTATTCCTGTCTTGAAGAATGCCATTTCTGAGTCTTTCGGCAAGCCTTTGTCTACTACTTTGAACCAAGATGAAGCTATTGCTATGGGTGCCGCCTTTATCTGTGCCATCCACTCCCCAACAATGAGAGTTCGTCCTTTCAAGTTCGAAGACGTCCACCCATACTCAGTCTCCTACTACTGGGACCAACAAGAAGAGGATGAAGACCATTTGGAAGTTTTCACAGCTGGATCCCAATTCCCATCTACTAAGATGATTACTCTACATCGTACTGGCGATTTCACCATGGAGGCTAAATACACTGATCCAAAGCAGTTGCCATCTGGTGTCCGTACTCAAATCGCCAAGTGGAACATCACTGGGGTTCAAGTTCCAAGCGGTCAAACTTCCGTCCCTGTTAAGCTAAAACTAAGATGTGACCCATCTGGTTTGCACATCATTGAGAGCGCCTACTCTGTCGAAGACATCGAAGTTGAGGAGGAGGTCCCACGTGCTGCTGATGCTCCAGAAGACGCTGAACCTGAATACAAGAAGGTAACTAAGACCGTCAAGAAGGATGACCTTACAGTGACTGCCCACACTTTTGCTCTGCCAGCTGACAAGTTGAACGTTCTAATTGAAAAGGAAAATGAACTCTTTGCTCAAGATAAACTGGTTGCTGAGACTGAAGATCGTAAGAACGCTCTAGAGGAATACATCTACACCTTGCGTGGTAAGCTAGACGAAGAATACGCAGACTTTGCTTCGGATGCTGAAAAAACTAAATTGCAGGACATGTTGGCTAAGGCTGAGAACTGGCTCTACGATGACGGTTATGACTCTACCAAGGCTAGATACATTGCCAAGTACGAAGAACTAGCTTCTTTGGGTAACATGATAAGAGGAAGATACCTAGCTAAGGAAGAAGAAAGAAGACAAGGTCTAAGACAAAAACAAGAAGCTGAAAAGATGGCTGAAATGGCCGAAAAGATGGCCGCTCAAAGAAAGACGGAGGCTGAGAAACAAGAAGTCAAACCTGACGCCGAGGGTGATATCGATTTGGATTAAACTCCTTGGAATTTGGACGGCTTGCGTGCATGTACGTTGGTAGATAATGATAAATATTATAACTTTTAGAATTGCGAATAAAGCAAAACTACTATCCATTAAGTAGAAGTGGAGGATGGTCTTTTTACTCTTTATACTTCGTCCTATCAGTTAAAGGATGAATTATTGTGTCAGCTTTTGGGCACCATGCATGAAAGCTTGCTGGCGCCGCCTAATAAAAGTCATTTTGAATATATTAAATATTGAATTTCCCATATATATGCCACTATCTAAAGTTCAGATGTCTTATCTTTATCTGCCATGCGAGCCTGCTTCTTCTTGGCCTCAAATTCGGCAAATACCCTGATGAACACAGGTACGTCATCCCAACCTTCGTCGTTATCAGGTTGTGCTTTTTGGGTTTCCGAAACCGCAGCTTTCTCACTTTGATGTCTCCTCTTGGCTCTGATAACGCTCTGTGGTAGTCTGCTTTCTCTTGGTGGAAACAAGGCTGCGGTTCCTCTGCTCTTCTGTTTGTCCAATTGAATCTTCAAAGTCTTAAAAGTAACCGGGATATTATGCAAATCCAAGGAATTTAGTGGTGGATCGAAATCTGGCGGCCATATCTCGTCGGTTCCTTTAAGTTTATGTGCAGCTTGCTTTCTTTTATCTTTCCACTCCCTCAAATCATCATTGTAGATTTCCCACACGCAGTTAACACATCCGGACATGCAGCAGTTATCCGGTTCCGACGGCTTCTCAGGTACGGATATCCCACTTATGTACCTAGCATCACCTCTCACAATACGACTGCTAGATCTAGGCGGATCTCCTTTGACTCTACCACCGAATACATTTGTCATTCTCTCTTCTTCAGTGCCTAAACTTTCATTAACATTGCCCTCGAAAGTCATCGCTAGCTTCCGGCTCGTTTGGAAACCTCGCTGTGCTGCATTTTTCAATGCAGCTCTTGTTATCATATAGTAGGTTTCAGAGCTCGAAGACAATAAATTTTGTCCCAAAAGCCCATTTAGTTTTTATAGTTACATTACGATAAAAGTATTTTAATTGCACCAATGTCAGATACACATTAATTTAATTAGCTTTGGCGTAAAACCCGGAAAGAACTTCTTGTCCAAGACTTGCTTCTAGTATAGCAGTTCAAGGAATCTTTTGCGCCCTTGATATCCCAGTCGGTATCACAATAGATCCATTCATGAGGAATCCAGCTATCATCCAACCAAAACCAGTCTCTTTCAATCGTTTCTTGAAATTCCCACGGAGACGTGCTTGCAACCCAATCTTGACCTTCCTCATTGTTTGTAGTGAATTTGGTTCTTTCGTAACTTAATAAGTTGTGCGTCCAGCCGTCCAGCGGCCATTTGCGTTGATTCTCATTGATTTGATATTCGATAATCATGACGGTAATTGGGAGGTAGCCTGGGGGCCTATCTGGCTGGGGAGCTTTCTCGATTTGTTGTTCGGTTCGAATAAAAGCTCTCAGCTTTACCGCAAGCTGTGGCTCGGGCAAGCTTGCCAAATCTTCTGGTACGTTTATCTCAAGCGCAGGATGAACTATGTTATAACAAATATCCGTACTGGGGTGTGGACGAACTTGCCATCTGCAGATCATATGCCATAGTTGTCGAGCAAATAAGCTTCTCCATATTAAGCGCAACGTACACTGGCACCAGCTTGAGTGAAAGGTAGCGATTGAAATGAGCAAAAACGTAACATAATCTTTAGGGGATATCACGTATCTTGCCATAAACCAGTAAATGGGCGTCAAAACTATCAGTAAGGATGGGATTTGACCTCGTTGAAGTTTGAAGACTTCAGCTACGTCCTCTCGCATTCTTTCGATCTTGTAAGCGACATTTTCCATCATCACCACAATGTCATCCAGCGTAGGTGGCTCGTCTTGTTTCAGCTCTCGTAATACGCTTGAAATGTAATATGTTACTGAAAGTACCAGAAATACAAGGCTTAAAAGACCGAGCCAAGTATCGACCACGGTTTTTAGAAGCGATGTTTCCTTTTCTGAAACACTGCCCAGATTCACCGCCATCTTCATGAGTGCTAGATAAATGAAGGGTAGACAAACATCGTCACAGCACCACATCAAGTTATTGAGAAACCCATCGAAAATCAACAGAAACGGATACAATCGATGCAAAGTCCATGAAATCTGTGGAGCTGTTGTAAACGTCAAAGCAGTTTTCTGGCCTTGTTTCTGCACCAACTTTGCGTAGAAATTGGCACCCTTCTCTGACATTATTGAACAATGTCGAGTAACATTCAAGTGCGCCGTCCAAATCGACTACAAACGTTTTAATGGCCGTAGATTTATGAACGCTTCTTGAAATGCTGATGGGGTTGGAATATTTTGCGAACTTGTAAAATGACCTAAACAATGATATATTAAAGATTGCAAAGTTAGAAGAATAACTTGACAGCTTGAGCTTATAGTATCATGGTAGATGGAGCTGTTGTAACTAAGCATCCGTCTGTGAAGCTACTATCACACAAGCAGATAAAGACAACGATATATGTCAAATCTAAGACGCCCTATGTGTCGGCGTTGAAAAGGACAAACAAGTTCTTACGCCAGTTGAAAAGACACGGGGCCGAATATGTTACTATAATGGGCATGGGGAAGGCAGTGGAGAAAACGCTGGCAATTGGGTGTCACTTCCAGGAGGAAAAGGGCAAGAAAGTTATAGTCTCAACCCAGAGTGTTGATGTTCTAGATGAGATTGCTCAAGAGAGCGCTTATGAAAGTTTAGAGGATGTCGAAGAGGAAGATATGGAAACTACGCTACGAAAAAGGACAACTAGTGGTGTGATAGTACGAATCTATCCCTAAGGCAGGTCGCCAAGACCAATAAAAGTTTATAGACCTGATTATATTAATGTTACAAATGGAGGCGTAATGAGTGTATGGAATGTTGGGCAGAATCTTTCACTTACTAGATGCTAGATTTACAGCGCTGAAGCATGTGTGCTAACTCTTGGATTTCTTTCTCAAGTTTTTTGCGGTTCTCTAAAACGTCGAATCGACTTATCAGAACCTGGCACAGCTGGGCGCATTCTTCATAGCTTTTTCTATAATAAAGCAAATGGCAATGGCTTGTCAGCTTTTGCCGGGTTTGTTTCAATTTGATATCGAAATCTGGATCGCTATCCAGTCGAGGCAGTGGACCTTCTTTGGTCATCCAACCCTCGGGAGTGCACACAGGGCCCTTCTCGACTTCGAAAAAATGCTCTCTTTGACTCTCGTATTCTTCGGTACTTTGGCCCTTGCGGATTTTGGTTTTGCCTGTGGATTTTCGCACCATCACTTCACCAGTGGTAGAATCCAGTGAAATGGGCTTTGTAACAGCTTGATTTGGTCTTCCACAAGTATTTGGCGCACTTGCACCATTTTCAACTGCTGTTGGAGCTGTTATTTGGAGTTTCTGGAGTTCTTTACCTATCATTTCGGAAAGTACGATGCTCAATTTCTTGAACATCTACGAAGCGATGAGCTACCGGAACTGATACTTTTTCAAGGCCATGAGGAAAATATTAAAACAGCGAGATTAAAAGCTTGCACCTTGTTCAATCGATAAGTTACCGTCAAAGCAGGCTCTCCTCAACGATAAGTAGTTCTGGGCTTTCCTTGAGCTTAATGACGGTCCTTCTCTGCCTCGTTTGATAAATAAATCTCAATATACATGTCACATAGTGTACACAAGTTAGTTCAATCAGTTAGCACCTAAATGTACTCTAGGCTTGAGCAATCATATTGACAACTACCTCTCCTTCTCTATAGTGTGTCTCTACCAGATCCATCTCAGGACGATCTTCATCGCCAAGTTCGTGAATTAGTACAGAAAAATCGAGGTATGCTAGGTCACCTATAACTATCATCGGTGCATGCCATACACCGGCCCCATAAGTGACGGCTTGTGACCCTTTACACGTAAATGCTTTCAAAGTCGACAAATCTGGTCCCCCTTGATTGTCGGGCAAAGCTACAACCACAAGATAAGCCAGGTTGTCTGCACAGCGGCCCATTGGAACAAAGGTTTGAGAGCTGAAAGGATGCTTTTCAAGCACTTTAATGCTGTGTTCTATGATCTCGCCAGTGGAACTCTCATAAATGTTTCTTTTGAGATGTGGTTGAGGAAATGAACGAAACATGTTCCAATGGGGGGCCTTCACGCCGCAATGCTCTGGAAACAAATTTTGGCTCCGACTTACTTTCACGATCTTAATGGCGGTACCTTGATTGGCACCTTTTGTTTTCTCCGTAAGACGTGAAACTTCCTCATCTGGTGATATAATCGAACCATAGTTTCTGAACTTAGCAATGCCTATGGGCTCAGCAACAATATGGATCATTAGTCGATTGTTTACTGATCGCCCAGAAAATAGTTAGGCCATGAGAAAACCTATTAGTCTTTAACACTTTTAATCTTGATCCGGAGCTCGCCGATGTAAAAGACATAATAAACTAAGTACGCAATGAGCTCAAAACACAGCGAGTCGCCGGCGAAGATAGTACCAATAAATGTTTCACAGTATCCACAAAAGGACGAAAACACAGTGAAGCTGACTTGACATGCCAAATAATGGTCAATGAGTGCTTAGTTGAGCTCTGTAAATATTGGTAGAATGAATTAAATTTTAAGTAGTTGAAAAACGTTATCAGAGCAGGAAGGAGGACCCTTCGCAGCAGCTCCGAAATGAAAATCATCTTCGTGAACAAAATTTGCGCATACTCCTAACTCGAGCAGGTGTGTAGAGGTTGCGGCAGCATTTTACCTGGTGATTTCATTTCACCGTAGATCATTTTCTTCATTCGGTATAACGAAGCGTCAAATTTGAAAACTAGACCAAGCATCAGCATCTAACAAAAATATCTGGGCGGTACGACTTCGTCATGGCAGAACTAAACCAAGTTGAGGTATGGAAACGAACCAAAACAATTGGTATTATCGGACTGGGCGATATGGGCCAGATGTATGCCGAAAAGTTCTCAGAAAGCGGATGGACAGTTGTTTGTTGTGACAGGGAAGAAAGATATGAGGAATTATTGGAGTGCTCTCAAAATAAGAAGTACACTATACTGAAAAATGGGCACCATGTGTCCAGAATTAGTGACTACATCATATACAGTGTTGAGGCTGAAATAATTGATAAAATCATTGGACTGTACAGCCCATCCACCAAGGTTGGGAGTGTGGTAGGCGGGCAAACCAGTTGCAAAAGCCCAGAAATTAAAGCTCTTGAGAAGCATTTGCCACCAGATGCTGACATTGTATCAGTACACTCTCTGCATGGGCCAGGAGTCGATCCAGAGGGGCAACCCTTGGTCCTTATAAAACATAGGTGCCACAATGACAAGTCCTTCCCATTTGTAGAAGCAGTGATGTCGTCCCTCAAAAGCAAGCATGTATACCTAACGTACGAAGAGCACGATAAAATTACCGCAGATACTCAAGCAGTAACTCATGCAGCATTTCTGAGCATGGGGGTTGCGTGGTACAAAATACAATTATATCCCTGGACTATTGGAGTCAATAGATGGTTTGGTGGATTTGAGAACGTCAAAGTAAACATCTCTCTCCGCATCTATTCTAATAAATGGCACGTCTATGCGGGATTGGCTATCACAAATCCAGCGGCTCATCAGCAAATAATGCAGTATGCTAAAAGTGCGACTGAGCTTTTTACACTTTTTGCTCAAAATAAGAAGGAAGAGTTAACTCAGAGATTGTATGCGGCAAAAGAATTTGTGTTCGGTAAGCAGGAGGGCTTGTTACTGTTAGATGACTCAATTCTTGAGAAATATTCTTTAAGTCAGCATGTGCCGCAAGAAGGTGAAGAGACCCTTCCCAATTCGCATTTGTCTTTGTTAGCCATTGTTGACAGCTGGCATCAATTGAAGATAAACCCATACGACCACATAATCTGTTCGACACCACTGTTCAGGATTTTTCTGGGTGTTACAGAATATCTCTTCATGACTCCAGATCTGCTCGATAAAACGATAGATGCTGCTATTAACTGTGACGCTTTTAGGGCCGACGATCTTGAGTTTGTGATTGCAGCCAGGTCTTGGAGCTCCATTGTGTCTTTTGAGAGTTATGATCTTTACAGGCGCCAATTTGAAGAGGTTCAAGAATTCTTCAAGCCCATGCTTCCAGAGGCCAACGTTATCGGTAACGAAATGATAAAAACCATCTTGCGTCATGTCGATCAGAAGAAAGCATAGTAAAACCAAGCTTGGATATACCTATTAGTTACTTAGCTCAATGATATAAATCGTCACAGACATACCTGCTAATGATCAGTCAAAGTACCCAAACCCGTCTCAAAATACTAGAGCTAATTTGTTGTAAACTTACGTATTATAATCTATATAATCCGCCGTGCAATGCCAACGTTGGTATCGCACCTACACTATTTTCTTCTCTTTCTATGCAATTCGGTATGGTCGTTGTAATCAGTGTCATTATGAGTTGCCAACATTCCACCGTTTCCCGCTTTCCGTCTTTTAGTGTCTTTTCCTTGGTCATCATTATCGCATGCTATGGTATTACTCAAGGGCGATAAATCCTTGATCTTAAAATTTGGGATTTTTGAAACTTCTCGTCTGTTATTAGTGTTCGATTCATTCCATTGCTCCACTAGAGCTATATCTTCTGGCTGGAGAATAAAGCTGGCATGTAACTCAGGGAAATGCACTTTGAAGTCTTTGATCATAACTCTATTCCAGGAAAGCATGTACCTGAGGTCTCCCAAATTTGCAGTATGATTCAGCATCCAATAAATATGATCCAGAAAACCAGGAAGACCTTGACTTAGCAATATGGGGGCCAAGTGCGTCAGATTTACGTTCTTGTTTGCTGGAAAGCATCCATTGGGCGTAAAACATCGCATCACAATCATCGGTTCGGTATCTGAGCCGCCAAAAAAATACACGCCATAGATCTCCACTACCTCAGATGTTAACACGAAGTTCCAGAGATGTAGATTCGAATCTTGAGGTCGAACGTTGTACTTGCCATGTCCTTGATGCCAAAGTCGTTTCCAGTCTCTCAAAAGTCTTCTGGTAACTGGCGAGATCATGATACTATGCTTCTACTTAATCTTGATGCTCTTATCTAGCGGGCCGGGTTTAGGTGCGCTGCTATGACCAAATGTGTGAGCTGTTGTTCCCTTTTCTAGGATTTCGCCTTCAATTATATATCCTAAGCTAGTGTGTTAAAACTTGGTTTTTTTTTTCACAGTACTCATTAATTAATGGGTCAGAACAAAAGCATAGATAACATATTGTCCGATTACTGAGCGCCGCATCCACTAACATTGAGCCTTGTAACATTGAATAAAGCTAACTTATATGGTTTTCTGAAAACTGCCAAACAAGAAATGTGGACAGATGAGCACTTTTTTTTATGACAATTGATTGTTCGTATCGTTGAGACACAGTACTGAACCGTATCGGCGTTGGTGGAAATGAGATGCAATTTTCAGAGGAAATGATCTCAAGTTGTCTATTCTAAGAATTGCGACCTGCGTAACAAAGTTAGCAAGCTTTTAATACTTTGGAAGGAAATCGCTCCGGAAACGGGCACAAGATCGAAAGAGGGATAATTTCATGCAGAGCTTCGGTCGTGGAATTGATGAAAGGCGGAATACGGTTTGCAAATAAACCTGTAACTACTTCCTGGACCTTAGGCTTGGTTTGTAGCATTCTAAATAGCTTTACACGCAAAGCGCACGGAACAAGGTGATTTGACTTCATAAGCCTTTGTTCATAGTTCAAGCGCTTTTTCCCTATTCTGTTCAGGTACTGAGCGGGGCGTTTATATAGTTGCGTCTATTTTCTAATTTATAGCTGTGTTCTCAATTTGAACTTCTCCCAGCATACTCTGAAACAACGCTCTGCTGAATCAACGGTCGCCACCACTATATGGCAAGGCAACCAAAATTAATTAAGTACTACTTCAGGCACCTTGAATTAAAAACTTGTGAAGACGTTATGATGATCTCAAAATCAGGTATATCAATAAAGTGCAGGTTTGTTGAGTTATGAGGAACCAAAACACTTAACTAAGTCACTACGTTTTCTTTGAAGGCATGAACTTTGTAGCCTCGGAAACTACAAGTAAAGATATTATGAGAGTTTCAGGAAGTCTACAGCCTTATGGGGGAACGTCTCTGCTACCACATATCTGCCATTCGCATATCGCCTTTATCACTTTCTACTATTCTGGCATCTCCGTAGTGGATCGTTTATTGACCCAACTAAAACAGCGAAGTCAAAGCTGTGTGTTCTAGGTTGGGAACTCCTTAAGATCAGAGAGAAAGAAGCTTTCATTGAATCTTCGCACGATTTTTAAACTCTTTCTTATTGTCCGACATACATCATTGTTCTCTGGCAGATCTAGCCATTTTTTAGTATTGTTCATTAATTTTAACTGATTATATGAACCAAATGCTTACTAACACCACAAGTCACCAATTTCTACTTGGTATATAACCTGCTTTGAAACCATTAACTTTCTCCAATCACAATAATAGGACAAGTGGTGTGTCGTGCTCCTTCAAAAACTGCGCTAAGTAGCAGACAGAATAATAATACATCACGTCTTAGAGTGACTTGAAATTCATCTTTCTCAGCTTTTCTTAGATACTTTTTAATGATATTTGTACCAAGCCGAATTGTATTGTTCCATTTTCAAGAGGAATTGAAAATCGAATTTAATTATATATAACAAATCATCAATAGATCACTAATTGTAAGCACATTTAGCAACGCTCCTCTTAACATAGTCCCATCTAAGCACTATGGGAAACTTCTTCAGCTCAATGTTTGACCGACTATGGGGTGTCAACAAGGAGATGCGTATTTTGATCTTGGGATTGGACGGAGCTGGTAAGACTACCATTTTATATCGGTTACAGATAGGGGAGGTGGTAACGACGAAACCCACGATTGGATTCAACGTCGAAACACTAGTATACAAAAACTTAAAGCTTAACGTGTGGGATCTGGGCGGGCAGACCAGTATCAGGCCGTATTGGCGATGCTACTACTCTAACACAGCGGCGGTCATTTTCGTAGTCGACTCTACGGATAAAGACCGGATGTTAACAGCGTCCAAAGAATTACACATGATGCTACAAGAGGAAGAGTTACAGGACGCCGCGTTGCTGGTCTTCGCCAACAAACAGGATCAACCGGGCGCCTTAAGTGCGTCCGAAGTGTCAAAGCAGCTCAGTCTGGTGGAGCTTAAAGACCGTAGCTGGAGCATCGTGGCCTCAAGCGCTATCAAGGGCGAAGGTATTTCCGAAGGCCTCGATTGGCTTATCGATGTAGTTCGAGAGGAACAGTTGTAAATAGCATTAATACATCGGAACACGAACAAAAGTTCGCCACATAGTATCGAATAAGTTACAAGAGTGACACAGTCCTTTTTACATACATTTTTCACACGGCGAGAAATGACCTGTCAACCGTTAGAGGCTTAAGAAGAACACAGGGTGGGCCAGGTCATTACCATATTTTGCAAGAGCTCTTCTTCCATGCAGCTGTTGCGCAAATACTAATTTTTTCAGCTTTCTCTACTAGCGAGAAAGTATCGAACATACCTCATATGGCCGCTTTTGGCTCATCCCGCACAGCTTTCACCAGAATAAGCGTCTTTGGAATAACAGCACAAAAAGTTGTTAGTCCAAAGTGATGAGTCTCAAAGGTCTGCGCTTCTTGATGAGAACACCGAGGAAACGAGCTTCTGGGGGTACTTGTTTTCCAATCCTCTCGTTACCATCCACGATCTGAATGTCGAAAAAGTGACTCAAAAATTTTGGGTATTCGCACCACACCCGCTATTTTCGATGCAAATTATTAGAATAATGAGTGGTGTCCTATATTGTCAATCGTAGTAATAGTATCGCCCAGCGTTCCTGGGATTTCTACGACATGTGGCGACTGTCTATATTCATTCTTAGCTTGGAGGAAATTCGTAGTCACAAGGGCATTTTGACAACAGTGATAGCAACTTCAGCGCTACCAGATATGGTTTTCGCCTTCTTGATTCCTCGTGAGCTGATTACTATTCCAAACCACCATGCTGTTGTGCTGCTGGAAGCATTCGTCTCTTATTCAGGTTGACTTCAGAGCATGGTATACGAATAACGTAAAAGGTGATCTATCTGTTTCCCCAAGAGCTCTAGCAAAAGGCAAAGCAAGAACCCTAGACAAAGAGACCACTCTTAGTAGATCGAATAGCCCATTATGCAGCGCCTTTTTCGTTTGAATGGTGGCTGGACATTTTTCAAGCGTGGTGGTTTTGGCAATCCTATTAGGTCTAGCTTTCGGTCGCCCGCACAGACGCTAATATGGCCATCATTTCTAATAGCAGCCACAAGCACGTACTATAGACCTCAACTGCGCAATGAGACACTCCAGCCAGATCCCTCGGGAGATACGTTTGAGATGGGTCTTTACAAGGCATCGCAGAATGAATTAGCGCGCCACGTTCTCGAAAAACGCTCGAGGCAGCTAGCACATTGTCGATCCAAGATTACGCGCTGGCTCTCTCGAGTCTGGTTTCAATTCAAGGATAAAGTACTAGAGCCAGTACTAACTACATGGAGATTCGTGGAACTGTCAATTCTCTTTTTTCCCGTGCTTCTAATGTACCCAATAATGTATTTTGGCCATAAAGTAAAGATTTCGAATTCCGCAAAGAGCGTCAACACAACTTATGGAGCGCTTCTTTGGTACCGGCTTCTAAGGCACGTTCTAGAGCTTGCAGGTCCCAGTTTTATAAAATTGGGACAATGGGCGGGATCCAGGACCGATATTTTCTCAGAAGGCTTGTGCGCAGAACTGGGAAACTTACACAGTAATGCCAAGAAACACTCTCTTAAGTACACAAAAAGTCAATTGTCTGAAGCACTCGGCATCACTGACCTAAGCGAAGTATTTGATGAGTTCAAAGAAAAACCTTTGGGTGTAGGTGCCATTGCCCAAGTGTATGTTGGTCAAATGTCTACCAAGTTCGTTGAAGACCGCAAATTAGAGTTAGATGCAGAAGAAAATAGATGGTGCGCGGTGAAAATCATTCATCCACACGCAGCGCGAAAGATCAGCCGCGATTTAAAAATCATGAAGTTTTTTGCAGAAACGATTGATATGATACCGACAATGGAGTGGCTTTCTTTGCCGAACGAAGTTGAGCAGTTTTCCATTTTAATGCGGCTTCAATTGGATTTGAGAATAGAGTGCCTCAACTTGGCGAGGTTCAACGATAATTTCAAGGACTCGTTTCAAGTTAAGTTCCCCAAAGGATTTCAAGAACTGACCAGTCGACAAGTTCTATTTGAGGAATATATCTATGGATTTCCTATGGAAGAGTTCTTGCGGGCCAAGGATGACCTAAAGGATCCAAATTTGAGCAAGAAAGTGAGTGATCCCTTCATTGACGCCTTTTTAAAAATGCTGATATTAGACGATTTCATTCACGCAGATTTGCATCCCGGTAATGTCATGGTGCGCTTTCTGAAAACCGACAAGTACGGTTCGAAATCTGTTTCCACGGAACAAGACTGCTACGAATTGGTAAACCGCTTGAAGGTTAAACTAAAAACTAACGATGACTCGTTTGTGCAAGAGTTGCAAGACATAGTTACTCAGTACACACCCCAAATTTGTTTCATTGATGTGGGCCTTATTACAGAACTTAATAAACGGAATCGGACTAACTTTATTGCCCTGTTCGATTCCTTAGCCAGATTTGACGGCTACCGTGCCGGAGAGCTTATGATCGAAAGATCGAGAACACCTGAAACTGCCGTTGACAAGGAGGTCTTCGCTCTCAAGGTAGAAAAACTGGTCAGTAAAGTCAAAAAGCGCACTTTCACCTTAGGAACAGTCTCGATTGGTGATCTTCTGGATCAGATGCTCGGCATGGTACGAGGCCATCACGTGCGCATGGAGGGCGACTTCGTCTCTGTTGTGGTTGCCATTTTACTTCTAGAGGGAATTGGAAGACAACTAGACCCAGATCTGGATCTATTTGCAAGGTTCGTATTTTTTGCAATGGTTTATGGTTTTGACAAGGATTTACTAACACCCCATTAAAACAGCTCGCTGCCTATCCTAAGAGAGTTTGGTATGAAACGCGAGGGAAGAAGCATTTTACAAGACGTCGACACACTTTCCATGTGGAAAATATGGCTAGGATTAGAGCTTCGTCAATTTATGAATTTATCTGTCAAGCAGGTATGTCAAACACCAAGTGCGATTTTTTTTTCTACATTGATCACTTACTAACTCTACCAGATGCACGACTTAGTCAAGACAGACCAGCTCTGTCCAAACTATTAACCTACTGAGTCTTCTGCAAGGGAATGCATTTTCGTGCATTGGCACTTCGGACTGGGTCGCTGGGTGCACTTCGCGTGTAACCGTTATTGTTTCATCTTTACCGAGGACATTCACGACCGAAGTTTACAATTTGGGTTTTCTTGCCAAAGTATTAAAGTAAGCACGATGATGTCCCAATCACACGTGTTTAATGAACATTTCGCCAAGAGCTTTATATAAATATGACTAAATTTAGGGATCTTGTGGCATCTAGTAGGTTTACGTTCCAGTGAACCAAGGAGAGCTGTGTGCACTACAAATAGCTTTTCATGAAGTTTGGTAAAACTTTCCCAAACCATCAAGTGCCAGAATGGTCACATCAATATGTAAATTACAAGAATCTAAAGAAGCTTATCAAAGAAATCACGTACGTCCAGGAAGAGCTTCACAAACAACAACATGGCGAACCAACTGAAAATACAGCTCCATTAAGGGCCAGGAGCAGCGCCAATCTGGAAGAGAATTATTTTGAAGCAACGGAAGTGAGCAAACGGCTTGCCACCTTCTTTTTCGCTATCGATAGAGACATCGAAAAGGTTAACGAGTTCTATAATACACAATTTTTGGAGTATGATCGCAGGCTGAGACGTCTTCTATCGTCCGTGCAACTGACTGGTATAAATGGTGCAGCAAGAACAGAGCTAGAAATGTCTGGCCAACATCCTGGAACGGCGCCTTTCACATCGGATATCGCTGAGGATTACACCGAAATATTGGGCATATTGGTGGAGCTTCGGTCAGATTTCCGCAACTTGAAATGGTACGCCGAGCTCAACAAGCGTGCTTTCACTAAAATTTTGAAGAAGCTAGACAAAAAAGTGGGTACCAAGCACCAACAGCCATACTTGCAACACCATATCTTGCCCCTCGGAATCTCAAACGACGCAGAAATCTCGAAAGAGCTAAATATAATCAATGACACTCTCGATAAGATTTCTCCCCCTCTTGCAAATATGAAGGATGCAAATTGTCAAGAATCAGGAAATACAGATTCGCAATTGGCCTCCAAGGACGTTTCGCCGCCTATAAATGTTGTTGCGCAATTGATTGAAAAGGATGATGGCAAGAGCTTGATTAACGAACTCGTTTCGATGTACCGCTCTATTGTTTTTATTCCTAAAAGAACGCTGATCGCCTTGTTAAACAAAGCTGCTTTGTCTCAATCTTTCACATGTATTGACGAGATTTTAGAGATAATTCCAGCTCTAGGCGATCACTCCGATATCAGTAGTCGTAACTTCTTTCACCATCATGTTATTGCCTTAGGGAAATGTTGCAAGCAAGGGAAACCCGAACACTTGCCCAAAGGTGGATCATCTGAAAGCGGTGATAAAGACCTTAGTGATGAGATCACTTTGGATGAACTGTTGAATGTCGAGCCTGCTACTTTGCCCGATCAAACCTCTAGGTTAGTAGGCGCTTATGGGCCGGATGGAGTTAATTCGAACGACTCCCCAGTGTCGCTACTTTACATCCTCAACCGTCTACCACCACACCTAAGATCAAGTCTTTTACAAAGAGACACATACAAGAGAACACCACTTCATTATGCAGCTCAGTTTGGTTTGTTTGAAGTCTCGAAGCTAATCATCGAAAGCTTGTCAGCTTGGGGTGCTTGGGATCCCGCTGTATCGATAGATGAAAAGGAAGTCTGGGGGGACGGTGAAGGATTTACTCCTTTGCACTTGGCTGTCATTGGGCTTCATCCACGAACTGTTAAATCTTTAACAAGCTACGGAAATAATTCAACAACTATTCAATCTCCACGACTGCTACATCTGGCAACAAAATTGAATTCGCCGGAACTGTTAAAGTCTCTTCTGAGCATAAACGGGTTTTCCATTAATTATGTGGAGCCCGAAACTCGTGAGACTGCGCTCTACGTTGCAGCAAAACTTAACTTAGGTAAGGCGGCAGAGTTTTTGTTACAAATGGGCGCTGATACAGAAATTAGTGAACGTAACTTCGGATGGACACCAGTATTTGTGGCAGCAACTGAAGGGTTTTACAACATAGCTAAATTGCTTGCTGAGCACGGTGCCGACTATGGTAAGTTCGATGACAGTGGATGGACACCAATGGAACATGCAGTGCTAAGAGGTCACTTGAATGTTGCTGGCCTCTTATCTGTCGATGATCCAGTGGTTATTAGGCCGAAGCTATCAAGTAAATTCCAGGGGGGAGAAGACTTAGAGGCTGACAAAAGATCTACAAGAATGCCACGTCTAAAATCTTCGGAATCTATACCACAGTTTTACAGCCAACCGGCAGGATCGGAGAGTTTTATATCGGGCGGGTCGGATGTCAACATCAAGAATACCAGCAAGCATAATCTTCTCAAGTATTCTGTTAATGGTAGCTCTAAGAGCTCTGGAGCCAAGTGCTCTCGAAGCTCACCACCATTGGTGAAATCTTTTGGTCATACTTACCTCCAAAAAGACCAATCAATTATTTTGGTTTCTTTGGGATCTAAAGACAATTCTGCCGCTGTGTCCTTTAACAAAGTACCGCTCTCTAAAGTCTCATCTACCGAATTAGATACTGCACTCTCTTTGGTCATTACATGCCCTGACGATCTAAACAGTTCTCCAGCGGTCCTAGATTTGCCCCTTGACGACAATTTAGAGTCTGTTCACTTCACTGTTCCATTCAAGGAAGATTCCTCTCACATGCTTTACTTCGATATCGTTCCAACCTATGGCTATCACGCAATGAAGATCATAAACTCTTCTCATGATTTAAATCCCAACTCCTCTTCTGAATCAGTGCATGACAACATTAGTCAAGGTCTTAATGATTCGAGGCAGACCGGCGCTCGACACTCTAAGATTTTGGGACGCGCTGTGGCTTTGCTTGATAGAGGTACCATGTCGGTTGGACCAAAGAGAATTTCATTGTCTGAAGCGAGAACCATTCCTATCATTGAAAGCGAAACTTTGGAAATTTTGGGCACTGTAAAGTATGAAACCATTATAGTCAAGCCATTCGTTCATCCAAACGTGTCGTTAGGACGAGGTGAGACTTATTGGAAATCTTTAGTATCCACAAGAGTTATAGGTCATAGAGGACTGGGCAAGAACATGAACACCAATAAATCATTGCAATTGGGAGAAAATACAGTAGAGTCTTTCATTGCGGCTGCGTCCTTGGGTGCTTCTTATATTGAGTTTGACGTGCAGTTGACGAAGGATAACGTGCCAGTGATATATCACGACTTCTTGGTCGCGGAGTCTGGTGTAGATATTCCAATGCATGAACTAACTTTAGAACAGTTTTTGGATTTGAATAATGCTGATAGACATCGCAAAACGCTCGATGTTGATTTTAATGGTCGCTCCATGGATGACACAGATGCAGCATTTATACAGAGGGCATTCAATGTGAGGGGTGAAGGTGGGCCTGGCATTGATAAGCTCGCATCTGATAAGAAGACGCCATTGGCTAAGATCTTTGAAGATAGAATGCGTCTCACCAGAACCTACAAGAAAAACAACTTCAAAGGGAACGCTCGGGGTCATTCTATTGCAAGTTCATTTGTTACTTTGAAGGATCTCTTCAAAAAAATTCCTTCCAACGTTGGTTTCAATGTCGAGTGTAAGTATCCCATGCTGGATGAGGCCATTGAGGATGACATAGGCCACATATCTGTTGAACTCAATCACTGGTGTGACACCGTATTGAACGTGGTTTACGATAATGCGAATGGCCGGGATATCATATTCTCATCTTTCCACCCAGATATCTGCGTGATGTTATCACTAAAGCAGCCCTCGTTCCCAATTCTCTACCTGACGGAAGGTGGAGCCAAAAAAACGTTGGATGCTCGTGCATCGTCGTTACAAAACGCAATAAGATTTGCGCGTACCTGGGATCTATTGGGTATTGTATCGGCTGCAAAGCCGATCATAAAGGCCCCTCGGCTAGCACAGGTTATTAAATCTAATGGTTTGGTGTGTGTAACGTATGGTGTTGACAACAACGACCCGGAGATCGCGCAAATCGAAATGGATGCCGGTGTCGACGCCGTCATTGTTGATAGCGTCTTAGCAGTTCGCCGTGGGCTCACCAAGTCTGCCGACACGCCGGTCAAGGGATGAGGGAGGCGGTAGAAAGTACATCGTACCCTGGAGAAAGGAACTCAAAAAATGCCTTAAGTTTTACTATATAGCAAGCTAACACTAACAAATTCTAAAAGCACATGCATATTTCATTAGATCATCGTCACACTGATGCGCCGTCCCGTACTGCGGACGCCTTCTTGAGAATTGTCGATCCACGTTTCGACCTGTGTCATAGTCCGAGGCACCTGGGTTTTGGAGTTTCCTTGGAACGAATCGTGTGCGTGTGCCAATTCTTCTTCGATGTTTGAAGTTTGGAACAGTGCATTGACAGCAGCTGCCTCGCTGGCAGTCTCAAAAAAGATCTGCAGCGTCCTGGTGTTTTTGCTGTCGTTAACGTGATGGTACTGGTCTGGGAAGGGTTGCATATGGACTACAGAAGCATCGCCTGTCATTTCCCGGATGTAGCGCATCACAGAGCCTTCGCTGACATTTGCAGGTACGTTAGAGACTAAAATAGAGTGGCTCATTGGATTTTGTAGTTTTAAGAATGGCAAGCGGAGTAAAATATGGATGTAAGATATTCTAAACTGCTGCGATAGATGTGTACTAGGGCTGACACACTCTTTTTGCGAGCAATGGGGTCTCTATTTATACAAGAATTCGGGCCAATTATTTCTACGTGCTTCCTGTGATTCTTTCTTTGTACAACTACGTAATTCAGGGATTATACTGGCCTAGATATCTTTCATTCCATTAGTCCCCGTACTTACGCAACGTCTTGGCAAAAAAAAATACTTGAGCTTGAAGACCAGCACTTATCGATAAGACAATGAGATGAGCTGGGTGAAACTGAAAGTATTGTAGCTTGAAGCACCGATAAAGATCAAAAAATGTTCAGATGTGTTTGCAAACCTCCAGCATTTGACCGATGGGGAGGTTAACTGCGAAAACTTTACCCTTAGGGGTACTCACAGGGTTAGAAGAAAGGAACAAATCCACCACCAGTAGCATTTCGAAGGGAGGCTAGACTATCGGAGTCTGCCAGGTCAGTTTTTAGGGCTGCCCAAATTTTTTTGATGAGATTAGATCAATTTCTTGATAATTGATGAGTTTGCGCATGTTCTGAGACGCCAGTGTCAAGAAAATAGCAGACTTGATAATTGTTGTGCGTTTGGCATTTTGAGCTTATCGATGAACGGGAAATGAAAAGTGGAAGTTAGCAGGTGTATTCACAGAGGTATATGAAGGAACAAGCAATTCCTGGGTATTGGGGCAAGGACTTTAGAGAACAAGCAATTTGTGGTTCGGACTACAACTGTTTGAAATGTATCGGTACTGGAGAAAGAGAGAGGGAGAGAGGCGGGAAATTGGAGTGTGTGTGAGATAGCTCTGATGCCCTTAAGAAATGATGCTCATTTTGCCGGGCAGGTTGTGTTGTGAGTTTTATGTCACCGCCTCAATTTAGAGCGTGTGAAAGGTTCTAGCGTTTGAAATTAAGGGGGTAGAATTATTTTCAGCAAACGTATCGACCAAGACCTCGCCAACAAACAAATCTGCTACCGAACGCCATTCTGGCCCCCAGATACATGTCTGTCAGACGGACACCGCGGTTTTGTTTCTGCGGTTTCGAAGCACTCGTCGACAATGACTAGTATCATTTAAGAATCGGTCGCGAGTACTTTTCGTGCGAGGTTACTGCTGTACTCGCGGAGCGCCGGGTTCGTGACCAGTGCTGGTTCTTTCCCAGAGCCATTGACTTGGGTTTTGACAAACTAGACCCCCTCGATCTCTTGTAAATTAGGCAGCGTGAAAGCATAGTGTGCTCATTTGATGTGGTTGCGAAGCAATTTAAGTTGCCAAAGCTACTCGTATAGGGCAGTTGGGCCACTGTCAAGCATTCATTGCCTCATTTCCCAACTTGCGCTCACTCCTCCCAGCATTAAGCGGTTTTTTTCGCAACGACTCAACAATTGATGGAAGTCATAATTCGAGTCGGGTCCATTCACCGGTCCTAATCAGCGCCGAAGGCACGTCACTTTGGCAGCTTTTCCTACCTATCATAACGGCAAAGACCAAAGCGAGATACGCAGATTCCCCAAGACTAATGAAAGCACCGAATGCATGTTTTGGGTCCCTGTATCGAGCTGGGCGGCTATCCTTGTTCCCTTTCCAAATATCTGGCCACAAAAACGACAACTCGCGTTTGAGCCGGGTGACACATTCAACATCAGAGAGTGCGGGTAACGCAGATTTTAAGTGCTCCAAAACTCTTCTGTTTCTTCTCCGGTGACGTTGGTGGTGGTGCCCAACAAACACGCCAAATACGAAATGAGTTGGAAAAAAAAACCTGACCTGATTTTAGAGCAAGGGAAACTTTCCTTGAAATGATTTTAAGTCAACCAACAAATAGTTCGTTGCCTCAATCTACCAAAGTTTCGCATTTGGCCGGAGGTATATATTCGCAGTCGCCACAAAAAAGAACGAAGCCTAACAACTTCATTTAACGAGCGTCGCTACAGTTTCCAAGACCCTGTCGTTGTCTGCCGCCTTTTTGTTAGTTCTCGCCGCCAAACTACTTTTTACCAATGCAATACACCGTGGAAGTCGGCAAAGCTGCTAATGAGCACGAAACCGCGCCTAGAAGAAATTACAAAGCCAAAGACGGCGCTGTAAGCCGTCCTTTGCACTCCAAGGCCACCACCGTTTACGACTACATGTTGGAATGCGTGAAACGCGGAGGAAAGCGTAACGCGATGGGCTGGCGTAACATTGTCGAGGTGCACGAGGAGAAGAAGCAGGTCACCAAGAAGATCGACGGCAAGGAACAGCAGGTGGACAAGACTTGGCTCTACTACGAATTGTCCCCTTACCAATACTCTTCATACAACGAGCTCGAGGAGATCATGCATCAGTACGGTCGCGGTCTAGTGGCTATGGGTTTGAAGCCAGAAAATGTGGACCGGCTCCACATCTTCGCTGCTACGTCTCCCAAATGGATGAAGACATTTCTTGGCGCTCAGTCGCAAGCAATCCCCGTGGTCACCGCTTACGACACTTTGGGAGAGAAAGGGTTAATCCACTCTATGGTTCAAACTGGGACCAAAGCTGTGTTCACCGACAATGCTCTCTTACATCGTCTGATAACCCCGGTCACCAAAGCCACCGAGTTGAAATACATCATTCACGGCGACATTCTTGACTCTTCGGACAAACGTAATGGTGGGAAATTTTACAAGGACGCTCAATCTGCAATCGAAAAGATTCGTGAAGCTCGTCCAGACTTGAAGATCTACTCCATGGACGATATTATAGAAATGGGTAAAAAAGCGGAATCGAGTATTGACATCCACCCACCAAAACCTGAGGATCTATCCTGTATCATGTATACGTCAGGTTCGACCGGTGACCCTAAAGGTGTTGTTCTCAAACATTCCAATATTATAGCTGGTCTAGGTGGTATCTCTGTCGTTGTTGGTCGTGAAGACGTCGGAGAGAAAGATCGTGTCATTGCCTTCTTGCCTCTCGCCCATATCTTTGAATTGGCATTTGAACTCATTACCTTCTATTGGGGTGCCACGCTAGGATACGCGAATGTCAAGACGTTATCTGATGTTTCTGTCCGTAAAAGCCAAGGCGATATTAAAGAATTCAAGCCTACTATCATGGTTGGTGTTGCCGCCGTTTGGGAATCAATTCGTAAAGGTATCATGGGCCAAGTTGAAAAGCTTCCATCTATGAGTCAAAAAATCTTTTGGGGTGCTTATTACATGAATCTCAAAATGAAGAGATTTCACGTTCCAGGCGCAGATACGCTAGGTAACATTGTGTTCAAAAAAGTTCGTCAAGCCACCGGTGGTTGCTTGAAGCTATCATTGAACGGTGGTGGGCCTATCAGTAGAGACACCCAGGAGTTTATTACTACCTTGCTGTGTCCAATGTTGATCGGATATGGTCTTACTGAAACAATGGCTAATACTTGTATTCTTTCACCAGCTCACTTTGATTATCAAGTTCAAGGTGACTTAACAGGTGCTGTGACTGTCAAATTGGTGGATGTTGAAGAGCTAGGCTATCTTGCGAAAAAAAATCAAGGTGAAGTATGGATCAAAGGTGAATGTGTCATGCCTGAATATTACAAAAATGAAGATGAAACTTCGGGTGCTTTCACTGATGATGGCTGGTTCAAAACTGGTGATATTGGTGAGTGGACCCCCAAGGGACACCTTAAGATCATCGATCGTAAGAAGAACTTGGTCAAGACTATGAACGGTGAGTATATTGCCCTTGAAAAGCTAGAGAGTGTTTACAGATCCAACTCCCTCGTTCAAAACATTTGTGTTTATGCTGACGATACCAAAGTGAAGCCAGTGGCTATCGTCGTGCCTAATGAAGGCCCTGTTGGTAAACTTGCAGTTGATCTAGGATTGATCAAGAACCAAGAGCAGTTACACAATGTTTTACATGACAAAAAACTGAGAAAAGCAATCTTGGATGATTTACTTAAGACTGGTAAGTCTCAAGGCTTGTCGGGTATTGAATTCTTGCAAGGTGTGGCCATGTTTGATGAGGAGTGGACTCCTCAAAACGGATTTGTGACATCTGCGCAAAAGCTGCAAAGAAAGAAGATCTTGAAGGCTGTTCAAGGACAAGTTGACGAAATTTATTCCAGCCAGTAATATGCCCAATCACCTTTTTAATGACAAAATAGTTCACCTTTTCTTATATTGCCAGCCCACTTAATTTTATATACATATAAGCCTCTTCATCCATTGGGACATGAAGGTTTGTTAAAAAGCTTCCTATGTTGCAATCATAGTTGGCCGCTTTCATGTTTCCAGGAGCAAACATGAACGAGAAGGCATTTTTTAGGTCCTTGGTTCCCAAAGCTGAAGGTTCATCTGACCGGTAACGCATGATCACGATAAACCACGAATCCATAGGTATATCCTCTTAGGCAATATTAGCAGCCGAGGCTCATTGAGTTGATTCTGCAAATACCTGTTCATGTGATATCAAGGGAAACAAAGCAGACAGTGGTCGAAATCCTTTCTCTTCTTCTCAATGGGGCACAGAATGTATTTCTCGACTTGCAGGGTTCCTCATCTTTGTTTTCTTGGGCTCATTTAATAGTGGGGTACCAGGGACATCATTTACCGCTGAGTTCTCTACTGTTACGACTTATTGTACCTATTACAAAAGCATATAACAACTTAGTAGCAGGTAGTGCTTGGGCAGTTGCTTCTTGCAGCATGTTTGCCCATCTCGATTGTTTAGTTTGGCCAGCCCCATAATTCGTCTGCTGCCCTCTTTTGCTCCTTTTCTCGATCAGAGTACATGGATTTATACTCTGCTATGGGTTCTGCTACCACAATAGTTACTGTTGGAAGGGGGAAGGGAGGAATACACTTGTGCCGTCGCCGATATTCATTGGGCACTTGACCTAGAAAGCTCAGGTTAAGTGGGCTATCATTGTTCCACCCAAATTCCACTTCGCAATCTCAAAATTCGTCCCAAAGTCGACCGCCAGACTAGCGATTAGAGCTGATAATTTGTCCACCTTAATTGAATGTCCCAAAATCGTCTGTAGTACCCAATCATATACACTGTTGTTAAATAATCGTAGTACATTTAGATACAGGCAAACCATGAAAACTCTCACGATAAGCCATGTAGACAATATGAGCATTTTTTTAATGTTCTTTGAATATTTAATTCCATTTGTGCATTTCCCTTTCCAGAATATTGTTGAAATGTTGGTAGTTATCAAGATAAAGGTGATGGCCAGAGTCCTTGACGATCTCAACCAAACTGTTGCTGCCCATTTTTTCCATCAGAAACTGCGATGCGCGAATTCCCCCCGTAGCATCAATCCAATCTTGATCACCGTAGAGCCAAAGCCAATCGCATTTAGCCTTGAATTGGTTTTCGACATTGTGAAACATTCGCTCCTCTAAAGAGACTCTGGGATCACCTCCGCATCTCAACGCAAAGGCCAAAAAGTATTCACCTGAACCTGGGCGGTTGAAAATAGCATATGCATACCTGTGCAGCGCCTCGCACTGTCGCAGACCAGCAGTCTTGTCGTGAAGCAGTTGTTCGAACCTCCGGTAAGACCAGCCGCTGGTTAGTTTGGACCCCAAGATGTTAGTGTTCCTTACCAATGAGAAGGGCGATATATTTCTATCCCATAGCTTTTGAAACCACCAAGGAGGTGGCTTTCTCCCTAATTTCGGCGAAGAGTGACATACGCCAGCAGGAGAACACATTATTAACTTTTGAAAGTGTCCGGGAAACTTGTTCGCGTAAAGAGCCACCAAGTAGGCACCCATAGAATGTGCCACCAACATATTATTATGTGGATTTTCCAATAAACCTCTTGCTTTCATCCACCGCTGAAATCTGGTATGGAACCACTGCTCTACCTGCTCAGCAGAATCCTTGGCAAAGTGGAAGGGAAGCCGCGGTCTAGACGAAAAGCCATATCCCGGAAGATCTAAAGCGTGGATACACCAGCTGTCGTTAATCAGAGGTAGCTTCTCAAGGTTCTTTAAAAAAAACCCCAAACCTGCGCCGTATCCATGAATCAAAATAAGGTGCTTCATTGGCTTCTCCCGATTGGGATTGGTTGGCATGATGCAGAATTCGTTGATGTAGTTGCCCTGATCATCTATAGGTGTTCTTAATATCTTAGCAGTTTTTCCATCGCGAGCGTTGGGGAAAAACGGCAACGATGACAAAAGCTCTTCTTGGAAAGCACCAGAATCCCTCTTGAAGTCCCAAAAATCGCGTACAGATTGTTCTACGGATCTTGGAAATAGCCGTGGCAACCCCAAGATTATTTTCTCTAAAGGAATAGCACTCGGCGATGATGGCTTGCGACTCAGAATCGGCCTGACGCCAACTGTATGTTCATTAGAGGGCGCCGAGGACCAACTAGCCCTTAGAGGTCTATGAAATGGCGCTAATAGCATTTTCGCGATGGGAAACCATCTAGATTTTAGTGATTTATTCAAGACACTCATTAAAAGAGCCTTACTATATTCACAGATTTAGTTGACACTTCGCAGCACCTCCAGTTGAATATTTCATAATCCGATTCGCGTATAAGGTGTACCGCAATCAAGGATCGTAACGGCTAAACTCAACAGTCGGAAAATGCTTATAGTAGACCACCTAAAGTAGCAACTGTTACTAACAGTGAATCATGTCATCGCTGCTATCCGATAAATTTTTTTTGGCTTATTTATGCAGGTGCTAATATAATAAACCTGATTTGTTCAGGAGGACGAAAATGAGTTGCAATCAACAGATCAACCATGCCGTCTTTTGTCAATCATCTCGCCGATACAAATGCGATTCGAGGAGTATCTTGTTTATACTTCATATTTGAATAGCTGATCAAAAGGAGACGTTTAAATAGATCACTATTTGACGAACTGTCGTAGTAAAAAGTTTCGCCTACTCACGAAACTTGTTGAGTGCGAAACTGTATAGATTAGACTGATTTTGCCGCTGTATAAAAGTCCCGTTGTGATGTGTCTTCCAGGATACATTTAGTTTCAGCGGTTTTCACTTTCCTACTGAATAAGTCAAAGCTTTAGATATCAGCTAAGAAGCCTGAAGCTACCAAAACTATGAAAGCACGCTACTGTGTCGCGCTAGGAATTACAACGCTGTTTATTGTATCTGGTGCTCAAGAACAAAATGTGGAGATTCAAACAAACAGACAAGATATTAAATGGAATTCTTTCCAGCTCTTTCTTCAACTTGGCGGGATAATTGCGGCCTGCTTTCCCTTGGCTAGCCTAACCGGGGTGGGCATTCCGCTGTGTGCTCTTTCGACGTTGGCTGCATTTTCTACCGCTGTCTGTTTGACTTTGAAGATCTTTGACGGCCTGATCACTAAAGATGACCAACTAGCACCGCAGGTCCTTATGTTTCTTCACAGCATTGGATTGCGATTCACAGGCGAAGAAAACATCGTTTCAACCATGAACGGCGAGGACAGCGGCAAGTGGAAAGACTGGGCAAACAGTCAAACGGCGGCTGCCTTCCGAGACTTGAACACTTGTGTTGAATTCTCTATTGAGACCGTCAGTAATTCCGCGGGCATGGTTCGTCCAAGCTATTGTTTCTCGTTTCTTATTGACGAAAGTACAGCTCATCCATTAGCAGGGTACTGGCAAACGACATGCTTATCGCAGGTAGCAATACAAGAACTTAATCAGACAAGACCAAAGCGATTACCCCCGAAGGCACTCTCCTCCGCGCTGAGACCGTTGAAGAAGGTGGACTTTTTGAAAAGCTACGCACAGGCCTTTGAGCTGGCACAAAGTTTCTATTCGATTTTTGGGATATATGCAGAAGAGTTTCTGATGAAATCCGTTGCGCTCATTCAAGATTTAGGACCGGATAATAAGAATGACCAGAAACTTGGCTTTCAAATTAATGATCAAATTAATGGCCAGCAAGAACAGTTATTCCGAGTCGAGCTTGTCAAGCGACTCCTTATGTAATACACACACGATAAAAGCGTAAGTTTGGTGGTTGGAAATATACACAAGATGTGCTTAGAGAAAAAGACCAAGCAGGTCCCAAGATGCTTGTATAATCTATTATCATCTTAGATCTGTCCGTCGGTTTGGCGTATATAGTGATTACCAACTGTCAAAAATTTGGCTAGCTTTGCAAAGGTTTGCTTCACTCAAGGTTGCGAATAAGTAATAAAATCCGACTTAACTTTAAGACTTTAGAAGCTTTTAGTATACCTAATATTCATGTCTTTCGGACTCTCATCTGACTTTGGATTGGGTAATAATGGAGTTAGAATTTCCATAAATTTTTTTGATGGAATTATCGAACAAAGCCTTTTGAGCGCTTTGGGCTCAGTTGATCTTCAGTTGATCTTCAAACTGCTACTTAAAAGAGACGAAACTACCAAGGACAAAGCATTATGCGACCTACAAAGTTTGCTAGACGATCCGGAGAGCAAGTATCTCTTCGAAGACGAATGCTTCGCGTTATGCTGGTCTCAAATATACGCTAAGCTAATAACGAGCGAGTCTAGAAGCATTCGGATCACCGCACACACAATTACAACAAGACTCATCAAGCTTCTCGGTAAAAAAAGCGCCAGATTTTTGAAGGACTTTGTGCCCTTCCTTTTGGCTGGAACGTATGATTTTGACGCATCTGTAGGAAAAGCATGCTACAAGAGTATACTCCAGTGCTTCGGTGAGGATCCTGCCAAAGTCGGTGCTCTTTGGAAGCTGTTTAGAGTACAAATTTTGAAATTCGTGACAGAAGTGATAGTGGTCGAAAATCCAGGGCTGCTTTCAGATGAACGTTACGTCTCTAAACAAGACTCGGAATTTAGATACATTCGCATTGCTACATGTGCTGTATGTGTTCTAATTCGCTTAATAAAGGAAAACCCAGAGGAAATTTCATCGAAGGAGAACACTTATCAAGAGCTTTTGGCGAGCGAAGAGTTATGGAATTTACTATCTTTCAAAAATGTTCACAATCTTAAAATCTGCGAAGCCTTGCTGGTCTTGATAGGAGTCTTGTGGGACGAAGGTTTCTTGGAGTCAACGAAAGATATTCTCAAGCTTGTTTCAAAGAGACTACTCAAAGCCGTGGGACATTTATCTAAGAAAAACGTCCTTAACATTTCGCCTCTGTTTCCACAGATTCTATCTCAACTTCTGCGCCTGACGGAATACAGAGATGGAAAGTTTTTATCTTGGGATAAAACCGCTCGAGATAAAATAAAAGCTTTCTTATCATTGGGGCCTGGTAACTCGGACTCAACATACTACGGCTTGTTATTATGCCTATACGAGAAATCCAACCATGCTTTACTGTTTGATTACAACATGGACTGGCTAAAATACTGGAGAAATGACTTGGTTTACGAAAAACAACGGCGTGGAGTACCAGCTAAAACCCAGGCCATGTTAATTGAATTTTGGAATAACTATCTTAAGTTTATTTCTCAAGCGCCAAACGATTTCCGAGATGAAGCCGCAATGCTCGCAACAAATGATATTTTCGCAACACTTGACGAGAAACCGTTCAGCTTGTTTGATGGTACAATAGAACTTTTTGCGGATACGTTATCTTTCGAACATTTGGAAAAAGAGATTCAAGAGCTTTTACCAGCAGGAGTGAACGAAAAACATAAAGACGCCCGGTATATCCATAATCTTTTTAGCGCTTCCTTTCAGAAGAAGGACAATAATCCATTTTTGGAAAAAATGTCAAAACTAATGGTCACATCTTTGCGGGAATACCACTTTCAAGAATTGCATTGTGGCTATGATTTTTTTAATCGAATTATCAAGTCAAAAGATTCACAATTACAAAAGGAAGCCATTACATTTTTGGAGGTATTATCAAAATATGTCACCACAGAACTTTTTAATGCCCCATCCCAGATTTTTATTAACTTTTCCCATCATGTGCCTTTGCGTGGTGATGATAACGCGTACATTTTAAGAGTGTTTGGCGATTTGGTCGAACGTTTGATAAAACTTGATGTATCTCAGAACACAAAACTAAAAATCTTCGACCAAATTGAAGATAGCTACATCGAGGAATTGGCAAAATCCTCAGAAAGTCTTCAAGCCTTCAGAGCTGATATTGTGAGAAACTTTGATTTCTCAAATGATGATCTCTTTAAAAGTAAGCTTATGAATGAGAAGAGTCTTCTACAGTTATACGAACAAGCACTTGACCAATCGAAACTAGAAGCTTTTTGCCTTGGTTGCAATGCTTTTCAACCTAAACTTTACGAGCATCTTTTGCTTAATAGTGATTTGTTAGTCCATATCTTGTTTGAAGATTATGGGACTGTTACATCTGAATTGAGACTCAGAGTGCTACAGCTGGCCGAGGAACAAGATGAAATAGCCTTCAAGGTGGGAAGGGCAGCCTTGGGGCATATAGAAAAATCCCCAGATTACTTGAGTAGCGACGTCTTGAACTATTTGGAGACATTATTGCAATCAAATGGTAAGCTAATAGACATTTTGCTCCCTAACAACATCTACAGAAAATTGGAAGAAGCTGTTCCTTTTGTTAGTTATGAAATGGCATTGAGTAGCACGCTAGGTCTCAACGTACACTTATTGAACACGTCCAACAGCAACATTGCTTTATCTTCAGTGCAACCACTCATAAGATTCGGGAGATTTTTAGATGCTCTTATGGTTAAATTGCCTCAGTATTTGGACGAGAAAGTCGTACTTTTCCTAACGATGATCAGCGAGCTTGCATCAGATTTCGAATACTTCGGTAAACTGCCATCCAATGAGTACAAAAGCTTTGAATGTGTTTTGTTCAAAGATCGTCAGTATGACATTGATGCATCAACCATATTTCAGTCTCTTATCGACCCTAAGAGCTCTTCTTTGAAACTTTTACAGCTACTTACCACCACAGAAGATATGAGCGCAGTCTCTGTCCTCTTCAACTGTCGGATCTTGAAGAAGATTTTGGCAAATGCAATAGATTGCTCATCGCCATCAGTGATAGAAAATTCAGGTATTGAGGGTTTCTTGTTGAAAACAGTACGGAACAAAGCGGTCTCCGACGGTGAGCTCATGATAGCAGCGACAGTTCTTTCCTCAATCACCAGGTACAATACTTGTGAGTCTTTGTCAAAAACGAGGAATTATCTAGCCTCGGAGTTGATTGGCACTCGAGATTCCGATTTGATCGAAAAAACCCCGAAAATAATGATATTGCTAAACAACATGCTGCAGCTTGAAACAGATTCTGATGTAAGCGATAGCTTCCACGCGATAGCTCCTCAGCGTCTCAAAATGATCTTAAATGATATTGAAAGATGGTTTGGTAGTGACTTGTGGTATGAGGACTCTTCTTCGTTGCTAAGACTTGCTCTCTTGGTCTTTTTTAGGTCTTTGTTAGAACATCCGTCGTCTTCGGTTTTAGCAACCACAATCATGGGTCATTGTGGTCGACTCGTAGTGGATTGCTCTGATGTAATTAGCATTGGAGAAGCTTCTTATCTCACTGAATTGAAGATGTGCACTATAAACCTGTATGCTCAAATGACCAATAAACTGGCTACTGAGTCCCTTGGGTTGACTATTGATTCATTGAAAAATGGAGAAGCGTTGCTGCATAGTGTAATTGAGACTTTCCTCATAGCCCCCGACCGCCAATTGGCTAATTACCAAACATTTGTTTTCTATAGACAGTTGACAAAGGCCTTAAGCAGTTCTCCCCCCAAGGCCTTCACGCCCTACTTCGGGAAACTTGTGGAGAATTTTACGACGTCTCTTGATTTGAATATAGACCAGGTAAGGCTGATTATTTCAATTTTAAGGACCGCAATTCTAGTTAAGCAACAAGAGTTGTTGATAGAGTTTGAACTAAACAATCATAACAAGGACTTGGAAGAGGCAGAATTACAAAGATTCCAATTACCAACAAGCTTACTCGACAGTTTGGAGAATAATGCTCCATTAGAGTATCTCGAATACGAGAATGAGGACCGATTTTTGAAGTACTTGTGGTCTTGTTATCTTGTTGTGTCTTACTTCAACGACATTTCCTACAATCTAAGACAATTGTACATTACACAACTGAAGGATCGAGATCTTATCAACAAGCTTTTCGACTTTATTGCGGATCAATTGGACCTAAACGACAATACTTGGGTTCCAGCGGATGATGATTCTGTATTGAACTATAACATCAATGGGCTCGGGCTATCATCAACTCGTGAAACAGTTCTGCATGAAAGCAAAAAACTTCTATTACACTTGTTGTACCTCCTTTTCAAAAACATGGGCTCGATAACAAGCTCATGGTGGCTCAATCTGAAAGACCGAGCACTGCAACTTAAGATCGAAAAATTCGTAACCTCGCACATTTCGCCAATTTTGATTAGGCAGGAACTCGAAGATGTGGGGAGAAGGGTGAAGAAGCTGACAGATCAAGATGCTAGTCTAACAATTAAGGTAAACAACATCAGTAACGAGATCAAAGCCGGATATCTTGTTGACGAACAGAAACTTGAAATTTCCCTGAAACTACCCTCCAACTACCCTCTCAACAACATTGAAGTCCACGGCGTGTCTAGAGTAGGAATCAATGAGCAAAAATGGAAGACATGGATCTTGTCTGCTCAGCGGGTAATTATTGGAATGAACGGTTCCGTAATGGATTCACTAGAGCTTTTCACCAAGAACGTGAATTTACACTTTTCGGGCTTCGAAGAATGTGCTATCTGTTATTCTATTTTGCATGCTGTTGATCGCAAGCTGCCCACTAAGGTGTGTCCAACTTGTAACAATAGGTTCCACGGCGCCTGTCTTTACAAATGGTTTCGATCTTCTGGTAACAACACATGCCCATTGTGTCGTAGCGAAATTCCTTTCAGAAGATGAACAAGACTTCTCAACAATATGACTAGTCCATATCTGTATTGATACATCTGTATATATACATAAGCTAGCAATAGTTCAACAATTGACCTTTTTCGTCGAATGGTGTGCACAGCATCTCTGACAGAGTTAATGATCGTCGCTTCGTTTATTGTTACGGAATCTTGGCATAAATAAAAGGGCTCGCGTTTGAGAAAACAGCTCCCGAGACTGGTAAAGAAGCGCAATCGAGACCAAGACATGCTTTTCTTCTCTAAGCGCAAGCTAAGGGTTCTGGTGCTTGTTCTAGGGATAGCTTTTTTAATCGCAGCTACGACCAGGGCGGTAATACAATTTCAGCTGGGCGAAGAAGTGAATCATTACAATACCTACTTCAGCACTCACAAGGACAGCCTTCATGACATATATGATCCATTGAATATTAAGCAAATACCCTATGAGACAATCAACGTGTTGTATGAGAACCGTGTGATGGAAGAGGGCCAGCGACAGAAATCTATCGACTGGAGCAAGTTTGCGTATGTGAGTTATGCCACGGAGCCAGAATACCTTTGCAACACTGTCATTTTATTTGAAAAACTCAAACAATTCGGAACTAAAGCCAAACTGGTCGTTCTGGTCTCAAAGGATCTTTTAGATTCGGAAAATTCCGATCAAATAGTCTGTGAAAGGCTTCTGGAGCGAATAAGGGAAGTTGACTCAGAGCAAGTTGTCATTAAACTAGTGGATGAAATTGCTAAGCCAAAAGATTCAACTCCTTGGAATAAGAGCTTCACGAAGCTTTTAGTCTTCAACCAAACAGAATATGAACGCATTATATATCTGGACAGCGACGCTGCATTGTTCGACAGTATGGACGAACTCTTTTTTTTACCCTCATATGTCAACTTTGCTGCTCCACTAACGTATTGGTTCATTTCTGAATCTGATTTGCAAGCTTCCTACAAAGAGAGGCGATCGGACAACAAAACACCCGTAAAACTGGAAAGTGTCATCAAAACCCTGAACACTAGAGCAAAAAAGGGACAACCGATCTACAATCATCTACCTAGTCTACCAAGCTCACTGGTATTCCGGTCTGGTAAAATCGCAAAAGAGATTACTGAGTCCAATTCTTTGTTAGCGAATTTGTTCAAGTTGAGAAGGGGGACCACAAGCTCCAGGGTGAAATTCGCTTCTGACATAATGGTTATCAAACCCAATAGCCTTACCTTCCAAAAGATTGCTCAACTTTTAATTCCAAATAGTTGGGGACAAAAGGAACAATATGACATGGATCTGATCAATGATGGTCTATACAATCTCAAAGAGATAATCAATTCTCAATTCCTGCTATTTCGAAAGCTAAGAAGTGCATTCGTTCCGGAAGTAATGGTTCTACCTTTTGGTAAATACGGCCTTCTGACGGGCTCTGTTCGTGAAAGATTTCACCATGAGCTCATGGCCAATGACATTTTAGGCTATAAAAAATCCCAAGACGCTACCGGACCTTCGCTTGACTCTTTAGTCGCGAATTGCAAATACATTCACTACTCGGATTGGCCTATAAACAAGCCATGGCTGTATTCTTCTTTCGACGAGCTGAAATGTAAGCCGAAGGACAAGAATGAAGAGCTTGATGTAGAAATGTGCAAGACCTGGAATTCAATCTTACAAGGCTTCTGGGATTCTAAACACATGTGCCAAGCGTGAATAACTTGAGAAATATGTTCCCAAAGCTGGACTTTGTAACGAGATCGCGCTGTAAGTATTAGGATCCAAGTTTTATTTGGTGCTTTGCTGCTTCTGCGTCCAGCAGCCTTTCAATTTCGTCCCCGTGCTTTTCGATCTTACTGCCATCCTTAAGTGCATAATCCACGGTTATGCATTTATTCATTACCATCTGGTTGTTAAGTTTTGCGAGAGCTTTGTCCGAGTGTTCGAACGTAGTGTAGTACACAAATGCACATCTCAATTGTTTCAAGCTAAAAATCTCTGGAGCCTTAACGAGGGGTCCAAACTTTGCAAAGATCTTGGCCAAACCCTGTGCGTCGACAAGTTCATCAACATTTTTGACGAACAGCTTCGCCCCCACAGCTAGCGCGTTTTGCTGGCTGGCGCTATCCACGCCAGAACTGGATGTGCCATTCGCTTTTCGCACCTTCAACGTTCTGCCAAATAATCTTACACTGTTATTCAAACATTTGCAGGCATATTCTGCGTCATCGGTACTGTAGAATTCCACAAACGCAAACCCTTGGTAAGTGTTTAGAATTCTGTCTTTAGGATATCGAATCTTTTTCAGAGGGCATATTTGCACGAAAAGCTCATATATCAGCTCTTTCGAGACTTCAGGTGCTACATTGCCTACGTAGACTGTAAAATCCTGTACCGTCGATGTGCTGCTCATAGATAACAGTACTAAGTGCACCAGAAAGAAGACCTCACAGGCGAAAGTGATGCCCTGAAGTAAATAGTTATGATTGTCGTTAATATCACTCCGCACGCAAGTGAAAAATTAATCAATATAAAATGTTCAAGCTTCGAGCATTATAGTCTTCACCGAAACACACTCATTACTAGTGTTTTTTTTAAACCATTGACCAATAGTTGGCTTGAACGATACAGTTTATGGGAAATGACTGAGACTTCTGATTCTGGTTTTTAGCAGTTTTGCACTATTTGAAGTGTACGTGATATTGAGGCGCTTTTTGTGCAATCTCTCTCACTGCGTTTTTTTTTACGAAGCAAATACTTTGGACCTTGGGTTTTTGCAATGGAAGGTTTAGAGGATTATGGAAGACTTGGAGTCCACGTTCAAGGGTTTACTAGATTTTCTATTCTGTCTGAGAACTCATCGCGAGGCTTCTAACCTTTAGTGTGGCTCTTGAGGGCACTTCGAATGAGCTCTTTGATATCAAATTTATCGAACGCTGTGCTTTTTCTCTTTGGCTTATATCTTAACTTTGCGTGCCCAACTGATGAGTATTTCATCGCCGGGTGGTTTGGAGCGCCTGGGTGTCATGCGTTTCGCTCCCATATAGTATGACACTTGTGCGCTTCGGATCGTACTGTTAAGAGCCAGCTGTTTGAGTTGCAAGCACCCCGTTTTTTGATAGCTTCGGTTCTTTGGCTTTGTGAAGTTTCTTCTTGTCATTCGAAAAGGTTTTGACGTCTAAGCAAGGAGAGAGTGCGATGAGTATACTCAATAAGTGTAGACAAATGTGTTCACCTGTGTATTTTGAGTACCAGCCCCCTTTTCATACCTCAATGCACTAACTGCTAACAATTTCCAAAGTTTCGTAATAGAAAACTGAACGAAATGCGCCTTCACGAATTCTACGCATAGGTGTAGATTGTGACCTAGAACCAGTCTCTCAAGTTTCAGTGCCCTTCTGCTGCGGTCTTCATTACCGACTGAGTCATATACTGACTTCCCGTTTAATCGCTCATCTATTCATAATGCCGTAATAGCTTGCAGTTTCATACTCGGGGGACATTCATTCATTCAGTAGCGCATAAAGCTTCGTAGGTTCTTAAATCCATTAAATGGTCTTGGACAGAATTGTTAAAAAGCAGTTAATCTGTACAGCTCATCAAAGCGCACACTATATATCTAGCTAACGGGAGCTAAGAAAACAAACTTGTATATGAGAAATTGTTAAATCGTATTTATAATGTGATTAAAGCATTTTTTGAATGCCATAAACTAAAGATTAAGATACATTCAATACGAGAGCGATCATCGGTGTTAGACGGGATACTTCAACAGCTGGAAATAAAAGGTGGGACTTCGATTAGCCGCCTAGGGCATAATCATAAAAAACGCTATTTTTTAGTCGCAAATCATAAAAAATTTTCTCAGCTCATCGCCTCGATATATAATTTTTGAAGAAGTGAAATTTCCCCAAGCGCCCATAAACTTTTAACTTCTGCAGGTTCACTACACTATTTTTTGAGATTTTGAGAGGACTTTGTCGAGGCCGAACAAACATCAGTATCTCAACATTGACTTTATGCCAGGTGAGGACGTGTCTTTCCTCTACAACAGACCAGCTAAACCACGATAACATTGTTCAGCGCATCAACTTTATATCCAACATTTCCTGACTGAAACTAATTTGATAACAGCCACCATTACGAATCAAGCTTTCATATTCCATTACGCATCTGCTTTTTTATTTCCGTTTTTCCTTTGACAAACTAACCCTAGAACCCTCGAATGACAGTGTCTCTCAACGCGATTCCGAGCCCCTCCTACATTGACCGCGAGCTTTCCGCTAATTTAGACTCTACGGACGCCTTTGAAGGTCCTGAGAAGCTCTTAGAAATCTGGTTCTATAAAAACTCCAGCTGCGTACCAGACAATGCCAAAACTTTGCGATCTATCGATTTCAGCACCTGGGTGCGTTTGTTGCAACTGGTCAAGTGCCAAGTACTGTCAATGAAACAAACCGAAAAGATGAATGCTTTCTTGCTGAGCGAATCGTCTCTTTTTGTGTTTGACCATAAGCTCACACTTAAGACTTGCGGCACTACCACTACATTATTCTGCCTCGAAGAGCTATTTCGTGTCGTTAAGGAACACCTCGATTGGAACTTCTGCCAGAAGGGAAAGGTGAATCCTTACAAAGTTTTCTATTCCAGGCGTTGCTTTATGTTCCCCAAGAAGCAGCAGGGTATTCACCAGAACTGGGATGACGAAACTCAGTATCTGAACAAGTTCTTTAGCAACGGGAAAAGCTATCTCGTGGGACGTTTAGGCCAAGCAAATCACTGGAGTTTATACGTAACTGAGACCAATAGGGATCTGGATGGCCAGGACGAAAACTTTGATGGCAGCGAGGAAGACGATGATGAGAATGATGATGACGACGACGACGAGACATTAGAAATGCTGATGACGGGCCTGACGCCCTCTCGGGCGTCCCAGTTTGTCACCACGAGAGAACCTGGACAGCCCGTTGAAAGCGATACTGATGATGAGGGCCATGTGCTTGGCGCTCAAGTTACTGAGGACACGCAACTAGACCGGATCTACGACAATGTCGAAGGCGTTTCCTTCCAACAGGATGCTTTTGCATTCACGCCATGCGGTTACTCGGCCAATGTGGTTATGGACCAAGAGTATTACTATACTCTACATGTGACCCCGGAAGATGGTTGGTCCTATGCCTCATTTGAGAGTAACGTTCCTGTCACGAAGGTCTCTGGAGGTACGCAGGACAATATAGCGGTTATGGAGCGCGTTTTGCAGGTGTTCGGACCTTCGGACTTTTGCCTCACCTTTTTCTCTCGCCGCAGCCACAACGACAATTTTGCCAAGCTCAAGAAACTAACAGACCGTGTTTCCAACTACACTCGTAAGGATAAGATCGTCTACCAACTAGATGATTATCATTTGCTATACTTGAGATTTGAGCGCAATAATTAAAGCGATATTTATGACTGAAATATATCTATAATCCAGAATTCAAGTGTGATTCGATGTCTAATTTCATGCTACTTTATTCTCTGTCTCTGTTCAGGCAAATTCCATCGGTTTACGTGGACTGTCATAAGCTATATGGCGAGTTGATTTTCAAGTGCAACATTATGGGCTCGGCACTAATGTCACGAAGAAAACATTTGCTTGTAACAACACATTCGTGCAGCTCTTTGTATCAATTTTGGTGACCTCGCACCTTCACGCCCATGCTCGTTAATAATACTCGTAGATCTAATGAGGATTACCTCGGTATGCCTCTTGAAGTCAGTGTCTAAGCTTGTAAGAACAGGCAAAACAGCGAATTTGTATTGTCGAATTAGTATTGCGTATTTGTCCAGACTACCTACAACTCTGGCGACAGCATGAGTGAAGTTGAGACACTTTAAACGTAGGGAAGCCATATAATATCTTTGCAATCTCGCTACGACGAAAAGTCGTGATTGCCAAACTGTTTGGTCCTGTCCAGAGACCAAAAGAAAGCTTTACAAACGCAGGGAAAGGTTACGCTAAGCTTTTGGTAGCTGATCCTGGCAGATCGGGAAGGGCAGTCGCTAATGTCCTTATTGGAGGTTAAACCAACAGGTGTGGCACGTGAAGCGCACGCGGAGACGTATATTCATGTCCCAAGAAAAAGGCTATACGCGTGTAAGAGTAAATAAGGTTCAAAATTGCTATTCATAAACTCGATCTATATAAAGGAGAAGAATACTGGTGAGGCTCATAATAACTTCATTATACTTCTTTGCAAGAATAGTGCATCCAATAACCTTGCGCTAGAAAATTGTCATCTAAGCTGAATTAAAGTCTTGGCATTTTAAAATTAGAAATGTTACATAAGCATACGCCAACAACGAAAGCTGGCGGGCATCGGGCTCCAAACGCTGGGAAGAGCAAGCATTCGCTATCCAACAGTTACAAGCTGCTACGTGATGATTTGCAAGAGCTAGCTCTTGATGGTAATTTTCAGCGTCAAAACAAGCACAGTGTGATCAACAGTCACTATACAATTCCACAGAGCGGTATTCCTGAGGAAACTGCATTTGACTTGGTTCACAACGAACTGACACTCGATGGAAATCCACATTTAAATTTGGCCAGTTTTGTCAACACTACGGCGAGCGACACAGCCCGCAGGTTGATCGCTGAGAACATCGAAAAAAACCTGGCAGACAACGACGAATATCCCCAGATGGTGGAGATCACACAACGGTGTATCTCTATGCTCGCACAGCTGTGGAAAGCTGGTCCAGACCAAGAGCCCCTCGGATGCGCCACAACCGGTTCCAGTGAGGCCATCATGCTTGGTGGGCTTGCTATGAAGAGACAATGGGAGCGTCGCATGAAAGCGGCCAACAAACCCATCTCAAAGCCCAACATCATTATGTCAAGCGCTGCACAAGTTGCACTTGAGAAGTTTGCGCGGTATTTCGACGTCGAGTGTCGTCTGGTGCCTGTTTCTCACGAGTCAGATCATCATTTGGACCCCAGCAAACTATGGGACTTTGTAGATGAAAACACTATTGGTTGTTTCGTCATTTTGGGTACGACCTACACAGGTCATTTGGAAAGCATCGAGGAGGTTGCTGACGTTCTGTCGCAAATCGAGAAACAAAATCCAAGTTGGAGTAACAGTAGTATTCCAATTCATGTTGATGGTGCCTCTGGTGGATTCGTGGTTCCCTTCGCATTTACTGACAAGCAAATGGCCGATTACAAACTTCCTCGTTGGGGTTTCAATCATCCTAGAGTGGTGAGCATCAATGCGTCGGGTCACAAGTTTGGCCTCACTACCGCAGGACTGGGTTGGATTCTCTGGAAAGACGATGACTACTTACTCCCAGAATTGAGATTCAAACTGACTTACTTGGGCGGTGTTGAGGAAACTTTCAACTTGAATTTTTCCAGGCCTGGTTACCAAGTAATTCACCAATACTACAACTTTTTGAATCTGGGTATGAAAGGTTACAAGGATGAATTCGAGAAATCTCTCTTTGCTGCGAGGTATTTCAGTTTATCGCTTCTGCAGAGCGATGAGTTCAAGGGAAAGTTCGATATTATTAGCAGCGTACATGAAAGGATCGACGGTAAAGAGTCCGTCTTAAAAGATTGTATGAAAGAGCCTCAATTATTCAAGCCAGGAGTTCCTTTATCGGCATTTAAGCTGTCCAAGGAGTTTCGTGAGAAGTATCCCGAAATTCCACAAGCCCTTATTTCTTCTTTGTTGAGAGCCAAAGGTTGGATTGTGCCAAACTATCCCCTACCCGCATCTACAGATGGTTCTGATAAGTGGGAAGTGCTAAGAGTTGTTTTTAGATCTGAAATGAGTCTTGACTTGGTGCAGATGTTTTTGGTTCACATTCACCAAGTTATTGCAAAGCTGGAAAGATGTTATGCCAGTGTACCAGAGTCTTTAAGTGGTGAAAGCAAAAAGGATGCTGTTTACAAGATGCTGTTAATTTTGGCGTCTCCTGAGAGTGCAGAGATCAGTGAGGAAGTAAACAAAAAGAAGAAGAAGAACTATCGGGGTACCTGTTAGCCTTTTAATTAGGGTTACGGCGTTCTCGAACGCAGCAAATGTGAAGATCAGGCTTCGCTTATGGAACGATATTTTGTTTAGTTAACGCTGTACGACGTAAAGCTTATCTACATAGCTTTGGTCAATGAGATTTTTATGATATGAGGCGTCTTTTTCTGAGTTGTCGCATTGCTAAGGATATCGACTTTTAACTGTGACACGCTGGTACAAAATGACAAAAGCTCAACATTTGTCTCAGCAGGTTGGTGCAGTCGATTGAAGTGCATGTAGAGGTTTGTACGATGGCATTGAGCAGTGCACAGAATTATCTTGTCATTATCGCATTGTTTGAGGAATGGAGGATAGTGAAAACCTTGCTAAGAAATATATGTATTATCAGAGTTTGTAGTGACATGCTGGCGCTGTCCGCGGAGAGGCTCATGCGCCCTTCTCGTGGGATGGGAAACAATTAAATCTGGTTGATGGCTGCTGTTGTGTTTTGTATCGAGGGTGACTCTCGAGCTGAGCTCTTTGTCGGGCAGCGATTATTGAGGGGATAACTCTCGAGCTGAGCTCCTCGTCGGGCGGCGATTATTGAGGGGATGACTCTCGAGCTGAGCTCCTCGTCGGGCGGCGATTATTGAGGGGATGACTCTCCAGCTGAGCACCTCGTCAGGCAGCGATTGCAAGTTTTTGGTGTCGGATCGCGTTGAGAATGTGTGCTTGCTCGTAACTGGCGCTTCGTTGCCCCGGAACTTTGCACGTGCTACGTTTGGAAGCCGAGATCATCCACAGGTCAGCCGTGAGGTGTAGTGAAGAAACTCAATCAGTTACTCTCTCACTGCCTAGCACCGCATATTTCACCAGCTGGTCGGTTCTGCACTGGTGGCTCTCTTCTGGTTTGCCCAAAGCGTTGGCTTGATCCCGTACTTCGTCTTGGTAAGCCCTACACGTGACCCTACTCGCTGCGGACTTGCTGAGTCCCTATCATCCTGTACGGCCGCGCGGTTCTCGAGTTCCGATGGGCCCAGGTTTTCAACGCGGCATATTCAATTTTTTTGGTGTGGGTCAGTCTTGTGTCACAAATACGAAGTCCGAATCCCCGGATTCGTACCCGGTGCCAATATAAAAGCTTTGGCTTAGGGCAGATAACGGACGGCAGCGGCCTTGTGGCGCGCCCCCATACGATTTTCCAAAGTGATGCGCACGCCTTAGGGAAGCTCGTAAAGTGGTCTGTTTGTGTCGGTCAAGAAGGGAATTGCCACGTTCTATGCGCCACTCCCGCAAGTATTGGATTCTCAAGGGGTAAATTGCCATATGCGATAGATTGCGTATGCCATGGATTGCCGTTTGCGATAGATTTCCTCAAGATTCGCAGTGTCTGGCCATAATGTAGCATGCACTACCGAGTGTATGTGGAAGGCGACATGTTGTGGGTTATTCAGCAGCGCTGTGCGCAAGAGCGCAAGTCGTCGTAATAGTTGTACTAACTACAGTGTTGTTTGCGAATACCAGTGGTAGTAGTACTAGTCGTCTCCATTATAAGCGCTAATGAACCTTGTCCCGTGATGGTGCAGTCCTTCTCGCAATTGGCATCCGGTGCACTTTTCCGTTTCGAACGCCAGTAGGGTAACATCCAGTAGGGTAGCATCCAGTAGCGATATCCACTCAGTGCTTCTCTCACGTGCCTCCTCCATTTTTGCTATACGCGTTACTTGCTACGCGTATGACGTCACGGCCATTTCACACTGTGATGTCTTTACCGTTTAGGGCATAGGCCGGGCCTAAAGTGCTAACACCATTGCCACAAACGGAGACCCAGCGACTCGCACTAGCAAACACAGCAAACAAGCAAGCAAGCAAGCAAGCAAGCAAGCAAGCAAGCAATCACACGCCACAGTGGCAACGACCGATATCCAACCAGGCTTGTTAATCCATCCATTCATGGCTTGATTACATTACGATGTTGGGTATACGGTTCGCACGGCTTTTGTTCTGCTTGCTGAGGGGGGCTTTTTTTTTTGACCGTATGTTCTGGAGTTCTAGCCAGGTCTTGTAATGCTTAAGCGTGTGTTATCTCTTGTTTTTTTTTTTCCAAAAGTTTCGTCTCGCTTCTTCCAAGAATAGATTGCGATGAAGTTTCGCAGGGGCCAGGAGAGATGGAGAGGAGGCAGGAAAAAAAAAAGAGCGAGGCTCAAGCAAAATAGTAGGGGTTAGAATTTCGGGTATATAAGGACGAGCAAAGACAGGCTATGAAGGGTTTAGGAATTGGGATTTACATTTTTCTTAACAATCATCAATACCGAATTCAAATTCAACTAATATAATCAAAAATGAAGTTCTCTACTGTTATTGCCGCCGCCTCTGCCTTCGTTGCCGTTAACGCCGCCAACTCCTCCAACAGCTCTTCCAACGCTGCCCCAGCCGCTGGCTCCAACGCCGTTGGTTACACTGCCTTCGGTGCTGCCGTTGCCGGTGCCGTCGCTTTGTTGATGTAAACGGGCTCGAGCTGCTCCATACGGGGCATTTTCGAAAGACTAGCTAGTTTATAACGCTAGCACATGTATTTTGTGTATGACATAGTAATACGATGTAATATGAGGAAATACAAGAACCATCGCGAGCGCCAGCGAGTGATTGTGAAAAGTGTGCAAGCACGAGCGCCAGCGAGTGATTGTGAAACTGAATTCAGCAAGCACGAGCCATCGGGATGCATCACCTGCTAACGCCCATGATAGTGAAACTGATATTCAACAAGCACGAGCCATCGGGATTCATGACTTGCTAACGCTCATGATTCCAAGAGTGAAACTCATACTTAACAACTGATATTCAACAAGCACGAGCCATCGGGATTCATGACTTGCTAACGCTCATGATTCCAAGAGTGAAACTCATACTTAACAACTGATATTCAACAAGCACGAGCCATCGGGATTCATGACTTGCTAACGCTCATGATTCCAAGAGTGAAACTCATACTTAACAATGGACAGCCATTGTCAGCATCCAATAGCAAGTTCAAGACTGAAACTATGACCATTGTGATCCATCGTGAGCCATTGTGATCCATCGTGAGCCATTGTGATCCAGCGTGAGCCATTGTGATCCAGCGTGAGCTATCATGAGCGCTAGTAATCCTAAAGTAAAACTTCAACTACGAGCCATCATCCATCGTGAAACTTTAACTCGACAATTACGCGCCGTTGTCAGCTTCCCGTTCTCACTCTTCACAATACTCGCTACGTCTCGCATTGTACATAAGTACTAATCTCCTCTCTCAAATGCTTAGTGACATAATGGTACATAGTGATATTGAATAAACAAGAGCACTAAATGATATCTGAGATTCCTACAGGCCTATCAAATGGTCCAAATCTTACTGAGAGCTTACTTAACCTCAAAGGAACGAGTTGGCTGATCCAATTGCGTCCCGAACAACTATGGAAGTCAAGCACATATTAACAAGCTCTAAATCACTCTCTTGCCTCAATAAGTTTACCTTGAATCTGCCACGAGTTTCAACGAGTGCTTATGAGGCATAAGAGATAATGCGGACCAGTAGAAGCGTAGCATAACAATCGCTTGTTCATCATCATCTGAGCAGTATTACTGATTGAACATGCCATTCCACTGAAAAATGAACTATGTAACCGTGCGTCAATGCATATCCCCGTCACTGCACCGATAAATGAGTCTGATGCGAATGATATGGACTCGAATAAACAAATAAATATCGACGCTTTACCCACCAAGTACAGAATTGTGGTATACGGGCTCGCTGGGAAGCGTACACAGACTAAACTGTTTGCGGAAATTCTCAATGAAATTCATATTACATGTTTAAGACCCTGCAAGTGACTTTCCAGAAAAAAACACAAATTTCGCCTTACTCGGAGATCGAGACCACGCATAATACTGCAGTACATCCTGTATTTCCCTCTCGCTCGCGCTCTCTCTCTCTCTCTCTCTCTCTCTCTCTCTCTCTCTCTCTCTCTCTCTCTCTCTCTCTCTCTCTCTCTCTCTCTCTCTTAATTCAAATGTGCTTTCTATTTTCTACCTGATTATGGACCCGACGCGTAGCCCGTAGAAAAAGTCAACTCCAGAAAGCTTATTTTCCTTTTCCAATCGAAACGCGAAAAGACGCTTCTTGCATATAGATGATAGCGACTACACGGAAGGAGTTTTCTCACAACGCATATCAAGATAGTATGGTCTGCGCTGCCCTGCTCGAAGGTGAACAGTCCTTGGATTCGTCGCACTGAATGCTTCGAGATGCACCTGACCAGTAGCTCCTGTTAAAAGAAACCTAGTATTTCAGACGCCCAAGCTCTTTTTTATGGCGCCCTGATCGAACACTCACAAGTCGTAGCTCTGAGTTCGTCTGTGTTTACTTTCCCCCTTCGCCTTTTTGGGAAGCGGCACACGCCATCTAACTGAAAATATATTCGTTTATTCAGTCGTAGGTGAAATCCTCTACCCACGGGCCAAGAAATCTCCATCTAATCCCGGTACACGCGCTACTCCCGACCCCCTGGTGGCACACTCTCTATTTACAATATGCCGCATCAAGTTGCACTTCCTTGCAAAGCGGTTTTACAATCTGGCCCTTCTCTCGGGCTTTTGCATCCCACCCAGTTTAACAAGATCAAGTTTACTACATGCGGAAAGTGCCAAAAAGCCACTCTCTTTATCGTAACACTGTGCCACGCTACTTCCAACATCACGGTCTCCCGCCAAGTTTGGTATGTTGTTGTGAAATCGGAATGGCACGGTAAGGAAAATTTTTTTACGGAACCAGAGTGGGTGGGTATTTAAAGAATCGATACTGGGCCGTTGGAGGCGAAGCTATTCCTTTGGAAAAAGTTAGCGTTATATATTTTCTAGCAAACGAATACTAGTTTGTGCCTTGTTAGAGAACAGAAACCAGTTTTTCGCTTCTCCGTTATTATTCACTCGCTATGCAAATCAAGACCGGACTCGCCACAGGCGTTCTTTTGAGTGCCACTGCCCTCGCAGCTAGTATGTGAGAAATTAAAAGACATAAGAGAGCTAAGACAAGACTTTTGGAAAAGGTTTGCTACGATAGGTTTGAGGACGATTTTCCCGTATCCTGAGAACCGGTGCTACTGTACATTCTCTATAATGAACGTTCTTCTTCTCGAGCCATTAACCGTCAGTTATTATTGGAATCTCAGTTTCACCTGTTGTCGACCACGAAAAAATTTCACCAATCTTCGTCAGATCATTATCATCAAAAGACGATGTTTATTATTAGCCCTAGTCTCGTCACGCTCGACGACGGTCGTTCCTGTTACTAACTTATCTTCACAGACTCCACTTCCAGTATTCCTTCTTCTTGTTCGATCAAGTCTGATGCCACTATCAGTGCCCAGGCCGATTTGGACAAGTACTCCGGATGTCAGACTTTGGTCGGTAACTTGACCATCAGTGGTGACTCTTTGTCAGGTTCTGCCTCTTTGGCCAACGTCGAAGAAATCGACGGCTCGTTGTCTGTTTTCAACGCCACCGAGTTGCAGTCGTTCTCTGCCGACAAGCTAAGCAAAATCTCGGGCTCTTTGTCGATGCAGCAGTTGACCCGTTTGGAATCGGCCTCTTTCGGCTCGTTGCAAGAAGTTGACTCCATCATCTTCGTCACTTTGCCAGCCATCAACTCTATCGCTAGTAACCTAAAGTCCGTCAACTACTTGCTGATGGCCGACACCAACTTGGAGTCCATTGATGGTTTCAACGCCCTAGAAAATGTTCAACAGTTCAACGTCAACAACAACAAAAACCTAGCTCAGATCAACTCGCAATTGAAGACCGTCTCTGACTCCTTGGAAGTTAGTTTCAACGGTAACAACGCCGACGTCAAATTCGACAATCTAAAGTGGGCTAACAACATCACCTTGCGTGACGTTAGCTCCGCCTCTTTCCAAAATCTACAATCCGTCAACGCCTCTTTGGGTTTCATCAACAACTCCATTGAGTCTTTGAACTTGACCAAATTGGGATCTGTCGGTGGCACTTTGTCCATTATCTCCAACGAAGACTTGACCGAGGCTATTTTCAGTAACTTGACCCAAATTGGTGGTGCTTTGCTCATTGCCAACAACACCAAGTTGGCTCAAATCGACGGTTTCAGCAAGCTGCAATCCGTCGGCAGTGCTTTGAACGTCATTGGTAACTTCTCGGACTTGGAATTGACCTCCTTGAAGTCTGTCAAGGGTGGTTGCGACGTTGAAACCAAGTCTTCCAACTACACTTGCGACAGCTTGAAGAAGTTGCAAAGCAACGGTGGTATTCAAGGTGACGCCTTCGTTTGCAAGAACGGTGCTACTTCTACCTCCATCAAATTGTCTTCTACTTCCGGTTCTTCCAGTTCTACTGACGACTCTTCGTCCTCATCAGGTGCTAAGGCTGCTACTGCTACCGACTCTTCCAGTTCTTCCTCTTCTTCCAAATCTAAGGGTGCCGCTGCTGGTCAAGTCGTTCCTGCTTCTTCTTTCATGGGCGCCATCGCTGCTGTCGCCGTTGCTTTGTTGTAAGGGAAAATATAGAAATCTTTCTACGGACTTTTCGATCCAACAAGCATGTCACTACACTTTTTAACGCTATCAATCTCTAATATTACATCATATGTGGTGGTTCTGAATTGAGTGTTTGGCTTTGATTTGTTTTCATCCTTCTTCAAAATTTGTTTCGTCGTTTTCTATTCAAGTATTAGAGACGCGCTTTCAGTTTCTCATGACACCGTACTATATTTCAAAGTGCGTAAGGCAATAAACGCTTAGACTCTCGGGTTTTTCTGCTGCCGAGTCCCTTATGTTAAAAAATGTAATTAATTATCCTTAAAGCCATCTTTGTTTACAAACATTGTGGTATTAAACTTTTCTTCATTGGGCTGTTATTTTTGTGCGAACCAGAAGCTAGTTCACGATTGTGTACAGCTGTTGTGTAACCTTTTCTTACACAGCCAACTAGTGAAAATACGAGATATGACAACACATTATTTTTGAATGTTACATAGTCCACGAAGCGGTGCCCTATATTGGCTCTCGTTTATAGTTCAAGGCGCGTTGTCGACGCTCCTCTATAAATCTTTGCAAGCGACGGCCAAGAAATTCAAAAGAATCTGCACGATATGTTCCAAAGCCTCTAACCAGAGCTTCAACTGAGTATTAACTTTGACCTGATCTGCGCCCAGCTTGGCAAAGAAGTCTTTTCTGTAAGGGCATGCCTTCATGGCAAGCTTGAAAACAGGTCTAATGAGCATTCCGTGGTATTTGGTCAAAGTTTTATTGTAAGCGTCGGTGAATGTCTTGGTCAGTTCCAGGTCTGGATGTTCAACAGTTTCACGTAGCGCCTGCGCGGTGAATTGCAAGCCTCTGGTTAGCCATAGCAGGCCCTCGGAAGCACTCTTGTGGCCTGAGCCACGCTCGTTCGTGACTAAATCTTGCAATGTGGACGATTCTGATGGTGCCGTAGTGTATCTCTTGCGTATTTTGGTGATATTGCCGGTTAGATCCTTTTGCACCACCGTGAACGCCGAGTTTCCCAAGAGATCAAACAGCTTCACCAACGATCCGGACGCTTCTAAAAACTCACACGTAGCTATTTTATTGGAGCTATCAACAGGGACTGCTTCAAAAGAAGTCTTCATTTCGTCGAAAAAGGTGCTCATGATTAACAGATTATTCTTAAGTGCTACTATATGCGCCTTGTTAGTCACTCTCAAGCAGTGTGTGTCGCAGGTTAACTACGCTGTGTCCCTCTCACTGACATTTTTCACATTTTTGGCGTTTGCGTATACCGTGATCTGAAACCCTGTTCAACAATAACGAACCTGATTATATTCGAAAACAAAGATAGAAATCAAGATAGAGGTCAGCATAGAAACCGTCAACGGTAATTCGCCCCATTGTTTTTGCAGCGGTCCTTGTATTTCAGCTCTAAAGCGCAAAGTTTGTTTATGATAATTTACACTATATGTGACATGTATATTGTATGCACTGATCATGGGACCTCACGGTCTCTAATCTACGCTCACTATCTTTGGGCTCTCTTCAACCTCATTTTTTCGGCGAAAGATAACTCCTTTTTAGCTGCGGGAGTCGCGTCAGGTGCGGGGATTGATGCTGCGACCGGCGCTGGTGCTGGTGCTGCGACTGGTGCTGGTGCTGGTGCTGCAACTGGTTCTGGTGCTGGTGCTGGTGCTGCAACTGGTGCTGGAGTTCTATTAACTGGTTCAGCATCAGGAACTTCAATACCTTGTCTTCTCAGCCTCATCCTCTCAGCGTAAGAGATCTTGCCAGCTGGAGCTGCAGGAGCTGCTGCTGCAGGTGCTGCGGCAGGTGCAGATCTTTGAGACGAAAGTTGCTTCTCAATGGCTTCTTCTCTTTCTCTTTGCTTGATGTACAGCTCGTCTTTCTCCTTGTTAACTCTGAGACGTTCTTCACGCTCCTTGGCGATACGTGCGGACTCCTCCTCAGCTTTGAGCTCGGCCTTTCTTTCCTCAACAAGCTGTTCGTAGCGTTCTTGGCGGATTTTGTCGATGCGGGCCTTCTTTGCAGCCTCAAAGTTAGCGATGTTTTGAGCACGTAATTCTGCCAGCTGAGCTCCTCTCGTGGATACAAGGTTAGCCTTGAAAGCTTTGTAGTCTTCGTTCATCTTCGCCAAACGCTCGTGCAACTTAGTGTTCTCCTCGTGTTCTTTCCTGGCTGCCTCCATCAGTCTAGTCTTCATCTTGTTATAGTTCTCTAAGTCTCTAGATTCCTGCTTTTCAGCATCCTTCTCCAAAGCTGGCAACTCAACCTTTCTCAATGCTCTTTCCATGTAATCAATTTTCTTAAAGGCGTGCCTCATACGGTCTTCTAGATCCTTCTTATCCTTTGACAGCTGCTCAATTGTCATTCTTCTAATGTCCTCTGCAGTCATAGTCTTGGAATCCTTAGGGTCAATGTGGATAATACCCTTGGCGTTGACTTCTTCAATCAATTTAACCATTTCCATCTCTCTAACCATGGCTTTTTCACGCTCCAACTTTTCTTCAGCACGACGCTTGGCTTCAATTTCCATTCTCGAATCAGCAGCAGCTTTTTCTTCCATCATGCGTCTTAACCTGTCTTCGGCAGCCTGTTCGGCAGTAAGGTACTTACCAGACTCGCCCTTCTTTCTCTCTTCGATTTGCTTGGCTCTTTCCTCAGCGGCCTTTCTTTCGCGAGCAATTGTATCATTGGATTGTTGAATCAAGTTCTCACGAGCAACCTTTACTTTATACATGTAGGAACCATCGGCGAAGCCCTCCACCTCTTTTAGTAGTTTGGCCAAATCGCTCAAGTGAGCGCGGATAGCAGCGTTGCGGGTCACCACTGGCTCAGGTTCGTTTTCAACTTCGGTCTCTTCACCTTCGGGTGTCTTGGCAGCGTCCTCTGACTCTTCGTCTTCTTCAACGTCTTCCGCGAGTGCAGAAGCACCAGCAACAGCAGCCAAGGCCTCAAATGGATCCTTGCTGAAAGTAACGGCGTCAGCTTCGTGGTCAATGGTAAAAGTCACGTAATCTTCCATAGCCGCCTGCATCAAAGATTTTTCGATTTGTAGGCGTGTTAAGTTGAATGGACCTGGTAGCGTTACCATAGAGACTAATTCTTCGAATTCGATAGTCTCGTAGGCCTCTGAGATACCAATGAACAACTTTTTGATGATGAAGTTTCTCAAGGGAACAGCGTACTGTTGAAAGTAAGCCTTAGCTTCTAAGGCTGGTAGCAATTGGGTAAGTTCATCCTTGATTGTCTTAATGTCGAATTTTTCACCAAGTAGAGAGTGCAATTGCTTTACCTCGTCGTCAACTTCAGAGAAAACGGAATCCTCAGTAGCAGCACCAATTAGTTGTTGTCTGGTTGGCTTGGACTCCAAGCTCAATAAGTTGCACAAACGAATTAATGGATCGAATCCAACCACTGGAAGCTCATCACTTGGAATAGAGAGACTAGCTAGCATGAAAGTCGAAGCATAGAATTGGAAATCTTGTTTCGTGGCCTTTGGATTGGTCAAATACAACTTGTAAAACTTCTCCCAGGCGGCAGCATTAAGCAAATAGTTACCAGAGACGAAAAAGATCTTCGCCAAATTCTCGTAATAGTTAGCTAAAACAGGGGGCTTTGCAGAACGCTTAGACATGGCCATCAAATGGTGAACATCTTCAATTGATCTAAAAGCTTCGTGCCACAATTCCAACTTAACAGAAACGTTCACTTGTTGAAAACGTTGGTCTAGATAGCGCTGGAGAGTGCTTGCATCAGACAAATCGACAGTATAGTTGTTGTACTTGTGCTGGTAATTAGCAGAGTCCAAATGTTGACGCAACATCTCGGCTAGTCTCTTGAATTCGTTTTTACGGTTGTATTTCAGACAAAAATTCATGGTTCTGTTAACCGCACCAGAGTACGTAAGTTCTAGCTGCGAGTTGTTCCTGACCAAGTCCAAAACGGCACGGTACGATTCCCATGTAAATCTCAACCACGAGGTGAGGGCTTCATCGTTAAACCCAGCAACAGATTGCTCTTCTTCAGCAGCAGAAATCAAGAGGTTTTCTGGAGTAACACCACCTTCTAAATCTTCATCAGCGTCGTTCTGTTCCAATTCATCGGCTTTAGTTTGTTCTTCAGCGATCTTAACTTCGATCAAATCGATAAACTTACGCGAGACAACACCCACAGAGCTCAACCCCTCGGGGCTAATCTGCATGTTCTTCTTATATTGATGTAAACCATCCTTGATGATCTTTCCCTTCTTCAAGGTTACACCCAATTCTAAGAATTTGAATACAATGGGTTCCAGAGATTGAGGTTGTGCGAAACGGATTCTTCTCATCGACAAGTAAGCGTAAAGCGATTGCAGCGCAGCCAAAGGGTCGCCGACCGAAATCAGCTCCTCGGCTCTTTTGAGAGCATTCTCAGGACGCAAAACTGGTGGCGCCATCCTGATTCGATAAGGTTATGGATTACTTTATTTGATTTGAAGTAGCCTGAACATAATTGTCAAGATGCCCGGTTAAAAAATTTTACATAAAAAATGTATTCACTCTATAGCTTTGTACGAGAAGATGAAATATGATGAGAAGGAATTGGGTCAGTTTAAACAGGTGCGATCCCAAGGTTGTATCTACCCGCATTCTTGCATAGGCACGTTTATACTCAATATTTCTGTATTATTTTCAGATCCGGGCTCTTGCTTACCACTTCCAATACTTCTGACTTCAAACGGACTGGGCCATAAGCTCGACAATCTCGCTCTCTGGGTTTTCGTCGAAGCGGGCCGTTTCAATGTTTGTCAGAGCTCTTTTGATGCCCACGTTGAACTGTAGATTCAACCTCGAGAACTCATTGAGTACTTTCACTCTACCAGCATCGTCTAGGAAATCTGACTCTATCATGACGTTATTGAACTCGTCCAAATTTGTGATGTTCGGAACAGCGATTTCATTATCGAAACAGCTCAAAACATCCATCTGTTGTAGCACGGAATAGGCAGATGTGGTCGAAATGAGCAATAGCCTACGGCCTTGGGGTGGCTTGCGCTTCAAGTATACTTTCAAAGTTTGCAGAATATTGTTTGAGAACCTTGGCCCTATAGGCACCCAATCGACCAAAGTCTCCAGCGAATCTACCACTAGGATATTCAATGATGATTTGTAGGCATCCCGAAAAGTATTATCAATGTAGGCAATCTTCGCGCTTTCAGACATACCAGCCATTTCGTCGGCAGATATTAATCTGATGAAAGGAAAGTCTGACTTCAGTGCGATGGCTGCGGATAAGGCCGTTTTACCGGAACCAGCCGGGCCGTGAATCAACAGTGACACTAACCTCGATTTGTCACTGTCTCGAACTTGACGCACATATCTCTCTCCGTTTTTTAAGATATCCTCGATACGAGGGGAGTACCGAATGACACCGCCCTCAACACAGGTCTTGAGATCCTCCTCGTTGATACCAAAAGCAGGTATCACATCATCCAGAGCGCTTAAGAATTCTTGCATAGTGACTTTCATAGAAGCGATATCTTTAGGGTTGAGTTTCGTAGTACCCTTTCCAATATTCACGGTCTTGTTGATTGCAAAAGAACTGGCACTCTTTACTAGACCCTCGATCTCAGCACCAGAGAAATTCTTGGTTAAAGCTGCAAGCTTCTTTAGGTCGACGTCAGAATCCATCATTTTGTTTTCTCGCATTTTTTTGGTTTGGATTTCGAAGATTTGAAGTCTACCCTGCTCGTCTGGTAACTGAATCTCTACCTGAACTTCAAAACGTCCAGGACGGAGCAGCGCTGAATCGATCAAATCCTTACGATTAGTCATACCAATGACCAGGATATTGTTTAACTGGTCGACACCATCCATTTTAGCCAACAATTGATTGACCACATTGTCTCCGACACCTGTTCCATCACCTCGCGAACCTCTCTGCTTAAAGACTGAGTCTAATTCATCAAAAATAATAATGTGTAAAGAGGACTCGTCACCTTTCGCTTTGTACTCGGTCTCTGCATCCTTGAAAAGATTACGGATGTTTTCTTCTGAAGACCCAACATATTTACTGAGAATTTCAGGACCATTCACGATTTTTGGCTCTCTTGCATTGAGCATTGTTCCGATTTTTCTCGCAATTAAAGTTTTACCAGTACCTGGAGGGCCGTGAAGCAGCAACCCTTTGACGTGAGAAATACCAAGTTTCTCAATTACAGCAGGTGGAAAAATTCTACTAGCAAACGCTCTTCTGAAAATCTTGGTAAATTCTTTATCTAGACCACCAACTCCTAAGTCTTCGAACTTGAAATCTGGTCTTATAACTGCATCAGATCTTGGTCTCAAGGAATTTCCAGATTTCAAATTTACAAGACCGTCTCTCCCCTTGAAATAGTTAATTTGAGTCTGCTTGATTAGTATGCCTTTGCTTTGGATGTTAGTTGACACTGGGGTGACAATTTCGGCATCTCCCAAATCAATAGTTTGCACACCTTTTACCTTCAGGTCAAATATGTGACCCTTGTATTCAAAGATCAAACACTGCGTAGGGGAGAAGATCTGCGATTCGAAGTTCTTCAAGAATTGCTTGGCGAGATCGTCCTGTTCAAAAGGGTTCTCCACGGCCTTTCCTCTTGACCTAAAACTAATTTCCAAGTCCAAAGTGCCCAGGTACGACTGATTGCCACTGTACTTAAAAAGGTCGAACGCCTTTACTTGCACCGACTGGTTCAAAGACCAGCCACCCCAAGTTCTCTGATTGCCATTGAATCCGATCACACCAGGTGCTATTTCGCTAGAGTGCTTAGTAGTGAACACAAACAAGTTATCCACCAGCACGTAGACGTTATCGGGAAAGTCCGAAGCCGATACAGCGGCCACATTAGCCAGAGCATATGCATTGTTGGGACAGTTTGCAACGGCTAATTGGCGTGGCGTCAGATCAACCCCAGACATGTTTGGAGCCGCATTATGGCTAGCTCTTCCGAAAGAGGGCAGCTTCCCTGACAGCCCAAGCTTTTCCATTGTTTCAATCGATAATGTAGAGATGTGTTCTGCTGACTTTTATATAAACTCAAGGTAGATCAGTTACTGGTAATCCTTTAAACTCTAGGTTTTACATATTAAATTGTAATTGCCGTGAATGGCGATGTACAGTAACCAAGGCTTCGAGGCTTCATTGAGCTGATCTGCTTCTTTCGTAGTCTCACTTGGTTGTTGGGGCATACTTGAAAGCATTAAAGGTGGCGGGAGCAAACTCTAACCATTGTGAGTTTATTTGATCGAGCAACAAGCACAATATAAAGCATTGCCAGAGTGTTGAGACTAAGCACCTTGTCGTAACTTGGTCCCTGCTGACTCTACTGGCTGTTGCCGGACATAATTACGGCGTAAAGCACTAGACCAATGAGCATGTACTTCCAGTTCTTTTGCAAGAACGTGCGTTCGTCTACTTCGACGTCTTCTTCGAAAGCAGCACTCGCTGAACCAAGTTTGGATCTCTTATCCTCATAAGTCTTTGTAATTCTCCGGAGCTTAACAGGTGGTGATTCGGGTCCCTGTTGAGGTTCTCGTATCGACGTCTGAATGCCGTCGGCTTTCGGGTTGGGTTTCAGCGACAATTTGTACAAGAGATGTGTGTTGTGTTTTGTGTCCAAGTAGAGATCATAATGCAGGGGATACCTCAGCTGTAAAAGATGGTTAGTACATGAGCTGATGCAATAAGCTTTCTTCTCGAGCTATGCTCAACATACCCTGACGTAGGAAAAACACGAATAATAGTTTTCGTTCATGTGTGCACCAAAACAATATGAATCCTCTTGAAGCGACTCGTTGATGTCGGTTACGTTAACAGAGCTTAGCTCCTCATCGTAAATCAAAGTAGCAAAAGGCAGTCTCTCTGTTTGACCAGGTTTTTGTACAAAAAGTGGCATGCGCACCTCTGAGCCAAACGCGAATGCTAGAAGCAATGCCACAATGCACAGTCCTCTCATATTAGCAGCTATGTTTGGCGCTTCTTATTGTAAAGAACGAGAGCTGTATTCAAGTCCTCACGATTAGTGTAAGACCACTTGAATGTATTCCTCTTTGAAGGAGATGGAGTTTAAGTTCTAAGCTTGAGGAATCAAAATTCGCCAAATTATTAAGTGTATGCAAATAAGGTCAAGTTTCAGTAACGAAACAGAAGAGCGGTGTATAGGATGGGGAGACTTGCGAAATTTTTAGCCATCGCTATCGTTCTTAATGAATTGACTTCAGGCTATAAGTTGATGCACGACTCGAATATGTCGTCTGAATACTCCATAAACTATGTGAGTCAAAATGTATTTCAAAACACAATATTGAACAATGCCTCACTCATGGCTGATGGCGAGATACTCAATTTCGGAGACGAGACGTCCTGCTTCAAGCCCAATGTTAGGTCCGAGACTGTCGACTCGGATTTTTGGGAATTGAAACTTCAGGAGAAAAGAGTATTAAATAAGAGTTCGGAAGTAATCACGAAAAAGCTTTCGGGCAAGTGTTTAATCTATCCTAACGGATTCTGGAACTACAGTTTTTGCTATGGCAAGAGCGTCGCCCAATTCACTATGCCCTCAGATATGCAAGGTCTGCATTACTTGCTCGGCAAATTCGATATTCCAGATCATGACGATCTTCGACTTGTCCACGATCTTGGAGGCTATTACGTGGCCGATACAGGAAGTTATGGAGATGTCTGTGTTGAGACGGACGCTATGCGTGAAGTAGAAATACAATACGTTTGCAAACCAGGTGTTAATGAAGCCCGCATTCTAGCCGTACGAGAAGTCAAACTGTGTCGATATGCAATAACTGTTGCAATCCCAGAGCTTTGCTACTTAGACCTGTTTTCCACTGAAGGGAAAAACAAATCGGTGCATTCGATAGTTTGTACAAGAGACGTTCGCTCAACTGACTTCGATTCCGTGTATATGATCAATTATCAGCCATTCTTTCTGGGGCATGGTTTTTACTATTTACAAAATCATTCAGATCGTAATGACTCTGACAGCGATATCTCAAGTGCATCCATGTTGCTGTACACAAGTGATTTAGTCTTCTCTGAAGAAAATGCAGATTTGCACAAATCCGAGCAGCTCTTTCTGGAGAGGGCGGTAGCCGCCTTCCAAGAGTTAACATCTCAACGATTACTATTCGCACCTGATGGTCAAATATTCAGTACTGGCGACACAGTATCGTGGGTGACCGAAGTAGTCAATAGTGGGGGAGAAAAGTTGTGTGTGCTTCGTGTGACAATTGACGAGGCCTCAACGGCCAACCTTTCCTTTGATCAAATACTGCCTGGAAGCATTCCGATTCGTGAAAACATTGTTCATTACACGCGTGCGATTCCTCAAGAGGTAGAGCTGTTCAGTGAGTTATCAACTGAACCGGACCTAGTCGACGAGAGCCCAAAGAGAGACCGAACCTTCGAGGTATCAAGTGGAATAATAGTGTCAGAGAGAAGAACGGAACACACCTATGATAAACTGAAACAAGAAAGTACCGAGCAGGAAAATAAAAATAATCTTAGTCCTGGTTTCGACGCTCAAGAAGAGGTAGAGGAGGGAACCGAAGTCGAACATGACGAACTTTAGCATATAACAAATTCGATAGAGTTACAATCATTAACTATAGAGACAAATATGAGGCCAGACAAAAAAGTGCTGCTTGATACAGCGAATTTTATTCTGAGACTTTAGGTAGGCTTAGGGTAAATGACTGGGGCGCGGTGATGTCAGCCGTCTCGTTAGAACTGGTCTGTTCTTTCTCGTTCCATAGCTGATCAGAAGAACCTCTATTAGCGCGTTCAGGGGCTTTCTTGATGTCAATCGGCTGCGACGGATGATCAGGTGCAAAAAAAGCATCGGATATGGGCTTTTTCCTGTAGTTAGTGCTTATTTTTCCAGTGGGAGGTAACCTGGGTTTGCCCGATGACTTGGACTTAGAAGGAATATCTTCATCTTCGGCAAGGACAAAATCGGTACTCTCTTGGTGTCTTCCTGAAGCGCTTTCGGAGGTCTTTTGTTTCCCATTTTTCAAACTCTGATTTTTGAATCGACTCAGAGCCCTCTCCAAGAGGGGCTGCAATGTTTTCCAGTATTTGCCTTCCTGAACTGAATTTGCAGTAACATCGGAGTAGGCAACATCATTAAATTCTTCGGGTTGAATTTTTTTGTCCTGTATCTTGGTCTCAGATCCCTTTCCTTGGAACTGAAAGGTCAAGAGCTGCATTGGAACAGAATTACTCAAGACTCCGAACTCACGATCAAGACCTAAGTCTTTGAATCCAAAGAAATCTTCGCCTGTAATTTCGCTGGAAAAATCACCAGTCATAAAACTCTGACTTTCGTCTTCAAAGTTCTTCTCCGACAAATCCTGCAATGTTGGCCGCAGAATTTCCTTGAGGAAGTTGTTGAGCTTAAGCTTAATATCAGTCAGCTTATTGTTCTTTTTGACAAATTCGGCTTCGATATATGAATATAAGTCGTCGGGTTTCTTAATACCATTTTCAAGTAGCGACATTTCCAAAATTTCAACTGGTTCTTTTGGATTCAAGGACGTACTTTCGTGGTGGATCTTCACCGTTTTCACCAGATTCGATAGGTATTCTCCAGCAATTTCGGTGAGCATGTTAATTGCCACAGGCTGGGTGCTTTCAAATCCGTTTGACATGGCTATTTTTGAAACGTTCTTATGCATCAGGCGACGGATTAACTGTTTGTCATGCTTCTGGTTTCGCGTCGAAAGCCTGGACACTGGATCCAAATCCAAGTCATCATCAATACAAGTAAACTTATATTTGTGAGTATCCCAGATCTGGCTATTAGAATTAATTTGATTGCTTTTGACCTGTTGAGACGGATTTTGAGGATTTTGAAGCATTCGTATCAATGCTATTTTATGACAGATATGTCTAATCTCTTGTATTAGCTGAATATTAGCGTTAATTTTGGGATTAAGGCCCTTGTCTTTATTAGCAAGGAATTCACTCTCGTGCAAGTTTCCATTGGACAAAATCGACTCCACGATTTTGCTCTCCGCTTGGTCTATCTCACTATTGTCTATTCCCTTGTACTTGATTGCCGGTACGGAATTTGCAACATTGTATTCTGTCAAAAAGTTGGCGTCATCCAGCTCAATTTCAGTAGAGCCCTTCTCCATTTCGCTATCATTATTGATACCCTGGGACTGCTGTGCTAGTGCCAAAGAGATGTCCTCCTCTTCCTGTTTCACCACAGTGCCAAATCCGTTCTTCATTATTGATTCCTGTTCCAGTTTTCGCCTCTCCAATTCGGCATTCTGTTGATCTTTGTATTCCTTCAGAAACTGCTCGAAGTCTTTCATTTTTCCAGGATTCCGAAGAATCGCAGGAGCTTTCATGTTAAGACCATGTTTATCGAACAGATTGCCTCTTTTTATGCAAAGCTCCGCGCGGACACTTGCTGTGGAATTTTTCCACGTAGAAAGCTCCAAATCGTCTTTATCGTCATCCTTCTCTACCAAATACATGTTCGAGCCTAATTCCCCATCTTCCTCATCTTCTTCATCATCTTCTTCATATCCCGGTTCCTGATCCATTTCTCGAGTCTCTTCCTCTTTTTCTATAGGCTCTTGATCCCCTCTGGTATCAAGCTGCTCCTCTTCTTGTAAGTTTTCGATGTCGGCTCCGGAGTCAAATCCTGAAACGCCATTTTCCATAACAGCGCTCTTGCCGGCGCGTGTATTACTTTTTGTTGCAACTTGTGATATATCCTCGTTCTCATCCATGTTGTCCTCATCTGCAGAAAGAGCTTTTGAGCCCTTGAAGCCTTTATTCGAGATTTCGCTACGTAGTTCATCAACGGCAGACGGTGTTTCTGGCGTCGTAGATTTTTTTTCACCAGGCCCATGTTTAATGCCACGAACATTTCCTCCCTTTCTCCCGGTCCCAGAGACCTCTTCTTCCTCCTCCCCGTCTTTGTCATTTTCTTTGTCTATGTCTTCTAGTTCTCGCTCCACCTCTGAACGATCCCTTATAGTAATATCGGGGATTAAAGGGATTAGTGCTAGTGACTTCTTTTGCATAGCAATAGCATGTGTTCTGAGAAAGTGTTTAGGGTCTGAATTATATGTAAGGCAGTTCTTCCATATCAACATAACGTCATCAACAAATTCTTGTTTTGAATTGTATTGGTAGGTTTTCAGCTTCTTCAAGACTGTATTCAAATCCATGGGTTTTTTGATAATTTGATAATAATTAGGCGCTTCCCTCTTACTAACTTTATTGAGAAAAGCCGTAGAGTGCTCGGTAAAATTTCGAAGCTCGAGTACAACCTTTTCACAAGCATCATAAAGTTCTTCTTGCCCTATTTTGTCATCTGATGCCCACTTTGATCTGTTTTTTCGAACATCCATGATCAAATGCCTTAACTCATAGTCTGATATATCTAACTTTGACTTATTGTCCTGGATGGACGCCAGCAAATGCTTCAAGGAGAGGTTTGCAGAGCCTAAATTGACAGAGAGTGAAGGAGTGTCACTTTTTTGCGACTTAATCTTTTTAGAATCTACATCCAAATCCATGGATTCCTCTCTCTCTTTGTCAGTGGTCGTTTCAGTCTCCTGATGTGATCTTTTTTTCGAAGGCTCCAATAGTTTGTCGCTTTCTTCCAGTTTAAGCCTTTTTAGCAAATTTTCTCGGTCATTCTCGAAGTTGTGGTATATCCTGTTGAAGTTTTCTATTATTGCCTGAGTATTTGTGACACCTAAGGCCGATAAGGTATCCCTGGTAATTTCTAAGACGAAAATGAGACGACCGAAATCATCAAATGATATTTGTGTATCAGTCTGATTTGATTCCTTTTGATCAAGTACCGGTACAACGTTATTATCGTTTTCGTCGGATTCAACATCGTAATCTTCTTCTCTCTCTTCTTGGTTTCGCTCAAATTCCGTTCGTACACTTGACTTTCCAGAAGCATCAGTGCCGGATTGAGAGTCATCGACTCTTTGGTTCGCAGCTTCATTCAAAGGCAGAAGGTCTTGCTTATCCTCGGAAAATCGATCGCACAAAGGATCTATCGCACTCTCCCACAATACGTACCTGATTTTCAGTGACAAGTTCCCAATAAATTCTGTTCCACTCAGTTGTTGCTGTAGATTTTCTAAGTCAACCTCGGAGAAGTCAGCGTCCAGCGAAAGATCCGCTTCCTTCTTCACAGGGACATCGGATTGATGGCTTATTTCGGAACTGGACTGAGTTGTTGTGTGGTCTTGTTTTGGAGCATCGGAGCACTGCTCGTCTTTCTTGTCGCACTTGTCGTCGGGAGATGCGATCTCTTCGATTTCTGAGCTTTTCTTTGAGTTGTCACTAACTGCTTTTTGGCCGTGATCCCGTTCCAATTTCTTAACAACATCTAGCACCACATTACTATTCACCAGCTCCACCCACACTTTCTCTTTGTAAACGGGATCTTGTACCGTTAATACCTTATTAAGCACGATGAGCTGCTGTGGAGTCAGATATTGATGGAATGTGCTATCTTGGAAAAGCTTCTCGGCGTATTTGAGCAAAAGACTAGCATCCGTTCTTTGGTAGTTGGCAATTGGTACCATGCAGTCCATTGCCGCCTTTTGTTCCCAACGTGCGGCTTGATTAACTTTTGAGTATCCACCGGAGATGCCTTTTCCTTTGAATTACTATTTGGCATAATAATTTTCGATATCTCAACAAGTCATCTGACTTATGACTAGTTTAGGCGCTTGAACATTCAGAACTCATTAGCAAACACCGGCCGACTGAGAGGGTACTTGCACGTATTAGTGGGCCCCGACGACTGCATCAAGCTCTCTAAAGGCCCCAGTGTAAAGTTTTAAAGGACGACGCGACATTCATGTTTTAATTTGGTCACAACGATTAACATTTACTACGCGGGAAACTGTGGGGATTTTTATCAGGATAAAGATACCGCCCAGTTGGTTCTAGCCAGAATATTGTATTTGGTGTTAGATCACGCCTAATTCTTATTTGTTTGTTAAAGCTTTTATTAATATGTTGTCTCAGGTGTTAAGAAAGTGCACAAGCGAATGCCCCTCGGCGTCTCGAAAACATAAAAGTCAACCCAAAAGACATCAACACAAAATATGAAACCTCCAAAGTTAGCAAACTGCAGGATCAATTGATACATATAAGGATGAATCATATCACCGTTGACTTCCAAAAGTGTGATTTAGCATATACAGTACAGCTGGTAAAACTATTATGGTATTATGTTATCATGGTAGCACAATTTTATAAATAGCTTGCGTGGCGTAATGGCAACGCGTCTGACTTCTAATCAGAAGATTGTGGGTTCGACCCCCACCGTGAGTGTTTATTATTTTTTTATTATTTTCACTCGAAATTACCGCTGTGCAGCAAGATCTGTTGCTATTCATAGAGACATGGAAAAACCAATATGGAAAACACAGTAAGCTGCGAGGACGTTTAAACGTGAAAAATATGTATTTTCCTTAGGTATTTACTTCATTCAATGGTTGCTGTGCGCGGAGCCTGGTACTGAAATCATGCTTTCGTTACGCTGCAGATGCTTTTTGATCAACTAAAAAAAACAACCTCTGGTGTTATTTTGTGAGGTATTGAGTCCACCGCGAGGCTTCTTGATCTAATTGTGATTCCGGCTTCAAACAGCGTACTTCTTGGTCCACTCCTTGGCGGTTGCTTCGTACTTGGCTCTATCGGTCTTGTAAATGTGCGCAATCTCTGGAACCAAAGGATCGTCGGGATTTGCGTCTGTGAGTAAAGAACAGATGGATAGCAAGACCTTGGAGATAGTCAGCGCTGGAGACCATTGATCCTTCAGAATGTCCAGACAAATGTTACCGTTGGCATTGATGTTAGGATGGTATATTTTGGTGGTGAAGGAGATCTTTGGAGGTTTGAACGGATAGTCCGTTGGGAAATGTATCGAAAGGAAGAAAACACCGCCGGCATAGGGAGAGTCTGGAGGACCCATGATGGAGGCTTGCCAGTGGTAGAGATCATCGCCCACGGGACCAGCCGAACAGGAAGTGGGTGGGTCTCTGCGATATACAGTTAGCATTTAAAAAGGGTTTACGACGAAAAAAAAGACCGAACGGGGTTGAAACCGATCCTGAAAGCACTCTTTGCATACTGGGAGACACCGGCTTAAGATCCGGTCGAGGATAGTGAGATCGGTTACCCACTCCTCAGAAAAAATTTGGTGAACCGGAACTATGCCTGCCGGGTATTCACAAAGCTCTCTCAAGCGGTCTCAAAGCTCTTTCAGAAGCTAACAAATAAAAACATACCTTCCCAAATCGTTAAGTTCCTTTGTAATACGCTTTAAAGACATGGCTTATTGTTTCTTTACAGCTGATGCTACCTGAATCGCCACCGTCCTGGAGATAGACAGAGTGGAACTTTTCCTACAAATTTGTGAGACTCGGTAAAACTGAAAAGCCAAGAAAAGGCCGGGTAACCGCTAAGTACTACTTACAAAAGGCGGGTAACGAGTATAATAGTACTTGTCGGCTAGTGTGTACCTGTTCAAATGATGGATAAATCGAGCTCTGCAATACAAGGAGGTACCGTGAGCAGCTTGTTTTGTTGTACTTGCGAAAGCCTTGCCTGAGTTCTGGAATAATTAAGATATACACTTCTGGATGCTAATTGCGCCTGGTTTTTCATTCTGACAATTTGCTGAACCTCTAGATCTAAACCGCGGCTACACTTGTTTAGGAAGTTAAGTCAAGATACGCAGCCAGAACAGTCGCCCTGCAATTTTGTGAAGACACTCTAGGCACCATGAAGACCGCTGGCACATACAATCGTACCGTACGATACACAACTTGATAAGCATCAAGACGCCGAGGCTGTAGTTCACCCTCTTTACATTAATTATGCAAGAAGCTATCAGCTCGTAGTAACTAGTATCAATGAGCCCTCGTTGGCTAACATTTTCGACCGCGCACTGGCCGTTAACCAATGAAAAGTCCCTAATCACAGAAACGTTACTTGACCGTACGAACTGTACCACTTTAAGCTAGATAGAATGCAGCACACAATTGGCTGTTCAAACGGGAAATTCTAACAATCACATCGCTCAAGCTGCAGCCCGCGCATCTTTCAAAGAGCAACAATTGACTGTTTGTTTGTCAGTTGGGGTGCCTCACGATAAGCTAGCCCTCTCCATTATGTTTCAGAAATTGTCAAGTCATTGTGTGGCACCAAGAGCATCTCCTCAATGGCATTTATCGCGAATGTGTGTGCCGTTGAGTGCTAATGAATTTCTCATGTGCCAGCAACGTCAGTTCCAATTTTTTTCCACAACGACAGATCTGGAAGAGTGTAAACAACGGAAACGCGGTGAAAATCGAATCGAAAACCAATCTCAAATGCCGCACATGTCTTCAACATATGTTGCCTACTGTTATGTTTCATCTTATGCCAAGTATTGAATGGCTGGTAAGCTGAAGCCGTTCCGCGGTTATAATTAACAAGCAAGTGCGGTGCCTATCAAAGGGTTTCCGTAGATCGCTGTTTCATCCTGAAACAATTCAATGCAGAATAGGACGTGCCTAGATGCTAGATGGGCCGATTTGTGGTAAGATAGGAAATAGTTGCCCAACTTGTTAGGAACAAAGTGACAGAAGCGTACACTGTGATATAACACTCTCTTTCTCCCTCTAATAATGAACCCCCAATGACCGAACTTGATGTAACGAAACAAAGCATGCTCTTTTAATGGGCATTCAAGTGTAAGGTAATTGACAGATTATCGCTAAAGTACTCAACTGGCATTCAGAAGGCCAATTTTTGTTGTGATTTATTAGTTCATTAAGCTTAGCCATCGACGACGAATCGAGAATAAATATTTTATCACCGCGAACGGATCTGCTTCTGCTCTTAAAAATTTTGCAGCGTTTAATTGTTTTGAGATGAGATGCGATGCCGATGAGCTTGAACATACAAGTAACTCGTTGCCATCTAAACACTCAAAACCCCTGTAATAAATGAGTGGCACTGGGTTAAATCTGTCCACGCTCAAGGATAAGGTTTCTTCGAAGCTGAACGAGAACCGGAAGCCATCGAAAGCGGGTAAAAAGGGCTCCAAGAAGGACAAGAAGGACAAGAAGGATAAGAGGGATAAGAAGGAGATTGAAGACGACAAAGTTTCTACCAAAACTACCGAACGTCCTGTCTCGGCAAAAGCTGCACAAAATGAAGCTCTACGCCGCGAGGCGCTAGCTTTGGGTGCTTCTGAAAAGGATCTAGACCTGATCAATGGACTGTCAGACGATGACAACGTCAGCGAACAAGAATTTGGCGACGCCAAACAGGAAAACGATAAAGCTTTCACCAATGAATTTCAAGACTTTTTGAAAAACGCTGGTATTGATGGTGTTCCAACACCTGAAGATTTAGACGAGGACGAGGTGAAAGCAGAAGACGAGGGCGAAGAAAAAACCGACCAGTCGCTTCAAGAATCAGAAAATGAAGATGTGGAGGAAGAGAACATACCCGAGCTTGTGAAAGTCACCGCAGAAGAAGAACTTAAAATTGGATCCGATTCGTCCGAGGAGGAAAACTCCGCGGCTGAAGAGGGTCCGTTTCTTAATCAGGACTCAGAACCCGAAACCGAAGAAAAGAAGGAAGACAAGAACTTGATCTCGCAAACCCATTTAGTGACCTCTGACAAGCTGTTGCTGCCTGCAGATGAGGTGTGGCATCAGATTCCATTGGACCAAGAGGCTAATGTACAGAACGATCCACTGCCATCCGATAAAATCGATACCTTATATCAAAGAGGTAAAGAAGCCCTAGAAGCTGAAAACACTCTTTACTACGACGAGTTCACAAAGAACTCCTCGCAGAGAAAGTTTATGTCTCAAATTTTGAGCGATGGTACCTTAAACGATAAAATATCTGCATTGACTTTGCTCATTCAAGAATCCCCGCTGCATAACACTAAATCCCTGGACACACTAATTTCATACTGTACTAAGAAATCCAGAAATTCAGCTTTACAAAGTTTGAACGCACTAAAGGATTTGTTGTTAAGCGGCTTACTACCGGACAGAAAATTGAAGAACTTCAAAAATCAAAACTTATCCATGATGTTGAATAAAAAAACGTTGGCCATTTTCTATTTCGAAGACTATTTGAAAGAACTTTATTTCAAGGTTTTGCAAGTTATGGAAAGGCTGTCTCACGACCCGATCATTTACGTGCGTATGCAAGTCATATCGCACATTTTTGATCTTTTGACTGCTAAGCCTGAGCAAGAGTTCAACTTATTGAGACTTGGAGTTAACAAATTGGGTGATATTGACAAGAAAGTGTCTTCAAAGACCTCATTCCAACTGTTGAAGCTTGAGCAAGCTCACCCCAACATGAAGTCCATTGTTTTGGATGCTACGGTGGATGTGGCATTGAGACCAAGTGCTGATTATCATACTACTTACTACTCGGTTCTGACTCTAAACCAAACGATTTTGAAAAGGTCTGAGGAAAGAGTTGCTAATCAATTAATCAAGACATACTTTACACTATTTGAGAAATACCTGCTTTCCACGGATTCGTCAAATGTGGAAGAAGGTGACCATGCCCCCAAAAACAAAGATGCATCTTACGAAAACAAGAGAAAGAAGAATTTCAAGCGTGGTAAGAAAGGTGGGAAATCGGTCAAAGATGACAAAACTGAGAAAGAGGTTGTGGATGAAAAAAATTCCAAACTATTTTCTGCCATTTTGACAGGTCTAAATCGTGCGCTTCCATTTTCCAACATGCCTGCTAGCGTGTACGAGACTCACTTGGATACTTTGTTCCAAATCACGCACTCTTCTAATTTCAATACAGCAGTGCAAGCTTTGGTACTGATACACCAGGTCACACTGAAGGCAGAATTGAACAATGACAGATACTACCGTACTCTGTACGAGAGTTTGCTGGATGCGCGTTTACTGACTTCGTCGAAACAAGGTATTTACATGAATCTGCTTTACAAGTCTTTGAAAAGTGACAAGCACATCCCTCGTGTGGAGGCGTTTGTAAAGAGAATCTTACAAGTGTGTTCGAGTTGGTTGAATGTTGGGGCTCTGTCGGGAATGCTTTACTTGCTGCTGCAATTGGGGAAATCGGTACCGCAGATCAAAAATTTGTTCACAAACACACCTGCAGACGACGAATATGCTTCTGAGGGTGAAACGGAGGCGGTTGATGGTGATGCGCGCAGCGCCGTATACGATAGCCGCAAGAGAGATCCCAAATTTGCAAATGCGGACAAGACCTCGCTGTGGGAAATCCGCAACTTCCTGCACCACTACCATCCAACGGTACAGAGCTACGCAGATGCGTTTTTGAACAGCTCCGAAGAGGTGACAAAACCAGACTTGGGGCTGTACACTTTGGTACACTTTTTGGACCGTTTTGTATACAGAAACGCCAAGCAGAAGCGCACAACCCGTGGTACGTCGATCATGCAACCTTTGGGCGGCTCGCACACGGGATCGCTGATCGTGCGGGCGTCGGACGCCAACACAACGGGCACAGATGCGGTCCCCGCGAATACGCAGGACTGGCTTGCCAAGAAAGCCGAGATGGTAACGCCCGACGAGCGGTTCTTCCACCAGTACTTCAGCACGAAGCAGAGTGCCATTAAACGCGCGGACAAGGGTGGTGGTGGTGGTGGTGGTGACGACGGGGATGCGGAGGAGAGCGAGCTGGACGAGGACGAGGTTTGGGACGCGCTGGTGAAGTCGCGGCCGGACGTGGAAGCCGACAGTGACGATGACTTGTCCATGGAGGATCTGGAGGATCTGGATGAGGACGAGGAGGACGAGGAGGACGAGGAGCCCGAGGAGCCCGAGCTGGAGCAGGACGAGGATCTGGATGACGACGACGAAGAGTTCTACAGCTTTGCAGACGAGGGCGCCGCGGAGCACGTGACGGGCACGAAGCGCGCACGTGACGAGGACAGCGGCAGCGACGACGACGCGGCCCTGGCGCAAGCGTTCCAGAGCGATTCCGACGACGCCGACTCCGGCGCCGACTCCGGCGCCGACGCGACCACCGCCACACCCGAGATCCCCCAGCCGGGCCGCCGTCTGGACCGCAAGAAGCTCAAGAGCCTGCCCGTGTTCGCCTCCGCCGACGAGTACGCCGAGTACATGAGCGAATAGCGGCCGTATAAAGTGTACATTATGTAATCCCAGATATATTATTTCTCTCCCCCATTCTCTCTCAGCTCCCTATTCGGCCCATGGGGGCCCAGGCCCCCAGGCGCCCCTATAACCCGAGAAAGGAAAATATATAAAAAAAAAAACAACATAACATGAAAAAAAAAACCCACCATTTCTGAAACACAAACGTCTGCGGCACGTATGCGGCAGCCCTGTTTCACATTCACCCGCTGAAACATGAGCATCAAATTCGCGGATTCGCTGCCACCGCGCAGCACCACTCCTGGTTATTGGACTTGAATAATCGCGATCCCGCAGCTGTGAATGCATCTAACGCGTGTTGACAGTATCGATTGTACTGAGTCGCGCAACGATAACCCTGGCGGGGCCGTTTTCAGCGTTTTTTGGATCAGGCGCTTCGTCCAGGTTGAACGGTTTGTCGAAATACATTAGTGCAAGCAAAGCACAGAAGCATGGCGATGTTGTGCTAGCGGGTGTAGAGGCCGGGGACTACATATAGAGCAGGGTATGAGGGGAGACGGGGCGAGAGTTTAATTGGAGCCGGTGCAGAAGAGGCACGAGCAGACGTGGGCGGCGTAGTGGTATTCATAGAAGTACTCGAGCATCAGCGAGGGAAGGAAGGAAGGAAGGAGCACACCCACAGCAGAGATGCCCAACAACAGCAATCACAACACGCGGATCTTCGACGTGTACGCCGGCGAGGCAGCGATGCCGGCGCACATGACGGACATCATGTCGCACGAACAGAAGGTCGCGCTGGACGAGCGGGTATCCGCGGCTGCGGCGGCTGCGGCGGCAGCCACAGCGGCTGATGCGGACCACAGCAACAACGAGGCGGAGGACCAGGAGGAGGAAGACGAGGGAGAGTTCTACGACGGGGACGAGGACGAGGAGGACAACAGCAGTGGCACGTCGCTCGTGAACTCGGGAACCGGCGGCGCAGTGCGGCTGGGAGACCTGCCCGTGCGAAGCGATCCGGGCTTCGAGCGGGGCGGGTCGCTTCCCACGGCGCGCCCGGCCCGGCTCAACCTCTCGCCCGCGGCCGCCGCCGCGCTCACCAACATGGACATCTGGTCCGTGCCCGTGGAAAATGCATTTCTGGCCGCGCTGCGGGTCATCCCGAAAAAGGGCACCGCCAAGATCAAGCTCAAGGACCGCAACTACGGCCGCAACGAGCTCATATCCGTCTACATCCAGCATCGCGTGGGCGAGTACCGCGCCAAGAAACAGATCTCCTCGCACATCCAGGTGTGGAAAAAGTCCATACTCAACAAAGTGCACAACGGGTCGCAGATCACGCTGTACGAGGAGGAGCTGCTCGAGCTCATCGAGAACGGCGCGGCGCAAACCACCGAGAACGAGTGCGCGTTCCACGCCATATTCACCGAGATACTCGACGGGCCCATGGCGCTGCAGATGCGCGACTCCTCGGTCTCCACGGCCACCTCGGACTCGTCCGATATGCGGGACCACCAGCACCAGCACCAGCACCAGCAGCAGCAGCACCACATCATTTTGAACGCGCCTGGCGCCGTCCCGGTGAGCGCCGCCAGCATGCCGGGCGGTCACGTGTACGACCCTTCGCAGGCCGCTCGGATCCCCTCCGGCTACGCCTACGCGAATCCAGCGATGCCTGCGGGCGTTCCGGAGCCCCTGACGCCCTTGGAGTACGCGCGCAGGGTCTACAGCAATCTCCGTTCCTACAAGTGCGTGCCCGTCAACATGCACGACTACACCTACCAGCATCCCGAGTCTCAAGTCGAAGGAGACAACAACCAACAGACGCTACAGGCTGCTCAGCAAGTGGCTACGCAGCAGCGACAACTCATCGAAAATATGTACGTGGGGCAGGCGTACGGACCGCCCCCAACCTCCGATTTGGGCCCCGACCACGTCGATTACCCACGTTACGATTTGCATGCGTTTGTACCGCCCACGGCAGCCAGGCCGCCGGAACCGCCCTCTGAGGACCGGCATTCCAGGTCGAGCATTTATCCAACGCGGAGTGACAGCTCCGACAACTACCTGCCTGGGGATTCGCAGACATGAGCAGCACCTGGGAATGCACGACGTGGACGATTTTAAAGAAATAGGAAAAGTTGCATTAGTTCGATGTTAAAAAGGCACATGAGAATAGAAAAAAAATAGATTAGTATAGAAACAACGCTGGCATTAGTTGTCGACTTTCGGTGAAACTCTAAATAATGACACGATGGTATAAAGTGACAAAGGCCGTGTGTGTTGGGCTGGTGAAAAAAGTATGTATGCTGCTGATAGTTGAGGCGTAGGTGAGCCAGCCAATATCACCTTGTTTTTGTCCTAAGCATGCGAGAGCCTTCGACAAGGTTGGGGCCACTTTTAGTCCTCTTTCGTCGGGGCCTGGAACCTCCAGATCGTTTAGCGCTCGGGGTTTATCACTCTGTACCGATCTGTCATTATGCTTGATACGAATATCGCTCTATATTTTGAAACATGTTCGATGTTATCCACTGATTAGCCGTGTATGTTGTATAAGATCGAGCATCGCCGAGTTTGTAGTTGGTTAAGTTCGGTAATTTTTTGAGATATGGGCGATGTTAGCGCGCCACGACAGAATTGTCAAAAGTGATATGAACAACATTTGCTAAACGATATCAGACCAAAGAGGCCTAACAAGAGGTCTAGACTTATTGTTAGCTTATCAATGGTCCGATAGAGAAATCAATCGGATGATGTTTCTGCTTCTGCTCCTCAATCAATCGTGGAAGAAACAAACTGATATTAACAGCCTCTCTCTTACTGAACCAGACATGCCTGATCACCCACAACCTTCAACTACAAATCCACAGCTCTCGCTCCATAATTATGGAAGAGCCAACCAAGAATGCTAGCAAGCTTACTATCGCCGAATCGGACTCGCCCCACTAATCAAAAACCAAAAAAACAAAACAAACTATAGTCAAGTTCTCACATCCCGATGAAGAATCCACTCGAGTGCATACTGATGGTCTCGGACCGCAAGTTGTTGACACAATGCAACGCTCACGCCAATCAATTTATTTAATTGGCATTTCATCAACTTTTGACTCTTCTCACTCACATGACACATGCCTGAACCATTTTCCACTCTCATCGGTTCCCAAAACTTTTTTACCGCGACCATCTGGAGCCAAAAAATAATAATTGAAAAGGACCCTCTGCACGCCCAACTTTCCTGGTAAACATCTGGCATCTTTACGCACTTCAAAAAGCGAACTTTGGAGTCCCAGAACCATGCTCTCTCGCGCGGTGAAAAGGGCATCTTTGAGACGGTTTTCCGTCCCACAACTGAGAAGTGTGACACTCTCGCGCAGCTCTGCTTTGAACAGGACTTCCCAGTTCCTGTACCATACCCTTTCTGGTACCAAAATTGCCAAGAGTATTCGGGATGAAGCAAACCAAGAGATTGAACAGATTAGAGCCAGGGTCCCAGGTTTCAAGCCAACCTTGAAGATCTTCCAAATTGGCACTAGACCCGATTCGTCTGCATACGTGCGCATGAAGCTGAAGTCGTCGGAAGAAAGTGGAGTGCATTGCAACGTGGAAAAGCTGCCTGAAAATATCTCTGAAGTAGAACTACTGAACAAAATCGACGACGTTAACAAGAACGACGCCGTTCACGGAATACTTATCCAATTGCCGCTACCCAAGCATCTGGACGAAACGAAAATCACCAACTCTGTTCTTCACACCAAGGATGTGGATGGCTTCCACCGTTACAATGCTGGGGAACTTTCCAAGAAAGGCGGTGAACCAATGTTTATTCCTTGCACGCCAAACGGATGTATCAGACTCTTGAAAGAGGCTGGTGTTAATTTGAGAGGCAAGAACGCCGTGGTTTTGGGGCGTTCTGATATCGTTGGTACTCCTGTTTCGTCTTTGTTGAAAAACATGGATGCTACGGTCACTGTATGCCATAGCCACACCACCAATCTACCTGAAATACTTTCTCAAGCTGACGTTGTGGTAGCTGCGTGTGGCAGAGCTAATTACGTTAAGGGCGAATGGCTCAAAGAGGGCGCCATAGTTATTGACGTAGGTATCAACTACATCCCAGATTCTACTAAGAAGTCCGGACAAAGACTTGTCGGTGACGTTGACTATGAGTCTGCCAAGAAAAAAGCTTCTTTTATTACACCTGTCCCTGGTGGAGTAGGCCCAATGACTATTGCCATGTTGGTCCAGAATGTTTTGCTAGCTGCTAAAAGACAACTATCCGACTCTAATAAGACTCCTACGATTTCTCCTCTGCCACTGAAACTCTTGAACCCAGTTCCCTCGGACATCGACATATCTAGAGCTCAGACGCCTAAGAAAATAAACCAAGTTGCGGAAGAATTGGGCATTAATGCTAATGAGTTAGAGTTATTCGGTCATTACAAAGCCAAAATTTCTCCAGCGGTTTTGAAGAGGTTGGAAAATAATGAGAACGGTAAGTATGTGTTAGTTGCAGGCATTACCCCAACGCCGCTAGGTGAAGGGAAGTCAACCACTACAATGGGTCTAGTGCAAGCATTGACTGCGCATTTAGGCAAGCCCTCGATCGCCAACGTTCGCCAACCCTCAATGGGACCAACTTTCGGCGTGAAAGGTGGCGCTGCTGGCGGTGGTTACGCCCAGGTTATTCCAATGGATGAGTTCAATATGCATTTGACTGGTGATATTCATGCCATTTCCGCAGCCAACAATCTTTTGGCTGCTGCTATCGATACTCGTATGTTCCATGAATCAACTCAAAAGAAGGATGCTACGTTTTACAACAGACTAGTTCCAAAGAAGAAAGGCAAGCGCACTTTCACCAAATCTATGCTCAAGCGCTTAGAAAAATTAGGTATTCAGAAAACTAACCCCGATGATCTGACTCCTGATGAAATAAAGCAGTTTGCTCGTCTGGACATTGACCCAGAAACAATCACTATAAAGAGGGTTGTTGATGTGAACGACCGCATGCTACGTCAAATTACAATCGGACAAGCTTCAACTGAAAAGGGCTTTACGAGATCTACAGGGTTTGATATTACTGTTGCATCGGAACTAATGGCCATCCTCGCACTATCTAGAGATTTGAAGGACATGAGACAAAGAGTTGGTCGCATCGTTGTTAGTGCAAACAGCACCGGAGAACCTGTCACAGTTGAAGACGTTGGTTGCGCAGGTGCTGTCACTGCTTTACTAAAAGATGCTATCAAGCCAAACTTGATGCAGTCTTTGGAAGGAACGCCAGTTATGGTCCACGCTGGCCCTTTTGCTAATATTTCTATTGGCGCTTCCTCCGTGATCGCGGACAGAGTTGGGTTGAAGTTGGTTGGAAAGTCAAAGGCGGCCGACAAAGATGCGCAAACCGGTTACGTTGTCACCGAGGCGGGTTTCGACTTTACAATGGGTGGCGAACGTTTCTTCAACATCAAGTGTCGCTCTTCTGGCTTGACACCCAATGCTGTCGTCTTGGTAGCAACTGTGAGAGCATTGAAACTACACGGTGGTGCTCCTGATGTTAAGCCTGGCCAATCTCTACCAGCTGAATACACAGAAGAAAACGTAGAGCTTGTAAAGAAAGGGGTTGCCAATTTGTGCAAGCAAATATCTAACGCTAAGCAATTTGGCGTTCCTGTCGTGGTGGCCATCAACAAGTTCGAAGCGGACACTGACGCTGAAGTTGAGGCTATCAGAACTGCAGCTAAAGAAGCTGGTGCTTATGATGCGGTTGCAACAAATCATTGGGCAGAAGGTGGTAAAGGTGCTATTGAGTTGGCTCAAGCAGTGGTCAAAGCTACTGAACAGCCTTCAGATTTCAAATTCTTATATGATGTCGACCAAACGGTCGAAGAAAAACTCTCATCCATTGTGAAGAAAATGTATGGTGGCGCCAAAGTGGAGATCTCTCCATTGGCTCAAAAGAAAATTGACATGTACAAAGAGCAGGGCTTCGGTAATTTGCCAATTTGTATTGCCAAGACTCAGTACTCTTTGTCGCACGATGCCGCGTTGAAAAACGTTCCTACTGGCTTCACTTTTCCAATCAGAGATGTAAGAGCATCTATCGGCGCAGGTTATTTGTATGCTCTAGCTGCTGAGATACAAACTATTCCGGGCTTGTCGACGTACGCGGGCTACATGAACGTCGAAATTAACGACGAAGGTGAAATTGACGGACTATTTTGAAGTGAAGTTATAATGATAGATTGTAAATTAGAAATAATAAATTCTGCTTTGTACGTCATTGCTTCAAAACTGATGAACCTTATACAGTTGATTAAGCATCGTCAAAAAGCGAAAACTATTTGTTGTCACATCAATAGTTTCATACTTTTGTTAAGCGCTATGAAGTAGAGAAAAACCAACTATAAGTAGGTTTATACTACGTAGGATTTGGGTACAGAGATTGATATTCAAGAGGATAAGGGATAAGATAAGCTCCCTTCCTAGAATGACAAATATTATGTAAAAATGTTGAAAATTTGAATTTGAGGTGGGGTGTTGGTTGATAGGTGAGGGTTGTTTAAGCTATTTAAGCATCTTCCTTCAACAAAGCTTCTCTCTTCTCGTTGACTCTTTGGGCTCTTCTTTCACGAGCGGCTCTGTTCTTCAATCTTCTAGCGTCGGCTTCCTCCTTCAAAGCCTTTTCACGTTGAGCATCGGCCTTGGCTTGGATGATGTGTTCGACTAGAGCTCTCTTGTGCTTGAAGGTGTTACCCTTGGCAGCCTTGTACAAGGAGTGGTATAGGTGCTTGTCGATCTTGCCAGCATCACGGTACTTGGCCAAGAGTCTTCTCAAGACACGCAATCTTCTGATCCAAACGACCTGAGATGGCAAACGAGCTTCTCTGGTACCCTTTCTCTTACCGTAACCGCCGTGACGACCGTTCTTCTTGGACTCAGCCATCATTCTAGTTCTGGATCTAGAGTGCATTCTGGTTGGCTTCTTGACGATGGTACCGTTCTTGACCAACTTTCTGATGGCGTTTCTGGAGTTGGCTTGAGCAATCTCGGAGGCCTCAGATGGGTCCATCCAGATCTTTCTCTTACCGACACCGGCAACAGAAGCGGCAAGTCTCTTTTGAGTACGTAGGTTAGCCCTGTAAGAGATGGAAAGTTAGTAAATGCAAACAGTTGAGTTTACGATCGGAGGTTTAATTTATGGGGCAGCGTAGCAAACGCGAGTATGGCGGCGCAGACAGCTCGGAAATAGCCCCAGCGTGTCCTGCTCCATTCATCTCAAAGTCCCACAGCGCATTGTGCTTTTCGGTTTTCCTCGAGTTATCACTTTCGTCGTCCCGTGCTCTCGTGCGATGTCCCCACTGTGTTGGTCCTGGATAGCTTTCCGAGTTTCAGACCTATCGGATCCCCATCGCTGTTCCCTAGCCAAGCCCACAAAACCTCTAGATATTGACCCTATATGGCACATACATTTTGTCTTTGGTTTCTCTGTTTCACCGAAGACTTCAAGATTCAACACTAGATAGCGAAGACCTATACTTTCTTCAAGGACAAACTTTTCCACAACGCTCAGTTGCCGCAACTGGCCGCTAGGCTGCACCTCTGCCTAGCTTCCACAGGGAAGCTCAGCCTAGCAGGACGTACTTCCTGGTGGTCCTCCCTACACGCTGGGCAGAAGCCTCCGCCTAGCGTTCCAGCATGCGAGCCTAGGATTCCGTCCTTGGTGGGTGGCCACGAGCGTTTGCGGTCTCTGTGCTGACTTTCCCAATTCAGTACCCACGCAACATTTGAATAGACGCAAAAAAGCCAAACGCGATTTTTGTCAAATCTTCAAGAAAAGTTTCAAATCTTCGAAAAAAATGGAAAATTCAAATCAAGAATGTACGGATGTTAGGAGTGTAAGACGAGACTGCTTTCAAAGCTCTTTACACGGCTGTAATGTGGATAACTGCATACGACTTTGTTCGATGCTCGGGCTTCCTTCTACTAGCAGAAAATTTTCTAGCTCATCGCATCGCATCGCATCGTAGACCCATAGGATAAGATTGCTAGGCAAGGTATACCAACACCGCTAAACTCACATCACACATACTACAATGGCTAAATCTCTACGTGCCAAGTCCATGCTAAAGGCCAAGTCGGTGAAGCGTAAGAATGTTTTCCAGGTGAAAGCAGACGCCCGTGCCAACAGAATTTCGGAAAAGATGAAGGAAGAGCTGATAAAGCAACAGGTGGAAGAAATCAAGCGCAAGAACTCGGACCTGAAAACGGACGAGGCCGCCAGACAGGCGCTGGAAGTGGAACGTATGGAGCAGGACGACAAGAAGGTCAGCACCTCGGGCTGGAGAGACGCCAGACATCACAACTACAAGCGCAACAAGAAGCTCAACAACAACCGCAAGAAGGGCTCATTCACCAAGTTTTAGGCGGCATGCGGACGCACGCGGGATCCTCCTCTACGGCCATTTTGTACATTAGATAGAACTGTATCATAGGAGTCTTTTAAAGCATTAAGAACGGGTGGAAGAACCGGTCCACGCTCGTGTGAGTGTGATATAGATCTAGCGATGAGAAAAGCTCGCCAAGTTCCGAGTTTCATGAAGCGTTTCGGATACCCCCGTGCCATGATGGTACAGTGTGATTTTTCTGCCCAGTGCGCTCTAGATATCGATTGTGCATGGATCTATATACAGTTAACAAGCCTTTTGATTATCTGCCATCTAGTGTGGTTCGGTCACGCAAATTTCTCAGCAACTTTGCTTGATTTGAATGGTGATCTCAAACAAAAGTATTGACATTTATATGATTATTTTAGTGGATTCATTTTAACAACGAGATGTGTTCTAGGCTGTGTCCAATTTCACCAGTCCTATTTCTATGTGCTGTGATAAAGACACGCAATGGACTGCAGCTGAATCTATACCCCGATAGGCTATACGATGCGCATTGTCCTTTTCAGCCAATAATACTGCCTTGTCACTTTATACCAAGGTGTCGTGTCAGTGTAAGTGTCAGTGTCAGCGTCAGTATCAGAATCTAAAGTTGACACCGTCATAACGTAAGAGTTAGTGCATAAGAAGCCTAATTTAATTCTGTTACCAACCTCAGTGTAAGGACCTCGTTTTTCTCCCATTTTCTTCTTCCAAGTAAATGATTCGTTTTTGATAACCGCGCTGCTTGTGACTTCTCATGAATCTGTTTCCTATTGCCCATGATTTGTTCTTCGCCTCTCTTTAGATTTGAATTAAGTATACAGTCTACTTCATTTCCAGTGTGTGCCGTTTGCGGAGTAGTTGGTGACCACATTATATGTCGGCTATTTACAACGAAACGTTTGTGTAATGACAAAATGAGACTCGCATTTCGATGCATACGGTCAATAAGGATGCTGAGGCTCAAACGTTGATGTCTCCTGTTTCATACCGCTAAGTATTACTGCGTCCAAGAAAAGCAGATAATCTATAAGTAATAATTCAGTTTTGAACACTTCATGCTATCAGAGCTCTTCGAATTAAATAAAATTAATATCGACGCTTGCATTCCGTGCGTCAAATTCTACTCTTGAAGCTTAAGAGACGCAGAGAGATCCATATTACCAAGCTCATGAATAACTCATTATAGGATACTTTCTAAGTTATGGCTTTAGGTGATAGAGAGTTAGAGCCAATATGACAAAAATATTTCTTCCTAAAATCATCTGTCACTGTTCAAATATATCCCAAATGAAATCAGTGCACAAGTATTTAATCCTATATATCAAAAAAATGTTCTTACATCATGAAAGCAGAACCTGTGTTGCCCGTCTGATGCGTGAACCCCATATCGGTACTTTGATTGCCTGCATCTTTTGCATCTCGATCGCCTCTGTCTTGATCCCTTTTTTGTTTGGCTTTGGCTCGCCTTTCTCTCCTGAGCCGGCTTTGCATCATATAGTATGTGGCCCTTCTGATAATAGTCTCAAGTACGGGTTTATCATATTCGGGATACGTTTGAATAACACGGTGATACAACTGATCCAGCAATTGCGTGCGGTACTCCTTTGAAGTGTCGCGCACCCATGTTTTGTATCCTAAGGGGTAATGAAGTTCTCTTTCGAAAATGTCCAAGATAAACCGTTCTCGACGTAAGGCTTCTTCTGCCGAGTTTAGATTCAGAACCTCAGCCAGTCCTTGCGCCGAGAGTCTCGAATCTGACACCTTTCGACTATTTATATTGTTGTTGTTAATAGAGTAAGAGCCGTTTGACATCTGCATTGCCAAAGCACTTGACGATGAAGTTCGAGATGACGAAAACCGTCTCTGATGTGAAAAGTGTCCATGTTGATCAAGGTCGCTATTATCAGCGTCTTCATCATCGGCGTCGTCCTCTGCTTCATATTCATCATGATTACTGCCTCTATGACTCCCGTCCTCAAAATCATTACTGCCATGGGTATTGATATTAAGATTGGTATTCACATTTGGCAATCCCATCTGCGCAAAGTCCCAGCCATTGCTTCCTCTGTGTTGAACATTGAGGGAACTATGCTGATAATTATCGACTGAACGGTCTGGACCGTTGTGGATTATTGGGTTTATTACTGAACTAGAACTGGACTGAGGAGGGTTGGTAAAGTTTTGGGTATTAGGCAAGCGGTTAAGCTCAAGTAGTGTACTGTAAAAGGTAACGGGGTCCTTGGGAATCTGCACTTGAGAAGGAATATTATTATTGGGTGCCGAGGGACGAGATTGGCTCTCCACAAGGTTGCCAGTGCCTGGACGACTGGCAAACGTGGAAGAATAGAAATCCATATCATACATTGAAGTTGGTGAGGCGGTTGAAAATGAGAAGACGCTCGAAGTGTAGGGCCTGTCGTAGTGATGTGGGTCCGGGTTGGCAGTGGCCATAGGGTAGTATAGATTGAGTAGTGGTTCTATTTCTGGCGTGTCTGTCAAGTCCTGCGACTGTCCCAGTTTGGTATTGTTCGAACCACTGTTTGACACTGTAGGAGCACCTGTGCTCGTAGTGTTGAGCTGGGCCATCTGGGGCGGGTCTGGGGGTTTTCCCGACAGAAGAGACGAACGATGATCAAACGTGGTCTGCTCTTCCAGGAACGGATAGGGCATCTTGGCCTGCGCCAGAACGTGCAAGTCTAGAGTCGTCGTGGTGATGGAACCTGAAGGTGCGAAATAGTGTTGACAGCCTAACGAGTGCTGGCGGTCGTGTCAAGTGCTCGCCCTCGATGCCAGTGTAAGGAGTCGTCCTTATCTTGGTTGGGTGTTTTTGCCCGGAACGTAACAAAGACGAGCAAGCTCTGTGCTCTTGTGTCAGAATTTCGGGTCGCTAAGGTCCAGCTTGGCGAGTTTCTATGAAGACCAGTTCGGAAATAAAAATCCCCAGCTTCAGATTACAAACAATGGTGACCTGATGGCAACAAAAAACCCTGTTTTTCGCTGCAAGAGCTTGTAAGATTTCCGAATGATCAGAAAGATGCAATTTCGACTAATGCGCACGCCAAATAAGCTTCTATGTAGCGTTAAATCCAGGTCTGGTTGTACCGGGAAACTTATGAGAGAGTACCTTTTCGAATTTATTATCTCCCTCCCTGGGAAAAAATGACAACTCGTGTGAACGAATAAAAATATAGCCAAGAACTTATTAGTGTAAGAGAAAGATCGTTGGAGAACGCTTCGAGCGAGCTTGATGGACGAACAGCGCTCTGGAATTTAAGCCACGTTGACACGAATTGTTCGTACGTACTTTTGGCGGGTGCGCTATTGCTTAGATGCCCTATTTTTTTGGTTATCGAAAGCTATTTTTTTCTCCTAATAAACCCGGGGAGATTTTCCTCATAGGGAATGCCAAGGCCGAAAAAAAATCCATCTGAGCTTGGCACGAGTTAAGAGCCCCAGGACCTGTGAAGCATCTTAGTGATATGTTAAAGTAGTTCGAAAATATAACAGGGTGTGCGCTACATCAATTTCGCTTACAGCAAAGGAGATGTCCATGTCACTTTTTTCCTCACCGTCGTGGCCGAGAAGGGTGTCAATGAAGTTCCTCTCCGAGCAGAGCGTCAATTTGGCAACGACGAAAATCCCAACATTTTCCATGGCAAATAGAGCGTTGTTTCAAGCAGCTAAGATTATGCCAACGGCAACCAATCATCTCAGCAACGACAAATCACGACAGCGCCCTCCACCCATGACTAAAAAGCTGTTGCAGGACTTCGCTGTCCATAGCTTATCTGAAAAGACAAAAGATGTGCCCGTTGAATGTGGTACTAGGCAACTGAATGCTTCTTTTTTTTAGCCCGCAGCGAGCTTATACCGATATAACTGCGCTAAAAAGAGCCTCATGCCCTTGTACGAAACTTTTCACGCATCGAATTTTGAAGCAAAGTTCATATTATGCAAACCCTTGAAAAAGTGACCAAGTGCAACAATCTTGAATTCAACACCAGCAAACTCAAATAAATTTCGTCTTCGTCGTTGATTTCGCTATAGTATGTCGTTCGTGCCTATCGTTTGTGGAAAGAAAGACTGGGACAAGGAATACGAGCAGTCTGCGCAATACAACTCCTTGTACTGCCCTAACTGTCACAATTACAATGTGCGCCCGGTCAAGAGAAGAGAATTTATCGCAATATGGTTCATTCCGGTTTTCCCATTCTTCGTCGGCAAACAGCTGGTATGCCCAGTTTGCAACTGGCGACAAGACTTCAAGAATGATGAGCAACTGCAGAAAGTCGTGAAAGAACAGAGTAATATACGACAAGGAAAAGTGGGCGCATAGCCTAATGAGATTTAGTATACTTCCTACGAAGCCCATTCGAGAAAAAGAATTAAAACTCTATATATCTTAGATATATCGACAAGCCGCTCGAATTCAAACATCGTCCGTTATCTGACCACATATTAGTCGGACTAAAAATGAAAAATGGATGGCAGCTCGAGCTCAGGATCGCCTGCCGAAAAAAACTGCATGAAATCGAAATCCTGACTCCCTAGAGGCAGTTCATTTGGATCGCCACGGTTTGGTGCCAAGCTATATATATCGTTTAATGATGATCCCAGAGCCTCGTTCGTTTCGCCGCTACTCGTAAGGTTTTCGCTTTCTAACGTAGTGGTTTTCGGCAATTCTTCAAACCAAATGTTTAGTGCCCCAGAAGCACCATTTTCAGGTTTTGCATGAGCAAAATTTTCGGACATCGAGGGCTTCAGGTTGTTGTGGAATTCATCAATGATTCGTAGCTGCGTCAAGGTTTCTTTGGGCTGGATTTCCAAAAGCGTTTGCAAATTACTTATATCCTTTTGTATCAAATCGAGATCGATTGCCAAGCTCTTGTCTTTAGTCTCCGCTTCATAGGTTACCACAAGTACTTTCAGAAGGCTCAAACAGGTGAAACCAACAATTGTCCATTTGAGAGAGTATGGGTTTCGTTGAAGTTTAGTGGCACCCACCATTACCATAGTAGTCTCATACAAAAGCAACAGATCTTCTTTTGCAGCAGAAGGGTCTTCAATACAACGATATAGTAGGTTCAGAAACCCGCTGAAATATGAGTAAAAGACGTTTCCTTTCAGCGAGATATTTGGGTCACTTGATTCAATGATGATCTTACCGATTTTCAACATCATTCTAGCTGCAAAAGCACATTTTTCTTTATTGATCACAGTTTTTTGCGCAAAAGCTTTAGTAGGGCAGCGAGAGGAATGATCAGAGAACCACGGGATGCGATTCAAAACACAATTGGTATACAGCATGCTCAGATAATACTCCAGATGCATATTCAAAATTCTTGATCTCAAAAACGCGGGTGATGTGTCGATATATGACCAAGCAGCGGAACCACTAGATCGTTCCGGCAAGCCATCTAAGGCTATGTCAAGCTTAGACAAGGTGTTCAAATCACTCTTGGGTTGCAAGAAATCAGGCAAGTTTGCTTGCCACTCATTCAGCTCTGCATTGAGCTTTTCAACCAGTACCAATCTGTGTTTATAGTCATTCTCTGCCAGCGCTCTACACGTCAATAGGTAACGATAGCATTTGCTCGAATATTGAACGAGTTTTAATTCATAATATTGTAAGGCAAAATTTAAATTTTCCATTGATTCACAGCAGAAGGCATGTAAATAGGAGTCCAAGTCAGTCAACCAATTAGTAGTTTCGTGGAAGTTTGGACATCTTTGCAAGTCAAACTTGACCCCCCTTCGATAAGTATCCATGTACTGATAATAATCCCAGTCGTTTAAAGAACTTGTGTCTCCCTCGTGGATAGAGGTGGGCTTACCAGTACGAATGGACAAATAAATATCGTATCGGTATAAATTTAGCCACAATGATTGGCGCTTCAAGGCTTCTTTCGGGTCGCTTATACCAAAATAAGTCTCCCTCAAGTGTAAACCAATTTCCATAGCTAGGCGAACAGCTGTTGATAACAGGAGATACCCCAACTGAGGCGTAGAGGAATTTTCGATCTGCCAACAAAACAGCAAAACACCTTTAATGTAAAGCAAAGTGTCGCTGGAGTGAGCGAGGCTGGTTTGTTGATATAACTGCAACGTTTTAAGCATCATCTGTGTCTGTACCATAAGCCACCTTGAAGGGTTCTGATTGCTTAGGCTGCAAAGTTGGCATTGAACAGTGGCGCCTATTAGCAACACGACACCTACAAAAAATAGCTCGGAAAAATTGAGGGTTCTTGGTGATAGCTCAAATTTCTCCTTAACACCTGGAATTTCAGATTTGATCTCAATAGGTGCTATCGGAGCAGCATAATTCGTGAAAGCTTGGAACAGAGTTTCGCACACTTCAGATGCCGGGAAATCATACGTGTCTATAATTCCAATTTTCTCGAAATAGTGGTTAAAGTCTTTAAAGTTGTCATAGCAGATTGCCGTCTTTATCTGCAACAAAGTCGCTAAAATTTCGGGATCTCCAGATAATTTCTCATGTACCCACTGCATACCTTTTGGGGAAAACATTGAAAATGCTGAATATGCTCCCAAGAATCCATCACCCGCGGACAAATACTGGGGAGAGTGAACATTTTCTTTAGCTGAGATATTTGTGGGTGTATATGCGACCCCCGACTTAAATATGTTGTTGTCAGATTTCAAAATCTGATCATCAGCAGTTGGAAGTTGTACTATTTCTGGACTTTTGGGAGAATACTGCACGAATTTGGCATTTTGCGAAATGGCCTCTGTTTCGGACTCGCTTGTTTCCGATCCACTGTCTGCTTCGGAATAAGATGAACTACCTTTACTACCTGATTGAAAGTGGTCTGAATTAGGGGAGCTCGAACCACCGTTGTGGTATATGGCAACGGTTTCAGTCCTCAAAGGCCCATCTCTCAATTGAATGAGAACATCTTCTAACCTGGATAGACGGTCGGACAAATCTGCCAGTATTTTTCTATTTGACACTCTGGTAGGAGGCTTCCGCCGTGCTTTGACAACTCGCGCGTATGTGCATGTACCAGATGACTTGGTACAATTAAAGCAAGGCTCCTCACCATCACATTTAACTTTTTTTGATCGACATGCGTCGCATGCCTTTGATACCCTTTTCCGCTGTTGCTCATCATCCATCGTAGATATAGACTAGAGAATGTCAAGCTGAAGATTCTTAGTCTTCTTGACGCCTAGCTGATGCCCACTCCCAATGTCGTTAGCGTATATAAGGTTACCTGTAAAATTATAGCTTGTATGACAGCGCTGGGTCAAGTAACTACACGAAAATCATGATAAACGGCATAAGTTATCAAAAAAGCTTCGTGATTTGCACACAGTGCTAATACAAGACTTTGGTTTTGGCGCTACGCTCAAAATACGCTTGGCGAAGCCGTTACGTAATATGGAAGTGATACCTAAGCTGGTGATATGTACCGGCAAAGTCACTATTCCGATACCCACGCAATAGTAATTTTGTACAACCGTAGTAAAAATCAAGCATGCAACGAAATATGCCTTTATCTGATTTCTGGAAACAATCCGAAGAGCATCTCTCTCGGTTGTGTAAAGCGCAGTGTACAGCATTGGATTGTGCTTTTCTTGTTTGCTCCTCTTCTTTGAATAAATCGAAAGTCAACATCCTGAACCGAAACGTAAAAAGCGTCGTTAATGTAACTGGAGGTTAAAAAAACCTTTGAATGCTACTACTGAAGCTAAATCTCCGAAGGCTAAATATTCAAGCGGATCCTGTTAAAATTGAGGCCTTTAATAGCGTTTCACTCGAAAGCTTTCTAGTGCCATCCAGGTATAAAGTGATACGAAATAACTTGCCTGCAGAATCGAGGTAAAACACAAGGCAACTATTGAGTATATCTGCACCACTACTAGTTAGGTTGCTGAGCTGGCCATCCAATTCGCTCATGGCGTGTCTAGTTAATTCGCTCTCAGGATCTGCGACTCTATCTATTGCTCCATATTTCTCTCAGCTATGAGGTTGATCCATCGAGTAGAATAAATAATCGGTACCTATACAAAACCTGACTGAGTATGAAAATCGTTGCTCAGCCGACAAACATCGTATGATACATCAGGCGATGCCCAAGGAGTCATCAGTCGATTATCAAACCATTTCGGAGTACCGCCAGTTACTTTCACTTGTCTTCAGTTCGAGAAGTTGCAACGAATAACCCATCGATCGACCATATATCGGTGATATCACTTTTCACTATTATGTCATAGTTCCTAGTTCCCGTTATAATCCTATTCTTATCTATCTCATTATGCAATCGACGCTCATTGGCGATATCGCAGAGAGCCTTACATCAACAAAGGTTAGAACCGTGCTGTGTCAACACAGGAGAACAAAGACCACTTTTCAGTATGAGCCATCCATCTCGAGATGTTGACTTGACAGAAATTTTACCTCTTCTTCCATTGACACAAGCGCCACATTAGTACAAAGTGATATCGAGAGATATAAGTGCGACAACGCGCTATTGATGAGCGTTACTAGCTCAATGCTGCTTTGCAGCCACAACCTAATCATTTGTACACTACCGCTTTTATTCGGGACTCTGACCTAGGATGCAAACTGGCTTGTCCTCCACCTCTGATAAAAAAAGTCAGAAATCGCACAGAAAAAGTCACCTTCACCAATTTGGTTTTGCACGCAGATATGCCTAGTCACGCAAGCCTGTTTCTCATATCGAAAGCATATTAGTACCTACTTATTCAAGATAAACCCAAATACCCAGCTTCCTAAGGCACTAAAAAAATAGAAGAGAATTATGACTATTGTTAAGCGTTGATTTCAGAAGTGTCAACGTTCGAAGCTTTAATTAAGCCTGTGTCGATGCAGCATGTTCCTCGCGCTGACACCCAGTTGCCCTCCATCTTAATCAGCCAATAAGAATGCTCCATTTCAGGAGGTTACCCGTCCATTTTGGCAAAAACAAAATTTTTTCGGATTCCCCGGTCAACGCCAAAATTATATAAAAGAAGGATGAAATAGCTATGAGGTAACGTAAAATCTCTTGTGTTGTATTGCTTCGAAATTTGTTTCTGTCTTTAGTTTCTCTCAGATCTTTAACTGACGCATCTCTCACACATATACCAAGATGGCCGAAACTAAGAAGCAATCCAACTTTGCTGTTGACTTCCTCATGGGCGGTGTTTCCGCCGCCGTCTCCAAGACTGCTGCTGCTCCTATTGAAAGAGTCAAGCTTTTGATCCAAAACCAAGAAGAGATGCTAAAGCAAGGTTCTTTGGACAGACGTTACGATGGTGTCGGTGAATGTTTCAAGAGAACAGCCGCCAACGAAGGTATTGCTTCTTTCTGGAGAGGTAACACTGCCAACGTTATCCGTTACTTCCCAACTCAAGCTTTGAACTTTGCCTTCAAGGATAAGATCAAGTCTTTGTTCGGTTTCAAGAAGGAGGACGGTTACGCCAAATGGTTCGCCGGTAACTTGGCTTCCGGTGGTGCCGCTGGTGGTTTGTCGCTAATGTTCGTCTACTCTTTGGACTACGCCAGAACCAGATTGGCCGCCGACTCTAAGGGCGCCAAGAAGGGTGGTGAGCGTCAATTCAACGGTCTAGTCGATGTCTACAAGAAGACTTTGGCTACTGATGGTATTGCCGGTTTGTACAGAGGTTTCTTGCCATCCGTTTTCGGTATTGTCGTTTACAGAGGTTTGTACTTCGGTGGTTACGACTCTCTAAAGCCATTGTTGTTGACCGGTTCTTTGGAGGGCTCTTTCTTGGCCTCTTTCCTCTTGGGTTGGGCTGTCACCACTGGTGCTTCCACCGCTTCTTACCCATTGGACACTGTTAGAAGAAGAATGATGATGACTTCTGGTCAAGCCGTCAAGTACAAGGGTGCTTTCGATGCTTTCGGTAAGATTGTCGCCGCCGAAGGTGTTGCCTCTTTGTTCAGAGGTTGTGGTGCTAACATTCTAAGAGGTGTTGCCGGTGCCGGTGTCATCTCCATGTACGATCAATTGCAAATGATCATGTTCGGTAAGAAATTCTAAGCTTGTTGATAAAAAACATGGTTTTTTTTGAAATGAATACAACATTACCCCATGTACAAGAGCATAAATTCATATCAAAACGGAGGGAGGGAAATTTTTAAATCACAAACTTCAAACTCGTGCTGAAGATTTTCATATCATTGTGAATAGTAATATTATTCTTGGATTTAAATAGTTTTTGAATAGTTCAAGACTTTTTTCTAAATGTGGTGAGGCTGCGACTCGTTATGGTTTATCATATTCTTGCTCGACGAGACGCTCACTGTGTAGACAGAATAGTAACAATAACTCCATATCAAGGCTTGCTTGAATTATATATTATTATATTGTCCGCTCAAGTGCATTTTGCACAAGTCACGCAGGTAATGCCTATCTCCAGACAGGTTTGCCAAAAGTTGTACTTGTGCTCTTGGGCAGCTTGGTACTAGGGTTTTCCTTTATGGAGAGCGTATAGCTTGACTTCGATCTTGATACAGCCGGTTTCTGAGCCTCTAGTTCGGACCGCAGATTCTTCATTGTCTGAGATTTGGGTATTGTAGTTGTTTTCTTAGAGGTAACAGGCTTCTGGCCCAATGAAGAATGCATGGAAGTGGCATTTGAGTGGGAAATTGCGTTACTTGAATTAGATCTGGATATGGTACTCTGCTCATAAAGTCGCTGGAAAACAGAGGTGGGTGCCACAACGGCAGTCGGTTGTGGTAAGTTTATTGGCGCCTGATTTTTAGCGGAGGGGCGTCTAAACGACTGGGTTTTATCAAGTTTGTCTGGCTTTTTCAGTCTCGAGAAAATAGCGCCAGGCTTGTTTTCTCGATTGATGGATGTAAATGTAGGTTTTGCAAAAGTTGCTTGCGGTTTATTGTCAAACGATATTCGAGGAGGGGGACCGCTGAGCGGCGTATTTCGTACACTGTTGATCTTAGATCTGTTTTCTCGAGGCGTTTGGTTTTGTTGCTTGACTCGAAGTCTTCGTATCCGCCTGGTGATATCTGTGACCGGGCTATAAACGGAGACATCACTGTCCCGAGACTTTCCATCTTTGTCACGCATACGCTTGCTGGAGCTGTGTAAGTTCTGGTCAGATTCCCGCTTGGGGGTGCCAGGTTTTTCTTCGTAATTCTCGTTTTCTTCAACCACCATCGCTTGATCTGCTTCTTGTGCGATCAATGCGGGTGATTTCTGGGCTGCATAGTGACTCTGTATAGATTCCATGGTCTGAAAATCTGTGTTGTGCTTCAGATCAAACCTTTCAGCTTCTCGAAGCTGCAGTGCATTCCTACTATCCTGAAATCCTGGACGCAAGTTGGAGGCTTTGTTTGTGGCTCTGTAGTCAAGCTCTGACAATACCGAGTTTCCCAATCGTTGGGAAACTCCCAGATCATCAATAAACTGATCATGGTATGCCATCCCCGCCTCCATGTCTTAATTGACTAGAGCTGGTTCGACTTGTTTACTCTATACATACTGTTCATCTTTAGTGGATGGGCATAGCACTAGGGACGAATCCCGTATCCACTTGACAAGTCCAACCGTCAGGATTTCATTTCATTCGTATAGAATGATCTAACGCATGCAGTCGGGCACTGTTTATTTTCTGTCATTAAACTTGAATGTCAAATGTTATAAGAGTAAAAAGCCGATGGCAGGATCATGCAAGACCATGGCCTTGACATTCGCACTTCTCTCTATTTATTTGGTATCACATTCTTCGTCGGTAAATTGAATGAGACCTTCGTCCGAGTCGCCTCGGACACAAGCTGTCAATATATAATCAAGAGTGTCCTTGTTTGAATTATCTGTGCAAAGCTTAAGGCCCTCTTCAGACTCACTTCATTCGGTTCAAACCCGTGGAACTTCATGGATATCGTTAAAAAGTTGAACATTACGAATCTACCTCTCAGGACCATTGAGGTCCTAAAGCTCTTTTGGCCTAACCGCGTGCGATATTTCCGAAGCACACGTAAGTTAAGGACGTTGCAAGCTCAAAAAGCTGCAACCTAAGACGTCGCTGAGACGACCAAGTTATAGCTGCTTCTCTGGAAAAAAAAAATCAAAACAGGTTTCTTAAAGTAATTAAGCCATTCTGTTATTGGTCTTTCGCCTTCATCCTGAGAGCCTACGTCGCTTATTTCATGTTCGTGCCTACCAAATTAAAAAAAGCATTGTGCTCATGGGGCAATGACCGCTTCATCTGATGAATGGATTGGTTCGTACTCTTTGAAGGTATTTTTAATTAGTAGTTTCCGTACCTGAATGATATGAAAGCTTCTGCTGAACACACTGTCATGTCTAATTTCAGTCTAGAATCGTGGGTCGAGTAGAACAGAAAAATAACAAATTGGAACTTTCTCGAGCTTAGCGACTCTTGCGTAAGATTCATGGCGTCGAGAACAGATTCCTTGTCTTCAGAATGGAGCGAATGGAACAAAAGAAAGCAGCAACTGAAAATGGCTTCGAAAATTTAGGCCCCTCTGTGGGCTGCATAGAAGCGCTGTAGTAATCTTCGAATATAATACAGAAAGGAATCGCACTGTACAACCGCCTCTACTAATCATTTTGTAATTTAGACGTTAAATTGCTGAAAAGGTTGCAAAGTTCAACATAATGTTTCAACAATTCAATTGTTCCTGCATACAAAATGAGTTTCTGCAGCTTAGAGGAAGGTTCTTCCTTTCAGTATTCTCCATCCGTTCACAATTGGCAAAATTCTCCTTATCTGATGCCACTTAAGTGTCCATCTCGTTGATGCCTCGAGAAGTTCAAGAGGTCTTTTGAGTTTTTCAAGCTGGCTGTCATGCGGGCCAAACATCTCTTGAAGCTTGCTGGATTAGCGACTTTAGTGTCATCTCGGCAAAGGTGGTTTTGGTCGATAAATGCCTGAATATTGTCCAGCAACTTCACCAGAGCACCTGCATCAGGGTCATGAAAAGCTTGACGCAGAATTATATCTGAAAAAACTCGCAGAATCTAGCCTCGCAGTTAGGACCACAAACCGGATCTCTTTCGTTTAGTCTTCGGATACTGCAGAAAGCTTTTGCTATACCCTAGTTTGAAAACCGAAACGATTATCTACTCTCTGCTCTCGCTCTACAACACTTTGAATCTTGTACATTTAGTATCGGCCATTGAAGTTAAAACTGGCCGTTGGACTTCAGTATTAAAAGGTACGGGCCTGCATAAGAATTGAAAGTTACTACGACTGTTCGAAGTAGTGCATGTCTAGTCGTATCTCTACGATGGCCATAAGAACTATGTAGAACTTTGGTTATATTATGACAGAGATGTAAGAATTCGCGTTGTGCTAGTGCGTAACATAAAGAAGGATGAGTATCCAGGCTGTCATGGTACTCAGATTTCTTTATCATACTAAACTACAATTAGTGTGTCGCACTGTTTGTGCAAACTTTTCAGAATGACACGTAGGTATAAAGTGACAAAATGCTGCTGAAGTAGACAGTTTAGCTCAGCTCGCCGAGCAGGGAATGAATTTTAAAGGCATAGATTACTGAGACAGCCGCAGCCTGCACATACACTTGTATTAGCGCCCAGAAATGAAACTGGTGTAAATTGCACATAATTTAGAGTATCTCGTGTTGTATAAACCGATGCCAATTTCGTGTGTCCAGGATCTGCTTTCCTATCAAGCGAAATGACGCGAGTATTGAGGTCCCCATGCTCAAATTTGATGGTAGAGAATTAGTATACGTTTTGTGAGGTGACGACTAATGAGGCATTGATTGAGTACGGCCATTGAAGGGAAATTAACCAAAGACTGATTGAGTTGAACGGTGTCATGACAGACCAACACACTGTTCGGTAACGTTTCAATACTACCTTTACTCTTTTGTATCTCCAACGTTATATTTCTAGGATGAGCCAAACTCTGTTCACTGTTACTTCTAGTGATGAACGTGTTCTTTTAGGTTTCTCGTATAGAGCATATGATTATACAGAAGAGAAATAGCGGCCATAGTAGCACCCGTTGGGTATGTCACTGACATATACATATGTTTGCAAAAGCGCCTTTATCTTGTGCTTCCAGGTCTTCATAAAGACAAATGCTGAAATCCTGATTGAAGCCGAATTTTTCTCGACAACTACTCTGAATTAGTGTCTGCAATACAGATTTTGTTAGAATTCCAGCTGTCTCTCCACGACATACAGACCTAAAACTATGACGCCTTTTGAGCAGATAGCCGATCTGCCAAGGCCCTCTATCGAGATACAACCATTCTGAACTGCCCCAAAGCACATACTAAGCCTCTAGGGATAATAAGCGTATCCGACTACCGCCGGCAAAACCTTCGTCAGTCCGTTTTTTATTTAGTCAACAGGGTTGTCGGAAGAGCCAGAGTCCCAGAAGTCAGCAAAGATTTTTACATCAGTACCAATGTCCCTCTCGTGGAGTGACACATTGGCACTGAGCCAGGTACCGGATGCGTGCGCAAACACATAAGCCATGGCTTTGACAGTCAAGTTTTCCGAATCAGAATACAGAGGAGGGTCGTAAATTCCACTCTTGCTATAAAACTCAAGGTCATCCCACCCACCTTTCAACCAAAGCGGAGCTTCGAGCTGTCTAACGTCATCCGGGATGGCAATTAATTCAAATCCAGCCTCAGTTATTGACACAGCGCCAATACCATCCGAGCCTACGGTTGAATTTGAAAACAATGGATAATCCTTGGTGCCTAAGGATATGGCTACACTTTGAAGAGCTAGTGAAGCGACAACGACAGAAGAGAAAAGCATATCACAAAAGGAGCGTAGTGAAGTACCCCGAATACTTCAAATTATGACGTTAGGCTCTCTTTTCACAGCACGGTCTAATACTGATATACTGACCTCAGAAAGTTGTCGTTATTTTGTTCATAATGGAAAACCGTAATCAGCAGTTTCTTGATGAATTTCGAAGGACAGCCTGATAATTTTGTAACTTATTCTGGGATGACTCGCAGACTGCATAAATCAACTTTCGAGGAGCAAGGGCCGTGCACGTAGCAAGGTTCATGCGTTGCGAAGCAGTCTCATTTGATTTACGTCACAAATGCAAGAACCATCGCATATCACATTCCAATTCGGCGCCGTGAACGGCACATCAGCTTCCGGAGTACTTAAAGCGCTAGTCTCGCTGCAGAGTTGTTGAATGCGGGACCACTGGGTGCCGGTGACATTTGATCTACTGAGATCTTGACTGAGCCTTCATCATGTAACTGCGAGAAATTTCAAACTAGTATAATATTTGCTCTTGGCCTCTACCTCAGTAAGAAGTTTTCAACTCACAGTATGCACCATGTAGTCACACTATGAAAAGAAAAATAGCCAAAACAAGCTCGCGGATAAGAAGCTGCGAGCTCCTACGCCAGAGTTTTGGTTTACCGTATAGGATTCGTGGATGCCGTAATTGATGATGCCTATACAACGTTATTTCAACGTTGACGATCTTCGAAAATTCATTCATGCAGGGAAAAATAATGAACCGTGAGTTTGTCCTTCCAATAATGAAAAGGAGTTAGCTAACGCCGGAGAACTGCAAATCACACGTAGCATAAAATGGCGGGTCCGGACAACAGTTGAATCTCTTAGTCCCTTAGACTGGAACGAAGATAGAAACAACCATCATGTAGACTGCCATCAGTGCTTCAACTTCAGAGGGTTTTGGATGAAAATGAGTGCTTGATGATCTAGTCAAGAATAAGAACCTTACTCACACGACGCTTCATAAAAATAAGTACCTGTTTACGCGAATATTTCTCGTACGTTGGGAAAATAATGTGCCCGGCTGGGTATTTACTCTCTATATTTAAATAGGACCGGAACTTAACTTTTGGCATGCAGGTACTTCATTAGATCCCTGGAGAAAACGGTATGGGAGGGCTTTAAGAGCAGATTTTATATAAATGTTTAAAGAGATGCTGCTATTTCTGCGCGTAGTGACATTGTTTAGGGTAGTTGTAACCGATCAATCTATCTTGGTAGGTCAGCTCTCTGCTCAAGAGACGACGGCTATTTTTTGCCGTGGAAGGTCGGTTGAAAATCTCGACGTTTGTCTTGCTAACTGGGTTCCCAAGCGCAGCTAGTACTTTGGGAGGGGGGCGACCAGGTAGAATGTAGCTTTCCTCCACACAAGGGTATTTAGATGCACAACAGACGTGAGATTGAGCACTTGGTTGTTGCTAATCCGTTGTTTTTCCAAAATATACATCTTATGGCAGAAACTATATAAATAGTTTGAACAGAGCTACGCAGACAAAAATTGGGTTCCCTCAATAAACTATCAGCACTTAGTGTTTCATGCGGTCCAAAGGGCCAAGAAAGTCATGAGGGGCGTATGAATTGTGGTATATGAACTCTTAAGTCAACTACGAGGGCGGCAATGTCAAATGTAGTTTTTGAAAGATCAAGTAGAACCGTTTTTTTAACCAGTTTCTTGTCAAGACGGAGTGAGGTGACTGATATAGTGCACCAATTGGAATACTCGACTGGAGCACTGACATAAATGTATACTAAGGTAGCTTCGGCAAGGAGCTGCTTTAGTTCCCTCTTTTGCAGCCAAAATTCAGTCAACAATTTCCATTGTATCAGAAGCATTCGAGCCAACGAAAATTGAATGTTCCGATACATCTCTTGCCATATGTCTATAGATAAAGAAAAGTAGATTGCTGGGAATCTATATCACCCGGTCAATCTTCGGGACTCACAAGGACCTTTAGCTTATTACCCAAAGCGTTGGAAATAAGATTAGTGTCGCTCTTTAAAGTAATGCATTAAGTATACACAGCCCTCGATGAAACTTCTGTTTCAAAATTTAGTGTCCTTCTTCAAGCCCACAACTGATTTAAATTAATGAAGAACTTTCTCTTGCTGCTAACTTTGAAGGCTCTGAGGTCTTAAAGACTATTATATTACAAAAGATGTAAACTAGCAATTTGGCAGAGGGTTAAATGGAGCGTCTATAGTGGTTCGACAGCGGAAGGAAGAGAAATGCAACATTTGCGGGTTTCTGGTGACTCACAAGCCTACATATGGGGTTGAAAATTTTAGGTCCCAAACGTTTCTCACACTTCAGCTTGTTTTCCCGATCTGTGGCTCAGACCTTTTCCTCACGCCTTTGCTTTTCAGTGTCAAGGTTTTTGAGCAGCATCGTTTCTGCCAATTTCACACTGTTTTGGTTGTTACCTGTGATGGTGAAAACACGGTTATTTTCTTCATTTGGCTCATCGCTCACAATGACCTTGGTCTTGGTGTATTTGCGAAGGCTTGAGACTCTGTTTCCGCCGCGGCCTAGCAAAGCTCCCACGAATTCGACTGGAATCGCTACTTCTTTGGTCACAGAACCTTCTTCTTGACTCTTGGTGTGCGGATAGTACTGCTTTTCGCTTGTTGGTTTAGCTTCCTGAGCTAAAACCTCGCTCACATCCACAAGACACGACGCAATAGACCCAGGATATCCTTGAATTTCGACAACACGGTCTTGAGAATCCGGTAGAAAATTCTTGGATGCCACGACTTTGACGCCGTGCTTTTCAATCAAGGCCTTAATACGCGATCCCTGGGTTCCAATAATGGAAGAAACTTGCGAATTTGACACGATGAGTCTCAAATTGCCAATTCTATTGATAGATTCTGGATCTTGAATTTCTGTTGCTGCAGGAACGGGCAAAATAAAGTTCAACGGCTTGTAAGAATGTACTTCGGGCTCGCCGTCATCCTGGTTCAAAACATCAACCACGTCGCCTATGGCGTTGGCAACTGATTGGGAGGAGCCGGTGCAGCTCAAGATTCGGTCTGAACATCCTCTTTCATGTGGCGAAATGCCTATTTTGACTTGGTTCGACTCTCTGATTTTTTGAATACTCGTTCCCTGCGCGCCGATAATGCGTGCAGCCTCTTTGAGAGACACTAGGACCCTGTGATTAGTGAGTTCTGGGGATTCGAATTCTGCCATTGGTTGTTGGTAAGTAATTGAGTTGGGCTACAAATTCCAACTTTTCGTTATGGGTGAGCAAATTGAGAAAATGGAAAGTAGAGCATTATATACGTAAGATGGACATTGGTGTCACTATTGGAAGGGATGATTTTTAGTCACCACGAGTTTCGAAGGTTGCCGTACGCTCAGGTGAAGTGGGCCATCAAGTGGGCCATCAAAGATTCATTTTATCTCAATCAGAAAAGCTATATTATGCATTTAACAGCTCTTAAATAAAAGCTTTTCAGGGAGCTTATTGTATCAGGCTTTAAATCTAATTGTTAAACGTGCCAACAGAGCTAAGGTTATATCATTGCTCGTGAGAAATGGGCCCAAAATTCCATGTTCAAATGCTAAGCAAAAATTGATGTTCTGTAAGCCCCGATTGTCATTTCCACGTTCGAGACCCAGAAGCCAGACACTAGAATTTCGCGAAAGAAGGCACGACAGCCCTAGGCTGGGTGTCATCCTTCAGTGTACTTGCCCACAGCTTTGAAAATGGTAGTAATCGTGGAGAAGAAATCGAAAGGCGCTCCGTTATTTGTGTCCCTCTGGATTATCGCTTGCTACTCAACCTACATAGCTATTTTGCTATGCCTTCTAACATATTGGGATGTGAGGGTGATAGTGCCGAGTCACACAATAACAGAATAGTACGAAGATATATATGACAAGCACGCTTATTGACTGACCGAGGCTATTTTAGTGATATAAACGCCATTGATAGCTTGTCAATGCTCAAACAAACGAGGCAGCTGATAAACTGGTCACTTGGTTCTTGTTCTTATTCTTTATTCAAATCAGACTCATACAGATACCATAGGTTTGTTCATAAAAAAGATAATGAAGTAGTGAAGAACTCATGGAGTAAATGTCAAAATCTTTATCTACAGAGTGACTTAATCCAATCTGTTATGGAAGAACTAAACAAATAAATCAGCATGGTTTCTGTTGCAGAATCAGACATGCTTCAAAAAAGTGGAGAACAATGTGGCAAGTCAAAAAAATTGCCGAATCGCCAATCTTGTCTGAGGTTGCATTGTATGCTGCTGCGCGGCACTGAGCATATTCCCATATATGTCAACGTAAATTAACAGTGGAGGTGATTATCTTGGTTTCTTGAGAGCCTCCCAGAAGAAATATTAGTATCTTGAATAATCAAACAGAAGACTTCACCATTTGATTTGCCCGAGGGTCGTTACTTATCCAGCCTTGATAAAATGAGCCTTCAGTCAATACAAGTGCTTCGGAAAGTCTTTCGGCTGCTTCTAACGTCTCAATTCACTATGCTTACTGTTGTAGAACTTTTTGTTCTCATGTCTTCTACTCGGTTTTCCGGCTAAATGTGCATATTTTCACATCAGAGACTGGAGGGATTATCCGTTCGGAAGCACACCTTCCCGCTTTGGAAAACATGCCTCAAAACTCTGTAGTGCAACTAGTGAACATATTCGCAATCCTTTTGACATTCTACACCGCCCAAACCGACCTCGTCACCAAAATCTCTACTTGATTCTTTAGTCACCAACCCGTTTCTTTGTCAAGCTCTGTCGTTTCTTTGTCAGCCTTACTAACGTATAATCACCGAACACGAAACAAATAGTAAGCCCAACAACGTAAGAGGCTACATAATACGGATATATATAACGCTGAATTCCTGATATTCCATAAACGATTGTCTTATAAGCGAAGCTGTAAACCCCTCAAGTTGATACGATTTTTATCATGACTCTTTCAGGAAACCCCAGGGAAACATTGCCACTAGTTAAATGTGTGGCAAGAGCCCGCATTCCAACCACTACGGGTCCAGATATTTTCCTGCACCTGTACGCTAATGACAGAGACAATAAAGAACACCTGGCCATAGTATTTGGCGAGGATATACGTTCAAGAACCCTGTTCCAGCAGAGAAGAGGTGAAACTCAACAAGACCGAATGGTCAGAGGCGCATACGTTGGTCGTCTTTTCCCCGGTAGAACGTTGGCAGACACGGATGAGAACTCGGGACTCACTCTGGAGTTTGACGAATCCACAGGCACACTAAAAGTCGATCCCAAGACAACCTGGACCAAGCAGGACACACTGGTTAGGATCCATTCCGAGTGTTACACTGGAGAGACTGCCTGGAGTGCCCGATGCGACTGCGGTGAGCAGTTCGATCACGCGGGTAAACTGATGGGGGTGGATCGTGAGGGAGATATTGTAGGCGGTGCCGGGCGTGGCGTTATCGTTTATCTCAGACAGGAAGGACGAGGAATCGGTCTAGGAGAAAAATTGAAAGCTTACAACCTTCAGGATTTGGGGGCAGACACAGTACAGGCGAATTTGATGTTACAGCACCCAGCAGACGGGCGCGATTTCTCTTTGGGACGTGCAATTTTGATTGATTTGGGTATCGAAAATGTACGGCTTTTGACCAACAACCCGGATAAGGTATCGCAAGTCGAATACCAACCTGTCTTACACTGTGTGGAAAGAGTACCTATGGTTCCACTATCGTGGACAAACGATCAGGAAGGAATTCACTCTACAGAGATCGAAGGCTATCTTAGAACGAAAGTAGAGAGAATGGGTCATCTGCTTCAAAAGCCTCTCAAATTGCATTCGATGACCAAGCCAAATAATTCGACAACAATAACGACACACTCAATAGTGTAGCGATTTGCAGATTTGCAGACTTTAGGACAATCGGACTCCTCACTAAAAAGAAAGTTGATATAATGGGAAAAAGATAAGTAGTTACGAAAATGAAATATGGGTTATTTTTATGAACAAACCACCAATATCCTATGGAGAACGACAAGAGCGTGTTTTCCCGTCGAAGCTTCACATTCTAGCGACTCGCAAAAAATAATGAAATATCGTTTGATATATATCTGATGAATCAGGAAAACGAGTGTATAAACGATCTATCGACTTGGAAGAAGTCGCACCAATCAGGGATTGAAAGGGTCGTAAGGCCTTTATCGGTAAGAGAGCCTGTTCTGGTAAGGCCCGCCATGACCTCGCAATAAAGAAGTATACTGACGCGGTTAATTTCATTAACCACTCATCAGCGAAAGCAGATGTTCCAAAGCTTCTTCCCCAACGGTGGCAACAACGTCACTGCCACTCATCACGTACGCACAGCTTTTGTCCTCGCTCACAACAGTGGCAACGTCCACTTTTAGCTTCTTTTGTTTAGCTATAAACTCATCGTAACCTTTCACGGTTAGAAGCTCCACAGGTGCTGAAGCAAGAAAGGAGCCAGAAGATTGTGTAATATCGCCTGGTTGTTGGTAGAGTCTGCTCATTTGGTGTTTATTATATTCTGTTCGTGTTCGACAAGGATATTTTACTTATTAAGGTTCTACATGAGAGTGGATCAAATTTTGGAAAGTGCCTTTTCTTGCTTTCTAATTTATGGGCGATCATTAAAATCATTACACACGTAATTTGTGTCATTTAACGTCTAACATTAGAGGGCCGAATCCTATTTTGATCCTTTCAGAGATGTGCTAATAGCATAAATCAACACTTACTGTGCAATTGTTTGATAATCAAGCAGCTGTTCGATCTCGTTTGCACAAAACATAGCTTCCTTGCAGTGATGAATTTCTCTAGTTGAATTTACTGAAAGAAGGCAATATGGTAAAAAAGAGTCGGATTAGAGGCTAGTATAGTCTCGACACCTATTCACTAAAGGAAAAACACGAGAGCGTCGCATATTGAGCAGGCAAATACATACAAATCACTATATACGTAAATATGTCAGGCTGATCTATTATTGTGTAAATCGTCGCCTTGAAGACCTCATCACCAAAAACTTCTTCAATTAGAGAGCGTCACCAGTTGCAGAGCATTTTTGATACCAGCGTACTTCACTGTGATGGCTAATGTTCGAATGGTTGCACTGTATGACGTCCTGACGGACGGTTCATCATCAGAGGAAGAGAAGATGCATCAATTAGCCGAGTTCAAGGGCCATGTCAAGAAGGAATTGGTTCATGAGCCTTCCATACCTCAGTATTTCGAGTGTTTATGCGAGACACTTAATTGCAACAAGCAATCAAATAAAGTGTTCCTGCTTTGCCACTCGACGCTGTGCTACCTAATTAAAAGAGTCGCTATGCAAAGCCCAGCGGCTTTTGACTCAAAAGAGATCCCGAAGCTAATAATTCCACTACTGCGAACTGTTCATTCAGGTAATAAAATATGGCTTGGTTCTGTCAAAGCGTTGGAGGCTATTTATTTGGCACAACCTGCAGAACTCGAGGAAACACTCGAAACATTGCAGTTGCAAGACAACGATCGCGTAGCAACTCTTCTGTTCATAGACGAATTGGTCCAACTACATCAGAAAAACAATCGTAATCCGCTCGAAATCTTGAACAAGTTTAACAGGTTGTTCCTCAGTATTTTAAACGAAAAAGAAAGTTCTCGATTCCAAGATTACGAACTTATACGCGATATCTTGGCCAAGTATTATACGGGCCAATCCATGCAAGAGTTTGCCCGTCGGGTAAGAAATCCTGATATAAAGCAGCTACTTGATATTAGGCCAACGTTGCCGCTTGATCAAATACCGGTGACTTTGGATCAGGACACACAACCCCAACCTTCCAAATTCGATGTTCAAACAGAACTGCAAAATTTGTTACAAAATCAGCTTCTTACAGCGCCACCGGCTCAATCCAAAAACTATACTTTTTTAGATACTCTCCGAAGAGACCTAGAGAACATGGCAACCCCATTCAGCCACCACAAAGAGACCGAACATAATTGGAGGCAGCGGCAAGACGCAATTATAAGTTTACGTGGCATTATGGCAGGAAATGCTCCGTTAGATTATCCTGATGAACTAGTTGGATCTTTCAAAGACTATCAACTATCAGACTGCATCTCGAAAGCAGTGTCGTCTTTAAGAACGTCTCTCTCGATGCATGCCTGCCATTTAGTCAAGGAAATGGCTAACCGGTTGAAAGAAAAAATAAATCCAATCGCTGATGGTTTATTTCAGTCTTTGAGAAACGTTCTTTCGGCAACAAAAAAAATTGCGTCCCAAAATGCTTTTTACGCTGCTTGTGTACTGTTGGCGTCAATGCATTTTCACAGCAAAACTTTCCAAGCTTGTTTCCTCCTTTCAAAGGACAAAAATGTATCTCCGAGGTGCTACGCGGCTATATTTCTACGGCTTTTCCTAATTCGGTTTCATACTAGATTAGACCACTGTCTTGTTTACATTGATGAATGGATCAATCGTAGCGCTACAGATGCGCAAACAAAAGTAAGAGAGTCAATGAGAACAACTTTCTGGTATTACTACGTAGCTTACCCTACAAACGCCAGAAAGCTACTTGATGGTTTCCAACCTCAAATAAGACGTGCCCTTGAGTCGTCTATACCACAAAATTTGCACATTAACTATACCACTAGCCAGGTCAATTCCTCAGAATCCTCCAGAAGATCTAGTTTGGGCCCAGTTCGGACGCCTAGCTACGCGGGCCCTACTCAATCTTCACACATACAACGGCTTTCTGCTTTAAGGTCATCTAGTGATTACCATCCATCTAGTGTATCTCATCGTAATAAGCACAGTGGAACAGATGCTAGAAAAATTAGCGGCTCAACTGGGACTGCCCCTAGAATCAGTAATGGGAACCACCAAGGGCCCCAACATTCTCCACCTTCATCAAGCGATCAAAACACACAAATTGATTTAACGGGAGAAATTACACAAAATCATTCTAACACGTTAATCAAGAAGTACATGCAAGAGCCATCATGGGACCAGAATAAAGCAAATAAGTCTGAAAGTGAACTTGACGAGATTGCTCATTATCTTTCATCCGAGTCGCCCTCAGAAAACAAATTAGGTGTCCAGCTGCTTCAAAACCTTTGTCTTGTTGGAGTTCCCTTAGAACCTCAAAAGCTGAAGCCGTCAATTAAACTGATATTAAAAAAAGCTCCTCAATTTTTAGCAGAGCTTTTGCGCGTTCCAAATTTTCTTCAGTTAATTTCTATTTCTGAAGCAATAGAGGCCTTTGGCATCAACCAGGTCAGCTCTGAAGGCTTGCTTAACTATTTTGACAAAGATGACTTGATTCAAGGAAGTTCCGAATTACTTGACAATATATTTCCCTCTGAAGAGCAGCTATCGCTCCATTACGTGAAGTTTAGGCGCCAAATCCTCGATTTTATCTTTGAGCTTCTTACAGATCTCTTTAGAACTGCACAAAGAATGTCCAAGAGTGTCAGCGCGCCCATAACAAGTAAGCTTTTTGACCTATACGGCAAGGACTTCAGTGCTGAAAAATACTTCAATTGTATCTTTCAAATCTATGATTGTGACCAAGATAATTTCCTCAGTGTATTGGAAGACTCGCCCGTTTTTCTCAAAATTAAATTCGGGCGCGAGTTAGAGAACAGAGATCCTCACTTCCACAGCGAGATACTTGCTTCACGGAATGCTACGATTAGCTCAAACCTTGAGGACGAAAAGCACTTTATGGAACTCACGATGGTCAATCCTTTGGAAGCTAGTCAGAGATCAAGCAGCGGTAACAGCGTCTTAATTCATGACTTAAAGATTGATAGCAATGAGAATTTGGCTGACCCTAAAACCGCAGCGGACAGCGATCTTCCAGATGATGCACAGGGCTTCACAAACTTTGGCGGCCTCTCGAAACTTACCGAAATGACGAGGGTAGTTAGCCTTTATGAGAGACCAAAAGATAACGACAAAGATAGGAAAAGCCCCTCTTTAGACGTTGATGGCGATTATAAGATGAGCATCGATCTGGCCGATGTTAAAGGCAAAGCTTCTGATGTTGATTTAAGCGATATATTCAGTGGAGAACAAAACCTGCGTAAGGATCCCACCGTTAAATTTGATGATAAACCTTTGATAATACAGCGACCTCAAACAGCCACAAGTGAGGACCATTCCTATCCGGATGACCAAGTATTGGAATCTGGTAGGCTCGCTACTGGCGACACAGTTTCAATGAGCAGAGAGATTGCAGATAACGACAAAGGAATTATCGACATTGATCATGCAGGACAGGCGCCTAACGAAACTGTGACTGGTCGGAGCCCTTCTTTATCTGAGATTAAAAGCGAAAGCAAAATAGATACTGCCACAGGCGCTGTTCCTCTTCTGCGAAAGGATGACCGAAAAAACGTGGGTTTTGATATCTTAAGTTCTTTTGCGGATAGCGTTGGACTAGAGTTTGAATTAACAGCTCTAGTCACGGCATCAAATATCCCATATCGCTTGGGAAACTTGATCACGATTCTGAACAAGATAAAGAATGGATCCTTTACGATCAGGGATTTAAACTTGATGATCTACTTCTTTATAGTAGGCGGACGTGAAGACACATTACGTGAGTGGCTTCAGGAATCAGACGGCTTCGAACAGTTGATAGAGATTCAGGGGATACTAATCAAATCAATAGGTGATAGCCCTGAGTTTCCACAAGCTTTGGCCACAAGATGTATCCTCCTATTTTCGTGCCTGCTCATTGTAGAGTCTGCAATCACAAGTGGCGATAAGCTTACTGCTCATTACTCCCGTAATGTCAGTCATACCTGGCAGTACATTATTACTATAATGAGCCAACTTGAAAACTTTGCTAACGAATGCTACATCCTCTGTGATGAATTGCGGACTTACCTGATTTCAAAACATTTTTTGCTGAAGGGTAATTTTACAAAACTTCTAGAGGAGCTTGACGAGCCAGAAAAAATCAACACAGTCAAGGGTACGTTCATGCTAGCATCGATAAGACAACTTTACTGCTCCCATTACGCCAGCCTGGACAAATCGGTTGTCGAAGACCTCTATTGTTGTGCCAAAAATTACTTACTAAGCAATATGACAGAACTGCGCAAAGAAGCCACGGAACTGTTAACTGAGCTACAAACATTTTCGATCGCCAATGGGGTTCCTGGGGATCAATTTTTGAATCAACTGTACCCTGAGGAAGCTGAACTTGTCAAGTCGCTTGCTACGGATAGAAACGCGTAATGTTTTGATATTTAAAAAAAAAAGTTTTACGCGTTCAGTCCCCGTAAAATTATCGAATGCTCATTAGTGAAAAGCTCTTGATCAAAGCACAGCTTGGTGATTCTCAAAAATCGATTTGCTTCACCAACAGCAATAAGGTTTGATTTGTTGACCAAAATGACTCAAAGGAATGAAATCGTCGCGAAATTTGGTGAACCTGCTGATGAACCCAAGGTTCTAGCAGCTCTAGAGGATCTGATGAAAATACACTCATTAGAGGCAGAGGATCTTTACATAAAATGGGAACAATACGCATATCAAAGGTCCGGGAAAGCTACAGAACTCGATCTCGCTACTCTAGATGCCTTCAAACAGAACATCCAACAGCAAATCGAAAAGAAGTCCAGCTTATCTGGAGGCCAGTCATCGGCAACTTCTTCTGCAGTGAAGAAGGCTAAAGTTTTGAAACCGAATGTATCCAGTCCTTCACTGTTTGGCTTTGGAATGCCCAGAACGCCTACCTTGAAGAAGCGAAGGGTGGACCTTACGCCAACACAGCCAAATGAATATCAAAAGCGAGACGCTACAGCAACTGACTCGGGTACCACCCTTTTTACACCGACCAACGGAGTAATCGACAACGCTCTATCATCAATGCCTTCACCGTCATTGAATAATCCCGACCCAGGGAAAACAGTGGAAACACTGAATATATCAGACATCGATGTGGCAGACGGCCTCGATATTGATGGGGATAAAACATTGAAACCATCTCCCTTTTTCGAAGCGGCTAAATTCAATTTTAGAACTTTGCGGCAAAACCTACTAGACGCTGCAGACGTCCTCGACGAACAGCTTGAAATGTTTATTCGTGCAGTGCAAGAGCATTATAAGTTATCGGCCAGCGACATCGGAGATCCAACTGTTCAGTCTCAATCCGTAATAACTGTTGTAGGTCGTATTGTGCCAGATTCGCCGGCGACTGAGGGTATCCTAAACACCGAATCGCTAGCCTTAGAAACATCAAGACTAACAGGTGTAGGGCGTCGGGTTCAGCTTAATCTAGAAAAGGTGCACGAAGTGTCATTGTTCCCTGGACAAATTGTTGCCTTTCGTGGAAAAAACGCTAACGGGGAATACTTTATGGTTGAAGACACCCTCCAAATTCCACATCTAAATTTTCCCGTCTCCACTAGCGAAGAATTGTTGGCATTCAACGAAAGTATGGAAAGTAGGCCAACAAAAATGGCGGTGCTAAATGGACCATACACGTCCTCCAATTGCTTAGACTTTAGTAATTTAGCTGCTTTCATTGAAAGAATTAATGCTGAAATCAGGCCACACGTTCTTATCATGCATGGCCCATTTCTCGACACAACTCATCCGTTGATAGCAAGCGGTAACATCCCGGAATTTCCAGAATTAAAAATCCAACCTAGGACCCTGGATGAAGTGTTCACCAAAGTCATATCACCCGTGCTGAGGCAAATTGATGCTAGAATTCAAGTCATTCTGATACCTTCGACCTTGGACACTGTCTCTAACCACGCCGCTTACCCTCAAAACTCATTGAGCAGGAAACATTTGCAGTTGCCCAAAAACTTCAAGTGCTACACTAATCCTTCCACATTTCAACTAAACGAAGTTTTCGTAGGTTGCTCTAATATAGATGCTTTCAAAGATATCAAAGAAGTTGTAAAGGGCGGTAATACCTGCTCGAAAAACAGATTCGACAGAATAGCAGAGCATATTTTAACTCAGCGAAGGTTCTATCCTTTATTCCCTGGTGGAATAAAAAAAAAAAAAGTAATAGGTGACGATGGGCATGAGCGGTGGGAACACATCAGCGGAGCCGATTTAGATGTCCCTTATCTTGGACTTACAGAGTTTGTGGGAAATATTTTGCCTGATCTTATAATAATTCCTAGTGAACTTACGCACTTCGCGCGTGTAGTGCAAAATGTATTATTCGTCAACCCTGGAATGTTCATGAGACCATCGGGTGTAAGAGGGACTTACGCACAAATATCCGTGAGTCCGCCAGATTTACTTGACGGCAAACTCACTAAAATAGAGGGAGAGGATGACGTTTATTTGCATAATCTTTGGAAAAGATGCAGGGTGGATATAGTAACAGCTTAGGTACGAAACATATAAATACCTTCGAGAAATAAGTTATACAAAATGTCGATCACCTTCCATAATTGGTTTTCGGAATGGCCTGGCTAACTTATACGAAGCTGTTGACTGAAAGTAGTGACATCCATAAAATAGTGTCGATCAATCGAAAGTGGAAACATAAAGATACCTTAATGGTTCAAGGGAACTTCTTTTTCAGTTTGCCCAATGGCGATAGAACCTCTTTAATTATTTTCCTTGACGATGATTCATGTTTACGAGGCGTGTGCGACGCCTGAGTGTGCTTCATCGAAACAGTGGGAGATGAGTGCTCAGATTGGTAATCGCTGTCCTTCTCTGCGCCTAATTCTTCTGCTGGCCCCAATTCTCTTGTGTCACGACTCTCGTGAGCATTCCCGTGAGATGAACCCCCTCCGTTCATAATATCGGCAACATGCTCTTTCGAGGTGTCTGCAACTTGAGAGGGAACGAACTGTTCACCAGCCATCGCCTCATCAGATGGCGACGTGGTGATCACTTTCGGAATAACTTCTTTTTGAGAGGATTCACCACCCCGCTCATCTTGTGTTGCGCTATCCAAACTACTTTGTACATTACTAGTATTGGAGCTTCGACGATCTTCTAAATCCGAGTTCATAGGCTTATTGCCTTGCTCGAACCTCAAATGGTAGTTTTTTGACGTGGGAATAGTGTCAGGGACAGTAGCACCTGCGACAGGTGATGATAAGGAACCAGAAGACTTGCTGGCTTGACTAGGTTGACTTAGCTGGCCTGAAGTTTCATTCTTTTCAACAGGTATTGTGACATTTGATTGACTTTCTTCAGTATTTCTTGGCTGTGACGGGCCTGCAGCCTCTTTAGGTCTTTCAAAACCGGATGATTTTGTCGTATATGAGGGTACGGAAGTTTGCGGCCCGCTATCTTTCGTTGATACCTGGGCTTTCGATGCAACGGTCGAGGGCTCATCATCCTTCTTAGAGCTATCCATAAAATTTGCAGTTTCTTGCACAACTTTGCTCAGATCAATATGAGGTGGTTCTTGAAGTTTCTCAGCGGTAACAAACCTCTCAGAGCCTTTTTGATTTCCGAGCACTATTAATTCGCTCATAACCAAGTAACATAATACAGCCAAATGCTCAAAAACAAACGCGCTGATGAGTACCAGCTTCCAGTCGAGGTGCACAACAGACTGTAGATGCCAGAGTTCACGTTTCTCTAAAACCATTGTTAGTCCTCCACCGGCTGGTCCTCTGTACATTGTTACTAGAGCTGGCGAGACCAGAGTCGAAATCCACAATATGATATTCAAAACAACATCCCAGAAGGAAATCGCTTTGTTCTGTGAAAGTGACTGCGAAGACAGACCAGATGATTCAGTGTTTGGCAATCTTTTAATAACACACTTGTTCAAGCATCTCCAGATTTCCAATTTCATGCAAATTAAGTTGAAAAAAACGCAACACAAGGCAGCTAGCGGCCAAATACACGAAAACATGGTAACATAACCAAATTGAATTATCAATTTATGCGTTTGGGTATTAACATCAAACTCACCCCAAGCACTCGAATTGGATTGACATGCTTGCCTCCAAATCTCAACATCTTCGGGGTATTCCTTAGAGACCTTCATTTCAGCCTGCTTGACGGCGGAGCTAGGCTTATCGAGTCCTTTTAATTTTGGTAGTAGCTTATTTAAGGCTAGAGGTAGCACATTTTCCACAAGGAGGGCAATTATTTGGCCGGTAACCATGAAGAAAAAGTACTGGTTTTGGTAGCGACCGGTGTTGACCTTGAAGTCGGACTTCAGAACAGGAATGTGATATTGAGCGCAGAAACGAGCCAACACCTCCAATTGGGCGTTGATATGATGTCCAAGAGGCAGATAGACAAAGAGTGTGATGAACAATGGCATATAGCTGGTTAAAAAAGTCAAGACGAATTTTTTCTCGAGTTTGGACTGAACGGGATCTGCAGGTTTCTCCCACGCTATCAACTTGTCCAACACAAAGTCGTAAAACATGGTCAAAATGGGAACGTAGACGGCCATTAACCCAGTGGGAATCAAGGCCAAGATATTCGACAGAGGGCCCTGGTAAATTTGAGTGATAAAAATCTCCAGTAAGAAACACACAAACTGGAAAGAAACCAGACACGCAGCAAACTGTAGTGCAATTGGCATGAAACACATCTTTTTCACGAAAACCAATCTTGTAGTAGGTTTCAACTGTGCCAGGGAGGGCACGTACTGAAGCTGGGCACCATATTTGGACCGGAACTTGTCTTTCCACGATGCAACAAATGCAATGGCCCACAGTGCAACGAGAATTGTGTAACTAAAGTTGAATTCCCACGCGGACGATTGGCTGTCAAAAAAACGGAAGGCCAAACCCACGACTGCCAAAATCATAAGCCAGCGAGTGTAGTACTTCAAGAAAGCAAAATACATGCCAATCTCAGGCGATCCAGTCGTCTGACTTACTTGCACAAGGTCTTCTCCAGATGGTACCAAGGAGCCGGTCACTAGTCGCTGCGCTAACTTTTGTCTTTGCTGCCGAGTTTCTGGCGTTGCCATTTGCACAACATTGATAACGTACTTTAGGTGCGAGACTATCAGCGGTAATTTGTTATTCTGGTCGCTCACAAATACGTACACAAGCCCAGAACTGTGCCCTGGCCTTGTCAAGGCATGTAGACCCTTGGCTGACAGCTCTGTGAGCAATTGCGTGAGATTTTCCTTGGAGTATTCAACAGTGAGACACCAATCGGCGCCCAAAGATGCTACAGATGCCATCTTGGTTACCTTTTGAAGTCCTTGAAATTGACTTCTATTTGACAGCAAGTCCGTGGACAAACAACAAGTGTTCATCAACGCCCGAATCCTAAAAGTTCGAGCACTACGTACGTTTTTTATTTGATTTAGCAATTTCTTGAGTAGAAAGTCCAGCTGCTTACATTGTGTTATTCAACCATTATACTAATGAATGGAAGGTCCATCTCATAGCGTCGAAATCGTAGCCAAAAAAGTTGCCAGTGTTATACAAAAAATGAACTTCCCAATGGTCTAAGTTTCAGCTAGAAGGGTAAAGCTATTCAGATTTCGGCAGCATTCAAGCTGAATACGTTATAGGCTAAAAGAATCACGTACTACTTTAGAACACAACGCGGGAAGCTCATAAAGTTGAATGCGACCTCCAATAAAAATTGAAGCCCTTCAGAAACGTTGTCCAGCGGGGATTGAGTATTAGCGATATCTTTGCACTGTCGCCGTGCTCGTCTGTCCTTGATGTTCTAATACAAGTTTTCTTCTTGATTAAGATTAAAATCGAATACAACACATCTCTTTTGCCAGCCTTTTTTGCGGGATTCCAACAGTTCACAGACCATTATTTCTCAATGGTGTTCCCTATGTGTTTAAACCAAGAACTGTCCCGTGAAGTGGTTGCTTCATAGCCTTGTTTTGAAGTACTATCCACGGAGCCATCTGTTCATGTCAAATAAACAACTGAACGCTAGCCCAATCGATGTACGTTTTGTGCGTACTTCTGAAGGAGTAAAGAGCGCCAATTTTCTTCACTTTGAATGAGCATTGATAGTAATGATCTTACGTAGTATGGAGTAATAGAGCTGCACCAAGCCAAAGTATAATACCGAATAGTAATTGATGAATTGATTCATTCATGCCGCTGATTTGCTTATCAAAAAAGTGTTGATAGCACTATTGACGGCAGCGTCCTTATGTTCGTTAACGGTGAAAAAAGTGTTTAATTTTGGGAACTTTGACCACTAGTTAAAAAAGTGGCTACTAAAAAGCTGTAAAGTCTGATTTACATTTGATACCGTGCGTTCAGGCAAGATAGAGCTAATCATATTCAATATTGCATGCTTAGGGGGATCGCAAGACGAACAATGACGGACATTAGACAAAAACAGTTAATTAACAGCTATGAGGCTGTCAAGAGCGAGGTGATGGCATACGCAGAATCAAAAGGAAAAAGCGACGTTTTTTTGCTACCAGTCTCAAAGTTGAAGCCAGCTAGCGATGTGCAGCTCCTCTACGACCATGGCGTGCGTAGCTTTGGCGAAAACTACGTTCAGGAACTCATCCATAAGGCATCTGTTTTGCCCCAAGACATCAGGTGGCACTTTATCGGTGGTCTGCAAACCAACAAGTGTAAAGACCTTGCCAAGATACCTAACCTGTATGCTGTTGAGACCATTGACTCCCTTAAAAAAGCTGTTAAGCTTAACGAGGCTCGGGCCAAATTTCAGCCCACCGCTGGAAAAATCTTGTGCAATGTTCAAATAAACACATCTGACGAAGCTCAAAAAGCAGGGCTCTTTTCTGACAATGACATATTAGAGGTAGTGCAGTTTTTCTTATCTCCTGAAGCCACGCACGTCGAGCTCGGCGGCCTAATGACCATAGGTTCTTGGGACGTCTCACACGCAGAAAGTGAGGAGAATCGCGATTTTGCTGTCCTTGCTCACTGGAAACAGGTTTTGGACGCTAAATTCAGCTTGAATTTGAAGTTGTCAATGGGCATGAGCTCCGACTTCAAACAGGCCATCAATCAAGGCACCTCCCAAGTCAGAATTGGAACTGATATTTTTGGAGCTCGGCCTTCAAAGGCAGAGATGCGCGCTTAAATTCTTCAAAGGAAGTGCACACCGAAATTCTACTGCATTTAAATGCCCTCCATACGGCAGGATTTTTAACGATATATACTTTTAACAGATGCACTTTATGTGCTTGTTTATTTATCATATCTGTCATATGGTGGCCTCACATACACATTGAATGATCAACTCGGCCAAGTAACTTCCTTGTGTCGTTTTACATGTTAAGTCCACCTCATTTTCAAGACACCGGAGCTTCATAAGACAACCCGAACTCCCGCCAATCTTGGTGTGGACTATCCCGGCTGCAAAGATTGTATTTTCGACCGTTGTTTGCTCTACAATATCAAACGACATTTTGTCGATAGAACTCTTAATATGACTGAGTGTATCTTGAGCGACAATAACTGCAGTTCTATGAAATTCGCCGTCTTTACCCAATGCATCGCCGAGAGCCCTCCAACGTTGTACAAATTGTGACAAGGATACACCTGATTTTTCTTCTGACCGCGCTGAATAAATCGTGCTGGTGATGGCAGCTGTTATTTTCAATGACACACTACTAACGTTGCCTCCACATTTGAAGTTCACATTCAAAATAGGGCTCTGATCGATAGGACTGCCGCGTCGGGTCAAGATTTCTAGCTTGTGTGTGGCACGCTCACCTACTGAAATGCTCGTGGTTGGAACATTGATAACGTTTACGATATAGGATGGGTCGTTGTCAGTCTTGTAAGAAATAAGTTCGGTTAGCAGAGAAGTTATCGGCCAGTCAGAAATATTAACGTACGTGAGAGCCACTTCAAGAAGCTCGGGATGGGAAGGTGAAACGGAAAGACGATAGAAAATTTTCAGAAAAGGCGTTGAATAGAAGACACCTTGTTTATGTTTGAGCATTCTTCTGAATCCATCTTTCCAGTCAGTAGACAATCGCTGGTTTTCATAAAGCACATTTTGTGATGACTGCTTCACTTTTCGAGTTGGAGGGGGAGTTGGTGCTGTAGAACTACTGTTTTCGTTGGACAAAGTACTGGTTAAGTTAGACGTACTCAATGCTGCACTTCCCAATCGGTTGAGAAGAGGATTTCTCTTACCAGTAAAAGGTACCATTGGCTGAAAAAGGACATCCATCAACCTAGCACCACTAACTTTCTCAAGCTGGATTATCTTCAGATATTCATAAGATCTGGTCTGCAACTCTACATCTAGGGAATTCAACTCTAGTTGGAAGAACTTAATAACGGCCGATCCAATTTGGGAGTCTCGCTTATACAACTTCATCATTGTGGTCAAAATCATGGCTCGACATAAGTTAGAAACAGAAAAATACTTTTCGGTGAACAAGTTAAACAGTTCCCCGCACGAGGTTTGCGTAATTACCAATTCCACATACTCCCCAAGAAGAAACGCACCAGCTTTCACAATAGCTTCCGAAATGTTGGGCTTCGCCAAATAATCCAGAAGATACTCGCATGTTAGTTGGTGAAGACTTTCATTGTTTACCACTATCTGACAAAGTCTCTGCCAGATATCGTTGCTATTGAATGAGGCGTTCGAAAAGGACAATAAATTTAGCAGGACACCAACATACCACCTACTATCCGTGGCAAAATTTTCAGTCAAAAAAGCCACCTTAACAGCGATATCAGACCGAATATGATGGTGCGTTTGTTTTGAGTCTGTCATATATTTTAACAAGGCATTTACAATCGACTGTACATTGCTAGCATCAGTCAAAGCATAAAGCAGATCAACTACTTTCCGTACAATGGATGTGTCGCGTTCCATAAGCAGGAGGTGAAACAACTGGTCCATGTGATGGGTGCGTACTTCATCCCGTGCGTTTTTCCCGCTCACGGAGCACAACTTAATCAAACAATCCAAAGTAAGGTATCGTGTGTTAGTCTCACTGGAAGTCAATAAAGAGCAGAGAGCATTAACCGAGCTTACTATGGCATCAGCAGATGGGTCCAATTTGGAAGCAAAATTGATAAGTGAGAACAATATTGTGTTTTGTACCGTTCGCATGAGAACATCGACAGCCGGCCGCGTCCCAATCTCGATAGCTTTGGTTACACAAGTCCGGAGTTTGCCCAGAGTTCCTTGGTCAATGTTACTGAATGTGATTTCACCAGCTGAACTTGAAGGTGAGCTGATCAGAATATTTAGAATTGAGATAACTTTTGTGACGATCCATGGGTTTGGAATGTTGTTATAATTAGAGTCATCGTAGTGATCCGTTCCGTCATCTTTAATTCCGGCAGAGATACAATTGAAGAGTATATCCGATAACTGAGGAATGATTTTTACACAAGCTTGTCCGTCCACTTCGCGCGCAATGTATTCAATCAAAGGTAGAACCGAGATCATTAACCTATAGTTCGTTGTATCATCTAAAAGACTCATTATGCGTTGGATCCAAAGCTGTTTGCGTCTGGCATCCTGCGTCAATATACTGGAATCATTGCGCAATAACGCTAGAAATGCCAAGGCTGACTTTTTCTTCAAGATTTGAGCGGATGTTGGTGATCGGAGCACTTGAAAAACCTCGTGTATCAGTTCGCGAGTCAAGTTAGAGTCGCATTTTCCCGTAACTCCGAGGAAATTCAATGCTAGAGAAACCATATTGTCTGAGGTAGATGCCAGGTCGATCTTAAGTTGTTGAACAACACGGTCTCCTATTTGCTGGATGACACTCGGATTATTGTAAAGCAGCTCGAGCGTCATATATGCAATGAACTTCTCTGAATATACAACAGATGCCATGAGTTCACAGCATTGGTCTAAACCAAACATCACATCCGAAATTCGGGTCGTATTGGTGACAATGAAAATATAAGCCAACTTTGCAATATATTTCTTACGCTGATATCCACTAAGGGACGCGGTACTGGAAGAATGTCCATTGATATTGCCGGTGTTATTATTCGCACCGAACTGTTTCCGAATGCTTACCATTTCTGACATAATCCTCTTTTCCCGATCCTCAGCATGTAATGATCCCCTCAGGTCTGCTATAAAAAGTTGCAGACCTTTCATGCTGTTATGACTACTATTAGCCACCATTCCAGCGCACTTAGGCTAGTAAATGACTATATGGCGATCAATATTGAAGATATCCACTTTGATGCCTACGAAGTTAATGAAATGTTTGTAGTTCATATAATTACGTACGAATTGCGATATTTCGAAATCCAGCCTCTCAAAGTATAAAAAAAACCGAATAAGCAACTAAGGAAGCTATAATCTTTAATTGAATAGCCATGAATACTGAAGCAGAATTTCTGCGTGAATTTAAGAGGAGACACCTTTACTCCACGGGTCTCTTGGACTGTATTTTGGCAAATGGTATACATGCACTTACTCAAATAATGTAGAGTCTTGAAATTGATCAATTAAATAACTAGAATGACAGCTATTGTATGCTGGGTTGAGTCTAAGCTACCAATGCACATCTGCTAAGTTCGTAACCTATACGTTTGAGCCGTATCGGGCGCCAGGGTCAAGGACAGCATAAACCAAGCGTTGCTACTTGTGACTTCACCACACGGTTGAATTTGCTGCGAACTTGAAAGTTTTCGTCAAGTAACACATCACTTAGTAAAGTTTTGATTTATATTGGTGCACCTTAGGAGTATTTTATTCAAAACTTATTTTTGCTTTCATCTCAATACCCAGCTAGGGCTCTTTCTTTTGGTGGTTTAACGCTCGAATTGAAAGTGAAGTTCATAAATGTGTACTGAGGGCGATTGGAGGACTTAGCCGTCTGTTGTTTTTAGTCAAATATAATCCTCATAAATTTTCAATAGAAAGGTCTCTATCCTATGTTATGCGCCCCCCAAGTACATAATATCTTAGCCACGAACAGGAAAATGAGATCGCGGCTTGAATCTGCAATAGGAGCGCCCAGTGCGTTTAATGAGATGTCACAGAAGCTTCAGTTGACCAGCAATTAAGTAGAAAGTGATAAATACTTTGGTGATCTTGAAAGATATCTGTTTGATGATGTATGAGAGCTTCATTTACTACAAATTTGTGCAAGGAGACTCATTGGTACCCTGCTACATCTCTAAATTTACTCATTTTCCGCTCCCGCGTTCCATTTGGCGATGAAATACCAAGTGACTCGAAAAACTCCTTCACCGTGTTACGCCATCAATATGCAATGGCGATTACAGTTGTAAGCTTTTAAAAACCATCTCTTGCGAAGCTACTAAACTTGAAACTGGGAATCAAACACTTTATGTTTTGTATTTCTATCGCGGCTGAATCACCAAGGAGTTTGGAGCAGGGGCAGTAACTGGGGAAATTTCTAACAACTGATGTCAATATCAATTCGCCTCGATCAAGTTCAGGCCAACCCACATTTTCTCGTGATACCACCCGTCGACATTTCAGTGACAGCTGGGAAAAAAGTGACAGGGTTGAGAGTCCAGATACAGATGACAGGGAGGTATACCGGTATTGATGAAGGCCAGCAAGCTCTGCGAGTAACCATATTAATATTTATCAAATATGCTTTGTACTAGCAGAATGAAGCGTACTGTCATTATGTAGCGCTGGTTAATCGGCTCGAAGCAATGCTGAAACTTTCTGGTACGCATAGCTACGATCATGATTACGTAACGATACTAAGCGTGAGCTGTTCTAGTCTTCTGAACCAAAGACACTGCTGAAGAACCACGGATGGCCGCACCTGATCAATCAAAGCCACCAATTATAGGGCGTTCATGCTCAGACACAACCGCGCTTTGAACACTTTGCTACTTCATGAGATAAAACATAAACGTTTTTGGCGTTGCCAATTACTGCTTTTATTGTAAGGAAAGTCAGCGGCTCGGATCTCGATAATATATTCATGGAAAGTTCCGCATCAACTGCGGTTTGTTATATTTGCTGTCAAGCTTGTTTAGGTGATCAACTTTTTTTGTAATATCATGAATTGACATCAAAATATACTTGAGAGTTTATATTGTCAAGGCTGTACAATCAGGTAACGCAAGTTTTGAAAGCACAAACCTGATAATTAAAAGTATCTGTTCCCCGCAGTAAATATCTCTAGGTAGCCGAATTATTAGATCTTTCTTGAATGGTGCTCAATACTAGAATCTTTCAACTCACATATAAGAATGTGCTTGCTGGTACAAACATGCTGGGTCACGCCAAACAGGGGCAGTTAATTGTAGCGATATGCGCTTCGCATATATCAGAAACCAGTCATATCTGGCGATGATTTCTAATTGTGCTCAGTCCTGGTATTAACCAATAAAAACGTTGCATAGAACTTCTGAGATACAGAGTTTCTATTAAAGCGAAGTAATTGGTGTGTTATGGACATATTTCATCAAGCGATGTATGTGAGACAGCATCACTGGTCACGACTATAATGTCTACAAATTTACCTTTCTTAACATACCAATCTCTACAAATTGAAATAACCAATTGCCGCTCAGTATGTCTTTATGGGTCGACAAATATCGTCCAAAGTCGTTAGAAACTCTCTCGCATACCTCTAGGCTCACAAATCTTTTGCAATCTCTTGCAGTGGAACCTAGAGATTTGCCTCACCTTTTATTTTATGGACCCAATGGAGCTGGAAAAAAGACACGATGCATGTCCTTGCTACAGTCTATCTTCGGTAGCGGTATTTACAAATTGAAGATTGATGTAAGGCAATTCACTACGCCTTCAAACCGCAAGCTAGAACTGAACGTTGTTTCAAGCCCTTACCATTTGGAGATCACGCCTAGTGATATGGGTAATAATGACCGGATTGTGATTCAGGAATTACTGAAGGAAGTAGCTCAAATGGAACAGGTGGATTTTCAGACAGGATCTGTGGCAGAGTCTGGCGGACTAGCCCACAGGTACAAATGTGTTATTATAAACGAAGCCGACTCTTTAACACGAGATGCACAAGCTGCGTTGAGAAGAACAATGGAAAAATACTCTAGAAATATCCGATTTATTCTGCTATGTGAATCCATGTCCTCCATGATTGCTCCCATCAAATCCCGTTGTTTGCTAGTGAGAACTCCAGCCCCGAATACACTAGAAACAATTGAAATTTTGAGCAAGGTCGCCAAAAGCGAGCGCGTTTCGGTGGAGGATGAATCGATTCTGAAGCTCATATCTGAAAGCTGTGATGGCAACTTGAGGAAAGCTATTTTAACTCTAGAGTCCATGGCCTTGAACAACGAAATGGCATTGAAAACGACGTCACCTTTGATTAGGCCTGATTGGGTTGTGGTGATTTTGAAAATGACCAACCGCATAGTGAAAGATAGATCAGTATCTTCAATCGTAGAATGTCGTTCCACTCTCTACGACCTGTTGGCACATTGCATACCCGCCAAGGTCATAATACAAGAGCTCGCTTTTGCTTTAATGAAAGAAGTCCGCAGCGATGAACATAGACTAGGCGTCATTACATGGGCAAGCGTTTTTGATGAGCGATTGTGCTTAGGAAACAAGCCTATATATCATTTGGAGGGTTTCATTGCAAGAGTGATGTGCGAATTGGACGCATGAAATATTTGATATAGAAATCTAAAATAGACTAGTGCAATCAATTGTACTTCCACGAAACGCGGAATGCTGACAAAAGCTGATTAGATTATTTAATACTTCTGTTTTTGATAATGCCAAATATTACGATAACATTACGATATGTACAGTACTTACAAGCCTCGGATTGAGCTTCAGCGGCCTCTAAACATGCGATATTGCGGCAGCTTGGCCCTCTCTTCATTCAAAAATATTTTAGTGGGGTTTTTACGCATTTTTTCCATATAGTCAACCTTGACATCGTTATTAGGGTCCTTAAAACTCTTCAGGCCTACTCTTACCAACGATTCTCTCGAAACAAATTCGTACACACCAGGCAATTTGCTGCCGGCTTTCCTAAATGCTTCACGCGCCACTTTCTCGTGTAAGTCGTCTCCGTCCATTTCAAATATAACTTTCCCAGTGGGGACCCGGACCATCCAGTGATCAAATCCACCTTTACCTTTACCCATACGGGTTTCATTACCTTTGATACAAACGGCGATGTTTGTACAGAGCCTTTTCCACAGCTGCCCATTGGTCAACGGCCTGACATACCTCATAATAGCATTATCAGCTTCCTTGAGCTGTTGCGCAGATAGTCTAACACCCTCAGTTCTCAAACGAAGGCCGAATCTCCCGAACTGAAGAGTCGATCCCTTTGTAGACCCACCAACACGTACTGGGACTCTTCCTTTTTGTTTCTTGCTCACATCCTTGAAGCGAGGTGCATATTCATGCGTAAAACGTTTCAATACTTGAAACGGGCTAGAGGCAGGCTTAATTGGCCTTATAGAGCTGCCAAACATTGTCTATACGGTCTCTCTTTACAAAAGTTCTTTAGATGCTCAAATATTAGAATATTTTACTTGTCTTCGATAAGAAAATTTTTGATGCTCAATATTAGAAAATATCTATAATTAAAAAGGATTTGACGCCAAGGGGAAGGCTATAGGGCAGTTGAGTAAACTCGACTGTTAATATATCTCCCATTCTTGGAATCAAGACTTACCCAAACTAATGGTCGATCACTATCATTAAAAAACTTCACAATTTATAACACGCTGATTCAGATTTTAGTCCGGAGGGTGCTAGTAGCTGATAATATAGGTTCCCAAGTAATCTTAAAATTGTCTTATTTCTTATCCATGTAACTCTCGCAAAAATTCCTATCTCATTTCCTACCAAAGGCCCTGAATTTCGATTTTTCTGTTAACGAGAATTTATTGTTCGCTCTTAAAATTACATTGGCACAACGAGAAAAAACACACTCAACATTTGGAATCTCCTTATACCACAAATGTATTGTTTCTTTTACTCAGATCGTTCACCACTAATTGAAATCATAAGAAACTGTATCGCGTATCATCTCTATGATAGTGATCCCTGGTTGTAATAGAGTGTTTCTGTAAAGATATACAGCTTCAGCACCCAACTAATCTTAAATTATATTGTGAAATGTCACTGAGAAACACAGATGTACCAATTTTAATTAATTGACTCCTGAATGCTCAATGGTGGTAGCTTTTAGTTTTCACTCATATATATAAATGTGAAGGCCATCTACGAGTCTGGTTTTTAGCGAAGCTCCTGAAATAAGACGAATAACAATACCAAAAAGGAAGAGCTAAGGAAACTTTGCCGATTAGCTTAAAATTTCCAAACAAAATCTGCAGTCCGTATATACCTCTCGAACCTTGCATTATTGTCAAATATGATTCGTCTGACAAGCGCTTATAGAAGAAAATTTAAGAATATATGATAAAAGTTGCAAAGCACGACAAGCTGCTCAGACCGCTTGTAGCGCCAATGAGCCATTCAAGAACAATTTTTCCATGGCGCAGACTACTTCTGAGATGCTACTCTCAAGGTAAAGCTCAGTTAAAGATTAATGGAGCCGACTACGAGACGAATCCTGAATTTACTAATGTCTCGGGAAATATTTTGAAATTAAGCGATCGCTCATTGCATCTCAAACCTTCTCATCCGATTGGTATACTCAGAAAGCAGATAGAAGACAAGCTAAACTCAACATCTAATGCTTACTGCCTCTACAACAACTTCCGCCCAGTCGTAACTGTTGAGGAGAACTTTGATTCTCTGGGGTTCCCTCCAGATCATCCTGGTAGGTCCAAAAGTGACACTTATTACGTCAACAACAAACACTTGTTCCGGACTCATACGTCTGCTCATGAAATGGAGTGTTTCGGTAATATTCTAGGATTTTCGGCCAACTCAGCACCGAAAGATCCTACTGATAAACATGGATTTTTGATTTCTGCTGATGTTTATAGAAGGGATGAAATCGATAGAACTCACTATCCGGTATTTCATCAAATGGAAGGTGCCCACATATGGAAAAGATCTCAAGAACCAGTAGCCGAGGGCCGAGAACCACTACATATACAGAAGCTACGCGCAGACTTACTCAAGCTAAAAAACCAGTTGCAAGATGAAAGCAACAATTTGGTGGTTCACGACGACACCTCTCTTGATGGAAACCCTAAACAAGATTTCATGTCCGATATTGAGGTCGATCTGTGCTCTCAACATCTTAAGAGAAGTATTGAGCTCTTAGTCGCCCAAGTTTTCAATAAAAAACTTGAATCCATGGGCACCAAGCAATCAGAAAATCAATTAAAGGTTCGCTGGATTAAGGCCTACTTTCCATGGACTGCTCCTTCCTGGGAAATCGAGGTTTTCTGGCAGGGCGAGTGGCTTGAATTATGCGGATGCGGCCTCGTCCGCGAACAAGTATTACTTAACGCCGGATACGAACCAAATAATACAGTTGGGTGGGCGTTCGGTTTAGGACTCGATCGAATCGCCATGCTCCTGTTCGAAATCCCCGACATTCGCTTGTTCTGGACTTTGGACGAAAGATTCCACTCTCAATTTAGCGAGGGCACCATCAGCAAGTTTAAACCTTATTCAAAATATCCAGGTACCGTTCGCGACGTTGCATTTTGGCTCCCACAAAAGCAAGATTGCGCCATTATACATGAAAATGATCTGATGGAAATTGTTCGTGAAATGGCGGGCGATCTAGTCGAAAGCGTAAAACTCATCGATAACTTCGTGCACCCAAAGACGGGCAAGCAATCACTTTGCTACAGAATTAACTATCAATCTATGGACAGAAATCTGACGAATGAAGAAATTAATCAAATCCAAGAAAGCGTTCGTCAAGAACTGGTTCACCAATACAACGTTACGCTACGCTGAATGTGTTCCGAATGTTCAATTTGAAATCGTTAAGTTACCCAACTGCTGCTGCTTATATTTAAAAAGCAGCTACTCTTGTTAATAGCATAATAGCATATGAGGCCGGTACCGGCCTTTTCGTCTTAGCACCTCTTTCCTCGTATGCAGTGCCCTTGTCAATTCTTTGTTCTCAGTGGGCGGTCTACCAAAAGCACATTAGCAACACTCATGGATGTAGAAGCTCTTGCATTCGACCTGCACTGTTATCACAGAGCTTTATCCGACGCAGATTTGAATGAGCGTAAAAAAAATAGCTATACTGTATGGTTCAGAAACAGGAAACGCCCATGAGTTTGCCAGCGTTTTGTCATATAAGCTTCACCGGCTACACTTCCCACACACTCTGTTATCTTTTGGAAACTACGCACCGCGAGATCTTTTAGAGTGTCGATACTTGTTCGTAATAAGTTCAACCACGGGCCAAGGTGAACTGCCGAGGAATGTCAAAGAGAATGCAACAGGCCAGTCAAAAGACACCCTATGGACATTTCTGAAGAAGAAAAACCTTCCTGAAGACTTTTTAAGCCATGTTCGTGTTACAATGTTGGGCCTGGGCGATTCATCTTATCCAAAATTCAATTATGCTATCCGGAAATTGCACAAACGAGTCGTTGATCAACTTGGTGCAAAGGAGATCTTCCCACGGCTGGAGGGCGATGAATTAGGCCTGACCGGCAGTAATGGTGGAACGGGAACTGGTGTTGAGGCTGTATATTTCGAGTATGAAAAGCGGGCCCTGAAGTACCTTGTCAGCAAATTTCCAGATCGTAAGATGCAGGGCAAATTAATTAAAAGAGAGCCTTTAGCAGACGACGTTTTCATGAAACCTGAATTCAAACTTCAGGTAAGACAGAGCAAAATTGTGAATTGCTCACCAATTTTCAAAGGTGACCCTTCCATCAAGGTCGGAAAGGTTTGCGAAAATACAAGATTAACACATCAAGAGCACTTTCAAGACGTGCGACAGTTTGTGTTTGAAAGTGATAGTGAAAGTTATGAACCAGGTGATACTGTAGCATTGTACCCGAATAATCGGGACGATGACGTCAACGCTTTTTTCGAACTTCAACCGCACTGGTTACAAATCGCGGATAAGCCTCTTGAGATAGAGGGAACCTGGGCTGATCACGATGGCGGTGTGGTAGCACCACTAACACTTCGAAACGTTCTGAAATATCACTGTGAAATTACAGGTATTCCAAGAAAGACATTTTTCATGAAAATCTGGATGTTTGCCACGGATAAGGCAGCACTTGATGGCAGTGAGGAACAACTTATTCAACAGCGTGACAAGCTGCGCCAATTTGCCGTTGATGAAGACATGGACGATCTTTATGACTATTGTAATAGACCTCGTAGGTCATTACTAGAAGTTCTCCGCGACTTTCCGTCTATTAGTTTACCATGGGAGTATGTCTTGAGTTACCTCCCACTTATAAAGCCTAGGCTTTTCTCGATTTCAAGTGAGCCTTCAAATCCAAACATAGAGCTGACCGTGGCCATTGTGAAGTACAAAACTATATTACGGAAAATAAGACGTGGCTTATGTACCGACTACCTGCAATCATTACAGAAAGGTGACACGGTTAGGTACAAGCTACAAAAAAACAGCCTATTGAAAGCATCGATGCAGTCGTCGCCCGTTATCCTGATAAGCCCTGGCGTTGGTCTTGCGCCAATGATGAGTTTGCTTAAAGCAGACTTCTTTCAGGATGTAAATCTTTTCTTCGGCAACCGAGTCAAAGAAAGAGATTTCTTATATCGTGATGTCTTGGAGAGTTGGAATAAAGTTGGTAAGATCGCTCTCCACACCTGTTTCTCTCGTGACCCGCTACATTCCCCAAACGCCAAGTACGTGCAAGACGTGTTATGGCAGAAAGGTGAAATCTTGGCTGATCTTATACTAAAAAAAAATGCTATTGTCTACATTTGCGGTTCTTCTGGCAAAATGCCTGTTCAAGTAAGGCTGACAATCCTTGAGATTTTGAAGAAATGGGGAGAAATCGCTACTGATGGAGAAGTAGAAGCATATCTCAAAGATATGGAAAGAGAAAACAGATATTTACAAGAAACGTGGTAATCATAGCCATATTTCAGAATTCCAAATCAAGCAATATTGACATTTAAGATACAAAGAGCACATGATTCTTGTAATTACAACATTATTCAGAAAGCTTTATTCGCGTGCTTTCAGATTACGCCGATTTCTAACCCCGTCAGTAGCATCAAGAAGGATTCTAACCTAAGATAAAACTCTATCCCCACACAATAATTTCACGATAAAATTCCACCACTGCAATACCATCAACAAATAAAAAACAATTATAACACCTATTTTAAAGCCAAACTATCAATAATACTCCTGCTTTTAATTAGAAATTTTTTCCCGAAACAAAATCAGCGGTGACCTGTACCCAACTTGCCCCCTTGGGAAGTTTAAATGGAATAGAAGCGGAGTCATTTGCTGCTATCCGCTCAACTGATGTAATTTTACCCACAAACCAATCTCTATCAACTGTAAACTTTTCATTATCCTTCAAAAAATATCTCGTAGTTTCATCAAATGCTGTAAAAGCGGCCCACGGTACGATTTTTTTGATGTCATTGTTCTCTCGTCTAGATTTTCCTGGTCTGTGGTCTTCATTTTGAGCCGATGTGAAACCAGGAGGAGGGGGAGTTGAAAGATCTACCGACGAAAATGAGGACGCAAGGGAAGAGACAGAAGAAGAAACTGAATCAGGAACGTCTCTCGTAGGCAAAAATAAAGCCATATCACCAACTTGAAAGTTCTTTATTGTGATCTTCTCTCTTTGATATGTTTCAAGTAACCCCCTCTTGAATTTGTTCTCTTTGGTCAGCTTTTTAGCTAAGGCTTCTATATCCTTGAACCTTTTGATAACCGATGTTTCGTAAAAGTTGTTCCCAAAGAGCTTATTCATCGTCGACAAGAAATCTCTCTGTAATTGCGCATCACTGGAGCTGACCGACGCTTCAAATTTTTTTTTCACGTCTTGAAATGCTGTGCTTTTGATACTCACAGGACCTTTCAATTCTAGCCCACTTTCCAAAAGGTCGCTTTGCGAAAAGCCTTTGCGCAGGCCTTTTACTCGAGTTATTAGAAATTGCTGCTCATCTGTTTTTGATAGCAGCAGACCGATGTTTTCCAAAATATAAACGCCATTGGCGAATATTTCGAACACTCTGGTAAGTGTTTCTTTGTTAAGTTCCATAGCTTCATCAAAAGCTTTATCAGGTACTTCGTCTGTGACAATTTCTTGAGTTGGTGCAGCAATATGATTGCCGACTGACTCCTCAGCAGATACTTTCAGTGAAGAAACTTCCTCACGCAGCTCAGTGATATTCGTCAAAAGATCAGCTCTCTCCCTCACAAATTCATTTTCAAGATTTGCCATATCTGAAAGCAGGTCTTCTTTCAAACGTGTCTCTTGCTCATATTTATGTTTCCATGCCTCTGCTTCATTCAGCAAGGAGGAATTTAGTTTCCCTATCGTGTCAATTTTGCCTTTGAGCTCTCTGTACTGAGAAAACTCCTTGCGCTCTCGCTGTTCCTCCTCAGAGGTCAGTCTGTAAAGCTCATGATTCAGGGCTGAAAGAGTTTCCCGATAAGCATTTTTTTCGTCCTCAAAATCAACGATCTGGGTTTTAAGCTTTTTTGTTTCTTCAATACTCATAGCCAGCTCTTCTCGATGCTGCTCTAGTTCTCTCTGAATTTTGGCAAAGTTGACAAGAGAGCTTTCTTTCAGGTATTCGGGTGCTACTTCTTTTCCATCAGCTAAAAGCATTGACATTTTAACGTTCAAAGGTGGAACGTTATTATCAAAAGCAGTCCATGTCGCATTATTCAGAATTCCTGAAGGCCAGGAGTTAATGTTTGAGAATTTAGCGTCATGCAGAAGAGACTCTAGTTTCTGGATTCTTCTTTTGTATCCCTTGACTAAATCAGTCTCAGAAGAGGATGATTTCAAGGAAAAAGAACTTCCTAAGCGAGGTGTTGTCTTAAGATTGACGGAAACATTTATCGCAGACTCCAAGTTCTTCTGAAGTATTGCAACGCTTTCCGCAGCAACGTTTTGCTGGGAAAGCTGAAAAAGAAAACGTTCGATCTTTTCGGTTGTCACTTCGCCATAATTAACGTCTGAGATTTTTTTTAGCTTAGAGTTGCATGCTTTTCGTACCTCGGCCAGATCAGTGTTTGGAATATTAAATAGAGTAGCTGACTGACCAAAAGTTTCATTCCATTTTTGCCGCCGTTTTTCTTCGGCATCCCCAATAACTTGAAATTCTTGAGAAAGTTTAGAGTCCAGATTCATTACCTGTGTATGCCACTGTTTTCGCCTAAGCTTCTCAATTAAGTGCAAGCCATATAAGATGGGTAAATCCTCCACTCTGGACAAACGCAGTTCACAATTTTGTAAGGTTTCTAATTCTTGGTTGCATTCTCTAAGTAAGACCGTCTTCACATCAAGTATTTGCACTTGTATGTAAGCAGTCTGGCTTAAGAGCAGAATCATTTCCTCTTGAAGTTGTTTCTTGTTTACCAAAGATTCTTCTGCTTTTACAAACAGTGATTGGGCTACCGTAAAGAGGTTGCGTATTGTGGAGTTTTTGTCCTCGGAAATTTTTTGGGATACTTCTTCCAATACCTCACTTGTGAACTCTTCAGAAGTAAGAGCCAAAGTGTCATGGGTGCTTTGTCTAAGTTTCATGATCATTTCTTCGAATTTTTGCATCATATGGTTCTCCATCTTATAATTAGACGGTGACTGCTCGAACCGGACTTTTAGCTCTTGTGACTTTGTAGATATTGCCTGCCGCTTTTGAAAGTTATCGTTAATCTGATCCTTTAGTTGTCGCAGTCGAGAGTTGACGCTGCGACTAATAGTTTTGAGATTATTGTAGTCATCCTCAAGTTCTTGTTTTCGAAGAAAATCGCTCAGATGCCTCTCTTTTTCGTCATTTACCGTGTTGATTTTAGTGAGTAAACCATCATATAATTTTTGCCACTGATGTGCGCTGCTGTCATTAGTTAGCTGGTTAAGAAACTCTACGTTGGAGTCGTACAGTTTCTCAATGTCGTAGCAGTAAAGCTTAAGGTACTGCGAGCAAATTGTAAAGCACTGAAATATCGTATTAGTTTCCCGAATTGTGTTGTGAATAATTGAAAGAAAGTAGTGCGCGTCAATATCTAAGGCGCTGAGCCAGCCCATATTTGTAGTCAGCATACTGACGACCTTGCGATAGTTCAAATTTGAAGAGACATTATTGACCTCGAGTAATGGTGAAGTGACCGGCTTAATCAGTGTTACTTGATTATTTTGAGTGACCGTACCTAACAAGTCTTGTACCTCTTGAGACTTGAGGGTTAGATCGGTAGAACTAGGATCTTGAGCAAATGAAAAGAGTCTCCGATCGAAAACGTAGAACTCAGACTTCACGGATTCTCGTAAGCAGTTGAGGAAGATACTTTTCTTTAGTTTTGCTCCGTAAGGCAGTAGAATGAAGGTGTGATCCAATGGAATCCTTAATTGCTGGCTTACAAACCTTTTAAAATCTTCCATTGCCAGAAAGGAACGCACGTTGGCGCTAACATTAGTCCCGGTAATAGCATTGTATATTGTCGCACTGTAATCACTCATTCCGTAGCTGAAATGGAACTAAAAGATAGTTGGCACTCTTGAATTTGAGCTTATAACGCTTTTCGATCACGGATTTTGCAGTTCCAGCTGGTACAAAACCCCTGCCCGAACGCCAAATAGTAGCGCTTTGGTTTTAGCTGAGTATGGAGACTCCAGATCAAAGTTTTGATGGGCTACAGAAGAATCGGAAAAGAGGTTATACAATAGTTTTGAATCTTTTCAAACCTGATGTAGTGATCCTTAAATCAAGGAACTTAGTTGACCTTCAACTATATAGCACTACACACGAAAAATGTAAAGAACGTCGTTTCATCAACCAGGACCGGAGGAGCACAAGTGAGCTTTAACAGCCTCAGCTATGCAACTCTATTGTTTATGATGATAGCAAAAATAATGCAAGTCATCGCGGTCGGACCATGTGGCTTGGTCACCAATATTAGTCATGAGAGATATTCTTGAAAGACAGAGAAAGCGGTAGTTTTGTTTGCAGTTACGATACGAAGAATCACAAGCTTATGGTATTGAATATCAATAGTGGCTATCCGAATGCAAAATGAATGACAATGCCAATCAATAATGTAGGATCAAGAAGTCGAGATTATCTCTCTGAATTTTGCACGTAGAAGAATGCATAAGTCGCAATATGCTAACTATAGCCATGTACATTATCACCGTTATTGAATGTGTATCGCCATATAAGGTACGGGCGTATGAGACATATTGTTGAGTTTTTTGTAGACCACACTAGCCAGTATCCTTTCGAACATGGAAAATTTGGAGCATCAGTGAGCTCTTAAATGTCGTCACAATTGTGTAAGCCAGACTAAAAGAGGTATCCATCAGCTATAATAGCATCAGGATGCCAAACAATTTGATAATTCATCATTTATCAAATATCAGTTACCCGCCTACTCGGTAGTTTTGAAATATTACTACTAAAGTAATCACATCACTCCATAAAATCAGAGCAGTCAATTTGCCGAGTAACCCTGTGGTACCAATTCATTGGTCTGATATTAGCTCCCCGGATTATCAGTAGTTTGGTTTGCCACACATGAGTGTAACCTATCGACCACTTGATATATCAAACGCAGATGAATTAAAGCACGTCCAGAGATTGATAGACGCTGACCTCAGTGAACCGTATTCTGTGTATGTGTACCGCTACTTCTTGAACCAGTGGCCCGAACTTTGCTACTTCGCATTCAGTGAAGGTGAAAAGGATCCGGTAGGATGCGTAGTTTGTAAATATGACGATCACAGAGGTGCTAGACTGCGAGGCTACATAGGGATGTTAGCAGTGGCACAAAATTTCCGCAGACGTGGGATAGCTAAACAATTAGTGGCTGTGGCCATTGAGAAAATGCAAGAGATTGGCTGTGACGAAGTAATGTTAGAGACAGAAGTCGAAAACACGACAGCACTGAGCTTATACGAAGGATTTGGATTTATCAGACTAAAACGCATGTTTCGGTATTATTTGAACCAAGGCGATGCTTTCAAACTAATACTGCCGCTAACAGAAAAGAGTTGCACCAGAACAACGTTCTTATTACAGCCAGAAACAGCGTTTGTTGAGTGACGAGAAACGGCAATTTAACAACGACTAGCGTTAAAAATAAGATCTCCTTTGGAAGTGTTGTCTTCGAAAATGCGAATTAATCCTTATCTATTTAGTTGTTGTGTAATGTACAATTTAAACCCCGGAGGAAAACATGATTTAGGTGTTCTGCTTACTCTTCTTCATTGAATTTCGGAGCCAAGAAGAATTGCAAGTATCCACTTTGTAAGCTGAACTCAAACAACGCAGGAGTCTCTGAGGACAATTTGATGGTGATCTGCTCTGCTAGACCGGCACCTTTGATGATATCCAGCAGGTATTTGGAACCGAAGGTCAAATCAACGGGCTTGTCAAGTTCCACTTTGACGCTTTCTTGAGGTTTGTCCATATCAGTGTGAGGCTTTACGATAACGGAACCGGAACCGATGTCACCTTCGGCAACAAACTTGACGGTATCTTTGGTGACCAAAATGTTCAGAGAGTCACTTAGCTGGTTTAAGTCGCGGACGACTTTGGCGAACTCGGCAGATGGCATGGTGATAGTGGTATCGTATTCCATACCGTCAATGTCTAAGAAATCGGCATCGATGTCCATCAACTTCAAAGAATACTCACTGATGCGGTCTTTTTTGGTGTCCTCAAATAACAGCAAAACCGAATCTGGGGTGTCATCGGCAATCAGAGTTAGGTTGTCGTTATTGTTACCGCAACGCAAAATCTTGGACAACGATGAAAGATCGACACCTAGCGTGACACCTCTGTCACATCTGAATTCCTGGAATGACTCTGTTCCGATTGAGAGCGAGACTAAAAGCACACGCGAGTCGTCCACGGCTTGTGCGGCGATACCGTGTTCATTACAGTTGAAATTGACCAATTGAACACAGTCCTTGAAAGAGTCGATAATCTTCTTAAATAAGCTGGCTTCTTCGAATATACCTTCTAGCATTTCTGAAAAGTATGGGGCGCTGTGGCTAAATTTGAATCGATGGAAGCTCTTGGTTTGAGCAAAGAACGATAATTAGGACGGCGCGCTCTTTTTTTTTTCTAAATTAATATATATATATATATACACATATATAATATCCCTGACGCGTGAAATTTTTTAAATGGGCAGAACGTAGGGATGCAGGCTAAAAAAAGTTTACGCGTCGCGAGAGAATATCGACGAAGGGAGATGTAATCAGATGGGAGCGCCGTTCGAGAGAGTGCTCTACGGCCCCGACCTATGTTCGGACACAAAAATCACACAAACAGTTGCGTTTTCACTAGCTACATAGCATTACATACAAAACGCGCTGAGAGCGTGTCAAGCAAGCTCGATTTCGCATCTGCTCAGGTAGAAAGCCCACTTTGCTTTCGTAATCTTACAAACTGGGACCCGCCAGCAGCGTAGCGCTGCGCTACTGGGACCCGAAAACCATATACCAAAGTAAAAATAATAGAGAAAGAGGAAGAGGAAGAGGAAGAAGAGGAAGAGGAAAAAAGGAACGTTTAACTAGGCCTTGGTGGCATTGTAAAGCTCCTTTTCGGACTCGTAACGTTTCTTGTCGGCCTCAGCCTTGGACTCGTATGGGACTTTGTCGTCATCCGTTAGAGCCTTCCATCTTTCACCTAGAAGACGGCCAACCTGGCCGAACGTCACACCGGGGTTTTCAGCGCGCACGATGTCTCTGTTTTCGTTGGCGAAAAACATGTAGGCCGACAACGCTCTCTTAGGGGCGTTAGGGTCCTTCTTTCTTCTGGTGGTTTTCTTTCTGGTTTCTCTTGGAGCTGACATTGTGGTGGGTGTTGAAGTTTGAGGCCTGCTCAAATAAGCTAGTGGTTAGTAAAACGTTTCTGTGCCGTGGGAGTGCTAGGTGAGCCATCTTTTTTTATAGCCTGTGAGAGAGTGGTGCAGAGTTCGCGAAAAAAATGGCAGCGACGCGAAAGATATCTCTTCTTGACGCGCGCCAGGTTTCGAACGCGGGACATCGCCAAGAAAAAAAAGCAGCAGGTAGGCAGGTCAGCTGACTGTTATTACAGTACCGCGTCGCGCGGGTAACTGTTCGCACGTGAAGTCCACGTGTGTCTCCGAGTCGTGACATACGGAGATGTCACGTGAACCCACCTTAGCTTGGAGAAAGAGGAAAAAAAAAAAGGAAGAAGTCACCCCCCCCTCCCAGCTCCCAATTCTCAGCACGCGCACGTTTGTTATTCCGATGGCGAGCCCCGCCGGGACTCAACACCTGAAAATCGACCAAAGTCGCCACGCCGGCCTTTCAATTCGCTAGTTTCTTGTCTTTCACGCTTCAAACTCTTCACATATGCTTTACGCTTCGTTCGCTGAACATACTGAAAAAAAATTCCCGGACTGTTTTGTAACTTTGTACTGTGTGGAAGATTTAGGGCTCTCTATAGTAGTGCTAAGTATATAGAATGAGTCTCCTAGTATGTGTGTCGAGTTTTTGTATGGGGGCAGTATACAGTATGAAAAAGTTTAGAGGCGCAAAATGGTGATAGTAGGTGGAGGGAGGGTAACAGCAGGGTAAGTCAAGCAGCGGGAGGCAGACCAGCGAACGTCAGAGAGTAGCACAGGGGAGTAAAGGGTACTGAAGCGTTGTGAAAGAAATGTGGGTGGACAGGAAGAGAAGCAGCAGATGTAGTTTCTGGCTTTTGCGTGTTCTTTGAACCGCAAATTGAGGATTTTCGCGGGTGCGAAAAATGCAAGTCAGCTTGAGACGAATATGAAGTGTGTCCAGTAGAGTTTCCAGTCGCCTAAAGATGAAAAAGAAGCCGAGATAGCAGTAGAAACAGACGCGTCATTGCAGACTCGCAATGTGTGAGAAGGGTTCGCTCGTGAAGAGGGATCACTGATCACGTGCTTGGAAGAAGGGTTCCACTGGGGAACAGCGTATGTGAGGTGTGCTTGAGTCTGTGGTTTGTGGGAGGCGTTTCCCTGCCAAATGCTTCCGCTAACGATTCTCGCTGCTCATTTTCCGTAATGTCACGTATATATCTTCCAGATGCTAAACTCGCCGCTCACTTGCCGCAGGGTCACGTATATATCCCACAGATACGAAACTCACGGCTCTGGGTTTTACCTGTGCAACGTTCAGCCCGGTCTGAGAACGCCAATTTCCGTACGCCGACATGACACTCATGTACAAAGTGACATGATATTACCGGAAGACCCAAGTGCTAGCACTTGTTAAATGCCCACGAAGCAGTTTTAACTGCCGCATCGGTGTCTTCCAAAGTCTGCTTGAGGCCTACCGATACCCATTTTCAATTTTATCCGAGATCATTCATTTAAATATGTACAAGAATTGCTTAGTGCATTTTTTAACCCCACTAATAGTCAGCGTTGTGCTCTATAAGCACGCTTTATCAGCATGGTACCAGGGACTTGTGCCTAGCACGTTTACTGCAATATCCAGAGCCAAAAAGAAGACGCAAAATGTGATTTCGTGATACAAAGTCCAGAAATGAACAAGCCCTTCTTCTCAATGGTAAAACCCATATAAGCTTTGGAGTAACCTTACGACACACCAAGCACAATATGTTGGACGCCCAGCTAGACTGCAAGGAGTTTCACACCGTTTCTAGTCATGATGTGGCCCATCTTCTCAGAAGTAGTGCCAAAATTGGCGTCAGGAGCACCCTGAAACGCCCTAGAAGTGCTCTATATCGCACGCGACTCATTCTACAGGGCCTCAACTTACGTCAATCGCTCTATTGCTTCTTGAACCGTTCGTAGTGCTGCAGATGATCCGGTCCCACGTTACGAGCTTGCGCCAGCCCACCCACGAGGCGGTTTGTGTAGTGAATCTTGGCGACACACCGGTCCACGCAGGTCATTTCGCCTTTATTTAGGTCTGCTTCACCGTACTCGTGTGGGATGCATTTTTCCATGCAACCTCGCAGCATAGTATTGAAAGAGGTCGTCATTGCATCAAATTGGACTTGAGCTATCTCCAGCCGTTGCTCATCAACCTCTTGCGAGCTATACGGGTTCATAAACATCGACATGATAGCTGCGGTGACTAAAGCTGGGGCTCAATGCTACGGTAGCCTATTCTTACTATGTATTTTACTGTGTGCACCTTCGTGCCAAAATTTTTCATGAAGACAATTTAAACTCATTATTGGAAAATCATCCACTCAAAAAAAGTAGGGAATATCTCGAAAAAAGAAGACTAGACCCTCCTCCAGCAACCTTTTGCCTTCAAAAGTCTCCACAATGCACATTCTGGTATGTACACACAGCTCGGCGGGCGCAGTTAGCCAATAAATGGCCATTTCCTAGGTAATTTGGAACGTGACGAGTACAACTTGTTTGTATCATGAATTAACTAAAATTGAAATGGAAAAAAACCGGGGATCGATTCTCAATGCTATTTGTTCCCGGGTTGACCAGCTGCGTATTCAAAAACCCTTTTAAATCTATTAACTAATACTTTTCTAGCTCACTAATGATGATGGCCCACCCGACGCCAGAGCTTCGCCCTATATACGCCACTTCATTCAACACATTCTTCAGAGCCGACCCGATTGGCGTCTCACAGTGTGTGTGCCAGATCAGCAACGGTCTTGGATTGGAAAAGCCATATTTGTAGGCCAGGATGCCCATGCCAGATTTGCGTATATGAGCCGAGATGCGGCTGATGATGTTCTTCTCGGCCCTTATCTGCAGCCTCAACGTTCCATGCATGGAGCACGTCTTCCATGCATATCTAATAACAGCATCGCTTCAGATGCCATTGAATTCTGTCTGGTTGACGGTACGCCTGCTACAGCAACTGACGTTGGACTACACCATTTGACAACTCACCAGTTTGACCTTGTAGTGTCAGGCCCCAATGTGGGTCGCAATTCGTCGGCCGCTTACATGACTTCTAGTGGCACCATTGGGGCCGCTATGGAGGCTGTGCTCACTGGACGCGTGCGCTCTGTGGCATTATCGTGGGCATATTTTGATGGTAACAAGTACGTTGCTGACCACATAATGCGTAGTGCTTCAGAACAGAGTTGTCGGGTCATCGAGCATCTACTCGAAAACTGGAGCCCCGACACGCAACTTTACAACGTAAACGTCCCGCTACTTGAGTCTTTGTCGTCTGATACAAAGGCAATCTACACCAGCATTCTAGAAAACCAGTGGTGTTCGGTGTACAGTAATGGATTTGATGCTGATGCTGGTAAAGGGGCTGGCGCACAGGACCAGTTTGGCGATGTTAACGCTGAGGGCAAAGGTATAACTTTCAAGTGGCAACCTGATTTCAGTAAGCAACGTGAGGCCATTTTTGCTAGTCCTGTGGACAGTAAAAACGATGGGCGAGCCATTGAGGCAGGACTCATTAGCGTTACGCCACTTCGTGCGGTCTTCCACCAAGTTCAAGGCCTTTCTGGTGAGCTAACTTTGAAAAAGAAACTTAGAGACGTACCTTTAGGAGACGAAAGTGGCGAAAGAATTGCTAGCGATGCGTCTGGTTTTCTATTACTCACTTTGCCTTCCGACGAGTACATCTACAAACCGCTCACTGAGGCAATTAAAAATCGCCTACCCAATGTTCAAATTGTTCAATCTCACCCAAAAACTGACAAAAATACTAAAATTTTACACTACGGTGACTATGAACACATTGACATGGACAAATTGGTCGCAAACGGTACTTACTTCGCTAATACCTACGTGTATCGCAAGGCACTTATTCGCAAACATTTTCTCGCGCATACGATACATTCTTACGTTGTTAAGAACCCTGAATCCGCATTGTGCAACGCATATCTTGAAACATTCACTATCGATGTGGATTACGCCGAATTTTTAGATGATGCGTTGGATGAGAATTGGGAGTTAAGACAAGAATTAGAAAGTGGTGACAAATGGTGGATTCTGAAACCTAGCATGAGTGATAAGGCCCAGGGTATACGAGTCTTCAGGACAATTGCAGATCTTCAAACCGTATTTGAATCCTTTGACGAAGAACCCACGGACGATGAAGGGGAGGCTGATCCGAACAGCATTGTTACTTCTCAGCTACGTCACTTCATTGTTCAAGAATACCTAGCCGATCCTCTGTTGTTGCCTTCTGCTGACTTCCGAAAGTTTCATATTCGCTGCTACGTCACTTGTATGGGAGACCTCGAAGTTTACTTGTACGACCGAATGCTAGCACTTTTCGCACCGGCACCTTTTGTTAAACTAACTAAGGACTATAATGCTACAAGTTCTGATGACTTAGCTTGTCATCTCACCAATACATGTCTGCAAAAGGAAGAGCAAAGTAATGGGAATTCTGTGAAAGAGCTAGATACGCTAGAAGATTTGTCCGCTAGCGATAGGTTGAAGATCAAATCACAAATCCACGAGATTACTCGAGAACTTTTCTTGGCAGCTGTTACCACTAACAGAATGAGCTTTCAGCCGTTGGCAAATGCGTTTGAGACGTACGGCTTAGATTTTTTGGTAGATTCATTCATGAATGTCAAGATCCTGGAGGTTAATGCTTACCCAGACTTTAAACAAACGGGGACGGAACTGAAAGGTCTTATTGACGAGCTTTTCGATGAAATAACTAAAAACTGTATCGTTCCTCTTTTCCAAGGCGACAAAACAAGCTGTGAGATGTCAAACTTTGTCAAAGTGCTCGATCATCAGTCTCATGACTGGTGAAACTGTGTGTATGCTCTTTAGCAGGTCTGAATATTCAATGTTGAACTGAAATTGTGCGCATTCTTCATGCTTGCTGCTTTAAATAAGGTCTTCTTCCGGTTCATCTTCAATTTGTTCCTCCATCATAGTCTTATTTGTAGTAGCGCTGATTAAACCTCGTTTCACAAGATGAAGTGCGCTTGGGATTGTGACGCCTTCTTCAGGAATTCCTGCATACTCGCGGCCCCACATAGATATACGATCCTTGATGCGTTCCGCCTTAACAATGCAATTTCGAATTTTTTGCAGATTTCTGATAAATTCTTGATTTCGTTGTAGTGCTATCTGAGCCAGTTGTCTTGCGGCCTCGACTTGCTCGATTGCTTCATCTTGGGTGTCCGAAATCACCGATGGTAAGGCATTGGATGGGTAGAGTTGAGGTAATGCAAAGAAAGGATCGACATTTGTATCCTCTCTCTCGTGATCGGAAGGTTGAACTACTTGATTGTCATCAGTATCGTCATGCAGTTTCAGGTTGTGATCATATTCCTTCAATTTCAAAGTATCCTCTAGCAAGGGTCCTGGATAGTCGCCCAAGAAAGCTTCAAGTAGTCTTGAAAGCGCCACAACGTTGTTTTGTTCTTTTTCCATCATCAGCACCGCCTGCAGAGCCAATTCACCCAAGACCTTATTTTTGAACGTTCTCGATATAGCTGGGTGTTTGGCCACATCCTCCAATGATGATATGGGCGCCAAGATTTTCCTCACATTGACGAGTTCATGTAAATTGATGCTAAACCCCCCATCATTATCATCATCATCATCACATTGTCTGTTTCGGGCTAGCAGCTTATGCACAGATCCATTGTAAAATACTTGTTCTTCACGGTTACCTGACAGGTTTCTCAAAGAAGTTCGACTAACTCCTTCTGAGTTCTGTAACAGTTTGTGACCTCTATTTGAAGTGATGCCGTCCGTCGAGGGAAAGACGAAACCATCGCTCGAAGTCTTTAATTTGGGAAAGTTACCGCTCTTTTGTCGTAGTATAGCATCTGAAAAGAGCTTTATTAGATTTTGAGCCTCAGCGTCCTCTAAGTGATGTGCGTCAGTCATTTTGACACCCAACAGGGATTATAATTGATTCTATTCTTTACTTTCTACAATATACAATTTTTAGAAAAGTCTATTATGATATGCGAAAGGTTATATACCACATGAATACATGTGTACTCAGAGGATGACCATAGAGAATTCGCATGCCAAGTTATCATGTTCATGATGCAAGCAGTAAAATCCTTCCTTTTGTCTACTAGATGATGACATGAGTGTAGCTTTTAGAGTCAGGGCAATTCACAATGTATCAAAAGTTGAAGCTAACTGACCTAAAAGAGAAGCATGAACAAATTTGAGAAACCTAACTTCTCGGGTGGTTGACATGCCGCTTCCTAAATACGTAAGAGAAAAAGTCGAAAAACCGCTTTGAATATCTATTCCGCTGGCTCTCTTTCACTTCAAACCGCGGCAAATGACAGAGTCGCAACGGCGACGCATATAGGAGAGCGTATATTGAGAAAGGCAGGCAAGCGTTCCTTTTATCGTGACTGAAGTCTTGAAGACGGGGCACGTCAATGTCACCAATCAATTCTCACATTATCGACATGATCTTTTACTTGTCTGTACCTTTTCGAGCACCCTTTACATTTTGCCTTTCTGAGACACTTGGGATCTCGCATAAAAACAAATTATGGGCTGTAACAAACAAGAAAGATAAAAGTGCAAAACCCGGGAATCTATGTCACGAATGAGCATTCTGTCTGTAGTTGCGAAGTACCTCGCAGCAGCGATTTTACTGTCAACTTACAAAAGTTTACCTGGAGCTTACTTTGTCCGTTTTTATGATAAAGTCTTTAGAAATTTGATTATGCCCCTGATCTTTGGCAAAAATACTGAGAACATACAAAAGCTTCAAAATGACGAGCTAGGCTGCTTTTCTTATACTAAACTGAGCACATATGCGTCTCTTTTCGAGTGCGATTTCTACCTCCACAAGAGTAATAGTACATACTTTGAAGAGTTAGATATCTCCAGGACTGACTTGATGACCAAGATCTTTCAAAAACTTTTCCTGCATTCTAAGCGGTACCCCTTTGTTCCTGTGGCTAATGTTTTTACCAACTTTTTGAAGGAAATAAAGCCTTTTCAAACTTACGACGTTCGTAGTTGTGTTTTCTGCTGGGACGATAAGTGGATTTACATTATGAGCCGTTTTTACATCAATAGCGGCTCTCAACTCGCTTCGCTTTCGATTACGAAGTACGTTTTGAAGGATGGCAGAAAGACTATTAAACCAAAAGACGCCTTGGAAGTTTGCGGTTTATTCAATGAAACGGTTAACCAGATTTCAGAGGGCAACATGGAACTTTTGGCTCAGCAGTGTGGATTTCACGAAACTAAGCCTCTGGAAGACATTGTTCACCAATTCAATCAAATTTGAATTTTTTTCATGACCACTGTAAGTCTCTAAATTCGTAACGCATATCAATGCCTCATAAATTTGTAGATAAATAATCTTTCAATACTAGAGTTGGGCAATAAAAATCTTTTCATCAAAGTGTTGCTCTCGCAATTGATTGCAATAGAAAAGATGCGATGCTGTAAGTTTAGCTATATGCGTATGAGCTAAGTTACCTATCTACCCTCGCAGCGGTACAGGATATCACCTTTGGAACTATCCCTGAAGTTCTGGAACTTAAATACCTATAACAAATAGTTGTCCCAGAAGTTCCAAAGTTTGTCATCTTCAAGCGCCACAGATAAGCCAATTAGCACCAGATGCTTGGCGTTTTCACCTCTAGCTCATAATGCGTATGATATGTGGATTGTCCTTTTTTAGGGAGGAGATGCCAAACATAACAACTAATCCGAAGATACTAAGGTATAAGATTTTTTCCAGCACAAAAAATTATCAATACCTTAAGATGTCCTCTCATGGCTAAAGTAACCCATCGCCACTATAGTAACATCTTTTGGTTCACACGTTTCCTTCGAGGAGGGGCTGTGACCATCTTGAAGCGTGTTCCTTCGTTGGGCTAAAGTCGTTTTCTATGATTAGGGACCTGAGTTGTGTCAGCGTCAGTATAAAATCTAAGAATTGAGAACTAACACAATGCTGATTTCACACAATGTCGAACTAACATAGAATCACACGAGGTTCTCGCGATCTCCAAATATGGTCTCCTCTTTTGCTCTCCAATCGAATTCAAAGATTCTGAATCAATCGCATATCATCACAAAGGAACCTTTGCAATTCAAAGGAGGAGAGTCGTTTAATAAAGACAGCTTAGAAGTGAGTATTGCTAGCAAACCGGTTGCTTTATCAGATGTTAGAAGCATTTATCAAAAAGGAAACTTTTCTACGCCAGGAAATTATGAGATAATACAGATATTAGGAAAAGGGTCTTATGGAGTAGTTGTGTCTGCCATCGACAAAAGAGGTGATAGCAAGCCATGCCGCTTGGCTATCAAGAAAGTGACCAACATATTCCACAGAGAAATCCTACTCAAAAGAGCTATACGGGAGCTGAAGTTTTTGAGTTTTTTTCGAGGTCATAAGAACATTGTAAGTTTAGTTGACTTAGAGATTGTCTCGGAAAAACCATACGATGGACTCTACTGCTACCAAGAGCTTGTTGACTATGACTTGGCTCGAGTAATTCATTCCACTGTTCAGTTCTCAGAATTTCATATCAAACATTTTTTGTACCAAATTTTGTGTGGACTCAAATATATTCACAGCGCAGACGTAATTCACAGAGATTTGAAGCCGGGAAATATTCTCTGTTCGATAAGCGGCCATTTGAAAATATGTGATTTCGGTTTAGCTAGAGGAATATCGCCTTTATTTGCAGAGAACAAAGCCGGCGAAATTCACATAACGAATTATGTCGCTACCCGTTGGTATAGAGCTCCGGAATTGATCTTATCACACAAGAGGTATAATAAGTCCATCGATATCTGGGCTGTGGGTTGTATCCTAGCTGAATTTTACGGCAGAAAACCTTTATTTATGGGTCAGGATTCTCTGCACCAAGTTTCAGAAATTCTAAAAGTTTTAGGAACTCCTAGTCGAAGTACTATCGCGAAGTACTGCTCTGCTCGCTCTTACGAGGTATTTTCCTCAAGAACCGAGGTGAAGAAACTTAGTTGGGCATCTGTGTACTCTAGCGCTTGCGTTGAGGCGCAGAATCTTTTGGACTCTTTACTTGATTGGGATCCAGACAAACGCCTAGAAGTTGATCAGATTCTAAGCCATCCTTTTGTTTCAGACGTTAGAAACTCGGCAGATGAGCCCAGCTGTCAGGGCCCTTTTGATTATTCCTACGAACACAAGTTTACATCCATGCAGAAACTGAGGGACACCATCTACGAGGAAGTGAGGACTTTCAAAGGAATCGGATCTTCAAGTTTATCGGTAAGGGCGGAATGTTAATGGCCACTAATAAACACTTGGAATGTGTCTTGAGTGGCAAGACAATCAATCATAAATAAATTGACTAAGTACGAGAACTTTTAAGAGAACATTTAAAATACTTCTTTCTTTGATGTTTAGAATGCTAACAGCTAAAGCTGAACTGGAAGGTAGGCCACCTGCAGTCTGGCGATACCGAAGCCTTTCTGAAGTTTCCTTGGAACTTCTTGTCATTTCGTATCACAACATATATCTGGCTTCTGCAGGTCACCTTCTCTTCAACTCAGTGAACAGTACCTAAACCAAAATTCAGTGGTGAAGAATCAAGAAGCCCTAACCTCCAAATGGGAGCGCAGCTGTCTCTAATAGCACATACGGCACCATCGATAGCTATCTCGTCGTATATCGATGTACTCGATGAAATTCATTATCTATCCCAGCTAAATTCATCCCGATTCCTCAAAACGTGCAAAGCACTAGACCCTAACGGAGAAGTACTCATTAAAGTGTTCATAAAGCCGTCTGATGACTACAATTTAGCAGAATTGCAAAGCACTCTGAGGAAAGAAGCACAAGTGTTGGCTCAACTACCGAATGCCCTAAATTACAGTAAAATTGTGGAGTCCGACAGAGCAGGTTACCTGATAAGACAGCATTTAAAATCTAGTGCGTACGATCGACTAAGTTCAAGGCCCTTTTTCGAAACGATTGAGGCCAAGTTCATAGTATTTCAATTGCTTCGAGCTTTGGATGACATTCACACCCGAGGCGTGTGTCATGGAGACTTGAAACTTGAAAATTTATTGCTCACCAGCTGGAACTGGCTAGTGGTAACAGACTTTTCAAGTCACATCAAACCCACATATTTGCCAGCAGACAACCCGGGGGAATACTCTTTCTATTTTGACACTTCCCAACGGCGGAGCTGCTATATTGCACCTGAAAGGTTTGATTCAACCAAGTACCAAGATAAAAATAAAACCGATGCAAACCTTACATGCGAAATGGATATCTTTAGCGCTGGTTGTTGCATAGCAGAGATTTTCGCGGAAGGTAATTGTATATTCAATCTTTCTCAATTATTCAGGTATCAGAATGGCGAGTATGACCCGAAAGAATTCTTGGACAGTCATTTGGATGACCCACTCCTCAAAGAACTTATTATGAGCATGATTTTACGAGACCCACTCAAGAGAATTAGCATAAAATCAATTCTAAGGAAATATCGTGGCTCTATCTTTCCCGAGCATTTCTATGACTTTTACTATGATTTCTTTAGACAAGTCGCAGCAATAGATGGGGGTATTCCTTTGGCGGGCAAAATATGCAGCACTTTGCAACTGTCTAATTTATCCTTCGACATGGACAAGATAGTGCAGAACATTTACAACGATCTACCGAGAATATACTCTATTCTCAATTATCCGTTGGAAAAGTCATCAAGGCGCGATGGAAAAAAAGGAGGCGGGCAACATATGGAACTAACATTGAATGCACTTGGCACGATTAGACTTCGAAACTACGGCGCGGGGAGCTCTTCAGTGGCTGATGAGTCCTCCCTTTTGACTTTGTCACTTCTTTTGCATACTCTAAGGGTAATTAAGTCGACTCCTGTAAAATTGAAGTGTATGGAGCTTGTTGCTACACTATCCCAATATATTTCAGACAGCAATAAACTTGATAGAGTTATTCCGTTTATTGCTTCAATGTTTTTTGACGAGTGTTCAAGCGTCCAGGCCCACTCCATTCACATACTTTCCCAAATCCTAGCACTCACAACAAGTGTCAACAGAATAAACGAAGCATTGTTTACAGATTTTCTCATTCCTCGCCTGAAGAAGCTAACACAAATCGCAAAACACAATGAATACGTTAGGATGGCTCTGGCAGAGGAATTAGGTGAAATAGCCAGATCAGCAAGTAGATTCCAAGACGCGTCTTTTACTCTAAGTATGGGGGATGATTATTCCACTGAGCTTTCGGAGTCTGTCAGAAAGCAAAAGCGCAAGCTGATTCACGGATTTGAAGAAATCACAGTGGTATTATTGACAGATAGTCAAGCTAGTGTGAAAGTAGCCTTACTTTCAGATATACTTCCCCTCTGCAGTCTCTTTGGCAGAGAGAAAACAAATGATGTTATCTTGAGTCATTTAATAACGTACCTCAATGACAAGAATGCTTCACTCAGAATTCAGCTCATCAAGGCCATCACTGGCATTGCAGTTCTTTTGGGACCGATCACTTTAGAACAGTACATTCTACCACTACTAGTTCAAACTGTTACTGACTCAGAGGAGCTTGTTGTGGTCATGGTATTGAAAAGTCTCAGGACACTTAGCAATGTTGGTTTAGTACAGAAGCGTTTTTTTTTTGACATTGCTAAAATTGTTTCAGCTCTTTTACTGCATCCAAATATTTGGATCAGACAATTTGCTCTCGCGCAACTTGTTGAGATCTCAAACAAACTCTCCAGGGCGGAGGTGTACTGTCTTCTTTATCCCGTCATAAAACCGTACTTTGAATTTGATGTTCAGCTTACTTGGGAGTCTATGATTTCAAGCTGTAAAAAGCCGATATCGAGAACAGTCTACAATCTTTTGTGCACTTGGTCACTACGCTCATCTAATAGTCTTTTTTGGAAACAAGTACCTAGCAAACATAAGGACTCATTTGGAAACAACAGTACAGTCTTCATCAACAAAAACTACACCGCAAAAAACTATGGCTTGGCAGGCGACTACAAACTCTCTAAAGTCCCCATTAAATTGGAAGATAACAGAGAAATTTTGGTCACAAATGAAGACAAAGGCTGGCTTGAAAAGATCAAAACCGTAGGTTTGAAGGAAACGGAAATTTGGAAGATCGCAGCTCTGAGAGGGTATGTTTTTCGCGTTGCAAAAATGATTGCACGTAAGCCTGATGCTATCATACCTAGTAATCCGCTTTTGGAGAATGGCATTACTTCCAGAAAAGGCCTCAGTTCATATAGGCTACCGAGAAATGTTTTCTTTGACGTCTTGTTTGTCAATAATGGTGCACAACTAAATGAGAGCACTCATGTAATTGTAAAACGAAGTGGGATCAGTGGGCAGCCTCTTACGACGGCTTTCCATAGTCTTTCACAGAGCAAATCCATTGATTTGACAAAGTCAATACAGCTCAACACAAAAGCCGCGCCATCTCTCACATCAAACTTAGACAATGTCTATGTTCAATTAGAAGGCTCTAGACTAAAGCCTCAAATGATAAAAAGCTCCCCTGCAAATGAAAGTGACATCAATCCATCAATGTACATCATAAAAAACAGCTATGAGGGACACGACCCATACATTGAATTATACTTGCGCAGCATTGACGTGAAGCCCACTTTCAAGAGTTTCCCAGAGTTTGGTCACATTTCTAGTGTGAGGACGGAGGCCATTGGAAAAGGCTTTATAAAATCATTTTCTCGATTCAAATTTCTATTACAAGTGACAGAACACAGGTCCACAAGTATCAATGTTGTTGCTGCTAGTCCTCATGATCCGTACGTACTCAGTGGATCTGAAGAAGGCGCAATAAAGTTGTGGAATATAACTAAAATTTTAGCCGGAGTAACTTTTGGCTCGTCTTTTACTCTAGAAACGAGCTCGGCTATTATGGACATCAAACCCTTTCCCGGTTTTGATCTCTTCACAGTTGCCTGTAAAGATGGAACTGTGCTTTTGGTCAAAGTTAATTTTAGAGAGAGCAAGGGTTTCAAAACGTTCACAGCTCTGCAGGTAGTACGAAAGCTTAAGCTAGAGCGTTCATCGGAGCACGTTATCCAACTTTCTGTAATTCCCGGCGATGTGAATCCCGTAATATTTGCACTGACTAATACCTCAACCGTTGTCTTGATTGACCCCAGGTTCATGTCAGTAATTAGAAGAATTGAAAATGATCCATTACACGGAGCGGTGCTTTGTTTTGCAATTGGTCATGATAAGACTTCAATAATTCTTGGCAGCTCACGAGGAATTGTGGATATTTGGGACTCAAGGTTTGGAACTTTGGTTCACAGTTGGACGTTTTCCGATGGTTCTCCAATAACCGAGATGGCGCTTTACCCATCACTGGTAAAACGTGAAGAAAAAACTGTTCTGATCGTCGGAGGTTCCAATGCTTGTATTTTTACGGTGTGGGACTATGCCAAAAAACAGTGCAGGCAACTTGCATTGAAAGGCGAATCAGCTCCACCGATTGCAGAATTTATACCTAAGAGCGTGACAAGCGAAAGTTTGACAGTGTTCTCGGAACCTGTGAGCACCAGCGTTGTCACCTCGCTTACATTGGAAGGGCATAATGTCTTAGTTTCAGAGACTGAGACAAATAGTATTCTGTGCTTTAATCCAAGAGACAAGACAATGACACCAGTAGTCTCAGATCAAGCTGCAGGAATGCTCAACTTCAAGCCTGTGCAGCTAACTGCAAATACTACAGCTTTGATAAAGCAAAGGGCTCCTACAGAAAAACAGAGCAGAAACAATTTACTGAATTTCCATAACGACAGTATAAGCTCAATAACAATCGCCAAGAGTAGAGCTGACCGTCTACTAGTTTCCGCTGACCGCTCTGGAGTTATAAATTTCTACAAGTAGTTCATAGCACCTACTGACGCATATTTTAGAGAGTTTTTTCAGCATATTGTTTGCGACAATAACAATGCTCGATTCGGCCCTACGCTCTATTTGGTATCTCATTTTTCTGTCTGTCTTGCGACTAGCATATTCCTTCATCGTAGTTTTCCAAGGGCAAGATTCAAATCGGACCAAATACAGATAAACCTGTGGAAAACAACCTTCATTATTGTTCTCAGCAAAACACAAGTTCTTCGGGTGAGTAAAGAAAAAAAAGGAAATATTTCAAATTCAGCGACTGTAATCTCTCAATATGAATTACCCAAACATATATATGGCTTGAGTTTCACGCTGTGTGCGCCTTTTTTACTATTAATAGTTGTGGGGTTGTGTTATAAAATAAAGTCCAAACATTGACTAGAATGAACATCAAAAGCATTTAAATATGTAAGCGCTAGAAACGAGCACTCACAAGCACTATCACACTGTTTATATTTATTGCGTTATCGAGAAAGGAGTATAATCACAGTCTCTTGAGATCAGAATCATATCACTCTGTACCATATTGGCAATGTAATGATATAACGACCGTTTATAGTAAATAGCCCCATACAACGGTCAAAAACATAAGTCTCAGACATACTAAGAGGTTACTGGTGACATGATGTGCTGGCAGGGGCTCTGAGCTCGTCTTGTGGAACTAAAGAAATCCAAGCATATTGCCCACCATAAAAAATCCCGTTCATATTAATCATGTAGAACGGAACGTTCACGAATAGACTTATAATCCGTGCTGATAGTCAGTGAGCCTTTTTAATATACTTTGATATCGACACACGTAATTGACCCAAGTATAGCGCTTCAATGAGTCATTTAGGGGTGCCGGCTCAGCGAAAGAGAGCTTTATCAGTCAACAATGCTACTCATACTGAAAAAGCCGCGATGGATAGCGCATTGGACAGCTTGCAAAATGATCTTACTTTGATTTCATCACAATGGAACAAAGTTATCATAGCTGGCGCCAATCCGCTCGAATTAGCTCTGGCCTTTCTGGACGATACTTCCGTTGGTCTCGGCTACCGTCATAATGAGTTCAAACACTTGAGCTCGCGGCTCGCGCATGACCTACAGCAGGCTGTCAATGAACATTATCAGGCCTTCAACACAAACATCGCCTCTTATGAGCAAACAGTGGAACTTATCAGTGAGTCCCAGGGGCACATACGTGACATCAAAGAAAATATTGTCGGTTCCACAACCAACATGAGAGGAACTCAAACCGATCTTGAAAAATTGAACGAGTCTTGCCAGGACATTAACGCGATGCTTGAAGTTCTGGATGCTGTTGATCAATTACTGGCAGTTCCGGACGTTGTTGACGACCTTATTAGACAAAAGTCCTATTTTCAAGCAAAAGAAGCCTTAGTTAAAGGTTTTTCATCCGCCTCCACTTTTGACTTGTGGAAGATTCCAGCGCTACGAACTACAAGGCAAATACTTGAATCCCAGAAGCATACACTATACGAAACCTTGATCGAAGACATAAGCGATATAGTCTACTCGAAAAGGCTCAATGTAAGCCCGCGCTACGAAATTCGAGCACCTCAACTGAACGATGGAAGTTACAGCAATATGGAGTCATATTTGAGCAACACTGTTGATCTTGATATTGAAGAGCAATCAGTGGCCGTGAATTCGGGATTGAACAAGTTTCTGAAGCAATTAGGACTGCGTGCTTCCCAATTAAAAGAGCCACATCTATATTCTAGTAGTCGTGAATCAACCTATGAAAAGATTTTCGACATGTTAAGCATACTTAATGACATGGATGAGTTACACGTTGCATTAGTAGGGATATCGGGTCGTGCAAAAGAAGAGATTCACAACGTGATTACACAAGCAACTGAGGCAATGAGAGTGAAGCATCCATCTTTGATCAAATTAACAGTAAGTCTCGAGGGTGAAAGTGAATTTGGCATCCCAGGGCAGGACGCGCTGTCCCTTTTTTTAAGAAATGTGTTTTGGGAAATATTTTCTAAATTGCTTCTAGCACTCCAAGGCCATCGGGTGATTTACGAAGTTTCTCAAGCTCTACAATCCTCTTCGGTAATTGGTGAAAAGTACAAGTTTGATGAGATCTGGGACAAGACGTTGGATGAAGTCCGGCTCTTGTTGCAGAACTACACGAAGGACACCAAATTACGTGATCTTCCTAAAAGTAAGCTTTCGAAGATTGAAGCATCTAATAATGAAAATGAATTGAGAAAACCACTGGGTTTCCTTCTTCAAAATAATGTGGATGATGATTCCTCAACCAGAAACCATGCAAACGATCTAAAAGATCTGCTAAAAGAAATGTTTCCTGGGTTCTCCGCATCCGCTAACTTGGAGCTGAAATCAATTTATTTAGAGGAAGAGGCTTTTGAGCAAGAAGAAACCTTAGTACCTCCCAAAATCTTTAATATGGCATTTATCCTCGAATCCTTGCTTCTCTTTGTTCAGGGTAGTACTGGTCTTCTTCCAGCAAGCTTTTTTGAAAAATCGATATCCCCACTTAATTTCTTTAATGAGTTTATGGGAAATGACTTCTTGCCGCAGTTTGAACTAACAGTTACTCATCTTTTCAAAACAAATGTGGAGGCCTCAAATCCATACCTTCTCGAATCACAATCCGACAGTCACCCTATATTCAAGCCCGCTTTTGATTTTAAAAACCTCTTCTGCAAAATTCTGTGCTTGTTCAACACTACGTACACTTACAGAGCAAAAGTTGTGAGCGTAATTTTGAAGCTGCTGGACAGATTTTACAGCTATTATCAGAAGATTCTATCAAAACTCTTGGGATCAGTTGTGAATACTAGGTTGGACAAAAAAATTATCAGCAAATGGAATGAAAATGCGGAGCTGAGAGAAATCACAAACAAAATTTTCGAAGGAGATACATCTTGTTTTGAGGAAGAAACGAATGAACTTTTGAAAGCTTGTCCAAACTTTTTCCTTAAAGGCCAAAATTTAAAAAAACAGGAACTTTTTAATAACCTGACGTTGGAGACGGTAGCGTCCTTCTTGAACACGATAAAAGATATCAAGTTGTGGTTGGCAAACCTGCGGAAAGTTTCAAGCAACGCGGACTTCGACAACCGAAACGGGAGCTTGGGAGCAAATACGCTAAAAGAAGAGTGGTCGTTATTTGAAGTTCCCGGTGGGGAAGCTCTCGTGAATTCACATAGCTTAAAACTGCTACTCAACAGCGAAAGTGCACAAAAGCTTGACCGTTTATTGGACAATTTTCAAGCCATGGAAAACAAACTTTGGGCATCTTTAAGATACGACATTAGGGCTCGATCTATCTACTATGTCACTCAATTTCTGCAGGATTCTTTGTGGTGCCCTGAGGTAGCAAGTGTGGAACTCGATCACAACATCTCCACGCTTACCGCAGAGCTGAACACGTTGGAAAGCAGACTCAAGGAATCGATAACGCCCAGACAGAAGGAATTAGTCTTTGAAGGCCTGTCGGGATTTCTCAGTGAGGTTCTTATTTTGGGATCACGGTGCGTCGTCGCTTACAACCACAATGGGGCAAAGAAGATGATTAAAAACATCAATATTCTGCAACACGCGTGTAGAAGCTTCGCCTCGTCTCCTCAGAGCGTGAATATGAGCATGGCGCTTGAATATTTCAATTTATGTGCGGATACAGAAATGACTGTTGTGCAGCGTGCAAATGCTGGTGAGCTACAAAAATTCTCTATAGAAGATATCAAGAACATTTTGAGACTTCAGTTGAGTGAGGAATTGCAACGCCAAATGAAACGCGAGTCTGGAATGGGAAGAGCGCCTTCTATGTCAGCCAATAAGCGCCTGTCGGACGCTGTTGGACGTCTGCAGCTGACAAGACGCAACGAATAAGGAAGTAGTCGACCTGCTCCTCCAAGTTCGTTTTTCATGACATCCATTACAGCTGGTCTGTTTTTCAATAGCATAGTGCACTAACCTCTTTCAGGCCCAAACATAGTAGAGATTGTTGAGACCGCAAATACAATTGCGATGCCGTGAACATGGTAATAACTGATTCATCTCTTGAGATCATTGAAGCAAACGATAAAGATAGAGGCAATGACAAAGATCACAGTATCAACTTGATTGAGCTGAACTCTGCGACTGATGACTTTTCGACTGCTGGAGCTCCTGTCTTAGCTGCAGAATATCCATCTTCACCAAAAATCAACGTTTCAAGCCCAACCGAAGTTAATGAGGTCTGTAAACAATTTACAGAGCGATCAGAAGAGTTATCTTACGCTTTCCAAAACGACACCGCACTGGAAAACAGCTCTTTGGCCATCGAGTCTGGGCCTAAAACGGCCAGCATTATTCATATTGGTGAGTCCTCATTAGACTACTCCAACATCACGAACAAATCAAGCCCGGTCATGCCGAAAACATCTCAGAAACTTAAAAGCGCTCTAGATCAAATCTTGGGAGACGACGTTCCGTCATCTTCGGACATCACAGATGGACAAATCTCTTTACCTCAAAGTGCCAGTAGAGATATGAGCGTTGCTGCACTGGGTTTGAAATGGTCCCAAAAGGAGGTGGATACTCATGACGGTTCTCCATTGAGAAAGTTCAGGGACCGAAGTCCCAAACTAGAGCCTGCAGTTCGTGACTACGCTAGCTTGCCATCTCGAGGATCGCTAGCGCCGGTTACTAATTCACTTTTTGTGCACAGCTCTCAGACGGATCTTAGCGCTTCCAACATGGAAGGTCAATGGCAGGAGGACGGACGCGTTACTTTCAATACCAATGAACATTCTCTGGAAAATGTTCACGCACATAAAAAAGACGCAGATGATGCTATAGAAGATTCATCTGTCATATTATCACCTGAAGGCATCAACTTAAATTCATCCCCATGGAAACCAAACCTTCGCATTTCTAAAAAAAGGAGCCCCAGTTATCAGAGTCGGCCCTTATTCAAGCAAAGCTGTGAACCTTTGAGTCAGTGTTTACATGACAAGTACAAGAACTTCATAGTTAATGGCAAGTACTTTACTGATGAAGAGTCTAGAAAAGAAGTGGCAAAGAGCCTATCTACAGCACCAGGTAAAAAGAAGTACAACGCAGTTAACAAGCTTGTCAAAGATGCTGTCACTTTGAAAACAGAAATGATTTTGGACATGGATGAATCGCTCTATCGAGACTTTGAAGGCGATGGTATTGACCTGAGACAGGAACTGCTGCCAACGCAAATTATTCATACGCACGAAACAAAAGCTCTTATTAAGCTGCGAAGGAGCTGCAAATCAATTTACGACTATAATCATGGAATCTTTTACCCGATAAAGGAATCAGTGGTTAATGAAACGGTATCGATACTTTACTATGATGCTTTAGATTTTTTTCATCAGTTCGCAACACAAAGAACTCTCTTCATGGAAATAATTCAAGGTCTCAAAGGGAGCAACCAACTAGTTCTCGTGGTTCTCAGTGGCCGTGACCAACTGGTTAAATGTATGCAAAAGATAGAAAATAAGCGTTTTAGAGAGCAAGTTGATGAAGAACTTAATGGACCAAGACCCAAAAGAAATCAAAGTAAGACCAGAAGAACACAAATGCTGGAGGATTTAAGTATTTCAGCAGACGACATTGATAAAGAAATAGACCGTCTCGTTGTTTGTCTTGGGGTTCATTTCTTTGCAACGGAGTCAAACCGAGATTTTCTTGTTTGGTTAAACAGTTTTATTATTGTTGTCGGTAAAAAGCGCTATGATCCTGTAATAAGACACCAGGAGTGGTCGCATATAAATTTGCGATCTGCTCAAGATCCACAGGACGCGCTAGGAAAAACGCTGGAGCAATTAGATCAGATGACGAGATTGAAAGCTCAGCGAGTGGTTTCAGTATACAAAAACTTCCAACAATTGCACGATGATATTGAAAAGGGCTACTTAACAAGTGGTAATGATGGAAATTCACTGATGGCCAGCGCGACAGAAAAGGCCGTGGTTACGCTATTAACTTCAGAAAATCCGGAAGACCTGGTGTATTTATCCTAGATAAGCATTATCAAAAGTGCACTTTTACTCGGCAGAAGCATACAGCGGCTTCAGAGCCTTCAACTAGTAGGCACTCACGAATATGGTTGAAGAACCCTGCTATGGCATCTGATGCTCTAATATTTGCGGAATCTATTACTTCTTTTATATATAACTATAGTACATGCTTTACGGTTTCGTAGTCGTCTTCATTGAGGCGATCCTTGACAGTCTCGATATCTTGAAAACCCGTTTTCAACGCGGCAATTTCTTGATCGCTGAATTTCTCACCAGCATTTATTAAATGCGTTAGAAAATTCAATACCCTGTCAATGATGTATATGTTACTCTTAGCGTTCAAAAATTTCAGTGTACTTTCCATGATATTAGTTTTTCTTATAGTGTTCATGAATGTTTCATCAACAGCTGTGCTTGTCATAATAGCTGTAATCAAAGCCAATGCTCGCAGTTTAAGTTTATCAGTAGTGTCTTGATCCTTTAATACCGGGGCTATTATGTTTAGACCACCCAGCTTGTTCAATCTTTCATAGGAGTCTTTATTATGTCTAACGAGGTTTGACAGCGCGTAAAATGCTTTCGTTCTAACGTCGGCTTTCTCGTCGGCGTTGTTCGCGATCTCAATGACTTGTGGCAAGCCGTGTTCATAGCTTAAAAAGTTCTCCTGCGACTTTTGATTGTTTTGCACCGCTGTTCCGACTACAGATAGTGCAAAGGCCCTTAACTCTGGCTCAGGAGACTTCAAAAGTCCAATCAATGGTTCCCAAAGTTTCAGATTTTCAATGTTATTGGCGTTGTCCAAGTTTTCGATGAGCATTTCGAAATTGTCGAAAGCTATCAACTTAGCTTCTAGTTCAGCCTCGGGGTTTGTAATTACAACCATAGCGTGCTTCATCAAAGCGGGTTCATCTGGGCCACCGCCGAACAGCTGTTGCAGTAGTTTAGGGTCTGGCTGGCCAATTTTTTTTACAGCTTCTTTGTCGCCTTGAGAATTGGCTACTGACCAATGTAAAAGTTTGTCCATTATTTGTAGTTGATGATAGTTGTGAATGGAACTTTGATCAAGATTCAGTTCTTAATTTATCGTTATTGCTGTTTTACAGATCTTTAACTGATCTAAGTCCTCTTTTAGTTTATTATGATGAGCTTGTAGCCTCGTTTTATATTATATAAGTGTGATAAAGTTCTGTCTTGTTCCAGAGCGATCTCGAAAAAAATCGATATTAAAGAATTAAACAATATGCTCAAATGATAATCTAACGCGTTGCACCTGTACAGGTCATCGTAAGGGACTAAGCCCTTTCTTACCAATTGTGGGAATGTCTGTCATACATTCTTCTGCTCCTGAAGGGATACTAGATGTATACCTGAAGACATGATAAAAGAATAATCGATGAATTGTGGGGGGCTCAAACTGGTATCTCTTACTAGGATATGCTGGACCAAACACACCTTTCGCAAATTGTGCTTGTATCTAGGTGCTACTGGTGACCTCTGCAATCAGGCAATTCACGATAAACTTGCGGAATTTCATCTTGACCGTAGTAACTCGACAGTCTGCCATCTCGGAGGTAATGACTTTCGAAGAACAACGCCAACTTCCTGGTTTTGTATAGAAATTGTAGAGGACGAAACCTTTATATATTGTGCAGAGCCTAGAGAAGCTATGTCTTTCTCCCTTCTGAGAAAAGAATTACTAAATCAACCACGCCGCCCGGGGGGACTATAAAACAGGTACCGCGGGTGTACAAGGGCTATCTTTCTCGTCAGACATTGACGTTCATGCGCGAGTCTTGCCTCGAAACTACTGCTTGATTCGAACCTCCCATAATATCACCCTATTCTTTCGCTATTTTTGCGAATAAAATCGTCCAGCTTGTACACAAAATTCAAACCAACAGCCTTTAATTCATCGATTTGCCTTCTGGACGATTTAATGGAAGACGGTGGAATCAGCTCAACGTTTAAGAACTGTTTGTTGATAAGTGTGAAATGCTTATCAATTTCATCGCTACACCAGCTCACTAAGGTTGAGGAAAAGTTGTCTTCAGTATTTTTGAATAACTCCTGCACGCTTGATACCACTTTTTTTATTGTCTGGAATCTTATGACGGCTATCTGGGCGAGATAGTAGGTTGGATTATGGAAAAATCCAACTTTCAGCGTTAATTCGTGGATGTACTTGGATCTATTTTGTAGAAATTGTTCTAAAGCATCATGGGTATAGTTCAAGGAAATCAAAGCATGCACATACTCCGTGACGTTGGAAAATTCGGAAATTTCGGTAGAGATAAGATGCGTCAGTTTTCCAGACATAAGCTGATGTCTATGCGATACCTTTAACTGAAGGATATTGAGAAGCACTTGATTGTCTTGCACTGCCTCTTTATTCAGCTGCTTTAATGACTCTTCTAGCTGCTTAAGTTCTGCAATGGCTTCTTTGTAATTGCGTCTTGCAAACACAATATCAAAGTTTTCTACTTGTTCATCCAGCTGTCCTAATACGCCTAAGCCGCTTTGTCCACCAGTGCCTTGTGAAGGATGCTTCATCGAAGTGCTTAAACTTTGAAGTAGGAATGAATCATTGGAATCATTATTGGGGCCCGGCGTAGCATTCCCTAAGCTTGAATTTCTAGCGTGACTTTTACTAGGACTTAAGGTGAGATCTCTTCCTGGCGTTTGATGTGTTGCCTGCATGTAAGTGTAAGAATCTCTTATTTTTCTGGTGTTTTCTTCTTCGGCCTGAGATATGACATTCAGGTCATCTTTTGCTCCACGCATAGTAGAGACTAAGCGATCATACTGTCTCGTTTTGTGCGTCTGAATTAAGCATTGACTACGGTTCGCGAAGTTCAATACAATTCGATTTTCAGGCTGTGGATCTATCGTGGTGTCCCTTAAAGTGTGACAGTGGCACGCAATCAGCTCATGCTGCTTGTTAGGAAGATTTCTGGCAGCTATCATGATCATATCATTTAGTAAAAAGATATGGATGGCTTTTAAAGGTTTTAGTGTAGCAGCATTGACTTCGTACCAATCACTTGCTTCCAAAAGGATGTGTCGTCCTGGCAGAGGTGATATGAATTTTTGAGCGCCCTCCACAGCTTTGAACAAAGTAGACAGCTCATTTTTCCACATTTTTTCAAGCATCAGAACGCTTGTGCGATCTCGTTTCTGGGAAGCCTTTGCTGCAGGTAAAAGTGAGGATTGTTGCTCGGATCGTGTTCTCTGAGAAGGCGCCCGTTCCAGCTGTAGCCGTTTCTCGGCCATAGTTTCAAACTCAGCCATTACCTCTTGAAGTTCACCGATACTTGTTCTTAGGTGTTTGAGCTCCGTAGAAGCACTGCTTAGGTCTCTGTTGACCTGTAAAACTTGGGAATATGATTTTGAAATGTTTTCTTTGACCTCATCAGTGACCTCGAGCGCAAGATCATTAAGCTCCGATGTAAACTGATCAATTTCGAGAGCACTAGCATTACCAAGACTGGTCGTCACGTAGTCTTTGGCTTCAAAGTTGGGATCGCTCAGGATTTGACGTAAAGACACCCCATTCAGCTGCGTTGGCGAGTTTTTTGACTTCGAGGCACCTCTTGGGGTGGCAATATTCGAGTGAGATCTATTCTTCCTCGTATTTGGTGCTACATTATTCCCATAGGCCTGCTCGATGTCTAGATTATTTGGAAGGGGAACGGCTGCGTAGTCTGTGGTTGGTGGGCCATGTTTTGGTGCATGAAACGAAAGCCGCCTTTGCATCGAAGTTCCAACTTTATTACGCTCCTTGGAACCAATCGTTGGAAGCTGGGCATAGTTCGCAGGCTCTTCCAAATCTTGATATGGATTGGCCTTAAAATTTGATTCCCCATCATTCGAAGCTCTATTCTTGGCCCTGACGGGAGACGATAGCTGTTTCCAATTTGTCCTTGCCTTCCTCAGAGACAACTCTACCATTTGACACCACTTCGAACGACGCTACTATGAATTATAGCCAAAACGAAGGCAATTCGGATTTTGTTTTCATTTCAGAGAACGGTCTCGAAATTAAAGAATCACAACATAAAGTTACATTAAAAATTGGCAATTGTTAAGAGAGCTAGCAATAGACTCTACAGCGGTCTCTGAAAGCTTCGGTCCTACCGTGCGCTTAATAATTGAAACGATTTGTGAAAAGCATAGCTTTCAATAAACTGGGCTGGCTTTTGACTGTGCTTCTCGCCGTTTCAACATACATAATTCTAGAGGTGAGCCATCGTCAGAACATGAGTGTGACTAGTGAAGAAGTTAACTATTTAATCTGGAGGTATCTCCAAGAGTCTGGGAAGGAAGTCACCGCTTTGGCCTTGCAAGAAGAATCGCGAGTTTTGGAGTTTGATCACCGGTTTGGAGAACACATTCCAATTGGGGCTTTGGTGAGTTTCGTTCAAAAGGGCATCTTGTACACGGAATCGGAGCTATTGGTGCGCTATGATCGTGATATTGCACCTGTGGATGTGGAGCATAGCGCCAGGGATTTCAATTTGGTTCAAGCGCTTGAGATTGATAGTGATAGAGTGCCGCAGATTCGAGGCAAGCACCGGTTTGAGTTAGCCGACGAAAGTTCAGTATCATCAAATCACAATGGAGTATCTGAAGAGCTGGTAAACGGCACGCGAGTAAGCGAATCTCTTTCCGGCGATTCCTCGAAATTTATTAAAACATTACATGAAACCCTCAAACTTCCACAGAGTTCAGTGAGCCGATGGAACCCTACGAACGGTTTAGTATTAGCCTATGGTGGTACAAGTGCAGCTGCCACTATTGTCAATTTTTCGCAGCAGAACCCAGGAAGTCTTACAATCGACCAAGAATTTAAGTGCCAGCATCCTTCAACGTCGACCTTCGAGGGCTCAAGTTGTATTACGTGTCTTGAATGGTCCCCAAATGGACGAAGTCTCGCCACGGGTATAGAAAGTGGTGAAGTACGGCTATGGACTATCGACGGAAAGTTGCAGAACGTATTTCAATTCCACAAGTCCTGCATAACTACTATTAAATGGAATCAAGACTCAATACATTTTTTGACATGCGATACTGATGATGTAGCCACAGTTTGGAATTCATTGACTGGGACGGCATTACAGCAATTCTCACCAAAGGAGACAGGAATGTTGGAATCTCTCGGTGTTGACGCTGAGTGGGTTGGTCCGGACAAATTCGTAATTCCAGGTGCGCAGGGAAGCATAATGCTATGTGAAATGGGGGAAAGTCGTCCTCTTGGAAAACTGAATGGACATACAAAAACACTCACTGCGTTCGATTACCAGCCCGACACAAAGATGCTGGTCACAGCTTCCGATGACAAGACGCTGCGAGTATGGCGCAGCGGTAATCTAAACTCGTCCAATTGTTTCGTAGGCAACTCTCAAAGTGTCACAAGCGCTATGTGGCTTGACGAGGACCGTATAATCTCCACGTCCATTGACGGTACCATGCGGGTGTGGTCCCAATCCATAAACTCGTTATTAGGTCTTTCGATGGTTGACGAAGTTCCTATTTTTTGTGGTTCTCTATCGCCAGACAAGCAAAAGTTTGCCGTTGGTAAAATGGATGGTGAAATTAGCTTGTACCATACCGAAAAGATTCTAGAGGTCATCAGAAATACACCTCAAGCCCATCTTCCGGCCTCCATACCAGTCGACGGAGACTACCAACCCAATACAGAGGGCAATTGCATCACAGATTTGGCATGGGACTCCTCTAGTACCTATCTCTCGATATCATACTCAGCGAGCGAAACCGCTGTAGTCTATGTGGGCTGAGGCGTGCTTACGAGCCAAATATCGAAGTTCACGTATTTGTATTATTGAAGTTATAGGTTCCAGTCATGTTATTAACACGAAAATTACCTATTTACCTGCTCCAGTGTATTGTTATGGATATGCTACTAGCCCTCCAAAAGAGCATTTACCAACAGTCGCATACTCTACCGCTTCGACTTTTGGTCAGATCCTTGCCAATTCAAATGCCACACGGCAATTTTAGTGTGTTCTTGAAATGCGTGTTCAATATGGCTGCTAACCGTTTCAAGGAATGAATAGCTGTCAGGTTTGAACTCAATGCTACCAATAACAAGTTGAGTATTCGTAAGTGGCCGTCAGTTGACGCAAAGTGTCCAGGCTTTCCTGCGTAAGCCCTCAACCCCTTTTTTCCGTTGCTAACGAAACCAGCAGTATCAACGGTCACATTCGTACTACCACTCGTCGAGGAACGTTAGAGCTTGTTCATATTGTCGGTATGCACCTTCAACTTTGATTAAAGTCTGTTCAAATTGTTAAGCAAGTTTATCCGTGCATGATGCTACATATTTTTAAATCTCCATCTACAAACCAAACCTTCTCGATCTACGAAGCGCCAGCTCACACGCCGAAGTTGGTATTCCCTACTCATGGATGCTATATCAGACCCAGCGTTTCAAAATACTAAGTCTTTGAAATCTGCAGCTGAAGAACTACCGTCTCTTCTAACAGTGATTGTCGATACTACACCAAAAGTTTGGGCAGAATTAGATAAAGAAAGCGGACAAGACAAAAATCTAATCAATGCGCTGCAGTCTTTGATTGTGTTTCTCAATGCACATTTGACGTTTAATAGCGCCAACCAGGTTTGCGTGATTGCCGCACACTCTGCGGGCACCAAGTATTTGTATCCCACTACATCTACGTCGTTGGAGGAAGAAGCCTCGCTCAAGAGAACCGCTGATCTGAAAATCATAAACAGCGATATGTACCGGCAGTTCCGGAATGTCGATGAGACGGTATTGGAAGAGCTCTACAATCTCATGCAAGAAGAAAAAACCCGCGATGAGCCCTCTGGGCCGCAGAAGAGCACACTGTCAGGCGCCATGTCAGCCGGTTTCACATATATTAACCGGACAATCAAGGAACAGAGCAATACTTCACTTAAGGCTAGGCTGATGGTGCTGACATGCGGCTCCAGCGGTGGCAAAGATGAGGTTTTCCAATATATTCCCATCATGAACTGCATATTCACAGCTACAAAGATCAAATGCCCCATTGATGTGGTTAAAATAGGAGGCTCGCAGGAGTCGACCTTTTTGCAACAAGCTACAGACGCCACTAATGGTATTTATTTGCATGTACCCTCGACAGAGGGCTTGATACAATATCTCACGACTGCAATGTTCATCGACCCATCGCTAAGGCCAATTATAGTGAAGCCTAATCAAGGATCTGTAGATTTCCGGACGTCATGCTACTTGACTGGCAGAGTAGTTGCTGTGGGCTACGTATGTAGTGTGTGCTTATGCGTCCTTTCCATAATTCCACCGGGCAATAAATGCCCTGCGTGCGATTCCGAATTCGATGAGCATGTCACCGCCAGGCTTAAGCGGAGACCCGTAGTTCCTGGTGTTGCGGCCAAAAAAAGAAGAAGTCTATAGATTGAGTACGATTTAGATTAGGGTTTGTAGCCCATGTACACTATATTAAAATCGTAATTATCGGGATATAAATGAACTTTCTTAAGATGCTCGATTCTTAATGTGTGAGACTCGAAATGAGCATCGCACTGACGCTCCCAGCAATTATACGTACCGATAGTAGCTAGAAATGGATTATGACACTCTTCCAAATGCAAATCCAAAATCCGTTGAGTTACTAGGTTCATTCCACAAGCGTCACACACATTGTCGTGATACTGATTGACGTGTGCGTGAAAAAGGTCTAAGCTTACGTATTCGTGATCGCAAGGAGGCTCATTGCATATAATGCCATTGTTATTGACCTCGGAAGACTTCGTGTGGTCTTCATCTTCCAAGCGTCTTTTCATGGTTTAATCTTTCACAATGTATATCTCATCTTGAAGAGATCACCTCCATCTACGAAAAGATATAAACAATAAGAAAGTACTTTAAATGGCTAAGAAAAGGGTCGCGAAGGGTGCTAAAAGTGCCAAAGTGCATCAAGATGAGACTCAGACGATTGACCCATTTTTTGGGCAAAGTAGAGCATTTGCATTGGAAGGCTGCCTTGTTAATCCAAAGGTCAGAAGCTACTTAAATTTGGTGAGAAATCAAGCTTTGAGTACGCTAGGCGTAGACCCAAGCACAACACGAAAAGAACAAAGCAAGTATAAAAAGAGCAGTCTATATGATGAGGAACCGGTCATAAATCAGAACTTGGCTCAATTTGACAAAAATTGTCAGCGCTGGCTAGACTGGTTTCGGGAATTGAAGTTACAGTCAAGAGAGAATGAGTATGGAACTCAAGAATACAGCTCACAGATGTTAGATCTGCTTATGTTTTACTTCAAATCGTTCTTGCAAACTCGGAAGACAGAGGGAGACAGCGGATTCGAAGGGGATTCAAATCTGAATAGAATTTTGATTCTTTTACAAAACCACGAAGTGAAGTTAGATGCTCAAGATCCGGCACTTGAAATTGACAAGAACTGGGCTCTTAATTTGGCAGATCAATTAAAGGCAAAGAGAGCGTCAAACATAGAAAGCCTAGACGACCTGCGACAGTTTATAAGTATTCCTGCTCCACTGCCTCAGAACTTTAATGCTTGGCACTATTTTATTACGAGGACGGAGCCCACACAAAACTTAATGTTGAGGATGTCTGCTGACCAAATCTTCCGATTAGCAAGTTACTTGATTCAATGGTTGGGAGATATTCCAAAGGGCAAACACGCTGAAAAATTATCTCAATGGACACTATATGTTCTCCTTAACCTGGAAAACCATCTTCCTGCCCAGGAAGTAAGCGTACTGCGAGATTTGGGCAAGAAAGCTCGACAATTGAAGCTTAAAGGTATCGAAACTACACCTAAAGAGGAGCCTTTTTATCTGCAAGTACCGAGTGATTTTAGCTCTCCTCAAACCAGAATTGAACCTCTTTCGGCGATTGATCTAACAATTGTTGTGGTAGCAGTAGAATATGGTCAAAGGGACCTTGTAGACTGGACTGACGCTGAAAACGTTAGAGATCACAAATGAAGGCAGCATTCTCGATTGAGTACAGCATTTTTCGCGTGTGTACAGCATATTTACGATAGCGTTTCAAATACGTTTGAACAAATAAGCGTTCTACTCTCTTTTTTCTGACAATAACTAAGCAAAACTCAAACTAGCGGGAAGGGGGTCCTGAATCTCGTACTGATTAAGTGTTCGGGTAATAACGCTAGGTTGCTATCCGATTTTCAATAAGCGCTAAAAAAAATGTATTGTTACCTAAATATTGGCATGAGTGTAGTTATGAGAACTTTAAATTTTTAAGGTTTTAAAAAGTACTAATAATATTATTGTTGATCATATTACAATAGCTGATTTCAACAATCGTATCAACATTTTCATTACCAAAGCCGTTTCATGGTCAGCACAATTCTAAACGCTCAGAGACTAGTGCAGCTCGCTGGATTCCATCCGAAGCTTAAGAATGTGTGGTATTTGATTGCTGCTACCACATTCAGTGTGTGTAACGAGCCTCAAGAGCTTCAGAAGCTGTACCATTTCGCAATGTTTAACGATTCTCATCCTGGCGAAAGTCTGAAGAGCGCCAAGATGACTATGGATCTACTTCAAACTAATGCGGAAAAGCTGGAATCGCAAGTGAACGAACTCTATGAGGAACCGACTGTTTCCCAAAGAATAATCACACAGAAGCTCAGAGAAGCGTTGCTGAAAAGCAGCGCTTTGGCTGGAATACCGAAATCCATTAATAGTCTCCAGTCTTTGAAGCTTGTCACGCCTCGTGAACTAAAGCCTAACACAGAGGATATCGACGCCAACAGTAGTAGGCTTTTGGTGGGTACGTTAAGGCCAACGGCGGAAACTGTCGAACAAACTATCCAACACGGTGTACATCATTGGAATAAAGTATACAGCAAAGTTTCGAATAAAGTCGTCAATAATCTAAATTCATCATACCCAGACCTCTGGCAATTTGTGCTGTGCAACGTCTATGGACCACTCTTATCGTTTGACGAAATCCTGAACGCTCAAGAAACTAGTTTGGTAATAATTTCTTCCCTGGTACCACAAGATCTAAACTTACAACTGTGGGGGCATTTGAAAGGCGCTTTGAATGTCGGTTGCGATCAAGAGACTATAAATGCTGCAAGAAATCTAAGCATAGTAGTAGCAAAATGGTGTGAAGTACGATGGAAATCGGATGTTGTCAAACTGTGAGTTCCAAATAGACGTGAATGTATATTGATTTCGCGGGCGCTTTCAAACACAGATAAACGAGAACATGCAAATGTTCGGCGTTCAAAGAAATCGGTTAACCCTGGAAGTGTCGCGAATAAAATAATGTTGCTCTGACAGCATTTGTGATGTCAATACCTCTTAACACCATTTTGTAACAATGAGATGTGGTCTGCGTTTGGTTTCTATATTTAATGGTGTCTCCGATACTTCGTGGCAAATCTTATGGAAAGAAGAATAGTGCTGGTGCTACTTTTACCATTTCGTGAAACCTCAAAATTACTACTTTCAAGACTTGAGATAATCAAGTGACAGAGACGTGCATGTAGCAGCGTTAGTATATATTATTTGCTCCACAAATCGCACACAAAAGAAGGGTGTCAACAAACAAAGCAGTCTTTTCTTTATCTTTGTTTTAACTTTGTATACATATGACATACGCTCTGTACATGTTGAGCGCTTCAAAATCATCACTTTCTTCCAAAGATATCTAAATTCAGTGTTGGAAATTTTAGGCTTGCTTTTTTATTCTCTTCGGCAGAGCATGGTCGGCTTGCTGATGACGAGGTTGCGCAATTCATTTCCTCTTCTTTCTTGCCAAAAAGTTGCCACCACCATTTGACATTTTTTATATCGGGCAAAATCCAGTCATCATCACCGCTTTCTGTAGAGTTGTACTCTGCGTTCTTAAACTCAGCCTTTCGTGATCTGAAATAATCCCAAACACTTCTAGTCCTTTCTTGAGCATCATGTGTGACACGATCTAGTTCCGAATTGAAAAGGAAAGTTCCGTACTGGCAAGAGTATAAATGATAGACTAAGCGCCTCAGGAACCGCTCATTAAATTCAAATTTTGATGGATTTTGCCGAAGGAGTTGCTGCACGCAATCGAGAAATTGTTGAAATACAGGAGAGGTAAATTTTGACGACTTCTTTGTCACTAACCTCTTTGATACTTTATTCATGAATTCAGATGAGTGCAAATGAGACGAAAAGTTCAAATCGGTGAGCTCTCCATTTGCAACTTCTGTTTTATCATTATTATTATTGTTATTATTGGAGAATCCAAATAAAGAGGAATTTAGGTCAATTCCTTGTGTCATGTTTGTTGCGGCTCCAGATATGCTCATTCTTGTCGAATTATCATGAAATGAGCTTTCAGAGTTCAAATGGCCTGTTCTTTCAGCAAAGCGATGGCCAAATGATAGCCAGTCCTTTTCAACTAGAATCATAAATCCTTCCAGCGTTCTGAAGTAAGGATCAAGGCAAATTTGAACCAAAGAGCTTACTTGAGTTGTCCTGTCCCATCCGTCGGAACAGTGTATTAGAATATTCGAATTATTGAAAAGAACAGACTTTACCAAAGTATCAGTAGAAGACAGAAGCATTCGAATATACTTCAACCAGTGAGCAGACTTGCCTTCATTCAGTGCATTGACGTCAATCGGAAGATTTAGGTCGTTGTCGACCAAGTTATGGTCAACAACGTAATTGAGCAAGTCTCTCATAATGTGAATGTTGTCTATTCCCAGAAACATTCGGGTGACAGTGCCACCAAAGTTGTAGTTATCCATGTTCTCGGTACCACCTCCTAGCGCTGTTTGTGCCATAGCATTGGTAGTTGGTCTCGCGTCAACGATAATATTTTTAACCGCCCTAAAGTTCTGAAGATCTGAGGAAGACGAGCAGTTAAATATTTCGTTGACTAGCTTTTCATCCTGAATAGACCGCTGCTGGATCAAGCCCGGTAGCGGCTGTGCACATCGGGTAATGGAGGTTTTGGTCTTACGATGGTAATATGTTAAGGCCGGGATACGGTTCTGAGATCGATACTTTATGGAATGCGTAAGCAACGTATCTGAAATGGAACTTGGTAGCACTAAGACGCGGGGATAGGTTTTGCAAAGATTGAAATCCTGATTGACGTTAGAAACTCTCCAAGGGCAATTTTCGCCAAATGTAAGCCCCTGTCTACGAAATTCTGTCAAGGGATCGTAGATATTCCAGCTGTTGAAAGGCTCTTCAGCTCTGTTGGGCGTGTAAATAAAAGCGTAAAGCTCTTGCTCTTCGTGCAGAACCGTTAGTTTTAAGATCGAGTCGTAGACGTCCTGCGCCAAGTGCTCGTCCTGGAAATCGAGAGAGAAAACAGTATAGTCCTTCCCCACAATTTTGATATTCCAGAACGACCAGATGTCTTTTCCTTTGTAAAGCGGATCCTGGCACTCATGATGGTCCTTAAACTTGGAGATCAGAGCGCTGCCTCTATTCTTGAAAACAGCACCAATTGTGGGATAGGCAAACCAAAACTCGCGCGCAAAAAGCGTCGATGTAAAGATCAAATGATGCGTGGTCAAGTGCAAAGTCCCACTGGCAGAAATGCCCTTCCTGTGCATTACAACATGGTCAACCTATCAAATTGAGTCGTAACTTAGTATGTTTATATGAGAAGCATTTCCAGGGCAAAAAACACACACATACTTTTGCGATTTTGATATATTCCATCAGGAGAGTCCGACTTGCTGGAAGCAGCAATCTAGAGGACTTCGAGCTTTGGTTTTTGGACAATTCAACACAACCCCAGGTTTCGATTATGCAAATCTAAACTCTGTATCATGTTGTACGCATCTTGACACCTAATGGTTACATTCCCCGTTGAACTTTATTTGCTTCACATTTGCTAACGATCAACTATTACATTGCTGTCCGGCAAACTATGCAGACTAACTGTTATAGTAATACTGGTATTTTAGGAATTATTTTTGTATAACTGATTTCTTGAGGTAACGCAAGATTCACCCGTCGTAGTATTTCTTGATGTGTATGTATCTATTTACCGATTTTAGCAGCTAGTGGTGATCTTCACGGTCAGTGAAAAGTGCCTTGTAGTGTCTGCTTGCTGTTAAATAAGACGACGAATTTTAATAAAAGGGTCAACAAGGAAACTGGATAAGTAACTCCAAACCGAGTTACCATAAACCATGGGCACCGCTAGATAACTGAGTATTGGGTGCATTTCACAATTGAAATAAAGTTAAAAAATCAGTCAAACTCCTGCTGAAAACTCCGTCTCGATGTTTGCCCCGTTGGCTAAAACATTCGATTGATTATATTGCCAATATGGCTCCAGTGCCTTGCAATATATTGGCATGTCTAGTTGTATTATCAAATTGAAACACATAAAAGTGGTAAGTGTTTGTTCAATGCACCTTGCATATGGTTTGCAATTCCAGGATGAATTTTCCTTCTTTGTATCGCTGGTCCTTCCTTTCGCTCTCAACGTATTTCCAACCCACCAAATTCTTACACATGTGGCACTTTATGTCGCAGACGATATAACATCCAGTGAGCATACACCTAGTTTCTCGCCCACCTTCGACTACGTTTACAACTCGGTTCATAAGGTAGGCGTCACCGGTAGTACCACGGTAGTCCTTTGACATCACCTGCGCCGACGACGACAAATGAGTCCTGCAATTACAGCACCCATAGGTGACAAACTTGGCATGCTTGTTCTTCGGATGATCGATGTAGGAGGTGTACCGCAAGCCCATAGCTTCCTAGCACAGTGTTGTCGAAATAAGCTCCCAGATTTCGCTGTCCAGAAAACCTAAGGTCTTATATACGGTAGCAAGTAAAATATGTAGGTGTTTTGGACAGTTTGAACCGGGAATCTGTTAATTAAACGAGTTGTGTCACCTCGAAAAAGCCTGTTCAGATTGTCTGAGAAATAGTCAGTCGAATAACTCAGTGTAGAAGCTTCCGCAATCGACTAATTAAAACTCCAGGGCTTCGGCCGCTCAGATCCTTCTGTAATCCGTAATTGTTCTTAAGGGATAACATTAGCTCCGTAGGGTCGCAGCTATATATATTGACATTGATATAACCTAGTACGAGCGTATGGTATATATTATTGATATAGTGAGGCCACTAGAGCCAGCATAGGAATACCGTTAGCCTGCTTATAAGCCTTAAGAATCACTTAGTATTATTGGCTCCTTCGCTCGTTCTGTGAGTCTTCCTTCTATTTTTCCAATCACATTTACCATTCCATGACGTTTGTTATGGAAGTGACAACAATTCACCGTCGGCACTAGAGATTACTCGCCAAGCCAAATTCCTCGCTACGGGCGGTACCCCCTGTATCACCAATCAAAAGTCAAATGGATTATTATTTTACTGTACATGTTAGCATATTACATATGTTTGAGTTTCCGCCTGCCACGCGAGAATTACCAAGTTTGCAGTTCCTCGAAAAAATCGACTCTACTGGTCTTGTGGTCACCAACTTTATCAGCAACCGTGCGTCTGATCTCATCGCACATATCGCTATGGGCACATGTGATAATGGCAGCATTTTGGTTGTGACATTCGTCAATGTCCTGGTTAACAATCTCCTGCATGTTAGGTCTTCCCTCCCTAAATTCGATGTGTGGCAACAGCTTTTGAATGGAATCTATGTAGGCAGGTGAGGTTGCCGTGTTAATGTTCGATCCCTTTTCGTTCGATCCCTTTTCGGAATGCGAAGTCTGAGAATCGCTAGAATCAAAGAGCGCAGTCAATTTCTCACCAATCTTTCCCTCATGTGCTCTTGTGACATAAATAATTGTTTGAACGTTGGTGAATTTTTCCAAGACTTGCAGTTCTTCTAAGAACCAGTCCAACGAATGCCAGTGTCTGATAACCCAGTATAATTTAACAAATTTGTTGTTGTCTTCTTTTGTAGTCTTTCCAAGCTCTTTCGCATACGCGAATGGACCAGGAATACCGTTACCGCCGCTGTACAGCAACACTTGATCATAAGATTGAGCGGGCTTGTTGTCACCGTATGGACCTTCGACAGCAATCTTGCACTCACCAGTGTAATTGGGCTTATTCAACAGCTCCTTGTACATGGTTTCAGTGACACCCCTCTTTATTTTAATGTAAAAACGAAGCTCATTGTTATCGGTCTTGACAACTGTAAATGGATGTGATTGCCAGAAAACAGAGCCCTTCAAAATGTGCAAATAACCGAAAGCACCTGGGAAAAATGGCCACCAAGAGCCTCTGTCGACAGTAATCTGTAGCGTTTCATTGGAGACGATACAAACCTTAGCCGTCTTAATACCGAACGAGAATATGCGTACCAACCTGATAAACCTGTCGAAGACCCAGACGGCAGCCGTAGCGTAAGCCCATTCTCCGTAGTTGAAATAGTCGAGATGTTTCCAGGCTCCTATTAGGAAGGCAATTGCCATGAAGATGTGGACGTACAAGAAAACTTCGTAATTTTTCTCACGCAACCAGCTGAAGGCTTGAACAAAGATTATGCCTCCGGCCACTACAGCAACAGAACCCCATCTCCACCACCCAGTCAAGGCTCTGGGGCCATAAACGCCGCTTCTAGCAAAAGTGCTGATCAACATTGCAATAGTGTGGGCGAGAACACTCAAAAAGAGCATACGTCCGGCCCATTTGTGGTACATCACGAAAGTTGATTGCTTCCAACCGGTAAGCGTAATAAATAGTTGATTGCGTCCGGCAAACAGATAAGTTATAGTCATCAAAAAATTTGAGATTAACGCTGTTCTGTCGCCAATCAAACGAGACATTTCAAGTGTCTTGCTTGCAAAAAGAAGGGTGTTTTCAACATGATGGTATCCCACGGCTTGGAATATAATACACAAGGTGCAAAACACAAAGACAATAAAGGATTCCAACCGAGTTGGAAGTAGACCCTGAAAAATTGTCCTTTTCGTGTGTGAGCTGCCAAATGTGGCTGGAATCGAAACATTTTTTCTGTACCAGCGCACAATAGCCAATTGAGACGCTCTTTTGTTAAGTGATATTGTCAAACTAGGAGCGAATTTGAGCGACAAATTAGAGATCATACCAAACGCCATGATGATGCCCCAGTAGCCCACTAAGGCAGCACCCCAGTGAAATCCTTGCTTGAAGTTACTGTATCTCGAGACGTACCCACGGTAGGATAAGTCAAATAGTGAGGCATTGGCATAGACAGGGAAATTGATTGGACTAGTCTTGTTGAATTTGGATAACAGGGACGTGTTTACCATATGGTCGGAGGCATTGGCGTAGACAGTCCTCATGTGCTCGACGGTAGTGTTAGGGCAGCGAAACTGGAAAAACTCATCTAGAAGCTTCTGGTTATGATTGGAGATCTCGTGTTTCTTGGACTCTAGGTGACTGTTAGCACAATACAAGAAAGAGCCCATCGCACTGTCACTACTACAGTAGCATTCGTAGTCTCTGGCATCATCGCTTTTACAGAACTTAGCAGTGGATGCGAGTGCAGTCTTGCATGAAAATCCAACATAGTCAACTTCCGTGTATTCGAACCCACGCGCAGCAGCACTAATTGACACCAAGTGTGCCAAAACCAATGCAAACAAAAGCTTCATCCGAGGTTTTCGACTTGTTCTTTTCTTGGTTTTAACTAAACAAAACTCACCATTGCGCTATTACCGAACTTTAATCTTTACAATTTATACTCCCAGTACCAGCTTATTCTCGAAGCTTGTGTCGGAGATAGAAACCAATTAGCGAGAGTATCAAGCCAATAAATTCCACTATTTGTGGGTGCACTTCGATTGATTTTTGTCACGATATTTTACGCATAACCTTGCCTTTACCTCGAGCAACCATCGCGATCTCTGCTGGGCTCACCAGCGCGCTACTGGACTAAGCACTCGAATCGAACCCTGTTCATTTTCTCGCCCCAACCTCCAAGATTCTTTCTCAATTGCACCTTTTTCGCAAGTAACCAGGTGTTTAACCGCTGTTGGTATTCACAGTATCCACGAAAAAATAAAATTTGGGTGTCGACGATCTCAGGGATCTCAATTCAGGGCCTAGAGGCTGCAACTAGCAGTTTATCATTTGCGGAATATTTCAGTTTCTCATTCCAGGGTGTATATTTTAATTTTTTGTTCATCTGTCGTCTCAGATACACCGTAAGAAAAAAACCTTTGCATAGGCTAGAAACATATCGGCAAGCAAGCCTTGCGAGAACACCTTTTCGTTTGGCCAAAAGCCTGAGCTTTGAGATACACACACACCCGGAATGTGCAATCATGATGCAGAAGGAAGGTGAAAGGGAAGCTTTTTCTTGAAGATGCATTGCACCCTAAAACAGATTCCAACAGATGGTTTCGCTATTAAGCGCGATCTCCTACGAGATACGTAGAGATGATGCTTGTTGCACTCTTAAGAAACCAGTAGAAGTTGGAGCTTGAACCAGGGTACTGAAACCTTCACCCGATACGCATTTTGGCGTCTAACAAGCTCGTATTGGGCCTGCCAAGCCACATTTTGCTTTATAGAACGTTCTTTTGTAAAGCGTCCCGGCATGAAGATCATGTCAAAGTGCTGGATCTGGTAAATGGTACGTATGTGCCGCATTTCCAATCGTCGAGACAGGTCGGGTGAAGCTTATGTCCGTCACGATTGAGAAATTGGTATCAAGCGCCAACACGTTTCGTCTGAGCATCTGATTAGCCAATTTAGTTGATCTATTTGTGCCCCAATTGGGTGCTAAAGGTGACATTTTTCTGCGCTCGAGAACCTTATGTGATGGAAGCTCTGCGAGTTCTTGGATCGCGAAAATCAAGGTGCAAAAGCCCGAAACAACCAAACCCCGTAGCGTTTCACGCGCACTCATACGATGAGAAAACGCGTCCTTGCAGTCCTTCTAGCCTTTGCGTTTGGATTCCTGAGTGTTACGCCTGGAAAGTTAATTCTTGACACTGTACAAAATGGCAACATTTCGAAACTTCGTAAACCACGGATATATATCCATCTATGTGCTATGCGTGTTCAGCATACCCTGTCGATCAACAGCTTTGAAGTTCGTTTGCCAAGCACCGGCGACATTGCTCCTTTATGTACGATTGACATTAGAAATAATGATGTTGTACCGCACGTGTGTAAGGTACGGCTTTAATTTCCAGCAGTGCCCTTCTGTCATCTCATGCATTGTGAATTCTTACGTAGACTGAATACATATCGGAGAGTTCTCCCTGTAAACCCTCTTACAACAAATCGTCATCTGCAGCTGCAATGGAGTCTTTGATTTTCAAGAGTATAGTAGTCTTCCACTTGTCAAGCTTGGAAAAGCGATCGAACTCGTAGACTTTAGCGCTGAGTTTCTCGGAATCACCTTCGGCACAGGCCTCGAGAAGCGCACTGATCAGTTCGTGCTCGCGCGACCCGGAGAAGTTCGAATCTTGTTCTTGCGCTTCCGCTACAGTTCTCTGTGCGGCTACCTGGTCATCAGCGGCCAAATAGCATAGTGCAGTCTTCAGAAAATACTCTTTAAGAGACCACTGACTGAGCTTGTTGCCAACGGAGTTGGCAATGACTTTCCTATAAACGTCACAAGCCTCGATATAATGGCCATCCAGAGCCTGCAGGTCGGCACATTTCAGGTAAGCTTTGTTTGCAAGTGCCAGAGCTTGATCTTGGGCGTACCAGTCGGCTGCAGCCTCGTACGCGGTCACTGCTTGCGAGTAGTCGTGGAGATCTCCCTCCAAGATCTCAGCAAGCTCAAACTTGAAATTGGCGCCTCTCCTGAATTGTCCTCTGCGTGTGAAGATATCTATAGCCTTGTGAAGAGCTTCACAAGCCTTTGTGGGTGATGAGCCGGCTTTGAACGCCTTGAAACCCTCCACAAATGTGTTTCCGGCTTCATCATCGTTTTGGGCTTTGATCTGGCACGCAGCAGCTTGCAGAAACAAATCACCCGCTGTTTCCAACTCCTTGCGCAGTTTATAAAGATTCGCGGCCTCTATGTAAAGATCAGCCGCCTCTTCGTATTTGTAGGAGTCAGAAGCTCCAAAAAGCTTAAGGAATCCTGACGAAGGTTGAGCCTTTTTCTGAGCCTGTAGAGTGAGTTAGCAAATAATTTGAAGCATTAAAGTTGTTCTTAAGACTCCATGGCATACTCTTTGAACAAGTACTTGCGGGTCAGACATCGTCGTTACGGTTTGTGTTGTTTCTCCCTTGAACTAGTGCGATGAGCCAGGTGGACAGATATGGCAATGATAATGAAATTAACGATTTATTAGTATCGTTATACACGCCAGCAGCCCAAACTTTGAAAGAATAAGTTCAAAGGCATACGCCAGTTGATAAAGACGAGAAGGGTGGGTTCGTGAGTATAGCTGGCCAGCTTCATTCGCCCATAGCATGATCCAGGAGAAGCTGAATTCTTGATCTATAGATGTCATTTTGTACGTGTGTACTGCTGATAGCAGAAGGGGCAGGATCGGCCTCTTAGTTCGAGCCATGGGGCCAAACTCCTCTCCGTTGCGGCTTTCTATGCCTGTATACAGTTGCGGTGCGAAAAAGACAACCAGCTACCTCTAATCGAAGGTTTATCGGCCCATATCTAATTAGAAGACGGGCGTATTGTAAAACCCACCTCTTGCATACCCTATTTATGCCATTGCCCTCGATACATTGGTTCAGAAAGTACAACAGATTGGGAAAGGCCTCAGTCTTTTCCGCTGCTTATACGGCGGCTGCCGCAGACCTGAATTTATACCCATAACTAGTTAACCCGGCAGCATTCTACGGACCAGCTTATTCGACTTGTGAGTAGTTGGAAGTTTTGAAGGAGCAAGCGAGCCAACCATTGGTGTATTTCTTCCCGCTCTATCGTTGCATGCCTTTATTCAACGTATTTACGTTGCGTCCCACTGCTAAGTATGGTATGCAAGACTATCAATTCTCGCCCAGCACACACTCTTCTTGCGTTTACCGTTCATCTAACGTGTGATAAGGCGCTCAAAACTCACTACTCCAACGATCTGAATTAGCCCAACTCTTCATTTCACATTACGGCATCGCTAATCGAGTTTCTGAAAAACAGATCAATAAATTCCATCTTGAAGATAAATATTAAATCATCAACCCTTAACAAACTCAAAGCGCAGGTAAAGTATTAACACATCTTTCCGCTCTGTGTGAGGTCGGGCAAATGACCTCTAGTCATTGATAGTCCTTCTCTTTGCGTTTCAAAATGATCGCTTCTTAAGACTTATCTACAACAGTAGCCGTCAACATCTATGAACCGTTCCTCGAGACGCAACGAGCGGAAACCCTGAATCTATCTCCGAAATTTCACCACTGAACAGATCCTCAGAACCATTAGCATAGTTTGTTTGCTATTCACTTTGCAATTCCCTACTTTATCTTTTTTTTGCCGTGCAAACGAGAGGTTCAAGTGATCTTGGCCTGATAACCAACTCAGAAACTTCCTCGAGCACCCTGGGTGCAGGTCGTTGAGTTCTAGAGATTGCCTGTGTCCTACTTTGATTTGGGCTACCCGCACCACACACAGGTATACGGCTAAGTCGTCAGCGTATCGCTTGGCTTGTTTTTTGCCCTGCAGGAACGTATCGCGCCACTCGTGCAAGTGACACAATCTCGAGCTTAAGCTTTCAATCCAGCGATGGGCATGGAGTTTGCTGGTGCTTATCGGTGCAATATGACTCGCAAATCTCAGAGCATCGGATGGAATGGTACCGCGTACACGATTGAGATCAGGAGGAATCAGCTGGGATCATATTTAAACCCAGCAAAGGTCTCTGGAAAGTCCAACAAATGCAATACATCTTAGACTCGGTTAAATCAGCTCAAGGCAAAGGGCTTCCATTCGTCTACGCACAATGAAGAACTACATCAAATCTGTGTTGTCGGCAGACGCGCCTGTCACCGACAAAGACCTTTTGTACAGTAAACGATCTCAAGAAAACGCAGATGGCGATCTTCACCTTCGTTCCGCTCACCCAGCTGGAGAAAAGGCTAAGGGACTCGACACCATTGTGGTGACCGAGGAGAACCCTTCGGACGGTGCCGATCTGGAAAACAATAAGTTGGGTCTAGGCGGTGTTGTTTCTGCAGACTACGACCCACTCGCCCATCAACTCTCGAAAGTGGCCATAGACGACGAATATGCCGGTATTACGGTTGAAGATGACTCGCCGTACCCTGAAGTTCGTGCCTCAGTGCCCTCCAGTGACAACACGATGCTTGCACAAAACACACTGCGGATGTGGGTTCTTGGTATGATCATGACTACCATCGGGAGTGGTCTGAATATGCTGTTTTCCATGCATTCTCCTTCAATTGTTTTGGTCAGTTACGTGACATCGATCTTGGCCTGGCCCTTGGGAAGAGGCTGGGATAAAATCATGCCTAACGTACGTTTGTTTGGGAAATGGGGCCCGCAATTGAACCCCTCCCCTTTCAACGTCAAAGAACATGCCCTTATTACAGCTATGGGCAATGTGGCGTTTGGAGGTGGTAACGCCTACGCTACTGATATCCTGCTTTCCATGAACAACTTTTACGGGAAGGACTTTGGTTGGGGGTTTAACCTACTGGCAACCTGGTCCACTCAATGTATTGGATTTGCGCTTGCGGGTCTTACAAGAAAAATTTTAGTGACCCCTGCATCTATGATTTGGCCAGCTAACTTGGTCTCGTGCACTTTCTTAACTAACATGCACATTAATGAAAACCACGTTGCAAATGGCTGGAAGATCTCCAGGTTGAAATTCTTCTTGGTCGTTTTCGTTTGCGGTTTTGTATATTACTGGTTTCCTGGCTTTATTTTCCAAGCCTTATCATACTTTGCGTGGGTTACGTGGATCAAGCCCGATAATATCATTGTCAACCAAGTATTCGGTGCCAGTACTGGTCTTGGCTTAATCCCTCTCGCCTTAGACTGGAATCAAATCGCGGGTTACATTGGCTCTCCTTTAATTCCACCAGTTGGTGCCATCTTTTCAATCTTGCTTTCCATGGTGACCATTTTTTGGATTGTGGTACCTGCAGTGCATTATTCGAATGTATGGTTTGGTAACTATCTACCTATATCGGATTCTTCCTCTTATGACAGATTTCAGAATGTTTACCAGGTCAAGAAAATCGTCACCGAGAACTTGACCTTCAATCAAGAGGCCTATGAAGCTTACTCACCGTTGTACTTGTCGGCGTCTTTTGCGATATCGTATGGACTTTCATTTGCCTCAATCACTGCCATTGTGGTGCATACAGCCTTGTTTCACGGTAAGCAGATTTGGAACCAGGTTAAAAATAGCGGCCAAGAAAAAGAGGATGTTCACGGTAGGTTAATGAAGCAATATAAAGATGTTCCTCAATGGTGGTTTGCCATTGTCTTTTTGGCATTCTTCGGTATGGCTGTGGCGACTATCAGAGCTTGGGAAACTGAAATGCCAGTTTACTCATTGATCCTTGCTCTAATAATCGCTGCTTTCTTCTTACTTCCAGTGGGTATCATATTTGCTTTGACCAACATTCAGGTTGGTTTGAATGTTATTACAGAATTTATCATTGGTTACATGATACCAGGCAAACCGCTTGCAATGATGTTTTTTAAGACGTTCGGTTACATTACTAATTCCCAAGCCGTCTATTTCGCTCAGGACATGAAACTGGGGCATTACTTGAAAGTAGCCCCAAGGGTGTTGTTTGCTGCTCAATTGATTGCAACTATTTGGGGTTCATTGGTGCAGATCTGTGTTATGAAGTGGGCTCAAGGAAGTATTGAGGACATTTGTACGACGCATCAAGCCTCCCACTTCACTTGTCCTAATGCCAAAGTATTTTTCAATGCGTCTATTATTTGGGGTGTAATTGGTCCCCAAAGGATGTTCTCTGCTGGACAGATATACAACAAACTGTTGTACTTTTTCCTCTTGGGCGCTGGTTTGCCTGTGATGAACTGGGCAATTTTGAAGAAATGGCCTGGGTCTTTCGTTAAGTATTTGAATTGGCCTGTGTTCTTCTCCGGCACTGGTCTCATTCCACCTGCAACACCATACAACTACGGGGCATACTGTCTTGTGGGTATTTTTTTTGGGTACTTTATCAAGAAACGGTTTTTCAACTGGTGGGCTAAGTATAATTACTCTTTGTCTGCAGGATTGGACATTTCGTTAGCTTGGTCTTCTTTGATCATTTTCTTAGCATTGGGATTGACCAACACTAACGGACCAAGCTGGTGGGGAAATAATGTCATCGAGACGCCTGAATATAATGGCGAGGCTATCCAAAAGTTTTTGGAGGAGGGTCAAACATTCGGTTTGACCAAGTGGTGATCAGACTCGTTGATCAGTTTTTGAATTTAAACGCTGCATTCAGTCGGTTATGAATGTACAGCTTATACAAAATTATTGCTTTGAACAAGTTATTTGACATAGTACCATGAGTAAAGACGTTTGAGTCGGCAAAGCGAATTGTGAATTCTTTATATACACATCCTTGAAAGCTTGTAGTTTAGTCCTGTACTTGGCATACTGGTACTTAGATCGGTTATATATTTTATGAACTAATATTTTTTTTCACTCAATGACTCTGAGTATAACAATATTACTGAAGCGAGCCTGTTGGCGTTGTCAATATCTCTTTGCGATTGCTAAATAGCGTCAATTGCTTGATTAATCAAATCAGAATAGGATCATAACGTCTATCAAAGAACCATGTCATTATAGTGCCAAGTGACAAGCTAGATATCCAAGCCAGCATGTCCATTCACATAGTACATAAGAAATGAGTGGAGCGCGAATGAAGTGCAGCGTGTCACTCCCCTCTTTGCTCTTGAGATTCTAGCTGTATGTAAAGTATAAACCACTTCTCAAGACTCTTGAAATCTGCGACTACCAAATATCATGTAGCACTCATTATGTTTATATCACTTTGTACTATTCTGTCATGTTGCAACTTGGCGCTATCTTTGCCCACTTGGCAGCAAGTACAAGTTCTCCGCGAGTCTTCCTCGACATGAAGAATAGATTTACGACTCAGGCAATATACCACTTGGTAATGTATACAACTATTAGCAGCCGAAGAGTTCAGCCCCGGCACAATGAAAGATTAAGAGCCAAATGAGATAGCATATGTCACTTTCAATGGTTCCACGTTTAAATCTGCTTGCATCGATAGTTCTACGGTCACCATACAGGTCTGGTCACTTCATGCTACAGAGGCACGTGATAGATCTTGCAGAAGGAGTTCCTCGCCCAGGCAAACAGCAAGGATCATGCTCCGGGAGAAATTTCCCGGAGTACACATTTCGCTTTCGAGATGGCGTTCGGGGTGGTGACCACTCCATACCAAAGCCGCCTATATCTCCCGAACTTTCCTCCAGAACCAGTCGTTCGTCGTTACCATGGGTTTGCCCATGTGACGTGTGTTGCACTACTTTCACTGACCAGTCTGCGGCGGGCCCACAAGCCGGGAGAGCTTGGTCATGACACATTACAAGGCCCTACGCTATCTGTGACATCGTTAACGCCTCCGTCTTGGTCAGAAAGGTTCGCTATCTTACAGAAATTTTCGTACTTATAATTTTACGCATTTTTTACTCGCTTTTCGACCGCTTCACTGTCTTTCCTCAACGTCCCCTCGTTGCCACATACGGTGACATCACTTAATTACGCATCTATGAGTACTATTCATGAGCTTCCTCCGCAAATTCCAGAGGGAAAAGTTGTTCACGTTTTCAGCTGGCCCTGCCATTTAATCTGAGAGAAAATGAGTGCTATCATTTTTCAGGCAGTAAATCCTATCGATGGAAGAAAATTTGTCAATTATGCAAGCTGCGCTGCAAAGTGTGACTCAAGACATCATCTCATCTCAAGAAACATTTCATCAACAGATCTTTTAAAAGAACTGTTGAAAGTAGGCCATCATCTCAGTATTTTGACATTCGAAAGAACAGAAAGAGTCGGTGCATAGAGCTAGCTCAGTTCAAGGTTATAAGTTATAAAGAGAATAACCACCAGCGCAACACTACCAGCAAAAAGACACTATTTCGGTTTACTTTTGCCTCGCTAAACATACTCCCATAGACTCTTAAGCACTGCACCAGTCAAAGATGTCGTCGTCCATCTACGAGTCGACAGTTCCCACAACGTCAGCGTTCAACACTGCAAACTACAATCCCCAGCTCGTCAAGGGCGTGGAGTCAGTTCTTGTGATCGGTTCCGGAGGGCTTTCGATCGGCCAAGCCGGTGAGTTCGACTACTCTGGTTCTCAGGCCATCAAGGCTCTCAAAGAAGCCAACAAGAGAACCATTCTGATTAACCCCAACATCGCTACAAACCAGACGTCCCATTCGCTTGCCGACGAGATCTACTACTTACCGGTCACTCCCGAATATATCACGTATATTATCGAACGCGAGAGACCAGACGCCATTTTGTTGACTTTCGGCGGTCAGACTGCACTAAATTGCGGTGTCGCTCTTGATAGAATGGGCGTTCTAACCAAATACAACGTGAAAGTGCTCGGAACTCCAATCAAGACTTTGGAGACCTCCGAAGACAGAGATCTTTTCTCCCAGGCGTTGAAGGAAATCAACATCCCTACTGCTGAGTCGTTCGCGTGCGAGACTATCGACGAGGCCCTCATCGCCGCCGAGAGAGTCAACTACCCTGTCATCGTTAGATCTGCTTACGCCTTGGGTGGTTTGGGTTCTGGCTTTGCCAACAACGAGGCCGAAATGAAGCAACTTGCCGCACAGGCACTTTCTTTATCCCCACAAATTTTGGTTGAGAAATCGCTGAAGGGTTGGAAAGAAGTCGAATACGAAGTTGTCCGTGACAGAGTTGACAACTGTATCACCGTTTGCAACATGGAAAACTTTGATGCACTAGGTGTTCACACGGGTGATTCTATCGTGTTTGCTCCATCGCAAACCCTATCCGATGAAGAGTACCACATGCTGAGAACTGCTGCTATCAAGATCATTAGACACTTGGGTGTTGTCGGCGAATGTAACGTTCAATATGCTCTACAACCAGATGGTTTAGATTACAGAGTCATCGAGGTTAACGCTCGTTTGTCTCGTTCATCCGCTTTAGCCTCAAAAGCTACTGGCTACCCATTGGCTTACACTGCTGCCAAGATCGCTTTGGGTTACACTTTGCCAGAGCTACCAAACCCAGTTACCAAAACTACTGTGGCCAACTTTGAACCTTCTTTGGACTACATAGTTGCCAAGATTCCTCGTTGGGATTTGGCCAAGTTTCAACATGTCAACAGAAATATCGGCTCAGCAATGAAGTCTGTGGGTGAAGTCATGGCTATTGGAAGAAACTTTGAGGAAGCTTTCCAAAAGGCCATCAGGCAAATCGATCCATCATTTTTGGGTTTCCAAGGCTCCGACGAGTTTGGTGACGACTTGGATGAAGTTCTCGCTAACCCAACTGATAGAAGATGGTTGGCTATTGGTCAAGCTTTAATTTACGAAGGCTACTCGGTAGAAAAAGTACACGAACTTTCTAAAGTCGACGCTTGGTTCTTACACAAGTGCATGAACATGGTTGAGATGTACAAGGAACTTGATGCTGTTTCTTCTTTGGAGTCCTTTGAGAAGGAACTGTTGGTGAGAGCCAAGAAGATGGGATTCTCTGACAAGCAGATAGCTGTTTCCATAAACAAGAATTCACAAGCAAACCTTCACGAGCTAGATGTCAGAAAGTATAGAAAGTCTTTGGGAATTACACCATTCGTTAAGAAAATCGATACCCTGGCAGCTGAATTCCCAGCCAACACCAACTATTTGTACACCACGTACAATGCTACCAAGAGTGATGTTGAATTCAGCGACAAGGGTATGCTAGTGTTAGGATCTGGTGTCTATCGTATTGGTTCTTCGGTGGAGTTTGATTGGTGTGCGGTTAACACCGCGAGAGCATTGAGAGAATCTGGTAAGAAGACAGTTATGATCAACTACAACCCAGAAACCGTCTCCACTGATTTCGACGAGGTCGACAGACTTTACTTCGAGGAATTATCCTTCGAAAGAGTCATGGACATTTACGAATTGGAAAACTCTGAAGGGTGTATTATTTCCGTCGGTGGTCAACTACCTCAAAACATCGCCTTGAAGCTGCTCGAAGATGGTGCCAAGATTTTGGGTACTAGCCCAGTCGACATTGACAGGGCAGAGAACAGACACAAATTCTCGTCTATCCTTGATACTATTGGGGTTGACCAGCCTGAATGGAGTGAACTGTCATCTGTTGCCGAAGCCAAGGAGTTCTCGAACTCTGTGGGATACCCAGTATTGATTCGCCCATCCTATGTGTTGTCTGGTGCCGCCATGAGCGTAGTAAACTCCGAAGATGAATTAGAAACAAAACTTACGAATGCATCTGACGTGTCTCCCGATCACCCAGTCGTTATCTCCAAATTCATTGAAGGTGCTCAAGAAATAGATGTTGATGCTGTGGCCTACGACGGTGAGGTCTTAGTACATGCTATTTCTGAACACGTTGAAAACGCCGGTGTTCATTCGGGAGATGCGACTTTGATTTTGCCACCACAGTCGCTCAGCGAAGACATCAAGAACAGATTGTATGATATTGCTAAGAAGGTTGCCAAAGCGTGGAAGATCACTGGTCCTTTCAACATGCAAATTATTAAGGATGATAGACACAAGGGTACCACTTTGAAGGTTATTGAATGTAACATCAGAGCATCCAGGTCTTTCCCATTTGTCTCTAAGGTCTTGGGCGTCAACTTCATTGACACCGCCGTCAAGGCCTTCATTGGTGAAGACGTTCCTAAGCCAGTAAACTTGATGGACCTACAATACCCCTATGTCGCTACTAAGGTTCCACAGTTCTCTTTCACGAGATTGGCTGGTGCCGATCCATTCTTGGGCGTCGAAATGGCTTCCACTGGTGAGGTTGCTGCATTTGGTAAGGACGCATTGGAAAGTTACTGGACCGCCATGCAAAGCACCATGAACTTCAACGTACCCTTGCCACCTAGCGGTATCTTGTTTGGTGGTGACTTGAGCAAGGAATTCTTAGGTCAAGTGGCTGGGCTGATTAGTGTGCTAGGTTACAAAATCTTCACAACAAGTGAGACCACCAGAGAATACTTGAAGAGGTACGTTCCAGAAAACTGTCAAGTTGATATAATTGAGTTCCCAAAGAACGACAAGCGTAAATTGCGTGAGTTGTTCCAACTACACGACATTAAGGCTGTTTTCAATCTGGCCGCTAAGAGAGCTGAATCCTTGGAGGATGTAGACTACGTGATGAGAAGAAATGCCATTGACTTTGCTTTGCCACTATTTAACGAGCCCCAAACTGCCTTGCTTTTTGCTAAGGCCTTGAGCGCCAAGGTTGGCGAAAAGTTGAAGATTTTGGAATCCTCTGATGTCGTTGTGCCTCCCGAAGTTCGTACGTGGCACGAATGGATCGGTCAAAGACCTATGTGAATTGGTCAAGACTAAATACCTGTACACTAAGATAAATATTCAAGTTATTTAAAGATTTAGGGATGCCACTGGTATCGGTATAGAATGTAATGAGTTAATGATTTAGAGTTTAGGTGTTGTCTGCGTGCATTTGGGTGTGGTCTAGAAAAATGCCCAATAGTAACAATTAAGCGTATAATCCTAGGTGAAAACTGTAACAGAGTGCCGGGTCAACAGTTGAAACGTTCAGGATAATATGTGGTCGCAAAGGCATATGCTTTGGCGGAATAATAAAATTAATTACCAAGTGATTCTAATAGGTTGACGAACAATAAATTGTGGAACCCGAACAAACCCTGTTGCCCTGCAGATGTATAAATACAGAAGCCAAATATCGAGGGATGGTTTCTGGAGAGGCTCAACAAAAACGCCCATCATCATTTGCCCGCTCCAAACCTTAACAAAGAGCATGTCCTCTCAAGATCTACAAAAGTGCCCGACTGGACACGTTCAAGGATTCCTTTCGCGGAACGAGGTGAGGGGCTTACAGAGGATTGAACAGCTCTGGTTCTTTCATTCGTTTCTATACGCCGAGTTCCGCGGACCCCAGCCATCTAACTACTTATCCGCTCGTGACACCCGCCGGTTGCACGTGCAAGGGCGCCATGTCAAACGAACTGTATGGTGAGGAACCAGAGTTCGCAACGATTCTGGAAACACACCACGTTGGAAACAAACTGGAATATGCTGGAAACAAGTCAAGAGAAAAGGTAGAAAATCGCAGAGCGCTGCTCTCGATTCGTGCGAATGACCTCCTGTAATTGCTCTCTCAGTTTTTAGAAATACACACCGACACCAGATTTTGCTTGCTACGTTATCAAAATCTTTCTTGCGGCGACTCAGCCTTCGCACATAACCCATGATCCAACTGACCTTTGTCACACGCCATGCCTGCCGATCTTCGCAACTGCCTTGAATAATCCCTCCACCTCCGCTTAATAGGCTTAGTGGGGCGCAGTCAACAAAGAAATCTGTCATTGAATTCACGTTAAGCGCTTCTTCAGCAGACCCTTGCGGCACCTCTTTATTGCTTGTTGATTTTACACTCTTGTTATTCCGCCGGTTTCCCGGAAAAACTTTCTGGTTGTCATGCCTTCTCCTCTTAAGAATTTTCCGGCGGTGAGCCGGCTTCCAGAAAATCCTAAATGTCTGTTTAGACAAACGAGGAAAAAGCCGGTTGCTAGGGACAAATACGAAATAACCGTGCTTGTGAGCCCTTAACCCATCGAAAGTTGCCTTGACTACTGCTGTGTACTTGTGGGGTAGAGGCTGGGGTCGGGCAAAGGGTCTGGGGTCGGGCAAAGGGTCGCGGTTCGAGCAGCTATTCGGAAAAATATAAAAGAGATGATGTTCTATCCACTTCTTAGCCGATAATATTCTGGTCTGTTCTCTCTCAATAAGCACTAACTAACAATAGCGTATTCTCAACTCCTTTGAGAAACACACACCTGCATCTCCTACTCTTCGAGATCAATATAGGCACAGTAACTCATCAAGAAAAAGTTCTCTGCGCCGAAACAAAATCGTTCCATACATATTCTGACAAAAAGATGGGAATCCTTCAAACTGTCTTCAAGGCAGAAGACGACATCCAGGGCTCCAAGTTCCGGGCCGTTTTCATCGGGCTGTTCGTAGCCTTCGGTGGTGTTCTGTTCGGCTACGATACCGGAACTATCTCTGGTATCCTGGCCATGGACTATGTCAAGGAACACTTCACTTCGTCTGGCGAGTTTACGGCCGGCGAAACATCGCTTATCACTGCCATTTTGTCTGCTGGTACCTTCTGCGGTGCAATCCTCGCTCCACTAGCATCCGACACGTTGGGTCGTAGACTCGGGCTCATTATTTCCACAATCATCTTTACCGTTGGTGTTATTCTCCAAATCGCGGCTACCGGACAAACTCTCTTGATCGTCGGCAGAGTCATTGCCGGTGCCGGTGTTGGTGTTTTGTCTGCCATCGTCCCTCTATACCAAGCCGAGGCGTCTCCTAAATGGATCAGAGGTGCTGTCACCGCTTGTTACCAATGGGCAATCACCATCGGACTCTTGCTCGCTGCCTGTGTTAACCAGGGTAGTCATGCCAGAAACGACACCGGCTCCTACAGAATTCCAATCGCAATCCAGCTCCTATGGGCTTTGATCATGTTTGTGGGAATGGTGTGTCTCCCCGAATCGCCAAGATTTTTCGTCATGAAGGGCAAAGTTCCTGAAGCAAGTAGAGCTTTGTCCAGACTTAGAGGTCTCCCTGAAAGCCACGAATACGTCGAGTCTGAACTCGAGGAAATTGTTGCTAACTACAACTATGAGAGATCTTTTGGATCCACTTCCATATTTGATTGCTTCAAGCCTGCCAACCATCAATTGAAACGTATTGTGATCGGTATCTCCATTCAAGCATTACAACAATTGACCGGTATCAACTTCATTTTCTACTACGGTACTCAATTTTTCCAAAACTCCGGTATTAATAACCCTTTCATCATTCAATTGATTATGGGAATTGTCAACGTGGTGATGACAGTTCCAGGTATTGCCTTAGTTGAAATCGCAGGAAGAAGAAACTTGCTTCTATGGGGTGCCGTTGGTATGTGCGTCAGTGAACTTATCGTGGCTGCTGTTGGCACTGCGCTGCCCGATAGTTTCGCTGGAAATAAGACCTTAATTGCCTTCTCTTGTACTTTCATTGCCTCTTTTGCAGCCACTTGGGGCCCACTGGCCTGGGTTGTTGTTGGTGAGATTTATCCATTGAGAGTTAGAGCCAAATCTGTTGCCATTTGTGCTGCGTCTAACTGGCTATTCAACTTTGCCATTGCCTACGCTACTCCATACCTTGTCGACGCTCAATACGCAAACCTACAGTCTAAAGTGTTTTTCATCTGGGGAGGCTGCACTTTCTTGTGCTTTCTTTTCGTGTACTTCTTCGTCTACGAAACTAAGGGCCTCACTCTTGAGCAGATCGACGAGTTATTCGACAGTTGCCCAAGCGCCCGCCACTCCAAGCGTTTTATTCCTTCCGAAGGCTTTGCTATTCACAACGCCAACTCTTCCGACATGGACAAAGCCGAGGTTATGGCCGTTGAAAAGGTTTGAAAGAAGCTGCGGGCCAGCTCTTCTAGACATACGTAAACTATAGGAAAACTAATAATTTTGATTGAAAATACTAAGTATCATACTTACTTGTGCTTCACAAATCACGCCCGCCCTTCGCATAATAGTGGTGTCTTGTGCAGTCAGGATCCCTCGATTACGCCGATTGATCTTTATGAGTCGATGTTCCGTTGGAAATGCTGTAGTGTAGCGGTCAGTTTAAATTCCTAAGATCGCATCAAATTGGCAGGCAACGTTAGAATAATGGACGGATGAAAAAAAAAACTAGTCAGGAATGGATGAGAATGATCCATTTGAATGGCAGTTCGACCAGCTCAAAGGCCAGGATTATCCAAGTTCTCAGCAGCAGGGTTGGAATGTGGCCATTTACGAGCGTAGTAGAACGGCAGAACCACTGCCCAGCTTACAACCTTTGAACGATGCATCGGTAGCAGACTGTGCAAACAGAAGACGAAGATCGACAGAAGGAGGAGGAAATGCAGAAGTTGGAGAGGAACATTCCAAAAGACCCAGGTCTGAGTAAGACAGCCGGCTGGCGAGATAACAAAGAGGGCAAACCAGCGCAGATCACTTTATTTTGATAGCAAAGGGTGGGCCAAAAAAAAAGCGATATTAGAGTGTGACGAGGATGTATTCAATACTGCTCGAAAGAACCTTGCCAACGCTTTCCATGTGGGTGTGTTCAGCTCCTGGAGGCTTGGCGACTTGATAACTGCAAGCAACGCGGCTTCTGGGCACAAGCTGTCGACAATCGAGAGTGACCTCTATTTCCTGCATCAGACGTGTGACACTTTCCTGCGCTCTCTTAACACAAGACAACTTACAAATAAAAGCACCTAGAACAAGAGTTTTAAAGTTCCAGTTCCACTGCTACAGGAGTGCCCAAAGGTTCGAGGAGTCTGGGGTTTCTGCTACAAGTTCAAAGTGCTCGAGCCCCCGCATTTCCTACTGTGCAATTGAACGCGACCCGAGAAATCTACAGTACTTGTACAATTGGACCAAGACTCACATTTTTCTAACATTTTTGAGAGATTACAAGAAAGGTTTTTTCAACAGCTGAAAATCTTCGCGATCATAGAGCATTCACCAACCATGACACAGCCTTCAATCTACATCAAGGTTCAGTCACTAACTCTAACTCTGCTCACACTTTGTGCCGACAAATTTGCCGCCGAGATCTCAGGTGCCTTAGTTACCCGAACAACGAAATAATAAGGGGCGCCTGAAATTTTTTGGGTAAGCTTTGAGTAGCAAGAAAATAACAGGTCCAAAATTTTTAAGAGCACAGGATGTTAGTTTAAGAGTTTGAAATTAATATTATTAAGATACAGCAAGTGTTGTTTGGTCATACCGCAACAAGTGTATTTTGACCAATAATTTATTGAGAGCTGGGCTTGAAGTGGTGAGCGTGACAGCTTAAGTTGCGGGACAAGCAGAACTTTGTCGAGCGTAAAATTTACGTGCCGGTGCTCAAAATCAAGAGGTTTTTTTTTAAGGAGGTAAATCCGTCAGGAGCTTCCAAGTAGTATTTGTCGTACTAAGGAGTGCTATAAAGAGAAGAAAGTCAAGGCTTATTATTCTTTCTGTTCAGGTTTCGGTAGTAAACTTGTCTAAATTTACCTCAACGCGAAGCGGAAGAGTGGCGGATAAATTGCAAATAGAAGAAGAAGAAGAAGAAGAAGAAGAAGAAAAATACCGACCACGACAACAACAAAAACTCACAAATGGGCAGTTGTTTGTCGAAATCGGAAACCAATGAGCCGCGTCGCAAATCCAACGGCAGCGGCGGTGCTGGAGGCGCCGTGGCAGCGGAAAAACGGTCCGAAAAATCAGCAAGGGGATCGAAAAATGAATCAGAGAAGCGCCCTGCTATCCTCAACGGCAGCAGTAGCTCTCAAAACAACTACAAGCCGCAGCATAGTTCCGTGAATTCGGAAGGCGTGAAGTCAACGCCCGGGAGACCCGGCGCTGGCGGAGCAGATGCCAACAAACGGCAACATTCTGTGGTGTCGTCCAACAGCGCGCAATCCACAGGTCCATCTGTGAATTCGCTTTCCAAGTCTGGTGGCGGTTCCGCAGATTCAAACAAGGCTCTCAAAGTTCTGCTACTTGGGTCTGGCGAGTCCGGCAAATCCACCGTTCTGCAGCAGCTCAAAATCTTGCATCAAAACGGGTTTTCTCATGAAGAGCTTGTGGACTATAGGCCTTTCATCTATGACAATATTTTAGAGACTGGCAAAGACATCATCAATGCCCGTTTGCATTTTAATGTACCTTTGGAGTCTGACTCAGGGCTCCAAGAATCCGATCTTCAGGAAGTGCTAAACTATAGCACTCCTGGTTCCCAGTTGGTAGAATTTCCATCCACACTGACACAGACTTTGGCAAAAGTCTGGTCGTTGCCGTCAACCCAGAGCTTGCTCACTGGCGAACATCGGTCTTCATTCTACCTCATGGATTCCGCTCGTTATTTTATGAACGACTTAAAAAGAGTCGCGGATACACAATATACCCCCACTGTAAGAGATGTTTTACTCTCCAGAAAGAAAACGTCTGGTATTTTTGACACCATAGTCGAGATGGACTCTAATCTTAAACTTCATATTTATGACGTTGGTGGACAAAGAAGTGAACGTAAAAAATGGATTCACTGTTTCGATAACGTAACTTTGATCATTTTCTGCGTCTCTTTATCGGAATATGACCAGACATTATTGGAAGATAAATCTCAAAACAGACTCGAGGAGTCCTTGATTCTTTTCGACTCCGTCGTCAACAGTAGGTGGTTCGCCAGAGCCTCTGTTGTTTTGTTTTTAAACAAGATCGATGTCTTTGCCGAAAAAGTTCAACATGTACCTTTGGAAAAATATTTCTCGGACTACACCGGGGGTCAAGATATTAACAAAGCTGCCAAGTACATTTTATGGAGGTTTGTTCAGCTCAATAGAGCCCATTTGAACATATATCCTCATGTCACACAGGCTACCGATACTTCAAACATAGAATTAGTTTTCGCCGCAATAAAGGAAACTATCTTGGAAAACAGTTTAAGGGATTCAGGTGTCTTGTGATCAACAGACGTGCTCGAAGCCGTCAAAGCAAGGTCTTTTCATTGACCACGAATACATCAGGCGGCTCTACAATCAAAATGGACTAATAATCAAGCTCTTTCCAAACGCTGCAACGAAAATAGATTATCACGTGGACTGGCTCCGCTACAATCTTCAATTATTGACGACTAAAACTACAACTTAATTTAAAGTGGAGTTCTCTTCCAAGAGAATAATAGAATTGCGAAGAATTCATCCATGGAACTAAACATAATTAAATTCTCCTCCCCGTAAATTCAACTATGTAATTCATAATTCGCAGATTTATTGAAGCTGCCTAAAAACCACCACAAGTATTTATCAAGATGAAGTAAGCGCGGTGTTCATACATGTGTAGCCACTTTTCCAGAGGGCCCAACAACCTGTGACCTAGTCCAATGCCTGAACTACTAAATGCTGGTCGGGTATCCATACTTTCCGTTGAGATAAGTTTCATTGAAGGACCTCTGTATTCCAAATGTTTCTGCGTTTGCGGCAGTTCTCGGTGATTTATAAAAATTTCGAGACCTGCTGGTTCGTAAAATGGAGGAACCATGGTGATGTAATCTTCGTCATGTACAACTCTAAAATAGCCTTTACGAAACATAATTTCACCTTCAGAAACCGACCAATTATGAATCCTTTCAGTCTCAAATAACTCATCGACCCAAGCCCTTAGTTTCCCGCAGAAAATGTTTGGCGAAGCATATGTTAAAACCAGCGGGTCGTAACCCCTTAACCGCAATTCTATTCCAGCCAAGCTTGCAACTGCGGCTCCCAAAGAGTGACCAGTTACCACAAGACTGTAAGCAGGAAATGAGTCGAAGATTGATTCAATTCTATCAAAGAACTGTGAACTCAAGGTTTTTAGGAAGACATTAAAGCCTCGGTGGATGAGGCAACCCTCGCATTCCGAAACTCTTCCCGAAGTAACCCAATCGTCGTAGTATTCTTTAGAAGCGGGCTCATAAGGTGTGGGGTAAATTGCAAAGTCACTGAGCCAATCTTGATTAGTCGTTGATCCTCGAAAAGACAACATCACCACTTGCTTTTCATGATCAACGGCCAGGTACCCAGTCCCAAGCTCTTCGCTTTCAGCCAATAAAACCAATTCTACCATAGTCCTGTCAGCAGTAGGATTTTGTTCCTTGCCAGTGCAAAACTCAAGCCTGGCGGGACAGCCGCCCTCTTCAAAGGTTAATCCAGTCACGAGCTCACTGGAGGTTATACAATAGGTCAGCGCACATATTTTACTGAAGTAAACCAACCTTTCGTACAGCTCCTCAGAGATTTTTACGTCATCGTAATGGACAGCTCTAGCTGGAGTTAGAGTGATTGTGTTATTGGAATCAAAGTCGGTCCTGAGTTGAGAGCTATTCCCATGCGCCGTTTGCAAATCAATGCCCCTAAAGCTTGGGAGGTCGGTCAATGGTAGAATGCTAGTGTTCGTATAATTGAGCTGTGTGCATAGTCCAACGTCTACCAGTGTAACAGCCAAAATAAAGCTTAAGGCAGGTTTCATCGATGCACTAGACACAAAGCCTTGAGATAATCAGCAACGTCAGGAAACCGACGCAGATGACTGGTATGAAATGGGAGGCGGGGAACAAACTAAAATAGGGAATTGACTCTTTTATAAGGGCTTTTTCTGGCCTTTTATAACTCTTGACAGAGTTTCTCCTGCCATGAATGTGGCGAAACATGACGCTTTTTTCTGTGACGTTTTGACGACAGGTTGTTTGTTCAAATTATGCCTGAAAAACATTAAGAGCTCTTTTTGCCAGCTGTCTCAATTGCTACGTTCAGCACTGTCGCTAGTGCCCACCAAGTGCATAAAAATATGCCAATACTCCTAAAGTTCCGTGCCAAAAAATTACCAAATGGCTTGAACCCAGAAAAGAACAACAGAAGAACGACGTTTTGAGTTAAAATGAAAGCAACCGAAAGTATGAACTTATAATCCATCCCTTGGCTTCCTAAGGATACCGATCGAAGAAACCAAAAACTATTCTCGCTGACTCCCTCAGAGCCCAACAACATCGAGACAAAGCCGCTTAGACCAATCCCTATCAGAGAATTGAGTAGGATACCCCCAAAACAAGCACTGAGAGAGATGAAGAAATACCGCGAAGCTAGCTGGTCTCTTTGTGACTGATTTTCAACTTCAATTTTGAAATGCAGCTTGCACATCGCAACATTGGACATCAGGTCGCTGACGGAATTGCCCCAGGAAAATATAGTCAGTCCCAAAACAGCCTCTGATATCCCAGTCAGTTCTTGGTAAAGTACCATCACCTCTACTAGTGTGTTCGCAAGCATGGATATCCATAGTATACAATTGAGGATTCCAATACTATTAACAACCAGAATGACGGGTTGCTCCAAAGACATCAGCTTGAAAAGGCCACGTTCATCATGCGCGGATATCTCATTGAGTGAAAACTTATTGTAGTTAATTACCTTCCACAAAAGTGACAATATACCTGCCAATAAGAAGATTGATGCGATGAGAGTTGCCAACATGAAGCGCCACGAAATAGAGACATCTAAAAGAGTACAAACCAGCACCGTGGAGCATAATGGTGCAAAGATGGCCTGTATTAACAAGAGAATCAAGGTCTGAGAGTCAAGAGTCACTGCTTTCCGAGAATTCTGCCCATCATGCAGCAGCTTTTCATGTTGAGGGCAACTTAATCGTAGCAGTACCGTAAAAGGTACCATGGGGATGACAATGCATTTAGAAGGGAGAGACTGATGTTGGAAGTCTATTAATTGCGGAGCAAGTACATTTATCATTCCATTTTTTAAGCGAAACATTCTATTGTGCAAAGCTCTGTCGTAAACGATAGGTACAGCCTCAAGACTCTGCATTTCAGATGCGTTTTCTTCATCATGATATGCCTCAAAAGTGGAAGGGGAAGAATGAGCCATTGGTCTATCATAATATGGCCTCTCCCTGAAAGTGTCGCCTGGAGCTGTCAAAGGTCTTGGAGCGACGTACTCGACATCGGAAACACCAGAATTTAGAGTTCTTAACGTAATTTCATCACCACCCAGGCCTGACGACTTTTGCATTAGCGAGTATAAGGCATTGTAATCTAATGCACTCAGCACACTGAACTTTAAGTTTAGATCAGGCTCATCTGTTGCGTCTATTTCCATCGAATAGCTGTCGTCCTGCTCTTGATGATTCCTTAGACTTATCCCTGCCTTAGAAATGATATATCCCACATAGATTGAAAGCATAATTGTGCAATTTAGTAGAGTCACCTTGTTGCGCAGGCAGACATAAAGCATCATGGACATCGCCATTAGGATAAAAGTCAAATCCCGCTGAACATGGCGATTGTGGTCTGCTTCCAATTGTGCGTTTATGGGAGCCATCACAATTAAGATTGCGCCTTGAACTACACACAATATGAATCCACAGGACCCCAGCACTTCGCCCACCGAGAGAGACGCTGCATTGGACGAAGTCCAGCTCATGAAGTTGGTAAATAAATCCGGAGATGAATTACACCATGATAATAGAATGGCTGCAAGAATGCCTTTCTGGCTTTTGCCTTGAGAAATGATTGACACTGTAGGACATAAATAGTCCGATGCACATATGCCTAGAAGAACAAAGCAAATTACAAGGTGTAAAAGGCTCAAAATGACAAACTGTGCATTTAGTTCAGAGCCCTCGTAGAGAGCCGAAGGGTGCGTTAATTTGTACAACAAAGTCGACAGCATTTTTCTATTACTTTCAATTAGCGCTTGAATTATCTCGATAAAACTTGATAATTTAAACAATCAACTCTAATGCTATTCAAGGGTATTTTCTAATGGTGACCCTAAATACCGCCTCCTGTCAATGACGGAGTACTTCGGAGCAATATTTGGAGCGCACTCGGCAGCTATGTCACAAAAACAAACGTTGCTTCTAACTCATCCGTGTGAGGGCTTAATTTGATCATACAGTTAGGCAAATTTTGAATTTATTTGTTTTCAGCAAATTTCAACTGCTAATCAGTTTTCGAATTCTTATTCCTCTACAATCAAGTATTTACAGTCGGATGGCCTTCGAGCTTCTGTTGTACCTTCACCTACTTCACCTACTTCACTTTGGAAACAACTACAACTAATCTCCGAGCTCACAAAGTAAAACTTTTGAAAACAATGGTTTGACGCGCACCGGTATATACCTAATCATTGTGCGAAGAAAATGAATAATTTTGGCAATCCCATTACGGGCAGCTTCTATCGCCTGCCTATCAAGATAGGAAAACGGATAATTGGGAGCCTCACCAAATTTGGTTGTGCGAGTACAAGGTACGCGATGAAACGTTTGTGAGACAGGTAATGGCTTTTAATGAAGTTTGGAAGCAGGTGGGAACATATGTGCAGCAATTGCCTGCGAAGAATCTTTTGGGATGAAGAAGACCAGTACTTACTCAACAGCTTCGCTTTTGGTAACATGAAAGCTGTAAATAAGTTGATAAACGAATGCTTACTTTTCTTTACGACTACGGATTTAGTCAACTTGACGCCCCTCAAAGACTGAGAAGCTACAGGACTGCTTTGCGATCTCACTATGACAATAAAACCTGTTCTGTGCAAGGTTTCTACGGGTAAAAGCGTCCATTCTTGTTCACAGGTCAAGAGAGAGTTCGCAAGAGCAGGCTTAAACTACACGAAACCTGGCAAATCGTGAGCTTCAGTCGTGAAATGTCTAAAAAGATGACCCTTTACCCTTTTCATAAATGAATAAGGTCTTTGCTCCGGCTTTGTTGCTACAGCTATGGAATCGCGCAAAAAGTGGCCAAGCAGCTGTGTTGGCCCACTTTAGTTTCTTCAATGATTTCTCGACGAAAACGCTAGATTTGACCTCCAAGTCATGTTTTTACCGGAGCATTATAAAATGAGACCTCAACTCAGTGAAGTTCGATATCATGCAAAAATTGTGGAGCTGTCTCTGATCGCAACTTCAGCGCCACGAAGAACACCTTTGCTTAATTATACTCTTTACAATTAAATGACGAGTGCGCGCATGGGCCTACTGTCGTGTAAGAATGGATGAAAACCTTATACGTTTATAAAACTGAGTAATTTAAGTTTACAGCTATTAGGCCTGGTAGGTCAATTTCTCGGTTGGGTAAGCAGCACCAACTTCTTGGATGGATAGAGCGGCTAGCCATTGCCCCATATCAACAGATTGGTCGAGGTTCTTGCCCTCGGTCAAACCGGCCATGAAGCCAGCAGCGAAAGCGTCACCAGCACCGTTGGTGTCGACAATTTTCTCCTCTGGCAAAGCCTTAACGGCACGGGTCTGTTCGCCTTGAGCAGACACAATCACAGTAGGTTCCAAACCGTGGGTGAAGATGACGGTTCTAGTCTTGGAGTCACCAACGATGTGCTTGGCAATGGAAACCAAGTCGTCGGACTTACACTTTACACCAAAAGACTCGGCGTATGCAGCAGCTTCGGATTCATTGGCGATTACATATGTGGTGTATGGCAAAGCTTGCTCCAAGGCAGCCTTGAAAAACTGAGGAATGAATGGAGCGCTGAGGTTCAACACTAAAGGTTTGCCAGTCTCTTGGGCATGTTTTCCGAGCTTCACAATAGCCTCTGGAGAGACCGTCAAGTGGAAGCCACCGACGTAGAACAGCTTGGCTTGCTCCACAACAGACCAGTGCTTGTCGAGGTGGTCGGGGGTGAAGTGGTTGGCAGCACCAAGGTCGGTGACCAGAGATCTGTTGTGACCAGTGATCAGAGCGGCACATTTACCGGTGCCAACTGTGGACTGTTCCTGGTAGTAAGAGACCACGCCTGCGGCCTTGTTCTCAGCCAAAAGCTTGGCAGAGTAAGTGTCCTTGCCGACAGATCCGAAATAGCCCACCTGGTCCTTTCCTAGCATGTATGCCGCACCTCTAGCGGTGTTCTGGGCCGCACCACCAGCGATGAATTTGACGTCTTTGAACTGCAAAAGTTCTTCGAAAATGGCCATCTTGGGCTCGTCCGAGCTGGCGTCAACCAGAACCGCATCGTTAGCCTTCAAATCGTATTTGGCCAAGTATTCTTCGGTCACGGTCGCCTGAATGTCCAGCAAAGGGTTACCAAGACACACCAATTTTGGGCTAATAGTAGTAGTAGACATTGTGTTGAGAAATATACGTTTGACTGAAGTGTTCAATGAGCGAAGCCAAGTCGTTTTGAAACAATTGGGTCAACCAAGTGTGTGATGAAGCTTACCTTCAAAAATCTGACAGCCCGTGTCAAATTTTCCATCAATGTCTTATTCACATGCAAAGTCAATGCTTCACGTGGAATTCACAAGGTATATTTCATCTACCAAATCTTGATCGTATAGCCATTGCAGATGGGCAGCTGTGGATACCGTATTTTTATCCAACACAGAGCATATTTTGTTGGAACTTGTGGGTTCCGTGTCGACTTCTGCGTTTGGTCCACGTCGAAGTAAGTGAACGTGAGCCCTTTAGTTGAATCTTGGAAGCGGAATTCGTCAGTAGAACGCGATTCGCGAATCTCGAACGTAGTTCACAGGTTTCCATTGAGTTGAATTGGGTCTATACTGTGCCTTACATAGTCGCAGCCTATTTTATATATATTGGTTCATTTTTGGTTCCCTGCAGTAATAACAATTTAATATTCTATCTAGCAGAAGATTGAAAAGTTGAAAATCGTAAAGTACCCAGTAAACAGCTTTCTGGCCTCTCTCGATCAGCACAAGACTTTCTGTTCACTATGGAAGATCCCTTTTTACAATTCTCGCCCTTTGCGCAGAGCGAGAACCTGATACTGCGCCATTCGGTCGAGGTGGTGGTATCATTTCTCATGTACCATTTCGTATTTGGCATGTGGCTTGCTCCCACTATCAACCGGATAGCATTTGGCAAACACTACACGGAGCTTGAAGATAAGAATACCAAGCTCAACTTTGATATTCACACGGTCTCTATGCTCCAGTGTGTGGTGAGCTTGTCTTTAACGTGGCCCATTTTGTTCCAGCCTTTGTCGCTCAGCTTGGCTACGTACCAGAACCCGTACAACTCGATGGTGGCTGCAGTGACATGCGGCTATTTCATCTGGGACTTGTACGTTTGCCTCAAACACTTTTCGCTTTTCGGGATCGGGTTCCTGGGACATGCCTTGGCGTCCCTTTATGTGTTTGTAATTGCGCTACGGCCATTTTGCCAATCTTGGGTCGGGAAATTCCTCATCTTCGAAGCCTCCACCCCTTTTGTCAACGTCAATTGGTACATCAGCCAACTCACGCGCACTTCGTCCAAACCGGTTGTCCCAATGTGGTTCAACGCCCTGAACGGTGTATTGTTGATCTTGACTTTTTTCACGGTACGTATTGTATGGGGATTTTCGGCAATTGTGATCTTGATCCGTAAGCTATGGGTTGAGTCGGATGTCCTCCCATTGTGGTTGCCCAGCACCGTGGTGCCATTGAACCTGGCATTGAATACCTTAAATGTGATTTGGCTCAACAAAATGATCCGCATAGCCAAAAAAATGGCCAAGGGCTCAAAAAGTGGGAAAAGCTACTGAGTTGGATTGCTAGCACCCGCTAAAAAGCTTCAAAAACATACTTGCAAGGCGGTTGACAACTTTAGGAATTTTCAATTTTTCGCTGACACTTTGCAGTTTTGGCCACGCTGCTGTGTCCCAAAGCTCAGAATAGTCGCACTTCGGAGCAGCATATTCTATGTAACCTGTGGCACGGTGCAACACTCGAGCAGAGGCCCTAGAAGGTCCCGAATAGTCTCCATTTCTTACAATACCCGCTGGCACTATATACGAAATATTTCGACTGTGTGGTGTGCTTTGAGCTTTCTTACTTACTGAAGAGACTCATATAGCGTTGGCCTTTATGAAGCTGCTTTTCTAGTTGGAAAGACTTGTGTTTTGGCGCTTTCATCTTCGCACCATAACTTGCTCGACGCGTCTTTCCAAACCGTGAAAAAGGCGGAGCCGCTGAAACTAAGGAATAACGTCATGTACTTCCTAAATATGTGGTCCACATGCCGCCATAATTAGAATGCTCGAGGCCGTGAATAATTCTGTAAAGTCGGTATCAAAATGGAAATTCACTTAAAAGACAAACAATCTCATACATTGTGCTCGCAATTTTTTGTTCTTGACATCTACTGATATGTCCTGGATGTTATATTGTCGTGCGCCAGTCATATCAATGCTCTCAGCTTTGAACTTCTGGATTTCGAGAATTATCCGTGTAAAGGGACGGGATGAACCTTAATAAAGCCTATTCACATTATTATATTGGGCTTATAAAAAAGGTTTCATGTTTTCAATTCGGTTTACGATAAATTTCTAACAAAGCAAGCAAGATGGCTCTCGTAGATACTTTCCAGAAGTTGTTTGACAACCCAGCTATTCCATGGAAAACGATCGTCACTGCTTTCACGCTAGGACAGTTTGGTTTTGAAACATACCTGACTTACCGTCAGTACCGTACTTTAAGCAGGAAGGCACTTCCAAAGGTGTTGGAGAATGAAATCGATGCCGAAACAGTGCAAAAAGCGGAGGATTACACTCGGTCTAAAATGAAGTTCAATATATTTTCGAACGTGTACAGCCTGGCCCAGAATTTGCTCGTGATCAAACTAGACTTGTTTCCTCGCTTGTGGCACATTGGTGCGGCATTGGCTCAAAAGGTGCCCATCAAATTCTTGGCGACATCGACCATCGGACAGAGCTTGTATTTCTTCACCGTCTTGTCGAACATCTCGACCCTATTGGAACTGCCTTTGTCTTACTACCAGCATTTTGTGCTGGAAGAGAAACACGGCTTTAACAAATTGACCGTTGCCCTGTGGATTACTGACAAAATCAAGAGCTCTGTTTTGAGTACTGTGATCGGCACGCCCCTGATGTTTGCATTCCTGAAGATTTTCGATGCTTTCCCAAAGAATTTCTTAATGTACATCTGCGGGTTCATTTTGGTGGTCCAGATTTTGGCTATGACACTGATCCCAGTCTTTATCATGCCTCTGTTCAACAAGTTCACACCTTTGGAGGACGGAGAACTGAAGCAGTCGATTGAAGCCCTGGCCAGCCGCGTGAGTTTTCCTCTTGATAAGATCTTCGTCGTGGACGGCTCCAAGCGGTCCTCGCACTCGAACGCTTACTTCACTGGCCTCCCATTCACTAGCAAACGTATTGTGCTCTACGACACTTTGGTGAAAGACTCGTCTGTCGACGAAATCACTGCCGTCCTGGCGCACGAGATTGGACACTGGAAGGAAAACCACATTTTGCGCATGCTGGCCTTTAGCGAGGTCCACATTGCCTTCATCTTTTCATTGTTCACCGCGGCGTTCCAGAACAAGTCTTTGTACTCCGCGTTTGGCTTCTTCGTGGGACAGGGCCTTTCTGGTGACGCCAGCATCGTCATCACCCCGCAATTGCCAGTCTTGATTGGGTTCATACTGTTCAACGACCTGCTACAACCATTGGAGTGCGGCATGAATTTCGGCATCAATTTGATCACCAGACTGCATGAATACCAAGCGGACGCCTACGCCAAGGGCTTGGGTTATGGAAAGGACTTGTGTCGCGCCCTGATCAACCTACAAGTCAAGAACTTGTCCACCATGAACGTCGACCCTCTGTACTCGAGCTACCATTACTCCCACCCTACTTTGCCGGAGAGATTGATTGCGCTCGACCATGTCAGCGAGCAGAAGAGCAAGTAAGAAACACGTATGCTTTTTTACCGTCTACGAATAAAAGAGTCAGGATAACCCCTATTTCCCGTCTGCTATTCCTGCGCGCGCAATACGTTTTTCGGATAACTACTATATCAAGTCTTTCCCACCACAAATCACTCGCCCGAAGAGCATTCGTAGCCCGCCCAATTCACTGTCTATATATATAATTACTGAATAACCAAAAATTACAAGTTACTACACGCCTCGCTGGACCGTTGCCATCGCATTTCGTAAATCTCTTTTGCTTAACTTCTTTTAGCCATTGTTTACCAAATCTGTATTAGTTTTTTTCACGCGCCGAAAAGCGCGTAATCCTGCCAACGAAAAATACTTAAATTTTAGAAATATAATCCGTTAAAGATCCCGATATCAAGGCTTTGAGAGATAGCTGCAAGACGAGATCAAGAGGTTATACCATCATCAAACGCTTCTATGCAAGGATCGATCTATAGCTCGCCTTTTCCGGCGCTAAATCCCCGGGTTAGATACAAAACAGCGCTAGAGAGAGCCGGTTTTGATGTGAATTTCGACCATAACAACAATGTTCGTTCTGGAGAAACAGTTTCACAGCGTAGAGCAATCAGGCACGCCAGTGAGGGTGAGGCGTCGGCGTCCGGGGTGCATTCGGGTCCTAATGTGGCGCGACTTCCGCCCAATGGTGGACACAGGGCCGTCAGTGAGCGAGACCCACATTCGAGGAGCGAGTCCCCGTTCTTGCCTCAGTTGCCGGCTGATAGGCTTCGCTACCCGTCATCCGGGCCGCTCCGAAACAGCGAGGATTCACAGGCATCGCCTACATCGCAGTCTGCCGCTGTGCCGAGCATGGACCAAAGTTCTGGCACGATGCTAGAGGCCAAATCGGACTCAAGCGATCGCTCCAACTACGTGTCCTCCGTCTTTGATTTCGAGAAAAAGAGGTCGTCCCATGCCCAGCAAGAACCGGAAGCGCAAAACCTCGATCCTGTTGCGAAAAGTTTTATGCAATTGACTCAAAATTTCAACGACAGCGTCTCCTCGCACCATGAGCGTGACTTCACGCCCTATGCACGCGAGTCCTACACCAGCGTAAATGCCAGCGATGAAGTGTTCGAAGACGCTCAAAGCTATGACGATGCTCTGGATAAGACCAGCAATACCGCCAAGTGGAATTCTATCTTACGCATAAGCGAGACCCCACAGAGTCCCGTCCAAGTGTTAGAGTCGCCTTCGGCTTCGCCACCACAGCGGCAACGGCAGCAATCAATTGTGGAGACTAACGACCTTAATGCAACACCGCATTGCAGAAGGGAATCCAATTCTAGTATCAGCTTCACACCAGTTGCTGAGCTGCAAGTGAGTCTTTCGCCCAAAAAAGTGCCCGAACTACCCAATACAGCGGTTCCTCTTATTCATATATCGCATGATCGAGCACAGAGCAGGGGGTCGGTTGAAGACAGCTTTATATCTGGCTCATTCGAGCCGCCTGCAACTAGCTCTCAGCAGTTCGGGAACAGTAGACAGTCGGCTTTATCGTCGGACCGTTCTTTGGAAGGTGAGATACCTGCTTCTCACCAGTCTTTATCTAGTCACCAAACTCGATTACGGGACTCGAGTGCTTTCGAAGCTCCCAGCGAAAGTGCAATCTTGAAGCATGCCGCTGAGTTTGGAAACGAAGCTCGCGGGCTTGAAGAAGGAGAAGAGCATGAGGAGGACGAGGAGGACGAGGAGGACTTTGATCCATCTTCAACCATTAAATCATCGTTGCAGGTTGAAAAACTACTTGCGCAGTTAAATGACGTTTCGATTAATAGAAATCTTACCGTGGGGGAACATTCACCAAATTCTGCTGCCAGAAATCGCTTTAAAAAGTCAAGTGCTTATCTTTCTGGCTACCCCTCTGCGCCACTAGACACACAAATTGATACAGAATTGCATGCCTCTGTTCCGGGAGGCGAAGAATTACGGAACAAGCCTCAAAGCATTTACTTGGCTGAGGATAACCAGAGAAAGCTTTCTGATGAGTTGTCTCCAGACTCAGATGGGTCCCCAAAATTCTTCAAATTTCGTCAGAATTTGATTCCTTCCTTACACAGTTCCGGTGGCACTGAGGACGACATGCTAGAGTTCATGAGACCCTCGGAACAATTGAGCGAGTCCTTGAAAGCTCCCATCATACAGCCTTTACAGCTATATCCAAAAAAGTCCCCGGAAGATCAACTCTCTAACTTTGAGAGAAGTACTAAGAAAGATGATGTGGCACAAATTCCACTCAAGTCTCAGGAAACAGATATTGCGGAGGAACCGAGTGAAGCGTTCAAGTTTCCAGCAGGAGAGGGACCGTGTCGGTCCTGTGGGCTTGAAGTGGGAAATTCCAAACGCATCTTTTCCAAGAAAGATAACGAACTCTCAGGGCAATGGCACCGCACCTGCTTCACGTGCATCAAGTGCGATGTAAAGTTCTCCAAGCGCGAACCTTGTTACATTTTAGACGACGAGCCCTTCTGCCAATTGCATTTCCACGTTACCAATAATAGTATTTGCAGGATTTGCCATGGATTCATTGAGGGTGAGTGCCTTGAAAATGATCGAGACGAGCGCTTTCATGTCAATTGTCTCAAGTGTTTCCGCTGTAACGTACATATACGCGAGGATTACTACTTATTCAACAACGAGCTTCCGTTGTGCGACAAACATGACATCGAAGCTCTTAAGCTAGAGGCTTTCAACGGACTCGAGGGCTCTACTACGGTATCTAAGAGAAGAACAAGAATTGTCAACTTCAGCTGAGGTGCGAGGCACCTGCATTCTGAAGCCACTGGCAATTACCTATCAGTTTGAATAGACAATGAACATCTCTGGAGGGAATTTCTGGGAGCGTGAGCTTTTTTTCAAGGAATTTCACGGCCGCGCAGTAGTAGGCTCAAACTTGATGCTACCTGAGCTGGCTTCATTCTCCAGCCAACTGCGCTTTGCTACGTCTGATTTTCGTCTTGGCGATGAATTGGTTGATGTTGATGATCGCGAAAGACCAAGTTGCGAAATTTTTTTGGAAACTTGAAAATCAAAACAAGGAGCATAATAGAATATATCTTTGGTCATACAGACAGCAACAAACAAACACTGAAATTCAGTCCACAAAGCGTCCAAGCCATTTCCTGCTGCTTAGTGTTGTGGTTTGTGCAAAAAAAACGAAGCTTTAGGCTCAACATTACCCAACTTGCGAGCTTTTCGGAGATCGGGCCTTTCCATAGATAGAAAGAAGGCGTAGCCGCTACACAACTACCATTTTAAATGAAGGAAATGGAATTGCAAAGAACACCAAAGCGCGAGAGTGCGAAACGCTCATCGTTTGTAAGGGAAAATAACGAATTCGAGGCTGCAAGTCCAAAATCCCCCCAGACGCCGTCGCCTCCTAATGATAAACCGCGAAGATCATCAGTTTCCCATGGATTTTTGGCATCTCCACTGCCCGGGAGCAATCTCAAGAGAAACAGTGGCTCGGAATTTTTGATTCCTGAATCGCCAGGCATTAAATCTCGGCTACTTCCTCCTACGACCCCCAAGTCAAAAAATACAGAAATGTTTCTTTCGCCTTCCCCTAAACTAAAGTCTCCTGGTGTTCGTAAAGATAGCGAGAGGCCCATTCGTGAGCTTTCAAATAATCTGAAGACAAGGCTTAATTACGCATTTGTAAAACTTCAGAATGGTTGGGCAGACAAGACATTGCCAGAGCTAGAGTCTGTGATTGATACAGAAAAAACTGGGAGTGCTGTCGACGAACCAGTAGCGAGACCGTGCAATACCTCGTACAGCAATCGATTTCTCGAAGACGAAGAATTGGGAAATAACTCTGCGCACGCGGCTTTCATGACTGCGCTCGCTAGCCCCAAGAAGAAGCAGCGATCAGGATCATCGTCGTCCGGTACTTGGACTATCAGTTCCAGGAAACCGCCCCCTCCCCCAATTTCGATTAAAACAAGCGAAAAGCCCAAAGCCCAATCGAAGGACCAGCCTTCAGAGGTGGAGGCAATAGAGACCCTGATGTCGCTATCTTCACCTAAAAAACCTACTCATAGAAAAAGTCAAGACTTCACGCTGCCGCCGCCCCCACCATTTTCACAGCAACAACAGGGGCAATCGGACCAGCCAATCGTGGCATTCTCTTCACGATCTTCTTCGTCTACCTCATCTATTCCGAACACGTTGGCCAAACCTTTTTTATTGAAAAGTGACGCCGGCACTAGCACACAGGTTCTGCTTGATGTAGAGACTGACGTTGAGGAAAGTAATGGAGACTAGAAGGTTGATTAAAATGGTAATGATATATTGGCAAAATTGGGAACAAGGAACTTTAATAACATAGACGTATGTATTTGTAATATTTTTTTGAACATTCGAAGCACAAGTGGTTGTTGTCAGAGATCAAACCCCAATATCGACGGATGATCAAATGCTGAAAGTATAAAAGAAGACGGGCGATGGGGACTTCAAATCAGACATCACCACAAATAAGCAGCTTACTTCAGATCCAAGCAAGTAGGTATGGGTATTATCGATAAGTTTAGAAAGAGGACCTGTACTGCCAATGCAGTGTACCCACGAAGTTCTAAGCTCTCTACATTGGACCCTACTAGAGATAAACTCAAAGTGGTATACGACGTCTATGAGCCTAGAACAACACGACCTGGTGATTCAGTTGTCAACTTCGTTTTTCTACACGGTAGTGGTATGAATAGAAAGATCTGGGATTACTATCTTGATAAACTCGCAGAACCGGGGAAAGGCTGGAAAATTGGCAAAATTATTCTTCTTGATCAAGTTAATCACGGAGACTCGGCAGTACTGAACGAGCGGCTTCTAGGAACAATTTATGACTGGAGCGATGGGGCTCGAGATGTTTGCAAGGTATGCGTGGATGAGCTTTTCACGGACGAACCTCACAACACTTTCAACATTGTAGTAGGCCATTCGATGGGAGGTTTTCAAGCATTATGCTGTTCCATTATGCATCCTGGTCTCTTTCAGCTGGTACTGTGTATTGAACCAGTCGTTTTGATGAAACGAGTCCGAGCCTCAAATAATGAAGATATCACTATAATCACGCCTGCATTTCATGATGCCTTAGCTACCAAGATGACTGACAAGTTTGATAGCCCGGAGCAGTTCAGTGAGTATATAGATGGTGAAAGCATCTACACTGCCACGATTCCCGTCATTAGGAAAGATGTCAAGAAATTCGAAATACGAGAAATAGCAGAGGGGGTACTCAAAACTAAAATCAGTTCCCATCAGCATATGTTAACTTATCTGTGCTTGAACCCTACTGCAACGTGGCTGATGAAATCTTTGCCTTTTATCGCCTGTCCAGTGGTTTGTCTTTATGGAGAAAAGTCTAAATGGTGCCCTCCCGAGAACCGTATTTATTTACGTGAACATATACGTAATTATTGGGAGACCGAGGTGGCCGATGGCGGACATCTGGTGAATATCGAGGACCCTGATGCAGTATTGCAAAAATTAAACTCGGTTGTAAGCAAACGGCTGGCAAACGCGATAAGTGAAGAGCAACCAGTGCTCGATGATCAGACAAGAAAACACAAATTTGATGCTTGCTACAAACAGCTGCTATCATCTAGAGTTATTCGTGGCACGCCTAAACTTTGAAGGTCTATTTGTAAAAACCAGGTCGGCATTAACGCCATTAATTATTATACAAAACTGTAAACCCCTTTTCAGGCCTATAGCTTAGATTATGCATGCACAGGGATTGATTCTCTTAATCTGTAAATTTGTAGGAACCGGTGGACAAAGTGATACTTCCGCCTCTGTAAGAACCTCTTTTCATTTTGTTTTTGTTTTTAGTAAAGTCTTTACCTCTAACTCTGCCCAGCTTATCATTGGCGATTTCGCCCCAAGAACCTGCAGCGCCTTTATAAGTATTATCAGTAAGAGTATGGTCTTCGAAACTGATAGTCGATCTGTCAACTCTCGAGAAATGATTGCGCTGGCCAGCTTTCAACTCATCGGTACCAGCAGAGATGTACATCTTTTTAGAGTCAGGGACATCGGGAGATGCGGTTTTGGAAGAAGAGCCTGATTGTTCGTCAGAGCCTTTGTTGTCCGGTTTCACATCTGCGCTTTTAGCGGCCTCGGATTTGCTATCAGATGGGCTCTCGGAGTCGCTATCAGAGCTCGAAGAAGAATCGCTATCAGAGCTAGAAGAAGAGTCAGACGAGTCCGAGGAGGAGCTTGAGGAGCTGGACGAACTAGACGAGTCGCTATCTGAAGACGAACTGGAGGACTCGCCATTGGGAGAACCACTTTCGCTGTCCGAGGAGGACCCCGAGCTAGAATCGCTAGAAGAATCACTTGAGGAGTCACTGTCAGACGAAGAGCTCGAAGAGGAGCTGGAAGAAGAGCTATCTGAAGAATCGTTCTTCTCGGAGTCGCTATCAGAGGAACTAGATGAGCTGGATGAATCACTGGAAGAACCGCTGCTAGATGAGTCACTAGAAGAACCGCTGCTAGAGCTCTTGTTTTGTTCCTTTTGCTTTTCTTCGGGTTTTTTGTCTTCCGATTCGCTCTCAGAAGAGGAACTTGAGGAGCTGGAGCTTGATGAGCTGGAGCTGGAGTTAGATGAGCTGGAGCTGGAGCTAGATGAGCTGGAATCTGAGGAGGATTCGCTAGAAGAGCTGGAAGAGCTCTTTGAAGTTTCCAACTTTTGCTTCTTTGTTGTCTTCTTAGTCTTGGTAACCTTTTTGCGCTTCTTGGACTTCTCCTTGTCATCCTCTGAGGTGCTCAAGTCGCTAGAGCTAGAACTAGAGCTGGAAGAGGAGCTAGAACTCGAACTCGAGCTGGAGCTAGAGCTAGAACTAGAGCTAGAACTAGAGCTAGAACTTGAGCTAGAGCTTGAGCTTGAGCTCGAACCAGAACTCGAACTCGAACTTCCACTGGTGCTCAATTCAGCCTTCTTCACCTTTTCTGAAAGCTTAGGAGGCTCCAACTTTGCCGGCTTGTTCACTTTCTTGGATCCCATTGTGCTGTATATATCGAAATTGGTTCTAAACCCTTATCTTTCTCTTCTGTAGAAACTGGTTTGAGCTCATCTGTGTTGGATCTACTGAAAAGTTTTTTGAATTCAATTTTTTAGTTCAAAATGATCAATGTGTTTAATCTTTAAATTATAGCAGTTCACTGCTCATCTTTACTAATTCTTAGAGTTGAGAAAACGTATTTGGCAGTTTGAAAAGACTATCCAAGGTCTCGATTGGGCTACCAGAACTTGAAATTAATGGCAGACCACCAATACCAAACTAGAAGCAAAGGCTCTTCTTTTGGAGCACCGGGATCAAACTATTTATCAGACGACTCGGTAGCTACCGATAATTCGGATTACGATGATGGGTTCTTAGATGGCGATGATGGCGAATACGGACTCAGCAAGAGCGATAAGCAGCGCAAGACAAAAAAGCCGGTAAAGAAGCCTGTCAAGGGAGCCAAAAATACTAAGGTGTCCACCACCAACGAAACGTTAAATAAGCTAGCCGCGAAAGATCAGACTTTTCTGCATGATATTCAGCGCGATGCGCCTCCAGATTTTGTACCCGATGTTGTTTCAGGTTTATTCAGAAGCTCGGATTTTAGCTACTTGAAATTAAAGCCAGATCACGCATCTAGGCCCCTTTGGATATCTCCTGCAGACGGAAGAGTTATTCTAGAGAGTTTTTCGCCGCTGGCCGAACAAGCACAAGATTTTTTGGTAACAATTGCAGAACCGATAAGTCGGCCGTCGCACATACATGAATACAAAATTACTGCCTACTCATTATATGCTGCTGTATCTGTCGGGCTGGAGACTGACGATATCATTGCTGTTCTAGATCGACTTTCAAAAGTTCCTGTGGCAGCTTCCATCACGAACTTTATCAAGAGTGCTACAGTGTCGTATGGTAAGGTGAAGCTCGTTATCAAACACAATAGATATTTCGTCGAAACTTCTCAGGCTGATATCTTGCAGATGCTACTTAAGGATTCAGTAATCGGTACACTGCGAATAGACTCCGATTCAGCACCAAGTGCGGCAGCGCCTGCGCAATCCTCGAAGCCCGATTCCGGGACAGTCAGTAGCGATCCCAAATATGACCCGAATGATGTAGAAGCGATTTTCTCTTCCGTGGTTGGAGAATTGGACGACGACAACGAAGACATTGATGCTGTTCACGCTTTTGAAATTGCGAATGCGTCTGTTGAAATTGTAAAGAAACGGTGCCAAGAAATTGATTATCCAGTGTTGGAAGAATACGATTTTAGAAACGACCACAGAAATCCTGACCTGGATATCGACTTAAAACCTTCCACTCAAATCAGACCATATCAAGAAAAGTCTCTAAGCAAAATGTTTGGTAATGGTCGCGCCAGAAGTGGTATCATTGTCTTGCCTTGTGGTGCTGGTAAAACATTAGTTGGGATCACAGCAGCATGCACAATTAAAAAGTCCGTCATTGTGCTATGTACTTCATCAGTATCAGTGATGCAGTGGAGGCAGCAATTTCTTCAATGGTGCACGCTGCAACCGGAAAATGTGGCTGTTTTTACATCTGATAATAAAGAAATGTTTCAAACAGAATCTGGTCTGGTTGTATCAACTTACTCAATGGTTGCCAATACTAGAAATAGATCTCATGACTCTCAGAAAGTAATGGATTTTTTAACAGGAAGAGAATGGGGTTTTATCATTTTGGATGAAGTTCATGTGGTACCAGCTGCCATGTTCAGAAGGGTTGTTACGACTATTGCTGCCCATGCCAAGCTAGGACTAACTGCCACTCTGGTTCGTGAGGATGACAAAATTAGTGATTTGAATTTTCTCATCGGTCCGAAGTTGTACGAAGCCAATTGGATGGAGTTATCGCAGAAGGGACACATAGCAAATGTTCAATGTGCAGAGGTTTGGTGCCCAATGACTGCTGAGTTTTATCAGGAGTATTTGAGAGAGAGCGCTAGGAAAAGAATGCTGCTTTACATCATGAATCCTACCAAATTTCAAGCATGTCAATTTCTCATACAATATCACGAAAAGAGAGGTGACAAAATCATTGTTTTTTCGGATAATGTCTACGCGTTGCAAGAATACGCCTTAAAGCTGGGGAAACCATTTATTTATGGTTCCACCCCTCAACAAGAGCGTATGAACATTCTACAAAATTTCCAATATAACGATCAAATTAACACAATATTTTTATCGAAGGTTGGTGACACTTCGATCGATTTACCAGAAGCAACATGTTTGATTCAGATATCTTCGCATTATGGTTCTCGTCGTCAAGAAGCTCAAAGATTGGGAAGAATTTTAAGAGCTAAAAGACGTAACGATGAGGGGTTTAACGCATTTTTTTATTCCCTCGTCTCGAAAGACACTCAAGAGATGTATTACTCAACCAAGAGACAGGCATTCTTGGTTGATCAAGGGTATGCTTTCAAAGTCATTACTCATTTGCACGGTATGGAAACGCTCCCTAACTTGGCTTATTCAACAGCTCGTGAGCGTCGTGAGTTACTTCAAGAGGTTCTTTTGAAAAACGAAGAAGCCGCGGGTATCGAGATTGGTGATGATGCTGACAACAGTATTGGTCGTGGATCTCAAGCAAACAAGAAGGCAAAATCTAAAGCTGTTAGAGGTGAGGGTTCGTTGTCAGGATTGGCAGGTGGTGAAGATATGGCATATCTCGAGTATTCCTCCAACAAAAATAAGGATCTGCGGGATCATCATCCTTTGATCAGGAAAATGTATTATAGAAACCTGAAGAAATAGGATTATAGGACAAATTCAATGGTACATTGCTTGGTAGAAAAAATTCACTGGAACTTAAGGTAAGTTCCGATTTTAATTTTGTAGAATTAAGTACGTGTTACAAATATTACAACTTTAACTGACCTTTGTTTTAAATTACCCAAACTTTACCCTGTTAAGTTCTTCAATCGAGAGATGCTCCAGATCTTCAATCGAGGACTGTATGCCGATTTTAAAGTTGCTGACGTAGTCGATCAGATGGATGGCCTTGGTGAATAAAACGTTCTTTTCTCTATTTATGGAAAGCTTGAGCTCTTCATACTGAAGTCTAGTGTTTTGGACGTTTTGTTCTGCCTCAGCCATCTTTTGATGTGACGAGTATTTAATGTTTTGAAGCTTCCTCTCCATCTTCTCTATCTCAATACGTTGAGATAGTAATCGGCTGTGACTTTCTTGTTCGTATTCGTCGTAACGAGATTTGGCTGCTGACAGCTCATGCTCTAAGGACTCTAGAGTTCTTGTTTTATCGTTGATCTCCTGCTTGAGACTTTCCAAGTGTGCTTCATATGAAACGTTTTCTTGCTGCAAATTCTGTGTGCGTATTTGTATCGTATTGTTGAGCTCCAAAAGCACTGGTCTTATGCTCTCACGAAGGTGTAATCCCTCGGGAACACTGCGCTCTGATTCGACTTGTCCCACATCGTAGTCTTGCAAGAATTTCTGTAGAGGGGAGAGATTACTAAGCTCAGAACTTAACTGATGGCCTAGATTGGCGCGAGCTGCGACGAGGCTCTCGATTGCTTTTTCGTATTGGCCACTGACATCCACCAGAGTTTTGTAGGCACTTTCTGTTTCCAGTTTTTGGCTTTTTACTAAACTAACGGTTTGGTCCATATGATTTGATACCACATCCAGACTTCTAGTTAATCTTTCGCGCTCCGTGTTCAGCCTATCGACCTCAGCAATTTCCATGTTCTTGCCGCTGATGAGTTCGCGTAGAGCAGAAATTTGATTCTCGGTTTCTTTCAGTTGTACTGATTTCACTTCTTTTTCGGTCTCCATTTTCTCCAGCTTTCGGGGCCACTCTTGGCTTTTATGTTGCATGGCGCTCACATAATTCTGAAATTTCGTCAAATCGCTTTGCAGCGCGTTAAATTTGTCCTTTGCTACTTTGACCTCCTGACCCTTATCCATAAGATCTTGATATTTGACTGACAGATCACTATTAGACATCGCTATGTTGTTGATGTCACTCCTTAAAACCTGGGCGAACCTCTCGAATCCCAATTCGAGTTCTTTCATATAAACGTCGTAGTCATCGTCAAGCCGTAGAAAACTTTTGTATGAATTCACAATGTAGTCTATGAATAATCGCTCAACAATAAGCTCATATTTTTCCTGTTTGTCTTCTTGTTCATCTATTGTTCCTATCGGCTGTCGTAGCACAGTCAGATCTTGAGTATTCTGGCCGATTAGAGAGAGATCCACTTTTTGCAAATACAGATCAAGTCTTTTGTTGGTATTGACAAGCCAATGCAACATGCCCAGAAATTTAGGCCAACTAGACCCTCCCACAGCCGAAATTTGTGACTTGTTTATTGTTTCGAGGTAAGGGTATTGTATGGTTCTTAGGATAGCATATACCTCATGTTCTATTGATTTGCTGAATTTGTAGCCTGGGTCCATTCTTTGGTAGAGCCATCTGAAGATAAACACGAAATCTTTTTGTGTGGGCTGTCGCAGGGACTTCAAAGATATTGGGTGATTTGCTTCAACGTCGAATTTCTGAGCGTGTAAATAATCATAAATCTCCTGCTGAATTATGATCTGGAAGTTTTTGTCGCGCAGCGGTCGTGGATCCTTGTTATTGGTGTTTGTGGTGTTTGCGCTGTTGTAAGATCCGTTGGGAGGGAGTAATGAGGCTCTTTGGGATGATCGTAAACTTTTCCGAGAGTCTGTATATGGCCGTCTAGGAATCTCTGGTTTGGATTTAGCCAGGCTTCTGTTAATCAAATCTGTTAACCCTGCACCGCCAATAGCAGACGCTGTACTATTTCGTCTTCGACCGTTAATCGGCGCTGGGATCTGAGACGAAAACTGCTGTGGATCTAAGCTGTTGAGGACACCCTGAGGCTCTCCAGAAATTCGCTTACGCGCCTCTTCCATCGCTGACTGGGCGATCTGCGATTTTGTGAGATTTAAGAACTTGTTTGTGTTTTCGCGTAAATAGATTGATTTGGCGCCCAACTTAAAATATTCGTATCACACGATAACTTGACGATTTACAACAAATGATCAACAGAGCCCCGCATGTTCTTCGAGATCTACGGCTCAGTTGAAATGCAAAAATTAGACTGCTTGCAATCGGATTGTTAGAGGATTTCGAATAGCGTTAGTCAGAGTTTCAGCATCGTTTTTCGTATAATATGCTTCGTTTGACCAGCTTTACACCGCAGATCGAGCGTAACCTTCAATTGGGTGGCAGTTGGTCTCTTACTAGTAACGTAGTTGCTGTGCTCTCGCTTTGTAATTGCGCACCCCTCCTTGTTTGAGACGCTTCTCGTGTTGCTCACATCGTAACGTATTTTGACAAAAACTTGATCTTTCTCGAGATCTTGACCAAAACGATAAATCACACAACATAAGGCTACAATTTCAACTCTCGATGAAGGTTTTACATACTGTGAAGGAAGTCGTGGACTGGAGAAACACGAATGTCGACCGGAAAACACAAACAAGTGGGTTTGTGCCCACAATGGGGTGTCTACATGAAGGACATATGTCACTCATAAGAGAATCTAAGAAAGAGAATGATTTCACTATAGCAAGCATTTTCGTGAATCCCTCGCAATTTGCGCCGACTGAAGACTTGGATAAGTATCCTAGAACTTTGCAGAATGATTTAAACCTACTAGAATCGTCGGGAGTTGATATGTGTTTTGTTCCTGGCGCGGATGAAATGTATCCTCAAGGAATCCCATTGCGTGTGGAGGAGCAAAGAGGTCCGTTTGTCACTGTTTTGGGTGTGAGTGAACAACTGGAAGGCCGCACGAGACCCAACTTTTTCCGGGGAGTTGCGACAGTTGTCACCAAACTGCTAAATGTGGTTCTTCCTACGCACGCCTATTTTGGTCAGAAAGACTATCAGCAATATACCGTTCTTCAAATGATGGCCAAAGAGCTGTTCATGAATACGGAGCTCAAAATGATGCCCATTGTACGCGATTCCGGTGGCCTGGCTTTAAGTAGTAGGAACCGCTATTTGTGCGAAGATTCGCGTGAAATTTCGAAAAATATCTACCGCGGATTGAAAGCTGCTGTCTCGAAACTACACAAGCAAGACGGCGCCAAAATGGAGAGATCCGTGCTCTTGGACACGGTACAAGAAATTTGGGCGCCCTTTGTAGCCTCTGGGGATTTCAGCGTAGATTATCTGTCCATAGCCGATGCCTCAACCTTGCAAGAGTTGGACCAGGTGCCAAACAGCATCAATGTAGTGATCAGTTGTGCAGTGTACGTCAAGGATAGAGCTAATGGGTCAACCGTGGTCCGCTTGATAGACAATATTCTCGCTTGAAGTGAGTGAAACCACCATTGAATGCAGTGACGATACAGCAAAACACTAATGATAGTGTTTTTTTGATGAGCCTCGCCCAAAATCAAATACGGCGCCAAGGTTATTAAACATGTATATAAAGCGAATACAACATCTCTCTGTTCATATTAAACTTCTTTGCTGGATTTCAGCATCGTTTCGCGATATGAATTCAACTAAAGTTCTATTGACGGCTAAAAACATAAAAAACGTACAAAATTACGAATATATGTTATCTTTACTTGCAGCATCGGAAGAACGCATTGAAACTACTCCGGCAATTCTGTAGTAGTCTCAAGATACCATTGTCAACATCCCGCATTTTCCTTCTACCTCCAAGGACTACCGCTGCGTCCCGCACGACAATCTGCTCACAGGCTCATATCACCACGCCTCATCTGAAATTTTGCCTTGTATCCCAGTTGCTACTTTCTTTAGCAAGTAAGTCCACCCGCCCCATGGACTCTTCTCGATCTCTTAGCCCACGAGCTTTTCTCGATCTCTTAGCCAAGCGACATGCTCGGAGATTTGTCCTCTATCACCCCTTCGATCGCTTAGATTTCTATTAGAGCTGGCGGGATCGCAGCCAAAGCAATGAGGTAATAACAGAGATTTCCGCGAAGAGCAAGCGACCCAAGCGACGCAAATGGTGATACTATGCTAACCATCATTATCATTACTATCGTCATCAGTGATTGAAAAATTCGTAGTAATTTGAAGCCATTTGATAATCAGATGGATATATCTAAGCGTCTAGATAAGATAAATTTTAAGAGAGGAATTGACGAGATGCCTCGACGGTTGAGAAAGTATATAAGGCGCTAGCAGAACATTGAAAGCTAGCGGAGAACGCAGAACCAAGACTGTAGTCAAGAAAACTCACAAGCTTGTTCAAGACGAAGTTGAAGACCCTGCATGACCACTAATTACATGTCGACTTCAAGTAGTGCAAAAAACACAATCACGAACCGGAAATCGCCGGCCGAGGTCCAGATAGGCCAACTACATGAAATACAAGCTGTAACTTCGTCGCACGGTGTGCCGATCCGGTACGTCGATGCCAAGAGCGCCACGTCAGACCAACAGGTGCTGGCGGAAATTGGTTACAAGGAAGAGCTGAAGAGAGAGTTTTCATCGATCCAAATTTTCGGTGTGGCATTCTCTATCATGGGCCTTCTGCCCTCGATAGCATCCACGCTCGATGGCGGGCTTACAGCAGGTCCCGTGGGTCTCAACTGGGGCTGGTTTGTGGCTGGTGGCCTCATCCTAACAATCGGGATAGCATTGGCCGAGTTGTCGTCGTCTATTCCCACAGCAGGAGCTGTCTATGTCTCGTGCTACCAATGGGCTCCACAACGAGTCCGCAAATGCATTTCTTTTTCTGTCGGGTTTTTGGATACGCTTGCGCTGAGCGCTTCGGTGTGTTCCATTGTCTACGGGCTGGCCCAACAAATCCTGTCGGCTGTGGTGGTCACAAACCCCGATTTTGATGTCACCAATCCCATTAGTTATGGTGTTTTCGCGGCCTGCATCGTATTGATGACGGCTCTAACCTCAATGACCTCCAAATTTACTTCAAAACTGCAAACCGTGTCTATTGTCGCGAACTGTTTTGTTATCGTTTTGCTATTTATTGTATTGCCAATTGGTGTCAAGCGCTCTGACAAGCTTAATCACAGCTTCAACGACGCCAAGTTCATTTTCGGTAAAGTTGACAACCTCAGCGACTGGAACAGTGGCTGGAATTGGTGTATCGCTGGTATGATGCCTGCTATCTGGACAATCGGTGCTTACGATTCATGTCTACATATGGCAGAAGAGGCTCGCGATGCTCCCAGAGCCGTTCCCTTTGGTATTGTTGGCTCTATTTCTGTGTGCTGGATCCTCGGATGGCTTGTATGCATTGTGCTACTAGCGTGTATGGACCCAGATGTTGATAACATTGTCAACTCAGCCTACGGTCAAGGTATCACCCAAATTTTCTACGATGCCCTCGGGAAAAGGTGGACTTTAGGATTCCTTTCGCTTTTGATCATTTGTCAATTCCTCATGGGTGCCTCTACTGTCGTTGCCAACTCAAGACAATTCTGGGCTTTTGCAAGAGACGATGCCATTCCATTCAGTGGGTTTTTCAAGAAGGTTAGCGGAAGAACAGCTGTTCCCGTTCGTGCTGTCTGGGGTTCTAGTGGTCTTGCGTTAGCCCTCGGGTGTCTATGCTTTGCTGGTGATACTGCATCGGATGCATTGTTCAGTTTGTCAGTGGCGGGTATGTATATGGCCTTAATCTTCCCTATTACTTTGAGACTCACCTACGGGAAGAAAGATTTTAGACCCGGTCCCTTCTACTTGGGGGATTTTTGGTCCCCTATCATCAACTGGATTTCCGTTTTTTTCCAGGCATTCGTCATAATTATGATGATGTTTCCATCTAATAAGAGTGTCGCGCCAGATTCTATGAACTACACAGTTGTAATTGGTCCTGGATTTTGGGTAGTTTCTCTGATATACTACTTCCTATGGCAACGGAAATTCTACAAAGGTCCTAAGTCGAATTTGACAGACGAAGAGTTTCAAGAGTTTGTCGGTGAAGATGTCATTGATGCAATTATGTCCCATAACGCTGAAGTTCACAAGGATCGCATGGTATGATTGACATTTGTGCTGGCTCAAGGCACGTAGCGATTGTGCACGATAATAATTTTAAGCTTTCAGAAGGGAGAATTTCTGCGAACAGGGGTTTCTGTGAACATTCTGGGCAATTTGTAATTTGATTAGTTCGCATTTCATAATATTTAACAAATCGATATAAGGGTTCTTAGCCTATCGAACTTTGGTCATTTGTCTGCAGAAACCGAGCGACCTTTCAATTTGGGCCATATATCTATTGCTAGAGCAGTACCGATTTGACTGGATTTTCCATTGGCTTTGAATGCACTGAATCTACATCGAATGCTCTATATTTCTCAATGTCTCGTGAAATTACCCATGTGTGCAAAAAGACATCGAAATCATTATTTGAAAGCGAATAGTAGCAGGAAGCTTCGGCCAAAAAGCGCGCCCAACCATAACATTCAGGATATGGTGCACAGCTTTGTAATTAATGCCGTAAATGCTATGGGATCGAACCTTCTTTACCAACCAACGCTACTTATAAGTTAACAGCACAGAAATACAACGTCACATAAGCTTTGTCTATATATTCACTGGCGAAGTCAGTATCGGAATTCTTTTTTGAACTTAGTCTTTTTTATAGTTAACGCTTTTATTTCCCGTCGTTGTAAATTAATTATTTTGAAATCGTTTCTGAAGGGGGTGCGATAACTCCCCTTTGAAATGTTCAAACAGATCCCACGAAAAGACACGTCTAGGTTTCAACACTCCTCTATCACGGAAGACGCCAGCATAATCTGTTGGTTCATTATCATCGGGACTTAGAGACAGTCAAATTTTGAGATTTTTGTGAGTTACAGGATCGGTGGCACACTATAAAAGCGTAAAAAGTTAATCAGTCATCCTAAAGAAAGAGTCAAAGCTTGCAAGGCGAGAAAGCATCAGACTTCAAAAGGCACTGTCATATCTACAACTAAACTCGCACTTCACGACCTTCGAAAGCGTCCGTTGTCGACTCAAGATATTCAGCTTCTGGCCGTGTTTCATATCAGACTTCGCATTTTTAGGACTACCCCTGAGCGATCAGCTATCTCGCGTAAAGCTCCTTGGATACTTTTAACCGCTGAATATAGCACCAAATGAGCAAATACGCGACTAATTCCCAACAGCGTACCAGCGAGCGTGATTCTCCGCTACAGGCGTCAGCTTCAGCTTCAGCACCTTTGAACCAGCGAAACAGTATTTTAGATCCCCATTTGTCTGTACTTCAGCTCTTAGAGCGTGCAGAGCAACCAACGACCACCCAATCAGAGCTGGCACCGCTCAAGAGACATGAGTTGGTGCGAACACCTTCACCCGCTAAGATGTGCGTCTCAGAAGCTATGAATCGCAGCATTTCAGAGTCCTGGCAATCCATAAGGCGTACAGACTATTCCATTCTCCATGTTTTAAACGAAGCTTCTTCGAATCATCAACCGGTAGGCATTCTATCGTCCTCCGACACTTCAGAAGACGAACCAGATCACTTTTTATCTCCATCTCCCAATAACTACACATTTGGAGCTGCTAGCGCGATGCTTCCTGAGCCCCCCCACGCTCTAGAGGCTCCTCCATTGTCTACATTGCGCAATTCGGGATTACAGACAACTCAACAAAACGATGATTCATTGCATGGCGGCGATATTGACAGTGACATTGACAACGACAATGAAACTGTCACTTTAAGTTTAATGAATTCGTCGAATTCTTTTGTGATGCCTAAATTGTCCTTATTCCAGCAATCACAAAAGTTCTGCATTCTGATTGTGGGAAAGCCCGCTCAGAGATTCTTCAGAGATATTCCAAAATCGTATCAGAAGTTATTTGACGTCTGTGACGTTGAGACGTTGAGTTCCCACAAAGTCAAACAATATAGCGCCGTAATGATCATTTTCAGTGACCCCAAAAATGGCCAAACACTGCTGGAGAAAGTTGCTCCCCATAACATAAACATAATTGCGGTCTGCCAGCGGGGCCAACAACAGCAAATTTCGAACCTTTTGAGCCGGTTCTCAAAATCGAATCAAATGCGTTTAGTTTATCACTTGACTGTTATGTCAGATCATCAGGATGTACATCGAATGCTGAGATACTTACACAGCCTCAGCTCGGAGGTTGAATCAGGCTACGAAACTGAAGTCGGGTCGCGGAAGATTCGCAAACGGCGCAAGTCCCAGAGAAAGAGGCCCGCTAACCTCAACATAAGTCGCTGGGTTGTTTGGAGTATATCGCTAACCGTGGGCGTAGGGATTGGTTATTGCATCTCATGTGTTTTATCGTCAGCTGTTTCTAGTCGCAGCGGTGATTTCTCGATGCGTTCTGCAGACAATGTTACATTCTTGGAGGATGTGTCAATGTCTTCCCCCGACGGAACCTTTGACAGCTATGTTCGCCAACTTGTTCTAGCATTCAGGAAAGCAATAAAGCAAGCCAATCTATCCTTTAAGCAGTACCTGAACGGTCAGTCTTTGCTTGTCATGTGGATGCAACGCATGGGCAAAGAGTGGATGTCTGAAGACTCAGACACAACACTACCGGGCGTAGCGGCATTAGATCTAGTTTTGATATGATTAACTCGGCCACATTAAGGTGAAAGCGGCAAAACCATTTAGAGTCAACATACGTCCTCCTTCTCACATATTTTTATAAAGTTTTCTATTTCTTTGGTCTACAATGGCAAAGGCTAATTTTCTGAAGCTATAAAATAATTAACTATCGGGAACTGTACACAGAGCAGAAACTCCGATCCAAAGTAAGAACCATTTAAACTGGAGGCTCTATTTTCTGTCCAAAATGCTGTCAAGACAGAAATTTGACTTCGCGGACTTTCTGCGAAGGAAAATCAAACCGCCCTTTCTTGTGAGCATACGAGCGCAGTTGACAGCATTGGTATGCTTCGTTGCACTTTTCTCCTTGATTATTCTAGCGGTCATTACAGGGGTTTACTTCACACAAACTTATAAATCTATGAGAGCTGAGAGGCTTCAAGTGGCTTCTCAGCTTAAATCTTCACAGATCGATCAGAACTTGAACTATTTATACTACCAATGTTATTGGATGTCCACCCGAGACATCTTACAAGACGCTCTAACACAATACTTGGCTGGAAACACAAGTATCGAAAACTGGTCAGATGCCTCGGCGACTCTCGACAAGTTCTTGGGCTCATCGGATCTCTTCAGCGTCGCTAGAGTTTATGATTCGACTTTTCAAGACGTTTTGAATGCTACTAATAACGGAAGTGGCAATTCCATTCCCGGAAACATCCTCACACAGCTTTTCCCTTTATCGTCAAATGACTCTCTGCCGTCCTCTTTAGAGGTTTCGGGCATATTGACCGACCCCGTGATGAATGGTAGTAGCGGTTATCTAATGTCAATGTCACTACCAATCTTCGCCAATCCATCCATCATTTTGTCAAGTTCCAACGTCTATGGTTACTTGACTATAGTAATGTCTGCCGAAGGCCTGAAGTCTGTCTTCAACGATACAACAGCGCTGGACAAGTCATCCGTGGTCATCGTTTCTACGGTTTATCAAAATCAAACTTTAGCCGGATACCATCTAGTTTTTCCTCCACAAGGATTGGATCCGGATATAGTCGATGAGGTTTTTCCACTTGACAATGACTCATTTCTGAATGGTGCTTTGAGGGAAGGTAAAAATGGTTCAATTAAAAGTACCAAGTTTTTGTACAGCAAAAACGTAGCCATCGGGTACTCCCCGTGCTCCTTCAGTTTCGTGGCTTGGGCAGCTGTCATTACCCAACCCGAAAGTGTATTTCTTTCACCATCCACTAAATTGACCAAAATTATTGCCGGCACCGTTATTGGCATAGCTGTTGTTGTATGCATTGTTACATTTCCGCTATCTCATTGGGCAGTACAGCCCATTGTACGGTTGCAGAAAGCTACAGAAATTATAACCGCTGGCAGAGGTCTACGGTCAGACGGTAGTACTCTTTACAGTCACAAACGTGCGAGTACAGCAGAGTCTTTCAGCTCGCTCTTCCGATCGGGGTCTGTAAGACGATCAGGGTCTGTTGCATGTTCTACTAGAAGTAAATATGCATCCGAAGCTGTCGCTGATAAACAGAAAACAATCAAAGACTTTAGCACGGGTCAAGAAAAGCACCCCGACAACAATGGTGATACCCCATTGCAAAAATATCCCTCCGCCCCCCCAGCATCCATGTTGAGTGATTGTAGATCCCCTAAATCGGACCGATTTATCACTTCATCCAACTTGATAGAGTCCAGGGTTCCAGTTTATAATCGGCTTTTTTCCGATGAACTGTCGGAACTGACAGAGACGTTTAACACAATGACTGATGAACTTGATCGTCATTACGCACTCTTGGAAGATAGAGTACGGGCCCGAACGAGGCAGCTAGAGGCAGCGAAGATTGAGGCTGAAGGTGCCAATGAAGCCAAGACTGTATTTATCGCTAATATCTCACATGAGCTTAGAACTCCACTTAACGGAATATTGGGCATGACAGCGATTGCCATGGCTGAAGAAGAAATGCCCAAGGTAAAAAGTAGTTTAAAGCTTATTTTCCGTTCCGGAGAACTGCTGCTGCATATTATGACGGAACTTTTAACATTCTCCAAAAATGTATTGAAAAGAACGAAGCTAGAGGAAAGAGACTTCACAGTTCATGATCTTGCCTTACAAGTTGAGTCCATATTCGGTAAATTGGCGAAAGACCAGCATGTTAGACTGACAATTTCGATACTTCCCAACCTGTTGAGAACAATGGTACTTTGGGGTGATTCCAATCGCATTGTGCAGATTGTGATGAATCTTGTGTCAAACGCACTAAAGTTTACACCGATAGACGGCAAAGTTGACGTCAATTTTACGTTGTTGGGTGAATACGACGAGGAGAGAAGCGAGGCCGATAATTACGAAGAGCCATACATTTTTCCAATTGTACACGAACCTGCAGTGGAAGCTGCTCAACTCGATCATGAAATTGAAGAGACAGCTGCGGTTCCTGATACAAGTAACAGTTCACCGCTATCTCCCTTTTCTCAGGGAACCTTAAGTGATGAAAATGGCCAGGACAAATTCAGAAAAGATAGCGGAACCGACGACACCGACGATTTGAACGACGAATCGAAATCCATAGACAGTGAGAGTAGCGGTTCGTATGACGATGCTCGCTTGCACTCACAACTTCGCAAGCATACGACAGTCAGTGGCGAAAGTGAGATCAAAGATGCCCACGAATTGGAAACGCCCAAAAAATGGGTGATATCAATGGAGGTAAGGGATACAGGTCCAGGTATCGAACCTGCTCTACAAGAAAGTGTTTTTGAACCGTTTGTACAAGGCGATCAAACGCTGTCGAGACAATATGGTGGTACAGGTCTAGGGCTATCTATTTGCAGACAATTAGCCACTATGATGCGCGGTACAATGAAATTAGAATCGAAAGTTGGTGTTGGGAGTAAATTTACGTTTAAGGTTCCATTGACGCAAACGAAAGAGATCAACTTTGATGATGAGGAACATCCGTTTGAAGACGAGTTCAACCCCAGGAGCAAGAAAAATAGGAAAGTTAAGTTCAGTGTTGAAAAGTCCAGCAGTTCAGAAAAACCACATTCGGCGCCATCCACAAATGATAGTTCTGCTGGAACTCCGAATGTATCAGAGAGTGAGGTCAGCGTTGGAAGTGTACGCGTTGATAGACCCTTTTTACAGAGTACGGGAACTGCGCTTTCTTCAAACAACGTTAGAGTGGCCTCCATGACAACTAAGTGCAAAATCCTGGTCGCAGAAGATAATAATGTCAATCAAGAGGTAATCAGGCGGATGCTAAATTTGGAAGGGCTCAACGATGTAGACTTAGCATGTGATGGTCAAGATGCATTCGAAAAAGTCCAATCACTGAATGCAGCTGGCGGACATTACGATTTGATATTCATGGACGTCCAGATGCCGCGAGTGGACGGGCTAACGGCCACGAGAAGAATACGCGGCGACTTGCAGTATACACATCCTATCGTGGCATTGACCGCATATGCTGATGACAATAATATAAAAGAGTGTTTGGACGCGGGTATGAATGGGTTCTTAGCCAAACCCATCAAGAGACCTAAGATCAAGACGATCCTGATGGAATACTGTCCGCAGTATAATTCGGAGGATTGATAGATAAATAAGGGATCCCACTAATCTTGGGAAAGGTTGTTCAGTACCCTTGATAATTATATTTATTTAGAAGGGCAATCATAGCATTAGGAATTGACTATCTGGCATTACGTGAGAGAACAAGAAACGCGTAGAACTGGCAGTTTCGCGACAAATTTGTCCGAGTTAATACATCGTATAGTCTAGCGGTTGAAGAAATGATTAAAACCGAAGAGTTTAAAATTACGTACTTAGGTGAGATACAAGCGTAAAAATGTTGGAAGAGGTATGTGTTTGAAACAACCAAACATAGTGGGAAGGAAATGATAGGTTGCGAAACCGACTACTTTAACTTCTTCTTTGGACGCAATTGGTTGGTGTGGCCACACTTTCTCTTTCTGCAGTTGGTAGCTCTTGGAGGCAATCTGGCGTAACACTTACGGCACACGGATTTCTCACAGTTGAACTTGGAGGCCAAGGCTTTCAAAGATGGCTCGATGATACCACCTCTCAATCTCAAGACCAAGTGCAAAGTGGATTCCTTTTGAATGTTGTAGTCGGACAAAGTTCTGCCGTCTTCTAGTTGCTTACCAGCAAAGATCAATCTTTGTTGGTCAGGTGGAATACCTTCCTTGTCTTGAATCTTGGACTTGACATTGTCAATGGTGTCCGAAGATTCGACTTCCAAAGTGATGGTCTTACCAGTCAAGGTTTTGACAAAACTGAGCAAAACGGTTAGTAGTTGAAAAGGGAAGGGACTAACGAGAAAATTTCCAGAGAGTATGGCGCTTAGCACGAGACGAGGGAGGCCACGTCAGGCTTTAGCGAGGAGAAATATTCCAAGTGAATGGATTTCGATGAAGGTTTGCTGAATTCTCCGAGTTTCCATCCACCATGCGTGAGTCCTGTACTAATCAGCATCCATTGCTCACAGCACAGCAGGGAATAGACCACTATGGAGTCGAACAAAAAAAAAGGTGTTCCACGACTTCCACATCTCCAATGGAACCTGCTGGTTCTAGCGCTGTTGTTTCCATATCTCTGTCGTTTCCTAGTCTTGGATTCGGGCGTGGTTAGCTCCGTATTTAGCCATACATTTGCATCTTTGAGTCTTGAGCTGCTTCTGGTGTCTATGTGGAAAGTTCCAGTGTAAGCTGACTTGATACTCTGATAATATCCATGAGAGAGAATCCAGCAGAGGCAGACCGAGCAACAGAGACAGAGGTTCGTGGGACGATCCCAGGCTCGGGCCAGCCTAGCCAACAGCCCAGCGGAGCTGGGGCTGAGCCTGGGCAGAGGCAGGCCGTGAGCCTAGACAAAGAAGCTGTCGGCCTGGAGGAGTTGGTTGCTCTGCCTAGACCCACGCACAGAACGGAAGGAGACGATACAGTCGATTTGTGTTCTGACCCCACGCAAAAATAAACAACAAATTCGAAATTAAAATCGAACAAAAAACCGATTTTTTACAAAAGTTCTCAAAAAAGTATATTTCGTAAGATAAGATATTGCTCTGTTTGAAAGTGCGTGGGTGGAAAGTCTAAAAAGCAGTCAAATACAATATCCATCTCCATGCACGAACAACGACGTTACCCGTCTTTGAGGAATGCTCGTCCGGTTTTCTTTGTAGCATTGCGCACGAAAATGTGGGCCTGGTGAATTTCGGGCTTGTTTTTGGTTTGGGTGCTCAGCTCAATCCGTAATGCACTACATGGAAAAAAATGTAAATTGTTAGCTTAGTGGCAAGCAGCGCTGAAGTTTCGAGAGCGCTGAACTCATAAAGAACCGCGATAGCTTTCGGCGCTGAATAAGGCTGGATATCCGAAGAGTTTTTTACTAGGCCCTCGCAATCAATCGCGTTAGTAATTTGCCAGCAAGCTACTCTTTCTCCCGCTTTGTTTACCTCTGGAAAACCCCTAGATCCTCGCTTATGACGACCGCTACAACGGATAGCGTCAGTGCGGACTTGCACGAAGCGGCCGGGTTTCTGGGAACCGACCCACAGCTACTAGCAGCCGTTGACAGCACTGTGGCAGAGCGAATTGCCGTCAAGGCACACGAATTCCGCCAACTGCAGGCGCAAAACCTCGAGTCTAGCGTTATCGTGGACGAACTCAGATCGGCGTCGTCGCGCAAGCTGGACGCGTGCAAAACGCAGATTCAATCGCTACTGCAGGAACTTGAGACGTTGCGCGCTGAAAGCTGCGGTTTTGAAGACACTCGGCGCGCCCTCGAGTCGCAATGCCAAAAAGCGCAAAATGAAGCGCAAACATCACAATTACACGCACAGACGCTTCTTGAGCAGAAGCAGATGCTCCAAAGTAGTAAGAATGACCTCGCCGGTCTGCTCAACGAAAAAATACAAGAGAGTACTGCCCTCAAACACGAAACAGACACGCTGCTGACAGAAACCCGCCAGTTGCGAGGCAAATGTTTGGAGCTTGAGACGCTTGCTCGCGACTTCAAATCTCAGCTGCTGAATAGCAAGTCCGATTTTCATCGACTTTCGCAAGAACTGCAGCTCTCCAAGTCCAATAACGAATGGCTTGAGTCTCAACTCGCACAGCAAAATTCCGCTTTCAACGCTTATAGACAGAAATCTCAACAGGAAATTGCGCAACTGCGCCAGAAGTCCGAGTCTTGTACCGCAGAGTTACAAAGCCGCCTTGAAACTGTCGCTACGTTACGCGACCAAAATGCCGCGGTCACCAAACACCTGGAGTCCCAACTCGATAAAGTCAAGCACCTCACCGATGAGCTTAATAAAGAAAAGCACGAGTTTGCTCGCGAAATGGGCTTAAAGCAACGCCTCATCGACCTGTTGGAAAATCAAGTCCAGTCTTTAAAAAATGAGCTGGAACTCAAAACTACCGCTGCTCGTGCAAATTCGGACTCATCCGAACTTATAGAAGAGCTTTCTCAAACAAAAGATCAACTCGCAGCTAGAGAATTGGAGATTCAAAAGCTCCAAGACACTGTTCAGGAGCTTTTATCTACCACCAGTACCACTGATAATGAAAATCAAACTACTAATGTCAACACAATGGCTCGTTCTCCTGAGAAATCCATCTCCATCCCACAACTATACGGGGATATCAGCATACTAAAAAAACAAGTTATCCACGAAAAGCGTCAAAAGGAACACCTACAGTACCAAGTTGAAGCTTTCGTCGTTGAACTGGAAAGTAAGGTTCCCATGCTAAGCTCTTTCAAAGATCGCAACAGCATGCTTGAGAGAGAACTGTCCGAAACCGCGTTAATGTTGGAGTCGGTCTCAGAAGACAAAGAAGGTTTAAGTACCGACCTAGAAAGAGCTCGCACACAACTAATAGACTATGAATCTCAACTGTCAAAGCTTACCCAGCAACGGAGTGATTTGGCTCATCAGGTACAATATCTACTGATAAACATTTCTGTCAAAAATGATTCCAAGGGTCCGCTAACTGCTGAGGAGATGGCATTTGTGAAAAAAATCATTGATTCCGAGGATTCTCCATTACACCACGACACGCAAGATATCATTTCACAAAGATTGGTGGAATTTCAAGATATTGTGGAGCTTCAATCCAAGAATTCGGACCTTTTGCTTACTGTAAGAAGTTTGGCGGATAAACTAGAAGCAGAAGAACAGCAAGCTAAAAGTAAAACGGAGTCATTGGAAAATGACTTAATAAATGATGCTAAAGAAGCAATCACTACATTACAAGATCACGTTCAAGAACTGGAATCCAGAATTGAGGTGATCACTAAGGAACGCGATGCTTTCAAAGCAGCTCATTCTTACTCGCCCACAGGCGTCCAAGTTAAAATGCAAAACGGTACCGGCAAAAGCGACGACTCCGCAAGGGTGGAAGAACTTGCGCACCATCTACAAATTGCTAAACAAGAAGCAGAAAATAATATGAAACTGTTGAACTCCGAAATACATGAGCTTTTAAAATCTAAAACCGAACTATTGGTTGAGGTTGAACAACAAAAATCTTCCAAATCTTTGGCAGAGGAGAGACTCAAAATCGCACAAGGATCTTTGACTTTAGCCAAACAAGAATGCAACGAACTGAATAGAAGATATCATAAGTTACAAGACAATAGTGCTAAACAAGATGCCAAGACTCAAGAGACCATTAGCGAAGTAATAGATTGTAAGTCGCAAATTGCTAGTCTAACTGCTGAGTTGAAAATTTCGGTCTCAAACTCTGAGTTTTTGCGTTCATCTCACGAGAAAACGAAAGAAACAAATGATCAGTTGATAAAGGAGCGGAATGAGCTCTCTATTTTAGTTGCTCAATTGCAAACGTTACAAAAGGAAAGAGACACAAATTTAAAAGAGGCAGAAAAGAATTTTAAAGAAAAACTAGGCGACTTAGATGTAGAAATAAATCAGCTCCGAGGTCAGCTGTCTACTAAAAACCAAGAGTTCAACGATTACATTTCTGCTTCTGACTCCAAGATCCAATGGTATCAAGAAAAGATAGATTCTTTAAATGCGACGCTGACTGCGACAGTTGCCAAACTGAGCACCATAACTGAAACTATGCAAAACCTAGAAAGTCAGCATAAAGTACTTGAAATTAAGCTTATGGAATCTGAAACGAAAAATCAATCTTACAGCGTCATCAATCAGACCAGTGATGTTCTCGTTCAAACTGAGACCTTGAGAAATGAACTTGAAAAGACCAAGATCAGCTTAAAGGATGCTTACTCGCAGGTCGATGAGTACAAAAATCTTTACACCTCAACTGGTGAGAATCTCTCTAGTATAACGGCTGCTTTCGAAGACCTCAAGACCCGGCACAATGGTGAAATTGAAGGCATGAAGAAAATGGAAGAGAGCCTGAGAGAAGAAATCTTCGCTTTAAGAAATCATCTCTCAGAGCTCAACGCCGAGCTCAATCATGAAAAAGAGGAGTACAATTCAAAAAAGAAGGATTATGACGAACAGCTGAATACCCTGAAAATAAGTCAAGAATCGATCGACGCAATTAAGCACCAGTATCAACAGCAGGTGAATCAGCTCACCTCAGATTTGAACGAGCAGGCTTCTTTTGCTAACAAAGCTCAAGAGAACTACGAGCAAGAATTGCAGCGACATGCGGATGTCTCAAAAACTATAAGTCAATTAAGGGAACAATCGCAGACCTACAAAAACGAAGTTCAATCTTTGAAATCCTCAAATAAGGAGTTCCAGAGGATTCTAGAAGAAAACGAAGAATCTTGGGCACGCCAGAAACAAAACTATGAAAGTCGATTAGACACGATGAACCAAAGAGTGGAGGACCTTCTTACCCAAAACCGATTGCTTTTTGATCAGCTAGATTTGAAATCTATCAGAGATACACCTGAAAATGATCCAAGTGGTATGCAAAGTGATATTCGCGAACTTATATCAACACTTAGAAGGGAATGTGATATTTACCAAACAAAATTAGAGGTTGTTAAGAGGGATGAAAGTCTCCTGCAACGCAAGCTACAAATTTCTGAGGCGGAACTGCTCGCGGCGAAAGAAGAGCTGAACAACTATCAGGCAAGTGCAGACAAAAACTCTTACCTGGCAGAAGAGCACAATAAAATATTGGAACAGTTGAATCAATTAAATCTATTGAGGGAAAGCAACATCACGCTGCGGAATGATCTGCAATCAAAGTCAAAGCAGAATCAAACGCTCGCAGCCAAAGTAGAAGAATTACAAGCTGTAATCAATCCCCTAGAAAGTGAGTTGTCGTCATTGAAGCGCTCTATGGCAACCAAAGATAAACAATTAAGTTTAATGAGTGAAGAAACAGAGCGTTGGAAGCAAAGATCTCAGGATATTCTACACACCTACGAACGCGTGGACCCAGAAGAACACAAAAAGATGATCGATGAGCTATTGCAAATCAAAAATGAGCTAGCAGAAAAAACGGATCAAAACACCGAGCTCGAGGATCGATTCCAAAGGCTCAAAAAGCAAGCAAGGGAACGTCTGGACACTGCCAGAGCAGCACAAACTTCTCTGGCAACTGAATTAGCCGAGTTGCGTGAAGCTAAAGATATTGCGGAGGCTGCTCTTGAAAAAGAGAGAGAAAATAGCAAAACTTTACAAGGTGTTATTGATGCATGGGAACAAAGCAACACTGCTGGCGACTCAGAAATCCAAGGTGACTTAAACGCTGCCCTCCAAAAGCTAGCGGATTCTAATGCCAAGATCGAAAATCTGGAAAAACAACCAATTGTTAGCGACAATGAATTGATAATGGAGCTGGAAAGTTTAAAAAAGCAGGTAGTGGAGCTGGAAACCCTTCTAGGCCAAGCGCAAGAGAAAGTTCAAACTCTTGAGAACGCCAAGAACACTTCTATGGCAGATAATTCAGCGGATATTGAAAAGGTAAGAACTCAGTTAACAGAACATAGTGAAAAGCTAATAGCTGAGAGAGAAGCCCAATTGAAGAAAAAATACGAGGAAGCGGAAGCAGAACAAGCGCAGCTCTTTGAACAAAAGCTGAAGGATGTCTTACATCAAAGCCCTGAAAATATTGAGGGGTTGAAGAAAGAATGGGAAGCTGAATTTGAGCAGCTAACACAGAAGAGAATCGAAGAAGCTAACGAACTACTGAGAAAACGCATCCGTTTACCAACAGAAGAAAAAATAAACAAGATCATAGAAACTAGAAAGAAGGAGCTTGAACAAGAATTTGAGGCTAGAGTTCAGCAACGCGCTTCAGAAATCGCAAGCCAAAACTGCAAAACGCCTGATTCAGCAGAAATCACGGGGAAACATCAACAGGAACTTGAGAATATGAAAACAGAGCTAAGAAACCAGATGGATGAGGAAATGGCACAGCTCAAGAAAAAAGCATTTGACGAGGGTAAACAACAGGCAACAATGAAATCCATGTTCCTCGAAAAAAAATTGCCAAACTGGAGGCACAACTTAAATCGAGCAGTGGAAACGAGGCAACCAGTGCCCCAAGTAGTGCAGGTCCGTCTCAACCCGAGAGACCGGGTAGAATTGTGGAGGTTTTGCCTCACGAGCAAGCAGACTCGCGCGAAGAATCGGGTGAGCAGAGAGAAGGTCCATTAATGCCTATCAGGACTCTTCCATTTACGTTCTCTACCCCAGATGCTCCACGAGCGAACTCGATGCCTGACAATAATCAAACACAAATTACTTCCAGTCCCAACAAGAGGCCTAGCGAAGATCGTAACGAACAAAATTCAGACTCCAAGAAAGCGAAATCTGATGAAGAATATCAACCAGCAGCATAATCGCTCGGGATAATTGCTCGGGATAATTGCTGCAATGAATACTTCCGATTGTTCAATCAACTGCACACGTCGATCCAGATCGCCTGCGGATGAACTATAAGAAGGAAAAGCACTTATTGACACGTTTATTGTCCGGACCCCCGTGCACAGCATTATCAGTTGCCAGTATTCCATATTCTGCGTCACAGTATCGTAACAGTCACGTATAGTAGTACCATGTAAAACAGCACGATTGTAATTTATTCAAAAACTGGCTTAGCGTGCAGTTATTTTTAGCTGCTGTTACTGACACGCCCAAAGCTTATTAAAGAGGAAGAGATAAGTCATCTCTCGAAGACCTACCTTGGTATTGCAGTTGAGACTCACGCAGAAAATAAATCTTGAACAAGGTGACACCAAATATCATGGAACACTGAGGGATCACAATCGATCGCCAGTTTTTTTTTTCATTGCGACATTATAGTTCAAAATGATGAAAGAGTAGAACTAGAACTAAAAAGCCACTAGTCCGTAAAAAAACACAGGCCTCATCGCTGCTATTATGCCACGAAATGGCTAGAGATGGCGATGATCCTAGGTCTCTCCATGAGTTAGACCTTTACGAAGTCGTGACCTCCGACGAAGAAGAAGACTCTAAAAGTATGCCCAACAGACTTCCAATTTATACGTCACAAAACAAATTATTAACATCCGCACTCAAGTCGCGTCTCAATTGAATGAATTAGAAAGACAAAGGAAGGACTTGCAAGAACGATTGCAATTGAAAGCCCAGCGCAGGAAAGATTTAAGTCAGCTTGTCAAAAAGAAAGTAGAGATTCCTGCGTCCCCTAAGAAACAGCGAGATGATCTAAGGTCACAATCAATAATTGAGAACACTTCCCTAGGTAAAGACATAGATCTGCAGGATGACAGTTATATTTCAAAACTGGGTGCCAGAATCGAAGAGTCAGGCCATTCAACTCCTTACTTTCTCGAGAATTTTGCCAATGTTCGCAAGGCAGAGGAAAAGAAAATTCAACACAGAAATGATTTGATGAATTGTCGAGTGCACACTTTCAAAGGCCTGAGTGAGGTTAAGCAACAAGAGCCAATTGTTGTCGAAGAGAAAGAAGACTTTTCTGGCCTCCGCATTACTAGGCGGTACATACCTACAGAAGACTTGAACGAGATTCTTCGGGATATTAAAGTTCTTCGACTTCCAAAACTATTTGGCAAAGTGCGACCCCCAAAGTTTAGCGAACCAGATTACGCAAATTGGGTGGCAATTGGTATCATGAGTTTCAAGTCACCCGTCAAATTGACGTCCGCTTCAAAGCCTTCGAAATACTTCAAATTTACAATCACAGACTTTCAGCACAACTTAGATGTCTACGTGTTCGGAAATAAAAATGTCGAAAAATACTACAACCTGAGAATTGGCGATGTCATTGCTATACTAAATCCGGACGTTCTGCCATGGAGACCTTCACAGGTTGGTAACGACGAGTTTTCGGGCGCAGTCGTCAAGTCATTTAACCTATCGATCAGACACAACTACGATTGCATAATTGAGGTAGGTACTAGCAAGGATCTCGCATTTTGCCAGATCTACAATAAATCAGCGAGTAAAATTTGTGGAGCTCCCATCAACAGCGCCTCCACTGATAGATGTGAATTCCATCAAGAGTTAAGGTTTCGGCAAGTCAATGCACAAAGAGTCGAACTTAATGGTAGTACACCCATGAGATCACCGACCAAAAATGGTAAAAAACAAGCACTTTATGGAAATTCTACATCCAAGAAAAAATACGAACTTTTACCAGACAAGCATCTACCTCAACAACAAGATCGCGAAAGTCAGAATACACTTTACTTCAGTAACCCTAATTACGCACGGGCCTTCTTTGACGATTCTTACCAAAATCCGGATTTATTAAACAACTTGGAAGGCAAGCGTCGGAAATTGAAAGAAAATGAGAAGGAAAAGTTCCTACAGGATGAACTCAATAAAGCAGTTGGGAAGGGAGGAAATGAGAGATTTAAAAATATGAGCGAGCAAGAAAAAAAGCGCATAAAGTTAGCAACAGAGCAGGCGCTGGACAGCGGGCTGGTAAAAAATATAGGTTTTGATCCCACGAAAGGGAGAATGAAGGACATTTTAATTCATGGCCAAAACCAGAAGAAGAGCCTAGATGCCAAATCCTCCCAAGTCAAAGAAATTATGAAAATGAAAAAGGCAAATATAAATCTAGCTCCGTCGAAAGAAGAGCAGAAAAAGCGGTTGCTAAAAAGAGAGCAAGTATGGAAAGAGCATTTCAAAAATTCAAAGCAAAAAGTAACACCTGCAATAGTTAAGGAAGATGTCGACAGTGATAGCGACTTGGAAATTATATGAGGCCATATCATACTATGGTCAAGACTTTGAGATCGAAAGAGGAATATTGGTCAAGAAAGCGAATTTTTATCCTGCCATCAAAGTCGGCTCCCTCTTGCTGCAATTCGATCATATTCAAGAGGTGGCCATCACAGCAGATTTCGAAAGCATTTTTGGACGCGCTGCTCGCCTGCTGGTCGAATGTGATATCGAAGTCAGATGCGAAGGGTTTATAAGTGACTCCATCTGCTGAAATGTCATCACCTTTCTTGGTGGAGTAGCCTTTCATTATTTTTTCTATCAATTCTGGTTTAGTGAGAGCCGCGGAGTAACCAAGGACGTGCAATTCGGATTTTAACGGATCAGATTTAGGCGAAGGTTTATAAGTCTTTTCCAGGTGAGGCGTATTGATGAGTGCAAAATAAGCAAAGTTCGAGGGCGAGGACTGTCCCGGTATTATAAGGGGGTAGTCCAATTTATATGACTCAAGGATCTCCTGTGCTGCAATTCTGAACTTTTCCACGCCTAGATTATGAAAGCGATGCTGTTCACATAAGTGGAGCAAGTTTGCATGAAATCCGATCGACAGAATTATGAAAAATACGATTTCGAATTGATTAGGAAAGATGGCTTTGTAAAGCGGGAAGGTTTTCGGGCTTAATTTGTTTTGCAGAAATTTACCAAAGGCAGTCACAGGACACTGGATTTCTAGAGACGTAGTCCAAGCATTTCCGGTGCCAAATGGCAAGGGCAGGAGCCAGAGCGAAGGCTTCTGTGAAGAGTCAGTACAACTTTGGTTAAGGTTATTGATAAATTCGGAAATTGTGGTGTCTCCTGACAAGAAAATGACGATAGTGGTTGGATTCGTGGCTGCCAATGACTGGGCATGCTGTGCGACCGATTCCTGGCTGTATGTGCGTATAATCCGTGCTGAGATTTGTAATTGGTGGAAAATGGGCTCGATAACGTTGGAACAAAAATCATTTTGCGCCGTGCGCCCTTTTCCAGATTTAACAGAATCCAGGACAATGATTTCCTTTCCGCGAAGAAATGCGATTTCATCAGGGGTGGTAGGCAGATCTTTACCAGTTACCTCAGATTCTAAAGAAAATGACTCGTATTGACCATTCTGGGACTCTGTAAGAACTTTGTACCGTTTGTTGGCCACTTGGATAAGCGGGATTGAGGTCTGTTCGGCCATTGAGACGGCTGTTCCAGCTTAAAATGTGTTTCATTCGAAGTCGTGAGAGACAAGATGCACCCTAACTTTTTTATAAATCTGTAATATATATATCTTCGAAAGACGGAACCACATTTTATAGACAGATCAACGAAAGACGCTAACGATACAAGCATCGCCACCCTCATGAAAAGCGTCCGTGGCTCTGACTTGCCCTACGTACTGTAAGAATCCTTTGAGAGCTCGTATTCGCCAGGCTTTTTGCCGGTTTACTTTTAAATTTCTACTAACATTTGATGCCCAGGTACCTCGAGATTCCTTTCGAAACAGCAGCACAAGCCAATACTGCAGTAAAAGTGCTCAGTCCAGACCCAATTCTCAAACCCCAGGACTTTCACGTCCGCTATGTCGCTGATGGCTCCAAACTATGTGTAGACTTCGAAAGCGTCGACGATCGCGTCTTGCGTGTTGGCGTCAGTAGTATTATTGAGAGCATCAAGACCGTGGTAGAGACCATTGATGAATTCAGCTAAAAATACGAACCCACTCGAATTAAGAGCTGAGAGTGCACCAACGCAGGTCCTGGATCCATGTGATCTCCTGCACGTGAATGTCACGCGTTTTTATCTTTTTCAAGATCTACGCTCAGTCATAACGTAAAGGGTTTCGGACCACTCAAGTTTTCCCGGCCTCCGCGCTTAAGACATAATCGCGCTAATTTTAGTGAGGAGCTATGGAACCGCTAATATTAACTAGCTTTAACTTCAATGTTTAAGAAGCTTGCAGTAGCGCTATACGCTTACGTTCATTGTTCAAAGCTGTTGGTATTCTGTACAAAATTTACATAAAAAAACACTTTTAATGAACCCTCCTTTAGCGGGTACATGTACCTCTCGCAAGCTGAAGCATGAAATTGAGCGCTAATGTAGGACGAGAGCTGCTTGAGATGTCAACGCGGCGAGTACAGGTCCGTTTATGAGCCAGATAATTACATTCTAAAGAGCTAGCCGCCGTTACCAATTCTCGCCCTGAGTCCGGCGCAGCGACACAGAGACAAAGCGCCTGATATGTCGTGCTCTTGAGAGTGCCGGAAATTGCCTGAGGATTCCACGGGGACGCTTGAGGCAAGGCCTCAACTTCAAGTACTTTACACTAATCGTCTCGACGTATGGAGCGATCGTAGAATAAAGTGGCAAATTTTCCAGATTGAAACGCTAGACTATATACAATGAAGGGGGGTTGGAACAAGCAAGTTAAGCTCGATAACGACAACCCTGCGCTGTGTCAGACAAAAGTAACTGCGCAAGGGCCACATCAGCAGCGCAAGGAACCATACTAGTGGAAAGAGACGAAGCTTTTGGCGCAGTGGGACCACAAATGCAGATGGAGGTAATGCGGGAAATCAAATCGGATCCTTCAGGACTTTCGCTAGAGCGTGTCAGAGTGCAGAAAACCTGTCCCATGCAGCAGAAACGACAGCATTCGTATTCCTATGAGTTTGGTAGCTCCGGAGCTGCCAAACGGCGATCTGGGGCTGGAAATGCGTCGGGAAGTATGGAGTCAGAAAGTGTCCAAGTGGCTTCTACGGCGCCCACGGCTCTCACAGCGCTTGTTGGAGGTCGTCTTCACGAGAACACGCCGCAAATGGCGGTTCTGACATCGGATCGCGGCAATTCACCTTCGTACTTGCCAACCACGTCTTGTTCCAACCTGGAGCAGGCAACAGCCGTAAACGAGAACAGTAGCGTGAAACTGTCCGAAATTTGCGTAGATCCTAACAGCAGCAGGTCTTCGCGGATTCAAAAAAGTAATCACGTACGTCTCCGTTCATCCTGCAGCTTACAAGACAGTTCAGATCCCGCTTTTGGCCATGCACAGAGCTCTCTCCACCAAGAAAGCAATGACTTTCACGAAATTCAGCATGCCGACAATGACATCAATCCCAAAGGTGAGCATACCACAAACGATAATGAGAATAGTAATAATCACACTGACAAAAAAAGTGACAACAACGACAACGACAATAATAATAACGATCCGAATGAGAACACGCCAACAGTCACACAGACCTCTAGTCAAACGAGTCAGGCACTCGTGCAGAAACTACAAGATATCTATCGAAACATCGTCAAACAAGAAGTTGAGCTTCAAGAGCGGTGCTCACAACTGACTTTTTCCCAAACCACCGATTTGAAGAATTTGTGGATTATTTACAAAGTTAACGCCGAATTGATAAACAATTATGTCGCATTCATCACCACAGCGTTGCTTCCATCTCAGCCGGAACCAGACCTACTCATAGGACAAGAGATAGTCAACATTTACCGCATCGAGCGCAGATTGTGGGTCCATGGAACCATAACCTTTTTGGACGTCCTCAAAAACTTTTCAAACTTTATGGACCCAGAAGTTTGCTGCCAGTTTATCACACATGTCTTCATGTCCATTTCTAATATGTTAAGCGACATGCCTCAGAAATACGCCACGCCTTGGTTAGAAAGGCTGGGCGACCTCTCGAGAATGGCAATTGCTCTTTATCCATCGGGTTTCATTGATTGGAAGCTTAGCGCAGAGCACTGGTACAGTCAAGCACTAGCATACATATCTGGACACGGAAAGTTGTACTATCATATGTCTACGGTACAACAGAACACTTTGGATGCCTTTGTGAATTTAGGGAAAAGTGTGTTCTGTCGAGATACTTTCATTCCTTCCCAACAGTATATGCAATTGGTCATCGATAACATTTATCAAAGAGCCTTTGCCGAAAGAAATGGGGGAAACCACAGAAACTCGCTCATGGTTGAGTATCTCAAGCACAGTGAAGTTATGCTCTTGTCGAGCTTTCTTGAAAGTCCTGAATTGCAAAAAGTCGTACTAACATTCTTCCAACACAAGTTTGGGCTATCGTCAGGTGCCAAAGATTTCTTTAGTCATCAGGATATGTTCCTACAAGACGGGGAACGTATCAAATACTTTTTCAGACATGCGCCTCTCTTCGCAGAGTCTCACATCTTACAGTTGGTCGGCTTCGGGGACCCCAGAAACCCTTTCGCGCTTTTGTTTGAACTACCCAAGTTTTTGAAAGAAAGAAAAGATCGTAAAGAAAGACGGAAATCCAAGACTGCGAATTCTGCGGAAACTCTTTTGAGTTCCTCTCCTCAGGATTTTCTGGAAAACGTGGACTCTCCAAGGTACGCATACGAATTTCCCGAAGACATAGAAATATGGCGGCAAACACTTACTTACATCAACATAACTTCAATAAAGTGCAGTGCCATTTTGTTGAAAAACTTTCTGCATGGGCCTATGGTTGTAGCAGCACCTCATTTGCTACCTTGGGCTTATTTCCTGTTATCGCTGGGTATGAGAATCGAGAAGTTGCCAAATGAGCTGTTGAAAAAGTTTTGGACTACATTATTGAGGCAAATTTTCCCTTGGAACAGCATCATCAACTTTTTAAACATGCTTATTGCATTTGTTCTCGACAACGTCTGGAAAACCTCAACTATTGATACTCTATGCGAGCAATTTGATAGTGTAGACGTTTTTACACTTGTCGATCATTTTAGTAAAAATGAGGATCTTCCTGAAGTCTGGAAATGCTGGGGGTCTTTGTGGTTTGATGTAATATCAAACAAGTCAGAAGTAGGCGTTGATAATGTTCAGGAAACCGGCGTAAAGGATGTTTCGCTATTAGACTCGCCTACAGACGGGATTGGCTTCGATGATGAAGATGAAACCGGTGTGAAATTTTGGAGGCGTGCCTGTCGGTTGATTTTTATCTTCAAGGGTATCGCTCAAAATTTTTCATTGGGGCTTACCTTATCTCCAATTTCTGTTCATTCTAGGCGTCCTCAAGCGGCAGGACATCCGCTGCAAACCTTTTCCTTCAAATTCGAAGAAAGTGCTATAGAATCCGAACATCAAGAGTTTGTAACTCAGACAGTTCCTAAGTTCGAGGAGATCAGTACCCGAAACCTCGATTTTAATGCATCTCCAAGCCTCAGCATGTTAGAAGGCCTGGTTTTGTTCGATTTCCCAGGCTATAGGCAATTGCACGCAGACTATACTTGCTTCAATAAGGCCGGTTGCTTAATAACCTGCTCCTTATACACTTCGGGAAACCTGGAGAAGGGCTTAATTCAAGGTGGGGATGACTTCAACGCCGAGCGATATCTCAAACAAGAGAACTCCGTAAAGCACACCGACTCCAAAATTAGTGAGCTCGATAAACTGGAAAGAGAATGGCTAGACACTTGTATGAATCCAGAATTCATAGAACAAACCTACGAAAGGAAATTTCCGTACGGTGATCTTGCGTGTTACTGCGATAGTGGAGTTTCGTACTTCGTACTTGATGCAACTTCCTGGCTGCGCCATTTTGCTCACGTCTACAAGCTTGCCACAAACGGTGTTCTTCGATTTGCAATTTGCTTAACGACTTTCCAAGAATTACGGTTTTTGAGAAAGTCTAAGGACGAGAGTGTGGTAGAAGCAGCTACTCGTGCCGTTATTACTGTGCGGCAACTTTACAGTGAAAAGCGGTTACTACCTTTACGGTTCACTGGTAATGTTGCCACTCATTTGGAGGAGCATTTGGAGTTCGAGGAGCAAATAACTTGGCGCTCTCATGTCGACGAATTTGTGATCGAGGCAGTCTTCAAGGCTCAAAACAAATTTCGCGCTCTCAATTCGCAAGCGAGAGAGGCAGGCCATGATTTCATCGTCACGACCGAGGAAGAACCTTTTCATTTTGTTGCATTGGTCAGTGATGATACTAATATGCGGCTGAAGGCGCATGCACAGAAAATCCGAACCTTCAGCAGCAGATTCATGTTTGCCGTTTGCAATCAAATTGGGCTCGCGCATCATGCATGCACAAATTAAATATAATGCATTCAAACCAAACACAAAACCTGAGAAACGCATTTACAAGTGTTTCCGATATAACCATCATTGCATTTAAGACTTACATATAAAACTGTAATCATAACTCATTTTTTCCCTGCTAATCCTAAAAGCGCCTATCTCATATAACCTGCCATTCGAAGAACCATGTAAGTCCCGGATAAAGAGTCAAACTTGACTTGGAATTCAAAAGAAATTGCCACGAATCGCGTTGCTGATATTTTTCAATAGATAGCTGTCCGTGTAGTATCAAAAGCTCTTGACCTTGTGCGCCGGTAGCGACAGCCAAAGTCTCAGTGGGTGATAATATTTTTAGCGATTTTACCTGCAGCATGATATCGAAGTGCGCCGGCAGAGATCTGTGCCTTTGTAGCCTCAAACTGGTTTCTAAAGCGTTCACGCTTTTCATAACACGGTACACAAGCTTTTGGCAGCTTGAAATGCACGGCTGAGGTCTCTTTCGGGGTCGGCTTTTGCTTCTTGATTTTGTATATTCAAACGGACGCCCTGTGCCAAATAGTCCGGCCACGGACTTGAGATCATGCGCTAGGGGCTTGGGTTTCGACTTGACGATGAAATCTGAGAGTGAACTGTGAGTATTCGCCACAGGGCGTTCGTTGTTGTCGATTTGGCTCGATCTTTTTGCCGCTACTAATTGTGATATGTTGATGGACTTGGGAGCCAAAGGTTTTCGATCTGGCCGCGGCAGACTGGTCATTGTTTTGAAAATGTTAGAACCATGGTCTTTGGGAGCGTGGTGAGAGCTCATATGGCTTGGTTTACTAAGAATCCTTTTATCTATATTGATCGACGAAGAGATGTCAGGTTAATTGGCTAAATACCATGGTCACTGCGTACGCTGAAAGATATGTATGGGTATACTAAGGACCATTGGTTTCTGCTGGCATCTTGATGTAGCTCGTCGGGATCTATTTAGAATAGCGTTATTCAAAACCTTCGTTATTGCTACTCTTTATGCTTTCCAGACGCTCACTTTTCGCAAGACGCGCGCGAATTTGCAAAACCACCGGTGCTCGTAGATTATTTACAGTGGTCTCTGCCATGACTAAAAGAGCGACTGACCACAATTTGACTAACTAATCGTAGCCATTCTGTCGCATCTACAGATCCCTATGTTTTTTTTTTGGTCTGCCATCAGAGTGTGGCTTACCGTTGTTATTACAAACTATTATAAACGTTTTGCTGGTGCAGAGAAGCAACGATCTGTTTTAATCCAGTTCGAATTGGTAATTAAGGCCAATTTTTACTTATGTTTATGTGGCGGTATGATGTTATTTATATGCTCGGCCGATCTCAGATATTTGAAACTCTTGGCAAAAAAGTTCGGCCGCGATTCTTAGTATTGAGGTCGTTTCGATAAGCAACAAGGAAAAGTAGCGAACCGCCGTAGAGCTTTTGTGTGTTATATATTAAGTAGCCTAAAATCTGAGCAGATTCGACAATAATGCTGGAGGTATTTCGAAAAGCGCAGGGATGAACGGTCGGATTTTTGCTGCAATTTTTGTTCCAATCGCGCTCGTCGCGGTTTTCCTCATCATAGTATTTGTAGTACGATCAAGGCTCGGGATCTCCGACGATTACCACTTGGACGTTGCCGTTGAACAGCTCGACGGAGAACCAAATCTAGAAGAATATGAAAATTGCGTGTCTTTGCTTCAAATGGATAAATTGAAAAATAGCAACGGTGTCCGCGACTGTGACGCAAAAGCCCAGGTATTATCGCTGAACGAGTTGCACGCAATTTTTCCTACGCGTCAGTACCAGGAACTTGAAAACGCAAGTGATAGCTGCGTCATCTGTCAGGAGAAATTTAATCGTTGGAACAATGTGTGCCAACTGGCGTGTAGTCATGTCTTTCATACTCGTTGTATTGACCATTGGACTTGCGAAAATTCCGCTTGTTGCCCCCTATGTCGAAGATCTTATTTCATGCCGCAAGACCATCAATCGAAGACTAAATATATTCAAGCCGTCCTAGGACCAACTTATTCCCAACTTTCCTCTGCAAAAAAGGCAAACTCCTGGCTTGAGTTGTATCCTGATTTAACGCGCGACGCGGAGGCAAGGCTTGGGAGTTTCAATTCTTCGTTTTGGAAAATAGTGCGCAAGCTATGTTTTGTAAGTGACGAAAGTATAACGTCAGTTACAATCATTAACTCGGCACACAGGCGATATAATTTGATAAACAAAGTGGAAAATATAAAACTAGAGCACATGAGAAACGAACTGCGACAAGCACAGCCAACAATTTAATAGTAACAAACCCTTTTAATAGTGATATTTATGTACAATACAGCTAGAGACTAGTTCGTAATGAGAGAAGTTGTCCTACAAGTTGTTTATAAGTTAAACCACGCTTTATTTCTTGCCCACAGTTTCCCATTCTTGATCGTTATCATCAGCGACAGATAATTTGGCAGCAGATTGTTCCAATTCGGCCACTTCCGAATCCTTGTCAGTAGCGGCCTTTGGAGCAGACGCAGCTTCAGAAGTCTCCTCCTCTTCATCCTCTGTCGAAAGAACATCATAAGCAGATTTTTGAATTTTTGGAGGCTCTTGAGCGACAGCAGCTGGAGGGCTTTTGGCGCTTGGTTTATGTGGGGCAGGCTTCGCGTTCGAGCGTGGCTGGCCGAACTTAGAGCCTCTGGCTCCACTCCAGTCCATTTCTGGCTCATTTCTAGGTTTTCTCTCGGTTCTAGCAGGTCTTTCCTGGAAGTTAGAACCTCTCATGGCACCCCAGTCCAACTCTGGTTCCTCTCTTCTTGGCTTTCTCTCGGCGGAAGCTTGGAAACCTGAACCTCTCATGGCACCCCAGTCCAAATCAGGTTCTTCTCTTCTTGGACCTCTGTCAGCAGAAGCATGGAAGCCAGAGCCTCTCATGGCACCCCAATCCAAATCAGGTTCTTCTCTTCTTGGACCTCTGTCGGCAGAAGCATGGAAGCCGGAGCCTCTCATGGCACCCCAGTCCAAATCGGGTTCATCTCTCCTCGTAGAGCCTTGGAAGGCAGAGCCTCTCGCGGCGCCCCAGTCCATGTCGTCAAAACCTCCTCCCATTCTGTCGCCTCCTCTAAAGCCCCCTTTGTTGGGAGCCGCAACAGAGACGTACACCATACGCTCATTCAGCTTGGTAGCGTTAAATCTCAGCGAGGCCTCGAGAGCTTCACGGTCACAAAGAGTGATGAATGCGAAACCCTTGAGTCTCGAAGGCTCGTTGAAGTCTCTGGGAGCAGCGACCTCTTCCACGGCACCTGGTCTGTTTAGACCGTCTTCAACCCACGCCTTGATACCCTCTTCCTCCACATCCCAGGGTAGATTGTTGATAACAGCTCTGTATGGAGGATAGTTTGGAATGTCGTATTGGATTCTTTCAGTGCGCTCCGATGCCAATGCGGGATCTAGACGAGAGCCTTTGCCACCCCCGAGACCGCTAGACCCACTAAAGGAGTCCATTCCAGCGTTTCCGCCTAGTTTCGACGTTTGACTTGGGATGTTGATCTTTTCTAAGTCAACCTCTTCCTCGGCCCACGATTCACCGAAGGACTCGTCGTTCAAGAACGAGTTCAAGTCCATTTTAACGCTCTTCTTAGGAGGAACCATTTTTGCCAGATTCAAACGTAATTTACAGCTGCTTAGATCTTCGAAAACCGCCTTGATGGTTTACTTCGAGGCCTCTTTTCTGGTTTATTTATGATCTCATCTCAATGTCGTTTTCTTAAATAAAAATTTTTTCACCCAGCGATGAGCTTGAGATTCGAGAAGTATGGTATGAAGTCCAAAGAAATCGCTAACTCAAGAACAACAAGTCAAATAGGGCCTTCGGCTCTTATATTCAGATATCTTAATGAAAATAATATTTAGCAATAAATTCGTCTTGCAATAATGCTCACAAAGTTGGCGTGTAGTTGAGATCTGACGGCGTTACATTATTTTATTGAAAACGACAGTTTAGAAATTTATGATGCATGGGACGGTGCAATCTGCGCTCAATAAGTCCAAAGGCCGGTTATCGTTGGCCAACAGGACGAGAATAATGACGTGAATTTAGATATATTGTTAAGGACCGGGCAGTAACATTTTGGCTCAAATAGATCTGGGACCCCACTAAGAAAAATAGCTCTTTTATCCAGTTTTCAGATCAGCAATGTGAAACAAACGCTTCTTTTGCTAGTTGCTTGAAACCATTGTCATGATTTGCGTAGGTAGCAGCAACTTGAAACGATAATTGTTTGCAATCATAAAGACACTACTGCTATTGGCCTTTCGTAACAAAAATACTACGCGCTAATGTTCTTCAGCATGCTGTATTGTTTTTAGTATATTTGCTGACCTTTTAACAAACAAATAGTAGTTTAGAGTACAATTAGCTGTAGACAGAACCAACTCTTAAGGATAATTTGCTTGGCACGCGTCACGGTGAGCTAAATAAAAAAATGAGGTGTCACCGTGCATTATTTTTTAGACACCAAAGCCTGAGGAGGAAGCTTCAAGGCATTCGGGTTACTTGTTTCCCTTTTAAGGGCTTTTGGTCTTGCTTCAGAATTTCGTGTCACAGGATGTCAAAGTACTAGGAAGTGATTAATGAGTATCGATCTATCAATTCAGAATAATTAGGTATTAGAGAAGGGCCACCGGGCTTCTGAGGGTGCCGATACGACCACTTCTTAGATCCCAAGCTGCAAGGTGAAACCAGGAAACACTGCAATGAAGGAGTACATGAAACTCCATACTCTTCACAGCTTCCTTCTACAAATAATCCTTGACAAGCGAAAAGAGCGTAATGATTGTCGACGTTCTCTTTCACGCATATAACAGGGCAAGCAAACGCTTAGGTTGCAGAGCTTGGAGGCAGTGATTTGCGTTTGATATACACAATCACAATATCGTCTCGATTGAAACTCCCTATAAAGAAGGCGCTTGCAAAAAGAATGAGAGATAAACCGGCCTTCTTAGGAAGTGCTACCGAGTGGTTAACCTATACATTTGACACTGGAGAAATTTTGACGAGAAAGCAGATTCATTTCAGAAGTTAAGAGGTGGTGAGTCACGAAGTTGCGTCTTAGATGTTGTTGTAGCAAGCGTCATACTATCAAAGAAGCTTGGGAGATCCTTGGAACAAAGTATCAGAGTTGAAGGTTCGAATTTGCAATTTCGAAAATTTGCTCTTCATCTAATCTGAACTCTCAACTCGATCGCCATCCAACTCTAGCCTTTTTCATGTTTCTCAATGACATCTACAGCAATTCATCTACCCACATTTCTTACATGCACACCACAACTGACGCGAAAGCAACGCCGAGGCTAACTACAAATTGCCTACCAGCCGGAAATATCAGTATTTTTTTTTCAAAGCGTTGGCACCATCGCAGTCTTCCGTTATTCGTGATATCGGCAATTTGCTAGTGTGAAAAGAACTCAAGGTGAATCGCAACGTAGCTTAAAGAGCATTAATAACAAGAAGCATTCGGTTAGGAGCACTATTAGTGGGTCATTAACCTACTGTACTTGCTATAAAGAGTAAGAATTAAACCTAGAGCTAACGAAAGGTGTTACATCACTTTCTCTCGCTTGTATTTGACAAAACCCTAAAAATTTTCTCTACCTTTTCGCCATTTTACTATATTCAATGTTAGACTTGACACTTGATTCTGCAAGTTCTGTCTGGCTGATACTAGAAGTGGTAGTAGCGTGGATCGCATTTCAATGGGTGATATTTAAGCTACTGGGTGTTTCTGTGGGCATAATAGATCCTTTAAGATTCAGAATTCGATCGATTAGGGTACGAAACCTACTTTCAATCCAATTCGTGTACTATTCCTTTTGGAATCATGGTGTTGTCTTACATGGTCTGAAATTGGAGCTTCCCCGAGGGCGTGAAATAAAAAAGAATGCTAATAGTACACAGGAAAGCCCCGAAAACTATTTTACCGTTCCAAGATGGTGCCAGTGGCTCATAATACGCCTTTTAAACCTTTTTCGACAGTACAACATTGTTCTGGAAAAGACAGAGCTCAATGGGGTGAAAGTCGACAACATGGTAGTCAAACTCGTGGGCCATGGGTCGCGTCTCGATGTGTCGATTTTAATCAAAGATGCAGCACTCGCCGATATTGCAGCTTGTTCAGGGTCGGTTATCGAGTTTTCGGGAGAAATTAATTTCCAAAGACCTGTGATGCCGCTCCAAGATCTAGTTGTGGACCTCAAATTTAGAGGAGTGTCCGCGTCCTATGAAAGACTCGTCACCTATATAGAATCCGGTCAGGAAGGCGAACCTGGTCAGAGTGAGCCATCCTCAAATGGTAATGAATCAACCGGAGAGCCCGCGATTCCTGCTGGTCTTGGTGGAACCAGTGACTCAGAAGCCTCAGCATGCATTCATTATATCAAATCACAGCTACTTCAAGCCGGCGACTTTGTTGCGATGCTTAATAAAGTAAATATTGCTTTGGACGGTGTTGCAGTAAGTGACATTCCACTATCGAGAAACCCAGAGTTAACTGACACCGCGAGCCTTTTGGAGTTTGAAGTGTCCCTGTCAAACCTGACATTTGCAATTACCAGACTTGATTGCCACTCTCCAGGTTTTAAGCTGACCTTTTCACCTAATGAATTTCCCTTGAATTTGCAATGCACTATGTCATCGATAGCGTTCAAAGTTCATCAAAACTTGAAGAACGAGACTGCGGGTCGTGAGACTTACCAATTTTGCGAAATTCCCAGTGTCGCCCTTTATGGTGATACAAATCTGCTATCGTTGCGCTCCATGGAGGAAAACTTTGATGAGCCAATCGAGACAGTGGTCAGGTTGGTTGGCCATATATCCTCACCTGTGTTGGATTTTGAAATTGCCCAGTATTCTTTATTAAAGTCATTCAAGGACAACTTGAAGGTGTTTCAATGTTTATTAAAGGACGATGATGATGTTACGCCTCCTACATGCGCTAAGACTTTAGAGAAGAAACAAGCAATACTCACATACTTTCAGCATATTCTGCCACACGTGGAATCCAAAATTACAATAGAGGACCCAATGACCCTTATTAGTGACGGATGTGAACTACTAGTTCAAAAGTGCTCTATACTGTCAATTCAAACAAAGTCTGATAAATATAGATTAAGTGGTGAAGCTGATGAAAAGGAATTATATTACAAATGGAAAAATACAATTGAATTGATGGACTACAGCTTCACTTATCATAATAAATTCAAAAAGTATGAGCACAGAATTCTAACAGTGACCAATGTTTCCATAATGACCTTAGCACAGCTGGTACCAAATATCCGCACAAACATCAATGCCGGCGTTGATGTGTGTGAGTTGGACTTATCGGAGCTCTCCACTTTAATGGCTCTAAACAAAATATTTCGAAAGGCGAATTCAAAGATGCTACTTGTGGAGGAAGAGCATTTCGATAAGCTATACGAAAAATTTGCCTCTTTCTTGGAATCCACCAAGCAGGAAAATCTCAAAGATAAGAGACTTCTCAAAGAAACCGAGGTTTGCCCTAAAGCTCAGTTATTTGAACAGCTACCATCATTCTTTGATGGAATGCGCACTAGCGTCCGGGGACTGAAAATAACTGTTGGCGCAAGGTCCGTTTTCATGTCGAATGATATCTTCACAGATTTGACACCTCAAAGTCCAGAGGATTTAGTTGATGGTGAACTGAGAAAAATGTCTCATAGTTTTGAAAGAATTCAGTTGTCTTTGAGCGGGCCAGGTGAGCAGTCTCGAGTGAGCGATGAACAAAGTAATTCGGATGGTTCTACTTTGATTAACTCCATGAAAACTTTTTCTTATGATGAGCTCGGTTTAGACGATAGTTCTTCGAACTTTTCTGCTGGCAGAGAGTTTATTTGGCTTTTTCGTTGCTCGATTCACAATATGGTAACAACACTGTATTCTGAGAAAAGAACAAAAAGGCAAACACTTAGCGCCAAGACGGTTTTCAAGCTACCGGAATTCGAACTCGCTATATACCCCGATACACCGCTGCTTGATAAGGCAGAAGCTGCAGGTAGCAAAGTGGTTGTGTCAATCAATACTGGTGATTGTGAGACTATGCTATCTTTGATGACAGTTTTTCTTGTGTTCTCTGCCGCTCACACATTCAAACAGACTTTTACGAGAGATGTGAATCAGCATGCGCGGGAGTCGAAGGCTAAACGCCACCTGTCTACTCAGTATGCAAAGAAGGGGAAAAGGTCTTTTTTGGCACGTTTAATGAAAAAGGAATTACTAGACCTTATCAGTTTCGAATTTAATGCCAGATCTTTGAGCATGGTCATAATATTACCTAACGGTGTCAAAACGAGGGTAGAGGCTTTCAGAAGTAGCATAACGTGCACCGATATTTCCAATCTAACAATTCAAGGCCACTTTTTTCGATTCTGCGTGGAATCACCTCGAGTAACGAACTTTTGGGTAAGAATGATGACAATTGTCAATTTTAAGGCGCAGGGAAATATAAAAGATGTCATAAACCAAAGCAAAGATACTTTTGGTAAGGGCACAGAACCTACTGTCATGCTATCAAACGACATGTGGAACTTCAATATACCCCATGCTTTCGAAATGTATCAAATCTTTGATAACATTTCTACCACTGTTAAAAGTATCAAGCAAATGATTTATTCGTTAAAAACCTCTAGCAACAAAAATGTCATCAAACCTCATGTGTCTAAACCTCTACGTCTTCCAAGCATCAACTTGAGGTCTAAAAGATGGGTTCTTAGCGTGGAAGACGACGCTTTTGAATCCCAGCTGTCAATGATTTTTCAAGTTGGACTGAAAGAACAGAGGTCTAGGCTGGAAAAATATGAAATTTTCGAGAAAACAGTTGCTAAAGAGTTGACGACTAAGCACAAAGGCATGCGAAGATCAGAAACTGCTAATATGGATATTATTAGAAAACATAAACATACTGACAGTTTGGACAGTATACGTGCCGCAAGAAGAGGAAGCGTTCCGACTCTAAACCAACCGGATGTGACAGAAAAGCCAGACCATATTCCGCAGCAGGATCATTTCCGGTACGTTGAGGATGCTGAGCTGCGGGCGAGAGAATTTCACAAACTTCAAGAGCAGATTTCCACATCGTGGATAAGAAGAATTCAAGCGTTCAAAATAAAAGAACAAATCGAATTTCTAAAGAATTTCGAATATCTATGGGGCAAAGTCGACCCCGAATGCTTCCCACCTAGCGCCAATAAGCGTATCATGGCGTTTGTTTCTTCTCCACCTCTAATGAACATTATACTAGAAGATATTGACGTAACCATTTCGCAACCATCATTTGGAGTTGATAATTCGCCGAACTTCATTTATGACGTTGGGAAAGGAGTTCCCAAAGATACCAAGTACTCAATTATGGTACCAATGCATTTAAATGCAGAGTTCAGAGAAATAAGGTGCCATTTGCGAGATTACCCTTTACCTTTCGTGCACCTTCCAGATTTGACTGCGAAGCAGAGGGAAGCAAGTGGTGGTGCATCTATACGCTTACATGGCGATGTGATTATTTCTGAAGATATAATAAGATCTGATGCCGAGCTAAGGACTTTGTTTGTACCATTAGTTCCCTCCGCTACACTAGAGAATGATGATAAATTCTATTCTTTGCTCGTGCCCCGGACTTTGACAGCAATCAAGACATACGCAAAAATAGACCTCGAGTTGAACTCAGAGGAAACAACACTTGTCGCATGGAATGGCTCTTATTCCCCAGCAATTCAGCAAGCCATGCAATGCTTCGATAACTTTTCAAAGCCGCCAATCGATCCCTCCCCAAAACTCGGTTTCTGGGACAAAATAAGAGAAACCTTTCATGCAAGAACCTCTGTGAGGTGGAAAAATGGTGGTCAACTTAATGTTGCTTTGAAGGGTGGAAAAAGCCCTTATACGATGGGCGGCGAAGCCGCTGGCTTCGTCGTTGGATTGAAGGGTGACGTGGAAGTCGGATGTAACATAGCCGACGATCCCCGAAAGTTTGTTTCCCTGACCTCTCAAGAAGTCTTCTTTTCAATCCCTAATTTCTTTGCAAAACCATTGTTATCATGGTCCAGAAGCAGCAAAGACTCTCTGTTTTTCCCTAGTTACGAAAACACCAATCTTCAACAGTATGCCTTTTACTATGACATGATCGAGCTCCCGGATATAAAACAGCTATCGGATGACATACACGTGATGGGCAGAGCATACTTGGAGAAGACGGCTATCAGATTAACTGGTGGGATCACGCTAAATGTCGGATTCGTCTTCGAAAGATTAGAATCGGACCTCAAGAAAAGGACTTTTGAATCGAAGTCACACTGGGATACCCGATTGTGCAACCCTGTCCTGGTCGAAGATCTTGGCGATCACGATTCTTATAAAGGCTTCCGAAGTGATTTCATTCATTTATCGTTCACTCTCCTATCTAGCAATCCTAAAGCCTACAATGTCTTGCAGCTAACGCCAGGTGCTTTCAGAACTTTTTTTGGTTGGTGGCACAGCTTTTCAGGGAACTCACCAATCAGGCGTGGTCCGCTGTTTGGTATGAACAGTATGAGCCCCAAGTTTGGTGTTCATCTGTACACCATCTCTTACCATGCAGATGTTGCCCCACTTTTCATCAGCCACATGCATGAGCTTTTCGATCCTGACAACAAAATGAAGGGTGTAGCTGATCGAGTCACCAGTTTTGTGGGTTTGAAAGCCAAGTCAGAACATTTTGTGATGGATCTTCACCAGCGCAAAGAAGTACTCCATGAGTATAAGCATGAGCTCAATACCACAAAGCGCATTTCTCGACTCATGCTCCATGAAGGGTATGTATCAAATTTTGGAATCGACGTCAGGACTGTACAAGCACAATTTAAGGAAGCAACGTACGCTGATGACCAAAGTTCACATTTCGATATTTTCGACGACGACATGACCTGGTTCGATCCTTCGGATTACACCGAAGTTTTTTTGGACCGGATGGGTGACCGCATCCCTTCAGTTAGCATAAACTCATTGGTGTACTCTCCGAAATTTGTCTATCGAAAGCATGCGAGTTACGGAGATAAATATCAGGTCAACTTTGAGACGTGTGAAAAAATCGAGCCATTTAAAAATTCTGATTATCATGACTGCTCCCTCCAAAGCACCGTGCGGTCTCCATTGTATCTCATCGAAAGACGTCTCAATGCACTTGAAGAAAAGAAATTGAAAGTCGCTGAAGAGCTCAAGCAACAACCTCAGCAAGGCCTCCAGGAAAAGAAAAAGCTCTTGGAAAATAAATTGGAAATGATCCAGGCCGCAATCCTGCAAGTGAAAAAGCTACTTCAAGATTTCAGTGAGTACGAAAATTATGACGCGAGCGAGGACGAAGACTCCAAAGCTGATTTGAAAACTGAAAAAATCCCCGATTCAGCTCAAAGTATCAAGAAGCACGACTGTGCAGAGTTTGAATGGCTTACGAAAAAGTCCTTCTCAAAGACATTTGAGCATCGCTTTTTCATCTTCTCGATGTATTTGAAATGGAACGATACTGTCAGGGGCGCGGTCTATAGTTACATTCATTTGCTTGATTTCAACCGAGAATTGGCGTATATTACGAATCACAAGGCGGTTCAAAGAGTTAACGATGTGATCAGAAATGCCGAGGGCACCCAGGTGGAAAAGCTTGAATCAATAGTGGAAAGCACAAACTCAGATTCCGTTCATAATCTTCAAAGCGAAGAAATCGAGAGTTTAGATGCTGGCGAGGATATTCTTTCTGTGTTCGAAGAAGGGCTGAGAAGCTTGCAAACTGATTTTGATTTTGTCACTCACGATAATCATGTTGTGCAATTCGTTGCACCTCAAATACAGTTTACTACAACAAAGAAACCAGACGTTTGCACGATGATCACAGCACCAAGCATTAAGTTAAAAACAATAAGTTTCGATACGAATGTCACGCAAAATCAGTACAACTCAGATGTTTTCATGAACCGCTATAGCGTTGCTTTACTAAAAGCAAATGTTTTTGTGTTCCATAAAGACAGCATGGATGAAAGTTATGATGTGTTCTTCAATGAGGAAGGATACGACCAAAACAAAGAACAAAATTGGCAACCTTGGCTGGGCGTGGAGCTGTGCTTTGATTCAGCTTCCCTCGGCAAGGAAGCACTAATTCAAAACCTTTCGGCTATCTTCAGATTTGACAGGGTGTTCTCATTTGCGAACTTTTCCGGCATCAACGAACAGAATTTGAATAACAAAATGATATGCCAATTACCTAGAACCATCATAAGCTCGAACTCTCGACAGTACTTGGCTCTTTATGACGTGATTGCACATCTGCTGGTGTACGCAGAGCCAAAGAGTGCTCACTTGCGTAAAGAGGTCGAAAAGCTAATGCTAAGTTATGATAGTGCAAACTTGTTACACCTGAAGAGAGTTGTTACCGATCTTCAGCAAAAGATTGTTGCGTTGAAGCTCCTAGAAAAAGAACTGGCATTCAGGAGGCACATTCTTGATGCCGATGGCATTGACGATCTCGAAACTATTCGCAAAAATAAGTATGAATCTTTGATCAGCCTTTATATTCTGATGAAGGTTCTTAATATGGGCAGTCAGGAACACGCGGCAGAAGATCAAAAAATGTTATGGGATCTGGAGGCAAAGGAGATCATTCTGCATATGTTGCATGATGATGGCACTCCATTTTTAGATGTTGCGTTGGCCAAATCATATTTTCAACGAGTGCAATCTTCGTATGGTTATAACAGCAACAAGGTAGTGATCGGGGTTGCCCAGATTTTCAACTTGGACCAAGGCGTAATATTCAACAATCTTCTGGGTCCCTCGGATGCCAGAAAAGGAATCGAACATAATGGGGAAAGCAAACCGCTCATTGTACTTGAGTGGGAAATTGAGAAACCTGTAGGGGGAATGAAGGTTATTAATAATGCCACTACAATTTTCCGTGGTTTGGATATTAACGTGGAACAAGAGACATTAACGAAGATAATGAGATGGGCTTTCCCTGCCGAAATCGAGGAGTACATCCAAGAACACAATAGGTCAAGCATGCAATACGAAGACACTGGTGATGATTATGCAAGCACAATGTCGGATCAACATAGTTTTACCATTGGCAAAATCGGTAAGGAAGGAAAACCTGTTGAGAGCCCTGACGACGTTGATGAAATGTTTAAGAGGTCATCCGATTACATGGTTATCAACAACATGGTAATCAATAGTTTCAAACTCACAATAAGCTATCGAGGCAACGGAGCCACCAGGCTCATCAATGTCACAAACTTCGGGTTCTTATTTCCCCGTCTTACGTTCCATAATCAGACGATAACCATGGTGGATCTAACTATGATGGTGAAACAGGTATTGCTGAAGTCTTTGTTCAAGCACGCGGGCAAATTTTTGGGCAACAAACTCAAAAAGCATTCTCTCAATATCGATACATCAAATCCTCCTCTGCGGCAACTGTCCAGTTATCGCTCGTACACGAAAGTTGAAGATCTGCAAGAGGATAGAATACCAGAACAAGAGAAAGAACAAGACACACACATTTCGTCATGAGACATAAATGAATTGAACGGATTTGTTTATTTCCACATCAAGCCATTCAATTAGCATAAGTAGGCATCAGGTGCATTTTGCCTTACAATTTCCGTTAAGAATCCAATCCAAATCACCATTTATGGAGTGTCGCTGCGGTTACTGTCAATGAAATAAAAAAAGCATTTGGTGTTGTTACTCGTAAATTAATATCGACCTGTAAATAAAGTATGCATTGTGACTGAGAACTGAATAGTCCAATAACCAGGGTTCACTATATTTGGCGCGCAACCCGTCGGAAGTTACGGGCAGTCGCGCTAGGCCCTCTGATCATTTATTATAGTCAAACTTTACTTTGTTTAACAATAATGAGCGGATTGGCCATAACAAATGAGAAATTGAAAAATACTTAGGGTACGTATATGCACCCGAGCGATGCATCATGAGACATGACACCCAGTCGAATAAAGTTATAGATATAGAAGAAGGATCAGATTCATGGTGGCTTGATCTCTCTGGCCGTGACCAGTTGGAACCAAAATTCAAGCGACCAGGTAAATGGTTCACGGAAAAGGTCACAATTCCTTCGCAAGTAGCCTTACTTTGTGGAGAGATCAAGGTCAACGCAGACTCAAGAAAATTCAAATCATTGTTGGGAGTCCGAGACGTACCGTTGAAGAGTTTTGCGCCCTTAGAGACGTTTCATGATGAATTTGCTATGGCTTTAGAGGACGACCCCGAGACACTTGATGATTCCGATTTGGAGCTTTTGGCTGGTGAAGCTCAGGTGGCTGAAGAGAAACCTGAAGAACAGCAAGTTGAAATGCAATTCAAGCACGCTACGATTGTGGTGAGCCGAAATATGATCAAAATTGTTTCTATCCGTAAGGTCTTCCCATGTCCCTTCAACGTTTTGAGTTGCCAATTTAAATTAGGTTCTCACGATCTCTGCGAGGACATTCTGTTGATCTTGACAGACGAGGGCATCATATGTAGCGTTGCGTTTGATACTAACTTAAGACCGCTTGTTATGCAATGGTGGAGACTTTTGAAGAGCGATGGTGACCCTCAAACTCTGAGAGTGCTGCCATCTACTAATCAATTTGTTGTTGCGACAAATAAGGTGCTCAAATTCTTCAAATTCGTTGACACTTTTCATTTTGAGCTGGTTAGTAACTTGAATTTTGAAAGCTCAATTTCTGGCGCTGAATTCCTTGACTGTGGTGAGCGCAAGGACCACTTCATGCTGTTTGGAGCGCTAAACCGCTCAGATCGAGTCACTTTGTGTGTGGTTCAGTGGGGAGCATTAAATGAAGAGAGAAAGGAAGTTCATCCTTTAACCTTACTGGATAGCGAACCTATCTCAAGTATTATTGCGCTTGACGATTCGCGCTGCTTGACCGTTACCGAGACAGAAATGAAGCTCATTACGGCAAATCAGGTATTATCTGGAGAGCTCTCATTTTTGTCGGTGAAAAGATCAATGTTTGGTTCGTGTGTGACTAAATGCTTTGACGATGCCATCTTACTTTCACGGCTAAAAACACTCAGGACTGATTTGGAATGTTTTGTGCATTGCTCAGTGCTCGCCACGTCGAATGGTGCTCTTTGCTGCTGTCTCATCGACGAAGGAGGAGCGCTAAAATTCTTGGAGCTTACAAGATTTAAGGGCCTCACTGATGCCTTTCTAATGAGAAACGAACACACACCGGATAGTGTATATGCTGTAATAGTATCCAGTTTTGGGCGGCTATTCCAAGTATACTTGGATTTGAAGTCTCTCAAAGAACTCAGCAAAGACTACAAAATTCCTTCACTACAGAATGTTATTAACAATCGAACTATTAGTGCAGGCCATGACCTCGGAAGTTCTGTGGCATACATTCCAGCTTCTGAAAAGGGCACAGCTGGAGAAGATCGAATATGTTTGCTATCGGTAGCAACTATTTCCCTACTTTCCCCATACCAACTAGCCCAAGATTGCTCAGTATTGCTTGTAGTGAACTCTCTCAAAGCTGCGAACAAGCTACTTATGTTTGACTGTGCTAACCTACCGGAGTCATGGAAAAACCAGTTTATAGACACTATCAATTTGAGGAACAAAAGTTTTTTGGTTCTAGACGAGAATCCAACGGGAATGTCAAATCTTTTGTTAATCGAGTGTTGTGGGGATTATAGCGTTTCGAATGTCATAGAGCTCGAAGACGTTCTAAGGAACGATTTGGGTGAATTTGTCTTTTTTACGTTTACGAATCACAACTTTGTTCAAGTAACTTCCCAAGCCGTGAGTGTAGGCAGTTTCGCAGAGGGCAAGAACTGGGTGTATCACACCAAATTTTTTGTGAGTGGAGCCATATGTTGGGAGGGAAAGCTCATAATCTGGAATGCAGAACAGGGGCACATGGTATTTACCGATGATATCGATGATTCACGCAACGAAGCTTACCATGAGCTGAAAATCCCCATGAAAGGAAAACAATCAAAAATTACATCTGTGATGTTTATGAGGAACGAGCAAAGAGAAGATGTTATTCTGATCATTTGCGATGAGATTGCTTACCGTGTTCGCTGTGACGATATCCCGCTTTCAAGTCAAGTTTTCGAATCTGTTTCAGATACTTTTGTTCATTATGGGTCTTCTAGTGTTAATCGAGCAATTTTCAGTGACTTAGATGGCAACCTTTACCGGTTTACAGAAAATGAATTGACATGCAGTGCTCCAGTAGTAGAAAAATTGAAACTAAATTTGGAAATAGGTCATCCGTGGAAAATTCGATACACGACCAAAGGTGAGTGCGTTCTTTACGCACCCCGAGTAATGCATTTATTGAATCTCGAAGATATGAGTGTTATAAATATCTCACTCGGGACTAACAGAAAGCGCTCTACAATAATAGACGTTCAAGCCTTCAGAGGCCTATATTTTGTATTGTTCTCGGATGGTTTCGAAATATTGGATCCGACTTGCTACACTCACACTTCGAGCACCATTGTCCTGAAAGCTACCAGAAGTGCTAACAAACAGTTTTTGCATTTGAACAGAATCAACCGAATGCTGGTGGTGAACAAATTGAAGAAAACTCTTGATTGTGCGAAGTTAGAGAATGGAAGGTTGCTGTCTTTGGACTCCAAATGCTTATCCAACTTTGAGAATGTTCTTGAAGTTATTGAAATTCGCCGAGTAACAGGACCCATAAACCTAGTGGTGGCAGGGTCAGTGCAGGGGGAAATGTCAATTTTGAAATGGGTACAGATAGTTCCGTGGCCCGGTAAACTAATAGTGCGAGAAGTGTGTTCGTATTCTATGGAGATGGCGAATCCTGACAATGTTCATATGATCTCCATTGACAACAGCATGTTTTGGGCTTCTTGCGGTAATCAACTACATTTGCTTCGATTAGATTGTGATAAAATCTGCTTGGTGCGCACAATCGCGGCTTTGCGAGGTGCAGTTCGTGCATTCGACGCCACCTTTGATTTGGTAACGGCAGTAACCCATCAAGACGACCTTTATTGTGAGTGCCGCGAGAGAAATGGCACATGGCGCCAACTGGAAGTGGTGGAAGGTGCTGCGAATATGAAGTTCCACAAGCCGCTAATTATTGGCCAAGACTGTATAGCACTGCCTGCAGACATTCTCAATAATCCAGATGCGCATGGTGTGATATTATTCTACATCATCTCCGATGGTGCATTGAGCTGTTTTAATGAAATACGGTTTGCGCATCCTATACAAGACGTGCAATATTCATCGAAAAATCAGGAGCTGTGTGTGCTACACGAGAATGGCACAATAGTAACCCTCCAAGGTCAAAGTGAGTGCTCTAAAACTTACTCTGTGGTGGGAGGCGCGCAACCGGTCGATCGAACTCTCAAGGTGAGTTCTCAAACCGGGTGCTGGGCTTTAGAGAAGCAACAGCTGTCTCCCATAACACACCAGTGGTGGTAGAGCAAAAAGTGAAGAAGATAGAAATTCTAAAGCTTTGTATCGCCAACCTAAAGCTTAACCGCCCACCTGCATGGCTTACACGCGCAAGTGACGTGAAACTCAAATCATGGTGATGAAGGATGTGTTCATCACCGCTAGTCAGCTAGAGAAATAGACAATGCTTTACAAGCACACGAGCCCTCCGTTTTTAGGCCACGGCCTAGCAGCCAGTCTTCATATCCTGTTAATTTTGAACACTTGGCAGACCATCCACTTCTCGACTAAATCTCCCTCAAGCGTCAGTCTGGTATGAAGTGATATTCATATATATAAGATACTACGAAATCTCATAAGGCATCGAATTCAACTCGCGCCGCAATGCTGGGGCACTACACAGGTTTTCACTCGTCGATATCGCTGCAGGTAGTTTGCTTGCATGGATGGATCGCAAGGCGGACGATTCGGGCCGTCCGAGAAATTCATAAATACCAATAAACTTCCCAGTACAGCAATACCGTTCTTCAGCCAGATAAAACACGGAGAAGTATATGCAGCCAGCGATTATTTCCTAATAAAAACTACTAGGCGATGCGCATTAAGAACATTGCTGGCACAAAATAGACCCCAATCCAACCTAGAGACCAATCTTCATAGCTTCCAAATAATTTGATTTCAAAACAAACGCATGTGCAAGCTCCGTTCCGAAAGCCTCCCTTACTGAAAACAACGAGCATGTATCCTGGAACAATCAGCACGTAATTAGCAGGGCCAGGTAAATGATCCAGAATGTTGAAAGAAAACTCTGCATTAGAATAAGCTCTGATGAAGCATATTATTCGCTAACACAGCCTGTACAATGCTTGGCTTTTGACAATAGCTTCATCGCAGTTCGACCACGTACAAGAACTACCTGCTCAAACCGATACGCAATTCATTTCTACCCTCGTTCTCATCGTGTTATACGTTATTGGGTAGATAAATTCATTTAGTGAAAATGACGACTCGAGTTACTCACAGGTCACGTTTGATAATTTGATTCGAGCATCATCAAAATAATAATACCTTTTTAACGAAACCGTCATATTAATAGTCCGATCCGTAGAAAATTGGGAAATACTCTTCAAATTGGGAAGTAACTGCCAGATAGAAGGTCATTAAAGCGGTTTTGCAAGTTGCAGCGAACGCATTTGGCAAGGTTGAAAGTTTTGGTTGGCTTTCCGTTCAGGGATCTAATATATTTCGGGATCTAGTGGACAACGGGGACCTCTTTGAATACGTGCATTAGAAGTTTTTGGAGATCGTATGTCGTTTCAAGCAGGATCTGCGCCAGGAATCCGCAAAAAGCTGGTGATCGTAGGTGATGGTGCATGTGGCAAGACTTGTTTACTGATCGTATTTTCGAAAGGCCAATTCCCGGAAGTTTATGTTCCGACAGTTTTTGAGAATTACGTGGCCGACGTAGAAGTCGACGGTCGTCATGTAGAGCTAGCCTTGTGGGATACTGCTGGTCAGGAAGATTACGACCGGCTGAGACCACTGTCGTACCCAGACTCGAGTGTAGTTCTGATTTGCTTCTCGATCGACTTGCCCGACTCTTTGGACAACGTCCAAGAGAAATGGGTCTCAGAAGTGTCGCATTTCTGTCAAGGTGTACCATTTATTCTTGTTGGCTGTAAGGTGGACTTGCGAGACGATTTGCAGGTTTTAGAGGCTTTAAGAACAACGGGTCAAAAGCCCGTGTCCGTCGCGGAGGCAAAAGCAGTCGCAGAAAAGTTCGGTGCTACTGCATATTACGAGTGCTCTGCAAAAACCGGATATGGGGTTCCAGAAGTCTTTGAAGCGGCCACCAGAGCTGCGCTCTCGGGCAAGTCCCCTTCCAAGCAGACCAAAAACGGTCCGGCCAAGAAGAAGAAAAAGTGTCTTGTGCTCTGAAAATCTCAAAGGGTTTACCATTTGAGAAAAAAGTGCGATTACGGAACAGTCATTCATTCATTTCATTCATTCACTTTAACGTCATCTAATCATACACGCGCATCACCCGATTCGGGTGATCATTTTTACTATGGGAAGAGGGGAAGCCTCAGGAGATCTGAGAACCCGCCCAGCATTCATTTCGAAACCCTATTTTTTGGTCTCTGTATTAATACCAACCGCATTTCACTCGTTAACAGCTTACGAAGGGTAGCTGTAGGAAAGAGCCGTGCGCAGAAAAGTGGTAGTGAATGTGAAATGCAAATATTAACAGAGAGTCTGGGAGGTGGGAAGTGGGAAGTGGGGAGCGTCTGAGAACATTTCGCCGGAGTAACGAATCTGCAATCTCATTTTACTGGTGATAGAACTCGGAAGGGAAGGCTGAAGTGGATATCCATTTCGTTGAGAGTGACTAACCTATTTTACGATCTTCATTGTCATTTCCACTATGCCGTTTCATACACCTTCCGCACTTTGCAGCTTTGTCACTTCTATATTGTCCTATCAGTCTCGCTCCTTCCGTTACTATCTCATCCTAGGAAGGTCAGTCAGAAAACTAAGATAGGTCCTACACCTTGAAAAACTCTCAAAAAAGGCGCCGAGAGACTCAATTGAATTCTTCTGGTCTTTGGGACGGTGTTACCACCTTTTTGTGGAATATGAAGCCCCATTTGTTCTGGTCTGTTCATTTCCTTTCCCCATCTCTCCGTACAGCATTACATTCCTATATATATAACTACAATTTTTTTCGCCTTTTTTCGCTATATAAACAATTGACAAAATCGTCGAGGGGCGTAACGGTAAATTTGAATTTCAATCATATAAATAGTTTCAAAAAGATCAACACAGATTCAAAAGATCAACATATTGATTTATACTCGTTGAGGAGCGATTTAAAATAGGCATTTTGAATTTGAATCTTATCGAAACTGCATTCTTGGCATATTGCAGTCAACGCTCAGACTCCCGGGAATAATATCTGCATAACAAGAGGAAATCTTGAGTTTCAAGAACCTTTTCTAACACACATTTGGAATTAAACAACGCTTTTCTGATCCCTGTCTACATACCAATATGTCACAGGCTGCTATGAACAATGCGAGTATCAGAAGAAAGTTGGTGATTGTGGGTGATGGTGCTTGTGGTAAAACGTGTTTGCTAATCGTTTTTGCCAAAGGCAAGTTCCCACAAGTTTACGTTCCTACCGTATTCGACAACTACGTGGCTGACGTTGAGGTCGACGGTCGCCGTGTTGAGCTGGCGCTGTGGGATACTGCTGGACAAGAGGACTACGATCGTTTGAGACCGTTGTCGTACCCAGACTCTAACGTGGTGCTGATCTGTTTTTCGATCGACCTTCCAGATTCATTGGAAAACGTCATGGAAAAGTGGATCTCCGAAGTGTTGCATTTCTGTCAAGGTGTTCCAATCATTTTAGTCGGTTGCAAAGTTGATCTCAGAAACGACTCTCAAGTTATTGAAAACTTGAGAGCTAATGGTCAGGAACCTGTATCTCAGGGCTCCGCTCAAGAGGTTGCTGAGCAAATTGGTGCCGTTGAGTACATTGAATGTTCTGCCAAGACCGGCTACGGTGTGCGCGAAGTTTTCGAGGCTGCCACAAGAGCTTCTTTGATGGGTAAACAAAACAAGGCTAAGAAAACCAAGTCTTCCGGCAAGAAGAAGAAGAAGTGTATTCTCTTGTAGTTTCAAACAGCAAACGACGAAAATCACTAGCTAGATCAAACTTTACTCTTCCTACTGCTGCACAGGAAATTCGAAACGGAAATGTCGGAAAGGAATAACAAATGGTATGCCACCAGAGCTCTCAAAACAAACGCTTTCGCTATTTGGACCCGTTTTTCTATCAGGTTAGAAAAAGCTTTCGGTGAGGACAAGTGTATAATAAAATCAAATCATTTCTCTTCCTACTATCTTCACACCTGTTTTCGGGTTTTAGTCCTTTTTTCATGATCCGTTAAATTATAATATATACAAGAATTGATGCAGAATCCCTAATAAAATAGTATTTACCAAACACCTTTCTTTACGCCCGGCAAGTCTCCATTTCTAGCCTTCTCTCTGAACTGCGTTCTGCACAGCCTGAAATCACTAAGTACTGCTCTTGCGTGTCCAGTCTCCACACATCTATTTTTCACTTGTGACATTCTGGTGTAATTTGGCATCACACTCAAGCGTAATTGGGCCTCTAGTCTGGCTTTGGGAGGTAGAGTTGTGTTTCTCGCTATGTATTTGAGTGCTTTGGTAGTGATTTCATGTTCAGCTACCTGTTGTCTTTTGAAATTGTCTCTGATAACCCTAGCATTCAGAAAGGTAGAAGGAAGTTTGACTTTGACAGGAAATCTGAAGTTTCCCATGGCTTGCTAAGCTCTGATAATCAAATTGTGTATCTACTGTTGGACTAGATTGTATTTCAAGATTCAAAAACTCACATTGCCGACCTTCAACACGGAAAATTTTAAATCGTTGATGTCATATTAAACGAGGGAGTATAAATATTGTAAAGAAGTTGCCTAACTTGAGAGTCTATAAAAAATTCAAAGATCCAGGTTTCTCTGGGCTGGCAATCTCTACTATTATTGTTGGGTGAAGCCTCCTGTTGAGTTCTTATGCCTCCCTCAATTTTTTTTAGGCTCATTATCGTTTTCGAGAAATTGAGCAAAACGGCTTGTCTCGTGAATTCCACACTCGGTCTTAGCTTTACCTTTCCACCTTCCGGCTCTCTCGTCCTCTCCTTCAGCAACAGGCACTGTAGAATGGTAGTCTCCAACTGACTTATAGCCCAGGTCTAACAGTTCGTTGTATGGAATCTGATTCTCGTCGATGTAGGCCTTTACTTGTTGAAAATCCCAATTGGCTAGAGGGTTGATCTTGAGAATCCCATTTAGTTCATCGATCTCAACAAAATTTAATTCTGAACGGCCTGCGCCCTGAGATTTGCGGCGTCCTGTGAAAACCGCAGTTACGCATAATTCCTGGTATGCTCTGTGTGCTGGCTCTGCTTTCACCAAGTAATCGTACTTAGTATCGTCGCGGTCCCACAAAAAATCGCCGTACTTGGCGGCAAACTCAGACTCGCTTTGTAAACCCTCAGGTTTGAACACATGAACCAGCTGATTCTGAGGCTTGTAGTAGCGCGCTTCGACCTTCTGCAGAAGCTCAAGCGTTTGGGGAAAATGGTGTAAGGTGTCAATGAAGATAAGAGGAGTAATGTGGGTTTTCTGGATTTTGGAAAGCATGTCTATCGTAGCGAGCCCTGTGAGCCCGAACGCAGTTGTTTGGAAAAGATGAGGGAAAGTGGCAATAGACCATTTCAATATTTCATGAGGCGATTCCATCTGCGAAAGCGCCGCATTCCACAGGTCTAACTGTTCTTGTGTTACCACGATATCGTTATTCAGCCTATACTGCATCGTCGAGACGTTGTAATAGCCAAGCTTGTTAATAATAAGGAACCGAGTGACAGATTAGCCCAAAGCTTCTTAACTTTATAAAAAAGAGCCGTTTCTTACTTTTACGAGCGTATGGCTACCATCGTGTAAGATTCTTACTAAAACCTTCCCACTCTCTATCGAGCCATAGTAATCTTTGGTGTGATTATACATATCTTTCACGTGAGATTACTAGCCGCTCTTGTATATAGAATATACCGTATTTAGCCGCTCAAGTGGGTCCATTTGGTATGTAAGGAACTTTGTATATCAAAAATGTTCAAAGACGGCTTTGTAGCCCGCCAAGTGTGTCTGACTGCTTTGCAGCTTCTGTTTATCCTAACTATTTATTTTGTCAAGCGGGTGGTTTCCTCAAAAATCAATTTAGATCAAGCTTGAATAACAACATCATTACGAAATATCAAACTTCAGATCATCAACGCAAAGCAGAAAATGCCCCAATTAGACTTGAATAAGATGCAGGAAGACCTGGCTGGGACTGAGCAACAGATAGGTTCGGTTATTGAATCGTTTATTGAACTCGGGGTCTCGATTTATGATTTCCCAGGAACTTCGGAAGCAACTCAGGGTATGATGACCAATTTGAAGCGGAATGTAGATCGTCTACGAAACTTGAATCGTCAAGGCAATGACCCTAATTCTCAGCTGAACAACTTTCATGTTCCGCTAGAAGTGGTTCAGTATATCGAAGATGGTCGAAATCCGGACGTTTACACTCGTGATTTCGTGGAGGCTATTCGGAGATCAAATCAGTACCAGAGAGCGAAGATGAATGGTATAAAGCAGCTGAGAGACAAGCTCGCTGGGAAAATTGCTGAGGAATTTCCTGATCTGCAAGCAAGTGTCGCGGATATCCTGAAAAGAACTGACAGGTAAGGAAAAGAAGAGACACGAAAGAGACACCGCAGCCATAATGAAAGTTTCATTAGGTTTTGTACAAACCAAAAAATGCTAGTGTTGGGTTAGTGAGACCGTCGCCTGTCAAAACATTCATCATGCGTATCGACAGGATGTGTTGTTAGAAATTCCATCTTAAAGAATGCGATCTGATGTGGATTGCCTTGATCCAATCATGTTAAAAAGCCACCTTCCTTGCTTGAAACCTTCCTCAAAGCAATCACCTAGACTTGAGAGAATATACGTCCCTGGTGTTAAACAAGAAACTACCTATCACTGCATGATGAAATATTTCGTCAAAAGCACATGAATGAACTGCCTTTATGACCCGTGAATCCTTATCGGCAACGAAGGTGGACATTAAAGCCCAAGCATTCCGCAAGAAGCGAGCTTGCGACCAAACAATTGTCTGTCTTCGATGCTTCAGTCATCACGTGGAGTTTTCGCTACCTGAAATTTTTCAGTTGAGCGAGCTCATCGCGTTTAAGCGTCTAAGCACTACTAAAATGAACGGCCAGTACTCGATAAACTCATGGGCAAGAAGAAAGTGAAGGGTAGCCAGGACCTTACCAGCCTTGCTTCTGACAGTAGCCCAATTTTGGAGCTTAAATTTCCAGAAGAGCTGTTTGCGCTATGCTGCCATCCAGAACAACCTTTAATCTTTAGTGGACAAGCTACGGGCCACATTATGTGTCACCGATACGATGCAAAAGTTTTGCAACAACAAATGAAACGAAACGAAGAATCAGCTGTAGAAAAGGAGGTCAAAGAACAGAAACATGAGCCAAAGAAAAAGTTCTGGGCCGTGGTAGAGGCTAAGGAAGATGCGAGCTCAGACATCGCTGGCTTCAAGCTCCAATGGAAAACGAAAAGGCACAAGGGAAGCGTTCGGGCCATGTGCCTTGATGCAGATGGATCGCACATCTACTCTATAGGTGTTGACTGCGTTTTGAAAAAGGCAAACTCGGAAACCGGGAAAGTGGTGAAAAAGTGTCAGATTTCTCAAGACAGTAGTGTAAAATACACTAAGCTTACAAAATCCATCCGCCATAAAATCTTGCTACTTGGAGATGAAAATGGTAACGTTAGTGTGTTGGATAGCGAAACCCTGCAGTTGAAAAACACCATTCGCAAGATTCATTCTGGAGACGCAATCAATGATATCTTTCAATTCACGGGCAAATCCGAGTACAGATTCATATCGGTTGGTCAAACTACGTTAGCCTATTGGGATTCGAGAGAATCTAATGAATCAGACTTCAACATTCCTGACGACGATCTCAATGCGAAGCGTAAGGTGCGTTTGAGCGACGATCAAGAAGACGAAGTACTGTGTGGTACTTTTGTGGATCCTCAGAATGGCGATACACTCGTGTGTGGCATGGGAGAAGGTATACTAACAATGTGGAAACCCAAAAAAAATAATTTGGTAGACCAAATAAGTCGAATTAAGGTAAAGAAAAATGAAAGTCTCGATTGCATTGTCCCAACCCTGCAAGACGATGATTCCGTTTGGGCTGGGTGTTCGGATGGCCAGGTTTACAAAGTCAACGTGAAGACCGGTAAAGTTGTCGAAATACGAAAGCACAGTGGGTTGGACGAGGTTGTCTTTTTGGATTTAGATTATGAGTACCGGTTAGTATCTGGTGGCATGGACAAAATTAAGATTTGGGAGTTTGTTGGAGATGACGACGAGACGAAGGAAAGCTCTGGAAGTGAGGTTGAAGAACTAAGTTCTGATTCTGATTCTTCAAATGAGCACTCAGACTCGGACTCCGGCTCTGAATCTGAATCTGAATCTGAATCCGAACCCAAACCCGAACCCTTGGCTGGAGAAGACGATAACTCCAGTGAGGAGGGCGAGCTAGTCGGTCTTAGTAAAGAAGAGCTTCTGAAAGAGCTGGAGAAGGACCTTGTTGACAGCGACGAAGAGGATTCTTCTTTGTCGCGGAAAAGAAGCCCCGACGACAGCGACAGTTCGAAGGTTTCGAAGAAACAGAAACCCAAACAGAAAGCTCTAACGTCGAAACAACTACACAATCTGCAAAAACAGGCACACGGCATCAAAAAGTTTGAAGATCTGTGAAAATGCTAGTAGGTGAATAGCTTATATATGTAATCATATTAAGAGACAAGATGATAGTCGAGAGAGGGTTTGATGACTTACAGGTCTGGAGCAGACACGAATGACCAGCATCGCACGTTAATTGTGCGACATTTTACTCAAAAAAATAATGGTCTCTAGCGGGATCGAACCGCTGATCCCCGCGTTATTAGCACGGTGCCTTAACCAACTGGGCCAAGAGACCGATTTTTGAAAACCGATATCTATTTCAACAATATACCCCCTTTGGAAATTCACCTTAACAGTCGTTCCAAGTCATCGCGAAGCAGCTATTGTTTTAAGCTCGTTAGTGCTAAGCCCTCAGCCCTTATATGATCCAAGGTCCATTGGGTTGCTTTGGGTAGTTTTTGACAGGTTTCTATTATCCATTGCATAGTATTTTTGTAGCTTTAGGCTGCCGCCTTGACAGGCCTTGATGATCTTGACTATCTCAATTAAACTTGGTCTTTGCTGATTCAATTATTTTAGCCAAGCGCTTGAGTTTGCGCGCCGTTGAAACCGCAGCAAATATTTATGACTAGTGCGGCTGTCACATTTGAACACTTTTGGCGAGCCGAGAGCAAAATGAGAACCACCCAGTAGGCTACAGGCCTAATTTTTTGATCAGCGAAAGAACTTTTACTTATCAGATTAATTCATATTGGTGCGCCTGTTACAGGTGCAATGCATCTGGAATTTCCTTTGAACGCGCCGCACACACTTATTCGCGTCGAATAAAGCAGATTCTGAATTCTTAGGTTTTTGGATCTAAGCACAAGAGCGGAGAAATGTGGGATGGTATAGGAAAAGGATCAATGATTCAGAGCAGAATTATTCACAGGGATGCAGAAAAGCTGCATTACAAGAAGATTTTCAGCCCGTGCAAGTAAGGGGAACTGTGTGCCAGAGGCACTGGTAATAGAAATTATCTTTCAATTTAGCTATCTGAAAACAGTAGATCTTGAGAAACGACTTTTCATTGGTACTTAAATGAGAAGGAACTCTTCACGATCCTATAACCAAACTTATCAAGTTTCTCTGTCAAACACATAGATCAAGAGTACTGTGTTCGACAATATGTGCTGATTTGTTAGGATGACAGTTATGAAGTGTCAGTGCTGCTCGTAGCTAGTCACTTAAAGTCACCTCCATTCTACGTGGCATTGATATTGACTAGCCAATAGCTTTGCATTTTCGTTCCAATAGGTATAGTCTACCCTTTATTTCTAGCTCCTTATAGGAGCTGGTGGCTGAAATATATGATGATTTTATGTGTGTGTGTATAAACATCACAATATTTCGTTAGGTGAAAAAAAAGTCCGAAATTAATATAGAACTTCAATCTGTTAAAAATTCTTAATCTTGACAGAGCATAAATCAAACTTTTTGTAAGGCGATCGCTTTAGTAAGAGTGAATCCTGTGTTTAAGCACTTTCGATGACGAGTGTTGCGAGCCACAAACCTGGAGTCGCTTTAGCGCTCCTCAGAATGGGAAGCAAGATCAGAGAAGTGCTCAAAACATATTTGAAATTCGTGGGTCCCGGGTTGATGGTCAGTGTTGCGTATATGGATCCAGGAAATTACTCAACTGCTGTGGATGCAGGCGCTACAAACAAGTACGCACTTTTGTTCATAATTCTACTTTCCAATATAATTGCCATTTTTCTGCAGTCACTTTGCATCAAGCTTGGTACTGTGACAGGGCTGGACTTGTCGCGTGCGTGCCGCAAGTATTTGCCTCGCTGGCTTAATTGGGTTTTGTATATATGTGCAGAAGTCGCTATCATCGCAACAGACGTGGCCGAGGTAATTGGTTCAGCAGTGGCTTTGAACATACTGATTAAGGTTCCGTTGCCCGCGGGTGTAGCGATTACCGTTGTGGATGTTTTATTCGTCATGATTGCCTACAGGCCTGGAAGCTCATCAATGCGGTTCGTACGATTTTTTGAGCTTGCCGTGGCGGCGCTTGTTGTGGGGGTTTGTGTCTGTTTTTGCGTGGAATTAGCGTTCCTTCCACATATTCCAGTGAGAGAAGTATTCCGGGGCTTTGCTCCATCGAAAGAAATGTTTCAAAACAATGGAATTTATATTGCAACGTCTATTCTGGGTGCCACTGTCATGCCACATTCTTTGTTCCTCGGGTCTGGTTTAGTTCAGCCAAGGTTACTGGAATATGATCAGAAGAATGGCAACTACTCAAAGCTGGTCTCAGCAGAAGTAAACTCGGTGGACTCGTCCTCCGAGAAGGTAAGTGAAGACGAAAAACTGGATCAAGCTTACCTCAATTACAAGCCTACAATGTCTGCCATCAGCTACGCTTTGAAATACTCTATCTGGGAACTAGCTATCACGCTATTCACTTTCGCGCTCTTTGTTAACAGCTCGATTTTGATTATTTCAGGTACTACGTTGTACGGGTCTCCAGAAGCCGCTGGAGCTGACTTGTACACAATTCACGATCTCCTCTCTAAAAACCTGGCACCCGTTGTCGGCACAATATTCATGCTAGCCCTACTCCTGAGTGGTCAATCCGCTGGCATTGTGTGTACTATTGCCGGCCAAATTGTAAGTGAAGGTCACATCAATTGGAAAATGAAACCCTGGAAGAGACGCATAGCGACAAGAATGATTTCCATTATACCTTGTCTTGCTATTTCCTTAAGCATCGGACGTCCTGCACTCTCTAAAGCTTTAAATGCGTCGCAAGTGATTCTGTCATTGCTGCTTCCATTACTTACGGCGCCACTGATCTACTTTACCTGCAAAAAGTCCATTATGAAAGTTGAAAAACATGGCAATCTGGACGATCATACCTCTGCTTCTGATATTGAAAACTGTGATGAAATTACCATAGACATGTCCAATAACTGGATCACTTCGAGCGTGGCAGTGGTTATTTGGCTCTTCATTTCCGTGTTGAATGTTTATGCTATCGTACAACTGGGTCTGTCTCATGGCGATATCAGTTGAATGGCGGTGCAGATAAACGTTTATGCGCGTACTGGACTAGTGGACATCTGTCGAAAGAGTTACATTACTTATAGTATACATATATGACGGGCATTTGAGAGTGCTTAAGTTCTAATAAACAAGAAAAAGGCTCTTCGTGGGAAAATGGAATCACTGAGCGTGGTGGGCGTCCTCGTGTGCACTGGTACTGCGAACTTTACAGACTGCAAAACCTTAAAAAGTTCCCATTAAGTAGAATATGGATGATAACCGTTGTTGTTGCGTCTAGAATAGCCACTACGGCCTCCACGGTAACTACCGCCGCGGCTGCGATTGCCACGGAATCCAGAGCGGTAATTACCACGGTTGCCATCGCGGCCATCGCGACCATCGCGGCCATCACGGCCATCACGACTATCCCGACTGCTGTCGCGGTTACCATCGCGATTGTAGTCACGATTGGGTTCCCGGTTACTGTCTCGGTTGTCGCCACGCGAACTGCCCATTCTAGGGCCCCTTGGGGCGTTCATTGGGGGTGAAGGAGCTCTTTTGTCATAATCTCTCTCACTATCATTATTGTCATCCAACTTTTCGTCAGATCCGATAGTAGGAACATCAGAGGACTCTTGAGTCGGTGTGTCTGAAGGACCAGATGGCATACCGGGCATTCCGGACATGCCGGGCATCATGCCGCCCATCATTTGTTGCATTTGCTGCATTTGTTGTTGATACATTTGACTATAATCGACACCTGTTTGTTGCTGCATTTGAGCATAATATTCTTGCATTTTATTATAATATTCTGCCATAGCTTGTGGATTGAACATAGGATTAAAATTACCCATCATTGGATTTTGAAACATATTGAACTGACCAGAACCTCCAACAGGCTGCATCTTCTGTTGTTGTTGCTGTTTTTGCAAATGCCTGGGTTCTGCTCTTTTAATTTCTATTCTCTTACCTTTAAATTCGATAAATTTATTCTCACAAACGCGATCGACTGCATCTGGAGTGTCATAAGTAATAAAACCAAAACCTCTTGATCTACCAGTATCTTTATCCAGCATTAATTGAGCATCAATGATAGTTCCCCATTGAGAGAAGAATTCCTCAAATTCTTTGGGTCTAACATCTGGACCGATACCGCCAACGAAAATTTTACCCGTCTTGTCCTGTTCTTCACGAGGAATAGCTCTCTTTGGATCGATAACTTTACCATCAAGAATGTGTTGGGTTTTTACAACTTCATCTACACTAGAAGCCTCTGCAAACGTTAGAAAACCGAAACCTCTCGATCTTCCAGTGGCATTGTCTCTCATAATTTTGAGGTCAGTCACTACACCATATTTGGAAAAGTAATCCTTCAAGTTGTCTTCCGTGGTTTCCCAATTCAAGCCACCGATAAACATCTTGCAAATGTCACGAGAAAGATCGGCTTTGTTGACCTTTTCCTGGGCAAGGGTTGCAGCGGCTGCGGAAGATCCACCTTGTTGAAATTGAGGCATGTTTTGTTGTAATTGTTGCAGCTGCTGCCATTGCTGCATATTTGGCATCCCGGGCATAGCGGGCATCCCTGGCATACTAGGCATACCTGGCATCCCTGCCATATCCGTCATCCCAGGCATAACTGGAGTTCCAGACATGCCCATCGATGAAGCATTTGCAGTACCTGGGGCGCCAGATGCTTGTTCTTGAGCTGATTGTTGCTGCTGTTGTGAAGAGAGATCACTACCGTTGTTACTACCGTTTGCGGCTTGCTGAAGTTGATTCAAGTTGGAGGATAGTGCCTGAAGGGCCGCTAGTTGGTCTAAAGACGAAGTAGATGTAGTAGGGGCCGATGCAGATCCGGCTGCCGCGCCCGTAGTAGAGCTGATTTCGTTAGGTTTAGTTGAATCCGCATTGTCTTTGGACGCCTCTGGGGCTGCTACTTCTGGTTTAGTGCCTTCGACAGCTGTGGTGGCAGCGGTAGTCGAGGTGGTGTTAGAGGCGTTTGAGTCATCACCGTAGATGTCGTTAAAGTCCTCGTCGTCGGAGAAACTCATGGCTGTTGTTGTTGTTGTAGTTGGTGGTGTAACAGTTTCCTATTCAGTACTGTATGATGCCTTTTTTGTGTACTTGTCCAAAACCGCCAGGATAGATACAGGGAATCTAAAAAGTAGGTATAAACGGCGCAGTGGCGTTGTAAAAGATCTTCTAAATGGAAGATGTGGTAAGTATGATTGTAAACAGGTAACAATTCAGTGTGTCTAGCCGTTTGCTTTTGCAGGCTTTCTTTCGCGAGTGACCCTTTCTAAAATCGCTTCTGCACAAAATAAAATCTGTCTAAAAAGCTAAACGATGTTAAACTAGTCTTCGCAGATATGAAACGTGGCGCAAATCTGGTTCCACAAAGCCTTTTCTTAATTCTTGAATACTACAAAAAGTTATCAAGTTTGTCAGTCACTAACTATATCAGGGGTGTCTGAAAGAGCCTAAAACGTCTCTAATTTCAAAATCCGCACTGGAAAACAATTGGAATTGGTATAAGCCCACTTAATTATGGTACTAGTCGCGTTTTTGCTAATTTTTCCACTAAGTAGCCCGTGAAACCTATTTTTTCTCCCTGACTATCTCTGCCTTTATATACCTGAATCTTGAGAATTTAATACAATTTCAGATAAATTGAACACCCGGGTAACCTCTATGCTCGCAATTACTGTTGTATAGCCATTAAGCGAGAGAATACTCTTCGCCAGCAATTATTGGCCTGTAAGCCCTTGGATCCTGCTCTGGGAGGTTCACGATTTCCTTAGTAGTTGGATACTTGCCTACTTGGTACTTTTGGAAGCCTTTCACTTCATTCTGTAACAAGATGGGCGGCAAGGGAAAAAATTTTCAGCGATGAGCTAGCTGCACGGATCAGAACAACTAGAGTTCAGAAGAACTCAGAAGGATTACTACTGGGCTTGGCTTAGAGTTTCGTTCTGAGACCTTCATAATATTAGCATATACGATACAATGGTCAAGACATACTTGGTTTTTATGGTGCAAGTGCATCTAAACTTCAGACTTGCAGAACTGGAATCGCTGGCAGACCTGTACGGGATCAAGACTGTGGATTTCACAAAATACGACCGTGAGTCGCCATTCTTCATTGTTGAGCTGGAAAACGATCAACAGGCGAGAGACTGGATCTCCCGATCTATTTTGACACGAGCCATATACGAATACTGGGGCCAAGGCAAAAGTTACGAAGAGCTGCATGCTAGCGTGCAGCATAATCCCTGTTTTCTTCAATACAAACAAGACTATCGTAACTCGTCGTTCAAATTCGAGTTCGACAATTTCGGCGGCAGTTCCGGCGGCAAGCTCGACCGTGTGGCCTGCATCGAGTCTTTCAAGTACCTCGACTTCCAGGGTCCCATCCGTATGAAGAATCCGGAACAGGTTTTCACAATTATCGAAGAATACGAGCCTCTTGGCGATAATCAGGCGGGCGAAGTACCGTTGCGTCTGTTTTTCGGGCGTGAAGTGCAGCGCAGCGATCGTCTGCGCGGTGCTCTGGAAAAATACGACTTAAAAAAGAGACCTTATAAAGGCACCACCAGTTTCGAAGCGGAGCTTTCGCTTGTGAGTGCCAACATCGGCCAGGTAAAGCCTGGCACCGTGATGTACGATCCCTTTGCCGGAACTGGATCGTTTCTAAGCGCAGGTGGTCATTACCAGGCCATGGTAATTGGTTCAGACATTGATGGCCGCATGATCAGAGGGAAGGGTACGCAGACGATACGAGCCAACTTCAAGAAATACAACGATTCGTTACAATTTATAGACGTTTTGACCATGGACTTCACTCATAATGCGCTCAGAAGCGATTTTATGATAGACACGATTCTCTGCGATCCCCCTTACGGAATTCGCGAAAGCATCAAAGTACTAGGTGCTAAGGACCCGGAACGATTTGTGGGAAAAGAAAATTTGGAAATCAATGGGCAAAAGGCGTACTTGTTGCGGGACTATATTCCCACCAAGAAACCCTATTCATTGGATGCCTTGTTGGACGACTTGCTTCAATTTGCAGCTAAGAGACTACCTTTAGATGGAAGACTGGCTTTCTGGATGCCTGTTGCGAATGACGAAAATATTGAAACTATAATTCCCCTGCATTCCAATCTCGAACTTAAATATAATTGTGTTCAAGAGTTCAACAAATGGTCTCGTAGACTACTGGTTTACATCAACAGGGGTTCTAGTTTTAACGGACCCACGAATGTTGGTATCGAGAGGTCAAAGGAAAATTTCAGAGACCGTTACTTCAATGGGTTTAATTAATGCTTTAACTAAATAAAAGGACTCAAGAATATCATATAAAATGTTGAAGTGATATAGGGGAATACTGGTGATGGTGCTTGAAAGCTCAGCACACAAATGCGTTTATCGTTGTTATTATTACACACAGCACGCGGATCCACCGTTGCTGCCTTCAGATCCCAAGGGTTTCGTGATGTCTACCGTATTCTTCTTTTCCTGGGGTCTTCGCCGGACAATGGTTGACCCTCTCCTCTGTATCTCTATGGGTGGAACCTTGCACATTGCTCCCGGGTCCAATGTTTCTTGGGACTGGTTTTGAGTCCCATCGAGGGAATCGTCTGAGGGGAGGTGATTATTTTCGTAACATCCATGCTCCACCAAGTCTTTTATGATGTTGTTGAACGTTCTTTCAACAACTTGATGCCACTTACAACTAACCTCGAAATTGCCAGCAATTTGAACGCCAAAATTTGCTTCAGCTTTACTGATATATCGCAAAACATCTTCGTGCGTTACCTGCCTGACTTTGTAGAGGTCAATCTTATTCCCAACTAAGTAAATCTTTAAAAGTTTGTCATCGGAACAGCAATTGATGACCTCTTCTAACCAGTAGTCTAGACAATTCTCAAAGCTCTTCTTGTTGCAAATATCGTAACTCAGTAGAACACCGTTGGAACCTTTGTACAATGAGGGAATCATGGCGTTTCTATAACGTTCCTGACCAGCAGTATCCCACATCGTGACCTTGAAATAACGGTTGTCGATATTAACTAAATTCGTGCGTATATCCACTCCGATTGTGCTTCTTGTGTCGATAAGGATCTCATTAGGATCCTCTTGCGATGCCATGGAGTCCGGTTCGGCTACTTCCATTATCGAAGGGGCACCACCTACAGCGCTCTGATTATGGAAAAGCTCTTCGTAGTCGTTCAGACTGTATCTCTTGCGTTTTTCGATAGTCTTTAGGTGTTGCAAACGTTTCTTCCTTTGAGACTCCAGTGACGGAGTCCTGAGGTTACCTTTTGTGACTAAGCTGGCCTGCGACCTTGTTGGTAGCTCGTTGCAGTAGCTTAGTATCATAGCGGTTTTCCCAACAGCAGCGTCTCCGATCAACAATAGCTTGATGGACGAAAAGTCTGATAACGAATCTAGCGAGACGTTTCGTTGATCGTCGTTGGGAATCCGATAGAACGACTTTCCAGAGCTATTTCTCAAAGATTCTGAGCGGCTCACGCCTAAACCATATGCCGACGAGGGACGTGCAGACTGTGTCCTCGCTGAGAATGGCCTGGCGCTATGAGATCCAGCTGATTTTTCAGACGGGAACCGAGCCACTGTGGGCGAAATAGGTGAGGCAGGGGCCGAAAAGTTGATGGAGTATCGTTTCCTCCTGGAATCTGACATACGATTGTTTTACCAGACGATCTTGTTTCCCATAAGTTGGTATGCCAGGAATTCGTATTCTTCCAGTTAGGCCCGTCCATTTTAATCACAAGATTGAGAGAAATCATAATCATGCTAACGGCTTCGTCTATGACGACCTTTTAAATTCTTGAGCGGCTAGTGATGATTAGCCGCTGACTTTGGTCAAAGTCTCTGTAAAGTTGACGGCATAGTTTGGGAGTTGTACTTGTAGAGTTGTGACATAGAGTAGCTTTAGAGTTTTTGAGACTGTTTTGTACTTTAATTTTTATATGTTTTGTCACTGCAGTGGACATTCAAGTAGCACCTACGCGGTCATACTGTATTATCTCTTAATCGAGAGAAGACAAAGACAAATTCAGGCATGGAATGCTTCCATCATGCCTCGACTCTTAAACTTTATTCACGATTATTTCCAAGAGTGCCAGGATATATTGTGGCCCTCAAAATTCACTTACAAGCATTTATCAGGAGTGCCTCCAATGTATTACGGCCCTCAAAGTTTATTTACAATCATCGCTACATTTTCTAATGACACTGAAGGTTCTATGTATCTCACCAATTTGACTTTGTAACCATGATTCCTCAAATACTCAGCCCGACCTTCATCTATAATCCGCCTTGCCTTCTCACCAAGCTTTTCCCGCTCGACAACGGGCAAGTTGGAGAAATGATTATTAACGTCAGAGTCCAGCACATCACATTTCCTGCCGCACACGGCCCAGGATGCAATCTTTTTCAGAGAGTTGAAAAAATCCGAGTATGAAATGTCAGAGTCTTGTATCAGATTTTCGATATAAGGTTGATTCACGTACTGTTGAGCATCACAAACGTGCCTGCAGCACATGGCGATTACCATTCCCTCGAGTCTTTGGTCTTTCTGGTGTAGTGACTCACTGTTGAGACAGCATCTAATGGTCAAGTCTGTTGCCACGCCACACAGATGTTTGGAGATGGCCACACAGCCAGAATTTGATTGCTGTAAAAGATTGTCGATATAGAGATCCTTGATGTCAATTTTTTTGCGGTCTAAAACCGGGATTGTTCTATTTTGCAAAGGAATATCGCCGCCCCTGCAGAGCTCGTCTATATCGTCTTTGAATTTGGAATCAAACTTCATTCTGTTGGATGCACGGTCGATTAATAGAAAACCAGTCTGTTTGAGAGTCTCAACGTTGGCTTTATTCTGGTGGTCAAATACACTGCGATTCACATAACGAGAAAACTCAGCGCGGCCACATCCAAACTCGATATACGTGATGTTGTCTTTGGCCTCATTGGGGAACATGGAATTCTCCAGCAGATGCTGGATCAGGGAGGACTGTTGCAGGGCGTGTTTTTTGGAACCTAGCAGTTGCGGAAAGCGATGCGACTCCAGTGTTGTGTTGGATTTGACGACTAGTGGGAGTGAGGAATTTCCAAAATTCGACTCGTAACACCGGTTCAGTATCGGGATAGCCCGTAGCAGTGTTGGGTTTTCGACGGGTTCGGTAGAGACTCCTGGGACCGGGGAGACCCAGTTGTAATTCAGCTTGAACCAAGCGCAGTCGACGGGTTGTGCGTTTTTCTTCACAGTGTCGCATTTTCGGCTATGGCGAGCAACGTCCTTCTCCCAGACAGAATGCCTGGGATCTATGGGACACGCGATGCGGCGCCCTTTCACGGAATCCGAGCCCTGCTTCAGAAGATTCAGATGTTCTGAACAGTATTCGGAATCACGTTTTCTAGTCATCGCACAGCGCCTGCGCTTTTGTTGCAGATAGAATTTACACTGGAGCCGCACTTTGGGAGGCGCGACAGGCTCCAGCGCACTGGACGGCAGGCTGTTCTCCGGAGGTATCGCAGGGCCCATGTTTGGGACGGCCGGGGGAGGTTCTGAGGCGCGAAACACGACGACTTGTGTGAGCGCCAAGTGCAGAGTTTCTTCCTTCCCATGGGCGCGGGAAACAATTTTCTGCGGGTCACGTGCTTGTCACGGGTGCGACAAGTTTTCTCGATGCGACTCCGGACAAAGCCTCTGCACGACGAGCTGCTACCCCGGACAAAGCCTATGCTATACACGAGCTCGAGTTCACGGATCAAGAGCGAGACTTCTTCTGAAACGATCTCGCAGATAAACCCCTGCATGCGTCTGCGCTCCCGGGAGATCTCGTTCTATGTGCTGTGGGCTGAATGTTTACTCTAGCGATCCAAGAATGCTGCGTTACTACACTTCCAACAAACAATATCTCATTACCTTAGTTAGTTGTAGCGCGTTTAGAATAACACTCTTGTATTCTCTCTTCAGCGCTGATCACCGGGGGGGTCTCGTACTATCAGGTAATCAGCAAAAAAACAACCCTGTACTCGTGAGTCCAGCGACTTGCCATCGCAAATCGTCTCCGATCCATCTTTTTTCTTGTGGCCAACGGTCCGAAATCGACAATGAACGACCGACCAACCACTTTGGCCATATGCTGAAACGAAGCAAATCTCGCCCAGCAGTGAGACCCGCGCTTATGTCATCGGCCGGGGCAGCAGCGCAAAGCTGGTGTGTGCCACTTTTAGCGCTTTCGAGATTGCGGAATTCCCCCAGCACCGCGCAAATGTGTCTTGGCTGATAAGCACAGAGACAGCTTTTGCGTCTCTGTGAGGCCTATAGGGCTGTTTCACGTGTATGTTCCTTACCTGACTACTGTTTGTCACGAATATGCGCTGGCCGAGTACTCTTTTTTTTTCTTCTTTGGTCGAGTGGTTGGGGGAGGGGGGGGACCAATTTGCACCGGTTTGCTGACCGTCCCTCCAGGCCTTTGAGCCCTGCTAGTCGTGGCCAGTGGTTACGCGAATCTTCCAGGTCATGGGCCTTTGTGCCGGGCCGCATTATTATTAGAGTAGGGATTTTTTCTTTTTTGGCACGCACGTGACCCGCAAAGGGAAGAGAAAGAGAGAGAGAGCGTGCGAGCGCTACATGCCTGGAAGAATGCCCCGTCGTTGCCTGGCATTCGCGTCCCGCTGCACTTGCAACTGCCGCTGCCTCTCTTGCTACCTGTGTATTTGCCGCTCTCCGTCGTCGTGCCCAGACCGCCGCCGCCCCCTTTCCCCCCCTGCGTCACTTGGCACGGCGGGGAAAAAGCGCGTCCTCTCACGCCTCTTTGCTCATGCTGTTCTTGTCTCCAACTTATCTCTCTGCTTTCTGCGTCATGCCGTAGTGGCTGGCAGGTGTGTGTGTGCTCTATATGTGTATATATATATACATACACGGATGAGAGCTACACAACAGGCTGGAGACTCACACTCGCTCTCGCATCTCACTCACACCCATCTCAAAGCTCATACGCTTGTCGCATACTCTAAACCTAGTTTCCTTCGATTATGCCTCACACTACGGAAATCGCACCCCTCAAGATTGCCGTTCTCGGTGCCGGCGGCGGCATCGGCCAGTCGCTGTCGTTGCTGCTCAAGACGTCGCTCCGCGACACGTGCATCACCGCGGACTCCCGCATCACGCTCGCGCTGTACGACGTGAACCGCGACGCCGTGGCCGGCGCCGCGACCGACCTGTCGCACATCAACACGCCCGTGACTGTCACGTGGCACGCGCCGGCCTCCTCCGGCGCTCCCGCCGCATCGGACTCCGACCCGCTGGCCGCGTGTCTCCAGGACGCCCGGCTCGTCGTCATTCCCGCCGGCGTTCCGCGGAAGCCCGGAATGACCCGTGACGACCTCTACTCCATCAACTCGCGCATCGTGACCACGCTGGCACGTGGCATCGCGGCGCATTGCGACCTGTCACGCACCTTTGTGCTGCTGATCTCCAACCCGGTCAACTCGCTGGTGCCCGTACTCGTGGATACACTGGTCGCCGGCGGTGCCCCGGCAACGGTGGCGCGCCGGGTGTTCGGCCTGACGCAGCTCGACGCAGTGCGTGCGTCGACCTTCCTGCACGCTGCACTCGGCTGCAGCGCCAACGAAGTCGTGCATGTGCCTGTGGTCGGCGGCCACTCCGGCCACACCATAGTACCGCTGTTCTCGCAGTCGGGTACTAGCGGGGGAGACGTGGAGAGACAAAAGCTGGCGGCACGTGCCCACTCGCTGAGCGCGGCCACGGTTTCGCAGCTGGCGTATCGCGTTCAGTTCGGAGGCGACGAAGTGGTCAAGGCCAAGAACGGCGCCGGCAGCGCGACGCTGTCGATGGCATATGCCGCGGCGCAGGTGACACAGGCGTTTGCCGAGCTTTTGCTGAACCTGCGCGCAGAGATCTGCGACACGCTGTACGTGAACGTGGGCGCGATCGCCGCCCAGATCGGAGCCGACGCGGAAGAGCAGCTCGCGCAAATAAGCGGCGGGCTGCGGTACCTGTCGGTGCCGTTGAGAGTGACCGAGGCCGGAGTCGAGAGCATGCAGACGGAGTGGGCCCAGCACATGACCGAGGCCGAGCAGTCCATGTGGCTAGCGTGTGTGCAAGAGTTGCAGAGTTCGGTGCACGAGCGCGGGGCGTGAGTTTCGAAATTGGCATAGCTTTTTATTAGTTTAGGTATTTAATTAAATCATTTTTATTGGCGCGGACGCGTAATGCAGGCCCCCAGTGGTGACATGGCGAGACGGGGACTGGTTCCGAGAAGTGGGAGGGGATCGCTGGTGCGAATTCATGTGATTCGGTTGTGCTGAAAATTACGACTCTACCGAAAGGGGCGCGTTGGTATTATGGTTCCTCCGTGTTGTTTGAATCTCCGCGGCTTTCCAGTACAATATCACCGTCTTGCTACATCATCACGGAACTGAGTGAGGCGCAATTGTTTTCAGCATATCACTTTGTACTGTTATGTCACCACGCGACTTGGCGTTGTCACCATGTATTGGCGAAACCTACGATGCGTCAGAATAGTACGACGTGATCTCAAAACTCTAAATATCTCATTCGGCAGTGCGCCGTCTATTTCTATTGAGGCACATCTGCGTCAGTAGCAGCAAATTTGCTGAACTGGTCATTCGAGTCGTTCATCGTGTGTCTTGTAAATTCTTATTAGCAATTGGGATCCACTTATCCCTCCGCGGTCTTTCTGGATGTGAAGATTTAGTACCTTGACATGCAGGATAAACTATCGGCATCTACACAACTAGTTGCATGACGGGTATTGGTGACAATACCGATAATCAAAGCATGAGCCGTCAATCCTCGACTATAGGCACTACTCAACGTCAATGGCTAGATCTCAGCATTCTCATTAACTACTACCTGGATATATGTTCGATCAAAAATCTGAATTTGCCACATTTTACCATTCTGTCATAGTTCTTTATTATGCCATTGATGCTATCTAGCAATAACACAGGGATCCTGACGATTTTTCTCTATCAATAGTCACAATTAGTAAGATGGGCGCATCCCATCAACCAAGGAATGTAAAGACCGATAACATCTCAATGTAACGAGTTCACAATCTCACACAGAAGATCACAACAAGATTTATCCACTGACGCTTATTGACTGGTAATAACTACTTATCTATGCCCATTGACGGTATTCGAATAAACATGTGCCAATGGCTAAAAAAGAGAACCACATGGTGCTTGGAATATAGCATCGCTCATTAGGCAAGTATGAGCAGATGTCTTAAATTCTTAAACAGATTCTGCTAGGGCCCGTGTTCTTTGAATGCTTGCCCACTTTTTACAACGCTAGGTCGAACATACACAACAATTGTGGTGACTGCCGAGATTACTACAGAAAACACCCAGCAAAGCAGTCCACAAGCCATTTTCAGGTGGCTCACATACAATCCCAGAAAAACCGCTCTCAGGACTGCTGGTCTCGGCACTAGTACCTTGATATATTCGACACGCTTCTTGAACATTGTATTGCAAAAGTAGAAAAGAGTGAAGAGCGAAACAACCACCAAAAAAAAATGACATTGGCATACTTTCAAGCTTTGGTCGCGAGAAGTGTGTGACTCAAAAGATTATGGGATTTATGGTTCAGGTCATCGCAAAGTCTTTCACGAGGAGAGGTTGGATTGCTCGAATAATGATCGCAGCCGAATGCTATCTATTAGCCACACAGCATGAAAAAGCCTACGCGATTTCACAATCAGGAAAATTGTTTGACGTGAAATCTATATTTGGGAGCCGTTATGATAAATGATAGTGCCGGGCGTCATGAAAATCATACGAGCCAGCTTTGAGTGGAAATCCTTAATACAAACATCCAAGATTCAACAATTGAACAAATAACAAATATCGGGTACATGGATATCGAGGTAGATTTGTAACACAAGTTACGCTCTCAATGTAAGTGATGATAAAGCCAAGGTGCATCATGACACAATAGTACAAAGTGATATGATATGGCAAGAGCGCTGCATGATATCTGACAGAGGCTAGCCAAGTGGAACAAACTCCACTTATAGCTAATAAATGCTCAAAAGAAACAATACAGCTGATACATTGTACTTCAAGGAGGAGGCATTGATTCCCTTCATTTACGAATTCAAACAGAATCAAACAAAGATTTTGGCACCTTTTCTCTTGCTGATCCAGACTCACATCAATTATCCCTGTTCAAGTCTTTGGGCACATACTCAGCATTTCTTGAACCAAAAAAAAGCGCAGGTTATGGCAATTATCCTTCAACTTCTGTATGTCATACAGCTTTTGTCACTTTATACCAGTATGAAACATCTTTCATTAAGGTAACTACTCACGGACATACTAAAAAATACCTTATCCCTACCGAATTAGCACTACTACTGCAACATTAATGTGCTCCTTACTCACCAAGTTTTTTCGCCATGAAGGCTAATTCGGAAACAGCTTTGCCTCCCCCTCCGGCTTACAACGAAGCTCAAGGAACTTCGGCTTCGCCCCCAGCCAATCCAACCTCATATTATCAAAGTGAAGAAACTCGTAATTTTGTCCCTGATGACTTCAAATACTCCACAACGGTGACATCTTGCGAGCCGCAAGTTCGTCGTTGGTTCATGCGCAAAGTGTACACTCTTTTGTCCTTCCAACTAGTCTATTCATTTGCATTTTGTTTTTGGGTGAGCCACTCACCTAAAGCTCAAGGGTTTTTGAACCGGAATCAATGGCTTTTCATAGTCGCAGCAATCGCTGGTGTAGTTAGCTGCGTATGGCTAGCCCTAGCTCCTCGATCTACTGAATATGCTGGAGAGTCGTCGCCTTTGAACCCTCAAACAGGAGAAGTAGAACCTTCTCAAGAGACGAGTCACACACCATGGTACATATTGTCTTACCGCGGTCAGTTGATACTGCTGGGATTTTTCACCTTTTGCCAGGCTTATACGCTTTCATTAGTCACTCTAGTATATGACCCCAAAACTATATTGAGTGCGATGTTTATTACTGGATTTGTTGTTTTGGCCATTACTGCCATGGCGGTATCCGACAGATTTGAAACTACTGTTACAGCCTCCAACACTATCTACTATTGGCTTAACTTGGCTATGTGGCTACTTATTGGTATTGGGTTCTCCTCCATATTTTTCGGTATGAACTCAACCGTAGATTTGATTTACAGTTGGTTAGGCGCTGCAGTTTTCACGGTTTATTTGTTCATCGACACACAACTGATCTTCCGCAAGGTGTACCCTGATGAAGAAATTCGTTGCGCTATGATGCTGTATTTGGATATCATCAATTTGTTCTTGTACATCCTGAGGATCCTTGGACGCAACCGTGAAGATTGATTATCACGAGGAATCACGATGCACACTGATTATGGATAGGATCTAGCTTTTCAATAATGAATAAACGCTTGTTGTATTAAAAATTTTGTTTTACTACATATACACCGAACGCAGATTTTAGTTTAAATGTAACCGATTCTGTTGGCAATGTCCAAAGCATCGTAGTCGGCAGTCAATCTGACGTAAGCCTTCTTGGTACCGTTTGGTCTAACCAAAGTGTTGACGTTCTTGATCTCAACTTCGTACAATTCCTTGACGGCTTGCTTGATTTGGTGCTTGTTGGACTTCATGGAGACTTGGAAAACCAAAGTGTTACCGTCTTCAACCTTCTTCATGGCGGTTTCGGAAGTGATTGGTTGCTCGATGATTTTGTAGGAGTCCAATCTGTTGTAGTGTGGGACAGACTTGGAAGCGTAAGCTGGACGTCTAGCCAACTTCAAAGTCTTTGGTAGACGGAAAGAGGCCGAGGTTCTCACCTTCAAGGCCTTCTTACCGTTGGTACCCTTAACAACAGCCTTCTTGGCAGCAGTAGCCTTAGCTGTAAGTGATTAAAGTTAGTAACAAGTCTGTAATAGCGTGTGTAGCGGTGCGGCGATGGCGAGTGATATGCGATGAGCTGGGTGTGTGTTCGTAGCTCAAAGTCGGTCCAGTTCCCGCTCTAAGAGCCACTCAACAAAGGCACTGGTTTTCCGTGATTCTCTTCGCGCTTCATCGTCAATTTGGATGCGCTCTAGGACGTAGTTCAGTTCCTCCGGACGTTTTCTCTCATAGTTTTCGGTGATTTTCCCATCAAACCTCTCGATATCGCTGATTTTCCCACGCTGTTACCGTCCCGCTGGTGCGTTTGTGCTCTTGTAGCGCTCTATAACATACTGGATGGAGCCATTATTGATTGATCTATATGCGTTCTTTCAGACCCAATAGGTAGCACACACTGTGAAATTTCCAAGTTTTAAAGAATACGAAAATTTGGCTACGGCCTGGGTATTCAGGGCCACTGCTCGTGGAGAGCTAGGCGGACCTGGGCTGGGCTGGACGGAGTATCCTAGGCAGAGATTCGGTGGAAGCTAGCGTGGACTCCAGCCTGTGGAGTGCAACAGAGCAGCTGCCAGTGTCTGCCTAGACTCCCGTGACGGCGAAGCAGCGAGCCTAAGAGCTCGAGCCTGCTCTGTTTGGCCAGTCGGCTTTGAAGCTGTTGACCACGCAACTTTTTAGAATTCTCGCTTCTTTATTATTTTCAAGAATATTTTCGAAGTTTAAAAAAATAACTAAAACTTATTTAAAAATCATCAAAGTTGTACGGATGTTGGAATAACAGTCAAATCGAAAGGTCTAGGAATTTCGAGCTTCCGGTAATGCTGGCTTCATTGAAAGCAAGCGTAGAGTATGTAAACCAAGGAAGTGCAACTCGTGAATCTTGCAGAGAAATTAATATATAGTAGATTCTGTGGGTGTGCACAATTGTGCGATGTAATTTGTTATGGAGAAAAAAATGTACATACGTATCTGTCGAAATACTCAATGTACATATACCTGCTAGGTCTGTGTTATTGCCAGTCATAACGGCCGTCCCAAGCGTCGCAAGGATGCTCTCTGTTACGAATAGGTACCAACGAAATGTGTCATTTCCCATTCTCTGGCTAGAAGTACCGGTCCTGACATCTTCTGTTTCGCTCTAACATCATTACAAAATGCTACGCTTCTTGTACATCACTATTCGGCAGGTCTGTAAAAGCCATCAACTCAAGACTCCCCACGTTAGCAAAGCAGCATCTCTTCTTTCTTCAACCTCTGATAATCACATGTTATATATACAAGCTTATAAACGTCTTTGTCTTGGTGCCCTGACACCACCGAATTTGATGGGGGTTGAATCACTTACTCGGACGACATTTCTGCGAACCGCAGTACCTTCTTTACCATTTAGAGCCGAGATAAATGCTTCACGGCCTTTCCCGAAGTCTCTCATAACAATTTCAATGTTTCTATCCAGTAGGTTCTTTTGATGAATCATTTGAAATAAGCGGGCACTTGTTTGAAAGGTAGCCTCGTATTCACCACGAGCAGCTTTGCGGAACCCTAAGTTACCAGTCGAGAGCCGAAATCTCACTTTTTGAGGCAGCTTCAGATAGTATAGAAACTTTTCGTTGTAACTAGCTTCCGCGTTGTTCTTGAGGTAGTTTAGATCCTCCACCACTGCAGAAAACGTAAAATGCGTATTGTTCTTTGAAAAGAGACAGTTTAGTATGTATTTCACAGTGTGATCGCCACGTTTCTTCGAAACCTTAGAAGCCGACTCTTTACCGGTATCCTGAGGTGCTATAACATTTGACATGGGATTACTAGCAGAATCCACGGATTTGGCAATACCGGCAAATGAAACTGGAGACTTGCCATTCAAAAGCCTTGTACTAGTGGAGAATGATCTGGGTAGACCAAATATGCTTTTAATCATTCTCTGTGGGGCCCAATTCAGGGATTTACAAGGTATTTTTTGTTTCGGTGAAATTTAGCCTATCGATACAGAAATTGTTAATTTTTTAAACACTTGTTATAGGCGGTAATTTGAATACTAAGATGAGTACTATATAACCATAGCTTGAAATCTCATAAGTTAAATATAATTCAAGGTGCGAGAGCTTAAGAACAAACTAGGTCTTTGCGCAACGGTGCAGAAGTGGTCAAATAATAAATAAGCTGATATGTGCTACGATGACCAAGAGAAACTTCTCTAATCATTTATAGCCGCTTCTTGAGTATGGGTCTGTACATTAATATGGTTCAAAAATTAGCTAAGAGCCCCTACATCGTAACTTTCCCTATAGCGATACATATTGCCGTCGACATTCGTGAGGCTCGGAGCTGGAATACGAACCTGGATTTGGATTAGTTCTCACGGTCCTGCTGATACGCCGACGCGCCTAGCAAGTTTGCGAAGAGCACCTTTTACAGTGCCACGACTTGAAAGCAGGATTACATGCTGGTAGTAGAAAAGAAGTTGAGTGACTCATCGTTGGTGCGAGATTTCTTGGCATTTCAGTGTAGCTAAACGTTTTAGCATTATCTTATGACTTAACGCGAGTGGACTTTCGAACAGAGAACTCTTAGCATCAACTAAGACTTGCAGCAAATCATAAACACCCAACTTGATAATCGAACATTCTTTCCCTGTCTTTTCTGGGAGCGAAACTTTGCAAATAGCACGCTCTACTTAACCGAATTTAGTACCAGCAAATAGTGGCAGCCGCTTCCGAAAAAGCGGTATACCTGAATAATAACACACTCGAATGCTCCGGTCTTCGACCCTATGGATAGAAAATACGCTACATAACTAATATATCACAAATTGTCATTTATCACGCCAGTGTCACTACCTGCTGTCATTTGGATATTCGAGTCTTTGGTTGCCCTGTGTCGATGTCACCACGCCAATGCTATAAAAATCACAACACATCTAACAGTTTCATCCACTGGCCCCATGCTAAATACAAGCATCGCCAAGAGTGGTACATAATTTACCATGATAATTTCATTAAAAGCAATCTTCCTCCTCTTGACCTATATTTCACATCCCCAAAAATTAGAGTTTGCGTCAACCTGGCTTCAACTAGTATAGTATACTAGAGCTCTACTGCTTTTCTCCCACTTGCACGCTTCTATTCCAATCTGTCGTTCTGTCTTTATTACCCGGCTTCTTGGCCAATTGTCAGATATGCAAAACAAAGTACATGTAATACGTTTGCAAAGGAACCTCACCCGCAATCCAGCAATCAAAAGCGATCGAAACCGGGTGGTTTGAACTGCAGCTGGTTCGTTTTGTTATCAGACCCCTACGCTCTTGGTTAGCCCTCAAACGCAATGTCTCAGACTCAGAGACAAGACCAATTCATTGCCAATGACGTGACATCGAACTCCTCCAATACCACTCGTCCTATGCTCATTAAAGAGTACAAGAAAATTGGTCACGGTGCGTTCGGAACCGTGGTTCAGGCGTTTTTGACACCGGACAACAACAAGTGGTATGGGCCGTTTGCAATCAAGAAAGTGCCGGCACAGACGGAGTACAAATCCCGTGAACTGGAAATTCTACGGATTGCAGACCACCCCAACGTCGTCAAACTCGAGTACTTCTTCACGCACGTCTCACCGCAAGACAACAAAATGTACCAGCATCTTGCAATGGAATGTCTTCCGGAAACTCTGCAGCTCGAGATTCATCGTTATGCCTCGAATAAGTTGGAACTACCCTTGAAACACGCCAAGCTCTATACCTACCAAGTGGCGCGTGGTATGTTGTATCTGCATGCACTAGGCATCTGCCATCGTGATATCAAACCTTCGAACGTTTTAGTTGACCCAAATACAGGGGTCCTCAAGATCTGCGATTTTGGGTCTGCCAAAAAGCTCGAACAGAATCAGCCTTCTATTAGTTATATATGCTCTCGTTTTTACAGAGCACCAGAACTAATTGTCGGATGCACACAATACACTACACAGATAGACATTTGGGGACTTGGCTGTGTCATGGGCGAAATGCTGATAGGAAAGGCAGTTTTCCAAGGTCAAGAGCCACTACTACAATTGCGGGAAATTTCAAAGCTGCTTGGTCCTCCAGATAAAAGATTCTTGTTCTTCTCGAACCCATCCTACGATGGACCACTTTTTTCGAAGCCTTTATTCACTGGGTCGGTCGCTGAAAGATTTGAAAAGCACTTCGGCCAAGCAGGCTTAGATGGTGTAGATCTATTGATGAAAATACTCACATATGAACCCGAACGCAGACTCTCACCAAGACGTATCTTGGCCCATCCATTCTTTGAAGACTTGAAGAAAGAACGGTATTTCTTCCCCAGAGGTCACACGCAACCGAAATGTTTACCTGAGTTGTTTGATTTTACGCCTTTTGAACTTCAGGTCATCGGTGAGCTATCGTCCGAGATATTACCCCTGGAATAGTCCTGAATAATACCATCAAGAACCACACAAAATGCTTTCTCCTCACTTGTACATTATTCTCCGCTATTCTTGCCTTTAGCAGACAAGGTACCTAACGTCTGATTCTACAATATATGTAACAAACTGCAATGCGCAATGGCGCCAGTGGGGCTTCCAAATATAAGAACTTCGAGGAAGGAAGCCTTCAAATCGTCGTACTCGATTTGAGCAAACTCATGTCCCATTCAAATAGCTGAAATGACCCTACACACTAGAGTCTGCAGTGCTCAGGAAGCTTAAAACATCTCGTATTTTTTTCTTAGCACGTCCGCTTAAGTACGTTAGCAACACTGTCGCAAATCAACTACAGCGTAGGTGTGAACGAACGTAAAAGACAAGGCCAATTTGGGGGGCGGGGATAATCAAAATGTGCCATCGTTATTTATTGCGCTTAATAAGGAGTTTTGCCGAGAGCCACGCTGGAAAGCTGGTGGACAGGCCCATTCGACTTTGTTCTTCTCATAGCTGTCAACTTTAGATATATCGCCTATATAATATCAAAGGGTTAACGAATAAGAGTACTCATCCTCGACATTCTGTGCTATCCACAAGACCACACAGCTCAAGGCAACACAGAAATTACCCACCACGTTGTTCACACCCATCCCCAGAGTTGGATACGATGTAAAGTCTTTGATCAGGAACTTGAGTATAAGCACTACGATGGATCCAGAAATACCGCCTGCCAGTAGTGCAAACCCAAGGAAAAGAACCACGCGTGCTTGCCACGCCATCGAAGACGATCCGTTGAAAGATCCTGACCCCAAAGCGTCTTGTATGAGCCTGTTCTTCTCGATCGAGTTTACAATAATCATACCCATAGTACTGCATATGAATGGGATCCAGTCCACAAATGTGACGTGCACAGAAGATGCGTTAGCCTTTCTGGAGTATATGGCAGCGTCTAAAAAACACCATGCTCCTACCGCATACAATCCGCCGGATATATACACTCCTATCGATCTAGCTTTAGCAGAGCTGGGGAACTTAAAAGGCAATCGGAAGAGTCTTTGTTGATCGGCTTCCATGGTTGTGCAGAGATGTAGGAGAATATAGGTCAGTACTTTGTTCTTTGGTTATAATCAAAGTTAAAGGGTTAGATTAAACACGGTAAAATAGAAATTAGCATCCGTCTACAATGACCTGATCGTTTTTACAGAGATACCTTAGTTCACAGAGCTGGGAAGAACCGCTCGAATAACACTCTCAAAATTCTACTTTCAGTGATGATTTTTATGTCTACTCTTGCCCAGTTGCCCCATTTTTGGATGCGTTTTCGCTTACTCTTTTATTCTCAGCGTGCAAATATGAAAAACTGGTAAAATTTTAAGCTCATCGCACATCTGCTTGATTTCTCAAAAGCTCATCTGCAAGATCGACAACTGCAAATACTGAGTGTAAAAAGTACATAGAATGCCTAGAAAGAAGTCCGCGGCTAAAAAAGCCAAAGAAACCTCTAAGAAGCTTTCTTTGGAGTCTCAAACGAAAGATTTGACTTCAAAAACGCAAGACTCAGGTGCAGAGATATCAAAAATTGATGGACCCGGTCCCAACCACAGTGACGACAGCAGCGATTCCTCAAGCTCAGATGAAGACGACTTCGGCGAACTAGTCACGGAAGAAGTTGAAGATGGCATTAACAAAGTCCTAGCAGCCATCAAGAACAACGACCAACAACTTTTCGACCCATCAGTTCGTTTCTTCGAAGATCCAGAGAAAGCGGCCGCTAAACTTTCCAAACAGTCCAAGGAGAAGCCTGTGTATTTGAAAGATTACCACAGAATGAATATCCTATCCGGGGAAACCTTCAAAGATGATGAAGACGAAGAACAAATGGAAACCGTGGACGGAAAGCAGTCCTTTGCGTCACAACAAAAGGAAGAGAAAGCCAAACTCTTGGACGAAATCAAAGACCAATTCAAAAACGATGGTAGCAACGACGAGGATGAAGAAAATGACGACGATTTCCTAGTCAAAAAAGCGCCAGCAAAACGTGAAAGACGCACCGAAAGAATTCTACCTAATCCAGAGGTGAATGACGAGGGATTTCTGGAGGCATTCGTGAGCAAACATGCGTGGATACCGCAAAAAGGTGACAGGGTTGTCGAATTGGACGGACCAGGCATGGAGGAGGATGATGAGGAGTTTGACGATGCCGCCGAACAATTTGAAAACGCTTATAATTTCCGTTACGAGGATCCTAATGCTGCAGAAATTGTCTCATATGCTCGTAATCAAGCTACATTGAGAAGAACAGCCAACAATTCTCGTAGACGCAAGAGAGAAGATGAGAAACAGGAACTCACAGCTGAGAAGAAGGAGAAAGAGGCAGCGGTCCAAAAGAAGAAAACCGAGAAAGTCAACAAACTCACAGATGTCTTGGAGCAAGTAAAAAAAGAGTATGGTGCAGATATTGATGAAGCCATGGTCAAGAAACTCACTAGTGCATTGATGAACGGTGATTTCGAAGACAACCAGTGGGACGCTGTGATTGGGGAACTTTTCAACGAAGAATACTACAACCAAGAAAGCAAGCCAACCTGGGATGAGAATGACGAAATAATGGGCGATTTCTACGGTGAGAATGCTGCTGAAGAAGAAAGCGATGGCGATGCGGAACCCGAGAAGAAGAAATCGAGAAAAGAGAAGAAAAAGGAGAAATCATCCAAAAAGCAAGATAAAAAAAAGGTAGCTGAAATGGTAGAAAAAGCTGTTGAAAACGAAAAAGTGGCGCTTGTTGATGAAGTGGAAGAGGAGAGAAAGTCGCGCTCTAGAACCAAGGATGGTGAGGAAGTCAAATTCCGCTACAGAGAGGTTTCTCCTGAATCTTTCGGGCTTACACATAGAGAAATTTTCGAAGCTGATGACGCAGACCTGAACGAGTTCATCGGTTTGAAAAAATTCGCGCCTTACAGAGCCAAAGAACTGAGAGCTAAGGACCGCAGGAAAGTCACCAAGAGTAGGCGTGTTAGAGATTGGAAGAAGAAAGTGTTTGGTAAAGAGGACGGGCTAGGAGATGTCGAGGCTTCTGAGGCCGGTAATGAAGTCAAAAAGCATAACAAGAAAAAGAGAAGCAATTCGGATGGTCAATAGATTTTTAGCATTATAAAACATTAAGCAATTAGTTCTGTAATTTACAAGCTCCTTGGGTTGCGGATGTGAAAAGATTATGAAGTGACCTATTTATTAATATTTGCCTACCTTTGGAAGCTTGCCATGGACCTGTTGGTATTCCCTTTCTTATATGGAATATCCCTATTAACAGTGCGGGATCCTCTAGGCCTCAGAGTGTTCATAATTGACCTTGTCCCGGTCTCTGCAGCTTCATTTAACGTGGCAGGTGTGCTTATTCTGCTTAGCCAAATGCGAGCAAGCAGGGTGAAGCACAAAGCGATAGAAGCCATTACTCCCAGGATACCAAAAAACCACCCCAAGCCTCCTCCATCTGGACCTCCTGGCACAGGAACGTTCATTCCGAAGAGTCCTGTCACAAGATTGAGTGGAATTAAAATAGTACCGATGAGAGTAACTTTACTAAGCATCTCTGTGACTTTGTTATTGGAATTGAAGGATTCAACCTGCAGCTGGGCTAAATAATTGGCGTGAGAACGGGAGAAAATCTTCTCGTAAGACAACAGGTTTTGAAACATCGTGACGACGTGATCCTGGATATCGCCGAGATACAAGGCAATGTCTGCTCTGGGTTGTGCCCTAGTATTGTTGTCGTTTGTATTGCTTTGTATGTTTGGAAGTCCTTCAGCTCCTGCTTTTTGAGTAAATTGCAAATTAGCGATATTCAATTGGGATGTTAAAGCAGGTCCTATTCCATGTAAGTCGTCTTGACATCTTTTTGCGAACATCTTAATAACATCTGCTTTGCCACTCAGAAGCCTCATGAGTGTCATTGTCTTTCTTCTGCTTTCTCCAATACGCTGCAGCATTACAGAAAAGTCCATATCACGAACCATAAAGACAGAGTCTTCGATGACATCAGCTTCGTACTCAATAGCTTGAATCACAGGTGCGAAACTATCGGTAATATCATCGATTAGAGCGTAACACAACCAGTCTGAGCTAACATCCACATAATCGCGCAGTTGTCTCACACGTCTCCTGACATTCGAACAATGATATATTGGACCGAAATGGAATGTGAGTACACCTTCTTTGAAAATCACAATGTAAACATTGATGGGCTCTAAAAACTCTTCCGACTCATGATCACCTTCAAAAGTATGGAAACAGACAAAGTAGTAACTCTTGAAAAGCTCAACTTTCTCACGGGTTTCTTGCATTCTAATATCTTCCGCGGTCAAAGGGTGAAGACCGAAAGCTTTCGAAATACAACGCATCTCTTCGTCCGTGGGACAAACGCAGTCCAGCCACCAAGTTGGTGCGCCATCTCTGAAAAGGTCTCTGAATGACTCACCTGGTTTTACCAACGACGCGATATCAGGCGCGTGGACCGTTTCCTCTGAATCTGAACAGAAAAACGAAAATCGATCGGGAACAACGTAATGCTCATTCTGGGAGCCATAGGGAGTGGGCAAGCGCTCTGATTCATCGTTCTCAACCTTGTTATTACCAAAGTAAATTCCTTGTTGTGAAACTACGGAATCGTCTGGCACCGTCTTGGCTTTTGGAACTTCCGGTGACGCCCCTTTAGGTGTATACTTGAGAGCCGCAGTAGATGATGTTGTAGCAGTCGACGAGGAAGAGCCAGCTTTATTAGCGTATTGCTGGTTCATATTAATGGGCTCGACACTGGCAACATTCAAAGCATTATTCAAAATTTCTTCCCGGGACTGGATTGCGAACTCCTCGAGCTCATCAAAATCAATGCCATTGATTCTGGTGTGCTCCAGACGCTGCATTGGAAAACATACATCCTCCTCGGTCTCTTGAGACTCTCTGGAAGCGTGAGAGTTATCGGTTTCGATGGATACTCTTGAGAGCCTACGTCTCATGGCCTGTTCCCTGCCATTGGAGTCACTTTGATTGGACTTGGCAGATATGGTTTTGGTTAAATAGTGCAATGGCTTATTGGACGAGGAGTCCGAGCTGGTTCTCATTTTGCCCTTTTTCATGTTTCCAGCATCATCTGGGCCACTGCTCTTGGAGGATTTTCTGGGGAGCAGTGGTGGAGGTGGATTCAAATGCTGAACAGATCCTCCAGCGCTCGAATACAGTTGTTTTTGATGGGGCATAGAATGCGCGATGCGCGAGGGTCTGGCGTTTCCGGTGTTTGTGGCTGCCAATTTCATTTGTGAGCCCTCGATGTGCAACTCGTCATCGGACTCATTACCAAAGGTTATACCAGACCTGATAGAACTAGGAGATACAGTGATTTTGCTGCGCTTGTCACTTGGTGGCTGAGGTTTCTTAAGGATTGATTTCCCGGCTTCAGAATTTTGACGCACAGGCAACGAGTCCGGCAAGTGTCTGTGGTCGTAAAGCTCATTGTGTTCTTCTGTGTCCATGGACGCCAGGGAGACGGCTACAGATGCGGCTGGGGACGCGTGCTCGCGTTCGTGCGAGTGCACGGATTCAGAATCAGAGCTCATGGCTGGGATGGTGGTAACTCAATAACGAAATGCCAAAAAAAACAAACAGTGAGGGAAGGGAATACGTAAGTACTCTGTACGTTCGTGCTGCAATCCAAATCGAGGCACCCGTCGTCTTTCGAGGGATATGGGAGAGGGGGTTGTGTTTGTGTGCGGAGTGCTCTGCTATTATGGCGGCTCGGTCTTCCAACTGGCCACTGTGAGATCCGGGCTGCCCACGACCAAGCTCGACAGTCTGGGAATCGCGAAGCTCAATTTGCCAGCAATCCAGGGGACCTCCAACGTGAACTTTCAGTAGTGCTAGCTCCAGAAAGTGAAAAAGCGAGAAAGCAAATAAAACCCTGGCAAAAACGCCCAAGTCTCTTTTTTTCTCCGAATAAAGCCGTCTACTAGACAGAACTAGACGGGAACCGGCGTTTTGGGTGTTTCAAACACTTTTGTCGACCTCAAGATACACTTTTTGGTCTTGTTCCAAGTTCTTTACAACTTGATGAGATAAATTCGCCAAATCGTTTTTTATCAGTGGGCCCATTTCATTAGGACCGAGCCCAAAAAATTTAAAAGCTTGGCCACGTTCCTTCGTGTATGTTGATCTTTAAACCTTCGGCGGCTATAGTATTGGAGCATCGAAAAGACATTTGTGAGCATAAACCGCCTCCAGGACAGTATCTTGAAGAAGTTCTTGGTTTCAGATGTGTAGCGTATTGTTCTCTTGTATATTGTGCCTTTTTTCCCAGCTTTTTCTCATTCTCGCTTGGCGTCACGGACGGATCCGCTGGTGAACCGAGGCGATGGGCTGAACAAATTGTGCACGTAGTCACCCATGTTAAAGTTGGGCGTTGCCAGCAGCTGCGCGGTTCGTAGTTCTCGCGACGGGGTGCCCGGAACGGCCAGAGTTTGAGTGTTTGCAGAGATTGTGGACGTTGTGGTAGCGGCGGCCGTGGCGCTCGGCACAGAGCCCTTACGCTTGCGTGGTGAAGACGAGGTCATGTAAAAAGAGACCTGGGGCGAGTCCATGATCTCAGAAAACTGGGAGGAGCTGGAGTGAGAAGGAGTTTCGTGGTGAGCGGTGCTCGAAGAGGTGTGGTTCGGGACTTTGAACCCGAAATGAGACGACGAGGACGACGACGAAGGAGGCTGGTTCTTGATGTGTGAGAGTCGTACGGCGTCACCGGAAGAATGCTGCTGTTGTTGGAGCGACGGTGTGGTTAGAATTTTTCCTTGGGAAGCGCCCACAGCTGCCGAAGGCGTCTGTGGACCCTGCAGAGTGGTGGATTTTGCCGAAGTGTACGGACTGGTAGCCAGATACATGAGTAAATCCGCGCCAAGATCGTTGGTTTCGCGCGAGCTTATCGGCGTCCTGGGGACCGCCAGCTCAGCCGGATCGGTCCCATCTTCACGTTCTGAATGCAAGCTCCGACGCCTCGTCTTTTGAACACTTCTGGGAGGTGTGCTGGGTCTTGTGATGGCGTCAGGTTCTGTTTTATCTTGGTGTTCCTCTTCAGCGCCATTAGGGCTCAGTTCTGATTCCTGATCAGCTCTGTTACGCTTCAGAGGCGACACCCGTGTATTTTCGCGCGCAATTGGAGGCATGTTGAGCTTTACTGGCGACATCCGCGTCTTGGGTCTCGCATTGTCGCGTGAACTCTTCTTGGGAGTAGCCACTTTACTTAGTCCCATCTTGAGCTGACGAGTCATCTGGGCCAGCTCAGCTCGCTCCAGAATCTTCAGCGCAATTTCCTGCTCCTTCTGTGGCGACATTTGGCGCGATTCCATGGCTCAATGTTATGTTTTTGACGCGTTTAGTAGGTTTTATGGTTGAAAGTTGCAGGAAGACAGAATTAGAAATATATTCCTGTAGCTATAGAATTAATCTCTACATCACCAATCATCGCAGAGAAACGGCAAAAACAAGACGAAATATCTAGCATGTTACGTCTTCTAAGTACACGCATGGCTTCCGGTGGTGGCAGAGTAGCTATGGCCAATTTTTGGAGGGTCGGAGCCGTCAGTGCCGGGAGATTTGCAAGACCTTTCAGTGTTTCTCGAAAATGGAGGAATGAGGCCTCAAAGGACGGCGATAACAAAACACACCTGGGCTCTTTCAAGGTTGATAAACCCATGATGATGATTGCGTTCACCTGCAAGAAATGCGACACGCGCTCGTCGCACACCATGTCGAAACAGGCCTACACCAATGGAACGGTTTTGATCCAGTGTCCCGGCTGCAAGAGCCGGCACTTGATTTCAGACCATCTCAAGATTTTTTCTGACGATCGCATTACGGTACAGGACATTCTGAATGCCAAGGGTGAGTCCGTGTCGCTAACAACCGACGACCTAGCCTTTGAAGACATCCCGGAAAAGCTGAGGTCTGCGATTGGCCACCACGCCCACGATGCTCCCATGGAGGATAAAAAGAAGAAGATGGACAACGAGTCTGTTCATACTTTACCTGCTGCAAAGCGCGAACACTAGGTCAGCAGCGTCAATCTTGGGCTTCATATTTCAGTGAACTGAACTATACACGGAGGAGAAGAGTCGACATAAATTATAATCATAACTTAGAAACCATGAACTCCCCGTTCTGAGCTGGCCATCGTATACCCAAAGTTGTTGTGTTGTTCAAGATCATATGAGCCTTACTCTTTGACCCATATTATGACTTCGTAGCCTGCGAGCCACAGCCATGTCATTCTTAAATTCATGTAAAAACCTAAGAACCATTAAAACTGAAGTTTCCAAAGTAAGAGAGCCTTCTTCTATAGCTGACTACCACCACTCTGTGAGCCTACTTTTGCTCGTTTCAGGTTCCTTATGAGACGACTTCAGCTATTTGGCAGAGGCAGAGATGAAGGGTACACTTCCATTGATTCAAATCTGCAAAAGCCGAAAATTAGATCATTTCACGACAAGAAGGCTCTAGATGACAATTCCCAGCTGCTTTCGCTACCCTCGAAGGTTCTCGATCAAATTCTGGAACTTTTGGACATTCCGACTCTTCTATCGCTATGCCTCGTCAATTCAAGATTTTACGACATCATAAGTAACAAATTTCTGTACCAGAATGTTGTCTTAAAGGATAAGCTGGCTTTGCTCAAGTTTGCAGCTCTGATTCACTGCGAGTCTCATACCACAGAGGCATTGACGAAGTCCAGGGCCGGCGTGTCATCTCAAAATTTACGGTTTTTGGTACGGTCTGTGGAATTCATGAATCCTATATACCAGGACTCGATTCTCAAATACGGCAAATATTGTGGGAAGGATCAGGTATCGACAATCGGTGGGTCTTACCGTCTGGCGACTGATGACGTGCGCCAGGGAATGCAAAGTATGGCACGAGAAAAGTCTCCGGAACTTAGCTCGCGGTCTCCCTCGATGGAAAGAGGCCGGTCTTTAGATAACAAACATCTGAGAGGCACTCAAATTTCATCTTCTCTTGGCAGACAAACCCAATCGCCACTCCGAGCGTTTTTTGATATCTCGTCAACGTCACGATCAAAAATGATGGCCAAATACGAAAGTCACACTTACATCGAGCTCATGCTAGATATCATTGACTTCTGCCCCAATCTTACGCACATTATCTTGAGTGATATTCAACAAGGTTTCAAAATACCACTTTGGTACTCGATATTAAACGACAAATCCAGAGATTTTTACAATAGAATTATAAAAGGCCAGCAATCTTTGAACAGAGCCGATATGATGTCCTTCGAGTTATCCGCCGAATGGCTATCGAGTTATGCAGAAAAGTATCATAGCTTGCCCAGATTCAAGAAATTAGAGCTTCGAGCAGCGAAAGACAAACTGCCTGTACGACTGCGTTCGAACATGTTAAGCTGCTTCGGTATATTCGAAGAGCTCATATTACAAAACATGGCTATTGACGCCGAGTCACTGGACACCCCTCTGGAATACATGCCACTTTATATGAAAGTTAGCGAAGGCGGATTTTTAGACCTCCATTTGCCAGTTACTTCTCTTTCGTTGGATACATGCGAGATCGTCCCGGGAAATGGGCTCATGAAGTTGATGTGCTCATATTTCAACAGAGTCAAGACTTTAAAATTGCTAAACATCGGAAGCAAATATGATCTCATTTTAACCAACTGTTTCCCCAGTCTCAGACATCTAATTATTGACTGCAACAGTAAGTGCTTCAATAATGAGCGAATAGTCAATAGTGCTTACTACCACGACGAAACACCACAAGACTATCCCGATGATGTTTCTGTGGGTGATACTTTGGTAGACAGCCCTACCGTACAAGAATTGGTTGTTCCCCCAGCAACGGCGCCAATTATCCTTGCCATGAATGGGGGGTACATCAAGCGAGCTAATGACAGCAATGGCAAGAAGCCTGGAATGATTCTGGACGCTCAAGAACAGTACTTTAAGACTATGAGAATTCCTCCTTTTCATTATTTCTTTCACTACTTTAAGAGCCTATGGGATCGGCTCCCAACCAAGAATATCAAAATCTCAATTGTTAATATTCCTTTCACAAATGTATACCCACTGCAGCCCGACATATTTTGGCGACAGATCGAACTCTATACCGATGACGACCTTCAAACTTTATGCGGTATTCCGCATGCCGAAGAGCTTGATGAGAATGAACACTATTGGGACCCAGCTGTTTCGCAGTGCTTCAAAGATGTAATGCTGGACACTGATGCTGAGCCTAATTATTCAGATCACCAACTTTGGAATAGTTATCAAAACTCGCGTATTTTTAGGGACATCCCTAACGTTAATTTGTGGCTTTTCTTGAAATCGCTGTCTAAATTTAAATCTGTCGAGATACAAATGCTAAGAAAGTGGTTATTGTGTACCCCACGGTCGAGATATGATTGGGAAATTTTGTTAAAACCCATACTAAATGGTAGAATTCCAGTAACAGTAAGAGACAACGACGGATTTATCTTATACAAATATGGTTCTGGCTAAATGCTGAAATTAAAACGCATTGCAATGCAAAGCAAAATAAAGAAAGCACGTTGTCCAAAAAAATGCAGAGGGGACGCTGAGTGTTAAAAACGAAGCCGCGTTACTCTCTTTTTCTTTTTGCTTCTCCGCCTGTCTGGGAGGCTCCCGAGGATCTGGATTTGATTCTTTTGGTTGTGACACATGTTCGTCATCGGATTGGAGAATTTCAATTTTGTTGACAACTTCCATTTTGCACTTTCCGTTAAGTTTGACTCCATTTTCGTCATATATGTCGAATTCAGACACTAAGTCACTATCTTTGAGACTTAGATACTTGCCCCGTTTTTGGTCCACGCCTTTCCTCACAAGGTCCTTTGCGAGATCTTGAGGCACCTGCTCATCAATTTGTATGTTTTCGTACTTGTCTTTGCATGCGGGCAAAGGTGCGGCTGCCATCAAACTTATAGCGTTTTTGCGTATCATTTGAAACTCGTTACTTTCAATAGCAGTGTAACGATTTTGTAAAGCGACAAAATCATGAAGCAAGTGGGCGGTCCCATCTCTATCCATCGCAACAAGCCCATAGTTGTTCGGTTCCTGTGTGAATTCATATACTAGGCCTCCACTAAAAGTGTTGATCATATCTGTCGAATAGAGAGCTTCAACCTCCGCAAATGAGCGGGGACTAATAGTATTGCAACCAAATTCGGAGAAAAATACAGGCTTGGTGTACTCTTTATAGGCACTAACCAACTGATCGTAGCCCGACGTCTGGAATGTTTGTTGCCCACACCACTGATATGAGTTCACGCCATAAAAATCAATGCTGGAGTCAGGCTCATTTTCACGGTGACATTCAAGGTATTGAGACAGTGGAATTCGATATCTCAAATCATCGGCTGCTGAATATCCGACTGGAATTCCTCTTGGAGAGTTTTTCTTGATGTAACTTTTCATGTCGCCAACAACTGCTCTAATATATGATGGTGATCTCTTTGCGGAGTGCCCATCGTTTATTATTTCGTTTCCAGCGAAAAACCCAAGAGTATTGTTGTAATGACCGAACTCCTCAATAACTTCGAAGATGTGCTGCAAGTAATTGTGGTTGTAAGATGTCCACGGTTCGTACCTGTTTAGATGTTGATTCTCCATGGGGGAGTTCACGTCCAGAATTAGATATATTCCTGCTGCGGCCATCATGGTCATACAAGCATCATGATTCAGATCTGGACTAATTGAGTACACTCTTATCGTGTTGATGCCAAGTTTCTGGAAAAGGAAAATGTCTCGAGCACAAATCTTAGGATCTGATAAGGGATCCTGTTTACTGGTGACATCGGAAGAACCACCAGGCTGATAGTCAACTCCCTTTATAAAAAACGGTTCTCGGGTAACTGAATCAAAGAAATGTTGTTCGTGGATCTCGACAGGATTGATCGATCCGTGTACAAATCTGATCAACGGGGAAATTGAAAGCGTCAGTACAATCTTCAACAGTGAATGTAGCATTTTTGGCTTTGTTCAGTTAATGTCAAATGTGTAGGTTAACAATATGAAGTTGATCTTGTGTAATAATGCCAATAGAGATTTTTGTAATTTCATGACGTTTTCTTAAAGTCGTCAATGAGACAAAAAACACTAAAAGTAACATCGTATTATAAAGCCAAAATTACGATAAAAGCTGTGCTAGAGTTTGAACTATCGTGTTCCGCGTACATACTTCGTGTATATTCTAAATATGCAATGCCTGCCATCTTTATAAGACAAAGAAACTACTGTCGTCGAATGTGGGGTAAATGAACCCTTGGTCAACTAAAGTCTGACAATACATCTTCACGTCAGCTTCTGATATACCTAAGCTTTGTTCGATTAGTTTTGTGTGAACTGCAAAGTTGCTTGCATCTTTGCCCTCGCATTGCGCCCCACAAAACTCAAGAATCTTATGCAATGCCGTCTTGGGCTCCGTCGCAGAGTTGTCCTGCACAAACAGACTTTGGTCTTCTCCGCTTTGCTGATTACTTGTATTGGAGTCGTTGGTCTGATATGCCGGGCTTTCCATTTTCCCATTGGCTATGGCATGACATTTCATCGCAGATAAGTGGTGAGCTATGACATCGTTAAAACTTTCGATAGGTTTTACTACAGCGTACTGAACGTTTTTCTTGGCGCTGAACTCGCGGAGAGCACCAAATATCTTGACATAAGTCCCCACCTGGTACAACCGAGATATTTGTGAACTGTAAGAGCCCTCTTGGTCGTCGGTTTGCCCCTCGTTGGCATTAGCCATGTCAGTAGGGTCTGCAGTCCATTGGCGAACGTCGATCTGGCCCGTCCCGTCCTCAACCGTGAGTGTGATGTTGGAGGTTTTGTCTACCACATTTCTGACCACTCCAACAAACACCACGTGATGCAATTCCAGGTTATTGATCACAAATGGGCCGTCCTGAACCATCTGTTTCGATTCTAGCACTTGCTTGATAGTGACAGGCATCAGTGTTGATTGTGAAACGTTACCGGATCCGGTATTTGGTCTGCTGGAGCTCTGAGAATTATCGAACCCACCGCCTGTCACGGTGGAAAACTCGTTGTAGGGTTGATAAGCTAGTTGAAATGAAGTTAGTAGAGAGGAACATGAAGATTACGGTCTCAAAATCGCCGTAGCAAGACTGACATACTTGCCATATTGTTAATGCGTGCTATTGGTACCTAAAATGGATCTTTTTCAGTTAGTTCTGTTCCTGAAAATAGGTTATTTGACTTACAAATTGGTTCATTAATCAATTTTTATTATTTTCACGCGTTTCGCGTACTGAAGGATATTTTGAAGGATATTTTGAGAGATAGACACGAGGTAGATCAAGCATCCTAGCCCTCGATATCCAAGTTCAACGTCAGCCGTCAAGGTTGAGTTCAGGACAGTTCCCGTGAGAAACTCACCTGTCTCCATCTCGGTCGAAGTATGAATTTTTACCCAAAATATGGAATTCATGTGGGAGGCTAGAACATCTTGACACGAACCATATAACGCTCGTGAAGAATTTTGGTCGAATACCTAGAAGTCTCTTAATCTGCATACCACTTGACCGTACGCCGATGAGGAGCGACACATCAGTACAAAGTGATAGCAAGACGTTGTGCAACAAGACGTGCTCATGAAGTCTTCAAACATCATCAGATAATAAGTGGTAATCAAAACTCATTTAACTACGTGCCAAATTCTCGGAAAAGGTAAAAAATGACTTTGTAGCCCAAAATACAAAATTGTTTACTTATGAACGACCTTGTATCATCCGAAAAACCCTAACTACAGGCTAAAGTTTGCTTTTATCCAACTGTTAGGATCAGTTCTCAAACATTAGCACAATTGGCTCAGAGACGCTCGAGCATTATAATTGTGACCATTGCATTCCCGCAGTCCAGCAATTTCGACGAACCGAGGAGTTACCAAATCACTGAAAAGTCCTGATAGCTGAATCGCTCTAAAGAAGTACGACCGCGACGCAAATGGCTCAATTAGTGCTATTCAGAGGAGTATCAAGCTCAACGCTACTCGGTTACTCGTCTTTAGTGATATATTGATAAAAGAAAATTTTAGTGGGTTTGACTAAGCTCATCGGCTATTTCAGATCCTGTATTTGTATAAAAGACAATAGATCTCTGTCAGACCAATATTCAATCAAGAAGGCTGTGCTATTACCGAAGATATAATTTGGTATACAAACATGGGAACGGTGGTGTTACAAGCTGCTCTTTTGTTGGGTTCAGAAAGAGCAATTCCAACGGAACTGTGTGGGGAAATTGATGCTACATGCTTGGGCTACGCTAAGCTCATATTGGGCGGCCAGCATGAAGTGGTGATTGGCGAAATTCTGAAATCAATCAATCTTATTGGAGACTGCAGCATCGAGGAGCCTCAGGAACTCTATAGGCGGCTAAATACTCAACTTGCTGAAAGATTCGAGAAACACCCAAATCTAGCACTTTTGCTTGCAGTCGCGCTCTTGCAGTCGTTTATTCAAAGTAATTTTACGGGTCCGGCACCCACACAATCTGCATACCAAATTTTGTCGTGCAGTAGTCTGCAAAAGGAACAATTGCATCAGCTTTCAGTCTCTCTCCTCAGTGTACTGGGTCAGCCGGCTTATGATTTGTGTGATGACGCTATTTTCCTGGTTATGAGCTTGATATTACTGGAACAAACTTCAAAACAAACCTCGCTGTTTGTCGATATACCTGAAGAACTATCCACTGTCGAAATTTCTGCAATCGAAACACCTGCTATTGTAGCATGCGCTCATTGGTGGAGAGCTAGGGCTCTGTTGACCCAGCTATCTTTGCTACCGGAGCCATCGGGCCCTCACCCAATTGTAGCGTCTTCGATTCTGAGCAGCATCGACTTGGTGTACGCCATTACCAAAGAACTACCACCTCATTTGAAATCCGAGCTTGAGAATCAGCTAGGCATTTCATATTATCTCGAAAATGTCAAGTGCTCGTTAGCCACCAATACAGAACACTTGTGTCTTCCTTCGTTGATTAAAGTTCAAAAACTGACAGGTTTCCAATTTGTTTTAACAGGAGCTCGTGCGAAAAGGACTAAATATCAACAAGAGGCTCGCTCAGGCTTGATTATTCTTGCTAATTCATCCCCTATCACGGTAAGAGACCAAGAAAAAGACTCAAGCTTCAATCCTGAGAGTTTTGCTCTCGAATCCGATTATTTGTTGGAAAGACCAATTTTCCAGTCTATAGGAGACGAGCCGCTGGATGAACAAATTGTCAAAAGACCAAAAATTGACCAAGGGTCAGGTATTGACGAGGAAAAACTATTACCAGTGGCCCTGAGACAAGAAGACATACCCATCGATTTGCGAGAATTGGACCCAAACAACCAACCGGCTCTGGCTAATCATGATAATATTCAATTGCTACTTCGTATGCAAGTCATTCGTCAAACAACTCCAGCACAGAACCCAATGGTTGAGCAGGAATTGAGCGCTATCGTGGGTCGTGTATTGTATCAATCCGGTCAAAAAAATTGGACTTTGTTTTCTAGAGGCTTATGGGAAAGATCCTTAATCGAAACTACGAAAGCCAAGACAGTCGAAAGGGGGTTGTTACAGATGCAGTCTTTAGTTGAAGAGCTGGGTCTGAAAATTAAAACTCGCTTGCTTCCCCAAGAAAGTGAGGGGACTCAAGTTACGAATGTGGAGAGATTGAAATTCGTGCATCAAGTGCCTTTTGTTCCAAGGTGGGCTTTAGACGCGAAGCTTGCAGAAAAGTATATGTCGTTGGGTATACTGAAGTCAGCTGTGGAAATATACGAAAGGCTTTCGATGACATGCGAGGCAGCTCTATGCCACGCAGCTGCGGGTGACGAGAGGACAGCGGAGGAAATGTTGATTAAAAGAATCCAGGAAAACCCAAAAGATGCAAGAGCTTATTCTATTCTAGGGGACATCAGACAGGACCCTGATCTTTGGGTAAAGAGTTGGGATATTGGAAAGTATGTTAACTCCAAAAACGCATTGGCCAGATATTTTTATAATCCACCAGCCTCATCTGGGCTGAAGAAGGATCATAGCGCTTGTCTGAAACATTTAAATGAGTCATTAAGACTTTATCCACTTTCTTTCGACACCTGGTTTTTTTACGGGTGTGTTGGCTTAGAATGTGGTAGAATAGAACTTGCTGCGGAAGCGTTTACAAGATGTGTGTCGTTAGATGCAACGCATTCGTTGGCTTGGTCCAATTTGAGTGCCGCATTTATGGAGTTGGGAAAGCTAAAAGAAGCACACAGCTGTTTGAGCAAAGCAACAAGCTCGGATTCACCTAATAATTGGAGAATTTGGGACAATTACATGTTGGTCTCCATTAAGCTGAATCTTTGGCCTGACGTTCTACTGGCTTGCAGGAAGCTTGTCGAGATACGGAAAGGTAAGGTGGGCGAGTTTTCTATCGACTTGCCCGTTGTAGAAAAGCTGGTCGAACTATTAGTAACCTCAGAATTTCCCTCTGAAGCGTCTGCGCGACTAACACATTTCCAATCTTCTTGTATGGAATTTATCTGTGAAATTTTGCCGGGTGTCGTCACAACAAACTCCAGGTGCTGGAAACAAGTAGCCAAAGTTGAGTTATGGAGAAAGAGACCTTGGGCGTCCCTAGATTGTTACGAAAAGGAGTATAGAGCTATGTCACACAACCCTGACCTTGAATTTGACGAAAAAGTGTGGAACGATAGCGTTGATACTTGTGATGACCTTGTATCAGCATACGAGTCTCTCGGAGAGATGGAGGGTAAACATGGATTAGGGAGTTTGGTCTGCAAAGATTGGAAATACAAAGCGAGATCTACAATCAAATCACTAATGAGCAGAGGTAAAAACAACTGGGAAGATTCCGATGGCTGGGAAAGATTAGTGGAATTACGAAATAATTTGTAAGCTACACAATGCATACGAGCTCCAACCTATGAACTCCCCAACTCGACAAATTCGAGTCTGTAATAGCACATTACTTGCATGCAGAAATAACTTCAATAAATGCAATAAATGCCTGTTTTATAAAACAACGAGCTTGACAGCGTATGCTGACTTTTAAGATGAGACCTAATTAACGGAGAAGTCTTTTGGAATTTATCCAGGGTCACGGCGAGGTGGAGGAGCAAAAGGTAAACTCAAAAAATCAGAAAGATTCTCGCCCTTAAGGTGACTTAACAGTTCTGTAATCTTGTCGAGCTTGATTAATACGTTTCTTTGGAAAACCTGTTGATTTTGTTTCATTACCTTGACTTCATGTTGAAGCGCTTCCATAGTAGTTAAATCTCTAGACTTATAGTCCTTAGAATTTTCGACTTGGAAATCGGATTTTAGCGAATTGACTACAGATGAGACGTTATCTTTTGTAACCATGAACTGTGTACTGGGAGTATTGGTGGAAGAAGAACTTTGAGAATGAATATATGGGGAGCTAACAAACCGTTGGGAGTCCCGTGTAGTTGAGAAATCTCCACCAGTTTGTTCTTGCTGTTCTTGGTAGCGTCGCATCTGTGTGTGGGGGAAAATGGTTATGGAGTCCAACGGCGGTGGCTGACGATTACTCAGCTGCTCTTCCTGGTCTTCTTCGTCAGAAGACGCCGCTTCTAACTCTGTATTGGCATACGACTTCGCCTTTGCCTGAGCAGGCGGCGCTGGATTGCCTGGGAAAATCTGCATGGCTATCGGAGTTGGCTCTTGTTGCTGAATTGTAGGACTCGGGGAAGGTTTCGTGGCCACCATTCTGTAACCTGGCCTTCGACTGTCGATACTTCTAGTATCCCGACCATCTTCTTCAAGGATTCTTTCCATCAATCCCACATTGGTGAACGGCAGTTGTTCACCGGCTATGTATAGTTCTTTTAGCTTTTCAAATCTCGTCTTGAGTGTTCGGTTTTGGCGGTAACTTGCTCCTGTGGCATTATTGAACACCTTTAAAAGCTCATTCCAGGTGTTCATGCGATGCCGGTACGTTTGCGAATGAGGTTTATACTCAAATATGAGTTCAAGCAGCAGATCGTCTGGATTGCTCATATTTGAAAGCGGAAAGGGTATATTATTGCACTATTTTGTACCGCCTGCTGTGAACAAAGGGCATTTCACTATAGGAGATGTTCAACGGCGGATACAGATGACGCCCTTGGTGCTAAAAAATGGATCTTGCGGTCATGTCGAGATACAAGATCATGAATTCATCGCTTAACCGTAAAAAGAGAGCTCTTCAAAAACGTGAAGATCTTCATTCGAAGACGAGAAGTAAACATGGCAAACTGAAGACTCTACTGAATAGCTGTGCTAATTTCCAACGTCTCTTAAATATGCTACTACCTTTGATAAGTTTGCGTACGTCTTTCTCTGCTCCAAACTGCTTTGCTTGCGCAGAAAATAATGTGTGATCGCGGTACTACTTTTAGTTTATTACAGAACAGGATCAGGCTTGCCAAAACTGGATAGTTCTGTTATTACTTACCCTTTTTTGGCCTCTGTTCTTTCACTTAAATTATGACTATGTTTTCTAGAATCTTTACGCTATAGCACATCATCTCTTAATTACAAATTTTTTGACATAAAACTTGTAAACTACGAATTAGTACTCGAAAGTAGATTGAGATGAGCATCTTAGCCCGAAACTTGACCCGCTACGCTCAAACTCAAACTAGAAAAGCTTCTGCAATTTCTTATACAAGTTTCATTCAGCTACAGCAAACTTCACGCTCCAAGAACTGTTACTCTACAGAAGCTTTAGAGCAGCGATACCAAGACAAATTACTCGAAAAGGCCAAAGCAAAAGGTTACGAATCCGTGGAGCAACTCAAAGAGCAGTTGAAAGACGATATTGAGACCAGGAAGCGAGACCTCAACAAGATCGATCCTTTGAAAGAATTGGAGGACTACGAACAACGTATAAAAATGTCGCAGAACAACACTAAAGTTACTGAAGCCAGGGGCCCAGTTGACTCCAGCAAAGCAACAGTGCCTTTCAAAACTCTCGACTCATTCTTGAAGCTCGAGAAAATCCAGGATTTGTCAAAACAAGAAATTGAGTTTCTTTGGCGGGCTCGTTGGGCCAACTTGGATAAGGTCTTGAACGCTGTTGTACCAGCACAGGTGTTCGCGCAAATGTCGAAGCACATTAAAGCGGCACCAACTTTCGTGCTTCCCTTGCCTCGTGAAATTGTAGTCGATGCAGCGGAATCTAAAAACGATCAAGGCATGGAATTGCACTACATCCAGTGGCAAAACGCCGGCCGCAACACCGTACATTGCATCATTACATCGTTAGCTGAGTACAAGCTGCACAAGGAATATGCCAAGCCTCACACTACGTTCCAATTCCACAAAGAGCTTATCAATGACAAACAAATTGTGCTAATGAACGGCCTTGTCGAAAAGGATGTTAATATCTCTCTCCAGGATGCCCAGCTTCTGCTACTCAACATCCAAAGATTTTACGGTGCAATGGGTGAAGAATCAGTGCCCTCACAACAAAGAATCAGGCTTCTTCACGATTTTGCTAATGGTTCAAGTGATTTCAGTGTCGAAAAGCTCATTAGTTTGGCTCAATCGATGGATACTTAAACAAACATAAGGATCACTCTAACCATTCATGTATATACAGACATTATATAAATTCAAAGATTCGTACCATAAGTGGAGCAAGTCTTGACAGCACCAAGCTTCCCAGGCTCTTCAGTAGGTTTGCTCTTTTACTTGTTTATCAGTTTTTCAATGTCATCAAAAAAATCAGCGAGCGAGTGATAAAATTATTATAGGCAGTGACTTGGACTTCAAACGTAAGATGGTCAATGTAGCTTTTTTAGGGCCTTTGGGCACTTATTCACATCAAGCAGCTCTTCAACAATTTCCAGACGCAGGAACGGTGTACACGCCCGTCGAAACCATCCCACAATGCTTTGAAGAGCTTGCCAACGACAAGTCACTGGATTACGCTGTAGTCCCACTTGAAAACTCGACCAACGGTCAGGTTGTCTTCACATATGATATTCTCAGGGATTTAATGAATGGGTGCGAGAAGTATAATGGTAACGAGGCCTTGCCAGAGTTGGAAATCGTGGCTGAACAGTACGTATCCATCGATTTGTGTTTGATTGCGTCAGGCGCCATCGATCTGACTTCTTTTGGGAAGGAGACAGATGTAAAGGTATATTCTCACCCACAGGTATGGGGACAGACCACTAATTATCTGAAGAGGCTGGGACAGAAGGTTGGGTCATTAAGGTTGATTGATTCTGCATCTACTTCGGGAGCAGTGCAAATGTGTTGTGAAGAAGGTAATTCTGTGGCGAACGAAGTTTCGTTGGCTATTGCAAGCAGCACTGCAGCCAACTTACACACTGCACATATTCTAGACGGCCCTATAAATGATAAAAGGGGCAATACTACAAGATTTCTCACTCTAAGAAGACGAAAACCCAAGGAGCCTCCGCTCGCGGCAAGACCGTCTTCACCAATTACAAAGGATCAGAAGGTATCTATTTTAACGTTCGTGGTGAAACAAGACAGCCCCGGTAGTCTTGTGGACGTCCTGAACGTTTTAAAAGAACATCAGATCAACATGTGTTCAATTAGTTCACGCCCATATCATTACCCAAAAGAAAACGAAAATTCGATACAGCAAGAAGATACTGAGAGTAAGAAACGCAAATGGCAATACATTTTTTTCATTGAGGTCAATCACGATAGTTCCGTGGACTGGACTCTCGTCATCGCCGGAATTAGTAGCAATTCATTGAAGTTTTGCTTCTGGGGAACATTCTACCGTAACATCCGCTACTTTGAGACATCTTAAAACCTTGGAGCGCCGCTCCGGTAAAACTTACTTGTATATATTTAATTGAAATCTGTAAACATTTCATTAATTCCCGAAAAGATTGCATAAGTACCGATTTATTTTTATGATACTCTTAGTTACTGACCTGTAATGCACATCTGTCTTGAAAAGCTGCGAGACGGTTTTCTCGACATCGTCACTTGCGAGGTTTACCACATTTCAGCATGGGCAAGATGTCTGTTGCCAACTGCCAGCGTCCACAGGTTGTGAATTCGTATCTCATTTCCCATGATTTGAATCTTTTTATCTGCCGTACTTTGCAAATTGCCAAGGTTGGTTATCAAGTGGGCAGGCGTTTCTAGTTTGAAGCCACTTGTTGATACAGTGAAGATGAAATGCGTGACTGCAAACACCCCAGGCTGCCACGCATTCTGTCTCGCAGTCTGTCATTGCCGTAGGTTGGCACTGGATGCATGGTTCCATGATATGATTTCTACAAATTGCGCAATTCTCCACAGCTATATCCCATGACCAAAATGCTACCGCAGTCCATTTCTTAACCTCAAACTTCTTCTTTGGAGGTTTATTTACCGCTTGTAAGTTTACTTCCTCAGAAGTCGGTTCCAGAACTTCCTCTTCCAGGTCCACTTGTGGCTCGTCTAGTTCCATTTTATCCTCAGACATGTTCGTGATTGAGGTATATTGAGAGCCTTTATGTTGTTCCCGATGGATGTGCTGATGATCAAAATGCTGTTTTATGTTTAATCAATTTAAACACCTACTTATGTACGAAATGCATATCTGAAAGACACCGTTTACGCAGACAAGAAGGATCCGGAATTCAATGTATAGTCACGATAGGCAAACTCTAGCGTATGTGAGCATCCAGCTCTTTTCAGCTCCTTTTCAGCTCTTTTCAACCTTATAATTATCTATCAAATGGCATACATTTGATTTCTAATGGTCAGCGGCATATGTAACCCTTTTATTACCACTCATGTTCTATTTGCAAGCGAATTTGAGGCCGTTAATTTCTGCCCTTACTCAACTACCAGTCGACGGAGCACTAGTGGGATAAATAATTTCACATTCTGATGAATCCATCATAATATGCTCGCACGTTTGATTACGTAGACAGGCGAAGAAGATTATTTGTGAAATATCGAAAGAAACAACAAATGTTAGGTCTGGAAACAGCCATTATCTTGAAATCCTCGTAGTAGTACTAACAACCTGGTAACTGCGATCCTGCGATAACCCAAACACGGCACAACAGATGGCATACTTTGCGTATGTCATGAGACACTTTTGTAACTCAGAGGTTGGCGCTATCTGTTACATAAAGTTCTTAGTCGTAATCCTGAAATACGAGAGTTCTCCCATAGTGCCTTACAAAAAACTAGGATGAAATAGGCAAGTTCAGAAGTAAAGGAAATTTCGTGCTGTATATAGTTGTGAAGCTGAAGAAATTGATCTCCACATCATTTTTTGTTAGCTGCGCAGTTTAGAAAGCAAGCCCTGTGTAACATGATGTTGAGTTAAATAGCAAAGATTATTCTGTCAGGCGCTTCTTATAGAACGAAAACTAGCGAAGTTGATCGCGCGATAAGTTAAGTCAAAGCAAGCATTTGCTCATGAGAATCTTTGCTCATGTCAAGCTTCCTCTACAAAATGCCTGCTCATAATGTTAGGTGCCACAAGTCACAAACTTAAAGCAGTCATATTAACTTTGAAGGGCGTTGATCATAAAGATTATTTGGTACCTCAAAATGACCCCTTATAGTCAACCACTAGCGGCAGATATATTTATCTTTGTTCTGAGCATCAAGATCTAACAAACATGAACTTGACTTTGTTCAGAAATATTGTAATTGTATGTCGCTAAGGGTTTTCATTTTTCCTTATTTATAATTAGCCGCCGACGTCTTGAAAGGAAGCAACGACGACAGTGAATAAAAGGGAAAGCCAAGGGAATCTTGATTGATGCCGAGATTTTTGTCCGCCTTCTGTTATCATCTGGAATTTTCGTTTAGGTGCTACAGTAGTCGATGTGGCAATGAAACCAGTTCAATGAAGCTGATGAAGTAGGGACGAATGTGTGTGATAAACTTAAGTAAGCTGAAACTTGGTCTCAAGACAAGTTCAAGACGCAAGATCCAAGTTAGTAGGTTATTCGCTAGTACTTCCACAATACTTGTGCTTAACAATGGTCTTACTGTATATGTACAAATCAAGCGAAATGTTTTATTGCAGGACGATTGATAAATAAAAGTTATTCCATTGAGACTAAGGACGCCAAGATGGTGAATGGATAATTGAGAGCTTTCTGATCCAACATTGGAATGTGATAGTTTTCTGTCACAGTTCTCACGCACATCGTCGTATATAAAGACAATGCAGATCGAAGCAGAGATTATCAGGTAATTTCGCGAACTTGAAGAGTAAAATCAAGAAGGTCATTGAAGCGTCTAAAACCATAGCTGCAAGATCTTGTTGAATCGGTTCAAGGCACACATAGGATTCGTGGGCTCACAGTGGTTTCTGAACGCTCAATGAGATTTATTTGAGTATTTACTTTTCCGACTCAGTAGTGAAATTTTGAACTTTTTAAAAATGTCAACCAGCGCAACAAATGAGATAGCAGCGCTGTACCCGTCTCCGCCTCCCTACATCAAATACTTCTCACCCGAGAATGTGGCCAAAGTAGAAGAATTGAAATCAAAAGGAGAAAGTTTGAGTTCTTTGGGAAATGATTTGGAATACCTGGTCCCACCGCCTGTCCCAACTCAGGGCCATTACAGAGCATTTGGAAGTATATGGCAAGTCAAGGATGAACTGCCGGATCTTGAAAGCATGGGCATGACCCAGTTATACCAGCCAAAGGAAATTGTTGGTGGGAAGAGCTCCAGTTACCAAGACAAGATTCAAGAACTCCACAAGCTTCTTAAATCGTTGCTACTAAATTTCCTGGAGCTGACTGGCATATTGAGTCTCGACCCCGAACAATTTCCAAAAAAAGTCGAACATATACAGACAATTCTAGTCAACATACACCATCTGCTAAATGAATATAGACCACATCAATCGCGAGAGTCTCTCATTATGCTGTTAGAGGAGCAGCTCGAGTATAAAAAGCGGGAAATTCAAAACATCGAGCAAGTTTGTCAAGACGTGAGAGAAAAGCTCAAAGTGATGATTAGCGGAGGGGAGGAGGAAGCGGGCGGAAGGGATAAGGAAGCAAAGGAAGAGGAGAAGGAAGTGAACGGAGAAGAGAAGGATACAGAAAGTGGGTAAACAAGATTGGAAGAAACAAGCTGCTGCAAGAATCGCACTTGTTTGCAACGATGCTACGTGATTTTTCACCACCACTTTTTTTTTTATAGGAATAAAGTGGAGGTTTGACGATCCAGCAGTAACCACAAGGCACAGGATTGTTTGAAGAGGCCCAAGTGGCTGCTGTACAAGCGGGAACGCCAGCAGCGAGGCAAAACAACACAATTAGAAAAGCCGATAATTGTGATGTTTTGGGATTAGGCTCGATGCTGTTTGCCGGTGCGTAGTTGACCAAAAACCAACAACTCAAGACACCATTTGGACCGAAACTAGCAAATCACGAAAACATGCCGTGTGTGAGAATACGCCTACGACACGAGGCACGTTCAACGAAAGCGATAGAATTTCAAGCTTAGCAGTGCGTATTCCGAACCCGTATGCACAGCCCTTGTAACCCCCAATCACTTTGTACCAGTCCGTCGTGTCTCCATGATATAAAAAACTAAATGATATACTCCCTCGCACCAATTAAACCAGTCACTTCGTGCGCTACAAATGTAGTCGCTCCGAACAACTCGAAACGATCCATTCGTGCCCCACACTCATAAAAAAAAACTCGCTCCCAGTACTGTAGCCTACAGTTTCGTAATAAAAAAAACTCGCCCCCAGTACTCTCGCCTACATTATCGTGCACTACAAAAGCACTCCCAATCACTGAAACTACAATTTCGTGCCTACTGAAACACCCCCCACCAGTACTGTGACCTACACTTTCGTAATTAAAAAAATACACCCTAACCATATGTAACCCACAGTTCCGTGGATCAAAAGCACCCCCCCAAAAGTAGTGTAACCTACAGTTCCGCAATGAAAGAATTACACCCTCCCAGTACTATAATCTCCCATCAGCATGCTGGTCCCAGCTCAAATCGTCATTGTACTCCCCCCCGTACTCGTCTCAAAACTCGCTTCCCACGTCATAGACACTCCCCCTCCTTTTCTTCTTTTACACGGGCTGCCTCATTCGGAAAATCTCTGAATACGACATGCATGTGGTAAGCAGCTCGAGCATTACTTTTTTTTCTTCGGATAAACTTCAGACCCGCCACCAAAAAAAAACGGCCGAAATTTTTCCGGCGCTGATGCACGTTCCTGCATCGGATAAACTTTTCGCGGGCCTCGAGGACGCAAGATAATATTTCAGCGCGGGTGATGAACCAAAAAGCCACTAAAATACAGAAATGCGCGCGATGGGTATTACGCAGAAGCCATGCCGCACTTCACGAAACGAACGCCACCTCCAGACGCTACTAAGACAGACCGAAAGCTTTAGCGGATTCTCGCGTCATTAATCTTTGAACTATCAGATTTGAGTCAGATTCAGAAAAAAAATGAGAAAAAAAAAACAGTCGTACACCGTCTGGCGTTGTTTTTGATATACCTGGTCTGCAAAGTGAGTAGAGTAGGCAGGTGGGCCAAAAGATTTATTATCGCTTCGCCAGTTAATAGCCGTTTTTTTTTCTTCTTTCTTTCTTCGCTCCCGGTTTTTTTCGCTGATAGTCTGATGCTCAGGTCATACATATAGGGCTCAAAGAGAGGACAGAGATTGTTAGGCCCTCGAGTTTCAAAGACGATACGCAAATCAGTGATTTTAATTTACAGACACTGCTATTGTGGTTGAAGCTTCTTACCGGCTGCAACACTAATATTAGAGGATATTCGAATTTTTGAAATATCCAACTCCAGGCAGTGGTTTTTGAGACGAGCGTCGAGAAGAAGAAAATCGATTCGTTGATCCGAGGACCAATCTGCCCGTTTCCGACTCCATCATGATTTTAGAAGAAGATCTCGACAGCGGGTCGAAATCCAACTCTACCAACTCGCTCTTTTCTCTCAACAACCGCGACAGCTACTCCAGCATCGTCGATGATTACCTAGCTGACGCAGACGAAGAACCCACGGCTCTGACCCTCAACTACTCAAACCGTGGACGTCGTTTTTCCGCGGTCTCGGCCGCAGCTCTCCAGCAGCAGCAGGACTTGCAGACCAACGACAAACTGGTGATCGTTTTAGTGGGTTTGCCGGCAAGCGGGAAATCCACCGTGTCCAACCATCTGATCCAACATCTGGGCCAAGACCCAAGAACCGCGCATATGCGTTGTAAAACCTTCAATGCTGGTCAAGTGAGGCGTAAACTCAGCTGTCGTGGCAGACCCATGATGCTGGCCAACAACTCATCCGAAGATCTTTTCAACCCTAAAAACTCTCAAAAAAAAGAAAAGTACGCCAGGCTCACACTGGAACATATGTTTGCGGAACTGGACCAAGATTCTTGCGACGCGGCGATCTTCGATGCCACAAACTCTACAGAGGCAAGACGTGCCTTTATTTTTCACCAATTACGTGTCTACAACGCCGACGCTAACCGTAGCTACCACATTACTCCAGTGGTTCTTCAGGTCTCGTGCACCGAGCGTGCTTTTGTTCGCTATAATATTCACAACAAGACATTCAACCAGGATTATTTCGACAAGCCTTACGAATTTGCTGTCCGCGATTTCGCCAAGCGTTTGGCCCATTACCATTCCCAATACATTCCTTTCACGACCGCCGAATTTAACAGCCACGTTGTTGAGAGTAAGCTCGTTAGCGAAGACAACGGATTGTTTTGGTTTAGTGTTATCAACGCTGGATATTCCTGTGCTCCAAATTCCGCGGCTCTTCATTTTCCACCAAAAGCTACACAATATTTGAGCAGTGTGATCGACTCTATTCAAGAATTTGTGAGCTCGTATTCCGGGGTGCATGCTCACCAATATATCCAGGACGTTCAAGATTTTGCCAAGGGAAAGACCCCTTCAAACCGGACACTTACTGCCACTACTCCAAACAATTCTACAGCAGTGCCCTACGCCGCAATTCTACACGGAATTGTTAACGAAGATTACTTCACAAGACTTCACAAACCATCTTTCGCGTAGCAAGATTTCAACGATTAATGTATTCACGACCACAACTTATTTTATTTCAATTGGGAACAGTTCGGCTTATTATTACTGTTAGTTTTATAAACCTTTTATAGAAATTCAACTGGATTTTTTCATGATACTTTGAATATGCATAGTGCTAAAAGTTCAGACCCGGCAATCCTGACGACGCAGGCGATTGGACCCTAAGACCAGGGGCACCGCCGTTGCCACCATTTACACCTGCAATCGATTCGTTTCCAGTTGGGGGTAACGCTATCCCATCTTCGGTTTTGGGCCTAATTGCGTTGATATTATTATTAATTCCGAAATACCAAGCATTAACTTTTTTGTTATTGTAAGTAGGATCATCGAATGCGTTAGGATCAACGGGTCTTGCTCTCGTCCAGAATCGTATAGTCCTATCTTTGGATGCACTGGCTAGTATATGCCCGACCGGATTATAGGATAAAGATGTGATGCATTTGTCATGCGCGTACGGAATATTATGAAAGCATCCCGAGGACGAATCTTGGGGATCTTGAAGCAGATCAAAATGTTTCATAGAGCCATCGTAGCACCCTACTGTGAACATGGATTCGTTAATAGGATGCCATGTTAGCGACATGTAGTCGGACTCATCCCTATACACCGCCAACTCTTTCATGTTCTGTCGAATATCAAAAACTCTGCAACTTTTGTCCTTAGATATTACCGCGAGCATATTACCTTTAGTCGGCTGAAACTTTGTACTAATTATTGTATGTTTGCAACCTAAAATGGTGCTAATGCATTGACCTGACCTCGGATCCCAAAGTTTTATCAAATTATCCTTGGACCCAGATGCAATGAGACCCATTGTCGGGTGCCAATCACAACTACGGACATCCCAATGATGGCCCGAAAGAGTACTTTCCTGTTGTCCGTTGCTGAAATTCCAGATTTTGAGAATATTATCGTCAGAGCAAGTCACGAACTTAGAGTCTGTACCACTGAAAGAAATACCACGGATGCACTGCGTGTGAGCTTCGTCTAAGACTTTTACCATGTTGAAGTTAGGCTGCCAAATCTTGATGGTACCATCTGAATCCCCGCTAATTAGCCATTCCCCTGCGTGCGAGTACTTCATAACAGCAACCGCACTGTCATGAGCCTGCATGATGCTTTCAAAATTAAACGTCGAACCATTCCACAGCGAAAACTCACCACTGTAAGTAGCTACTACCAACCGGCGTCCCTCAGGTGTCCATTCTAGCGCAGGAATAACATGTTTAACTTTGTTCGAGCTCAAATGTGTGAATTTGGTAGCCGTATTTATGATCCGATTGTTGTAAAGATAGGCATCCGGTGGCAATATGTTGGTAGTGTAACTTGTCTCTGGTTCGATATAAGGCATCGGAAGTCCATGTCTCTTAAGGTAATATAGTCTATCATATGGCGAACTCATATCCACCGTTCGCCGCTGCGTAACGTACCTCTTATCATTTTGCTGAAAGTCGTAGTTATTTGAGCCGTTCATAGAAGGAGCGTGGGAGGAGAAGCTGAAATTAGCGTTTCATTTCATTGTTTAAAGATCATCATCTAAAGGCGAGTACACTATTATATTCAGAACTGGATCTTTTGACAAAGTACTCGTGAGTACTTGGGATAAGTTTGAGGTTGCGATAGCGCACTTTGAATAGCTTAATTCTGGGCAATTTCAGGCTCCTCCGATTCTTCCAGCAACATCATAATTCATAATTGTATACAGAGTCGATTACTTACTGACTCACCAAATTCAGGCTATTTTCTTACTTTTATCATTGTCACGTCAGGTAGTCGCGGTCGAGAATGAGATAACAGAGTAGGTCAATGATTTATCAAGATCAACACCAGAGACAATATATATTGAATTTAGCCTCATGTCTAGGTGTTGTATGCAAAATAGGCTTCGAAATTATTATGGGCGCTGTATTAACAAGCATCGATCGCTAGAATGTCATCCCCGACCCGTTCACGATGGTCCCGCTGTTTATTCCGGATCAGACTACTTTCACACACATAATTGGGTCATTCACAGATATTCGCTATGCCCTTTGATGACTCTTGGGTACATGAACCACACTATATTTACGATCGCGACCATGATCCAGCATAAGAATGGGAACCAGGCAAATCCTATCCGATTAGAGATAAGACCAACCGAGTAAGGCAGGATTGCTGAACCACACCCTCCTAAAGCAACTGCAATTCCCACTCCGCTGACATGCATGTTTTTGGGTAGTACTTGGAGAGCTACGACACTGGCGTTAGGGAAAAGAGGGCCGATAAAAACACCGCCGAAAAAGATTGTAACCGCCACGGCAACGAAATAAATAGCGGAAGAACCTGACAGATAAGTGACGAACAAGAACGCTGTGTAGAAGGCCAAGCATATGTTGGCATAAAATAATGAAGCCCTGTACTCATTTTTAAAGCACCTTTTGGTAACGAATCCTAAAACAAGCCTGCCGACTGTCAGTCCCATCCAAAATGCCGCTGTCACGTATGACATCGGTATGACTTCACCCTTTTTCACATCCAGAAGGTACGTGAAAATCCAGGCTCCAGTAGAAACCTCTGAGCCAAGATATATAAACATGTAGATGGCATACATGAAGATTGCTGGCCGACGGAGCAAAGACCAGAAAGTAGGATGAGTGTCATCGCCTTCGACACGGCTCGCTTCGCACAGATAGTTGTATTTGTTAGCTGTTTCGTCCTTGAATGCATATGACACCATTGCTAGTCCCACAAAAGCGCACACCAACGGCAGCAGGAAAAAGTGGTTCCAATGGCCGAACTTGACAAAGTATGATACCACGGGAGCCGTGACCATTGCAGCGGCACCGTACAAGCCGTGCAGCACGCCCATCCATTCGTTCTTATGCACTTCAAGGTTCCCAAAAAGTACGTTGCACACCGAGTCTAATATCCCAATGGCTAATCCGAGAGGCATGAAGCAAGCCACGTAAACCGCAAACCAAGGTGGTCGCAGTAGCAAGATCGTGTAGCACAAGACACACAAGCCAGCTGCAGTCACCATGGCACCTCTTGCACCGACCAAAGTGTGGATTTTCTGCGTCAACAAAGATGCCGTTCCGTAGCCCACAAACTGCACAATAAACAAATTGGCAAGTTTCACTTTTGAGACGTTGTAGTGTTGACTTAAAGTTGGCAATAACGCGCCGTTACATTCGTCGTTCAATCCCAAGACTAGGAACAGCGTTAGACTTGCAGCCATCTGCCATCTCACGATTGGCTCCTTTTGATAGTTCAAGGAGTATAGCTTGACGATCTCTCCATTATATTCGACCCACCTATTGTTTTGTTCAGAAATGTTAGAACCTTGTTCATGCTCGGCTCCCAGCAGCTCTTCGAGCTCAATGGAATTGTCGAGCTTGCTGGACGACATTAAACGGAATTCAGAATTTGTAACGTGGCTCAGCGATCCGAATTACGTTAAAGGATTGATTGAACCGCGATTTTGATACTTTAAGAAGTATTTCTCCTCAGTTGCTCATATGTTCAAATATAGTTTTATATATAATGTTGTAACTTAAGGCAGTTGCTTCAAACATGTGAGATAATGTGCCAAAAGACCCTTTGTAGTCGATTAAGCAATTATAGCCAGTACTCTATTTGTCGAACAAACGACGTAACTCAAGTTTGAGAGTATCTGGCGAGGAAAGGCAGGCAAGGTAACCCAGAGAGCCCCGGATATCGCTTTTGAGAAGTATCTAGAGCATAGCTACTTGTGCAAGTACTTCACCTGTTTACCGGCTAGCAAAGCATTACCTGAGAGGTTTGCGATGGTTGGTTTGAGCAGTCAGTCAGGGCTTATCTTGTGGAAGGCAGTTTCCTACCACAAGATGAAAATTTCGACATTGTTGCCGTGGCATCTCCGCCGAAGGGCCCTATTATTAGACTCGCAGAAACCCTAGATAGAGAGCCCACTTGATTATGAATTCACGCGGAAGATCAAATTGGGTCTTGGCACAAGAATCTCACACTAGTTCCTATTTCCTTTTTTGATTAGGCAACGGTCTCCAACATCCCGACACCAGAGGTGCCACCAAAATCATCTTTCAGTAACTGGAGGTTGAGGCTGGTAAGAAGGACACTGCAGTACCGTTGGATGTGTTTTTAATAAAGGACCGGAAAGTGTACGAATGCTTGGGGTTCGTCAATTACCTCTTTCACAATTACGACGTGGGGGGAGATTGACTTAGCGGGAAACATCTGTAAAGTAGTGGGACATGTTTCATGTCACACTTCATGGTTTACCACAAGAGCGGAAGACCACAGAAACAATATATGGATTTGCGTTTTAAATTGGAGATAAACGCGAGAGATTTTATAGAACAATCGCTCAGCACACACAGGATCACTGCGTAACTTTCAGTATGTCGATCAGGATGTGAGCAGTTCTGCGGTCATTTTCACCTCCGCTCTTGTTGTTTGCACCTCCTTGTCATTTCTGGACTTCGATGACAAGTTACGAAACCCACGGCGTAACGCCTTCTGACTTCTAGTTGAAGTAACTGCACATTCAACACACTCGTTGTAACGGCAGAGATTGTCGATAATAGCTCAACTCGATTGGCATTCGGCGTGTTGTCGTGATTTGGCGCATCGCTTTGCCACAGGCGGCTTATAAAAACACTTGATCATTGGCATAAAATATTGAAACAACCGCTTTTGCAAAAAGGACTAAAAAGTATTGCTCCGGAGGCATCGTGAAATTAGCAATCTTTCATCAGCCCATGCTATGCTTGTTTTGTAATTCGTGTAAGGCTTGCGGTGAACAGTTTTTGGTTGTAAGGAGATGTAATTGGATACCAGACAGCTTGTTTTTCATACAGGAGATCACGAATTGATTCCTACAAGTGAAGTAACAAGGAGCCCATTCATTCAAACATAAAGGAAATTTTCGACGCAGTAATAACCTTCATTATCGAGAATGGCTGTCGACTTTTCCCAAGTTTGACCTACTGTGACAAAAATCTAAAACTAAGCGTAATGAAGTCACAAATATCATCTCAGAACAATAGCATAGAAACAACCACTTAACCTTGTGAAGATCTTAACATTCCGGCTACTACCTCTCTATAGATCCATGTCGTCTTTGACGTGACGTTGATTTGTTCCTTTGGCTTCAGTATTTCAAGTTTAACAGTCACGATGGAGAGTTTAACCCAAACTGATTTGCAGGCAGTTGATGTCAGAAAGCCGATCTGTATCGCTCAATTCCCAGCAAGCGATACTTTCGCGGGCTCTTCTACTATCCGTTTTATTAACAGGCTCAATTTTGACCGGTTATGCGTTATTCAACAAGCACTTGAAGCAATACACAAGAGCCACTCAGATCCCTTTAAGCGCTTTCAGGAAAAAATGGCTTTATGGAAAAGTTACAGCTGTGGGGGATGGTGACAACTTTCATTTGTTTCACACTCCAGGTGGCATTTGGGGTGGATGGGGCTGGCTCAGAAAAGTGCCAAAACTAGATAAAGTAGACGAAGACCGTAAAGACTCCATCAATTGGCTTCTGAGTGCCTTTTCTAAAAACAGAATAAAGGAAAAAGACAAGTTTCTAGCATTGAGCGTTCCTTACAAAGGCAAAAGAAGTTTACCGACAATATCCATACGCCTGTGTGGAGTCGATGCGCCAGAGAGAGCTCATTTTGGCAATGCTGCACAGCCGTTTAGCGAAGAAGCCCTCATATGGTTGCGACACACGATATTGGGGCGAACTGTATCAGTAAAACCTCTGGCTATAGACCAATACAATCGCTGTGTTGCAAAAGTAGAGTTTTGGACCTGGACCGGATGGAAAAACCTCAGTCTTGAAATGGTCAAAAATGGCCTAGCTGTTGTTTATGAAGGGAAGACCGGTGCCGAATTTGATTCAGAAGAAGATATATATGTTTTCCATCAGGCTTTGGCCAAACAACAGCGCAAGGGACTTTGGAGCTTAAAAAAAATGGAGACGCCCGGTGCATACAAGAAAAGAACAAGCTGAGAAATAATTTACATTGCTTGATATTTGGATACGTAACAACTAACATTTCACGTTTATACCTTTGCGTTTTTCGCCCTCTCTTTGCTCGAACATGACTTGAGTGCCGACAAACAGAGCTATATTAGCAAACACTAGGAACTTAATACCTGCCCACGTTAAGAAGATCCCCTTCACTAGATAAACAGTACCATCGTAACCCAAACAAAAGCCAAATAAATTCGCAATCATCATCGTCCAAATATTGAAGACGGCACCTACTGAGCACAAAAATCTAAACCACGGTCTCTTTTGGTATGCTGCAAAGAATTTCTGAGCAAAGACTTCTGGTAGCAAGACCAACACTATGAGCCACCCCCATAATAAGAGTCTCAATTCTATGTCGTGCCAAATAGCCACGAAAGAAAAAACCGCCAAGGAGGTCAAAATGCGACTTTTTGAACCGCCCAAGGGAATGTAAATGTAGCGCACAACCCATTTGTTGTAAGAACTGTGCCACGCCCTCCAGAATCCTAATGTACTGTAATTGTTATTCACACACCGAAGCATATTTTCCGGTGGATCAATTCCATCCATTAAAGCCCACAATCTAAATAGTCGCCACGGGATGAGTAGCTTCAACCATATAATGTTCAAATTAAACAAACCAATCATGGAAATTTGAAAAGGCGTATCGCCTTGCCATGCTTTAGTCTTGGAAACCGCAACTGCATAAATGTAATGCAACACAACTTCCATGGTTAGAACGCATATGGCGAATCTCAAAGCATACCCCATGATTCCCTTCCGGTTGATAGAAGGCAAGGTGTGCTGCGATTGGTATAAATAATCATTAAAGGTAATGATAGGGCCCGCAATGAACAACGGCGTATATGTGATGTATGCAATGTAGTGGGAAAAAGAATAGTCTTGAATATGGTGAGGAGCATACAACCTGGCGCGCTCTTGTAGCACATTTTTGGTTCCATTTTCGCAAATGGTTTCCAAAGTGGTGGCAGATGATGCGGACCTCTTGAGCTCAGGTTTCATTGATGGTGGTGTGGGAGTAGGTGACATGCTTTTCTTACCTGTGGTGACTTCCCTCCACTTCTCGAGGAAATCCATATTAAAGCTCAGCATTCTTAACAAAGTGAAATTGTAGAAAACATCCCAGCGCTCGATAAGGCCTTTAAAGGATGAGTCCAAAGGCTCCAACACGGAAACAACATTTCCAAATGGATATTGGCGATAGCTGTTATTAATAAATAAAGAACCGATCCCATAGACCCAGGTCAAGAAGATGGCGAGCCTAGGCTTCTTGCGGAAACTTTTGGCAATGATGTAGTTTATGAGCAAGTGTACTGTCACTCGAAAAGCATTTACGCCATGAGCTGCGAACAGGAAAAATACTCCGAATACAAGGTCGAACTGCGTTCTTTGACAATGCAAGACCCGCAGAACAACCTTTTTTAAGCCCGTGTGCAAGAGTACGAGACCCGTTAGTAGTGGTAAGTTGTTGCGAAAGAATCTGTATTGCGAGTCGCTATTGTCGACTTTGCGACCCCAAATCCACCCTTGGCTTAGTAGTGGTTCGAATCTTGGAAAATTAGGACTATGCTCGTTTGTGGCGGAGATCACAGCTCTCAGCATCAGAGGAACTGCAATGGCAAACACCGTGTAGTAGATCTTGAACTCGAGCGTATTCCACCGACTCTTTGTAGCCCCCATACTCGCTTTCTGTATCCGTTTGGCGTCTGAACCTGGATCCAGTCTTGAATCTAGCATCTTCAAAGAGAGTAAAGACCCAATGTCTTTCCAACCCATTTCTCAAAAGTCCAATGCTGACTGCTGCTTGGAATCGATTCAAGCCTTGTTAAAAATCGATCGAGGTAAACTCCGAAGTTCAATTCCCAAATTTTTTGAGCCAAGAATCTGGATGAGGTTGAAGGATAAGTTGAAGGTTTGTTTGTTTTCAAATAACCGTTCACTCCTAGCTACATACGACACGCATATTGAAATAAACCTTAAACAAATTCCGCTTACGAAGTGGTCGAGGTGACAAACTTCCATTGAGACAACAACAACAACTTTCAAAATCGGGACAAGAGCTCGGCATTGTGAATGGACATTTATCAATTAACAAGTTGTTATCCACAGACCGAAACAACCATCGTGGAATGCCTAAATTCAAGAATATGAATGTGTAAATACTGGTGACAGATGTGTCCTCTTTGTATCGCTTAAGTAGTTCTTTTCGGTCTAGAAGTTGGGACACAAGGAAGAATTGCCGACAAAAGGCTAATTATGAAGCGACGGGTGAGGTTTGTTAGCGTTGAACGTGCGGTTCCGAATCATATGGCTTTTCTGCAAGTATTGAACATGAATGAGCATCAATCTTTCATCAACAAGCGCAAGTGGTTTAGTGGTAAAATCCAACGTTGCCATCGTTGGGCCCCCGGTTCGATTCCGGGCTTGCGCAATTTTTTGGTTTTGGTGTACGCCCTGTTGTAGGGTCGTTATGTTTGATGCTCCATACAACATTCGTGGCATTTTAACTTCCATAGCTGGCCAAGTTCCAGGTATGCGGTCCGAACCGTGTATCGAAAAGTCTCTATGAGGGACTTATCGGCGATGCAGAGAGATATTTACCATTTGCTTGTGTTTTCACATACCTAGCAAGAAAACTTGAATCCTCAGGTCCACGTATAATTAATCACTGGAGATTTAGTTCAGGGTGAGTAGATGGTGCAACAGATTGCACGATACAAAAGCACACCAGATCAAGCGGTGGAGCAAAAGGCGCAATTGAACACATTCCAATTCGTACCGAGTACCCGAGTGTATTCCTAGTTCTTATATTGAAGAGCAGACCCGTTTACAGTGCCGGAGGCATCTCTCGGACTTGCGTCAGTATCGCATGTTGATGATGATTAAACGTACTTTTTACTGTAAAAAATATATATTATTGTTATCACTACATTTTCGAGGTTTACGCCAGAACAAAGTTCATTGAGGTTTAACACATCTGTGTGAAGGATGATGTTTTGGTCTTCTAAATCAGGGATCAGTTCCAACTACTCCTACTCTTCCTCCCCCACTTTCACTGTAGAGCCTTGGAATGTTCATACTGGCAGGTCGAAGAGTAATAGTTCTTCCAGTTCAACGTCAAGAGTTTCGGTGTTCATATTCGATAAAAGACATTTCGAAAATCACTTGCTTACATCCGGTATAATCAAGTCGCGATCTTCAACTAGGGACAAACAATTCATTCAAAGTGCCTACGATATACTCAGAGCGCAGGTTAACCAACTCGCGAAAATTAAGCACCCAAATGTGTTAGCGCTTATCGAACCTCTAGAAGAACATTCGAAGAATTTCATTTTCGTTGCTGAATATGTTACGGGCAATCTAGAGTCTAGCATTATGGAAGGAAATTCTGGAGATGATTCTGACGTATTGGAACTATCACAACCGGCAGTTTCTGGAGACGTAGTTACGCAACGCGGTATTTTACAAATATCTCAAGGCCTCGACTTCATTCACAACCGTGCTAACTCAGTGTTGCTTGACCTCAGACCGGCGACCGTGTTGGTGAACGAAAATTCTGATTGGAAAATTTCTGGTCTTGGCCACCTCACAAAACTACCGCCTGGTTCCAATACGGGCCAATATACACCGGATTTCAACCCCAACTTTCCCGCATTTATGCATATTCCTCTCAGCTACAGTGCACCGGAACTGATATTGGAAAATATGCTCACGCCGAAAAATGATTACTTCGCACTCGGGCTACTGATTTATTTTCTATACTACAAAAGGGACTTGTTCACTTGTCAAAATTACATTGGAGATTACAAAAAAGAGTTTAGCAAGTACGAAAAGGACTTATTGCAACTGTCCTATGAGAAGTATTTTTCCAGGGTACCCCAAAAATTAAGGTTCAGCATGTCCAAATTGATGAACAGAGACGTGTTTTCTAGATATGATAACATAAATGAGTTTTTGGAGATTGAATTTTTTCAAGATCCTCTGGTTAAGACATTGGCATTTCTGGACGACTTACCGACAAAGGACTCTAAGGAAAGGAGTATTTATTTAAATGGGCTCTTGGAAATACTTCCTCAATTTCCTCCTCAACTATTACAGCGGAAATTTCTTCCCATTTTATTACAGTTGTTGGATCAAGTATGTTCATCAGACGCTATAGACGAACAAAGTCTCAATACGCTCGTTACTGTTATATCTAAGATTGGTGCAACGTTATCACAGCTCTCATTTCAAGAGAAAGTGTATCCACATCTCGTCTCGGGAGAAACCTTTGGGAGACTATTAGAGCATGCTACGGCAAGTCTTATCGAGAATGTGGACATCTTTCAAAGAAAAATAAAATCAGAGTTGTTTACCGATAAAGTTTTAAAACCACTATGCATGCATGTCTTCTCTAAGGTTAGTGGTGAAGCAGCTGTGCCATTGCAGGTCTCATTCATGGAAAAGCTAGATATTATATTAAAAGCTTTCGATTTCCCCACCGTTAAGAATTTCTTATTTGATTTACTATCCAAGCTTTTCGTTAAGACCACCAGCCTCACAGTAAAGAGTGCATGCGTTGATAGCTTTAGAACGATGATAGACCGCAGAGCTGTTGATAAATTCACCTGTGTCGACAGCTTGCTACCACTTTTCAAAGCTATGAAGACCCGAGATCCCCGCATTCTTATGAAAACTTTAGAACTTTTTCGTTTATTCCCGGGGACAGTTCAGACTGAAGAAGTGCTAGTAGAGCAACTTTTGCCATTGCTTTGGGATCTTTCGATGGCGATGACTTTGAAGCCAACACAATTTTCCGAGTTTACGAGCGTTATCAACAAAATTAGCACAGATCTACAGGTTTCTCACCTCGAAAAACTAAAAGTATCCACAGGAAAAGAAACTAATTTTGATAAAGTCATAGAGAAACCTATACGGAAAACGGAAGACCCTGATTTACAAGCCTCTCACAAAATTGGTGTTCCAGCCATGCTGCCAAAGATTCAGAAAGAGGCGAATACTCTTAAGCCATTTCCGAAACCTAGACTACCCGTTAGTACATCAAAACCACTTCCGAAGCCAACAGCTAAGGCTCCCTCGAAGCTTACCACAGATTCTCACGTTTCAACTCTAACACCCCGCACACGCACTAAAGCTCCTTCCAGACCATTGGTTTTAACAAAGGGTGCTGCCACTGCAAGTGTGAAATCAAATCCTGGATTTAAATCTACTGCCGCACCCGAAGTACCCCTAAGACGCGACCACGAAGATTTTGACGATTTTGACGATTTTGTATCATCTGCACCATCTACCATTAGTGCTAACTCAACAAATACATCATCAGCTTTTCCACCAGGCTTTTCAATGTCTATTCAACCACAGAAATTTCCAGCAGCCCGCCAAAATAAACCTTACACCTCTACCGAATCATCATCGTTATTATAGTAGTGCGATCGCTTAAGCTGCTGTTAAAAGTAGAGGATGCAGTCGTTGAAAATCTAGTTCTTCATGCTAATTGCTCGGAAGATGTGAAAAATAAAAGGATGAAGTTTGAAAGCATCTTAGTGCAGTCACTGAAGCATCTTTGATTTAAAGAAGATGATAATAATAACCTGATCATAGTAAAATTGGTTTGCTAATGATGCCGTAAAAACGAAGTGCTTATTTTTGCGTCCATTCGATGTGTATCTTTAAAGAGCATTGCAGTTGCAGCTGACTGGAGCTATGCTATGTACATCTCAAAAGAGAGATATGCGCTTTAGAATCTTTGGACACTTTTAAACCCGCGTTCTGTCTAAAAGTAGAGTAAGCTGTAGAAATAGTGAGGGTAGACATAGCTTCGAACTTCCCAAAGCCGATAGCTGGAAAAGTACCGCGCAGCAATATTCAAAAGTCAACAAGACACCCTATCCACAAGAATAGGCCAAAAAACGTTAAAGAAGTCTTCACGAAGGGGATTGGCCGCGTGGCTTCAATTATACGTAGAGCAGTGTGCATCAAAGAACAGTCTCCAATTTCTTGCAACTCTAAGAACTATTAAGAATAATTACAACAAGCAGACAACTAACAATTTTTTATCAACAAAGTGGCCGAACCGTTGTGATCACATCCAATCAGCACGTTTGCCTGCAACGGCTCTGACTAGTGCCATGATCATCACGGTGATCGAAGTATTCCGTAAAAAGTTACCCAATGTAAGACGCTAATTTTTAATAAAAGAAACTCACTTCATGGATATTTCGGATAATACTTCATATTTAAGGATCAACGAGCATAGTTTATACCTTCTAGTGCACTTTAATCAGTGGTTTCACTATTTATTTATTGTTCTAACGAAGAACAGACAAGAGGAAAGGACGGCTGTTTCACGAAAGCAATCGTTTTGACCATATCACGGCATTATTTATTTGGGATCTTTTAACTTCGATCTGGCAATATTTCCGATCTATTTATTAAAACAATAGCATGAGAGCATCCACTAGGGTTAACGTTACAAACCGCTTGTTTGTTACCACTTTTCTGGTTGCGTTTTCATCGGTAGCACTAAGTTCGGCACTTCCGTGTCCCGCACACACTTTGGAATCCGATGCTCCTATGGCAATGGAACGCCACGACCAAAATCCCGATGAGGCTCGCCGGAGACAGAGCGCTTCTAAGTAAGGAAGGAGAGATTCACAAGAACATAGAAAAGAAGAATATACTTGGATAATTTGAGACTCAACAGGTGACGTCTCAGGGAAAGCTCATCGGAAAGCCCATCGGAAAGCCAAGAATGCCCGCTTCAGCGGCGTCTAGCTTCGAAAAATCTACACTGCAGCACATATTCAAGATTGAAATATAACGAAAAAGAGATAAGATTCAACTGTACATAGGAACAACAATTAATCAATGCATGTCGGATGTAAAACTCCAAACCCCGAGATTTGACTCATGATTCTAAAAGACATGGGGCAAATTGGGCCCCAGGCGACTTTCTGTTTCGGTATCGTGAGAATAGAAAAGTTTCCTGGTGAATAGCTAGCAGAAGTTTTCGAAAACTGTCGCAATGCACAAGGATCGCAGCACATTTTGTAAGGTGAGCCGACTAAACGCAGCACCCGGTCTGGTTGGCGATCAGTTTACCAGAAGAAGAAGTTTAGGACGCAAGCATTACAAGCATTGCCAGTGTTCTGCAATTCCCTCACCAATTACACCTTCATTTGTTATTTCTAAGTGTCCAAAGCTCATATATCGTTATTGCGCAGCGCGTCGTACTGTATCATTACCCTGCTTTCAGATTTTCAAAGTCGGAAAACTATTTCTCTAGCTGCAATGTTCAACTCTTCATTTAAGATATTGTACCGAAAAGCCGAAGAAACAAGAGCGAGATTTCACAATTTGATGTCTTACGAGGATCAACAGCCAGTGGAAAGTGCTGGAGAGACTTCTTTGGCCCCCCCTGCTTTAGAAGGGGCACCTATAGAGGAAACAACTATTCTACCATCCAATGAACTGGCCCTTGACGAAGATGAACAAGACGCTGAAGAAGAAGAAAGTCTCTACTCGCACGAGGAAGAGAGAGACGTTGCCGAAAAAGAAGATAGTGCAACGCCTGAGATTCAAACCTCAACCAGCCAAAACGTCAATGAAGGTTTAGTGGGCGGCGAATCAGCAGAATCGACAGAGCCCACGGAAGCCTCCAAGGGTACTGAAATTGAAATAGGTGATGCGACCAATCACGACGATCAGGAGGGAAATGAAGCTGAGGCTCTGCATGAACCGGTGACCACCACCGTTGGGGAGTCTGCTGAGGTTGTTGAAGACTCAGATGAAGTTGCGGTTCCCGATAAGGAGGACAAGGTAGACCAAGAGTCTCTGGAGACAAGCGTGACTGAAGACACAACAAATGCTGAAGAAAGTGAAAACCCGGAACAGCTAGAGGTTGGACAGGGTTCTGAAAGCGTTGATGTCGAACCCAGAATCGAGGGCACAGCAATTGATGAAGCAGAAGTCTTTGACAACGAAAACAATGGAAGTTCTGGTTCCAACGCAGATGCAGTATTTTCTGAGCCGCAATTCGACGTGAACAATTTCAATACTGACCAAGAAAACGTGGATTACGAACTACTACAGAAGCAAGCAACTTCGATTCTACAAAGTCAAATGCTGAACGTTCCTCACTTTCAGCAGCTACCAGACTCTGAAAAAATCAATGCCGTATTGACATTTTTGAATTCAAGTCCACAAACTGCGCTGCCACAGTCTACCGCACCCGTAGCTTCTCTTCCTCCACTGGACCAATCGCAGGAGCCTAGACCTAATTTGTTCCAGCCAATGACCGCTGTGGAACGTAAGCGTTATAACGAGTATTTGAGAGGTGAAAACAGAATCACAGAAATACAAAACATTCCTCCCAAGTCCAGACTGTTTATTGGTAATTTGCCTCTCAAGAATGTGGCTAAGGATGATTTATTCCGAATTTTTTCGCCATATGGACACATTTACCAAATAAACATCAAGAACGCTTTTGGATTCATTCAGTACGACAACCCTCAATCGGTGAGGGCCGCAATCGCTGGTGAATCTAACGAATTAAATTTTGGCAAGAAACTGATACTTGAAATTTCTTCTTCCAATAGCAGACCTCAATACGATCATGGTGATCATGGGACCAACAGCAGCTCGACATTCATCTCCTCATCTAAGCGTCCATTCGAAGAGGAAGAGGAAGAAGAGGAAGAAGAAGACATGTATAGCGACAGTCACAAAAGAGGTAAAAGACGCATTCCCGAGTGCCAGATATATGTCAAAAGGACTGCTGACAGAGCTTATGCCACCGATGTTTTCAACAGGTTTAGGCAAGGTAGCGGTCTAGAAACAGACATGATATTTTTGAAGCCTCGCATGGAGCTACGCAAAATGATCAATGATGCTGCTTACGACGGCGTTTGGGGTGTAGTGCTTGTGAACAAAACTAGAAATGTGGATATTCAAACGTTTTACAAAGGTCCACAAGGCGAAACCAAGTTTGACGAATATGCGAGCGTATCTTGCGAAGACGCCATTGCCATTTTCATCAACTTGAAGAACAGCAGAAACGATCGCAGAAATATGCCACCTCAACCTGTTCCCCAGCAACAATATTATGGCGGCTATAATGTTCCACCACCTGCGGCACCACCACACCAGGGGCAAGCATACATGCAACAGGCATACGGCGCCATGGCGCCACCTCCCCAATCATACGGTGCGCCTGCCCCTGCTCCCATGGCTCAAGGTTATGCGTCGTATCCTGGCCATCCAGTAGCTCCACCAGCACATATCTCACCACCACCTCCCGTTGCACCGGCAATGGGTGCCGCGCCTCCGATGGACCAGCAGCAGCTGCTCTCGGCCATTCAAAACTTGCCTCCCAATGTCGTGTCCAACTTATTGTCTATGGCACAACAACAACCTCAACAACAACAACAACTGCTGGGAATAATTCAATCGATGCAACCGCAGCAATCTCACACGCAGGGATCTCCTCCCGCGCTTGCAGCTTATGGAGGATACCAACAAATGCCTGCTCAACACATAAACCCTGCGCCCATGCAACAACAACAGCAGCAGCAGCAGCAGCAACAACAACAACAACAACAACGACACCAGTCATTTGCCCCTATTCCGAAAAACCCTCCTTCCCAAAACCCGGTTCCACAGCAACAGTCTCCTGCAACAACTGGTAACAATAACGTTCAAAGTCTTCTTGATAGCTTGGCACAACTGCAACAGAAGTGATGTCGCTGAGCTCGCAGCTCTGAACCCACAGTAGCCGACTTCAAATGTTATGCCTGAATTACCACGTTTTCTTGACCGAAGTATCTCCACTATTCTTTTAAACACAAGCTACTACTCCAGCCTTCTCCCATACGACGTTTCTTACTCGTCTCTGATCACTACGTTCAAATCGTTATTATTCTTGATCCGCTTTCTTAGAGAATTTCTCACTTCGGGATACATACCATCAGCACACACCTTCTTCATTATAGCTGTGTATTTCTTCTATCTTTGTACAGTAAACTACCAAGGTCTCGTCTACGTAAAACACAGAATTATCCACTTACCGTCCTTGCTGGCGCACAAACTCAGTTCACGCTATGCGCTTTTTTTCGGTAGTAAAGTAATTCAGAATGTTTCGCCAAGCATCTGTGACTGTTCCGAGCTACTACAACACTAAACTTTTTTAAAGTCTTTAACTCCTTGCTGAGGTTCCTTGGTTTGCTCAAAAGACTCTCACTTTAGCCGCCGAGCTTTGTTTTTAATCATTGTTTGCACGAAATGGAAACTATTCGATAACGTGTGAGGTGACATCAACAATTACTGCCTCGAACAATTAAACACCTCCCCTATACTCTGGAAAAACCTCGATAACGATGAAATCAACGAGTTTCAAATACAGCGAAGCTACTTGGATTCTGGCAACCAGAGACATCGAGGCTAATTACTTACCGAGTAGTGCTGCTTTCTGACCGAAATGAGTCTGACATTTGACATTAAGTCCATCAACATTAATGGGGCTTCGCATCGAATTTTATTGCAAAACGAAAACGGACCCTGTGCACTTCTAGCACTGTGTAATGTACTGCTACTGTCACCGCAGCTTATGAGCCAAGCAGGGCCCTTGATAGAGCTAGCCTTGGCCAAAAATGAAGTTGGTTTGCACGAAATAATTGCCACTCTGGCCAACATTGGCCTACAAATGCCACGAAGTGCGCATTCGGATGTGGATCGTCTTCTGCAGCTGCTGCCTCAATTGCACACAGGGCTCTCTATAAACCCTATCTTCAACGGGTCTTTTGAAGATGGAGACGAAATGGCCCTCTTCAGACTTTTCAACGTCAGTGTTGTGCATGGATGGCTGGCTGACTACGACAGCGATCCACTTCAATATGAGCATATTTGCAAATACTCGTATGAGGGAGCCCAGAAAGCGTTAATCGAAGCCTACGACATCCAGCACGGCAATATTGCAGCGACGGAACAAAATCGCGCAGTGATTGAAGATGCTGGATTTATTAAATCGTTCTTGGCGAGATCTGCAACGCAGCTTACGGAGTGCGGTCTTGAACATTTGAAAGAGCTGCTACTCGAGAACTCGTATGCCGTAATGTTTCGTAACGATCATTTCTCGACTATATTCAAGAACGACAATGAATTGTTTGTTCTGGTAACAGATTTGGGCTTCAAGAACGATGCCAGCGTGGTGTGGCAATCCCTGAAATCGGTGAACGGGTCACAGGACTCTTTTTTCACTGGCAATTTTATTCCAGCTACATTTAGACGCTCATCTACACAAGCCAGTTCTATGACCACCAGTGGCGCTAGAGTTCATGCGAGTAATCCGTTCGAAGATCCAATGGCGTCGCATACCAATGCCTCCGGAACCGATCCCAATTTCATGACTGACGAGCAATATGCACGCCAATTGCAAGAACAAGAAGACGCGCGAGTGGCCAGGAACATTCAAAGAAATTACGAGGCTGCAAACGCCAAAAGAAATTCTAGCAATGGAAACAAGTCTAAGGCGGAGAAGGACACCAAGAAAAAAAGCGGTTCTCACAAGCGCAAGCGCGATAAATTGAAGAAGAGCTGCGTTGTAATGTGAGTATGACAATGACCAAAGTGAGAACTACTCGAAAGCGACTGTAAAAAAGAATAAAAACAAAAACAAAAATAAAGTGTCATATCTAATTCCGAGGGCATATTACATGCTAAAAGTTGACAAAAAAAAAATTAAGCTCAATAGAGCTGAACAAAAAACCGTTGTCATACTTTGTCCAACGCTGGCAAAAAATGAACTCAACATCAATTGTGCTACCCAATCTGGAACTTCTAACTTCTAATTAGCCACTTCATTCCAGTTCAAAATGATCACTTCGCGTCTTGCTGTCAGCGTCACGACCGTTTGATATGACCTGTTTTATATTATCAGTTCAAGGGGGGAGAGATACCTTACCGTTTACAAATCGGTTTCAAGAAGTTCACAGTATAAAAGAGGGTTCGAAACCAGTACTAGGACCTAGTTATTTTATCAGAAACTACTAAAGAAATATTACTCGCAACGAGATTACCCAAGGCCGACTTTTGAGCTATTCAAATCGCCGACGTCGTAAGAAACAGCGATACAAAACATGGATTGTTCCGATTTAGGGGGATCTAGAAAGATCACCTTCGATGTCAAGAGTGCTGAAGGCTCTGGACTTCAATTCCCAATTGGGAGGGCGTCGTTGAAAGACCCAGAACGACTTGATCGGGAGAATAACTTTTTGTTTCACGAAAAGAGCCTCAGCAAGAAACATGCGGTCTTGTGCATCAAGCGCTTGTTCCCCGCAGCGAAAGATCCATATGTACCACTTTTAGATCAATTCCGCATCTCAGTACAAGATCTGGGGTCAACCCATGGCTTAGTGGATCTGCAATCTCAGGACTCAGACACCAAAATAATCGATTTGAGAAACGGAGAAAGGTTTGGCCTCATCAAACTCTACCAGCCAATTGCGGCAGGTCAATCACGCGGCGCAAAGCTCAAGTTTCAAGTGTTCTTAAAAACCAACGAGGAGCATCCGGATTCTGGAACTTTGGACTTGATATTGAGTAATGTGACCTACGACGATAGTCCCTTTGTGAGCAGGCCTACAACTATGGGGGCCAAAGAAATTTCAAGCTCTTCTTCTTCCTCGGAGTTGAATTTTAGCGAGGATTTCGACTTAGAGCTAGAGAATTACGAACGTTGTGATAGTAGAGAGGACGAATGCAGCAATAATGAACGAAGAATGGTAGTGGGTAACGATGAAGCAGAAGGAGAGGAAGAAGAAGATGACGATGAAGATGATGCTGATGATGACGCAATGGAAGAGTTGTGTCATACGGAGCGCCCCCAAAACTTATTATTTGTGGCTGATGAAGAATTAGGTGTTGATAGGGAGCCTTCAGGTGTTGCTATTACCATACTTGATTCTCCTATCAAAAATACGACACCTTCGCCTGATACTGAAGCTCAGGCTTCACGTGAGACGACACCTCAATGCTATGATTGCGCCACTGCTGTTGACGTGCCAGATGAAGACGAGTTTGATGCTGTAACTGACGATTCCGCTTGTGAAACAAGAAAGAAAAGATGCTTAGACGTCGAGGATGACGAGATTGTGGTGATTGAGGAAGTCAAAAAGATCAAGCTTTCCACAGGTTCGCCCGAAGAGACTCAACCTTTACCAGTTGATACAAAGAAGATCATTGTTGGAAGTATGTTAGGTTTTGTAGCCGGATCTGTCGGCACTTTGGGCCTCTTAGTAGGAATTGCAAATATGGGATAATGGTAGGTTTAGGTTTTATGTGATCTTATATGGGTTTCTTTACCATATACTTCTATAGGGTAAAAATGCAAATACGGCGAATACCGTAGTGATTCGCAGTATTTGCATTTTTTTTGGAGCTATTCTTGAAGCTGAGACAGATTCGTCTATGTGTTCAGAATAGGTGAAATGAAACGCTTCCGAAACAAACAAATATTTAAGCGAACTCAATTTGAATTTATTAATAATCGGCGTATCTTCAAATACTAGACTGAACATGAACTCGACCCAGATGTCGTCTCAAGCTAAAGAAGGGACAAGTGGTGATCAAATTCCCATAGACTCTTCCCAACTAGTTGTAGCCAGTCGACTTTATCGTGAGAAACAAAAGATCCATCATGTTTCTAGATCCCGCAAGAAGCGAAGGAAATTCACGAAGAAGAGTTTACGAAATCATAGCGTCGCAGCATCAAAGGTAGAGGCAAAACTGGCCAAGAAGCAAGAGAGGGCCGCGAGAGTTGAAGTCGAACGCAAAAGAGCTTTCTTTCGTGGCGTCCTATGTGGGTCTTTTTTAGGCTCCGCGTTCAGCTCTTTAGCAATAAAACTGCTCATCAAAAGATTACGGTCATAAATTTCATTGGCTAAAGTTCGCAAACAGCGTTTTTTTTATTCGCCATCAGTAGAAACGTTTTGTCTTTTGACGTTTCCCTCATAACGGGAAGCACCGCCACGCACATATGCGCTTCGCTTATTGCCGTGATCAGATTTCGTTCTGGTTTGTTTATTGTTATTTCCAAACAATTTCTCCTTTTCTTCTTCAGTTAATTCATACTCTAACAGGTTTGCATCTCCTAGTTCCCTTATGAAATTCAAAAGGCTTGTATTTTGCTCCGCCATTTCTCTTTGAATCAATTTTAAACTCAAGTTGGGATTAGGGTTGTACCGGTTTATCTGATTCTGAATGTTTTGAATGAATTGCTTCTCCTTTTTGGCACTATGGAATGAAGTGTTACTATTTAGCTCCTTTTCTTCAACTCCTAAGTCCAGCTTATGCTTTTCTCTATTATTCGATATTTTTAAGAGCCACATTTTGCGCCTTTCTTCCCTCCATTTCTCAATGTCTTCTTCTGACTCTAAAGTAATGGATGTGCTTGGGATCTTGACAGCTGCAGTTTCATCCTTGAGTGGTTCTATCAGCTTTATTGATTTATTCAGGATTTCTGCATCATCACTCTTGAGTAGTTCCTTACCGTGTGATACCAACTCTTTATCGTTACTTCGATCGCTTTCTTTGCTATCATCATAGTCGGTACGATCAACGAAATGAGAAGTCTGCAGAGCGGTAGATTCAGAAAGTCTATGTACCTCTTGAGGATAACCTGCAGCGTACCCATAATATGGATTCCCACCGTATGCTTGAGCTGTTTGCTGACCTGAATGGTAGTAGGGGTTATATGAGCCATAATACGGTTGCGGATGGCCATGCGGAGTTCCGTAGCCTGAAAATCCCGGGTAATAAATCTGTGGATTACTTTGGGGATGTAGCTGCGTAAGATCAGCTCGCCCAGTAGTTGATCGACCGTCTTGGTCAAGAATCTGACCTGATGAAGTCGGTCTAGGAATGCTCGACGGCTCTTGGCCTTGACCATTCGTACCGTAACGTATATTCTGATGATAGCTCATATCCAGGATGTGTTCAGATCAGTCGAACTGGCCGCGATGATGTGAAGCTCATCGCATATATGAGCTTCTATATTCGTGATACAAGATTTTCAAAGTGGTCACTGAGCACGCTTTCGATGCCAGCAGCTGGAGTTACACAGCTCTAAAATTTGATCGTAAGACGCCTCCGAAGAACGAGCTATTTTTGGCTGCTTTGGCAGCAAGAGCTGCTTTAATTGTACCTATCTCTTAAAACATAGACTTCCTTATTCTGGGTAATGTTAATATCATCAACTAGGAAGTGACTGAGTTAAGCGAGATTGTGCTATCCAGGGAAGATTCAATTGCCTAACAGTACACTGAATATTGGTTTACTTCATATCTCTGCTCAATCTCAAATTGTCTGTCTTCTTCGCAACGGCTCTGTCGAGTTGACGATGACTTTCTTCATTTAGTACGAGCTCTAACAATGGGTCAAAATATTTCGTACAATCTTGGGGAATCTCATTTAAATCAAGAAATCGAGTTTTAGAGAGCTACTCATCATAAAGAGGTTTGGATTCAAATTCCACACTCGCAAAGCTATTAGCTTACATCTCAAAGGACCCGTTAGTAAATAATCTCACAAAAATGTCGCAATCCGCTCAAAAAGCTGCTACACAGTCAATTCTTCGTCGTTACGTGAACAAAGAAACCATGAAGTATGTTTTCACAACACACTTTTGGGGGCCTGTTTCAAACTTCGGTATACCACTAGCTGCCATTTATGATTTGAAGAAAGACCCAGAAATGATTTCTGGTCCAATGACAGGTGCCTTGATCATGTACTCTGCTGTCTTCATGAAATTTGCCCTTACCGTACAACCAAGAAATTTCCTGCTTTTTGGTTGCCACGTCGTCAACGAATTTGCACAAACTGGCCAAGCATTCCGTTTTGTTAACTATCATTACCTCGGAGGCAATGAAAACAAAGTAAAGGAAGCTGCCACAAGTGCTGTCGCCAAGCCTGAATAAAACCCCCATTTTAGCATGTGTATTTAATTCATATTCCCAAGAGAATGTAATTCAAGAGAATTGGAAACCGCTCTTTGTTTATGCAACGTTTCTAATGGAGCCTGCAATGCCTAATGTCACTAATCAAACAGACCTTTTGGTTTGTCCTTTTGAGTAGGCCCAAGCTGATCGTCTTCACCTCTGCTTGGGCTCTGTTGCTCTCTCTCGCGCTGTAGTTTAAGGTTTTGCAAAAATCTTTTTTTCTCCTGCTTTAGGACATCTCTTTGATCAAATGTAGGTGTAGGGCTATGGCTGGTCGTCTCTGAGGGAAGCTTGCCCCATTCAATTGTAGTTCTTGTCCGCTGGGCTTTGGATTGATTTTCCTCTTGAAATTCAAAACTAGTGTTGAGATCATTTTCCAGAGGGGCGTCTGCCAATCGTTTGCCGCGTATGGGATTTTTCCAGCGTTGTTGCTCTTGTGTCGAGTCATCATTTATGAAAAGAGACTTAGGTTTCATCGGATTTCCTCCATCTTTTGAGGCGCTTAGGACTGAGGGGCTCGTATTTTTCAGAGGCGATTTCCTGGGACTTACAAGCTTCACTGATACTCCGTCCTTGAGCGGGCTATTCCTAGTGACGCTGAATTTATTTCCAGTTGGAATCATTACCTCACCACTATCAGTAACCTGCACGAGCTCAAGTCGCAGGTCACTTTTATCGAGCTCCAAGAAAAACGGGTCCCCTGAGCGACAAAACCATATATTTACATTTTGGTCACCTTTCCAAATAGTAGCCATGTTGACAAAGTTCTTAAAATCTTTCATCCCGAATGAGATGACCTTTGTTAGAGGCCTTTTCTTATCTTCATCTCCGGTTGTTGTGAAAAGGCAATAGTGTTCTAGGTCATTAGTTCCTACGATATTAGTTGCACGCATTGCGTTGCGCAACACATCGTTGTTTTTGCTGTAAATACCCTTCGTAAAAGCTGTAAGACAGAGCTTTGTGACGGAGACCTCCAACTTCACCTCTTCTGTGGTGTTTGTATTACAACTGTCGATGAAATTCTTCAAAAGTTGATGATTACAGCAAAGGTAGTTTATCTCATCCTCTGGTGTGAGAACTCGATCTTGCTTGCTCACGGATAGAATGTCACTGTTAAAATAGGATTCTGCGAGTTCTTTGTCGAAAGATTCAAAAATCTTCAGTAACCGTGGATCAAGCTGTTCTTCTTGTGTTTCGCACGAGTTTCCGTAAACCTCCAGAAACCGTTTCTTATATCGAAGATTTATCACTATCGGATCGTATTTTATAGGCACAATATTAGGACTATATTCTTTGACCATAAGGTTTTCCGTATAGATCGTTATCTGGAGTCGATTTGCAAGTGATTCTGGGCATGTTGCTCCGTTATGAATGGCAAGATTCAAAACCTTTATGTTGTCATTCTCTGGCTTGCGAAACAAAACGGCTAAATGTTTTCCATTTATCTTGAAAGAGTACAGCTTATGCACCTTTTGTGCGCGATCCTTCACCTGTTGTAAACCATCCTCTCCAAAAACTGTTAGCTCTGGATTAAATTCGTAATCCTCAAAAAAACTGCGCTTGAATCGAGCCTGGCTCATCGAAGTATCGGTATTATTCATTGACCATATTATCAATTCCCTCTGTGTTATGGTGATCCTGATCTCCTCATGCAGACTACCCAAATTGTGAATAACTCTCCTCCAAACACTGTGCTTTTCTGCACTAGATATATTAGCGCTAAATATCATCTTCTCGACTATCTTTAAAGGGGGAAGTCGAATTAGCCGCTCTTGCAACTTCAACAAATGCACTTAGGTTCCCAAATATTGAGTTCATATATCACTATATACGGAACCGAGCCAGTTTAGATCGGAGCCATTACTGCAGAGCCTACAGCAAATTACCTCTGTAATGTGCTTAGCGTTTATCTTCATTTGAAGATTTGATAGCTAAGCCATCATTCGTAAGAAATTCAAATTTGCAGTTGGAAGGTGCATTTAGTGTTTTCCCTCTTACGAAAGTGGTATATACTGTTTATTTCGGTTCATCAGCGACCCGGGAGAATAAGGTTGAGAGCAACTTCTTCTAATCAATCTTGAACACAGCGGTTTTCAAAGTTTTTTGCGAAGCCTTTCGATGGATCGGAGCCTGTTTCTCACTTCATCTCGAGTGGTGTTGCGAAAGTGACGCGATAGTAAAAAATGATGCGTGAGGAATTCACCATGAATCCAACCTGGTAAGAAAGCATAAGTCGAAGATGCTCGGGCATGATACTGCGTGCGCAAACCAAGCTGAGCTGGGCTGAGCCGACAAGGCCTAAAATTTGACAGCAGTACAACTTTACTTAAGAGGAAAGCGCTCAAGAGAATTTTTTATACTGTAGTCATATAGCTTTGACTTTATTGTGTGTATAACTAATTAAATGCGATGAGGTAGCCTCGGCGTATACAATTGCGAGTACGCTATGGTAGTGGCAGTTGCGGCTCGCTAGCATGCTTCTTGGAACCCTTCTTTTTAGATTTCGACTTTGATTTCGACTTCTTCTTCTTTACAATGACCACTTCATCGTCAGCGTTCTGATCGTTTCCTGAGGATTTTGCGGCAAATTTGGCCCGCAAATTCTCAAGCTCCTGTTGTTCCTCTATGCCGATGTTTTTCGTAGCGTCAGGAGATATTTGAGGCGTGTGAAAATCAAAACTCTCCAGTTTTGTTTGCATTTTTAGATTGATGGTGCTAGAATCTTTACTGGACGAAAAGCTGCCAGTTCTAGGATGATTAGATGCGAGTGCATGGCTGCTAATTAAATCTGGAAGACCTTCTTCAAGCAATACCTGAGCTTTCTTCTTCTTGCTCTGCTTTTTCTTTTTTAAATCGCCACGCTTGACAACTGCAGTTGAGAGTTCAAAAGTGTCGACGTTTCTTAGATCAGATGGCTTTTCTTCGCCATCAAATTCGATGAGCTGACTCGCTTTCTTTTGTAATGCGCTATCGTCAGCTTCAAGGTAGAAAGGATTATCCGATCTCTCCTTCCTTCGTTTTTCTTCCAAAGATTTCCGAGCTTCGAATGTGATCTCTTCTTCTACATCACCAACTGAAGACCCTTTTCGGTCATCATTTGGACCAGGTTCGTTATCCGATTCTAAATCCAACTCCAAGTCGGATGCAAGAAGAGAGTCTAAATCGTTTTTGCTGGACTCTTCTTGTAACAACTTTTCAACATCTTCTTCACTTAAAAAAGGCGTATCCAAATCTAGCATCAAGCTATCTTGGAGCTTTCTTTGGGTGCCATGCAGGATTGGGTTGAGACTGTATGAGTTGAAGAAACTTGGAAGAATGTCAGTAATTAATAGTGGCAATTCTTCATCTCCCTGTTCTAAAGATTCATCGCAAAGCTTACAAAACTCCAAAAATTCGACACTCCTTTCTTGCACCTCAAATGATTGCGAAGAGCTTAAAGATTCGTAGAATCTCAACAGCCCTTGAAGAACGCTTTTAATTTCTTGCACTGGGGCAGGATTTGTCATGTTGCACCAGCTACTGAAGACTTTGAGCAGTGCTTGAGCCATTATTTGTAGGACGTCTGGTGGCAATCGATCGAGCTTGATAGACTTTTTTATCAAGTCGTCTCCATCATCTATGAGATTGGAGTACTCCCCGATGCACCAGTAGCATTCTCTTAAAACCATAGGCATACTTTGGCTTACGTCTTGACTTAAAACGAGGCTAACAATATTGGAGATTAGTTTTTTTCTCATGCTCGGAACTTTTACCATAACGTTTCTCAATTCATCCCCCAATTGGTATCCAATGGTATCGTTATTCAAATCCTGTGATATAACACATAGATCTGATAAAACCGCAATGTACCAGTCAAAATCTGGAATGTTCGAGTAGTTGTTAATTGAGCAAATTCTTAAGATGGTACTCACCATTTTGACCTTGTATGACAATGGAATATCAATTTCTACTCCATCTGAGCCTGCCTGACGGAACAAATTAGTTGCAGAAACGACGTCCTTATCAATAAATTGTTTGATTAAGATGTGTACCACTGTTGTAATATTCTCATCATCCGTAGCACCTTCTAATAATTCCAATGCGCGGCTTCTGATAGATATATCCACATCTTTCAGCAAACGAATTACCAAAACATTAAACTCAGTTATGAAATCGGTGTTAATTTTGCCAATTTGGTAGAAAAGAACCACGCTGATGTATCTGAGGTTCGGGTCAGGAGAGCTGCAAAATTTGTTCAATTCTTGTAAGCAGATGAAGGCAGAATCATGATCGTCTTCCTGTAGCATCTTTCCCTTGACAATACAATTGATAGACTCATAAATGACGGAAGTGGCCGACGTCACTTTCATGAGTTCTAACACCTTAGGAAGAATCTTGGCCCTGAGTTTTGGTTCAACTTGAGAGAGATTAGTGAAGAGTTTGAGTAGTCGTATAATGATCCAGTTATTATCGATCGTGAATAGCATTTCATAGAGCAAAGGCGACAACGCGATAAATGGATAGGGGTTTTTTTTGGAAACTTCACAAATAACGCTAACGGTAGCCGAAACAACTGATAGGTCTTCGTCTTCTAGCTTGGCAACAAACTTATCGAAATTGTCACGTAAAGCTTCCGGGTATTGCAAAAATACCTTGAAAAGAGCCGCAACGGCCTTCTTGCGGATGTAAGGTTTTGAACTTCCAAGCATAGTCAACAAATCATCACATATATCGCTAGCCAAGGAGGTAGTCACCATAGTGGACAGTCCGCTTAGCGTGACAGCCATTTTTAAAACGTCGTTGTTTCCGTCGTATTTGAGGTCTTTCTTCAACAAATTTGTGGCCAACATCAAGATATCTGGATCTTTATAAAAGGATTGTGAAGCAGCAAGATAGCCGACTCGTTTGTGTTGCAATTTGCTACTGCTCATTACTTCTAGAATGTGGAAATTTGCCCAAGACATGTCGTAGCCGTACATCTCCAGGTATGTCAGTTTTAGCACAGCATTGGTCTTTAAATTCAGATCCGGGGAGCTCACCTCTTCTCGGCATTCGCTCAAGGCTTTGTTCATGACCTGACGGAGATCTTCTGGATTCTCACCAGCGCTTCTGATGCCCTTAATCAAATCCTTCAATGATTTTTCGAAAAACAGACCAAACGGTCTCAGTCTTTGCATAACATCTTCTGCTGATGGAGCATGAATTGAAGCCATATCTCAAGGCTTAGACGCGCACCAACTGCGCTTTTATAGCTTTGGATTTAGTAGATCTGTGAATTTTATAAGGTGTCCTATATGATTATGCTAATGGAAATAATGAAAAACTGCGGATCACGGTGTACTAAGAGCTCAGACATAAGGCAGAAGTTAGGGCCATGAGCGAAGTTAGTTCCAGCGACCTTGGTTCCAGATCGCGTACAGCTAGTATTAATTCTCAAATGTATGCAATTCCGGACCCGGAAGACTCAGACTCGCAGCTTTCTGAGAGTAGCAGCGATGACGAACAGGGTAGTGACCAACCTAGCGAAGACGACCTTGAACTAGACCATATAGTACCAGAAACAAGCCATACATTTGCCATGGGCCAGCTGGACACACCGATGTTTGATATTTCTAAATACGTTTTCCAGTCGCTCTCGCAGGCGTTGAACACGGCCGACTTCTCGCAGGCAATGGCCGTTCAAACCAGAACTTCTGGGCTGATCAATTCCAAGAGCAGGGATCTCAAGAATTTAGCAGATACACTACAGGAAAAGCTCCGGCATTTCGAAGTCCGTTTTGCCCAAGGGGCCCAAACGTCTCGACAAATTTCCAAGAATCTAAGCCAATATGCATCACAAATCGAGCACATCAATCAAGTTTTCCAACGACAGTATCCGATTGAGTTCAACCAAGCACGCGAGGATATTATAGAACGGAACTCCTCAGAGGAGTAAGTCCATGTCGACAAGGGCAATTTCTCAACCTGCCCTCCACACTTCAAGGTTTACAATGTGAAATTTGTTGCCTTCGCGACTCAAAACATCGTTTCCAAAAGTGAGACTTGGGTCAGAGACGCCGTTCACCAGGCCATCATCGCACCATAACCCATAATGGCCATCTCCGGCTCCCATTGACAAAAACTGGCTGGTGCTGTACATAACAAACTGGTTCAGTCCGGTGTATGGGTACCCCCTGAATCCCCACTTATGATCATAGCTACTATCGGACGCCCGCCTGCTTTGTCCAAGGGTTACATTGGCGACCTTTTCGAGTTTCCAAAGGAAACATTCGCCATTCCCGTAGTACTGCTTGCTTTCTGAATGTCTAAAGGGTTCGTTACAATACGCTCCAAAAATCCCGCCCCTTCGATCTTCTATCAACAAAATATACCCGACGCGGCCAGGGTTCTTAGTTTCTGGAGATACTTTATCATATAATGAGTGCAGCGATGCGCCATGTTGTTGCAAGCTATACAACAGGTGCCAATCAGGATATAATTGAATTCTAGTAGGCATCAGATTTCTAATTTCATCACATATTTCTGGCGTCAAAAGACGACTTTTCGTGCTTTCAGTATAGCCATGCAGTTTCACTTGTGGCAATGGCTCGTCATCTTCGAAATAGTCGAATGACCTCATTTGGTCCTCTGGACCAGATCTGGATGTACTCTCTTCAGAACTTTGCCATCCTTTTTTAATGCTGGAAAGTCCACCTTTGAATGCTTTCATGTCCTTGATTGAATTGATCTAGCTAGGCTGTGTAATGGTATGTTGAGCTTGAAGCTTGATATCGTTATATCTTCCGATGCCTTGACGAGTACCTTTATGAGATGAGTTGAACGTAACTTATGATGGCCGTTCAAACTGTATGGAGGGTTCGAGCTAGTCATTAGGAAAACAACGCTAATTAAGTGTATGTCTATGTATGAATCATGAGATAATATTCGCTACCATATCAAGCCAGCTTGCGCTGTTTCTCGTGGACTGGCGCCTGATAGTTTTCGTTCTTTCTGCCTACAGCCTCTTGTTCCATGGATTTCGCACATTCGAGCATAGTTTTAGCTTGTTGGGCAATCTCCTCCAGCTTGTTGAGAACAACGGTGTTTCCTTTCTTGAACCCGTAGATCGAGTACTTCAATCCAACTTTCTCGCAGAATTCAATAACAAACGGCTGGGCGCTTCTTAGGTTGTGTCGAGGCAAACGCGGAAACAAATGATGCACTACTTGAAAGTGAAGACCACCATGAAAGAAGTCGAGCCATCTAGGACAATCGACATCCATTGAAGTCCGAAGTTGTCTCATGGGAAATCCTTCGGCAACCCCTAAATCAGAAGTGGACATTGCAAAATGCGATAGGGTAATTTGAACATGTACAATCATAGTTGTTATGTGAGAAATCATAATGTACTGGAATCTCTCCCAGCCACTTTGCAATCCCTTACCGCAGACTAGGTAGAAAAACCAATAATTGAAGAATATCAGGCCAGCGAGTTCAAAATACCGAAACCATGCAGCTTTGCCTCGGCGAGGGCCCAATCCAAGAAGTACGTGCATCCAGCTCAGGCGATACAAGTTGAACCTGCCAAAACTCAAAATCGGATAGTACAAAAAGTTTTGCAGAGGAATGACTTTTTGCGCGAACTTATCAAACCAGATGAAGCGCTCATAGTAAGTGGAATAAATATTGTTGAATAGTCTGGTACTAACAGCAAAAAAGGGCAGATGTTGAATATCAGGATCATGGATGGGATCATTGGTGACTAAGTGATGTACGTTGTGATTACGCTTCCACCATCCGAGCGAAAGTCCACCCAAACAGGATGCTATCACCATACCAATTATGTTATCGACTTGGTAGTTATGAGTTATGCTAATATGACCCGCATCGTGAGCAATAAAGACAAGTTGTTGCCAGGCGGCGCCAAGGAAAATAGCACTCCAAAATTTGTGGTTGACGCGAAAAAGTAGGTAAAAAGAGATACCGAACAGAGTGCCGATTCTCGCTACCTCTTTCACATATCGGAGGTAGTTGCATTTGTAAAGATCTGCGTTTATGACTTTTTCATGCATTATGTTGTATTCGCGAGAAAGCCAATCTTGTGTTTCAGCGTCTAAACTGGGTAAGTTAGCTAAATCACGACGCACCAACTCATTGTCATAGTTCTCAGATATGTCGGCCGGGTCTGAGACAACTTTTCTTTCGAAAGCCTGTTTGAGATCTAGAGATGGAATAATGCCTTGGGGTACTTTTGGGTAAATCTTCACGTCCGGCTCTCCACACATTTTCTTATTGGATCTTATATCTTCAAACTCGTCTTGCTTAGTTACGACGAGCCACTGGTCTGGAACTTCAGAATGCTCATCAAAGTCTCCTCCTTGAATCGGAGGCAAGAAATTGACCCAACGTTCTGATATACTACCAATTCGCCACTTCAAGAACCCATCTACAGTATCGTCGCAGTGGTAAGCTTTCATCTCGTTTGTAGCATCCCGCCCTATCATGTGGTGGATCGCCTTGTCACCTCCAGGATGGAATTTAATCCATTTATCAAGTCTCAAAACATGTCCGTCATAAATCACTATGGCTTGACCCTTTAAGATCCGTTCCCTGACTTCAGATCGTTCCATGACATGCTTCATGATCAAAGCAGGTTCTCATGTGTAGAACACTTGTATTCTCTTATTCTAAGAGGGCGTAGTATACCTCGAAATAAATACTTATTTTCGATGCTTTCTTTCTGCAGTATTAAAGCCGAAAAAAATCGAAAGTATGTAAACGAAACTGTGCCTGTCTCGATATCTCAGCATCACTCGTAAATAGCTTAAATTCTGCTGAATTGATTATTGAAACACTCAGACCTCGGTTTGAAGGCGTGGGCGTTTTCAAACACATGGTAAATCAAGGACTAAATGACATGGCCGTAGAAGCAAGTTTATATCTTCAGTGTCAGGCAGCGCAATATATTTTTGAACCATTAGATACCTTCAACTATAGCTGTTAGGCTACTTTTACGAAGTATGACCGCCGTTCTCTAATCTAACCTTAGTATTAAACTGAAGCTCCTGGAAAGGAGAGTGCAAGTATCTCACCGTGGAACCTGCAAATACGACGTTTGGAGTATTCGAACTATTCAAAGTATTCCGAAACTTGCTCGTTAATAACACTTTGCGACATGGCATAATCTTTCTATCGTAGCTCTTGGTATATCAAACAACCACTTTTGCTACTTCATGTACACCCCTTTCATACTTGTGACGACAGTATCGTGAGTCTCGCCCGAAGAGTCGCGTCTTGTAAACATATCGAACCCAAATTGTTTTGTCTTCTACGCTCTGTTATTTGATCATGCTAATTTCCATTGATAATCTAAATCCAAGCCTATGAGTTATTTCAGGAAGATTATGCTCAATTTAACTTCAGCAATGCTGCCTAGGCTTTGCTTAAATTACAGACAAAAGCGGTCACTCTACCTTTTCACTACAAGACTTTCGTGGAAGGCCAAATTTAGAACGGCTCCGATTTTTGCAATGCGTTCTTTTAGTAAAACGGCAAGACGTTGAGAAGTTTTGATGTTCTAATATACATAATTCGAACAACCTGCGAGGCCGCCGTCTATTTAAACAATTATTTTCGTTACACACTTTGCAAACGCGCTTTCTTACGCTTTAATCAAAAGTGATTTTCTTTGGTTTCTTAGTAGTGTCGACGTCTTTGTAAAACGCACCGTATGCACTATGCTCCTTCTTTTTGGTATGAGTACCAAACTTCTTGAGGTCTTCTGGTACCGGCTGGCCAGCACCATTGAGGACATTGACTAAAGCGCCTGCAAGATGTTTTTCCTGCTCGGTAAAGAGCGTGTGAGCAGTACCTGTAAGACCAGCTCTACCCGTTCTGCCGATTCTGTGAACGTAATCCTCAACCGTCAATGGGAAAGTAAGATTGATAACAGTCTTCACATTAGGAATGTCGAGACCACGAGCTGCGACATCAGTAGCGAGCAAAAGGTTGGATTCTCCGGTCTTGAATTCGCCTAATGCTTGTGTTCTTTGCTGTTGCGACAAATCACCGTGAATAGCAGCAACTTTGTAACCATTGTACTGTAGGTTTCTTTCCACGCGAGCAGCCTCCTTCTTATAAAGCGCAAAAATCAAAACTTTATCGTCTTTGCGTGCTCCCGATTGATACTTCTTGAGGAGTTCCAGCAATTTGCGCTCCTTCTTGAAAGGGTCGATTACCTCCACAATCTGTGTAATACGCTTATTCGCTGATAGCTCATCTCTGTTACCAATAGAAACCTTTACGGGATCTTTCATAAAAGTACTGGCTAGTTCGCGGACTTCTTTTGGCCAGGTTGCAGTGAACATCAGGGTTTGCCTTCCGTTTGACTTCGTGGATCCTATTATTCTCTTGATATCTTCCTCAAATCCCTTCTCAAGCATTCTATCGGCTTCGTCCAGCACCAGGTAGTCCACGTTGGACAATCTGGCAGATCCCTCATCGATCAAGTCAAGTAATCTCCCTGGGGTTGCGACAACGACTTGGGCCTTTCTCAATTGAGCTCTTTGGTCGTCTTTGGGGACACCACCGTAAACACAGCAGCAGTGAACACCAGCTTTCTTAGTTATCAAGATTAAGTTGTCATACGTTTGAGACGCCAGCTCTCTGGTTGGGGAGATGACTAGTACCTGGATACCCTTCTTTAGGGAATCTGTGGTCCTCAACTTATGAATTGCAGGCACACCAAACGCGAAAGTCTTACCAGAACCAGTTTCGGCAACACCAACAACATCTTTGCCCGATAACAGGTAGGGCCATGCAACGGCTTGAATTGGAGTTGGTTTAGAAAATTTAGAAATTTCTTCCTGAATCTCTGGTGACAGCGAAATTTGGTCAAACGCGAGGAGAGGGCGCAGAGCTAAGTTCGAAGGATCCTCAACACTTACTTCGTTCTCCTTAAAGAATTCGTCCACTTCACTTTGCGCAACTTGGTTGAGCTTTTGACTTTGGACGTAGCCACTATCTTGAGCCGGAGTTTCTTCCACTGAGCTCTCAGTCACGCTAGAATCATTCTCGGCTTTTTGCGTTTTGATATCAGCATGGCTTTTCTCATGTTTGTCCTTTTTCTCTTTCTTGTCCTTCTTGTCCTTCCTCTCTTTCTTGTCCTTCTTGTTCTTCTTGTCCTTCTTCAACTTTTTTTGGGAAGCTAAGTCAACCTCATCGTGCTTTCTCTTACGTTCCTCCAGCTGTTCCTTTGACATTGTGACAGACTTGATCGCTTTTAGCTGTTCACTATTTTTCATTCCGTAGATGCTCATCGCATCTCATCTCCTGTTATATAAAAATTTTCCAGCCAGCCGCCGGATCGAAAAGTTTGTTTTTCCTGACGCCAGGGAAATAAAAGCCCACCAACAATAAAGCGATCTAAATCGAGTAAGAAAAGGTAGCTAATAGGTAATCAAAAGGTTCATTTTTACGCTCTCCTATGCATTGGGTGCTAAACTTAAATTAGCAACCTGCTTCACACCATTTCTTACTGACGATAAGTCATTTATATGACATGATATCGATGACTAAATTAACTACTGTTTGTGTTTATGAGTAGTGTCCAGAGTGCACTATTAGCGAAAGCCCGAACGTTCTCTATTTTAGCGTAGTTCCTAAAATTGTCATAAGATTACAGTTGGATTATTACTTGTCATGATGGTTTTGTTAACCATTCCAATACACAATGTACATTAATATCAAGATTCAAATGCTCAATTGGCGCATCTACTCCATGAGGTATGGATCAGTCTCACCGAATTCTTCTTCCTCGACAACGTGAAAAACGTGGCGACCCTTCAAAGCCCAATACATTAAAATGAAGAGCAACCATCCAACAATAACAACTGAAGCATAGTTCATGTTGTTCTTCGAAACAGGCATCTGGAACGGGAAACAGAAAAAAACCAAAGAAAACAAAGTCCATCCCAATAGCACAATATTACTGAAGAGGCCAAACTTTCCGAGCCAGAATGGACCGTGTTTGATATCCCTCTTTTTGATCAACAGGCAGATGACGGGAATGATGTAGGATAGCAGTAAAAACATAATGCACCCAGTGATCAATGAGTTGAATGCGGTAGTGGAAGCCAAGTAAAGAACGCCCAATAAACTAACGAAAAAACTGGAAATCAAATGCGCATTTAAAGGAATACCGAGCTGAGGGTCGATCCTTGCCCAATAACGAGAGAATGGTAGACCCTCGTCTCTTGCAAAAGACCAACACAGTCTTGCTTGCCATGTGTGACAAGAAATCACACAGCCAAAAGAGGTCACCAGAACGAGACTGCCAAGCACCACAGCACCGGCTTTATTCCCAAGAGCCTGGAAATAAATATCTAAAATAGGAGCACCAGTGTTTGAGTTGTTAATGGCGTCAAGGTTATGCAAAGAGAAAAACATAGCAATAACGTATGAGAAAGACGTTACAAATCCGATGGCCACAGTTCCCAAAATGGCAATTGGAATTACACGTTCTGGTTTTTTGACTTCGAAAGCCATGTGAGTTGCACAATCCAAACATGAAAAGGACCAAGCTGGGTTGATTAGGCCTACGATAAAGGCGATGCCACTAGTCTTCCAGCCAGTTTCATTGGTAAATGTGGCAAAAACAAACTTAGAATCGTTGTAGTTCCCGCGAGAGCATGCTAACACAGTAATGGTAATAGTAACAAAGGAAAAAAGGGAAATGTAAAGAGCACTGTAAGATACGATAGATAGGGATCTACCGTAGCAATTGAATAGCATCAAGAACACATGCATGCACTCGAAGCATACGACCACATGCCAATCTTTAACCACGAAGTCAGGGCGGACTAGAGCATACATTCCCACTAGGATTGTGGCCGCAGATAAAAGAGTCGAGGCGCTCGTGAAAACGGAACCTGCATATGCGAGAGACCCACACATGTAGGCGGCAAATCTCTTGTACTTGGGAGGAGCTAGCTTCAAAGACCACCAGAACTGACCACCAGCATGAGGATATGCCGACGATAGCTCGCCGAGAGATACAGCGATGCAAACGGAGATCATAGCGATGATGATGATTCCGTAGACGATCATCATAGGACCTCCCGACGATATACCTGTAACCAAGGAGGTAGAAATCCCAAACCACGAGTTGGTAAGCCCGAATCCGACCCCCAGGATTGACCAGAGTGAGAACTGCTTCCTGAGCCGCGTTTCTGGCTGGCCTTCCGAGCTCTTCGCGACGGTGTGTGATACCACAAATTCTTCATTCTTGTGTAATTCACGTAGTTCATTGCCGTCGTTGGAACTATTGAAAGAAGAGCTTCCCGCCTGCATAGAGGCTTTCAAATCTGCCATTCAGAATTGCTGAGCTTGTCGTTTTCTCGAGACTATTCCGGACTATTGTCTTTAATTAAGTTAGACAGATAACGATAAGCGCCAATAATTTTCCTGTTGCTCTATCAACTACTCAATTAGTTGAAAAGGCACCACTAACTAGTAGATGAAGAGTTTAGAATCTAGAGATGCCCAAAGACTTCTTCACATCAATTTTTTTTTCACTCGAGGATTGCTCAGTTTTCACATGGAATTATTGTGGGAGTTTGATAAAAACGATAGTTGATAAGTCGAAGTTGCCGACCGAGAATTTTTGTGAAGTGAAGCAGAACAGGACAGATCTACGGTAAACTAGAGGTTAGTTAGCATGCTTTTGAGATTCTAATGCAATTAAAAGTAGCAAAAACGGTAAACTATAGCAAGCTATGTGCGCTGCCTTACGCTTCTTGGCAAAAGTCCACTGGCTAACGTGACATTGCATATAGCGGCACTTAATGAACCTTGGCGGCGTCATTCGGTTCAAATGTGGATTATTGAATCTCAACTAAACCTTTTCATACCGTTATTCTTTATTAGTTCTATATGGAAGAACTACTACTATACATGCGAGAAATACCTTGACAAGCTGTACATTTAATTTCGAAATCAGCTACATAATGATAGTTATAGCTGTCCGACAACCAACTGGGCGCAACTCGTCTTTATTTCTAAAAACCCAAAAAAGTTACAAGTTCAAGAACTTCGATAGTCTTAGTTCATAGACTTGACCAACTTGTTGATGAATTCTTCACGGTTACCGAAAGAACCACCTTGGATGAAGTGCTTGAATTTTCTTGGAACACCCCAGCCACCAGATGGGTTGGACAACTTGAATGGCCACAAGAAGTTGCTGGCTTGCTTGAAGTGAGGACCGACAGAGACGATCTCGTGGATCAAGTCATCGATAGAGACGATACCGAACTTACCCAAGTTAGCTTCAACGATGGCGTTGTCAGACAAAGCAATTCTTTGCTTGTTGATCTTACCGTAACCTCTCTTGTAAACCAACTTTCTAACAGTGGCGTAAGATGGGTAACCGTAAGCAACGTAAGGCTCGATCAACTTCAACAGCTCGGAGGTAGCCTTGGTGACCTTGACAAAGACACCAGTGTTGATTTGGTTCAATCTCAACAATTGCATGATCTTTCTTGGCTTTGGGGCAATCTTGTTGATACCCTTGATTCTGACAACGAAAACCAATTTGGCTTGAGCGTCAACGTAGAAAGAACCGTTGGCCTTAGCTTCACGCTTGGCGTCGATGACGGCTCTTTGAGCGTCAACGTACTCCTGCTGGTAAGCAGCGTTTCTTTCCAAGATAGCGGCTCTCTTTTCCTTGTTAGCCTGTTGAGTGGAGATAGTTAGTAATACGATCTAAGATTGAGAAGGGCATACGACACACGTCATAAGGGCAACATTTCTGATGTTGAGTTCAAACCAGCCAGATTTGTTTTTCCAGATTGTGCTGTCTCCCGCTTGTGATATGCTCTTATTTGTACACGTCAGGCGAAAGATGGTGAAAGTACGACAACATTGCCGTAGCTAGTCGATCAAATTGATAATTTGGGAAAGATTCATCACTGTGGATAAAACACTAGCATACCCTTCGGCACGGAGACAGGCAACTGCAAAACAAAATTGAAGTATGGCTTCTGTGAACTCACAGAACGTTCCGGTAGAGGTTGTGTGAGATATGAGCCAGGTGCAAGGCAATGATTGTTTAACATACAGCCTTACGGGCGACTCTTTCGGCGGCAATTTGCTCGACCGACTTTTGTTGAGCCTTAGACTTCTTCAATTGGGATTCTGGGACCAAGATCTTTCTATACAGGAATGTTAGAACTGTTGAACGCATAGAGGACAACGAGCACAAACTTTGAGTACAAAGTCACATCGAACTGAAACACACCACGCTTCATTCGATGACAGGGAAAGGCAGAGACATGTAGAAGGAATCGGAGAATATACGAACGGTGAGCTCAAGAAAAGTGCAAGGATGCTGAAGAAACAAAGCAGGTTCGAAAAATTCGAAAGCAAGCCTGGAGAATCCAACAATTCCAAAACACTGAGGCTCCGATTTCAGCTATTCATGTCTTTGTCCCGACAAATTTAGTTGTCGAGAAGTCCCTTACGATCAGCATTCTCGGATTTTTTTAATCACGAAAATTGCCGTTGACAGAGTTGAGTAAATGCAAATAATGCACCTATCCAGTTGTAAAAAGGCCTGGTTTTTCTCCAAGGTCCGATGCAACTTGTAGTTCAAATACTTGTTAGCTCAAATTAATAGAAGCTAAAACATACTCAGCAGCCATTTTGATTGGATTGTAGTTGATGATTTACATTTACAAGTGACAGGATGTAGATATATCGAAGCTAACACACTTTATATACTCACCGGAATTCCCGCCGAGCCATGAAAAATTTCCAAACTTTAATTTCTGCGTGGGTTCTAATTTGAATAATTATTTTTCTTGAAATCTTAATTTTTTTCACATACGCCAAAAACAAAAAATAGCTGTGTATGGGTCTAAACAGTCATACTTCAAATGGACGTTAAGAAAGCATCGATTCAAGAGAGTTTATTTAGGAAGTCACAAAAAACCTCAAGGAGCCCACCGTAGGCCAGTAGCGATGATCACAATAGGACGTTAGTTGTGCCATGATTAGTTTCGGACTGAAAGAATCAAGAGCAGCATTCGCTTGCAAAGTGGTTTGGCGGATGGAGGGAAAGTCATATGGGTCACCAGTAAAGAAATGTAAAGATGACGACAGTGCGCGTCTTGAACTAGTTGGCTCAGCAGATCAGGGCATGTTTTCGTAGATGGGGCGAGAAATTAAGCACACTCTCATGATGCCTCTGAAAACCGCAGCTTTTGTCTACTTCAATAAGACTTACGTATCAACACGATACAAGTAACCCTTTAGGTTTCTACTTATGCTGGTATAGGTTGATCAGTCCCGAAAGATGGTTAACTTAGCAGACAACATCGCCATTGGCTAGTCACTTTAAAATGTTGATTACACTTGTCATCACTTAAACTCTATAGCACAGCTATTTTACCAAGATTGTAATTCTTGCTTAGCACCACGTATGTTAGCTATGCGCTCATAACTTTTGCACACTTTCTAAGCCCAGATTTTTTATGTTAGCGCGCTTCACAAGCGCGCCTGATTGATTATATTGGCCATTAAAAAAGTGGTGAATAGAAGGGTGAAATATTTCGTCGCTGAACTTTTTCTTTTAAGCGTGTAGCTGAGGTGATAAAAACAGAAAAAGGCAAATGAAAAACAAGAGAGGTCTTTAGGGCTTGACAAATTTGAAGATACCGTGAGTGGTGCATCGACATGCATATGCACGCTTGCCATGCGTCCTTGACGGTGCTAATGCAAATTCCAAGAGTGTCAATGCATTGTTCAAACCCAAGGGCAAAGCGCCGCGTAGAAGCATTCTTCAAACTTCGCGATGCATCGTTAAATGTCATCGGACTGTCAGTGTTTTTAGACAGCGGCAACAGCTAGACCAAACTCCATTGGTTAACCATAAACAAGCTTTGAATTGTCGTGTATAATGACTTCTGTATTATGCGCGCGAGCGTCAGAATGGTAGCAAGTGACTTACTACAAGTAGAACTCGAAATTTCCAAATCGCCTCTGAGCGCCAATTTACAATTAAACTGAATATGTGGCAGCTCAGGTTCAATGCAGTGAAATTACCATCTATTACTTAATACTGTTCAATTTTATAATATTTTCTCATAATTAAATTCATTCTCGCTTGGCGTCTCCATGAGTGCCCTGGCTATGCAAATATTGTTGCAGATCGTTCACCTGCGTCTTCAGCGATGAGACATCTGCAGTTAGCGTGTCGAGCACCGAATTCACGTGCCGCAGTTGCGAGTGTATGAGGGCGAGATCGGCAAATCGGGGCTCCGGGTGCGCTACTGATGTTTCTTCCAAGGGCTCTGGTGGATGTATGACTTCGTGCAGTGCCCCCGTTCGGGGCGGAGGCGGCGGGCTCGGCAAAAGCGGCGGTACAATTACAATATTCGCACGCGGTGGGCTGTTGATGTTGAGCTCCAAGCTGCGCCCGTTGCCGAATCGGAACCTCAATGCACAAGCCTGAAGCCGCGCCTCGAGCACAGGCTCAGAAGCCGCCGCTGGATCCATCTGCGAATGCAAATGCGGTAATGACTGTGAATGTGAATGTGAATGTGAATGTGAGCGTGAATGTAGAAGGTGCTCGTGTGGCGTGACCTGGTTCGCACCAGGTCCCGCCGTCTCCGTAGGTAGCGACGCTGGGCGAGAAGCCTTAGTAGGCACCAGGAGCGCCCGGGAAAACAGCAAGTTGAAACGGTCGCGGCACTGGCGACTATTGCGCACCAAACCGTGCGCCACGTGCAGCTCGTCGCTCACCGCGGCCCAGAACTTGGTCCGCGGATACGAGCGGATGGGGTCTGCCAGCACGTCGCCCAGCGCCAGCACCGAGTCCACAAGCGCGCAATCGTGGCGGGCGGTCCACACAAACTTCTGGTGGCGCGGATCCCGCATGCGAGGAGAGGGGCGGAAAGAGTGAGACTGGGAAAGGTCGATGGTCACTTTCAACGGCACGATTGTTCACCCACTTAGTCACGGTATTTCCAAACGATTATAACGATTTTAACGATTTTCACGATTTTCGCAGAGCTTAACGATTTTCACGATTGTCACGATCGTTTGATTGATAGTCACGCTTCTGTAAAAAATGAGGGCTGGTCCTGCCTCTGCCTGCCGCACGCCACACTTATCGGTGCGATTAACAGGGATCAGCAGCAGCGCGGGAGCTGTATTGTATCCGCCCTTTTATGGATGTGGTTGACATCCAGCTGTTGAAGCCATTTTGCGCAAAAGACCGGTAAAAAAAAAAAAAGAATGCACTCGACCAGGACCAGCAGCTGTGAGAAAGGTGCTCTGATTGTTCCCATTGAGCGTTGCTCGCTCTGATCTCATCGATGCCACTGCTACTACTGCTGATTCTGCTCCTGCTGGGATCCGCATGTGATTCGACTAGCCGGGGCTCTGTGGCATGCACGACAGGAATGTTGGTTGAGATTTTGAAGGAGCTTTGCCGGTAGCGACAATCGCAGCTGCATGCGGGCGCTTAGTAATCCCATTGTTCCCGAAAGGCACCGCGTGCAGTGCGTTGTCATGCACGGAACTTCCTAAAGCGGATGCGGCGCTGCCGGAAACGGCAAGGCCGCGTGCGCGCGGGCGCAGGGGCCCGCGTTTTGCCGCTTCTGGACACAGCCGCCGAAACGCGTCCCCATCGGGTCCCTTAGGACCGGATTACAAATCGCCACTTGTGCTTGGCCTGGGCTCGAGGCTATCGCTGCGCACGGCTCACACCGTTTTTGTGTTTCTTGAGGTAGCCGGTCTCGGCCTTTAGCCTGCGGTTCCGAATCCCAGCGCTGAGATATACGAACTCCCAGGAACCCCCGTACGTACGTTTGCACGGCAAGTGTATATGCACCCGGTTTTTTTTTCGTTAGGAGAGCTCTGTGACGGCATTGTTTGAGCACAGCATGGCGAAGCATGGCGAAGCATGACGTCGAAATGCGAGCACGAAAGACTTGGTGTTCGAGCTATCGCCGTCGGGACCGGAATGAAGATTATAAACAAACGCTCAATGGGCAGCGGGAGCCGGTCTTGGCACACAGAAGCTGACATCACCAGTACGAAGAAAAACTAATTTAGCCAATGCAGGAGGTGGTTTCGTAGGAGAATACTGGGTTTTGCACGGTTTGCAAGCTGCAAGCATTGTTGAAAGCCGAGGGGCCGAATGCAGTTGCTATAGCGTTCGGGAAACGGCTGCTGATCGCTGAGGATGGTGCGAAGAGTGCGAAGAGAGCAAAGGGAGCAAAGAAGGGTGGGGGGGGACGCAGAAAAGTGAATAGCAAGTCGGCCGTAGGTTTTAGGAGCCGGCCCAGCCTCATGACAAAGCGCTGGCGTGCGACCGACACTGCAGCTAGCTAGCTCATCAAAAAAAAAAAAAAAAAAAGAAAATGGGAAGAAACGTAAAGGCAAAAACGAGAAAAAAAAAAGGGCGCATGTGTGTTCACGTAAGCAGTGCCGTGCAGCGCGATGCGCGAGACGCCCGGCGTTACCGTATTATCGCAGCTCGTGGTAAAATGTAATTGTATCTGATAGCGCCTCGGGAAAGGGTTTGCGGTGGTTGGGATCCCGACAAACCCTGGTGCTTTTGGATTCGCAAATGTTGCGACGAATTCCTGACGCTAGCACGGTTGAACGTGACACTCGCAAAAGGGTCTGTGCGTGCTTGCATAAACCACCCAAAACCCCTGGGAGACGGGTGCTTTTGGCATCGGCGCGCACCTCTTGTCACCAAAGCGTAACGTGTTCCTGTGGGTGATGCTGGCACGTCGCAAACTGACGGTTTAGTACAAAGTGATATGGAAAGCGCCCGACCACGTGGTCTGGATAGTGGGCGCTTTTGTCCGTGAATAGCGCCAGCGGCTAGACGCCAGTTCTCGGTCTTGGCAGTTGTTGATTCGAGAGTTGGCCATCCGTGTTTGCACCGTCAATCTGTTGAGCTTTAGATACACATAGACTGGACCGTGACTGCATCGTCATTCTGTTCTACTTCAGACACACATTGCATCGGCCCAAAGATGCGCGATAAATTGCGGCTTTGTCACTCTGTGTCTTCCTCTCAGTGCTTTGCCACTTTGCCTCGGTACTGAGGCTCGCAATAAGTGTCCCAACAATGATTGAAACGTTCTGCCGTTCAAATATTTAGCTCTCTGGAAATTGACATCTGCAACGCTAGATACATCTGAGTGAATATCCTTACTTCTTCAACATTCCCAGTCAACCTCCAGTCCAACCTTGGGGTCCATTTCTTCTCTTTCTCCACACAAATGTTACAATTTATCACCAAAACAATAAAATCATGCGCTATTCAAAAACTCCTAGACACTATTATAAGCAATTCCGCTACTACCCTATTTCTTGACATATACTAATACAAGACGCAAACTTCTTTTTGAATTCTCTCTGGTCGTTGTCAGTTCATCTTTTCCAGTAAACTTCCACGCCGCGCCACGAGAAGTTCGACGCATGAGACCAATATAAAAAAAAAAATAATAATATTTCAAGGTTCCTACATTCCCAGGTCATCAACTCTCGACAATAATCACGATAACAAATGAGCACAGCAGCTGTGGCCGATAGAAGAGTCCAACCGTCACAAGTAAGAGACTATAATCATGCAACTGACTCTGAATATAAACGTCTCAGAGACTTAGCCGACGATGCCTTCAAAAAAAGACAACAATACTCCCAACAATCACAGCAGGCCTTCAAGAGTGGTGATAAGAGCGAAGCTCATGCCCTCAGCGAGCGAGCCAAAGAGCAGTTGAACGTAGCCGAGAAATTCAACATGCAGGCCGCCGAATACGTCTTTACGCAAAACAATGCTGATAGCGACAGTGATGAGATTGACTTGCATGGACTGTACACCAAGGAAGCGCAATGGATCATGCAAAAGAGAATCGCGGTTGCTGTTGCAAACCACGAGTCTAAGCTGGAGGTCATAGTGGGAAAAGGATTGCACTCAGCCAACGGTATTGCCAAGATCAAACCCGCAATTGAAGAATTATGCCAACAAGCCAATTTGGCTAGTTATGTTGACCGCAAAAATAGTGGAGTCTTAGTTGTTGAGTTGGAGAACGCCCAAGTTCCGAGCTCTTGGGCGTCCATGGACTATTCGACCTTCGCTCACAACGGTCCCTCCAAACCTGCACAAAGCCACCAGGGCTCGAAACCATCACAACAAAAGCCATCTCAGAATTATACTCAACAACAACAGCCACAGTATCATCAGCAACCACAACAGCAAAACTACCAGAACAACTCACAAAACAACAACAAAAACGATCTTGTCTCCACGGTTCTCAAGATGTTGTGCATGTGCATTCGCAAGAACATTTGACAACATTTGGTATTTGTTATCAATTAATCAATTTTGTAATATTTAGAGCCCAATTCTCGATTCTATCAAACACCAAAAAGTTTATCATAGTTAGCACTAAGAACTTCATCAGATGCCGGATCCCAATCGTATTCGAAAAAATCTGTGAAAAACCAATGTACTTTGCTTAACACAGAGCTCTGCTCCCACCATTTTAACTTGATCTTAGAATTAAGCTCTTGTGAGGGATTGAGCTTGATAAGTGACTTCAAGAATGCCATGGAGTATAAGAGAATATTAATTGCCAATACCAGAAAAATTGCCCCAACAATGTACTTTAAAACCGTGGATAGCGAAAATAAATCGGGTAAGCTGGCTTCCACACTTTTCTCCCTCATTGCAGGTAAAGCAACTTTTCTAGACTCTACCTGAGTACGCATTGCGCCAATCAGTTCACTTTGATCTTGAATCTTTCGCCTGAGTTCTGATATGATAAATTCGTGTTTTGTAGCCTCCTTGATAGCCTCTGGCTTTTGCAATTCACCATGGTCTTTATAGAATTGGAAGCCTCTTTCCAAAAACTCGTACTTGTTCTTGAAGTCTTCAAGTTTTTCCGTCATACTTAGTAACTCGCGATCCTTTTCTCGGATAATGCCATCTTTGAAGTTGAGTTCTTCTTTTAAAGTCGCGACCTGCGCTTCTAGAGTCCTGCTCCCCACCTTGCGCATTGGGCTACCAGAGGGCGACCCGTTACTTTGTCGCAGTTCTGCTAGCACTTCGTTCTTTGAAGAAATATCATGTTCTTTTTCAGAATTCCACTTCTGTAATTCGCTGATTGTTCTTTTCAAAGCGAGAACTTCCTCTCGCAATGCCTCGGAATCTACTGGCGTTTTCTCATTGTCATAAAAGCTTGTTGTTTGGTGCTCGTTTCGCAAAAAGGTCAACGATCCATTTCCCGTAAACCTCTGAACCGCGTTTCTGAAACTCGTCCCGATGAGACCATTGAAAAGCTCGCAAAAGTCTTCTTTGTATACCTTAAAGAACTCCTGGTCACTGCTGAACTTCTTGAGGATCTCTTCGCCAGTTTTAGAAACCAAAGTAGCTCTCTCACTCCCTGATCTTCCCTTATTGAGTATTTCTTCCATTTTCGACACTACCAGGGAGAAATCTCTCCCATAAACGTAGCCTGTCCCTTTAACGTCAATGGCTTGCCATACCACATCCAACAAAAGCGCGGAAGTCTTATCAATGTCGGTCATTTTCTTCTCAGCGGTTGTTTTATGAATTTTATCGTGTGGCGCGTAAGAAGGGAAGTATTTTAATAACTCTACTATACAGACGAAAAGCACGAGAACAGAGCGACAACAAAAAAGACATCAAACAAAGCAAAGCAGGAAGCGCAACTCGGGTGGTCATCTAACAATGGATTTCTGAATCCTCCGCATACGAGCCAAGCGTTGGCTACGACTGAACTATCGTCATGCTGAGCCTGCTCTCTCTCGCTTTCCTAGAATTTGTCGCAAACATCGTAGGCGTCTCTGCAATAAGTTTTAGCAAGTAACATCTTATACTGATGTGCTAGGCCGGCCAAATTGTTTTGCTTGGAGAAACAAAGCTTGGTTGGCATACTTCGCTATATATTTAGAACCACCCAAAACTAGACAAGACAACCTTCTTGTGCTCTTAATACATCACTCTCTTACAGTTCACCAATTCAGCCTGGCCAGAAAACAGTATATCTGAACATTACTGTTTCGATGTAGTGTCAAGCAGATCAGATAATAAACTTACACCCCAGGCGGCTGTGCTTGTTCTCAGATTGCAAACCATCTATTCAATGGTATGTCTGTCCTTGTTTTAGTTGAGTACAACGGCGTGGTGGCGCGCTAGCTACTGGACTCACCGAAGAAGAAGCAGCAGTTTGTTCGATTCTAAAAACCATGTAACTAGCTCTGCTATAAAGGATGCTTTGGCTAGAAAATGGAGTGGTACCCCTATGAGAACCATGGTTTTTCAATTTCTCCTTTTCGTTGAACAAAGATCATACAGAAGAGAGCCAGGCAAGTGTCGGGAATATGCGGTGCAGCAAGACTCCTACAAGATAGGATTTAAATGCCTGCACCACCTGTCAGATCCTTCATTTTCTACTCTTAACTATGGTGCTCGCATCTTGAACATCATCACGATGCAATGAAAAATAATTGATGAACTTACAGTTGTTGTAAAATGGGAATAACTTAACAATAAAAGCATTACTAGCACGTCGGAAGCGTTTATAGGGAGCCTCGACTTTAAATAACGCAATTGAAGACACTGGTGCATATCCTATCGCCAGCTAGAGACCTTTCAACTGAGCTACAAGTGATAAACTGGGAAATTCAACAGAGGCAATGCAGGATCCAAACACCAACCGCGGCCAAAATTCCATACTCAACGAAGACGAGATCGAAAATATCATCAACCCAGGTAATGCAGCCGGAGGTAGTGGCCAGAAAAGTTCACACCCCGTGGTTGAAGATATCGTTAATCCCTCATGGGACCCTACGATATCGATGTCACCGGGCCATTTGGAACAGCAAAACCATGATGTACCTGCACCTGGTCCGTTCTCGCCATTCACAGCCCACGCCTTATTAGCTGGGCCACAGGAGGAACATCCAGGAGATCTTACGAGACGAGAGCCCCCCGTAGGTTTTTACCAAGCTCCAACAAGTCCCGAAACGCTATCTACTCCCAACAACGAGTCTTTGCTGTCAGATTCCATCCTCATGCCTTATAGAAATCGGCTTTTGAAGCCTAGCACCAACCCCCAGTCCTCGTTGCACCCCAAGCAAATACCTAGACGCAAACTCACGAGCGCCAAGACCAGACCGGCTTTTGTCAACAAACTATGGTCTATGGTGAATGATACAACTAATCAGAAATTGATACACTGGTCGCCTGATGGTAAATCGTTTGTCATCACCAATCGCGAACGATTTGTGCATGAGATTTTGCCTAAATATTTTAAGCATTCGAACTTCGCATCATTTGTTCGGCAGCTAAACATGTATGGATGGCATAAAGTACAAGATGTACGATCGGGATCAATACAAGGGAATTCTGACGAAAGGTGGCAATTTGAGAATGAAAATTTCGTCCGGGATAACGAAGAGTTACTCGAGAACATTATAAGACAGAAGCCAAGCACTACTAGCACAAAAGAAATCTTAGTGGGTCAAAATGGGGAAGAAATGGATATTGGAATACTCTTGAATGAATTAGATACTGTGAAATTCAATCAAATGGCCATTGCAGAGGACTTGAAGCGTATATCAAAAGATAACGAGTCCTTATGGAAAGAAAACATGATGGCTCGCGAGAGACACCAGGCGCAACAACAGGCTTTGACTAAGATTTTACATCTGCTCGCTTCGATTATGGGTTCTAACACTCAGAAACTATTAGGCAATGACTTGGCCAACGAACTAGCTCAGACAAATGCAAGCTTAAACGATTTGCCGAATGCGGGACGTGGATATTGGGATTTTGGCAATATGAACGCTGCCGCGCGGCCCCGCTTACTGCTTAAGAACAGTTCAGGCGATTTGACGAGTGATGCAAGCCGCGTACGAGAGAGCGGTTCCAACAATGACTACAACATTGATTCTCCAATTCAAGAAATCGACCGTCAGTCTATAGAGAATCCGCAAAGTGTTCCTTCGACCACTCTGGGCGGCAACGATACTCGTGATGGCAGTAGTAGCGGAAACGGGAATGGCTATGCCGGTCATAACCGCGTATCAGAAGTTCCGTTCGATTCCAATTCACCTGTCGATAATTCGTTTTTTAACGACTTGCATTCCAACATTAGGAAACAAGGCGAGTCGATTCAAGAATTGCAGGATTGGATTACAAAAATATCGCCATCTCAAGATGATGTAGGAAGCCTCACACCCTCAGTACCCGACGCGCCGTCTCAAGCGCAACCTAAAGTTATTTCTCAAGAGTCGCCAGCAAATTTCGATCTCCAAGACTACCTGGCAACGGCAGATCCTTCAGGATTTGCGCCACTAATACAAGAAATACCTCCTAATCGTAAGGGAAAGCGACAAACGGAAAGTGACGTTGAGGAGATCAATCCGCTTGCTGCAAAGAAACAGAAAAACTGAAGTACTAACGCAAAACAAGTCAATAAGGACAGAGCATGAAAAATATGGCAATTTTTGATAAACTACGGGTTCGGTGACCGAAAGATAATAGGTCATATACGCCAGGGGCCTCCAAACATTGTTCAAAAGAGTTCGACTATAAAGACAGTCTCATGACTATCACATGTTTTACCCCGGACTTTTTTTATAATGTGTCTCATCGATCAATTAAAAAAACATGAGGCTTGTTGTGATGTATCACTATGAAAACACACGAAGTTACAAACCCCCAAAAAACTTAGGAATACTTGCGAGCGATACTACCACATCTTGGACAGTAAGTGCTTTCCAAGCTTGAAGAATAATAAATAGTCCCAAAGAAACGGGCTGTGTTTTCACGACAGGAAAACAGACGCCTCTGTAGAGAATTAGAGTGAAATAATCCTTTTTGTTGTGATGGGTATCCCTGTTCAGCTATATCATGAACATTCCGTCGGGATTTGCGATGCCGTAGCAAACAAGAATGGCCAGGTAGGAACTACAAGACCGACTACCGCCCTGACCAGAAGGCTAAGCGCGCGCAGCTTGAGTTTAGGCCGGGATTGGCGTCTGCAAAGAGTCCAATTAAGTCAAAACACAAATCTTCTCAGTTCAAGTAGCAACAAGCGTTCTGACGGTGCCTTTTGGTGTTTTTGGCGTGAAAATGGCACCGGGGTAGGGATTGTTGACGACAGCGGATCCATCGTGAACACGGGTGACTTGCGAACAACTTTAGCCACGAATTTCTTGTCCATGGATGCTGTCGATAGTTCGTCTGTGGTATTTGGATCGCAACAAGGACACCATGGACTCTTTAACTTGCAGACGGGATCGGTACGGTACAACCCGGCGGTGTTGACGCAACCGGTGTCGCACATGTGGCATCGTGGCACTGGCCGTTCTTCTCAAATGATCGCGTTCTCAAAGGCCGATGCCAGCATTTCCGTCACTGATCTCCGCAACTGGACCACTTGTATGGTGAGTCTGAGAATTTCGTCACAATATCACGCTTTGGATGCAGACTTGAATCCGGACGCTACACTAGTTGCCATGCATAACGGCAAATCAGCGTATCTATGGGACCTGACCTGGCCTAACAAACCTGATGGTATACCTGGTCTATTTCTCGAAGATGACGAACAGATCGTTACATTGAAGTTCGCAACCACCAGTGACTCGCTGCTCATAGCAACCACGCATAGGCTCTTAATTTATGAACCGGGCTCTCGTGCAGCTCTAATCTGCCACGTACGGAAGGAAGCGTTTTACGACTTTTTCGATCACGACACCAAAATCGTGGTCGAACAACAGCACCTGTATGGAACCCACATCGCATGCTTCGCGGTCGATGAGCTCACATCTAGATGGGCTCCTGTAGGATATGCCGATGTGAGGGCTCAGTTTGGGATTCATAAAGTCTACAAGTTCTACGCTCTACGTTCTCGCCTTCATCTGGTAGCTGATTCTGGCAACTACTGCCAACTTGCTACTGCTGATGTACCTCAGGCTGTCTAAAAGCGCTTCCTTTTCTCATCAGTGCTGGACAGCCTGACAGCCTGATTCTCAGCAGCTTCTGCAGATGAGAAGGAAGTCATTTGTTGCTCGCAAAGTGTTGGTAAATGAATATGTTAAACGGAACATCAATAGAAAAACCTCTTTCGGATGATTCGTAAATCAAACCGATACTGTCCTCCTGGTACCACTACCAGTGGCAGTTGCTTAAAAAATTTGCTCTTAATGATGGAGCTCGTGAGATTCGAACGGGCTGTGATGTTTTTCAAATTCGATGCCGTTAGGTATTATTCTTGAAAAATGGGTGCAAAAAAGCCACTGCTTAAATGTGATGAACTAGAATGAAAAGCGGTTGAGCATCTGATGAATAAAACACACTGAGAATCGAGTTGGATACGTGATAATTTGGGCATTTAGATCACATCAGGATCTGCAGGCTCTGGCGAATTTCAGAAAGCGAAAGAAGCGACGGCCGCGTGTCCAAATTACCTTTGCAGACTGAACATGGATCTGTCACCGCTGGATAGGTTTCCGGGCGAGCTGCTCACGACATCGCCGTCCTTAGAGTCTATCTTGGCAGATGAATCCCCGCTGTCGACAGTTGAGACGTTGGCGACGGTAACGACTAACCATACCGGCAGCAGCGGCCCTGATTTTGGCAATGCGGGCAGCACTGGAACGCCGGGCTGGAGCGATACCGCCAGCCTCAACAATCTGCTGAGCGACAACGCACTGGAGTCCATAAAGCGACAGCGGGCACAGAATAAACTGATTCACCTGGACCCGATCCCCGAGTTCCAGGATCGCAACGAAATCAAGCCCTGGCTCCAGAAGATCTTCTATCCGCAGGGCATCGAAATTGTAATAGAGCGGTCTGACAGCATTAAGGTAGTGTTTAAATGCAAAGCATCGAAGCGAGGCCGTACGTCACGGAAAAATGCGAGCGCCGAAGTCGTGGCTGAGGAGAATCCCGAGAGTCCGCGGGCGGCCAAGAGGATACTGCATCAGTCTAGCAAGAAGAAGAGATGTGTGTCACCATATAACACTTGCCCTTTTAGGGTAAGGGCCACATATTCGTTGAAACGTAAGAAATGGAATATTGTCGTGATGAACAACGGCCACTCTCATCCTCTTAAGTTCAATGCAGAAAGTGATGATTACAAAAACTTCAAGAAACTACTGCGGGAACAGCAGGACTGGGACGCGGTACGAAAATTTGATGAGCTGGAATGTCGCACGCGGTTCAACCTGCCCATTGAACCTCAGCCGATACCGTGCGATTGCGGGCTGACGCAGGAGATCAAAAGTTTCGACATAGTGTTACCGACGTCCGATAGTTTGGCGAAGCTTCAGGACAAAACTGTGACTAAACCACAACATAAGTCCAAAGCGAGCCGTACACAAAAAAACATTGCACATGCCTTGAGTCGAAACACTGTGCCGCATGGTTGGGATACTGTTGACGGTCAGCAGAACGAACAACCGCAGAATTCTCAGGATCACAGCGAGTTTCAATTGTTGCTTCCCGCGCAACATCAAGTATCACCGCTTCAAACGCTTGGCTTGCCGATACCCAACTGGGATCCCGCTGCTCTTATAGATCACTCTGAAGAGATTGACTTTACAAATTTGTTCCTCAGACCCTTGCCACGAGTCAAACAAGAATCAGTGTATGAAAAGTTACCAGTGTCGTCGGCGTTGACCTCTAACCCGACGCAAGTTTGGGCTCCACACAAAAGCTTTATGGACGAACTTCAGTTTCCTCCCATACAGCCAATCTGTGAACTAAATCATACCGACCACTGTAATTGCATCTTTTCGCCTTCAACGCAAACGCCTATGGAGCCTGACATGAGTGAAAGTAAGTCACAAATGTACGAACAGCATATCCAGGATCAAGTTCAAGGACAGGGCCCCGAAATCCCCAAAGACTCTCCAATTGACGGGTACTTAAACGACGACCTGAGAAACTCGCACGCAGCTCACAATATTCACAATTCAAGTCCCGAACAGAGCACAACATGGGATATACCATCCAGCAACCATCCTCATGAATATAGTAATGAATTCTAATATAGTTTTAATATTTTACACTTTTCCGTTTTGTTTGCACAGAGTACTTAATGCACACGAAGTTTTCGTGAGCTTGACGCGAAACAATACATTGATCTCGCAGTAGCTGAACAGACTCTTGGTCTCATTAAAGGTCCCCCAGAAACTAGTATCACATCTATCTCGCTTTATATCGCGTGTTCGCCAATTCCATACCTAGTTGAATGCCGTACGCTTGTTCTTCTGGTCACTTGTGAAGATGAAAGAGCATCCTAAACATACGAAAAACAGCACCATAGAGGTATCGCTACGCCGCTGTTGCGATTGAAAGAAAACATTTTCGTGCGAGTGACAGCGCGGACACTCTCGATCTGAACGCGGAAGCGTGGGATCGGACCCAATATCCTGTACCACACCGGCCGTCTCACCAATATTCGTGATCAGTTCGTGTCTATAGACCATTGGAGTTCCCGCCTCTTCTGCGTACGCACAAGTACGACACTCGAACAAAAGTCGTTGGTTCTCTTTATCTTCCCTTGGGTACAGCATATTGTTACAATCTCTGCAAAATCTAAAGGTGGTCATCGTGAGTCAAATGCCAGAAAGACGAAGTATCACAGAGTGGTCAAAGGAAGGTTCTCGAGTACTTGAGCGGACTTCGAGAATGATTGAACGCAGCGCTTACAAGTTCATTGGAAAATCCAAATCTGAATTTACCACCATTGAAAGAAGCACTAACCACGGCTGCGTATGTAGTGTTATGCTCGTTATAGGTGATATATACTTCTAGAGCTCACGTGACAGAGTGTCAGTAACATATAAAGAGCTTTGTACTGATATCAGTGCTTTCCAGAGCGCTAGCACTTTAAATCGAGCTTCAATACGCACCTTTAGCATTCTTGGACCTATGATGAGCAAGAAAAAGTTTTTTCGAGAGGCGCTGGGGCTAGCTTGAAGGGCATTGAAGGGAGCAAAGCTGTACTTCGAGGTTATGGAGTTTGAATCTGGGTATAAATGCTATCATACTACGCAAGAACTAAAAGTTTCAGCTCTATTTGTAAATATGTAGCCGTTGAGTTAATGTCCTGGGAGACGTGAAACCTTCTTTCTCTTAGCAAAACAGCTCGGTATTTCGCTCAAATAGATAAAAATGTAGTGGCAGTCAGCTGGTGAGCAGATATCTCGACACCGATGTAGCAGACGAAATGTGATTGCAATATTTTGATTTAACTAGCGGACGCAACTGCGACCATTGCAACAAAATACGTTCGACAAGGTGTTATTCCGTCATTTCTGTTCTGTCTTGCAAGCTCAATACGGCCCGAAAAGTAAAATTGCGTAGCTTCCTCACGCTTTCACGCAGGACCTATGCCAATGTGTTCAGTCATAACTATGGGTGCCATTTAGTCATCTATTCATCCACTTGTCTACTCGGATTGCCACACTGCGCGTTTAAAATGACTTCCAATTATTCAATCACTCAAAACGAATGTGCCATTTGCTAAAAATTTTCCCGACCAATGAAAAAAACTTGTGGAAGTGTATCGTCCGTCGTTGATCGTAGTGGATATTTAGGCTCCGAATCCAAGTTTCTGAGTCCATTCATCGCTTTTACTTTAGTGGCGATCCCAGGTTTCACTCAGTATCAGTAAAAACCCCTGACAAATTGCACATAAAATGCTGGTACGTGGAACTAGAAGAAGTATCGTAAGATTAGCTCAATCGCCAATTGCGAGAGCTACATGCGTGCGTTTGAATAGCACTACTCCAGCTACTCCAGTGGATTCCAAAATTGCCAAAATCGTGCAGGACATTTCTCAATTGACGCTTTTGGAAACTAGCTCTTTGATCGGTGAGCTTAAGACCCAGCTAAATATTCCAGACATCGCTTTGCCCGTCGCAGGAGCAGCTCCAGCCGGTGGAGCGGCCCCAGCTGCTGCCGAGGAGGCCAAGGAAGAAGAGGTCAAGGAGGAAAAAACCATATTTTCTATTAAACTTGAGTCATTCGACCCTAAATCTAAGCCAAAGGTTATCAAGGAGGTTAAAAACCTACTGGGATTGTCGTTGGTGGAGGCTAAAAAATTCGTGGAGGCTGCCCCTAAAATCCTTAAGGACAATGTGGCAAAAGAAGATGCCGACAAGATTAAGTCTGCTTTGGAGGCATTCGGCGCCAAGGTCATTTTGGAATAAACAGGTATGACAGTATATCCAGCAAAATCACTTCAATCTCTCCACGCATTCCTACCGTCCATGTCACTGCGTTTCATCTCATGTACATACAATTTACGCACAATTCACTTAAATTTCGTGACTTAAAATAAGAAATATTAGACTTTAGAGTTTTCCTAGTGTGAAGCTGGCGGGAAGCTTCAATTTCGCGGGCATTTTCTTTAAAAATCAACAAAATATTGCACGTAGGGATCTTCACCTTGGCTCCCGTAATCCAAATGTTCTTCAGGATACTGATCAAATAGAGAAGAATCACCTACACCAGCCGTAATTGGTGGCTCGTAAGGGGTTTCGATATCTTTCGCCAAAAGTTTCTCCCATATGACTTCGCTGAACCAAGGATGGGATTTAACGTCTTGTGGACCACTCTGTAAATTACCCAATCTACGTGTCAAATCAGATGTGATTAGTTTCACCAATAGGTCGACTACATCAGGGTGGAAGAACGGAGGATACGTAACTTTCCCGTGTAGAATCTTTTCATATGTTTTCATTGGTGTTGTATCGTAAAATGGTGTGTAGCCCGCTAACATTTCAAAAATTAAAATTCCAAGGGACCACCAGTCGACGGACTTATTGTACGGTTTGGTGGCAATGACCTCTGGAGCAATGTAATCCGGAGTTCCGCATAAGGTCCATGTCACAGTATCCACTTCTTTAGCAAAGCCAAAGTCTGTGATCTTGATGTGCCCATTCCGATCCAACAGAATATTTTCAGGCTTCAGGTCGCGGTATATAATGTCGTGCGCATGTAGATATTCCAAGGCTAGAATAACTTCTGCAGCGTAGAATTTAGCCACAGGGTTGGGAAACCGCTGCGACTTTCTCAGCAGTGAAAACAGTTCACCACCTTCAATATAGTCCATAACCATGAACAAATTGCGCGAATCCTGAAAGGTGCCCCACATCCGGATCAAAAAGGGATGATCTACGAGCTTCAGCATGCGGCGCTCATCGTTAGTGTGTTCAATCTGCTTCATCCTTATCACCTGCTGTTTCTTCAGCACTTTAATGGCGTAATACCGCCCGTTATGCACTGAGCGCACCAGATGCACTCTCCCAAAAGACCCAGTTCCCAGTGTTCTAAGGATTTGAAAGTCGTGAAGCGTGTACTTGCCTTTTGAGACCGCGGACCTTTGCGGTAAAAGCGATCTTTGCCGTTCTCCTAGCCCCGGCCTTGGTTCTTGTGCCACCATATGGCTGGGATTATTATATTCCATGGCACTATTATGTGCGAACAAGGATGCTAAAAGGTGATCCTGACCAACTTAGTTCTGCAATTGATTGAAGTTGCTTCTTCAAAACCTTCAGTGGTGCTTAGACCACTCTTTGAACTGCGTATCTTGGTTTATCTTCTGTTGAAAAGGGTATGCGAGAAATTGGCATAATCATAAACTTGATGGTCATATTGACCCCTAAGGATTATCACTGTTTACGTGTGTGTCGCAAATCAAGAACATGGACACCTCTGAAGAAGTTAAGCGATTAGGTGTTCGCTGGCGGAAGGCTTACTGTAGCAATTTATGATTCTTCTCTATTCTCTTATTCTTTACCGTTATCCATTTGTAGACTAGACTAGAGTATAAAATGATGCCAAATGCAAATTGTTGGGATAAGCAAGACGGAAAACGTGTTTGATACGAAACAAACCTGGTTTGCGTTGTATCGTACTGCAGATTTTGAACCCGAATTTGCCCTTATTAGTGTAGACTAACTGGCCTCCCGTTGGACCAGTTCACCTTTGTATGACCTAAAGCCATATGTCGCCACCAGAAGGTCTGGAATTTGCAGGTGGGTACTGCGTAGTGTTTGGTGCCGGTTTGCGCGCTTGAGGTTGCTGAGCGGCACCATTGTTAAGTAAATCCACTGAGCGCGTTAGATCATCGTAATTGGATTCTTTCTGACGTTGAAGGAGAGGTTCAGCTACGGGAACTTGCCTATTGTATTCTTGCTGTTGGTGCTGTTGGTGCTGTTGTTGCTGCTGTGGATGTGGCTGCGGTTGCGGCGAGGCTTCCGGAGCCTGTGCTACGTTCTGTTTGAGATTGTCCATGTCTTTGTCAATTGCACTTAATAGATCTTGAGGGATGGACGAAGCCGCCTGGTTGTTTTGGACTGTTTGTTGTTTGATTTCGTCGGGCGAAGGATGGTGCTTATCTTCGGATTTACAGTAATGAAAATGTGTGGAGAACTTTTTCATGGCCAACTGTTTGACCCGATTGAAGGAATCCTGTTTGGACTCTTCGTCTTTAGGTTCTTCAGGTGCAGGTAACTCACCTAGGGCCCGTTGTTTTTCGATCATGGCTTTGGTGTATCTTAGCATTGTCCAATCAAATAAGTGGTCGTTGTGATAGTCCAGCTTGATGCTAAGATCTTTGAACAAACGTGCCAAATACAGATAGTCCGGTCTTTCATCAAATCTCAAATTGCGACAGTACCGCATGTACTCAACAAATTCCACAGGCAAACCAGCGCATAGTTGTTCAACGCTGATGCACAATTTTTTCTCCATGATGCGATCATACTTTTGACGCTTCGTGGTAGCTTTGAGACCTTGCCAGGGCAGAGAACCCTTGCAAAAATAGATCAAAACGTAACCCAAACTTTCGAGGTCGTCTCTGCGCGATTGCTCAATACCCAAATGGGTGTTGACAGACGCGTATCGTGCAGTACCCGTCAAGTTTTTGTTTTCACGGTACGGAATATGATGATGAGTGGAAAAATCCCGGTACTTCTTGGACAGTCCGAAATCAATCACATGGACTGTAGAACCACGTCTACCAACACCCATTAGAAAATTGTCGGGCTTGATGTCGCGATGAATGAAGGACCTGCCATGGATGTATTGGATTCGGCAGATCATTTGCAATGCAAGCATCATCACTGTCTTGAATGAAAACTTGCGGTGGCAGTAGTTGAACAGGTCTTCCAGCGATGGGCCTAGTAGGTCGATTACCATGGCGTTGTATTCTCCCTCGCGGCCAAACCACCGTATAAACGGGATACCAATTCCACCGCTGAGATATTTGTACACACGCGACTCATAATCCAGCTGCGGATGCCGAGAGCGAATTGATTCCAGCTTGATGGCCACCTCTTCGCCGCTGATCAGGTTTGTCCCATGGTAGATATCACCAAACGACCCGCTGCCAATTTTTCTGCCGATTCGGTATTTTCTACCAACTCTGAGGTCCATCGGTTAAACTCTTGTAAAAAGAACACAGAAATGTAGATAGATGCTAAAACTCGCTCCACAAATATAATAATAGCCACTCAACGATGGCTAAAACCGCTCGAGAAGCTTTCAAAATTGCTTCAAACTCACCGCTAAGCGCCTTGCTTGCAATTCCAGCAATATAACCGGTATTTGTACCGACTTCAACCGCTATGTATCAAAGATGTTGAACCTCTTGTAGATTGGTAATAGGAACACCACTAACTCCTTAAAAATTTTCTTGCTTGTGGCAGGTGAGCTATGACGTATGGAGTGATGTATATACTCGTTAAGCCTTTGTGATATTAGGCATCAAGACGTGAGCTTGGAGACAGGTCCGCGTTTCTCTGAAGTACTTTTAGGAACTGATTGAAGATTCGCAAACTGGTTCTATGCCACTTTTTTTTGGCAGTTTTCGGCTGCGATTGAATGTGAAATTTCGAAATTTTGGAAAAGTCGAAGAACTTATTGAATCTTGATATTGAGTGTGGTCATATAGAGCCGTGAGACAATAATGGGATACCAACAAGGCAATAACTGCGAGTCGGAAGCTCCGATGGCTCTTAAAAGGTTCTCGGTGGATAATAGAGTGAAAATTGAAAGGCACATCAACTCCCTTTAGGCTGAAGCCCTAGTGAAGTTGACAAAAAAATTAAATTCTCAGTGCCCATGGACTTGATGAACTTTCATGCACAACTTCAAATAGTTGCACTGCTTTGTTGAGACGGGAGAAACACCCGAAATTCATCCTTGCATCGCTCCCGTCGGCGCTGCGTAGCAACTGAAAGGTATTAGAATCCTTAGGTTCTTAGGCCTTACAGAATGCATCTGATTTTCTCTGCCTTAAGATTTCATAGCATTTACGCGAGAAAGACACGTTGGGCGTAAAATGGGCCGAATCTCTGGAAAATGCTGACTGGGAAGGAGCTCAGCACCTTGATCACTAACGCAATGCGTATATTGTCTTATTTCACTATTCGGCGTGGATTTTTCCGCGACCAAGAGCGTAGTATAATCATGCAAGGAACAGCTTTGAAAAACTCTAACTTTCACCCAACATGGAGTATCCTGTCCTTGGTACATCAGCTTTTCTCGAAATGCTGTTCTCCGCGACCTCCGCGACCTCAGTGTGATTTGCAATCAATAGTAATCAAATTCCTGAGAGTTGAGGTGACCTCTTTCGACCTAAATTCACCTTGACCACTTGTTGTCAATTACAGGAGGCCTTCTGTCCGAAATAAAGCTTCGTGTTGAGATTTTAAGTGCCCAATCGAAGCTCGATAAGCTGCTGTAGTCGGCTACCTCTTTTTAAGCCTCATAAAATGTTACTTTAAATGAAATGCAAAACATCGACCCTCCACTGTGTCATAATTTGGCAACTTCAAAAGCTGATTGACCATTCATTTTGGATCACTAAGGAATTCAGAAATTACTAAACAAACAAACATCCGCAAAATGTTCTTTCCTGCTCTTTTTGCTAATTGCTAGGCTAGCTAGCTTTAAAGATTTTGAATACTTAATTTCCAATTTAATTTCATTAAGTTAGTTATAAAGCAGAAGAAGAACAGGTCATAAAGTCAACCGTCCATATGAGTACTCTGGCTACCCGTCCTATAACGCACTCGCTGCACTATAGCCAAGAAGTTTTGAATAGAGTTTCTTTTCTAAGAAAAGATCCGCAATTTATAGATGAAGCTTTATCACATTCGGAAACCCAATTCATTCCGTTTGAGAATTATCTTCCATTTGTGAATGAGCGAGATGGACTCCTATTGAGACTACGAAAGGTGGAGGTGAGCAGTTTCTTGGATGGAGAAACCTCTTCTCAAAATTTTGTATTCTTAGGACTTCTATTCTCTGGCCAATCTAACTTCGTTTACAGATCCAGATATAGAGGAACGCCCACCTTTGCCTTAGATATATCCAATGGAGGATTAAGCCAATGTAATCTTTTGGAAACTTCGAAACCAGTGCGAAAGGTGGAAAATTTCAAGGATCTCAACCGACTCACACTCGAAGATTCGAGCATAGTTTCGCAAGCTAGAATGTATCTGCAATGGCTAGACACTCACAAGTTTTGCTCGATATGTGGTTCGAAGACCACACATGTGTATGCTGGTACGCAACTGAAATGTTCAAACGGCGACTGTGCTTCGAATAAGGGCGTCTCTAATGTGTGCTTTCCTAGAACTGATCCGGTGGTGATAAGTGCCATTACCAACCGTGACAACTCCAAAGTGCTTCTGTGCAGATCTGGCGCTCCAAGAAATAAAGATCGAAAATTGTACAGCTGTGTAAGTGGATTTGTGGACCCGAGCGAAACACTGGAGGTAGCCGTCGCTCGAGAAATTTGGGAGGAAACAGGTCTTCACACCGACAAAGTTGAGATCTTGGTTAGCCAGCCATGGCCTTTCCCCAACAATCTTATGATAGGATGTATCGCAATCGCAGACGATACTCAAGTCCCCGACCTAACCCACGATTGTGAGTTGGATGAAGTAAGATGGGTTCCATGTTCTGTGCTTGAAAAAATCCTGAAGCAGGACGATAGCGACTCGGGCTTTATTCAAGATGAACTCACAGGGCTCAACTTACCTAACAACAGATCTGTTGCACATATGCTAATGGACTTCATTGTCAAGACTAGCAAGAAGAACACAGTGGAGAAGTAGAATGTGTATTAAAAAATTGTGCAAGATAGAGTTTTTAAACAACTCGATAACTTAAGAAGCTGGATGAAAGTGTCTCATGGAGCCCAAAGCGCTAGTCAATTCCCTACTTGACCAAACTGTTGCCTCGCCTCAAAGATCACGTACATATCACGTGGTAGTTTTAAAATGTTGAAGCTTGCGTCCTTTCCCGAGAAAGAGACAAATTAACTTGGTTCTCGAAGCGCATTCACACTTTCGATAATAATCTGTTTGTGCAGCAAGTCAAAGCGTCAACGCCTTTAATTGAGCAATGTCGAATGCCAGGATTGTTGGTCACAGAGCCTATAGGGGACACTATCCCGAGAATACATTTGTTGCGTTTGAGAAAGCTTTAGAAGCAGGTGTGGATGTCATTGAAACTGACCTACAAATGTCTAAGGATGGTATTGTAGTGGTCAACCATGACCAAACCACACTACGGTGCTGGAACAAAGACTACACTATCAGTGAGACTGAATGGAGCGACTTGAAGACACTGCGTTGCAATGACGAGCGGTTTGCGGATTTAAGGATGCCTACTCTGATTGAGATTCTAAAGTGGGTCGTGGATAACCCCAACGTGAAACTGATGCTGGACATCAAATTCACCAATAACATGGAAATCTTGCTCAAAACGGTAGCTGACATGCTGAGTGTACGGGAAGACCTTCCATTTTGGCGCGACCACATAATTTGGGGTCTATGGGCCTTGGACTGGTTCCAATACGGGATGGAAACGGGTGTTATAAAAGATTTCGAAGTTGTGTGCATCTCGCTGTCATTGGAAATGGCCAAAAAATTCGTCGAATTTTCGGCGAAACTGAACAACCCTCATTTCAAACTCAGCGGCGTAAGTCTGCACTTCGTATCAACGTGGAGCTCAAGTTTCCAAACCAAATGGATACCTTATCTGCAAGAAAACAATGTTGAAATCTTCGTCTGGACCATAAATAAGGACATTGATTTCAAATACTGCAACGCCCTACCTATTTCTGGATTCGTAACGGATTTTCCAGTCGAAGCTCGTAACGCAATAACAAAATACGATCGTTCCAAGCTTGTCTTCAAGAGGCCCTTTCCTCTTTCAAAAGAAGGAGCAAGATTTTATTCCTATCTCCTACTTTATCGAGTTATAGTGGAGGTTTTGTTTTCCTCATGGTCTCAGTACAAGATTCTTGGAAACCTTTCATTTTCTTTGATTATGATCAAAATAATGAAAACCATTCATTTCCTGTGATTTTAATGGGCTTAACTTGGAACGTGGAACAATTGAGGAAGCGATGGTTCCGATCCCTTTGTGGGACGATTATATATTACATAGAGTATTCATGGTAAGATATGACGGTGAAAACTATACTGGTATCGCAAACAAAGTAATTTCAACAGCAGTTATTGAGTACTCAAACAATTGATCGCAGGGTGAGCAATATGGTGTCTGAGAACAAACATAAACCTGTTGTTTTGTTACTTTTGTATGTTATTTGCAAGAAGCTTGATTTAAAAATATAATTGACAGGCCTTCTACTCAAACTTTGAGCTCGACTGACTTAAACAAAAAATAAAGGACAAGTAAGTGCGCTTCGAGAAAAAAAGTCACTGAAACTGGGTACGCAACTTTTAGGTCACAACTACTTGTAATCTTTAGAAGTTGTGCGGCATCCTTACGACGAATATTGACTTTAATATTGATCGCTGACTCGATAAGTCTACTGCAGTAGCATGACCGATATACACTCTGAAATCAAGGGATTACGGAAGGATATTCAGAGAGATTTGGAACTCAGCTCAGCAAGCTCCACACCTAATTGGAAGGGATTGGTATCTACTGTCAAAAACGACCGCACAAGAAACCAGACGCTATCCTCACATAAAGAGCTATTCAACGACTCAGCTTCGATTCTGGAAAACCCATTGGGCCAGTCACTAGAATACCGTGTTTGTGAGAGCTGTGGCAAACCGGTCAGTCTTGGAGCCATCGTGGAGCACTTGCAGATCCATTGCAAGGGTTTGTCCGAAGAGCACAATCAAAAACCGTCAAACGTAAAGGTTGAGGAAAACGATCCTCTGGAAGACATGCCGTCTTCTGATGCCAAGAAGAAGGGCAATCCCGTGAATTCCAAAAGGTCAACACCATTTGAAACGGAGAATGGGAATCCTGAGAGTAGTCCTGCAGTGAAAAAGCAACGCAAAACTGCTGCCCCACCAGCATCATCAAAAGCCAAGAGACGTATCAAACAGAGAAACCCAACTGAAAAACATTTGATTGACTTTGACAAGCAATGCGGTGTTGAACTACCGGAAGGAGGCTACTGTGGCCGCTCTTTAACGTGCAAGTCTCATTCTGTAGGCACCAAGAGAGCTGTTGAAGGCAGATCTGAGCCTTTTGATACACTGTTGAGCCATTATCAAAAGAAAAACCAGCTCAAAACGGGCAATAACAATAAGCAAAAATCAAAGGTTAGTCAACAGTTACCTCAAACGCAGCAAAGCCAGAACAACCAAATCAATGAGAAATCTTCATCCGAAATAACTCCAGAAGAAGAGACAACTCAAGTTCTCAATGGTGTATCCAGATCTTTCCCACTTCCACTGGAAACTAGCGTATTGGGATCATCGAGAAGCAGAACCAAATATTTTAGGATGCGTGAAATGTTCTCATCTTCATTTTCAGTACGCCCTGGCTTCAGCAGTCCTGGATATGGTGCCATTCATTCTCGCGTTGGATGCATTGACCTTGACAGAACAACAGACTATACTTTCCGCATACGTACTCCGCAGTTGATAAATCAAACGAACCCAAATAACCTGAATCCACAACAACGACAAAAGCTGCAGCAGCAACGGATGCTCCAAGCTCAAATGCTGGCTCAACAACAACAACAACAACAGCAGCAACAGCCGCAACAACAACACCAACCGCAGCAACAGAACCATCAACAGGCACAACAACAACAACAACAACAACAACAACAACAACAACAACAACAACAACAACAACAACAACAACAACAACAACAACAACAACAACAACAACAACAACAACAACAACAACAACAACAACAACAACAACAACAACATCAACAGCAGCAACAACAACATCAACGCCAACAATTACAACAACCGCACCAACCACAACAACAACATATTTTACAGCAACAGCCCCAGCACTCACAACAGAAATTCCTATCCACCAATCAACAAAGACAGCAAAATCCATCGCCCGCCTTTCTACAGCAGCAGCAGCAGCGACAGAACGGACTAGGCCAACAAAATAGTTACACATCTTTATCACAAGGTGAATTGGAAATAGGCTTAACTCCACAGGGAATTCAAAAACAACAGCAAAGGCTCCGACAGCAGCAAGTTCAACAACAACGTTTTGAAGCTGCTGCATTTCATTTGGCTACTGCTACCAAACTAATGCAAAATGGACCCAAGAACCAAAACACAAATTCCAACTCAAATAATGGTGCAGTATCCGCGGTAGGCTCGCCGGTCAATATGATGAATAACAGTCGAAGTAATAGCAACTCAATGAATTTAACACCTGGAGATCAACGCTAAATATGCAAGCTATGTTGGATGATTTAAACACTATGTAACAATAAAGGTTTCAATTGAAGCTAGTTTATCGAGAAAACCAAAATATCCGGCCAGCTACTCTAAGGAAACAGAAGGAAGGCCATGAAGAGGTGATGAAATCTTATTCAAAAAGCAAACGAAAATGAAGCGACAAAAAGGCCAAACGGCCATGCCCTGGCTCCTGAAAATAAAAGGACGGGCAGAAGTAGGGCAAGAAAGAAGGCAAAACGAGCTATGTAGTGCAAAAAGGAGTTTTTATTGTCGCTCCACGAGAGCTCACCAATATTCTTTTCAAACTGTACTGTCATAGCATCTCTCGAGAACAGGTTTCGAACCCGTGCCGGTCCATTTTCATGAAAGATTGTACGATTGCCGCTCAGATATGGTACAGCTTCTTCAATGGCGGCCGCCCAATGCTCAGGGTCAGATGGTCTCAACCAACCCGTTGCCTCGGACTCATTGAGCTTGGGAGTGAGTGTGACCACCGTTTCTAGGGGACCTCCATTATTGACTGCCAAAACAGGCCTACCAAGTTTCATAGCTTCCAAAGGAACAATTCCGAAATGTTCATGAGAGGGAGTGTAAAGTAGCATCTCCGATTTCTGGAGAAGTAAATCTTTCAAAGACGACGAAACGGATGTTAAAAATATGATTTTGGCGCCTGCAACGTTATCTGCTGAAGGACTAGAGGCATCCCAGTGTGGGTAGTGCAATGTTACAAAGGAAAGCTTGAGGTTATGGGCAGCGTCTTGAAGCTCCCTCAAATATTGCTTATTTTCTACTATCCTTTCATCGTAACCGCCAGCCAGGACCAGTTTGACATTTGAGCAAGAACTTTGAGATGAGAGCGCAAAAGACGTGATTGCTAGTTCGATATTCTTTTTTCTCTCGTAGCGGTTTATACTCAGATAAAATTTGGTATCATTGGACATAAGTGAATTGAAACGACTATGGTCCTCATTGGGCACGCGTTGGGTTTCCAGCCCTACGCAAGGATATACAACATTAGGCTCTTGGGCCATTAGTCGGAACGTTTTATGATAAACCGATCTTGTGAACTTTGAGTTTACCACAATACAATCCGCTGAGTTCATGGTTAGTTCCTCGAGAAGATCAAAAGGGATTCTGTATAGTTTCTTTAAAAGGCTTGTTCTCGGAGCAAGCAGTTGATCAGGAAAATGACAGTAAAAGAGAACCTTACTGCGTTTACCAAGCATGTGGAACAGTGGTACACATGTTGAGAGCTGGTCTACCACGTAAAGATCATTGCTCTTTATCCTTCCCGTCACTGCGAGTTTGCTAGTCAAGTACAGCTGACGTAGATTGGCGAAGAGAATAAATAACTTTCCATTGAAATTTGTTGGCAAAAAGTCGCCCAGTACTTCAACCTTCAGCTGTCCATTTTTGATTTCTTCGAAACAATGTGCCTTGTCGCAATGACTGGTATAAATGACGACCTCGTGTCCCTTTTCCTGTAAACCCATTGCAGCATCAACAACTAATCTCTCAGCGCCTCCAATACCTAAGTCGGGATGCACAAATGCAATCCTCAGCTTATCGCGCTCTGCCTTAGTACTCTGAGTGGATGATTTCATTCCAATGGCTACTTATGTGACTTTTTATCGTGTTGTATATCAACATCTAATTTAGGTGGTTTATTTTTCAATTGTATGTAAGGTTGTGAATAACTCGAATATCTTGACCTGTCATTTTTGGATGTAATGAAATGGCATAGGGTGCTTCACAGAACTCTTGTGAGTGGTGCTAAATGCTTCAATAAACCAGAGAAAGACGCTGGGTACTTGTCTCGCCGTTTGGCGCAGCTGAAAGAGGAGAACTGTGTGGATCAAGCGGATCCCTTGAGTAAGTTAATTAGAAATGAGCAATTGGATGTATTGCATGAGGAATTGAGAAAAAAGACTTTTGAACATCAGTATCGTAGAGAGATTGAGGTCTCGAAGTTTGGCGATCATTTAAGTAAGAATGCTCAAGAAACAGCCATGTCGAGACCATGGTTTGGCGATGAACATTTCACTGACACATCACTAAGAATGCTCATGGATGGATTAAAAGATAAAGGAACTAATAAAGTTATAGCGGTTGATAACATAGCCTTCAAGTCAAAAACCAATACTACAAAACATGCAAGGGGTCGAACGAGAGATCGATTAGAAGCTGCCCAGGACAACGTTATCAACTACAAGATCGACAGAGACAAAAAGAGTATCGATGAGAAAGAAGCTTCTGAGTTTCGAGCTCTGTACGCAGAGAAGTTTACACCCGTAGGCTCCCTTGAAAAACTCCGATCGCTCGCAGACTTTAGAATTGAAGAGAGCATGAAAAAAGGTGAATTCAAGTCTGCCCACAAGCTTCATGGCAGCAAATTGAGTACTTCTCAGCCGGCACCTTACGTCGAACGTACAGAGCATCATTTAAACGACATAATGGCGCGCCAAAAAGTAACTCCTCCTTGGATCGACAAACAGTCATCTGTAAATTGTGACATTCAGCGTCTCCGGGCCGCCTTCGCGGAGAGCTACCATCAAGAGTTGGTATCCGAAATGCATGCAAGGCACATGTTCAATATCACTACACGGGATAACACTGAAGCAAGGCTTGAATTAGCCGCCACTGGTCTAATGAAATCTGCATTTACAAAATGGAAGACCGGATATAGTAACGTTGCCAAAGCCAAGATCAATACTTTGAATAATTCCATGAGGTCTTACAACCTTCAGGCTCCACTATCTACGCAAAAACTGTATTTACTGGTGGACAGAGAATTTAAAAGGGTATTCGAGAGTACAGACGTCGTTAAAGTCTTTCAAGATGAGATGGCCTTGCGACAGCGAGCAAAAGAAGAATACGATGATGCAAAGAAAGCTTTACGTCACGGAAGTCTCAAGTGGATCAAGAGCTGGAGGTTGTGGTAAAATAGAAACGAATAAATTATGAATGTCTAATATACAAAGCTTTAAAATGAGTTGTGGTAGTTGAGCTACAAATGTAGTTTTTCCTAAGCAATTATAGGTGATACAGACGCCACACGCGCTGCTTCGCTTTCACTTTGCTTGGATTCATCTGTATTCTTTTTCTTCTTGTAAAATCTTGTATTTCCAGGGGCGAAGCCACCATTTCCGAAAAGTGCCCATTCCGGTGTCTTCGCAATATAATCCAAATGATTGAATGACTTGCCTGATTCCAACAATTCAAAAAACTTCTCAAAATCAATATGTGTACACCACTCGCCATCTATTTTGAATTTTGTATCGGCAATCAGGATGCAATTGGAGTGCGCATGTTCAGCGGCGACGTCGTAATTGAGTCCTCTTCTTTGCAGTTCTGCTGAAAGAGTTTTGACGAAGGTTGCACATTCCTCATAAAACGGTATATTCTGCATAGTTAGGGGGTTGCCGTTGCCATCTGAGGATCCGCAAAAAGTGGCACCCTTTACCTCAATAAAACAAGGCAGCCCTTTTTGAACAAGATCTGCGTATGCATTAACTTCGCCCATGTTGAAGCCCTTCACTAACGTCATTCTGAAGACTGTTCTTTGATGAGATTGCGAGGTTTTTAATATCTCAAGACATTCCATCATCCTCTCCCAAAAGTCTCGGTACAAAGGTCTATCAACTCTTTTCAGTTCGGTTTTCGTAGGGGCATCGATTGAAACATAAAGTTGTGTGACTTTACCCAAGTCCCTCAGCGGCTCTGGATGCTGAGCATTACAAACCAAAAAACTCGAGATTCTCTTCTGATGTAGAAGCCCCACAAACTTACTGATAAGCGGATACATGATTGGCTCACCAACCAAAGAAAGTGCGCAATGCCGCACTTCAAAAGCTTTGGCGAACCTTTCCGCTATCACACCTGGTACACCTCTCATCTGTTTTATTTTTGCATAATGGCCTTTGAGTGCGTTCTCTAAAATGTATTCTGGATCATCCATTTCCCATCTCCAAGTTTTGGATACAGGATTGGTACCATGTCGCCAACAGAATACACACTTAGAAGAGCAGGCTAGCGATGGAGTCAGCTCCATGCACCTACTTGACACAATGTTGAAAAGCGAATGTTTGTAACACGATCCTCTACCACGCAAATCGTTCTTCGTCCACCGACAGATCTTGACACCTGAGTGGGAACCGACAACAGTGTACCCTTGCTTGGTCAAGTTTTTATAGGTAGGACTATTCTTGGCTATCATTTGCTTGATTTCATTTACATCTTGTAGTTCTGATGATTTGCCTACGTCTTCTAAATCAATTAGTGATTCTTTGGTGAGCTCATCAGTAGGTTCCTCAGCTTCCTCCGTTTCGAGACTTTCGTCATACTCATATAAGATAGGCTCGTCATCCTGAAGTGTCTCAGCAAGAAGTTTCGCCCATTCCATAACTTTAGGATCACCACCAAATTTCATGCAAACTTCGCCTACTGGAAAGACCCTTCTACCGCCTTGCTTCGCCAACAACACATCTGCTTGTTTGGCTTGATAGCAAAATTTATCGGGCCAGGATTCAGAATCACCTACACCAAGAACCGCATAGCCCGTCAGCTTCCTCAACGCGTGCTTATCGATTCTGAAGTCATTATAGTTTTCGTCCATAGATTGCAAGAAAAAATCAAGCGGGGAGTCCGTGTCGTAAGAAGGCAAAACCATGATGTAGAGTGCGTTTGAATTTGGTACGTTCACGAAGTAGTCGTCAAAATCGCTAAGATCGTCCAGGTTCATAAGTTTTGGCGCAAGAGTAAGGTCTTTCAAAGACGACAAGACATCCAATAGGATCTTGGCAGATCTTTCTGCGGCGCCTTGAAGTGACGAGTAAAAAATGTAAATCTGGGAATCGATAAGTTTTTCGTTTGAAACTGTTAGCGCTTTTTTGAAAAAGGTCGATTTTGTATGCGGCTTAGTACCACTAACTAATTTTGGCATTTTCCTGGCTTTTTTGATGGGCTTGAACGCCTGCGTGAAATCGATTGCCAGGTCGTCTGCACTTTCACTCAGCGAAAGCGGAGTAACAGTTTCTATCTTTTCAACACTTGGATTCTTCTTTTTCGACGAGCAGTTACCGCCACAACAGCCACCTTTCTTGCCGCCTGGCTTCGAGGAGCAGCATGAGCTACCGCCCTTCCCTCCACAACAAGTTTTCTTTTTAGGAGCATCGCCTTGCTCAGAGCTTTCTAAGTTCGCTAACTTGCTCTTCTTGACAGAATCATGTTTAACCAGCGCATACATCACTATTATCGAACATCCTATCGTTAGACGACCTCCGGACAAAAGATAAGTGGCCGTCACTGCCAGAGCCAATAAATGGTCGGTGAAATCCTTTGAGATGTCCATGTAGTCGCTTGTTTTGGGCTCTTTGAAACGAATTTTTTAACCGCACAAGTGCATTTATTTATATGCGATGAGATCAAGTTTGACCAAAGTATATCGCCCTCCGTGTCATGTGACGTAGGAGGAACCAATCACAGGCCGGTTCATTACAAATTGACATTTCTGACCAAGATCATCTCCCCTTTGGATAGTCTAGTATAGGAGTTAGCATTCACAAACTTTACTGCTAGCGCCAACTGCTTTAGAGACAGTTTCTCGGAATCATTAGTGAAGATAGTTTGATGCAGAAATTTAGTCTCCTTATCGATCACGTCGGGTTCATTCTCGTGAACCTCGGTAAACGTGTCATACAGATCCATAACCCATCGAAGTTCTTGAGTTACGTCACCATTGGCATGTTTACAAAGAACCCACAAATAAAACAGAGTATTGTAGGAGTCTAAGGCGATGTCGGAGTTGTCGTCGAGCTGCAAAAAAGCAGGAAGCTCGACTTCTAGAAAAGTTTGATCAATACGCATAAGCTTCTTGACTGTTAACATATCACGCTTGTACTTTGTTGTCCACTCTTTTTCCAGACGCTTGAGCTCATTAATTGCATGTTTCACAATTTTAGTTTGTCCCGATTTGTAGACTTGAGCAGTCTTGGCACGGTAGGTGCTGATGCTGTATTGTTTCTGCGACTCTTCCGGTACCAGCCTAAACGTGGCAAGTTTGGCTTCCAGAGCAGCCCGCAGATTTTGCAGACCCTGAAGACGAGGTCTAAGGTTGACATATGACTCCGTGGCACTTTTCTCAATAAATGCGAACATATCCAGCAGCCAGTCGAGACAGAGAGAGTTTGACTGGCTCAACAAATATAGAACACCGTCTTCATATTTGGATATGTCAACCCCAGACACTGGAACAGTCTCGCGACCTGCTGAAAAGTCAAATGCAGACGTGGTGTAATCCGAAATGTTTGGTAGTTTGATCTGCGTCTCTCTCAAAATTTGTGTCAAGACCGCTTGCGAGAGTCTCACCTTTAAGGCTGCGGTGTCAAAAATGTTGCTTTCTAACACAAAACCGTAGCCACTAAGGAGCTCCTCGTTTCCTTTTCCGCCGTAGTTGTTACAGATTTCTTGCCCAGCCATGACGGTCTCAAGTTTTTGTACACAGAATGAGTCGTCAACTCTCTTCCATTCAACTTTGGAATTGTAGTCGTGGTTCAACAAGTCTACTATGGGCAGTAGGATAACGCTAGAAGGATCGGCATCTGGATTGACAACGTATTCCGGGAATGATCGGGATAAAAATATCAAATGAGACCACAGGAATGCTGGAAATGACCACCAAGAAAACTGAAGCTCGGAGCTGAACACTTTTGAGGTTAGATTTGTAAAGATTGAAGACTTATCTTGCGTTAAGAGCTGCTGTGTGAAAACGATCTCTTGTCGAGCATCTTCATTGCACTCCTCTAAGTGTATCACTGCACTCTTCCATTCGAGAAAGATACTTTCAAGTTTTAGAGTCAATGAGGATCCCAGGTTTGTATTGCCCAATTCGTTAAGCTCCATTGGGTTCCAGACAAGTGGAGAGTCTATTTCTCGTGGCAGGGCATCGATATAAGGTGCGAATTTGGTTTTCAGGTTTTGCGACTCCACAACGGTCGCGTTTGAATCAAATTTTAACTTTGCCACCAAGAACTTGAGCCAAGTGTTGTGATTGGAGCTGATTTGGAACAGTTGTTCAGCCAGACTCCTGCGGATCACAATGTCTATCGGTACCTGGAAGCTTGCATTTGAAATTTCGCTCTTCGCAACAACTGAAATGCCCTTGTCCGGTGTTTGAACAAACTCTACATCTTTCGAATGCTGAACGCCATGTTGGTAGCCCCAGTTTAAAAGCTCTTTAAGCTTTTCGGGAGGCATTTTTTCTTAATTCGATCTTATTGTTGATCAAGTAGTTTTTAGGATGAATCAATTAATGGTTCAGGAAATTAATCTTGACAATTTAATAAAAGGAGAGCCACTAACGATGGAGGTATTGCTGCTTGTAAGAGAAAAACCAGTAAGCTCTCTTGTAGGCCCAAGACGTTGGTAATCATGTACTATGTGACTTATATGTCTTGGGGATTATTATATTCCACTCGAAGATGCTCCATTGATGACCCGTATGATATGACCCGTAATATCAACACAGATTTCATGCCATCTGCGCTTCGAGAAATGAATAGCGTAGATGTAAAGTATTCACTCCAAGGCGCTCTTAAAACTGTGCCTTCTCCTGTGACTTGAGAATGAGCGAAAATGCCATGGCTGGCTCAGAAGTGCGCCGCAACTCTTTAAACCAGCGAAACATGCTGCTGAGTATGAGACTGAACAACGGACTTGGACGGAAAAGTCTGGGGAACTCGGCCCGATCTGGAATCGGATCAAATTCCGTACGGAAGCCGTGGCGTATGAACTTTACGCAGGAATCTAGAACCGGGCATTTAGGAGCCGGGCCCACTGTCCGCGTTAAAGATCCGGGGGTTAGCTCTAGAGCCTCTTCTCCCGCGAAGATTAATTCTAGAACTGTACAAACATCTCCAAGAAAAGATCACAAAGAGCTTAATAACCGTATTTTGGAAAATTCGCCGCTGAAGTATCAGGAGCTATCGCTGGATGATTTTGAAGTGGGTAAAAAACTGGGTAAAGGCAAATTCGGGAAAGTTTACTGCGTGAAACACAAACGAACTGGATTCATTTGTGCTTTAAAAGCCATGAAAAAGAAAGAACTTGTTCAGAATAACGTTCAAAAACAGTTTCGGCGCGAGGTTGAGATCCAGGCGGCACTCAAGCACCCCAATCTTACTCGACTTTATGGATACTTCCACGATGAGAAACGGGTTTATTTGTTGATGGAGTATATTGTCAATGGCGAGCTGTACAAGCACCTTAGATCCCATGGCCCTTTCAACGATATAGCAGCATCATACTTCGTGTATCAAATAGCTGATGCACTCGATCACATGCACAGTCGGCATATTTTACATAGGGATATCAAGCCAGAGAACATCCTAATAGGCTTTCAAAATACCCTTAAATTAACTGATTTTGGTTGGAGTGTAACCAATGTTGGAAACGGTAAACGAAAAACTCTGTGCGGCACCTTAGATTATCTATCTCCGGAACTCATCAAAATCCGAGAATACGATGATAAAGCTGACGTTTGGGCATTAGGCGTTTTGACTTTTGAGCTCCTAGTAGGTAACCCTCCATTTGAGGAAAGTTCTAAAGAGCTTACTTACCGACGCATTCTCAAACGGGATTTGAGATTTCCAGACCACGTCTCGATGCAGGCTCGCGATCTCATAAATAAACTATTAGAGTATGAGCCCAATGCCAGAATAACTCCGAAGGACATGAAAAAGCACCCATGGATTGAAACAAATCGTCCATTCTGGTGAAACCTCTTACTCACCTCTTACTAAAGAATGCTAAATAAATTTATGTACAAGTAATTATGATAATGCCTTATTGTTTCTAACAATTTTTGGTACCGCTTTAGCCCAGGATTTGGTTCTTTTATCAGTAATCATGAAAACTCTTCCACCTTGCTTCATTCTGCCTGTTCTGCCGGCTCTATGCACAAGGTCGATCGAAGTCTTTGGGACATCGTAAAGAATAACGTTTCGTACACCTTGAAAATTTAATCCTCTTGCCATGAGGTCTGTAGTGACTAAAACCTTGAGAGAGATTCTCCTCGAATCTGGGGATACCACTGGCTTGGTAAGTCTAATGTTGGAGTTAGGCAATGTCAGAGAACCTTCGTCCTGCAGCGGGGCAGGTGCAGATTCGAAATCCAAATCCTTCAAAAGCCTAGGACGTTTGACAAAAACCTCAATTTTTTTCAGCCTCTCCTCTACCGAATCTTCTCCGGTAAGGCTGACACAGTCATGTCCATATTTAGAGCAAAGTTGATCTGCAAGTTTACTAGCATCCTTTTTCTCATTAACGAAGACAACGCAACGTTTCTCAAATCCTTCTTCTGTACCATCTTTCATAATCGCATAAAGGATTTGTGCAAGCGCCTTTGTCTTAGACCCTTTGTATGGGTTGAGGCTAGCGTCTATTAATTTAAAGTCAATCTTCTGTGAGATTTTGTGCAGCTTGGGCGTAGTTACGGACTGCGAAGTAGGGAAAATGCGCTCCATGGTCTTACTAAACTCACTGGGAATAGTAGCGGAGCAAAATAGGAGGTGATTCACATTAGGCATCGACTGAATGGCACCATGTGTTTCTTCGAGCCATGATCTATCCATGAGCGTGTCTGCCTCATCTAAGACAGCGAAACGTACCCCTGAAAGTAGTCGCTCGGGTCTATTGATAATCCTAACTTTGAACATATTCTGAATTTTTCCAGGGGTTGTAACCAAAACGTCGATTCTGTTCTTGACGGCCTCTATAAAATCGTTGTAGCTTGTGTCCATGTTCCAGCGAAACGCATGGAGGTTCAATAATTTTGCGCTCTGCTCAACAGTTTTGTAAACCTGTTCCACAAGCTCGTGTGTTGGAACCAGAATAACAGCGCGAATTATGGCCTTGTCCTTAATTAGGTCCCAGCTTTCGGGTGCTTCTAGCTCAACTCGCTTCAAGTAGTCAAACAGTGGCGTCAGATATGCAACTGTTTTGCCAGACCCAGTTTCTGCAGCAACTGTATGTACCTGTAAATTTTTGTCCATAAGCGTCTTCGACAGCTTTTGAATTACAGTGATTTGAATCGGGGAAGGCTTGATCGAAGTTGAATTTGAGGTTTTTTCGCTCGGAATTGCAATGGATTCTTCCGAAATCACTTCTTGAATGGCGCTTCTCACTTGTGGCAGAATCTTCAGTTGTTCGAATTCTGTGATTTTATTCAATACACCCAAAGCCTTCTGTTGCTCTGTATCTGATATCTCTTTGAGTCCACCAAAACTTCCATAATGAAATACGTTGGCACTACCCGTACTTTTGCTATTGCGACTTTGAGGCTTCTTGGTGCTTGAAATTTCACTCTTCAGCTTGTGTCTTGAAGCTTGACCTTTTATATTTGCTCTACCAGCTTTTTGAGCAAAGGACCTCGAAAACCTCCTCAAGAGAAAGCTGTTGATGGAAGCGGTACTCAGTTGTCGAAACAAAAGCTCCATTCTATCTTTTCTAACCTAAACTGTACGAAGCTCATCGCCTCTATTCTTCGACAATATATGATATGGAAAGTTGACTAAAAAATTTTAAGAAATTGATGAATGAAAGAAATCGTTCAACTTCCTGAAAGTTATTTAAACCTAAATTGAGTCTTTTTGCTGGCAATGAAGGACTTAACTTCTCAGTTAACGGACTTGAATGTCCTGTATGACAATAATAGACACTCTGAAGTAGCCAAAACGTGTAAAACGCTGATTGACAGAGGTGTTGTTGACAAGAAGCCTATACTGAGACAATGGCTAGTTGCATTGATCAAGACAGACCAATACAAAAAATCCTGGGAGCTTTTGAATCAATATGATGCCGACATAAGTGACGAATTCTACTTGGAAAGGTTGTACGTTCTCTACAAACTTGGTTACACAAAGGAGTTTGACAAACTATACCAAAAATTGAAAACTATTGTACGCGATGAAAGCTCACAGAACAGGGGACTGTTGCACGTACGTGCGCAATTCTGCTTCAAAAATGGCAGATATGACGAGGCTGCTGAAATATACGAAGTCCTTTCGCAGCATAATGAACAGCAACTGGATAATGAAACCGAGATTGCTTGCAACGAACGTGCAGCCGCAGCTTTTTTCTGTTCAGGAAACGACAGAAAGCTTGCCACAAAGCTTAATGAGGACTCTTACGATTTACTGTTCAACGAATCGCTGATTGCTCTAGCCGAGAATCAGCCGATAATAGCTTTCGAGTACCTAGAGAAAGCATCAGCTTTAGCAGCACAAGATGGCCCCAATGATGATCAATTTGCTATTGAGCTACAAAAATCGTACGTCTTGCAAATCCTCGGTGAAGAAAAAAGATCGAAGAAGATACTGACGATGTTACTGGAGAAAAACAAGGCGGGGTCTCCAAATTATTTGTTGGCATTCAGTAACTTGAAATCTTTTGAAGATATTTCTAAGTACACCGCAAACATCCCGCTTCTGCTACGCGAACTCAATGTTTCTAAAATGAGTGGCATGGTAGACACTCTGGGCAATGAGCAACAACAACGAGTTCTAAACAACATATTATTTTTGAATCTCTTCAGCAATTCTAGTATTCAAGCAAAGAAATCCTTAGTGTCGAAAACGTTGGCGCAATATCAAAAAAACGTCGAGGACGTTGTCCTTGAGCCGTACCACACTCAAGCTAAAAAAATGTATCATCACACTATGTCAGCTATTTCATGTGGCACTGGAGGCAGTACTGTCGGAGTTGTGTTGTTGACTGTTCAATTACAAGTCGTAGAAAAAGAATGGGAGAGAGCCATTAACTTGTGCGAGACTTTCCTGAACAAATCGTCCCAAACGTTTCCTGTGGAATCTCGTGTTGTTTGCTACTTACTGTTCCGCTTATACCAGGAAACTGGCAGAACCAACTCAACAAACATTTTACTGGCCAGACTTTTCGGTATAATGCAAGACGAATATGTCAAAGAAGATCCCGAGTTCTGGAGATTCGTTGCATTTAAGCTGCTTTCCCAAGAGTCTTATGATAAATCAGAGGCAATTTTTGGCAAGCTACGGGCGTTGAGCCCGGAATTGAGTCTAATTAGGCCGGAAGCCAATGAGGTGGAAGAGATCAGGCCAGACTTGGAATCTCTTGTTGAGAGCATCGATATTGAAAGCATTAAAAGTCAAGGCTTGACACCTTTTGAAGGGCAAAGTAGGCACCAGAACCAAGGAGGATTGGGCAGAGTCGCCAAAAAAAGAAGAGTGCACAAAAATAGGAGAAGACCAAAAGATTTCGACACCTTAAAACAACCAAACCCGGAAAGGTGGCTGCCATTGAAGGACCGTTCCGATTTCAAGCCTAATAAGAAAATTGCCGCTAAGCAAACACAGGGTGGCTCCGCCAGTCGCAAGGGAGATCAAAACCTTGATATTTCCAAAAAGTCCAAGACTAAGAAGAATAGGAAATAACGATACTAGCCCGTCACTCTGTATTTACGACAAATAGACGATGAACTTCAACGTTCGAGTAATATTGATAATTCTATGTTACATACCAGCCATGCTTTTTCTATTGATTAATCACTTTAACTCAAGTGAAAAGAGTGTCTTCATCTCTCAAGTACTCTCCGATATCAGCTTGTCTGAAAGCAACAATACCGGTGGGTGGTACATTTCTGGATTCGGAAGTACTTTTGGAACTTACGCCAAACCCGAGCGGCACATCGTGCATTGAGAACACAATGACACCGGCGTGCTCTGGGATATCCTCAGACATCTTGCCAACATGTGCTTTCAAGACATGGTTCCCGTAAAGAAATGGCATTTCTCCGTTGGGCTTAATCCAGATCTTGTATTTAGCATGTTGTGCAAGCACTGTGAGAGCGGTAATGTGAATTCTGAATTTCCCTGTTTTCGTGAACTTGCCGAGACACAGACCAACGGACATCAAATTTGGTCTCGCGACAGACGTAGCTAATTTGGCAATGTGTTCAGGTACATAGTAAACCCTGTCCTTTTGTAATCTAAAAACAAATGGCTGTTCTTTATTATCCACTAGTAATTTAATGTTTCTTCCAATATACCCAGCTAATTTTTCGAATACAACTCTGGTCTCATCTTCTGTTAATTGACGCATTGTGGTGGATATCTATTGTTTCAAGAATCAGATGTATGGAGTGGTTCACTAGAATTTAATACTCACAGCAGATTTCAAGCTCATCGCATCTTACCGCATCTCATCGCATCGTTAATTGAAAAAGAACTGGAAAAATTTTATTTCTCGTTCAAAGTGATGTACTGTATTAAATGCCATCATGAAGCAAAATAAGTCATACTCGGAGCGAGAATTCGATTCAAAACAGTCCACAAAGTTCGTACTGAAATTTTGTTAGATGAAAGGGGATCTCTGGAGCATTTTGTGATAGTTTTTGATGAATTTGTGTTTCTTTTTATACTGCATTGTTGTCACCTTATCGCGAGCTAACATCAGCAAATGAACGAGATTATGGACTACGGCGTCAATCAATTGGTGGTTGGAGAAATGACAAATTTATCAAGCTGCAATGAGCGCGCGCGGCTTTCGAGTGAAGATGTCACAATATACGTATGTGACACAACATTTACAAATGATGGTCAACACTTTTAAAAGCCTAGCAGCATCGTTAAAGTGGCCTGCCCAATAACTCCTTGTTTGTCTCTCTCACAAATGCTGCTATATAACAGTATCGGAGCCTGTAACATGCCACAATCATTCATTGTAGATCACTATCTACTATTACGTCACCCTCAAGATATTGTCTTCGTTGCCGTCTCTCTTTTGGCAAATAATAGACGAAGCTCACGGTTCCCACCCTCAAGATCTTTTTGCGCCAGATAATGGATTACAATTCAACTATTCCCCACGTTCTCGTTTTATATTTACTATGAAATGATCTTAGTGTTGTGCCAACTTCTTCGATCCTCGCTAACTGCTTTGAGTAATATTGGAAGGATTTCCCCAACATCCGATACAGCGGGTTTGAGCCCTGGAAGAAGTGTCATATATCTTTCTTGCTAGCGAACAAATAACTTTCTGACTTTTTTCATTCTCTCGAGCGCCTGGGTCATCGGTGAAAAAATTGGACAACTCTCACCGCTCATCTCACCTTCTGAAAAACCCATTAGGTGACAGCTCTCGTTTTCAGCCAGCTCTAGATTCATAACTTGATTCTAAGTGACTTTCACCTCATAACAAATGTCCGAGAACGATAACTTGAAGCCGGCGTATGAAGATGATCAACCTGGTGAAGACGCTTATAAAAGAGGTAATCAGTATAAGTGGACTAAAGCACGTAAAGCCGATTACGAAGGCTCCCAAACTGATGCAGAAGTATCAAACAAGAAAGCGTATGTATGTTGTGGACTCCCACCAATTATTGTTAACCGTTCAGGTCACTAACCTTTTTGCAGTAAAGTAGAAGTGAACTCACAGCAGGATCCAGAAGCATGTAACCCAGAAAATAAAGAAAAGAGGCTTCCGAAACGGAAGGTGTCTGTCATGATTGGGTATTGCGGGACCGGATACCATGGTATGCAGTACAATCCTCCATCTCCAACTATAGAGGCAGAACTCTTCAGAGCGTTTGTCGAGGCAGGTGCAATTTCACAGGCCAACTCCACCGACCTGAAGAAAAGTGGGTTTATGAGAGCTGCAAGAACCGATAAAGGTGTTCATGCTGGGGGAAATGTGATTTCTCTGAAACTTATCATCGAAGATCCTGATATCATTTCTAAGATTAATTCGAAATTACCGGAGGGTATTCGTATTTGGGACATCGAGCGTGTCAATAAGGCATTTGATTGTAGAAAAATGTGCAGCTCACGCTGGTACGAGTACTTACTTCCTACGTACTCCTTGATTGGTCCTAAACCGGGCAGCGCTCTTTTCGCCGATATAGAAGAGAGCAAGAAGGAGTTTCCCGGTGTCTTAGCTGAAGATCAGGAAAGTGCACAATTATGGGCTAATTTTTTCAAAGAAGCAGAAGAAGCTTTCACAACTGAGGAGTTGGAATCCATCAAAAACTATGTGCCTCCGCCAAGAAACGAGTTTGACGACTCTGACTCAACTTACCAATTGGTGAAAATTTACAAACAACTTGAGAATAAACATCGCAGAGCGTACCGCATTTCTACCGCAAAACTCGATGCGTTCCGTGCTTCCATGAAACAGTATCTCGGCCCTCACAATTTTTTCAATTTCACACTAGGCAAGGAGTTTAAAGACCCCAGTGCCGTAAGATTTATGAAGGAAATCAAGGTCTCTGAGCCATTTGTGATTGGCGAAAAAGACACCGAATGGGTATCCATCAAGATTCACGGACAATCATTTATGCTACACCAAATTCGTAAAATGATTTCTATGGCCACACTGGTGACCAGGTGCGCCTGCCCGACTGACCGCATTCTGGATGCGTACAAACCGCAGCGCATCAACATTCCGAAGGCTCCTGCTTTGGGGCTGCTGTTGGAATGCCCTGTTTACGAGGGTTACAACAAGCGTTTACAAGAGTTTGGCTACAATCCTATTGATTTCAGTAAATACCAAAGCAAAATGGATGCGTTCAAGATGAAGCACATCTACGACAAGATTTACCAAGAGGAAGTGAGCGAAAACGTATTCAACGCTTTTTTCAGCTACATTGACAATTTCAGCCAGGTTACAGGTGCCCAACCGGTAAACGAAGACGCCAGTGAGCAAGCACCTGCTAATGCTACTAAACCCGCGAACCTCGTTCAAAAAAGCGTATTCGATTTCCTCACCGCTAGAGGTATTATCGACAAAACCGACGGGAACCAAGCCAAAAATGATGAAGTAATTAGCGAGAAGACGCCAGATGAATCTTCTCAGCTTACTGAAAACTAATCAGCTTAACTGACAATCATTCTAACCCCACCTCTGTATAGCAAAGCACATAGCATCTCTGGATCAGTTGTCGGCACATGATCTTCACATGACAATAAGTCAAATCCCCCAAACAGCCAAAAATTTTACCGAAAGTAATAGTCGATGCGTAAAACGATTAACGAGATTATTGAACATCTCCGGGAAAAGCTCGTTTTGCAACATTTAGTTAGCAGCCATTCATGTTGCGAATTGGTGTGAGAAGTTTGAGTAGTAGCTCTGCCAGATGCGCTGCTCCAGCTCGTGGTAAGGCTCAAGGGTTTGCTAAGAAAGTGATTTCTGGTAAAACGTCTGCTAAGAAAGTTGGTGCAGGATCGCTTTACAAACCATGGCAACAAACCGTGGCCACTGGAAAACTGGGTAAGAACGCCGTTCCTACGGAATTAGAGATCTTCAAGCCATTAGATGTCTCACAGAACTTCGATCAAGTTGTCGCGTATTCCAACGCTCAATACAAAAGTCTTTACACACAAGGTTCTTTCAAACAAAATCAGCTGAATGAGTTGTTTTCACGACCAATTAGTCTTGTCAGGCGCAGTACAACCAAAAGGCTCTTTGATGAATTGAAAAACTCGGCAAAGACCTCAAAAAAATACGTTCTCACAGGCGAATCGGGGGTGGGAAAAAGCGTACTTTTGTCCCAAGTACATGCCCTTGCATGCGAAGAGAAATCCATTCTAATAAATATATCATACCCCGAGCTTTTTATGAATGGTACCAGTGATTTTTTTCACGACGGCTCTAGTTACGTACAGCCAATGTACCTCAAGCAGCTATTAACCAAAACTTTGAAAGCAAATGATCATGCGATTCTTTCGTCTATTGTTTTAACAAATACTTACAAGTTTGCAAATGCCGACCCTAAGGATGCTGCTAGTAGGAAGTTTGTTCAGATCAACGCCGGTAAGGACACCTTATTAGACCTTCTCTCTATCAAGACGACACCTCGTAATCGCGGTGAACTATTTCGTGCTATGATAACCGAGCTCAGCAAACAAAGTAAAACGCCAGTGTATTTTACAGTGGACAACTTCTCTCGCATATTAAGCGAGCCTCTTACTTCATATAAGAGCACGCAAAACGAGAACATTCACGTTTCAGAACTACAACTTGGCAAAACAATAATGGAAGTGGTGAGTGGTAAAACAACTTTCGCAAATGCCTCGAGCTGTGTGATTCTAGCCACATGTGGCTCTGACAAGACCAACAAAACTTTACCAGTAGGGTTGAAGAAGCTGCCTCACGACCCATACGTCAGTAAAAAGCACTACGATCATGAGCTTGCCAACGTGTTGATTAAAGGCGATATTAAAGAGTTTCCAGTTGAAAAATTGTCTAAGGACGAGGTAAGACATTTAATCGATTTCTACTTGAAATCTGAAATCTTGCTTTCCAAAGATACTGATAATAAAAACATTGAACAACTTGTCGATGAGAAATACTTTTTGAGCGGTAACGGAAACCCCAAGGAACTATTAAAAAGCATAGCACTACAATTTTCATGAGCACTACTCTGTATATATGTATTAATTACACTCACCTGTGAATATTCTCAATGAAGCTATGTGCTCATGCTGCGATCAAAATTTACAATTTCGATTTTTTGGTCTCTACTTCAAAATCATCGTCATCTCCTGACCATAATTCATCATCATCATCATCATCACCATCAATGTACTTCGGTTGATCAAGACTGTCATCAGGTATTTGTGAAGGCTCTTGCTGATGGATAGGCTCCAAGGATGGAGGTGGACGATTAACATCTCTGAAGTCTCGCTTTCTGTCTGAATGTCGCAACTGCCAGTTTTCTCGCATCTTCGAAGTAGCTTCCTCAAGATCCTCTATTTTCACTGAATCACCAATACTTTCCAGCACTTTCTTGACCACAGAAACGTGATTGCCATTCAATTTGTCGTCTCTAAACCGCAGCATGTGCCAAACTCCAGTATCTTGATCTTTTGTACATTCTACTATTCTGCCGTTTAATGGCTCTTCCAAGGATTTCAGCTCTTGCCACTGTTCATTGCTGATTTCTAAATCTGCAAATCTCTTATAGGTTCTATCCAGTATTTCAAACTCTTTTTTTGAGAAAGGTTGATCGAAGTCCTGAAGCCTTGCGTTGACGTCTGCACCACCTTGCCATGTGTATAGGTGAAATGAAGGTTTAACATCGTAGTTGTAATAAAACCTGTTCGGGTCATTTTTTGGCAAAGAAGTGTCTTCTGCTAAGGGGATTTCCACAATCATTTTGAAATCTACGGAATTTTCTTCTTCCGGTTTCCATTTCAGCAATAAAGAATCTTTCCCGCCAATGTGATACGGAGTGGTAACAGGGGTGAAAATAAGACCATCAGAAACATGGGGAAGCTTGTCCAAAGACTGTGCAACTTTTACTAGATCCGTGCTGAAATTCATGACTTTCATTGAAATTTTGAAAGGAAAGGTGGCGCACTGAGCAGGATATAGCGAACGAAGATCGTAATATGGTTTGAAGAACTCTTTACCCAAATGGGCAAGACGCGAGCTAGTGGGCGATTGTGCGATACAGCGTCCATTTATCGCGAGGCAATCGAACATCAGATATCTTAATTCTTTTAGTTTACTCACTGGATTGGTCTGCAACACTAGTTCGCCATCAATTAAGGTTCCGTCTTGGAAAGTTTCTAACAGCTCTTTGCGAGACTTTTTGGGCAACCGTGGAAATCTAAAACCAGAAACCTGGAAGTAATTGTTTTCGCGGTCAATGATAAAGCAACCTTGTTCTTTCGTCACAGGGTTTAATACGATGAGCATCAAAGCCCTCAGTCCATCGGTTTTTTCGCAAACATAATAGTCCTGGCTCAGTAGTTTTTCCTCAATATCAGCGTGATGAAACGAAACTGGCTGGGTACCTGGGAAAGTCTTTGCCGGTTTTGGGGAGTTCAGAAGCTTGCATACCAGCATTCGAATATCTTGTGTGATACTAGCAGGAAGTCTAATACCTGGAATTTCAGGAGCAGCACGGTTATCCATCTTCAGATCGCTGCTTTAATCTATCACTTGGTTCCTAATGGACTATTTAGACTTCAGAATATAAATTGATTTTTGGTCTTGAGTATTGCTGATTTTTAAAACTTCTAATTCATACATAGCCTTTATTAAAACCTCAGTTCAAAGTCCAAAGGTGACAATGACAAAAGAACCTAGTTTACCAGCTAGAAGGCGAGCCATTCGCAAGATCAACTACAATGAAAGAGATGCTGACGAAGACGTGGTTCGACGAATTCAAATGATGGAAAAAACTCGAGAATCAATCCACGCTGCTTCGATTGGCAAGGTCAAAGTCCATAAAACGAAGCATCAAGACTACTTAAATGACAAGACTGTAGGCTGGAATTTTATACCGTCACTACCGCCAACTTTTAGAAAGCACAGCCGCTTTTCCAACATATTAGATTTGGAAAATGCTAATGTGGACGTGAAGACTGACGTCTTAAGTCAAGGCAATTCTATTCTTCTGAAAAAAGACGACCACATTTACATGGTTTCAGAGCCTCCTGGCGAACCGTACTATATCGGAAGAATTGTACAGTTCGTTTCAAAACCTGAATTTCGCCAACTTATAGATGAGGGTCGGAAATACGTGAGCTCTTTTCCTGCAAAATATTTCCAAGTGAAAATGAACTGGTATTACAGACCCCGAGACGTGCAAGAAAAATCACAGAATGTGAGCTCAAGGCTTGTTTATGCTTCGTTGCATATGGATATGTGCCCTATATATTCTTTTCGGGGGAAATGCACTGTAGTACACAGATCCACTTTAGATATACCAGAGGATTCTCGATACGATCTTTTGACAAAACCAAACACATTTTACTTCGACCAACTTTTCGACAGATACACACTTCAATATTACGACATTTGGAGCACTCGGAAGCAACTTTTACAATTAGCCCCCAGTTCTGTATACCTTTCCACTGTGGCTAAATTGTACCCTTTTGTATTTGTTGAGGAGCAATACCCTTTGAAACAAGTAATTGAAAAATATGTCCTAGGTGCAAAGTTGCCAAAGGAACAAGATTGGGACCTAAAATGTGCCGAATGTGGAAGTTGGTGTGAGAAAAACATATGTGTCAAATGCGATGAATGTCACATTCCAGTGCATCTTTACTGTTTGGATCCCCCTCTTGAGCGACGGCCTGTGAAAGGTGTTATATGGGTCTGCTCAAAATGTATCAATAACAATGATGCCTCCAGCAATGACGACTATAATGCACATTCTCTCGAAAGCAAACTAAAAAAAAGCATTCAGCATAATGATCGCTCTCCAAAATGCTCAGAAAATCTATGGTTTCACTATTTGGGTTCAAAAGTCGTTGATCATTTACAAGATATTTTAACACCCGAACTCATGCTCCCATACCCTATCAAAACTCTAAGAACAGGATCCAAATATCAGTGGGATGGGTGTGAAAATGATAGTTGGAGAGCGAAGCCGTATGAAGATGACCTAAGCAGCCGCGGGGCAGACAAAAACATGGATATTTTGTGGAAAACTGACTATTCCAAAATCAGCGCAAAAGAACTCGACAACTATGTTCGAAAATGTCAGGAACGGTTTCCACCCGAGCTGGACATATTGCCTCAGACCTGCAATTTTTGGGATATGATTCTGAAGATTTTAGTCTCGAACGATTATAATTCTGAGTTAGCTATGAAGGTTTGTGCCAAAAGCTTATCAAGAGAAACACTGCGCGAGCCCTCATTTTCTGAGAAAGAGATCAAAAAATTTGAGGAAGGCGTTGCAAAACATGGGAGCGAATTACATCCGGTTTGCAAACATGTTAAAACCCAACCAATGGCTATGATCGTAAGATTTTACTACCACTGGAAGAAAACGGCTAATGGTAGACAGATATGGGGTAACTTTGAAGGCAGAAAGAAGAATAAGAATAAGGGCCTCATGGGCTCTAAGAAGAAAACCGAGGATGTCAATAAGCAGTCAAGGGTCAGAAAACCATCAAAGATATTCAGAGAGAGTGAAGCTAATAATAGCAAGGAATGGAAACATATAGACGATTCTTCTTTTGACTCCGAGAAGATTTCGACATTGAAGACATTTTTCAAGTGCATGTTTTGTGATGTAGACTATTCTCCTCTTTGGTATCGTGTAACCGGTGGGTGTGATGATGACCACATCAAGACTAGGATGATCACCGGGGTGAACGAGAAAACTTCGACATCAGACAAATTACCCCGCCAGTCTCGTAAAGTTGGCGATAGTGATTCGGGGCCCTCTTTGGAAGCACTTTGCATAAGATGTGCTCGGTTATGGAGAAGATATGCAGTCAGATGGGACAGTCCAATGGATGTGGTAAAGAGAATTAATGGGAAATATTCTTCTAGTGTACGAACTGCCTTAGACGCGCTTTTAAGTGATTCTAACAATACTACAGTCAAAATATCACCCAACGTTTTGTCTGACAAATGTGTCGAATGGGAGCTCGTTCAGGATTCTGAATTGATCATAAAGCAGCGCTTGCAGATAATTGCCGACTCCGAGCGCCTCGCTAAAATGAAGAGAAATTGTCTTTCGGTACATGCACAACTTAGCAAAGTTGTTAAACGCTTAGTGGAGATAGACACATATGCGGAGGAGAAAATGTTAAAAGAGCTGAAAAGCTTTGTTGATGGTTACATTCACGAAGCTCAGAGAAAAGAGAAGAAATCCAAGGGTAGAAAGGGGAAGGCTCAAATCGCTCGAATAGAAGAAGTCGCACAGTTAAAAGCTTCAGTTCCAGACACTGAGAACAGACCTCCGAACTCTAATAATCAGTCAGAGAGTATAAACATCTCGGAATCAAGAATAAAGGGTGAACCTGTAACATCATCTTTGGTAACTCAAAAACAAATTCCGCTAGCGCCCATAGCGCCCAAAAATGAGATCGTGATTCCTTGCGGTGAAAATGTATTGGACGTTTTTATTGATGATGGAAGGACAAAAATAGGTCAAATCAAGGTCGACGCGGAGTTTGAAACTCTCAGACTATCAGAAGATCTTTTCTTACACATTTTTAAGTCAGATCAGGTCGCTGGAAACTCTATGGCTCAATCGCAATCACATTCTTTTGACCTCGTGAAGGATGCTGGAAATACAAAAGCATTGGCAGTGAATGGTCACCTTAAAAGTGATTCATTTCTCGAATTCTATCAAGTTACAAACGGATCTAACATTCCAGTTATTCCGGATCGTAGTTTCGCGGAAATCGCTGAAGCTTATCACAATCACAACCCCTTATACTATGAATGGTCGCAAGGTAAACCCCCAAAGTTAACCTACGAACAGCTTCAGAAGACGATCAAAGGAATCTCTACCTTGACCCACAATAATCTGGGTAGGCGAGTAAAATCACCGTTCCAGTCAGCCAGTGAAGTGAAGCAAGAGGAGCAAGTGTCTATGCGGGACTTTTGCTGCGTATGTCATGGCAAATTCAAAGAAAGCCTTAATGAGGAGATAATTTGTGGAAAGTGTGGTTTGAATGTTCATTATTACTGCTACGGTTTGGATATCCCAGTTCATTGCAAGAGTCGAAAAGATGGTCTCGCTCTTAAAAGCTTACAGTGGTTTTGTGATGTCTGTTCGAATGATTTGAATCCAATCACAACACTAAACTATCAATGCTGTCTATGTAACGCGAACGAGATTGATCAGGAGGGCGCCAAAAAGCAATTGAGTAGATCAATCCCCGATGCTTTGAAGATAACGTCAAATGGACAATGGTGTCATGTAAGCTGCTCACTTTTCAATGAGAATATTAATTACAATTGTCCAGGAAAATTGCAATGTGCTGGCGATATTAGTGCCTCCCTAATGCAAAACAGGATTCTAGCTTGCAAGATATGTGGTATGACAGGCGGTGGTCTTGTTCGGTGCAACGAATGTTTGCTAATGTCCCACGTCACTTGCGCTCAAGACACACCAGGATATCTTTTTAGATTTCAAACATATCCTTCAGAAAAAGGTTTGGATGAGGAACGAATTATAAGAGATGGTGTCGATTCTTTTACAATTAAACCAATATTGATCTGTCCTGGTCATAAGCTTTCTTCCAGAAAATACTTACCATTGGATCACGAAATCAAGTCTGGTTTAACGTTGCTCGAGCTATATTGCAACAACTACAAATGTTCACCTGAGTATCAAAAGGGAACCGTGAAAATGGCGACTGACAATTTAAGAGCCGTTGAGAACTCGAGTGGCTCTCAGTTTAGCTTACAAAATTCCCACTCAACACCGAAGGGCACAAGGCCTGTCCAGGATAACAATAGTGGCTTATTGAACAAGGAAAAACAATGCATTCGATGCAGAGGTGAAGTGTCCATTTTCTGGTTTGATAACGTGTGTCACTCGTGTTATAATAGCATTCCCATTTTGGCAGTCGACATGCCTGAGTATGAGAAAGAAAGCGACAGTGAATGCAACATGTTAGATACGAAACGAAATTTGATACTTGAAGAAAAGTATCTCAAAGACATATCCATGGAGGGCGTTGTATCAGCGATTACTGGACCACCAAAAGCAAAGAGACCACGGGCAGCTGGGGTACCTAGAGGTAGAAAAAAGACTAAAAGTGTAAAAGGTTCAGACTTGACACCAAACAACATATCTGTGGTAGTGCAAAACCTGTCCAATAGAAGGCCAGACAATTCCTGACCTTGTTGAAATACATATCTTCAGATGCATCGTTGATATAAGGTTTATAGTAGGCAAATACGATAGTATTTGAAGTCGCAACTTGTTCTTTTCTCGAATGGAGTCCACAAAGCTCTAACGATCTTGCTCGTACGGCTATACACCTCCTGAAAGAAGCTTTTCAATGCGTTCCATCTCTTCCAGCGTAGTGGCGCTGGCTAATTGCTTCTTTAAATTTTCTCTCACGCCTGAATCCATTTTATTTACAACAATACTCATCACCTCAGCTTCTTTGTCTTTAGCTCTACTTTGTTGTGGGTGCCCGTTATTAGAGGCCTCGTGGTGAGCCTGATGAGCATTTCTCAACTTGAAACTATGCGCTTCTCGGTGCTCTTCCTCGCTAATTTTGGTGAAGTCAAGAACTTTTAACTGAGGAGCCAGCGAAATCACATATAGTCTGTAGTTCTCCAAGTAGCACACGCTATTCCCACGGAGGTTCAAATTTTGTAAATAAGACGGGCTGCTGCGCAGCCCGTCTAGATCTGCCAAGTTTGAAATTCCGTTACTTGCCAGCGTAAGTCGGCGTATTTTATAAGGCAAAAACCTACCATCGATTTGGAATATTCGATTTCTTGACAGCAACAGTGTCTCAATATTTGCTTGATTGCGTAAGTCAGGTATAGCGCTAAGCTCGTTATTGGTCAAGTCTAATGTGTGTGTAGCGTCTGGAAGTGTGGCGAGAACAGCTGGCATCGCATCTGCATCGTTTTCCAACTGCAAGTCTCGCATTATAACGCACAAGTCTGTATCGTGCACGCCATCGAAATAATTATGATAGTACTTTGGGGCCTCTATCACTGCTCCAGGAGTGAACTTCATCGTTCCTTGATTCGAGTACTTGACCAAGTTGAATATCTCGGTTGATAGTTGTGTAATTTAGCTGTTTGAAAATTAGGAAACTTTTAGAAAGCGCAAGCTAAGATATAAAAAACGAGATAATTTATCAATTTGTATTCCAATGTGTACCAAGACCGACCTCTCAAATTATTAGAGATCTGGTGCTGGTAGGGAAAGAATAAGAGTATTGATTTGCTACTTTATTGCTCTTTGCACTTATCCGATTGAGTATTGACTTTTCCCTAAGATCATCACCATGTTTGACAAGACTAAAGTAGACTACTCCTTGTATCTGGTTACAGACTCTACTATGTTACCGCCAGGTACGACTCTAGAGTCTCAGGTATATGCTGCTTTGCAAAACGGTGTTACTTTGGTGCAACTACGTGAAAAGGACACTGACACCAAGATCTTTATTCAGCATGCAGTGAAGGTGCAGAAGCTCTGTCGTGAGTTCAAAGTCCCGTTGATAATCAACGATAGAGTGGATGTAGCGCTAGCTATAGACGCCGATGGCGTCCATGTTGGACAAGGAGATATGCCGATTTCTATGGTTCGTAAATTAGTGGGACCTGACAAGATCGTTGGCTGGAGTGTAGGTTACGAACATGAGGTTCAGGAACTTGCGGCTATGGGACCGCAAGGTGTGGATTATGTGGGGCTTGGGATGGTATTCCCTACTAACACCAAGAAAAATCCTAAGAAAAGTCCTATGGGTCCTAGAGGCGTATCTAAACTACTGGACACTCTGCAGACCTCCAACGCGACGTGGTGCAGAACTGTGGCCATTGGTGGTCTACACCCAGATAATATTCCTCGCGTTTTATCTCAGATGTGTTCGAATGATGGTAAGAGAAGTGTCGACGGTATCGCAGTAGTAAGCGACATTATGGCCTCTTCAGAGGCAGGAAAGGCAACAAAAAGACTACGCAATTTGATTGACAGTAAAAACTATCAATACGTGGACTTCGTCGTTAACAACCCCGAATCACATTCACCTGCGCTCGAAAAAGAGTATATCCAAGTAACAACTTTGAACTCTCCGCTAATTCATCACATCACCAACAAAGTGCACTACAATTTTGGTGCTAATGTGGCTCTGGCGCTAGGCTCGTCCCCGATTATGTCCGAAATCGAATCCGAATTTGTTGAGCTATCTCAAGTTCCCCACGCCACTCTTTTGTTGAATACAGGGTCGGTGGCTCCTTTAGAATCTTTGACGAGCGCGATGCGTGCTTATAATTCAGCAGGTAGGCCTATTGTATTTGATCCTGTGGGCTTCAGTGCTACTTCTGTTCGTTTACAGCTGAACAGTCATCTCCTTGCATATGGTCAATTTGCTTGTATTAAAGGCAACGCTGGTGAAATTCTCTCTCTTGCTGACTTGAATACAGGCAAAATGAGAGGTGTAGACTCTGGCGATAATGGATCTAACCTTTCTCTTTTAGTTGAAGCTACTAAAATTGTAGCTTTCAGATACCGGTGCGTTGCAGTTTGCACAGGGAAAATTGATGTTGTTGCAGATGGAACATGCGAGGGTAAGTTTAAGCTTTCGTCAGGTTCTCCTTTAATACCATCTCAAATTCCGGCATATAAGGTGGAGTGTGGAGATATTCCAGTAATGGGTAGAATAACAGCAAGTGGATGCTCATTAGGTACAACAATAGCATGTCTAGTAGGGGGGCTGTCAAAAGATCAATCTCTGTTGTCAGCCGTGCTAACAGCAGTTCGATTGTATAAATCTGCGGGCTATCTTGCATCGTCTCGTTGCGAAGGAAGCGGCAGTTTTCAAGTGCGCCTGATTGACGCCCTAGACCAGATGTTTCAAGGAGAAGATCCCCAATATTGGAAGGCTACCTTATCTTCGGCTTGAAAAGCCAAGCCCTATTCTATTTACAGATATAAATTATGCTCGAATACCTTGGTGAACTAGTTTTCATATGAAAGTTTACTCCGGTCGCTTGGTAGCAAATCTGGGTTGTTGTCCATAGCCTCGTACTTCTCAATGACAGCTTTCTTCATGTCCGATTCTTGTTGAGAGCTTAGACGATAAACAGTCTCGTCAGGGGAAACGAATTTAAAACCACCCATCGCGAACTCTCTGTCGGACATTTTGCTTAAGACGTATAACTGAGAGCGGACATATCTGACCATTGCCTCCAAATGTACCATATCAACGTTTTTTCTACCACCAAACAAGTTCCTCCAAATTGCCGCGGCCAAAGTAGAATCGTCCGTGACAAAACCTTCATCATAGGCAAATACTGCACCACGTAGCTGGGAATTGAAATCTTTGAGGTACTGGTCAGCTATACGACTAGAGTTTACGTTCATTTCATCAAAAAGTCTCAGTTCTATGTCAGTGAAAGTTCTATCCACCAATTTTTGCTGATAATTCTTACCGTATTTGAAAGGCATGGCTCGCATACGTACGAAAAGAATCCACTCATGCAATATAGTGATCTGAAACCATTGAGAAAAAGTGCGAGGTAGTTTCAAATCATGGTAGAAAAATTTGGCTGTTGTAGATAGTGGTTCGTTTTCGAATTGAAGCCCTTGCTCTTTACATAAAGCATAATAATAGGATCCTGCCACTGGACCAGACCTGACCTTATCCATATCTAGATTGAATGATCTGATTACTATTTCACCAAGAGCTTCTTTCCACTTGGGAAGCTGATATAGTTTGGACTCATATTTGGAATCCGACAAAAGCGGTCTCTTTTTCTTAGGATTTACAGGAGCCTTGTTTGGAAAATCGATGGGCTGCGTTTTTAAATGAGACTTCGAGGCCAATTCTTCAGGAGACTCAAATTTGTCAGGTTCATTTGACTTTACGCTCTTGGTGCTGAAACTGGCGTTTTTTAGTAGAAGTCCATTTTTGGGATTTCTTAAAGCGCGGAGTGTTGACCTGCTGCCCGTTGCCAGCGTATAGTTGAGCATCTGTAGGCGATTGAGATATCCCTAGCTTATTCTATTATTATTATGATGGACTTTTGATCGGGGCTATATCAAAATCAGAAAATTTTCAGATCTCATGTTAGACGGCAGGGTCGCAAGCAATGCCGTGTAATGCTTTCCTCAACCATGTCAAATGTTCTTTCAACAAAATGTTTCCACGCCCCGGGTTCAGAGCTCCAATAAAAGATGTGTTATGTTTTTGGCTTCTTGCAAAACGAAACCTAGCTCTTCTTTTGGTGTGAGCTCACCATTCCATTGAAAATTTCTGCTATTCTTTCCTTTACCGATAACTTGTTTCGGACAAGGGGCTTCCCAACAGCACCCATGTACAGCGACATATCCCAAAGTTTTCTGGCAAGGTCGTTCGTCCAAACCTTTTCGGTCGGGTTGACTCTTTGTATTCGGGCACTTAAGTACTCATTTAAAGCTGCCTCCTGTTTCTTGACTTTATTTTCCACCTCGATAATAGCTTGCTTACGCTGAGCTCTGACGTGTAGCTTGTTGGCATGCCCTTTGAACGTGCGTGTGTTAAGCAAATAGTCTCGGCGTTCTTCCAATTCTCGTATTCTATTTAAGGTAACTCTTGTTTTAGAACTGTCATCCAATTCCATGATCTCGCGTGCAATATCCTCTAATTCCTCTTCATCATTCAGCGTCTGTTCTTCCTCATTGATCTGGCAGGACTTCATATCGGCCTCACTTATTTCATTTTCATTCATCTTTTGAAGAAGGTTTTGGCCTTGGTCTAAACTTGATGATACTCCCAGATGGCTCAACCTTCGCTGCTGACTCTGTATCAAAGGTTTCTTTATAGCTCTCAGTTGTTTGGCCAAAGTTTGGTCAGAGGTGACATCATCGCTCAACCACAAAATGAGTTGGTCCACATCTTCTGGCTTGTCGATTGAAACCCAGATGCTTTCACTCAACAAAACCCTTCCAGGCGTTTCGTCAACTACTTTCTTTTGAATTGGTGAGAATTGAATAACGTTGTTGATTGTACCGTTGGGGTTCATCAAAGTTGTCTTTTCGTCTTTATCAACATACACCAGACTTTGGTCTTCTAATTTAATAATTTTGAAAACCTCTGCTGTAGCTTTCTCAATCGAACTTTGATTTGCAAGCATCTGCCACATTTCTACCTCATTGGCAGATACTTTAAGCAATTTTTCGGCATCCTTTTTGCTGACTCCTCGAATCCAAAGTCTCCCCGACCCACAATAAGTGCATCCCTCCTTAATATTCCTTTGCACCCCACTGAGTTCCTGCCAGTAGTACTTGTTCCCATTTCTGTCAACTCCCAAAGATTTCAGCCTCCTCACGTCATTTTCAATAAGCTTCTGAGTCAAATACTCTCGGTCTTGATTTATTTCATCAATGGATGCTTGGTGTGACTCAATCTTAGATTTTAGACTTTCGGGCGAGACATTTTGGGCTGCCTCAGAAGTTGAGAGAAGCGAAAGAGTACTTTGTTCTGACTTCAAGCGCTTTGATAGCTTCAATTTTTCGCTACGGATTTGAGTACAGACCTCCAAAGTATCCTCAATGTACAGCTTAATGTCGAGCGAGAAGTTTGATGCGATATCAACTAAGATCCAAAGCGCCCTAATTTTATCCTCTAAACTCAGATTTTGACAAAAGTTTTGCCATAGAACTTTATTTAAATGAGTAGCGGAACCCTCAGAAGGCACCACTGCCTTAATGAATTTGTGCACAAAGGCCGTGTACATAGGCAAATGCATACAGTCTTGAAAAATCCCCAGCAAAACTATAATCCAAAAGCCATTCTTGAAGTGCCTTTTTGACAGCCGCTCCGACCATGAAAGTTTTCGGAAATTTAGACACCTTTCTAATAGGTCATCAATCTCAGGATCGTGAATGTTATCGTTTTCCTCATTTTTCTGTTTTTCAGAATTCTCATCAGCGACAGCGTCTTTCTTTTCTTTACTTTCGGGCTTGGTTGTTAACTCGTCTTCGTCATACCACTTATCCATCACCATGCAGCGCCATTCGCCTTTCTCATCGATGAACAAACGCTCTAAAGCAATGAAGCATTCAACAATGAGTGATGTGCCATTCGATGCAACATCGTCAAGGGCGTCAAAGTCAAATACTTCGCTTACGGAAACTTTGTAGCTAACATTCGGAGAGCTTTGACTCTTGAGGAACTTGGATACGCCAGGGCTCCGCTTCTCGATACGATCGTAGAATTCACCGAGATCATTATCCTTACTTTCCTCCAGCTTTATTGGGTTTTTCTTATCGGGTAAAGGTAAGTTAAGGCTAGCCTTTAAGCTAATATTAACCGTCTCTTTCGGGTCAGTGCACTTTAAGCTTGATATGAAGGCATCCAAACTAAACGGCGCCAATATTAAGATTTTACCGAAAGTTTGACAAAATTGGTATATCTCAAGCAATTTGTACATGTGTGCGAAACGTTTACCAGGTTGATCAAATGGAACATGATCTAAGTACTCATTATAGTAAAAAGCTCTGTCGAGAGCTTTGTTGGGACCGTTGTATTGTTGGATTGGATCGTCAGATGCGAAATCATTGGGTAACGGAAAGGCAGATGTGTTTCCATTTATATTTTTTGGCCTTTTAGTTTCAAAACTTTTGCCAGAGTTTTCAGCAGGTCGCTTGGAGTCCTGTGGAATTTGGTTTGATGGCATTGGACTGCCTTTTTGAGTGTTCTTACTATTGTTCCCGTTACGTAGCTCTGGTAAGTCATCTTTGAACTTCAGCATTGATGCGGGCCATTCGAGAGTAAGCCCATACATCACCAGATACTCGTCTTTAACGCAAAGTGGTGCTCCTATCTTTGAGGAAGCACGTCTTAACGTGATTTTGCAAAAGCACTTGATGAGATGTTTTGTAAAGGTAGAGCGATCTCTGTATATGTCCTGCTCGCCTACCATTAGCGAGTTGACACCAAATTCTTCGGTGATCATATACTTAGAAAACGCTGGTTTGACGACTTGCTGAGCGGTGACGTCAACAACAGCATTAAAGCGCGCCTTCTCCTTAACAACATATGACCTTTGTGAGTTATCTGCTAAACTTGGCGTGGGTTTTTCCAGCAGTTCATCGGAACCTGCCGTGCGGTGAAGCTTATCTGCTTTGCGCCTCACGTATACCCTCTCACCAGGATAGAAGTCTGCTTTGAAGCGGGCATAAACTTGCTCCACAAGCAGATCAACTCTGCGGATCTCGTTAAAGTGCACAAACTTGGCTACAGGCTCCCGAAGCTTTAGGGGAAACTTCTCCTCCACGAGTCTAAACTGCGTTTCCTCGCTGTTCAGGGCCTCAAAAAAGGTCAAAAACGACGTTCCTGTGATTTCGCATGTAAACTGGTGCTGCATGTAGAAGTCCATACGTTTCAAATAATCGTTGTAGCTAGTGAACCACTCTCCAGTTTCGTTAATGTGCCATACTTCGATGTTGATGTTGGCGGGCAACGGCCTTGGAGGCGGCAACACTATGGGTTTCCGCTTATAACACACCATTTTGGAAGCTTTCCAAAAACGATGAGCAATAGTCAAGTGCAAGTAGTAGAGTACTAGCAATCGAGCTTCAAACTACTGTTTCAACAACATTGCATTTTATGGGTCTGTTTTTTTTCTCTTTTAATTTATCTAAAAATCAACAGTAATAACATCTTGAACTATCGTAACCGCAGCGAAAATCTTATAAACAAAATACTGCGAACGCTATTCTCGCCGCCGAAGCAAATATGAACAGTCAGAAACGGAATAGCGAGTCCAAAAGAATATACTCTGGACACTAAATATGATTTTCTGAGCGTTTCAATTATGTTGATGCGGCAAACATATCAGCTTTTATTCAAGATCCAAAACTTTTTTTACAGAGTTGAAGGGTAACAAGCCAAATTTCAATATCGAAACCTGTGCCAAAATGCTGTACTCTATTATGGTTATCGCTTGGTACAAAAACCAGCTTCTAAGCTGTCTTTTTGACCTAGCATTTTATGTTTTAACTACCTCTAAGGGGATGGAGGTGAACATTCTAAATGAATGATTTACTGTTATCATCACCTCCGACGAGTTACCGCGGCTAAAAAAGATCCTAATCAATCACGTGCCAATGTTGATGGTAAATGGTCACGTTTTCCCTCTGGAAAATTTTCATGCAAGCCAGGAGCTAGCCTAACTCATCTCATCTCATCTCATCTCATCGCATTTCATTTCATTCTGATTAAAAGCTAGACTCTAGATTTGCATTTGACTGTTTCGAAACCTTTCCTCCCGCACAACCCAAAGCTAGATCTCCCTGACGCTCTTTGAACCATGGATCAGTCCAACAAGGAGCACAGAAAGAAAAGCGAGAAGGCTACAGCCAAGAAGAAACTCCACACACAGGGCCACAATGCTAAGGCATTTGCCGTGGCAGCGCCAGGCAAAATGGCGCGAAACATGCTGCGTTCCAGCGACGTGAATGAGCGGAAACTGCACGTTCCTATGGTGGACCGTACCCCAGAGGACGATCCTCCCCCGGTCATTGTCGCCGTTGTGGGGCCTCCCGGAACCGGTAAGACTACACTTATCAAGTCCTTGGTAAGAAGAATGACCAAATCATCGCTCACTGAAATCAACGGTCCTATTACCGTGGTGTCGGGTAAAAGAAGAAGGCTCACATTTATCGAGTGTCCGGCTGACGATCTCAACTCCATGATCGACGTGGCGAAAGTCGCCGACTTGGTTCTGCTAATGATGGACGGGAATTTCGGGTTCGAAATGGAGACCATGGAATTTCTGAACTTGGCTCAGCATCATGGTATGCCTCGTGTTTTGGGTGTGGCCACCCATCTTGATCTTTTCAAGTCTCAATCAACCCTAAGGGCTTCCAAGAAAAGATTAAAGCACAGATTCTGGACCGAAGTTTATCAAGGTGCCAAGCTTTTCTATCTTTCCGGTGTTATCAACGGCCGTTATCCCGACCGAGAAATTTTGAACCTGTCGCGATTCATCTCCGTTATGAAATTCAGACCGTTAAAGTGGAGAAACGAACATCCATATTTGATGGCCGATCGTATAACCGATATTACCCACCCTGAACTTTTGGAGACCCAAGGTAAACAAATTGACAGAAAAGTAGCCCTTTATGGTTACCTGCATGGTACAGCCCTGACATCAGTAGCTGGAGCTCGGGTGCATCTGGCAGGTATTGGTGATTACTCAATATCACATGTAGAAAAGCTACCAGATCCATGTCCTACTCCGTATTTTCAACAAAAGCAAGAAGAGTACGAAAGGGAAAGAATGAAGGAGGAGGGAGTAGCTGGCACGGGAGCCCCTCGCAGACGTAAGAGACTCGACGATAAACAGAAACTCATTTACGCACCAATGTCGGATGTTGGTGGTGTACTTATGGACAAAGATGCCGTTTTTATCGATGTGGGCACTAAAAATGGTGAGGGTGCTAGTTTTGTACCAGGTGAAGAAAAAGGTGAAGGTGAAAAACTAGTTACCAGTCTTCAATCAGCTGAAAAGAGCATTGGTGAAAGTTTCAATGGTGTAGGCTTGCAACTATTCAGCAATGGACAAGAGCTTCATGCCGCGGATGAAGTGGCCGATGATCTATCGGACGAAGAAAACGAGGCCTCAAATGGCAAAAACGTTGGTAGAAAATCTTTGAGAAAACCAAGGATTTATGGTAAGTCAGTTCAAGAAGACGACGCGGAAATTGATGGTTTAGCTTCTGACGACGAAGGTGACAACGATGCGTTTGACGATGATGAAGATCATCAACGCCGCCTTGTTGAAATTGATTTCAACTCTGGGAAGGGCGAGTCTATCGAACCTCAAACAGATTCTGAGTTCGAGCTGTCTGATCACGAAGAAGATGTTTGGTCCAGAAGTACAGCTTCTAAATTACAGGGAACAAAAAATAGACGCAGAAAGTGGGACATCGGAAAGCTCATTTACATGGATAATGTCAGCCCTTCAACTTGCATCAAGAGGTGGAGGGGTGTTGAGGATGATGATGAAAACGATGAAAACGCTGACGACGAGGAAGAGGACTTTTTTAGCAAGAAGGACGGTGCGATTACAAATAAATCGGAAGCTGACGATGATCTTGAGAAGTTCAAGCCTCATTTTGAAACCTTCAAAAATTTGATGTCCAAATGGTCGAATTTTGACTCTATCAAGAGTAGACTAGTCGGTACGTCGAGACCAACTTCAACCAATAAGGAGACTGAAGGCGGTGATGGGGATGAAGAAGTCTACGGTGATTTCGAAGACCTCGAAGAAGAAGAGGGTCAAGAATCAGCAGGCGATGACGTCGACGAGGACTCCAAACAGGATTCGGACGATAACGATAGCGAAAAGTCATTTGCCGATTTTGAAGAAGAGGAGAAATTGGACCTTACCGTGGAGCAAGAGAGAGAACAAAACGCAGCTAAAAAGGAAAACATGCGTCTTCAATTTGAAATGGAAGAAGGCGAGAATTTCAAGGAAGATGACCCCAACAATGAGTTCGATACATGGTATGAACTTCAAAAGGCAAAAATGGCGAAACAGTTAGAAATCAATGCTGCTGAACTTGAGAGCATGACGCCAGAACAACGTCAAAAAATAGAAGGTTTTAGAGCCGGTTCCTACGTCCGGGTTGTGTTTGACGGCCTTCCAATGGAGTTTGTTGAAAACTTTGATCCTAAGTACCCTGTTATCATGGGTGGTCTGCTACCAACAGAATTAAAATTTGGCATAGTTAAAGCCAGAATAAGAAGGCATCGTTGGCACAAGAAAATCCTGAAGACAAACGATCCTCTCGTGCTATCTTTGGGTTGGAGAAGATTCCAAACCCTACCAATTTACACAACTAGTGACTCCAGAACGAGAAACAGAATGCTAAAGTATACACCTGAGCATTCGTATTGTTCTGCTAGTTTCTATGGTCCACTTTGCTCACCCAACACTACGTTTTGTGGTGTTCAAGTTGTCGCGAACAGTGATACTACTGGAAATTTCAGAATTTCCGCTACAGGTATTGTGGAAGAAATTGATGCCACTGTAGAAATTGTTAAGAAGTTGAAACTTGTTGGTTATCCTTACAAGATCTTCAGAAATACCGCTTTCATTAAGGATATGTTTTCCAGTGCTATGGAAGTTGCCAGGTTCGAGGGTGCTCAAATAAAGACTGTCTCAGGCATTCGTGGTGAAATTAAGAGGGCTCTGTCGAAACCTGAGGGTCACTTCAGAGCTACCTTTGAGGACAAAATTCTTTTGAGTGACACCATTATTTTGCGTAGTTGGTATCCAGTCCACATTAAGAAGTTTTACAACCCTGTCACATCTCTACTTCTACAAAATAAATCTGAATGGAAGGGGCTTAGACTAACCGGTCAAATCAGAGCAGCCATGAATTTGGAAACACCAACAAACCCGGACAGTGCGTACAAGAAAGTCGAGCGGGTAGAGAGACATTTCAATGGTTTGAAGATCCCATCTTCTATCCAGAAGACGTTGCCATTCAAATCTCAAATTCACCAAATGAAACCTCAGAAGAAAAAGACCTACATGGCCAAGAGAGCGGTTGTCTTGGGGGGAGAGGAGAAGAAGTCTCGTTCGTTCATGCAAAAGGTATTCACGATTTCCAACGCCAAGGATGAGAAGAAGAAAGCAAAGAAGCAAGATGAGAGAAAGGAAAGACTAAAGAAACTAGCGAAACTGGAGGAAATAAAGATAGAAAAGGACAAGGAGCGTAAGAAGAAATATTTCTCCGAAAACGGAAGAAAGAGACAACACGCTGATGCAGGTGGCGATTCGGGTTCCCACAAACGTAGGTAAGCTTCAACGCCCCTTGGATATGTTAGTTGATCATCGTATCTATTTGAGACTCTAAAATTCCACAAATCAGTTGGTACATTAAATATGCCTTACAAAATTAAGTAGCTAAATGTACTGTGACAACCACTGAAAGGCTTCTAGGTATCCATTTTTCATCACTACAGAGCACATGAATACTTCAACAGGTCTTTGTCCCTCGATTCTAGCACCACCAGTGGTGTTCAACAGACCCAAAGCAGATCTGAGTTCGGTCTCGGATACAGCATTTGGAGAATCGATTTTGTTGCCAAGAATGACAAAGGGAACGTCTTGCAGTTCAGCAATGTTGAACAATGCATCAAGTTCCACGCGGGCTTCATTCAGCCTTTCAGGATCCGCAGCGTCAACCAAGAACACAATCCCGTTGACCTCGGGGAAGTAGTCCTTCCACAAACGACGTGCCTGGATATGGCCACCCAAGTCAAATGTGGTAAATTTTATGTTTCCGATGGCCAGTTCCTCGGAGGTTGGATGCCAAGTGGGCTGCAAAGTAGCCAATCTGTCGTTTTTTAGCATGTGCAGCAACGTAGTCTTACCGGCATTGTCCAATCCTAGAAACAAAAGCTTTCCGTGTTTATTCCACAATCCCAAAGATGACAAGATATCTCTGACTGGAGAAGATTCAATTACATTGTTAGTACAGGGAACGTATTGCTTGGGATTCAATGTCTTGCTTCAAATAAACATACACCATCCAAATAAGTCCCACATTTAATAAAACGATTCGATTATTGTGCTTTCACTGGTTGAAAGAAAACTAGAAGATGTTTATGAGCTTTAGCAATTCTTTTGATAAAACTTGCCAGATCAACATATCGATTTTAAGTCTACAAAAATGTTCCGGTTCAGTTTTTCCCAATAACTAAGTTACCCTCTATACCTCCAGTACGAGATCTAAACTCGCGAGAATAATACTACACTGACACCATAAACAAAAGAAAATTAGTGGTGCACTAAGTAGAACATGCAATCTTCACTAATATACTCTTACAGCGCCAGGCCCTTTGTGTGTGATTTGTGGCAAGTTTGAACGTAAAATGTAACGACATTCGAAACAACGCTCAGAATCAAATATAATAAGCTGTGCTAATTCTCAGAGTATCTTGGCGTGTCGAATAGTTTGGATCATCCTCTCATTTGGCCTTCGACTATAATCCCTTCATCAAACCGTTTGTTTTGGGTCCGGTCTTTTTAATACTCACAAAAAAAGTGCCAAATGGAACGCAGGAAAGCCTGTAGGCTACGGCATAAGTTTATGGCTGTCCACCTGGTCGGTTTAAGACATCGTCTGCCAAGCTGCCGCTTTCTTTGCTATGTTCACTTCTCATTAAAAATCCGTTACCCAGTTACATGCTATTTAGTCATCTCGCACAGTTCTTGATGCGTCTGTGCGGCGTTAATTAAACTTTTATTCGTAATCTTGAGTCCCTCGTATTGTAAGCACTCAAGTAATGAGACTTCTAGTTTCGTCAGAAGCCTTTTAGATATACCACAAATGCGGCTAAAATAAGTGTGCGAGTGGACACAATCTTCGAGCAGCTTAGTGGCAAGCCTTATGCTGGCTATGACAAGTCGGTGTACCTGTCGCAGATCCAACCTAAATTTACAACTTAAATGATGGTCGCTAGCATTCCTGTGAAGCGCCAGGATTTGTAGAAGATGCGCTGCTGTGAGATACACCACTGGCGCAAATGAAAACTTCATTTGAAGCCGCTGCAAATATTCTTCGTAAGCTAGTGTGGGAGCCGATTTCATTTCAAACGCCACAAACGATGGCAAAACTTCCACCGCTACAATATTATTGTTTTTGCTAATTTCTAGCAGAGCTGTAATTGTCGTTGTATATAACGCCAGCGCTACTTCAGAGCTCATGTCTGGAGGTTGTTCATTAGATTCTAAATCATTTTCTGGTTCGCTCAAAAGTCTAGGAACCGAGATATGAGGCTCAATAAAATCAGTATTGCGTATTACCGGGGAATTTGGCATGGTCATAAGGTCATTCGTTAACGAGCTGATCGAGGTATATGACGACGCATCCACATGCTGTGCAAAGTTCAAAGAGTCGTTCCTCGATTGAAGGTCATCTCTTGATAAACTGAAAGTGGAAAGATTCTCAGAAAGCGGGTATGTGGCCGTCTGATGCGTGGACAAAAGTTGCTTTATTTTGCGATCCTCAGTCTCGTTATCATTCTGAAGGACAGCACCAGAAAGGCCGTCGTTGTCGGAAGTAGATTCGTCCATAGCATCGCCACTGTCACCTACGCTTAATTGAAAATTCGAGACCGATCCAGATGGGGTCGTTGGGGCGGTAGCTACGTTGCTGGCAAAATTGTGACTGCGTGGAAATGAACTTTCGTGCTCTTGGTCGTACATATCTGCCTGAAAGGAAGTTATTTTCGACATGTTTTGGTCCAGATATCGATTCAAGCTTTGTGCGTGCAGTAGCACGTCTTCGATATGAGGTTTTCGAATAGTTCGGCCGATCCTAGGGTTATCTAGAAACTGTCTGTCCAAATCGCTCATTTTATCCTCTGACAAAGGAAGCCATGGGGACGATTCTCTGTGATTTTGAAATCTGACTTTCTTATCCGGACTGATCATGGGCGTTAAGTCTGCGAAATTAGTGGATTGTGCCAGTTTTGTTCTGGTCTTTAGCGGCAACTCAAAGGTTTCGTCCTCTAGGTCATCATCCAAATCAAACTCAGTTCCGTCAGTTGACGTTGATATCGAGATGTCGGGGTCCACATGCGTCATTCGGCTCAAAGACTCATCTAATATGTTTTTTGATACATTTGCCATCTTTGCGTGAAACGCTGTGCTTCCTTAGTGAGGCGCTGAATAAACAGACTGGCTTCACTGGCAAGGTTTTCGGACCTTCAGGGACGAGCACAAACAGTGATCAGTCTATACAGCGGCCAGATATAGGTTTTGAAAGAATAAAATCCGATAATACCTTCAAACCAGAATTGCGAATTCGATAATAGATTACCTAGTTCAAATGCTGTATATCGTATACAAGAACAAAAAGTTAGAGAGAGGTTCATATACTAAAGGACAAATGATTATATAGATAGGTGTATATAAGAGTTCCGTTTAGTTATGAGCTTCAGCAACAGACAATATGCTTAGTACAATCTGAATGGAGGACCCATGGTCGACTTAATGACCAAAGAGCCAACATTTTGCCAGTTCTTCTTTAGCAAAGAAACCAAAAAGTTGACGGACATCAAGATTTGGTTAACCAAAGTGTCTTCGTCCATCTCGATGTTACCAACGGCGACAGCCAAACACAACACCTTCTTCAATTGAAACTTGATGGTGGATTTGACGTCAGTGACCTTGGCGTACAAGTCTTCGTTGTGAGAGACTGGGGTTGGGAACTTACCGGCCTTAGACAATTGAGGACCCAAGAGTCTTGGGACTTGCTTGATCAAGACTTCGGAAGCGACGAAAGCACTGTACTTCTTAGCAAGCTTCTTAATCAACTTCTTGTTCTTGTTCAACTTCTTCAAGTCATCCACGGACATGGCATCGACACCACAAGACTTAGCTCTGTCAACATCGAAAGCATCACCGAAGATACAGATCGACAAGTTTGGTCTTGGGCACTGAGGCAACTTCAAAGTACCGGAGAAACGCTTGTCTCTTTGAGGGTCGTAGTTTTTTAGACCGACTTGAAGCTCAACGGTTTCCAAGAAGTTTCTCTTCTTGGTCTCGTTAGAGAACTTCAAGACTTCCTTGACGTTGTCTCTAATCTGAGTAGACGTAATCTTAGACATCTTTCAGAGATGGGTTATCAGTCTTCCAAAAGTAATTGGTGGTCCAGAAAAGGCTTGCGACTAACACTATTTTAAATACAAGTACAATAGCTTCCTCTAAGTTAGTGAAACGTTTTAAGAAATTGTGAATAAAAGCGAGACAGGTACGCGGTCCAGGTTCGATACTGTGCTCGTCCTGCCACGCTCCACTACTTTGAAAAATTTCCAGTCGTGAAAGAAAGAGTCTCTTGCACTTGCGTTGTGACTGTTTTGTATAATTATTTGGTTTTTTTTCGAGTTTTTTCTAAAATTATTAGAAAACATTTTAGTGTGTGGGTGGGAGACTTATTGTATACACCATAAGCGATATTGACTACCGAGTGTTGAGGAGGATTTGATTGCCTTAGTATCGTATAGAACTTCCTGTTCGGAGTGGTAAGTAACGAGAGAATAATGCTTGCAATTTTTATTGGAGGCATTTTAATGGTAAAGTGGCAGCAATCATTTCGAAATGTTTGAATTGTCTGCTATAAATGCAGAGCAACCATGGGTGGTGGAGGCAAAATGCAGAAGTAGCAAGTGATTGGCGGCACTTTAGGCGAGGTACTAAGCTCTGTGTCAAGCCACATATGTATATGTACGTCACGTGATCTGCATGCGACGGCATGCGTGTCATTCATATGACATGGTGATTACCAGCCTAAGGAGAGGTAGTATTGTAGCAGCGTGAACGCTTGTGTCATCTATTTCGAAGTCCATGACACAGGATACATAGAGGGCGAGAAGAAATTTTAGTGCCACCCAATGCGTAGCCATATTTGTTATATTGACGACTCAGCTCACAAGAAATAAGCGAGCACACCTTGAGCCTTGCTGGTTTCTTGTAAGACATTTATCGATTTTCTGAGCTTTCTGGCGCTTGTTTTTAGTTCGATCGCGACCTTTTTAGGAAACCTGGCTGGCCTGCGACGGTGAGGTATGAAATGATAGTTCAAGTAGAGACATTTCCGCAAGTTTCTGGGAAGGCTATATGAGGCCGGAGAGGGTATTTAGTTTTGCATGATTGCCACGCTATCAATTTTTATCTGTATCACCTAAAGCGAAATTTGTGAGGTTAAATGCCGCAGTGTCAATGGACATCTTAAACCACCTAATTGAGTACACTTCTGTTAGAAACTCGGCGATGTAATTTCGTCCGAGGTTCATCTAGATGTAAAGAGCAGAATATCAAGGTAGAAAAAAATCATAGATATTTACACAGTATTTTTGATTGTTTACAACATGAATGCTCCAGACTGATTTATTGATTGCACCTGTCTCATTCATGGGTGCAGTGATATAGATGCAAAATCAAATGTAGGTCTGTAGTTCATCTATGCCTCTATATCTGTGCTCTGATCTGCATCTTTCGCCATATTGTTGATTTAGGCATGTTCAGCCAGTAGTAAAGTGCCACAAACTGTAATACTAGCCCCCTGTTACTCTCATATTTTTTTTACAGTGATGAAGTAGGTAGTTGGCTCAATGGGCTTTTTGTGATACTCAAAGCCACATGGAGAATTTGAAACCCCATTGTCATCTATACTAATATTGCATATTGTCTAAAGCACGTCTTTTGAAGGTTTTAAAAAAGAGTCTCCGATTTTGTTTTGATGAGGGGATTCATCGAAGCTGAAAATTTGGAATATACGCAATTCCTTTACATGTACTTTCGCCTTTTTTTACACCAGCGACTTGGAGGTTGAGCAATTCTCTTTGGATAGTCATGTCATTATCAACTGTAAAATGGAACCAGGCCTAACAGGACGTGACCAGCTTTTTACAAAGTTAACTTGCGGCTATGTTGCAAGTGCTCGAGCTTAGCAGCAGCTTACACTTGTATCAATTTATGTACTGATAAAATTGGAAGATAAAAATGGGAACAGCGACTAAATCGAGATCAAAATTATTGCCAAAGTGATAAGTACTCTGTTAGCGTCTCCCATGGTATTTACCATAAACTTAGCGCAAATATTACAACGCCCTCTTGGTGGCAAATTTCGAATTTTTTACCACCCCACTGTAGTATGAATTCACGGTTGACGTTACAGCTGTCACTTATTGACTATATTGTTCTGTATTGAATTAGATGATGAGCTGTGACGTACATAATTATATACTCACCTAGCTTTACGCTCATCGCATCAAACCTAACGATAAATCGATTAAATCAAGCCTCAGAGTTGCCAATTTGTTATGAATCTTCTTCTGGCGAATTCAGTTTCCTATGTCAACTTTGTACGTTGCTCTAGCCTTCAGTTTATACGATTAAACTCTTCAGGTAAAGCTAGATGGCTTGATCGACAACGGTCTGACTCTTATACAAGAGAAGCGAAACTTCAAGGACTGAGGTCCCGAGCTGCTTTCAAACTGCAACAAATTGATGATAAGATGCATTTGTTTCGCAAGAATGCAAATCAAAGAGTTTTGGATCTAGGGTATGCTCCTGGTGCATGGTCGCAGGTAGCATTTGATAGAACTAGTCCGAATGGCGTAATATTAGGAGTCGACATTTTACCTTGTTCACCACCGCGCGGCGTTAATTCAATCCAGGCCAACATTCTATCTAAAAAGACTCACGAATTAATCAGGCTTTTCTTCTCGAAGCGCTTCCAGCTGTATCAAGAAGATCAATTGCACATGGACCATGGATACTTTCAGCATATGCTAGAGGAAGGCCTTTCAGCTCTCAAAGAAGAAAATGATGATAACGAATCAAGAATAGTACCCAATATAGACGAGAAGCCAATCGACGTTATTATCAGCGACATGTATGAACCCTGGCCACAAACAACTGGATTTTGGAACAATTTTACTAATTCTGCCTACTATAGGATGGCTAATACTACCGGTGTTGCCATAAAAGACCACTACATGTCAATGGACTTATGTGACGCTGCGTTAATTGCTGCTATTGACCTGCTTAAGCCTGGTGGCTCATTTACTTGCAAACTCTATACGGGTAAGGAAGACAAGTTGTTGGAAAATAGGATGAAGCAGGTGTTCAAAGATGTCCATCGTTTCAAGCCTTCTGCGTCCAGAAACGAATCAAAAGAGATCTATTTCGTAGGTCTCAATAAACGGAAAAACGTGGACAAGGTGAAGGTATTTGTTGAATAGCGCAGCAGTCCAATAATACCTGGTACCATTATATTCATGAGCTGTTTCTAATTGATATACAACGTTTTCGACCCGCGGCCTCTCTTGGACAATACATTGGTAGGATATGTATACTACATGTTGGTTGCCTTGGCTTAATGGTTTATGGATATGAGCAATCAATCTTGTGATTCTTCACCCTCTTTCTTCTCATCTTCCGCTTCCGGTTCTCCAGCTGGAGTGCTTTCATTAAGAAGTGGTTCTTCTTTTTTATCATCTTCTGCATCTATATCAATCAATGGCGAGTCCGCAACTTTATTCTCATTCTCACTGACCTCCAAAATTCTTGACGCAATGGCGCCTTTTCCATTTTCAGTTAGACATTCCTTCCACCTCGCTACCATGCTATTAGTGTCTTTCACATCGTCGCTATAGGCCTTCGACAGAATGGTGGCCTCGGAAAATCTTCCGCTTGATGCAAGAAGTTCTCTAGCACTATCAACATCGCCAGCAACCCAGAAGGCGTTGAATGCCAAGTTGTATTTTCCGACTTTCTGGGCTTTATGTCCGAGCTCTACCAGCGCATCTTGATTGTTGAAAGATGAATAGAGTAAGAACAGCGACTCTAGATCAGAAGCTTTATTGTAAGATTCTAGAGCCATTTTGAAATCGAAACACTCTAGAGCCTTGTCGCCAAGCTTTCTCCATTTGAACTCATTTTCATTATCGGTCACTATTTTATGGGCTAGCGACAACTTTCCTAGCTCCAATGCTAGGTCAAATTTTTGGTCGCTGTCGGGGCTAACTTCCAAAGCGTCTTCGTGAAGGTTTTGACCCTCCAAAAACCGAGAAATTTTCAATAAGTTTTCTTTGCCTTCAATATTGGGAAGTACGGTAGTTTTAGCCAGCTCTAGGTCGCCCCTCAAAACCAAAGTCTGGAACTCTAGAACCTCGATGGATATCTCATAGCTGTAGATGTGGACGTCATGGTCTGCCAAGTAGACCTTGTTGTCACGAGGAAGGTATCCAAGCATGTACATTTCTTTGTCGAAATGAGCAAGATTGTAAGACTTACCACCAACAAAGTAGTTTAGTCTGTTGGTCACTGTAGTGTAAATAAAGACGTCTCCTACCCATTTACCTGAACTCATTGGTTCAGTAACCTCATATAGAACCTCAAATGCTTCTTCGATACCATCCTCGGCAGGCTCTTCATCGCTAGCCAAGAAAACTTCGTAAGCTTCTCTATTGAAGTCCAAAACGTAAGCCGAGCTCTCTTCGGAGTTGTTTTCATCAGTATTATTAATCATCATGACAAGCTCACCATTGTCTGACCAAACGACATCGCGTGCATCGACGTCGATCCTTCTGACCAAGGAACCTGAGTCCCAATCAAAGAAGTAAACAAACCCGTCGGCTTTGGCTCCCAATAATGCACCTGCGTACAGTTTCTCCACTCCGAATTCCACAGATACCGACCAAGAAGTCACTTCCTTAAAATTTTTGTAAAACTTGACGTTACCAGTTTCATCGATCAGTGCATAACTATTTGAGTCTGGACCCCAAACGAAATCGTGACATTTACCAAATGCCTTGTTTCTCCATGCTAGCGCGGTATACACGATGTACTCGCCATCGCCAACTACCGTGACAAATCTTCCGTTGGGAGAATGTCTCATAGATTGTGGGAAAACGTCGACAGTTCCCAATTCCTTGGTTTGGAGCGGTATAGGTTCTCCATCAGCCGATTCTTCGATACCTCTGATAGCGGCAGTGAAAACATCAGTGGCTGGAGCATTTTTTCCACCACACCATACCAATTTACCAACAGGATCCAAGGAGAGTTTTGGCTCATCGTTGCCTAAAGATAGGACGGTGAAACCGCTATCAAAGCCTGAGGCGATATAATTGCGCTTGCCTGTTGGGTGAGTGGCGATACACCAACTTCTCTCTAATCCTAAGTTGAGTGTTTTCTCTAATTTGTAAGTGTTTGAGTTCCAAATCTTCAATGTGCTATCCTCCGAGCCAGTAATGATGATTGGGAGAGAAGGATGAAAAACAGCGAAGGAAACATTGGCCATGTGCCCCTCAAGGGTGGCCACGCAGGATTTCGTTTGGTAATCCCAGATCTTGGCAGTGCGGTCGTCGGAGCTGGTGATCAAGTATGGCTTGTCTTGTAGCGGGTAGTAATCAACATAGTTGACCCCTCTCGTTTCGTGAGCGTGAAGGGTGGAGTTCGCGGTGGCTTGACCTAGAGACCAGATTTTCACGGTAAGATCTTGACTTGCCGAAGCAAATGTGCTAGGATCTTTTGGATTGAAAGCCACGCTCATAACGAAATGCTGGTGTCCTTCAAAGGTCTGTTCCAAGGACCAATTTTTCTCCCAGTTCCAGAATTTGATTGTTGTATCATCTGAACCAGAAAGCAAATATGGTCTAGTTGGATGTACCGCAAGAGAACGGATGTAGTCTGGGTGAGCCTCGAAATCAGCGACTTTTTCTCCCGTGTTGTAATTGAAGACTCTGATTTTAAAATCGTCAGACCCTACGACAATCCAGTTTTTGCGAGCAATGAATTTCCCTGCCCTCACTGGAGTATCTGTGACGGCTATAGATTTGACCTCGGTTTGAGTCTCGAAATTCCAAATCTCCACGCGACCGGAATACAGTGTAGTCAAAATCCATGGCTCTGTAGGGTGGAAATCAATGCCCTTCACGCGATCCGACCGATTGGCAAAGGCTTTCTGTTAAGGTGGAGGAGTTAGTAATCCAGTTCTTAACTTAGTAGACACTAAAAAACGTTTCGTCGTGCAGTGTCTAACAGACAATTGCTAGGTCTTGATCTTGCCATATCGAGCCCTCCGTGCAGAAGACATTAGGCTTATCGTTTCCATAGCTAGGAATGTCCATTGAGAAAGTCAAATGTCTCCGATAGTTTTCAACTTACTTTAATATCCAGCTTCATGGCAAGTAAAGGCTATTATTGGCGTCTGTACTTCAACTTTGATGCTTCTGACAACATATTATTAGTAGTGTCCTTTAAGTGATTTTGATATTTTGACGAGATTTGATACAGGTCGTTTTGAACGTCTGGTGTCAGTAAATAGAGTTAATGATTTTGTACTTCGCGGCGAACCAAAGAAGTGAAGATGTAGTTAACATGGTCTATAGTTCATACACTGTTGTAGGGATAATTATTTAGCGAACCACAAGTCCACTATTCAGGATAGATGACACACTTTAAAAATTATTTGGCAAAGCGGCTTGTCGCAGCAAATGCTAGCTTATCGCGGCATACTAATTTCTTCCGATTACTCAAAGTGTTGCTGACGGTATATTTAGCGACAAGTACAGGCTTTGGGACGAATTTGGCGGTTGTTGAGGGACATCCAGTAAGCAGCCATATAGCCACCATTGGAAATGCTTTTCAAACACAAGACAAACTATGCTCAATGGACCACATTGACGGTCAGGGAAGTTATAGGAACCTAGTAAGTACTTTAGCGGGGATTGACGTGCGCACTTTGGGTCAAAGCAAGAAAATGTACACAGGATTTAAATTTCACAAGACTTACCAATTCGGAGGGCTTTTTAAGAAAGTACAGCCTTCATTGAAAATGACTTACTGTAACGAGGGCAGAATCAAATGGCAAACGGACTATTCTTTCGCATCTGACTTAAATTGGAACGAGCCCATGTGTGTCTACGATTTTTCTGCAGTTCCAATTGTGGGTGAGACCAAAAAGTTTTGGAAAACATTTAAGAAACCTAAACCTGATTCAAATGCTAACATAAAAGTGAGCCCCAAATTGCTAGCCAGCCAGGACCTTGACAATTTTCACTGTTTCAAGTTAGTGCGCCGTCAAAAATACGTACACCGTAATGTGTCTTTGTATATGCCTAACAAACAAATTGGGGGATTGTTTTACTGTGACATAAGCAATGGCGCCAAGAAAGATATTTTGAGTCAAATGACTGACAATTTGCATATGGCAAACCTCAAAGACTCCACATTCTGCAACTCAAGCAATGCAATTCCTTTGCAACCGTTAATTTCTGACAGCTATCGTAAGCACTGGACAGAGATTAAATCGGGATCGAAACTCCCATTTCTAAGACGGGTCTCGAGGACCAACATGAAGAAAGTCGTACCATTTATGCATACGCCACTCGCGACTTCCGGTATTGGCAACTTTAGTATTAGAACCAATGCAGCTTCTAATCAGACCATCTCGGAGACACCGAATTTTTCTGTTGCTTCTTTCCTCAGACTAAGCTTTAATTCGAAGAGCGCTAACAAACAATGGTTTGCTGAAATAGATCCCAATGAAGAATATGAAATCGATCGCCAGAATTTGTCGAACAAAGACCGATTAGAGGATTCAATGCACCAAATGGAACAATTTTTAATCCGAGCCAACTTGCGCAACAGAAAAATTATAGAAATCGATAGTGGACCTACTACGAAACTGTCAATTTATGGCAAGACAAGCACCACTGTAAACCACCTTATATCTAAAGGGAAGAAAGCCAAAAAGTTATTCAAACCACTTGGGAAAAACAATTAATAATTCACAACATCGAAACCCGCAGTGTAAGTAATGCAAAGACTCGAGCATAGTGATCCTTGGGCTAATCCAAATAGTAAATTCATAGTCGGGAAACTAATTGAGAATAATGTACATTTGTTTTTAAGAACTTGATAAAAAATATCTATAGTCGCCGGTCTATCAGCCGTAACAGCCTGGATAAAGATAATTCGCGCCTTCTTCATAACCTTCCGTAATAGGAACCATTGTTGTGTGTAAATAAATCGGTTGAGGACGTTGCATTTGCCTGAGTAGCTGCATTTACTGAATCCATGCTTTCATCTCTTGCAAACTCTGAACTCAAACCCTTGTCCGGCATGTGATAAGTTCCAGCAGCCACCAAAGGATGATCGTCTTCTAGCTGTGTATCTAATTTTTGATTCTCAGCTACTTTGTACGATCCCATAAGACCGTTGTTCGACTCTGATTGCTGCCTGCTATGAACTCCAGGATAATCTCTCTTAACAGGAGGAGGGGTCATGGAGGGTTCACGAGAAATTGATGTCAAAAACTCGTCCGCTCCTGCGTTTGCTTCTTTTTTATCAGGATTTACCCTAGAAGAAGTAGATTTTGTTCTCTTAAACGAAAGCTTACGCTTGAGTTTCTCAGCCAGTGTCAAATTGACAGCCTCGTTTTCGTCAGAAGCTGATTGAGTACCTGCAAGCTTTTCATCGGAATAATCCAAGCCTAACCCGTCTTGATCTTTCTTGAGCTTCTGCTGATTATACAGTTCTTCCTCCCAATTTTCATCGTGATTCTTGGCGGTATTACCTAAAGCCATTAGTTCAGCAGCAACTGACTTATTGATTTTACCGTGACTGCCAGATGTTCTCTGGAAAGAAGTTCTGTCGTCTTTTGCAGGCTTAAATCTCAAATCTGGGTTCTTTGAGCAAATTACCAGGGCAACGAAGACGAGAATAAGAATCAAAAGGATCAAGGAAAAAGCAGCATTCAAGATGAAGAAGACCCAACCCATGATCGAGGACACGCTGCCAGGTTGGCCAAAAAGATCAGAAAAGAATAAAAATAAAAATGAATTGACCGTGGTGACTGTCGTAATCAAAATGTTCATGATGTTTGTAGGGCGATCGAAGTATGGTTGAAATTTGATCAAAACGATGAGGTACGCGAGATCAAAGATGAAGATGGCGAGAGCTTGTGTTTTTCCTGATGATTGGCAGAACGAGATGAAAATGGACTTCAGAAGAATATAACCCAAAATGACACAATTCCACCAATAATATTTGGCGCTGAACATCGTGTAGAAGAAGCCATATTTGTCCAAAATTTTTTGATCTCCGTATAGAAGCGCCGCAGGATTATTGCGCTGTTGCACCGAAAGTTTGGCGAAGCAAATTGTTCTGTATGCAGCCCAAGACATCAACCCTAAAGCTTGAATCAAAAATAAAGCAGCAATAACGATGACGGCAGGAGAATCATGCTGAACAAATTCCCAGAAACTCAGTACAGTCAATTGCGTGAACCCAATATATATGTACCGCAGCAGAGTTCCTTTCAAGATGACTCTCCAATTGTGTCTAAAGTCCCAAAATCTAGTATTTTGCACCCATCCGGCTCTAATGCAAAGATCAATAGCATACTTAGTTGCTATGATAAACCCCGCAAGAAAGTATCCACAAAGGACGAAAAAAGTGAAGCCAGTGGAGACAACTGAGGTATTTTCAATGTTAGCTTGGAATGCTAGTCTTCCGATTCCTCTCATTATAATAACATTTGAGTTTCCATATAGAACATCGCTCGCACGTTTATACATGCTAGTGTCCTGTATTCTTTCCACGCTTCTTTGGACCAATACTGCTGTAGATGTAGAAGTCAAAAGAAGCGATGGATCACCGCCGGTCGATTGGACAAACCACCTAAAAATCTTTTGCATAAAGGAAATGTGGATAAGACCCATGGACCAAATTAAGTTTCCAGACCAAGCTGCAGCAATCGGTGGCACTCGGTGGACGTGTTGCATGGATACAACAGCAACGGATTGAAAGTACAGGAACAGTGACATTGTGTTTGCCGAGATGTGCGAGGCAGCGTTAGAATTTCCGAAGGTTGAAAGAATCGCAGAGCATAGAAGGCCAATACCGGCGACAACTGCGGTAGCCCACTTGACTCCGGTTTGTGCGACCGTCTTACCATTTGAGAAGAAGGCCTGAATACAAGCTAGCGTCTGAGTCGAGTCATCACGTTTATAAATGTTCACGCGGACAAAAGCGTCAATGTCTGGCACCTGGTAAGCTATACCAGGAAGTTGACTCACCAAATCTGGGGATATGTACTCGATAGATTCGATCTGCACATTTCCTGGTTGAAGAGGGCAAAACTGTTTCCAGCTTAGTGAGCACAGATCTAGCGTTCTCGTTATGATTTTGAATCCATATGCCCAAACTTCAACTTCAGCAGCAATGTAAGCATCAATTTTAGTTGTCATGGCCAAAGAATAATGTAGAGCCCGGCTATCAGGGTCAAATGAAACATCAAAAGCAGTAGCTGCTAGTTGAGAGTCCGCCATGCAAGTGACCAGAGATGTTGCCACAAGCTTCCGCTTAGCTGCCAGTGAGTGGTGCACCAGACTCAGCACGAATAGTGCTGTTGTGAAAAGTCTCATCTATGTTATAGGTTTGAGAATATAAAGCAAAACGTCAGATTTTCACAAGTGTGTTCTTAGAGCTAGAAAAGCTTAGTTTCAAAGGTCTGGTTTCGAATTTGACCAAAACTATTAGATTCTTGTAGGCTTCTCAGTTAATAAACTCCACAAGTTTCACCCAGTTCGTTATGCGAAACAAGCCCGGATTATGTTGAAGGCAACTGTCTAGCGTACGATAAAACAAAGCTATTCCGGATAGTGTTTTCACGTCTTGAAATTTGCCAGAAACTTTTGATTTGAATGATTTAAGACTTTTGAAGATCCACGAGTGTTTAGTCGGGATGCTGACTTTCGGTCTTATTTTTCTGACTTTGAAGGTCGCGTCTCACGAGGGACACGAAACGTAGTCCTAGTACTCTTCATTTGTACTCATCCACATGGGTTACAAAACATACACATTTGTCTTGTAAACACGAAAACGCTTTCAATGAGCTGTAGCACCCATGTTGGTTTCTAAAGTTTCGCGATGGATCTTGGGAAGTAATAGGATCTGAATAGTTATCATTAAAGACAGTCTAGTATTTTAAGAAATTCACTCTTCGGAATATTTCATCTAATTTTCATTTGATATCATGAGACTAACGCCAGCGTCAGTGCCTCCTAGTGCAAGAAGCGACCAGTCCATACCGTAGCATTCTATTAATAATTCTAGAAATAGAATGGTCTCAACTAAATGGTTCCTCCCTGTACTTGAAATTTCGATTGCTCTTGAGAACCAACGCACCATTCTGTTTATTAATAATTATAGCAGTGGTTATCTAAAGCGCTGCTCGCAGAGTGCTGCTCAGAGGTGCCAATAACAACCTTGAGCCAGTAGATTGGAAACTGTGTGGCCAGCAATAAACAATGGCGTCAAAAAGATCGTCAATGTAATACAATTCAAGATGCCATTCTTCTTTGAGCGTAAGAAGTTCTGGCTTACCTGCAGCAGCTAGGCAACTTTCAAATTGTTCGGGTTCCATGACTGATTCTATGACATCAGGCCTGTTAGATAAGGGCACCAAGACCTTCTCCATACCGAACAACCGGGCTCCTAGCAGCTTTTCTTTAACCCCTCCTATGGGGAGCACTTTCCCGCGCGATGTTATCTCTCCAGTCATGCATAAATTGGCGGGTACTGGAATCTTGAACACTGTGGATAACAACGCAAGTGTGATTGCAACACCTGCACTGGGGCCGTCTTTCGATACAGCACCCATTGGTACATGCAAATGCAGGTCTGAACGCACGAAATCTTCGAAAAGATCGTTGGATAATCCAGTAATAATTCTTCGTTCCCGCAAGGATTTAACTAACGCGACAGCAATTTCAATTGATTCGTTCAAAAGCTTACCCAAATTGCCAGTAGTGCGAATTCGGGGTCCATTTTCACGTCCCTCCAACTTCCCTGTTTTGATCACTTCGAATATCAATACTCCACCCGTACCGTCAGAGTTATAAGCAAGACCATTAACAACGCCGCTTTCGTCAGCAAATTTGACTTGCTTAATCAAGTCTCTGGAAATTGGATGCAAGGGGAACCCAAGATATTTCACAAGTTCCTTAGCCGTTACGGTTTCACACCGGCTATTAAGCGTGCCCTGCACAAACTCGACGACTTTTCCCCGCACGATTCCTGCTAATTTTCTCTCTAGGCCGCGAACACCGGGTTCTCTTGTATATCCGGAAACAATTTCACTCCAAGCATCTTTTGAAAGAATAATTGCCTCCTCTATTTTATCCAAGCCATTCAACCTTATCTGCTTAGGAAGCAAAAACTTGGTCCCTATCTCAATCTTCTCCTCCATTGTGTATCCGGGAATTTCAGTGACCTCCATTCTATTCAGCAAAGGAGCTGAAATACCCGCAACGTCGTTCGCGGTACAGAAAAATAATACATGGGACAAGTCCACAGGAAACCCAACGTAATGATCTGTGAAAGAACAATTCTGTTCCGGATCTAAAACTTCTAGAAGTGCTGCTCCAGGATCGCCGTTTATGCTAGCTCCACGGCCTCCCCCGGTCAAACTCAAGACTTTATCAATTTCGTCCAGCAAAACTAATGGTTTCATTGAGCCGCTCTTGCGCAATGCATTTATGATTAGCCCAGACATTGAACCAACATAAGTCCTCCGGTGTCCTCTTATTTCTGCTTCACTGTAGATCCCAGCAAGTGATATTCTATGAAACTTTCGCCCCAAAACTTCAGCAACAGACTTCGCAACAGACGTTTTACCCACTCCAGGTGGCCCCACAAGTAGCAAAATTGGTGCCCTTGACTGTGAGGCAGACTTTTCGAATGCTTCACCTAGTTTGAGCACAGCAAGATATTCCATCAGTCTCTTTTTAACAGTTTTTAATCCGAAATGATCAGAGTCCAACTTTTCTTTGGATCTGTTGAGATCTATGTTCGTCACTTGTTTATTGCGTACCTTAAAAGGAATCTCCAGTATTACGTCAAAGTAATTTTTGAGTACCTGATACTCCGCACTTTGTGGTTGCATCTTTTTCATCCTTTTCAAATCTTTGCGCAACAAGTTTAGTCCATCTGAGTGAATATCATTCTCGTTTAATCCTTCCAAGAACTTTTCAATTGCTTTAAAATCATCTTCGTCATCATTCACCTCGACGCTCTTTGATTTCATTATGACTTTCTCACCGTCTTTACGATGTGACACCATTGTCCCCTCTCGACTTTGACGGACGAGGCCTAGGAAATCACGCAAAGCATTAAGATGGAGAGCTAAAAAATTGGCTTTTTCTTGAGGCGTTAACCCATTGAGTTGGCTTCCTGCTATTCTAGCAGAGTTGTAAAGGTCCGATAGTAACAAAATGAGTTTTTCCTTTAATTTAATGAAATCCTTCAACCTCTCAGATGGATCGTCTAACGACAAAAATCTCAATCTCTGAGACTCTGTCGTAGGCAAGACAGACACCGTCGTATCCAGTAACGTGAAGAGATTCAAAAACTTCTGCCCCTCTATTTTGCGTGTGTTGAGTTTGTTGTAAGACTTGTTGAGGGCTTCCCACGAGTTTGTGAACTGCGCCCTGCTTAATTGAATAAATAGCAAATTAGCAAGCGGAGACATTAATAGAAGGCTACCAAATTCTCCATCCTTGCGTTGAAGAGATCGCTTGTAGCGGGACCGGAATTCATCAAGAGTTGCCGTCAGCTCCGCAAAGCCTTTTTGTATCTGTTCTGCAGCTACTTCGCGGGCACTCTGGCTCCAAGCGTACGATAACTCAACGTCGTCCTTGGGAACAACCACTCTACTCACCCACAGTTGATTCTTCAAGTTCAGTTCCGGGCTTTTAATTATGGCCCTCTTTAATCCTTTGAAAACGAACACGACGAGATCACTTTCAAGCGAGAATCTTTCCAGCACCGCGATACAACCTCTGGAGCAATCTGTGTCAAGGGAAGGTAGTAAACAAGCATATAATTCAAGTCCTTTACTATCTAGAGAGAACTCATCTACGAATCGAGAGAAGGAATGAGATAGCTCCAATCTTCTTGATTCGCCTTTAAGCTGACCAGTCATGGCTGGTAGGTTGTCTTTCCAGTCAATTTTGAGTTGCAGTTTGTTGCCATTGTTCAAACCGGTCAGTATCTTGAGACCTTGTTGCTTAGGTATGGTGAAACGGTATGAGACACCCGGCAAAGGGACTATCACGGGAGTCGCATCTGGATTTAGGCAAGGAAATGAGGCTTCGAATGGTATCTGACTTTTAACACGCATCGTCTGGTTCATTGCTCGTTCATATAATTAAATCAAAACATTTTAGGGTACCCTAAAATCAAATTAAACATTTATGCCGCCCGTGATGACATTGCGACATGGAACAAAAAAGTAGTTTAAAAGCTTGATGTGTTGTGGTCAACCATTAATGTGAACATTAGGCCAATCTTACACGGTAAAAAGAGGAATATTCAATATATTATAGGAAACTATAAATTTTAGCTTGAGCAAGTTAGTTGCTTCATAAATTTTGTGTCGTCGTCACCATGAGCGGTCCAATCCTGCACTTTCTCTGGCTTGAGGTTTTCATCCCACTTCGAAGAATCGTAGGGATTCACACTCATAATGTACAGTTTTTCTAGATACGACGTGTCAATCTCTGCGTCTGGATCATTCAATTTGTCTCGTTGTTGATCTGTAATGTCATTAATGACCTGTTCGAAAATATGAGCTCTTGGGGTAAAGAGAGGGTTGGATTTCTTCGCCAGATTGTATCGGGAACTATAGTCTGATGGCATTAACGTAACAAAATCATCAATCCAGGCATTAAGCGTCTCTACGCACTCCACAAGCCTTCTGGTTTCTCCGGAGTCAGCTTCAGCGGCACCATCGGCGTGCTTTTCTAGTTTCGAAATTTGAGGTTCGGTAAAAAACACCTTCAACAGACTTGGATCAATTCTGTGGAAGCCTTGACTAACTTCTGTTTTGAAGTCACCATTGTAACCCTGCAACTTGACGAAGAAATTGTTGTAGTCAATTTGTGAAACGTATAATATTTGTAGTAGGGGTTCTAAAATAGTCTTGTTGAATTCAGTTGCCTTCTCTGCCATTTCTGCCAAATTCTCGTTACTAACCTGTATCGGAAAATTAAGATCAAGTCCCAATCTTTTGGACATAATCCGTGCATAGTTTGTGGTGAACCTGAACTTGTATTCATTTGCAGCGGATAAAATGACAGAGTTCGCTCTGGTGATGATATCTTGTTCAGTCTCCTCAGCGAGCCCTTGGAGACCATTTTCCACAATAGATTGAATATGTTTAGGGCCAGCGCCAATCAGAGTGGTCATCGCTTGGGCAAACTTTGTTAGGTTCCACCAGATCGCAGTAGGTTGATTAGCAAAAGAATAGCGAAGTTCAACGTCGTCGTGATTAGGAGTGTATTGCGGTTGAAATTTGTCCAGGAAACTGAAAGGTCCAAAATCCATAGCCAGACCCATTATTGACGTATTATCAGTGTTCAACACCCCATTGAGAAAACCGTAGGCTTGCCAGGAGGCAACCGATTCTGCGTTGAGATTAACAACATGGCGGAAGAAGAGCTCATATTTGGTGTTGTCCTCGAGGGTGATATGGTCAGAGGTTTTCGGGGCAGATATTTTTTCGTTAGCATCAGGGAAATAATCGTGTTTGAAGTTTTCGGGATCAACCAGCGTGGGGAAGTTATCGCCGTTGCTAAAAACATCACTGATGCAAAAATTCGAGAGCTCGACCAGACTTTTGTGGTCTTGCCTGTATCGACACAAATCGAAATTTCCTAATCGAATCCAACTTGGTGCAAATCTGCAATACACAGCACATGGTTCATATGTGGAACGCATAGCCCTCGTTTGTGGGAGCCTGGTAAGCTGAAGTGCCCTAGTAGAAGGAATACCTATATGATGAAGGGCTTCTGATATAATAAACTCACGAACACTGGATCTCAGAACGGCTTTTCCGTCGGCAAACCGAGAGAAAGGTGTCATTCCGGCACCCTTGAGCTGAAAAGTTTGCATAACGTTGTTTTTATCTGGTAAATCAAACAGATTCACAACGCGGCCATCTCCTAATTGACCAGCAAACTGGCCAAATTGAAACCCTGCGTAAGCCATGCTGTAGGGGAAAATGGCCTTGTGCTCATCATAATAAACTTTAGCACCGTTGATTAGGTCCATAAGCTCAGAATCCAACTCCAAGTTGAGATCTTCCAAAGCTTTGCGCGAAGAAAAGAGTGGCTTGTAGTGCGGACGAGGTTCTGGAACCGTGTAAGCGAAGTGGGCGCCTTGCGAAACCATTCTCGGGGTATGGAATTTCTTTCGACGCTCGTTTTCCTCTTCACTATCGTTCAGTTCTATTGCTTTGGTAACGCTGGGTACCAAATTATCAGAGAATAGCTTTTGAGCAAACTTTGAGGTCCCGGACTCCTTCAGCGCTCCTAGGACGGTTCTGGCTTCGCTCATGTTTGAGTGGTAGTATTAGTCGAAGTATGAGGATCTATTCAACAAGTGAAAAACTATGCTTGCATAAAATCACGTTAAAGTGTAGAAAAGTGCTTTGACAAGTAGCTGAGATGGGTGTCCTTATTCAGTCTTGTTTGAGAGCAATTCAAACTGGCGCTGCTTGACTGTGAGAATTACAAACTCGCCCTTAACTGTTTTCGTTAGACCAACATCACTTTGTTCTTAACTGTCGCCTCAACGAAAGACGTTAGAAAACACTTCCTACAGTGCTTGAGGTATAGTGAGGGAGAGAGCAGGTGTACTAAGGTCAGGGGCCAAAGAAGATCATGTGCATATTATTCAGGCGACCTTGTTACTTGACCCAGAACTTAGACTGGCTACTGTAGGAGGCGTACTTAGCTGGACTGCAGGTTCGAAGAGCGATCCTGACTCGCAAATTGATATACGCGCCAAGCGAGTCTTTAAAAAGCTTTGATAGGTATTTTGGTAACTGAGGCGATTTAACTTCATAATTTCTATTTCTGTCGCTATTTGAAATTCTACGCGTCCTACAAAGAGAGGGCCGTCGCAAGGTCGTTCTAAAGAGTGGAGAAACAACATATTTTGATGGGTGTGAGCTTTAGCCACCGAAGAGGTTCTATCAATTTATAGTGCAGTTATTGTGAAGATACTAGGATGCCAGTCGTAGACTGAAACGATTATGTTTTACACATCGAAGATAGCGCCTTTACCATTAATCACAAATTCCGTGTGTGTCCGACTAACCTGTCCCGATCTACTGTGTATGGAGAGCATGCCACTGCGAGACGTTGAAATGGCGAAAAGGGATAAAGAACATTTTGCACTTAGGCTAACGTTACGTTACGCAAAAGCTAGGCAGGCTCTTATGTTCTTCCAGAAGCTAACGAGAAACCCGCAAAAATCTAGAGCATCTCAGCAGGATGTACTAAATTTCAGTTACAAAAGAGACACAGAACAAGTTAAAGCGAGCTCATTGTCTGAACGACAGACAGCTCATTGTTACTATCATTGTTTTCAAAACTTTAAGTTCTTGCAGGGACTACGTCATAGGCCACGAAAGTGTATTTTGATTTTTATACAGATTTCCGTGCTGTAAGACACATTTACACATCATTTAATTGACCACGGTTAATGCCAAAGTTCGGGTCTCACAAGCCATGTCGAACTCGATGCCGGTGATGACAGAACCTAACGCTTCTGGAGATGTACGAGTTGCGCTTTCCAACAGTGAATCGCTTAATCTCAGCTTGGGAGGTTTGACTCTTCCTACTACGGGTGGCAGTACTACCGCTATTAACAGCGGAAGCTCTAATAGGTCACAGAATACGTCAAAAGTTAACGGTGCACCGAATAATCCAGCAGTGGGCGGTCCCACTTTGGCTGATATTTTAGGATCCAACGCTACGCCGCCACATGTGGGTTCCGGCAATAGTAGCCATCCAACGGTCGGTAGCAACGCTACACCGATAGCCAATGATAGATCATCATGTACGTTAACGGGTCCGAACCATACCTCAGGGCCGGCTAATCACAGCACGCATTCGCCAACACACTTTGGAGTGATGCCACAGGTATCCGGTGGTCCCGAGCTGGCTTCAGGGACCACCAACTCGACCACTTCAAGTGTACAAATATGTCAGCGTATGGATGAGGTTAGTGCACGGATGATCGCGATGGAAGAGGTGTTCAACAAACTGTGCTGCAAGATTACTGATCAAGAAGCCACTATACAACTTCTGCGGCAGCAAAGCGAGCGGTTTTTGACTACGATCCTAGCCGAGGTTCGCCAGGTCAACCAAAGCATTCCTATTCTCGACAACCCGGAGGACAACGAGAAGGACGGCTTTGTGACTGATTTACTAAATTCTATCACGAACGTGAGTTCCAACTACTTGAAAAAGGTCAACTCCAATCACACCCAGAAGTACAAGCGCCAGAGAACCTCCTTTAGCGAGTCTGATGGCAATTTGGCAAAACATGACAAGACTGCGTACACTGCCGACAGACCAGCATCCCCGCAAAAACAACAAACAAACGACAAATCTACAGCCAAGACTCCTACTACGTCACAACAGTTTTTTGCCCAACAACAGCATGTTTTTGATAATACTCAGGAGGCCAACACCTCGCAGATCCCGTTACCAAACTATCTCACGCAGCAATCCTTCACTTTGAATCCCAATGGTATCAAGCGGAGAAGAGCTAACACTTCTACGAACAACAACACTCCTACGTCGATCTCAAATCATCAAGATTTCACATCCCTTAACGGGATAGGGTCCATGAGCATGCCTAATTTGGCGCTTGAAAACATGACTCGAAAATTCCCGCCGAATATCAATGACAATACCAACTCCTCAATTATGGACAATGGGCAATCAAGTTCTAAAGTTCGTCATCGCAACATTGATATCCGAGTGGGGTCAGACAGGGGCGTCGATACGGATTCGACTGACGAGGAAGACGGATACCAGGAGGATGATGAAGATCACAACAGCGAAGGGTATTCATCACAAATAGGTCGGAGAAGTCACTTTCGTGGGAACATAACCCGACCCCACGAGATAAACTACCACGGAGCATATGCGGATCTACTTGAGACGGGAAGTCATAGTCTCTCAAGGTCCAGTAGCCACAGACCACAGCGCGAACAACCGTCTAATGTCTATGGCCGGGAGAATAATAGGTATTCTTACGGTATGAACGAACCGCGACTGTCGAACTCTGGCAGTCGTGAAAAAGACTTGAACTACACATTATTGAAAGCCCCGGCAAATGTGAGAGCAATCTGGCAAGAATACACGGAGGGAATAAATGGTTTCCCATCTGTCAAGTTTCTGGAAGAGGCTTATGGGAATAAATGGCGTCTTAAGAAAAATGTCAAGACGTTTGCAAGGCGCAAGCGGCTTTATAAATTCATAGTCAATGGCATGAAACAAGGCCACAGCGCTGACGAAATGATCGACATCTTAGAAAACAGAAGAATCTACAATAACGAGCATGGCGAGGTGAAGAAGCGTACCATTGGATGGCTACAACAAAGCTTAAGCGGCATCTGAGGCGGAGAATATGTCGTCTTGTACTTAAACATCGATAAATAATATTCATTATAAGAAGGTGGGCAATACCCATCTAGTTACTATCAGCATTAAAAGACCGAATTGCATGTCTTGTTGAATCTCCAGTCGTATCAGAAAAGGCTGCAAGTGTTACAACAAATTGGGTAACGAAAAGTAGCGATAGGTTTTGTTAAGAGATCATGTGCTCAACTGTCTGGCTGAACTCCTTAGAGGTGAGTAAATTTCAAGCCGTGTTCTGGCGTTTAGGTGAAGCTGGTTTATTTATGTTTGTTGCGCTAACATCAGAAGTTGCATCATCATGATGCGAAAATCGATAGCTTTTGAGTTCAAAAAGTAAACACGTTAGAAAAGTGGCTTCTGGATCTGCTTGTAAGGGCTACCGGCCCAATTATAAGGGCAAACAGAGTACACAAATGCGACCCCGAAAACTGTCCATTATTGCAGTTGTAGACGAAGTACACGAAGTAGATAAAGTACAGTTTTTGAGCAAACCGTCGTCGAGTAGTGCGCAGATGTCTTGACGACAGGTTTTGAGTCCCTGTAAACAATGCTGGAAATTCTCACGCTTCGGCCAGCTTCTGGCTAGATGTCACAATATGCAGTATTAAACCAGAAAGTCCCTGGTACCCTGGATCACTTTTCCGATCTCCCAACCCACTTCAGGGGCCATCTGGATTCAGTCTTCGTGACCCGCCCTCTTACAACTCTCCTACAACAGGGTTAGCACAGCACCCCTTTTTCCAATTATACCCTAATACATCAGCAGAGCGAACGGTCTCGGCATGCACTAACCCAACAAACTCGTTTCGCTACCTATACGAACATTACACCTATGCATTACTCTATACACTCGTGGCAACGCGTCACTGCTGTTAAATCTCTCATTCTCCACAATTACCTTGACTAATTCCGTCGTGTATCTTATTGACCATCATAAATGCCACGCTGGTCCATGGCTTCTCACTTACGCCACGGTCTTGGCAGCGCGAAAGAATACGGTGATTAGCCACCAGAGATACCTCACAAGATGAAAAAAAAAGACACCACTGACTAAATCATCGCTACACACCAAACTACGTAGCTTTGTTCGTTCCGTTTGCTCACCCACGGACTTTTTTTTGAGTTGTGGCATCGACAGTTCACTCAACATCTAGACATTCTTCGAGAATATCGTGGTTGCCAAGGGATTTGCGATCCGGAAACGCAAGGAATGTGGTTGAAATTCAGAAGCACGGTGAGGAAGCGTAATGATTGGTTTGTAAGAATGCGCCACGTTTGCCAAAGCAAATAAGGGCGTATATAAAGGGGATACAATTGAGAATTGGTCAGAGTGTTATCGAATTCATTGTCAAGACAGTACTTCAAAAATCCAATTCGAAATGGGCTTTTTAGACAAAGTTAAGGAATTCGCCAGCAACAACGACAATGGCAGCAGCGACAACAACAACAACAACAGCAGCAGCAATAGGGACACCTCAAGTGGCAACGATGACTACTTTTCCAAGGCAGAAGGGTATCTAGGCCAAGACAGACTGGACCAGATCAAATCGAAAGTGGGCAGTGACAACTACGACAAGTTTGAGAATACTGTGAGAAACCAATTCTCCAAGACGTCGATTGACGACAAGGGTGACAGCAACAACTCTGGCAACAAGAAGAGTAGCAACAGCTACGGGGATTCCAACGACGATTCTTACGGCAACTCAAACAGCGACACGTACGGAAAGAACTCCGGCGGCGACTCTTATGGGAACTCGAACAGCGACTCTTACGGCGGCTCCAACAGCAATACTGATTCGTACGGTGGGTCTAGCAACGCATATGGGTCTAACAACACCTCTTCTGACAATTCCAACACTTACGGTGGGTCCAGCAACGCATATGGATCTAACAACACCTCTTCTGACAATTCCAACACTTACGGTACTGACAGCAATGCATATGGATCTAACAACACCTCTTCCGACAATTCCAACACCTACGGCACTGACAGCAAGACGAGTGGCTCTCAAGGGGGTGCATACGACAGCGACAGCACTTACGGAAAGTCTGACAAGAAGGGAAAGAAGAACGACAAGGTAAGTTCTGGAAGCGACTCTTACGGCAACAGCTCCAACGCTTATGGAAACGACTCTTCGTCTTACGGGAACAACTCTGATAGCAAGAGCAAGAAGAAGAACGACTCCAGCTATGGAAGCGATTCTTATGGTAAGAGCAAAAAGAATGACGACTCCAGCTACGGCAACGACGACTCCTATGGGCAAAGCTCGTACGGTAACGACTCTTCCAAGAACGACGATTCCTATGGGCAAAGCTCTTACGGCAACGATTCTTCCTCCAAGAAGAAAGATGATACCTATGGACAAAGTTCTTACGGTAACGATTCTTCTTCCAAGAAGAACAAAGATTCGTACGGACAAAGCTCTTATGGTAACGACTCTTCCAAGAACGACGATTCCTATGGACAAAGCTCCTACGGCAATGATTCTTCCAAGACTGACGATACCTACGGACAAAGCTCTTACGGCAACGATTCTTCCTCCAAAAAGAACAAGGATTCCTATGGACAAAGCTCTTACGGAAACGATTCTTCTTCCAAGACTGACGATACATACGGGCAAAGCTCTTACGGTAACGATTCTTCCTCTAAGAAGAACAAGGATTCCTACGGACAAAGCTCGTACGGTAACGACTCTTCCAAGACTGACGATACATACGGGCAAAGCTCTTACGGCAACGACTCTTCCTCAAAGAAGAACAAGGATTCCTACGGACAAAGCTCTTATGGTAACGATTCCAAGAACGACGATTCCTATGGACAAAGCTCCTACGGCAACGACTCTTCCAAGAACGACGATTCCTACGGACAAAGCTCTTACGGTAACGATTCTTCCTCCAAGAAGAACAAGGATTCTTATGGACAAAGCTCTTACGGCAATGATTCTTCCTCCAAGAAGAACAAGGATTCTTATGGACAAAGCTCTTACGGTAACGATTCTTCTTCCAAGACTGACGATACATACGGGCAAAGCTCTTACGGCAACGATTCTTCCTCCAAGAAGAACAAGGATTCTTACGGCCAAAGCTCCTACGGTAACAATTCTTCCAAGAACGACGACTCCTATGGACAAAGCTCATACGGTAACACTTCTTCCAAGAACGACGACTCCTATGGACAAAGCTCTTACGGCAACGATTCTTCCTCCAAGAAGAATAACGACTCCTATGGACAAAGCTCCTACGGCAACGATTCCTATGGGAACAATAACAATGACTCTTACGGACAGAGCTCTTACGGCAACGATTCTTCTGCAAAGAATTCAAACACTTATGGAAACACTTCATACGGGAATCAGAGTTCGAACGACAACTCGAACACTTATGGAAATGATTCTTATGGCAATCAAAGCTCTAGTAATAACGACTCAAGCGCTTACGGAAACAACGATTCTTACGGCGGAGACAACTCATACAACTGAGTCATGACTCGTAAAGACACGCATGAATGCTGGTGAATCGAAATGTTTTAATTATGTACGACTTTATGCAGGCAAACGGCTAAGCTATGTATGAGTTTGAGCTGACCAAAATTAAAATAAACGGTAGAAAATATTCACTTGCGTTGGAATGTAAGCCTAGTCTCGCCATGTTGAACGGTTGGAGACGGGCAGCGAAGCACCATTAACATCCTTACACCCTTGACGTGTGGAATGGGGTTATTCTAGATCAATATGAGAGCCTCTTGAGTATGTGAATGGAAAACGGCTAGGGCGAGTCTGACGCTTTGGTAGAACGCTTGCTATGCCCAGCCAACTTTTTCCATTGACCACTACGGGCTTTGACCACTGCGCGCTTTGATAACTCATTTAGCGCAGTCAATATATTCAGATCACTTCGTACTAATCTGTCATAGCGGAATGCTTAGCGCACTGCACAGTGACAACTTAATGGGTTCACGAAGGCGATTGCAACCATCCGCAAGCGCACTGGACAGTAACAGAAACTCTTCTTAAAAACAAGAGAAAACATCTGTATATAATAACATCTATATAAAACAAAACATAGTACGAAAAACGCCCTCCCCCTTTCCACCAAACGATGTGATGCGAAAGATCCCCGTGCAGACGCGCAAGTCTGTGGATCTTTTGATCGTCGAGCGCGGGGCATGCTATTTTGGAAATGGTGTGCAACTATCCTGTTGCACCAATAAATGGTCCCCAAGGGAAAAAGCGCTAATTGGTGGTCCGGGAGGCCGCATTGAAGTCCGAAACAGAGCCAGCTGTGGAGCTGGATGCGGACCCGGAGCCCGTGGTCACAGTCGTGGCTGCGACGTCGGGCTGGCCACGCTTGTGGGCATGGGCGCCGTTCGTAGTGAGCAGGTCGGACGAGCCGTCCGAGGAGGCCAGGCTGGCCGTGCTGGAGCCCAAGCCGCTGTCACAAGTGCCGGCGATGCTGGGCCTCTTCAAACCGGCGTTTTGGCCGGCGCTGGGATCGACGGCAGCGTTCGTATTCGCGCCGTCGGCGTCCTTGGCGAGCGTCGGAACGCGGCCCGAGTACGACCGCAGCCGCTCGGGAATCATTGCGGGCGAGCCGCTCAGGCGCGCGCGCGCCTGGTCGAACAGGTTGGACATGGTGTGTGGGTGACGGAACCGCCCTCTAGTCGTTTATCTTACGGTTCTGCAACCCGGTTTTCGGGTCGTCTCGTATCCAATGCGCTGACAAACCCGTTGGGCCGTTGTTGTTGTGGTTATTGGTATTTGGGTTGCGTGGCGTGCGAGGGAGACGCGGTACGGATGGTGGCGGTGGTTTTTCGGTTTGGCCGCCCCGTCTGAACAAAAAATTCCTACTGCAAAACCCAAGTGACGCAATAAGCGGGAGAGCAACCGATGGGGTGCAAACTAGAAGAATGTGGTAGTGCAAATTTCGCTGAAACTCGCTACCCATTCGGCTACTCAGTAGCTTCGATCCATAGCCCGCTTTATATACTTTTTGAGATACGGTGGATCCGTTGCGCAAGAAACGAGGTTTCGCACGCAGTCCGGGACCACCGTATCGAGCAGAAGAAACACACAGACCACAGATGTAGTCTCATTGTATTTTGCGCTAGCGGGGGAGAAGCGGGCCAAGAGCCAGTGGTGGGAAAAAAAAAAGAGACTAGGGAAGAGGGCCAGGAGAAACAACCGGCGATCCCATATACATCGCGAGGATCAGGACGAGTACAGCGGGGTGGGGAGGAGGAGCCGAGTACTCGCAGAAGAAAGGCGACGAAAGAAAAGAAAAAAAAGAAAGGAGGCAGGACAGAAAAAAAGAAACGGCCTTTTTTTTCCTTTTTTTTTTAATTAAGGGCCAACGGCGGGTCACTTGGTACGCGGGTGCGAGGGAGCGGTGCGCGGTGCCGTGCCGAATGACCTGGATTCGACTGTGTGTCTCGGGAGCAAAACCGCCCACCAACGTAGCAAGCAAGCAAACAGCAAAACTGCCAGGGCGCGGCTCTGGAGTCGATCCTCTGGTCGGGACTGGAGGGTCTGGTGGAAGCGCGGATAGATGGCGGCGGGCACGTGCCGTGACCTCATCGTTGGCGAACAAACTCCACTTCGCTTCCCAACAACTAATATTTGCTCTCTCTCCTCCTCTCTCTCTCTCTCTCTCTCTCAAGTTACCCTTGGATCCAGCCACCAGGGGTACCCGAACGGAAGCCAAATGGAGGGCCCAACGGTGGCCAAGCCTTGGGACTAGACCTCGGTCCCTTTACAGAATTTTGCTCCAAGAGTGCGTAAGGTGTGCCCAACGTATCCTTGCTTGTTTGCTTGCTGGCCGCCTTTGCTCGCTCCTTTGCTTGCTCCCCTGCCCGCTCCCCTGCTGTCCAAAACATATAAAAACTGCGTCTCCTTCAGCATCCTTCTTGCAACGACCCTTGCACTTGTTCACTTGCCTCAGTAAAAACCACTTCCACAAATGTCCAATATTATTCACAAAGTATCCGAAAAGCTTACCGGCCACGGTCACAACGACGATGAGCGCGATGACCAAGGCAACACGTTGAGTAGCGAACAGCAGCAGTTCCGTGACGACGATTCCATGCCAATGCCCTCCCAGCACGTTGGTGCTTCTGACACCACTTCGTCCTCGCACCAGATGCAGAGCAAGCGTGGCGGGTACCAGCAGCAAGAAAGCAATCTTGGTGGAGACGCTGCCCGCTTTTCCAGCAACCGCAGCGATCCAGGACAACAACAACAACAGATGCCAGGACCAATGATGGGTGGCCAGAACGTGGACAACGAAGCGTGGGATGAAGACGACGACGAGACGGGAAACCAAGCTGGTCAAGGCAACCGCGGTAAGGGTATGCGCAAGAACGACGACTACGCCGATGAGTTCCAGAAGCGCTACTGGTAAGAGTTGCGGCCACAACGACGCGCTGGCCAGCCTTATGACACAGCCTTATAGTTAGTTAGTTACGAATGATGATTATGATCTAGTTAGTTAGTAAAAAAACAATGGAAGTTGAAACTGGAGTGGTACAGGAGTGGTACTTGAGTAGCACTGGGGTAGTACTTTCAACGATATACCAATATAGGCCCGCAATTCGTCGCATTCCTACTACACACACAACCTACACACACTTACACACACCTACGCACACCCTACGCGCACCACTATTGTCTGCTTAATATGCTCATAAAGTGTTTTATTTCTCGTGGAGCGCTACTTAGAAAATTGGTCTCTCTACTCTTAAATTGACATCCAATATCTTCAACTTGCTGAAAGCCAATACAGAATAGCAGCACAGCCTGGGAATGACACTTGAGATATGCCCAGATTTGTCCCACCCTCAAGTTCTGCCATCACAAAGCGATGGCGAAGCGCCAAAATTGCCACCGCTAGGTAAATGGAACGTCCAAGCAAGCTCCAACGCTACACCTTTGTCATCGCCTACTCAAAAATTCCCCACAACTAGCCGCTTCAAGAAAGCTCACGAACCAGTACCGTCACATTCGAATTCAGATCAGTCTACTCCGCATGTCCAAAACCAACAGAAGGCAAGACTCAACGCCCCATTTGATATAACGCAGATCGAAACCCGAAAGCTGGAATGGCCTACGAACTCAGAACCACCACAGATCCTAAAGACGGACTCCGGATTACAATACACAATTCAAGACGGATCCGTGCCCTGCTTCAAAATTCTACGATCCCAGCTCCCGGATCCAATCGCATTTTATGAACAAGTGGAGCCAGTAAGTAGTAGATATGGGGCAGCTTTACTCGAGATAATTGAAGACTCAAATTTACCGTCTGAAACCAATAAATCTGAAGAAGGGTCGTCATCTGATGGGGTCACCAACTTGGCTTTGAATCCGGACCTTTTTTGGTTCAAAGCTCGGAAACAGTCATTGGGATCTTTTGAGATCGAAAGGAAGAAGAAGCTGGATCTCCATAGAAAATTGTATCACTACCACAACAAATTTAGAGGTGAAAAGAAAAATCCAAGCCTCAGCAAAATCCCTTGTATAGACAAGAGACCGCTAGATTTGTACAGACTCCGCCAGTGTGTTCAACTGAGAGGTGGATTTCAAACAGTTTGTAACAAAAAGCTTTGGGCACAAATTGGAAGAGAGCTTGGATACTCTGGCAGAATCATGAGCTCTCTATCAACGTCCCTGCGATCTGCATATTCGAAAGTGCTGGCTGACTTAGACAGAGAAGATTCAGAAAACGATGTGGCGGGCACTGTTATTGAACAAGATGCGCCTGCCAAGCTACAGATAATATTACCGTCTTCAACTACTGACGATCCAAGGACTTCCGGCTCGAAAAAGAGAAGTAAACCGGGCCTTCCGGTAATATGTGAAAATCGCATTAAAAGGCATCAACCGTCACAACCTAAAGTATATGAGGTTGTTGGCTCAAGCATCGAATACCCCCGATTACGGGACGTTTTAAGGTACAAAGGATTTTTTACCAACTTCGAGAGTCTTACCGAGCGCAAGAGGCACATCACAAGGCCTTCAACTTCTACTCTGCCATGTTACAGCTTTTCGCTATGGAAGAACACGTCAGAAAATTATGACAAATCAGCATTTGAATCAAGAGATTCTCCCCTTTACAACCTGAGGCAATACTATGAGAAAGCTCAAGCGCATTCTAAGCGTACGTTTGAGATTTGCAACCGAAGGCTGCCCCAAGCTACATCTACTGAGGAAATAATGGACATAGACAAGTTCGAAAAGCTTTTTTTTCAATTACTATCAGACACAGGCTCGTCTTGTGATGTGGACACTGCTATAAATCTTCCTTCTTATATGCATGGTTCAGGTTTTCCAACGTTGTCATCACTGGCAGAAGGTGTTTCGGAGAGAATATCCGATCCTTGGAACTTGAACAATATTTGTCTGTCAGAAAAATCGGTGCTACGCTACCTTGATGCAGACTATGGAAGCCAACTCAACACCAATTTGGATATTGGGATGCTATTTTCCGTAAAAGGTTGGTCCACCGAAGACAACTTTTTACCTGGTGTTGACTACCATCATGTGGGCTCATCAAAGTTGTGGTACGTCATCCCTCCACAAGAGCTAGAAAAGTTCGAGAAACTTATAATTGAATCTAAGAACAGAAAGCCTTCGCCATCAGTGTCCGGCACAGGTAATACAGAGGAGAAAGAATTTGAAGAATCTGAATTTTACCAGAGTTTCATTGATACTACTCTTGAGAAGAGTGTGTCTATTCACCCGCGAAGAATCAACACCCACTCAATATGTCGGTCAGAAATGGATCAACACATGGAATTTGGATATTTGGCGGACGATTTACAATTTCATCCAGAAGTGTTAAAGATGTATGGCATCAAATTCTACAAAGTCATCCAAAACCCTAAGTCTTACCTTTTTAAATTTCCTAAGGCCAACACGATGAGTATTCAATCAGGGTTTGGCGTATCAGAAAATGCTCGTTTCGCCCCTTCATCCTGGTTAGACTTGGCGATCGATAGTGAGTTATGGCTTTCGAAATATGGGCATTTACCAGGCATCTGTTCATTTCAACTTTTGTTTAACATTGTTTCCGGATCTGATAATAAACACCTAGTTGCAAAAGCAAGAAGCATACTTTCCGGGTTGATTACCGAGGAGTTAAAGGCTAGGAATGCATTTGCGCGCATGCTGGAAGACAAATTTACAGTAGTGACTAACACCTTTGATTTTATCTCTGACTTAAATCTTGAGCCCACCGGGGCGTCTAAAGTATTATTAACTAGTCCCAAAGATTGCCTCACGCTATCTCTACACCAGTTTCTGTCCAATACTCTCGTCAAAGAAGGCCAATTGAATGTGTTCGGCTATGATGTTGCGAACAATGGAATTAGCGTTTCATTACACTTGTTCTACCCGACTGAAGTTCTGGAATCATTAGTACAGGATGACCAAGCCCATAGTGACGCCGCTGCTGTCTTTTCCATAGATGGAGCTAGCCACAACCGTTGTGCGACATCAGATATTTTGAAATCTTATGAAAAATTAGTTACTGAGGACTGCAAGGGTAGACGAGTCCCGTTTGAGAAGGTTAGCATGTACAGCGAAGCTCTATCTGAAATGTCATCTCCGATAACGCACTATTTGAAGGAAAGTGTCACAGTATCCCGGACGCTAAAATCAAAATGTGTTGAGTTACTCGAAAAGGTGTCTAAAGATCGACAAGACTACAGATTTCTCGGTTTTGGCACGGGCTTCCTTATCAAAGATTTACCCATGCCACAATTTCAGTATTCAGTTAATGAGCTGTTAATTTTGCAACAAGATTTACGATGTTTGTCGATTGACTTTCCTGAAATGCACAAGGTCTTCGAACTGTGCCGATTGGCTCAGAAGTTCCAAATTGATGCAAAATTCGCGATCCAAAAGGGCAACCTTGAGCTGTTGCGTGATATTTGGGTAAACGGCATAAATCTTGGTGTGAGATCAAGATTCCACAAAATTGTTGCTAAAACTGTCTGCGAGAAAGCTTGGCTAACAATCTTTGATCAAGCTATTGCAGGAAATGGCAATACTAGCTCAGAGGACCATGAATGCTTTCATACAAGTGATCTGCCATTATTCCTGAGGTTCGGTTTGCGGAATGTGCCAGAAAGTGAGCATCAGGATAAATTTCTAGAGGTGCAAAGAATTATTCTGCTATCACAAACGACTATTACAAAGTTAAAAGGTCTTTTCAAGAAAAAAACCAGTAAAATACCGATAGCCAAACTTGGAGAAGTTGTCAAGTCCATGGAACAGCATCCTCTTTTGTTTGATGCAAGGTTAACGGCTGCCTTGAAAGCAATACTGGAAACTTTTCAAGGAAGCAAACAAAAAATGGCTTCAGCTTTTGATAAACTAGAGGTTAATGATCATATCTTAAGCAAAATACCAGCTAGGGCCTCGGGCGAGACCCTCTTTGATATGCAATTGACTGATAAATTTGATGGATCAATGAGTGATCATCGGTTGACTTTACATGAAATTCCTAACAAGTCTATTTTCACCAAGCATATAAGAGATTGTAGAACTTGGTTGCAGTTGCTCAACAAACTAGTACCTAAAAAGCAATCATGGGCTAAGATTTTAACGTCAACAAATCAGTGCTTCCAAAACAAGATTGACGTTTGGGAACCGCGCCCTAATAGTAATGATGAAAAGGTTTACTGCTTTTGCCGCCGAGGTGACTTCGGGAGCACGATGGCTGCATGTGAGATATGTGGTGAATGGTATCATATGTCGTGCATTAACAAAGGTAAATGGACTTTGGGAAACAGTGAGAGCAGCGTTTTCGTTTGTCCCATCTGCTACTCGTTGGATATTCCTAACACTAATGTCGTTGATTACTCCGATCTTCAAGCATTAGCTATGGAGTCGTGTAAGCTAAAAATTATCCCAGATCGGCTAATGTTCAGTCAGTTTTTCGAGGTTTTCAAGATTGCGACTTTATTTAGGAAATGTCTGAGGCAATCCATTTTGAAAGAAGATGGAACTATGCGCCCCGAGGTATCGCTTTCACACGTCAAATTTTATCTGAGAAAACTTCTGGGGAGCGGAGTCAGACTGAGTCAGGAGGTAGCTACATTGCGCAGCGCTTGTCGTGAATCGGATGCTCAAAAATTCAAGAGTTTTTCGGAGAAGAAGATCAATGTTGTTACAGGATTCGAGGACCTCGGAATAAAAGAGGAAACACCGGTGGTTTCAGAGGCCTCATCTGTTATTCTCCAGGACCAAAAAGATACAATTCAGACGCCGAAACATGAAGAGTCTTTAACAAAAATGATTCACCCGTGATAGAAGTTGAATTGAACTGTTGTCCACTTATGTGCATCGCTTTCACTTCAATAACATACAGTAATATAATTTGCATAATCTGATCAATCACAGCTTAATTATCTTCTCTTCTCAGCATAATCTTTAAAAACCTATTTTCGAATTCTTCAAAATACCTGGGTGCTATTTAATCCTAGGCCACAACCTTTGAAGCACTTAAAAGGATATAAAGCACCAGATACAGGCATGATAAAGTGTGGATATAATCTTTTGATTGCAACAAGGGGTCATTGCTTTCAAGAGTTCACATTGACTCAATTGAGCCGGCATTCAGCTTGCCGTAAACGTTCTATTCATTTAAAAAATAAGCTATTAGGAAATGAAAAGAATAAACCTCAATTGCATGCACAAACTTTAACTGAAGCTGAGAAGCGACTGGAGAGGCATCCAGAGTTTCAGCACTTCGCGGAGACATTTCAGGATTCAAAGCATCAGCATGTACATATGCAACAATCTGAAACCATACAAAACGATTCGTATCATTTAGGCTCGATGATTCACCGGGTCAGTGATCAAAAGCGGCCACATAACCATTCGAAAGTTAATCCACTATTGACGCTGAGTAAATCTGAGTTCAAAAAGAATCCTGGGGTCAGAATTACGTGGATTGGGCTATTGATAAATGTAGGAATGGCAGCGGGTAAATTTATTGGTGGCGTAACTTTTCATTCTCAGGCTTTAGTGGCAGATGCAGTTCATGCTCTGTCTGATCTAGTTTCTGACTTTTTGACGTTGTTCTCAATAGGCCTATCTGCCAAAGACCCAACAATAGAGTACCCGCGTGGCTATGGCAAGATCGAAACATTAGGTTCTCTTTCTGTGTCCGCGATCCTGACATTGGCAGGCTTATCGATTGGTTGGAGTTCACTGTGTGCAATCGCGGGCCCTATTATTCCACAAGCAATAATGGACATATTTGTAACTCATTCTCATTCTCATTCTCATGGCGCTCCCGAGGATGTCACCAACATCAATGCCGCTTGGATAGCAGCCGGGTCAATAGCGGTCAAGGAATGGATTTTCAATGCTACGAAAAAAGTTGCAACGCAAACAAATTCGAATGTGCTGTTGGCGAACGCTTGGCATCACCGGGTAGATTCATTAACGTCTTTGGTCGCACTCGTAACAATTTCGACAGGATACTTTTTCGACATTCAGTCTTTTGACGCCCTAGGTGGTTTACTGGTCTCAGGACTTATTGTCAAAACTGGAAGTGATGGTTTAGTGTCAGCAATGAAAGAATTGATCGATAAAGCAGTTCCGAAGAGTGACAACCGGTATATCAGCGTAGAAAAAAACTCTTTAGAGATCATAAGCAAGATGGTTTCAAACAACAATTCTGGAAAACCTTATAAATTACAAAACTTAGCCGTGATGGGATCGGGACCGAATATTCATACAAAGATGGTTTTGGAGGTTCCTTTACAAAGATGGGAGAACCTTCTTACGATAAAAGAATTTGAAAATGTCGCGGATCACATACGAAGTTCCTTGAGGGAAAACATTCCAAATTTACTTGACGTCGAATTGGAATTTGTCGAAGAGAAACCTCAATTAGACGCGAAACAATCACAAGAAGCTGAGAAACAGAGGCAAATGGGATTTCCTCCGTTGCCGCATACCGAAGCTAGTAAAGATACAGAAATTACAACCACCCGGCATTCTCATTCGCATTTTGGTGGACTCGGGGACCACCACACCCATAAGCATTGAGGATAATGATAATATTATATGACAGTTAATGATGTTTATTGTATAAGACAATTAATGGCAACGAAACAGCGCGGACGTAACGAAAAAGATTCCCATTATGCTCACTGATGGCCAACGGCCCAGTCGTTTAGCTTGTTCTTGTTTCTGGCGATTTCAAATGCGTAGAATTGCAATCTCACGACGAAACAGGTACTGAATTGGCCGTACTCTGCTGAGGAGTCGGTTCTCAATAGGGTTCCAAAGTTGTAATCGTCGACTTTTTCTTCGAAAAGCTTGAAGAACGCTCTCCATCTTTCCTTGGCCTCTTTGGTTTTCAGCTCTTCTTCACTAAACTTGCTGAGTCTTTTCAGGTCTTTGTATTCAGGGAAATGTTCTTGAAATTTCTCGTAAATCTCATCGTCGAATTTGGTCAAACGGAGCTTAGAGCCAGCAATTTTTGTGATCAAGTTCCAGTAGGTTTCGGCCTGTTCAACGGCCACGACCGCGAATTGTTTTTCCAGGTCTTCCAAATTCTCAGCGGTTTCTGCACTAAAAGTAGAGGGAGCTGACATTGCCTATGTTGTAAGTTGGTATTAGTAGAAAGAAGTCCTAAAGTGATACGCTAGTATTAAAGGTCTGCGTGATAGCGAGATATTGTCAAAGCTAAGAAGAAGGGCAGCACTGGCAGTCGAATGAGATCTTTTTTATGTAAAGAAGTACTCGCTTCTCGAATTTACCAGTATTTTCCGGAAACTTTTTTTCGTCCCGAGTGATGGTAAGCTGAAATGAAGTAAATGATCACTAAATACGTTTACATGTGCTGACATCATCGCAGCTTCATCATTATGTACGCAATATAACCTCACACGAAAACTCTCTTGAGATCGTGATATTTTCTCAGACCTCATAGAGAAATAATGATATTGCTAAATGAATATAATAGGGTGCTACGTTTTAAATCAAATTCGCGATGCTCCTGGATGCTTCCTAGATTTATTCACACTTCTGTTTCTAGAGTCAACACAAAGATGCCACTTGTAAAAGCTGCGTGCCTGATTATTGGTGATGAAGTACTCAATGGGAAGATCACAGATACAAACTCAAGATTTTTTGCGCAGTATTGCTACGGGCTAGGGATCCAGCTGAGAGAGATCGTTACTATTGGGGATCAAAAAGACCAGATCTCGCAGACTGTCAAGAGACTCAGCGCCGAAAACGACTTTATTATCACATCTGGTGGTATTGGTCCAACTCATGACGACATTACGTACGAGTCTATAGCAAGCGGATTCGACCTGCACTGCGAACTGGACCAGGAGTGCCAAGATCGAATGCGGAAAATTTCGAAGCCCGAGCAAAGACATGATGCAGAATCACTCAAAGATTTTTACAGAATGGCCACTTTGCCCAAGGGCCCTGAGGTCCACAACCATTACGTTCTCGACGAGCTATGGGTCCCCATAGTCTCGATCCGTAACAAAGTTTATATTTTGCCTGGGATCCCACAGTTATTTGAAAGACTGCTCCATGCGTTTGAGCCCACTTTAAAACGCATCTACCAGATCAGCGAACAGAATCCACACCTATATCAACGCTACTTTGTTAAGACCGCGAAGTCAGAATCACAAATTTCAGCATTCTTGCGTGAACTTCAGGGCCGGTGCACCCCAGTATCTCGTGAAATCAAGATTGGTTCTTATCCCCATTATGGGATGGGTTTTAATACCGTTAGCATTTTAGGCCTTAAAGAACACGATCTTTTCCTAAAAGAATTGGTAAAGGAGGCGGTACAAAGGTTGAATGGAACTACAATTACCGCTGAAATGGAACAGAAGTACTCGGATTCCAGATTGTAGAGGTAATGTGTACGGATAAATTTGAAATCAAATATTTTACCATGGTAGTTTCGATGAGTAAAAAAAGTCGTGCAGTTGCACAGTATTACGCATATGAATTCGTCCCGCTTTCAACGATGTCGCATATTTAGGCATATTTAGCCTTCAGTATGAATAAGCAAATGATCGTAACCATTTTTTGAAGAAATATATCGTCGAGCAAATATCGTTTTGTAATAGACTTACATCTGCCGTTGTTAAAAATATAGATACTTTTTATAGAATGCATTCACTGTGAAGAGCACACACTCCGTCAGTCGGCTGTCCTATCGCACTCTGTCACAGGTATCACTACCGATATAAATCAAAAACAGCAATGCTCGTCTTTATCCTCTAATTCTATAACATACACAAAGATAACCCACTTATTATCCAAAGATTAATCTTCTTCATCATCTGTATCGACAGGTTTTGGGGTGCCCTTAGGAGAGTTCAACCATTCAATGTAACGCAAACGACGTCTTTCAACTTGGATTTTCTTCTCGTTTCTGGTCAATCTTTTCACTCTTTGCTTCACCTTGATGTTAGCAGGCGAATCGTCGTCTACTACAGATGGTGATGCTTTAACACTCAAGCCTGTGGCATTGGCGTTACCGCCATCTTCAAAACGAGTCTGGTCAATTGCGTTTACACCCTTTTGAACCATCTTACCGTTTTCAACAATCCATTGTTCAGGGCATAAGGCACCCACAAATTCGTTGTTATGCGAAATCATCACAACACCACCAGTCCAGTCACGAATAGCAACAGCCAACGCACCCAGGGAGTCTCTGTCTAAATAATTGGTAGGTTCATCCAGGACTAGCAAATGCGGATTGTTCCACATAGCACCAGCAATAACAACCTTAACCAATTGACCTCCCGAGAGCGAACCGAGAGGCGTGTGATTGGCGATCTCAGCATCCAGACCCACATCCTCAAAGTGCTTTGTGATGACAGCAGGAGTCAATTCACGATAACCTAAACCTTCTCTGGAAGCTTCATGATCATCAAATTTTTGAACCAACTTGTCAAATCCATTCTCCAACAAAAGCTCCTTAGGAACCCAAGAATTATACTTTGGCAACCAAAACTTCCATTTGACCTCGTATTGGAAGGACTTTCTCAATTTCGATCTACCGACAATGGCTTCAATAGTACGCATACCTCTTCCATCGCCAACATCAATTTCTTTTTCCATCATATCTTTCTCTTGTTCAGAAATTTTTCTCGATTCCTTCAACAAAACCTCTCTATCATCACCAAACTGATAACGCCATTGTAGATATTGATTAGCAGTCTTCTCCTTATGCATGTTGACATGTTGCAAGGCATGTTGGGCAATGTACCCGATACGAAGGTTGGGATGCTTTTCGACCTTACCCTCTTGAGGAACAAGTTCGCCAGTTAGAATCTTGATAAGTGTAGATTTACCAGCACCGTTAGGGCCCAAAACGGCTACTCTCGAGCTCAACGACAAAGCACATGAAGTACCGGTCAAGGAAGGCTTTGCGGCACCAGGATATCCGAAGGTAACACCTGTCATCTTTGCTACAGCTCTGGTATTGGATTTTACACCAGTTAAAATACCTGGTGGCGGGAAACGCATCTGAGCATTCGAATCAGTAAGAGTATAGTACGCTTTAGCTTCTGGTTTTTGATCGACAAAGTCGGCCAAATTACCTTTATAGTAAGCCAATTTTTTGTTTTCGTAATGAATAATATCGGTGCACACAGCATCAAGGAACCCAGAGTCGTGCGACACAATTAACGATGTGATCTCAGTATGCTCTAGCAAATAATCTTGCAACCATTTAACGTTTGCAACATCCAAATGATTGGTAGGTTCATCCAATAAAAGAACGTCAGCTTTCTGCAACATAGCTCTTGCCAACTCCAATTTCATTTTCCAACCGCCCGAAAGTGACCCAACAGTCTGCGCCCTTCTCTCGTCATCAAAACCAACAGTTTCCAAAGCATTAGAGATTTCATCGCGAGATACATCTTGCAAGACAGGATCTTTGGCGATGAAAGAGGCAAGGTCCAAATCACCCTCTTCTCCTTGTAGCTTATGCTCGACAAAACAAGTTCTCAAAGTATCTTTATCAGGGAACCCTTCAAGTTGACCGTTAGCAATCGATCTCATTAGAGTAGATTTACCAGCACCATTTCTTCCGCACAGACCGTAACGGTGACCCTTCAACAACCGCAAGGTGGTTTTGTTCAACAACATTCTTGAGCCGTAAGCTAGAGAGAAATCCGTGTTAACGATTTCAATTCCTTCATTCTCGTCGTAAGCAGTCTTTTCTTGATGGAAAATCTGTCTCAAGTCATGGATGAAATGAGTATTGATATTCTCAGCATTGTCTTCACCGAAAACTAGAACGAGGAACTCCGAAAGTCTTTTCCAATCGTTAACATTGGCATCCGCAGTCAAGATTTTAGAGAGGTAAACCACAGGCTCCTTATTTTTGTTTTCAATCAGGTGAGTGGCACTAGCCCCAGTCAGGAAATGTAATCTTTCACTCAAAAATTGCAGACCATGTTCATACGTTATTTTACCTGGGAACTTTCCATCATCTTCTGAGTCATCTTTCAACACTTTCAAAGCTTTCTCGGCTAGTTCACGAACTTCAGGTAAAGACGCGGTGTTTACAACTTTCTCAACTCCTGGCATTAGCTGAGGAATGAAATGCTGAATTTCGGAACGGTTGTTGACTAACCTTGTCAAATTCTCGATAACAATAACAGTTTGTCTCAATTGCTCCTGCGATGAAGATGAGAGATTCAGAGATCTACTCAAAATGGGGACTAAAATACTCAATGCAGGCTCAGTAACTTCAGCAACAAAGGTAACGCTCGAAAGCGACTTGACCGAGTTTGGAACCTTGGTTGGATCTTGCAATGTGTCGACAATGAGTTCGAAACGTGGCGAAAGATCTAAATTATCCAAAATCGACACATATTCCAACAAAGTCTTATGACCCTGCTTAGCTAGTTCTGGTTTGAAATCTGTGGCCACGTCGGTTAGTACTGGAACAGCGTCTTTGAAAGTGAGTTCCAGCAGATCGTTGGGAGATTCTTCTCTAACACGGTCAACCAATTTAAGAGCCGCTGATTTGCATTGCCACTTGATACCGGATTTTAGGTATTCTAGTAGTGTGGGCAGCACAACACAAGTTTGAGCTTCGATGGGAAACAGACCGAAAATCGAATCGATGGCATGTTGAGCAGCACGTCTAACCGAGTTTTCCTTGCTTGCGATAGTGTCTAAAGCAGAAGGTAGCAATGGTAATAAGAATGTTTCTTGTGGAGACTTGCCAGCAAAGTTCGAAGCCAGTTGAGAGATAAATAGCATACCAGACTCTTGCACTAGCGGCGCATTCTTGGGCTTAGTGAGCTTGGAGATAATGCTGGTTACGTCCCATTTCGCTATTTCCTCTGCAGAGCGGCCTTCCTTGTTAAACTCATCCACTGCGAGTTGAATTTGTTGTCTGCAGTCTGCCAGAGACGCACATTGAGGAAGAGCTGAGAGAATACTTGAGATGGGAGTCAATCCTAAGTTGGTCAACGAGGTGGCCAAAGACGTCAGAGACGTAGTCGAAGCATTTGGGGTGGGTGTAGCGCTGGTTGCAGGCGTTGAGGCTCCAGAGTAAACCGGAGATTGGTAGTTCTGGTAGTTATTTTGCTGCTTCTGGCCTTGCTGGGTACTGTCGTTCAAGTTTCTCTGAGCTTGGTACGAAGATTTTTGGTTCAAGGGTTTGTTCAGTGCCTGTTGGCCACCAGTCTTGGCAGCTGGCTTGGAGTAGTAGCCTCCGAACGGTGATGCAACTTGGTTTTTGTTGGGGGTTCCATCGCCCATAAAGTCGTCAAGCGACTGGAATTTCTTGGGAGGCATGGTCCTGATGCTCTTGTAGTTTACAGTCAAACGTGAACACTCTTGTTTGGTGCTTAATGAAAGGATCTTTAAGAGCAATGAGATGTTAATGAGATGAGATGAGATGAGATGAGATTAAACTTACTTTTGGGAAAAATTTTCAGATCTTAACTCACTCCGTACGGGTCTGCGATGCCGGACATTTGATTCAACCGTTCTTAGACAAACATTTAACGAGGAACGTGGTGCAACGTTTGTCTCTGTCTTAATGGGTCAGCAATCGTTAATTGCATTGTAAGATCTCATGAAGAATCGCGCGCCTGGAAGATAAAAATTGCAGTTCCGGAGTTTTTGAAAGAAGTTAGCACGAGCACGCTAAAACTTTAAGGACAGTAATTAGACGGATAAGGTAAAAAGGCATGGGACATATGTCGCGAGAAAGAGCTAAGGTTCTGGTAACGCGTTAGGGAGAAACGCGTTGGATTGCTTGCGGAAAAGTAAATTTTCGCGACACGAAACCAATTTTCACTTTACGCGTTTATTTGAAACTGAAAAAAAGATAGAAATGAAAAATGTAGGTACTTTACGCGTCGCGCGTTTGTTTCTCTACAAATTCGGGCGCGTACAACGCCGGGCAGATATTGTACATGTCGTTGAGACGCTTGGAAGCGAAGAATTAAAGCTCTGGCTCTTTTTGTCATTTTATTCACCACTTGTAGAGCTCCCAACATAGTATCTAGCTCACACCAAAGACCACCAGTTCAATGACTACCATCATGTCATTGAAGGTGCTATACACCGTGGATAGAGAAACCAGCCCATATCTTACGAGAAGCAAAACACCTGTGGAAGTGCGTGTTGAAGACATTTCTAGTCCCAGCAACGACGGATCGCAGATCAAGATCGGGATGGTGGTGCTCAACGACGTGTTGGCAGAGATCTGCGCCTCGTCTCCTGAACTATTCAGCCTTGGAGTAGACTCCAACATGGATTACAACGTGTACTGCAGAGATATCTGCGAAATGGAAGAGCCGTTGGTCAGTTACGGTCTTTTGTCGAAACTGCGAAATGAATCACAACAACGCCAAGCCGAGTCGGATGCGCTGGACGCAAATTGGCCCTTAGTAATTGGACGAGTCTGTTCCAATTTTTCAGCAATGCTCAGATTTCAAAACGCAAGCAGTTCACCCCAAAACCTGCAGCAAACGCTAGAGATCAAAATGCGTTTTTCCAAAGTTGCAACTGCAAACTCTTCCCGAAGATCTAGCATATCAAATAAATCTGCCGTCATGCCGATGCTCAAAAAGACACCTTCTATGAACCTCAACGGTGTCACCAGAAGATTTTCCAAAACTACGGAGCTGGGGAAGCCCAACGAACCAGCTCCTTCTGTTGTTGCGAAAAGACTAACAAACCCAAAACCCGCTCCAAAAGCTGTAAGAACTCAATCATTACCAATTTGGAATCAAGATAAAAATAACCAATTTGCATTACCCACTAATTCAATCGCCCACAAGATTTACCTCGCAGATAGAGCTGCCAAAGACACATATATAGGTCAAAAACAAGGCCAGGATAAGAAACCAATCTATCAAATAAGCACTTTACAACAGGACAACTCGGTTCACAAAACCAAGATCGATGATTCTGTCAGTAAAAGGTTTGATTTCATCACCAAGAAAAAGGGCAAGATGGGGAAACCGAGCATGAAAAAACCTGTAACGAAGACAAAGTCTAATAATATCACGAAAAAAGTTAGAAGAGACAGCATACCAAATACGAGCACCCCTCTTGCAAATGAATTACAAACGAACAATAAAAGTGATGAGTTGGAAGATTACAAGCTCCTTGGTGACGACGATTTGGTTCAGCAATTGTTGGGCAGACAAAAAATGAGGCCGGTGGACTACTTAGAGGCCGATCAACCAGGTAGGTCTGAAGAATCTGATAACAAAGAAAACATTCCACCACGTATGACGCTAGCAGCTTCTCGGTTTGAAGATCTCATAGGAATGGACATCCCTTCCTCAAAGTCACCCAGTGATATCGAGAAAGCACTAGCAAATCCCAGGAGCGATGATCCAATGGAGTGGTTTAATGATCTTTTCGGATCCCCTCTCCTGAGCCAAAAGACTACAACTCCAACAAAGGATCCTTTGACCTGTAATACTTTACCCATTGAAGATGAAGAACAGGACGCGGCTAAAGCACCAACCAGTGACATGGATAGAACATCGCCCATGGATACATTATCAATGCCATTGTACGAGCTCGAGCAAAGAAAGCAAGTGACAAACAGCAAGCTTATTCCGAGTTGCAAAGACCAGCTGAGGAGATTGCCTTTACTGTCAAGACCCCATAATGAGCATAGCTCCCATGACGCAGAAGATGATGCTACATCTGTCCTAAATTTCTCCACACCATCCAACGCAAGTAACCACTCCATGAGCGGAAGAAACAAAAGGCCTGCTCCGGTACCGTCCTCGCCGGTCGATGACGAGGATTATTTGGACGAGTACATGCAAGAAACGCGCAGAAAACGAAAGGCGCTGCCTTCGTCCCCTACATCTATGTTCCAATATCAAGGAGTGCATGCTGACGAAGAAATGGCAAATGAGAACACGATCAATAACGAAGAATTTTCAATACACGAAAGACCAGGTCGTAGTGATGCAGATTCAACACCTGCAACCCAATACAGGTCTAGTGACGGGGAAAACACAAAGCATGGAGAAGATAATCACGCGATCTCAGATCGCGAGGTTCCACATATTTAGCATTTATAAATCAGGCAGGTAATAGAAGGCGAAAGATGAATAAAATCACGATCTTTACGAATAAGTGAGCGGTAGGCAATGCAGATCACTTTATTCCAAATAGTCTTATTAGGAAGGTCACTTAATTACCGAAGTTTTTAATTGACAAACTCCCGGTAAAAAGAGCAGTGTCTCTGGTCCCGGTTTACGTTGGGAAATAAGTGCTTGTCCTATTTCTTCAAACACACAGCGGCATTCAACAAAACATATTGCCTATTGGTAATATTAGATTCATGGACACGTCATTTTTTCTGGAAGATGTCCAAAAATTGTAGCGTTGCCGCTCACGTCTAAGTGCTCTAAAGCAGTGGATCATACACCTAATGTGGTATAGTATTTCCACAACTTTGCAAGATCTCTCTCGACTTTACTTTTCGAAATTACAGATAAGATCAAATGACTTTGAAGTTATTATTATCGGTAAAAATGCGCCAGCCGTATGAGAAGCACCGCAGACGAATGATAATGTTGTTAGGCGCCCAAGTATACTTGAGCAGTAAATCTGTGGATCTGAACGTCTGTCTTTCTTTCTCTTCGAGCGTGTTCACTCACATGACTGACGAAAAAAGTCGTTTTAAGCATTTTGGCATTGTGAACTTAGAAAAGACCACGTTTTAAAAGGTAACGGCAGACAGCTGAATGATGATGTGGGAGTTGTACTGTTCGAAAGTACGAGAGCTAAACATTCCAGCCATTTTTGTGACCGTTGTTGTGGTGGTCGTGACATCGCTTTATGGATTCGTCTTTCTGCTATCACATTCTCCAAGAAAACCATTTTCCGAAGAGCTTACTTACGAGACTAACGGACTCCATGGGTCAATCGTAAGTGGTCAATTGACGTCTGTAAAAGATTGCAAGGACAGTCAAGATGGGATCGAACTTTCTGTGGTGGTTCCAAGCTACAATGAAATAGGTCGCATCTTAGTGATGTTGACAGACGCTATTGAGTATTTGCAAGAAAACATGGCAAATAAATGGGAAATTTTAATTGTAGACGACGGTTCTAGGGATGGAACATCTGCTTTCTGCTTGGACTTGGCCCAAAGCGAGTTCAAACTTCAACCAGGCCAATTGAGGGTAGTTAAACTAGCGAAGAACCGCGGTAAAGGTGGTGCTGTTAGGCATGGGATGCTACATATCAGAGGCGCATATGGTCTTTTTGCAGACGCTGATGGCGCCAGCAATTTCGCAGACGTTCAGAAACTTTTGGGCTCTATTAAAAAATATCAAAAAAGTGGACGGGGCTCGGTAGCCATTGGGTCGCGAGCACATATGGTCAACACGGATGCCGTTGTGAAACGTTCGTTCATCAGAAATTTTTTGATGTACGGTTTGCACACGCTGGTTTTTATTTTTGGTATTAGATCCATTAAGGATACCCAGTGCGGATTTAAGCTCTTCGACAGATCAGCTATCACAAACATTTTTCCCTTTCTGCACACCGAGGGATGGATCTTCGATGTTGAAATACTAATTCTGGCTTTACGAAAGCAAATCTCAATTGAAGAAGTCGCCATTTCTTGGCACGAAGTTGACGGTTCCAAAATGGAGTTAGCCAGAGATAGCATCAACATGGCAAAGGATTTGGTCGTTATAAGGCTGGCTTATATCATGGGCATATACAGTGATCGAGGTGAATGCTAACGCATCATCGGGTTTCCCATTTTCCTTCAATTGTATCATTGTACTCTTATCTACGGAAATATCAACCGAATTTAGCATAATATATCTCGTCCCCACTTAGACTTTCTTCTGACCCTCAAAGATCTCGAATGAAAGGGCTGATAGCTTTCTTCTAATAATTGTACCATTGTTCAAAAAGGTTCTAAGAATCGACGCGTACTCTTTGTTGTTTTGCGTGATATTCTCAAAAGCACTTAGTAAAGCTGCAGTGTTGACTTCTAATTCTATCTCGTGAGTGTCCTCCGTATGCTTTTGCTTTACGCCCTGGTTGTGATTGGCTACCTTGGTGATGTCCATCCTCGTACACGAATCGTTGTGAATGTAACTAATACGTTGTTTCGTCCTGGTATTCACCGGTGTATTGTCTTTGTATTTTTCTGGAGGATCATTGTCCGGTACTGGTAACTCTAAATTAATAGATATCTTGACATCGTAGCTATCCTTGGGTGAAAATAATAGTAGCTGACTTATGTGTCTTTTCTCGATAAACTGGCCTACTCTTCCAGTTTTCACATCTCGGCTCATTCTTAAGAAGCGCGGTCTTTGCGTAGAAGCTCCTACGCGGTATAAGGAGTCTTTTGTGTGAGACTCGATAATGTTAAACTTGCCCGTGTACTCACTCAGTTCGGAAATACCTTTGATGTATTTGTTGATCTCAATGAAAACTCTTTCATCTACATCTGGAGTCAAGTGAGCATCCATTTCTGTGTACACGGTTTGAGAGGAGACAGGCGGGCATACTCTGTTAGTGTCACTTCTTTCTACAATAATTCCAAACTTCATTTCCATTTCAATGTATTGTCTTAGATCTGGCGGTATGGAGACTATGGTAGCATAAACCCAGTCTTGAACAGACTTAGTGAGATCGTCGTCCGGAATAACATTCGTGAAGGAAGCGTCGATGTTGAGGTTTTTGGTGTCGATACTTTGGAGTGCTTTCACCGTAGGTTTCCATTTTTGGGCCCATATTGGTGCCAAGTTGTATCTGCTGGGTTTCGCTGTGGCCGCAATTTCATTCAGAACATTCAGGTCCTTCTTTATGGCGTTTCTTTTAGACTGCAGAGTGGATTTTTCCTGAAATATGTCTTTGATATCAGAATCGGTCTTAAACTTTGTTTTCTTGGGAAAAGCTGAATGTCCCTCGAGTGGTTTCACTGCTTCTTCGGTTTTTGTAGTATCCTCCAATTTCACCGGCTTCCCGATATTTTGGGCCGTTTGTGGCTTATCTGCTCTCTTACTTGAATTGGCATCTTGCTCTTGCTCTTGCTTTTCGTAATCAAACTTGAAGTCTCCAGTCTCAAAGACTATATCACCGGAACCGCCCACATCATCGTCTGTGTCGGTTTCTTCATCATTTCCAGATTCCCCTCTGGCTCCGTTTTTACTCCGTCCGTTCTTACTGCCTCCTTCAGGGACGCTATGAGAATTCCCGTTGCCTTCGCTGACAGAGCCATCAACACTCAGTCTTTTCTTGATTTCTTCAGCGGGGATGGGGTTCAATGTCTGAGAACCCTTGCGTTTATCGTCGGTGTTAGCATCAGAACCATCGTCATGATTGACCAAGTCTTCTAAGGAAAGTCCACGATTGAAGCCTGGCTTGGAACTGCTCATTTCGCACTCGATGTGTAGTGTTCGAACTACGATTGGTTTTCAAAACTACTTTCAGAAGCTAAATGGTTCATCACCACCACCACGATCTATGTTGCCAAATTATAAGTCTTTTCCGTGGAAAATGCTGGGATTTTTTATCCAACTTTATATGTATATATACAGACTACAGGGGCTCCCACCATTATATGCCACCTGTCACTAACCTCAATTATCCACCCTCGCTTGTCATTTTACTCACATTTTCCGTAATGTTACATACCCCGTTCAATATATTGTTTTTCCTTTGACTTACCGTAAAACTCCTGCAAAACTACTATATCCTGATAGAAAATTACCGCATGTAGCATCTCATCTCAAAGTCCATTATGACCATGCAGTTGTGATTGATGTTCAAATGGAGGCGGAGCGGGACTAAAGCTCTGCGAAGTGTAAGGGTTAAATTTGGGCTGTGAGTTCAGATTCTCTAAGAATGAAACCTCATGTAAGCGGGATCCGCCGACTTCGCGCATTTGGTCCAACAAAAACTGATCCATTTTTTGGCATTTTGACTGTTCTTGCGAAGACAAAAGCATCCGAGGACAAAAGAAGACATCATCCTCGAACGATTTGCAGATATTGTTCTTCACTTTAAGCGACATTTCCGAGCCTTCAGACGACAGCTGCTGTGAGTTTGGGGTATCTAATATGAAGTTCTGAATGTTAGAGCTTTGGTTCAAGCCCGTCATGGAGATTGGAGGGGTCAGGTACGACATTTCTGTCTTGGTGTGCCAAAATCTGGCGTATTTGGTATTTCAGTTTGGTTGCCGTAAATAAGTCTGGTCCTACGAGCTGCTGGAAATAATTATACCAACCTGAAGCAAGCGCCGACTCTGTGTATTCGTTTTAAAAATGTTGAGTTCAGAGAAGTATGTTTGTTTAGATTACATTCACCCCTGTGCATTTAATGTTTATCGAGCAGTCGTAGATTAAGACATAACTATATACGAATAGATACGTAAAGTTTTACGAGCTCGAGGGAAAGAAGCACAAAATGAACTGGTATACTTGGGATCAGGTATGTTAACACATATCTAGGAATCATCGCGAACTTTCGTTGATTCAATTCGCTTCGCAATTCTTTGTTTCTATTTTAATGCTCGAAATCAGCTGTCACTGGCTAGATTTGGCATTGAAAGCGCTCAACTGGAGGGTTTACTAAATATTTAAGGTACCCATAGAAGTGTATATGAGACTTGTCTCTGGATGTTTATAGATCATATTCAAAGTTGAACAAACCTTTCTCAAAATGTTCGGAAGCGCCAAGAACTCTTTTGTTTTTGATTATGTAATCACATGGGCACTCAAGAGAATGCGAAAATACTGAAGTCGAGACTATGTATTGTGCTCGAGTGCTTGATACTAATCTGAATTACTTTCCTTTAGATTCTATAAATCGCGTAGCTAGTTCATCGAGTAAATACTTTGACCTATTTCTGGGAGTAGGCCACAGCAACGGCCTGGAAGTCGTCGTGAGAAATGGACACGGAAACAGTCTTGACTCCGGCGGCCGAAGCAGCAGAAGCGGCAGAACCGTGAAGTTCAACTTGTGGACCAGTACCGTCCTTGCGGACAATTTCAATGTCTTTCAAAGCGGCACCGCCACCTTGAGACTTGACGCCCAAAGATTTGAAAACGGCCTCCTTCGCGGACCAAGTGCCTGCAAAGGAACTTTGCGCGCATGGCTGCTTCTTGCAGTAAGCAATTTCCGCTTGCGAGAAGTTGCGTTCGATGAAAGTGTCATTCTCAACATTGATAGCCTTGATCAACTCAACGTCAACACCCACGCCAACGTTACCTTCGGCAGAGGCTGCCTTGGCCAATTGACCAACAACCTCAGAGGTCTTCATGTTGGCGTCCGAAACGTAAGTCGAAGGACCATTCAAGCTCTTCTCACTGAAGAGTAGAGTACCGGTCTTCTTGTCGGCGCTAACACGGGCTAATGGGTCCAAGTAAATTGGTTGCTCGAGTTCGTCTGCATAAGGTGGGTTCTCCTTAGCCACGAACAATGTGTTGTAGATCATACCGTTGTGGAAGTACTTGTGAGCAGCATGCTCTCTGGCAGAAACCTTGGCAACGTACGCGCGGTAGGTGGACTCGTCAACAGCTGCGTACAAGTAGTCTGGGTTGACCACAATAGCTTGACCACCCTTTTGACCAAAACCGAAAGAGGTGATAGATACGGCCTTGATACCGTCCGTCTTGATACTTCTTGATGGATACAAGATGTACTCAAACTGTTCCAACAATTTGTCGACATTATCGGCGTTACGGTTACCTGGGACGATACCCGAATTTAGAATTTGCAAAGCACCGTTCAACATCCAGGCACCAGCAGCACCCTTTGGATGACCAGTTAGATACTTTTGGAAAACACCAAAGACTGGGTTACCTTCAGATCTACCCAAGTGTTTCATCATCTTGTTGATGGTAGCAGATTCGTTCTTATCGTTTGCCTTAGTAGAAGTACCATGGAAAGATGCAACACCCAAATCGTCGATCGTTAAACCGAAAGTAGCCAATGCTCCTCTCAATGGAGCAATACGAGGGTCATTCTTGTAGAATTCGTTACCCCATTGCGATTGGGCAGCCTTGAGTTGTCTCTCGGCTTCACGTTGAAGCTGCTCGGTACGTTCAGCGTAGAAGGCAGATTGATCCTCTTCAGGAATTTCATCGGCTTCATATTGCAACATTTCTAGCTCAGTTTCAGCCCATTGCTTGATTTGGCCAATACGGTTATCAAGTTGACGCTTTCTGTACTTGATGTCCAACAAAGGAGTTGGGAATTTCAAGCTACCTTGATGTTCTCTGGCAGTGGTCAAGATACCCTTACCTGGAGCAGGAACGGATCTACCAATCTTGTCAGTGGCAGTGGCAGTCATAGCCAAAATACCGTAAATAGGAACACCCATCTTTAGAGCCAAGTCTGCACCCATGATGACTTGAATACCAGAACCTTGAGATTCCATGAAACCGTTACGGGAGGTTGTAGCTGGTCTAGACATCTCAGCAGGAGTACGACCATGGTCAAACTCGTCCAAAGAGTTAGAGGTGGCACCCATGTTACCAAATTCATAAGAACCTTCTTCTTGGAAGTCATCATAACCACCAACAATACAAATCTTGGCCTTGCCTGACAAGATAGTTTCAGCACCAACATCCAAAGACTCTACAGCAGTAGCGCAAGCACCGACAGGAGTCTTGATAGGACCAGACGAGGAAATCAACAACATGTTAACCCAGGCAGACATAGTATTGATGAAAGACTCTTGCAAAATATCGTTTTGAACTGGTTGGTCTTTGTAGCGATCCTTGAACATACCACGTAGAGCAGATACACCACCCATACCGGAACCAGAACAGTTACCGACTTCAGAAACATGGACATACTGGTACATTTCATATGGATCGGTGATACCGGAAGCAATAAAGGCTTCAATAACAGAAACCAAGACGAACAATGTAATTGGATCGACCTGTGAAATGGTGTCATCGGAGATACCGTAGGTCTTGGCATTCCAGCCAGTTGGAATTTGGCCAGCAACCAAACGGTCGAATCTGAGCGCTTTTGGAATGAACAAAGTGGCCCCCTTCAATAGTTTGACGGTGTATTCACCTGAGTCAGGGATTTCGAAAATGTCCACCTTGTCATCATGCTCGTGCTTGAACTGTGTGGCAGCTTCCTTGGAAGCCTCAAAAGGTTCCAAATCTTCACCAAGAACAACTTCTTGGATCATTTGCTTCTTCTTTGGATCGTAACCATTGAATAGCTCTGGTTCGATCAATCTGATACCAGCGTGGTCCAAAATGTGACTTTCGTACTTCTTCTTGATGTCTTTGTCGTCAACTGGTTCGTTGGTCTTAGCATCGACCCAGCCAGTGTATGGACGTCCCTTCAAGTTACCGTTGTGGTATTTGATGAGACCCATGATCCACGCCATTTCAACACAACCTTCCAAAGAGAATTCACCTTTGGATTCCATTTCCCATCTGGTTCTCGAAGAACCCCAAGGACCGACCTCAGAGAAACCGGTCACAACGATGACCTTATCCAAGTCCAGCATTCCCTGTAGTTCTTGTGGGGCAATTTTCTTGATATCCTCGTAAGGTTTCAAGGTTGGGAAGTCCAACTGAATGTTAGCTCTTGGTTGGACTTCGGCCTTAGCATAAGCAGCATCGGCATTGTTGCCGTTAACAATCTTATGCTCAAGGGCTGTTTCGATGGAAACAGCTTTTCTTACTTCGGAAGTCTCGGTAAGCTCTTGACGCAATTTCGCGGTGAATTCCTTCAAGTCAGGTAAGAATTGGAAGCCACCATTCAAGTCTGCCATAACTGGGGAGGTTTGACACAATTGGATAACCTCCGGGGTCAATAATCCCAACAAATTGAAAGCCATCTCTTTTTGGGAGAAAGTACGAACACCCAGTTTCTCGATACCTTCAGCAATAATGTTGTTGGCAGACATCAAACCGGTACCTCTAGTCCAACCAATAATAGCACCGCAGATGGTCAATTGGTTAGACCAAGACTCGGAATGCCATCTGTTGAACAAAGTCTCCAAGGACAACTTAGATTCAGCATACATACCGTCGCCACCAAACGTACCATGGTTAGGAGACATAGGCAAAATGACTTGAGCTGGTCTTGTTTCAATGCCTTGAGCAGACTTCTGTTTCTTAACATTACCCAACATTCTCAAAATGTTAGTTAACATAATTCTATGAGCAAACTCAGATTTGGAGTCGATGTTGTCCAACTCGATTCCATTTTCTGGAATAGCGGCAAATGGAATGATGGCGTCCAAGTCCCATCCAAGACCGCCATTCTTCTCATCGTCGTAAATGTATCCGACTAATTCTTCAACGTCCTGCTTAGAACCTTGGTTGAAAGGAACGACAACTAGAGTAGATCCCTTAGCACCATACTTGGCGTAAATGCTTTGGTAGTAGTCAGTGACCTTTTTGGAGAAACGAGAAGTTGTGACAATAACTCTGGCACCACCTTGAATCAATCCTTGTAGGACTTCAGCACCAATAGAACCTTGTCCAGCACCAGTGATCAAAACATATTTGTCCTTGAAGGTAACACCGTTCACTGAAGCGGTCTCCAACCCGTTTAGGAAAAGGGAAGATAATTGACGGTCGTAAACCCAGTCGCCGCTTGCCAACTTCTTTTTCAAGTGTAGGAAAGGAACAGTCTCTCTAGGAATAGTGGACGAAACCTGGCTTGGAAACTGAGATTTGTTTGGCAAGGATGCAACTTCCTTCGTAGCATCTTTGTCCAAAGCGTCGTCGACAACACCAGCCAATCTAGTAGAAGCAGATGCATCGATTTCGTTAGAAGTTTCGAGAAACTTCAATAGCTCGCCATACAACTTTTCGAATTGAATTTTTGTGGAGTCGGAGATATTGTGTTCAGCAGCCTGGGCGTTGATGGCTTGATAGACATGAGTCAGGTCATCTTGCAAAGTTGGTTGTTTAACCTTAGTCAAAGCGCCACCCAAGGCCATTTCTTCAACATATTGAGACAACTTTCTGACAGCTGGTCTTGGCACCTCATCGTAGTTTATGTTACCGTTTTTGTCAACAACAGTTTGAGGGGCAGTTGGTTTGGTAACGTCCTTGTAAACGGGGTCCAAATCCAAAACTTGCTTACAGTTTTCAATCAATTGCTCACCAAGAGACTTGGCAAGTTTGTAGTTTTCACCTTCCTCAACCTTAGTCTTGGAAATATGATATTCCATAAACTTAATTAGAGCTTCGTTTGATCTGTTCATAATGTTGATGGCTTCCGCAACTAGTTCTCTATCGACATTCTTCAAAGCACCATGAATGATTTCAAAGTATAGAGATAATAGCGACTGTTTAGCCCAGTTCCAAGATGAGTCGAAAACTCTGGCCTTCTTTCTAGAGAACGAAGTGGAAATACCTTGAACAAAGTATTCCCCTAATTCGTTGGTCAAGAAGTCTAATTGAGCTTGCAGTTGTTCGGTGGTGTTCTGTTCCTTCAAAAACTTCTTCTCTCCACTGTTCAAGTCCATTTTGAGGTACCGAGCTAGTACTTCTAATTGTTGACGAGCTAAGACCCTTTGGTCCTTGGTCAACTCGTCAAAAGCAGCAGCATCAATGGTGGCACCACCTGCACCGCCAGAAGAACCGCCAGCAGCAGACGAAGTGGCAGCAGAAAGGTCGATTCCACTCATAGAAGCGTATTTCTGAGCAGCACCGTCAAGGTATTGCTTGGCATCACCTTCAGCACCCAAACGAGCAGGTGGTTCTTGAGACAAGGCAATCAACAAAACAGAGTCCTGTCTACCAGAACCCAAGCCCCAGCGGGTCTGTAAGTACTTTCTTGCGGTAGTGATAGTGAATCCACCAGGCATTTTCGACGACATCAGTCTCGAGATCAGCGAAGAGGATTGTTTACCCAATTGGCCATTGAATGTGTCTTGGAAGGACTCAGCCAATTCCTCCAGAGGGGTCTCCTCTGGCTTTTCAGGTGTGTTACCAAATTCCTTACCAAGATCACCCAAGATTTCGTTCTGAACGGTGGACTTACCGCCAACCAAATCCTTAATTGTCTTGGCCAAAGGAATTTGGTCAAGACTCTTCTTAAGCTTGTGGGCGACGAGAACGTGCAATAGAAGACCAGCTTTCACGGCCTCATCTGGAATTTCGGCTACTGGACCGGAAGGAGCGGCCGCTGGAGCGGCGGCGGCGGCAGCCGCAGCTGGCGCAGCTGCAGGTGCAGCAGAGCTCGAGCCCGAGTCAACTGGCTCGGCTGCTTCCTCCTTGGCAGCCAAATCGGCTGGATCTGGCGTGTAGTAAATTTCTCTAGCATCCTTGGAGTAGCATAGGACATCTCTTTGCAAGGAAAGAGCTGCATCGTAAGATTCGTACTTGTTTTTGATGGTTCTTTGAGCCATACCAGCCAGGGTAGGCGAAGGTCCGATTTCCACAACTCTTTCGGTGTTGAAGTCCTTCAAAAACACATCTTGGGTTTCAATCCATCTCACAGGCGATGCAAACTGGTACGCCAAAAGTTCGGTCAATAGTACATGAGCCAATTCTTGCTCAACTTCAGGTTTCATGACCATCTTCACTAGTTATAATACAGTGAATTTGGGGATAGTCCTGGGCCAAAAAAGGGTAATAATTGAGCTTCTTCGACTTAGATGCTTTCTTCTCTATTCCGGCCCTAATTATATACAGACACCGAAAAATTGTTTTGTTGGTTTGTTGGGCCAAAAAACCCGTTTCCGTTGGATGTTGAAATGAAGACAACAAGAGAATCGTGGCCGATGATGATTAGATGGACAAACCGGTGCGTTCAATTCATTGGATTGAGATATGCGCCGTAGTGAGCTGCGCGTTGGTGGGCTTGGTCTCATGTGGTGGTATCGGAACTTTCGGCAATGTTGTTGAAGTTTGTGTTTGAATCTGCTAGTTTAGAGGAAATCTTTCGGGTCACGGTGTTGTCACATCCAACTTACGCCATGATATTGTCTAAGGATCTTTTTCGAGACTGGACAGTTCGTGGTTCGTAGATGTGGAGAATTGAGAAGCCCGCTTCCAACAAGACGTCCCAAATGCAATATTCTGCTAATTGAAACTCGCCAGCACCAATTTTAATCTTGTTGTAAGCGCTCCTTTACGCACGATACTGGCCTGAGCTCTGGGTCGCACGCTTGCAACACCGAAAGACCGCTGCATGACTGTGAAACTGGGAGCTTCATTAACACAGTAGCGTCCCTTTGGCTTTGACGCTGCAGCTTCATCGGCTCGGATTAGTTGGCGTATGTGATCGGGCTCCACAGTCTATTGACTTGATACTTCTGCCTCCCGGATGAGCCTCCCGAACGAGCGCCTCCCATCGAAAAATTGAGCTCGCCATTATCCGTAGATGTGTCTGTGGTGGTGCCTTTCAAATAACACTGTTCTGCCCCTTGTGCTGCAGAGGACTTGCCGGAATCCCTCCAACACAAAGCGCCAAAGTTCTTAAACGCCAGAACACTATTCAAGGAACCAATTCTACGTTGAAATACCTCACTCTGGTTTCTGCTGGCTACATGCTTGTCCAAACCTAACGTCTAGCCTTGTACAAAGAAGCTTCACATTTTGCTTAGAGTTGAATAGATGGAAACATTAGGCTATGGCGGCTAAAATGGTGCTTGCCCTAAGTTCTTATACCAGCCCCTTCGTTTCCTATGATACAAATCGTAAACCAGGCCTTATAAAAAACTTCTTTCAGTGTCTTAACTTAACAATTTCTAAACATCTTCTAATTCAGCAAGACAAATTACTTGAGGCTAAGCCGCGCATCTCATTCTCAGCGGCGTCATTGAACCAAAGACTTACAGGAGTAAGCCTTTTGAACACAATGCGTATCGGCTGGGCGTTTGTGTCCTATCGAATTCTTGCTTTCCAGAAACTATCAAAGCCTTTTTGTGTGCTGGGAGTTTTTTAACTCTATTTGAGATCTACAACCTTAGTTGCGACTAAACCTGCGGATCTGCAACCCCACGGTGCATAAAAAACTGGTTTGACTGGGAAATCTAAGACCCTTTTTCCACCCTGAACTGTAGGAATTTGTTCTTCATGAACAAATTTGATATTACTGGTCGGGACTAAAAAACTAGGGTGACATCTCATCGTAAATTGGCAAACAGCTGTATTGCTGTGTTCTAAGTTTGATTCTGTATTAGCGAAGAATTTTGTTCATTTGAATGCTAATTAGTAATTCTTGCGTACTTTAACTTCAGACTTCAATTTGTTTTATACTTCGATAAACAGCTATCGGGAATTGTCCCTCGATGTTTAATGACTTCAAGCTCACGGCTGTAGCTGCATCTTAAGGGTCCAAGTCTCGCTTTATTTGATGTGCCTGAGATGTTGATATTTTGAGATCGATAATTTTAATACTACACGACAAGTTATATAGACCTCGTCTTGACGGAAGCCTGTTCTAAAAAATTTGGACGAGAATCTGCTCCTTATACTTCAAGGAAAATTGTGAATGTTCCTTAATGTCTAGTTGCCAATGGAACAGCGACGGCAACGACGATGATGATCACGAGAATCGCAACCAGAATCAAAATACATCTAATCTTATTCTTCCGGGCTCTTCTGGCACTCTTCACAGCCTTGTTGGTGTGACCCACACCTTGTTCCACATCCTGTTGAGCCTCCTCGACGTTTTTGTCAATTACTTCAATGTTTTCCTGTTGCTCAATAACCAACTGCTCCATGTCGTTAAAAAGCTGCGTCAACTCGGCCATTGTTTTTTCAAGCTTCAACAACTCCTGGTGTCTGGCTTGGACTTCGGCCAATGCGGTCTTGGCTTCACCACGTCTATTGGCGTTCAACAGTGCTTGTGAAAAGATTTGCTGACCCCCCACGTCGCTGATGGCGGCTTCGACCTCGTCATCAGTGGCTTCGGGCTGAATGATTTGATACTGTCTTTTGGCCTGGTCCTTGTTCTGCTCTTTGTAGTTGGCTTCGATAATACGATAGTCCTGAATTAGCTTCAAAAACCGCTGTCTTGAGTTTTCCGCCTGCGCCTGCTTGCTGGAGTCCGACAAGCCCTGCTGCTGTGCCGTTTTTATCTTGTTTTTCAACTGATATTGCAGATCCGATGCCCTAGAAACAAGTCCGTCCAAATGTTGTCTCAATGCCAGTTCTTGGTCCTCGTTCACCTCTGTCAACAGCCTTTTCTGGTTGGAGTCGATTTGGTCGATCAGCTCCGAATAGTGGTCCAGCTCCACGTTGATCTGGTTGATGCCATTCATAAACGTCAAAAAATCTCCTCCATTATGCTGTGGAGCCCCGAGGTTTTCTTGCATATCGTACGTTTCCGCGTACGGATTGCTCTGCTGATAAGGATTGTTATAGCTCATATCGTTTTGCTAGTTGCAGGGTAGTTCAACAAAGACCAGAAAAGTTTCTGTGTTGACAGATGAGTTTCTTCAACGGTTAACGACAGTTTGTGGTTGTTCGAACTGCGGGTTCGTAAATACGTGGAAAATCGCCTTCTTTTTTTAAATTCCTTAACATGGCATTTTGAACGGCGAAGCCTCTTGCAAGAGCGTTTACCAGGTAAAATAGTATGACAGCGTCGCAAGTAATAGGTTTTATAAATGTGACTGTTTGTTTGTAGTATTCATTTCTGGATAGTGCTAAATTGTGTGATGTTTTCGCTGCTTGTTTCTTTTGTTTGTAACATTCAAAATCGTGTTTCTGGATTTGTGGACGAGAATAATAAATCGCTAGACATCAGAGCCCAGCTCTGATTCAAGAAATAGCACGAGCTGTTCAAGTTTTTGAATCTTGGCACGATTTTGCGGGAGTTGTTTCCTGGCCTGTGCCAAATAGGCAAGTGCTTCCATGTAGTCGCTTTTGAGATCGTTCCAACCGGCACTGGGTTGAAGTTCGTCATCTGTAGGAATTGCAGTACTATTGTCGTGCTTAAAACTCTCTATAATACTGTCTGCATCTGCCAAAACCTCTTGGGCCTCTGAAGTATACACTTCGCGTAGTTTTCGAGGCGCTTCGCGCCGCAGTTGGGCCACCCTTACCGTCTGGTCTTCCCACTCTTGATATTTTTGTCGCACTTGTTCGTTGAGGGCCAGATCAAAGGGCTCTACGAATTGCTCCCTGGATTGAGCCAGTATCTCTGTGATGGATGCGTATTCGGTGGCATTAACAACTCTCAAAGAGCTGGAGGCAGTTTCCATAGCCTCCACCAAAAAGTTCTGCAAATGCAGCAGTACTTCGCTCTTGACGGAATCCTGTTCCTGTGGCAAGTGTAGAGCAACTTTCTCATCAAAGATCGTTTGGAATTGTGTGTATATGGATCGCAGCTGTTCGGCGGAGATATCCAGCTTAGACGGCTGAGTTGACGACATCGGGAAAAACGAAGTATGATGGGAAAGCCAGCGCTGATATGGACCACGTCCTCTTCTTTAGTTCCCGTTCAGTCAATCCCCGGTCTTTTTCAGCGTCTCTGGCGAGATAAAATGTCCCTGAGTCTTCAAATCGATGAGTTAGATGGCCAATATCTTTGATTCGATTTCGTTCGAGGTGATGTATCCCAACAAAGTACAAACCTGCTTCTGTTTAGCAGGTGGTCTTCAGGCAATCGATGTTGGCTGGGCTTCTTGCTAATTTCTATCCGATAATTCTTCGCTCCGTTGGGCACCCGAATTGTGAATGATTCCGCCGTTTTTACGTAGCTCTACAAGAAAATAATATACCGTCCTTTGAAATAAAAGACGGAGAATTAGTATAGAAGTGATTGTCTTGTCACAATTGTTCGCCGCTTCAACACGTAATCAATTTTTTTGTCCAAGACATATGGTGCTCGAGTAATCATTTACTTTGCACTGCTCAATATTCTCGCAGGAAAAAATTCTTTTCAAGCTCGGGGCAGCTTGGTACATAGCGTAGGCTGTTTGAGGCTATGTAAGTGATACGGTGGGATACCAACTCTGTTCCGCGAGACGACAAAAAGTATTTCGTATAATATGATATGTTTTACTTTCGCCCAAAAGATACAATTGACGCTCTCAGACCCTACACACTCATCACACACATATAGATGGATTCAGCTCGCTTATGACCCATCCGTAACAACTATTGCACTTATTTTCTTTTCAGCTTCCTGCGTTAGCGTCGTCGTCCATCTTCGTTCATCTCCCGTTCAGAGTGCCTTTTCTTTCACTATAATTAAAATCAGATGCTGTTTCTTTCAACCTATATCATGAGAGTACCGCAGGAAATAAGGTCAAAGGCTTACTGGAAGCAGAGGTATAGACAAAAGTGCGAGCTCTTTCCAAATGTCTCAGGTTGCAGCTATAGATGAGTACGCTCCCCTGTTCGCGCCCTTTTTCGGTTTTGCAGGATGTGCGTTTGCCATGGTTCTATCGTGTCTCGGTGCGGCAATAGGGACTGCAAAGTCCGGTATTGGTATTGCTGGTATCGGTACTTTCAAGCCCGAGTTGATCATGAAGTCGCTGATTCCCGTGGTTATGAGTGGTATCTTGGCAGTCTACGGACTGGTGGTGGCCGTTTTGATCGCTGGAGGTTTGTCTCCTAAGGAGGATTACACGTTGTTCAACGGGTTCATGCATATGAGCTGTGGACTCTGCGTTGGCTTCGCGTGCTTGAGTAGTGGCTACGCCATCGGAATTGTGGGCGATGTTGGTGTGCGTAAGTACATGCATCAGCCAAGACTTTTCGTGGGTATCGTGCTAGTGTTGATTTTCGCTGAAGTGCTAGGTCTATACGGCATGATCATCGCCCTAATTCTTAACACTAGAAGCTCCGGCTGAGCTAGTCTCACGCAAGGAGCTAGAAATTATTCTTTTTTCAAGAATTCATTCCATAGATTTGTTCGCTCTAGTCGTACATACTAAAAACACTTTTAAAAAATAATCAGACTTGAGAAAGGGCATCCCAGTAGTTGGGCATGCATGATTTTTGGGTGCTTCTATCCATTCAGTTGTCGCTTATCAAGCCGCAGTGTCCATGACGTCGGTGCTGCCCATCCCGCTGGCAATCTGTACATTTCCTTCATCGTCAATGTATTGTGGCTGGAATTCTTGCAAGAATTTGACAGATCTCGAGCTGTCTAAGAACAAGAGGTAAGCTCTTTTTATATCGGCTACCTCCACGGTGTTGCTCTTCCGTTTCAAAGCAATTTGCTGAGAAACAGAGATTAAGTTGCTCGCATAACGCAAGCTGGCTTCGGTTCCGATCTTGGTCATTAAGTCTAATGCATCTGCTGCAACCTCTACTTCTTCTTCTTGTGCTCTTATAGACAGAATCGTTTTGATTTCTTGTTCATTGTAGTTTTGAGTGGTTATTATAATGGATCTGTCTAGCAAGTCCAAAGGTAGTCCGTGTGGAGACTTGTAAGTTGTTCCTCTCGTCTTTGAAATACCTTTGTTCGTTGCCATTACTACGATTGGAGCAAACTCGTCTTCTAAAGCACGATTGATGAATGAAAAACATTCAATATCCAGCATGTGCACTTCATCGATGAAAAGAACCCCGGGAACAATATCGGCCTTTCCTTCTTCTTTCCATTCAGCAACCTTCGTATTAATTTGGTCTCTGACCTCAGATCTAATCTCACCGGTGTCACCGGTGAACAGTGCCAAAAATCCCTGCGTTCTGGAGTTGATCACGTCTATTTCGTGCAGCGATACAGTGTGAACAACGGATTTTCTCTTTTGCAATTCACCTTCAGGGCATTGCACAAATCTAGTGTCAGCACCCATGGCGTCGTAGTCTCTAGATCTGGCGAACGATCTACCCAATTTGGTGATTTTTCCGCTTGCTTTGTCGATGGAAATTACATCACCAGCCAAAACTTTTTCCTTGGTAAGCCCTTCGATCATCTTGCTACCCAATTCATAAATCGTCTCCATATCAGTGGTCTTGATCGTCAACTTACCTTGTTTATGACCGCCAGTAATGGACTTGTCGATCTGAATCTCCACTACTTCACCTTCAATCATCTCAGTTTCTTCTTTGATTTTCACACCGATGGATTTACGGAACGCCTGCGTAAGCGCCTCTGTCTTGCTAAGCTCAAGCGAAAATATCTCAGAACCAGCGATCGCAGTAAATGGGACATCTTGACCAAGCGATTGTGATAGACCCATAGCGAGGGCAGTTTTACCAGTTGATGGTGGGCCCGCAATAAGCACAGCGCGTCCAGCAATCGTACCGTTTTGTACCATCTTTAGTATGATACCAGCAGCTCTACGAGCTTGCGTTTGTCCTACCATACCCTGAGATGTAGCCTTAGCTTGTAAATGCTCATCGAGACCGAGCCCTGAGATATGAGAATGTGCAGCAATTAGCGACAAAGCTTTGGCATAGTCTTTGGAAGAGGCATCGCTCGTTTGAATCGACATCTTGACTATTTTGGTTGACACTAGGACGATGTTTAACTATCCAAGAATATTTTTGATTATGATGATGATGATGGGTTCATTGCCCAAGAGCTTTTTCGAGCGCTGCAGAAAAAAAATTCGTATATGGTTATTTAATTTCAATAGAAAACAGAACCTTACTCAAGACTGAGAACTGCATGAAACACTATCAAATAATCATCTTATTCGCCAACATAGCTGTTGAACTAGACTTTTTAGGCCTGGGTTTATTTTGTCAGGATCCTTGTGCTATTGCTAGATAGCATCAATTGGAAGTAGATTGGATTAGGATCATGACAGGAACCAAGATTTATGACATACTAGTACAAAGTGATATCAGCAAAACATAGTCAATAGATAAAACATTTGGTGCATCATCTCGGCAATATCAGGCAGTGCTCTGATTTAGTCTCATAGTCGACTAATGGCCCATTGGATATTACCTGATGTATCATGCATAGTATCATACGATTCGTCAAGGCTGTGTAAGATCTTTTACGCTTCGTAAATTTTTATACGAATAACGACGAGTTGTTCAACCAGATGGATCAACCTCATAGATGAAGTAATTGTAGATGGGTATTTACAACCTTCATTTATGAATGAGCTTACTCGGTTTATTGTGGCTAGACAAAAACACTAGCAAGCTCTCGATCGCTGAATCCGACTCGCCTTAATACTTGTTCCATCAATTTCTCTCCCTTTCACGTTACCGTCCTAGATAACACCATTATGGTATTACAGGTAGCCATTGTCCCTATCCAAAGGCGCACATACCATTCTTTAGGGCGCAGCTAAGAACTGTTAGCTTACGATGATATATTTACGTCAACCTTCGAATATGTTTAGCTTAACTTTGATCGGTATTGAGTTTCATTATTAAAGTGGTAGTCAGAACTCTTTTTGAATATATTAGATGTGTACTCGTTTATAATACCTATATCAATAACAAGCTTCGCTTTGCGGCTGCAGGGTGTGAGAAGATAAATAGTGCTCGAACCTATACCACGTCATAATCATACGAAGTGATATTGTAAATATCGGTAATATCCTCTACTGCGTTGATTCCACTCGCAACGCGATGCAAAGGCGGTAAGCCGGCTGTATCCCATCAGAATAGCCACAGTTAGTTTGTTTACATGGATAGATATGATGATAGGCACATCCGGCCAATCAACAAACAAATACTGATTATTCTTTACTGTATCGATATTATATCCTCATACAGAAGACAATGGAAAGATTTATCCAGCTAAAGCTTAACCACTAGTAAAATACTCAATCATGTCCATTGACAACATTACAAGCAATTTCCAAGAGTTGAACTAGGTCGAAAGAGACCAATCTCGTTGTGGTAGCGCCGCGTTTATTGAGTTAGGTGAGAACTATGTGTCTTCACGGTTTGTCCCTTTTATAGGCGAATTTACGTATTTGTCCCACCTCCTTCCTTCCATATGTTAATATCTCTCAATCTTGTGTTTATATTACTTTATACCATAAAACCTGTACGTTAGTTGGTCTTGGCATTCAACAGCACCCGCTAATTCTGCTTGGTTGCAAAATCCTGTAGGTACATTGAGCAAGCATAACCACCCGGTAAATAATGCTCTGCTTGTGCCGACGTTACGACGACCCCGCTACTATTTTACCGATAGCCACTTCTTCGCTGGTATATGTGTGCCTCCCATCGGCTAAGGAAATTTCCATATCAGCGACGACCAAACCTAAGAATAGAGAGAGAAAACACTGTCAGAATTGAGGCTGCTAACATCTCGAAGATATGTATATCAAAACGCTTTCTCACTATGGATTAGTAGATGGAGTACTGAAGTTGGAGAAATTGTTATATGCACTAAAACAGTCTGGATCAAAATGGTACACAAATACCACGGGATTTCCCACAGTCAATTGCAGTTAGACCGCTATTAAATGATGGCCCTGCGCGCTGGTTATAAAACATAAAGGCCAAACATTTATAGTTTGTCTATTTGTCGATGACATGATTGTCCTCAAGTCCATAATACTTGAATAGAAAAACTACGAAAGCAACCAAGATCGACATTCGAAACTAAAACAGTTGGAGATAATACTCCCGATTCAGACCGTTATGCGAGATACGACATGCTAGGAATAGAATTTCAGTGCGAAAAAGGAGAAAGTATGAAGCTTTCGATGGGAAAAATCACATTCGATAGATTACCAAAATTAAAATTACTATTGGAAGGAAAGAAACAGAGTTTAGCTCCAGGACAACCCGGTCACTTCCTGCTTCCATCTAAAATTGACTTAGAGTCATCACAACAAGGGTATGCCACTTAAGTACATCAAATGCAAAGAATTGTGGAACTATTTTCAAAGTAAATGCATCCTAAGAGCACAAATGTGGGACTGAAAAACCAAGTATCCTTCCAGATAATAAAGAGATTTCAGCTTCAGTCTTGACAATTCTTTGGCCCAGCTTCGAGGCCCTCAGAAGCTCGTTTCATAGCCGCAAAACGGAAGGCATCACAGTAGATAGAAAGGGAGCTCGCATTGTTTGCACGTCTTCCCCGATATCTTCAAATCAAGTCACTCTACAAACAGCAAAAAGATAAACTCTTTTAATCTTTTTGGCCGAATTGAAGTGGATCCGGTAAATTCAAAGATCAGTTTATTGTGAATAACAAACTCTGCTGATGTGTTACTTCCTATTTATTGGAGACTTGTACACCGAATTTTCGTCGTGTTCGAGCGTTTGCAAAGATTCCGCATCGTCAGATCTGCTGCTTACCTGTAGACTATTCTCGTCGCTTTTTAGGAGCATTCTTTCGAGCTCTTCGTTCCTTTTCTGGAGCTCGTCATTCCTTTTCTGTAATTCATTATTCTTTACTTGTAAGCTCCATTCTACTATGCCGGAAGCAACATTTGAAAGTAGATTGAGAAAATCGTCCATTATTTGTGAAAGTGTTGTATGGGTTAGATTGCAGAGAAGTTGCTGCTTATATCGCTTCAATGACCCTTCTCCTGCTAGTGCTTCCGCAACAAGTTGAACCTACCAAATTTGATACTAAAAGTCGGTTAAAGTCAGCAGAACTGGGTTCCAATAGAAATGGAACTGCAAGAGGCGTATACAGTGACGAGCTAGATCTCGAACAGCATCCAATAATTTGCAATTCTCTTGTACCTCTCACGAGTAAATCTTACTCTGAGCGGTTAAATATGTAAATATCAAGTGGAGTGCCATTTTAAAGTCCAAGTCCAAATTGTAGCGCCAAAAGGCCGTTGAGTATCAACTATCAATCATATAGCCTATTTATTTTACAGTAAGGATTCTAATATCGAAAGTCCCGAAAGTGATATGCAAGATAACATAACAGAAACCTGAGAAACGCAGACGAAGCACCTATCAAGAGGGCACGGCTCATACTAGTCTTATTAATTATTCAGAAAGCTCACCTAGTAGTGAAGAGTTTGTTACTCAAGATGCTGAAGCGTTTGGAGCGCGCTTCGGGTAGCCTGAATCACCGATTGCGCATAAAGAATCATACTCGCGGTTTTCATGTCAAAGTTTATTCGTGGTCAAAATAGGCTATCCAAGGCTACGCGTACGCTGCCTCGAAAGTCCCCCAGCCTTTTATAGCACTGTGAATGAATTCAGTAACGTATTTCGGATCTGGATTCGTTGAAGTTTAGCGAATGCGGACATATATGTGCATGTGTGGACGTACTCTTTCCTTGCAATCATTGACGATCCCATTCAAAGCTATTAAATTATGTGGCAACTTCTTCTGTCATTACCCCCCCACCTTTCAAGGTCGTTGTTACCGCTATTGTTTGTTTTTATTGTTGTGGAACTTTTGAGGAATCAACAAAGATTTACAGTTTTTTAGTACATGTTTTGTAAATACGCGTTGTCATTTAATTTTCCTGAGATCCTAAAATATTTGAAAAATAGTTTCGTCGGTGGATTGGTGACTGATCCGTGGTGCTGGTCTCCCTGGCTAAATATGTTTCCACGTTTTTTTATGATACTTGCCCTCACACTACAATTTACAATTTGAGTGAGTAGAGCTCCCCTCTTAATTCCTCACTGTTGGCAGGAGCGTGGAGACATGACTGGGTGCAATCTTGTAGATGTCAATACCAAACTCATATTTTTACGATGCAGCGTTCATTTAGACAATTCCACCAACCTCTTGGAAAGAACTCCGGTACGCACTTCATGTCATGGCGTTCTCTTCTCTAATTAGTTTTCTAGTCGTTGCGATCGATGTGCTTTTTTAGATAAAATCAGACTTCATCTTTTAAAAAAAAATCTAGTCGTCGATGTGCTATGGCCGTTTACAGGTACCTCTTACTCAAATAAGGACCCTACAACTCAAATTCACGAATCTAAAACCTTCACTACGAAAACAGTTGTATTCACTTATAATACTTAACTTATCTCGAGTTCTTGTCTTCAACATGTCACTGATAGCAACGATTTGCTGCTGTGGAAGCTCACAGCCTTCATTACTGACCATCAATGGCAAAAGATATAGGATACAAAGACTCATCGGTGAAGGTGGATTATCGTTTGTTTATCTAGTAAAGTCTCAAGAGGGTGAGTCGCTGGCTCTTAAAAAGATTCGATGTCCTTTTGGAAGTATAGGATCGATTTCCCCTGCTATGAAAGAGGTCAATAATTACAAGAGGTTTCACAGCCCCTACATTGCCCAGATTGTGGATTCTCAGGTGTGTCAAGAAAAGGATGGTTCAAAGACGGTATACATCCTTGTGCCGTACTTTTCCAAAGGTTCCTTACAAGATGAGATTAACAGGAGCTTGCTGAATTGCACAGAAATGCCTGAGTTGGATGTGGTACGATTGGCAGTGGGAATTGCCAGAGGACTGCTATGTATCCATGAAGCTAGTCCAAATGACGATGCTGATGTCGCTTATAGCATAGTGTCCACACCCTACAATGAAGAAACCTCGTTTCTTAACGACCTAGAACTCGATACATTTGGGGAATCCCAACAGTCGTACGCGCATCGCGATCTGAAGCCATCGAATGTCATGATATCGCCTGAAGGCATCCCTGTCATTAGTGACCTTGGATCTTGCTCCCGGGCTTATACGGAAATTAACTCTCGACAAGCACTGCTACAATTCCAAGAATGGAGATCAGAACACTGCACTCCAGCGTTTACTGCTCCCGAAATTATTGACGTACAACTTAAATCTGTGATCACCGAAAAGTGTGATATCTGGTCATTGGGCTGCACAATATACACCATGTGCTACGGGATCTCCCCTTTTGAACGTGAAGAACAGGTCAGTGGAGCCTCCGTCACGTATGCTATCACCACAGGAAAATACACCATACCGCAAGGCACTCATCGTAATAAGGACCTTGTAGATATCATAATAAAATGTTTGAACGTGAACGCTGATGAGAGACCTTCCATAGACGAGCTGTTGGCGCTTCTGATGGACGTGCAAAGTCAACTGGTGCCGTGATGTGTGATATGCGGTTGAAATAGAGATCTCGCACGGTTAAGAACACTACTACGCTTGCTCGACTTACTATTCTCGAAGACAACAAAAAGTGCGGGAGTGAACCATTTCATGCTAAACCGGACTCAGAGTTTTCAGAATTGTAAGGAAACAGATGTTCCTGGCTACAATGACTGTCCGCTTTTTTTGTATCCACCAAAGCGGACCACAGGCGAGAAGAATGCAGTTCCCAGTAGTCAGATAGACACATATGGTGGTACGAAAGCAGCCACTGCACCACCACCACCTATGAAGTGGCGATCTTCAAGTCAGAATTCTAGCATAAGCGTGTCGTCCACGGGTCCACAAGTAACTTGTAAAGAGAAGTCCGACATCCTGCTGGAAATTGACGCCGTACTTGCAAGAGATAGTAAACTGTCGCCCACGGAGTTTCAGTATTATAAAAGCAAAATCGTGGCAAATATCGATAAGAGTTTGGATCATGAGCATGGACGCCAGACAATGAGTGAAATACTTGCGTCACTGGAGGAGAAAGAAAAAGTTTATAAGTTACTCACAGAGTGGATGATGTCTGACACTGCTACTGGTAAATGGTGCCCATCATTCCGCAAAATTATCAGCAACTTGACATAAGATATGGCAGGAATTCTCATTAGATACACAATGCATTTAAAGATATGAAGGCAAAGGCTATAGCTGTGCTTGAAAAAAGTTCGGTTCTTGATATTTAATTATATGATGTGCAAACGATAAAAAATTGCGCTCGAGTAAAACATCTTGAGATAATCTGTACATGGATTTGGGAACTCGGCGTCCGCAACTCTTTTTTAGGTTTATGAACGTCAAGGCCTCCCTCACATTCTTCTTCTCTTACCCACGATGGCCTGGAAACCTGTCTTGATAGAAGACACGGATCTGGTGGAACCACAACTCTGACACACCAGGAAGAACAGTCTGTTAGATTGCTCCTTACGCAGGTCGGTGTTAATGCTTTTACAGGTCTTACATGTGACATATTCCAGAATGTATCTTCTTAATACGTTTTCCATTTGTTTAGGCATGAATTTCCCCTTCATGACCAATCTCTTTTGCCCGTCAACGGAACCAGAAGTACCCAATTCTGCAAATAGATACTGGATCAAATGCTCTGGGTTTCGTTGTAGTTTTTCGGAAATCTCTTGAATGTTGCAGAAAATGGTCTTCTTACCATCACGCTGACACACAGGGGGTGGAATTCTGAACTTAGGCCCGCTTCTGTCGCCCGCCAGCTCTGGGTTGTTAGTTCTGAGAGTTTGGAAGAATCTAGACAGCAGATCTTGATAGGGCAATCCTGCGTCTTCCTGGAGCGCCGAGTCGTCTTCGGGTACCACTGATGCCTCTCTGCTGTTGGTTTGACTGGCCTCAGCGACGCCCGCTTTGGCCAATTCCTTTTCAAAATCATCTAGACTGTGTTCCTTCGTCCTCTTCTTCTTTTTCTTGAGTTTCAGCTCCCCTAGAGCAGCTCCGACTTCGTCCACGTCATCCTGTGTCTCGCCTGAATCTTTGGATGTACTCTTGGACTTCTTCTTCTTTTTTAGCCCAGAGAAAATGTCATCTGCGGCAGGAGCTGCTGTTGTTCCTGCATCGACTGTGTCTTCGGAATCTACTACTTTCTTGGCCTTCTTCTTCTTCTTCAAAGTGGGATCAAAGCCCAGCTCATTGGATAGCTCAGACATGATATGCTGGAGTTGAATATTTAACTTTAATGTTGAATAAAATCCCGAATTTGGATTCCATTCATTCCATTTTCCTACTTTCTTCAAAAATTTTCTTAGCCAAACACTCTTCGGCGAAAGTGATCAACTTCCATAGGCAGGGTAACCTATTTAAGACTCTTTATAATGATATTTAATGGCGTTATTGTACAAGTGGAGGGTTCATAGCGCTGAAGCTGATCTCGTTTGTATCTTCAAGGCTACTCTTCGCCTTTATGCGAAAATCGCCTGCTCTCCTGGCTCGGTTGTATTTTGTTTCGATTTGGTCAGTTTTGGCCCTCTTCCAGCTTCAAGTTCTCCGTTTCTTGTCTGAGCGCCTCTGTGGCATCTTTTGTAACTTGCTCAATCTCCGTCCCTTCCGTTATCTGGACAGTGTCGTCGGTAGAGCCATCTTGAGGTTGTGAGTCGGGCTCCACGTCATATTTCTTGAGGTAAAAAGTTTCCACCTCTTCGTGGGAGCCGCGCTCAGCCTCAAATATAGCGTCATGGTCAAAGGTGTTTCTCAAAAATGGATCAGCACCTAGTTTGTCGCACAAAACTTGAACACAGTCCAATTTACCGTTGAGAGACGCCCAGTGCAGCGCAGTGTTCCCAGTCTCGTTTTGGGAATTGACCCACTTGACGCTCTCCTCGGGGATGCTCTCCACTAGAGATGCGAAATACTCGATTACTTGAACGTGGCCGTTTGCTGCCGCCATGTGGAGCGCCGTGGACTTGGTATGAGCATCGCGGCATGTGACGATCAACTTTGGATCGACCAAGTTTGTAAAAATGTCCTTCAAGGACTCCAAATCGCCGCTTCTGGCATCTAGAATAATCGCATCCTGATCCTCTTGGTCCAAAGGTTCGGTATGAAGGCCCATCGGTATCTGCGAGTAATATATTTCAGGAGTTGAACACAATATTCGCTGATGCGATGAGCTTCAAATGAGAAGAGAGGCCCGTTAATTAAAATTTGAAAGTATAAATTCGTGGAATATGATATGAATTTCATTGAATAGCGAATTATAGCCAATCTCAGTGGCCAATAAGACCGGATAGCCGTGATGGTCTAGTAGTACTGCTTTGAGCTAATATCTAGGGTCTAGTCTCGCTCACATTATTTCACAACTCACCTATCTCATAGTTAAATGAAAATTTCATTGTAGTGGCTACTGATATCAAGCTAGTGGTAAGCCTATAACCAAAAAAGACGCAATTATAGCGGTGTGTTATGTATTGGCTATCATGAGATACAACAGTATCTGTCAAAGGAAAACTCACAAGGCTTTGGAAACCCGTTGTTGATGATCTCTTACAGCGAACCACCCTCAACAGTTCCGCCGACACTCTATATTACACGATGCAGCCTCTCTGTAGCCACATTCCGGTTTCTCTGCACTCTTCCTCTCGCTCATCTTCTCGATTACTCTTTCCTATATTCGCTTAACGTATCTTAAAATTATCGAAAATTCCGCTGATCTACTATTACTTTATAACATCAATTACTCAACCAATGACCGACAGCCCCAAGTGTCAAAATCTTCAGCAGATACTGGATCGAAACCCAGATTTTACTAATGATACCCCTCTAGATCAATTTTTCAGCGCCTTCAACTCGCAATTCATTTCTAAGATTACCGATGATTCTAATGCACCGCTATATGCAGAGGTTGGGTTCTGCAATAATAGCGATTTTGTAACTAGCCTGCTAGAGTGGCTAGATCAGCTGAAGGATATCCTGCTAGAAATACCCACGGATAATGAATCCGCTAACCTCGTTCCGATTTCACTTCACGACATGAAGTATTTTGATCTTTTGATTAACTTAATAGTGGTACACGGATTCTACGCCAACCTGCCATCTGGAATCGGAATTCCTCTGAACCAGAGAAGAATTGAAAATTTTAGACTGGTGGACAAGAGGTTTGAGATCCCGAAAGCTCACAAGGCCAACCATGACACACTAAGCCGCGCAAGCGATGCCTTTTATACAACTTTGATGTCAGCACCTCTAAGGAAGAACGTCGTTGGAAGTCTGTTACTCAAAGGAGCTGGCTTCACAGATCTACTTACTGCCTTAATTGTCTTACATTTTGAAAAACGAGAAGACCAACAAAGGTACTCTGTCATGTTCCAAAACGCCGAGTCGTTGCAAGAAACCTATCAACTCTTTTCACTCTACACTTTGTTAGTGCACACAACTAAAAATCCTCAGTATCGCGAATTTGTTCTTTCTAAACTCTCTACTTTGCCTGTAAGAAGAAACAACGGTGTTATAAGCTTAATCGACTTTGTAGTCGGAGTCCGTGAAGATGCAGAAATTGACACCAGCAGATATAATCGCGTTAGCCAAATTCTTGTCAGCAAACCAAGATCCCTGAGCAGTCCCGATTATTTTTCGAAACTGTTTGATCAAATTTGTGACGGACTTATCTTCATAAACAAGCCAATCCTTGTTAGCTGTCTGAATATACTGGTGACCGAGTTCTACTTCAAGAACAAACGAATAGTCCAAGATTTTCTCTTCAGGAAGATAAACAAGGTGCTCTACAACGAGCCTCGGCAAGAACACTCTTCCAAAGAATTGAATAATACAATAAATGTGCTCGTATCGCTTTCCAAAAATCCTAGTGTAAACTTGACAAAGAGCTTGACCACGTCTGGTTCCAATAACTTTTATCTCACCTTGTGGATCTATTGCATGTTTCTAAAGAAAAATCAGCGCTTGCAGCCACAAAGCGACTCAAAAAATTCCGCTGCACCATACTACACCGTGGTCCTATCTCTTTTGAAAACTTACATCGTTATCAACTCTGACTATAGTGCTTTGAATGTTATAATCATGAATTTAGTTAATTTTGATCACGAAACTTGGGGTTATGGGATCAATCTCGAGAACCAGCTTCCTTACGTGAGGCTCATTGATCAGCGCAGCATCGATGAAGAGCCGAACCCGTTGCATATCGGTAATGATGAAAAATTACGAAAGGTTCAGCAAGTGTTCTTAGACATCGACCACGCAGTAGAGCTCTTTGTAGAGCTCTTAAAAGCACTAAATGAACCAGACGTGGTAAAAGACATTTTCCTGTCCGTTATGAACCGTTGGGTTAACAGCACAACCAAATCGAACCAATCCGGAGAATCAATGTTTGCAGAAGATTTTCAGAATAGCTTGCTAGTACTCGTGGACCTCAAACTTATGGAGAAATTGGACGACACTTTCAAGAACGATATCATCAGAAAGCCTAAGGACGTACTGAAGATGATCGACGAACTGTTCGAGCTCCCTGAGGATAATGAAGACGCGGCTGGGTATCATGAAGACTCAGACGACGATGAAGACGAAGACGACAAAGTAGGCGAAGAAGACGAATTATTACAAAATCCTAGAGCCACAAGTGTTTATTTGACACTACTTAAATTGTTGTCAAGTATATTGTCTACAACACCAAGCAGGGAACTCAAGCTGTGTCGCGACGTCTTGGAATCAATACTCAGGTCACTGCATTTGCGTAAAGAGGATACACAGTCTCAGTCCCTGGCTACCAAGATTCAGGACTTGTTGAAAAGCAGTGAAACAAGTGCTTTAGGCGGCCAGTTTGCTCAGGATTACAATGAGCTAGACGCGGACAATGAGTTCCTGCAAAAAGCAATGGTAAATATTAACGACGCACTGGCACCAATTAGAGCACACGGCTTGTACGAACTCCGCCAATTAATCGAACGAAAGTCCCCGGTAATCGACCTCAATTATGTTTTGGAGCTGCATGCGCAACAGTTACGCGACAAGGAGCCGTTCGTTTACCTTAATGCGATCAAAGGCCTTACTGCGTTGTGTGAGCTAGAGCCGGATCGGACTGTGCTTTTTTTGCTAGGTCTTTACGGAGGCAAAGATCCGCAATCAAGAAACAAGCTGTCGTTAGACGACGAATTAAAGGTTGGTGAGGTTCTAGCAAACTATGTGAAGCCACAGAGCCTAATGTTTGGTGGGGCCAATGCCCGCCTGATTGTTGCAGCATGCGTAACGAAGGTACGGCAGCACGAGACTCTCGACAACCGCGCACGAATGTCGGCCATGTCTTTGCTAGGCGTTTGCCTAGAAACTAATGCCCTGGGGATCCGCAAAGAACTGTCCGATATTTTGGACTGCGCCGTCAACATTTTAAGACTTGAAAAATCTCGGAACGCCAGCGACGACTCCGAAGACTCGTCCCAACTGCTGAGACGTAGTGCCCTACATCTTTTGCACGCTCTGCTCGCGCATTCTGGGCTCGAACTTCTGCCCGCAAATTACTCAGCCGCCCAACTAACTAGCCTACTAAACTACGTGAGATCCACCGATGCTGACTACCTCGTTTACGAACAAGCAGGCGCTTTGCTTCAAGAAATTCATGCGCTACAAAATCATACCGTAGTACCTCCGTCAACCGCTCAGCTGGGAATATAGAGGAATGTTGACCATTTACTTCCCGCAAGCTACTAGAACCTTCCAGGTAGTACTCTGTTTCCATTAGCAAGTCATCGACAATATCACTCTGTACTATTATGTCAGAATAATTTGGTTTTTTCTAGAAAGTTCGCTACTGATCAACCATGCTCACAAAATTTACTGGAATTTAAAGTATTTAAAGGACACAGGGTAAAGTATCAAAAATGTCTGAGGCTAATTAAATCTTGAGGTTATTCCTAGATCGTTAGAATTTGTTAACACCATACCATTCGCAACTTTCTGTCGCCACCATGTCTAGTCAGGAAACATATGAATTCCAAGCTGAGATCACTCAGTTGATGAGTTTGATCATCAACACAGTATACTCCAACAAGGAGATCTTTTTGAGAGAATTGATCTCGAACGCCTCCGATGCGTTGGACAAAATTAGATACCAGGCTTTGTCTGACCCAAAGCAGCTCGACAGTGAACAAGAGTTGTTCATTAGAATTACTCCAAGACCTGAAGAAAAAGTGCTCGAGATCAGAGACTCCGGTATCGGTATGACCAAGGCCGATTTGATCAACAACTTGGGTACGATCGCCAAGTCTGGTACCAAGGCTTTCATGGAAGCGCTTTCTGCCGGTGCTGACGTATCGATGATCGGTCAATTCGGTGTCGGTTTCTACTCGCTGTTCTTGGTCGCTGACAAAGTTCAGGTCATTTCCAAGCACAACGACGACGAACAGTACATCTGGGAGTCCAATGCCGGTGGCTCTTTCACCGTTACTTTGGACGAACAAAACGAAAGAATCGGAAGAGGTTCCGTGTTGAGACTGTTCTTGAAGGAAGACCAGCTCGAATACCTAGAGGAAAAGAAGATCAAAGAGGTTGTCAAGAGACACTCTGAGTTTGTTGCTTACCCAATTCAATTGTTGGTGACCAAGGAAATCGAGAAGGATGTCCCAATTCCTGAGGAGGAAAAGAAGGAGGAAACCGAGTCTGAAGACAAGAAGCCTAAGTTGGAAGAAGTCGACGAGGACGAGGACTCCGAGAAGAAGCCCGAAACCAAGAAGGTTAAGGAAACCGTGGAAGAACTAGAGGAGCTAAACAAAACCAAGCCATTGTGGACCAGAAATCCATCCGACGTTTCCCAAGAAGAATACAATGCTTTCTACAAGTCCATCTCCAACGACTGGGAAGACCCATTGGCCGTCAAGCACTTTTCCGTTGAAGGTCAACTAGAGTTCAGAGCCATCTTATTCGTTCCAAAGAGAGCCCCTATGGACTTGTTCGAGTCTAAAAAGAAGAAGACCAACATCAAGCTTTATGTTCGTCGTGTTTTCATCACTGATGAAGCTGAAGAGCTAATTCCAGAATGGTTGAGCTTTGTTAGAGGTGTTGTTGACTCTGAAGATCTCCCATTGAACTTGTCCAGAGAAATGTTGCAGCAAAACAAGATCATGAAGGTCATCAGAAAGAACATCGTTAAGAAGTTGATCGAGACTTTCAACGAAATCGCTGAAGACTCCGAGCAATTCGAGAAGTTTTACTCTGCTTTCTCCAAGAACTTGAAGCTAGGTATCCACGAAGACACTCAAAACAGAACCGCTTTGGCCAAGCTATTGCGTTACAACTCCACCAAGTCTATTGACGAGCTAACTTCGCTAACTGACTACATTACCAGAATGCCAGAACACCAAAAGAACATTTACTTCATTACCGGTGAATCTATGAAGGCCGTTGAAAAATCGCCATTCTTGGATGCTTTGAAGGCTAAGAACTTCGAAGTTTTGTTCTTGGTTGACCCAATCGATGAATATGCCTTCACTCAATTGAAGGAATTCGAAGGTAAGCAATTGGTCGACATCACCAAGGACTTCGAACTAGAAGAAACCGAAGAAGAAAAGGCCAAGAGAGAAGAAGAAGCTAAGGAATACGAATCATTGGCTACTGCCCTTAAGGAAATCTTGGGTGAACAAGTGGAGAAGGTTGTTGTCTCCCAAAAATTGGTTGACGCTCCAGCTGCTATCAGAACTGGTCAATTCGGCTGGTCCGCTAATATGGAAAGAATCATGAAGGCTCAGGCTTTGAGAGATTCTTCCATGTCCTCTTACATGTCGTCCAAGAAGATTTTCGAAATCTCTCCAAGATCTCCAATCATCAGAGAGCTGAAGAAGAGAGTTGAGGAGAACGGTGCTCAAGACAGAACTGTCAAGGACTTGACTACTTTGTTGTACGAAACCGCCTTGTTGACCTCTGGTTTCACATTGGAAGAACCAGCTTCTTTCGCCACCAGAATTAACAGATTGATTTCGTTGGGTTTGAACGTCGAAGAAGTTGAGGAAGAGGATGCCTCTGCCGAGACCGCCACCGAAGCCCCAGTTGAGGAAGTCACTGCTGAGACTGAAATGGAAGAAGTTGATTAAATCTCTTCGACCACAAATAATAGTTACGTCTAATTCGTGTAGAAAAATTGTATAAAGCATTCAAAGGATTATATCTTGTTTATGGGATTCATCGATCATTTTAAGCCCTACCAAATGAATAAATGGCGAGCGAGCCAACGTTATTTTTTTACTCCATCGTTCCTGATTATCTTAAAAGTTGTGATTGGAAGGCTGAATTTATTAAGGTAACTACTGTAATAGAGCCAGTATTATAAGCGCACCATGACACCAATCAGCTTTGATGGCTTGAATCTTTCGAAAACATCTAAAACGTTTAATGCTGCTTGTGACGGTAAGTAGAAGCTTTTTTGATGATGCCTTATTGAATTTACTAATATGAAAACAGAAATTGAACACGCCTCATGTAAAAACATTAATCCCGGCAAAGTAAAGAAGGAAATAGATGCCCTCTTTTCATCACTGCGGTTAGTTGCAGATCAACTGCCGGCATATGATGTAGAGAAGTACAACGCAAGGTTAGAGAAATTGCTCAAGAAAGTTACTGACGAAGGGCAAGCTACAAAAAAGAGAAAATTTCAATTTAAGGGCAAGCCGAAAGTTGACACTCCGGCAACTAATGCCACTCCAGGAGATGTGGAACTTGTTGATCCAAAATCAAAACTCACCAGACAGAACATCCGTTACGATCAGAAAATTGGCAACTACCAAAATCTTGAAGACAGCTCTTTGTCATACGAGAATGAGAACGAAGGACTTTCTGAAAACATAATACAGTCTTCTTCATTACACGTGCGGTCGCTTCTTCGCAGTGTTATTAACTTCAACGGCACGCCATTCAATCACGGAAGCATCCATATTGAAAATGCGCAAGACTCCGTCATTCTACTAAAACTTCAAGCGCATTCAAACATCCAAGTTCGTTTATTTGGGCTTCACAATTGCAAAGTATACATTGTGCGGGCGGGCACCGAACCTCAAACAATCATTCTCGAGAACTGCAGCGAATGCCAGTTCCACAGTGACATGAAAAATACAACTACAATTCAAGATTTTAGTAACATCGGAAAGCTGATCGAAGAATCTGAACCTAGTTTCTCATACGTCTCCTTTAGCACTTGAGACTTCAGCACGACTAAGTTTGCAATCCAACTACATGCATCGTAGATCTTTCTAGACTCAATCGCTACTAAACCACTTGTGTCATTAGCCGCTGAAGTCCTTCACGTGTCACGTGAAGCTTTGTTATTTTGTTGACGTTAACCCAGATATGGAATTTTCTAAACATAGGCTAAGGTTCAACTCGAGGAATTTGAAAAATACCTGGAATATTGCAGATGTTGATTGCATTGTAAGGTTCTGCAAAACCCTTACTTGGTATTTGAGCCACAACATCATCGCTATTGCTTTACTCATCAAGGGGGTCGTGTCAACTTGGAGTACAATACATTGGTATGACATCTCTCACAGGTTCACCTAGCAAGGGCAAAAACCCTTTCATCGATCGATACATGGCTAGCTTGGGAAGTAATGCCACTACAACACCGATACCTGTCACTACTTCACCTATCAAAACTGGCCTTGAGGGGGCTAATAAGTCGGTAAGGAAATGGGAGTTTTCTTCTTCGTATCGTGATGACGATAAAGATAAGGAAAATGGAGTTTCTCACAAGTCTGGTCATGCCAATTCTCCTAAACCGTCCAATCGCTCAAGTCCTTTAAAGGCGCTTTCACCAGCCAGGCAAAACAGCTGTACACCTGCGAGGAATGTCAGTGTTAAGCGAGAGCCTCTTTCGTTGAAGCCAAGAGGTGCCAACCAAATTTCAGAGACCTTTGATGTGAAAAAACTTAGCAGCAAGGATTTGAAATACTACGAGTTTCTGTGCCGCGTCAGAGAGGCGAAGGAATGGATAGAAGCTGTCATCTCCGAAGATTTGCCCTCTGAGCTCGAGCTTGTCTGCGGGAACAGCATGAGAAACGGGGTATTTTTGGCCAAAGTAACTCAAAGAATCGATCCAAGTCTTGTTAAAAAAATAGTACCCGCTGGAACTACGCTCCAATTCACCCACACACAAAACATCAATGCCTTTTTCCACCTCGTTGAAAAGGTTGGAGTTCCCGACTTGTTCAGATTTGAACTTACCGATCTTTATGAAAAGAAAAATATTCCAAAGGTTTTCGAAACGCTGCACGCTTTGATCAATGTCATTAATAGCAAGTGGACGGGAAAAGTTCCTGAAATTCAGAATCTCAGTGGGATTGTCTCTTTTACAGGTGACGATCTGAAACTTTGTCAGCGCAAAATACCCACTGTTCATAATTTCCGGTCCTTCAAATTTTCTTCTGCGGCAAGCACAGAGCTTTCCGCTTCACAAGAACATGTCATGCCAGGGTTGTTGCATAATCATAATGAAGATGTAACAACTGAAAACACGACTCAAATTCAAGAATCGCCAAAGACCCAAATTCAGGAATCTCCAAAAACTCCCACAAAGATGCCCGCAACATCCTCAATAAATGAAAGAAACTCACAAATGTCACCGGTTTTAGTAGACTCTTCAAAGTACTCAGCTACTAATATCTTGACAGAGACGGCACCTTTACTAAGTTTCGACCATAGCACTAGCCCGGCTAAATCGCTATCTTATTACTCTCCTCGAATCTACAGGCACCTATCATACAGGTCAGACCCCACAGACTTTTACTCGTCAAGATTGACTGATCCCTATGAATTTGATCAGTACGACACATTGAAATATAATACTCCTGAGTATTCTCCGGTAAGAAGGAAACGCATGACAGAATTTCAATTTTTGGACTCCGTCTGCAATCTTCAGGCCGTGTGTCGGGGCGTCAACACAAGGTTTGGTGTTACGATACTGCAAAGAAAAGTCGACATTGTTATTGAAAAAATAACGGCATTCCAAGGGCACACAAGGGCATACATGGCTAGGAAAGAGACTAAAAATAAATCTGCAATTGTCACTTCCCAGGAGCCTCATCTCCGGGGACTTCAATCTTTGATAAAAGGTGATATAACACGCACGAACATATTCAAGCTTCGTGTTCGTCTCTTGAATGTTGAAGATCAGCTAATTTTCCTGCAAAGTATTTGCCGCGCGAAAGTGATCAAGCGGCGCTGCCAAAAGACGCTTGAGAGCCATCTCGTAATAAGCCAACCTTTGAAGAATATACAGGCTACGGTCAAAGGAGTCCTGCGGAGAAAAAGTGATACTTATATGCAAAATCTGCTACTTACGTGTCTCCCAGCAATTATTAACTTTCAGGGTTTACTTCGCTCACATCACTTAAGGAAACACAGAAAGTCCATCTATTTTTCTCTGAACGAGCAATACAACAAAGTCGTCGCAATACAAGCGCTTTCAAAAAGTCTGCTCCAGCGTCAATCTATTCGCAGACTAAGAAGGGAGCTAGAGGGTCACAAGGAGGCTGTGTCCAATATCGCCGCATTACTTAGGGGCTCGACACAAAGAGGTGGCATAAAATCACTCGCAACAGCAGTACGGGACAGTAGAGATCCGGTTGTCTCACTCCAAGCTCTTTCAAGGGGGGTTCTGGTGCGTTTTACGTTAGATTTGATTGCCGATATTGTCGAAGCCAGCGAGCTCGTCAAGATTCAGACCTTCGCCAAGGGTTATCTTATCAGAAAGCACAACAATCAATTAACACACCATTACGTACAGCGAGTTTCGGATGTCGTTAAAGTTCAGGCCTGTATTCGACGTCATCAGTTAAGAAAAGCGTACTTGGAGTTCATGTCCGCGGCCAATCCAAGCATCTGGGCAGTACGAAGATTTGTACATTTGCTCAACAAAATTCATACCAATCATGAATCGTGTAGCAAGTTGGAGTGGCTAAAATCTCAAATTGATCACTCCAATAAAAGCAGGGATAAGGTGCAAGAGGGTCTTGAACTTCTTCAGAGAAAGAGCCTCATATTGAGTGACTACAACATATTCGTTGGCTCAATTAATTCCTCAGGCGACGAATTGCAGTTTAACGGGAGTTCATGTTTCCGTGGGTATGAAAAGTTAATCTATTTGCTCCAGACGGATTCATTTTACTGGAAGACACTTTACCGTCTTGACAAGAATTTTGCTGCTAAGCATCTTACCAAGACGTTCGCATCAGCGAATGGTTCTATGGGTCAAAGGGAAAACGCCTTCTTTATTCGCGTCGTTGCGGATTTTCTTACTCTTGACATCGAAAGCTTCGACAGTGTCCAACAATTTTTGAATGAGGAGGTCCAAAGCTTTTGGAAAGACCTGATGTTTTTCTATGTACATCGCCAGCTTCCCGAGCTCGTGATTGAACTCTTTGCTCCTCTTCTTGAGTTCATATCGACGGAGTCCGTCGATTTTGAGTCAGTTCCAGCCATAATATATAAAAAGCTTCACCCGTATGAGATGGAGCGTTCCTCTAGTGAGTCAATTGAAGATGAAGATACGAAAAGCGTCTTTGTGAACAACTTGACAAATCTATGGAAGGCAGTTGAAATGGTGAGCGGCGCTTTACTGAGAAACCTGCACCGCGTTCCGGAGGACATTAAGTTCTTGTGTACTACAGCCTACAGGGTTATTGCTGATCACAGCCCATATGATAGCGATGCTCTGCTCGCGATTTCAAAAATTTTACTCGAGACTTTGGTCTTCCCTTTTTTGAAAGCACCCTCTAAATTTGGCCTACAAAAACTGTCTACGGAAGCTGAAAGAAAAGTTTGCATACTTTCGGATGTCGTTGAAACTGTGTTCTCTTTCTCAAAGTTTCAAGGCTACCTGACACCTCTCAATCAATATGCTGAACAGATTGATGATGATCTAGCTTTATCTCTCAGGAAAATGCTAACATCGCCTTCCTTCGAAAACTACTGCAACAGATTAATTTACATTGATATGTGTCAAAATGAACGGGCGGCGCTCAGCATTTCTAAGCAGTATTTGCTAGAAATCAGCAACAAGCTTGATAGTAACATGGATGCATTTCCACACGATGACCCCATCACCGGCTTGTTGGAAAGTATAAAAGTCAATGAGAAGAAAACATTGCAGCGCAGCACAAATAGCATAATTGAGCTTCGATTAAATCCGAGCGCTTATCAACTGTCATCCAGTGACGATAGGCTGACATCCATTTACAATGAGATCAAAAGAGGCCTAATTTATATGATGCAAGTTGAAGGCGTCGACACCAATTTATACGACCTGATGACTAGCTCTATAATTGGTAGCGATGAGCCTACTTTTCAGCGGCTGATTCATAAGACAGATGCTATTAAAAATGATCCGTTGTTGAAAAACCTGAAAGTCTTGAGCTACTTCAGTCTGAAACAGCATGTGTTAGAAAGGGCATACGAGCTAAAACAGATGGATAACCTGGGGATTGAAGACAATCTGCAAAGTGTTCTAAATGATATTGCGAATACCATAAAGTCGCGAGAATACGTTGTGGAATCGACTGCCAGTGAGATAAGAACTGCAGAACACACTTTTAAGGCTATTCAAGCCGCAAATTCTAAGCTGCAGCAATATTCGCGTTCTTTGGAAGCATCGCAGAAACGAGCACTGAAAAGTGCGCAGACATCAAGCAACTATACGCCAGCAAAGAAGCACGGCATAGGTCACAAATTAAAGGACGTTTACAAAAAGGTCAACCATAAAAGCGTTGCACCAAAGAACTGCTTAAGCATTGAGTGGACCACGCGTCATCTTTACGAGCTTGGCGTTCTAAAGGATCTCGCCGGAGAAAATTTGGGAAAAGTGGCTCTGAGCTTCTTTGGATCGAGCGGTCCCAAGTTCCCAGATCTGACATTTAAATTTACCACCTCAGACGGAGAAGTCTTTGCAGTGGAACAAAATGACGAAAGGAAGAGTGACAAATTGAGCAGCAAATCAGGAACAGATAGCTTTGAGCTATCGAAGCTATTGGACTTGTTAGCGAAAAACAAGAGCTCCAACTATACCTTATTTTCAAAGAAGGCAGACTTTAATCTCGCCAAATTGGTTGAACTTATCATTTGTTCCTTTATCAAAAAGCCTCAGCCTAGTTAGTCTTATATACGTATAATCGTTTCCATCCATTGGGGCATAAGGGCATGTCAAGTACATATAGCGTGCCGCATATTTAATTTAAGCGTGGGAAAGGTGCTTAAGCATGATCTTCTTAGCAGCATTGGAACCGCACGCATTAATCACTTCACAACTCTTGCAATTTGTAAATCTTCTTAAGCTTCTTTCTCTATCGAGTTTCTACTTGACCTTGCCGCAATTTGAACATATTCGGAGCTATAATGTTCGAAAACTACAAGCGACTATAATTTACTTAGAATAGCTAATGGTTTACGGCTATCTTGACTAAATTCGAGCATGAAGGTAAATAGCGAGTGGATGGAGGCTCGCCAAAATAACCATTTTCAATAAGATGCAATAGTATGATCAATTTGAGAACTCACACAAATATGTTACAAGCAACGGGGTTTTGTGGCATAGCCGCCTACTTGGCAATTTAAAACTTGAAACTTTCTCATGACATAGCTTACGAAAGCCGACGCTAATGAATGTGTCAACATTCAATAGGAGGTAAAATGAGAAGCCATCAACAAAAAATCATTTGTTGTTTTCGAGTTATGGGTACTTCAAACAATTGTCGCAACTCTGAACTTTTCTGGTGAGTTTTATCTAATATTCATAGAAACATCAAAGACATTAAAGGCATTAAAAAATCAAAAAGAGGTGTACATATTATGTAGGTCTCATTGATTGCTCGTGAAAAGTTTGATAAATTGACTGAGTTAAATCGAATTCTGCTCCGTCGTTTTGTCATTTCCAAACTCCAAGGTGCTGTAGTTATGGGTTGTTCTTAAGCTTTGAGTTTCTATAAGTAGTGGACCGCTCAATACTCATTTTCATTACCAGGTATCTGAAAAAGTTGAGCTTTGCTGTAATTGTTGGTATACCGTTCGCCACGTTTTCCCATTGATCATGATAGGATCTTGTAAGCATCTTACTGGAATATTCTTCCAGTAGAAGATACGATTCTTCATTTTCGGTTAGCATGCTCAGTTGGTTTAGAATTCGGCCAGCTTTCTTATTTAGAGTATATTCCCATTCCGAAGACATATATTCCATTACTTCCATGCTCTGCAACTGCTTTACTCGGCGCCAAGTGACAAAAAGATGCATCACGTCCTTTAACAGTACTACTGCACAACAACCAAGCAGATTTCCCAGGAATAGGCCATCATCGGGAGTCGATGACTTATGTGCTACGAAAGACTTGAACCATGAAAGCCTTGCGAGAAATATAGTATGAAATAGTTTTCCTGCAGTAGGAAAGAGCAATGTTGATGCAACTTTTTCCCACAGCGATGTTTTGATGAGAGCATGGGAATAGTCAAACCTCGCGCACATGAGCATACGGCGGCCACAAATTCCCCGCATGACAGGTTCCTCAATGAATGATCTGAAAGGCTTCATAAGTTTTGAAAGCAAACTTTCTGAGGTACCATTGGCCTCTCGGATCTCACGCCTCATATCAATAAACTGTTGCTCGGCCTCATAGATTTTGAACTGTTTTATCGACATTTGGTCGCAGATAAAATATGGTTTGACGCTATGAACCCACTCGAAATAAATGTGGTTGTAAACAAATACTTTGAGAAAGTCACTAAGTATTAAAAGTGGATACTGCAGCAACAAGAAACCTTTAGCGTTTAGGTTCAAATTCTCACCTGGTCTCAGAAATAGAATGGGATACAGTCGCTTTGGCCAGGTCAGGAAAGGATGATTGAATCTGAAACTCAGCAAGTAAATAGGTGTAATGCCCAATAGAAAAAACTGCTTGAATCCCATCTGATTCTTGTTAAATGCCTGATATAAAGTAGACGCATTTGGCAAATCGAGTAATTTGAGCAATGTGCTTTCGGGTGCTAATGTTGTCATGATGCGTAGCCCCCACGAAGTCAAGAGTCCACCACAGCTAAAAAGTATAGAGCCTCCAATTGTTCCGGCGACTGTAGTTTGTGTTACAGTTTTCGCGAACCAGTTCAAGAGCTTTGAAACCATTGCTGACATTGACACGGTTGGTGCACGGCTTGTTCTCAATAGTATAGGGGCGTTGCATTGAGGACAGACTGTATTAATCACTAACTTACGAGAGTTTCCGAGCGGAAAGCTTCCCAGGGGTCTTTCCTGTGCACCGGCAGCCATGGCTGTGGTAACATTTTGGATTACTGATTCTTCAGCTTCAGCAGAGAAAACGCGACTTACTTCCGCCGGGTCGAAAGGCGTTGCTGCATCGAGAGGAATTGCGCTAAAAGGTGCAATTCCAAGCAAGCTTAAAGGTTGGAAACCGGTAGCACCAGTATGTAGCGACGAATAAGCATCTGACACATTTAATGCTTCGAGGCCTATGTTGAGTTCCTGGCTGTTGAATCCGTTGATGACTTCATTCTTAGATTCCAGGGTATTTCTAGCGACCCATTCCAAAAGGCACTTTCTATGAGCCACAAGTGAGCAGTTGCATGGATGAACCCAGTCATGAGCTTCTTTCAAAGTTCCCAGAGGTGGACGTTCATCTCCCGAGCATAGGCAGATCCAGCATTTGTTCTCCTCTTCAAGCATCACTTCGAGATCAGTAGTTTCCCCACTTTCAAGGAGCACTAATTTCAAGCTCCGAATCTATGGCTACTGATAGAAATTACGATACGCGCTCTTGATCTAGTTAGCTTTTAGCTGTTTAGAACCAGTGACTACCTATCTTATTTCCTGAAGGGAAATATTCAACAAGAACAAAAATATTAGACATTACACAGAGTAAAATCATTACACAACTATTAAGCACATCTGTCTCTTATACTGCTTAGAAAAGTCATTACTTAAATTTCTCGTCGAGATCGAATGTCCTATAAGCCAAAAAGGCCGAAAAGACCTTTCTTCTTGGGCAATTGCTCTTGATCTTGCGGCTGGGCCAAATTTGGAGTGCTTTTTGCTTGTTTGAAGTGATCAACATCCTCTATTTGGTTATCGTAAGTGATATAGTTGAAAGCAAGGTCAAACAAAGTTGGCTTGGCCGCTACTGGTCGGATGATAGGTCTCATGGGGAACAGGTTTTTCAGAGAAACATCTTTGGGCACAATGGCTTTATCCAATTTTTCTAAAAGCGAAGGCTCTAGTGACGAGCAATTACTCGAGGATGCAATCTTTTCGTATTCTGCAAGAGAGATCACGCTCTTCAGCGAGGTTTTGATGTACTCTTGGAGTTTATCAAGCTGTTCCGTGTTGATGATGTTTCCAGGTAAAGGTTCATCTAGGGAAGAATTTTCCAGCGCCAATGTCAATGTTTTTTGACCATCGATGTAGAGCGCAAGAGCCTCTGAATATTTTTGTCTGCCCTGATAGAAGGACGCTAAACAGCCTGCTGTTAGATGCAGCTGATAGTAAACTGTGGCCAATTTGAGATTGGCCATTAAAGTGTCGTCCGAGTATACACCCGGAAGATCCATCACATCCTGCAAGTACGACGTTAAGTTGTGAACAATACGCTCAATCTCTTTATACTTGGTCAGCTTCAAACTTTTGGATATCTTGGAGGGTGAAATCCAGTGTTCCCATAGCCTGTTGAAAATTATGTCATCACGTACAATTGTGGTGAAGTGGGAATTATATTGAAGATAGGTCATCAAAATTTCATCGTCCTCCCCAACACTTTCTTCACGATCGTCGTTTTGTTTTTGTTCCATTGCAGTTTTTTGCAAAACTAACGCTTCCTGCCATTTGACTAATGCCTCGCTAAATTGAGATAGTTCTTGAGTTTCGATCCCCTGTGCCTCTGATATTAGTTCAGCCACTTTAGAGTCCTTGACTTCAGCCGAGAATCTTCTCCAGGATACTTGTGTCACCGCGGAAGTCATTTCGACATCTTCTTGCAATGAAGGTAAAGCAAAACCATTCTGCGACAGTAACGAGATTAGAGGGTCGGCCGAATTGTCATTAACCTGCCTGGCAATGTAACTGCGCAACTCGTTGGATGTAGAGACATCACTACTTACATGCTTTCTCAAGAGGTAATCGAATTGCGATGTGATTGATCCGACAACCACGGAGCTCAAATGTTCTGTGGACTCGAGGAATTGTAAAGCAGAGATCACTAAGCTTAGCTCTTTGGCTACAATAGTGGATGCGGCTGGGTTTTTGGTTCTGGATGGTTTCCCGAAGCTGAGATAACTGACAAAGACCAATTTTTGATAGATGAGATACTCTGCGCGGACTATTGGATTCTGCTCATTCTGAGTAAGTTCCAAAAGCTGCAAGCACGTCTCGCGCGCCTTTTTCAGCCTAGTAGCAACTACTTTAGACTCCGATTTCTTGGCAGATCCCCTCTGGCGGGCTTTGAGACGTAAGTTTTCAGCTAAAGCTAAGTCTCTTTCCGCGTGCAATAGCATCAATGTCCCGAAAAGCTTGTTTTTCGAGTCATAGTCTTCGTGTGTCACTTTAGAGTACTTTTCCTTGGCAGAGTAGCGTTTAGTATCTTTTGTAGTCAGCTGGCAATGGTGTCTCAACTTCTGCAATTTACGGTTCAATTTCGAATGATACTTGTCAAAATCATCTGCAGTCTCTAAAAATTGATCTGCCCTTACCCCGTACGTAGCACCAAGTGGTGAGTAGTGACTTTTAGATACGCCAACCATAGTATTGTGACTGATTGCTTTGTTGCTGGACACTTATAACTGTGGCCATGAGATTTTTTTTTGGTCTACGAGAGTTCTTCAACTAGAAAGCACAACACACGAACAAACTGAGTAGCCACCACAACTCTCAACGAGACCATAATTCAATCTATAAGCAATCATTGAGGGACTCTTATTCATCTGCTCAAGCTTCGAAGCCGAGCATCGCTATTCATGTCTGAAGAGGTTTAAGCATGTTCACTTTCAAACCTAGGTGGAATTGGATCGAAAACTTACGGTCAGTTATGGAGCCTAAATAACTTTGCAACATACGTTTCACAGCTGGAAGTTTCATGTGCTTTTTGAAGTCCAAAAAGGTAAGGCAATCGGCATAATTCTGTATAGTAGAGAATAGATATCAATGACACATTAGTACAAAGTGATCTATAGAAATTTCTCAGACGGGACATAATGGGAAGTGAGTTTCCATGATTGAGTTGAGTATTCAATCAAGCGAGCTGGTCTTTTCAGATGTTGTCGAGTGCTCTGAATTGGTCTGTCAAGTGACAAATGTGAAAGCTCTAATATTAATCAAATGTATTCATGAAAGAAAAGTGCTCTACGTGATGTGATTATTCAGTTAAAGGATGATTTATATTTGTGAGAGGATGGCTAATGGATATAGCCAGAATTGGCACTTTCTCACTGCACTAAGGACGACACGGATAGAAGTAGCTCGCGCGATCGGATCAATACGGGCTTTGCGACAAACGTGCATCCTATTTCACCAACAATTGTTATCTAAACGTTGTGCTAACGCTTAAAGTACAGCAAGTCGTGTAACACTAAATTGAGTTAGAGTAGAAGCTAGGTGCTTGTCGAATTTTTCTCTCTTTCTGGAATTCTTTCTTCACATGAGCGTTTTGTTCGTCACCAAACAACATATCGTAAAACCGAAGTCTCTTGAACAAAGCCAGCATGTTTTCTCCTCAGTTGCTGCTGGCGGATGCTCAGCACCACAAGTAAGACAACCTTGGTATATTACGTATATGGTGATACAGCTCTCGATGCTCTCGATGTCAAGAATTGAATCAAATGAGATCTCAATCGAAGACGAATTCATCACAGTAACTTGTGAAAACATCTTCAGAAAAACCTCAAACGACTTCGAAGGAGCATTCTGGTGTCGAAAACGTTTCTGAGTGATTATAAGTCCTTCCAACGATAAAACGAGGTTTTTGCCGCTCAATTGCAATTGCTGTATACTGGATACATCGCAGAGGAATCGGTATGGGCGCGCAATTGAGACTTGTAGCGTGTGTTCTGGGAATCTATGCTACATTTCTGACGTGGTCGTTGGTGTATGAGCCGCTCACTACTCGTGAATGGCCCAATTCGCAGGCCAAATTCCAAGCGCCGTGTATTGTTGCATTAGTGCAGGCTGCAGTGGCTGCGATCACCGGATACCTTTATCTACAGCGTGAAAGTACGAACTACACGACCGGTGAATTTTTAAGAACAAACTGGCGCGACTTGCTGGCAATATCCTTTACACAGAGCGTCTCGAGCCCATTGGCCACGCATTCGCTGCAGTACGTGGATTTTCTGACCTACATGCTGGCTAAAAGCTGCAAGTTGATCCCGATCCTAGCAGTCCATCTGATGCTGTATCACACCAAGATTTCAAACGACAAGAAAGTTGTCGCCGTCGCTGTCACCTTCGGAGTGGTTCTCTTTAACTTAGGCTCCAGGAAACCTGTGAGCAAGAGCAGTCATCACGAAACAAGTTTCATCACTGGTTTCTTACCTCTAGCTTTGAGCCTTTTGCTTGATGGGTTCACCAATGCTACACAGGATACACTTTTGAAACGCAATAAAGCCAGTAAAGACCAAAAACCCATCACGGGCGGCCATTTGATGTTGGGACTCAACCTTTGCATTGTGATATGGAACTTGCTGTATTTGGCAGTTTTGGACCCGAATCAGGCATTGAAAACCAAGACGATGATTACGCAAGATCCGCTTATCGCTTATTATCTTCTGACCTATGCAGTATGCGGTGCCTTGGGACAGATTTGCATATTCTACACATTACAGGAGTATGGTTCCCTAGTTTTGGTCATGGTGACTGTTACCAGAAAGATGTTTTCTATGATCCTCAGTATTCTGGTTTATGGCCATCACGTTTCTAAGCTACAGTGGCTAGGAATATGCATTGTCTTCGGCGGAATCACGAGCGAAGCGGTTCTCAAACGCCAAGCTGCATCGAAGACCAAGTCGGAGTGATTTTAAAAGGTCTCCTGAACTACATCACGGCACGAAACAATAACGAATTAGTGATAGAATTTTAATAGAGTGAGCTTCAGAGCTTGGCATAAAACACAAATTATAAGAAAGCTGGCAAGAATGGGAATTTACTATCTGGTGTCATTATAGTCAACAAGATAACTTTTGCAAGGACGTAAAACTGGTAAGGTCCGAACGGACCATCTCAATATATGAAATAATTTGTGACTACGTAGCGGGGCTCTGCACAAGCCTAAGTTTCTCGCTTGCTTCTCAATTGTTTCCAACACAACTTGTTTCCGTGTGCCTCAATATCGCATCAACTCCTGTCCACGTAAATAAATAAAGAATAGTGAATACATTGGTCGTACGAAACTATCAAATCGAAATGGGCAGAACTTCTACTAGTCTAATCCTTCCTAATGCATAGTGCGGGCTATTTGCTCATGCCTGCTGAGGCCACCTGAACCACAAGTTTGAAATTGGATCCTCACTAGGGTACCACTTTATTATTGGAACGCTATTCGGTACCATTGAAGTAAATTTATCTAGGGGCGAAGGCATCGCATTCGACTCAAACAAGCTCCTTCAGAAGCACACATTAATGGTCGGGAGCGCAATATATGGTTACTTTCCTAGGGCGTCTTGGCCTCTTGAATGCTTGAAGAGAATTGTCTGAAGAAGTTCAGTCACGTGAATAAAATCATTGATACCTGTAAGGGTATTTGTTTTTAGCAGCGATCAAGAGAGCATACTCACGAATATCGAGGATAGCAGAAGTTTACGGACAGGAGTAAACAGATGAGTTTACCCAAATTGAAGCTGCCAGATGGGAAACCACCAGCTGCCTTGAGCACAGGTCTCATGATCTTCATGTTTTTGCTTTATGTTATCAATTCTGTTGTCAATATCAATGATCACATCGGCTTAGAGCCCGAGGCATTGTTCCGCCTCGACTGTATGTTGCTTCTAGTTACACGCTTGTAACACCGATACAAGGTCTTTTCCACGATACTAACACTCTTTGGTATAGTGAACCGCATATCGCTCTACCCGCTAGGCCATCTGTCGTTCGTGCACCTCTTGATGAACGCGGTCTCGTTGTATGGGCCTTTGACGGTTTTCGAGAGAAGCCACGGGACCGTCCATACCGGCGTCATCCTCAACCTTCTGGCTGTTTTCACCGCCATCCCGTACTGTCTATTGGGATACGTTTTTTTCCGGGACACGATGGTTATTGGAAGCAGTGGTTGGTGTTTCTCGCTTTTTGCATATTTCAGTTTCAAGGAATCGACTATCCGTCCTCAACAACACCTTTTCGGAAATTATTCGATTCCAACACGGTACGTTCCCGTTTTGATTCTGGTCTTGGTTACGATTTTCTTTCCCGGGTCGAGTTTCTGGGGTCATGTTATCGGGCTATGTCTCGGCTACGTCTTGGCGTCTAAGGAAGTTTATGCGGGCAAATTGGCTCCACCTAGCTCATGGATTCAAAAACTCGAGTCCAAACTAGACCGTGCCATAGCTCTTATTCCTTTGGGAGTCACATACTACAAAGAAGCAGACGCTAACCGAGAAGAATCGTACAGCCCGCTACTTGGCGAAGAAAGTGTCTTACCTTTGCACTCTGGGCCAGCTGCCAATTTCCAAGGCGAAGGACGTCCTTTGGGCGTCTAAAGTAGTGACAGGACTACTTTTTCATACCGTTTGCTTAGGCTATTAGCATCAGTTTCGAGCTAACTTCAATGTCATGACAATATTCCAGCTTATGTTGTGGATGCGCGTGAGTCATAGTGCTTGCATTCTATATATGTACAGGAGATAATGACTATTACTTGTTTACTCCTACGTCCCTCTAAATTTCTTGAAGGACGTATTTCCTGAGCAGGTTACGTTTTATACTTGGCTTCAGTGCCTCTGGGCTTTCCACGCCTCGCTGCGTCAACCACGAGTCACACTCTTGGTCATCTTGTAGAAGCTCCCGTACCCGCGCCTGCACGGTGTCGATCTTGGATTTTTGAGCGGCTACGTCTTTTTCCAAAGCTGACACGTCGAGTTGTAGCAGTTGTCTTAAGCTTTCCGGTGTGAAGTTCTCAATCCCATAGCGGGCCTTTATTTCAACTAAATCCTGCGCATCGCGGCCTTGCGACAAAGCATCTTGGATTGTGTAGATGTCTTTGAGCAGCACATTGTCGCTCTCCTCCAAATTCTGACGTCTTGCCAAAAACTCCTGACTCTTTTGAGCTTCCTCTTGCAAAACCTGGGTCTTGGCCTGTGACTCGAACTGTGCAAACTGCTGACCTTTGTTCTTGATGATTTCGGCTACACTGAAAAACTTCCTTTTAGACAATGGTCTTGTAGCCTCAATACGCACCAGATCGCCTTCACGCGATACACTTTCTTCGTCATGTACCAAATAGTCCTTCCGGCTGAAGAGCTCTTTGTTGATTCTCTTATTGAACACTTTGGTCTCCACACGCACTTTTACCGTCTTCAGCATTTTACCTTGCGAAACTACAAGTCCCACGAAATTTTGGCGAGCCATTTTTAATTCTTCTAACTTAATAGCACTTTTTGAATTTCCAAGCAGTTGTAAGCCTTGAATTGGCTACGGAAACCGCGTCTTTTTCTTATATTTCGGACAACTCAATTGTTGTTCGATGAGCTTGAATATTCATTCTCATTCACTAAAATTTTCTGCTAAACTCACATTAAGCATTTAATTCAAACTTTAATATCAATCCTTCATACACTCACGTGAAGATAAAGTAAAAGCGAGGGATTGAGTGGTTTAGCGCGGACAATTTTGTAATTTGAGTAGCTGAATCGGATTCTTACTATTGATTTTATCTGAGTTAGTCTTTTCAGCGGGTTTGAAAGACACTTTTTGGATATTTGTTACACCGCATTGTTTGCTACTGACCCCCAGCCATAATTTGAATACAGAAATCGCATAGAGCATGGACAACTACAGAGCTGGGAAGCGCAGCTCGATTTCATTTGGGGGACACCAAAGGCCAATGGTAAATTTTAGTCAAAACGACTTATCGTACTATGCGCCACGGCAGCTTTATTCGGCGCAACAATCGCCCAATCTTCCAACTCAACTGACATATCCTTGTCGTTTCGAGACGGCATTCCCGCTGTATGCACTAGACTGGAGTCGTGAAGATTACGTGGCAATTGGCTCCTACAGAGAAGATACCTTCAACAAGCTACAAATCTTGCACTCGTCCGACGTAATTACATGGGAAAAGGTTGGCGAGGAGAATTGCGTTTTCCCCATCTCGCGGATTCAATGGTGCCCCAATGGCATGTCGCAACAGTTAGCAACGTGTTCGGACTCTTTGCGTCTTTGGAGCTTCATGGATTTTTCGCTTCAAGAACAGGTGAACTTATCACTTCACCGCTACAACAAGAGTGGCGGTTCCCAAGGGTCAGTAACCTCGTTGGGACAGTTACCACCAGTTTCTTCATTCCATTGGAACCCTGTGGATCCCAACCTTATCATTTCCAGCTCGATAGACACTACGTGCACCGTTTGGGATTTGCAATCGAATAACTATGTCAAAACGCAATTGATTGCGCACGACAGCGAAGTTTTCGACGTAAAGTTTTTGACGCAGTCGACACAGCTGTTTGCGAGCTGTGGTGGCGACGGTAGCGTTCGAGTGTTTGACCTGCGCTCTTTGGCACACAGCACTATCATTTATGAACCAAGTTCGCAATCGGTTGGGGGTGGATCCCAGTCTCACGATAGTGGCGGCAGTGCAGGCAGCAGAAGCGGAAATGGTAGTAGTAGCGGTAGTGGCAGTGGTAGTGGTAGTGGTAGTGGAAGTGGTAGCGGTAGCGGCAGCGGTTCTGGATACGCGTCTGCAGCAGATCATGGGAACTGTGCCTTGCTAAGACTGGAGCCGTCGCCGTTTGACCCGAACGTGGTAGCTACGTTTGCGCAGGACTCTACAAGCGTGTTGATCTTGGACATGCGATACCCGGGAGCGCCAGTGTTGACTTTGGAAGGCCACTCGGGCTCAGTGAACCAAATTCAATGGCACCCAACGCGCCACAACGTACTAATTTCGTGCGGTGACGATTGCCAAGTGCTACTGTGGGATCTCAACTCACATTTGGGCGCTCCTGCTGCAACCGCCGTGTCTACAAAATGGAACAACGGCAAAATGGCGCATTCAATCGATACCCCGCAACAGGTGTATAACGATACAAATTACGAAATCAACAATATTGTGTGGCGACCTCATGGGGATTGGTTTGCGTGCAACATGGGGCGGCAATTCCAAACCGTGCGGGTGTAAGGTGAGTGGTGAGGGCTGGCGAGCAAGTGTGAATAGTACGACGAATTTTTGGTACCTATTTGAAGGTCTTGGTGCAGCAAGTGAAGATCGAGCGAGACAAATCGAAGCACACTGACGCTCAGAAAAGAGACCGAGATCAGGCAAAGACAGATGATAATTAATAAATAATCTTGAGATAGTATTCGGACCATTGCTTGAACATTTTACCGCCCGTTCATGAATTTGCAGAGAAAGCGGAGAACTCGGGCGCGAGCCCAAACGTGAGAGAATAGCTAGCCACCCGAGAGGACGACAACGGTATCCCAAGTCCAGAGAGCCGAACAGATGCTTTGAGGATACCAGCCAAAAAAAAACACACCCAGCCCCCACACCAAAGAACACCCAGTCCCCCAAACCACGTGAAAGTCACGCCTCAAAAAGGAGTCAGCTTCTCTCTTTTCTTTTCCTTTCTTTTTTCTGCCCTCCCCTGTTTTTCCTAAATGTGACTTCTTTTTCTCGCCGACTCCTTTCGGCTCCTTTCGACTCCTTCCGCTGACTCGCTCGCCCTCGCTCATCGAACTTTACCAAGATAAAGCCCATTCCCATTCTGCCCATAGTAAGACAGGCAGAGGCCACTGGCAGCTATCTCTGATCGAAAATATCAACTTTCACAAGCAGATGGGAAGCCGGCAAGCAGCGATGACTATAAGAAGGTGAAAAACAAGATCTCAGGTCGGAAGGTGGTATGCCAGTGTTCGATAGCATTTGGGAAACAGGATACAACGAACTAGTGGTCGGTCCTTTACTTGCATCGTGTGTTTGAAGCAGTCAGTACTTAGTAGCCACTACTCACAGAGTTGTTTTTTGTTTGTGTGCGTCGTGTCTGTCCGTTGATCTACCACCACCACACGAGTTCGAGGGAATTACTGCCTCAAAAAAGGTTCAGAAACTACAAAACATCAACATGCTCACATCAAGACCGTTTGTGGGCTCCAAGTTCATCGCCAGATCGCTGCACTACAGTTGTAGCAGGGCCTTGCCACAGATAGCGAATGTGTCTTCATCGCAGTATGCGAAAATCTACAAGCCTGCGAGCCGTTCGTACGAGCCCTTGGACAGTTTCCAGCGTCGCCATCTCGGACCCAGCCCGGAGAATGTGCAGGACATGTTGAAGACCATGGGATACCAGGATCTCGACAATTTCGTCTCAAACCTGGTCCCTCCACAAGTGCTGAAAAAAAGAGCGTTGCAATTGCAAGCGCCGCAGAACGGGTTTTCCGAACAGCAGATGCTGGTGCATTTGCGTGGAATTGCCGACAAAAATCGCTACCAGGTGAAAAATCTGATCGGGAAGGGCTACTACGGCACGGTGTTGCCGCCTGTGATCCAGCGCAACCTACTGGAATGTCCCGAATGGTTCACTTCGTATACGCCGTACCAACCGGAGATCTCCCAGGGCCGTTTGGAATCGCTTTTGAATTTTCAAACGGTGGTCTCGGACCTCACGGGTCTGCCTGTTGCAAATGCCTCGCTGCTAGACGAAGGTACCGCTGCGGGAGAATCGATGCTGTTGGCATTCAGCGCAGCCAAGCGGAAGAAAAGCAAGTTTATAGTCGATTTCCGCACGCATCCACAAACCAAATCTGTGCTTAAAACCAGAGCAGAACCCTTCGGCATCGAACTGGTAGAAGTCGACCCTCACAGTGACGCGAGCGCCAGCAAAGCCGCTCTCCAAGATAAAAACGTTTTTGGTGCTTTGATTCAATACCCGGCCACTGACGGTTCCATTATTTCCGGTGATGTGTTGCAATCCTTTGCCGATGTACTGCACGCCAACAAAGCGCTTTTGCTTGTAGCATCCGACTTGATGGCATTGACGCTTTTGAAGCCCCCTTCTGAATTTGGTGCCGATGTTGTGTTTGGGTCCTCGCAGAGATTCGGCGTCCCATTTGGATTTGGTGGTCCACATGCTGCTTTCCTAGCGGTTATTGACAAACTTAACCGTAAAATTCCTGGCAGAATTGTCGGGGTCTCAAAAGACCGTTTAGGAAAACCTGCTTTGCGCTTAGCCTTGCAAACTCGTGAACAACACATCAAGCGTGACAAAGCCACTTCTAATATTTGCACCGCCCAAGCTTTGTTGGCTAATATCGCTGCCAACTACTGCGTGTATCATGGGCCACAAGGTTTGAAAGATATTGCAGGTAGAATCTACGGGTTCACTTCCATTTTGGCCAATAAGATCTCCAATGAAACAGCTCACACTTTAGTTAACAATTCTTGGTTCGACACTTTGACAATCAAATTGGCCGATGGAACCACATCTAAAGATTTTTTGAAGAAAGCCCTTGACAACCATTCGATCAACTTGTTTGCCGTTGACGAAAACACCGTTTCTTTGTCATTTGACGAAACTGTTCTCAAAGAAGACTTGTTGAACTTATGCCAGCTCTTTGGTGCCTCAGAAGAACTGCCCGAACTACTTCCAGAATTCCCACAGGAGCTTTTGCGTACAGATGCCATTCTTTCCAACGAGGTTTTCAATCAACACCATAGTGAAACCGCCATGCTAAGATATTTGCATCGTTTGCAGAGTCGCGATTTATCCCTTGCCAACTCAATGATCCCATTAGGGTCTTGCACCATGAAATTGAACTCTACGGTAGAGATGATGCCAGTCACCTGGCCTCAATTCGCCAACATGCATCCATTCCAACCAGTTGATCAAGCAGAGGGTTACCGCGAATTGATTAAATCTTTAGAGTCCGACTTGGCCGATATTACCGGTTTCGAAGCTGTCTCTTTGCAACCCAATTCAGGTGCTCAAGGTGAATACGCAGGTTTGAGAGTTATTACAGCTTATTTGAAATCTCAAGGCGAAGCGCATCGTAACATTTGCTTAATTCCTGTGTCGGCGCATGGTACTAATCCTGCCTCTGCTGTTATGTGTGGTTTGAAAGTTGTTCCTGTCAATTGCTTGCCTGATGGATCTCTGGATCTTGCGGACCTCAAAGCCAAGTCTGAAAAGCATAAGAATGACTTGGCTGCCATGATGATAACATACCCATCTACGTACGGTTTATTCGGCCCTGGTATCAAAAATGCTATTGATATAGTGCATCAACATGGTGGCCAAGTTTACTTGGATGGTGCCAACATGAATGCGCAGGTTGGTTTGACATCTCCAGGTGACCTGGATGCGGATGTATGCCATCTAAATCTACACAAGACCTTTGCGATTCCTCACGGCGGTGGTGGTCCAGGTGTGGGCCCAATTTGTGTGAAGGCTCATCTAAGTCCTTATTTGCCTGGCCATGATGTAGTCGAGATGATGACTGGTGCCTCCAAAGAGAATCGTATCACGTCAGTGTCGAGTGCTCCATACGGCAGTGCATCTATCTTGCCAATTTCTTACGCCTACATCAAAATGATGGGGTCTAAGGGACTACCTTACTCTTCCGTTGTTGCTATGATCAATGCTAATTACATGATGACACGTCTCAAGTCTCACTACGAGATCATGTTCGTGAACGAAAAATCCGACATCAAACATTGTGGCCATGAATTCATCATTGACTTGAGACAATACAAGGCCAAGGGCGTTGAAGCTATTGATGTTGCCAAACGTTTACAAGATTACGGCTTCCATGCACCAACATTAGCATTCCCAGTTCCTGGCACCTTAATGGTGGAGCCTACAGAATCTGAGAATTTGGAGGAATTGGACCGGTTTGTGGATGCCATGATATCCATCAAGAACGAGATCGATCTATATGTCGCAGGCGACCGTAAGGGATCGGTACTTAAGAATGCGCCTCACTCTTTGGAAGATTTGATATCCAGCTCTGACTGGGAAAGTAGAGGATACACTAGAGAACAAGCTGCCTATCCATTGCCTTACTTAAGGTACAACAAGTTCTGGCCTCCCGTGGCTCGCCTGGATGATACCTATGGTGACATGAACCTAATTTGCACATGCCCTTCGGTCGAGGAGACCGTTGCGAAGCAAGATTGATATAAAAGATGTAATACTCTGTACAATATAATAATGCGTGGAAAAAGAAAGCCAGACCCTGAGTGGCCCAACCGCGGCCAAAATATATGAGCGCGCGCGAGACACACAGCACCGCCATAGGGCATCTGCAATAACAAGAAAGTATAGTTTTTGAATAATTTTTGCTAGCTGCTGCCCATGGTGGTGAACCTCAAGATAGACACTTCATTCCGAAAACCATCTACTAGCTCGTAGATGTTAGAGGCGGCCACGGGTTGCTGGAAGCTAAGGAGTTGTATCGCTTTGTTGACTCCCGAAAATGACATGTTGGTATAAGTGACAAAGAATATGGCAAGCTGGTTAAGATGACCGATCTGGACACCGGACAGATATAACGGAAGTTCAATGCGTATCATTATGACTGTAAGTATAGATGAAAGTGGTGCGATTGCCATCGACCACGCCGAATAACAACTGTTCGTTTTCTGGAGACAATTGAGAAAACTTGAGAGCTAGAACGCCAAGATCATCATACGAACGAGGGCGAGAAATTCAACAAGAGCATTTTCCTTACACGAGAAGCTGCTGGCTCGCAATGTGTCACAGGAAGGCTGCTTCTACTGATAGCGCTAGTGAAGGATAGACAAAGAAAAAAAATAGCGGTATCTAGAGAGGGCTCGGCGGTGTTCGGAGTCTTCCATTGCTTCTACATCTCAAGAATCCTGGAAAAAACCGCCTGGGCCCTCCACAGAACGAGGGACACCGTTACAGGCAAATCCTACGCGATGCCATGACTAAGAAAGACCCGCAAGATCCAAAATTCAGCGACTAAAACAGCTCAATACCTTTGTAAAAACAGCAGAGAGATCTGAGTCTGTCCAAATCTCTGCGTCAGACTACGCTCGTTTTCTTGTATTTTGGAATGACATCCATGACATCCACGCCATAGGAGTTCACAATGATAATACTTCCGGACCATTTTCAGATCGTAACGAAATCAAGAACACGCCAGGGAAAAGATCTCTGAGTGCAAGTTGTATATCGTCGCTGCTATCTTCTGGCGTTCAAGAACAGCGCAGCCCCATTTGTCTCGATGGCTGGCTAAGACCCAAATTTTTTTGATACTAATGGTTTCCTTAGTTCTGGCGATAAGGCGCCAATGGTTCTAAATTCTCTTGACCATCCAATAACACTTTCCGCTATCATAGTCGGGACAGACACGAAGACTCTCTTGAAGTCTCGCTGTCTCTGCCTTTTTCGTACATATTGACCACGTAATTATTTTCCTGTCGCGACGTCAGGATAGTACATAGTGATAGTAATTTTCTCTAATCAATATGATTATTACTCGTTTCAATTACTTTACGCCAGGCCCTTCGGCAACAGGGTTCGACTTTCATGTGCTTGTGGATCGGATATCACCGTAGTCACGGCACCGAGAAACGCGCCACGGTTTCCCTTCTTATCTTGGTATGCTAGAGAAGAAGAAAAAATTTTTTTGGTACTACTAGTTCTCCAGTGGTTCAAATTTTCCTGCGTTTAGTCTAATCCAGTGGGAAATTATTTATTCTTGTTTCGCTGCTGTCAAACCTGCAAAGATGTGGAAGCCTCCTTGGCGCTGCGTTGCGAGTGTGTGTATGTGTGTGTGGCTTCTTATCAAATGTGATGTTTTTAAACACAATGGGTTGCCGAGAAAAGAAGTTTAGTGTGGCTTACCTGTAAGGTTTCTTGTGCAAGCACATTAATGAATCGGTAGTATCGAGATGAACAATGGCATCGAACATATATAAGAGCTGATATTAGCAGAAGAACAAGACTTAAAAGGTTGTTAAATAGCTCTATTACAATACCACAGTATTCTAAATGGCATCTTTCACTGCAGAATGGGTCACAGACCCTTGGAGACGCCTGAAATGGGGGTTCATCCCAACTCGCAGAGTGGTAGACGACGTCATAGAGAAAGTGGGTGAGCAGGACACAGAGAAGGAAACGCTGGAGGAAAAGAACACACTTGAAGAATCGCTGAAGGATAAGGACTCGGAAGTCATCGTGGAGCAACACAGCAGAGCAAACGTTATTAGCACAGAAGAACCAAAAGAGCTCGAGTACCGAGACGAGGCGAACCGCCGGTGGTGGTCGTTTTTCAACGAGCAGGAGTACCGTGTCAACGAAGCCAAAGCGCAACAAAGCAAGTGGTGGCAATGGTTCGGCAACGACGTGTCTCCACAGGAAAAGAAACTGCTTTTGAAGCTTGATATTTTGCTGGCTTTCTACTCGTGCATGGCCTACTGGGTCAAGTACCTGGATTTCTCGAACCTCAACAACGCCTACGTCTCGGGCCTGCGCGAAGAGCTGAACTTTAAGGGCAACGATCTCGTCAACACACAAGTCATGTTTACCATCGGTAACATTGTGTTCCAGCTGCCATTTGTGTTTTTCTTGAACAAGGTGCCCTTGAACTTTGTACTTCCTGCGCTTGATATTTGCTGGTCAGTCCTCACTATCGGCTGTGCCAAGGTTGACACTGTGAACCATTTGAAGGCAATTCGTTTCTTCATTGGTGTCTTTGAAGCGCCCTCGTACCTAGCCTACCAGTATCTGTTTGGCTCGTTCTACAAGCATGACGAAATGGTTCGTCGTTCAGCGTTTTACTACTTTGGTCAGTACGCGGGCATTTTGTCGGCTGGTGGTATCCAATCTGCTGTTTACTCAGCTTTGGATGGCAAACACGGCCTTTCCGGGTGGAGATGGAATTTCATCATCGATGGTTTAATTTCCGTTGTTGTTGGTGTAATCGGCATCTACGCCCTGCCTGGTGACCCTCACAACTGTTACTCTATATTTTTAACCGACGATGAAATCAGACTTGCCCGTAAAAGACTGAGCGAGAATAATACCGAAAAGTCGGATTTTTCTTCCAAAGTCTTCGACAAGAAGGTTTGGATACGCATCTTCTCCGATTGGAAAATTTACGCGCTCACCTTGTGGAACATCTTTTGCTGGAACAACAATAATGGCTCCTCGGGCGCTTATTTACTATGGTTGAAATCTCTCCAGAAATACTCTATTCCAGAAGTCAACAAACTCAGTATGATTACGCCAGCGCTGGGCATGATCTACTTGTTGGGAACAAGTTTATTTGCCGATAAATTACACAGCAGATGGGGCGCAATAATATTAACACAGGTGTTCAATTTCATTGGTAACGTCATTTTAGCAGCATGGAACGTACCCGAAGGTGCCAAATGGTTTGCGTATATGCTGCAATACTTCGGATGGGCTATGGCACCAGTATTGTATTCTTGGCAAAACGATATTTGTCGCCGCGACTCTCAAGCCAGGTCAGTGATTTTGGTCATAATGAACATGCTAGCACAAACTACAACAGCATTCATGTCCGTTCTAGTATGGAAAACCTCCGAAGCTCCAAGATTTTTGAAAGGTTACACCTGGACTGCGGTATCCGCTTTCTGTCTCTCGGTTTGGACTTTGCTCGTGCTTTGGCTGTACAAACGTGAGGAAAAACAGAACGCTAGAGATAACGGCATCGTACTGTACAACTCTAAGAAAGGTGAAGAACCGCTGCCGGTGGAGAAAGAGGATGCTTAAAAAAAAAAACTCTATAATTGTAATTTCGTTAAGTACTCTTAATATTCTAATTCTAAACTAACTACGTTTGATTTGAAAAATGAGGTATTAATGCCTAGATTGCTGTTAATTGAGCTATAGCTAGCTGCCCATGAAACCCTATTTTCTCGTCCAGCTTTTGGATGACCATTTTTGTTTTCTGCCTCTTTTCGCTTTTGCCTGGCTACTAGTTTTGGGCTTTTGACTAAAACTGCCGCTGATAGGCTCGGGCAACGAAGTGTCACGTATCTGTCTCAAGATTTCACCGTCACGCATTTGTGTCTCTTCATTTTCTTCAAAATCCGGAACCTGGAACCACGGGGAGACATTCGAAGTTTGCGAAGCATGCCGAGAACTTTTCTTTAATAAAGATTGTCTTTGCGCGGCCAGAAGTGCAAATAAGTCCTTGAAGTGACTATAGAATGTTTGTTGTGACTCGTTCAATCCTGGCAATTGCCTAAATTCAGTTTCAGTCAGCGGTACAGTGACAGCCGCTTTCTTCAATGCCTGCTCCGAGATAACACTCATGAAGCTTCTATAATTTTGATTCCTCGCGACCTCAATTGCTTTCTGCTTTAACTCCTGATATGCATTTGTCATTGACAATTGTTCCTGTGAGGAGAAAGTGCTCGAATTGTTGCCTAACATTATCGGACGCGTTACTTGTTTGAAAGACTGATTTTCACCTTGCGCATCACTTCCATAAGCGTATTGGCCTAGTGCTGGTCTGCTAGTTATTGTAGTTCCATTTATGTTACTAACAGGTCTAACACTGGTAGAGGCTGTTGACATGGATCTTATCGCTGCTGCAGGCGGTACCGATGACTGCCTAGATACATCACTCGTGGAAGTCACGAACTGCATCAAAACTTTTGACTTTCCGTTCAAGATTTGTCTCGCTTTTGCCCCCGCCTTGACGTAATTTGAGGCAAAACCTCTACCAGTCATGACTGAATATTCTTGAAGTATCTGGGTCGTAACAAGGCGAAAGAAGATTCTCTCAATTTCTGACTTTGACATGTTTTTTCCAAAGCCATGGAAGGCTAGCTTGTCGTGTCCAGCTTGTACAATTTTTGAATTACGAGAACCCTTGTAGATATCTTGACAATGTATTAAAGTCACCTTCTCATCTTGAATGGAAGAAACAAGCTTAACTATGTTTATTGCATCAGAAGACACGTCCCGTTCTTCTGTAGTAGTATTGACGCTGTTCTTACAGTTGTCACAGTTTCTGCTGCAAAGAGAGGAGTCAAAATTTTCATTGAAGTACGATAAAACTAGCTGCCTTCTGCAGTCAGTGACATTCTCACAGTACTGCATTACTTGTTGTAACTTTGTGAGGTGTTTTTCCTTGTTCTCTCGGTCCAAATTTTTGTCCTTTTGGATCATTGTCTGGATAGTGCGTACGTCGCGAAAAGTATAGTACATAATACAGTAAGAATACTGCCCATCTCTTCCTGCACGCCCAGTTTCTTGATAGTAGCCTTCCAAAGTTCTTGGTACTGTGAGATGGTAAACGAAACGAACGTCTGGCTTATCGATACCCATACCAAATGCGACTGTAGCACAGATAATACGAATATTATTCGATTGCCACGCTTGTTGAACTTGCTGTCTTTCATCTGGTTCCATGCCTGCATGGTAGTATGCAGAGTTTATGCCATTTCTCTGCATGAGGGCAGCCGTTTGCTCACAAGCATTCTTGGAATGGCAGTAAATTATACCCGTCTGGTTTCTGAAACGCGACTTAACATCATTACACAGTTCAAACGCGGCGTTCTTGCCTTTCTTGAGAACCTCATAGTACAAGTTGGTTCTGTTAAAACTCTGTTTCAGAAAAACAGGATTGTTCAACTTCAAATTGTGAACGACATCAAGCCTCACTTGCTCACTTGCGGTAGCAGTGAGAGCAATCATCGGGATGTCAGGGTACAAATCTTTGAAATACTTTAGCTCCTTGTAATCTGGTCTAAAATCATGCCCCCAATTGGAAACACAATGTGCCTCATCAACAACAATGCGTGCTAATTTCCCATCTCTATACAGCTTTCCGATAGCCTTTTTGCACTGATCGGATGCACTGATCATTTCTGGGGAGATGTAGATGAGGTCTAACAGTCCATTGATAAATAAATTAAAGGTTTGGCGTCGTTGGTCTGCAGTGCCTTTAGAGCTGAACATGCAGGCTTTAATGTTTTTTGCTAGCAGATGCGCGACCTGATCTTGCATGAGAGAAATTAAAGGAGATATCACAACTGTGGTACCGCTAGTCTTGCCTGACTTTACGACAGCTGGCAATTGATAGCACAAGGATTTTCCACCGCCTGTGGGCATCAATACGAAAACGTCTTTACCTTCCAGCGAGGCATTAATGGCTTCCAACTGATTGAGGCGGAAACCCGGTAGTTTGAAAATGTTATGGAGACGGTGATTTACCTCATCAGTCCATTGATATTGGGGTAAAGTGACTTGGCCATAACTGCCAACGTTTTTATTCGCCAAGCGGCTTCCATCTTCATAATCGTGAGTACTGTTCTGCCCCATGAACGTATCAACATTAATTATTTCTTGTTTGATACCACGGTTAGCAATATTGGCATTTTCTAGCTTCTGTTCCGAGATTATTTTTAGGTCATCATCTAGTTCTCTAATCTCGGCACCTTGAGTTAAGTTTTCTCTTTCGGCATCAAAGTCGTCAAAGTCCTCTGAGTCACTGTGTGTAAACGTATCGTCGCGACCGTTACCAATGCTGTGGATATTATCTGGTTTGTCGTCGCCCTCTAAAGCTGCTTGCGATGTTCTTTGTACAAGATTTGGGAATGTCTGCTGAATACTCTCAGCAATTGTATCAAACTCGCGCTCGTCGTGTGAGTCAGTACCTATCAGATCAAGTTCTGGCGTGCCAGCAATTTGTCGTACTGGCGAAGAGCCTATTACTTCGACATTTGATAACTCTTCGGCCCGCGCAGCATTTTGGCTTGATTCAGGTAATTCTGTGTGATCGTCGTCAAGATCGTTGCCCGCACTTGGGTTCAACGTTCCACGGTATTCTCCGTCGTCGGACCCATTCAGGAAGTTGTCTAAGCCATCATCTATAAACTCGCGGTCACTAGAGTTGATGTCATCGCATTCCTCTTCCCCAGTGAGCAAATACTGCGAGTCTTCCAACTCTGCTTCCATAGTTGTATCCTCTTCATCTCGTCTCGAGCGCTGAGTTTGAGATACAGCTGGCATCATGTTGTAATTGAGGCTGTCTTCCATTTCCGGAATTTTGTAGTTGACTTGTTTGTGTTGCCGGAGCGATCTCTTACGAGCTTCATTTACATCATCTCGTACTTTCGATGGTATTCCGGAAGTACTTACCTGAGTTATGACTAGGGGTTCTTCATCTTCATCGTCTTCATCCTCGTCCAGAACTGTGATTAAATCTTGCTGTACAAATGTGTTTTGAGCTGCGTCTCGTACTCGAGATTGAGCTACGCTGACCCGTGGAATTGGTAACTCTGCTGTGTAGCTATTAGCGAGCGCTCTTGGTAGTATAACTGTTCTTGTACTTCCCGGAGTGACTAATTTTGCTTGGAGGGGCATTGGTCTCAAAGAGTCTAATAGTGAACTCAAGTTTTTTAATTCCGCTTCTAAATTCACTAAACTCGGATTAACTTCTGACTGAATTTGTACTTTCTTGGCGTCTTCAGACAGTGATGTTGACTCTATGATGGAACACTTTCGATTCAAGATTGATGCCTGGTTTTTTAAAAGCTGAATGATCTTGTCTTGCAAAGGAACGACCTCGGATAAAGACGCTGACTCGTGAGACACTCTTCGTACTCTGTTGCAGGTTTCATCTGAAGCTTGATTCCCGCTCATGCTTCCAGATTCTACATATGAAGTTGCCGGAAGTGATGTGGGCTTCTGAGAGTGTTGCGTGGACTCTGCAACTTTGTGAGATGACTGAATCGCCGTAGGGTGTGAAAAAGAGAATCCTGGTCGCTGCGAGAGGTTTTCTTCGATTGTGCTGCCTATGGTGTTATGGTTCTGAAGAGTCATGCTTCGAGTTAGACCAGCTCCGGCAATTTTAGCCCTGTTTCCTGCTATAAGACCTATGGCTGGCATTTCTCCAATATCTATGTCCTGAGACCCATCCGGTAGCTTTTGTCGTTTGTCTGGTACATCTAGGCTTAGGATCTGGTTCAACAGCTCTTTTTTTGGCTCATATGCTTTCTCAGACTTTAGCCATGTAATGTGCGTCTTCAGGTTGTCTTGCATCGCCCAGCAAAGCGAGTCATACGTCAAAGTATTATGTAGTTGATGATCTGTGATGGCGTTTGGCGTCTGTTTACAATATTTATTAATATGATCATTTATAACGGAATTGGAACGTAGGCTTCTCTTCACTCCCAGTGATACAACTGATCTAAGAGCAAACCAATAGGTACAAGGAAAATCTATTACGTCTTAGGTCTCGAAGGAAAGCCTGAGTACTTCATGCCAATCTGCTGTTTGTTCTCATTTTGGGTCTGACAGGCGAACAACTATATATAAGGCTTTCATTATCGGCTCTTACCCAATCTCATTTCACAGAGTATCACCTGGACCAAAACATTAGGTAGAATCCAAGAAGTAGCTGAGGAAAGCTTTAGATGCAGAAGTACGACAGCAAGAAATGAAAATGCCGCCATTTGAAAAGGCTGATCTCTTTAGCTTAGACCAAAACAATTGGAGGACAGAGCGTCCAAGTAGGAAATTGTCTTCAAACATTCGTTCCTAATGTAATTGATAACAAGGTGGGAATCGAAATGACCAGATGTTCTTAAACAAAAGTCTGCCAAACCCTGTAACAGAAAAAGTAATCTGAAAAAAACTCGCAGCAGTGTATGTTGTTATCGCCTTATAACTACTGTCAGCCCTATACAAATTTGAGTAGAGAAAGAAGAGGCTAATGCTCAACTTGTGAATAATTAATTGTTCATCGACAACCAAAAAGGCCCCTGACGAAGAAATACATTTGCAATTGCTGTTCTTCTCTTCAAATATCGCGACAGCTTGCCACAGTCTAACCACAAGTGTGATTAAAGTGTAATTTAATTCATCTTCTGTCCCTCATCAATCCTCACCAAATTATTGGGAAGGCTGAGAGCGCTCACTCGGATGTATTTTCGGGTGATGCCCCACACATTTTGAAATAAGCTCAATTGCCAGCGGCCGATGGTTATGCTGAAGGAGATTGTCAAGTGTAATAACTTTCTTGCAAAAAATGCATCACTATTGCTGTCAGGAAAGCACATTATGGGATAGCTTTGAGTTTCATTTTAACACTGGCACGGACCCTGTAGTATATGATGATCTAGGGCAAGAGAACTCAATTTAACAATTTAACAATTTAATAATCGATCCCTTTAAATAAATAAACACAGTAGATTGATACCAAAGGATTAATCTTCAAATGTCAACCAACTCTTTGCGACAGTGGCTGAAGCTGGTGCGAAGAGAAGCTAAACAGCTACGCCAAACGCTGGATGACGAGTTACAAACTGTTTTAGAGAGAAACATACCCAGACCTCGCAAGTCATTGGTAAGAGTTCCGGTTTCAGTAAAACCCGGCATATCGCTCAAAAATAGCAATCGTTTCATTCACACATCGTCTCAGGAGTATGCTAGAGACCTTCAAACCGCAAATCGTGCTCTCGGTAACTCTGCACCCAGATTTGCATCCGCTGGTAAGAGGACAGTTCTAGGAGGATTTAACGGGGCGTACCGGGCTCCTAAAGGAGTACCTCGTGGTCTGTTCACCAACTGGAACATGACTACGACCCGCTTCACATCCGGAAGGGCTTACTCGACTTCTGCGATCAAGATCACACATGATGCGGTTCAAAATATAGCGATCTCGTTGCGGTGCTTCTACAACTTGTGGGATGATATCGTTCCAAGCAAAAAGGGCAGTACTAAAAATGGTCTTCCACTTCGTACTTCCAATGTGGGTAACAAGCAGTTAGGCGCTAAAGATGTCTCTGCGCTCCGCACCATGGAAGTATGTCGTATGATCGAAACCCACAAGCAAGAGCTTGCCTTGGGTGAAGTAAGCGAAAGTGAAACAATGGGATGTTTTGTGGAGTTCAAAATGCCTCGCCTCGACATGTCGAACATGCCCACTGTGGTTTTCGCTAGCGACGAAGCTTTGAACAAATGGCGCGATGAGCTAGCGGCGTGCAATCAAAAATTGCGAAAAATTGAGGAGAGCGTGAGAACTATCTACGATAACTACGGTGCGTTGCCTCTTGAGTTTGGCGAGAAATTCGTACGTTTCCGATTTCCGAATTTAACGATGTTGGAGGCTGAGGTCTTGATGCGAGACCTGGGTCTGACGCTGGGCTTAGTTCTTCCCGAGAGGTATGATACCAATTGCTCGACTGAAGAGCCGCTGGACGACTTATCTACAGCTTTTTGTGACGCTGGTGGGCATTGTTCGGAATATTCATCTGTCCTCTCGTCTTCGTCTCCGTCAGAAACGCACTTTTCAGAATTCTCGATTCTGTCCTCTCAGGCTTGAGAAGTAGTAGGAAGACTCACGAAATAATTTTAGCTCAAGGTTCTTAGGTATAGTAATGGTTTAATTTCAACTTACATTTGTAGAAATGAAGTAGGTAGCAAGCAAAGTGAAATTGATGACAAACAATTTACCTGTGATGCGGGAGAAACCTTATTAATATTGACTTATTAATGAATATTCTACGCCGTATTGAAGTGCTAAGAGTGCTGCATTTTGCATGTACGTGGTATTATTGTGAGCTCTGACGGCGGAGCTCTGTCCTCTGGCCTATCACTTCTTTTAGCTGCTTCTTTCCGCAAAGTTTGCAGTCACAAGATGTAAGATATATATGAAGTAATAATGTACCTGATTGAACTTTACCAGAACCCGATGTGCAACTTGGTGAGTATCTCGTTTTTAACTTCGAGATAAATCATCGTTATATACGCTCATAGCCGCCCAGCCTCCTTTCAATCTATATCGAAAGGACGGGAGCTAACGAGCCATACAGCTTGCACTGATCCCAGTGTGCTCAGATCAGATTTTGATCGAAGTCTTGGTAAATAGGAGGCAGTTCAGTCTCTGATTCATGCTTATGAGGATGCTGCATTGTTCTTCAAATGTCAGAACAAAATAGTTAGGAAACATTGTAAACGCCTTGCGCATAATGTTTAATGGTGAAGAAGCTTGAAAGCGTAACCAGGAAAAGCTAGACTGGGAAACAGTGGCAGTTTTCCTGATGTGATTCTCTCATTAAGGTACCCTGAAAGATTTTGTAAGTGACGCTGCCCTGCATTATAATACTGGGATCAACTGAGATAGTATACTCCGATAAACCTGTGAGTTTGACTATAAGCAGTGAAAATAACACGAGCAACACATATGTAGTTGACTTAGTCAGACCGCCCATTCATTCGGCGGCGAAAACAAAATAAAATAAAGTAGTGGCTTTTTTAGGATCCATGGAGACAACAGGTACCTGGAACAACTCGACTAGGAATAAGTCCATACAGGAGAAATTTTCTTCAAGTATCTTTGTTGCGCTTGCTGTTTTCTCGTTGCAGGGTTCCAACGCGCTTAGCAAGACAAACTCAAATTACAAGCTCTTTCGTTTAGGATATTCCCAGCATATCCACGCAGTTCAAATATTGATTTCAAGGTTAATAATGCGCGTCTGTGCGTATGGTCATGCCCTTGTGACATATCGTGGTAAGATCATGTAATGTTATGGCACTTTGATCAATCGAAGGTTTCAGGTCTTTTCTTGTAAGCGGGTAATAAATTCTTTTATAATCAAACTTAAGACTGTAGGTTGAAGCAGCTAGAAAGTTCACTTGCCAAGGCTAGCCCAACGCCTTGAAATGTCTACAGCTACTTCTGGTGATGATATGAACATCCCAGAGGGTTCGAATGAAAAAACAGATGATGTTGCTCTTCAAGAATCTTCATTGTCTCATTCCAATGAAATTAAAGGGACTGGTAGAACATCCAAGATTGAAGAAATAACTAGAGATCTTGAACGGCTTCAAGTAGATGCCAATGAGGAGCTGGGAGACGTCGACGGTCCCCCAGAAGTCTTGGAAAGTGAGGTCGAAACTGCACGCAAAAAGATAAATGAGAGTGTGAACGATGAGCACACACTCGAACTTCAGCATCCGTTGGATGAGCCTATAATCGCCAAGAAAGTGAAAGTGCAATCAAAAGATGCCGAAAACAATGAAGATTATGATTCGGATATGAGCTTGTCTGCATATGCAGACCCAGTGGAGAAAACTACGGTTATTTCTACATTGGAAGATGGGCCGTTAAAGGACCCATCTACGGATAAGCAAGAAGGGGAAACAAATCATTCGGATACTATACGCTATTCAGATGCCACAGAAACTACTCCACGCAATTTAGAACATGACCGGCCACCCCCATTACCTTCGAGAACGAATGTCGAAAATCTAAATGAGGGGTTACTCCAAAAGGGACCAGTTCATGCAGTTCCTCCTCCTTTAGCTGAGGAACAGAAGTCTGAGGTTTTTCAAAAGAACGTTGCCATCTTGAAATTGAAAAGTGTGCCACCTGCGGTTCCACCTAGGTCAAGCCACAAGCGGTCAGGTAGCGCCGATTTTGACTTAGTCATAAGTCGTTTTCAGGATAATGAAGATGAATATTTGTCGAAAGACGATATTACTCAAGAAAATCTTCAAGAAGGTGCACGGCTACTTAAATCAAGTTTCACTGCATTCTTAGAGACCATCGAGCCCGACCATGACCTCCCGCAAGATCATGAAGAACATCGAGAGCTGGTGACTACTGATTGGCCCTTCTGGACAAGGCTTGTCAGCAATTATGCCGAAGTTGCCAAGAAAGACTCTACCAAGTTAGAGCAGGAAGTTGCAAGTGGAATACCGCCCCAAATCCGTGGAATTATTTGGCAGCTTCTAGCATCTGCGAAATCGAAGGAGATTGACGAAGTTTATGCAAGCTTGATGGATATCGAGTCACAGCACGAAAGACCTATCGAAAGAGATCTTTCGAGGACAAACTTTATACCTCAAGACAAAGTGAAGTCTTTATTTCAAGTTTTAAAGGCATACTCTTTGTATGACACTGAGGTAGGTTATACTCAAGGGATGGCATTCATAGCCACACCTTTACTATTGAATGTCGAATCAGAATCGGAGGCTTTTGGATTGCTGATAAGTCTAATGAAAGGTTATGGCTTGAGAGAACTGTTTCTACCTAACATGCCAGGACTGCATTTAAAGCTATACCAATTCGATCGGTTGATAGAAGAAAACTCGCCGATGCTGTACAACCATCTGGTAAGGCAAGGAGTACGATCGTCGATGTACGCTTCGCAATGGTTCTTAACTTGTTTTGCATATAGATTCCCACTTTGTTTCGTGCTCCGGATACTAGATGTTGTCTTTGCTGAGGGTATTGAAGCCATTTTAAAATTTGCTGCTGTCTTGATGATAAGGAATGAGAAGACGTTGCTGACTTTGCAATTTGATCAGTTATTGGAATTCCTGAAGGGTGAGCTATTTGCTTATTATCTAAAGAGCTCCGTAAAGAAGCGTCAACAATCGAAGGTTTTCAAAGGTGATTCTAATTCCGCGTTTTCGTTGCTGCACAAAATCTCATCATCGAGTGAATCTCACCAGTCAAAGGACGAAATATCAGACGAAGACTATGCCATCGATGCTTTTATCGAAGACGCCATGCTTGAGATCAAGATTACGCCCATTTCATTGAAACGATACTGTGCCGAGTATGACGAAATCCACCTTTTGGAATCTCAGAAGGAAGCACAGTTTGAATCTCTTCGCATTAAGAATAGACAGCTTCAAAACGAAGTGCGCAAGCTCGAACGCGATCATACCGTTTTGAATAGGGAGCACATCGGCATTGCCAATGAGCTGATTGAGAACCGATTGGCTTTCGAGACGCTTCAAGACGAAAATAGAGACTTGAAGACAGACGTGATTCGAATCAAAGCGCAACTGCAGGAGGAAATACGTAAGCAATCATTACCAAATCCAGATGCAGAAATACCCACCGACCTGCGTGCAGATTTACAAGAAACAATGGTGCGGAACCTTGAGGTCATGAACGCGAACCAAGAGCTGCAAGAAAGAGTTGTTAGACTAGAACGAGAGCTTTCGTCTTTGAAGCATGCATCATTCCACACAACCTCTGCTGGTAAGTCTGGAAATTGGAAGACGTTACGCAAAGTTTGGAAGTAACCCCGTCAGAACAAGATATATGGTAGGTAAGTTGGGATCACGAAATGTGTGTAGAACATGTATATGTCTAGGGGAAGAGCTTGGGCGCTTATGATTTTCGTCTTAGACGACATTGAACTTCAAAAAATTTGAATTCAAGAAATCAATCGAGCGCTATGCTCCTCCTACAATTCGTGTGCATTGTTGGACTGCATTTGGCGAAAAAGATCTTGAATTTGGGCCAGAACAGATGTCATTCAATGGATTGACGCTCAAGAGAGGGTTTTCCAGTGTACCTGCGGTGTTCAGGGAGTGGAGACTCGTAGAGAGCAGGAGTGTCGCCAAGCAACCAGAAGTCAATGCTGGTGACAATCGGCCAGTGTATGTGCCCAAAAACCGTAAAGCATTCCCAGACTATGAGTACGGGGAGTCGCATATTTTCAAGCAAAGCAACAAAGGTCTGTATGGAGGCTCTTTTGTACAATATGGTAACAACGTGGCAGAATCCAAAACCAAGACAAGAAGAAGATGGTTGCCTAACGTTGTGAGAAAGGGACTGTGGAGCGAAAGTTTGGCGCGTAACATAAGCATACGGATGACAGCAAAAGTGTTGAAAACGGTCACGAAAGAGGGTGGCATTGATAACTACCTAACCAAGGAGAAATCTGCCAGGATCAAAGAATTGGGACCCACAGGTTGGAGATTGCGCTACCGAGTACTTCAGCGACAAGACCTCAGGGAGAATCCGCCACATAAGGACGCTGCAGTGGTGGAGACCCCCGAGGGCCTCAAAACCAAGGTCTATTTTGAAGAATCTGTCAACGGCGAAGCGCTTCGCGTCACGTGCGGGCGTCGTAAGCTGCTGCAGTACTTGTATCCGCTGGAGAAACTGGAGCATCGTGCAGATGGCTTGGAGTTGACGCATAAGGCATTTTTGGACCTGTATGCGGGCGCTACAACTTTACAGGTGTTGGAGGCCCTGCACAAATACGGCTTCGATTTGAAATCCGTTTGTGTCTAATAAAAAAACACCAAAACTCACGACCGACAGCGAGCAGTTTACCAAAGAAAGGTTCTTTGTCATTGCTGGCCCATAGGAGCCGAGGGTTCTATATCTGTAAATAGTCAAGACAAGATTGTGATGGGAATTTGATGAATCTTGATAGCGTGCAAATTCTGAGGGGTGTAAAAACGTGTCACCAGGATGTGGTGGACTGCGCTTGATCCGGGACAGCTGTCGCGAAGCCAAATTTGTGTATCCTCTTAGGCCTACAAGCCTTTTCATTACCATTCGGTGTCCGCCTCATATTCACTCCTCAACTCAAATACTAATTACTAACCAACCGTTCAACCACTTATAACAGATTCACAAACTCATTTGCTAACTCACTCTCACTCACTCACTCTTCTTACTCACTCACTCACACTCTACTTGCTATGGCGCATTGCTACTTATCTAGAAAACTAGCCTTTCTGGAAACAAGCCAGGCTGGAAACATTCTGGAAACTCACCACTAACGAACATTCTCTTGTGACTGCTATCAATCATCTGATCTCTACACCCATGCATACTTGGTGTAAACTATTTCAAGAAATCAAAAAGAGTGCCGTAAATTTGAGCAGCCGGTTGCGTCAGTTTCAAAAATGTCTCAGCTTTCTCTCACCGGCTGTAGAAAGTGCCTGAGCCTGAGCCCAGCTCGAGAGGCAGCCAGGCTCAGTTTGTATTCCGGTAGGCTGGTAGACTGGGCTCGCTTTCGGAACTCCTAGGCTGGGCAGCGCTAGCTTGCTAGGAGGGGCTCTTAGACTCGTAGGCTCGTAAGCTTGGGACCTGGCGGTGCCGGGTAATAGACAGCTTCTGTCTGGCTCTCTGTCTGGACACCCTGGGCTAGGCCAGAGTTCTCTGTCTGGAAAATTTTCTTTCTAGAGAGAGACGTTGGACCAGGTTTGATTAAAACAAGTTGGTGATTTTGAAAGGCTCTCTTGTTTTAGAAGATCAAGCACTGAAATAGAGTAACAATGGCCGTTAAATCTGGTATGTGAGAGCTTGCGAGCAAGAAGTACATGGGGGAAAGTCAGCGAGTGCGTTAGCCAACGAAAGAGAGGGTTGAAAGAGCCTCGGAATAATGTTTAAGCGAAGATTGATAACAGCCAAAATGAGACGTGGGGTATTCAAACGAGACACAAGACGAGCGTTAGCGAAAGACGGGTGCACTGCATCGTGGGAAACTAGAGTCGCAAGGCGAAAATAAACCGTTGAATGGAAGATGGATGGAACATTATAGAAGCATCATAAGAATCGGAACACATGCGCTCAGAACGCAGCAAATACGGACAACTGGTACTTCCATGGCACCTGAACAAGCCTGTCCACCTTATCGCATCCCTTTCCAGCAGCAAACATGAACAAACACCCCCCATATGCACAAAATTCAATTTACTAACTTTGTCCTATCTTAGGTATCGCTACTGGTATGAACAAGGGTAAGCAGATCACTGCCATGACCCCAACCCCAAAGATCTCTTACAGAAAGGGTGCTTCCTCCAACAGAACCAAGTTCGTCAGATCTTTGGTCAAGGAGGTCGCCGGTTTGGCCCCATACGAAAGAAGACTCATCGATTTGATCAGAAACGCTGGTGAAAAGAGAGCCCGGAAGGTCGCCAAGAAGAGATTGGGTACCTTCGGCAGAGCCAAGGCTAAGGTCGAGGAAATGAACGACATCATCACCGCTTCTCGTCGTCACTGAGTCAGTCACTTTGCACTGAAAGCTCATTTGGATCATAAAACGTATTCATTTAAATAATACATTTTGTAACTTAACCTGCGTTTAAACGTTATTGAAGTGAAGGTAGATAATATGCCAAGCTAGCCGCTGACGCGCTCCTTTCGAGAAACAGACGTGACTATTGGGGTAACATGCCCTGTGGCTCCTGAACACGCTTGAAACACTAGCTTCTAGCATTAATCATCTTCACTTCGTCGCTCAGCAATTTCCCATCATAATGTACTGGGTTCAGCTTTAGCAACTCAGTTTTCTCGACGACGACAGGATAATAATGAAATGATATAGGATTTTCCACCATCTCATATGAGGCCAAGATTTAAAGAATTCACCTTTGCACAGAGTGTAAGCAATACCGCTGGACGACAAATGCTGACACGACTACGGAGCTTAGCACGCGCTGCCTCTAAGTTCCGTTTCTACAGTTCCCCACCAACCTATTTTGGCACAGCGGGATTGCCTACTCAGATACATCGCCCAGTTCCACATCTAGTGCCCACACCTAAACTACCAGTGCGCAAACCCCTATTGGAACTGGCTACTGTTTTTTCGGTACTTGCGCTGTCTTTTTTTGCCATTGACAACTACAGAGCTCGGTTGCGGCTGGAATTGAAAGTCGAAGAAGATGCATTGAAGTTCAAACAGGCCCAGGACCTGTTGGCCAAGCAAGCAAATGCACACCGTAAGAAGAGGGAATTGCAAATTTTGAACGAGCGAAAGCTCATTCAAACACGCGAAATGAAAGTGGCGCTTCACGTTGCCATGCTCCGAAAACAATTAATTGAGGCGGGATTGAAACCTGCGACCATAGAACAAGCCTTACACGAATTTGAAAAACACGTAAAGATGGAAAATAGCATCAGTAACGTAAGCGGAACTCGGTTGTGGGTCACAGACGACAGTCCTTCCAAATGTTATGTGTCCGACGTTCGTGAGTACGACAACAGGGAATGAGGGAAAGGAAACATGATAGATGGTGAGAGTTATTTATTTCAGCAGCCCTGGCATTGACAAATTATATCCCTCCGACGCTCAGATCAGAACCCTCAGATCAGAACTGTTCTTGCAACGACACGTTAAATATTTTTACCATACACGCCGGCTAATTCAGGCAACGCAGCATTATATCGCATTTATAGACCATTATTGTCAATCAATATGCATAACTAAACACTTTGAAGAACCGTCGCTTGACGCGTGGTTAACACTTTACTGTCATCGAGCCCTTCAGCTTTCCTCCAGAACACGTTATTACCCGCACAACATAAAAGATTTTTTGAAATTTTACTATAAAAGCGGCTCTTCACTCAGTCTTCTACTTCTCTCGAGTTCTGTTTTAAGAAACCAAATACAATGTCTTTTTAGACACCCAGAGTCACGGTACGTTCTTTCTCTTCCATGAATGTTACGCATGCAGGATGCTCCAAGGCCTGTATCTTCGTGCTCGCGGTAGTCTTAAATTAATAAAATTGATGGGTTTTATGGGACCATCGCGTTTTGACCAACCTTTAAATGACGTGCCTTTCCCGGAAACTTGTTTCCAAATGGAAAGGCTATGCGGTTCTAAATGTATATTCCAAAAGTTGTAAAATTGTATTTTGAGATTGTCTTATTTGAGTAGTCTTGCATCTAACGGCTCCTTGTTACGTTGTTCCAGCTTAAGCTCTAAAAGCCTTGGGACGGGGCAGCATGGCGTGCGAGCGTCTGGCCCTTTCTCCTGGTAGAACTTTGTGCAACACTCGTAAAGCTGATCTATAACTTGAGAGCATTTGCTTTCGTTAAACCCAGTTTTCGACAAGCAAGCTAGGCAGAAATGTTGTTAGAACGCAAACGGCGAGAAGGTGAAAAGAGAGATGTCACTTACCTTGAATTGCGCATGCTTGAGGCTTGCATGGATCTGGCATTATCGATGTGGTTCGGTCAGGTCGTCGATACAGAGCGAAAGTTAGCTAAAGCCAGAAGGTCTTTCAATATTATTACTTTGGACTACACTCCAGCAAGCGCAGTCTCTTGACTGCGCGTATGAAGCGACATGTCTTTCCGGTATTTCCAGCTAAACGTTTTAAAAAAGAATATATACGAGGATGTGGGGCGAAGTTGACGAGTTTCCTTAGCTAGGACTCGCAACTACTTGCATTTGCCGATTTTCGTGTTGCATTGCCCGAAAGCTAGCTGCTTGATATTTTGTTTTTCCTTCCTTCGTGCTCGTCAGTCACTTGCTGCCGTTAATTTTGTCCTCCAAATGCTCAATCTTCTTCTCCTGCTCCTGGACCTTCTTTCTCAACTGCGCTAGCTGGTCCTTTTCATGCTGTCTGATGTAGTATTCCTCTTGGGCACGCTCTCTTTTGGTGAAGGAGTCTTCGGAGCCGTTATTTCTTGGGGAGCCCACGGATCCTTCGGAGTAGAATCTCGATGCCATACCACAACGTAGCTTGAAGGATTGTGTGAGCGTGGTACGAGTGGACAATGCAAGCATGTTGATAATTATTTGAGGTTTGATAGAGGCTCTTTTCAGATGTAAGAACCCAGAGGTTGAAGAGGAGCAAGACTTGTTAGTAGTACACTAATTATTGAAAAATTCACCGCCCTTAAAGGGAGCCAATAATATGAGACGTAATCGGATTTATTAACTATATGAAGATCACGTGCTTCAAGAAGATTTACCATTCGAATCAATCCGTTAGCTCTGACGATTGCAAATAATAGCTGGAGACTCTTGATTGCTAGCATGAGATCAGATAGCGAGAGCGTGCGTAGATATAGGTAAAGAGAGTAAGAGGGGAAAAATCATGTTTCGTGTAATGTGATGTGCTGTGATGTAGTTATTGACAAAGGATAGAGATAGACGCCGCCTTTAAGGCGATATCAAATGCAGGGCAGTCGGTTCGGGTTATTGTAAGATTCAAGCCGTTTCCCGGAACTGTAGTGATGAAACCACGAAAGATACTGTCTTCGTATTTTGTGATAGTGACGGCAGGCGACACTCTCACATATCAGTTCCTGCTCTTCCTTCCACAAGATGTCTACAATATGCAGAGTCTGTCTAGCTGCTCATGCTTCGAGTGCCGTCGCTCAACACCGCTTCGCCTCTAACGTCGAAATAAATATCCTGAAATAACGACACTTAACTAGAAAGTGATATGTGCGGACAGCTGGCAACAGCAGCTAGGTTGATTCCGTCACTGTATTCCCTTACGTACTACTGCTCCGAGTACTTACCCGCTATATGATCTTCTACAGGTTTCAAGAGTCGTTCGATAGAAGTTGATTTAAACTTCCTCTTGCTTGTTCTTCTACCCATTCTTCTACTCGTTTCTTCATCTCCGTAATTTTTCTGCAAATCCCGAACTCTCATAAGTATATCTCATCACACCCAAACGTTTTCAAATGGCCAATGTCAGTCATACTTTCGTCAGATTCTGCATTGATTGAACTATCGCAAGGCCATGAGAGCGCCGTATTAGCCTGCAAGCTTTTGAATTCAGGGTCTACAGTGGTTTCGTCAGGGCTGGACCCCCACATATGTATATGGGATTTGAATAACTCAAAAAGCTACCTCATTGACAACATATACCGTCAAGGCTCTGCTATCACGACTCTAGATATCATTGATGGCCCCAAGATCATTACAGGATCGTCAAACTCACAGGTTGCCCTGGTAGATATCGAAACGGGCCAAAAACTGCGAAATTATACAGGCCATCAAAGAGCTGTCAACCAGCTGCGAACCATTTCCCAGGACAGGTTTATCTCAGTGGCTGATGACGGCGCAGTTAAAGCCTGGGATTCGCATCAAAAGAAACCGGTTTGGGAAGTCTCCACGGAATTTCCGTTGTTCACAGTTGCTGTGTCGCCTCAACAAGAGCATACGGTCTATGTATCTGGCTTGGACCCTGTAATAACAGCATATGATATTAGACAATCTAACGGTCAAGTGCTATTCAGCTGGGACACAAATCATGTAGAGCCTATCACGTCGATAGACATCACTTCCAACTACAAGATGTGCAGTATGGCATTCGACAACGAAATACACATAGCAGACGCTAAATTAAGATCAACACGGGACTCTAGAGACCTGGGCATTATCGATACCTGCAACGACGAAAACGTCAGCAAATTCCTCATAAGGAACAAATTTATCAACGAGGGTCAATTTGTGGTGTCACAGGGTTTAATGTTTGACGCAACAACTAAGGAGCGCGTAATCGATTTCAAATCTAATGCTATATCAGATGCCAATTTCATTGACATGGACTACGACCTAAAGTCCAAAAAGGTTCTAATGGGCTCCGAAACTGGAAATTTGTACGTATATCAGATGTAAAAATAGGCCGTACTAAATCGTAGAAGATAGTTTGTCTTCCACCTGCGTGCTTATCCTTTTCAAGGCCTGAGATAAGAGTAAAATAAGAATTTTTATTCACATATACGTTGAAATATAAAGAGCGCGTCCGGTCGCCATGCTTTATTGGGTGGTCTTGGTCTTCTTAGAAGCAGGTTCCTCTATGTCAATTGTGTTGACATCCTCCATTTGTTCGCCTCTCAAGCTTCTGAGCAGAGGAGTGGTGAACTCGGCATGATAATCCTTGATGATCGAATCAACGTCATCGATATTTAGTGGTCTAATGTCACCTAGTTGTTTGATCTTGTTGGTGACTTCCTTGACCTGATCATCGGTCATTTTCAAATTTAATTGATCAACTCTTGACTTGATTGCGTTCCAACCCGTCAATCTGTTTGCGAAATGAATGTATCTCGTCAAACCGAAATCGTGAGGGTTCAAAATTTCGTAAGTTGATGGGTTAGCCAAGATAGCTTTGGCATGGATACCAGCCTTGTGAGTGAATGCACAGAACCCAGTAATTGGGTTGTTGAAAGGAATGTTGACTTCGACGGCCTCAGCGACCAGGTTCTCGATGTCTCTGATCTTATGCAGCTTGTATTTGGATTTGACGTATTCTGGAGCGGCCACAATCATTCTCGCCATCAAACCGCCAAGTGGGGTGATACCATTTCTTTCACCAATACCCAACACGGCAACATCGATCAGCTTAGCACCACCTTCCAAAGCAGTGTAAGCATTGGCAATCGCACAACCGGTATCGTTGTGGAAATGACACTCAATATCACACGACACTACGGTTTTCAAAGTGCGTACAAGGTCGTAAACCTGTCTGGGGTTGGCGCACCCAACGGTATCGGCAATACCTACTCTGTTAACACCAATAGCGCTGACAGTCTTGTAGATATTCAGCAGGTCAACAAGGTCTGATCTGAAAGAATCTTCGGATGAGAATCTGATTTCAATACCCTTAGACTTGACGAATTCGATAACTTCGATTGCACTCTTGGCGATGTAGTTCATGTCTTTGCCGTGCGAGTATTGCCTTAGAAACTTCGAGGTACCGATGACCACGTCAACACCGTCGACACCAGTCTCAACAGCGACCTTGGCGTCGTCCATATGACAACGGATGTGGGTCAAAATCTTCGCTTTCAACCCAAGTTTGCAGATAGCTTGGCAGTCTTTGAGACTCTGTTCTGAGGCCACAGGAGAGGTGAGTTCGATGTAATCCACACCGAAGTCGTCCAAAGCCTTCGCGATCTCGATTTTCTTCTCGGTGTCAAAAAACGCATTGGCGAATTGCTCACCTTCTCTCAGAGTAGAGTCTATCAGCTGAAAACTGTTGACATTTGACAAATAATCAGCAGGGTTTGGTCCATACGGATTGGGGCCAGAGGATGGCTGTACAGCACTGTCAGTCACTTGCTGAAATTCAGAATTACTCATTGTTAGAACTCTTGATTTGATATTGGGATACTGGACAGTAGAATTTCACAGTTTTTTCACACACTCTTTATAGCCCAAGGTTAAAGATTGACTGATCAAAAACTGCTCGTGTTAGTCACAAGCCAGGATCCAGGCTGTTACTCATCTACTGAGGGTCATTCGATAACTTTTCCAGTGGGATTAAAAAAATTTTAATTATTCTCACTTTTCTTGTGTGTTACCATAGCGAGAAAAATTCGGCGAAATTAAGCAGGCGGGCCACAATTGACAGATTCACGTTTTATTGAAAACTGTCGCGATTAGACAAAGTGATATCTATATCACTGACGTAAAAAGCTCAGCGGGTCTGAAGCTCTTGATTTACTAGAAAATAAACTATGCCAAATATTCGTAGGATTCGCCGTCGTCACACCTTTGTAGATATTCTTTGGCAATGAGATTGTCAATAGCTCTCTTAATCAGGGATACCTTGGCATTGAAACGTTGGTGTGATTGGGCAATGCATTCGTTGACTAATGTGGCATGAGGAAGCTTTCGTCTGGCCTTCATGATCCGTACTATGCAGGCTTCCAGAAATATTTGACGTTCGGTGTTGAGTTCCTTTTCAATCTTCTGTACTTCAGTAATTTCGGCACCTTTGCCGTTTCCGCCGGCAAGACCAGGCACCTCACTTTTGACACCAGCAGCAAAATTGATTTTGGTTTTGAGAGCCTTGTATGGCGTTGATAATTTGAACACAGTGTCCGGCTTAGCCAAAGCGTCCAAACCTGGCGGAGACTGCTGGACAAGCTTCCATCTTATGAATGGAATCATGGACGATGCAATGTTAGATGTGCTAATGTTGGTGTGTTCCTGAATCTCTTCCAGTGTCAGAGTCGATTTTTCGTTGAAGAGCAACAAAATAGTCATTTGAAATAGAGTGACTGTGAAAACGAAAGGCGCTTTTCCTGGCTTACCGATGTCAGCAACCATCTCACCCCGGCACAGTGGCCATAGCCACTTTAGAACTCTGCCACTGTGTTTGTTGGTGTACAGTTTTTCGAGCCCTGTGTGAGTAGGAATCAATTCCTCTGGCAAATTGAAATCCACGTCCTGGAACGAGAATGGCCACATGGTCTCAGCCAACACGAATGGTTGAAAGTCTGGGTATTTCGATCTGCTGTAATCCGGAGTAATTTTGATGGCGCTCTCGAATTCTTTTTCGAGCTGCTTTGATAATCTGATGTCCTGCAGCATTTTGGTTATCTTTCCAGTATACTCCATGCTATTCTCACTTTGGAGACGTTGAATAACAGCTTCTTCGTCTTCCTCTGATGTAGATGTTCCATGAATTAAACGTTTCGCAAACAACCGTCTGTAGTGGGTCTCGAAGGCATCTTTGTCGGTCAAAAATTTGAAAATGGTCATGATGTCGTCTGCAGAGAGCTCGGAATTCGAATCTGTTGCCCTAGTCGACCTCTTTAACAATTGATCACTATACTTGGCTAACATTTCGGGCGTTTTAGAGGTTGCTGATTTAGGAGAGCCAAGAGGAATTGCAAGTTCATTAACATTGATATAAGCGCGGCAGGCATTATCGAGAGCCTTGGTGAACAGCGGGCCGTTTTGAAAACAGTCTCTGGTTATTTTAACGAAAGTTTCGTAAACTTCAATCAATTTTCTGACATATTCGTTTGGCGGAATGATGAAGTTCATAGCCGATTTCTTGAGAGGAGCTTGTTCATCCATAGAATCACTGAGCTTTGCTTTGTGTTCTGTAATTAAGCTTGAAATCTCCTGCTCACCTGTTTTCTTCACATACTCCTCGTAGGCTTGAGCCAATTTGGGCAGCAGTAGTATGTCTCTTTGCATCAGATTGTAAAGCGTAGAAATTTTACTTTCTTCTCTAGAGTCCAACAAAGCAACAAATTCGCCTTCGAGAGCCTGCGAGTGGTCAGTAATTAGGACGGCATTCAAAGCTTCGGATAGCAACTTCTTGGTGTGTTCGTCTAGGTAAAGCACAATCTTAGTTTCTTCGTCTTTAATCTTTTCCTGAGCGGCAAATATGTACTCAGCAACGCTGCGATTCTCTAAATATTGAGTGGAGAATCTCTTGTAATAAGCGCGTGTGTACTCCAAGAAAGGCTTTTCGAAATGTTGTATGTAGACATTCAAATTGAGCTTCTTGAGATCTTGTGGATCAATTCCCAGAGCCACAAATGAGCGTATTGCAACGTTCGTATCCGTGTGAGAAATTGCGCAACCATCCCGTTGCAAAGTTATTATCTGTAAAACCTCCTGAACTAGTTGGTCAACATTTTGGTCGAACATTACTTCCTTCCAAGTCATCAAACACAATGTGTTAATATCGAAAATATGCCTCTTGCCGTCGCTACGCTCCTTCTGGACCCAGTAACGATTCATGTAGTCGAAAGCATGATTTAAGAAGATAGCGCCCACGGTGAACCGTTTCCAGCGTCTCACATAGAAATGCAAGAAACCTTCATTAGGACTCCTTTCCAAATTTGACAAGTATTCCTGCAAGCAGTTTTGTAGCTTCTGGTAAATTTCTCCTCCCACTAATAGTGACGACTGGTTTTGTCTACTGTTGTCCGTATTGAACTGGCCTGCAGAGCTCGACTTATTGACACAATAGTTGTAGATTGCCGTGTAAACTTCCATATACATAGCTGGCGAAAGCACCTTATCGACTCTCTTCAGTGCAGAAGAGGGTGTTCCGTCACGGCCCAAAATTTGGTGAATGCCAGGCTCTACAAAGTTCCAAGTAGCTTCTAGATCATCTGGCCTAGGCAAAGTATCGGCCATGCTGCCTTTGGTAACGCAATTATTATTTTGCGCTTGGTATATTGAACTCGCGATTCGAAACCTTGACCTGTTTAGATTCAGATCGCCACTTTAAAACGTTACTTAACTATATATGTGTTATCGCTAATGACGGGTCATCGCCTGAATTAGAAGTCCACAACCCCTTCGCCGTTCATTGGTCTTTTCCACTACTCCCAGTATACTTAGTTGTAATATGCATTGTTCCGTTATGTCCTTATGTGTTTATGGGTTCACCTCGCCGAGCTGGAGTTCATTTTTTCAACGACTCTGAGAATACTTAAGGCGAATGTCACAACCCACATGAATAGCACCACAAACAAAAACGAAGCGAGTGCCCGTTGTTTTCTACAGATGTAGTCTATCTTCGGGACCTCTGTTGAGGTATATTCACCGGGTGTACATACCCATTGCCGGTCGTATAGCGTGTTGAACGTCAGTGCAAGATTCGCGCTTGAGAATATGATGAACAACATGTCCAGAAGAATCAATCTCATTTTGCCGAATGGATTTCTCAAACCTAGTGGCTTGCCTGAAAATTCGTCGTATGAGATGTAGAATAAGTACAGTACGGCGATGGAATTTACGCACAAGGCCATGATAGTACTTGCTTGCTGAGGAATGCGTGAATCTAACTGCTCTATTCGCGAGTTAGAATTTTGGTAGATTCTAATGGCCAAGGCCAGAGCAATGATACTCAGTATCACAATTAACATTCGCAACCCCAGAGGCAGATACTGATTATCTAGTAGAACCTTTCGCAAAGTTGGAACCCATTTTTGTTTTTTCTGTCGTTCAAGTTGTCTCCAGTGCTTCCTCTTTTGTTTGAATTCTGTTCGTTGTTTCTCTAAAAATGAGTGTAGTTTATTGTTGTCATTGTCATTGCCATCGGTTAAAGCGCCTTCACCTTGCAAGCCGGCTTCAAGATCACGATTCAGCGGGCCTTCTCGATAGTAGAATGCTTTAACGGACTCTAGATACTCTGTCCAGTCTTGACGATCCTGATTATTGGTGAATTTGTGGCTGTCTAAGAGCGGTCCATTAAAAATAGCATTGAGCCTCTCGCTTCCACCCCAGGAGCCACTTAAATCTGCTAAAACGTTCTTGGAAGGAGGGGGGAATGTCGGTGGTAGTTGGTCGTTGGCTTCCAAAGAAGTTTTTGTCTTAGAAGCCCTCCCTTGCTTGGGTTCGTCGCTCGATGATGACGTCTCGCCTTTCGAAGAGTCACTAGATGATACACCAGCTAAATTGTTATAATTTTGGCCGACTTCACTTTCGTCTGCCGCCTTGTGTAAATAGGAGACATTAGATCCGACATTTTCCACGAAAGGACCCCAGTTTCCATTATGAGATACCAGAAACGGATCTTTACAGAAAGGCCCCAGCTGCTGTTGATTTTGATGTTGATGTTGCTGTTGCTTGTTCCCAGTGGGCTGTGTTGTTTGATCTTGGTTTTGTGGAATTCGAAGACGAGGGGATTTCAGCTCCTCATCTAGGGCAAACGGAGGGACCGTCGATGGCGTAAGCCCATAGGCGTTCAGAAGTCGGGTTTTACCTCCTTCCCCTTCCTTCAAGTTGCCCCGAGATCGATTCGAAAATCGTTCTTGCGACACCTTTGATACCTGTCGTCCAAATTCGTCCATTTTAGGCTCCGAGCCGCGCGTCTCATTTTTCTCATCGTCGATACCGTCCTGCGATCGACTCTCGCCCATTTTGACCATTTTAAAGCCTATTGGACCGTTTCTGTTTTCGGATCTCTTAGCTGCGACTGTTTAAAGATTCCACAAATAATACCTTTTTATAACGAGCTCAAAAAAGAGCAAACAAGGTTTAGATTCGAAATAAACGAAACTTCTTTTCTGACACTAAAGTCTTGTTCAACAGACCATTCTCATAACTGTGCTACAATGATCACTTCGAAATGCAAACCTTCGCTGCTTACCTTTTGTTATTTTTTAGCTACATATGATTAGATTTCCTCTCAAGTCCTACCAAGCAAAACTACGTTTGCTTTTATGAAAAAGGACAAAAGCATAACTTAGCATTCAGTTGACCATTTATTCTCTTCGATACCGTCTATATCAAGAGGGACTATAGATGAGCTTCAAGAGTACGTGGCACTTGGGAAAGAGATTGATCAGCGACAAGCCGTCTAGCTTTCAAAATAGGGTAAGTTTACAGCAATATGTCTTGGATCCAGTAAAACTTATAGCTATACCAATAACGACTCGCAAAGTATTTCTATACCACAAGCATTCCTCCGAAATACTGAATGTGAGGTCGAATATTGTGAAGTACGAAACTAAATTGATCGGGAAGGCGTCCAAAATATGGACTAATCTGGAGAATTCTCCCCGCCAATTCAATAGGAAGCTCGCGGGCTCTATTAACTCACTGCTGGACAAGGCGCCTTGGACTGAAGATTCGCTCAATTCCATACCTTCTGAAAACTACATTTTAAAAACGGTCATGGAAAATCAGGAAGAACGCACACTGACGGTCGATGAATGGCTCAAAGATGCTGAGAACCTAGATATTCGACCAATTTACCTGTACTATCCGGAAAGCGTCTACTCCAAAGCTATCGTTCGCCAGCAATTGGAAGCGCTGTGGACGGAGGGGTTGCATTACCACAAGAAATACACATGGCTCAGCATCCTGGGTATACCGTTAACGCTACCGCTGGTATTGATACCCGTGATGCCCAATGTTCCTGGTTTCTATCTCTTGTACAGGGCCTACCGCAACTACAAAGCCTATTGTGGTGCAAAGCATTTGAAGTCATTAGTGGAAAACAAAAACCATAAGCTAATTTTTGCCAATTTGCCGCAGTATTCTGACATTTTAAAAGGCCAGGCAACAGCAACGAATCCGGACGCAAAAGGTGAGGAGCAGCTTGTATTGAACGAGAAAGATCTTGACAGAATCCTGGATACTTTGGAGATCCATGAAACTCGGAGTTTTCTAAGAAAAGCCATATCCCAGGAGCGTCAACGCCTGGAGGAACATTAATAAATAGCGTACGTAAGGATACTGAAAAGAAGGCAATTGTATTACATAGAGGCCAGAGCACTTTTTACCTTATCTGGTTAATTTGTTTATTATTAAGATTGACAGCATTGTGTGTATTTCTCTAAATGCTCAAAGTCTACAATCATGAACTAAACATAATAACAATAAGTTTTCCACAACTTTAAACACACTGAATACAGGTAAACTAATATTAAAAATGCTTGATAGCCGCGCAAACTTGGTTACTAAGTTCTCTTAGTATTTGATTCAGTGGGTACTATTTAGAATCTATAGTTTTCTTCGTCTCATTGGCCACCTCTACTACCATACTCTGTACTAAAAAATTAAAAAGCTCACTCCTTTATCTAATACATCAACCACAATTAAGAGATAACGACGATGTAATCCCATGTGTGTCATCATCATCTAACTTGTTTTTAACGCTTTCCTGCTTCAATACTAAAGTTTATGATCACAGCCGACGCTGTCACTACCACACGGTTGTTCATGATTGTTCCGTTCTCTTCCTCTAGCTTTGACTGCTGCAACACCTTGACATCCTCAAATGGAGACGAAAAATTGTCAGCTCACCCATACATAAACATTCAGCTTACTATTTAATATTGCGTGTTTTTAAAAATTTTCACTTTTCCAAGTTTATTGAATCTATCGTTACAATCCAAGATGTCAGATTAGTGAGAAGTGATATCAACACCTTTCATTCTAACAGCGACAATACCACAAACAAGCGTCGAAAACCGCGCAAGGTCAACATTCGGGGCCTTGTATATGTGATATAATTTTGTAGTTTGTATGCTTGAGTTTAAGCGCAGCTCGTTGGAATCTCATGTGTTTTTCGTGACTTTTCTCGTTTGATTTTCTATTATCTTATTAATTTCCCGTCGCTTGAAATACATGTGCAGTTCTTATTGGCGCCTCAGAAAAGCTCGCTACTCACGCTCTGGTTGTCCTTGCTAAAACCCTAGTACGGTTCACTCACAAAAGGGAGGGCTGTTACCCTCACAATTTGGGATGGATGCCCGACTCACACTTTGGCAACTTTCGTCGTGGAGGAAAGGATTTGAAAAGAGTTGAAAGCTTGTATTTTACTTACTGTCTAGCTCACTTCTTGTATAATCTTTCTTTCATTTCCCCAGAACACTACAACACAAATTTCACTAACTCGAGATGCGTGCTAAGTGGAGAAAGAAGAGAGTTAGAAGACTTAAGAGAAAGCGGCGGAAGGTAAGAGCTAGATCCAAGTAATCGGATCGGTAGACGCGCATGAGCAAAGCATAGTAGGTTAAGGGAGGGGAGGGAAATTTGATTCCTTAAAGGGATTGAAGCATCCCTTTCTTTCTCTGCTGTGACTCTCGTCTCTTCTATTTAGCTCCCCCGGCGATCTATACACATTGGCTGTGTTGGGATAATTCTCGATTCATTTATATGTATTTAAGCGTTTTCGCTATATAGTCAATGCATGATTTCCGCTAAAAAAGTTGAGTAAACAAAATATTTTGAGGTGCTTGATCGCCAATCGATGTATGTTGACGAGTTGACTATCGCCTGAGTCACTACAAGTTGAGAGAGGCCTAACACAGCAATGTCAGTTGATAGTTCTACGGCTCTTGGCAAGTCTAATGGACACACTTTTTAGGGTCCGTCTCCCCGATTTTTCGTGAAATATCGTAGTATTTCAGTGACATTCAAAGAATTCCAAGCGCATTCATAACGCTGATGAACTGAGTTTTCGGGGCAAATCCTGCATTTCACCGTCGCACGCTAGTGGCCAAGTTGAAATAATGACTGGGTCGTTCGCGGCGTAGGTCGCAAAGCTGAAAGCTTAATTGTCGAAACACTAAGTTTTTGCTTAATTTATTATTTATTGTTCTTTTCTATCTTGAAATACGTTTCGTTTCATTCGCTTGAAGGTCTCAGAACTCGTAAAGATCATTCTTCTTCAATCGCTGGACTCGGCGAATCTTTCTTGAATGTTGGTGAACAATTTTTCAAATTCACCATGTACTTCTTTTTCGCCTCTGCTAGGTTCAAAAAACTTGGAGGATGAGACAGCGTGCTTCACATCACCGGTAGCTTCAGCCAATTTCGACCAGTTGGCACCGTTAGAGACACTCTTTTGAGCCTCTTCGTAATAAGAAACAAACGCCTTCATCATATCAAATGTTTTCCAGATTGGACAGAACGCATCATAAGAAGAATAACCATTTTGTTGCAAGAAATCTTCCTTGATCAAAGAAGCAACATCCAAAGTAATCTTGTCACTGTCAGATAACGCAGACTTACCGACCAATTGAACGACTTGTTCCAATTCTTCAGCATTCGACAAAATTTCACGAATACGATTTCTCAATTGAGGGAATTCTGGATAGTTGTCATCGTAATAGTTGTTCAAGACGTTGGTGTACTTGGAGTAGGAGACAGAAGTGTTGATGGAAGGGAAATGCTTTCTTTGAGCCAATTTCTTGTCCAGACCCCAAAACACTTGGGTAATACCCAAAGTCGATGTTGTCACGGGGTCGGAGAAATCACCACCTGCAGGGGACACAGCGGCAACAATAGACACAGACCCAATACGATCGGGAGAACCTAGAGCCACAGCTTTACCAGCTCTTTCATAAAAGGAGGCCAACTTAGCACCCAGGTAGGCAGGGAAACCTTGATCAGCAGGCATCTCACCCAGACGACCTGAAATTTCTCTCAAAGCTTCTGCCCATCTGGAGGAAGAATCAGCAATCATTGAGACGTCCTTACCTTGATCTCTGAAGTACTCTGCTAACGTAATACCAGTGTAGATAGAAGCTTCTCTGGCTGCGACAGGCATGTTAGAGGTGTTGGCAACCAAGGTTGTACGCTTCATAATAGGTTCCTTCTTACCGTTTCTCTCGGTGAACAGTTCGGGGAATTCCATCAAAACTTCTGCCATTTCGTTACCACGTTCACCACACCCGACGTAAATGATACAGTCAGAGTTGGAGTACTTAGACAAAGATTGCGAGATGACAGTCTTACCACAACCGAAAGCACCAGGAATACAAGTAGTACCACCTTGAACACAAGGGAAAAGTGCATCCAAAACTCTTTGACCAGTCAAAAGTGGGTAGTCCGCAGATAGCTTTTCGGTAACGGGACGTGGGACACGCACGGGCCAGGTGTGGTACATGCTGTAGTCATACTTGACGCCATCGAATTCGACTTCCAAAACTTTTTCGTCAACGGTGTAGTCGCCAGCAGAGGCGATCCAGGTAATGGTACCTCTAGCTCTTGGGGGCAACAAAATCTTGTGGTCTTCGAGCAAAGAGTTCTCAAAGATCGAACCGAAAATGTCACCACCTGTGATGTGGTCGCCAACTTTCTTGTCTTTTGAGGGCTTAAACTGCCATTTGATTTCACGCGATAGCGCTGGGGCGTTGACACCTCTTGGGATGTAGATGGATTGGGATTTGTCCCTGATGGCCTTCAAAGGTCTCTGAATACCATCGTAAATGGTTTCCATAAGACCAGGTCCCAATTCTACGGACAATGGCTTACCGGTACGCAGGACAGGGTCACCGACGGTGACACCGGCAGTTTCTTCGTACACCTGGATCGTGGCCTTGTCGGCCTCGATACGGATAACCTCACCGACCAGATTGTCGTGGCCAACTCTGACCAGCTCGTACATGGCACAACCAATCATGTTTTCTGCCACCACCACTGGGCCAGAAACCGAGTAAATGGACCCGTACTCTGACTCAGCGTGGTCCTCCAAGGAGACACGTTGGATCTCCTTGCGCGCGTTTTCCATAGCACCCGCCATGTTTGAAAACTATGTATCTGAAAGCTTTGAACAGCAACGGTCACTCTCGAAAACTCTTGCTTCTTATACTTTGCGTTCTTTTTCCCAGAAAAAGAGCTTGCTTCTCGCTACAGTTATCAGTTCTTCGCTGACAAAATTGCACAATTAGCTTTACAGGTATCCCAGATAGCTGCCAATACAGTGAGAAGGTTCAATAAAGAGTGCTTTATCGATATCTTTTGCTTTGCAAGTGGTGTTATCTGCTAAGTATTTGGATTTTTGAATAGGGTCGAGTGATTACAGTTATACTAATAAATTGGCCCCTGGTGGTCGCGCTAAACGAAGGAAGCCGGCCGATTACCCGGACGAAGATGAACGTAACATTTCCGTGGTTGAGAGGTTTGACAGCCCTGGTGAGGCCAATCGCGGGCAGAAACTACGGGCAGGGCTGCCGGCACCCAAGGTTCAATAGTGAGAGATTAGCGCGCCAGATTTTAAGCACTTCTAGGGACTCAAAATAAGATATTCGTACAATGTGATACACCCATTTTTTGTATGTCGGCACCTGAGCACGTCGACGATTTGACCATTGAAGAGAATCGGAGTAGACTGCATGGCCTTGAGGTTTGGGCATCGAGAGAATTTACCGGGCGGGCTCATCGGTGCGTGTGTTATTTGAGCGCCAGGCCTGGAGGTTGAAAGAGGACAACCGGCCAGACTTTTCTCACCATTTTTTACAGGCTCTTCCCAGGCATTCCTCAACTGGCTCACAAACAGTTCACAAAGCCGCCGCCACGCATAGCCTGCAAACTTATGATCATCACTCTGTACCAAAAAGTCGCTACGAACAAATTTTTTTTTCAGTAAGTAGAAACACCAGAAACTCAAAGTCCGAGAACCAAGAAAAATACCACACACATAGCTTGGGCACTCCAAAGAGCCCACTGGAGGTCGGTAGCGTAGATGGGGCGAATTCCGTACGAGTGATTCAAGCTGGCGTGCCATACAAACAAGTAGAAAAATCCACTAAAGTAGAGAGGCGTCACGTGATCATAAGCTTTACCACCCGTCATATCACTTTGTAGTATACTTACAGGTCCAACTAAGCTATCTTGTACCTGTGATGAGTATACTAAGCAATTTGCTGGGCAACATAACGCCTGGTTGATTCTTTTGAAGTCTTGGTTCTTGCTACATAACATACGTGCATCTAAAGAACGAAAGGCATCTGGCGCCGATTTTCGTATGCGTGTCGCCTGCCTGCAAGGTCTATTCTTCGCTGCAAAAAAGCTGACGTTAGTGTAGGCAATGTGCTGGTAAGCGGATGACCCCTCCACCTCACCGACTGCCCAGCTATCACTAACAGGCGCACATTACCTTAAAGTCTCGACAAAAATCGTCCCAAAATTGGCACCACTGTGCCCAGTAATTATCAGCTTCAATGTCGTCGTCATTGTCGTTGTCCCTTGTGGATTCGCCCACGGGTCTCACGTCCTGGTGCGGCAGGTAACACGCTGGGATCGGAAAACTGTACCCAATACGCTCTACTATGTAGGTTTCGGGTTCTGGTTCGCAGATCACTGCACGGGGAGTCATTCCCCGGGTTTCTGCGCTCTGCAAGCTCCGTCGAATTTCTTGCACCATCCCGCTCGCCGAGGAAGATCTGGATGAACAAATGGACTCCGCCAGATCCACAGAGTGGAGCACGCTATTTGTGTCTGTACGAACGGCTTTTTCATGCCTCTCGGTCCGCGGTTTCGAAACGGCATTGCTCAAGGTCTCGAAGCAATGACGGATGGAATCTATTGAGGTTTGTGCTGGTAATTTGCAGAGCGCTTTCGTATCTATTTCCAGCTGGTATGGATGTTTACCCTTGACGGCGGCTGTAGAACCAGCATGGTACGAAACAGGTGGCCGCCAACGTACCAGTGCGTCTTCCATACGACCTATCAATTGGCTCTTCGCGGCTACCACACGTCCGTTCTGTTTTTTTATCACCAGCTGGCGCACACCAGTGGTATTGGCGGGAAGCGTATGTGCTCGTACTGCATAATCAGGCGAATCTAATTCGAAATTGGGGAGATCTTGCGTGAATGGTCTGTCCATGATACCAACACTGTCCATTTTTTTTTGGTTCAAATGAGGTTGCTTGGATGTTGGTGATGGCCGTGGGAGTGATACACTGCATAGCGTGTCTGAAGTTTTGTACAATTGGCGTGTAGACAATTTTTTGATGTCAGTGTCAGACGTCCCATATGGTTCCGTCGCTGGCAGCGTCAGAATGAAGATAACCACAAGCCACTAATAAATTGGAAAACCACAAGGATGCGTTTTTCTCAAATGCCTGACCAGTGGAGCCCATCCGACTTGGCAAACATCTGGACCGGAGCGTATGATCACTTCGTACTAATGTGTCGCGAATTATCGAAAGTGTGCATCGCCGCACTCATGTCGCAGAGAGAGAGAGACTAGCCATCCATTACAAACAGCAAGTACGGTGATGTTCTTTCTTTTTAGCTAATACTCTCGATTCAAGGCCACACTCATACGCTCGAAGATTCCCGCTAGTCGAAGTGCGGGCCGCGAATTTCGAATCTTCCTGTGCGAGGTTAAAATCTCTTGCGCGCCCAAAAATCCCCGCAGTCACCAGCTAGCCCATCTAATATCGACAAGAGCAGAATACCACCACCAGCAAGGCATACGCCACCGTTCCAATCCTCTCTTTTAAGCCAAAACACGTGACACAACATTCACAAACCATACGCCTACGACGTATACGCGCTACTCGCTAAATAAACTCCACTATTCGCACACCATCCATGCTGTCTTCCGTCCAGCAATACCCACCGTCGCGCTAGCGATCCAGTTTTGACATTCTCGTCACGAAAAAAAACTGGTTTTATCGACATCTCAAAGCTAGCTAAAACAAGCATCTAAAACACAGTTCCAGATGCGACAAGACCACAATTTCCAGTCCCTATTTCCAGTACCAGACAATACCATATCCAATTTCTTAATTCAATATTCGATATTCTCTCCAGTTTGTTACCCTGGACGAATAGGCCTCCGCTCTGATTATACAGCTAGTTACCAAAGGGAGAAAAATTTCAAGAAAGGCCAACATAGGAGTTTCTCATACACGCCTGGAAAGAGGAAACCCCTTTGCCTCAGAAGACGTACTTGATCTGCTAGTGATATTCAAAGCTTTTGGGACGGTAGTTTAGCACGCGTGGAAGAACTTGAAATTGAGCTTTGTGAGCTGAATTTAGTTTTTGACCGGTTAAAGATTGGGCTTTTACACGAACACAAGTTTTGGTTCGACGGGCTTTGCAAAGACGCTGGACGGCTGGAAATTGGTGCTTGTTTGATCTCCAACTAGACGTTAAGACCATTGTTCTCGATCTCTAAAACGCGAGACACAGGCTTGTGAGAATGGAAATAGACAACGACGTGGCAATGCAAGACGTTACTGAGGAGCGTCTGGACCCTACGCTGGATGAGGACGCATCTGCAGAGCTGCACGATGGCGCAAACTCGAGCGAAGGGCCCGGCGCGTCTGGCATAGCGGACCACAAGGCGTCCAAGCCACTGCAGCTGGACGCAGGCAACATTGGACAACTGGATCAGTGGATTGAGCATCTCGGCAAGTGCCAGGTGCTATCAGAAGAAGACGTCGCGCGCCTGTGCAAAATGGCAGTCGATGTCTTGCAGTTCGAGGAAAACGTGCAGCCGGTCAACGTGCCGGTAACGATATGTGGCGATGTTCACGGTCAGTTTCACGACCTAATGGAGCTGTTCAAAATCGGGGGACCTTGCCCGGACACCAACTATCTGTTCATGGGTGACTACGTTGATAGAGGCTACTACTCGGTCGAAACTGTGTCATATTTGGTGGCCATGAAGGTGAGATACCCCAAGAGAATCACCATCCTCAGAGGTAACCACGAGTCTCGTCAAATCACACAAGTCTACGGGTTTTACGACGAATGTTTACGGAAGTACGGTAGCGCCAATGTCTGGAAAATGTTCACGGACTTGTTCGATTACTTCCCCATTACTGCATTAGTCGATAACAAAGTGTTTTGTTTACACGGCGGGCTGTCGCCGATGATCGAAACCGTGGATCAGGTCCGCGAGCTTAATAGAATACAAGAAGTACCACACGAAGGTCCCATGTGTGATCTACTTTGGTCTGATCCAGACGATAGAGGCGGATGGGGTATCAGTCCAAGAGGAGCCGGTTTCACTTTTGGCCAAGACATCAGCGAACAGTTTAATCACACAAACGACTTGTCGCTCATCGCCAGAGCACATCAATTGGTTATGGAAGGCTATGCATGGTCACATCAACAAAACGTAGTCACCATTTTCAGTGCACCCAACTATTGCTATCGATGCGGGAATCAAGCTGCCATCATGGAATTTGATGAAAATCACAACCGTCAATTTCTCCAATACGACCCGTCCATGAGACCTGGCGAACCCACCGTTAGCAGGAAAACTCCTGATTATTTCTTATGAGGTAGAACAAATAGTAAGAGAACTAAAGGAGTCTCGGATTAAACACACGTACGCAAACGTACAATTCTACAACCCCACGACGTGTGCTGGAAGAAACGGTGCGTCACGACATAACTACACGAAACGACACGATACGCTGCGCTCTTCAACCGTGCGCGGCATCTATAAAACAACAGTCACTAATCATCAAAGAGCTTATTGTTTTACAGTTTTGATTTCAAGCAAAAAACTACACTGTATTTTTTCTGTTTCGCTCTGTATCTGTTTATACTAAACTACTTACACAACAAAGCGATTTTTTACTCAAAGCTTGTGCGGTTTTGCCGATGAATCTTTCTTAACCCTGTCTAAAGCGATATTGCACATTTCGTTGCACGCCAGTTGTGCTTCGTGAAGCCATGAGTTACCGGAGTTGATTCGGCGTTGCATCACCTCAATAATTTCGGACCTGGGCCTGCCATTGACGAAAACTACGAACCGCAGACCCGGGTACTTCTCCTCGTAGCTGTTATTCAAGGCCTGTAAGACCTCCAGGGTCTCTGTAGAGTCTGAGCTCCCCAAATTACGCTGCTCCATCGCAGAATGGGCCGACAGATTTTGCTTCGGCTGTCCCAGCTTCGGATGCGCTGCGATGATGTCGCTTAGGTGATGTCTAGTATCGGGGTCTTGGCCACGGCTGCACAAACCCATAAGCTTGGATCTGACCGTTTCGACCAAGGTAGTGTAATCAGATCCTATATCATTAACGAAATGTGGGTCATCCACCGTTATCAGCTCGAGCGATGAGCTTTGTTCGAACAAAAGCTCCAGCAATCGCGCCTGCGTATCGCGATCTGCTCTTTTAAAATATGAAAAATCTGGCAACCCCATACCTAGATCTACGCTCGCGAAAAAATGGTGTCCAGCTTGCGTCAAGAAGCAAACCCAAGATGTTATTTATATGTAGCTGTTGATATACCAAGTGCCAGCTTACTACCACGTCTTGATATTACTGATTATGTCTTAGATATCGGTATAGTCCGATGTTGATGAAAAAAAATGGAAGTTCAATTTTCCAACCGTCACGGTCGCATGCATAATTAACAGATCTCGGAATCATACAAAAGTCGCTGGAAAAGAACTCAACAAAGGACAAAGAAGGCCACATAACGCAATTAAACTAGTGACAAATCTGCGACAATGAGCGAAGATAACGAGTTCAAAGAATTCCAAGAGGATAATACTAACGAATACAAAGTGTCAGCGAAGAAAACGCTTGCAGAATACCAAAAACTGGATGCGGAAGATGAGTCCTTGGCGAAATGGAAAGAAAGCTTAGGATTGAGCTCGGACGTTTTGCCTCTGGAATATGCCGGTGACAAACGTAAAGTCGTGATTCTAAAGATTCAGCTGCTGGTGGACACCGAGAAAGAGCCCATCACGTTTGACTTGACCAACGAGACAACCATCAAGGAGCTTGGGTCCATACGCCACAAGATCAAGGAGAAATCAGCTTACAAGCTAAGAATCACTTTCAAAGTTCAACACGAGATCATCACAGGACTGAGGTACGTGCAATTTATCAAAAAAGCAGGCATTGCCGTTGACAAGATCGACGACCATTTGGGCTCTTACGCTCCAAACACCACCAAAAAGCCTTTTTACGAGGTGGAGCTACCTGAGAGCGAGGCTCCAAGTGGCTTCTTGGCCAGAGGCAATTACAGTGCCGTTTCCAAGTTCATCGACGATGACAAGACAAACCATCTCACCGTCAATTGGGGTGTCGAAATTGTCAAGAAATGATTTGTGCTAACATACCTGTGTTACCGGCGCGGAGCAGATGACAGCGTATTCTTATGTAGCCGCCACGCGAAGTCATATAACGCATATATTCCCAAACAATGGGTTTTTTTGAGACAAGTCAAAAAGTATGGTATAAATATACCTGCAATAAGTGGCAAGAATAAGACTTTACACAAAAGGGCTTATAACATAACTTGTCGGCTTTGATTTTGGCAGCTGGCTTAACATCTGCGTTCGGCGTATCAGGATTCGCCCTGCGTTTATCTGTGGCAATGCTCATGAGCTTTACACCTTTTCCTGAATCTCCGCTCCTCATATTATTTATTTTATGCTGTCCTTTTCCTATATCTCGAGCCTCTCCAAATTACTGCTGATCTTATTCATTGACGATTCAATATCCGTTTGAGCTTCACTTGAGTCTTGTCTTTCGCTCAAACTTGCCGATTCGAAAGATTGATTATGCTCTGGCTCTGGCCTCTTACTAGAGAAAACACTACTCCCACTTGCAGATGATTGAAAAGCTTGAACTTCCGAAATCGGGCCATAGTTGAACTGATTCATGCCCATGGAATGGAGATCCGGTTGATATTGTGGAAAGCGGTGATCTTGTGGGATATACATCATTGGATAAGGATTGTATATCATGTAGGACATTGGATACGTTGGTGGAGCTAAAGGTGGGGGCTGATAATAAAATGGAGGTGCCGCGTATGAAACCGATCTTCTAATAAACTTTCGTTTTCTGGGCTTTTGGGATTGTTGACTGAATTTATACCTTGAGGTCTCGAATTGATGTGGCTGCGGTGAGTCGTCATCCATCGCAATTGGCTTTTGAGGGGTCGTTGGGAGATTGTCGTTAGGAGTTGTGTTTTGGGATTCCCAACTCTGATCTTGAGGCTGAAGGCTCGAATTTTTGTGGGCTACGGAGTGCGGAGACTTAGTCTTGAATAGCTCAGTCGGGTATGACGACCAATTTTCAAGAGATCCGTGTGGTGGATCAAGATTCTGCAATAAAATCTTCCCAGAATCTCGCACAAAGGTCTCCTCTCCCTTGAAAACCACCACACAAGTGTCGTTATTTTTAGCCAAGGCGTGTTTAAGACCATGGTATTCCGCCACTTGATGTGCTAACAGCCTGTAATACGAGTTCATCGATTCCAATTGGTACGAATTCAATCCGGAATCGATAAAAGAGATCAACGAGTTCTCTAGTTCTATCACGAATTGTCTGTCATAGGCTCTTTCGAAGAGAGCGACCAGCATTGCCCTCGTCAGATTATCATTGCCCATTACACTAGCCGCTGTGGTGCCAGCCAAATTTCCAAACCAACGATTTCGGGTTTTGTTGAGGATCAGCCAAAGATCCCTTTCTTTCTGGCAGGTTTTGAATATTCAGCTATTTAATTTATAGAAATACATTAATCTCACTTTGAAACGGAAGAGATTAATATATTTATTCGCATTTGCTTGGAAAAGACAGGATTGTCTGAACAGATCTCACCAAGTAGTCCTAAGCTGTTATATTTGAGCTACAGCTGGCTCGTTTTGAGAGCAGAGAAGCAATTTCCAAAGATTTTCGAAACAGAGTGATTATCACATTGCGAATAGAATCGTAGAACTGTGAGTAAAGACATTTCTTATTCAAATGTCAGTTTTAGAAGAGGTTTTACGCGTCTCGAAAGATCCAGCAAGGTCTAAGGGCTTTCATGTTTTACCCGAGGAATTTGAACCGCCCCTTGACGTTGATCAAGTGGATTCAATTCTTTTGTACCAGTTGACAGAAAATCTCGAACTCGCGCCGCAGCCATTTGCTTATCTCAAGGAGTGCTTTGAACGCGCACAACAGCAAAAAAGGATAGCGAGAAAGTCACAGCAACAAGATTTTGGCCTCCTTCAAGAAATTGATCGGTTAGTAATTGGTTATGGGCTGGTCTTATTTCAAGTTGAAGAGTTTTGTCAAGGCGAGGACAATTTCTTACGGTACATGAGCCAGATAATCGCCAAAACTGACGATTACACTGCTTTCCTCTCACAACTAATCCAGCGAGCCATACAAGAAGATACGTTGTTAGAGTTGACTGAGAATTTTCTTGTTACCTTGAAAAAATACATCGACTCTCTTACTCTGTTCAATCTCAATGACTCTCAAGTTGTTTCATCTGTACTGACGCTCTTTGAGCTTTTTGTCTCCTTCAAGCCTGTTGCCGCGCTGATCACCAAAGTTAGCGGGTTTTTAGCTGGATACGACGTGAAACCTAATCAGTTTGAGAAAGTGACGCTTCTAGGCCCCATTTTAACTCTTTCACCTCTAAACGCTAGCGTAGCGCTGCAAAATTATGGGGACAATTTAGAGCGCACTCAGCAGCAGACTAACATGATTCACGAATCGCTTCAAACCGAACATAAAATGATCCTGGATCGCCTCTTCTTTATCATGGATAAAATTATCCGAGGATCAAATGAATCGCGTACGGATTTACTGATTTACTTTGCGCAGATAATTAATAAGAATCACTTAAGAAGAGGTGACCACGCTAATGCCAATAAATTGGCAACGAACGCCTTTGTTACGAACATTGCGCTTCTCCTGATTCGATTTTCTCAGCCCTTCCTGGACGTTTCTTACAAGAAGATCGACAAAATTGATGTTAATTACTTTAACAATCTAAACCTATTCCTGGACTTATCAAGCGAGACCCGTATGAACTCAGATTTCAAGGAGGCAGATGAGTTTTATGATAAAAACAAGAAAAACGAAGATAATAAACCCAATTTCATATCTGATTGCTTCTTCCTCGCCATGGCGTATCTTCATTACGGTATTGGCGGCGCCATACTTTACGAGGAGAAAGTTACTCCACAGGTTAAACGTATGAGAGAAGAGGTTGGAAGAATAAAGAGAGCCGCGCAGTCCCAGGACATGTTTGCCAGATTCGCTGCCATGCAATTACCTGCCTTAGAAAAATCTCTTCAAACCATGCAGTCTATTAAACAAGCTTTGCAAGGATTTTTTTCGCACAAAACCTTACAGCTGGAGGCGTTTGATTTTATCAGTGGCGCTTCCACCTTCCTTGTGCGAGTCATCGACCCCAATCATGAATTCCCTTTCAAACAGATACATCTACCCCTCATACCTGATCAAGTAGGTGTAGAAAACGTTGACAATGCAGACTTTCTCAGAGAAAATGCTCCCGTTCCATTCAAATATTTTCCAGAATTCGTCATCGAAGGTATCATCAACTACACTCAGCACATTTCTAAATTTGTGATGTCGCCAATGTTTGGAAATCCTCGTCTACACTCCTTTATTGAATTAGCAACAGTGATTCTGCGCTGCCCAGAGTTAGTGTCAAATCCGCATTTAAAGGGAAGCTTGGTGCAGGTCCTGAGTGTGGGTGCTATGCCGATGCGTGAGAATACGCCAGGGTTTATGATGGATGTATTCGAAAACAACGAATTGGTCAGCGGTAACTTGCTGTATGCCTTATTGGACTTTTACGTTATAGTTGAAAAAACGGGCTCTTCTTCTCAATTTTACGACAAGTTTAATACCAGATACAGTATCTCAATTCTTTTGGAAGAGCTTTACAAAATCCCAGACTACCGCCAAAAGATCATCTGGCAGTCCCGAAATAATGCCGATTTTTTTGTGCGATTTGTGGCACGTATGCTTAACGATCTTACCTTTTTACTCGACGAAGGTTTGAGTAGTTTGACAGAGGTTCATAATATTCAGCGTGAAATCGAAAGCAGAGTACGTGGCGTCGCTCCAACAAGGGAAGAAACTGACAAGGAGCTGCAGACAAAGCTTGCTTCCTCAGAGAGGCAAGCGAAATCGTCCTGTGGTCTGGCCGAAAAATCTATCACTTTGTTTAATATATTTTCCAAAGACATCCCCGCCGCGTTTTCCACGCCCGAGATCGTCGATAGATTAGCCGGAATGCTGGATTATAATTTGGCATCTTTAGTTGGACCAAAATGTCGAGAGCTTAAAGTCAAGGATCCTAGAAAATACTCTTTTGACGCGAAATCACTTTTAAAGTCGCTGTGCACCGTTTACATCAACCTTTCCGACCAGCCGGAATTTATTTCTGCGGTTGCGAAGGACGGCAGATCTTTTAGTAGAGAATTGTTCGATCGATCTGTGCACATATTAGGGACCAAGACGGGACTGGCAAGCGATGAATTTTGCGTGAAACTACAACAGTTTGCGCGAGACGCTCAAGATCAAAAAATCGCAGAAGAAGAAGAGGACCTGGAGATGGTAGAAGCGCCAGACGAATTTTTAGATCCGTTGATGTTTACAATCATGAAAGATCCTGTGATATTGCCGACTTCAAAGGTCACAATTGATCGTAGTACCATCAAGGCCCATCTACTGAGTGATTCCACTGATCCCTTCAATCGCATGCCTCTAAAATTAGAAGACGTTGTCCCCAACGATGACTTGCGGCATCAGATTGAAATGTTTAAAAACAAGAAGAGGATGGACAGAGGATGAGCTAGTAGCCGCCGTATACAGAAGAGTAATTCTTGAATTTATCCAAGAGAAAAATAAACTAATTTAACACAAGTTCCTTGTTTAATTTTTATATATGCAAAGAAACACACAAGTTAAAGACCGGGTGGGAGCGGGTGACTGTGACCCATCTTAAGCCTTGATGGCGAATTTTCTTTGAGGGAAAGCAATTTGCTTCTTCTTTTGCTTTTCGGTGATTCTGGAGGCTTCGAATTTGGTCAAAGCTCTTCTCAAAGCTCTGGTCTTCTTGGCTCTCATGTCCTTTGGCTGGTACTTGGCACCCTTGTACAACTCCTTGACGGCTTGTCTTTGGTTTTCGTTGATGATGGTCAAGACACGGGCAATGTCCTTTCTGACGGTGTGGATCTTTGGCAAAGAAGGTCTGGAGAGCTTCTGGACCTTCAAAGTGGCCAACTCCTTCTTCAAGTCGACCAATTGGGACTCCAATTGTTCCTTGGACTTGGTTCTTAGTTCATAAGATTTAACACCGACCTGGAAATGGGAAGTTAGTAAAGAGTCGTAACAGACGAACAGACGTGGGCTAGCAGCCAATGCAGTCGAAGAGACAGTGGGAAGCGAAGTGAAGTAACAGCCATATTAGCTCAGAGAGTCTGTTGCATCGAACAAAAACACGCACACACACGGTAGTCAGCTAAAAAAGCACTTCTTTCAAAATTTCTGGAGCCGGGATAAAGGCTTTTCCTTTCCCTCTGATGAATCGTGTCCATCTGACCAGTACTTTCACCATCTTTCTGGTGTGCGCTCTTGCAATACACAGGCTCCTTCTTCACCGATTATGCGATTTTTCATCGACCACTTCCTCCAACTTATCCACGATTCTTCAGCGCCCACTGGCCTCCTTGTCGAGCTGGGAACTCTGCGAACACTCTGCTCGCACATTCAAGTACCACTGGAACATACCATTTTGATTGCTCTTGCTAAGATTTGAGTAAACCAGAGCTAAAACCTGTAAAGATGGTAGTTTTCAAAACCGTGCGAACTTTTCCAGAATTCGATGACATGGAGGAGCATGGCTACTGCTGCGAGCGAGCGAACGAGACGGATTCTGGCTATTCTCGTTCTCAGTGATTGAGTTCTGAAAATTCTCGAAAACTCGCGTCGGTTTTTTATATTTTGCGTGGGTCACAGAAATTTTGAATATTTTTGTATTTTCTGAGAAAATTTTGAAATATATGGTAATTAATGTATGGGCGACGAAAAACAGTCAAATGTAAAGTTGCAGCCTCAGTCGCCAAAACGTCAGAGAGCGTGAACGAACAATGGTCGGCATGTTCAGAGTTTAGGTGCGAGGGCAACCAGGATATTGTGGGACCTCGAAGAGAGTAGCAAGGAGGTCGCTGGAGGTCTTGGATCCAAACTATTTTTGAGTGTTATCTGGAAAAAAGTATAGCAGATTGAGCTTGCATGCTGCTAAGCTTCTCGATTGCCAAGAGTTACAGACTAGACACTTGTTGCGGGTTGCCTCTGTTACTCCGGACAACACACTAGAATTTGAGTTTTTGCCGAAGCGTCAGAGTAGTGCCGGGTGCATACCCGCTTGGATTGACGGAGTGCTGGACGGTGTCAAAGAAGGACGGGATTTGCTACCATGCGAAGCGCGCCGATTGTCGTGGACATTTCCACACGTACGCTTTGAATCCACCGTACGTCACAATAGTACAAAATGATGTGAAACGCTATGCAATCTTCGTGCCTTGGGTCCCAATACAAATCGCTACATCTCTCGCATTCGCTGAGCCATGCTTTCGCCTGTTAAAACCTACTTTAACAAATGCGTCAGTGACAGATATACGCTGTAGAAGAATGCTGTTCAGATTTGAGTAATGATAGTGTCAAGTGACATAATGACACATGTGTACAAAGTGATATGCAACATGGGCGCTGTGTGATCTGGTACTTCAGCGGTAGAATGAGGGAGCCTAAAGGTTTAAGAAGTGGCACAGACCTTATTGATTGATTACAGATGCTCAAGAGGAACGAAATGGCTGAGACCGTTGCACCCCGTCTGCACTTTTCTCCTTTCTTGTCCACATTTCCGCTTTCGAAGACATGACAATGCCCTTGCACTGAAAAACCGCAAAGCGATATTCGCAGCCTTTATCTATGACTAAACTTAACAAAGATTTTTGCCAGCTTTCCGTTGCCGAACGAGGCTTTTTTCGAAAATCAATGCATCATGCTCAGCAATTGCCTCGGAAATTAGTGCATAATGCCCAACAGTTGGACTGCGGTACACTTGACCTAACTTTGTAGCCAGTCTTTTTGTCTGAGCTATGCTCAAATCAGCGGTATACCAAACAAGCTTTTCACCTTGCAAAATACGTAGTAGCCAATCTAGCCAATGCTGAATAACAAAGTTTTTTCACTTAGTAGAGCACAAACAATCACACCTCATAATAACAGCCGCAGAGGCTTTCACCCGCACAAGTAAGCTTTATTCTTGATCCAATTCAATATTTCTCAATGAACGGCGTATGAGGACAAGATGATGTTACAGGGCCGCCATCTCAAATATATTACCATAAACTATGTTGTCCTCCCTTTAGACCTCGAAATGAAAATACTAAAGTTAATGAGATGAGAAACTGGTAATTTAGGCCAACATTTGTGATGTGTAAATCGTTGTGTTTGAAAGTCTTGCGATAGAACTTGAGGAAATTGAATGTAGTAGTTGAATATAGCGACGCTATCAATCATTCTTAAACGTTTTTCAGTTATACAGTTATATCCACGTCCCACGACTATTCAACTCAAATACATCTTGAACAAATACAATCAGTATCAATAAATAACAAATTCTAGACTAAGCTTTCCAGAGCAAATTACGAGTCCGCTACGCAGTATTTCTCACTTACATGTTTTCTAGTGTTTAATTTCCAGCGTCCCGGCAAGAGCAACTTGCATATATTTCAATTCTTCTTGGATTCTGGTTCTCACACCTCGCGGTATAAAGAAATATTACTCAGTCATTTCATATTAACCTTAAGGTGCTAAAATCTGAACAACACTTAGAAGTAGTTCTTTCCGCGCGATCCCGAAGTAACAATGTGATCTATGGCACATCGCATGGGGTTTCAAGTACAATTTCTTGAGAAAAGGCTTAACACAATGCCAGATTTACACCATCTCCGAATCAGAAGTGGTTAAAGATCTGGTTCGCTTCGGTATAAAAGGTTCGCTATTCATTTACTAGTTACGTACATCTTGCGCGGTCAACATCACTTGGCACCTGTACCTTAAGTGAGTCTCGCTTTTCGTATTGTTGTGCTTTTCTTAAAGTTATCCTCAATTGCCTGGTACTCTTTAAATTAGGACTGGTTTTTCAAGTTGTTACTCAACCATTCCAAACCTTCGTACAAACCTTCACCAGAAGTAGCACAAGTGGCCTGGATGAACCATGGACGTTGTCTGATCGAATGTAGACCCAACTTCTCGGTAATTTCGGCAGCAGACATGGCCTCTGGCAAATCCTGTTTGTTGGCGAAAACCAAAAGAACCGCGTTTCTGATCTCATCTTCGTTCAACATTCTTTGCAGCACCTCTCTGGCCTCCGAGATACGCGATCTGTCATTGGAGTCAACCACGAAGATAATACCTTCCGTGTTTCTGAAGTAGTGTCTCCACAAAGGTCTGATCTTGTCTTGTCCACCGACATCCCAGACTGTGAATGAAATGTTCTTGTATTCCACGGTCTCAACGTTGAAACCGATGGTTGGAATTGTAGTAACAACTTCACCCAATTTTAGCTTGTACAGAACGGTGGTCTTACCGGCACCGTCAAGACCCACCATCAGGATACGCATTTCCTTGTGGCCGAAAAGGCTGCTAAACAGCTTCGAGAATGATGAACCCATGTCTGCAGGAGAAAGTTAGTCAAAAAAAAAAAACTCAAATCAAGTTATCGGTTTCAAGATTAGAAGAAAGTGGTGACAATGGAGACGGTATCCTAGGGATTCGATAACCAGTTCGAGCATGAAGTACTTGCTGATGTGAAAACACTCGAAGGGGGCTCCGAAAAGTCTATTAGTCGACCCTTGTCATGTAAAAATCGTTGGATCTTCGCGTGTTTTCCCCCCTCCCCAGCTTCCAAAATATGCTTTTGACCTCCAAGGAAAGCTCCCAAAGTGCAGAAAAGCTCGCTACTTATTTGTTTAACGCATTGCACAACCTAATTGCCATCTCTCAGCCGCCCAAAACCGCTGTTAACATACCTTTTATTTAGTTTGTTAAGGCTTAGTTTCGGTATCGGATCTAAACAGAACCATTTAGCTATCAAATTTTTCTTGTATATTGAAAAGCTGCCCTCAGATAAATTGACCGGGTAACATCAACGAAAACTACAAATGCCGTATCAGCGAGCGCGTATCATCTACTCAGTCTTTCACTGCCACCCGGATGGGAGAGCTTCGAACTGGAGCTAAGTTGTGTGCTACTTAATTCATTCGTTTTTATACATGCCCTCTCTTTTTTCTCAAAAGCAGCTAGAACATCTTTGATATTCGTATGTACATGACAACAAACTTGCCTTTATGTTAGAAATTCATTACAAGATTCGCGGTTTCTTGCGATTGATTCACGTTGTGGTAGTACTGCGTCAACCAAAATTAAAATTAGTTGAGTCGTAGTGGGTTTTATCCCGGAGAAATCGCGCTAGTAGTTTAGTTTTGGTTTTTCAAACTGTTGCTCAACCATTCCAAACCTTCGTACAAACCTTCACCGGAAGTAGCACAAGTGGCCTGGATGAACCATGGACGTTGTCTGATCGAATGTAGACCCAACTTCTCGGTAATTTCGGCAGCAGACATGGCCTCTGGCAAATCCTGTTTGTTGGCGAAAACTAGCAATGCGGCGTTTCTGATCTCGTCCTCGTTCAACATTCTTTGCAGCACCTCTCTGGCCTCCGAGATACGCGATCTGTCATTGGAGTCAACCACGAAGATAATACCTTCCGTGTTTCTGAAGTAGTGTCTCCACAAAGGTCTGATCTTGTCTTGTCCACCGACATCCCAGACTGTGAATGAAATGTTCTTGTATTCCACGGTCTCAACATTGAAACCGATGGTTGGAATTGTAGTAACAACCTCACCCAATTTTAGCTTGTACAAAACGGTGGTCTTACCGGCACCGTCAAGACCCACCATCAAGATACGCATCTCCTTGGAGCCAACGAGACTGTTGAAAAGCTTAGAAATATAGATTCCCATCGTAGATGCTGTTTTCAAGCTCGTTAGTAATGAACAAATCACACTCCGGGGATCGATTGCACCAACCGAATCTCACCCCAATCAACGGCCAACCCCCTCTTCTAACTGGGCCTTTGATCACTTAACTTGTCCCACGATAGTTACCACATACTTCTAGTTGCTTTACGCCTGTCTTAAAGTCTAAACTTGCAGTATCAAGTCCTGTTCTTGACTGAACTTTCATTTTGATCTAAACACGTAAAGTGCTCCTATTACGAATTTTATCAGAGATTCCACAGAAGCCGGGTAAAGTTTTTGACTAAGGTGTTAACGGTAAGAAAACGGTCGATTGAGCGTGAAGACAGTAGAGTTATTCGTGTCTTCAAGGCGATTCTGGCAAGTGGTTGGTTGATTTGACAATTTTATGTTCATTAAGCTAATAATTATTTGATGTTGTGTATGCTAGTTGGATAGATCCGAGATCCAGATCGTATATATGCAAAAATTGAGTTGGTGGTGACTCGACCGAGCGAGGTATTTGGTAGCGGTTAGAGAGCCAGGTTGTGTTAGCTAAAGAGCAATTGCGCTCATTTACCCACGTTCATCTTGCAGGAGGCATACTTTTTTAAGCCACGAATGAAAACGGAATAGGTGACCTGGTCGTTATCCCGTTCCCAGTAAAACTCAGTAAGCCGAATGTGCCAGGGTGGGAATCCTTGAAGATCGAGACTGGGACCAAAATACAATAATAGATCAGGCTCATGGCCCACGAGCTGGGTCAATTCGGAATCGATCAATTTCATTGTGATGTCCGAGAGCTTCATCTCGTCGTGTGCACATAGTTCTGCCATGGTCTTAGTGAGGTCAATGATCGTTTCACGGCCATCACGGTTTGAAAGCAACGAGATCTCGATCGCTACCTTTTTAGCTTCGCTGGTATCGGCATTGGCAGAATTGAAGTACACTTTGTTCCATTGAGGAATGCGAACGGCAAACTTGGGCACATTAGTTGGGTCGTAGTACTTGCACAGCTTGTGGAAAACACTGCTGCGAAATTCGTCCACGTTGCGCTTGAGGTGACCGTCGTAGTCGTACAGTGTTAAATGCTTGATTCCCGCGGAAATCGACCAGGCGACCAGTTCGCTACCATCATTCAAGAGGCCGCTAGTGCCACCTCCTACGTCGCCCTCGCGTTTTTTCTCCAAAATCGCAGCCAATCGTTTCGGCAATTTTTGAAGTTTCATCACATCCTGTCGGATCAGTTGCGGAGTGTTGGACGGGCTGTAAGCCAGATTCAGAATCCGAATCTTCACACGGTTATACTCGTACTGTATGTAACGCACGCACGCGTAGATCACAAAAAGAATGCTCAGAAACGTCTTGTAGAGCGCGTATTCCAGCTTCCCACTGCTTTGGCTCCAAAGACCCTGCGTCTGGCCATACTGCTTTCTGACCTCCTCACTATCTGGCGGCGTCAAAATAGCAGTTTCCAGTGCCCGTTTGACGTTTCCCACACTTGGCTTAGCCGGGTTGACGATCCCATTGGTGATTGCTGGCACTCGTTTGTGATCCCGTTGATCTTTTTTCCAGTCTTCGTCCTGCTTCTTCAGAACGCTGTCCTGGATTTTAGTCATCTCTTACAATCCTTGCGAAGCAGCAATTGAAGCAGAAGAAGAACTAGATGCGGTATCGGTTAGCCAGAACCCTTATTTTGAAAATGCACTTTTTTAGTTTCAGGTCGTTAAAGGTATACCTGTCAAAGTAGATGTGAGATGGTCTTTAAATTGGATTTTGCACAAGTTCGTGGATGGTGATTTCCACAACCCAACGGAGGCACACCATTAGTACTGGCATCCGATTGCCACGACATTTGGGCTGGGAAAGTATATACAGGGATTATAAGTTGCTGGTAGGCATCGTTGGGGCTGGTTGCAGTTTCTACGATCTCTGTTACGTTTTTTTTATTTCACAATTCGGTGCTCTCCATTTGAAGTCTTCTGCGATTGATAGCATTACTCGTTCTCTGCTATCAATTATAAGTTTAACCCCTCATTAGTTTATTACCTGTGCTTAATTTACCTGTGATTTATTTACCTTTGCCGGCTTCTGAGCTGTGCTGGCTATGACTGTTCATCCACTGAACCATGTAGTCGTTGAGACTGTTACGAGTCTCGGCGCCGTTTTCGTGAGAACTGAAGGACCTGCCCTCTGTGCCAGTTTCATTATCGTAGTTTTGTGGTGGGCATTCGTTGTCGCTATTGCTGGCGTTCTCATCTGAGGAGGAGTTCATGAGCAACGATGGCGGGCCTCTGTTGTAGGTGGTCAGGCCTAGACCATTGCCTAGGTCCATATAATTGTGAGTCGGGCTTTCCACCCGTTTCAGCGTGGTTGGGTCCTCATAGCTCGAGTCCGATACGCTTGGCTGTGACTCCCGCTGTTTCTGTTTTTCGATTCTCTGATGGCGATCTTTCCTAATCTCCTGGATTGACCCTGGTGATTTCCGAATCTTATTGTTCCAGGCCGTAGAGGCCACACTGTTGGGTGAAAGCCGGTACAGCAGATCAATTTCTTCCAAAGTTAAGCCTCGGGTCTCGTAGACCGTCAAATATACTATCACAACACCAACTGCATTCAAACTCCCCCAAATGAAAAAAATTTTGGTGCCCAGCGAGGAAGTGTGCGCACCAGTATCAATCAAGTACGGTGTGATCATTGCACAAATGAAGTTTACTAGCCAGTTGGACGCAGCGCATATAGCGGTGCATTTGGATCGTACTCCCAACGGGTACAACTCCGCAGAAATGGCCCAAACGCACCCACCCCACGTAGCCGAGAAAGATGCAATAAAGACGCATACAAATGCTATCAAGATCTTGTCCGCAACGACGGACTTCACAACTAAGCCGATGATAGCAATTATAAAATTGGCCATTGTCATTAGAACTCCACCTAATAGTAAGACTTTTCTCCGGCCCATATATTCGATCAAAAATAAGCCTGGAATGTTGAATCCAACATTCACAGCATATGTGATAAACGATACCAAATAGCTCTTGCCAATACCTGTCTTGCTAAAAAAATTGACACCATAGTAGAATATGAAGTTGATTCCTGAGAATTGTTGAAATGCTTGTATGGATATTCCAGTTAGCATCCTCAAAGTCTGTTTAGTTCTGCTTTTGCTAGATCTGAAACAATCCAAATACGAAAATTTGCCAAAAGACATTTCGTAATCGTAGTTTGCTTTGATTTCCACTAATTCTTCGAGCAGCCCTGAATCGTCCTCGGGAACGCCCCTTAAGAATGAAAGTGACTTGGCCGCTAAATCTAGTTGGTCTTTGAGGACATAGTATCGCGGGCTTTCAGGTAGGAATAACATTCCGAGCCCTAAGATGCAAGACCAAAGATATTGCAAACCTATAGGAATACGGTACGAAGAGGCATCATTTCGGTTGTGCGTCCCTTGGGAGATTGCGCTCGATACCAAAAGACCCCAAGTTATAGCCCATTGGTATGTACAAATGATGGCGCCTCGTACTTGCTTCTGAGCAGCCTCACTTTGATATAATGGCACGACTGCCGAAATAAACCCAACGCCTACTCCTGAGAAAACTCTACCAATAACAAGAAGAGTCATCCCACTAGCAGCAACTTGAAGTGAGTTTCCAACCATGAAAACGAAAAATGTGCTAATGATTATGGTAGTTTTCCGCCCGTAAGAATCGGAGATGAAAGGCGCAGCCAGCGCGCCGACAAAAGTTCCCAGCGATAAGAAAGACACTAGGATTGACATTTCTTTAGCCGTAAACTGCTCACCGTTGGCTGCAAAATGTGTTTTGACGTACTGCATCTCGGAAATGTTGTTGATGAGGCCTGTGTCGTAGCCATATAAAAACCCGCCCACAGCTACGAAAACACCAACCAAAATCGACATAAAGCTGGACTGGGGACGGGCCGGTTTCAAAAAAGCGGCTGAGTCGACCTTGGTGAGATTCAAATGGGTTTCGGCGTTTTCGTAGTACATCTCGTGTAGTCCATCGCTACTTTTGGGATCCGACTCATTCTGCGCCGTCTCGGACACGATTCTCCGCCGCCATCGGAAAGCGAGCTTGTCATTTATCCCTCTTACTGCGCTTTCTAAAAACCTTCCATTGTCTGGTTTGGAGGCTTCGGTTTGATGCCTCAGAGTAGAGTTTTGACTTGGTCTACTCATCAATAGCTATTGGAGCTTGAAGCAGCTTGTGAAAGATGTCGAGAAATCTTCCTCGAATATTTGAAGAATGCTTGTTGGCTATTTGCTATCAATAATACAAAAATACGCAACCATCAACAGCTAGAGGCAGGCTTCTTGTCTCTTCAGCCCACGATCCACTGTTGACGATGTGTGTGCTGATAATTTAAAATGTCATAACATAATTTACCGTCGTGAGTGATGCGGGGTAAATTTTGTTAATAAATACGTTTACACTTACACAACACCAACACTTTGATTTTAATTCGACTATGTTTCAGGATCCATAAGAGTGTTATCTCTTCAAGCTAGGGAAAATATAACCCTCAATTTGAGTCACCACATTGGGAACTTGATTAGTATTTTTCTATTCGAATTTGATGATAACACAGCGTCGAACGTAAATTATGAGAGTAAAATGTTGTGTGGGAGTGGACCCGTTGTTTTGTATAAAAGGAGCATGTCTCGCAATCTTCTCAGTTCCAGTCCAATTTATAACTCCAAATTGTTAGTACTCAGTTGAGTTGTAAGTTGTTAGCAGCTCTGCAAAATCCCTGAAGTCGTAGATTTCTCACACGCCAAACGAAAAGGCATTCATGCGATGATGATTAACTACGTGAACAAACATCTTGATGAAAATACAGTTGTTTCGTTGTTTTCTTACTACTCTTTCCTTTTTTGTGTATTCCATGCCATCTACCCGTTTATCTACCCTCGAGTAGGTTTGACGAGAACTAACACTATGACAGCGCTCCGAAAAGCGGTGGATGCGTGGCGTATGTGTCTATTTAGTCTAGTGGCTTCAAATTCACACTCGCATTATTATCTTCAACGGCTTGACTATATATGATTTCAACGGCTAAACGACAACTATATGTAATTAATGGTCTCGTAGCATTAGCTAGAAGTGACTTCCGCGATACCTATTAGTCTTTTGACCCCAGTGAGCCAGTTACCTGCGTCCTGAGCGTAGTTCGTGGCAATGTCCACGTGGACTTGCATAGCTTCGGCGTATTGGTGTTCCTTCATGAGAGCTACGATTTGATGCAGCCTGTCGATCGTTGGCTGCGTCAGTAGGTCTTGTCTCTTCAAGTGTCCGAAAAGAATGTGCAGTCTTTTGTTGCAGTCCTTCAATTGCTTAGTGTATTCCTGTGGAATCAATGGTGCAACGCGGGCCAGTTCGCTCGTCAAAAAATCAACAATAGGCTGTTGCTCTTGAGGAACCTCCTGAGACTCATTAGAATTGGTGGCAGCAGGTGTTCCAGCAGCTGCGGGAGCTGGAGACTGACTTCCACTCACGGCAGCAGTGGCAGGAGGGGCCCCATTTACCTGTGGTCCGCTCGCCAACGGAAGCGAGGTCTCCGACTTTCTTTGCACAGATTCTAATATGGCAGTAGCAGAGGTTACGTCGTGGGAAGTATGTGGCTTCCTCTTCATACTTTTTGGTGGAGGTCCAATAGGTGGCTTCTGTGAAATTGGAGGAGGTGCGCTTTGCCCATTGAATGGGGCAGCACCTGCACCATACAGCGTGTTGGTTGATGGTCCATAGTTCGCGTTAGCAGGCGCTTGACCATTTTGAGGAGGTGGGGCGTATGGATTCGAGGTGTTTGTTGATGGTGGAGGAGCATATGGATTGCTGGGAGCCGCAAACCCGGCAACCGGTGCTGGTGGAGGTACACCAGTCATGGAAGGAGAAGCGCTTCCGATCGCTGGTGCGTATGACTTTGAAGGGCCTCGTTGGGGCACCGGGGTTTGAATGGTAGCCGATGACGTAACTCTCGACAATGGAGGTGGTGGAATGGATCCAAAGTTCGATTGTGGGCCCACGGCACCTGGGGACGTCGCTACGCTAGCTGGAGCTACCGAAACTGCTTTGGCGCGCATGGGCTTTTCATTGACTTTTTTTAATGGTAGGTCATTCCACCCGTCATTGGCTTTTTTGTTTAGATGCGGAGTTTGACCAGAAGTAGCACCTCCAGTCACTGGGGGTGCTATAGGGTTGGTCATGTTGTTGAAGCCAGGAGAACCCGCGCCAATGACGTTGGCCACTGGTTTAAAGGGCTGTGTATAAGTAGGTTGATTAGTAACTCCACCGTAGCGATTTGCATACGGATTAGCTGGCGCATTGCTTACTGGTACTTGACCATTAGCCGGTGTGTAAGGGTTGGCACCGACCATGTTGCCGGCGAGAGGAGCAGGTGGAACGGCAGCAGTTGGAACGCGAGTGATTCCACTTGGAGAAACAGCCGTACCAGGGGCATATTTGCTGGCCACCGGAGCCTGGAAACTAGCCGGGGGTGCATAAGCGCTTTGTTTCAAAGCGGTCGTTACTGGAGCAGTGACAGATGCATTGCGTGAAGCCAAAGAGGAGGGTTGGGGGAATGGTGAGTTTGGAGCGAACGATGGGGCTGGTGGCTGCATTGGGGGGAAATTACCTCCTCCGATGGTGTGTTCTTGGGTAACACCTAATCCCATCATGGGTGCAGCGCCAGCGGCATTGTTGGTATTGTACCTCGATTTTTGGGCCCTGGTAGCCGTTGTTGCGCTGTTAGTAGTTGAAATCGTTTTATTCGATGCAATCATAACGCGTTGTTTCTCCGTGATGACTTCTTCATTGTCATCAGGCAAAATATTCAAGAATTTGAGAGCCAAATCGAAATCGCCGTTGGCTGACGTCAAATTGACGAACTCCAAAAATTTGGAAATGAGACCTTCATTTGCTAAGCTTTGATGTTGGTCATCACTAATTAGGCTGATGAACACCGTAAACCTTTCTACAAATTCGGTGAGGCATTCCAAATGAGCTTCGTAGATTGTTTCTTTTTTGGACTTGAGTTTGCCCTCCAATCCCATAAATTCTTTCAGCCATATCTCAGCTACTTTGTCCAAAGATTGGGCACTCAAGTATAGTAGTAACGCGTCTTGTCTGTTATTTGACGCCGATACTCTATCACCAAGTTTGACCAAAAGCTCGTTCCTCTTTGCTAAGTTTGGTGTGTAAGCGTGAATTGCTTTGAGGGCGTACCTCCATTGGCTCACGTCTAAATTCTCGACTAAGTCATCGACATTGTTCTCAGAAACACTGTGTAAGGTTCTCGCAAAAGATGACGATTTACCGTGTTTAACAAAATAGACATTTTTAACTTTTTGTTTCAAAGATTGATCATCGCAATCCAATGCAATAATAAGGGCCTCCAATAACAAATCTTGGTCAAGAGCCTGAGATATCGCCTTCTTCTTGTCACCCCGGACAATGCTTTTTATTAGATCTTCGGTTTGGTCTTTGGTCTCCAGGTGGAACGAACCTTCAGGTACAAACTTATTGTTCAGGCTGCTGAAGAAGTCGTCCTCATCATCGACAGAAGCACCTTTCTCGGTGGCGTCGTCAGAGTCCTCGTCCTCGAAAGCGAGCTGTTCTTTAAGAAAAACCTCTTTGCCATCCAAAGATAATTTTTCCAACATGTTCCAATCTTCTTCGTTAGTTTCATCAATACTTTGAACCAGTCTTTTGTTGATGATGGGATTGAAGTTTTTAGACTGGAGAGCTTCGTCTAGCATAACGTTTTTCTCCACACCTGGAATAATAGGCTTGGAAATTTTTACACCTTTTCTATCGTTTGTAATTGCCACAAGCTTACCACCAAACGCCCATTGGGCTGCTGGCGACTTGTTCCCGTACCAAGATGGAGCTTGTATTTTGGTCACAACCGGTTTTTCGCTGCTATCTTGCTCAGAAACATTGTTCCAAAATTCGGTTTCGGATTCTTGTTGTTTATTTGTGGTGGCATCTTCGTCCAATTCACAAGCCAAATTCTGCAAGGTTTGGATTTCGATCTTATTGTCAAACGACGCAGAGGCGAATAGATTTGGTACTCTTGGGGCGAATTTGGTCTTAAAGCACCAGTTGCCACGCGTGGGGTACTGAGTCAGGACTTGGGATTCCTCAGGGTTCCACAAGACACAAGTGTTATCACGTCCACTGGACAGTAAGAGCTTTTCGTCCTGTTTGCACCAATCGAGGGATAGAAGTCCTTTCGTATGGGCATTTGACAGTACACTGAGCGGAACGTTGGCATTTCTCAAGTCCCAAATCAAAATTGAAGGATCAGAATCACTGCCGCTAGCGGTGGCAATTCTGGTAGAGTTGTTAGGGTGCCACTCGACAATGGAAAGCTGATTTTTTTGTCCTGTAACTTGGGAGGTGTGACTGAGGTGCAATACTTCTTTCTTGGCCTTGAGATCCCAGATCGACGCAAACCCGGAAGAGCCAGCTGACGCAAATACGTGTGACTGGTTCTGATTCCATGCTAGCGAGTAGATTTCATCCATAGGTGTCATTGCCGTGCCCGGAGTTAAAGGCGTATATCCAGCTTGTCCGATCTTCGAAATATCCCAAATCAAAATCTCGCGGTTTCCGCCACCAGAGCACATAACGTTGTGTTGCTTGGCGTTGAAACGAACTGTTTTCACAGGTGTTGTGTGGTGTGAAAGCTTCGCAATCGATGTGAGTTCGCGTGGCGAGAAAAACTCCACTGTGCCATTGTCCAGCGCTCCTGCGACAACTTGATTATCGTGAGACCAGTCTAGATCGTTGAACTTGGCATCTGCGGTTACAGATGCCTGTGGGGTGGCTGCGTCTGGCGACAGTAGTGACCAGATCTCAAGTTTAGATTCGCTTGAGAAATTCGCGTCAATTGTGCCAGAAGCTGTTCCAGTCGCCAGCGAAGGCGACTGATCATGAGACCACGCGAAAGTCGCGGTTCTTGGATACTCCGCAAGCTTCACCATATGGAATTGTATTCTGTTGGTGAATCGACTTTTATTGTTTGGATTGTATTGTTAACACATAACGACAATACCCTGTTGAAAGAATTTTAGAAAAGTCAATAGGGGAAACTCATATGTCACGTGCTAAATGATTACGAACTAAAAGCAGATTCGCTACCTGGATGGTGACAGTTAGCTGAAGTAATAATCTTTGCGTTCGAGTTCATTTGCAAAATTATGAGTGCTGTGACAGATCTCATTTATTTTCATTCGTTAGCCAAAGATCGTTTTCGGTATGATTTAAAAATGACAACCTCTCGCGAGAAAAGTACATGTAGTAGTTACTTATTATAACAGGTTTTTCCCCTACAGCTAAAATCATTAATACTGTGACCGCTAATTATTTGGCTCTTGCACGGTTATGGTTGTTGAAAAACTTAGATTGAGCTTTTCATACCAAACTACATTCGATCTGCGAACTGGGTTCTTTTAACGGTAACATTATTAATTTTTGATAGCCTCTCGGATCCAGTGATTGAGTTTGTTGCAGATGTCAATGTTCAAATTTTGTCCTCCTTGAAGGTGTTGAGATAAATGTACAAATTATGCGAGCATGAGAAGTGAACGCATCCTGATTTGGGCAATAGAGCTCTGAGAGACTGTGTAGCCATAATTTTCCACCTTATTCTGGTCGGAGGACTGCCTATACCGCATATCAATTATAGACTGTCCTGATGTTTTCTCAGTCTTTTTTCAAATGACTTATGAATTTTCGTGTTCATGTATTTTATAGCTTCGTCCGGCTTTCTGAATCAGCCTCCGCTTCACTTATTATTAGTGTTTTTGATTCTTTTGTGTCTGAGCAAATCAATATCTGGAGTCGACACTATGAGCGGTGGTTCGCGGCTACAAATTGTAAATGTTATAGAGAATTATGGCCTCTTCGCTAATCAAAAAGATATATGGTTTACGACTTGAAACTTCGAAAATCGTGTATGGAGCACGACCTGGATGCGACGTAACCGTTCGATACTAGCGTTGCATTGAAACTTTACTATGTAAATCATTACGTACAAGTCCGTCACTTATAAGGATTGACGGTGAGGATCCTCGTTCCTCTTGATACTATTGGAATTTCAATACCTATTTAGCTAGCTGGCGTGTTATGTGGATTTTCGTGGCCGTTCATGCTTATAATATTCAAATCTTATTTGCTCATAAACTTCGGACGTGTCCTGAAATTACATACATGTCTCTATTGGTACCATAAATCAACACGTATGCAGTATAGCATAGGGAAGAGCATATTTTCGAAGTGTTATGCGAGCATCTTTTGATGACGCTATCGAGAGGTGCTCGTAACGTTTCGCTTCTTCTCGAGCAACCTTGAAACCTGACAAAAAAAGCCATCTTACTCTTCTCTGTCAACTCATTACTCAACCTTGCACTGTTGCTCGGGCAATTTTGGCCTTTGGCTTTGATTGCGTCGGCTTCTGTCTTTTTCCTTGTAAACATACTTTTTGCATAATATACCTTAACCCTAAGGCATCTTCAATTGAATCAATTTCAATAACCCATGGAGCAAAATACGACCTCCAAATACTACCAAGAGGCTCTGGAGGAATATCGCGAGCTCTGCAAAGATGAAGAAGACGCCTGGGATAAAAGAATAGACAAGACTGGATGCTACGTCGAAAACATGGCCCTTCAACTGTGCCATGCAGAAACTAATGACTGGAGAAAATGTTTGGGAGAAATGGCATTGTTCCGTAAGTGCTGGGACTCTAAAGGTAATCGAGACCGTGTCTCGACCGTAGATAGGAAGTAGAAAAGTGAAGAGAGCCAAAATCCATAGTTTTTTCGAAATTTAATCCACTGCTCATATTTATATTTTCAAACCCTTACCTAGCTTTTAGAAAAGTTGACAAGGTTTCCTCACAGTCCGAAACTGTCGAGATGGGCAGCGTTGGCAAAAAGAAGGGTAAACGTAAATCTCTTTTGAACCTTAGGGGCGCCTTGAAGGGCCTTTTAACAGCTCAAAACAGCAACAACTCAAGTGTCGAGCCACCTGTTTTGTCGACAACAAACCTGGAAGAGGATTTGTCTGACACCTCCAAACAGACTGAGACGAGTGAATTTTCCTCAAATCCACAGCACCTACAGCCACAAGATAAGCATGGAATCGTCTACATAATGTCCAAAGAAGCCCAGCTGATCCCAAAACTTACAGATGAACAGGTTCTAGAGCGGCATAAACGTGCCGATGAAAACATGAAGCGTGCCTGGTCACGTCTCATCCAGAAATACGAGTCTATAGGCGACGAGGGCGATGTTTTGGACTTGAATACTGGCGAAATCATAGAGGATAACGGCCACATTAGAGGTTTGAGCACTTTTGATGCCACAGTCAATAGCGCTAACGACAACTACGTGAGCGTCCTGAGTGATCTGCTAGAGATCGACAAAGCTACCGGAAACGTCTGGCAAGAAGACGAAGAAGAAGAAGAGGAGGGTGATTTTGAGAAGGAGGATGGGAGCTCGAGTGAAAGCGATGGCGCCAATGATCATGATGAGTTTGCAGAAGTGGGTCAGGATCTTTAGTCTTCCCAAAACGCTCATTCGAAATATATTTTCAGGTTTTCTAGCACTTTCCAGCTAGTTGGTCGTTTGAAAAATATTTAAGGCTCATGCCCTCAGGCATGATAACCCAGAAAATGCTTGGTCTCAAACTAGTCCCCAAGCGATAGTAATCAAATTTTAAGCTCAAATGTCCAGATCTAAGGTTTTTTTGGATATTTCGATTGGCGGCGTCGCCAAAGGGCGCATGGTTTTTGAGCTGTTCAACGATGTGGTCCCCAAAACAGCAGAGAACTTCTACAAGTTGTGCGAAGGTCAGTCTGGATTCTGCAAAAGCAGACCAGATGTGCCATTGGGCTATAAAGGCTCTCTATTCCATCGTGTGATCAAGGGATTCATGCTGCAGTTCGGCGATTTCACCAACTTCAACGGTACTGGTGGTGAGTCCATTTACGGTGAAAAGTTCGAGGACGAAAATTTCACGCTCAAGCACGACCGCCCATTCCTATTGTCGATGGCAAATGCTGGGCCCAACACCAACGGCTCCCAAGCGTTTCTCACCTGCGTTCCTACCCCTCATTTGGACGGCAAACATGTTGTTTTTGGCGAGCTGATCCAAGGAAAAAGAATTGCGCGCACCATCGAACACTTGGCAACGGATTCTGGCGACAAGCCCGAGGATGAGGTGAAAATCGAGGACTGTGGGGTTTTACCTTCCTCTTACACAGTGCCGGCAGACGCAGAGCAGACGCCAACCGACGAGTTCGGTGATAACTACGAGGAAACGTTGGCCGACGACTCGAAAGTCGACGTTACCAATGTCGAGTCGGTTTTGGCGGCCGTAAGTGCAGTGAAAGACATCGGAACTAAGCTCTTCAAAGCACAAGACTACAAAAACGCATTGGCAAAGTATCAAAAGTCGTCCTCCATGCTCAAACAATACTTTCCCGACGATCTGGCCCCAGCACAGGTGCAAGCCGTCGACCAGCTACGGGTGTCGGTGCTTCTGAATGTTGCCCTGTGTGCTTTGAAATGTGGCGATTACCAGAAAGTTCTGACTGCGACTACCGAGGTGGTTCACGATGCCAGCGCCGATGACAAAAGCAAGGCTAAGGCACTATACCGTCGTGGTCTAGCCTACTACAATCTAAAGGATGCAGACATGGCTCTGACAGATCTTGAATTCGCAACTACTTACCAGCAAAACGACGGTGCTATTATCAAGGCCATGGCAGATGCCAAAAAATTGAAAAAAGAACAGGTGGCGAAACAGAAAAAGGCTCTATCCAAGATGTTCTCTTGAACAAAGCGGGATTTGTGGGCACTCTAGTTATCGTTAGCTATTTAGATGGGGTATCTGCTCCTTCACAGCTCATATCTTTTCCATTATAGCTTTTAAGCTAAGACAGTTACCCTCCGTGGCGCCATATAATATCGAAAATTTTTACGGTGGCGAAAACAAATTGAAGATAGAGAGAGAGTCGTAAATAACCCTGTAACGAATAGTTTTAGAAGCATTGCACACTTTAAGCCTGGGCGAGGAACTCTATAAACTTTTGTTTGTCGAGAGCGGGCCATTCCATCACCACTGCATTATTTTGCCAGTTTTATTAGCCTCTCTTTGCTCCCCTGAGAGACTTTCCACAGGGTTTATTGAATCGACAGGTTTCGAGAATAACACCCCATCGTGGTCAAGTTAGGCAGACAATTCGTTGTTGGGACACACAGAACGTACTTTATCGTTCGCAACACTCAGGACCTGACAGGACGTGCAATCTTAACCCGAAGATCGGTTTACTTCGATCTCGTTTCGCAAATCTGAGAAATTTCGCATAATATCAAGCGCAAAGGCCTCATTCAGATCTGTCACGAAAGAACCAGTCACTTATCGTGCTCACGTCTATCACTACTCATAATAAGATAGAGACTGAACTCAATCCTATCAAAAATACTCCTTAAAAAAAAGTTGGAACAGAAAACCTCCAAGATCCACTATCGAAGCATCATTAGTTCAGATATTCATTTATCGAACTGCTATCTCACTGGAACGAAAACAAAAAATAATAGACGAATTTCCCGCATAAAAGACATTACAAAAATAAACAACTTATCATATCATAATGGTCGAATTTCCATATTCCAGTGCTCCCCTGCGGACTGTTAAAGAAGTTCAGTTTGGTATGTTCTCCCCCGAGGAAGTACGTGCCATTAGTGTGGCTAAAGTTGAATTCCCAGAAACTATGGACGAAACCCAAATGAGAGCAAAAGTAGGTGGTCTGAACGATCCTCGTCTCGGGTCGATTGACCGTAGCTTCAAGTGTCAAACTTGTGGTGAAGGCATGAATGATTGTCCTGGCCACTTTGGTCATATAGAACTAGCTAAACCAGTTTTCCACATTGGCTACCTTTCTAAAATTAAGAAAGTCTGTGAATCAGTTTGCATGCATTGTGGTAAACTTCTATTGGACGAACACAGCGAATTAATGAGACAGGCAATTAAAATCAAAGACCCAAAGAGAAGATTCAACGCCGTTTGGTCCTTATGCAAAGCTAAAATGGTTTGCGACACTGAGGTACCATCCGATGACGATCCAGCTAGATATGTCTCTAGAGGTGGCTGTGGCAACACACAACCAAGCGTTAGAAAAGATGGGCTCTCTTTGGTAGGTACGTGGAAAAAGGATAAAGGCGCAGACGACGCCGATCAACCTGAAAGACGCATTATTTCTGCTGATGAAGTTCTTAATGTTTTCAAACACATCTCTCCGGAGGACTCTGTGCGTTTAGGATTCAACGAAGACTTTGCCAGGCCAGAATGGATGATTTTGACGGTTTTGCCAGTTCCCCCACCCCCAGTGCGCCCCTCCATTTCCTTCAATGAAACCCAGAGAGGTGAAGATGATTTGACGTACAAACTTGGTGATATCTTAAAAGCGAATATCAACGTCCAAAGACTTGAGATTAATGGTTCGCCACAGCACGTAATACAGGAATCGGAGTCTCTGCTACAATTTCATGTGGCGACCTATATGGATAACGATATTGCTGGGCAACCTCAGGCTCTACAAAAGTCTGGCCGTCCAATCAAATCTATACGTGCTCGTCTTAAGGGTAAGGAAGGTCGTATCAGAGGTAATCTTATGGGAAAACGTGTTGATTTCTCTGCACGTACTGTGATTTCAGGTGACCCGAATTTGGATTTGGACCAGGTCGGCGTTCCAAAGTCCATCGCCAGAACTCTAACCTACCCAGAGGTTGTAACTCCTTACAATATCGATCGTCTAACACTGTTGGTGCGCAACGGTCCCAACGAACATCCTGGTGCCAAATATGTTATTCGTGATAACGGTGATCGTATCGATCTGAGATATAGCAAGAGGGCAGGTGATATTCAATTACAATACGGTTGGAAAGTGGAGCGTCACATCATAGATGATGATCCAGTACTGTTCAATCGTCAGCCATCTTTACACAAAATGTCAATGATGGCTCACAGGGTCAAAGTTATGCCTTATTCCACATTTAGATTGAATCTGTCTGTCACCTCTCCTTATAATGCCGATTTTGATGGTGACGAAATGAATTTGCATGTTCCACAATCAGAGGAGACTAGAGCAGAGCTCTCGCAACTTTGTGCCGTTCCTCAACAAATTGTATCTGCACAGTCAAACAAGCCATGTATGGGTATCGTTCAGGATACTTTATGTGGTGTCCGTAAGATGACTTTGAGGGACACCTTTATCGAGTTAGACCAAGTTCTCAATATGCTGTACTGGATCCCGGACTGGGACGGGGTGATTCCAACTCCTACAATTTTGAAGCCTAAGCCTCTATGGTCTGGTAAGCAAATCCTATCGATAGCTATTCCAAAAGGTATTCACTTGCAAAGGTTTGATGAAGGTACAACTCTGCTGTCACCTAAAGACAACGGTATGCTGATTATCGACGGCCAAATAATATTCGGTGTTGTGGATAAAAAGACTGTTGGATCCTCAAGCGGTGGTTTAATTCACGTAGTCACAAGAGAAAAAGGTCCAAAGATCTGCGCAAGGTTATTCAGCAACTTACAAAAGGTGGTCAACTTTTGGCTACTCCACAATGGTTTCTCGATCGGCATAGGTGATACAATTGCAGATGAGAAATCTATGAGAGAAATCACAGATGCTATCATGGTCGCAAAGAGAAAGGTAGAGGAAGTTACTAAAGAAGCCCAAGCTAATTTGCTAACAGCAAAGCACGGAATGACGCTTCGTGAATCTTTTGAAGATAACGTGGTACGTTACCTGAATGAAGCCAGAGATAAGGCTGGTCGGTCTGCAGAAGTCAATTTGAAAGACTTAAACAACGTCAAACAAATGGTAAGTGCTGGTTCCAAGGGTTCCTTTATTAATATTGCACAAATGTCGGCTTGTGTGGGTCAACAATCGGTGGAAGGTAAGCGTATCGCTTTTGGCTTTGCCGATCGTACGCTACCTCACTTTTCTAAAGATGACTACTCTCCAGAATCGAAAGGTTTTGTCGAAAATTCATATTTGAGAGGTTTAACTCCACAAGAATTTTTCTTCCACGCTATGGGTGGTCGTGAAGGTTTGATCGACACGGCTGTCAAGACTGCAGAGACTGGTTATATTCAACGTCGTCTGGTTAAAGCTTTGGAGGATATTATGGTTCACTACGATGGCACTACAAGGAATTCTCTGGGTAATGTTATTCAATTTATCTACGGTGAAGACGGTATGGACGCTGCTCACATTGAAAAGCAGTCTATCGATTCCATTGCTTCTTCTGATGCGGCTTTTGAGCGCAGATACAGAATAGATTTGCTGAATCCAAAGCACGCTTTGGATCCATCTTTACTGGAATCAGGATCTGAGATTATTGGTGATTTGAAGCTGCAGTCGATTTTGGATGATGAATACAAGCAACTTGTTGAGGATCGTGCATTCCTCAGAAAAATCTTTGTGGATGGTGAACAAAATTGGCCACTCCCAGTTAATATTAGACGTATCATTCAAAATGCTCAACAAACCTTCCGTATTGAACATGCGAAGCCTACTGATTTAACGATTCGTGATGTTGTATTCGGAGTGAAGGAACTTCAAGAAAAACTACTTGTATTGCGGGGTAAGAGCAAGCTTCTTATGGAAGCTCAACACAATGCTGTTACATTGTTTTGTTGTTTGTTGCGCTCTCGTTTAGCCTCAAGAAGAGTCATTCAAGAATACAGATTAACCAAGCAGACATTCGATTGGGTGATGAGTAACGTTGAAGCACAGTTCTTGAGATCCATTGTTCATCCTGGTGAGATGGTGGGTGTTCTAGCAGCGCAATCCATCGGTGAGCCTGCCACTCAAATGACACTGAACACTTTCCATTTTGCTGGTGTTGCTTCAAAGAAGGTCACTTCGGGTGTTCCTCGTTTAAAGGAAATTTTGAACGTAGCGAAAACTATGAAAACTCCTTCGCTTACTGTTTACCTAGACAAAGATCATGCAGTTGACCAAGAGAAAGCAAAGTATATTAGATCTGCCATCGAACATACCACGCTGAAAAGTATTACTGTCGCCTCTGAAATTTATTATGATCCTGATCCACGCGCTACTGTGATTGAAGATGATGAAGAAATTATTCAGCTGCACTTTTCTTTGATGGACGAAGAAACTGAGCAGTCGCTAGATCATCAATCACCTTGGCTGTTACGTTTAGAATTAGATCGTGCGGCCATGAATGACAAAGACCTGACCATGGGTCAAGTTGGAGAAAAAATCAAAGAGACATTCAAAAACGATTTATTCGTTATTTGGTCTGAAGACAATGCTGAAAAACTAGTTATTCGTTGCCGCGTTGTTCGTGACCCTAAGACCCTCGATGCTGAAGCTGAAGCCGAAGAGGATCACATGCTAAAGAGGATTGAAAACACAATGCTCGAAAGTATCACATTGCGTGGTGTTGAAGACATTACTCGTGTCGTTATGATGAAGTACGATCGCAAAATACCAAGTCCTACCGGTGAATACCATAAGGTACCGGAATGGGTCTTGGAAACAGATGGTGTCAATTTGGCGGAGGTAATGTGCGTACCCGGAGTCGACTCTTCCCGTATTTACACTAACTCGTTTATTGATATCATGAACGTGCTTGGGATAGAGGCGGGTCGCGCTGCGTTATACAAGGAGGTCTACAATGTCATTGCTTCGGACGGTTCTTACGTCAACTACCGTCATATGGCCTTGCTTGTCGACGTAATGACTTCGCAAGGGTTCCTGATGTCTGTTACTCGTCATGGTTTCAATAGATCTGATACTGGTGCTTTGATGAGATGTTCATTCGAGGAAACAGTAGAAATTCTATTCGAAGCTGGAGCAGCGGCTGAGCTAGACGACTGCCGTGGTGTTTCGGAAAATGTTTTGTTAGGCCAAGTTGCTCCTATCGGTACGGGTGCATTTGACGTAATGATTGACGAGGAATCGTTAGTCAAATTCATGCCCGAACAGAAGGTGGGTGAAATAGCCGACGGGCAAGATGGCGCTAGAACACCTTACAATAACGAAAGCGGCTTGGTGAATGCTGATATTGATGTCAAAGATGAACTCATGTTTTCGCCTTTGGTGGACTCAGGCTCGGCAGACGCTATGTCAGGTGGATTCACTGCCTACGGTGGCGCTGATTATGGTGGGGGCTCTTCTCCATTCAGTGGTTACGGTGATGGCGTCTCTTCTCCAGGCTTTGGAGGAGTTGCCTCGCCAGGGTTTTCACCTTCTTCACCAGCGTACTCCCCTACGTCTCCAAGTTACAGCCCAACGTCTCCGTCTTACTCGCCTACATCTCCAAGTTACAGTCCGACGTCGCCTTCGTACTCGCCAACGTCTCCAAGTTACAGCCCAACCTCACCATCATACTCTCCAACTTCTCCATCATATTCCCCTACTTCGCCAAGCTACAGTCCAACTTCGCCATCGTACTCGCCAACATCTCCAAGTTACAGTCCGACGTCGCCTTCGTACTCACCAACGTCGCCAAGTTACAGCCCTACCTCACCATCATACTCTCCAACATCTCCAAGCTACAGCCCAACTTCGCCAAGCTACAGTCCAACGTCACCATCGTACTCGCCAACGTCACCATCATACTCACCAACATCTCCAAGCTACAGCCCAACTTCGCCAAGCTACAGCCCTACCTCACCCTCCTATTCCCCTACTTCACCCTCTTACTCCCCAACCTCTCCAAGTTATAGCCCGGGTTCGCCCTCCTACTCTCCAGGTTCACCCAAGAGGGAAGACAGCGAAGACGACAACAACAGCAACAACAACAATTAAAACGACACCAGTCTTAATTGAGCGAGCCACGACTGGTTATTTGGTAACCGCTTATTGTATTTTAACCAACGCAGAAACCTCTGCACAACTGGGAACAGATTCATCTGAAGAAATTTATTGGTATGCCTGTTGCAACTCGCTTAGAGGTGGTATCTTTTTAGAGGCACACAATAGAATCATATCTCTAAATAAATGTAAATATTTTAATGTTTTTGAAATGAATGGATCCGGTGTAGATTTATTACAAATTCTAAGTTACTTTCTTTGAGATCAATCCCTTGAATATATCGAAAGTGTTACCATCTGGTTGTAGATGATATATGTTACCTGTGAATTGAGTGTTAGTACCGGAGATCAATTCTTTTGCAATAAGTAGTCCATAATCCTTAGTGATCCCAACAAGCTTAGCGCGAGTATTCTGGTGATCAGTCAGGGTTACAATCTGATCCGTATGTAGCCATAGCTTGTAGTATTCTGGTAGCATACGATCTGCACCATAATCCAAAAACTCTTTTAAAATGAAGTCCAAGTTGTTCATGTAAAGAGCTTGTAATTTTTCTACCTCAACTAGAGGTAGCAGTGGCATGTGGAACATCTCTCTCTCCTGGTTCAATATTCTAACCCATGAATTCAACGAGGTAGTGGGGCCATCATGAGAGACATTCAAACCACATCCAAGTAGAAGGGAGTAGCTATTATTGTAAAAACTAGTGTTAACCAAAAGGCCTGAAGTTTTGGCAAACGCAGGCTCTATGTCATTAAGAGGAATTTTATTTCCTTCAAGTCCCTTACCGGTCAAACGGATGTTTTTATCACGATAGTAGTCTGGTTTCATCGCATATAAATCATTTGGCCACTTTATTCTAACAGGAATGTCCTCGAAGCCTGGAGCGTATCCCAAAATGGCTTTGCAGTAGGCCAGCATTGCGAGGTACTGGACAAAAACTATCGAAGTTGGACGTCCTGTTTTAGGAGAACTTAACGGAAGGTTAACGCAGGCAGTTGAAGCTGAAACACCTTTGGGATTGACCCAAACATTCCCCCCGCGACCACGACCAGACACTTGTATAGTTCCAATATGAAGCATAGACGTGTCTGGAAAAAGAGACAGCAGTTTCTTGTTGTTGTTCAATAAAGCGCTCGATGAGGTTATTATTTCACCGTACATTAGAAGAGAACCCACTGAGGTCTGAGCATTCAAATGTTGGAAATACTTCTGAATGTCGAAATTTGGGGTAAACTTGGATGATGGGCAAGGGTCGTTAGCGGACGCAATTAAAATAGACTTGGCAACATCATCTGGTTCTTGATCTAACAATTCAGCACTTGCTTTATCGTACTGATCGAAACTGTTGTAAATCCGGAAAGTGTCTGTCTCTCCCTCTAAAATTGTGACACCGTTCTCATACTTGGCATCGCTCTCTTTCAGGTTTTGTTCTAATTTTTTCAACGGTTCCGGGTTATTGAGAGCTACAACCATCAAAGGCGTAAGACTTGGCGCTGCCCTATCAGCAAAATCGTTGTTGCAATGTAGTCCTAATTTTGTGAGTATGTCCTTCATAAACTTCAACCTAGCGCTTTCGTGTTCCATCAGAGCGTCAACGATTGAAGAGTTGTAATCGTGATCATGCCTTCTTTGTAGCAGTTGTGGTACATATTCGGGATGTGGGCCAGTTAAAAGAGCCCGGCCTTTGCCGACTTGACACAAGACCACGGCAGCACCCAACTTTGAAGAACCCTCTGTAAATGGCACATCCAAAGGCTCTGAGTAGTGAGCCAACACTTCTACGTTGTCGTATTTTTCTGCATCCGCGAAGACACACCCGCCATTGTAATAGGTTTTAAATTCTTCACCGTTAGGAAGCCTGAGTCTAGCCGCATGAGCTCCTGCTTCACTATTATACTTGAAACCATGGAAAGCTGGTCCTCGACCAGCTCCAGGGAAGAATTTGAGTTCTCTTTTACCAACTACTTCGAGCATAGGATCACCCAAGGCAAACTCGACACGGTCAGTAGCGAAATATCCCCCGGCACAAAATCCAATAAAAGAACCACCTTGTTTAGAAACGAATTTCTTGATCTGTGGCATTACAGCTGCACATTCCTTTGTATAAGGAAGATCAGCACCTCCTGGAAACACCAAAGCCGATGTTTTGCCGGCCCAAGGTTCCGTTTGAAGAACTTTGGCATTCACTGTACTTACCGCGTAAAATGGCTCCAACAGTCGTCTCAGCGTTATTACAGTGTGCTTGACGGAGTCTGGAGAAACCCCTGGCCCATTGTAGACGAGAACATTCATCTTGGACAGAATTCGAGACCAAGGTTTCCTATAGCTCAATTTGGGGTTAAATGGCAAGATTACAGCAGAAGAAGAGTCGTCCGGTAATCAAAAGCTATTGATTGTTAGCTGAATATGATAAAAACTCAGAGCTGACTGAAATTACTTTATCAAAGTCGCTGCAGTGTCTGTCGAGATGTTACTTTGCTCTGAATATCGAAAACTAGAAAATATCATTTATCTTATTCTCATCTCATCTCGAGCTGAAAGTTAATCAGTTAAGAACTAAGCTTTGAATAGTGACGACACTTCTAAAAGATAACCATGATAAGACCACTTCCTGTAGTATTCAAACCACATCTGTTTACAGGACTACAAACAGTGAAATACGGGCGATCTTTATTCCTGCGCCGAATCTCCACCGAACCTCAATCACCAAAAAAAACCCCTACGATTCTCAGTTCAATTTATACCATTCCAAATGTGCTCACACTGAGCAGAATTGCAGCGGCCCCATTGATAGGCCACTGTATAATTTCGAACAATGTTATACCAGCCTTGGGGCTCTTCACATATTCGTGCCTGACAGATTTCCTGGATGGATATATGGCAAGAAAATACAACATGAAATCCGTTGCCGGCACAGTTCTGGATCCCATGGCGGACAAGATTTTGATGTTGGTGACTACGGCATCATTAGCATTTCCTGGCGGTCCGCAGATAATTCCACTGCCATTGGCTAGTCTAATAATCGGCCGCGATGCCATATTGGGGTTTAGCGCTATATATTTCCGAATTGCATCCCTCAAATACACATATGGGAAAGTATCATGGAATTCATTTTGGGATGTGTTCCGATTCCCCAGCGCAGAAGTTAGGCCCACCCAAATTTCCAAATGGAATACTTTTCTACAAATGATATATCTGGGATGGGCAGTGACTTTGATGGTTGTCGAGTCCAATCCTGAGGAAGAAGAGAGCTCTCATAGTAATATGGACCTATACAGGAAAGCATTTGAATATTTCGGGTACCTTGTAGCGACGACAACGGTCCTGAGCGGAACTTCGTACATCTTTAGCAAGAACGCTGTGAAATATCTCAACAAAATCAAATGAGAGCGTCATTTGTCGTGGTGGCATATTGGGAGCGTATCCACAACACAGCATAATAATATATGCTGGAGTAGACTTACTGTCTACCCCTTTTTTTATTTATGGTCCCGCGTTGACCGCACAGCATCTCCAGCATTATTCATAAAACGTTTCTGAGTCAAGTCACTTAGGATATTATTATGTACATTTAAGTTAAAAACTCCCCGAACGTGTCTAGATTCAGCGACTGAACGTAATATCGTCTATTCTCAAGATGGATTTCACACATTCAGATGCTAATGTGATTGCGCTTGTGCTAACTAAAAGCGGTTGTAAGACATGCTCATCGAAAGTGTTTGTAGTACCAGATCTGCGAATTGAGATACCGGCGTTCTTTTCACCATTTTCATGAAGGGTGCGGAGCTCGGTCACCACTTTAATGCTGTAAAGACCGGCGTTTTCGGCCAGTGTCGTTGGAATGACCTCTAGAGCAGAGGCAAATTCTTGCCACACAAAGGCTTCTACACCTTGCAAGGATCTTGCCTCTTTCATTAAGGTGCGGGAGGCTTCAATTTCGGGGGCACCACCACCCGCAATCAATGCTCTTTCTTTTACTAAACAACGTATGACACACAGTGCGTCGTGAAGAGATCTCTCCGTCTCATCTAGAATGACGTTATTAGCACCACGAATGATAACGGATACCGTTGGGCTGGCACCGTTGTTTTTGACGCCGGTAATCCTGACAATCTTGGATCCATCACTGTCAATCTCTTCAATGAGGTCTGCAGACCCCAGGCGGTCTTCGGTGAAAAACTCTGGGTCTGAGATGGGCTTACAGTTTAAACTCTTAGATAAAAATTCAATTTCATCTCTTTCAACCTCCTTAATAACCATAATTCCTAGCTTGGACAAGAAGTGAAGTGCTAAATCATTGACAGCGTCTCTTAGAATGGACTTTTGGATCAGTAGCACGTTACACTTGGCCTTTTTGACTTTCTTACAAATATTCAGCAGGTATGCACGTTCTTCTTTCAAAATTTTGTCCATTTGTCTGTAGTCATTGACCACAATGTTGTTTTCGGTATCAGGCTTAGGAGGTGAGATTTGGAATTGGATTAAACCAATGCGAGCCTTTTCGATTCTGGTGGGACCGCCGGCAGTTTTCACCACGTTCTGAGTTAATACCACACCGTCAACCATTTCTGTATCATCGATGGTTCCACCAGCCTTTTTGATAAGACGTATATCGGAAAGGTCGACATTTGTGCTCTCCTCATTGGTGATGTTCAGAACGCAGTCGACTGCCAATGGGGCCAAAAACGATGAGTGTTGTGAAACGATCTTGGAACTCAGGGACGTAGCTGCGGCGCGTACCAGCGCTTGTTTGTCTTTAAGCGAGATTTTTTGGGACATGTCTACCAGAATTTCGACCGATCTTCTGGCGGCTCTTTGGAACGATTCCGCGATGATTGTTGGATGCACGCCTTTATTGAGCAGCTTCTCGGCGGCTCCCAAAAGAGCTCCCGTCAAAATTACTACAGACGTGGTTCCGTCGCCGGCTTCTGTGTCCTGAGCAGCAGAAACTTCGACCAGCATTTTGGCCACCGGATGCAAAATGGCCATTTGTTTAAGAATTGTGTGTCCGTCATTCGAGATGATCACCTCTCCGCGAGCAGTCTTAATCATCTTGTCCATACCCTTAGGCCCCAAAGAAGTACGGATGGCGTCTGCCACAGCACGAGCCGCTATAATGTTAGCTTTACGCACTTCTTGTGGTTTTTCACGATTTTTGAATGTTGAGTTGGGCGAGCTTTTGGGTGGCATTTTGAGTTACAATTTGGCAAGCACGGTTTAGAAGTGGATCAATTGACTCGGGTGTATATGCAATTTGGCCAAAGTTCGAGGTTTTATGATCCAAGACACGAACGGGTTGACTAGCTTTAAGTTATTCTAAAATTCAAGGTGGCAAATTTTTCAGAATTCGAAATCCATTCGTACGGTATGATTCATGACAATTATGTAGTCCTGGCATATTCGAGTGGAGAAACAAGTAGAAGACGAGGGCCAAGTAGGGATCGGTGCAAGAAGGCTCATGATATTCTTAATGATGGGTGTCACGGCTTCGATAATTTCGCAGATTTAGCAATGGTATGCGTCTCGTAGACTATCAATTCTCTTCGTTCATGTTGGTCAGCATGTGAAGCATGGCTCATCGTGTTTGCTTGCCAGAAAATTGAGCACGGAGGCCTTTTAGAAGTTTGAGGCTTCTCAAGTGACGACTTTGAGTTATTTAGAAAGCTCCATGTTAAGTGTATGTATTGAAATTATTACTTTGGGATTCGAAGAATGAGACCAACTTTCCGTCATTCATTTTATCATTTCATGTCGGCCAAGTGCAAGGGATGTAACACGTAGTGTATGCTGGCCCTGAACTCAAATGTGCCTATCCGCTTCAGTTATTGTGTTGTAAGTGATTTTTTGAATATCGCTATTCAAAATTTCACTATGTAGATTTCCATATACCCATCGATGAGATGAGCAATTTGTAATGTCCAAAAACAATAATCCAATTTGGACGCAGCCTCACGATCGATGTCTGATTACGCCAGACTTGCGGAGCTTTCCGTGAGTGTACAACATGTTAAAAACTGTGCATTCTCGCAATGGTACCATAAATTTGAAGGCCACACGCCGAAAGCTCAAATTGTCAAGCCTGTGGCAGCCGGATTCATGAAATATTTGGAACAAGACGGCATCGAACTGCCCAACGATAGTAACTTTGGACAATCTTCGTACTTTCAGGAGATACAGAACACTGAGGACAATGACTACAGCGATTGGGAGGATGATAGCAACGACGGCGAAGTTCTACGACAAGACTCGAAAAGCAGCGTTGTGGCAATGTTTCCAGAACTACACGAAAAATTGAAAGCGGCTTTTCGAGAAATGGGACCTCTCACTCCAAAACTAACTTGGTCTAGTCCCAAAGATGCCACTTGGATTCTTGCCAACAACACGCTAAAATGCCAGGAAGTTAACGATCTGTACCTTTTGCTGAAGGCTTCAAACTACATCACCCACGATCTGGATCGTGCTTTTGATGAGTGCTATGATAGAGAAGAGTATATGGAAGGTCCGGAGTCGATTACTCATGAGTTGATATTACGCAAATGGTTTGACATCAACCCAGCGTTAGAGTTCCGAGTCTTTGTCGAAGACTCACGCATTGTTGCGGTCTCTCAGAGAGACCTAAATTACTACGATTATCTACTGCCACTTATTGATACTTTTAAAGATCTTCTCGACGATTTCATTGAAGAAACCGTGAATCCAAAATTTCCAGACAAATCGTATGTGTGCGATGTTTACATTCCAAGGCCTTTCAAGAAAATATGGCTGATAGACTTTAACCCATTTGCGAGGAAGACTGACCCTCTATTGTTTTCTTGGAACGAACTAGTTACCATCAAAGCTAATGAAGCTGACTTTGATTTCGAATTTCGTTTGGTGCATGAAAATAACGTAGCCCGCTTTGCCGGAAAGGAGCACTCAGAAAGTCAAGTACCTAAGGACGTTGCAGATGCTATAACCAATCCTAATGCCATAAAAGAACTGGCGCAGAAATGGTCCGAATTGATGAAAATGCAACAAGCCGACGAATCAAGCAGCGATGATGATGGGAATTGAACAGCTTAAATAGTATTTTTTATCATTTGAATACTTCATAATGCATATATACAAGTAGACATTTAGCGCTATTTTCACCAAACGAAACTTTCCTCTAAAAGTGCCACGTCTATGCTTTGTTCCTTGCAGAGCGACGCCGAAAGCGAGGCCCTGAAATCAACGTTGAAAGCTGATGGGCCGCAACTGATGAATGTTATATCCCTGCTTTGTTCTGAGGATTGCTTGATTTCCTTTTTAGTTAAAGACGTCAAATCTGGTCTGCAAAACAAACTTTCCACGTTCAACTTTTCAAACAATTTGATATCCGAAATCGAAAAGACTGCTTCGTCCAGTTCCTTAGGTGTTGTGCACAGAATGGTCACTTCGCAATTTTTGGATAAGAGCCACTTTAATTCATTTTCAAACCACGAGATATGATTTACGTCATTTACCGCCCAATACAATTTAGATCCCATTTGTGGCACCTGCACTTCTAACAATTGAAGCATTTGCGCGTAAACTGCAGTAATACCCAAGCCAGCAGCTACCCCTACAAGCTTTCTCTCCACCTTGACCTTTTGGGGAAGCACATCACCGTAAGGCCCTTCAACCATGACCCTGACTTGAATTGAGTCTTCTCCCGATTTCAGGAGTCTGTAAAGCATCTGTCTAGTGATACCCTTTTGAGCTTTGAAGTAAGCTACAAGCTCTTCTCCATTAATACCATCTTCTTTTGCAGCACTTAACAATGTGAATGGATGAGATTGCCACTGATAGTACCACGGATCGTTCCAGCTCAGGAAATAGATGAACGCAAAAGAACCTGGTTGGTAGGATATCCATTTAGGCCTTTTGAGTGTCATTTTGATAATTCCGTTTCCACAATCAGTCAGGGTGGACTTTTGCAAACCACCACTCAAAACCAATCGTACAATTCTTAGGAGCCTATCAAAAGCCAAGATCCCAACCATTACCCAAACCCATCCAAGCCAGCCTAAAGTGTTACAGTGATAATACATGCACACAATGAAGAAGACGTTCATGATTTGATGGAGAAATAGAAATGCTTCATAAGCCATGTCCCTCATAAATTTGGTACTGTGGAAAACGAGAAGCGCCATGAGAACCATAGCCGCAATGCCGTATTTCCAGTAAGCGTCTACATACCATGATTTATAGCCTCCATCATGTATGGAATAAACGGTCCAAATGATCGAATGGATGAAAGCAAGGATCGTGGCAACATAAGCACACCATTTGTGGAAATACGAAAAGGTCGTATATGACATACCACTGAGTGCAATGAACGGATTATTACGAATGCCGAAAAAGTAGATTATTGGAAACAAGGACATGGACATTAAGTCAGTTCTGTAACTTAGCAAAGTCAAATTCATAAACCACCTGTTTGTCAGATATGGATGTGGTAGCGTTAGTTCGTAGCCCACACCTGTTGTTATGAAGACTTGGACGATAAAAACTGCCACAATCAGGAATTGCAAGCGGTTTGGATATGGACCCGGGGCAAGGCCTCGAAGCTTTGGGTGCTTCTGAAGAGCTTGTTCAAAAATGGACGGGATCACCAGCTTTCTAGAAATCCATTTGTTGCTGAGCTTCAAGCCGACAAACTTCTTGTTCAAGTTGTACAAGCTGGAGACAACAATAATGGCAGCCCAATAAAAAACGAGTCCCCAGCCAAACCACTGGCTTCTTTGGACAGCGAAAGTGTAGTCTTTGAACTTTCCGTAGTACCAGTCGAACTCGGTTTGGTTGACCCGGATCGTCGTGTAGACTGTGTGATCGAGATCTGCCGCAGTGGGATCTCTGAGGTATTTGGTTCCGTTTTCTAAAAACCTGTGCATGTCTGACACAGTGTAGTTGAACGGAGCCTTGGACTGGCATCTCCCAGCAACGTGCTTGAAAGCATGCTCTCTGAGCTTGTCGCTGTCCGTGTTGTTCGCGATGCAGTTGGTTATGGTTCCCAGCCAGTTGATGTTGGCGCAACGACATTTGTAGGCCTTCATACCATTGCCATGGGACCCGCAACCCCAGTCAAATGTTTTTTCATAGTATATGCAAGCGGAAGCAAGTGTAGAGTCCACCAGAGTTAAACTCTGCGAGATTTGCGCCAAAATGGCCAAGACCAGGATCTGGAGTTTATGGATTTTCATTTATTTTTGAACTGCACTTGCGGTTCAAGAGCCCAATGCCAAACAGTAAAATGCGCTCGACCGAACCATCCGAGAACTACGCCAATGTCCCAGATCCAAATCTCTGTTCATATATATATTCCATTTTCATATCGGCCTGCTGTAATAAATTTTTAAATGCTCAAGATATAGCTCGTCTCGACCAGTTGGACCCTGAGCATTTTGAGCATTTTTCAGATACAATGAGTAAGAAAAGTTGTGAAAAAAATGCACCTGTGACAGACAACATTCAATCCAATCTCGATGTAAACTGTCAATCTGGCACTCTGTGTTCTTTAACTTGTATACGTTGATGAATGTTGGTATTTTTATGAAATCGGGCGCTTGACAAATCTTCTAACAGCCATTCTAATCTGTAATATCGAGACTTCAGCGTTTCCTGCGGCATTCTAGCTGGCTATCGTAGCCATCTTTTTTCGCTCTGAGTTTCTGAGATTGTATTGGTAGTGAAGGTCGGTGATGGAGACAGTCAGGCCGATATTGCAGTGATGTGTGTTGGAAGTGCATTTTAGCGCGATATATCACCCACAGTCAGACAGTCTTATCAATGTAGTTTGTTTGTTCTTTATACCTTGGTGTTTGAAGAGATGTCTTCACCGAGATTTTCAAGCTTCAAATCCATTTCAGATATTTCTTGTAGCAACCGCAAGCGATGCATCGCGATAAGCTCATTGATAATCTACGTTGCATGCTTAGCTCCTCTTACTAGCACTACAATCGCGTGCTCGTTATCTTTTCATAAATGTCCCTTCAAAAAAAGAGACTTTATAAGAGTCGGATGCCCCAGTTTCTTTAGAGTAGACAGAGATCGCTATATTCACAAGGCTCGATTCTAGACTAAGGATGGCGCAAGAATCTCGAAAGCCTTCCTGTCTAGTGATAGGTGCTGGTGGAGTTGGTGTAATTACCACATATTCGCTTTTCAATGCCGGTCTGAGCGAGGTATCGCTCGTAGTACGTTCAGACTACGAACATGTAACGAAGCATGGTTACTCGATCGATTCTTGTGACTATGGTACTATTGCGAACTGGAGACCGCATGGGGTCTTCAAAACTGCAGAAGATGCCTCTACATCCGGCCACTTCTTCGATTACGTTGTTGTAACAGTAAAGAACATCCCAGATGGACCGAAAAGCGGTGCTGTTCACGAGATCGTTCGTCCAGTGGTAGAATCAAACCACCAACTAGATGCGTCTCGTATAACATGTATAGTGTTGATTCAAAACGGACTAGACATTGAAAAAGAGCTCCTGGAACACTTCGACCAACACAGCTATAATCTTGTGCTACTGTCTGGCGTTCAATTGATAGGGTCAACCAAAAACGGACCTGGTAATGTGGTCCAGAAAGGCCAAGATAGATTGAGCGTGGGACCCTTTGACGCCACAGACCTGACTGCCACGGAATGTGCCAAGAAGTTTGTTAAGCTGTACTCCAATGAGGGCCACAATATCGTAGAGATCGAATCTGACGTCAAGCACTCAAGGTGGCGAAAACTACTGTACAACGCCGTAGTAAACCCGACCACTGCACTGGCGCAATTGGATGCTACAAGATGTTTGAAGTTTTCAAAAGATAAAACGAGTACCGAAAATTGCATTTGGAGACCAGGAATGTATGAAATTATTGCCATCGCGGCAAGCGAAGGTGTCATAATTGATCCCAAAGAGATGGACTTCTTTCTGGATTTTACCAGACGGATTCTTTACAAGCCCTCAATGTGTATTGATTATGAAAAAGGTCAATTAATGGAACTTGAGGTCATTCTAGGAAATCCATTGAAAGTAGCAAACAGAAATGGTGTTCCCGCGCCCACTTTGACTATACTATATCATCTTATGACTATCCTACAAGGTAAAATTAAAGAAAGTAAGGGATTACTACATTTTGACGAGGAGAAGATGGACACCACAAGTGATCTAGAGTAAGAGACAAGATCTAGTTGATGTCGCTTGCTGAAAGAAAACCAGCAAGTGCTTCAATTACAAACCTATATTCCGCAAAACCACAAAATAAGGCCGTCTGTTAGCTGTGTTTACCTTTTAAAATTCGTGTCGTTCAAAGCATTTTTGTGACGTGAAGTGTCATTCTGAAATTTACAATGCGATTTCTACATTTTTCAATCCTATCCTTTCTGAAGCTAATAGATCATCAGTCATCAACTCTCATCGAAGTTTGGTAGCCATGAAGAGTGGAATCATTATCTTACCTGTAATTTTAAGAATTGCTCTTGTTCAAGCCAATTTTGAGCCGTACAAATCTGATCCATATATCGCATGTTCGAGTAATGAACATTGCCCCGAGGAATGGCCCTGCTGTTCTCAATACGGCCAGTGTGGATTTGGGCCTTTATGCGCTGGTGGGTGCGATCCTCGCTTTTCGTTCAGTTACGACAGCTGTGGTGTGATACCTGCAATGTTTCCCCAGATGAGTTCTACCTATCAGATCTTTGATGTGGATACTCCACAATCACAAGGCATGTGTTTTGTGCCAGCGATTAAAACTTCCTTCAAAGTTGTCACAGAGAACCGAGAAAACTCAGAGATGCCACTCAGCGGGCGCGGCCTCTTACACTATTCAAAAGCGTCAGACCCCAGCGTAAATATCAACAACTTTGATTTTACATATAGCGGGTCCCTCGAAGTGGGCGAAGAAGAGGAAGCGGCACTTGTGTTAGCAATGCCACCTGGCACCACGGGCAGTGTTATATCTTCGGCGAAATCGTTTCTGTACGGAAGAGTTGCGGTTGAAATGAAAAGCGCCAAGGGTAATGGTGTTATTTCAGCCATGGTATTGATGTCGGCAGTCAAGGATGAGGTCGATTTCGAGTTTTTGGGAGGCGATCTCGAGAACGCTCAGTCTAACTACTATTATAGAGGAGAGCTCATACACACGCGGATGGCCAAGTCGCCAATCAGTCCCAACAGCTATGACGAGTATCACACGTACGAGTTTGACTGGGATGAAGACCGAATTCAATGGTTAATTGATGGTTCTGTTGTTCGCACTTTGCATCGCGAAGACACGTACGATGCTGCAGAAAAGATTTACAGATACCCTTCAACGCCTATGCGGCTAGAACTCGCGATTTGGCCTGGTGGTCTCGAGAGCAACGACCCTGGCACGGTAATGTGGGCTGGCGGGCTTATCGATTGGCAGAATGCGGCTGAAATTCTGGATGAAGGCCAATTCCAAATGTCTGTGAAAAACGTCAAGATTACACCATATGTGAATGCTTTTGTGCCTTTGACCGCACAAGGATCGGCCGCGCCAGATAATGATATTTTCTACTATTTCTATGACGCCGAGTGTGACGGGTGTGTGCGAAGCCGCAAAGATTCACCACAACTCGAGGAAAGGCTTTTAGATAACGTGCCACAGCAACTAGCAGAGAATATGTCCAACATTACGATTTCCACGATCTATAGTGACATAACCACAACCAGCAGCGTCATGAGAACCTTATCCAGTGCCGCGGCAACGCAGTTTACTGTTACACGCCATGAGAATTTTGCACTACCACTGAAAAGTCTAAATGCACTGCTAATGTTCCAGATATGGATTTCAAGCTGGGTCCTCTAGAATCAAGATGATCTAGCCGACCCTAGCTATATAGCGATTTTTAAGTCTTACCCTTTTTTACATAGAGAAGTTTACAAAGAAAGCTTCTCTGCGCTAGTGGAAGCTGTTTGTTAGTTTAGCAACGTACTATCACAAACTCAACATTGTTTGAGATGAAACTTCCATCGCTTTCTGTCGTTGCCCGACGCTGGCATTTTGAGATTTTAGACTCGTTCGAAAGTAGCACGGTGTTCAAAAAAGATTTTTAAAAATGGTTCCCCTTTACTAGTGGATCAACGATAAACATACAGGAATCTTGGATCGAGAAGCGTAGTAATCGCGTTGTTTGTGGACTTTTAGAACACTTTTTTGTGGATAATAGGTACTGTGACGTGTTTGCAATTCCAGGAAGCCAATTGAGCGACTTTTGTACACATTATTGTGAAGAAAAAACATCTGGCTTTGCAGACGTTCAAGAGACGACAAGATGAAGATGCTAACGAAGTTCGAGTCAAAGTCCACCAGAGCCAAAGGTTTGGCGTTTCACCCTTCGAGACCATGGGTGCTGGTGGCGCTTTTCTCATCGTCAATTCAACTGTGGGACTACCGGATGGGAACTTTGCTGCACAAATTCGAGGACCACGAGGGACCTGTTAGAGGCATCGATTTCCATCCAACTCAGCCGCTGTTTGCGTCCGCCGGTGATGATTACACTATCAAGGTATGGTCGCTAGACACTAAGAAGTGTCTGTTTACACTAAACGGGCATCTGGACTACGTTCGGACCGTTTTTTTCCACCGCGAACTGCCATGGATCATCTCTGCTTCAGATGACAACACCATTCGTATTTGGAACTGGCAAAACCGTAAAGAGATCGCGTGCTTGGCAGGCCACAGCCACTTTGTCATGTGTGCAGATTTCCACCCAACAGAGGATCTAGTTGTATCGGCGTCGCTTGACGAAACCGTCAGAGTTTGGGATATTTCCGGTCTGCGCAAGAGACACTCTGCCCCAGGCTCTTTCTCACTTGAAGAGCAGATGATGGCACAGCAGAATCTGCTCGAGGGAGGCTTTGGCGACTGTGTGGTTAAGTTCATTCTCGAAGGTCATTCTCGGGGTGTCAATTGGGCCAGTTTCCATCCAACGCTACCGCTTATTGTTTCTGGTGGTGATGATCGTCAAGTGAAGCTATGGAGGATGAGCTCTACGAAGGCTTGGGAGGTTGATACCTGCAGAGGCCATACCAATAACGTAGACAGTGTCATATTCCATCCCCATCAAAACCTCATTATTTCGGTTGGAGAAGACAAGACTATTCGCGTCTGGGATCTCGACAAGAGAACCCCAGTCAAACAATTCAAGAGAGAAAACGATAGATTTTGGCTTGCAAGAGCACATCCAAATATTAATCTTTTCGGTGCGGCTCATGACTCAGGTATTATGGTTTTTAAATTGGACCGTGAACGGCCGTGCAGTTTTCTCAACCAAAACCAATTGATTTTCGTTAACAAGGAAAAGCAAGTACAAACATTTGATTACCACAAGAAGGTTGCGTCATTACCGTATGTGTCATTAAAAAAGATTGGACACACTTGGAATGCCTTCAAAAGTATATCTTACAATCCATCTCAACACTCCCTCTTGGTTAATTGTGCTGACAACCAAAGTGATAGATTTGCGCTGTGTCCATTACCAAAGCAACCTACCGGCGCTATTGAGCCAACTGCAGTTTTAGAAGACTCTGGCTCTTTTGCCACCTTTGTTGCTCGGAACAGATTTGTGGTTTACAACAGCTCCAGTCTCGCTTTGGAGGTGCGTGGGTTGGATAATAAAGTCACAAAATCTATCAAGATCGAAAATGACAGTACTGTCAAGGATATTGTCTATGGTGGCCCTGGCTCTGTTTTGATTTTAAAAACCAAAACAGTGGTTCTCTTCGACGTTCAGCAAGCTAGAAAAATGGCGGAAGTTCCTTTAAAAAATGTCAAGTACGTGAGCTGGTCCTTGGATGGCCAGTACATCGCGTTGATGAGCAAACACACAATCACTATTGTTAATAAGAATTTAGAAGTGGTGACCTCAATGCATGAAACGATCAGAATCAAAAGTGCGGCATGGGACGAAAGTGGCGTCCTGATCTACTCTACTCTGAACCACATCAAGTACACTCTCCTCAATGGAGATAACGGCATCATCAAGACTTTGGAAAACACTCTTTACATTAACAAAGTCCACGGTAAGTTTGTGTACGCTCTCAACCGTGAGGGTGAAGTGGAGATTGTGACCATCGACCCTACCGAATACCGGTTTAAGAGGGCATTGGTAAACAAAAACTTCCCAGAGGTTTTACGTATTATCCAAAACTCTAATCTGGTTGGGCAAAACATCATCTCGTATTTACAAAAGTCCGGATTTCCGGACATTGCCCTTCAATTCGTACAAGATCCGCAGACGAGGTTCGATCTTGCTCTTGAGCATGGCGATCTAAAGGTTGCTTTCGAAGAGGCTCAGAAGCTTGATGGCGCTGCTGTTTGGGAGCAACTAGGCAAAGCTGCAGTTCAACAAGGAAATATTGATCTGGTAGAATTAGTCTATCAAACCCAGAAGAATTTCGACAAATTATCATTCTTGTACTTAATCAGTGGGGATTTGTCAAAATTATCCAAGATGGAGTCCATTGCTGAACATAGAGGAGATATCTCAAGTTTGATTCTGAATACTATCTACAACAATTCTGCCGAAAAGAGAGGTAAGATCTTTGCTCAAGGTGGATCTCTTCCATTAGCTTACGCTATCGCCAAATCAAACAACCAAGAGAGTAGGGCAGCTGAAATTTTGGACGAAGCTGGTATTAATGAAGAGGATGTATCTCTGCCAAGCGATTTATCTTTGTCAACGCATTACAAAGCTCCTTTAGTTTCCGAGCCAATAAAACAATGGCCTCTGGAGGAAGCCGAGCCATCTTTCTTCGAGAAAGCTCTCTCAGGAGGTATGGAGAATATTGCCATCGAAGATGCAGTTGAAGACCCAGAACCACATTCGGCTTCGAATATTATGGACTCCGAGCAAACCGCATTCTCGGGTGACGAAGAACTTCTTGACGATGATGGGGGCTGGGACATGGATGAAGAGGACTTAGGACTCGAAGATGATGCTCCTGAGGCGCATTTGAGCGACGAAGTTGTCTCCAAACCTGTTACTGACGACAGCGAAGTCACACAATGGACTAAGAACTCTAAACTGCCTTACGTTTTGATTGCCTCGGGTGCGTTTGAGGCTGCTGCCCAAGCTTTGAATAAGCAGGCAGGTTTGGTGAACTTTGAGCCCTTGAGGCCTCGCTTCCACGAAATATATGAAAGCTGTAGAACCTATATGGCTGCTACACCCACAGAGTTGCCTAGCATTACCGGCTTGATTCGCGCTGATGCTGAGGAGGAAGAGCGTGGAAAGCTTTTACCATTCGTTGCGGGCATCGATGTGGTCACGAGTAAGGTGAACGAGGGTTTCAGACTTTTCAAAGCCAACAAGCTGGAACTTGCTGTTGAGGCTTTTCGTGACGTAATTTACACCATCACTTTACTTGCCGTGGACAACGAAGAAGATGAAACACTTGCTCGCAAGTCTTTGGTCAAAGCTCGTGAATACATTCTTGGTATCTTGATCGAACTAACCAGAAGATCTTTGCCTTCCGACGATGTTAAACGCAATCTCGAATTGGCTTCGTATTTTACCACTGCCAAGCTGCTACCGCCACACAGGAGTACTGCTCTTCAAGTGGCAATGTCCCAGTCTTTCAAACATAAAAATTTCATCCAGGCCTCCTATTTTGCCGGCGAATTCCTCAAAATTGTGACAACAGGACCCCGTGCTGACCAGGCTCAAAAGGTCAAGGATAGGGCCGACCTAATGGCAAGCGACGCGATAGAGGTTGATTTCGATCCCTTTGCTGAGTTCAGCATTTGTGCTTCAAGCTATACACCAATCTATAAGGACACTCCTGCAGTAACAGATCCTCTAACGGGCACCAAGTATCATTCCTCCGAAAAAGGCAAACTCGATGCAATTGCAGCGGTATCCAAAATAGGTAGTCCAGCGTCAGGCCTCAGAATTTTACTCTGATTTCCGCAAATTTAAAGTCAAAAACTGCATTCAGAAAACGAGTGGGGTTTTTAATGCCTTCATCGCTTGTTTAAAGCTCAATTACTGTTTAATAGATCGTACATAGAATTACCTAGATATCCTCAAGATTTGGCAGTTCTACTTTTCTTCCCATATTTCAAATATGATAATGTACGCGTAAATGTTTTTGAATGTAAACATTAAATCACGATGTATGAGATATCTACTCGATAATCGTAGATGAAGATTAATCAAAAAGAAGAGGGCCTTGGTACAAGATATTAGGCGTTTCAAAACTCTATCGACATGACAGGTGAGATAATAACGCTCCAGATTGGACAGTGTGGTAACCAAGTTGGGAAACAGTTCTGGTCACAATTAATTAAGGAGCATGGAATTGACAAAGATGGTCAGAGTAAGGAACCTGATAATAACGATAGTAATACGGTGAGAGAAGATGACCCGACAATCTTTTTCCGTCAAAACGATAGTAACAGATTTACGCCTCGAGCTTTGATGTTTGATTTAGAACCAAGTGCGATTGCAAACGTACAAAATTCATTTCCGGGTTTGTTCAATGAGCGAAACGTATGGGTATCTAAAGACGAGCTGGGAGCTGGAAATACATGGTCTAAGGGCTACGATTACGGTCTCGAGAACCAAGAGGAGTTCATCGACATGATCGACAAAGAAATAGACGCCACAGAAAATTTTGAAGGTTTTCAGCTTCTTCACTCGGTAGCGGGAGGTACGGGCTCAGGGTTGGGATCTAACTTCTTAGAGGCTCTGTCGGATCGGTATCACAAAAAAATTGTAACCACGTATTCCGTGTTCCCCAGTAGCGAATCGGAAGTTGTTATTCAGCCCTACAATACTATTCTAACTTTGAGACGATTAATCGAGAATAGTGATGCATCTGTTGTTTTTGACAATAACGCCTTGTTGAATTTGGCTACCAGAGTTTTTCGCGACCGCAACACCAGCTATGAACAAACTAATCAATTGATTGCAAGTGTGTTATCCTCTGTGACCAACAGCCTAAGATTTCCGAGCTACATGTATAACTCACTTCCCAGCATATTTTCTACTTTAGTCCCAACTGCTGACTTGCACTTCCTGGTACCGAGCTTCACGCCTTTTACGGCAGATTTTATCCCTGAAGTCCGAGATTTCAAGAAAAGCTCAGCATACGATGTTGTGCTTGATCTGTTTGATAAAAACAATGGAATGATTTTGCGAAGTAACGATACTCCCGTTTATTTGAGTATTTACGACTCTATCCTGGGACCAGTAGACCAGACAGATATTACAAGAGCTATTTTGAAGTCTCAACAGCGCGTAAAGTTTCCACCTTGGTCACCTACCGCACTTCACGTTAACGTTGGAAAGAAATCTTTATACAATGTATCGCCGGGTTCTGACCGGGTGAGTGGTATGATGCTAGCTAATACAAGCTCAGTCAACGCTCTTCTGCAAACGGCATGTTCGAGTTTCGATGTCCTTTTTAAGAGAGGTGCATTTATACACATGTACCAAGACGGCAGAATGTTTCAGAATGGCGTTGACGAATTTGTGGAATCGCGGGAGATTGTTCAGTCTTGCATTGATGAGTATTTTTCAGCTGAGCAGGAAACATTTTTGGACGATGTTCTAATTGAGGATGAGAACATGGTGGGTAATATCGATGGCTTGGATGCAGATGGTGACAATATTATATGATTTGCTGATACTGATATTTTGGTATTAAGATATTATTAAACTTTGCAGCGTGCGTGTGTTTTTTCTATCCCATTTTATCAGGCTACGATGGTTTGAATTGTGCTATTTTTTGACCACTACCTTGGCGCGAAGGAAACTTTCGAGCTGGGGGCGGTGCTGGAGGTTGTAATCGTTTCGTTATAGACTCCGCTGATAATGAGGCGTCGGAGTTTAGATACAGATGAGGTGGTCGTCTTTCCAATCCAAATCCGCGATTTGAAGAAGCTGAGTTCAAGCTGACGCTTGATCTTCTAGAGTCGTCAGTGTCAACCTTCACTAGCTTATCAAAATCGGTTGAGTAAGGCTTTAACCATTCAACTTGTTGCAGGCATTTTTGTGCCAACCTAACAGTGGTTTTGTGTACCGGTTTTACCTCAGACGAGCATATATTATCGAGCGACGACAAGTTTTCCAGAACGTGTATCAAATCAGATCTACGGTATTTTGTGTGCGCCAGCTCGGTGTTGTTTAACAAGGGAAATAGAACCCGAAGAAAAGTGTTTCTAATAAGTTCCTCATCGTCAGGAATATTATTGAGCTCTCTAATCAAAACGTCAACGAAAACGTGTAGATCGTTCAAATAAAAGAAGTCCTCCGCAGAATCTTTATCTATCGTTAATATCAGGTATACTACTTTGCATAGCATGATCTGCAGAGATCTGTTGGTCACTCTGTTAAACTTCAAAAGCAGGAGCTCGACAAAATTCTTAGAAACAGAATGATCAACCAAGTATTTGTAGACGCGGTTCTCCAGCTCGAATTGGTAGGAGAATATCATGTATTGTTCATTTAAAGCCAGCAGCAGTCTGAATTTAGCGTTATTGAAAATGTCGTCCATAATTTCTGATTGTATCGTGCTTATCATGAAATACACAAAGAAATCATCCACGAGAGAAAGGTTTGAGATATCGCATTTGGAGTATTTGAACACCTGGAATAAGATATCCATGAGGATGGTAGATACTTGCTTCATGTTGTCGATTATTTCCCATTCGATGTCGGTATTTCCCGATCCAAATTCGCTTTTGCCGCTACCACTGGAATTCAGCACCTTGTCCTCTCCGTAGCGATTCAAATACGCAAAGATGTTGTACAAATTATTGTAAATGACGGTAAAACCTTGAAATTCAAGCAATAGCTCTAAGACCGAGGAATCACCCTTGGCGGCGCACAAGAGAATATAGCTGATGGTGAACTTCATGTTGGACTCTAACAAATCCACACTCAGTAACGAGAGCAGTTTCCCGATTGCGAATTCTTTGTTGTTGCGAAAAATGAACGATTCTGTGAAAGTGACACCAAGCCGATACATGCCCTGCTCGGTTTTGATGAAATGTTGGTAGTTGTCGGTGGCATTTTTAATGTATTTGACCAACGCTGTATTCACAGCTACTTCCCCGGGTGCATCGGACACGTCTAAGATGCTTTCCATGTACTCCCAAAAATGAGCTGCGCTGGGCTTCAAAGAAAGCTTCTCTCCCTCATATTCTGCTCTGGGTGATTTTACCAGCATTAGAGTTAACGAACGACTATCCCGAGGATCCAAAGACCTCGCTTTTCAACGGTCCTTTCACAAAGACATATTAATCTTAATGTCAGGGTATTCTGAAAGTCAACTGGAAAAATAAAGCCCAAACAATTCAATCATAGGAATATAAAATACACTAACCCAAACAGACGGCCCGTTGTCTTGTAATGAACTGCTCAACGTTAAATGACTGAATTGAAAGAAGTACGCTAGCTCTGGTTTTCTATGTAACTCATTATTTTACTAATGCTGATAATAGATTTACGAGCTCATAACCACCGCGGAACTGAAGTTACGTGAGCGCAAGTTTGAAGACTCGATCAAACTTTACAGTGCCGTTTTAAAATTGATCGAGAAACTAGAATCCGAGCACGATGGGTTTGAAAACGTCGAGGATGTTCAATCAGCTCTAAGTCTATTAAAGAAGGAGATCGAGGGCAAAATCACAGAAGTTCAAAGGCTGAATGTGCAGCGGAAAACTTTGAATGCGAAAAGCTCTGGTAACGAGAATCGCGAATCGCAGGCTTTCAATGGGACTCAGGTCTTTTGCGCTAACATTTTAAACGCGGTAAGGGCGAAGACAGATTTGAAACCGGGAATATCGCTTTACGAACTGGAGAACAGCGTTTCCAGAGAGCTTAGCCAGTTACTTCAAGGGGTATCGCTTGTGGACCAGCAAAAATTCAAGGAGTACGAATTCAAAATCGAGCAGCTACACAGGGAAAACAAACAACTGACAAGTCAAATCAACAAGCTCAAAGAGCGGTGGGACAGCCTAGTTGAAAGTGCACGCCTGAAACGAAACCTACAGCACGAGTGATCGAACTCGATCGTGCTTTCGACTATTTAGATCTTTTCCGTTTATGTATTGCACAGAAGTACTTATTTCGCTTTCTTTTAGTTTGCTCTTAACCCATGCAATATTTCCTCTTTGGTGATAAGATGGCCAATAGTTTCTATTTGTTCAAGCAATTGGTCAACGTTAGAGGACCACTCGTTCAGCGAAGAACTAGAGGTTTCGGGTCTGCCAAAGTTCACGATCTTTGCGGGTCTGTTGATTTTGGCGTAGATAATGCCTTGATTGACAAGATCACTAATGAACCTTTCAGTCTCAGGCTCGGTAAGATCCAAAAGCTCATTTAATCTTGAAAGATTGATGCGAGTGTAGTATTTAGACACGACTCTCAAGTTGTGCTCAATAACTCTTTTGCGAAGGTCCTCCCAATGAGCTTCATTGGACCCGAATGCAACATTATCAGCGTTCAAAAAAGTTTCGTAGGTGTCTTTCACAATGGGCCATCTCATAAGTTCTGGGGTCGTGAACAACTTGGCCAAAGATTCGGGTTTTTCCAGTTTTTTTAAATTGTTGTCCAGTTGAATCTTGTGTATCAAATCATTTTGTAAATTATCGTACGGCGTTAATACCAAAAACATCACCACATGCGTAAGAGCGTCTTTCCACTTGGCCTCATCCGCCTTGATAGCATCTGTATTATAGAGCTCTTGGTAGTACTGTGCAACTTGTAGATAATCACGTTTATGAAGCCCTATCTTGATCAACAAATGGAAATATTCAAGTTTCAAAGCTTCATATTTAGCGTTTTTGAAAGTTTTCTTCAGGATTTTACGTGAAAGCACAGTAGCCTGAGCAAAATCGCCCTTTAGAATACTGAGCTCCATTTGTTCCAAAATGAACTCGATTTTTTCGCTCATTTCCATGGACCCAAACGTTTCAACCTGAAGAGAGCATAGCAAATCTGCAGCCTCGTCAATTTTCCCCTCGGACCTACGGATCTGCGTCAAAATCCGCGTAACGCGTGCTCTCTCTACCTCGACGAAGATTTTGTTTTCTGTAACAGCTCTGATGGCCTCAATAACGCGGACTTTGGTGTCACGATCTGCCACATTTTCCAGTCTCTCCATGATCTGCTGAATCATGAATTGAACGGACAACTTCAGTTGCCCATGTTTCTTGGCCAAAAGCGCCAGTTGCTCGTCGAGAACGTCCCATTGATTTCTCGAAGCCAGCAGTTCCACTATTTGAGCCATTAGTTTTTTAGACGACTCCAAATCCGAAGCCTGGCGTGTCTTTTTCTCCAAAATCAGCAACTGTTCCAATGCGCCTTCGACATCATTATTCTTAGCCAAAACCTCAATTTTGGGCAGTTCATCCTGCAAGATCTCAGTATAGTCCTTTTCCGCTTTCAAAGGGGCATCTCTAGACATGGTTCAAATCCTCAGATAATTAATATTCGTGTCCCTGCGAGGTCCGGATAAGAAGATTATTGTGCTTAAAGGACTATAACAATTATTAGAATTGATATTTCCCTTTGCCACCCATCGCACGTGACAATCACGTTATTGTGGAAGTTGAAAAATTTACTTGTCCAAGAGATGAGATGCGATGAGATGAGCCGATGATTTACAACAAACCAGCTAAAGTTTAGAAGAGGTCTTTGAAAAGTCACTAGCACCAGACTTAGCCAGCGTTTTTTGATAGAGATATAACCTGCGTTTAATCATGGCGGGATCTCAGTTGAAAAACCTGAAGAAAACTCTTAAAGAGCAGGGATTCACGGGCCAAACCAACGTCAGAGGCTCGAAGAAAGGAAATAAGAGACAAGCCAGAGAGTATGATCGAGAAGAAAGAGCAGAACAGATCACCAGGATCCGCGAGCAGTTTAGTCCCTTTGAGCTGAAGGTGAACCGCGACAAGAGAGCGGTCCAGGGCTCGCAAAAAGCCGCTCAGAGACCAGTCGGAAAGCCTGGCATTTCCAAGCAGGTCGGGGAACAGCAGCGTTTACAAGCACATGAGGCACGCAGTCGCAACAAAAATAAGCTAGGTGGTGTGTTGGATCGCAGATTTGGTGAAAGAAACAAAGATATGACGCAGGAGGACAAAATGTTGGAGCGTTTCACGAGAGAAAGACAATCGCAATCTTCTACCAAAAAATCTCTATTCAACCTTGAGGATGACGATGATGAAGGAGGATTTGGAGGTTCGGCCGCTGATGATGATCTATACGGGGGGTCCTTGACTCATTACGGCAAGTCTCTGGCGCTGGAGGACGACTTCGAAGACGGTGATCTCGGCCTTCAGGATTTCAAGCGGGACGCTCCGTTTGACAGTACTCAGGAACTAGATCAACCCGCTAGAAAGAAGACCAAAGCCGAAGTCATGAAAGAGGTTATTGCCAAGTCTAAGTTCTACAAGCAGGAACGTCAAAAGACGCAGGAAAAGCTGCAAGATGACATTCAAGATGTTGACCAGGATTTCGATGACATCATGTCTGAGTTGAATGCTGTTCCCAAGAGAAGCAAGCAATTTGCCGCTCAGGAGAAGTCTAATACTGACAGGGAATACGATACCAAAGTTCGGGAGCTGGGCCTCGACAAAAGAGCTGCACCTGCCGATCGCACAAAAACGCAAGAAGAGATTGAGAAAGAGAACACAGAAAAGCGACAAAAATTGGAACAGGCAAGACTTGATAGAATGAACGGCATGTTTAATCAAGATGAAGACCGAGGAGTTGAAGACCTAGGTGACGATTTTTGGGGAGGCGATGATTCTCAAGATGAAGGTGAGTACGACGAGCACTTGGATAATGATACCAATCCAGAAGACGACTTAGAGTTGCCTGGCGAATCGAACGAAAAGGGCTGGAGCAGAACTTCTAGGGCCGTTCCGGTACTTTCGTGCCCACAAAACCAGGAAGAACTGAGTGCATATCTAGAACATCATGACGCTAACGAACACCCCAGTTTAATCAAAGATATCGTAAAGACCTTCCAGCCTCAATTAGCAGCTGGTAACAAAGAGAAGTTGGGCAATTTTGTTGGCGTACTATTGAGACACATTTTATCTGTTTCCAATTCATACGACAAGTCTAACTTGAGTGAATTTTCAGACATGCAAAATGCCCTAATTGCGATTCTTAAATCTATGGCTCAAAAGTATAATGAGCCGTTGTCGTTGGCTTGCAGGGAAATTATAAATGAACTCCAAGCCAGGTTTAAATCACAAAGATCTCATGGGCTCTCTGCTTCCGACTTAGTTTTCTTTACTTTGGTGGGCTACATTTTCTCTACCTCCGACCATTATCATCTTGTCGTCACTCCTTGCAATGTTCTTATTGGGGAACTCCTGGAGCAGACAAAACTAAACACTTATCAAAATATTGCGTTCTGTGCCATCTTAGCCAGAATTTCTTTAAGCTACCAGCGGGTAGGCAAGAGACTTGTTCCAGAGCTTGTTTATTTCTTTGAGAAGTCCTTGATGACTCTCTTACCAATGAGTGTAGAAGCCAAAGCCAAAAAAGGTCTGACAAAAATCAAATGCGATTCTGAAGACTTGAAGGCTCCACTGTCCATTGCCGCAAATGCCATGGAAAAATGCCAGCTAAATCTTCGTCAAGTCTCAAGCCATAATGGTCAATTTGACGATTTGGAGATAACTGCACTTCTGTGTAATATACTCTCCTCATTGGACGACGCTATATCAAAAATATGGAAAGAGGTTTCTGCTTTCCCTGAGCTCACTTTACCTTTCGCAACCATTTTGATGGAGTATGAAACTCTGTATCCCGAGTTTCCAATGCCAAGAGCTATTCTGGACAAAATCAAAAGATTACAATCTTTCAACGAGCACTTCCCCCTCGCTTTACAAAACCACCGCCCACTCAGTATACCAACACACACTCCAAAGTACGAGGAAAACTTCAACCCAGATAAGAAATCTTACGACCCAGATAGAACCAGAAACGAAGTCAATAAGATGAAGGCTCAAATAAAGAAGGATCGTAAGTTCACGATGAAGGAGATCAGAAAGGACACTAGATTTGAAGCTAGACAACAAATCGATGAAAAGAAGAAAGAAAACGCTGATTACCACTCCAAGATGGCCCGTCTTGTCAATCAAATTAGCACTGAGGAAGGTGCTGAAAAGGGAAAATATGAAAGAGAGAAGAGGTTGAGGGGCAGCAAGAGATAATCTATTTCATTTTTTAGCGGCCTTGCAGTGTACTCGATTATCATTTAATGCATCAGAATATGTAAATTATCTACCAACGTCTGGCTTTTTGTAGTATTGATTGAGTAGGCCAAGAACTCCGTTTCTACCTGCTTTATCATCAGAAACATCCATCTGATTGTAATCTCCGAGGGGAATCGAATTTATGAAAGATTCACCCAAAGTGCTGTCAACTTTAGTTCGCGATCTGCTTTCATCTATCTTGTCATTTCTCAACTTAGACTTCATGTGCGACTTTGACGTCTTTCTACTCGTCAAATCGTTGTTGGCTCTTAATCTAAAGTCCTCTGGCCGTTGTCCGGGTTGGAATTGTCTTTTCCAAGAGTAATTTGTATTCAGCCATGCTGACTGGCCAGCGTCCTTGGGAGTACTATAGGTTTTGGGTAGTTGATGTTTTCCGACGGCGTTATCGTTGTTCTGATAACTGTCCAGGAAGTACATATAAGAACGCATCATTTTGCCCATACTTTTATCATCATCTTCGCTCTCAGAATCTGCAGTGTCTTCATCCTTGGCGGAAATGAAATTATTCCCTGAACGTTTGGAGCGCTTTGTGCCATGAGAAGGTTGCTCCTCCGAAGTTTTTGAATGACGTTCTCGGACTTCGAATGTAGCGTATTTGCACACATACCCTAAGCCGTCGACGTAGACTGACACCTCTCTTATAAAGTCCACAATTTTGCCAGAGGCCTTGGGCAGAGAAAGCCACAGAATAAATGGGGTCATTATCAGGCTTGCCAGCTCTCTAAGTAGTAAGATAATTCTCAAGTTGAAAAGCTTACAAAATTCTTGTTTGACTTCCTCTGTGTGGTACTTTCCATCCCATTCCTTTGGGTTGAAATGAAGATACCCAGCCACTTCTTTTAAAGCAGCCTCGGGATCGAATACCTTATATTCGTTTGACACAGAACTCCTGCAAACCGCCCATAGGGTACCAAAAACACTAATATAAAATAGGACCGACTTTTCATGCGAAAGCTCGAAGTTCAAAAAGTTTTCAGGGTCAAACACCGTCAGTAAACCGAGAATGGCAACAAAAGATCCCGATATGAAGGCCACAAACTTCATTATTAAATTTGTCTTTTCTTTAGGAAACTGATCGACATATTCACTCGCAACTTCTGCACTTAGCCCTAATCTCTTTTGAAACAAGTGATATAACTCGTTGTATTCCCTAAATTTCCATTCTGCTATCGGAGTGTATTGCCTCGAACTCAAAGCACTAGGACTTGTCTTGTATTCGTTGAAGTACCGAAAAAAGTACAGTAGTACAAAGTAAGCCACCAGAAAGGGAGATAAGATTATGTTTAAAAACCCTGCCAGCATAAACCTCTTACGCAGCTCTTCCTCCAAGTATCCTCTTTGAGATGGTTTCAAAAAGCTCTGTTTGAGGTAACCTGCTTCATTAAAGGCGAACCCTAATATACAAAGATTCAGGTTCCACTCAAGAGTCTTCGTTAATGTGCTGGTGCGGTATAGAGGTATGGGTAGTGACAGATCAAGCACGTCGCTGTTGAATAACGCAATCGAATAATTTTCTTTCCGCATAATTCTGTTTGCTACATCGTGTGCGTCAATGCGATTCTTGGCTTTCACTTCTACCACATTGGCCGTTACTGCATTTTGATCCTTTAAAAGCATAATTTGCTTGATCACATTCTGCCACGCAATTGTCTGCAAATCCTTGTCAGGGATATTGAGTAGGGAAGAATAAAAATTATGAGTATCCCTTAGAGCTTTGACATCAAAGTAGAATTGTACCAACTTCAACCCCACAAAAATATAAAATCCCCATAACAAAGCCTTAGTAGTCCCTGTAATCTGCGTGCTATAACATTTTTGGATACGAACCTCCGACATCCTGTGACTAGTTGGCAGTTTAGAGTAGTCAATGCAACACCCCAAGTATGTTGAGATGAAAACTACAAAAAGTAGCGTGGCGATGTTGAGAGCTTTTTCGATGCAAATACAGTAAAATCCATTACCTAAGTAGTATTGGTAAACCTCTTGCAAAAAAATGTCCAGGTTTTCTACGTTAGCCCATTTCCACAGAGCTCTCTCGCGCGAACTTAATGTACTCAAACGTGTTGCTGGGGTTTGAGTAATGTTGGCAAAATCATTGAAAATGCGAGGAACGCTAGGTTGGAACTTTTGCCGTTGCTGTTTTTCTTCATCCCACACAGAATTTTTCCGAAATAGGAAGCTCTCTTCCTGGGCGGTATCGTTTTGCCCAAATTTTAAAAAGTGCCTTCTGTTGTTAGTGAAGGTGTTAGCGAACTTGCCATTACTCTTTGAACCTTCAGCCGCAGTTCCCCCTATCGGTCCAGCCGGTACAGGGGAATTGAGTTTAAAATTCACAGATTGTATGTTCTGCTTGTATAAGGGAGAGTTGTCATCAGTGTTCCTGCCTGACTCGTCATCAAGGTTATCCGGAATTTGCGATTCTCGATGGTCGCTGTCATCACTGGTATCGTTTTGACCTATTTTTGCTATTGAACTATGCGACACATCGCTACTGCTGGAGCTTTCAAGATCAGAATCTGGATCTAAAACCACGCTCCGAATCCCATCGAAAGCCTGTACTCGGTTCTGGTCGCGTTCAGACCCGGCTTCTTCCTCTGAAGTACTACCTTGATCCGATTCTATGATTCTCAAATCGTCATGGTGCAACGAAGATCGTTCACTGGTGGGATTTATTTGTGTCATTTCTGTGTTGCCCATAGAGTTCCCCACGGTTGAGTGTTGCCCAAAGACTCGAGATAAAAATGTATTTCTTTCAGCACCATTGTACTTGGAGCCTGAGCTGTCCATTGAAAGGTGCTTCAAGCAAGCGATGTATGTTCTATGGCTTTTTTGCGAGATGGATAATGCGTAAAGTTCAAATTAAGGATGCAGTACTTGTATAACATATTTACCAGCGTCGTTTTCGTGACGTGTGAGCACTAATTGAAAGTAATCGAAATGAACACTTTAACCAGATACCTGGCTTCTTGCTTAATTTAAGTGTATTTAAAATTGATTACTTTAATTTTTGGAAATAGTGTACATGGATGCAATTCCGTTGAGATTTTGACTTTTCCTAGATAAGCCTAGAATTTTGGCGTTACCACCACTTTACCAGTGATTCTTCCCAGTAATTCAACAGTCCGTTCGTCATCACGCTCATCAAGAGCTACCACTTCTTGCAGAAATGTGTTTTCGGCGCCTCTATTGATGTCCATTACGACGTTTCCTATCTTCACAGTAATTTTACCGGACTTATGTATCCTGAGTGCACCGATGTTGCCGGCGAGTGGTCTATCAAGCACTTCTTGAGCGGAAGCTTCGGCAGCCTTGGAAGGAGCTTTTTCGAGCGGTTTGGAATCCGCTTCCACATCGCTTGTGGATTTGACCTCGGTCGACATAGAAGCAGTTTCCGTAGGATCCGTGGGCTCAGTAGGATCCGTGGACTCAGTAGGATCCAAATGCATGGACTTCTCTTCGGCTGGTTCGGGTGGTGTTTCGAAATCTGGCAGCACTGCAGGAAGTTGGAAAAACATGAATTTTCCGGGCTTATTATTGATCTTGAGGAGCCTATTATGTATATGAGCGTGATCATGGGCTATCCATCTAGCTTCGTCGACCGCATCTGTGGAGTCAAGAAGCGCGCTCTCGTTCTGAAGCTGCAAATCGTTGAGCTTTTCTTGAAGTTCAGCTTCTCGTTCATCTATAACATTGGATATGTCTTCTTCTTGCTTCATAACAACGCCAGGTGTTGGTTCTCGCGTGTTGAGGTCAGACATGGTGTCCTTGAGTTCCTTTTCCATTGTGTCAATGTCTTCATGACGAACTCTAACAGCTCTGACAGGAAAGAAATGAGCTAGTCTTTTCGACCGCAGTACCTCCTCATCGGGCTCGGTACCTTCTACGTCGACTTCGTCCTCTGAAGCGTACAATTCGTTTGCACGATACTCTCGTCCCATATTAAATTTCGTCTGGCCCTCATTATCAGAGTCTGCATCTTCTGCACTTTTATCACCGCTGTTAGCTTGTTGCAGCCCACGCTGTAGGAGATCATGGCTTGCGGACCCACCTTCGCTTTTCATGAATCCTCTTCTCATGTCTGATCCGCCGCCAGCAAAGTTCTCGGCGCCAAACCCAGCACCCACGACCCGCGTGTTTAGCAAATATTTGGGCACTCGTTTCTGCTGCTGTCCATTCTTTCCAAAGTCTTTTTTACTATATTTCTTCCGCGAGTTATGACCGTTTAGCACATCCTCGGTCGCTGGCTTCGGAATAGCCTTCTCTCTCTCCTCTTTCGATCTTCTTGCGAGCGCCTTTGGCTTGAACTTCAGCCCAGGCTTTGCTGCGCCCTGATTAAGTCCCGGCAGTCGTCCAGTTCCACTCATTGGTCTTCTGAAAGCTATTTACCTGTGTTTCTTCAACTTTTAAATGTTTTCATTTTCACCTCATCGCTTAATTTCAAATTCAATATTAGAACTAATTTTTTACTATGAAAATTTTACACGGATTAAGAATTTTGTTAGCTCAGCGCTTGCTCATCGCTGATCGTCGAGAGGAAAATAAGCTGTAAAAAGACGTTTTAAACTGAAAAGAACAGTAATTACCTCTTTGAACATTACTTGAGGAGTTAGTGCGACATCATGGCTCGCAAAAATGGTAACCGGACAAAGTCTGGTGCCAGTAAGGAACAAGACCCATACGGGTTGAACGAAGTGGATGACTTCGCTAGTAAACGGGAGAAAGTGATGCTCGAAAGAGCTGGCCTTGCGTCTCAAGTAGATGAAAGCGATGATGATGGTCTTATGGATGACCAGGAAGAAGAGCAGGTGCTAGACGTGGAGAACTCCGAGAGCGAAGAAGAAGAGGAAAACGACGAAGATGAAGAACTAGATGGTGAAGCAGCGTACAGGCAGGTTTTCGGCCGTAAAATGGAAACACATGGAGATGAAGATGAAAAGGCTGATGCAATGCTCGACAATGATGGCGCCTGGGGACCAACCAAAAACGAATACTATGGTGCAGATGATCTTGACGACGACGAGACCGCTAAAGAGATTGAAAAGGAAGCACTGCGCCAGCAGCGCAAGCACCTAGCGGACCTTAATATGAACGACTTTCTTGATGAAGAAGTCGAACAGGACTGGGCTCAAAGCGCCAAGAATTTCACCCTTGGTCAGTTTCAAGCCGACAGCACAACTAAGGCGGCTGATACTACTACAAGAGCTAAGGATATTTTTACTATGACACCAGAAGGCAAAGAACGTTTGCTTAAGACCTGGTGTCCAGAATTTTTCCCGTTGTCCAAAGAGCTGGCATTGTGGTCTGCTGAGCTGGAAAAAGTCAAGGCTCAATCTCAGACCGGCGAAGCTGGAAGTTTGAAAGTGGCAGCATTGTCATCATATCTGGGAACCATCTCTTCGTATTTTGCCGTTCTACTTCATGAGCTGCAAACTAACGACGACTTCCAAGGCATGAAAGAACATCCCATCATGGAATCCATTCTCACATCGAAAGAAATTTGGAGACAAGCACGAGAACTACCCGATGAGGTATCTCCTCAAGATCAAGAACAAGATTCTGAAGTGGACGCAGTATCGGATTTGGAAACTTTGGATGAAGAGCTCTTGGAAAATCGTGAGCATGACGGGTCGTCTGATGCAAGTGTTCAAGAGTCAGATGACGAAGATGAGACTACAGACGCGTTCAACTTTGATATGAAACCGCGTGTTCATAAAACCAATGATAACTTGTTGCCCAGCGCAGAAGTTGACGATTTCGTAGAGTCCGAAGTTGCAGATGTCGATGCACAAGAGAAGAAAGCTCGCAAAAAGACGCTGCGATTCTACACGTCTAAAATCGATCAGCAAGCAAACAAAAAGATCGATAGATACAAAGGCGATGACGACATTCCTTACAAGGAGAGGCTCTTCGAAAGACAACAAAGGTTATTGGAAGAGGCGCGCAAACGTGGTCAGGCTGGGCCCGACAGTGCACAACTGGACTCGAAAGATTATGACTCCGAAGATGAAAAAGTCGCCCAAAATATCAACAAAGATTCGTCAAATGACTACTACAGCAAAATACAACAGGATGGTACGAACAAAAAGCAAGCTCGTAGGCAAGCTCACAAAGATGCAACTTTGGCAAATCGCAGCGGCAACTTAGCAGCATTATCTGGCGAAGCCGACGATAATACTAAGCGTGCTGTCAACTATCAAATCATGAAGAATAAGGGCCTCACTCCTCACCGTAAAAAGGATAACCGTAACTCGCGTGTCAAGAAGAGGAACAAGTATGACAAGGCGCAAAAGAAACTCAAATCGGTTCGCGCTGTTTATTCTGGTGGGCAAACTGGCTCTTACGAAGGTGAAAAGACTGGTATCAAGAAAAATTTGACAAGATCAGTCAAATTTAGAGAATAAGTATAATAGACTATAGCATGATAACATTAAAGGTGTGACGAGGGGTTTCTGTCAACACAGACATGATTTTTTTTGAAAATTTATTACATTCCCAGATGTATGTGTTATATATATGATTACATTATGATTGATCAAAATACCTGTAAAGATCATGCTTGTTGTTATTAAAAGTTGTCGTTGATATTAGTGAAAGGAGCGTGAAACCGTTTAGGGTACCACAAGTTTCCCTTTCAACTTACGCGTTGCTCAGCCATAGCGATCCATCTAGCCACAACTTGTGAGGAGCGACGATGACGGCGTTCGGAATATTTCTCGAAAATGGCTTGATGGCGTTTGGAAGCGTATCTACAGTTCTCCAATATTATTGTTGCCAAAGGAAATAGTTGTTCCGCAGTATAATTGGAATAGTAGATATGCTGTTGAGACCACTCATTGAGGCCAAGTATTACACGGCTCAAATAGTAAGCGCCGGAAGCCAACCAACTTGGTTGGGCCGAGGCCAAACGAGAATCCATTATTGTGGTTTCGAGTAAGTATTTGGCAAGCGTTCTTATATCGTACTCATAGTCGTCTGCTTTGCTGACACGACGTAGAAACGACATAGGACCGGGCCAGCCCAATTCGAATTCTAAAGTGTTTATCATGTATCGTTCAGCCTTCAAAAGTTCATCTTTGGAATAAGAATTATCCAGCATGTAAAGAATTTCTTTGAGAGTGGGACAATTGATCTCCTCAAATTTTGCGGCGAGAAATAAAGCCGCTGCTCCCACCAACTGAAATCTGTTCAACGTAACAGTCTTGCGCGATAAAAACCTATCGATGATGTTCACAGTCAAGTACAAAGTCTCTGGTAATAGTTGGAACCGAGCATGAACCTGTACTATCCAATCAATCAGAGTAGACCGATAGGACCATTTAAGCTCCGGTTGGAAATGCATATAGCGCGGATGCGGCTGAAACTTCACCTCTAGTTCGTGAAGATATTGGAATATTTCCTCGCTGTACTCTACGACCATAACCAAGTCATAAGTGTCCTCGTCGAGAGGATCCGGTCCATCAGTATGCAGTTGCTGGTGTGCAAGTTGGATGGCACTACGGGACTCATCGGTGGAGAGCAAGAGCAAAGGTTCGCTGTCGGATAAGACAGAGGACGTGTCCCCATTCTCCTTGTCGTAGTCATTTTCGTCTATGTCGTGATCGGTGTTGATGTTGTTGTTGCTGTTGTTGTTGTTGTTTACCACAACTTTATCGTCGAGAGTCGTTTGGCTTCGCACGTTAACCTCAGCCGAAGACACTGGTGAAGACTTTTCTAGAGACTGATTCCAGGATGGGTTGTTTGTGTCTCGTACGTGCGTGTCCCGAACGTTTAAAGGCCGGGAATAGAGGCCGGTTTGGCTCTTGTGTAGCGGAATGTTGGCCTGGGAAGTGACGTCCCCGAGCGCAATGCGCTTGGAATTCGGCAGCAGCGACGGCGCTGTAGTCTCTGAATCAAGCAAACCAGCATGATTCCACTCGTCCTTGTGGTGCGCCGTACTAACGGGCACGGTGTTTTCGTCAGTGTACGGCAGAACTGGCATTGATAGAGCTTCCAGGTATGATCAAGGAGCAATAACAGTACGATACAATGGCCCAAGCGTCAATGCTTTAATCTTGTTGATGTGCAAGTACACAAACCTGCAGACCGAGAAGGAGATACAGTAATCGATGCACACGATGTCAAACACCACAATGACTGGAAAATCAAGATTTAGAACGAATCTAGGAAGCCTGATGTTGACTGAAGTCGAGTCAAACACGCAATGGATCTCGTTGTATACTTATGTACACTCGTGTGTATGTTTGTCTGTGCTAGGACAAAGATTTTCCAAGTGTCAACAAAAAAATATCCAGCTACGGTGAGAGGATTTGGTAAATTTGAGGTCTTGAAAACAAAACAATGACACACGTGAGAGCAGCGTATCTCTTTAGATAGTAAAACACCATGAGCGATGCACGACGCATATAGCAGTACTCCTAATCATCTGTGTGGATGCTCCAAATGTGCCACGCACCATTGAAAAAGAGTTGCCCGATTACAGAGAAATTGAATTTGTGCGGGTTTAGTTTCGTGTCACTAGCAAATTCGTACGTGGCAAATAAAATGTTGAGGTTGTAGTACGATACCCACCATCAAGAAGGTCCTTTTTGGAAAGGGAAAGATCCTAGCTTCATGGAAAGCTGATCAACTACACGATATGCATCATTTCATATCACTTTGTACTATACTGACACGCTATTGATCCGGCGCTCAGCTAATACAACTTCACAACAAGGGCAAGTGAGGTGTGTATGGGTCTCAAGATATGGTAGAAATTACTCTCGGCATGCTTCCAATGTATACTTTCAACAGACCAGCTTAAACACTTCTGGAAAAGCATCTATTAAGTGGTGAATAATAGGAAGTAAAGTAGCGGCCTCAATGTACACTACATATTCGAAAACATAAATCTTCGAGAAAATAACCAAAATGTAGGATATTGAGCAACGGGTCATACATCGCTAACCCAACAATGTCCCGCTTACTTCTTCCCTGTAATATATTCATATCTTCAAGTTTTCGCAATTCTAAATTTGAGGTAGCAGTCAAGCATATAACTTACATCCCCACCATTAGGATGCTTGCGCCGAAACCCGAAACGCTGTCGATGCTCTCAAATTGCGTCCGTCTTCCGGCAATGGGGCATCGATATGCCCTTATCGCGCGCGGTTCTTATCTTCGTTGCATGTGACTCATACCATCTTAACATCACTGATATGAAGTATAATTCAGCTGTCCAAACCTTGTAACACTCTCTCACGAACCGAAAGCCGCACGAGCTCTCTGTAGCAAACTAGTTCTACGTAGCCAGAACTGACACTCAAACCACCTTCAATCCAATTGATGATATTTTCTTGCAAACATGGGCGCTCCAACTCAAGTTCAAAATCCAAATTACAACAGTTCAATAAAGCCAGATCCAGATTCCGCTCTGAGTTATGGGTCTCAGACAAGAAGTTGCTCACCTGGAGAAGAAATGGACCATGATTCGCAGCTAACCGAGAACGAAGTGGGGCAAAGATCGCAGTTTACCCACTATGAAATGGAGCAAGAACCTCAGCCAAAACTTAAACCCAAACGAAATAGATCTCGAGCCGGGTGCTACACCTGCCGTTTGAGACGCAAGAAATGCGACGAGAAAAAACCTAAATGCGGAACCTGTTCTAAACATATGTTAAAATGCATTTGGCCTCGTAAGGGTCAAGGCCGACTCACCAAAGAAATGCGAGAGAAGATGAAGCAGAAAATAGACCTTTACGACGACGGCTCGGGCAATGCGCTAGCAACCAATAATTCTGAAGTGTGTTTTACGTCCAAATCTGGGATCCAGTACTTTGTCAATTATACTCTAGACTCCAACAATCGCAAGATGGTCCTCATGAGTAGCGATGTGCCGGGCTCAGGCTCGATGCTCGAAACCCTTAGTGACGAGCAGTCTGCCGAAGATGACGAATTTGAAGATGAAGAACTAGAGCGTCAAGAATCAATGGAAACCGATCATACCGAGAACCAGATACCATCGAAATCCCAATATCATTGGCAAAACGAAACGCAACAACCCGAAAAAACAGCGCTGGAACCTAGCGGTCAGTTATTACTCTCTAGTGATAACGAACGATTGATTCAGCAATCAGAGCAAAATTCAAGCGAAGACTGGTTTGCGCTTCTTAATAGTCCCCAAGCGGGCCCGGGGACACCCTCAGTTCCTGCATTTTGGGAAAAGCTAATAAACATGGACTTCAAAGACCAAATAATGTCTCCAAGTTTCCCAATTATATTACCACCTTCTACTCCACAAGCAATAACCGTCAACTCCGACTTTCCGACGCGAAATGCCATCACAAGTAATAACACAGACGAAGACTACAATGCCTACGGGTTAGATGAAGAAATGTCAGAAAAATTCTATGGAAAACTGATGAGAAAGTTTGTTAGCTGGACTTCTTTTAGCAACGAAACTAAAAGAATGCCTGTGGCCAAATTGATGTCACAATATCAATTCACGCATCAAGAACTTTTGCTATACTACACATGCATATATTACTTCCTACCCGCTGTAGGTCCACAACAAACGCTTCCACAATTGACCACCACAGAGACGTTCGTTCCTCTACTTACGCAGCATGCCATTGTCAAAGATGTGTTTTTATGTTGTGGAGCAACATTTCTAGCATGGTGTCAGCCTCAAAAATATTCGGACATTGCCGAAAAGCTGTATCAAAGTTGCAAGACGGGATTAGACAAGGAAATGGAGTCTGAAAGAATACGCGGAGACGAAACATGGGCATTCGCATGTTTTCAGTTACTATGTCTGACCAATAAGCTACACAATGGCAAAGGAGAATCTATGGTTGACCGATGTGTGGATAACCTGGCTCATTCATTCAACATCATAAAACACAAATACGACGCCATTGAGAAGCATGGTTCGACCCCAACCGATCGAATGTTGATTGAGAGTTTCATGTACAACTACACCGTCTCATTACTCGTTGCTAAAGATCTGTCCAAATTGCCCGATCCGTTTGGAACAGCTTTTCAGAACTTGAGGGTGCTTTTGAAGTCCCCGATCTTCAACGATTGCGATGTGGAGTGGATGAATAACCCAGTTTTGGGGCCGTCGGTGGACGCCTTTTGTATGCTCGCGAAAGTATCGTTCTTGAGCCGAATGCCGCTTCCACTTCAGTCGAGTGACTGGAAAGCAACGGCTCAAAAACTGCTTGAGGAGTGCTTGTACTACACCCCGCCTACACTACCCGAGCAGGTGCGCAGCAATGAGCGCAAATACGAAATATACAGGCCCGGTCTGTTATGCGGATCTATCATCAGCAAAGCGTGCTACCTGCTGCTGAACAAGATCCTGAGGTTTGAAGAGTTCGACGTGCGTGATTGCGAAATTCAAGGTGTAGTGAAATATACGATTCGAAGTCTGAAGGATATCGAAAAGGGGAACCCGCTGCTTTGCATTTTGTTGTGGTCGCTGCTGATAATTGGAGCCTTCACCGTGGACTCTGAAGACCGCCTGGTCATCAAAGAGTATCTGAAGAGTACATCTGAGACCATTCACTCCTATGGAGCCTTAAAAATCAACAATCTATTGCAGCTAGTCTGGGATCGCGACGACATCAACCTACTTTTTGTCAGAGAGAACATCAGTCAAGTTATAATCTAGAGTCGGGTACGCTCGATCAACAAGCGTGGTGACGCACCCAAACACCGAGGCTTGCATGTGCACCTGCCTCCACATCCGGTGCTTCTTTAGACCAAGATACACACACACGCTACAACAGAGCCTGCTTTTTCGCTTAAAAGAAGCGAGAATTCATATCCGAACCATCTAACCCACGCTGTCCATTTTCGCTTAGCGATCGCTCGCCAACCATACGTGCTCCCACGAGGTCTCGCCCACCGCTCAAGGCTAAGCGCATTTGACGATATTGAGTCACGGGAGAGCCTTCCGAAGCCGCCACGAGACGCAACAAGCCGTGAGTTTTTCATTCCAAATCTTCGCTTAATGTTCAGTACATGCCCGCAAGCGGCATCAGGCTGCCAGAATCCTACCTAGCGAACAAGTGCCAGCGTATAACCTCTGCACTACCACGGGATCACAGCTGCACTTCTGTTTAAGCCCGTTCTTGAGCGCTCAAGCGCTAAATTTGGCTTAATCGCTTGGGCCGGAAATTTTTCACACAGGCCTTATCACTGAAAAATAAATTTGTCAATCAGAAGATAAGCAGAGTATGCGAAGAACGAGCTGGGAGAATCTGCCATAAGCGCTCTCGAGGCCACGGATGCTCGCAGGCTCCTGCTTTAATTTCGCCTGTGTTGATAGATTAAGCGTTCAAGGAGCAGGAACAGTCAGGGGAGTTTCCAGAGGACCGGCACTTCCGAGGAGGGGAGAAAAATATAAGAAGGGCGTATATTCCGTCTGGCTCTGTTGAAGGCTTGAAAGCAATTGAATTTCTCCCCTACCCAGCAATCTATTGATTGACGTTTTCGATAAAGATTTCGATTTAAAACTATTCACACTTCACTAACTTCGGTTCCAATGATTAACGGACCAATTTCTCCACCTGCATCTCCTCTGGAAAACATGAAGACAAAACCTGTTGTTAAACTGAATCCAGGCCACTGCAGAACCGTGGTGCCAGTAAATAGAACCAGTGATATCGAGCGGGCCACGCTTACGCTGGCCAAAGCCTTCGTGGACTCGAAGGCTAATGACTACCTCATGAAGAAGTTCGTCAACATCCCAATTGACGAGCCAGTGTCCAAGATGCGCATCAACGCTGTTTTGCACTATTTCAACACCCTGTATTCAGATAAGGGCGGGGAAATTGTTGAGGCCAACGATTTCGACGCCGTGGCTGTCTGGAGTGCCCCTGGTCGTCACATTGACCAGGACTATACAAACGACCCAGCTTTCAACAAGATTTTCTTTGACGACTTGCACGACAAGCGCGAAGCGATCTTGCAGGACATAGATTGCTACTACTTGTTCATCATTGGCAAAGACCTGACGCAACCCGAGGTTCGTGGTTCAGTCAGAGCCATTTTTGAACACTACAAACAAAAAGCTGACGCCGAAGGCGTCGCTTTGGTCTTGGAGGCCATTAGCGAGCATGCCAAATCCGTTTACGAGTATTTTGGCTTTAAGAATTACTACACTTTCACCTACGGTGTTGGTGAAGTTGATTCGAACGGTAACCCCGATCCTAACGGAGAAGGTTTCGTGGGTTACTTGATGTTATATTATAAGGGCGACTTGCCAGGCGCAACGGACATGTAATAGTAATCACGAGTCAACCGGTGTCTCAGGCGATTACTGCCATATGTCTGGTCCAAAAAAAGGTGTTTGCATTTTTTTTGATAGAATTGGAGGGAAATCATACCAACATTTCGAAGTTTTTTCTTTGATAACTTTTATTTACATCCCTTATCAAGTGCTAGTGTGTTTGCTAGCATTTGAGTCTACTTTCTACCTGATCGTAACTTCAATACAAAAAAACTTTTATTATTTCTAATGATTTCTCTTTTCACTGCTGCCTCCTATCTTCAAACAAAAACACTTTGCCGCTTGAATTACCCCCGACTATCCAGTTTTGCAAGGGATGCCAACTCAATACAGCAGGTACTGTCGCTGTCTTTAGGTGGGCCAATTGGTCACCGGAACTGTGATAAATGTCAATGGCTCTACTCATATTAGCGATTGCAAAAACATCCATATTCGCTTTGAAGCGTGTCTTCAATATACTTGTCCATCTTCCACTTTGACAATTATGTTTAAGTGTAAGTTTTGGCTGCAACTCCGCGGGAGGGACTTCTTTTACATCGAAAATACGAATCGTATCATCATAGCCATTGCAAACCAAAGAACCGTCCAGCGGTGAATAAGACACAGCAGACACACTAAGTCTCGAGTCGTAGGTGGAAACTAACTCGTGGCTTGGATAGTCCTCATTCTGTAGCCAAGACGGGGATTTGACAACTTTCCGCACATCCCAAAGTTTAAGAGTTCGATCCAGCGACCCAGTAGCAATCTCGTAAGGTCGTTGAGGATTGATGCTGAAGGACCCAATCTTCTTGTCCGCCAACCTTCTTATATTGGTAGACGTTGGCTTTGTCCGAAGATCGAAGGCCGCAAACTCTCCGCCCAACGTAGTCAAGAAAATTTGATTTGGATCCTCGAAGCTAAATTGAAAGTCACTGATACCCATATAGTCGTCGTACTCGTCTTTCATCGTGAGCATCTCATCGCTTTGGAAAGTGGTCAAATCTATGGACCTTAAAAGGCCATCGTAAGAAGCAGTGGCTAATTTACTAGTGTCTTGTGGAAATACGTCAATCTTCGCAACGTTTTTGTTGAAAAGTTTAACCGTAGTAATATCTGGAGATTCGACCTCATCGGCAGGCTTTTCCAAATGCACATTCCAGAGCCCAACATGTCCTGTGGTATCACCGCCGATCACAAGTTTCCGGTCTATCGATGGATGGAAAAACATCGCGCTAATACGGTCATGAACAATTTTGACTTCATTAGGCTCAAAAATCTCGTACAGTTGCAAGTCAAGCTCTTTTTGTAGTTGAGCCACGTCTCGAGATACCTTCTTGTGCTTCTGTATCTCTTGAAAGAAGTCCCCTGAAGAAAAGGTTTTGTTGTTATAGCTTTGAAATCGAGCTAAGAGCTCACTCTCATCTTCAGATTTCAACAGATCACTTAACTTAACGTCTCCTACCACAGCCGTGTTTTTCAATTCTTCCAGCTTACTTTCAGAAGTGGTGTTTTTTAGCAGTTCATGATCGTTGACGTGCGGTACTTCTTTGCCATCAGAAGATTCACCCATCAATCTTCTTGATCTTCTCGTTGGTACTTTGACTGGCTTAGGCTCTCTTTTAACTACCCGCTTTTTACTACCGCGATTTCTGGCCTTGGGTTTATCATCGACTCCTACTTCACTTTTGAGCTGTTTAGATACACCATTTAAGTTCAGTTTTTTAAGCAAATCATTGTTTCTCTTAATGTTCTCCAGTCTCCTCTTCTGGAACTCACTCAATTCACCCATTTCTTGGTTTTAGGGTTCGTATTTTATTTTAGGCTTCCCTCGTAATTGTTTTTATATTTTCGTTACAGCTAATTAGAGCTCATCGACCATACGACTACCGTCTCCAAAGTTCAAGAATCGTGAGAACATCTTTGGCGATGTCGAGCAATATCTTGTCAGTGTTCAATCCACCACCTACAAGAGAGCTATCGGAAGAAGAAACTCAGGATTGTGTTCCTTGCCAAGTCATGAGTACGGTGTTCAGTTTAGGTTTCGGCAGCTATTTGGCTAGTGGAAAGCCGTTCGAATACTCTGAAAAAGAGAGAACAAAAGGAATATCAGTAGAAAAATTCCAGAAACTCAATCCGAAATGGTGGAGGACTAGTTTACGAGGTATGGGAGGTTTATTAGTGGTCTTTGGCATAGTAAGAGGTACGGAAAAATGGCTTTGGAATAAAAGTGATCGGAACGACCAATGATGAAGGAATCAAAAATCGAAACATTATAAATAGTGACGGGATCGAGTTTTGAGCATTTTGATCTTCTTTTTGCTAATATAAAGTTATCTATTGTTACATTTTAGAAATCTTGGACATTACTTGGCATTTTTCGCATTTTTGACATTCAGAGTCAACGATGCCTAGCCGCCGTAGCGGCGTTAGCAGAGCTTTCTAGCTGGCGTTTGACCAGTTTAGCGCGTTCATTTTCTTCGCGTTTCAGCATTTTGTCCTCTTTTAATCGCTTTTTGATACGTTTGCACCAGTGTCTGAACTCCCTATCTCCCTGAGATCTGCCTTTCACGATGAAATCGTGACACAGCAGTTCCTGTAGTGACGACCTTTCCCTCTCATCTTTCACACAACATCTGTTTACGAAATCTACCATTTCGCGTGAATACTGTAGCCCGTGTGGTAGTTTTGGCGGAGGCTCGTTTACAATTCTTTGCAACAGGTCTAGAATGCCTTCTGGTGTATCCGAATGGCCGCCTAGAGGGAACTCGCCTGTTACAAGTTCTATGATCATTAGTCCCAACGACCATACGTCACCTTTGGTAGTATATACACTCCCTTGAATCCGCTCTGGAGACATATAGGTGGACGTGCCGACAAATGTGTCTGCAATGGAATTGATCAGTTTTTTAGAGACCCCGAAATCGCAAATCTTTACACACCCCTTGCTGTTGATCAACACATTGGATGGTTTTATGTCGCGATGGATGATCTTGTAACCACGATATAAATAGGAAAGTCCATTCAAAACGGCATATGAGATCTTGGCGAGAACGATTTCTGAAAACCAATTTTCGGGAATGTCTGGATCTCCACGTTTCACAAACGCCTTGTGAGTGGACATGATCTTATCTAGAGACCCACAGTCCATGTATTCCATCAAGATTACTATCTCGTTAGTAGTGGAGGCAGTGTAAAAGGCTCCGAAAAAGCCCACGATATTTTCGTGCGGCTTCACGTTTTGCATAATCGAAAGCTCGCGTATGAGCTGGTTTTTCACCATGGGTTTGTTTTCGACGGGGATCGATTTCTTGGCGATAATGCGAGAGTCTGGCACATGCAGGGTCTTCAGCACGGTTCCTGAGTTTCCGGACCCGATCTTTCCGAGCTGGACAAGATCCTGCAGCTCAATCGTGCTATCTGCAAAGAGTGATAGGTTTTCAAAATCCGAACCCAGCTCTTTGACTACTTCGTCCGTGGGTGTGATACCAGCTGACGATAGATCCGACGTGGTCGGGCTTGGCTGTTGCAAAAGCCCGCCAGGCGAGATAGCCGAGCTGACCACACGGTTGGTGGCCGGCAGGCTCAGCGCTCCAATGCTCGATTTGAGTCTGGGCGCGGGTGGAGCAGGCGCGCCCGCTCCTTTTCCTGTTCCTGCGCCCAGCGTCAGGTGCTTTAGATTCTTGCGCTTAAGCGATGACGGCTGGAACAGCCGTGAGTCGCTCTGCCCCGTGCTCTGGCGGACCGGTACCTCATGGCTCCCGAAGTCCATGTTAATATATGTGTGTAGCTGCTATCAACGTTTACAACTCTCGCTTCGAAGACTGGCCTTGCGATAGTGCCGCGAAAAATTTCCCCACACTTCAGCACTCTTTCTACTGCGTTAATATCGATGTTGAATCCTCAATTGACGTTCGAAATCCTCGCTAATCCATCTCAGAACATGTTCTGAATATGTGAGATGGCTACCTCATCCTTTAAAATCTGACCAAAGTTCAGGGTTACCCGCCAGTCAATATATACATTTTCGAGCCGGGAAAATTTTTAGCCAGGGGGCCAGATATTTGAGAAAGTTGACCATCTGAATACCACTTTCATGTCAACAGTTCTATAAGGATAGTAAACACAGAGGAAACCAAAGTAGGTTGCAAATAGCGTGTACACAGTTTGAAAGACTTTTGACGCTGCGCTGTGAGTTTTTTTCTGCGCGTTTTGAGTGATTTAACGAAGTTTATAGTAAAATTTGTGTTTTGTGTCAGATTGCGACTACTTGATTACCACAGGAGCGCGAATTAAACTCTCTTTATCTGTATTTCCAACATTGCACAATGGACGCCGATTGGAAAGCTGAATTGAGTATCCCCAAAAGGGACACCAGACCCCAAACGGATGATGTGCTGGGTACCAGAGGAAACACGTTCGAGGACTTCTTCCTGAAGCGCGAGCTATTAATGGGCATTTTCGAGGCTGGTTTTGAGAAGCCGTCCCCAATTCAGGAGGAGGCAATCCCAATTGCGATTTCAGGTCGCGACGTTTTGGCAAGAGCCAAGAATGGAACCGGTAAGACCGCGGCGTTCGTGATCCCCACCCTTGAGCGCGTGAAGCCTAAGCTCAACAAGATTCAGGCCCTTATCATGGTTCCCACGCGTGAGTTGGCGCTGCAAACGTCTCAGGTCGTGAGAACACTGGGCAAACACTGCGGGATATCGTGCATGGTGACAACCGGAGGTACCAATCTGCGGGATGATATCATGAGACTGAACGAGCCTGTTCACGTTCTGGTAGGTACTCCCGGTCGTGTCTTGGATTTGGCCTCTCGTAAAGTGGCCGATCTCAGCGAGTGTCCCCTTTTTGTCATGGACGAAGCCGACAAAATGTTGTCGCGCGATTTCAAAGCCATCATTGAACAAATCTTGACGTTTTTGCCCGCACAACATCAATCATTACTGTTCAGCGCCACTTTCCCTCTCACAGTGAAGGAATTTATGGTGAAGCATTTGAACAAACCTTATGAAATCAATCTCATGGATGAATTGACTTTGAAAGGTATTACACAGTTTTACGCTTTTGTTGAAGAAAAACAGAAATTGCATTGTCTCAATACCTTGTTTTCCAAGCTTCAAATTAATCAGGCTATCATATTTTGCAATTCGACAAACCGAGTCGAACTTTTGGCCAAAAAAATCACCGATCTAGGCTATTCTTGCTACTATTCACATGCCCGCATGAAACAACAAGAAAGAAATAAAGTGTTTCATGAATTCCGTCAAGGTAAAGTTCGTACTTTGGTCTGTTCAGATCTGCTAACCCGTGGTATTGACATTCAAGCCGTCAACGTTGTCATCAACTTTGATTTCCCTAAGACCGCGGAGACCTATTTGCATCGTATCGGTAGATCCGGTAGATTCGGCCATTTGGGTTTGGCTATCAACTTGATTAACTGGAACGATCGTTTTAACCTTTACAAAATTGAACAGGAATTGGGCACAGAGATTGCCGCAATTCCTGCCCAGATCGATAAATCTCTCTACGTAGCCGAGGATAACTCTGCGGTTCCAGTCCCTTTCCCATTGTCGTCTTTACCTAATACAATGGCTAATGTTGCGGGTCAACAACTGCCTCCTCAACAGACTCAACCGCAATTCCACGCGATGCCTCAGCAATACCCACCACAACAAATGGATCAACAACAACAACAGCAGCATCAACATCAACATCAACATCAACTTCAACACCAACATCAACAACCACAACAAACACAACAATCACAACCACAACAACTACAACAACCACAACAACATCAGCAACACCAGCAACACCAGCAACACCAGCAACAAGAACATCAACAACAACAACAACAACAACAACAACAATATCCACCACAGCAGTATTCATCACAGCAATACCCACCACAGCAGTATTCTCAACAACAGTACGCTGGGCAGCCATTTGTGCAAGGTTCTCCTATGGAATCCGCACCACGCTTGCGAGGACATGCATCTCAGCAGGGCTATTGATCACCTGTTAAGGTTTATTCCAAGGTGTTTATTCTTTTTTTTTTTTTTTTTTTGGGTTTTTTTGAGATTTGATCTAACAAGCGAATCACTTGTACTACCTTAACGGACTTCTTTTGGCAATTGGCTTTTTCGACGTTTTACAGACGTTTCGAGTCTGAACAAATATTTGAATAATGAAGGTATCGAGACAAGGCCTAAAAGCAGCATACTACATCTTTAAGGTGCTTCATAAGCAGATGTCTATTCCAACTTCCTGTATCATTAATCCAATCTTCGCGAGCCGAGGTAAAAAAGCCTCTCAAAAAAGGATTTGACAACCACTTAAGATGCATTAAATTGAGGCAAATGCCAAACAACCAATATAATTCATCAAACCGATAGGATTATTGCTTATCTTCCGCATGTGCGCTTACAATTCTTCTATTAAAACATTGAGAGCGCTCTCCACTACATCGGCGCCATCCGTGGTCATATCAACCATAGTCACTTCCATCAGTAAAAGCATTAATTACACAATACCAAAAGCATAGTAGCATTTATAATTCTCCATATAACATTCAAATCATTCCGAAACTTAACTCATAATAAATACAAAATCAATTTCTGCGCTTATCAGTAATTCCTGGGAGCATATAAACTTCTGTGATAAATATTTATTCTGGTGAGTGTCAAAGACCAATCAATCAACCAAGCCAGACAGAAAGCGTCAAGATGAGCGTGTACGACATTGACGAAGAACGGTTACTGATTGGACGTGCTGTTGAGTATATCAAGCACTCATTTTTCGAACACTTTACTCGATTTGAACCCAGGACCTTAATTATCTGCGGATCAGGGCTAGGTGGAGTTGTTGACAAGGTTGCTTCCAACCCTCAGCCTTTGTCGATCTCATATGAAAAGATTCCTGGTTTTAAAGCCAGTACCGTGGCGGGCCATCAGGGAAAACTTGTTTTCGGATATATGCAAGGAAGCCCAGTTGTGTTGATGTGTGGTAGATTACACTATTACGAGGGCCACGCGCCTCATGAGACAGTCTTTCCAATTAGGGTACTGAACGAATTGGGCTGTGTTAAGAACCTAATTGTGACCAACGCATGTGGTTCTGTGAACCCTAACTATCGTGATGGAGATTTGATGTGCTTGAACGACCATATCAACATGCCAGGGTTAGCTGGCCAACATCCACTTCGTGGTCCTAACTTTGAAGAATATGGTTCTAGATTTCAAGCATTGAGTGATGCTTATGATTTAGAGTTCAGAAAGCTTTTGTTCGCAAAAAGATCCCAGTTAGGCATGGACAGGCCGCTTCACGAGGGTGTCTACACTTACGTCTCTGGTCCTACATTCGAGACGAGAGCCGAGGCCAGAATGATAAGGCTTTTTGGAGGGGATGTTGTTGGAATGAGCACCGTGCCCGAGGTTATTGTTGCGAGACATTGTGGTATCAAGGTCCTAGCATTAAGCTTAATTACCAATCAGGTCGTAACTGAACCACCTGCAAGTGCATTGGACGCAAACCCAATACCGATTAGTAGAGGAAAAGCGACTCACGAAGAAGTTTTGGAGGCAGGCTTCTTAGCATCTGTAGACGTGGAGAGATTAATCGAAGCTGTCGTAAGCGAACTCTAGACGAAATCGTACATGGTCGAACCTTACTATTCAGTAATATATACTATTAAAGATATGTGATATACAACTTTTTGATCTTACTTTTCATTCTTCATTGTTCTACCTCACCGGCAGATTCCCAGTTGCCTTCCAAGTTCTCCTTCCACAAGGTCACTTTGTTGTCACCACCAGAAAGGGCTAGAATGTTGCCTGATAGTGACCAACTAGCTCTCCATAGAACGTCGGGGAACTTATCGTCTTTCAACAATGTCTTCTTCCAAGGCCCTTGATTGTTTTCTTGTGTCCAGATGATACAAGTACGATCCTGTGATACGCTAGCCAAGTACGAACGTAGTAGTACCGAAGGGGACCATGCTACGTCTCTGACCCAATCACTATGGCCCTCAAGCGTATCTTGTAACAAGTAGGTGTTGGCCTCAGGGCTGTATTTCCAGACTTTGACTAAATTGTCAGCACCGCCGGTTACAAATCTGCGTTCCTGAAGAGCCGATGTGCCATCCTGAAGAGATGCAGATGCCCAGGATGCAGTGTTAACACCAATTGCATGTGCTTCTATAATGACAGGTGCTGTGGTTCCGTTTTCCTTAAATTCTACCACTGACACTTTCCCATCGGATGACGCAGCCAGTAGAAATGGCCCATACTCGTGAGGGGCCCATTGTACGGAGTTTACAGATGCCGAATGCAATGCATGAGCTGCAATTTGTGTCCAACGGCCGTTTTCTTCTTTCCAGATCAACACTTTCCCATCGTATGAACACGACGCCAAGATCACACCAAACTTGGGGTGCGCCCAGTCTACCTGCCACACAGGTCCCTCATGGCCGTAAAGGGTCTCAACTAGCTTGTGAGTATCGTTTTCCACCTCGAAGATCTTAATAGTTTTGTCGGAGGAACAAGTAGCAAGACGCTTTCCATAATAGTCTAGCACTGCATCGTGGATAAGCTCAGAATGAGCATTGGAAATGGTGACCATCTTATGATTTTGCGATCGATCAGTCGTTTGGATGCTAACAGCGGTCAATTGAGTGTTTTCGGGATCACAACTATCTGTTTCTTATTGATATACACGTACAAGCTTTTTTAAGAATTTAGACATAAATCTATCATCTCACGTGATTTACACGTGTTATAATTATTGCTGACGGCGTTGAAATATCAATCATTGACAACTTTCTAACAGAAACAGATGGATGATTATACAATTTAGCCAAGGGGAAATTAGCACCAACCAAGCTTGCGAAGTTCTAAATACGTTCAGGAAAGATGATTACTTTATGTCGAAAATTTTGCCGTGTCACAATAGTACGAAGTGATATGCTTGATGTAACGAATATACGCACTTCCAAGATTCTTTTCTTATCAGAAGAGCGGTAATTTGTTTGTTTGACAAGATGAGAGCTTTGGGCATTCAAGAAAAGCCTGAGCCTGATCAACTTTTAGTTTGGCAAGTTTTTCAGGAATCACCAATAGATATATTCAGCCATGCTTGTTTAATATTATAGCTACTTCATATGTCCATTGGCAAGATTATTGACAACCATTTATACTCAGCCTGGTTGTTGGAGTCTGATCTTGTTGGGACGTGAGGCAGTGATAGTGTCAAATCGCATAATAGCATGAGTAATATGAAAGATATGTGGTAATGATAGACCCAAGGTTAGTGACCAAGGAAGCTTAAAATTTGGCTTAGGCTTCATTGGTAGCTTGTCGGTGCCGAAAAGTAATGAGGCGGGTGGTGCAGCTGCGCTTTCGTTCATCCTTTATTTTATTCTCAAATTACATCCCCGAACTATAGGAATACCATTGGTTTGTTCAGTTTGTAACACATTTATCTCGTACTGGAAAAATCTCGGGGGTGAGGCTGTTTTCTAATTAACCTAACCCAACCAATTACAGAAGAGCTCAACAAGAAAATAAGCAAGCTTTCTGCTGCCTAATCAGACTCTGCTCATTTACTCTCAATCAATCAACATTTCGGCTTTATAATGTTTGGAATGTCAAGAGTCTTGCTTCGCATGTATTGCAATCGCTGAATCTGGTCTTCGCTTTTGCAGAACTTGATAGTATCGTACACATGGTAGTTGTTTTTAAGTTCAAATGAAAAATATCTCCTGCGTAAATTGTTAGAACGCTTATTGTATCGTTTTGCCGAGCATAGCAGTGTGCAACCAATACAACAGCTTCACTGCCAAGGAAATACAGACAAATTCCGGCACAGAGCTCACATAAAATTTAAAAAAGTTGTTACTATTCGCGAAGCTTTACTTGACCATTTCAGGTAATTTACCCTAATCCAATTATGGTCACATAAAATATTCGAGGATGCATGATTGGTCCACTTGTCATCGTCACAGCAGATGAACATTTGTCTCCCTTGCGCTTTAATGTAAGAATTATCTAATCAAAAGTTCATACCATAGTGTCATGGAAGTGTATCAATTATTTGTAGTCCACGAAGATCAACCAGCACATGAGTAACTGTTGACTTCAATCAACGCTTGGTTTTTATATGCTACTGTTGATATATTGTTTTGTCAAAATGACTGCACCCTTATATATGTTCGCATATCTGCGTTTGCATGAAATGTGCAAATCAGTCCACAGCTGTTGTGAATTGTGAAAGTCGGCGAATATTGTTCGATAAAGTACCCGCAAGAAAAGATTTAAGACAGCACCATGCCTCGCTCGGTAATTGCTCAGATCCCGTACCTAGAAGATGTCCTCGAGCTAAAGCATGGTAAGCAGTAGTGAAGCAGTTGTGAAACTTATATCACAGCTCAAGTCTATTGAAAGCCGTTTTGATTGCAAGTGGCTGCATTCAACTCTCTGTATTCTTTATAAGGGTCGACGTAGTTAATGCAACTGTACGACCTCACTATCAGCAGTGTTTGTTCCGCTACATCAACGTTAACAGATTTTCTTTCATATAGCGAAAAACTGAACATCAATATTCATGCCCATTGGGTTTTCCCTTCGCTGACGCCCCATCATGGCCCTGATGAAATAAGTAAGTAGGAAGAATGCCAGTAGGCCCAATATCGTGAAAACGTCTTCCAAATGAGGCAAATTATACTCATTAAGAGGCGAGATGCTACGTTTCTGATCCTCTTGCCGTGGCTTCTGAAACTTCTTGAGTACTCGAGAATGAAAAGATTCTTGGGAACCTTGCGTTGATTTATCGGCGCTGACGCCCCAATCACACTTGAATCTAGAGCCTGTAAGCCACATTAACCACGATTTGATCTCCACTTTCATTACTGAAAGCTTGACTCCCAAGAATAATTTTTTGTTATATGCCATAGCCGCTTTGTAGTGACGTTTGGCCATTTTGAAGTCTTGGTCCACTCCAAGCCCATACTCGTACATATAGCCCAAATTCCAACTTCCCAAGGAGGAAAGAATACAGCTCTGGTAGAGCACGGCGGCTTGAACATAATTGCCCATCTCAAAATACACATTCCCAGCAATGACAGCTGCGTCGTAATTGCCTTGAACGGCTGCAAGCTCATAATATCGCGCAGCTAGAAGCTTTCTCTCGTCTGGAACCAAAGGTGGCTCATCTAATTCATACGGAGGCTGGTACAATAAAAAGGCAGCGTTTACTTGGGCAATTTCGATACCCTGTTCAGCAGCCTGTGCATATAACCACAAGCCCGATTCCGTTTCGCCTCTCAATAATGCCATGAAAGCATCTTTTATATGTGGGGCCACCCAATTTTCTTGACTTCCAACGAACAGCCTAAAATTCCTTTCAAGGAATGCAAGCTTTTGTTCATGTGGGGTATCTGTATCATGTACTTCCTCAAAAATAGCCGCTTCATAAAGTGCTTGTTTGTGGCCATATGAGCTTGCACGCATTAACAAAGTAGTAAAATCTGGAAGTGTGCCATTTCGAACTTTTTCTTGAATATCTGGTGGCACTTGATCAGACTTGTTCAGCTGGAAGAGCTGAACACCGCTTTCACATAGTAAAACATAGTTTTCGGTGATTGCGCCGTAGTGCTCCACTGCAGCCGAGAAGTTGTGATGAAAATGTTGATTAATTAACCCGAGGTCGAAATGCGCTTTTTCAGCATCAGATTTCAATTCAGTTACTGCCGAGTTTAAATAATTTTCCGCGGCCTCCAGGTCTGATTTAGGTAGCCCTTCTCCTGTCAAACACATGTGGCCCCAGAGCTCTAAGCATTTTGCATAGTAGAACTTTTGAAGGATGTCCAATTGGTTTATTTGAGAAGCATAGTATTCCACAGTGTTATTGAGAATTGTAGCCGCCATCTCTACGTTTCTCTTTTGCGTATATGTGCCTTTGTAATTATCCAAAGCTGAGTAATAGAAATCAACTATCTTATCCTCGTCATTAACATCATCATCAATAAAATCATTGTACCCAGAACCAAACTGCAGAATGACATTTCCCGAGTGCAAATTTGTGAGGATTGAAGAGGTAACATCGGGCCGATTTGCTCGCAGCCTCCTTACGCTAGAAAGAATACTGCTCAGGCCATTGCCCAAAAGACCCCCATTGAAGTCCGGAATCCGCACAAGGTAAGATTCCACATTTGGGAAAAACAGGTTCCACTCATCCTCGCTGTATCGCTGACGAAGCCGAAGAGCCAGTGACCTGTATAGAAACAGTGCCCTATTCTTGTTTTGAGGCACATTGATACCCTTCGAGTATCTGTACGCCAACGACATGATTGCCCGTAATTCACCTAATTCAGCAGCTTTCTCAAAGAATATCAGTCCTTTAGGAATATCTACGGGAATAGTGCCAAATAGACCTGTAGTATGCATCAATCCAAGTTCGAAAAGAGCCGAACTGTTACTGTATTTCGTAAGCTCATTGAATTTACGCATGTAGTGAAAGGCCAATGTTTTATTGTGCGGGTATCCGTAGTCTTGCAATAGGTGCATTTGTGCCAGCGTGTAGGTGGCATCACTGTTATTGAATTGGTCACTAGAATGAACAAGGTCATTGTAAATTGCCAAACGATCACTTATATCTGCACGATCAAAAAACCTCTGCCAGTTGTGTTCTTGCTCTTCCTCAAAATAATCAATCGGCAGTGTAATATGGATTCCGCCTCCATCAGATACCAGGTATGGATCAGATTCTTGTGCAGAGTCAATCAGGCAGTCCTTATGCTTTGGTAGCGAATTCAATACTGATGACACATTGTTCCATGGGTCTTGTTCGAAACAATGTACTATAATGCAGTTAACGAAAAGAGCTACAAGTACTGGTAGTTGCATGAAGCTCGATGTGCAGCTAATATCGAGGGAAAGTTGCAGGCGATATCTCTATGTCGAGAACTTTATATAAGGTAAGAATGCCGTGACGAACAGGTAATTTAATTCGGAAACTAAAAAGAATAAAAGTCAAACTCTAAAGAAAACGAATGAGATCGAAAGCTTAAATGCTAGTCAAGTGGCTTTGTGGTTGTTCTAGAGAACCGAAATCGATACATGACTTAAGCATCTGCGCAAAATGCCACCGGGTATCTTGCAACTGGTGCCAAAAGCCGGAACTTCTAATTAAATACTGCCCTGGCTGCTATAGTCTTAGTGAGTTTGATGATCAAATACGATGTACGAAAAGCTGTTTCGAGTGTCCTAGGTGCCAAAATCAGATCTCAATTGCAGGCAAAAAGTCCAAATCAAATGCTAGACAATTCCTAATGAAATGCCACGGCTGTGGATGGACATACGAAACTGCCGATCTGGGTAAAACGCGATCATTGACAACATATGTTGAGACATTGAGGGACACCCAGGATTCCAAACAGACAAGGTTTCGAGAGCTGCAACAGTTTTACGATACTAAACGTAAGTTACAAAAACTGGACTCTAGTAGCGAATCTGGGCGCTTAGAGACTCTCGACAAACGTACTTCTCACAATATAGTGGAAAAGCTTGATAGCGCTAAGCTTTTTGAGCTTATAAACGAGGAGATTCCCATTCCGCTAGATGAAATGGATTTGTCCGAGCCGCTTAGTTTGCCACAAGCTCGAGGTATGCATGCGAGATATAATTACACATGTTCTTCGTGTCACACATGGCTAAGTAAGCGTCATCCTGATCCAAAGTCCTCGCGCTATTTACTGGAATCCTATGCTGCTCTTCAATTTCCGGAGCTAAAAGTTGTGCCGCTATCTGCAATTGTCCCATCAAAGACAGACCCAGAAGACATAGCCCTTGTGTTCAGTGCCAGTAATCAGGCCAGGGAATCTACTGAGGTTTCTCTAGTGGGATCAGCTACAGTACATATACCTTTGCGTCAATTTACTTTAAAAATTTCCGGACCCTCTCTGCCCATTCAAACGCCCGCTGACGAGCTAAGACATTTCGCAACACTAATACCTACATACCAGCTGACTGGTAACAACTCCGTTCTTGAACATGAAAGAGCTAGACGGTCCTCAAAAGGTTCTTCAAGTTTTGAGGTAGCTCCCAGTTGCTCATCCTCAGGAATCGTAGATCAAGGAAATGGTTGGGCAATAATACCTGTGCGTTTACTAGAGCCTTCAAATACGCATCAAATCCAAATAACAGTGGCCGTAATGGATGTTTATGTCACAATTCAAGCAATTATTTGCAATTCGCCCTAAAAATCATCATCTACTAAAATACAATACAATTCACCTGATACATCTTTCAACAGAAGCTTCGAAGATAATCAATGACAAACACAGTTCCAAAGGACACAATTGCTAGAATTTTCCAGGCTTGTTCTTTTACTAATGAGTCCACAAGAATCACAGAATCTACCTTGATGCTAGTGGATGAGTATCTTGAGGTATTTGTTCGTGAAGCTGTGCTTCGGTCAGTTGAAAACAAAGAGCGTATAAAGGACGAGCATCGAGATCAATTAGGAGATCAGCTTATTCTGACACACAAAGATCTAGAGAATGTTTCAGGTCTTTTGTTGCTTGACATGTAACAGTGTTCTGAACGTTATGTTAATAACTTTTATATATTACAGGGTGGTCCACGAGAGACTTGGTTTCAATACATGAATGAACTGGGTAAGGAGGACCGTAAAAAAGCTATAAATCAATCAAATTGACGCCCTGATCTGCAGATCCGTTAGGATAGTGCTGACCATGCTGTTGCTGCTGAGCGGTTTGACTACCATTACCGAAGCCGTAACCTGTATATGAAGGCATCACCGTAGTACTTGGAAGCCCTGTATATTGCTGAGATAAAAAGGGATTATGCTTTCCCTGCTGTCCATTGCTAGTAACTTGCTTGTAGCCTGTACCTTGGGAGTTGATAAAAGTCCCTGTTTTGGTGTGCTGCGCTGGTATGCGGGTCTGGCCAGTATTACCGAAAGTATCAAGGCCCGTACCTGATGCCAATAGGTTATTCAAATCGCCGTATTTGTCGGAAACAGATTGATTGCCAGTTCTGGTTTGCTTTAATGGCTGTTGCTGCGATTGTTGTTGTTGTTGCTGCGATTGTTGTTGTGGTTGATATTGATATTGCTGTGTCTGTTGCGGCTGAACTAATTTTGGAGGAGGTGCTGCAGATTTTTGTACCTCGTTCATGGACCCAGTTTGTGCATTCCTCGCAAAAGGGTTATTAGAGCCTGTTTCGAGTGGCTGTTGCTGCTGTTGTGCATAAGATTGCATGTACTGTTGTTGAGCCATTGCCTGCTGCTGTTGCTGAGCCAAGTACTGTTGTTGCGCCAAATATTGTTGCTCCGCAGCTTGTTGTTGATATTGTTGTTGTGCCAGCTGCTGCTCGCTCATTTGCTGTTGATACTGCAGATACTCCTCTGCAGTAATAGGGTTTCCAAAAACATCGTAGTACATAGCTTGCTGCTGAGCTGGTTGCTGTTGATATCCATACATTTGGTTCTGAGCCTGTTGCATTTGCTGCTGCTGCTGCAGACCCCGCAGACGTCTCAGCTCTTCTTCCTCTTTGCTGAGTTGCAATGCAGTTTGTAGATCGTCATTGCTGTTATCATAGGTGTCGAATCTTCTGCGACGCTCCTCTTCTTCTTGTTCTGCAGTTAGCCTGCTTTCTTCCAAGGCGCGCTGCATGTCGTCGTCCGGGCCGTCGCGCGCTCTACGCCGTCTTGGCCCATGATTTCTTAATCTCAGCTCTCTTTCCTCTCTCAAACGCTCGTCGTCCAGCAACAGCGCTGTCAGTTCACGAGCTTTCACACGCACAATTTGACCTTGATCGATGCCCAGCTCGTCTTCATGTATAAATTCGCGCAAGGTCTTGATGATGTACAGATTCTCTTTGGCCCAAGGAACACAGTGGTCTGAGCCACAGCGAACCAGATAGTCGAGGACCGTGAGGGACTTGGCCACATGGCGCCAGTTCTTGCCCTTGTCATTTAGACGTTTATCTAACATATCCATAGTCTCGAAAAAACTCACACTGTCCCACGACCGATCTGCAATTTCATCCAGGAGCTCCACGGATGGCCCCTCTGAATCGTTGGAGGTAGCCTCTCGCAACAATACTTGCGTGCTGGAGTAGCCGTTGACAACATTTTTGGCCCTACGAATCAGCGATTTTGACATCTTCTGAGGAATTGTTCAGTCGTAGATTAGGCTGTAACAATACGACACTCTTATAGTAGCTTCAAGAAAAAGGCCAAAGAATGTTAAGCCGAATATGGCTTGGGTATACTATCGATTTATTCAGTTGCTTACTGTGCCTATCCAATTCCCCCTTTTGAGTTTTTCGATTATGTTATGAAGAGCCTTCGTAGAGAGCGATATGGGCAACCTTTAATTCAGTAACTTACCTTGATAGCATATATGTATATACATATATATACATATATCTAGAGCTGTTGCTGCGCCGCAAAACTCTAGTCGCCGAGCAACGTCAATTCGGGCTGCTCATCAAATGGTGTGCGAGTCGAGTCTCGCGCCACGAAGATTTGGCGTTGATTATCGAGGGTCACTTTAAACGGCGATAATGGTACTAGTTTAGCCCAGTGCACACTCAATCTCACCTGCCTGGAAGGTAGCAATACGGCTGAGGCCCAGGTCTCTGAAGGACGTGTGTGTGACATTCAAAGAGTATACTCTCCATTCCGTTTTTTTTGTTTTACTTTGTTTTCGACCTTAAACAGCTCATAGCTAGATGTATAGATGAGGTCTTCATCGCAGTAAAGAAACTTCTAAAAACAAATCTGTGACACAGGCGAAAACAGCTCATCATTGTCTCGTTAAGGTCCTGAGGCCTAGTGTATGATTCGGATAGCTCGGCTTGGAATGTCTTCAACCAAGAAACAAGCCACTTTGGCGAAATTCTTCAGTTCTAGAAAGAGAGACGAAGATGAAGCGCTTCAAATGGAAGATTCGGTCAAAAAGCACCAAGTCAATGCGATTGAGACTGCCCAAAAGCAGCCAAAACTCGAGGAAAACCCTCCAGCCTCCCATGATGATTCGCCGTCACCTTTGGTTTCGTTAGAAGCCAGCAAACCGGTGATCAAAAATGATATCAAAGATGCCCCCGCAATCGTCCCAACAGCCCCGAAAGATTCTAAAATCCTTTACTCGCAAATTTGCAACGTCTTCAATGAGATTGAGAATACTTCCTCGAGGTTGCAAATTGTCAAATTGTGCGGCGATTTCCTATATTCCGTGCTGGTCAAGACTCAGAAAGATTTGGTGCCCATCACCTACCTACTGATCAATAAACTTGGTCCTGATTATCAGCCGGGCCTAGAATTAGGCCTTGGTGAAGGCCTGCTGATGAAAACCATCAGTGAGAGTTGCGGCAAATCGTTGGCACAAGTGAAAGCTCGCTACCGAGAATTGGGTGATCTCGGTCGCATAGCACAGGAAGCTCGAGCCGTTCAACCTACAATGTTCAAACCTAAGCCATTGACGACCGGAGAGGTATTCTCAAACCTTCAAGCCATTGCGAAATCCCAAGGCAAGGACTCACAGTTACGAAAAGTGCAACTGATTAAGAAGATGCTTACGGCATGCGAAGGAGTAGAGGCAAAATTTCTGATAAGGTCACTAGAGGCAAAACTTAGAATCGGACTTGCTGAAAAATCGGTTCTGGTCGCGCTGTCAAAAGCTCTTTTGACGCACGAACATAACGGCAAAGAGCCCTCAAGTCAATTGGTGGATGCCGCCGAGCAGAAAATTCGGGATGCTTTTTGCCAGGTGCCCAATTATGAAATCGTCATTAAAACAGCGTTGGAACATGGTATAATGAACCTAGACAAACACTGCGTGTTAACGCCAGGAATTCCTCTGAAACCAATGCTGGCCAAACCTTCCAAATCCATTTCAGAGGTTCTCGACCGTTTCCAAGGGCAGAGATTTACATGCGAGTACAAGTACGACGGTGAAAGAGCTCAAGTTCATCTGCTACCAGATGGGACGATGCGAATTTACTCCAGAAATGGTGAAAATATGACTGAAAGATATCCTGAGATTAATATTGGTGACTTTATCGCTGACAAGGTTAACACGCACACGCTTATCCTTGACTGTGAAGCAGTCGCGTGGGACAAAGAAAAGAACACAATTCTACCCTTTCAAGTTTTAAGTACACGGAAACGGAAGGGCGTCGTTGCCGAGGACGTGAAAGTGCGCGTTTGCCTATTTGCATTTGACATTTTATGCTATAACGATGAGCCCTTGATTAACAGACCACTGGCTGAGCGGCGCGAATACCTCGAACGGGCTCTGAAACCTGTTCCCGGGGAGCTGCAATTCGCAAGTGAGGTCACCACCATGAGTCTCGAAGAAATGCAGCAGTATCTGGACCAGTCCGTCAAGGACGCATGCGAGGGTCTGATGGTCAAGTCCCTAGATGGCGAGGACTCGCACTACGAGCCCAGCAAAAGATCGCGCAATTGGCTGAAGCTAAAGAAGGACTATCTACAAGGCGTTGGAGACTCGTTAGACCTGTGTGTGCTAGGTGCGTATTACGGTCGCGGCAAGCGTACTGGTACTTATGGAGGTTTCTTACTGGGCTGCTACAATCAAGACAGCGGCGAGTTTGAGACCTGCTGCAAAATCGGAACCGGTTTCTCAGACGAGATGCTCCAAAAGCTATACGACGAATTGAAACCCACCGAAATCAAAGACCCCAAAGCCTTTTTCGTGTTCAGCGAAAGTGCGCCTCCCGACATCTGGTTTGAGCCAACGATGCTGTTCGAGGTTCTTACTGCCGATCTATCACTGTCGCCCGTTTACAAGGCCGGTAGCAGTTCTTACGACAAGGGCATTTCTCTTCGTTTCCCGAGGTTCATACGTATCAGAGACGACAAGAGTGTTGAAGACGCAACGTCGTCCGAGCAAGTGATAGAATTCTATGAAAGCCAGGCCCATCTGAAGTAGGTGCAGTAGAGACTGGGAATGTATCAATTGCCACCCCAGGACCATCCGTTGAGCGGCTGTCATTCTCCTCGATCCTGATTAAAGGCGTAGTTTCGCGGTAAATCGCACCCAAACGGCTTACTCACCGATCATGTGACCAATGGGGAGTTATCGGATGGCACCCGAACAACTATAAAGACACCCTAACCGGCGCACAAGTATATAATAAACTTCAAAAACCGATACTTTGGACGTTGGAAATACATAGAAAAGTACTTATCTCATTTCGATCATAGTTCAAGATCGTACGCAATTCGTATTTCGCTGTAATTTAGTGACACTTCCAACTAAAAATAATGACTACGATCCCTTCGCCTACTGACGTGGGGGCCTTGGCTAACCGGATCAATTTCCATACCAGAGACCAGCACAATAAAATTGACGGCCAGATGAGTGTCAAGTTTGCGTTTGCTATGAAACATGGTTTCATTTACCGCCAGGGAATTTTAGCATACTACTACATCTTTAACGCCATAGAGCAAGAAATTGACCGAATTTTCGAGCATGCTGAGACCCCGGAGGAGCTTCAAACCAGAGATATTCTAAAACAGTTTTGGGTAGACGACTTCCGCCGTTCAGACAAAATTTTTCAGGACTTGGAGTTGTTGTATGCGAAAGAGTATCCATGCAGTGCCAGTCTCAAGATGTTTCTAGCAGAAAACGTGCTTCCACCAGAGCAGCAAACGTTTGTGAACTACATTCACGAAGGAATCCAGGCGAAGCCTACGGCGGTCTTGGCGTATTGTCACGTCCTGTATTTGGCTCTTTTCGCTGGCGGAAGAGTTATGAGGTCAACGGTTTACAGGTCGACCGGATTGTTCCCAAAGTTCCCTGATTTGACGCCACAGGAAGTAGTCCGTCGTGGCACGAACTTCTTCACTTTTAGTCCCGACGGCGTTTTGGCTGAAAATCAGCTCCGCAAGAACTACAAAAAGGGATACGAATTGGCCACGCGCCAAGGCCTCACCGAAGAACAGAAGCTGCACATTCTAGAGGTATCGAATGCGGTTTTTGAGTGGAACACACGTATAGTTTCCGAGATTGGAGAAATAAATCGTCAGGAACTAATGGGTAAGTTGAGCTTCAAGCTCATCTCGTTCGCAATCGACGAATGGAAACACACCGAGAAATTGACTCGCAAACAGAAAAGTCTCATGCTGGCCATGGGCGTTGTGATTCAGTTATTGGCGATGTACTGGATGTTGCGCAAGTTATTTTAGGCAACTGGGGGATACTAATGAAAAAAGATGTAAGCTAACATAATAGAAAGTCATTACCGTAATTTACGTTTAGTATACTATTTTGATGTGCCGTCAACTCTTATATACAGGGATATGATACAGAACGCGAGGATACTCTGCTTTATCTGGGCCGTTCTCATTGAAGAGCCCTACGAGGCTTTGCTCCCTACTTACCTTGAGTTTGTTTTCTTTTCTCAGCCTTTTGTCTCTTTCTTCTCTTACGCAATTTGTGTTTCTTGATCTTCAGCTTTCTCTTACGCATTACACTGTCTGTGAACATCTCTTCAGCTTTGGTGCTTGGTTCCATCGGCACCAGTGGCTTGAGCAACGTTATGGGTAGCATTGACTGTCTAGCGAGATCGTGGATAGGAAAAGCGTGCATTCCCGCTTTAGGGAATAAAGACGAGACGCGAGGCTTCAGCCCACCGGCCACTGCGCGTCTCAAAACCCCTAACATGCTTGGAAGAGGAATTGATTGACAAGGTTAATGACAGTGTTCAATGATCCTACATCTCAACTTGAACATTTTACGCTAATTGAATTTTGTCAAAAAAATTTGACCTGAAATTCAGTCGTCGAACGTGATCACTTTACAAGTATTGTAGTTCTCACTCATTTCACAGCGGATTGAATAGTATGTGCTTTAACGCTTCTGTAGCGCTCCATAATAGATGGTCTGTAGACGTATTTTGTTGAAAGAATGGTAGCTGTATATAAATTGTTTGTTCAAAACAACTCGATACCTGGAAAACATCTCGTTTCGAGTAACAGACTATTCGAGGAATTTGGAGCTTAGAGAAGAATAAATAAAACAACCCAACATTGTGAATTCGCTGCTATCTTTCTTGCTTTGATGAAAATCCGTAAAAGTTCTTATGCAAAATATTTTAGCTATTACCATCAAAACTGTCAGCGGTCCGCGTATTCATTCTGCTAAGCCGCCGTGCAAATTGTGTCATTGATCTGTTATATTCCCCAGGATTTTTACCTCAAGATATACATGAAAAGTCATGAACGCCACGCCAAGTGAAGGACATAAGAGTATCTACAGATCCAATTGAATATCGTTTTATACTACCCTGACGCAAGGGATGCCATTAGTGTTTTACCGGGCAGCTAAGACTTCGACTTTCTGAGCTCTTCGGAGGTTAATTGTGCTAGACCGGAGTTCCCTCTCGAGCAAGCACGTAGGAATTTCGTGACTAAACTACTACATTTGAGACGCGAATTGTTTGAGCTTTAAATAGCTTATCAGCTCCCGTTGTAAACTCAAAGCGGACGATCACCAAATCGCATGAATTGAAATCTCGGAAATCCAAATACTGCCAACATACTGTGAGGAAAGTGCTACTTCCTTGTTCATTTTGTTTTTTACTTTCGCATTTTCCCCGGGCAGTTTGTAATTGAAAAATTTTAGAACTTGTTAATTAGATAAACTTATAGTTCAGCTTAAGAAAGAACTTGATATATCGTTCCTTTGCCTAAAAGAAGGTCGTATAGCCATACTCATCTCTCTGCATCGTAAAGCTTTCTTTAATGCAGCAGTTTATGGTAAGTCGCATTGCTGTTCGCAATGGACCATGCTTAATGCAAAAGAGACATATCATGGGATTTGTGAGGAACGCACTAGGTTTAGATCCACCTCCTTCCCCAGATGACCCTACTCCAGAAAACCGATTCCATCCTTGGGACCAATCTCCTTCGCCAGACCTAAGGGAAAGAGCCGCTACAATTAGAGCTTTGGCCAAATGTCCAGTGACAGGCCTGGAGATCAACTATACGTGTCCTAAGTCGGGTATTCCTACACATCATTCTCGCGAGGCATGGGAGAAAGACGCGGTATATCAAGGCTCAAGTAAACCTGAAATTTTAAAGAAGGTGAATATTTACGAACACGATCTAAGGTCCGGCAGGCCGTTCCCGGAGTTCGATTTCCCACTGGATCAGGACTTTGACCGTATGGTCAACCTAACAAACTGGGACTTATTCTTCTATACGCGTGGATTTTATTCCATGGATACCGAGTTTCAACTTGCAGCGGTTACTAAAATGCTGAGTTATCCAGTCACGATGGGATCTGTGCTGCACCAGTTTTCACCATATTCCTTAAATCCAAAGGGTCCCATAACGTTGGAAGGCTTAAAGTCGCTAGCGGCTTTGCGTTACACACTTTACCCAGACCAAAACCGTCAGGTTACCTCCACAGCAAAGAACAGCCCACTTCGAATCTTCATCCTGGGTGCAAGAGCCGAGGCCCAGCTACCGGGTCATGTTTGGAAACAACTGCAGTTCATGTTTCCTGAAACTCAAATGGAAATGCATTTTGTTGGTCCTGAATCCAATTTTGATAAAAGCAAACGCGAATACGTTCATTCGTCAACCCCAGTTATTCGCAGAGTAGACGAAACCTTGAGTTTTGTATATCACACTGATTATTTCCATGTGTTTCATGAAGCTCAAGACTTTTTCCCCTACGATCCTTACACAGACATCTTCTTCTGTTTCCATCCTGGATTTGCTGCACCTGAATCCAGGGAAAACTGGATGGGTAAGACAATGGAAGCATTGTTGGAGACCAAATGTGCTATTTTCACCACAGGGTTTAATGAAATGGATTTAAGGCGCGACATGGATGCTGTCGTTGAGACTTACGGCAATGAGTTAGATATGTTAATGGAGCCTGTCAAAAATGTGTTCGGTAGCACCAAGTGGGAACTCAACGATGTCAACCCTCAACAAGTGTATCAATTCAATATGTACATCGCAGGGTTCAGAGGTAAAAGATATCATGCTATCGAGGTGTGAGTCTCGATGATCTGCCTGCACTAAGGTTTCTTGTAAATAATATTATACTCTTATACCTTGACCCACGGAAAGCTAAACTCTTACGGGCTTGCCTTTCTCTTATCTCCCTATCTTCGATTTTTCATTATTACACTCTACATTATAGCGTTGTAGAAGAGCACGAAGTCGCGCTGACACTTTTCCCAGCGTTGTGGGTCAAAAAACACGTATGATCCTCTTTCTGACGCACCCCCGGGAGCAACCACGGGTTCCATCATTGGATCTTTGGTTAGCCAGACCTTCAAAGTTTTATGGTATCTCCAATTACGCTTGCGAAGCTCGAGGTATGTCAATTCTTGTACTACAGTTCCAGGATGTTTGTAAAACAGGTAGAAAAGCGTTTCATCCTGGAACAGTGAAATTTTAGCGTGGTCTTGTTGTACCGAATTGAATGCTGGACTCTGAGGCCCCGATTGTAGCACATTGGGGATGTTTGTAAAAGACTCCGGTACAAAAAACCTTGGCTCAACCTCGCTACGTGACGTTTCTATCCACGGCGATTGAAATGTATCCAAAACTCGGTGCCGGCTTTGCTGATTGCTTGGTATTCCCAAGGAATGCAGTACGGGAGTAAGGTCTATACCCAATGTCATCGAAGAGTCATATTCAGTAGATTGATCCTCACGCCTTATCAGGGGCAGGAGAGCTTTGAGTCCGTATTTATCCATGTCTGGTGTCTTGACGATTGAGTTAGTTGAATTGAGATTCGTCTACTGAAATGAAATATGTTATAAATTTTTAAGAAACTGGACTTCACGAAATATCAGAGAAGCGAAATCAAATTCTACTTTGAAACCTACTTTAGACCCTTTCCAATGCTACCAACACGGTTTACACCCAACATATTGGTTACTGGTACTCCTGGCTGCGGCAAAACCAGTACGTGCGAGCTTCTGCAGAGACATTTGAAAAATTCTCAATATTATAACATTAGCGACTTCGCTCAAGAGAAAAAGTGCTATGATGGGTATGATGAAGCTAGGAAATCTCACATTGTCGATGAGGATAAACTTCTGGACGAACTAGAGCCCTTGCTAAGAGAAGGCGGTGCCATAATCGATTGGCATGTGAACGACGTTTTCCCCGAGAGACTGATAGATTTGGTGGTTGTCTTGAGATGTGACAACTCGATCTTGTATGATAGGCTATCTCAACGTAAATATCACGAGGCAAAAATCCAGGAAAACTTGGATGCTGAGATCATGGGTGTGGTTTCGCAGGATGCCTTCGATTCGTATGCGCAAGAGATTGTGGTTGAATTGCAAAGTGATTCTACTGGGGATTTAGAGCAAAATGTGGACAGAGTTGTTGCGTGGACAGAATCGTGGCTAAAGCAGCATCCCAAGGGCGTGACTAATGAATTAGAAGGCGGAAGTGAAGAGGAAGATGAGGAAGACGATGAGGATGGCGAAGCTCAAATTTCAGAGAACGCAAGTGAATCCGAGTAGATAATTTGCGAACGAAGAAGGACGGTACGGTCAACTTGAGTTTATGACCGATCTTATTTGAAGTTCTCAGAATTTGTTATTTTAATAGTCAAAGGATGTTCACAAAACGACTTTGACGCCCTGCAGATGCAAATTCGATTTAGGAGTGGGAGGAAGCAATAAATAAATGATGAACCAAGTTAAGCCAGAGGCGATCTTCGAATCACTGATTATTAATTTGTTTGCATGATTCTCAATTCTGGGTTTTTTTCATGGAATCGACCAGTATTGATAAAGATTTGCACATAAGCTTGTCTTGAAAGCGCTTCGTTAATGTCCTGGACGCCAGTGACAATTAACAAAATTGCATTCATGTCCACTACTTATCAAAAACAGACTCCACGAACATTGCCGTTTTCGTAAAGAAACGCTGTTTGAGCTTTCCAAGATCGTTACACACACCTTTAATACGTCCTTCCGAATCACCGTACGTACTATAAACTGTTCCTTTGTCTGCAACTCTAGTTTGTCACTTTTTGAGAAAATGTCATCTTTGGAGAATAATTTGAAAATTCAGAAGGAGAACAGCATAGGTGCTACCGCTACATGAATTCGTATCTGAATCCTCTACAAGATCGCAGACCTGTATCTTCAAGCCTTGGAAGTCTGCTCACGATCACCTGTCGTATGGTTTGACTCGATTTTAGATCTTCTCATAGTGAAGAAAAATTTTCAGCCTGAAGCGAGCTCATCACTCGCTTTGAAAAATTCAAGATTTCAAAAAAGAAGACCGACGTTCAAATATTAATTCTCAGGCAAATACAGAAGCGTCTTAAGGATGCATTATGTTGTGTTAGAGGTGGAGTTGGCACTCAGGGAAGATAGCCCTAAAGACTGGGCCCAAATCTCACGGTTTGACTATCAGTTTGTGGACGCCAAGACGCTCAAACCTGTTTTTGAAGAGAATCGACAGGTGAAGCTTGGTGCAGGGTGTTCTTTGCAAGATGCGGTAAGCCAATTGGACCACGATATCGTGGAACATATCACGGATGACTTTGTGCTCTGTTCTCTATACTCTACGTGGCACTTTCGGGTCACGATCCCACGCCAGGCTCGCGACGAAGTTTTCATCCTGCCGCCACATCTGCAGCACCCTAAGGTATTTGACCTTTGGAAAGAGTACCAAAGATGGTGTGTGAATCACCCAGAGACTTTGGCACTCCGCAAGACCACTGCGGCGACAAAAAAGAACAAAGATCTGGAAGAATTGAAAAGTGTGTTGGAGTTGAACACTACGGAGGATGACAATTCTGCAGATGGCCAAACAGAAGTCGCACAAAAGCCATTCAATCTTGTTGATGAAACGGTAGCTGTGATTATCCGATTGCACAAGAAGTGTGACACACCGGAAGATAAAGTATCGGTTCTGACCCATCCTTACGACTCGTACTTGGATGTGCGAAACTTTCTTCAGGAGAGATCCAAAGTACTTTATATGAACAATCTACCCCCGGACACCACACAAAGTGAACTTGAGTCTTGGTTTACACAATTTGGCGCTCGTCCTGTCGGATTTTGGACAGTGAGGAATATTGTCGAGGAAACTTCTAATGTCAACAACAACTGGTCCAGTAACAATAGCACTTACGTTGAGGCTGAAGACAGTATTTCGGGGTTTGTCGTCTTTCAATCCCACGAAGAGGCTACGGAGGCGCTTTCCTTAAATGGAAGATCGATACTCTCCAATATCGCGAATACGAAACAACCTAGAGTTATTGAACATACCGTTGAGATTCAGCCTTCGAGTTCTAGGGTTCTGGACAGAGCTCAAGAAATTTTATCGCCCTTTCCACAGAGTAAAAATAAGCCTAGGCCTGGCGATTGGAACTGTCCGTCATGCGGATTTTCTAATTTCCAAAGACGTACGTCTTGCTTTCGATGTTCGTTTCCTGCTACAAGTGCTGCTGCGATTAATAAGACTAGTTACATGAAAAATGGCTTACAATCGCACCCCGCTCAGGGTCTGAATGATCAACAAACGACATACAAAATTGGAAATGGACCCTCTTCGATGTCAACTGTTTCGGGTCCTGTGAATGGAAATTTGATGCAACAGAACGCTCAATCGCATCAACAGCATCTCCAGCAGCAACACCCACATCAACAACACCATCATCAGCAACAGCAACAGAGGGCACGCTATACGCCTGGCCAGCGGTTTGGTCAAAACCAGCAACAAGGGGGTTCTAATGTGCCCTTCAGGGCAGGCGACTGGAAGTGTGCGGTTTGTACGTACCACAACTTCGCTAAGAACGTTGTATGTTTACGTTGTGGTGGTCCTAAGACCACCGAACACCAACAAAAGGATTTAGGTAGTGTCAACTCTTACACTAATATTCAAGAGATTGGCAATGGGATGGGCGTCTCCTTAAACACGAGGAGTTTTTCGGAGCCTGCATGGTAAGAAAGTGCTCTAATGTTAAGAAGATTAACGAAAAGAGGAAGTCGGTTATTGGTTTTTTATCGCACATTGTTTTTCAAGTTCCAACTGAGCGTCTTATTAAAGTGTTGCTTCCGGTTGGGAATCAAAACAACAAAGTAGTTATCGTTTTGTTATAAAGTAATTAAAAGTTTCGATGATAGAATAAGTGGAGTGACATACTAATAGTACTATTATAGAATAACACTTGATCACTTAGACAGGTCCAAAACTGTCCTTAGGCAGTCTCCGTGATGTAGATCCTCGAAAGCAGCATTGATGTCCGAGAAAGCTCTCTTGTGTGTGATAAATTCGTCAACTTTCAGTTTACCGTCAAGATAGTCGGATACCAACCCATTCATCTCCGATCTCCCCTTAATTCCGCCGAAAGCAGATCCTTTCCAGACCCTACCAGTAACTAACTGGAAAGGTCTGGTTGATATTTCTTTGCCGGCGGCCGCCACGCCAATAATGATGGACTGGCCCCAACCTTTGTGACAAGCCTCTAGCGCGTCTCTCATAACATCGGTATTACCGGTACAGTCGAAGGTGAAGTCAAGACCACCATCGGTCATTTCGGCAAGTTTTTCAACAATGCTTTGACCATTTTTCAAGTCCTTGGAAGGGTTGACGAAATCTGTGGCACCAAATTCGTGGGCCCAATCTTTCTTCTGATCATTGGTATCAACTACGATGATCTTAGAACATCCTCTGACTTTGGCTCCCTGTACCACGGAAAGACCCACGGTTCCTGCACCAAAAACAGCAACGGTGTCGCCCTTTTGTACGTTTGCTGTCTTGATGGCAGCACCGTAGCCTGTAGTGACACCACACCCTAGCAAACACACAGTGTCCAAAGGAGCATGTGGGTCAATTGCGACAAGTGAGACGTCGGCCACAACCGTGTATTGAGAAAAGGTCGAACAGCCCATGAAATGCAACAGCTCTTCGCCCTTTTGGTTGTGGAATCTTGAAGTTCCATCTGGCATCACACCTTTACCCTGCGTGGCTCTCACAGAGCTGCACAGATTGGTTTTATTAGAAGTGCAGAACTTGCACTCTTTGCACTCAGCTGTATACAATGCAATGACATGATCGCCAGCCTTGACGTTGGTGACTTTATCGCCAACTGATTCCACGACTCCAGCGCCCTCATGGCCCAAGATCGATGGGAAAGCACCCTCTGGGTCTACTCCGCTGAGTGTGTACGCATCTGTGTGACAAACCGCCGTGTACTCAATTTTAACACGGACTTCATGTTCCTTTGGGGGATCCACCACGATCTCTTCCACTGTGAGAGGTTTGCCAGCCTCGTAAGCCACGGCAGCAATACATGTGATAGGTTTTGCAGACGACATGATAACGAAGTGCTATCGAACCGGAATACTTTCTTCAAGAAGACGTATCCCTTTTCAAGAGACTATCTTTCCACCTTATTTTCAGGTTTTTATTTTTGCCATCAATTTAGAAGTTCACCAGTCACATGCACATTGCCGTTCAAAAGCACCTTCTTTTTTGTCGGCGGCTAAAAAAATAAAGAGAAAAGTTAATATATTGCTGTAGCTGAGACTCTGTTTCCCGATGAGGAAAGGGAGGCCAATCATCCAAATGCGGAAATATGCTTACCGTATTGAGAGTTTGCACCTAAATAGGCAAATGCTCCTAAATAGGCAGTTTTGTTTTGTTACGTAAGCGTATGCCGTACATTGGTACAAGACGTTTCTTGAATTTAAATTTGATCTCTCTTTTTCTTGTTAATTAAGAGTCTTTTTTTTTCCCCTCAAGAAAATGGCAGCATTCAACATTAGATGCTACCACGAGGTACTGCTGCCACTTCTCAGGTACATCCAACTCTAAAGTTTACATGGCGTCTTGTCTTCCCGTATATTTATCTTGCTTCGTTCTCTTTTCGCCCTTCTTTCCCTGAAGCACAAGCTCTTAAGACTTTCATCATAGGAAGAAAAATATAATTGTCAACTGCTATACTGGAGTTGTCACCTACAAGGTAGAAAAACCCCTAACCGGTTCAGACCCATATATGAAATGCGTTTTCCAATCCGAGTTCTCAACCGGAGGCTCTACCATCCCAACGCTCTAGAGTACCAGGGGAAGCTGAATCTCTTGCCTCTCACCTATGGATCTGATTCCTTACAGTATAAAGTTCTCGACCATAGTTTGAAAACACATGTTCCTTCGTACGGCTTCAGCGAAAGAGCGCTTGTGGCATCGATAAACGATCTTGGGCTGGGTTCGTCGGTGCTGTCGGCACTGGGAGCTTCCAACTCGCCTTCGCTCTTCAACTCCTCGCCCGCAGTTTTGGAACTGGTCAAATTCCATCTCGTCACAAAGAGGTCCGCTTTGACGAGTAGCTTGGACCCAACACGGACGCCAGAGGTGCCACAACAGTTGCCAACCCTCGAGACCCTATTCCAGCAACGACTCGAACTCAACAAACCTGTTGCGCCGCATTTGAGCCAGCTTCTTTCGATGCTTTCTATCCCAGGTGAGTTTCTCGTCAAAACAGCTTTACCAGAACTCCACAGTCTCTCTGACGACATGGTGTACTTTTCGCAAGCCCATGACTCCCATGACTTTGCTTGGTACTCGAAACGTGCGGCAATTTCGTGCGCATTTGTTAGCTCCGAGCTGTTCATGGCTCAGGACAAATCTCACAACTTTAACGACACCTTCGAGTTCGCCGCGGAAAAGCTCCACAACGTTACAAAACTGGGCCAATACTACACCAATACTGAGGAATACATGTGGTATACTCTGCTTATGAGCATAAACTTAGCTAAGTCCCAGTTAGCCCGTGGTTGAGAACTGCAGGCATCCCGATTTTTCATTCTTCTCTCGTCAATTTATATCTATACACGTATGTACATGGCGTTCTGGCATAATATTCACCACCTCATGCTTGTGCAGCTTGCTGTGCCTTCATGAGCTCTGCTCGCATTTGCTCCAACGCAGCCTGCGAGCCCTTGATATTTTCCTCGCATCTTTGGATCTCCTTGGAGATGAACTCCAGTCTTTTGCTTACATTGTTCTTGGCCTCAAACTGTTCCACTGGTAGCAGCACATTACCGGTGAGTTTGTACACTTTGGTATCGTCTTTTAAAGTATCGAACTCATCTTGAACAATTTTGTTTTCTTGCAGTTGCGTCTCAAGTTTTTGTCTCGCAACCACCAGGTCTTCAAGCTCCTGTTGCGATGTTGTGTACCTCAATGTAAGGTCTTGAGCTGGATTAGACATATTCAGTATCGGATGGGTGTTTTGTCTCAAATATAAGAAAAGGCTTCACTTCGAATTAAAATAAAGTTGATGTCCATTTAACAAAATCAAAAAAAGTCCAAGTTTCAAGGGAAAGGTATCAAGACTATAAATATAAGAATTAAAGATGCTAGTAAGTAGCTTTTGGTGTGTCTTTTACTCCTTCTTACACTAACTTTACGCAGTTTAAACAATGGAATGATTTTTCTGAGCCAAGGCATCATATGGATGCACCTTTAGAAGATGATGAAGATTTTGAATCTTTACAGTTAGCCACACTGCCAGAGGTAAAATTGGAACAACCTATAGTATTCTCCAAATACAAGAGGATTATCATTACTACTAAAGTGTTTCGCTCACTTTTCTCCAGTAAACTGGCTCATGCGAATCAAGTTTCTAAATTCCAAATACAATGGCATACTAAGGGCAAAGACCATTTGATGTACCGCGAAGATTTCCAAGTGCAGGAGGACAACTCAAGCAAAAGTGAAAGCCGTTTGTTAGAGTTTCCAGTCGAGCAGATTGACAGTGAATCTTTATTCGTTAGTGTCGCTGAAGACTTTTTACACGTCCCACCAATAGCCTTGAATCTTCTGTCGAAGGAGATTGCTAAGCTTTGTGCCGCGCCATTAGATATTTTGCTCATTGGTTCAAGCGACAGAATTGAGGAAATCAAGCAAGTTGGATTTCCGACCACTGAACAAAGATACGGACTGCCGGGTCTGAACCCGCCTGAATTTTTGACCAACTTCACAGCTAGCATAATGACACAATTGATTTCGAATAAAGTTCACTTCCACGGGTACGTTGCGCCCAGTGAAGGTCCATCTGGCTATGAAAAACTATCTATGGAGACCATGGATCAACTCATAGATCTATGTTGGTCCGAATCAAGAGGCAGCAATAGAGAGATGTACGTGAAAGAGTGCCACAGAAACTGGAAGCTTAATGGCACTGCCATGGGTGCCCAATCGGGATTGTACTTATGATATATGCTTGGACATTGTCAGGGTTTAACAGAATGTAGCAGATTCCTTGTTGGCTAGATATACACAATATACAAAGTACAAATTTAAGTTTTAGTACATGGAAGTAATGCAGAAATTTGGGGTTAATAATGGAGCTAAAAATTTAATCCTTCTTCTTTTTCTCCTTCTTGTCTTTCTTCTCCTTCTTCTCTTTCTTGTCCTTCTTGTCCTTCTTTTCTTTCTTGTCCTTCTTCTCCTTCTTGCTCTTCTTCTCCTTCTTGTCAACCTTCTTGTCTTCTTCATCGTCGTCTTCGTCCTCATCGCTAGCCTCTAGCTTTCTCTTCTTAGACTCCTTGACTGGTTGAGCAGGCTTGTCCTTGTTGTAAAGATCAATGGCCTCTTGAATAGCCAGTTCGTTCTTCAAAGTTGGAGAACCTGAACTGTAAAATTCCAATCTTTGTTCGACTTGCTTCTTCAAGACTTTACCGAAAACATTAGTAGGTTCGTCGGAGTAGTTGTCAATTCTGGAAGCCATGGAACATTTGTTGGCCAAGTATCTGGAAATTCTACCCTTGTTCTTGGCAGCAGCCTTACCGATGAAACCACTGTGGTAGATCAACCCGTACTTAGGAGTGTTACCCTTGGTCTTCAAAGCTCTGAACAAAGCCTTTTCAGCACCCAAAATTTGAACAGTAGAGGCAGCCTGTTTCGACAAGTTAGTCAAAGAACCAGCATGGGAGATCAATCTAGCACCAATGACTTCACCGATTAGCTCAGACAAGTTTGGAGCGACGGTGTGCATCTTGGAGCACAAGTAGTCGTACAACTGTCTACGGTAGTCGGCCAATGAGGCAACTCTTGCGGCAAAAACACACACGTTCTCCATGTCGGTTTCAGACAAGTCCTGACCCATAGAGATACGTGCATTGTCGACAACACGCTCAGCAATGCCGGCGTCGTTGTCTAGTATAGCAGCCAAGTCATGAACAGATTCATCAGACAAAGAGGCCTTGTCCTTGATGAACAAAACAAGTTGAGCAAACTTATAGTTGTCTGGCACGAGCTTGGCTAGCTCTGGGAAGTGCCAGCCGTACCATTCCTTGACACGCATAGCAAAAGTGTTGATGTCCTTGTCAAGCTGGTCGAGTAAGGCGATCGCCTGGATGATGTGGTTGTCGTTTTTCTGAACCGAGAACTTCACCTTGGCTCTAGAGTAAGCGTGACCAAGACCCAACTGGGCTTTTTCGAGATCACCTTGCTGCAAATCCTTTAGCAATTTGTCGCCGTGTAGTCTTACACCACGAATCAAGTCTTGGGCCAACTCGTTAGACATACAGTCCACGTATGGGAAGTTTTCCTTGATCGATGGACCGAGATTCTTGTCAGAAATGGCGAGCGTCACGGTCTTCTTGCTGGAGGCCTTGGGCAGGTTCATGTCGAGAACGGCTTTAAGATAGTCGGAGACAAGACCTTCAGAGATATCGTTGGCGTTTTCCAGCGCTTGAGCAGCACCTTTGAAAGGCGCAAACGAAACAAGCTCCACAAGCTTTGTGAATGCTCCAAAGTCGTTGATCTGCGCTTGAACTTCACCCATACGAGATCCAATGTCATCCTGTTGCAGTTTCACTTTGAAGATCCCGTAGCCCGTGGGCTCTTCGAACAGCAGATACTCAATAGGCGCCATTATGTCGTAGTTACAATAGCACGTCAAAAGTCCAGATAGTGTTGCTAGCCGTTTGAGGTTCCCACTGTCGAGCTTTCTAACAAGACTTGTTGCTACTTTCGAGTTCTGTTCTTTCCGCTAATGCACCAAAGCTCATCTCTAGCTAAGGTAGAAAATTTTTCAGCGATGAGCTCTTTGAAAAAACTTTTTCCAGGATTGATGATAGTGTTACCCGGCGAGTAATTTCTGAAATATTCAAAAATTACTGAAACCATATCAGTTGAACTTTAAAGGAAGGGGGTAAGGGTTAAAAAGTACTAGCTGAGTTTTACCGATATAGACCACCTTTTAAGTCGGCAATAGCGTTCACTCAACTAATCTGGCTCTGGGCTATTTATTGATTTGTTTTTCACAAGGCACGGAGGATTTGATCTCTCTCAGTAAGAAGGCAGTAACACGCCTTTCGCATATTTACCTTTCAGGACCACTCCTGAAAACTCAGATCGCGAAATTATTAGATCTGTTGAAGATTCCGAAGATACCGGGTACATAACGTATGCTTCTATCGAGCGCTATGATTTCATGCGAAACGCCCGTGGTCTATGCCGCGAGATACGGAGATATACCGCACTTTACAGTTTGCTCTTCCGAATCTCAAGGGTTCGACTGGAACCAGGATATCTTCGCATCACAATATCAGCAAATGTGCAAAGTGGTCTACGATGGGCACGAGGATTGTGTAGACGAGCTCCTAAGTCAGGATTGGAACTGTGAACTGCACGACTCCCCTGACGTCTTCGACGATGAGAACCAGGATGTATCTTCTCAGGACGAACTGCGGGTGCGCCGGGTTTCACAAGTACTTATGCGCCCTCGAAGACGTTCCGAACGAAGCCTCAGTTTCGTTTCTGACTCCAAAAACGGCCATTATCAAAGGGCAGAGACCGTTGTGATTGATGTCGAAGAGAACACAGAGGAGAACAGGAGGTTAAAGCGACTCATCATGAGCGACAGAGATAGGTGAGACAAAAGCGCGAGCAGCTGATTTTTCTGCTCGGAGATATAGTGAGCGTGATGTGCATGATTCGTTTGAGTAATACCTCTAGTGCATACCTACTCGCCCTTTCGATCATGCGTCCTTCCAATTTTCCCATGCGACAGCAACCAAATTGTTCTTCTTTTGAGTGTTACCGGTTACAGAAGTTTCCCGGGAGCCCAAAATTAATCTAGGTCTCCATGGGTAATGTTCCGTACACAAACCTTTAGTCGGCACCCTTTCTTTCAGTCAAAGCACACTGGAAATTTCTTTCCTATGAATCTTCTTTCAAAGTTTTTACTGTCCCTTGAGTCGTGTCGGTCAATTCCTCTTGTGTTTTGTGACGCTCATGAGTGCAAGGTGCCCTTTCCTCCGCCGAAGAGTACTTTTGATCGCCTCCCCTTTGACTTTCAAATAGTCGTTTGGGAATCCAACCGCACGGGGCACGTCATTCGAGTAAGAGTTCAGTGTTTTAATTTGGTCGTCAAAATAAGTTCGGGAATGCGCTACTACCTTGGCCTCCGTGGTTCATATCTAGAATAAGGTAACATGGGCCGGTTTTGCTCGCAGAACGTTATGACGCTATGGACTTCTCGACTACTTTTCGCATCAATTCACACGCGGCCGATTCTTTCCACACTTTTTCTTCTCTATGACCTTTATGCTATCGCTGGCGGTAGCTACGTGCATTTATAGTAAAGTGCTTCTTTGTTTTTAATATACATATGACTAAGTTTTTGATTACGGTTTATCAACAATCTATTCGGCGTCTTCCCAATCGTCTCGACCATCCTGGGCCTCATTCTCTTCTTCATCCTCACCTTGGTCATCCACGGTTACCACAGTGTCGGGGTTATCGTTATTTGTATACTTTCTGGCGATTCTTGAGGCTTTACCCAATTCTCTGGCTTCTTGTCTAGCTTGTTTTTGAACCGAAGCCAGTTCTTTGCCAAAGTTCTTACGAATAGACCTATTGGTGAAGACATCCCACAGTTTCAAACCCTTTGCAACACCGCCGATGACAATATTTCCAGTCACTTCAATGTCTGGTGCAAAAGAAGTCGACAAGACATTTCCAACACCGAAATCTCTGGATAGTACCATACTTGGACCAGATTCGCCACACTTCCAAAGCTTTACAGTCTTCTCCCCCATGGCGCCTGTTGCCAAAAGATTGGGAATGAAGGGATTTACGTTCAAGGTCGAGATTCCGGCGTCGTGAGCATTCAAAGTCCATAATGGTGAGCTGTTCTCCCCTTGTCTAATATCAAAAGAGTAAACGTTACCGGAGTCTGTACCACACATGAAAGTATTTTCACCCGCAAACTGAACGCATTCTATGTCTTCCCCTGCCATCACTGACCAATATTTGCTCATTTTAGAGTCTTCAGCTATTCTAACGTCGGACAACGCGACACGGGCGTCGTAACCGCCAGTTAGAAGAACCGAACCACTAGTGCTATGCCATTGAGAAGATGAAACATTTTTGTTCGAATGTATAGATGCAATGGAACGAGCTGCAATGCCCTCGTTCAAGTCCCACAGTTTCACAGTGTGATCGGCAGAAGTCGACGCTAGAACGGGACGGAAATGTTTGCTGTGTGCCAGAGAGAGTACGGCATCTGTGTGATGAGTTGTGACGTGTTTGTTTTTGGCCTTTTTGTTCTTTTTACCCTTACCGGTACCAGTGTTTGCTGAAGCGTGTGGGTCTCCCAAGATCATATCTGGGAAAGCTTTTTCAACGCAATCCAAGTTCCAAATCTCGATCTGTGGGTCGAAACTACCAATTGCAGCAAAATTAGCAGGATCTTCAGAGTTTGATCCTGGCTTGTAGTTCAGCCACTCCACGCATAACGGGAAGGCGGGCAACATAAGGTCGTGATGCACGTACAGAGCGCCGTCACGGACCATACCGCGAGCCACGTCCGGGTCCTGTTCATCACCGGCTTCCTGAGCAACTTCTGGGTCGTGGAATCCAGCACCATCATCGTACACATAAACATCAAGATATGAAATGTCGTCTTCAGTTCTAGTAGCCAAAACCATGTTGTCGGTAGGATAAACTTGTAGCTCCTGTTTAGCCTCATGTGTGTCTTCTTCGGTAGGCAATGTCATGAAAGCGTCTTCGCCATTTTCACCTTCGTGATATTTCACTTCATCAGATAGGCCAGGAAACATGGTAGCGTCAGTCCCTTCACCCAATTCTTCATTCAAATCTTGGTCATAGTGTTCCAAATCGTATTCTTTTAAATCGTCATCTGCGTCGGCCTGAGACCCAATTTGTCTGACGCTTTCAGTGTTTTCAGTACTCTCAGTGTTCTTGGCGATCTCATTGTTTTCAGTCTCTTCAGTCTCTTCTTCCACTTCGTCCAAATCTTCTTTGGCATCGTCCAAGTTCAATTGTGCTAATTGATTGATTCTCTCCATCTCTTCGTCGTCCAATTCATACTTCTCCGGGAATTCGGACGGAAATCCGCGCGGAACCCATGTTGTCGACGATATCATCTAGTGTTTTATGGTCTTTTGCTCAAAAGCTGTTACCGAGTCTTTCACTTCTACAGCTCATCTCATCGCATCTCATCTCATCGCTTTTGAAAATTTTTTAGAAATGGAAAGTTGAGATTAAACATTGTGATGTCAGTTTAGGAAATTATGATTACTTTTCTACGAAAAAGGATGGATTCGAAGAAACGACGATGTTTTTATCACGAATTGAATCAGCTGTCTAACAAGTATTCTGCTGGCTTTTCAATAGACATATTTGGTGTTTGATTGTTAGGTTGTTATCACAGGTTGAGAATTTTTTTGTACTCCTGGGATAGTGAGCTAAAGTTGGGGATCCTCTATGCATTTTCCCGGTCAATCAGCAAAAAAAGCGATTTGCAAATTCCGTAACTATACAAAACGACTGGCTTGTTTGTCCTTCTTCATCTCTTCATCAAGACTTCAATCTGTGCGATGAACCCGCCGTTCGTATCTTATTGAGGCACATCTGCGTCAGTAGTGGTTTACTTGCTGAACAGGTCATTTAGGTCGTTCATGGTGTACTAAACAATTTGTATTGGAATATGGGATTTTACTTATCTCTCCGTGATTCTCTCGGATCTGAGGATGATTCGTAGAGTGGAATAAACTGTTCGGTATTCATATAGAAATCGGCAGAGCGTGAAAGCTATTACTCAGCTTATAATAATCATACGATACATCGTATGATAAATTAGTAATATCCAATGAGTCAATCAATTATCAGACCGCTATTGGAAATCGTGTGGTACTTGTCTCCAGTTTGAGAAGATGTATCGAATAGTTCATCTACTGATCAATGTTTGATGTGGTGAATGATATCACTTTATACTATTATGTCATGGCTCTTCACCATGCAATTGACGCTATCTTAGCAGTAGCACGTAAATCCTGACCTGTGTCTACTGTCTAAACTCTTAACTGTGATCTTAAACTCATAGTTACTTCATAATCTGTGGTGCTCTAGTCATTACACTCGATCTTTCCTGTAATATTGCAAATGACAACACATAACCGTAGAAGCTAAACTTTTTTGTATTGTGGAGCACGAAAAGCGGACAGTATCAGCAACCTCCTTGAAATGTGTCTAGTCATCAGAAACATCTAGTTCCGAATGCTTTTGAGGTGTTTTGCGGTAGTTCTTAGCTTGATTTGGCCTTATAGTGCTTGAGAGCTTATGATTTCTATCTCCTGGAACCCGATAGATTTTGCCGTCCAGCGCGTAGTCACCCTTTGGATTCGAGTTATTACGCAATGGACATTCACGGGCTTCTGGTAATTGATAGGAAGGTCTTACGAAAATTCGTCAGTATTAAAAGCTTTTCTTTTAATTTACTGTCAGCTACAAGGTCGATTGAAGTGTGATGTGAATGAGTTCCTATCAAGTATTTCAATAAGCTAGAGATCTTTTTGCCAAACTCCTAATACCCGCTAAGGCTATTAATATCTTTTGATTGCTTGTTAGTCGCGGTATATTATAACGCTCGACGCGCGGATGAACCTTTCAAACAGCTGTGGAACCTGCAAATCCCAAGAGACTCTCAACCAGTCTGTAGAAGGACCATATAGGTTCAAAAGTATTTGGCTCAAGTGCTGTATGTAAAATGTGTTGTAACATGTCAACGCTGCTAGGAAACTAAATGTGTCAATTTGGCTCGAACTCTTAAAAAGTCCGATGAAAAAGAAAAGTCAGTTAAACATCATAGCATTGAAAACGTACCTTCTAACCACGTTAGATTTGTCATAGAGGTTAATTCGAGCTCAAAATCTTTTGCGACGCTTCTGCATTCTTCTCTCAATAAAAATAATATTTGATTTCGCTCCAAAAGCAAACAGTCACCACTCGAAATTGCAGGTTTGCAACAAAAGCATTCAACGTCATCTTAATTTGTAGAAAGTAATCTTTTCAAACCCGCTGTTGGATCCCAACATATTAGAATACTAATGGTCCGATCAAGATCGTATAAAGCTACTTGAAGTGTAGAAGTATCATCAGCTATTAACGGTCTTCCTGAACACATATGCGTAAGAGTTCTTTGTCTCGTACTTATTTCTCATAGAGACTTCAAATCCGGTCAAAGTCATAATTATCATGTCCCAAGATCCTGAACAAGCGAAAAAGCTGGAAGCGCTTTTGAAAATGCTTTCGCTTTCACAAGGTGATACTTCAAAGTTGACACAGCCTCAGCGTAAGCAATTTGAAGAATACAGATTCTGGAAAACGCAACCAGTGTCACGCTTTGACGACAAGGTGGACAATGAGGGCCCAATAAATACCTCGCAGACACCAGAAGACATTCCCGACCAGCCGTTGCCCTTGTTGGACGAGTTTGAATGGTGTACCGTGGATTTGACAGACTCAGGACAATTAGATGATGTTTTTGTTCTTTTAAATGAGAACTACGTGGAAGACCAAGATGCAACATTCCGCTTCAATTATTCGCGTGAGTTTTTCAATTGGTCTCTCAAAGGCCCAGGGTGGAGAAAAGACTGGCATGTTGGGGTTCGTACTAGGCAATCTGGACGTCTTGTAGCGTTCATCAGTGCTGTTCCAGCAACGCTGCGAGTCAGAAATAGGATCGTCAAGAGCGTTGAGATTAACTTCTTGTGCATTCACAAAAAGTTGAGAGCTAAAAGATTAACACCCATTTTGATTAAAGAAGTCACTAGACGTGTCAACAAGCAAAACATTTGGCAAGCACTTTACACAGCAGGTGTTGTTTTGCCATCTCCAACTGCCACTTGCCGCTACGCACACCGCCCTTTGAACTGGTCAAAACTTTACGAAGTGGGATTTACTGGCCTTCCAGCGAATGCGTCTAAAACTCAGATGATAGCCAAATACACTCTCCCAAAAGAAACTGATACCCCTGGCTTGAGACCTCTGGAAGAAAGAGATGTGGATGAAGTTTATGATCTACTTGAGAAATATCAATCTAGATTTGATTTGGTACAAGTGTTCACAAAAGAAGAGTTCAGACATGTGTTCTTGAGCACGGCATCTGTAGTTTACTCTTACGTTGTTGAAAACGAAGGGAAGATCACAGATTTTGTGTCCTTTTACTCGTTGCCCTTCACCGTACTGAACAACCCACATTACAAAGAGTTAGGAATAGGTTACCTTTTTTACTATGCCTCAGATGCAGATTTTGGATATTCGGATAGATTCAATCCAGAAGGTACTTTGAAGCTTCGCAAAAGACTCAATCGTCTAATTACAGACGTGAGTATCAAAGCCCGTGATCTCAAGATGGATGTGTTCAACGCCATGAGCTGCCAGGATAACTCACTATTCTTGGACGATTTGAAGTTCGGCCCGGGAGATGGTTTTCTCAATTTTTACCTGTTCAACTACAAAGTGCGTCCTATCGCTGGAGGTTTGAAAGACGACAATACCTTCGATACAGAAAAACGTAGTAACGTTGGTGTAGTGATGTTGTAAGATACTTGGTTCAGTAATTTGGTGGACGAAAGATATTGAAAAAAAAGTAAATTTAAATAAAAGATATTAGCATTCAAGAGTGATGTTGTATAGTTACGCACGCAATATAGTCAGTCTTCTATTCATGTAGACATTCAAACTTGTTTTTTGGAGCGATTCGACACTCCCAAAAACATAGTTGCAAATATCTTTCTGAATACAAAATACAAATTTCAGCAATGGTGTTGGTAGAGCTCATAGAATTCTATGGGGAAGAAAGCAGTGGTGCTGAGAGGCTTCAATATTACCGAGATAGAAACGAGTCCAATTGACTTAATTGCCGTTAGCAATATGTGACTTATGACACGTAGCGTTCTGGCAATTACCGATATACGCTGGATATTTTAGCTGGTCTTAGGGTCTACTCAGGAGTCGGCAGTATTATTATATGTTTCCCACATGCGTAAGAGCCGGCCTGTGAGACCCACCTTTTTGACACTAGAAGCTTCAGCATTCTAAAACACAGCGTGGGCCTCTAACAATGAGACATGCCTTCTGTTACCGGCTTTAAAATGGAAGCTTTTCGGATGTTTTCAAATAACGCTGGTGTGATTTTAAAATCTTACACAACAGCAACAAATGTTGAATGAACAAGCTGCGTGATAAAGGATAGCCAGCTACTGATAGTTGCATTTAGGGATCTATATAAAAAAGGCGTGCCGCATTAAAAATTGCAATAAAAGATCTCTCTCTGCTTGCTCCTTCCGTAAATGAATTCACGTAAGATATTAAATAGTGTAGCCCAGCTACATAATCATTCTAAGATTTGCCGATATAAACTCAGAGTCATCGTATAAGTCTTAGTATGGATGCTGCAACTACCGCTTTCTCGTAACATCACATCCGCACTATCTTGTACTCAGTGGTACAGGGAACTACGAAAATGCTCAGAGTGGAGGAAATATGAATTCCTCTAATTAGAGCAAGATCAGCAAAAGGTCGACATACCATACATCAATAAGATATTTCGTTAGCTCAATATTTCTACTCAGATTGGTCCATACCAAACTGGTTTAAACCTCCGAGAAAGCTTGTAGTTTTGTTGATGGTTATAACGAGTTGCTTCACCAGTAAGGAAACACTTGAGATACCTCCGTGAATTTTTCAGATGAGAGTATAATATTGACATACTAAAAATGGTTGGGACAGATACATTTCTTGAGGATCTCGCCCAATGCAATCGAAAAATATAATAAGCCTATCCCGTCGATTTTGGGGGCAGAGAGCCTCTTGATTGCCGTAACAGCGCAATACTTATAGAATTTGCGCGGTACTAATATCACTCTGTACTATATTGTCACAAATTTAATTTTGACAACATATGGTTCCCGTATTCGGATGGTCATCAGACATCGAGATTTCGAGAGCACGCATTCATGGCTTCTCCATGAATTAACCTTTACGGAAATTGAGAGGGTTTGGTGATTTATGTTTATATGAGATCAACTTGAACGATGTTCGAGACCACAAGCTACCCGCCAAGAGGTCTATGAAAATCTGAAAGTCATCGTTTAACCAATCATGAATTAATCGTTATTAAGCGAATCAGAGCAGTGGCTATAAAGCTGCGTTCGGTGACTGTTGGAAGTGTACACAAGTTGGAATAGGGAGTGCGCTCACTTCAACAGCTTTGGTTTGACATAATGGTTCTCTGGTATAAAAACAATCATACTTATGACAAAGATTTCCGGACAGTGTCGCTAGCATTTTTCAACCGGTATCCGAATCCTTACGCTTCGCACGTTCTCTCCATAGATACTTTGTCTAGGAAAATTTCGCCTGCGGGAGAGCTGTGCACTACGAGACTTATCAAAAAGACTGGGCGGCTGCCACAGTGGGTCAAACCTTTCCTAGGCAAAATTTCAGATTCATGGATTATTGAGAAGTCCGAAGTGGATATCAAAAACAAAGAGCTGCGAACATATACTAGAAACTTGGACCATACCAGAATAATCCAGGTTGAAGAGTTCACTACATATAGATACAATGCGCAGTCAGGCGAAACTGACGCGTCTAGTAAAGTCAAGTTCTCCAGCGGGTTCAACGTTGGAGTAAGAAATCGTATTGAGCGTTGGTCGCACACAAAGTTCGACGAAAACGTCAAGCGCAGCAGGTTAGGCATGGCTTTTGTCATGGAGAAACTTGAGCAGAGACGCCAGATTCTATAACATGTAACTCAAGGTGGCTAAGCGTCACGGTACCGGACCGGATCCTGTAAATATACGCCCACACACACACGTTTAAGTATTATCATATAATGAGTGCACACGACTATGCAAAATTGAGATCCCATCCGATCTCGTCTACGATGTCGTACCAGTCGCGCGTAAGACCACGATCGTAGCTTTGCCATAGTTGCAGTAGCACGCTAAGCGCTCTCTCCACGTTTCGAAATTTATACCGTTTGAGAAAGTCGGCAAATTTGTTCTGTACGTTGGACCGCTGCGCAAGATAGAACGCATTAACACCGCAAATGAATAATGGGAAGCACAACCCACCTTCGAGCGGTGAGCCGAGCACTTTATCCAGCTCATCAGATAGCTTTAGAACCAAGAATTGAATTTCATAGGATCGGATGTCTTGTCGGAGTACTGCTGATTTGAGATGCAATAAAGCAGTGGTGCGGAAAACAGAGAAGAGTGTCTGCGCTAGTGGACGTGCATCATCGCCCGAATCCGCGAGATTAAGGTACCACGCAAGATCATTTTCACTTGGCGCCATGTTATAGAGAGATTCTTGCAATCCTTGAGCCACTGCCATTATTTCGAACAGAGGGCTCTCATCTAGAAGAATTTTTGGGTGGGTGGCAGTGCTCAACTCGTGTTTTAGTTTGCGGCCAAGATTTTTGACTTGGCCCAGAATTCGGAATATCGGTCGATTCACACCATATAAAGGATCCACAGGATAATTTTGGGAGCTATTAGGATCCTGAAGAATTCGATCATACTGCTGCATTGGAAAATGGGTCTTGTCAGAGCCCAAAATATCATGATAAACAAAATTTGATAAAAGCCATCGAGTTACTTTGGCGTCCTTTTGCGAAGCGGCCTTTTCGCTATCTGCTAACAGTTCCCCAATATTGCTATTTGGGGCATAGTCTTTTATCATTCGAGCACCACATTGAAGAAGCACGCGCCAACGTGCAACGTCGCCCTGGCAGATCTCTGCCCCACAGAGAACCAAGATGTTAGCTAGTGCCAGGAGAAGTCCGTGCGTCTCGGGATTGGCAAGCCGTTGAAGAGAGTACAAAGTATATTCGTTTGCGAGCGCTGCATAGCGCGGATCTGGTTGTGTAGAAGTAACACCACCAGCGTCCGAGCACGCAGACAGCGCTTGCGTTGAAAATTCTCTAGATGTGGAGGAGCTTGAAGACAATGATGACGAGGATGGTGCAGTCTCGTCCTCGAACATGGGAATCTCTCTATAAATATCATCTAAAGCTGCCGGACTTGTTTCTTTGACGAAACCCAAGCGTTGACCGCCCGTAGTTACACTATTTCCACCAAGGGACAAATGATGTGCTGCCCATGCTAGGATACCATACAAAATTCCTTCATTTTGATGCGCCATCGGCAGAAAGATTTGTAGGTAATAATTTTGTCTTGACGGGGCAATAGACACGATTTGAGACAGTGATTCGCGGTAGTAATTGTACAGATGCAACGCAGTGTCATCAAGGCGCATCAATAGTGGATCGGAGAGTGGCTGCGGCGGAGAGAATGCCAATCGTGTGAGTTCGAGGAAGTTGGTATCGAGTGGCTCTTCGTACGAAACTAATTGAAATTCCTCCTCACTCAAATCAGCAGATACCGCATTGGACGTTATCTCTTCAATTGGGTCATCAAGGCTTTCCTTACCGATTGTAGTTGTGGCGCCGCTCGGTCTTCGTCTTTTTCTTTCAGACAACTCGCTCTCCACTCTTTCCCGGTAGTAATTTACCTCTTCTTTGGGGCATTTGCTAGGTAGATACACGCATGAGATTCCCAGGCGATCGCAATCTGTACATGTCGGCTTATGCTCCGAGCACCTTTTCTTGCGAATTTTGCATGGCACACAACCTGTTTTGCGGTGAATTCGGCGCGTTAAGTTGGTCATGGACTCAGCATTAGTCTCTAAAAGCTTATATATCTTAAATGGCAGGAACCGATGAGATAGAATTGATGAATGAAAATTATAAACGAAATGGAGGATTTTACAGAGGAGGGGGATAGACAAAGAGCTCGGGACTTTGACTACTCGTACTGCGTTCGGTAAAGTACATTACAACACAGTCATGATCTAAAACAAGAGCAGGCTTGTAGAGTCTAGTAGTTGAGATATAATGCAGGGTGATAAACTCTCAATGTCATCTTCAAGCGCCCTTGTAATACTCGAAAAGGTTGCAATGCGATTTTCGTGTTTGCCCCTGCGAGTATTGATCAGGAAGATCAATTCGAGCTGCACTTAGCCATTGGGTTGAATTGCGTATACGCCGACTTTTCGTAACTGTAAATCAAATTGTGGTATGCAACATCAACAACGAGTGCTCGGGAGCCGAAGAGCTCTCTAAGACTCTGGCACGTATTTTCGACTAGTAGAGTCTCTATCGATATTCAAAGGCCTCAAGCTAAATTAAACCTCAACACTTCCGAGAACTTGCCATTCTCCAACCGGGCCTTCACACCTGACGACTTTAAAAGTTCCAGGCAGGCTCCAACCGGGTACTTGGCGACCAAAAGACCACGAGCGCTGATTCTGATTTCCTGGGACAGCGTTTTCGTGCAGTGACAAGTCCAGTGCGTCCTCAATTCTTTGTGCAACGATTCTTTCAAGGGCCTGATTGACATGGTACATCTCGGAGTAAACTAGAGAAACATGGGGGCGAAACTCCTGCAGAAGCCAATTTGAAGCCTCCTCAGGCGTTTCTGCTACGAAAAGCTCTCTGATTACTTGTGCTATGCCCATTAAGTACTTATTTTCTGTGCATATCAGCCGCACTTTCGTGAAGTATCCTTTTCCCATACCAGCCCCAGAGAACGATACTATACTCTCTTCTTTTTGCTTTACACTCGGTTTGATGGCCCCCACTGCTGCTAAGCAGGTTGTGAGCACTTGCTGTACCTCAGCCCCGGAATTGCATTTCAATTGAGAAGTGATTGTCAAATGTGGCTCAAACGTTGGAGCGTCTGGGAAAAGCGTTTGCAGGGACAAAATCAATGACTGCAACGTTTCGTATTCAGTAGAGTTGGCATGCGGTACAAACCAAAGCGCAATTCCCATGTCGGTCCTGTTTGATGCTTATCTTTTAATGTCTCTCTACCAGCTAAAAATTCCGTGATCTAACAAGTTATTTGTAGAAACTTAACCTAATAGCGAGGAAAAGGATCAAGCGCAAGACGAAAGGCCAAACAGAGTTGTGCGAGTCAGTAATAGTGACACGAAAAGCACCCGAAAATGCTCGATATCCTAAAGCTGAATTCAAGACATTCTATTTAAGAAGAGTAAAATGAGAGAGACAGCAAGTCATAGAATACGTATATCTCTTCTCTGTCCTCGAGTGAGGCGGACAACTCAAATTGTTCGCCTTAGCGCCAGAATTTATTCAATTATCCTCACATGCCTGTAAAGATATACAGCTCAAAACTTAGGGCTAGATTATATGGCTTCCCATCTTGGAGTTCAAATCTCATAAATAATAAAAGACCAAATCAGCCTTTATTCCTTTAATAATTACCTGGTTTGTGCCGTAGTAGCTACTATACTACCACCTACTATAATCCGACCTTCTTACTCAATTCAAGCCGAGCGCTTCAATAACGGCGGCTAATGCAAACACAACGGTTGTTCTCGATTGTTATTTGGATCGTAAATTGATCGCCATGGTACCTAATGCTGAACAGAGTTTATAATTAAAGAATTGTACTTGTCGCACTATTAAAAGCTCGTCACTTCGCGGCGAGTTTCATAGGTGTTTGCCTGTTACGCGTCGGCTCGTCAAAAATGTCCAATAGTGAGAGGTAGCCAGATACTCGAGTTATTTACACGGTCGAAAGATCTTGCCAAGACTCTCGCTCAGGGCTCCTTTCAAATATACCATTGAAGAGAGGCTTAATCGTTAGACTATTGTGCAATGGGTAGAACTGGAAGTCTTCATGAAATGATATCCACTATACACATTGTCGTGTTTAGTGCTCTACAAGTTATAAACCTGCATCCATCTCATTCTAGCTCGTAATTAATCGATGTTCACCGAAAACACGCGTAAGATGCCTAAGTGTAAGGTCTGTGGTGGTGTTAACTTCATCAAAGATATTGCAAATGCCAACAACGATACCGTCTGCCAAGACTGTGGTACAGTTTCCGAGGACAATCCTATAGTATCGGAGGTCACGTTTGGGGAGTCAAGTTCCGGAGCAGCAGTCGTCCACGGGAGCTACGTGGGTGCTGGACAATCTCATGCAGCTTTTGGGCCCGGGAGAGGCTCTTCAGCTCTTGAATCTCGCGAAGCAACCATCAATAACGCCAGGAGGAAGCTAAGGGCTGTGTCTCATGCTCTTGGAATCCAGGACTATGTGACTGAAGCAGCTACGCAATGGTATACTTTGGCGCTAGCTAACAACTTTGTTCAAGGTCGTCGATCCCAGAATGTGATAGCGGCGTGTTTGTACATTGCTTGCAGGAAAGAAAAGACGCACCATATGCTGATAGATTTTTCATCGCGGTTGCAAGTTTCCGTTTACTCGATTGGCGCGACTTTCTTAAAAATGGTCAAGATTCTTCATATTACAAACCTACCGTTGACAGATCCATCGCTGTTTATTCAGCATTTCGCCGAGAAGTTAGATCTGGGTGATAAGAAAATAAAAGTCGTAAAGGACGCGGTAAAGCTCGCTCAACGGATGGCCCGAGACTGGATGTATGAGGGTCGTCGTCCCGCTGGTATTGCAGGTGCTTGCTTACTTTTGGCGTGCAGAATGAACAACCTGCGCAGGACCCACTCAGAAGTCGTGGCTGTCTCACATGTTGCCGAGGAGACTTTACAACAGCGATTAAATGAATTTAAAAATACCAAGTCTGGGAAGTTATCCATCAACGAATTTAGAGACGATGAAGATGCTGCACAAGGTACAGAATCGCAACCTCCTTCGTTTCAACGGAACAGAGTAAAGGAAAAGAAGCTGCGCCAGAGGATAATTGAAAATGAGTTTGAGACCAGTGACGAAGCCCTCACAAGAAACCCGATTCTGTCTCAAGTACTGGGTGCCCAGGAACTGTCGTCGAGGGAAGTACTATATTATCTAAAACAGTTTTCTCAAAGAAGAGAGAAGAGCGCTCAAAGATTAAAGGCCACTAACGGTATTGATGGTACAGATCTTTATGGGCAAGACCAAAACGCAAAATCGACTTCCGAGAATTCAGATGCGGGAGAAGATGAAAACGATGACCTCAAAGGAAACCAAGGACCCCAAAATGCTTCTGACCGACCTTCCAACGATGTTTCGCGGTTTCAGGATGCAATTGACGGTTACTCTATCGAATCAGATCCGCATCGTCCACGAAACCTGCATTTGTTGCCAACAACGTCTTCTCTATTGTCAAAAATCGCAGACGATCCAGAAGACCTCCAGGATGTAGACGATGAGGAGCTGGACTCCCAGTTGTTGGATGAAGAGGCCTCGAAGCTCAAGGAACGCATTTGGATTGGTATTAATGGTGACTTTTTGCTAGAACAAGAATCCAACCGGCTTAAGCAGGAGGCTGATCTAGCCTCCGGAAACGCCTCCGCCAAGAAGCGCGGCGGCCCTCGGCGCAAGAAGAAGCCTGCGTCGGATGCAGACGGAATTTTGGCTGATCTTAAAGATGATTCTGGTTTACAGGCTGCTTTGAGACTGGCTGAAGACAGCGGAGATCTGACAACGGCAGACAATGTCAAGAATATGATCCAGAAGTCCAGCTTTTCTAAAAAGATCAATTACAATGCCATCGATGGACTTTTCGGTGGCTAACACGTACCTCAAATTACCATTCGAATTTGCATTTTCCTTTTAATTAAAAGTGAGCGTTTAGCCGCCTACTACATCATGTGGGAATAATTATAATAATATATCGCTATCTACGAATAATGTGGAAAAAGAAGCATTGTCCGTATAAACAAAATTTTCTTAGCTCATCGGAGCTCAACTCATCTCATCGGCATCAGATTGTCTTCCAGACTAAATTACTATCAACAAACTGTAATAGAAGATGGTTAGAAAGTCTAGAGCAGCCATCCTGCCGACTAATGTTATCTTGCTTCAGAATTTGGTAAAAAGAGATCCTAAGTCTTACCGTGAAGAATTTTTACAGCAGTATTCGCATTATGAGTCTTTGAGAGATATTTTCATGCTCAGCGCCATGGAGAGCCAAAGTGCCGACGACACAAACACCAGACAGTTTGTGGAACTAGTTGGCTTCGTAAGCCAGGTTTGTTCGTGTTTCCCCGAGGAAACGGCGAACTTTCCCGATGAGCTCAAGCAGCTAGTATTAGACTACCACAGGTCTTTACCATTTGAAGTGCGCGAAAAGATCATTTCCAGTTTGACAATGCTAAGAAACAAGGGAATTATATCTGCGGAGACGTTAATTCAAACCATGTTCCCACTTTTGGTCGCTTATTCGTCTCACAGCAACGCTTTAGGTCCAAACTCGCATGCCAAAGAAGTGAGAAAATTAGTTTACAACACGCTAGTCTCATTGCTCAAAAGCTGCAACACCGGATCCAAGAACCAAAAATTGAACAAATCGACGCAGGCCATTTGCTTCAATCTTTTAGATCAACCAGATTCGCAAGGTGTTTGGGCTTCCCGGCTTACGCGTGAGTTGTGGAGAAGGGGTATTTGGGACGATTCGAGAGCTGTGGAAATTATGTCACAGGCAGCGCTACATCAGGATGTTAAGATTGCATACTCAGGTGTCTTGTTTTTCCTGGGTGCTGACAAAGAGCGTGAAGAAAACTTCGAAGAAAACTCGGATGAGGAAGATGTGGATATGGATTCTCTTAGACACAAGATGCAGATCAACAAGAAGAGTGGCAAGCGTGGTAGAAAGCTAGAGTCTGCTTTGAAAACAGTTAGAAAGAAGAATGCCGGTGCCAAGACACCTCAAGGCTATCTAAACTTCAGCGCCATCCATTTGCTGCGTGACCCTCAGGGGTTTGCCGATAAATTGTTCACAAAGCAGCTTTCAAGTAAGAACAACAACAAATTTGATTTGGACCAAAAAATAGCTCTGATGCAGCTATTATCGAGATTAATTGGTACTCACAAGTTGATGGTTCTTGGAATATATTCCTTTTTCTTGAAGTATTTGACTCCAAAACAAAGAGATGTAACTAAGATTCTGGCCTCTGCTGCTCAAGCGTGTCACGATTTAGTTCCTCCTGACGCCATCATGGTAATGGTCCGTAAGATTGCCGACGAATTTGTGAGTGACGGTGTGGCTTCTGAGGTTGCCGCTGCAGGGTTAAATACTATAAGAGAGGCTTGTTCCCGTGCTCCATTAGCTATAGACGAAACTTTGCTACAGGATTTAACTGATTATAAGGGGTCGAAGGCTAAGGGTGTCAGTATGGCTGCTAAGTCATTGATAACACTTTATCGTGAAGTGGCCCCAGAAATGCTGAAGCGCAAGGACAGAGGTAAAGTTGCTTCCATGGACATTCAAGAATCTAATCGTCAAGGCCAAGATTCCAGAAGACCCCAATTTGGTGTGGAAAATAGCGTTAACGGAATTGCTGGTATTGAATTACTAGCTCAATGGAAGAAGAACAACGAAGGCGCTGATGGCGAATTGCAAGCAGAGGATGACGATAAAAATTGGGAAGCCGATGAGGGCAACGAAGACGAGGAAGAAATAGAAGGAGATTGGGTCACTATGGAAAGCGACAAGGAATATGACGTTGACATGAGCGACAGTGATGACGAGGACGACAAGAAGTCCAAATCCGAAGACAATGATGGTTCAAACGATGCTGCCGAAGCTGAGAAGATTGACCCAGAAACGGCATTTAGAGATTTGACATCGTCTCGTGTCTTGACGCCTGCTGATTTTGCGAAATTGCAAGAGTTAAGAACAGAGCAAGGCGTTGCTCGTTTGATGGGTGTGAAAAATGAGGAAACCGTCGATTCAGAGGGACTCGTGGGCCCTAGGAAACATCATAAGAACACCAAAGAAGAAAGAATGGCGAGTATTATGGAAGGTCGCGAAGGCAGAGAGAAGTTTGGAAGCCGCAAGAGTCACAGAGACCAGCAGAGATCTACAACAAATCGTGAAAAGGAACGCAAGAAGAATTTTGTTATGATGATTCACAAGAGGTCTGTCAGGGGTAAACAGAAGATGTCGCTGCGCGATCGCCAGAAAGTATTGCGTCAACATATCACTAAGCAAAAGAAGAAGGGCCATTAAACGATACTAAAGTGGCGCTTTTTTGAGAATTGTACTAGGCTATCTATGCCGTAAGACGGTTTTTGGGATTTTATTTGGCGATGTCAGGTCTAAGCTTTAAGGCAACACATATAGGTACTTAAAAGATGTACATTAGAAAAGCTTGACTGAGGAACATGCAGATGTTTTATTGTCTAACTTGAAGATTCATAATCTTGAGATTAAGCTGCGTGGCATTCAAGTGGGTAATTTATGCAAATACCATCAAGTTTAAATGGAATTAAACAGCCGGTAGCAGAAAGAAGTGGATCGAATAATCGAAGAACGAGAAGAATTAAGGGGAAGCACGTGGAATGCGCTAACGACTGACTGTGCGAGTTATATTAGTTATATAGTGAAACTAATGGCGCTGAGATTTATAGCCAGGCGCTACATCACTTTATACTACTGTGACATCGAGAATGTATTGTAACTTTCACATTCAGGTGAATCGATACACCTTAATCAAACACTACATGTAGACTAGTATTCAAAATAGCTATAGAGCACTGCGCAGAACGGCTTTGTTGTTCTCTTCGAGCGTTAATAAATTTTGTGAATCAATGATCGTGGTTTTACATGAGTGAAATGTTTCTACCGCTTTTTAAGGGCAGCGTAGCTTCAAAGATGACTGGCGCTCTTACAAAGTCATCAAACTCGACTTGATCGACCAGGTAACACCCTTTAATGCTCTAAAGATTCCGTCGTCTTTCTAAATATTACCCGACCTAAGATACAGCCTATGATAGTTAATTTGTATCTTACTACTAGGTACACTTTGGAAAAAAATATGTTCCACATTCAACTTCTCAACAATATTCTTGTTTTACAAAAACGTAAGAATCACTTGAATTTCAGGTTTGAAAGTTCCTTTTCAAAGCCAATTGGATCAAGCTCTCACAAATCAATCAAGAACTATGCTTTCTAGAACTTTGGCCCTAAAGAAGGGTTTGCAATTCGCAGGTCAAAGAAGATGTTTATCGATCCATGAATTTAGATCTGCAGAACTACTTAGAAAATACGACATTGGCACTCCAGCCGGTGACGCTGCGTTCGACCCAAAGCAGGCATTCGACGTGGCTAAAAAGCTCGGTAACAACGCCATGGTGGTGAAAGCCCAGGCTCTAACCGGTGGACGTGGTAAAGGACACTTCGACACCGGCCTCAAGAGCGGCATCCACATGATAGAGACCCCAGAACAAGCCCAAGATATTGCTAAGCAGATGCTCAAAAACCGTTTGATTACCAAGCAGTCTGGCGCCAAGGGTAAGCCTGTTAGCGCCGTGTACGTTGTGAAGCGCGTAGACGCGAAGCACGAGGCTTACCTGTCAATCTTACTAGACAGAGGGTCCAAGAAGGCGATGATCATTTGCTCGAGCCAAGGTGGTATGAATATCGAAGAGGTTGCCGAAAAGACTCCCGATGCTATCAAGAAGTTCACGGTTGACATTGCTGAGGGTTTGACCCCAAAGATTGCCCAACAAATTTCCAAGAGTTTGGGATTTTCTGCTGAAGCCGAGGCCGACGCCGCAGATGCCGTAACCAAGCTATTCAAGATTTTCAAGGACAAGGACGCGTCTCAGATCGAGATCAACCCATTGAGTGAAGTCATTGGCCAAGATACCAAGGTTATGTGCATGGACGCTAAGTTTGGGTTCGACGATAACGCTTCTTTCAGACAAGAAGAGATCTACTCGTGGAGAGATCTTTCGCAAGAAGACCCAGATGAGGTTGTAGCCAAGAAGTCTGACCTAAACTTTGTCAAGTTGCAAGGTAATATTGGATGTTTGGTGAACGGTGCTGGTTTGGCCATGGCCACTATGGATGTCATTAAGTTGTACGGTGGTGACCCAGCCAACTTCTTGGACTGTGGTGGTGGTGCCACTCCCGAGACAATCGAGACCGCTTTCAAATTGATCTTGTCAAACGACAACGTCGACGCTATTTTCGTCAACATTTTTGGTGGAATTGTGAGATGTGACTACGTTGCGCAAGGGCTGGTTGCTGCTACCAAGAACTTGGCGGTTAGAGTTCCAATTGTCGCTCGTTTGCAAGGTACAAACTTGGAGGAAGGTCGTCGCATAATCCAGGAATCTGGTTTGAAGATCTACTCTTTTGATGAACTGGATCCAGCTGCTGAAAAGGTTGTGCAATTGACGCAGAAATAAGTGCATAGGGTGAGTACGAGTCCCCACCGGTAAGTTTTATAATCCGAAGTTAATATATTCTTAAATTGATGCAGTAGTGAAGGTAGAGGGGAGGCAGGAATGCCTAGGGGAAGGAGAGCACAAGTAGAGGGAGTGTAAAAGTACGAGTAGAATGAGCGTAAAGGTACAGGTAGAAGGAGCTTAACAGTACAAGTAGAAGGAGAGTAACAGTACACGTACGAAGAGAGAGAGGGAGAGAAGGCGGTGTTTTTGTCTTTTCGTACCAGTTTATGTTATTGCTTGGTCTCTGATAAACTAATGTACACACTATGCAAAGTAATCAATATAATTTAAAATCATGCAGTTGAGCTTTGGCCCATGGAGTTGTTGACGGAGTTCGAACTCTGGAGTTTGTGGATCTTGTCGTCCGGCGCTTTGGGTCCGTTGATGACGTAGTCGATGACCTGCTTGGTCGAGTCGCCCTGTTGCAGCCTGTAGTTGCAGATCCTGCTGAGCTGGTACCCGGCGGTACCACCCAGGAAGAAGTTGACGGACGCCAACAACATGTTCTTGGGCTTGATGACGAAAGACCACCTGGTCCAAATCACACCGGTGGCTAGTAGAGACAGGTTTTGGATCCCCGAGAGTTTGTCGACTGGCCTGCTGATGTCGCTAATTCCCGCGAACACGAGAGCCCATTTTAGAGTTGGTGCCTGTAGAGATAGAGAGGTGGTTAGTAGACGTGGGAGAGGGATGCAGGGATGGAGGGAGGAAGAGGACGGACACGTAGGAGAGGACGGACAACCAGGTGCGCGATGCAGGTGCAAAGGCGGTGTCACGCGACATTCACATGCTCGTGCGCGGTTCAAAGTGCGCGCCGCGCACCGCGGGGTTCAAAGTGCGCGCGCGCACGCGCACCGCGCGGGTCCCTCCTAAGACAAAATAAATGGCTCGACTTCTGTCTGATAAAAAAAATTTCGCTATCGGGGCCACCCCCCCCAGGGCGCTAGTCTTGCTCTTTCCGTCGGAAACGCTGGGTAAGGTTTCCCACACGCACGATTATATATATAAAGGCGTGCTGGGAGACCCTGGGGAAACGGCCAGCGCTGGAAAACAGCTCAGCCTGTCCACTGCTGTTTCGAGTCGTCCTTTCGTCTTCGTCTTCGTTTTTCCCGTATCGTATCGTTGTTTTTTAACATACCCAGAAATGCACGGTCTTGGGACCGGTTTCGCTATTGAGAAACCTTCTGAAAGCTCCGCCTGCGGCTGATGACATTTTTATGATTATGTGTGTGTGTGTTTGAGTGTAGTGTGTGGAGCGCTAGCGAGGTGTAAAGTCTGGTCTAATAGCTGTGGTGCTGGTTCCAATCCGTGGCGTGGCTGTGAGGCCAGAGAGGCTCGTTGTTCTTATATGGGAAAGGGCTCCTCTCTTTCTCTGCGGGTCGCCCCGCTCAACAAAATTTCACGGTCACGCTGCGCGGTAGCTTGCTATGACTAAAAAAAATAGCCGTTCGTGGGAAGTGACACATATGGCCACGGCGGGTACGAGAGCAGGAGAGAACTGCAGTTGTGGAAGAGGACGAGGAGGAGTAGCAGTAGAAGTAGAAGTGGTCCTAGCTGGGCGCGGCTTCTGCGTCGCGTGTGCTGCGTTGGACGAGACGAGCGAGGCGGGAGCGCCCGAGACACCACGTGATACCCACGTGGAGCCTCTCTTTCTAATTTTTTATTTTTTCTTTTTTCTTTTTTTACCATTCTCCCCAATCCCTTGCCGTCGCCTGTGATCTCTCAGGAAAGTTTCCCGGTTTTTTTGCGGACTTGCGGCCCGCACAACGGCGGACGAGCCAATCAGCGTTTGGCGAACCACAAAGACAAAGCGAATGACGTGGAGGCGAGGAGGGAGAGTAGTGAGAGAGAAGAAGCCTACTGGTGAGTAATACGAGAGTGAGTGGGATTGTAGGCATTGTTGTTTGTAATGCAAGCATTGCAAGACATGGGGTTGTAGTGGCAGAACGATTGTAGTACGTATCGTGGTAACAAGTGAGGTAAAACAACAACCATAGCGGTTGAAAGCTTGCTGGTACCTCTTGTTCCACCAATTGAAGTAAAACAACAACCACAGCGATTGAGCAAGTCTGAAAGCTTGCTGGCACTCTTACCCTTGCAGAGCCGGAGTAGACAGACGAGTACAAAGTGATAAAAGTAGATATTCAATCCTGCTATATACAAACACTGCTCGTTGCCGCTACCGATGGCTTGCCGTATCAAATCATATTCTCATGTAGACGATCATGGAGAGATTTATTGAAAGAACGCCTATTCACCCGTCAAAAGTATTCGACCCCGTGACGACGTAGAAAAATAAGCACCCTTGATGAAAGCATGCTTCGATGTCCTGCCGATTTTCATAAGTACCGTCCAGTCACTCCACTCGATGGTCTTTGTAGCCGAGCGAATCACGGAGAGACAAGTAGGATCCGTATTCCAGCAAGAACTTTTTACACACCGTTAACGGATGAATTTTGTATTCCAGCAAGAACTTCTTATACACCGTTAACGAATGAAAACGCAGCAAGAACGTCTTATACACCGTTAACGAATGAATCCCGTATTCCAGCAAGAGCTTTTTATACACCGTTAACAAATGAATTTTGTATTCCAGCAAGAACGTCTTATACACCGTTAACGGATGAATCTCAGATTCCAGCAGAAACTTTTTACACACCGTTAACGAATGAATTTCGTATTCCAGCAGGAACTTTTCATACACCGTTAACGGATGAATCCCGTATTCCAGCAAGAACGTCTTATACACCGTTAACGAATGAAAACCAGCAAGAACTTCTTATACACCGTTAACGACTGAATGACCAGCTCAGCAAGTTAACTACTAATGATGCAGATCTGCCTCACTGGGACAATAGAACCCCAGATCTGCCTCACTGGGACAATAGAACCCCAGATCCGCCTCACTGGGACAATAAAACCCCAGATCCGCCTCACTGGGACAATAAAACCCCAGATCTGCCTCACTGGAACAATAGCACCCCAGATCTCAATACAATTCATTCGACGCACCAATTCGACGCACCAGCAGCTCAATACCACTGCAAACATGCGACGTAACCTCGCAAATCTTGAAACCTCTTCTCTGTATACGTTGTTTGCGTATCGTAGCTTCTTGCATTTAGCATCAGGTTCTTTGCCGTTGAGGACAATGACAAAGCAGTACAAAGTGATGTTGAAGCGACAACAGCATCAAGAACCACACCAATTATTGAGGCAAGTCTGGCTCAACAATAAAAAGCGTGTTGACATTCTTATATTCGGCCCATCCATACACAATCGCACGTTCTAAATATCTACCTGTGGCCTTTCCAAAAAATGGAATCTAATGGAATACAAACCGAAGACACGACAGAAAGACTGCATTGAAAGATATGTCATCCATGATCAAGAGTCTCAGGATTCTCATCCCTTCATGTCTACTCATCTTAACGGGGTTGTTCATCAGGTTGCAATTTTTTACCTTTGGTGGAGGACTTTGGACCTGTAACGCTAACGCCAAGGAGGCGTGTGTTACGTCACGTGTTGACAGATCTGGAGAAATATTGGCTTCTGGTAAGTATAAATTACCAAGAATGATAAGAACCAATCTATGATCCATGAATTACTTCTATGACGCAAGACCTTGTTGGATGCACTCTTTTTTTGCTCCTTGTCGCTTACTATTGTACTTTTGAGATCGGTGGACGGCATCTTGTCGTTTACCGGTGATGCTCGCAGTTCTACAGAACCCCATAAAAATAAATACGGGGAAGATAAGACCCTGATTGATAGCATCTTCCAGTGAGGCTGCTCCCAAAATTACGAGGACATTTTTGAGACTTGTTTCCTAATTAGACATGCTCTTGCAATTCTAACATACCAAAAACTGTATACAGCAGAGTTAGCAAGAAATCTTATTATGCTGATATCAAGGGCTTACGCTAAACCTATGCGAATTCTCCTCATCCCCCTTGAACAACATTGTGGAAACCGTGGCCTAGCTTCTATTTACAGGTTCCTTAGTATTCCTCAGAGCAATGATGAAAGCTATAATGGAGGCTGGCAAAATTACATATGCCAAGTTTAAGATATGCGCTTGATGCTCGCTCTCAAAATCATTGTCATACATACTGAGTTAGAGTACTCACGTTGTCATGCCTGTGGCGGAATTGATGAGCTCTGATAAGAACATCTCCTCTCGCTTTCTCCGTGTCGACCACTTACTCTAAATTCTTAAAGTTTGCTAATGATATCTTTAATAGGCCTATAGACTCTATTAATGTCGACTTTGGATTATAATAAATCGATGAACAATGACTGGTTTATTACTCGCTGAACTCGACAACATCGGCAATTAAAATAAAGCAACCGATCAGATCACCGATAAGAAGGCATAGATAGGTGATATAGTCGCGGTTCATGGCAAATTTTATCTTTGCACCCATGGATAAGGCTGGAACTACAAATAATCAAGCCTGGACATTTTCATCTTATCAGAACTTGTTGACCAAAACAACAGATCCCAATCCTGAGTAAAATCCTTGCTTCACAATCGGTGATAGCGTAGAGTTTGTTCAACTGAGTCAAAACTGTTTTACTGGCTGATTGTGCTATTAATGGCAAGAAAACTCGAATACCCGATCGGAGCACCAAGGGGTGGCAAAGCTGATGTGACCCTGTTTTATAGCGCGACCTATCGCCCTGCCCGGAAATGAGACTGACTCAATACATTATGCAATCGAAATATCGTGACCAGAATTGGTAGAATTTTGAATATATATCTACTAATCGTTTACACTTACAGTTGGAGATCCATTTTCACATCTAGAAGAATAACGGATGGTTATTTATTGGCCAACTTATTTTGATATCCTTATTAATAATGATGCTATAAATGATTTCAACGAACTTCTCAAGAGGTGATAGAAAACCAGACAGCCAGGAAACTATTAAATTATACTCAACACGGAATACGACTAACATTCCTCTTTCACCATCAATTTGTAAACTAATGTCAACCAATTTAATTTCTCTCAATTATTATCTTGATAATTTAGCCATCAAAGACTTCCAGTGGCCTTCATCGAGCAACAAGTAAATGGCACCACTCACTGAAGCTCTACCTCATTCAAGATGCCATACCCTAAGGAGTTAGAGGCGACCGATATCCTTTTCCGTATACAGGTACCTAATTCCTAAGGTTTATCGGAAAAGACAATGTAGGGAAATATTTAAAGTTGCTGTCCCAATTCATCCTTCCAGAAGGCAACTATTACGTTATAACAATCAACTGAGCAACCATACTGAAACCATTATGGCATCTGTATATACTTACGACGACTCCAAGTCGTTAGCGCACGACTTGGCTGATTACATCTTGAGCAAACAAGACAAAGCTCTAGAAAAGGGTAAGAGATTTAACATCGCGGTAAGTGGAGGTTCTCTACTAAAAGCGTTGAACTCAGGCCTAATCCAGGACCCTGAGTTCCAGAAGAAAGTCCAGTGGTCACACTGGCATGTTTACTTCTGCGACGAAAGGATTGTCGCTCTCGAAAATGAGGACAGTAACTATGGAGCCTTCAAAAAACTAGTCTTGGATCCACTTTTGGAGACGGACGGAGCTTTGGGGCCTACATGCTATGCCATAAATGAATCTCTAGTTGGACTCTCCGAGAACGATCGTCTTGCTGCTGAATACGAATCACTTTTGCCAGAACAATTCGATTTAATCTTGCTAGGTTGCGGACCCGACGGTCATACTTGTTCATTGTTCCCAGGTAAAACACACGAGTATCTACTACAAGAGACTAATAAGAGAGTCGCTTGGTGTCATTCTTCCCCTAAGCCACCTGCGGACCGCATTACCTTCACATTGCCAACTCTGCAGTCCGCTGAAGCACTATGCTTTGTTGCCGAGGGTGCTTCCAAGCAACCAATCTTGGAACGTATTTTCGAAGGCCACGATACTTCCCTGCCTGCAGGTCTCGTCACCGAGAACTACCAGTCATGCGTTTCATGGTTTGTGGACCAGGCCGCTGTGAAAGGCGTGTCAGTCAAGAAAGAGACCTACTCCAAGAAATGAAAGCAGAAATGCGGAGCGTAACATATAATAATAATCTGTAAACTTCAAATAAGAATGTGCATACAAGTTGCAGAAATATCAAGCATATATGGAGGAAGTGCTACAAAAGCCAAGTAGCCGATTAGTAGCAGATAACTCCGATGTTTAATATCTTGAAATGAAAGTTCAAGGTTGCTTGCCGTTTACGTCTCCATTGGTAATCCACCGGACAAACATAAATTGCGGGTGAGAATCAGAAAGTTAGCTTACGGGTTTCCTTGTTCTCTATCACTTAAATTGAGCTTAGTGAGAAGTGCGAAACCGACATAAAGATGTATTATGACCATGGAGGCGATTCCACGTCATAGTAAGAAGGAAGCAGTATTCAAGGGTGGGAAAACACCACACGAATTAAAACATTCTGATCTGGATTAGAGCCATCTGGTTTGGACCACCACGAAACCATTTGACGCTAGCGAACAAAACAAAGCTGTTTAAGACTACTCACTACTTCTTTCAGTCTTGGAACAAGCAAGCTATGGTATCTCTGGTACTTGAATTGCGTACAAGCGCTTTTCAGAAGGGAATAAAATAACTGGTAAACTATCCCAGTTGAGACTTATAATCGAAGGCAAGAAAGTTCGAGTGCTTTTTGGTCAGTTCTTCATGTGTTCGATCATTAAGAACTACTCTAGAGTAAACAACAAATGAATACAGAAGCAAGGCAAATACTGTTGGAACATCTTTGTGTGCGTTTGACACGGTATCCTATCTTAATCTCTTACCACGCAACATTTCCATGCAGCTTGCCATATGGTGCATTCAATAACTAAAAGGTACTCGAGCTGGCATCGTTATGAAAAAGTGTGCGCATTTAGATTTGTTACCATGGGTTTATCACACTTCGTGGCCAGGTTATAAGTTAATTCGAGGACCGGTACCAAATACAATTGGGACATATGTCATCAAATCTTTCTTGCTGGTGCTAAGAAATCAAATCGGTCATGGGCTGAACCTGAGATCAATGCTGTAACTATAGCGCTTACATTACCAACGGAATTGCATCTAATTGGGACATGTTGAAAAGTCTTTTTGCATGTACGGTTTCCAGATATGAATAGAAGCTGAAGCACTTTTAAGGAGGCTACAACATGCATGATGTTTACATATCAGACAATCAACGAAGCCACTGAAGATACCTCTATTACAAAACCCGATTGGTTACTGGAAGGAAAGATCTGTAAAATTATGCTACTTATGTCTACTTTTGACAACGAAATGTTGAGATGAAGCGCCAAGAGTTTTATCAATTGCGGAAAATATCAAAAGCAAGGCGGATCGAATAGCCAGTGACTTGTCAGTATTCATATAAATTGACTGAGCGTAGAAATTCTTGCAAAGCTTTGAATAGTCGTGAATTACATCGCCTGGCATATTAATCAATGAACTATTGAATGACCTTGTGACCGTTTGAGAGAATGTCTGATACTTGGTTTTGTTGACATCTCTTTGTAGTATTCTGTCATTTCAAAATTTGGCACTACTATCTATCACATCCCAATAAATACTTCTGACTGGAGACTTGCACCAACTTCATTTCTGAATGTGGTGGTAACGGTAAGCGATAAACCGCCGCTCTTTCAACTATCTATGACTATTTGTCAGTGCTCTGATCGGGCCACGCTAGCAATATTGCCGATGTTAGCCATTGATAAAGCCTTTATCTCTATGCCACGTGTTACAGTAGTGCTAGGTGATGTGACAAAATAGTACAGTGTGATAAGAATGCGAAATGATGTGGTTTCGCAGAGGCTGAATCAGTGACCGGAGGCTCGACAAGTCGGCTGATAGTGTTGGATTTGCGATATGGACAACTTTGATTTGAGACCATACTTAGTCAATAAAGACAGTCAATAAAGACAGTCAAGAAAGACTAAACAAATATAGAGATTGCCTCGAATAAGAAAGGAGTATAAAGTATTAATTTAATAAATATAGTTTAATGGTAAAATATAGCAAGCTTTCTATTGCTGAGTCAGATTCGCCTCAAGACGAACTTGGAGAGCTTAAGCTCTGGAAGAGCAGGAGTTCTTTAGCCCCTGCTCCACAAGTTGAATATAAACTGTCGTAATTCATACCACGTCACAATATTGCGAATAAAAGATAAAATTGTCGTAATGTTCTCCACTAGGTTGATTCCGCTCACAACACGACGTAACGACAGCTAGCCGGCTATTGAATAGGCACATGAATTGGTAGGAGGGGCAATTGAATGGTCAAGAAATGTATAAATACAGATGCTTTTTAGCGTATAGAGATTATTTTCTCACGCAGAAGATAACGCTTACAGGAAGTGCTCGTCGGCCACATCCAACGACAATACTCTCACTCTTTACAATACGAGCTGAACTTCGCCTTCTTATGCGGCTTTGTCACTCTGTACTATTCTGTCATCACCTTCATCATGCAAATGACGGCGGGATCTTGACAAATAATCGCCTCATACACCACCAGGCATCGCCCAAGAAGTCGCGCATCAGGCCAGTCGTGAAGATGTGAGTAGGTCACCCGACTGGCTCTTACTTTACGTAAATCACTTTGTACTATTCTGTCGTAGTTCTACATTTGCAACTGACGTAGGGATCCTGACCAGGAACAGTGGAATACATCGCAATACACAAACGAGTTACCGGTGCATAGTTTGACCGCCCTGCACTTCTCCTCTGTTCACCTCGCCATGCCGCATCGACGATATCACTTTGTACTATTCTGTCACAACTATTCCATCGACGCCTGCTAGCAAGAGATTTCAACAAAATATACAGTTGTTCAGGAGCCCTTTCCATTGCTAAGCCAGGATTGCCTTCGGGAAGACTTGGGGTGGTTGAGAAGACTTGGAGTGGTTGAGAAGCCTTAGAACATCCGCACAATTTAGGCACTTGAGAAGCAGCATCTGAGCGCCTGCAAAAAACCTCCCAGCGTCGCATCGAAGGCTGGCTGAATTATGAATTGACTCTGGCAACAGCAGCGCGGTTTATTTCCGGTCTGGAAAATTTAGCCTAAATATTTTATTTCGCAGGGAATATCGGAAAGAGCTCTGAATTAGGCAAGAGCGCTGGATATCACTGAGAGCGCTGGAGATCACTGAGTGCATTGTCGCAAGCCAAGAGATCTGACACAATCAGAGACCACAGTGTCCCGAATCAAAAACGCGCACGCTCCTCGGCCCCTAGCTCCCACCCGGCTCTAAACGCTGCCAAGACTGTCTCACTGCTCGCGACGGCTATCGCGACGGCCATCGCTCACTCTCGATCGCTCTCGATCGCTCGGGCTCATTGTTCGTGAAAATTTTCAACGGTCTCCCGCCTCAGGCACCCGAAAAAGAAACAGCACGTCTCCCTCGCCTCGACTTTCCCGCTACGGAGCTTAATTTCCCAAATAGGCAATGCCGCCCGCGCCCGAACTTGAAAAAAAAATAAAACCGTAGTACATAGTGATCTTTCTCCCGATGACAACTGATCAACTGGCAACTCGTACCACTGCAAGGCGTTTAGCATTGTGGACATAAGGCCAGAGTCGTTGGTATAGCTGTAGTAGTAGCATACGTCAACGAGCAGATTTTTAAAGTTTCAAATCAAGGCTCGAATATTGCCGAAAATCAGTTTTCGGTGCGCGTTTCCGGTATTTTTTCGTCTCTTCTCATCATCCTGGCACTTTTGACATTTTCGAACGTTGGCGAAAAGAAGTAGAACCAGAAGGAAGACAGGAGAAAAAGCAGAAGAAGCAGAAGCACATCAACAAGCACAGAAGAGCTTCGAAGAGTCGAGAAACGTCGAGAAGAGTTTAGCAGAGCAGCTCAGCCTCGAGAGCCCCAAGACGAGCACTTTCCCCCCGGTCCCCAGTCCCAGCAGGAGCCCAGCTCAGCCTCGTAGCCATCGCCAGTGATATACACGCGCTTTCGCGAACCCAACAGCCCTCTGCCCGCGCGCTAGGCCGTGTCCGCACCAGAACACATCCAGCATCGCACCCAGCATCGCATCCAGCACCGCACCCCCGTCCCATGCAGTCCAAGACCTTCATACACCAGCTGCACGCTATCCTCCAGCGGCCAGACCTCGAACGCTGGATCCACTGGACAGACCTCGAGTCTGGCGTGGATCCCTCCAGCCACCGCAACGGCCGCGTCGACCCAGCATCCTCCAACCCGGCAGCGTTCGCACTCAGGCCCCACGATCCCGGGTTCTCCTCCAACGTGCTCAGGCGTTTCTTCAAACACGGCAACGTCTCCAGTTTCGTGCGCCAGCTCCACATGTATGGCTTCCACAAGATGTCCACCACCCCTCCTCCTTCTGCACCTCTCGCAGCAGAAGACCCCACCGCTCTTGTCTCCAAGGCCGAGAAGAGCTCTATCGTTTGGAATTTCGCACATCCCTCCGGTTCCTTTTGTCGAAACAGTTCCATGCTCGAACTCAATCGCATACAGCGCAAGAGTGGCGGCGTCGGCAAAAACGGCAAACGCAAGAACGTCCTGTCGCCCGTTTGCATAAACTACGTCGACTCCACCTCCAATACCGTAATCAACCCCACCAACACCTCCAACGTTAATTCCGCCCCGATTACCAGAACAGCCTCCAGTCTCTCCGAGCACCATCACCAATCACCACTGCCGAGCCTCAAACCTTTGAACATACCGATACCTGATGAAAACCCGAGGTCTCCTCCTTCCCCGCATGATACCGCCTCCAGGAAAAACTCACAAGCCTCTACGGATTCCGTACCTCAACTTCCCATGAGCTTTCCTGGAGCAATCCTACCCACTACTACTTCGAACTTGAACCTACAACACTTTCAAAGCAACATCAACCTCATACAACGCAGTATGATCACCATACTCGATCTACTACAACAAATTCCTACGGCTACCCCCACCGAGAGCGAAAATATCTCTGCCACATTGCAGGCGTTACGGAACGAAATTATCACCGCAGACACCAAATGGACTCACCTACGATATCCAATGTTATCGGCACATTCAAGTTTCAGTAGTGCAGGCTCATCCATCTCCCAACCATACGCTCCATGCGGAAGTAGGTTCCCCAGTTTATCCACTCAAAAGAACTCTGTATTCAGCAACCCTCGCTTCAGCAATGTTAGTAACGTAAGAAGCTCTGCTACATCGTATTGCGGCTCAACAAGTCAACCGGGTAGCATGGATAATTGGGGACCAGGGCATATTCACAAGAAGAAGTAGCCCAACGCATTGAATCCAAATTAAGAAACGGGGAGAAAAACCAAATAAAGAAGACCAAAACAAACGGAAACAATCATTTATGGGTATAATTTTGAGATCGGCGTTATCATTTAATTTTAAGGGATCTCATACATTCAAGAGATTGGTGTTTTGTTTTCTTTCCCATAATCGCCTGGTTACATTTTGCAAAATGTTACAAAAACAATAGAATAAATTATGGGAACACATCATTCAAGCAGGTTTTAATTGTAATAATTAATCTAAGGAACTTTACAGGTATGTATTATATATAATCAACAAGTGTTTTTATCATTGTATTGTTATTTGGTCCACAGTATTGTCTGTCGCACACACCAAATTTATTATGCTTTAGACCTGGTCTTCACACCAAAAATAAAACTTTTTATTAAATACGCTTAACCCGTGAGAACTATATTTTTTGATTTAAGACTTATTGTTCAGCTTTGTTCGACTTCATTTGAGCTCACCGCAATCGCCCCATCTCCCTCGCCAATTTCGGGCGTAACCGGACTTGATTGATACGATGTTGAGCCCATAGTATTAACCATCGGAACCGCATATGGTGAGGCCACTGGTACACCTAGAGCCACAGGCCAACTTCCACGCGGCCTAACAAAAGGTTTGCCACCATTCTGTTGATGTAGCATTGCATTCAAAAACTTAGGATTGTATTTCCCTAAAAGATCTGGCCTAAAACTCTGATTATGATAGGAGTTTTTACGTGAAGAAACAGGTCTTGAATCATTGAAAGTTGCCTGAATCGAATCGCCGTTGCTGATGGATTTGGCACGTTTTTGGGCAAAAGACACGTATAAAGTATGATTCTCGTCCACTTGATACCTGTCCGTAATCATCATTGCTCGTGAGGCATCAAGAGGGTTTTTGAAACATACAAACCCGTAACCGCGCGAGGTTCCTAAAGGAGATTCGGCCGGTTTTGGAGACCAACCGTCAGGAGCATCTCCATTTTTGCTACCTCCAACAGTGATGATCTTGGCACTTATAATTTCGCCAAACTTTTCGTAAAATTGATTGAAATCTTGGTCTCTCCACGTCAAAGGCAAATGCTTAACGTACAAATTAGATTCTTGTTGATCCTTGGTAGGTATAGGAAGCATGAATGGAGAGTGTGGAAGCATGCCATTTTGATTTTGTACGTGGAAAATTGACCCATTACGCGATGAAGGAGCTGTGGAGCTTTCCGGGGTGCTGCTTAAAGAAGGGGGTGCGCCAAACATATGAGTCATATGCGCTGGAGGAGCGTAATTATTGTTTGGTGATGGTGAAGAAACGGGAGAATACCCCACGGTCGTATCATGGGGATCTAAGTCCCCTGCCTGTGCGTACAGAGGCATCGCATTGGGCAAAAATCCAAGGCCAGATTGGGAGCCGCTAAATGGAGCGTAAAACGATATGTTCGTCAGACTTGATTGCCTAGAAGGTATAGACCGCTCGCTATGACGCCGGTGTCTTTGCTCATTATGCGCTCGGTGGTGATGGTTTTGATTGTAGTGGTGATTGTAGTGGTGGTGATGATGGTGAGCATGTGCCTTTGATTGGACGGCTTTGTTCACAACCAGTGTGTTTCCTAGCCATTCCATGTCGTGAAACTTTTCTATGGCCCGCAGCGCTTGCGCATGCGAGTCGAACTTAATAAACCCATATCCTTTTAAAGGACAATCTTCATGACGTGATGCACACGTTTCGACATCATTTGCCTTTTCATCATTATCATCGTACTCAATTTCGCTTTCGCTATTGCGTTTCGGTAAATAGTACGACAAGACCTCTACTGGCTCGCCGTCTTCTGCCAACTCCGACTCGAATTTCGTTACCACATCCTCGGGAGTAACGAAGGTTTTGTTCATATCTTGGAGAGGCAGGTTACCAATAAAGACGCCTTTGAAGCGATCATCATCGTTGTCTTCCTTGATATGATCCCAGTGTATACGTTCACGTTCCTTCCGCTCAACATGGTAGTTGATAAACAGTGGCGACCCATTCATGAGGTTTCCGTTAAGTTCTTTTATACACCTAGACGCTTGAGACCCCAATGGATACGATAGGAAGCCGTAACCTAGAGATTCGCCAGTATTGGAGTCGCAGATTATCTTCAGAGCCAGGACAGGGCCGAATTTGCTGAAAATGGGGACCAAGTCGTCTATCGTAAGGTCCTTCGGTATACCTCTGATGTACAAGTTACCAGGATGCGTTAGAGCATGCGCATTCTCGCTGATAGACCATTTATTAACAACAGCGCTTTCTTGCAGAATAGCAACGGCGCTGTCGCGAGCCGAAACCAGGTCCAACCATTGCTTGAATTGGGACTGAAATACAAAATCATAAAGCCACGTAGAAGGGGAAGCGTTGGGGTCAATTTCAACGCCGTCTTGACAGCTTGCGAATTCCTCGGTACCAGACTCGTGCATGTAGATACCGTTGTTTTCCTCGAGCACGACGAGTCGGCTCTTGTCACTGAGGTACTCGTAGTTTTCGATAACAGATGGGTTGAAAGCGAAACCCTTTTTGGCATGGGCCAACTCCGAGAGCTTGTTGACAAGCTCCGACGTTTGAAGATCCATGACCTGGTTGTTGACCCATTTGACACGGACCGTGAGCAGGTTGGTGTTGGCGAGCTGGTCGAGCTGCAAAGCGCTTGAGTTCGGGGTGCTGCTCTTGGAGGGAGGAGTCACTGCCGATTGTGCGTCTTGAGCCTCTTCCGCGGCGATTGCCGTGTCTGCCAAACGGTTTGACAGCTGCTCGAGTTCTGTGTTTTCAGCCACTGTCATTTTGGTGAGAGTTAAGGTGTCTTTTTTGATGTGTCACTTTATGGGTCTGTGTAATTGGATGAAGTCGCGGGGTTTAGTCGTTCCGCACTGCTTGTGTGCTCCAAACTCTCGAATCTTCTTTACTACGTATCTTTTCCAAAACTTCTGGTGTCGCTTTGTTTCCTTCTTCCGTGCGCTTCCGGAAGCCTGTCTCTTGTACTGCGAGTGTGTTAACTGGAACTTGTGTCTCGCGCACACAGTATTTTTTTGCTTGTTGAGAGTTCTGTGCTATACTTGCCCAGCCTCTTGAACTGAAGTGCTTCCTGGTGTCTCAGTCTTCCGCACTCGGACTCTTTTCTGATAAATTCTGCTGTTTTCTTCCGCTTGTTAATATGTCAACTTCGAACACCCTATTTTGAATTATTATTATTTTTGAAAGACCGGGCCCCGGCACCTGCCAGAAATCAAAAGCCAAAAATCACTCTGACTGCCAGCTTACTCATTCAATTCCCTATTTGTTTCTCTGCCTGGCTCTCCCCCGGAAATGTCTGTAAGTGGGTTTGTAGCTCAAAGTTTCGCTTGACCAAATCACCCGGCTCCGAGCGGTTTGCGTGAGTGGTTATTTCCATTTCCGTCTTCGCTAGTGTTCGGTGTGTGGGAGTGGCTGACAGAATGAAGCCAACGGAATTTCTTGCCGTTGTTGCCGTCGTTTGTGTAAAAAGTTAGTGGTTACCACCACCGGTTGGGCTGTGTGACTGAGGGTGTAGTAATTTGCGTGGGCAGTGGGCCTTCGGATGCAGCTAGCTACCGTCAATCTAACAACAACCACAATTTGCGCGTAATTTGGCTGTTGTGGGCTTGCCTGTTGGATTGACAAAATACCTCTTGGGTAAGGGGAAGCAGGGCAATCAATTGCAGCGGGACACGGCGTAGGCTTTTTTGTATAGTGCAGTTATTTTGTCGCAGACACAGGCGAAGTAGCGCAGTTGACTCTTGTTTGTTTAATTTGTAAGACTTTCGGTGCCGTAACAGTAGCAGCTGTGATCGTAAGTCCGGGGTCCATCGCTCTTGGCGGGAAGCTGAGATGACCAATTGCAGCGATTTCAAGATAAAGAGGCTTCGTAGCTAGCAGTTGCTGCTGTTAGTGTTGTTGGCCTTCCCACTCGCTGTGCAATTGATTGGTGGATTGCTGGCCTGGTCGTGAGTTGCAGCCGAGTACTGGAGCCTGTGCGGGAATGGCAGGTGATGGTGCCCAGCCAGCGCTATACGACGATTAGCACGCACCTATAAGAAAAAAATTTAAAGGTTGAGATGCGTACTCGGGCACGTGACGGGATGGCAAAATGGGACAGTGTCTGGACGGTTTAGTTCAGACGCCGCGGAATTTGTCAATGCTGTGTGAGTGTGGGTTACATTCCGTTCAAAATATCACGGACGATTGGCTTGTTTTGCGCAAATTTGGACTCGCCCGTAACGTTTGCCGCCTTCCGTACCGTTTTTTGCGCACTCCGCTGCGACGCCGACTCTCTTGGTAACTTGTAGCACTCTAAACAGTCTGGGGGCAAGGTGTAGAGCCAGCCGCGTGTTTCCAGCAGCTCCATGAACCCGCGTAGATTTTCCACGGAGCTCACAGTGGTTTTGGAACCAACAATGATAAGCTTGCACTTTGCACGGGTCATCGCGACGTTCACGCGGCGCAGCTCTCGCAGCAAACTGCCGCCGTTCAGCTCGTTGTTGCTGCGCACCATAGAGATCACAATGCACTTTTTGTCGCGACCTTGGAACTGGTCCGCGGTCAGAATCTCCAGATTCGCGTCTTCTTCGGAATCAAACATCTTACGCAGTAGTCTGAGCTGTGCGCGGTACAATGTCATGACCCCGATGTCTGTCCGCGGCACCCCGCTTCGGATCATGGCAGCTACACACTGCCACACGACTTCAGCTTCGCCTTGATTCTTGATGTTGTCCTTCTCTGCCACTTCTTGACAAGAATCGCATTTGTCGTGATCTAGAAACACCACTTTTCTGTCACTCTTTACCACTTCCTGAAGCCATGGTTTTGAGGCTTTTGGCATCATCAACTTAATAAGCTCGTCCGCGTATGGTGTATTTAAAGTTTGGTCTCGAACTTGATCACTTACACACTTTAATTTCCCATCGTAGATCAAATAATTCGACAACGTCATCACTTCTTGACACATTCGGTATTGGTATGTCAATTCCACAACACTCTCAGGATGTTTATCGCACAAAAGCTTGAAAAGAGACTCGTCTAGACCGCCCAGTCGTGCTGCGTCGTTCTTGACCAGCGGTGGCAGCTGGTAGTGATCTCCCACCAGCACGAATTTTGACGCAAACTTCAGTGGGCCCACGCACATAGGTAAAGACAACTGACTCGCTTCGTCGATCAACACGTAGTCGAAATCTTTGCGCCGTATGGATAGTAATGTGTCATTAATGTTCAGACATGTAGTTGCCACTACTGACGCCCTTTGTGAAATGTCAGTAACATCTTGGAAGCTTTTTGCTCCAGAAATATCGACAACAAACTCCTGAGCTTCCGGATGAACTCGGTGCTTGTTTCCGAGCCTCATGATATTGATACCACAGTTCTTCAGCTTGATAAGAATATTGTCGATAGCGGAGTGCGTGTATGAGGTGAGCATGATGGTTTTGCCGCCCGCTAACAGCGTCTTAACAATTTCAACAATTAGCGTCGTTTTACCCGTACCAGGCATACCTAGTATCAACGCATAATCTTCGGCTCGCATGACCTTATCAAATGCTTTTTGTTGATCAACGTTGAAATTTGCCTTGGCATTGATGTCATAGGCTATCAGGGGCGGTTTCGACTCCGGTACAAATCTGGGACATCTACCGTCTATTATAAGCTCTCTTGACTTAGAGTCACCACCCCAAGATTCTTTCATTTTCACATCTCCGCCAGTGATATCATCTATCGCCACTGCACCGTCGGGAACTGGTGGAAGAAACAAGTTTAGTAAATTGAATCGAGCCATAGCCATCCCATGTTGAATTTCATTTCTATCTATTCGGTAAGTTAGCGGCTTTTGGCGAGTCAAACTTGAACGAACAGCAGGCATAAGCACCGTTCTCAATGTTTGATTACTGTTCTTCTCAAAGCCTGGTACATGTATATTGTTACTTTCCAGTCTTCGCGAAGTAGTTAATGATACTTCGTTACTGGAGATAGAATGCACACGGCCAGAGCATAAAGCAAAATGACCGGATTCATCACTCACGTATACAATATCGTTCTTCGAAAGCTGTGAATTAGTCATTAGCGGCAGTTCATACTTATCACTATCCCTAATGAAAGTGTATTTTATCAGTTTGGTGACATCATCCTCATCAGATTCCTTTATCTGTAAATTACTCAGACATTTGCCGCTGAGCGACTCTCTAGTACGGCTATCAAGTAGAAAAATTTCTCTGTTTATACCATTCAAGCTGGATTCTTCCTTTACAATGAGGTCCTCATATTTCATGAAAAACTCTTTATATTGTGTATGATTATTGATAAGGTGGCCAGCCAAGGCTTCATATTCACCTGGCTTTAAACCACTCTCAGCTGCAGTGCCATCGTCGCACAGGCTGTTCAGAACCATACATTCACTTTTGGAGTAACAGTGGTCACAAGTGGAACTTCTCAAGATCGGTGGAAGTTTAGCACCTTTCCGCTCAAGAGTAGTGATTTCTGTAAGCTCGTGCTTCAAATAAACAGAGACTTGATTGCGTAGCACAAGCAAATGCTTAAGTGAGCTCAACAGAGTGTTGTGTTTGGTGAAGTCATTAGACTTGGTGTAGAACAGAAGAAAGAAGTGAACCGGAATTTCATATCTGTCATTCAGTAATAAGGTGTAGATAGTTCCTTGAGCTTCGTGTGATATAGACTTGGTCTTGCCGGTCTTCAGTTCTAATGGAGATATGAATCTCGAGTTATCGTTTAGTCTCGCTTCAACTGTGGCATCAATGAATCCTTTTAAGCCATACATTGGAGACCATATATTTTCTTCAATATCAATGACATTGGCAATCGAGACATATTCAGAGCCCCCGGGCCCTCTTTTTTTAGGGGCATATCCACAATTTTCACCTTTAACATACTCATCAATGAAGTGCTTTATGTTACTGCTATGATCTGTGGATATTTGTTCCAAAAGAAGTTCTTTGGTTGTTTGGCACAATATGATATCCGCTGCATAGAAGTTTAAAAGAGATTTAAGAGTTGATGTCATGAAACCATCAGATAGACGTCGATGATCAAGTTTGTATTTCAGACAGGCCTGCAATAATTCATGTACAATTGTTCCAACCAAAGCTGGAAGGCTGGGTTCACCGGGCCCATTAATTTGACCACAGATAATTGCTTTCCGTTGACATTCAATGGCTCTCCCTATAGTAGTAGCAGAGAGCAAAATATCAGGATTTAGAATTAGTAAGTTATCATTCATCTTCCCACTCTGCGGATCTGTGTCATTAGAAAAAAGTCTTCCGTTGGAACAATTTTGACCTCGAATTGTGTGGATTACATCACCCATTTCGAACTTCAAGTTCACCCAAGGCTCTCTGATGATTAGGTTCACAAACTTGCCTTCATGATCTATACACTTTAGAACTTTTTGACTGACATTGTTTTTTATTTGTTGTTCCTTCGCTTCTACAAGTACCACCCTGTTCATATCCTCTCTTAACACCGCAAATCTGGCCCTCTTAATGTAATGTTCTATAGCGTCAGGTTCAAACTTAGCTCTCTCCTGCACTGTTAAGTTTTGAGAGAACTGCTTTTCAACAGAATCAATTTGTGATTCTATTTGTACGCCATCTGGATCCATGGCCACTGACACTTTTGTGCTCTGTTCTGCTGTCTGTAAGTATTCGATTAGAGAGTCGTCGTAAGTGTCATCGGAGTCAAGATGCAATTCAGATACTTTTTCATTAGCTGTAGGGACAGTGGCTGGCTTGCTGGCGCTTTCTGCATCGCCAAATCTCTGTGTGAGAACTTCTATTAGTGAGTCATCATCATCATCATCAGAATCAGAATTAACATCAGCTTCATTTTTATTGTACTTAATAGCATCGCTATTACTTTTGTCATTTTTGCAGCTTCCGGCTTTCTTATCGTCCCCACCACTTAATGATTCTGATGATGAAGAAGTGGGAACTGGAAAAACATGCTCATTACATTTTTCGTTTGCTTGAAGTTTTTGAGAGACCATCCGTGTCGGTGATGAAGGAATATCTTTACTTTGAAATGGGGGTCTTAGTTCAAAGTCGCCTTCGATATCATTGATAATCTCATCAATATCTCGCGTGGAGGGTCTTGAATCTGGTGGTCCACTTAAGCTTCTGGGTAGTGAGTTTTGTCGAAGCGACTGAGTTTTTGAGGCTAGAAGCGGCGATCCAACATTGCGCGATGATCCCGTATTGATGTGCGACAAATTCAGTACACTCCGAAATTTATTAGGCACAATCGGTGTGGATGATTCCTTAACAACCTGTTCAATTAAACTGTCTTCTGACGGCGATCGATAACCCCGATCCGTTTCGGTGTATTCTAAGCGTTCATTGTGATTTGGAGAGAACTGCCAGACTACTTCTTCGGAACGTCCAATTTCTGCATTTATCTTTGATCCACTTCCTGGGCCTTTAGGCGTATTCTTTTTAATCTTTGTTTCCGCTGTTTCAAGCGATGGAGCCGAAGCTTCGCTCTTTTTCGATTTTCGAACTTCTGACACGGAAATAGATCGCAAAACTTCGGGGTCCCTCTTCTTAGTATCTTTACCATCGCTTAGAGTATTGACTGGAGCAAATTTGTACTTTTTCTTTATCCTTACCGCTTTGTCGGTCGTCCCCAAAGTTACCGCCGAGCTTTTGTTAATTCGAGATTCGTTCGCCTCCGCAACTAAACGCTCAGGAGACGCAAAGGGGCTGGGTCCCCTCTTTTTCACATCCTTGAGACCCATAGTATAATTGCAAATCAATGAAGTTTAACTATGGTCGAAATGAAAGACCAAAGAGCTTGATTTTCGACATGCAAATCACTACATCTTTTTTGATTCCTCCTCTAGTTCTTGAGATCAAATTACCGAATACCTTTCAGTGAGTACTTAAATACTCGAACTGAGGTTTGAACAGTTGCGACAAGTATTATGTTAGAAATTGTGCTACAATCTCAATAGCGCGGCGCGAAACTTGAAACATATATTTGTGATATATTACATTGGGTGAGATACATTCAGGAAATAAGATACTTTTTTTCTACGACATAAATGCCGAACTCAAGTTTAGATAGCGCCCAGTACTGACTAAATATAAAGCAAACTCTTATCCTTCCAAACCTGCTTTACATATGTTGAATATTGCACATATCTACTTTATAGATTGTTTTTTGGCTATTATTTCGCTAAATAAACCTTCCATCTCCCCCAACATAATATTTTTCTTGTCCAGAAGCATTTCCATCGTCTCTTCAGTTAATAAAACTTCTTCTGCTGATCGTAGGCGCTGCTTTAGACGGGCAATCTCTATTTTTAAGCGCATTGTAATCCTTCCAACCTCAGAGGCAATATTAATGAATTTGGTCTCCGGCGTAGACTGTGTCATTACTTCTGCGTCATTGGCAGGTAAATAAGGAGCTGAATTAGTACACTGGGGTTCGGATTCATCACCACTGCTCGTAAGATCAATTACGAGATCTTTAAGCCACACAGGCCTTTCCTTCAACTTTCGCTTTTTGGCAGCAAGAATAGTGGTTGTCGGTACTGAAGGCGGCGTTTTGATATTTGTTGACTTAAGAGCGACGTTACCCATTGGTTTGCTGCACTGTTTTTTTACTCCGATGCGAATTTGGTTAGGCAACTCCGCAAGCATTACAGGTCGTCCGCTTAACTCAAAAGCATCTTTCAAGAATTGACCTTTAATCCCTGACTCTTTGTGTATTCTTTCAAAAGTGTAGCCTAGCTTCACAAGCTCATCTATAGCGTCCGGTATCATGTCTTTCTTCTCAGTTATCATTTCATTCGCTCGTTGGCGCTCCTTCTTCTCTGAGATGGATTTTAGAAGAGCCTTCTTTTTGATTTCCAAGACCGAGTGCACTCTACTGACGTCATCACTAGCTCCAACATCTGGTAGGGCTCCGGCTCCATCGGTGTTGCTCATCTACTTTTTAAGATCTTGATATTTTGCCTCATCGCACTGAACTAATGAGTTTTTCAAGACTATTTTCGAATTTCATCCTTTTCAAAAAGACATTCAAGTTCGCTATCAGACATTTTGTGAACATCTCAATAAAGTTGATAAAGATTCTAGCCGTAGATCCTTATGCGCTTTTGTCTTACGTATCATGACTTTCAAATTGTTGTTCAAATAATGGGAATACACAATATTTTATCGATGTTATGCTTACCCGCCAAGAAACTTCAGTCGTAAACTTCATACTTACGATGTCTTTCAAGTACTTACGTAAACTTTTCTATTACAATAGCAATGTATACATCCTGAAATGTAGAATTTGATGACTGGTTATCATCAAATGGGGGCAAAAACTTAGAAAAGTTTAAAGTTGGTCGCAGGTCTTTATAATTCAAAAACATACCGTGAGCATTATCCAACAAATATGATGTGCTAGTCTCTCTTTACTTGACGCGGATTCAAAAAAAATAAGACGTAGGTCAGAATTTACAACATTTAAATAAATTCATTATAGGGACTTAACTGCTTTCTGATTCTCAATCTAATGTGAGTTCGTTGTGGTTATCATTCCTCTAATAAAGATACCTGACACAGTGACCTAATTTTACTTGCAAATGGACTGGTAATACTCCTTTCCCTGTAGATTTTTAAGTACTCGAGTCTGCTAATTAACGATCAGCACTTATACCATCATGCTTCAACCGCTTCTGAGAACGGAGAATACAACAACTAGATGGTCAACAGCATTGGTCCCGTTTTTAAGCACAGTGTCAAGGACACACTGTAATGCAGAGTAAAATCACCTGTCTACATTTTCATATCAATAGCCTGATCTTCGCGTGGGCTTGCCAATTTTTGGCATGTTCTGCCAGTAAGATAGTGTATCTCACACAAACGCGCCGCTTTGAAATTTGACACTTGCAACTTTCTAGCCGCTTCTTTAAACTACATGTGGAAGTAGGCTGACTTCTACTTATGATATAGTATTCTTAACTAGTCATGAATCAAATAAGGAAAACAACGAACGTAAAACTCAAAAGCACTACCTCAATTAAGATAATTGGGGTCTATATAATTGAGCAAGCTCAAAAGATTGACACTTGTCCTGACGAAGATTAAGCTTGTCGGAACTTTAAGAGGGACATATGTGTATGAAGTGACAAATCTATTCCTGAGTCAAACAATTTCCTACCTACGGTATCAACCGTTTATTGACTAGTGCAGTTACAAAGTCTTCGCTGGATAATGGAAAATGTCAGTGATACTATCCACGTTAATAAAACGCAAGAATTTAAGAACTGAAAAAGCAGATCAGAACGTTATCTGTTATCAGCATCCGAGTCAAGCAACAGCATATATACATCATAACTTCATTACCTGCTACGAGAGCCCACTTTTTGAATATGTATATCTGTCTAATGGAAAACAAGCAACCAACGGAATTGTTTCAAATGAAAGAGACTCGAAATGCCTCCGATGGACATAGACCCATCAGTCGACATCATTTTTGGCCTTTCAAACCGGTCAGTTGATGGATTAATTGGAAAAGACCATAAACTATCCCAAAACGTCTTCTTGGTCTGGTTCTAATTCTTCGTTGTCCATAACTTCATTAAATTGCATGAAGTGAACTGACCGGTGTAATTCGTTATAAAACTCAAGGGGAATATCGAGTTTCAGGTCAACTTCACTTTGTGGATTGAATACAGCGCCCATAAAGGCATAATTCCAAATGTCGGCTGTTGGTACTAAAAAGCATCCCATGATTCTGTCAGATAGCATCAGCTGTGCATGCTCGCTGAATGTTGGCTCAAATCCTTGAGGAGCCATGTCGAACATATCTTTGTTGCCAAGGGCCCAATCAAACCCTTCCTCACACAAGGTATACCCTGACAGAGAAATTGAACCAGGGTTTAGGCAAACAGACAAATTGAGAGCACTTCTTTCGTTTTCGAAAAGACTGGAGTGCGCGGTAGCCTCCGGGGCAGACATGTGTTTGAGTTCTTCGCTGTGAGTATGAATCCAGCCCAAGGGCTCTAAGTCGCGTAAATATGGGGAATCTTGCGACACTCGACTCAACTGAACAGCATGATTATTACCCAACTGAGGAACCATCACAATAATCTTGATCTCTTTCACCTTTTCATGACCCGCGGCAGATCTTCCATACAGGAAACCACCCACCTGGGCTTTGACATCAGAAACCTCCACAAATTTTTTCAAAAGGTTTTTGGGCAAAATGTAAACGTTCTTTTCTTCCACGAACTCCTCTGAAGATAGATATATTGTTTTTAAACGCATGTAGAGCAAAGAATTTGCAATTGCACGCTGGCGCCATTCGTTTGTCGAGCTGAATGTTTGAGCCTCATAATTAGTGGACGTCACAACCATGATTTCCTCACCTTGAGCGTTAGTTTGTCTTATTTTCATTGCAGAAGCTGCTGACGGCTCAACAGCGTTTCCTCCATCAGACCCCTTTGAAGATTCAATTTCTGCCATTTGTTGTCGCTTAACGGAAGGAGCTTTAATGTTCTGTCCCAAAATCAAATCCTTGATTTCGGTCTGCGTCAGAGACGCGATGTTAACGTTATATTTCTTCCCGTACTCCTCTAAAATTAGATCACGCATTTGCGATTCCACTTCAATCCATTGCTCATCGGAAAATGAGGGCCACAAGTGGTACTCCCTTACCGGAATTGTGGGATCACTTTTCAGAATCATTTTGGCTTTTTCTTCGTTTGTGCGCAATGCTCTTAAGAGCAGAATCAACCTCGAAAATGCTGTGTAGGATGATATTCTCTCCAACCAGTCATCATATATATTGAAAAGAACCATTTGAGGTTCTGTAGCTTTCATTACAACATCTGAAAGCTTTTCAATTGCTAGTGATGCCGAAAATGGTAATTTCAGCTCCGTGGGCCTAATGGAAATGTTAGGAAAATCCAGCATATGCACTTCAAGTGGATCTAACATAGCCTTCCTGGTAACAATAATTTGCTTAGGCTGTTCTTCTTTAGGGAGAGACCGGATCAAAGCGCTAATTTCCTCTGCAGTTTTCCATTTTGCTAATTGACTCAAACGCTTCTGACCAGCCCAAACTGATGTATGAATAATCTTGAGGTACAGCTCACCTGTTCTTGGATTTAAAGTGAAAATGCAACCATTGATGGGCTTAGTTGCGATATTGCCTTCATATGTTTTGTGGACAGCAACTCTGTAAACATTTGTATCATCAATGAACAATTTAGTATCATCGCTGAAAAGCTCAGCATAATTTGAAGAGTTGAGAAATGGTTCTTGAGTTTGAGATTGATATATCTGCAATCCTTTCCGGATTCGTTCTCGAAGGACGTACAGAGAGGGATTGGCTTTCATTATAGTTTTGATACCATTTTGCATCAATGTTTTCAGGCCGTCGAACCAGTTACCGTAAGCGTCGTACATATTGTACGCCAAGTCTATGCCAACCATGACGCCAGTAGGACACGGGTACATACTAACATTATCAGTCGTGTAGTCCAAGAATTTTGCTCTGACGTACCTTGAGATGTCATGAGAATCGTAATCACCATAGCGTAGCTGAACGTCAATCCACATCTTGCTTGCCGTTGCAGAGTTAAAACTGTCATTAGTTTGATGAAGTAGGGAGGGGCGGGAAACATTCCACGAGAAGTTACTGGATAAGGTAATATCAGCAGCTGATGAGTTCATTTTGTAAGATTTACGTGGGTGTATTGCTTCTTTATCAACAGACTCGATTTGCAACATGTCCATCTCACCGTCAAGAATTTGACAGATATCAAAAACAATGCTCTCATGAATCTTTTGCCACAGATGAGCTCTAAAGATCTGGATAAGTGAAATTTTGAGCGTAGGTATTTTCCCGTGTAAAAATATACCAGTTAAGTCAAGCTGAACCAGGAAACCCACGTAGACATTCGCCCGATTTATTGTTGGGGACCACCATAATGTGAACCGTCGGTTGGGGATCTGACTTAGACCAGTTCTTTGAGCATGTGTCAGCTTTTTAAACTGCATGGAATCCTCGAAGCCGGAAGCCTTTTCCCAGAAAAGACCTTCCCATGAGCTGAACCCTGTCCCTTTAAACAAAGTGTGTTCCAAAATAGTCTCAATCCCCCCTAGAGCCTGAATTACGTCAGTCCTATAAGCATTCAGGTTCCACAATTTACCATCATGGTGGGCATCTGTCCACCAAAAAGGATTATTGCGCTCTAATGAAAATTGCTTAAACTCAACTCGAGCACGGTGACCCTTGTCGTAAGCTAAGGTGTGACGATCCTTTTGGAAAAGTGTACTGATTCGCGGAATACCTCGGTCCCAGGAGCCTTCCAATTCTTCGAAAGCTAAACGACGATTTTGTTGTAAAGCTTCTTGACGTTTTGAAACGTAATCAGCCCATACCCTTTGAGAGTCCAAAAATTCATTTTCCCATGTCGTAATGTATCGGAAAAGAGTTGGGATAAGTTTATCTTCTTCATGCGTCATCCCGGACCTGAAATGGGTAATTCCAGTATCGGTTTGCTTTGACCAAGTCAAATCAGATGCTGGTATCAAGATGTGAGAAGCACTTAGCATGCCTAAACCTCCAAGCTCTTTGGGAGTGTAAAACACGGCTGGGGGAAACCGGGTTGGCATTTTTGAATTAAGCCCTAACTTAACTCTGTTTTGTATTTTCGTCTCACATTTGACAAGAACATCTAAAAGCGTCTCTGTAGCAACAACAGCTTCTCTGTAATACGCGAACAGTGAAATCAATGCTGTGTTCCATCTTGCTGTAATTTTCGTGAATGTTGTGGAACCAGATGCCATTAAAACTCCTCTTATTGTATCATTGAATTTTTCAATCTCTTCATCCGACACTCTCAGGAAGGCCTTGGCTGTTCTTTGTTTGGTCTCTTCGTTAATCAAATCCCAAACGCCTTCGTCAGACGAAACCATTTCCTCCGCTCTAATGTTGGGAAGAATACGTACTTCAAATCCGCACATTGTAAACAGAATATTGGGGTTAGTCTTGCTGTAAACGGATGAGAGCGACTTTTCCCAAGAGATATTTGTCAGAGAAGACGGAACGCGGCCAGCAACCTCCCAGAAAACGGCTTTACCCAGATTCACATCTCCTCGTACCAATCTCATTCGCGCATCTTTTGGCCAGCATCTTTTGTTATTGTAGCCAACAGCATTTTCAAAATTTGGGTCGGGGTTTTCAGACAAGTAATCCTGAACAAGTTCTTCAGCCTCATGCTCTTCAAAATGGAAAACTATGTGAATTTTGTCGAAATATCGGCAATACAGTCTGATTGGATTCCGCTTTTCTACATCTAAGTCTTTGTACTGGAGAAATTCATTGGGAGAGTTAGAAGGACCTGCTATCTCAAGTGCTCTTTCTGGACCGAGGATCAGTAGATCGATTATTAGACCATAGAATTGATAAACAAATGATGAAAATTGTAGGCCTCTAATAAGGCCATATTTGTTCACATGGCTCATATCCTTGAAATTCAGTACAACGTTGTTTTTTGCTGTAATGTAATCGGCTAAATTTGGATCCATTATCAATCTCAGCAGTCGATTAAGAAGTGTGAAATCAATTTTCTCGGCCATCTCTTCCAACTTCGTCTGAAGCATAACGGTCGATTGCCCTTGAGAAACATCCCAAATTTCATTTAGGTTATTCAGACCTTGAGCCCATTTGTACACAAGAAGAGGAGGAATCTCGGTATCACTAGGCTTGATCCAGTTTGGAAATAGCTGCCTCTTGTCTGCTTCATACCAGAGATACTGATCTAAGTAAGCATCTGTTATCTTTTCTAGAGGATCAACTGAGTAAACTGGGGAGACGTACTGAAGCTGGTCTTTCATAAAAAAATCAATAGGCTTGAAAACACGCTGAGTCAAAAGATATTTTTTGACACGATTGAGCGTGTTGTGTGGATTATCGTAAGCCTCCTCGATCAGCGCTAACTCTTCTCGTTCAGCTGCGTTCAGACGTACTTTTGACGCGTAGGCATTTTTTAGGTTCTCCAAGGCTAGCACTAGAATTTTCGTGTCATTCTTGTAAGTCAAGGGAGGGAACGGCACGGGTGAATAACCCTTTTTTTCTAACCAGTCAACCATAGCTTTGAAAATTGCTGTAGCAGCAGCTGGTGTTATATCAGGACCGTTCTTCTCAATTTTTTGTTGCCTCTCTTGCTCATATTTCATCCATAAACGTGTCAATCTTCCCAAGTTCTTTCTGACCACAGTTTTTTCAACATGAGCGCCACGCTTAATGCGATCACGGTTATAATGAGCTGCGGAGACCCAACCATCAGACTTTGCTTTAATATATCTTTCAATGATGTTTTTCACGGGTTCTGGCATTCCGGGTACGTTCCAAGCAATATTTGCCTTCCAGCATCTCCAAGCTTCGCTAAGATGTTGTAAAATTGTTTTGGTCTTATTCTGCTTAATACCATCCGGCATCATATCTAGAATGTCGTTCATGACTGCTGCTCTCAGCTCTAAATCATAATAAGCATCCAGACGTTGCTTAGTAGCTGTTTTGACAACCTCGCTTGACCGACCTTCAAACTGCCTGGCTAAAAGATTCCCCAGCCAGCGCTCTAAAAGAGGTATTATGCCTCTCATGAAAAATATCCAAACTCTCCACGCAGGATGCCAAAATCCGCAGCCAGGACCCTTACCTATAATCTTGTTGAAACGATTGTAAACGACGTGCTTCAGGTCCTTGCAAGCTCTGATTTGATGCATGACCTTGTACTTGTAGCGATAAATACCAGTTAATTGGCCCAAATGGTTGAGAATATAGTTGATCCCATCGGCGAGCTGGAAAGCATCGACGTTACCTAATCGGTACTGAACGTGGGCATCAACCAGAAGTTTGGTTGCTTTCAAAATTTCACGCATTAAATGAAATGCGTGACCAAACCTGGATTTCTTACGTTCCTTAGTTGTCAGTGTTTTTGTTGGTTTCAAATTGAAGTTGTAATCTAGATGCAGATAAGTTAGGCCTTTCCGATGAATAAGCAAATTAAGCATGTTGAAACCTTGATTACAAACTTGTAAGCCCGCCTCTACCCAATCAATGGAAGTTTGCTGAAAAAATTTGGTCTTTCTCAAGCTTTTTAGGAGCTTTTTCTTACTATCCTTAGAGGATGACGGCGATTTGAGCTCGTTCAAAACGTAATTTTTAAGAAGCTTCTGGTAAGATATTCGAACTTTAATAGGCAGCTCACCCTCCGGTTTTTGCAAATACCACCTCTTTATCAGTGCAACATCTTGTGCTCGTATTGTATTTCCTGATCTCCTATTGAAGGGGAATGGGGCGTGAAAGAGGGCAATTGCGTCTTTAGTTTCAGGAATCTCTAAATCCACGTCACCCAATAGCTCCTGAAAGTTAGATGACAAAGAAAACTTACTTTTTTTGGCCAGCTTCTTCTTGTAACTATCCGAATCGGCTTCGACGAGATTAAAGGATGTATCAAACTTGAAAACTGGTCCAAGTTCGTTTTCCTTAGCGTCGGTCAGACAAGAAATTGGGTCACTGTACCACGATAGCTCCACAGCTCTCGGGCGGCTGTTATACAGATGAGCAAACGCTACCTTATACGTTGTTTTTATTGGAACCCGAAAAATTACACGATCAATGGAGTTAAATTCATCGTAGTCCCTTTCTTCATCCGCCGGAAAGAGAGGCTCAAACTTTGGCCCACCAGGAATAGCATTGTTGAGGGCCTTAGCAGTAAAAAAAGATTTCTTGTCAAAAAGGTAACGACTGTTTTGATCCAAGCTTGTATCTAAGAGCGGTGAACTTACTCTATGCAGATTAGCCATAGTATGATGATCAAGCTTCCAATATTTGTACGAAGATCCGTTAACGCTTTGTTCGCTTTCGATTAAAGGTTTTGAGTCAAAAATCCAGTCTTTTATCGAAGCATCGTCGATATCATCCAACTGCAAGTTTATTGCCTCAAGAGGCTCAACATCCTGTATATGTTCAGAATATGAGAGAGGAGGTTCGTCGTCGTCAAAAGGAGGAAACCGCATCCTCTTAAAATGTCGACGGTCCCTTTTTTCCCTTCTCATTGCGATCCAGACGGTTGACCACTGTGCGGAAAAAACAGGTTCTATGACTCGCGGTATTTCATTGACAAATGTAAGTGCCCCTGTATTGTGATATAAGACTCTCACTTCTTTAACTTGCTCCCACGGTTGCGGCATATTCTCTATGAGCTTCAGGATTGCGTGAGGCATATATTTCAGAGCCCCAAGAAAAGCTCTCCTATCAGGATTGAACCTTTTAGAGGACATGTCCCTGTGGTCGTTGATGATCTTTCGTAAATGCTCTGGAGGCATATCAACCTTGTGAGAGTGTACTAACCCACCTCTTTTTGTCTTGTTTTTAGTCTTCCTTGTTATGAAAGTACTTTTTTTGAACCTCTGTTTCTGAAGCAGGTACCATTCATTTCGTAGTTCGATCAATTCTTTCCGAGTTGCTTTTGCCTTTCGATCAACTTTCGTACCAGTTTTTCTTCTCTTTACCGGTAGGCTCGACGCTTGAGAAGATAGCAGACGGCTTGAGTCTGAATGCAGCTTAGGGGTGTGAGGCGGCGGCGAAGGAAATGAGGCGCCATGATTGACTTTTATGTTTGTATGCCCATTGTTATTGACATTCTGAGATTCAGATCTTAGAGGGGGTGGTGGTGGTGGGTATGACAGATTATTCCGCTGTTCGCTACCTTGAGTAGGTAGTCTCTTCCGTGTCTCGAATCCTGGAGGCGGTGGTGGAGGCGGCGGCAGTGAGTTTCTGTTATTAAACCCTGGTGGCGGTGGAGGAGGCGGAAGACCACTCATGGCTCACTTCCGGCTGTTTTGAGAGTAACAGCACAAATCAAATCGATAGAGGCCTTCTGTAAGCTCGTTAAAGGACTGTCTACTGTCCTGATGGTGATTTATAGACTTAATTTCATTAGCTGTGCTCATCCCAAAATTTTTAACTATGGGTTCCTAACTGCCAGTTCTAAATTAATTGCACGTGACTTTTGTTGATTCATTTAGCTCAATCGTTAATTCCATTTTAAATCATCTCAATCCATTCGTTTTCGACATTCGCGAGCTATCGCACGGGCTTCTTCTATTTCTTGAGATGTTCCATGAGTCACCCCAAGAGCGTATTTGTAGGCCTCAGAGAAGTTTTTTTGTTTAGCCTCGTGCTTTGCCAGCCAGAGACTAGCTTTCGTAATTTCGTCGCTTATAAGGCCATCAGTATTCTGATGTGCATCAACACACTTAACCATGTAACCCTTGCAATTGTTCACATCACGCAACTTTTCGTGTAGGAGCGCCAGTCGGTAGAGAATTGTAGTGTCGAGATCGCTGTTCAATGACAATTGGAGCGCTCTGGTGTAGCATTTGATAGATTCGTCAATGCTGTCTACTTTTTCATAGCAGCTGGCCAGGGCCTGCCACATCCTTTTGTCAAGTGGTTTCAACGCACAAGAACGCTGGAAATAATACAGTGAATACAAGTGCATGTCCAGAACCTCGTAGGCTTGGCCTAAACCATACCAGGCTTTAAAGTCTCGTGCGTTTATATCTACTGCTCGGCGATAGCATTCGATTGCAGCGTGAGAGTTTTTGAGCTCAACAAACTCATGCCCCATGAGAGTCCAAGCGCTAGTGCAGCTTTTGTTCAAAGTTAACGCACGTCTGAAATACATGATGGATTTTTCGTGTTCTTGTTTGGCGCTGTAGTAGTTGGCAATAATACAACAGGTTTCGGCACGAAACCTATCCACCCCTGATGCGAATTGTGCAAGGTACGCAAGCTTGGATGGCTTCTGCATTACGTATAGAATATTGGAATACGTATCCATATCCTCAAGGCGATAGGGATCCAGTTTTATAATTTGGTCAAATATCAGTCCCGCGCTAACATAGTCCATGTAATGGTAGTTAATGAGGGCATGTTGAGTCTTCAAAAATGCGAAATTCGGAAAGATAGATAACAGGTAGTCCAGCTCCTGGATGAAATCGTCGATGTTGCCATTAAACTCTTGGAAAAGTGATAGCTTGAAGAATTTGAGCATCACCTTAAACTTCTCATTAGTAAACTTATCGTTCAATACCTTTAGTAGAAGTACAGACTCATCCGATCGCGATAGACAGCTAAGCAGTTCTGTCCAGCATCCCCAATTGTAGGGAAACATGGAAAGCGAATTCAGAAATGAGCTGATGGCGTTAGACGGAATATCTTGTATTTTGTAGAGAATCCCCTGCAAATAGTGAAGCAGTGATATGCCAATACCTGTTTTTAAGCTCTTCTGGTCTTGTGACAAGTAATTGTTGAGCTCCTTTAAGATTAGTGGGACGCTAGTGGACTCACCATTGTCAAGATCGACAGATTTCTGGAACTTCTTAAGCACGGTAGAATTGCTAGACTCGTGATTTCGCAGCCGATCCATAACGTTTCTACCGTCACCGCCATCTACACCGCCGTCAGAACTATTTGCTGTTTTTGGGTTTCCTGACGTCAGCATACTTTCCATACTCTCCTGAGTCTTTTTATCCCACGACAGATATTTGCTATAAAGCTTGAGAAACTTGAGCTCGGGATGCGTAGCATTAGCCAGAAAATAACCGCATCTATCAAACTCTTTGCAATCAAACAAAGTCGAAGCTAGTAAAAACAAGTCGTACTCCGAGCTATCCATGCCAACCTCTGGGTTCTTAGGCGATTGCTGAGGCTCGAACACATTTTTGTGGCTCCTGCTACGCAACGGGGACTCGGAATCTTTCATAAAGTTCTTCACCAGCGGCGATGATGGGATCTCGCACATTCCACATAGCGCCTCAGCAGACCATTTCGACGAATTGTAGAGTTTGAGCCGTGATAATTGAGAAGCTGAATTCCGCAATTCTGCTTGAACCTCTGACAAAAGCTGCGCAAACGAGGGGTCCATATTGTACTTAGACTATCCTTTATATTTGTTCTGGTAAATTCAATTTTTATGATGGCGCTTGTGGGAAGAGCTTAATGTACAAACGCCGAATGTCAAAAATAAATACTTGTTCTAACAGTTGGGAAGTAAAAACAAAGACTAAAACAAAAGACGTGAGGTGTTACTGTTACTATATCGCATAAAGACTGGGTACTCGAATATCATTATGAGCTCTAACAATTTGGAACTTATGCTTAATGAGCTACAATCATCGTTAAATGTAAATCATCAGCACTCAATTGAGTTGCTGGATGACTTGGAAACACTAGTTGTGGATTCAAGTGCTGAATCAAAGAAGACGGAGGCTCTGAAAAGTATGAGAGCTAATTTTGCACGCTCTACAATGTCTATGGCAGACTTACGTGACGAACATACTAATATCATTGAATCCTACAATACCAAGTTGAAATTGGGACCCCTAGCCGACGTGGCCAAAAGTCGGCTTACCGTCTCAGTGGACAGCAATGGAGATCCATCGCTCCTTTTGGACTATATCACTGAAGTGAATGATAGCCACAGTCTACATATGGAGCATGTCAATCTCATCGGTCGACTCTCGTCCAAGTTTAGTGATTCTGCAGTATCTTCTTCCAAAGACAGTAGTAACACAGGCGCAGAATTCGATCTCGAAAAAGTCTTAGACGCGTATGAGGCCGAAAATAGCAGTCCGCAAGATACGGAGCAATTGAAACGTCGACTTCTTGACTGGATTGATTCTTTGAAGATGAATAAAGCTCGTTACAGTTTGGAAAACCAATATATCTTGCGCGATATGCTTAAAAAATTGACTTCTGATGTAATGCAATGGAGACAGAACTATGAGTCTGTTGAGAATATGATGTTTGGCGGTACACAGAACTCAATCGTCCAGACACTTCAGAAGATTGAAAAGCTGAGACCTTCTCTTCAAGCATCGGCGAGCGATGAAGACGTCGAGATGACTTAGTATAGCGGTCGATACTTGGCTGGTCCGAATGATGTGTTTCACACCGACGCCTTCGGCGTTGGCTACGCAAAACTGAGGCACGTGATGTGATTGGGCGCTTTAATTTTGAGCTTCGCACTTCTTCATCGAACTTACAATATGCATGAAAAGAGCTTTGAATCTACAGCGATGATTGAATCATTTCTTCGTCGATCTTCAAAAGCCAACCGATGGATCAGACTAATATCAAATGCTCCCGACAACGCACCTAAAGCTTCGGAAAACGAGTCTTGGCTTCGAAAACTGGGACAGCAGCAAAATAGAAGAGACCCACATTCAAGGCCTCAAAATGCTCTGATAGATGAAGCTGTTAGTGACGCGAAAACTTTGTCGTCGGAATATGATGTTGTATCAACGCCGCCTGATAGTCTTTACATCCACATCAAGTCACCACTATCGCAATTCACAACGATAAGTCATCTACAACCCAAGCACCAACGCCATGCTCAAGCCAAAGAGTTCGTGGACGTGAGAATTTTAAAATGCCGTAGTGGCAGTGGTGGTAACGGAGCGGTCTCGTTTTTTAGAGACGCTGGCAGATCAATAGGACCCCCAGATGGTGGTGATGGTGGCGATGGTGGTGGAGTATATGTACAAGCCGTAGAAGGTCTCAACAGTTTGGCTAAGCTGAAGACAAGCTACATAGGCGCTGATGGCGAAGCTGGTGCAGCAAAACAATTGGATGGTGCCCGTGGAAAAGACGTTTTGATATCGGTTCCGATAGGAACAGTGGTAAAATGGTGCATGAATCCTGCATTGGTACGCAGCGCCATAGGCACATCTAAAGAATCAGTTCAACTTCCACTCAGAAAAGTTCTTGAGCGGCAAAAAGTGAGCCTGCAATGTACAGGACGATTCGAAATGGATCAAAAACCCACTCACATCCAGTTATTTCGCGATTCCTACAGTCCTGGTGAAGGATGGCATTTCAAGGCAAAAGACAAAGAATACCACGATAGCAAAGATTGGTTTGAAGCACTGAAAGAAAAGGTCAAGGTTTATGACTTTGAGACTACGCAGTCTGAATTGAAAGCAGACCGCTTTGCGCTTCGAGGTCTAGACCTTGATAAGCCAAGCGAAAAGCCCATTTGTCTGCTCAAGGGCGGTAAGGGCGGTTTGGGAAATATGCATTTTTTAACGAACATTATCAGAAATCCTCGATTTGCCAAAATTGGCAGAAGCGGGCTAGAGCAGTATTTCATGTTTGAGCTCAAAAGCCTTGCAGACTTAGGCTTAGTCGGGTTACCGAATGCGGGAAAATCGACAATTTTGAGCCGTATCTCAAACGCGCGACCTAAAGTAGGCCATTGGGAGTTTACAACAACACATCCCAGCATTGGAACAGTATCTCTAGGAATCGACGGGCTCAGCTTCACTGTGGCTGATATTCCGGGTATCATAAAAGGAGCTGCTCAAGACAAAGGCATGGGGCTCGAGTTTCTTAGACATATTCAGCGATCGAAGGGTTGGACGATCGTGGTGAGCCTAGAGAAGCAAGACCCCCTTGCAGACCTAAACACACTACTGAATGAGCTGGGGGGTGTGGAAGAAGTCACCAAGAAGAACGTGTTGGTAGTTTGTAATAAGGCAGATATCGACCCAAGTGACCCCGCCAGCCAAAACAAGTTCTACAAAATAGAAGATTTCTGCAAAGCATATAATTGGGATGTTTTGCCCATAAGTGCACTCAATGGCGATAATATCGATCTTTTAGTGCGCAAGATGGCCATTTGTGCTGGTAAGCTATAAATAGGCTTCATCATACGCTTTCGGAGGTGAAACTCATCCCTCTATCTTTTAATCATAGAGGCGCCAGTCTAGTTAATGGTTTTTCTCATTTTAAAGAATGATATCTGTTAGAGGTTCTGTTGTTTGGATCTTAGCGGCATGAAGCTCTAATAATTATTATTCATATCAGTGGACTTGAAAAAAAAAGTTTTTAGCTCATCGCATCTCATCGCATCTTCAAGAATATATTACAAAGAACATTGATATTCTGCATATAGAATACGCCAAACTTCTAAATAGACTAATGTCAAGTAACGTGGGGTCTTCAGGAGACTTTGGATCTCTTGGCATTTCAAGATGGCTTGTAGAGAGTTTGCGTGCAATGAAAATTACTCAACCAACTGCCATTCAAAAGGCGTGTATTCCGAAAATACTAGAGGGAAGAGATTGCATTGGAGGTGCAAAGACTGGTTCCGGTAAGACCATTGCGTTTGCTGGTCCTATGCTCACGAAATGGTCTGAAGACCCAAGCGGAATGTTTGGAGTCGTGTTGACGCCAACAAGAGAGCTTGCAATGCAGATTGCAGAACAATTCACGGCGTTGGGCAGCTCTATGAATATAAGGGTTGCGCTGGTTGTGGGTGGCGAGAGCATTGTTGATCAAGCAATTCAGCTGCAGAAAAAGCCTCATTTTATAGTGGCAACGCCAGGCCGTCTCGCGCACCACGTCATGAATAGTGGAGACGATACCGTGGGTGGCCTAAAAAGAGTGAAATTTCTGGTTTTAGACGAAGCCGACATTCTGCTCACAGACACGTTTACGGATGATCTAACTACTTGTGTAGGCATATTGCCGCCAAAGCAAAGTCGGCAAAACCTATTGTTCACCGCCACGGTAACAGATCAGGTAAAAATGTTACAGAGCTCACCTACACCAGAGGGCAAGCCTAAACTTTTTTCGTACGAGGTGGAAAGCATGGACAAGGTGGCTATCCCTGCCACTTTAAAGACCACTTACTTACTTGTGCCAGAACAAGTGAAAGAAGCATATCTTTACCAAATTCTTACAAGCAATTCTTATAGAGAGGCCAGTGCCATCATTTTTGTGAACAGGACTGTAACGGCTGAGATTTTGAGAAGAACCTTAAAACAATTGGATGTACGAGTAGCTTCGCTGCATTCGCAAATGCCGCAGCAAGAGAGAACCAACTCGCTGCATAGGTTTCGCGCAAACGCCGCTCGTGTACTGATAGCTACCGATGTGGCGTCAAGAGGTTTGGATATTCCAACAGTACAGCTGGTTATTAACTACGACATATCAGCAAACCCTGACACTTTCATTCATCGAGCTGGACGTACCGCGCGTGCTGGCAGATCTGGTGAATCAATTTGCTTCGTAGCTCAGCGGGACGTTTCCAGAGTAGAGGCCATAGAAGACAGGATCAATAAGAAGATGGATGAGTTCACAGAAGTGCATGACACTGCAGTTATTAGAAAGGCCTTGAGCAAGGTCACGGCGGCAAAACGCGAAAGTTTGATGGCCATGGAAAAAGAGAGTTTCGGTGAACGTCGTAAACTTCACCAACGGAAGAATGGTAAAGAAAAAGGTTATAGACGAGAGTAACGTGTATATAACAGCGAGTAAAAAGATAAATTTAGCATAGAGTCAAGGGTTGAGGCACTCAAATACTGTGGCACTCGCGACCTTGCGGTTTTCACCATTTTTGTAGTAGTGAAAAAAATCAATTAATCATCTTATGCCAATGTTGTAAGTGTTTTGAATATAATCAGTAAGACAATGTCTCGTGCTAAAGAGATCCAGGAGAAGCTCGGCCTCCAGGCTAGTTTGCAGACAGCGTTCAACGATTCGAAATTAAAAGCTTTTGAATGGCTTGAGGATGATTTGAGTAAAGACTGTAGCGAAGATTTAACATCTTCGAAGTCTTTGTTTCACCAACTTCCAGTAATTGGCCTAGGTGCGGGTTTGAGCTTTGATCAGACGCCCAGCAATAACAATGATGCGAAAGAAGACATTTCGACCATAGGCGAGTTTATCAACAGCGACAAGAAAGTCTCATCGCTGGCAAAGAAAAAGAAGCGGAAAATGGCAAATGGGCAAGAGCCGACGCAGAGAAGCGTTAACAGTGTACATGAAATCAGTGCTGGTGATACGCGAGCGATGATAGCTTTGAAGAGAAAGATCAAAAATAGCCATCGTGGTGAGCTGCGAAGCAAGCTTGGCCACCAGCGAGACGTCTCGGGAGAAGTTCAACCTATAAAACGTAATACTAGCTCTGACAGTGAAGATGAAGATGAACCTCGCGTTGAAAAGACTACCAAGAAGTCATTTGGGCTACTATTTCAGGGCAAGAGAAAGAAGAGGTGAATTAAGACTGAGAAAGACACGTGCTTTTCGCGTGACTGAAAGAGCTCATTTCTGCCTAAAATTTTTCAGATGCCCATCGCATCGCATGCACCTCATCTCAACTTCATTACTCATTGCTTCGAGACTTGAGAAGACTACAAAGTCCTAAGTCGGTGTCTTAACATTTACATCTATCATCATGAACTATACTCCACTGGACCAACATGCTCACAACAACCAGCAAGCCGCTACACTGCTATGTTGCAACTGTGGTGTGCCCATGGACGGATCTGCTGGGCTAGTTATGTGTTACGACTGTATCAAGCTAACAGTAGACATCACTGATGGTATTCCTAGAGAATCCAATATCTCGTTTTGCAGGAACTGTGAGCGGTTCTTGCAGCCCCCAGGGCAGTGGATTCGTGCCGAGCTAGAATCTAGAGAATTACTGGCGCTGTGTTTACGCCGTTTGAAAGGCTTAAGCAAAGTGAGGCTGGTGGATGCTTCATTTATATGGACTGAACCGCATTCTAGACGTATTCGTGTGAAGCTAACAGTCCAAGGTGAAGCAATGACTAACACTATTATTCAACAGACCTTCGAAGTTGAGTATGTAGTTGTTGCTATGCAATGTGCTGACTGTGCGAGATCATATACTACCAACACCTGGAGAGCTACCGTGCAGATCAGACAAAAAGTATCTCATAAACGTACTTTCTTGTATTTGGAGCAACTTATTTTGAAACACAACGCTCACGTCGACACCATCAATATCCAGGAAGCCAAAGACGGTTTGGACTTTTTCTACGGTCAAAAGAACCACGCTGCCAAGATGTTAGATTTCCTCAATTCTGTGGTACCAATCAAATCCAAAAAATCAGAGGAACTGATCTCTCAAGACACTCACACAGGCGCTTCTACCTATAAATTTTCATTTTCCATTGAAATTGTTCCTATTTGTAGGGATGATTTGGTAGTACTGCCAAAAAAATTAGCCAAGTCGCTAGGAAATATTACTCAATTTGTGCTCTGCTCAAAAGTATCAAACACTCTTCAGTTTATGGACCCAATGACTTTACAGACTGCTGATCTTTCGGCATCCGTTTATTGGAGATACAACTTTGACTCACTAGCTGATGTTTCACAACTTGTTGAGTTCATCGTTTTAGATGTAGACCCAACAGGTCAAACCCGAGGCAAATGGATATTGGCCGATATAACTGTTGCAAGAGCCGCTGACCTAGGAGTCAATGATCAAGTTTATTATGTTCGCTCACATCTGGGAGCTTTCTGCCACCCTGGAGATAGCGTCATGGGCTATTTCATTGCGAACTCCAACTACAACTCCGACTTATTCGACGGTCTAAATATTGAGCACATTCCAGACGTGGTCCTGGTCAAGAAACAGTACATCAGAAAGACACGTAAGAACAGAAGCTGGAAGCTTAAAAGAATGGCTCGCGAGCACAAGGAGATTGAAGCTTCGCAGGACTACACCTCTAGACAACAAAAACAAGAAATGGAAAGAGCAGAGAAAGACTACGAGACTTTCTTGCAAGAGCTGGAAGAAGACTCTGAAATGCGTCAAACCGTCAATTTATACAAGAGTAGCGCTGCTCCTGCACCTTCTGGTGAAGGAGAAATGGATGAGGATGAAGATGAAAATGCCCCACAAATTGATATTGATGAATTACTGGACGAATTGGATGATATGACGCTGGATGACGATGCACCTGAGGCTTAAACCAAAAAAGCGCATCTTAAGCAACAGATATAGAACCCGGAAAAACTGTATAGTATTCATTATAACATCGCACACCTCATTTATTGATTGAGTCAAAATCTTAGATTTCGCGCAGGATTTCTCGTAATGGGCGATCATTGATGCTTTAACATATACACATACACAGACCCCTACTCTAGCCTTTACTTACAAGTTACAACGAAACGTTTCCATTCTGCATCTACTGGAGCTGCAGATGGCAGAAACTTATATGAAATTTGTGACTCCATGTCAATCTTTCATAGATACTTCCTTCTTTCAAGAGCTGGCAAGACTCAAATTAGATGTTTTGAAGTTAGATTCATCGACTAAGGAGCTTACTAGTTACATCGACACTAGACAGATTCCGAAGGGATCTGCTTGTGCGCATTTATTTTTGAGTGATCAAAGCTTTGACAGCACAATCTACAACGAGGTAGGAGTTCCCATACGAGGCTTTTTGTACAATTACAACACTATTGGGCAATTCAAGGAAATAGATAAAACAGCTTTTCTTCACCAGCGGGCCCTGGAGGCGTTTCAAAGAGGCAGAGAAAACCCGAACAGCTGCGTGGAGTTTTCCGTTATTAGTTTTGCCGATCTAAAGACTTACAAGTTCTTCTACTGGGTATGTGTCCCTTGTTTCCAAACCGAATCGCTGCACCTTACAAATCTGGCCAGTGGGCCGCTACAAAACTGGAACAAGTTTAATGACTGGTTTGAAAACCACCCGGGAATTTGGTCTTGTCTGAGCAACGATTCTGGTGAGCTTCTAGAATTTTCAAGGGATCACACGGCCAATTGTACATCGCTTGTAATCAGGGACACAAGCAAGATTGAGATGGTACCTTCTGCCTTTACTAAAAACTTTGTCTCTCTTCTTAAAGACTTCAGACCAGAACTGGAAAAAGTACGATTGGTATTGGCAAGAGCGGAGGAGAAATCGAGTTTCTGGATAGATGTTAAACTAGCCTCCAAAATGGGCTCTCTTTCCTCCTCCCTGAAAGTTACCGGTTGGGAAAGAAATTCTCAGAACAAGTTGACACCAAGAGCTACGGATCTGAGCTCGCTAATAGATCCTTTGCAAATCGCAGATCAATCTTTGGATCTTAACCTAAAGCTTATGAAATGGCGTGTAGCACCCGAAATCGATCTAGACGTTATTAAAAAGACCAAAGTTTTATTGCTGGGGGCCGGAACCCTTGGGTGTTACGTTGCGCGCGTGTTATTAGCATGGGGGGTTAGAGAGATTACGTTTGTGGATAATGGCACCGTCTCATATTCCAATCCCGTACGCCAACCACTGTTCACATTTGAAAGTTGTGGTAAGCCGAAGGCAGCTGCAGCAGCGGAGTCTTTGCGCCAAGTTTTTCCCCTCGTTCACGCAAGAGGAGTAGAGTTGCGGGTTCCCATGATAGGACATCCAGTTACCATTGAAGAGAAAGAGCACCAGGATTTTGAGACTCTTGTGGAACTTGTGCGAACCCACGATGTCGTGTTTTTGTTGATGGACTCCCGGGAGACTAGGTGGCTTCCAACTGTGCTAGGGTGTGCCGAAAACAAAGTCGTAATCAACGCTGCACTTGGTTTCGATAGCTATTTGGTTATGAGACACGGAATGTACAACACACTTGACGAATATCGTTTAGGCTGCTATTTCTGCCAAGATGTTGTCGCGCCCAGCGACAGCCTCACAGATCGTACCCTCGATCAGATGTGTACTGTGACCAGACCTGGAGTCGCACTCATGGCAGCTTCGCAGAGTGTAGAACTCTTGATATCTGTGCTGCAGCACCCGGACCGCAACACGAATGATGCTTCTGCCCAGACCTTTCTCGGCGACCTTCCACATCAAATTCGCGGTTTTCTCAACGAGTTCAAAACACTCCAATTAAGAAGTCCGTCTTTCGAACATTGTTCAGCTTGCAGCTCATCAGTGGTGGAGCAATTCAAATCAAAAGGATGGGAGTTCGTTGTTAACGCTCTGAACAATTACAAATATATAGAAGATTTGTGTGGTCTCACTGATGTGCAAGCCCAGGCAGAGCAAGCTATAAGCGAAGTGTTTGACGAATGGGAAGAGGAATTGGATGATGCTGTCCTCTTATGATGTCAAAATATCTTAACATTCACTTTAGAACTGATGTCACTTTACACTAATATTTGGGCTAGAATCTACAATTTTCTTCAATGTATGGTGTAACGCATGAGTTGGACAATAGGTGGGCGAGATAGAGAGCTACAGCAGAGGCAAAGGATGGTAACGAAGAGACGAAGTAATGCGGTAGATGACTTTGAGGCTAAAAACCCCAAGATAGAAGAAGCGGAGAAAAACGAGCCGGAATTCGTGGATCTCACGCCCGAAAAGACAGAAAGTGCGGCCATAGAAAACTCAGTAGTGCCGGTAGCTGGGAAAGGGATTGCAGACAGCGAAGATGCCGGAGTGACACATTTCATGTTTGATGGACTACAGTACCAATTTAAAGAGCGTGCCAGTGTAGTAGAAGAAAAAGAGGGAAAAATTGAGTTTAGGGTTGTTAACAACGATAACACCAAAGAAAACATGATGGTTTTGACAGGTCTCAAAAATATTTTTCAAAAGCAGCTGCCCAAAATGCCGAAAGAGTATATAGCGCGGTTGGTTTACGACAGAAGCCATTTATCCATGGCTGTGGTTCGCAAGCCGCTGACCGTGGTTGGTGGAATAACTTACAGGCCCTTCGACAATCGTGAATTCGCAGAAATCGTATTCTGCGCAATAAGTTCTACAGAACAAGTACGAGGTTACGGTGCACATTTGATGAATCATTTAAAGGACTTTGTGCGAGCAACTTCAAAGATCAAATATTTTCTAACATATGCTGACAACTATGCTATTGGATACTTCAAGAAACAAGGGTTCACCAAGGAAATAACACTAGAAAAAAGCATTTGGATGGGGTATATCAAGGATTATGAAGGTGGTACGCTGATGCAGTGTTCCATGTTACCCCGAATAAGGTATCTGGACGCCGCAAAAATATTAATTCTCCAAGAGGCAGCAATACAGAGAAAAATAAAGCTCGTATCTAAAAGTAGTGTGGTTCATGCAGGCTTGAAACATTTCAAAGATCTGAGTAATATAAAACCAATTGATCCTATGGAAATTCCAGGACTCAAAGAAGCAGGATGGACGCCCGAGATGGATGAGCTAGCGCAAAGACCAAAGAGGGGTCCTCATTATGCTGCCATGCAAAACGTATTGACAGAATTACAGAACCACGCTGCTGCTTGGCCATTTTTGCAGCCCGTAAATAAAGATGAGGTGGGCGACTACTATGAGTTTATTAAAGAGCCAATGGATTTAAGCACTATGGAAATGAAATTGGAAAACAACCGGTATGAAAAGATGGACAAGTTTGTTTATGATGCGCGGCTTATATTCAACAACTGTCGGGCTTACAATGGAGAAAACACGTCATATTTCAAGTACGCTAACAGGCTTGAAAAATTCTTCAATTCAAAAATTAAGGAAATTCCGGAATACTCTCATCTTGTAGACTAGAGTTGTAACTATCGAGCATATAAAGAACCAAGTACGCATAAATCCACATCGGGGGGAGCTGCTACAATAAATTGAATTGTCATCTTTTCCGCGTTAGCTAAATATACAGATTTATGTTTGATGCAAAGCCCCTTGAGTAAAACCTTGACTAAGACATTTCTACGTCTTGGTTCTCAGAGCTCTCTTGCGCTTCCTTTTCTTTCAGTTCTTGAATGATTGCAGCCGTTTTTTCGTTGCTATACACCTGAAATCCATCATCTTTGGTGACACAGCTCAATTGAGCGTTGTCTTCATCCAGCTTCTCCTCCATGACCTGCTTAAGAATTTTCAAAACCAACAATTCTGCTTCTTTCAAAGTAAGAGAAGAATGCCACTCATTTTGAAGCTCAGACTGGGCTCCTTCAGAACCCGACCCAATAGCTTTAGCATTGTAACGGTAAAAAGTACCAGAAGGCTCAGCATGAAACAGCTGGTAGCCTTTTTCGGAATCATGTCCGGCAATCAAAAGAGCAACGCCAAACGGTCTTGACATTAATCTCTCTTCCCCAGAAGCACCTTCGCCGAATCTAAGCGCCAAATCACAGATTGACTGAGTCAGGGACTCAATGCTAATATCCTCGTCATAATAGAAGTTATGCGTCACGGCAGAGACACGGGCATGTTCAACCATAGAGCGAGCATCGGCTGTGAGACCACTCATTGCACACCCCACATGACGCTCGATTTCTACCGTCTTTTCGATGGAGTCTCCCTCTAGTAATGGCGACGTTACCCTTTTTTCCACTCCCAACACAACACCCTCGGATGTGGCAACGCCTATCGCAGTAGAACCCAGTTTGATGGCCTCCAACGAGTATTCCACTTGGAAGAGTCTCCCCTCTGGTGAAAATGTGCTGACACCGCGGTCATATTCACTTCTGGTCAGAAACATGGTGCTTGGAGTTGTTGTATTTTAGAAACCAGTGTGGTATTTCTCAATCTCTTTTGTCACAATTGGAAATTGAAGACTCCAGGCTAGATGTTGGTACCTATTCCTCGTACGTCGTCTATGATCGTTTAAATTAAACTATATTTCAGACGGAGTCAAACCTCGGGCCGAAAGACTGCACTTTGATGGGATAGAGAGCAGGAATTAGCTTTAATTGCGGAACTGTTCGATATTCCTAAATAGTTTTGATACTCGATTATAGTTTAAATTCGATTGATTTTGCCACCTTATTTAACCCTTTCGTATCTGATTACAGTGAGCTTGGTGCGATCCCCAGTTCGAAATTAGACAGAGACCATATAAACAAAGTAAATCGTAGACCTCCCGATGTATAATTGCTCACATTTCCCGTTCATGCACTTCGTCCTCCAGCTCGTAGAGTAGCCCCGAGCATATGCATATCTTGAGATAAAGACTAGTCCAGCGTTTAGGGGAAATACTCGTGGGAACGATGGTGTTGTCTTTGGTCACTGTATAGCCGGCACGCGTCACTGTACCGCATCTACAGCACCGCTTCAGCTTATATTTTCCGGTTTTTAGAGGTTCCTTCGATATGTCGTCGCTTTCCACCACAGAGAACGAACTCGAAGGAATTTCGTGGCTTAAAACCTCGGAGCTCACAACAAGACCCTTTTCTAGAGGCTGTAAAAGCTTAAACACAGGCTTCGAGAAGATCTCGGAGGCAAAAATTCGTAAGCCCCGAGTGTCGGAAAAGTATACGTCTGCTGGCTTGATGTGCGATAGTACTGCTGTGTTTGAATAGGATAGGAGGAACTCTTTCAAGTGCGAAAGTTCAGAAGGTATATTGCCCTCTATGATGAGATAGGAATCGTGTGGAGAGGTTCCAGAGGTTCCAGAGGTTCCAGAGGTTCCAGAGATTCCAGAAGATGGTTGCTCGCCTAGCGACGTAAATTTATTGTTCACGTCTGCTAAAAAAGTCTCAAACTTCTCAAAATTCACTGGAGAGTCCCCCAATACTTTCCGTAAATAAATCGAAGACTCGTTAAGAATAGGGAACGACGTCTCTGGAAATTTTGTGACTAAGTGGATCACCTTCTTAATTTCACTTAGTACCGATAACAGTAATTGTCGCGTCATCTTGGAACTGAAAATACCTAATACTAGGGTATTCTCTTTGTTATTGGGTGAATTTACTAATACAATCATTTGCTGAGTAAGAAAAGTCACTAATTTCACGAACCATTTGGCACATGGAATCAGCGAATAGATCAAATCTTGCTTAGAGAACGCGAATTGGAAGAGCTTACCATTTGGTTGTTGGAAATTCATAGTAGCGCTATGATGAATTAGAACTTGTATGTTACGCGAGACACCATTAAATGCGAAAAGTATGTTTCTCAACGACATTGCCGTCCTTGACATGTTGTAAACGTTACTGTTGGTGAAGGAGCAACCTAACTCTGATTGTAGAAGTATAGCTTTTTGTATTGGGCGGCTCATGATCATCTTATCTTTCAATTCCTTCGAGGCGTCTGGGGAGAGGCCAAACAATTGATATATTGTGCATATCACAACTTTGAGAAACTTTTCGGCTCGAATTTCGCTGTATTGTGCTATCTTGAGCAAATGAGTTTTAATGGCAATAGAAAGATCTTCGCCAGAACTCTGCTGATGATTCGCGCACACGAATGCATAAGCAAACGCAGACGCAATATGAAAATCATCGTGAAGCGCATCAGTGACAGGGGCCACAATGGGATCAAAGCGCAAGCCAGTTCTCGTCTTTGATTTGGAAAGCACACCTCCCATGGCGGGAGAAACGAGCGACCATTCATTTGCGCTTGGTGGTGAAGTGATTGCAAAATGTATGCCTGTGCAAAAAGGTGATGACAAGACATCGCCATTAAACTCTTTGGGCGAACTTTTTTCCGAATGCCAAGTTTGTTCCCACGTCCATGATCTTCTATCGCAAACTTTAGTCTGGCCATTCTTCATTCTAAATAAAAGCGTAGTATCCAATCCATGTCGCTCAATTGAATGAATACCGGATTCAAAATCTATGGTTTCTTGTTCCGAGAAGGAATAATCATATAGTGGTGGGAACTGTCCATCGGTGCTCAACACACCAAAGGCAGAGCATATTTCCGGTGATGGTGTAGACTTTACAAGTTTATAACGCTTTACCACAGACCGCGAGAATCCTGTGATATCATAGGATAATATTAGTTCAACGCTAGATGTTTTATCATATGTTGGTGGTAAAATTTCGAAGTTGGCCAATTGCATTATCTCCCCCTTGGCGCTAAGGTTTTCTGGGTTGATTTCTATCAGGTGTTGTAACTGTAACTTGGGGTCGGAAACGGCGTTTTGAGTAGTATTGTTCCAATTTACCGAAAGCTTATAAAATGATATTTTCTTCGAAAGCTTGGAGTAAGCCCCTAATACAATTGTCTGTTCATCGTCCATTTGTGCAAATTTGCCAATTTGAATCCAGTCAAATTGCTTACTTCTAGACTCTTGAAAAGTGTTCAGTTGTAGTGAGATCTTTTTATGGTCCTTTGAATTTGAAAACTGATACCAAAAGTCTATCTGTCCTCCTCTTCTTAAAGCTAAGCATGCGGATTTTATGGATGTGGGGTGGAATAATCCGCAGGGCTGAAATTGCTGGACTTGGCTCTTATATGATGAGGTTGTAGCATCTCTCCGAGCACCCAACAGCGCAAAGTGCGAAGTTTGAGTGCCAACCCACATGAACTCTATGATTGTAGCATGGCTCTCTTTTTTCACTTGCTTCCTAACCACTTTCGACTTCGCGCTGCTTTCCTCCAATGGGGCCATTTGATTATGAATTTTGTACACATTGTCCTGGAACACAACCACCAGCTTATCAAGAGTGCTTGGTCCCTCCATAGTTAGTCCAGCAACCATTACTGTGAGATTGCCGATCTCATCACACACCGCAAGTTGTTCTCCTGTATGACTAGAAGAGTTGTCCCAATGAACCGATCTCAAATTATTGAAAGACCTCTGAGGAGCACCGTTTCCACTATTTAGGTTTGAGCTAGACACAGCACTTGATGTTTCAAGCATAGATGGGTAGATAGCGTACTTCTTACTGGGGCGCAATCTCCAATTTGTGCCGTTAACCGTTTCCATTAACGTAATACACAAGTTAGCATATGAGGACTCGGTATCCACATAGCCAATTAAGCCAGAGTTTGACCAGGAGACTGCTTCATGATGTGCTGAGTCGGTAATGATCATACCGGCGCTGAAGCCTGTTTAGGTTCACAAACTTTATCTCTTCTCACCCATTAACAATTTCAGTCAATTAACTCTTTTAAAAATCATGAACAAATTTGGGCGCTTATGCAGTAAGAAAGAAAAACACCTTCGAGTAAAATGATTTATACAATCCTTGCCATCAAGACAGATGTATTTTTTGGCAAAACACTCTATCGCTATTTATTTGTATATTTACATTTCCAATCATAGGCTCAACTTATCGGAGTCGAATCCTGCAGAAACGGTTAAGGAGGGATACTTTCTAGTCAAGTTGTGGCTTTGTAGCTCGCACCAAACCATCAACGGCAAATTAATCATTCCAAAATCTGCTACAAGAGCATTGTTCGCATAAGTTGATTTCCCTCACTAAAATGCCTTACGTCCTGGCTTCCAGTTCCCTGTCTACATCGCCGATGTTATCAAGCTCGAACTCAGTTACATCACTCGCTCTATAATCATTGAGCGGACTTTTTTCTGATCCACTAGCTAATCTGAGGTACAGCTCAAGAGCCATTATAATCCACAAATAAGTCATAAATGCTGCGGAAATCACGACCAAGCTATACGCACTGTGGTCAGCTCCAAGTCTCACAACCAGAATTAGTTGTTCCTCATTGGCGCTCATAAACAAGATTCCTGAGCAAACCAAGCAGAAGGGCGCCAAGTACTGGAAAGACATGATACCGCCGTCAGAGCGTCTGTCTCTCAGGAGAAAGGATATTTCTATAATTCTAAAGGCCCCCCCAGCCATGAGGACATAACCAAAAAGTGCGTGAACTTTGGTGCTAATGATGAGATGTTGGCTATGCTCTGACATGGCCCACCCTGTAAATATTATAAGGAGGCTGGGAACGAAGGTTCTTTTACCGTTCCTGGACAAGAATATGCCGAGTAAACCCCCAGCCCACCATATAATTCCCATGGCCGTATGCTGGTAGTCGCCATGGCCCCAGCCTTCTCTACCCCACCGGTGCTCAGTAAAAGTATTCACAATTCCCCAGGCGCACATCACCCAACTATCTATACGATCTTGAGAGTATTTTCCTTGATTATTACGGATCCAAGGCAGCACTAAGACCATAGAGTACACAAACCCGTAAAGAACGAACGCCGAGCCCATTATTCCGTGAGCAATACACTGGCCTGTGTGGGCATCCCGACAAAACCCAAACATGGCGACAGGTGCTAAGCAGGTTTTTACCCAACCTGTGAGGACTGCCGCCATAGAGAACACTTTATGAAGGGTGCGGAGTTTATACTCTCCGGTGTATGTTACAAAGGATTGCAATCTTTTGTTCCGAATTAAAGCACCAGTGCCGCTGGCTAGGCTTCCTAAGAATAGGGTGCAGCTTAAGAGGGCCATCAAAAACCAAGCTGTACCTCTTGATGTTCGATTTTCAATTCCGTCCGCATCTGGGAACCTTAGTACTACAGCCTCGATCATTGCGTACACAGCAGACACAAATTGCAAAAATAGCGATAACCCCAGCTTATCCGCAAAGGAGAGCGCTGTTGCCACTGATGGAAGAATCAGAAGCAAGCCCATAGTACATAGCCAATGAAAAGTCTTTGGTCCAGCATCAACTATTTCAGGGCGTGTATATTCGTCACTATTATCCATTTCCATGCATCTTCCCGGCTTCGCGAACAACGCCAACGCGAGTCCTATTATTATTGTAGTATGTAAAATGCTTCTTCCAATGACCATGTTTATCTAAAGCCCACCAGTGCCTTTACCTCAGTAAGTGTAGGTTTGCAGTTTGTTCACAAGTTCTTTATATTTCTCTATTCGCCAAGACTAAATACAGAAACTTGGCAAAGCAATAAATCAAGACTTCCGGTAAGCGAAAAAGACGAAATCCATAATAAAATATGGGCGGTATATAAGATTTCTCGAACTAATTTACATTATATTTGCTAACAATCTGTTCATTCTAACTCTAGCATGCTTTTTATTTTTTAAATGTTACTTGGAGGAGGATTCTCTGTCCAAGGTATTTCCGCCGTCCTTTACAGCAGGAGCACCATCTTCGAAAGGGTTTTTCAGTACCTCGTCGATATTACTTGGAGCACCACCAATGGCGCTGTCTTGTGCAGGTTTCGGGGATCCGGAGTTACTTCTCAACAGCTCTTCATCCGAAAGGTCAAAGTCAAAGTCGTCGGCGTGCCTCTCATTCAACAATTCTGCATTTGGATTGGACGTGGCATTAAGCGAGGAGTCGTTTTCGGAATCCGTGTCAATGATGTCAAACTCGTACGTTTCCGCACGGCTTCTTCTAATAAGCCTTCTCGACCTCACAAAAAAGAGAAAATATAGAAGGAGAGCTACTGCTCCAACTACGAATATCGCGAGAAAGTAGCGCATTCCATCAAAAGGAGGGGGGAGTCTGTTTGGTTTGTTCACTTCCGATGTGTCATCGGTAGGCGTTGCAGTAATTTTAGCTGCAGCGGATTCTGTTGCAGTAGGAGGGTCCCCAGTGGGTTTTGCTGATTCCGTAGCCGTAGAAGACGGCGCCTGAGTCGACAGAGACGTGCTGCTCGATTCCGTGGTCTCGTTCTCGTTATCATTCCCATACTCAAACTTTTCGGCCCTTGAAGGCTCGAGTGACTCTCCGAAAAGTTTAAGTCTCCAATTCTTTAAAGTAACGGTGTTAGTTTCTTGTGTAGTGCTCACTTTAAGTTTCCATTCACCTTCACCTGATTCACCCCAGTGCGCAACGGACATAAAAGTCCAGTTGTCGAACCCTTCTTGGGAATTGTCGTTCCGTCTGGTGACGCCTAGGTTTGATATCATTCCACTTGGCGATATAAGGTCCACGGTTGTTTGTCCTCTATTCGTTGTACCAATACTGACAGTTACAGTGATATGCTCAACACGTTTGAAGTTTGAGTTCCTCAATTGCTCGGATGTGATTCTGACGGATGATTCCAGCGTCTCTTCTGTTTGTTTCGTTGACGATTCCACTTCTTGCGTGGGCAAATAATGCCAAGATTGGGGACCAACATTTTCCCAGGTACGCGCCATGTCTACAATGTTGTAGGCATCTAATTTACCGTAGCCATATTTGTGCGAATAGCTCCTTCCTAGAGCTCCCATTTGCCAGTTTCCGTCATTACTATTTATTTCAACAGAAGACAAAATCGAGAGATACTGAACATCTCTCCAAGTTAAATTAGGATTTGCATCCAAGACCAAGGAGTAAACACCGGCCGCTAGAGGAGCCGCTGCAGATGTTCCGCCGTGTGTATCACTGCAGCCGCCGTGGATATCGGTGGAGTGGATGTGCTCGCCCGAGCCTGAAGAATATGTCACGACCATAACTGCAGAACAAGATTCAGAATAAGGCGGGTGTAGACCCTTGTGATCGATCGCGCCAACAGTTATAGAGTAGATTGAGTTTGTGTACCCATCAAAATTGCAATTATCCTCATACATTCCACCATTTCCACTAGCAAAGACATAAAGCGCGCCTTTTTCATTTCTACCTTTCATTGTACCGGTCACAAGAGCTTTCTTTACTAATTCGTCTGGACCTTGCAATGTGCGGCCATCGTCAGAGGGGCCCCATGAACACGAATAAATGTCGTTTACGTCTAGAGCGTGGGTAAGAGATGCGGCCTCATCCTCTGAAGTAATATCCCCGGAAAGAATACGAATTCCTGCCACTTTTGCATCGTATGCGACCCCGATGCCGCAAGCTTTGTTTTTAACGGCAGCGATTTCTCCAGCGCATCGGGTGCCGTGATAATCATCAGCTAGTCGAGGTTTTGGGAGCGGATTATTGTCATTGAAATCCCATGAACCTTCTGCACTAAAATTATCCTTAAGGTCTTCGCTCTCGTAATCGAGTCCATCGTCAACAATCGCCGCCACCACGTTATGGCCTGTGATATTCTCGTACCATAGCCCAGTGACATTGACATCATTTCCTGGATGGTTTGTGTTTATTAGGTGCCACTGTCTATCGAATAAAGGATCCTCGATGGACAGATGATCTCTTGCGTCTTGTAGCGGTTTTAGGCTTGAATCAGTAGGTTCTTTGGGGACTGGCATTCTTTTGTTCAGTCTCTTAGGCGGTAGGGCATGAAACGAGGCAATGCCTGCCATCATTACGTTGATGTCTTCTCGTTTCAGCTTCTGGTCGATGTCTGTGGAGAAGACATAGTGATTCTCCAAGCCCCGAGCTTCATGCTCGAAAGTCCAGTTTGGATAAAGTGCTAAGAGTTTAAAAAGTGGTAAAGTGCTTTCTACCGCAAAGTATTCCCTAGTAGAGTGGTCCTTTTTGGGCACTTGTCGCGATAATCCGATGGCACTTAATGCCAACAAATTGACAATACCATAAGCGCTTGTTAATAGCTTCATACTTACAGCCCGAAAGCCACAAAGTTATCCCTAGCGTTAACAAAAGCGTCGAAAAGCTTAACTTGAAATGCTTAAACTCGACTTTTCAAGATTTAACACAGCTGTTTCGATGAATATTCTCGCTGATTCAACTTGCACATTTATTGAGGTCTAATAATTGACCTGTCATGTGATAGCAAGAGTTGACGGTAAAATTGACGGATTCACCTCAAGTTCGCTGGGCAAGGCACCCTGCTACAAATCGTTCCTTTACGCATCTTTCAAACAAGGGGCTTTACAAATTTCTACGTTTCTCGTGCTCTCTGGTGTCTCTCTGCCGGCTGACTATTGTGCTTTTTTACAAGTTCCAACTTCTTCAATTTGAGTGAAAGTGCTATGATTCTTTCTTTCCTGATCCACGCACGCACGCTAGTTTAAGCGAGCTTGTGATTCTCGAGCATACGTTCGCCTCTGCAACGTTGCAAAGTATGGAGAGCAAGAAAAGCTTCGCAACACTAGTGGACGTCATGGGATGCTATTTGCCTGGACCTCGATAGCGCATTCTTGTCATTGTAAAACTAAGGTTACACAAGCAAGCCTCTCTTGACGCTTAGAAGATACAGACCCGTGAATCATTTGTTATTTCGTTCAAATGAGCGCAGATCATTCCTTTTGTTTTGGTCTAATACTCAATATTGCTGTAGGATAAGTCTCGAAATTTTCGCAACATAGTCAAGCTATCGCGAGCGGCAGATAATAACATGCCTTTCTCTAACCCTTGCAAAGCCTATATATCATAGATCTGCGGTTGCTGAGAGTACCCTCGTTTGTGACATCACCGAGTTTCTACAAGCGAAGATCATGAACCGATCCAGCACACTAAATCTGAATCCTGTACCGCATCGGTTCTAATGAAGAATGTTACATACGTGACTTTTGTCTCCAAATTCCTTAAAATGAATATACATAATCAATGCAAACTTGATCACATGCAAATCTTTACAATATCTTACTAAAACTCCAAAGCCCATCGTTGATCCGAAATTTCCAGTAACATCTTCATTTTACCATCCTAATGAGCTCTTTGTTGTCAGAAAGTGACCTGAATGACTTCATCAGCCCTGGACTTGCGTGTGTCAAGCCCACAGAAACAATCAAAGAAGATGCCAACCCTGGCAATGAACTCGAAGTAGGTAAAGAATCAAATGAACTCGAAAAGGTATCGATATCTCTGCAAGACTGCTTAGCATGTTCGGGATGCATAACCTCCAGTGAAGAGATTCTTTTAAGTCGGCAAAGCCATACTGTCTTTCTGGAGGCCTGGAAAAAACTCCCAGAAGATGCAATGTTAGCAGTCAGTATACCTCCCCAATGCCGCCTCTCCTTGGCCCATTATTACAATATAGCCCTCGATGTTTTTGACAAGAGCTTCATAAACCTAATGAAATCACACTTTAAAGCAGAATACGTGGTGGGTACGCAAGTTGGTCGCAGCATTACCATCAATCAAACCAACAAAGAACTCGCGCAGAGGAAGCAAACGAGCGGGACGAAGACGCCTGCACTTTGTGCCGTTTGTCCTGGCTTTGTTCTGTATGCTGAGAAAACTAAACCCGAGCTGGTGCCATTTTTACTAGACGTGAAATCTCCTCAACAGATCACTGGCTCTTTATTGAAAAGAGTAGCGCCTAACGTTTATCACCTTACAGTTATGCCATGCTTTGACAAAAAGTTGGAGGCGAGTCGAAAAGACAGTGAAGGAGAGGTAGATTGTGTCATTACGCCCAGGGAGCTCGTGACCATGCTCCAAGAACTCGACTTGGATTTGAAGGCATTTGCAGATGACGTGGATGAAATAGCGATAAAAAAAATGTGTTCTCCACCTGGTTGGGACTACGAACTACATTGGGCATCTAATGAAGGTAGCGGTTCCGGAGGATATGCCTACCAGTACATTTTGCATCAAGGTAAGTTATATCCAGACGCTCAGATTGTTACGATCAACGGAAAAAACAGTGACATAAGAGAATACAGATTGATGAATACTGCTGAAGATAAAATAATTGCTTCTTCAAGCGAGCTATACGGTTTCAGAAACATTCAGAATATGGTACGAAAACTGACAAATACCAAAACTACGACGAGAAACGTCAAGGTGCTACGGAAAAGAACTCCTGGGAATGTAAAGGGCAACACAGGAACCGTTTCGGCAGCAGATCCTAGCAAGACAGATTTTATTGAAGTTATGGCATGTCCAGGCGGGTGTATTAACGGTGGTGGACTGTTGAATGGAGAGCAAAATAGTAGCCGGAGACGGGCATTGGCAAAGGATCTAGAGAGCGAGTATGAAGAAAAACTTCCGCGAATTTCGTGTACCGAAGATGTGGATGACAGAACGAGTTACAAGTATGAGTTTACTCCGATTGAAAAGTCATCCGATGTAGTCACTGTGGGTAATACCTGGTAAAAAATGGATCTTCTTGGGGAAAAGAACTACATCGTGGTAGCTTCGCGAGCAAACTTTTTATTCGGAGGTGTTCTGAGGAGTATCATGGGTGAGAACTTTGCTACATGTTTGTGACTATCACACGAACTACAATACCGCAACGCAAACCAGGCGAGAACGTAAACATGATCTGCTACCAACCGGCCAAAACAAAACAGCGTAGTCCAGCACGTATATTCCCCAGGCTGGCAGCCCGGACCGCACTTCAAGAAGCCGGGGTAATCTATTTATGGTCTTCGTGTTGCAGCCGATGAAAGATTAGCAAACGTAAAGCCTGGAGGATATTTAAGTAAATTCTGCATGTGTTTTGATGAGGACCGTACATCTTAAGATCACACAGTAAATAGGTAGAAAGCCAAATAGTCAACTCGGGGGTACTTAGACGTGTTCATGACTTCAAAGCCAGATTTGTGTAGTTATAAGCTGAAAGGTGAAAAGAATTTCTTAGATTTGGATTCTCACTGGAATTCTGGTGACTTTTTTCGAAACTCCTGAAAGTCGAAGGAAGTGATAAAAGTATAAAATTGAGCCGGAGAATCCAAGAAAAAGATGAGTGCGCAAGAGGTTCAGGCTGTGCCTTTGACATTACAAATGCTACTCTGTCCTTACTAAATAGTCACCTAGGCCAGTGAAATCGCCCTTGTTTTTCCCTTATCTCGTTACAGACATCCAAAGACAACTGGTAAATCGCGCTCTCTCAGTAGCTGAGTGATACTTGAGAACGATGCTCCTGCACCCTTGAAGACCCCGCTACGCTCTTCAAACGCCCTCGTATATGTTCCCAGTATGCGCATATCTCACGACAACGACACCCAACAATGCCTACCATCCTTCTCGCAAATTGACTCGATGCACATATCCAAACGACTGACTACACATATCCGAACTGCGCAGTCGCCGCCGCATCTGTATCTTTCGCCTAATCGGCCAGACGAACGTAAACTCACGTGAGACGAGCTATGTAATAGATTAGCCACCTCCAGGAATAAAGACAAATCCGGCGTGCAAACAACAGGCAAACTCACGACATGCGTGCGGGCAGATATTTCAGATATTGAGGAATTTAGATGGACCTGCCTGCTCGAAAGAGCAAAGCACGATAGCGGTAATTACATAGATAAAAGCTTCCTACGTACACAATGACTACAAAAAACTCGAGACTATTTGCGCCTCATTTCCATAACACTGCAGCTGCAGATGTTATTGAATTCTTAAACAGCCATGCCGTCGTATCTTCAAAGAAACGCGGTGAGGTCTTGCTACAATCGAACGTATTGTCTTTCACCATTGTTTGTTCCAGTCCCAACAGCCGTCACGTGATCTTTTTTTCCCACAATAATAATTTGTCAGGTTTAACACTTATTAATTGGATAATCCATTCGGGAGGGTGATTGTATAAATTGGAAGAATCAAGAATAGTTCCAGAATCGGCACCTTTTTTGCTACAAGGTAAGATATACGCAAAAGACCAAAGATTAGGAAATACCTAGTGTTTGTAGTCAGTGTTGAAGTAGAACACAGATCGTGAAACGGCAGGCAAGTTTTAAGAGCCAATTGAGCTTTGTTATAGACGGATTATCCATTTTTCAAGGTTTCAGTATTCGAGACCCCACCACCATTAGCAACGCAAAGCAAGCTAAAATACGGATTTAAATCATGAGTAGCCATAGCCAAAAACCTGTGGAGTTCAAGGAGAACACGTCGATCGTGGTTTTCGGCGCGTCGGGCGACCTGTCCAAGAAGAAGACCTTCCCGGCGCTGTTTGGGTTGTTCAGAGAGGGGTTTCTGGACGAGAGCTGCAGGATCATAGGATTCGCACGCTCCAAGCTCTCTGACGACGATCTCAGGGGCAAGATTGAGCCTAATTTGAAGAAGCCTAACGGCGACAAGGACTCTGAGAAGGTAAAACAATTTCTGAAGATGGTTAGCTACATGTCGGGTCCTTACGACCAGGACGAAGGTTACGAAACGCTGGCAAAGGAGCTCGAGGCTCACGAGGAGAAAAACTCTGTGGAGCATCCACATAGATTATTTTACTTGGCTTTGCCGCCCAGTGCCTTCGTGACCGTGTGCACTCAAATCAAAAAGAACGTTTACGCCAAGGACGGTGACAACAGAGTTGTGGTAGAGAAGCCATTTGGCCACGACCTCGATTCCTTCCGCGAATTGCAAAATGATATAACTCCATTGTTCCGTGAGGACGAGCTCTTCAGAATCGACCACTACTTGGGAAAAGAAATGGTCAAAAACTTGGTTCTGATGAGGTTCGCTAATACTTTCTTGAGTTCCGCCTGGAACAAAGAGAATATCGAAATGATGCAAATCTCTTTCAAAGAGCCCTTCGGAACCGAGGGACGTGGTGGTTACTTCGATGATATCGGTATAATCAGAGATGTTATGCAAAACCATCTCCTGCAAATTTTGACATTATTAACGATGGAGCGCCCCGTTTCTTTCGATGCAGAATCCGTTCGTGACGAAAAGGTCAGAGTACTTAAGGCTTTTGCGCCTATCGAGAAGGAAGACATCTTGATTGGCCAGTATGGTAAATCCGAAGATGGCTCGAAGCCTGGTTATTTGGATGACGATACCGTCGATCCTGATTCGAAATGTGTCACGTTTGCCGCTCTCGGGTTCAAGATTCAAAACGAACGTTGGGACGGTGTTCCATTCGTTATGAGAGCTGGTAAGGCTTTGAACGAAGGTAAGGTAGAAATCAGAGTTCAATTTAAAGGCGTCCCATCTGGTATTTTCAGTGATATTTCCCGCAACGAGTTGGTGATTAGAGTCCAGCCCGATGAGGCCATTTATTTGAAATGTAACTCAAAGACGCCGGGGCTTTCTACAACTTGCCAAGTCACGGAGTTAGACTTGACTTACTCCAGACGGTACAAAGATTACTGGATTCCTGAAGCTTATGAATCATTGATCAAAGACGTTATGATGGGCGACCACTCCAACTTTGTGAGAGACGACGAATTAGATGTTAGCTGGAAATTGTTCACACCTCTCCTAAAATACTTAGAAGGCCCTGATGCTCCAAAACCAGAGGAATATGCATATGGGTCGAGGGGTCCTAAGAATTTAGTAAGCTTCTTAGAGAATCACAAATACGAGTTTGAAGACAACAACGTCTATCAATGGCCAGTGGCTACACCTGATATGACATCTGGTCTTTCGAAAATGTGAAAAATTTCTACAGCGATCAGAGGAAGTTTTCGATAAAATTCCCAATTGCATGTAACTTTCTGTTCCGTTTTCTACACTTTTAGATTTTAAAGCTTCTTTCATGACGTAACTTTCAGGATATTAGGAATACAAAAGGGATTTCTTTTATTTAGTAGTAATATTATAACGCTAAATCGCCTACGACGCCTCATTTCCTTTGACCTCTAGCTTTGCAACAGAAGCAGACTTCTTCATGTTAACAGGTTTAATCATGTCGTACTCTGAATAATTGAGATTGTTGGCCTTCAATTGGGAGTCAATGAAGTTTTTCACACTCTCAAAGCTGATTAGGCGTTTCTCTTTCAATTCCTGCAGTAAATTAACCATATACTTGGGTAACACCGAGAGGTCCTCATTATGATTGATAAGATAGTCTATTACTTCAATTGCAAGGAAATAATTCTCACCCTCGTTTTGAGCAAATGCGTCGTTGTATGTGTTGTGAATTGCACCACCATGAACTGTGGTTTGATTCGAGGTAGTTCCCTGTTGATAAAGAATATTTGGTGCGATGACAGTTGACAGATTATGAATGTCCATTTTTGATCCCATTTGTGAATCAATATGTGAGAACGAAGAAGTCCAGTGTAAGAATGAAAACAACACCTCAGCAACATTTCTGTTGAAGGTTGGTAGGGAAGCATACAGAAGTCCAAAATACTTGTGCCTTTCTAAATCGGACTCGACCTTTGCCACCTGAATCCACAAATCATACAACTGAGATGTCAACACAGGATCTGGCATCTCCCTGAGAAATTTCTTGAGCAGAGCTGAAAGCTGCACAGCATTTTCTTTGGATAAATCTGGAACTTCTGAAGGGCTGTCATCTATTGCTTTTGACAACTCTCGAAGTTTGCGAATATTACCATTCTTCCGAAAAACACCCTCTACTGACATATCCAACTGCCGCAAAGATGATATCAGCTCATCTACGATGATTGGTATTTTTATTTTTGACGGGCCAATACCCAGATCTGAGTCAACACCCCATTGAAAGGTCAGAAGGTCCAGGTCAGATCCAAAGACCTTTCTGTTAGTTGGTTTTTTGCCATCTTTTGTCATAATAACCTTCATCTTGGCCCAAAAATTTGGTCCGTTCTTCTGGTTTTTTGGAGGCGGTACGGGTATGAGTTTTTCTATAACCGCATCGTCTTTAATTAGAGCATCTGGTCCTGACGAAAGTAGGGAAAGAGCAATCAACTTCACGAGGTAAAGTTCTTCAAATTGGAGTTCCGAGTAGTAGATTCCGCTCTTTTTGTTGGCAAGGTTGACTACGTCATCGTCAATGTCTTTGAGTTTCTTGAAGTGAGTAAAAGCGTTCGGCCTTAATTCTCTAGCCTGCTCAGCAGCAACAATACGTGAAATATCATCCAGTGTCAGAGTCTTTGTGCTGTTGAACATATTTTGATTTTCGGGCTCCGAGACCAGGCTCTTATCTGTTTGAATTACCAAACATTTGTCCTCCAGTGGAGTGGATTTTCCCATATCTATTTCTGATGTTTCAAGAATGCGCGACCTGCGTGCCTCCTGTTGATTAGTAGTAGTCAGCGGAATGCTTTGCCTTCTGGACTTCAATCTCTTGATATCATTTAATGTTCTAATGTAAGTCTGTTGCATTGAAATTGATTCTTTGACACTGTTTGACCGCTGTAGAGCTTCTCTGTTTTTCAGTTGTATTTCCATGACGGCTTTTGATCTTATTAGTGCAATTTTAAGCAGAAAAATGAGCTGCGCTAGCTTTGATACTGACTTAAATCCTGAGGTAGAGTCTGGGTCTCCAACAGCACATTGAGCGCAGAGGACTGACTTGCTTTCTGCATTAAAAGCTGCATCGGCAACTCCATAAGAACCGATATGTTTCTGACATATAGAACAGTTAAAACATGATCGATGCCACCGAAGATTTTTGAATTGTATGCAGTCTTCCTGGATGTATTTGCCACAAGACGCGCAACAATCAGTTGCATCTATTGTTACATCAACAAAGTCGAAAGGGTCTCCCTCAATGTGTTCGTTTTTTTCAATTTCTCGTAAAAATTTGACCAAGGCGTTTGCCGAATGTGCCGTTTTATTACGATCGAGTGCCGTTTGAAGGCCGTGGCGCACGAGTAACTTCAGAAAATGAGCAACACCTGTTATGACTGACATGAGAGACGATACGCTCACATCTTTTTCTCTGGATGCTGAACTTAACTTTCGAAGAAGCTGCAAATAAATCATGATTTTTGTTGAAAGATTTCTTGGAAACTTGGCGTATTTCATGTCACTAGATTCAGCATTGGCTTCGACAGAATTGCTATCTCTTGATCCATTCTCAGTTACCTTTACATCATTGAGCGTCATTTTCTGGAATGAATTGTATATGAAAAGTGAATCCAAAGAATCAAGCGCTTTGAAAAGACACTCGACTTTAAGAACAAAAAGGGCGGTAGAGTTAAGCCCTTTGAGTTGATCGAAGCTTGTCAAATACTGAAACATGTCAGATATGCAAACAGCCGTCTCTTCCTCAAACCGGTAGAGCACAGACCATGTTTTAGAGACTAACTTGCTGAAGGAAACCACGTACCTTTCCAAATCGCTGCGGTTAAGGCCTGTCCCTTCTGATCGCTGTATATCATCGAGGTCTGCAGTATCTATTTGAGGCAGCCCAACAGCCTCTGGTGGCAAGTTGACATGCCAATACTTGTGAACTCCATAACATTCCGGATGCCAACGGTGGACTTCTTCGCCTCGAGGAAACTCGATATATTGGTCCGAGATTGGATAATTACAGCCCTTGCAACGATTCGAAAAGTATTTGAGGAAATGGTATTTGCAGTAGAGGTCGTCTTTGTAGTTGAAACAAGTATTTACACCGCATTTTTCTTTGCAGATCTTGCAGCAGAAATGTTCCTCGTCATAAAGTTTGCCAAAAGCATTGTAATAGACACCTCTAAGTGCTTTTCCACATACGAAGCACAATAGATTGTTTCTCTTGAAATAGTCTTGTTGACATAGCGGAATAAGCTGCTTCGACGCCGGGTCTTCGAATGGAAAGTACTTAGGTTTGCATACTTTGCCGCAGTCGTAGCACACAAAGCAGTCCTCATGATAATATCGTCCTAGCGCTTTGAGAGAACCGCGCGCAATCACTTTATCACAGCGAGCACATACTTTAGAGTATCGCGAGCTGTGTTGTGCGGGCCCCAAAACCGGCCTGCCGGGCCTTCTTTCATTTAGATTAGTCCTATCGGCTAAGCGATTGTTGAATTCAGGTGGAGTCTGCGTTCTGTGCGACTCTGCTACAATATTCATGCCAAATTCCCTTTTCCAAACAATGAGCTGCAATTCTTAAAGTGAGACTTGCGTACCAAACTTAAGGACTTGAGCTTTAGCACAAACAACGAGAAGCCTAAAGTTCCCTTGATATGCCGAAAATGCCTCTGTTAGTGTGGGGAGGCTTCTCGGGACTTAATGTTTTGTCTTTTCCGCGGCAGCTAAAACCGTTATTATTATGTTTTGGTGACTTTATTATTTGGTGTGCGTATTCGAGATGTCTTGAAAGTCATATCCCGTCTAGAGTGATGATACATACAAGCTCAAAAAACGAAAGGACGACCCATCTTGGAATCTGTAAAACTAGTACTCGCAAAAAATGAGCACGCTTAATTCTGCGATTTATATTTGTCCTTAAGCAGCGCTATCTGCTCGTCATCAATGCCATTTGAAATTCCTTGCAGTGCTTTCGAAAGGGCTTCTGTTGCTCCAATGATGGGCCGCAAAAGAGCTACGGGAACCACGCGAGCAAAAGAAGAAACAGTTTCTTGGGCATTACCGCTTTCTCTGATCTCATTCTGCGCTTTGCGCACAGCATCGTAGGCGAGTTGCACATTTTTGCCGAACGATCCTTGCGCTTCTTTTAAACCTTGTTTCAGCGATGCAGGTTGGTCAGCATAGAGGCTAAAAATCTTCGGGGCATCTTTTTCGGTAGCTCCCGGCTCGACTACGAACGCCTCAAGATTGTCTTGATCGTCCCTCGGGTTACGTCCACCTACTAATTTTTCGTACTTTAGAAAGGCGTCCTCCGAGACAACGTCCACTTCTACATCTCTGAGTCTGTAGTTGCGTGCTTGAGGACCTTCACCTCCCATAAATTCCTCAGCATTTTCCAGCATGGCCTGCGTGCCAGATGCCAACTTCACACCGAGACGTACAAACTCACCAGTAGTCACCTTGATGAAAACCTGAGTTCCTTTCTGCAATCCCCGCCCTAAACTCTGATCTCTTTTGTACTCTTTAATAGGTGTTGAAACTAGGGCTTTAACACCCGTCCCTAAAGTAACGATCGTTTTCATGGGAGCAACACCACCGAGGATACCTTGTAGTTGCTTCCCAGTAATATCTGGCATCCAAATGCTATTCAGCAACTTGTTCAGCTCAGGGAACCCGTTTATCCCATACACAACTACATGACGCAGTCGAAGCTTTGATCCTTCTAAAATAAAAAAATTCATAAACTCGCTAGTATGACCGGATTTCAAACCAGCATAATCCACCGTTTTGGGCTTATAATCCATCTTAATCTTCACAGCTTGAACCTCTAGCTTCTGAATGTAAACAAAATCGGGATATTCGTCAACCAGTTCAAACCTTGAATCCTTGAACTCAAAAAAACGCATCAGAAAGTCCAAAGTATCTTGATCGATGTGTAATCTCAATGGCAAAACCCTTACCTTCAAGATTAGCTCAGTCGCAGCCAAAAAATCAACAGGCCTTACTGTTTTTATATCAAGAGATATCATGTCTGAACCTTTCGCCCTTGGCTCTTCCTTCCAGTAACTAGCCAGTTTGTTCCACGTAGAGGTTGGAACATTATCGATTACTTCGACATTCTCTATTAAAAGCTTTATATCATTCAGCGTATCTGCTGACATGTCACTTGTTAGCTCCGTTGGGTCGTCAACACTATAACGCAAAATAGACGCCTTCAATCCAGCTATTTCAATTCGAGCCTTGTAGTTCTTGGAGGGCCGCAGTCTCAATTTTTTAGGGGAACCTTTAATTGAAATGCTTGGTTCGCTTTGCAAATCTTTGTTAATTTGTTGCCGTAACACATCAGCATCGACATCTGATCCAGCAAAGAGGTAGATGGAGTCAAAAACGGAAGCCTTTACCGGCTCTGATTTCGTGGAAATTTGTTGCTGCAACTCACTCTCAATTTGGTTTATCAGATCTGATATAGATCTTCTTGTATATGCCCAATCAAACCCATCATATAGCTTTAAAGTAGCGGAGTTGAGGGTTAGGTTCAATTTTATCCCAACGTTCATTTCTTCTGGCCGCGACTTCTGATCCTGGCGAGAAACTTTTGTATTAATATAATTGTCCTGAGCACTCAATATAGTATGGCAACTGTTCTCCGAAGTTGTGCTTCTAGGCATATTCGTGCTTTCATTCGACTGCGGCTTATGCGAAGCACCAATTGAATCATCAAAAATCGGGAACAACTCATCTCTACTTGCGATGGGGTCCAATTGGAGTCTTTGATTAGTGAAGTATTCCTCTTCTACGCCTTCAAACACTTTCACTTGTGAAGGCTTTGTCCTGTACTTTTGATCATCAGGAAATGTCAGTGGAATTCCTAAATCTAATGCCACCTGCACTAAAGCCTGCATGGAATCAGCACATAAAAATAAGCATATACTACCCAAATCCGCTGTAACGATCAGCCCGCTTGCGGATTTTTCCAGACTAAACTGGCCTTTATCTAGCTTTCCAATATTGACAAATCCGCGATCGACATAGTATGCTGGCAATGAAGCGAAATTGGAATTTGAATCGTGATTGAAGTTTGAGAGATCGTCGATGAGTAATATTGAAGTGGACCTCAAATTCGTTTTCACTTTCAGGGAAGGAACCGCTAATTCAATGGCACATTTGCCTAAAACTAAAAGGAGTTGAGATTTTAGTCGGTATGGACTAAAGGAAATAGCACAATCTGTAAGTTTAACGTCTAAAGATAAGCTATCGACCTCGGCACTACCTGATTTGTTTCGAGTAGTAGTTTCTTGTTCGCGATTTTGCGAAACAAAATCTAGCCATCGTGCATAGTAATAGAAGCAAACAGTTCTCAAAGCGCAGCATAATTTTCCAGTTAATTTACGGTGGATTGTGAATACCGGTTTAAAGTCGTTCGTCACATGAATTACTTCCATCAACGGCTCAGTGTTATCTCGGAAAAGCCTCTTGACATGTAGATCCCTCGCGTATCCGGTGAAAGTCTGATCGCTATTGATATACAATGAACAGCCACCTAAATGTCCTTTGAGATCACCAAATGACTTCTGTAATGCATCCTCTAAACAAACCACTATGCTTCCAATGTCCACAAAGCACTCAACGGAAGAGCTCTGTTTACTGATAATAGCAGAAGATCCCATAATTCGCACACTTCTCCTCATATGCCTTTGAGATTTTTTGGGCGTGCTTTTGCTTGAAGCATGATTTGAAGTAATAGTACTCATCTGTGTAATCAACTCTTCCAACTTTGGAGATATAATACCAATTAACTCGAGAAAAAATGCTAGTTCGATTTTCTTTATGCGAATTTGACACTTGGATGATACTACAACTTCATCAAAGCTGTGATTGAATGCATCGTGCTGGGAGGCAAACGGAAGCATTTTTACTTCAATGTTACTAACTGTCATCAGCTCTTTATGTTGAGCGGAGTCTTCAAATTTCAATTGAACCTTTTCGGCCTTGAATAAAGTGCCAGGGAATGAGACAGAGAAGTCACTCATGAGCAAGTTCAATCTAAAAGACTCAAAGTTGAAATTCACCTCCACAGGCTTGCCATTTAACTCGAAACCTCTTGGTTTTGCGTCTGCGCTCGTTTTCTTAGCTTTGAAAACATTTTGATTCCAGGTCTTCAAACACTTTTGGAAAAGTAACGAGCATTGTAAAATGTCAAACAGAGTTGTAGTATCCAAATGTATGCTTATCTTCTCAAGAATCTTGGTCTTGACATCTCCGCTGTTCAGATCAATAGTGGACTGAATTAGTGGATTTTCGTTACATTCACTTACCATAAGTAATGCCGAAGAATTATGAATTAGGTTGATGCCTTTTAATGTGAGTTCCAATTGCTCCTTTTCATTAGTGACCACATTGATATCGCCCAATTCGAGAACTAAACCCTTTGAAAGTAATATGCTAATCTTGGTGCCCCTTAGTTTAGAAAACTGAAGGTCGTCATGCAGGTCCTGCTCCTCTCGGAACCTTCTATAATTTTGAAGGTTTTGAGGCGTTTGAATACCAATATCTTTTATCTTGCTTTTTGTCTTAGCTGTCACTAATAAAATCAGAGGCAGTATTATTGGATCGTTCAATTTTAACAAAGAAGGCAGGTCAATCCGACACTCATCGAAGTCTACCACCGCATCTCTCATGGAAATGTCATCGATAGAACTAAAACCTTTGAAAGAAACATTCAAATTATTGACGGAAAGAATTTCGCTGTCAGGATGGGCATGAGGAACTTGAGGGACGTGGTTTTCCAATTCTTGGACGCTCTGAATCGCACTCATGTAGATAGATGTTGCTTCAACTTTCGAGTATATCAAAGAGTCTGACATGGTAGATTCTGTTTTAGAATTTGGATCATCTTCCTCAGTTTCCCAAGGCTTTTTGATATGTGCAATGATTAAGCCACTCAATTTAATCTCTCTGGTAACATTAGCTGAGACGAAACTGACTTCCTCAAGTGTTAACTCTACTGTATGGTTTTCTGAGAACAGAAACTTCACACTAATGTTTCGCAGGTTTATAGATAGTTTCGACAGCACCACGTCGAGTGCTTTGTTCCTCATAGCCTGAAGTACGGATGGAGCGCCAGCAGAATCTGAATCGGTTTCCCGACTATCGTTTCGACTGCTATTAGTTTCTGCCCCCATTTCGTCGTCCAACATACCATCTTTAGCATCCATATGCATCACAGAACTGGTGAGGTCATAAACAGTTTTTGTGAGAGAAAAGGAGGAAGCCTGGGAATCAGCGGCTCGGGACAGATTTGGCTTTACGACGAATGCAATTCCTGATCCTTCGACGCTAAGCCCACCGCTTACAGTAAGGCGCAGTTCCAGCTGCTTGAGAAATCCACTGCGCACTGTGACGTCTGGGATGTCGATATTGTCAACGTCTAGATCAAGATCGTGAAATGTAAAATGCGAACTTGAGCCTAGGGAAACGTCCAAAGCCGATATGTCTACCTGGGAGAACAATGAAACTTTCTGTAGGAAGTATAGCAACAGCCGTCGCTGTAGGTTCTGCGCAAACCAAGATACCATATCTATTGTGTAGAGAGCTATAGTTTCGAAATGAATGGTCCCTTGCTGCTTGCTGGTATGATATGCTTGACTGGAAGTAGTAGAGCTGAAGTGACAAGCTACAGCACTAACGCACTCACTATGAAAAAGCTATGGCATTTGTCTGAGTGCTCTTAGTGATTGATTACTTTTGAGGGGAGATATAGATAAATTTCCAAAGGTGACACACGTGATATAATGCAACGATAATGACATGAGGCGGAGGGCGAATGCAATCTCTCTTTCGGTCTAATCAAGGACATGGGAATTTATAGCAGGACTAGCTAAGATTTTTATACTTCTTATTGCAATAGTGACCTCAAAAGTCATCTCATTGTGAACAAAAGGTATTAACCATCCTTCTCAAATCATGATCAATTCTGTAATTTAGACAGAAACCCTGACACACACAAAAATTTCTTTAACCAGTCCTCGGCGGTGCACTAAGCAGCAAACATGGTAAGTATTATTTTAGTGATTCATATACAACAAACATATCTAAATATCTTGTTTTGAACATCAGTCGTTATTTTTTTTTACATTAGTGCGCCGCTCTTGGTCAACAAGAAGGCGTAGGTAAGACGGGACGTGAACGCGCCATTGAGCATATATGAAATAAAATCAAACTTTTTCGACCGCTTCGACAACGGCTTTCTCCGCGTCTGGGGAATCTTGGGCGAATCCTTGAGATGGCACAAAATACTTCGACTTGCGGGCGCTTGGACACGTATCGAACAACTCGTCAATCTGCTCAAGAGTGAGACCTTTTGTTTCATAGACGCAAAAGTAGACGAAGAGGAAACACAAGAAAGTGCAACTACCCCAGATAAAAAATACTTTTGAGTGCAGGTTAGCGTGGTCAGAGTCGACGAGATAAGGAGTGGCATAGGCAATAGCGAAATTGAAAAGCCAGTTGGAGGCAGCGCAGAAGGCGACAGACTTAGCGCGGACTCTCAATGGAAAGATTTCTCCCACTACGACCCATGCAAGTGGACCCCAGGTGGCGGCGAAAGAGGCAACAAAAGTACAGGAAAATGCAATCAAAGTTTTGTTGGCAGAGTTGCTGTTAGGCAATGCGGTTCCTACAGCCGCAACGATGAACTCGCTGACTGACATTCCAACGGCACCCCATAGCAATAAGTTTCTTCTACCGGCGATCTCAATCAACGCAATACCAGGGATGGTCGCAACGACATTAACGATATTCATAATCAATTGTGTGATAAATGGATCCGTGATACCTGAGTTTTGAAAGAATTGAGTTCCGTAGTAGAAGATGAAATTGATACCTGTCAACTGTTGTAGTGCCTGAATTGTAATACCAATGGTGATACGCTTGAGCTGGCTGTTGGCACGAGTGAAACAATCCCAAACAGTGGTAGAACCAAAGGATTTTTCGTACTCGTAGTTTGCCACGATCTCTTCAAGCTCAGCTTCGATTATTTTGTCATCCGCGGGTAGACCTCTTAGCTTTGAAAGGGACTTGAGTGCTTGTGGCAGCTTACCCTTTTTCACAAAGAAACGGGGTGATTCTGGTAGGATGAGCATACCAAAAAACAAAATAAGGGCCCATAAAAACTGAATGGCAATGGGGATACGATAGGAGCCACTGTCATTACGGCCATGTGTTCCTTGGTTAACACAAGCGGCTAGCAAAAGCCCGATGGTGATGGCCCATTGGTAGCAGGACACGACGGCACCACGGATCCATTTGGGAGCAGCTTCGGATTGGTACAGAGGTACGATAGCAGACAGAACACCCACACCGATACCGGCAATCACTCTGCCGACAATCAGTAGGTTTTTGCCCGAAGAGGCAGTTTGCAAAATGACACCGATGGTGAAAATGACAGTGGAAACGAGTAGTCCGTACCGACGACCAAGCGTGTCGGACACCATAGGTGCACTCATGGCACCGAAAAAGGTTCCTGCAGACAAGATGGAGGTGATGAGCGAACTTTCACCGGCGGTGAAGGCGCCGGTCGAGGTGAACGTGTCTTTGACGAAGGTCATGGCAAGGATACCGGAGATGGTACCGGTGTCGTACCCGTAAAGGACACCGCCGAAGGCCACGAAGAGCCCGACGCCGATGGCGCGGGTCTTGGAGCCATGGATTTCTTCTTCCGCGTGGAAGAGTGTTTGCAGTATACCCATGGTAGGTGCTGGTGCGGTTGCAGTGGACGACGAGGGACGCGGGCGCTAGATCCGTATTAGATAAGCAGCAGATACGATAGACACGATATAGCTGGAGCGCGCTTACGTAGCTTTATTAGGTAAGCTGAGCTTTTTTTTTCGGTGCAGGTATCGATATCTTTCTCTCTATCTCTCTCTCTCTCTTGCTCGAGCTCGGGAGGTGAAGTGCCAGAATGTGTGTATCTCTAGTCTCTGTAACTGGACCACTTCGAAATCTGGGAGATCTTATGGCGTCTTATATAACCGGAATCCCTGGCCAAGAGCACAACCCTCAAGAGAGTTGAAGTTGTTGGTGATACCCCACAAAACGCTAGCGCCTTAGGTCAGGCAGCATCTTGTGTTGGATTGGAGTTCTGGAAAGATCGCCAAGCGCGTGAGGAGGGAGAAATAGACAGCCTAAACGCATGCAGCTTTTTGTGGCGTAATCTTTCACGGCGTTTTCTAAGCTTTTCGCGGGTTGCTCCGTGCGATTACCCCGCGTTTATACATCACCGATGCAAATGTAAAAATCCGGGGGTAAAGACCCTGGATGATTGTTTTTCCGGGTCTTGGAGAACAAGGGCTTGGAGAACGTTGGACCCGGAATAGCGGAACAATAATGGACGGTGCAAAAAGTCCATTGTTCCAACATCCGCGAAAAAACGTTTGTGTTGAAGATGTCGGCTGCTGACTTGGAGACTACGACAACAAAAGCGGGGTTCGTGAGCTCGTGAGAATATCAACATTAACCGGAGAGACGGCTGAAGAAGAGGAAGCTGGGATCAGTTGCGAAGATCTCGCAAAAGAGACGTTGCCAAGGGGTGAGAGGACTGAGGGAAGGCCGCGCTGGTACAATACGAGCCCTGGGCGAGCATTGTGAAGAGTGAGAGTAGTGCGAGTGAGAGAAGTACTGTTAAGTGTGGTGCGAGTGAGAGTAGTACGAGTGAGAGTAGTGTTGTTGAGCGTGGTTTGAGTGAGAGCACGAGTGAGAGCAGCATAGCACTATCAACTGGGATGCGAGTGAGAGGAGTAAGAAATACTTCGACTGTGGCGTCAGAGAATAACACTATCAACGTGACACTATTGTGAGAGTGAGAGGAGTAAGAAATACTTCGACTGTAGCTCTGCTGTAGTATCAGAGAGTAGTGCTGTTGGGCCGTACTGTTGAAGAATACACTTGTCGTATTATTACAACGGTGAGCTCGGTGAGGACAGCCACGTGACTACGCCAAGACCTCAGCACCACCCTGAACAGACAAGACCGCAACACCAACACCTCCTCTTGCGGCAACGCAAGCCCCTTGGGTGGGTGATTGATAGGCTGCTTGTTTGTCTACGTGCCGCCGCTACAGGTCCCTGTTTCCCATTGTTGTGTGGTGGTTGCCAGAGTTGTCTGACGTCCTTGACTGGTTTCTATTTCTACCGTCACGAGCCTCCTCACAGCGCTTGGAAGCTAAACACCTCCTGTTGTTGCTCGTGCACGATTACCCCTTACTGTCTGGCAGCAACCACCGCCCATCCATGGATATATCGTTAGCAGCTGTCGCACGGGATCAAGTTCCTGAGACTATTCCTGCCCATGAGGCCTCATTGAGCTGTTTTAAATTGCCTCGGCTCTGTTGGACGTGCGGAGTTACGACTAATGCACTAACTAACGCCCAGCTTTGATTGTCATTGCAGGGCACCGATGAAGTGTCAAGAGATATCAAGAATCTCAGTTTTACAGTCTACATTTTTCACTTGGGTTGGTTTTTTTTTCGGTTTTTTTTCCCTCGCGCTTCTAATACTTCAACGGAAATCAGTGTTGACTGTACATTTCGAAATGAACCGTTCTATACAAATTGCACCGTTTCTAATCGCCGTTCACTCGAAGGGGTAAGGCTAAACGATGCCTTTTCAATTGTTGCCACTTGGAGCCGTTATTCTTTAAGGAGTGCCATTTCCGCCATCGTTATCAACAACTGTGTCTAAATGTCAACGGTCGATTGTTAAATTGATCGAGTAGAATCATTGACCTATCTTACCACTTAAGCTGGTGCCACATAAATACTTGAAGAGCCATATATGGAGATCTTCTGCAAGAACAGTAAGCGCACCACAGTTCAAACCTGAACTGTGCTGGACAAGGCCTTTCCTTATATGTTCCATGCTGACTCTCAATTGATGCAGACAGAAAATACAGCATTGCTGGATTCCATTTCTCCTTTCCATTCTCCGCTAGGATCGCCGGTAAGGTCACCTTTGGGATCACCGGTAAATGGCTTCTATCCTTTAAGTCCCCGGGCTCTCTTAGCAGTCCCGGAACTAGACCTGTCTAAAGCCCAGGAGCAGCGAAAATCTAAAGCCCAGGAGCAGCGAAACTCCAAAGTGCAAGAGCAGCGAAACTCCAAATCTGAGTTAGCTGCAGTATTTCGCTCGCCTAGAGAGTCTATATTCTCGTCCGGAACGTACCCTAAATCCATTCTCGATGCTTACAATGATGAATCGTGTTCTGAGATTTACAAAGAAGACGAACCTAATATACCGAAAGAAGAAGACGCTCCAGAATGTGCGGCAAACACTACCTCGACCCTTACTCTCACATTCGGAAAGCGCTTCAGAATGAGCATGTCTCTAAAGACGCGAGAAATTGCGCTTATACGAAACTCTTGGTCAATTTTGCTTGACAACGAATGCCCAAAAGAGAAGTATGACACTTTTGTCACAAGCTATCTCCAGAAACGCAAAAGAAGCTTTTCTAAAGATGGGCCCAGTTCGGAGACGGACTCCAAACCGATCATCAAAGCTGCAAATAATAGTACACACCCAATACTCAATGAAGATACGACATCGGGGGCATTATTCGGTTCCCAGTTTCTGGCAAACATTTTGGACCTAGCCCCTCAAATTGAAAAAGATTTTCCTACCATAACCCATGCCGCCGCTGGCGTTACTGGGGTACTGACACTTGCCATCAATAACCTGGAAGATCTCTCGGTACTGGATGACTTTTTGTGTGGCCTTGGCAAACGTCATGCCAGGATTCTTGGCGTTTACGCCGAGCATTTCAAACTGGCTGGTGCTGGATTTTTAAAGACTCTCCGTGACCGTTTCGGTTTCAATACAACGAAAGACCTTGAAGAAGTTTGGTCAAGATTATACCTATACCTCGCCAACAGCATGCTGCAGTTTGGGATAGACCCAGTGATGGATGAAAACGTCCCACCTGCTCTGGCATTAGAGATGCCTGCGGTCATTGAAAGGCAGACATCTCGAGAAAGTTTTGGGTCATCTTCAAGAAGCGATTCTGAAATATCGTTCGATCCCTTTTCTACGAGAACCGGGAGCTCATCTGATAGAAGCAACTACACTATCAATACCTCTTCGAAGCTTTCTTTTGAAGGAAATAGTTCAAGATCATTCAAACGTAGAAACGAGGGTTCTTCAAGGCAAACTCCAAAGTCTGTACGAGGAGGTGGGTCGTCGTCCATAAAACCAGGAGGGAAATGGGTACCGGTTACCACACTTCCCATGGTTATAGTGGAAGAGAGTTCTTCCCAGAGCAGATCTGTGAGGGGAGGTGGTGCATCAAAGACATTAGTCCGCCGTGCGGACGGAGCATCGAGTAATACTCCGAATGAAGCTGCCCTGCTAGCCGCTACCTTGCGCGAGCGAGAATTGCGTACGGAAGCGATGCGGCAATACGCAGCAAGGTCTGGTGGTGCGAGAGGCGGCGGGGGGGATTGCGCCATCATGTAGCCATATGGCCCTGTAGATGACCGGCATTTCGAGTATTAAAGTTCGAACTCCATCACTCTAATTAGTATGCTATACGTACACCATCAGAATGGCATTTCCTTGCATCTATATAGTCCTCTGGAGGAATACATATGTTGGGAGACAAATCCTACAATGAAATATAAACCGTCCTGCATTTGACAGATATGGATAGGTCAGATATCACAACCCGTGCATGAATCTGGAACCATGGTTATTCGGTAAATTTGGCTTGGTTGTGAGTAAATTCCAAAAAAAGACCTAAGTATCTGCACCTTTGTTCATCGTTAGATTTACGTGTCTAGGTTATTTCGCTTCAAGCTGAAAATTTTTTGCGCACGTATATAATAAAGTTTATACGATGTCACAACAATCCTCGTAGTTGGCCGCCATTTTCTTGGCTACTCGCGATCATTTTTTTGTTTACATGATATGCGTTAAGTCTCACGATAAGAAAATCAATTCTTTGACCATTAGAGATCACTTACGTATCTCATGTTACAATCGCTTATCAAGACAATACCCCATTCACGTGGTAAATAATATGTGCATGTTAAAGTGAAAGAGAATGTAAAAAACCTGTTATGATACGGGTATTATCCTTAAGTTGCGGCACTGTTTTTGTCGCTGAGACGCTCACGTCCTAAACTCCTGTTTTATGTTCGATAGAAACGTCTTCTTCTGCATCTGATGTCATTGTCCGTTTGCTAGAAGTGAACAAGGAAAATATGAAAGACAACGCGCTGCAACCTAGCGCGAAAAGGAAAACACTACGGATTGATTTTGCTAACAGCTGTCCTAGCTCCGAGTTCCTACCGTCGAAATGTTGATTTCTGTAGCTGATTATCTCCTCCGTATCTGCGAAGTGGGGAATACCAGTTGCTCCAACAGTCAAGTTTCGGAGAGACACACCAAAGATGGTAGTACTCACTATTCCGGCAAAAGCAAAACCCAAAGTTTTGAGGAAAGTGTTGTAGGCGGTTACTTCGATGAACTTGACGTGAAAATCAACATCCTTATAATCTACCTGCAGTTGGGAGCTCAACAGACTCATTTGATATACAGCGCCGAAAGAAGCGCCAGCCAACATACTATATCCAATCGAACCTCCCAGGCGCGTATTGCTGTCCATCATCGTAAGTAGACCAGATCCTATGAAGCCAAAAGTGGCACCCATTACCATGAGTGGTTTCACAATTCCGAATTTTTCATTTACGAATGCGCATACGATGACTGATACCAATGCAGGCACCGACATTTGCCACAAGTGAATACTGGCCAGTGTTGGCCCCTTGTTGACAACGAGCTGGTAGTATTGCACTATGAAAATTGATTGCAGTTCAAATGCAAAACAGTTGAAAAATCCTGCCATTGAGCTGGTCAAAATGCCCATGTTGGAGCCCAGGCGCCAGGATACCAACGGGTTTGCCGCTATTTGGCGCGATTGTCTACCTATCCAGGGAAAGATAATGAAATCATAAACCAGGAAGAGCACCAATAAACTAATTCCCACAGTGAACATCGTGATAATAGAGCCAGAGTTCCAGGCAAACTTCGTGCCGCCGAAAGTGAGGGCCAGCATTATGAGAGCGAAGCCGGTAGATGAGAAGATCAAACCGACGATGTCGAGCTTGAAAAAGAACAAGACAAAGACCTCGAACCAAAATTCCCTATGAAGGATTCGTCTGTACTGATAGTGCCTCACCTTTCTCCAGAATATGTGAATGGCAGATTGCGGAGAGTTTCCTGCAGGATTGTACCCAAACGAAAGAACTGCCAGTGCCAAACCACCGATAGGGAGGTTGACATAGAAACACCAACGCCACGACACGTGCTCGGCGAAGGCACCGCCTATGAAGGGGCCCACGCCCTCTGCGATCATGTACGCAATCCCGAGAATGGTTATGACCCTGGCCCTGTGCTTTTCCCCTACCATCGATGTGCCTACAGCAAACACCAGAGATTCTATCCCACTGCCGGCAAACCCCGCTATGACTCTGGCACCAATGAGCATTCCCATCGAGTTTGCAACAGCCGCCAGAAGAGAACCCAGTTCGAATATCACGATCGAGATTACCAAACTACTCTTCAGTCCCAGTATCGAGGCCAATCTGCCCCAAAGAAGCATGAAAAGTGCGTTGGGTAAGTTATACCCAGTCATAATCCACCCCACGTTACTGTAGTCCTTGAATTTTTCGCCGATGGTATCATACAGGGTGATGCAAATTACGATGTCTAAAGCGCCCAAAAAGAGCGCCATGCACAGCGAAGCTATGCAAAAGATTAGAATCGCTCTTCTCATTTCCCGCTTACCGTTCGGAGTTTTCAAAGGTCGAAGGGTTACTACACTTCTGCCAAAAAAAATTATTTAACCCGGTCTGATTTTAACTTGGAAAATGCATTCTCAAATATAGTAGCGCAAAAAAAAAATTTACGCATTAGCCGGGACACCTACATAATGCCACCAGCGTCCGAACTTTGTCATTTTCATTTTCCATTTGAAGGCTTAGAATGAGCATTTCAGTATCGTCGCATTCTTAGAGGCTTAGAGCCCTTTGATAGCGCCCCGTTGCATACGCACTTTGTTCGCGCCACGAAATACGAGGGGACTTGATTCGGACTTTTTCGCAATCAAAAGATGCCATGAAAATGCTCGTCTCATAATCCCTCAAGTTTTAGATAGCAAGTGGTAACAGTAGGGGATTTATTTAGGCTTGTATGTTAGCCTCTAATTTGTGTTTATGAGCAGTGGTGGTGAAGTCCTCGGCTCTACTCCGCGGTACGACCTTTTTTAACAACTCCGCATTTTGGTGCTAATAGAGTACTGCTTGATTTCGTACAAAATGAATGCCTTTGCAGAATTCTAAATTATACGAGGACTGAAAATAGAAAACCCGCTGGCTATTTTCCTATATGAGAGTCTGTGCGTTTTCGTGCCTTAAAATAGCATACGGTGTTTTGGTAACAGCCACTGATCTACAATCGATACCGAAAGTTTAAGCGATCCCGTTAACACTGAAATATAACCAATATCTAAATAATACGGCACATGGCACTGAGATTCGACTAGTCGAATGGATCTCCGGTACCATACCGACCGTAGCCTCTGGCAAAGTTTTCGATACGAACGTCATGAAAAGGCACGTTTATAATCGCGTTTCTGTTTGGGGTTTGGTAAGATTAGACTTGTAGGTGCCGAGAGGTTTTACTCCATTTCTTGTTTGAACGCAGTAAAACCATCAGCGCCCGAAACCAGCTTGAAATTTTTAACTTGAACGATGTCATTAAGCCAAACTTTCCGTTGTTGCGCCAAGTATTGCCACAAACCTTGCATTAGCGTACAACAGAGAAGCTTCTAAGGGCGTGTCGTAATCTGGGAACATTATCAAAGCATCTTAGCGGCCGATCGCTTCAGTGAGAAATTAGTACTTGTGCACCTTCCTTCGACTTGTTGTTGTCACTTTCATTTCAATCAAGTAATGCAAAACAAGCCAAAATCATTTCTCACAGCTATAGCATGGAAAAGATGAAATACGGTACGACTCGCATGTGAATTGTGCTCATGGTTAGCACACTTTATAGCTGAAAAAGTGACTGCCTGATTTATTCAAATAAAGAGGGTTGGTCTATCAGATGAAAAAAAATGGACTCAATGCTTTTCGGGTTGCGGTAGCACTGAATGTCGGATTTTACTTCTTGCTTGAGGACGAAATCACAGAATGCCTGATAAAGAACCACGTCCGCGGCACGTCGAAGGTATTACACTGCTAGCTATACTAAGCGGTAACAGCTCGAGAACGAAACTCAATTATAAATCTATATATATATATATATATATTGCGTGGATGGCGGCTCGCCGCTGATAAGTTGCGCGTCTGATGCGCTGTGAACTTCACTACCTTAAGCTGCTCTCTTTCAAGGATCGAAAGCAGCATTGCGACAAAAATCAAGATATAGAAGAGCGGGCGATATGGATGATGTCAACTCTATTAATGCTACCAATAGCTCTCAAACAGGTGGCTATATCCAATGCTGAAACACAAAAAGCATATAGTGAAAACGAAGCCCACGGTGTTTACACCACTTTCGCCATTGGACCAATGCAATATTCTGATAGTTTGAATGATGTAGGTTTTCGATAGACCTTTATTGGACACGCTAATGATCGGAAGCGCGCACTAAACTTTTCCACAATAAGAGACCACTCATATACAACGAAAGGCGCTGAGCCCAAGAATCCGGAAAGTAGCAACGTAAATCTCAGGCAGCCCGTTTCTCCATTTGACGCTCTTTCTCGCTTGGTAGTCGAAAAACTATCCGCTCATGAAGGAGTTGACAAGAAAACCAGTAAACGGAGCTAAATAAAAAAGGCAACCCCTCATATGATGACTGCGTAATGCCATAGGTGTCAACAGAGGGCACCGTGTACATCAATGCTATGGGAGACCTCCAAAATCAACACAGGATATTCGAACGATATGATAGGACACACAACATTGAAGGGAAAAACAGATTTTTCTCTTCTTTCGCGGATTCTTGACACTTCATCACTGTTTTTGTATTCGGTCAGAGCTCAAGAAGGTTTGCTGCCGGGCAGTGTCTCGGGAAAGAAGAAATTTACCATGGCAAATACTGTTCACCTCGGTGTTCCTAAAATTTAGAGTCTTAGTCTCCAAGAAGTGTAGGTCACAGTACTAGCTCAAAAAATTGGGTCTAAAGCGGCTTGAATTTAGCCTCCAGTCCGTAGCACCTTCTCTTTAGTCTGATGAATTAGTATCGCAAATTTTTGAGCGTCAATGCTGGAAAAATGCGTTCCAAAGAACGCGGAAGTAGTATGAAACACATAATACATGGTTAGGCTTGGAGAACATGCAACTAGAACAGTTAACCCAGCACAAAAGAACGTGAAATCTCGAAATGCTGCCTTTCATCAATAGGATTTGCTGAATGGTGTCTATAAACATGAGAAGCACATGCAAAGCGTTGTAGAGAGCATTCGACACATTGATGATCAATCGAGTTGTACTGAAATGCTCGACGATAATACCATTGGCTGGCAAAAATAGTACTTTACACTCGTCTAAAGTTAATTTATTCAAGGATCCAAAACCTACATCACGTAGACGTATACTTACTAATCTTACAGCTTGCAATTTCACTCGAGCGTGTTTGTCCGGCGTAAGTATTATCTTTACGTTTTTGTACATATTTAGATAAGAGTCTTTATCTTTTTCTTGGGTTCATCGATAAGAAGGGAAGAAAACGAATTGAATCGAGAAGCTTCTTATCGTTGATAGATTTTAACCGCCTGTAGGTCATAAACTCAGCTTAGAAGTGTTCATAGGAATGTTCTGTAAAGCTACACCTCAAGGTTCGTCGAACTCTCCATGCATTGTCGTCAAATAAGGCAACCCAAGGGAGTTGGTGATAAATCTTAGCAACTCCCTATAGCGAGAGTGCTTCAAATATAGACTCATACTTTTGTTGTCGCCTAAAAGCTTCTCAAAGTTGCTCTATTCCGCTTAACAGAGAACCAAGGTTTTATCAGCCTTCCTAAGGAACGCCCAGTTACAGAAAAGGGTGACAAGTAGACAATAGCAGTTTTAGTTCTTTGTCCCGTCAAGAGTATGTACAAAACATAGCATAGGTAACCAACATCCCTGGATCCTAGCATTTTGATTTTCCCAAGGAAGAAGAGCGTAACTGATGGTCCGCAGATCCGAGACACGATAGTTGCATTTATCGTTGAAGGTCTCGGCTGTACTAGCGCAGAACCGAAATAGATAGCATCTAGCCGTCGTAAAACTCAAATTTCAATGTGCCTTAAAATGTTTGATTTAAACTAAAGTTTACTTGATTCTCTTACAACCCAGTCATTCTCGGTAGCCATAAGTTGGTTACATAGTGCGCGAGGATCATCAACGCCTTTGTTGATAGCGTTTATTGGCTCTCTCTTCCTGGTCCACGAAAAAAGATCTTTGAGAAAAGCATCACTATCTGTCTCCAATATTATATCGGCAATAACCTTTCCAATACTTCCGAACATCATGAAAGCATGGCCAGAATCACCACCAATGGTAAACAAAGATTTGTCAGCATACTGAGGGGAGTAGGAAATCAGAAAGTCGTTGTCTTCACTGTCTGAATACCAACAGAGTCTCGTTTTATCAATTTTCCTGACTTCCGGAATGTGCTCTGCAATGAACTGCTTGATCAGTTTTAGTCCGAATACTGGTACATTCGTTTCGTGACAATCGCTATAGGCAGTTTTGACTTGCGAGTTCAAGGTTTTTGTTGGATTAGTCCACTTCAGACCCCTGTAGCCAACTTTCATATATCCGTTTCTGATGGGAAAACCATAGAGGCCACCAATGCCTTTATCCCTGACATCGTACGTCCATTTAGGGAAGTTTTTCTCACTGTACTTGTCTAAAGTTTTAGGATTGGTGACTTTGATTAAAACAACCGTACCACCTGTCGCTTCCAACTTTTCTTGAGCTTCGGGGACCACTTCCCCTGTCCATGGGCCACAAGCAGTAACAACTAACCGCGCAAAATGTAGGGCTTTGCCTTTAGTCTTGATACCTACACATTTTTTCTTGCCAGTATTTTTTAACATACTCGAGAAGAAGGTGATCGATCTCACCAATGTCTGCACCGAGATGAGTAGTCAAATTATGAGAAAATTCACTTCTGCAAAGATGCAATACCCACCTGCAGCACTTATCGGAAATTATCATACCACCAGTAGTATCAAGGACACCTTCAAGATGTTTTCCACGTCTCTTCATTTCAAAAGGATCATCAGCAGAAAGAGGTAAGCCAATTCTTCCCGCCTTCTTGATTGCATCACTGTCAGATACTCATATAACTTGCGAAGGCGCCATGTTTTGAAGAGTGAGCTTTTCGAAGAGAGGCAGTTCGTGATGGCTCGTAAGATGAATGTTACCACTGTTCAAGTAGACGGGATCGCCACCTTCAAAGTTGCGGTCTTTTATCATTTGGTTCCAGTTCAAGAAGACCTTTCTGCTATCCAGTGACATTTTTTGATAATGTGTTTGCTCTCCGTAGGCGGCTCTACATATCTTATTCATATCCGACGATGAACTGTCACACCCTTTAAAATAGTTGTACCCTTGAGTGATGTAGTCTCGTTTGTCAAAGATGTGTACATTTACAAAACCTCTTTTCGAAAGGGCATAAGCCGTCGAAAGACCGGATACGCCAGCATCGTCAATGATTATAGGTTCGGTTTTAGATATCTGCTTGGGCATTGTAAACTTATTTATTACTCTATTACTCGGAGACGGAATTGACGAGCAAGGAACAAAGACGTTTATTTTCATTCTAATGATAGCAGATGTTCGAGCTATTATGTCTCTTTCAAGAAGATAGATTGAGCGTTACCTACCTAGTTGGTCGAATTATTCAAGTTGTTGTTTGATTTCATAGTGACGGAAAAACACGTCAGATAAAGAAAGTAAATTTTGGCAAAAGATAAGATAAGGATCGAATAAAAACCGTTATCGCGGCCAGATGGTCAAATAATTTGGCAAGTAGGAATTCTACGCAAATAATTGAAAGTCCAAGGAGACTCTTCGATCAGTCTGTGACTTAACCTTTGACGTGAAGCTTTGAAGGTACGACTATTGAGTTACGCGTTGATGTGAACACACAAGATGCATAGTTCGAAAGATGAGAGGAAGAGTGCTGATACCACTTTTGTCAAGATATTATTGCTTCTGCTACACATCTAGCGTAGCGTATCTCGCGGGACAGCATTGCAGAGAGAAAATTTCAACAGTCATATTATGTTATCGATGGTGATGGATGTTAGCGAAAGCATATGTAGCTTTCTTCACTTGCCAAGCCTGTGCATTAAATTGAATATCTAAAATTTTTAAAACTGTAAATCAAAGCATTGAAGATTTCTAAAGAGAGTATCTGAATGCAGGATTCTCCTTGTCCGTCAGATCCGAAAAAGCAAGGTTATCCGGTTCTGGATAGTCTTCGCCAAGAGAAGCCCTTTTTTCATCACGAATCTTGTTGTCCCTCTTGTTCAAAAAGTACATCGCCGCAATGCAAACATCACCCATGCAAAAAGAAACTAGCATAGCGATTTTGGCACCAGCATAGTTTGGAGCCTGGTTGGCGCGGAAACTTTGTGGGCCAATGATGTTACCAACGCAGTATCCAATGAGAAAAATGGTATTCACAGTGACTTTTTTTGTGTGGCCAGCAGTGTTTGAAGAGATACATGAAACAATACCGGATACCACGGCTGTTGCAGCATAGAAGGATAAATATCCCGCTAATTTGGACCCTTTATGCGCCGTAAAATTCAAAAGACACATTCCAACAATGACAAGTGAGTTAACAATGAAGCAAATGATCAGTCTGTCACCCTTGAAAAGTTTAACGCTGATATACGCCACAACAAATGGAATAATAATGTCAATCCCACCACCTGGCATGTTCATCAATAAAGACTCTTTCGTAGAAAATCCAAAATCTTTGTGTAGAAGAATAGAACCAAAATTCGTAAAGCCACCATTGGGAATGGCATAAGACATTCCATACACAAAGAAAATCAAAGTTCTCAGATCTTTGAACGCTTCGCGTAGTTGACCAATCTTGAAGCGCTGATTACCGAAACCTTGCTGATTGCTTCTGATTCTCTCGACACAGTATTTCTTTTCAGTTTCGTTCAAAAACCATGCCTTGACTGGAATATCAGGAATGTGGACAACAGAAATGATACCCAATGCAATGGTGATAACTCCAGTAATGATATAAAGCAGTCTCCATGACGACAAAGCGTAGTTATTGTGTGAAACGAGCCCGTATGCAATACCAGCGCCTAAAATCGTTCCGAAACCTTGGAATCCAAACCAAATGCAAGATCTCATAAACTGCTCGCTCTTTTTGTACCATTGCGCTGTTAGCAAAATGTAAGCAGGGTTCATGAAGCCTTCGAAAACACCAAGCAAAACGCGGCACACAAGGAAAGGAGCGGAGGAAAAGCAAGCAGCGTGACACATAAGAATAATACCCCATAATATTACAGCACAGCCAAGAGTCTTGGATAGCGGGAATCTTTGTAAAAGTAAGTTTGCTGGGAATTGGAAGATCAAGTACCCAAAGTAGAAGGAACTTCCTACCCACGAATAGGCTTGACTAGTCATATCCAAGTCTGTGGTTAAGCCCATAATAGAAGCGTAGGAATTTGTGGTTTTGTCCATCAGCTGGCACGACATCAGAGCCACTATTATGGGCAGGATGCACCAGTCAATCTTTCTTATTAGCTTCTTTTCAACCTCCGGATCTAACTCAAGACTTTCTGTTCCCAAGGCGTACTGTAAAGCTTGGTCGGCATCTTTTTCGTTGACCTCAATAAGTTCACCTTCTAGAGATAGAACTGTAGTGATGATAGGGCTCTTTTCCCTCTCGTCCGGAAGTTTGGTACTCTCTTGCCCAGATTGATTAATTATGTTCTTCATGTTGATTTTGGGTTATTAAACTGTACTCGAAATGAGATATAAGTGAATGGTACAGGTCATCTTATATACGTCTCGGAGTGTTGGTTTAATTAGAGGTATCTCTTGGAAGCATATCTCTTCGAATCTTTCCAGATTATTAGATGATGATTATCGACACTACTGGTTATCTTTCATATTTACTTATTTTTTTCATGAAGGAAATGGCCGGCTGCAAGAAAGCTCACAAGTGAAGAAAGATACGACGAAAGCGGAAGTTCACGTCTCCACGATTTATACCTTTTGCCATGGTAGCCAATTTGCAAACAATGGGCCCAAATTCCAGATAACACATTGAACTAGAGTTTATGCTAAAGGAACCTAACGAAGCAGAAACATAGCTTTATGATGTTGAAAGATGTCGAATTATCACAGTAAAAACTACCACACTGTGCTGCGAGCCAAAAAGCAACCAATCAGTAGAAAACGTTCTATTGACGCTTCTTCACGTCTCTTTTGCCTTTTCAAAGTCAAGCTTTATCTCTGCCTGCTTCGAGGCCGATTAAACTTTTCTATAGTTAGCCATGAGAGGCCTTCTATAAATCATCGAATATATGCTATATGAAGTTGAAGGCTGTAAACTCTCAAGTCGCGAAATAGAGCTACCTTTGATATTTAAGTGATGAACTTTTAAAGTTGTTATTCCTGGCACCATATGAAGTGTCCAGACAGAGGGCTGAACTCTATTTCGTGATGAAAGCTTTTGCGATGAAAGTAATCCTTCAAGCTCTTCGATTTTCCTATACTCTCAGTACTGAGACTCTAGGGTGTGTCATCGAAAGTATCCAGTCTTGTCGTTTGTCAGTAGAGCTCTTAAACCATGCTTAGATATTTTTTTATCGAAGCTAAAATGACTTTACGCCATCCCAAAGTTCAGCCAGGGTATTCAGGGCACTCAAACATGGAGACTAGTTTCATAGATTTTTTACGGGCTCTGATCGGCTTGGCGAGCTAGCTTGTGACTTTTGAGCAAGTTTACCTTGCAGTCACTTTATGCCAACAAGTCATTCCAGACTATCTTTCTGAACACCAAGACACAATTTATCGAAGTGCAAAAACAAGAGAATCTTCGGAGTAATATGCTTACGGAGAAACCTCAAAGTAAGTCAAACAAATCTAGAACCCTATTGGAGCTTTTTTTCATAATCATGCCCAGAAGTGACTAGTCGACACCATAACATTAATCGTGCGAGTCCTTCTGACCCAACCTCATTCTGTTCTCACGCTAGGTTCCCTCGAAAGGAACCCCATCTATTCAGTTATCGTTTTACCAATGTTTGCCCGAAACGTATTGCTCGCAAATGATTGTTCAATCTTTTCATCTATCCAGAAAGTTACCAAATGGAGCGGTTGGTCCTAGCCGCCCAGACGAATTCTCACACCTGAAGAAAGATGATGAAACACGTATCGTGCATACGTCCTTCAAGCTTATAAATGTATTTACTTTCTGGATTTCTATCACCTAAGATGAGGTCTGCAAAGATTATCAGCGTCAGCATCAATATACGTAATACATCACTCGATTAGAAACTATTAATTATGAACTCGGCGATGTAAATCCTTCCCTGATTGTGACGTGAAGAGTTGATTGACGACAGGGAATGAATAAACGGGCTTTTTGACACTATTTTGCATGACGAGTTCTGACGACAGGAAAGGTTCTAGACTAGATTGTAAATTGCGCCAGCCTCACTCCCGGGAGCAGTAACAAGGATGCGCCATGAACTGGAGTCTTATCACTTACTTATGTCTCCACGTTAGTGCGCTAATCTGCCCTTTAACCGCATTGCACTTGTTGACGTCTTCAGTCAGTAAGAAAGCGTTCGTAACTTTATCCCAACATGTCGTGTCATCGTCAAAAGTCAACCAATATGTTGAAACACTGCTATACCTGTACTTTGAGCGACAGTGAGGGTTTTTAGGATCTAACCGAAGACATGATGTGAGAGGTTCGAAGGACATTTTTCCATGCTTGAAACAGTAATGACACAACAGACTTTACCTTTTCAGAGCGGCTGCTTAGTTTCAAGCATGTTCTAAAATCCCTCCCATTCAATCAAGTTTTGTTCACTTGTGTGGATACCTAAAATCAGATTTGCCCGAATTACTTTACAATACGCCAGAATCAAATGTCAAGCTATCAAGCTCTACTCCATCGTTATGCCCTGGTTTAGATCGGTACTTACGATAAAAATCTTAAACTAAATGAAGCAACACTGTTTTATTTCTACGTGCTCCTCCAGAATCTGCGATATATGCAGGCTGCCGTAATACCTCATATTACTATCTTGTCGACACAGGTTGGTTTTCCTACTAAGGAAACCCGCTTGCCCTTGAGACGCAGCATCTTACCACTTTTACCCTAGCTGCTGTTATATTTTTTGGCGAAAGCACACGGCGGATAAAATCAGTGCGCTAAGACGCATTAACTTTAATGTACTTAGACCCATTGACCGATTACGTAATAAACGGTACATTCTTCATGCATGCTCGAAAAACGTTGAGGATCGTATGTCGAGCGGCTCTTTCGATTTACACGCAACAAGTGAAGCGCACGTTACATATACCAATTGTCGATCTTTGTGCTGTGAAGCACTCCAAGAGTGTCCGTATGCCAAGCAGTTTTGTTTTATTCCGCTCAACGGTTACCCATAGTTCTTGAGATAATGGCGTTCGGCGGGTGGAAAAAAACAAAGATATGCTATTACCAAGATTTTTACATGATGAATTTTCGTTGCACATCCGGCAAGCGGACATGTTTGGAGGCCAAACCACACGCCTCCTGGCTTTCCACGAAGGGTTAAGCTTAAATCCCGAGATTTGAGCTATGCCTAAGTTCTTTAGGTAGTCATCGACAATATCGTATCAGCCGCCGCTACACAAGAAAATTGCCTATTTTCGTAGTGAGCTATTCAACACTAAACATGTTCATTGGAACTATCATGGTGCCACCTGCTTTCCGTGACAATTTCCCTCAATGTGAGGGCACACTGATTGTCCGCTCTGCTGGCTGGCAATCGTAAGGGAAAAGTATCGTTTAAGTCCGAGAACTTCTTCAAATGCTTCGCGATCCCTTCCGTTGCGGAAAAATTAAAGCTTCTGCAGCTCAACGACTCTGCGCATAGAAAGCGGATGAACCTGCACAAGCAAGATCAGCTAATACTACATATGATGTGCGCACAAACCTCGAGCGCTGCGAACCACGACCTAGAGGCAACGAAGATAAGTTACAGTGCTGAAGCAGGAGCAGTTGTATGAGGCGAGTTGCATGCTGCGCAGGCTTTGATGTACCGAAGATCTTTTTCGAAATGGGTTCATGAATTGATATAGCGCTACTTACTGCGTTCTAATCACAAGCATAAAAATTCGAATAAGGCACAGGTAGATGCAGGTGGACATTGAGCATATGCAAGCACGCTCTCGGTGAGCCCTTGGTGACCATTCGATTCTCCGAACCCGGAAAAAAACTAAATTGACGCTGAAGGATTTGATACGTCTGCGCAGCCTGAGATTAAGCATGGCTTGGGCAAGGTAAACATGTCCGAGTTCGTATTCAGGCGGAAAGCACGCACACACACACACACACACACATCTGAATATATAAATAAATTTGTATATAAGGCAGTATTTTATTGTCGGCTGTTAACACATGTAGGTATTGTAAACCAACCAAACAATATGCGGATTAGGAGCATATCTGCCCTTGTGGCTGGATCTATAACATTATGGTTCCAAGTCGCTCAAGGTAAAGATCTGGGTGCTGTTTTCAACAGCCTTAGCATCTCGCCAGAGCAGAACACTAACAACCTACCGCAAGGTCTGTGGGACGCTAGCGTTGGCCTCACAATTACAGATTCTATGAACGCACAACCGGGAGACACTTTTACGCTGGACATTCCAGATGTGTACAAAGTTTACGGTGCAAGCGGAACCGATTCGTTCACAATTTCATCTGCCGGCTCTGAGCTTGCCCAATGTTCGGTATTCTCCGGTATGTCGTTGACCACCGATTCAAGAGTTACTTGTACTATCACAAATCAGAACATCAACCAAATGGCGTCAGCTGGCGATGTTAGTGGCTCTGTGACGCTGCCTTTCATTTTCAGTGTCGGCGGCTCTGCCTACCAGGCAGATTTGGATGCTGCTAGCGCATTCGAACCGGGCACTCAGACGGTCACATGGAACGAAATGCCAGCTACGGTGTCATTTGCCGCTGGACCTACCTATACCCCCAGTTTGGCCGATGGTTATGACTCTGCTACCGACCCCACCTATTACCTACGTACTTCCATGAACAGCGAAATCCAAACCTACTTTGTTGGTTCGCAATGTTCGGGTGGATCTGTTGCCCATGAAATGATTCAAATTACCTACGCGGGAGCCTCCCGTAATGACGCACAGACTGGTCAGCTAGTATCCTGCAGTGATGTGCAGATAATGATTTCGAATGATTTCAATAGCTGGATGATGCCCCAGAATGCTCAACCTGCTCCTTCTTCTGTCTCGTATACTTGTCAAGATAATACAGTGACTATCGATGCAAAGAGTGTACCAGCTGGCTATAGAGTGTTTGTGGCTGGAAACCAGAAGCCCTCGACTTCCGGAAATCCTATCACGTTAACAAATCAATACCAAGACAACGTGACCTGTTCAGATGGATCGACTCAAAACAAAACTTTCAGCATACGAACCCAATTGCAATTGGCGGCTGCATCGGGAGTCTACCAACCATTTGTGATTAGTACTAGCACGTACGCTGGAGATGCGACTACGATAACTACCACGGTAGTAGACGGCACACAGAATTACATTATTCTTAAACCGACGCCTAGGACTACTGTTACCAAAACCTATGATGGAACTGCTGTTACAACTCGTACCTTGAGCCATGAGTCAGACGCCACGTTTATCACGGTGGAAGTTGATCTTCCAACAAGAACGAAAACAACTACAGTTCCATGGACGGGCACTGTGCCCACGACTTATCTCGTTACAACAGGCAGTACGTTCACTCAGGTAGTCCAAACTCCAGCAGCGAGAACCACTATCACCAATATTTGGACTACAAGAAGTCATTCCACCACAACTGACTCTTTCAATCCTTCCAGTGACTCTGTTGTTACTGTCGAAATTTGGGAGCCCTCTAGTACTACAACAACCCAAACCACCTACTACACAGGCACGAGCGAGTCTTTCACTACTTTGCCTTACTCCGATTCTGATGTTACTGTTAGCGTTCTCGATTATAAGCCTTACCCCCGCTCCACAACATTCATCCCAACAACCGGAACAACTCTCTACAACACCTCCGCTTTGACCAATTCCGCTGGACAAACCACGGGCTTGCAGATCATCAAAATTGCCCCAGTGCAAACCGTTACAACGACATATGTGTGGTCAAGCTCGTATACATCCTCGAGTACTGTTCCAACACAAAGTGGGGCATCTGTTGTGACTGTGGTTTTGGACATTCCTCCGTATACTCAAAGCAAGAATGCGAAATGTGGGCCTACCAATGGTGTAACTGGGCTTGAATGCTCTTCAGGACTGTTCTGTAATGGTGCTAAAAAGACTTGCCAACAGATAAGTACTGTGACTCAAAGCTACTTTTACGGGGGCGCTACGCCATCTACAACAACCCTCCCATACGTTACTTCGGATACAACAGTTGTCATATACCAACCTCCATCCACCACAACCAGAACGGTCACTTGGAATCAGGTCTTTACGTCCACATTAACTGAAGAGCATGCAACTGACGCGTCACTAGTTTACGTTGATGTTGAAATTCCTGTCACAACTACTGTCCGAAGCACATGGTCTCAAACCGCATTTTCTACCATGACTGAACCGGTAGCTGATGATTCAACTGAATACACTGTAGTAATTTACGGGCCTCCAGTGTCTGAAACTACTTCGACCTCATCTTACACTGGTAGGTCGGCTACTACATACACCATTTCCAACAATCCCACTCAAGTTACTATCATTGATCTAGAGCCTATTCCAAGGACTACGGTCACAAGAGGCTGGACTTACAGCACAACGGGAACTACAGAATTCAACTGCGGTGACATAGAGGAAGCTAATCCTACTCTCAACATCTTCCACAAAAGAGGCATTAATCCATACACTCAGGCATGTGACGTAATGAACACGGTTACGACCCAAATCACAGAAGTAGTTCATGTTCCCTTCGTAACTTCAACCGTTAATTTCCCCTACACTGGATCTACTACAAGTTCCTCAATAAGCCTTTCAGATGGAGCTTTGACTGAAACTATTGCTAACTATGTTCCCAATACCGTATGTAAGCCAACTGCGTCCGCATGTGGCTCTTTAACCACATCTGGAAGCTCTGTGTTCGGGGTACAAACAGCTTGCTGTCAGCTAGGACTTCGGTGTGCCACAGACTCTTCCTCTGTCATTTGTGTCGCAGCATCTACATCCACCACATCTGTCACTAAGTATTGGACGCAGACATCCACGTTTTCGACAGTTTACACTACTTTCATCAACGGCTTGCCTTATGTTGAAACTGAATATTCCATTCCTATTGTGACTAGCACGTTGACAAGAACAGGATCGTATAAATCCACTTCAACCGTCTCCACAATATCAGGTAACTCAAATCTCGGCACTGCAACAGTTATTGTCCAAGTACCAAGTGCTACTCCAAAGACTGTGACCATTACCAATGGATGGGCATCTAGTTATACTTCAACGGTAAGCACTTTGACTCCAAGTGACACCACCAGTGGAACTTTCACAATTGTTGTTGAAACTCCAACTGCTAATGTCAACTCCACTACAACTACCGGATGGACTGGATCTTTCACTAGCACCTACTCCACTGCGTTGACTACGTTCACCGGATCTGACGGTATTCCTACCACCGAGACGGTCTACTACGTTGAAACTCCAGTTGCTAATACCAACTCCACTACAACTACCGGATGGACTGGATCTTTCACTAGCACCTACTCCACTGCGTTGACTACGTTCACCGGATCTGACGGTATTCCTACCACCGAGACGGTCTACTACGTTGAAACTCCAGTTGCGAATGTCAACTCCACTACAACTACCGGATGGACTGGATCTTTCACTAGCACCTACTCCACTGCGTTGAGCACGTTCACCGGATCTGACAGTATTCCAACTACGGATACCATTTACTACGTTGAGACTCCAACTGCTAATGCCAACTCTACCGTCTACACCCCATGGACTGGCAGCTTTACTTCTACCTACTCCACCGAGTTGACCACATTCACTGGATCGGATGGTGTTCCAACCACGGAAACCGTTTACTATGTTGAGACCCCAACTGGCGGTGCTAACTCTACCGTCTACACCCCATGGACTGGCAGCTTTACTTCTACCTACTCTACCGATGTCACCACATTCAGTGGATCTGACGGTATTCCAACCACCGAGACAATCTACTACGTGGAAACCCCAGTTGTGGGCGTGAACTCCACTACCACCACCGGATGGAGTGGATCGTTTACTAGCACTTTCTCTACTGATTGACCACATTCACTGGATCGGATGGTGTTCCAACCACGGAAACCGTTTACTATGTTGAGACTCCAACTGCGAATGCCAATTCTACCATTTACACCCCATGGACTGGCAGCTTTACTTCTACATACTCCACCGAGTTGACCGCATTCACTGGATCTGACGGTATTCCCAACCACGGAAACCGTTTACTATGTTGAGACCCCAACTGGTGGTGCTAACTCCACCGTCTACACCCCATGGACTGGCAGCTTTACTTCTACCTACTCCACCGATGTCACTACATTCACTGGATCGGATGGTGTTCCAACCACGGAAACCGTTTACTATGTTGAGACTCCAACTGGTGCTTCTACCGTCTACACTCCATGGACTGGCAGCTTTACTTCTACCTATGCTACCGATGTCACGACCTTCACTGGATCTGACGGTATTCCAACTACTGAAACCGTTTACTATGTTGAGACCCCAACTGGCGGTGCTAACTCTACCGTCTACACCCCATGGACTGGCAGCTTTACTTCTACCTACTCCACCGAGTTGACCACATTCACTGGATCGGATGGTGTTCCAACCACGGAAACCGTTTACTATGTTGAGACTCCAACTGGTGCTTCTACCGTCTACACTCCATGGACTGGCAGCTATACTTCTACCTATGCTACCGATGTCACGACCTTCACTGGATCTGACGGTATTCCAACTACTGAAACTGTATACTTGGTAGAGACCCCAACCGGTGCTTCTACCATCTACACCCCATGGACTGGCAGCTTTACTTCTACCTAC